CTCCGAGCCTACCTCCGATGGGCGACCAATGCCGCCCAGATGGTTCAATCCAGGGACACAGTGTCTCCAGGCGATTGTGGTTAAAGACATATGCTCTGTTTCAGACCGATGAGAAGGATCAGATAAAAATCAGAGAATGAGCAGGAAAAGAAGCAATTGGTGGAAAACCCCCCAACCGGCCCATCACTTCGAGCCATGCATACCAGAGAAGCGATTGGGATGAGAAATACGTGGTCTCCAATTAAATTTGGGGCCATAGAAAGAGGGGTACTCACGTGGAAACCCCGCAGCAACCTTTGCCCGTTGGTGACGGCCAAAAAGAAAAGATGGTGTCAAACCTTCGCACCAGAACACTAAGATTTCAAAAATTCTTTACAAAATCAAATAATTCTGTAAAAAAAGAAATGAATGCCGCAAGAGAGAATCGAACGCTCGTTTCCTCGGAATAAGACCACAACGAGGTGTGTTTACGTATGCAGATAAATCTGTGACTATTGGCATATTGCCATTTGACACTATAACAGCCCCTCATCCCACACCAAGGCAACACCCAATGGCCAGCACCGGATATCAACGTCGTATTCTAGTGTCTGATGTTAGCAACTAAGTGACTTTCTTGAGAGGGTCTGGGAGAGATATACCTTATTCGGAACGCGAGCGGGAAGGGAGACAGTACAAGCAGCGCCAGAGACGGAAAACAAGGCCTCGACGGGGCTCGACGACGGGCTTGGAGGTGGAGGACGCAGGAGAGAGCCGCAACAGCGCGAGCGACAGACGGAGAGGGAGGGGTGGTGGCTGCGGTGGTGAGAGGCTCTGGGGTTGCCGAGGGCAGCGAACTCTTCGTCAGTTAACTCCCGTCCTGGATGGGCTGTCTAGAATCGGGTGCTAGCCACTATCCCATGAGAGCCACGAGATTGTCGATGCTTGGGCTGTTGGCGGTGCACGACATCGCGATTTTGGTGCGAGTTGAAGAGGAAGGAATACCAGACTATATATGCCGCCGAGATTGCATTCGGAATGCCGAAGAAACGGAGAGACGTTTCGGAGAATGAGAGTGGAATGGCACCTCGGGGAACAGGAGAACCCTTTATAATATACTGCTGCCCTACCGAACGGGAACATTGGTGGGGGGCGGCGCCAGTGGTGGTGTCTTTCGCCGCGAAGACGCCTTGTTTCGTCATTAGTCTCTCCGGGAAGTTTTACCGTTATTCTCGGGTCAAGGGGTATTCAAAGAAGCCCAACATGAGGATATAATTCAGCTACTCAATCAACCGCCTGCTAGCATGTTGAGAGTCTTGAGGGTAATACTGTGTTGAGGAAGAAAGATATTCAGGTGTGGGGGAACCCGCCTTATATACCTAGGTAGGTTAGTTGTGGTAAAGGTGTCAAGGTCGCCCTCAAAGGTCGAAGAGCAGCTCTCACAGGGTGCGGCATTGGCCTCCGTCCGACACGGAAGGGGACATTGAGGGACACAACGCTCTCTTTGCAAACAGCCAGGATGCACCAGGTAGAGACAAACTGCACCCAGCTACAACCCCCCAGACGAAGTCAGAGTCAGTCATACAGAGTTTGCTCCCCCGTTTCATTGTGCAGCAGGCGGCACGTCAGAGGGTCGGATGACTCCACCGCCGATCAAACAGTCTTGTCACTGACGTTTGAACGGCCTCTCCTGTCCAAACATGCCGCGTCACCTTCGCTAAATCCAGACTCATAATCCAAGTAAACTCTTATTGTCTGCTTCACAAAGAAGCATGTAATACAAATAGAAACGGAGTGGGTTTGCAACGAGTTTGGTCCCAGCCCCCATCGTGTCCATCACGGCCCCACTAAGCAAACCCGCCGAGCTGTCATCCGGGCCAGATCGTGCCCAGATATCGTTGATTGTAGACACAATCCTTATTAGTCACACCGAATAGTCCAACTTCACATGAACGTAGTTTTTGAAGAATCTCATCACTTGGAATTCTTCAACTATGGTTTGTTCCGTTGAATCGCACCATGATTTGGCGAGCAAGCATGAAATTTTCTCTGTAACTTACGTACTGCTTAACAGCTATTATCTTTCCAGTTCGAAGGTCTTTGCTACTGAAAGACCGCTGTGATTATAGAGGGACCCTGTAGTTATAGAGGGTCTTAGCGGTGGAGGGCCTGTTATTATAGAGGGGTTTGGCGCTGGAGGCGCTACAGTTGTAGAAGGTCTTAGCTCTGGAAGGTTGCTACAGCTAAAGAGACTGATTTGGTAGAAGCTTGCCTCATCGCGTGCAATCTCTCAAAGAGCGGAAATGTCAAGAAAAATGGCCTTGTTCTTGGAAACGAGGCTAGGTCTCCGATTAAGGCCTCAAGGTAAGAATCCAAAAGCGAAGACAATATTTTCACTTCATACCAGTAATAATGGTAAGATAGATGTCCTTGTGTATGAGAGCAAATTACTCACCATCTGATCTCAGCTTGTACTCGTCGAACTAATTCATGCACCGAAATTTACTGGCTGTAAACTGCAAGAGTGGAACGTTCCAATAGAGAGCTCACGTATTTCTGGATATTCGATATACCTATTCAACACTGACGCAGCGCTACCGTAGACAGTCAACATGTGCCTCTTCGGTACGTAAGTTCACAAGAACTTAAGGTAGAGTGCCCCAAAAACTTCGGTCCTTATTGCCATGTAGATAAGGGAACAAACTTTCTATTGTTCTAATAAATGAAAGTTAGCTGACGGAGGTGTCTTCGAAGTGTCAGTGGATAAGGGTGTTGCTGGCACGTAAGTGAAGCCCTCATTCTGTCTGACTGACAGAGCTTGATTTATATGTGAGTCTGCGTCGCGATGTCTTGCTATGTTGTATAGTTTCACGCTCTACTAATGTATAGTTTCAACTCTAGTTGTAGAGTTGATGCAACGGGAATTATATAAACTAGCAAATAAAGGTAATAATGTATTTCTAAAAGGCTCTGTTCTTTTAAATAAATAGTATTCAAATTTGAGTATAATAACAAGTAGGCAAATATATCTATATTGATTATATATATGTCCAGTTAATATTGGCAAGTTATTAGTGAGTCAGTAAGAGTAACTATCCTTAGTAGTACTGCTGACACTTAGCTTAAAGCTCGATATATTTCACACATCTCGAAATTAATATAGTATATAAGTTAAATATAAAAAGTATACTTTTGTAATATATAGTTAAATCCTTAATATAACATTAGTATTACAGCTATATAAAAGAAATAATTAATATATGTAAGCAGTGAAAATTAGATTAGTTTACCTCCTTTAAGCAAGATGTGTTTTAGGCCAGCTGGAGGCTTATTAATAACAACTGGAAGCCTTAGTTTTATATGTAGCTTGCTATCAGTAGACTTCTAGTGGGAATGCAGCTGAAGTGAGAGTGGGTGGAGGCGTCAGGAGTGGTTGCCAGCTGACAGTTGCCAGCTGCCAGACGTCGATAGGGGATGGGCCCCTCTAACTTCCAGGCTTACTGGGGTAATTGGACTGAATTCTGACGCTGAAAAGCTCTCTAAGCCAGTCGTCCATATTTGCTGCTCGGTTCGTCCGTTCCAGCAGCCAACCACCTAGGGAATATCGTATCGCACTTTGAAGTAGCTCACTTATAGCTATGCTTTCTTTATTTATTGATTTGGCAGGTAGTCTCTTCTAGATAATGGTGCTGGTATTATCTTTCGCGGGCTCCCACAGTATACTGGTGGTTGGGTAGTGTCTTGCCAGTGGCGCCGTCGCACCTTCCCAGTAAGTATGACAGACGGTTGGCAGAACCAGAAAAGAAGGAAGGAGCTCCTTCCTCCAGGACATCCACACCATGGGGGCGAGGCAATCTCCTTCATCCTGGAGGGAGGAGACTCTCCTTTCTTTCCTCAAGCATACCAAAGTCAAGATGGCCCCCGCCTCCCGCCCCAACACCAACGCTCTCGTGGCCCTCCTGGGGCAGTGGCTGGCTCCAGATACTGGGCCAGCCCCCCCAGTTGCGGCTTTGGCCGATGAAGACTTTGCCGCCCTCGTCAACGACTCCCCGTCGGGGGCCTGGGTTCTTTGGAACCCAGGCCCGTTGAGCCAAGACCCTCCCGCGCCGACGCCCTCCCCTCCCGCCGCCCCCTCGTCCTCGCTGCCCAGCAGCAGCAGCAACAGCAGCAACAGCAGCAACAGCAGCAACAGCAACACCAGCAACAACACCAGCAACACCAGCGAGTGTGTTGTCGCGGCTTCGGCCGCTGAGCCCCCCGCCCGCCGCCGTCGCCGCCGCCAAGGCCCTCCTTCTCCTCCTCCTCCACCTCCTCCTCGTCGCCGCCGCCGTCGCCGCCGCAGCCCCTCCCCTCCTCCATCCCCCTCCCCCTCCCCCTCCCCTCCCTCCCCCCCTCCCCGTCGCCGTCGCCGCCTCGTCCGAGGCCTTCGCCCTCGGTCCCCCTCCCCATAGGGGGCTTTTGGTCCTGTCTCGTCTCGTCGGTTTTTTTTGGAATTCTTTTTCCAATTTTTAATTTTTAATTGGGGCCCCTAGGCTTCGCCTCTACTTTGAATCTCCCTCTGGGAGAAGTTTGGCCGCAAGACGAGTATGTGGACACCTGCTGGACTCATAAGTGGACGCAAGAAAGGGGAGGCTCAGCTAAGGGAGCGGCGTGTAAGTTGAAGAACTCCAGCGATATCGTCTTATCCTAACGCAAGCCATATCAGATTCCGGCTCACTTAGCTCGAGGGGCTTCATCTCTGCAGATCCGCTATGCCCTGCCATCTCCCAATCCCCAGGAGCGACAAAAGTGATGACGCTGTGACCTTCTGAGCCGAGTCATCAAGAATGCCACTGACTTCAAACCTGTGGTATCTTGCATGGGGGAATTTCTGCAGTGATGGAAGGAGTGGACTTACACGAGATGTGTGCTGTGTAAGTCGTGACCCACTTATGCCATTACCATACCTTCTAACGCCGCCACAGAGTGATATGACAGCCGCCACACACACAATCCCGGCTTGGCTGCATTAGCTAGCGGTTTCTCGAAACCTTGCACGCCTATTTTACCTCTGCGTTAAAGGCAGAGAGTCTCCTTGCCGTGGATCTCGATAAGTGGCTTCGCCTCTACTTTGAAGCCGACCAACTTCCTCGCCAAGGTCCAGGATGGGGGGCTTCGCCTCCACTTTGAAGCCGGTGGTTTCTGAAGAAGCCCGACAAGCCTGCTTCGCCTCTACTTTGAAGGCGGCCGACTTCTTCACCAAGGCCCCGATAGGCGACTTCGCCTCTACTTTGAAGGCGACCGGCTTCCTCGCCTCGCCAAGGTCCCGGATGGGCGACTTCGCCTCTACTTTGAAGGTGGACGACTTCTTCACCAAGGCCCCGATGGGCGACTTCGCCTCTACTTTGGCGGCGACCAACTTCCTTAACAAGCCCCCAGATGGGGAGCTTCGCCTCCACTTTGAAGCCGGTGGTTTCTGAAGAAGCCCGACAAGCCTGCTTCGCTTCCAATTTGAAGGCGAGTAACCTCTTCGCCAAGGTCCAGGATGGGCGACTTCGCCTCTACTTTGAAGCCGGTGGTTTCTGAATAACCCCAACAAGTCTGCTTCGCTTCCAATTTGAAGGCGACCAACCTATCGGAAACGCAGACAAATGGATGTTGTGAGACACCGTCAGAAATTTTTGGTGACTGGCACTGGCTGCGATGGTCAAGCACGGTACTTCTCGTGGCTGAGGGAAGGATTGCGACGATTTGGATGAGATCGTAACATGTAGCCTCTTGTGGAGATACTGAGGTGGATGTGAGCCGGGCTGGTTGAGAAAGAAGGGCATGGGGGAGAATACAGTAACATGTCGAGAAACCGAGGCAATACTACAATGAGACTGTTCCTAGCGTTGGGCTCATTGAAAGCCACGCAACTGCAATTGAAACGAAGGTAGTGAAAGCTGCAGAGCGAATATAGGACGTGGCAGAGCTAGTGGTGGATGGGCCGACGTCGTGGAAGATGACGAGGAGGATGCGGGTATATCCGGTTGCTGGTGGTGGTGGGTATGAGCCTTAGGTGCAGGAAACAATAACAAGATGGATGGGCGAGGCGGCGATCACGGTGTTTGTGGTGTAGTCAGGAGGAGTAGGAGAGGGAGGCGAGAATCATTCATGGGTGATGCCCGAGTGGATCAACCACGGCGCCAATACCGAGCAGGGTCGACGTTAACTAAAACATTACAAGGGGGCTCTCCTATGCAAGAGAACTGAAATGAAACTTGAATGAAACTAAATGACTTGAACTTTTCTGGGGGATTGACCTTGTTGAGAGGTCATCTGCTGGAGCAAACCCGAGCTAAGACGCCGCCTTGTTGAAAGGCTATTGCACATCAATGCCACCAGCCACCACGCCAACCACCATACCATCCGCTCATCTGTCGGCCGCCAAAAAACAAAACATTCTCGACAACCATCCCTCAGGCTCAGCTAGGTCCGAAGGAACCTACCATCCTGGCTTCCGACGCCTCTCAGTTATTTCCAGGGGCTGAATGCTCCTCAGATTCCAAATCGGGGTCAAAGGGTGGCGAAGCCATTGAGGAGATCATCGCGCCACGTTCCTTCAGAAGGCTCACAGAAATCCCCAATTCTTCAAGAGCACCCTCTTGAATAAACTGATCTCTGATGGCTGGCCCCCTTGTGAATGTGCACGGGCGATTGAGCGCTCGACAGCTTTTGCAAGTTTGGTCATCTTCGTCGTAGTTATTTTTACAGGCAGTCGGCTAAGATATTGAGATTAGCAACTTTACATAGGCAATACAAGATTTAGGATTCTGCACTCACGGTTCCTTGAGAATAACACATGTCGCAAATTTGGCGATTTGCTGAAGGGCCAAAAAACCATGGCTGAGGGCGTGGGCCAACGATCGTGTCTGGACCCGGAAACATCTGGCTTAACCTGGCCGCATTTTCTGCAATAGTGCGATCTTGCGGCCAGGGCACAACTCTGGGTCTGACATTCTCAACTATTAGTTTCTGCTGAAGATGATCGTACCTCAGGAACTGAACAGGTGCAGGACCTCGCCCAGGGACCCAGGCAGGGGCGTTGGAATATGTAGTTTGCTCTACGTCCGAGAGTATCAGCAGACCCTTACGGAAGGATTTCAAGATGTGAGACCACGGCTGCGCCATTTGGTTCCAAATCCTGCTCTTCTCAAGGTAGCACTCATTCCAACCTGTACCTGCTGGGTCGAGCCATTGGATTTTGATCGCCATTGCTCTGAGCTTTTCCAACTCAGGGTTTCGTCCAACAAGTGGCGGCATACGACCAAATCGAAATGGGTGGGTAAGGTACTGATCTCCATTCTTTCTGACTTCGACAATAACATGCACAGAGTCGCCATGCTTGAGCGAAGCGGCCTCTGCGATCGCTGTGGGGACCTGGATGACATCGTGGCCTTGCCAGTGAATGTTTGGGGCGGTGCCTTGGTGAACTTGGATCAGTCGCTTGCTCCGATAAACATAGATCTGCTTCTCAGGCTGGTACCAAGAGAGCCACTTTTTGGTTGCAGTGGCGTTCTTGATAATCGGCGTGTTCCAGTTTAGGCCGTAGGCTGGTGTTGGCGCCCAGCCCGTCTGCTGTGATACTTCTCGTATAATCTTCGAGAAGACTACAGCAGCATCAAAGTCGGCCCCATACGCCCCCATCAGGTTAGAGTTGATGGGCTCGTACAGATTGGGGTACCAGGATTGAAATAGGCAAACCATCGAGAATTCAGCAATGTGGAGGAAGTCCTCCAGAGACTCAGAGTGTCTTTCAAGGATCAATGGGATCATTGCCGCCTTCTTGGCTTGTCTCGCGAGGCGGTAGTGGTTCGATTTGTTATTCCTCGTTGTCTGAAATCTGTGTTGCTTGTCTCTTTCGTTTATGTCGACTGATTGTCCAATGTACAGCGCAGTAGAGAACACTTGGTCATTGACTGTTCTGTTGCCAAAGCGCTCGTAGATCCTGAAATAGATACCTGGCTCCTTTGGGTAAGTCGAGCTGACTTCTCTAAGGTCCGACACAGCCTGGAGATCAAAGGTGCCGGACCGCATAAGGCCGCGAGCCTGGGGGGTAATACCTGTGGACTGTTAGTAGAAGCGCAAATATGTAGAGGATGAGAGTGTGGGGGAGACTGACTCGAAAAGACAGCATCAGCGTAGGTTGACGCTTTGTCGTTGAACAAAACCGACTGGCTCTGCTGAGACAAGCCTGGAATGCTACCAACAATAGCATCCTTGTTAGCAATAATGCTTCGCCAGAGGCATCGGAGAGTCTCCTCCAAAATGTCAACAGAGTCAGATGGGACCTGGGCCGCTATGCTAGGGGCACTAGCCACCCGCCCTCGGAATGGGATTTCGATCGGGAGAGTTTGGGCCTGCCTTTGGCCACTCTGGATAACGGAAATAGGAACCCATCCTGTAAAAGTACTTATCAGTATTATTTCGGAACAGCAAAAACTTGTAGAGACCTACCTTTACGTGAGTTGTCGGAAAGATATCGAATGCCGCAAAACCCACCAGAGCCGACAAAAACCCAGGCCTTATCTCCTCTCCGGACAGACAAAAGGGGGGTAGCAAGGGCAGGAGGATCGCTTTCCAGCAGGGATGGGTCCCAGTCGCGTGTGATCACGCAAGCGTATGCTGGCCTGGACGAGGAGGGAGCTGCCTGAGTCGCCATGACGATGGCTTCTCATAGATGAGGCAGGGTCGTAAATTTAATGCCAGAAGATGAAGGCTTGTGAGGTTAACCGAAAGACAAGAGGGAGAGGATGACGAAGAGGATGGGAAGAGGAGAGGGAGAGAAGAGAGAGAAAGCCGGTTAGACTTGTGTTCTTATAGAAGAGAGGGATTTGCTGAATGATTCATGTTTTACGCCTTATCCTAAGGCATACGGAGATGATGTCAGATTCTTAGGAAGCCGTGATGCAGTGACGATCTTAGACTGCTAAGATCACTCGAGGAAACAAGCGAGAGTCAGAGAGAGCCGTGATGCAGTGACGGGGTCGGACTGTCGACGGTCACGCAGCCAATGCAAACTTTGTTGCCTGTGATCCGATCCAGCAATTGATCACCCCGATAGCAATCAGGACCGGGGTATGGATACCAACATCCACTGAGGTGGAAGAGATCAGCTGAACTGGAATAGCATGATAATGCATCACCCATAGTTCGCGCCACGAATATGTTGGCTCCTCGTGCTCGCAAACGATAGTGATTCATTCATGGTTACTATGATCACATGAAACAGTGACCCGTAGTACACACCGAACGAGCTTCGGCCTTGCTCGTCAAATGCAGAAAAAGATAGATAAACAAACAGCCAATAAAGGTAGTGTGTCTAACTAGACCAGCAAACATAGACGACCAGAACTTCATGCTTGTCAATCCCATGACGGTGCCCGCATCCGTTACCTAGCTCCTTGTTGAGGTTTATTGTTCGTACTACACACATAATAGTATCAGAGCTTCCCGCACCGGTTGAATTAGCCGTGCGACTGCTACATAGAGGCGCAAGTGCTTGTTCTGTCGGGGCTCAGAAACCAGTTTCCCGGCATTCACAGCAACGTTGGGTGTCCACCAGTCGCAGTTTCGGCGCAAACTGGATAGCAACCGGCCACGGTCCCGGCCCCACCCCGATGACAAGGGTCCTAGCCATATGATCGATGTAGCCAATGAACAATGCTTCTTGCCGGTTTTAGGAATGACAGGCACGTTTTACTCAGGCATTCAGACCGATTCAGCTTTGGACACAGACAGCGAGTAGGGAAACAGTCGGTGGAGTGCCCTTTTCAACCGGCTGGTTTGCCAATCACCAGCCATAGCAAGGCGAGCAGTAGTAGACGTGAAGGGATGCATTTCTCGATTAGATTCGAGACCATATTGAGAGTGACTCCCACCCGATCGCACCACGGCAGCTTTTGTGCATTCGGGTGTGGCCAGAGATGAGCAAAATACCGTTGCGTCCATAGCATCAAAATTTAAGAGCGCGTGTTATGTGCATTACTACAAACTTATCTAACACAACGAGAACCGACAGTATTCTAGTAGAAAAAGCCTCAGAGTTTAATATACTAATTACGTGACACTTTTTAGGACATTTATTTCGAAGAACCCGTCAAAGTTAGAATGGGCGATTTCTTCGCTGAACCCCCGCCGGCCCCGGAGTGGGGGCGGAGCCGACGTGCTTGGTGGGCAAAGGCTGTCCTCGAGATCTTTGGGAACACCCGCTGCCTTGAAATAGAGCTGAAGCAGGTCTTAAGGTGCTAACATAAACAACGTGGGGACCAAACCTGGAGGGATGCGACGAATAGAGAAGAACCACTAGCAATGCTGAGCCCTTGGACAAAACGATTCCAGCCTCGAAGTAATGGTGAAGCCCGAAAGCCCCAATTACAATTTCAAAGAACCTTTGGTATGAGACCCCACTTTTCTGACTGCAGCTGGCAGCGCTTGTCGCACTAAAATCAACATTGCCTGTTAGAGAGTGCCCTGAACTACATGACAAAGTCCCCTGCACCCAGTGCACTAACACGCACCAAAACCACACCTCCGTTGTCATTGCACATCCATTTCCTTCCGCAAAGGTTAAGGCTATACCCGGGTGCTAGATGTGAGGAGAGTCAGCGTGTTGTGGCCCTTGGGTTGACAGACTCAGAGCAGAGTCAGAGCCAGCCTGTTGGGTTCCTCGGATGCCCACCAGGTTCAAAGTAGAGGCGAAGCAGGCCTTTGGGGTCTTATCTTGTTGGGCATTCTCAAGGTGGTACTGGCTCCTAGGCACCTACTTGATTCAGAGTAGAAACGAAGCTGCCCTTTTGGGTCCTTGTAGAGGGGTCATGCTCAAAGCAGAGACGAGTGAGGCGCGAATCCAGCCTTTTGAGGTTCTTAGGCATCCATCGGTTTCAAAGTAGAGGCCAAGCGAGCCTGTTGGAGCCGGAGACAAGAGTTAAGGGACCACAGCCGAAATATCGGCTAGGTTCCTGTTAGAATTGAGGCTCAGATCACATATGCGTAAAAGATATTTACCCGTATGGTGACTGGAGCCCACCTGGTAGGCATCCCAGGACGCTGTCGTAAGGTGACCTGCGTAGAGGTAGTCTTGTGAGAGGGCGTGGATGCTTGGAGCATGGATCTATTGTCAGCAGGGTTAAAGTTATGGCTCAGAACGGGTAACTCACCCCCCTCTGCCAAGGTCTAGGTTATTTGCATGGCTGCTACAGTCGCGGCTTGGTCTGTAACGGCGTCAGAAGGTGTGGCAGAACCCGCAATCGTGGGTCGCGGCTTACACGTCTCTTGTAAGTTCTCTCACTCCTTCCATAACTCTTTCGGATGGAGCTTCCTTCTCGCAAGACATCGCAGACTTTGCTAGACAGGAGGGCATTTGAGTCGTCACTACAACAGCATTTCTGGGGAGTAAGAGACAGCGATGTCGTGGGCGGCGACGAGGAAGTGAGGGCCGAGGCGTCATCGTCGGGCCCCTCTTCGGAGAAGGGCCTGGAGACACCCATATCCAGCCCCCGGGCGGAAAATCTTGGGCCGCGAAGGCCGGCTCTTCGAAGGCTGCCTTCCCTCCCGGTCGATAGCCCTTAATGGCCTCCTCAAGCTCTTCGAGGATCAAGTAGCCCACTGGCAATCCCGGCTCGTATTTGCGGCCGTGACTGATCCAGGACAGCAAGAAGCTTGGTGAGATTGGGTGATGGAGGGACTCATTCGATGTTCGCCACGTCGAAGTTGGTGATGGATGGTAAAGGGGAGAGATGACAAAAAGAATAGATTGGAAGAGAATAAATTGAATGAGAAAAGAAAACAAGAAGAAAGGCGAACGGGAAGAAGCCGAGGGAAGTTGCGCTGTTGCAGGCAGCTGGTGATGTGGGTACCTGCATGATGAAGTGACTGCCAGCTGTGAGCGATTGTTAGGCAGCCAATTCACTGGCCATCGCTCAATAACCACCTCGGATTTACATTTTTTGCCTCAGCCCACTGCTTCCAACCCTCATTCACTACCTGACATCTGCCGCCCCCTCGTGCTTGCTATCCAGCAGCGGTAGCAAAACCACCCAGCCTTAGTGTTGTCAGCATGCGGCTCTGCAGACCCTTCTCTATCAGCATCTTCCAAGTTGTCTTCCTGCAATCCCGAGTCGTCTCATATTCTCTCTCCCTTAATTTCCCGTTCACCTCATTTCAACTTGATCCCCCAAGCAGAAAACCCAGACCTAGAAGCGAACATCATCCCCTCGTGGCCTTCCCGGTGTTTCCGGCTCCTGGCTATGATCTTCTGTAGATAAACGCGATGCGAAGAAAGCTTAGCCTTTGGGCTCAGAACATTCCTCTGGGGTCCCAAGGTGACTCTGTACTGCCCATCGATTGACCAAGCTTGCTCTTGTTGTGCTTCTTCCTCTGCCACCACCGCTAACGTGACCGCGGTCACCACCGTTTTGGCCCTCCTGGGCCGGTGGATGACCGCAAAGCATAGGCCAACCCTCATGGAAGGGACAGCAAAGATTGAACAGTCGATCGGTAGATCAGATGCTGAATCTTCCACACAATGTGCGGCTACTCTGAGCGCTCCGGCACCTTTTTACCAACACGAGCTATACAATGAGGTGCCTCAATGGATCAATAAACACTAAAAAGTTGTCCATAGTGCGGCTACTTCGAACCCTTCCGCATTAGCTCACCAATATGTGTTATGCAGTGAGCCACCTCGATGGACTATTGAGCGGCGACAACCACCAGGAAGCCATTCGGTCGAAGCTGACTGTATGACCCGTGCTGGTGAGCTAATGCGGTAGGATTCGGAGTAGCCGCACGCTGGTCAATTTACTGGTGCTCAATTGAGGTATTTCACTCAGAGCAGCCAGCCGACCAGACGGCCGTCAAGGCAGAGACTACAAGCCCCTGCAAAAGTAGGGATGGGTGAACCAGAAGAGGGCGAGGCAGGGGAATACCTAAACATCGACTTGCAGCTTTCAGACTCACCTACACGACAGAGATATTTTAGATATATACACACCCCTTCCTAACCTAATTGGGATTACTCTGACGCCTGCAGCTGGCCTTTATACCTTTTGGCCTTCTTGTGGTGAATTAACATAATACGTTCGGCCCGCCGCGACCTGCGCTGCGCTCTGGAGCGGCTTCGGGGCACCCTCTATCGCTGCGCTCTTACGGGGGCTCTCGTACCTCGGCCTCACTCGAGATAAAAGAAGAATTGCTTGGTGTCTGGAAGGAAGGAAATTGGTCTCATCCAAATTGGGTTAAGCGAGGGTGTGGGCTTTTTTGATACATCCCTGCCCGTAGGTCAGACTAAAAGTCGGGAGTCGATGTTTGGGTATTCACCGTCGGCACCCGTAGAGGAAGCCATCCCGGCCACGCAACTGGGGCCCTCACAGCTACCAGAATAACCGCCGGGTAGGGCCGAAAGTAACGAACTTTTCAGAGACACTAGAGGGACGTATTTTTGAACGATTTGGCTGTAGCAGGGCTTACAAGTTGTTACGATATGTAGATAACTGTTTGTTACGTTCTCTGACTTAGAAGATCCGAGATGTGAAGTGAATAAAATGGAGTTATGTGATGCACCTGTCCCAATAACAATACTCTTTGTTATACTGTAGTATTCTGAGCCGCAAATGCTCACTCTAGATACAAATTAAATTATGAACCAAGCTTGACTCGCCCTTGAAACATGGAAATTAGTCTCTCAAAAAAAAAAATTCAAGACAAGTGTAAGAATGGAGCCCACAACAAGACGAAGACGGCTTTAAAAAATGTTTAAAAAAATACAATCCATTGCTTCCAGCCGGAATTGAACCGGCGTTTCCAGTGTTTTGCGAATGCGGTTGACCACAAACTGGTATCCTTGCCACTAGATGATAGAAGCGCTGAAGAACCTTCATTTATTGATGAAAGTGGGCGGGCTATTTCACTTGATAACCACATACGAGCTAAAGACTCATATAAAGCGGAGCAGCCCCGCACCCTGGATGCATTGACACATAATCTGAGAAAAAAAGACCAGGTTCGAACTTTATAAAATGAGTGAGTGGTTGTGTTGTTCAAGGTATGCAAGCTGTGGATGTCAAAAGCAATCAGGGATACTTAGCGCGCTCCTGCCGAGTTGAGCACAGCCGAAGACATCAACAATAGCTTACCCCTCTAAAAATATAAGACCTGGACGGAGTTGGAATGCTCACTGATACTGGGGATCATGTCTATATTCACTATTGGCCCTGCCGGATCATCTGAGCCGGACGCATTGCCGGGGTCGGAGTGGGGCCGGTTCCGGTGGCCGCGGCAGAAGTTGTGACATCCGTGGTTGTTTCCGGACAAATTGTGATAACTCAATTTAAATCAGCCGCTATGAATACGTGCCCGGCTGATACGGAATCCGGCTGATGCGGAATATCATCTGGCGACGGCGGCGAGATTTGTTCTACCCGCGACGACGACTACAATACGCAAAAGCTACAGGACTGTTTTTACGGCATGGAAGGGGTGATTACTCAGTCCAATATTTAGTACAAAGATGGAGGGACACTTATTGATGTTTGGGGCAGGGTCCATTGTCGGCAAGTTTAAAGTCATAGCTCAGACGTCTGTCAAGGTCGGGGCTGTTTACACAGCTAAGGAATTATAGAATAATTATATAATATAAAAAAACTAAAAAAGCAGCTATAGTAATATTACTATTATAACTAGAATAATATCTAGATTAAGATTTTATATTATATAAATAACTTATAAATTTTTTTATTGTTTTTTTAATTTATAAAATTAATTTAATAATAAAATTATAATAGTTTAAATATATAATTAGAAATTTAGAGTTATATAAATAATATTACTTAAAAGAAAAATAACTAAACTAAAGAAGATTAACGGCGCAGGCCTCGCACGAGGCGACGGAACCGGGGGCGGCGAGGCGAGGGGGAGGGCGCAGGGCAGGGTGAGGAGGAGGGAAGAGTTTCTTCGGCCGAAGCTGCAGCAGTATCGCTGTTATTGCTGTTGCTGCTGAGCGGCAACGAGGGAGGGAGGTCCGCGGCGTCATCGTCAGACTCCTTATCGGAGAAGAGGGCTGGAGACATCAGTCTCCAGCCCTTCTGGGGCGGAAAATCTTTGGCCCCGAAGGCCAGCTCTTTGGGGCCGGATCCCGGCCCCACTTTCAAGCCTGCCTCCAAGCCGACCTCCGAGCCTACCTCCGATGGGCGACCAATGCCACCCAGATGGTTCAGTGCACTAATAGAAGCGATTGGGATGAGAACCATATGGTCTCCAGGGGCCATAGAAAGAGGGGTACTCACGTGATGCCTCAAAGCCCTCTCGATTAATCTCGCGGTGTGCTCGTTGATAGTGAAGCCCTAGAATGAAAGCTTGCTCTTGCACCGACACCAGATGCGTGATTACCAGGCGGAAGAAGGAACACCGTACGAGACAATTCTTTTATATTTTGAGGAACGAGTTATTCGTTTGGGTGAGAATTGGCAGAATGAGTGTCTGTTCAGTCTAATATTCAAATACCAGCACTTAACCGTTCCAGCAAGAAACAAAAGCATTGAAGTAGAAAGAACTTGATTAAAATTTAGTACAAAAATAAGGAATACTTATGTACTCCGTAATATACCTACAAAGTGGATTTCAACTTGTGTGGGTGGAGTAATTTATCTACTCCAATATCAAACCAGCCCACATCAACAAATGATGTGATATGCGGTGTTCGTATAACGGTTAGTATACCAGTTTGTGGCCTAATAACCTCAATTCACTGGCGATGGCGGTTCGATTCCGCCACACCGCAATCGTTTATTTTTTGGGATTTATTTCGTGGAGTGACAGCTCATCAAAGATGCAGTGTTTCGTTGATCACGGCTTGGACGAGCGACACTCAAATTTTTTTTGGTGGCCTCTGTGGGAACCCGTACACTGGCAATGTCGGGTGGCCCGTGCGCAGATGCACTAACCATCACCTGCACCTCTCTACCGCACCTATTTCCCTGTGTCTGCGTTGTGATCGTCGCTTTCATCGTGTTGTGACCAAGTGTAGATCCGCGTCGCCAGATTAATTGACACCTGGGTCCTGGCACAAGGTGTGATGAATCTGGATATTTTATGCTTCTATATTGCTACCTGGACCTTTGTGACACAAATTTCCAACGATACACGACCATCGTTACATGAGGGATATTGGATCAAGCAATCAATTGTCGTAACGCAGATTCCTGCTGGCTCTCGACATCACCCAAACGAGCAACCTCCTTGCCCTATGAAGATGGATTAATAAATGAATTGTGAAAGAACTGCAAACTCACATTTTCGATTCTCACGACTGTTGGAACTCCTTGAATGTTGTAAGGTTCACCCCGATACTTGTTCTTCTTGGGGCCCCTCCACTCCTGGAATGACCCCACACGGACAATGTGAGCTGTCGGAGCAGAGTCAGATCCAAACACGTTCTTGAGAGCAGGAATAGCGTCGCGGCAGTCTGGGCACCATGATGGCTCGCCAGACGCAAAGTACACGACGTAATGAGTCGCAGTGTCCGAGGGCGGGGTATCGGCGTCAATGAGGGGCATTTTGATCGAGAGTGGGAGCCACGAGAATTGGAAAAAAGATTTACGAGGAGCGCAATCGAGCCGATGAGTGATCCTCTGGAAAGTATAAATATGGACGTTGAGGAGCGGACAGAGTGTGCTCATCTCGACGGCCTATTGCGCCGTATTTATGGAGCATCGTCCCCACCCGATCAGTCATGCGCGACACGTAGTATCACAAGTAGATTATTATTATGTATCGTCTCGAGCCTATTCATACCAAACGCCCATAGCGCAAAATTATTTCATGCAACTCCAAAAACTCAAAGGAATTTCTCCAGAAACTTAGCTGTGTCGATAATCGTCTGTTCCACGGCGTAATGAGGCTGCCCGGTCACCTCGATTGCCTTGGATCCGTCGATGATTCTGTTCTCTGGAAACGCGAACCCTGGGTAGTAACCCTCACCAGGTGCCCCTTCCTTGATGATATCGCGGCGATTGGGGAATGCCTCACGGAGAATATCGGCAGCTGCCTGAGGAGGAACCATTCCCTTCGCTAAGATGTAGCGTTCTCCGTTTACCTTGTCGGGATGATCGACTGCGAAGACGACGACTCTGCCAACGTCTCGGACATCAACAAAGCTAGGGTTGGGTGAGATGGGGAAGGGGATTTCTTGTCCTAAGAATATCTGCAAGATAAAAGCCGTCGTCCCACCAATCTTGGATAAAGATTCGGCTGCTGTGGGTGGACCCATGACGAAGCTGTTGTGTACCATGTCAGAACCGCAATGCTATTCGGAATGTAAAACTTACGTAGGGTTGATAGCACTCATGCTAAAGGAGGGCTTTTTCTCAATACGAAACTCCCAGAATGCACGCTCGCTGGCAACCTTGCTGGCCACATAAATGAGTGGGCCTGGGGTCTTTTTGCCGAGGATCTTGACCTGATCCAAGGCCTCAGTGTTCCAGTCTGCTTCAGTGAAGCGAGGCGAATCTTCCTTCTTGTTCATGACGGCAGCAATGGAAGACATCAAGACGACGCTCTTGATGGAAGGTTCCTTAAGTGCGGACTCCAAGATGCCGCGGGTTCCCTCCACCGCGGCCTCCAGGACAGGATCAGGGTCCGTGAATCTGAAGCTCACGGGGGAAGCCAAATGTGCGATGGCATGGATTCCTGAAAGGGACGTTAGAGACAAGTTGGCGAGTTATTCAACAATACGCTTACCTTTGACGGCCGTATCGAACGCCCCTGGGGCAACAATATCTGGTACCTCAACAATCTCGAGATCATCGCGGTATTGAGATAGCGCCTCAACGAGAGCATTCGCAGAAGCCTTGGATCGAACCGTTCCACGCACGGCGTACCCTGCCTTGAGAAATAATTCGATGACTGGGCCGGCAATGTAGCCATTGGCACCAGTCACAAGAACAATCCGCTTATCAGTCATGATTGTGAATGAAGATAAATGTATAGGGTAATTGATGGATGTAATGATTCAAGCTATGCAATAGAGAGCTTGAAATGATGGACTTCGAGAGGCTCTACATGGTGGGCTTTATACCCTTCTACAAGCCAGTAGGGTGTACTGGGATGGCATCAGGTTGGTGGCCTCTCATGACGGCAAAATCGGCAACGGAGTTTCTGAACCATGGGTCTTGAAGGCGTACGTGCTAAGTAATTATGATGGGTGTCCACCTGTAGCCGCCGAGGGGCTGCATAACTGAGGGATATCGTGGACCGGAATTGTATGTAATCGTCCGTCGGACATTGCTGATAAAATTGGGCACGGACCGGACTTGGTTATCATAGGCTCCGCAGTTCGGTGAGGTTCGCCGGATCATTGCAGCCACAGGGATTACAAATGTTATCTTGCACAAGTCGTCCACAAAGAAGATGTTATGTTGGATTGGGCATAGGAGCTCTTTATTCGCAGCTTGGAATGCAGCCACACGCATGTGCTAAAGACAACATGTCTCGGATACCAGATCTTCCATGTATTTTACAACGCATTCAAAAGTATCTGTACGAGTGGAGGAAGTCACGAATTAACATTTGAAATGTTTTGGGTTGGACGGTACTGATCAAGCTTACAAGAAACTTAACTTTGCCTCGTCGCATTCCGGACCTGTGACGAAAGCACAATGAAGCTCGCGCATTGCACAACACCGAATGCCTCCATCGCGAATTGATGACATGACGGCGTGGCGATTGACGTTGCACCGTTGGGGCGTCGGCCCACCCGAGCCGAGGCAGACAAGATGAGTTCTATGGGGTTCTATCTCAACTTTGACTTGATCACGAAAGTTCAGTGAGCTCCAAGTAAATGATACTTACATCATCGTTCAATATGGAATCAATCTCTTGTTGCCATGTTTTTTCGTTAAAGTGCTGATGGACGATTGCGGAAATAAGTGCTGACCAATTCATCCATTAACTGCCTAAATCAATCACGTGACTTCGCGCATCATTTCGCGACTCCATGATGACGCAACGGATTCAAAATGCACTGACACGCAACTCGCGCTTCACTCGCGGCACCTTCTCAACCCCAACGGAGGCCTCCTCAGAATGGTCTGATCATGGCCGGTCGGAAGCGGACTACAAGGGCCAGTAGCAGGCTGGCTGCGGGGACACCGAGCGGGCCGGATGTCTACCAGGACATGTTGGCCGAGGCCGGCGTGAATGCCCAGGATCGCAGCCCGCCTGAGCGGCCGCTGAAACGGCGTCGCGCGGGCCCAAGTCGAGAAGAGAAAACTGCAGAGAAGGAAGTGCCAGAGAAAGTACCAGAGCAAGAACCAGCATCAAGCTCCGGAGCCGCACAAGGCGACCAGACAATACAGGTCAACGAAGATTCCGAGGATGAAGACATCGAGTTTCAGGATGTTGTCTTACCAGAGCCGACCATGCAAACCATGGAGTTGGAATCCGAAGATGAGGACGAAGATGAAGACATTGTATTTGAAGACGTTGATTTTGGAGTACTCCCTAAAGAAATCCCCACAACCCAAGAACCCTTGGAGTTGGTCCTCAACCTCACGGCCCAACAGTCCACCACAGCCCAAGCGAAGAAAGCCGCTGAAAGACGAAAACCTCTCACTAAGGAAGAGAGAGAACGGAGAGCCGACATTCACAAAACTCATCTTCTTTGTCTTTTATCGCATGTCGCACGTCGCAATCACTGGTGCAACGACCACAGGGTGCAGGATCATTTACGTCCACATCTCACTGATAAAATGGCTGCATACTTGAACCCTGGTGTACAGCTCTCCCAGTTTGGACGAACTGAGAGTCTCAAAACAGGACTGAAACAAGCTGAGGGAGTCTGGGCCACAAAGTTTGAAGTCACTGAAAGAGGTCTGAGGCGGGCTTTGTGGGCCGAGGAGCCAGAGCATCTGCAAGAGGTATGTCGACGTCTATGTTGACGGATTTTGCTAATCACGAATAGTATGAGCCTCCTAGTGATATGGAGTCGTGTGTGGACCGCGACGATTTTCGCGAGGCGGCAAAGACGTTGCAAGGCTCCCGTGATGTTGGTGCGCAGCTGTACTGCGCGCTTCTACGGAGCGTAGGAGTTCGAGCACGACTTGTGTGCTCACTTCAACCGCTGGCCTGCATTTCCGGTGCCCCCACACTCCCCAAGCCGAAACCAACTAGACCAACATCAAAGGCATTGAAGAAGGAACAGGTGCAAGCCACTATGGCCAAGTACCGCGAGATAGCAAACGCCGGGTACGGCTCTCCATCCGGTGGCTCTACTGCCCGCCGGAGACTGGGTCATCCAAACGCAACAGCATACAATTATGAGCCAAAGCCTGCTTCGCCAAAACCGCGCCCTACGTTTGACGTACCAAAGAGAATCAAGGAGTCGTCGTACCCGGTGTATTGGGTTGAGATCCTTGACGTCGGTCATCAGAAGTGGCAACCTGTTGACCCAGTGGTCACACACACGTTCTGGAAGCCCAAGGGGATGGAACCTCCAATAACGGACAAAGAAAACTCCTTGTCATATGTGGTCGCTTTCGACGCTGATGGAACCGCGCGAGATGTGACGAAGAGATATGCCAAAGCGTACACGGCCAAGACTCGCAAGTTGAGAGTGGAGACCACGACAGAGGGCGGGGACCTGTGGTGGCGGAAAGTAATGAACATGTATCGTCAACGGCGGCCGACAGATCTCGACCAGATTGAGGATAATGAACTCGCTGGCGTTGAGGCAAGAGAGCCGATGCCGCGAAATGTCCAAGACTTCAAAGACCACCCGATTTATGCCTTAAAGCGGCACCTACGTCGCAACGAGGTATTGGTTTCGAGTGCTACGCCTTCAGGGACCATTGCCGCTGGGAGTCGGGGCCCTCTTGAGAGAATTTACCGCCGGAAAGATGTGCGAATAGCAAGAAGTGCCGACAAATGGTATAGATTGGGCCGGGAGCTTAAACCAAACGAGATTCCGGCCAAGTGGCTTCCAAAAAAGGCCCGGCCTAAGGGGTCACGGTTTGATGAGGAAGAGGATGACGATCAAGGAGATGCAGGCACGCCGATTTACACGGAAGATCAGACAGAACTGTACGTCCCACCACGAGTACGGAATGGTCGCGTTCCAAAAAACAAATTCGGAAACATCGACGTTTATGTTCCAAGCATGGTCCCACCCGGAGGCATTCACCTCGTTCACGAACACGCCGCTCGAGCAGCGTTTGTGGTTGGAGTTGACTATGCACCAGCGCTGACGGGCTTCCAATTCAAGGGACGGCACGGTACCGCAGTCCTCCATGGTATCGTGGTCGCCAAAGAGTACGAGGCGGCGGTGTGGGCGGTTATTCAGGGGCTAGGGGACTTGGAACAACAGTTGGAGGACGAGAGGAGGAGAAGTCGGGCTATGCGAGCGTGGAGGAAGTTCCTGATGGGGCTGAGAATTAGGGAGCAGATTTGGAGCGGAGTGGATGCAAAAGAGAGGAAGGAGGCTGACGACAAGGCAGCAAGGGAGGCACAGTTGGATGACGACCTGGATGATGCGCCAAGCGATGTCACTGAGGAGTTCGACATGGTCGACGACGACGACGATGAAGGAGGAGGAGGGTTCCTAATTGAGTAAAGAGACTACAAAGAGTTCAATCTTGGTCAACTGACTGCTGTCGCCTGAGCAGCGGCACGCAGAGCCGACAAGTTGCGGTGCATGTTGCTCAGGCGGGCGCATGTTGCTCGCGGGCGCATGAGGTGACGCGTCTAAATGCTACCAAATATCGGCTCAATTTGACGACTAGAGTGATTTGCACAATCCTGGCGTCAGGCATCACCAGCCACAAGGTGTTATTTTATTGCAGTTGATATCTTGAGCGGTTGGCAGTGCAGCCTCCGCCACCGCCTGAGGTTGGACGGATCGGAGTTGATTGGAGCCGCCGCTCCGGAACCGAACCCCGGAACCTAAATCCGAAAGGGGAAAGTGCCGGAGGTTGAAAGTTAGCCGTCGCCGAGATGCCACGAGAACGAACCCTTGTCGTATTGGCGCCGTATTTCGCATTTGGAGTGGTGGCCAACCAGGGAGTTTTCGCGACCCGGGAAAACTGGAGATTTCGGGACACGGCCTGGCAACGAGGCAGTGCTACGCGCTGGTCACTTCATTTGGAATGGATGTGCTTCTTCTTGTTGACGTTCACATTGGTTTCGAACTTTGCAATTTCCAATCAGGCACCATGGTGCGGGACGGTACCTGAGCGGCCTCAAACTCGGTTATGTCGTGTCGTTCCGGATGCAGATACGACGATACGGACCACAGATAGGCGAATATGTGGCCAGGGTGTCCTTGTGGCGCCCAGTTGGGTTAATGGACGACTGTACCCCCAAAGATTAGGCAACCGACAAAAATGCACCAGACACGGGAGGATGCAAGGTTCAGAGAGGGATGGGCTCAGCCCTGGATCAGCATGTGTATCAGAAAGTGGTGTTGTGATTGGCACGCACAGGCCATATGAAGAAACCCGAGCAATACGGAATGCCCCATGGTGATCATTTTAGCGACCTCCATGCAGGCGGGGAACTAGAAGAATTTACACAAAGACAGGGGGTCTTGGCTCGGAGTTCGGGCGGTCATCTAGCCGACGCTGCAAATGGTTATCGATTCGAGCAGACTACTGGATGCGAGGGACATGGATGGATGCCCTGAGATCGATGCTGTCGACAAGGGGTTGATTGCGAGAAAAAGAGGGTAACAAGAAAAAAGTAAGCAATAGAGTGATTATGCCTGGGCTGAATACGAAAATGCAAAATAAGAAGATGATACAGAATGACGAGAGGCTGAGCACGAGGCGCGAGTATTACACATGCCATCGAGTTGAGATCTGGGACGGTATCTTGGCGCCTGATTTACCTGACGCTGAGCAAGAGGGAATTCAATCCTTCGCGTATGAGGATTCATGACCCTCTTCAGCTCCATCGCGGCAGGGGGATGAGTCGTCGTCATCTACTTTGCACATTCAAACGGGCCCGTAGGTGCAGGATTGGCGGCGGGACACCCAAGAAACACAGCCACAACGTGTGCAGCCCGATTCCCCCATCAACGAGACCGTATTGGCCAGTTACAGCGCTCGCAGGTGCGACCGCAGGGCGTGAAATGCTCCGAGGATGTTATTTCGCAACCTGGGAACGCAGCTAACGCAGGAAAGGTGCCATACCGCGAACCACGGCTGCCACCATGGCGCCGACCTCCTTTGAAGGACGGACCGCTTGAGCCCCCTGCACGCTACACTACAGGCTACAGCGGGCCAACTACGGGAGCCTGCCAAGCGCCACCACCCGCTAACTCTAAGGCAAGCCTGCGAAACGGCCACTGAACGCCCTCCGAGGAGCTACTTGGCACCCCACTGTGACCCCCGTGGCCCACTGCCCCGGTTGGAGATCCCTCCGCGGGACAAAACATTAATATAACCGACTCCGCTCAGCTGCCAGAGTCGACACGGATCTCCATCGACATCTTTCGATGCGCTCTGCCGCTTCGTCCCAGCTTTCGACACGAGGAGCTCGGGTTGGCTACTATTTTTGAGGCGTTGGTAGGCTCGGCCCAGCGACGACCCGTGCGATAACCCACCGTCTTTGCCGGCTTTCTCTCGTTCCTTGCGCTGCATGCGACATCTCAGCAGACCAACTCCAAATAGACAGCCAACGAACTTATCTTCCTTTCATCAAACTGCCGAATTGACATCCATTGACGCAACCGACACGATACCCTCACGTCCAGCCTTCGGGCTTCTGTCGCCGCCATGACTTTCTTCAAGCAGGTTGTGACCCTCATGGGCAAGAACCTACGCATCCTCCTCTTCCGCCACCTTGCCCTCTGCATCTTGATGGCCTTTCTCCTCCCGATCATCCTAGCTTCGTTCTTCAGCTTCGCAAAGAATCTCTTTGTCCCGCCCGCGGTGTTTGGAATAGGCACCCCACATCCCGTCAAGACGCTGGCTCAGGCATTCGACAAAGCCCATGGTAGCAGCCGCGATAGGTTGGTCCTCGTCAACAATGGATTTACAGGCGGCAACATTGAATCTGTTCTTGATACACTTGCCAGCCAGGCTAAAGCCGCGGCCGACTTTGTTGAGGTGGTGCGCGTTGACAATGAGGACCAGCTCACTACCCAGTGTCGCAGTAGTCTTCGCGGCGTCACAACATGCTTCGGTGCAATTGTGATGCGATCCTCCCCTGACGAAGGCCCCGGTGGTATCTGGAACTACACCATTCGCACCGATGGCGCTCTCATCGACAGTGTCGGCAAGATCGACGTCGATACATCCAGCAACGATCAAGAGATCTATATACTTCCCATCCAGCGCGCTGTCGACTCCATCATTGTCCGTATGAACAGCTCGAGCGACACTTCTCTTGACAACACCATGGAGTATCCCTTTACTACCTTGACCCCAGCGGAGCGCCGAGACCGCATCCGAAAACTCTACCAAAACGTCATCACCGGCTGGATGGGCGTTGCCTTTATCGCCACTGTCATCTGGGTCACATACCATCTGACTGGCTTCATCGCTACTGAACGCGAGACGGGCATGTCCCAGCTGGTTGATGCCATGATGCCCGTGAGCAAACCCTGGAAGGCCCAAGCCGCCAGGATTATTGCCCATCACCTGTCCTTTTCTCTCATCTACGCCCCTGCCTGGGTTGTCGGCTCCTTGACTATCCGCCAGGGTGTCTTTACAAACACAAGCATCGGCATAGTACTGATCTTCCACATCCTTGCTGGTCTAGCCTTTGCCTCCTTTGCCATCGTCTTCGCCTCTCTTTTCAAGAAAGCCCAACTGAGTGGCATCACTTCTCTCTTGGGTTGCATGCTCCTCGGCATTCTTGCCCAGTCCCTTTCTTCTCCCGGCACTGGTCCGGTTGCTATCCTGTCACTGCTGTTCTCTCCTTGTGCCTACGTCTTCTTTACCACCTTCATGGCTCGCTTCGAGAAGTTGGGCAGACCCACTGACCTCATCGAGGTTGCCCCTGACAGTCCATGGAAAATTCCCGGCATCGTCATATGGATCTTCCTGATAATCCAAATATTCGCTTACCCCCTTCTCGGTGCCGTCATTGAAAACGCACTCTATGGCACCTCGACCAAGGGACGCAAGATCCTCCTTCAGCAGGACGAGGTGAACAACATGGGAGACAATGCCGTGCAACTACAGCTATTCTCAAAGATCTACAACCCAGGAATTCTGTCTCGTCTGTTCAATCGCGGCGCCGCCAAGAAGGAACCGGTGATTGCCGTCAACGAGCTAAGCTTCAACGTAGGCAGAGGTCAGATTGTCGCCCTTCTTGGTGCCAATGGAAGTGGAAAGAGTACCACCTTGGATGCTATTGCTGGAATGAACAAACTGACCAGCGGATCCATCACCATCGACGGTTCAGGCGGTCTTGGAATTGCTCCGCAGAAGAATGTCCTTTGGGATGACCTAACCGTGGAAGAACACATCCGCATCTTCAACCATCTCAAAGCTCCCAACGCCCGAGCCACTATCGAGGGAATTCACGAACTCATCAAGGCCATTGACCTTTGGAAGAAGCGAAGGGCTTTTGCCAAGACTCTTTCAGGTGGCCAAAAACGAAAGCTTCAACTTGGAATGATGTTGACTGGTGGCAGTGCCGTTTGCTGTGTTGATGAAGTTAGCAGCGGTATTGACCCTCTCTCGCGACGAAAGCTTTGGGATATCCTGCTGGCTGAGCGTGGTAGAAGGACATTGATTCTGACAACCCATTTCTTGGACGAAGCCGACCTCCTCGCCGATCACATTGCTATCCTCTCCAAGGGAACTCTCCGCGCCGAAGGATCATCTGTCGCACTCAAGGACAGACTTGGCGGAGGATACAAAGTCCATGTGCCCAAGGATCAAGGTTTCGAAGCGAGCCCCGATATTGATGGAGTGAATAAGAAGGATGCATTTGATCTGGTTACCTATACTGCACCCTCCTCTCAACTTGCTGCATCTGTCATCAAGGACCTTGAAACCGCCAAAATCAACGAGTATCGCTTCTCCGGCCCCACCATCGAAGACGTCTTCCTCCAAGTTGCAGAAGAAATCAGAGAGGAAGAAGCTTTCCGAGACACGAATCCCATGTCCGCCCCGTCCAACGACACCGAAAAGTCTTCTGAAAAGGAAAGCGGCGCTCCCAAGGGTCTGAAGCTGCTAGATGGACAGAGAGTCGGATACGTGAAGCAAACCTCCATTTTGTTCATGAAGCGTTTGACAATTCTCAAGAGAAACAGGATCCCCTACATGGTTGCCTTTGTTCTTCCAATCATCGCGGCAGGATTGACTTCGCTTTACATCAAAGGCCAGGACCCCACCGGTTGCTCTCCAGCTGATCAGGCCTCGACCTCGTCGACTGAAGATGCCTTCAGTCAAATCAACTCGGATCGCCGTGTCATCTTCCTAGCAGGTCCACCGTCTAAGCTGTCTACATCTGTCTTGACTAGCCTTTTTGCACCCCTCTTCAGTGGCCTGAGAAGCGATTCTTCCGCTGCCACCAGCGCTCTGTCAAACCTGGAGGTTGTCGACACGTTTAGCGATTTCCAATCGTTCATTGAAAAGCACCGCAAAAACGTCACCACGGCCATGTGGCTGGGAGATAAGGACCAAGACCCCACGATTGCCTGGGTTGCCAACTTGTTCCTCACTAGCCCAATGACCGCCCAGCAGTTCCTCGATGTCATCTTGACCAACACGTCCATCGCCACAACTTGGTCTTCCTTTGAGATTCCCTTTAGCCCCAGCACTGGCGACGCCTTGAACTTGATTGTCTACATGGGCATTGCGTTGTCGGTATACCCAGCCTTTTTCGCTCTCTACCCCAGCATGGAACGCCGCAGATTCGTTCGTGGCCTTGAATACTCCAATGGTGTTCGCCCATTCCCTCTCTGGATCGCATATCTTCTGTTTGACTTTTCCATTGCCCTTGTTAGCTCTGCAATCATCACAGCTATATGGGCTGGCATCTCTAACATTTGGTTCCACCTGGGCTACGTTTTCCTGGTGTTATTTCTGTATGCCATCGCAGCAATCCTAATGGCCTATGTCATTTCCCTCTTCACCAAAACTCAGCTTGGCACTTATGCTTGGGCTGCATCCACCCAGGCCTTTTTCTTCTTGATTTACTTGATTTCGTACATGTGCGTCATCACTTATTCTCCAGTTACGAAGATCGACTCGAGCCTCCTCTATGTCCACTTTGTCATATCTGCACTTGCACCCATCGGATCCGTCTTGAGAGCGTTGTTCGTCTCGCTAAACCTCTTCTCCACTGCCTGCGACGGCGATATCCTTGTTTCCAACCCTGGGGGAATCCTGTTCTATGGTGGTCCGATTCTCTACCTCATCATCCAATCCTTTGTCCTGTTCGGACTACTCATCTGGTTGGACCAGGGTTCTGCCGGCTCGTCTCTTCTCGGACTCTTTGGCAGCAAGAAGAAGCCAGTGCCCGACCCAGAGCTCTCGGATGAAGAGATTTCCAACGAGCTCGCTCGAGTCACGAGCAGCGCAGCGAATGAGAATGGCCTGCGCGTAGTGAATGTCACAAAGAACTTTGGCAAGAACATCGCGGTCGACAACGTCACCTTCGGTATCAAGCGCGGCGAGGTCTTTGCTCTTCTAGGACCCAACGGTGCCGGCAAGTCCACTACCATTTCGATCATCCGCGGCGATATTAAACCTAGCCGCAACGGCGGCGATGTTTTTGTCGAGGACGTTTCTGTCACCAAGAACCTTGCTGATGCTCGAGCCAACCTCGGTGTTTGCCCCCAGTTTGATGCAATGGATCAGATGACGGTTAGGGAGCATCTGGAATTTTACGCCAAGGTTCGGGGTATCCCAGATGTGGATCATAATGTAAACGCCATACTACAAGCTGTCGGCCTCAGTTCATTCTCCACTCGCATGGCGAATGCCCTCTCCGGGGGTAACAAACGTAAGCTGAGTCTCGGAATTGCACTCATGGGCAATCCCACGGTGGTACTACTTGATGAACCCTCTTCTGGTCTTGATGCTGCTTCCAAGCGAATCATGTGGAAGACACTCGCCGCAACAGTACCGGGCCGATCTATTCTCCTTACTACCCACAGCATGGAGGAGGCTGACGCTTTGGCTGGCCGCGCTGGTATCCTCGCTCGACGCATGCTTGCTTTGGGAACCCCGGATGACCTCCGTCACCGCTTCGGCGATGCCCTACACATTCACCTTGTTTCCAAGACCGCGCCTCGTACCACTCCTGAGGATATGGACCGCATTATCCAATGGATTCGTCAAACTTTACCCTCCGCGGAAGTCGACGAGAAGACGTATCATGGCCAGATCCGATTCTCGGTGCGCGCGAGCCAGGTCCTTGCCACTACACAGGGTCGTGAGGAGAGCGAGATCATCAAGGCTGGTCAGAACATTACCCAGAGTGCCATTGGCCATCTGGTAATTTTGCTGGAGGAGTACAAAGAGCAGTTGGGTGTTGGTCACTACAGTGTCAGCCCAACGACCCTAGACCAGGTATTCTTGACAATTGTCGGAAAGCACAATGTGAAGGAGGAGAACTCGGAAGAGAAGAAGGAGAGCACGTGGATGAGAATCTTAAAGTTTGGGTCATCTTAAGCTGGACTTGGGCTTGAGATTTGTTTGTATTGATGCACGTTATATTCCTAATGATACCTCCCTCTACAGAGCATGTTTCCTTGGACATGTAGTTAGAATGGTCTTCGAAGACTAGCCGTAATCGATTTTGTTTGTTACAATGCACTTACAATGTTCTCGTGTTCCTTCTTTCTTTATTGTAAGGCATGTGCGCTCCCATTGCTCTCTTTGTCGAGTTTGCAAACACCACTGGATCCGTTTGCTCAATCCCTTTGTCCTCACGAACAATAATCCAAGAACTCGAAGACAGTAGAACATTATTGTTCTCCAGTCTTCCACAATGTTGATTTAAATGGAGGCACACACGCATCTCCAAGGAAATTTCCCAAGCCTACAACTCTCAAGCACAACAGCCGAGCTTGAATCCCTGGACATCATTTACGCTCTACAACACACATATCGAAACCGCAATCAATCATCATGTGTTACCAGGTAGTCACACATACCATGGTCTGCGACGTCCGGCCGGTGGTCTTCAATGGAGAGGAGCAGTTTGTGGACACCCTTAAGGAGTCTCCCGAGTGCGTCTGCGAGCCAGATCCTCGAATCAAATCGTGGTTTCGTTGTGAAGAGCACGGGTGCTGCAGGGTGTTGAAGAAGAAGACGCGGTGCCCAACTTTCGAAAACTGTACCGGCGTTATCGACTTGCACCGTTATGAGCAGCCCAGCAGTCAGCAGAATTCCCAGGCCTGGGACTCATTCCGAAATTTGGACGAGGTTCTCTTCCCATTTGGCGGTCTGCCATACTTCTGTGAGATGACCACTGCCCGTCAACGGTCGCTGGTTGAGGCTATCGGCTTAATTCGACAGATTACAGAAATTAGCAACAGTCTCGATAAAGCACGCACGTCAGTCGTCCTTGTCCGTAAAGTGCACGATGAAAAGCATTGGGCATGTGAAAAGGCACTCACTGAAAAAGAGTGCAGCCATCTTGAGCTCTTGAAGGAATCGGAGTGGATGGTTGATGAGTGGAAAAGGTTGCTGAAGTTCACGGTTTCGCTGTACCAGGCTAGTTTCTGGCTGTTACAGTTCCACTGGGAGAAGCCAGAAGACTTGTCGAAGAAACTGGACATGTTGGTGAGGAAAGATACAAAGGAGATTTTGGACAAAGTAGAGAGAGTTGGCTATCGAGGCTTCTTCAAGAAAGTCTTCCATAGGTGGTTTTAGGGATTTTAAGAGCGAAGGAATCAGAAAATAGAGCAGAATGGACACAATCTCGGATCTTACTGAAATGTATGCGTCATATCTACTTAGACATAGCTACAAAGTGCTCAGAAACAACCATACGCATAAAGCAGTTCTGAAATCAACAAGATCAATCAATACGTGTGTTCGTTGCAGTGCGGCCGATTAATTATTCACATTCCGATCTCGGTTGGCCAAAACAAAAGACAAAAAAAGATATCATGTGTCAACACATGTGGCGACTCTCCCGCCGGGAATTGAACCCGGGTCTCAAGCGTGACAAGCTTGCATACTGACCACTATACTACGGAAGATGGATGGTTGTGAACAACCATTGTAGTGAGGATTCGTGACAGCGGAGCAACAAAGTGATGTTATTAACCCCGCTTGGTGGATCATCGCCTCCACCAGCGTCAGAGTTTTCGAGATGAGCAGAACTCCCCTGAAAATCTTTAATTCTTAAATAATTATGATCAACCTCGGGGAGTCTGGTTGTACAGTAAATCATTCTCCTCAATCACAGGTCTTCTTACTCTCGTCACATCCCTCGCCTCAAACAATGAGTCCCGAGAAACCCCTCTCATATTCTGGGATTTATTATTTATTTTGACGTAGGCCATACCTGTGTCTACCCTCAAACGCCTCTCAAATCTTACAGCTGGCTCGGTGGCATATACATAACGGCCGAACGATTAAACACCGTAGAATTTTCCCCATCGATTATTTCGGCCTCTGCTTATCTGCTGACTCGTAATAGTTGTCGTGTCTTACGGAACCGGCTGGTGAGGAGGTGGTGTGGGATTCGACATCGCGCATGACTTCGTGAGTGACCATGATTGCACCGTTTCCGTCCGTCTTGTGAGGGAATATTTCCTCCGTGCTGTCGTTTTTTGTATGCTGGCCTCCCACTGCCTTGCTGGTAAGGCCATAGTTGCTCGTGTATGGGCCACCATTCTTAGACTTGTTGCTCTGCAGGTAATCCTTGTGGCTCTGGTTGAAACTCTTGAGAGGAATTGATCCATTCTTCTTCGACCCAGACTGTCCGTAATAATTCTGAGATGTCTTGTGGCTGGACAGACCCAGGGCGTGGTTGAGCCAGGGAACCTTTTGAACGACTTGTCGCAGACAGGGGATGGTGGAACAGATCACCAGCGCAGCGAGTTCGACTTCTGACCAGATCATCGGTTCGACAAATTCATCTGGGTAGTGCAAAAGTCAGAGCAAGTAAAATCGGCGAGTCGTCAGGCTTACAGGTGTCGTCTGTACCGATGCGGGTGACGAAAACAATACGGATAATCGAAGTAACGCAGACCCTAAGATGTATGAGCCTCAGGTATCGCCAAGTAATTCGGTCGTGAACTTACAGGAGACCGAGGGAAAGCATACAAATCAGCCCAATTCGCTTCGTCAGGGGCAATTGCAGTTTCCACATGGCAGGAATAGGTTGAATAAACAGGAACAGATCGGTCGTCATGTTGAAAACAAACTAATCGAGTCAGTATAGATGCTCCTAAACGAATACAAAGAGAGTGCTCACGGTGCTCCACCACAAAACGTGAATGTCAAGGCACTTGGCTGTCGCAAGCTCCTCCAAGTCCCATGATGCGGAGATCGGGTTGCATTTGAAGATGACAACACAACTTTCTTCGACGGCCTGGAGGAATAGAAATGCAATCAAGCATTTGTTGGCGATTCGAAGCGCCTTATTGGGTTGAATACGCAGATAGAGCACGGCGAAGGACGATTTTGCAAGTGAGACACCGCAACTAAAGGTCGACGAGCAGACAGTCGTTAACTGTGAGTCGGGAAGTCAGCGCGTAGTTAGGGGGAGATACAAACTGGAGCAAACCTTTAAAAACTGCTCGTAATTTTCGTCGGAGACTTCAAGTCTATGGAGTCCAAAACCAATTCTGCTAGCTATTGGTCGTTAGATCTCGAGTATCATCCCTTGATATTGGGACGTAGATACTTACCTAGAGTCGTTGCTATGCACAAAGCCAGCAAGAAAACCTGTCACATCGTTAGCACCGCGTCAGCTTCACGTCAAGCGCAGATCGTCCAACCACAAGGGGTCGAAGCGTAGCGTACCCAAGCACCCGTGATCAGATCTGTATATTGTCAGCTTCGTCTTCCATCTCGGCTGAATGTCAGGCGTACAATCGTCCAAGCCGGTCGTTTTCAAGGTCGCCCTGATCCACAGCCGCATGCCGATCGCGAGCGTCGTGATACACATGATCACGACCGAGGACGCCAGAAGCGCCCCCGACAGGTCTTTGGACATTTCGCGTTGTTCGGGCCGCTTCCCAGATGAGATGGAAACTCGAAATCTTTCCTTCGTTCCTTCTCTCGGTCTGTCGTTCCTTCAATACGTTGTGTGGTGTAAACTCGATTCGGCGCCGAGTCGGTCTTAAGAGGAAGAAACACTCTCGTTCACATATCCAAGTTGGGCAAGGGGTGACTTGGCACGAACGACACCGTCAACATGGTCCCTGATGCAGGTGAGAGGAGGGATACAGAATAACCAACTTACATTGCCTCGCTTCATGGCGCGATTGGGGACTAGGTCAACTACATTATAGGACCAGGGAGCTGAGAAGCTGGGGAAACGGGGCGCTAGGATGCCCGTGATCCCCTTGATGGAGACGGCTGCGGCGCCTCAGCCAACATCCCGAATATCCATCCTTTACACAATGTTAGCAAGCGACGGCGGGGACGAATTTGACGCCAGGCGTACCGGTCCAGCTTGATCCCGGGACGGGTCTATCTTTCCGGCACGATCATACGCTGGGATGGAACCGGGGAGGAGTCTCGCACGAGCCGGAGAGGATCCAAAGAACCCTCGCCTTGAGGTGGGGACTAAAAGCCTGGAGAACCGGGTCCGGCCTTGTACGAGAAACGCCAGTCCGCTCCACAGTTGACTCCTTCACCATGTCTTGACAGGCGGAGAAGCGCCACACATGGGGAAGCGAGGTACTAGTTCCAACACCAAGGAGAGAGTCTACAATATTGAGAAATGAAACCCGAGCAACGGACTTATGATGGGAGTTTACGAGACTTCCAAATAAGCGGTTGACGTTATTTTCGGCTTCGAATAAGCCGGGATGCATGGAAAGGGTGGAGGTACGGGATCAAGGTTTCCAGGCGAGGCGTGTTGGTTTGCATTCGACGGGCATCAGAGGCCAGGATGAAGTGATGATCCCTTCCTGTTACAATGCAGAATCCTGGGCACTGGTTCGGTCGACCCGAGGACAAGCTGACCTACAGCGTGCGCGTCCAAAGTCGAGTCATAATCCATGTCTTCAACTCCCAGTCTGATGTGCTTCACGATCGAGCAGAACGCCACCTTTCCAATCCGTGGAAAGGTGTTAGCCACCAGTGGCTTGGATGGGATACTAAGACGGCGCCATCATTCTGTCTGGGAATATATCCGGCTTCCGCGCTGGGAGTGTGTGCCTCGATGTCGAGTCTGGGGCGCAGGACTCGGCTGATGATAGGTGAAGCCAACCCGGCACACAGCCAACATCAAACCGGTGCCTCCTTGGCCGCTGAATCCTGAGTGATTCATTAATGCATGCCAAGAGCCAGCTAAACCAGGGCGTCCAAAGCAGAATCCTGGATGACACCCGGCGTCTAGCCACAGTCTTAGTTCGTCCCGACGGACAGGCGAATCCTCCTGCTTCGAGTCAAGACGCCAGTCCCATGTGCGACGGCGTAGTACTTGGGCTGTACAACAAACCGAAAACTCCCATCCCACCAAGGATGCTGCATACGGATCTTTTTTTTTTTTTTTTTTTGGAGAAAGCCGGTCTAGCCATCGGTCAGCGCCCATGTTGACACCAGGCTGGCTGTTGGCTGTGTCCAGGCACGCGAGTGACCAGCTTGTATGCCCTCATCCCTGCGTCCGAAATACGTAAACCCATGTCGCGTCGCCCTAGACGAAGTGCCAGAGTTTGACCACGGTGCGCCGAACACGTACTGCAGCCAATTGTTGGTCCATGCCCCTGAAACAGCTCTCCCGGGATCGGTGCATGACTGGTTCAAGGTTTTATTTGGCCATTTCATTAGTCGTGGACGTCGCCAAGGGCTCTGGCGTCAAGATCCGGCCAGCGGCCGACAAGGCGACGATGGGTCGACGAGCGGAGCACAGCGGGCGTCTGACGGCGGCAGAAGGCCTTACTAGAGCTATTCCAGGCTGTTGTTCCAGACTATTGTTCCAGGCTCAGATCCCCCGTGGGCAGACAGCTGTAGCTCCGCCGGGGGATCGACGCCTGCTGGAGTCAGGAGGATCCCATCTCATCGACCCGCTCTCTCCGCGCAAGATCAATGATCACCAGTCTATCCGTAATGAGGGGCAGATTATGAGCTAGCAGCTCCACTCTGGGGAGACGGCTTGACGTGCGCGGTTGTCATTATCCGGTGTTGCTCTAGACGGGATTTTGATCTACAGAAGACGGATCTTACATTAACGCATCGGAATCAATTGACGTCTCCCATCACCCCGAGCCGAATCCACGGTTCCTCATCGGCCAACGTCGACGCCCAGTCGAACGCCACTGATTTCATCCCCATGGCCCAAGACCCTGGTTCCTGGCTACCAGCACTCAAAGGGTTGCTAGGATGTGAGAGGGTACGACAGTCTAGAACGTGAAGTTACGTCGCAGTCGCATCGCATCAGGAGTCAAATGTCTCCTGGCAGGAATGGAGAAATGGGCTCCAGCAGCAAGCATATGGCCTGAGAGTCGCTTGATGCCGTCGTGACCCCTGTACCAAGTTCAACGGGACGTGCCTGGCGAGCCACAAGGTTGTGTGAAGGCCACACCGTTGTTCAATGCCGAAACCGCATGATAATGCCGACGGCGAAGCGAGTCTTGGGTGACCCGATGAGGTGTTTCCCGCCCTGGTCCTTTTGAATAAGTACTCCGTGGTACGCATGTAGTGGAAAACCGCATGGATCGATGAAGCAAATGTGGCGGGCGCATGCACAACGCGAGCAACCACCACCGACTGTTGGTTCATGCAATAGACTTCGCGTGAAAAAGGATCCGTGAGGCATCGATGAACCGAATGCCCCCCTGAGCCTTGCTTCAAATTGCGCTGGTGGCTGCTTGTCCGGAAATAAAACATGACAGCCCAACCACCTCGCTTCGCTGGGATCTTGAGGCGTTCCATCCACCGCCAGTTCTAGATTTCTGGGTGCGTTCAAATTGCTTTCTCTTTCTAGTTTTCTCTTTCTCCATTTCCCTTCGAGAACCGGGGGAGCTGTCATCGCCCTGCACGACGGTGGGTTATCCAAAAAATTAGGTCATCAAGCACGCAGGGTCGGTTCTTAAACGCCCAGCGCGATATCGGGGTGCTGGATCTGGATGCCTTCAATGTTGATGGGCACGTGGCGATTAAAGTAACTACTTAGCCCATGAATGAAGGAATCGAGAATGCCTCTTGTTGGTCGACCGAAGAATACACATAAATGCCGAATCTGCAGCAGAAATGAGCTTCTTAGGTTTGGTATAAGCGATACCTCTGCTTGAATCCTGGGATTGTCGCACCACGTCCTCCTCCACACCCGATGGCAGTCATGTACCATAGAGACTCGACAAATTCGCCCGCAATTTTGCACACTAATGCACGAAAATCACTTTGTAGATGTTTGACAGGTCTGCCAATGACCAATGATTTTGGAGCCCATTCCCTTGATGCCTGTAGATCCCTTCCTCATACAGTTAATAAGGGGCATCTTGCGGGCACTAGTGTGAAAAATTGCGGGCGAATTTGTTGAGTCTTTACGGTATTAGCATTCCACTTTTTCTCCCTATGGGCAGACTCGCGAAAAAATCAGATTTCTTAAGAGCAGGGGTTTGAAATGTGTCGAGATGTTCCTGGGGAGAGGGCGAGTTGAGCAGACAAGTATTTTTCGGTGCTGATTCTCCTGCTGTCGCCTCGCCCTGAGAGATACGTGCCTTTCAATTAGGTACTTGCTCTGCACCTGGCCAATTCAATGCAATTCCGGCTAAGCGACATGATCCGTCCAGCAGAGGGCCCTTTTGATGTTGAAAATGTGTCAAAATTATCGATGATAATCGATGATAATCCTGTTTATTCAAACTCCTTCCAAAATTAGCATCTTGAATGAGCCACCTCCATGCGTCCGCTGGCGATCTTATCATCCCCACTGCGGCTCAGGGTGATCCGGCACGGTTCCGGCTGGGGGAACTATAGCACCAGATTTGTGATCTTCGCCTCTCCACTGTGACAGCAGAGATATGACAGAGAACCCAATCTGTACCGGTAGTCTTATCGCTATCCCCGCTTCCCCTTCTTCGTGTGAAGGCTCAAAACAGTGTACAGTTATCCGGGCACGGTGTATACACGGTGTGGCAGGCCCGTGTTCTCCGCGGCCCAAGGATCCGTCCTTAATACTGCCCGAGTCCGCGGCCGGCGAGGACCCCTTTCTCTGCTTATCACAACTGCAGAAATACGAATGCGCCAAAGTACGTGTCAACATGACGCAACAAGCCCACAACGAACGCCCGTACCGGTCCCATCTCCGGCCAGCCTGTCTGGCATGTCGCCGGCGAAAGTCGCGGTGCCAATCGGAGCCCTCGTCTGAAACATGTTTGATGTGCCGGGCCCATTGCACCGATTGCGTGTTTCCTTCCGGCCCCAATGGGTCTAATCGGACTCCCGATTCTGCTCGACGCCGAAGACAGACCCGGTCAACCGGCGGAGGTGCCACTCCGACCCGCCGTTGTCAGAACCCCGTGTCCGGAGCCGGATCCGACAACTCAGTTCTTGGACACCCACCTCCGGATATACTCTCTGCCCCTAATGCGCCAAATAAATCCCCTCCCCGCCTCGAGTGGGCAACCCAAGGCCAAGAGACCCTTGAGGAGGACGAATCGCCGCTGGCGTTGGGTTCAGCCGACGATCAGCAACACAATCTACACATTGTTGGACCGGCGGTAACGTCGGACAACCAAGTGCTGTCAGATTACTTGTCCGCAATGCCTGGAGCCACCCGAGGGTCTAGATTGGTTATTCCTGTGCCAGGAAACCGATCCCAGCCGGTCCTATTCACCATGGTTCAGAAACGTCCACTAGGTTTGACCGTGAACCGAAGTACTTCTGCAGCGAAACTAGAGATGATTGTGAAAATGCTGGAGCCTTACGAGGCCGACGTAATTGATGTGTAGGTACCACCAGCTCAAGTTCAAAGTGTCAACTAATCTTGTCTAGCTATTTTAACAAAGTCAACTCCTCATTTCCTCTGCTAGATGAAGCCTCATTCCGCCTACAGTTCCATGAAAATAAAGATCGCATTTCACCAGCATTATTAGCTTGCTTGTATGCACACTCTATGACCTTCTGGGAGAGTTCGCCGGTATTGTGTCGTCATCGATGCCCGGACAAGAGATTCATCTGGAACCTGGCAAATGAGGCAACCTACTCGGAGCTTCACTTATCACCAGGAATGTCTATAATCGAAGCTATTCTGTTAAACGTCGGCGGTCGTCCCACCACATCCCTCATTGGAAACGGAGTTCTCCTAGGCTCGGCAGTCGCCATGGCACATTCGCTTGGCCTGCACCACAACCCAATGCCATGGGAAATACCAGGCTCTGAAAAGTATCTACGAATGAAGATATGGTGGGCCCTCTGGGTCCATGACAAGTGGTATTTGTGACACATTCCCGCCATTTCTACATGATCCTAACGCGACGAGATGTAGGACGAGCCTCGCTCATGGAACACCTCCTCACATCTCAAGAACCCACTTTAATGTACCAAAGCCGACCCTGGAGCATCTTTGCCAACCAAACTCAACCGATGACAAAAAGCAAAGGGCATCCGTTTTTGTTGCTCTCGTGGGGCTCACCGATGTTCTAGACTTAAATCTCAGACACATTTATCACGTTGAACCAGGGGAACCTAGGAGCACAACACATCTTGAGCTCGCTTTAAACAACTGGGTGGAGTCCTTGGACGATGGAGTCCGCCGCATCATCATCCGGGGTACCGACCTCGAGGTCCCCGGAGCTGCAAACTTACGACTCACTTATCTTACCGTGCGACTTCTCCTTGAACGCATCAAACTCGAAGCAGATAAGCAAATCTACGACACCGAAGACAACCGATTATTGAACCGCTACCTCCAAGCGCGAAGGACTTCGGAAGAGATCCTCATTCTTACTCAAGAGCTGCAACCTGAGCAGCTGGCTGACTTCTGGCTCCCGAGCTGCGCCTTCGCATTCCCAGCCACGGTGAGCTTCTTGCTGAGGTGCGCTCTAGAAACTGAGAATTCGCCAACTGGCCTGGCACAGAGCAGCTCTCTTCGAATTGCATCGAATCTCATTACTGCCCTGCAGTCGCACAAGGAGAAACATTCTTGGGACCTCGGCGAAATTTGCCTGGCACAGCATGCCGAGATTGTTGAGAAATTGTTGGCCATGGTCCCCACCGAGGAACCGGGTCTGGACGGCGGTCTGGACCTGCAAGACTTTATCATGCCCGACGTGTCTGTTATCGACCAGTTCTTCCCGAGCCTATGGGATCCATTGCAGAGCGCGTGGTAGGTTGATGCGGTGAGATAGGGCGTCGTAGTGCCCGCGGCCAAGTTTGCCGCGGGCACGCGACCGGCGACAAAGTATAAGAGCATGTGAAGAACTCATAATTTTCTTCCATCATCCATCTTATTCTTGTTACGCACTCTTTGTGTGTTGTTGGTTGGCCACTGGCTTGAAAACCCGATCGTCTTTCTTCAATTACGTCAAGAAAACCCGTCCACCTCAACCAGCATGGCTCCGAGCGCCATCACGGTCGAGGATACCTCCACCCTTATCGTCGCAAGAAAGCAAAAGGATACACCAACCCTCTACAATGATGTTAGCCAAGATGAGTATCAAAGGAAATCCGAAAAATACCTCCTCAACTATGGCACAAAGTTCCACAAGGATGTAATTACCGGGGCTCGCGGCCTGTTCGTCTACACTGCCTCTGGCCACAAGGTCCTTGACTGGACCTCAGGTCAGATGTCCTGTCTTCTGGGACATGGTCACGAAGAAATCGTCAAAGTCATCAGTGACCATGCCTTGGACCTTGACCATCTTTTCTCGGGGATGGTCTCTCCTCCGGTGATCTCGCTTGGTGAGCGTCTCTGCGAGGCGCTTCCTGCTGGCTTAGACAAGGCTTTCTTCTTGTCTACCGGCGGAGAAAGCAACGAGGCTGCCATTAAGATGGCCAAGGTGTACACTGGCAAGTTTGAGATTGTCGGCCTCGGAGCATCCTGGCACGGAGTCACTGCTCAAGCGCTGGGTGCTCAGTATCACTTCGGGCGAAAGGGCCAGGGTCCTCTGATGCCCGGCATGCTCATGCTCCCAGCCCCAAACGCATACCGGTCCGTATTCCGGAACCCAGACGGGACGTATGATTGGGAGGCGGAACTCGAGTATGGATGGAGAATGATTGACATGCAATCATGCGGATCTCTAGCTGCCTGCATCGTCGAATGCATCCAAAGTTCAGCTGGTATGCATGTTCTGCCTCCGGGTTATCTCAAAGCCTTGAAGAAGCACTGTGAAGCAAGAGGCATGCTCCTCATCGTGGACGAGGCACAGACAGGCATTGGCAGATGTGGCGACTTCGTGGCAATCAACCACGAAGGCGTTGTTCCCGACATCTTGACCTTGTCAAAGACTCTAGGCAACGGCCTTCCCCTCAGCGCAGTCGTTACCAGCGAGAAAATCGAGAGTGTTTGCGTTGAGAGAGACTACTGCTTTTACACCACCCACATCAACGATCCCCTCCCGGCTGCAGTGGGAGACAAAGTTCTTGAGATTGTCATGAGAGATGACCTCGTCAGCAAGTCTCGAAAGTGTGGCGAGATTCTTCACAATGGTCTGAAGGAGCTCCAGTCGCGTTATGGCTGCATTGGTGATGTCCGGGGGAGAGGATTGATGGCGGGCGTCGAGATAGTCAGTGACCGGACTACCAAAGCCCCGGCACTGGAGTTGGCCAAGAGGATTGGAGATCGTGCGTACGAACTGGGCGTTTGGGCAAACTTGAGCAGCCACCCTAGTTTTGGGGGTGCTTTCAGGATCGCGCCGCCCATTACCATCACTGAAGCTCAGCTCAAAGAGGGTCTCGCTGTATTTGAGCAAGCTTTCCGGGAGATTGAAGGAACGATGCCTCTGTATTAAGACCTAATTAGGCGCTGACACCCAACTATGCCTTGGGCTTAATTTATGAGTAATTAATCGGACATGTGTACACATGCCTCCAACTTTATAGAATGCAGAACAGAATCGCTTGATCAACATCGCCTAATTACGCCTCGACCCAATCCTGGCCATCGAAAAGGCCATCCAACCTATTGAGATGATCTCCATAATCGCGTTTCCGCCCCAAACCCTCTGGATACATGGTCCGCTGGTCAATGGCTCCTTTCACATACAGCTCCAAGCAGCCACCACAAGTCTCCCGACCACGCCGTAGGCACTTGCAGATTTCGCACATCCGGCGCCTATTGTACTCAATCTTCATCAAATTCCTCTCACTGATGTACATCCGCTGAACGCATGCCTGGCAACGCATTTTCCAGGATGTTTGGGGGTATGTCTCGGCCATGCGAAGCTGGGTCGGGGTGAACTTGTCCTTGGGCCGGATTCGACAGCACAAGTAGCATGGGAACGTCTTCATGGCTCCTATGTCAACATCCACCGTGTCCGCGGTCCACCTGTCTCGAAGGAATCGAAAGCGGGTATGGAGGGCAACCCATTTAATAGGCGGGACCGTGTCCCTGAGAGTGTGGCTAACCATGGCAAGGTGAAGCGCCTCGTCATATCCCAAATGGGAAACGATGTTCTTCAATATATGTGCAGGAAGCGTCTCCAGCCCTCCCTCTGGCGTTGCTGGTTTCGGTTGACACCATGCGAGCATCTCACCATCCCCCTGATCAATTTCACGGCGTGGTCCGTGACACATACCAGAACGTGTCCGGTACTGACCACAGTTATGGCAAAAGTAGTACCGCAGTTTCCCGTTCGAGATTGGTCGCAAATGGTCGTAAAACCGGTTCTTCGCGGAGCAATCAAAGCAATATCGACGGGCTTCCTCGGTGAGTTTATGCCTATGGTGTAGTCTGTCCGCAGTTGCCTTCTTCGAAAACTTTTCCCTCGGTCGGAGTCGATAGCATTGATAGCAGGCAAAGAGGTTCTCTGCTCTATTCTGACCTGCCATACTTCGTTCGCGAATGAACTCAACCAACTCGCTAGTAGGGAGAATAGCTCGCAGATTAAGAATCTGATGAAAAAATCGATTCGTCGATGCCATATTGAGAGCGCTCATAAAGTCCAGATGCCTAACTACTTCGAAGTGGATGTCGAAGGGCAGGCCCTCAAACAAGCGCTGGGGGGCGTTGGAACGCATCGTAACAGTTTGAGATCAATTCGCGACCTTAGTTGCATAAAAGAGAGGCTTGCTTAATTATGGTGAAATAAATGGTCCAGGTGAGAACGAGTCAGAAAGATGCTTCGATTCAAGGTGCGTGCTCAATCGTGATGGTTTTCCTCATCCCTATTTGCACCGGCTTGAGGGTTGTGGTGTCGTACTTTTCCGCGCGAGACATGGATGAATAGAGGATATTGGGGTAGAAGTAGATGAGTTGGTGAGCTTGACTGACTGAATGATAGCATAAATTATTCGGCTGTTCTGGCACTATTTGTATCCAGCCATGCTGTTAGTCAAAGTCCGGCGTGTCGGTAGGGCTGACTCACACGGCGCGGGTGAGATTAAGTCTTATACGGCCCCCCGCATGATTGGGGGCTTCAGGCATTGCAGCCTAAAGAGAACTAAACTTTATGAACAATGACTCCTTCACGGGAACGGTTCTTGGAGTCCGATTCGTCCAAGAAAATATGTGGAGAGGTAGGTGGTGGCGCGTGTCTGGCTCATCCCCCGGATTTCTGTTGCGGTGAGACTGTCTCATCATCTTATGCCGCTTCCTACTCCACTCTTTAACATCACAAAAGGGCGCATTAAATATTTTGACTGACTTATAAATCTCATTAAGACTAATACTTGAGTAAGAGCGAAGATAAGCAGAGCCTGCTATAGTCCCAGCCACCCCAAATACCATCGCACAAATTGGCTATCGCCGTGGTGCAGCCAGCTGTGTTATGAATCAATCTAGATTAATCTTCCCGAATAGCTATCCTGAAGTGATATGAGCCCGTCTGCGCAATTTCTCCCTCTTACCCTATCTAACTCTCTTATCCAAATCTATCTCAAAGATCAACCCACCGAGCTTGATATCGGCCAAAGCGACCGGGCTAATAATATTTCCATTCTAGAGTCAGTAATAAGACGGGAAATTCCTGGGTTGATACTCATATGACTCAGGTAGCCGTAGCACAAAACAGACAGGTAAGCATCAGCACTTGTCACTACTGAGCCCGCTCCCGAAAGACAGCTCGAGCGGCAACGTCCTCTGGATCTTCCAGAGACTAAATGTTCTCGCTTCGGTCTCCAAGCGGAGCGCGTGTGTTGGGAGAATCACCCATGACGAGAGTTGATGCTCCAATCGAGCCTCCGGAGGGCTGTCTGTTTTCATCGGTGTACTGCTGATTGGGGAACTGCTGATTGGGTAATTGCCCCGACCTCATCTGGAGAAGTCTTTCGGCAGCCAGAACGTCGTCGCCAGTGAGGAATGGAGGCAGGTTCATACCTTCAGACGCCCGAGCAGCACGGTCGCGATGGATATTGAATCCCCCGGTAGTGTTGCCAGCTGCGGAGTGTCCTGCGGTCTGGTTCTGGTCAGCCCTGGGTGCGCCCTGAGGGGCGGCTGTGTTATGAACAGCATGCTCCGTTATCGCCATTCTGGCTGGGTCTGGGTAGCCATCAACTGTCAGCTCCAGACGACAGGTCGAGCAGTATGCAAAGCGGTATCCTCTAGGAACCCAAGGATCAAAGCAATCCTGCGCCTGCATCGGTCTTGCGCAGCGGAGATTGATGCACCGGCCACCCACAGTGGCCTGCTCACGCATATCCGCCTCATAGGAGTGGCGAAGAGTTCGAAACTCGCGACGCCGAACCGCCGAGACGATACCCGAGTCCGCCATGTCTTGGACGTGGGCTCTCCATCCAGGAAGGCACCGGTCGCACATATACCTTTGAGCAGAGCGCTCCTCCGGGGAAAGATATCCGCCGCATCTACCAGAGCATACACCAACGGCTGCCCTTTTCAGAACAAGCCAAATCCGCGAGTCGATGAGGGGCTCGCAATTGGCACACAAATAGCCTCTATCCTTAGATCCGCTCAGATATATGAGACAGTGGGGGCAGTGATCGGGTCGATATCTATCATCAGGGTCGTTGCCCATACCATCGTAAGGAGATGGGCGACGAAAACCATTCGGGCCAACACGTGTTGGGGTCTCATCAGGCCGGTGAACGGGTCTGTAGGGGCGGGCAGGCATGGTGAGTTGGGGTAATAGAGTAGTTGCTGAATGGTTGGGTGATACTTGCTGAATAGTTGGGTGATGATCTTGACTGTGGTGGTAGTCAAGACTCTGCGATTGAGATGGTTTGGGTGCAAGACAACTGGGCTCATGGCTAGATATTTATACTTATTTTGCATTATGTTCATGACGTGAAATGAAACGCTAGATACAATTGTGTTCGTAATCTCGTAAACCTGTTCAAAGCATGAACGCCCCAAGTTCAGCCGACTTTTGACAATATCCACTACTGTTCAACAGTATCGATGATCTGCTTTTCCGAGTTGCGATAGACGAAGGGTGTGAGTGTCGTATCCATCCATGTATGTTTCGGCTTGGATTTCTTCTGTCGGAATCAACTTCCGATGTAGTTGTGAGTCGAGTCTGTTGTCGACTTGTTCTGTAAATTTTAGTGTCATGATGACACTGCTGGCGATGCCCATTGATTAGAGTAGTTGGGACTTGATGCTTCTCCGCCTGGATCTAAGCATTCGCTTCATCTTGATCCGTCTGACGAGTCCCATGACGGCGACTCCAAATACCATCAACACCTGAACACCAAGAAGGCCGACCCATATGGCGTTGAGGATGGTTTCTTCAGGCAATTTCCCCAACTCGCGCATCTGCCCGCGCATCTGTCCCCAGAGTATTATCATCCTGTTCGGCGGTGTGTGTGTTTTTGTGTGTGAACTTCAATGTGGTGTGTAGATCATGGACGAGCTGCAAGCATGATCTGCCATGAGGGTCAGCAATCTGACGACAGAGTTGGGCAAGCAATGGTTCTTTGTTAGGGCACGCAGCCCACATGGGCAAACAGTTCACAGGGGACAGAGAACAGAGAACAGAGAACAGAGGACAAAGGCACGTTGCGCTTACCTTGCACCCCTGATCGGTCCGGCCGACGTCGAGGAGACACCGACGGTGGTGTATAAATTTTCACGGCGATGAGGCTGTAGAGACAGTGGAATCACTAACAAAAATCAAATCACCTGGCGGAAGAAGACCGCCCATTTGGCGAAAAAGCATGGCGCCCATGGAGGAGTGCCCCGACGGGTATTAATAGCTTGGGCAGGCTGTGGATCGATCCGGTGCGTGTGGGTTCGTGTGGGCGCGGGTGGGTGCGGGGGCGTATGCTTTGACCGCACTGCTAACAGTGATGGATCCCGTTCAGACCGCAATAAGGTCTTCAATGCAGGGAAATGACAAGTTTCAACTAGCGTTGGGGGCAAAGTGGTTAGAAGGATTGTGGGCTCATGGGTTGTTGGGAGGCGAATTGGTTAGCGAGTTGGTTAGCGAGCTGGCAAGCTGGCAAGCTGGGCATTAAGCAGATGCTCTGGTGGCGGGATTGGACAGGCCTGGGCACGAACATGCAACAGTTTCTCCCTGTGACCGCCCAACCGCCGCCTTTTCGACGAGGGTTGAAGACTTTTAGCCTGAAGCCTGGCCAGATGAGGAATGAGCAGCGTGAACAAGCGCCGAGGGTTTGCGCGAGACGGGTCCAGCACATGATCGGTGAAGAGACCCTTGCTGCCTTGCAGACATGGGTTGTGGCTTTGGATGCATGGGTTTGGTTTTGGTGACATGGGTTTAGTTTTGCAGATATGGGTTGTGGTGTTGTTTGCGCAGGACATGGGTCGTCTGGTCCACTCACCGCGCTCGACTCGCTGCAATTCAGAGGCTTGCTGGACCTTTGACAGGTTATGCTTGTCCAACCTCTCGAACCTCTGGCCAGCGGAATAGCTTCATCTCGCTAGGAACAAGGTGCGCCATGCCGACGATCACGAAAGGCTCGGGTATCTCATTCGGGGTGGAGACGCGGCGTTTGTTGTCTGCAGCCTCGTGCCAGGATGGCCATCCCACTGCATTGCCGTAATTGTCAATGTCCGAAACTGGGTCATGGGATTATTAGTGCCAACCAGAGGTGATGAACCAGAGGTGATGAACCAGAGGTGATGAGCGAAAAACACCCAGCAGACGATCCCACCAGATGATGGTACAAACCACGTCCCAAGACCTGAATCAAGCTTCGAGAGACACACAGTCAAAGAGGAGGACGCGACATGACGGTGGCTGACGCGTATCTCACGCCAGAGATCCTGCGGCCGCGTCGTGTGTCTCGCAGGCGTGCCAGGTTGATTGATAGGCATCAGGATTCAGGTCCGCGTCGAAAGAAGCCTCGGACACGGGAGACCAGCCTCTGCCCAACAAATCTTTCCCAGCTTGCCACAGCCTCCCTCATCAAGGAAAAGAAAAAAAGCAGGGTCTCTTCACATGTCAAAGGATCATCGACGTCGTTACGTCGAGGAACGCCTTCGCCACACATTTACGTAGTCGTTCCTGAACAGCTTCGCCCGATCGAGAAGTGGCACACCCCCACTGCAATTCTAGGCACTTCTTTTGCTTCAGCGTGTCTCACAGCCATCCAGAGGCCGTGTTTGTGCAGTACTCATGTGGCCAGCCCCCATTGGCAGCGATTCCCTGTACCGGCCTAAGACACGCTGCACAGCCACACGTGCACCGCCAATCATGCCACCTACTGTCGATGACGTCGCCCACTGCCCCGCACCAGCTCCCTCCCAAGTTTCACCACACGCTTGCCTCGTCACGGACAACACAACGGGAAGCAAGATTCTGTATAAAACCAGTCGTACACGCGCTCCTCTAAGTTCAGTTTGCCTGTTTCACACCATCCTTCAGTGTTGAGATACCCATTCACCCTCATCGTCACCAATTTCTCCTCACTTTCTACTCCAAAAACATCATCCGAGCTACTCCGACATTCACCATGGCTTCCAACGCGACTGTCAACGTCAAGAACATCGCCCTCGCGACTAGCGACGGCGAGATCAAGGATTTCTTTAGCTTCTGGTAAGATTTACCCATAGCTTCCCTCCCCCGAACGCATACTAACCTCTCGCGCAGTGGCAAGATCTCCGATCTCAAGGTCACCACCGAGGGCGAGACCAAGTCGGCCGAAGTCACCTTTGAGAAGGAGACGGCCAAGAAGACTGCTCTCCTCCTTCACAACACCCAGCTCGGCACCAACCAGCTCTCCGTCACCAGCGCCGGTGGCGACTCTGATGACGACACCCCTTACACCAAGAACAACGACCGTGACTCCGACGAAATCACGCAAGAGGAGAAGCCCCGCGCGCGCATTTTTGCCGAGTACCTCGCCCACGGCTACGTCGTTGGCGATGTCGCCATTCAGCGCGCCATCGAGCTCGATACCAAGCACAAGGTCTCCAACCGCTTCTTCAACACCCTCCAGAGCCTAGACACCAAATACCATGCCACCGACCGCGCCAGAGCTACCGACCAGAGCTACGGCCTCTCTACCCGCGCCAACTCCCTCTTCCTCGGCTTGAACTCATACTTTGAGAAGGCTGCCCACACTCCCACTGGCAAGAAGATTGCTCAGTTCTACGAGGATGGTAGCCGCCAGGTGCAGGAGGTGCACACTGAGGCCAGACGGTTGGCTGAGCTGAAGAAGGAGGAGAGCGGCGGAAGTGCATACAAGGCTTCTGGCCTTGAGCGAGTCTTTGGCAAGGAGAAGGAGACTGCCCCCGCTCCCCCCACAGATTCGACTACAGCTCCTCCCCCCACGGATCCTGCTCAGCCTGTGCCCACGGAAGCTACCCCCGCTGTCCGCTCCACCGATGAGAAGACTGTTTAATCATGAAGGAATTTGGGCGTTGGGAAGGATGATTGTTTGTTGAGAAATAGCACCGGACTGGAGGCTTTGTTACGAGTTATCACGACTTTTACGCATGGACAAATTCATTATATTTCCGAATTGATTCATTGATTGTGCATTGTTACTTTCCATCTAACATGTAATATGTTCCTATTTACTTTTACATCCTCCAAAGTCCGTATTGCATACCCCCAAAATTGGCACACTATTTTTCGCCGGGCTTGGCAAAGATTTTCTTTCGAGCTTCTTCCATCGGGTCCTTGGGATTCGACTCAAGATTCTGCAGAAGGTTAGCCTTGGCCCTCTACAGAGCGGCACTGTGGTGTCATACCTCGAGCTGGGACTTGGGGTCCTTGTCAGTTTTGTCGTCGGCCTTGTTGTTGAGGCCTTGACCAGAGCCTGGCGGGTCATGGATCTGTTTGCCGGTTTGGCGCGAAGGCGAGGGAGATTCACGACCTTCAGACATGATTGCTTTTGTGTAGATGGTTATGAATGAATGTGTGGGCTGGTGGTTTGAATCTTGTAGGTTTGAACGGGAAGTGGCCAGTATTGGTGCCCTGGTTAAATACTGCGGACAGAGAGACCTGGTAGATGACACATTGATGCCGATCTATCCATTATCCGCTTCGACGGATAAGATATTGATTGCATGTTGACGTCGAAAGAGAGTCCATGTCGTCATACTGCGGATTACATCATAAGATCAACGGTCTGGGGAAGGTTTTGGTGGATAACGTCGAGGCAACTTTACACTCTTTCCCTTAAGTAGCGGACTAACTGCGACGATTAAAATGGACGAGATGATGATTAAAACAGATTAGGCGCCGAAAGTTTGTTATGCTATGTGTGATATTTCCCCGTGATCAAGGGAATGGACTGGCTTGTTCAGCCACGTCAGTGAGTAACGGGTGCCGGTGACTGAATGCTCATTTGCTTGTCTTTATGCCTCAGCAAAATCCCCGCTCGTAGGTGGTCGGCTTTCATGTAGCGCATTTCCATGACATGGTGGCACAACATGCATGATGGTAGTAATATCGCATCAACCCTGGGATTGGTCGCCTAACTCGTCCCGGCGTCTCAACAAGTCGGGTTGATTATCACCGAGGAGAGGGTCATGGATGGTCATTGTCACACGTGTTAACCCATTTTTAGGTGACACATTCCGAAAATGATGAGAAAATGAGCATTCGAATTATTGGAAATCACATGGGAGACAAATGAGGTTCTCCAATTCCGGACCGCTGCAACAACTCTCAGGTACTGTAGACTGATGTCATGGCTGCAGGGTAAGACCGCTCATAGGAAGCGTCGATTGAAACAGCTTCAGGGGCTCAGGGAACTGTTTTAGTGCCTGTGCCATCCGCTCCAGTGGTGCCAGTGGTCCACTCAACCCCGCACCCGCTGAGACGACACGCGCCCGTCCAAACGCGCCTGGAGTGTCGGTGGCCTTGCGGATGCCAACCGACAGGGCTGCATCTCTCGCCAACACTCAATACTCCATAAACACCACCGCCCCCAAACCCGGAGCATAAAACAGCACCCACGGCGAGCCTCAAGCATCGGTGACAGTACCAACAAGACCGGAATGCCGGATCTCAACTCGGTTCCCCCGTCGCCGCACACCCTCGCGGCCTCTCGCCGCCAGTCGACCAGCCAGATGGCCGCTCCACCGGTGCCGACCTCGCCGTCCCTCAACATCTTGCCCTCGAACCAGAATGCCGTGAACCACTCGCAGACGTCGTCACTGCCCTCGCCGCAGCTGACCGCCACGCACCCGCCCGTGCCGGCTCCCGCGCACATGTTGGCCAGTGAGCCTGGTGTTGGGCCCGGGCCTGGTCCGTTGCGACACCCTCGCCCGTTGACCGCCGCGGAGCTCCATCTCGCGCTGGAAAAGGAGCAGGAGGCTGTGGTAAGAAGCTCTTGATGCATCATCTGTGTACCTTGGCTCGGCTTAGACTAACGGTAGCGTAGGTCAACCGCTTGACACGAGAGCTGTCCCTCCTGCGTGCTGCCCACAACGCCTCGGTCGTGTCTAATACGTCGTCTACTTCGGCCGCCAACTCGGCTCACGATGCCGTCGCCGAGCAGTCTCTTCTTTCTGGATCTGGCTTCTCCATCCCTACAGCCCGTCAGCACCAACGCACCTCGTCCGCCACGTCCCAGAGCTTCGGCCAGCCACCGCTGTCGTCGTCCTACGAGGCACGCATCCACGCCCCTCGCCCGATGCAAGCCACCCCTCTCTCGCGACAGAACAGCTCCGCGTCTCGTCGAAGCCAGACCAACTCCCCCGGGCCGCAGAACTCCCTCGACCCGTCGAGCTATTTCCAGCACCAGAGGATTCCCCCGCCAACGTCCGTACCTATGAGCTCGGTCGGCGCTACCCCTGGCAGCGGAAGTGTCAGCGAGCAGCTGAGTCCAGGAATGATGCCAGCGACAATGCGATACGAGGAAACACAATTTTATAGACATGAACTAGAGGCGGCCAAGCGGGAGAATGAGGCTCTGAAACGCCGCATCAGGGAGTTGGAGAGGCACGTTCGACAGCGACGGGCCAGCGACGCCAGCCGAACCAGAAGCGACAGCGTCAGCACAACTGCCAGTTTGAACATTACTCCGGCCGGGGGTGCCAGCATAGCAGGACCTCGCGAGGGTAGTCTTGCTCGACCGGAGCGTGAGCGGGGAATGACGAGCAGGCACAGCATGATCAGCGTGGCTGGAAGCGTTGGCGTCGGCGTTCCGGATGATGAAGTCAAGGTTGGCGAAAGCGCTGCTAGTTCCGGGCTTGCGAACAACGCATAATGACTAGAGTTGTCGAATTCTCGCCATGGGCGAAGTGAAGATAGCGGATCAAGTTTCTTTTCAGCACGACGAGACCCTTTTGGCAGGATGAGCGAGACACGAGTATGAGCTTACGATTAGGATTCTGGCAATGGCGTTAAGGGGGTTTTAAGTACAAGACGAAGTCTAAAATGGATTGTGTAGTAACAATTAGGTATCTTGGCTCGAGATATTGCTCTGGAGCCTCCAAGAATTGAGAATCCACACCCTCGACCTCACAATGTTGGCGAAGCCGTTCACTCTCAAGAATGGTGTGGTTCATCGCTTCTGAACATCTCAACACCCAAGCCCTTAACCATGCGTATTCTCCAAGTCCTGTCGACAGCCGGTCTTCAAACATGCAGTCCAATGTTGAAATCCAACAGCCTGTGTATCAAACAATGAGATGACAATCGTGATCTGGATCATACAGAAAGAGCATTCTTCCGCGCCACTGCACCCTTGCACCATAACGCGCCTTCCCATGATGTTTCCCTTAGTATAGTAATTCACCGAAGGACAAATATTACATCGTTAGTCGTGGCCTCTTTGGCGTCTTCGTGCCAGGCTCCGAGGCGCGTGGCTCGCTTTCTCTTTCTCTTGGTGGTGACACTGGGGAGGCGAGACCAGGGTTGTCGACTTCCGGCATGCGGACATTGACCTTTGACAGGGATGCCTCGAGTAGTTTGTCGATGAGTCGCTCTCGTGTGGTGTTTGTCGTTCGATCTAGGAGGCCTCGGAAGGATTCCTTTTCGGACATCGAAGGGAGGTATTCATATGCGCTCCGAAGAGCTATGGAGAACACCCAAGCTTCCTGGGTTTTGGTTCTGACCAGAGTGACAAGGCTGAGGAGTTGTTCACGGAGCGTGACGATGTCCTTTTCCGCAGACTTGCGTAACTCTTCTGAAGCAGACATGCGCTCCCGCAGGTCTCCAAGATCCCTCTCGGTCTTGGCATGGACCTCCTCGAGAGATTCATACATCATCTCCTGCCGACGAAGAGCGTTGGTCACGCCCACCAACTCCCACATATTCTGCTCCGAACTCTTTTCGTATTGTTCAAGAACGTCACGGAGGGTCTTGATTTCGGCGGTGTCAGACTCTTTATGTGCCTGCAAGTCTGCCACCTTCGCCTTCAGCTTCTCGACAAACTCTTGCAAGGAGCTGATTTCGTGTTGGAGGGATATGACCTTCTCGGCCATATACGTGCCGTCGGCCAGGGGCGGGTCCGACATCCTCGAAAGGTGCGGGCCAGCAAGTTGAGGCAGAAGTGAATCACGTCGGGAGGGTAAACAAGCAGTTGGGTCGCTTGATCTGCACGTATCCGTTAGTAATTTGGCACGGCCTTGGTTGCTTGGAGGACGACAAAAATACCTGAATCAGCATAAAAAGCGATGGGCACCAGAGAATATGGTGTTTTGTGATGTGCGAGGAGAAATAATTCACGCGTAAACATGTGAGGTGAACGCAGCTGAAGAAGCGCCGCCCCGAGTGGGTTGACAGTGTCAGGCAGCTGCCCACTGGCGGCGAAGATAAACAGCATAAACAGCACACGTGGTCCCAACTTTAGTCCTAAGAAAACATAGGGCAAACCTTCGTATTTAAAAGGCAGAATAGGTATCTGGAAGTGAATCGATATTCAATCGGTAGATGTCCGCAATGAACCACGGATATAACTTCGACTCCGGTATAAATACCTACTGCCGCGCCATTCCCCTTTCCTTACTAGAACTTCGTGACCGCTTTTGACAAGAACATCAGGTTCCTTATTTTAATAACCGTGAGAAACAGTAAAGGTATCTCGACGCAGATTGTAAAAGCGTTACCGCAATGGCAGACGCCGGCGCCGTCATTACATTCCAGGCCCCGTATTACTATCACAAGGAACGTCGCGAGCGAAACAGATTGCATGAAGACGAAGACGTGGAAGAACATGTTGTTCATATTCGCAGCCTCCGAGGAAACAACTATGCAGAGGCCTGGGAGGGTTTTGTAGGTTCTTGGAATGGTGGCATCAAAGTCATCAACTGCCCCCATGAATTGGCCACCCAAGAGCACAACCTGTTCACCCTTGATGCACATTGCTCAACTGTTTCAGCAAGCTTGAATCAATTGTTCGGGGTAAGAATCCCGCCCACCTGTATTGCCGTCCAGGTTGGTCCCGACATGACCCCAAAGTACTATCACCCCTCACCGTGAAGTAGATTGTCCGTTCGCCTACTAGATGGGCTCCCCACGAACCGTCAAGCTTCCCATTTGGAAGAGCGACCTGCAAATCTGTAGTCGAAGGGCCCTGTAATTTCGCCAATATTTGTGAGTTTGGGAACCCAGGCGTGGTTCTCATGGAGACTCACGTATGAACTACCCCTAGATCCTACCCCGAAAGACGGGCGGGCGCTGCTCAGACAATTCTATGGAGCCGAAGGATTCCAAATTTTTGAGGAATCCCACAATAGATGGGAGCTCATTGAGTATGGTTCTAAAGGCTCTGCGCCATAAGCGTCATGAGCTTGAAGCGGAACCTGGTCTAACATTGGTACAGAGTCTCTCATCCGCTTGGAAATCCAATCCAAAACCACCCCACCGCCCTCTGCGATCCGAGGACCGTGTATAACGACGAAATGGAAAGCATGAATCTTCGGGAGCGTTCCCGCTCGAGGAACAAGTATTTGAAACACAGCAGAGAACAGCGCTGGTTTTATCTCGACAACCAGGCCCCTTACGAGCTGCTGGTTCGGAGAGTTGTCAGCAGCACACAGATTGATCAACCGAACGCGCAGCTTACAGGTGAGCCCTGGTGAAAATATGAATTATTCCCGTGATTGATCAACTGAAACCTTGGCGTACGCAGTCCCCATGGCGGTTCCAACCATTTCGGATGGTCACGTCGAAGACGTGGTGAGGATGTTGTACGTTCTCTGGTTCCCAAACGAGGGTTATCGAGGCACGAATTTGAGGTAGTATTGGGAAGATAGCGTCAAGCGGGATTGATCTGGGTATTTCAATCCAAGGCAAAGAAATGACATGAAATGACGATGGTAGTGCCATTTTTAGCATGGCACCAATATTGCCAGGAATTTCTCGACATCAGCCTGTGTTGCGGTTAATTAAAACTTCAATGCGAAAATCAGAGGTAAGAAACCCGGTATCTAGTGTTGGCATGGGTCTGCGCCATACTGGATGCATATCACTGAGGCTGGTTTGAAGTCGTTGATACAGCATACTTTAATTGAATTCATACTTCCTAAGCTAGCTAAAATGGTTGTGCATGTCCATCTAGATCACATTGGCCAGCAACACGGCATGGCTCAGTAAATGCCCTCTTGCACCAGGCCTAGTTTCCAGGTCGATCCATGATGACACCCCGGGGATCCTTGGTCTCGGCATCACCCCAAGTAGCCTCCCAGCCATTCTCGGCGAGATATGCTTTCCAGGCAGCATCGTCATCTTCAAGTCGTGTCGAGACATCGGGAATTACAAAGTACGCAATCACGGCACCCAAAACAGCAAAGGCGGACCCGATAAGAAAAGCAGTTTGGTTTCCCTTTGCGGCATGCTCTTCATCGTAAGAGTTGAGAATTGCAGTAAAGACTTGAGTGCCGATTGCGGCACCTGCTTTTGAGCAAGCGGCAATGAAGCCGAGCATCTGGCCACGAATTGAAGTTGGGAAGCACTCGGAGGCGAGCAAAACGACGGTACTACTCAGTGTTAGATATTCGATCGAACTAAATTCGTTTTTGATGGATTCTTACCTTCCAGGTCCGACTTCACCGAGGGTGAGGAAGATACCATACAGAACCACGAAGAGTGGGAAGATGTTCTGGATGGGCCCCATAGCACCACCCAGGACAAAGCCAAGAATGGCTTGGAGTGAGAAACCGAGAGCCATGGTCTGGCGTCGTCCAATCTTGTCAGATAGATATCCTCCTAGGAAAGGGCCGGGAAGGTAGAAACAGTTGATAACTACTCCCCAGCCCAAGTTCTTGACCAAACTGTCGCCCACGTTGGCACGCGACATAATAGTGGAGCTGAAGATGCCAAAGGGAATGGAAATCCAATTGTACAAAAACCAGCAAGAGGCCACTCCGACCAAGGGGCGCCAATAACGCTTCAGAGCCAGCTTGTACGGGACGCGCTGCTTTCGCATAGACGACTTGCGGTATGCCGTGGCTACGGCCATGCGCAATCTGAACCAGAAGATGACGAGAGGCGGAACAGCACCCAGGGCAAATGAAGTTCGCCAGACGATTCCATACTTTTCCTCCTTCTGGCCCACGCATAGGAGGAGGAGCAATGGTACCAAACCACCCCAGACGTAGCCCAAGGATGCCGACAGATCTGCAAGCATGGCGAACATGAAACCACGTCGCTTGCGATACTCGCCGCTCTCATCCGTCGCCTCAGCAGCACCGGCTCCAGAGACTGGGTACTCACCACCGGCACCGACGCCAGCGACACCGCGGGCGATGATGAGCATCCAGAAGAGGCCGGTAGGCGTGGCGCCATTGGCAGCGGCAGACATGGCAATACCCACGACCAGGATAATGGTGGTGGCCACTGCACCAGTCTTGCGACCTAGCTGATCGACAATGAATCCAAAGAAGAGCATGCCGAGGATCATGCCGATCAGGAATGCATTGCTGAGACGCGAGTAGATGGAGCTGGTGAGGGCATCTGGGTAGATGATGGCCAGCAACAGCTCGACATTGCCAATCACGGCAGCATTACTAGAGGAGAAATTGTGAGCGTTGTCCTCGGGTCAAAGATTAAGAAGTGAGAGAAATAATTGGAGTTTCTTACTATCCATCAGAACCAATAGCTAGACCTGAGAACAAGATCATCAACCAGACAGAGACTTTGCTGTAGTAACTCTTGACGGGCTCGTCGACACTGCCCGTTTCGACTAGAGCCTCGTCCTTCTCAGCCAGGGACTTTTCATTTTTACCAATGTCGTCTTTGGCGATCATGTCAACATTTGGCAGGGTTTCTTTCGGCTCAACAGCCAGGTCGGTCGCCGCATTAGAAGCCATTTCTTGGTGGCTCTTCAGGGTGCATGCATGAAGACTTGCAGGAATAAGAAAATCCACACAGGAGCGAGAAACAGACGACCTATGAACTCGTCGTTATCATAGAGTTGCATGAGAACCCACACCGGCATTCAGTTATACCCGCCGATATCTCGACCAAGGATACATCGGCGAAGCTACACGCTATTCAGCAGGGAAGTTTGGGCAGGTCGAAGCGATACTACCGCTAGTTTGGGAGACCTTCTCCACTTACAAGGACTTACAAGGGACGTCGTATGGCATTTGGCCCACCGGTGTTATCTCTGGGCTGCCCACTTTCCCCTCACGCCGATCATGCTGTGTTATACGGGCCCACTGTCCCACTGTTGGCTGGAGCATATTGGATAGCATTGATAAACAAGGAATGGGATTGGAAGAGAGGTTGCAGGCATAGTAGGGTGTGATTGTCTCGGATGGAATACCTTTTCCTGGACGCCGACCTCGCTCTTCTTCAACTGTCGTCTTACATCACCGGCAAAATGAACTCGACGACGTTGGACAGTGAGAAGGGCCAATTGCTGCCGCAGCAGCCTCGCCCTATTCCCAAGCGCAAGTCATCATCCCGATTCGCTACAGTTGCCGCTGTAGTTGTGACATCGCTCCTATTTTTTGGTGGCATCCGTCATCACCGTTGTTCGCATTCCAACGTGCTCGACGTGGCCAAAGTTCAACAGTGTTCAATCGACAACCTCAAGGCCGACCTTTCGTTCCTGGATGATGCTCGGCCGATTGAAGCAGAGGAGTTCATTGGGCGACGTGATCGGCTGGCAAAGGCCTTGGCTGTGAATGGCATTGACGCGTTCGTGCTAGAGCCGGGCTACACGTTCCAGTAAGAACTGAATATCAAGACAAGATGCGTGGGAAATAACAAGCTTCAGGTACTATGGAAACACTTCGCAGGTGGACTGGGAGCCCTGGGAGCCAGAGGAGCGCCCGTTCTTGATGCTCATTCTCCCAGAGACTTCTGCCGAAGGCGAGGTCGTAGCAAAGACGGCATACCTCTCGCCGCACTTCGAAGAAGGCCGCGTCCGCATGCTGGGTATCCCCTCTCGAGAGGAGACGCTGGACATTGTCATCTGGGAAGAGCACTGGAACCCTTACGACACACTGATCAAGTCGAGGCTGTTTGAGGGCAAGGAGGCCCCAATACTCATGGCCGATGAGGAGATTCGGGACTACATTGTACGCGGTCTCGACTCCGCGGGTTTCAAGACGGTGGGCCTTTCCCCAGAGGCCGAGCTCGTGAGGCAGCTGAAGAGTCCTGCCGAAGTCGAACTACTTCGCGCCGTGAACACCGGGACGGTGGTTGCTCTGAGGGCAATGCGCCCATGTCTCGTTCCTGGGTTGACCGAGGACGAAGTCACTACTATCCTCGACAACTCAATGCTCTCCATTGGTTTCAGCCTGTTCTTCAACATTGTTCTCTTTGAGGAGCACGGCGCCCTGCCCCACGGTGGATTCGTCACCGGCGGTAAGAAGCTCACCTACAACAGCATGATTGTCATCGACGTGGGCGCGCATTACCTGGGATACTCGTCAGACATCTGCCGAAGTTTCCTCATTGACCTGCCGGAGGGTCAGCACAGCGTTATTCCAGACCCGTTGCGGGAAGAGAAGGAGAACGTCTGGCAGATTGTGCTCGAGGCGCAGTCGGCTGCCGCGGAAGCTTTCAAGCACAACAACACGGCCGCTAGCGTGGACATTGCGGCGCGGACTGTCATCGAGAATGCCGGCTATGGATACGGCTTCACCCATCGATTGGGGCATGGCATTGGCATCAAGGCTCACGAGTCGCCCTACCTGAACAAATGGAACAAGGACGTGCTTCTGAAGCCGGGAATGACCTTCACTAACGAGCCGGGAATTTACTTGGAGGGAAAATTTGGCGTGAGGCACGAGGACATTTACTTGGTCAAGGAAGATGGCGCAGCTGAGTTGCTCACTGGCCAGAGGGCAAAGGGTCTTCGCGAGCCGTGATGGGTATCATTAAGTAATTAAATATCTAAAATATCATAGCAGCGTAAGAAGTCTTCAATATACACGGGCTGACATTCTTGCTATCTTGCTGCTTGTTATGATGATACGGTGGCGCTGTGCTTGATCGGGAAGCCATTGGCGATTGCAGCACCTTGCAGCTGCTTCAACCACGCGGCCCCGTCGCCCTCTGGGACTGGCCGATGCGACAGGCTGCAGTCGACGTAGATCGAGTCGTCTAAATATGTCCAGTCCGAAACCTCAACGGCGCACTCGGACAGCGCGCCAGGGAAAGGCGAGGCGCTCAGGGCCGCGCACGTCCAGGCCATTTGCTGTAGGATCTCGATCATGGTATGCGTCCAAGCGGAAACGCTGAGTCGGATAGATCCGTCCTCGACTTCAAGATGTAGAAGGCGAAGACTCGGACAATAAACGTCTTTGCCGTCGGTGCCGTCCCAGAGAGACATGCCGGCGAATGCCTGGCCTTCGCGGCATGAAATAGAGGCCTGCTTCACAGCATCTTCGATGCAGCCCAACAGCATGGAACCGCATTTGGGCCATTGTTTGGAGGTGTACTCGGATACGGTGGTGTAAACGCAGTCATTCGCTGTTCCAGTAATGGCCGGCAACGATCCCATGCTAACCAGTTGTGGATCCCCGATACCTTCTAGGGGGCCAAAGAGCTGGCACTCAAACTTGAATTGAATGACGTGGAATCCGTCCGTGGGCGGCGGGAAACGCCTCTTCATTAGGATATCCCAGATTGCAGACTCCATGAGGTGCATTTGTACATAGTGAGGGGAGATCAAGACCTCACGGATCTTGGCGATGAGGGCCTTGGCGGATTCGCCAGTGGTGATGTAGGTGTGTAGTGAGCGGGCGATGTCTTCTGGCGATCCTCCAGTTGAGCGTGCGGGGAACTCGCGGTCCCAGAAGCTACAAAGCAGCTGCAATGCCAAAGGCAGATCAATGCCTCGCGCAGTGGACGACCATGTGGCAGGCCGGCGTGTGATGCCCGGGCCTATCTTGTCGAGGATACATCGCGGAGTCTCGGGTCCGTTGAGAACGAGGAACAATTGGCATATGGGGCCGTCAAATAAGAGCTTGACTTGGCGTGCCGACTCGGGGTTGGATTGGCTATAGAAGTGCCAGAGCTCGTCCCAGAGTTGGCCGGTGAATTCAGACAAGATGCGGTCCAGCACGCGGTCGATGTTGATGCGAACCTTTTGCTCTGGTAAGTAGTAGTGGGTGAGGAGGTCGTTGTTCAGTCCATCGGCCAGGGCGGTGGCGAATGCGGCGACGAGAGCGCCGGCGACGAGAGGCGGGACCTGGACTTCGGCATTGTTAGGCGACTGGGCGGTGCGAGGGCGCCGGCTCGGTAACGGAGGCTTGATGCTCAGAACAGAGGCCTCGACATCGGCGACAGACTCATGGGTGGTGGATGACGGGGGAGGGTTCGGCGGGAGCATGTCTAGGCATGGCTGGAGAGGGCGAGCCTCGCGGGGAGGGACAAGGACCTAGAGGCTAGAGCCTAGAGGCTGGAGATTGGGGAGAGGCTAGAATCTCGAGAGGCAGGCCGAGAGAGCAGCATTCATGACGGTGAGAGCAACCGTGGAGGTTGGCAAGATGGGTTTTGGCCCGGCAATTTTGGCGTCGTGGTGCGGGCAGTTGATTCCGAGAGCTGACGTTGCAAGCATTGCGCGTCCCGCTGACAAACGGGGACAAGTCTATCTTATTAGTCGACCTCACAGCGCGAGCCGGTGTGGATGACGCCACCAAAAGAAGTAATTGACTTGGGGAGAGAAGAGCACCGGAGAAGCGGGAAGTCCGTTAGATGATATGTCTCGAGAATACACGCAGCAGGCATCCGTGGCTCGGTCGCTTTGACGCTCTCCTGGGGGCAAATAGGCTGCGTCAACGCCGTAGAGTTTGTCCTTTGCTGACGGTTTCGCGTCGTCGACGGGTTTTACCATGAAGATTCAAGGGGGAGGCCGCGTCATGTACGAGATGGGGCCACGGTTGATCCGCGCGGCCCTGGGCGTCGAGATTGATTGAGCGAGCGCTTGCTTCGTTCTGCGGAGAGGAGCCGGGGGAGATGCCGCGTCCTTTTTGCAAGTCTTTGGCCATTGGAATTGATACGGGTTCCTCCATGGTCACACTCGCTTGAGTGAGGTCAGACCGGCCTCATCCGTACTTGGGCTCTGGACGTCTGGACGTCTGAATGTCTGAATGCTTGTCTGTCCGTGCTCTGGATTGAGAGCGCGCGTCCAAAAACGGGCCGCTGGTGGCTGCCAAGCTCAACTAGAGCTGGAGATGGCTGTCCAGGCTGTCCAGGCTGTGGCATGTCTGGTCGACTACCGACGTAGGGTGCGGGCAGGAGGCGCGCCGCTGAATGAAGCAGAATCCAAGGACCAAGAAGAAAATAATGACGAGGGAGAGTGAGAAACTGGCGACGCAGAAACGTCGGGGGTTGATGAATTGGTCACTTCATCCGATTGAGGCTGTGCTGACAGCGTCCCAGCACACCAACGACAAGTGGTGACATCCACCCGCTCGCCGGATTGCACACTACAGCATAATAGCTGTCTGCTTTGCCTTTGCTATGCCCCGTAGCGCAATTAAATCTCCGGCGAATTGAATGCTGTCCTGGATCATGGGCGGCTACTCTTGCGGCCTGTGTCCGGGGTTACACGAGTAGGGCCAACCGTGTCGGCGTCAATTTCGCGATGCATCAACTGCGGGGACCACTGGAACTTGCAAGCACAGCCCCAACCTTCACACACTCCCGAAGCTTGAGACCGCTTCTTTGATCCCTGATTCCACGTTTTCCATGTGCTCTCGGCCATTCATCCGCACCTCCTAGCCCGCGCGTGGCGCCATCCACGACGACGACTTCAACGTCAGCGGCGCAGATCAACTCTTGTCGCAAGCGAGCCGGTGAGGGAATATCGGGGTTTCCCAAAGCGTCCTGGAGCGCCGTCCGTCATTTGATCACTTCGGTTTGAGGGGAGACGGGGGAAAAGAGCTTATCACCGTATTGTTCACAGGGGAGTTGCCGCAAGCCCACCCACCGTGTTCATCCAAGTTCTGGTGCCAAGCACTTTTTCATCTCTTGGCCCCCCACTTACCGCTATCGCGCAAGCTGCTTGTTAGAACTTCGTGTAATTGACGAAGAAGCCAATTGAATGGGCTACGATCATCATATTGTTTATACGGCGAATGCGTTTGCGATTGAACTTCGCGTGATCACCCGCGAACTCAGACGAAGGTTTATGGATGGGGCTGGTCGACATCATTCCCACCTTTGAGCGCAATGGATGCGACCTGTCATCACAACAGTCGCACAATTTATACTCGTGCTGGTATTGGCGGTCAAGTTTGAAGACTGGAGAGGGCTGGATTGGAGTGAAACAACCTCCATCGTCCGGCCCGGGTCAATAACACACACACAAGCTCGAACCGGTCCGGATTTATGCCCAGCTGTGCTCGACTGTGCTTGACGATGGACGCTGAACCGTCATGAGCAACCCAACCATGATCTTTCGAATGCGGCTGAACTCCGTCTCTCAACCCGTCGTCAAGCGCAGAGAGGAGACAACTCCCCTCCCGGCACAACCCTCAGGGCTACAGGGCTGACCCCAATACTGTGGGCGCGCATGATGTTGGTGGGAGCCGGGACAAACACCCGGTCAATTGCATGTGCCACCTCCACTTTTGTCTTGGTTTAATGCCACCATCCAATGTTATGCTTACACTCGGCTTCCTACGTGTAGTTGGAAGAACCAAGTCATGGCGTAGGGAAGTGGTCCGAGGCTGAGGAGGCTTGAATATGAAGTGGTCGAAATTGCTGGAATGTCGTGAGTAACAACAAAGCATGTCGATAAGGAGTAACTGAATTCCTCTTGAACGGCCAATAAACAACTCATGGATCCGGTTGGTGTTGGCCATAAACATGCCAGGAATGCCTCCAGCAGGCAAGACGCCACGGCACCAATGAACTGCAAGGGAACATCAGCAGCAGGCCCTTCCCCGTCAGCTGCGGCCGCTATGTCATTGTCTTTCTTTGTCCAGATGACGGCAAGCTCATGGAGCTAGCTATAACTTAATGGAGCTCTGACTGTTCTGGGTGTAGCAGTTCTCGCAGTTACGCAGTGGGGACAGCAATGGTGAGCGGTGTCATGGGAGGCCGCCTACTACCCCTCCCACGGCTTATATCGGCAAGGGCAACAACACTGGAGGGGATCGACAACAACAAAAGATCCAGCTGAAAGGGCAAGGGGCTTGTGACAACAGCTGGCGGATGCATCGCCCCCTCATACCCGGAGCGGTGGAATTTCCCTGTTTTGCGGCGAGGCGGGCGGCGGGCGGCATCAAATCGCGCTGGCTCGTATGGCAAACAACGCCCTAGTTTCCTCGTCTCGTTTCGCGCTTCTAGATGCCGACCAGCCTAGCTAAATCCAGGAAACCGAAGTCTCATCTCCACCAGGTTTCGGAGCACAGCCAGATCGAGGCCCTGGCCTAGAGATCTCAGCATAGACGGTAACTTTTATTGGTTGTCACTCGCTTGTTCCCGCAAAGCTTGGCATTGCGGTAAAATACTTTGCTCCCAGATATCAAAGACTTCACTCCCGCGACAACTCGCAACTTCACCTACCGCCCGCTATGAGCGATTTTCCCCAACGCCCGCTGCGTCGCCAAAAAAAAAAGGGTCTTCAAGGGAAAGGACTATCGGATATTGCACTTGGTCACTGGGTCCTGGCTGGGTGCTTCGTCGCACTGTGAGACCCTCTTCTCGTGCTGCTGGGTTTCCCCCTCACGTCTGTCTCATTGCCGCCGTGCGCGCACATCTTCGAGTTTTGGTGATGCCAGCACCACTCTCCTCTCTTCTCTACCGCCGTGTCGTCTCGTGAATGCATGCGCAATTTCGTCACACGTCGAGGGTTTAGCACTGCCCTCGACTGGTCTGGAACCGTAGCCATCGTCAAATTCAGTATAAAGGGGGCATCTGCGAGCACCATGTTGCTCAAGCTCACCTCTCAGCTTCTTCTTCTCTCTTGCTTACTCGCTTGCATCTCCCGTGCGATACTGCCGTGACTGCTCTGCCGTCTCTTTCTCTTCATTCCTCATGGACGAACCTGAACCCAAAGCCCCAGCCCCTGAGCGCATCCGTTGGCGTGATGATGAGGAGGCTGGAACCAAGGCCAGGCCGCCCCTGAGGCGAGGCCTTTCGACGGATTCCCTGGGTATTCAGTCCATTCACTCTAGGCGCAGTTCCATAGATGCTGCCAACGTTCTTCCCATCCAGTATCGGACTGTGTAAGCACGATTGTTGAAATGGAACAAGAATTCCTCCTGATCTTGTTCTAGGTCTATGGACATTGAAGATTACAATCAAAAGTCCGGGTTTACGCAAAAGAGCACTGAGGCTGCAACAGGTACGCATGAGTGTTTATTGTGTATTGGTGGTATCTAACTTTTACCACCCCTAGATCTTGGAAAGCTTGAGTGGCATACCAACACCGTCGAGGAAGTGCTTCGCCGCCTCTCTACAGCCGTTCACGAAGGCCTCTCCGCTGCCCAAGTCGAGCGTCGAGTCGCCCGCTATGGCAAGAACGCTCCGTCTCCCGCACCGACACACAATACAAAAAGGATTATTGGGTACTTCCTGAAGGGCTTTGGCACAGTCCTTCTACTTGCCTCCATCCTCGTCTTCATCGCATGGCGTCCCCTTGGAAAGCCGCCTGCAGATGCTAATCTCGCGCTTGCTATCGTCCTGCTCGCCGTGTTCTTCATCCAAGCCGCCTTCAATTTGTGGCAGGACTGGTCCTCATCCCGAGTCATGGCCTCTATCAAGACCATGCTCCCTGAGTTCTGTCAAGTCGTTCGCGATGGCCATGAGGTTTCCCTGCTTGCTGAGCACCTCGTCCCGGGAGATATTTTGCTCATAAAAGCGGGAAATAAGCTCCCGGCCGACGTCCGCTTCACCGAGACATCATCTGATGCCAAGTTTGATCGCTCCATCCTCACAGGCAAGCACACGACCGTAACACAGATAGTAAAGGACATTTCTTCTAATACGGCACAGGCGAATCCGCTCCTCTTCAAGCGACCGTGGACTCTACCGATGACAACTACCTAGAAACAAAATGCATTGGACTTCAGGGCACACATTGTGCCTCTGGAACATGCACTGGAGTCGTTGTCGCCACAGGAGACACTACTGTCTTTGGTAGAATTGCTCAGCTTACTAACAAGCCCAAGACGGGTCTTACGACACTCGAGCGAGAAGTCTTTCACTTTGTCATGGTAATTTGCTCCATCATGCTCTTGATGATCATCATTGTCATTATCATTTGGTAGGTCCATACACTCCGAACGGTCTGTTGATTGAGGCTAATGTCGATAGGGCAACATGGCTTCGAAAGAAGTATCCCGACTGGATTAATGTCCCTAATCTCATCATATCGTGCGTCTCGGTGGCTGTCGCCTTCATTCCAGAAGGCCTTCCTGTCGCTCTGACGGCCAGCATGACCATCAGCGCCAACATGATGCGAAAGCAAAAGATCCTCTGCAAGTCCCTCAAAACCGTGGAGACACTCGGCTCGGTATCGGTTATTTGCTCTGACAAGACCGGAACATTGACCCAGGTTGGTTGCACCTCATCCAATATATATCGTGACCACTCGCTAACAATGAAAGAACAAAATGGTTGTTACTGAATGCGCAATCGGTGAGAAGAGGATGCTTGCGGACGAGGCCAGGGATCTGATAGTTCTCAACGAACACGCCAACCCCAAGAACAACGCCATCAGCCAACTCCGTGCAGTTGCAGGACTGTGTAATGCCGGTACCTTTGACGCTTCCACCATCAACCATCCACTTCATGAGCGCATCATCCATGGTGACGCCACGGACCAGGCAATTCTTCGATTTTCCGAAGGCCTCGGTGAGGTAGCTGTGCTTCGCCGATTCTGGCACACAAAGTATGAGCTTGCATTCAACAGCAAGAACAAGTATATGATCAAGGCATTCACCCTGGCGCATCAGAGCGGCGTGGCACTTGCCTTGCCTGCCGATACTGCCTCCGTGTTCGGGCCGGGCGACGTGTAAGTCATTGCACCGCATGCCTATCCGCGAATTGAGTGCTGACCACTTACAGGCTTTTGACCATAAAGGGTGCGCCTGAGATCCTCCTCGACAGGGTCAGCTCCTATGTTAACCCCTCGGGCGTTACCATTACTCTGGATGATGTCACCCGCAAGAGTATTGAGCTGATCAAGGATGAATGGGCATCCCAGGGCAGGAGAGTTCTGCTTTTGGCTCGCAAAGCCCTCTCCAGCTCTGTCTTTCCAGTTGGAATGTCTTCTTTGGCTTTGGATTCGGAAATGCACAAGCAGGCCGCCTCGGGGCTGACCCTTGTTGGCCTAGTCGGCATCGTTGACCCTCCTCGCCCGGAGATTCCTGACGTGGTTGAAACCCTTCGTCTGGCTGGCATTCGGATATTCATGGTAAGAGCCTCCAATATGAGAGACGTAGCCAGGACTAACACTAAATAGGTCACTGGAGACTTTTCACTCACTGCGCAGGCCATCGCAAGGGAGTGCGGAATTGTCACTACCAGACATGTCGACGGCATTGACGCACTCCATCGTACCACCACTCTCGACCCCTCCATTCGCGCTCTTGAACTCGACTTTGGGTCTGACGGGCCACGCCAGGCTATTGTTCTCAGTGGTCCAGAACTCATCACACTCAATGAAGGCCAGTGGGATCAACTGGCGGCGTATAAAGAAATTGTCTTTGCCCGCACAACTCCAGAACACAAGCTCCGCATTGTGCGAGAGTTCCAGGCTCGTGGCCAGATCGTAGGCATGACAGGCGATGGCGTCAACGACGCCCCGTCCTTGCGAGCTGCCGACGTGGGTATCGCCATGGGATCTGGCAGTGATATCGCCATCGAAGCCGCCGACATGGTCTTGCTGGACTCGTTCTCGAGCGTTGTGGAAGCACTGCGATACGCGAGGATGATGTTTGACAACCTCAAGAAGACCGTGGCGTATCTACTGCCCGCCGGAAGCTTCAGCGAATTTTGGCCCGTCATGACGAATGTCGCATTTGGAATCCCGCAGATCTTGAGTAGCTTCCTCATGATCATTATCTGGTGAGTTTTGATGGTGAAAACGACGTTTCCAGCCAACTAACACGTCTAGCTTGTTCACCGACGCGGTGGCAGCCATCGCTCTCGCATACGAAGCACCGGAGGCGGATGTCTTGCTTCGGAAGCCGAGAATCCCGGGCAAGGATCGGCTTGTCGACTGGCAGCTCATCGTGCAGGCCTATGGCGTGGTGGGGATGATGGAGACGACGGCGTCGTTTGCCATGTCGTACTGGTACCTGGAGCGAAACGGTATCCCATTTTCAACTATCTGGTTTTCCTTCGGAAACATCCCCGACTCGATCGACCCGGACTATTACACCCAAAAGCTGTACGAGGCGTCGTCCATTTACTTCGTAAACCTCGTCGTCATGTAAGTCGCATCCACCGCCGAGATCGGTGAGCCTCCTATTGGGGGCCATCCATGCGCGTGAGCATATTCTCTGACAAATCGCAGGCAATGGTTCAATTTGTTGGCCGTCCGCACCCGACGTCTATCCATCATCCAGCATCCCCCCCTGTTCAACAAAGAGACACAGAACCTGTACCTCTTCCCAGCAATTTTGTTTGCTCTGGTCATGGCCTTCCTTTGGCTCTATCCCCCTGTATTCCATCGCGTTCTGCTCACGGCCGAGGTTCCTGTTGAGTATTGGTTCCTTCCCATGGCATTCGGTATGGGGATTATTCTTATGGACGAAGCGAGGAAGTATGGCGTAAGAAATTGGCCGAAGGGCATTTTGGCTCGTATGGCTTGGTAGGCCAAGGTGCGCGGTGGGGACCGTTGGTATCCTATGTACTGTAGTTGAAGTCGGGTTTAATAATAATCCTCCGATTGCCTGACGATTTCGGACCGTTCCTTATTTTCTCCGTTCTCTGTCGTTCTTCATGAGACGTTACAGGATTGGGATATAGTACCACAGACGTGTGTTGCGTTGTCCTCCGATGCCGTTCCCGGTCTCAACGCACTGTGCATGCAGGTGCCGCTTTCGGAATTCGCCTTGTGAATCTCGTAACTACGAAGTAGCCGCAAACGATGTTATTTGTTTATTTCGGATACGGCAATATGTTAAATCGGACACGGAATTTCGGACCGGGGGGGACTCTATCGGCGCATCATCGTTGTCGGCGGACGAGGCCTGCCTGAGGCCGGGGATTGCCAAGGGTCGATGGATTTAGGCTGTTGGGGATATTGCCACGAGACGAGACACCAGTCACCTACGGTGAGGAGGATTCCCCGTCAGTTCCACAGCTCGTAAATGAGCACATACCTTTGTTTGCTAGTTGATATTGTCCCTTGGCCACTTTAGTCACCTTGTCCACCTTGGGCATCCCTTGACCGTCCCATCAATCGAGTAGCCCTGCCGTAGCCGTCCGATGCCATCGAACGTGGCTCGTTTGCATTCCTTGTTTGGGATATATCGGAACCTTGCTAGAAAGTCGGTGTCGATAGGCACTTGGAATTAACCATCAGACCATAGACGGCGGCTGGAGGATGGCGGAGCTCGGCGCGTTCACGTGAGGTGGTAACGACGTAATTGAGTCCTGGGTGTCGATGCGATCGCTCGCCGAAACGTCGCCAGGACGACGGCATTAATAGGAATTCAAATTGGCATACTCCCAAAGGGCCCATTCTATTTCCCTCATGATCAGGGCAAAAACATCAATTCTTTTCCATCATTCGCTTCTCGGTTTCCCCCGGTGCCGGAGGTCGTTTGACGGTGGCATGCTGGGTGAGCTGACGGGACAATGCCACCCAGGGATCCATCGAGGCTCCACTCAAGGTCGCCTGTTCCCGGCCCCACTATCGGATGTTGGCGTTCATGATGTAAGACAAGGGAGAAGTGGGGAAGCTGCGCGAGGAATCGCTGAGGCCGATTGATAGACGCAGACGCGAATTGGCATTGAATTGGGAAAGTTGCTAGCAGAGAAAACGGACTGGCGAGGAGAATCGAGTGAGGGGCTAGAGATGCAGACGGCTATCCTTATACGACGGGCGGCCGGCATCGATTTCTACCAAGAAACATGCCACGGCGAGCAAATGCCATAAAAACCAGGCACAGGAACAGGAACAGGCACGCAGAGCAAGGGAGGTCACAGGGGCCATGGGCACGCGGGGGGGCTCACGAAGCGTCATGGGGGGTCATGGGGCTGCTTGCGGCAGTCGCGATGACTTGTCGCAGCCTGATGCTGGTACGATGGCGATCAAGAGGGGGCCAAAGCTACAGCAGTTAGCTGAGCTACGATATGGAGCAATGGAGGGCGATAGCGCTATCAATTCGGCCAACTCTTCAAGCGCCAAACACTAAAGCCTCGCCCGGCGGAGTAGAGTACCATTGTAGTTGGCGACGCGGGCAGATGGTGGGAGAGCCAACATGTAGCAGCCAATGGTCCAAGGAGAAATGACTCTGTCTCCCCTCCATTTCCCCTCCATCTCGTCACAAGGTTTCACTCGGGCGCCGGGGTTACAGCGCAGAAAGTGGTTGGTTTGGCTGGCATTCACTTTCTTAGGACGTGGGACAACCCATCAGGTGAGCATGAGCATGAGCGGCGCCAAACAAGACGAATCCGTAGCCGAAGGCTCCGGGGAGGGGCAAGACCTGGCGATCCCGCGTCATTGGTGATCGGTCACACTGTACTGTGTACTCCGGACCTACAACCAGCACGACACACGACACACCACCCGTTTCCCCTTTCCCCTTTCGCACTTTCCCCTCCGGCCGCAATCAACCGCTGTTGCTCCCCAAATGCAGCATTTCGAGCGGCCCTTTTTCGCACCCAATGCATCCAGCTCGACGCCGCGTATCCACTGCCGCCCTTCCGGCCCCTCAACTGCTCATCGCCCGACTGCCGTCGCTCCAAACGCCACCACGACCGATCGCGGTGGGGCTTCGACAAGCTTTCCCCGGATTTGCGCCCCAGCGCCTAGTCTCAAGTGGGTACCAAACGTGCTGTAGTGGTCCTTCCGCGGTGTGCTCCGCTGCGTTACGGTCCGGGCTAAACCCGATGCGGTAGAAGGGAGTCGCCTGAGCCAGGCGCAAGGGGCGTCACGCCTTCCGTCAGGTCAAAGTCACGCGATCGTCGCAAGTACTTGCTGTACTTCGTACCTCCCCTACCGCCGCTACAACCTCACCCTTCGCCGTCCACGGGAGGCGGCGCACGCAGGTGCAGCCAAGCGTCTTCCGGGTGGTCAGTTACCCCGCCCGGTCTGACGACAGCGTGATCGCGGCGGCAGGTGCTTTACAATAAACAACCCTCTTGCCCCCCTCCATCTCTTCTTTTGATCTCTCCTCTCCATCCACCAACAGCATCACCACTTCACCGCAATCACCTGCTTTCCCATCAAAGGTTCGTCGTCATATCCCTCTTCGCTTTCCACCAAGTCTCGTGATTTAAAGGCCGCCTTGAAGTGCCTCTCTGGGCCAATCTTGTGCACCTCATTCCACCGCATTGGGCATAGACACTGACTCTCCTTTTCAGGACAGCACTGCTCAACAGCAACCACCACCAGATCTCTTGATCATCCCAAACCAATCCACACAACAACCCGCAATCATGTCGGAACCCCTTCCCCCCCTCTCCAAGGTCGACTCTGCCGTCCAAGGTCTCTCATCATCTCCCCCCACCGACGACCTGAAGAAGGGACACCGGAGGCAAAGTTCACTCGCTCCCGATGTCATGAACATCAACGAACTCGGTAAGCCATACATGCATCCAATCCCTGATACGCCCAACATCACAAATATCGCCTGTCCCGATGTCGGACTATGACGCAATCGTATCCATGCTAATACATGTCCTCAGAGGAGAAGGGAATTGACCTAGAGCTCGCACCCGAGACGCAGAAGACTGGATGGTAAGTGATCCCCCTACCCCTCGACTTCGGGTTGCTATACACCGGCAGCGACTAATTGCCTCATGATACAGGAAGATCAACCAAAGCCCCAATGGCATTGAGGACCCCGCAATTCTCAAGCTGCCCCTGACAAATCCCAAGGTCAAGAAGATTGACCTCCACTTCAAGCTAGGGAAGGAGGTAACAGCCCGAAACATGAAGGGAGTAACAATCAAGGATGCGCTAGACGCCATTCACAAGGCGTACAAGAAGCGGGTATGCATTCCTCGACATACTACTTGATCAGTAACACAGGCTGACTGACCACATCACAGGCGGATGATGAACTCGACAACCCCTACCTCGCTGGATTCGAGTGGGACAAGGAGGAGTCATGGACCCAATTGGTTGTTCACCTCCAGTCACAGCCGACACCAACCACCTTTGGCGCATCATCAGGCGGCGGCAAGAAGAAGAAGAACAAGAAGGAGGCATAATAACCCTACGCCAACACTGATATCTGTTCCAATAGTTCCTTCAATTCTTCTTCTCGTTTCGCTGGGTTCGTTGCGATCGGCGCCCGGATATTGCGATTAGATATTCTTGGCTGGGTCATATTCTGTGCGACTGCTGGACGCGTCGCCTGGTGTACTCCTCTAGTTCCGTTCCAGGTCGGCCACCGGTCGATCTAACAAGGTTCCAATATGGTTCCTTGAATAATTGAGAATCATTCTCACCCGCTTGATGCATTTCTAATTGCTTTCGTTTGCCATGATTATAGTTGGATGTTGTTGAAACTAGCAACGTGTTGTGTCCACTGTGAGATTTCAGATGGAGATATGGGCTACCCACCCCTCTAGCCGGTAGTGCAATTGCAGTCCATGTCTCCATCTGACATGAGCCTTGTCCATCCACTTTGAGATCCACAACTTCGGCACTGGACTTGCATTGGGGAAACTTGGAACATCGTGGTGTTAAAATGTTTCGTGGAAATCATGGATTGGACACGAGTCGGCTTATTTTCATCATGCCGTGGTGTGTTGCATCCGACATTCCTGTGTTTGCGTCTTTTGGGTCCTTGACACTGTTATTATTTAGTACGTAACTAACATCCTAAAGTTTAATTCTTACTTCTAAAGTAAGGGTTTATTATTAGCCCAGAGTATACTTTGGTATGCAATAAATATCAAATACATTTTAGTTAAAGCCCTGCTGCTACTGCTTGCCTTAGGTAGTTGGTCGGTCGGTCGCACATCGTACTGTGTGGGGGCTGTCCTGATACCATTGAAGTTGAACTTCCTCCGAGTCCATGTTCCCCAGGAATGGGGACCTACTGATGGTGGGCTATCACCCCTGGCGCATAATTCCCCACACGGCTGTTAGTCCGTCATCAGATCCTTAGCCCTTTTCCAGCCATCGATCGCCGGCGGAATGCGCGCGCAGTGACAAGTCGGCTACCGTCGGGCCGCTTATGATCGCGCCGTGAAGCTGCAACGCGGAACTGTACAACCACATGGACGGCTCAAACGGCCGACGGACGTCATCTGTGAGAATTTACGCATGGCCGGGCGTAGTTAAAAGACGGGGTAGTGTCACCTCTTGAGCTTATTCTTGGGCTCACCATCAGACACTTCAGAGCTAGACAGACACTTCAAAGCTAGCCAGCCGCTTTCATTCAAGATGCCTGTCACTCAATTCGATTTCAAGGAAAAGTATCGGTATCAAAATGGCTTCAACTGTTATCTAGAGTAAGCTCAAGAGGCCGGTGGCTGAGGGTGTGATCCATACTGACATTCTCTCCCAGGTCTGAGGCCGTTGAGGGCGCGTTGCCCGTGGGACACAACTCACCCCAGAAGCCGCCTTACGGTCTATACGCTGAGAAGCTTTCGGGGACGGCCTTCACAGCTCCAAGACACGAGAACAAGCAGACTTGGTTGTATCGCGTCTTGCCTTCTTGCGCTCATCCTCCCTACCAACCCGACGCTGAGCCCGGACATCCAGGTGCGAATGAGACCATTAGAGGGACCAAGGAGGGCACACTACACTACATCCCCAACCAACTCCGCTGGGACCCATTCGACCACGATGAAGCGAAGCATCTGGACTTTATCTCCGGCCTGAGATTGGTGGCCGGCGCTGGTGATCCCACCTTGAAGCAGGGCCTCGGCATGTACGTGTACGCTGCTGGCAAGAGCATGGATGAAACAGCGGCCTTTTATTCCGCTGATGGAGACTTATTGATCGTAGCCCAAGAAGGCACTTTGGATATCCGGACCGAGTTCGGATGGCTGCTCGTGCGGCCCATGGAGATTTGTGTTATCCCCCGGGGCGTCAAGTTCCAGGTCCTTCTCCCAACGGGTCCAGTCCGGGGATATGCTCTCGAGCTGTATGAGGGTCACTTCAACCTTCCTGAACTCGGACCCATTGGATCCAATGGCCTCGCCAATGCTCGCGACTTTCAATCTCCGGTCGCTTGCTTCAGTGAAGCCTTTGGCACGACTGCCTCGGACGGACCTGGCTCCTATACCGTCACCGTCAAGTTCAACAACACGCTGTTCAAGACGGTCCAACCACACACTCCGTTCGATGTCGTCGCTTGGCACGGCAACTACTACCCTTTCAAGTACGACCTTGGCCGCTTCAACACCATCGGCACCATCTCATTCGACCATCCCGACCCGTCCATCTTCACCGTGCTATCCGCTCCATCCCCTACCCCCGGCACAGCCATCGCTGACTTTGTCATTTTCCCTCCGCGCTGGCTCGTAGGTGAAGACACTTTCCGCCCGCCGTGGTACCACCGCAACACCATGAGCGAGTTCATGGGGCTCATCCAGGGAGGCTACGACGCGAAGCGCGGCGGCGCCGGAGGCTTTGTCCCTGGTGGCGCGAGCCTGCACAACGTCATGAGCGGCCACGGCCCGGACGCGGAGAGCTGCGAGGGGGCGCGCGATGCGGAACTGAAGCCAGCGAAGGTTGGGGCCGGTAGCTGTGCGTTCATGTTTGAGAGCTGCCTGATGGTGGGTGTGACGGAGTGGGGATTGCGGACTTGTCAGAAGGTGCAGGAGGGTTACAATGAGGAGAGCTGGGGAGGCGTTAAGACGCATTGGAAGCTACCAGAAGGATTGAAGGTGAAGACACACTTGGTTGAGTGAACAGAACCAAAGATAGTGATAGGTTGTGAGATGATACTATAGAGCTCCAAACATCTTCACTCCGAGGCTGTTTAGAAGATCCAAGCACTTTATAAAAATGAATGTTTCTTTCATCTATGACTATAGGGGTATTACTCAATTCTCAGACTCGCACTATATGCCTCAACGAAGCTGATAAGTCATGCCAAAAGAATAGTACTTTATCCAACTGACATCGAATTTGAGAAGTACTAGAACGGCCTCTATTCTAGCCATCGAAAGTCCCTCAAGGGAAATCCAATTACTCTATCATTACTTATTTACACGAAATGAGTAGATGGTCATCATCCTTGCGTCCGCATAAAAAGGTTGGGCGGCCGGTCTCGGTCCGCAAACTCGGCGTCAACAATGTACTCAACATCCCCTTCGGCCTTAAATCCCATCTTTGCGTAGAGATGTCTGCCCATGCTAGATCCCTCCAGAATAGCCTCAATCCCGCCCCGGCGTTGTGCCTCATCTAAACCCCACTGCACCAGCTTTCTCGCGATGCCCTTGCCCTGGAAGACCGGGTCAACGACGCAAAGGTCCAGAACCATGACTGTCGGCGGTGAAGCGGTCGCCTTTTCCCTGATCACCTCGAAACGTCGTCGGTGCAGCGACTCGAGAAGCTGGCAGCCGTAACGTTGCTCGGCCTCGTTGCCAGGATACAGCGCTTCGAGGTCGGCGCGGGTGTCCTCGACTGGGACATCTCCCTGGCCCTCGACGGCCGATGCGTGGACCCAGATTGCGACGCCCACTAGGATACGCTCGCCTTCTCGCTCGGGGTCTGGCAGAGTCGCCTTGACGTGCATGACGTTCAGTTCGCCCTTGTTGTCCTTCTTCACACCACTCCAGCGGTCCACCATGCGCTGAGCACCTTTGGCTCTCCCCTCGGGGGTATCCCAACCAGGGTTCATGACGATCCAGATAGCATCATGGGTCTGGCTACCGAAGGTCTTGCACGCGCAGTCGAAGCTGCTTATGATGTCCTCCGCATTCGTGATGATCTCAACGCGGAGATCAGAAATGTTGCTAGCCATGATTGCGGGCTAGGGGGGATGGTTCCTGGTTCCGGTGACAGTGATATTGGATTCAAGTATTTGAGCTATCCAGCTGGTAATGAACTCGAGAAACATTAATCCTCACTGCAGGCGCTCGGAAATCCCGAAACTTATCCTTAGTGAAGCACTAGCAAGAGGGATTAATTGCCCGTATTAGTCAACAGCTCCGCTTTCGTTTAAGACTCTCATGAAGTTGTGGATATCGAGTCTTGGCAAGAGAAATCGCAATGTCGGAATATGCTATATTAGAACTCCTTTACCGCCCTTTTAAACTTCTATGGCGTTGGAAATGCTTAAAATTAAGACTTCCAGCTTACTTCATGGTTGAGAGAAAAGGGAGTCGGGATCAGATTGCAAGAGAGCCAGGCGCCTATTTGACGAAAAGAGGGGATCTCATGACAATTTTCCATCCAAAAGGACCAGATTCGTCGGTAGCAACATAGGACAGCTTAACAAAACGAACTCGTCTCTATAGTCACCCACTTGCAAGCAATATACATGACGACGCTGCATGTCATAACGGGCGGTAGGCCAAAATCGCTCGAGCTACCCTATACATCTTGACATGGATAGCATGGCTTTGTCTTCACACAAATACATATACTCGACAAAATTGTATGTTCGCCGACGAAATACAGTCCATTAGGCTAGTGGTCAGACGTTGGAATTTTGAGAGGTTATTTAACTGATTGCAAGATACCTTGCAGGGGCGTACAAAAGAATGGATGTGCTTCCTGGCGTTATCCAACTCAATCGAATTACGGACCATCGGCTACGGAGGCCAGCTCTGGGCCTCTTCCCAATGCAATGCTCCTTCAGATGTGGCTAGATGCCAAGGTGCCCCCGTTCCCCATGTCTACAATGCCATGTCAATTAGATGTTTCACTATCTCGGCGGAACTTGGTCAGACCGCGCTTTAGTTTATACAGTTTCCTGGGACTACTGGGGGGGAAACGTTGACTTGAGGGTGATTAATATCAAGACATTCCATTACTTTATTCTAACTCTAACAATAATATCTTACACATCCAATGTCGATTTCGCTGGACTGACTTCATATTCTCTTGTCACCATGATACCGTTTTGGTGACTACTTCCATTACTCTTCGTGCTTTCCGCTCGGATATCATTCTGATATGCACTGTAATCGGGCTTTTTGCCGTAGTCGGGCTTCTGCACGATGTGTTCCTCGCTGGAGTTGTCTCCCAAATCTGTCATCATCTTGCGATGGCGGTTCGCAGAATTCGCGCTGGGGCCGGCCCCTGAGCCACCGATTGTGCCTAAAGGATGTCCGTACTTATTGGCTGCGTAGCCGCTTGACTTGTAGCGTTCGCTGCTTCCTTTGCTGGACCCGATCCATCGGGATGCGGAGAATAGAGGCTTGATAGCGGCGGCGTTGACTGCGATGATACCAACAAACTTGTGACAAGTTAGAAACCGGGAGTGACAAAGTAGGGCCGAGAATAGCAGGTGCAAGGTGGTGTATACTATGCAATACGGGAGTACTTACTGTTTCTCGAATAGCCCAAATCGTACTGGTGTTGATGCCCGAAATGTCTTTCAGCGACAGGACGCAGCGCAGTAATGTGGCGATCATGATGAAGACACCAGAGCACAAGAGAACGCCGATTATCAACTTCCTCTTGATGTTGAGCTTTACTTTCCAGAGCAGAGGAACTGGAATGCTGACAATGACGAAATCGGTGCTAATTGCGAGTGAGCATTCATCGCTGAGATGACACAGTGCCAAGTATTTCGTCGCCACGTAGTACGGATACTTACGATAGATTGAGGACCACAAGACTGATGTAGTTGGCAACGGCGAGGGTGCATTGATCTATGGCACATTAGTTTGCATTGTGCTATCAGGTCATGGAATACTTACCACCGGGATACGGCGTTACCTGCCAGTTCTTCCTGACAGGAGTGCAGTGGCCCCAGATGACGGCTATGACGCCAATGTACGCCACCACACACACCAGTTGCGTCCACTTGACAATCTTCTGTTGTTTTAGGCCGAGCCTGGTCGTTGTGTTAGTACATGGACATGTCGGAATCGTATGTGTCGGAGAGAGCATACGTCATGCGGTTGTAAAAGCACAGCATGGTTCCCTTGAGACACCAAATGAGGGTCACGTAGAAGTTCCAGCCGGCGAGAAGGCATTTCGAACCGAATTCTCTCCTTGCGATCTCTGCGTCTGTCAGAGTAGCGCCGATCTCGTTCGTGACACCGATATTTGTTCCGTTTTGGCCTGAGACGAGTATTAGCGACACTCCTCGACCAACCGCGATCAACGAGAGAATAGCTGATGGAGCTGTGTGGTTGCAGCGTGAACCTTGGAGCATAACGTACCGATGAGCTCTAACATGACCAACTCAGCCTGCATGAAAAAGGATCGGTTAGAGGTGTTCAGGGTTTAACTCGGAGGAAAGGATGACATGCCGTCCAGAATACCAAGGATAACATGGCAAAGTAGTCATCGCCTTGCCAGTTCTTTAGGCCAACCGTTTTCCATCTCGCGAAAAACCGTAGTAACAATACCAAAGACCCAATGCCGTATTCGGTCCAGGCCTCGGTTTGAAAGGGCGTTGCCATGACTGAGGAAGGCAACCAACGGCCCGGTGTTGTGCGAGGGTGTAGAGGATGTTTAGTGGCCACTGGGATGTAGTCGAAAGGGGAAGACGAGGATGTTAAGTGCGGTATGCCAAGGGCAAAGGAGGCGCAACAATCAGGTAAGCCTCTGGTAGACTTTGCGAAGATTCATGAGCTGGCGAGTTCAATGCGGAGCGGCGAGGTGGGTCAGGACAACATAAATTCGCAAACAGAACTGCAGACGGACGGCTCGAGTGAGCCATTCCACCATCTTTTGACTGCAGATAGCGTCGCATCTTCCCCTGAGTGACCTGCGATTACAACATAGATTCTGGAACAAGTTTTAGTTCATGCCTGCGAGATTTGGATGTCTGTCTTAACGTCGGGGATGATCCTTCGACTAACAGACAGGGGTCGCGAGTCAGGCCATTTCTCCCCAGGATCCATAACGGTTTGTCATAGTTGAGATGGAGAACAGGGATCTCAATGGCACGGCCCAGCGTTGACATGGAGTTGAAGACATGGGGGAGCTGGGCCATCTCGGCATCTGCCCGCATCTGACGGAGCATTACATCGGGAAGAAGGATCCGGAGGTGGCCCCCGTAGCCGATGGCACTATGTCAGTCTTCGAAACAACACCCATGTGGGCGATTGATCTCGCCTGAATATTGAGCATTCAGATGCGTATTTATGTATGTAGGTGTAGCTGAATGCGACCAACTAGCTCGCGTCAACGGCGAAAGGCTCTGCAATTAATGCGCGGTAAGTGTGACATCGCGGCAAAGACCTAGTAAAGGATCGCCGCCCTTCGGTAAATCCCGAGCTTCCTAGGACGGAGATGGCTCGTTGATCATCTTATAGCCGATATACGCGCGCTCAGAATTGCCTCAGGCATCCCGGTGCCGTCCAACGCGCTCCAGATTGCCAGCCTGCATGGGAAATGGGATTCGGGCTTGGCCCTGGTAGCGCCGTCGTCAGCTGTGGTGTTGGTGGCTTTCCCCGATCCCCAAACGGATCCGCGCGTGCTCCGCCGCTCCTTTGCAACGTTGTTGGTGAAGGCCTTCCTTGAAGAAAGGCCGGACACCCTCCGATTGGACATTTTTCAAGCCTGGGTATGATGCTGGCCTGGGCGGTGCACATCTTTCCCTTGGACTCTTTACGTGTCCCTGCCATGCGTCGTATTCTCATAGCCGATTGAGACCTGTTGGCCTGGTCGCCTGTTACACGTGTAACGAAACCGTTACAGTTACAGCCGTTGGTCCAGTTGGAGATCTCAATCTCGAGCGGCTTGATGCGTGTCTTAAAACTAGCCATGCAAGTAAACCCAGAAGCGCTGTTAGTGCCCAAAGGCCGCCCATATAAGAGATGTGCGTGCGCGGCCGAGATGCGCTGGATCCTTTATCCTTGAAAGATCATCATTGTTAGAACCATCTTACTCGACCTTCACCCGATCTGTCATACTCATTATACAGAAGCCCTTACAATGGCGACCCTTGATTCTTATGACTTCATTGTCTGTGGGTAAGTTGTCTTTCGGTTTCATGGGTTCAATCGTGATCGACATCGCCAAAGTCTTTGTGCTGGTTCTAACAATCTCCCCGCAGAGGTGGCACCACCGGTTGTGTCGTGGCCGCACGGCTCGCCGAAAATCCTGACACCAAGGTCCTTGTGATTGAGGCTGGTCAACACAATGAGAACCTGGAGACCGTACACATGGTTGGAGGGTAAGCAAACAGATTCCATCTCCGTGTCACTGCTGACGTCTCCCTCAAGTTGGTCTAAGAACTTCGACAAGGAGACGGATTGGAACGTCGTTTCTGAGAAGCAAGCTGCTGCGAACGACCGCCAGGTGAAGTTGAGCCGTGGCAAGTTCCTCGGTGGCTGTTCTGGCTGCAACGGCACACTATGCATCCGCGGTGTGAAGCAGGACTATGACGATTGGGAGCTTCCAGGCTGGAGCGGTGAAGAAGTCTTTGCCTACATTAACAAGGTACCCAAGCCCAATCCCTTGGTCATTTCTGACGCTTCCCCACGCGGCATCACCCCGCCTTTCCATCGCCAGCACCGCAAATCACCTTGCTTTTTGTTTTGCGTTTTCTGTTCACGACTAACCCCGGTATGTTAGGCCGAAACTTTCCATGGCAAGCCCTGGTTCAAGGAATCTAAGGAAGATCATGGAAGCAGTGGTCATCTCCACACAGAGCCTCATGACCTTGCCCCCATCTCCAATCTCGTCAGAGACTCGATGGTGTCCAAGGGACTTCCCCTAGACCCGGACATGTTCTCTCATGGAAACACACCCCACGGGTGTGGACATGCCGTGAGAACCGTCTACCAAGGCATTCGCACTACTGGAGCAGACTTTGTCACAAAGACGCCAAGGGACAATATCCATCTCATGGTCGAGACCCACGTAGATAAGGTGCTTTTCGACATAAATGAGGATGGCGAGTTCATCGCTGCCGGAGTCAGGGCTGTCAAATCAGACGGTACCGTGGTCGAGGTGAAGGCCAAGAAGGAGGTCATTGTCTCTGGTGGAGCGTACTGCAGCCCGAATATCCTGAACCGCAGTGGAATTGGAGCCAAGGGTGAGCTCGAGAAGCATGGCATCCCCACTCTTATCGATCTTCCTGGAGTGGGCAGGAATCTGCAAGATCATCTGGTAAGACACCCCGCTTGCACAGTCCCCACCCACTAACATCGCTCCAGATCGTCTTCATGTTTTACGAGACGGAGAAGGAGGGCCTCACAAAGGATCACCAGGTCTATCATGGAGACGCCTTGGCCAAGTCGTACGCACTCTGGAAGGAACAGAAGACCGGGTTCCTGTCGTCTTTCCCCTTTGGCATCTTTGCCTTTGCTCGTCTGGATGAGCGGCTTGCCGACTCAGAGCTGTGGAAGTCGGCTCCTCGAAAGGAAGGCCGCGACCCGATGGGTCTGACGCCCTCGCAGCCAAACGTCGAGTTTTTCACGACTGAATGCTATGGCGGGCCCAAGCACTTTGATCAGTTCCCTGTGAACGGCAAGCATGCATTCTCCATCATCGCCGAGCTCTTCGCGCCTCGATCGCGAGGAACCGTGACGCTGCGAAGTGGGGATCCCACTGCCGTGCCGGTAGTTGACTGCAACTACCTCTCTGACCCCCTCGATGTGGAGGTGCTTTCGGAAGCCTGCAGGTTTGGCAACGAAATCGTCATGGAAGGTGCTGGAACCAAGGACATTGTTAAGGGTGCTTGGCCTGCTACTGCCACGCATGCTGGGTTCAAGACGCGAGAGGACTGGACTCCGTACGTGAGGGACAACGCGACGACATGTTACCACGCCGCTGGCACTTGTGCCATGGGCAAGTCGTCCGACCCCAACTCGGTTGTTGACGAGCAGCTCCGTGTCAAGGGCATCAAGGGCCTCCGAGTTGCCGACTGCAGCATCATGCCCACCCTGAACAACGGCCACACGCAGATGCCAGCGTACGGCATTGGAGAGAAGGTCGCCGACATGATCAAGGCCGCGTGGGCTTAGGAGGCCTCAGAGTTGAACGGGAAAAGGCACATGTGAATAAAGCCATGTGCGGATCAAGTCGGACAAGAGGCTTAGCTGCAGTCCGCATCGACGCCAGGTTGCCTCGCCTGAATATTCTTGCAGGTGGCTTGCGAGGCGACTGAATAACACGGCGAGGACGGTACGAAGGATTTTCGCAGTGCATACAGTGCGGGTCACAGACCAATGATCGTAAACAGTTAAAAATGGCAATCTGAGCGCACTTCTTGGCTGCATTGCGGTGAAACGGGCCTCGTCACCTCGTTGGTCTCAAGATACAGCGTTGGTTGAGTGTTGAAAGAAGCTAAACTATCTCCACCTCAGCTAATGCGGGGGGCTTTGAGCGACGTAACATAGTGCGGAAGGGTTCCAGCCAATAGAAAGAGTGAATTACCGCCCAATGCCCCACCGTATTCCCGTCACCGTAGGGCTTAACTTAGACACCCGTCGGCCTCAGGCAGGGCGAAAGATCTGCCGTTAGCCCGAGGCTCCACTGAGTACTCCCCGCTAACCCTTCTGTAGTTAACCCTCTGTAGCTGACCGTTTGTCGCTAAAAATCCTTCTGTCCTTCTGGCGAGGCCCTGAAGCGGCTCTCCACCAGGCCCCCCAAGCTAAAGGAGAATTTGCTGCTCCTCCCGTCGATCATTTTAGTAAGACCGCTCCTTCAACTCAACACGAACTCCTGACTTGTCCCCGTAAACGCCGATATAGATCCTATAAGGGGCTTCGAATCTCCGTAATACTTGACCCTATACGTGCCCTTTTCGGCGTTGCCGCTCGTCTCCCACGTAATATCCACCTCGCTGTGACCAAGGACCCAGTTTGTGCGACGCCACGAATACACCAGGAACCAGTCTGCATCGTCTCGCACCCGTGTCCACACCCCGTTGATCTTCTGCTCGATGGCAGCAAAAGTGCCCTCCAATCGCAGATTGTTACGGGGGTTTGCTCCCTGGAATGTCACCTTGACAACGGCCCCTAGGCTCCCTGAGTCGGGTTGGTCCAGTACCTTGCCGAAGGCGGAGCCGATCGGCGCGGCGTCATATACAACCCCTGTGATGAACGAAAGTGAATCGCCGCGATTGTCAGGGGCCAAGGGTCCCTGATCAGGTACCTTGTTTGAGTCTGGCGCGAGATAGCCCAGGTTTGAGACTGTGAGATTGATATATGCGTGCAGCTCGTGTGGGCCGTACAGAGTCGAGGCTCCCTCGTAACGTTGGATCTCATACTCTTCGGGCGTAGCAACATAGTGCGCGTATGTATTGGCAGGGCCGCCCAGAACCACGATGGGATCCACGTCGAGAAAAGTAGCTGCCTCCTTGCCAACTGCGTCTCTCCACCTGCGGCCGCTCATGGTCGTGGCTTCACTCGGGCTTATAATAAGGACTAGTTGACCAGCACGGAGCACCTGAATGTCGACAATGTTAGGTGACCAGGGGTAAGGTTCCGACATTTCTCCCACGTCAAGAAGAATGGGCTTGGATCCCTGGCATGCCTTTTGCTCTGCAGTCGGCGTCCTAAGCAGGCCCGACACGGCTGCCCACACGGGATTCGCATCCGGATCGCCAGAGTCGGCTTGAGTGAAGTCGAAGAACCCAGGCCAGTCAGATGTGCCGGCAGCGAAAGAATAACCTAGCGCAGCAGGGCAGGTTTTGCCAGTGCTTCCGTCGGGGAGCTTGAATTCCCAGAAGCTCATATCATGGTAGAAATGAAAGCTTTTCACGGTTGACCCAACAACTGCGGTGGAGGATGTGTCCTGCATACCAGTTAGATATTGAGCAATTGTTTCATAGACGGTTGGGAACCTACGTAAGCTTCCTTGGCACCAACGTATTGTCGGCGTCCAATTTCGTAGCAACTGGACACTCCGAGGTCGAGCTTCCTAAACTCAGGCCCTCGACCGTGGCAAGATTGTGACAATCCGTCTGCGCATGTGCTGTTCTCGAGGCTGCACTGGCTGCCCGAGCCGTCGTCACAGTATGCACCCAGTGTGTTTGGTGTCGTATCGCCGACATTTGCCTGACTAAATCCAGCCACAAAGCCATCGGCGGCCGAGTCTTCACTCTCCATCTCGCGTTCGAACATCCACGCCGCGACTCCTTTGTTATCTCCTGCGACATGTGTGTTGTTGCCGAGGAGTGAAGTGCCGTGGACGGGCAACCATGTCAACACACCGATGTTCTTGTTGTCCGATGCTCGCTGGAATCGGAGGAGAGTGAGAGTTGTGTCTACTGACGCGCTATACTTCGCGCGCTCTGCTGCCGGGTTGTTCAGATATGACCACAGAGATCTGTTTATCGCTGCATCCTCCACCTCTGCTGTGCTAACACCGAGGTAGCCCTGGAGAAATATTAGATTTGGGTACGGAAATCAGCATGGACAGTTACTTGCCTCTTGGAGACTTTCATGGGCGCGTTTGATAGAGAGCACAGCACCGTCAACGATAGCCTGATACGTCTCTTTGCTGAAACCAAGTGTCGTTATCTGAGGGAGTAGGTAGTTATACCAGCCTCCTGGTCCGGCATGAGAATGCGTCCCCGTGACTGCGACGTTGTGTTGGGTGTAGACTGAATAGTCGCTGCCAAGAGCCGCGAGGCCATCCATGATACCATATCTTACCGCGGTGTCGCCGGAGGCAGTATCCAATACCAGATATACAAACCGATCTTTCGGGTTCTCTACATCCGCAACAATGAATGCGCGACTATAAATACGCTGCCGAAGTCCTGTGCCTGTTTGATCAAGGTCTGCATACCCAGCGAAGCCTATCTCGACCTAGATTGGGCTTAGCAATGGGTACGGGAACGGTGAGGCTTTTGTACTGACCACTGGACCGGTGATATCAGCCTTTCCAACTCCAATTAGAAACAAGTCGCCTTCTGCAGAGGCTCTATGTTTGATCTTGGCAGTTGTGTCCTCGAATTGAAACCCAGTCTTCCCAGGTGCAGCGTGTGGGGTGAAAAACACCACGCCGAGGAAGAGAAGTAAAATAATGGAGAAAACTCCAATAAATTGCCGCCTTGGAAGGGCCCGGCCATAATTGGCAGAGCGACTTGGGGCCATTGTGGGCAAGTCTGGATCAATTGGTCTAGCTCTGTGGACCAAGTGTTTTCAGATGCTGACACCTTAGATTGAACAATGGTCAACGATCTGCCTTGCTCTTAAAGTCACGGCGGTGTATTTATGCAGTCACAAAAGAGCACAGAGGTCGGGAGTCCGCTTTATTAAGAACGCGACACGGTGGCTGTCCTACTGGCAGGACTATACTTGGTACTGAGCTACGATTTACTTCTGAAGATGTATCCGCCGAGGTTGAGATTGAAGGAACTATCTATCGTTCTTCCAGAAAGGAAGTCGGCTGATGATCAACTGCCTCCCTGGGTAAGTGTAAATGATAGTTCCTCGCTTGACCAAGTATATGCGTGGTTGTGATGCAACCTCATGTCACAGGGCATACCGATAGAGCAGCAAGCAACTGCGGGGGAGGCATTCATGGTGTCTTTGGGGGTCATGTGGGATGAATTCATAGGCGTCGGTAGACCCGGAGGGAAACCCACCGAGTTACTTATCCCAACCCGCTATCCCAACCGCAGCTATATGCCGTCAGGTAACGGCACGAAAATGGAAGTGACCTCCGATGGAGCCCAGATAAGCTCGCACCTCGCTTACACTCAACAAGCTAGAATATCGAATGCGGCCATTGTTATCTCACGACAATAGCCTGCTCTCATTTCAATTAATCGGTCCATTCAGTGATAATGAGGCTAGTCTTCATCCGCGAGGCGGACAATTCTGACGTGTCAGAAGAGGGTAGGCGGAAAAGGTGACGAAAAACTCCCAAGCGTCATCATCATTTACGGGGTCTTATCTCATTCCCCCCTCTTATGGAGCTTCATTCAACTTTTTATTTAGTTGTCTTCTATTCTGTGTGTTTTAATCGGTTGATTACCCTTGCTGTGGTGCCAGCATCACGCGACTGTGACTGAACACCCTTGATAGGGGCATTAGGTTCGGAAATCGACCAATAATTACGAGAAAACTCGACTATAAACTCTGTTTTTTTCTCCATCTTCACTCTATTTAAGATTGCTCAGCCCGGAGTGGTTCATTTTGACATTTGAAGACCTACATCTATCTTGCCCTTGCCCACAATAACAAAGCCAAGATAACGGGACACGAAACCTCAAGGTCTTTTTTCACTCAGCACGATTATTCAACAATCTACGAAACCTAGAATTGACTCATATTGAGTGCAAGATATGTGTGCCGACACGATGTCACTTGCATAATCTATTGGGAGGCTGTAGTGATACACGACCTTATCATTTCCTCTTCCAGCAATCTCGCAATCACATCGTACCCGAAAAGAATACCTTCCCGTTCTAATCATACAGCAGCCCATAATTAATTATCCTTGGTGCCAAGTGCAAATATTCCTGCTTCCTTTATCGTCGCTGTTCGTCGGTGTACTCCACAGTCACCGTTGTTGTCTGAAGGATCGCTTTCCTGGGTGGGGCCTGGACAATACCCTTCTCCGAGTCCGTGTCTCCCCATCCCACGGCTTCCTCACCGTGGCCTCCCATTATTTTCAGATCCTGCCGACCTGTGACAGGTCCCATTAGGTATGCATCATTGACGGCCCTTTCCTCGGGATCAAACTGCGAATAATTATTTCGATCCCGTCGAGATTGAGATGATGGGACGAGGGTTCGACTGGGTGGCTGAGAGTTTTCGGTCGTCCTGGTCTTACTACCATAGCGAGATTCGCCAATGATTTTAGGGGCGATGTGTTTGAAGAATTTCTTGAGGGTCGGTGTTGAAGCGCAGGTGACGATCAGGTTGGCTTCAACGATACTAGAACATTGTCAGCATCAATGACAGCAAAGGATGTCCGGGTACTCACCTCCACACACTGGCCCAAGAAACCACCCAGGTTGCATCAGGGTCAGTCAAAAGCGATGGTAGAATAGAAACGCGAACAACAGAAGTGACGACGGTCAAGGAGCCAATGCAGAATATCCCGAGCAAACCAAACTTCTGCCGTCGTGGGATCTGCAGCTGCATAACCATTCGTATTGGGAGGATGAACAATACCAGGTCGGAAGCAATATTTGCAACGGCTGTTGCGATATATAGACTCGGTCTGTTGAGACAAACTCCGTCTGTTATCGTTACATCCCAATTCATAGCGATGGGCCGGCAGGCAAAGACGAGGGGAATGAAGATGCCCATTGTATAGCCAGAAATCAACACTATTGCTGACCAGGTCGCCATTTTGAACCATCGCTGAGGAGATAGGCGAAGATAAAAGATGAGGAGGGCGATCTTGGCCAATGATCCGCAGATAACGTAGAGCGAGGCGGCGAGGTACACATCCTGGAATGAGATTTGTTAGGACTTTCAATTTGAAGTAGGGCCAGAGCTTCTAGCCGCACTTGTTAACTTACTAGTAAATAGGAGTTGAATTGTTCAACTGATATTTCCCAAGCATGTACGCCTCCAACTCCTGTCGCAAACATGTCTGATCAAGAATGTCAGCTATCCGAACGGCCCAGTCATCTGGGAGTACCTTACGAAGACAAAGTCCCTCCGTTACGAGCGCCAGAATCTACCATCGCCAAGTCAGTAATTACAATCGCAATGCTTGCTTAATCTCACTGCACAATTCCATGTTATGTTTGACGAAACAGAGATCCCTCGTTACCATGATAGCCAACTAAAAGCCGGCTTCGTTTGGGCGGACGGCATAAGGAATTTTCAGCTTACCCAAGATACGATAAGCAAGACTAAACGCCATAATGTCAGCTTTGCACGTTATATTGCCTGTGACAGTGCGGCTCTTCCAAGAATTGCTTCTGCCAAATGCAGGTAGACCACATAATCCCCACTCGGGCGTAAGATGGAAGAACTGCCGGGGAATTGTATGAAAAGAAAACATAAAGAATTCAACTCACAATCATCAACCAGAAGCCCACCTGCAAGGCATACTTTGACATACAGCCGTTGCGCAAAGAAAAGCAACGAAATGGCAGTCCCAAATCCGGCAACGTAGTAGGCCTGTGGGACACCTTGTCTCTGCGGATGATCGAAATCAACCACATATCCCTCTGGTGCGGCCAACACGGTCTCCACTCCATTTGTTACAGGCATGTTGATGTGGTCACTCATGGATAGAGTCGGAGTTGAGTTTGTGGACAAAGTATGTGAAAGGAAAACAAGATCGCAACAGCATTTGAGAAGGGCAGGGCATTCAAATGCCATACAGCCCACGATCCAATTACACCGTTTGCCACCACCCATGACGCCCCCAACGCACAAGGTCTCAAGCAACATATTCTATACGCCTCTTATGCAGGCTGCATATTCAGCCCTCGCTCGTCTCCGTGACTACTTGCCAATAACAAGCCGGCGGAGGATTGGCTCGGGATCCGATACAATCTCCAGTCGATGCTCGCCCAGCTTGTCTGCGTGTCCCCCTTGCCCAGGCCCTTCGTACGCGCACGTGGTCAAGATTTTAGGGGAAATGGTTGATACTTGATTTCAACTTGGTAGAGCCCAAGGCGGAGGAGAATGTCCTCCGAAAAGGTACAGACTCCATTCGTTTGACACTGAAGCATTCGGTGTGATTGAGAAGCCGGAGTATTTCCCACAGCTTACATAGCTCACCGGGATTCCGATCATGCTGAATAGCCCTGGATTTTATTTGCTGTAGATCAGCATGCAGTTTCGACTCTTGATCTCGTGATTTTTGAAGCAGGAGGCACTCAAGTGAATATCCAATCGCTTCTCGCGGCGGGGATCTTCGCCCGGGATTCGGAAAAGGAGATCCTGAATCGCGCGGCCCATGTAAGTGCAGGGGTTAATCCCAGGGGCCGCAAAATCTCTCGTAGCCAGCTGTCACGCCTAGTGGGAATGCAGAGCAGGTCAGAATCTGGCACTTCCCCGCCTCTCTGGTGGTATCTTGGTCTCAGCTAGGCCACCTCGCGTGACCAGGGATGCAGAGGAAGGATCTGGGTTTTGGGGCGAGTGCGTGATGTGGCACGCTGTAACCCTTACTTGGTTGGCTATTAGCTCCAATCTGCGACGTTGCTTTTCGTGCATCTCTGCAGCAATGCGAGATGGAGCCAAGGATCTTTGTTAATCGGTGACGGGGATAAAATCCCTCGGCAATGCAACCCAGTCTCCAGATGAAACTACCATCTTCTTATCATAGGCTGACGTCGAAAGTATGATGGTCTTTGACTTACTCGGCCTCCAATTGCAGACGCAAGAAATCAGATGCAGCGCATTTTTGCGTTGTGGCTTCATTGTGAAAAGCCTCCCCGGATTCATCAACACCCCTGCTTTGTCAACCCCAGCCACTGAGGGGACACTATTAAACGCCGGTGACGGCTCATGGACCCCGGTACCTAGCTCTCCAGGTCTGCGCAATCAAGGACTCCCCGGACTTGGACAGCATGGAGCCGGCATAAGTTACAGTGGAGATATGCCCTTCTGGTAGTAGCGAACTGGCTTCGTCCACGTCGAGAGCTGGCTTATCCCTCAAACAACGGTCGGGTTCGGGAAGAGCCTTTATGACTTTTCCGTATGTATGAGACATATGTCGGAGGACTGGTCTCCCAAAATTTCGGTGTTCAAGTCTTGTGTTCAAATAATCTACTAGACACTAGGAGAATCCATTGCCGGGGTGCGTCGTCAACGTGCCTGCACCAACCCAGGCGCCGTATTCCATTCCTTCCAGACTATAGCCCTGTCTAGCATCTTTGTACAAGCCTGTGGGTCGGTTGCGGTCTTCCTTGTAGTACCGAGGCTTCGATTTAACCTGCGCCTTGGCCAGATGCTTACCCCGCGATGAACGTGTCATAGGATTCTAGCCCTCCACCACGGTGACATCTATATGATCCCTTTTCAAACTTTTTGCAAAATAAATTGTCATTAATAAAATGAAGTTCAATTTTTGGTTTGTTGCCTCCGCGGCGGTAACTCTTAGCCAGTTTACCTCCGCTAAAGAGGCTTCATCCTATCGATGTGTAAGCTTCAGCATCCTTCGTCTTTCGCCGTCACACTACCAACATTTTCAACCGATTTTTTCATCATTTTAATGGTTTTCATTCACGTTCGCTATAAAAAATGTCTAACACGAATCACAGTGTACTCAACTTGCCAAGGCTGGTCTCATCGACAAGATCCTTTACCCGAAGCAAGCGCCCTATGAGCAGCGTATGAACTCATACTGGAGTGAAAGTGCTGCGCTAGCCCCGTACTGCATCGCCTTGCCTGGATCAGCCGAGGATGCGTCCACTATTATGAAAGTTATCGTCAAGAACGATTGTCAATTCGGTATCCGAGGTGGCGGCCATGGCTCCTTTCCCCTGTCCAATTCAATCTCTGACGGGATTACGATTGATCTCGGTAAGTATCCATCCCTCTTCCATCAGACACCAATCATCATGTGTGGTCATCAAGCCATGACTAACCTCTCAAGGTTACATGAACAAAACGGTCTACGATGAGAAGAGAAACCTGGCATTGGTTCAACCTGGCGGGCACTGGCAAGACGTGTACGACACACTCTCCCCTCATGGCGTTACTGTCGCAGGTGGTCGTGCTGGAACCGTTGGTGTTGGTGGTTTTGTGACAGGAGGTGGCAATTCGTTTCACAGCGCGAGCCATGGATTCTCGTGTGACACCGTTGCCAACTTCCAGGTGGTGTTGGCGAACGGCACCATCGCCAATGCAAACGCCACTCACAACGCTGATCTTTGGCAAGCGATGAAGGGGTCGTCGGGAAACTTGGGTGAGTCGCAATCCCCAGCCAATCTTCAGAGATAATAGCGCCCGGTGCCAGAGACACGGCTAACAGCTCCAGCCCTAATTACTCGTATTGACATGTATCCTATTGCTTTCGTCAACAAGTCGAATCCTGTGATTTGGGGTGGCAACCTTCTCTATGATGAGTCCAAGGGCGATGCCGTCATTGAGGCTCTTGTCGATTTCAACGAAAACGTCTACAAGGATGAGAACAGCAGCTCCATTGTCTATTGGGCCTACCTTCCTTCTCTTGGAGGTACCATTGTCAATGCTGCCGTCGAGAACACCAAAGCGGAAGTTAAGCCTGCCGCTTTTGATGGCTACTATGCCGCGAAGCCGTCGAGCGACACGACGGAGGTTGAGCAAATGTCGGCTGTTACCAAGGCACTTGGGTCTGGGCAGCCACCAGGCTTTCGAAACATTTGGTTCACCAGTACATTTTCCAATAACGCAGAGATCATGAAATACACAGTGGAAAAATACAACAAGCTCAACGAGAAGCTTGAGGAGCTCATGCCTAGTGGCGAGTCTGGCCTAAACACGCTATGCATGTTTCAACCTATCACCCAGAGCCACACCCAGAAGGGCGTTCTCAACGGCGGCAACGTGATGGGCTTGGACAAATACACGGAAGACGGCAATTTAATCCTCTTTCTGGTTACGTGGGCCGCGCGCGAGGTGGAGAATGAGGAGGCCGCATTCCCTCTGATCAAGGCCTACATCGAAGACATCGAGACTAAGGCCAAGGAACTGGGCGCATTATGCCCGTGGAAATTTGTCAACTACGCGCATCTATCCCAGGACCCCTTGGCGACCATCGGCGATGAGGCTCTGGCTAAGCTACAGGCTGCTAGTCAAACATGGGACTCTACGGGTGTTTTTCAGTCATTGAGGCAATCTGGTTTCAAAATTCCAGCACAAGTTGGGGAAGAAAATGAACAAAGCCATAGGTGTTTGGGACCAGGGGCTTCGTGTTATCATTTTGAGCTTTGAAGAGACATCGTGGCGATAATACACCTCATCGTGGATGGGAATAAAATCTTTGTATAAAGACCAATTACTATTCAATTTCCAACATAGCTCTCCGCGCCCTTCTTCGTTTGTGCGCGAGTTCAAAGGACCAGACAAAGAAAAAGAGGTGAATCGGATCAGCTCCTCGATGCCAACAGCAGAGAAAGAGATGCTTCCGCTTGGCCATTATCGGATGCACTACTTGGAGCCAAAGATCTGAGGCCAGTATTGGTAGAAAACATAGGTGTCAACGCAGCTGCTGGCGATGAGACCGACGACGACGTAGCGACGGGTTTGTGGCGAGAGGTTGCTCCACCTCCACTTTGAGAAGCCAGATGAGGTGGCCGCGGTTGATGTAGACGCCATGGGCTTGAGCAGGGGCGTCGCAGTGGAGAAGTTGGCGTGGCGCGCAGCTTGGAGAGCTGGAGACGCAACGCGGCTGACGAGAGTTGGCGACATATTGGAGTAAGAGTCGGATGTTTGGAAAGTGGTGTATTGGATAGATGTGGAATGAATTTGAATGTTGGGTTTGTTTGATCCCTTTCGTAGAGATTATTTAATATTTATAGATATGTTGGATGTTGATACACCCTGAGCGTAAGGCCCTCTCGCATTATGCTAACGCGTTAGGGTACAAAGTTATGGTACATGACTCCAAGACACCACCACCATCATCACTATCCCTCACAACGCCTAAATTTCCCGTGTTTTCCAAGTGGCTCCGTTTGCATCAGGCAGGCGGCCCTTTTGGTCGCGTAATCGTCAAAGGCTTAAACGGCTTGCGTAACCGGTCCATCGAGGGTGGAGGACCCAACCCCACAGGCCGCCTAGGCTTCACCGATGTGAAGGTTGTCGCATGAAAGCTGGACGCTGGCCGGTCAGGAACAGGTTTTGGTTCTTCCTCGTCGTTCGATTCTTCATCTTTTGGGGCGGCTCGCGGCGGAGAGCTCGAGAAGCAGGCGTAGGGATTCTTTGGCCCGTCGTCTGCTCTCGGCACAGTTGGCCTCTGTAGAGGTCTCGCAGCGGTGAGTTTGTGGTTCGCCAATTCAGACTCAATCCGTGGCTTCGGTTGCTCGATTCGCGACACCGACGTTGGTCCTTGATGTCGTGACAGAGCAGCTTGGTATCTCGCTTGCGCAAAGTCTACCGCTTGCTTGTGTTCACGTGGCTCTTCGTTCGACTTGGATCGTTGGGTCACAAACCCAAGCAAACTCTTTTGGTCGCTTCCACGCTTTGTGGTTCCCCTCCTAACTCCTGCCTTTGGGGGTGGTGCCTTTGCTGCTGCTTCGGCAGTTGCCACGTCAAGGGCCACTTTGTGCGCGCCGGCCGTTGTAAATCCAGGAAGTGAGGCGACAGTAAAGCCAGATGACTGCTCCATTGTTGTTGCATACTCCCGGTGCCACGGCTTTTCTTCCGATTCCTCGTGGGAGGACTCGTTGTATGAGGTCCGTTGTCGTTTCGGGCCGCGCGAGTAGTTTCGTTCCGAATCACCCTCAAATCCATCTTGTTTCTTAGAGTCGAATGGTTCTATCGGGAAGGCGTCATCCTCGGGAGAAAACATGGGTGGCAGTTTGCCAAAAACTGCACTCTCGCTCGGTGCTACCCTTCCCAAAATCTTGGCTGCACTTTCGACAACCGCTCTGTCGAAGGACGGCCCCTTCTTAGCAAAAGCAGATGAAGCAAATGGGGCAACAAAAGGAGAGAGTTCAACTTTCGAGCTCATCCCCTGTGATCCGTAAAGCGGGCAGCTCAAGTAGAGAAGCGCTTTGGCTCGTGTCATTGCCACGTAAAGCAAACGCCGTTCTTCATCAGTGTCTTCGGATCTCGAGTGGGGGATTGAGCCAGTGTAAACAGAAGGTACGAAAACAACGGGCCACTCGAGTCCTTTCGAGGCATGGATGGTCGATATAGTAATCAGGGACGTCTTGTCTTTGGTCGCATCATCCTTTTGAGCGTCGGATGCCAGCGACACATTTGCAAGGAAACGTCCTAACACGTCATCCTCTTTGACCTGCTCGAGGTTCTCAATCTCGGGAAGGGCATCCTCTTCCGATGTACCAAAGTCTCTCACAAAGTCACCAGCCAAGTTGACAAGTTCCTGGACATTTGCCCACCTCTGCTCATGCTCCTCTGAATACTCCTCCTCCAGGTATTTCTTGAAGTTCAACTGACTGACCAGTTGCTCGATCAGATTGACAATGGTGAATGGGCTACTTTGCGTGATTTGGTCCTTTTGTTTCCGAAGGTTCGATATGATTCTGAGTAGCTCGGTGTTGAGTTTCTGTTCCATCTTAGCCCGGATAGTGGTGGTTGCTTTGCGAGTGCCTCTGCAATGCTTCCACAGGAGTGTCCATAGACTCATTTTACTTTTCTCGGCCTCCTCCAACAAAGACTTGATGGTCGCCTCTCCAATGCCTCGACGAGGCACATTGATGATACGTGCCAGGGCATCGTTGTTGTCGGGTTGGTACACAACCCGCAGATAATCTAGAAGAACTTTGATCTCTTTTCGATCGTAGAACTTGTGGCCGCCTATCATTCGGTATGCAACACCAGCTTTACCAAGTGCAGACTCAATATGCCGAGAGAGCGCTGCTGACCGAAGAAGGATTGCCACATCCTCATTTTTCAACATCTCTCCAAACATCATAATCGCTCGTTTGACTTCGGAGACGATCCACTCCCCTTCCGCAGCCGAACTTTTCAGCGTCCTCAGAACTGGTCGTGCACCCTTAGTATGAACCGGTAAAAGGACTTTTTGGTATCGTTTCTTGTCTTGTTGAATGACGTTGAGGGATACGTCGAGGATTGATTGCGAAGATCGGTAGTTCTCCTCCAGGGAGATCTCATCCGTGTTCGGGTAGTCCCGCAGCAAGCGATAGAGGTTTCTGATCTCGGCCGAACGCCAGCCGTAAATACTTTGATCTGGGTCGCCCACGATAGTGATCCGGTTGTTCGCTTGAGCAAAGAGTCGCATCAGCTCGTACTGGATGCCGTTGGTATCTTGATATTCGTCGATGAGCACAGTTTGGACATTCGAGACGCACACAGGGTGGTCTCGCAATAGTTCGACGCATTTTACCAGGAGATCGTCATAATCCAGCAAGTTCGAGCGGGCCAGTTGTTGTTGATATTCGTCATAGCAGGTTTGAAGTGCTGGGTTCTCTTTTTGCTTCTTGGTCGTCTGGGACGCATCGCCGCCTGGGCCCTTTGCTTTCTTCTTGCTGATCCATGTCCTCGCATACGAGGGCTCTATCCCAAGGTTTAGTCTTTTGCAAATTCTCTGAAGGATGGCCTTGGAATCTCCGTCATCTGCAATGCCGAATTTGGAATCCAGTCCGATGTGTTTTCCGTAGATAGACAAGTACCGACGAGCAATGGAATGAAAGGTTCCGAGAACAATCTTCTTCTCGCATTCTTCGCCCAATGCCTTCCCAATGCGCTCCTTCATTTCCCGGGCAGCTTTGACGGTGAAGGTCGCGACGATGACGTCGTTAGGGCGATACCCCATGCGCTGGACGAGCCATACCACGCGAGACGTGAGAGTATGCGTCTTACCACTTCCCGGGCCAGCGAGAATTGCGACGGTTTTAGCTTGTGATACGACAGCTCGGCGCTGCGCCTCGTTCAGCGACCGCAGGATCGTATCCTCCGAGTTGGATGCTGGCATGGTGGTGACGCGGAACGGTCGACGCGCTTCTGCCACTGGGTCGAGAAAGGAGGTGTCATTGAGGTACTGTTCGGAGGCAAGCGCGTTATCCGAGTTCTCCGGTCCAACGTAGGAAATCAATGAGCAGGTCTCTGCAGCAAAATCGAGACTTGAGTATACACTGCCGTCTGTAATCGCTTGACGAACCTGGACTTGAACTTAGCTCGCGTCACGGCCGAGCATCGCGGTATCACGTGATCGAGGCCCGTGTGGAACATCGGCTAGATGCCTCCAGTCTAGGGTAATGTGAGGGAAGCGATGATTCAGGAAGCGCCGGCTCGACGTTTCAGGTGCCTGGCTTGTAAGTCTTTGATTTCTACGACTTTTTTCATTTTTTGGTACGTATCCTGTCTTGGTGATGCTTGTAAACCCCGTGATTTGTGAAGCAAGGGAGGAAAATCGTGACAACAGATCTTGACGAAGTTCTGTCATCCGTCCCCAGTACCACCGCAACCCTTCGAGATGATAGTTTTGACAAGATCTGTAAACACTGCGGATAAACGTGCCGCGTTTGTTGCCGCTTTGACAATTTTACCAAAAGGAATACGAATCATCGTCGAGCATGTTGTCACAATCACTATCGTCACATCCACCAGGTCACAATCACTCAGCAGTCAGCTTTCACCGTCACATCGCGGCATGCAAGTTTGTACAACACCACCACACAAGCAAATGAGAGCCATCGGTCCTTAACAGTGCTACTCTGTATATGTTCTGTTTGGACTCACATTGGGACTGGTATTGTGATAATATGGTATAGAGCGCATTGACGCAGGGTGAAATGTGACATCGGATGATAGCAGCAGTGACGAGTGAGATCAACCCACTTAGCTTTGCGTGATGCAAGAGGTGTTGTGCTGAAGAAACACCTTTCACCGCTATCGCTTCGCGCGGCGTCTGTGATAATTGACGACATTGGACGAGATCAAGACGGTAGTGAAGGAGGGGCTGTGATAATGATGGACCAGACGTGCCATGGGCCAACGTAACGACCCAATGCCGTGCCAGCAAGGGTAGCGGTCGTGCCACTCCGAAGAATAGACGCCAGCGATGGGCATACCTGGGTGAAGGGTTTCGCACCAGCGACCAGAGGGGTGCCGGAGCAGTGTGATGTCACATCTAGGGGCCCTTCTTATTCGAAGATGTTGACGGACTCACATGATGAGAACGGGATGGTTGACTCCACCACATGCAAGGCCCGAGACCATGGGCACCATGGGAAGCGAGGAGGAGGCAGGCAATAGGGCCTGGATCTGGACTAGTATTTGGCACGGCGGGTTAGAGTGGACGGGGGGAAGAGTTGTATAATCACTGGCGATAAAGAGGAAGCGGAGCGAGAGCGGTCGGTACCTGGGTGAGATGCAGTGGCATGGTGTGGTGTGGTGGATTCAGGAACAGGCACTTCGCCCAAGCAGAGTGTATCCCAACTAACCACAACGAGTACATAGTCTCCCACCTCCAGCAAGAGAACGACCCGGACCGCGGCGCTGGGATTCGCAGAGGCCCGCTCCGCCCCTCCTGTGCTCGCTAACATAAGGTCGGCCATTAAGGGTGCTGCTGCTGTTGGATACGCATTCGGGTACACAGTCGGGTACGCAGGCAGCCCACCAAAGCGAGACTTTCCACCTTGTTAGTGCCACCGCAACCCGTCGAATCGCAACCACCATCTCGACCGTCACACACAGAATGCTGGGAATGGCCCGCACAGTTGACGGGCGGGGGGAAGCAAAAGGTGGTTGGAAACTTGGCGTGCCGGCCCCCGCATGTCGCCAATCACAGCGCCCACCGCTAAACCGCAGGGATAGCCTCCCCTGGCCGGCGCTTAACTGATCGCCGTCGGGCCAATCGCAGACTATAAACGATGTTTTTCATCACGCCGCATCTCCGTCACACTCGCCTTTGCCTGGATCCGTGGATCTATTCTCGGCCGCCCGCCCTCATGCCCCCTCATGCATGTGCCGCCATTCGACGAGTTGCAGGCCTGGCGTAGAACCGGCCCCCCGATGGCCCAGCAAGTCAGAGCCCGGCCCTCGAGGCCAGCGGCTAACTCTCCAAGCATCACCAGCCGCTATATACCTTACTCGGCTGCCGCAAGTTCCGTCTGGTGCATGTAAATCTTCCCCTAGATATGTTTCGTCTCGTCACTCAGGAGGTCTCGTCCCCACGGCTAGATTCTTCATAAGACAGGTTGCTCGCCTTCGCCCGAAACTCTTTCCATCATGCCGCCTGAGGCTACCCGACTCTCACCATTGCTCTCTCTGCTTCTGTCCTTGCCATTCCTTTCACCTTGTGTGCTCGCCCAACTTGACCCCTCCTCGGTGCTCGACGCCCGAGCTGACGATACCCTCACCTCTGCTGATCCTCTGGGAGACAAGAAATACCTGCCCGCCCAGATCGGTGCTATTATTGGAGCTTACGCTGTTTCACTGGTGCTGGTCGCCATCGGCTTGCTTGTCCTCTCCAAGAAGCGCCGCGCTCACTTAACAGCCGGCAACGACGAAATCGACTTTATCGTACGCAAGGATATCGCTGTACCAAACTTCCAGACTGGACCCTTAAACATCAACACCAAGGTCCCAACCGTTCAGAACTTCTCACTACCTTCCCCGACCAAGGACGACTTCGGCGCTCCCAACCCTTACGTCCACCCCTCACCAACTTCCACCGTTGGTGCCCCAGGAGTCAACCAATTTGTTGATCAGCGAATTGTGGCCGCTGATAGAGTCATGGCCCAGTCACAGCTCGAGGAAATGTACAAGCACGTGCTGGAGCACGAAGACGCCAAGAAGCGAGGAGAGTTGTATGAGGCTCCTCTGCCGCTTGGCTCTCACCAGCCGCGCAGCTCGACCTCGGTCGGATCCATGAAGTCGAACGGAACGACCTTGTCCAAGAAGGAACGATCTAAGCCGGCCGGCCTGAACCTCTCCCGGGATGACAAGTCCCAGTCGAGGACTTCCTCGCTCCTATCGGCTCTTCGATCGCCCAAGAAGAAGGCCATGAGGGGCGTTAGCATCTCGTCTCCCATCATGACTCCCCAGTCCGCCACCTTTCCGCGGCAAGAGTCGCAGGAGCTGAGCTCCATCCCGCCCCGACACTATGCGCCGGCAGCTCCGCCCCCGGTCCCCACCGACCAGGTCCCGTTCGGAGCCGTTTATTCCAGGCCCGCAGTGCCTTCCACGCCGGATATCTCGCCCCAGAGTGTCCAGAGCATCGATGAGCGTATCGGTTCTCAGCTCCCTTCCGTCTCTCAAACCCACACCCGAAACAACTCCCAGGCGCCCACTGAGGTTGATCCTGAGTCGGCCACTTCGGAGCACTCCCAGGCGCATCTGGTCGGCCTTCCGCAATCCCCGAAGCCTGGTGCTCGGTTCCCAACCCTCCCGGCATCGCCCAAGCCAGGACAGACGTTCCAGCGCTCCAATAACCCGTCGGCAGTGCGAACCGGTGGCTCGCTGCCCTTGCGTGCTTACGAGCCGTCGATGAACTCTACTACCATCGTTGGTCAGACTACTAAGCAGACCGTGTTTGAGAGAAAGGCACCGATGTCACCTAGCGGCGCCATGACCCCGTACACTGCAGGTGCGGTGCCGTACTCGCCCTACCAGCCGTTCACACCCTGCATGCCCATGACACCGTCATTGGTGACCAAAGAGGACCGGAAGCGAATGAAGAGAATGGTGCCAAAGACTCCGACTCTGAACATGGTCCAGAGTTCCGAGGATGTTTGGTAAGCCACCTACGGCTGGGAGTTGGGAAAGATTCCGTTCATTTCTTTCTTTTTCTTGTTCCCCGGTTTTCTTAGATATTAAACGACCGCCCGTTTCCTTAGACGGCAATCATCATGTCGCTATGACGCGGGATCTACTTATTTCCTTTTTTTTAGTAGGCAATGTTGCGCACGAAGTATACCAATGGCCTTCATCCAGACAGCAGGGGAAGATGGAGAAGGAATATGCAAGGGGGTCAGAGCGTTTATCAATGTATACCAAGTCTTAGCTCACCTACCACCATCATCCCACCGTTGATACGGATTGGAGTGGTGGGAATACACTTTCTAATCTGTCACTAAACTGGATCTAAAACGTGTTTTGTATTGACGTGCGTTATCGAGTGTTGATGTGTAATATTGCGACTTATGACCACATGGTTTAACTGTATTTGGCTTGGGATACAGCGCGGGTAAAGCGCGCCGACATCCTTTCCGGGTGGTGGCGGGGTATCTGGCAATGCCGTAACCTTGCTCGTGGAGGACAGTGTGCATTCCATCCGAGGGGAGTGTGCGTCAAAGGTCTCGACCTTTTCCCTCTTTTGGGTAGCTCGGAGATCGGTCGTTTGTGACGGTGCAAGGAGCGAGAGACAGACTGGGTCTCTACTATACATGGGACCACATCCTCCAGGACCAACACCTGGGGTCTGGGGTCTGGGCTCTGTGAGGAATGGGTCCAACGTGGGAAACGTGGGATGCCACGCGGTCCAGCCGCACCGCCACAAAGCGCAAGCATCGAGAAGCAGGCGGGACGGGCCTCGGACGTCCGACAGGCATGGGAACTTAAATCATGGTCGGGTCGTATCGTGCCCGCCGTCACTTCATCAACAAAAAACTCAATTTGTTTTATCACAGATCTCCTCTAGAGAAGATATCGGGAAGTTCATGGCCTACCACTCCCTACCAAATATAAGCGTGTACTGATTTGCCTGAATTGGGGCAAGGGAAGGCATCCTCCTCCTATGTTGCCTCTGGTTTCGACTTAGTTTAGTATTCTTGACAAACCTGACTTTAAGGTACGAAGATCTAACGGACCCTGGATAATGATTGCAACCGAGAATGTGGCCATGCTAGAAGGCTTGTTTCATATTGGTATGTTGGAACACAAGGAGCGTCTTTGCAGGTGGTCAGATTGGCCTGTCGAAAAGCAAAGAGCGGTTCTCGATATCTTGCGGACAGGTGCGAAGACGCAAGTAGCCGAAGAAGCCCTTCTTGAAGCGGGTCTGTATAAAAAAGCCCGAAGGGAATACGTGGGGGGAGGATTCAGGGCCAATTTACTGGGTCGATACGGTATAGTCTGTCAAGCCAGGAGTTTGAGGAATACTGCACCGTCACCACCCCGAACGGAGATGGCCCAGTCTTCTAACCCTACCATGTCTTATCACGGCCTCAAGCACAGGCACTCGGCTGGGACTGGAATTTCCTTGAATCCAAGACAATGAAGATGATCAGAGCTATGCGGCAGTTCTGCAACATACATGCAGAGCAAGCCGGTTATGGGGAACCTCTTGTCGACTCCGACATCCTTATCTACTTACTGGTTGGGACATCCCTTTTGCGACAAGATTCGGACAGCCAAGAAGGAACGGCCTTGGGCAGGCCGAGATGAGATTGCCTTCCACCTCCTAGACTGATGAAGTCTACCTATCGTGCCTTGGTTGCGCCACCCGTCCAAGGCTTCCCTTTGGAAAGGGCCTGATCATGGTATTGCTATGAGGTTTGGTATCGTCAAATGGGAGAGCTTCGACCCTGTCCAAGGCATCGACTTCGGCAAAATTACAATCACCATCGATGCTCTGGTGACAAATATGGGCATGTCAAACTATGAAAACAGCTCATGGGACAGTATTCGCCAAATCTTCCACCGGGTCCCTGGCACCATCCGTGCTGGAGACCTGATCCGGCCCTTGGAACTGAATCCTGGGCCACAGTTCAGGATCCCGGAGTCTCGCCTATAGCGCCTAGTCCGGAATTCAGTATGCTCGCTTTGTTGACCGACTTATGGGTTCCAGACGATGATTCGGGGCCACGCTCATATTGTCCGCTCGAATGTCAAGACTGCGATGCCAAGTTCATCAGTGTTGGTGCCATGATCCAGCATTTTCGAAAAAACCTGGGTTCTGGCAGGCATGAAATGGATGGATTGTCACAAGTAGGCACCTAGCATGACAACTTGGAGTAGGATACTGTCGACAAGACGTACTGGTAGACGTACTCGTGCGACATACTCGTGCGACCATCCCAGGTGTGGGAAGCAGTTGGTTAGGTAGTCACAAGAAAGCACACTTTGGCTCGTCACAAAGAGACTCACAAAGAGACCTGGGAGAGGACTCACTTTACTTTTTGTTTCCCACTATATCGGTACTACACGTGCGCCTTGTGGCTTTGGCGTACCATGGCTGTCGGAGGCGCGGATTAATATGAGGGGCGGGCTAAGAAGGTGGGCTTGACTGAATAGAGAGGGGCGTCAATATTGAAAACCCTGGATCGCCGATGGATTCACACAGTTGACTGCGGCTTCTGGCGCACGGAGCGGCGGGAACCACGGGGGGGAACGGAGCGGCCGGGAGCAGGCGATGAAAACTTTGCTGCATAATTCCACAGTGCGTCCCGGAGTGTCTCAACTGTGCGACGCCAGCCTAGCATCCACGCCGGCTGCGGTTACCCACCTCGATCACCCGCAAGAGCGCACTATGAATGGCATGGACCTCTCCGAGCCCCAAGAGCCCATTCACAGCGTGTCCCGGTATCCGCGGAGGGGGGGTGATTTGCTTGGCGGCGGGCCGTCTGATGCTGGAGGCGTCGCGAGCTAATCGGAGGCTTGCTGCGGCCTTTTTCTGCACTGTGGCAGTGTGTGGTCGCAGCCAACAGCGGGCACCCGACGGGATCTCGCAGCCAATACGCACTGTAACAAAGCACTGTAGTGGCCGATTCCCCTACGGCCCCTTGTGGAACCTCGCGCTGGACTGGTTTGGTCCGGCTCAAAGCTGGTATGGGCTGATAATGGTTCGATTTCCGTCCGTCCTCGTACACTCTCCTCAAATCGAATTCCCTGCAGGCCTCGTCGTCTCCCTCAATCCCCCCATCCCCCCCATCTCCATCACCACAGCGCTGTCTATCCCCGAGGCTCAGTCAGACCATATTGCGAGCTTGCCATCGCTCTGCCCCCAGTCCCTGGCCTTCCATCGAACGTTCGGCCGCATCCGCCATCGGTCGATCCCACCTCAACCCTCGTTCTCACCCTCGTCCACGCCCTCGTCGCCGGACTCGCCATCGCCGCCGCTACCCAGAGCCCACGAGCCTGAGATCCGACCACCGAACTGCGCCGCCCAGCGACGCACCACGCGGCGATAGCGAGAGATTGGTGCTGCGTGCTGTGTGCTGAGTGCTGTGCGCGCTGAATGCTGAGTGTGTGAGCCTGTGAGCCTGTGAGCCAGTGAGCCCGCGATAGAGAGGAGTGCTGTAGGCCCGGCTCACCTCACCCAGGCTCGCCCACGCCACTCGCTCATCCCATTCCTACCAGCCCTCCGGTGCTCTCACCGCGAAGGCCTTCGGGGTCACCCCAACGATTGGGCCCGTCCAGTGGTGCCCATCTAGCCATCAGCCCATCGCTGCATGGTCCTGGGCCTGCCATGCCTGGCTCTAGGTTTTCTGACATGGCCGACCATGACAACTCGAATAGCCTGTTTGGGCTCCAAGACCCAAATATCGGCTTCGTCGATGATGGCTCGGTTGTGAAGCCGGACCCCTCTCTCCCTCCCAACGACTCGACCTCGTCCAACTCCCACCCTCCTCCGCCCCAGCCTTACTACGCCGCGCCCGCCAACGCCTGGCAATTCACGGGCACACCCCCTTACGACTCGTACGACCCCTCGAGCGCTGCTCCTCCCGCCCAGCCTACCTACCAGACCTCCCCTTGGAACATTCCTTTCGGTCAGGATCAGCAACTGCAACTCCAGCAGCTTCCCGTCTCCGCCGGCCTCGACAGCCTTGCACCCGCTACTCTCAGTCCCGACTCCATCTACGCTGGATCCCTCCCCTCGAACCCCTCCGTGGCACAGGGCCCTCCCTCAGACAACAGCAACTTCCCGCCGCGCGCTCTTAGCTCACTGACTCCTGCCCTGCAGGAGAAGCTCCGGAACATCGCCATGCCGCCACATCTGCAGTACAACTCGCCAAAGAGCGCCTCGAGCCCCGACTCGGCGACAGGTGAGGCCAAGATGGGCATTCTCTCCTCTCCAGAGCTTGCTGAAATGTCTTCCAAAGCGTCCCGAAAGCGAAAGTCTTCGGCTGATCTCGAAGACGAAGAAGAGGAGGACGAAGATGGCAACCAACCTATCAAGAAGACGGCTCACAACATGATCGAAAAGCGTTATCGAACCAACCTCAACGACAAGATCGCAGCTCTGCGAGACAGCGTCCCCAGTCTGAGAATCATGTCCAAGAGCGCTAGAGGCGAGGACACCACCGAGGACCGGGAAGAGCTTCATGGTTTGACCCCGGCCCACAAGTTGAACAAGGCCACCGTGAGTCTATGTCGAGACGCGATGCCCACCATGGCATGAGGCTAATCCGCTATCTAGGTGCTGAGCAAGGCGACCGAATACATCCGACATCTCGAGAAGCGAAACAACCGACTCCTCGACGAAAACAGCGCCATGCAAGCGAGAATCGCGGCCTTTGAAAAGCTCTTCATGGCCGGCGCGATGAATGGCGCGATCAGCCCCCTCCAGCAACCCCCTACGCCCATTCAGTACGCGCAAGATTCTCAACAGTTCGTCGGCTCCCCCATGTCCGCTTCTCCAGACGGAAGCGCTCCGCCCGCGGGCATGATCCAGGTACCCGAGGATATGAAGCGAATTATTTCGGCGCAGATGGCTGCAGGCCAGCCGTATCCTGTGCCGCAGCAACCTTACCGCGGTGGTAACCCCGCTGTCATTCGACAGCAGCAGATTCAGCAGCAACAGCAGATGCAACAGAATCGCTGGAACAATGCAGGTCCATACTTCGGCAAGCTCATGGTCGGCTCTCTTGCGGGCCTGATGCTCTTGGAGGCCGTTCGAGAAGACGAGGTTAGTAACAAGGAGACGGAGGGCCGCGGTCTCTTGGCCGTACCACTTCACCTCCTGCGGGGCGTCGCCTCAAGCTTGGATCTCAACTTTATGGGATACCATGTCCACACCTCACTCCGAGTTCTCTTGCTCCTCGGCACGTTCTTATGGGTCTTTGTCCCCTCACTTTTCACCCAAACACAGCAGAAATCGAAGAAGTCACAGGTTGGAGTCTTGCAGGCGGCTCCTTCTCTAGCCTCACCAATTCACGTACGACAGCAAGCATGGCTCACCGCCATCCAGACTGTCTGGATTCCTCGCCATAACTTCTTCCTCGAGGCGGCTGCCCTGATGCTCAAGACGCTCAAACTGAGCATGCGCAACGCCATCGGCATCCACGGATACCAAATGCTCACTGGCCTGACCGAGGAGCAAGAGACTGCCCGTGTCAAGGCCTGGTGCATTGCCCTTGACTCTCAACTAGCCGGCGGAGATGTTGAGATCAACAAGAGCCGCCTGGTTCTCACCCTTCTCGCGTCTGGCACTCTCCCCAACTCCCCTATCCGACTCATGCTCAAGGCCTTGCACATCCGCGTGCTTCTCTGGGATCTCAGCCAAAACAGGCTGCACCTGGGCGTCAGTAACGCGATTTCTGCCAAGCTGGCACGGACCATGTGGAACGAGGCGCGGCAACTTAACCGGCTACTCATTCAGTATCGCGCCGGATCAAAGGAGCCTCACGAAGATGAACTGCCACAATACCTTGCCTTGCTTGTTGAACAAGAGAGCGATGACGTTCTCAACGATGACGTGACTCAGCGTGCGCACAACCTGGCCTTTAACACCGAAACCGATTCTAACATTACGACCCCCATGGACGGAATGGACGATGTTGTCGATGATACTGCTATTGGATCGCCGATGGATGCTGTTGCGGCTTGGTGGTCGATCCAAAAACTTCACCGCACACTGGTTGCTACTCTGGATAAAGATGAGGAGGTCTTGGCTACTCGTGCCGAGGATATCCACTTGGCAGCCGGGACTGCTCCCATCGGATCTTCTGCCGAAGCTCGAGCCGTTGTGGCGCGTGCAGTCTGGGATGACAGGGCTCGTGGCAAAAACATCGCTCTGGCCCTACAGTCCTTGGGAACCGAGAGGGAGGATAGCCTGATTGGCGCTTCCTCGACCATCATCGACTCGAGCTTGCAGGCTTCAACCCCGGATATTCGTCTCGCATTGCGGTGCGCAATGGCCATCGCTCACCTTCGACGAGCCGAAAGCACCGACGGCACCCCCAACAAGGGTCTGCGCGTGATCGAGTCAGTCATGGCTCGAGGCAACGCATCTCAGATGTCTCTTCTCGGCTGCACCGCGGCCCTCCAGTTGATGGAGGAGCTTTACGAGCAGAAGGATGCGGCAGAGATGTTCCAGCCATCGTTGGAGCGACTTGCAGGTGGACTTCGTCTCTGGATGGGAGGTGTCCCAGGAGAAAAGTGCGGTGTGCCGTCGGAGATCCGAGGAAAAGTGGTCGACCGATGTCTGATGATCACCAAGAGCGTAATGGGCATGGAATCCGATACCGGATACGGAAGTCTGAGCGAATGCGAAGATGATGGGTGTTAAAGTGGAGTGGACTGGGACTGACGGATCCTGGAATCCCGCGAAGGGACCCACGAACGAAATCTCCCGGAAATGCTCTACTTGACCACTTTTACACATTTCCTTTTTGTGTTTGCTCTTCTTCTGAGATGACTTCTGTACGATCATGGGTATCTGTTTTCTAGAAGGTGGGCTCTCTTGGGTTCTGGAGTTACTGTCGGCAACGGATAAAAAGGACGATACAGGACGGAGGAAGAGGGGATTTTCCTAGGGAATTGGCACAGCGACAGGAACCTGTGCCCAGAGTTTCTACGACTACTTTCATTTTTACTTTTCATTACAATGTTTCATATTTTCCTCTTCGTGTTCCTTTGAAACTCGAGGCTGAGACGCGAGTTCTCAGATAGTGAACGGGATGGATAGCTGGCCGACTGGTTGGCTCACGAGTATCGGGCAGTCTTGGTATCGAGGCGGCGTCCCTGGAATGGTACTTGGAGTCTATCTAATCAACAACTGGGACAAAGACGCATGAATGTGTCACGGCCATTCGGATTTGGAGGTCTGTTGAGGGTATATTCACTTAATTCCGCACAACGAAGGAGCTATCCCATACAAAAAAAACCCATGATCGAATTTCAACCCACTCTCCGATGCTATCCAAAGAACCCTGTGATGCGTGTCGTCTCAATCGTCTAAACTCCAAGTCTATTGCCTCACTACCATTCCGGCGCGCTTCCGCATCCACCGCCCGTCATCAGCTCGACGGGCTTCATCATCTTTGTCCCGGCGATGGGCCGCACGCCGGGCTTCTTGCCCCTGAGCCCGACAAACTTGATGCGCTTGTCCAGCTCCTTCATCGGGGCGGCCGCGTTGCTCTCGCCCTGCTTGACCATCCACTTCTTGGTGCCCAGCGCCGCATCCAGCTCGTCGACTGGAGGCAGCCTCAGGTAGAGCATGCCGTCCGGCCGAGCCTCGGCGGCGAACGTGGCGATGGAGAGGGCCTCGTCCGTCTTGCAGGAGCCGTTGCCCAGGTCAAAGTTGCGCTTGTGGTGCGGGCACGACACCCAGGGAGAAGTCGTGCTGCTGGGAGCATCCCCGTTGCCGTTGGCAGACTTGTTGCACGGCTCCTGGCCGACGAGGCCGTCGGAGAGGATAAAGGCACGTTTGTGCGGGCACATCTGCTGCGTGGCGTAGTACGTTCCCTGGATGCGCCAGACAGCAAGCTGCGTATCTCCGCGCTTGATAGTGGCCGAAATGCCGTTGGGCAGCTCGTCGGCGCCGTCAAAGTACGACGACTCGATGACGGGCTGCCACGACGTCGTCGACCAGCGGTCTCCAAGGCCCTTGAAGTCCTCGGCCGCCGACTCGCCGGCCCAGAACACGGGCCGGTTCTGGTCGCGGTCCTGCTCGACCTCCATGTTGGCGAGCGTGTCGCTGGTGTTGTGGAACTGCCGGAACTTGGCGGCGATGGCGGGCGTGCGGATGGCCTCGGCCCACTCGTCGAAGAAGCTGTCGACGAGCTCGTTCATCTGGGCCTCGAGCGACGCGCAGATGCCGAGCTTGTCCTCGAGGATCACCTCCTGCAGGTACTTGAGGCCGCCGGGGAGGTTCTCGACCCAGCGAGCTGTGCGCTGCAGCTTGTCGGCCGTGCGGATGTAGAACATCAGGTAGCGGTCCAGGATCGGGACAACCTCAGCTGGGGGCACGTCTTTGGCCAAGAGCTCGGCGTGTCGTGGCTTTGCACCGCCGTTGCCACCGATGAAGATGTTGAAGCCCTTTTCCGTGGCGATCAAACCGAAACTATCGACGTGTTAGTTACCTGGGAGGTGACTTGAAGTGAAGATGTCGTCAACAGGGGGGACTTACTCCTTGCTCTGGGCTTCGGCACACTCTCGCACACATCCGCTTACACCTCCCTTGATCTTGTGCGGCGCGCGAACACTCTTGTAGCGCTCCTCCAACCGCACTGCCATGCCAACACTGTCGCCGATGCCGAAGCGGCACCACGTCGATCCGACGCAGCTCTTGACGGTCCGGAGCGACTTGGCGTAGGCGTGGCCGGATTCCATGCCTGCGGCGACGAGCTCGCCCCAGATGTCGAGGAGCTCGTGTTTCTTGGCGCCGAACAAGTCTATGCGCTGGCCTCCGGTGATCTTTGTGTAGAGGTTGTACTTCTTGGCCACTTGGGCGATGGCCAGGAGCTTGTCTGGCGTGATCTCGCCGCCGGATATCCGGGGGACGACGGAGTAGGTTCCATCGCGCTGGATGTTGCCCAAGAAGCGATCGTTGGTGTCTTGTAGACCGTAGGTGGTTTTGTCCATGACATGCTTGTTCCACAGCGACGCCATGATGCTCGCCACAGCAGGTTTGCACAGCTCGCAACCGAGACTCGCCTTGTCGTTGCCGACTTCCCTCATCACCTCCTTCAAAGACTTGAGGCGTTTTACCATGACGATGTTGTATAGATCCACCCGAGAGTAGTTGAAGTGCGAGCAGACGTGGTTCTTGACCTCGTTGCCCATGGCCGCCATGGTCTTGTTGAAGATGGTTGTTACCAAAGGCATGCAGCCACCACAACCTGTGCCGGCTTTGGTGCATGACTTGACACTGGCAAGGTCCTTGCAGGAACCGTCCTTGACGACGGCAACTACATCGCCCTTGGTGACGTTGTGACAGGAGCAGATCTGGGCGTCATCCGGGAGATCATCACCGTCGTCGCCGTCCTTTTTGGCGCCGAGGATGAGCTCGCTTGGAGGCACGTCTAGCTCTTTCATGGTTTTGACCATGGGGACGAGCTTGACGTAGTCTTTGGTGTCGCCAATCATCATGCCGCCGAGGAGATACTTGCCGTCCTTGGTGAAGATGTACTTTTTGTACACATTCAGAAAGGGGTCTCTGTAAGTCAGGGCCTGAACAGATGCAGCGGCGGCGGCAGCAGCGGCACCGTTCGTCAATTGCGCGCCGGTCCCATCTCGTAACGACTTTGCGAACTTGGGCGGGAGAGACAGGGGACCTTTGACATCGGCGAAGCAGTCGCCAAAGCTGGCGACGTCGACGCCGAGGAGCTTGAGCTTCGTGCTGAGGTCGGGCCGCTTAAAGGTTCGAGGTGAGTGAAGCTTGGCCTGGGTGAGGTTGAAGGCGAGGACATCTGCCATCTCGACGCCGGGGCCGATCAGGCCGTAGGTTTGGCCTTTCCAGCTTGCGCACTCGCCGACGGCGTAAATGTCTGGGATGTTGGTTTTCAGACCGTCGTCAACGACGATGCCGCCTCGCTCAGCGCATTCGAGACCGGATACTCGAGCCAACTCATCCCTGGCCTTGACACCAATGGCAAAGCAGAGTGTTGAGCAGTCAATTTCCTCCCCGTCTTCGAAGACAACGCCCGTGAGGTTGTTGCTCTCATCAGTTTTGATGCTTGCCACGCGCTTGCTCAGCATGATGTCCACTCCTAGCATGCGGACCTGGTCAATGACCATCTTGCCGGCATCCGCATCTAGCTGCCTGCTGAGGACCCATTTGGCACGTTCAAGGAGGCTAATTTTGCTGTAGCGCTCTAGATCCAACATGGCCTTGGCGGCTTCCAGGCCCAGCAGACCTCCGCCGACGACAACCGCATTGGTTCCTGTTCTTGTGTCGGCAAAGTCGATGAGGCTGGTCAGATCGTTGATGGTCCGGTAGACGAAGACACCGGTGGCGTCGTGGCCTGGGAGTTCGCGAGGGAGGAGAGCGTCAGAGCCGGTGGCTAGGACGAGGATGTCGTACGAGTAGACTTGACCGTTTGCGCAGGCGACGGTCTTGGCTTCTGAGTTGATGCTGGTGGCTTTGGTGTTGACGTGGCAATTCAAGGCACCTTTGGGAGCTTCTTGATACTTGGTATTGTTAGTACGGAGTAAACTGGTGTGAATGCTGCCGCTGCTATACGTACCCATTCAGCAGGATTGAGGTAGAGATTTTCAATTTTTCGGTGCTCGAAGAAACTTGTGAGGCCGACTCGATTGTAGGCCAGGTGGGGTTCATCGCCGAGGACAGTAATGTTGTATTCCCTTGTATTTGCATCGTACTTTAACAGCTTCTCACTGGGGAATTGTTAGGCGAGCTGCTCATTGAGGGATGTCTTCGATCAGATGGCTCCACTTACATGAAAGAAATACCGACCATGCCCAGTCCCACGACCACGACATGCTTCTGCGGTTGACTCATGATGGGCGAGATTTCACCAAACCCATGCCACCTTGGAGAATACGCCGTCAAAGAGCAAGCCAGCCGTTCAAGCTGTTCACGCCAGGGGATCTACGGTTTTATGAGAGGCCCTGAGAGCCTCGGCTGTTGGGCCTCGATTCCGAGTTCCACATAGCATCGCGAATTGCATCTCCGGGAACTCGACGGAAACTCGAAGCGTAAAACGCATTTCCGGGCGGTGCGACAACGTGAGGTACCCGGGGAGATGTGTCTGAGAGGTGATACTGATAAGACGGGCAGAGAGCCAATCACGATGCGGCGTTGTGGTGCGCCCGCGCTGGTTTTGGCGTTGGTTGTTCCGCGGAGAAAGGCAAAACTGTCAGGGCCGTGGGGCTAGACTGCGTGGAAATTCGGCGACGGTCATATGTCGGACAAACAGCAGAGATGTCGTGAGAGGAGAAGAAGGGCGTGATTATGACAATTCGGTTTCTCATCGGTTTTTCATTCCCGGTTTTATGAGTAAGAGTTGGGCGACTGTCAACGTCAAGTGAAGCTGTGATAGGTTATTCTCCGAGTGTCAACCACCCACGGTGTGTCAATCGCACGCCGCAGTGGCAATTCCCCTTGTCTTCCCGACCTCTGACCGAGTTATTTTTTCGACCAGTTTTATCTTCTCCGGGACCAGCGCTTTTCCTCGGACGCAAGCGCAGCTGTCTCCCGCAGATAAGATCTCAGGGCGGGCTAGCGGTATTTCCAACAGAAAACCTGCTACTGGCTGGCGTATCCAAGATAAGCAATCATCTACTGTGCTCGATCCGCACCTGCGTGGGACTATTTGATCGAGGCGTTTGCGGCTAACTGTTAACCGGAGCCATCTACTTGTGTGGCTACACGAAAGAGGTCTGGACAACATCGGGATGACTGGGGGCGAACCGGCTAGAGGATCGACCGATACGTGATTAATTGACACAGATGAAAAGCCAATGCCTATGTCGATGAGATCAATTGAATAGAGCGACGCTATTCGCACACACACCTATTATTATTTGCACATATAGCCACATTCCTCATGGTTGCAAATCAGAGCTGGCTTGTCACGCCGTGGGTGTTGTTGGGGTGAAGCTGGGAATGAGACTTCCACTGGAAGTCTTCCACTGGTAGAGCGCTGAGCCGCCAGCCACCCAAACCACAGCAGCACGTGGTGGCGGCCCGCCCCTCGTCCCCCACGTCATGGCAAGCCGAACCCCGCCAAAGCAACCTCCAGCCTCCGAACTCCTCTGAACTCCGATCCGTCACGATAGCTTCACCTGTCCACTCCCTTCCTCTCCTCCCATACCCGATCTATTCGCCCACCACCCACCACCATGGCCACCGCAGCTGCCTTCCCAACATCCACCACGCCCTCCGACCCGTCCCCCTCCACCCCCGCCTCGGGCCCCGCGCCCTTCGCATTTCCGCGCGAATACCACTTCCCGGCCTTCTACACCCGCCAGACGAACCTGACGACGCTGCACGCCCAGCGCACCAAGTGGTCGGCCCTCATCCTCGCCTACGCCCGCCACCACCGCATCTTCCGCCTGGCGCTCTCGTCCGCCGCCGACTCCGACCTCTTCTTCAACCGCCGCCTCGACCGCCGCCTGAGCAACGCCGATATCCGGGACGTCATCGACTTCATGCGCAAGGAGGGCCGCGCCGAGTTCGTCAGCGGTGGCTCCACCGGGGAGGTCGTGTTCATCTTCTGGCGCAAACCCGACGAATGGGCGGGACTCATCGAAACCTACGTCGATGAGTCTGGCCAGAAGGGCAGTGTGTTGACCCTGTACGAGCTGATGGAAGGAGACGGCACCAAGGGAACGGGTATGCTACCCAGGAATCTACTCTCCAATGAAACATGACTGACCAGTAGACTAGATATCCACGGCATGGACACCGAGGTCCTCCTCAAGGCACTCAATGTTATTGTCAAGCGAGGCAAGGCACAAATCTTCGGACAGGACGACTCTCTGGGTGTCAAGTTCTTCTAAACAGAATCCTTTGCCACAACTACATACAACTGCGCCACCCCTCAGCCAAATAGAGCCAGGCGGACGAAACCAAAACCGACAACCGGTACGAGGACCAGCGATGCTACCTATCCTGCACCAAACTCCGTCATTACATTATGCCACATGCCCTTCCTAGGCCTTATAAAAGTGATCCACTAGGAACTTCTTGTCGAACCGTACCTGCTGTGCCATCGCCACATCCAGCAGCCAGTCGGGCGCCACCACCCTCGGCTCCATGTTGCCCTTCCGTGCCATGTCCTGGAAGCGTTCCCACAAGGCCTTCTCCTCCGGGGTATTGCTGCTAAGAAGATAGACGGGCTCAGGCGGCGCGTTGCCGTCCTCTTCCGCCGTCGTGGGTCGGATTGTCGTTCCGCTTCGCGCTCGGTAGATCATGAAAATAGCACTGTTCGCCTCTGCGATGGCCTTGTAGCTATCCGGCCCGTTGCGGATCTTCTCGGTGCAGTAGATGGGAACGCCGAGGAGGAGCTTGCCGCGGTTCGATTTGGCACGTGCTACCGACTTTTCGAGGCTGAAGCTATACCGTTTCTCTGTTTCCTTATCGTGGAGGATGAACTCGTCCACGTCGGGAACCTTGCCCGTCTCCAGAATCTTATCAATGTAGGTAGATGAGATGACCGTGGGTCCTCGAGCAAGGGCACATAGAAACTTGACTGTGCGGACCACATGGGGAGCTGCCAGGTAGTCGCAAGGTTGCCCTTCCTGGACAATCTGAACGCCAAGATCACGCAGTTTTCTCTGTCAAGAGCGTTAGCACTGTAAATAGAACAAATGTTTTTATCTCAACTTACCCGGTCCTGGTCCTCCTTGTGCTTGTCTCCAACCCACCGACCAAACCCAGTGAGAATGATCCGAGTTTCGATGTCAGGCAGCGACGGCCGGGCCTTCTTAGTAGGCCGCTTTTCGTCCGCGCTATCATCTTCGACTTCCGGGCTTGTGCCTGGCTTGGTTTTGGGGGTCTTGTCAACCTGGTCTGCCGCACGTTTCCCGCCCCAGGGCACATTGGCTCCCTTGCTGTGTCTTTTCTTCTCCTTTTCATACAACGCAATGTCGGGAGCGATGGTTTGGAGTAAATCTCTCGCTTTGGCCTTTGCGCTGCGCCCGCCTGTTGATACCATGGAAGGCGTTTCATTCTCTTTTCCTGATCGGGCAGGGCGAGTTCGGATCGGAGTTGCCACAATACCCAAAGTCTTGGTGGTTGTCTTCTTGGCGGTGCTCTTGGTCGCTGCTTCACCTTGTTGAAGGTCGTCCACATCCCTGTCTCGGTCCTCCCGACCAATGACAACACCCTCCGCCGGGCCGTGTTGGTAGGCATTGTCCTCGGCTGCTTCGAGAATCTTTCGCTTCCTTTTAGCCCGAGGAGACATGGTCTCCTCGCCGCCAGGGTAGTACATCTCTCGCAACCTGGATTCGTCAAAGAAGGTCTGACCGATAATCTCGCCTAGGTTGGTTCGGGGAGGAAAGTGGTTGTACTTTCCTATCGTCATTGGCTTCATCTCGCACTTTGCATAGCTCTCCTCGATCCACAGATGGTTAATGACAGAGACGCCCCACTCAGGAGCAGCCTTGCATTTCTCACTAGAATTGCGTGCGGTGATAAGATGCGTGTTGTCCGCCTTCATCGTCTTGGTGAATTCAGCACCGCTCGCCCTAATAAGGTTTTCGAGGTAGATTCGAGCTTCTCCGCCGTAGTTGGACACCGTGATCCGCAAGCCCTTGAAGCCTTCGATACCATTCTTAGGAACGGGGTAGTGCAGGAGACGGCGGAGGGGGGAGGTCCATTCATTGTGGACGATGAGGTAGAACAACCAGGCCAAGTTTCCAACATCTTTGCATGACTGAGCAGCCTGGACGTATTGGGGACCATCCCGATACTGACAAATGAACATATCACTGCCATCCACGTGCTCAACAAGCCTACCGCCGCCGTTGACGATGATATCTTGGATGACCTTGTTCAGTCGGGGGCTGATACTCATATCAGAGGAGAGCATGACCTTTCTGTCCTGAAAGACTGTGACCGGAGGGCGAACAACATCTCCGTCTGGCGGCAACGGCAAGTAGGTTGGAGAAGTTGATGTGGCACCGTCGAGATTCGAATTCTCCGGGATCGCAAGGTCGTCTTCTGGTAACTTTTTAAGAATCTCCGGGTCAGGCAGGAGATAGGGTCCCTCGTCGATCCGTTTACCCAACTTGAAGCAATCATCGAACCTGCAGGAGGTCAACACCGGGTTCACAGAACACTACAGCGTGGTACGTACCAATGTGGCAAAACGACTTTTCCCTTCCATCCCCTGTCTCTGGAACTCTTAACCTTGGGATGATCCATCGACAAGGCGCAAATATGTGTTGTCAACCGCGTCGCGTCCTTTGACTCCTGCCCACCAAGAGCCATCGTAGCGCCGGCGATGCTCTCCTTGTCGCCCTCAGGCAGATCGGCGCACGTTACCACCACGTCGGAGAAGATCATTCTGGGATCGGGCGAGAACGGCCGAACTTGGGCCTGCTTGCGGCGGGAGATTGAAGTCATGATCCACTGCGCTGTCGTAACCGGGATCATTACCGCCTGCGACTCGGTGTACTGTGGGAAGTCGATCGTGTTGGAGACGATGTGAGTGACCTTTTCGATCGGAATCGAGCCGTCGCGTCGAGGCTCGCAGATGGTAGCGCCATTCTCTCCAGAAATACTCGAAAGCTGCATTCGCAGTTAGCTTAACAGCACAGACAAAACATTCGAGCGTGGCGTACCTCGCCGATTAGTTTCGGAGTCAGCGCCGTGCTCGGCACGAAGGCAATCAGACATTCAGCAAAGATGCCAGACGAACCCCCAGCATCACCCATTTTCGCGTGATTCGAGTCGAGTGACCGTATATTTGGCAAGTGAAAGCTAGTAGAAGCACATGCGCATCGAAAGAGACATCTAGTGCAAGTTGTGCGTGGTTACCAAAGAGATTGACGTGGAAGCTTCACCGTGGCGTTTGGGGTGGAATTGTTTGTCAAGACGCACGCGAAGCTGATTCAATCCACTGAACGCGAAGACGCCAGGCAATCACGTGAGAAAATCCTAGGTACCGGTACAATGTATGTGCGGGGCATGCTGTGTGGGAATTAGTCGCGCTACTTTGATTGGTAGGCAGCAGAATCATCTCGACGCGTCTTGCGGGAAACACTTTAACTTACGCCACGATGGCGGGGTCCACCTCGACGATCTGACGGACAAGCCGGAACACAGATATGATATGGGTACCTAGCTGGTAGTAATAAGGGCACAAAGATAAATGCGGTATAAAAAGTTTATTTAAGTAGCTTATAGCTTATTGAAACGGCATAGAGTTCTGCCCTATTCTTGGAGTGGCAACTTGCTCTTGATTTTGGGCTCTTCGTGATTTTGGGATGTTGCCATTTGCACTTTTCGCGGACTTGACCCAATGTACCACCGTAGGGAGCCCCTATATTATCATCTTGGGCCTATGCGCTTAAGCCTCTATTCTGGAGACCCATCATGGCCTCCGAAGTCTTGCCATGACAACCGCCCATCAAATATTCATGTTCATGTCTTTAAACTGAAACAAAATCATGCCCGACGCCTGCCCCTTCATATGCATCGCCATGGTGTCCCTTGAATGTATATCGCCAAAATATTACGCCTTGAGTAACTGATGCCACCACCAATGTCATTGTCATTAAAGAAACGACTTCAAGCGCTCCCTTCCACAGAGGCTAGCGCCACAGCCGCTCCTAAGAGGGAACTCTCCTTGGCCGATACGAGCTGAACTGTACCCTGTGCACCGTTCTCGCTCGCCACCAGATCGTCCAAGTATTTTTGACAACTACTTAGATATCCTGGGTAGTTCTCAATCACGCTGCCATTGAAAGCGACAGTCGTCTCCGACATATCCCTATCCTCCTCGGCAGTTGTTCGTAAAGGAGAGGAGTCAGGGAGAGTCTTGACCCAGTCGGCTTGGGCATCAATCCGCAACTTCCAGAAAGTGTAGACACACGTGGCCACGAGGGCACTTGAACGGGTTGAGATGAATGACGCCAACTGTCTCAGGAAGTAGAGGTCAGAAGTCGTTGGGGTGTGGGGCGATGGATGTCGTAGAGAGAATTCTTTGCAGGCATCGTCAAGTTCGACACTAGTATCACTGGTGTGTGTCAGTTCTTTACTGGCAATATTGCGAAGCACGATAGGATATACCTTTGAATCATTGATAGAGTCTCTGTTGCCAAGGAGTAACGCTCCTTGAGAGAGGCAGGTAGTGTCCCCCCGAAAACGCCGGTTGATTCGATGGCTTCGACGAGGACTTGTCTGCAGATCTCCCCCAAGTACATGCCACTGACGAGGTGCTCGTATGGTTGGAAAGTCGGCATGGGGTGAGTCTTGAGCAACTCTCGATCCCATCTAGTCAAAGGTAGGATTCCATGCCCAAACATTCCAATCTCGGAATTCACAATCAAGTGAGTCCAATCGGCGGGTTTTTCGCCAACCTTGGCTTTTCCAATTGCTGAGATGGGGAGGTACGCAGCGATGTTAACGCCGGTACCCAGGATGAGACCGAATCGCGTCGATGAGTGCGTGTATGACTCTGATAACAAACAAGCACTCGAGTCGTTGAGGATTGCCCGCAGCTCTACGTTGAGATCATGGTTGCCACAAGCCGTTTTGATGATCCGCCCCAAGTCTTGGCCTACTAATCCATTATGTGCTAAAAAGCCCTTGCCCATGGGTTGTAGCTTTCCGCCCGCAAGAGATGTTTGCCTTTGGGTTGTTAGTCGTTGGAGTAAGATGTCGTCGGGTTGGAGACGGGCCCACTCACTCAATGGGGAAACTCCAAGCCATTGCCATCAGCAGTGGCTGATCAAGACTGTGATGTTGCTCTAGGTCTCCGGCGAGAGTGTCCTTAATCCTCGCGGCCATCCAGTCGAAAAACGCCATGCCCTCCAGATCCTTAATCTCGGGGGTAATGGCGAAGTTGCGCATGCTGACAATCCTGCTCTCTTCACCGACCTTGGACATGCGCCCTCGAAGTTCCACTAGCGCCACTCTGAGGGTTGAGCCACCGACATCCAACGCTAGATAGTGCCCTCGTTCGGCTCCGTGTGGAAGTTGATGGCTGTAGGAGGGCAGCATGCATTCCATGTCGGTTTGGAGACGCTCGACGAACTGCTTCCTCAAGTCGCGAGAGAGCTGTTGTAGGTCATGTTGGCTGACGGGACCAAGGAACAGTGCCTCAGCCTCCTTGAGGAACTCTTGGGTGGAGCGGTGTGACGGTACGGCGACACGGTTCTTACCGTCAGCGGTGACTGCGAGAGATCCGGTCCAGTACGCCAGAATGGCCTGGAGCAACGACTTGCCTCTGAGGAGGCTTTTGAAGAGGGCAGTAAGGAACTGCTTTCGAAGGGTCGCCATGGCAGTAACGAGCGGGTGCCTTTATGAACAAGGGCGATGGACGAGGGGAAAAGCTGAGGCCGGAGTCGAGAGCGTCAAGTCATGGATACGAGGGAAGTAAATACTAAAATCCAACGACACAGCGGTCATCTAGACGGAACAAATGGGTCGGATGTCTCACGCCCGAGCCCTAGCAGACACGGACCCGATGGATAGGTAATGGCAGGTAGTGGTCAATGGCCGCAAGCAAGGCCAGACAGGATGAGACGAGACCAGCGAGACCAGGTGAGACAAACGAGGCGAATGAAGGCCGCGGCGAAGGGACCTGCCTGACCTGGACCTGGAGGGACGACAGAAGCAGAAGCGCCAGGGAACCCAGAAGACGGACGGGGCAGGATTCGACGTTGCAGGGAGTCGAGCTGCAGTGGTAGCGACCGTGGCACCGAGAGTGGGTGGTACAGGCAGGGCAGCAATGGTCGTCGTTAGTCGGTAGCTGCCATAGCCAGTTGGAGTGAATGGCGGGCGAGCATGAGGAGCTGGAGGGTGAGCTGAGCATCCACACGTAGGTAGTACGTAGTAGCTCGAAGCCAACGTCGCAGAGGTGGCGGCCCGGGACATGCGACAACCGAGACGTAGCTGGGAGATTGGTTGGGCGAGGCCGAGGCCGGGCGACTGCCGGCGGCCAGGGGCTATCGTACTGCGTAGCTGGCGGCGCGAGCCATTGTTGCTGAGCCAGGGCACTCTGTCGTGCCTTGCTGGACGAAAGGCGCGAAGTGAGACGGAGGAGTGAGGGTTTGAATGGGGTTGTTGTAACGTTGCGTGGAGAGGTCAGTGAGCCAGTCAGTGGAGGCCGGGTACGTACCGCGGCCTGCGTCCCGTCTTCAGTGGAGGCTGGGCGGCGGGCCAGTGGAAGATGCCCTACGAGCGAGCTCCAGCTCCAGCTCTCCACTGATGTACAGCGGTGTTACACCAACAGACGGGGAGTTTGCCCCACGCTGAGGCTCCCCCGCCCCGCCGAATCGGCGACCACCAGTATTTACCAAAGTCCCCTAATTACAGCGCGGGCGGCGTGTAATTGCTCGCTGAGACAGTGACACAAGCAAGCGACAAGCGACGCGGCCAAGTCGGGGGTGCAGTTCGGGCCATGAGGACGAAAAAAAAAAAGAACTTCTCCTTCTCTTCCATCTCATCGTCTTTACGGCCCCCGAGATTGACACATATCAACCCCACATAAATGCCACTCAAGGGCCGGCGCTGTGAGGGGGGTTCCGCCGGTAGGGCCGATTGCCAACACGATTTGCCAACCATGTTGGACGGACGGTGACGAGTTGTGCTTGTGCGCCCTCGTTCGCCAGGGATGCGTCTTGCCGGGAGCCTGCATATCAACTGCGCTCTGCGTTATGTTGGCAGGCGTTGTGTATGGCCTCCAACGTTATGTTGGTTCCCGAGAGGAGCTCTGACTGGTCGGACAAATGTTCAGCCAGCCTTCATCGCGGCCCCCATTTACACTTACACCCATGCTGGCAAATACTCCATGGGTAACCTATTCGACGTCGATCGTTGCCTGCTGCAGTCCACCCAAACCTGAACTGCAGCACCTAACCAGCTTCTACTTACAATGACACCGACCCCCCAAACCAGCTCGTCAATCCCATCAGCGCACCAGTCGCCCCAGTGGTGGCGAGTCATATGACCCTGAGCAACGTTGGCAAGCAAACGGGTACCGCCAGCCCGGGAGCTTCGGCCAAAAACGGTACGGCGTGATCCACGACTGTTGGCCGCACATTGAGCTGCCATGCCATCCTCCTTCTCGTACCTACCGTGACGTTCCATCCATCACGATACATCTCGACTTACGATTTCTCCCGTCGTCCACTCACTGGGCCGTGATGACGAGACGACATCTTGGTGTCCGCGTGGATAAGTCACCATGATGCAAGGCACATGATGCCGCTATCGGTGGCGCACCACCCATTGCCGCCATTGTAAACTCTTAAGCAACTCTTCAGCCATCCGCCTGGGTCGTCATTTGATCTTGCTAAACAACCCTGCCAGCCTTCGCTCCAGAATAAGCTGCCAATTTCCTATTCCATCCTCTCTTATATCCATCTTCCTATCCAAATACGAACGACCCGTAACAGGCTAGTTTCGTATACACCATCCACCTACCTACCCCATTCTACGCCACCCACCCTCCATCGTCATCATGCGGCTGATCATCCGTGACGACGAGCATGCAGCAAGCATGTACGTCGCCAACTATGTGGTTGAGCGGATCAAGGCCTTCCAGCCAACCGCCGAGCACCCGTTCGTCCTCGGACTTCCCACGGGATCTAGCCCCCTCGGCGTCTATGAGATCTTAGCTCGCAAGTACAAGGCCGGCGAGGTAAGCACCCGACCCCATCCGTAGGTGCAACTCGGGCTCTAACAGGGTGTAGATCTCCTTTGAGAATGTCGTGACCTTTAATATGGATGAATATGTTGGCCTCCCCAGAGATGATCCCAATTCATATCACTCCTTCATGTGGAAGAACTTCTTCTCCCACGTCAACATCCACCCTTCCAATGTGCACATCCTAGACGGCAACGCCCCCAGCCCGGAGGCCGAGTGTGTTGCCTACGAAGATGCCATCAAGGCAGCCGGCGGTATCGACCTATTCCTAGCCGGGATCGGTGACGATGGGCACATCGCTTTCAACGAGCCTGGGTCGAGCTTTGCAAGCCGCACTCGGGTCAAGACGTTGGCCTACGACACCATCTTGGCCAACTCTCGCTTCTTTGGCGATGACCTGAACAGAGTGCCGAGAATGGCTCTGACTGTTGGCGTCCAGACCATCCTCGAGGCGCGAGAGGTTGTGGTCATAATCCTAGGCGCTCGCAAGTCGCTAGCGTTGCAGAAGTGTATTGAGCAGGGCGTGAACCACATGTGGTCGCTCTCATCTCTACAACTGCATCCCCACCCCATGATTGTTGTCGATGAAGACGCCACACTCGAGCTGCAGGTCAAGACTGTCAAGGTAAGCTCCTACTCCACGACCGTGGTCAAATACCAACTGCTAACTTCTCTATCAAGTACTTCAAGAGCATCGAAAAGGTGGCGCGCGAGCAAGGGTTTGAGCAAATCCTCCCCTCTAGGGTACGCACTGGCAACGTCCCTATTCCCGAGACCAAGATCCAGAAGGTTCAGTCCACCCCCATCGTCGCCCCCGAGCCTATTGCCTCGCACTTGCTCCGGGCGAACGTGCACACCTCTCGTTCTGTTTCCCCAGATCTCGTGCCCGATCGAATGGCATCGCGCATCCCCGAGCCTAAGTTGAACGGTAGATTGACCCCAAACCCCGAGCATCAGATGAGAGTGAATGCTGTTGGAGCTTAAGGGGGTACCTGTGGGGCGGGAGGAAATGCTAAAGAGACAAAGCTGGTCTTGTCCAATCGCTTATCAATGACTCGATACCAAGGATTAAGATTGTAAAGTAATCCAGGCAAGGAAATAGGTAGTGCTGTTATGAGATTAAAGAAGGAAGTTCTCTAGAATATGTTTGAAGGCGTTGGGCTATGATACCATGAAGAAAAGGGTTCTCAAAATACGTACTGTGTTGGAAACGGAAAAAGATTACTGTATATATAGTCCTTGAATCTGAAATTAAATGAACAGTCAATGTAATTAGCTTCCAATTCAAATCTAGGGTATATGAGCAACTCTTGTTTCGTTGCAGATATATCGGGTTGTCTGGCCTGTGCCCTGCTTGGGGGAATTAATGCCCCGCCGCCCCACGGTTGATATCATTGTACAAATTGAAATGCAAATAGATAGATGTACAAGAATGGCACTCCAGGCTCCCACCAGTTCATGAATCATTAAAACTTCCAATGGCTATTGGCCTACTCATTCAGGTGCAAAGTATCGCTTCGCCTTGCTCCTCAGCTGCTGCGCCTTCATCTCGGGTGGGACAATGGTATGGTGAACGACATGTGGTCTGTAGACAGCATCGACAGGAGGCATCCTATAAGATATTAGAACATGTGGCTGTGAAGATAGGGTGCGTCAAATCATACCAATCGTCAACCGTCAAAGGAAAATATTCGTATAGGGGATCTGCATCCTCCGAGGGGCTATGATCAGTGTTCTGGCCCACAGCAGCAGCAGCCTTTCCGGGCTGGGGGCTTTGTAAATCGGAACTTGAGCGATTTGGACTTCTCTCATCCTCGGACAGTGAGAGATTGATCGGGAGTGAAGAGTTCTGACGAGGTAGTACGCCTCGGATGTTCTGGGCAGTTGATGATTTGGTTAAATTACTTGGCTCGTTTGACCAAGCTGGGATCGGTGGCCTCGAGACATTTGATGATATGGCCACCCTCTTGGCGGGATGTGGATTTTGACCAGGTTGGGGGCTAGGGAGTGGCTGGGGGATTGATGGTGATGCTGTCCATTCGTTTGGTTGCTGAAGAGTCAGCACACAGATGCAGGGTGCAATGCGAAGAACATACCTGAATGTTACCGAGGGAGGGGTATCGATGCATGAATGCCTGTGAATTCTCCCGTGCCATCTTGACTGCGGAGCTATCAGGAGTCGCAGTATTCCTCCTCTCTACTCGCTTGTTATCGCCCGTAAGAGGAACGTCCTTCTTACTGTCAAAATTCCTCGGACTACGCCCTCGGACAATGACTGGGCCAGACTGGATCTCGGCGATCTTGATGAGATCTCCAGACTTTGACTTGCCGTGGAGACCTATTCTCACGACATAGTGCTGTTGAAGGCCCTTTCTTCGACCATTGTTGGCTGTAGCATGCTTGAATTGGAGCCGCTTCCATGATATGGGCATAGAGACTCGGTTTGCATCAATCTCTTGGCCAGAGGCGAGATCCAAAGTTATGTTTAGTGGCGCCCCAACAACCTTGGATTCATCGCCTGGCGGGGCACTTGCATTCTTCCAGGGAATCGATATAATCTCGGTGGGTTTGTTTTCGATTGACTCTGTGGCTGTGATTGATGCGACCAATTCGAAGATTGGGATTTGGATTCCCTGCTCGTTCACAACATTGGTGACGATCCGAGGGAGTGATATCTGGCCAGAGCATTGCCAAAGATTGCGGCGGTAGCAGGTTAACTCGAGCGGTCGTCCACTCGTCTCGCCGCCAAAAACATCCTCGGCAACGAAAAACATGCCATACAATTCTGCGCTCATGGCTGTTTCTGAAAACTGCCCCGTTTCGTCAATGACGGTCGCGCTCGAGACTGGGGCGGAGAAGCCGAGGAGCTTGTTGTCGAGCTCCTGTGGCGACTCCTCCTCGTGTAAAACATCTTGGTTCGGGGCCGACTCGAATTGACGGGAGGAATAGGAAAAGGGATCTTCGAAAGTCGTGGAGAAAGTCTCTAGGTCGTACGAAGGGGTGAAGGGAAGGTTCTGCAATGTGGTCCCATCGCTGCGGATGTCAGCATCGCGGGTCGGGGATGCGCGCGAGGGCTGGGAAGGGGCGGAGATGCATGACATACAGTAGGGACTCATCAAACGTCAACTCTTGGTCGAAGACGTCGATGCCCAAGCCCTGAGGCTGGCCGGCACCGAGATTCATCACCATAGGATCTCTAGGAGAGGCGCCCGTGGACAGCCCCGGCATCGAGTTGTAGGTAGCCATGGCATTGTTTAGTTGCTTGTCATCGCTTCATCGGACCAGTGCGCCGTGAGATCAGCGACGCGGGAACCCCTGCGAGCGTCCGTGAGACTCCGAAAGACGCGGGAACAGCTGGAGGCGGCGATCGGGCGGCGACAGCGACGGCGATAACAGCTGCGGCGATGGCAAGCGACAGCGGTTTGTCGCGGTTGTTGCTGGGGAGTTCTGCACAAGATCAGACGACCGACCTCTCTTGAGTTGGCCAAGAGCGCAACGCAGTGAAAGAGGAGCGGAGACGGAGGAGTGGAGGAGACGTTGTGGAGGTGACCCACCGGGCTTGAGCCTTCGGACTTGCCCTATCAATGAGATCGTCAGACATCGCGGCAATTGGCTGGCGGCCCACACCTGCCTGCACTAGGTTGTCTTGCATGCACCTGCGAATACAGTGAACTGCCCACTGGGGAAGAACGCGCCTGGGGTCGTTCGGGCTACGTTTCAGAAGGTTCAGTGGTTCCGGTGCCCCAAGCGAACGCACTGGGTTGTAATTTGGCAGGCTAGTACAGATAAAGACGCAGAAGCACAGTGGACGAAGTGATGGTCACCTGCAGGATATGTGAATCCTCCCAACTCCAGATGCATGCCCATGCAAGCAAGCGTAATTGTTCATAATTCATCTAGCCATTGTAGTCCACCTCTAGTCCCAATCTTTTCTTTTACTACACCGGTCTACAGGCACGTACCTCTCGTTCTAGACTCTGACTTCTAAGGCACCGACCTACACGGTATGTAGTACCTAATGGCTCTCCACATGACGTTCTTCGGCCCGACAAACTCGCTGGCCAAACTTCCACACCTCGTCCAATACGAGTCGACGACAGCCTCCCACAGTCTCCTCCGAAAGCACCACCAGATCGGCATCCGCCCCCGCGTCCAACGTGCCCTTGACCCCTTGAAGCCCTAGCATTGCCGCCGGGGTCGACGTCACGGCCCCGAGCGCCTGGGGAATGCTGGTCCCGGACCACTGCAGGAAGTTGTTGACACATTCAAGCAGTGTAATGGAGCTGTGGCCCACATGTTAGCCAACTCATCATCCGTCAAGCAAACACTTAAGACTGTATTGCATGTGTACTCACCTTCCGGCAATTGTCTCCGACCCCTCTAGGAGGAGTTTGGAGCCCTTCTTGACAATGTTGCACGTTTGCTCGCCGTTGGTCCACGGGTAACTCCCGTCTGCCAGCCCAACCAGGTGCATCGCGTCGGTGACGAGAATGAAGCCCTCGGGATGCGAGTTGTAGGCGATTTTGATCGTTGTGGGGTGCAGGTGAATCCCGTCGGAGATGATGCCGAAATACGGCCTAGGTAGACTCTCTGCCTTGCCGAGAACCCCAAAGATGCCAGGGTTGCGATGATGCAGAGGCCGCATGGCGTTGAAGAGATGCGTGATCATGGTGGCTCCCTTACCGACCGCCTGGGAAGCTTCTTCATAAGTTGCTTCCGAGTGGCCGATGGAGTAGATGATGCCCCTCGACGTCAGCTCAGGGATCAGGTCCATCATACGACCTCGCTCCGGAGCTGCCGTGATCATCTTGATCGGCAGCTTCCCGTCCCCAGAGCCGTTCATATTCTCGGCTCCGTAGCATCGCTCGAGATCCTCAATCGACTCGGCCTGAATCAGAACATCGACGTTGTGGACCCCGTTCTTGGTGGGGCTCAGAAACGGACCCTCGCAGTGAGCCCCGAGCGATTCGGCGCCGTCACCGGCCTTCCGAAAGCCTCCAGACGGACCGAGATACGGGAGTGTCTGCCGGTGCCGTTAGCCTCATGCGCGAAGCCCCACCGTTCAGCTACTACAGAACCTCACCTTTTGGTACATTTCAGGCAGTTGGCTCGTGATGGTGGGGATGTAAGAGGTCACCCCAGTTTGAACCATGAGGCGGTTCACTTCCTGTAACTTCTCTCCATATTCTGACATGTCGTCGAGGAGGGTCGAGAAGTTGAAGCCAAACGCGCCGTTCAACTGGCACTCGATCATCCCGGGGGAGAGGATGCGCCCACCAAGGTCGATGATTTTGTCTGGGAGAACCAGCTCATCGTAGAAGGAGGCCTGGCTGTCAATAACCTTGCCAGAGACGGAACTGACCCAGAGGTCTCCCTCGACGAGGGCATCACCCTTGAGCAGGCGACAGTTGGTAAACTTGGTTAGGCCATTCTTGGGCCGTGTGGGCGACACGGCAGTAGGCATGGTTTCGACAACACCAAAGGATTGGGTAGAAAGGGGTGAGATATTCTGATCAGAGAGTCCACTGGTCAGATCTGTGTCTGCCCGCGTCTTCTCTCTGACCATAATGAAGTTTCAGCAGCGAACGAGAGACACTGGCTACTTAGTAGTCTCTGCGGGTATCACGGAATGGCAACTAGCGATCGATAGTGACGCCCGTGTCTCGTGGCATCGCGGCCAATCTCGTCACCGTCACCATTGCCACATCCGCCCCTCGGCCCATCTGAACGGTGACATGCCACGCAGAGGGCATGTGGGCTTGGCTTCGGATGGCAAGACAGATAAGCCGGACGGACCTGGATGCGTCGGTGTCGGCCAGGGCCATAAGTTGAGGCACCTGCTAATACAAGAGCCTGGCATTCGTCCATCTGCCCCGCGAGCAAACGTCTATCCTTCCACTATCACCCCGCCATGGTGCTTGGTTTGCCTTGACAATCGAGATACCACGGTGCTTTCTGGTCCTCTCGCAGCTGCTGGACTGACGTCGTCTCCCAGGCGTCCCATGTAACGTTAACTCAGCCGCCGTCCATCACACAACCAAGGACCCACACGCCGGTGCCGTCGAAACCCAGCCAATCAGGCGCCCCCTCGCTCCCTTAGCCGAAGTTTAGACGTCGTCGCGTCGGCGAATTCGCAGGATGCGTGCCCCTCTCGGGTCAGATTCATCGTCGTCGTCGTCGTCGCCGCCCCCCGACAAGGCATCTCATCGTTACCTCAAGACCAAGACGAGGAGCGACCGGCATCTCAACGGCTCCGGCTCCAGGTACCATGTCACTAGGCGCCGCCGCCGCCACCGCCCGACCATGGCCTCCTCAGTGCACGTAGACGATCTGGATCCACTATGGCAGAACCTCGATTGGTACGTAACCTCCCCCCGCTGTTCCGTTGTCCCGCTGTCCCGCTCCGTCTACGCCGGCTCCACGCCCTCCGGTTTCCGGCTTCGAGGTGCATAACATTGTGCTAACATGCGGCTTGCTGTCTTGTAGGGCCATTGGCCAGATCCTGATTATGGGCTGGGATGGCACTGAAGTCACGCCCCAGATCAGGAGTCTCATCGAGGATCACCATCTTGGCTCCATCATCCTCACAGCCAAGAACCTCAAGTGTACGTCTCCCGCTCGCTCCGGGACGGCCGTGTAGACGGTTTTGTTTCCGTTCCTATAGCTATTTGACACATGCCTTGGCTATTCTCTATCCTTGACCTCCTTGACCAGAACTGACATTACCCAGCTGCCCAGCAAACCGCCAGGCTGGTCCAGGAACTTCAAACTATTGCCCAGAAAGCGGGTCATCCCACCCCACTATTGATTGCCCTTGACCAGGAGAATGGCGGCGTCAATAGTCTCTTTGACGAGGACTATGTCTGCCAGTTCCCCAGTGCCATGGGCGTTGCCGCCACCGGCCGGGCCGAGTTGGCTTACGAGGTCACCAAGGCCACCGCCACAGAGATATCGGCGTGTGGTGTGAACCTCATGCTTGGCCCGGTCCTTGATGTGCTTAACAACGCCCGATACCAACCATTAGGAGTACGTGCTACCGGAGACGATCCACAGGAGGTCTCCACGTATGGTCTCGCTGCCTTGAAAGGCATTCGGGACGCAGGTATGGCATCCTGTGGAAAGCACTTTCCGTCCTATGGAAATCTAGACTTCCTTGGTTCCAACCTAGATGTCCCTATCATTACTCAGACTCTCGAAGAGTTGAGCTTGAGTGCTTTGGTCCCATTCCGAAATGCTATTGCTTCCGGCAAGCTAGATGCCATGTTCATCGGTGGTTGTGGCATCTCCAGCCCATCTATGAATGTCAGCCATGCTTGTCTATCAGACCAGGTCGTGGATGACCTATTGCGCAATGACTTGGGGTTCAATGGTGTTGCCATTTCGGAATGCCTAGAAATGGAAGCCCTGAGCCATGAACTTGGTGTCCAGAACGGTGTTGTCATGGCCGTGGAGGCAGGATGTGATTTGGTTCTTCTTTGCCGAGCTTACGATGTCCAGCTTGAGGCTATCAAGGGGCTGAAGCTGGGATATGAAAGTGGCATCATTTCCAAGGAGAGGATACTCACGTCAGTGAGACGTGTTCTTCGTCTCAAGTCAACCTGTACTTCATGGACCAAGGCCCTGAACCCCCCAGGGATTTCTCTATTGTCTCAGCTTCACCCGGCTCACCTCGCGCTGTCACTCCGAGCGTATGACGATTCCATCACCGTCATCCGAGACAAGGAGAAGCTACTCCCCCTGTCAGCCTCGATGCACTCGGGAGAAGAGTTACTCCTGCTCACGCCTCTCGTCAAGCCACTTCCGGCATCTTCTCTCACCAAGAAGCTTCTCAATGCTAAGGATAGCCAGCATATGGCCTGGACTACTCACGACATGTGGTCCCATCGCGACCGCGAACGTGGTGCGATAATGAGTGGAGAGGGTGTTTTTAGGGAGTTTGGAAAGTCCCTAGCAAGAGCCCGCAATGAAAAGCTACTCCATACCAGTTACACTGCCAATGGAGTTCGGCCAGGTAAGAACTCGTCTACTTCCGAATCTTACCACTGCTAACGTCGGTGTAGTTCACGAGAACTTGATAAACAGGGCATCTTGCATCATAATTGTCACCGCTGATGCCAACAGAAACTTGTATCAAGCTGGCTTCACAAAGCACGTCGATATGATGTGTTCTATGCTCCGAAGTAGAGGTCAGAAGAAGCAACTCATTGTAGTCGCGGTTAGCTCACCATATGACTTTGCCATGGACAAATCCATCGGCACATATCTCTGCACATTTGACTTCACAGAGAACGCCTTGCATGCCCTTGCCAGGGCACTCGTGGGTGACATCACCCCACTTGGGACGCTCCCCGGTACTCTGAGAAAGAGCAAAAAGGTCCTCAAATCGCGACAACACTGGCTTGTGGAAGAATATCACCCCGATCGTGATGCTTCCGGACTTGACGAGTTGCTACGGGCCGTTCATCGAGGCAGTACTCCCGACCTCCAATTCCTGCAGACAACGACGGCAGCCACCTTTCAACTTAACAATCAGCACATCAGCGAGGCCCATTTTGTTGTGCGAAATTCCAGCACGCAAGCTCTGTACGGCTTTGTAGCCACCTACTATCTCCATGGAGTGGGAATGTTGGGCGCAATCTTTGTCGATCCTGGAAAGCGAGATGTGTCTATTGGCAGGTCTCTACACCGGCGAGCAATGAAAAGTCTTATTCAAAGACGGGGAATCAAGAAGGTGCAAATTGGAATGGCACTTCCAGGCGTCTTCACAGGAATCCCTGTCGACGTCCAGGTGAACACGGTCAAGGAGTGGTTCACCAACAGCGGCTGGGACACACAGTTCCCTCGCCGGGTCACTGATATGGTCATTCAAGACTTGGCTAACTGGACTGCTCCCGAGGGGCTGCTTCAAAGCATCCAGAGGGTTAACATCAGCTTTGACCTAATCCACGGAGTAGACAATGCGGAAAGTGTGCTCGGCCATGTCCGCGCACACGCAAACCCCGAGATCCTCGAGCTCTACAGGTTCGCCTTACAGGAGACAAAGGCTTGCGGCATCGTACGTGCAAAGGACGGCGGAGGCAATTTGCTGGGAACAATCATCATCTCTCGTCAACATAGCCCGTTGGCCACCTATGTGCCAGCGCTTTTGTCCCACTCAGAAGATATTGGTGGGATTCTCGCACCCGTCGTTCCGGCCATGCCCTTTGCGACGCTTGTGCTACAAGGTCTGGCTCTTATGGGCGTACGTCAAAACAAGAGCCACAGGGCATCAAAAACTGTGCTGGGCTGGGTGAGTCTGCAATTCTACCACAATGCTCGATTTTTGCTGACGACCTAGGTTGTTGATGACGGAACCGAGCCGCTGGCGGCAATGGGTTTTGAGACCCTACAAGCGTTTGACGAGATTACGAATGCCCCCGATAATGTAAGTTAAATGACCAATGAACTCGTTGCGTATGCTGATTGGCATCAAGTTCGCAAACTTGTGATGTTAGGTACGGAGTCAAGTCGCATGAGCATCAAGGATGACGTACACAGTGTAAAATAGTTGGCACTTAGCAGTCCGTGTTCTAGGGGTAGCCATGAAATTTAAATGAGTGACTCGTATTGAAGTTATTGCTAGCACACTTGGTTGAAAAGAGCGAATTGAAAGAGAGAATTCAAAAGAGAATCAAGAAGTGAGAAACTAAAAGAGTGAATCAAAAGAGAGAAACAAAAACATCCCCATCCCTGGCCTTCCTTGCCATCCTTGCCGGCCTTTACTACCTTGCCGTCCTTGTCGTCCTTTCCTTCCTTGCTTTCCCTTCCATCCGTTCAGCACAAGGGGTTCGCTTTCCAACCCCATCTCATATGGCCCTTAGTTCATCTCTTCAGCCGACGATGACTTGCCAAGGTGATGTCTTCTGAGAGGGATCGATGTGACAGCCGGGAACAGGCGGCTATCGAGGTGGTCCGGCTCCTGGTCCGGCTCCTGGCCCGGCCCCTGGTCCGGTTCCTCCAGGATAGGTTCCTGGAGGCCACCCTGCTCCTGGTGCAGGCCACCCTGGGGGAACTCCTCCTGGTGGAGGCCATATTTGGCCTGGGCCTGGCGGATACACGTAAGGAATGTATCCAGGAACTGTGTGCAAGTGTGTTTGGAATGGGTGTATGTGCACAGGCTTGTAAGGTGCTGGTGGTGGATTCACGTAAGGAATCCATCCAGGAGGGGGGTCGGGCCTGTGTCCAGGGATGTGAAAGTAGCCCTGCTGTGCGGGCTGCGACACAGGCTGGCCCAGGAAGGATGGGTTTTGCGCCGGGATTGGGAAAGGCACGAAGGCAGATGCGACGGGAGCCCCTGGGATAGTGCTGAACCCAGAGGCGGTTGTCACCTGCGGGAACTGCCAGGTTGCCTGACCTGCTGGCATACTTCCCGGGATCACGAAGTTCGGCTGGGATACCCCGACTACTGCTGGTAGCGTGGGGTTCTGAGGTGGCCCGCTCCCCCGATTGTTTGTGTTGGCCATGTTGGGCTTGGTGGTGTCTTCTTGGACGGCTGGTTTCGGAGAAGATGGAATTTTGTGTGTTGGAGTTGTTGGGGTCTGGAGATGGTGGGAGAAGAAGATGAGGAAAGCTGAACTGGCGGATGGAAGCTGGCTTTTTATAGTTGGCCGGTTTCCAGAGTAAGTGAATGACTGCATGGGTTTGCCGTCATGGACTGGAAACCATGGGTCATGGGAGAGAGGAGATCGAGATGTTCATTGCCCTCGCTGCTTGCTGATGTTGTGTTCAGGGAGAGCAGCTGGGTCGATTCAGACGACCCAGACCTGGTGAAATCGGTGGTGACATTGTGTCCAAAGCCCACGTTTTTTCCAATCGTCGTCAAGACCCTTACACAAGGTCAGGTTGAAATCTACTTGATAGGTATCATTCGATTTCATGCCGCGTGGATCATTCTGTTTGCGCCAGTACAGTAGAACGAGGATATAGAACCCTCGCGATCTAACAACCACAACCACAGATCTCCATCGACTTTTGGCGGTGCTGTTGACATTCGAACCCTAAGCAAGAAATTATCCACCGCAGGCATGAACCGGGCAGTGTCCATGGTCGAATACAACGATGTCAGGGGAAGCAAGTGAGGCAGCTGGCTTAGTGTCAACGGTCCTCCTAACGATCCTGTCAACTTCCCGCGTTACGTGGATCCCGCCTTCAAGGCGGAGCAGACGAAGGCAATCATCAATACTGACTGCGTCGTCAGTCATCAGGTCAATGAGAACCTCGCACTAGCGACACGCCAGAAAAGAATTGCCCGAGATGTTGCAAGGGGACAGAAGAAACACCAGGAGACGGTCACCAGGGGCTGAAAGGTTTGTCTGATCAGTATCGAGAGGAGGATGGATATAGCATGAGCCTCAACAAACACCAGCCTCTGCCAATAAACTTAGAGTCATGGAATGTACGTTGCAAATTCAGAAGCATAAAATGTCCTCAACAGTAGTACCGTGTCTCTTGCGGAACATGTCACCTGCCAACCCGGACAACCTGTGAATGGACTTCCCATACTGTTTACCGTCCCATCCCCAAAATTCCAGGTGATTATTGATGGCACGAGCAAAAGTGAAACGCTCCATGGCTTACGCGGCAGTTTTGTTTCCTTGATCATGCCCTTATTCAACAGCTATTCCGACACCAACGTAGCAGTAGCACCAAAGTAGGTGCCTCAGATTCACTCCTCCGCAGGCCCCCCACGTACTACCAAATCAGCCAGGCTACAGCTGAACACCTAAAATGAATCATGTGTGGTACTACTTAAAGGTGTCTGCATCTTCTTCCTTCTCAATTATGGGGATGATCACTCTTGAGGTGCCATGTTCAACACCATCATGTGTCGTAACAAACAGTCTATCATCGACATCTCTGATGAACCCCTCCAATGATAAGGTGAGCTAAGTGATACATTCTACTGATTCAAATATCATATTGATGACGCAGAGATCTTGCGACATCTTTCGCGGCCCCATGCTCTGGGTTCCAGGCAATCGATCAGTACATCAGACAAGACGAATAGGACAGGAACAGACAGACCTACAATCCTTAGTCCCAACTACTCCACTTGATCATTATCATCTCGACACACATGTGATCAAGTTGATGAATCACAATGTTTTATGCTGTCCCAAGACACCTCTTCAAGCCGATGAATCACTATCGTTTATATCATCCCAAGATACACACCTTCTGATGAACTACAACCCTGGGTTGGATTCAAGCAAGCACCCTCTCTATCCACAAGTCCATGGGAACCTTGGACCCAAAGTCATTTATCGTTGAGTCCGTCCCCGGCAACGCTAATCACTCAGACCCTTTTTCGCTAGGCACACCAGCTGCAGGTCTCTCATGCGAAAGATTCAGTCACCAGTGCGAGAAGCTTCGTCATCGGGCCGCGTAGAAGCATCAATATCTTGATCTTCTCTTCGTACGGTCCCATCCGTCCCCGCATCACAGCTGGCAAAAGATGCTGACCCCGAATCCGAAGACGAGGGGATGTACGAAGTGAGTGGATTAGGCGGAGAGTTGCTCCCAGGAGCGAATAGTGGTAGGTATGCGCGCAAATAGGTATACATCCATTTCATAAGATAACATGGCTTCGTGGTTTAATAAAAAAAATTCATTATCATTTAAGGCGGATATACGTTCAATCTAATTCTCGGTGTTGCCTCACTCAATAGTATCGTCGACCTTCTCATAACTCATCACTTTACAGCGACTCGATCGATACAGTAGCATCCCCCTCCAAACTTCGACCGCTATATACGATCTTATAGTCACCCTTAAGTGTATCGCCACCTTCCAGTTTACCATCACCTCCGACGCTAAGCTCCGCAACGGCCTTGCCCTCGCCGTCTACCACGGTGGCCTTGGCGCCAGGGACAGTCTGGAATAGGGCAACCTCGACATCCTTGGCGTAGTCGTATGCGGCTCCGACTTGATCGCGTTTACCGAGGACCAGGATGGTGTTCTCGCGCACGTAAAGCGGCAGGGTGCCGAAGGCGTGCTTCTCCTTGAACCAGCCGGGCCCAGTCTTGACCTCGTTGTTAAAGTACGAGGTCCACTTTCCCTTGGGCAGGTAGAACTCGACCTCGCCCGACTCGTCGTAAATCGGGGCTGCGAGTAGCTGGGATCCCACCATGAACTGGCGGTCGAGATACCACGCCGTGGGGTCATCGGGGAACTCGAGAGCTATAGCACGAAGAGACATGGGAATTCCACCCTCGATCGACTCCATTGCCTGGGCGTAAAAGTACGGCATCAAGCGCGTCTTTAGCGAGGTCCACTTGGCCAGCGTCTTGGAGCAGCCTTCTTCGGTCTGGTCATCATCATCGACAGTCCAGGGCACACGGTAAGAGTTGCTTCCATGCAGACGGCTGTGACTACACAGCAGACCCATCGCCACCCATCGCTTGTAAATCCATGGGGGAGGGTATCCCTCGAAGCCACCAATATCGCAGCTCCAGAAAGAATAGCCACTGAGACCCATGGAGAGACCTCCACGCACGGATTCAGCCAACGCCTCGGGGGTCGACTCGCAGTCGCCACCCCACACCAGAGGGAATCGTTGAGTGCCGGCACAAGCAGCACGGGCAAATAGCACAGCCTCATCCTTGCCGTAGCGATTCTGGAGAGCCTCGTAGACAATGCGGTTGTAGGCAAATGCATAGTAGTTGTGCATCTTGTGGGGGTCGACGGTGGTATCGTGCCATTGGACGTCGAGCGTGGGTATGCGTTCGCCAAAGTCGGTCTTAAGGGCGTCTACACCCTTATCGAAGAGTCCGTTGAGACATTCAACGTACCAGGCAACAGCCTCGGGGTTGGTAATATCCACGAGACCCATGCCAGCCTGCCACAGATCCCACTGCCAGATATCACCATTCTTGCGCTTCAGCAGGTAACCGCGGTCGGCAGCGTGCTTGAAGGCAGCGCCGTGCTGGCCGATGTATGGGTTGATCCAGACGCAGACCTTCTTGCACAGGCCGCTCTCTTTGAGACGAGAAATCTGACCCTTGGGATCGGGGAAGCGCTCCGAATCAAAGACGAAATCGGTCCAGGTAAATGCCTTCATCCAGAAACAGTCGTAATGGAAAACATCGACTGGGGAGCCACGAGCCTTCATGCCCTCGAGGAACGAGTTAACCGTAGTTTCGTCGTAGTTAGTGGTAAAGCTGGTTGTCAACCAAAGGCCGAAGCTCCAGCTAGGGACTTTGCCAGCTTTTCCGGTGAGGGTGGTGTACTTCTTGAGGACGTCCTTAGGTCCATCACCGTAGATGATGTAGATCTTCAAGCGTTGGCCCTCGATGGTGGTCTGGATTCGGGTAGTCCGCTCGCTGCCGATCTCCAAGTCTACCCGGCCGGGGTTGTCGACGAAGACACCATAACCACGGTTGCTCATCCAGAAGGAGACGTTCTTGTATGCTTGGTCACTAGAGGTTCCGCCATCTGCGTTCCAAAGAGAGACATGCTGGCCGACCTTGTTCCAGGCGCCAAACCGCTCTCCCAGGCCGTGGATGGACTCGCCGACGGAGAGAGCTGTCTGAAAGAACATGTAGTGCTTGAAGTCGCGCATGTCGCCTAGCTGCATCGGTGTGCTAGGCGATGGGGTGTAGGCGAAGCCAGTACTGCGGTTGCCAAGTGACGTGAGGTACTTGGAGCCATCGGTGCTGTGGAACTTGATGTCGAAGTTATGAGGATCCGGATGGATGGTGGCTGACAAGACGCCAGACTTGAGGGTCGTGCCCTTGTCGCTTTTGATAATCTCGCCCTGGACAGTCGGCTTGCCGTCCGGGAAGAGCTCAAAGTGAGGTCCCTTGATCTGCGCGCCAGCCCAGTGCGTCGACTCTATGGAGATGATGCCGTCCATCTCAGCCTTGACGTCGAGAGTGACGGTCGGCTGGTTGAGGGTGTCGCCGCGCGAGCGGATGTGCTTGACTGGACACAGGAGGCTCAATGCCTGCTGGTCCTCTGAGGGCGTGATTTCATAGATGTCCTCGGCGTACTCGGTGGAGATGCCCTCGGCGGGCAGCCACATGCCATCGCGAAGGCGCACCATGGCGATGTTCAGGTCGATGGAGGAGAGGGTGCTGGTGGTCCAATTGACTTGGCTGTGAGGAATTGGAAGAGAAACAGGCTGTTGGAACTCGGTCACGGTCCAATTTCAATGACAGCAGCGAGATAGACCCCATCATCTCACGCTCCACCATATATCATGGAACATCGTCACAATCTACCCCGAAGCTCAACGCAGAACGAGTCTAAGCACTTCACCCGCAGAACATCCACAGCTTCCCCTCCTCACCCCACCACCTCTCATGACACGGCCGCTCGTAAGCTGTCATGGCCCGCTGCAACCTGCCGTGACCTGCTGCAACGGGCTGCAACCCTGCAGCGTCATTCGCCCAGCGGCAACCAGGCACGCGGGACCGGTTGGCGGCGACTGAGCGACGCTGGAAGTGCCGGGATGACAGGCGCAGGGACGGCTCGATTGGCGCGTTAATAGGCGTGGGGCCCGTCCGACCGGGTAAATGCACATCGTGGAGTCTATTCTGCGATGCGAGCCACGACTCCCCCGCGATGTTGATGAAGGTGGGATGTGATAGTGGGGAGGTGGATCTGCGGGAGAAGTGGGAAGAGTGGATGAATTCTGCCGTAAAACTCCACCTTGCGCTCCACCACGACTTCTCCACCATCCACTTACACCTACAACGTCGACTCCAACAGCTCACATCTCCCGGCCTGGTCCTCGCCTTGCATCTGCACCTTGTCGCGATTGGGTCACGCACAGCTCGCCGTGCTAGGAACGTCGGCGCGCCGTTCCAGCCCCGACAGCAACGTGCACATCGCCACATCCTGCTCATCTCCGAATCCGAGTCCCCCGACTCCCCCAGAATCCCACGAATCCACACCGTCGCTGCTCGTCTCCATTACCCGTCTGGGTTCTTCTCCCCGTCTCTCAATTTCTTCCTTTTCTCGAGAACCCCTCCCAATTGGTGGTGTCCCCGCACTTCCCCGGGAACCGCTACATCCCTGCCGTTCCTGGCGCGACCAGCCGTGATGCTACTCTCGGCATCATCTCCCAAAGTCAGAGCCATGACATGGACCATGGGGGCCATGGGACCCTTTTGCTTTCTCCAAGGCCTCGCTTTGGCATAGTTCGGTTGGCAATTGTACGATCCGGTGAGGGGCAAAGGATGAACGGTTAATTCGACGGGCCCCGGTTATCGATATATAATTGCCAGTGTTATGGCCCTGGAATTGTCGTGATTTTGTTTTGCATCCAGCTTCTTCGTCAACTTTCGGGTCCCTAGATCTCCACCATGAAGCTCTCGTTGCTCATCTCCGCTGCTGCCCTGGCGAGCCTCGGCCAGGCTGCCAAGAAGCCTGTGTACAAGGACAAGAATGCCTCCATCGATGATCGTGTTGCCGACCTCCTCAAGCGCATGTCCGTCAAGGAGAAGATGGCTCAGTTGATCCAAGGTGACATGACTAATTACCTCAACATCACCGATGGCACAGTCAACAAGACGGGTCTCAAGTGGAACATGGAGTACCGAGCCAACTCGGTTTGGACCGGCTTGTATACCGAGATGGAGACGGTCCAGAAAGCCGCCAAGTTAGCACAAGACTACCTTGCCGATGAAACCGAATTGGGAATCCCAACATTCGTCCAGAGCGAAGGACTCCATGGCTTCCTTGCCCTAAATGCCACCATATTCAACTCCCCCATCGGAATTGGCTGCTCCTTTAACCCGGGGCTGGTCGAGAAGATGGGAAACATCATTGCGACAGAGGCCTTGGCCCTCGGTGTCAACCAGCTCTTCTCTCCTCAGGTCGACTTGGCTAGAGAATTGAGATTTGGACGAGTGGAAGAATGTTTTGGAGAAGATCCCTATCTGTATGTCCATACCTTTCTGCGATATTTCTATTTCCATCCACTGACACGCATGTACAGGGTCGGAGAGATGGGATACTCCTATGCCAAGGGCCTTCAAGATAAAGGCGTCTCAGCTATGGTCAAGCACTTTGTCAGTCAAGCCTCGCCATTAATAATTAATTTGCGCTAACGAGACAGGCTGCATTTGCTTCCCCAGAGCAAGGCATCAACACAGCTCCCGTTTTTGGTGGCGAGAGAATGCTGAGGTCTCTATATCTGCCACCATTCAAGCGCGCCATCATCGATAGTGGTGCGACTTCCATCATGTCATCGTATAATTCATACGATGGCATACCAACAGTCTCAGACCCCCACCTTCTGCAAGATATCCTTCGAGAGGAATGGGGTTACGAATACTACGTCATCTCCGACGCCGGTGGCACTGCTCGCCTCGCCAACACTTTCTTCGTCTGCGAGGATAAGGACAATGAGTGCATCACCCTTGAGGTACGTCTGTGACTTCTCTTGGAGATGGTACAAGCTAATAAATGACCAGTCTCTCCCCAACGGCAACGATGTCGAGATGGGCGGTGGGTACTGGAGCTACGAGATCATCCCAGAGCTAATTAAGTCGGGAAAACTCGCTGAATCCGTCTTGGACACCGCTGTTTCTCGCGTCCTCCGTGCAAAGTTTAAGATGGGCATCTTCGAGAACCCATACCCTGGCGTCCCTGCCAAGAAGATCTTTGACTACGTCAACACTAAGAAGAACAAGCAAGTGGCTCGCCAGCTTGATACCGAAAGCATTGTCCTCCTTGAGAACCACGACAATACCTTGCCTCTGAAGAAGAACGCCAACGTCGCCGTCATCGGGCCCATGGCACATGGTTATGTCAACGTGAGTGCCTCCAGATACCACCCTGAGATGCGATGTGCTAACACTGGTAAAAGTACGGAGACTACGTCATCCACACTGCTATGTCCCGCGGCGTAACTCCTCTCGACGGCATCAAGGCCGCCAGCAAGGGCAAGGTCACCTATGCCAAAGGCTGCGAGCGCTGGTCCAACGATGACTCCGGCTTTGACGAGGCCGTCGCTGCTGCCGAGGCCGCTGACGTGGCCGTCGTTGTTGTGGGAACTTGGTCCCGAGACCAGAACGAACTCTGGGGCGGTCTTAATGCCACCACTGGCGAGCACATTGATGTGAGCAACTTGGATCTCATCGGCGCCATGCCCCGACTTGTCAAGGCCATCATCGACACTGGAAAGCCCACCGTCGTTGTGTTCAGCTCTGGCAAGCCCATCACCGAGCCCTGGATTTCGGATGAAGCCGCTGCCCTCGTACAGCAGTTCTACCAGTCTGAGCAGGGAGGATATGCTCTGGCAGATATTCTCTACGGCAACGAGAACCCATCCGGAAAGCTCTCGGTCAGCTTCCCATACGACGTCGGCACCCTTCCCATTTACTACGATCATCTCAACTCTGCGCGCATGTGGCCCAACCCCGGAAAGGTGTACGAGAACGGCACTCTGGACTTTGGAAGCACTTACGTTCTCGAGACCCCCACCGCTTTGTACGGCTTTGGATACGGCCTGTCGTACAGCAAATTCGAGTTCTCCAAGATTTCCGTCTCGAAGAGCAAGGTGTCCGCGTCCGACACCATCACCGTCTCAGTCGACGTGTCGAACAAGTCAAATCGCGACGGCGCCGAGGTAGTGCAGCTCTATGTCAAGGACATGATCGCGACCATCGATGTGCCCCGGTTCCAGCTCAAGGGCTTCAACAAGGTCGAGGTCAAGGCCGGCAAGACAAAGACGGTCAAAATTGATCTAGCTGTTTCCGAGTGGGGTCTGTGGAACCGCAAGATGGAGTATGTAGTCGAGCCGGGTGAGTTTACCGTGTACGTCGGCAACTCGAGCGAGAACTTCTTGGGTAACGTGACGGTTACCGTCGCATGAGGTAGCCATGAGGGAAGAATTATGTCGTTGAAGCCCTTTCTTAATATCATGTGCAGAAGATAATGGCCCTCTGTCATTCAGCTAGCCATTTTACGCTAAAACTTCTTTATTCATATTTATGATCTTTTCATCCCAAGTTTTCGCCAGGAGCCCTACTTTGCATGTTCATCAAGAGTAATTAGCGACGAGACAACCAGTTCATTCGGAGACAAATCGAGTTCTGCCCGAAGCTTTCACCTTCAACATTTGATGACTCGCCAGAATATGGTCGGTACCAGCCCCAATATAATGTGCGCGTTTGTAACTGGCATTACGCCTCTTCTTCGACACCGATATATCCTCCACTAATTGTGGTTCAATAAGGCGGGAGAAAGTACCCAAGGGTCCCTGGGGCTATGTTTCAGACATTTCCCGAAGTCACTAATATGCCAATAAACGAGAACATACAGTTACCTCTTGCTTAGGGCCCAAAATTTCTAACCCATATCTTGTTTCTAACTTGATAGTCCAAGATAACAAGGAAGAAGATCGATGGATTTAAGCCGTAGTGAGACGTGCTCACTCGCAAGTACATAGATAAGGCACGTTTAGGTGGACCTGAATTGCTTCAGCTCCATTCACATCGTGCTTAACTGTGTATGAGCATGATCGTTCTTTTATTTCACGTAAAGAGTTGGCCATTTTCTTATCAGCCAGTGAATCCCTGAGGCGCAGCATGTCATGGAAGTGGCTTCCTCGCTTGGAAGGCCCAAACGATCGGCGGACCCGTACAATATCACCGATTCCAAGGACCATACCACGCGTGGAGGATCCTTCGTCAATGTCATATCTGCCCATTACCTGTGGGGGTGCTGAGGCTTGAGTTTATTGATGAAATGCAATGGTCAAATTGTCCAGTTTCAAATTCGGCAGAAAAGTGACAAGTTGTCAAACAACGGGCGGCGGTGTGATATAAAATGGCGTCGGCTAGAAGGAATCTAGAACCATACTGCGCCACTAGTATGACAATATCAAACGCACACTTACCCTTGCCTCCCCCTCATGCAACACGTCACATATCCAAAGGATCGGACACCTGTCATTTTTGGGTGCATGGAAGGATCGGAAACGCGGCTGGGGTATGTTGTCTAGCCCAGATTTGTCATTTACGCGTGCACCTTTCCGAATTCTCTTGGATTCTCGGACAAACCCCTGCAACGACAGAATGTTTTGATTGAAGATTTGATACATACTTGGAGGCCTAACACCACCCATGACCTATTTATGCAAGTCAGTAAAGCTCCCCTCTGTTAGTTCTTCCCAAGGCATCAACTCCATGTGCGGTGCCTCAACGACTGCATCCTTCAAACGCCCTTCACGCATCATGAGGTGTTCGAGGGCTGGTAGAAACATTGGCCAGGTTGGTTATCCTCATTTATTTCAATCGATCGAGATTCTTATCGAGTGTGTGTGGGCCGATACAAGCGGTCTTGGGTTCTTGGGGTATCCCCTATCAGTTATCGTGAAGTTCCTCTCCATTCGCTGCTTGTATATATAAGTCTCTCCACCCCCCAGTTTTCATCACTACTTCCGTCTCTTAGGCGAGCAGTAATCTCCAACACGTCTCAAACCAACCAGTTCTTCTACTTTCACCAGCTTCCGACACAACAATCCCCAGGTCATCTCAGCAGTACACAAGATGAAATCATTTATGTAAGCCGGGTTTTGTAGCTCAATCCCTCGCCTGAATAAACACTCTCCACTTTGATCAATGAGATGTAGGCTTATGGCTTGACCTTCCACATCAGTGCGTACCTGAACTCTTGGCCCATTGAGGACAACAAATCAACCACCTGGGCTCAGGGTGTTACCTTCTGTGGAAGTGCCGGCGAGGACTATTAAATGGACAGTCAAATACCTTCGCATTCTTTAACGTGAAGGATCTCTCAAATTCTCTTTGAAATTTCCTGGTCCGCTTAGAATTTGGTCGGTTTGGTGTTGGGGTAGTCATGAATTTGAGTAGACAATGTATATGTTGAGATGCCGTTCCGTGCGATTTTCATATATACGCACACTATTATTCCCTGAACTTCATTGCTTTTACCATTATTCATATGATAACTTGTAGTAAATAAGATGTTCAGTGGAGGATTAGAAACCCACAGGGGATGGACTCCTTCGCCAGGAGCTGAAACAGACACACCCAGTTCTGCTTGATCTGAACTTGAGGTCTTTAGACCTAACAAAATAATCTTGTGTCTTATAGCGCACTATGAGAAACTAGTACAATATCATGTATTTCTATATGATTTTGGTGAGAAATACGGTCACCTCAAGTTCAAGATATTGATATGGGCTTTCGCAGGGTGCGAGACTCGTGGGAAATTCGTACTGTCCCACACCAACGCTAATTACCCGGATTGTAACTCTCCGTACGAGTCTCAGATTGGTATAGTCCCATTAGCCCAGAAGGTACGTATCTTTTCCCCTGTCCCGGAGCGGCAAAATGTCACCCCGAGCACCGGCATCCTGATTGGATAGGCGCCGGAAATGTGGTCATGGGCCATGGGAAGGCGGGCAGCCTCGCTCCAGCTTCTCCCCCGTCGTCACGGCACACTCGCGCAAAATTGCAGTCGACTCGTCTTCCCACGCGGTCTCGCCTCTTCGAAAATCCCCTGAGCCTCCGCGATCCTTACGACACAAGGAGACCAAAAGCTAAGCTCTCGACTCGTCGCCAGCCGCTCAAGGTCTCCTGGGCCCTCGCCCGCACCGGCTCCCTCCGGTCCTCGTCTTTCCACCCACGATCGTCCTCCTCACGTCGCTCGTCAATCCCACCTCCTGCCAACCATGGCGACACAACAGGTCCTCTTCTCCGAGACTATAGCGGGCATGAAAAAGGCCTTCAAGCGGAAGGTCTATGGTATGGCACCCCGTCATGCGACATCTCAGCGGACACACCACTAACGTCGGTCGCGCCGCAGAGTCCGACTCAGACTCCGAAATCGACAGCTACAGCAATCGAGGTCAGAAGCTCAAGAAACGAGCCCGATTCGCCCACAAGGGGCAATTGGTGCCGACCAACGGTCCAAGCTCATACAGAGAGGTAGCTTCCACACTCATGATGCCAGTCTCAGAGACCAGTCCTGCTGACAGACACGAAGTATGTTGAGTACGCCGGCCTCCGACGCCCGATCCTCCACCGCAACCCACCCCTCATCGACGACGAGGGCTATGAAATCGAGAGCGACGATGACGACGATCATCTTCAGGAAGCCGAGGCGCTCGCGTCAGAACTGAACCCATACGCCAACATCCAACTAGAACGTACGTCACCAATGGAGTCCGTCGATGACCACGAACCTGACAATAGCAGATCTTCTCGCTCCGTTGACCGCGTCGACTGGTCTATCAACTCACCAAACCCTTTCGAAGCCGTTCACATCCAAGACCCTGACGAAACTCGTCGACCAGAGCTGTGACAACATGCGCAAGGAGAATCATTCGCTATGGCAGGTTAGGCATCTCCTGACTGCGCTATGCGGCGACTTTACCTGGGTCCCATGCGAAATGCTGGTCAAGTCGTCAGATGTTGAGCTGTTTACAGACGACCACGTCGCTCGTCACCTACTAAGTCTGTCCAAGGGGTCTCAAGAGGCGCTACCATCCTCTGGGATCAACGGCGGTGCACACGGCCAAAATGGCATCGAAATTGGAGGCGTTCTTCCCGATGCTCTAGTCGAAGAGCTGCAATTGGACAAAATCACGACAGATGATGCAGACGTCTCCATGCTGGATGCTGAGCCTGTGGACCAGAATGGCTCTCGGCCGGACCAGGATGAGAAGAACGAGTCAGCCCCCAACGGAGGAGTGAACGGCTCGGCTTCAACTCCGACGATGAAACAAGAAGACGGTGAACTCAAGTCAGGGCCCCGGGGGGTTGACAAGAACAAGTCCCAGGAGAATGTCGACGATGCCGTGAATCCGAAAACAGGCGGAGACAAGGGCTCAGGAGCAACAAGCCTGGCGCGGGTTGGTGAAGGGGAGATTATTGCGGACACTCACCAACCCAACGAATTAATTAACGGGGTCCAAGAGGGGCCTATCCCGTTGGAAGGATTGGAGCAGTTGTTTGTTCACCCCATGTTTATCGCACCGGTAGGCACAAAGCCAGACCGGGATGTGGGGCTACCTGAACAAGAAGCTGAAGACATCAGGCGGTTGCTTGCCTTGTATGTACAAAAGCAAGAGGAGGTATGTCGAGGGGCAAAGAAGCTGTTTCTGGGTCTTCTCCGAGCAGAGAAACTCCGAAAGGACGTGTTGCACTGGTCCAAGGCGGAGGCGCATTCGGGTCCCAACCGGGACATGTCGGACGGGGAAGATTGGTACGACAAGGAAGAATGGGGACTGACAGAGGATCTCAAGAAGGGCCAGGACGAGGAAGAGGAAGATACCCAGACCACGGGGAAGAAGACGAGGAACCGTCGAACTTGAGGCTGTCCTTTTTATCTTGTCATCATCTTTTTGTCTTTTTTAGTGTTTGTGTCCTTTTAGATGCTCAGGGATGAGGGCATAAGCGAGGAGGATGGATTATCATGACCCTGGAGGGATACATAACATAGCTTGTCAGGCGTACGGCGTTGGACCAGGGACGGTCAAGCCGGGGCCGGAAGGCACCCGAGAAAGCGCTCGTTTGCGTGCGTCCACAGGGGATGGATGGCACCTTGGTTTGTGCATCGATAGACAAAACAATGGTATTATTTGTGCGTCATGCGCGAGTTCGAATGCGGTGATGGGTTGTCGATGAGGAAAATAGACGAATGGATCGACGGTTCTCGGTGCGTTGAGTTGACGGTGTGACGGAGGCGAGAAACGGGATGCTGAGAAAGTCCCCGCAGCACAGGCCATCTGCAACCTGTCCACTATCAGTGCAGTCTGCGGGGGTATGGAGTCTCAGGCCCGGAACAGCAGCGGGCCAGGGGCCCCTCCAGCGCATCAATTAGCTACAGTAGCTCTATGGCCCTGTGGCTCCCGTCTGTGACTTTGTAGTTAGACACAAAATTAGGGCGTCTTTGGACCCCAGCGCTGGAGCCAACGCCTGAAGCCAGCGCCTGGACCAGGCCTGTCTGCCTCCATAGCTTATGACGCCAGTGGGTGGGACCCTTCCTTCCCTTCCACTCTCTTCCATGTCAAAGAAACATGTGACAGTGGCTCATTCTAACTCCAATCGCTTTCCCTCCTACCCCAACAAAGAAAGCTCTCACTCTTCTTCTTTCAGCTTTCTTGTGACCCGTGACTTGTGCGTGAACCTTGTGCATCAGTGATCCCACGTCGCTATTTTCTTCCTCTTTTCTCTCTGAAATAACATAAGGAACAATCGCAAATCGCATTCATCATGGCTTCCTTCGTGAACGAGCTCGTCAATTACGTCAACTTTGACAAGAAGAGCTTGCTAGGTAAGTGGCCTCTAGCCAGCTGTCGAGCTCTCAAGCTCCCCTGCTCTCTGCTCTCTGCCCTCTGCCGCCAGCTCCCACCAGCTCCCCATTCTTGTGAAAATGCATCTTGTCTAACACGGATTCCGTTGCTTCTCTCCAGTGTCCGCGTGCTCTATTGCCTTCAATCCCCTCTTCTGGAAGTGAGTCCTTGCTGTCAAGTCCCCCGCTAAAGAGGTCGCGTGGCATGCTAACCTCCCACTGTAGCATCGTCGCTCGCCAAGGTAGACACCACATTCGGCCCCCACGACCCTGAAACGACGTCATGCTAACTTGGGATGCCTCATAAAGAGTACCGCAACAAGCTCCTTACAAACCTCTTCGGCGGTAACTCTGGTGCCGCTTGCTATGGCCTCGCCGCCACCATCTTCTCTCTCGGCATCGTCCGCGATCTTCTATTCAAGAGCGCCATCGCTGAGCAGCCTTCGCATCCGCTCCTCGAGACGCCCTATGTTCAGGCCGCTGCCGTTGCCCTCTTCTTGACTGGCAACATCCTGGTCGTTACATCTACCTGGTCGCTCGGCATTACCGGCACCTTCCTCGGTGACTACTTTGGCTTCCTCATGGACGAGATGGTGACGGGTTTCCCCTTCAACGTGACCGGCGCTCCCATGTACTGGGGCTCCACCATGAGCTTCTTCGCCACTTCCCTTTACTATGCGAAGCCGGCCGGTATCCTGCTGACCTTTTGGGTCTACATCGTCTATGTGATTGCCCTGCGCTATGAGGACCCCTTCACCGCAGGTATCTACGCCAAGCGCGAGCAGGAGAGGGCCGCGGGCAAGAAGCAGAACTAAGAAGATTATTTTCTTCTCTTACACGGATTCGGCACAGTGAGAAATCACTGCCTCATCCAACACTTCCGCGCCTAATGATGGCGGGGACTCGGACTACAAGGGAATCCGCATATGAACCGACGTGCATCAACAAGGAGTTCAAACGGGGAACTGTGCCTTTCAACAGGCTCAAGGAGTTTCGGGAACATAAATAAAACAGGCTATCGGCATCAACCAGCCGAGGGTTACTCGGAGTTTTTCAGTTTCAGAATTACACATTTTACACACTACATCACTCTATTTACAATTAAAAACTACATGATCAGGGGGAACCCAGAACACATTTCTCACAGCTCACCAGACAGCAACAGCCACACCGTCCGCCACCGATATCCCTAGACCCAGCACTAAGTAAAACTTACCCATCCAGTTCAACGAGATTCCCGTCAAGTTGAGAGGTCGGACAACACGGTGGGAGCGAGACTGAAACTCCGGGTTACAAAGAGAAACTGGACGCAGAGGTTGAAGGCAAGCTAACCAAATTGTCCCAAGTTACTGAGCCGTCTCATATGCTATTCTGTGTTACACACTACTAAAATATGAACCTACCAAATAAATAGATGGAAGAATACCATTACGCTGCCAGAATTCGAAAACGTGAATACACATAATGTTCGAGTCAAGACTGTGCAGATGTAGGACCTAGCAGCGCTGAAGAGCAAAATCGCCCACACTCACGGCCGTGGGTAAGACGCAGGCTAATCAATGCCAAGCAGATGATGCAATTCCGGTTATGAGGAAGATGAGAGTTAGAGAGATATCAGAAATCAAAGAGGGAGTACAATACTGGGCCAACAGAGTCATGGCAGAGGCTTGGGAACATATATTAGGTTGAGATATTCCTTGTTCGACAACTGGGGCTTCTTGCCTCCAACATCACGCGTTGTCGAGTGTACTGCTGTTAAATCCATTTTGCTCTCGGCTTAAACTAAGCCAAGTCAGGGTCAGGCAAAAAAATCATGCACATTGCTACAAGGAACCAAACGAGCGTCATCACAACTCCACATTGTACATAAATCTAGAAAGCCTTCTAGCCCATATTGTTCTCATCAGTTGATCTGAGATTCAATCCACTTTACACATCAACACCTCCAAAGACTCTCGGGGATCTATGTTGAATTCTATTCCGCCTTTCTGAAATTCGCCAGCTCAGGTTATCCGAAAGGCACCAAAGGTACGGGGACGAACGTTTTATATCGCCAGAGATTCATTCAGGGGGGCTAAGAGCCAGTGAGCTTCTTTGCTCACTGCTTCTCGGCAGCAGGAGCCTCGGCGGGCTTCTCGACAGCAGGTACCTCAACAGCAGGGACCTCGGTAGTGGTGGCCTCAGCCTCCTTTGCGCGGAGAGCCAGCTTCTGCTGCTTCTTCCTCTCCTTGGCAGCCTTCTTGGCGGCAGCCTTCTCGGCCTCGAGGGCCTTTTGCTTGCGAATCTCCTCTCCGCCAAAGGCCTCGCGCCACTGGTCGATCTGCGAGGCAGGGATCTGGGAGAAGAGCAGCTTGGGCTCGCCAATGGCCTGGCCGGGCTTGACGATATCGCCGCTCCAAGTCTCGGGGATGGAAATGAGACCGGGGCAGCCAATCTGGGTGAGGATGGCCTCTGCAGTGGAGGGCATGTAAGGGAAGAGGATGCTGGCGAGGAGTTGGAGGTGGTTAATGCCGAGGCCGATGACCGCGGCGCAGCGCTCAGGCTCGTCAGCCAGAAGCTGGTTGTTGAGCTTGCTGTCCTGGAGGAGCTTGTTGCCGAGAGAAGAGATGTGCATGACGGTAGCGAGACCGTTGCGCAGCTTAATGGCCTCGAGGTTGGAGTTGTAGGTCTCGAGTGCCTCGTTGACCTCCTTCTTGTGCTCTTCAATGCGCTCATCGGTGTACTTGGTGTAGTCTGGGACAATGCCGTCCATCTTGGATTGGCAGAACTTGAGAATTCGCTGGTTCAAGTTACCAAGGTTCTTGAGAAGGTCGTTGTTGTTGCAGTCAATGAATTCCTGCCACTTGAACTCAGAATCAGAAGACTCGGGGCGGCGGGAGAGGAGGTAATATCGCCAGACATCGGGGTCGACGCCAGTCTCCTTGGCAGTGTTTCCGAAGACACCGACACCCTTGGACTTGCTGAACTTGCCGCCCTCGTAGTTGAGATACTCAGTGGTGGACAGCTTGTGAACCTGGGTCCAGTTGCCTTTGGTTCCGAGTTGGGAAGCAGGGAAGATGATGGTGTGGAATCTGGTGTGTCGAGCGTCAGCATCCAATCTCATTCATTGTGTGAGCAGAAATAACCCAGGGCCAGACACTTGTCCGGCCACGGCTGTTGGAATAGAATTGCAAGATGGGGATTTGGGTACATACGGAATGTTGTCTTTGCCCATGAACTGGTAGAGCCTCACATTTTCGGGGTTCTTCCACCACTTCTCCCAGTTGGTGCCGGCCAAATTATCTCCATCGGTGTAGTTCGCTGTGATAGACACGTATCCAATGCAGGCATCAAACCAGACATAGAAGACCTTGTTGGCGTACTCCTCGTCGCTCAGACCTTCGAGGCCCGTCGGGATGGGGACACCCCACTTGAGATCTCGGGTGATGCCACGGGGGAGCAGGCCCTTGTTGATCCAAGATTGTGTTACGGCAGTACAGTTGGGGCTCCACTCTCCCTCCTTGCTGCTCTTCTTGAACCAGGCAACCAGCTCATCCTTGAGAGCGTCCAGCTTCAAGTATAGATGTTTCGTTGATCGTTTCTCGGGGGCGGCGCCGTCGAGTTTGCAGCGAGGGTTGATGAGCCAGCCGGTGGCTTTAGCCTCGACATGGTCTTCGTCGCCAGTATTGGGCTCCTGCTCGGGCTCAAAGGCATCGAGGAGGCTACCGCAGGCGTCGCATTGGTCTCCGCGAGCGCCATTGTCGCCGCAGATACTGCATTGTCCCTCGACGAAACGGTCGGCAAGGAACTTGGAGTGGCCGGGTGTAGGGCAGAAGGGCTGAACGGTCTCGCGCTCCTCGATGTAGTCGTTCTTCCACAGGTCGGTGAAGATCTGCTGGACAATCTTGGTCTGATGTCCTGACGGGGTTCGGCCGAATATGTCAAAGTCGATTCGGAACCAGTCGTAGATCTCCTTGTGAAGGACGTGGTACTTGGCACAAAGCGCGGCGGGCTCGAGTCCCTCCTCAAGGGCCTTGGTCTCGGTGGCCGTGCCGTATTCGTCGGAGCCGCAAACGTAGAGGGTGTTGTGGCCGCGGGCCTTGCAGAAGCGCGCGAAGACGTCAGCGGACAAGACACTGCCGATGATGTTGCCCAAGTGGGGGACGTTGTTCACGTAGGGCAGGGCGCTGGTGATGAGGACGTTGCGCTTGCCCTCCTCCGGGAGCACGGGTCCCGATGAACCCATAGTAGGCAGTGTTTGGTCGCAGTTGTTGAGATGTCGTTCCAGCTCCGTGAAGGGGATTGCAGTTTCAGGAGTATATGTGGTTGGTGAGTCACAAGGCTGGGAGTTGTTGTTCGGCAGTCATACAGTCAAAATTCGTTGCGATGGCGGGGGCGGGGGAGGGGGAGGGGCGATTGCGTGAGTCGTAGTGGGTGTGTCTAGGGTAGGTTGGGTGCTAGTGCGGCATTCATGCAGTCGTGCAGTGCAGCCCAACTCCGGTAGTGGACCATATATCAAAGAGAAGTTAATCGTACTAGGTAGTGTATGGAAATAGGCTGCATCTGGGAATATATTCCTGGCAGTAGTTAAGTTTGAGCATAGATTCCGTGTCAAACTTCCACATATGGTTGTGGCGCCAATTCTATATGGAGATCTTAGAGTGTATTCAGAATTCCAAGTGCCACCAAATCCGCGTAACAGTACGTCAACATACATACCCGCCTAACAATCTTCCTAATCGCAATCGTTCGCATTTTGTAAAAAGGGAGTGTAGGTACAGAGTGCCTATTTGTTAAAATCACGTGATAAACTACACGAGCCGCGTACATCTCGCGTTGATCGCGTTACCTTTACCGCGTCTCATAGTTGGTTAGTTGGTGTTGCTTATTCTCAACAACTCCGCTTATATAACACGCGATACCAAATCACGGTTGACCAGTGATCGACCAAAAGATCTTTCCAAAGCTCCCCCGGGACAAGGCTAAGAGAGTGTAAATATTAAGTTTAGTAGATAGAGCCGTAACACGCTCGCGGATCAGCAGACGTGATTTCGGTAGTTCGGAATATACTGGGAACAAAGCAAGCAAAGACCAAGAATTGTGATCGGCGCCCGTGTTGAGCCGCCCCTGTCCAACCGCCCCTGAAACCAATTCACCAGGTTGTCGTCACTTGTTTCAAGGGCCCATGTCAGAGGTCCAGTCACCGCCCGCCGTAGATGTGCACTGAATTGGTGCTCCCAGAAATGTCACTCGAGCCATCCAGTCACCTTGGCCGGAAACGTCGCACTCGGCTGACCTCTGACGACAGCTGAGCTCCACTGCACCAAGCACGCAGCCTAACAGCCCCGCGTCGCAGCGCTACAGAACAACCCCACTACGACGACATCCCGCCCGCTGTGCGCGGCTCCCTTGTTGACCTCCAGCTATCGTCACATGAAGACAGCTTCTACCACGCTTCTCGCGACTCCTTGCTTGCTCAGCGCTGCTGCTTTTGGGGACTACAGCTTCGCCATTTATCTGCGCCCTCCTCGCGACTTCGCCGGACCTGGTACTGCCTCTCTATCAACTGTTGCTCCAAGCCGACGCCAACACCCACGTGCGCTCCTGGCAAGGCGAGATAGCATCATCCTGGAACTCTATAGCCGCTAGCATCCCCTCACATTCAGCCCCCGCATCCATCGCAAATACCTTCGGCGCTCTGCGAACATGTTCCAGCAGGTTAGTCTTGCTCCTCGGCCACATGTCGGCTGTATGCGACGGACTATCCACGGGGTGTTGCGCTCAGGCTACGGCGCCGCGCTTGAGCTATTTACCTTGGGATGCCGTCAAACTTCCTTTCCTTTCCACACCATAAACCACTTGCTGAACCCCGAAACAGAAGAAGCCGTTCTCGGCCGTAACCGTCACCGTCGAGAATCTCACTTCAGAGTCATACGAAGAGGAGGACCTGAGCGGCATCCCCGACCTCGTTGAAGTCATCAAGCTCCAGGCCTCGGGCCCCAGCGAGGCTGCGCGAGCCATCCGCAAGAAGCTCAAGTATGGTAATGTTCATCGGCAGATCCGAGCCCTAGTCCTCTTGGATGGTCTCATCCAGAACGCCGGAGAGCGGTTCCAGCGCACCTTTGCCGATGAGCCGTTGTTGGAGCGCTTGCGCGTGTGCGGAACCGACCAACTCTCAGATCCCGAGGTCAAGAAGAAGTGTCGCGAGCTTTTCCGCAGTTGGGCTCAGTATGCGGGGACTCCAGGTCTAGACAGGATTGCAAGGCTCCACAAGGTGAGTTGCTCACTAAGTTGCCTGATAGCAGATGCTGATCTCTTCAGGAACTTCCTAAGAGGAAGGTTGCCGCAACCCAAGAGAGATCAAAGGTTATTAGGGAAACCGAGGAGAACCCATTTGTCGATGACGAGGAAGAAGAGGCCGCCAAACAGGCTGCTCAAAATGCAGGCGGTCCTTCCAACCCTCCCGCGTTCAGCCACGCCAAGTCCACATCCATGTCGAGCTCATTCTTTGGCAGCTCAAAGGATAAGAAGAAGGACAAGGCAAAGGGTAAGCGAAAGCCGTTCAACCTCGAAGAAGAGAAGGAGCAGATGAAGTCGGTCATTGCGGATTCTTCCTTTGCGGCGACCAACTTGCAGAATGCGCTTCAGAGCATCAACCGCGAGAAGGAACAAATTTCCGACAACCAGGCTGCGATGGAGCAATTCGAAGCTTGTAAACTTCTCCGGCGAAAAGTGTTACGATACGTGCGTCTCCCCTTGTAGAGTTTCTTCGGACGATGTATCTAACGGAGAGCAGATCCATCATGTCGAGCACGAGCAGTGGCTTGGAGGCCTGCTCCATGCCAACGATGAGCTTGTGCATGCACTCATGACCTTTGAGCAGCTCGACCGATCTATCGACGCCGATAGTGATTCCGATGACGAACTCGCCGAGCAAGCCCACCTTTACAGAAGTATGACCCATCCCTGCAATACACGCGCAAGACCAACTGACACATCCACCACAGTGGTTGCATTGAAGGGCAAAGAGGCCATGGCCAGCGGCCACTCCCCCACGACCTCGCAGCCTCCCGACCTCTCCGAATTGCACATCGCAACTTCGCCCAAGGCTGCCGCGCCCCCTCGACCGCCCCCCATGGCAAAGCCAGGCCAACGGATGCCGCCCCCTCAGCCTCCCCGGCCTGCACCGCCTCCGGCGCCTCCAGCGCCTCGACAGGAGCCCAAGGATGAGGAAGAAGACGATGATCCGTTTGGAGATAACCATGTGATTGATACTCCGGCGGTGGAATGTGAGCAGCCGAGGTGGTGAATGTTCAATGCTGGATAATTTTATGAACTGTTAGCAGAGCAATTTGTTGGGTATAAGTGGTTTTGAAAGCAGTCATTTTTCTCCAATGAGAGTTTAAGCGATATCCTGAATTGCTTACATCTAATTTGCCATATCTCTCTGTCCCTTTTCCTTTACTCTTACTATATGAATAGGTAGTGTCACCAACTCAAGCTCAGGTATGTAAATGACTTGAAAGTATCTGCCCAACCGACCATATATCCAGTATAGGGTAGAGTCAGTGACTTCAAACTCCACGTATCTTATCTCGTTTAATTACAGCCAGGTCATCTGCTGCTCCGCCGGGCGCCAGCTCTGGACCCGAACCCCCCCGACTCAAAGTTGCGCTGCAACCCACCGACCGCGGTCTTGGCTCGTCCGACCTCAACGTGCCCCTCAGGTCTCGCGTCACACTCTCTCTCACGGGGGAATGCCATTTCGGATTCCGCTACGACCTACCTACATTAGCTACACTACCTTCCTAATTACTGACGTGGGATAGGGGACGGATGTGATAGAACCCGCGCGCTTCGCGTGGAGAATGCACTTGAAAAATCCAGACCGCTTCCATTTTCTCTCCACCGCCGTTTATCCTGTGGCCGTGTAAAACGCCTCGCGGATGCAGTCTTATTGACCCGGCCTCCCCCACGTGTGGCCAGAGAGGCGTTCGCGTAATTAATCTCCACGACTGCATGCACGCAAGGCTGGGCTGCAGTTCAACGAGATTTCTACCACTAGTTCTATGAGCCACGAACCCGCCTGACAGGCACGCGAGCAAAGCAAAGCAAATTTCCACTGTCAGCAAAGCGGGAAGATGGCGGGAGCATCGCCAAGGGGAACTGGAAGGAAAAAGCAAGGAAAAAAGTGAGCATCTCGCTGAGATTTCCGGGGAATCTGACAGCCGCAATCGAATGATCCGGCAGCCCCTGACTTCATCCATCAACCGTTCACCGCACCGTTCACCGCACCGTTCACCGTCTTCGCCCCCGTCCATGTCGTGAGCGGCTAATGTGGACGAACGGGCTGCGCAATGCATCTAATTAGGACGGCATACTTGCTAATGCCTCTTCTGGGGCATCTGATGCATTTTGCCCCTCCATACACGACCAACGGTGAAGAAGGACAGGGTCAAATCCCGCCGGTGTAGATCGGGTGCCCTGAAGATCAACGGAGTCCAGGCGGGTCTCGTTGTAGGCTTGCGTTGGCCAGTGTTCACCGACACTGACACGACTGATGCGGGAAGAGTTTGCACCGGATGTGTATCTGAACAATGCTCATCCCGTTCAAGGACGGACTCTGTGTTTATAGCAATGTCAGAAATGCTTGGAATGGTCCTGCCTCCCGTTATCCCGCATGGCCGGACCACTATACGTCATGTCGCTTGGATGCCATTCAGCACCGAACACCCGTCTCAACCATCCGACATCGACAGCGCATTCCAAATAACCGCGGGTCGGCACCTGCGTAGATCCTGTTGACCGGCATGACCAAGAGATTCCGCACTACATCAGCATCGCGCGCGTTCTTTGCCCAGGACCAGGTTGATCGAACAAGTGGTGCTGTTTTCGTATGGGCCCCCCTGCTCCGCTCTTCTCTTCAGCTGTCAGGGTGTCGGGCGCAACGTAACGGTCACAGGCTGAGACATGCTGTTTACACTACGGATGCGTGAGGCTTGCGTCCTCAAACCGCACCGACGGCATATTCAGCCCACATGCCGCCCACCGCGGAGAGGGCTGAAATTGCGAGAGAGGGCCAGACGAGGGGCCACATGATCTCAACACTCGATACTCGATACTCGAATCGTCTCTTTGATCGGATTTGTGAAATTGGTCTTTGTCGTCCGCCTTGGATCGCCCCCACCTCACCTGAGGATAGCGCCGTGATGCCGGAAGAGGGTGTGCTGAGGGCCGAAGGGTGGCATGGTTGCCAACGCAGCGCAGGGCGATTGATTTTTTTGCCGCCCTCTCCCAATGAAGCAGGACAAAGACGCCGACAAGCCATCATAAGGTCATCAGCCGACTCTTGAAAGGGCAACTGCGGTCATTTTGAATCTTCTTTGTTTCTAGCGTCGTATCCGGGGAGCTGAGGCGAAGAGGTTATCGCGACAGAAGCAAAGGTGCATACCGGCATCGAGCCCTCGTGGCAGCCACGGGCCCAGGACATCCCTGCGGCGCGCCGGCGCATCCAGCACAGTGCAGCCCTGAGATGGCATTTTCCCACGGACCCTTTGGCCACCCCCACTGCTTCTGGAAGCCTTCCATCGATTGTTTCATGGACTCGCGGAAATGCCCGTCAACGACTTGGAGCTGGGCCTTGGGTGGGATCCCGGGGTCGGGGCCTGCATGACGACGGCCGCCCTCCCGGTTGGTTGTTGGCTGGTCGAAGCGTCTCGCGTTGGGTTTCCAGCGGGCAAAGTGGACGTAAGGGGGGGCAATAAGAGGCAGTGTACGAGGCGCGCATGAACAAGCAAAAGGCGACTTGGAAATGGGGAGATGCCACTCGATCCGCATTCAGCGCCGGCTGAGTCCTCGTCGGGCTGCATATTGGGCGTCGGGCGATCCCCCTTGCCGCGACCAGACAGGGCCAACAATAGGAAGTATGCGGCCAGGGGCTGTATTGATTCATAAAATCCTTATGAATGCTGGGGAAACGCGATGTGGTGTCGATCATGTATGATGCGTTCGCGCCTGCGCGTCTGCGCCCGCTCCACGATTTAGACCCTCGATTGTTTCAACTGAGCTTTGGGCAACCCAGTATTCTATTCAGGGCGTTGGACGCGCAAGGGAGAAAGCTCGGATAGGATCGACAAAGAGATGTCGCAACGGCTTCGAGACGGGCGGAGCCATGGCCAACTGGATGGCTGGTTTCCATGGGCCACCCGTTGGGCGCCACCGGCCCTCGTGCTTGTCCCAAGCTCCCTCCATTCCTCTATTCATCGTGCGCTTTGTCCAAGGCTCCAAAACTGCCCGAACTCCACGACGGAAGCTTGCTGTTGGAGGTGGCGCATGGTAGCATTGGCCCGCCGCCAGTCATTGCAGCCCTGTTCGTTTGTTGCCACTATTTTTGGTCATAGCGCGCTGTGTGTTTGCAAGATAATCAGCCATACGGGCGACTGGGCGCTGAGATGCGTCTGACTGTATCTTGGTGTGGTCTGAGATGGAGACGGTTGGGGACTGGAGACAGACGTAGGCACGCTAAGGCGAAAGCTTTGTGGTCATTGTTTCATCTACGCCGCGAGACGAATGCCCCCGTTGGGACCAAAATAGTAGTCACCATGGCAGATTTGCATTGTTGTTGGCGGTGATTTGATTTGATTTGATTCACCAGGGCCCTGGATTCTTTTTGGCGCCGGCGCATCGCCTTCACCGAACTTGGCGTGCGGGTGACGGGACGACGGGTTGAACGAGCGAGCCACTGCGGTATCCGTTCGCAATCAAAGTTGATGGCGCAGGACCCTGGCTATTGTCATGTACGAGAATAAACTGCGTAGTACGGAGTCGCTGCAGGCAGGGCTGGCTATTCAGGCTCGGTGACGGGCGGTACGTGCGCGGAATTTCTAGAAGCTGGCTTTGGCGATGATGGCAGTTACAAGTAACACTGGGGCGTTTGGGTGGTGGTGTGGGGGCGTCCCAGCTATTGGACGGCCTCCAGCCACACGTCGTCGATGGCGTTCGCAATATCCATGACAATAGACAAGCCGTATGGTTGGGCTTATTGAGGCAGATGCGGAGGTGCAGGCCATGACCAACAGGTCGCGAGTATGAGATATGGTGGAGGTGGGCAAAGGGCCATGACTGGACCCGACCGACGCATCGCAAACCCGCAGATTGCACCGACGAGACGTAATGGGCTGCAATGGGATGCAATGGGATGGGACGTGATGGGACGCGTTGAAAGGCGGTGGCCTGTTTGAGTGGTTTCTGCTCCGTGCCCCCCTTTCCCGTCCCCCATTGTCCGCCTCCTCTGAGTCGTAAGACGACCGATATCGAGGCATGATGCCTGTTCCTTCGGGAGCGGTGACCCTGGCCTCCCGCGCCGGCACGGTCAGGATTTCCCCAGCTGGTAAGTGAGGGCTCCTGGCGCTCCAGGGCGGAACTGGAGGTCGTCTCGCAGGCCTTGGGAGCATGCGACAGCTGGAGTGGGAGTGGGAGCCGTCCCGGAGCCGCAACCGCAACACTTGTCATACCAGGGTCCTGGAAGGATGGTCTATATTCCATCATGGGTGACAATGAATAATGGCCTTAGGTTTTGGAGCTTGAGATGACCTGAAGATGGGCAGACTCGGGGCCTCAGTCCACCCCGGACGCATCGGCCAGGGCGGATATCGCGCCGGCCGCCATCCCCCAGAGCTTCAGCACTGGCGAGCGCGGCTGGTGCACTAGAGGCGACTAGAGGCGGCGCCATAGCGCAGAGGCGACGCCATTTGGCTTCTCGAAGGCCGTCAGAACGATGGGCATGATCCATGCTTTCGCAGCACGGGGCACACGGGAGACGGGGCCATCAGCACAAAGGGCCCATGGGTCATGGCGCAGAAGCCAAAAGCATCATGTAGGGTGTGGGCAAACAAACAAGCAAGGGGACATGGCATGGGAGTTGGGACATTTGCATACTATGTAGGCAGGGGGTTGGAAACACGGGGCAAGCTGGGCTTTGCGCGGGCCACACCTGTGAGCAGAACCTGCGACGTGCCTGCGGCAAGCACGGAGACCGAGGCGCTACGTATTAAGGGTGTTCCATCTTCCAGAAGGCTTCGAGAAACCTTCCGAGACGGGCTAGCGTAATTTCCCATTGTAATGCATTGGCCACCGGCCTTCCCACGCAGCCAACCACGCCTTAGCAGCTGCATTCTAAGGACCCGCCACCCCTGCGACAATAACCCTGAGCCTCTGGGCTCGTTTGCCTGGCGCCCCCCCTTTTGGGCTTGCTTGAGCATAGCCGGTGCTAGTGGGTAGTGGGAGAAAATGCGGTGGAGCGTCCCTTGCCTGGAGAATAATTATTGTTATTGTTGCTAGGACGGCGACCGGAGCATGCTATTGTGATTATCGACGGTCATGTGCGCCTGCAAATCGCGGGGGACAATAGGCGGCCGGTCTGCGGAGCGGGCGGCCTGTGTGCGCCGTGCGTTTGGGAGGCTGGGCCGTCTTTGTTTCCTTTGGAGGGATCGTGATGCCCATCATACGCCACCCCTGCCCATGCTCTCTCCCCATCGGTCTGTACGGAGAAGCAGGTGTGTAAGGGCATGCCAGGTACGGCTTCTCAAGTACCGGCCGAGGTATCGGGCACAGTGCAGCGCGGCTCCAGACCCACTCCAGGACCGCTCCAAGGTTTTCCCTCAAGGGCGACTCTCGAGGGACGACCGCGGCAGTGCCCAGCCCACCCGCTCCAGATCCGATTGGGCATGCCCTCAACTCTCTGGGGGCAGGACCTTCTGATCCATGCGTGAGTGACAGTCAACAAACATACCACAAGCAGCGGACTTGTGCCTGTTGCGTGCATTAATTCACGGGCCTATGGCACAACACCAGCGAAGCAACGTAGCGCTTCCCGTTGATCCCAGGGCATCCGAGACCCTGGGCCATGGATGCTGTATTTGGATTTACCCAAAGACTCGAGAACCCCAGCGACCAGCCGATGCTGGTGGAATGAGAGAGCCACCCCCAAAAACAGGGGCAGCCGTGACACCAGCCCAAGCAAGCGAGCGATGGATCGCCCGAGTCCTTGGGACGGGATGGCGGGTAGTGGTTGGGTTGGGACAATCAGATGACTCTGACTGCCGTCTGTCATTTTGATTTGCATCACACAACATTCCCGAAGCCCTACTAGACGGGGACGACTGGGGTTGGCGGTCCTGATTCGCAGTCGCCGAGATTCAGGTACAGGCTCTACAGCGATCGCAGGCGGTGATGGAAATTGCCAGCGGTCGATGGAGCTCGGTATGGAGTCCGCTGGATGCGCCTCAGCAGAGGGCTGGAGACGTGGCCGTGCCGCCAAGGGAGGTGGACTCTCAGGTGAGGCAAGCCACAGTAGACAACGCGACACCGCCGCCCAGCAATGGGACAGGGATCGTGGGAATGGCCTTCTGGAAGCTCACTTCAGATCTGCCACCCGCACGGAGTACGCAGCCTGGCGGCCCTGGCCTGACAGCCCAGCTCCGTCGCGCGCCCAAAACCGCGGCCCCGTTGATTGCCCAGGGCACGATGGGGGCCGGGGGTGCAGCAGCTTTAGGCCTTGGAGCACACGCCATCCCTCGGCGCCCTACAGGGGAGCTGAAGGGTGTCGTGTCATGACGTCGGCCCTGGTTTGCTTGCTGGCGGTGCTCGTACGTACGTAGCACGTCGTAGTGCCACCGTGGTTTGTAGTGCTGCGCAGGTCACGGGAGGACAGGGGGGCCCGTTGTGAACTTGGTTTGTGGACCACGAGTTTTCGGGAGAGGGTCAGAGAGAGGCCTGTTCGCCATCCCGAGGGAGAGGGAGACGGTATCAGAGGCCAGACGATCCTCTGGACGCGTGCATGCATCGGCAAACCGCATCTCAATCGCATCGCATCGCACGGCACGGCAAGACATGACCACCACGAGCCCATGGACCATGGTTTTGGCTCTCGCTGTATGTTTGGTGGGCAAATTCATTTTCGTGATTGCACCCTCGGCTTGGCTGACGGAGTCTAATACATGACATCGTATTGCTGCCGCATTAAATCAACCTGGAACCAACCATCCCGCCATGCCACTCCAAAACCAATCCCCCTAACCTAATAGCAGCATCTTACGGCCAACAGACGAGACGGGAGGCGTCCACTCGCAACTCGCATCACCAGCATAATGCCGCCCGCCCAGCTTGCAAAGAGGTACGACGACCGACGTACCAGGCTGACAGGGACAGGCCTGCCTCTGGTTTGCTTGCATCCCATCCCGGATTCCTCGCTGCTGCGCCGGGGGGCGTTCGGCCCCAGCTCATGAAATGGCCGCCCTTTGTTCAGATGAGCAGGACCACCAGCTGTCCCAATCACTGGCAATCGCTGGCAATCGCCGGTCCCGACTGATCCCTACTGATCAGGTCCCCCCGCCCTGCGCTGCATGACGGTGCCCTTTCGGGCCCATCCCAGGTCCTCCGCGGCCCCCGTAACGGAGACGTGCGTACGTTTGCCTGCTCAACTCAGGTCCCGGACGCTCCCCCGTTTTCCCCTTGAGGTTGCACATCTGCCCTCCTGGTCGGTCAGTTGCCTTTGGCTCGATGGGGCGCCGCCGCGGCGGCCGGGGTCTAAGTTACGGCGCAGAGCCTGGGCGCATTGCTGGGTCCGCGCACTGTGCGCACTGTGCATGGGTACCTGCCGCGCGGGAGCGCTGGAAGTGCATCTGTCGAGTCTCCATCCAATTCTCCAAAGCGTCTCCATTCTCCAGTCTTCCCCGACACCCAGACCAGCTCCATCCATTCGCTCGCTGGAAAGCCACCCGTTCGTTTCAATTCCCAGGGTCATTTCTTTTTGCTCCCATTTTCGGGCTCTCAAGGGGGGGGGGGTTCCCTCATCTTGGAGCTGCTATTTTGATGCTGCTTAGTCTATCCCGTCACTCACATTGTTGTGTCCACCGCCTTGCCCACACGCCCTTTGACACGCCCACTCACACACCTGCTCCCACGCCCACCTTATGCTTCACGCCCACCTTGCGCTTCACGCCCACCAAAGGGTCCCGCGCTGGGTTGCGCTGAGTTGGCTGTCTTGCCTCTGTCTCGCGCGTATTATAATAGTGCCGGCACTCCCCCCCCCAGCCTGTGTCTTGTCCCAGCTCCTGCCGTGATCAAATACCTCCTCGTCGACGTTCCTTCCCTTGTTGACCTGCGCATCGCTTTTCCTCCTGCCGCCAGCCGCCTGCCATCTGCCTGCCACCTGCCACCCCCCGTCCCGTGCTTGCTCCATGCCACCGCCCTCTTCCTGAGATCTGGCGCACAGAACAAACTCCGACGAGATCTAACCCTCCACGCAAAACCTCCCACCTACACCACCCGGCAACCGTCAAAACACTGCCCGCCTGCGCCTCAACCGCATCCCTCTCAAACTCCGACATCCCGTAAGTTCGACTTCCTCTCAAGTCCTGGGCGCACGCCCTTGCTTTGCGCTGTCCGGGCTTCCTGGTTCTTCTTGTTACACTCGCATTGCCGTCGTTTGATCCCTGCTCCATCGCGCGCCGTAGTTGGTTTGCACAGCGTTGCACGGCGCGTTGGAGTCCCGCTATTCACGCCCTCCACCCCATCCCTGCCCTTGCCTGGGAGTTTTTTTTTCGGGGCCTCCACTCCACGCTGCCTTGTCACGTCCCGCTTGGAGACCCAACCTGACATAAAGGCTTGGCCCCTACCTGGCCTCGATCGAGCATCTACTCCTTGACCTCCCCTCTCCCCGTTCCCCTCGATCACATTCCTTAAAACACCTTCATCCTTGATTCGATCCTCTTCAGTGTCTCCTGGCGCTTGCGATCACTCTCTTTTCCCGTCCTTTGACCACATCTTCTTGACGTGGCTGACCGCCGGTACCTGCATCTAGGTTCATCGTGAACAGACCACCCTGAGATCCCCTCGTCTCTATCAACGCCGACATCCCGCCTCTCGACCTCCTTTCGCACCTCGTTGTGTGAATCAGCAACCCTCCGCACCACACAGACCATCCCTTTGCCCACCAACCTCAACCTCGCCTCAACCGCTAGTCGGCAAGAAGAATTCTCCAACAACTTTCATTGCCGCTCGCGACGCCGCCTACACAAGCACCTCTTGTCGCGGGTCGACCTGGAAACAAAAAAGGTACGTTGCATAGTTTGGAGCCTCGTTATCGACCTCGGCATCGGTCTTTGACCCTTGCACTCTCCCTTGGCACGGGCACCACCATGTCATGCCACCCGCAAAGGGGCATGCAGTTTTGTGTGTTTGTCCTGACGACTGTGTTCTCTCCTTGCACTGGCTCCGCCTCATGCGACACACCGAAATTTGGCGCTGACTCTGAAATCTTAGCCACAGCTTGAACGCCTCCGTATTGTGAGACGTCAAATCTAAAAACCCCTTTCGAGATTACGATCGAACGCCGGCACAATGATGAACGGCATGCGATCACCGGCTCCTACGGAGGTTATGGACATTACGAACATGTTGAATAAGAAAGCCGGACAAATGCAACAACAGCTTCACAACGGCCTCATGGACCACCACCACCTCGTCAAGCCTGAGCCTGGCATGGAGCGATCAGTTTCTCCCCACGGCTCTGAGCACTCGCAATACTCCACTCCCCACAGCATGGCGCGCGCCTACCCTTCACCATCCGCGATGCATGCGCCCATGCACATCCCCAACCCCATGCCAACCGCGATGCAAATTCCTGGATACCCTGATATGCCCAACATGGGCGGAATGCCTAACATGGGCATGCAACACATGCCTCAGCAGCCTCAGCAACCCCAACAACCCGTCAAGGCCTATCCCTGTAGCACTTGCGGAAAAGGATTTGCGCGACGGAGTGATCTCGCTCGACACGGTAAGCATCAATACCAACTACGAGCTTTACACTCTTGCTAATGGTGAACAGAGCGCATCCACAGCGGCGTCCGACCTCACGTCTGCGACTGGCCCGCCTGCGGAAAGATGTTCATTCAGCGATCCGCCTTGACTGTCCACCAGCGAGTGCACACTGGTGAGAAGCCTCACCACTGCGAGACTTGTGCCAAGGTACGTTTTTTTCTTCACTCGTCAAGTTTACTTCTCCGCAATGCTAACGTCAAGCAGCCTTTCAGTGACAGTAGCTCTCTGGCTCGCCATCGACGAACTCACTCGGGCAAGCGACCTTACAAGTGCCCCTATGCCGACTGCCAGAAGACCTTCACCCGTCGAACCACCCTCACTCGCCATCAGAACCACCACAGCGGAACCATTGAGGAGGCCGCTGCTGCCACCGCAGCTGCGCTTGCCGCATCAAAGTCTAAGGGCATGACGCAGGCTCGATCTGACAGCGACCACATGTCCAACCATGGCTCTCCTATGACCACTCCCTCGCCGGCCCAACGCACTATGTCCATGTCACCTAGCGTTGACCTGTCCGGAAACAGCATCCCCCGCCATGCTGGAGACTTCCAATATCTCCCGCAGAACGGTTCTCTCCCCGTGCACCTTCGCGTCGGTAGCCCTGTCTCGACCTCATCGGGCGGCTACAATTCCATCCGACCTACTTCACATCCCACTGGCTATGGCCCCCCTCCCACTCTGGAGCCAAGCTTGGAGCAGCACCAGGGTGGCCCCGGAAGCGCTGGTGGCAGCCCTCACATGGCCAATGTTGGCTGGCAGTCGCCTTCCAACGTGGCATCGCCATCGCAGAACGCTGCCAGCTACGTCTATCCCGACCCCGAAGCCTACCCTTCGAACCCTGCGATGAACCAGATGTACTATGGCGCCCCGCAGCACATGCGACGCCCCCAGAGCGCCGAGCCTGGACTGGTACACATGGCTTAGGTGGCCGATCTACCATCCACAGAGCTTGTGGAATAGGCCCTTCTCGGCCGGGGCTCCCCAGCTCAACCCATTGATACCCTGTATTTGTTGTCAAAGATCTGCCCGTCGTTGGGCACGGAGATTTCAACGGCGTTTGTTATCGGACTGGATCCCTTTACACCTCTCAAAATTGCATGGACTCGGAATTACATGCTCACAGTCACCTAATACTCCACCACCACCACCGACGCGTGGGCTCACTCCTTGACGGAGCATGTTCGGAATGCCATTTTCCTTTGCTCATTTTCCTAATCTTTCGATTGATTCCCACTACCCGCCTCGAATTCGTTTTTCTTTGTTCAAGCTCGAAATAGACTGGCGGCCGGCAACCTTACGATGATGGACACTGGCTGCACGATGTTCAAGGGAGGGAGTTACACTGGCACGCTGCTGTGGCTTTCACACGCGGGAAGCAAACAGCAGGCATTACGGGAAACAATACGCGCTGCCTTGTTTGATGTATGTATTTAGTACTTGATAGACGTTTGGACTCGGAACGGGAGCAAACACATTATAGACTTGCAATTACCGCGATAACAACCAAGAAAAGTCCCGATGTTAATGACATGGCGCCATGGGGAGCTAACCCTGCACAGTCAGCCTCGCAGGCGGCAGTTGGATCAGGAAGTGATCTGTGCCGGCTTGCCAGCTAAATGCACTTTGATGTCTCGGACCCCAGGCGAGCCGCTAAGGGCCGGAGCGTTAGATCGATCTCACTCAACGCACTGCAACGCAACGCAACTCACTGCGTCTGTGCCCACGATCTATTTCAGAGCAATGGAAAAGAACTAGAGAAGCCATTGTAGCTCTAGTCTTGACTAGACTAGTCCCGTCGGCTCTGTAGGAGCTGTTGGCGCGATTACTACGGTCCCGGGTCAGAAAGGAAATGTCAGGTGAGAAGTGGGCGAGACCACGGTCCGTTTTCCAGAGACACATGGCTGCCCCAGGATTTGATTTTCTGATTTGTAATCGACGACATATTAAAAAATCAACCCTGAGCTGGATGTCCCAACGACAGGACAGCAATCCATGGGCTCCAGTGGGGCTTGCGCCGTGCAACGGAAAGGTGCAGGTGGTGAGAAGAAAAGGCTTGACGGCTTGAGGCTGTCGAGGAGATGGGGTAGCGCGGTCTTGCCCGCAGGGACGATGAGCAAGAGGAGGGGGTGGCCTGTTCCTGGGCGTTGGCGATGAGGAGCAAGGCTCTTCTTGATTAATTGCTCTTCTGCCTTCGTGGTGTAGGAGTTTTGACGCTGTCTTCAGAGAGAATCCTTTCGTTGTTCGCCATGCGTATCGACATCGTCATCCATACCGACGTGCTATGTCCATGGTCCTTCCTCGAGAAACGCAGCATCGAGACGGCCATATACCGGTACAAGACACGCAACCCGGGAATCGAATTTGAAGTTGTCTGGAAGCCGTATCTGCTGTATCCAACGCTCAGGAGAGGTATGTCGCTTTATGCCCCGACGAGGACTGGAGTTGCTCTAGTCTCCTCACCTTGTCTTGTCTGATCTTCTCAACGGTTAGACGCACCGCATTGCCAACCGATGAGGCTGACCGCGAGCAGCTGACAAGCGTGAACTCTACTGCAAAATCATGGGTCCCGAGAAGCTCCGCACCTTCATCGACGATGTGCAGACGGCGGGCACCCGCCACGGCATCAACTTTGCCGTCCACGGCTGCACGGGGGCCTCGCAGAACTGCCACCGCCTGATTGCCCTGACGCTGCGCACCATGGGGCCCGTCGCGCAGGCGGCCGTCGTCGAGTCCATCTACCGCGGGCACTTCGAGAACGGCCTGGACGTGACCGACGACAGCTGGCTGCTCTCCGTGGGGCGCAGCGTCGGGCTCGAGCCCCAAGCCGTGATGAACGCGCTCGAGTGCCAAACCCTGGGGCGCGCGCTTGAGGACGAGGTCAGGGCCGCGACGGCGGGCGGTGTCATCGCAGTGCCGAGCGTCCTTGTAGGGGGCCGGTACCGCGTGGCGGGCTACCAAGAGCCGAGTCTGTTTGAGGGCGTGTTTGATCGGCTTCGCGAGGAGAGGGAACAGGGCCTCACGCCTTCAAGGAATGACACCGTGAGAGAAGTCTTGGGACAAAGCAGAGAAGGCTCCGGACCAGACAGACAGGGCTTTGGACAAGACAGTAGTCAAGGCCTTGGTCTAAATCGAGGGGGCCCCGAACCAGTGAGACAAGGTCCTGGTCCAGATAGGGACGTTTGGGGACTGAGAAGAGAAAGCCCAAAATTGGGGAGACAAGTTCCATGACTGGGCGGGAAAACCTAGGACAGGGCAGAGATGCTCGAAACTACTGCGACAAGGCTATGAACCGAATATACGAGCCTCCATGAGAACTAAAACGGGATGACGGCGGGAAGAAATATGAGGTCTAGTTGGACCATAATTGCTGATTCAAAACTTATGCTGACGCTATGCTCGCGTCTCTTTGTCTAACATAACCACCTCGTGCCGATGACCATGCCCTTGACTTTTAGATCATTTGAAACAAACCTGCCTTCCGTAAACGCCAAGGGAATACCCCGTCTCCCATGCCAAGGGGAATAAATAGAACCAGACCGTCCGCCCAACGCCCCAAGTCTCTTATAACTCGTGAAAGAATCCGCACTCTTGTTTTCCTGCTGCTTTCTACCCGACTCTCGCCATAAGGCGATGCTTCATCGCCGCATGCCACTGTAATCCTGCATCAGATGTTGCATGTGGACGTTTGTCGCCTTGCCGATACGCTTGCCGGCGCGCTTCCGCTGGGCCTTGGGCTTGACGCCCTGCTGGTTCAACTTGTTCGGGTCTTCGCTTGTGGGCTTCTGTCCGACGCTGACCAGCTTGCGGTGCATGTCGTCGGTGCTGGGCAGCGGCACGCGGTGCCACATGACCTGGAACTCGTGCTGGACGCTGTAGTGCAGCGAGGCGTCGTCGGGCCACACGTAGCGCGGCAAGTTGTCCTTCTTGGTCCGCACCACGAGCACCCTGTGCTGCCGCTCCAGCGACGAGAGCGTGTCCTCGCAGTCGGGCCAGCCGTCCTTGAGATCCTTGACCGAGACGCCCGAGGCATCCGTCTTGCGCTGTAGGTGGGCCAGTAGCGATGTCGCGTCCTTGACGCCCGGGATGATGGGCCGGTGTGAGTACATGCCCGTCTGCCATGTCTGCTCGCTGAGGCTGCCGTCAGGCTTCCACTCGATGCGGGGATGGCCTCGCAGGCCGTCGGCCAGCTCGCGCTTGTGTTCTTCGGTGTAGCCGCGCAAACTCAGATGGTCGATGATCTCGATGATGGTCTTGAGCTCGCCCTTCTTCTTCAGGTACTCGACGGCGAACGTCATCTGTGTCTTGACCTCGGCGCCGTAGCCCGTGAGCTGAGGCTGCGAGTAGGGCACGTCGGGGACGGCATCGCGCTTGCGCTTGGTGCTTGGGGTGTTTGGGTCGGAGGTGGCAGAAGGTGAGGGCGAAGGCGGCGCGAGCGAGGGCGGCGCAAGCGTCGCGGCCTTGGTGGACGTCGGGTTGGAGAGCTTCGTGGCGGCTGAGGCGAGCGTCCCCTTGAAGGCGTTGGCCTGCTTGTCCAGGTACGACGACATGACGGGCGAGCGGGTGCGCACCGGGGGCTAACTGATGAACGACGCTTTCGCAGGGTTTGCGGGGCGAGAAAGGCGGAGGCGGACGGCGAGAGGGCGGACAAAGGAGAGCGGCACGGATGGTCGAGGTGAAGCGAAGTTGAGATTGACGTTGATCCGTGAGCACAGCGAGGCTGAAAGATATGTCAAGTGTGGCGTCACATGCGCAGGGGCGTAGGCATAATTTGTGGCGCAGGCGGAGAGCAACCCCTGGGCGAAGGCGGTCAGCGCTCCCGAGCTAAATTTGTTGCGCTCCAGCCACACAGCCTTGCGCAAGTGGCGACGTCGTCTTAACTGAGAGGCTCAAATGGGATGGTGACAGGCAATGAATCTCAGGTTGCGTCGTTGTCAATCGTTTCTTTGTCGATTAAAAAGAGGATATACATCTACTGCCCAAGATTTCCTCCCCCTGGTTGAAAACATCTCCCATTGCAACACCGTGCTCCATAGCCTTGCCTTGCGCAGCAGAAATTGTGCCCCTCGACAAGGATGCCATTTTCCTCCTGGGTTTGGCGCCCACCCTCCCCAACAAAAAAATCGGGGACACATGGGTGTTTGGAGCCGCCCGCGGAATCGTTCAATGTCCAAGCCAAGCCGGACATCTGTTTGCGCACGCCGTCTAATTTGCCCGGTCCCAAGGCCAAACTCCTAATTGCATTTGTCGGCCAATTCGGCGGCCGAAGCCCGCACTTAGATCTCCCAGAAAAAACATTTGCGACATGTGAATACCAGCCAAAAAAGTGGTGGTGGTTATGCGCTTCACGCCTGCTGCTGGGTCTGGGCGGCGGCCTGCTGCTGCAGGTACTGGTAGCCGGCGTAGGCGAGGAAGCCACCGACAACGACGACGGCGTAGAGGCCGAGACTGAGGCCGCCGTCGGACTTCATCGAGGGCGCAGTGTTGCCGCCAGAGGGAGCGCTCTTGGGGCCAGGGTCGCCAGCCTGAAGGGTGTGTGTTAGCCTTCCGGGTTGTGCGCAATTGAGCATTGGGGACGAGATTTCTTACCTGTCGCTTCAGCTCACCGACGTAGAGCTTCTCGAGAACCTCTCGGGCCTCGTCGCTGTGGCCGACATCCTCGAAGGCTTCGGTGGAGTCCTGACCGGCAACGTCTAGCATGACCTCCTCACCACCGCTGCGAGCAAGAGAATGTTAGCTGGGGGCGGTCCGCGCACGGTAGATAAGGGGGGAGGAATTAAAGACGTACGGATGCTCATCCAAGAACTTGGTGCAATCGTAGACCTTGTCGTGGATCACACAGAACATGTCGTTCTTGGTGTTGTGCTCAGCAACATCCTGGTAGGTGTACTCCTTGATCTCGGCCATCTTTGCTGTGTTGGCGGGGGGTGGATGTGAAGGTTGTTTAGCGGTCTCGGGGACGGAGGCGGAGAGCGTTGAGATGCTGCGATGGGCGCGAGATTGTGGGAGTAGTCGTCGTTCCGGGCGGGGGAAGCGGTTGCAGGAGTTGAAGAGGAGAGAGTCGGCGGAGGGAGGAGGAAGAAAGAAGAAGATGGAAACTACCTTGGGATGGGATGGGATGGCAGAAAGAACCGGAGAGGGTGCAAGGCCACGGTGCGCCCGTCCCCTGTCGCGGGACTAGGGACTGGGGACCTGGGCCTTGGGTTGAGGGACGGAGCAAAAGTGTACCTCGGAGGGTACTCGCGGCGGTACTACGGGGCATCACGGGCGGTGCGGGAAGATTCCCTATGGGCCTCTGCTTACAGGGCTTATAGGACGCTTCACAGCGGGTGGCAACGCCCCTGACGGCCGGAGTCCCGCGCGGCGCCTAGGTACTGCAGAGGTACACCGGCGTTGAATCAGCGGGTACCCTCCTTCGCCGCGACTCGCAGTGGGTGGGAAGAAAAAAAGGGTCCACGGGTCCCTCTCGTCCCCTCCGCATCCCACGGCCTCCACTGAGCTACCGCGCAGCCCAACCCAAGCCAAAGGTCATCGCCGCCGCGCCGCGTTTTGTTGCTGCTCCTGGTACGATCGGGCTGCCCAAGTTCCGCCCGTGGACCACCCACTCCGACCGGTGCGGCTGCGGCCAATGGCAGACGTCGATATTACCGTCCTCGCGCCTTGATTGGCCTGTAGCCGCTGGCCTGGTGCCATGTTCCAAGGTTCCAGGGGGCTGTTAGTTCCCTGAGTGGGATATTCCTTTTCAGCAATCTTCTGCCGGCGAGGTCCTGCCAGCAGTGGAACGGTCCCTTATCGACAGCGGCCAGCGAGCGGCCCAGCAGTCCAGCGGCTCCCGCTCAGGTACGAATACGCAGTGCCGTGCAGCTCATCCGCCCGACTTTTCCCATCCCCCCATGTGCATGCTTTGACGCCTGGAGCGAACCATCCCACCCCAGCAGCACGAGCCAGATCCATGGCCCGTCACCGTCATTTCACTCCGAGACCGTGTGCGAGAGCGACAGCACGTTGCAGAGCCGTCGGTTGTACGACCGCTTACTCCCTCCCACTCCCGTAAAGGATCCCTCAAACCCGGAATCCGGAATCACTACCGAGTGGGTTCTTGTCTCTTTTCCAGCGGATTCCCTTATTGCGTTTGATTCCGCTGCCACTCTGGTGGACTTATTTCCGCTTGTCAATTCTGGCCAAACTGTCAACATCTTAACTAGCAAAACTGCATGGACACACACCGGCTCGCCGTCGAAAATGTTGACACATTTCTACCGCATTCTGCCCTCGGTAACTATGGATTTCTCGGCTTCCGGCCTAGTAAGGAAATTTCCTTTTTGAGAACCGCCTCGGACCGCCAGACAAACAAAATAATGCCTCCCACGAGCTGACAGGCAACTATCTCCGGACACCATGCCGGCCGCTTCCAAGTCGTCACAACTCACTCGCCGGACTTGTCCTCACTTGTCCGAGGAAGGCTTCTGCCCACTCTCGCCCACTCCTGCAACACACTACCCCGCCTCCGTGAAGCCGCTCGGTCGCCTGGCGCATAGCCCGCGATAGGTGCTGGGCGCTGTGCTGTGCTGTGCAACTCGGGAATGGGGAGTCGGGGATCCGATGCCCGTCAACCATCGGATTCAACGACATACGGAGGCTCCGTTGAGTTGATCTTGTGAACCTTTCTGTCCTGTTCTTGCATACACGGAGTGAGAGGCTGCGGCCAAGGCATGATCTCCGTCTGCTGCTGCTGCGCAAATCTACTTACGACGCCGGCATAGGCGATACTTCGCCGTGTCAACCCCAATCCCGATTCCCGGATTCCCGAAGAGGTGTTGTTTCGCGGCGGGGTTGTGGTGCATCGTGCATTTGCGCCACTTGTGCTTTTTCTGGAAAAGATACACGGGGCTGTTCATGAATATTTGCTAGTTGATAACATGTCAATGGCATCTTCCCACCATCTCTTGTCGATTCTGCTCGTTTCTCCACACTCCTGCATCATCGGCTGCTGCTGTTGCAGGGAGCATGGGCCACGGGGACGCACTCTTGAGCACAGATGGGGAGGGAGCATCGACGCCCTTCTCCAACGTCTTGTACTGTGTTGAGTATAGCTTACGGTTCGGAACCTTCTACGAGACTGATGGCTTTTTGTAAGACGCCCCGGTCCTCCTTGTAGGTCAACCTCTGTAGTGCCTCCTCGCAGGCCATGAAGCGCGCCGTGAACTTGTCCTCGCCCACCACTGACTCAGTGCCGTGCGAGTCAACCTCTGCAATGAACCACCAGATCAACTTGACGTTGGCCTCAGCCCCGGCCAGCTCCCGGATAGTCAGCATGAATGGCTCTGTGAGTCCGGGGAGACAGCGGGCCACGTCAGGAGTATAATTCGCGTCCGTCGGACCCGTGGTGCGAGTCGCCATCCTTACGGGGTACAGATGGTATGGGTAACCCGTCTCCTCTCGCACCTCCCGGAGGGCTGTTTCGCTCCGCGGCTCGCCACGATTCCGTCGGCCCTTGGCTAGCAGCCATTCGCCGGGGGATTTGCTTGGCTGGGAGTGAATCAGGCACACCTGTTTTGTGTGTCCTGAAAGGTCAAACAGAATTGCGCCGCTGCTCTCCACTAGAAGTTGCCATGACTATCCACTGAGATCCCGGCTAGTTGCAACCACCACGAATTTTTCCGCCCAAGCTGGCGCAAGAGCTTCGACTTTGGCGTAGATATCCTCGGCGGCTTGTGACCGAGAGATGGGCTAAGCTGTGATCGGCCGGCGGTCTTGATTAGCGCACACTGGCGTGCGATGTGTCGACGGCGGACAGGACAAGTTCCGAGTCACAAAAGTTGGAGGAGTGTGACTGAAGCTGGAAGGATCTGAACGCCTGAATTACGGTCTAATACCGCGGTTACACCCCAATTAGTCCGAAGATGACTGAGGAACCCATCTCAGGCTCCGATGAGGAGGGGCAAACAGGCACCATCTGCATCTGCAACGAAGGCGTCACTCAAGGGCTCGGCTGACATGGCAGATAGCCTAGATTTGCCTAGAACAGTAATTCGTTGAGGCCAAAGTCACACTCCTCGAAGCTACGCTTCTCCACACTCTCAGTCAACGAGTTGCTGCTATTCTTATCATCATTTCAAATGCTATCGTCATGCCACTCAGAGCTGCCGGTTGGTGGGGTAGATTCTGGAGGTGCCCTGCACCGGCCGTCAATGAATTCTCCCCACATTCGATCGCTTTCGATCTTATCGCGACTCCTCGGATAACATATGCTTGTCATCCCTGCACATGCTACACTAGTTGCTTGTCTACTTGACACAGTTGCTGAGCGCAGTTGCTAATCACCATCTATCGCCTCGAGCTTCCACCTCCAATGTCCTGGCCCAGCCGGTAGCTCGTCACCCGATCCCACTCAATCTTCTGTCGCGTGACGGGCAGCTGTCGTCGCAGGCCCTTGAACGCGCCCTCGCTAAGGTTCACGAAGCCCCGGTTCAGCTCCTCCTGGTACTTCTTCTCCGACGTCGAGATCTCCTTGATGATGCCAGCGCCGGTGCCGGAAGGGATCGAGGCGGCGACGGGCTTGTTGGTCAGCAGCCGCACGTTGCCGTCCTCATAGTAGTGAACGTCAACCTTGATGGAGCCCTCGAGACTTCCAGATGAGGGGTCGAAGGTGTACAGGGATCTCCAGCGACCATTCCTGAAGAATTTATCAGCTCCAGCATTTAAATCTGCCCGAGACTACCCAGTAAACGCACCAGAAGTTGTTGGGGCTGTATTTGTTTCCGACGATGACGGCAGCAACCTTGGAGTCGGACTCGATGGGATAGACGCCGTATGCCGCGTTGGCGAAGTGCTCCTGAACGTAAGCGCCGAGGCTCTTGAGCGTAGATTTTCTTATCGTTTGATGTCAATGACGTTGTCGTGACTATGCTCTGGACGGAAGTACTCACACCAGGTCCGCCTGTGCGCCCTCTAAGACATAGCTTTGCACAGCACTAGCTTTCTATCGTCCCGTCAATACTTTCGTTTCCTGCAACCCCGGTGGCGGCTGTAAGCTTACCTGTGTTGTGTGGTTGAAGACGAAGCTGGATGAGCTTTCGACATCGAAGTATCGGCCGTCTCCGAGGGAGTTGTAGGAGCTGATGATAACCTGGTGAACCGAATTCAGCACGCTGCCTCCACGCATTGCCTGTATCCCTTGCTCGACCACCTACTGGCTGACTGCTGCCCGGCAGCTTCACCGTCACGAGCTGCTCCTCGTTGTACTTCTGGAAGGCGGGCACGAGGTCGTCGAGGATGTCGGGGGAGGAGATGGTAAGGGCCTTGATGTCTGGCAGCTGGGCGTCAATGAACGGCCCCACGGATAGAGTAAACCGGGGCAAAAGTACCTGCGACGACGTCTGCGAGCTTCGGGCGGATGTTAGCTAACGATGACGGCTGACGTGGAGCTCCCGCAACGTAGGCGGGAGGCGGGGGATCGGTGAAAGTACCTCTCCTGGAGGAGCGCCCTCGACAAAGGCCGAGACGGTGTCAAGGTCAGACATGGTGCGAATGGCCAGGTATGCGGAGAAGACGGGAGAGGGCGGCGTGAAGTTGCGGCGTCGGGCTGGAGATGGCGGAGATGGCGTTGAGGCTCAATTCAATCCATCAAGTCCAAGTCCGAGGCCAGGGGAAACGGGGAGGCGGGGCACCAACAGCTTGGAGGACCCAAAGTGGGGGCTTAGGGGATAACTAGTCGTCACGTCAATGCGTTGAGCTTGGAAACTGCATAGTAACACATGACCGAAATTGAACTTGATCTTATCAAGAAAACAGACCAAATAAATGCCAAGGTTTAAGAGTCATGAAATATTAAAAGAGTATCGGTTCGCGCATGAGAACACTGCTATTCCCACGCAGGTAAAAGCTCCTTCACCAAAGCCTCAGTTGAACCACCGAAGCAACTATCCGTGCAATCAAAGGGTACGGCGAGACTCAACGCTTGCCTGTCTTATTGAATTGAAAATGGCGAACAAATGAATAAATAAATTAGAAGGGATAAATGTCAAGAGTTCATATTTTGAAAAATTCATTTCCCAAGCTGCTTTATTAGGGTAATGGATAATTCTCAGGAGGATCGAGATGTAGTTGCGTATGCAAACAGCAATCGGGGTGTCTGCCAATAACAATACTTCTGTTAAAGAATCTAGTCGCCGGAAACCTGGATCATCCTGAAAGGTCTTGGGGCGGTTGGTAGTCATTATAAAGCAACAGTCGTGCATCGCCAAACTGTCATACCTCTGTAATCCTGTGTCTTAGCTTTGCTCGCGGAAATGAAAGCTTACTTCTTCAAAACTTTCTGGCTGATGGGCCGTGTCTAGAATTATTTGTTAAATATACGAAAATATGGGGAAGGATCCCGGCGTAGTAGTAGCCTCCGAGGCGCGACATGCATACAATCAATTTACCAGAACTGAAACTCCATTCGGATCGAATTTTAAGTTTTTGTCTTGCCAACAATTGATAATATGCTCGCTTTTTCTCTTCATAATAAACACGGCAACCCTAGCGCCAATTTGACCCATTTGAGCTTAATAGAATCAAGAATCTAGTCATGCCAGGTGCCCTCTATAGAAATCCCAGGTCATGCTACCAAACCTAGTAATCCAAAACTCGCTTTATGTTGTCGTAAATTCCTAGTTAGAAGTTGTTAGTATCCTGATCTGCCACATCGAGTTTGAGTGTACTCACTTGCAACATCTGGGAGGTGGAATTTCTCATAGAGCAATGGGTTATGGATGCTCCATCCAGCTACGCGAGCAACCGGCGCTTCCAGTCGGATGAAGGTATCTGGGTCCTCCTGGATCACTGCCGCGACCTCTGCGCCAATGCCTGCATTTACCATCGCTTCGTGAACGACCATGACTCGGCCTGTTTTGCGGACACTCTCAAGCACCGTCTGTTTGTCCCAGGGATAGACCGTCCGTAGGTCGATCAGCTCCACCGAGATGCCGAGGTCTTGCTCCGCCTGTTTAATGGCAGACATGCAAAGATATAGCGGCTGACCATATGAAACAATGGTGACGTCTTTTCCTTCTTTGAGGACTTCGGCCTTCGACAGAGGCAGTTCGTATGGTGCAGTAGGGACTTGCTCGACAGCCGCTCGGTAGAGGATCTTCGGCTCCATAAAGATACAAGGATCGTTGCTGCGGATTGCAGCCAAGAGGAGACCCTTGGCCTGGGCAGGAGAGCGCGGCATGATGACTCTCAAACCTGGGATGTGGGTGAAGAGACTCTCTGGGGATTGGGAGTGGTAGAGTCCGCCGTGGCCGACACCGCCACACGGCATCCGCACCGTCAAGCCTCCAACGCTCCGTCCGCATGTTCCGTCGCGGTACCGGAACTTGGCCGCCTCGTTGACGAGCTGGTCAAACGCAGGATAGACGTAGTCGGCGAATTGGATCTCGGCAATGGGCCGCATGCCCTCAGCGGCAAGTCCGATACCGAAGCCCATGATGCCCTGCTCTGTGAGCGGCGTGTTGAACACCCGATCGGCGCCGTGCGTCTCTGCGAGCCTCATTGTGCAACGGAAGACGCCTCCAAAGGCCACATCCTCACCAAATATGACGACAGATTCGTCCTCGGAGAGGGCAATGCTCATGGCGTCGTTGATGGCCTGGAACAAGTTCATCTTCTTGGTGGTCCCATTGCGGACGTCTTCGGGCAGTTCTTTGCTGCTCAGCGCGGCATGGGAACTATGGGCCAAGAGAGGCGTCGTTGCATAGTCAATTGGGAGATTTAGCTTGGCGTTGGGGGGATGTGTTGAGTAGCATCGTGTCAAAGGGAGGGAGAGGCGGGCGACAGATGAAGGCGCCAGCGCCCTCTTCAACTGGTGGAGTGTGCGGTGCTTCATGTCGTTTCTTGAAAGTAATCGTGGGGATGGATTGAAGAAAAAGACAATGCAGAGTCCATCGGAGACGGCATAGCACCAGCGGCTCACATACCTTCCTGTCCACCTGATTGTCCTCGGCGTTGGTGATGTCAAGCTCGGCTTGACACGGCCCCCGCGGCGCTGACGGCAATCATCGCCTCTGCAACCACTGTATGTCAGCGATAAGATTGTTGCCCCGTCGACAGCCGACCAACGCCCAGACCCGCAGGAACCATCCCGAAGAGGAAATATATCGCAAAACTGGGTAGCAGCGTCGTCATCTAACGTGGCGGGTTAAGCCCTTTTCTACTCCCCTGATGATCTCTGAACTCTGAGACTTCATTGCAGCGACACCGCCCCAGCCTACAGCATGGCCCCACGAGAGTCATCGCGGCCGTCGCGCGGACAGCGACCGCGAGACCGACAACGAAATGGCCAATCAGCGAAGAGGAGTGGGAACAAGAAGAAGAAGTCGCAGGGGAGTCGCCGGCCGCCATCAGGGTTGGATGAGAGCCGGGGAGAGGGCCGAGGGGAGAGTCGGGGGGAGAGTCGAGGGGAGGGGAGTTCAAAGTCCTTGTCTGCTGCGGCGCTGGCAGATTTGAACAAGGAACATATTCGACAGAAGAGGCGGGCGGAACGCGCTCAACGGGCGAACCGAGACGAATACCGAGACCGAGAGCGAAACCTTGAAAGGCCACGGAAAGATCGCAAAGACAAGAAACGAAGGGTTGTCAGTGGTGCTATTATGGAGGAAGGGATGGCGTCAGGATTAAGAGGAGGGAACAACCGATGGAGCGACGACAGCCTCGACAAAGATTTCTACAACAAGGAACGCCCGAAGAAGAGCAAAAAGAAACTATGTGAGTGGCATGCTCTCTGGCAGTGGGGTAGTGTTGCTGACAAGAATCATAGGGATCATCCTTGGATGCAGTGCTGTCGCCCTGCTCATCATCATTATTGTAGCAGTAGTCGTCAGCAAGAAGAACAAGAGCAAAGACAGCAGCTCTTCTGACAGCAGCTCGGATTCAACGTCGACATCGTCAGACTTGGACGGAATGAGTCACTCCGACATACCCGACAAATGGCAAAACACGTACCTCGACCCGTGGACATGGGCATCGACTACCGACTTCAACCTCACCTTCACAGACGAGATGGTGGGAGATTTGCCCGTCATGGGTCTAAATACAAAATGGGACGACTCAGCACAAGCAAACGACAATGTGCCCGCACTCAACAAAGCTTGGGGCTCCTATGCTGACACACCAGCCCGTGGAGTGTGCCTGGGAGGATGGCTTTCGCTAGAGCCCTTCATCACACCGTCGCTATTCAACTACGATACAAACCTCGGCATCATTGACGAGTGGACACTGTCGGAGCAGCTGGGCTCTGATACCTCTAGTACTCTGGAGGACCACTATGCATCGTTTGTTACGGAGGATACATTCAAGGATATAGCGGCGGCAGGACTGGACCATGTACGAATCGCCTATTCGTATTGGGCTGTTCAGACCTACGAAGGCGACCCCTACCTGTTCCGAACGTCTTGGCGGTACTTACTGCGAGCCATCGAGTGGGCACGAAAGTATGGCATCAGAGTGAACCTCGATCTCCACGGTATTCCCGGTAGTCAGAACGGCTGGAATCATAGCGGAAGATGGGGGACCATTGGCTGGCTGAACGGGACGGATGGAGCGACAAACGCGCAGCGCGCCCTGGATATTCACAATCGGCTGTCCAAGTTCTTTGCTCAGGACCGATACAAGAACATTATCACGCACTACGGCCTCGCCAACGAACCCCGAATGACCTACCTCTCGACAACGGAAGTCATCAGCTGGACAGAGTCGGCTTACAAGCTAGTACGGAAGAACGGACTCAATGCGCTCGTCATTTTTGGTGACGGCTTCAGGGGCCTCGACAACTGGCAGGGCCAGATGACAGGATACGACGACATGGTGCTCGACGTACACCAGTATGTCATCTTTAACGAAAACCAGATCGACTACACCCATCAGGAGAAGGTCAACTACGCGTGTGACGGGTGGACACAGCAGGCAGAGTCCAGTATGGACACCAGCACGGGCTATGGACCGACCATCTTTGCCGAGTGGTCACAGGCAGACACAGACTGCGCCAAGTTTCTGACGGGCGTGGGCTGGGGCAACCGGTGGGAGGGCACGTACGACACGGGCAACTCAAGCACGTCGATCCTCACGCCGAGGTGTCCGACCAAGAGTTCCAAGTGCTCGTGCGACAGCGCCAACGCGGACCCGAGCAACTGGAGTGCTGAGTACAAGAAATTCCTGCTGATGTTCGCCGAGGCGCAGATGCACAGCTTTGAGAAGGGCTGGGGCTGGTGGTACTGGACGTGGAAGACAGAGTCGGCGTACCAGTGGAGCTACGAGGCTGGACTCAAGGCCGGCGTGCTACCGGAGAAGGCTTACACGCGGGACTTTAGCTGCGACTCAGACGTGCCAGACTTTGCAGACGACGGGCTTCCAGAATACTTTTGAAGGGGGATATTCCGGGGTATACGTGCCGGAACTGGGGTGTTATATATGTGTTGAGTTACCCCGTATTAGCGGGAAGGGTCTGGTCTTTTGCATTTGTTATATGGCGTTGGCTGCATGGTTGATACTCTGGAGAATGGGATGAGGTGTGCCCTGGCGATGGCGATGGCGATTAGAAAGGTTTGGTGTTGGTTTTGGCTACGAGCTGATTTTGACTGATTTTAACGTTTGTTTGTACGAGTTGTTCAAGCATGGATTGACGGGAGCATACGACGGGATGCAAGGATATGTATGGGCTTGTGTCGGCATGGCACAAAAGTGCATAGTTCTAGGCGCGAATGTATCGGTGCCTATTCAACGGCTGAAACCAAACCTGTTTGTGAAGAGTACGCTCAGACGACGGGCAAATGGTTAATTTCAGCTCGTGTAGAGTTGCAAGCCACCTGCGTCAGGGCCATGTTGTTGGTTGACGGTTGGTTGTTGAGTCTTTTAGCCTCCATCACAAATCTCACAAATCGAGGCTAGTCGCGCGGCGTGCTGACGCAAGGTTGACTGATACACCGGCACGCTGGGGCCGAATGACATCACGCCGCCGGCAGTCTTGAACCCTGTGGACTGCGACTCTGACGAAGCATTGAGACCCTGACGAAGCGTTGTAAACCCTGACGAACCGGTTGCTCGTTGGTTGGCGACGCAGGAAGCAAGCATCTCAGATTAAATGTTGACGCACTACTGCAGTCGTAGCCATCGCGGACAACATGTCGATCTACGACGAGCGTCTTTTCTGAGACAAATGCCGGGTCTGAATATACCGTCCGCTCGGCGACTCCGCCGAACAGCCGAGTTCGCAATCGCCGTGCCATTGCATAGCGACGCAGAGCTGCTGGCCTGCCGTTTCCAGCATCGTCACCACCAAAAACCGGCACGGTTGACGGCACGCAAGGCAATAGATATGCGAGTCGCCTTAATGCCGAGTCAAATCCGCTACGGTCTTTTCCCACAGCGAAGCGCTAGCGGGCCGTTGGCATCGCGTCTTTGTTCGCCCTTCGCAGCGACGGCGGCCGCTTACACGACTCCTCCGCGCAATATCCGAGCTGACCAAGCCCGAGTGGGCTGCGTGTTGGGGATATCATAGGCCGTGGCTGGGTCCACCACCCACTTCTACGATGGGGAAGATGCTTTTCCAAAGAGTCGATGAGTAAGGTGCGTGCACTCCTGGAGCTCCACGGAGTTTTGGGAGGGACGGAGTAACGGAATGACGGCAATGACGGAGTAGCGGAGTCAGTCATAGCATAGCAACTTAGCTGGCGAGTCGTTGTCAAACCTGTCGTATATCAAGTCAAGAGGCTGCTGTTTAGACTAACACGGCCTGCTTCTGGCCTGGCACATTCGATTCGCATCTGCTGTCCATGACCGTTGCCCGTCTTCCATTCGAATCAATCAATCCCTGTCTAATCTGCTGAGCTAGGGTCAATCAACAGCTGCCCCAACCCAGCCAGTCTCCCCCTTTGATAACCTGATAACACGCAGGAAGAAAAAAAAAAAAGTTGCAGCTCCGATGGATCGCGATATCGAAAAGGCCTCGACGCACTCGGGCGAGGCCGCCGAGGACGCGAGCACCATCTTCGCGCCCATCCAGTCCCGCGCCAGACGCCCATCCGCCGCCAACTCCAGGCCGTCGACGTCGGAAGCCCTGAGCCGCGCCGTGTCCCAGAACGGCTATGGCTGCGAGGACGGCGCGAACAGCTCCGACGACCAGGCGCAGGACTCGCCCGCCGAGAAGGACCCCTTTGAGGTCGGCTGGGACGGCGGCGATGAGGACCCCATGTGCCCGCGCAGCTTCGGCAAGGTCAAGAAATGGACCATCACCGTCATCGTCTCAATGGCGAGTTTCTGCGTGTAAGTTGGAGTTTGCCGGCGCTCTGCGCTTCGCCGATATCTCTCTTGGCGGAGCGGCGGCGCGAGACAGGTGAGAGACACAGCCGCTAACCCACGTGTATAGGACCGGTGCCAGTTCCATCTACACGTCAACTTATATGCAAATGGAGGCTGAATTCGGCAACTCGCGCATCGTCTCGACTCTGGGCCTCTCGCTGTTCGTGCTCGGCATCAGCCTGGGCCCCATGTTCCTGAGCCCGCTGAGCGAGTTCTACGGCCGCCGACCCATCTATCTCGTGTCGTGGTCCATGTACGTCATCTGGATCATCCCGCAGGCCGTCGCTCGCAACATCGCCACTGTGCTCATTGCGCGCTTCCTCGATGGCTTCGCTGGCAGCGCGTTCCTGGCCGTGTCCGGCGGCACCGTTGGCGACTTGTTTGCGCGCCAGGAGCTCCAGGCGCCGATGCTGATGTTCTCCCTGGCGCCGTTTGTTGGTCCGTCGATTGGCCCCCTGATCGGCGGCTTCATCAACTACAACGCCGATTGGCGATGGACCTACTATGTGCTCCTGATTTGGGGCTTCGCCATCTTGGTGAGCATCGTGTTCCTGGTGCCGGAGACCTATCGTGAGTTTCCCCAAGTTGTTAGCCAAGCATGAGTTGTGGGGAGAAATGAGTTTCACTAACACGATTCAACTAGATCCTATCCTGATCAAGAACAAGGCCAGCAAGATGCGCAAGGACACAGGCGACGAGCGATGGATGGCGCCCAACGAAAAATCCCAGAAGTCCGTCATCAGCGCCGTGAGCCACTCGCTCCTCACGCCCTTCCAGCTGCTCATCTTCGAGCCCATGTGCCTGAACCTGTGCATCTTCTCCGCCATCCTGCTCGGCATCCTATACCTCTTCTTCGGCGCGTTCCCGCTCGTCTTTCGACAGATCTACGGCTTCAGCCTGTGGCAGGTCGGCCTCACCTTCCTGGGCATCCTCATCGGCATGCTGCTCGCCGCCTGCCTGGACCCCGTGTGGTATCGCATCCGCGCGCGTCTGGTAGACAAGCTCAGCCAGGAGACGGGCATCGAGGGCTCCAGCGAGCCAGAGTTCCGCCTGCCCCCGGCCATTCTGGGCTCGATCCTCGTCCCCGCGGGCATCTTCATGTTTGGCTGGTCGTCGTACCCCTGGGTGCACTGGATTGTCCCCATTATCGGATCCGCCATCTTTGGAGCTGGGTAAGTAACTGAAATGACACCTACAAACACACAACCACATATTCCATGCGGCGGTCGTAAGAGGGCTCTGGGCCCCTGCGTCGGTCCTAGGAGAGCAAGAGTCGTAACCCCTGAGCCAGATGTTGTACAAGACTTGGGACGGCTGACTCTTGGCTCCTTTGTCACACAATGGCCCAAACCCACGGGCTCAAGTCAGCGTGCCTTTAGTCACGGCTTGGTCATGGCCGCCGCATGCGCTCTCCCCTAATCTCGTATCCCCTCTGCGTATAACCGTCGGTGGCTAACCGCTTGGTGTTGCACCAGAACTCTCCTCGTTTTCAGCGGCATCTTTACGTTTCTGGTGAGTCTCTCTCCGTTACACAAGCACAAAGACGCAGACAGGCACTCTCACGCCATTGTCATCACCCCTCCCCTCTCCTTGTCTGCGTAACCCAGATGGCTGGGAGAGCTTTCACAGGGGGTAGCTGCCCGTGCCAGAGGAGAGTCAAAGCTGACTGAGCTATCAATAGGTGGATGCGTATCCGCAGTACGCCGCGAGCGCCTTGGCCGCCAATGCATTTGTGCGTTGTTCGTTTGCTGGTAAGTTGGCATCCCTCCCCGTCCCTATCCCTTGCAACACGCATAGTGGTCTGCCTCCCACATCTCATCCCACCATCCCATCTCCTTCACCGCCGTAGCTGGCCGTCCCCCGGTTCCGGTCTGCGAGCCCCGCACGGCCGGGGGGTTGTTGGGTTGGGGGACATGAGTGGTTTGGGCGGACTGATGGACGACATGAAGAGAGAGAGATTGAGAGACACGAATGCTGACCAGCGATTCTTCAGCCGCATTCCCTCTGTTTGGAACCCAGATGTACGGCAAGCTGGGCTACCAGTGGGCTTCGTCCCTGCTAGCATTTTTAACGCTGGCCATGATGCCGTTCCCCTACATCTTCTTCCGCTACGGCAAGCGGATTAGAGCCACCAGCCGATTCGCAAAGTCGTAGTCCCGTGGTCGGTGTGTCGTGGCTTGGATCCGAGACTCGGCAGATGGAGCTCCTCAGCGCTTGTCACCACGGCCCGAAGGAAGCTACGGCTTGTTGTACGTCCAGCTCTATAGCTCCCGTCCAAACAGCCCATGTCCATGCCCCTGTGATGCGATAGACGGATGGGCATCACAGACTCAAAGTCGCCCCGCGCCACCGGATCCGGCACCCCCCTCCTGACGCGCGGGGGCCCGTCGGACGCGTCTGACTTGCTACGTAGCAGCTGGCAGGTCGCCGGAATGAATGCGGCAAACAGCACATGTCCCAGGACGAGACGCGGACGTGGGTCGTACAGGTCCTCGCCTGGCTAGACTGGGGGAAGCGGCAGCTGCGTGGGGCCGCATATTGGCGTTTTTTGTTGGGTTTCGTGGCGATATATCGGCGGGTCTATTTTAATAAGTATACACATAATAGAAAAGATACACTAGTAGGTATCAAAAGGTCAGACACTGAGGGCGTTTCTGGACAGGAGATTGGAAGAAGCCAGATGCGGGTAATCTATGAGTTACAGTTCAAAAAAGCACATTTTGAGACATTGTCTTTCACAAAGCAGGGTGTGGGGGTTCGACGTCGTGGCAGCTCGTTTGATCATCGCCTTGAAGATCGTCATCGCCATCGCAATCTGGGGGGATGCGAGTTGATGCGCGCGGGGCCCAGAAAGACGGGGTCGATGGGTGAGCGGAGACTCGAATGCGAGCTGGACGTTGCCATGTCACAGACAATCCATCCCAGGCCAGCCCGGTTTCTGCAACTCATCGCCCATCCCCATAAGGATCTGGCATTATCTCGCCTCGCCTAAGCCAGGCCAGCGCGCGACGCGCCCTCCAGACCGCCACTGCATCTCGGGCTTGCAAAGGCTGGAGGGGGGGACGGACGATCTGCATGACAGAATCCGGGGAGATGGAGGGGAGGGGCCTCGCTGAGCCGAGGATGAAAGGCCGCGCTTGTTGGCAGAAGGAAATATAGCACGGCATGTAATGTTGGGGCGGAGAATATAGGATGCGACGACATGGACCAGGAAGTGGCCGAAAGGGAAACGCCACGCATTGTAACGGACGGCCTTTTGGCATTGGGAAGAGCCAGTAGGATACGAATACGTATGTCTCAGAGAGCATTGAAGCAGGTGTCCAGATCTAGTGCCATGTAGTGGTGCGTCTAAACAAACAGTTCCGTTTCACAACACGGGGGTGTGATTGTGATGCATCCATGCCAGATGCTAGCGGGCATCAACCACCACCAGCGGGCGGCAAAGTGCAAATCTCCAAGGCCAAGGCCAAGGTCAAAACCTGGTCGGACAAGGATGGGTTGGTTTGTAATGAGAAGCCCGGGAACCGCAGAAGAACGGGGCCTGTGTGACAGCGGCAGCATCATCAAGCAAGATAGAGTTAGGCCCTTGTGTTTGGAGTTGACGACAGGGGATATACCTTCAGACAGTGGCAGTGGGCGGATGGCTTGCCGTGGATCGTCTCAGCCCAGATACGTCTCGACGTAACAAGCAGCTCGCAGCGTCAGGACAAAAGCGGTCCCTGCGCGAGGTCAGGGAAGCAATGAATGGGCCAAATGGAGTCCTCGGCGTCTCCAAAGTCCCCAATGGAGGACGTCGTGGTTGTCAATGAATCGATGTGGCAGACCGGGGCCATGGAGTTCTTCAAGACTCCAGAGTCCAACAATTGACCAACCACACGATGGGTGGGAAAACTCCCGTCGACATCGACAAGGGTGTTCAAGAGCCTCGAGCAGCGTCGACTGCCTGCCCCAGGGCGGAACCTAGGACCACAGCCGCCATGGGTCCTCGGTTATCGCATCCTAACAGCGGCTTGGCTCCATCCATTCAACACCTCAGCCTCCAACCAGAGGGGCGGGCCCCTCATCGAAAGCTCAATTGACAAGGACCGCGTCGTCCCAAAGCAGACGGCGACGATGTGCCAATCGTCGTCCCCAAAAGAAAGGCAGGCCGCAGAGAGAGAGAGGCAGAGAGGCAAGATGCAGCTCACCCATCTGCACCCATCTGGCCATGGGATCCATGTGTAATTTCGCACTCGCCGCGCGCGCCGCTGTCATGCAGGCCACAGCCGCAGAAGCCACCCCCAATGGCAAGCGGATCGTCACGAGAAGGATATAGAAGGCCATGAAAAGTAAAAAATGAAACCTAGGCGTGGGAAAAAGGAACGACGAAACGTGGCAGAGGCGTAGGAAAAAGGAATATAGAGGCCACGCGCCGACCGGGACCCATGGCTGACAGGCTCGGCAAGCTGAAGCTGAGGATGAAATTCCACAATCTCCACGCTCCGTCATGTAACTCACAGGCACTTTGCAGGCACTTTGAATACGGGAAGCCGTGATTGTGATTGCGAGGCCGTTCGGGCTGCGCGCCAAGATGCCGGTGTAATGTCCCGGCGGCCAATTGGGGCGAGACGGGCTCATTCTGATGCCAATAGTCAGGCAGTTTGGCGACGCGACAAAGGAAAGCTGCATGATGTCCGCTGTCCGCTGCGGATACCTGCTGCGGATGGGGAGGAAAAGGAGGGTCGTCGATTTACTCGGCGCATGCGATCTTCACGTATAGCCTCCTCTAGATGTCTGATATGTACGAATGGCGGTGGATGCGTCGATGCGATGGCGCGGCCGCCGGTGATGGAGGACGGTGTGGTGGATGGGAGGAGGTGGCACCGTGGCGGACCGGGGTGGATGATGACGCGAGCCGACGGGAAGCGGCGGGCAGCGAAGTCGACCGACGGCCTTCCGCCTCCGGGCTGGCGGGGGCATATGGCAAGGCTGCTCGGTTCTCCATACCCCAAGATCACAGATGACTGATTTGGCCCAGTCTCACGTCCCGAACAAGTCGCTGTGGTGCGTCGCATACTCGCATTATGTGCCTTGTCTCTCTGTCTCACTGGCCCGCGCCGCACCCTCCACCCTCTCACACTCTCCCACTCTCTCAGCCAGGTCCCGTCTCCCGCTCCCATGTCTCCGGCTGTACCGGTCGGCCTCTTGATTGGGACACCAGCAAACGGGTCTTGTCTACATAGCACATACATTGTACCTCGTCCTCCTTGTCAACCCCAAGTAGGCAGGCATGTCGTCCCTCCCTCGGTCCTGTCTAGATGGTGCGCATGGACGTATGTCTCATCGGGTCCAGGGCCGGGCTGGGCAACACTTGCGGGACTTGGGTTCGGGTACCTTGCGTACCTCCAACGCCGCCGGTCCACGACCGGCTGGACTGCGACTGGGCGGCCTGGCCTATACTTTTAGCAGCCGCCTGGTCTCGTTGGTGATGGATTTGACTGGCTGTGTTGGTCGTCCTAGCTGCCCTGGCGTCATGGCCCGTCTAGACTTTGGCAGGCTGGCCTGTCGCAACGGTGCTGCAGTCGCACGACCGCGCGACACTAGAGTCGTCGTCCATGGCCCCAGTCCGTGACGAGGTACGAATCACCACCTTTAACCAGCTGGGGAGGTTTGTTTTTGTCCGATATGCTTGCCCAATGCGTATCGTCGTGTCTTTTCTTCTTTAAGCTCGATGTTCACGACGCACGGCGAGCAAGCAGGGTGGCTGGCGGCTGTGAACCGCGCTCGATATACTCATCTGCTGCACCAATATCTGAGCTCTGGTTGTTCCCAGATCCATGCTTCGAGGCCACAACCCGCAACCCCTCCTCCACTTTCCACCACGCCTGTCTGGGTTCCGGGTTCCCTGGAGAGCGATCCACGGCGCAGGCGCAGGCGCAAGGCGGCAGGCTACCGGCGGTGACCCTCCCCTAGCAAAACACGACCCCAGGCCCAGGGCGACCTGGCGGGGCTCAATGGCACTGTTTGCTCCGTTCCCTTGTCAGCCGCTGCTGAGTTTTGCCTGGTGGAGGCGTGCGTTATTGGAGGACGAGTGGAGGATCGGAGGATTGGGAATATTGGACGGCGGGTGGTTGGGCGGCTCAGCCCAGGGCCTAGGCTGGCCTGGGCATTACACGGCCTTAGCAGGGACGATTCCCAGGGGATGGTACAAACCTAGTAAGATGCTCGGTACACGGTACAAAGTCCCGGTCAGCGGGGACGGTTGCCGTTTGTTTCTCCCGGGCAAGCCTTAACTCATTGCAGAAGCCGACTCAACTTTCATGCCTCGGTGGCCGCCTTCCACCATGACTCCCTAGCCCGCAACTCAAGCCCGCAACTCTAGCCCGCAACTAAAACCTGGCGGGCCTGACAGTAGCCGGCTCCTAGGGCCAAGTCAACCAGGTCTTGGGTACAGTCGTCATCGGCATCGGACCAATGGACGTCGCGCAGTGTTCCCCCGGCCGCGGGCCACTGATCAGCTCCACAGGTAAACCCCGCAGTCAAAAACTTTGCCTGCGCTGTGATGGATGTGCCAATGTGCGTCGTCGTGGTGGTGGTGCGTGTGTCTCGGTGTTCTGTATGAGAGAGTCCTTCGGTGCAACTTGGCGGGAGCTTCACTCGGTGGCCCGTACCGAATACGTATCGCATCGAATCGCATCGCTGTTCGGTGGGAGCTGTCTCGTCTGCAGGCAGAGCGCGCGCGCCGCGTCTGGGGATGCCTGTCCCCTGCTTCTGCTGCTGCTCCAGCTGTTTTCCTTCCTTTTTTTCTCCCTCGGGCCCTGGTCCTGTCGCTGCCGCTGCCGGTGCTGCTGGGCATGCAGTTGCATGTGCTGTGCATGTGAGTTGTGGGTGTGGGTGCGCGGCTGCGCGACTGCGCGAAAGGTGAAAAGGATTATCCACATGGTGTACCTACGGCCGGCCCCATCATCAGGTACCTAGGTTGGCTTGGCTCCCACTCGGCCCTGTGTGATTTGGCCCTGCCTGTGTGATTCTGTCATGATTATGTGCTTCCCTGATTCCTCGCGTGAGCACTCCAATGCGCATAGTGCGTACAGCCAAGCCCTCAGCCGCTGTCTATCGCTGTTCTAGGCCCGCGACCTGGGGCATCACCAGCGCCTTGCCCAAACCGCGTCTAGCCTCGATCGACTTGGCCGTGGTTTCTTGCCGGTTCTTGCTTGTTCTTTGCTGTTGCTCACCCTTGAATCCATGATACATCACATCCCCATTGGCAATTTGCTCGCATTGGGGATCCATCGTTTCCTGTTTTGGTCCTGCTGGCTTGCCCTGTCTATTTCCATTACCCATTACCCATTTCTCCACCTGTCTCTCTCCATTACCTACCAAGGTACTAAGTACTAATAATCCCCCCCAACGGTTGGAAGTATTATTACAGCCTCAAACTCCCCCCTTCGTTCTGTTCTGCGAGAAAATCCACCGTCGCATCCGCCAAACAAGAGCCGGGCGACCAACCAATTCAACCAACCGACAAGCCAACAAACCAACCAGCCAACCAACCAACCCGGTCGGTCAAGTGCTTTTAGCCCACCACTAAAACCACCAACCACCAAATCCGCTGCCCTCCATCCCAAATCCACTCCAAATCCACGGCCTCAGTCGACAATCCGCACCTCCACACCTCCACACTTCCACCATCCACACATCCACACATCCCACCGCCCCGTCGCCTGACCTCTGCCTTCCGACCTCTCGTCCTCTGACTCCCGGCCACTGACCGCCGTCGTCTTATTTTGCGAATTGCCTCCTTGCGCGCATCTTCGCTCTCCTTTTTACCTCGTTATCCCCTCTCCACTCTTCCTTTCCTTCTCTCTCGCCCGCTCCGCTCTCCTCTTCTCCCCCCCCCCCCCCCCCTCTCCCCTCCTTGCGCCGCGCCTGGCTCGCATGCCTCATCTCTGCACAACGCTACGCTGCCACCATAGCCCGCTGCTACGGTTCCCGACGCCGTGTGAGCTGCTATAGTGCGCGTTGTTGCTAGTTTGAGTGTCGAGTGCAGCCAACCCTCATGGCCCTCGGGTAGCTGCATTCCTCTCCGCCTCCGTCCTCTCGTACGCTCCCAACCCGTGCCGTCGCCTTGTGTCGCATCTCGACGCCCTTCGTCACTCTCCTTGCCTGTGCTCCGCCCAAGGCGATCTCGACCGCGACCTCCCCTCGCCCGTCGAATTAAACCCGCGCTGCCGCCTCCATTGTCCCCTTCGTGACGGCATTCGCAGCCTCGTCCTGCCCGCGACCAGCCCTGACTGCCCACACGGTCACACCAAAACGCCTCTTGCGCACCCATTACGAGCCCATTGGCCCTTCCCGAAACCGTCCCGTCCAGAATACGAGCTTCTCCGACCAATTTCGGTCTCGCATAAGTCAAGAGGCTTGTCATCATCATCCCGGCAACCCACAGCCTTAGACTTTGTTTCCGCCCAACGCTCATCTTCCACAGCAGCCGCCCGCTGCTGCCAATCTTGGCCTGCATATCACACATACGCAGGCGTCAATCTCTGCTCAACGACTCTTTCAGGGGAAGCCTTGCGCAGGTTTCCACGCCACCGTGGGGTTTGTTGTCCTCGTGAACAGCGCACATCGCCACTCCAATTCGACGACAGTCTTGTCCCTGCTTGGCTGTGCCACAGAGGCTTGATCGGTGTGGTTCCGCAAGGTATTGAATGGGGCGACGGGAGACAGGTATACTGGGGGTCGGAGCCTGCATTTCCGGGCCGCTTGTGCTGCAGACAGAGACCGGGTTTCCACTATCTGAAAGGGGGATTCCAGCCATTACAGTGTGTTGCGCCGGTGCCAGGGCTTGTATATAAAACTAAGACACCATGCCGCACGAGATGGAGGAGAATGGTGCTGAGGTCTCAGATGTCATGTCTGAGAACGAGGACGACGAGATCTATCTCAAAGACGAGAAAATGACGGACCAAGACGGCAACACCATGGTCAAGAAGAAGTACGACCCAAAGGATCCTCTGCGACCCAGGAGGAAGAAGGCAAGACGAGCGTGCTTTGCCTGTCAAAGAGCCCATCTGACCTGTGGTAAGTCCTCTTCTGCTGATCACCTCGATTCGTCTTCATCTTCCCCGTGAAGTTTGGTCTCAAACGCCCTGCCAAGCACCACCCTGCGGTTGCTCTGTCTGCCCTCTCCCTTTCATTTCACTATCCTAGTTCCCTGGGAGAATTATCTTCGGTCATGATTTTCGGGGCTTGACAGCGGGATAAAGGGTTGCAAACTGACCTCTTCGCATAGGAGACGAGAGACCCTGTCAAAGGTGCATCAAGCGCGGCCTCGCCGACGCCTGTCAGGACGGTGTTCGAAAGAAGGCCAAGTACCTCCACGATGCTCCTCCGGAGGCCCTCCGCCCGGTCCTAGGCCCCAATTACAATCCCACGCCCACGCCCACTCGACCCAACGGCCATCGCCAGAACTCCAGTCAATCAGACAACATGTCGACCGCGGGCAGCACCTTCTTCTCTCAAGGAAGCACTACTTCGTTTCCAGTCTACTCGGCTGGCGGACAGACGCCGGTTGCCATCCCGGATGGTATGAATTTCAATACCCAAGCTTCCCCGACGTCCTTCCAGGGCCCCTCGCCCACTGCCCAGGCCCCGATGGGCAACATCATGCCCACAAACCCGATGGACTTTAATGCTCTGTTCGATCCCAGCAACCCGGCTTTGTACAACTTTGATCTTGAGGGTCTCAACTTTGGCAGTCAGTACGCCGGATGGGAGTTTGGAATCCTCAACAAGATGGCACTGGGAGCCGAGACACCTCCTAGGGAGAACTCCATTTCACAGCCTTCCACAACTGATGCCAGCTACGCCGCTCTCTTTGCCAACGGCAATGGCTCATCTTACGACCACCCCATGATCGGTGCTGACTTTTCTGGAATGGACCACAACAACCAATCGTTGTATGCTCAGGGTAACCTCCAACACGGGCTACCCCACGCGTTTGCCATTGCGGCGGGTCCAACGAGCCTTCACAGCCCCAGTACAGACACCACAGCGAGTCCCCATTCAGGAGCAGGAATGGATGGGTCGCCCAACCATAACTATGCCGGTATCCCAGGGGTCGCTGCCGCCCCGCCCCGGCAAAGGCCAAAGCACACGAGGACTGGCCCTCAGTCCATCCTGGGCAAGAGACAGCGAGACTCAGCCGCCATCTATGAGAGTGTCAAGGAACCGTACCCATACACAGCCGGGTTCCACAACATGGTTGCCGTTCTGCGGAAGCGCCTGCCAGGCAACAAGCTCCTAAAGATTGCCAAGTCCCTTGGCGAGATCCGCCCTTCATTCATCTCATGCACCAAGGACCTGACTCGCCAGGACCTCATCTTCATGGAAAAATGCTTTCAGCGTACACTGGTTGAGTACGATGATTTTCTCCAGCACTGCTGCGCACCTACCGTCGTCTGTCGAAGATCAGGCGAAGTTGCAGCTGCCAATAAAGAGTTTACCGCCTTGACCGGCTGGACCAAGGATATCCTTCTAGGCAAGGAGCCCAACCGCAACGTTTACAACCGTTCGGCCAACGGTACATCCTCCCAAGAGAGAGATTCTCAGGGTGAGATGACAACACCCCGTCCGCAGAATGCGACGCTGGACTCGGGCGTTGCCCGAGTCCAGCCCGTGTTCCTCGCAGAGCTGCTCGATGATGACAGTGTTGTGGAGTTTTATCACGACTTTTCACAGCTGGCTTTCGAGGATAGCCGCGGCAAGGTGCAGAGGAGCTGCCGACTGGTCAAGTACAGGCCGGAGCAGAGCCTCGAGGCTAAAGAGGTATCCCCTCACAAGGAGGCTCACACGAGCATCCTCAGCAACCGGGTCACCCGAATTGACGGTGAGCATGGTATCTCCAGGATTGAAAAGGATGGCAAGGTGGAATGCACCTACTGCTGGACCATCAAGCGGGACGTTTTTGATATTCCCATGATGATCATCATGAATGTAAGTTGGCTCCCAAGATCCCAACCTGTTGACTTCGTGGGCAGATCGACTAACAATGTGTAGTTCCTTCCACGATACTATCCGGATCAAGGACCCCAGCAACTCGCAGTGTAAGATTGCTGGAGGTTCTTGTTTGAATACGTTCTTTCTCCCTTTACTTTGTTTATGGGAGGTGTTTTCTATGAGCATTTGCAACTCTTCTTGACCTTTGGGGGAGGAAGAAGAAGAGAGAGCAGAGCAGACCATAGCCCCTTGATGGGGAATTAGTCATGACATGGTTCATGTACTATTCACGGTTTAACGCCGACGTTATTGCGACTATGAAGTGATGGTGGCGGTGGTGGATGAGGAAGAGGAGGAAGTTGACGGATGATTTTGCGCGATACCCGCGTACTGTTAGGAATTGCGAAACAAGAGCGAAAAGGGTCTTGTCATTTTTCTAAATTCCGTCTATCCCAAACTCCCTGCCCCGGCTTTTTACCTTGCCCCGTATACTATTCGTTCCTCTCGTAATCTTGACGCCAGCCGCAGGTGGATGGCTAACTAAGCGGACCTCGTAAGCCACTCGGCATCCAGCTTACCCTCAACGTCGGGGCTGCCAACGACAAGGCCCTTAGCAGGAGCCCAGTTCTCGCGGGCGAGGCTCTTCTTGGCGACTTCGCAGTCAAAGTTGATGTCGGCGATGAGGGCATCGATACCCTCGTAGTTCTTCTCCTCGCGGATGAAGTTGAGGATGAGCAGGCGCATGGGGGCGTCGTAGAAGTCGGCGGTGAACTTGTGCAGAACGTGGACCTCGGCACTGCGGACGGTGTTCTTGTAGAAGGGGTTGTAGCCGATGGACATGACCATGGGGAAGATGTGGAAGGCGGCGTCGGTGCTGGGACGGTCCGGGTGCGACTCGGGCAGGGCAAGGGAGGCGTAGCCGAAGTAGACGCCCGAGGGGATGGCGGCGATCCACGGCGTGTCGGCGTCGTCGACGGGGAGGTTGGCGGTGGGGATGCCGAGCTGTAAGGGGTTGGGTGTCAATAACTTGGATCGGGTGGACGGAGAGGGACGAGGAGGACGCAACGCACCTCCTTCGATCCTCGTCCAAAGCCCGAGATGACCTTGCCCTCCATCTTGTAAGGGTAAGGGGTTTCGGGACCGGCCTCGGGACCGACGATGGACGGGCGGGAAGTCATGATGCTGTTTTGCGGTGTTGAGAGTGTGACTCAAGGAGCTCTATGTGTGAAATGTTGCAGCTAGATCCTCGCGACAGCTAAATTGTCCCTGCCAAGAAATTTGAGAGAGCCAAGAGATATGCAGTTCTAAAGGTACGGTAGGACAGAGAGGTGGGTATAGATATGGGAGAGAGAAGTTGTTGCGGGACCGGTTGGCGGCTGGCGGTTGGCGTTTGGCGGCTTATGTGATGGCGGCGGATCGTTATCGGAGGGGCATCTATCTGGATGGTGGGGTAAATTTAGTTTTGGAGGAGGGGCAGCCCGGCGAGCTGTCAGCAAGCGGCGGAGCGCGGAGCATAAACGGTGCCGAAGTGCGACGGCGGAGGCGGCGGCTGCAATCGGTTGGTTAAGCTTAGCTTACCTGGTTGACGGGATGAAGATGTTGCACTGCCACCACAGTTGCAAGCCACAGAGTGAAATACCGTGCGGTAACTGGTTGGACGGCCAATTTATAAGTACGTACCTAGGCACTTAGCCCTACGAAGTGGACCCCATTCCCATTCTGTCGGAGTATTTCCCCTCTTCCACAGGTCAACAGCTCCCGCGCTCAAGCATACCTACTGGTACCTATGTTGCAGCAAGAACCCCTTTCTGTATTATATTTCGGGCCTCCGTCAGTCTTGTCTGTATAGCTATTATCATTCTCCTCACAAGTCTCACTGACTTGACTTACCCCTTTACAGAAGCTACGTACCTGAGCGTGGCGAAAAACCCCGGAAGGGCCCCCGCCCCCCCGGAAGAGCCCGCCCCTCCCTCCCGGGAGACCCCCCCAGAAGGATCCGGATGCATCTTAGAGGACGCCTGAGATGTGAGACATGGCGCGCGAGGCTGACGAGGCGGAGAAATGAGGCACTCCCGCATCTCACATCTCGGGCGTCCGTCTGTCACGAACACTTCTCAATGTCTTCGCTCACCTCTTGGCCAGCCCCAGCGTGCTGGCATAAGACTCAGTCATGTAAGTCGGCGAAGTTCCACAGCATGCGGGACGTGCCGACTTGCAACTATCCCAAGCAGTTGGCGACATTTCAACAGCCGCTTGCCATGGTAACTCGCGCAGCATCCCGCGCTCTCTGTTCTCTGTCTTCTTTTTAAGCATGGGCGTTTTTAGTGGACCTCATCGAAATGCGCGGCTGTCTGGTGGCGTTGTCGCCAACTGGCAAGTCTGGGAAGTACATTTCTGCGCACAGGGTGCGTACAAACACCGACTGCACCTCAGGATGTGCTTTCACGCCATTCAAAATTTTCCCTATCACCAAGAAGCCAGTCCATGACACTTCTGAGCTCCAGGCGGTTCCCACAGCTCCAAAATTCATGGATAGGGGCGGGCAGGTTGGTCTGGTAGGAAGCAAAGTTCACGGTGGAGGTTGCGAAGCTAGTAGCGTTCAGCTTCAAAATTGTCCTGCCATGAAAGAAGACCTATCATTTTACAGTACAGACACCTGTTCAAACACCACTAGCCAGGGTCTATTGAAACGCCACTTCCAAGACAATCGTAATAGCATGACTCTTTTGGCGCCAACCCATTGCTGTCGGCTGCCGTCGCAATGCATCAACGTGGCACGCTACCGGCAGCTATTATACGCCTCCAGTGACGTTCTTGCAATGTTCTCACTCTCTCTTGTCGGCGGTTTATTACGTCACCCTTTCTCGCAGCAGTTGGGAGTTGATCGATCTATGTCAAGAGAAAGCTGTTGGTCGTGCGTGTGCAAGCATGTTTTGGCCAGCTGCCCACCGCGCCGCCACTCCTGGCGCCAACAGACGCAAATATCCGCCAGCAAGCTAAGCGACGCCATATGCCGGGAGATGGACAGATATTGAGACAGGGGCATGAATATGGTGGCTGGAATATAGTGGCTGTTCAATCCTTTGTTCGTTGCAGAGACCGCATGCCAACGGGGTTCTTGGGCGTCTAGGATCAAGAGTCCTCCAAACCACACCGCCAGTCTGAAGAATGTGGCCACAGAATTCCAGCATCTCCATGAGTCGACCATAGTGGCCCAAGTCATACACGGAAGACGAAGCGCGAAATCGATGCAGTGATGCGGGGAGGTGGGATGGCGACAGACCAGAGCAGCAAACGACCCACGGTTTGGAACCCATCCACATCCCATCATGGGATGGTATCCCGGAGGCGTAGAATTCACAAGCCACGCTGAGTTGGTGGGCTTGGCTACATCAGACTAAGAGAGACTAGCTAAAGCGAGACGCTAGAAGCGACTGAGATTCAGGTTGTACGTTTGCGAGGTCATATTTTTGGAGGTCTGTCATTTATCTCCCCTGTTGAGTGGTCGTTCTATCACACTTTGCCTGACTCCTGCGCTCCCCTTCCTGCACCTTACCTCTTCATTTCTGACATGTAGTTTCAGGGCAAGACGGACACCCCGTTACGACCAACTGGTTGCTGACCAAAGAGATGCTCAAGTTGGATTCTTTGAGTATAAGTAACCCCGTTTCCCTCTCCATACCGCACTCTTCTCAATTTCTCAAGTCAAGCAACCACTCGATTTCTCAAGCCAAACGACCACACGCAGAACCTTACCATCGCCAAGCGGTCCACAACTCCAGAACAACTCCACTACATTCTACCAGTAAGTTCCAGTACCCTCCAACTTGTTCCTTCAGTCACTAACAATGAACGACCATCAGGCTCAGAATGGATACTCACGACGACATGTCCAATGGCATTCCCCTCAAATACAAGTGCGACGTTTGCGATCGGCATCCTTTAAAGTGGGAGTGGGATAACGACGTTCCCTGCCGAGGGACATTCGGAGGGTCGAGGTGCTTGCGCCTGCCTTCGCAGGTCTTAGCTGCCACTCTTGCGGCCTACCTCGCAGCGGCCTTCCAGGCTGCAGCCGCCCAAGCCGGCTCCGGAAACGATGGTACCTAATACGCAACATTAGAGGAAGGGGGGAGGAAAGGTGGAGGAACATAGTTAAGAAGATGATGTCTCTTGTACGAAGTTGGTCTGGTCTGTCTGTATAACGGAGCAAGAAAATTGAAGTAACATTCGCCAATCTATTGCCCTACGTGATTTGCCCAATACAAAGTGAATAACAAAAGGAAACAATATCTACACCTCTCCCAGTGATCCCCCTTTCTCAGTTAGCCCTTCTTTCGCACTGATTACTTCTGGCCCTGTTCCTTCCAGCTGTCAAGGATAGAATCCGACAGCTGTCAGGGATAGAATCCGACAGCTGCTCAAAGATAGAAAGAGACCAGAAATCTACTGAAAGGGGCCGGTTGGTACACGAAATATGACCCGAAAGCGAAAGAATCACAAGTCTGCCCCAAACGCTACCGAATCCGTCCTCCGCCATGTGCTTATGGAGCAGGGCTCTCCACTCTGTTTGTTCCTTTTGCAACTTTGCCATAAATTCCATCCTTGCTTGGGTGCCAAGCCGATGTTGCTTGAACGCCGTGTCCGTGGTTTCGTAGGTGCCGAAGTTGCAGACACCAATTGGCTTGTCCGTCCCATTTACAACAATGCTGTAAGGTGTGAGATCACAAAACCTTCCATACCGCTTTGGGAATCTCTTGACGATATTGGTTGTTTGTTCGGCATAATATTGCTTTTCCTTTGGTCCCAGTGTATGCCACACATCTGCCAAACGATCACCTGGAAGTTTCTCAAAAAGAAAGTACTCTCGGTTTTCGAATTCCGAATAGTGGAGAAGATTCGGAGTCTTGAAGCCCAAAGGGCCATCTTTTCGCTCTTCTTCTTCAATAAATTCCGTTGTCGCAAACTCGTTTACAAGATCCTCTGGAGGATTTACTCGTGTGATTTGAAGATAAGCCTCGCCAACACGCCAAAGCACCCTCCACTCACCATAATCTGCGATCACAAAAATCGATTTCTCCTCGGGAAACTGCGATTGCACGTCGGGGCTCGGGGGTACAGTGGATGGGGCTGTAGAGAGGGTGTAGTAATCACCGTCTCCCGAGCTCCATGAAGTGATACCCTCAGAGGGTTCGTTCACTCGTGAGAGTAGGAGCTTTCCCCCGAGAATCCAGGAATTCCCATTGACCCTGCGGAGGAATGTATCAATAAAGTTACTCGGTCCAAACTCAACCATGGTCTCCATGTTGGCGGTGTCGAGAGTCATGGTAGAGGGATGGTTGGATTTGTGATTGAGTGGAATAATATTGGTTGAGTAGTAGGAGCGGAAATGGTTGAATGCGACCGAGGAGTGATGTCAACGCTGGGTAGATTTAAAAGATATTGATGCTGGATTGATAATGTAGATATATTGGTAGTATTTGAATGAGGTGTGATAGATAAACGAGGATGTGTTGTGGTCGAGTAGTCGTGTTGTGGTTGAGTAGTTGTGGAAAGGGTTGGGAGATCTATCCATACTTATACCCCTTTGCCCCAGAGATATCTTAGATTTGGTTTAACAACACGCACCTCTGTTTCCAGCCCTCGCTCTCTCTTTGTCTCATTCCTGTTTTTCAGACTCTTCTGTTTTCCTGGCGGATCCCTTCTTCCCCCTCCCTGCCAAGTGTTCCGATGCATCACCAATGGCCCAAACTCAGCCAGACAACATCAAGCGGTACTGTTCAGGCCAGTCAAGCGAATCACATACGGCAGACCCGCCTTTCTTTCTTGTCATTGGGAGGTTGATTGACTGAACTTCAAGGCGACGGCGCCTACCACCGCCCTTTACGCGCTAAGCTGGCCAATCACTCTCTGGCATTGTGAAGCTCGGCCATTAACCTCTTTGTAGATAGGGCGATTGGTGTGGCACCTTGCTCTCATGGTGGTCTATTCTGAGCTAGATGGAGTGGCTTACCGTCTTACAACTATTCATAGAGCTCCACTAATATTTGAATCGTGTCCTTGTGATACTACTAATTGGCGAGTGTTGGCTCTGGGCTTCCTACAAAGGCACTGTCAAAGGGGTAGGCTCAAGTTTCTAATACCTCATCATTTGCCCAGCAACCACAAAGCCAGGTGCAACAAATATTCTATCTTGGGCGTCCAGGTTTCTCGAGTGTCGTCATTCAAGACAATCTTCATTGTAGAGTCATGGGGGCGTGATGGCGTAGTCCATCACGAGTCAGTGGATGAATCGGCACCTTTAACTCGAGGTACGATAACTGGATAATGACTGACGTGTGTGCAATGCACTCAGACGAAGTTTTCTTTTAAAAAAAATTGGCCAATCGACGGAGCAGACAATACTCATTGCAAACTCTCATGCCAGCGTATATCCCCTACTGCACCGTGGCCTTCACTGCTTCAGGGCAACAGGAGCAGCATTGTTGCCAGGCCACTCGGTCCGACCCAGCTTGATAATTTCATCAGCCTCAACAAACCAGTACTTGCTAGGCGCCTTGCCCTCATCGGCCAGCTGAGCGGCCCGAACTGCGGCCCTGGCAATCACATCAGCCTCCTGTCCAAGTCGGTCCTTGATGCCAGCGCTGATGGAACCTAGCGCATTGACCACAGTCTGAAACTGGCTCTCTCCGATTCGACTTTGCTCACGGTGGCCCAATATCAGGCCTGGCTTGACAATGATGGCCTGCTCAAAGTCCAATTCCCGGATCGCATCTTCCACGCCATTCTTCATCTTCCCGTACGGAGACATGCCGGCAATGAAGCCGCGCGTGCCCGCGCCAGATATAAAGACATAGGTCCGGGCACCGGCGTTCTTGGCAGCCTTGGCCAGCTCGACGTTGAGGTCGTGGTCAATCTTCCACTGGTTGGCGAGGCCGCCGGCAGCAGCGCGCGTTGTGCCGAGCGCGGAGAAGACGGTCGCGGGAGGGGGCTTCAGGCCGGTGAGGGCGGCTGCCCACTTGGTGGTGTCGGTCTCGATGAGGGCGTCGAGGTGTGCCGAACTGGCGTGAGGGGCGCGACGGGTGATGGTGTTGACGGGGTTGAAGGTGTCGAGGGCGAGGAGTGTAGAGAGAATGTTGGAGCCGACGAGGCCGGTGGAACCGATGATGGCAGTGGAGGGCGTAGTCATGGCGAAGATGATGACGTCGGTCGAGACGATGGGTTATTTGGAGTTGTGGGTTTGTTTAGACGTCGAACTGTCTCAAGGTCCGCAGAGATAAGAAAGCTCTGAGGTGCGACAAGATTTGATGGTGCGTAAGGCGTAAAGGGGTATCTTAGAGGGGTTGGGTATCGAGTGTCACACAGCAAGGAGATGAATAGATCGGAACTGGATGAAGCTTTGATTTACATCAGAAGGATGACAGGGAGAGAGCTCGTGACGGTTAGGCCGGCAATGCACTTTAAGACATGTCTCTGGCGTTTTTGCGGGCAGCGGAGCGGACTTAAGGTTAACTTCGCGGACGCTGTGACCACAGCGCCAGCGACGACATGGCTCCTGATTGTCCATTTTCGGAGCTGGAATGCGTTGGAGATCGGGCCGAGGCTCGGAACTCTCTAGTCAAGACGTTGGAGGAGCTTTACTCAAGGTCACTTACATGGGCAGAATATGCCACCCGTTGCGGTTGGCGGTTGGCGGTTGGCGATTGAGTGCTGACAGGTACGTTCCTTCAATGTCACCTCAGCCTGTACCTGGGGCCGTACCAATTGAGGTTACGGTGCAGCCAACGCCAAGCCGATCCCCTCGACCTACCCTGGAGCCATACTGGACCCCCCACCCCACCAGTAATCCCAGCCTGTGCATGTGCAAGTGCAACCTGAGCCGCGACATCTCACCTCTGCCTGGCGCTGACTTCAACCACCACACCACGTAACGACCTCGCTCACTTGTCTCCTGCTTTTCAATCTCACTATCCGCAGTGGTTTGCAACCTCTCCAGCTTCCAGCGACCGCAATTGCAACCGTCTTCCACAATGGCTACTCAGTACGAAGGTCAGCAAACCTACCCCTCCCATCATCACCCCGCAACACCACCAGTCCAATATATTCAATATCCAGCCTCCAACATCTAACACAGCATCGCAGTCGAGCACAATGTTAAATTCTCCGAGCCCCGTCGCTCCGGCCGCCGCGTCGACATGGCTTCCTTCTTCTCCCTCCTCAACCAGCTGAGCGAACCCTCGGGCGACCAGACGCCCCAGCACAACCCGCACGCCACACCAACCCCCGTCGACACAGCCGCCCTCTTCCGTCTCCTGCAGGACCAGCTGCAGACGCTCCACACCACCGCCCCCAGCGCTGACAACCGCGAGTTCCTCGAGAGCCTCATCACCTCCCTCGAGGACGACATTCACGACCCGCCCACCCGCCTGCGCGGCGTCACCCAAGAGTTCGTTGACTCGCTCGACCGCGTGAACCGCAAGAAGCTCGACCAGGACGACGACTGTGCCATTTGCAAGGTTCCCTACCTCGAGGATGAATACTGCCTCGTTGTTGAGCTCCCGTGCAAGGGTCGCCACCAGTTCGATCTGGAGTGCGTCGGCCCGTGGTTGCGCAGCAAGGGCACCTGTCCCATGTGTCGCGAGGAGATGGGCCGCAAGAAGGAGGTGCCTGTCGTTGAGGATGACGAGGAAGATGATCCGGATATGATGTATGCCTAAGCGAGGAGTTTCTGGAACGTGGAGAGTGAATCGAGGATTATGCATGGCTTTGGCGTATGGGCGTTCTAGTGGTGGCGGTGGCGGTGGATTTTGAGCATGTTTGAGCCGGCGAGCTTGGTCGCCTGGCTCTATTTCAATGCATATTGATGAAGCAGATGTTTTCCAACTACAGTTACTTGTTGATCAGATTCGCTTATGTCTCTCCCTCCACCTCCTTTATCTTCCTCTAACTAAGTCCTATCTGGTCACCATCGGCGTAATTGCATTGCAGAGGATGACGTGAGGAATAATTAATGCACAAAAACGTCCTTACATATACCCCCTAGTTGAGGCTACTACGGTCGTGAGGCAAGAAATCCGACGAGAGCATATCTCCGCCGTCTACACGGAGGTGTTCGGGGATACAGGGTCGTAAACTACCGCCCGTACTCAAGACAACGTCTACCTAGGCAAACAAGGATGAACAAATCAGGTAATTTCAGAAGAGTATTGCTATTCGTGTCACATTCGAAATACTTCTCACATACTTAAGTATATAGACTTCTTTTATTAAAAAGTGTTAATAATGTATATGTTAGTAGGTTTAGTTTAAAAAATAAAATAAGCTTTATTTTAAGTATTTATTCTCTCAAGTTCGACTAATTCATTTCTAATTTTTAATTTATTTTGGAGTCAAAACTGGAACTTTTCATGGCCGGCTTTGTCTCGATATTTTGCTCGATAGAGGTAGTCACATCTAGCTTTGCTGTAGAAGCGCTCCGTCCATTTAGACTGACTTTGTTGGACTAAGTGTGTAAGTCGATAACCCAACATATTACCCCGACCACAGTTGTATTCCCTCCTCGTCATATGTTTCTTCTTTCCTGGACATAGAATTATCCCTTCGAACAACTTCATCTTCCCACTCATACGTATCCTCACGCCCGTGGTAATTTTCCCTTCTTCTCCGGGCTCTTCTCCCTGCTCGCCCCTCCCTTCCTCACCTCGGTACCGGCATCATTTTCTTTCACAGGTTTGCTAATATCTTTATTCGCGCCGCTCGTCGCCAATGGATCTGCCCCTGTTTCGCCCTTCTTTGCGCTCCGGGCGGCCGCTTCCTCCGGCCTTGGCTCGTGAGCGTTGAACGCAATATCGGGGCGGTCCCTTGCTATGTCCTCATCGCGGCCGGACTTGGTATGTTCGTCCGTCCCCGTACGAAGGGTTTTGCGGTCCTGTGAGTCTTTGTAGGGGGCTCGGGAACGAGTGGAGGTGTGGATGGGCCGTCTGGTGCTTATCATAGTCCGGAGTACGGTACGGAGCGGTAACATGTTGGCAAGTAGCAGCGAGGAGGAGATGGTTCGAGGTTGTAATTGAGAATATATATTCCAATGCGGTGTGAAGAAACAATATTTTTCGAGTTTGATCCGAGCGACAGTTTTTATGTTGAGACACAATATCCACCTCAAAGTTTGATGGTTGTAATACTTGACGTCACCGGGTGCTGACACAAATACATATCGGCGTCATTGACACAACAGCCCTAAGAAACGTATGTATTTCACCAGTAGATCAATACTTAATTATAATGGCTCGAAGGCTGTCGTTGAATGGTATGACGTCTAGGCGTCAAGTATTCTTCCTCCTATAGTCAGAGGATCGAGCCGCGAGTTACCCTACACTGCCCGCCCAGCAGCCAAATAAGTAGCATGACACTGCGTGAAATGAACTTCAAAACATACAAAATTTACCAGACTTGAAGTTCTGGAGATGGAACTGGGCACACGAGGAAGGTATTTTGAGGGTTGGGATCACAAAATGGTACATAGAGTTGAAGGGACTGCTCTGTAAGTTAGGCAATGATGCACTTCTAATCGTGTACTTCACGACCCCGAGAGAGAGGTTTGTATCGGGCGAAAATCTGCTGTGACAACCCAAGCAAAAACATGTCAGATTGCCACATGTTTGGCTATCGTTAATATTGTACAGATCACGGCATTATTTTGGTACCTCGAGCAAGGTATCCTCGAAACTACATGCATCTCTGGCAAAAATATTATCGCCGACTACAATTTAAAGTAACTATTGATATTACGAGTTCGCCTAACTGTTCCGTGGCATGTCCATCAATATCTGATGCCTTTTCCACAACTCGGGCCAGTTGGAACCAATGACGTCCTTGACAACCCTTGGCGAGAGTGCATCTCGAGAGGTCTCCACGAGGTAAGTGTATTTCGACAAGTTTGGGAAGTCTGGAGGGCGCCTGATAAAAAAGGAGGAGGCCCTGAAGGCACGTTTAAGGAGGCAATGCAAAGTTCGGTCTCAAGGGCATAGAATTCTTCCCGAAGCTTGGAAGCTCGGCAAAGCAGGATATGTATCTTGTTCGTGTAATGGTGTTTTAATATTAGAGGTCGACGTTGGACAACCGATAGTATCTAGAGGACATGGTAAGCAAGGTGATTTGAGACAAAACTAATGTAGAGAACCCCTGAGCGAGGGTTAGGGCGAGGGCGCCGTTTATGTGGTGTACATGACGGCAAGCACACCGGCCAAGTCTAGAAGACCGCAGTTCCGTGAATAGTCACTTTGAATCGGAAATCGTTGATGTTTCATTAGAAACAAGATGGCTCGCCGGAGCAAGATGTCCATTTCGTTCGCATGCTGGGGCGTCTACATAGATGTCAGGCCGGCATCATGCTAGATGGCAATAACGAATAGTCTTGAGACTTAAGCAAGACCATCCGAGGACTCCGGCAGGCAGAATTAACAAATCGTTCCGATAGGGCATCAAACATGCATCAACGACAGAGACATGTCTGGTCACCTTGCCTTGCAGAGTTGAGGGTGTGCTGGCACAGGCGTCCGTGCCCAAGGTCATTTGACTCCATGTCGTATCAAGTTCGATAAGACGGGAAACGATGTGATGAGCTCTGCTTTAGCAGCATTGATCGACTCCGTACGTAGTACGCCCAACCGCCGAGCATAACAGCGTCTTCTCCGTAACCTTAGTTGTTTGACCTACGTTTCCCCAAATCAGACCTGGCCGGGACTAACAGTGGCGCCGGGCCGAAGCCTTGGAGCAATGGCCCGGTTTATGGTCTGTGGTCTGTGATATTGGTCTCTGGTCTGTGATATTGGTCTGTGGTTCCGATGGAGCCTGTGCTCAAGACGACAGATCCGCGTCAGCCGCGGGCTTTTTCCTTGGCGGGTGTCGTGGATAAGGGGCGAGATTACTAGTCGCCTGCTGTGTCCTGCATCTGACCAAAGCTTTGGGCTACTGGCCGACAATGGGTTGATGATTGACGCCGGACTGTTCGGTGACTGCGTTTGCTACGAAAGCGTGGAGTAGTCAACGGTCCCGCCTGGATAGCGCAGGCGCAAGGGCATTCTCTAACACGGAATGCCATTAAAGAAGGCAACCGTCTCATATGGCTGGACACCCTGAGCACTTAGGTGCCGCTTCGTCAGTCGTTTATGGGCTTTGCTTGCCACCCGAGGAGTCAAAGCGCAGCGAAGGGAGAGTCTAGCAGAAATATTACTACGTAGTAACTTCGTTCTTGGGGTTGGCGTGTTTGTTGAGTAGAGTTGAACATGAAAACTGGTCGTGGCTTGGAGCTACATGCCGGGAGAGAGAGGCTGTCACGGGCCGTCAGAGGGCCGACCTTTGCCAAACAAAGGGCGTTGAAGCGGACCAACACACGAACTGAGCCCGCGGAGTAATAAATGCTGGCGATGATCGCGATCTGGCCCGCCACATTTGACCTGTCAATTGTTGCATCATCTCGTGGGCCTGGTAGACCCTGCCTGTCAACCACCAGCCTGTATTTGTCTTGCGCTTAGGCGGTCAACTGTCCAGGGAGTGATGAGGCATGGCACACGTAGCATCGATAAAATTTGCATAGGTACACATGCGCATGGGCTTCGGTGCATCGAGAAGACTCACATTGCCGTACGGGCGTCGATCAGGTTGGCGTTGGGGATTTGGCTGTTGCCTGCGGCATCACCCGACGGGTGCGTCAATGAGGCTTGTGGCGATGTCAATTGCTTCTAGAACGATTCCGTGTCAGTTTCCAGCGATCACCACCCACGAAGCCCGATTGGCTGAGGACGGTGCTAGGGTCCAATGTTCGTGGCGAGCTGAAGCCCTGATCCAAGGGCCCCTCTCAGGCCAATCTAAACCAACAACTGGCGCGTCAACGATGAACCCTGCACGGGCGTCCCGGAGGAGCGGACAGAGCAGGTCTAGAGGTCTGGAGGTCTGGAGGTCTGGAACGACGTTGGACAAACCCCAGCATTTTTCACATGCGTCCGTCTGGCATTTGACAATCTACAGACCCTGGCCAGGCCTGTTTGGGGAATGCATGCATGAGCCACGCCTGAAAGTGATGGCCACGATACCCGGTTTCAAAGGTGGACGATAACCGCTGCTCACCCAGGTCACCCAGGGCATGTTTCAGCATCCAGTTAGGCGCGGGTGCGGCGTCAAAAGAATAGGAGGATCGACAGCCGTGGGTCAGCTGAATTGATGAACATGGAGAGCACCATCGAGAGCGGGCCCCCTACGACGTCAGGTCAGCCCTGGAACATATCCCGGAACATATCCTGGAACGTTGGGGACAGGTTGCAGGTGTGAAACGCAGGACTGGAAATGGAGCCGGGGAGCTGAGGCTTCTGGAAGAGGTCGGCTGCAGAAAGAGGCGTCGCCGTTAGGCAGGGGAACCAGGGCGGTTATTTGCTTTTTTCTGCCTTCACCGTTAAGTTATTTCACACAGCTCCATCCAGCTGGTACATGGCAGGTACTATGTGTGCATCGCAGGATGAGATGGAGGCTGATGTGAGCGATAGATTGTGTGGGAAGATGGAAAATAAAAATATCAATGCACACTCTGCTACACCACTTAGCTGATGGACCCCCACTGACCCGACTTGCTGTATCCATACCTCTAGTACTATATTCCGTTGGTGTTAATAAATCGTCGAGGAATCTGGTCCGTCCGGGGGGAGAGGCGGCAAGTACTACGTACGCTGCACTGAGTATGTATTCTTGGGGTAATTATTGTATCAGTCTGTCCCAGAATATCTCCGAGGATGACGAAAGGGGGGAGATGAGTTGGCGCTGCGGGCATCTCCGTCGCTTATCTGCAAGTCAATGTACTGTACTCCGTATTCTGTAAGGGCCCCATGATGGACGATGGAAGGCTTCCAGAAAGGGGCAGGGTCACATTGCAGATCATGCAGCTGGTAGATGATGGAGGTACTTGAAGTGAAGCAAACCGAGGTACCGTGGTTGTGTGTGAAGTACGAAGTAGGTAAGCCTGTCGTGTCGTTCATCTCAAACCAACAGGGTCTGGATGAAGCCACGAGGGCAAAGCGGGGGGGAACCTGGTCCAATGGATCGGGCCCGACCAAGTGCATAGGGTTCCTGAGCATGTTGGTTGGTTTGATGGTGATTGACACGGCGGTTGGGCTACTCGCTAAGGCCCCGATTCACCGAACGGGCGGCGGGCTGCGAGTCGGCTGACGAGGCGTTGCGAGGCAAAAGATGGCGGTGGATAGCTGACCAACAAGCACATTTCCAGATCTCCGAAGCGCTGGGCCTAGGGAACGAGAGCACGATCGCCGCGTGTCCGTGGTGGCCCAGCGTAGTGGCCGCGCCCAAGCATCTACGGGGATGGCTCAGGGTCGGGACCTGTGGCTTGAGTTACGGCGGGCGCCATGTGTTGAGCTGGGTGACGGCGACAAATGACGTTGCGGACGTGAGGCGAAAGGGCTGGCCGCTTGACGGTTAAGCGATTGCCTAGCGGAATGCCAGAGCGGGCGGTAGCCTTGTTGCTCACCCGTCGTCCAAGACATCGGATCTCTGTGCTCGACGGGGTATAGTAGGTAAGTAAGACAAAGCCCCGTGTAGTCTAGCTTGGCCAAGGTAGGTAGGTGTATCACGACCTGTAGACTGTAGGCTGTAGGCTGTACAACGTAACACAACCTACAGTCCTCCGTAATACGGCACGGTACTAGCAGAGGGCACAAGAGAACGGGCGGCCACCTACTTAGCAGGCCCCGAGTCCCCAGTCTCCAGATTGGGTTGCATCCACCGCGTGGCTGGCCCCTCTGTCTGCCGAGGGTGATGAGGCCGACGATGGAGGCCCATGACACCATGATTCGCGGAGCAGGCTCTGCAGGGCCACTACCTAGTACCGATTGACCGATAGGGGCAAGGTACATATCGCAGCACAAGCACGGTAGCACGTATCGAGCCTCACCCCTTCGTCCTAACTTCCCAAGTTTTAGGGGGCGTCCAGCGCTACTCCGTTCCGGTCCTGGGCGGCGCAGCGGCCTCTTTGGCTCTTGGGGGGCGGATTGCCAAATGGCCCGACGGTGCCAGTCTTGCCAGTTCTGGGAAGCCGGACATTGGACATTGGGCGCTGACATTTGGTGACACTGGGGCAAACCATGGGGAGCTTTTGCCATCGCGAACGGTTCACTTGTTGCCGGCGGGGGGCGGCGAGTGGGCGGGCGTATGGCCACAAGTACCCGTTCTAGCCAAGCTCCCGTCGGGCATGCCGAGGACGCTGAGGGGCCTTGGAACAAGTGGCTTTGATGTGGCTTCCCGCGATCGACGGGCAAAGAAAGAGGCGAAAAAAGAAACCAAGAGGAGATTTGTTGATGAGATCTAGATGCTAGTTGAGGCGGGAAGCCTTTGGCCTACAACCTGTTTCCCCTCCCCTTTCATTCCTTTTCTTCCTCTCCGGTTTGTACGAGACGTTGTACATAAGCCTGGTGGCAAGGCCTCTGGTCACGAGAAGCGTCATGACGGGCCTAAATCCTGCCATGGGTTTGGTAGTGGGAAGCCGGACGGCGGCGGCACGGCAATAGTTACATCGTGGCAAGCCTTGTCACAAGCCAGCCAAGTGTGCTTCGAGTGATGAGTCGCCCAATGTGTCAGGAAGCACTTGGTCTGAGTCGGTAAGCAGTCGGCGGGCCAGGGACTTGGGGACTTGGGGACTTGGGGGAGGGCACCGTAATACTGAGCCCCCAGGTCCCATCCACGCGGTGGACAGACCCCTCGCCAATGTCCCCCGGGGAGGAGGCGGTGATGGGCGGTGATGGGGGTTCTCAACTCAACTCTGAGCCAGAGCCAGAAACGAGAGCCGCAGGATGGGCCGGGAATAATTTACAAGACCCGGGCGAGAGAGATGGAGGAGGATAGGGACATGACATTCGATTCTTTCATTCGCCCAAACCACCCACCTAGCCCGCCCTGCATGCCGCGACCTGTGCGTCTCCGTCTGGTCCTGCGGGCTTGCATCGCAATCTACAAGACGATAAGTCGCACCAGCCACCGCAAACCAATCGGTGGCAGATCTCGAGGGTTGTCATGTCTCTGGTCCGGATACTGTACAACAAAGAAACGGGATTGTACGCCCCCCCTCCCCCCGGGCGGCAGCGGGCGTACCTAGGCATCTGGACGACTGGACTGTGGAGCTGTGGTGGTGCCCGTTCGTGGTGTCTAGGAGGACGGAGTAGGAGGACGGCGACGGCCAAAGGAAATCCCATGGCTCATTACTCGAATATCCACGATTCGACTATCGATCCATCCCTCCACCCATCCGCCCATCCCCCATCAGCCCATGTCAGGCTAGCCTTCTCCGAGACGGGGTCCAGAGCCCAAGCTCCCTCCCTTCAGCGTGTGGTGTGCGGCGTTGGGGGGGGTTGGTTGGCGGCCGGCTTTCTCGAGGCCGAAAAGAGACGGTCATCAATTACACATGCAGCCCATAGGGCCTAGGCTCGACCGTCAAACAGTCGACGGTTCGTGGCCCAAGCAAGCGGACAGTGGACGACGACGTGCTATGTACATAGTAGGCTCGGTTCGGGGCCCCCCCCCTCATTCCCTCATCCCTCATCCCTGGAAGCGTGGCCCCCTGTAACCCCCTCAGGCAGAGGCCGGCAGGGCCCCTCGACGATGACTGGGCTCAGGGCAGCGCGCAGGACGACGGCGTACTACGCAGTAGGGACGCAGTAGGACAGATCAAACCGGCATCGAGATGATGGCGTTCGAGGAGCGGTGACTAACCACTGATGACTGGACGCCCAGCATCTCGGTCATCTCGTACTCCCTACTCCGTACGCCGTGCAAGTATCTTGGCGGTACCGTACTCCCTACTCCGTACCCCGTACCGCGCCAACTTACTCGTCGATTCATTCAATTCATTCATACACCGTGGTCGTCTCCCCTCCCTCCCCTGTTCTCTAGTCCGTGCTCCCCCCTCCCCCCGCCCACATCAGGGACGGATACCTCAGTTACAGCATCTGCCAGCGCCACTTGGGTCCTTGTGGTACCTTGCCAATCCTCTGTCGTGCTGGCCGCCCCCTTGCGTAGCCTTGAGGTGGGATCATCGTGTATTGACGGCGTGCTTCCGCTGTGGTTTGTGCTGGTGCTGGGTGTAGGGTGTTGGTTCCCTTGATTGAACTTTGTTTGGCCATTGACTGGAGAGGAAAGAAAAAAAAGGCTCCGTCTTAATTACTTTGAGTGCCTTTCTTACCATTTTATGAAGACCGTGTACTTGGTTCTAGTACCTCGATATCCAAGGGACCCTACCTGGGCGTGCGTGCCTACATACCTACCAACCTGCCTACACCACCCTCTAATCCATACCTACCTCACCTACCACCTACCGCCTAGGTACAACAACTACCTACGCAGAGACCCTCCAGGGCTCCTCCCAACCCTCAGACCCTCCAACTCGACCATCCATCCCCTTCCTCCTCCTCCCCGTCCGTCTTCTTCTTCTTCACTGCGACGACTACTCCGCACGAACTTCCCTTTACTTCACATCCGCTGCGTTGCCCTCGTCAACAGCGCCACGCCCGCACCCGCGCCCTCGTCTACGCCTACGCCAACGACAGCGCCAACCCTCACCGGCGTTCAAGCCATCGGCCTCAAAAGGTCCGCGGACAAGTCTCCCTGTCCGCCCTCTCCCAGCAGCGTCCCTCCGTCCCCCTCTCAATAACTACACCAATACGCCCACCGCCCACCGCCGCCGCCAAGTCGCCAGTCCCCCTTCCCGAAGCTGCCTGGTGCTTCCTCCCGCCAGCCACCACCTCCACGACTTGTTACTTGTCAACTACCTCGACCGACGACATCCCCAAAAGCGACCGATCGCCCCAACTGCACTATCGAGCCGATCTCGCCCGCAGTTCCGCCGCCGCCAGTTCAGAACCCACCTTAGAGGTCCAGACCCAGACCGACTGCCAAAGGGTGCCACAGTTCAACTGCCGCCCAGCCTCTCTCGTCTACGGTCCCCTCTCTGCCTCCCCTCCGTTTCCTCCCTTTGGCTCTTTGGCTCCAGGTTCAGGTTCAAGTCGCACAGTCTGAGTTGCAGCCCGAGTCACAGCGGCTCCGTCGTCCTTCCCCCCTCCTTCTCCAGCCTGCCGTCCTCCCTCGACCCTACCTTACTCCCCCTACTGCATACTACGTACAGTGCACCCGGCGCATAATCACCACGGCGCTCCGACTCCACTCTTGCTCGCCCTGGCCTCGAATCTCAGCATGGTGCTTTGCTACCAGTCACGATAATTCTACGTCGTCCTCCGCATCGAGACATCCACGATGGGCAACGGCCAAGGAAAGCCCGTCGACCTCAATGGCGAAGGTACGTGAATCGACGTCTCCATCTCCATCTCCATCCCAATCCGCAGTCCGACCCCTCGCCTCGCCTCGCCGCTCCAGCTCCACGCCAACCATCCTGTCTCCCACGTGTGCCGTGCATGGTGCGGCGTCCTTCCCGCCCTCGCCCCCCCGCCAATTGACGAGAGGATTGCGAGTCCCAGTAACAACGACATGCCGACACGGCACGATGGATGATAATCGCCAGCCGTCTTGTTGAATCACGCTGACTCCCGCCTCTGCAGTAAACCTCAATCATTTCCGCCTCTTGCGTGTCGTCGGCCGAGGCGCCTTCGGAAAGGTGCGCATCGTCGAGCGCAAAGACACCAACCTGGCATTTGCCCTCAAGTACATCCGCAAAGATGAAGGTACGCCGCTGCATCGATCCCCTCCTTCGTCCTACCGAACTTCCTCGACTCCTGTCGCACGCTTCTTGTCTCCGACCATGTCTTGTCCCTCCCACGGAGCGCCTGTCCCTGGTCACACAGTCTGTTTGCTCCGAGACTAATCCTGCCTTCCACAACTACAGTCGTACGATCCGAGAGCGTCCGCAACATCATTCGCGAGCGCCGAATGCTCGAATACGTCAACCATCCCTTCATTTGTAACTTGAGATACAGCTTCCAAGATATCGAGTACATGTACGGCCCCTACCGACCCCCGCAGAGGCTTGTTCTGTTCGTAGCTCACAAGTAGTAACAGGTACCTTGTGGTCGATTTGATGAGTGGTGGCGATCTGCGATTCCACATCTCAAGGAAGACCTTCACCGAGGAGGCCGTCAGGTTCTGGATCGCCGAGCTGGGCTGTGCCCTGAGGTATATTCACGCCCAGAACATCATCCACAGAGATGTCAAGCCGGATAACGTCCTCCTGGACGCCGATGGCCATGTCCATTTGACCGATTTCGTACGTCTGCATCCCTATCGTCTCTCGGACAACCTACTGACTGGAAGCTAGAATGTTGCCTCGGACGTTGTCGTTGGCAGGACTTTGACGAGCAAATCTGGTACCCTCGCCTATCTTGCCCCCGAGGTATATGCTGGAAAGGGATACGATGTTCGTGCGGATTGGTGGTCACTGGGTGTTCTGTTCTACGAGTGCATCTACAACAAGGTATGTTCGAAATGTCTGCTCTGTATGAGGCAGCACCACTCCCGAGTTTGCTCGCGTACCTGATTGACATGGCTCACACGACGATAGCGACCCTTTGATGGAGGCTCCGAAGGCTCTCTCAGCTCGCAAATCCAGGCCGCTAATCCCAAGTACCCCGTCACCCAACCTCCTGTCTCACTAGCCTGCCTCTATGCCATCGGCTCCGCCCTCGACCCCAACCGAGAGAAACGCATGGGATCCACATGGGAGAGCTTTATTCATCACGAATTCTTCAAGGTTTTTGACTTCGATCACCTTGAGCAGAAGCGTATTGAGCCCATTTTCGTCCCCTCCTCCGAGAAGACCAACTTCGACGCCACATATGATCTGGAAGAGTTACTTCTTGAGGAGGCGCCTCTTGAGGCTCGGGCTAGGCGCCAGAAGCCCAGAGAGCGTCTAAAGGATGATGCAACTGACAAGGAGATTCGAGAGGATGAGCTTTACCGAATGATTGAGACCGACTTCCGGCCCTTCGACTACACTGTGGCCGCATATATGAAGTAAGATGAATTGTTTCTTGGATACCTCGTACTTGTGCTAACATCAACAGGATTACGGAAGCTGCCGAAGGGCTCAATGAAGAAGCCCACGCTCAAGCCCACCCCGAACATGACCAAACTCCCCAAGCCATCACGACCGATGAGGCAACACCCATGCCGGCAACGAATGGGTCATACCAATCATCTCCTCTAAACCCCAGCACCAGCAACGAGAGCAGGCAAGGCCGCCCAGTTCGACCGGCTCCTCCTCCTCCGCCCTACCAGAACGACTTCCGCGCTCGACACCACCCCATTATCGCCGGTCAACGTGTGACAAGTCCCACTGGAGGTGTTCAGGTGACACTTGATGGAGGCGGTAGCTGGTCTGAGTTGGCGCGCCAGGACGCCACCCTACCCACCGATGCCAACAGCACCGGCGATGGCAAGAATGAGGGCTCAGGTGGCATGTTTGGATTCCTGAAATCCAAGAAGGGCCGGACTAACAGCCCGAAACCTAAGGAGAGAGGTGTACTGGGCAAGGAAGGCGCAAGAGTTGTCATCGGCTAGAAGGGGATCGCGGCTCACTATGGCTCATTGCGTATCGGCGACGATGGATTGATACCCGGTCTTACGACATGTCGCCTGAGGATGGATGGAGTTGGTGGTTCCCCTGCCGACAGATGCCCGCAATCAGTCGACAGACACAGCACAGCTCCCGTGGTATTATTATAAGGATTGAGTCCCAGCAACATTTATTATCACGAAGTCCCGGATGCGTGGATGATCTACCCACTCGAAGGGCAAGGAATAGAGAGCCCGACAGGGGGAATGAGAAGAAGAGATGAACGACGAGCAACGACCCCCATCTCATTCATCGATACGGCGTTCGGTCATGGTTTACGGCTGCACGCCGCGCCACTCAAGGCTAGAAAGAGACTATCTTCACATGGAGCAGCTGCCGATTTGTTTACAGAAGTCGGAAGACATCAGAGACACGGCATATACGACGCTGTTTATCCATCCCGGACATCTATACACATACATACATCACGATGTACTGTAACACAGCGGCGTTCTTCATCAGATGGGAACCTTTGTCCTGTATTTTTTCTCTACTTTGTTGCCAGGTTGCATGTCTGCACGTTCTGAGTTGAATCATCACATAGCTAGCCGTTTGGGACGTAGTAGACAGGCAGAAAGAGGCGGGACATGGAAAGAAAGGGAGGGAGGCAACGTCGTCTGCTGCAATTTTTTGTTGATCTATTTGATCTTGAAAGCTCATTAGGAATAATACCCCTTTTCAAACTTGAAGTACCGAGACTATCATTTCTTAATTGTCATGTGATCTTATTGAGATGTTCTGACTTGCGTGTCTAGATGCCATGGAGAATGCTATAAAGATGTACAGTCAAAGGCGGGAAAGGCTATTGCATTTCGGAACCATCCACACGGAACCTTGACGCATGTAGGTTTACAGGGGTTTGTCAAGGCTCGGTATCACTCTAACCGGGTTTGTGCGGTATAGGGATGTCAAGTGAAGGACTCTTTATGATTTTCTGTAGAATAGCGCTTGTATGGGAGATTATTCCTAAACTCTTGTCTCCCGTGTCCTTTCTGATGTACACACGATTGGTATTGTCATTGGTACTAACGTACATGACGATCCTGATTAACAGATCACTGTCGTTATCCTAGCACCCCTCTTCCCTCATCCAACTTTGCTTTACCGCGCTCCCACCCGTTAATTCGAAACTCATCACTCAAAAACTCGTGGCGAAAGCAGTATAGCTCCGAGAGGAAATAAAAACAGCAACAAAGCCAAAAGAATGAATGAGACGATCCCCAAATCATAAAGTGGCAAAAGAAAACCTCCCCCCAGATATCGTAACATCTGATCATTTGGTTCCATTGACGGCGAATGCGTGCGAGATGCCGTCTGTAGCCAACTCTCCCTTCCTGGGGTACGATATAAAATCCCGCCATTTGTCCATAAAAACGAAAACAAAGCATCAAATGTGTTTTCCGAACCCGTCCTTTCTGTTGTAAACGCCATGGCCCTTTGTTTGCTCCCGTTACGAGGGTAGCTTGTATTGTACAGCCATCCATCGAGTATATCAACTTCATGGATCATCGCTTTATACTCGTGGCCGACGGAAGGATTCGGACCTTGTCATCTGACTTGATCTCGACGCCAAGTTGTTCCGCGACACAACTCTTTGAAACCTCTTTACCCATGTATTTGGCCAAGATGGTATCAAAGTCAGTCTCTCCAACCACGGGCCCAGTACCTGAACACTTGGCCTTCTTGGTGAGTTCTGAACAGAGACCGTCAAGGTCAAACTCGCCGTTCTGGGCCTTCGGACAGGATTGAAGCTTCTCCCTGTAAAAGTGATTAGTATCTGACACGCATGATTTCGTTTTTGCCGAGACATACCAAAGCTCATTGCAGTTCATGTTCTGCTTCTTGGCGAGAGGTCCATCATCCATGTTTTGCTGAGCATCAATCTCTTCAATGAGATTCTTCTTGTGGGCGGGCGCATTCTTGGCGACGTTGGGACTAGGAGCCACATTGTAGGGCGTGAAGAAATCTGTATCAATGGCGTCGTTGAAGAAGTCATCGAAAGATGGGTTGGATAGGACATTCTCCTGGGGTTCACGGTAGTCGCCGAAGAGCTGAGGGTCGAACTGGCCACCATTCTGTTGAGCGAGCCAGTCGAAGTTAGTGCTGCTCAAGTCGACATTGGAGAATCGCGAGACGGGCTCGCCGTTGGAGACGGATGGATGCTCCTCGCCAATGGTAGTGAGGGTCTCCACGGGTTTAAAGCCCATGGGAGACTGTGTAAAAGGCTCAGGGGAGGTGCCGCAGGATGAGCTAGGGCCTGTATTGGAGTGAGAGGATGCCGAAGGGGAGCTCGTGGCACCGCCGACACTGTAGTTGGCGGAGTCAAGGCTCGCTCGTGAGACATTGGTGGCGGAGCTAGACATTGAGGGGCTGAAGATACCAGAGAACTTGGAAAGATCGTCCTTGTACTGCATCTGCGGCGAATCGTTGCCGTTTGTCAGGCCGTTTGAGGGCGTCGTGGCTGAGACCTGCTGATGCGGGCTGGTGGGTTGAGAGCCAGATTTCTGCGGCTTGTTGGTGGTAAGAGGACCCGGCAGCATGCCGAACTTGGGAAATTCGAATTGGAAGTTGACGTCGCTGAGGTTGTTGACGGCAGCATTGCCGAAAGGGACCTTCTCACGGGGAATGGCCTTGGGATTTGTCATCAGGGTGACTCTCGACTTGTACTGATTGAGTTCGGATGTCATCCGATCAACCTGGGCACGCAGCCGGCTGTTCTCGTGGTTGGCGGCCTCGGATGCCTTCTCCAGCTCTTCGACCTTGGTCTCGAGGTCCTTGAGATGCCTCTCCTTGCGTTCTCTGAAAGCACGCTGGGCCGCTCGGTTCTGAGCCTTGCGCTTCTGTAAGGTGGATTAGTAATTGAACTTGAATCAAGTTACAAGAACGGGAGCAGAAGGAGGCGTACCGAACTGGGTTCCGAGGTGAGAGGCTTGCGGCCAGGCTTCTTGGGGACTTTTTCAGTGCTCTCGCGGCGTTTGGGGTCGTTTCCAGGGCTGTCCTCGTCATCCTCATCATCAGGATGACTGCGCTTCTCATTGCCCTCATTCTCTGTGGAGTCCGACCTGACGGTAGCAGCGGTAGGAATATCTCCGATCATCCTGGCCTGTTCGTCGGCGTTGGTAGCGAAAGAGAAATCGAAGCTGGAGTCGCCAAAGTCGTAGTCGTAGTTGTCGAGGTAGGGACTCTCCTGGTAGGCATGGTTTTGGGAAGACTTGGACCGCATGGGGGAATTCTCAAAGGAAGTTGGCGAGAGGGACAGCGCATTGTGGACGGGCGAGCCAGAGGCCTGTGGCTGCTGCTGCTGCTGCTGCTGCTTGTTGGAGTTGAGGGCAGCGAAGAGCAGGCCCTGCTGTTGCGGGGTCAAGAGGAAGTTTGGTGGCAAGGTGCCGCCAGCGCCAGTGGAAGCCATCGCGAAGGAATTAAGCGGTGGGGAGTGCAAGCGGGGACGATGCGAGGGCAGTCGCGAGACGTGGCGAGAAGGAGGGAGGAGGGAGATGGCGAGGGCGAGGGCAGGATATCAAAGCAAGCTCTCTGCCGTCCGGAGGCTCGGGGGAGGGGGCAAAGAGCCTGAGATGCGGCGACGTCGGAGTAGGCGGGCGCCGGAACGGTGGCGGCAAGGCGAGAGTGAAGCGCAGAGACGTAGAATCAGACGAGGGTTAAAACGGTGATGGCGAGTCCCGAGGGGACGATAGATGGGTGAGGAAACAGAACACACTGTCCGGCAAGGCAAGTGAGATTGGTGATGTCAAGTGGCCAAGTTGGATGATGAAATGGTTGCGATTGCCTGTGTCAGGCGGGATCGAGCGAGGCCCAGGTGAGTTTGGCAGGGCGGCGGGGGTTGTGCTTTGGCTGTGCTCCAGCGGGCAGCGCGCGGCAGGGGGGGCGTCTTAGTTAGGTAGGAGGTATTCTAGGTACAGTGAGCGTCCCACTGTACTGGGTTGCAAAAGCCACTGTAGGTACGTAGGCCCCGTCTGCCCCGTAATGGCGCCTCAGGCGGATGGCCGGCCGGGAGTCGCAGGGCGGCAGCGTCACAGCGTCGCACTATTGATGACAGGCTAGGTAGGCAGGCTGGGCGTGCAGGACGACCACGAGTGGGGGTTGAAAACGAGAAATGTGTTCAAAATTTGCTGCCTGAGTCACCAAAAACGGTTCTAGGTGCTTCTGCGCAGCGAGGGAGGTTGGTGCTTGAAGAACGTGCATATTACGCAGTAGCGAGCAGCTGATGGGAGGTGGAGGCGGATGGAAGAGCCATCATTGTCCATTTGTCAGCCGGAGTCATTGGCGCCGCATTGGTGCCGGCGAAGGAGCAGCGCACGATCCCTTTGGAATCAAAATCCCCATCCTGGGAAGAGCGCCCCCTCCACCCCAATCAACCCGCCAGTCAGCTCATTGCTCACTCCGTTACTCCGTTACTCCGTCACTCGTGCACCTGTTGACACGGAGTTGCGGCGCCTCATCGTTACTTTGGTACCTGCCGGCATTATGGAGAAAGGCTCTCGGCGACCACGGTCCATGCAGTGTAGAGTAACACGAAACGAAACCAAGACCAGGCCAAGACCGCCATCACCGAGAATCACCAGCAAAGGCCACCATCTAGCCAAAGGACCCTGCTCACCGCAGCCTGCATCATCCCATCCATTGGCCCGTCGTCATACCGACATGCCACACGCAAACCACGCTCGGTAATCCCGGTTCTGGCTTGAGTCGCTATTAATTGACACGCCTACGCCCTTCCATGCCCGGCTCTAGATTCCTGGGGTCCTCCCTCTCGCCTCTCGCCTCTCGCCTTTCCCGTCCATCACGGGCCATGCGTCCGTCCCTATCTGCCCATTAACCCACCCTGGCATTAAAACCGCATGGCTTGGTTCTTCCGACGACTCGACTTCTCCATCCTCGATCAGGCTCTCTAGTCCACGATGCACGGCCCTTACGAGTTCGAAACCATGACGTCTTCAGCAAACTCGACGTCTTGCAAGCTTCCATGCTGCACTTGATCAAAGCCATTTCGCGTGGCATTGGCACGGTTACCTGCAGCCATCGACGTCCATTCCTCGACCCGTCTCCCGAAACCTTCTCCAGCCTGACCGGCCCGTGAATCTGGACTTGGGGACGGTCTACCTTGTGCTACTAACCCTGGAAAGTCTCTTGTCAGCCACTTGCTTAGCGAAGGAACCAGCCCCGCGATATCTCCTTATCACCGAAACGCCCCCCAAAACGCCTCCCTATGCGCTATCCTTGACTTCCCCGCCCTCCCGGATTTAGACGGTCCCTCGGAGTTTGCCACCGCATGCATGACATTCTCGACAACGGCCAATTGGCACATTTCCAACATTTCGGGCGGGTTGGACACTCCGGTTACCGAAAACTCCGGTTCCCAACAGCACCCTTTGGTTGCTAGGCTGAACCCGATAGGCCTGGTGCGTATCGCCAGCATGCAACTCTTTTTGGCCGAGGCAACTTCGCCAACGTTCCCGAGCCTCACCCTGGCGCAAATGACAGTCCGGCTGAAAGCGACTGTGATGCACGTTGGGCACAAGTTGGAATTGACCATGATATTGAGAGCATTGTCCCTCATTGCTGGCTATTGCATGCTTCGTTCGAGCTTTGGACGTGGCCACGTAACCTTCTCCGCCCTTGCCGTCGTGAAAACACTTGATATGAAAATTACAGTAATGCCACAGTTTTGCCTGTGATTATGCTCTCGAGATGAGCCCTCTTTTCGCCTGGATAGTCTTAAGTCGACTATAACATCTAACCTGTTTCATAAATACTCCAACAATTCATTCGATCATTTTGTTGGTTCATAACGGGTTCCTGGATTTCTATGGATACCAACGCCCCGTGGTCCAATCGTACGTGTCACCGAGCTGCAAGCATGCTGAATCATCAGTGAGATTCGTCATGTTCTGAAGCTCAGAACTCGAAACGATTCCCATGTGTTGAACTACCATTCACATTATTATGGTTGAGAAGGAGAATGCTCGATACTGATATGAGTTCATCAAAAGTTGGTATTGGCCGCTATCTATTGATTGAGCCTAATGGATCCATTTCATTCGCCATCTCCATTCAACGCCATCCCATTATTCGTGTAATACGAGGTTACTTAGTTCTTGGCAATTTCCTTGTGAACCTCAGCCTTGTTCTCGTGGGTGGTCTGATCGATCTTGTCGCCGACAGCGTCGATGGCAGCATTGGCACTGTACTGTGTGTTAGATGCTGTTCTGTTCGACTATGATCAAATGTTGAACTTACCGAGTGCCGATGGGAGCATTGCTGTCCTTAGCAACCTCCTTGTTGGCCTCCTTGCTGACACCAGAAGTGGCGCCCTGGACGGTCTCAGCGACGTAGTTGAAAGCTTGCTTGGCGGTCTCCATTGTGAAGGTAGTGGTGGATGTAGTAGTGAGTTGTTTGAAAGGTGCTTGTGAGGATTGATTGATTGAAGTGTTGATGTGTCGATGAAGAAGAAAAAGAGAGAGAACGTGGGATGTCTAGGGGTTAAAATAGGCAAGTTGATCTCCCAATGTTTCACTTAGAGCTTGCGATGGGGATGGGATCTCACATGTTGAGGATCTGTGGTGGTCGAAACGTGGAGGTACTGTCTGTTAGATGATCCATAGGCTAGAAGGCAATTTGGGTTGATCCTACTATCATTCAGAACTTTGGCACCGCCAATTGAGAGACATTGTCAAAAGTGGTGACGTCAGAGAAGGTTTTCGTGACAGACAGTGTTGGGCTGGCTACGTCATTGGACCCCACGGTGGCTTTGCATGGAGGATCCCCGCTATAGAAGGGTAGCCTCTTAGGATTCACGGGAATGATCTCGGAGTATAAGCTTGTCGTGCCAGGCACCGTTTCCGGAGCGATTCGATCGTAGTGATTGGGCGACTTCATTGATCCAAGATCCGGGGAGTGTTGGTGAGGCTACGGACGACACCAGCGATCAACAAGGGGCTCCACTCTATCAGGGCCGCCCGTGTGGTTGGCTAGAAAATGCTCCGCCGACGCATCATGACAGCATCACTCTGTCTGTGGCTTGACTGGGAGCATCCGAGCCACTTCCGCTTCAGGTGGTTGCAACTTGTGAGGTTATTTCTTTGTCCACTAGCATTGTGCTGTCATCGAGATCGCCGTCAGGGTGATGCTGAACATGGGTACTGCCGTACTTGCGTAGCTGAGCGAGAGACTTCTGACGTCAATGATGCCACTTGGGGTCTGTGGCTGGTATCTTGTGCATGCCATCACCGGGATGAGAGAATCAAACAGGGTTCTTACAAACACGTGGAGTGTCCTACTGACTCGGGGTCCAAATCACCCGAATCCATGAAGGGTCCAGAGGGGTCATTCCCCCACCTGATATCCCTTAACCCTTTCCAAACCGTCTTACATGGATCGAACCTGCGAGAAACAAGCTTATGCCGAGCTCTCGCCAAGTACTCTTGATCACTTGGCTATTGTCGTTCAGACATGGAACTCCCTTGGCAAGGGTTCAACCCCAGTGCCCCTTTATGAGTGTGTTTGCCAGGATGAAGGCGGCTGCCAACATGTAAACCTAGAAAAAACAATACATGTGAGGAGTATAAGGAGGTCTTGAATTCTTCGGTTACCATTAGTCACAGATAACAGGAACTAGGAATTCAAGCCAACCAACGTAGAAATAGAAGTGACTATGACTACCATGAACGATCAGACCAGCCACTAGACATGTTCTCTGCACTTGCATAGCAACCTTTACAATCAAGGGATTGAACACTTTGCGACTTGTGAAGTTGGTGTCGCCTCTTATCCACTCTCGGTAACTGGCTTGTGATAGGCTGGTGCTAGGCATGGTGGTTAGCTGATACGTTCGCACTCCTCCATATGTTAGAGAGAATCAGATGGCTAGGACCGAGATCCCCTTCTAAATTGTAAATTGGTAATCAGTCTCAAGGTGAATGCATGTCAAGGATGCAGGTTTAGATGTGGTCGCGTGCGATGGAAACGTCGTCGCGGCAGTCACGTGAAGATGATCCTGGCCTGTGCTCCGGCCCCACTGAACCCCGCGATGCCCGGTCAGGAGGTGAGTCTCCATGGTCGGTCAACGTCTCGGATTCAAGGGAGACGGCGCCACAGCTCAAGCTCGACATCCTCCGGAACGCTCTCCTACGACCTCGATTTGTTTTTGAAAGGGGGTGTATAAAGCACCGGGACACTAATTTCATTATATTTCGTCGTTGCGGATAACCAGCCGTCATGGATCTTGCCTACGACCACATCCAGGAGGATGCCTATGCCAAAAAGGAACAGCCCGATGCCAAAGATGGCTCCAAGCCGGAAGAGAGCCACTCTACTCTGAACGATGACTTCCAGGAAGCTTACAAGGCCTTCTCCAACAGCCCATGGGGTGCCAAGCTTGGTGGGTTCTTTGGTAATGTGGTTAAGCAGGTGTGCTAGTCCCTACTGAGCTGCTGATAGTGTCTCTAACATTCCCAGGGAGGAGAAGTCGTCACCCAAGCTCAGAAGGAGCTGGCCGAAGTGGGTGAGGATGCAACCAAGGGGCTTACCGACCTTCGAGCATCGCTGATTAGCCATACTCGAAATCTTTCCCTGACCGTCCCGGCGGTTGTTGCCGGAAGCTCCAAGGACGCAGAGGATGGAGGGACGACACCAACAGCGACCAGAGGAGGAGATAGCATGGCAGAAGGTTCCCAGGAGTCCGAAACCGTGCTCTCCCGACTTCGCGCCGAAGCTGCGAAGCGACTCAAAGACATACAGAAGGCCGAGGATGCCGCAGACGAGGCCCTCCTCCGCTTTGGCAGCAATGTCCGAAACTATCTCCGCGACGCAGTCAGCGTATCCGCACCAGACGCAAACGACCAGAGCGGGACGGTGCTCTTTGAGAGCAAGGATGCACAGGGCAAGAGGGTGATCCACGCCTCAAGATTCGATGCTCAACTGCATGTGATACACACTACGACGGAGAGCTTCAACAAGGACCCGAGCGGTTCTGAATATGATTTATGGACAAAGGAGTTTGACGTCGACAAGAAGACGCCCGACATCAACACGGATTTGCAGAAATACCCTGACTTGCGAGCTACCATGGAGAAGCTGGTTCCCGATCAAATTCCCTACGCCGATTTCTGGAAGCGCTACTACTTCCTTCGTCATGGCATTGAGACGGCCGATGCTAGGCGACGAGATCTCCTCAAAGGTGAGCTGCCGCTAGGATTTACTGACATGCATATGCTAACAGATTCGCAGCCGCCTCCGCCGAGGATGATGTTAAATGGGATGATGATGATTCCGACGAAGAGGCTGACGAAGAGGCTGACGAAGAGTCCGACGAGGAGGAGTCCGACGAAGACGATTCCGATGAAGAAGAGTCCGACGACGAGTCCGACGGTAAACCTGCCGCCACCCCCGCTCCCGCTCCCGCTGCCGCTCCCGTTCCTGTCCCCGCCAAGGCCAAGCCTGCTGTTGTCAAGACCGCTTCCGCGGCATCGTCGACTACCATCCACCCCCCAGCCAAGAACCTCTTGAAGCCAGCCGAATCGCGAAAGTCCAACGATGAGAAGTCCCAGGCCGATAGCGAAGCTAGCTACGATGTCGTTGGCGCAACATCGGGCAAGACGACCCAAACCCCCAACAGCCCTAAGGACTCGAAGAAGGACGAGGAAGATGACAGTGATGATGACAGCGACGCTGACTGGGAATAGAGCCTGGGGGAACCTTGAAGGGAGGTTGAATGGAGCATTGTATATGTGAGATGATGGGAGAGTGTCGTTCGTCCGGCTGGTCGGCGTTCGGTATAGTGACACCCAAAGTGGCAGTTTGAAATAGCCACGAGCCTTGTATCTTTGTTTTGGGTATCAATATCAGGGATCCATGATATTTACTCGCTGCCATGTCTCGGTCAACTCTTGTTGAGCCCGACATTTACCTCTTCTTGGTGACCATGGTAAAGCCATCCTCGTCGACCTGAGGTTCCTGCTTCTGCTTGGGTGCCACTAGCTGGGGAGCGTCGTCCATCTCAACGTCAGCGCCTTCATCCTCATCGTCCGAGTCGTCACTCTCCCAGTCCGTGTCCTGGTCGGCATCATCGGCTTTCTTGAACATCTGGTCCACCTTGGTTCCGTTGCGGTTCATGAACCGGGTCCTCAAGGCGTCGACGTCGTCGAACTGGCCAATGGCGCATCCGGCGCGCACCTTCATGATGTTGGTGGCAACCTCTGTGCCAGAATCGTCGTCGACGTTGACCTCGAACTCGTCAACCATGATTTGGAGCAGCATAGTCTCGACATCCTCCAAGTCGGGCTCCTCGACGGCCTTGGCGAGCGGTGTGTCGACAAACTCGGGGAACAGCTCGGCGATGGCGCCAGCAAACCAGTCGCGCTTGTCGGCGGAGTCGGGGCCGCCCCATTGGTTCTGGACGGAGAGGGTGAGGGCCGGCCAGAGGTGGAGGGCGTAGGCAACGCCCTGCTCGAAGTTGGACTGGCGGGTCGCTGTCCGAGTTGTAGGCATTAGCGGTCATCATATGGACAGAACGGCCTCTGAAGAAGAGAGAAAAAATACATACCCGCTGGGGGCAGCTGTGCGGGCTCTGAGGACGCCATGGTTGGTGATGGTCCGGTGGTTTAGAGTGGTATGGAGGGGTTTGGAGGGGCAATTTGGGGGATATGGGTAGCCTGTGCACAATTTTTTTGGTGTTGACAATCCCACACAAACGAATCCACAATCCGCACTGCTACGCGCACGGGCCACCGAGCTCCTTTAGCACCGTAATTCTGCCCATGCCAATGCCAAGTCTGCATGCAATACCGGGACGAATACCGGGACGCGGATCTTGATGCTTCCGTCCCGAATTATAGCAAATCAGGGGTACCTCTAAACGAGTGCCAACGTATGTTTAGCCTGTTCGGTAGGACACATGACATCATGGGTCCGTCCCCTAGTGAGCCCAACCGCACTGGAACGCTGGGCAACTTAAGGTTCCGGGCAGGCGTTCCTACCCCTTCTGGCAGTTCTTGAGGAGTTGCCGGTCCCGTCAGCTCATATACTCAACTTCATGGAAGCACGGCAGCCAGCTTGATGGCACGTCTTGCAAATATCCAGAGTACAGCGCAGCCATGAACTCGCTCAACACCACGTCCGTCTCCTTGGCTGTGACGCCGACCGTCGTCTCGACCTTATTCTCACATGTACGTACACCATTGGCCGCGCGCACATGGCACCAAGCTGCAGAGAGCTGTGACTCCAGCTCTCGTGAAACAAGCTTCCCTACCCCTGCTCATTCGATTATATCTTCTCTGGGCGTGCAGCTAATGTGGCGATAATCCGCAGTACCTAAACAGGAAGCCCCTGAAGGAGCGTCCCACGGCGCATCTCTCATACGACGAGGGTCTCCATCTTATCCGATCGTTCCTTGAGTTTGCCTCGCATCACACGGTCGAAGAGCTCCAGGCCTTTACAGCACAATGGGTGCCGCACCCGCAATGGGTCAAGGTCGAGGATGTCACCATCTCCGATGATCAATTGAGCCGCGCGGCCGAGGTGCTACAAGCCCAGCTAGGCCCGGATGGCATTCGACAGGTTGGAGGGCCCAAGTGGTGGCAGTGGCGCAAGTCCAAGAGCAACTTGGAGGCCCAGTGGATTGAGATGCGCTCCGATGCGTACGAGCGGAAGAAGCAGGGCGGCAACTGCAGGCGTGTCATGATGTACATCCATGGCGGTGCCTACTTCTTTGGCAGTGTCGACGAACATCGGTACCAGATGCAACGACACGCCCGCAAGCTCAAGGCCCGCGTATTTGCACCTCGTTATCGACTCGCCCCTCAATTCCCCTTCCCGTGTGGCCTGCAGGATTGTCTAGCAGCGTATCTTCACCTCTTGACAGTTCAAGATCCCGATACTATAGTGCTAGCGGGTGATTCTGCCGGAGGCGGCATGGTCGTGTCGTTGCTCTGTGTGCTTAGAGACCAAGGGCTTCCGCTACCCGCCGGTGCTATCCTCATCAGCCCTTGGGTCGACTTGACGCACTCTTTCCCAAGCGTTTCCAATGATGCTCCGCTGGATTACATCCCTCAAGCTGGGTTTCATCACAAACCTTCCAGGGCCTGGCCACCTCCTAACGAAGATGAAATTGCCATACTGAGAGATGAAGCTCTAAAAAAGAAGAAGGGCAAAACCAAGGGAGACACAGGAACCCAAGAGCTCAAGGAGAAACAGCAGGCCCCCATTGCAGAAGGGAACGGGTCTCCCAGCTTGGCCAGTTCTAGATCAGCCTGGATCAATGGTGGAGCCCCTACCGACCCCGCGCAGCTTCTGTCTGTTGAAATTGATGGCAAGCTGATCAAAATTAAGGATCAGATTCAGGTATGCCGTCTTTCGCAAGTACCAAAGACCACAATTAACTGGACTAGATGTACACAACCAATGAGCTTCTTGCTCATCCTCTTGTCAGCCCGATCATGCAGCCAACCCTTGGAGGACTCCCACCGCTGCTTATCATGGTTGGAGGAGGAGAGATTCTCCGTGATGAACAAATTCACCTGGCTCACAAGTGCGCCAATCCCGAAAAGTATGCCCTGCCAGATGAGACCATGGATGAAAAGGCAAAGGCGTTGTTGAAGCGATACGAGCCGACAGATGTGCAGCTTCAAGTGTGGGATGACCTCTGCCATGTGGCCCCTACACTTAGCTTCACTCGTCCTGCCAAGTACATGTATCGATCCATTGCCCAGTTCGGCGCTTGGGCACTCGCAAGAGCCCAGAAGCGAGGGATTGAAATCATGGACGATGATGCGATATCGGTTATATCCTCCTCGGGCTCAGAAACAGAACACGAGGAACAGGGCAGTGCAGGAGGGAATGTTGAGGGTGAAATCGCCAGCGCTGATCCTGGCCATGTTGGAAAGGCCGGAGACCCTCTTCCTGCGTTCAAGAACCACATGATTCGACAGAAGGTAACCCGGCATGGTGCTACTTTACCTCTCGATCCCGAGTCTGAGCTGCCTGGCTGTACTATATCAACCAATTCTGTTGGTCTCGTTAAGGAGGGGACCGTAAAGAAGTGGCTGGAAACGAAGCAGCAAAGGGAAATCCGATATGCCACCTCAAAGGCCAAGGTCCACAAGAAGATCGTCAAGGACATGGTAGCGGGATATCATGATTTTGGCCTCGGAGAATATCCCCCTCCCAGCGCATTGGCTGGACGGAGAAGAGCTGATTCGGAGATGGTTGAGGGCAAGAAACACAAGAGCTTGGGACTGGCTATTTGGTCACTCTGGGGTTCAAAGCACGATGAGATGACAGTTGAGCGCGAACAGAAGGCAGAAAAGGCCAACGAAGAACCAGACGTCCAAGTTGCGATGCCAGACCATGGCGAAGGCGCACGCTCGTTTGCTGACATTGAAAAACAAGAGCAGCAACACCCCAGGGTACCAATTTCACGGGGTCGTTCACATCGCAGGACGGTTTTCAATGAGAACCAGACGGGCAGCATCGTGGTGGATGAGGACACTCCCGTGGCGCAGCTCCTGGAACTGCGACGAGAAAAGGAGGCAGCTGGCCTCTTAAACCCCGACTACGTACCCGAAACTGGAGTGGTAGGAAAGCGTCCGTTCCTAGACGGAATCGCGTTGCCATTCAGTCTTAATAAGGAGGCCGACACTGCCAGCATGATGACCCTTTACTCTGATACAGCTACCCCGCTTCCAGGATCGCGACCAATGAGTCCAGATGCTTTGAGCAACGCCTCTGAGCAACCGATAAAGCAAAGTGGCCTTGCGAATGAGGTGGAGTCATCAACACCAGCCCTTGAGCGGCCAGGGCTGGAAACATTCGTTACGGCAGTAGAGAGCTTGCCCCAGGCAAAAAGAGCGGATGAGTAGGAGGGTATGTAATAAAACTTTGGCATTATGTGTAGAATTGGGCCAGATTGCTTTGGTATAAGAGGGGCAGGATATCTCGAGCGTATAACCGATACCAGTGATAGTTCATAATAATTTTACAGGACAATTTCATCCAACTTGGTGTTTGGAATTGAGTACATATCATACATTGTGGTATTGTACATGGGTATATACAGCCACGCTAGAGGTCCCCAAATTCGATCCTCGAGCGCATTCATGTTCGTTTATAATCCGTAGGAGCATCCACCTCGTGCCGATAAACGCATATTGGTTGGTCGGAGTCGCTTAGTCCACGCCATTGTATCGCTTCCACTGTTCGACGTAGAATTGGGGGTCTTGAGGGCCCTTCTCGAGGCCCTGGTAGTCACCCTTCTGTGCCTTGATTTCCCGGCTCACGAAGGGAGTAAGCTGTTCCAGTAGTCAGTATCCTGTACCCCTACCGCCTCAATTATGCCGGCATCAACCCACCTTGAAATCTTTCAGGTTCTGCGGCACAGCATATGTCCGGACTTTGTTCCACTCGATCACATAGCCTCCGTACTTGGTATGCCGACCCATTGATCCAGTGCGGTTACCCTTGTAGTAGCCTTTGGCGACATCCTTGGTGGTGAGCTTCAGATGGCGGTAGCGGCCGACGGAGAGGAATTGTGTAGGTCTCATGGCGGCGGCGGGGGCTCAGCGCAATACCGGTCCGGTTGTGGGTGCGCCGGTAGGCGAGGGTAGGCGATCGGGGGGGAGAGGCTCGTCGAGGGTCGGTTCGTCGTCAGTTAATGCCGAGAGTCGCAGCGTATCGTGCATCTCGAATTTTTGGAGTGTCGGCGGTTCGTGTTGTTCCGATTCCGGGTTAGCTCCGGGCAGCAGGGGTACGGTGCCGCTCAGCTGGCGTGGGATGTTGCGCAGAGGTACCCAGCCATGACATAGTCGGGAGTACCTTTCCAGACTGGTAATTTGTAGCTCGAGGCTGCATTTGCGAGTTTGAACCTTTGAATATCGAAAATAATCGTCGGCGCAGCGTGGTTTCAACATTTTCGGTTATGGGCGACGTAAGCGGCTGGTGTGGTTGAACGAGGGGCAGCCAACTAACGTCTCCAACAGCTCCAACAGCTCTGAATTACCGACAAGACTGACGCAGCGACCCATGCCTTCGAGCTTCCGACGCGACCACCATGGACGGATACCCAGCGGGAAGTCTGGACCACAATGTCCCGTTTCTCGTAGCCGCCGGCCTCAACACTGAGACCAACGAGCTCCCACTGAATGCCGAACTGAGGGACCAGGGCATCCTCCTCCGGTCGGAGCTGCCGCCACTCGAGAGCAAGGAGGCCGAGGTGCTGGGGCAATACTTTGACGAGATCAATGCCCAGGGGAAGTCATGGAGCGGAGTTGAGAGGGAAGAGCCTCACAGGTTTCGGATCAGGACACTGGGAAGGGTACGGCAGTCCTGAACCCTTGCTCTAGATGGTGATGAATCTGACTATGGGACAGTCATTTATTTTCCCGCCTCGACGAGCTCGACTCCCCGAAGATACCGAGCCGCTCAATGTGGCGCCTACGTTGCACTCGCCGTTCTCGCCCCTGAGCCCGGTGTCGACGCTGTATCCCGACGGACTCATCGATGCGCAATGGATCAAGAAGCACCAGGAACTGGTGCCAAGCGTTTACCTCTGCTTCTATACCCTCATAAGCGACCCGACATCAACAACGCTCCATGACAACCATATCAAAGCCGATATCAACAATCTTAAAAGCGCGCTCGCAAGATCGGGATACAAGACTCGACTAGCCGTGGTTCTGCTTGGCGAGAGCGGAGCGCCTCTTTCCTTGACGGATGGGATTGCAGAGAGGCTGGAGAACATTCGAAGGGGAACCGCGATGGATCCGAAATCAGTTTTCTACATTCCACCCCAGGAATCGCCGAGTGAGCTAAAGGGCGTCATCGACAGCATTCTTGGCGTCCTGTATACCTCGGCGGTGGAGTACTATCGCGATCTTGGACGGCATGCTAGGAAGAAGCGGTCCCGTGGCATTGCTCCTCAACCAACGGTACCGCCTACGTCTGGGACATCGCAAACATTATCGCTTTCGGACTGGAACTTTCGATACGACTTCAAGTCTGCCGTCTTCGCCGAGTTTCGACAGGAGACGGATGCTGCGTTGCGATCCTTTGAGCAGGCCTACGAAGTGCTTCTAGGTCAAGATGTGCTAGATATTATTCCTAGCTGGAGTCCACGCTGGAACGAAGCCCGGTTGTTGTCTGATATTGTTGCTATTCGATGCCTGCGATGTCATATGTGGATGGGTCAGACGACACTAGCAGTTCGACGCTGGCAGTCCCATAGAGACCGCATTAGTGACTTTGTTGATCGGCGCGGACGAGGGACGAACAACTATGGATGGCAAGCCTGGGAAGCACGGTGGGCGATAGTTATGGCCAACCTAATCGAGAAGGTCGGAGTGCCAAGCCTAGCTCCTGCGACGATGACTCTCTTCCTTCAACCGGAGAAGGCTGTCCTAGGCGAGCGATTACAACCTTGGGAATTGCTGCACCATACCGGTTATTGGTATCGTATAGCAGCCCGCCATACTGTGGCTCGCCGGAGATTGGCATTCGACATGCCCGAGGAAGACAGAAATCCGCCCGATGCTACGCCTGCGTCGCTGGTGGCGAGCAAGGCATATACCTACGACACGTACATGTGTCCAGAACCATTCCAAGAGTACCCTGTGTCTGGAAGTGGAGTGAACCACTCTCAGCTAATCATCGACTGTCTCGAGAAGGCAACCGCGCAATATCAAGCCCGCAAGCAAGTGCGCATCGCAGCCGAGATATCATTAGATTGTACCAGGGAAATGGCCAACCTAGAGCGGTGGGATGATGCAGCCGAGTTGCTTCGACCACTTTGGGAGGACATGTCTTTTAGGTCCGAAGGCTGGGGCGATATCTCAGAGGAACTGTGTTGGGTCATGCGAAGAGCTGCTGCAGGAGCGGGCCGTGCAGACTTGGTAGTTGCTGCTGACTGGGAACTAATGAACAACCGTACGTATGCAGGGCATATTGTGATTGATTCGTTGCTAACCTTTTCAAAGAGTTCCACCGGCGGCCTCAATGGAGTTATGACATCAGGAGATCCTTGGAAGGAGTCACTACCCCATCCACACCATCGATTAGCCTGTCGGACGACACTACGAGGTCATTCATCTCAGCATCACTCGTCTTCCGGAATAAGGAGGGCAAGGCGGGTGAAACGTGCAGTGCACAGCTTGCCCTCACATCACATACTTTCCTCGACGCCGCTCCATTGTCGCTCGACTCGTTGAAGGTAGAATTCAATGGCAACTTGAAGCCCATCTTGCTTGAGCAAGCGTCGGCAGAAGATGATAAGCCATTAACCCACTCTGGGGTTTCTATCTCTTCAATAACACTAAAGGAGGACTTTGAAGATGACTCGGAGGATGAACTGCCATCACTGCTCACCGGAGAAGCTGACTTGACACTCAAACCCGGCCAGACCCGGGTGTTTGAGATGAAGATACCCCTCAGGGAACCGGGGATGGCTACGGCATCTTCGGTAGTTCTATACCACAAGAACGAGGCTTTCAGCCTGGACTATACATTGAGATTCCGGGATACGGATCGAATCGTCGGGTGGTATGTTGAAGGATCGGCAAGACCTAGACATGCCCGGCCACAAGCACACACAATTCAGATCCAGCCTCGACCGCCCAAGATGGAGGTTAAGCTGGTAGAGCCATTGGGACAGTACTACGCAAACGAGCCGATCGAGCTACAGATTGAGTTGCTCAACGCTGAGGACGAATCAGCTAGCGTGAAGCTGGATGTGCATCTATTCGGCAAGGATGTTCCTGCAGTCCGAGTATTGGCAGAAGGTCACGAAGGGGCCGCCGAAGCTGCGGAGGCGGAGTCCAAGATATCAGGGCTCGTTCTCGGGTCCGTCAAGAGCACCTCCTCGTTCAAGGTGGTAGTCAACCTCGAACCGGCAAAGGCTCCTACTACGCTTGACCTACACTTGAGGGCGTCGTACCACCTTGCGTCTGATTCTGCAACCTCCATCATGCAGACACTGCCGATTCAGTTGAATGTGGTCAATGCATTTGAGGCAAACTACGACTTGGTTCCACGACTACACCCGGAGCCTTGGCCCAGCTTGTTTGACTACGAGGGACTTCTGGAGGCGCATGAGGGCAACACCGTTGCTGCCGCCAAGGGTTTCGCGCAAAAATGGTGCTTGTTGTGTCACTATGCGTCATTTGCACAGGAAGACTTGAAGGTGGTCGAAATGGAGTTGGAGGTACTCTCGTGCGTGGGCGGCGCAAGATGCAACGTAGTCCAAAGGCCCAGCGTGTTGCAAGACGGAGTCCTCGTTGCACCTAAGACGTTGCATGAGGCACAGTTCGATCTGGTGGCCCAGAAACTCAGCCTGGACGATCGACAACCCGTCACACTGGACCTGGCGTTTGTCATCCAATGGCAGCGAAAGAGCCGACCCGATGGGGTGGTCAACACTACGAAGATGCCAGTCGGGAAATACCTAGTGTTGGGCACGGAGCCGCGGGTGCTAGCATCGGTGTACCACAGCTCAGGGGACAACCCTAGTCTGGTGCAGCTAGATGTGACGATTGAGAACCCGTCAAACCACTTCCTGACATTTGGGTTGACGATGGAGCCCAGTGACCAGTTTGCCTTCTCGGGGTCGAAGCAGACGACATTGAACCTGCTCCCTCAGTCGCGGCGGAGAACTACGTACCGGATGCTGCCGCTGGTGAACGGAACGTGGGTGCGACCGGGGCTAACGGTGCGCGACAAGTATTTCCAGAAGGTTTTGCGGATCATCCCGACAGAGGGGATGAAGATTGATAAAGATGGGCTGCTGATATGGGTACCGGGGCAGATGGCTGAGGGCAAGGACGGGAATGGGGGAGCTGATGAGGATACAGAAACGAAAGGGGAAACTACGTGATCGGAATCCAACTAGAGGTGCGAGCATTGGCGTGGTTGTGTAGGGCGTGTCAGAACTGCAGGCATCTAATGTAGAAGAACTTGACGGAATAGATGGTGGTGGGAGGCAACGAAGCTGTCACGAGGAACGTCGACATGATATTTCGCATTTCCTCTTGGCGTGTGTAAGCGCATATGCAGATGGCGCAGGTGACATGACAATTCTCCAGATTTCAACAAAGTGCACAGGTGAGCTTACGTGTGACGGGAAACAATAGGGTGCGAAAAAGAAGGCGTCGTATCGGCGTCATCCATGGTTGAATGTCAGCCGCTACCACATGATCGGGCAGCGAGAGACAAGTGCGGTGTGGTGGCTGCGGAGGGAGAGGGTGTGATGCTGCGCGGAGAGAGTCGATGTCGTCATTATCCCATATCAATTTGCTTGATAGTAACAGGACTCGCAAGGAGAGCTGGGGATTTAATTAGCCTTGCCAGATATGAGTTTGGCGGCGTATGTGTGGTGCGTCAAATCAAGCCACGGATCGGGCTTGGGATGGACTTAACCAGTTATCCGCGAGGCGTCGGATCCGGGCGTGGAGTCTCTCCGAACTGGATCGGCCGGGTTTCGCAGGATCTGACTTGCAGATGGGCTGCAGCTTGTGAAGTTGTGCACGGGTGAACAAAAGCCACATGTGGAGAAAATGCCACGGCGACGGGTTTCGTGTTGCCGGCATTAAGACACCACAAAGTGCGAGCCGCGAGAAATGATCCAGACCATCGATCTCAGCTGGCAGCGGTCTCGAGCTGGCATCGTGGATTCGCGGGTGGATCGTGCGTGATCCACCTGCTAGGACGAGGGTGGTAAGTATTAGCGTGAGCCTTGTAAGGCAAGGGGAGTGAAAGAATGCGAGAAACGAGAGCGAAAGATGAAAGAAAGGAGAGGGATCAGGACTGAGATGCGACAGAGACAGCACCCGGCAGCGAACACCACGAGATGGGTTTAAGGAACCCAGAGATTCATCCATCAACCGCCATAATCAATCAGCTCCACACGACCCCTTACACGAGCAATACGAGCAGCGAAAACAGTCAGCTTCCCCACGCGAGAATTAAACAATGTCAGCGAAAAAGAAATAGCCGTATCAAATCTTAAATCCATGACTCTTCTGAGACCATGTTCGCACATCGCACATTAGCCCGCCCGCGTTGACTCACTCGCTCAAACGCCCCCAAGCGTGGGTTGCCTGATTGGGCGCCACGAAACCACCACCTCGGACATCGGCCTTGTCGCAAGTCCGCGTTGTCCAGCGTTGCGTTTGGCTGACCGGGGGAGGAGGAGGATAACGCACTACGCACTACCACCTCCAAGCTTACAAGCTACAGCTACAGGCTTCCGCGCTTGCAAAGTGCTGCCAATCGGGCGTCCTTACTACATTCACGACCGCCGAGCCTCGTCGCGGATGAACAAGCGTCCGTCGTCCGCTCTTCATCCATGTCCCGGGTGCTCTTACACGCTGCGCACACGCCCATGGCCGAACGTGTCCCTGGCTTGGAACCTTACTTGGATCCTCATCCATGGACAACGGCAGTATAACTGCTGGATATACGACGTAGCAGCAGGTAGTGAAGCAATAAGGGGGTGGACCTCGTTGCGCGTCGTAGTGCGTAACAAGTGCGAAGTGCGAGCTGCAATGGCAACGGACCAAAGTCGAGCCGCTCATTGCGAGGGCGCCCGCAAGTCCAGTCCGCTACCAGTGCACCGCCCAGCCCACTCCAACCCATTGTTTTGTTGTTTTTGGTGCCATTGGGGCGCCCTTGGTTGAAGCCCGGAGATTTTTGCGTCTGCGTTTTGCGGTTCCAGTTGCTAGCGTCATCTGATGTACTCGACTCGACCCGACAGCTCCTTCCTCCATCACTTGTATTTAACTTTGGCCATCCGTCGTCCATGATCCAAAAACCGCCACTCCAGATCTCCTTCACCATCATCACCAACCGGCATCTGGCATCACATCTTGCATCCCTAAGAGCACAGCCAGTTCGCTTCCTCCTCACCACGCCGTAAACGAGACCCGGAGTCTGGACCGTTTTGGATCTCACAGCATCGACTAGATCCACTGCGGCGCTTTTCTCTCAGCTTACACCCAGCTCGCTCCCCTTGCGAGTCCGCTCTTTTATTATTTAATAATAAATATCCCTTAGCTCCCTCCTTCACTCCCAAGGTGGCACAACATACCGCACTCTCCCGTCCCCAATCATCAGCCATCTCTCGCCATGGCTGTCGCCGCCACCGACGAGAAGCGCAGTGAGCGCCTCTCCTCAGACGACAAGACTGAGGTTGGCTCCGCCATCTTAGATCCGACTTCTGACGCCAAGCTCGACTCCGAGAAGCGTCAGACCGAGCAGGTCGACGCTCAGAATGGCGCCCAGGACACACCCGACTACCCAGGCGGCCTCAAGTTGGTCCTGATCCTCTTCTCCCTGTGCCTGGCCATCTTCCTCGTTGCCCTGGACCAAACCATCATTGCCCCTGCTCTGGGCGCCATCACCGCCGAATATGGCAGTGTCAAGGATATTGTAAGCTCGCTTCCTCTCCACTAATCAACCAACATCACACTCCAGACTAACACATTTCAAGGGTTGGTATGGCTCTGCCTACTTGCTCACCACCACGGCTCTTCAGCCCATGTATGGAACTATCTACAAGCTATTCAACGTCAAGTTGGCCTACCTGGCTGCCGTCTTCATCTTCGAGGTTGGCAGCTTAATCTCCGCCGTGGCTCCCTCTTCCGTCGCCTTCATTGTCGGTCGTGCCATTGCCGGTGTATGTTTATTCTCAACCCGACTCGATTCCAACCGTGAACTAACTGTCTCTTCAGATTGGATGTGCTGGTCTCTTTTCCGGTTCCATCGTCATCTTGTCCCTCATCAGTTTGTTTTACCCACCACCGTTAACTGGCAAATTATACTTACGCATCTCCAGTGCCTCTTGAGAAGCGACCTCTTGCTTTCGGCCTCATCGGTGGCATGTGGGGTATTGCCAGTGTTGCTGGTCCTCTCCTCGGCGGTGCCTTCACCGAGCACGCCACCTGGCGCTGGTGCTTTTACGTCAATCTGCCCATCGGTGGTCTCGCCATGATCATCGTCTTCTTCTTTGTCCACGTCAACCGCAACTCGGCCGAAACCAAGGATATGACCTTCTCCGCCCGTCTTCGTCAGCTTGACCTCTACGGTGCCGCCATCTTCATCCCCGCCATTGTCTGCCTCCTGCTCGCCCTCCAGTGGGGCGGCGCCGACTACGCATGGAGCAACTCCCGCATAATTGGCCTCTTCGTTGGCTTCGGCCTCATGATTGCCGTTTTCATCGGCATCCAGTTCTGGCAGGGCGATCAAGGAACCCTGCCTCCCCGCCTGTTCAAGAACCGCAACGTCTTGCCTGCCATGTTGTTCTCCATGTTCTTCGGTGCGGCCTTCTTCCCCCTTATCTACTACCTCTGTAAGTCTAGCCGTCATGCCACATCGCTTCTATCTCCATGACCACAACTAATTATCCGCAATAGCCCTCTACTTCCAGGCGATCCAAGGTGTTAGCGCTGTGCAGGCCGGAATTAAGATTCTACCACTGCTGCTTTCCACTGTTCTCATCTCCATCGTGGCTGGTGGTCTCATCACGGCCATTGGATACTACAGCGTCGTCATTATTCCTTGCATGATTCTCAACACCGTTGGTTGCGGCATGATCACAACCCTCGACGTCGACTCCCCCATGAGGGAATGGTTTGGTTACCAGGTTATCGCGGGTCTCGGCATTGGCGCGGGCTTCCAAATCGGTGTGCTTGTTGTCCAGACTGTCCTTCCTCAGGAATGGGTCCCTGTTGGCACTGCTTGCGTCCAATTCTTCCAGGCCTTTGGCGGCGCCATCTTTATTGCTGTTGCACAGACCCTCTTCCAGAACGGTCTCATCGACCACCTCAACGCCAGTAATATTGGTATCGATCCTCACGTCTTCATCAACAGTGGTGCCTCCCAAGTCAAGGAAGTTCTTCAGAAGATGGGCCGTGAAGATGCTTACGATACCGTCATCGAGGCCTACATGTCCGGCCTTCGAGACACCTTCTACATCTCGCTTTCTTGTGCCGGATGTGCGTTGATCGCGTGCTGCTTCCTGCAGTGGAAGTCAGTTAAGAAGGATGCCGACGGCAATGACCGCAAGCCTGAGCCCGCCGTCCCCGTCTAAGAAGACGAGGCATCTTTCTAGGAAACGCGGCGTTTGATATAGAGGATACCCGGATAATCTCCACCCTGCATCGCATCTTGCGCCATGCGCTAGTCTTGTAATCATAGCATATCGTCCAATATTTAATTATGGAATAATAGACGTCGTTTTCGACAATTCATTGCGTGTCATCCGGTGGCTTGTCCCATGATTTCCGTTTTGCTCTCTTCTTTGAAACCGGCTCACCTCCCACAAACTTGAGTACCCAGTTTTTGACGTGCTTGGTCTTTTCCAACTGAGGATGTACCTGACCTCTTCTCGCAAAGTCCTTCGTGGAGTAATGTCCCGAGCCGTCCCGCCTCCACAGCAGATTCACCTTGGTCATGTCCTTGCGTAGGCTCTGGCCATAGACCTTGCCGCGGAAGACGTGCAGGGCCACATTCTGCATCAACACCACGTCCTGGCGCCTCAGACTACGCACCTGGGTCTCGGTTGCGTTGTCGTTGGAGAGCCAGAACGTCACAGCAAAGCCGGACTTCGTATCGTCGCCAACGAGGACCTCGACGAGGGCGAGCACTCTGCCCCACCGGGTAGTGACCGTCCTGGGCTGGGCAATCGAGAGCACGCCCACGATGAGGTTGAGCGTGACAATCTGCGGGCTGAGGGCTTGGATCCGACGCGCGGAAGGGATGTCTTCCAGGTCGGACAGATGGCAAGGTACAGGCGCCGAAGCGGTGCCCGGCTGGTCTGTTGACGATGTAGTCATAAATGAAGTGTCTGTTGTTGAGCTCTGTTCATAGGACTCCAGTTGTGACGATGGGATCGAGTTGTGCACGGCGAGGGAGTGGTCATAGAACTGCGACAGCACGTCATGCGCGCCTTCGCTGTCGAGAGACGGTATTTGCCCGTCAAACGAGACATCAGCCGTGGTGAAGAACTCAGGTCGGCTAGGTAGGAGATAGTCACTGATGTCGTGGGTCTGGCTGAAGCCTGTGTGCAGCGGCTGTCTCGTGAGCGGGAGTGACCGCCACGCTACTTGCGACGACGACGACGGAGAGGGCTGCAGCTTTGGCTGTCCATTGGGGATGCCGAGGAATGCGGCAAAGGCATCGTCGAGTTTTTCCAGGGTGCAGGATTCGGGTTTGAGCGATGAGGCCGGGGGAGCGCCCACGAAGAACATGACTCGAGGAGCCATGGTGTTGTGCTTCAGGGTAGGCGGCCGTGGATGGGGTCAAGCATTCTTGGCATCACATGACCTGATAGTCACCGGTGCTTTCTTTAAGAGAGTGATTTTCTCGCTGTTGTGAAGCTATTTTCGGGTCGTCGTCGTCGTTGTCGTCGAATCTAAGTGGAGTTGAGATTCACGATTCATGCATGTCCCGGCGTCGCGTTCCGTTCTCAGTAAGCCGAGGCCTGGCTCCTCCCCCACACGTTCCGCGGTCCCCGGTCCCCACCCTACACCTTGCCGAGGCCTCGCAATCCTAGCAATCTACACGTCGTGTCGCTCCAACCACCACCGGACTTCTCTTTCATCAACCACTCACTCCATGGCGACATTTCAATCATCATAAAGAAGGCAACTCGATCAATCAAACGCCATACCTCGCCCTGCTCATTTATAGGTCTCACGGCGACATACAAGGCCACTCTTTGCACGTCTTAGACCCGCCATCATGTCTGCCATCTTCGACATCAAGGAGCACACCATTGAGGCCGCACATATACGAGAATTCGCCCGTGCAACCGCCAATTCTCAGGATGAGAGGCTTCTACTGCACATCAAGCAGTATACCCCCAAGGATAACCCCAACCCGCAGAAGGGTGATGTAACTATCATTGGTGGTCATGCCAATGGCTTTCCGAAGGTCCGCAGCCCTCGCCGCAGCCTCCCTGGTAGACTTTGGCTTCAATGAGCGCTCAATTAACTGGCTTGGAATATAGGAGCTCTATGAACCCCTCTGGGAAGAAGTGTACCATGAAGCCAAGAGTCGCAACGTTCGTATCCGCAGTATTTGGATCGCCGATACGGCATGGCAAGGCCAGAGCGGCATCCTAAATCAGGATGCCCTCGGAAATGACCGTAAGCTTTTTCAACCCTTCACTACCACTCAAATTTCCCTGCTGATGCATTTGTTAGCTGGATGGCTGGACTATGCTCGGGATATCCTCCACATGATCAACACATTCCGCCCGCCACCTCCCATCATGGGAATGGGCCACTCATTTGGCGGCAACGCTCTAGCAAATGTCTCGTTGCTCCACCCGCGTCTTTTGACATCACTTGTCCTGCTTGACCCTGTCGTCTCCCGCTACGCATCTTCCCCAGATAGCAAAGCGATGGGGCCTGCTGCCAGTAGCATGCACCGCCGCGAGGTCTGGCCATCGCTCAAGGACGCCGAAGCTTCCTTCAAACGCAGCCCATTCTACAAGTCCTGGGATCCCCGGGTGCTTGAGCGGTGGGTTGATTTCGGGATAAGACAAATCCCGGGCCAAGACGCCGTCACCTTGACTACGACGAAGCACCAAGAGGTATTTACCTTTCTCCGACCAAGCTGGGACGCGTACGACGCCCAGGGCAAGACCATCATCCATCCCGAACTCGTTCCGGATCTGAACCCCAACCTGAATGAAAAGTACCCGACGTACCCGTTCTACCGGTCGGAGGGTGCCAGCACTGTAGACCGCCTCCCGAATGTACGGCCCAGCGTGCTCTACGTCTTCGGCGGCAAAAGCGACATTTCCCCCATCCATCTCCAGGACGAGAAGATGGCCATCACCGGTGCAGGACTTGGCGGGAGTGGTGGCGCCAAGGCCGGCCGCGTGAAGAAGGTCGTGGGCGACTACGGCCACTTGATACCCATGGAGAGCCCCAAGTTCTGCGCGCAGGCGGCTGCGGAGTGGATCGAAGCTGAGTTGCAGCGGTGGTGGGTGGAGGAGCGCAAGTATGAAGAGTGGACGCGGAAGTCGGCGGCCGAGAAGACTACCATCTCGGAGGAGTGGCATAAATATTTGAGTAAGCCGGAGAGAAAAAACGGGAAGAACAAGGCAAAGATCTAAAGTAGACCAAACACGTGTATTACAGTTCCATAGAGACTGAGTTGGCATATACCAAGTCATCAGTCCAAGCTAATATTACAGCAACATGATCCCTCTCGGTTGTTGGTACTTGTTCACCCATTCTCAACCAAGCTAGTCGTGATAGTCTTCATCCTGAAGTTGCAAAAACTAAGCCAATGCCGTAGCAGGCTCATCATAACGTCGCCACAAACCAAGCAATAGCAGTCGTCACTCATCAACAATATCGTCAACCAATTCCCAAGGCCTTGTTCGGCCGCAACTAGATGTAGTACATTGAGTCCCGCAGGTTTTCGTGAACCTGCTTACCACCGCCTCCAATACTCGATGCCGGGCCGGCTGTTGTGACACTCTCCAAATCGCTGACGTCGGAAAACTCAGGGCGGTGCACTCTCGCTCGCGTGCAGACAATGTCTGCGTAGTACGCCGGGGGGCAAATGCTCACGGCCTTTGTCGCCCGACCGAATAGGTAGCAAAGCTCGTGGGTGAACTTTTCGAGTTCGTTGGCTGCCTCGCTCTTGTACTTGGGTCGGAAAATCTCGTCGAGGAGCACCGTGTAATGCGCAGGGCGAGCTGTGCCCTTGATGGCTGCGTGAGCCGTGAGGAAGAAATCCCAGTATCGCGCTTGTGTGACGCCTCGATCCACAACGGTGCCGTTCTCGATGTTCATGTGCTTGGGCAAATTCTTCTCCGTCGTGGGATAAAACCGCGTCTGGTGGCGCTTCACAGAGACAACAATGGTCAAGAGGGGCTGCATCTTCGCCGAGTACAGTGCCCCGCAAGCCTCCTTGATGAGTGGGAGCTCCTTCTCAAGGACCTGTCCAAATTGACCCTCCGAGACGCCATCACGGAAGATGACAATGTTTTCCGGCAGCTGACCCTTGTTGTGTTTCTGCCACAGCTGCAGCCGCGACTTGAAGGCATCGACAAGCTGCTGTCCGAGCATCTCCTGCTTAGACGCTTGCTCCCACGAAATCGACGGCCACTGCCCCATATCGCGATCAATGCTGGCGACCAGGCCAACCAAGCTGGGTATCTCGTCACTCTTGCCGGCGGGCATGTTGGTTGGATGGGTGACGTCGTATCCCACCACAATAGTCTTGCCGCCCTTCAGAAGATCGAGATCATCACGGAGCTTGTGGTTGACACCTCCAGCCTTGAGGTTCCACTTGAGCGCCACGTTTGCGAAATATCCCGGACTGCTGCCGCCGAACTTCTTGAAATGGCCCTGCACGCAGCTGGTTTGGATACCATACGTGCAGTCTCCGAGGGTCTTGACCTTGGCATACACCTCGCTGTCCATGCTCCCAAGGATGACGAGGAGAAACTGGATCCCGTTCTGCTTAGCCCACGAGAAGAAGCCCTCCAGCGCACTCCCATAGACGACATTATCGGCTGACATGGCCTCGGTTGGAGGTGTCACCATGGAAGTGTTGATGTTGATTCCCATGTCGCTCATGAACCTGGCAAAGTCTTCCACAACTGGGCGAGCAACCGGGCCTGCTCGGTCAGGCACGATGTTCACAAACGACCAGCGGTTGATCATGGTCCCGGACTTGAAGACTTTGACGTCCCTCATGTTCCAGGACGCGTTCATGGGGCGCACGTGGAGCGGCTTGGGCTTCTTCTTCTCCATGTATGTAACCCCTGGGCAGGGAAGAACTCGCCCTTGCACCGTCAAGAGATGTTTGTCGACAGAGATGCCGAATTGATCCTATACGAGTAAGTTTGGTTATTCCACAATAAAGATATCCCGGAAGTCATACAAGTGAGCCATCGTCGAGTCCTAGGGCTCCCCGCCCATCATTTGTGATCGAGAAAGCGTTGGCGTAGGGAGACCGGCAAGCAAAGTTGACCATGTCGGTGGTCTCTCTGGGCATCAACTTAGCCTTGACAGACTGTCCTGGCTGGATTTCCACAAATTCAGCGGGGACGTAAGTCGGCTTGTCAGCACTGCCCATGTTGAGTAGCGGGTAGTCCTTCAGCGAAACATTGTACTCTGATTGTATGTTAGTATGGGGAAGTATTTGAGAGATGAGTAACTCACTTTCTTTGTAATAATCAAATACTGAAACGTATCGACCCTGTTGTCCCGGCGTCTCCATCCAGAACTGAACATTTCGGGGCCCAACAAACTCCCAGTCGCGATCGAAGACAGGGAGGTTTTGTCCCTTCGATCGACGAAGTTCAGAGGCCGTGGCAAGGCTGTGGATGGACTTCTGACTGCGGATCTGCTTTCCATTGGCCAGTGTCATATTCACCCAGACCCGGGCCTTGGGGAGGAACTTGGAGATGAGACGCAAAAGCCGCATAGTGCGACGGTCCGTTCTTGGGGCCGCCCTGACTTGGAGATTTTCGAAAATTTCGTTCACCTTTCCGGCGAGTCTGAAGACTCCATGGGTGACGTTGACGTTAAGAAGTAGGCGCCCTGTGCCAAGTCGAACTGATTGGAAAAAACCACGCGCAGCTTGAAGAGTTCGGTTGTCGGAAAGGAGAGGTGTTGCAATGCCGCCATTCTTGAAAGAGAAGAAGCGAGAGCTTCCAACTGGACTGATCTCATCGACTCTGGATCTAGGCCCGAAACCGAAGATGACGTTGAAGGCATCAACAACTTCCGGGTATCGAGGGAGAGCATGATCTTCGGAGTCAGGAACGCTGGAGCCAAGGTACTTCAGCATGTCATCAACTCGTACCTCGGCAGGCCCGTGGAAGGTGACCTCGAAGGTCTCAAGCCTGTCGGGGTTGTTCTGAGAAGGGATTGACAGACGAAGTGGGTTGTTCTCAAGGTTGAGTTTCTGAAGCGAGACCAGCTGGGATTTGAACTCAGTGGCCAGCACCAACGACTTGTCCATCTTTGAAAGCTCGACGAGGGCCTCGCGAATGACGAAGTAGAGCTTCCGACCCTTGACCTCCTTGGTTTGAGGTCTGGCTGGACCCTTAGACTTGCCTTTCCCCTTAGGTTTAGCAGGGGCCGTTTCCTCAGTCTGAATCTGAGTCACGTCCATGGTGTACTTGTAGAGGGTACCAAGCTTAGTGACGATTCGGAAGTAGTTGGCCCAGAGGACCACAGCAGTACCGCGTGTTCCATAGGCAGGCCGAGCAGGAAACTGTTCCTGGGACAGAGAAGTGGTGCTTCCCTTGGCTTGCACCTTAAGCTTGCCCATCTTGGAGACCACCTGTGTCATTGAGGCAGTCTGTTGAGTTACGACCTGTTGCTCAAGCTCGCTAATTGCGAGATCTGGCTCAGGAACAGCTCCATCGATGCTATACAGGTTAGCAATGTCAAACGACAAACTTGATGAGCTCTCAAGATAACTTACGTGAAGACGGGTTTCTCGGGAGGCCCACTGCTCTGGAATCCACCACGGCCACGGCCACCTCCGCGTCCACGATCGAACCCTCCGCGTCCACGGTCGAACCCTCCACGTCCGCGGTCGAAGCCACCACGTCCACGGTCAAACCCTCCCCGACCACGACCGCGATCAGATTCACCGCGTCCAGGGCCACTGAAACCTCCGCGAAAACCACCGGTGTGGCCTTCGTCTCCACGGCCCGCTCCACGGCCTCTTCCTCCGCGTTGGCCATCGAAGGGGGCTCCCCCACGACCATCACCGCGCCCGCCTCCACGGCCATCACCGCGCCCGCCTCCACGGCCATCACCGCGCCCTCCTCCACGACCACCTCGGCCTCCACCTCGAGAGTCTTGAGGACCACCAGGACCACCACGTCCCCGACCTCCTCGACCGCCTCGACCACCTCGGTCGCCTCTATCGGCCATGGCCAAGTCGAAGGGTGTCGTTTACGAGATCAGAGGATTGGCGGGCGAGGAAAGGGATGGGGGACAAGTGGGGGAAGTAAATATAACTGAGAGGTTGGGTGAAGGGACAACTCGTATGCCTCGACGCCACGCAGGCGGTTAGGAAGACGAAAAGATGAGAGAAATCAAAGAGTAGTGGGATGTCGAAAAGTTGAGAGGCAAGAGGTGAAAGGAGAGAAAGAGATTGAGAAATGGAGTGAGGTGGGAGGTAAGTGTGAGCTAAGCGGGTTGAGCTGAGGTGATTGGCGATGCACGCAACAACAGGTGCGTGCAGCTGTCCAGGCGTGGCGCAGTGAACAAAGAGGCAGATGCAGGCGAGCCAACAACCACTAAATGAATTGACGAGGCTGTGAACGCTTGGGCCTGGTCTGGTTGATGATCTGGATATGGCAGTCTGTAACGTAGGACTTTAGGTCTGTAGATCGGGGGATTATTTTCGGTGGAGCTGGAGCTCATCTTGTAGTTTATTCTAGGCGTGGAGCCGGATGAAGCACCTTGGCGAGTTCCAGAATTGAACCAGTGAAACGTTCCGTGGCGACTAGCCTTACATCATCTTTCAATCATTCCTCGATTACAGCCAGACTGCCAAACATACACCACACCTAGTCTGAAAGAGGAAGAGTGCAGCACCACCAGAGTTTGGTGGCCCAATTCCCCGATTGATTCTAGTAGTATTGCAACAACAGATCGCAACCGATTTCCGGCTTAGCCGAAGGTATAGCTGGGGCCTTTCTGTACAAATACCAACTTCAAAAAATAGCGGAAATCGCATCACCAAATTCCATTGGTACTGTTCCATCTTCTTTCAGACTAGGTGTGGTGTATGCTTGCGTAGTCCGGCAGGCGCTGCGTACATTTTGATCAGGTGGTGGGCCTCCCGCTGCCTGATCCTTGATGAAATAGCGGTCGACTTCCAGCCCAACATTCCACTTCAAGGGCGGATACGGATATACAACAACCAGTCCAGCCAGCGCTGGATCGAGATGCGGGAAATTCACACTTCACACGAAGCTTCAATAGAACTACAGTATTCACTTATGCAATTTTTACAATCCAGGAGCTATGCCTCTGCACGAGGACTAGGATTCCGCCTGATAACGGAATGGGCTCTCTCCCTTCATTGTGCGTCTCTAGACAGTATGTTTGCTTCTTCCCGTGCAGGGTATATGATTAGGATAAAGCCCCGCCCTAACCCTGCCATGGAAAATGCAAAACAGTGCAGAACGCAAGAAACCTGTGAGCTGACTGGGCAGCAGAGATGAGCCCTGTTAACTTGGAGCGTCGGCACGCGGCCCGCCTCCGTTCGGCGGGTCATCCGGCTCTGGAGTCACAGTGACAGAGCACCATGTTTAGTAGCATTTACATGAAATGCTTAGAGAAAGAGGTTGTAGGTACATTTGGATCACAATAATTGAAGGCCGTTTGAAACAACGTCTAGCAGCTTGTCTTGCACTCTGCAAATCGAGTGGTCATTCCCGTCCCAAGTCTGGTGACGTAGCAGGTTTGAGAGACTGTGTTTATCCCAACTCTCAAACACACTCAACTGCTGCCCTGAATCCGAACCAATGTAAGGACGCCATCTTTTCATGAAACTTGGCCTTTCTGTTCTTGCTAGTGCCGGCCGGGAACACAAAAAGACGGCAAGTATTAAGCGACCGCAGGCTGTCTACATGTGACCTCGCACGAGCTGTCTGGGACATCCGAGTTCCGCCAACGACGTTTGTGTAGGAGAGGTGGCCGTTTCAAGTGAAATATAAGTGCTTCCTTGTCGATTCCTTGTGTATTCCCGCCGTGTTGGCGGTTTGAACAGCCCTCACTGGCTCCAGTCCTACGCTGTTTGACCTCCTGATGTTCGAGTGTCTCTACTTGTATCATCAAATGGGGCACAAATATTTGCAGATAGCAATATGAATCTAATCAAGTTCGGCTTCCGACATGAAACAAACCCAATTTACGCTGGAGAATGGGTGCCTTTGATGCCTTCACATAAAATCGCAATGATTCCCCACCAGTTGCTCCCCTCATACCTGCCGACCTTCACACACACACACACACACACACACTCTGCTGCTTTTCACACAACATTTTATTTTAAGTTCCTCATCACTAGCTTTGCGAACTTCAATAACTGCTCCGAGATTATGTGTATATATTGTAGCTCGAAAGCCCTACTAGTACTTCCTGCACCTACAACGTATTCCAGTCCCCAGCAGCCCTAAAAGTCTTCTCAAAAAATCTCTTGACCCGACAATCCCACAGAGAATAAGAGTACCCGTCACTCTTCAACAATTTGCTCAGCCGTTATGTGTTCCGGAGAGAGAGGATACTGGATTTGTCCTTGCAACAAGACGACATGCCCGAACAAGGGTGTAGTCTTTCACCCAGAGATCACTTCTGGACATGTGTGCCATATCGAAGTGGACACTCTTTCGTGGGAAATCTGTACCTGGTGGATTGCCAATGGGCCTCCGGAACAAGTACTCAATCGATATTTGAGGCCGAGCTGTGCGTATTTTTCTTGGTACACCCTCCTAGTACCGGTGCCTATTTGTGAATCTTGCGAGGTTACTTGCCAGGCCAAGAAGGGAGAACAGGCAGGACAGGGCAGTGGCAATATGATATAATCTACCTACCTTTCACGCCGGCGAGAAAAAGGTTGGTGGCTGTTTCTTAACCTCTGGCCTCGTGTTACCGACTTTCAATTGCGCCGGAGAAGTAGAATCAACTTGTTGAATAAATCTACGTCAGTCCGCTAGAGCACCTCGACAGTAGGAAAGTAATGACATAAATCGACCATGAAATGACTTGTTGAATGTTCCTTTGCGGCTGTCTCCTCTCCAGCCATAGGTGAAGAATCTGACACGCCCTCTTCAAAGTAAAAACTATCCACTCGGATAAGAAGAGAACAACTCACTATAAATTGATACATGAGAAACTTATGCTGTGGAATATTTGAAATATGGAAATGCACATACAAAAGCGCCAAATGTCCCATTACTGTCGGGGAGACTGGGTAGAACTTACGTGTCGGCGAATTAAAGGGATATTTGGAAATTTAATGCCAGGGGTGACGTAGCATGAAGATATCTAAGGTGGAAAAGCCAGACTATGTCCCGACTTGTATGGCGTGGGATGTCTGCTACTTAGAGGTGGGCTGCCTTTGTGTTCCGATGAGGCCAACTGCCCCGAGCAAAAACACCTCCAGAGTAAAATGTTTGTCACTGGCAGCTTAGTTAATCTAAAATCCAAAATACTAAGGAAAATACAGTCATTGCTTACAGTGGACGAACCGAGTCACTTTAAAACTGTGCAACAACACCACAAGCTGCCGATACCAGTAAGTGATACAGCGTTCTGCAGACAGTGGTTGCTCATCGGGGGTTGGAGGTTGAATGGGAGGACCGGTTCATGAACGGCAATGGCAATGGCGTGCTGTGCAATTATTGCAAGGAAAGACGGCATATCGTGTCATAGACTGACATCCGGCAATTGGATATTTCCATTTCGCATGTTACAGTCCCAATACAGCGCCCTTCCATTGTTTTGACTTTGGGCAGGAATGTCTGCTCGACAGGCCTAATATACCAATGTATGAAAAAGACCCAGAAATTTAACTAGGGTGTCATAGGGCTGGCTATCAAGCCATCCTGGCAGCCCCAACTGAGACCCAAAAAGGGTGATGGATGGGGAATGGTGGCGGGGCAGCGCTCTAGAGATGATTCCAAGAAACGAGGTCCCCTCGATCTGATTGTGGATCTAGCAAATGACATAGACCACATGTAATTTGGACCACTCATGAATTACCACTTGGAATCCTTCTCAAGCAGCAATGTGCCCTACAGTCGCAACTTTGAGAATCTCTTCCTCCAGGCCGTCGACGTGGTGAACATTGATGCTGGCAGCCTTGAGCATTTGGAGCCCTGTATTCTGGCCAACAAAAGTTTCTGGTTCTAGAACACCCACATAGACTGTGGTGATCCATGAGCTCTGACGCAAAACCCTTTCCACGCATGGAAGCTTGCCACTGAGGCGTTTGAAGCACGGCTCGACGGTGGTGTAAAGAGCATGAGGGCCTTTCATCACATCGGCCAGGCCCTCTTCTGACGTTTTGTGTTCCTCGGCTAGCTTTAGCAGGCAGCACTCCTCAGCATGAGTGTTTCCAGGAAGTTCAAGGGTGTAGCCCTCAGCGAGGACAGCGTTATCGCTGAGCCGGACGATGAGAGCCCCCACGCGGAAATTGGTCGGTTTTGGAGGAGATTTGTCGGCCAAGCTGAGGGCGCGTTGCATGGCGGCCTTGTGGTCCCCGGGTATTATTGAGTCCATGATTGAAGAAGAGTAGGAGACACTATGAGGTTGATGATGTCGAGCTAGTCTTGGAGCGGGGATGTTGGTGGGGGATATTCGTCCGATGTGAGATCTGTGGTCGGTGGTTGCGAACTCCGATGGCCGAGCCACTTAAGCTCCGACCCCACAATCTTCTCCAAGCGCGTGTCGCAACGCGTCTCCAGGCAAGCTGCATTGCTCAAGCTCAAGCTCTACCAACTTCAAACATCACCCAACAACGACTACGACAACAGCCAAAATGTCAGACTACGAAGATGCGATAGAGAGCGAGCCTCCCACCATCGACCCTTACGAGGTCCTCGATCTCGAACGGTCTGCGACTGCCGACCAAGTCAAATCCGCATATCGCAAAGCCGCGCTCAAGAACCATCCAGGTTGGTGTCCTCACATCATCATTTAGCCGTAGGGTGGGCGCGCTGACAAGCTTTTGCAACAGACAAGGTCTCAGAGGACGAGAGAGAAAAGGCAAACGAGAAATTCCAGTCGATCGCCTTCGCCTACGCTATCCTTTCCGACCCTGCCCGACGAAAGCGGTACGACACCACCGGCTCCACGGCCGAGTCGATTGTAGACTCCGAAGGCTTCAACTGGAGCGACTATTATCGCGAGCAATACAAAGACTCGGTATCGGATGATGCGATCGAGAAATTTGCCCAGAAGTACAAGGGTTCGGATGAGGAGAAGGATGACATCCTCATCTCTTACGAGCAATGCGAGGGCAACATGGACCAGCTGTACGAGCAAGTGATTCTGAGCGATGTGCTGGAAGATGATGAGCGATTCCGCAAAATCATTGATGAGGCCATTAAAAGCAATGATGTCCCGCGATTCCCGGCGTACACTCGGGAGTCCAAGAAGCGACGGGAGGCCAGAGTTAAGAAGGCGCGAGCTGAGGCGACCGAAGCGGAGGACTACGCCAAGGAGTTGGGAGTCCACGATAAGTTATTTGGCGACAAGAAGACGAAGAAGAAGGGCAAGGGAAGCTCCGAGAATGACCTGGCGGCGCTGATTCAAAAACGTCAGCAAGACCGATCAGAGAACTTCTTGGATCACTTGACCGAGAAGTACGGCGCTAAAGAACCCAAGAGCAAGAAGGGCAAGAAGCGGGCGGTTGAGGAGGAGCCATCTGAGGAGGCATTCCAAGCAGCTGCTTCGCGACTGAAGACCCCAAAGAGATCGAAGCGGGCAGTGGAGGAAGAACCGTCCGAGGAGGCGTTCCAAGCAGCTTCTTCGCGATTGAGGAGCTCAAAGAGGACGAAGCGCTGAGCATGGGCTGGTGGGTTTGATTCTTAGGAGGATCACGGTGCAACATGGAGCTCGGAGTACAGGCCATGTACGATTTGGCATAGTGGACAATATTCTAGTGATTAAGGGATAATTTATCAAGCAAGTGCGCTTAAGAAAGGTGGGATTTCTTACCCTGTATCAATTAATTGGATCGTACTATTGATAGTGAATTGTCTATCCCAGGCCGTAAGTTTCACATCGTGAATTCTTGGCGGCACTATTCCATTCCATTCGCCTCTCTCAAGTTCTAGCGGGCGTCAGAACGCAGCAGTTTAGGCAGCAATGATACTTGGGCATACCACTGTAGGAAGATATTATCAGCTATTTGATTTTATCTTGTCAAGAATCTCATGTCTCAGGCATGAATGGCGATATCGCAAACCGGAAGCAGGCTCATAAGTGGCACAGGCCGGACTTGTGACGTGGGGTGTGCTAGTGGGGTTGTCCAGCGCCTTCCTCAGCCACAACCTGATCAGCCTTACTCATTAACCATCTTTCACGACGTGTCGCGATAAGTCTCCCATCACAGACTGCCACAACGTCCTCACCCTGACGCATGGGCATGGCAAACCATGGATAGACAACCAAGGAGATAGAACCCGCGATGATGATGCCATGGCCGACCCATCAAAGCCCCAAATCTATCCGCGATACTGCTTCCACCTCGCGCCAACCGTGAATTCCTGGTGCCTCTTGCACGCGACAGACGTGCACGACCTGGAGCAACATGCAGGATTCGAAGGTAATCTGACCCTGAATGACTGTCGCACTCTATTTCTAACTAGAGCCAAGGAGAGAACTTTTACTTCTACAAGAACCTGCCCATAAAATGGGTCCGGATTGTGGGGGTGGTCGTCGCGATTGATGAGTTTGCAGGTTTACGCATATTCACCGTGGATGACAGCAGCGGCGCGTGCATCCAATGTTCTATTACAATCTCCAAAACCACAAAGGAGCCTGAGCATCAGCAGGAAGAAGTGCCCAACATTGAAGTTGGAGACGTTGTGGATACCAAGGGAGGACTATCGGTATTGTGGGAGGAGAGGAGGATCACCATTGAGAAGATGACTGTTTTGAGAAGCACTGCGCAGGAGGTTGCGCTCTGGGAGAAGAGGACCCGATTCCGCACAGAGGTACTTGACAAACCATGGGTGCTTCGGAATCGAGATATTCGCAAGTGCCGCCAGGAGGCCGAACAGAGCGAAGACAAAGCTGAGAGGAAGCGCAAGCGTCTAAAGGCGATGATCGAGGGCCGAGGTCCGGAACAACCGGCAAAGCAGCCATCCGAGCAGCCAAAAGGTTGCAACGAGAAACAGCACACGAAGAGTCTCGATCTCAGGCAGATTCTTCAGCAAGGCGGCGCGGGCAAGTATGATGCGCTGGGGTTATGAGTTGGAGGTGGAGTAGCAGTCTAGCACCGTTAGTGGCATTGCGTGGACAGGTCTAGACTTGGGGACGCGTAACAAGATAAAGAGGATTGTTCAACCGCCACACGGCAATGGCGCATTGTGCCATGTTCTGGAATTCAATTCCCATTCAACGTGACGAGTCTGGGTCAGTCTCACGATGACGGCCCCGCAGTGGGCTTGCCGCATTCGCGAGCCGTGCTTGGAACATTGGCCACGCAGGCTGGTCAACTGAGGAATAATGTCTCAAATCCCTGCAAGGCTGTGCCGCTGATATGGTGAGCAACTGATGTTGAGTAGCAATGGTTGGGTTGTAACAGAGAGAGACATGGGCAGGCTGACTCGAGCTCATGACGGCCGATCAATTCACATTTGTCAACGGCTCCGCATTAACGACGAGGAAAGAAAGCTGAAAAATGCAGCAGGCATCGTATTCTGATGATGGCTCAATAAGTCAATCGCCGAGTGAGGCCGTTGCGACTCTGATGGTGGGCGGGAATCGTCAGATGCGACTTGCTGTTGTTCGATTCGCCCACCTACGATGGCAATTTAATTTGCATAACCCCCTGGCTGGCCCTGAGCAAAAGGGAGCTGTCGGTTGGCGGACGGTTCAATAGTGTCCCAGGCTAACGCCCAACTAGGAGGCAGCTGGACCCTAACGCCCACTCCAGGCTTTCGGGGCTGCGAGGCTGTGGAGAAGCTGTGCCCCTTTGGACTTCGTCCCACTCGCGACCCTGCGTTGGCGCCTCCCACCACATGTCGCCGAGACGCCATCTGGAATGTGGAAGTTGCGCTGATCGAGGTTGAACGCTGGCTTCGATCGCAGCTTCCAGCAGCCTGGCCACGGGACTGGCTAGAAGACGCACCGGACCACACTACGGGACTATCAACGGCATCTTGCCCAACCACCCACGCGCTCCCCTGTCTCTGCTTCACACCATCCACCAACATTCCTCGCCTGCAGCCAATCCTCCTCCTCGTCTTCGTCCTAGCCCTGTGGATTTCCCATCAGTGCCATCCTGGTCGCGCATCGTTGCCGGCATCGAGCTATTGCTTTTTGGGCTCGGTGCCTTGATTCCCGGCTAGCCAGGTAAGGAACTCGCCGCCCTCCCGCAGCCCAAGACACCTTCATTTCTCGACGCGGCAAGCCCTCTAGCCTCATCAGTGTGTGTGGCCTGGAACTAGTGGAACGGTTTTGAGTGGCACATCTAGTCTGAGGCGTGACCCTGCGCGGAACTATTTGAACCATGGATCCCCCTACTCTACATCTGCGATTCTTCAAGAGAGTTCTTGTCAGTTTCGTTCAGGTTGCAGCTCTCGATCCGGAGAGCCTCACCCTCCCCTCTCTTCCCCACCATGAAGTCTTACTCTCTTCCAGTCTGGCTGTTCTGGCTAACCAAAGCTCAAGCGTTGACCATTCCCGGTCCCGTTGAGCCCAACGTCGGCTCTGGACAAGGCTCTCACGCCGAGTACAGACGCGACGGCCAATACAAGCGCAACGTCGAGACATCCGATTACCTGTCCACCTACGGCACAGAAGACATTATCCCCGTCACTGAGACTGTCAGCGTTACCACCAGCTCCGCTCCTACTGGCGCCGTCGAGATCCTCCCCTCTCTTGAAGACGTCGAGCCTCAAACCACCGGTATCGTTATCACTAAAATTGAAGCTTCCGGAGACAAAAAGGACGGCCCCCTTCTTACGCCGTACATCCCTAAGCCCACGTCGCTCCTCCAACCTGTCACGACTGTTTCCGAGGCAAAGCGAGCTGAGGAAACCAGCAACGAGCTGATCAAGATGTCCGAAAATTCGGAAAGGAGATACTTCGCTAGGGCCGACGCCGACATCTTCGCAAAACCCATCGGCACTGCTGCACCACCCTCCGTCATCTCCCAGCGGACGGATCACCCAGTTCCTCGCTTGGGCATCACCAAGAACGGACCTCTTCAGACCAACAAATTCTACTCCAACTTCTTCCTTGGCGACCAAATCCAGCCGACCTTCACTTTCCCCTACTCTGTTGCATGGGCGGGTGGCACTGGCGCAGCTGCCAGCTGGGGTCTCGCCATTTCTCACATTGCGGTGAGCCAGAGAACATTTGGACCGATCCAGTATAACAATGCTGCGGAATTCTATATCAACCCTGTTGGCATTCAGTCCATGATCATCTCCTGCAAGGGGTTGGCCAACAAGACCACCCTGAGTTTGGACTCCGTCACACCATACTCGGCCAGAGTCATCCTTCGGAAGGACAGCAGCTCACAACCCGCCATCAAGTTCCCCCTAGTTCAGGGAATGCAATTCGTTACCGCCCAGTTTACCGGCGCCACCCCCATGATCCAGTCCGCCGTCTACTTCAAGAGTATGACTCGAGTGACCAAGGACCCCAAGACCAATGTGGCCAAGTACAACTTTATCCTCGAGGATGGCACGACCTGGCGCCTGTATGCGTACAACACGAAGGGGGATGCATTGAGCTTGACAGTTGTTAACAACGGCTTGGCTCAATCTTCCAAGGCTTTTTACGGCACTATCCAGATCGCCAAGGATCCCAAGCAGACCAGCTCGGAGAAATCGCTCGATGACGGTGCTGGTATCTACCCAAGCACCCTCACCCTCAAGGGCTCTGTTTCCGGAGCGGCGGGTACCTACAAATTCAACTTTGTCCGAAATGGCCACTCGACTGGAAACCTGTACATGCACGCGCTACCGCACCATGTTGCGACTTTTGATGCGGACACCAAGAGCCGCCTTGTCCCGACCGTCAAGATGCAGACAACGACCAAAGGCCTGACCACTTTGGTCAAGGGGACTACCTGGACCATGACTGAGCCGAATATGCCTATTACCATGGGCTTGACCCCTTGGAGTACCACGAAGGGTGTCCGCAAGACCCTCTCTGCCTCGGCCAAGGCTGCCATCAAGGCTGTGGCCCAAGTTGAGATTTCGCAAGACATGGGCGCACAGACGAACCTAGAATCGATGTACTTCAGTGGGAAGGTGAGTTGGGACAGCTGTACCGAGTTTAAGGAGAGTTGACTAATGTGTTTCAGGCCCTCGCCAAATTTGGCCAAATCATCTACGTCCTCAACGAGATGTTGGGTGAGGCTGGTCTGGCTCAAGCTGGCCTCACGAAGCTCAAGACAGCCTTCAGCGTCTTTGTTTCCAATAAGCAGAAGTATCCTCTGGTCTACGAGAGTAAGCAAATGACACTACAAAACAAGTAGTTTGATAGACACTAACAACAGCAGGTGCTTGGGGTGGAGTGGTCTCCAGTGCGACCTATAAAACCGGCGACTCTGGACTTGACTTTGGCAACACCTACTACAACGATCACCACTTCCATTACGGCTATCATGTTCTGGCTGCTGCCTACATCGCCAAATATGACAAGACCTGGCTTGCTGCGAACAGGGCCTGGGTTGAGATGCTGATCCGAGATTACGCGAACCCGAGTACTTCCGACCCCTACTTCCCGGCTTCTCGAAGCTTTGATTGGTATCACGGCCACAGTTGGGCCACTGGACTGTTCGCTCAATGGGACGGCAAGGTAAGTTGTGCTTGGTGTCATTAGTTGCCTACGGCATCCACTGACTAGCCGATAGAATCAAGAATCCAGCTCCGAGGATGTCATGGCCATGCACGCGATCAAGTCATGGGGTCAGGTCGTTGGTGATAGTACCATGGTTGCACGGTAAGCTCATGCACTAAGTGCAGTTCGAAGTTGAGAGTGCATTTCTAACGGCGAGACTTGACAGAGCGAACCTTCAACTGGCTATCCAAGCACGGACTTTGAGCCAACACTATCTTTACACTTCCGACAACGTACAGCAGCCTAAGAATTTTATCGGGAACAAGGTCGCTGGTATTGTTTTCGAGAACAAGATCCATCACACAACGTTCTTCAGCAGCGACATCGAAGCGATCCAGGGCATTCACATGATCCCGGTTGGAGCGCCAAGCATGTACACCCGGCCAAAGACATTTGTTCAGCAGGAATGGGATGCCTACTTCAGCAACGGCCGCATTGACAAGATTGACAATGCTTGGAAGAGCATTATCTATGCCAGTTACGCGACGGTCAACCCCAAGACGGCCTGGAATTATTTCAACTCGTCGACTTTCAACACCAACAACATTGATGGTGGAGCGTCGCAGACGTGGTACATGGCGTACGCTGCAGGTGAGTGAAATTGAGGAAATGGAGATCGCATTGACATGAACCATGCTAACGGTTTGCAGCTCTGGGTAGTATCTAAGCTGATACCAGCAATCTCACTATGTGGCACGTGAGCAGTCCAGACACAAGACTTTGGCCAATGGCTCCGTGACACATGTGAGCGTGGGCGGATAATCACTGCCGAGGATATTGCACCAATTTTGGAAAGTTGACATACGCATCGACATCAGCATCCTCAGCAAGCATTGTGTTTTGGGCATTAGCGGTTAACATTGGCACGTGGAAGAGATAAGGACGTGAGAAGCGGGATAGAAGGTCGGCATGGGTGGATTTGGATGCGATACCTCGGGGGCAGTTTGTTGCCTTGTACATTTGGAGATAATTGGGTTCCATGGGACTACACTGCGTCGGCGTTAAAGGGGATGGGAAGACTAGAAAGCACCCGCCGACTACACATTCATGCACACCTACCATGGTTTTTTTCCTTTACTCAGTTGTATACTTTGTAAAGTACGTTAGATCCTACCTTACCTACCTATGAAGCAGTGAGACGAGCCGAAAATCAGAAAATTACAGAATCAGATTACAGCAGGATAGACAACTAGGCTTGCCGGTCGTCCAATCAAACCTGGCTCTCAGGACAAGCTGTCTCAGAGGAGATTGTTTTGGAGATTACGTGGTTGCTAATATCTTGGCAATATGAACACGGTACTGACGGTGCTTGGGCTTGAAGAGGGAGATGGAGACAAGACATATGAGCACATTCCCGAACATCCGGCGGAATGGCTGCAGAGCGGGAAGTCCTGGCCAACCACTAGTGGAGGGTGACATGACGGAGGATGAGGCGGAGGATGGAGCAATGCCACAGGCTGAGTGACAGACAGCCCAAAGATCGGCGTCAGGGTTACGACGATTCGATTGCCAAGGCAGGGCGAAAATGAGGCAAAAAAAAAAAAAAACACTGCCCTGGGATTGGGTTTATGGGTCTTATCGGTGGAGTGCCAAGCGTCATTCCCGGTTTTTTGGGTGGAGTGGTTAATATTGAGGGGAGCGGTGCGTGGCTGTGGGTTGACGAGTTTTTTACTATGTAGTAAGCGATTGATGGAACCAGGGGATGAATGTGGCCATTGCTATTGAACCGTGCAATGGCTCCAACTTTTGTGATGTTGGTTGTGATATCATTATCATTTGGAGACAAGAAGGGGACATGGTGTTAAAGTGGTTTTGGATGAAGCTGCTATCGATAAGGTTGCCAGGGTGCCGCAGCAGGGTGCATGGTTGGCCCTTGTTCCTTGCTGCGGCAGCAGAGCGGTAGAGAGCTTGCGTGTGACATCGTTACCCCGGGCAGGGAGAGCTCAGCCAACATTGCTTCATACGCCGGGAGCGTTTAGGGAGTTGTTCCAGAGCCAGGATTGGAGGGGGAGTGGAAGCGGGCTCACCGGAATGGCGCAGGTGGTGATGAATCTCGCGTGGTTGGGAAGTCTTGGTGATCGGCCGAAAGTACTCCGTATACTCGGTAATGACGATGTTGATTGATTACATGGCTTAGGTCATGACGCTCAACCATGCAGCGATACGACGGCTAGTTGCGAACGAGATTCAAGCTTCACATTCCCGAGTCGGCAATTGGGGGCGATTGGGGGGCTACCTACACGTGGGCCGGTTGTCCCCTTTGTGCTTCCGCGTAAAAAAAATAAGCTTTTAGTTGGTCCCAAGGCCAAGAAACTGCGCCATGACTGGGAGTTGAAATTGACTCGGCCAGCGGAAGAAACAAGGCCACACGATGTGGCACCCTGTTCTGAAGCTTGTAAGCTTGCGAGCTTGTTCGGAGCTTGTGCCCGGCCACCGTCTGCTGAGCCACCGCCCTTTGTGAGCTGCTTCCACTTCCAGTACTTCCAGAGCGCTTTACCAATCGTCATCGTCAATAGTCCCACTGCCGCAAGAGTGACCACAGGGCCCCTTGTCGCTTCACTCTCACTGCCCGACCATGACTGGCCTGTCAGCCAACCTGACAGTGACACAGTGACACACCCCTGCTGCTGCGTTGCTATGGATGTCTGTCTTTGCGGGGTGGCGCCAGCGCGGGTTGAGCGGTAGGTCGATTGTTATGGATGATGCCCGCTCAGGCTCAGGTGTGGCCGGCGAAACCTGAGGTCTCTGAGGAGACGGACGGGGACCTCGGGAACGGTGGGCTCGGGTGTCATCGCCGGGGAGCATGGGCTGAGCAAGCGGCCATGGCCATCGCATCGCACAGATAATGAATGACATGCATACCTACGTAGTAGGTAGTTACACTCCGGTTCAGCAGCGCCCGCGCGGCGACACACGACGAGCTCTCCACACTGGCCGCGCACATGGCTGACTGACGCAGCACAGTGGACGCAGCGGGCGTGCAGCAGTAGGTAGGGAGGTACTTCCAAAGTACCTAACGACTCGGGCATACGCAGGCGGGAAGTGCAAGTCTTGGCTCCCGTCCCTTGTGCCAAGGCGAGAGGCCCAGGCCCGCCCACGGCGACCTGCAGCACGGTGTGGGGGAGGAGGAGGCCTCCCACACTGAACAGCCGGCCTCGCGGTCACGCTCGACACACCTCAGCTCCTTCAACATCGAATCCCAGCTACGCCATCGCAATCGCAGACCCGCGATACCGACCCCGATTGATTGCAATCGCAAGGCTGTGCAATCGTACAAGGAAGCAATAGCGCCAGAGTGCGTCCGAGACCAGCCTGAACCAGCGCCCACTGCCCTTCCATTGGGCTACCCCTTCGTCCACTCCTTGCTGTGCCGTTTGACCCCCCCTCCTGGCGAGCCGTGTTTGGCATTTTACCGGCCATCCGGGTCTCAGCAGCTGTCCAAAAAGAGATCGTCATTGCCGCCAAGTGACCACCATCGCCGTTTACTGCCACAGTCAGGAACCGCCGAGCCTCGATTAGCTATGGTCTGTAAGTATTGGACTTTTGTTCCCCTTCGCCTCCTTCGCCTCCTTCGTCTGTCCCTTGGCGTTTCTTGATGGTCCATCCCAAATCCAAAACCCACGCTGGGAATCAAGTCGAGATTAGCTCCTCAACCACGCCACACACATCCCAAACTCTTCCCTCCCACCCTTTTCCCTTCCTCTCGGGTGCCACCCGAATGCCCGCCTCAGAAACACAAGACACACAGCTTGCATACCTTGCTCGCCTTGCCTACTTCTGGGCTACATACTCGACTCTCCACACCGACCAAGTGAACGGGTGAAGATCCAAAGTGTGCTAGGCGTCAAGCTACCCCTACCCGATCGTGGAAGTCACAAAGTAGTCGACAAGCTACTGCTGCTACCACATCCCGACCTTTGTGACTAGCTCTACCTTGATTGTGGCCCCCCTCCCTTTAGCTTTTCTGCACATTTCATTCCTTGACCTCCCCTTCGATCTTTTTTCGATCTTTTCTTCGTTTCCCTTTCCTCACACACATATCCGTCTTGGCCTCCCCCAACCAGCGTCCCAGCAATCCCGAAACAAGGACCCTGCCGAGAAGACTCGTCCAAGAACCAAAACAGAAACACAAGCGCCGAGGGTCCCCTCCACAACATCCTGGCACCCCAGTCACGCCGTCGCAATTCCTCGACCTGGTCCAGACACAATCCATAATCCCTGTTCTTTACTACCCGCTTGCTTGCCTGTCCTACACTTGCTCTCTCGCCGCCTCGCCGTCTCGCCCGTCCCACCCGAGAACCATCCAAAGCTGACCATGCCGGCGCCTTGATTCGCTCCATCAACAGCTCTTCCATCTTTCAACCTTTCAATCCGACGCACAATGTCGAACAAATCTAGTCATCTGCCAGACGAGACTGCGCCGCTCCTCAACGGCGAGACTTCGTCAGGCGCCTACGGCCACGCCCACAATGCCAACGGCAACGGCAATGGCCACCTCCACGTCCGCCACGGCACTGGTGCCCTCATGTTTTTCTTCGATTCCAAACGCACTCCCGGTCTCAACAACGAGAATCTCGTCCTGCGGAGCCTCGCCTACATGTGGCATGTTACCAAGATCACCTTGTTGAGCAGTACGTTTTGCGCCGCCCCCAAACTATACCTATCTACCCTGGGAGCTTCCCATGAGCTCCATGCCTATGCGGCCATCCAAACCACGGCTAACACTGTCTTTCCTCTGCGCAGACTATGTCAACTTCCTCCTCATCATGGTGCCCATCGGCATTGTGGCCGGTAAGCTGGAATGGAGCCCGACTGCCGTCTTCACTCTTAACTTCTTCGCCATCATCCCTCTCGCTGCCGTGCTTTCGTTTGCGACCGAGGAAATCTCCATCAAGCTGGGTGAAACCTTGGGTGGATTGCTCAACGCCACCTTCGGAAATGCCGTCGAATTGATTGTGCGCCTATACTCTACTCTTGCTACGAATTTGGGAACTTGGGCCGCTGACTGTTGAATAGGTCAGCATTGTTGCGCTAAAGGACAACCAGATTGAAGTCGTCCAGGCCTCTATGCTGGGATCTATTCTCTCCAACCTGCTTCTGGTTATGGGAATGTGCTTCCTCCTGGGCGGTCTTCTTCACCGTGGCGAGTCTGGTAATGGCACGGAGCAGACCTTTTCTTCTGCCACTGCCCAGACCACTTGTTCCATGATGACTCTGGCCTCGGCTTCGCTCATTATTCCCGCTGCTGTATGTCATCTGAGTCCTCGCTCTCAATCTCGTGGATGTGGACTAATTTCCCTTAGCTCTACGCTGTTCTTGACCAGAATGGCTCCGAAGACAAGATGAAGAGCGTTCTCACCCTCTCGCGCGGAACCGCCATTATTCTCCTCTTGCTCTACGTCTTGTACCTCATTTTCCAACTTCGCACCCACAGCAACTTGTTCGATGCCGAGAACCAGGATGGAGAGGAGCACGAACCCGAGGAACCCATGATGGGGCCCATTGCTGCCGGAGCCGTTCTCGTCGTCACTACGATCCTTGTCGCCATTTGCGCCGATTATCTCGTTGGGAGCATTGACCCGTTGGTTGAGACAGCGGGCATCAGCAAGGCTTTCATTGGTCTGATTTTGATTCCGATTGTGGGTAATGCCGCTGAGCATGTCACTGCTGTCGTGGTTGCGGCCCGAGACAAGATGGACCTGGCTATGGGTGTTGCCATTGGCTCCAGCATCCAGATTGCTCTCCTTGTTACTCCTTTCCTCGTCATCGTCGGTTGGATCATTGGCCGTGACATGTCTCTCCACTTCGAGACCTGTAAGTCCACGTTTCATCTTCTTCTTCCTGCGCCACGGTGCTAACGTTGCTTCTTCACAGTCCAGACCGTCGCCTTCGCCGTTTCGGTTCTCGTTGTCACCTACACTGTCCAAGATGGCAAGTCCAACTACCTCGAGGGCGCCATGCTCCTCGGCCTCTACTCCATCATCGCCCTCGCATTCTACGCCACCCCCAGCGATGCCATTAAGAGCGGCTTCTAAGGCATTTCTGCCAATATAATCGCCTTAAACATCGCGATTTTCCTCCTTACACCAGTCACTCGGTCCTTACAGGACCACTCGATACGATACGTTGAAGTAGCTATTGCTACTTAGTAACATGCGCAGCGTGGTCTGTGCGGGAACCAGGTCGCATCACACGACCATATATCCAAGACAAACTCCATCCGGTTCTACCCGTGCTAATTTCTTTGGTTCATTTTTCGTCCGTGTATTAGTAGGAGAGGAAGGTATGCTGCGCAGGACCAGCAGACAAAGGACGGGAATGGGAAGGTAGGTAGAGAGGAGTGTTTGATGAGTGATCGGCGAGGATCAAAAGGATCGATAACGTTGCTTTGCGTATTCACGCCCGTGTTTTCATTATGTCAAAAATATTCGGAATGTCTCATCGAAGTACGCCTCTGATTGCGCGTGTTTTTGGTTTCCTTTTCTCTTTGTATATCGTTGGGGCTGCAAAGTCGGGAAGTGGGAAGACAAGAGATCAATAAGAAAAGAAGACGTTAGTTCTAAAAAGGGCTTGAAAGCGTGGGCCAGATTGTTTGGCTGCTTGTCTCCGTACGTATCTATCTAGTCAAGAAAAGCTTCTTTGAATAAATCGTCGCCGTCGAAGTAAACATGTCAATTGTGTCTGCTCGTTTCCGTTGCTCTGATCCAGGAGAATGGACGAGCTAGAATCATTACAAGTGTGACAGGCAAAACGACCGTTTCCCTGTAATGCCTTGACCTTCACAGATGACGTGTCGTCCCAGTATTTCTTTCTTTGTATTTGTGGCTTCTTTTTTCCTTTTCAGCCAAAATCCAAAGAGAAGTGAGGCGGCTGCCGGCCGAAACCCCGCACCAAAGCCCGACGTTAGGGCTACCGTGCAGAACATGTGCAACTAAGCTATTGCATCACGAGGCAACCGGCCAAAGCTGCACATAACACGACAGAGTCTGACTTGCAGCACTAGAGCCGTCCGCAGGTACACAAGTGCATGGAGTATCAGTCATGATAGGCAAACGGCGGGTTTCCGGTCAAGGCTTAGCGGTTGGGATTATTCAGGCTGCAAGGCTCAAAGACGGGGCTCTAGGCGTCCTTTGGCTCTTCTTTGTCAAGGTGACAGCTACCACCAACCGCACCGAGGAAGCCTCACGCGTGTGACAAAGGATGACTTTGGCTCTTAGTGTTTTGAGCAGGGGTTTGATTTTGAATGGCTGCAGTGACGTAGTGAACCGGGGTGTTGATTCCGTAGTATGATCTAGAAAATTTAGAGCAAAGTTGCGAACGCCAGGAACAGGGGGTGTACATATGAGCTACATAGCCGATTTGAGTTGAAAGGGCTCAACAGAAAGCTTATCAAATAAAGGACCAGGTATTTCACTTCATGTTTGTATGGGTCTAGTTAGGTTATTTGACGACGTGCATGCCTTTACCACGTCTCCGTGAGCTCTCTGGTGCCACGCCACTGTTCTGTGGCTCATAAACAACCTTCATCTTCACCAACTCTAGTTATATCGTAACTTAACCATCCCCAGACGACTTGCCGCTCCTATCTAAAGCGGGGGCGAGTACTAAAGTGACTTTACCATCGCCTGTGTGCTTCTAACCGCCTTCCAGTGATATGGTGCCGGGGTTGAATGGGCGAGGCTTACTGGCGAAACTCCAAGAAAATGGGCAACTTGCCTGGCAAATCGTTTATCCAGTTCTAGACTCTGATCGATGATAGCGAGGAGATGGTTCTCCACGGCTTGAATTTTAGACGAGAACAGCGGGAGTAGGTGCTCGCAAAACCGTTGAACGTAGACTTTGGCCAGCAATTTGCGATCAGCTCCGGCCTGTTTCCCATCCAGGCTACGGAGGGCCCTTTCAAAAGTCTCGTCCAAGCGCTAGCAACACTACATCCCTGTACCCTGTCAGTTACCTGAGATATATAGAGGTTGTGATAGCATCCCCAAGCTATCCCCTAATATTCTGTAGCTTCAGTGGTATTAGGGGCTGCTGGCCAGGATCTAGTGGATGATAGTGTGCTGTAATCTGCTATCTTTTAGGGCTTATAAGAAGTAGGAATTACTTTATGTACTTAGTCTAATTGTGATTGGCTGATTAGGAATCGTTGCTTTTTCTTGGGACAAGACTTTTGAAAGGGCCCTCCGTATGGTGCCCAATGTTTAAGTGCTTGTGCTTGCCCTCCACATGTGGAACTCGTATTTTGCATTGGAATCCTCAGCCGTTGCGCCTTTCCACATGGGCTCTACAATCCAATGTTCGCAATCTTCCGTGCATCTTTACACCCGGAGTTATAACAGTCCCTACCAAAGAATGGAGACATGTTGTAGATGGCATCGCTTACGATAATTGGTGCTCAGGAAAATGCGAGGCCGAAAAAACGGAAATTGATAAACACCGACAGAAAAGCTCGAACCACAGAAGGACACTTATCCGGAGATCTCATATTAGTCTCTGTGGCGTGTTGGGGAAGTTTGGGGAACCTTTCCATGAATCTAATCGAGTTTGGAGAGATCCTTTGATCCCTGGTAACATGCTGGATGACAGAATTGTGAATGTCGTTTCGGAGCTGTCGACCCTTCTAATAAATCTCATCGTCGGTCAATTAGTCGACACCTTAGTTCTAGCGTACAAGAGCGTTCAGCTCGAGGGCAGTCTGTTTCCAGCGGTTGCACACGTCGCTAGCCTGCTTTTTTTTTTGTCTGGAGAGGATTGGTTCTGTCTCTTGTAATTCGAGTCTGATCTTAGTTCCAGTTTCGCTATCATTGTTTCCTGGAATGGTTATAAGATCTGAGATGGACGGCTACTAGGTCGCTAGGCATCTGAACGCGGTGTATAGAACTAGAGACCAATCCAGGCCCATCAAAGTATAACCGGGCTTTGCGTGGGAGGTAGCCAACTTAGCAAGTAGATCAGAACAAGTGTCCCATTATGTTAATGTTCGATCCTTAGAGTAACAGATCACATAGCAAGACTGATAACACTTGAGCAGCCTGCAAGCACCCAAACATTAATTAAAAACAAGATAATAGACAATATCTGCCAATTAGAAAGCTATTAGTTAGAAAGAAGAGGTCGAAAGGTGCCCTCGATAGCATGGACCTTGTCTCCTAACCATTATTCACTGGGTCACTATTTTTGATACGATTGTTGGTATTTTTTTTTTACTGTTGAGCTTCTAGTCCCCCCTCTGGGTATGTGTGTACTAGGGCACCCTACCTCTTGATTCACTGGGTCACTTTCAAGTTGCCGAGGAATCCTTATATGTACAATACAAATTAAGACGAGTGTCAGTTCACAGGGAAAGAGTCTTGAGCTGACTGACAAAAATATTCAATCATGTGGCTTATATGGCTTATATGGCTTCTCGCTCTCTTGGTTGACCTTTTTTCCTTTTCTGTTCTTTTTTTCCCCCTCTGTTTTCTCCTTTTTTTTTTATCTTTTGATCTTTTTCTCTGTCTTTTTCTTTTCTTTTTTGGCTTTTTTTTTTTTCGTAGGTCTTTTTTTCTCTTGTCTTTTTTTTTCATCTTGTTCTTTTTTTCCTGAATTTTTGCAACGAGAATCGAACTTGAAGGGGCAGATGCCCAACGAATGTTGCAAGGAGATATCATATACCCCATTACGTTAAATGACAGTCCTCCACATGTTCCTGGGGTATGGAGGACACTTTGACTCTATAAGGTTCCCTACTTTTGCCACAGAGGACACAAGGGTCGACTGTCAAGCTGCTTTGGGCCCAGCCGGCCGTCATCACGTAAGCTACAACGGCAGAAAGTGGAAAGGAAGAAAGATTTTGGTATTCGTGGTGAGAGGCTGCCAGTAGTGGCAGCAGTGTCTATTGTTTATATCATAGGCTTGGACATGGGCGCGATGATGCCCTGCTTCATGATCACACGAGGCTTGGTACTGTCTTGGAACGTCTCCTTGGTCATCCATTCGGGTCCCACAGGCAGGCGTAGCGAACGCTCGTACTGCTCGCGTGACTCGAAGGGGTGGGGGAGCTGTGAGGAAAGGTAGCGGTCGTTCTGTCGAATAAGTTAGCATATGTGGTCATCCTGATGGTGACATATGTAGGAGTTGATGGAAGTGAGGGGATGTTTACCTTCTTGACCCGCTTCTCGTTGATGATAACCTTATCTAGCTTGGCATCCTTGCGGTTCTTCTTCTTGATGCCCTCTACCTTGGTCAAGAAGCGGCCCTGGTGGCGCTTCTGCTCACGGCTGCTGACACCCTCGCCGACCCATGAGCCCCAGCCTGGAAGCGTGTTGTCGATGATCTTGTCGTCGTCGGCCTCGGCCACTTCGTTCTTCTCGCGCTCAAACTCGCCCACGACGTCCTCTCCGGCAAACGCACGCGCTACCATCTCCTGGTCACGAATTGCCATGGGGAGATGCTGATCCATGTCTGAGCCATCAGAGTCAGCATCATCCTGAGTTGCGCCATTCGTTGCTTTGGACTTTGACTTGGACTTGCTGGGTCGAGAAGCCACGATGACGTTGGCAGTAAGATCAAGATCCTCAATGCGTGAGCTGGACTGGCCCTTCTTCTTGCGGCGGGTCTCGCCGCGGGACCATGCTCCTGCAGTTGAGGCACCGGCAGATGTCGACAAGTCAATTGAAGTGGTCTTGGACACATCCGTCTTCGAGGCGTTGGTGGTTATCATCACTTCGTCGTCGTCGTCGTCGTCGTCGTCATCGTTGCGCGATCTTCGCTTCTTGGCAGCTCTGGATGAGGATTCGGTAGCAGGGGTGAATGGCTTTCCCTCGGCGGCACCATACTGTCGGCGGCCTACTTCTTCCTTCTGATCGTCATCGCCAGAGTCAGCTGACTCTTCGCCGTCCAGCTCTCGTCGAATCTGCTTCACAAGTGCATCGTTGGCTTGCTTCTTGGCCGCCTCGGCCTTTTGCATGAACTTCATGCCCATCAATCCCGTTTGAGGCTCATCGCTCTCCTCTTCCAACTCCCTGAGCTGTCTTCGTAGCGACGCATCGCCATTATCCGAGCCACTATCGGAACTGGAGTCGTCGTCCAGTCCGGATCTGCCTTCTTTCCTCCTTCGAAGCTCCTCATCCTTGCGGGCCATTTCTGTCAGTCCAGTCCGGAAATCCTCGTCCCAGACAGCTCGCTTCGCCTTTCCTCCAATCTTGGCCCATTTGCTCTCTTTGTGACGTTGACCAACACGCTCGAGGGCTCGTCGGCGGTCCTGAGCTTCGCGCTCCTCCTCAGAGTCGATCTCACCGGCCTCCTCCATAGCCTCCTTAGTGGCAATCTCATCACGCTCACGCTGCCGCCGGTGGACACGGTGATAGGCCTTACTCTTGATCTTCTTGATGCGCGCTGCTCGTTTTGTCTCCCGCGAGTTCAGTTCGCGCTCCATCCGCTTCCGAGCCAGAGCCTCCTTTCGGGACAACTCATTGCCCTCGTCGTCGAACTCCTTCTCCTTCGGCTTCTGAGGCTTGTCAAGAGACAGGCCACTTTGCGCCATAATGCCCATAATTGCAGACTCCAGCTCGTTGGTCGGGTTCTTGGTGGTAAGGGGCTGGATCTCGGTCGTATCAAGACCAGCAGTCGCTGAGTTTTGAGCGAGAGGAAAGACGAGATGCTCTGCTCTTCGGTTTTGCTTCACAGTCTCGTTCCATCTGTCCAAAGTCTCATTGGTCTTTTCGTAGGCAGCACTCCGGTCCAGACGGCCCTGCTCCCTCCTTGCGAGAGGAATATCCAGCTTCTTCGTAGCGCCGGGGCGCGTCTCCTTCTCCTCCTTATTCAAGAGTTTCATGGACTTCTTCACATTCTGGTCGTTGACGCCGCTCAGTCCCAGGTCGCTGAGGCTGATTTTTGATTTCGCCTTGGTCTTGGATTGGTCCTCCTCCTCCTCTCCTCCGTAGCCGGCGATCAAACCCTGGAGAGCCTGCAGCTTCTCGGGGTTTGCTTCCTCGTCGTCGCTATCGTCGCTATCGTCGTCGTCATCCTCCTCGGACTCGTCTGAAGCATCATCGTCTGAGTCGGACGAGCCGGACTGCTCCTTGCTATCTGGCTCCTCTTCTGAAGACTCTTCGAATTGGTCGAGTGCAGTCGCCAAGTCGATGGCTTCTGCGCCAAGAGTCTCTCCTTCGTCATCTTGCGAGTCATCTTCAGAGTCGTCATCCTATTGCCTGTTAGTATGGTCGAACTTCCTGCGGCGAGAGATCCTACCTTTTGGGTTGACTTGCTACCACGGAATGAGTATCCCTTCATCTTCTCCTGGTCGCTGTCGCCAAAAGCGTCGTCACTCTCAATCTCAGAATCCTCGTCGTCGTCTCGCAGACCTCCAAGTCGCCACTCATTTCCTTCGCTGTCGCTGCCATCATCGGCATCGTCGCCGGTGGATCGGCTGGGTCTGGCCTTCTTCCTCTGGGGCTCTTCTTCTTCCTCGTCCTCGTCTTCATCGTCGTCATCGTCCCGGCCGTGCTTCCTTTCGATCTCGGCATCCAGTTCTCTCGCTCGGGGCGTCTGCTTCTGTCTCGGGGCAAACTTTTCCTGGGCAATGCCAAAAGCATCGAGGGCATTCTTCTGCGACCGGGCCTTGGACTTTTTGTTGTTGGCGTTGGCCTTCGTCTTGGGACCTGCCGTCAGGGGGCGGCCGTGGGCCTGTCGTCCACCCATCTTGTGCGAAGAGTGGTGGATTTGCTGATTGCGGTCGTGGGTGGTCTGGTCGTCGTAGGATCGCGAATCCGGCTTGAAGCTGCGACCTTCGGTGCTTGGTGGGCTAGGCACTTTTTTTCAATTTTCTGCCGTGCAAAAATTTGGCGGTGAGAAGTGGGCCTGGGAGGGGACCCCTGCTGCCCTGCAGAACAGTCCAGCGGGTACCCGCCTATCAACGGCGCCTTATTCCAGCGCACCAGTGTCGCTTCAGGGCCATCGACCTTAATAATTCGGCGCGGATGCGCTACAAATCCGAGAGCGCGAGCGCCGAGACCCATCGGATGGGCAGCGGACTTGAATTTGTCGGCCTCGTATGACTGGGACTTATTCCCTTCTCCTTCAACGCCGGGCCTCTCCTCTGCCATAACCCGCAATCTGCACCCTCAACAATGGCGTCCTTCGCCCCCGGGTTCAGGAGGATATTCCTCCAGGCCTCGGTCTCGGCGCCCAAGTTCTTCGCCTGCAACCAATGCCTCCGCCAGGCCCCGCGCACCATGGGGATGCCCTCGCGCATCCTCAGCATCGTCCGATCCCGACCCTACTCCGACGCCACCATGGCCAAGCCCGTGGCCAACATTGCCGAGCAAGTTGCTGCGCGGTCCGCCCCGGGAATTGCTGAGGCGGCCAAGAGCTCATGGCCCAAGGCTTCCTCCAAGAGTGTTGGATACTGGCTCATCGGCAGCGCTGTCAGCGTCTTTGGTATTGTCGTCTTCGGTGGCCTGACGAGGTTGACCGAATCTGGGTAGAGTGGCCTGAGCCAATTCGCCTGCCAAGCAGCCGGGACTAACTTGGGAATCAGATTGAGTATCACCGAATGGCGTCCCGTCACCGGCTCCATGCCCCCGATGTCTCAGGCCGACTGGGAATCCGAGTTCGAAAAGTACCGTGCCTCGCCCGAATTCAAGCTGCTCAACCCCCACATGAACCTCGACGAATTCAAGAAGATCTACTTCATGGAGTGGTTCCACCGTCTCTGGGGCCGCTTCATTGGCATGACATTTGTTCTCCCCACGCTGTACTTCATCGCCCGCCGTAGAGTCACTCCCAAGATGGCTGCCAACCTCCTCGGCATCTCAGCCTTGATCGGCTTCCAGGGCATCATCGGCTGGTGGATGGTCAAGTCTGGTCTCAAGGACGATCTCTTCGCTCCTGGATCCCACCCCCGTGTCTCCCAGTACCGCCTTACCGCTCATCTTGGTACCGCCTTTATCTGCTACTCCTGGATGCTCATCTCTGGTCTCACCGTCCTCCGCACTCACCGCTGGCTCGCCAACCCTGAGACGGCTCTGAAGACCATCAAGGGCATCAGCCATCCTGGTCTGGTCAACTTCCGACGCTCTGTGTTTGCTGTTGCTGCTCTGACCTTCGTCACTGCCATGTCTGGTGGTCTGGTCGCTGGTCTCGATGCTGGTCTCATCTACAACGAGTTCCCCAAGATGGGTCTTGGCATCTTCCCTCCTAAGAATGAGCTTTTCGACACATTTTACTCCCGTAAAGAGGACCACTCCGATCTCTGGTGGCGCAACATCCTCGAGAACCCAAGCACTGTCCAGATGAACCATCGAATTCTCGCCGTCTCTACATTTTGCGCCATTGTTTCCCTCTTCCTCTTCGCCCGCACCAGGAAGATCGCTCCCATCCTTCCCGTCAACATTCAGCGCGGTTCCACCGGTCTGCTACATATCGTCTCCATGCAGGTTGTTCTCGGCATCAGCACCCTCATCTACATGGTTCCCATCCACCTTGGCGCTGCCCACCAGGCCGGTGCCCTCGGTGTTCTGAGCATGGCCCTCATCCTGGCCCATCGATTGCACATTCCTAGGCCCACTTTGCGCCTCCTGGAGCAGCGTGTGAAGCAGCTGTCCAAGTAATGGCATCGTGGTGGGGTGATTGCATACGGGTAAACACCACTGTAAAATATCAATGAGTGTATAATACTAGACGAACCAACCGGCGGCAAGGAGGGTGGTATGATGGGCTGAGATGTCCGCCCAGCCTCGATGTTAGATGAACATGTAAAGACAAACTCAGCTCTAGATGGCATTTCACTTATCAAGCCTTCTAAAACAAAATCCTTTTTTTATTTCATCATCATGAACCTGTATTCACAAATGATACTATGACCGTTTAAATACCACGCATGACGTCATAACCGTTGACCATATCTCGGTATCCATCCTCTTAGACAATCCTTTTCTTTACTTGTGAGCTGGGGGGCAATGTTAGCGTGGCTCAAACGTGGTTCATAATACAAACTTACCAATGCCCTCGACAGGTAGGGGCTCAATGCCAACCTCCTCAGCAGCCAACTTCTCCTTCTTCTCTGGGTCGTCCTTCATGAAGGGGAAGGCCAGGACCTCACGAATGGTGTAGTTGTCAGTCAAGAACATGACCATGCGGTCAATACCCATGCCCCAACCACCAGTGGGGGGCAGGCCGTACTCAAGCGAGCTGCAGAAGTTCTCGTCGATGAGCTGAGCCTCGTCGTCACCCTGGTCCTTCTGGCGAGCCTGCTCCTCGAAACGGAGGCGCTGGTCGAAGGGGTCGTTCAACTCGGTATAGGCGTTGGCAATCTCCTTCTTGCAGACGAAGGCCTCGAATCGCTCGCAGAGACCGGGAATCTCACGGTGGTACTTGGCCAGAGGGCTCATGACCTGGGGATGACCGGTGATGAAAGAGGGGTTGACACACTTCTCCTCAATGAACTCGCCGACCAGCTTGTCAATCATGCGGGCGTTGGTCAGAGGAGGCGTGCAGTCCAGCTTCATCTTCTTGAGAATTCCACGAAGGAAATCGTTGGTCTCCTGGGTGTGGAGCTGGTCGCCAGGGGGGAACTTCTCGCCGGTGGCCTCCTCAAGCGTGGGGATCATCTCGTAACGGGGCCAAGGCTTCTCCCAGTTGACCTCGTAGGTCTCGCCGCTCTGGGTGTGGAAGGTGGTCTTGTATCCACCAGTCAGGTACTTGACGAGTCCCGAGACCATGTCTTCGGTGGTTTCCATCAAGTCGTTAACATCGGCGTAGGCCTCGTAAAACTCAATGGTGGTGAACTCAGGGTTGTGGGTGAGATCGGCACCTTCGTTTCGGAACTGACGTCCAATCTCGTACACTCGGTTCAGGCCACCAACGACCAGCATCTTGAGGTACAACTCGGGGGCGACACGCATGAACATTTGCATGTCGTACTCATTGTGGTGGGTGGTAAAGGGCTTAGCCGTGGCACCACCGGCAATCTGGTTCATCATGGGGGTCTCGACTTCGACGAAGTCTCGCTCATCGAAGTAACGGCGAATCCAGGTGATCATCTTGGATCGGGTAATGAAAACGTTGCGCGACCTCTCATTGCAGATAAGATCAAGGTAGCGCTTGCGGAAACGTTGCTCAACATCCTTGAAGCCGTAGTGGTCGTCAGGCAGGGCGTGAAGGCAGGGGGTCAAAAGGATGACCTCGGTCGCGAAGATTGACAGCTCACCCTCCTCACCCTTCTCTATCTTGGTCTTGGGGGCGGTTCTATCAATTGTCAGTATCGCCTCATTGCCTCAATTGGGACGCTGGTCTACCAACCTGCCAGGGTATCCGATAATACCGATGATATCACCACGGCGAAGGTGCTCATGCTGAGCATCGAAAGAGGGGGCACCCTCTCGCACCTCCTGGGCCTGGCACATGACCTGGACCTTGACACCCTCAGTGCGGACATCGTAGAAGGCGAGCTTGGAGCCTGATGATCGCTTGCCGTGGATTCGGGCACCGATCTGGATGATCTTGTCCTTGGCATGCTCGCCGGACTTGAGGTAGCTGTACTCCTCGACGAACTTGCGCAGGTCGTAGGTGACATTGAACTTGTGGGGGTAGGGGTTCGGGCTCTTGGTCGTGCGGAGCTTGTTGATGGTCCGCGATCGGATCTCGAAGTACTGGTTCGGGGTGAGGTCCTTCTCAGAAGCCTCGCCACCAACGGGCTTCTTGGGAGCCGCAGAAGCGGGTCGTTCGGCGGCCTTCTTCTTCTTCTCTTCCTCCTTCTGGCGGGCCTTCTGGCGCTTCTTCAGCTCCGTCTTGGAGATACGCTCGCCAGTGACTTCGTCGAGGTGCAGGTTGGCGACCTGCTCGGTCGGGGGGGCAGCGGCGTCAGCCATGATTGCGTCGCGTTTCTCTCGTTGGTGTTTTGGGTGAAAGGTCAGCTCAACGAGAAAGCCGGTGTCTTGTCGAGTCGCGAATTATCTCTGGCGACAAAATGAGTCAGGTGTGAGTCTTTGGTGGAGGGAGTCAGGGCATTGAGGGGCAGAAAATATGACTGCGCGCCACAATCGCGGGGTAAATTTTCAGCCAAAGCAACCGTGACTCAGCCCCTCCAAAATCGGGTGGCGTCGCTGGGCGAGGTCAGTTAACAGGCTTCGGTTAGACAGGACGATGTAAAGGAAGCTTCAATGCAAAGGAAACTTCAGGAAGCCAATGTACAATAGTGTTCGTATTAACACATCATGAGCAAGCCAAACTACGCTCTGTGAGTCTTTGGTCATTAAAATATCTTTGTCAGCCCTACAAGCAACCACCACACCCCGCGACGGAGGCTCTGATACCTGGTGTCACATTGGCGTCTCATTCCATATACATGGGATCCCCTCGCACTCCTTGCATCGCCATACCCATATCGCCCCCGTGCATTGCACTAGTTTGCATAGCCATGTTCATGTTAGGCATCGACCGACTCATCGCAATTGCTGCCCTTCCCACGGGGCTGCCATTGCCATTTGGCATCATGAATCGTGGGTCCGGGTTTGTGCGTTGTTGGATGGGTGCTCTCGTCCGAGGAACTTCAAGTGTAGCCTGCTGCTGCATAGGTGGAGGAGGTTTGACCGGTGATGGATTCATTATGGCGAAGCTATCGTCGTCCTCCATCTCAGCATCAGCATCCTGGTCACTCATTTCTTCGATCGAGGGTGGAGCAGTCGTCGTGGTTGAGCCCGTGGTTTGTTCACTCATGCCGCCAGTTGTGCTCGCTGTGGATAATCGCTTAAGCTGCGGCTGCGGCTGCGGCTGCTGTGGTTGTTGCTGTGGTTGTTTCTGCGGCTGCGGCAGCACCGCCTGTTGGGGAGTTTGCACCTGTGGAGGTGGTACTGGCGTTTGAACCTTGGGTGTAGGTTGTGTATGCCCATTAATGGTGGCTCCTCCAATCGGCTGTACCGTCTGATCCAACGGCCTTTGGGCGTTCATACCAGTCGCGCTGGCCCGTGTGGATGCGATGACCTTTTTCCAACGCTCAATAGATTTTGACACAATTGAGCTCAACTCAACCTGGGTGTCCTCCAAGCCAAAGCCCATCCCCTTTCCACCCTTGGCGCCTTGCTCGAGTAGTGCAGTAAGGAGCTCCCGTTCCATTGGTACCGTGATTGGTTGCGAAATTTTGAATTCTCGGGGTTGTTGTAGTCGGTTCAGCTGCTCAAGTTGCAACTTGAGGTTGGCGTTCTCCTGCTTCAGTTTGTGTTGCTCCTGTTTCATCTTCTCCGTCTCTTTGTGTTTTCTGCCAACGCTCCGTGCCAGTTCTAAAATCCAGAGCTCTTGGCGTCGTGCAACAGGTAATGAATCCCAAACTGTGTATGCAGACTGCAGATGCTCATTGACCTGTGCCTCGAGATTCTCGGCGGTTTGTTCTGCGTTTCGGACTGCCTCACGTAGGTCTCGATAAGGGCCCATGTTAGGGGGGTATGTCGATTCTTCGGCGGCAGAAGAAGTCGCTGAAGTACACGTCAACTTCCAGGCTCGGAACTCCGCCTGGAAGTATGATCGAAGGGCATCGAACTCGCGCTGTCCTGGTGACTGGACAGACCATGAGGTTGAGGTCGGGTGCTGGGTTGAAGAGAAAAGGGTCGGGGGCGGCTGGAGGCATTGAAGCGTCAAGGCAGGGAAGTCAAGGGACAGGGGGTCGAAGTCGAAGGGCATGGAGTTGGTATCGAGCTGCAATCTGCAAGTGTGTTAGCTATCATGTAAGATGAGAGTCAGGAGCGGGAGCGCGAACCTAGCTGCTCGCCAAGAGGAGAGCAATTCTCGCAATGCCAACTCAGCAGCGCGGGCGGTATCAATGGCATCAGTCAATTTATGCTTTACATCGAATTGGGCCTTCTGAATGGCTTGTTTGCTCACGGCTCGCTGCATGCCTGGGCGCTTCATGGGCTCAGGAGTAGCGTCCCCTTCCCAACTACCCTTCTTCGGGATGTCATTCATAACACCCGTTGCTTCCCATGTCGGCTGAAAGGGGTATTTAAAGCTGGAATCCACCACAAACTGGCCATCCTTCGGAAGCGCGGGGGACTTGTATCCGTCATTTTCCGGGACGGGAGTATCCTTCGATGCCGAGGGCTTGGGTGTGCCGATAGGGGTCGAGGCTTCTCGCCTGCCGCCCATCGAGCCTCGAGGTTGGCGTCTGGTGATGCCTCCTCGAAGCTTCTTAATGGCGTCGACATCGTGGAGGCCATCCGGGGGTTTGGGGTTCTTCTCCTTGATGTACAGGTCGAGATGGCGGCCAAGCGAGGACGAGGTGAAAGCCTGCCCGCAGTATGGGCAGTTTTTGTCTTTGGGAGCGCTAGCCTTGGGCGTGGTCGAGTCGGCGGTCTGGGAGGCAGTTTCGGACATTATATATGATCTTCTCTCGGGGTGGATTAAGTGAAAACGAGTGTGGGAGCCTCACGGCTACAGGAAAGAAGCAGCTGGTGTATGTCTACGGCGGTAGGAGTGCGGCTCCTGTGGGGGAGCAATAGAGCCGAGAATCATAGGGAGCGACGAAGAAGTGAGAAACGAGCGTGTCGGGGCCGAGACCTCCAAGAGCAAAGATGAAGGGACAAGGTGAACCACCTAGGAGAGAGAGACTCGGGACATGAGACGAAGAAGAGAAGGACAAGAATACTCGGAGTTGATATCTGCCGGGGGCAGAGGAGGTACGGAGCAGTAAGGGGAAGCCGACCAGTATCACTGGGTTTAATTATTTTTTTTTAAATCAAGCCTCCGTTCAGGGGCGGATCCAACAAAGTTCCCCCCGAAAGCTGCCCCCCCAAAGCCCCCAGCAGCGCCCCCAGCGCGCCCCAGATTGGCGCCGCTAGCACCAACAGACCCCTGGAGCGTAGAGGCCTTCCGGTTGGAGAAGAGTCCTCTCCGTCCACTGAGTTTCCCCCGTCCCGTCCCCTCCCATGGCGACTGCCCTGGGCGTCTCCTCCCGCCTCTCGCTTAGCGCTGATCGACCGCTCTCGAGAGGCCGTCCTAGCGCCCCTAGACCTCTCTTCCGCGTCAATGCTCGCTGTCGCGTCGGAGCCTCTGGGGGAAAGACGGGGACAGCGACTCGATCGATGCGTCAAGCTGTCACTGCCCGCATGCCCTGGAAGAAGCCAGCGTCCAAGATACAACTCTCCTTACTGGGGCCCGTGTGTAGCGTCGACAGGGTTGCGAAAATCAGTCGGCACTTGCGGCTCTCGGCCACGCCCAACCAAGGACAAGCATGGTGGAATGGGATGGGTGGATGGATACCGATGGACGCCTAGATCCGAGGCTTTCAGGAGACGAGGCGCGAGCAACCACCACTGGGGACCAGCACGTTGTACGGTGAGATTGTTGGGGCGCTCTCCTCTCTCCTCTCTCCTGGCCCAAGCGATGGCCAAATGCTTCGTAACTCGCCATTCGCAGAGTCGTGGCATCCAATGCCTGTGACCTATTGACCTATTGACCAGAGCCTGAGAGGTCCCAATACGACAACGCAACGCCGAATGCTTGCCAGCGAGGCACGTTGGTGCTGTCATCATCTATGCCGTGCCGGTGGCGTCTTGGCGTGGGATTGGCTCGTTCAAAAGTCGGCCTGTTGGGCCTGCGTCTCGCATGTGGCCTCTTGCCGTTTTGCTCGTGTCTAATTCAACTTCTGCATGGCGCCCAGTCGGGTCTCCTTGACGCCTCTTGTCAGCTGTCTCTGTCAGCTGTCTCTGCCCACTCGGAGACATCAGAGATCAACTCCATCCCACCCGGAAGGTCGCCGCGTACCTCCCCGCACATACAAAGAGGCAACTTCCTGTCCACGGACTCGACCAACCCGGTCCCCAAGTCGGGCGGACGGGAGACAACAGGACCCTGCCGGCCCCTGTAGGGCCAGCAATCACAGGACGCTGGCATCGGCAGTCTCACGGCGCTAAGCTCTCTGGATTGGCCTGGCCAGGGGCATGGGTGGCACCGACCACGCGGTCGTTCAAGAGCCAACCTGCGACATCCTTGTCCGAGACACGGTGAGCTTGCATACCCCTTTAACACTGCAGAACAAGCCGCCGTATTACTTTATTACATCCTGCAGCTGAAATCCCTCACGCATGGTGTCTTCAGCCATTATCTTTCCATCCAGAAACGCCGCGTTGTTAGGAACGGCCCCAAGATATGCTCCTACGCGTCGGTCAGACTAGATGGTAAGCTATCGCGCAGCCTCCCATGCCAAGGATCGTGGACCCCCGTCGATGATAGGTGGCTCGTGGCCGACATTGACCTCTCTACCCCTGAACAAAGCCGCAAAAGGCGCCCATTAGGGGTTACGCGGATACGGCAACTAAACCTAGGGAGGCAAAGCATCAGAGGAGTCACCAAAGCTAGCCAGCTTCCACAGTCAAAGGCTTGCGCTATTCCCCTGGCTACGATCCATTGACACTTGGTCGATGTTTAATCCTCGTATGAACCGACAAGCTAAGGAGCAGCGGTATCGCGCATTTCCGCGTGTCATTCTCGGTCTGGCGGCTTGTGGACCAACATGTGGCTATCTTGCTTCTTTTGCCATGCCTCCACAATCAACAGAGATCCAGAGACAATAAAAAATTAACGTAGAAGATGGCGTCGCCTCAGAGTCAATCGCGGCAGCACTCCGTAAAACATAGCCAATTACTCAAACCCCTATTACATATGCATATCTACTCCCAGATTTGCTTCTGCTCTTGGACCTCGACATTAACCCTGACGCCTCCAGTCCCCAAAAGGTAAGAATCTAAGAATCCCAAGTAATTAGCTAGAGACAATTAAGTCTTGGCATCACATTATATGAGATGATGGGGTGGGAGGCAACATGGCAATTTTGAGACTCGTCAAGAATGCCAGAGACAGAGCGAGCTTAGTGTGACACAGGCGCGGTCCTTTGGTCCAGCTCGATCGATGTCGTCAACGATGATTCGTCACGTGATGCTGAGCCACAAGAGAACGCCACACTCAGCCCCTCCACGTCAACCGACGTTGGAAGGAGCGCTGCATGCAGGTTACAGCCTCGTGTTTGTGTGCCAACCAATGTTTTGAGACGGAGCTTCACTTTCTTGCCCGCCCGCCACACTTCAGCGAATACAACCTCGCAACCGATCGTCCCACGTCGACGCTTGTCAAAACTCCAACGCGCGCAGTTAAAGCCTCCAAAATGCCACCAGGTAAGACTCTTTTCCCCCGATCATTCCCTCACCATCGCGTCGTCGCGTGTTTGTCGCATGCAATATACGATGGTCGCATCGCGCCTGGGCTTCGAATTCCTCCCCCTCAACCCCAGCCTGGGTCACAGGTGATCTAGGCCAAGAGCTGAACATAGCGCAGCACTGAGCGACGACGATTCCTCGGATCAGGCCGAATTTACGGCTCCCACCCGATCGACACGAAAGGCAGCGCAAGCCGTGCCCATCGATCCGGTTTCCGACACGAACGAGGATGACATTGAAGCTTCCAATGCCGATTCCGCAGATGAGGATGATGATATTGGATCGGATGTCGAGGGCCTCGATGAGGACGTGTAGGGCACTTGACTTCCTCTTGCTCCGATGCGATACTCAATCATTACAGGTTTATTGTGGAGTTAATTAAGAACCACACCATTGACGAAGATGTGAGAATACTGCGCCCGGTCCAGCCAGGTCCATGACTAATTTGCTTTTTAGGGTAGTCTCAAGTTCCAAGTCAAGTGGGAAGGATATGAGAGCAAGAAGGACTTGACATGGGAGCCTGAGGAGAATCTCAAGTAGGTGCCGAGCAACACTCTTTTGGGTGGTCTCATTTTGCTGACCAGTGCGTTCTCTTAGGGAAACTGCTGAAGAGATTCTCGAAATCTATTTTGAGAAAATTGGCGGTCGAGACAAAATCTTTGAGGAAACGGACAAGGCGTCCAAGTCGAAGAAACGCAGGCGAACAACTAACGGCGGTACCCCTAACACCACGACAAAAAGATCACGACGCAACGGAGTGCATCCCGCCGAGACTACTCCCCCTGCGACTGTGAAATCGCAGTGGGGTCCCCCTGCAGGCTCTTGGGAGGACGAGATTGAATCGATCGATGCTTGCGAGGACGAGGGCAGTGGCAAATTGATGGTTTATCTTATTTGGAAGAACGGCCATAAAACCAAGCACGAAACGCCTGTCATCTATAAGAAATGTCCTCAGAAGGTATGCCATTGCTGCTCTTTGGCTCTCGGCCTAGCGAATTCCTCTTCTAACACGAGTCAGATGCTTCACTTTTATGAGCGCCATGTCAAGATCATCCGGGATGAGAATAAGGCCCTGGCTGATGAGGCCGACGCCTAATCTCTCTCCGTACGTCACGTTTCGGACTTTGGACGACGGTTTATTTGAAGGCATCGTTGGCTGTTGCTGCGACCTGCAGGGGCGTTTTGGCGATCGATACGGGTCAAGGAGACCTCGGTTTTGCGACGAGGGAGTGGACGGGTATCAATTCAGAGCAATTCTCCCGCGGGCTTTCCAAGTAGGAGGCATATGTCCCATGTCATTACCGAGCGCAAGCAGGTAACACCAAGTGGGTGGATGGATTTTACATTTGCTATGACGGTGAAGATACGAGATCATAAAAGTGAAATTCGCAATGGCACCGGTAATTACGGGACGGAGTTCCAATGAATATTGTGAGTGCGATGCAAATGAGTCTTTCGCAATCATAGTGAAAGCATGGTTTTCGCGAATATGGAGCAAGAAAAGGCGAAATAGCCATGTACAGTATTGATATGAATGTCTCTCTTTTGTTTCGGATTGAGAGACGGATTCGTACGGGTGGGAACAAACCTGAGTAAACTCGTATAGGCATGGGTCAAACAGGGCAAGCAAGTCGTTACTCTACAAATAGCACAGGCCTTGGCAAATACTAGGGTTCGAGGTCAACAACCTGGGACTCCTGGGACTCCTGGGAGATGAACTATCGTATTCAGAGGCACAGGACCATGGTTCACCTCTCCACTGTCACCAACTCCAAGACAAGGCAGAACGGACGTCTTTGGGCGATTCAACGCCGACGCCCAATGGCAGACGGAGAGGTGACGTTGGACGAGGCTGGGAAGAAAAAAATGCCCCTGCGCACTGGCGGCCCAGCGCGCTCAGAAGGTGTCAGAGGGGTGAGACCCCTGCCGGAGCCCCACAGCGGACCCCTGGACATCGGAATTCCAGCGGCTGGGCGCCGGGATTGATGCTCTGGCGGGGGCTCCCAGTGGCCTTCCCAGTGGCCTGGCTGCCCCGGCTGGCCTGTGAAAACGCGTGGGCGTGTTCCCAGCCTTGCGATTTTTGCCGGCGCCGCGTTCAGAAAGTCGGTGGCGGGGCAACGACCTATATCTGCGAGCTGCCGCGGGAGCTTCCTCAACGCCCGCATTCCATCCTGCTTTATTGTCTCTCGACTGTTCTGTCTACAACAATTGTCACGATATCCCAACATCACACGAAACCAACTGCAAAATATCACATTTCCCTCTTCGCATAGAGTCAGATAATCAGACATTTTTGGTTGATCTCCGTGCAACGACACCATCACCACTCGTACCCCAGCACATTTGGTTGGTCGGTCAACTACGCCAGACCCCCGCGGCACTACAACCTTCTTCCCTCCTCCGTGCCAGCGCTTTGTCGGTATGTCAAACCTCCATCCTACATACATCCATCCTCCCACTCTGAACCTTTTCACCTGACTGACTAGAATCCAGATTTCCTCCCATCGACTCCTCGCTACCATCATCAGTCTCTGGACGAATAGCCCATAGACCACCCGCCGAGAAACCTCAAAACTCTCCAACTACGCCAACCCCCTCGCAACCGCCATCATGAAGAAGAACGATGTCATCGCCGTCATCATCATCATTCTCTTCGTCCTGCTCGCCGCCGTCTCCTTCGGTATCTGGAAGCTCGTCAGCGTCGCCAAGAAGTCCATGAGCGTCACATCCGGAACCAGCTCCAGCAGCGGCTCCACCGGCGACATCGTCGATCCGTGATTGCTGCAGCTTCTTTCGTTCGATTCGATTCGAAGTACAAATACTTGGTTTTTGTTATGGGTACGGCGTTCTTCCTTGGACTTGACAAACACGGAATGCCATGGGCAGAAATGGATGATACGAGGTTGATTCAGTGTGGTAATTTGTTGACGAAACATCCATGATGGGATGTTCTGGGATCGGGTACCATGAAGGCGAAATATTACGGCAGGATCGTTTATGGGACTATGAGCATCGGGCGTTATATTGGGATACGAGATACGGGTTTCTGTGGTATATAGGTCGACGACATGATCATATGCGCCAAAGAATGGCAGTGTAAATTTGGGAATGAGCCATATGAATGGGAAAAGACAAACAAGTAGATAGACGACAGCGACATCAAATGCAACGAGGAACCATGTTCCACTCACCACATTTTGTTTCCTCCTATTGCCCGTGGTTGTTACAGGCTACAATATGTAAAATACACATGTGGCTCTGCCAAGAGAGCCCTTGCTAGCACAGCTAATGTCTGATATATTCATACAGCCAGTCTGTGTCCAAGTCACCTCCTACTCTCTCAACCACCCTTCGAGTCATCCATCCAACTTGCCCCAATCGTCCAGCAATATGAGTTCCACTTCAAACTATTACATAGTTAACAGGTATCAACTAAGAGTCATAGGTTATGCCTTAGATCATGCCAGTCTCGAGCATGATGCCCTCTTCGCAGTGGGCGACGTAATATTATATACCATGACATTCCTTTGGCAGCTGAGATACGCTCTCTCCTAAAACCATTACAACCACTATTCTCATTCTGTATAATACAACCCTAACGACTTATTATGCGTGAGCCAACAAACATGTCACGAGCTGCGCTGACTCCTTACGTCAATCCATCTACAACATTAGAACACTGTTTGACATTATTCGCGGCCATAGACTTTGATGCGAAAATCAATGATCGTGGTGCTCACTATTCAACGCTTTCGACCAGGAAATGCTCTAGTTGCGAGCATCTTGGCAGTTGCCTTGGCATAATTACCCATAAGCGTGTCTGCTACGTGTGCTTCATGCCAAGCGTGAGGTATTTCCCTGAGACCGTCCCTTATGTCTCTAGGGTCACTAGTCTCCCCTAACACTGAGAAATCAAAATGCACCACTCATCGTCAGCCTCCTCGGACAATACACTGATGCCTCCAATTTTCCAAGGAAAAAAGGGATACGCTGTGACCCGCAAGCCATGATAGGAAGCTATCTAATAAATATATCGTAAGCACTAGGTTCGCAGGCTTAGGATAATTTTAAGGGAGAAAAATCCTTGACGATACATTTCAATCAATTCCGAGCCATGTCTTACTTCCTCGGGTCAGTCAGCGGGCTTAGGCTTTCACTGCGCTGGCTGCAGGGACATCAAGGGGCATAAGAAAGACCCCAGCCAGAATAAACAGCAAAGGGTCCCATGAATTGTATCCATCAGTATATGATAGTCAAGACGAACACGGATATCCAAAAATCCCCCTCACATATGGGAGACTTAATAACTGATGGCGATGGATCTTTGAAGCGCCGTTCAGCACACCATGGCTCAGGAGCGGGAGTCGGATCAACACGAGAACCCGATAAGGCAAATCTTATTAATAAAATAATGTTAAGCTAAAATTATAGCATCGCAGTTTCTGTATCCATCAATGGTTTAATCTCGCGACGATATGAGCAGAATATGTTAATTGTTCGCGATCGCCAAGATGCACCAGTCTTGGCTTGCTTGCTTGTGATTGGCCATTGGGCCAAAATCTGACTCAATATGGCAAGTGACTCAAAGACATTGGATACCTTCCTTCATCTGGGTGATCTGAAGAAACGCCAAGCTAAGGTAAATCAGACAAGAGGAGTATCGGCACTGCGACTATATCTTTTGTTTTATTCTTTGGTCTTACCCGAAACTTCCCGTCTTCCGCAACTTGCCCTCCATGCTACCCTGTATACAAACCCAGACTCCCGAAAATCAAACTCATGAGCTGCATATTCACTATCTATTACTGTCAGATTATTTTTTAGGGGTAGGGGTTGTCCTATAGCTTAAACAGGTGAGAAAGTCTCTAGTGTTGGGAATGGTGGTGGGATGAGTAGGGTCGGAGGTGGAGAGGGCGTGCCTCAAAACGCCACCCCACAGCACTCCAACTCCCTCACGCCTTCCAGTCGACCCCCAATATCAATGTTTGTGAACAAAAGGAAGGAAAAAAACTTGATTTCTTAATGATGCTTATTCTATTTTAGGTCACTCATCACATGTTTGAGTTCGTGTTTGATCTTCATCTATACCACGCCACAAAACGAGCACGGCCTGTAACGTCAGGCGTGACGCATCATGTCTCAGAGGATCCAATACCAAAACCGGTTGATTGCAACAGAGTCCATCTAATCTATACCAAGGCCCATACCCGGACTGTCATAACGTCTAGAAACACATTCTTGTTTACCTTAAACCAACACGCACAGTACATTAACGAGAGTAATTGTCTCTAGCTCCGAGTCCCATATCGCATTATACATCTGAAAGTGACAGATCGTACATTCTTAAATAGCGGTTCCGTTAAATGGAGAAATTTTCTTTGCTGTTCACACAATTAGCGTTCGTGCTCGCGTTAACAATCAAGGGTCAGAGCTGCTAGCATACATCCAGGTCGACTGAGGGGGACGATGTTGATGATGGCTTTGGCGAAGCCATTCTCCTCCTGGCGTTTCTTAACGCTTCGACGGGGTTTGAACGACTTTAGGGAGCGAGCTGTATCTCGGACAAGAACGCTCTTGAGTTCAATTAGCTAGTGACCACACTGGAAGCGGCATGAAATCTTACTCCGTCGGCAGGCACCAGGACTGGCTTCCCTGGCACGGGCAGGGTCGGGTCATCCGGAATATCTGCAGGATCCGTGACGTTGAGAAACCGGGGCTTCATGATGGGCCATCGAGCCTGAACAGGAGGACGAGTGATATCTGCATGGAAGTAATCAGCGGCCCATTCCCCTTTCCTTCGCGAGACACTTGACCGGACTTACCGGTATTCGAAGTCGGCAGCGAGGCTGTGAGGGGAGCAACAGCGGCGAGAAGAAAGACGAAGGCGCTGGTGGTTTTCATTTTGAATGATTGTGTATCGAAAACAAATGCTCGGGAGTTCGACGAGTTCGGATAGAAGAGATTCGAAGTGGGCGTCGTTACTTGCAAGGAGAGCACAGCTCTGAGAATCAATGAAGCAAGACACAAGAAAAAGGTCACAGACCCTGAACAAGAAAGACGAAATGCGATGAGAGTGAGGATGAAGAAAGCTTAGATGAACAGGCTCTTGTCCAGACACGCACTGATATATACCCACATGGAGGTTTTCCCCTTTCCATCCCGTACTGAGCTACCCCAGCTCTCGCACCAGATCCAACTCTGCAAGCTCCAGCATCGCCACCTTCATTGTCACCCCGAAGCAGCCTTCCCTGTCTCGGAAGAAGCGCCGCATGGCCCGCGACAGCCCCAAACGAGCCGGTGGAGCACCTTGATCGTCCCCCACGCTGCCGATGGTCGCAGAGCCGCCCGGACGAAGCGTCTTCCGGGCCAAACGCGTGCGTGCTGAGGAGTAAGCTTTTCTTTTGTGTTCGTCGTTCCAGGGGGGGTTCTGTCTGATCGTCGTGTGCGCGGCATTAGCGAGCGCCGCGGGCTCCTCCTGTTCGGTATCGGGCCCCTGGCGATCGGGCGTTGGTTGGCGGAGGCGCCGGGGGAGAAATCTGGAGCGAAGGAGGCGGAGGAGGCGGTTGAGACGTCGGAGTTTGGAGTGTGGCCCTGGCGTCTCAGGGCGCACGGGGAGGAGGAGTCGCAACGTTGGGATTGATGGCGATAGGGCTTGGAGATGAGCTAAAATTAGATTAAAAGAACCAGCAGGCAGGATTCAGGTCGTTATCATCAAGTTTTGTGCATCAAGTCTTGTCTGGACGGAATCCCCGACTTGGATATTGGACAAGGGCAGAAATATCGCTTCATCATATTACCGAGTTCCCATGAGCCTCCCAACCCATTGTCTCCAGGCCGCGTCACGCAGCTCCTGGCCGTAACAAGAACCACCAAGAATGACAAACATTTGAAAACCGCCGCACGAGAAACAGGCTAGCGATGACATGCCAGGTCGCATCGGAGGCCTATCGCCATCCGCCAAGATCCTTGGCGACACACGTTTCAGAACAGACGCCACCGGGTGACGATCAGGCAATTGAAGAACGAACAACGCGAATGCGACGAACAGCAATCGTGCGAATGCAGGTTTCTCGACTCCCACCGTTTCGATCCATCGCTGGTTTGAGAGGCGAATCGCAAGACATTTTGTGTCGGGACTGTTTCCTGTCTGGGACAGAGGTGATCCAGAACATGCTTGATTTAGGCTACTGTAAGTCGACTGTATCGGAATTAATCTGAGACAGAATGGCATGTCTGGAAAGCTTATCCCAGATAAGACTCCTCGGCTCCATCATGCTGTACATATTTTGTGCAGCGATATATGCACGTTGGGCATGGCATTGAAATCTAGAGTTTAAACCACTTCGTTGGTGGTCTCTCCCCAATGTCTATTTTCCATCTATATCAAACGGCTCAGTACTGGAATACCTTTTCTTCCTGTCTAGGTACTTGGTTGAGGTATCATCATCTCCATCATACGTAAACGTCCACATGACTCCTGTTCCAGCTCAACTCGCTGGACATGGCCAAAATAAAATCCCATCGTCAAAGTAGCAACTCCTGTCCCATTACCAGCTCATTACCCCCCTGCCTCTGTCGAAGCCTCCTCTCAGCTGGCTCTCGGGCTTGACCACCTTTCCTCGGAGTACTGTATACTTGACTAGGTTTTCGCAGTCCTCGGGCATCACGCGTGCCAGCCATATGCACTGTGCGGCGCCGACGAAACCCTCGGTGTCATCAATCTTTTCCGTCTCTTCGCCGTTGGTGCCGTTGGCTTCCTTGGCTGCTTCGTTTGTGCCATTAGTTTCCTCCTTTGCTCCATTTGCGCCATTGGTTTCATTGGTTCCATTTGTGCTCCCGTTGGTCTGCTCTTTGGCCTCGGTTACCTCGTCGTCCAGCCCAAATGCATTCGGCCGTCGATATACCATGACATTGGCCGAGTACTTGTGACCGCCCACATGGCTAATGAAGTAAATCCCCACACCGCCCGGCCGTTCATCATGCAGGTCTCGATACAGGCCCAGCGGCCGCAGATGCCGCTCCAGCTCCTTGCGCAGCAGGGGGGCGCTCTGTCCGCAGCGGACATCGCGCGTGCGCTGGCTGCACATGAGGATGACGACGCGATGTGGGCAGTCGCTCATGGTCAGCGCAGGCACCTTCTCCGGGTCCGGCGACGGTAGCGAGGCCGGGATGGAGAAGGGCGTCATGGGCGAGGTGCTGGTGGGTGCGTGGGAGATGACGTCGGAGACGAGTTGCGGGACGTTGAGAGGGTGGACGTTGCGGATGAGAGTGAAGGCGGGCAGCAGGAGGGCCGTGGTGGGCTCGGAATAGTCGCTGGTGTCGTGGGGGGTGGGCATATTGGACGCGGAGAGCTTCATATTCTGGAAAGTCGAGTTAGTTGGTCAGGTTTATAACGATCGAATTGACAAGACGGAAATAGAGACTCACCCCGTTCGTAGGCGCACCGGCCTTGTCGACGGCCTGCATCACACTGCCCTTCTCATCGGCCACATCCCGCACCCAATCCGTCTTGCCGGTGCCCACGAGCAGATGCGTGCTCCAGGCCTTGATATGGCCGTACAGCACGTCGCTCGTGTCGATCTTGAAGTTGCGCGGGTAGCGCACCGAGCAGCTGTCGCAGTCGTGCAGGCAGTCGTCACCGTCCACGGCCGGGTCCGTCTTGGCGAACAGCTCCGACACGGCGGGTGGCTGCGGGCCCTTGGGGCCGCCGAGGACGGAGCTGACGAGCGACTTGATGGAGAAGGCCATCTTCTGCGTCACGGGCATGCGCTGGGGCGGGTGGGAGGTGGATGAAGGAGAAGGCATCGTGGGCAGGGCCCCGCGGGGAGTGGGCGATTTACTATTGGGATCGGATCGGGGCTACGACGCGGTACACGGCAAAGTTGCAGTTGCGATTGCGCGCGCCACACCGGCTTGCAAAAACCGGGACTCGAAATGCGGCCGCGACGACAGCCAAGCTATCCACTCAGACTCGACGATCCTGGCTACACGGGCCGGGCAGGTCTGGCTCGCAGCTTCGGCTCGGCCGGTGGGATAGCGCGCTGGCGCTGGCTTCGCTGTTCGCTTCTTCGGGGCCCGGTAGGTGGGGGAGCGCTTGACTCGGTCGGTTGTCAGTATCTGTCGGGGCGAGAAGAAGCAAAGAACCAAGACGGGAAAATGCAATAGGTGTGGATTGACAATAGCAAGACGGCGAGAGGTTCAACTTTGACGGCGGGCGAGGACTGAAGCAATTTAATAGACGGCCGAAAGGCGCGAAAGAGCCGAATGTTTGCTTCCGTCCATCTCGCTCTTTTGCCTACCGTGGCCGTCGTCACCACCAAAGCGGCAACAAGCCGCGTATCTCCGAGCCCGAACACGGCAACTTGTACTTTGCGAAGGCCGGTCGCTAAGTAGAAAGTTATCAGATCGTCAGCCCCCTTACAAGCAGCACCCTTACAAGCACCCTTAAGGCCGCTGACGAATACAGCCCATGACATGACAACCCCGCGCGGGTCCACTGCCGCGCGCCCCTCGCTCCATGGCGGCGTCATGACCGCTGCAACTACTTAATTCTAGCAATCTTCCCCCCGCTTTCGCCATGCCGCCAGCTAATGCGCGAGAGGCCATTCGTCTGCAGTCGTCCAGCTGGCCTGCTCGTAACTCACCACGACGAATCGCTTGCAAATTGCTGCCTGCTCCATTGGGCAGCCCTGAGGGTGGGCTCGGAAGTCCGACGCCGCTATGTGCACGGATGGGGCTGGCGTGGTGGGGAGAATACCAACAATATCCTTCAACACCACGAATACCTACCTAGGCAACAACACTGGGATTCCCTGCTAAAAAGTCATCTCAAGACACAAGACGACCACCAATCTGGCACTCCGGGTTTACATGGAAAATATTGGAGACTAGCGGCTCTCGCTACATCTATCAGTAATAAAAATATACCACCAACGTCGTCTACCCAACAAACACCGCCATCGGAGCTCTTTCCCAGAGATATCCTGTCCAACCAACTCGCTGCATGAGAACATGACCCTAAAGGAGACAAGAGCAAGGAGAAACCACTCAAAGATCCTGCAACCTAACCCTGCTATACTATATAACAAAAGAGCTTGCTCAATGGTACAAAATGCATAGAAGCTGTCTGCTTGTTCGCTTATATGCTGGCGCCCTCCTGGCAGCTTCCTCATCATTGTCGTCGTCGTTCAACCCCTTTTCTCCCTCACATATTCTTCTTCCTCGCCTCCTGGTATTCCTCCTCTTCGCTGTCTTCCTCCTCCTCCTGTGCTTCCTCTCCTTGAGTCTTGCGTCTTCGCGTCTTCATCGCCTCCCGAATCTTGCGGCTCGCCTCATCGAATCCACCTGCAGAGTCCAGCGTCGTGAACCCGCTGATGGGGAACCCGCCCGACCCGAAGCCGCCTCCGCTGCTGCTCGACCGTGACCGGCTGCGCGCACGAGATGGTGGTCGTGTCGAGAAGATACCCACTCGTCCAATGTTGCTGAACGAGTCGTTGCGAGGCAGATTCCGACTGGATTGAGTCGTGCTTCGTCGAGACAGAGCCGGTGGCGTCTCAGCCTCGAACCCGGTACTTGATTGGTCGCTATCGCGGCGTCGGCGCGCCTCAGGTGACGTTGGCTGCGAGCCACCCGATTCCATCTTAAGGATGTCGGGTACCAGGCGTGCCTTGTCAAAGTCGGGGAACATCTCCGGGCCCAGTGTGTTGATCAGATCCGTCACCTGCGCGCTCAGCTCCGCTCGCCTGATACGCAGCGTCTGGATGTTGTAGCTCGACGACGGCTGCAGGCACAGTACCAGCGGCCGTAGCGACTTGAAGATGTCCATACCCACCTCGCCGAAACGCAGCGCCGCAAATGTGATGCCGACCATAACCGGCCAGATGGCAAAGTACATGGTCCACAACGGCACCCACTCGGGAACGTGGCCCCAGAGTCGGTCGTGCCATACCTTGAGGACAAGGAGGATCGAGTAGAAGTGGTAGAGCATGGGTGCAACACCTATCGCAACCAGGATCTTCCACGTCGCCATCACATCGCGGCCTCGGATCTTGACCGTCGAGCCTGCGAGAGCAGTCTTGGCCTTCTGCCGGCTGATGACCTTTGTGGCAACGAAGACGGGCGAGAACAAGAGCAGGCCCGGCACTGTACATATGAAGAGGAAAAGAAGCTTAACGGAACGGTAGATGGAGAAGATGATGACCTTGATGAGGGACATGCGGGCATACTGAACCTGGTGGTCTTTCAGGTTAAGGTAGTGCAATTGCGAGTTGTACTCCTTGACTGCCGTGGATAGCGACGTGATTCGCTCGTCGTCCTTGTATCGCTCATAGCCCATTGATAGTCGTCGGTTGAGTTCAACCACAACCGGTAGTGGCAATTTCTTGCCGGTAGGGTTGTAGAGGCGGCGTGCCGCCTGAATCATCATTAGGTTATCGTAGTTAGGGGCCGACACAGTGACAGAGCTGAGGGCCTGGTACACGGTGTCGAGCACCTGACCGATGGCTTCCCGACGCTGGTTGTTGCGGTAAAGCTCGACGAGATGTCGGGGGATCTCGAAGGGAGCACCGAACTCGACGACGGCGCGCGATCGGAACTTGTGGGCATGGAAGTAGTTCATACCCACGGGAACGATTTTGAGGCCACAGTCGGGATCCTCAGCAAGGGTGCCTAGCGCCATGATGGCAACACCAGCCTTGAGGGGGAGAAGCTCGGTGCGATCGTGGCTACCACCCTCTGGGAAGATTCCGACGCAGCCGCCGTTGCGCAAACGGGAGAAGACGGCTTCGTAGACTTTGGTCTGATCGATATGAGGGGCCAGCTTGTACTTGGTGCCCTTGTAGTCCGGGGCCGGGCCCTTGACGTCCTTGTTGGTGAAGTTGCCCTCGTTATCGATGTCGTCGCGGCCGGTTAGTTGTTGCATCGCCAACTTTCCCTTGAAAGGTCGCTTGACGCGGATCTCCTCGGGGCTGATGATCTGGGCGATGTCGACGCTGGCGCCGGTCGTTTTCTTGCCGGGGGGGAGGAACAGCATGCCCTGGATCTGACCCTCGCCCTCGCCGAACTTGGTACCGACACCGCGGATCAGAGTCGGGTCGTTGATCGGGTCGGGGAGGTAGATGGTGCCAGTGGCGGGCTTCGCCGAGTCCTGGGCGCGGCCGACGGGCACGGCGCCGACCTGGCGAGAACCCCAACCGATGAAGCCATGGACGGATTTCTGGGCGATCAGGAGGGAGACTCGGCGGGTGGCCTCGTTGCGGAGCGTGCGTTGGAGGATGAGGGCATCGACGAACTGGAGGGTGAGGGATAGACGTCAGCGTACATGTAAACAACGGATCTTGGTGTGACATGGCATGACATGTGAAAGCTGGTGCAAGCTGCGGGATGGGACTGACCTGATTGGCATGAGGCGCCGCGACGAAGAGCACCGGACCAGTTTGCGGAACGCGCCAGGCGCCCCGGGGCACGACCTCGCGGAAGAACATGTCGACAATGTTGCCGACGCTGTAGAGGAACAGGTCGTACTTCCAGTTGACCATGGGGTAGAGCTCCTTCTTCGGGGCAGACTTGGAAACTACCTGGGACGACGCCGAGGCATCGTCCTTCTTGGCGGGTTTGGTGGCCATGGCGGGCGGGCGGGGGAGGAGGGCGAGAGAGCGAGACAGCGGGCGGGAGAGAGAGGGAGGCGCACTGGAGGGCTTGACGGTCTCGAGAGCTCTCTGGTGTTTGCGCGCGCGGCCAGGCGGCGATGGCGATGGTGGAGCGAGCGAGCGAGCGAGCGTAGGTAGTGGCAAGCGGGTGGTCGAGACGGAGGACGGACGGCGGAGGGCGGAAGACCGGAGCACGGAGTTTTTTGGGGCAGAAAGCTGGGGCTGGGAGCTCGGGCTTAGGCGACTGGGGGGGGGGGGGGCAGAGGAGAGGAGGGGTAGGTAGGGGCGTAGCAGATGAAATACGGCACAGCTCGGAATGGCTTGTGAGATACGGACGAGGTACGGAGTAATGAGGGTTGTTTAGGTAGGGATTGTATAGGTAGGCCGCTTGATAATAACACGGTTGGTATTGGCTTACCCGTTGTTCGTCTGGCGTCCAGTCATGTCAAGGTTTCTATTGCTGTATCCGTATCGCAGGTTTGAAGTCTACTGCAACTCATCCTCAACGAATGAGCCAAGAAACGAGGAGCCGACGACTAAAAGTACTCCATGTAAACAGGTCCACCGACGAATTGTCGTCTATCATATTCTTCATCCACGCCTGGCATTCCACAAGTGAGGTGACGAGAGGGTCCATCCGCACGGGGATCACCTCCGTCTTGTTGGTTCGGATGCGAACCATCACCCCACCACATCGGAGATCCGACACGGATACAGCTACCTAGCTTCCCTTTTTACATCCATTCCGCAGCCGTCGCCAAGGACTCCCGGGCTCGGGCGAATTCTCGCACTTTGATGAATGGGGAAACGGCTGACCTTTGTTCTGGCCCCTTGTCTGAGCGATGCCGAAATGAATGACGACTGGTTACGCAATGGGGAGAGGGACGTTTCTTACGGACCGACCAGATGGCGGCAAAAGCTTCGGTATCCATTGCAACTCTGCAGCCGGGATAAAGGGCCTTTTATCCGCCCCTTTCACCACAATAGGACCACATCTCCACTTCACTCACAAGTGTACCGCTATCATGAAGCTCTCGCATCTCATGTCTCTCCCACTGTCTCGGCTCTCTTCATGTCTCACACCCAGAACCAACGCACCAATCACATCTCAATCATCCAACCCAAGCTGCACCCATCTCTAGTGCCAATCCCACGTCCCATGCCCACATCCCCCGGCCTCATTCGTCACATGCCAGCCACAGCTGCCTGCCACATGCATGTCTCTTCTACCATCCCTCTGCATCTGCACCGCTGCACAGCGTTGCCTCCTCCCAAAGTTGGAGAAAGCCTCATTAGGCCCAGGCCAGAAAGTGGCTCCCACCCGGCCACCACTAGCCACTTCTCTAGCTTGCCGACTGTGGCACACCCGATGTAAGTCGCGTCCCCAACAAATGCACCTGCAAAGGTTGGATTGCGCTCCGTACTTTTTGGTTGAGTTGTGCTGGACCAGCGGAAGACTCTGAGGGAATAATGATATGCGGTTACGTCGCATCCGCGAGCCCGCTGTGCGTCCGAGGAGGAATGGAGATCCGAGGAAACAATATGGAGTAGCTTGGGCGGAAGAGCTGCCCGAGTCAATTGTGAGACCCCAGATAAGCGTCCCCTCGATGTCGAGATCTGACGTCATCACTACCATCTCCATGATACTCAATCTATCTCGATGTCATGGCATGTATGTAGGTATTAGGAGTCACTACCACGATGCTTACACCTTCCAACAGGAAAAAAAACACATGGGGTAGTGATCATATTCGTTATCTTCATAAAATATTCATCGCTCATGCTCATCGCTATTGGGATATCAAACATAGTCCACTCAACCAACGACCGTCACCGTATCATGCCCCTCCTCACTTCTTCCCCCTCCGTCGGTTCTTCTTCTCCGGCACACTCGCGCTCCCACCCTCAAGTTCGCCCTCCTCTACCTTGCCCTCCCTTTCCAACTCTTTGAGTTTCTCCTGGCCCGAGATGAACATGCTCAGGTCCCGGTTCATCTCCTGGAGGTCGGCGTTCGCCCCGCGTAGCTCCTCGACCTGCTTGGATAGTCCCTCGTGGTCTGCATTAAGGTGCTCGATCCGCTTCATTAGGCCCTCATTCAGCCGCTTCTCCTCCTGTAGCGACTTGCCTAGGCTGCGAGCGAGGTTCTCGCTCTTGCTCGCCTTGCTGCGCTCCCGCGCGAGGTCACGCTCTAGCGGCGGGATTGTCTCTTCACTCAGGGCAGTGTACTTGCCCTCCAGCGTCGTCAACTTCTCCATGACGGTCGACACCTGTCTAGCTGCGTCCTCGGCGGCGGCGGACGCTTTCGAAGCCTTATCTACGGCTTTGCTGATCATCTCCTCGTAGTATGCTCGCTGCGACTCAAGCTGGCTTGTAATCAGATGCGTGTACTCCAACCCGATAGTGTCTAGCTTCGCACGCGGCACCACATCTTCTTCTTCATGGTGATCATTGGGTCCGCTTCTACCGGGAAGCTCTACCACCTTACCATCGCCCTTATCGCGGATGAGTCGATGAACCCACATGTCCCCCGCGTAATCCCACACGTGCTGCGTTTCCAACTCGAGAGAAAAACTGTGCGCTGTCTCCTTCCAGTGGTCCTTTGCATGGCCGCCCTTATACCGCCCACAGCCGACATAGCCACAAATTAGACAAATCCACAAGTCGTCTATGCAGTCGCAAACGCTGCACAGGTTTGATACATGTGAGCCGAAAGGCTGTGTGTAAGGGTTCGATGGGTCGGAACCCGCTCCAGGAGAAGTATTCGTAAATCGACAGACTGGGCACCCGGCACCTTTCCAGTTCTGCAGGCAGGTGCAGTGGAATACATGAGAACATGGGATCGTCATGAGCCCATTCGTCTCGTCCATGCGCTCCAGACACACGGGACAAGTCGGCAGCTCGACTAGATTCGGAGTGGGTGGGGGAAACGGCCGGAGGGTGCTTGACATGCCAGCTGAAGCAGATAGAGCAGAAAGACCGTGGCTAGATTTTCTCCGGTTTGGTGTTTCGAAGGTGATACTCTTGACAAAAACGGCATGGCATATTTGAGGCTGTCTCTGATTAGCTTCTGAGATATGATAACGAGGGTCCAGAAGGGTATGCAAACTCACCTCCATGGCGTTAAACACCTTGCCGTCGAACTCCTGTCGCCAGGCGCTTGCTCGCTTGCCCTCCCTGAATTTGAGCAAGACGAGATACCTATTCATCTTCGATGTCATGACCATTCGACAGTGACTGATGTCGTCTCTCCATTTCCCGCCCACGAAACCCAAGAAATCTCCTGGGGACATGTACGCGGGAACTGCGGGAATGCACAGAGTCGAGCAGTCATCGCCCTTAGCCTCCTCCTCCCCATCCTGAGTTTCCACCATGTTCAGCCCAGGCGACTCCTCGGCTTCTCTGTAGAAATGAACCACGCCCCAGCCAACCTCAGTATTCTTCGTCTCGAGAGGGAGGTACTTGGCTTTCGTCGCTGTTCCAGCGCCTCCAAACGTAGGGCCCAGCGGAGGAGCCGCGGCCGGCCCTGACCTGCTCGTCTCGCCCGCCATCGGATCGCCGGTTCGCAAGTCGACCGTCTCGATAGTGACGCGTCCAAAGCGCCAGTCTTGAATTGCAGTCTGTGGCCGGATAGCTGCGCTCGAAGATGGAGGCGGGAAACTGGATGCTCTCTCAAGCCACTGCCGTTCCGACAATATCTCGGTCCTACGCGCGTTTGCGGTGGAGGGTTCACGTGGGGCTGCCCCGCAGTCTATTACGCTCGAGTTTGACGACGAAGAACCTTGAGCGATCGCTGATGTAGATGCTGTGTAGTTCTGTTGGAAGCTCGAAGATGATTTCGAGACTCTGCGCGTTGTTCGTCGGTCGGGTGGTGGGTGAGAGGGAAAGTCGTCAAACACGCTCGCATCGGAAGGTGGGAGCCAGATATTGCTGTCGCCCGCCGTTGACGCTCCGTCCGCGACGGGATTCGGGGTCGGATACAGCTCAAACTTGAGGTGATAGAAGTAAGACGGCATAGCCTGATGCTCCGGTGGGATGATAAGGATGTCGCAGTAGCTCGTCGGTCGATGGCTTGACGCACGTTGGAGGTAGAGAACGTTAGAGGTAGAGAAGGGTTGCTCTCCACGTCGTTCCGGGGGCACACGACGAGATAAATACTGCCAGGTATGATTATTAAGGCGGCAAATAAAGATACGCGTGACGAGACTGAATCAAACGGCCGTTGAGGTTCATCGTCTCCCAAAGGGTACAGCGCAACCGACGTGATTACCTGGAGAGACGCAATCTTGAATTTAGACAACCTTGGGGTGCCTGGGTGGGTGGATGTTGCCCCACCACCGACCGTCCTGACCCTGGAGCAGAGAGGGACAACAGAAGTGAGAATTGAGCCACGGGACAACGCCACCAGCCCCTCATGATCCACCATCTCCACTCGTCATGAATCACGTCACTTGAAGCATTGGGAACAATTATCTTGACTTCAATAGAGCCTGTATTGGGGAGCAGCAAACGTGTTGCGTGCGAAACTATTTAATAGTCGGATATATCAATCATGCTGGGACATAAGCTGCCCAACCCAAATTCCATGTGCTGAACCAGAACGCCATTTGCCAGTCGTACCAGCGTCGTCATGAACCATAGCCATCCTTGTTGGATCGCTTACTGACCGCCACGAAGACGGAGGACCAGGTGAAGGGTAGACTCCTTCTGGATGTTGTAATCGCTCAGGGTGCGACCATCCTCCAGCTGCTTACCAGCAAAGATAAGTCGCTGCTGGTCGGGGGGAATGCCCTCCTTGTCCTGAATCTTCGACTTCACATTGTCGATGGTATCGCTGGACTCGACCTCAAGAGTGATCGTCTTTCCGGTCAGGGTCTTCACGAAGATCTGCATACCACCACGAAGTCGGAGAACCAGGTGTAGAGTAGACTCTTTCTGGATGTTGTAGTCAGACAGGGTTCGACCATCCTCAAGCTGCTTTCCGGCGAAGATGAGTCGCTGCTGATCCGGGGGAATGCCCTCCTTGTCCTGAATCTTCGACTTGACGTTGTCGATGGTATCAGATGACTCCACCTCGAGGGTGATAGTCTTACCGGTGAGGGTCTTGACAAAGATCTGCATACCACCACGAAGGCGGAGGACGAGGTGGAGGGTAGACTCCTTCTGAATGTTGTAGTCGGAGAGGGTGCGGCCATCCTCAAGCTGCTTGCCAGCAAAGATCAAGCGCTGCTGGTCCGGGGGAATACCCTCCTTATCCTGGATCTTCGACTTGACATTGTCGATAGTGTCAGAAGACTCCACCTCGAGGGTGATGGTCTTGCCGGTGAGGGTCTTGACGACTGTCGTAGCTTGTTAGTACGATGTCGGTGAGAAGCGGCGGCGATTCAACTTACAGATCTGCATACCACCACGGAGGCGGAGGACAAGGTGGAGAGTGGACTCCTTCTGGATGTTGTAGTCGGAGAGGGTGCGGCCGTCCTCGAGCTGCTTTCCAGCGAAGATCAGACGCTGCTGGTCCGGGGGGATGCCCTCCTTATCCTGGATCTTCGACTTCACGTTGTCGATAGTATCCGAGGACTCGACCTCAAGGGTGATGGTCTTTCCCGTCACTGTGATGATGGTTAGCGATGATTGTTGGCGGCGGAGATGGCTGCTCGGGGCAACTCACGGGTCTTGACGAAGATCTGCATGATGGCGGTTTCGCTCGTGTGGTGGGTATGTAAGAGTAGATCGGTAGAGAGATGGTTGGATGCGCTGGTACTCGAAAGCGAGGAGGTTTGTGGTTGGGAGATGAATGTTGTAAGAAGAAGAGGGAGATGAATCGGTGAAGGGAAGGCGAGGTTTAAGTAGGTAGGAGGGAGAGGCAATGCAAGGCAGGCACTTGTTTGGCCTGGTCCGGGCAGGTGGGAGGCAGGTGGGAGGCGGGGGCGCAGTTGGCCGGATTACGCCTACAACGAGGCAGGAGCGCGGGCGCAGGGGCCCGGCGGGTGATTCACCGCACCCAATAGCGGCCACGCCACGGGAAGGCTCCAGAACCCCGGAGCAGGCTGCAAGCGCCACATCTAGTTCTGGGGACCTCAGCTGCAAGCGGATGCAAGGTGAGACAGCATGTACTAGCAACTTTGGTATCTTATCTGCCCTGGTGGGTCCGAAGGTCGGACCCCTTCAGGGCAGTCACTGATGTCAGAGAGGCCGGTTTGCTCCTCATGCCTCCTCGTTTGATTCCCAGGAGCGCTTAGAAATCCGGGTGAATGCGATGAACACCAGTGGAAAATTCTGCAGCACGTCACCAGTCTTCTCGAACGTGGGGGAACACTCAAACGATCGGAACATTCATCAGAACATGGCAATGCAGGCCTCTTCCGGTTCTGTCGCTGGGGCCCGTCGCCCATCACCCATCGCCCGTCACCGTCTTTGTCTATCAGTCACATCGTCCGACGGGTGCGGACAGGCATGATGCGGCCCAGCAGCGGGTCCTGCGACGTTCATTCTTGAGACTTTCCCCAGTAAAGCCAAGATGTGTCCGCAGTCTGGCGTCCCTGATGATCCCAACGAATCCGCCCGATTGGAAGGCATTCGTACGATAGAACATTCGCCGTGATGATCATTCCGCAAAGAGCAAGGTGCAGCCTCGTTCAGGAACAGAAGTCTCGACCGTCGTCTTCGCCGTTTGCCGCTCGTTACCCGTCGCCCGTAACGTCCAAACCGGAGCTTGCGTTTGCACACATTCCTTGTCTCAAGCGGCGGTGGGCTCGGGATCCAGCCAAATGCCAGTGACGCCTGCCACGCCGAACTCGTCAGTCCAAGCCCATACCCATGCTCAGCCCATGCCGCTCCAGCCAGTGCGGGGTCACCGAGACTGCCCGATGAACCCGGCCTCAGTCTGAGCGACGTCATTGCCTAGCATGGCGCTACATCGTCAGCCCTCGCTGTTCGCTTCTAGATTCTCGTTCCATCGCTCCATCGCGAAAGCGGCAGGCTCGCCGAAATCGCGCGTATACACCACCATTTCTACCTGATCCCTGAGTTTTTCTGATGGAAATTTCCGATTGATCGTCTCCTAGTAAATGACGTAGGAACCGTGGACAATTGCCTATCTGTACTTTGTAGATACCAGCGCATAGCGGTTTGACCCACGTGCACAATCTAACCCGGCTAATGCACGAGGCACTTGTCTCGAAGCCGGATCAACCTTGATGGAATCAAGACAGATGACACCTCCGCAAATCAAGACTAATGCCTCAACAGTGTCTGATTAAGCTCAATTCAGCTGCCCGTGACATGTCCCAGTTCCCAACAACCGGACTAAAGCTTGGCCCACTGTGGACGGCAGGCTTGTTTAACTCGATGTAGGCACCCACTTAACGGTTTTCAAGCCGTTCAATATCCGCCTGCTGGTCAATTGAACATGTTTGAATAGTGGAACCACACAACCGGGATGGCCAGGCAAGACACGAGGCGTATTGAACACATACGTGTGTGCAAACATTACCGGCCTCCAAGTTTGTAGGGATGCATGGAAGGACAGGGTCTGGCCTGCTTCAACATGAAGCCTCAATTCGATGTGTGGGGTTCAAGAAAGGCTACGAGTGAGAGGAAGAAAGCACCATCTGAATGGTAGTCCCTTAATCAACTCAAGAACAAACGGATACTTTTATACACAGGCTCAATGATACCAATTTGCTCCTCCTGCATTCCATCTTGTCCGTTAGGCTGGAAATCGCCTTAGGAATGTTCTGGTTGCCTCGTCCATCAAAACACTGTGTCTCACCTGGCCACTCATATTCAATCAGTGATGCAGGCTGTGGCCAGTGTCGTATATTTGAATGTGGTTATAGACGTGACCTGGTTGAGGTGAAACTCGAAGGACTCAGGGAGTCGATCCCAGTGGTGAAATTCCTGAGTAGCTGAGTTATGCACTGAATCATCCACCATGAACGTTCTCAAATCCCCAAATTCCCTATTTGTTCCTAGTTCTCTCGATGCTGTAGGTTCCCGGGACTCTCCGGGCCCACCCGGTTCTTCGGGCCCCAGGAATAGCTTGATCGTTCCGACGAATTCCAGTTCCATCGGCAAGACAACGACCCGCCCCCACGTCATGTGTTCCATTCATTGGGACGATAGATATGAAGCGCGGCGAAATTGGGTCGCCGTCCGTGTCAGTAACTTCTTGGAGGATGTGCGTCGGCCAGATGATGTGCTAGCTATCTATCGACCGACAGCCGAGTTCGCAGTCAAGACCAGCCTCAGATTCCTCTAATTATCGGAACGGTTAAGACCCTATTATAGCGTCCTCCCAACAGAGTATCTTCTTTCTATAGGGTATACTGTGAAGAGGACATCCCCTTCCATCGTGAGTGCAGTGAGTTGGCGAGACGACGAGTTGAAATCGGGAGACAAGGCCACATATAGACAAGAGAAGCAGTTGGAACAAGAACCCCAGAAGCACATGCGAATGTATTCCACAGCAATAGCTGATAGACAAAGCCAAGAAAGAAGCGACAGAAAACATGTGGAGGGGAATGTGCTCCGCAAAACGGCCAGCCTTGCCACAACACCGACACGGTATATGTAGCGTATGCCACGCATAGGCGTTTCTATATTTGGGCCCTTATCAACGTCCAAGCTTGGCTTTGAAATAGCAAGAGTCCAACTGCGAGCTTGGCGGTCCTTCGACTCGTCATCTGCCGTGAAAATGCAGAGGAGATCGGTGATCCAACCTGCTTAGCTACACCAGTTCTAGAACCTCAACGAGGAATATTTCACTTGTGCGTCAATTTCTACGACGTACGAGTGTTAGACAGGAATCAATTGATGAGAATGACCTGTTTGCATGGAAGATAAAGTCGCATTTCTTCTCTTATGCCACCAGGGAAGACAAGGGCGCCCCGCAGCGACCGCTATGCTCCGCCGAGCAGTGTTGGATGACAATGAACCCAGAAGCTACATGGATAGTAAGTAACAAATGGGAGTTAAATATACCTAGAACTGACACTGGCGTCACAGTTCTCCTTTTAGTTGCAGCTCTCGTCTCCAACTAGCGTGTCGCCAACTAATTACCATGCCAATAACACGTCCCAGCCGCCAGTTCCGCAGCCTGAAGCCTCTTATCAAACCCCCGCATCTCGTCAGGCCAGCATGAAACTCCCGCTCCAGCCAGCTGAACGAAGTGCGATTGCTGCTGGTCACTAGCCTTGGCCCAGTGCTCATTAGTCTCTCTATCTGCATGTGGCTCAATGATCTCATCTGCCCAGCCACTTCCTCTAGTGATACATATCGGAAGCGAATCGGTGCTGGCCACCCACCGTGCGCTATCAAGCGGGGTTTTTGAGCAACCACTACTCACCACGCATGACCAGGTCGTGGGCGGCGGCTTTCAATAGTCGATGCTACGTACTGGGAAATGACCAGGATATCAACCATACAGTATCCTCGGAACGGAAGGCCGTCGGGAAGACGTCTCAGAGTGTAGCTCCAGTGACCTCGCCTGGAAGCACCGCCACCCCCTAACCACCAATTAAGGGCCATTGTCGCATCACATGCAGTAGCATCCTGGCTTCATCCCGATCATCGACGAGGGCATCTACTCCATTGTGGATGTTAGTCTTCCCCGCGTTATTAGCTGTTTAAACACTGCAGAGCTAAGGAGGTGGCGTCGTCACTGACGAACCATTCCCCACGCAATTCAGTGAACGGCGAAGATTGTCACTGCATGCCCAAATGCAAATCACTCTCATTATAGTCAAAGGGACGGATCAAATGTTAGGAACTGTATACTCCATTTTTTCCCTAGCAGGTGCTGTAGCACCCGCCTAGTATACGTGAGCTTTTGTAACTACTCGAGAAATCCTCGACACCGCATATCGCGCAAATATCCGCTCCAATACGAAGGTCCGGCCCACTTGAGCTCGCCAACGCCCTGAATTCCATGCACATCTCCATTCGTTTAGGCTCAGTAACCATGCAGAATCGTCTCGTCCTCAAATGCCATATCATGAAACATGATCCCATCAAAACACCCTATCAAGGGTCTGTTCTCGTCTGTATCCATCGTCTTCCCCCAAGCAAAACGGTGAATAACAATAAAAAGCTTCGTCTTCTTCAAGTCATACAATCGTAGAAGAAAGTCATAATGAGGTCATAACACATTTCCCGTTGTCAGGTAAAATCGTGCTTTTTTCTGTCGGTGACCAGCCGTGAGAGAAGGTAAAATCGTCGTCTTGTGTTCTGGTGTTTGCATAGACAAGGGTTGGGGCCCGTTGTCTTCCAAGATCCGAGTCATGAAATCTTGCAACGCTATCGCTTGAAAATCAAAAAGCATAAAACAAAGGAAAGGTTGGCATCCAAGGAAGCCTGATAAAATAGCATCATTGACAGACGTTCAAGCACATTCGTCAAGAGGATCCTTTAGTTGGCCCGGATAACAAGTTTCGAGAGGAACTTGTTAGACAGGGAGTCAAAGTCGTATCGGTCGAACTTGGACTCCTTGCGGGTTCGAAGGTAGGCCTCTGCAGTGAATGGTTAGATAGGGTCAATGTGTGGGCATGAAAAGTACATACCGTGCTTGATGACGTGCTGTCGCACTTCGGTCATCGCCTCACATACGGCGACGTTGTTGTGGAGAAGGTGTCCGTGCTTGCGGGTGTCCCAGTCGGTGAAGGCTGGGAGCTTCTGCGAAATGGCGTGGAAGAGACCGACGATGACGCCAACGGGGGTCGTCTCCATGTCGTTGCAGAACTTGTTGACGGCGATAGGGTCAGGGACGCGGTAGTGGCAGTCAAACTGCATCTCCTCCCAGACGGCCAGCAGGATGGAAGCCAGCATGAAGATGGTAGGCCAGTTCTTCATCTTCTCACCGCTGTACACACCAGAGTACAGGGCAGACAGCTCCTCGAGGATGTCCTTCTGCAGCTCACGCCACATGTCGGCGAGAGCACACTTGATCTGGAAGTTGATCATGACGGGAGCGACGGTTCGGCCGTAGTACTTGGAGTCCTCGTCATCAATCTGACCATCCAGGGCCACCTCAGAGCCCTGGTTCTCAACCATGGTGATATGCATGGTGAGGTTATAGGCCAGGACAAGCTTGAGGGCCTTGCGGATGACAGGCATCTTCTCCTTGACGAGGAAGCGGTGGGCAGTCTTGAGGATCTCAGTGATGAAGGGGGTGCCCTCAAAGTGATCGTCGATGAAGTCCTCAAAGGGACCGTCGATGTGCTTGTCAAGGTACTCGGAGAGAGCATCAACACGGACACCCTCGGCACCAACATCGAGCTTCTCGGTGCGAGTCTCAAAGTCGATAGGCTCCTGATCGGTCAGGGATGACTCGACCCAGTCAACGGAGAAGCAGCTGTCATCGGCGACAAATACCTCACGGACCATGACGGGGAGAGCAAAGCCATAACCGTGGGTGATCCACATGAGGGTCTCCTTCTGGGCGAAACCCTTGACATTGTACACGGAGACGCCACGGTCCATGTGACGCTCATAGTCTGCCTTCCAGTCCTTCATGAAGTAACCGATATCCTTAATGTCGATACGAGTGCAGGGAACCTGCCACAGACGAGCGTGGGAAGGCTGGCAGCCGGCACACGGCTCTCCCTTGTCACAAGTCTTCTTCAGGAACTTGCATCGCAGGCAAGCTCTCAGCTTTCTTATCTCGCTGGCTTGCTTTCGCTGCTCAGGCAAAAGAGGTCCCTTTCTGCGGCCAACCTTCTTCTCGACAGTGCCGTCCTTCTTGCCGTTAGAGATGCGTCGAGTCACGGGCTTGGTAGCCTTAGCGATGGGGCTCTTGCGAGGGCCAGAGTTTCGGCGGGTGGTGCTGGTCGAAGGAGGAGACGTCGACCCGGCACCGCTGCCTGGGCTATGACGGCTGGATGAGGGCTCAGACTTGATGGGCACGGGAGCAACGGCAGCGGTAGGGCTGACGGTGTCGTGAGTATGGCCAACACCCTCTCCACACATGCAGTTGCGGTGGTTGGTGGTGTCGACATAGCCGTCCGACTCGGGGGAGAAGGGGGAGTAGGGGAAAGGAGCAATCTCCTCGAAGCTGCCAAACTCCAAAGAGTTGGCACCATCGGAGGAGTCGGAGTTGGTCCTTAGGTGAAGGGTCTGAGAGGGGTTGAAGATAGCAGCACCCTGGGCATGGGCCTGCTGGAACTGATCGAAATTGGGCTGGTTCCAGTCGACCATGGCCCAGCCGTCGCCCGTAGATGAGGGAAGAGACAGGACCTCGAGGTAAGTTCCGGTAGGCGAGTTGCTGCCAACGCTATCAAGGCGGGGAAGTCCATCCATCTGCAGAGTGTTCTGGAACTCCTGCCAATTCTCCATTCCAGTGCTGCCCCACTGAACCGCGTGGGTGGGATCGTCCATTGAGGGCATGGCGTTAAAGGTCGACTCAAGCAAATTGGCCTGCAACGCAGCCTGGGTTGTCGGCAGATAGTCGAGAGGGTTGGGTTGGAAGGTTGTGGGGAAGGCGTTGAAGCTCATGAGTGCGGCATCCTGGATGAACTGGGACATGTCCGGGGCCGGGGCAAGCTGATGTTGAAGCTGCTGCTGCTGTTGGAGGGCCCAATCCGTCAACGGGTTTGCGGCGGTTTGGAAGGGTGATTGTTGTAGCGGCGAGTGCTGGCTATGTGGGCTGGCCGACTGCGAGAGAGGGGAATTCGAGATGTCTTCCGGGCTCATCGAGGCATGGCCAAGGGGACTGCTCGAAGCCATGTCGAGCGGCACGTTCCAGGAGCGAGCGTTTTGCGGCATGATGTTTGATACTGCAGACGGACTCGAGTGGGTAGTTGCGGTCGGGTAGGACTGGTAAGCGGTACGATCCCGGTGGTCAAAGGTCAGTTCTAGCAAGGCATCACCCCCGCCGTTGTTGAAATCGAAGGTCATTCTGGGCGAGAGGCAGAATGGGAGTGGAGGAGATGAAAGCAAACGGTGCTAGTATTGTAGGAGACGAGCGGACGACACCGCTCTTTCGTCAAGTCCCTGAGGAGGTGAAGAGAAGAGGTTTGAGAGCAGCCGGAGGAGGAGAAGGGTGCTGGAGGACGCTGGACCATGGGTCCGCCGCGCTGCAGTGGGCGGTTGTCGATGGGGGGAGACGGGGTCAATGGGGGGGAAGAAGCGGTGAAGCTCGTCCAGCCCCAGCCGGGAGTTGCAGCCAATGGGCGCTGCCAAGCCACCTGGAGCACCCACTGAGCATCCACTGGGCCGCTACCACTGGGGGCACCTGCTGGCGCTGCTGGGGAGGGGGGCCGCCGCTGCAACCTGCGCCCCATGCGGAGCGGGAAGCCAATCACGCCCCAGCCGCCAGCGCCGCGGGGCACTGTCCACACTGTGGGATCACAGTGCGCAGGGGCCGCGGCTCGCTGTCGTGGCGCCTGGCTTCCACGCGGGGGACCCAGTGGGAGTTTGAACTCTGCAGCGCGCCTGGCCCCAGCCACGCTACAGTGCGCCCGAGCCGTGCGCACATCCTCCCACCCCACCACGGATTCGACGAGCCACCACTCGCTAACACGCCTCACTCGCAGCACGCACACAAACGACGACGACCTTGATTCAGTCCCGGCGGTTCTCGAGCGGGCCTCTGGCTTTGACTGACTTGGAACTCGGACTCGCTCGGCCGCTACAGGCCACTACACGTCGCTACACAGCACCGAAAACACAGGGACTAACCCTTCAACCCTTGATGCAGGGCAAGAGCCCACTTGGTCGATAAAACCCGTCCAGCACTGACGATGTCGAATCACGACCTGCAGCGGGGCGCCTCGCCAGCAGATCCGCGAGTCCTCCACCTCTCTTTCTCCGTTCCCCCTGGCCCCTCCTCGTGCAGCCAGCGCGGGTAGTTTGCAGATGAAGTTGGGGCAAAAGCCATTGTTACTATTTCCTCTCCGCAGGGCCGTCTAGTAGTGCCGAATGTCTATTGTGACTCGAGAGCTGTCAGAATGCCAACCCAGTTGGTTCTGGCTCTCACCAAAGACGGGTGCACCGCCCGACGCCATCGTTCCCAGCCACCAGTACCAGCCTCGGCCCCATGACTTTCCGGTCCGGGTGAGCACAGTGCGCCCCCGCCGTCAGCGGCCACCACTTCGAGGCTGGTTAGGGGGCGAAAATCGATATTTGCTGGCTAGCACACTGTCCGGACGCACTGTCCGGATCCCCTGTTCGGTTCCCCACTCATTCTCGCCCCGTCCATCCGTTGCAGCTTGCCCACTTCACCGTGCATGACCATGATGACACCCGGCAGCATACCGTTGCAGCACATGTCGCTGCCGCCGCGCTGGCCTCCTGTCACGTCGCCGCAACGCTCCGATTAATGACAGTGGCGACGCCAGCGGCCCTATATCTCCCTTAAATGCAACCCTCCTCTTCGTCGGCCGTATTTATGATGTGCCTCGACCGTGACCTTGCGTGGCTCGGCGCTGCATCATCTGCACCATCATTCAACCCATCGGCCGCCTCCACCTCCTCCACTACTACGCTCCATCATCTGCCCGCGATAAATCTTCCTGGCCATCCACTGCTGTGGACACACGGCGAATCGCCGCCTTCCAAGCGCTCATGTCACGCCCAACTGGATCACAGCGGCAAGCCACATGCTGGGACACATGCTGGGAGATGCACAGCGTCTGCGGGCGGTTGCTCCCCTCGAATTGTCTCGATTCCAGGATTGCAACACCACGCTGCAGGTGCGAGGGTGTGCGTGCGTCCTGCCCGCGACCTGCAATTGATATGTAGGAATACCCAACCCAGGCGCTCCGTTTGGGACGGGACGGGCTTGCTGCCCCGTGCGAGCGGCCAAGCTCAACGAGGCCGTAACGGGCAAGGATGCAACGAGTTGTACTTTCGGAGCAGGGTAATCTATTAGGCGTTTCGCATCAATGTCGGTAAACGGCCTCACGGACTCCAGCCATCTCGCCAGAAGACCACCAGCCACTTGCTCCCACGCCGTAGAATCGTAGAAGCTCGCCATTGAAAGTCGCCAAGTACGGGGCCAACTTTTGCTGTAAAAACGAGGACGTCCGCATGCGCAACACAGGGTCGGGTTGGACCGCCTCCCACGCCATGTTCGCGTGCCGATCCCGCTGGGTTTCCCAACCCATCTGTCTGTCACTGGGGCTGTCTGAGACATAAGCTCGTGATGCACTGCCAGCAAACACATCGATGGCAACATCTGCCCCAACATCGATGCACCAGCACCAATCGCGCGCTACGGCGTAGCCTAGATCTGGTCTGGATTGGGGCCCGGATCTGCAGGGATTGCCCGCGCAATGCGTTAATGCGGTCAACCGTTCCTCAGCCATAGTCCTCCAAGACACTTGTGGCTTACACCTGAGAGCAGCTCCATAGTACAACACGTACGTGCAGCAGCGTAGTGGTGCGAACTTCTGCCCCGTGATCCTCCACTTCATCAACGAAGGAACACGCGTTAAACGTTGCTACTCGGGTGGAATTCGGATAGTTCACTATTGGCGCAGTTTAAGTGATACACATCCACGCTGCCCGGGGTTTCCCGGGCAAAGAATGCTGCAAGTTGATGCCGTTGAGAGGGGGCTGCAGCTCCCGCGCCGCAACCGTTGAGATAGATCCTCCATAGCCAAATATCTTATCTACACAGGCTGCCAAGCCTTCAACGAGATAGGTCAGAGCTTAATCAATGGCGTTGCAATGATGTCGTGCGGCAGAAGTGCTTCTTCCGCCCGCAGAACTCGTCTGCACTCAGCCCGTTTTGGCATTCTATCAAAGAAGCTCATCGAAGACTCCGCGTAGATCTGCACCCTCACCATCCAAGAAGGAGTGGCCGAAAACATGAGGGGTATCAGGCGCGTGCACAGCGTGCTGCCGTGCAACTGTAGCCACGATGCTGCTGGCCAACCCCCTCACAATTGCAACGCCACGGCCACCACGGCCACCACACCACAGGAGAGCGCGGCCGATGATAACGCAAGGCAGCTCTCGAGGCGCACCGTCAGCTCGGTGATCTGTCCAACCGGCTCCCAACCCAAGAACAGTAGGTGATAGTGATGTCAGCACCTCCCCACGTCGGCAGCTGACAACGAGATCATATCGCGAGCTGAGCATGATCTCACTGCGACCCCCCCCGGCGGCTTGACCACACCAACTCGGTCGCCCGTGTCCCTCTAGGGCCGTCCTCCCTCCACCGCACTTGTAGGGGCCTACTGTATCGTATTTGCCCCTTCATCGCTTGACCGCATAAGACACAGTGCGCTGAGGTTTCCATTGTCATCCTGGTTCCCTCCCGCGTGCACGTCTCACTAGATGGTAGCGTCGGCCTCCAAACATAGGCGATCTACGTGCTTATTCCTCCGACTGAGAATAGTCGATGGAGCCAGCATGGTGGCAAACAGTCTAGGGGCCTAGTAGCCAAGGGCCAACAAGGAGTCCAAGAGCGCGGTCCCATTTCTACCTAGAGTCACGCACGAAGTCGGCCGCTTGGGTTAGCAAAGCCAAAACTCGGACTGTCTCATCGTCGACTGATTGACGGCTTGCGCGGCAATAGCTTCTCGATAGCTCTCGCCACGAACCACGCATCCCTGCTGGACACGATGATGGCCCGGGTCGCTCTCGGCTAGTAGGAATAGCACTGGACCGAAAAGCCATGTCGAATCCGCACCAAGCAGCGCCTGTCCTTGCTCGTCGGCGTTTGGCCGTCGTCAACGGCCTTCCCTCTCCGTTCGTGTCGATGGCCTCGCTGTTTTTTGTTGTGATCAGGCCATTTCGGAAGCAGGGGCTTGGGTGAGGGAAATGCTCAAGGAAGAGCCTAGTCACCCATGTCACGATTTCCGGCGGTCCATACCGAGAAATCCTGGGGAGCCGGGCGAGCTCCACCAGCCGTTGGCTCACCTCGATGGCGAGTCAAACGTCCACGTAGGCCCTGCTGGCAAGATCTCTCAACGTCCCAGTAAAGTTGCGTCGATAGTTAGAGAGCAGTGCAATCTGGGGGAGTTTCCGGAGTGTAGACCTAGACACCATTGTTTTCATTGGATGCTCTAAAGCCCCCATCTGTGATTCTGCGTCTTATTCACGCACACTTTGGCAACGCTCGTGATGGTTCGATGATTCGATGGTTCTGCCTTTACCTACCGCCTTCATTCTCGTGGTGCGGGCATAGGACGGCAATGCCACCTACTGGTTGCCCACCACTTCGATACGCGGTTGAACAGTAAACGCTGGTCCAATGGCCAATTCATAGTTTCTAATGTCACCGGCCTCGAATGCAATGTGTGACGATGTCGGATTGGACATGTCCGATGCTGATGTTGGATGCCATCGGATTGAAAGCGCCATTCCGATACTGGATACTAGCCAGTGATTTTCTGTGATTGGGGCGTTTACATGGAGCGCCCTCTCCATATATGTAGTCTCTAGAGGATTTTAATCCATCTTCGAGTTCTCTGCGCTATGAATTTAAGCAAAGACATTTCCCAAGCACTGACTTCAACAAATTAAGTGATCTAAAGCGAGCATATCGCCTCGAGATACACGATTGCCTTATTCTTGTCTTCAAATGGATGGGTCCTAAACAATTCAGACAGGCTTGCAACTTCAATTGCACGCTGGTTCTCTACGAGAAGTTCCCAATATCCCCTGATAAAATCATCTAGAAATATTTCCGGAGGCTAAGGTGCTCATGGTGAAGGTATCAGCTAATCAGAGTCTGGACACCAAGAAAACTCCCAAGGCATCTGAGAAACTGGCTCTAGATTGGGTATTTACAGGATGATCTCAACTTATAATACCTGCAGTGCGGCATATGACATTATCCTCATGAAGTTTATACTTCAAGACTTGTTCATGTTGGATAGCTAGAGGATAGCGTAGCCGGAAGAGATATGCAAACCAGTATCGGACTTCTTCCAACTTAACTTGAAACTGTTGAGGTAGTCCCAAGCAAACATAGACGAGTATTCCGTAACACTCACCAGGAAATCCAGGAAGCTGCTCAACAGTCAACCTGTGGGTCCACACGGAAGCTAGGAATCTGAAGTCTGTCTCTTAACGAATGTCTCGAGAGCGACTGGTTTAGGTCCTAGACCTTATAGAGTCCTCCACAACTCAAATTATATGATGTTCCACCCCAAGATCAAGGGCAAGAAACTTTTAGCGAACTTGAGAAAACGCGGACCCGGAGACCGAATCCCACTGGACGCCGGGGTCCCCTCACACAGCGTTGTAGAGCTCGGCATCAAGTACGGAATCCCTACACTATTGTCTCGCAAGCTCAATGAGTTCCATACCCAGCTTCTAAGGCCGCAATTAGACCGCCTTAAGCATCCGATCTGAGTCGACTGGTGCCACAGTCTAACTAGACTACTCCCTGACCGGCGTAGGGCAAAGAGGCAGCTTAAAATGTTGATAGCAAGGCGATCGTAGTCGACCCTTGAGGTGAGTACTATGAGTTAAAAACACCGAGATATCTAGAATGCGGACAAGATGTCATAACTATTCGGCCCTGTTGTGCACTTTGATGCATCTGCAACGTCGCAGTTGTGGTTGTTTGGTGATGTGTTTAGCTTTGTTATGCCTTGGGAAGCCGAGATCTTAGGCACCCATACAACAGGAGACATTCCAGCCACCCCGCATACAACCAGACAGAAATTCATTTAAATGGGCCAACAAAAGAGTTGGCTCGTTAATACAGGTTCGGGGTTCTGAGGAGGTGTGGGTTTTACGCTTCTAGTATAGCCGTTGCTAAAGGAGCTCGTGGTCGATGTATGAGGTCAGCTACTACACCTGTCGCGCGACTCTACATGAGCATCGGATCCTAGACCTAACGATCGCAATTCAGGGATAACAACACGGACACGATGGTAAGTATCGTTCTAAACTAAAGCGATTTACTACCGGCTGGGTGGCTATTCAAACTGTGGGCGCCTTCTATAGGGTGTCTTCACGATTCTCTCTTCTGCTCTTGCTAGTTTCAACGCATTTCGCTCATGGTATTCTTTATAGAATGACGACAGATTAACTCAGTGCAGATGCTAGAATCCACCAAGTGCGGATGCTTGATTGAAGAGGAGCCCGCCACGCAACATAAAAAAAGGGCAATAAAGTATTAGAACACTTTGCCTTTAGCTAGGTATGATAAGTTCTTGATGTTTCTAATCATGATATGAACGTGGTTCGTCAACTCCAAGCCCAATACTATATTATTCCTCACACCTCATTTATAAGTGGCCTGCTGAACTACTAGAATTAATCAACCTACCACATTTCGAATCGTTCTCATCTGTCTGCTGGTATTCTGGTGAACACTCCCCGCTTTCCCCACCCTGGAGCTGTTTCCGAATCAGTTCTGAGTACCCCCTTCGCTGTCAAAAAGTTATTATATTTAGTAATAGAGCTTATGATGCAAGAAATACACCGAAGAAGGCAAATAACGAGGTCAGTGAACTTCCGAAAGCACAGACTCAGAAACTTGGACATCACTCCTGCTGATAATTGTTAATCTTCTGCATAAAGTAGTTTAGGAAATACTATTTTTATTACGCTTTATTGTATTATCTTTTCTCTAATAATTACCTCCATTGGATTTATTAATCGAGATAGCCATAAGGTCTAAAAATCTATCCTTTTACTGTGCATGCTAAATATACCAACTTGCCTGAGGTTTAGCTTAAGGGACTTGTACCTGCCTGCGAATAGCAAGATACCCATGTACAAATAGCAATACTCTTTATTGTAGTCCTCGATAATATGGCATGGGCCCCGTATTGCTTCCACAAGCTGGTACCGATGCATTCTCCTTGAGACTTTTCCAATGAGTCTGCTAGTTCACTTGATATCGACCTTGGTTCTGTTTTAGGTCAACTAATATTGAACCACAGTTTTCACAGGTCTTTCCATCCATCGATGGGTTCGTGTCTTTCTAGTGGTGATAGACATGACTTTGGAAGAGATGAAGTACACCAAAACAAGTACATGGCTAATAATTTATGATATGAGGACCCCGCAAGGCTGGCTGATATCAGAGCCAGTTGGTTGCAGGGAACGCCTTCTCTATCAACTTCAGCGGTACGATAATCCCATATGTGTCCTCACCGACTTCAGCGGTCGATTGCTTGGACTGACTATGTTTCGCTCGCTCCAAAAAAATATCGGGTACACTGAAATTACCCAATCACTCCTGGTGTTAAAGCCGAGGGCATCATTAGCGCAGTCTTTGCTATCTAGATCGCTCATAGAAACATATTATTCTCCTTGACTCTGGACATTTGGAAGCCTAGGCCAGATCAACTGGCACAAGTCTCACCCTCAGCGAGATGGCAGATTTACTTGCATATTTTTTATTCTACCTCTAGATAATGTGCTGGCTTCCACCCTATACACTTCGTCGTCAACTACAACATGATGGAGCACAAGCTTTGACTATCTTCGATTCGCTGCCATGGTATGTCTCGACAATACCCTCTCTCCCCCCCTCTACGTGCTACTGGCTTAAAAAAAATTGCGTCTATATTTATTGCGATGAATCCGATACTTTTCTGCCTCACAACTTTTATTTTATTGAGTCCCTGACGAGAGGAATCGTGCCCCCAGGTACCGCAATTTTTCTCGATCGCCTATCGACCAATTCTGCTCACTACAATCTCTAGCATAACCGCAAGAGTATCGATGTTTGGAAGTTTGTTAACTGTTTGAAATGGGAAATGTTCTCAAACGAATGAGAGAAAGAAGAAAAAGAGAAAAAGGCCTCGCCATCCTCACATGCGTTGGCAGGGCTCCTACTCGATGTCGAGTGCACTAACTGTCGTGGTGGATATACTTGTGCTATTTGCAATGTACACGCTGAACCTGGCAGTACTCTCCAGAAGATCTTGTGTCAGTAGCATTTGGTAGAAGTTCAGGATCATCAGGGGCAGAAATAAGTGGTGAGCGGATATTCATGAATGTTCAGTGGCCAGTTGTGGGGAGGTGTATGGCGGTAGTACTTGGTGGTCATTGTTGCTCTCAAGTCTTCAAATTACGGGGATTTTGATAGGCAATACAGGTTAGGTTTCCAACAGCTGCCATGTCTCCGTCGCAGACCACGCGGAATTCACTCCCAACCAAGACAATAGGTATTTCCAGCGCGGAAGTAGAATTCCTAGTCACGGCGGTCTATAAAAGACCGTCAGATATATATATGCGTGTGACCCACACCATTGCAAAATTACGTCGAAAGGATGCTCTAGATGCATCGCAAGTCTTGTGCCGTTCATGATTGCGAAATGAATCATTCGGGTAGTCCAATATTGGCATGACCACTTAATCTCGAAAAAAGCACAATATATCAAGGGGTCACATTATCACAATGAACCGTCTCACTAGGACAGTCACCCCAAAACGCTGCGTCTTTTGGACTTGTCATGCGCTGACGTTGAAAAGCACTAACATTTTTGGCGGGGTAATGGGACAAGATTGTTAGTGGTCATGATGCGCACCGTTTCGCATCACCCCGCCATGGTCTCGGCCGGAAAAATGTTGTTGCAATTATCAACGACAGCTAGGAGCTTTTTGAGCGTGCGGTCTGCCCCTCCCCCTCCTCCACCACTGACTGACTCACCATTTCGCGAGAACCGCTTCCCAAAGTTGCCCCCCCAACAATACGACACGCCCGCGATGGCTCCCACGGGCAGCAGTTCCACGGAGGATCTCACCTCAGAGGTCCTCCAAGCATTGTCCAAATCAGACCCGATTCTGTCGGCCGAGGCCTTCCCGCAAGTTCCCTTCGAGTCCCTGAAAGCCGCATTGGATCGCCTTGCGTCACGGTCCATGATCACGTATGAACAAATCGAGCGGCAAGAGGCTTTCCTGGAGCCCGAGGCGGAGGTCATTGTCAGCCATGGAAGCCACGAGGCCCGGGTCTTCGAGGCAGTGCACAAGGCAATGGGTGGTCTCTCAATTCAGGAGCTCGAGGCCGAAGTCGGTGACAAAAATGTCACCACCGTTGGACGGGGCAAGGCATTCAAGGAGAAGTGGATCAAGAAAGATGCCGACAGACTCGTTGCCTTGGTGAGATTTTCTACCTTTGGTCGTCAAATCTTGAAACTAACTGGATTATCAGGTGGATTCAATCAAAGACGTTACCCGAGATCAACTCCGAACAATCCAAGAGACGCGAACTCACGACAGCAAGATTCTAGCAGATCTAAAGAAGCGTAAGCTCCTGACCGTCCGAAAGGCCATCTCCTTCAAAATCAGCAAAGCAGCCAAGTTTGCACTGGAGATGGTGAAGGAGGAGACGGATCTGACCGCCGACATGCTGGCGTCCGGCTCATGGAAGACGGCAACATTCAGTGAGTACCTTTGAATCTTCCGGAGTGCGCTCAAGAAGTTGTTTTCATGGAACTACTTCGTCCTAACTCTCGCTCTCTTTCCCCACGACTCCTATCCGCCATCCTAGAAAGGAGCAAACTAACTCGAGGTGTCATAGAGCCCTACAACTTCAAGGCCTTGGGCGCGGATCAGCATGCGGGTGCTCTCCATCCTCTGAACAAGATGCGACATGAATTCCGGTTCGTTCATTTTACGGCCAGTCCTTGTATCCATGAGCTACGCTCCATGAACATTCCAGGCCTCAAAATTTCTATGCATTTTGTACTCTTGCTGACTCCAACTTTTCCCTTCGCGCAGACAAATCTTCTTCGAGACTGGCTTCACGGAGATGCCCACCAACCAGTACATCGAGTCCGGATTCTGGGTATGTAGTTCTCAGTTTCTTTACGCCCATAGGGAGCCCGGCTTCCGGGAACATTTCTCTTGACACTGTTTTGAACTCAAAACACTGGAACCCACCTCCCACGCTACTTGAGCATACTTACATTATACATGCTAACTCCAAGGGTCTACTAGAACTTCGATGCGCTCTTTGTACCTCAGGTATGGCTTCCAGATATGAGACGTCTCCTGGTTTTTTTTGGGTTCTAACATTTAAAAGCAACATCCTGCCCGTGATTTGCAAGATACCTTCTACATCTCAGACCCGAAGACGGCGGCTAGACCTGGCCCGATATCTCCAGACGACAAGCAAGACTATGCCAAGTATCTCGAGAGCGTGAAGCAAGTCCACGAGAACGGAAAGTTTGGATCGATTGGCTACAGATACCCCTGGGCGGAGGAGGAGTCACTACGGTGCGACATGCGCAACTCCTCTCAGTTGTCATTTCCTAATTGGCTACAGACTTGTCTTGCGAACGCATACCACTTCCGTCTCGGCTGCCATGCTGTCCAGACTGGCGTCTGAAAACCCTGGTGGCCCTTGCCGACCAGCTCGATACTTCTCTATTGACCGAGTCTTCCGGTACGGGTCCCTTATCAGCTGAATATGCCGGTCAATTTTGCTCACCTGCCTTAGGAACGAATCTGTCGACGCCACCCATCTTTGTGAATTCCATCAAGTAGAGGGTGTTATTGCCGATTACGGATTGACGCTAGGTGGTCTCATGGAATTCATGGAGCAGTTCTTCAACAAGATGGGCATCACAGAGTAAGTCGTGACTTTAAACGCAGCATTATTATAGCATCTACTGACATAAACTTCCTCGCAGTCTCAAGTTCAAGCCAGCGTAAGGCTCCGTCCTATTCCCTATATCTAGGCTCGAAGATTGATACTGATTGATCTAGCTACAACCCTTACACTGAACCGAGTATGGAGATCTTCAGCTTCCATAAGGGACTCAACAAGCTCGTGGAGGCAAGTAATCTTTTTCCCCTGTCCCTTTTTGACTTTTCTTCGGGAATATAAAACTCTGGAGCTTTCTCAATCGCCTGATCTACTACGAACCACTCTCCGTACATCCACAGGGGTAGTAAACAAACTAACAGACTAAGCAGATCGGAAACAGCGGCATGTTCCGCCCGGAAATGCTTGAGGCCATGGGTCTGCCCAAGGACTTGAGGGTGTTCGGCTTTGGACTGAGCTTGGAGAGACCAACCATGATCAAGTACGCCATCTCCAATATTCGCGAGTTGCTCGGCCATCAGGTGGACCTCAACTTCATTGAGAAGAACGCTGCGGTACGGTTGGACAAGGACTAGAGAGGCACTGGTCGAACACTCGGGGGTAAAAGAGTCTGCACAGGGGCTTCTCAGTTTTCGGGCATGGTGGAAGAGGACATTCTCCAGTCATGTCCTACTGCACACATGGTCTCAGGTCCTTCTACCTCGGTCCCCAGAAAGCCAGGTACATTGGTGAGCAAGAAACCCTAAACTGGACAAGAAAGACGAGCCTTTTTGCCTATAGAAAATGGCACCAGGGCATTTGTCCTGCCTGCCTTTGTGGTAGATATTTTATGAGTTCACGGAAGATAAAAAGAAATGTCATGGGATCATATGCGCTTGATATTATGCACTCAATCATCTCACCCTCCATGACAGTCTTGGTGATAGACCTGCCGCTACCGTTGAGCCACGACCTGTAAGCCACGAAAACTGACAAGGACTAAGGTATGCTGCGCAAATTATATGATGGGGAACAGTCTCCTCTTCCCAAATCCGGAATCTTACGACTCCGGCACCCAGGACCAAAATATCCCGGCTATTTTCTCCTCCACATCCAGGGCAATGGAAGCTATCTCAGGTTGTACCACATCCCATGAACCACTTTAGTGGTCAATTACCTGAAAGAGCAAAAACAGAATACGTCATAGAGTCAGTAAAGTCAGCCGTAGTCAAAAAGTACTCACCCACAACTTCACCGGCGTAAGCTAAACAAAAGCCATTATGGGGTTGTTCTCAGCAAAGACTACGAGGTGGTGATGAAATTCATAGCATGACAGGGGGGTGCCATGGAAACAAGTGGAATTCGCTGACGACAATGTCGCACTAGGGATAATATATTTTATACCGCAATTATTTGCCTTCTTCACGCGATATTGGGATGGCCTCTGCATTCCTTTGAGCAACACAATCTGGCCCTCCTGTCTAGAACGCCATGTATAGCTCGGTCTCCGAGGTAAGGAGGGCGCATGGGCTCCAAGTACAATCAATACATTTAGAGTCAGACATACGGAGTAGTGGGGGTAGCAATATGCATTGCATTGATTCAATCATAGAGTTTGCCGTTATCTAATGTGGTACTATATCAATGTCAAGTAAGAAGTGTCATACCAAGAGTCAGGTCTCACGTCACCATGCAAGGGCTACAATTTCGGACAAGTGACAACAAATGCAGCATAGCGCTCGCTCATCCCCGAACAAGTTTCATTTGTAACTCATAGCGAAGCACCTCGAAGGGGTCTGGATGCATTCAAACATGCGGTGAGAGCAAGATGTGGTGTGATCTGGTGACACCACTTGGTGACTCGATGTGAAAACAAGCAAACCTGAGACACGGAACGTGGCCAACCGGCTCAATGGGATTTCCCATCACTCATAGGACGCTCTAATGCAATGCGCCCCAAATACATGCATGAGAAAGAATTGCATGGCACTACTGTTCGAAGGGAGGTACAGGGTTGAATATTGGTCTGATTGCGGGGCGTTCGTTGAGCTGCACCAGCATCGAAATCACATCACCTCTCTCAGTCCCTGTCGTCACAACAAACCTCTCGCAGCCAATAAAAATTATAGTGTTGCTATATCTGAAACTAGCCCTGGTCCTCCTGAAGTACCACCTCGATCTTCCCCGATCATTGTGTCTCTCGCAGTACTTAAAAGCCCCAATCTTACTTTTAGGAATGTTTCAGTTGGTGGCATGCGGCCAAAACTGTTCAGGTTTTGTTACTCAGCTCAAACGAGACAATGTGTTACGAACGGCTGGGGTACAGGGACGAACACTACACTGCATACAATGGCATCAAATGAGCATCCGCGTCGATTTCCAGCGTATCACTCACGCCCACTGCGTCTTAATGAAGAACTGAGGAATTTGCGAGACAAGCCTGAGTTTCGATACTCATCTAAAATTGACATCAATTCCTAAAGATGATAATGGGATTGTTCCGCAATGTTACCTTCGGTGGGTTAGGCACTACCTATCACTCAAAGCTAAAATTCGAACACCAGTATTGACTGTTTTGTGTCATCAAGTCGTAATCTAGGGGGGTTATTGATGACTTTGAGAGAGGGTTTGCGAAATACTCCAACGTGTATTTTGTGGTTGATGTCCACCATAAGTTAGGATTTCCATGGAATGGAACACAAAGCAGGTTGAGCATCAGCAAGACCCTAGTGCTTCACAAGCTTATAAGATGATAGTTTAAAATTTCCTTCACATAAATAATATCAAATGACGAGATCCTCCTTCAATGACTTTTAAACTAAGCTCCTAAAGTTCTCACGGGTTTTCGTGGACTCAACACTCCTATGTATAGGGTAGTATCAGCACCACTGCTCGCCGAATTCCAGTTGATGCTTGGACCACGTGGGTCATGGTTTCTAGTACATAAAACCACACCTGATGGACAGATGATGGGAAAAGAGAAGAACAAAGAACCATCAATCTAGTTCCAAAGCATCAATGCCTAGATCGCTGCGTGGTGCTTGCTACGAGGTGGGATGTCGTTGATAAAATTGCTAACCGACAAACACCCGAAGGACAATGCTTACACGACAACGACGGGTTCATATTGTGGGGTGAGTGCCTCAGGGATGCCCCGCGATGGCTTGGAGAACAATATCAAGAATGAGGGGGATCAGTTTTCACGTCGACATTAAAGAGCCGGGTAGCCCGCCAGTTGCGTGATGAGACCTCGAGCACGTCTGACTCGACCCCGTCCTCGAACTGTCTTTCGACACAGCAGCGGCAGTACCAGCACGACCAGCAACCGCGACAACTCCACCAACACCAGCCGACTCAGCAGCCGCAAGATGGCCGCCGCAGCCCAGACCATGAGCGCTTCGTCCTCCCAAGTGGGCAGCGACGCTCCCGAGTACTCGATCCCGAGCCTCTTCACGTCGGAGCCCCCCATCCGCGACGCCCTCGTAACAGGGTCGTCGCGGGTCCAGGACCAAACGCTCGACGAATGCCTGCCCTTCCTCACCGGCTACGAACTCGGCCAGTGTAACGCCCACGGCCTGCCCCATCTGGACCGCGGCCGCCACATCGACTTCCTGCACAGGCAGCTGGGCAAGCTGCCCGGGGCCTTCACGTCCGCCGACCCTAGCCGGCCGTGGTTCTTCTACTGGTGCCTCTCCGGCCTGAGCCTCCTGGGCGAGGATGTGGCCCCCTACCGCCAGAGACTCATCGAGACGGTCCAGCCCATGCAGAATGCGCTTGGCGGCTTCGCTGGCGGCTTCGGCCAGACGTCGCATCTCGCCACCACGTATGCAACCGTCCTGGCGCTGGTCTTGGTCGGCGGAGAGGCGGCCTACGAAGTCGTCGACCGCCGAGCCATGTGGAGATGGCTCTGCTCGCTCAAGCAGCCAGATGGAGGGTTCCAGATGGCCCTCGGGGGCGAAGAAGACGTCAGGTATGCCGTGACCCTCCCTCCCTCCCTCCATCCCTACATCTCTGCCGCTCTCTGCATCCCAGGCCCGCTGTTCCCCCCATCCCTGACCAATATCCTGTAGGGGGGCCTACTGTGCGTCCGTCATCATCTCGCTGCTCAACCTTCCCCTCGACTTGTCACCGGACTCGCCTGCATGTTCTGCTGGCCACACTGGCCTGTTCACTGGCCTGGCCGAGTACGTGCGCCGATGTAGGTGATGCACAAGGCCCAATATCGTTCCCGTTCTCTGATCGCTCACCAATAAGGCCAAACATACGAGGGAGGCGTGTCGGCAAAGCCGGGCGTCGAAGCGCATGGTGCATATGCCTTTTGCGCTCTCGGATGCCTCTCCATCATCGATTCTCCACATCGAGCCATCCCGCGGTAAGTCCCTCTCGCTCCACGATGCCATCCACTGAAGAGGCGACATGAAAGCATTGCATGCTGACCCCGTCCCCGATCGCCAAAGCTACCTTGATGTTCCACTGCTTATCTCTTGGCTTTCTTCCCGCCAACATGCCCCAGAAGGCGGTTTCTCGGGTCGCACCAACAAACTCGTTGATGGCTGCTACAGTCACTGGGTCGGAGGTTGCTGGCCCCTGATCGAGGCCGCCCTCAACGGGCCAAGGGCGGCGGCCAACCACGGAGACCACCCGCTCCCGGACGCCATGGACAGCCTCTTCAGCCGGGACAGCTTGATCCGCTACATCCTCTCGTGTTGTCAGGATCAGTCCAGAAGGGGTGGCATGAGGGACAAACCGAGCAAGTACGAACTCCCCTTCACCTATCCACTCATCCACCCATCCATCCACTTTGTTGAGCGAGGAGTAGGGCTAACCCAATTGTCCCCCAGGTACTCTGATGCCTATCATACATGCTACGTTCTCTCTGGCCTGAGCTCGGCGCAACACAAGTGGGACCTCGTCACTCCCCGTGCTCATGAGTCGCTCGTGGCGGGAGACTCTTGGACTGTGTCACCCTACATGGAAGGTGAACAGATCTTTGATGAAGAGGACCGCGTCTGCACGATACACCCTGTCTACGTGATGCCACAGCATAAAGTGGAGGAGGTTCAGTCGTACTTTGCAACCAAGACCGGCTTCTAATTATTGGGCTTGTGCCAGATGACATCTCCTGAGTTTGACCGAGGTCGCCGAGGATGTTGTTCGCACAAGCATGAGAATGACACTGAGAATGCCCGTCACGTGCCGAAGTAAAAAAGGTACTATTGTCGGTACAACGCTACGCACAGCACTGAATGGATGGAGGGAGGTTTGATATCCAATATTCGGATCAACCCTTGGCCGTGGCAGGAACTGCTTGATACATGCGCCAAGATGGTTCAAGGATGGGCCGGGCCACCTGTAACTTGGCCGTGGCCAATACGACATGGCATCTGCGTCGTCGACGTTGGACAGGGTAGATTGCGGCGTATACTTTTTGAATCTCAAGATACAGCACCCCGTGCGTCCAACAAGAGGCAGCAGCCAAATGCATGCATCTGTGAGCTCCGAAGTGTGTGCCGCCGCCGCGTGGGTAAGCATTGATTGTCCACGGGAGACCTTTCCGGCCCATGGGTCGCCTGGATGGTTCGCCCGAAGGCGGTGGACGCCAGGGAGGGATGGAGGGCATTCGCCAATCCGGACTGTGGTCTTATGGCGCCATGTCGTCAACGGGCATGGGGCGGAAGCCAACACATCGCCTGGAGAAGCAGGGATGTCAATGGATGCAAGCACGATATGCACATAACTTGTTGGAGACATGGGACCGAGAAATGGAGAGGGGGAGGTTGGGGAGGGGAGGGATGATCCCACGCCGCACAAACGCATCAAGCAGTTGCAAGCAGTTGCAAGGCCTGCACATCATCTCGGAGCCCATGGCTGAGCCCCCGGCAGCCAGGCCAGAGGTGAGGGGGGACCCTGGACTTGTCGAGCAGGTGTGTATGCCGTCCACCGGCTGTCATGACCGCCATGGGCCCTTTGAAGCTAGGTTTTTCTCTTTTTGCAGCCGCAAATGCTTCAGGGCGGAGGCCGCTCTGCCAAGGGAGCAGCCGGCAGTCGAAAAGAGGGTCTGGCTCTCGTTCTGGTCAAGTCAGCATGATGAAGCCGTGACGCACCGGGGTGCCGGCCGGGCGGTGGGCTCGGCCGTTGACAGACCTAACCCAGCAGGCCGCATTGAGCAGACCGCAGACCGCTTCGCTGGCAGAAGGCTTCGTACGTACATGTTGAAAATGCGTCGGCGCGAGGGCTTGCTTTTGATGCCCGCAGACCCGGACCGTGTATGGCCACCCACCTTGCCCTGTCCCCGCCCTCGACCTGTGGCCGCATTATAGGCGGCCAGGTCCTGTGCTCACATAAATACAGCATATAACTCCGTACACACATTCCTTGTGGCCTACCAGGCGGAGAAAATAGTCCAGAAAAAGAGGGGGCGGGGGGTCGGGTTTGTATGTATGTACACACACCACGGGATACAAGACGGGTTCCCGATGGTGGCTTGGACGGGCAGTAGAGGTAGCCGAGACATGGGGCGGGATGGTGGTCTCTATGACGGCCGCAGCCGCAGAAGAGGTTCGAGAGGGGACGATCAATGAAGCTCTGCAGTAAAGCTCTGCGGCAAAGCTCTGCGGCGAAGCTCAGCCCTCAGCACACACGACACAACGGGCTGCGGTTGTTGTGGTGACGTGTGGGTGGACGAGTTGTCGTGTGGCCACCGCAATTCGGGCGGGACCGTTAACAAGGGTCTTGCAACGGTCGACAATCAGGTCCCAGGTCTCAGTGGCTGACAAACAGCAACTCTTGCTCTCGAATTGACTACTACAACCCAGCTAATTGCGGGTTGCGGTTTTCACGGTCTAAGTTTTGCACCTTCTGCTATACGTAGCTTTTTCGAAGTCTTGTCATTGAACTCCAGATTATGTATGCGTCCACCAATTTCCCGGCAAGGGTGCCGGGTCACGTCCAGCTTTCAAGAAACCCATCGATATAGGCCAACGAGGCGAAGCTGATGCATATCGTAAGGGCACGTTCCTCTGATGGCGGTGGACGGAGATCGGGAAGCTTGAGATCGGCTGCCAGGGAGCAGGCGAGGTCCATGCCCCGATCGCGATATGTTGGAGAACCTAGGCGTCGATTATCGGCGAGGATCCTGTGTCGACAACCAGGGTAATCCAGGCATTAATTCCTCAAGGGGGCAAGAACCTTGCCCGCGGACTTGTGTTTATTCTGCAAGAACTCGTCGTAGAATCAATCCCATTATCCACTTAGTCTGTTGCTGTCAAAAGAAAAGAAAGTCGTTATGCTGTTGGTTTGATGCATGTGCTTGTATCCTTGTCCTCGCAAGGCGGGCGTTTCCGTGGCCTACATCCACAGAACAGGGAAGCCCGTGTTAATTATTGAATGTCGTCCGGCGTGGATTTGAGGCTGGATGTCCAGACGAGGGGCCAATTGAGGTCGATCGTCAAGCCGGTATCGTCATCACACCCACCGACGAAGCCTGGATTGAAACGCTGGTGGCGAGTTGCTCATTCAGAGGGATTCAGAACCTTGATGAGGTCGGGCCCGGCTGGCGAGTGACCACCAGGTCGATTGATTGACCGCTCCCTCGTCAGATGTCTCTTTCATCATGATGAATCGCAAACCCTAATTGGAGGCTCGCCCATCGCTTGCGTCTCACCCTGCCTTTGTCCTGATCTGGGGCGCAATGGAACATGCTTCGTTGCAGTGGGTGCGGCGTTCGACTCCAATGCCACATTGACCTATGATATCCCGTGACATCAAACGCAAGCTGCTAGGTGGAGATTTCACAATACTGTCTAACTTGGGCCATTCTGCTTCTTCTGGATAGTCGATAAATGGGCCGCTTGTTGGTTTCGCCCCTCATCGTCATCGGCGCCATCATCTTCACGTCTAGTTGCATGCCCCTCATCTGCCCCTCACCTATCCTCTCTCGGCCAAGGCAAAAGGCCAGGAGCAGAAAAAAAAAGGAAGTAAATAAAAAAACAGCCCGTGAGCCGTGCAATCAACGCGCTCCGAAAAAGCGGCCGCAGCACCGGACCCTCATTTTCTAACGCCGCGACCTTTTGTGCTGGCTAACCGTCCGATTGCTTCCTAGCTGGGCCTGCGGGATGTCGGCATTCTTAGAGCGGAAAGATACCTTGTTCGGCGGATTTTGTTGTTGCTAGGCCTTGGTGTTTTCCCCTCGGCTCGCAACCGCTGGAGCCCCTCTCATGATGCACCCAAGCAGGGCTCGTTGGCGCCCGCTAGGTGGGTTCTTGCGGATGGGCGATACGCTTGAGCGGAGGGCGTCATAGCTTGGACGAGGGTAGAGCAGACCGGGACTTTTTCTCGCCAAACCTTATCAGAAGTTGTGTGTTTGGTAGCTTGGTTGCTTGGTATCTTGCTTGATGGCCGCCTCTACTCTCTGCTCTCTCTCATCACGTTCCGATTCGGTGGGCCTAGCAAGAGAGAAGTGTGGACATGTGTCATGGGGTTTCTGTGGCCGTCACGTCAGTGCCTCTTAGCGTCCCCCCTCCAAGTGACATTCTGGAAGAGTTCCAATTGTCGAATCGCTGTTCGTCATGGCTGACTTGGCTGTCGTTCTCTCCACACGTCGACACACCCACACGCCCACACGCCCACAACCTTGGGCTGTGGTTATGCCTATTGGGAGCTAAGAGCTCCGCCACCCTGGTCAACGAGTCGCCGTGCCTCGGAGGCGGTACCGGTCTGCTGGCTATGGACGTGCTGCATCCGCACCAGCCCAAGAAGGCGAAGGCAAGAGTCCAAGCGACCAAGACGGATTGCTTAGCTGGACGGAGCACACGACGGAGCACAACGGGGGGCCGGACTCAGCCCAGACGCCCAGACTGTCTGGTTCATCAAGGACCTCCATGCTTCCCATCGGACACAGCATGCACGGCAAGGCCGGGGTAGCTGTCGGCTTGCTCCTTGTGGTTCTCCGCCTGACTGCTGGCACCGGGGAGAGCTGTGAGATGGGCTGGATGGCATCTTGATTCTTGTCGAGGACCGAGTATGGAGTATGGAGTACCAGGGCCAGAGAGCAAGGTACCCCGCGCGGCCGGCTGGGACAAGTACGTCTTGCTACATCGGGAGCGTCTCCTGTTGGTTTTTTAATATCAACAAGAAGCAATGCCAACTCATCATTGCATACGGGTTGAGGGCTCCTAGGGGCCTGCCTTTTGCCTAGTTGCCTCGCGCCTCGTTCGGGCCCCTTCCCACTTCCCCTCCCCCTCACGCCTCGACCTCGTCTACTCCTTCCCCCCGCGCACCGCACAGGCTATAGGCCACAGGCCACAGGCGCACCAGACCACCACCAAGCTCCAGGGCAGTTACAGGCCCCTCCACATAACGGCACAGCGCTCTGACAGGCCGGGCTAGCTGCTGGACCTCGCGGTCCATCCATCTGCATCCACGCATCTTTCTTGTCTTGTCCTGTCCTCACGCAACGCCCTCACACACACTTTAGCCACCTGCTACGTGCATTACACTCTGACGGGCGCCCACATCATCGAGACGAGAACAAGCCCCCCATTTGTGCACCGCATCTGATCTCCGTCCAATCAATCATGCTGTATTCACCGTTCCTTTCACCTCATCTCATTCTCGACTGCGGCGCTGGGGGTAGGGGGGGGGGGAGCCCTAACGGCGGACACACCCACGGCCAAACGCACGCCGACGCATGGCCCAGGTCAGGGATGTCCATGGATCACCGTGATCCACTGCGGCCAGCCACGGACAGTCCTGTTCATGCACGTCGTCGCGCTGCTTCACCGACCATTTCCCTGGGAGTGGGATGTGCCAAAACGGACTGGCTAGGTGGTGTTACTGCAGCTGTGGTACTGTATTGGCGGCGTCGCTTTCTCCGTCGCCCACTGCCCCTCTCGATTCTCGCGGACAACCTTGTTTGCCGCCCGTGTTGCGCTTCGCAATACATCTCGTCCAGGAAAGCGCCTCTGAGCATTCACGGCTGTGCTTCCGAGCGCCTACTGGCGAGCTTCCTTGTCCCACAGAGCGCATGGCAAAGGGACAGGCCTGATCGTTCAACTCCCTCGGGCCTCTAATATGCCTCAGGGACCCGCGCGCTTTTGCACGCGCTGTGCGAATCGTACACGTTCCCAGCCGCCACATGGCGATGAGAACGTGGCCCGCTTTCACTGAGTCGTTGTCGTTGGCCCCCATTGCAACGCTCCGGTTCCCTACTAGGGCCGACCAACAGGGCCGCCCATTTTGCGTGCAACGGATGGACGAGCACCGGACACCAGGCCCTGATACTTTCCGCTCTGTCGGCTGCGGTAGCGGTAGCGGTAGCAGCAGTAGCATGACAGGTACCTTGGGCAGCTCTTCCTGCATTTCCGGCCCCAGGGCTCGGCGCTCGAGGGGGAGGGGGGTGGGCTGGTTCCTCGTCGTCCCTCATGTGCCATGGCGGTCCCTTTGCTGTCGTTGTACCAGACGGTACTTGGGTGGTCGAGTAGCGGTGCATTAGTGGCCGCCAAAGCAGAGATCTCGGAGGTCCAGATGGTGGCAGCGAACCAGGCACATCCTGACCTGTCTGTTGCGCAGCGTGTGAGAGTGTGTGCGAGGTATTGTTTCGCTCTTTCGCCCCCCTCGCCGTCGGGGTCACCACCACCTTGGCCCTCGCCCCTCAGTCCCTTTTGTGCCCTCCGCTTCAACGACAGACGAGTTACCCGCCCCTGTGGCCAGTCTGGTCTCCTCTTTGCCACTGCCCTAGAGTGCGAGGAAATTACATGCGGCCTTGGTCTGCATGGGTTTCGGATACCAGGTCCTTGTCTGGCCCGTGGAAGAGTCCATTGCCTATCCTCAATGCCTCGATCTCGTCCCTCCTGATGGGCATGAGCCCATCGCCCGCGTTCCGGAAACAACCCACCCACGGCCACCGAGGCGGCGGCGTCGGCGTCGGGGCTCGGCGGGCATGGGAGGAATGGGGAATGGGAGGGGAAGAGAGTAGCCGCAGAGAGTCAAAAACAAACCAAGAGGGTCAAAAAACAGACTAGGTGCCTCCGTGGTACGCCGGTGGCCGAGGGCGTTAACTTTGAGACTTATCAGAGATCGCCTGGTTGCTGCATCCTCCATGTGTCGCGGTGGAGTGGCCTAGTCGCCAGCGGTTTTGATCAACTGGCAACCAGGTAGGCCAACACATCAAGATGGGTCACACTCTTTCGAGAGCCGCATCGTTGCTTGCATCTGCCTCCATTCGCGCGTCTTCCTTTGTCTCCAGACACCCCCGGTCCCGCGCTAACAAGTCTGTCTGCAATAAAGGCACACATGTCTCGCCATCCGTCCATGGCATGGCTCACCTTTGTCTGTCGCGGAGTGCACCAAAACCCGGAATACGTAGTCTACCCTACTTCAACCACCACTCCCGATCCTCCGCACAACTCCCATTCTCCCCCCAACTAAGACACGACTTGTCACGACGCCTTTGCCTCTCTCTTTCTTGCTTTGCAACACTTCGCTCGGGGTTCCAGCTCCATCTCAAATTCAGCCAGAGGCTTAGATCCTCTCCACCACCACAACCTCCCACTCGCTAACAGGCGCTTCGGCTTCCTCTCTCAATTGCCGGCCGGCTTACCATCGGACCCTGGATCTTCCCGCCCCTGTCGCTGGCTTCCCCCCCTTGCTCCCCGGGGGGCTTGTTTGTTTTTATTAGATTCTGATTCTTGGCTCTCGGCTGGTTTTTTATCTGCGAATTCCCCTTCTCCCGTTTCCTCCAACCTCGTTGCTGGTTCGCTTCTGAGGAGCCGTCGAGTCCGTTCCCGCTTTTTCTTTTTTTGCCAACCGCAACAATCCTCGACCGTGACGCTCTCGTCTTTGGACGAACAACACCACCACAACCATCATCATGGGCGGCTTCTACATGCAATACCTCGAGAGTAAGTGATCAAACTGAGCATTGTGCGCTTTTTTTTACTGCCCAATATCGCTCTATCTCTCGCAATTCCTCAGATTCGTATAAGTGGGTGGGGAGCCACGCATGGTTGAGGGGCAATGGCGTCCGTTCCCAGTGTGATGGTCCTTGCATTACCATGGCGTGGGGAAGTCAGCCGCGCAGTGGTTCAACGGCTTGGTCCCGAGAAGATCGGTGGCTCGAGCTCAAGACCCAGTTTCGAAATCATCTACCGTGGGAGACTGGGGAATTGAAGCTGGGTGATTTGGCCGTTGAGCTCTCTTGCAGTCTTTCCCGCGCGAATGGCCGGCCTGGTGTCTGCAACTGACTATCCAGCCGGGCTTTACATAACCGCTTGAATTTGTCACTCGAATATAGCTCTGCGGCTAACCAATGGCTTAATTAGGTCTCTGCCGACGTCGAGGATGGACGGACCCCATGTACGAGTGTTACCGTGACCATAGTGGCTTCACTTGTCTTGTTCTTGTCAACGGTCGCGAGTACCAGACAGATCTCGCCTACGAGTCGGACGTCCTAGCCCAGGAAAACGCAGCCATGCGTGCCTTCATGGTGTGCCGGAACTTCTCAGTCAACGGCGGCATGCTTGCTCGCAATGGAATCGTCCAAGGCCTCCCAGCCGCCGAGACTGGTCGCCGCCGAAAGAGCCGTCACACTTCCTCCCGGGACAGTGACCGTCACAGCCGACGATCGGGGAACCACTCCAGCAGCAGTTCGACCGCCTCGTTCGACTAAGGGCCCACGAACGGACAGGAGAATCTATGCGAAGGTGAAACCATTTGGACTTGGAGATATCCGGGAAAGGGAACCTCCCCCACGCGGAATCCATACCCGGAGACAAAGGGGCAGCCCAGGCGCAAGACATACAAGCGGTTGAAAGGCTTCACAGCGATCCCGAGGGATATACCCATATCACCTCCCTCGGCAACCCTCTCACGAGAAAAGGAGAAGGATCATTTTTTTTCATGTCCTTGATTTTGACTAAAAGAACGGAGGTTCAATTTTTTTTTTTTTTTTTTTGTTTGTTTTGTGCTCATTTTCCAACATTTTCAACGACTCATGACGACACGATACGAATTTTTAGATGCGACATCTTCACTCCAACGGCCGGCATTCTGCAAACCTTTCTTGGAATTCGACCTACGCTCTGCTCTTTACACGAAATTGGACGGATTCTCATCAGCGTGGCCATTTTACATCTTTACCTCTTTCTTAAGTTTGAGAACTATCTTCATCATTATTTGAGGTTGGGTGCAACCGGCTTTCTTTTGCGTTGAGCCGTTGGGATTCAATGAAGAGCAGCTTCACGGTTTGACCCGGTCTCTGCACCGGTAATCCATCACGAGGCTATCTGAACCCACCGGATCACCCATCCTCAAGATACCAAGCATTGAGAGAGAACCCGGGGTCCGCGAGTAGTCGCACGGGATTAATGGAAACTTGGCCTCGGACACTCGAACCATGAATCTGGGTTCCCCGGATTGGAGAAGGTTGTCCTTGCACGAAGCCAACTGCGATTGTTTCTTCACATGTGGGATGACAATTTGCTCGAACGACAAAAATGAATAAGTATACGAAAAAAAGCGAAGCATTCTATTTCTTGGGAATTGTTATTGCCTTTTGAAAACTCCATGGCGCAAATATCACTTTGTTTGGCTATCTGTTCTTGGGACAATGAAGAAAAGCAGCGCAAGAATTTGATAAGCGAGCCAGGGAAAGGCAGACGAGAAAAAAGTTGAGCATGAAGGGTGGCAAAGCGATGTTTTTTGGTTGGGATTTCAGACGAGATGGGATGCGATCAGATGATATGGATGAAACCATGATAAGGACGAATGATGTGTGGCTGGATGATGAGACAAGACATTTATGATGATAATGATAACGAACTTCTCTTTTTTGCCGGTACAAAGGATTGCCCAATCCCCCTCTGAACGTATGAGATCCTCCCTTGCAGCCTGGAGTTGGGATATGCGTCTGGTTAGACTCCGCACATCTATCACATTCGAAAATCGTCATTGAGCGTGGGGTTGAACGTCATACACTGTGTCTCGTGTGCTTAGTGGCCGAGACATCTGCTGGGGAAATTGCATAAGACACAGTCGGGCGTAGGCCCAGCCAATACAGCTCGACATTTTCTTTTCCCGCCACGCAACTCGGCCTATGAGAGGTCTTGCCCTCATGAGGCGCCTTTTGCAGTGTTCGAGTGAGCCAAACAGGTGATCAACTGCCGGGAGCTATTGTGGGCCGGGCTGGACGCGCTCGGATGCCGAAACGTGGGGAAACGTTGAGGAGAGAGGCGCAGATTCAACAGGGGCAGAAAGTTTCTTTTTCCTACGGGTTTCCTGGGGGGGACATTGGGTAGCGAGTGGCTTTGGGGCTTTGGGCTGAGGTCTCGTGAGCGGATGGGGCGACGCCTTATACACATCATGCTTGTAGCGACATGGGGGGTGGTGAGGGCTGTGAGACACCTGCCCCGGAACCGGCCGAGTTGGCCAAGGTGAGGTGAGGTGAGGTGAGGTGAGGTGAGGTGAGGTGAGGTGAGGTGAGGTGAGGTGAGGTGAGGTGAGGTGAGGTGAGGTGAGGTGAGGTGAGGCGAAGGTGAGCTCGCATGCAAGACGGGTCTCATTCAACGGGTTCTGGGAGCTGAGTTGTGTCTTGACGCCAGACCATCGTGGCATCCTGGTTCACAACACGATGACATTTCTGACTGCCAAACATAACTTGAACATCAGGTGACACACCGGCCCTTGAGTTATCCTCAAGTTAGGGACTCATGCTTACACTTGAGAGATCAATTGGTCTGAGGATAAAGGCTCGCGGTTTACAGTCACTCATGATGGAGATGAGCCCCGCATTTAAGGACCCTTGTGGCAAGGCATGATGAAATTCAAATACGCACAATATTAGCGCGCTTGTGACAAGGGAAGGCTTTCACCTTGAAATAGAGCTTGCCACAGTCTCCTGAGCCGGCTCGTGTCCGCGGACAGATGCATAACAAGTGGGCCAGTTCTCGGTCACGAGGACTGAGAAGGGTTGAAGGAATTCGGGAGTAAGACGGACACGGGGCTAGACCAGATGGAGGAGGACGAGGACGAGCTTTGCTCCATATCCCGTGCCCGTGCTAGAGTCTCGCGAATGCAGCAACGTGCGGCATGACGTGAGAGGATGGGTGGGCCGTTGCCGGGAAAATAAAGATACGGGGAATGTCAGGAGGTATGCACTGGCGACATGTCGGTGGCGTGGTTTGTTACTAAGTTTAGGCGCTTTGGATGTTGTGATAGTTTGGAAGACGTTGAGCTTTGGTGAGATGTTGTGGTTTCTAATATGTAGCTGTCTAGGTGTCCAGAAGTACAGGTGTCCCATCTCGACGGCGGAGCTCTCCAGGGTCAATGCGTCCATGATATACGTAAGTCCCTATGAGACGCATATTTTCCCATTCCTGGCCATATAATAGCCGCGCTCTGCCGGGGTACCCAAAAAGGTGTCCCTGTTTCACAGAAATGGAGATACAGGCCATGGCACCTGACTTGCAGATTCTACATTGGACAATTGGCTGGTAATTGCATGGGGAATAGGGGCACGGGGAAGAATGTGGTGGCGAATGGGACCACTGCTCTCAGACCGAAACTGCGATTCCCTTGATGCAGGATCCATCGCGTTTGCCTCATGCAGATAAGCCAAGGATGTGACTTGGGCGGAAGGGGAGAAAGGGGGGCAGGGAAAGGAAGGAAGGAAGCTGGCGCGTCATTAAAGATGCTAATAAGATGAATGAGTTTGAGCTGGAACGAACATGGAGGAATCGATTATTACCCTCATCAGCCATCGACACCAACCACCAGGGTCCAGCGGGCCACGCATGGGACTTTGACGCGGCTATTGAACGCTCACTGGCACGCATGCTAGTGAAGCGACGCCCTGCCGTGAGACGGCTGCAGCGAGATCCTCGCAAGCTAATTAAGTTATAAATTAATCCATCGGAGACAAATTGGACAGGCAATGATGACATGTGCGCATGGGGTCCGTCCCCTGCTCCTTTGCCTGCGATTCTCCTGAGGCTGGCCCGTAGAATTAGAGTGGCAGCATCACGCTCCAATTTCGTCAGGGGAAATTTTGCGGCCGTGGCGTCGAGCCACATTGGCCCCTCTTGCGCGCCGTGATTGGCTGCACGCGCCCCTTTCCGTCTTCTTCACGGGGCCTCGTGTCGTGGATCGGTGGCCCGTGTGGCCCGGCCAGGCTTATGGCGGCCACTAGCGATCGTGAAGCTGCTGGAGCTGAGGCTATGGGGGCCTCTGAGTGCCACTCCACAGGGCTCCTAGGCTCCTAGGGCCTGTTGGGCAGCCGCCTACAGCTGCGCTGGCTGTCTCACTCACGAACTCTCCCCGCCCGCATCTTCCCACGTTGCCCTTTCAAGACCCATCTCCATCCCTCCTGAATCTTGAACCCTCTCTTTCTCCTTTCTCTCCTCCTCCTCTTTGCGACCGTCCGCCGCAATCCTCCTTCTTTCATCACTTGGCCCCCTCTGAGATTCTGAGATACCCTTTCTAATCTAATCCCATCGAGGTTGCGCTTTCTTCCCTTCTCTCCTCGCTGTCGCTCTCTTCTTACACTCGCTGTAACCCCTCCTGTCGTTCAGGCTTCTCGACACATACGCAACAACCATCGCACCTCCGCAAACATGAAGGGTACGTTTCTGCCGCATTCCCTCGCGCTTGCTAGCAGCGCGCCTGGAGAAGCATCATGAAGCTGACCGTATTCCAGGACTTATTCTCGTCGGTGGCTTCGGCACTCGTCTTCGGCCTCTCGTACGTCCGTTCCTCGGAGCTCCCCTGGAGCTCCCTGCGCGCGCATCTCGCGCACAGCTTCCCACACCCTCGTCCCCAGCCGAAGACTGACAGTTATGTGCCACGCTCTCTAGACCCTGACCCTCCCCAAGCCCCTCGTCGAGTTCGGCAACAAGCCCATGATTGCCCACCAGATTGAGGCGCTGGTTGCTGTTGGCGTCACCGATATTGTGCTCGCTGTGAACTACCGACCCGAGATCATGGAGAAGTTCCTGGCAGAGGTAAGAGATTTTGTGGGACACTTGAGCCCTTTGAGCCGTGAACTGACGCCGTATGTAGTATGAGGAGAAGTACAACATCAACATTGAGTTCTCGATCGAGTCCGAACCCCTCGACACTGCCGGTCCCCTGAAGCTTGCCGAGAAGATCCTCGCCAAGGACGACTCGCCCTTCTTCGTCTTGAACTCGGACGTCATCTGCGATTACCCCTTCCAGGACCTTCTCGCGTTCCACAAGAGCCACGGCAATGAGGGCACCATCGTTGTCACCAAGGTCGAGGAGCCCTCCAAGTATGGAGTCGTCGTTCACCAGGCTGGCCACCCTACCCGCATCGATCGATTCGTCGAGAAGCCTGTCGAGTTCGTTGGAAACCGCATCAACGCCGGCTTGTACATTTTCAACACCTCCATCCTTGATCGCATCGAGCTCCGCCCCACCTCGATCGAGAAGGAGACTTTCCCCGCCATGGTCCGCGATAACCAGCTCCACTCGTTCGACCTTGAGGGCTTCTGGATGGACGTTGGACAGCCCAAGGATTTCCTCAGCGGAACCTGCCTGTACCTGTCTTCGCTGACCAAGAAGGGCAGCAAGGAGCTCACTCCCCCCACCGAGTCCTACGTTCACGGCGGAAACGTCATGATCCACCCTTCAGCCAGGATCGGCAAGAACTGCAGAATCGGACCCAACGTCACCATTGGCCCCGATGTCGTTGTCGGCGATGGTGTTCGTCTGCAGCGATGCGTGCTGCTGCGCAACTCTAAGGTCAAGGATCACGCCTGGGTCAAGTCTACCATTGTTGGCTGGAACAGCACCGTCGGCCGCTGGGCACGTCTCGAGAACGTGACGGTTCTGGGTGACGATGTCACCATCGGCGACGAAATCTACGTCAACGGTGGCAGCGTCCTGCCTCACAAGTCGATCAAGGCCAACGTCGACATCCCCGCCATCATCATGTAAAGCCATCACCTCTTTACGATATTTCAACCGCTTCTTGGAGGCCACACCAATGGAGCGAACTTCTTATAATCTGGAACAAGGACCAAAAAAAATATACAAGACTCACCACTCTCCAAAGATGTGCTGGCACCTTCATACTACAGGGGGCCTGGTGGGGGGATTTGAGCTTGGTGCTCTCTCTATTCTAATGTGACTAGCAAGTGTCTGATGCCCCCTTTTTATGCGTGTTTATACGGCGTACCGGGCGGTTTTTAAAGCAGGCAGGCAGGCTAGGCCAAAGCAAGGCAGGGCAGGCATCATGGATTCAATTGAGAAGGCTCATGTATGAAAGCTTTATAGGTTGGCGAATTGAAGAACGGGTGGTTTGAAACCGAGATACAAAATTTTCCGTGAGAAGCATGACCGATAGTGAAACTGTTCAATACAATACCCTTGCTGCTTGAAGGACGGGTTCCCGCTTCTCGATCGACTATACTTGATGATTGAGCAGGACGTGGCTTAGTATTCGAAGATGTGGAGCCGCAAATCTTTGTAGGGCAGTAATAAGTGGCCTTTGACTCCTCCACCCAAACGTTGCTCCTTTCGCATGTTTGACACAGATCACAGCATGCCATTCCGTATAAGCAACTGCATCGTCTGCCTCGTTCCCGATAGTGGTTAACTGGATCTGAGGCGATACCAGGCTAGGAGTGGAAAGTGTTGTCGCTTTGGAGAGTGGTCTATCAAGGGGCGGGACTGCAGAGAGCCCCCCCTCCCCTTCTCTCAAGGTTCAACTTGATCTCTTCTTCACTGATCACCGGGTGTTGACTGGTTTGCATGTACTCTCGGAAGTAGTTTAGGACTGCAGATCCTACTAGCGCTCGTGACCAGACGACCTCATTCTTGAGTAACGGCGCAGACCAGTAAAGTCTGTTTCCTTACCGATAGCCGAATGTGCCAATGGTATATCCGGAAAGCAGCGGCATTGATGTTCGTGAAAGGAACCTGTTGTTGCACGACGTCATCCTGCAACGGTCGTGAACCGTTATACTCTGGGCATAGCCAATGCGAAATCCAACTTGGGAGTAAGGGTTTCCTCTGATAAGCTGCTCCATGGAGACTCCATGGAGAACAAAACCCATCATTGGAGGATGGGCTACGTGCCGAGACACAAATCGTTTCCCCGTTCGCCAAGGCGGCGAGTTTGGGTGGATTGAGACAAGAACGAACACAGAGTGTCTCGGGCGAGACCCTGTCGAATCGACGAAGCTGGGAGCGAGTTCTAGACGACGTGCTTGTCCTAGACCATGGATTGGGCGGCCTACATGTTAGCGTGGGTTGATCCAATGCTGAACAGATTGAGTCCATCGTGAGGGGAAGTTGGTAGCATTTTGAGGCTGCCCCTTTGCTTGGCGATGGTTGATGACCACATCATGGCACAAGGAGGAATGAGGTGACATGTATGGTTGCCTGGCATGTGACAAGAACAGGGACCAAATCAATCCTTGGAAGTCAGGCATGAAGTTTGAGTTTCTAGATGTGCATGGTATTGCTGCTTGGTATCTTAAGCTGCGAATAATGCTTGTAATTAACACGTTGGCTTGATAAGATCAGTCGGTGAGGTCTCGAAATCACGCCAGAACGGGCAATCTGCCAGATTTTCGAGTTTCCCATCTAAAGATTGCCTGCAGGAGTCATGTGTATCCATGCCGACATCCGGGGTGAGTGACAAGAATTCGAGGCGTGCATGCGACTTGTCCTGTGGGAGGCTTGCAAAAGGCTGGGGTGGGCTTGGGCGGTTTAGTGGAGGAGAGAAACGTCGTACGGCGTCGACTGATAATGGTCGAGCGTCTTTCGGCTGCAAAAGGGGGCTGCTATCCCAACGACAGATGCCTACCTATCACCGGCTTGGAACAAGACACGACTATATCCAAGCTTCTAGAATTGGAGTTGAACCTGGAGGAAGACTAGGCCTCTGTGCGGCCCCGGTCCCGGTGGCTGGAACCCCGGCCGCTCCGCCACCGGAACGGGCCAGCCGGTGCGCGGGCGTGGGGGGGATGGCGGCCGGGGACCACCACACCTCCGTACGGACGCTGAGCTGTAACTTTACTTGTTCGTACAGTGCAAATGGACCGCTCGGGGCCCAAACAGTCCCTCGGTGTCCTCGCTTCGCAGCCAGGGGCATGGGAACTATGAGTTGACGCGCATTGGGCCCAGTAGCGCCTCGCTAGCATGTAGCTGGCACTCTGCGGGCTTGGTGCCGTTTCGTTTCGAGGCAACCTGCAAGAATATACCGCCCTTTTGCCTTGTGTCGCTCTGTGCCGCTACGGTTCGCTTGAGGCCCAGAGCGAATACTACGTAAGACGGTGAGCGAGATGCTCTAGCTTGGTCTCCATCTGCGACCCTCTAGCACTAGGAAGTATATAGATTCGCTTTTTCCCAGATGTTTTCCGTCCGCCTTCTCTTTTCGAGGCTTCGTCATTGTTCCGCTGGCTCTGGTGTTACGACAATTAGCGACACCGCCCTTCCCACCCCGAGCGTCATAGGGATTGCTGGCAACCGGGTCCCCTGGAACGACAGCGACAGGCCCCGTCGAGCTCCCCTCCTCCGATCATTATTCTTTTGGCCTAGCTCCCCCAGTTCCATCACCCACTACCGAAGATTCACCTGGACCTGCATATTTTCCAGCGCTCTGTTGCGGCGGACTTGGACGCCAAAGTAAGTGAGACTTGGGGTCAATTGGGCTTAATTCGAGTCGAGAAAGAAACAACGCACGCAGAGACGGCTCGTTGGGGCCGTATTCCGCCGGAGCCCGAACGACCAGTATCGTGCAGCTGTGCCTGCATCGTGCGTCGTGCGGCTTGAGGCTAACCAGCAGGAACAGGCTACGGCAGCAGTAACAGCAGCAGCAGGAGCAAGGAAGAGAATACCTACTTCAGGTACCTAAGGACTCGAAGTCGTAGGTACTGGGTCGACTTGCATGTCCACCCGTGTTTGACAACCACGCCGTCGTCGCCGCTTCCGCCGCGCTGTCGTCGGTGTGTTCCCAGATTATTACGGGCAAACCCACATCTGCAACCCACCGACACGGTGACAACCCACTTGCAGCCCACTTGCAGCCCCATCACTACGCCATTCCCAGGCCCTCCGTCCACGCCGTCCATCCAACCAGCCGCCTCCAGGACAAGATCCAGACGCCGCATATACCGCAAATCATCCGGCTACACATCGCAATTAGGCGACGGGGAAAAGCCACCTCGTTACCCCGAGGCTCACCCGCTAGCCTGGGGCGCCCCGGACCAGGGTTGACGGCATTTTCGTCGACGTTTCCGCGTGCAGGACGTCATCGCCAAAGGACCGACTCTGCGAAAAATCACCTCGCAGACCACCAGACCAAGACAGCCGGGCCGTTTACAAAATCCTTGGTGCCCAAACGCCCGCCGTCGCCGAGTCCTCTCCGAGGCTGACCATTCCCCAATTATCCCCATTAGCTGTTGCCCCAGAGGGAAAGTCTGGAGGCATTGGAAGCAAGTGGAAAAGCTGGGGCGAGCGTCAGACACGAGATCATAAAGTGTCCATCATCACAACACCGTTACGATCACGGCTGGAGGCGAGCATCCCGGTGCCACACCGTGGCGCCAGTCTGGGCAGAGTCTGGGCAGAGTCTGGGGGTTGCAGGCGGCAAGGCCGGGGCAGCAGGTGAAATGGGATCACACCGTGTGCAGAGCATGCAGAGCGGTACGCGAGGGCCCGGCTCCTGGGTGCTTCTGATCGGGCGTTGGTTTCTCGTGGTCATCGTCGTGGGTTTAGTGGTAAGTTGGAGCCCCCCGTCCCTATTGTTTGGTCCCCAGTCCGCGGTCCCAGGTTCATCTCGTTGTCACCAACCGTCATCCCGCTTTTGCGCCCCCGTCCCTCCGCCTCTCGCAATCTTGCATCCATGTTCTGCGTTGCCTCACCTGCGCTCAAGTCTGGGCTCAGCGTGGCTGACCATGGCCTGACCGAGACCTGGGTCGGGACAGGCCATTCCCATTATCATTTTTCAAGTGAAAACCTCGTGTGTCGCGTGCTTGGTGGTTGGCAGAGCTGGCCCGAATACTTCCAGGGCGCGAGAATCCCAAGAACAGACGTTGGGGTGGCCCAGCTCGGCGTATTAGCGGAGCCCCAAAGACTTCCCCCGCACACGCTCCGTCGAGTCCGTCCGCTCTGGAGCCCCTCAATGCGACTCTCACTTCTCCCACTACACCCGCTGCACCCACTACCTACACCCACTGCACCCACTGTGTCGGCTACGCCCACTGGCCGCTGAGCCCACAGCGAAAACCACCGAGCCCACGGGGCTTCTCCAGGCCTAGTCCCTGCAACCATCCCCCCATCATGACCCCCCCATGGCCCCCCAGGGCACCCGACATGCCCCCCTGCTGTACCCACTGTGCCCGCCATTGGATGTCCCTAAGCCACTGACACAGCATCCGTCAGCTCTTACAGCTTGTGCTCGGCGACGCCAAGCTCCAGTTCCTCCACGCACAGCTGCGGTTCCAGCTCGAATCATCTGCCAACTTTCTCTCGTCTCCTTCTTATTTCTCCTCTTTTACCTCTCGTCCCCCCTCCTCGCATCACCGTCAATCTCCCTTCCTCTCGCCTTTCGCCTCACCTGCTCTCGACGTCCCCGACCCCGTTTGCCAGATACAACCTCCCTTCCCGACGGCGCATCCCACCACGCGACCCCTCACCATGGCCCTCGCCGATGAGACCAACCGGATCGTCTCCGAGTTCGACTTCACTGACGACGACTTGAACCGCCATGTGAATGAGTTCTTGAGCCAGATGGGTATGTCAATGCCCCTCATCTCATTGCGCAATTCCTCTTGGGATATCCTGACTGCTCATTCCACTATACCGCGCCGCCCCACGTCATAGCTGCTAGATTCTAATTTTTCTCTCCCTTCAGATCAGGGCCTGCAGAAGGACGGCACAAGCCTTTCCCAGATCCCAACCTATGTCACCGGAGTCCCCAATGGCACCGAGAAGGTAAGTGATTGCTTTTGAGCGCCCCTCAACAGTGCGCCTCGACTAACACCTCGTTTCTCGCTCAGGGACTGTACCTCGCTGTCGACCTGGGCGGCACTAACTTCCGCGTGTGCTCCGTCATGCTCAATGGCGACACCACCTTTAACCTGACTTTCAACAAGGTCGCTATCCCCAAGGAGCTTATGGTCGCCAAGACGGCCTCGCAATTGTTCTCTTTCCTCGCCAAGCAGATTGAGCTGTTCCTCCGCGAGCACCACGCTGAACGCTTCGAGGAGAGCCACATTCGCCGCCGCAACACCGTTAGCAACGAGGCGGGATTTCGCGACGAGTCCATCTTCCGCCTCGGCTTTACCTTCAGCTTCCCTGTTCAGCAGCTCGCCATCAACAAGGGCTTGCTAATTCGGTGGACCAAGGGCTTCGACATCGATGACGCCGTCGGCAAAGACGTCTGTGCGCTGCTCCAGATCGAAATCGACAAGCTGCAGCTTCCCGTCAAGGTTGCCGCCTTGGTGAACGACACCGTAGGCACGCTCATGGCGCGCTCATACACGTCTACCGGCAAGAGCCGATCCATTCTCGGCGCCATCTTCGGCACCGGAACCAACGGCGCATATATGGAGAAGACCAGCAAAATTAAGAAGCCCATTCCCGGCGAGTACGACAACTCCACGGGTGAGATGGTCGTCAACACTGAGTGGGGCTCCTTCGACAACCAGCTCAATGTTATGCCTTCAACATCATGGGACAAGGCGCTCGACGCTGAGAGTGTGAACCCCGGCTTCCAAATGTTCGAGAAGCGTGTCTCAGGCATGTTCCTGGGCGAGATTGTGCGATTAGCCGTTGCCGACATGATCAGCAATGAAAAGTCATCACTCTTCAAGGACGTCAACTCAAGTTCCAATGATTGGTCCAGCACGACCAACATCTCCCCCCAGTCCGGATTCCTCAAGCCATGGGGACTGGACAGCGCCATCATGTCAGTGGCCGTATCCGACAACACTCCCGAGCTCTCAACCCTGCGCCAGGAGCTGGAGAACCTACTTCACGTCTACACCCCGTCGCTGGAGGATGCGCAAGCGTTCAAGTCCGTCGCATATGCTGTCGGACGCCGAGCAGCCAGGTTGTCGGCGGTTGCCATTGGCGCCATTGCCATCCAGTCTGGCAAGCTGGACAACCCTGAGGAGGAGGTCATCGATATTGGTGTCGACGGCAGCCTGGTTGAGCACTACCCCTACTTCCGAGATATGATCTACGATGCTCTCCGGGCCATTGACGCCATCGGCCCTAAGGGCGCTGAGAAGATCCGCATCGGAATCGCCAAGGATGGCAGTGGTGTCGGTGCTGCCTTGATCGCCCTCATCGCCGCCAGCAAAGAGACGCCCACTCAGATTATCGAGGATCTGCGGTCTGTAGCTAAAACCTCGCGGAGACCTAGCTCTACATTCTGTACGTGCAATACTGACCTTCCAGTCCCTTTGAAGCCCCTGCTAATATGTTTTTCCAACAGCTGAAGATGTCCCCCACGTTTCATACAAATCCATGTTGATCGGTGGCGTCATCGGTGCGTTCGCAGTGGCAGCTCTTTGGTGGATCAAGCGTCGTTAATACACTTGCATTGTCTTTATGATGGGTTTTGGGTCTGCATTTTGTCTGTTTCTCGTTGGGGGTCTTGGCGTCTTCGTCTCTGTACATTTGCATCCGACGAGAAAATTTGTATATGTGATCATGGAGGTTATGAATAATTATCGCAAACATGGCACCCATTGCCACTAGTGAGATGATGCAATATCAGTTATGTGGAATTTCTCGGGTTCATCGAAAGGTGTGGTATATTTTCGTCTACTCAATACGTACATTATTCCTCCCCATAAGCCTGTCTATGTTTTTCCTTTCCTGTGATAACTATGGCATGTCTTCATGATTGTGTTTTCTAAGTTTATATAAGTTCTCTGTTGAGCCCCTCTTCTATACTTACACTCGTTCCTATTTCCCAAACGCCGCGGCCGGGTAAGAGCGATCCCGCTTCTTGCGCACCGTGGAACTGCTTCTCGAGCTCCCGGCGGATCCGGTCTCGCTCGTGTTCATGCGGGGCGGGGCCGTAAGGCGCCCGGTAGCCATGTCCTCGGGAAGGTCGTTCCATTCGGTGTCGGCGCGCTGGTTCTGGAAGGACTGGCCGTGTCGCAGTGGGGGCGCGCCTGGGGCCCTGGGTGGGCCAGACATGGGAGGCAGGTTGAGGACTGCGGCGGTGGTGCTGGGCAGGATGGTGGTCTCTTGGGGAGACTCGGACTTGGAGGGCAGGGAGTTCCGGACAGAGGCGGCGATAGGGCGGCGGACGAGCCAGGCGGAGTCGGGCCGGAGCTTCATGTAGTAGCCGCGGATAGGCTGCTCTTCACGCTGGAAGCCTCGTGCTTCGTACCATTTCAGACCTTCCTCGTTGTCGGTCCACACGTGCGCGGTCAACGATTTGACATGCAGGTCCGGGTCGGCCACAGCGGTGGCAACAATATTATCCACGGCAGCGATGGCAAGCCCCAAGGAGCGGTAGGGCGAGAGCAGGCAGATCGACTGGATGTAGATATTCTTGGGGATTTCGTCCATGCCGGCCTTGGCGGCTTCGAAGTCGGGCTCGAGCTGGCAGACGACGCCGCCAATAACCTTGGGCTCGCAGCCATCATGCTCCCAGGTGATGACGCGGGAGAAGGGGCCCGAGGTGGCAGGGTCGGCGGCGCGCTGGTAGAAGGTGTCCGAATAGCTGACGGGAAGCAGCAGGGCGTTGATGCGGCGCATGGCGTTCAGGTCGTCGCGTGTGACGGGCCGGATGCCGGCCTCGCGGGGTAGCGACGCGGGGAGCGGCGGGATGGTGAAGGTGGCAGCCGGGATGCGCACAGGGAGGATCTCCGCCTTGTCTTGTTGTTGTTTTGGGGGAGGTATCGCTGTTGGGGGAGCGGCGGTCGGAGGAGGAACAGCAGCTGTTGGTGGAGGCGGTGCTGGTGCTGGGGAATTGGCGATCTTCGAAGGTGGCGGGGCGTATTGAGGACTCTTGGGCTGGAAGAACGAGCGGATGGAGAGCTGAGCGGGCTTGGTCGACGGAAGAGACATGATGTACGGATGGTGGGTGTTGAGAAGTCTGGCGCGTTCTGGGTAACTGACAGAGGGAGAAGAGAGATAGAGAGCGAGAAACGAGGAACAAGATGAGACGAGAGACACGGGGGAGAGAAGAAACAAAGGTCGGAGGAACAATAAGGACACGAGTAATGTTATTGGAACGCCATGGCCTCGAGGTTAAGAAGGTTAGCATTTATGTTTGCGTCGAGTTCCAGGTGTGGCACATGCGCGGCGGCCGATCATTGGGACAGCAGTCGTCATTCCCAGATTGCAGCGTCTCAGATTCCGCAACGAGCACTCGCTGAGGCTTCCCTTGCGTGCTGAAAAGTCCCCTGAAAAAAAGAGTGTCCAGAGCCGAGCTAGCGTTGCGTTGCCCGCCAGCTCCAGACGCTGTTAGTGCAGTCAGGGGAACCTTAAAGGGGCTCGCTGGTTAGTAGCCTGCCTTTGTCCCTGGAGAGAGCTGTCCGGGTAGGTACCTCGTGCGCTGGCGTTCAGTGGACAGAGACATTGTTTCTAACGACATGGCTCGCCCGGCCTGGGAACTCGCGCCGCGGAGCCGCCTGGCTGCCCATTGGGTTTTGCATTTGGGGCAGGGAGAGAGGCATTAACAGTGGCAAGACGCAGGTCCTGCGCAAACAGAGCCGAAGTCGTATGTATTGGCTGTGGCAGTGGCATTGACATTGGTTGGTTCCAGGTTGATTTTCCCTTCCGAGATAATCCCTGGGCGCACTGAGCTGCTCCGGGCGCTGGCGCTGGCTCACTGGACTGGCTCTCTCCACTGCCCTGCCCGCTGCCCGCTGCCCGAGTCACCTAATTCTCACTCTCACCCACCCTGGCAGTCGTCATCTTCCATTTTCAACCGTCGTCCCGTCCGCCGCGGCCATTGTTCGCTTTTTTTTCTTCCTACCTAATCCTCCCCAATCAGACGACGAGTCCCGGAGCCTTGTCACTGACGATTCCCTCGCGGAGCAACCAAACACGCGAGCGCCCCCAGAGCGTGGTATAGGCGTTGCTTTTCTCACTCTGCTTTCACCTTGCTGCCTTCTATTTTTAACCACGTTTTTTTGGACAATAATGCCGTGTTAATGACGCTTTCGCAACCTGCGACTCGCGCTCGTCTGCCTCTCTCTCGCACGCTCTCTGCGCCGTCGCTCTGCCCCCCCCGGAGGCCGGTATTCCAGAACCCACACCCCCCCTCCACCCGGTAGCTGCCGCCGTTGCTCCCTCGGCTTCATCAACGATTTCAGTTACACACCCTCCGCTGCGAAATCCGTCAGCCTTGGGCCGGATTTCTGTTCCCCGGCGACACGATGAATGCGGCCACGGGCAGGGCGGGCGTTGTCCGCGCCCACGACGACGCGGGCAGCATGGACAAGTTGGTAAGCACATCATCCCTGGCTTTTTGGCCTTCCCTGGCGGCTGGCGATAGCGATGGCGCGCTCGTGATGGCGACCAAGGCCATGCATGGACTCTCCTTCCTCGAGATGTTCCGCGCATTGCATCACCTTTTCCCTGTGGTCTGGGTATGATCTGGATAACGGCTGACCTTTGGGGGCGTCCGCTGCAACAGGCACATTCCGTCTTGGACGATGTACTCTACAACATCATCTCCGACCTGTTGATGAAGACGCACCGCGAGGAGAAGACGGCGAGGGCCACCACGGCTGCCATCCGAGTCGAGAAGATGGCCTCGGATGCCTCCGAGAGCTCGACGCCCGACTCGAAACCGGAGGTGCGGATCGAAACCGACGCTGCGATTTACGAGGATGGCAAGGTGCTGCTCAAGGGCAACCCGCTCAAGACCACCCCCGAGATCCTCTGCCCCAAATGCCACCTCCCTCGACTACTACACCCGACCGACGGCAAAGGCGCCAAAAAGCCCGATCCGAGCATCATCTACTGCAAGAAACATCCCTACATCGATAAGCCCGGATGCGACATCTACGGCCAGAGCTGGGTCGGACCAGGTCCCGGTCGCGGCAAGAAGAAGAAGGACGTGGAGAAGAACACCGACTCGCCCACCCCTGAACAGCGGCCCCCCAACGTGCTCTCGTTCCCCTCGGCGACTTGCAGCAAGTGCAAACGCTGCATTCTCGTCACCCGGCTGAATAACCACATGGGCTCATGCATTGGCAACAGTGGCCGTAATGCCAGCCGCGCTGCCGCCCAGAAGCTGAGCAACGGCGGGTCCCAGCACGACGGGACACCCCCGTCCTCGCAAAAGGCCACGCCCACGCCAGGTTCACGCGCCGCGAGCCCTAAAAAGCGCGACGCCAGCGACGACGACGAGGAATCGGAGAACAGTCATAAGAAGAAGAAGCTTAAGCCTGCTGTGACCAAGAAGGTCATTATCAAGACGAAGCCCACTCTTAAGAAGGACAAGGTCAAGAGCCTTTCGTCGCTGAGCCAGGAACAAAAGGCCAACTACGATAACCTCAGCTCAAGCGTCGATGTGGCCCCTAAGAAGGTGGTCTCGAAGAGCGTCAGCCCCATCAAGAAGCTCAAGGTCGGTAATAAGCCCCCGCTGGGCTCTCCCAAACCCAAGGTTAAGCACATCCGGGAAGCCGACGGAGAGTCGGAGTCTTCCGGCACGCTCTCGTCGCCACCCGCGCCCCAATAGAAGACGGGCGGTGTCGCTGGCGTCTTTGGCTTGCCTAGACCGGGGAAGCATCCCTGATCGAACCATGCGGAGAACATCTGCAGCGTTCTTTGGATGATTAGCTAGGCGATGCCAACCTGGCGCATCACCTGACCACTCGAGACTGGTTGGATACGGATAGACGCAGGCGGCATGTCATGGTGCGAGACGGGGAGTGGAACGTCTTTTTCTTGCTTCAGAATCATTTTTTATCTGTATTATTCTCTCAAAACACACACTGCATTGGACGGACGGTTTGGTTAGCTAGGGTCTTTGGGGACCAGATCATCACAGCATCCACGGAAAACGGGTCTGGGGCGTTGGGCGTCGCTGTATGTAAGAATGGATATATTGCCCGAGAGTGTGTGCCAGTTCCCATTTGTAGTGTTTTGGTCTCGTCTGGTGAAGAACTATGTGCCTGTTGCCAAATGGCGTGATATCTCGTTACCTTCTTGGCTCATCCTTTTACAGAACTCTATACAACTCCTCAACGCCAGCCATGTCAAAATCCCAAGATTGATGGTCGTCACAACGCCTCCTGCCAATCCCTTGCTAGACCTGCTCGTCGTCCTCCACAATCCTAGCCTTGGCGATCTTGATATCCTCCTCGGGGCGGTCCTCGGGCCCGGTCTTGACGAGTCCGAGGCGGCGGACGGTGCCCATGCCGCTCTTGACGCGGCCGAAGATGGTGTGCTTCCCGTCGAGCCAGGGCGTCGGGGCCAGGGTGATGAAGAACTGCGAGCCGTTGGTGTTGGGCCCGGCGTTGGCCATGCTGAGGATGCCGGCGCCCGTGTGCTTGAGGCCCGGGTCGATCTCGTCCTCGAACTTGTCGCCGAAGATGGACGTGCCGCCGCGGCCGGTGCCCGTCGGGTCGCCGCCCTGCACCATGAAGTTGGGGATGATGCGGTGGAAGACGGTGCCGTCGTAGTAGCCGCGGCGCACGAGCGTCGTGAAGTTGGTGCACGTCTTGGGCGCGTGCTGCGTGTACAGCTCGACGGTGAGGTAGCCCTGCGCGGGAGGTGTTAGCGGTCGGGGCTGCGGGGAGTCAATGGGGGAGGTCTAGGCGGGCGGACGGACCATTGAGGTCTCCATCACGATGTTGGTCGTCATCGTTGCGGGTCGGCGCTGGAAAGGCGGTCGTGTCCAGATATATCGGCGAAGCAGCAGCAGAGCTGAAGCTGGTGGAGGGGCTCAAAATCATAGGACAAGGCTGCCTTCGCCCAGCAGCCCGTTTTGGCTGTGCTCGCCGCCATTGGCTGCAGAAAATCAAGGCCCCTGCAGGGTCCCCGCCCCGATCCAGCTAGCACTAGCGACAAAATCGACAAAATCGACAAATCGACAGCCTCAGGCCTTTGTGCTTGTTCCTGATTTGGCAGTCTCGCAGCAGACGTCATCTTGAACCCTGGAAAGTCGAATCCACGAGTCCACGCCCCTTACACGTGCGCTTTGTCGTTGCACAACTCACTCGCTTCCAGGTTGCAATCTTGCCAGGGCCCAAGTGGGATTCATTCACTCGTCCACTTGAAATGCAGTGAGCCTGCAGCTTCCAGACGTTGGATAGTTCCGACAACGGTTTAAGAACACGTTGCGCCAGCTGCAACACCAAGAGAGAAACCACCAAGACATGTCGGAGGCGCAATCCCTTTCGGTGCCGGCCGACGGACCACTCGACGGACTCAACTCCACGGTTGGAGATCTCGGCGGCCCTTCATTCCTGCAATACTTTCAGGACCTGGACTTCCTCCTCCTCGAGGCCAAGCTCGTCTTCAGCGCCCTTGCCATCATCTACCTCGGCGCCCACTCAGCTCTCCGGCGGCCACCTTCTGCGGCACCCGCCAAGGATCGCAAGCCCGGGCAAAAGGATGACGAGGATGAGCGTGTCTCGCAGGGCCTCGAGCCCTCGGATGCCATCATGTTTCCCGTCATGGCCGCCATCGCCCTAGTCAGCTTGTACTACCTCATGCAGTGGCTCCAGGATCCCAACATCCTCAACAAGATCCTCCGGTGGTACATGTCTGCCGTGTCCATTGTCAGTCTGCTGTCTCTCTATGCCCATGGCATCGAGGTGATGACGTCCCTGGTGTTTCCGCGGTTTTGGCGGGCAAGCGATGGCTCCCTGAGGGCCGTTGACCAAAAGACCCGGTCCGTCAAGGCCTGCGACGATGTGGGCAACCCGACTTCGGGAGCCAAAGAGACCAACAACCCACTTCCCGGGCCTCTGGCCTTATTGGCAGCGCCTGCGCGAGCACAAAAGGTCTTTTGGGAAATCCGTAGTCTGCTGACGCGGCACTGGATGGTGAAGCTTCAGGTTCACGGGATCGGCAAGGAAGAGGGCAAGATCAAGTTTGCCCATATGGTGGGCATGCTGATGGCAGTGGCCACGGCCATCGTCTACTCGACCACCACATCGCCGTTTCTGTCCAACATGCTCGGCTACGGCATGTGCTATGGCTCATTCCTCCTTCTTTCACCAACAGACTACCTCACTAGCACTTTGGTCCTGGTTGGTTTATTCTTCTACGACATTGTCATGGTGTTCTATACGTACGTCCCCTGGTGATCCTTCCCTATGCACTTTCGCTAACGACTAACGCAGGCCGTACATGGTGACAGTCGCCACAAAGTTGGACGTGCCCATCAAGCTCACATTTGAGGCTGCTCAAAGGAAGAGCATTCTCGGTCTGGGTGACATTGTCGTCCCGGGCATGGTGATTGCGCTAGCTCTGCGATTCGATCTCTGGATGCACTACGTGCGCAAGATCAAATACGAAACCGCGGACCTGCAACTCATTGAGAAGGACCCGTCGGGGGCGATAGTCTCGAGAAATGAGGTGAAGCACAAGGAGGTCAAGGCCCGGTACGTCAACGCCAAGGGCGCCTGGGGTGACAGCCTCTGGGTCCGGGGGACCATGTTCCTCTCAGGACCAAAGCAGCTACCGCCAACGCTGGAGGCATCCCGGTTCCCAAAAACATACTTTTACGCATCCATGGTTGGCTACTTCCTGGGCATGCTGGTCACACTGGCGATGCTACTGATCTTCAAGCGTGGCCAGCCCGCCCTGCTGTATCTGGTGCCGGGGGTGTTGGGGTCGCTGTGGCTGACGGGGTTGGTGCGTGGGGAGATCAGGCAGATGTGGACGTACACCGAAGACGGCAGTATCGACACGATTGACGTGGTGGTGGACCTAGATGGCGACGGCAAGGCAATCAAGACGATTGGTGAGTTGAAGGATGGTGTGGTGGACACCACCAAGGACAAGGATGAGGATGAGGAGAACAAGAAGAAGGAGAGCGAGGCCCAAGCTCAAGAGGATGCGAAGAAGAGCGACGGCAAGGGTGGACACAAGGTGTTCTTGCTTTCGATCGAGACAGTCGCTGAGGACGACGAGGCATAGACACCCAGCTTAGAGAGAGTTGCAACAACTCGGAATTGGGTTGTGAGGAGCAAACTAGACATGCACTAACACGGCGTTAAAATTACACCACCGGATCAATCAGGAAGAAATGCGTTGAAAACGGCGTTATCACGGTTGGCTTCGTGAGATAGGGCGGGTGTGAATTGTGACGAGTAGTGTGGGTGGTTGCGTGAACGTGAATTGTCGGGCTCGAACTAGGCTGACACGATGCTGCGTTTGCGTCCAATGTGCATGGTGCAATATCTTCGTGTTTCCAACCAACCATGGCCGGGATCACTCTCCAGGATCACTCTCCAAGAATTCCGCGCGGTTCTTTACTATATAAGGCAACCCTTCTGCCTGTCCTGAGGCAACCTTTGCCCGCCACGTCTCTTAGACGCTGCATCCCATGGATCAGCAAAACCCGCGGAAACCATCTCGCGCTCACACTCTTGTGCCCGCGATATGCTTCTACTCCTCTAAATCTACTCTTAGCCTGCAACTCCTCTTGCGTTGTCGTCTTCATGCAAGGCTGAGCATTTGCCGGGCCGTAACAAGGGTGCGGATACCGCTCCGGGTGGCCGACTTTGGCCAACTTTGTAACCCGGAATCTGTGTATGGCTTTTAGATATTCCGTCCTGGATCAGCATCCGTGTGTTTTTCTATTTAGTTCCCTGTCTCCCCCCGTTATTTTTCCTTTTTTTTTTCTTCCATCCTCCCTTTCCATCCGCTTCATCACCTGGCTGGACAATTTGCCTGTCACGTTGCCTGTCCACAAGGGTTGCACCCTGGCGGCTCGCCCATCTCGCTGTGGACCTGTCCCGTCGGTCTTCAATATAACCTGCGATTCGCTTTCCGTCCTGAGGCTTTTCCCTCTCTCCTACACACAGTTATTTAGTCGCCAACATTACCCCATCTTCTACACCGTTTTCTCCTCAGGCTTGTTGTTCTCTAGGCCTCTACGCCCACCCACCCGCCTCACCGTGCTGCACTTGACAACTCATCAGAGGTCAACCACAACTCATCACCTTGCGCTCACTAATCAATCATTCATCGATATAAATACCCACCATCACTCTTTCTTCACTTCTCTTTCTCTCATCCCCACACGCATTCATTCATCAAGCAAGATGCCTAGTCGGGAGTTTCCAAATAACTCCATGTCCCGGGAAAACAACCGGAAGCGATCGTACGACGAAAAAGAGTATGCCGACAACGAGGTTAGCAACGGTCAATCTACACCTCCTACCAAGCGTCGGCGTACCAGCCGTGACGATGATGAAACCGCGTGCATGGAAGACGTTCCCGATCTCACGTCTCCTTCCTCTACCAGTCTTTCCATGGATGAAGACAGTCCCAATGAGGATCTTCCCGATGAAGACCTCTCGGGTGTAGAAGCCGACATCAATGACCTCGAAAGCATCTCCGAGGACGACGTCGAGGACTTGCACCACAGTCTCGGCAACATCGACTACACGAACGAGAACATCGTCATCGAGGCTATTGGCACGACTAGCCCTCTCGCGGATGACGCGAATGACGAAGACAACCAGGCCATGGCCCCACGAGGGTCCGCACAACCGCTATCTGATGAGGAGAGCGTGACCTACCGGCCCCTAATACGGTACGATACTCCTCACTGGGCAGCCCCATACTCGAGCCGGTTCCATGGAGGCAAGGAGTATCTCCGTTTGGTCATGTCGGAAGACGACTTCTCCGACGACGAGCTTTAAACCGGTCATGGCTTTGAGCGATACTTTTCACAATACACCTCGACTAAACATATTTGTTTAAACTCACTAGAGTTCCGAGTCCATGATGACAAATCATAATGAAGGACATCCAGGGAATGGATTATGGAATGGGCTAGGGAGCAAGATGCACGATATGGCGTTTTCTGGAAAGGGTTTCTTGGTTTGAAACTGTTGAGTATGATACCCTGGGATGCAACTCTCAATGAAATGGTTTTGGTTTTTTGCCCATGAAGGCTCTGGATTGCAAAGACGCTATGATTAACTTGGTATTAACTTATACATTATCTCATTTCCGCCCTGACTGTTCCAGGCCATGTTTCGGGCCCTTCCCCGTGCACAAAAGACAATAACATTCATTATACCATTATCTCTCCGTCCCTCATCCACATTAATAATCTGAGTCTGTATCGGTAGGCGTTGAAACCGCCGTTAATCCCCCACACCACGTAAAGGTTCAGACTCCAGCAGGGGTACCCTCCCCCCGGGATCCATCCTCCGTCCGAGTCGTCGTCTAGCGTCGACCAGCGAACAGAGGCTCTCTCCCGGGCTTCCTCGGGCGTCTTTTTTGCCCAACACTCGGCGTTAAGATGGGCAGGCGTAACGGGACACCACGGTGCCACGGGGCATCTCGACACTCAAGCTGCACTCTCTCTCTCTCTCCCACGATGGGATTTGGCGTTGCTGCCGTCGGGGTAGCGGTGGACGGCATGGTTCGTGGGGAGTTGGAGGGTGGCTTTGAGCGGAAAACAATCCTCGCGGCGATGGTGTCTCCTTCGCTAGGCTCGCGAGCTCTTCCAGCGGATTCACATCGTCGGCGGTGCAGAACCGTCGTAGCGCAACTACGCCGACGGTCATCAACGCTTCAGGCTCAGCGATAATCATCCAGCGGTAACAAATATCCAAGGTCCCCGTAAACAATCGCCCTCCTCTCGCACCGGCGGTCGAGCCGACGTGGGAAGGGGGACAGTGTAAACGGAGTCCTCGAAAAATGGCTCTCGACTGCTTGCAAAGCTGGCGCCCCGCCTTGCAAGCAGGAAAGTCTCAACTCTCCAATTCCGAAAAAAGGGTGGAATCGAAGGAGAAGAAGTGTAAATGCTTCTACGCTTCAGGGGAGTCTCGAAGACTCGCCCTTCCAGCGGAGCACATCCTCCGGGCCACGGCGGCGAGAAGTCGGAGATCCGGCCGTGGGGAGGGTTTTGGTTGCGGGCAGCGCGCAGGAGCTTGTAGTTTTGGGGGGTTGACCGAGGGCGAACTCGACTGCGGTGCTGGTTCCCCGGGGGAAAGCGAGAGGAACCTGCTGAGGAGGAAAAGAGAATCACCAGATGGCGGGCGTGGGATCCATTTATAGATGCTGTGTCGGTGAGCGGCTATAATGGATGAGGCCATGACTTACAAGCTAGAGCAGCTTACCCTAGACCTAGACCTCCGAACACGCCACCTTTTTTCGGCCTCCGTCCAGCCTAGCCCCCGACGTCCCGCGTCCCGCAATTCCGCTCCGAGACACTTAAACCTCCGCATCTCGTCGCATCTGAGACGCAACCCCAGACGCCAAACCTCAAACATCAAACATGTCCTGACACATTTCCCCCCAAACCGCCGCCCGTTTGCATCTCGTCTTCGTCTCAGATCCCATCTCTTCGCCGTAACCTAACCCACCATGGCTGCAACCGCTCCCTCGTCCGCCCCGGTCATGATCCAGTGGGTGCTCGACACACGCTCGCTGTGGCCGTCGGCTCAGCAAACCCGCGACCTGTCTACCGTGGTACGTCCCGTCTCAAAGCCGTCTCGGCCGTTGCAGTTCGCGCCGGAAGTGGACGCAGCCGGGGAAACCAGCTGATATCGAAACCTCTCAGGCCTCGCGGGCGCTTAACCTCCTGTCGCAGAGCGAGCGGGAAGCAGTGCTCCGGTTCTACCACGCCCGCGATGCAAAGCTGGCCCTGGGATCGGTTCTGCTCAAGCACTATGTCATCTCCCGCTACTGCGGCGTCCGTTGGACCGAGGCCGTCTCCGTGCGTGACGAGCGCACCAAGCCCGTGTTTCTCATGCCGGACGGTTCACAGCCCCTGCTCTTCAACGTCTCGCACCAAGCTGGCCTCGTGGTTCTCATCGCCGTCCACCACCCGCCGCCCGGAGTTGCTGTAGGTATCGACGTTGTGTGCCCGCATGAACGCCGTGGGCGTGACCACCAGACGCTAGGTTCTGAGGGCTGGCCGCATTATGTCGATGTACACGCCGAGGTCCTGTCGCTTCACGAGGTCGCCGCGCTGAAACGGATCAGGCCTGGGAGCACGCTCGCAGACCGTGATCGTGCTCTGCGGTACTTTTATGCCGTCTGGTGCCTGCGCGAAGCTTACGTCAAGATGACAGGCGACGCGCTGCTCGCAAGTTGGCTGGGTGAGCTAGAAATGCGGGGGTTTGCGCCGCCTGAGGAGATGCGCGCGCCGCAGGAAGTATGGTTCCAGGGACAACGGGTTGAAAACGTCGAGGTAAAGCTGACGCCGCTGCTCGAGGACTACATGGTTTCGACGGCAGTGCGTCATGGAGATGGAGGAGAGCATATTGAGGCCGGGGAGTTTACCAATCTGGATATAGATCAGGTGCTGGCGTTTGGAGAAGCCGCGATTGAAAAAGATTCGACTTTATGACCATTGATATAATTAAAAGGACCAATCATTAATTGAATGTCATTTCTCGGGATACTGTCCATAATTTTTGGGCACATTTTGTTTCATTTCTCTCATGGCATATGCTGGTCGTCAAAAACACTTAGAAGTTCTTGCCGAAGAAGCCGAGGACAGTCTTGTAGCCACGCTCATACTCCTCTCGGACACGGGCATCCTCGAGGTCGGCGCGGGCGGCCATCCAGCCGTGGATCTGGTCGGCAAATGTCTCGACATGCTTGGGGACGGTGAGAGCGGCCTCGAACTTCTTGACCTCCGCAGCATCCTCATCCTTGGAAGCTAGCAGCGCGGTAGGAATAGTGACACCAGCCGCGTCGTTGGCATCGACCATGGCGGGGTGGATCGAGGCCGCGACAGAAAAGGGGTTGGTATCGGCCTTGGTGGTGAGGGCAACGACCTTGCCTCCCCAGCAGTACTGTCGGGAGAGTCCAGTTTAGCTCATGGGCCCTTGTTAATGTCAATGGAGAGGGTGTCTTACACCGATGATGCCGAACTTGGCGATGGACGAGTCCTTGGTCTGGACGGCCTTTACGTAGTCGGGGACGAGACCAGCAATCTTGGGAGGAGGGAAGGTTCCGAAGAAGTTGCCGAGGCCCTTCTGCTTCTCCTCAGTGTCCGGAGGGTACCTGTAGGAGAGAGAAGATGGGATTAGTACAGGTATAGAGATTGAATCACTATGGCAGTGGTGGCGATCGGGGATTTCATACCACTCAATGGGGCAGGGCTTGCCCTCGAACCAGTCGGGGATGTAGACTTTGTACTTCTGGTGGTCGTCGCTGAAGGCTAGGATGTCGGCGCCCTGGATGGTCTGGTCGAAGTAGCCGAAGATGTCGTAGATGACAACAATGGCCTTGGTGGCATCGGAGGGGCCGGTGACGTCTAGTTGAGTGATGGGTTAGCTTCAGGAGGGTTTGTATCGCCATGTCTTTGTCTTGTATCCTATCTCGTCGAGTTGGAAGAAAGAGGAGGTTTGGCGATAGCGGGAGGTACGGGAGCCGTACAAGTCTTGTATCCGCCAATCTCCTCGTAGGAGCCCTTGGCCTTGTAGCCCTTGGAGACAATGGGAGGCACGTTGCAGCAGGCCTCGCTGTGGCCGTGGGATGCGGGCATGGTCGACATGATGGGCAACGTAGTCGACGGAATCGACGGGATGCGTATGTTGTTTGAGTTGAACGAGGACGACGATGCCGAGGCGCGGTTGATGGCGGGGTAGCTGGAGCTGTTGTTAGCTGTTTAAAGCTCTCTATCGCACTGGGGCAATCAGCTGGCGCAAAGACGGGACGGACCTGTGACGAACAGACACGACTCTTTGGGGGGTGGCCGGTTTGATGTGGTGTTTTTGGGAAGTCGAAGGAAGAAACCGGATGTGCAGCCGGGAATTGAGATGCGGCATCTTGGTTGCGGGGAGGGGCAATCGTCTCGCTTTCTTGAAGGTGGGGGTGATGTCACCATCTCTGGCATGATGCGGATACGGCTCAATTCACCTGATATAACTCTGACTTTGTAAGAAACTGTTTATCGTTTATCCTTCACCAATTTAATGACGTATGTGCGAAACTCCCGGAGGCGTCTGGCTTTTGCAGCTACCCTACTTCTCCCACCTCACTGAAGCCACAAAGAAATATCCCGTACATTGACGTTGATGTAGCACATTGAGTCAAGAACGGTACAATTAAATCACGATGTACCTTTAAATTAGGTGAACTAAACACGATGCGTCTCCTAGGCTCTTGACGATGGCTGCATCACTTTATCGCTTGCCGTAACTCCGTCGTATGCTGAAATGCGTCCGCGCCTATCCTTCCCCCAAGGATGTTCAACCATTCGCCAAACACCCGTTCCCTTTTAACCACCCTCTAAACGCCCAGAAAAATACACACACACAAAAGACTGTGTCGTTACATCATCCCCCGGTTCTGGCCTCCCTGTACTGGCTCTCATATCTCTATACTGCCGTTCATGCAGCTGGGTATCAACAACCATCACCTCACAGGAGAGTTGGGGCTGAGTCCCCCCATGCGCCGGACCACCATTTGCATCTTCTCGATGAGCTCTGGAATCCGGTACGGCTTCACCAGCACGTCGTCGCAACCTGCCTGCTTCGCCTCCATCACCTGCTCGGGCCTTGCATTGGCCGTGACGGCAATGATCGGGATACGGCCTCCAGAAGCGCAAAAGATCTCGCCATTTTGCTCGAGTTCTCGAATTCTTCGGGTGCACGTCAAGCCATCCTGAATGGGCATTTCAATATCCATGAGGACGAGATTGATGGCGATTGGCAGTGAGCTTGGTCCGTTCCTGGAAGCCGAGAGGCCAACGCCGACAACAAGACCGAGGTCGACAGTGGGAACAGCTCCATGGCGACGTTGGAGCTTCTCTAGTGCTTCGATTCCGTGGTTCGCCACGTCAACAGTGTATCCACGATCTGTTAGACCACGCCGCGTGATCTGCTGGTTGATGAGATTGTCCTCAACGATGAGAATGCCGTCAAGGCGGATGTTCCCACCAGGATTCTGGTGTCGCTGTAGGCGAACATCGCGCAAGTTCAAGGCACGCTTAGTGTCTAGCATCTCTGCAGCATCTGTGCTAGCAACCAGTCTCGCAGCTGCTGCGACCGCCAGTGCCTCATTTCTCGATTCTTCGCTTGGGAGGTAGGACTCGATGTAAAATGCAAATGTTGACCCAACGCCAGGCTCGCTTGATACACCGATTGCTCCGTTCTGCAATTCTGTCAAGCGACGTGAGATGAACAGGCCTAGACCGGAACCTCCATATTTGACGTGCGTTTTCGAGCTTGCTTGCACAAACTTGTTGAACAGATTGCCCATTTCCAAAGCGGTCAGTCCTTGGCCGGTATCTTTGACCTCAAAGAGTAGATAGACTGGGTGATTGCGACCCCGTAGAGCAGGCTGTTCATACTCCTCTGACAAATCGCAGAACCGAGGTATGAAGTCGACGGTTGTCAAGGTCTGATCCGGGGGCTTCAAAGAACCCTTGACGCAAATCTTAACAGTTCGAGTTTTGCCAGATTTGGTGAACTTCAATGCATTGGTGAGTAGGTTGATAAGCACTTGTTTCACTCGCGACGGGTCAAGATCTAGAAAGTCGTATCCAAGATCCGTGTAGGACTTGTCAACGGAGGAAGTCAACTCGATATCCACGCGGCGAGCTTCCACTTCGAACATCTTCAATGCGTCATTGGCGATCTGGATAGGATCGACAGTACACGGTGTAACTGCCAGGAGCTTGGAATCCAGCTTGGACATGGTGAGGATGTCATCGACAATGCGTTTTTGGTGTTGCGCGCAAGTCACGATGGTTTCGGCATTTTCGATGCTGTCCTCCAAGAGTTGCTTTTCTTCGTCGGACCTTTCGATGCGGGGACTCTGATCTGCCATATCGGCGTTTGCTCTTGTAGGTGTGAGTGGAACTGGGTTCTCGATGATATCCTGTACCCTGGAAAGTGACGCGATGATGGCGTCGGTGCAATGCAGGATGGCGCTCAGCGGGTTTCGCATCTCATGAGACGTCATGTCGATAAAGTTCTCCTGTTGCCGCTTCGACTCGATGGCCTCCTCCTTTCGCGACTTCTCCTGATGAAGCTGCCATTTTTGCAACGAAACATCGCTCAGGCAGCCTGTAAATGAGAGGATGGCGCCATCGGAGCTCTTGACTGGCATGAATGTCCCTAATACCCATCGCGAACTGGCGGGCATGTTGTCGTCGTTGTCTTCGGCGACCCATGGGGTCTGGAGTCGGAACTCTGCTGTCTGCGGACGCCCCGTTTCCCCTAGTTCCTTTAAGCTCTGATCGAGAATAGCCAAGTCCTCCTTGACTACACATTCGGGCCAGGGTTTGACGACGACCTTGGTGAGGTCAACCTTGGCCACGCCAGTAAGCTCCCAGAACAAGTTGTTTGCGCTCAGAAGCTGGCCGTCCATGCTCATATTATACATGCCAACGGTTGCGAATTCAGCAAGGCGCTTTAGGTTCTCAGCCTCCTGCGCTCGTTGGATAGCTTCTTCAGCAGTGTCCTTCTGCACTGTCACATCGGTCAAGCAAGTCAGAATCCGAACCACACTACCATCAGGGGCGCGCTCTGCTTTGATTGAGGCAAGGATGTGGCAAGCCACTTTGTTGTCCACTGTAGGCAAAGCGGTCGGAGGAGACTTCAGACCTTCTGGCCTTGATCTGCTTCCGTTTCGTAGAATTCGGTACTCATATGTCACGACATCCCTTTCTCCAACGTCCTTGTATGCTTGCATGACCTTTGGTATATCCTCTTCCAGGACAGACTCCAGTAGAGCGCCGCGGTGTATTATTCCTCTTGGATAGCCTGTGATGCGGTGCCATGCCTCGTTGGCGAAGGTGACATTGCCATCGGTGTCGACGAAACACATTCCAATTGGAATAAACTCGGCAACGGCTGTTAGGGTCTGGACAGACCTATTTGTTTGCTCTGTCTGGTACTCCAGCCTCTCCTTGAGCATAGCGTTGTCGTAGGCAGCTTGCTCTGTGGCGTTGCGTCTTCGGCGAGTTTCTTCCTCCAAGAGAACGGTTGATGCGAGTGAGCTTGTTAGCTTTTGATTGAGAAGTGAAATGAATTGCCGATAGTCATGGTCGTATGGCCGTCGCGGGTTTAGGCCGAGCACCAAAATACCCATGACATTTTCCTCTTTGGTAGGACGAATAGGGCATATAATTGCAGCTTGACAAGGATCGCCAAACCCTCGCCATTCTAGCCCATGGAGAAGTTGCTGAGGCAGTGTCCCATCCTTTGTCTGAAGCAAGAGAGCATGAGGCGAATTTAGAGACTCCCGAAACATGGGAGCGAGACCGTCGTCGGCGTCTCGAAGGTTGATGGTTGGGGGCGCGATGACGTGGTTGTCGGGCACCCCAAGTGATCCTTCCAAGCGGCATGTCCTTGGACATCCGTATTTTGATGCTGAGGAATCGCCGTCGTCGTCATCACCTACCGAGTAGATGAATGCCAATGGAACGTCGTATGCCGGGCTCCAGCGCTCGAGTTCCTCGATTGTCCTTGTCCAGTATGATTTGACATCCACAGTGGCGATCAAAGCCTCGCCGAGTTCGACGAGCATCTTCATCCTCCTTTCCCAAAGTCGCCTAGAAGTCGTTTCGAGGAGGCAATGTTGCACACCCATGTACTTTTTGTCGGAAACAATCGGGACCATCGACCACTCGGCGTATGTCTCCACGGACGAACCATCAGCCTGTTCAATGAAGAACCTCGACTGATCTTCAACCTTGGAACACCTTTTCTGGGGTGATGCGATTATGTTTTCCAGTTGCTCCTTTAGATGGGGCCATGAATCGAAGGCGGACCGTCCCAGACGTTCAGGATGTTTGGCGCCGCAATACTTGGAGAACCCCTCGTTGTAAATGGTGACACAATCAGGGCCCCAATAAAGCGCGATTGGGCGTGAATCGGATATTACTTGGCTGAAGGTTTGTTGCAACTGTGCCGACCAGGCTGCCATGGGGCCCAACGAGGTTGATCCCCAATCCACGCTCTGAACAACGTCAAGAAAGGGCTCATGCTCGGAGTTGAAGACTGGCACCATGAGACCTGGATTAGGGTCGGAGCGGTAAATAATGGGCGTGGTGCTGTCGGATTTTCTCAGAGATGTTAAGTTCGCAGCCTCTGGGATTGGGTTTTGGGAATAGGGTCTCGAGGAGGATCTGGATGTCGCGGCGCTTCCTTCCTTGCACTCAATTCGTTTCTTCCGAGGGGGTTCGGAGCAGGGGACCGTCTCATTGCCACTCATAACGACCCATTGATCGCACACAATGCTCCGCGTCCAGAAGACGCCGAAGTAGGGGAGGGAGTGTTGGACATCGGCAACGGTATGAGGCTCGACATCAGCGTCGGGATTCAATTTCGAGGGTGGGTTGGTGACCCAATTCCAGAAGGGTGAGTGAGAGACATCCTGGGGGATGGAACAAATAGACTGGTCGAGAGTGAGGGTGGCCTTCAAGGCCGGGTTTCGGTAGAGGATTTCGTTGGAGGAGGCATCGGGAATGGATGGGAGTTGGACGACAAAGGTCGGGCGCGGGTCGGAGCTGATGAGGTCAACAAGACCAAGAGACTGCAATGACGGAACCATGCCCGCTGGGTGTCCGACTCCAGCAATCGGGGGCGGCCAGGCGGGAACTGTGCGAGGCCGTGCTGGCGGAGGCGGACGGAGCCCAGAAGATGGTGAGGCACGAGGCACAAGGCGAGCACCCGAGGCGGCTAGGTGCAGCGCGGGAGAGGATTGCGGGTTGGCGTCGTCATTCTTCTAGTTCTTGGAAGTGGTTGCAGACTCGATCTCGGACTCGGAATCGCAGGGGCACACGGTGGCGGGGATCGTCGCGACGGCGACGGTAGTGTAGGCAGAGATGGATGGTGGTCGATACTGAGGCATCGCCAAGCGGGCAGAGAAGCTCTATCGGCGTTGCTTGGTGGACGCAAGGCCTTGAACGGTGGATGGTCGACGGTGGAGAGGGACGATGGAGAGACGGGAGAGATGTGCGATGGGACGTGGGTGGACTCGGTGGGGCCAGTGGGAGCGGATGGTGGGCGTTGAGTGGGTGGCGCTGAGCCTTGATGCTTGGCCTTGCTTGGGCGGGAAAAAATCCACGCAAAACGCCAGTGGCAGCGCCAGGGGCCACTGCCAGCGCCTTCTCCACAGCCCCGGGAGCAAGCTGGAGTGTGCTGGACGCCCGTGGCGGTTAGTGATTACTGATGGATGCCACTGAGATGCCACTAAAGTCCACTAAAGGCCACTGAAAGCCACTAAAGGCCACTGGAAGCCATTCTGGGGGAGCGCCTCCCCACCTCACGAAACCAGGATGCCGGGCTCCGTACAGCCTTCTCAGCGACGGCAGTGCTAGCCCGCCTGTCCCTGGCAGCGAAAACCTACTACGCAGCGCTTGGCAGTTCTCTGCCCCGTTCTCTTGCCTTGTCACTTGGGTGGCTGTCCCCTCCCTGAAGCCATTCAGCAAGACCGTCCAGTGATGTGTCGCGACGTGCCGTGCGGGCTCAGTGGGCGTTGGCGGGCGTAGCGCTAAGATCAGCTGCGGCAGGCCCCATAAAATGGATCTCAGCTGAGAGATGCCAAGTTTGGGACACATGCGTGAGACGTAACTAAAGTACGAATCATGGAGGGGCTGGGGCGATGGCAGTGGGTGCGGAAGAGTGGGCGGATCGCAGCAAAACGAACCGAGGCGCTGGTCTCCCCTCTCGGCCCGTTGCCCGTTGTCGCAACTCTAACCATCCAGTGCCTAAAAGTTAGAGGTAGATTGAGAGATGGTGTGCAGAGAGACTCAGAGCGGCCCGGATCTTGCACCCGCATGACTCGACTGGAATTCAGTTCGCGCGGGAACTCTTTTCCAGCTGACACCCTAGGATGGAGATTCAAGCACGTTTTCGACTTAATCCGTGCCCACCAGCAGAGTGCATCTCTCGGTACAGCCCATCTCTGCATCTGCGCAGTGCTCCGTAGATAGGCGCTGAACCATGACCATCTCGCACTCACTACTTGAGACCTGGTTCAGCCTTGTTTCTCCTAGTGCTGGCCCAGGTATCCCTTGACTGGAGTTTGCAGCGAAACTAAAGAAATAAGCCCTGGAGCGTCGGCTGGTGGCGTGCATGGCGGTCGTTATGCCATGCGATAGTGTCTGACAACGGAGAGTCCGAGAACTGAATCCTCCACCAGGATAGGCTTATCCAAGTGCGAGGATTGCTTTTGTGCCGGCCGGCCGTGATTCAGGGCGTGATTCATCCCTTGGGAGAAGAAATTATTCCCAAACACCTCGCTCGCACGGCCTTTGCCGTCTCCCTGCTTCCCGTCACGAGGACCTCTCATTTCTTTTGCTTTCTTTTCTTCGCCAGAGACTTGCCATGTGTCATTTCGCTTGGGCCTCGTGGTGGCGAGTGATGGGTCTGAATGACTCGGGAGCCGCGAGACAGGCCAGCGTTATCTAATGCGACAAGGCTTGAGAGGTTGAGAGGTCAAGAGGCACGCAGCTTGAACTACAGGTTTCTCTAATGCGGCAAGGCTTGAGAGGTTGAGGGGTTGACAGGTTGAGAGGAAAGCAGCTCGAAATGCGGGTCAGACCGAGTAACCTTGTTGAGCGACGAACTCGACTGAGACATGAATCTCCTGTCCGTTAATTACGGTAGCGGAACTTACTGTCCGGCTTGTGTAACACAAGGATGATTAAACCGGAACATGCCGCGTAACTGGCGAGCCTGAACAGCCTTGTCTCTGCACACTTACCTCATCGAGTAGCATGGCGCTCCCCAGTGAACTGGGGCTTGCGCATCTCCCGTGGGCTCGGTACTAGTGTTGACGCACCATCGCCTTGGCCTCTCTCCTGACACATTGATGCGCTCCCTTCAGCGTGCCTGTAACTTTTCCGTCAATCATGATTCATCACTTGCCAACTAACATGCTACCATGCCCAGTTGCTACTAATTACTCGAAATTCTCCTTGCGTCCCCCTTTATGCCTCTGCCAGTGACCATACTATGTCATGGCGTAGGAACCGCCTCCCCAAAGATGCAGTGATGGTCGCTACGTAGGTAGTGCGAAGACTGACGCGGGAAGTTTGACAACTTCCCGAGGTATAAGACGCACTAGCTGTACAGTGTAGTACAGTGTGCGTGAAGTGTCCTTCAGTGCCTCACAAGCCCCCTTAGACCTTCATTATTTAGCGCTTAGGTACTAAAGCTTAGTTCTTGCTTGTAAAAGTGACGGTTTACTCTTATTCTAAGTACCTTAGGTATATAATATTGAATATACTTTAGTCAAAGCCCGACTGCTATTGCTCATCACACTTTAGGTAGTTGATGGGTCGCAGATCGTACTGTGCGGGGGAGCTGTCCAGAAGTTGTCACATTTCTTGCGCCAGTCTTCGTACTTAGTAGCTTTGGGTGAAGAAAGTCTTCGGGCTTTGACGAACCCACGCCTCGTTCCACGCCTCCCCATTGCAAAGAATTCCCCTGACGTGACTTGTCAGCCCCGACGTCACGTTTCTCCGCGCGTTCATAATGCTGAGAGGAGGAGCCAGCCAAGACCCTCAAGTCTGCATTCCATCCCGGGTGCCTACTGCGAATTCGATTGGATGAGGGGGCTGAGTGACGACACACCAAGCCTTTGCTCCTCCCCCCTCTTCATGCTTAATCAAGGAAAGTCGTCAATCACTCAAGCTTGAATGTTTCAGGAAGGAGCACTTGCCTCAGGGCCCCAAGTCAACTGGCAACTGCCACCTATGGGTTGTGATTCACCTTTGCTAGATCGAACAACCTAGGTAGTCCGTCGCGTCGCTTCGCTCTCACGTTGCTCCCACATCACTCCCACATCACTCCCACATCGTCTCAGATACACGCATCCATCCAGACATTCATCCATACATTCATCCACACATCCATCACATCATCTTTCGTTGCTCATATCCTTACCGGCAACACGGCTTCACGTCGTCTCCTCGCCTGGCATCGCTAGACAGTTGAGTGCTTGCTCGATCGTTACACACAACTCCCTTCGCTTTCAATCAACACCCATTTCACATCTCAACCCCCCTTTTTACTCAGCCATGTCGTGTGCCAGCAATTGCTTCTTCGTCGATCAGGCCGTCAATCCAGCCGTCAATCCAGCCGTCAATCCAGCCGTCCATCAGGCCGTCCATCAGACCTTCTACCGAGCAATCGACCATGAGGCTCCCTCCTCCATCGGCCAGACATAGTACTTCTGTCCCGCTCACCGGGTCTACCATGCCATTTGGCTCTCCGAACCTTCCATCCAGCCCTTATGTGGCGAGTGTGCCGTTCTCTTCTTCTACAACTTGGACTCTGCAACTTGGCTTTATCGCAACGACCTTCAGGCCGTGATATCTAATACCCAAGATTTCCGTGTCAATTCCGAGAGCGGCATAGTGGCCTCGACCTCTCAGGCGGATGCAGTCCCGAGGGAGAAAACTGCTGACGATTCCTCGAACGATATTGGAGAGTTGGATGCCCCCCAGAGGGACATTGCAATTTATGGCGCCACGAATGCCTTGGCCAATACCACAGCAGATAACGAAATGGTCCCTGAACCTTACTCACTGCAACATCCTTCCGAAGACGTCTTCGATGAGATTCCCGTAAACGACTTGGCTTATCAAAACCTATCAGATAGCCGTATCCCCCACGGTCGCTTCCTTGGCATGTTCTTGCTCGAATACCGCACTTCTGAGGGTATTCTTGCATACCAGCCGTGTTCCAGCAACATCGATCAACTGGGAATATTCAAGGCTCTGCGCCCTTTGGATCGAAATGGAGACCTCGCCTTTTGCACCGCCCGAGAGTGGTCATGCATTATTCAAAGCATTAGTCAAATTCCAAAGGATGTCAGATGGGTTCTTTCTACCATTTACAACCTCGCCAATGAGGGGCTCCGACCCGAAAACGACAAGAACACGCTCTGGGGTATACGGGCCCGACTGTTCCATTGGTACGACGTGGCCGACGAACTCTTCCAGTACTACGGAATTCCTGCCACGACCCCAGAACTGGATTGGTTCCAAACGCCCACTGTTGCGAAACTGAAAGAACCGAAGGAGAACGAAGGTCTTGTCGTCCTTGGCCAGAGCCAGACTCGGTCATCCTGCTCATCCGTGACTCGTGGTGACTCTAGTCTACCCAAACTCGTTCAGCATGAACCTCCACCAATGGTTGTTCAGCAGCGGCCAGTTATTGAAGGAACTGAACCTCGTATGCTCACCTCGACAGTTCACACTTGGTTATATGACCAACCAGGCCAGATGGATTCTGTTAGACACGAGCCCGAGTCTTTCGACGCGACTCCTGAAGGAGTAGGTTACGGGAGAGGAGTAGCCAGCTCCCAGCACAACCAACTTCCAAACTCGCATGCTACTGGATCGGATGCATTGGCAGTGGAGAACGGTCCAAGGATGGCTCATACCGGAAGTTACGAGAGAGGAGTAGCTAGCTCCCAGCACAACCAGCTTCCGAATTCGCATGCTACTGGATCGGATACATTGGCAGCATCGAGAACTCCGAGGATCGTGCATACCGGAGGTTGCGAGAGCGGATTAGCCAGCTCCCAGAACAGCCAACTCCCGAACTTGCATGCTACTGGATCGGATACATTGGCAGCGTCGATAGCTCCAAGGATCGCTCATATCAGAGGTTGCATGGCGAAGCTAGAGAGAGTGTCCCGTGGGGTTGAGGAGATGTTTGAGAGATACGGCGAAAATTACACGTTGCACAGATAACGGCGAAGGTACTGGGGGCGATTCTGCCAAGTTACTTTGATTGGCTATTGTTGTTGGAATGGTTGAGGTTGAAGCGAGGCTGGAGATCCCAAAAGCAAACAGTAGTTTGCGAACTATTTTAATTTGTACGTTCACTTCTACATGTACCTTAGCGTTCAAAGAAGCGATTGAATAATAAACTGAGCTTTTTTTCTTACATTCTAAAGTTTCTTCCTATTGGTGTGCTCATTTCCTCCATGTCCTGCTCCGATTTACGACCTGTTGCTATAAGAGCTGACAAGAGTCTCTGTACACTCGCATGTCAACTGTCTGTCGTGGCATCTATTACGCAACATGTTGCGAGCCAGGAGTGTACATATAATAGCCCTGGAGAGTCTACTCTACATCTGCTTCACACACAAATATCAAGTGCGGGCTCTATAGCCAAGAGTTGAAGACCTATTGTGCCGAAATCATGCTCATGTAGATACCCCAAACCACGCCGGCTAGAGAACCAACCAGGTTCCGGCCCTGGACCGTCTTGACGGCAGAAAAGTTGACTAGGCTAACAGCAGGCCAGAGTTTCCATCCAGCCACGAGGATGGGCCAGAACTCGTCGAGCGAGGCGGCCCAGACGGCGTCCCAGTTGACGCGGGTGAGGTCGACGGTGCCAGGGCTAGTCCAGAAGGTAATGGCCTTGAAGAGGCTGGTGATGCGGGGCGCAGGGTGAAGAGCGGCGCGCAAGGCGTGGACGTAGTTGCTGAAGAGCAGGGTGTTGAGGATGGCGCCGACGGTCTGGTCGAGGACCAGCTTGATGGCGGTGTTGCGGACGGAAAGCTTTGGCGGCGGCGGAGGGTCGTCGGACTTTTTTGGGTGAGGGGGAGCAGGATAGGCGGGGAATGTGGATTCTAGGAACTCTTGCCTAAAGAGGTGTGAGATTGGCGAGTTCGGATGAGATGGGATGGTACGAGGTGGTGGTGACCCGCGAAAGTCGTGTATGAAGACTCGCGGGAGTCGTGTATGAAGGGGGCTCACTCACCAGACAAAGTTGGGCGGCGTGCTCAGCAAGTTGAACAGCAGAAACTGGAACACGGGCACCCAGTCGATCGACACTTCAGTCTATCATGGATCAAAGTCAGCCTCAATCTTCTTTTCGATTCACGGGCCATGCGAAAAGCGGAGGTGCGGGTTGTTGCACGGGCTCATACCCCAGTTCTGTACGCCGAGATGACCTGCGCCAGCACGTTGGCGATTCCGCCCAGCGCGGCGGACTGGATCATGGCCTGGACCACGGGAGGGTAATCGAGCGGCATGGCTGCGGATTCTCGGTAGGGTTGGATAAATAGGGAGGTCGATAGGACAGGAGTGAGAGAGAGGTAGACGAAGAGAAGATGTAGAAGTCGTTGATGATACCGGATATCGGTGTAACCTGGTCGCAGGGAATGGATGTTGCGCACGGCCGGGGAACGGGTTGGCAATTAATTAATGGAAGAGGTCGGGTTTAGGTGGACGCTAATTAGGCGGACGGCTTAGGACAGATTGCGCCTTGATATCCGTATCCCCCGCAGGACCCCCCACCAAATCACTCGCTCCGGGACGTTGGAGATGGACTCGCTTAGAGCATTGATTGCCTAGACCTTGGATGACGTCTTTTTACCATGTCGTTTTTCCTTCGTTCTACGTTACCTACTGAAGATGACTTCTATTCGTACACACCAGCTCGTGTCATTACAATTGCCCAGTCCGATGCCTGGCTAGTGGTCCCTCTATGTCTCCCTGTATCTCCCTGTGCCCCTCCTTGCAAACGCATGCATATGCACCAGCGCCCGTGAAAAGGAACCAAACCGCCCCCTTTCCTCTTTTCGCACTTGATTAACAGCTCCCGTGAGCTACCCGTTAATGCCTTTACGCCCGGGTGAGAACCCACATGAAGAAGAGCTGCACAATGTACGAATAGAAGAAGAGGAACTGGGTTCGCTGGTTGCGCTTCGCTCGTGTCTCCGTCTGCATAGGACCTCCGCTGCTGTCCGAGGTTTCGGGCAGGAGAACATACTTGAGAGACCGCATCTAGTACCTTGTTAGTGTCGAGTGTGGGACTTCAGGACACGGTAACTGCTTACCAAGAAGAGCGCGTTGGCCAGGAAGGTGTAAAGAAAGATGAGCCAGCCCACCCAGCCACCGGTGCCCTTGCCACCGCTGAAGATCTCGGCAACCACAATCGTCACGATGATGCCGACGAATTTGTATCCCGAGTATGCGATCAAATCGAGGAGTTGTGACTGGCTGGAGATGCTAAGGAGGTAGCATCCCAGCTTAAGCGCGAATATCTCAACGATGACGATGAGCATACCGGTCGTGGCAGTGTAGCCGAGGAGCTCGGGCTGGAACTGGCCTCTCAGACCGGCGATGAGGGTAGAGAGGAGGATATAGGTCACCAAAGCCATGACTGAAGACGTTGCTGGTCAGTTTATCCATCTCCAGAACGACGGAAGGGCGACAAACCTGGAATGTACATGTCGGGACTGTTGACGTCGTCCCGCGGGGGTAGATACCAACCCTCCTGGCCATTCGCGCCAACGGCTTGCTTGCGCGACCACGGCTTATGCCTCCAGGGGAAAAGAACCAGAAACAGCTTGTTGGCGACGTACGAGTTCGAGACGTTGAAGTAGTGCTTGAGCGCCGAGACGTTGACATATCGACCAAACTATAACACAGTCAGAACCTCAAAGTCATGCGCATGGGGGGGGGGGGGGGGAGTATTCCGTAGACTTACGTTCTGTTCGACGTATTCCTGACCATGCTTGAAAGCGGTTTGTCCAAACTGCGCCGCCACCTGCGCCGTGGGGTCGTTCATGAACTGCCCGTACGCGCCAAACACATTGCCAGCGCTGCCGCCTTGCTGCTGGTACGGCGTGCCCCCATAACCTTGCTGCTGGGACTGCGCGGAGCCCGGGGGAGGCGGCGGGGACCTTAGTTGGGGCACGGTCGACACATGCTGGGGGACTGGGTGGTGAAGGGGGGGCGACTGGGCGTAGGCCGCTCGCTGCATGGCGAAGGGAGGGAGGTGAGGTCGTAGCTAGCGCTGGAGCTGGAGATGGAGATGGAGATGGAGATGGAGATAGTTGCGCTGGCGATGTGGTCGTGCGAGAACGAGCTCGGGGGAGACAGCGCAGGATGAAGGATATGGAAGGATCGCCGTGGCGGCGCGGCGGATGGTCGAGCTTGCAAGCTGGTGTTTGTTCAGGAAATGTGGTCGATTGTCGTTCATTGGCGCAAGCGTCATGGCGCCTCCGCTGAAGGGGCCAAGGCACCAGCCACTTGTCCTCCCGAACCAAGCCCCAGGTACACAAGCCACAAACATCGACAGCGGGGCGCACAAGCCACAAGGTAGCCGCAGCCCCAAACACGTTCCCTGCTTCATGGCACCTCGGGGGCTTCCGGCACGTGAATAGGCGGGTCCGCGCACACCTTAGTGGCTTCCAGACCCTACTGTGGAGGCGCCCGCCTATCGATAAGGAGAACCCCTGCAACCCGCGCGCGGTCTCTCCGGGTCGAGTCCCCATCATGGTACGAAGAATATGGTATAGATTAGCCACATCGCCTTCATCCCGCACTCTTCTCGCCCCTCAACTCCTCCTTTCCCGCGCCTCTCGAATTGCCTCTGTCGCTCCTCGCATACCACCGTCGCATCTTCCGTACCAGTGCGCGCTTCAGGAGTCACCATGTTGGACTCCTTCGAGATCCTCACAACGTCCGGCGTGGTCGTCTGGTCGCGCACCTACTCGCCCATTAACCCGTCCATCATCAACAACTTCATCGCCGACACATTCATTGAGGAGAAGGGTGGCTTTGCCGCCGTCGCCGATTCCAAGTCTGCTTCCAGCAACCCGCCGTACAAGAGCGACCAGCACACGCTCAAATGGACCCTCGTCAAGGAATTGGGCGTCATCTTCGTCGTGAGTACTCCTTGCCCCCCATTCTGCCCCATCTTCGGCGCTCACATATCCACTCTTCCGTAGGCCGTCTACCGATCGCTGCTTCACCTCTCATGGGTCGATAAACTCGTCGACAATATCAGGACTATTTTTGTCAAGCTCTATGGTGAACAACTCTTGAAGCCGCACACGACCCTGGTGGAGTGCCACGGCTTCGGTGAATACTTTGACCAGCAGCTCCAGGAGCTCGACCAGACGAGCGCAAAAGGCGCATCCTCCGCTTTAGGCGCCCTGTCCCTAGAACAGCAGACAGTGCCTACAATACTCGGCCATGACCCTCTCCACGAGCCGGGTTTAAAGTACCGAGGCCGTTCCCTCAATGGCGCCGACGAGCCCGCCTCGCCCGAGTTGACCCCCGCCATCACCCCCAACGGATCACGGCCGGCGACCCCGAGTAACAACCACCTCTTGGTTGCCAAGGCTGGGCCCGTCGCAAAGATGTCGAGGCGCGCGCGCAAGACGAAGAACCAGACATCTGCGCCCGTATCGTCCGGCGATGAGGCGTCCTCTCAGAAGAAAAGCAAGAAGACAGTCAAAAAGGGTCGCAAGTGGGATGCCGATGGTTACGCCGACGAGGAAGACGATGTCCAGCTCGACTACTCTCCGGCCAACCCCAACAGCGATTCCGAAGTCGAGGCGCGATCCGCCAATGTTGAAGAGATCGATTCCAACACCTGGGGCACGCGCTCCAAGGGCAAGTTCCTGCTCAACGACCTCAAGGACGAAGTCGACGAGATTCTCGCTTCCGAGGCAGAGAAGAAGAGTACAAACGCCAAGTCGCAGCCCAAGGCCGGCCTCTTTGGCACCGGAGTCAACGCCATCAGCGGCCTCTTCCGCAACGTCGTGGGCGGAAAGACACTGACTAAAGAGGACCTGGACAAAGCCATGAAGGGCATGGAGGAGCACCTGTTGAAGAAGAACGTCGCCCGCGAGGCTGCCGTCCGGCTGTGCGAGGGCATCGAGAAGGAGCTGCTCGGAGTCAAGACCGGCAACTTCGAGAGCATCAACACCAGAATCCAGGCCGCCATGGAGGCGTCCCTCACCAAGATGCTCACCCCCACCTCGTCCCTCGACCTCCTCCGCGAGATCGACGCCATCACCGCCCCCTCGGCCACCTCCCTCCGCAAGGCCCGCCCCTACGTCATGTCCATCGTCGGCGTCAACGGCGTCGGCAAGTCCACCAACCTGTCCAAGATCTGCTTCTTCCTCCTGCAGAACAAGTACAAGGTCCTCATCGCCGCCGGCGACACCTTCCGTTCCGGCGCCGTCGAGCAGCTCGCCGTCCACGTCCGCAACCTCAAGGAGCTCACGGCCCGCGAGGGCGGCCACGTCGAGCTCTACCAGAAGGGTTACGGTAAGGACGCCGCCACCGTTGCCAAGGACGCCGTCAGCCACGCCGCTCAGGAGGGCTTCGACGTTGTCCTCATTGATACCGCCGGCCGCAGGCACAACGACCAGCGCCTCATGTCTTCCCTCGAGAAGTTTGCCAAGTTTGCTCAGCCCGACAAGATCCTCATGGTTGGCGAGGTATGTTTCCCCCCTGACCCTCTGCTCTCACCTCCATGTGCTAACTAATACCCAAGGCCCTTGTCGGCACCGACTCGGTCGCCCAGGCGCGCAACTTCAACGCCGCGTTCGGCGCCGTCCGCACTCTTGATGGCTTCATCATCTCCAAGTGTGATACTGTTGGCGACATGGTCGGCACCCTCGTTAGTCTTGTCCATGCCACAAACGTCCCCGTTCTATTTGTCGGTGTCGGTCAGCACTACTCGGACCTACGGAACTTTTCAGTCAAGTGGGCAGTTGAGAAGTTGTTAAGCAGTAATTAATTAATATCGTGCATCAACAATGCTACCAAGTCATAATACAACAAAGGACAGAACTCGCACTCGCTCATGACACTGTGCTTTGCTTTAATGCCTGATGAATTACCATTATTCTTCGTAACCGCCATGTTCTCGCTATTGCCGACGTCAAGGGACATTCGTGCAAGATATAGGTACCCTTCATATCTGAGTGTAGATTATAATTATGTATATACATGACGCTACAGCGTTCTCGTTCTCTCAGCCCAAGTCCACGCCACCACACCGCTATGCAAACAAAAGGAAAGTAAAAACCACATATTTGTAAGGCGCTGAATTTCGAATCGTGCGTTCTTTTTTTTTGTTTCTTTTTGATTTCCTATCGGTCTCTCCTTTTTTCCTTCTCCTCGAATGTTGGTTCGTCTCCTAGACGCTCAGCGCAAACAAAAAATCTGAAATGATGGTAACGAAGGGGTTCAGTTTCAAAATCCCAATCTGTGTGGCGTAAACGTCAATCCAAGGGGTATCTTTCTAGGTTCGCAATCTCGGGTGAAAGTAAGAGTAATGTGCAGCGTGTGTATGCATCGGCCGTAGTTGGATGATCTTATGACAAAGGAAATGGTTTGTTGATATAGCATTCCTCCTCTTCCTCTCCTTCCGCCAACGCCTTAGTCCTCTTCAAAGAAGTCGTTATCATCAAAATCCCCTGGTTGGGCATCAGAGTCGTAGACACCAGGTCGCATCATCGGCGGAGTCATGGGCTCTGCCTCTGATTGCCTAGGAGGTGGGGTGCTGCGTCCGGACCTGTCCGATCGGTGCGAGGTGTTGGAGATTCCTCTTGATCGTGCAGATACGGTACCGTGTGATGGATAGCGGCGTCCGGTGCTAGCAAAGGCGGTGGGCTGGGGTCTTCCGTTGTCCACAGGGGGAGTCTGGCGGAGCCCAGAGGCAGGGGGGGTTAGGAGACCACCCAGAAGGCTGTTCTGGGGGGCTGGGCTACTCCTTGAAGGGGTAGCATTTCGTCCGGCAGCTGGTGAGCTCAGCACACCAGAGAGGCCGCTGAATGAGGACTGGTTACCTTTTCGCCAGTTGCCCCAAGCAGCAGCGATGGGACCGACAGCCTGGGCCACACGGGGAGTAGCAGCCTGAATCGATTGAGCAATGTTAGGGAGGTTGATGGACGATCCGCCGTTCATAGCTCTCTCTCGTTCCTGCTCCTCCATCTGGAGGTTGGCCTTCAGTCTGATGGCAGCATCCTTCACTGCGTCAGGGTTGTACCGATCACCTGAAAGTGCAGTGATAATGTCCTGCAGGTTTTCGTGCCTGACAGCAAGGAGCTCACGCAGCCAGCTGATCTCATCATCACGCTTGGTGATCTTTGTTGCAGCATCGGGATCCGCCTTGGACGCCACATGCTCGAGCTCCTCGATCCGCTGCTCGCGAGCCTGGAGCTGCTCTTGGAGGACCATGATGGATTCTCGGAGAGCCTGGGGCGAGATTCTCTCGGGAGCTTCGAGGCTTCGAGAAGCAGCAGGTTTGTGGTGTCTGCCCATGGCAGCAGGTCCGGCCTCGAGACCAGCAGACTTGGCAGCTTGAGCGGCGGCGGCGGCAGCCTGCTTGGCAATCTCGAGCTTGTCCTCCAGGTGAAGAATGCGATCCTGGAGGTGCTCGGTCTTCGACGCCGACAGGCTGAGGCGCTCCAAAAGGTGTTGTTCGGTCTTGTGGGCATCCTCATGAGCATTGTTGACTTGTCGCTCGTATCGGGTCTGGAGATCCTCAATCTCATTCTGGTGCTTGCGATGGAGCTCGTCAATCTCGGAAGACTTGGTGCTCTGGGCTTCCTCGAGGAGCATCTCATTCTGAGCATTGGCGGTGTCGGCTTCGAGTCTAACGTGGTCAAGCTCAGAGCGCAGCTTGGAGTTCTGCTCCTCAAGTTCTTCGCGGATGAAGTTGACTTGGTTGTTGGCAGAGTCGACTTCAAGTTGCAAGGCCATGCGGGTCCTCTTGACCTCGCTGAGCCCAGACTCCCTCGCCTCCTCAAACTCACGCTGGTATCGCATAGCAGTCTGCTCCAGCCTGTGATTCTCGTTCTTGAGTTCGTCCATCAGGACTTCGAGGCGCTTGCATTCGTTGACAGCACGCATACCAGAGCGCTCGTTGTCTTGAAGACGCTCCATCTCGATCTCCAGGCGCTCGCGAGTCTTAGCCTCAGCCTGAAGACGAGCATCCAACACATCTTGTCGAGCAAACATGGCCTGTTCCTTCTTGATGCGACGGGCGTTGTCCTCGGCGATCTCACGGGCGGCTTGACCCATATCCTCCTGGAGCGAGATGAACTTGCCTCGCCACGCCTCACGTATGCGGTCGTTCTCCTCAAGCTGAGTGGTGAGTGTGGTCAGAGACCTCTGCATGTGCTGGTTCTCGTCGAGGGCTCGGCTCAGCTCGCTGGCCTTCTGTCGAGCAGATTCATCAGCACGCTCGTATTCGGCACGCCAATGGTGGTTATCCTGGCGCACGTCTCGAAGTTCAACGTCAATAGCATTGCACTTGTTGGTCATCTCGGAAAGAGACTGATTTGAGTTGGTCTGAGCGGCCTCCAAAAGAGCCATGCGCATCGAAGTCTTGCTGTTTGACTGCTCAAGCGAGCGAAGCTTGAAGTCTTTCTGCTCAATTGTCTCACGGAGACGGTTAACTTCTTCATCAGCAGCTTCGTGGTGGCATCGGGTCTCCGTGAGCTTGTCCTCAGCCACACGACGTGCGGCCACGGACTCCTCACTGAGCTGCTCATGGTGTCTGACTCTATCTTCAAGGTCCTTGACACGTTGATCAAACACGCTTCGGTTAATGATTTCAATCTCAACGCGAGTCTCAGCGGCCTGGAGTTTGCGCATAATCTCGGCAGCAAGATCTTCGGCGGCTCTGCGCTCCACAAGTTCGTTCTCAACCTTGCTCTGCTCAAAGTAGAGGCGCTGCTCCAGATCCAGGATCTTAGCTTGCATCTCATCCATCTTGGCATTGTGCATTTCATCAGGCTGGGGAACGGCGGGCATGCGACTCTCAACTGCTTGCTCGATGACTCTCTTCAAATCGTCACCGAGCTGCATGTTGGAACCGAGTGACTTTTTCATGTCGTCAAGAGCCTCGAGAATGGCAGTGGGTGCTGCCTCTGGGGTCGCGGTAGAGACAGCGGCCTGGTTGCGATGTTGAGCATTGAAGCCTTCCATGACAGCTATGCGAATCTGATCCAGTCGACGGTCTCTCCTGGGGCTCAAGGAACGACGAAGAACAGGTTCCTCATCCTCGTCGTCCGCATCGCTCTGCGGGAACTCCGCAGACACGCTTCGCATGTCGCGACGCGACGAGGGGGTGCGTCGGGCCCTGGTGGCAAGGACCTGCTGGATAGAAAAGAGGGTTTTCTCCAGCGGCTCAAGTCGGGCGGCAAGCAAAGTACCAACCACCTCATTAACACGGCCATCAAAGAATTGTGCGCGGTTTTCAAGCTTGTCATGTTCATCTTCGGTGAAAGCACCATCCCAGTCACTAGCTGGTTGGCTGTCACCGTCCATGGCAGCAGCATTCTCAGGTGTTCGCGCAAGAGATGGCGGGTCAAGAAAGGGATCTTCCAGTTCGGTACTGAGCATGGGCTGCGCAGCAGGATTCGGCAGAGCGTGGTATTCCCGCGGGGTGGCGCTGGCCTCGTCTCGAGTAAATTGCTCTACACCCGGTTCCAGCCGGTACGGTGATGAGTTGGCAACTGCAGCAACGGAAACATTGCGAGTGGGGCTGCCATGCTGCCACTTGGTGGCCTCGACCACCTTGTTGACGCCCATGTTAGGATCATCGTAGAAGTGGTCCATGACGGCGTCAATCTCGGCAAAGGTAGGCTCTCGGTCTTCGCTGTTCGCGGTCTGGGGCTGGTATTCGGGCTCGTACTCATGCTCAACCGATTCGATCACATTGTCGTCAACGGGCTCAGTGTGGTACAGCTCCTGCTCGGGCGTAGGGCTCTTAGCAAACCGAGAGGCAGCCAGGCCCTTGGGCTTGGGTGGAGGAGAAGCGAATCGAGATGCACTGAGTCCTTGGGAAACAGTCCTGGGCTGCGGCTGACCAGAGCTGAAGCGAGAAGCAGCCAGGCCAGAAGTAGGTCGAGCAGGAACAGGGCTGACAACAGGCGAGACGTCGGACTGCTCATCGTCCTTGTCAGTCTGCGAAGCCTCTCCGTAAGACGGAAGTCCAGGGACGAAAGGCTGGGCAGCGGCCGACAAGGTCTTCTTATGGCCATGCTTGAAAGTATCCTCGCCGAAAGGTCGCGCGTCGTTGAAGCTCTGGAGGTCGATCGAGGACTTGAACTCGAAGGGTTGCCAGCTGTTGGTATTAAACTCAGTGGGTGAGGTTTCTGAAGGAGTAGCAGTTGTTGCCTTCGTGTCGAGCTGGTCAGAAGTAACGATAGACGACATCGACGTGTCGATAGGTAGGTTATCCGCCTCGTTAGCACTGGGCTCATCCCTGACTGCCTCATCGGCCTCTGGCTCAGGTGTGTGGATATAGGCATCCTTGGGCTGCTCAGCGAAGAGGGGCACATCGTCGCCTCCGGGTGCAGAGCTCCTCGCGCGCTTGATGCGAGACTCGTCAATCAGAGGGCGTCCGTCGGTATCAAGCTCCGGCTCATCATCGCCCTGCAGAGATTGACCAGATTCGCTAGACGGCTTAAGAATCGGAACGGCCTTGGTCCACTTCTTGCCAGGCTGGAACGCCGTGGTCGTCGTAAGGTCAATGCTACCAAAGATGCTCCCGCGCTTGCCGACACTCTCCGTGCCTGATGCTGGGCTGGCGAATGAATCAGACAATGGGGTAAATGCAGGTGCATCGGGGTTGAACTTGGGGCCAGAAGCCGAGAAACTGAAGTCACTTCGTCCGGGGGAGAAGGACGGAGCATTGACATTAATCTTTGCGGGAGTGGTGAAGCTATGCGCGACCGTCGGAGGGGACGCGATATGGTTGCTAACTCCGGCCTGGAATACGGTAGGCTGGAAAGCAGCAGGCTGGAACGAAGCGGCCTGGAAAGAGGCAGGCTGGAATGAAGCAGCTTGGAAAGGAGCAGCCTCGAAAGCAGCCGGCTGGAAATTATTATTGGGCTGGAAGCCCTTGTTGCTGAAGTCAAACTGACCAGGCGTAAAGGTGCTCTGTCCCGGGTTGAACTTGAATTCGGGGGCCTTGACATTAAGCTTCGAGAAGGATGCCTTGCTGCCGTGGCTAGATCGTCGGGTCACGCTGCTGTTGACGGAAACAGCGTCGTTCCAGGGGTTGCTAGCCGTGGAGAAGTTCTTCTTGTGGGCGAAAGCAGCATCAGCGAACTCAAATGTCTGGACGGGAGTACCCAGGTTGCTGGGATTCGTCTCAATCTCAAAGGCCTCATCGACCTTCTGCGTCTCGGGGATCTCGTTAAGACTGCGGAACTTCTGGAGATTTCCATCTTCGGTAGTCTCCTGGGCCTCGATCTTGTCACGGTAGAAGGGTTGCGAAAGCGAATGCCCGCGGCTGTGTGGCCTGGGGTGGTGCAGAACAAGTGGTTTGGGGGGCTCGTTGGCAAACCGCTCAGGGGCAGGGAAGTGTTCCGAGATCTGGCGTTCGTGTGCAGGAACAAACGGCTCTGCAGTGGGAACCGGAGCCTGAGTCTGGGGTTGAGGATTGTAGTCCTCGTGCTCCAGCTGTTCGCGCAATTGCTCCTCCAAGTGGTACTCAGCATCATCGATCTCGGCCTGCAGACTATCGGGGTTCTGCTTCGGCGGTTCAGGAGTTTTGGAAGAGCTCTTGCTGGGAATATTGGGAAGGGGCTCTTCCTCATCCTCCCGAACCTCTTGCAGCCGCGGCGAGGCTCTAGCTGCCTGCAGGTACTGGAACTGCTGCTGATGGGGCAGCATCGGGAATTGCAGAGATTGGTGGCGCTGGTGCTGGTGCTGGTGCATGGGGAAGCCGCCAGGGCTTTCAGGGCCAAACGGTGACTGAGGTGACATCATACCGTTGAAGTTCATCATTGAAGGCGAATCGTGTCGGCTCAGGCCGTGCAGAATGCCAGCCTGGTTCTGCCAACCCTGCTGGGGCTGGTGCATGCCAAATGGCGAAGTACTGGCTGGCAGAGAAATGGATTGACGAGGGTTGTACTTTCCAGGGACAAAGGGCACTGGGGACGTTCCCATAGAGAGTGATGGGCTTTGCGTAGCTGATGAACGCCCATGCATAAACTGTCCGGGAAGAGGGAATCCGGGGATGCCATGGCTGCTGGAAGCAGACGAGGTCGGGAGGGGTGGAGAGAAGGGCAACGGAGGGTATTGCACTGATGGTTGTCGGCTAAGATCCGTAGGAACCGGCGAGATGGATGGCGGCGGCGCAGGCTCATCGTCACCAAATGAAACACCAAGGGCTCTCAGCTTGGCTTCCTGAAGCTCGTTCTCGTATTCCTTCCAGGCGTTCAAATCTGGAAGAGTAACCTTGAAGACTCGCTCCGCTCGCTCCTGGTCCACTTCGTCGAAATTAGGCCAAGAGTCGCGAGTCTGCGAATCATCAGTTCCTGGAGGTTGATATCCTTCAACCTCCAGATCAAATCCGGAAATGTCGTATCCAAGCTCCTGCCACGAGGTGAACATCCTGTTGATTTCATGTTGACGAAGGGGGATCGGGGCCTTGCCGGGCAATCCTCGATCGTCGTCGCGCGGGATCAGGACCATGATGTTCTTGCCCTTCCAGGGCACCTTTCTTTTTATCCTGGGAGTCATAGCTAGAGATGGCTCCTTGGGCAGGGGCTTCTGGGTGCCTTTGGTAGGGGTCGCGGGCAGTTGCTTGGACTCCCCATTCATGATAGGAATGGCCCTCATAGGGCTTTCTGCCACAGGTTGTTCCATCATTGCGGCGGCCTGAGACCTGTCGCTTGCCGCGTCGTGAGTTGCCGCGGCTTCAGAGGTCGCCATGCTGTTGTTCTGACCCGTCTTGGGGCTAAGGGTATCCCCTGGTTTAAGAGTCTCGATGCTGGATCTCGCACGGGGGGTGTGTTGAGATCCTTGTCGAGACGTCGAATTTGATTTTCGGGTTGCTCGAGGCGTGAAAAATCCGCCTTCTTCGTGCCAACCACGTTCTGAGCCGCTCAATGAAGAGTGCTCACTTCCACTTCCGTCACTGAACCAATGACGACTCTCGGAATTCTGAAGGTCGTCGGTCGTGTGAGTGCGTATCCAATCCTCAGTAAGTCCAAGCGTCTGACGACGGACGCGGTTCGCAAGGACGGCGGCAGCGGCGCTCACAGACGATTGCGGCTCGGTCTGCGATCGCAAAAGCTCTGGGACTGGGCGAAGGAATGGTGTCTCGATGTCCAGCTGGTGGATCGGGGAATCATCCGATGGCTCACTGCTGAAGCTCTGGCGTCGGAGGTTCCGATCCGACTCAGGATACGGTGAGCCCCAGCTAGCGGTACCGAATCGATTGTCGCTTGCACTGTGAGCGGGTGGTGTCCTCAGCAATTCCAAGGCCCGGTCCGGGAGCCTAGGCGCTGGGAGGGGGGGGAGGACGGGGGACGACTCGATCTCCTCTTCGCCGTCAACGGTAGATGCGGTCGAGAGAGCAGGGGATGCCGGTGACGCAGGTCGGGAGCGGGAGGCTCCAGAGCCGTCCTGTGCCGGCGCAGCAGGAGGATGACGAGCGGACGGTAACCGTGGAGACGACGTCTTCACGGAAAGCTGTTCAGCGGGCCCAAGTCAGTATGTGGTGGCGTCGAGGGACTGCTGTCCAACAGCTCGTCGGGGTGGAAGCTGGCTTACCCAGGGAGATCAGTGCAGACGAGGAACGTATCGCCTGCAGCTGAGTCTCGAATGTCGCGTCGCTCGAGGTCCTTTCGCTTGCACGAATCCGATCTCGATGGCCTTGGAGTGAGGGGACGCAGTTCTTTGCTGGCCGTTGAGGATGAGCGTCTGACGGTGGTGGTACGCGACGACGCGTTTTCCGACTAAAGGGGGCGGAAGGCGAACGACGGATGGCGTTGGACACTTGGGTGGGAAATTCCCAGGGGGTGTGCCTCCAGGGGGTTTAATTCAAGAAAGGAAACGGCGTCATGGGAAAAGGAGCGACCAGACAAGGAAGACAAGGAAGAGAGCGGGACGATGCGGCCGGACACATCGAAGGGGGGGGGATTATTGAGGGTCGCGGTCGATGGCCGAAGGAGAAGCAAGGGACAAGGGGAAGAAGAGAAAGAAGGGCGGCGTGCGAGTCGAGGGATGAGAAGAGCTCCAGCGACGAGGAGCTGATGGAGGTTGGAAGCGAGAGGTTCAAGGCTAGAGAGAGGCTTACTACCTAACGTACAGGACCTACCTAACTTGACCAGCAGCCACTTTTTTTTTCTGGGCGTGGGCGAATTTTTTGGGACAATCTGGGGGGGGGTGTCCGTCCCTGGAGGGCATGGCCTGGGACGTGGCTCCGCTGGGAATGGAAAAAGTGACCACTGGAAGAGCCACTGAGAAGGTGTGGAAGTACACTGGGGAGAGACTGGAGCCAGCTAGAGCCCGGCCGGGACGGAGGCCGTGGGCCCGTGGAGCAGCTCACGAGCACCTCGACTCGACCCGACCGAGTCTTTAATGAGGCCCGCAATGAAGGACACCGCATTGGCCCGGGGTAATCTCGCCAAGGGGCGTGCGGGATGGGCGATGACAGCGGCGCTGATAGACGATACACGAGATTCCGTTGTTTGGCATGGCGCATTCCGAGTACCAGCTAAACAGCCGTCGTGTCTCTTGGACCCTTTCAACCTAGGGCTTGCAGGAGCCTTGCTTCGCTGGCATCAATCTGGCCGCCTGGATTTGATTGCCTGCTACCACGTAGCCTCTTGTGACAGACCAACCGGTCTCTCTCTCGCCTCTCTCTCGGCTGCGGACTGGCAACGGATGCCTGTTCAGCCCTGTTCCCCTCCTCCCCAGGGTCTCCTCTCGTCTCAGGTGCTTCACCACCCGGTGGAATGCTTTGCTCTCTGCCAGCCGCATCCCCAGTGCTGCCCCGTTGGGAACAGGTCCCTTGGCTTGGATTGCAGGACGGGACCCATGGGGTCGGGGTCCAGCTGGCGGCGCCGTTGCGCGACTAACCAAAAACCAGCTCTCACGTGGGACCGGAATGCGAGCTGGCGCTTTTTCAGGGTCGCACCCATCTTAATCACGACGACGGACGGAGTTCCAGACGACATATTGTGACAGCTGCAGGACTAACAAGACGTGAACGGTGCGGCAGTGACAACGCCAATGAGTATCCCCGGCCAATCTCCCGGAACCGCCCAAAATAAAAGACAACGCACAGTTAGCAGCTCGTCGACGCCCCCCTTTCCTCCGCAGAGGAACCCGCATCCCGCTGCGTGCATCGCAGGACAGCAGACGCTGGGCTCTCTCGGCGATCTGCACGCACGCAGTGGAGAGGACTGGGGCAACTCACAGTGAGCAATTCCTTGGTTTGGCAGGCCAGCGCAGGGACGCTCCCTGTGCATGTGCGCGCTGATTGAGGGCACAGAGAACTTGGCCCCTGAGCTCCGTCATTGACAGCTTCATCCGCCCCGAACCACCGTGAAAGATCCACTTGTTCCGGGGACGGGAGGGGTTGTGGCGCCCGAGCGATGTCATCCTCGCAGGACTCGGGACGATGCAAGGGACCTCAGTCAATATCCATTAACTCCAGGAAACGGACATGGTCGTATCAATTCTTTTAAGCCTTTCTTTGTGCAATGCTTTTGCACAGCATCAAAAGTCGGTTGATCGTGGAAAGTCTCTTCGTTATGCGCCATGTCTCGATTATTGATTAATGTATTCAGCGCCTCCCAAATCTATGACGCTCATCCAGTACTCATAATGTCCTGCCTACACTCGGGTATCAAATCGTAGTCTCACGCCCACACCTCGCTTAGGAATGCGCTCTTCTCTATCGCTCCCGCCCCGAATCGCCCCGAATCGTGTCTCAGATATCGTAGATGCCAACCTCCACACTTGGGCTCACCCGTGCAACGAGCTGATACTAGTTCGCCAGCACTGTCCACTTCCCTTAGCCCTTCCGCTCCCTTGGACGCTTGTCGAGTTAACATAAATGCCAACGCGGCCCGTTGTCGTTGTCGTTGTCGTTGTCGTTGTCGGTATGGGGTCATCGTAACCAACGTTCAGAAATGTCGCCATCAGTCCCATCGGGTCGCTCCCAAATCCGGTTTCGCAACCTAGTTCCATCCATCAGCCTCGTTCACGACTCAACATTAAAGCCATTTTCAGAACAAACTCACCGCTCAAGTAAATGCCCTGTCTCACGCTCTTTGCATGAGTGAAGTGTCTCCATTCCACTTCATTACATGACCATTCGCCAACTTTCATCCAACAAGTCGAACGCAAAGTGCAGGTCCTCGGTCAAATCCCACTCGTCAAACATCTCCATCCCACCAGCTCGGGATGCGAGTGTCAGCAGCAGCGGCAGCGCGAGCCACGTGTGACGATGGAACATGTTGGAACTTGCGACGTGAAGCGAGGTAGCAACCACGGCCTGGAATGTATAAATGTCTTGTGTATTAGATGCGCGGCGCGAGTTTATTTATCTCGCGTCCATCACTCTGGAGGTGGCGTCGGCCGCCAAGCATTTACTAACATTGGTGTTTGATCCCCAACCACCAGAGAGGGTGCAACTGGCGATGTGACTTACAGGCGCTCATCACAACTTATCACAGCGTCAAGAAACGCTGGTGACGCCCACCTCGCAGACTCACCGTCAGAGGCTGGCTGCTGAAACACGCGTGCTGTCGAAAACGTCATAATCGTTAGGGGCTGAGACGAAACAACCCCCGCCAAGACAACTTGGCTCTTCCTTCTGTGCCACGCTGAAAGCATACAGGAGCTGCGGAATGAAGAATTGTGCACCAGAGCAGAGAAAAAGGACGAAGGGAAATGAAATACGATGCTTGATACAACGTTCGCATCGAAGACCGGAACACAGTTCGTGTTTAAATTTTGACAAGCCACGCTTGCTATGTTGGTCAAATTATTATCTCTAATCTAGGTAGATACAGATACCCGATAATCAGGATTGGCTGGTTCAAGAGCCAGATGGTTGGTGGAAAAGGAGAAGGTGTCACGCGATCGGGTTTCGTGACGAGGTCACAGACCAGACAAGCTGAAACTGTAAGAGAACCAAGTCTGAGCAAGGTCCAAAGCTCGGGGCCAGGGAAACTTCTCCGTCATAGACTGGAGTCCCATTGGGCGGTTGTGGGTATGTGCTGTGCCGATCGGTCGCAGCCGTCAGGTTTCGTAGTCGTAGCATCTAACTTGTACGAATCCTTCTCTATTTCCCTTGAAAAATCACGATATGCCGTGCCCGGAACGCCCTTTTGCAGATCGCAGAAACCCGTCGAGTTGGTGGATGGATGGAAAGATGATCGAAACTTTTTGCCCGAGAGATGCTAGAATGCATCTCCTCATCACCGCCGGGCTCCTCAGAAGTTGGATGACGCGTTCACCGGAGCCGTTGGTTGATGGTAGTTTTCCAGGGTAGACTGGAAGGGGGTGGCCCGAGGGCCGCTGTCCCGGCCGGCGCTACCAGGCTCCGACTTCTCGACGGGTCCGTAGCCGCTGTGATAGGCGGTGCTGGGGGTGTCGTTGAAGTCCATCAAGCCGTCGGCCTCCTCGGCCTGCTTCTTGCGGCCCCAGATTCTCCAGGCCACAAGGCCCAAGGCACCGAGGATAATAAAGCCACCAATACCGACCACGACACCGATAACAGTGTTGCGAGTCTTGGCGGACATGCCAGAGGAGCCTCCAGAGTCGTCCGAGTTCAGGCCAGGGGTGGAGGTGGTGATGGTTGTGGAGGTCATGACCTCCTTAGAACCGTCACTGTTCGTTCTAGTAACAACGTCCACCTTTGTCGATGTGATCAAGCTGGCGGTAGTCTGTTCCTCGCTGCTATCGGAACTAGATTTTTCATTGCTATCAGACTTGCTGTCGCTGCTGGTGGTCTCGGCGGCGCCGGCGCTCGTCGTCGCGTCTCCAGAGGTCGCCGACTCGGATGGGGCATTGTCGCGAGATGATGTAGAGGTAGTCGCAGCATCTGCCGGCTTCGAGGAACTGGTGGTGGATTGAACATCGGCGGTGGTCTGCCTCGATGGATTGGATGTGGTGGATGATGGCGTGTCGGCGGTGGTCTCGGCAGGCGGTTGATCCGTGGTAGTCTGAGCCTCCGAAGCACTTGGCGCCGCTTCGGAGGATGTGCTTGCCGGTGCTTCTGAGGTAGACTGACTATCGTCAGTGGCTGAAACGCTGCCAGCGTCGGTAGCGGACGCTTCTGAGGAAGCTGAGGCAGCGTCGGTCGTAGCGTCGTCACTGCTGCCAGGGCTCTGTCGTCGAATAATTTGTCGGCCACCGCTGAAGTCTATCAGGGACGCCTGAGCGACGCAGATGATGCAGAGCGCCAGCAGAAGCAGCTTGAAGAGGCGCGTGGCGTACATATTGGCGGTTTTGTCGAAGGAACAAATGTGTAGAGAAACGACTTGTTGAGGTCGTTGGTGCCGGCTCGGGGGATCGGCTAGAGTGTAGTCGAGGAGCCGCCGCGGAGGCTGCTTGTCCAGACGTAGTACACTCTCAAGTATAGGTTCGCCACTCGAGGTGGGAGAGCGGTGATGAGGTCGTTGTCGATGGACGTGATAGAGTGATGAAGTAAGCGAATGAATTCGAGACGGGAGTAGGTCGCGATGAATGACGATCGATGCGTCGTGAAACGAAGGGGTGGCGAACGAGGTGCCGGATTAATACTGGAGGACGGAAACTTGACAGGAAGGAAAGGAGAAGCGAGAGATAAAGAGAGCAAACAGAGTAAATAGACGAGTCACGAGAGGCGGCAGGTCAAGGATAAAAAAAGCGAGAGACTACTTGTGAGGGGACAAGGATGTGCGTGGGCGGAGGCGGAGGCGTGCAGGTGCGCGATGCAGTGCAAACAAAGGAATGGAAAGAAATGGTTTGAGGTGGATAACGAGGTGGATGGAGAATGGGGATGGTGTGGGATGTGGCTGGCGCGAATGGGGAGAGGAGCGAACGTCTCGTATTCCCACCACGGAGACCCATGGCGGGTGACCTCCAGCGCCAATGGGCGGTGCCACAGCTAGTCTGTGACCGCGATGGAGCTGCCTTGGGTTCCCTTATCCTTACCGGATGGGGAAGAAAGGCAAGGGAAATGTGATGCAATGCAATGCTCGTTGATGCGCGGTCCCTGGATGTGTAGTGCCAGTGAGTGCCAGTGAGTGTCCGTGAGTGTGAGTGAGTCCGACATCCCAGTTTTGAGGTTGCGTGTTTGTGTGCGTTGTGTGTTGTGCTGTGTGTTGTGGTGAGTTACCGTACCTACCTAGGTAACACTGTACACTGTATTTCCATTCCGCCATCAAGTTCCAGGCCATCTATCCCGGACCCCAAAACAAAGCACGGAGTCCGCCTAAGGAGACCCCGAAACGACCTGAAGAACACAAACGCCTAGGACGGACGCCAACAGGCCCCCTGTCACTCTCCAGTCCGCGGCCTTCCACGCCCGTAGCCACTCATTGGCCGCCGAGGGCTTCAGGCTCCGACCGCCCCGGGACGCGCCCTGGACTAGCAGCCCACAGTGGCTCCGGTAGCCTGGCCGCTCGCTGGGTCCGCCCGCCCGCCGCTGCGTGAGCGATGACGCCCAGTCGTTGAGTTGTAGGGACAGCGCACACCCGACAACCCTATGCATGCAGCCGGGTATTATCAAGGTAGGTTACGATGAATATCATCCTCGGGGTCCTTGAAAACGGCCTGCATGGTGCTGCATCAAGCTTGGCTTTACGTACGATGAAGAATACATCGTGCATACAGTACAACGTACAGTGCCGATTTGTCCATCTGCCCGTCCCTGAATTGTGTACATACCCTTCCGCCAGTGTTTTGTCCGCGGCGGTTTGGTGGCGTTGAGCTGAGAATTCCCTCGATGGGGACGGCGGATACGTGACAGATATTTTTTCTCCATTGCTCACCCTGGTGCTTACTTCTCATCAGTCTGTTCGGGGCCAACATGCCTCGCTACTCGCCCTAGGGGTTTTCTTTTTGTGCTTTTCTGCATTTCTACACACAGGAGTAAATCCACACTGTTATGGGCTGCACTGTCCTGTACCCCCCTCGAGAGGAGAGGCGGGGGAGGACGCAAGATCCTGGTGACCAACTGGGCTGTGCATCCGCGAGTTGAGTTGAGTTGAGCGTCGGTGCGTCGTCAGCACCGGGACAATGATGGACGGACATTGAGATGGCTCCCTCCCTCCCACCATCCCACTCCGACTCCCACCCAAGACAAGCGAGGCAGGCGAGGCAGTTGGCAGCAGACAAAATACGTCATGCTCCATCGCCCAGCCATCTGGGTCCGTCTTGAGTCCTTGATCAAGGCAACAAGAAAATAGGCGATTGATTCCTCATCCCGGGAGCCACGGGGATCATCTCCCAACGGCCGGTCCCAGGGCCACGGCGGCGTGTCAGCGTGCCAGGGTCTCAAGCTGCCAGGGTGTCGGGAGGTGAGGATATGCGCCTTAAAATAGCAGCAATCTAAAACCGCCAACCCGCTTCCGGGCTGCCCTCAGATCACGACGCAGCTCACCAGACAGAGAGCACAAGTTGAGTGAATGACTGCTACGAAGTGAGTGCACCACGCCACGCCACGCTGGCTTACTGTCCCATCCGCGTTCATCCTGCCGGGTAAGGGGAGAAGAGACAGCTCCACGCCCTCCATCACCCACCCATCCGGCTTGTCATCGACAGCATCCACTCCAGCTTTCAAATCAAGGTTAACCCTATCCTGGCCATCTGTCTATCCTTGTGGGTGTGTGGACTCTGGAGCTCTACATGTCATCAAAAGGAAGCTTGGATATCGTCTCCCCAGGTTCGGCAACTGTCCAACCTACAGTACATCTACATATTCCTTCCAAATTACCATTCATGTAGCGCATGTGCCGGCGAAATATGCGAGGCAGAATCTCACTGCTTACTGCTTATGTAGTACCTACCTTAGCTGTCCTCCCTGCATATTGTGGCGGGCAGCCTAACTCCATGTCTGGAGTGTTATTTTTGCGTCCATCGCCAACCTCGGCCGGCACCGCAAAAACCCATCGCCGTCTTGTCAGATACACATACAACCATGCCATGTCTCGTATCTCCAGGTCCTTGTGCATTTCATTGGCGCTGTGGCTCGTTCGACTGCTCCCCGTGTCACGTAGTAGCTCAGCGTCACGACACTGGCGCAGATCTGTAAAGGGGGCTATGTCCTCCATCACATCGCGCCGTGTCCTCCATTACATTGCATTGCCATCACAATCGCCGACGTCACCCCGTCCAGCCCTCCATCAGGTCCCGCCCGCGGTCCCGGAGCGTTTCGTCTGTCGCCTACAGCCCTTTCTGTGAAGTCCATTTTGCGCATGGGTCCACCTTGACCATGGTTGAAAGCCGCGGCATTCATCCTCACCAATCTGCCTGGGCCGTCATGTAAACACCCACGAATATACTTCACCAACTCACCGAGCCTTCTCCTTGCCCACATGCATGGGATCGAATTTTACTACTCGGCCTGCAGTGCTTTTCTGTAGACTCTTAATCAGAAACATTGCCACAATGTGCGAGTATGATTTCGTTCATGTCCTGCATGTGGGTCGCACCTCTGCGCCATGCCATGCCAGCATACGCGTGCATTTACATATCACCGTCAACAAGCGGCAACCGAAGCATCCAACAGCGGCAGACATGCAGCTAGAAAATCACCAAACCTTCATGTCCCCAATTCACACGCACGCACACACGCAGTACTTCTCAGAACCCCCCCCCCCGACTTCCGCAAGCTCACCGACCTCCCGTAGCACCCTTGCTCCTCAGATCAAATCATCAGTCCGCACGAACTCCTAGCTCCAGGCCCATGCCCCAGAGTAGTACGCGTACTCAACGACAGCCATTCCAATGTAGCGCCGGGGATGACGACTCGCAACCCCATATCAGGTGGAGAAGGAGGCATCTCAATCGGAATGAGCGAACCAATGTCACATCTCACAAGTCTTTATTCTTCCCTCGTCGTGATCCATCAGGAGCCGCTGAAATAAAAATTGGCTGACGGGGTCAGTTTCAACAGGGCCGAGGGTATCTTCGGGTCGTCGTACTAGCAATTCTACTTGAATCCAGGTCCTTCGGTGGGGATGAGATGTTGGCGGAGCTGTTATGCTCCCATTGAACCCGTTTCCACTATACATGCCTCCCTGGTCATGAGAAACAAGGCGTTGAAGATCCGGGACTGGGCTCCTGGAAAGAATGGAAGATGGCAACATGAAGTGACCTTCACATACATCACTGTACAACCGAGCAGTGAGTAATTGCAGGGGCTTCGATTCGTTTCGTCTCCCCGGGCCTGATTTGTCACCTTCATCATCAATCCCGCAGATAGCAATCTCGCAAGACGAATTTGTGCGCCTCTCATTCTTAGTCTAAGCACCCAATTGCACAACCATGACTCAACGGCACTGTGTTTGATCAAAATTGTGATCTCAATTCTATACCTAGAGCAAGGTACATGGCTTTTCCTTGGTTGGTATCCTCTTTCCACAATCTTGGGGTATCTAACCTGACCAACCGACCCAAATCATCAAGCCTGAATTCCAGATCCGTGATACAAAGTTGCCGTGTATCCCAGCATGGAAAATGAGCGTACCTGATCCTCTCGAATATTCCTGAATTTAAACATCCGCGAACAGAAAGGCCAGCGAGGCCAGTAATGATGGTATAGTTGCTTTTTGAATGCAACGTACAGAAAGCGAGCGGTGCCAGTTTGTGAGTGAAGAAAACAAAAGCCTGTTTAAACGCCAAAACCCCCAATTTGTTGCCATAATGGTATCTCGGAGAAAGAAAGAAAACATAGTAAAATCAAAAACATGGGTAGAGAAATCAGCCCCAGATAGGCACGCCCCTGTATGCTGGGGAGTTGTAGCTGTGGAGGACGCGGAACGGTGGATTTTGACTGGGCACGGCCCCATGCGAAATGGCCCTTCTATGGCGCGAAGGACCGCGTTGGGGGTTTGGAGTGGAATGGCGGTCAAATTCCTGGAATACCATGGCATCCATCCCTTGCACCTGTCCATGCGATTGTACTACGTGGTGTTGAAGCCATTGTTGGCCTAAAAGGTTCCTGTCATGGATCGGCTGCATTTGAGGCAAGAGTTGGCCGTGTTGCTGCTGCGGTGGAGCAGTGTCGCTCCTCGATCGGACTCTAGTATGGCCGTGGCGTCCTTGTTGAGTCGGCGTCGAACCCGTTCGTTGGTAGCCAGCATGGGCAATGAGCAAGGGGGACTGGCGCGAGCCAGATCCCACATCCCACGACACCGTTCGATGACCCTGGAAATTAGCCAACTGCTGATGGTTCATTGCCACAATCTGGTTTGCGGATGGGTACCCGTAGAATACTGGTGCGCCCTGCGTAGGTGGGTAGCTTTGAACAAGGTCACGGCGAAAATCTCGTGGGGCTGAGTGTCGTCGCAAGTGAGCCAGCTCGGCGGGAGCCGGCGGTTGAGAGTGTGCAAGGGCCTGTCCGAGAGGCTGCACGCGAGATTGCCCACGAGACTGTCCACGGGACTGTTTTCCGGTGCGTGTCTGCATGCTCACTGGTGGAGGCGATTTGGTCTTATTCGCACGATATAGCGCAGCGTTGGACTGGTTGAGAAGCGATGAGTGAGTTGCTGGCAAGGCTGGCATAGAGCTTCTTCTCGGGGCAGGAATGGGCCGGCTGTTGGTTCTGGGCTCCGTAGGTTTGGACTTGTTGATAGGCCTTCTCTCTGCCCGGTTCGCGGTGTCAGACTCATTGCCACTCTGAACACGAGCATTCCCAACAACCCCGGCCTTTGGTGGACCCTCCACCTCAATGTCTTTCGATACCTTAGTCATCGAGGTTTTTCCTGATATAAGCAAGGTTGTCGCTGCTTGAGTGAGGGACTTGGCTCTTGCTCGGAAAGATCCGCGTCGTGGAGTCTTTGGAGTTGACTCGTCCATCTCTTGCTTAGCCAGGTCTTGGGCTTTGTTGCCCTGCCGTCCCGGTCCGCATTGAAGGACATCCGTGCTCCCCACACTCATAATAGTCCTGAGTGTCTCCTTGCTTTTGTCGTCGTGAATCATCGGTCGCCGAGAAGCCTTTGAAAACCGCACCTTGTTTCCGGTCGTGTGGCTTGAGATATCGCTCCGGCTCCTGTGGAGGGTCTTGTCGGCCGTGCGATTGTTCCGAACCTTAGGAGGGCCCTTCCTGTGAGGGGCGCTCAGCATCCGTTGCATTCTGCTCCCATGGGCGGTTCTAGAGGGATGTTGCGAGAGAATGGGGGTGGGTGGACAACTGGTGCTCCCAGCGACGCGAACCTGTTCCTGGGACCGAGCTGAGCTGGATTGGGGCCTCGATCTCGGTGACTGGGGCTCCTGCTTCACATCCTTCAGAGAAGGAACTCGCATTCGACCCCCACGAGCCGATGATGGATGTGAAGAACTCTTCGTTCGACTCACATTGCTCGAGGTCAACGGTGTCATCACCATCGTTGTTCCGGGCCGCTGTTGAATTTCCATCTTCTTAGGCGTAAAATGACCAGACCCAGTAGCAGTACCAGGGAGTGATCCAACCTTTTCCGAGTTCAGTCGCTCTGAGCTCTTACCTTGTGTCTTTTCTGGAGACTTACGGCCAATATCCGTGACCGCAGATCTCAAACTGCGCAAGGAGCGCAAAGACACATTCGAGCTGTAGCCACTATCGGCCTTGGACGCCGCTTTCCGAGAGCCCTCAGATGAAGGACTCGAAACAAATCCACTGTCTGATCTGTTTAGACTCTTGAGGGCCTTGCTCTCGAGCTCAAGTCGGATTCTTTCGGCTGTGGGCTTTGCGTTCGGATCGTCTCTGACATCTAAGACCTCGGCAGTCGAGTATTCTTGCCCATTGCCATTCTCAGACAAAGAGCCATCCTCGTGTCGGTTGGTCTCGCTGGTGGTCTGTTTATTCGCCGCCATCGGGTTTGATGCTTCGGAAAGAGGTTTCTGTAAGCACTCGTTGGGGTCAGCCACCTTTGTCAAAGGTGCCTGACGGCCAAAATAGGAAACTTTGGTTGGTGTCGATTCGCTTTCCATTTTGTTCCCCTTCTCAGGTCTTGGACTGAGCTTAGGCGATCCGTTCATGATGCGCAGTGAACCAAATTTTATGCCACCCAGTTGCTTGTACTCTGCCTCACAGGGTGTCACAACACGTTCCGGTGGTTGCGAACCAAACTTTACTGGTGGTACGGACAATACTTCAACACCATCCGATGCAATTGAGCTATGCCTGGTATGACTTGGGGTTGTTGGGAGACTGCTCGGGAAGTTTGACTTGGCCGAGGGAGCGCGCCTGTGTGCTCGAGTGGCAACTCCCGGCGTCTGGACGATGGATCGTCGACGCATTGGCGTATATAGAGACACATCAGAAGCGGACCTAACGATGGATGTTCTCTCTTGGGTGGGGTGAGAGCTCTTCCATGTATTTTCTGTGAGCTCACGGGTTGGTGACTGTCTCTCAGGCGTCGATGTGGAAGAATCGTCTGACATCTCTCGATCCAATGTCAGAAGTCGCTGATCTTCGTAGGCCCTCACATCGAAGTTGGCAGAGCCGCGATGTACAGCAGTCGGCAGACTGAATAGAAAATATCAGCTTCCTTCACTTATATCTCACATGTGGACAAACCTTTCTGAGTGCGCAAACGGCAAGGCGCCGTCACTGACAAATGAACCTCTTCTCGAACTAGTGGCAACCATCGATCTTGAGCGTAAGTGATCGGATTTGAACGATCGAGTCCGCGATACAACACTCCACAAGCGTGAATCTCGACGGGAATTTTGATCAGTATTTTCTAAGTCCTCTCCACCAATAGCGATACCGATACCGGGGTGCGTTGAGTCGACGGGGGAAGAGTTGGTCGGAGAGATGGGGACCGACCCGACAAGATATGAGTTGGAGAAGCGGCCATGATGAGAGTTGACGTCGACGGTAGGATTGGGCAGGTCAGCGGCCGGAGCATAGTTGCCCAGTTGCGGCTTAGAAAGCTTTTGAGGCCGTCTTGGGTCCTCGGAGGAGGGAGCGTTTCCCATGAGGCCGGTATGGCTCAGCTCTTCGGGGCGAGTTGGAACTAGGAGAGGCAAATGGAAAAAGACAGCTGGGGCGGGTAGGGTTAAAGCTCCCTCGACCAGCTGAGGGGATGATTAGAAAGATGGTGAATGGGCCATGCCGTCGGCGTAGACCTAGCGTCAAGCTTGATATCCCGGCTCTGTGGGCCAGGAGGAGGCTTGTAAGCGGCTAACAATGGATGTGAATGAGAGTGAATGAGGGAGACTAGTAAGAAAGAGACGAGAAATGAGAATTGAGAAATGGGAGATGAGAATTGACAGGCCAGAACTGAGAACGAGAGTGCAGAGTGCAGAGTTGAAACGCAACGAGCAGGAGAAAGAGAAAGAGGGTGAGGGGAGGCGACCTAGAAGAAGACATGGGAGGCATGGGGTAGAGGTGCGGGTTGGAGATGGAGGTGGAGCCGGGGGTTTATGATCCATGCCGGCCGCGGTGGAGGCATTGGAGGGGTGTTCCAGGGCGCCAGGGAGGCAAAGAGGGGAGAAACGGAGACGGTGAGGTGAGGCATGAGGCGTGAAGCGAGCGTGAGGATGAGGGGTGAGACGCCGAGACCGATGGAGAGGCCGACGCAGCGCAGACGCATACGCAGACGCAGACGCAGACGCAGAGACGCATCACGAAGCAGCAAGCAGGAAAGGGATCAGCCACAGCCGAGCAGGTGTGGGTGTCGGTACCTAGCTGAGATGATGAGATCCCACGGCGCACCTGAACGCAAACAGGCGATACGGCGATGCGGCCCTGTGGAGGGGGTGTGGTGATGGTCACTGTGATGGAGCCGTGGATGGATGCGGGCGGCAGGTTGGCCTCTCGACCTGTCTAAGGAAGGTTGATGCATCCAAGACACATGCTCGCTAAGAGGGTGGTTGTCCCCAAAGGTTAGGTAGGTAGGTACCGTCCCCCAGGCACCGACCACCCTAATTACCACCTGCTGAACATCCGAGACACCCCCAACACAAGTCGTTTCCAGGGGCCCTGCACTGGCTGCAAGCGCTGGAGAACAGTGGGCTTCTGAGACTGGCGGAGGAGGTTGCTGAGACGATCAGACAACTCATACAACTCACACAGCTCTGACCGAGCTTTGTCCGCCGCTGAGACACCGACGTTACCGGGTGGGTTTGTTTCCCTGGTGCCACCATCCTCCATCCTCCATCCTCCATCCTCCGCGACGCTGGACGCGGAGCCATCGCAGCGGCAACCATCGAATCGTCGCCCATCTCGCCGGTGGATCCGACACCTCCGCCTCCACTCTCCCGCCCCGCGGAATGTCCCAGCCAACTCAATCCGGTTTTGGATTCGTACAATCCTCCATCCCGGCAAGGAGATTAATCCAATGCATTATGCATTACGCTGCTGGACAATCCTCTCTGCCTTGGCCGGCCCATCGTCATCGTCATGATTGCATTTGCATCTCCTTGCTAGCCAACACTCAATCTACTCACCACACGCGAGGTGGGCCTGGATGCTACTTTTCCTCGTCCGGCACGGGCACACTCCGGCCAGCTCTCGGCAACTTTTGAACGCATCATTCATCATTATCATCATCATCATCATCATCATCTGAGCTGAGATGCGTTGCTGCGCCTACTGCGGCAGTCTGTGATGCTACTGCGTTTGCAGGCAACCGGCTTCCCAAATTCGTATCGCAGGGCCGACCTCACCGAGAAACTCCTGCTGCCTCCGTCACCCACGTCTCGTACTGTCGTACTTGAGCATACATACATACCTAGGCACATATGCACCTCATCTATGCGTTCCTTCGGCGTCGTCCCGTGCTCGCTTTGCATCGGAATCCTTCTGGGCTGGACGCATTACTCGCTCGCCCGGCATTCGCCTTCCATCTGCGAATACGGTTGCCTTGCATCACACCATATTATCGCTCCACAGTAGTCACAAACCCGAATGTTTCAGATGGGTCAAGTTACAAATCATAAGCACACCGAGAAGGGCGCCAACACCTGTTTATCACGGAAGCAATGCGAGCAGGTGGCTGATCCCGCATGCATTTGCATCTGCGCTTGCATCTGCATTTGCATGGCGCGGCACACCATCCCATCCATAGATTCCCTTTTCCGTTCACCAACCAGTCTGACATGCACACCACAAACACAATGACGCGCCATCTCCATGTCGGCAGTCTTGCTTAGCAGTCGCACAGCGTCTCCTCAGCCTGCCTCGTCGCGCCACTTCACCATGAGACCGGCCCTTCCGGTTGCTTGGCTTGCAGACGATGCAACCGGCGAGCTTCAGCAACACTGCCAACAGCGGCAAAGCAACAGCCCGGCTGAGTAAACCCAAAAGTGCGAATTGGCATCACGTCACAGGGCGGCTCTCCTCCACAGAGACTTCGGAGATTTTCTGGGGCTCTTGAAACAGTCCCTTGTTGCCGTGCTGATCCCCCCACCCTTATCCCAATGCGAAAACTGTTGCACTCTCGGACACCGAGGTTGTCAGGCCGCGTCAAGGGCAACCACACCAAGTCAATGATACGGGATGGCGTTGCATCGTAGATACGGCCATCATTGATTTTGTGGGGTGTGGGGGAAGGCGTGTTGTTGCGGCCTCGTCGCATAGGCTGGCGGCCACGATCGATCCACGACCCAAAGATCCGAAGGATCTGGGCACGGCGTGAAGGTTGTTGACCTGGATACTGCCCGCCCCCTCTCCAGACTTGCGGCCAATGACGACAAAGGTTCTTGGAGTCAATTGCAACTGTCGTCGTCTCCGCCGCCGGTCTAGACACAGGTTGGATACGAAGCTGTGTCCGGCAATTGACAACCATGTAACCCTGTGGTTTTAGACCGACTGAATACGGCAACACTCTTCCATGACCCTAGCAGGATAAACCTAAGCCGTTGAATGTCGATAGCGGGGACGCTCTGTGGCGTTATCAAGTGACGTATCGGATCAAAGTAAAGGAGTTGTAACCGACTGGGACCCTGTTTTGATCGACGTGCTTGGAGATTCATCAAACATCATCCCAGCTGGCATTGTATATCACAAACACGTCGTCGGGGCTTCCGGAGTGATGATTGGCAGTCATTGGTCACCAGGGTGTCTCGGAATGTTTACAGAAGCTGCAAAATACAACCCGCAGACCCGACAGCGGAGTTGACCGCTTGACAATATTTACATGTGAATGCTTACCCCTCTCTTTACCCCCCAGTACGCTCCATTTACACTTATATTAAGGTTTCCATAGTCCGTATGGTGGTGAGTTGTGGTTGTCCTGTTCTAGTAGTTCGGGCGAATCCGAGTTACCCTAGACCAGCTCCACAAAATACCCTAGCCCTCCATCCACCGGCTTGAATATGCCTCATTAAGAGCGCAACTCACATCAAGAACCGGGCGAATGGTTTAGTGGTATAATACTCCCTTAGCATGTTTCGTCTGAATATCTGGGAGTGGTCCAGGGTTCGATTCCCTGTTCGTCCAACATAGGTGGTTTGATTCCACTGTTATCCTTTCTTTTTGGGAATTTTTGCGTTTCTTCACGATCACCCAGCGAATCCCAAAGCTTACAAGACGACCGGCCTTCACGGCTTCCCGTGCCCTTATTTATTTTTATTCTGGTTGCTCGATGGCGAGGCTGGTTCAGTCTCTATGGTCAACTGTCATTGTCCTCTGTATCGTCCTCAATCCGACACCTGAAGACAATACACCAGTATTCCCAGCTTCAATAAAGGGATCATATGGCTGCCTCTAGAAATAATGTTTCAATTATACAATAAGGTCATCGCCTCATTAAACTTAACTACTGCAATTACTCCCCAATCACATAAGTACACCCTCGGCTTCCAATGATGACCTCGTGCACTCTCCCAGCGTCGACATCCACCCGTGCTCCAACCTGAAAAGTTGTCTTCTCGTTGTCCTTCTCACGTGGATACCACAGGGTCATCTCACCATCGACGATGAGATGGGTCGTTAACGTGGCGTGCGAGTGTGGCGGGTAGTGGGCGTTGCTGCAGCCCGACGGTCAGCGCCGACTCTTAACTGGAACCCAAACTAGCAGCCACTGGGGCGTCATGGAGGGGCATGATGGGAAGGGCAGGATTCGAGGCGAGGCAAGGCAAGGCAAGATAAGGCGAAGTCCAGCCTCGTGCTCAGCCATGCTGCCTTGCGGGACGCCTGCAGACGGACGTGCAGATCGTTTAGGTCGACTTACGGAGCGTCCGTCCAGGTGAAGACGTGCCCAAACCCCCACGACTGCACCTGATGCTCTTGCTCGCTGCTCATGGCTGCAGTTGATGAGCCTGAAATCGACTCCACAGAGACAAGGCAAAGACAGGCTCTGCACTAGGGTGTTGGCGATGAGTCGGGGTATTAGTGAGGCTCTGCTGGGCGGTGTTTCTCCCTGACGGGGCGAGGATGGACAACGGGCCGTGACAGAGCTATGACCTCACGCTCTCCGGGGGTCGATTGGAAGTTTCCGTGGCCGGCTGCGCCCCGCTTGCCCCGCCCGCCCCGGGCCGAGAACCCACAGCGCTGTGGTGGCCATTGGATCTGCTCGCTGGGGAGCGAGGCTGGGGCCGGAGTGCGGTCTGGGCTGGCGTGATGAGGTCCGACAGTCTGGAGATGCTGCTCGCCAGGGCATCAACCGTAATTTCCGCCAGGTCGGGCTTGACATAGGGCAACGGTGAAAACTCGCCCCATCTAAAGGTTGGGCTTTTGCCAACCGGCGGAAAGCAGCGGTGAATCACCCCATCGGCGTTTACATGCACACTGCAAGCACTGCAGGTCCCCGAAGACCAAGCCACACACAGCCTCCATCGCCCGTCTTTCGAGCCCGCCAGGCCAGACAGACAGGACAAACAGAAATCACCACGTACGCTCACTGTGTCCACAATTCTGTTTCGACCCATCGCGCGCGCAAGTAAGCGACATGGGGGCCATTGGGGCAATGGGGCATGCGACGCTGCGAGGAACAAATGGCCCCCATCTTGTGCTGCCGACGGGTGCCAACGCGCCAATCAGCGCATGCACCCGCCTCGCTGGGCCATCCCCCAGCGCTGTCCCTCGGCGCAGCACAGCCCTAGAAGGCTGCACGCTGCCACCACGGACAGCGCTAGCGGCGGACGATTGGACCCCGTTCGGGCGGCGACCGTCCATTGAGATGCCGTTTCCAGCGGGCTTCTAGGGTTGTCTCGTAGGGCGAGCGAGCCCAGTCCACTGAACATAGGGCCTAGGCGAGGCTACGGTCAAGTCCGCAGGCCACTATTCGATCCGCTATCCGCAATCCGTACCCCGGCTGCTTGGTATTCGCCTCCACCAGCCCGGGGGCCATTTACAGTACCTATCAGACCCTGGTGCTGACATTCGTCCATTCCCATCCACCTCGTTTTCTTCTGGCCGCCTCTCCCTTTTACCAAGTGGTCTCGCATCCCACATCACAGAACTCTCGCGCGCTCTCTTCTCGACAGCTTGAAACCGATACTGCGCCGCGACTCTCCCAACGCCGACGAGTCGAGCTCGACTCCTCCAGCTCTCATCCTACCGACCTCGCCCTCGCACACCTCGCCCTCGCGCCCACGCTCGTCCAACAACCGATTCTTCTCGGCCCCCCATGTCCTTCGACGACTAGCAATCCGCCGCGCCTCGCCAGCTAGCTCACAAGCTCACAAGCTCCCGGGACTCTCCTCGCAGTCATGCATATTCCGTGCTTCGGGTCCCTGGTATGTTCTCCGCGTCTCCGACGACGGACCGCAACCGACGCGACGGCGCAAGGCTGACTTTATTCCAGCGGTTCTCCAGGGCGAAAGGCGACAATGAGAAACATCCGAGGCGACAGCGGACAATGTCCATCTTTGCCAACTCCCACTCCAGCTCTAAACCCGGCCACTCCCTCCGGCGGATGGTTGGCATGTCAATGTCAGTTGTAGCTCCGGCTCACGCCCCCCGCCATATTCCGATTCCAAAGTCCACGATATCCGACGAAAGCTCCAGCGGAACCTCGACACAGCCCTCTCTCCCACAGCTCGATATTACAAGCCACATGCACGATATCCTCCAGCGACTATACCACGAATTGCGCGGTTCCCACGCCACACTACCTCGGGCCAAGTTTGTTGAATTCTTGAAGAACGTTCAGGGCGAGGCTCGCGTCAACTTGGACAAGGAGGAATACTCTCTGGGCGATTTCCTTTACACCTGGGTCCATGATTATCCATGGGAAGCCACGGGTCCTCTTCCAGAAAAGGATCTCTCGAAGCCTTTAACAAACTACTTCATCAATAGTAGCCACAACACCTACTCGAGCGGAAACCAGCTCGCTTCGATTAGCTCACCAAACGAATACAAGAAGGTTCGTAGACCTTTTCTAAACAAACTACATGCTATATGCTAACGAATGCCGCGAATAGGTTCTCCGAAGCGGGTGCCGTTGCATCGAAATCGACGTCTGGAATGGAAATGCCATCGCATCACCAAGCAGCTCAAGGTCTGCGAAGGGGCACGGGCGTGGCCTCTCAGGCAGTTCGTTCCCCAATGCAGCCACGGCCGTCATCGACACCGTCGGGGATACAGTTCATTACCTTATTGAGAAGTCCGGAAATCGCTCGCGCAGTGCCAGCGCTACCAGTCAACGGGATACGGAGCCGTCCCCGAGGTCCAGCACTCAGTTCTCCGTGGACCCTAAGGAGTCCCACGATTGTATTGATACCCCTCGACTGGGTAGGCCACGCGTACGACAACCACCACCACCGCGTGGTGAACCCATTGTAACGCATGGCTGGACATTTACCGCCCCATGCGGCTTCCGAGAGGTTTGCCAGGCGATTAAAGAGACTGCATTCGTGGATAACGACCTGCCCATCATCATCAGCCTCGAGGTTCACACAGACACGAGCCAGCAGGAAGTAATGGTGAGAATAATGAAGGAGGAATGGGGGAGTATGCTCTTGGACGCTCCTTTCGAAGACTGCGACCCCAGGTTCAGGCTTCCTAAGCTGGGGGACTTGAGGAATAAGATTCTCATCAAGGTCAAGAAAGCCCACTCCAAGATCTTGGTGCCGCCTTCCACCGTGCCGCCTTCCGCCGTGCAGCTGCCCGCAATTTATGCCCATGACGAGGACGCTTCTGGTTCTGAGGATGAGATTGAGCGCCCTTTCCTCATCTCGGGTTCATCAGCGCCTGGTTGTATCCCCCCAGATTCTAAGAGCGCCAAGGTCCCTATCTGCGAAAGTCTCGGTAGCCTGGCCATCTATACGCGAAGTCAGCATTTCAAGAGCCTCGCGACGCCGGAGGCTAAGATCCCCCCTCACATCTTCTCCATCAGCGAGAACCGCATCCTCGAGCTCAACCAAAAGCAGCATCGGGAAATGTTCACTCACAACAAGGGCTACTTCATGCGAGCCTTCCCTGCTGGACGTAGGATTGACAGCTCGAACCCCGACCCGAGCCTCTTCTGGCGCGGTGGCGTCCAAATGGTGGCCATGAACTGGCAGAATGTCGACGAGGGAATGATGCTCAACGAGGGCATGTTCGCAGACACAAAGGGCTGGGTCCTCAAACCCCCAGGCTACCTGAGCTCCAACAAATCGACGGAGACTCAGAGCCAGGCTGCTCCCGGTCAGACTCTGAATTTGAAGATAACTCTCTTTGCCGGCCGGCAAATCCCCATCCAAGAGGGTGATGAAAAAGATAACACTCGTAGCGCGAGTACAATCCGCCCCCTCATCAAGGCGGAGCTTCACGTAGGAAGGCCAGATGAGACGGAACGGGATGGAGAGTGCAAGTACAAGCAGAAATCGGACGTGGGCAAGTCGAACCACCCCATTTTCGGGCCCAATGGTTCGCCTCTCGAATTCCTCAACATTCCCAAGGTCGTAGAGGAGCTGGGCTTCATCAGGTGAGTTGTCATACTTTTTCCTTCCCGCACCTGACTGTTCTGCACTTCCTACTGGCCAGCCTCCCTTGCGTCACTTTTGTTTGTTATCGTTCCTCTGCCTCGTGATTGAGTCTGCTGGAAAGAAGGCAATCAGCCACCCCATCGCGGGATCGGGAACATGGTTCCAGTGATAGCCCGGTTGTTAGCCGTTCCGAGAGTTCAGCAGTGGATGAGCTGTCATGAAACACCCACACGGATATTCTGCCAGCGCACAATCCTATTGGTCCGGAGCGATAGTTTCGCGAGAAACAAGCGTTTTGAGGCCTCTCATATGCGGCCCACTCAAATTGTGAGACATAAGCACTCCCGAGAAACTGTCCGCGGCGCCGGGTTTGCGTCCGCACGCCTGGTTCAACCAGGCAACTCTCAGGGACTCAAAATGGTCCGATGATGACGAGAGCCTTCAACAGGCTGCCGACAAGTGTCGCAAAGCGGGCCTATCCATCGGTGAGCTGCTGCATTCGTGGATCGCAATTACGGCTGGGTGGCTGCACATTTCTTTTCCGCATAGCACTAACATGTGTGTTTCACCTCTAGGTTCAAGGTTGAAGACGACTCGACTAATTTTGTCAGCTCGCCACTTCTCGCTTGGGCTTGCATCCGCCTAGACCGCTTGCGCAATGGCTATCGATTCGTGCGCCTCATGGACTCTCGTGGTTGTCCCGTTGAGGGCGGGAAACTACTCGTCAAGGTCGAGAAGACCATTGCATGATCTGATCTGTCGGACATTGCGACGGCAGAAGCGCACAGGGTATAGCGCTGAGCGATTATGACCCTCCAAATCAACTCACCGACCTTGGCTTGCGTCGCTTGTGTCTCTGACTGGAATGCGCTACGGGCCGATGTTGGAGGGATCACCGATGGGGTCTAAGGCTAGATGGCCTTTGCATCACACGGCCTGTCACCATGACTCTTAGCAGGCTATTCTTTCCCGTTTATTTTCGGAGTTGAAAGATCGGCGTCTGGGACACTATCACACTTTTATTTTATTTTTCTTGTCAGCGAGGGTATCTGATAGACTTGTTTGCAGCAATCTTTTCCATTATGGGGGTTACACACGGGACCCAGAGGCATGTACGGGAAAGACAAGTTTGGGGAAGCAATATCGGAGTTACGGCAACCTGGAGTTTCTGGAGGTTTTCTTTTGAGTCGGCCCTGTCGTTAGAAGGGTGGGTTACATCCTGGTTGGATCCCAGAGACGATCCCTTGACGATTGTTACCTGTCAGAAACAGGCTGAAAGAGATGGCTTTTGTTCGCCTAGATTTTAAGCGGAATATCAGAATCACAAATGTACTCTGTCAGTGGCTTGCATGTGTGTCCTGATGACGCGCCGGCGAAGTGCGTGTAGTGTCTGCGAGCTCCCTAGAGCGGGGCGTGTTTCCCAAACGACATAGCTTATGCGAGAGATATGTCGATCCAGAACTATGGCTCCAGCCAGCCTCTTTCGTATCAGACGGCCCGGCATGCCCGATTGTCATTCAGGAGGGGGAGTACAGTGATCGTAGGTGGCTGCACCTAATTGGGATAGCATAAAGTATGATAAGCCGCCGGAGGAGAACGGCGGTATGATTGCTTTTTCCCTCGAGGCTGCCCACTGTTTCGGTTGATGACAGTGGTTGCTGTCTTGACCGAGTGGCCGGGAACGCAGTCTACTTCGCGAAGCCGGCTTGCAGCCAAGTCGGCGGACAGACCAAGGTACTATGTACGCAGGAGTAACGGGGCTGCTCGACAAGCCCTGCAAAAGGCGGCCGCGGCCTGTCTTCAATGGACGCCGGGTTCGAATCGCTGCAACGACCCCCCTCCTTCAGGGAGTCAGGGATGGCTCAACTGGCGCAATCCGATTGCCGTCCGCCAAGAATGCAAGAGTTAGAATGACATGGACCACGGGTGTATCCAGTTGACGGTGATGTGCAGTATGTTTTCGCCGACGTGAGACATCTCGCTTCCGGCTCGGCTCGGCCGCAGCAGCAGCAGCAGCAGCAGCAGCATTTTGGAGATTCCGCATTGTCGTCATTGGTTTGGGATGGTTAATGGCATTGCCGTCCTGCGGGTGGGCTTCGCCGGGCGCTGTGCCTCCATCGCTTCGGTAGCCACACGAGAGCAAGGGAAACTTGTTTCCATGCCGTGAGCAAGTGACGATGGCTGTGCGGATTGCTATTTGACAGTGGGCTGCGTTCCGCCAAGCATCAACCTGCATGAGGGCTATCGCGGCTATGAGAATCGTCGGTACCTCACCCAAGAAAGCCCAGGAGCCGCGGAGCATGGAGAACCCTAGTATAGCGCAACAACTCAGCAATAGCGTAGAGCCGAAATGGCAACAGATCGATAGTCGCGGCGGGTAGATGCTGAGATGCGGCTAGTCTGCGTATTGGAGTGTGGCAGCAACGCGGAGAATCATCCATTCCCAGCCGTGGGGTCGAGCAGGGGTTGCCTGTTCAAGGCATTAGGCCAGTGTAAACCGCCAAATTGCGGATAGCTCCAAGAGAGGTACTCAGTACTCGACGACACCAGTACTTCGTACATGGAATATTCATCAAGTAATCCATGCGGCCCTGCACGAAGAATGGAGCATGGACCGGCCCGGGTACTGTGTCCGAGGAGGAGCAGCAAGGAGGCTGTGGCGTTGCATTTCCAATCTGCAAGGCTTGCGGAGTCGAACACGGGTTTCAATGACCTTGCTTTGTGTTGACACCAGTACACCGATATGATGCACTTTTTGACGATCGTAGGTGGGCTATTGTTCTTGCGGAGATGCGATGATGTGATGGCAAGACAGGTGACACGTAACGTCGGCCACCGCAAGTCTAGAGCTCGGTCTGGACCCGACGTCCAGCTGCTGATTTGTGATCTGGCAACCTGGATCAATCCGGTCAGACGGCCTGAAATTTCCTTGCTCATAAGCACGTCATCAAACAGAATCAACGGAGCTGATGCTTGCATCTTCCCCACATTTCCCCCGACAATGGTGTCTCCAACTGCACCTCATCTTAGTTAGAGTGGTTCCCAGACCTTTGTCAAGAGCCATTGAGTTGTCAGTCAGTTGCTGTTGCCTGACTAGCAAGCTGCAATGTGCTTCGTGATTGGATGCCCTGTGAAGATTGGGGACCGGGCTGTGACTTGGTCCCACTGGCCTGGGGATCCTGGTTCCCAAAGCTAGTTTTAACCTGGCCCATGAATTTTGCTCAATGACAATCGCACCTTGTCCAATTATCACTGCCAATCGGTATGCCTCGGGATACTGGAACTGCAGAAGCGACGGGGACAGGTAACAGGGCTAACAGGGATAAATGTGGTGCATGTTGCGGGAATCTGTGACGGAACGTCGAACAAAGAGTGCCAATGCAACCATGTAGCTGCAATGAACCATGCTGCGGGGCGGGCAGATATTGCCCATGTTCAAATGCCGGTAAATGCAGATGCGCCTAGACGAATAGCATGGACAATTGTCACACTGGAGATTAGCTTCGAGGCGCTGGCTGCAATGCGGCAAGCTGTGCCATCCTGCAGGACCCACTGGTGGTCGATCCAATGCAAACTATTGAGACGTGGGCGGCTCAGCCAGGGTTACCAGTCCCGTAATGGATTTGGTGGATGTCGTCTGCGAAGTAGGGCGACAGTAGTTCTATTGTTGATGAAGCAAAGGGCCTCGCTAGCCTTTGCTTAGATGTAATCTATGTCTGCGGTTGATCTGAGGTGTGACGGTGGTCCCGTGATGATGCTCATCTGTGGGGTCCGTATTTGCCTCTCAATCGAAAAGGCTAACTCTGACAACGACACTCAAGCTGCGATTGTCGTGAATAGTACTCGGGGCAGCTGGTTGGAACGGAGTGAGGACGCCCTGTAAACCTCGAGGGCTTGGTGGGTTAGGGGAGGAAGTGGCACTGCCCCGTGATGCGAATCGTCTGGGCACAGTGTGTGAGGGAGGTTGGACGGGTGCGGTGGCTTGCTTGCTTCTCCTTGGCAGAAGCAACTGCCGTCTGCCGAGAGATTTTGGTTGAGCGTGACAGGCAGATCCAAGCTGAGATTGCTCTAGTTTCGTCTGGAACCGCGCAACCGCTCGTATGACATTCACAAATTGATCATTAGTTGCGTGCTTTGCTTCCTTTTTTTATCTCATGGATGGTGGAGTCTCGCCTATTCCCCTATATCAAGATTAGTTGCTGTTGTTCTTAGCTGTAGGGAGTTAGGGCGCCTCTACGAAAATCCCATGGAACTTTGGACATGAATGAATATCAGACCAATTGGCGGTCAATATGTTCGGGTGATGCAGCGCTACCCATGGCACATACCTACCTCGGCAGACCCGCTGCTCCTGAACGACCTAAAGGATCTCAGGGGGGTTGGCGTTCCCAGTGCGTCGCTCGCTAGCATAGGGCCAGTTAGAAGCATTGGTTGGTGGCGTGAAGGATGGCTGTGATTGGAGTGGAGTAGCAAAAAGCAACTGCCACTGAAGCCGACTGCATACCGAATGCGCACCTAGATCGTTGGGATACATGAGTAACCTGCCAGGGGTCGAAGATTGTCTGGCAGACGCCGTGGGTGGGGGTCAAAAAGCAAGACTCTTCTTGCTCAGCTGGCATGGGAGCAAAAAAAACCAAGTGTGTGCTCGCTCTCGCCCACCGTCTGTCTTTCATCCATCCTGGCTGAGGTATGCCAACCCACTCGGGGCCACTATTCCGCGTCTCAGGCGGTGAAATAACCGAACTGGCCAAAGGAAAGAAATCCAAAATTTTGGGGCGGCTGGACTGGCGCCATGGGTGTATTCTGACCGGCAAATGCGGGATGGTGTTGAAAAGTCGACATATCATGAGGGGGTTTCTGATACATCGCGGTAGCGTACTGAACCCAAGAGACGAAAAGGCGGTATCATCGGATGGTGAAGATCAGAGAGTCAGCAACCAGTCATGTGCTGCTGCTGCACCGGCAGTCGATCATGAGGTGGCAGAAAATGCAAATACAAATGCATGCAGACCGGAGGGAGATGCGGAGGGTTCGAGGATGCTGATGCGCGCATTGGCAGACAGACCGCATCCTGCCTACTTGGCTTCTTGCGCCCTTTGAATTTCTTGGGCTCTGGGCTAATCATGGGCGGAGTGGGGAAGTGTTGGTGATTGACCATGCTAGGTACTGCCCATAATGAGGATGGACTCCCTAGAGACTCCCTAGGGACTCCCTAATGCACAGCCGCGAACGAACTGGAGGTCAAGGCGGCCACGAGGGCTTCAAGGAAAGAGGCGCAGAAAGATGCGCGAAGAACGGAGGCCGGAGAACAAAGCCCGGACGGTGCCCCCCGATCGTGGCGGCGCAGATATGGTTGTTGTGATCGACACCAACCACGAGGCGAGCGAATGGATGGACAGAGGTCGTTGGAGCTACGGCACGGTGACGGGGAGAGCTGAAGCCCGCGGGTTCAGTTGGATCATTGGATGGCGGACGTCACCCATGGCGTTTCGTCTCGGCCGAAGAGAGTCGTTCGTCAGGTTAGTCAGCTGAAACCTCCTGCAACTTACGGAGTCTTGCGTCGTTCCAATACGCCCAGCGAGCCGTCAGGTGATGGCGTCAGAACCGAGACGCATGCCTGCCGTCCGGCGGTGGGCAGCTGGGGGCCCGGTGAATAAAAAAGCAAAACTGGAACCATGGCGTGGACGGGAAAAGAAGCAAGGGTTGATCTGGAAGAGCACCAAGGGTTAGGGGCGCCGGAGTGAACGCCGGAGTGGGCGCCGCAGAGGGTGCTGAAGGAGGAGGAGGAGGAGCCGTGATGCAGGCGGGTTGGGTTCTTGGACCGGCCAGGAAAGAGGGTGCATGACGAGCGAGTGGGGGGGGTTTGCTTTGGTGGGCTGCTGTGGATAGAGGGATGAGATGAGATTTGCGAGATCCAGATGCAGCGGTGGATATATGTGATGTAACGGTGTGATTGGAGACGGCAGGGGATGGAGTACATATGTCGCACCCGTCGACGAGACATGCAACAGCAGTGCTGCGCTGAACTGAACTGAACTGAACTGAGCCGAGCTGTAGGGCAATACGGAAGACTGCGACTCCGTGAATCGGGAGGAAGAAGCGGAGGAACAGAGAAGCGTCGAAGCGTCGAAGGCATGCGATCCCTGTAACATCCCGCCAAGAATGACTTGCCGACGGGAGCTAACAGTGGTGTTTCGTGCCTTGGCCGCCTAAGACCACAGTCCCTACAGTACGGTGTAACTAAATTTACAGTACCCGGCGACCCTACCTCAGGGATCTCGTTAGTCTAAGAGTGAGGCCCTGTCGGCCCGTCCAGCGAACGCCGCAGCCAGTCTCAAATAGCGTGGGAAGCGCGCAACCCGCCAGCGCCGCTCCGGCTGGCTGAGAGGCCGCTCAACGGTCGATGCGCACCGCTGGGTGTAACAACAACCAACCTCTGATTTGTTGCTTTTTGTGAGTTTGGCCGAGGCCTGGATCAACCAACGGTAATAGCTGACCAGTAAGATGGACGGGATGCCTTTGAATGAGACAACGTTGTACGGACTGATCGTCGTGGCGGTTGATGTGCCGCTGCACTATGGAGCCTATCATGATAGGATCAAGATGAGCCAGGTCAACCTACATGCATACCGACTCCGGACAGCAAGCGCTAGGCGACCTTGGCACGTTTGCGGACTTTGCCGATTGCTTTGTACCCTACCACGTATACCGGTCTGTCGTCTTGCGTACTGTTCTCCTGCCGAACTGGCGACCTAATCTGGGGCGTTAATCAGCCGACAAGGCCAAGGCCAGACCTAGACCGCAGCACCACAGCGGATGCATTGGGGCCAGGCTGGGAGGCGTGGACCAACATGCACCGCTAAACCTACGTCTCAGCTTAGCCAGCCTACCCTGTCCTTAGACTCGACGTGAGCGGCACTTTGGCGGCTGAAAGGCGGCCCCAGCCAATCCCGGTTGCAGGAGCATCCCATCCCAACGGGAGCCCATTATAACCTCGCATCAGGAACTAGTTATCCCAGTCGCGGGCGTGGTCGTGGCTTGGATGGGGACCCCCTGGGCTCCCTGGACTCCTTGGGCTCCCTAGACTCCATGGGCTCCATCAAAAACTTCCCAGAATCTTTGCCGGTCCTCTCAATCGCACTCGCCAAGACTGATCGCACGAGCGGACCAATGTCCCGAATGTTCCTTGGCCCCCGGGTGGGAAAGGAGCTGATGTGCGATGTGCGTGTGCAGCCACCCGCCTTGACCAGAACCAGCTTTCGCGCGCCGCGGCAGTGACCTGCGGCTCAGCTCTCCTCCCGCATCCCACGTCACTCTCGCTTCACTTCTCGTCTCTCCGCTTTGAAAATTGAGGTGCCGAGCCTGACCGCACATTACTTTGATCCCAAGGCAATTGCTGCATGCATACCCCCCATTGCCGTTGCACGGCCGTTGCGCCGTTACACGGTTGACGGCCCTAGACTCCAGACTCTGAGACCCGTGAGACCGAGACCACACACACCGCCCGATATCTTTCGGTGCCTTGGCCATGTCCTCTGCCGCTCCAATCCCGAACATACACGGGCACAGCGTAACGAGGCCGGCCACACGTTAAAAAAGGTCGCACAGGGTGGTGCAGACGGCAGAGTAGCGGCCACAGAATCGAGGTGGACCCCGATGCCTCACGGCCGATGTGGAGATGTGGAGCCCCCAACTCCAGCACGTCGGTGAGATTGCCTGATGCGCGGGCGATCACTCCAAGGGAGGGGGTGGGTGTCAGAGTGATGGAGGCCCTCTTGCTGGCCCTTGGTTTTCTGGTGGCCTCCAGGGGTCAAACATTCCAGCGACCCGGTGCGCTTCCGTCCAGGTTCTGGGGTTGATGGCGGCCGCGGCTTTGGAATATCTCGAGATCGTCTGTCGGGGCTTTGGACCCCGGCCGTCGACGGGCGCCAGGTTCAACTTAATGTTTCTTCTCCTGGACGATCAAAGACTGAATCACGACCTTGACGGTGTGTAGCTCCTTGCCCACCGCAAATTCCCGCGTCGGCTTTTACCATCAGCGTCGTGGGCTCCCGAGCATCGTGACCCTTGGAGCCAGCCAGAACGAGCAGTCACATCTTTGCTTTTCTCTCCAGTCACCAACCACGCCCACCCCCGTCCGTTCCCGTTGAACCCCCCTTTCCTCCCTGGCGCCCGGTCCGGTCGCTCTCTCCTTGCCACTCAACATGTCTTGATGCTCGCGGTGTTTTAATCCCCATGTCAGAAGGGGATTCGTGATGGGTCCGACATTGCAGACACGCCTCTTGTCTCTGCGGGTGCTACGCAGTGCGTAGGTCGGCACCTCACCCCCCCTCCTCTCGAGGCCATTGGTCATCGGCCACCCGTAGTTCAAAGGCACAGGAAAAGGCAAGGAAAGACAAGTCGCGAGTACGGGTACACACTCTAGACACAGAAGGCAAATGGACCCCGCCCCCGTTCGGGCGGACCAGTTTCCCAAGGGCGGCGCCACCAAGTTGTCTAGCAACTAATGGCAAGCTGGAGTCTCACAGAAGTCGATATGACAGGTCTGTTGCTGCCGCTGCCGCCGCCGCCGCCGGCACCGAGCATTTCTACACAGACCCTTGGCCGGCCACCTAACCATCATCAGATGGCAGCGCAGCCCACATTAACATTGTGCAGGTTGGCAGGGTACGTATTGAAGCCTTCGTCGAGCCCGTCCTCGTGCCCTTGACCTTACCCTTCCCGGCCTCGCGAGGCATCGCCGGGATACACTGTCATACCGCGATCGTCTCCTAGTCTGTCGCCGTCCCAAAACCATAAATCCCATCTTGCCCCCACACATTGCGCCAGTCCAGACCATCGCAAGCTGCTGATACATTGTCTCTTGAACTCTCTTACAACCTCATCGTCCGGGTCCACCCTACCCACTCCCCCACGTTTATCATAACACTTTGACATTGCAAACACAACTTTTGACAATGACCCTATCACGATATCAACTTTTGGTGTCCTCATCCCAGATGCTTGCTTGGGATGTCCAAACGGGGGAAGCGTCCCCTGTCACAACCGTTCCCTCGGGACCCAATGGCGTCATTTGCCGCTGGGACGCAACCAACAACCTCTTGGATGCATCCCACGCCATGGACCGTGTTGTCCAAGCCAACAAGGTCCCTGGCACTCGTTGTCCAACATGCGCCCTCACGGGCAAAGAGGTTTGGGTTATCCCCGGCCGTTCTTGCGGATACTGCGGAACTCCCTGCGACAACATCAACTTTAGCCACTAGGCTTGAGTGAACACGACTCTTCTACGCAATGCCGAGGAAGTCATCAGTGACCGACTCGATCGGCAACTCCCTCGTTTGAGAACTTGCTGAGCAACTCAAAAAAGCGTCGAGGGCAAACCGCGTCTAGGATTTGTCGGCGCCTTCTTCTGATGAGAAGACGACGGCTAGATCAATCTAGATCACACCAAATCAGTGCAACTAGCGGAAACCAAAGGGGATTGGACGCTGCAAAATCTGTGCGGGATGTTTCGGTGCATGGCAAGAAGGCGACAACGATTTTTTTCTTTTTACGACCATGAGGCTCTGAAAAGCCATGAAGCTTCCGGTCCGGCTGCAACAGCTGCTGGCACTGCAAGCGAAAATAGGAAGATGTCATCCGACGGACCGCCACAGTCTTGCAGGATGTTTCGAGTCTTCACGCATGAACCTGGGCGTTTTGTCTGGGTTACTTCCCGGAAGGATAATTACGAATGAGAAATATCACAGGGTGATAATGAAGAGAGGGGGTTGGTATGGAAACACAAGGAACAAGTTGTTAATCTGGAACTTGCCCTGGGAAAGGAAGTTCATCATCTCGGTCTGGGACGGAGCGTTGGGAAGTTCTGGGAGTACTCGGGCTTACAGAACCGTCAGGGTCTCTCTTTTTTTTTTTGGTCGTACCAGGGGGATGGAATGCGTCGACGATCCGGGCATCTGGGCTTGCATGAGCCACCCCTGCTGCAGTGTCGCAGAGCGACTTGCTCCCGGCAGCGAGGGTGAGGTCGACACTCGACCACAGCTGCGACGAAGGGCGGACACATGATCATCTGGAAGGCGGTAATTGTATTTGGGCGTATTTAATTTGACATTTAATGAAGTTTCTCGCAAAGAGCACGGGGTTAAAGCAAATTCACAGCATTCTATGACATCACTGGTGCTTGGTATCGACAAACTACCTGAGACATGTTGGCGGAGGGGTACGGTCCAGGCCCTCGGCAGTGCGGTCAAATGACAGAAGTCTTCGATAACTCGTCCCATTCTTTCAGGTGGACAAGGGGGGCCGGCCATTGGCCTGGATGAATAGGGTGCTCGAAGGCTGTAACTGCGCCACCCAACCCCATGGTATCAGCTATCAGCTATCAATTACCAGATTGACAAGCCCGGCTGAGCCTCATCCTGAGCTTCTGGATTTCGACAAGTTCCATGCGCAACATTCGTTTGGTTGCGTCGAGATGACGCGATGAATACACCTTCGGGACGCTGCCACCTCAGCTTGTCAGCGCCAGGTCGTGTTTCACAGGAGAGCGGCGTTCTCCGTTCCGTCGCCATGCGAGAAGCCCGGAGCTGCTTCCCGGAGCGGGGATTGGTCTACGATCGCCGGGCTGGCGACTCGGCTCCGGTCTCCGGAACGGTTCTGCTCGTCAACGGCCGACGGTCGGGCCCTTGGTCGCTAGGGCCCAGAAAGGACTAGCGGGCGCTCAAATTGCGGCGCTGGCATTGGCTGCACAGACGCCTCCGCCCGAGCCCCCAGAACCCGCAGTTGCCGTGGATCCCCTCCACGTTTCCCCCTTCACCCCGCCCCCATTTTCCGAGCCTGCGCAATGTCTCGTCTTGTTCCTCACCCCAACTTCCCGCGAGCGAGCCGTTGAGATTGCCATCCGCGACCCCCGAGTCCCTGCCTATCGCGCTCGGTGTTCGGCTCGTCTGCTATCAGATCTATCTAGATCGGTCCGGCCTGGCTCCGTTGTCGTTCTGCTGGAAGCTCACAATGGCGGGAGCGGAGCAGAACGGCATCGACATACTGTGCGACGCGGCTGGTTCCGACATGCTCCTGTCCTCTCTCTTCTCCCTTGCATCGCCCGCCCAGGACTCGAACCAGAGAGGCCATCAGGCACAGCAGTCGCAACACCAGCAGCAGCATTCTCATCAGCAACAGGAACATCACCAGCACCATCCCCCACCGCCGGGACCGCAGGAAGACACCCCTCGGAGCGGACACTCGTCGTTGCCGGCCAAGCGCAAGCTCTCGGATGCGTCACTTTCATCCCCATCACACGTCTGCCACATCTGCCGGCGCGTATACGAGCGAGCCGATCACCTCACCCGGCACCTGAGATCCCATGAGAATGCCCGCCCGTACCAATGTTCCCGCTGTCCCAAGCGCTTCAACCGAGCCGATCTCCTCACCAGGCACGAAACCACCCACGATCGAGATGGCATCGCCAAGGACCGCCCGTTCATACGCCGGAGTGACAGAGCTGCCGAGGCGTGTCTGAACTGCGCCGCTTCCAAGGCAAAATGCGAAGATCAGAAGCCGTGTAGCCGTTGCCGCAGCAAGAGTCTCCCCTGCCAGATGCCCTCACGGCGGGGGAACCAGTACCGCACGGACTCGCAAGCCGGCATGTCACCCTCGGAGGCTTCAACCATGGCCTCAGCCATGGGCATGGACAACCAGGGTTTCGCATCCGGGGATTCGGGCTACCTGAGCAAGCCCTCGACTCTGACCCAAGGTCCACTCAACGATGGCAGCGCAGAGTACGAAGGTTCGGCGTTCCTCGGCACTTCTAGTATGGATGGTCTCACGGACGATCTTATGTATTTCAATCCAGTCCACAATCTCTTCCAAGACATGGACTTTTCCTGGGATCTGGATTTCGATGGGTTTACTATCCCAAGGCTGGACGTCAACGGGCCGAGTCCCCAATCTACAAGCACCATCAACTCAAAGCGATCTTCGCGCCATGTGGGCCGTGATGTGTCTCGCGGACACGCCGCGTTTAAGCGTTCGCCATGGATATTTGAACCAGATATGAAAGACTACGTCCACCGTGAGACCGAAGCCTTGACTCTCGATGACGAAGCACTTCCGGCCTCCTCGGCTTTTGAGAAATTCGCTAGCAGCTCAAAGACTCGGCTGCAGATGCCGTCTCACATGCGCGATCGTCTCTTTGCAATGGTTCTGGCCCACAACCCGAATCCGCAACGAGTTCCGTCTTTTCCGTCTCTGGAACTTCTGAACTACCTGCTCCAGGCCCATTTCGCCCAGGAAGAGCGGAAGTGCGATGCATTGATCCACAAAGCGTCCTTCGACCCGGCAACAACGATTCCCGAACTCCTGTCGGCCATCATCTCGAGCGGTGCCACGTATATTTCGGTCCCCGCTATTTGGCAGTTCGGCCTTGCTCTCGACGAAGTTGCACGATTGGCCATTGCAGGTCGGGTGAGTGATTAGTCTCCATAACCCCCCGACGTTCCCTCCGAGACAACTCATTTTCGCGCCTGGTGTATAACACAGTGCTTACCACACCAACGATGAGTCATTTCAATGTTTTTAGATGTAGTGGCTAACTGATTATCCGTAGTTTGAAGGCTCGAATTCCACAACCCGAGATTTGATGACACATCAGGCAATGATGCTCCATCTCGATGTCGGGCAATGGAGCGGGTTTAATCGTAAAATGGAAATCGCCGAAAGTTTCGTTCAACCCCTGTTAACAGTGAGTTTGCCTTGCCTTTTATTTTGGGCTTTACTGACATGCTGGAGATGCTTCGACGGTCCGGAAGAACTTCATTTTCCTCGGATTCTGTCTCACAAATGCCATCCATATCTGACTCCCCTGAAGTCCTGGATTCCAAATGGCGACAGTTTGTCGTATTGGAGTCTTACAAGAGGTATGATACTCGTCACTTTTGACGGACGTCTGCTGACCACCATGTAGACTTGTCATCCACATGTTCTTTCATGATATCCAATCGTCCATTGGGCTCTGTAAAAACCCGCTCATGTCATACAATGAGCTTTGTTTCACCCTCCCCGCCTCGCGTGACCTTTGGAGAGCACGGACTGCAGAGGAGTGGCGAGATGTCTCTCTAACGAAGAAGCCAATGCCCAACGGCGGAATTCCGCGAGTGGCCGAGGTGACGCAGTGTATGACCATTCTCGATGATCTCGAAGATCGCATCGACATTGAACTTTCGTCTACCGCTCTTCTTCATGGGTTTTGGGGCCAGATTTGGTCGTATCGCGATGCTGTCAAGTTTCATAGCTCGGGAGGCCCAAATCGGCGCGGCGGGTCGTCACCGCCATTGTGGCTCAAGACCCAACATCAAGAGCTCTACCGAGACATCGCAGAGTTTTCGAATCAAATCCAACACTTGCGAAAACCGAAACCGCAACTTATTCTCCTTGCAGAGCTATTCATGATGATCCTTCATGTCTCACCGAATGATCTGCAGCAATTCGCGGGTAAGAACGGCGAGGAGGAGGCGAGGAGGGCAGCCCAGACTTTGGAGGAGAACTGGTTCTCAGAGTCTGAATCACGATATGCCGCTTGGCACGCCGGTCAAGTTTTCCACTGGGCCCGAAAGCTGGCGCCGACGTCTCTGCGGGGCTTCAATGCCATAGCTGTCTACTTTGCTAGCCTCACACTGTGGGCCTATGGCCTAGCTACCTGCGCTCGCTCAACGAATGGCCAGAAAGACGGGCGCGGTTCGACTATCGAATACGTGCTGATGGATGGAGACGAGACCAGGGAGTCGCGGGCCTTCCTGCAACTCGACCGCGGCGTGCCGGGAATCACATCCAACGGTGACCCGAGCTCTGGCGCTGAGTCCCTGTCAAACACTGGGATGATCTTGACAATTGCTCGAAATACCCTTCGCGACAACTTCCCTGTGCGCAAAGAGCCGCTGCCGCCGCTTGTTGAGAGTCTGGGCCAACTCCTCCGCGACTTGGGCTCTGGCCTCGCGGGTCGGGCTTCACGAGCGATCAGCGAAAACCCACCTCCCATTAGTGGGCGGTCTCCTTAGTATTTGCTGCGGCTGCCGAATCGCTATTTAATATCCTTTTTTTCTGTATGATAGTATGGAATTTGGAGTTTCTGGAAGGAAAAGCGGTGCCAAGGGAATTGGCCTCTTGTATTGAATCATATCGTGTCTACGGAGGGAAGAAAGCGAACGGATACCAACGAAGGTTGCGCTGTTGTGGCGCTTAGGCTCATCTTGTTTGGCTATGATATTTAGGTACAAACCACTCACGCTCCTTAATTTGGTTGTTAACAAATGAGGTCAAAGCTTTTGTGAGTTTGCTTGATCGTGACTTGTTTGAGCGGGAAGGTGCATCGGCAACTCGTTTGCTCCTGCTCCTGCTGTTGCTACAGTTATTCACAGCTCCACTGGCAAACAGTCCGAAGCAACAAAAGGAAGCCCGCACTATCGACCTTCATTCTTCATTCTTCATCTTCTGTTCTCTTTTTCTCACCAACGAGATACAACAGCCTTGAATCATATCTCATTCCTCTGTCAGACCTTTTTTCGACTTCAAGTGCTCATCGACCACATCACCACCTGATACCACGCCGTCAGCACCCAGTCAGCGACCCACCTTGGGGGTTACCGTTGCAGCAATGGCTCGAGTGACTCCAGAGAGCCTCATCTTCGAGCGTGCTGAAAACGACCAGATAACGAAACTCTTCCAGAACAACTCCCAAGTCTGGGCAGGGTCTCTGTCACAGGCTGCCTACCTTGACATCCAAGAGAAGCTTGCCGACACCGAGGCCTCCATGGGCAACACGTCGCACTGGATTCTTCGCAGGCCTGAAGATCCGATGGCCGTCATTACGAGCTGCACGACCTATATGCGAGACGCCATTGCTACGACTGGCCAGGGCACACGTAATAGCAGGGCTGTTATCGTCACGAATGTCTTCACACACTCCGAGCACCGTATGCGTGGCATGGCGAAGCTGCTGCTCAAGAAACTGCAGGACCACATGGACCGAGGCAATTTGGGGAATGCAGAGTTCAGTGTGGTATACGGGGATGTCTACATGGATTTGTTTCAGGGGCTGGGGTGGAAGCCACTCCCGGCGACGCAGCTTCGCATTTCACTTGGTCAGATGAAGAAGCTCCAGGAACGGAGTCATGTTCCGGGAGCCAAGTTCCTTGGGTACACGGACGTCTGTGAACTTTCTGATGCGGACATGAACACCAGCAAGCTCCGCCTCTCGGGCCACCGGGATCGCAAGGTCCACGTCCAGATCCTTCCCACCAAGCCATTGAAGTGCTGGCACCTGATGCGTTCGCAACTCCTCAGCCAACACCTTGGCCGGGGCGAGCTGGCCAAGCAACGACACGGGGCGAGCTCCCACGTTAAACAGCCGGCCTGGGCGTGGTGGGTGCATGACTACCGCACGCGGAGACTCTGCATCGCACGGCTGTATGTGGCACGTCGTAAAGGGATGGAGGAGGGCGTGCGGCCGCTTCTGGAGGCGGCAGTGATCGAGGCGTCGGTGTGTGGGTTGCGTGAGGTGGTTATCTGGGAGCCCAGCGAGCAGGTCATCCAGGCAGCGGCGAAGCTTGCGGAGACGTATGGCCAAGGCCTGAGCATCTCGCAGGGGGAGAGGTTGGAGATGGTGCCATGCCTGCGATGGAAGGGCGGTGAGGACCGGGATGTTGTGATGGAGGAGAGGGAGTTGTACGGGTGGTCCTAGATGGAGTTGGATTTAGCCTGCGGAAGGGAAGAGGGTGAGTTGAGCAAAGTTCAGGGCTCACATGGTGCTTGTTTCGTGTAGGAGCATGACCAAAGGCAGGGTTGAGGTTTCGAGGATGACGGAGGATTTATGGACTTCTCTCCGGGGCTGAGATAGGTGCATCCAGCGCGCCATAGTTGCCAATTCAGTGCAAAAAAGCTCTCATTCGGTTCAGCAAGGGCTATCGGAATTTTTCCGTCTACTAGTTTATCCACTTTCGTCCGTCGAGAAGCTTTGCGAAGCTCTTGAGTATTCACCGGCGTAAACTCTCGGAACACCAAAGCTCGTGTGGGGCCGAGCATCGGAGGATGCATGCCCGAGGAGGTGGGGGCGGGGTTAGCCTCGCCTCTCCATGGCTCGGATTACAAAGAGAGAGCGCGGAATCGATCCAACGAAGAAGACCCAGCGTGATCTTTCAGTTTCCTTTTCCCTTCTTGAACCGTATACAACCGCGATCTTTGAAAACCCTCTCCCGTGCCCCCGCATTCCCACGTGCTGTTTACTTGTTGACTTGTCCCGCGCGGCTTTTATGAACCCCCGGCTGTTTCCGAGAGCTTCGACGCTGCTTCGACCTTCAATTCCAAGTGCCGGCCGACTTCATACCCCACGAATTGGACTTCTTGCGAGATCAATTGCCCAGAATATAATTACCGTCAAGATGGCCGACCGCGTGCACCGAGTTACCATGTTCAAGATGCCCAGCAAGGATGACCAGGCCAAGCTGCTCAAGCAGTACGAGTCGCTGGGCGCCGAGCAGCAGAGGGTGAGTGACCCATCTCCAGTCCTTCCTCCAGTCGTCCTGCCAACAATTTACTAATCTGTGACGATGAAACAGAACGGAAAGCCCTACATCCTATCCATGGTCGTTGGCCCCGCCGAAGAGGACGCCCGCGCCCAGGGCTACACGCTCGTGTCCAAGACGGAGTTTGCCAGCATGGACGACATGAAGTTCTACGACGACGAATGCATAGCCCACAACGACCTCAAGACGTTTGTCAAGACGCTGGGCGTGGAGGGTGTCTTGACCGTCTTCTTCAAGCCCGCCGTCATTGGCGGTACCGATAACTGAGGTGTTGGATAATTCTGCCTTGAACGACCCATATCGTTTTGTATAAGAGCCAGAGCCACATCAGAAGAGAAATAGAATATCATTTTGGACAAGTCTACAGGACTCTGGGCGGTCGCTGTCCTTGTTCCGTGTGTCAGCTTGTGATAGCTTTCCGAGTATTCCTTGAGCAGCATGCCTTGAAATATTTAACGCGAAATGTGAACTTATCGTCCTGACCGGTTTTACCAGTACTGGTTAATTCTATTCGACGTGATTTTCTAGCTGATATGGACACTTCATCGACACGCATTCAATCCGACGTGCATACAAGCTGTAGTAAGATTTACCTCTAATACTGACAGTGGACTCGACACACTTGACGTTGTCTCTGAGTGCATATGCTATTGACGCCAACAGTCCATAGAAAGCATCTTTAATAGCGGTACTCGAGGATCATGTGCTTGCGATCGGTAGTCCCTGCCCACGCTTGTTACGAAGCCCAAGCCGAGGCTATCCCCGGAGGTCCCGTTTCCATGTAAGCTTTCTTACGCTACTATCGTGTACAAGGTTCTGCTCGGCAAGGACGGCAGCTTTGCAACTCCAAATTGGGCCTGTAACGTTGTAGGTCCAGGCTAGAACCACCGTTGGGATCTAAGCCCTTTGGGGTTGGCATGAGCCACCTGTTAGGAATACGATATCGGCTGAAAGACCCCAGAGTCAGTAGATTGACATTGATTATATTGCCAATAGTACCTGTTCAATTTTACGTCAGCCTCTCACTCGATATTTTGACTGAAGGCTAATAACACCATACGCATTGCATTTGGTAGTGCTGTTCGGTAAAGGGAACTGAAGTCAGTCTCGGCACATTTCATACAAAATCTATACCTTAGAAAATTATTCAATTTTATAATGCGAATGAGCTTGCTATTTATCTTCTAATATCACTTATTGACAGAGTACGTTCATAGTACCCTGTTACGATCACCAAGTTTAACTAGTGCGTGTTGCGATTTCAGGAATCCCAGTCACCTGCAGTGTAGTGCCTTACTAGGCGGTGTGCGACCAGGCACTATATTTCCGAACCCGGAGGTCTCGGAGATATCAACATGAATCGCTAGTTCTTCAACCTCGTCCTTGAATCTGGACTCGACAGCCCATTCCTGGTCGCTGGCCGGCCGGACTATCTATCCCCTTGACGAATCGTGATGTTTCAGTGATTGGCTCGTCCCACGCAACTCTTACAAGGCAAAGTGGCTGCCTGGAACCTCACCGCATTTAAAGGGACAATGCCGAGGAATCTATTTAGACCGTCATTTTATACTCATCTCAATTAGGAGAAGTCTCCAAACACGTGATGCAAAAGGAACCCTAGGTCGTTTAGGGAGTGGGACCCTGGATAGTAGCCACGCCCTCCATCACCCACCGCTCATCAGGCTTCAACCAAGCCTAACCACCAAATCCTCCCTCAGTGAGTTCCACAATTCAGGAGCATGGAAAGAAAAGCTTCGTCGCCAATGGCGCCCACCTTCATGGTGTCGGCACCGGGAAAAGTCATTGTCTATGGCGAACATGCTGCTGTGTATGGCAAGCCAGCTATTGCCGCAGCCATCTCGCTCAGATCCTATCTCCTCGTCACCACCCTATCCAAGTCTCACAACACCATCACACTGAACTTCAGAGATGTTGGATTGAATCATACATGGGATATCGACACTTTACCATGGGATATCTTTCACCATCCTTCGAAAAAGAGATTTTATTATTCCCTCGTTACCTCACTTGACCCCGAATTGCTTGATGCCATTAGACCGCATGCCGAGGCCGTGTCGAAGGACCTTCCAGAGAAGCAACGAAAAGTTCATGTGCACTCAGCGACCGCCTTTCTCTACCTCTTCCTATCCTTAGGATCCCCGGAAAGCCCCGGATTCATCTATACTCTTCGATCCACTATTCCGATTGGCGCGGGGTTGGGTAGCAGTTCCAGTGTATGCGTCTGCTTGAGTGCAGCCCTACTCCTCCAGATGCGCACCCTTGTAGGACCTCACCCTGATCAGCCTCCCGATGAAGCAGAGGTTCAGATTCAGCGCATTAATCGCTGGGCGTTTGTGGGTGAGCTGTGCATACACGGAGATCCCAGTGGAGTAGACAATACGGTCTCTGCGGGTGGAAAGGCCGTGGTTTTCCAACGCAACGGGTCCGAACCACCATCCGTCACTCCCCTCACCAAGTTCCCCAAACTACCACTGCTTCTCGTTGACACACGACAACCACGCTCAACAGCTGCGCAGGTAGAGAAAGTGAGATCGTTGATGATGAATCACCCTAAAGTGACAGGGTTGATCTTGGACGGAATTGGCCAAATCACAACGTCTGCACTGGATCTCATTTTGTCCGCTGATTTTGATGGCGATGGCATGCCTGCAGCTCTCCAGCAATTGGGGACTTTGATCCGTATTAACCACGGGTTCCTGATTTCATTGGGGGTCTCCCACCCCAGTCTAGAGCGCATCTGCGAGCTCGTGGACCATGCTGATATTGGCTGGACAAAACTCACTGGCGCTGGAGGCGGTGGATGTGCCATCACACTCTTCCGACCGGACGTCAAAGATGGAACCCTTAAAGAACTGCAACAGAAGTTCACGGCAGAAGGATTCCGGACATATGAGACTCTTCTATCCGCTGACGGGGTTGGTGTGCTGTGGCCCGCTGTGTTCCGAAATCGCGGTGATAGAGGGGGTGCTGAAGAGATCGACCAGGAAAGGTTTGAAAATGCCGACGGTACTCAAGGTATCGAACAACTTGTTGGAGTGGGAGTGCAGGAATATCGGCAAGGTTGGAAATTCTGGGAGCGGGGAGTTGTCTGAGATGAATTAGACATGATCGAACGACTGGTTGATTTCCACAGCCTTCTTGGAGATAGTAGCCGGGCTGCCCTTGAGGGTGCAGTCTTACATATCAATCCGAGAGCCTTATAATTACGAGATATTTAGCTTGCTTGGTCATTTGCTCGGGGCATCATGGGTCAGCAGAACAGAATGTCCCGTTCGCAACATGACACTCAAATAAGTCCAGCCTGGGTTTCCATTCATGAGGGAAGAGGCGTGACGGTCAAATTCCTCGAGGGACTCGCAAATCTCAGTTGCTCTCCGGTTAATGTGACTAGGGTGGCTAGGGTGGTGATCGTCAATGCCGTCATCGTCATAGTCACTCTGAAGGTCCCCCGTGCGGCTTTGCCCAGATTGGGCTTGTTTTCAGGCGTGCCATTGCTGTTTAGGTTGCGCATGGAGGAATCCAACCAATCCTGGACAATAGCATTGTCCATTAGTCCAAATCGAGCTTGCCTGGAAATTTCTGCTAAATCGGGCGAGGTGTGCTTGGCGGCGATGCGGGATGCAGTGGGTTCGCAACAGTTGAAACCTTGGAGCCCTGATTGACGCGGTGTGCAGCCGCGGCAACGAACCCACCGAGATCCAGCTTGATCATTGCGGAAAATATCTCCTCGTAACAAAGCACTTTGTCCATCTTCACCTCAGAGAGGCGCAGCAGCAATAATGGAGGCGCTCTGCATCAAATACGATCGGTGTGGGCGCGTCGATTGGCCATCCCGCACCCGGCTAAGCCCGGGCCCACTATCGGCCCCACCTCCGGCTCGACCTTGGTTTCCTTTGCCGCCGTCCATTCGCAGAACCGGTTTTCCGGCCACCTCAGACAAAGCCCCGGCCCATGACGCAACCGCCGTTTGTTCCATGTCCTATCCTGGATGATTGGCGACACGACACTGGCTTGGAAGGCTTTGTTTCGACCGTGATTGGCATTCCCGCACCCGCGGCTGCTGCTACTGCTTGGGCACCCTTGGCGATGCGCTCATGCGCCGATTCCCTGATGGCCCTGACGTTGCTTGGGTCCTGTTTGTCGGCCAGCGTTGGCGCGTGCAGCACATCACTGCATTCCAGGCCGCCATGCATCATCATACATGGAGAAGGGAGGGAGCCTATTTAGACGTGTGCCTCCCCGACAGAGGCAAAGAAGCTTGGTTATTTTAGAGTCTGTTCATTCCTTAATTTTCATTTACGTCTAAAAAAGAAAATACACCAAAATCCAACCGAAACACCAACGCTACCTCAGACCACCGCAGCCATGCTGTCACGATTCTTCGTCTTCCTCCCCTTGGTGCTATCCTTGGTAGCCTTTATCCTCACCACCCTATGTCTCTTCGCAGGCAAGGACCAGGGATTTATGGAGGACTTCGCGATTGCTAGAGTGAGACAGTCCCGCTTCAAGGTATTTCCGACTACTGACTAAATTCCTAGGTAAACACATCAATGCTAGGGCACAACATCCTCGATTCCTCCAGCAACTCCCCCAGCAATTCCGGTGACGACGATGGCGGTATCCTGGATACTTTCAAAGACAAGTGGGACGAGGCCAAAGACGAGGCCAAGGATGCGATCAACGATATTACCGGCGAAATCGCAGACCAGCTGGCCGACGCTCTGGGGATTTCTGAGTGGTACTCCATCCACGTCATGGATGCCTGCGAGGGCCTCTTCAAGCCTAACGCCACGTCCCCTGGCGCTGGCCTCAACGTCACCGACTGCACCCAATCTCCCCCTGCTAGTAAGACCCCTTGGTATCTACCCATGCATGGCGCTTGTGAGAAACTGACAATGTGGTGATGCAGAGCGCTTCAACTTGAGCAAGATGCTCAACCGTGAGCTTAGCGCCGGCCCCGTCAACATCACTCTCGAGGACCTCAAATGGCCCGACGCCATCGACGACGCCATCGACGTGCTCAACTCGGCGCTACTAGCCCTTTTCATCTTCTACGTACTGGGCGTCGGCTTCTCTGGCCTAGCCATGCTTGCCTGCATCGCAGGCTTCTTCCTAGCGGGTCGTCGCAGCGTCGCTATTACAAACATGGCACTCGCCGCTCTTGCGGCAACATGCATCACCGTTGGCAGTATTATTATAACCGTGGCGGCCCACAAAGGCGCCGACAAGATCAACGACCTCGGTGACGACATCGGCCTCTCGGCGTCCGCGGGCTCCAAGTTCATTGCGCTGACATGGGTCTCCTCTGGGTTCATGATTGCTGCGACTATCTACTGGACCGCTCAGTTCTGCCTGATGAGACGAGAGAAGAAGCGAGAGTGGAAGCCCCGCAAGGGAAGCTACTAAAGTAGCCATCCGACATCTGTTTCTTGACGACTTTCTTTGAGTGATGACGGCTAGATTGGCTTGAGGGTCCCGGGTAGCGAATGCGAAATTGGGAATGGGTGCAAACATGATACCAGAGTGTGCTAAATGCGTTTCGGGCTGACATTCCCCCGAAATTGGAGTTTTGTTTTATCAAACGAAACATGTGATATGGGTACATATATCGGGTAATCTCATTAGGTTCTGTTTGAGATGGCTGGTCTATCTCAAATCCTATACAAATAATTCTGACTCTCATTTGCAAAGTGCGAGACGATGTGTGAATCACTATCCTTCCTGTTGTGCATCCACACCTCAACTGTCGCACGGAGATCGTCCATGCTTCCGCAGGATCTCACACCCCCTTGACTAACGATGACACTGGCCGTATCATGGTCTCGTGGACGCTCAAAGAGGACAATGGCGCCGTGTACAATCGGCTACATCTCTGCCTAACTTGGATCTGGCCGAGACCGTGTACGACGCACAAACTCTGAGTCGCTCAGAAAATGCCAACATGATCCCTCTGAGCCGATGTGCAACCACCCTGATGATGTCTAGCTAGCCGATCAGTCGGTTCATTTCCCAAGATGGGGTTGAATCCCGGTTTGGTTTGACTTCGTCTTGCAAAGGAACATTTGCCATGAAAATTATTGATAATCATGTAATTCATCATGGCGTACGAATTCCTTGTCTATCCGATAGGTAAGCAGGAGGGTCACAAATCCGCATGGACATGAAAAAAAAAAGCCCTGGTTTATTTCGAGTCTAATGCCTGCAATATCTCGATCACACCACGGGCTGAATACTATAGAAAGCCTCCTGTCCAGAATACAAAAAAGAAATGCTCCAGTTATGACCAGTCCCCCAAAAATTAATACAGTAACGCCGGTTTGTGCTACAAACGCCGGGAAAGTATCGCATATTTGCCGCCCGAGTTAGAGGTTCGTAGAGAATATTTCGAGGTGGAATATCGAAAGAAAAAACACGACTAGACGGGAGCACTGTCGCGTGTGATATCAGTCATCTCAGTTCCAGAATCGCTTCCCCGACGGGATGGGATATCATCCTTGTGCCAAGTCGTAAGTCTTTCGAGCGGAGCAGGGTGGCGCTCTAAGGTGAATACGGCGATGACAACCATGACGGCGCAAACTAGCATCATGACTTTGAGTTCTTCCGCAAAAGCACCCGCATACACATGCCTTATCAGGTCTTGAAGATCCAGCGGAAGGTCGAGGCTCGAGAGTGGCGAACGGTGGAGGTCTTGGAGCTGCTCCGGGGTCAAGTGATCTCCTAGATATTGGTTGACGTGGGCATTGAATATGACTGTGCATATCGATAGTCCAATGCAGCCACCTAGTACCCTGGTTTGCGAAACTGCGCCTTGGGCAGAGGCAAGTTCGCTGCGCTCTGCGGCCAGGATGCTCGTCATGATCGTCGCGGCGGAGAAAGAGAGGCCAACACCCAATCCGAAAATAACTTGAAACCCATATTGGGCTTTGACGCTTGCATCAGGGCCTGATAGCATCGACATCAAACCGACTCCAAGGAGCTGCAAACACGATGCCCCGAATAGGGTAATTGAGGTGTTGTTTTTCTTGCTGGATATCGCACCGCCCAAAAATGACCCGATCGCGCAGGCGCCTAGCAAAGGGAGGATATGTAGGCCTGCCATCAAGACGCCTTCTCGATTGACAATCTGGAACCGCTCTGGGATCACAATCGAAAGAGAGATGTAAGGGAATCCGGTGAACATGGTCACACTAAAGTCAAATAAGCAGGAATCGGAGAGGAGCGCGAAGGATGGACTTACAGAAGGCCTGAAGAATAGACTCGACGAAGCATTAGCCGAATTGGAAAGATCGGTTCAATTCGACGATACTCCTTCGTCGCAAGAAGTACCTCCCACCAGACAAACACGACCCAGCTAACTCCGGAGATAGCAAGGGCCGAAATGATTTCTGGGCTTTTCCATTCAAACGTTTGCGATCCTGCTTGTTGAACGGCAAACACGAGGAATCCAGAGCTGGTCAACAGCGTCGCACTGCCGATGAAGTCGATGCTTGTGAATGCCTTCCAAGAAAAAAAGTTGGCAACGTCCTCTTGCGGCCAAAAGTTTGTTATGCACAAGATTGTCACTAACCCAAAGGGAACGCTACACGGATTAGCCACGACCTTCAGATTTAGCCAGACACTTACTTGATGTTGAACAACCATCTCCAGTCCGAGAGCTGGGAAATGGCACCACCGATTATGGGCCCAAGCACGAATGCAACTGCGAGAGTAGCGCCGACCATGGCTCCAATTAGACTGGGCCGGTGTGATGGACCAACCTCGACCAGCCCGATCTGTGTCAGGCTGTAGAGACCGGAAGCTCCCATCCCCTGAAAAGCTCGGCAGACGATTCTAGTCTTTGTCAGTCAGGTTCAACGCGCAGGGGAACACCATACTCACAGTGCTGTCATGCTGGTTGCTGATCCGCACCCTTGTGAAAAGGCCACGAAGAACACCCACGATATCACGAGCATGTTTCGCCGTCCGTAAATGTCGCTGAGCTTTGAAATGCAAACAGCGAACCCTGTGACGCTTGTCAGATACCTCTTCCGTACCACAAGTTGGATTCATACCCATGTATGTCAGAAGATACGCCAGAACGATCCATGGCGCGTTGACAAAGTCGTTCAAGTCTTGTGAGACGGTGACGAGTGACGTTGATACGATCGAGGTATCGAGGCTGGAGAAGAGTAGTCCAGTGAGCAAACTAGATGCTGTTAGTACCAAGCCAGTCACCCTAGGACAATGGGTTCGCACGATAATACGAGCACCACCTGCTGTGGTCCGGTAACAGAATGCTTTTGTATCCCAGAGATGGCTGTCGAGGGTCGGCCTCTCCCGCCTCCCTCCTCTAGGGTCGCCATCTGACCAAGAGAGGGGTTAGGGTAGGGAAGCGACGCCGGATAGTCATTTGCCATGCTTGTTCTTGTGGTGTCGAAAGCGTCTTAGTATTTGGTTGTCGATAGGTGCAGGCTTGAGTAGGAGGAGATCGGTATGGCGTATCAGAACTGAAGCAGAGTGGGTGATGTTGGTGTCTTGTCCGTCCAGGTTGGGAGAGACGTGTTTGGTGCTTTGTTGCTGTGGCGAGGCAAACGGCAGGTGCTGGTCTCCGGGTAGTTCAAACGCTCAACGGCAGGTGCGGGCGGCAGGGAAGCGACGATAAGATGAAACCTCAGCCGTGATTTGAACGAAAAGTCGGCCTGGAATTGATGAGCAAGGTAGAACGGGGTCTGGTCTTTTGATATCAGAGTCGAAGTTTTTGGCGAAGGAGTCGATAGGTACGAAAACCCTCACCTTTCCCACAGACATCGTTTCTTTGAGACAGGCCGCCGTAGAAGGCAGTTTGAGACTGTTTTGTTGGTGCAGGCGACGGATTGAATATGTATTTGAGACATGCCGTCCTCGCGGTTGCACCATGGCGAGCGAACAACCATTCAGATGCATGGACCTCAAACCTCGTCTAGGGAGTTGAGCAGAGATCCCAAAGCAAGATGAGATCTTTTCTGACAGTGGCACGAGCAAAGAGGCGACGACTATGACGGGTGCTGTATAACCCAAGACTTCGCCATTGCGAGAGACACGGTTGTCTAGAATCAAGACGCGTGTAACGTGCATACGGGAGATGTGCGGAGTGAACCAGTGAACTAGTTCACCTATTCCCTGGAATTTGGCATCATGTTTATTTGCCACTCAAGTTTGGCTTGGATTGGTTTGCGAGTACGAGCTAGACCATTGTGCTTGAACAAAGTTGGACAGTCCGTCCGGCTCATGCGTTCCGGTGCAAGCGACCTAGCCTCGGCAAGACTGTAAGAAGCCGCCTGTGCTTTGTAACACATGGCTCAGCTCTGGAGGCCGGTCCGGTTCTGAAAGAAGTTATGCTTGCACGGGCTGTACCGCACTGCCATTCTTGTCGGATATCGGGAACCTTTGCGGGCCGTCTCCGCGTGGAGCATTTCTTTGCCACGGTCGGTAGAGCCTGGTCTACAGGTCACCTAATAATCCTTCGTACTTTGTATTATTCAGAAAGAGCGCCATCGGGCTTTGCTCTAGCAGGGCCGGCTGGCCAAGTGGTGATCTGGTTACAGGCCTCACTGCCGAGGCCACGCTCTTGGCTTTGCGTAGCGAGCGAATGAGTTGCGAAAGAGGTGGATGCCCAGAAAGGAGCAATTCGAACCGCTTGCCTCATCGCAGGGGGCTGTGTGGTAGAGTACGACCAAGATGACACCTTGGCCCTTACAGGTGCGGCCTCGCGTCGCCTCGTGTAACCAGGTTCCGCCACGCTCGCCACATGCGGCATTCTTTGTCAGTCGTGAGGCCAAGGGATTCACAGATACAACGTGCGAAGCTAGTGACCTAACACTGGGTGGCGAGATCGAGGTCTTGATACGAAAGGTGGTGTTCAGGATCCAGAGAGTTGCAGCGTGGAGTCGTGGAGTCGTGGACAATATCGGTCACGTGGGTCCCGACGACCTCACCTCTAGATTCCACGGCCACCTAGACATACCTAGCCATCCACTCAAGGCTTGATTCTGTACACATAGGATCTGCAGATTCTTTGCCGGTGTGTTTCCTGCATTCCACTCGCCAATGGAACTTCATTCGTTCCTTTGCTACTACAATCCCGGCGAGACGCGACTCTTGGGCTTCTGGCGCACAGTCGAAGACTGCTGGTCCGTCAGAGTGAATACCATCGATGCTCGGCAATTCATCCTGCAACGTCTCATCCCGCGTGTGGCGCGTTGAGTAATCGTGCAAACAGCTTCCGGGCCTAAGACCCAACCTAGGTCATCTCCGGAGGAACACTCCAGTCTCATTCAGCCAGAACCCGGAACGACCTGGCAAAGGGTTCGTGGCCCTCGAGCTCTTTCATCGGTACTCCCTATCTCTCACGCTGCGCCCTTTTCTTCTTATTTGTCTGTTGGATCCCGGTACACTTTGAGTTGTTCACATTAGGCTCCGTGCCCGCCACGTTGTCAGCGATGCGGCATGCACCTATCCGTATGACCTACAGGACTGGAAGATTCTACAGGCGGTGTAATTTTTATCATTGCTGACCGCTCATCAACCCTCGCTGCACTGACCGGCACTTTTGATGGCTTGTTTGGTGTTGAGGCAAATTCCATCTTTCAAGCTCGAGTGACAAAGGAATCACATTACACCCCCCCTGAGCGAGTCGCACTCGATTTCAGTTCTAGAATTTCGACAATGTCCTAGTTAGACGTAAATCTCCGCTTACAATCAGGCCTCGACATTGTTGTCTGTGCTTTATGAAGGGACAAAGGCTACTGCAGCAACCCGCTGTCGAGAGGGCGCCAGTGACTCGGTGTGTTTGACGCCGCAAAACACTCAATAATATGAGCTGACTGCAATGACTTGATTTCAATAACGGCAAATCATGTACTTGTGTTGAACTTATTGAAGATCCGAGGGAAATATGTTACCTGTTGTCCGAGGCTCACGCCCTCTGTACTGCTCACATGCCTTTTTCAGTTATTCCGATCAAAAGTCCACAGGCCACAGGGCTCGGACATCGCAGGACGATTCGTATCTCTTTACCCATGTCTTGCATTTGGCGGGTAGCTAATCCTCAATGAGCTCCGGTTTGCGTATCAGACTAGCAAACAACATTGCCGCATTTGTGATCTTAGAAGCCCAAAGCTTCCATTGACAGGATACGCCATTCACCGCTGATCCGTGGCGAAACTTTTCTTGTCTCTCCTTGCAATCTCAAACAAGCTCTTTCTCCAAAACCAGCCTAGAGTACAGGTACGCAATACATATCAAGCATCTCAGCGCTAGACCATGCAGAAAGCACCGCCCTTTGGAAGAATACATCCCATCAAACTCACAGAGATTCGCCTAGGTGGCTTACCTGAGCCCGTCGTTGAATCACGGGTCCTCACTGAAATATCCACGCAGGTTGGAGGAGAGATGCTAAGCCCAGTTGACGCCTGTTGGTGATTTACAGAGCCTCTAGGCAGACAAGGTAACTCAAACACTCGACACATGGGTGTGGGCCCAATTCCAGGCTCGTTGTGCATGGGGAAGCAATGCGCAGTCAAGTACCCAAACCTGCCAGAGGCGCTTCGACGAGGTGCTGGGGAACCGTGATCAATGACACTGCCACACTTCACCCTCTCTCCCGATTTCCCTTACATAAAACCCACTCATCCTTGACAGTTTAGCCAGAGTTCTCAGGGTTCGGCCAGAGCTAATGCGTCTTTGCCAGCTGCCAGTCTCTGTCTTCCGTCCCGCCGGACCGTTGGCCGGGCCAACAAAATATTCACCCTGCGTCGCCAACCAACTCGCTCGTGATTCACTCCATTACGCAATCGCTCTCGCAAATAAAGACACTCGGTCTTTTCTTCTTTTAACCTTCCCAAATTTCCTTCGCCTCACCATTGCTTGCTTTCCTGGTCACAATACAACACCTTCTAGACGCGCCTTGTGGAACCAGCACCATGGATGACATTGCGGTCATCGGCATGGGCCTGCGATTCCCGGGGAATGCTACGTCTCCAGAGGAACTATGGAAAGTTCTTGAGCGTGGGGAATCCCAGTGGTCCGAGTTTCCAAAAGACCGTCTCAACATTGATGGTTATTACCATCCCGGCGGCGAACGACAAGGCAGCGTATGTTGTCAGATTTCCTGTAATGCCCGCATCTTTCTAACCATTCACAGATCTCATTCCGCGGTGGGCACTTCATCAAGGGTGACTTCGCTTCTTTCGACGCTCCGGTATGTCCAAGTGTTCAAGATTCATCTTCTGGCTTTGTTGTCTGACTCTCTCATCCCCCAGTTTTTCTCGGTCGCAGCGGAAGATGCCAAGGCAATCGACCCCCAGCAAAGAATCCTCCTTGAGGTTTCGTACGAAGCTCTCGAAAATGGTAATTGCATCCTACTTTAAACTCACAATTGCCGAGGCTGATGCGAGAACAACAGCCGGAATTCGAAAGGAAGATATTGACGGAAGCGATGCTGCCGTCTACGTCGGGTCCTTTGTCAAAGGTAGAGTCAGTTATTCACCGCATGGAATTCGAAACTGACATGTCTTAGACTATGAACAAGTCTGTCTCCGAGATCCCGACTGGCAACCTCAGTATGCGGCTACTGGAAATGGCACTGCTATCATGTCAAACCGCATTTCCTACTTCTTCAACCTACATGGTCCAAGTATGACCATCGACACTGGGTGCAGTGGCAGCCTAGTTTCCGTCCATCTTGCTGCGCAAAGCCTTCGGTCGGGTGAAGCATCTCTCGTGAGTCACGGTATTCTCTTGCCCAGTCTTCCGATCAATGCTAACAACCCACCAGGCAATCGCAGCCGGTGCGGGGATGATTCTTACACCAAACACGATCATGCCGATGACTGCACTGAACTTTCTTAGTCCAGATGGAAAGTGCTTCACGTTCGATTCTCGTGCCAACGGGTACGGAAGAGGTGAAGGCATCGGTGTTGTCATTCTAAAACGCCTTTCTGATGCAATCCGGGACAACGATACAATCCGAGCCGTCATTAGAGGCTCGAAAGTGAATCAGGATGGCCACACGACTGGTGCGTCGCATTATTCACAACGCTTTTATTTTGCTAATGATTCAAGGCATCACACTTCCAAGCAAGGAAGCTCAAGTCGCAAACATTCGTTCAGTTTACGACTCAGCTGGGCTGGATTTCAACCAAACCGGATATGTTGAGTGTCATGGGACGGGCACTCAGGCTGGAGATTGGCGCGAGCTCAAGGCCATCTCCGAGTCCTTGGGTTCGGAGCGTGCCATTGGTAATCCAATTGTTGTCGGCTCAGTGAAGCCAAACATTGGCCATCTTGAAGGTGCCGCTGGTGTCGCCGGCTTGATCAAGGGTGTTCTCACTTTGGAGCATGGGAAGATCCCACCCAACATCAACTTCGAGAAGGGGAATCCCAATATCGATTTTGAAGGTTGGAGAGTCAGGGTATGGCTGCTAATACATTGTGCACTGTAATGTTAGCTAACATTGCCAGGTTCCTAGGGAAATGCTTGACTGGCCGCTTTCCGGCCTTCGACGCGTTAGTGTCAATTGCTTCGGTTTCGGAGGCACCAATGCACACGTTATTTTGGACGAAGCGCCCCAATACATGTCTGTTCGTGGCCTAAAGGGCAACCACAACTCCTCTGAGAGCAAGACCGCCGACGAGGTTATTCCTCCCAACCACGATCAGCATGTTTCTAATGGAAACTGTGTACCACCTGCTGAGCCTCAGCTCTTCTTCTTCTCATCTCACGAAAAGGCGGGCATCAGAAGGCTCATGGAATCCCATCTTCCATACCTGAACTCGAAACACGAAGACTCGTCAATCTCACCGAGATTCCTTCGAGACTACGCCTATACACTTGGCGCACGTCGATCCAACCTAGAGTGGAAGCATACCATCATCGCCAAGTCTCTTGGGGACCTCCTTTTCCAAATTCGGTGCTCTCCTGATGCTCGCTTGAGTCGAACCTCCAAGGGCAAGAAACCGAGGATTTGTTTCGTCTTTTCCGGCCAAGGCGCCCAGTTTGCACAGATGGGCAAAGACTTATTGTCTTTCCCGGCCTTTCGTGAAAGTTTGAGCTCAGCCTCCAATTACATGAAAGATGTTCTTGGCAGCCCCTTTGATCTCCTGGAAGAGATCTTGAAGGGTCCCTGCGACTCGCAGATTTCCAACCCAGAAATATCTCAACCAGCAACCACCGCGCTACAGGTGGCACTTGTCACACTCTTCGGAACTTTCTCCATCATCCCCAAGTTCGTCATTGGTCATTCCTCTGGTGAGATTGCTGCTGCATTCGCATCCGGTGCCATCTCCAGGGAGACAGCATGGGAGGTCGCTTACTACCGCGGCCTCGCTGCTTCAACCATTCGTCAGAAGGGCGGATGCCAAGGCGCCATGATAGTCGTCGGTCTGTCACTCAACAGCGCTCAAGCTTATATCAAACGGAGTCCCTATCCTCTCGAGGTTGCTTGCATCAATAGCCCTCGCTCGACTACATTTTCTTGCACTGCTGAGGTTGTTGACTCTGTTTTGGCCGACTTGAGTCAAAAAAAGATTTTCCATCGACGTCTCTCAGTTACCACAGCCTACCATTCTTCTCACATGAAGCTGGTTGAAGATGACTACAGGAACGCCATTGCCAACATCACCACCTGCAAGCTTCCTCCGACAGCGACTATGTTCTCTTCCGTCACTGGTGTACCCTTGGAAAAGTCTGATCTGGACAAACACTATTGGGTCAACAATATGGTGTCTCCTGTTCAGTACATGAGCGCGATGAAATCCATGATGAGCCTTCCGGCCGAGGTGCGACCTGACATGATCATTGAACTGAGTCCCAGCGCAGCTCTAAGGTCGCTGACGCTGGACAATCTCTCCGATACTGGGTTGTCTGAATTGCCGACCTACCACTCGATCCTTGAGCGCAATTGCCCTGGGGTTTGGTCCACCTTGGAGGTAGTCAGCGAATTGTGGACTCGGGGGTGTCCTATCGAGATGAAGCATGTGGTGTCACGAGTCTCCGACCACTATCCGCCCCAATGTCTCGCTGATCTTCCACCATATCCCTGGAACCATACGAAGTCGTACTGGCACGAGTCTCACTTAGGTCAAGCGAATCGATTCAGGGAGTTCCCTCGGCAAGATCTAATTGGCGCACCTACTGCCGATGCCATCTCTTTCGAACCCCGATGGCGCGGGTTTTTTCGCATCTCGGAGAATCCATGGCTTCAGGATCATCAAGTTCAGAAGACAATCGTCTACCCTGCCGCAGGAATGGTCACTATGGCCCTCCAGGGAGCTACCCAATTGACCAAGGACAAGAACAACCTGTTGGGATACGAGGTCACTAACATGCGAATTGACAAGGCAATGGTCATTCCCACTACTACCCATGGCCTAGAGATGGCGATGAACTTCAAGCAGGGCTCTCAAGGCGGTCGTTCCTTTGAGTTCACGATCTATTCGAAACAGCTTGAGGGGCCTTGGGAACAGCATGCCACAGGCTCGATACAAGTTCGATACAAGCACCGGGACTTGGTGAGAAGCTTCAGCGAGCACAGTACTCGATTCGAATCACTGAAAGGCAAATGCACCGAATCTATCATCCCCAGGCAGCTGTATGAAGTCCTTGACATTGTCGGCATGAATTATGGCCCCTTGTTCCAGAACATTAGCGAGATCTCCAAGGGAAACAACGCCTGCATCAGTAAGGTTCGGATTCCTGACACCAAGTCCAAGATGCCTGCCAAGTTTGAGTATCCTCATCTGATTCACCCTGCCACACTCGATTCAATGTTTCAGAGTCTGTTTGCGATTGACAACGAACCCATGGTGCCGACATTTATCAGTAGCCTCTTTGTCTCGGCCGATATTTCGACAGACATTAACAGAGAGTTCACTGGCTATGCTACTGCTAGTCGAGCAGGTATTCGCAATGCGACTGCTAACATTGCCATGGCTCAGGGTGACTGGGAGCAACCCTCTGTCATCATTGAGGGACTTCATTTCACAGGCTTGTCTGGCCCATCGCTTGGGCCCAATGGCTTCTTGCCAAATCATCGCAATCTATGTACTGAGGTTATCTGGGCAGAAGACATTGCATTCGCGGATTTCAAAACTCTCGATGAATTGGTGGAGTTACTGGCTCACAGGTATCCGGGCCTGTCCATCCTCCAAGTCGGTGGGAGCTCGTTTGTTGCTAAGAAAATTCTTGAAAAGCTGGCATTCAGGGTGAACCAAACACCCCGTCTCGCAAGGTACACCATTGGAAAGGATGATCGTCGAGCCGCAGCCGAGATCTTATCTCATGTCAAAGGCACAGTCGTGGAGTCTTTCGTCGAGGTGAGGCCAGTGGACGGTTCTGAGCCCTTACCAGACTATCACCTGATCCTCGTCTGCAGAGACGACAACTTGAGTGTTTCCGGCCTGCTCAAGCACCTCAAACCAGACGGTTTTCTTCTTGAACAGTGTGGTGGCTCCATAGGACAGACTATCAAACACTGGAAAGATGGCGAACCGGATTTCTCTGTCCACCGGCAAACTCTCCCCCAAGAGCCCTCACTTATTTTGGACGTCATCATAATGGTGCCCAGTGATCCTCACCCATTGACCAGCACTCTTTCTGCGAATATCACCCACTGCATATATGATTTCGGCTTTCCTTCAGTGACTATGAAAGATGACCAGATCTTGGACAGCCTCGAGGCGATTAAGGGCAAGGTGGTTGTCTCGCTTCTTGACTTCGCCAACACACCTGACCAGCTTCCTTTCGTCTTTGGTTGGACGGAGGCCAAATTTAACGCATTCCATGCCTTGCAAAAATCTGCAAAAGGAATTATTTGGATCACTCACGCTGCTCATATGAAGCCGCTCAACCCAGCGGGTGCTCCAATGGTTGCTTTGGCCAGAACACTCATGTCAGAAGACCCGCTCAAGACAATTGTGACCTTCGATCTAGGAGCTTACACAATCCCAACCAACCCATCCGTTGCGAGCGCCATTTCTCGTGTCATGCTACAGACGTTTACTCCCAATCGAGGCTCTGCCTATCGGGAGTTGGAGTATGCTGAAGAACATGGGAAACTCTTCATTCCACGCCTAGTTCCCATCAACACTCTCAACAGGTTAATTGAAGAAGGGAGCTCTCCAGATACCACAATCCAATCTTTCCACCAAACTGAAAGCTGCATCAAGCTGCAGATTTCTAAACCGGGTCTTTCTGACGACGGTCTTCTGTTTTCTACGGTCCGTGATTCGGCACCCAGCACTGACGAAGTGGAAATCATCTTCGAAAGCGCAACTGTCAACCATGTTGACTTGGAGGTCCTTATGGGACGAACTGTTGATTCTGAGATTGGTCTAGATGTCATTGGCCGCGTTGGTCGAATTGGAGACAGCGTGTCCAGCTTTGTAACAGGTGATTCGGTTGCAGCTGTAGTCTCTGATGGCGCCATCCAGAACAGGAGTAACGTCCACAGCTCGCTAGTTCGAAAGAAGGCATCAAATCTGCCTCTTAGTCAAACCGCCAGCGCCTATCACGCCCTAACCAGAGTTGGGCGACTCGGGTATGGGAGAACCGTTCTTGTCCATGCTGGAGCAAGCTCCCATGGTCTGTCTGCATTGCATGTTGCGTGCCGGCTGGGTGTAGAAGCCTTTGCAACTATCATGGGGCCAAATCTTGCAAAGCAGCGAGCTCTTCTTGAGCGCAATGGCCTCGGGGCCAGTCACATCCTTGAGGCGGACTCGGATAACTTCGCCAGGGCTGTCCAAGACCTGACTGGTGGAAGGGGTGTTGACATGGTCTACAACTCGACTCAACAGCACATCGAGGCCAACTTTTCCTGTGTCCGCAAAAGTGAGTGACATGATCCGCTTCTCTAACACTGTGCTAACTTTGAAAGGTGGGACTATTGTCCAATTCAGAAACAAATCTCCCTGTCCGCCAGCAATTCAGCTGCCTCCGAGCTCAATTTCATTCATCAACTTCGACTTTGCGCAACTCTTGAAAGATGAGCCCGAATACATCGCGGAGTTGCTCGACGAGACTTCACAACTTCTTGAGAAACATGGATGGGAATCCATGACGGATCTCAATCTCAGCACGAACAATCTGCTCTCAATCCAGGAAGCATTCCAGTCCATTCAGAAGAGCCCATATCTCGGAGTTGTTTCCATCGATGGCAACCGTCAGAGCGCGCCTGAGGTAAAAGTTGCTGTCCCAAAACTCCTCCGGCCCCTCTGCGACGCCATTTTTGACGACAGAACGTATCTCCTCGCTGGTGGCTTGGGCGGTCTTGGTCGGAGCATCTGTGAACTCATTGTCAACAATGGTGCTCGTCATGTCGCCTTCCTATCGCGATCTGGTGCTTCCTCCGAAGCATCTAGTCAGTTCATCGCAGACCTCCAGACAATGGGCATCGATGCAAGGTTCTTCCAAGTTGACATTTGCGATGCCAGTGCACTGGAGGAGACTAATGCCATGATCTGTAAAGAGATGCCTCCTGTCGCGGGAGTCTTCCAATGTGCAGCTGTCATCAAGGATGCCGTTTTCGACAACATGAGCTACTCCGACTGGCTCACTGCGACAAAGCCCAAAATCACCGGCTCTACCAACCTCTTGTCAGTCATACCTCGCAAAAACCAGGCCGAACCCTTCTTCATCTTCCTCTCAAGTTCGGCCAGCGTGATTGGTAATCGTGCGCAGGCCAACTATGCCGCTGGGAATTGCTTCGAGGATGCCCTTGCACGGAAAAGTCGCATTCTCAACAAGCACGCAGTCTCCATCAACCTAGGCCCCGTTCTTGGTGCGGGCATGCTCGCAGATGATGAGGAGACCCTTGACAAGCTTCGAGCCAGTGGCTTTTACGGCATTCGCCATCAGGATTTCTTGTCCATGATCAGCCATGCCATCACCATGGAGATTGATCCTCTGATCTCCATGCCTCCACAGGTTATCATGGGTGTCGGTACTGGCGGTCTTATCAAACAGAACAAGCCCGCAGACCCATACTGGTCCCGCACGGCTCTATACAGCTATCTTGATCTTGTTGACATGCCGCCTCCGGACCTTTCCGCCGTCAACGGCTCTGAGAGGGTCGACATGAAGTCCATGCTAGCTTGTTGCACCGATCCAGACTCGGCCGCAGAGATCATCTGTACAAGTCTCTCCCATATGCTAGCCAAGTCCATGAACATGCTGCCCGAAGAGATTGACACAGGGAAACCGCCGAATGTCTATGGTGTCGATTCCCTAGTCGCAGTTGGAGTGCGCAACTGGGTTGTCTCTAATTGTGGCGTGCTGGTCTCGGTTTTCGAGGTATTGAGCGACAAGACAGTTGCTGAGCTCGCGACATTTATTGCCGAGAAGGGGCGCTTTGGTGTTGATCAGGTTTGAGTTTAGTGGATGTGTAATTATGGAATGAGGCTATAGAGCAGTGCAAGAAATACGGTGGTAGAGTTGAAAATTGTGGTCAGATTAGAGAGGCGAAATCATAGATTGATGCTACGCCTTATCCCGCACACAAGCCCATCGGGCTCGTTAATAAAAAACTTCTCCTTGAGACAATGCAAAATTAGTGATGGCCGTCTTTAACAGTTTATTGCCCATGTATAAGGTCGTTAAATCACCTTCCTATGGGAGAAGGCGGATCACATACACCCGAATACGCGTCTCTCAATGAAGCGAGAACTAGACGAGGCCAACCAACAAGGACCCCTTAGCTCTCTTAACAACCACGACCATCAGGCTCCAGTCCTTCTTCACGTTGATTTACAGGACATTCTTTTCTGGAACGATTTGTATGATAGATGAAGGTAGCGAGCCCATCCATAACTTCTCATCCGAATCCCAAGCAATTACTCTCGAATTTAGCAATCAAGAAATATCAATTATAGTAGACATAAGTTCGATTGCTTTCCAGTTTCCAACCAATTTCCTTGTGCCTCTTTCTCTTCGTAAGATGTAGTATCTCGAATGGTCCACAAACCCACACGCTGAAATCGGGTGTCAAGGCCTGGTTTGTTAGAGCGGACAAGAACCAGGCCTGCTACACCTTTAGCAATCTCAAGACACACAACCGATATCTCCTCATTCAGGATGGGGTCTTCTCCTGGCACGTCAGCTAGTACGTTAGCAAATGGCCTGTCCTTGTTATGTTCATCGGCCACCAAGAGTCCCTCCTTGACAATCCACACCGCTTCCCGTGTGCGGCCTTTCACCTCCAAAAAGCTGAGCCATAAGTCATCCCTGTCAAAGGATCAGACAACTCCTCTTCGTACCAAAGGTGTTCATTAACAGAACACTCCAAAACCTCGAGTGTCTCAAATGTCCAGTTGCGAGGTGCTTCCCAGACAATGACAGCGGAGTCAACAGACAGCCATGACCATGAGGGACAACGGCTGTCCAGTCGGCGTGGCTTTCCAGAAGTAGACTCATCCCTCTTCCAGAGCAAGTCCTGTTTGAGGAAATTGAGCCATAGTCCAGCCTTGTATTCTGAGCGCAACATCTTCTTATACTCCATTGCTATCCCATAGATTGCGAGTGGCTTGTCCGACGGATTGTGGAGATGCCTTCGCGTGTAGTTCTTAACTAAAGGCTGCCAGCATCGGTAAAGAATATTTTCCGGCTTCTTCCATAGGTCCGAAATGTCTTTGCCAACCGTCCCCCCGCTGGTTGGTGGCGCAAGCTTCCTCCATTCCTTCAGATCGAAGCTCTGTGGCATCAGTCGACAGGTTCTCCTTAGTTGCTGAGTTCCAAACTCTAAGATACGGCTCGCGTTGACGTGCTCTTGCAGAGTCCAGGCTCGACTCTGGATTGGTTCGTCCGCTGCGTCAATGTCCTGATATAGATTCAGGGCTCCCAACTCTCCGTCCGGGAGAATGTACGGTATTGTAGCAAGCTCGGGATGTCTGGGTGCCAAAAACCCTTGTCGGCAAGATCTAGCACTTGCAGCCGAAATTGTGACGTACGCTGCCTCAAAGATCTCGGACATTCTGGGGATTTCCCTCCTCTGGTCTGCGATATCATCTTGTATGATGCAGACAGCGTCAACCCAAAGGTAGCGCAACTTCAACTTCCTGGTGGCCTCTATGGCGTCCTGTATTGTCAGGGCTAGCTGGTGGGTTGGAATATCCTGAGTCAAAGTCGGTAGGGTCTCGGATGTCAACATGCAGCCTTGGCTGCCTCCCCAGCAGTAACTCAAAGCAGCGTACCTCCCTGCTTGGTCCCCTTGCGTTTGAATCAACTTGACCTTGCTGCCTTTAATTTCGAGCACTCGCGCCGGCATATAAGCCCTGTTTGAGCCTCTACATTCCGCGTGGTTCTTGTGGCATTCGCCGAGCCATTTCCGAGATAACTCAAAATTCTCATCGGATGCGACGTCACTGTTCAGTGGTCTACCACTGATGTAGTCTGCGGCTGGCACATCTTCATCGATTGTTAGCGATGTGGAGCTATAATGTTTTGGGGTTTTCTAACCTCTACTCACGAAAACTCCCAAGGAGCCATGATACTCAGAACCAAGGTTGTCTGGGGTACCAGATTCGAGTATTATCGATGAAATATCTCGACTTTCCGGTTGACGATGAATGAGCGAGAGGGAAAAGTAGCGGCCATCCCCGTTGCTTAATTTAAACATCGGGGTACAATTCTGTAGCCATTTGAAGACTGTACAATGACATTCCGCAGCTTCTTTCACATCTGAAAGAGTAAAGAAGTGGCTCTTGTGTTCAGCTTTTGGCTCCAGCTCCGTTGCATTAATGAGTAAACGTCGACAGTGGGAGCAACTGTGGGCTCCCTCAGGGATCATCGAAGCCCACGTCTTGAAATCGATGTGTGATTCCCGGACGGAGAAGAGAGTCTTCAATCCATTTCCTTGTATTTCATGGTGTTTGACTTCTGGGATCATTTGTTGAATGGGTGTCTGTTTCTCTGGTCTGGGCATTTGCGGTGATGGTAAAATGGGTAATCCGTGTTCACTCTCGTCAATCACTGGTGACGCCTCCTGGAAGCCCAAGTTTACTGTGCTCGTGGATTGGTGCTTCTCTAGTGGCGTAAAATTAGAAGGGGCCGGTGATGTGGGCCAGTCCGGGGTTCTCTTCTGGTCAATACTTTCGGGCAGACTCTGGGCAGGACCAGTCGAAATCTCGTGGCCGTAGGTTAAATAATGTTGATCATCTTCGGAATATTTGAACCAATCTAGGAGAGCCTCTAGGTTATGACGCCAAGGAGATGTTGGTCCATCTCCTTCGAGAGATGGATAATAGTTGCCATAGGCATCACCGTCCAGGTCATCGTCCAAGTCGGCATAATTTAACCCATCGCTTTGTCGCCTCTCGGCTTCTGAGACTTTATCAAATTGGAGATCTGCTGGGTTTGAGTTGAGACCTTTCGAATGGTCCAGCCGATCAAGGAGGGATGAAACGTGAAGGCCCATCGACTAAGTTCAGCAGGAATTGCAATATTAGAGGAAATTCTCACGCAATGAGTCAATGCGGAGGCAAAAAGTCCGAGGTAAAGACTGCAGGGAGAGAGCAGCTCATATCTATGCACTTGTCCCGATTGCACGCTACATAGGCTTACAGGGGTCTAATGTTTCGCCGGAATGTATATTGTTGTGGCTTACTGGAAACCCTCCATTTGAAGCTGAGTCAAGCCAAGCCTGCATATTTTAGACGCTATTGATTATTGCATATGACTGCATGAAAAATCGTAACACCCTGAGCTGCTGGCAAATCAACACATGCGCAACTATGCACTAACATGGGAGGCCACATTAGTTGAACTTTGGCTCCGCGGTGGCGTACGAAGGCTGGCGCAGGAAGTTTGACAACCTCCCAACCAGGCTAGGTACGTATCGGCTGTGAAGTATAGCACAGTGCGTCTGTAGTGTCTTTCAGTGCGTAATGGACCACTTAGACCTTGTTTAGTACCGAGATACTGTACTAAAGGTTGGTTCTTATTCTCCTAAAAGTGAGGTTTTATAACTTATTAATAAAAACGTAAACATTATGCGTTTAATTTGTGTCTCCCTATTATTGATCAAGTAATATATCTGTTGATATGATGCCAGTGTTTCAAATGCTCCTTGAGAAATGCTCCCACTAGCAGCTGCATGTAATAAACACTGAATCGACAATGGCTATTCCTAATATATCCACCGAGTACTTTGCCATCGTCTCTGGCCAAATATATAAAGGATAATGAGAAGCTTGTCAAACACGTTAATTCTTCAGAGGAAGGACTTCGAATGGGGGGGTGGCAAACACATCCCAGTTGTCCGATTTGAGCGGGTTGCCAAATGGCTTCAACGCTGCAAACCGCATGTTGTACTTTCCGGGCGCAATTTGAGTCCCATTCGCCAGCCGACCGAGCCACCAGAGCTCTGTTCCCACAACTCCAACGATGCTTCGGGGCTCGTCCCTCATTGGCAGCGTAATGACATCCTCGGCATCGTCTGTGGTAGCATTGAAGACCGGCTGGCTAGACGCATGGGCCCAGCTTGTCGCAGATCCAACATAGCCCGACTTCCCAACCACCGGGGGATACTTCCACTTACGCTCTGTCCAGCTGCTATCGAAGATGTCCCATCGCAGCTCTCTGGTGCCAAAGTTCAGGCGGGCGTATAGGTTGGGGAAGTCCTGGACGTCTGGGTCAAGATCGAAGGTAAAGTTGCTCTTCTGGCTCATGGGGATATCGTCGCGGGTCGATGTGATTGTCGGAAAGCCAATGGGATATTGGAAGATGTCACCAACATCCTTCTCGAGATCCGCTCCGAGGCCCATGTATGGCACTGCGAGAGACTCGCCGTTGTTTCCCGCAATGATAATTTTTCCGCTGTATAGGGGCAGCTTAGAAGCGTCCAAACCACTGGGAGCATCGAAAGTGAATTTGGCCTTCTTGGTCTCTCCAGGCTGGACAGTGAATTTCCCACCGGGGAATGAGATTTTTGGCTCCATTTTCGCAGGTGTGGCCAAGACCTCTTCGCCCCAAGCAATGCGTGGTGTTCCCCAAGTCTCTGGATCGGTATTCATTGTGTTCATACCGCCATAGGCCTCAGATGAGAAGGTATATGTAATGGGCTTGTTTCCGTTGTTGGTGATATCAATAATATGGCGTTTGTTGAACTTGCGTGTATCGTTCAAGGCAAACTTAGTAAAGGAGAGACTTGTACTATAGTCAAGAACCTTGGAGGCGTTGACGAGTCCAGTGCCGACCTGGGCCACAGATGCCATGAATCCGTAGTCCGGGCTGTCTCCGGTTCCATCACTCCAGGGTATAGCCTTTCCGGAAGAGATGATTTTCATGGCAAGTTCCTTGGCGAAGCCTGGGCCATGAACGGAGCGGCCGCCGTTCTTTCCAATATACAGAGCCGCAATGCCTGCAACATAGGGACAGGCCATAGATGTTCCACTCAGAATTGAATAACCACCACCAAGGTAGCTTGACAAGATTTGACCACCTGGCGCGGCGATATCAGACTTGATATATAGATCATTGGTTGCTCCAATGGTGGTGAAGTAGCTCGGCTCTCCTCCTGTCTCCTCGTTGACCAGTCCAGTGAGCGTGTAAATGGGCCGGGTGGTAAAATCAGCAGTGACGTTTCCACCAGCCTTGATTGTTTTGATGATTTCAGCACCAGCCTCTCGGGTGATCATGGCGATTTGTCCATCCAGGAAATCGGTCGAGGGAATCACAATGGGCATGTCGTTGGTGTAGACGAGGACCTGAAGGCCACCAAACTCAGCCAGGTTTTGCTGCTTCTGTGAGAAGTTGCATCCTCCCCGGCGAATAAGTACCACAGAGTCCGTGAAATTCTGTGTGTTGTTTGGCAACGGGTTGCAAGCCTCGTCTGCAATCGTGGTGTCAAAACCCAGTGGGATGATGGGCCACCCGTCGATTTCAGAAGGATACCAATCCTCGACTGACCGATACGGGATGCTGACCTTCTCGACGTCCTTATCGTCACTAAAGGTCGCGTTGAAGGAGGCCGTAGGGGTAATGTCTGCCTCAACGGAAGCAATGGCAAGGACATGTTCGCCTGAGGAACCGCTGCTGGCGGCGAAAGCACCAGCCTGGCCATCGTTACCAGCTGAAATCGTGACCACGACACCTTCATCAACGAGTCTTGACGCAACTACTGCCCAGGCGTTGTCCGACCACCCGGCAAGACCACCCACGGAGGAGGTGATGACATCGGCCTTCAAACTCTAGTTAGCACTTCTGTTTGGAGGTCATTCCAGGATTTTGAGAACATACTCCATCCTTGTAGGCCATCAAAAAAGCTTCAATGAGGACATCTTCAGTCGTTGCGTCCAATGTCGCAAAAACCTTGTAAACCCGCAGGGTTGCCTCTGGAGCAACTCCAGTGAGTCTTGAAGACGTTAGCTTCATGGGATATAGATCAATAGCCAACGATGGGCCACAATCTCGCCTTGATTACACTTACAGGTTGCTCTCACCAGCAATGATGCCAGAGACGTGAGTACCGTGGCCCAATTGATCCATTGGGTCTAAATCGGGATGCCGTTCCGGGTCGTCGGGCCATGCTAAGGTTCAATATTAGACCCATTTGTTCCTTTGGGCTTTAAATAGGATCTCTCACCTCCATTGCCGACAAGATCGTATCCACCGGCGATCTTGAAGCCGTCACCAATACCTCCGCCGAGCTATTCGATGTCAGCGACGCAGCTCTTTCGGAAGTCATATTAATCACGCACGGCAGAGTGAGTGTAATCAACACCTGTGTCAACGACAGCGACAACAGCGCCCTTTCCCAAGACACCTTTAGCGTGCAGCTTATCAACTCCAGTCATGTGGTGAATGGACAGGTTGACGCCTGCCGCATCCTTACCAAACGACTGGAGTGGGACGATAGGAGCCAAAGTGACTCTCTTCGCCTGCCATGCTTGGATGACCGGTTCCTCAGCTTTGAGCGTGTCCAAGTTGTCCTCCGGTGTCTCTAGAGAGGCACCATGGAAGATATCGCTCTTGAATACTTTGAGCACCTTGACTCCAGGGCGGCTAGCTAACTCATCGGCCGCAGCCTGAGGGTTGGTTCCCTGGTCGCTATTAGCAAGTTTGAAGAACACAATTCAGAATTCAACCAACTTTGTCAAATTCGACAATGAATCGCTTGGGAGTCACATCTGTCTCGTTGACACTGGTTGCTGGCGCAGAGCCATCCTGTCGTCGCATGAGAGGGTCATGGCGAGCGAAGGTGATAGCAACGCTCGACAAGACGAGGAGAGCTCGAGAGATGAGCATATTGAAAGGCAATCGTCAATTACTCCCGATGCAGACGGCTAGATTCTCGAGCAAGTAGGCCGCGGATGCTGAACCAACTTAGGAACCTGACGGACATGATGCAAGACAGCTATATGCCGCCGCTATATATAATATACAGGCCCTGGACACAAATGATCACATTTTACGATGTCAGTCCGCCAGAGTCCCATTATCACACCGGGGATATTGCCCGTTGAGAGGTGCTCCGTTCGCCAAGATAGACTACTCCCTTATCACAGGATACTGCCATAGGAGGGTCGGATCGCGAAGAGCATGTATGGCTTCGGCCGCGCTTTCCGGAATGCACAGAGAAAGGCAATGCGAACCCCTGATAGTGCTTGGCTGATATTATTGTATAATTCGGCATCCTTAACGGACTCAGACTCACCGTTTTGGGTCCAGTCTCCCGATATGACACTACGATAGCAAGTTGGAATGGCCAGGCATCTCGTATTCAACGGTTGTCACCCATCTGCTCATATGCAAACAAGGTTGTTTGATCCTAGTCTGAATGTAACCTTCTATTTTGGCTCTAATTAACCCATGCAGAGGGTGGGATTTCTGTCAGGTACTGATTGATAGGACCCACCTGAGGGGTGGTGATCACTCGTATCCAAGCCATGGTAGCATGAGGGTTGCATCAAGTGCAACCGGAGAGAGCAAGAACGGAAAAAAGCCGGGGAAATGACTCCGAGTTACAATTGCTGAGCAACATACGGAAATGGATGGATGAAGTAGTTGCCAACACGCGTAGGAGTAGGTACGAAGAACGCCTCCAGTACAACCAATCAATCAAATTGTTTATAGTAGCGATGAATGAGTAACTAAACCAATATGGAAAATTGAAGGAAGTTTCAAAAGAACCAAAGAAAAGACTCTTGTGTCATTGGACATGACTGAAAAGAGTTCCTTCCTGCAGTTATCCATCCTAGTGCAGATTTCTCCACCACTACGAATGGTCAGTGGATTGTGGCCTCTCCTTATCTAGCAAGCGGTCGAATGAATCCATGAAAAAGGTCACCTGATGGGCGATCCGTTCTACTAGGGCTTCTTTGGGAAGTTGATAGAATCCAGCGAGTACCTCACGCCATGTCAGTTCGCCAGATATGGAAGCAGCTTTGATTGGGATTCATAACTAAGGGACTGAACTTTATCCTACACTAAATTTAGCTTAGTACAGCTCTAGGCTTAGGTTACTATCTACCACAAGACCTTTTGGCAATGTGCAAGTGTCGTCAAAGGCTTTATCTTTATCTCCATTCGCATCTTTGAGTTCATGCATGCCTGCACCCCAGCACATAAATTAACCTTAACCAATCTTATAATTAAGCGCAAAACAGTTTGGTGGTACATATCTGAGATACCTAAGGGATGGAAAAAAATATTTTTATGGATATCGACTGTAAGGAGATTTTAACTGAACTTCTATTTAATGTGGTAAAAATCACTGCCTATACGGATCATTCTAATTATATTAATAGTGCAATTCCTTCAAGCAGGAAAGGGGTTAAGATTGAGGTTTCGATAGTGGTAAAATTGGTAGGGGTTTGAAGAAGATATTTTGAAGGTTGCATAGTATATTTTTCAAACTAGCTGAGATATCCAATGTAGAGTAAGGTATGTTATCAATACGAGGCTCGTAGTACTCGTCTAGTCGCTCCTTGTAATGAAAGGCCGTGGCATCGTTTCAACATCCAGTTCCCATCCATAAGCTATTACAATTTCCCATAATCTGCCATATCCGTCAAATCCATCTCTTTCGTCTATCTGACACTGACAGCAACCTTCTCAAACCTTCTCACGTCATCAGGCGTGCGGGCGATGCACAGCTCACGACAGAAAAGTCCCCACTCGCCGCTAGTAGACTCGCGAACGGCCTCCGAGAGCCCCTTGCCGTAACGCTCGCGGTAGGCCTGCTTGACAGCGCGCATATGGGGCGGGTCCCAGTGGTATCGGACGAGGCGCGAGATAAGCAGCTCGCGGCGCAGGCCGTCCTTGCGGGAGCCGGTGATGGCGTGGTGGAGGAGGAGGGCGTCACGGACAGGGCGGTTGATAACGCCATTGAGAATGTGCGCGAGGAGTTCGCCCTAGTGGCGGTGTCAGCTTCCGTATGAGCGGGGTGGTTCGGAGGACTTGGAGACTTACAACAAGGTTTCCGCTCTTCTTGAGGGCATCGCGAGCAAAGTTGCTGTGATAGTTAAGCTCATATTCTTGGAGAACGGCGCGCAAGTGCGATTCGCTGCGCTGGACGACAATTCCAATCATAGCCGTCTCGCCGCCCTTATCCGACCTGACAGCACGGCGCAGCTCGCTCACATCATGGCTGATAAGTTGAGAGTCAAGCGGGAGTTGGCGACCATATCCGTCGTACTCATCCATGCGACGCTCTTCCAAAACCATGAGAACAGCCTTTTTAAACTTATCTTCCTTGAGTTCTGTCTTCATGCACTTGGTGAGGCTGTTATCATACTTCTTGTCAGAGAAGGCATCCTTAATAGCGCGGATCTCGTCGTTGGTGCGGCCCATGAGCGACTCAATGAGGAGCTCACGGCGGGTCTTGTCGCCCTGGTACCAGAAGTTGGCCCAGTAAGCCTCGCTCTCCCACATGCCGAGGGCAACAGCGTAGCAAGCCTTCATCAGCAGGGGGTCCTCGTCCTTGAGTCGCGCTCGGATGTGCTTGGCGACGTTGACGCCCTTGCGCTCTGCGCCGGTTTTGACGATTCGCTTATACTCTGCACGTAGCTCCATAACCTGTTCGTGGGTGAGGCTCGGTAGAATATCTATAAGGGGACCCGTGTCGGGACGCCTGCTGCCTCGGAGGGCCTGAGCGAGTTGGCTAGTGATATCCTCAGGGTCGTGGAAGCGGGCGCGCCGGTTGCGCTTCTTGCCATCTCCTTCAAAGTCAGAACTAAGAGGCGATAGAGGCTCCAGACCCCGGGCATCGTCGCCCGGGTTCTGCGTTGCAAGGAGGAGGGGTGATGGCATGGGCGAGCAGTCTTGGTAAGTGCCGTAGTATGATTCAAGCAAAGGCGAGCCAGGTGCCATGGCGAGACTCATGCCTGCCACACGCCCTGTATCAACGCTCAGGGATGAGGAGCCTCGCCCGTCTCTCGATCTGGATCTATCCCGACGCCCAGGCTCAACGGACAGCATATCTGGAGCCGGGGACTTATCCCGGCGATGGTCGCGGGACCGCTCTCGAGACTTGTCTCTCGACTTAGATTTGTCTCGTTTGCGGCCAGAGTCAACAGTGAGCATATCAGAGCTTCCTCTGGTACTGGAAGACTTTTCCTTGCGACGGTCGCGAGACCTCTCTCTGTCGCGACTCCCTGGCTCAACCGTCAAGACATTGGCGCTGGAGCTTTGGGGATCTTTAAGGATGGAGTCCCCCCTTCTGCGAGAGCTACGCCCTTCTGCAGTTGGGCGTCCTTCGTCTGAACTCTCGTACCGGCGGCGGTCATAGTCATCCACAGGGCGACGCCGGTCTGGGCTGTCATGACGATCTGCGTACTTGGAAGCACGTCTTTCGTCTCTTGGGTCGTCCCTCCGGTCATCGTACTTGTCATTGCGCCTGTCCTCATACTCGCCATATCGTCTTTCATCATACGGATCATCATCGAATCTAGCAGTGCGTCTGTCGTCATACTTATCATCGCGATCCTCGTACGTTTCCCTGCGTCTATCCTCGTATGTCTCATTGCGTCTTTCATCGTACCTGCCGTCCCCCCCGCCACGGCGCTCGGCACCGTGCTCGTCGTGAGGTGCATTGCTGCCGTATGGAGTCAAGGCATGGCTGGTGGACGCTGGGGCTCCGGTGGTTTTTCCTGCAGTGGTCTTTCCATAAGCCAAATCGTCGGATCCAGGGGGGGGTCGCTTGGGCACAGGTGGCTTTCCATAGGCCAGGTCGTCGTCGTCGCGGGCCTTCTTGTCCTTGTCATTGTCATGATCGGAGGACTGGCTGCTGCTACCGGTGGAAAGCCAGCGGCTGTATTTTTGCGGGAGGAACTTGAACTTGTTGTCTTCTTCTTCACGACGTGATTCGGGTTTGTCTTCACGACGGCTGTCTGGTTTGTCTTCGCGACGGCTGTCATACTTGTCTTCGCGGCGGGTGTCGTGCTTGTCTTCCCGACGACTGCCATGTTTGTCTTCGTAGCGACCCTCATACTTGTCTTCTTGACGGCTCTCGTACTTTTCGTCTCTGTGACTCGTGTACTTGTCGTCTCGGCGACTTTCGTAGGTGCTGTCGCGGGGTTCTGCGCTGTAGATGCGGGGTTCCTCACCCTTGCCTTTGACGCGGGGCTCGTCGTCTGGGAACGCGCCGGGGAGCAGACCACCCCCTACCTTGTCACGAGAGCTGCGATCCGCGGTGGGTGACGCGGTCTTGTACGTGGGCTGCTGGGAGTCGTAGCTGTAGAGGGCCTGGCCGCCCGGAAGCATGGAGTCCATGCCGCCCTCCTCGGGGTACGGGAGGGCGCCGCTGGCCTTGGCTTCGTTGCGGCCTTTGTAGCGATCATCGAGGTCGTCTTCCGGGTAGATGTAGCTGGGCTCGCGCACGTCGGCGTACGAGGACGGCGGCTCTGCGGCGGGCTCGTCCTTGGAGCGACGGTCACGCGATCGCGACCGGGAGCGGCCCTTTCGGCTGCGATCCTCCGGGTAGAGCGACATGGTGTGGTATGAGGTTTGCCGGGGAGGTAAACAAGCGAAAGACGCTCAGGCCCAGGGTTCTTCAAAGCGCAAGAAACCAAAACAGACGGAGTAGGCGTGGGACACCCTCGTGTGAGGCTGAGAAGGGAGAATGTCTAGCGACAGTCCCAGTCACAGTCGCAGAGGGGAATGTTGGTGCAGGAGGAACAGAGGGGAGAGAAGAAGAGGAAGAGAAGTAGTAGTAGGATCTCCGCTCTCGAGGCAACCTGTCAGCGAGGTCCGACCCATCATGCGCCGAGCGTCAAATGCGACAGCCAGCCGCCTAGGGCTGTCTCCAGGCTCTATCCAAGGCTCCAGATGGGGCTGAAACCTCAATGCAGTTAACTGGCTTATGCGGGCAACTCCGACCAACAGCTCCCCCAGCTCCTCGAGAAGTCGCCCCAAACCCAGCCAGTTCCAGAGCGCGTCCCATGCATCCAGGTCGTCATAGGGCGGCCTGAGTCGGCGCTAAGATGTCGAGGAGCAGGCCGTTGAAGCCCTTGGAGCCCTTTTTGGAGTCGATGGCGCAGCGCATACCGTCCAGAGCGGGGAGCTCTCCCCTGTAGCAAACCTGGAATCCACTGCGGGCATCCACTGAGAGCACCCGCCGTGAGCGCCCACAGGGCAGACCAATGGCACCTGCAGCGCTCTCTCCGAACGTCTCCAGACAGGCCCCAGTAGTCGCTGCTCCAGCGTCAAGGGTTCGCCTGTTCTGTGGCTGGGTATTTCGCACTACAGATGCTGAGCCCACTCAGCGCCTGCAAAGAGGCTCACGGCCAGGGCAGGACAGGATGAGATAGAACGAGACAGGACAACACAGGACAGGGGATTTTAAACCCGGGTGGCATGACGGCGTAAGCGTCAGAAAGAGAATGGCCGCTGATTGAAAGCACGAGGTGCATGCGCGACGCAATGACAGCTTGGGTGGGGGCCAAAAAAATGGCAAGGTCATTGTGAGTCAACCTGCAATATGTCCATTTCAGGAGTCAAATCCATCGCAGATCAATTGGAGGAGGGGGAGTCAACAGTATTGGCTGCCTTCGTTTGGATGCCTTGGAGGGAACCCAGCAGCCGAGCCGATGTGTATTTGAGTAGAGAAGGATTCGCAGCCGCCCAGCAAGGCGAGAGTACGATGGAAATGGTAAAGCATGAGCACGAGCCACAATGATCTTCACAATACCCGGTCAAAAAATCAGACAACTCTCGGCGCCCAATCTGGAGACTAAGTATGTCTCAACAAGAAAAACAATGTTAGCTTTGTGACATCATGGTGTCTATCATATCCACATCTCACTTTTCTTTTCCCGGAGAATACGATGTCGTATGTCGTGGATACGAGCTACCCAACACGTCCGTACTTTATTGGCCTTGTTGGTCTGGCGGATGCCCGACGACCATAATTACACGGCATATTGCAGAATTCCACCAAGGCTTCCACCAAAACCTTTATGGAAATTAACGCCGTGCGTTGGCAAATTCATGGACGTAGTTAAAGATGCAATAATTAGTAGAGTGCTGCCCAAGAGGACTGGGGCTTGAGACGTTTCAAGTTGGGTGTACTTTCAATATCTACTCACGAGGCACCCTTTCTCCTCTCTGAAAGACGTACAGCGCCTCATCCTTGCCAGCAAAACTGGGCAAGGCAATCTGCACCACCTTGGTCCACTCTTTGTGCTCTCTCTCCATAAACTGGTCCATCGTCATACCCTTGAATCCCGTGTAGCTGTTGCCATTCTGCGTGCCGACGACCGCAATCGTGTCACCTTCAAAGGCATCAACCAGATTACGTGTAAAGCCACCTTCGGTGCCACCTCCGACTCCGCCGCCCACGACAGGGTACACCAGCAGGAGGACCATGTCTTTGCCTCCCGCGTTTTTGCTCAACCACTTGACACCATCGGAGATGGTTGTGTCGCTGACCCAGTTCACCCGCCATTCGCTCTGCATGTTGTCTACTGGGTGGGTCTGGAGGCCGTACTGCCGAAGCATAAACGACCAGTAGCCATTTCCGGAACCCATGTCTGCCACTGGCCGTCCATCAGCTAGAATTTTGAGTATCTCTAGGCTCTCGTGAGACGGTGTGGCGCAACCAAAATGATGCATGAAAATCGGGAGGATGTGGTGGCTGGTGGCTACCCGCTCTGCGGAGAGGCAAGGGCCACACCACTCCAGTGTGCGACAGGACCATGCCCAGAAGTCGTAGTACGGGTTGGGGCTGGGTGGCTTCTTTGACTTGGGAATGGTCAGTTTCGCCGTCAAGGCGGGGTGCAGATATCGTTTGTCCGCGAGGTTGGCCGCAGTCTCGCTTCGAATAGAACCCTTCTTGGCGTTGGTGCCCAAGTTCTTGAGTGCCGATGCCGTTGCCGTCGCCGGGTTAAAGACGGAGATGTAGGCATCTGCGTCCATCTGCGGAGGCGGATCTCTCTGTAGCGAGTTTCAGCCTGTGCCCTAGTAAAAGGTCGATGAATGGGGGCTTACAGGCGAGCGATCCTCGTTACGGTACCAGGCGTGGAGGCCGTTTGCATCACCGAGGTTGACGACGGCCTGGACCTCGGCCAGCTTAACACTTGTTATGGCATGGTAGGTATACAAGTCCCGCTCGGGCAGTTGTAGCAGGACCCGACTGGCATTGTACAGGTCGTTTTGGATCAGGAGATCTAGGGCTTGCTTTTGTCGCTCGACATCCTGGATGAGGTCATCCGGTTGAAAGTAGGGACTGCCAACACAATAGGTAAACTTTGCGTGCCGAGACATCGGAGGATAGGACGAGAGGGGGTCGGAGTTGCATAAAAATTAACCAGCCAGACAATGAGCAATTAACTGAGTGGATGGTGACGTCGAATTGTCTCTGCCAAAAAGTGGATACTGGAGGTGCTTTTGGTTGAAGTTGTGGATGTGGAGAGCGTGGAGGGGTGACGCAAACTACCCTAGAGATGTAAGTAAATCGGGCACTTGCGGGAAGACAGCCGGACTGAGAGCAGCGTCGACCACGTCCAACGCCGTGCATCACATTGCGAAGGTCATATCTCAGATTCAACAGACCGTTCGAGTGTGAGAGGAAACAAGGACCCGGGGTACTGGCCGGTGGGTAAAGAGGAGACTCACAAGCGCCAAGGGAACTAGCCACATCGCGATGCTAATAATTAATGCCTCGAAACTTTACCCTCTCCGCCCCCATGCCGCATCTGTCCCAGAGGAGGTATGCAGGATACGTAAGTTGATACCAATGTGACATCGAAATGGGTAAGAGGGGAAGAGGAAAAAGAAATATACTGAGAGGGCTAAGCTGAAGCTGCATGCTCGGCGTCACAGTCACAGCGAGCAGCAGCCCAAAGGGAAGCGAAGCAACACGTCAAATCCTAAGATTCGACTCGTCACCGAGGCATCAAAAGCGGCAGCAAAAAGCAACGAGCGCGCATCGGAAGCAACCTCCTCGAGCACTGCGCCGCCCGCCAGTGCGCTCCTTGTATACGGGGCTGCGTCTCGTCTGCGTGACCGTATGGTGCAAAGGCAATAGATCTGGGCGGCCTGGACCAACAAGCGCTGATTTGCATTAGTTCACGAGGGGTCTTGGTGGCCCTGGGCTTCTGGCTAGAATCGTGGATCCGGGGAGCTGATGAGGACCCGCAGTGTGTTCGGGTTAAAAAAAAAAGTCTGGATCATGAAGGCGCGACTGGTGGCTGACATGGACCTTCCGACCGGGACCGACCTGGGCCTGGGCTGGGGCGGGCGGGCGCTGCCCCACCTGTTTCCTCCCTCATACAGAAGCCTCCTCCCCTGGCCCTTGGCCCCATCCCCTCCCAATGGCCCGTCACCATCCCATCAAATCCCCGACGCTTCTCATCCGCCGAATAAAGACTTCCCTTCTGCATGTTGCTCAACGCCTGACGCTCGACTCTCTAGCCCTCTCTTCTGCTTATCTGCTCTATATCGTTTCTCGCGCCGCCGCTGCAACCGACGACTTCCAGGTCCCGGCTCCTCTCCATCGTACTCGAATCCCTGACGCGGATCCTGCTTTTGAAGGACGCCAAGTTCTATTGCACCATCATCGCCAGCCCTGCACTGCCCATCAGCTCCCAACGCTGGTGTAAGGCCGTGCACCAAATCGATCACCAGTTGCCCGCCGGGTGCTTTCAGGTCCCCTCGCGTTCCGGACACTCGGTACCATCGTCACCATCGCCGGATCAATCTTGCCGCCGTCTCTGAGAGCTGGGATTCGCGTCCCTGCTATTGCATCGCAAGCGCTCAGACGTGGTGGCTGCTAGGTACCCCTTGCGCCGCCTATTCAGCCGCCAGTGCCGAGTACCGGCCATAACCCCCGTCCAACACTACGGTACCTCCAGCGATCATCACCATGGACACCACCAATCCCCCCAAACGAGACATTGCAAGCACTATGACCATTGAAGCTGTCCTGCTCCCTGCTAGCGGCAAATCTATGGAAGATCAGGTCCACCCAGTTGCTCCCCCAAGTGCTGGAGAGCATGAAGACCAGATGCCCGCTGAAGTGCTACCCTCCCAAAATACTGACGAGGGTCATGTTGTACAAATTCCAGGACCCGACGACGTGAAAAGTACAGCAGCGTCCACCCCAGATCTACCGCAGGAGGCGACCACGACACACTCCCTGCCAGAGAGCTCACAGTCCCGAGGACATGATGCACACAACAAGACTGAAGCCTGGATACAGACACAACAACACGATGCATTGTCAGAGGCGGGTCTGAAGACACCAGGCCAAGAAACACCAGGCCAAGAAACACCAGGCCAAGAAACGCCACGCCAAGAAACACCACGGCTCATCCACCCCGAGACTGGACATGTTATCCCCCCTCTGGACTTGACCAAAGATGCGGTCGACGTACCCGAATTGTCGCCTTCCGGCACTGACCCGGCATCCAAACCAGAACACAAACGACCAGACTCAATGGTCATGTCCCCACTGACCCATCCCAACGGCGTCTCTATTTTTCCCGAGCTTTCAACATTCGAGCAAGATGTGCTCTCCAGAGCTGCATTGTTCGAAGCCGAGGATACTATTGTTGCCGATAGCGAGGAAGCCAGCACTGTCGGAGACGCCAGATCGGATGCCGGTTACGAAAGTGATAGTATCACATCTGGTAGCACATCCATGGAGTCGTCCATCCGAGATTACATGTATGAGAACGGCCGTCGCTATCACCGATTCCGAGAGGGTAGCTACAACTTCCCCAACGATGATGTCGAACAGGAGAGAGAGGACATGAAACATGCCATGATCAAACTCCTCGGCAACCAAAAGCTCAATTTTGCACCTATAGGGGAACATCCCCAAGAGATCCTTGATATCGGGACTGGTACTGGTATCTGGGCCATCGAGAGTGAGTATCTGTGGAGAGGCGTTTGTCATTGGACAAGAAGCTGACATGTGGCAGTGGGTGATCAGTACTCGAGCGCCAACATCCTTGGCGTTGACCTATCCCCAATCCAACCTGACTGGCTGCCACCCAACGTCCGGTTCATGGTGGACGACGTCGAATCGCCATGGCTCCACCCCCGAAACCACTTTGACTACATTCACTCTCGGCACACTGTGATGGCCATCAAGGACTGGCCACGACTATTGCGTCGGGGCCTGGAGTAAGTCGGCCTGCCGTCCTGTTGACATGGATTTTGCTTATAGAATTAGACATATCAAGCCAGGGGGCTGGTTCGAGCTCCAGGAGATTCACCACAAGCCACATAGCGCAACCCGCAACGGTGTGGTGCCCCCTGAGCACCCCGTTGCAAAGTATTGGTCACTTGTGAATGACGGTCTCGGCGCACTAGGTGTGAATTTCCACGCCGCAGCAGGTGGTCACCTGGCGAGCATGATGCGAGAAGCAGGTTTCGTCAATGTCACAGAGCGAGTGTTCCACGTACCTCTAGGAACGTGGCCCAAGAACAAGGTTCTGAAGACGGTGGGTCTCTACTGGCGGACGATCCTGATGGACGGGATGCAAGCTATTGCCCTAGGGCCCCTGACCCGGGGACTGGGGTGGAATCGGGAACAGGTGGAAATGCTCCTGATTGACGTGCGGAGGGCTTACAGCAGCAACACGATGCTGATGTACATGCCATGCCATATTGTCTACGGCCAGAAGCCGGCATATGTATGAATGGAGAATAAATGGAGGAGGGTTTTTCTTCCTCTTGGAAAAGGAGACGCGTGCATACACGCACCTACACACTGCGGTGCATCCACGGAAGACCCACACGGATTGATGACGGGAATACAGGAATGGTTCCTTTCCGGTGAGAAACTCTACGGTTTCCTGGGTGGTGAGGGGTGTGACCCACTAGTTCGTGAGGCGCAACGTGAGGCGCAACGTGCCGGACCGCTGGAACGTGGGGCCATGGTGTGGAAATTAGTCGACTCCATCGCGCTGAGACTTGCGGATGTTGGTGGGCTGGTGTTGCGACGGGTGCTAGGACTATCCTGGGACTATTCTGGGTCGGGCATTGACCTATTGTCGAGACGAGGAGGCATGACGGATCATGCGATGGAGAAGAATGGCGAGCTTCGCGGACACATGTTTAACTTTCAACTACGGATGCGGCCAAGTGCGGAACTACAGGCCTCTCTACTGGCGTTCCCCTGGCTGGATCATGGATGTACGGATAGCGCACTAAGAGACGGACACTGGAGCGGACACTGGTACGGCCCTTAGATCCCGGGGTTCTTGGCGTGAACCCAATTTAACTGATCTTCCTGATTCCTGTTCCCCCTTGGGCGGTTTTCCGGCTTTGCTACTCTGCGACGGCACCATCGGAGATTTCCATCATCAATTGCTTACTTTTGTTTTGGTAGGCTGTCTTGTGCTGATCAATCCTGACTTTGGCGGCAATAGTCTCCGTGCAATAGCTGACTGCCGCCGCTACAGTGCGCAACACAGCGCCGGTTTTGTTCTTACGTACGTGCAAAGTCTTTCATTGCAGTCATCCCACCCGTTCCCAACGTACCATCCCCATCTAGCATTCACCATTCACCATTCACCATGACCATGACACTCATCATCACTGCTTTCTCTACCCAATCGGGGATATGATTTTTCTGGACGGGTTCACAATGGCGTCCTCCCGTCGTGCGACGCCCAAGACAAGGCCGAGGAGAGGAAACTCGTTGCACCTGTACCCAGCCAGCCAGTGACCGGGAGCCCGAAACTAGCAGCGCTCAAGTCGAGAGGAGCTGTCCCTCAAAGACGGCCCTTTCCTACTCGTGTGGACCTGGTTTCACCGTCTCCCTTTTCTCGATCCTCCGAGCACATCCCCGTGCTGGGTGGCTGACTAGAGAGAGACCTTTTGTGAAGGCCGTTCCCGTGGCGGCACCCAAGGCAAACGCCACGGCGAGCAGAGGGTCGTGGTTGAGATGCCCTCTGTCTGAGACACATCGGGCCTGTCTCTCGCCCGACGGTAACGAATGGGCGTCCAGCGTGCACACCAGCATGTACACCAGCGTGTACATGATGTGATGCCACATGGTCTCCTCGTGTCGGCATGGATTACAATGTAACATGTTTCCCTCAACACGTCTGAGCACGCAAATCCTCCCCGCCGTGGGATTCACCCGAACCCCCATGGGCCGCTCATCTCATAGGCCGCCCTGGCGACGCCCAGTCTTCTCCCATCTGCGATGCGCTGCATGCGTTGTGTCTATCGACTTTTAGTACGACGCTTAGTGGCTTCTGCTACCTTTCAGCTTTGCTTTTTTGGCGTCCAACAGCTCGGCCGGACCTCCTGTCCCGCGCGAGCCCGGCGCAGCGCGCATGCATGCCATCCGGGCTTGATCCAACAGCGGGGGCTAACTTCATTCACTTGAGCAGATTAAAGCAAACCAGAAAGCCAACCAAAAGCAAATCCTTGGTTTCCTGGAATCTGCACACTCGCCGTCGCCCTTGGATCCCTCTACAACCATGGCCAAGCTCAGAGTCCCGTCGTGGCTTCACAGCTCAAACGGAGCTGCTACGAATGGCAACGCCGACGAGGCCGATCGCAAGAAGCAGAACCGCATGTCCTTGAGCGGCTTGGCCCAGTTCATGTCCAAGAGCGACCAGCCGACGCCCCAGTCGTCGTCGGCGACTGAGACAGAGCCCGAAGCAACTCCTCCATCCGAGGCGGCCGCTGCGTCGTCCACTTCGCACATGATTGAGCTCGCCAAGAAGATCACCCGGGAGACGGAGAAGCTCGACAAGTACATGAGGGACAACAACCTCCCCAATGCCGGCTTCGACGTCAACGATGCGGGAGACTTCCCCCCGCTGCCCGCCGATATACAGAACAGCCGCCAGGAGATTGTATATGCTACCAGGGAGCTCGGCGCTATAGTTCGCGGTCCCAGAGAGCATGTTCGATGGGGTGTCTGGAGTGTAAGTCTAACCCGGGTATATGACGGGCGAGGGCTGACCAGTTGCGCAGTTCCTCGATACTCTGAGTCTCCAACTCCTCAACAGCCACGGAATTGGTATGTGAATTTGGGTCCCCTTAGCTTTTCATCGCTCATCCTGTCCTAGCCAAGCTCGTCCCTATCGATGCGCCCATTCCGCTTGCCGAGCTCCAAACCAAGACTACGCTGGATCCCATCAACCTCGCTCGTGCTCTCCGCCATGCCATGACCAACTACATCTTCCAAGAGCCCTCGCCCGGCCTCATCGCCCACACCGCCGCCTCCCGCATGCTCGCCGAGGACGGCCCTCTGCAGGCCTGGGTGGGCTTCAACTCCGAGGACATCTTCCCGGCTGCCGCCCACTCGCTCCAGTCTCTGCGGACCTATCCCGAGGGCACCGAGCTGACACGTACCGGCTTCAACTTTGCCTTCAACACGGTCAACCAGGAGCCCATGTTCGTCACCTTTGGCAAGGATCCCGCGCGCGCCAAGCGCATGGGCGGCGCCATGGCCAGCTTGACTGGTGGCGAGGGATACGAGGTGAGCCACTTTGTCGACAACTACGATCTGTCCGACGTGGATGCCAAGGAGGGCACCTTTGTCGATGTCGGCGGAAGCCACGGATTCGTGTGTGTCGACTTGGGCAATAAGTGGAAGAAGACCAAGTTTGTCGTGCAAGATTTGCAAAAGACGGTCGATAGCGCACCCAAGCCAATTTCCCCCGACGAAGACGTGTCCAAGCGCATCACGCTACAGGCTCACGACTTCTTTACTGAGCAACCCGTCCATGGTGCTGATGGTATGTTCGACTGTTACCTTGACATATTGCGGATACTGACCTTGGCTCTCCAGTCTACTTCTTCCGCTGGATCATGCACAACTACTCGACTCCTTACGCCATCAAGATCATCAAGAGCCTCGTCCCGGCGCTCAAGCCCGGTGCCCGCGTCGTCATCAACGACCACTGCCTGCGCGACGTCGGAGCCGAGAACCCCTGGGACGAGAAGATCATGCGCAGCATGGACATGGTGATGCTGGCGGTGCTGAACGCCCAAGAGCGAACCGAGACCGAGTTCCGGGAGCTCTTCAAGGCCGTCGACGAGCGGTTCGTCTTCAAGGTGCGTACTCTCATCTCATTTTGCCCCTATCCGGTAGTACGGCATACTAACGTGGCGACTAGGGCGTTTCGAGGAGCCCAGGATGCAGGATGAGCGTTGTTGAGGCCGTTTGGATGCCCGAGAGCGTCGAGAAGACCGAGGCTGAGGAGGTGGTGGAGACGAAGGAGGAGCAGAAGGTTGAGATTCCCGCCGAGGAGATCAAGGCGGCGTGAGATGAGAGCTTTGAGATGAGTCCTTGACCATGACCCGGCTAAAATCCATTAGCTCTGAATGATGGTGATGATGCCTTTAATCTAAGTATAATACACTTCTAACCTACTATAAATATTATTATTTTAGCAATAAGTCTCGCAGTCTCTTTATTAAATTTATCACTGTTTTCAAAACCTTGAGACCTTGGGGGTACTTGCAGCACATGGGGGTAGCGTCTCGTATATAGGATATAGGAAATAGATGTTGTGAACGATACTAGTCTTTCATTTCAAGGAGTACTTCGAGGAGTGCCACAATCCCCGATAGGTAGCTCTTATATATGATTGCCTAGCAAGTCCGATCATATCTACTATTGGATTATGACCTCTTCGATCCTTTTCCGCCTCTTCCCCCTTTGCCCTGGCCCTTCTTGCCACTACCACCACCGCCACCTCCGCCGCCGCCACCTCCACCAGACGTGCCACCGGACATCATGACTCTTACTTTGCCTACTGGCACGCAATTGTAAGTCTCTTCGGGCTTGAGCGCCTTGAGGAGCTCGACCTCGCGGGGCCACATGCGCTCCGAGTCGCGGGCCGTCTCGTCGACAACGCCCTTCTTGGCGGTGGCGGCCTTCCAGCGCTCGAGGATCTCCTTGACCGCCTTGCCCTTCTTGGTGGCGCCGGGCTGTAGCTTAGCCTTGTATTTGAAACGGCCCAGAGCGTTCCATGGGGCGCACACGGGGATGATTTCAAGGATCTCGTCGCCGGGTAGCGGCGTTCCAACGAGGGCGTCGAGGGCCGTCATCTGGTCCGCCTCCTCGGCGTCAAGCACTTCGAGGCCCTCGTCCATCATGACGCGCCGGATCTCCTCATGCTCGGCCGTCTCCTTTTGCTGACGCTGATGCTGGGCCCGACGGCGCTCCTTGGCGGCCGCGAGTTCAGCCTCTCGGTCGAGCTTGGCCTTGGCTTCGGCTTCGGCCTTCTCGCGACCAGCTGCTGCGCCAATCAGGGCTTCCGCGGCGGCGCGGTCGTCGTCATCTTGGTTCCTATACTTGGCGGCAATCTTCTTCGCCTTGCCGCGTTGGCCACGTTTGGCAGCAGCCTTCTTCACAGGAGTTGGGGTGCCAGTTCCCGAGGCTTGAGCTGACGACTTGCTCGGTGCTTCGGATGCTTCGGCAACAGATTCGGCGGGTTCGTGGCTCTCGCTTTCTTCCTCATCAGACTGTTCATCCTCCTCCTGCGCAGGCGTTTCCTCGGAGGCGGGCTTTTCGTCAACATTCAGTTCCGAGATGCCTTCTTCGGCTTCTTGAACATCCTCATCGCGGTCTCCGCGACCGAAAGCCTGAAGCGGGTTGTCTCGGGGCTTTTCATCTCGTTGCTGCTCATTGTCGGACTCATCTTCGGAGGCCTCATCATGTTCTGATACGTTTGGTTGCTCTGTCTCAGCCGATTGGTGCTCATCCAAGTCTTTGGATGTCGTCGGTCGTGCCGCTTCGTTACCAGCAGTAAAGTCACCGTCGTATAGTCGGTGCTTCACATGCCTGGCCATGCTCTCTTCGCTGACTTTGAACATGACGCCTAGTCCAAGCAAAAGCTGGGCGGGCGGGAGGAAATTCTTCTTGTCTCTCACCATGAAGCTTCCTGTCGGGAGGAACTCTCCGGTAGGGGCTGATTTCGAAACCTGGTCCGCGTTGACCCACCAAGCCGACATGCCAGCCTTTGAGTCCCAGGCATCTGAGGAGCATACAGCAAGGGAGCCTGCTTGAGATAAGGTTGCCGGTGGGATTGGTGCATCTGGCGTCTTGGGGTTGTTCTTGATGATGATGCTTGATGCGCCATGCAGATCAGCGTGACAGTAGACGTCGCCCTTGCGCAGATACCTCTTGTAGATGATCTCGTTCTGTTGGGCATCTTTGCCTCCGATGACCAAGTACCCATCTGAGGAGATGAACCAGATGAACTTTTCAAACCACAACTGCTTGCGGATTGGCTGAAGTAGGGCCTTTTCTTGCTTGAGTCCCTTCTTGAGATCATGGTTAATCTTTTGCTCAGTGCTCCTCAATGCTTTCGCCACTTGTTGTTGAGTTTTCTCTTGCTTGTCGACAGCTGTCTTTCGTTGATCGTAGTACTCTCTGGCATTGCTCCATGGAGTGAGAGTGAGGTTGATCTCCACTGCTAATTCCTTGCCAGACAACTTTCCTTTCGCAGCCGTCGATTCGTCGCCGCTGTCCGATGCGCTATCATCGGTTTCGTAGGGATCGTCTTCCTCTTCCTCCACAACTTCTTCCTCGGCAAGCTCCAACGTAACAAGGTTTTCAGACAGGTTGAGAGGCAGCTTGATGATGTCGGCAACGGGATTGTTCCGCTTCTTTTCGCGTTCAACCAACTTTCCGATGTCTACCCAATCCATACCCTGGCCGAGCAGTCCATTGACCGCATCCATCGCCTCTTGGACACGCTCGACGTTGGCCTCGATGGCAGCGGCTTTGCGGAAGTTCAGCGTCTGCGCCTCCTGCAGTCCCTCGATCCGCTTGGACTGCTCCTGTTTTGCCGCATCTAGTTTTCTCCTTGCTGCTACTTCCCGTTCAGTCAGTCTAGCCTCGAGCTTTTGACCTTCTATTGAAGAAAAGAATTCGTCAACTGTCTCATTGTAGCTTTTGAATTCCAGAACTTCAAATGCTGGGTCCTTTTCCAGCTTATGGGGGATGAACGGGTGGAAGTCCTCGTAAAGGAGACCTTCTCGTTTGTTCTGTGAGTCGCCCTCCTCGGTGCTTTCTGGTTTGGGAGCTTGGCGCTTCGCAAAGATATAGCCGGGACAGGTAGCCGAACTGGTGATGTTCTCAACTGTTTTACGAGCTTCGGAGAGTGACTTGACGAGTTCGTCTAGCAAGGTCTCACTAGCCAAAACTTCTTCGGGTTTCGTAGTGGTATCAAATTGGTTCTTCTGCAAAGCGTGATCCACGAGGATTGGTGGCAGCTCCGTGATGGAAACAGCCAAAGCCTTTCTCAAATCACCACCAGGTTTCCCCTTGATCTTTTTTGAAGAAGCCGCAGCCACGGCAGCTTTGGCTACGGCAGCTTTCAAAGCATCATGTACCCTCTCCTTAGTCAAGGGTGGGATTCCCGCAAAGTTCTGCCGATTCACTAGCGAATATTCAAGACCGACTCGTTGCGGCTCTTGGCCCTCTCCTTCCGAGACAGTTCTGGCAAGCGTGAGGATCTTAAGGTCGGCATCGGTAAGGATGATGTTGCCGCTCTGGATAGATATGACTTAACAGACAACTCGAAATGACCAGCGGGACCAGGGGCACATACAGCGAAGAACTCCAGAAACAGTCGGTATTGCCCATCGCTAAACTGAAACTCGAGGACTCGGTCGGTTCCAACTTGGGTTACTGCCGTCAACCGCCGGGTCTTGAGGAACTTTCGAAGCCGAGCGACAAATGCGGAGGGGGCCGCAGCTGTTGTTCGAGCAAACTCGGTCAAGTGGCAGCGAAAGCCGGTATCAATGACGAGTTGCTTCTTGTTATCGGGCTTCGAGAACTTGAGGAGAAGGATCTTGGAGGAGAGGTCGTAGACGTTGGATAGTCGCAGAGTCACCAGATGCTCTTGGAGCTCATGGGCGATGACCTGCGGGGTATGAGTCAGCAACTGGCGAGCCACAGTAAGAGCTCGGCTCGTCCCACCTTGACGTCCAGGGACGAGAAACGTTGCTTCATTTTGGATTGCGCTTCCTAAGACTAGCCAGCTTAATCCAGACGTTCCGTGCCGAAGGGCTGAAATTCACAGTCTGGCAGAGGCGAGTCAACGTGGGGCAATCAGCCGTCATCGCGGGGCACGATTCCATCGCGATGTGACATCACGTCACGTGGCCACCAAGTAACTGTGTGGATATTGTACAAGAAGACCACGCCGGCCAAATCTGACTTCAAACGGCAATCGCCATCATAGTTTTACATTGTATATGAATCGAATTCAATTTCAGATCAATTGACCTGGGGAACAGCCATGGGCAGGAAATCTCGAGCTCCCGCCATTCTCTGGGACGCACTGCTCTTGGCTGTGTTCTTAGCCTGGGCACAACTACCGAAGCGGTGTTTATCCGGAGTGATCTGACGCCACGAAATGCGGTGCGGAAGTTTGATCAAGCAGAAGCACCGCCAGCTGCAGATGTCACGGCAGCATCAGCTTGCAGCTGGGAGGGAGCCACAACATGCAAGAGATTGGATTAGGTGATGCTTTTCCTTGAGGAATGCGAAGCTGTGCTGTTTCATCATCTCCTGTCATCTCATGTCATTTTTGAAGAATTGAGCGGGCGCTCTGACAATCCTGGAACAGCAACCTAGGCGTCTGGGGATTTGCTGCCCCAGGTTTGTCTCGGACGCCGGCTTTGGCGCCCCCCGTGTCTATGTTTACTTCAGATGGCGTGGGCCGCGTGCCGCGGGACATCAGATGCTGCCGGGCGACCGAGGTTCTTCTCCAAGTCACATTGCAATCACAATTGCCATCCGAGAATAGTAACAAACGAGCAGCTCGCCGAATTTGACAGACGCGTCGTCAACACTCATCCACACGCGGCCAGGCCGGCCGTGTACGAGACGCGACCAGTCGAACTAGCAAAAGGAAGCTTGTGATCGCCAAAGCCTAGCACGCCCTGGTCCCTTCCAGGCGCTCTGGAGGCCGTCCCTGACCCCACACCACCCGGAATTGTGTCAGCGGGCGGCTGGGATCTTCCCCGTTGTCACAGCAACTGGACGCCTAGACCCCTGAGCTCGGTCTTGGCTCATTAGGTCTGGCTGTATTCCGCACGTTATTGCTTGGGGGCCCTGGATGTGTTCGTGTTAGGTTGAGATGAGAAGGACGTGCTATGTCGCTAGTTTATTGCCAGGAGGGACCACAACCTGTACTTGTACGTATGGTGTCCTGTGCGGGAAAAATGCTTCCTGGTCCAAGACATGTGGGCAATTGGGAACCGAGACTCGGCCAGCGGTGAAGCGGAACCTTGCTGATGCTGATCATAGCCATGGTGACGCAACAACGCAGGCTGCCGAGCCGGCTGGGCCAGAATTGAGGAGGCTGGACACTGGATGCTGGATGCTGGATGCTGGGTGGATGCTGGGAAGCACGATGTCCAAACACGGCGACAACAGAGTTCGCGGCTGCAGCTGCAATGTGCTTTGCAGAGGTGGTACCGAGTCCCAGCTTAGGCCGATATTGCGTGTTGGTATGTGGCCTCTGATACTCTGCGATTTTGGCACGCCCTCCTCTTCGCCAAAGGTCCAAACGCAGCCCACCATCCGGCCGTAGCGCCTCGTTTTCATCTGCGACCTGGCTGACACCGCGTACACTAAATAATGCACTTGCATAAAAGATATGGATGGATCCAATGGCGATGTTCCACGATACCCGTACTGGTTCATTACGAGTTCTCAGATGCCTGATCTCCCGCCCGTCGCGCTGCAGGCGAAGCAAGCTTGCATGCTCGATGAGTGGTGTCGTTGGCAGAGACCCGATTATGAGGAGGTTGGGAAATCACATGGTAGCCAATAGGGAGCGGAAGGCTGGTGCCGCAGGGAGCTCCCAGCCACGCGATAGCGAGGCCACCACCCTCAACTTGGTCCTGCGAATTGAGTTGCTGGTGGCAAACCGATTGTGCAGATTCTCACCAGTCATCCACCTGTGCCGGGACCTGGCTGAGCTGAGTGTCCCAACTCGGCGCATCGCAGCACTCGTACAGCGGATACACACACCCTGTCATCGGTGATCAATCACACCTGGGTACGAAGTTACTTCTTACGGGACCCCGTCAGCCGAAAGTACCGCTTTCATTGAGCGGCTCGTGGCTCCACTCGCTTGATTGCGATAGTTGCCAGTGGCGTCAGACCACAGCTGCCACTGGCTCAGCCCAAGGCAACTCAAATTTGATCCTTTGCGCGCTGGGTCACCCAACGGGCCCAGGCCAGCCAAGGCCAGGGAAAAATTGGAAAATGAGGAGCCCGCGGTGGTATTTTCATCTCGTTCGAGGAGCCCACCAGCCACGGCGGATACGCTGCGGTGACGGATGATCTCCCATCCCCATTCCCCAGGGATGATGCTCTCTCCAGTGGCTGGCAATGGCCCATAATGTTGCCGCTGGCCGGGGGCCTCGTCTCATCGGGCGGCGCGGGTCGCGGGAGCTGGCAGCTGGAGCTCAGAGCTGCGCGAAAGCTGACTAGCGACTGGCTGAAGCTACCATAAGAGCTGGGGGGAGCTGCCGGAGCTGCGCAATGCTGGTCTGTTCTCTGGTGAGACGCAGGAGGAGGCGGGCTTGACTCGAATGAGAGTTGGAGGGTCGCTGCTTTAGGGTAGGTGATCAGGTGATTGAGATGAGGCCGCTGTCTGTGTTGTGCCTCCTCGTGTGAGGACGCTACCGGCTCAGAAAGTTCGACCGAGGCCAGCCTCGACAACTGTGTTCTGTCGGGCAAATGTTATGATCCGCGGCCTCAAAAAGCGGCATGCCTTTTCCTGCGTAGTCAATTTGCAAAATCCAATCACACGGCGAATGTGGAAAATACTACGGCGTAGTAGCTATCTCGGCCTGGTACCTGATGACGGTGGGGCCCGGAGGGAGGTGTGGGGCCGGTGCAATGCAGGGGTTAAGGAGAGTGCTAAACCTGTTGGAGACGAGTAAACAAGGCGCCCCCCAGAAGGTAAACAGAACGAGTGGCAGCGGAGGGTTTGAGAGTTGGCCGGCCGAGGACAATCGACACACCCTCCACTGGCTCAGGGAGAGAGAGACGAGAGGGAATGCGGAAGAGGCTGGGGAGCGCTGGTTGACGGGTGGACTGGCACCTGTGCGAAGCAATCCGGCGGCGGCGCACCTCACAACAGACGCACCTCAAGCGCAGCCAGTAGGCGTCCCGTCCAATCCCGCCCCCGTCCTCAAAAGCCGAGCTCGTCTCCTCCTCTCTCCTTCCCTCCAATTATCTCCATCCACATTCAAGCCTTCAACACCAGAATCCTCAACCACAGACAGGAAGAAAAGACTCCAAGAAGACCATCGCCAGTCTTCTGTCTCTTTTCCCCCTCTCTTCGACTTTTGTTTTAAGTAACAAGAGCCAGAGGATTCTTCTTGTCATACTTGATGAGAAGATTCTCTCGCGTCAAAAGTCGTCAACCTGGACTTTGAGGCCCGCGTCCCCGTCCCCTTCAGCATCTTCCCATCAACATATCGGGACCACGAATCCCAGACCCAGACTACAACCACCACTCAGGTCCACGAGGAGGTTGACATCAAGCCCCTACAGCCAAAAGCCGGACGGGAAGGTCAATACTCTTCTTACTCCGCCGCCACCGCTGAAGTCGTCGTTCCTCCTCGCGAAGAGCAGCACTACAGCGAGGAAGAGATCCGTATCACGCGTGAAGAAGAACAGTACCGCCGTCCCGGTGTCCAGCAGCAGCAGCAGCAGCAGCAGCATCATCACCACCACGAGCATTATCAGACTGAGCAATACGTCCGTGAGGATCGCCGTCGGTATGTACATATCCTTTTCTGTGTCTATTTCGGCCGCCATGTCGCGCGCAATTGCACGCGCTTTGTCGCAACTTGGGCGTCCGCTTTCCGCGGGCTCCAAGTCAGCCGATTTCGCTCTCCCTCGCCCGCTCCCTCTCCCGTTCCCTCCCCATCCTCCCCAACCGCAATTGATCAGCGGATGAGACACATCAACAACAACAAACATCAGCCCGCCCCCCTTTTTCCTTTCCTCAATCAATTGGCACCCCCTGGGCTCCGCTTGCCGGGCCACCCACCACGCAAGCGCGCGTCAGCCCCCTCCCGCCTCCCCAGCCATCCCATCTCATCACACCCCATCCCAACCCCGGCCTGGACCCGTCCAGCCCAGCCCACTTGGCCCGCATCCCCCAATTTGCTTTTCCCACCCCCGGTCTTCCATCCCTTGGTTCCCTCGCCAGCTGGCCTGAGCCTGGCCTGAGGTTAGCAGTGGGGCCCTCAGGGGGTGGGGACCGCGTTGCCATATGAGACGCAAGCGAGGTACAGAAGCATCAGCTAACCCGAACGCCGCAGACCTGAACCTGCTTCTCAATACACCACTTCTCACACCCAAGTAGAGATCGACACCCGTCATCCTTACTACTCCACCCCCATTGACATCGCTGAGCGCCAATACCGCGAGCGTTTCCGTCCCAGCAAGCCCGACTTCACTGCCGACCCCCCTTCCCGCCCCCAGTACCAGACCCAGGACACCTTCCAGGTCAACAACTACACCGTCGAAGGACGCCCCGCTCCCTCTCAGTACAAGAACACTGAGAAGACCGAGATCAACAACTTCACCGTTGAAGCATCATCTCGCCCTCAGTACTCCTCTTTCGAGAAGACTACCGAGACCAACAACTTCACTGTCGAAGGCCGAGCTCCCCGCCAGCCTCAGTACAAGCAGTCCACTCAAGTCAACAAGTTCACCGTTGACACTCCTGTTTCTCGTCCCAGCTACCAGCAGGACGTGAAGATCTCTGAAGAGACCGTCGAACCAGCAAAGTTTACTCGCCCCCAGAAGCCAAGCAAGATGGGTTACTACGACGAGGACGGTAAGGGTCTCTACGGTGCCTCAATCCCTTTCCACGACGTCAATGCTAACTCCGTCACAGGTCACTACCACTCCTTCCGTGCTGGAGCTCACAAGTTAGCAGACAAGATCGCCCACCCCCGAGGCCATGAGCGCGTTGAGGTCGACATTGTCCGCACCGGATCCCGCACCGGTGGCGAGCCTGATGCTTGCCTCCCCAACACCGTCACCATCCCCTGCCACCACATCCGCCTCGGTGACTTCCTGATGCTCCAGGGCCGCCCCTGCCAGGTCATCCGCATCTCCACCTCCTCTGCCACCGGCCAGTACCGCTACCTCGGTGTTGACCTCTTCACCAAGCAGCTTCACGAGGAGTCCTCTTTCATCTCTAACCCTGCCCCCAGCGTTGTTGTCCAGACCATGCTCGGCCCTGTCTTCAAGCAGTACCGTGTCCTCGACATGCAGGATGGCCTCATCGTCGCCATGACCGAGACCGGCGATGTCAAGCAGGGTCTCCCCGTCATTGACCAGTCCAACCTCTACACCCGCCTTAACGGTGCTTTCGAGTCCGGCCGTGGCAGCCTCCGTGTCCTCGTCCTCAACGACGGTGGCCGTGAGCTCGCTGTCGACATGAAGGTCATCCACGGCTCTCGTCTGTAAGCGTGTCAATTCTTAGGGGCCGCATCATGCGTCTTCCCACGATGAGTCTTGACAATGCTTCTGGCTCCTCGACATGGAGGGCAGGTTGTCTGGCTCCCGTGCAACTTGTATCATGGGATGTATAAAGCGGTCGACTGTTGTTGGATCAGATTGGAAACTCGTTGGAAATTGGAAATATGGAGTCTTGAGTAGATGGGAAGTTCTGTACATGAACTGTAGTAATTTGACAATTGATTCCATATGTCACCCGTATCATGTCGTCTTCTCGCCTCTGACCATGTCGTGATTTGTTTATGCCATCCGGGTTCTTGACGCGATTCCATTCAGCTTCTCTTGCTGCCCCACTAGACTGCCTTAGGCAGACGAACGGCCCGTCTCCTGTCAGGAGGCTGGGGTTGAACCGTGTCTGGCCTGGCTACCCTATACGCGTCGGAGTTTGAGTTCCAAGTCCTCTGAAGCATCATCCGTTACAGCAGAGTAATTCATATTGAGACATGATTAGGAAATGAAGATTATTCCAGTAGCCTCTTTGAACTCCACTTGTTACATTCTTCCCAACACCTATTTCCCAAACAATAACCTTCATTCTGGATCCTGGCAGACCAAAGAGGTTCATTACGAGAACAAAAGTCCCGCATGACTGACCCGCCCCTCCAACTTAGAGGCTTGCGCTCAACTCACTAACCCAGATAGGTACTTAGCTAGAGTTGAGTATTTGATTGATAAGGGATGGGACGCTCGGCGTGCCGTGCCGTGTCGCACGAGGTCACTTGATGACGCCTCATTCATCCATCCATCTTCCCCTCTTGAACCCTACACTATCTCCTTCCATCCTCAGTCCATTCCCTTTACCATCGCGGCATCACTTTGCGCGGATTTCTCAAGTGTGAGAGAACGCACGTTTCCAATAGCTGCTACCCTACACCGACATCGGATCATTATACATTACAATGGGTGGTCAACCGTCTAAGCTAGTCGAGCCTACTATGCACGAAAAGGCCGTTATTGAGCGTCTTCGTAGCCTTCGGGTGCAGGATGACTTTGTCGAGGTCACCAGTGACTCTGAGAAGTCTCTCGGTCCTCTGGTCCGAGAGGCCCAGGGTCTTCCAGTTCATGTCCTGGAGTCTTGGCAGGCCGACTTCCTCAAGGATCCCAAGAACAAGTTAGTCGTGCATACTTCTCTCGCTCGCTAGCTTCAATAACTGACATTACTGCAAAAGGCTCGCACTCACGGCGTTGAGCAGCCAGAACCCCAAAGCGGCCCTCACTTCGTTGCCCACCGAGATTGCCGACCAGCAGATCTACAATGTCAAGATCCCCGTTGAGGGCGACCCCATTACAAACCAGCGCTCTAGCGGACGCTGCTGGTTGTTCGCCTCTACCAACGTCTTCCGAATCGCCTTGATGAAGCGCTATAGGCTTGAGAGCTTTGAGCTGTCGCAGGCCTACCTCTTCTACTGGGACAAGCTTGAGAAGTCCAACTTTTTCCTCGAGCAGATCATCGACACTGCTGGCGAGGACCTCGAGGGACGCCTGGTCCAGAGGCTTTTGAACGACCTGGTATCCGATGGCGGCCAGTGGGACATGGTCTACAACCTCGTCGAGAAGTACGGCCTCGTCCCTCAGACCATCTACCCGGACAGCTGGAATGCTATGAACTCTGGAGTCCTGAACAGCGTTGTACAGACTAAGCTCCGAGAGTTTGCCCTGAAGCTCCGAACCATGGTCAACTCCAAGAATGGCGTTTCTGCTGCGGCCCTCTCCTCGGCTAAGGATAAGATGATGCGCGAGATTCAACTCATCATGACTCTCCTTCTCGGCCCCCCTCCCAACCCCGAGGAAGCATTTACTTGGCAGTACAATGACAAGAATGGCAAGGCACACCAGTTGAAGACCAACCCCAAGGACTTTGCCAAGGACATCTACAGCCCCGACTACAAGTTTGTGACCGCCAATGTCATCGATAATCTGATTTCTCTCGTCAACGACCCTCGCCACGACTACTTGACTCGTCTTGAGGTTTCTCGACTTGGAAACGTTGTTGGTGGCCGCGGAGTCAGCTACACCAACGTTGACATGGACACTATGAAGGGAGTTTGCGTCAAGATGCTCAAGGCCGGTCTTCCCATCTTCTTCGGCAGTGATGTGGGACAGTTTAGTGACTCGAAGTCCGGTATTATGGATCTGGAGCTCTTTAACTACGACCTGGGCTTTAACACAAGCCTGCTGGGAATGAACAAGGCACAGAGGTTGATGACCGGAGAGAGCTTGATGACCCACGCGATGGTGCTGACTGCTGTGCACATCGACGAGGACACGGGCAAGCCTGTACGGTGGCGAGTGCAGAACAGCTGGGGCACCAGCGCAGGAGAAAAGGGTTGGTTCGTCATGAGTGACGCATGGATGGACGAGTTCGTGTACCAGGTCGTGGTTGACCCGCGCTTTTGCAGCAAGGCGGTCAGAGATGTGACCAAGAAGGAGCCCATTGTTCTTCCTCTATGGGATCCCATTGGATCTCTGGCTTAAGATTATGCCTCGCATGGAGTACATGAGCTGGGCGACTTGCAGCAGAACCAGTTGGAAGCATTACAGCGGTCAACTCAGTTGGGCTTCTCGGCCGAGCCGCGTCCGGTGTGAGGGACATGAGACTCAATGTGAATGGACGCTTGGGCGCAAATGGAAGCACCAAGGAATGCGGGTCGTTGGATATTGACGATGTATGATGCAGCATGGGCTGATTTGCGGAGCAAGACGATTGCGAGCAGAGGGGGCGTGCGAGATCCCGCAGCCTCACGGACAACGAGAGTGACGCTTTCTTACGCTACGTTAGCAATATGAATGATATTTTCTACTTCCTTAACCCGCCCGGCCCGTCAGTCCGCGCTGAGCCATGTGGCTACTCTAGGTGAATCCTTGCTCCGTCCGCAAGGACCAGCTGCCGGAGAGATTGCAAGCCTCCCATGTGAGTTGCCCACGGCTGCTGGGAAGTTGGTCCCTTCGAACCCAGTGGCAACGACGAAGCCTGAGATGGCCACTCCTCCAGGCGCCGACACAAGGCGAGCAGATAGATGCCCGAGACAGACGGCACTTCTTAGCTCGTCGGACTCGGTGTTAATGTCAATTCCGCTAGACTATCTTGGAGTTGAAAGCCCCCACATCCGGGGAAGTCCTTAGGACACGCAGGTGGCAACAATCACATGAACAAACCTACGGCGTTGTCCGACTTTCTTTTGATCGTCGCCTTTTCGGCCTTGAAAGATATGCCAACTCATCGTGCTCGACATGTCGGCTGCGCAATCCCCTCAACGACACTCTACCTCGCTCGCCTTTGCCAAAGGGCGCGAGGTGGGCTCGAGGCTAAGTAGAGGGTCCCATGGCTGGAGCGGATGGGGTAAGTGACTGGGGTGATCCCTCGAGCGATGGACTAGCTGTCCCTGCCCAACTCGACGAAAAATCAAGGTTCTATTGCGGTTTTTGCGGCGGTCGCACGGAGAAATGGACAGGCCATGTAAGCGACGCGGCTGTGGGACCAGGTTGAAAGCCGTTCCGCTGTCTTCTAGCGCAGGCATCCTGAGATGCTACATGTAACTTCATGTAACTTGTAAGTCGACAGACGGGAGGCCGTGGCTCGCTCGGGCTTGGTTGGTTAGGCGTCGTTTGACGGGACGGAACACACCCCTTCCCCGAAGGACTGCGCTGCATGAGATGCCTCCTGAGATCAACAATGCAGTCTCTGGCGGCAGTCCATGCGAGAGGGAACCTACGCTGTCGTTGAAACGGCACTGCGCCGCTTGGGGTCAATGCGGCTCTGTGAGGACGAGGGCGCCGTGGTCTAATGCGGGAGCCCGTCTAAGACGTGCGGAACCATGTCTAGGTAGACGATAGGTGATACTAAGGATTTTGACTGACACGAAAGGAGCCGACATGAACAGACACTGGAACCCAACGGAATTTGATAGAGTACCGCTGACAGAATTCATGACAACGCCGATCCGATGAACTGGCGATGCTGCAGTCTTCCGGCCATGCAGCGCCGATCAGCTCGTGATAGACGGCAAGAAGCCGGGCTTCTAGGAGACCGATGGGCGTCTACCGAAGCGTCCACTGAAGCGTCTGGACGGGCCATTGGAATACACGGCTCAGGACAAGACGGGGGGAAGCAGCAATTGCGGGTCTAAGAGGGAGAAAAACAACTAGCCAGAGTCTGAACAGGACTGGTCCCTGCCGGGGGATGCGCATCAACGATTGAGATGCATGGAATGAGACGGGATGAGATTTCGCCTCCATGCCAGCGACGGCTGCTACGCCGCACTCCGTGGACCTCCCCCCTCACTTCCCACCGGGCCCAGCGAAGCTGAGCCTCCAGGCCTCAACTTGTAACTCGGTCGACGAGGCCGCTCGGTGGGTTGGGTACCTATCCAGAGACAAGCGTGGCAGCCCAAGGGACCCCGAGCTGGTGTCGCACCCCTGGAAGAAACAGAGGGAAAAAAAACCCCCAACGACATTGATCGACGTCCAATAGCGGCCGGCCGGGGCTTGAAGCTGGGGACTTGATTGACGGACGGCAGGCGCTTCGCATGACTTTATTTTGGGGAGGTTTTGGTGACGGGCTCGTTGAGTGGTGGGCTACGTGGTCAAGTGTCTGGGTTGCCGGGGCAGAAGGAAGAGGCTTTGGTGTTTTGGACAATGGACGGACGTGGGTGGTGCATAGGGCTTCGTCGACTGGCATTGGATGGTTCCGAGGAGTATATGATCATTTCCCGAGATGAAGACTTGAAAGACATGGGGTCTCCCTTGCCCTCCCCTTCTTCAGCCATCCCGAAGCCCAAGACATCAGCCGCAGCTTGGGCCGTTGTTTTGTTTCGCAAGCAGATATCTGTTGGCATCGTTCTTCTTTAAAACAAGCAGCTTCTGTCTCTTTGGTGTTTATATAAGGCGTTGTGCCGACTACAAAGCAGAGCACGCACTTGCAAGCAACAACCTCTTACACAACCTGTCCATCATCGACCTTAGGGCAAACCTTCGGTACACAACAACTATTGTACACCTACACCTACGCCTACACCAGCATCGTCATTCTCCTAGCTCAGGGCCCTTTCAGCCCAGTTCCGCACTGGTGTTCGCCGCACCGAGCCGGCCCTAGTCGGACACCTCGTCCGCAGGGTCAAGGGCGTTGCCAGCTTCGTCTCCATATCCTCCCTCGTCCACCACGCCGTCCCTCTCTTGGCACGGCGCCCAAGTCAACCGGAGCCGACCTAGACCTAAAGGCAGATAGACACGAGGACCCGCGGCTGAAACTGGAGGCGAGAGAACGGGCAGCCGGCGGGTGGGACGTCATCACCCTCCTCGCACCAGCCACGGCCAGGTCCAACCGCGCCAACGCCAGCGCCAACGCCAACACCAACATCGCCAGATACGAACGAGGTACATCCGCCTGGAGAACTCGCCCGCCGGCGCACCGCTCTGCCACTCGCAGTCGCACCAAGCCAGGGCATCGGGGCGCAGAGCCTCAAGCAGGCAGCCCTCCGCCAGCCCTTATTCCTACTACGCCGTGACCCATCGTCGTCGCATCGCGGCATCGTTGGGCCCCAATCCTCCTGGTCGGTTGCAGTATTTCCCCATCCGCATCTTCTCTACTCCACTCCCCGAGCCAAGGGCTGGGGTCCAGGTAGGGGGTACCCGTTTCCCATTCCTCGTACCTGAGGGAAACACTGGTTGACTTAGAGCGTGTCGGAGCAGAAAGTACAGTAGAAGTCTGGTCTCCACCAGAGCGGAGAGACCCATCCTGCCCAAAGACACACAGATCACATTGGGTTTCTAGGTTTCTTGGTTTCCAACGGGGCCGCGGGCAGACGGCTTCAACCGCATTGAGGGGTCTCGTCTCTCTCCTCGTCTCTCTCCTCGTCTCTCACAGTAATAACGGGTCGCAAACCGGGGGAGAGGCAGAAGCTCCGGCGACCCAGGTTCGGCTCAACTTTTGGTCACATATCTCTCTGCACGGGTCAGGTCATTCCAGCCCAGAGGCAAAGTGCCAGCCAGACACCTCGAGGCTTGGACGGCGGTTCCGGCGTGTTTTCTTTTCGGGTGACAGTTCAGTGACGTTTCGTCAGTGTCAGTGTCAGTGGTTAGTGAGACGATGAACTCCCTCGAAGAACCCTAGCCTTAACTGACCGGCCAAAGCCATACCAGACCGGACCCAGCGAGAGCAGGCCCACGTCACTGCATACGATCGTCATCGGCATTTCCCATCGAGAGACTGGACTGGTCTACTTACAGCACGCCGCTACGTTAGTTCTTATCGACTACAACGGGTTTACTATTACTGACCCTGGTTTAGGGATCCGGGAAGGACTCAGTCACTCCTGGCACCGGAGAAAGGGCCAGAAAAACCTGCAAGAACTGGGGATATCCTGTCTTGTCTACCTATTGCCCCCTCTCTGGCGTGGACCGTGTGTCCCTTTGCAGAGACTTGGGATTTTTCCCTTGGTCGTCTTTTTTTTCTTTCCATCCCCTCCATCCACTCTCTACTCTCTCTTGGTGGTGCTCCTTTTTGCCTCACGACTCTTTGCCTCGAGACTCTCTCTCGACACCTCACTCCCCTTCTGGCTCGTCCGTTTCTTCTCCACCCCGGCGGCCTTGTGGAGTTGTTCCCACCCCGGGGATTCCGTCGAACAAAGGAAGCCTGACCTGACCCCGCCAAGCCGCGTCGTCTTGGGAGTTGTCGGATTGACGGCTGCCGAGCTGAGCTGAGCTGGTGGCTAACAGACTGACTGACTGACTGACTGATTAATCGATTGCTCGCCGGTTCACGCGACCAGCTACCTACTGCACTCCCACGTTCCCTGGGCTTCTTCTCCCTAACCCCGCTCGGCACTCGTTCTCTGCGCACTCCGACGCTGACTCCATCCCGTCACTCTCGTCTGATCCCGACGCCCAGACACAGTGCAGCCGGCCAAAGCCACCCCACCAAGACCATCGCCAGCCCTGGACGCCGCCAAGAAGAGGCAAACAAATTGAAAAAGACGGCCCCGCGATCAAATCACCGGCTGTTGGTTATTCGATTATTCAAGAATCATCCGCGGCTTCTGCTGACGCTCTCGACGGGCTCGACCCCCCCTCACGTGGTCCTTGCTCCCGGCCGTCTCTTCTTCGACTACGTCAACGGCCGCCGCCTCTTGTCGTCACCGTCATCCCACCATCCCACCATCCCACCACCATTTCAACGGCGATCCTCAGCCCAAATAAATACCAACAAAGCTTCATCTGGCAGCCCAAAAGAGGCCGAAAATATCCCGCCATCTGCGTCCGGACACCATCAACCCCTCTCCGGCTGTCCTGTCGCCCTCCCGCTTGAGCCACCGGCCCTGGGTATTTAGCCCGTGTCGACGGCGTCAATTGAAGCGTTACTCAACTCCAACTCCAGCGGCCATCTCCCCGCCGCCGCCATGACGGACCGCTATGGCTACACCACGACCGGGCGGTCGGCCACATTCAACCCTGCACGATCCTCGCTCCCTGCCAGCATCGGTTACACTTCCCTTTACGCCGGCGACATGCATGTTATGCCCTCATCCACCCGCCCGCCGCCGACGACGGCTCCCGTACCCCGTCAATATGTAACAACCACAACGTCCTCTGGCATCCCCGCAGCCAATACCCGAACGTACGCTGTGACTCAGGATCCTCGCTCTCAGCGCCCAACGACTCGAGATGTCACCCGTTCGCACCGCTCCTCGACTCTCGACTCAGCCACCGGCCGCCCGCCCGTCATAGTCATGACCACCCAAAAGGACCGCCCGAACCCGGGCCCTTCCCACTCCTCCAACGCTCGCTCCGGCAGTCCCATCCGAGACGACTACCGGGCCAGTGAGGGCCAGTTCTATACTGAGCCTGCCTCATCCATACGTTCCCGCAGCAGTGCACGCCCCTACAACGACCAGCTAGGCGGCGACGACTATGCTCGCGGTAGAGACCTCGGCGACAGTCTGGCCCGCGATGCCGACGCGTATCGCAGCTCTCGCCCATCCGTTGTCTATCCCAGCAACCCTCGTCATAGCTCTGCCACCATCGACTATGGCGATGAGGGGTACCAGTATACCAACGCTGGAGAGCTCGTTCGCTACGATCTCGACCACCCTCAACCGTCTCACTCTCGCAGGCATGAGAGCTTTGACCGCGGATACTATCGCCCAAATATCAACTACAATGCCGACCAGCGAATTCTCAATGTTAACACAAGCCCTGATATGGGCCGTACCAGCAGCAGCACCATCACCACCACCGCCACCCCTACCACTCGCCAACATGAATCCCGGGGTGGCCCACCTCCCAGCACCCGAGGCTTCGACAAGATACCCCGAGTACAGGATAGTTCTCGCGACGTACCGCCTACTGTCCCGGCGGCGCCAGATCCTATCACGACAACGAGGACTCTGAGTGCCAGTGGTTCCTCGGATGGAAGACGGCCCAGGCCTGTTTCTCTCTATCAAGAGAGCACTCCACGGTCACAGCACCACGATGAATATTACCGCAGTCGTGACGACGAGAAGAACATGCGAGAGTTTCGTGACTATCAACAGGACCCACGGCGCACCTATGAGCCCGAGCCCACATACCAGGCCTTGTCATATGAACCGCAAACTTATGAGCCCCAATCCTATGAGCCCCAAACATATGAGCCCCAGCCAACGTATAATATCCAACCACCATATGAGATTCAACCAACATATGAGGCTCAACCGACATATGAGGTCCAGCCTCCATACCAGGTCCAGTCAGCATATGAATCTCAGTCACCATACTTCCACGATGACAGAGTCACCACTCGTGGTTTCGGTATCCGTACTGATCTTATCGAGGACGTCGATCGTCGAAGGGAGTCTCAACATCTCCAAGAGCCCAAGAAGCGCTCTGATGAAGAGCCTCCTCGTGAGCCCGAACCTGACCGCGACGACCGACGGCGAATCCGCGCCGAGAGCAAGGAGCCTCGTCGCGAGAGACGAGAGAGCAAGAGGGGCAGCGAGGACGACGAAAAGGAGCGCACTCGATTCCGTGACAAGATGGCATCGGGTCTAGGTATCGCCGCCGCTGCCGTCGGTCTTGCACCCTCGACAAAGGAGAAGGACGAAGACAAACGCTCAAAGGACAGCGACACCAAAGTGCGACGAGATTCCGATGATGGCCGTGAACGAAGAAAAGACACAGAGGACCGGGACCGACCAAAGGTGTCTACTTCTACTCAGGATCAGTCGAGGCACCGAGACTACGATAGGGAGCATCCTAGTGTCAAGGACAGCTCTGAGCCCAAGAAAACGAGTCGGCGAGAGATCGACCAGCGAAAGAGTGACCCTCGAAAGAGCAGCGAGGCGGTCATCTCAGCCTCCGACTCCGATGAGGGCAAGAAGACAACCCGGCGCCATCGCAATTCTACCGCCTTCAACCCCAATGACGCCGGCGAGCTAAAGCAGCTCAAGGAGCAGCTTGCCGCTTTGAAGACGGCGGAGAAGGAGAAGGACGCTGAGAAGCCAGCCGTTATTGAAACGAAGAGGACTCGTTCATTCTCCCCCACAAAGCAGAGCAGGACTACCGTTGAGTCCAAGCCTGCTAGAGAGTCACGATCGCCACCTGAGCCCAAGCCTGCAAGAGAGTCGAGATCCCCACCTGAGCCCAAATCTACAAGGGGATCGGCATCTCCCACCGAGTCCAGGACTACACTGGAATCCAAGTCCACTTCATCCGCCAGGGATGAGTCTCGTGGCCGCGAGCTCACGGTTGCCGGCTCTGAGGAGAGGCAAGTTCGCCTCGTGTCGCCCCCGCGGGACAAGACGGATGACAAACCTCTCAAGGGCATCCTCAAGCAGCCCAAGGTCAGATTCCCCGAGGAGGCCAACCCCATCCGTGAGGGTGTTGCGCCTCACAAGGAAGACAAGAAGCTCCGAGAAGCGCCTGCGGGTGCCAAATGGACCAAGATCAGCCGCAAGATAGTCAACCCTGAGGCTTTGACCATTGGCAAGGAGAGATTCGAGGTCCGTGACGACTTTGTCATTGTACTCCGAGTCCTCAGCAAGGAAGAGATTCAAGCGTATGCCTCTGCAACGGTAGTTTTGAGAGGTAAGCCGTATTCTTTGTCCCGCACGCCTTCAACTTTTTACTAACTTCTTTCTTAGAGCGACGACGCCGCGACGAGGATGGCGACCGTGATCGCGATGGTGACCGCGACCGTGATCGTGATCGCGACCGTGAACGGGAGCGCGAACGGGATCGGGAGCGAGATCGCGATAAAGATCGTGACAGGGATCGCGACGAAGATGAAAAGCGAAGGCATCGCCGTCGCCGTCATCGAGATGATGATGAGGTGGATCACGATACCAAGGACAGGGACAGGGACAGGGAGCGCGACAAGGAGCGCGAACGACATCGGCGTCACAGGGATGACGATGACATCCGGTTCAAGGATCAGGAGCATCATCATCACCACCACCACTACTGATCTCACTGAAGCTCTGAATCAATGCCTGGAGTTTAGGCATATGACGACGACTTTCAACCATCTTCTCCTATTGTTTCTGACATTCCAAGCGATTTATTCAGACATTTATGAGGGCGATTTATGTCCAGCTTTCTTGATCATATTGGGGCGGTTTAGCGAAGCATTTTGGATTATAAAATTTGAACAATAAAATACTGGGGTTGATAACTGTTTGACAAAGTTTGAGCCTCTTCCTATACTTCGAACCCGTGGCGATGCACCCGTCCAGACGGTCGGGTATGGAGACGAAGGTTCGGTCTATGGGACGGGCCGGCGCCAGGATTAGGTTTCTACGTTGTGAAGTTAGATGGCATGACATGATAATCACCGAGACTGTTTCTGCAATGCTATTCTTGGACTGCATATCTTCATTTGGCAATGAGTTTCAGTGCTATCAACATATATTATTTGCCACCTCTCGAAGCTGTAAGATGACGTATCAGGCGTTGCGAATAACACGTATCCTCAACAAGAGCAGGTTTTCAAGGGTATTATTCGCCCCGGTTGTGTCAAGAGCATATCACATCTCACATAAGGCGAGGGTGGAAATACGAAGCTCCGGCAGCCTCACCTACTTGATCGACACTGCATGGATGCTCACGAGGCAGCCTTGCCCGAGGCTGTTGACTCCACAGATCGTCGCTTCTTATCCGCATAGAATCGAGGGAACTTGGCGAGGCCAGCTGGTATGCAGGGGACGTCACTTGAGGCGGGCGATAGTTGTCTTGTCGTGGGATTCTATGCGATGCCACCCTACAGTCGTGGTTGTCGAGTTGAGAGAAACTCGAGTCTTCGTTTGGTAACAATTGCTCATGGCTCGGCACTTGTTGCTCAGCAGTCGTTACTCTTCACTAGTTTCCCATTGCCTCTTCTTTCGTTTAACTCGTGCATCTAGTTACCTGCACCAATTGTGTAGTATGCTCGTTTCTGTACCAGACTCATCGACGTTCATCGTGAGATGCAGAGGCAGGGAGAGTTGTCCCATTGATAACCAGCTCACTGTTTCCATTGACCCGTTACCGATTCATCAACTTCCGATCAAGTGTGATTCGGCTTCCCATGGATCTTCTAACTCAGACAAGAGCGCAGCCGATGTGTTCCATGTTCCCTCCAGCATGGTTAAAAGACTGTTTGAATTGCTCGAGCGTAACATTGAAGCATCATGGAACTCGTCACAGCCCTTCGCATTGCATTGCATATCCGCAACTGGTTCCCAGCAGCAACTCACCTCTCAGCCCATCCTCACACCCATCGTTTCCGTTGCCTCCTCCGTCCTCTATATCCCAAACCTCAGCTCCGCAACCCCGTCACACGAACCGTCGCACAAGCCAGAATCCCGCACCACACATACTTGTCTTCATCCCCTCCCCCCCACGCCATGTGTTTCGTCGCGTATTCTCGTCCTAAATGCACATCTATATGCAGAGAAAGCTGCTGCATCTGTCCAATAATGTGCTCCGGCTTACCATGTACGCTGCGGCCAAAAGCGTAGCATGGCCGATGGCCCAAGCTGCCTAATCTAGGCCCTTTTGTTTCATAACCACCGAACAAAAGGGTTGTCCTTGCGTAGGTCGTACGTATACTTGGCACTATACGCGAAACGTCCGCTTTTAGGGGACGCCCGAGGCGCGGGAAAACGAACTCGTCTCCATCTTGTTCCCTCTCCTACTGCATCGCCTACTTCGTACTCGCCCAAGCTAGTATTCAACTTTCCGCGTCACACGCCCCCCTTTCGTGTCTGTGGCTGCATCGGAAATGGTGCTATTGCTAGCATGGCTTTTTTGCGACGTTGCTGTGACGGCCGTCTAGATGAAGACCCTTTGTCTTGCGGGCGACTAAACTGCCTCGGCAACGTCAGCGCTCGCCTGTCAGTGTGGCTTTATTCGCGTATCATGGACCCGAGCTCCCCCGTCGCTGATCGATTCCTGGTTTAATTTAGGGATGCTGCGGATGTCGATACGCTGCGTGCTATGGACAGACGGACTGCTTAGTCTGTCAGCCTCGTCTATCCCGATGGGGGCAAAAAACGCTCGCGGCGCCGCTTGATGGAGACGGTTAATTCCCAACCCCCATCACCGCTGCCGGTTTGTCTCCAAGTTTCAGGATGGTTCACGACAATTTGCCAAAGCCACAGTTCAGAACACGGCCTAGGTGGTGGGCGCCAGCGGAGCAGAAATACAGGGGGGCGGCATGCCAAGCATTTCTATGTCAACGTGGTAGCTCAGGCGAATAAAGTTGTTGCTCCAACGCAAGATAGATGCAGATGTCACACCCTTTGGGAAATGATGCAGGGCTCAATACGAAGTTGCCAGCAGGACTCCCACACAAGAAAGACACTTTAGAGAAGCCCCCTGAGAGAGGCCCCCCAATTGTGCGGTCATGTGGCGTCCACCCGGTAGCTAATGCCGTAAAGCGTGGCTTGTGGGAGCGTTGCAAATCAAGGCTTGATCCAGATTGTGCAGTGCCATGCTAAAGTGGGCAAAAGAGCCATGTCTCACCGTGGAGGGGATTGGTGGCGGGCGCGTCCCGCAGACGGCCACTCACCCTCTTAGCGTAGGTACACTACTTGCTGAAGTTCAGATGCTTGGTGGAAAAAGCGAGGACCCCAAGTATCTTCAGTCTGGGGAGAGTGAGATAATGAATCAGACGAAACTATTCATAACTGGCCATGAAGCGGCCATGGTTGATCGGACGAGCGGTGTGGTGGCAGAGAGTTTACCAATACATGAGACTATCCGACCCTGCAGCTGCTTGTTCAGTGACTGACCGGCAACTTCCCCGAAGAGCGGTAATGCCGCGTTACCGTCGTTTATAGGGCCTCACCGGCATGTTTCTTCAAGTATGCCGGCACCAACAACGCCATCGTCCGGCCCGAGCAAATGGGAGTTGCCAGCGTGGACTGTTGAGTGGGAGGGAGGTTGGTGAGGTTGGTGAGGTTGCCACATGGCTCATAGTTTGGCGTATGCTTGCTTTTGCTGTCCCGGCTCCGCGAATGAGACATGGCGTGGCTGGCTGGTCACCATCTCGCCCCTCTTGCGGCTTGTCTCGCTCACTTTGAGACGATGGGCTTAAGCCTCGGAAGCGGGCTGAAGGTTTAGCCTTGCGCCTCTCTATCAGAAAGCTCGGCCGTGGAGCACATATCACGCCGAGCCCACGGGATTCCAGAGTGGGAAAAAAGAATCAGCGCAGTCCACTGCGTCAAATAAGTCGACAGCCATGGCGTACTTTCAAACGAGACTCGTTTATCCGAAGTCGACCAAGATGGTGGAGCGACTTAACGACACCCTGACAGACTACTGCGGCAAGCGTTTAGTCGAGCTTTATAGTGCGAGAAACTTGTGCAAGATTGTCTTGGGATAGCAAACAGGCCTTTTGCATCTAAACAAGTCCATGGGGGCCACGGTCCGAGGGCATCGATCAAACAGGCGCACCCAACCAAACTGTAGAAATGCGTTGGGATTTGTGAAGAGGGAAAAGGTTTCGAATTCTCGTATCCCAATCAGAAGTATCCATCCACACAACCGGATGGCGACCACAAAGGCTTCAGGTGCAATTCAACTCAAACGAATGTGGCCACTGATCGCCATCAGCTTGTACAAAGTACGGCATAGCAACAAGACCGAGCCAAACACCCGTCGATGCCTAAAGACGCGGGCGCAAGCTACCAAAGTCAGATGTGGGACCGGGCAACTCGGCCGTCTTGCAGCCTTGGTGGCTGGGCCGGTCGGTTTGCTTCTCGAAGTATCCGGACACGCAGGACACACAAGCGGCTTTGACTGGTGGTCAACACGGTGAAGGGCCCAAAAAAGCAAGCATTGGAGGATCATTTGTTCAGGAGCCCAAGCCCAGAGGCCCCCAAGACTCTCGGCCATTGTGGGGCCTTCATGTAAGCGTGGCCTGCTTTCTTGTGCATATACACACCCCGGTCAATAGCTGAGGCCATGTAATCCGTATGGACGGGAGGTACGGAGTACTGGCCAAGGCACAGGATACGGAGTACTCCGGACCTGAGATTAGATGGTCAAGCAGATGTACGCAGCACGATGCACTATGGAGGGTGCTGCTTGTACATCCGCACAACACCCGACATCCAGCACACCCCGTCACATTCCGCGACACGCGTTGATAATCCGTCCGTGGAAGCGACCGACTGTCAAAACTCATCATGCGTGTGGGGGGTTATTCCGCCGCCAAGTCACGGACGCGCTGGTCCAGAGGCGTCGCCAGTTGTCCGAGAGGGGCAGCAGTCGGTTTGCTTGGGATCTTGCATCATCCGCAGCCTGCTAATGCTAGCGCAACACGATGCGCATGTCTCACTATGCGGTTTGTGCAATTGACAGGCACAGCACATATGCTATGAAGTCGTTATGAATAGACGCGTTAGGCGCAAAGTGACAAGGGCCTAGAGGTGCGTAACGAACACGCTTCAGGTTGGGTGTGCATCTGATAGCTGTCTCCGAGGTTCCCCAGCACGTCGTACCCAAGTCGGTCTTGTCAGGGTATAATTGCTAGCGACAAATACCCGACGCGACTCTGCCCTGGCATTCGCGCTCCATCAGCTCGGGAACGCGTCTGCAGGGATGTTCTTAAGATGGCGAGAGCCCTCCATGCTGGACAGGGGGCCTCAACAGCCCCTCCTGTCCCATGCCTGACGACCCTGTGCACTGGGATTTTGACAAGTTGAGCAAGGCCTTGTAAGCTTGGAAGAACGACACAACTGATCGAGATAATTCCCGCCCTGTTTCCTCAATTCCCCGTCGGTTCCCCGTCAACTTAAACCTGCACTGGCCAGGGCCTTCCAGACCATGGCATGGAAAAATGCTACCCCTCCGAGATAGATGACAGATGATAAGCCACGCGTCGGATTAAAGATCTCACAATAGCCGGACCGTAAACGTTACACATCTAAACGTGGAATCGTTCGAGCGCTTCAAAGTCCCGTTGACAATTTCTGCAGGAGTCGTCAATCCTACGCTGTCGGCGACCAGTTTCCCACGAAGGAGGTTCAGGTCGGGATTTGCCGCGAATGGAAATGCGAACCGCTAACACTGAAATGGCCATGAACGCGAACAGGGAACGACTTCGTCGTCATCAAATCAGCCGAGACGAACCCAAAGCAAACCGGCCCAGCCATCAATCAGAGTTGCGGGCAATTTCCTTTCCTTGAGTTGGTGGATCGGACGACGACCGGCAGTTAGTTAGCGACAGTCACTGAGTTTCAACCCGACTGTTCTGGAAATCAACTCGGCCCCGGTATTCAAAATGTCAGAAGTTGTCCTGGCCCGGGCGCACCCTGTATGACCTCCTGGTCAATCTCTGTGCGCCGCTTCTCCTCCCCGGACCCCCGTGGAAGCGGAAAGCCCTTGCCGGCAGCTTCTTAGCCTGTTCCACACGTCGTCCTTGACTGCGGTGCTCCGTATATCCCTCCCTGGTCCGGGGATGGCGGCCGCACCCCCCTCCCACTCCCTGGTCCGAAGCGACAGTGTGCCTGATGAATGTCAAGCCGTGGCGGCCGGGGGGGAGGCCGCCAGTCTTAGTACGGATGGCGGCGTCCCACAGCGGTCGACCGGGGTGCTAGTGGGTGAAGAGGGTGGAATCATATCCCTGACCGACTTTCCAAAGTGTGGGGCCGCTGGGGCCAGGCGAAGGATGCCGCTGCAGGTCGAGAAATTGAAGGCACATTGGCTCGTCAGATGGTGGGCATCGAGGGTGATTAGACTGCAACGCTGCATGGCCGTTTCTTGGTCGCATGCAGCAGGTCGTCAAGGAGGAAATAGGACGAAAGGAGTGACTTGAGCAGTCTAATATGGTGTGGCTTGTGGCGGGTAGCTGGTTCCCCCCGTTGTCGACCCTGGGGGGACGTGGTAGGGGTCGTTTTCCGGGAGCTTTGGAACATGAAGGCCCCTGGGGGCTGGCGTGGATTGGGCGATCTGGCGCCTGGGTACCGCTGCAATGTCTCTGAGCGTGGTCCCCGACCCAGGACAACCCCAAAGCTCAAGGGAGGGAGCGTCAACCGTAGGGCTGCGAGGGTACAGTCGAGGAATCTTCAGCAACGTTTGGGTCTACGGTTAGCCCCCTTGGAGTCACCAGCTCCATGTCCAACGCCAGCCCACCCCACGAGTGACATCTGCCGGGCCAGGATCTTTGCAGCCTTGTGCATAAGCAGCTCCAACAAGACTCTCACCTGGCTGGCAGATACGGCGAGAGGTAAGTGGTCGCAGGATTCCGGCCTTGAGACGGCTGAACATGCAAAAGTCTGGTGATGAGGGATGACGACTCCAATGGGCCCCGATGAAAGGGGATGGCGTGTATGACAGAATCGCAGAAGCGAGCTGTGTCCGGCGGAAGCGGTTGAGCTACCCGGCTGATATTAATAGCGCTGGTCCAATGAGGGAAATATCCCGCTCGGAGGAAGGCCGTATGCTCCAAGCCTCCTAAAACTGACCAACTGACGGATAGGCAAGTAAGCACGAGGTTGGCCGCGAGGAAAGCCGCCATGGCCTGGATTGGCTCAATTGTCATGTAGGTGCTCTGGAGTCCGGCGAGGTATCATATGCTCTCGGCAGTGCCTCGGAGCCAAGACGATGACATGTTGCAGGTGACGGTGAAGGCGTTGTGTAGTCTTCTTTTCCCGAATCCGATGGTCTATCAACCCTTTGGAGGTGGGGCGTAGTCCGTAGTACGAGCTTCCAAGTCCCAGTTTGGACACCAGCAGATGAAAGCAGCGCGAGACAACGTTGCGCAGTGGCCAACCTCGGAGGCACGACGCGGCCGAGGCTGGCTCCCGCGCCTCGTCAGCCACGCGATGGACAACGGGAAATGAAGCGTTGACGAGTTGGGTCTGGTCGGCAATTAGACTAAGGCCAAAGCTCCGTCCGTGACGGAGGGAAGGACGGCAGAGAGCACCGACAGCACCGATCGCACCGACCACACCAGCAGCGCAAAACAGAAGTACCTCACTCAATCCACCAAAACTGGAGCATCAGCTAGCGGCGTGTGGCGCGGCGCTGGCTGCAAAACTGGCTGCGAGCCGTGTGCAGCGGGCGGGCTAACGTGGGAAGGGGTGGCAGCGGCCCCCAGAAACGACAGCGACGAGGAGGGTCACATTCCTTCGGGGTCTTTGGAGACCCAGACCCGATCAAGCTTTGCTGGGGTGAGTCCAAAGACAGACGGAGGATGCCTCGGCGCTGGCTGTTGGGTCATGATGATCGAGAAGACGATAGTGGAGGGGGGCCGGGCGTTTGGATGAGAAGGCTTTGCGAAACCGACGTCGAGGTGGGGGAGGCACAAAACTTGGAAATTTGCAGCCGCGTGTGTTCCCTGGAAGCTCAGTGGCTCGGTGCAAAACCTGTGCAAGCCACCATTTTGACATTGGCGCCTTCCTGAAGTTGAAGATTCGTTGCAAGTCAGCCTGTCAGCCGGCAAGCACGGATGGCTGCCAAGGCCTCGCCTCCTTCTTGACCAGTTATCAAAGTACGGGCAGCGCAGGCCACTGGCGTTGAGAGCTCTAAATTTACGCCGGCACCGTGAAATCATCACCCGCCTCTGGCTCCAACTTCCATCATAGGGCACGTCGCGGTTCTGCCTCGACACCATCTCGCGCATCCACACGCACCTCCACACGCACCTCGCGCACCCTCACGCACCACCACGCGCGCACCGCCCGGTAAGTGGGGGAAACGTTCGCAGGGTGTGCAGCACATGTAGGCTTGTACCTATTAAGTCGTTGGTTCTGGAGGCATGAATTACGTCGTTGATGTGATGGGAGGGAAATGATGAACCGCCCAGCAACCACATGGGACTTAGCCCAGAAAATCAATCCCGCATCTTGATGGCCCATGATCCATCCGCCCCATCTCTATCCCATCCTATCCCATCACCCTTTGCGTCTGGCTTCCCCCTTTCCCGCCGGTGCCAGGTCATCCCGGTAGACACTGAGGCGAGATGGTAGGATGGCAGTTTGGCAGGTTGCTAGGACAGGCACAAGACGTACCCTCCATCCATCTGCCCATCACCCAGCCGTCAATCCGATGTCCGCTACTTAAATGGTTTGCGCCGTTTGCTTCGTGCTGCAGGGATGACAACGTGCGGCCTCTTCCTTTTGTTAGCATGGCCACGAGGTGCTGCCCCACGTTGCTGCTGACATCGCATTCACGAGAACTGCCTCTTCCGTCGCGTCTAGTTTATGTCCTTAATGCGGCATCAAGTAAGTACGTACCGAATGTTAGATGTCCCCTCTTGTTCCTCGGTCGGCTACCTCGCCTCTTGGGTAAAAAGGATACGCGGGTGAGGAGGTAATTACCCAGGCCCACCATCGCCCCTTGCCTATCTCTCTGCCATCAATTCCCTCGGCCGGTCGCGTCTCTCGATCTCCATCGATATATCGCGACTTGAAGATGGCGGCTCAACTTGCATGTCTGGGCCTGCAGAGATGATACCCAGCTGTCGCGACCGTTCGCATGTCGTTGGACATGAGAAACCTGGTGCGTCTCTGATCCCAAACCTTAACCTAGACCCCCGTCGGTGCCACTTGGGCACCCGTCCCCTGCTGGGCTGCTGGGCTCTGGGCTTGGGAGTCTGCCATGGCAGCGGGCTCCGGTCAGGGTTTCCAAGCTCTGCGCCTCTCCCCACTGCCCCAAGTCGACGGTGGCCTCACCCTGGTCTCCCGCTCCGCAACGCTCCCTCTGCCGCATGGCCGCCGCCAGGCCAAAGGTTTGACCGTTACAACTTTATTCACGTCCCCTGCCCGCCAACTCCTGGCCACAGACGAGGCTGCGACTGCGCGAAAGAACCAACGGCCAAGGCCAGATGTAGATTTTGAGATCACCGATTGATAGCCATGCCATGCCGCCTTGTCGACGACATCTGTGTTTCCCAATGCAGCCGAGCCCTTAATACTTTGTGTTATTTGTGTGTTTCTTTTCCGTATTCACCTTATGGTCAACACTTTCAATTAAGGTACGGCATGGTGCTTGTGCAATTGAACTTGGGCGGCATCATGGCTCCCTTTGCACGGAAAGAATGCCTCCAAGCCTCGCTGGCCACCTACTTGATACGCAAATAAACACCACAATCACAATAATTAAGTCCAAAACAGGACAATAAAGATATCCACTGGGTTTATATCATATGTTCATCGTCAACACCGCTACCCTACAACGCATCTTATCACCTCTGTCTGGCACCCCTGTCGAGGGCCCTGGAACCCACACGTGCACCAAAACGTAGCCTTGCGTGCCCGCGCCCTAGTCTTGTCCGGGGGCCAAGTCGATCCAGTCAACCTCTGAACCCCAGCTCACCACCCCTGCATCGAGAGAGCAGCCAAGAGGAAGAGAAGACGCCCAGAGCATGAAACCCAAGGCTGGGGAACAGTGAATTCCCCGAGCCCCATGCCATTGGGCCATGAGCTAGGCATCCCCTCTCTAGGGCCTCGCTGACAGCGCGAATTGGGAAAACAGGTTTAGAGTAGGCACAATTGAAACCAATTGAAAAGCAACTTGACGAGGCGGGGCTCATACGACGACGGGCACCTGAATTTAACTGCTTCCGCTACTTCGGAGACACAATTGGCCTTCCCACGCCGTCTAAGATTGCTTTTTCCACCACCATAGGCCACTGGGCCATGCACTCCACCTCGCCCCAGTTGTCTCTGCGAACACACGAGAGCGCTCCATCTTCGACACGACCTGGAAGGCGGCACCCATGTGAACTGAGTCAAGGAGGCGCCACCCACGCAATTCACACAGATAATGTCTTGAACTGAGGCACCAGAGACCGCGGGCCTGACGTATCGCACTTGCCACTACCCTCCATTCCCGTCTCTTGGGCTGGGAAGACGCCACGAGGCTCTAGCCCCCCTGGCGGGTTCCTTGTCCCTCCACCGCTTAGAACAATGTCCCAGTCGAAGCCCCTAGATGAGACTTGCCAGGCTATTCCCACGTCCATCAAGGCTACGAAGTACATCCCGCGCTTCATATCCCGAAGGCGTACAGGAGCCGCTGCGCATGCGCATGCGCAGGCCGCCGCCGCCTCTTCATCGCACGCGAATAGACCTCGCTGCCATCGATTTTGGCGACTGTGTTACTGGCTCTAGATCAAATCTGCAGCCAACTACTCCCCACCGAACCCACGCGCCACTAATTTGTCCGAACCTGCCCACCCGCGAACACTGCAGCCAGCCGCTAAGCCTTGCACTACCCAGCGCCGGGAGGAGCACTGGGATTTCTGCATCCTGCATTGTCGCATTTGACAAGATCACCATCCTGCTTGACGTCGTGAGCAATCGCAGGCTTAGCGGGCCCGGCCGACCCGACAAAGTAACCCTTTCACGTCCCGGAATTGCCGCCCGCAAGCACACAACCGTCCATCCGACAAAGCCTAACGGTCATAGAATCCGCAGCGCAGCCCAATCCGTTTAAGGCCTCTTCCCGTTGGTTCGTGTTTGTAGCCGTCTTGGGTTATCTCCAAAATTGCAGGTTCCTGCCGGGCGTTTGATCGGGTCTCACAACCAAGCTCGGGCGCCTAACATACCGTGCAGCTGCGGCTCCAAGGCTGCGACCCCAAGGCTGAGGCTCCCAGGCTGTAAATCTTGAAGGTTGCGATCGCGCAGCGCAACGCGCGACCGCTGTCGTTCTTCATCCAGAGCCAGGGCCAGCAACGTTCGAGTAGGGCTCCCCTGGCCTGCAGGCGTCCGTATTTCTGTGGCGTCGGGCCAGGATTAGCGCTGACCCAAAATCACTGACAGACAACGGTGCCACCATCTTGAACCTGCGCCAGGATCAGAGCGTGTCGTGTGCCAAAAGTCCACCAAGCTTCAGTGAGTAAAGTACCTAGCCACACCCTTTAGCTGCCTCCCCGCCCCCTGCTCGCACATGGCCCGCCGTTTAGGTCATTCCCTGGGCTCCCGAATGGGACCGGGACATGAAGATGCCCATCGCCCATCACCCATCACCACCCCAATGCACCCATTCATTACCAGCAGGTTGTGCCATCGGCCCTAGTTGGTTCTTGCGCTCCTAGCGGGCCACTTTCACTTACCCCCGCCAAGCCCCTGGACTCGGCGTCTGGATCCTCGCCGAGGCGACAACGTTGGCGTCGGAGCTCCAGCCACTGGTTGCGCTGGGGTGCCGATTTTTCGGAATCTGCTCCCCTGACCGTGTCAGGCCCAACCAAGGCGTCGTCGCTGCGTGCTGTGGGGGAGTATATCTTGCAGCGCCGCGCTGCCTTGACCTCTCAACATCCTCCTCAAAGACGCCCCATCCCAGCTAGTCAAGCCCTGGCCTTCTCTGACCACTTGCCAGCCCAGTCCCTCCAAAGCGCACTCCAACACTAGAAGGGTGTCTTGCGTCCCGACTCCATCCTTGCCAGCTCTACCTCCGTGTCCCAGTCGGTATGCATTCCATGTCCTGCCGCAAACCCTCCTGCATCTGATCCTCGAAGCAAACCACCAGTCCACCACCAGGCCACCATCAGCCTTGCACGAACTGACCAGGAAGCCAGGTACAACGGCGCCCAAGCTGCATCCCTTTGGTCTCCCCACAACCTTCTTGCGCTCCGCGACAGGGCTCTACCATCTCTGATCCTGGGACGGCTGCGACTCCAACCGCATCTCCAGACGAGCTTTGCACAACGGCCCGAGCCTTCGGAACCAGCACGTGGAGGGAGGTTACCAGCTACCTCTATTGTACGCTTCTGCAGGACAGAGACGACCCAGCCACAGGTCGAACCTATCAACCGTCCACCTGATTCTGAATACGCAGGTACGCTTGTCAACCGCGCTTCCTTTCCATTTCGTTCCACCTACCATCAACCCAATCCACTCTGTCTTAATTCCCCTCCCCACCAGTCTCTCCGAGACGCGTTTGCACGATGGCGCCCGAGTCCCGCGACATGACCGTGTTCGTGTTTCAATATTGGGTGGACTTTTTGCCTGCTACAATTTCAGGACCCGCATCTGATTGCTACGTATCATTCAATGGCCGCCGCCCCCTTATCAATGGGGGGGCCGTTGCGCGACTGCTTTTCCTTCCCCATTTCCCGGTTTCCCGTTTGTGGAATACGGATTTTGCGAATTACGCGCATAGCAACTTCGCCGACGTCCATGGGACTAACTCTTCCGATTTGTCTTCTTTAGGATCAAGCGACCAGTACCTGTGTTTCAGACACCACCCGCCACGCCCGGATTAGTCTGATGATTTGGACTAGCCTCGCGTTCAACCAACAGCTTCACGTAAGAATCACTCGGGTAAGTCGCTTGTGTCAAGTGTGTACTCGATCCTTCCCTGCCAGCTCAGGCGCGAAACCTGAAAGCTGCGCCTGGCAATGAGCTCGGTTGGCGCGAATTTGTTGGAGCTTGGGGCACACGGCTGATAGAGGATCTGAAATCACGCCACCTTGCTACACTGACAACGAACATCCCGGTAGAGCAACCGCCGTTGATTCGACCTTCGAGAACTAAGCTTTAGTTGGAACGAGAATGCTAACGCTCATGACCTAGGAGAACCATTAGCCAACCTCGTCATCGCAACAGTTCCCCATGACCGTCAACATGTCAGCGCACCGACAGGTCCCCAGCCACTTTAAGGAGGAGTCTGTGGCAAACATTGTAAGTCGTCATTTTCCTTCGTCTCTAGCGTTTGCTTCTGCAGATTGTGCTTCATCCGGGCTGCTTTCCAAGAGGGATCGACTGGTCAAGCTGTATCTCCATCTACACGACAACAAAAATGCACAAACCACAAGGGTCACGTCAGGGAAATAGCCAAATTCAGCCTCAAGTGAAGGCCCATTGACTGGCTGCATCGCGAGAAGGCGCCGGGAATACCAGGGATTCGAGAGCCGTCCCGTCAAAATGCCTGTCGCAAGCTTGACTGGGTTGGGATTCGAGAGTGGGCTGAGCAGGGTACGTCCCGTTTCACCAATGCCCGGGGCGCCCGCATGGGACAGGGGAGGAGGGTCCACCAATCCGACGTGGTACTCACGCCGAGTCCTAAGTTGGGGAGCAGGCTGAGGCGGGACGTTGCAGTGCATCCGCATCCGCATCAGCTTTGGGGCCACACAGTCACGTCGTTGGCAAGCCCAGTGGCCCGGCTCCTGCATGCAATGCACTAGCCACACTGTACGAAATCACGCCGGATAGTGTGTTTAATCACCAATGCGCGCGGAACCGGCTCTGCTTTGCTGAGTGGCAGAAGCGAGGCGTATGCGCGGGCAAAGAGAAAGGGATTGGGGGCGTCGGGAATCACCAAATCCAAAACAGCCGTCTTTGAAGGCTGCGAAGCTGGCGGGCCCAGCACCCACCATCCGACAAGTAAATCTCGTCAACGGGACGCCGCGGCCGTGGACACAAGCATCCGGTGGTTAATGAGGTGAAGACTACGCCTCAAGGTCGACGCTTAACTCAGCTGAGAAACGTCGCTGGGAAGCGACGTGCGGTCGAGGGTGATGGATGGAGCAGAGCATGGTGGAGCTTGACAAGCGTCCAGCGTGCCCATAGTGGGGGAGCCGGCGGCGTTGTTCCCCCAGTGGGGCGGCCGAACAGTCTCCAATGGCGGGTGTGAGCTGGAGGCAACCGACCCCTCCGATTCAGAATTTAGGGGCGTGGCACTGGGGAAACGGGTACGAAGCATAAGGCCGAGGGATGCGACAAGTGCGTGCCCTGTGTCCTGTGCCCTGAGCAGCATGATGATGAACATCAGCTATGAGCCATTTGCCAAGCCGTGCTCTTCTATTCTATGCGAGCTCGTGTCGTTTCCTCCCGGGGCATGGCGTATTGCTCTGTGTCAGGGGCAGACGGAATATGCGGAGACGCGCGGGCGGGTCTCGAGTGAGAGAGAATGACGACTGGACAGCCGTTTGGTGTAGCCGCGAGCTCGGGGGGTTCACCTGGAGCAGCCGGCCGCGCGGGCAGGTAACGTGTACCCGGGACAGGTACTCGTTCCAGGTACTCGTTCCCTGGCTACGTCCGTTCGATTGAGCGGCGCGAGGGTCGGTGGGCGTTTCGTTGCGGTGCGTTGCGCGTCAGTCGGAGCCCAAGTGAATGGTCGGTCCATTTTTGGGACGTGGGCCAGCGTTGAGCAGCGTTGAGCAACAAGGGGGGGCGCATGGGGCCATGGGTCTATGGGTCCATGAGCCCATGGTTACCCACACCGCCTGTGGCCAAAATAGGAGCCATGGAAAAGCCAATCCCGGTGCAATCCTGGTCCGTTGGCTAGTCCCGGGCCTGGGGTGCCCCATTGGGCAGCTGCTCCTGGTCGGGCGTGCTGGTGAGGCGGCCATTGGCCACTTAATCAAACCCAGCCGACCCCTGTCACGTTTCTTCCATGCGTTGTCCTCCCCGGTCTCTCTCCTGGTTTCTCGCAGAGACGGTCGTTGTGGTTGTCGTCCGCCGTCCATCGTCCAGCGACCATCCCTGCTCTTACACCCCCGCCACTACCATAACACCCCTTCTCACATCCGCCACCCCTTCCACACCACCCCCCGTCATCCCGAGGGTTGTGTGCGGCTTCTGGCTCTTTGCCGTCTCCAGATAGTTAGGTACTCGTCAGTTTCTCCGTCTTCTCTCTGATGAGGCGCGGATTCTCGAAGTAGCTCACCCCACTCACACCCCTCGCGCCCCTCACACCCCCTCCCACGCCCTCTGGCTTGGCGTGGCCTGCAAGTTGCAGGAGGAGCACCGGAGTACCAGCAAGTGAAAGGCTCCGAGCAGGTTGTCGACACCTCGACAATTCACCGTTGCCCACCGCTTTGCTGCGCTCTCATCCCAAAGAATTCATGCCCTCGAGATCCCTGTGACAGGGGTCTTTGCCCGCTGGCACAGCATCTCCTCCATATCAGAACGATTCTCCCATCACCCCCGAACGGGCCTTGACTATACCTGGCACCTGCCTCGCACCTGCCAAACCTACGCCTCCTGGCTCCTGACCTGTCCTGGCCTGACTCCCATCCCATCATCCATTTGCCCATTTTCCATACCCACTCCAGATCATACCTTGCCTCACCATCCCCATAATCTTGGTTCAAATACCCGCTCCCCTGCTCCCTTCGTCTGCCCCCCCGTCGCCCGTCTGGCACACCCATCCTCCGATCGATCTCGCCTTCTTTCCGCTCCAAGGCCTGTCTTCAGGTGTTCACTGTTCTTCTCGTCCAAGCTGCCAGGCACACGAGCTTTTGTCGACTTTCGAGACCTAGAGGAAAAAGAAACAGTCAAGTTGGCTGCCTCCTCCCCTTCCGCTCGTTTGCTCAAATCTTCAACCAACCAGCTAAGCGGTATTGCCACCCCCCCGTCGCGTATTTCTCTTTTTTCCCCCGTCTTTTGCTGGTAGTCCGCCAGTGCGAGAACCGGGTTGCTTTATCATCATTGCCGCTCCGAGCCTAGCCCGCCTCACCCGTGCAATCCTGGTACTCACCAGGGGATGTCCACTTAACCACCTCCCCAGACCCGGCGCCGTCAAGGGGAAAATAAAACACCAACGCGTCCGACTTCGTGCTATTTTCTCTTCATCGCCCATAGAGCTTCTTCATATCCATGATTTACTGATGGGTCTTCTCTCTATGCAGCATCATCCGCAGCACCAGCAACAGGGTCCGCCGCCTTCCCAACACCTGCAACACTCGCGACCCCCGAGTATCGTTCACCAGCAGCATCAGGCCCAGGCACACCCACCGCCGCAACAACACCAAAGCGCGTACTCGTCGCAACACTCGCTTCCTCAAGCATACCAGACCGGCGGCCAGGCTACCAGTAACCAAGACAGCCTCAACTACTACAATCACCCGAGCCCCTACAGTACTCCCGGTGCCACCAGCGGATATACATCCGCAGGTACGTTGATCTCGCTGCCGCCTCCGGCGCAGTTTCTCGCGTCGCGATTCCTGAGCGCTGACAAAGTCATCATACAGACACCTCCGATATGATGGCCGCAGCCCAAATGCCGAGACCCCCCTACCCTCCCATGTCCTATCATACACCGCAGTCCAACTCTCCAGCATCCGTCGCCTCACCTTCCCAGCATGACCAGCACAGGAGCATTTACGGCCAGCCGCCGCAGCAGCACATGCAGCAGTCAATGTACTACCCTCAGAGCCAGTACCAGCCCATGCCCCCTCAGGCGACCGCGTCTCCCTACGCGCAGCATGCGCCTCACCCACAGCAGTCTATGACATCTCAGCCCAACATGATGATGTCGCAGACGGCTCCTCAGAACCAGATGAGCCAGCACGCCGCCCAGCACGCCGCTCAGCAACACGCGCATGCTGGCATGACCGGTAGCCCCCGACCCAAGATCGAACCCCAGGTCCCTCTTCAACTCCAGAAGCCTCAGTCCTCGCCCATGCCCCAAGCTCATCACCCCCAGAACGGCGCTCAACTCCAGAGCCCTGGAAACGCCGCTCCTGGTGTCAATCCCAATGCGGCTCCCGGGCCCATCCCCGCGACGACCCCGCTTGTGGTCCGACAGGACGGCAACGGTGTGCAGTGGATTGCTTTCGAGTACTCCAGGGACCGAGTTAAGATGGAGTACACCATTCGCTGCGATGTCGAGTCGGTCAACACTGATGAGCTCTCTCCCGAGTTCAAGCAGGAGAACTGCGTCTATCCCCGAGCCTGCTGCCCCAAGGAGCAATACCGCGGAAACCGCCTCATGTATGAGACCGACTGCAACCGAGTTGGATGGGCGCTCGCACAGCTCAATATTCCCCTCCGAGGCAAGCGCGGACTCATCCAGCGAGCCGTAGACAGCTGGCGCAACAGCAACCAGGACCCTCGACTTCGAAGTCGACGAGTGCGACGAATGGCCAAGATGAACAACCGAAAGCAGGTCCAGGCATCGCCGCACCCCGGCGCTGCCCACATGCCCGGCCCCAGCGGACCATCAGGGATGCCCGGCGCAGGCCCTATGGGACCTGGCCCAACCATGGGCAAGCCCGGCCTCGGTAGCATGGGACAGCCTATGCACCACCACCACCCCGGAGGACACCCCGACGGCACTGGCCAGGGTGGAGACGAAGTTGGTATGTTCCACCAGATGTGATTCAAGAACCCTCGCATCTGCGTTTGCACCACTTGCTTTGAATTTCAGCACCTCCTCAACACCTCATCCCTTCACCACGAACCACCCTCACCGCACAAACTGCTTTGTTCGACAAATGTTGTGTTGATTAATTGATACCAAAACCCCTTTCCCTTGTCATACAAAATTTTCCCTTTACACACGTCTGTACCTGTGTCCTGTCTATTTTTGCTTTGCGTTTTGACGTTTGGGAATGGGTTTGTCACCTTGTTTTTCGTTGTTAAATAGCACGGGTCGACATCGCTTACTGCACCGCCATCTATACAGCATGCCGCAGTGGCACGAGGGGTCACCAGGAACTCTTTTTTATTGGCACAGTTCTGTACATTACTATAAAGTCGCACACAGTTGCTGCTGCTGTTAGTTGTTTGCTTTGCTACTGGGTTTGCGCGACTCCTAGACGAGTTCAATTTGCCTTATGGCTCATTAAGTTGCATTACTGTTGGCCACGAGGTCTGGTTTTTATACCCCTCACCTCTTTGGAGGTCATCGCCCTCCCTTGTTTGCTTTGCTTGTTACCCCGGGGTTTTAACTCCCTTCTCCGAGTTTGATGTTTGCATTTGCTGGTTTCAACCACACTCACCTCACTTCACAACACAACCCATCAACCACTTAGTAAACCGTTGGAAGAGAGATGAGCTAACATGGTTGTCTCTAGGCGATGGCGATTCTTACGAGCACCATCACCACCAGCCTCCAACTGCTCAAACTCCCACTGTTGCGAGTGACGATGTGAGACCGACTCACGTGTTCACCGGATACAATAACCAATCTTATGCTGGTGGACAAATGTCTCACATGGCTACCCATGCTACTAGTGCCGTGTCTACTAAGCGCCACAGCCGATCCACTGGTGATGAGCCCGATGATCTCTTCCCCGATATCCCTGAAGCCAAGAAGCGCAAGTTCATCCTTGTCGAGGACAATGTGCGTGGCTCCCGCCTCCGTGTGCGAGTCACCCTCGAGGGTGTCGACACCAACGAGATTCCCGATAGTTTCCGCAAGGGAGCCAGTGTGTACCCACGCAGCTACTTCCCGCGTGAGATGCAAAGCCCTCCCCCAAGCGCCACGGGATCGCGCTTCTTTGGCGAGGACCAAGACGACGACGGCATCGAGGAGACTGAAGGCCGAGATGCTGGCCGCCGTGGCGGTAACCGAAATGGCAAGCAGATGGTCAAGGTCCCCATGGGTGAGGCCCAGGGCGAAATTGCCATTCCTCGCATGATGAAAACCACCCGTGGCAAGGAGGTGCGACTGAATGACCTCGGATACCGCATGGCTTGGCTCCAGAGCCGAGTCTTTGCTGGTAGGACTGTGTTCCTCCAGCGTGCCTGTAAGTACCTGATTGTATGGCGTGTCTGGGTGTCAACTAATAAAGTCTAGTGGACTGCTACCGCAACAAGACGCGTGCCGCTATTGAGAGCATCATGCAGGATGTCAAGACTGTCGCGCCTCACTTTGAGACCCGAGTTGGAAAGCGACGCTGGAACGCTCGGATCCACCGTGGAGAGAAGAAGGACGACGAGTAATATCACCATTTCCTACCTGTCGCGATAATCTCGTCCCTTCTCTCCGTTGCTTGCCATCGGGCTTTCTTTCTTTCTTTCAGTACCGGGGACAAAATGATTGAACTTTTCTGATTGTTGATCGTTGTGTTTACGATACCATTCTGCGACGGCGAAGAGAAAATGCCCTCCCCGTTCTCTCTTACACCTAACATGCTGGGGGTTTGAAAACATTTCCTTTGCACGGATCTCGTATCCTGTACGACCGCAATTGCATTTTGCTTTTCTTTTTACATCTTGTCCTTGCGGACTTTCATCCGCTGTTGCTTCTGGGGCTATTATTGCTCTCGTATGGTTTGTGTATACTAAAAATTGGAGGATGGTGGATGTATAGAGGGAGGAAAACAAAGCTTTCGGCCGAAGACGTTGACGTCGGAAGAGCTTGCTAGATTGGGATCACTCAACCTCGGCGCTGGTTTTGTCATCATGGGTCCCTGACGGAATCGGGATTACCTGGACAGACTTGCTACCAGAGGTGACTGACGCCCGGGGATGACATTTGCTTATATATGGGTTGGAATCGAGTGGAACGGGGACTGGAAGATGATGATAATGTGGCATTGGTTTGCGACCCTGATAGTTCTGCGTTTGTTTTTGATGATATGGTTTTGGTTGCTGTTAGACAAAGTTGCATTTCCCTGCCTATATAATTTTGGCTTTGCTATGATTCCTCCTTTCCCTTGTCCTCCGTGTCATGTGTGGAACATGAACCCCATCACATAAATCGTCTATAGGGAAAAGTTTCTATTAAATGGATTCTGTCTGGAGCTACTATATAAGCATCTAGTCTGAATTGTGTTGATGGAAGGCTTCATGGTTCGATGTGAAGCCCATTCAAGGCCCTGGCCGGCGTGGAGATGAGTTTGTTGGGTGGTAAGCTGAAAACTGAAACTCTTAGTGCCAAATGTCTATTTGCCAAAGAGGTAGCAGAATGAGTATTGATATTCGCACATATGCATTTTGCTATTTGTACACATGTACAAGTCTCTTTAACCAACCTCAGACAAACCGATGTACTTGAGGTATCTACCTAGGTAGGTACCTAAGCGGCCGGAGTGCATTCATAGACGCCATGGCTGCATTATTAATAAACCTTACTTCATAAACATAGTAAAAATATTACCAGAAGCTAAATACTAAGATGACCTTCTCGAGGTGATTGTATGTCAGAGTGGAGGTGCCGTACTCTCAGATATAGTCAACGGACTCGGCTGAGATAGGGATGGGCACTAGGAGCAGTCGAAATCGTAACCCGGTTTGGTTAACAAAGAAGCCTCATGCATGCTTTGGAAGCGGCCATTGGGCTTAAGATCTGGATGGAGATGAACGGGCTCGAGAGAATGCAGGCGATTCAGAATGTGCATTTGATACACAATACTAGACTTTGCTACGGGTTTGTAGAAACCTCCATCTAAGGTGGTTTCCTTCGCTACTCGATACGATCAATGAGTATTGGTGGGTGTGGATGACTGGGATGTTCACTAAGGATTATGACTTGTGACTAAGTTGATGATGGCTCATGCATAAAGTATAGAGCACTGTCGAAGGCGATGCGTAGAAATTACCATTTGATGACCTTGTACAATACGTGGGGAACATGCGATGAGTTGGGCCTAGCTGGCAACTTGGCGCTGGAGGTCATGTTGGGGGTGATGAATGTGTTTGGCGAGAGGTGATTTATCACTTTCTTAGTAAGGTGGAATTCTATCTTCGCTTCGAGAAATATAGAGGGGACGATTATACTGTGCCCAAAGAGATTTTGGCTGCGGATAGGAATTACAATATTCGATGATGGGCTTTTAGTGTGCTTGAGAGTCATTCATTGTTCACTGTAGGCTGGTAGAGTGTAACGTAAGCTGTTGTGGTTGTGAGGGGTTGTGGATTGGGGTTTGATGCTGATTTAGGTTCCAAGTTGGAGACTATTGTTAGAGGCTAGACCGACTATTCAATGGCGGATTACTCAAGCAGAGTATGGGCGTGTGCTGGTTGGTAAGTATGTGGTCTTTCGCGGCATTGTCGCTGAGCATACTCGATTGGGGACAATGTGGGCTGGATATCGTATGTCACTCAGCTAGCTACCTTAGCTACCTTAACCCCATGTTCAACGGCCCGCATTCTTGGTACTTGTTGGAGAGTTTAAAAGGTGACATCCTACGTAGAACCGACTAGTCAAGGACCCTTGTGTCGCATCTGGAGATTCTAGCTCGGCAAGGTTGTTGCAATGGTCCCCTCAACACACACAGCATGGCTGTTCCCTGGAGGGAGGCGGGATGGCCATTGAGACCCATGACGTCTTGACCCCATCAGCGACAGGGCAGAAAGAAGCTTTTTGGGGCGGCATGTGCAGGCAGGCCAGGCTGTCGAACAGGGCGTTAACCCTGTCGAGACGGTCCCGTCCAACCCGGTTCTGGGCTGCCATGCAACTTGATGCAGCGAACGAAAGCCGCAAGCCAGCTGGCGCGTGGCCAAGCGTGTGCCAACCCCGGCGGCCAAGACGGGGGGGATGCGGGATCCACCGCAAGGTGACCCCTGGTGCAAACGGAGCGCCGGTATGCGGGTTGGCGTCTCGTTTTTTTCAGCTCTGGACTCTTCCAAACAAGGCCTGACCGGGGTTGCGCTCCTAGAGCTGAGACCTGTCCAACTGTTGCACAGGAATGTCGTGGGAATACGGGGAGAGAGGCGATTCCTGGCCGCATGGGGCAAAGTGGGCGCCGAATCCAATGCTGCGGAGTCGAACAATAGCGGCCTGTCTAGGGCGTCCCTGAGGCTTGGCCGCGAGGCGCTCGCTCCATCTCGTAGGGGCATAGTCAACTTCGCCTTCCCTGCGGCTGCCCAACGACCATTGCTCTGTGACAGCCACTCGCTCTCTGTTCCTCGTGTCCCCTCTCCTCTTCTTTACATAGTTCGACGACGACCCGGCCGGAGACTCGACTCACTCGCCATCACCAACGACGACGACGACAGCTGCGACGGCAACGGCCCTGGCCTCTCCATGGCGTACAACCCCTACAACCCCTTCGCCGGGGCCCTCAGGAACGAGCCGCCGCCCCTATTCGCCGCCGAACTCGAGGCCCCCAACGCCCCCGATGGAAGCCCCGTCTTCGAGATGTCCGGCGAGTCGGTCGCCCCCAAGAAGGAGGAGCTCCAGCCCGCGCGACAGGAGGTCCCGCCACAGCAGCCCAGCAACGCGAACCCGTGGCCGTTCTATCTAGACAATCCGGGCTCGGGCACGCCCAAGCCGGCGGTGCAGGATGCCACTGGGCGCAAAGACGAGACCAAGGACGGGAGCACCAAGGACGGGAGCAAGGACGAGAACAGGATCGACGGGCCCCCTACTTCGAACCCCGCGATGGCCCAGCCTTGGCCGTATCACGGTCCGGGCGGCCAAGCACAGAGCAACCCCGAGCAGCGACCACTCAATGAGAGCACAGGGAAACCTCACAACGCTGGCCAGCGACCACACGCTCAAAAATACCAGCAGCACACCGATGCGCCGCCCCATGTCCCTTACGGGTCACGACCATCCACCTCCTCGGCGGCGTCCAGTCCGGATCCGGGCAACCAGCACTTCCTGCCCTATCCCGCGCCGCTCAACCTCGCCCACCGCCCCGCCAAGCCGGCCTCGCCCTCGCCGCCGGCCTTCAAGCCGTATGCCCCTCCCGGCGCCGCCCAGGACGGCCCGGCCCCCGTGACCAGCCCGTCCAGGACGCAGTCGCAGTCGACGACGCACTCGGCCGCCAACTCGGCCTCGTATCAGCCGTACCGGCCGCACTCTCCCGCGGCGTCGGCTGCTGCTGGCGTTGTTGCGGCTGATGCTGTTTCGAATTCCAGCCCGGGTCCCGCTGCGGCTCGGCCGTATTCTATGAGCATCTCATCGCCGCCATACCAGTCTCCGCCCCAGGCGAACCCTCCCACGCATCCTCCCACGCATCCTCCGCCTGCTGATGCCCATGTGGCCTACAGACCTCCCACGGCTCCCCCTGTCGGCCCTCCCACATCTCCACCCACGGCTGTTCCTGCAACTGTACACGGCGTTGTTGTTGGAGCTGCTCCTTCAGCGGCTTCAGCTACCTCCTCGCCTGCGCCAACTCCTGCTCCTTCGTCCGCTCCCACCTCCCCCCCTCCGCAGCACCCAGTTCAAAGCGCCGTCTCTCCCTTGTCCCCAGGCCAACAACCCATCCAGCCTCTGTCTGGATACCCTCAGCGCCATCCCTCGTCCGCTACACTGCCTCCCGCCTCAACGCCCCAGTCGCACCCGGCCACCCCAGCTCCAGTTGTGCCCTTTGCCCAGCCGCAATATGCTGCTCCTGTCTCGAATCAGAACTATGGACCGGCGCCAACTGCTACTCCTCCCGTCACGTCGCCAATTGCTGCTCCGCCGATGCATTCCGCCGCCATGCCGGGTGGAACGCCCGCCTATCACTCGGTCCAGCCAATGTACCCTCCGGCCAGCAACCCGGAATATAACATCCCTCACCCAACCTATGCGACGACAACTGCCCCTCCGACGCCGATGACGTCGCCGCTGGCTCACCACCACACGGGTCCGGCAGCTCCTCAACAGCAGGCTCGGCCTTCGCAAGCTCAACCACCGCCCATGGAATCGCAACCCTCGTCTGGGGAGACACCGCAGTCTCCCCCTCCTCCTTACTCGCAGACTGTTCCCCAGGGGCCGGGACCGCAGCATCAAGCTGCGGGACAATACAATGCGCCTCCCGGCCAGGTTCCTCCTGGACAGATGCCTCCTGGACAACAAATGCCTGGCCAGATGCCTCCTGGCCAAATGCCTCCTGGCCAAATGCCTCCTGGTCAAATGCCTCCTGGTCAAATGCCTCCTGGTCAAATGCCTCCTGGTCAAATGCCTCCTGGTCAAATGCCACCTGGACACATTCCTCCCGGCTCGATGCCTCCTGGTCAAATGCCTCCTGGACAACAAATGCCTGGCCAGATGTCTCCTGGACAAATGCTTCCTGGCCATATGCCTGGCCAGATGCCTCCTGGCCAGATGTCACCGGGTCAAATGTCTGGTCAAATTCCTCTTGGACAAATTCCTCCTGGACAAACGCCTCCTGGACAAATATCTCCTGGCCAAGCTCCTCCACAAGGTTACGCTCCTCAACAAAGCTATACCCCGCAACAAGGCCATATCTCTCCCGTCCACGCTCCTCCGCAAGGCTATTTCTCCCCTCAAGGCCAAACTCCTCAGTCCCAGTACCCAGCCCAACCCACATATGCCACTTCAGGCGTGCCTCCTCCTGGCCAGGTCCCGGGTCAGCCTCCCTACGGCTACGTCGTACCTCCCCTACCACCACGTCCCATGAATTCGAATGAGCAACATCCTAGTGCCTTCGCTCCGTCCCCTGGAACGTTCGGTGCTCCTACTGGCTACAACCCCGCCAACTTTCCTCCTCCGCCAAAGACGTATTATAATCCTCCCCCACCAGCTCTACCTGCTAGGCCGGGAGCCGGGTCGGGTAAGCTCTTTTCGAGCGCCAACGCAAAGAAGTGGTTCGATAAGACCAACCAACTCGTCGAGAGCAAACTGGCGCCCATTTTACAAGGACCGGTAGATCCCAAATACAAACCAGTTCCTCCACAAGGCTCCCACCAACACGCCGCCCAACAAGGCACCCAACAATCAGGCGTTCAGCAACAATTTCATCAGCAACAGAATCACCAACAAGGCTACCAGCAGCAGGGTTACCAACAACAAGGTTATCAACAGCAAGGCCTCCCTCATCAAAGTCCTCCAATGCAAAACCAGGCAGGATTTCACGCTCCCCATCTAGCGCCCCAGCTCCGAGGGGCCCCGGGAACAGGGCCTCCACCAGGCATGATGCCAGGACCGGGCCAAGGATATCCTGGACAACAGAGGTGGTGAGAGGGCTCTGAGCATGGTGAGGTCTTATGGATCTTGTAAAATATACTATTTGGTCTTTAGGGAGTCCTGAACGACTGACATTAATTTTCACATATTATCGGTGTATACTGAGAATACACGAAAGGGCGGGCGAGCGAGCATATGATGGCCTCCAAAGAAGCATTGAGAGAGTGATTCTATATAGAAAAAACCCTAATGACAATTTTCACCAAAACCACCAACACATATTAGAATGCCGCGATGGTATTTTCAATCCCATGAGTGGGCGACAACTTGCACGTTAGGAATTGCGAACGTCGGCATCTTGATGTGATAGTTCCAAATACTTGATGTTAGGGCACCTACGCTCATTAACTCCTTTGAACTGGACCGAACTCTACCTGGGCCTGCAACCCGACTCTACCTGAGTCTGCAACCCGTACCTACGTCCTGCTCATTATTGTGATTGTCTTGGACGTTCGAAGGTAGGTATGTCTGGCATTGGTAGGTGTGGCTGGGCATATTGGATGTGGCTTATGTGGCTATTGATGGACACTGGTGGGTTACGGGCGTTTTGGGTTGCCGGCTCCGGTTACCTATTAGTGGGTATCCCGAGCCGGCTACGGAACGGATGATGCACCCGGCAGAGATTCAGCGGTTGAGAGACATGTACGTATAAGGTACCTTGTGCTACTCCGCGCATGCGGTCCGAGGGCTGGCTCAGGAGGGAAGGGAGGGAAGGGAGAATGAGATGCCGATTGCCGCGGTGCTATTTTCAGACACAGGTGAATGCGGGTAAGTATTGGATGGTGGATGACGGTGGGGCTGGACGGCTGAAGCAATAAACCTGGTTACACGGGCCAGTGCCCTGCTGGCTGCTTTCTCAGCTAGCTACTTTCTCAAGTGTCTCATTCGGGTGTCTGAGTCGTGGGCGTGGGTGGGCGCGGGCGGCCTGAATCCGAGCCGCCTGAAAGCTGGCTCACCTTCAGAATGGACCACTGCCCGTGACCTCGCGGATGCAAGGGAAGCCTGGGATCACAATCCTGCATTCGCTTTTGGCTGGGTGGGACAGAAAAAGGAAAACTATGTTGATGGAGGCGGTCTCAGTCACCGTCAGTCGTAAGTGTTGGGTGGTGCAGGCGTGCTGACGAGGGCGCGTTGTTCTCCTTGAAGGTGCATCCTTCATTTCAAGTGCAGCGACATACTGTCATTTCGGTCCCATCTCTCCTTACATTAGGCGGAAAGACGGATGCAAATATGTAGTAATAACCCGCGCGCACTGGTCGGCTCGACGGGGATGCCGTGGCATTGCAGCGCAGCAGCATGTCAGTCGTCGTCGGTCTGCCCCGTGTCGGCCTGTCGATCGTCTGCTTTGCATGGCCGGAGTTGTGTCAGGACGAGCTTACACTTTATGCCTATGACCGGCATCCGCGGCGGGAGGGGAAGCGTTGAAATCGAAGGGGCCTAGACAAGCCGAGCCAGGTAATACAGCCGAGTGATGGACATGGAAGCGTGCATGCTCAAATCACGGGACGGATATGTCTAATGAGAAGTCCGGTCGTGCATTGAATACACAAACGGGCTTGTGATTTGCACATTGAACTGGTTGACCTTCTGATAGTGTTGGGATGCCATTGTTTGCCGCCCGCAGGACCTTCAAAACGCCCTTCCCCTCTCATTTGGGCGAACACGATAGGCAGGTCGCAAGCAAGGGAGAGAACAAACAAAAGGAATTTGGAGACGCGGACGTGCAGAAGGGGGCTGCAATCTTGGGCTCTGACTCGCCAGTCGTGTCTAGGCTCGACGCAAATCACAATTGCAGGTGACCTAGACTGGGCTTTGAGGCCTGGAAGCCTTGTTGGAAAGGCAGACGCGGGATGCGCCCTTATTAGGACTTGCTAGGAGCTCCAAGGTCCAACAAAGCGTGGAATCGCCAAGATTTAGTACGCCCATCCCCCCCGTACGCGATGTGATGTATCGGTACGGCTTAGTCCGTGGCCATCGGCTCTGCGCCAAGGCTCAAGTCGATCACGGCTGATGGATGGTGCGCCCTGTTACACGCTTGGCACCCATGCGGCAAACGACATCGCCTGACCTGCTGACCTGGAGCGCGATTACATGCCATTTCCCGCAAAGGGCGTCGGTCAAGGCGGCGGAGGCGAAATGGTGAGCATCCAAGCAAGCGACGGCGCAGACGCTCTGAGCAACGGGGGCCCAATGCTGCTGGACAAAGGGGTGCGGTCCCGCCGGGATGGGCCATTAGGATGGAATTGATGGCGGATGCATCGCCTTTGTATGGAGAGACCGACATCTGGATGGATCCAGGTTGAAAAAAAGAAGGGTTCCATTGTTCCAGCGGGTGGGCGCCCTAGGCGATTTAGTGGTCGGGTTTTAGGCGGTCTGGCGGCGGTGGGCTGCCGACTCAGCGCAGTTGGATGCGCTGGTGGGCGGATGGAGGGATCCAGTAGGAGACTTTTGTCTCATGTCTCCGCCCAGCCGTACCTACCTACGCGGGTACATGAGTTGCGCGTCACGTACCTATTTGCGAAGTATGTTCGGGGAGGAGAGGAGGAATCAGTAGGTTTTTATCGTACTATGTAGAGAGACCCAAAAAGAGCAAGATTCAGTCCATGCCAACAGTGTGGCAGAGAATCAGGAGACTTGATGAGGCAGTGAAGAAAGGCGAGATGGGAGCCGGATGGTAAAAGCAGACCACACCGCAGGGCCAAGAGACAGACATCGGATAGCTCCGCACAAGAGGATGAAAGCAGGGCGGCTCACAATCATGCGCGCTCAATCCACACTTACCAACAACGAATTGCTTGCTTTCGTGCAGCTCTGTGGGCGTGCGTCGGGGTATTTTCCTGCCCTTACTCAGTGCCGTGTCGGACTCCACTTTTGGGCCGCGGTCGAGATTGGTTTCGAAGGTGGCCGCGGAGTGGATGGCGCACCGGTGGTGAGTGGTGAGTGGTGAGTGGTGACTCGCGAGAGGAGGGATGCGGATCGCAGGACTTGTCCAGTGCGATGCGGCTGCGAGCCGCCGGTTCCAATGGGCTGGGCTGGGTTGGATGCCAATCAGTGCCAATTGCCCGGGCGGCAGCCCATCCCCCATCCGCTATGCACCATCCGCCGCACACCATCACCCGCGCCCTGTCTTGGACAGATGCCATGCGTGGAGGTGGTGGTGGAGGTAGTGGTGATGGCGATGATGGATGCCAGTGGTAGATGGACTCGGGTCAAGGTATCGACGGAGCCCTGTGTCTCGCCTCCTGGACAGCGCCCAAGCCGGAGACCCATAGGTACCTAGCATGTAGCTAGCTCCCTACCTTACCATCTAAGACAGGCAGGGTCCAGACCGACCGTCAGTCAATGCTGGGCAATAAGATGCAGTAAAATGCTGGGCTGCGAGGGCAGTGAAATGGCCAGCAAGGTCCAAGCCCCCCAGGGTCCCAGGTCTCAGGGCCAAGAGCCAAGGGCCAAGCAGCAGGTACCTAGTCCCAGCCCAGCCCGCAGCCCAAAGGCGCCCAGCCCGGAGGAGCCCAGCCCACTGCCCCAGCACCCAGCAGGTCGTTACTGGTTAATTACTGGTTGCTGGTTACCTACTCGCTGCGCACCCACGCAGCCCGCACCCGCACCCGACCCGGCTCACTCTCTTCGCTCTCTTCGCTCTCGGCTCCTCTCACTCAAATTCCTCTCCCCCTTCGTTCCTCCGCCTCCGTCTTCTCTCCTTCCCTTCCCCTTCCCTCTCCCAAACCTTCTAACCTTTTCCCACCCCACAACCATCCACCTCCAACAAACCCCGAACGACGACGGCCTCCTCCCTCCCCAAATCTCAGCTCTCCCAACCGCTGAGATTTTTCCATCCTCGCCGAGCACCCACTGCATCGCACGCTCGTCAATCGTCTCTGCATCCATTTGCACCCGTTTGCACCCTCGCCCGACCGCCTCGATCTCCCGAGACGCCCACCCTTCAACACCAGCCGCCTTCTCGAACTCGAGTCTCTGCACGCGTTCAGACCGCCTCCACCTACCTACACTCGTCTTGCAGGTTAGCCTACCCCCATATTTCCTATCCTGTCCTGTCTGCCTGCCTATGCACTCGTTTGTCTCCTGTCTGTTCTGCCCCCTTGCCGTTTTCTTGCACGCGGGTTTTTTCTGCTGTTTGGGCACTGCCTGTTCAGTCGACCGGTTTCCCCATGTCGACTTGCGTCGGAGTTTGCCTTGTGGCGTTGCCCGTTTGCCCACCGCCCTTCGCAAGCCTAGTTTTCTCCGGGCGACCCATTTGCCCCTCTCGCTCAGCACACCGTCATCGTCATTCATTCCCTCTTTCACTGCACCGCCTCTTCGCTCGTGCGACCTTAACTGACCCATAATAGCCACCTTCGGCTCGCAGATTAATCAACTTCCAAAAACCCCACACAGCTCGTCTCCATCTCCCGTGGACGAGCATCCTCAACCGCCAAGATGACTACCATGGTATGTCCAACAAATTCTCTTTGCTCTCCATCCCCCGCATCGCAGGGAGGGTTTCTTTGTCGAGGGCAAGGGCAGGAGGATGCGTGCAGCAGAGAAGACGTGCGCTGCGTGCCTTTGTGGTGTTCTCCTACGGGCACGGTGCACCACCTTGCCTTCCGATAACGGCTGATGTCATATCGAATCTCGATACGAGCCTCAGTCAATGCACAACTTTTTCAAGAATAACTGGCTAACTCTCCTCCCTAGGATCTACGCGTCGGTAACAAGTACCGTATCGGTCGAAAGATCGGTTCTGGTTCTTTCGGTGACATCTACCTCGGCACCAACATCATCTCCGGTGAGGAGATTGCCATCAAGCTCGAGTCCGTCAAGGCCAAGCACCCCCAGCTGGAGTACGAGGCCCGTGTCTACAAGTCCCTCGCTGGCGGTGTCGGCATCCCCTTTGTCCGTTGGTTCGGTACCGAGTGTGATTACAACGCCATGGTTCTCGACCTCCTCGGCCCCAGTCTGGAGGATCTCTTCAACTTCTGCAACCGAAAGTTCTCCCTCAAGACTGTCCTGCTCCTGGCCGACCAGCTCATCTCCCGCATCGAGTACATCCACGCCAAGTCCTTCATCCACCGTGATATCAAGCCCGACAACTTCCTCATGGGCATCGGCAAGCGGGGTAACCAGGTCAATGTCATCGATTTCGGTCTCGCCAAGAAGTACCGCGACCCTAAGACTCACTTCCACATCCCCTACAGAGAGAACAAGAACCTGACTGGTACTGCCCGTTATGCCTCCATCAACACCCATCTGGGTGTTGAGCAGTCCCGCCGTGACGACATGGAGTCGCTCGGCTACGTTATGCTCTACTTCTGCCGTGGCTCCCTTCCCTGGCAGGGACTCAAGGCTGCTACCAAGAAGCAGAAGTACGACCGCATCATGGAGAAGAAGATGACCACCCCCACCGAGGTTCTCTGCCGTGGATTCCCCAACGAGTTCGCCATCTATCTCAACTACACCCGCTCGCTCCGCTTCGACGACAAGCCTGACTACAGCTACCTCCGCAAGATCTTCCGTGACCTCTTCGTCCGTGAGGGCTTCCAGTACGACTATGTCTTCGACTGGACCGTCTACAAGTACCAGAAGAACGCCCAGGCCATCGCTCAGGCTGCCGGGCAGGCCAACCCCGAGGATGACGAGAAGGCCCGTGCCTCCCGCACTGCTGCCGCCGCCCAGGGCGCCTCCAAGCCCAACGCCATCCCCAGCTCTCGACGCAAGATGATCGAGCGTGGAGCTGGTGCTGGCGTCGACACCCCCGACACCAACCGTGCTATTGGCGGAAGCGACAGGATGTGAGTGCCAAGTTAATAACCCAGCCCAACCATTATCACCAGTTTCCTTGTAAGGAATCATTCTCCTTGGCGCGCGTGTCGTGACTCTATGTATACCAACCAGTAGCCAAAGGGACATTTTGCTGACTATTATGGCTGACTCAGTGGACGATAAACAGGCTTCGCTCTGCTTCAAAGGGAGCGGGACATGCCTCTGGCAGCTATCGGCCTAAATGATTGGGGGAATCTGACGCTCCTCTCATGGGGCCCTAGATATCGGCGACCGACTCCGCGAAACAACCCCAACTTCGACATCCGGGAACGACACTTGAAGATACTGGAGGGATAAGCGTCACTTCTTGACCAACCTCGGGTACATGGATCGCTGTCGATTTGTTGGGGCGCTGTTCGGATATGCCTCTTTCCTTCGCAATTTGCTCTATCTCGTTCTTCGACGTATTTTTGGGGGTTCACGACTTAACGCATGGCTCGGGTAACTCTGGATGGTGAGAGAGTTGCTTGTTACTGGGGAGGTCCTTCTAGGGCCTTTCTGGTACAAGTTTTCTCACTATCAAGAGCTTTACCTGAACGGCATGTCCGGTACTCCTTCTCGTCCTTGGTGTACCAGACCTGTGGGTTTCGCGGTTCCTTGTCCGAGGCGGCCTCACGCCTCCGAATGCCAGAACCAAAGGCCACGTGCATCCAAAGTCTCCCAGGATGACGAATACGGGCCACAATCACTTGGAACGATTTTCGTCCAGGCCCGGTATTCCGTCGTTGCGGTACAGCTGCGTTCCCCATGAACAGGCATTTCTTTCGTCTTTTTATTTTCCTTCCGTTCTTAAAGTTCTTTGCTCGACCGAACCCTGTCTTTTTTTTATTTCGAGTTTGAAGCTGCTCTCGTACAACGGGGCCAGCTTCTGGGGAGGTTAATGGGGAGACGAAGTCGAGAGGAAGGAATGGAGGTGTTATCGTCTTCGAAACTTTGGCAAATATTCGACGCCTCGGGCCAGATCGTGGGAGAACTACCCAGCCCTTCTCTCGGGCTATGGGAGAACCAGTTGAGATTGATCTGTTGGTCGCGAGCGAAGAAACGAGGACGAGAGCCGCAAGAATGGCTAGCCGAACAATCAAGGTCAAGGCAGCTCTTTGTGGGGGGACCACCTGGGTCGACTTCGAGGATGGAGAATGGCGGCAGCCTTTCGGCGTGTGACGCTGGTCACGGCGAGAGCTGCCAGTGAGTGGGCTGCACACTGGTGCACCAGATCGTTGGTGGTGCTCTTTGAAAACGATCTGATACAAGTGATTATCTCGACGGCTTGGCACTTGGCCAGAGAGGTGCACTGGTACGCTGGGATATACGGCTAGCGATATCCGCCACTCGCTCATTCATCAGTCACTGATGCATTTACCCACCCACCCACCCATTCATTCAGTCAGTCTTTACACACATTAGGTAGCTACAAATTGAGTCTGTTATTCTTTTCGGAAATGTGAGTGTTGTGGCATGTTGCGTGGCTTATGCTGTGGCTTATTGCTTTTGAGTGAACTTGGCTGTGTCGCTAGTGCAAGGCCTCGCTGGCTGGAGTAGGCAGACGGGCAGAAGAATCAGCCTGGATAGATGAACCCTTGGTGATGGATCCTTAGCGATGGATCTTAGTTGAAGCAAGAGGCTCGGTGTATGATCGATAGCGGCCGGCCTAGCGGTGGAGAGGCGCCCTTGAGGCATCCGTTGGGCAAAGCTTGAGGCACAATTCTTGGAGGGGCTTCGGTACTTTGGCACTTGTGGACTTGCGGACTTGGTGTGAGGGAGGCACAGCCTGAAGGGGCGCGTGAGCACTGAGCAGTGACAAGGGCATCAAGCCATTGGGCACATGGGGTGGAGCATCTCACGACTTGTACGCACGGAGCTCCGCCGGCCCGCCAAAACGCACTATCTGATGAGGGGTCGTCTGGTGTCGATTGGGTTGGAGATGGAGATGGTGAGCACAAGCCCAAAGCCCAAGCCCCAAGTCTTGTTGCAAGTTAGCCTGCGTTGAGCCTGCGTAGGTACGGTGGCCAGTCCGCCAGTCCATCAGTCCACCGGTGATCTGGTACGTATGCAGGCATTGCATGTGCTCCCAGCTGCGAGCCAGGTGCTAGTCCGCATCCTGGTCAGTCGTGGAGGCCGTGGACTGAGGCTGTACAGTACCCATGGAACGGCCGGTCTTGGAACAGCTGGTCTGGCCCAGGCCGGAGCCCCATCTAATTAGGTAGGGAAGTGGAGGGATGCACGTAGTATGCCTGCTAGGTTGGTTTAGCATAGCAGAGGTTGAGTTGGCTCCCTCGTCTACCAGTTGCGGCCGTACGCTTACCGGGCCCTTGAAGGGAGTACACAGGCGGTTATATATAAGGCTATAAGCTGCCCAAATCAAAGCACTGCACCAGGAAACTGCACCAAGGAAATACTACCTTGGGTGACATTCGAGCAACCAGGGTCTTGTGAATGCAGGTGAGCTACCAACCTAGTCACACCCCCAATCGGTCATGCCTGGCCCCGAACGGCCGGGGCCGAGATCCCCCATCCGACATGATTGCTGACATCTCCACCGGTATAAGCAAGCAATCGACGCCCGTGTGTTTTAAGTTATAGGACCCCTTGTTTTTACTTTCCCGGGTCGAGATCGAGTTGAAGCTTGTTGGCTTCTATATTGCGTGTGTGTGCATCACTCATCACTGACCAGGCCGCCATCGGAAAGCTCAGGGCTTTCTTTGACTTTGAGACACACCCCCCACTACACACTCGCAAGGGCGCCATAACCATCGCCTATCCACACCCACTCAACCGCTCTCTCGCGCACTTGCTCGCACGAGACGACGGAGCGTGATCGACGGCACCACCCCACATCACGGCTCCTCCAAGGCTCGCTCGGCCGTTTCGTTGTTGCCACAGCCTCGTACGTCTTCGCTCTCAGCCTCTGCGCTTGCGTGAGCGCGTGCGTGGTTGCCCTCGAATCGTCCCGGTGCTCGCCTATGACTCTATGAGTTGAGTGGCCGCCACCGCAACCGCAACCAACTCCTCAACAGCCACAACTCCAGCGACATACAACCTCAGCTGTAGCAACACCAACGACGCCGTCCCCCACAGCACATGCCAGCGGTTTCTGCCTCGCAAGCTCCGACTCCGACTCCGACGCTGACTCCATCATGTCATCCTCCTCCGTTCTCGACCTCTTGGTCCTGACCTTTAACTGCGGCAAGAGCCTCGTCGATGCCCCCGTCTTTGCCCACCACTTGCAGACCGCCCTCTCCCAGAATGCCTCGGGCCTGCCCGACCTCGTTGTCCTGTAAGCCGCGATCCCTCCCGTCGCTTTGTGACGGGTCTAGCGAGCCGAGAAATCGACGCCGTCACCGTCACGCCAACCGCAACCATGCGCGGACCGCCCATGCGGCGCCCGCGAGAGTGAAGGTTGTCCCTCTCCGGAGCGCGATGCTGATTCGTGTGCTCCATGTAGCTCCCTACAGGAAATCGCCCCGCTAAGTTACTGCTTCATCGGCGGCTACTTCTTGAATCCCTACCTCACACGCTTCGAAGAGGCTGTCAACATCGCCGCCCAGAATCATGGCGACGCCCACCCCGCCCAGGGCGACTCCCTGACGCAGCCCGCGGGCCCAGCGAGGCCGTACACCCTCGTGCGAGCCAACAATGTCGGCTACACTGGCATAATGCTATTTGCACGCGACCCCTCGAGGTTGCAGGACATCCAGGAGGCCGAGGTTGGGTTCGGTGCCGCCGAGATGGGAAACAAGGGCGCCGTCGGCTTGCGGATGCTATATGAAGGCGGGAGCGGGGAGTCGACCGAGGTCACCTTTGTATCGACACACCTCGCTGCCATGGAATGGAATCTGCCGAGGCGCAATGCTAATTGGGCAGCTATCATGCGAGGAATGGCTTTTGAGAATCCAGAGGCCGTGGTGGCCAACTTCCGAGCCTCCTCCACACCGTCCACGCCGTCCGTTGACGAGACGGACGAGCAAGTAGGCCTGCTCCACGATGAGCATGACGCCCAACAATCACGCCTCCAGCAGCAGCTACACAACATTTCCGTCTTCCGGCCATCGTCCAATCTCTTCGTCTCTGGCGACCTCAACTACCGCATCTCCACCACTTCCCCGCCTCCTGCAGCAGCTTTCCCCAGCCTCGACCCGGAGTCGGTGCATTACTATCCGGAATTCTTCCGTCTCGATCAGCTCACCCGCGAGCGCAAGGCTGGCCGTACCCTACATGGCCTGGAAGAACATGAGGTGCGCTTCCCGCCCACGTACAAGTACGATGTGCTACCCCCCAAGGCTGGCGCCGACGAAGGCCTGGAGCTTGACGTGCCGTGGAAGTTTGCGACCCATCGGTATCCCAGCTGGACCGACCGTATTCTGTTCCTAGATATCCCGTTCTGGGCCAAGGGCAAATCCACTGCCAACGGTGGTGGTGAGTCTCAGGAGCCCAACCTGAAAGTCCGCGCCTACGATGCTCTGCCCCTTCTCCGCAGTAGCGACCACCGCCCGGTCTTCCTGCGGGTGGAAGTGCCTCTCATCGCCCCGAAGGACCTCGCTCCGCCGCTTAACCTCGCAGAGGTAAATAGAGCTGCGGTGGCCGACCCGCGTGTCCGTCTGCCCGTCGAGATTGACCCGGAGGCCTGGGAACGCCGTGCCGCGGCCCGCCGCAAGGAGGTCATGGCAGGGTGGAGCATGTTCCTCTGGAGTACAAAGCAAGGCGCCTGGATCCTCGCAACATTGTTAATTGTCGGGCTCAGCGCCTACGGGCTGTACGGCAGCTTCTAGAGCCCTCCCTCTTGCTATCTCCTACCGAACCCGACGGCATAGATCAGCGGGTGACAAGACGATTAGATGAACTCCCCTCAATGAGCTGGTTATGTGTTTACGGGGGATGCCTTATATCATGTGCGATTTCCTGATTTATGTCGGCCCTTTTATGAGCGTTTCTTTTATTAAATAGACGAGCAGTCGGCAAGTTGAAGTGAAGGTTTGTAGTTAGAGGACATTGATAGGCGGGAGCTTTTCCATCCCCTTGCTCGGCTTGGCGCTTAGAATTGACTATTCTGGGGCCTACATTTTCTATATTATTAATGCAGTGGCTTAACACTTGAGCGTTGTATTCTCTTGTATGCAGGCATTTCCAAATGATACCATCAAGATAGATATTGCTATTTAGTACTTAATAGGCCTTTTACTAAGGGACTAAGGTGCACGAGTTGGTTGAGATTTACGGCAGTGTTGATGTACAGCCCAATTGAGAACCAGGCTTGATGCTATGAACGATGGTGAACCTTCCTGTCGTCCTTGACGGTATATGTAACAGAGATCTCACCTGCGGAAGTGGGGTATTTAACTAGGAGGGCCGGGATCGAATAACTCTGTAAGATCAGATGTTGCGTACGTCGGTGGCTTCTCTGAACTTGAGAGAACCCAGGTTCACTTGAAGCCTGGCAAACAGGTATTTGTCTGAACCAACATCGCATGAGGGTCTGTTTTTACATTGAGCTCCACAAGACGATTGGAGGATTCATACCACTAGTAGGCAATGTTTTAAGATGGAGTAATTCCCCAGGATCGTGGGAGGCAAGGCTAAAAAAAAATAAGGGAATTTATCAAAGACATCCTCCCGGGATAGGCGGGATATGCACATGTAACATAGCCCCGCGTCGTATCGCCAAAGTCCCGTTTCGGGCTGTGACGTCAGAGCTTTTGAATGTTGTAAGTAGGAAATCTTTGAAGATATTTGCAAAATCTTGATGACTTTATGATAAATGTATTTTTCTTCGTTGCTCTGAGCAAGGCTTGTACCGCTCATTGTGACCCAGCTGAAGTTCAATACAAGGCAGAAGTAATAATCCCGAACCAGAGGGTTCCCGGTGCCACTCCGAATCCTAAGACGCCGTTCACCATTTCGTGATAAGAAAAAGCCGGTAAAAGAAGAAACATGTAGAGCAATGATATTCTCGTTCGCGGCAAGCCGCTCATCGTTGGGCTATGCTGGTAGGATGTAGCTGGCATGTATAGCACTGGATATCGGGTGGTAAGTATGTGTGTGATTTTACAATTTATATCGGTTTTGCGTGGGAGGTGCTGCCCGGCGAAATCTGTTCAAGATCATCTCTCTCCCAGACATCCCAATCCCACGCCTTGACTTGATCAGAAGTCAGCAAAGTACGGGTCGTACTTTGCCGCCATTTCCTCCGAATAGGGTTCCCGACGGCCGTCGTCCTCGGGATATACATCGAAGCACTGGGCGTCGCCGGGGTAGCGAATGGGAGGGAGGATGGGCCCTTTGCGGTGGCGATGGAGCATGTCATCCCAGTTCGTCTCACGGAAAAAGGGGTGTGCCTTGACGCGCGCAGAGCCGCCACTGATGTTGCCGAGGCGGCGCGATCGATCGACGGTACAGAGCGAGCGAATGATGTCCTTGGCGTCTTCGGAGAGGGGCGGATCTTGGGGGAAGACGACGGGCTTTTCTAAAATTCTAGGGAGAAACCAAGGTGAGATTTCGTCCCTTGGAGAAAAGAACCGGCTAATGGACTTACTGTTTGTAGATCTCGATGGGATTCTGGTGCCAGAAAGGCGGGTAGCCCGTCAAGAACTCATACATCAGGATACCCAAGGCCCACCAGTCCACAGCGCCAGTATGGCCCTTGTTCTGTATCACCTCGGGGGCCAGATATTCGGGGGTCCCGCAGAGGGTATATGTCTCAACAGGGCGGTTGTCTTCGTGATTCCCCAAGCGCTTCGCGAAGCCAAAGTCGACCAACTTGATGTGACCATCCTGATCCAACAGGAGATTCTCGGGCTTGAGATCGCGGTAGGCGACGCCACCCTGTTGCTCGTGGAGAAACTCTAAGACGAGGACGATCTCGGCGGCATAGAAGCGGGCAACGGGCTCGTCGAAGCGGCGCAACTTGCGGAGGTAGGTGAATAGCTCGCCGCCGGGGACGTAATCAAGGAGCATGTACAGGGAATCGTGGTCGGCGAACGAAGCGAGGAGGTGAGTGATGAAAGGGTGGCCGGCGATATCGGCGAGGATGGCGCGTTCGTGGCGCACGTGGTCGATCTGCTTGAGGCGAACGACCTCGGGCTTGCGCAGGATCTTGAGCGCGTACACTTCGGGGTTGAGTTGGTGATCGAGGGGAATGTGAGCCGAGGCGGCGGGGCGAACGAGGCAGACGCGGGCAAAGGTTCCTGTTGACGGAAATGGTTAGAACGGGTCTCGTGTCTCGTGTCTCATGTCCATGTCTCAGGCGGTACATAATGAACGAACCTGTGCCTAGAGTGCGCACCCTCCGGAAGTCGCTAAGCTGGAACTTGCGCGTGGGCGGCAACAGAGCCGGAGGATGGGCAGAGTCGGCGGCATCAGAAAGATGGGACCCCGCGTTTGCGGCGGCGTCATGGGGAAGCGACGGAGCGGGGAGGCCGGACGAGGACGGCAGATTGGTGGCTTGCGAATGCGCGACGGTGGCGGCCATGATTTCTGTATGGCAAGAGAGAGAGAGAGAGAGAGAGAGAGATGGGGAGGCGGAGACGTAGAGAGGCGGAGAGCGGTTGACACTATCGCAGGGCTCAAAGCGGGACGAGCGATGAGTTCGGGTGTGTCTTTAGTTCAGTCTTTAGTTCAAGCGTAGGCCATGGCCACTGATGCGACCAGGAGGATTCGACAAGAGGGACTTGACCAGGTAGGAAGCCTAACAGCCAAGGCGCCGGAGAGAGAACAGAGGATGCGGCCCACGCGGCCGAATCAGACGCTTCGTTTCGGCCAAATCGGAGTTGAAGCTGAAGGCGAAGGCGAAGGCGAAGCTGAAGGCGAAAGCGAAGGCGGGGTGGACTGCCGAGAAGAGGCGATGATGGTAATGGTGATTGGGATTCGGTATTGGTGTGTGTGGGTGGGCGTAGTTGGGTGTGGACGCGCCGGTTTCGATCAACAATTGGCCGGCCCAATTGGCCTCTGATACTATTGGCCTGGTGAGGGTTGAGGGATCAGAACTGCAGAGGCAGAGAGATAACGACGTCTCTATGGCGGAGTCGTCGAAGGAGCAGTTCGGGTTGACGGCCGCGAGAGTGGCGGGTAAGGGGAGCGAAAGGGAGGCGAGCCGGCGAAGAGAAGGGGAGAGGCGGGAAGAACAGGAGCAAGCAGCCAGCCAGAAGTATGGAGCATCAATCAAAAGGAGGGGAGTCGTCGATTATTGATGATTGACGATGATGATGGGACGATGGAACTAGACTAACTCGAGCCAAGTTCACCTCCCAAAAGGGACCACATGCAGATTCTGGGCCACCGGGACGCGCAGAAAGGGGACGACGAGTCACAAGAGACGCTCCCAGACGCCGCCAGACGCCCCCCGGAAGAGGGAATCCCCCTTCTGCGCTGTCAAGCACGCGGGACCAGCGCGCGGGCGGGCGGCAACCAGGCCGAGGGCGGAGAATGGAGGGTGGAGGGTGGAGGGTGGAGGCGGGTAAGGGTTGGTAAGGGTTGGTAAGGGTTAGAGAGGCTAAGAGGCTAATACGGAGTAAGATATTGCTAGATGTTGCGAGAGAGACAGTATGACGCAAACGTGGGACTCCCCCTCCAACGAGCCCGACTTCCAGCAGATAGAGTGGAGATGATGACGCCGGACGGACAGGGTAGTGGGGAGTACTGTACCTAGCGGCCGGTCAGCGATCGTGGTGGCGCGCCCGCAGTGGGATTGGGGACAAGCAGCATTTTGTGTTGATGATGTCGTGGTGTTGTTGTTCTCTTGTGGTTTTTTTTTGGGGGGGGGAGGCTTTAGGCTTTACTTGCTCTATTCACGTGCGTACCTAAGGCTAACGTAAACTGTACGTACCAAGATGTGACGAGACAAGACGAGACGAGACGAATCCGCAATGGTGCAACCATTGCCGTTGCAGATTTGGCTGAGTTGAAGGGAGAATGAGAGGGGCAACCCCCCATCTCCTGGTTGGATCCCCCCAAACCAGCAGGGATTCGGCATTCACATGGTATAGTACATAGTACACGCTCGTTCTTTGTGTGTGTATCCCGGTCCTTTCACCGACGATTCATTTCTAATCGCCCCCAAAAACTAGGGACCTACCCGACCGCCGCCGGCGCAGCGAGCACTAATGGCTTCGTACAGATTAAGGACCGTAGACGTGCATTATCTGGATATCGGACAGTCACTCCAACCCCGGCATCCCCATCCCCGGAAACGCAATTGCACGGGAGTTGTGACTGGACGCACCCGCATGCGAGGTATTAAGTAGCAGTTCTCTCCCCCCGTGGCATGCAGTCGGCCGAAGCCCTGGCTGCTTTGAAGGGTTGCATCGCCCAGCCCCGGCCGAAAGCGCCCCCACGCGGTCTGATGTTCCTGGGGGTCCTGTCCCGGTATATGTGCTGAGCGGGAATTTGAAGAATGGGGGGACATGTACGTGGCTGTACTATGCATCCCGTGTTACCAAACGATGGGGTGGAATCGGATTGGGCTGCTTGTAACGTGGGGTGGGTGGTGTGCTTCGGTCCAGGCACGTCGAGTCATGAAACCACCCACATGACGCCTCGAGACGTTTCCCGAAGCCAAAGATGCAGGGATGGCTTCAGTTGCAGAAATCAACTTGCGGCCTAGGTAACTTACTTTGGGACTACGTGTGCAAGTCACCCTCATTCGCTTCTCATAGCTGGCGAGGTCGTAGCATCAGCTCAAGGTTGAGCAATGGAATCACCCCCATCTCACACAGAATCCCAGCTTTCGAACAGGATGGAAAAAGAAGGAATGATCAGAACTCGTATTTGGAGTCCCTCAAGCTCCAAATCACCCAGTCAAGGTTGGTTCTGTCAAACTCAAAACTTGGAAGAGTTAGTTGGCTAGCCAGGTCCTCAACGTCCAGCCAGGTCCTCAACGTCCAGCCAGGTCCTCAACGTCCAGCCAGCTCAGCCGGGTCACTCGAGTACAGGGACAAGTGAGAATAAGTCCCAAGGTAAATAAATACATCCAATCCGATTTAATAAATGCAAGGTAAATAAATGCGTCAAACCCAATTTCGGAAACACATGCAAGGCAAATAATTGCGTCAACCCCAATTTCATAAACCCAAATAAGTAATCATATTAAACCCAACCAATGGAAAGAAAATAAATGCAAGGTGAATAAATAAGTTAAATCCAATTTCGAGAATACATCTAAGGTGTTATTGTTCTTTTTCTTTTTCTTCTTGTTACTCTCTTTATCCAGTACTAATTGTCTAGAATATTAATAGTATCTCAAGCATGAACTGTGTAGATCCAGTCGATATCGAGTCGATGTCGTCTATCCCTACTCAGACAAAACCTCCATCCTCCAGGAAAATTCGCATGCCCTGAGATCAAGATTGGTTCCTCAGCCAACTTATGCCTACTCTTACTGTAGGCCTGTTCTATCTCTGTGGTGGATGGATGCCACTAATTCGCCATGAATCATACCCGTAATCCAGCTGGCTAGTCCTGAGCTTGACTTACTGTCGGCAGGGTATATAATCTTTATTTGCCTCGGCCTGGCCATGTCTAGATGTCGTTTGGAAGTGGCACCCCCCGTCCGTCGCAAGCGTCCTCATGTTGTAGTTCCGCCGCCCGATTACGAGGCTTCGATTTTGACCAATGTGTAAGTTGTCTATCGCCTCGAACCCGTGGCTGTGTCTAACCGATGCAGCCCCGTGTCCCGTCTCGCTCATGGGGTTATCGACCAAATACATAAACCCCAATTTCTACACCACGCCGGGGGGTGAACTATCTGGAGCAAGGTAAATAAATGCAACAGCATCGTTAGCCGTTACGGTCCTGGCCTTTACCTTGACGGCCGATACACCCACCATAAAGGTCCACGATCCAACTCCGAGATCACTCTCGTCAAAGTCTATTTTCACAATCGTCTATATAAGGAGCACCGTTTCTCCTCTTCTTCTACAATTCTCAGTTTCAACTTTCCCATACAAACATTCAGAACTAAGTTCAAACAACTCTGTGATTGGTCAATAGCCACTTTCACCAACAACACACCACAATTCTTCTTTCTGCATACCACGGAACATCCATCAAAGTTCCAGCACCTCTCCAGCACTCATCTGTACTGCTGCATCACTTACTACTTCACCACCATCATCATCATTCAAAATGGGTTGCTGCTGTAGCAAGGACTCGGGCTCAGAGGGCACTGAGACATGGCCACGCTCTGTCACCCCCTCCGACAATGCAGTCAAGGGATACATGGACACGGGTAACTCACCCAGATCCAACTATTCTTCTGCGAGCCCCATGTCATACAGTATGAACAACCAGTCATATCCCATCAGCAATCAGCCCTGCAGTACTACAGTGCAGCAAACTGATTACACTTGTCGCGGTGCCCTTCTCACCTCCAGTATGATCTCAAGCGACACCCAGAGTAGCCAAGATGGTAACTCTGACGTCCAACATGATGATCAAGCCCGCAGGGTAGAGGGCCGCACATTCACTGGTGCACGCATGGGTGGACGAGCAGACGACCTTGTTTTCTCAGGAATGGCACAGAGCCAAGAGAATCAAGGCAACGTCTTCCAAAATAAAAACCCTGGCGTCCAACTTAAAAAACAAATCCGTCGGGTAGAGAGCCGCACCTTCACTAGTGCGCGGATGGGCAGACAAGCAGGCGGCTTTGTTGTCTCAGGAATGGCACAAAGCCAAGACAATCAAAACAATGGTCACTTAAAAAAATCCTTCAGCTTGTCTGTACCAGAGCCAGTCTATGGCAGACGTGGCGAGTCCAGCATGCCCATCAAGATAAGCCGGTATGCGAGACTGAATGTTGACGACCCCGTCAAAGCTACTGGCGTTTGAACGCAGTGGTGAATTAAAAAAAAAAAAAAAAACCAGAACTGTCTAGACATGGGGCAAGCAAGGAGTTTATCGGGTTTTTCATGATATGGAGGGTTGTTGGAGTTTTCAGGAAGTGGTATTACAGGGGTTTGGGAAGCAAGGTGCATACTGTTATTGGAGAGCGTTGCTATTCACACACACATTACAACCCGCTTGCTGTTCGTGGAGAGTTGTGCCATCCGTCTGGTCTTTTGTCATGTGATGCATACTGTCCCAATAGCAATATAGTATTGTCCCAGCGATACTCTATACTGATACGGCAGTTTAAAGACTACTACTTTCTACTCCTTAGGATTTTTCAAGACACAGCTGTTACCTGCAGCTCATTGAGGTATTGGGAAAGGTAACCAGTTGGACTAGAAACCTTAGTCTGTCTGAGTGTACTGTTGATCTTTGAATGGACTGGGTATATGGTCTGTATTGTTGATACTATTGTTGGTGTTTTTTTTTGTACTGTTGAGCTTCTAGTTTCCCCTCTGCGTATGTGTGTACTAGGGCACCCTAACCTCTTGAACCTCTTGATACTCCTTAGGATTAGGGTTATTTTTCCTTATTTGTATTTATTTATCAAGTAATGTTTTAAATAAATTACCACCTAAGACTTTAGAATACACCCTTTGACTCCAATGGGGGAGTTAGTAGGAAATACCTAATTCCATGAAGGATGCACATGCTTATCCGTGTGGCTGAACTTGGCGTTTCAAGATTACCTTACTTATCCTGTCACACTACTCACCTGGTCGGAAGATTTGATGTATTGGGTCATGTGATGGTCAGACATGACTGGGTTAATCAGCCAAAGCCCCCTTGATCCCTGATGGTCGGCGATGGAATAGACGATCAAGTCACAAAAAGCTGACGCGCAGCTTAGATAAGGGTCTCTGCCGCAATAGAACAAATTCCAGCCCAGATGACAGCGAACATCCCACGCCACCACTGGAGCACTTGAGTGTACCTTGTATAGGTATTTATTTCGTCATCTGGTTGTCCGGCAACAAGGCTTGGCTAAAGAGAGACCGCTCCACGGCGACGCAGGCGTCTCAGTAGGAATGCAAATTGGGCCGCTATTGTCCCGCCGCTCTGGCATGCCGGCGACATCACCATCTGTCGCTCCAGGGTAAATGGATCGCCGGGCGCGACAACACAGGCGTTGGTCTAGGGGTCTAGGCCTAAGTTAGGCCACAGTGCGCGCCATCATCGATGACTCCAAGCCAAGCTGGGAGGTGGCACCAGCCTGGCAGCGGCCTGCACAGTGCCCCCACTGGTTTATAGGCCGCAAGCAGCAGTTTCAGAGGAGCTCGCCCTGAAGAAACGCCCACTAGGGACCTCCTCCGCAGGGAGCTAGGGTGCCTAGCGGAGCGCGGCGACCTGTAGGAAGCTCCACCGTAACCGGGCTGGGGCACGTAGGGGCACGTAGGACTGTCAGCCCGCCACTTCTCACCTCGTGCTGCCCAGATACCAACGACTCGCAGCTCGCAGCTCTCAGCTCGCCCTCTCACCCTCTCTTCCATCTCGACCCTACAGCCGCTTCCCACCGCTGTCCTCACATCCGCCCCCGCTGCTGCTGCAGCAGCATCCGAAACCCTCTTCTTCCATCGTCCAGGTCCAGGCCGCATCTCCGCCCTTGCACCGCCCGTGCCGCCCGCTTCCTCCGACCTCCCCCTCCCGTCATGCGCCGCTGATCGAAGCCATGTTCTCCAACCTGACGAACATCGTGCAAAAGGCCCAGCAGTTCATCGACCCGACCCAAGGCCTCAATCTCTCCAGCTCTGACCGAAATCCCTCCAAGTCGTCCCTCTTCCAGAGCCAATTCCGCCTCCCCGCTTCGCAGACGCCCCTCTACGAGATCAATGCTGAGCTGACCATCCCGCCGTCCAACGCCACCCAAGGCGACAAGGACCATGATCGGGGCTGGCATTATGCCGGCAAGCTACATCTCTCCGAGAACTACATGTGCTTCTCGACCACTCCGACCAGTTTCCTGCAGTCCGCCAGCACATCGACGTCTTCCGCCTTCACCGGTCAGACCCATGGTGGGGGCCCCAGCGGTAATGGCTTCAGCTTTCCCCTGTGTGCGATCCGGAGGGTCGAGCGATTGAATAGCCAGAATTTCCAGGTACGGAACCCCAGAACTCGTGTCACATCTTGAAACTGACCTCGTGCGATCTAGTTTGCGCTTGCTCTCACGACCTGGAATGCCCTCCTCGGCGACAACCCCAAAGACAAGGACAACAAGGACAAGAAGGATAGCCGGGAGCAACGCATCACGATTCATCTGGCCGGTACCAGACATGCCTGCGAACGCTTCTGTGACGGTCTGAAGAAGGGTCTAAGAGCTGGGGTTGGTAACGTTGCCAAACTGAGACGAGTCGTTACCGAATGCTATTCCGAATATCTGCTACGCCCGGAGGAGAGGAAAAATGCCAACCCGCCCGATGCTGGACTGGGCATGATTTTCCGATACCCTGGTGACGCAAAGAAGCTGCGAGACAGGGCCAAGATGCGCCTGTGGGCCGAATATCTACGGGACAACGGGAGGAACTTCACTCTGCTCCGCCAACCCACCTTCCACAAGCTCATCCGAGTTGGTCTGCCCAACAGACTCAGGGGTGAGACATGGGAGTTGACGTCTGGATCTATATACCTGCGACTGGAGAACCCTGGCCTATATGCCCAGACCCTGGCCAAGTATGAGGGTCAAGAATCGCTCGCTATCGACGAGATTGAGAAGGACCTCAACCGCAGTCTGCCCGAGTACCCCGGTTTCCAGAGCGAAGAAGGCATTGGACGCTTGCGCCGGGTGTTGACCGCCTACAGTTGGGTCGATGCCGATGTTGGATACTGCCAAGCCATGAACATTGTCGTGGCCGCGCTTCTCATTTACATGAGCGAGGCCCAGGCCTTCTTCCTACTCTCCGCTCTCTGCGACCGCCTAGTCCCCGGCTACTACTCCACAACTATGTACGGCACCCTGCTTGACCAGAAGGTTTTCGAGTCGCTAGTCGAGAGGACGATGCCGGTCCTTTGGGAACACCTTGTCAAGAGCGACATCCAGTTGTCGGTCGTATCTCTACCCTGGTTCCTCTCCCTCTACATCAACTCGATGCCCCTTGTTTTCGCTTTCCGCGTATTAGACGTTTTCTTTGTTGAAGGTCCCAAGGTTCTTTTCCAGGTTGGCTTAGCCATTCTGCGAATTAATGGAGAGGAGTTACTCGATGCCCCTGACGACGGCGCCTTCATTTCCGTCCTCAAGGGATACTTCGTCAGACTGGATGAATCTGCGCACCCTAGATCTGAGAACCCCAAACTCCGCGCAGTCACTCGATTCCAGGAGCTCATGGTCGTGGCTTTCAAAGAATTCGCTGGAATTACACACAGCAGCATTACTGAGCTTCGACTCAAGAACAAGGACGCCGTTCTCAATAACATTGAGAACTTCGCCAAGAGGACAGCCATCCGCAACCTAGGCCCTGACAGCAAGTTGCTGAGTACAGAAGATTTGGGATCGCTCTACGATCGATTTTACAGTATCTTATACGAGCGACAGCAGCGGGATAGGATGATTCAAGAGGAGAAGATAAGGCGAGCCAAGGCAAGCCGGACACGCGCGTCAGAACTCTTTGCCGCTCCTCAGAATCAAGTAGAGAAGGGACGTGTTGGCTTGGGACCAAGCACTAGTCTGATGGACTATGACGCTTTCCGAGAATTCCTCGCCAGCATGTCGAAGTGGGCCATCTCCGATTCGCCAAGCGCCGACAGGCAGGCCATGTTCAACAGCGCGAGACGGCCATCGGAAATGCCATCGGCCTGGGGTGCAGGACCAGAGCCTGCGGATCATGAGTTCTTGAAGCGCCTTTTCAAGAAATGGGACGTGGACGGTACGTCTGCGCTGACCCTCCAGAATGTTGTCACTGGCCTGGCACAGATCAAGGGTAAGCGTGATATTATGGGCACAATCACATACTTCTTTGAACTCTACGACGACGACCAGGATGGCAAGGTGGACCGAGAGGGTATCCTGCGGATATCCGAGGCTCTCCTATTCCTCTCACGTCGCGGTCTAGAGGGATCACTGAGCGGCAGCGCTTCAAGCATCACACTGGATACCGACGCAGCTGGAAACGAATCACAAGGCAGTCTGCACCCTGGAGCTTCGAATAACGAGCGATTCCTGGGCAGTGTCAGCGCCTTCATCCGGCGATGCTTCGAGTACGCCGATCCAGTCAGCAGCCACGCCGAGGAAGCTCCAGCGACTCCCACAACCCCCAACAGCGATGCGTTCGCCATTGGTGATGATGAGGACGATGAAAGCGAAGACGAAGAAGACCTTCTAGGTCTTGACTCGCCCACAACCACCCCTACAAAGGCGAAGAGATCCGACGGCTCGTTGAATGCTTCTGAAGGAGGCAAGGTTATACAGCGCCAGGTATCCAAAGCAAAGTCTGAGGCAGCCAATGCCGCTCTCGACCCTGCAAACCCCCTCCAACTTACCTTGCCGACTTTCAGGATGGTTGTGCTGGCCGATGAGCTGCTTGAGCAGTTCTTCGAGTCTTCCTTCCCCTCGTCCTTCCACATCATCGAAGGGCTCCAGAGCGCCACACCCTACTCGTCCGCCCCATCTCTCACCACCTTTTCCAGCCTTGGTTTCGGTGCACGACCACCTCCCCCGCCTCCCGTTGGCCCTGCAGGAGCCGGTCGTGGTCTTCGGGGAGTGTTGGACAACATCGTCACGGATGGTATGCGCGTGGCAACCGAAGTCCGGAGACGAGTGGAGGAGGCCCAGAAAGAGCTGGAGAAGAACGCGCTGCCCGGGCAGAGACCAGAGGATGACGAAGACGACGACGACGATGTGGGTATCGAGGTTGGCGTGAGAAAGGGGCCAGCCGGCGCCAGCACAGACTTGGAGCGTCGGTCTGTCAGGAGTTCGGACAGGGACCTTTTGGATGGGGCAGATGCAGAAGCTGGCGCGGTCGCAAAGACGCCAGGCAAGAGCTTGTTGGACGTGGATCCCAACGAGGGACGTCCTCGCGCCAACACTGCCACATCGACCCAAGGATCGGCAGTGGTTGAGTTTGAAGGTTGAACAACCTGTGTTCTCAGTGTGACGGACAGTCGCACTTCGCGGAACTCGATGTAAATCAGTGCAATGAATGTAGGCTGTTCATGGTGGTTATGCTTATGTCCGATATGCGGGAGTCTGTGGGATGAAGGAAAGATAGGTAGCTGCAATAGGGATCTCTGGGCGGGGGGCTAACGGCGTGGTGAGGAATCATGGTCCCAAAACATGGGCAGATATAATCGGGGGTAAGACTACTTCTTCATTGTGGACCAAAATCAGGAAGCTCCTCTCATCTTGATCTGTGACATGGACGTTCTGAGGCAATGGTATGCCGGTCCATATTCCCGTTGAGGTATTGTAAGCTATCCGGGTTGAAGACTCCTTACCAATAGCCAGGATTTGAAGTGATATCAAAGTGGAAAAAGGCGAGTCATTAACGACATGTCTACCCAGTTATCTTCACCAATGGTAGGCGGCTTGTGACATCCTTGAATGTGAAACCCATGATTCAAACTCTGGCTGTCTATGACCGAAGGTCTTTCACGGAACCTTCTCTCCTGTTAGCCACGTTAGCCACCAGTCAAGAAACGACTCCTGTTCAACCCCGTCGGTGGAGTGATAGTCCCTATCAAGCAACAGTCGAGAATGTGAATCAAAGGCGACGGAATCTCCTTTTCGAGAATCGGCAAGGAATACTGAGCACGAGAGGATATCAACGGGCGCTAAAGCGGCATGCACTAAAACCGACACCCCGTGATGCAAGCACGGAAACCTTCACCGCCAAACCGGCGGTGAAGGCGATGTGGGGAGATATGGAGGCCGACAGAATAGTTGAAAAAGCAATGAGTTGGGATTTTTATTCATGTAGGCGCGAGCCTCATCATATGATGGAATGGTCTGATTTCTGGTCTCTTGACCAGGTGGTTTTTTATGTGAGCCATTGTAATTTCAGTACTGTGCTAGTGGTCTGAATTACAAGACTTTTTCTTTGACGAAAATGTGCACCAACAACAAGCCTTACAGGCCTTGTTCTAGACTTCGTTGCCAAAATCGCTTTCAGACTCGTCCTCAGTCTCCGTCTCAGTCTCCGTCTCCTCAAACTCCTCCTCTTTATGCTCAAATGCCCTCCGAACCTGGTCCAAGTACTGCTGCTTCTGCTGCATCTTTCCAGCGATGAACTGCCTGCTGCCCGGCGCCCAGTACGGCCATGTCGATTGCTGGAAGTCCTTCCAGCTCTCCACGGCTTCGTCGCCGTATTCCGGCTGAACGTGCTGGATGAAGAGGTTGTAGATTCCCGAGAAGCTCTCCAGAGCGTTGAAATACCAAACGTTTCCAGAATCCCATCCAGCTCGCATTATTTCTGCGAACGGGGTCACATTCTCATCCTTCTGGGTCTTCTCGGTCTCGACCTCAGTCTCAGTCTCAGTATCGGACTGAGTCCCAGGAGTTGTCTGCTCAGACTCCAGAATGGTCAAGAACTCTTCGTATCGTTCATTGTAAGTAACCAAAGCTTCATCAGTAACTTCAACCATCGTTCGACCAGACAACCAATGTGGGAAGCGGAGCATCTCAGTTGGTTGCGAACATGTCCATTCCAGATCGATAAGGCTTTTCACATTCCAATCATCGTCTACAAAGATGTTGCTTTGGTGAAGGTCTGTGAGCATGAGGGAGAAAGGACCATGTCGGCGTTCCTGATCGGTGAATTGTGGTACCAGAGCCCGCATAATGGTCAAGGCAGAGAGCAGTGAATGGCCGTCGTCTTCGTCGATGATTGAGTTGGGGTGGCCGCGAACTCGTTTATCATGGCATGCTAGTAGATCCAGAAGGTATGTGTCGTTGGAGATGTAGGTCTTGTCCCGGGGGATGTCGGTTGAGATGCCTAGGTTTTCGAGTTGGTGGAGTTGTCGTTTGAGGGGTCGGTTCGTCAAGGTAACCACGCCTTTGTTGTCCATGGTCAGTGAACCGATTCGAGGGAGCGGGACCTTTGCAAGGGTGAGGATGATGCGAGCCAAGCCTCCAAAGAGTGCGGCGCGTCGTGTTTTGTCGTCGCGGCCGGTATCCCAAGTCTCAGAGAGCATGTGTCCATCTTGCACGTAGTCCAACAGCAAATATCCAGACGTGAGCCTCTGGCCGTGGGAGTGGAGGGCATAGCCGGACCGAGCGGGGTTCCCTAGCATCCAAGATACGAAGCTTCGAATATACCAGCCGAGTCGTGAGAAGAGGGGTGCTTGGCTGAGGAGGGTGAACTGTAGCCACCGACAGTTAGCATCCGTTACAGGACGGTTGACTTGGGGCTCTTACACTTGGACCACCGGGGAATCCAAACCCCCAGAGAGTGGGAATCGGGATCGAGGGGCAGTTGGTTTGCATCCATGCATACGTAGCAACCTCACAGCGGATCTTCTCCTCGGCATTGCCTTGGTGGGTCGACTCTCCAACCTTGTACGGCAAGGGGAACCGGATGATGGCCTTCTTCTCCTCATTGACGTATACCGGAATGCAGACGTTGAAGCTGCCGTGGATCCATTCTTCGACCGCGGGGACCTGGCATGAGGCGCCGGAGACGCCCAGGTGGTGTGACACAATGTCTTTAATGTCGTCGGAATGGGTGACGAGGTCGGCGCAGAAGTCTGAGCGCTTTGCGGGGTACGAGAGCTGTTCGAGGATGTCGTTTTCGTCCTCCAATGCGTCGGAGAGGGTGATCTTGCCCGCCAGGAGCGGGAGAGTCGTGGAGGAAGCCATTTTGACCGGGATCCCAGAGTCGGGAGATGTGATGTTGGTAAGGTAGATCTACTAGGCCATGGTCGCGTGGACTTTCGGAGGACGCATTGATCAGGCCAGCTGACTAAGCGCCGTACCGGGCTATTCTCTTGAGAGGGAAACTAATTATGCCTCACGGAGCTATTGTTTCATTCGAAGTTCCAGACAGATGTTCGGGAGCTGCTGGGCTAGACATTGGTATGAATGACATAATGCACCTTGGAAGCTTTGGTGAGAGTGGGAGACGGATGGAAATAGCGGATGTAGTGCCTGTAACCATCGAACTCTGGACGGGTATAGCAACAAATGCGGAGCAACTTAACACACCGACACTTGGGGAAAGCGATAGAAACTCCTCTAGATCAAGCCCAAATAGAAGCCTGCAGGCCCTTGTGCTTTATTTATTGTGTCCATGTTTTCCATGGAATTGTACTTCCAAGTTGAACCCGTCAAAGCCCGTCAGTTCCGACCGCCCACTGCCGATCACGCATTGCCGGGAGCATTGACCTAACAGGACACCAAAATCCTCACGAGTTGTGGCGGAGAGCCACGTACTGAGCGGCACTTGAAAACCCCCGGCTGTGCCTGTTGGGCGTTGAGGGGCTTTCAATTGACCTAATTTCTGGGGCTCTCGTGTCCAATGGAATCAGTAATTCCGTGTCTTTGGTTGGTGATATTGCGGGTTGTTGGGCTGGGCGTCAAGAAATTGGGGTCCAAAGAGGGGCAATGACCGACGTCATTTTTGAGCTCCCCCGCGACGCCGCAGAGGCGCTTTGTTCCTCTACTAACGCGATGCGACCGTCCAGTGGCCTGATTATCTTTTTTCAACGGCTGACATTGTCGCCATGCAACTAATTAACAAAAGAAACCATTTAAAGATGCAATAATATTTTATTTCACCACATAAAAATGCCCCTCTCGACATATGCCCAGCAATCCAAACTAAAAGAAGGAAATATCCCCCCGAGCGCAATATTCAGGTCTTAGAGCATCATAGGCACCAGTTCCGCCGAACTAAGCAACATAAGAAGGAATATACCACAGTAATCATCACGGATATAAATTCGACTTTCAGCTTGTTATTGCAGTATATTTCCCAGACGAACGTTCATTTAAGGTGCCCCGAGTCACAGGGTCTGGGGTGCATAGGAGTAGTATGCTAGCATGTAAGCCGCCCGAGTTCGTGATATTGCCCAGGTAGAGCCGTTTTTGTCTCGGGGGTACAACTCACTTAGCAGGCCCTATGAGGTATTAAAAAATGACAATGCAGAGGCTACAATTGGTCTCCTGGGCCTTCTAGATATCCCGCAGAAGAGACACTCTCCCTGTGAGCGAGGAATCGGTCTTAGAGGGACATGAGAGCATGGACGAGAGCACCGCGGCACTAGGAAAGCTACTGGCCCTGAAGCGTCACGTAGAGTAACTCGCAACTATGTCCCCTAACTACAGAAAGAAATTGTGGCTGTAGGTGCCAATGGATATACGCTCAGCCCAGATGAATAGATATGGGCTCGGTTTGGTTAACGGATGCAGATCATGCCGGTGAAGCAAAGAACCAACTCACAGGCTTGGGGTTTGAAAGAATGGTTACGGTCTCGTAGCTTGTAATTTTGCTCCATGGTCGTTCGATAATCTGCACCTAAAGCTATGAGGGCTCATTCTTTCCAATGTTCTTGCGACCCTTAGAGAGATGGATGAGGTTGTAGGATGTGTCGCGCAAGATGGCGATCTTGCGGACGACTGGGTCGACGGAGACGCAGCCGCACAAGATCATCATGTGCTGCGAGGGGAAGTACTGCTGCTTTGCTGTGAGAGTCTCAGCTGGTGAGTAGTCGAAGTTTGCTTCGCAGGCTTCCATGACTGCTTGTTCGCAAGAATATGTGATTGTGGTGCTACGGCTGGTTGTTGAAGAGTGCTGGCTTAGTTGACGAGAGCATCGGCCAAGATTCACAACGATATTAGCGAGACATAATCATCTTGTCATTGTATTGTCCGAGAGGATTGATCCTGAGTCCCTTTAATGTTTGCTCACGTGGATCTCTTCCCGGGTCTTGGTCTTATTGCTGAGACTTATGAGATGGAATCGTTATTGATGCAAGGGGGTAGTGGTAGTGAAAATAACCACCTACCCTGTACCCCGGCGATCGACGATTGTCTTTCCCGTGTCTTGGGACAAGCCTGGTGGCTGGTCTGTTCGGACCATTAACTCCTTTCTGACCCAGCAGGAATCCAGTGGCTGAGTCCCTAAGGCTGCTACCAATGAGCTATGAGGCGGTGTGGCACGTTATTGTTTCTGAGATGAGACTGCTATGGAGAGGAAATAGAGAACGGGTTTCACTATGGAATAAGAGTCTCAGTCCAATGTCTGAGAGACATCGGCCTCATACGAGATGATTAGGGAAGTTTGCCAGCAAATCAACACTGCTAAAGGGGCAGATATTGCTCAAGTATCACTGCAATTCAATGTACCGTGCTTCTTAGTGCACTAGCTGATGTAAGTGCGCGCCGTGGTGTTGATTTATGGTGGGAGATAAGACGTAGAACGTGATACCCCGCCATTGATCCATTACATCACGCAAGCAGGAACCGGACTGCGAGGGAGCGAACGTGTTTGTGACATCAATCTGGCAAAGACACGTCCCACATTCCATCCCGACCAAAATACAGAACTACTCGAAACGAACAAGCTGGACCGTCATGTCGTTGGTGTTAATCGTGGGGGCCACTCGGGGCTTGGGCGCCAGCCTGGTCAAGCAACATGTTGCGCGAGGGAACACGGTGTATGGCACGATGAGATCGACATCCAGCCCGGAGGGTTTCCCTACTCAGGTGAAGTGGCTTCCGGGGATCGACTTGATGGATCCCCAAGTGGGTGAGAAGCTGGCCGCATCTTTCGAGGCAGAGCCCCGGCCGCTTGCTGAATTGGTGAGTGATCAGAGATACGAGACAGGGGCAAGTTCCGAGTTCTAAGTTTGCCAACAAGATAATCTCGGCTGGGCATTTCTCGACTGAAGATCTCACCGTGGAGAAAGGACCCAACTGGGAAGAGGAAGTGCGGATGTACACGACCAGCTCCATCGCACCCGTGTTCATCGTGCACTCACTGGTGAAGGCCGGCTTGTTGCAGAAGGGGTCTAAGGTGGTCTTCATCTCATCCGAAGCTGGTAGCATCGGGCTTCGGCACGAGAAGGAGGGTGGCGGCAACTATGCCCACCACGCCAGCAAGGCGGCACTCAACATGGCAGGCAAGCTACTTAGCCTGGATCTCAAGGAGAAGGGGGTGATTATCAGTATTGTGCACCCGGGTTTCATGCGTACCGAGATGACCAAGGGCGTCGGGTTCGACAAGTATTGGGATGACGGCGGAGGTAGGTTGCTGACGGGATTCAATCTCATTGTCGGATATGCTTGAGAAAGCGAGGGCTAACATGTCGGGTGTGACATAGCGGTGACACCGGATGAGGCAGCTGCCAGCTTGATCGACTGGACGGACAAGCTGGATATCAGCAAGTCGGGAGAGTATTGGGCTCCTCGTGGACCTCGTAAGTCATATTCGTATTTTGTCAAGGTGGCATAAGCATATTCTGACCGTATCTCGAATGGGCAGGAGATATTGGGACGGCCGAAGTCGTCCTTGGAGGGGATCTATCGACCCCACTAAAACTTCCCTGGTAAATCAAGGTCTTGGAGGATCTCGTTCCTGAGGTTGTAGATGAAAGCAGTCCAGCAAGATTCAATAGTTAAGCCATTCCAAAGTAGCACCCACATAGCGCCTCGTGGGGGAGAGTGAATGCCGTCATGTGGGACACTCTTGGTAGCGCAAGAAGGTCTCGCGGCACGGAGGGGTCATCTGGAAATTGAAGTAATTTCTCGTAATTCGACGACCGCGTCTTTTGGCGAAGTCTGGGCGGACCACACCTGAGAGCCAGATGGTGGTGAATATTCAACGGAGCAATTTAGCAGCTTAGTACGGGCGCGGGTGCGCGCGTGTTCGCGTAGCGTGGGTCTCAACGTTCCGAAGAATGAAGCCGTATCTGGTTGGGATCTGATTGGGATCGGCCGCTGCCCGTGTGTTTGGTTATCCTGGCAGGGGCATGCATTCGCATCAATACGAGCTTGTGGGACGTGGGAGGTGACGAGCATGCCGTACTACGTAGTACTTATCACATACATAGTACTTGGTCACACCAAATTCAACGTCGTACGGTTGGTGTTGGCCGACCAGGGCGACACGTGCTACAACCGTGTACGAAGCTCTGCTATCAGTACTGTTTGCTATGACTGTGGGTTGTCTACTAGATTGTGTAGGAACTACTTACTGTATGTGTTCCTGTGGTGACATAGCACCGACAGGGGAAATTGCCGACAGTTTGCTGAGCTCAACTCGGCCGTCGACTCCCGAGTTGAGTGCTCGCGTTGCATTGAATCGCGTACACGATGTAAGCGGATGTTCTGAGGCCGACGCCGAAAAAGAAGGTTGAATTTCCCCTTTACCGAGAATGACGCGAACCAAGCCCAGAGAGACCTGAGACGACATATTAGTGTAATATAGGTAGATTGGCGCCATGATGGGAGGCCTTATTATCCCGAGGTGGAGGGGTCAAGGGGGGGGGGGAGGCTGGCCAGCTGGGAGACTGGAGCCGCCTGTATCAGTACCGTGGCGAACACGAGGTGGCATTTTTTCCCTTTTCTGGGTAGTAGCATGAGCATGAAGATGAGCATGAGCGGGACGTCGATCGCATAGACCATAGACGAGAGAGCCCCGGTCCCTTGGTCCCTGAATTTGGCTTCCCCCGCGGCGAGACCGTGACCCCTTCTCTAGGTCTTGGTGAATCAGGGCCGTTGTTGCTGTGGTTTCTAGGGAATAGAGCGTGGGACACGGCGGAGAATAGGTCTGGCAGTCCGTGCTTATGGAGCTTGGCAGGCTTAGTTGTTATTATCGTCAGTAATTAACATCATCACCAAATGCGATGCCGCAAGAACATGATGCATGGATGGCCCTCCAAGGTGCTGTTAGTTCCCCTGATGCCGCTAGACGGCGCCGGCGTCGAAAGAGTAAATTGAGCATTGTCGCGCCGGGACCAACAGTCCCTTAGCCAGTAGGCGCCCGGCCCTGGCGTCGGTCCTGGCGTCAGGGGACCGTGGGACTGCAGATGGAACCCTGGAGACTTCGTGGGGATGGAAATATGAAAGATGCCCATGATGGAGCACTTGGAGCACTTCCCGGGCGACGGTGATTCCATTTTTGGCTGTCCCGGGCCCAGGCGGGACACCAGAATCCATCCATTCCCAGAGGCATGAGCGCAAATGGAACTAATAATAAACCAATCTGCGGGATACGGAGCCTGCCATTACTTCTAGGGAGGGCTCTAGGGAGGGACCTGCGACAAGAGGCAACGCCACTTGCACTGCACTGCGTTGTGTTTTTCCAGGCGCTCTCATTCAGTCCAATCCACGAGCCGCCGGTGGCTGGCCATGTGTCCCTGATCCACGCGTGGACGACGGGCTATTAGGCACTATTTTAGACTGAATGTTGAACGTTGGGTATTACTCCGTACATACCTACCAGGTACCTAAGACCAGTGCACCGCACCAAGCACATGGGGAAGTGCACGCCACGGCGGTCCTAGTGGCTGCGCTACAAGCAGCAGCGTCCAGGGCAAACTCCACGGCGTCCTCGTGATGCATGTTCCCCATGGTCTGGCGGTCCCTGGAGCGTGATGCGAGGTGGGATCGGTGATGGATGCTAGCTAACTTACCTATTTACTACGTAGTGCCCCGTATTGTATGCACGTATTGTTGTAATTGCTGCGGTAGTAACTGCTGCCGTTGCTGCTGCTGTTACTACCGCTGGATCGGTGGTGGCCCTGCTCATGCAATGTCTAAGCTGGGGAAACGAGGGAATCCGCGAGAGAATGCATCTCGAATTTGCCCCATCCACATCGGCCGCCTATGCAGGCCACTCTGACTAGTTGTCCCCTTGTCCCGTGTCCCCGACTCTCCGCGTAGAGAGAGGCACCCTTCTGGCCAACAGTCCCAAACGCCATCTGGATACTATGTACGTATATACTTTGCATGCACAGTAAGATGCAAAGGCAGATGCCCCCAAACCCACAAGCCAGGGACCCCGTTTGTTCCTGAGTCGTCGGGTTCTTTCTTGCCGTCCTTCCCTTCTCAGTCTCCTCACCCCTCTGCGCCATCCAGCTCAGCCGGAATCGACGGTCTCGCCTTCTCTCGCTTCCGCTCTCGCTACTCTGTCTCTCTCTTTCTTCCTCCTCCCACCCTCCAGCTTGGCAAACAAGGCTCTGTCTCTTGTCTCTCTCTGTCTCCCTCCCTCTCCCCTTTTCCCTCAGCCGTCTTCTCTTCTCGTGTATTCCTCGCCTCTCTCTCACTCTCTTCTTACTTCTCCATTACTTTTAATCTCCCAACGTCGGATTCACACGAAACCCCCTGCCTCTGGTCCCCTACTCCTCCCCTTGTGACCCAGAAAAAGATCCAGACACGACGGCCCGCAATTCATCGCTCACCACCAAAGTCGGTGCCAGACGACTCTCCACCGACGTTCCCGTAGCATCAAAGAAACCACACACAGACACAGACACAACCACACGGACAGACTCAGCAACTCGCCCAACACCGACTTACGGCTGCATATTGCTCACCCAGTATCAATCGCACGCACGCACCCCTGATTCTCGCCTGCCAGAACCCGCACACGCGCATCCGAACCCCAACTTCGAAATCCCTACCTAGTACCTCTTGGTCCGCCTTCTCGCTGTAGGCTCCCGAGCCCACCGCTTGTCCTGTGCACCTAGCCAGAGAGCGGCGCGCCCTCTCCTCTCCCGCCTGTTTGCTCTCACTCACCTTCAGATCTACTCTCAACGTGACTCTCGGCCTGTTCCCTGCTCGTACCCGGACTGTCCCGATACACACACAGATTGCCGCCCAAACATTCGCCCACTCGCTTCTGCTTCAATCGAGCAGCCTTCTTGATCAACTCGCCTGGCCTCTGTCGCAGTGTCACCTCGACCCCCTGTCGAACGGCACGGCACAGTTCTGTCTGTCACGGCCAATCCACCCGGTGAAAACACCCCCGGACCAAACCAGACCAAACCAGACCAAGTGCCAGCCCAACCCGAAGCGTCCATCCCTCCACTCACAGCCGCACGCACTGGGCTGCCCCGCTGATAGACACCCCCGACGACTGGCCAGCCGAGCACGAAACATCTGTAGTCGCTCTACTTCAGCCGACTCCCGCAGATCGGAAGCGATTTGCCTTCGCCAACCCTTCTCATCTATTTCGTCTCTGCACCGGCCCACGACCACGACGCCAGTGCACTCGTGGTGATACCTGGCAATCAGCCCAACCCAACCGCCTCCCGACGCGTCACGGCCAAGAGTCCTTGTGGTTCCGCCGCTCGGGCGATCGTCGTGCACTCTCAGACGAGCCAACCCCCCTTTCCTTTCCGAGGCCCTTGGTCCTCGACTCCTTAGGCACCGCCAATCCACCACCAACCCGGCAAGAGACCGGCCCTTGACCCGCCCCATCGTCCATCGCCGCCCTGACAGGACGGTTGACTGACGGGGATCCGACTCGGTCCTGGGTGGCGTCCTGACTGTTTTGCGACCTGGTATGACGCTAGGTCTGGGCTCCCAGGTCAAAGGAATTTAACCCTTTCGGAGCTACGTATCTCGCGAAAGACGGTCCGGGGCAATTCAATCCAATCCAAACCAGGTCCTCGACTCGGCTCAGTCCGTTCATCAGCTTTACTCTCCTGCTCTGCTTTACTTTGCTCTGCATTGCACTGGACTGATCCAGCTTCCCATTATTGGGCATTTGCGACCGAACCACCACTGACTGTCCGAGCTCAATCTTTTGCAATCATGTCGACTGCTCAGTCCTTCCAGACCGGTAAGCGCCCACCCACCCCTTGATCTCGCTTTGATACTCCTGCGACGACACCCCCAAGAGCCCCTAAGAAACCTCCCCTCTCGACTTCCCACCAGGATTCGCTCGACTCCTGCCCCAGCCCGGCGCTTGCGATCAGCAAAGTGCAAAGGGGACTGGATGGGGAAGGGGAAGGGGAGACGGAAAGGGGTGCGTGCCAACTGCGTGCCAACTTGGCAGACAACTCACCATCGCATTGCCATCCGATCCACTTAGCTGGTGGCCCTATTGTGTCATGTAGAGGAGATTGTCTGTTTCATCCCGGCCCATATGTCGTCGTCATTTGCATGCATGCGCCCGCTCCCTATGCGTTTGCTTGGTCGCCAACTGATGGTTTTCTTGGAAGCAGGCCACGCAACCGGTTCTGGTCAGTCCTCAAACGGCCTCACACTCAACTTATCTTCCAACAATCCCTTCCGCAATCGTGCTCCGTCGCCCGCCAGCCTCGACTCTCCTTTCCTCAACAAACCCGCATCGCCCTTTGATGACCCTCCAGCTCGCCCGTTATCGCGAAACCCTTTCCTCGATCAAGCGCCTCCGCAGCCGTTGAGGTCCCCCCCCGGCATCATGTCGCACCAGTCCGATTCCAAGTCACTATCCGCCGAGGAGATTTTTGTATGTACTGATACTGCTGCTCACTGTCGCGATGGCAAACGCATCACCAGTCACCGACCCCGCCCGCATTTGCACCCGCGACCGCCTCAGAGAACTTGGCGTGAATCGCACGCGACCAATCGCTAACCATTGTGCTTTGCAGAACTCCTTGACTCTTGACGATACCACGCCTGCCACCGACCGGCCAAAGCCACCACCTGGCGGCCCTCGTCGTCCCATGGATCGCCCACCTCCTCGACGAGGTGATAAGCCACAGGCACCACCCGACGGCGTCCACCGCCCGACGCGCTCCCAGGAAGAGGCTCTCAGAGCTCGAAGAATGCAAGCCGGTGGTGCTCCTCGCCCAAGCCCCAACTCACCTCAGCGAAAACCCCAGCAACGACGCCCGCGACGAAACTCCGAATCATCTGTCCTGGACTTTGACGCACAGCCTCTGACCGAGGAGGAGAAGAGGATGATTGAAGCCAAGCGACGCGAGCGCGACCGACAGCGTCGTGGCGAGGGAAAAGAGAGGAGCAAGTCAGGCCGTCCTAGTCGACGAATGGACATCATTGACCAGCTTGATGCGACGAGCATCTACGGAACTGGAGGTACGCTGACATAGTCTCACTGCTGTTGAACCGTCCCATTTACTGACATGAACCAAGTCTTCCATCATGACGGCCCCTTTGATGCCTTGAACCCCCACCGGAATCGTGGAAGCAGCCGACGCGCGCCCATGCAGGCTTTCCCCAAGGACTCGCTCAACAACTCCCTGGGCGGTGCTGGCCCACTCAACAGCACAGCCGACCACTCTGCCTTTATGGGCAATGCTACCGATGAGGCTTTCCGGGACTATGCTAGGGGTGGGAAAGGGGCCAACGCCATGTATTCTTCATCTCGCGCTGAACCACCCATCTTCAATCCCGTCGGCCAGGACATCATTCATGGCGACGAATCTCATGGCCTGGGAACCTCGACATTTTTGGAGGGAACGCCCGCTGCGAGGAGCGCTATCGTTCGCCGCCAAGTAGAGCAGGCACAGGAGAACATGGAGGGTGGTCTCCAGCGCAAGAAGTCGCTGGCGCAACGCATTCGACGCGTCGGCGGGGGCCCTCGCGACAATGGAGGCCGGTCAGGGGGTGAGGGTGGTTACTCCAGGATCTCGCCCGAGGCGGTGGGATCTGGCGCAAGCAACCTCTCGGATAACAACCCGTTCTTCTCAGAGTACAACAAGGGCGAGGAAGGGTTCAGCACGAAGGGACGAGATGACGCAAGATCACCACCCAACCAAGCCCCGACAAACCGACGTCCCTCAGCAGGCCTTATTCTAGAGCGACGATCGACGACTGATGGGACCTCGGCCCTGGATGACAGTGCGCCACCAAAGCCGACGGGTCTCCTGGGTCGGATGAAGAGTTTGAAGGGTGGACGGAGACCTCGACCAGATGGCAGCAGTGCCCCTCCCCAGCCCGGGACAGCTGTCTAGTGGAGACTGAGCGCCTGGCGACTAGAGACAGGGCGAGCATCATGGTTGGAGAGTCTGATGGACACCCGGCCTGAGAATGAGACTACTTGGAATCCGTCCCAATTGGAACGGAGCCAAGAAAATACAGGACCAACGAAGACGGAAAGAAACGCAGTACACTCCTCACTACAATACTAGGAGTCTTTCCTTTGTAAAGCACCCGTAGTCGGCGGCAAAGACTTGGGGCATGCGGGATTGGGAGGGAATGTGAGTCCTGCTTTAGAGGACCTGACATGAGAAGAGAACGCGATGAGAGATCTATGGATAGATCGGATTTCGGGCCGGGGCAATGGTTATGCGAAATAGGACAAACTGCCCGCCCTTTTGATTTGGAGACTCGACTATTGATTCCCCAAGACGGATCCTGAACCTGGAGGGGACACTGGGGATAGTTGAATTCCCAGAGGGATTGGGAGAGTGTCATGAAGACTTTTTGTATCTTTTTTATACCGGGACTCGGTTGATTGCTAAGCACCAATACAAGGCCTACTCTGTAACTTTTCCCTCTTTTGAAGTTAAGTTGTGTATATGAGACTGGAATAGCCCAAGCGCTACACTTCAGTTTAGTGAGGCTGTTGGAATGCATGTGGTCCAAGTGCGGATCGAGGCGTGCTGTGATTGGGCATGTGAACTTGAGCGGCAAAGGCAAAGACGCTTTAAAGCGACTCGGACTACGATCTTATTAATTATGTGGTTCTAGATTAAACGTTCGAACTGATACGTAGGATGCTTAATGAGTGATGAGCGCAAACTTGGTTGGTCGTGGTGAGAACTACCTTGTATGACCAAGTACATGACAACCTGACGTCAACACGCGAGTCTCACAACACCAACTCAGTTCAACCATTCAACTTACTGTGAACTCAGGCATGGGGACACCTGCAGCCGCGTCTGTGCCAGCGCCACAGGCGAGCTCTCACTTTTCACTCGAGCCCATCTCGGCATCGGTCTTGTCCGACAAGGAAGCCCGGCGCCGCGATGCCGCCACGGCTCTGGGCTCATGCAGAACGGGATGCGCCGACCTGGATGACTATGTCTTGCTTGGCGGGTTTGAGCGCGGGAGCGTCGCGGGTTTGAGTGCGGAGGATGAGGAGATGGGTGTACAGGTACATTCTAGCGCCTCAAGATTCGATGCGGAAGCGTGGTTGCTGATATATTTGCCGTCTTGTAGCTGGGCCTGCAGACCCTGGCGCACTCGCTGTGCGGCGAAGGCAGCGTCACGAGCGGGCTGGTCGTCACGCCCAAGCCGGCCAGTGCAATCCTGGGCGGCCTGAGAGATGCAGTGAGAGCAGAGCTACAGGCGAGAGGGACGGCGCAGAGGGAGGTTGCGGGACGCACGAGGGAGTGTCTGGAGCGGGTGATGCTGTCGTGCGTGTTTGACCTTGATGGGCTGTGGGAGGTGTTGGCGGATCTGGACCGGCCGGCGGACAGCGGGAGTGTGGAGGAGAGGCGAAAGGAAGACGAGGAGGAGCGAGAGAATGTCCAAGAGGAAGGGAATGCTAACGAGGGCGAGGAAGACAGGACCATGGTGGACGAGATTGGCGACAGCCAGGAGGACGATGACGACGAACTGCCACTCCCAGCTCCCCAACCTCGACTTCAACCACAGTCCAAACCACAGCCCAAACCAGAGACGCCACCACTCCCCGACATCATCATCATCACCCACTTCTCCTCCCTGCTGACCAGCCTCTTCACCCACCGCGAGAAAGCCGCCGCCCACTCGGCCCTGCAGCTCCTGGGCACCCACCTCCGCGACCTCACGCGCAACCTGGCCAGCAGCCCGCTGGTGCTGCTCCTCAACTCCACGTCATCGGCGGCGCCCTCGCCGGCCGACAGCGGCAGCGGCGCCGCGAAGAAGGCCGCGCCGGACCCCACCCTCCGGTCCATCTTCAACCCGCCGCCGCCGCCGCCGGCGGGCTACGCCGCGCACGCCGGGACGCCGGCCTCGACGCGCCGCAGCAAGCCCAGCTTCGGGCTCGTCTTCGCGCAGCTGCTCGACCTGCACCTGCTCTGCACGCGGATCCCGCGGGGCAGAGACGATGCCGAGGCTGCGGCCGCGGCGTTCCACCACCGTCACGCTGTCGCCGATGGCGGTGCTGCGCTGGTGGCGGGCGTGAGCACCGTCTGGGTCGTCGAGGTGCTGCTGGACGACATGGGCGTGTGGGAAGGCCGCAAGGGCGCGCGGCGGGATCGCGAGCAGAGATGGACGGCGGTGGATGTCGAGGGGGCGAGGGTCAAGGAAGCCTTCCTGGAGAGGGAGAGGGTGGTTGGCGAGGTGAGGCTCGCGGGAGGGTTTGGGGGACGAAGGGTATAGCATCATCATCAAGGATATGAGAGGCATCAAGTGTACAATACGCACCACAGTCTACGCGTCGAAGGCATAAACGAGACACGGAATACCACATCAACACACACAACGTAAAAAGAGAACAACCGCTCCTGTATGGGTTGAGAAGGATTTGCGCGCACTATCGACACCCATCCCATTATTCACGACGCTCCATCACAATGCCCTCGCTCCGCATGTCAACAACGCTTATCCTTCCAGAGTACAAGCTCGCCCTATCTCTTCATTCGCAGCACTCCCTGTCCATCGCTTCCTCTCCAAACCGCACTCCATTTCTCATCGTCTCGCATGTCTCGCAGCCTTCCCCGAGACGGAAGCAAAAAGAGCCAAAACATGTCACACCAAGTCACTCTCCAATTTCCCAAGTGCGCGGGCCGAGGTGGCCAAACCCCTGTGTCTAACCTAATGCACCCCCAAAGATGAGCACTAGGATGGACAAATAATGGTGCAAATAAACAAATACTCGCTCGAGAATCCGCGCTCCTGATGATGATTCGCTGCCAACGGCACTCAGGTGCCACCAAGTGATACAAGAAGAAAGTGTTTCCTGGAAGAGGCTCTGGTCTATTATAGGCTCCTCACGCAGGCTAACGCTATCGTGGAGCTTGGCCTGCTGGCGCGGCTGGTGCGCCGAGCAGTTCCGACTTTCTGTTGGACTTCCAAAAGTCGATGGCCTCAACCACATCGTCTCCCTTGTCATCCTCATGCGCAAATAGAATCTGTTGATTGTTAGTAATGGTTGCAATCAGAAAGGGGTTGGAGCATGTCAACTGACCTCATGCGTACTGCTGTGGAGCATACGAATGTTCTTGCGAGGCACAATATGAACCGCACCATTCTCCATGTTCCGCAACTCGATGAAGTTGGGCTCAAACGCAAGAATCCAAGGGTAGCTGAGAGCAAAGCTTTGCGGCGTACCCTCCCAGTCAATTCGCCACTCTGCCCTGGCCCGCCAGCCATTGCGGTTAACAAAGAACGAAAACTCCGAGTAGTTGAGCAAAAACTCTCCGTTGAGCCGTTCGATGTGGATGGGCCTCACACCTTCCTTGCGAGCCACAAAGTCGAGCGACGTATCGGCTTGGTCGAGTAGTGATTGCGTCTCCAGCGTCTCGAGAGCGACCACTTCGAATCCCCTGGCGCAGGCGACGCACAGCTTCGACTTGAGGAAGTGGACCGAGTATGATTCCGTCGGGATGTAGAACTCCTTGAACGGCTTGAGCTCGTCGTGACCGCTGGACATGAACTTTCCGAGACCCTTCTGCTTCTTCGCCTTAGTCATTGCATCATTGGGCTCAAACACCTTGATCGTCGTTGACAGGGCCGACGACTTGACGCAGCACACCAGGTGACGGCCAAGACAGATGCCTGTCTTGAAGAAACTGCAGTGATTCTGAATCTTCTTTGGCCTCTTCGACAGAGCCGGCTCATCGGGGTTGAGCGCTGAGACTGAATAGGACTGCAGCGTCTTGTTCGAGAGTACGAGCAAAAGCTGGTATTCCTCCAAGATATCGATCTGGGTGACTGAAGTGGTTTCCAACACTCGCCTGGGCACTTGGTCTTTGTTCTTACGATCAGACAGGTACACACCGTTGTCTGTACCATATAGCAGCTTGCGACCACCATCTATCAAGAATTAGCACACATCACAGTTATTAGCAAAAAAGATACCTACCAAACGGCGTAACACAGTTGACTTGATTAGCGCCGGCGAAGAAGTTGCTGCAGATGACAGACGTGTTGAAGAAGTCCGCACGCGCTCGGAGACGTTGTTGGGCATTGTCGATGTATTCGAGCCACTTCTTGCGCGCGGCCTGGTTCGATGCGAAAAGCATCAACTCATATCCCGCCTTACCCAAGTGGCGGAATGTGATGGGCCAGCCGTCGCCCTTCTTCGTGTCTCCTGCGTTGGCGCGAATCGATGGAATCAAACTCGACGATGCGCGCTTCACCGACTGAGGAATGACCTCTTCCATTTCTCGGATAGCAAGGAGTTCGAGGGGAATCGGCCGTTTGTACGCCTTGATTTCCTCGATTTTGCCGGTTTGCTTGATGCGGACGAGAAGTACTGCGTGGTCAAACAAGAAGGCTGTGATTTCAGCTGGGTCTGTCGGTGACTTCTTGAACACGCTCTTGAATACTAGTTCACGGCCCTCCTCCGTGAGCTTAAGATCGACCCTCTCATTGGGCCGGAATCGGAGTTGCTCGTGAAGCCTCCTTAGGTTAAAGCGATTCTCGGCCTTGCCGGACTCCGCGTTAACTCTTCCGAGGAGGTCACGAATCACGGTGAGAACCTTCGGAATATCCTCCTTGTCAGGGTTGCCATCCTCAGTGTACTTCAAGACGTTTTCCAACAACAGGGGATATCGAGCCAGACGGGTAGTTGGCTTGGTGAGATAACCGTTGAGCTCTAGCTTCCTCGACTCCTTGCGTCGCTCAATCTCATCCACAAACTTCGCGAAGTACTGGTTCACGGATCTCTCGTTTTCGAACTCGAATTTTCCTTCCAACTGCCGCGAGCCGTACCAGATGAAGGGCTCAAACATCGGAACGTACTCAAGGAAGATGTCGCCAACGTTGTGCACAATGGGCTCCTTCTGTTGGCGAGCAGTCAAGCTCGCGGCAAACCGTGAGCTGACACTATGGATACTTGGGTGATCAATAATGTTGCTGAAAATGCCCTTGACGACCTTGTCTCGGCGCTGGATCGGAATTGGCGAAGCTTTGGACCGCAGAGGCATAATCCAGAAATCGCGGAGATATTCCAGATCCTTGACGAAATCACGCTCGGTGTAGAAGATCTCGGAGATGACCTCTTGTCTCTTCTTCTCCCGTTCATCGACCTTATCGGCAATCTCCTTGGGAACGGAGTTGATCCAGAGCTTCTGTTCGTCCGTCTGGTCGATTTCATCGTCGTTGATGTTGGCGGAATCTTCCTTCCGCAAGCCTGGGTTGATCTTCAGGTTGAGCCTAGAAACCTGCTCCAGTCGTCGAGGACAGGCAATCGAATAACAAAGCTGATCCCTAGTGCAAGTTGGCGAGTAGCACTCGGAGAGCAACACGAACACGCCGTTGACTGAGGGCTGCTCCTCCGGTTCATCCATCAGTGTCTCCTTAAACTGATACATTTCTGACTGCGAGTCTCGCAAGCGGTGTTCGTATGTGACATCGTGGAAGTACTTTTGAGCATCCAAAGCTCGACCAAGAAGAAGCGCCAAGTTTCGGTCGGTCGTCCGGATGATGTAGGAAAGGACATCTACCGCCTCAGAACCACTGAACGCATTCTTGTATGTCAGCTCGTTCTTGGTCCGGTCACCAACTATGATTTTTCGGCGGAAGCACTCTCCGACACGTGAGAGCAGAGCAGGGTATACCAGGGGCGGTCGAATCTTGGTTGCGGTCGGTGGGCGGTCGCTCTCGATCGACTTGCTTCTAGAAGGACGGTGGACAAGAGTGCCTGCATCAGATTCGGCGATCGTTGGCGCTATCGTAGAGGCCATCGACATTGTCCGGTTGTGATCGCTGCCTCCATTTGAAGATGCCATACTGGGCGTTCGGGTCTGGGTTCCCGGAACGTTGGGAATTCCGCCCATAGAGTTCGAGTATCCATTTGCGGTCGGCAACTCCGTTGGCGCCCTTCGGTTGGGGATGACCCGTCCGCTCATAGTCTGATGAGCATCTCGGTCTTGAGGGGGGTACGTCCCGGTCATGGACATGGCCCGATCCTCATGACGTTCCGGAACCACTCTTCCTTGAGCCGTCGTCCTTGCTGAATTCTGATGAGCGTAGGGGGCTTGTCGGAACTGGTTTGCGGGAGCCTGCTGATAGTTGTTCGGAGCCTGCTGCTGTGGGTACATTTGGGGTCGGGGGGCGGAAGCGAGAGACTGTGATCGATAGGGATCGTTATTCATCGCAGGCCCAGGGCCTGGACCGCCTTGGTAGAACCGCTGGGCTGGAGTCCTCGCACCGGCTGCTTGCGATGGTGGGCCTCGATGTTCCATGCGTGGAGGTGCCGGCCCTCCGGGACCAGGATATGGGCGCCTCTGCTGCTGCTGGTGCATCGGCGGCCCCTGCTGATGGTGGTGCTGATGCTGCTGTTGCTGCTGCATGTAGTGAGCGGGCATTTGCTGGCCTCCAGATGCTGAGCGCGATTGGGGATAGTAGCCGTTGCCCATGTTAGTGTTGGAATCGATCGTTCGAGTCCTCGTGGGATCGCCGCGGTCCGGATAGTGACCAGGAGGAGGGCGTGGTGGTGGCTGCCGCGGCATGCCGGAGGATGTCGAGGACATGGTTTGAGTTCGGCCCTGATTCATGTTTGGTGGCATAGAGGAGGATGTCATGGTCTGAGATCTGCCTGGTGGGACGGAACCAAAGATGTTGTTGAAGGCGGCATCTCGCGGTGGGTAGTTATTATTCTGGTCGCCGTTATAGCCCCGGGGCGGTCCCCTTTGGGGAGCCCCTCGAGGATCGTAGCCGTAGTCGGCCATGGTGGCAGATACTATGGCTATAGATTGGCCAAAGCTCATTAGAAGATTGAAGTAGAGGGGGGAGGGAGGGAGATAAGGAGGAGGGAACCAACCCGTTTGGGGTCCTCAAGAGGACAAAATGGTCGACGGCCGGATCAACAGCCGACGTCGACGGATGCGCCGCCGTCAGTCGACGTCAACACGGCCCCTTGGTTGAGATCTAGGCGACGGAGATGCGCAGGTTCCTAGTGCTTGCTGGTGTTACGAAGCCGTCACAGAGTAGTGCTCGTTGAGGGTTGAGGTTCAGGGAGAGGACGGGGTTTATGCCTGAGCGGACGTCGGCTCTCAGGAATAGGGTCGATGGGCTCGATGGGCTCGATGGTGGTCGAAGAAAGGCCTCCGGAAAAAGGCTCTGGCAAGCCTGGAATGTCCGACCTGGGCTCGTCGGGCAGGTCAGGACAGGGAGAGCGAGATGATGGGCAATGGGCGGTCGCGGGCTCGGCGTTTGGTGGCCCTGTTGATGAATCCGAGGGGGTTGCAGGTTCACGATCCACGTCGGAGTAGGACCAGCACACGCAGCACAATGCACAGAGCACAGATCCACCACGTCCACGTCCACAGCCACACGTCGACGGGTCCTAGAGTCGGCAGCGGTGCTTGCGGTCGGGTGTCAGTGTGGTTGTGGAGAGGGCCAGGTAGGTAGCGGCCTCATCAGTGCGAGACGGGGGCCGACAGTGGGCGAGCCAGTGGACAAGCCAGTGCTAGGTCCACCAAATCCACCTGTAGGAGCGCAGTCCTCTGGGCGACTGGCTGACTGGCGGACAGAGGTGGGTTTGGGTATGGTACGTCGTAGGCTGGTCGGGGGGCGGGCGCCGCTATGGGCCGTTTAGGGGATGGATAGAGCTGGGGTAGCACCGAGGACTGGGCTGTCTTGCAGCGCGAGTGTCTTTGCCTTTCCCTGAGCCTCTGAGGAACCCCGGTAAATCCGCTGGATCCTTTGTCTGCTTGGGCGCTCGCTCGCTCTGACAACGCGAGGGAGCCAAGGTACCTGCGTCTTGTACTTCGTACCTCCGTGCTGTGTCCCTCCCAGGAGCAAGAATGTGGCTAGGTAATAAGGGGGTGATGCGCTAGCGGCCGTTGTTTCCAGAATATCACGTCGCTGTCGCCCTTTGAAGGGCCGGGATCCGGTTGAGTTCTAGAGATTCAGAAGGGACTCTGCAAGCAACCGGGAAACCAACAAAGTAGGCAATCCGGCAAGCAGCCAAACTAAGCTGCTGACTGCTTCTTCGGGTCCTTGCTCGCGCATTTAAGACGTCGGTGGCCGAGACCTTGACGCCAGGTACTGCCGCCGCCCCCGGTCCAAACCAGTCCGGGCCATATCGTGACTTCTGGCGTGGTCTTGGCACCCACAAAAGGGAGCCAATCAGCACCACAGTTTCAGATTCTAGTCACGTGATACCAACAGAGCATGCTGAGCTTCTGATTGGCCACAATGTCTCCAGCACAGCATTGTCCAGCTCCCTCTTCCTGGCAGTCCGTCCAGGGCTACATCATCTTCAAGCTTCCAACGCCAAACACGGAGTCCACGTCGCCTCGTCCTTCCCAGTTCTGTCCGGCGGTCACTCCTTCATCATGGCCGACCTATCATCGGAGATTGCCCCCAAGTTTGCGCCCTTCATCGGGATGGTAAGTGTGCTTTGGATGACGCGCCCAAGTGAGACGCGGAGTGCTGATGCGACTGTTTGCAGGCCGGCATTGCAGCTGCCATGGTTTTCGGATGTACGATTCCCCTCCACATCGGCCGACTTGGATCATCAAACATTGAATACTGAACAATTGACATAGGCATCGGCGCTGCGTACGGAACCGCCAAGTCCGGCATCGGCATCGCCGGTGTTGGTACCTTCCGGCCCGACCTCATCATGAAGGTACCGCGTTTTCGACTCCATCTCCCACGAAGCGTCATTGTCTGACATACAACCTAGTGTCTGATTCCTGTCGTCATGTCGGGTATCATCGCCGTCTACTCTCTCGTCATTTCTGTCCTAATCGCCGAGGATCTGGCGCCTCCCTCCACGCAAAGCTACAGCCTGTTCCAGTACGTCCGGCAGATTGGAATGGGTGGATATAATACTGATTGATAGCAGGGCATTCTTACACCTCGGATGTGGTATCGCCGTCGGTATGACCGGCCTCGCTGCCGGCTACTGCATCGGCATCGTGGGCGACACCGGCGTGCGCGCCTACATGGAGCAGTCGAGGATCTTCGTTGGCATGGTCCTGATTCTCATTTTCGGCGAGGTCTTGGGTCTCTATGGGTACGTAAGCCAACCAAGAAGACGTCTGATAGTACGCTGACCACTCGCAGCCTTATCGTCGCCCTCATCCTCAACACCAAGAGCAAGGGCTAAGCTGGCGCCAGCAAGAGGTCGTCTATACTACCCCTCTCGGGGCGTCATCGACGTATACTCAGGATGAACAGAGCCGCTCTTGGGCTGCAGAGACGTGTCTTAATAGCTGCATCGGGCATGGCGTTATGGAAACGTGTACTTTTAACGTAACAGGTAGAGAACAGAGGGAGAAATTGACGGCATATAGTTTCAGTGCGAAGATTGTGCCAGTATCATTTGATCACAGCATGTTACAGGGCAGGATTCTCGAAAAAGAGGATGTTGAAATCTTAATTCGACAAAAGAGTTAACTACATCCAACTTCCATCACCCATTAACCCCCTAGACCCTAGTAAGTGGAACGAATGACGACGAATAGAAGAGTGTGTGGCGACCCCTTTGGTCATCACTATGTAGATGGAGACGAATCATGAGCAACGAAACAAGCACCCGGACATGATGGAAAAAACCCAAGACCCAAATCAAATCTAGAACATCAACGCCGAGGCAATGCGGCAATGTCGTTCAGATGCAACCTTGAAATGTTCAACCCGACACAGCAGCAGCGTCCCAGCGCGGCAAGAACAACCTACATCATCAAGCGCCGTCCTCCAATGCGGCGAAGCAACTTCTTGCGAGAGCTCATCTCCGCATCATTGCGGGTCCGAGTCATGCTTTGATTGCGCTCGTCCAAATCCTTCATTCTCACTGCGTGGTTGTCAGCATACACGCGTTCGTTATCGATAGGCCCGGACTTACATAGCCACCAGTCCCACTGGCGGTCTTCGCGCACAAGAATATCTTCACCCGTCTCGCGGGCAAGTCTCTCCTGGCGCGCCCTCGAAGCGGCGACCTCCCCTACCAGGTATGGGTCTTCAAGCGGGCGGGTGGTCGGCTCGCTGTTGCGCTCCTGCACCGGCTCCTCGACTATGCGCTCCGTCATGACCCGTCGCAAGTTATCCACGGGGCTTCTCTGTACGCTCGCGCTCGCGCGGCGCTGTGCCACCCGTTGGTACTGCCGACTGTTCACGTTGGACCAAGTTGCGATGCGGAAGTTGTTCAAGTTCGGGACGCTTCGTAGGGGAGCGGAGGGAACCGGAGGCAGACCGATAGTCTGCTGGGTTGTCCGGCTGTGGAGAAGCATAGACGTCGGTCCGGCTCCGTCTGACCTGTTGCTAGGCGGCGAGTACGGCGGCACGGCCTCGGGATACGGAGCGACGGAGTGGTAGGAGGGCGCTTCCGACACTGAGAAGCATGGGGTCAGTGGTTGTGGTCTCGTGCTGGAAGGCATCCACTGGTATTCCGTGCTGGCCATGCTGGTGGCAGCTAAGGTCACATGGACGAAAATAATGCCAGAACTTACCATACGAAGGAGCGGTAGAACGGATCGAGGCAGTTTCGAAGTCGTCCGCGCTGTAACGCGGAGTAGCAAGAGCGCCGGTCATGATGGCAGAGGTCGAGGCAGGGGACACGGATGGGAACGAGGCAGAAGAGGGGCAGTGCAAGCCAGCTCGAGCATCTGTCTGAGGATAACTATCAAGGGAGAGAGACGTTAAAGTATGTGGGAAGAGACAGGCAAGCGGTCACGTCGAGTTGAGAGGTCAAGTGAACGTTTGAAAGACGACGGAGGACAGACGGTGGAAGGGTCAGTGAGACGTGTGTGGGAACGGTGACCTTTCTTATTCGGGCTGAAGTAAGACAGGAGGGTCAGTACGCAGTTGTTTATGCACAGCCGCGGATAAAGATGCATGCAGGGAGGTGGCAGGAGGGAAGTGAGAGGTCGTGGTGGTGGGTGGTGGGTGGTGGGCGCCAGCATGTCTTGGGCGGGACACGGCACCGTACTCCAGTACGAAGCGCTTCTGGGCTCTTGGCCGTACCGGGTTCTAGGCTGTACAGGGCTTTTGGGGATTGGAGATTGGGACAATACTTGCCAACTACGACCCCGACAAGCTCCAGGTCGAGACCAGGTTGCGGCGGGCCTGGGCTGGGCATCCGCATCCCGCCGTGGCGTGGGACTGCAGTGGAGGTTGGGGAGGGGGTTGCACTGGAGAGATGCGGGGACACGTGAGTGAGGCCACGACGATGATGCTAACAGAGCTGTGCGACGGAACCATGACGCGCTGGCCGAGACATGGCGAGAACTCTTTCTGCGCCTGACCTGGAGTGCGGCGCCAAACTCGCTGTCTGTCAAGCCCGTTATCTAAGTTGAGTTATCTCCCTCCATCGACCACGAGACCTGTCACTTCTTTCGTGCTTCTTCTGCCTTGGCGATCCTCCAGTCCGGAAACAAGTGCGGCGGGACGGGATCGGGAATGCCACAGGGCAGGAAAATCATCCAGACCTGAGCCTGGGCGTCCCCTGGTGGCACGGTCGGGCGTTTGCCTGAATGGGAATGACGAGCTTCTACGAATGCTTCCACACGGTGATAGCGGGGTATTACGGGCAGTCTTCCGGGTCAACAAGCCTGGCGGGGCTCAGTATCTTTGTCCGAATAGCGGGGGTCCAGGCGCTGTGGGACACTGATCGGGCAGTGCGCGCAGGGGGTTTGGCTTGGGCCCGGTGGGGACAGGCCCATCGATAAGACCTCAGAGCCTCTCATGCCTCCCTCATGCCTCCCACGAGGGGGTCCCGCCTGGGGCTTTGGGGCCGCGTTGTTCCAAATGACGGGCCTGCAAATCCGGTTCATTGGCGACGGTGCCTTGTAGCGACGGAACATCCAAGACCTGTGGGAAACTTGGGTGGATCTCGATGATGCCCTTTGATGCCGAGTCTATTCCTCCACCTTGCTGGCCATGGCATGGTGCGCCTATCATACGCATGGCCACCGCCGTGCCTTGGCTGGACCCAGCCGAACCCCGCTGGACCAAGTTTCACATCTTCCATGACCATTTCTGGGCGTCATAACCCACGTCAAGGGCATCGGATTGTGGTAATATGATGCAAGACTCAACATCGTGTTGTAGCAACACCAGGACCACCTGGCCCAGACCCGACTGGGCAGCCCCTCCCCCCACATGCCCAGATGCGTCTGGATGGCGGCGGATGGTGGTGTGGTTGATTGCTCCCAAACAACCAGGGTGACATCCCTCCGGTTCTCGAGCTACTGTAAGGTTCGACACCAACTTGAGGGAGGTATGTGTATCTTGGCCAACCCGGGTGTTTGCACGGTTGAAGGTGGTTGGAGAGATCCGCGCCATACCGGGTATTGATTTGCGTCTCGTTGCATCCTCCGTGATGCAGGAACCGCCAACTCAACGGCTGCTCGACACTCGGACTTTGTCGAAAGATGAGCTGGACTTGGCCTGTCTTGCGTCCCCCATATTTCTCTGTGCCCCTCCCGCACCAGGCGCCGCTCTTGGGGGTCACCGTCTTGCAGCGCCCGGGGGAATGGGCTCGGTCCGGATGACCCATCTTGCCAGTCCTAGTAGGGCTTGTCTTGCTTGGACTAACGATCAGGGAGACGAACTGCTGCCCACCCACCAGCCCAAGAGATGCAGCAACTTGAGGGTTGCCTCGACCTGCCAATCTAGGGCTCCTGACCAGGGCGTCGCATCCATTTGTGCTGCTGACGTGCTTTGTGTGTGCATGGCGGCGCCTCAACTCGGGGTTCAATGGTTAATCCGCGGAAACCCTAGACACTTGGACATCTCAACCCATGTCACCGACCAGTCTGCATGTCTTGGAAGTGACCGGATTTGCCCGCACCAGGCCCAGGCCCCGGGCGTTCTTTGGCTTGATAAGGTTACGCGGCCGATGGAGAATGGGACTGATCCTCAGAGCGTCGTCTTTGTTGTTAACCGACCGAACCGACGGCCCTGAATCGGAACTGGGAGGGGTTGGATCCGCTCGGTGAGATGCGGAGGTTCTTTAGTCAGGCTGAGTTGCATAAAATATGTGATTCCGATGAGTCGGCGTTTTCTTGATGAGGAAACCGACAAACGAGGGCAAGTCCGTGGCTCTGGAATGTCTTGTCAACTATGGATGATAGAGGCATTATTTTAAGAACTGTGGTTCCCGTGGGTCGATGCCCACAGATCTTGCGGAGTACTAAGCGTAGTCAACCGGAGTAGTTGCGGAAAAGTTTACAAATAATTAAGTTACACAGTGAACAAAGCCGTTTGGTCTGGACTCTAGAGAAAACACAAGTAAAAAAAAGTTCGGCGCTGATCAGTGCATTAACCCGCCTTTTTGAGTGCGAGCATGCAGCAAGGCGTCGTGATGATCTGTAGGTGGGCTGGCAAGCTGAACTGCAGTTAGGGTTGGTGCTGCCCCGCAATCGGCGCTGTGGTTTAATGGAGGTACGTACCAGTCGCGTGAAGACGCGACCAGTGCAGCTCGCATTTCCTTTGCGCAAGCCAGCAAACAGATAAGCCCTCGACATTTTGACAGCAATTCAGTGACGATACGACACCGACACCAAGAACTAAACCGATATTCCCAAAATATAGCCACTGGAATTTTGAGGCTGCGGGCTTCCGACGATCCGCGCCTGATTCAATGCCGACCCGCCTACAGGACTCGGACGGGGAGTCGCAATCCCCATCACCCTCCCAGTCATCACAACCTACGCCCGCGCAACGCATAGTAGCAGTAAGGGAACGAGAATCTAGTCGCGTAGTCTCTACTTCGAAGAGGAAACGTGCCGACACGAGAACTGGCGAAGGGGCAAGCCACCGACTTCGAACCGCAGAGCCCGAACAGGAGAGCGACGAGGAGGACAGCGACGAGGTTTACGATCCAGACCAACCGTTGGACCAACGGCGAAAGGTGCAGCAGGGATTCAGAGATTTGCTCCGCGAGATTACCGAGAATACCGAAGAATATCTCCAGCCAGACTCGCGAGGCTTACACGATGCCATCTTGAAGGCTGATCTGCTCACGAAGCAAGTTCGACAAACAACCGAAGCTACAATCGATTCGCGACTGCTCGTCAGCACAACCGACTTGTCATATCGGAAAACGCTGCGTCTCACCCAAGGCAGCCTGTCGCAAGGCATCGACGTGGATGAGTTTGTATCTAAATGCATCACCTACATGCGCCAGGGCAGAGGAATCCAAGACGACAACGGTCCAGGTCTTTCAAGCACGCAGCGTCAAAGGAGAAGGCCGACTCGCGGTGGAGAGGATGAGGAAGATGATATTGGAGACGAGGGTGATATGATGAATTGGCCACATTTGGGCCGATTCGCCTCGTTGCCCTACATTAGACGGCCTGCGCTGCCTGGCTTCCTCCTCGGCCCGCTGTCGGTTGAGAAAAAGGCACGCAAGATCACCAAACGAAGCGCTCCCTTCCGGCCAAATAACTTGACCGAAACGAGACCGGAGGTTCTCAACGTCGAGGACCTTGCCAAGAGAGAAAACGATCTGACGGCAATTTGCGGCAAAATTCTTCAACAACTCAACACTCTCCAAGCAGACCTTCAAGAAGCAGTTGCTGACTTGCTTAATGACGACATGGACGACAAAGAGAGGGATACTATCATGCACAAACATGGCCTCAGGAGCACGGGAGGAATCGATCTGATGCGATTTGTGGTCAATCCAAAATCTTTCGGCCAGACCGTGGAGAACATGTTCTACGTTAGCTTCCTCATCCGTGACGGAAGGGTTGAGATCGACTTTGACGAATTTGGTCTCCCAGCCTTGGGTAAGAATCCTTCACTGGCAAAACACAGGAATTACCACTGACGATGATTGCAGCGCCTGTTGATCGAGAGGCAGAGGAAGAGGGCGCGGCCAGACACAGTGCGTCCAAGCACCAGGCGATTCTATCTATGGATATGGAGACATGGCGTGACATCATAGACACCTTTGATCTCAAAGAGCCTATGATTACTCACCGCCAGGAAGCTACCAACACGGGGCCTGGGGCACGGGGATGGTATAGTTGAGCGGCCGGATTTGGCAGCATCACAATTGAAGGGAGCTGGCATTTGCACTTCACCATCCGAACTAGTTGCCCAAACATGCTGGATTTCTTTGTTACTGTGCTGGTCACACCCACAGACACGTCTTCGCTGCGCGCCAACGCTAGCTGAGTCTTTGTTCTGTGCCACTACTTGTTTTGATTCATAATGTTGCGGCCAGTTATTGGTTCGTGCAATGCCATCCCTTAGCTCGGTGGTCACATTTACTTGCACGGAGCGAGTTGCCGGATGGGGTTGGGAAGAGAATGAGGTCGGACAACGGCAATCGTATTGTCCCCCCTTGCAGTCGGTGCAAAGTTTACGGTCTCTCAGCGACAACCTAATATACAAGGTCACCTGCTTATTTCCCCTTAAGAGTCCCCTTTGTCCGTCATTTCCCACCGTCGACTCTTGATGCTCTTTAGGCCCGCACCGAGTTTCCCTCCTCCCCTTTTTTTGCATCCGTGAAACTCGCACAGCGAGCAGGAACCTTAGCCTTCATCGGTATCCCCTTCTTTTAAACCCGTGTCACAACTTGTCATTCCTCTCTTGGGCAATTTCACATCGTGTTAAAAACATCACCATGTCGGGCAAGGAGGAGCTCCCTATCCTGATCCCGTCGGAAGACACGCCAATGGACCGCCGCTCACATCCCATTGGTTTCATACCAAGACCTGGAGGCCAGGTTGTCGAGGAGGTTTTCCTTAACTCAGACTATCGCGCTCCCAGGCCAAAGCCTGTTGAGCAGATGACTTCCGATCCTTTACCTCGCAACAAAGTGAGGGCAGCCCAGAACCGAAAGGAGCCGGCACCCAATATGCTGCTGCTTATTCAGAATGCCTTTGAGGCTGAGGAGCGAGTCAATCCAACGGGCGAGAACCTCTGGGACTTGAGACGAGTGGTAATTAGCATTACCACCGTAGTCTACCACCAGATGATGTTATCTCAGCCAGGTAGTGGTCAGGTCCTTTCGAGTGATGTGGAAGTGCTGAATCGTCGTGTTCAACATGTCGAACTAGAGTTGATTGAACGCCGAACGAAAGAGCGACATCTCATGGAGCAGATCCAGCAGCTTCAAGCAGAAAAGCAGGAGCTCGAAAAGACGGTAGAGAGGGATATGGCTGCTATGGAAGAGAGCATGATTGAGTATGGTCCAGAATACTGGGAAACTTACACCAACCATATGGTAGAGAGTGCGGTCAACAAAGTTGCTGGCAGAATCAACCAAAACGGGGCCCCGTCAGTGTTAAGAGGTCCCTCGGTAACTCGCTTTACCCCTCGCTCAACATTCGCGGACGATGCAATGGGTCAATGGAGGAGGAAGAAGCATTCTCTTGTCAATCCGTTTCAGCCTGCCATTCCGGTTCGACGGTACGCGGCAAGCAGCCACGTCGCGGAGCCCGAGACACCACCGCCTATTATGGAAAGACCCCAGAGGGATAATGTCGGCGAAGTTGAAAACCTGAAATTGGTGAGACACATACGAAATCGCGACCAAACAGTTGTTAACTCTTAAACAGGTGATCAGAGGCCAGGACAAGGTGATTTCAAAACTCCAAAAACAGCTAAATATGCCCGCCCGAGGGATTTCTCGTCAAGGTTCCACAGCCTTTCCAACTACCATACGCAAGAGAAATCAGCCGGATGAATTTAGCTCGTCGCCTGTTCTACGAATTTTATCCACTCCGAGATCCCCATTGCTTAAGGCACTCCGCTCAGCAAAAAGTATGCACAATGAAACTGAAATCATTCACTTGATTCGGTTGGCGGAGGATAAAATCACACAACTCACGGAGTCGGCCAAACAATGTACAACCCAGGAGAAGACGCAGCGTAAGGGAGTGCAAGCTATTCAGAAAGCCCTGGATGAAGGGATTCGGAGAAAGGAGAAGCTCGAGGATGAGATGGGGAAGACCGCCGACTTTTTTGCGCATGGAGGTCCATCTGCTGAAATGCAGTCTCTTCACAACCGGATCAGGAAGATCGCAGAGCGCCTTGGGGCCCAGAACGAACAGAACAACCGTCTCGAGCAAGAGAAAGACGTTCGGGGGCAGTGGCTAACATCTGCCACGACTCTGGCCGCGCAGATGAACAATGTCATTATCTCTCTCAACCAGTTGCTGGGTTGGCTCAAGACGAGAAAACAGCAAGGGGTGTGGCTCAACGCGGAGTTGGAGGACGCGGAAGAATCCGAGGCAGTCTTTACCCCATTGTCGGAAAGGCGTCTTCTGGGATCACCATCATGGCCCTCGAAGACAGTGCCCGATTCTGCCAAAACAACTCTGGCAGGCATTGAGGACGTACCGGGCACGGGTGGCGGTCGGATGTCTGCCAGGAGCAGTCATGTAGGGCCAGTACAGGATGCTCCGGCTGTGGAAATGTCGCCCTTGGAACCCGATGTGCCTGGGATGAATCCCTTTTGGCGCATTGTCGTGGACCAATTCCTGGCTTGGAAGATAATGTACGCATTCGGTCGCGACCTGGGCTGGGAGACCTTGCGATATCTCAACGCTATCGACAAGGTGGAGGACATACAGATGGAACCCTTCAACCCCCCCCCTTTCCCATGGGAGGGGATGCTTACAGTTGCGTACCATCTCCAGCTAGCCGCAACGCTCGAGGTGTATGTGGCGAGCCAACGCCAACGGGATATATGGATGTCGGCGAACGGGTTGACGAGGGACTACATGATCCAGAGTCACCGGGAGCCGCCGGCGTGGATGTTCATTCCTGGAGTGGACGAGGACTTGATCTTGCGCGGTCGAGATGTGCGACGCTTGATCGTTTGGGTGATTGGCCTGCTCCATCCGGCTATCAGCAGCATCTGGGACTTCCTGTTGTGGGCTGTTGAAGCGTCCACTGTGTGGATCTGGCAGCATCTCTGGTCTCGTCGTTGAGCAGTGTTGATGGAGTGTGCTCGGCGGTACGTGGGATCGCGATGTCCGAACCTGTTTGGTGTTTCGAATTTGGAATTTTGGTCTACGGTCATGTATGCGAGAATGAAGTGTGTGACGTCGGTTGGCGTGCGGCAATGAGACGGGGAAGTTTGGTCAGCAATAGTGCATTTACTACGTAGTATCATGTCAGTTTGAAAGAAGGATTTGTCGCGATGCCGAGGCCCTGCAACGCTAGCTTACCCGAGTTGGCCGCGTATTTGGAATAAGTTTGATGTTCATATTTGCAACTGGCAGCAGTGTCCACTCATTAGTGCTGTCCACTCCATGCTGCATGTCTCGGTTACGCATGTTGACAGGGCGCTGGGGGTTGGAACAGGCACCCGACGGGACGATCAAGTGTCAAATGACTAGGGCTGAGCGGGAGTTGGTGGCCAAGCGTCTGGATGGGGTCGTTGGGAGCATTAACTTGATGCAAATACCCGGTTTGGGAGTTGGATACTCCCGTGAGTACTAGGTAGGAATGCATTTGGAATTACTTCCCATTCTTTCACAGCCACAGCCACACCCACACAATCCGCCCCAAGTGCCAATAGTGTAAGCCATCCTGGAGCAATTCATCCCCGAACCTCGGCATCATCCCTCCCTACAAAGGCAGCCTGCTCGACTGCTCCAGTGGACGGACACCTGGATTCGGCCGAGGCCGTCGCTGAAGTGGGCCGACGCAGGCCAACGCAGGCCAGAAAAGCTTAGTTTCTACCACTGAGCCGGGCCCAGCGTGGTGTTGATGTCATGGATGCAATGACAGAACGGGCACAGTCCCTCTCTCGAATCTTCGCATATTACCAACCAAAACCAGCGTCATCCATTGGCTCCATGTCCCGGCCCATCCCTTGTTTGCTTGTAACCATATCGTCGCCATGATGCGGCCGCCACGTCGGTGCGCTTCGCCGAGCCACGCCGTGTACTTAAACACCCCGCCGCTCGCACTGTTGTTTGGATCTTCATTCTCAATGACACTATCGATTCACAGCACACTCGGCACGCACCAGTTCCACGACTTGCCTTCACGGATTCGCACGTCTTCTATCGCAACATCCTCAGCAAATTTAGACCTCGTATCCACAAGAGCAACTACCCCGCCCGGCTTCCATCGCCCAGCTTCTCTGTCGACCCGACCCAAAATCTCAACAGCCCGTCGACCTTATCTTCGCCTTCAGCAACGCACCTTCAGCTCTCAGTCACACCACGCCGCAGCCATGTCGTCCCAGCTCATCCCGTCAAATCCATCTGATGTCATGGTCATTCGCCATGTCACTCCCAACATTGCGACCTTCTCCGTGCCCTTTGCACGAGTCGGACGAATCAAGATTGGTGGTCGAGGAACTCTCGGTACGCCTGCCTTCTACTCAATTGCCCCTCCCATAACGCAGGTTTCCAACCTCCATGATAGTGAAGCTCTCTTCCGGCGCTCTCGCCGTCTTTTCCCCGGTGGCTCTCACCGACGCAGCCAAGGCCAAGGTCACTGAGATGGGTGGCGACGTTCGCTACATCATTGCCCTCGACTACGAGCACCACATCTTCATCTCCGAATGGGCCAAGGAGTACCCGGCCGCCAAGATCATTGGCCCCGAGGGTCTCCCAGAGAAGCGCGCCAAGCAAGACGACCCCAAGATCGGCAAGGAGGAATTTGCCGTTGTCTTTACCAAGGCCAACAAGGGCGCCATCCACATCAGCGAAGAGTTCGATACCGATTTCGAGTACGAGTACGTCGAAGCCCACGCCAACCTCGAGATTGTATTCTTCTACAAGCCCGACCGTGTCCTCATCGAAGCCGACCTGCTCTTCAACCTGCCCGCGACCGAGCAGTACAGCAAGGTGCCTGAGGCAGAGAAGCCAGCGGATGGCTTCATCGGCAGGCTGTTCTCTGGACTCCAGGACGCACAGGGCGATGCCCGATGGATCAAGCGTTTCAATTGGTACACGGTCAAGAACCGCGAGAGCTTCAACGAAAGCATCCAGCGCATCGACAAGTGGGACTTTGTCAGCCTGATTCCTTGCCACGGAGATGTCATGGAGGAAGATGCGAAGGCAACCTTCCGCAAGGTATTTGAGTGGCACCTGAAGGGAAGCAAGCACTAGTTTCCCGAGGGATGATGAGTGAATGATTGACGCGGTGTGATGTCGGTTGTAATGGTTGGACGGGATGTTGGTACCCAGTTTGTTACTTTTGCTTTTGCTTTTGCTTTGTTGATACCAGAGGACAGATGTATGCTGTCATACGAGCACCAACATAGAGTGCGCCAATAATGGGTTTCATGTATGTAACTTCAAGTGTTTGTTCAATATTCACGTTTTGTCGAGGTCATGACTGGAGTTACTCTACCGTGTAAGTCTATAATTTTAGACCAATAAGCCACGGGTCTATTTCCCCCTGCAAGCCATCATTGGGGGGATCAGATCTAGTGAATCAGAATGGCTAACAAGATACGTGAGCCTAATAAGCTCTCTCATGTTCTGCCACGCCGTAGCTGGGAGCTTACCTGCCGGTCCGTGCGCCCCACCACTCGGCTCTTATCTTATCGGCCGCCACCCACTTGACGTTGACGTTGGCGCGGGAGGCGCAACTCCAGCCACGACCATCACGATCGCGACACTCGCCGAGCTCAGCCGTGAGTTCTCCTTCTCCCCCAAATCGCCCTCCCGGCCCAGAATGACTTGATCCATCATGGCTGAGTACGGGCGCATGGACCCGTTCTCCTTCGCGGGCTCTAAGGATGTCCATCATCCGGTGAGCATTCGCATGTGAGCGCCCTACACCAACTTCAAGCTGGCTTCGCGTCCACGTTCCACTGACACGCCGTTGCAGAATGAATCTGGAGGGCGAGGAACCCCCATTCAAGCATTCCACCCTTCTTGAGAACCCCGACTTGCGACACATCGGATCCAACACCAAGTGAGCAGGCCCGGTCCCCACGCATCCGCGCCCGACTGACGTCAGTTCTAGCTCCCACTCCGATCTCTATGTTACCGTTCAGGCCTGGGCTGGCTCGAAGCCCTTGACCGTCCCCGTACAGACCGCATACAAACCTTTCCGATCCGAGCGAAAGTATGGTGACCCCAAACTGCCGGCGGACCTACGTTAACGATGACATATAGGTGGAACGAATGGCTCCAGCTGCCGATTACGTACGACTCCCTCCCCGCCAACTCCTATCTTGCTATAACGGTATGGGATCTTTCGCCCACCGGGGGCAAGGGCGCACTCGGCCATGCGATTCCGTTCGGTGGTACCACGCTGCCCATGTTCGACGAAGAGAACCAAGTGCAGAAGGGCCGGCAGAAGTGCCTGGTACATCGCCATAAGCACGCTGACGGTACCGATAACTCGACGACCCCCGCGCTCAACTCAACAAAGAAGAAGTCAAATTCTCGTAAAGGCCCTGCTCCACCCTTGGATAAAGATGCTGAGGAGCTCGATCGTATGGAGACTCTGTTCAAGAAGCACGAAATGGGCGAGATCCCTCGGGTTGACTGGTTAGACCAAATGGTCTTCCGGAGCTTCGAGAAGGGAGGTTTGCAGGCTGCAAAGTCATCCATGAAAATGCTTCAGCGCCAGCGGGCTGTTAATGGAGAGGAAAACACTAATGGTGGCCAAACGAAGCATGTCGCAGAAGATGGCCGTCCGGGTCCCTCAACCTTCTTGCTTAACGTCGAGTTACCGCGCTTTGACTTTCCGGTCGTGTTTGCCGACCACGAATACGACCCTCCGCCCATCTCATCACTTCAGAATCTCTCAGTTTCTCAGGTCAGCGTCGCCCAGAGACAGCCGCAGGTACAGTACGGCCCAGGCATCAATGCCCTCGGCGAGGGCTCTTCAGGCCCTGGTGGACGTCTCGTGAAGGTTTATGACCCTGAGGTGGGTCACAGGGACAACCCAGCCGAGGCAAAACATCGACGGCTGTTCCGAAGCTCGCATCGCCATGGCATTCTGGATAAGGACCTCAAACCAAACGCCAAGGTGCGAGATGAGCTAAATCTCATCATGTCCTACTCCCCAACCCATGTCCTCAACCCAGAGGAAACAGATTTGGTGTGGAAATTCCGTTACCATTTAACTCGGGACAAGAGAGCATTGACCAAGTTCGTCAAATCGGTAAACTGGAACGACCAGAGCGAATCGAAACAAGCCATCCAGGTTCTTGGACGTTGGACTGAGATTGATATTGACGACGCCCTGGAATTGCTCGGCCCATTGTTTGACAATGGGGCGGTGCGTTCCTATGCTGTGGAGCGACTTCGCAAGGCAGATGACAAAGAGCTACTCTTGTACCTCCTGCAATTGGTGCAAGCTCTGAAGTACGAGCATATATCGACAGACTCGACCGAAGAGGGTACTCACGATTCGTCTCTTGCACGGTTTCTCATCCAACGAGCAGCTGCCAATTTCTGTCTTGGAAATTACTTGCACTGGTATTTGATGGTAGAATGCGATGATCGCAGCCCCGAACAGGGACTTGACAACCGCAACATTTATCGCAAGGTCGCATACGAATTCATGACAGAGTTGGTGAAGCAGCCAGATGGTGTTGAGAACCGCAAAACACTCCTACGACAAGCCGAGCTGGTTGCTATCCTGTCCAGGATCGCAAAGGAGGTCAAGACATCCAGTGAGAGCATTGCCAAAAAGGTCGATCGGGTTAAACACTTTCTCGCGGACCCAAAGAATGAACTCCTGGTCATCGATCCACCGCTGCCGATGCCGTTGGACCCTTCGGTTATGATCACGGGAGTTGCACCCGACCAAACTACCGTGTTCAAGTCGTCACTGAACCCGTTCAAATGCACTTTCAAGACCATAACTGGAAGTGTCTATCCCGTTATCTTCAAGCTAGGCGACGATCTAAGGCAGGATCAATTGGTCATTCAAATCATCACCCTGATGGATCAACTCCTGCAAAAAGAGAACCTTGACCTTAAGCTCTCGCCTTACAAAATCTTGGCAACAAGCACATCTGCTGGAGCCTCGCAGTTCGTCCAGTCTGCGAGCATATCCAGCATTGTGAACAAGTTCAAGGCTAATCCCGTGTTGGGCTACCTAAAGTACCACAACCCGGATGACAGACAGCCTCTTGGCGTCCGTCAAGAGACTCTCGACACTTACGTGAGGTCCTGCGCCGGATACTGTGTCATCACTTATATCCTGGGCGTAGGTGATCGCCATCTCGAAAACCTTCTCCTCGCACCCGATGGCCACTTTTTCCACGCCGATTTTGGCTTCATCCTCGGCCGTGACCCCAAGCCCTTTGCGCCGCTTATGAAGCTGTCCAAGGAGATGGTTGACTGCATGGGTGGCGTGCAGTCAGATCAATACCAGCAGTTCAAGCAGTACTGTTTCTTATCCTACACCGCGCTGCGCAAGTCGTCGAACCTTATTCTTAACCTCTTCAGCCTCATGGTGGACGCTAATATCCCTGACATCAGACTGGAACCCGACAAGGCGGTTCTCAAGGTCAGGGAACGGTTCCATCTGGAGATGAACGAGGAAGATGCTCTAAGGTACTTTGAGAGGGTTATTGAAGACACGCAGACGGCGCTTGCACCGGTGGTGCTTGACAAGATACACGAATGGGCCCAGGCATTCCGAGCTTAGCATATGAAGTTACCTGAATGGTTTGGAGTTTTTTGTGGATATAAGGATACGCTGCCATCATAGAGTAATTCATGCTATGACAATAGCCTTGCAATTGTGAATGCGGCCTACTGATTCGTTGTGTACCAACTTGCTTGAGCCATTGCGATGGGCTCAGCCAGTAATGACCCCAGAAGGGTTCTCATATTGGCGAAGGAAATATGGGACCGTCTCCATGGTCATCTTTACCTGCAAACTTCATTGATCTTGCAGATCTAACCTATCTGTCGTTCTCCATATAGATATGTTAAACAACCCGTCTAGACTAGGTCGTAGTGCAACCAGGTTATGCCAAACTCAACGCCTTATCTGACATTGGCTTCTTCGGACCACCCGAGCGACCCATCCTAGGCTGACGTTGCAAATTAGACACTACATATAAACTGTAAACCAATGATGGCAACCCCCTCAAGGTATTTGGTTTGGTTTTTCAGCTTTACTCAATATCATCATATGGATCAAAGCCATGCAGTATTATCAAACAGTGGAGATAAACAGCAAGTGCTACACCAGCACCAGAGGAAAGAGTAGCTGAACAATAAGGTTGTTGCACCCTGGTCTCTGCCTGAAGCTTCAATTCAACCCTTATGACTTCAACCCTACTGTCTACCCCGAAGGTATCGTCCAAGACTTTTGTCCCAGACGGGTTCTCTTGTGGACTATATTACATGGCCCTGCCTCTTCATCCTGCCGCATTGCCTTTCTGGCCACAACGAGCGAGCATTAACCATTCGCCTTTTTGTCACTTCTTTAGCACACCGGAACCAGGTCATCATGCATCCACCTCCCTAGCCTTATCCCATGATACTGTCGGGTATCCTAAGCGGACCATCCATTCCAAGTATATCTCAACCATTCAACCAGGAAATAGGACACATATCGGTCAATTTCTTCGACAAATTTCCTTGCCCGTTCTTCGTCGCAGCCAAGAGGCAATTGGGAAAATCCAAGTTGAAATCCAAAACCATGGATGATGTGAATCGCGACCCGTCAGATCCTATTTTTGACGAACTCTTTCCTTATCACGCAGGGATTTCCGGCCAAGCCGCCAAATTCATGAAGAACACAATTGAAGATACACTCGGACATATCCTCGGATGGGCCGAGGCAGTTCTCGAACCACAGAGACGAGACCGGACCATGTCTAAGCGCCTCAATTTAGACCTTGAGCTGTTTACCGAAGGAATTCGCAAAGTCGCCCTGGAACCCCTCGATAACTTCGATGACGAGCTGGAACAGCTCGCAGAGATATTGAAGCACGCACATACGCTCTTTGACGAAATTAACCGCGAGATTTACCTCTTTTATTTCACGAATGCGATCATGAAAATGGATCTCACCAACATACTGGCCCGATATCTCCCTCCGTGTCTGGCCGACGATGACTTCTGCCTCGAAAGCTACAACCGGGTTGCTCCTCACGCCCTACACATTTACGAGCAGGTTCATCTAGAGGCGAAGGCTTTCCAAGAGTGGCAGTACAAGATTCAGTACGGCAATTCTCCCGATGTCTCACAAGACCAGCCGTGCCGTCTTTGGAACGACATCTTGGTGGACGCCGTCATTCATGCGAGGGATATATATGGCAGCGAGGATTTCCCAGATCCTCTCTCACTCGAAAGCATCATACGAATCCTGGGGGACGCACATACTCGACACGCTAACGTACTCATCCCGGACCAATTCATAGGCATCGAGAGATTTCATGAACTCAACGACATGCAGTTGGCGGCCACGCTGGCGGAGGATCTGTGGACACTCGAGTGTCGATACAAAGAGCTCGGCCATCTAGGGGCCGAATATGACATCGAAGACCTAAAGGCAATCATTAGTGAGGTCATTGGAAAGAATTTTTCCCACTTCAAAGTCTCCATTTCGGGAAAGATGCTCGCTGCGTGGAAGAAAGACGACAATAATCATGACATCCGAATCGAGTATAACTATAGGGACGATGATGACGACGACGACCTCTTCGCAGACGTCACTGTGGGAACTGGAGTACCCCGGGTTGAAGTTCTAAACGGACATTTAATAATGTTGGAAAATGATGCTTCCACATTTGAGGATAAGCAATGGGACGTCGATGTTGGATTTGTTAGGGGCCAGGCAATCGTAGAATGGGAGGAGGAGATCCGCCGGCAGCCTCATCAGGACGGAGACGAGCCTCCTTTGTATTCTGAGAGCTTTAACGATATACCACCCCGTTATGGGGATGACGAGTTGGTGCAAAGAACTGCGCCATTGGATATCTAGCAGAAGATAAAAGGTCCTAATAGTATGGGTTGATCAAATTTTTTGAAAGGGGCGACTCTTGAGGCCAGGTGTACGAGTGATTGGGGGTTACACGTTGTTTCTTATAAGGACAACGAGTTGTACTATTGTAATTTTGAATATGATTGGATAAGCGTCGACTTGTCACAATGCCCTGAATTCGCGGTTCAAAAAGAACTTGATTACGGGTTATGCTCCTATGTTGAATTGCGCTCCAACATCGGCCTCGTTCGCCTTAGCGGCACGGGAATAGTTCACTAAAGTGTGATGAAATATTGAGTTATTGCATTCCCATGTGCTTCCTCCGGATCAAGACAGTATCCCAAAGACCAACGCCGTTGGCAGCGAATCCAGTGTGCTTTGGGAAGAAATCGTGCCTGGTGATTCAACTGTATTCAGCAATAGATGGCAGCCGGACACCATCGAAGCCTAGCATTATTCGCCTTGCAGGGGGACATTGATCCGAGAAGCTACCTGAGAATTATCACCAACATCAGTCTTCCACGCCTCGTTTTCAGCCCCATCAAGCGAATCACGTCAGGTAATCAGGGCCTCAACCGTTTCGAGCCCATCCGAAGTGAGTCCAAAGAGCTGGGCCTCATGATGTTGGCATATGAACGATCGATGTCTCGTACACTGAGACATAATCCGTCATTGAGGGGGACGTCCGCAAAAAGGTATCAGGAGGTGGAGCGATTGGAATGTGGGCAGTCTAGGCAGGCTGCATCATCGACAATCCGATGGCTAGAGAAAAAGGTGTGGCGAGGCGGTTCTTATTATACATAAGATTACCGATAGATGGTATGTACATCCTACGTTATTCGTGGTGCTTACATCATATCATGTCCAAATCTAGGTATCGCCAAAGACAAGCACGCCCTTGCCTTTACGGAAACCTTGGAGTCCTTGCTGTACTGCATTCCGCAGCGTCTCCTCCTCCGTCTCCCAGTCCCACTTGACCTCCTCGATGGGCACGTCACGGAACTTGCCCTCGCGGATGACGTTGAGGATATCGTCGATCATGTGTTTGCGGCCTTCAGGATCACGCTCGTTCCATCGGCTCAACCAGAAGCCAACGAACCGGATGTCCTTGAAGATGAGCAGACCGACGGGAAGCGCCACAGGCTGACGGGCCATGCCGCCATAGGAAACCAGAGTAGCGTCCTCGCCAAGAGAACGGGCAATGGCGGTGGCCGATTTGCCGCCGACGCAGTTGAGGCCGAGACCGATCTCCTCACGGCCCTGGCGGGTGATTTCCGCGAGCTGGTCCCGCCATTCGCGCGACAGGAACTGTGAGTCCGTCACGACGACGTCGGCACCAAGGTCGTGAAGCTCCTTCTTGAGCGCCTCAGTCGCCTCGGGGGTCTCACGGTCACGAACGACGTTGATGCTCCTCAGTCCCCACAGCTTACCGAACTGGATGGCGGACCGACCAACACCGGAGTTGGCACCATTCTGGATGAACCACTGGCCGCTACCGACCTCGAGGGGCTTCATGCCCATCCCAGCCTTAGGGCCGGCACTGGGGCCATATGATCGCAGGATCTTATAGGCCGTGCAAGGGTTGACGCTGACAGTCGCAACCTGCGTAGGTGTCAGGCCCTCCTTGTTAACTTTGATGAACTTGGAGGCTTCATCGATAGCGTGCGTCCTCCAGGTGCCGAACTGACCGACAGCGGGGAGGACCCAGTCGCCTTTCTTCAGGGACGAGGACGGGTCGCCCGAGGACAGGACCTCGAAGACGCCCTCATTACCGGGGACGACCGAGGGCTCAGCGGTGCCAATGAGGGAGGTGAAGGGTGGTTTAGAGCCATAGGTTCCCTGGATGGTGTTGATATCGGCGGGGTTGATAGGCGCAGCGAGGGATCGGACGAGGACGGACGACGAGGGGATAGATGGCGAGATGGAATGGGTATGGACTCTGCGAGGAAGTTGTTAGCGCTGCGCACCTCCCGGCAACGACCGAAGAATAGAAACCTACTTGAGCACATCTTCGGGCTCTCCGTACTTGGAGAAGACGAGCGCCTTGGCCTGGGTGTAGCCGTATGGCCCAGACTTACGTCGCACAGCCGTCACAGGTAGCCGACTCAGGCAATGGGCGTGGAGCTTGGCGGAGGGCCGAGCAAGTCCCGAGGCCAGCGGGCGGAGGTTCAGACGCTGCGCACTCGCCATTGTGTGCGGACAAAGCGGGCGTGGTGCAGGCTTGAAGAATTGATATTGCTCCGGTAGCAAGTCGGTTTCGTCGTGGGACGCGGGATGTTTGAACGGAGCTCCGATGGAGTCTAAGCTCGGCTTCTCCATCAAACTAGTCCATGACGTGAACCGATGCGCGGGCGGGCCAATCAGGCGTTGCGATTAACCGGGAGCGGGGCGTCGACGGACGGGATCTAATTATCCAGACGAGTAATTGTCGCGATAGCGATTGTGATAGCAGGAGATGCAACATGCCTCAGTATGCATTCCTTTTCGATTGTCCGTTGGGAAGGGAAGATATCGTGGGGCAATTCTTCAACTCAGCTGGCCTGCGTCGCCTGGTGTGTGAAAGGTGAAATTCCTTCTGGGACGGGCATCGCCCACGCAAAGGCGGGCGGGCGGTTCGAGTACGTACAGACAGTATTCTTCGTCTGTCCACACTCGGATTGTCCAAGGCTGGACGCGGAGATGAGTTGGCTTCGGCGCTGGATCTGGTAGATTCATGCGATATTCCGTGACATGTTGTCTCCCCAACTTAGGTGTCTCGCCGAATGTCGCAGGACGAGCAGACGAATCACATCCAAGCCACGGGCGAGGAGGCCCGAGATCTCAGATGATGTAAGACAATGGCGTCAGGGCATATCTGGTTGATGGGTGTCAGGGCGTGTGTGACTACAGTTCCCCCTTGAGACGACGGCCGCCAGTGTCCCGCTGGAACTAGGTGTCAAGCCATTACTTTGTAAAGTTCAGTTGTCATAGGCGCCGTATGTCAACCAGGAGACAATGATCAAGCATGACAGCACTTAGATCTGAAGCACACGAGCAGATGGACAGAGGAAGTGCGCCTGCAAAGAGGCTACGACGGGGCGGGGAGAGCGTGTTAGCTGCAGGCCACGGATGTACCTTGCATCACCCCCGGATTGGGATCCAAACGAGCTACGCCACATCAAGGGGTTTCAGCCTACAGCAGGAAGTAAGCTACAGCAGGTAGTAAGGGAGGAGTTCGTGTCTGGCTAACTTAATGCCAGGACAGAAGTTGCAAAGCCACAGAAGTAACTTTTGCCTTTTCTTGCTGCGGCCCACACAAACGGGAACGCCTGCTAATGCTTAACAGCGTCGGCCGGTCCCACTAACGTAGTCGCAGCGTCAACGTTTCTTCTTCGTCTTCTGATGTGGACGTCTGTGGCGTCGTACGTACTAACTTACGTAGTAAGGTGCTAACGTCAAACCAAGCGAGTGAAGGAGCTCAGGTGGCGAGCCAGCGGGCGGTCGGTTGTGCGGGTGGGGGGAGCAGGGAAACAGGAAACAAAACAAAAGGAAACAAAGTACGTAGGTAGATACCTAATAAGGTAAGTAGCACAGCGGTACTGTCATGTACTTTCGTACTCCGCGTGCGATATGCGGACTTGGAGCTTGAATTGGGTTGGGCAAGGTGGCATCCGGGCCTTGCAACGAGGCTTCATCTCCGCCGATTCACCATTTATTTTCTTAGCTGCGCTGATAAGCATTGACGGCGCCTCCATCATGCCAGGACATCCGAGCAATGCCTTTTCCTGCGCGCTCTCTCCCGGGCCCCAGGGCATCCAGAGCGTCCAAATACCGAGAGCCCGCAGGTTCAGGAACCCATGGCGGCGTGGGCTTTTAGGGGCAGAGGCGCCACGAGCTCGGGAGGGGCCGCTAACGCAGGCCAGTGAACAGGTGCCATCCCAGGTCCAGTAGGGGCTGCTCTGGGGACGGGGAGGGACTGGGAGGGACTGGGACGCCCAGGGCCTACCTCCCACTGGCCAGATGGGCTCCCAACCCGGTGCGTGGCACTGACCCTCCAGTGGGTATTGGCAGTGGGTATCAGCAGTGGCTCTCCAGTGGGCTCAGCGGTCCCAGTGGTTCCAGTGGATGACTCTGGGGGCCATGTCCAGCGCCGGGCCGTACAACCAGGGCCCACCACGCCCAAATGGGCAGCTTTTGGCCCCTCTTTCTGGACGCTGGGACTCTTTGGTCAGGCTCTTTGGTCTCTTCGGTACCCCTGGGCTACCGTTGGCACACTCCCGTTGACCTCTCCCAGCTCGCGAGCCCACTGAAAAGGTACGTAGCCTGCCCACAGCCCGCCTACCAGCCCCCTTCTAGACCTGCTCCACCCGCCTTTGTTGGCTGGTAACTTTCTACTCCTCCCCAAAGACTGCATCCTCCACCTGTCTGTCCAGACTCACGGACTTCCTTTTTTCTCTCCCCCTCGGCTTTGCATTCTCCTACGTTGCGTGTCTCCGGCTTCTCGTCCTCAGCTTTCGTCTGTCCCGTCATCTCCTCGCCCTCAAATCGCCGCCTCCGCGCCGCAATTGCGTCTCTCGCGACCAGCTCCATCGCCAAATCCAAAAGCACGCCACGCCACGACCGGACCCTTGCAACTCCAAAGCCACCCTCCACCCCCCTGCTCGCTACTTTTCCACCTTCGGTCGCCGTACCTGACAGGCTACGACCCTGAACTGAACTGTACCGTTGCTCTCCTTTCCAAACGTCCCGTCGTTGTGTTTCTGCGGGGACTCGAAACTCTGCTTCGTCATCTCATCCCGCGTTTTGGATTCAACATCGTCGGCTTCACCAGTTCCCAGAGCTCTCCACCATCTTGACTGAGCCAACATCGACCGACTCGTGCCGTCGCCTCCTAGGTCCTAACCCCTTGCGAACCCTCAGGTCCTCCTTCTCAATCTCATCTCATCGCGTCTCGTCTCCTCCCAAATCAAAAACTCGGCAGTTCTTGCGATACGCCTCGACATCATGCCGACTCTCGCTTCACGCTTCGAGCTCCCTGCTCTGAACCTCAACTTTGGCAGCATCACCGACGGTACCGATATTCCGCCTCCCCCGGACTCTCCGGTTCTCAAGGTCCCGACTCCTCCCCAAACGCCTCCGCCCGCCGAGGAAAACAACAAGAAGGTCGTCAAGCAGGTCAATGAAGAAAGCAAGCCTGCTTCCACCAATGGTAATCTAGCTGGCACCAAGCGCTCCGCGGAAGACGCTGTTCCCCTGAGCCCCGCCGCGTCGAGCCGCCAAGGCAGCATCCGCCGCCTATTTAGCAGGAGCACGTTGAATAACAGTTACGTAGAGGGCCAGTTGCAGTCGAACGGAAGTCTCACAGTCGTCAACGGTGCGCGACCCTCCAGCCAGAGCGGCTCCAGCTTCATGGATGATCGCAAGTCCAAGAGGACCAGCGGCTGGTTCCGACGGATAAGGACTGGAGATTCGAGCTCCAAGCGGGCCAGCACCGTCTTCGAGGCCGCTCCTCCGACTCCGACTTTCAACAAGAAGCCCTCCGGCCCGCCCCCTCCCATGATTCCCGAGATGGCCGACCTCGAGAAGGATGAGGGAAGTCTGGGTGCCGACCTCTTCAAGAACATCAAGTAAACCAACGCGGTATGGTTTACCACATCCCAGAGCCAAGCAACAAGAACAACAACCAGCGCTATATTTGCTGTTTTTTTCGTACCCTTGGTCGTTTTCTTTTGCATTTTTCATTTTTCAAGGATTGAGACAGCTACAACATCGCCCACCCTTTTTTCTCCCTTTCTGGACGAGCAACGACGCATCCGAGCTGATTGATGTTTTGGCATTACGCCCCCTTGTTTCATTTTATTTATTTGAGCGTGAAGTTGAGCTGGGTCGAATTCACATTTTGGGAATGAGACCTCGGTGCAGAGGAAGAGGAGGAGGGCGAGATGAAGAGGAGCATGAGGAAGGCTCATCGAGATACCCAGCTCGTTCAGCGAGCTCATTTATCTGGCATGCGACACATGGACATTTCTTTTTTACACTTTGGCATTTCTTGTATTCCCATCACTATTAACGGGACCCGACCCATCCCCACGCATATTCCCCCGATTTACTGTCATCACCGCCAACACCATCACCATCACCACTACCACCACCATCATCACCTTGCAAAGGAAATTTCAGAGAGTTTTAGTTCGGAAATACGAGCGAACGGGCCGGCCGCTTGATCTATTAAGAAAGGGACATCATGTTTGCCCCCTAGGTGTATATCTCTGTGGAAAAACTTGTGCAGATAGTGGCCACTTTTGGCCAACAGGTTGGGATTGTTACAGGCCAAAGCTTTTGGAGGAGGACACTTGTCTTGATCACGAGATAGAGCAAGCTCTTGGACTTGTGCTATATTATTTAACTCTCGAATTTTCTGCCGATCCCGCAAGAATCCGTTCCAAATTATCCGTGCAGGGTCCCATTTGTTCAACCGACCCGGTTACAGGTCACGGCTTACATGGCACTGACAGACCCCTGGTCGAGGGTCCGTCGCAGGCGTGCATTTGCGCTAGATCCATCTTCATGGGCAGCCTTTCGCACGTGTTTCATCTATCCAAGTGGCGAACCAGGGGAAGAGACCAATTATGCCGGTCTGAGTCGCTCTCGAACAAGAGATTTCATGCTTGTTAGGTAGATGTTCGGCTAGAGCGAGATGTAGATCTGGGGTGGCGCAGAGTTGCCAATGTACGACTGAACAGGAACCAACAAAGCTCGCATGCAGTATCACCAAATTGGGCTATCATCCCACACGATGGCGATCTGGTTCTGTGGCACAGGCGTCTATTCCGAATCGGTTCATCTGTTCCGAATGATCGGCAAGTTGCAGTAGCGTGGCCGAGTCAGAAATCGTAGTGCGGCTATGGACTTGGAACTGAAGTTCAGGGAAAGTCTTCTTGCAGACCCATTTGTCAGTCGACCATAAGGCAATTGCTACTGTTTTTGCAGTAAGAATAAATACACATAGCGTTGCCGCTGTAGAGATCACCTCGGATTGACCTGTAATTGTCGCCATGCGCGACCTTCCAGTCACCAAGCTCGTTTCAGGCTCATGAGTTCACATTGATCTAACTTCTTTCAATGGAAATGCCCTGTACAATATCGATATTGCTTCCTTAACAGGAAGCCTCCTACGGGTCTCTCCGAATCGGACTTCTGAAGTGGGCATCTAGCACAAATAAAGGCCTACTCGGGTGTGTATGACCGCGTGTGACCATGAATCTGGATGGCCAAGAGTCATCCCTTTATCTAAATCGGATTTCTGATCCGAAACATTATCTTGCGGTCAAATTTTCAACAAGGTATGTTACGCTACGTCACAGTTGCACATAATCGCGTATCAGATCAGGTGTGTAACACTGGCCCCCCAAATTATGCACACCCACATATTTTAAGAATCTCCAAGCACGTTTCACGAAAAGCTACAGTACGAAGAGAAGTCCAGATGTCAAACCTCCGCTGGCCTCCAGCTCCAGCCCCGGGTAACATGTCATAATGGCTGGTGGTGGCACCGCCATTGTGAGAAGGAGGAAACCTTCCTTCTCACTGCCTATTTTCTGATGCCTCGTGCAGTACAGTCCGCGGTATTCCACGAACCGGATTTACGGGAAGACAGAGCTGGTGGTCCGGGTTAAATCCAATTTAGGAAGCCAGTTCGAAAGGACGCCATGTCGATGGATTAGATGTTACTCTACTTGCCACCTAAATACCCGACATTGGACACCTTTGACACATCTTTCTAGGAACCAGGATTGACGATTATATTTCCAAATACTGTTATCGTGGCAAACCAAACATTCGCAAGTGCCTTTTCGTCGGGTTTGCTAGCATTGTTAGAGCCTGCAACTCAGTGAAGGCGCAATGGGGACGCGCTTGTCAGAAATGTTACTATAGAACAAAGAACATCAAACAAATACAGCCCATGTCTGTCCAACAAAGTTGAATTGCACGCAGGTGCGACCAGGCAGCGCGCGATTCTCAGAAAACAACTCAAACTACTTCGGGTCCAAACTGGAGGCAGCAACTCTACGTGAACCTTCCACGGTTGTTTTTCTCTCCTACACCATCGTCAACATCATCCATTTCGACGTGCCTCCCTTGGACCTAATCGAAAGAACATTGCGCCGTCATATTGGATCTCATGCCTAGTAAGTTCCAGGTTCTAGAGGTCCGTCTTTAACTAACACGCTGAGATTTTCGTCATGCGATGCTTCCACCAGACAGGACCGACTTGGGCACTCCTCTATTGTACAGACTCCCACTGGAGATTGCATTGATGATTGGAAAATTATGCGACGTTTCGACCTTGCGAGCTCTCACTGGAGTCTCGAAACTCTGCAGACATCTGTTCTGTCGTCTGGCATATGAGGAAGTTCTCATTCACTCTGATCAACAGGTTCTCGACAAGCTGGAATCTTTCACTTCAGATAAAAGATCTTCCGCCATGATTGACGTGCGCGATATTATAACGTTAGTCTTTGTCCCCCGCAAAGCTTCCCTGGAGGAGAATGCCAATGAATTAGATGCGCTACCATCGTGATCGAGCCACCTCCCTGGCCAGACGCCTATGATCTTGCAATGCCAAGACGCCTCCTGAAGTCCCTCGAGTTAATGGTCAATCTCAGCCACCTTTCTCTCGATCTGTTGGAAGTGAAATCTGAGTCGGAACAGCAGCTCCTGGCTTTAATGAAGAAGGTGAACTGTTGGCCACTCCACTATTTCCACATCTTGGCCAGACGCGAGGTCACGACTCTTGCCATCAGGAACTGTTGCTCATTTACCCTCGATCACCTGAACGTCGACACCTCTCCGGGTTACTTAGCAGCAGAGAGATATCAATATCAAATCACAAAACTTGGCCTCACCACCGAAATGTCACCACTTGGAGCTATCTTGGAGCGAGTTGCCGAAGGTTTTGCACGCATTGAGCAGTTACAAATTTGCCAGGCGGAAGTGTCCGACATGGCTATGATAGTCGGCCGTAGAATACATGTAAGTATTGGTCTATATAACGCATAGATCTACCGCTTCTCTTGACTTCTTGTCTCTGGCCTGTCTTTTTACATGTGACCGGTTATTAATCTTACGGAAATAGACCAATCCAATCAACAATATCATCCTTGCCGCCCAGAAGCTTCCGACTATCAAACGACTTGCCTTTCTGCTTCATCGGCCACCTACGGCTCGATGCGTCCGACGAGGTATCTGGGAGGACGGCGCCTGGGCTTTTCCCACTACGGTGCTTTGTACGGAGGAGCAGGAACGACGATGGTGTACCATTCTGACACATCGCATGGGACAGGCCCATCCATGCCTTGAACAGATGATTATGACCTTTAACTCTTCGTATGTCGTTTTAGGAGCCAGGATTGACAGAGCGTGGACGGTTCGAGTTGACAAAGCTCCCTTCCTGGCGCTCGGTTTCTCCCCGGAATACGCGTGGGCCGAACCACCGGATATGTGGTGTGGCTGTTACTAGGCGAAATTCGGGGGCGTCACTGATGAAACAGTAGCTATTCGTTCATTTCTAGCAACCAATTCTATTGTAATGACACTGAAAAGAGAGTTACCAACTACAGCGGTTCCGACATTTCCTGATGCGTGGACCTGGTCTTACCCAGCCATCTACCCTGAATTGGTTCACAGGCGAACAACGAAACAAGGCCAAGGCGTTCTACTGATAGGACATCCTCAGCCCAACTGCTTTGGTATGTGCATTTCTGTTGCTATTGATGATGCGGATTTGTTGAGAAAACAATGTCTTCTTCGGCAAGGGGCATCGCTGACATCACGAACAATCAAGTCGCATCAAATGGTCGACAGAACCGTACTGTGATAATAATAACCTCCTCAAGACTACTGATGTCAGCCATTCGTACCACTTCACGAATCAAACATCCAGTCCATCCTTCTTTAGCTTGTCATACAACGTTCTCTGCGCTGCCGCATAGCCAGGCACGAGGATGCCCTCACCAGTCGGCACTGGCGAGTCAAACAAGGGCACCACTCTCGTTTTACCCTTGGACACCTCGAAGATAGTTCCGTTGCCTAACTCTTCGTTGACAACCAGCTGCCACATGCCCTGCGCGATCTCCTCCGGCTCGATGAGAACGGTGTCATGATCCAGCATCGCGGCTTTGGTCGGGTCATCGCGCCAAAGGGCAGTCTGGGAAATAGGTCAGTCAGTGTCAATGTTCAATTAGCGATAGGAGGAAAACTCACCCTCACCGCGCCTGGTGCGACACATCCAACTCGGATGCCCAATTCGTCGCGCAAACCGCCCAACGACCGCACAAAGCCGTGGAGGCCATGCTTGCTGGCGAAGTATAACGGGGTGTTGATGCCGGACGTGTAGCCCGCCATGCTTCCAACGTGCACCAAACATCCCTTTAGCTTGTTCTTGGTCCAGTGTCCAATGGCCAGCTGGCTGAGTCGGATGGGAGAGACGAGATTTACATCCAGCACGGCATAGTGGCCTGGATCTGAGTCTGCGGGATCCCGCGATGTGCTCTCCGGATTGGTCTCAGTCTTGGGGGACTCCCAGAAGGAGGACCACTTGGGTTCGAAGAGGCCGGCGCCGGGGACGACAATATCGACAGTGGAGAACTTTTCCAGAGCGGTTTTCCACATGTCATCCAGCTCAGGCCAGGACGCAACGTTGGTCTTATGGAAGAAGGCACCTTGCTTCCCAGAAGCACTAGGGAAAGGGTATTTCTTGAGCAGCTCCTCGGCTTCTGGCTGGAGCTTGAGATCGGCAATGAGAACTGAACAGCCCTTGTAGAGTAGGAGCCGAACAAACTCAAGGTTGATACCTAGCGGAGTTGGTTAGTCTAAGACTGGGAAGAACAACTCAGAGGGTTTTGCTCACCTGAGCCTCCTCCGGTGACAATAGCGGCCTTTCCTTCAACTGAGATTGCCATGGTAAATAACTCGAACAAAATTAATTAACTGAATACGATCGAAGGCAGCGTATTGGAAGATTATGTAAAGAACTGAGACTGTGTCATGCGGCGGTTATCGTCTTCCGAGTTCGGGGTTTTACAACCGTCTCTTCCGGATTTCCTAACGAACGGATAACTTAAGTAATGGAGGGAGGAGAAACAAAGGAAGGTTAGAGTTGGGGATCTGCGGGGTAGCTTTCAATATTAAGCCCCATGTACACAGTACATGGGCTGATATTTTCATATATGCAGGGTATTTACACACCTAAGACAATATCCCGCTGCAAATATGGCACCTTCTGATTGACGACCAACACACTCAGCACCCGGCCTTCTCCTCATCCCTAGATCCTTGCGACTCGTCCACTGCATCTTCCGGCTTTCCCTCCCGGCATGCCCAGCCATCCACTTGCCTTAGCGTATCTCGCCCCCACACTCGGCCCATAAGCGACAATCGCACGGGGACTAAGGCAATTATGATCAGGGGAAACGCGGGGGCGGCAACGGTGAGGGTCACTCCAAACACAATCCCGGTGAGGATGATTTGGGTAATGGTGTACATGTGAATACCGGCCCAAGTGACGCCGGGGGGCAGTTCTGGAAGCTCAGACGCCGGGGTGAGCAGACGGGCTATCCTCTCCAGGATGGGGTTGACCATGAGAGATTGGTAGCCCATGAACATGAAAAGGCCCGCCAACACCGATGTCTGGGCTAGGCCGAGCAATTTCTGAAGTGGCGGAGAGACGAATATGAGAATAAGCGCGGCTTGTATGAAGTGTGAGTATCGCTGTTCATATGTCCTTGCAACTGGTCTGGGTGATTGTCGCTCTTCACCGTCTTCAGCTGGCTCAGGGCTTTCGAGAACGTAGTGCATTAGCGACTCAGAGTGTAGTGGAGCTTGCGGGAGAAGTCCGTTTGCTGGAGGGATACCGAGAATGCCACAGATGATCGTGGTCGTTCCCAAAAGAACTATATCCCATGCATACCCACCAGGCTTCTTCGTGCCATAGCGTTCAACGGTACATATGATACTGCTGATCTCATGGTCGAAGTAGAACAAGACTGTGATGATGGCACCGGGTATGATCGACAAGAAGACCCACTCGATGGGGAGTTCCCAGAAGCGAACGAAGAAGATTGACCGGTCGGGGTTGGTAGGTCTAAACGACGTCTGGACCTCGAGGCGCTCATGGTCGAGCGATGCCAGTTCTCCAATATAAGGGATGCCGATCCAAAATATAATCGAGATGGCCGCGGCATATTCTGTCAGTCCCAGGCGAACGTATCGATGAAACAACGGTTTCCAGGAGTTGGCTGTTGAGAGAAGGATGGCAAAGAGGCACGTCCCAAAGGCTCCCATAATGGCATACAGAAAGGCAGCGAAAGACACGTTGGAATGCGTACGCTTCAGTTCCATTGCTGCCTTGTGAAAATAGATGACACTGTTCAGAAGCGAGAAGATGTCGGCGCTAAAATGGGTGACATATTGCATCGTCCAGTCGTGGGCATTGAAGATGGCGAGGAGGTAGTGCATCCAGCCAGCATGGATGAGCGACCATGCCATCACCGGTAAGAATTTGACCTAGGGATTTATTAGACGGGGTATTCTGGGGTGATGGAGCCTCTTACATGAAAATTCTGTTCACACAATTCGTATATATTCTCAGCCAGGACTGAAAATGGGCCTGTGACACCGAGGATTGTGAGAGGCTGTCCAGAAAACCTGAATGACTGATCAGTATCCTGTTCATTCCCAAAGACCTCTGGTCACTTACAACGAGAAGACGAGGCCGCACAGGCCCGTACTGAAGACAACCTCAATGGTGCCCCATGATTTGCCCGTCAGGACGTACAAGTCACTGGCAAATGTGATACCGGGAAGGATGTTGGTGAAGAAGATGTAGACAGCACTGGCAACGACTTGTTGGTTGAATACTTGCCAATCCGACAGATATCGTCCCTTGAGGTTCGCAATGTCTTCCTTGAGGAGTCGAAAGGGACAGAGCTTGCCTCCCACACCAAAGTACTTCCCAGATTGCTTCGCTCCATTTCGTGGCGCCGAGTTATCGTGTCCGACTTCTTGAACTTTTGGGAATGGTCTTATTTCTTCCCCACGAGATCGCTGGGTCGGGGTCCTCTGGATATCATTGGAAGTGGACAAAACCACGTTGTCGGGGTTCTCTGCCCTATCTGGCAGTGGTTCTCCCACCATTGGATAGATCAAGCAGAGACTTGTTTTGGTTTATTGAGAAATCGGCAGCCATGAAGAATGTGGTGATGGAAGAGGGAGATGCGCAGGTTGGGTACCTGGGGTATTATATCTGGGTTCACAATCTGGGCGGATTAATCAAAGAACCACGACGTTGGGCTATGCGCTTGGCATAAAGCCTATTTGCTCATAGCGGGCGATATTGATCCGCCTTTGAGTAGGGCTTTCACCCAACTCGTGGACGGATCATCGCGTGTTAGATCCTGGATTATCCATTGGTCTAAGAGGTTCCTACTAATGACGTCATGCCAAGCGGGTTATCATTGACATTTCAATGGCTTATCAGCACGTGCTTACGTGGGGCAAGGCTGAGAAGCCATCGCGACGGCAAGGCTGGCATTTTACATCAGAATTAATTCTTTTTGCGAGGCCCAATTCGAACTACGTCGCACAACCAGGGCATGCAAACTTCAGAGCGCGCGCTCATCAAAATGCACTGTGGAATACTCCCTCGGTGACCTCTGCAACCATGGCGAAATTCATTCCCCGACAAACCTTTGCGGCCCCCAATTCGATTCCCAAGACGTACTACCTCGGTCACCATGCTGCTGGCGAAGCCAAGATCGTCAAGACCCTCTCCAACATCTCCCTGATCCTCGAATGCCGCGACTTTCGCCTCCCGCTATCCACACATAACCCCCAGCTCGAACGCGCGCTTGCCGGCCGCGAGCGTGTTGTCGTCTATACGAAATCCGACCTCGGAGTCGATACTCCTAGCGCCGGCGATGCCTTGCGCCGGTTATATGGCGACCGCCTCGTCTTCTGGGACAAGCACAAGGCCTCATCGACTAAATCGCTCATGAAGAAGGTTAAGGAAGTTGCGCGGGCGGTCGATTCATTGACGGGAATGCGCGCTCTCATCGTGGGAATGCCTAATGTGGGTAAGAGCACGCTGCTGAATACACTGCGGAGGACGGGAACTCCGACTAGGACAGCAAAGGTAGCCAAAACAGGCGACCAGGCGGGTGTGACGCGCAAAATTGGCACACCGGTGCGGATCCTGGAATCGGAGGACAAGGGTGGAGTGGGCGATGGAGTCTACGTGCTGGACACGCCAGGTATCTTCCAGCCCTACGTCGACGATGGCGAGACCATGATCAAGATTGCCCTCGTGCAGGGCATCAAGAAGGGGCTGATCCCAGACGAGATTCTGGCGGACTACCTCCTCTTCCGGATGAATCTGTGGAACCCGGAGATCTACGCGCGATACTGCGAGCCCACGAACGAGGTCAACGAGTTCCTCACGGCCGTGGCCAAGAAGGACGGCAAAATTAAGACCGGAGGCGTGCCCAACTGGCAAGAGGCCGCAGCCAGGATACTGTCCCAGTGGCGCAGCGGCAACCTGGGGAAGTATGTCCTGGACGACTTGTCCGAAGACGCTGTTCAGGAATACCGAACCCGGATGCTGGAGCCGAAACTGAGCTTTAACCAGGCGAAGAAGCAACAGAAACTGGCTCGTGCGCAAGTCAGGGCCGGCGCTTAGCCAGGAATGGGTCCTGGTGCCATTGCGATGTATTGCCATGTATCTGTATAAGGGTATTTTTTAATTGTACACTAGACACTCTGCAACTCAAACCAATTCCAACTATCCCTGATAAAATTCTTCTCAATTCTGTTAACATAGCGCGTCTTTCGTTGAAACTCGGTAAGACCCCTTAGGTCGAACCATCAAGCGAGCCTGATAGGGTATATTTATAAACCATGCGTAGAGCCCAGAGGATCCAAACCTCTGTTATGGGCTGGCCTCGAAAGGATGGAAAGAAAGAAAAGTCCAAAATGAATAAACCCTCCCGCATCGTTCCTTGATGCTTGTGACGCCGGAAATGCATCCAACCGTAAAACTCCTGGAATCGTACACCAGACCGCAAAATACAACCTGCGCCAAGTGTAGGCCGTCCACACGAAACCATCCTATGCTGACATCCCATCATGCATACTGGTTCTGCCACTTGACCATATCCCGTGTCAGAACATCCATCATCTCCATACAGTTCAGCTCCTTGAAATCCTTGGCATGTGAGGAGTCCGGAGTAGCTCCAGCATCGATAACCCCGGACTGATTCTCCGGATTGCCATTTGTTTGAGGGACTGGTGTCTTCCGTGGTGAGGCTTGCCCGCTCTTTGGGTCGTCGCCGTGTATGGGGGGAGCTTCAGTAGCTAGATCGACTTGGGTCCTTGAAATGAAGTCCATGATGGCGCCGACTCGCCGTTTCATGTCCACCATGCTAAGCTTATTTGGCGGAGCCGACTTGGACTTGGAGCTATGTCGATGATCACTTGTCGCTGGCTTGACATGCCCAGTAGTCGCCGGCTCATCCCCGTTCTTCTGAATGTCGCGCGACATCGACCGAGCAGGGGATTCGCCATTGTCTGCATCTCGGTCTCTGGTGTACTGATTTCTTCCTTTTCCCTTCTTATGATTGTTTCTGGCCCCTCTCTTATGCGAACTTCCGATCGGTGGATGACTCGTCGGTGGTGTGTCGGGAATAGGTTCGGGAGCAACTGGGGGGGCTTCGACAGCCACGACTGGGGGCTCAACGCTTTTTGCAACTGGTGGTTTCACCGCGATCACAGGAGCCTCGTCAGAGGGATCTGAGTCTACACATTGGTTAGTTATGAATGTCTGGAAGTGGAGTGGAGATAAAAAAAATACTGACCATCTCCGCGCCGCCTTTCAGCACGACCTTTACGCTTGTTCGCAGCTTCTTGTCGCTGTCGCTCCTTTTCATCCTTCTCGGTCTTAAGTGGCTGGATTTTGCCATTCCGAGCCTTTTTGGAACCATTTCGCGTGCCTGCCTCGTCTTCTGACTCGTCGCGACTGGGCGCTTCCAACAGTTCAGCGGGCGGGGATGCGGATCGAGAACTTGTCCGCTGTCTTTTGACATTCGAATTGTCCCTTAACGAAATCAGCTTCTCGCCCGGTGACTGGGAGTCTACGGCGACGGACCCTTCACTGTCACTGCGACCGCGCTTGGCTCGCCTGACAGCATTTTCTAAGTTATCCTTATCCTCGGGCGCGTCCTCTTTGCTCGCCTCTATGGCGCGACGGAGTTGTTCGTCATCGTAGGCTCGGTCGCGGCTGTTCATTGTCGATCGACGCTTGGCTGCCAGCGATGCGGAGGTGGGCCTCGAGTTCTTGCCCGAGCCATTCTTTGGCGACCGAGTGCCTTCTTTGGTGATCGAGGTAGCTCGGGAGGTTGCGCGCGATGGTCGATTGAGAGGAAGATATTTGGAGTATCGTTGTCTGTTGATTGAGAAATGGTCAGTGGCGAAGTAGGGAGGCGAAGACGTTGCAGACGCTTGGTGAGGAATGTGGATTCATGTGCGGAAGGAGGGCACAACGCTCAGGCGCGCTCTAGACGAAAAATCGCGAGACCTTGACGCAGGCTCACGAGGGGATCATTTATGGGCAGGCAAAGGTAGGGAGAGGCAAGGAGAGGCGACGTACCCGTTGCTGGCGACATGGATTTTGTGCAGGTCCTTGCGACATTGTTCGCAAAAATATTCATCGGGCGAGCTCTCGGCGCTGAAGATGCCGACACAGGCGCCATGCTGCCAGACTTTGCAAATATCGCATTGAACGAAGAAGCCGGTAACGTCTTCAGTGAGCTCAATGGCGGCAAAGAAGTCGGCGTCGGGCCCATCTACGGGCGGGCGACCCGGATAGTCTTCGGAGCCACAGAGACAGCGAACTGCCTCATCCTCTTCTTGGAGGTCATCGCTTCCATTCACCATGTCAAAATTATCTGGCTGCGAAGCCTTATCGATCTCGTCGTCTTGGCCGCGTTTTCTTCTTCGGGTGAGGAGGGTGTCGTCGAGATCTTCGAGCGGCTCTGACGACAGCGAGGCGCTTGGAGTCGATTTGTTGGAGGAAGGCTTTGTTACGGATCTTGTGCTCCGCTCGAGGCGGCCGGACGTGCTCGATGTCACAGAGGAGTGTTGGGACTGTGGATTGGTAGCGCGAGCTCTCGATGATCGTCGCGGCGACGGCGGTGCCATTGAGGACGCGAAGAAGGGAGGGGGCGCGGGTAGGAGGAGAGAGACGGTAGGAGGAAGCGGTAGTGCGTGGAGAGTTGAGATGGGGTGATCAAGGGCGCCGGAGGAGTCGAGCTGGGGAAGGGCGCGAGAGAATTGGCAGCGTGCCCGGTGGTGAGAGGGCGAGGATGGCCAGCGCCGACGAGAGCGACTACTGGCACTGGACGGGACGTGACGAGGAAGAGAAGCCGGATCGGAGTCGAGGTTGGCAACTAAGCATGTCGGGAACGGGCAGAGGCGCAAAAGGCATGACACGGAAGAGGGCCAGAGAGAGAACGAGACGAGACAAAGACGAGGCCCGAGAGCGGAGAGCGGAGAGGGGAGAGGACGAGGTGACAGGCGAGAGATGGAAAGAGCGAGGAACTTGAGATGCGTGGGCAGTGGCCGCGGGCAGCGGGCAGTGGGCAGTGGGTGGTCTCACTAACAGTCTAGCGCTTTGCAGGGAGGAGCTGCTCCAAATGCTCCTGCCCACCAAAAATCCCTGCGGGGCTGGGCCTTCTTTGCATTTGCCTGTCCGTCTGCCAGCGCCCCAGCGCCCCAGCGCGTACTTGCCGGTGCCCACAGTAGCACAGTAACACAGTAGCACAGTGCCTACACATGCATAATTACCATGCACAAGCTGCCCTGTGAATTATTTGGCCCACGCTGACTAAGTAGCCGTGCTTTGGTGGCCCTGGTGGCACCCACCTCCTAACCGCACGAGCAACCACTACTATCATTTGCAATCGTGCCCTGCGAACCACGCAACACCGAACACTCAACGAATACGGCGAGCTCGTGCAGCCTCCCACTTGTCGAGCTTTGCCCTGTCACGATCTTGGTCCTACCCTCTTTGCAACTTCCTTTGGCGACCAATCCTCCTCGCTAGACCCTCTGCCCTCCCGAGTCTTCACCCGAGGTCCCTCATCGCCTCCGACCAGGTAGCCCACTTGTCCCTCGTCACTGGGTGAGTCGGGATTTGGACCCGGCAAGCGGCCAACCGCCACCCGCCCACGCAGACACGACGGCCTTCGGCGCTGTTGCATCGCTGCAAGGCTTTGGTTTTTTTTGGCAAATGGCTGTGTTGTGATGTTAGCTACTCGCCCTGCTCATACCTATGCCGACCACATCTTCTGACCCGCAGGTAGAACGTTTTAGAGCCCGACCGAACTACACGCCTCCAAACCCTTGCCCCCCTCGACGACTCGATTTTGATACCCCCCAAGGAGCACCGAGATAGAGATTTTGGTTCAACAAGTCATTCCTCGACTTAATCGCTGGCACCAGGCTCCTTGCGGTCTAGCACGACCTGTCGCTGTATTGTCCTTGCTTTTGCTGTCCAGACTCGGCTACATATACAATGTGTGATGGGTACGCTTTCCCCTACGTCTTCCAACGCCTCCCAGTTGTTTGTAGGCTCTAGTCTGTCTTGGTCCTCTTGAACGGTCATCAACTCAGGGACATGGTTGCGGTCGATGGCATTCAGCTCTTGACCCCCACCTTCGTCGTTGTCATGCCTTCATTCCCCGTCCTCATGACAGGCTTCCTTGGCGTTGTAGCGTTCTATTTACTAACGCGACGGCCTCGTTACTTGCGAGCAGATCATAGCCCCATAATGTCACCAGATACCGTCTCGTCGCTATTCCCAGACCGACCGATTCGGCCGTTGCCGAAGCGTCGACTTCGAGAGAGACTCTCCCCCGAGGTTGCGGGTTCGATCAAGTACCCCATCTCAACACACGAAAACGCCCCTCTCTTCTACTACCCTCCATACACTCTGAAAGATGAGGGAAGCCCACCAAGACCCGGCTCTACGAGCCCTGTGGAGCAAGTGCGCCGAAACGAACCAGGGCGTAATTATACACCCCGGCGGAACGGCGTAGGTCTCTCAGACGCCGACGAGGACGAGACTGCGTTGCGAAGCACCTTGGTGACGAGATCCCCCCCAGAAATCCTATCTCGTGCGGCTCGTCGTCCATCAAGATCAGACCAAGCACGTCACCCAAATCCTCAACCTCCTCCATCAACAACGTCATCTGTCGACGGCTACGATTCATTTGAGAACACCAACAATAAGAAGAAGCGAAAGATACCCTCCGCTGGGGATCCCACTCTCAATGGCACACATGCGCTGAACAACGAGATCAGCTCTCTGGCAATATCGTCCGGACCACAGTCCCCAGGAAGCGAAGTGAATGGGGACAGGCCGTATTCCCAAACCGCGGGGTATCCAGGTTCGGGGACTTTTATGACCAACAACCAAGGGATATCGGGACCGGGTAGGGGAAGACTTGGGCGGTCTCGAAATGGGAGAAGTCCCTTACGGGCGCTCTCAGATGGCAACAACGCATGGGCTGGTCGGACATCCAAAACTGCCCCACCACAGTGGGCGTCCCCTGGTAAGCACCTCCTGTTTGCTGTTCCTACGTGCTTGCTCTGTATTTCACACGATGGCAAATTTCAGCCAGTCACATGAAGAGCCTGGCCGCAATTGAGTGTCTGCGCCAGTCAGCGTTTGGGTGTTGCCACACGCGGTTCCTTTGTCAGCCAGTCATTCGGCCGAGGGCAGGAAGTGATGCAGGAATGCACCGTACTTGCTGCAGCACAAACACTCGGCTTTACGACTGTGGTCAACAAGTGCAACTTCTATCCCGCATCATTTTTCCCTTTGACATCACCGTTTAAAGACAACTTGTTTTGACTTAATGTTCCGACCGAGATCCCAAACATTTACTAACCCTTCAACAGAGCACGAAGGCACTGGTATCATTTCTAACGCCATCGCCAACGCCGAGAAGCTACGTCCCCAGGGTCAAGAGAACGTCAGTCTCCTACAGCAACATTCATCTGCCGAAAAGGCGACGCCCGCGTCGACCCAGTTTACTTTCACCTGCGACTCGCAGGTTCCTGGCACTGTCCAGTGGCCAGGTAAGCCCGCATGTTTCCCTTTTATGGCAAAGTGTGCTAACACAAGCCCCAAGGTCATTCAGCGAAGCACAGCATGGGCACTCAGACATCGTCAAATGCGCCCCCAGGCGTTAATGGCAACAATGTGCTCCACGATGGCTCATCTAAGGCTGCTAGTGGCGGCTCTGGTAACTCACGCCGGAGAGAACGCCGTCGATTAGACAAGGAGCTCAATATGGCTGCCCGACACCGCCGAGAGCTCGCCGCCAACACGTACTTCCAAAGCCCTGTAAAGATGACAGACATCTGGATCTGCGAGTTTTGTGAGTACGAGCGAATTTTTGGCGAACCACCAAGAGCTCTTATCCGAGACTACGAAATCAAAGATCGTCGCCACCGACAGGAAGAGGCCGATCGCAAGCGTTTGCTTGAGAAAGCCAAGGCCAAGAGCAGAAAGGGGAGAAAGAATGGTAAGGCCCCAGCTAAGGGCGGCCAGGCCTCCCAAACCCCAGCTCAGGACCAGCCCGACTCTTTGGGTGAGGCGGAAGCTCCCCCAATGGACCCCGGCAACAGTCATTCGACGCAATCGGAGGAGGAAGACTACGTGGACGAATTCGACGATCAGTATCCGGACCCGCCACCAGACCTCCCCCCAGGGATAGACGACAGCGGTGGGGAACGCTTACCACCAGCAGTCAAGACCTAGGTGTCGAGACTTATCTTGCGTGGAAACTTCAGCTTTGAGTGACATGGATTTTGTTGAGACTAGCTGTCTGCACTTGTTCGAGTCTTGGTTGAATGGATATTGTTGTATGGATTCAATCATTGGGATATTTGGCCCAGACCCGGACACCAGCGATTGGGGCAAGCTTCTGGATCCGATAGAGCCGTTTGGTACACGGGCAATCCAGGAGTGGCCGCAACCCTAGCGATTCGACATTTTAGCCGCATACGGCCATGTTGTTTAAGAGCGGAGAACTAGCTGAGGATTGAGGAGCAGACTCGGTGGGGAGGAGGCTCCGTGGAAGGAAAGAGTTGAGGACACTCAGGCTGCACGGGCATCTTGTCGGTAGACTGGATGACTGCGATGGAAGCATGGATGATCTTTCGGCCAGGCGAGAAACCTGCCGTCGGTATCATCCTTGCCTAGAGACAGAACAATCCAAACTCATGACTGTATGCTTGTGCTTGCTGGACATGGCACGTGAGAGGGGCAGAGTTTCATCCCGAGAACCGGGATACTGGGCGCGCAGTGCGTTGTACTTTGTGTCCGGAAGTTTATCGGACACAGCGGGAGTTAAACAGCGGGAGTTAAACGGCATGGAATCGATCGTTCTGGTTTGTCAAGATGTGAAACAAGCCCAGAAACGAGAAAGCGCAGCAGATTCAGTCGAGCACCCCTCGCTGATGAGCCTGCATGACAAGGGCCGCAATTCTGAAGCACTAACGATGAAGAGTAGACGAAAGCGGGCGGAAATGAGGGCGACTCCATTACTGACGTCAGGGTGGGCTGAATTGCCCAGATTCGAAGACCAGTGATCAAAGCGCCAGCTGAGACGGGAGTGCGCTGGCCATTCGGATCAACTTGTTTCGCGCAGTATTTCAATGACGACAACGATCGTCCTAGGTCTAGCCCTATCGTTAAAAAAAAACTCCGATGATTAATCAAGGGACATGTAGGAGGAGAGCTTGAGCCAACAAAGGGGGTGGAAAGGGCGAAAGAACTGGAAGAAGTGGAAGAGCTTTGTTATGACAGCTCTTCAAACCCACAGCTGTTCATTGTTGCTGCTTTCGGGTGACGACGGGGCATTTCTTCTGAAGGATTAGGTGGTAGGGATTCAATGTACATGTGTGGTACAGTGGTTACGCAGTGATTCGCAGCGACAGCAAGGTACCCGGCATACCCCGGCGACATCAATCTAGCGAGCGTATGCTAATAAATGAGTGGGCCGCCCTCCTTAGCCTGAGTGGCTTGATACCTTTCGTCATCAGCTCCAACACCTCAGACATCTTTCTCGTCTCGCATTGCAGAGTACTTTAACACCCGCCCTACCGTTTACACGGTGCCAGCCCTCGAACCACAGCCGATAGTCACAGCCTCCCGTTCCAGCCTCGCCGCCGCTCATCGTCGATTCTCATGCGCATCGCTCGCTGACTGCTGCTGGCCTTGCGCCGCCCTCACTGCCTGCCATGTTCGGAGGATCGAGGAGGCACCGTCCTCCCGTCCAGGTAAGCAAAAACCGATTTGGGCTTTAGAGTTCGCCTTGCGAAGTTCCGGCCCAACGCGATTGTGCTAGAGGCACCCTAGGATGATGGCGTTGATGAAGCGTTCGATCATGTCGATGATTGCCCCAGTCGTGTCTGCCCTTATAACCACGTCCTCTCTCACCTACGACCCGCAAGCACCAGCTAACATGGAGTTTCTGCGCTGGCAACAGCCTCTAACTAGGGAAACCGCAAACCCCAATGCTGCGACCGCGGCAGCGTCGGCATTTATGCGCCGCGAATCGTCAAACTCGCTGTCCTCCGCCGCTGCCGCCGCCGCGCTCAGGGCCCGGCCCACGACTCCCACCAATGTCGCCCAAGTCCAATCTAAACGCGCGATGCGGAGGAGCGCATCGGTATCATCGACAGGAAGCCGAGACAAGGGCGGAAGGGATCTTCACAGGACGCCTAGTACGAGTTCTATGACCGACCGAACTTTCCGCTCGCCGTCACCTGCCCGCAGCGCCGCGCCGAATTCGCACGATGTCCCTCCGGTGCCTAGTATCCCCCACGGTGGACAGTACAAGACCGATAAGACGAGCTCTTCCCACAAGAGAGCCACCAGCCTACAGATCCAGCCGTTCCGGACGGCTAGCCAAAAGATGAATGATGGCCAAGGCTCATGGTTTGGTGCCGCGGCAGCCGGCGATCCATCCAACGTCCGCCGTTCAGATGCTGCGATGGAGCCAAGAATTTCTTCCGACCTTCGACCCAGCAGTCCTAGCTCGTCTATCAACTTTTCATATCCTCGCTCTAATCTTGATCCCGGCTCCGAGCACGCCCTGGTCTACGACCCGAACTCTAGGAGAATGGTACCCCGAGCCGATTTGCTCATTCGCGAACAAAGCATTAGGGATGCTTCAGAGAAGCCCGTAAAAAAGAAGAGGTCGGGCGTATCAAAAGGTGGCTCGCATCTGAATAGGGGAACCGTGAGTAGGATCAAGGGCACAGCGGTCGAAGCCCCAGTGCCGTCGTCTACCGCTCTACAAACCACCCGAATCCCAGCAAATACCGCCGATACTGTCCAACAAAAACAGAAACAGGAGCCTCAGCAAATTCCGAAACCTGCCCTTGCAATCCAGACGCAACCTGTGGTAGAGCAACCGCAACCGGAACAGCAACCACAACCGCAACCGCAACCCGTGGAAGAGCCACACTCGGAGTCGGAGCTGGGATTAGAGTCGGATGTTGAGGAACCCGCAAATCACAATCAGAAAACGACGCACCAAACGCCTGTCTTCCCACCCGATAACCTACCGCGAAGCTCACCTGTCAAAAAGAGACCGTCTATAGTCCACGAACTTCCTGAGTTGGAAGATCAGTATGACCAAGAAGATCGAGCAGCGTTCCAGAGCCAGGAGCCATTGGTTTCTGAGGAGCTACAGAGAAAATCTTCCCCGCCGATTCAGACGGAGCCAGATGCCACAGTTGTCGAGACCGAGTCTCCAGAGCCTGAGACCAAGGAGGCTGAGCTTCAACAACCTAAGGCTCAGGCCATCTTCGCGACACCAAACCAAACCCCTTCCAGAATCCGTGTACATTCCGAAAGCCCTGCCCGAACCCCTCATTTCGCGCCGACAACCGACCAGCTTATCGTGAGACATGAGCCGCCCTCTCGATCATTGTCGCCGCGAAAATCTGCTATGAAGCATCGAAGCCCGACGAGAGATGCGTCACCTTCAGAGGATGGCTCGGAGGCTTCCAGTGCATTCATGGGCGTAGGGACTCACACAGACCCGGGACTTGCTCGAAGAAAGAGTGTTCGTGTGAGCTTCGATGACCAGAATACCATGGTTGTGGGAGAGTCTGCAGAACCAACGGAACCAGATTTGACTCAGTTACCAAGCCCGCAGGTGAGAAAGGCTTGGCACAATATTATCAGCCGGCCGAAGAGAGACTCAGTGTCGTTGGACGAAGATGAGAAAATGACACCCAGACCAGCTCTGCCCTCGTTTGGCAGCATCCGAGAAAAGAAGACGAGGGACTCTGAAGAGCGACCGCTGGTCCGCCCCTCTGAACGCCCTTGGTCTCCCCCAGTGGTTGCAGTACCTTCCAATCAGTCAGACTCCAACCAGGTGCCTGCAGCAGATCCTGGACAGTCGAGCGATCTAGCCATTGGCTCTATTTTGGCCCAAGAACAATCATCTCGGAACGCGGCCAACATTTCTAAGTATAGAGAGCCACTACCTCCGGTTGTAACCTCTGTTGATTCTCATGGGTACATCAGCAACAGCTCGGATGATGATATGGACCTGGAGGTTCCAGTAGAGATGGACCAAGAACAACCCGCCAACAGTTCTCCCGCCATGGATCCGGCCATTGGGAGCGCAGAATTAGGATCGAATGAGGGCATTCCGATGATCTCTATCTCCCATCCCAGTCCTCGTGTCGAGGACGAAAACCAGCCAGACTCGCCGCAAGACTTCTTTGATCTGCCTGGTGGCTTCCCCGATGATGATTCGACACCAAAGTCTGATGAGGCCAGAACTCCACCCCTGGATGCCCTTGACAAGCCACCCCGGATCGTGGACAATGGCAGCTCAGCACAGACGGTGGTTTCTAAACAGCCTCCGCCATTGACACCACAGCGATCCATGGAGTCTAACATCGGTGTTCCTCCAAGCCCTCAGATACACGATATTCAAGAGGAAGATGAAGAAACTGATGGAAGCAGCATTTACAGCGACGCTTATGAAGACCTATCTGATATTGACGGTGATGGATTCATGTCTCTCGATGCTATTGTTGACAGCCCTGTCAACAAGGTCTCCCAGAAGCTCTTCGAGAAGACGGTCGCCAAATCTAAGGAACACGAAGTCGCTAAGGATGCAATGTCGACCGAAACCGTGGCACGGGAACCTTTGCAAACACAAGATGATTGGGAGCGCGCAAAGGCCTACTGGAAGAGTCTCAGTACCGACAAGCGGCGCCAACTGGAAAAGGAGGCCGGGGAAGAGGCTGGGGAGGAGGCCGACCTTGACGAAGCAGCACCCCAACCCAAGAAGACTAAGAAGCGAAGGTCTTTGGACAAGGGCGCTGAGCAGGTGCTTTCTGCACCACTTCCTGACCCAAGCCGGGTCTATCAGATCCAGCCAGGTACGGCGTGGCAAGCCGAAGTGCCTGAATCGCCACCGAAGGCCGGGAAGGCAAAGAGTTCTGGCGGGTCAAAACTTCGGAAATCAATGCGCGGGGAAGAGTCCAAGGCATTGGAGCAGTCAAGACCTATTCAATCTGGCAGCATGCGCAAGTCTATGAGATCAGGCGATGCTCCTGCGCCAAGCTCTCACGAAGTCCACATGCGAAAATCTCTCCGTGCCGAGCCTGAGACGGTTGTTCTCACGGGCAATAGGATACAAAAGTCGCTGAGATCAAATGGGTCTACAGATGGCAGAGATAAGTCTCGCCCGTCGGTGAACGAAAAGGTTCGGCCAGCGTCATATCAACCTATAGCTGCCGAGCAAGTCCAACCCCACAGACGAAACCAGTCCGCCGATAGGGCTACTCCATCAGCGGCCATGACTGCGAGTGCTTCTACGAAACCAACCCTGCGGCGACGAGGCTCCGATTCTAGTGAAAGCAGCTTCCGTCGTGCACGCACCGGTGGAGGTGAAGGCTTTGGTTTTAAGAGAACGATGAGAGGCAACCCGCGGGAATCTGCTGGCCCTCCATCCGATCGTGGCAGGGGTAGCAGCCGATTCAGTCTTCGTTCTCTTTCACCTACGGGATCGGCTTTCCGCCGCAACTCCGGTACAATCTCTCCGCCAGTGGCCATGGGAGGCCGCATGCGCCAGTCCTTGCGTGGTGACTCCAGCGACCGGAGCACTTCTAGCCTCCGTATGTCCAGTTTTGGCCGCTCCTCGAATAAGACCAAAAAGGCCAAAAAGGGTCGGAACAACAGTCGGTTTGCGGACTCGAGCGACGAGGAAGCTGCTCGACCTGCGTTCCGAAGCCGATTCGCGGAGTCCAGCGACGAAGATGATGCGCCTTCGCCTACGCCGAAGGGGAATAAAGCGCCCAGGACGATGCGAAACAAGACATCCAGCTCGGCTGCAGCTGCTGCCATGGGTGTTCCTCAGTCCCAGAGAGAAGAGGAGGATTCTCCAGACCTCCCGGACAGCGACGATGAGATTGAGCGACCCCAATCTGTTCCGCTTGCCAGTGGCATGGTTTCAAGACCAGCTGCAATGCTTAACCGGAGCGGCTCTGGGCGAGATAACATGAGATCCCCGACTCTGACGCAACCCGCCAATGCCCAGGAGTCGGGGACATCTCGACCAGGTCATACCCGACGAGGAAGCCTGATGTCTATCCTTCGACGCAAGAAGGACGGCAGTGGCAAGATATCTCGACCCGTCAGCGAGAGCGCAGCTCGACGAGATACTCGGCTGGAGCGCAGCACCGAAGAGCTCGCCGTGGTCCGCAACACCAGCACCCCGCACAACTCACGACTCCAGAAGCGCGACCGGAGTTGGCCGCTACAAGAGAGTGGCGATGGCCAACAACAGGACGATGGCTACGGTGAGGACGAGTCGCACGACACGTACGTCAACGATGACAAACGACCCTCTACTGCTAGTGGCCATGTCCCATCCTCGCCAACCGCGGCAATGAAGCATGGATTCCTCAAGCGACGCAGCACTTCGCAAGGCGCCATTGGTCTTGCCCATCACGACGACTCTGAGATTCACGGCACTCGCCCTGAGGACCTCGAGGTCTCTCAGGTTCCCCCCGAGCAGCGAAAGAAGAAGTTTGGCTCCTTGCGCAAGATGTTCGGCCTGCATGACTAGGAAGGGTGCTTGCCTGACACATTTAGTTGATGCATGGACTTGCAGCGTACCTCTTTCCCCACCACCTCCCTCACTTCTCTTCCTTATTTCCCTTCTGCATTTTTGTTCTTGTGGCGCATTGGACAGTGGATGGCTGGTTGGCTGGATACCTAGCGGTTTGGGCAATAGACATCGCATAGGAAGATTTGGCGTCTAGCACAATCTTTTAGTCTTGGATTGCATTTTTTATTTCTTACTTTCAGATTCATCACCTTCGCTGGATTAACTCTTTTCTTTTACTCATACTCCTCTTTTAACAATCGAACCGATCGGCAGACGGACGGACGGATGGATGGAAAAGTTGGTTGGTTGTTGCACCACGGTAGACTCCATAACGGAGTACTAGGCCTTACGGCTAATGCGTTATTTGAGAATGGAGGCTGGGGAGAGGTAATGTTTACGGGGGCATGATATTTGTGGGGGTCGGGATAGTATAGGCAGGTACTAAATGGGCCAGCAATAGATGCCAATTAGATTCCTTCTTGAACATACATCACCGGACCAAGTGTACACATACATGCGTGCATGAGAACCCCAAAAGCCAGGGAGCAATAACGGATAGAGGTTGAATCTACAGTCGAGGATGGTATGTAGCACACGACATGAACAACGGACTTTGTTGTTGTAACATGTCCTATCCGCCCCTTAAAGCGACGCTAGATAAGTCGCAATGAACAACCCTATGATGCCACCCGTCCCATTTCTATTTCCATGGCTCGAAGGCCATCCCGTGAGTCAATCCACACGTTGGCCAGATCATTGGGGAAAACGTGGCGCACCCGTTGGCCTGTCTCCCCCAAATCCCCAACTGTTGCCGCCTGAATCCATCCCATTTACCCTGCCTAAAAAGGAGAAGAAAAACAAAAAGATATGAGCTTCTCGAATGCACCCAGAGACTCCGTAATGGTTTAACGCATAAAATCATTCACCTGTATGGGCACAAAATATAGCAAGAGAAGAGAAGAGGTGATGAGCTTTCACTGAAGAAACATATAAAACAGCCACGGCTCAGTACATGCGGCATTTGGCCATGTACAAACGAAGCGCGGGAATTTTTGAGGGTATAAGCGAAAAACAAAAATCTAGTTTTTAGATCGCGGCTTGCTGCCGTTTCTGGTTTTTTCGCGCTCGAGGAGGAGCATCAGTTGGCTTTTTGTGCGTGCGAGAGGTACGCTGGCCGATGTAGTGGGTTGAGTTGGTGTAAGTCGGGAGTCGAGAATAGAGGGCTCGATTGGGATGGAATGATGGGCCGGGGGGCTGCCTAGCATGCTTGGCTGAGGCATGGAGCCTAGGCCGGTCTGATCAAGGATCATTCCCTTGACATCGATATTTGTGGTCTCTGCTTTCGCCCCCGTAAAGAGACCCGGTGATCGGCGGTTATTTGGATACTTGGCAGGGTCATATCCCCCATGAGATAGGGAGCGTGCCATCGTAGGTGGACCATCAAACCCAGAGCCACTCTCTAATGATCCTACCCCTAAGGTTGATCGAGATGCTGAAGAATCCCTTCTCCTCGTGTGACCAGGAAGGTCAACCAGAGAGTGTGTTTGGAAAAGGATGGGTCTCGCGTGCTCAACAGGTTGGAGTCGTTTCATTTGAGACGGGGCTGGAGCCCCATGTTTGGGTGTGCCATTCCTTAAAGAGATCGGTGGCCGTGAGATGGCAGGTTGCTTACCTAGTGCCTTCTGGCTCATCACAGGACGCTCCTGTGGGACAGATGAGCTGCTGTCCTCTGACGCCGAGCTGACCGGCTCCGAATCCTGCTCGGTGATCGGGGTTACAAGGCGTTGAACGCCTGCATGTCGCGACCCACTTGAAGAGCCTGATTCTCGAGACCTAACATCAGGAGAATGCCGTTTGGGCAGCACTGGCCTTCTCCTGGTTGCAGCTGAAACGCCCACGAACTTCTTCGTTGTGGGGGCAGAAGCCTTCTTTTTAGGCGAAGGAGCCACATAGATCGGTGCTTCGGAAGCCGTAGCGGCTGTGCTCCCCGAAGACGGTATCTCATCCTCATCAGCAGACTCGTGTGGTGAGACGAAACGGGCCGTGGGCCGGGGGCCCGAGGAGGACGGGCCTCGAGCCTTTTTCAAGATGGGGTGCGGAGGAGGAGGCTTCGATGCGCTGGAAGATAGGGTTCTTAACACCGAATCGCTGGGTTTTGTCGAAGAGCGGGACTCTGGTGGAGGCGGTAGTGGAGATGACTCGGCCTGGACCGCTTCCATGAGCTGTCTAATAATGGGGGGGATCTGATCATGCCAGTCAGCATCAGTGGCCACATGGCACGGCCATGGTGGGACATACATCGGGTCCCTCCCATCGATTTGGGGGCCCCTTGAGGGGGACAAAGGTTGGCCCAAGCGAGATGTCCTCATAGAGCTTGGCCAGAGTACTGCCCTTGAGAAGCCTCCTGTCGCTGCCCCAAACATGCCACCAGAAATTCTCTAACCGACAAGCAGTAGGATCCTTAAGCCTCTTATATGTCGTGGTGTAGACTGCGCATCCGGTTAGTGGAGGCTGCTTCGGTGCGGACTGCAACAGGGAGGTATACCATGCCAATACTCCCAGACCTTTTCAGGGGGGACGACGGCGTAGTCAGCGACCTCTTTGTAGATGTTTTTAGAGTTGATGACAATGCCCTTAGGCAGTATCATAGGCGGGCCCGAGTCCATTTGTACGACTTAGGAATACCAACAGGACCCAAGAACCAAGAGCCACTACGGCAGCCCAGAAGTTGCAGAACCTGAAGGAAGAGCTCGACTGTCGATGCACCCACTAAGTCTTGGGCGGGGAACTGTCTATTGTCGGCTGCGAGGGCGAAGCATGATCGCTGGTGAAAGTTTGTCGTCGGTGAGTGAGGTGAGATTCAGAGTTGGGGTGAGAGCGACAGTGAGAGTGAGAAGAAGCTGATTCGTGTGTAGCCCTCGCAAATTAAAGGAGGCCTCTTCGCTCACAGGATCGACTTCGAGTGCGAGACGAACGCAGGGCCAGACGGGACCTTGGAGAAAATAATAAAGCTTGATTATGGCGGTGGGCAACACAGGCTTGAGCGAAGCCGCAGTGCAGAGCGATACAGGGCCGAGGTTGTCGTGTGGCTCAGGGATCTTCTGCGTCGGTGCAGGTCACGCTGTACCGGCAATTACCAGTGACGCAAGGAATTAGGCCGGTGACTAGTGGTGGACCAAGCCTAGGCTTATCGTTGGTCTTCGTCTTATCCTCGTCTTGGTGAAGCGAGGCAGTGGTAAAGCAGTAGGTAACAGCTTGGCTCAGAGCTGACAGCTGAAGCCGGGGAGGCGCTGTGTAAGTGTGACGAAGCGTCCAGGTGGTTGTTGGCGGCGGCGGCGGCGGCGTCGGAACCAGGATAACGCCTTTCTCTGGCTCGTGCAAGTTTGTGCAGTGAAGTGCAGTGTAAGAGTGTGCGCGTCACGGGGCCAGAGGCGCATGTAACGGAACGGGGAATAAGACGTCAGAGAAAAAGACGGTGGGCGGCTCTAGAACGGCTGGAGATGCGACTGCGGCCAGTGCTCATGCTGGTGTTGCCAGGGAGTCGTTGGGCCGTAGCACATGAAAAAGAAGGGGAAAAATCTCAGAAAGAGGCGGAGCTGATGGCGGCGGCGCTGCAGTTGATCACCCAAACTCCCAGGGCGGGCGTTTTAGTATGTGTTTGGAGTCGGGTGTAGAGTGAGCTCGCGGGCGAGGGTGCGCGAGGAGGTTGCAAAAAGGGACGGCAGCTCGGTGTGAGCCGGAAGGAGATGGAGATGGTAGAGGTACCCTACTGCCGGAGTGTGGTGGGTCAGTACCTGAGGCAGGATTGTTGGTGGCCTGGGACCCAATCCGAGATCGAGAATACCTTGAGGCAGGAAGGAGGCAGGTGGCAGGTGGCAGGAGCTGGCGGCAGGAGGCAGAACGGCAAAGATAACCGTAGAGGACGGGGACGGCCACGGGGACGGGTCGGTATGGGATGGGGTTTATAGGCCGAGTCCCAGGGGTTCGATGCCGAGAAGATGTTAAAGTGGAGGCGGCTCTAGTCCTGGCGGCTTGCAGCACACTGCAGTTTGGCTGGGCGAGTAAACCAACGGCGTGCTGTTATACAGGACAGGATGAGGAGAAGAAACGAGTTGGGGGCCGGGGACGCGAGACGACAGACGGAACTAGAAGTCGGGCGCAGGAAAAAGAAACAAGAGAGTTGGAAGGGGTGGAAGAAAGGCGGGGACGAGAGGGAAAGGAGAATGAGAGGGAGGTGAGAGAGGCAGAGAGCTAAAAGCGCTAGAAAGCGGAAGATGGTGAGATGAGATGGGTGGAATGGGCAAAAGGGGAGGGACAAACGTTGACTTTGACTTGGCTTGTCGGTCTGGGTGGCAGTCTCTCACGGTCTCGCGTAGCCTTCCGCAGTCTCACTCACTCACCCATCTCGTGCCCGGTGCTTCTCTAGGGCTCCGGCACGGAATTCTAGCCCACGCGGTCGTTCGGTTGTTCGCGGACCTTTGGGGCAGTTATCAGTCTCAAGTGGGCGAGAGTGAGCAGCCAGGCGGGCCTCTGGACTTCGGGTTCGGGAAGGCCGCCACTGTCTGTCTACCAGTACCTACTGGAGCTCCGTACTGGGATCCAAGGTTCCGAATGGTTGGGGGGAAGGGATCCTAGCGCAAGCCCTGCGCCAGCCCTGCGCCCTGGACCGCCTGTATCTCGGACCGGGATCGCCCACGGAGCAGGGAGCTGCTGCAGTTACGACTGTGTGAGTTGTCGCTGAGCTCCGAGCGCCCTGTGGATGGATGATAATACGGCATGGGGAGGGCCTGGGCCGCCAGTGGGGGTCCCGGTTGGGACCTCGAGCACTCGGAAGACATCCATATTGAAGAGCGGCGTTCTAGGCTTGAGCTTGTCCTGGACCTGCCTTCCAGATTAGTGGACCCATCCCCCCCTCCTGCCCTGAAAAGGGCCTAAAGGAGAGGGGGCGAAGCTATAGCGGAGAGCATGTATCAGAAGTGCGATCGATGTGTTGCTCGTCATCATCGACAACGCTGCTGGAAAATGTCACCGGACATTTCAAGATCCTTTGCTTTTGTCTTCTTTTCTTCTTCTCATGCAGCATGACCAGCCCCCTATTCGTATTCTCACTTTTTCCTCCCTCGCTGTTTGCTGCATGCACTCCCTCGCTGACAGTACCGGCCAGTCCTCCCTGCCTTACGCTTGGTGCAGCCAGCGTGGGAACAAGCAGAAACAGGGTCCACGAGACCGGCGGCGCAGGATCACGGGTCACCAACACATCAGATGCCACCTCATCGACTGCGCTCGTCCCTCGCTTTTTCGATTGAAGTCAAGGCGAGCCGGGTCCCCCAAGTCTCAAGTCTCAAGCCCCAATCCTGACAGGTCTCACCTTCACCTGACCTTTCCCATGGATTCTGGGCCAAGCTCATTCACCGCCATCCCTGCGTCGAGGCAGGGCAAGTCGTTGACTTGATTAGGCCTGTCTAATAAGTAGGGCAATCAGTGGAGGTTGATATGGTCTTTTGGCCCCATGTCGAAATCCCCCCCCTACATAACACATGCTTTGCTTTGCAGGCGGGCAGGCAACCCACAGTGGGTTGCCAAGATCGATTGATATGGAACCGCATCCCAGACCGTTTCCTGACTCGCATTTGATTCATCTCCTCCTCTTCTCTCTCTTTCCATATCCCTCTCCTTCCTCCCACCCTCCCCCTCTTCCCTCACTTCTCCTCCCTCCTGTCGTTTGGGCAGGGCTTGCATGGGCTTTTCAGGGCCTCAGGCTTCGGTGCATTTCTATTCAATCATCATCGTCGAACGCCGCCGATTCACTACTTCCAAGCCACCCGCCACTTAGCAGCCATCAGATCATCCGTCATGTTTTGGAGACTGTCACTGCAAGATGATTCTCAAGTCGGCGGCTCCGCGTACTGTCTCGCATCCCGCCCTCTCCGGTATCACCAATCGCTCGCTTCTGAGTCAAGACAGCCTTCTGATCCCGATGTGGCAGGATCATCCTCATCTAGCCGCCGAAACCCATCCAACCGCGCCCGGCTCCTATCCGTACCCGTACCCGCCTGCAGGACTCCCCCACGCCTTCCCCCCCTGCACCGCATTCTAGAACAAGTCACAGATCAATCTCTTCCAACGTGTCGTTCCGTAGTCCGGAATCATCCATCATCTATCACAATGTTGTCAAAGCATCCCACCGCCACCTACTTGTCGCCTGAGCTCCTTCCCTCCTGATGACACACTAGATAACCTCCTGCCTACCTCATATTCTTTGCTTTTCCCATAGCACCCAGTATGGCCCCGTGCGCCACTTTGCTTACTCAAACCCCAGGTCATTCATCCTCTGTGCGCAGCGCGCGGATCACCAGTAAAGTCGCACCTGGCGGTCTCTACTCCGTCCTCCAGATCGTGTCGTTTGCCTCCATCTAGGGAACTTATCCAACTCCCTGTCTATCTTATTTCTTTCTCGCGTAACACCTGTAGCATCACGCAACAGGGTCATAATGATACGCCCCGCAGGTCTCCCTCTCCTCCCACCTACGCACAACACAGCTCCCACGTTGCCGTCCACGTTTCATGCCGCTGTCTGGATGGTGTCAGCTCAGACAAGCCCTCGGCCGAGTCTCACCGCCTGCCCACGCGACACGATTTCGCCCCCTCTGACAGGTCCAGTTGCACCCACGGTCCAACTGCCTCCCTTTCATCAACCACCATGGCCACAGCCCGCCCTTAGGCAAGCTGGTGCGAAGTGCCTCGAGGCAATTGGCTGCTTGGCCAAGCTTCCTCCCACACAGCGCAATTATTCTTTCTTTTTCCCGCCCCCGTCTCATGAGACCTGCCCTTGCTCCAGAGTCTTCTGATCTGCCCCCTTTGCGGGGGTCAGACCCGAATGAACAAGTCGTGTGACCGACAGCCACACGAATGGGACTGTAGGAAACTCTGCCGAGCGCCTTGTCTCATTCACCATTGGTGGGCACATCCAGACGGCTTCCTTGAGGCTGGAGGCGAATGCCTGTTCCTGGAGGCACCTGACTTGAAGTGCGGCATCGTCCGGCCCGTCTGTGGCTGCCCGTGCGTGGTCATGTCGGCCGAGAGGAACCCTGGCTTTGCGGGGGAACCAATCCCCAGATCCATGACGCCGGGCTTCGACGCTTAGCTGCGGGGAGGCTTCAACCCGGGGATGTAGGACTAACGGCAAAAACGAAGAGCTTCGGCGATGGTTGACGAAGCGAGTTGACGAAGCGAGCTCACCACTCTTGCGCCTGGGGGCGCTGCTGCTGGGATGGTTGATTGTGATTCAGAACCCACGTGGGTTGGATACACCAGATGCGACTCTCATCAACTCGACAAGTCGGAACCCCCCACGCTGGACCCAGGGAGGCCAGGACCACGCCAATCAATGGTTGCGGGGTCGAGCGATTCGTGACTTCACATGGAGGGGTTGCCCCTCGCGCACACTGCGATAGCTGTCAAGCTGCCTCTTTAGGAAGCGACAGCCCAACCATTTACCTGACTGCATATTCTGGCCAGTTGCGAATCCTGAGGCTGACGAGCGGCGCGATTTAGAGCATTGAGCAGAGGTCACATGTCCTTGCCTCCTCGTACCCTCACTATCTCTCGTCGGGTGTCGCATCGACACGCGAGTGGACATCCGACAACGGGGCGGCCGGCTACGATGAGACCTGAGGCCAGAGAGTCCAGAGAGTCTAGAGCGTCAGAACTCTCCAGCAACTAACCCACCGTACTTACCCCTCAGCTGCGGGCTAACTGCCTAGTATGTGTTTAGTAACAGAGATTTGGTGAGCATGCAGGGCCAGCTTGAGTGGGGTTTTACATGTGAAGGAAGCGCAATCTCGACTATCTGCCAACTGATCCTTGTTTGGTGGCACTGGGCGGCTCTCGACCACAGTGGCGAATACTATGATAGCAGGCCATCTCCACCAGCATGGTATCATCTGCACATCCAGCCCTCCCTGAACGTACATTGATCAACTCACCTCTCATCTCACGGCACCATCTCACATCCTCTCCTCATATCATTGACATACTGTGCCTGTTTGTCCAATAGCCACACTACTCTTTAAGCCCGCGACCTGCCGGGCGTACCGCACCGTTGCAATCAGGCTGGGGGCGGGGTTCAACATCGATAAAGCCTGGTTGGGTGTCCTGCAGGTCTCCTGGTCGAGTCGCCACCAGAGCTGGCCCCTACCCCTCCAATGCCCCTGGTCCATCGGCCTCAGCCGTTCCCGGTAATATCACCCTCTGCAGCTTGTCTGACATGGGGCGCATCTAGGGCGATGGGACGGGATGGGTGTGCGGGCATGCGGCGACCTGGTGTCACCTTGAATGTTGTGTGACTCTGGAGTTAACGCGTAAGTACATGACTCCGTCTCGGCTTCTCTTGTGACAACGGCGTATAGAAATGATGTCTTTGAGTGACTGGATAATTATGCTCTGCATATGTCGCAACCATTATAGCAAGGAACTAGCGCGCTAAATTCCAACAGTAGCTAAATGAAGATTGGAGAAGTTAGTAGTAAGAAGCAAATGGCAAACGGGTTTAGAAAATATTGCACTAAAGTTGTTTATTTCCTGGCCATTATTTTATTCTTTATATTTAATGTTTATTACCTTCAGCCTTTCCTACAGATATTCCAACAATTAGGTCGGTTTCATCTGGTACAGTACATATCTACTCATTACGTTCGAGTGATTCGTAATGTACCTCCGCTTGCAGCATCACCTACATATGCTGCTACACGAGTAGAGTATAATCACCCTGTGACTAGAACATCATTTGTCACATTGGGTGGCATCTCAACAAGATTGGGTAGGATTAGGTCGGCACTAACTTAGGCTTGTAGTCTCTTTCCCCAAACCTCGATGTTGTTGTCTCCTCAGCTCATGTGAGGCAGAACCGTAATCACCTCCAATACGACATGGTAGCTTTAGTATTTGGAAGGGTTTGCATTTCATCACCGTCACGTGTGTGACGACCGAGCGTTTGTGCAGCAAGAAAAACTTTTTTGGTTTGTAGCATTATCATTATCTAAGCCAACCCGATTCTATGCCGGCACGCCCGCCTGAAATAAACACAAATGAGAGTAGTAGCCTCTTTTTTCCTTGCCGCTTAGGTGACGGTATAACCGCCGTCAACGCGCAGATCCGCGCCGGTCACGTACAGGCTGGCGTCAGATAGCAGGAAGGTAACAGGGCCCATGAGGTCCTTGGGCAGACCCATCTTTCCCTGAGGGATGAGCGAGGTCCACTTCTGCTTGAGAGCCGGGTTCTCGTCGAGGATCTTCTCAGTCCTGTTTTGATCGTCAGCTGTGGGTTCCATGTCATATCATCATCGATCGGCGATGTGGAGGTGGGGTGGTATTTTATAAACATGGGAGCTGCGCGCCGACGGACCGGGACGGTGGGTATGGGGAGTAGGTGGTCACTTACAATGCGGTCAGCATGTATCCCGGGGAGATACAGTTGACGCGAATGCCGGCGTGGGCCCACTCAACGGCGAGGGAGGCAGCGAGATGTCGGACAGCGGCCTTGGAGGTGTTGTAAGGCCTATTGGCAAAGTCAGCAAACAAACGGGCTTCAACTTGGTGGATTATCCATGGCTTACGTCTGAGGCTGGGGCACGTTGACGATAGAGCCAGACATGCTGCCGATCATGACGATGCTGCCGGGGCTCTTGCGCTCCATCAGGTGACGAGCGACAGAGGTAGCGAAAAGGTAGGTGCCGTCGACATTGACGGCCCAGAGCTTGCGCATACGCTCGATGGGGTAGTTGACGGCCTCAAAGTTCTCAGTGAAACCAGCAGATGTGACGAGGTTGTCGATCTTGCCGTGGGCGGCGAGAATCTCGGCGATGCAGGCGTCGACGGACTCGGGGTCGGAGACGTCAGCGTAGTGGGCGGTAACCTTGGGGATGCTAGAGCACGTTGGATGTGAGCTTCTGTATTCCTGTCTGTTTCAAATTTCGAGTTCCGTTGGGATTTGACATACCGCTCAGCACGAGGATTCTCCTTCTTGAAAGCCTCAATGAGCAGGCCGGTCTGCTTCTCAGCCTCCTCTTCTGCATTAGGTATTAGTAATTTGATTCAGCCATGTAAGTAAGTTGGTGGTAGTGACTGACTGTTCATGTCGACAAGGGCGAGGTTAGAGCCAGAGAATACCATTCCCTGGCCGATGACGAGACCGAGGCCACGGGCGCCGCCAGTGACGATACCGACGTTGTTGTCGAGAGAGAAGCTACCGAGGGTAGGCTTAACGTACTGGCCACCAGTACCAGCGACGGGCTTGCTGCTAGGAAGCTCGTGCTCCGCGGGGTGCTCAAGCTCGACGCCAGGGTCGGTTCGTGAGTAGCTACCAGGCTTGTCCTGGCGGGGAGGGCCATTGTGTAGCATGCGCGCAGCGGCAGCGACGTATGCGTGGCGCATGGCCACCGGCGCGGCACGGCGGGCGCACTGCCGAAATACGGGGGCAATCATGGTGGCGGAGATGGCTGTGAGGTAGTTGTGAGGTTGAAGAAGATGAGTAAAGAGAATTGGCTTCTCTTTAAAGAGGGTGAGGCAGCTAGGAGCTTGAAAGGCCCGGAGCAGGTACGCAGGTGGCGACTGCTGTTACGGGTGGGGAGCTTGGAGGATACAATGTGGCGGCGGGACGGATACGGGAGTGATAGGCGCTGGAGAAGGCAAATTCAACAGCTACTGACGATGGAGGCGATTGATGATGGAGAGAAGAGGGAGACGACGACACGATGCCGACGATCGCTCTGACTTATAGCTCTTTGACACATCGTGCTCTCGTTCTGTCGCCAACAGGGAGTTCCAACTCAGGCGGCGTGCTGCACACACACCTACACCCCCAGTCCCGGCTTTGACGACCTGGTGGGATGGGATGGGATGGGACCCTCCGTCGCATCCATCCCGTTGATCCCTTCCAGATGCCCTGGGCCTGCATGGCGCTAAGCAAGCCCAGATCCGAGCTGCCGTGTGTGCTTCTACGGGACACATGCGGTGTCGATATCGGAAGCACGCACGCACTGCCATTCTTCGGGACCTTTTCTCAGTTTCCCCCGATGCCGCCATCAATGCACCTAATCGGTTTTATTCTGATGCCTGGGGCGGGGCGAGGCCTAAAGGTCAATCTAGCGGCTCAACATGCCCGATTGACCTCCTAGCTACGCAAGCTACGGCAACCTCGAGACCAATTCGTCTCTGGCGTGGTATCTGAAAGAGGGCAACCACGCCGGAAGTCAAAATGATGGTCATCGGGGTGGCTGCATGCTGCGACCGCTCCCTCCTCCATTGTGTGTGAGGGGAACGGTTGGGACGGTTGGGCTGTGATGGGACCGACTTGGACGAGCTTAGACCCCTCGCAACTAGAGCTACTGGAGCTACAGAGTTCTAAAGTCTCGTTTTGGGTTCCCGAGAACAGAACTGCTCCCACAGGGGGGGGAGCAGGGGTCTACCCCAGCGCTGGGAATTCCGAACCGCATCACTCTCTCAGTCGGGTCTCATCAGTCTCTCCGTCGCAGTCTCGCTCCCCGTCTCGCGCACCATCACACCTGCACTCCACGTTCTAGACGCTCGTTGCTGGTTGGAGCAGGGTGGCTTCGCCCGTATCCGGCCGAAACGGTCTGGAACTCGGACGACATCTGCCGCCTCCTCCGGGCAAGATAGGGAGGGATCATGTGAACATCACGAAGCAGATGTGCGGGGGGTGAAGCCCGTTTTGATAGGTACATAGGCCCATAATCACATCGGTGGCAACTTGGAATGGGATTGCCCTAGGGATCAGGAAAAGATGGGCAAGTTGTCACGGAGGATGTCAATTTGTGGGCATTGCGCAAGTATCTAAGTTAAGTAGGTTAGTAGGCGTGTGAGCCTTCGGGAGTAGTGCGCAATGACATTATTACTACACCTTGAGCCAGGCCCACGTAAGAAACAGAAGAACAAGGTGTCTCCTCCTCGACAGGTACACGCAAACAGATAGGGAGACAACAGAGCGAGTAAAATTTCAAAGAGGGGGTCGATCTCGCTTGCGCTGATTGCGAGGGATCATCACGCTCACGAGGTCGGCGCCGACATGGCGAGACGACAATTGGAAAAAGGAAAGTTGTCCAGGTGTCCTGCGGCCATGCAACACACAGAGCCCCTCGGACAAGCCACGGGGGTGGGACACCAGGGTCGCATTATCCGCAGGATGCAAAGCCGTAAAGCTGCAAAGCACAAGGAGGCACCGACAGCTATGGGGAATCCATTCTGGGGAGCCCGGTTATGGGGAGGCTCCGTGGGGTGAGGTTGAACAAAGCACATCCGAGCGGTCTAGCGCTGCCGCGTCGGCTTCGAAGCTTTGAGGGGGGGGGGGAGGGGGGGGAGGCTTGGTTGCCGACACGCCTAAGCGGCGTGCAGAAAGGAGTCGCAGTGAGATTGGCTTCCCTCGAGCTGTATCAACGACACCAAAGCCCACCGAAAAATGTCACGATAGTTGTCTTGGTCCCGCTCGCCGCGGAATGCGGTGGCCTCTACTCACCGCACGGGCGACCATCCCACGGCCAGCGATCCACTGGGGGACAAGCTAAGACGACTCCCCGGGACAGATCTAGTTACCGGGCAGCTAAATCAGGTACAAAATCCCACGTCCTGTTGATAATACGTAGACTCGATGCACTGTCATACATGTACACGCACTATTCTTAGCAGGGTGCGCTGTGCGTACGCCAAGATCAGCTGGACTTGGCCTCGTCGCGAGGGCGCCGCTAGTTGACCCCCATCCCAGTCCCGGCCCCTGGGAGACAGTCCTCGTGGGACATGGAAATTTTCCAAAAGTGCTGGCCCTGTTGCTTGGTCTGCAGTTTCCGTGGTGCGTAGTGATTTGATTTGCTGAACTAAACCTGCGACTGCGACTAGGTGTGACTGATTGTGCCGTCCTCTTGGGTTGGTTGTTTTGTTAGGGCTTCTCTCGGACTCTCCTACAGCAACTATTCATACCTCAGACCGTGTATCTACCACTGCCCGTATTCTATCCCTTTCCACACAATCCTTCCCTCAACAAGATCCAGAACAGATTTCCTTGACTGTGAGACGCTGGTCACACCGCCAACACCTCCTCACCGTGGCTCACCGATGATCAGTTTCGTCCGCAATCTCACCCGTGGCCCCCATGGACTTTAGTAGTCTCCGCGGTCGCCCCCATGCCGCACGCCGCGTATCTCAACATTGCATCCATTGCTATCCATTCTCGCTCAGGCGTCCGCGTACTCCTTGTTGAATGCCCTTCCGATCACCATCCGTCTAATCTCAGAAGTGCCGGCACCAATCTCGTACAGTTTGGCGCTGCAAATGTGGTCAGTTGACTGTTTATATTCCCGTCATGTCTGCAGCCACCCGACCCGTCCCGCCCGCGGCCTCCGGTGTGAATCGGATACCGGATGGCTGGGAACCAAAGGTCGGGAATGAAGACAACCTGGAAAAAAGAGAATTGGAACTTACTCCCGAAGCAACCGTGATGCAGGCATTTCCTCCACATAACCCATCCCGCCTAGCAGCTGGATACAGTCCAGCGTGCACTCCGTCGCTCGCTCAGCCGCGTACAAAATGGCACCCGCGCAGTCCTGCGTGCGGACAAGCCCATTCTCGTCCACAGCCCTGGCCGTCGCGTATGTGTAAGACCGCGACGCCTGCAGTTTCGTGTACATGTCAGCCAGTCGGCCCTGCACAAGCTGGTTGTGTGCAATGGGCTGTCCAAACTGCTTGCGCTGGTGGGTAAACGGAAGCGTGACGTCGAGCGCCGACTGCATCAGGCCGATCGGACCAGCGCTCAGCACCAACCGCTCCAGATCCAAACCTTCCATTAGAACTCGCACGCCGCCGTTTATCTTTCCCAGTACGTTCTCTGCTGGCACAAAGACCGAGTCGAACATGAGCTCACCGGTGTTGCTGCCGCGCATGCCCATCTTGTCCAGCTTTCGCGCGCAGCTGAAGCCCTCGGACTTAGTTGGTACCAGAAACGCCGTGATGCCCTTCGAGCCCTTATCCGGCTCCGTCTTCGCGTACACCACGATCAAGTCTGCGTCGGGCCCGTTGGTGATCCACATCTTGGATCCATTGAGCGCGTAGCCGCCATCCACTGCCCGCGCCGTCGTCCTCATGCTGACCACATCACTGCCGGCCCCGGACTCAGACATGGCCAAGGCACCCACCTGCGTGCCCGCGATGAGGCCCGGCAGGTACTTCTGCTTCTGCTCCGGCGAGCCGTTGAGCTGGAGCTGGTTGACGCAGAGCTGCGAGTGAGCCGCGTAGCTGAGGCCAATGGACCCAGACGCCCGCGAGATTTCCTCCATGACTACACAGTGTGCCTGGTAGCCCATACCCAGTCCGCCGACATCCTCGTCTGCCGTGATGCCGAGGAAGCCAGCATCGCCCATCTTTTGCCACATCTCGTGCGGGAACGCATTGCTCTTGTCTGTGTGCGCTGCGACCTCCTCTGTGATCTCTCGGCGCGTAAACTCTTGTACCCGCTCCCGTAGTTCCTCGAGCTCCTCGCCCGTCGGCGCCTCAAAGCCCTTGGGGTGCTTGGACGAGTGCAGGCGAGACTGGATTGGGGGAAGCGTCACGGCTGGTCGCCATGACCTGGCGGCGATAGGCCGCGCAAGGGATCGGAAGGTTCGCAAGCTTGCCATTGTCTGTGGCCACGTATGATGTGGTGAGAATTCAATGGACTCGTATGAAAGAAGAATGGGCCTAAGTCAAAGACCTGCAGACTGAGTTGTAGGTCGTCCGGCCGAGGACGACGGGAAGTTGTGAGGCGATGCGGGCCGTAGCAAGCCGCGCTCGGCTTGCGGCGGGCGCTTACCCCAGGTTTTAGGACGTCATAAGCTCGGCCTTAGCATCGACTCCCTTGCCCGGCATTGCCATACTTCCATCCCGAGATGCCCTCCCCAAAGCCGAGATTTTCGGAGCAAACACATTTCTGCAAGCTGTAAAGACCTCTTTGGAATGTCGCTCCCACGTTCATCCCGTCAGGCCCTGCGGCTGGGCGGCCAATTCGGCCGTCAACGTTGCCAGGGCCGCTATCTGCAGGCGCGGACCGTCGCGAACCTCACCCCGCCGCACCAGGCCGCTGCCATCTCACGGCTCCCGAGCAACGTCGACCCGTCGTCGGATGAGTTCAAGGAGAACGAGCGCCAGATGAGTGAGGTCATGGGCCGCATGCAGGACCTGGCGCGCAAGATCCAGCAGGGCGGGTCGGAGAAGGCCAGGCAAAAGCACCTTGCCCGTAAGAAAATGCTGCCGCGGGATCGCGTCACGGCATTGATCGATCCGGGCACTACCTTCCTGGAGCTTTCCCAAATGGCAGGCTATGAGCTGTACCCCGAGGCAGAGGTGCCTTCAGCTGGCATTATCACAGGCGTTGGTGTTGTTGAGGGCGTCACGTGTGTGATTGTCGCAAACGACAGCACCGTCAAAGGCGGCACATACTACCCGATCACAGTGAAGAAGCATCTCCGCGCACAAACTGTTGCTCGAGAGAACAAGCTACCGTAGGCCTTCCACCAGACTCAGGCCATTGTGTTGCCAACACTAATACGTTGCAGATGCATCTACCTCGTTGACAGCGGCGGCGCGAACCTGCCCCATCAGGCAGACGTCTTCCCTGACGAGAACCACTTTGGCCGAATCTTCTACAATCAGGCCAAGATGAGTTCTGAAGGCATCCCCCAAGTAGCGGTAGTCATGGGACCTTGCACGGCCGGTGGCGCATACGTCCCAGCCATGAGCGACGAGAGCATCATTGTCGACGGGCAGGGACACATCTTCCTCGCCGGCCCGCCCCTGGTCAAAGCCGCGACTGGCGAAGTCGTCAGCCATGAAGAGCTAGGAGGCGGGAAAATGCACTCGTCCGTCTCAGGCGTGACGGATTACCTTGCCGTGGATGATGCCCATGCCATCGTGCTAGCTCGTCGCTGCATCAGCAACCTCAACTGGCCGGCGAGGTCGCCAAACACCCAAACGCCCAAGCCTACCTTCTCTGAGCCGCTACATAACCCGGAGGAACTTCTTGGAATTGCTTCGACGAACTTGAGGAAGCCCCTACCTATCCGGGAGGTCATTTCCCGTATCGTCGATGGCTCCGAGTTCTCCGAGTTCAAGCATGACTTCGGTACCACACTCGTCACAGGCTTCGCCGAGATCTACGGCCACAAGGTCGGTATCATTGCCAATGACGGCATCCTCTTCGCCTCATCGGCAGTAAAGGGCGCGCACTTCATCGAGCTATGCTCGCAGCGCGGCATCCCACTTGTGTTCCTGCAGAATATCGCGGGCTTCATGGTGGGCTCGCAATCTGAGCGCGACGGTATCGCCAAGCACGGCGCCAAGCTAGTGACGGCGGTAGCATGCGCCGACGTACCCAAGTTTACCGTCGTCGTGGGCGGCAGCTACGGTGCCGGCAACTATGGTATGTGTGGCCGCGCCTACTCGCCGCGCTTCCTGTGGATGTGGCCCAACGCGCGGATCGGCGTCATGGGCGGCGAGCAGCTGGCCGCCGTCATGGAGACAGTTGGTAAAAAGGCAGACCCGGAACTGAAGGAGCGGATCGAGCGAGAGAGCGACGCGACATACTCTTCGGCCAGACTATGGGTAAGTTAAGATCACCTGCTGGGAACCTACAGTAGCTAACCAGGCCACAGGATGACGGCATCATCCCACCGCAACACACCAGACGATACCTTGGTCTGGGATTAATGGCTGCTATGGGAGGAAGGAATGAAGTTAAGGCGGGCGATACCAAGTTCGGTGTCTTTCGAATGTAAGAAGTCAAAGGAAGTGAGGACGGGTTCCCTTTGTAGGCTCTTTCGGCGTTGTAGACACAAGCTAGAGACTCAGGTATCTGAAATCACGGTTCATGGTTCCGATGAGAACTGCAGTCATCCTTCCGGTTGATGTATATGAGCTCTCTATTCCTTCAGGCGTGCACCTATCCCGACTGAATACTGACGTCGGGGGTTGCTAAAGTTCAAGGTACTTGGATTATCGCACCACGCATTCCTCATCAATTACTAGGGAAAACATTTGAGAACGAGGATTAGATCAAAAATATCTTGCTAACGAACGTGCCTAGATTCCTATCCCTTCCTATTAGCTTACCCGTATCAAATGTTCCATCCATCTGCACCAACTATAACCTCGTCAAATCGGTGGGTTTTTGCGCCGGTTTCCTCCAGCCGGTGTTTCCGTGTCGAGACGCATGCGATCCAATGGAATCTGATCAATGGTTCCGCATCATGCACGTGTTGGTTGGGTGTGGCAGATTGCTCATGGTTATGTAAACTACCTAGGTACCCTGAAGTGCGGGCGAAGTTCCCAGCCACTACGTAACGGCCAGGCAGAACACCAACACAAGTTCCATCCGTCTTGCATATCCCCGCGCGTGTCTCGTCATGAGCAGACTTGTTTCCGAAGCGCAAGCTCTCCGCCATCGTTTGGAGCCATCCAAGGCGTTGCAAGAAAAATTGCTAGACGCTGTCGCTACCGCCAGCGTCAATATAGGTACGCTGTTCTTCACCTTGGCTGTGGTTTGACTATTGGGAGCGACACGCTAAATCAGCCACAGAGCTCCTGCAGACCCGCGGCGAGCTATCTCCAGACTTGATGCCGGGACAAGCCAAGAAGAGACAACTTAATGATGGATCCGATATCGATTATTTGCTCGCAAAGAAACCCCGAGTGACGCAGACGAGGGAACAATTGACTAGCGGCCAACCAGCTGAGCAAATGACCATTGCTCAACTACTAACAGAGGAATTTGTTTCAACGACTTTACAACAACCAAAATCTACCGCTTTCAACCCCCAATTCTCGGGGATTATGAAAGGTTTCCTGAACCCTGTCAAACCCAGTCTATGTCCCGAGTCTGTCCACGCCTATATTTCCAAGTGGCTTGAGTCAATATCCATTGATGCGGATCAAGACAAGTGGTGTCAGTCGGATAGCCAACGCAGCCATTCAAACGACGATTCTGATTCAGAGGAGCTCATAAACCCAGCGCTGTATAAACACGCTGATCTCAATACCGATGGAGTCGCTATCTCGCCAACATCACAGCTATCCTGCTCCCCGAAAGACCACATGGAGGCAGGATCTCAACGCAGCTCGCCTGTCGCCGTGCATGCATCCTTGCCTCCCGAATTAGTGGCGGTGGATGCTCCTACTACACAAACTCCAATGAAGCTCGATAATGCGCTGTATGGGAAGGGGGTATTGGGCTCAACCAGCATGTTCATGCGCTCTGGCGGAGAGAACTTCCCCGATAACAAAAACTGAGCATTTTGAGTTTATTGGCAAGGACAGCGACGCCCCCGAGCCATCAACAGATCAGATGTCGCATGCCATGGACTTGGAAGACCTTGCCATTAATGGGACTGAACTTGAAATTAAGGAAAACTTCAAGGCCAACACATTACCTAATTTCGACTGTATTCTGAAGCGATGCGGTAGAGTGTAGACTGTTCAATCGTTCGATAATGCGACGCAGGACTGGTGATATTCAGTTGGTTAACACTGCTGCATTTAGTCTTGCGATGGATAGCACGGAGTAGCGGCGATGTCTCATGAAGGCATGATTCGATAGCGTTTTATATTCAGAGTGTTCGAAATATCTCGATTCAAGCACCTGGGCAGACCTAGATCTTCGCAAGTACGTTAGGAACAATCTCGACGGGGAAATAACAGGGTCAAGGAATATCTGAAGAGCAATGGTTGTTGCTGGAAAGAATAGGGATAAAAGGGGAGCATTTTATGAGGGAGGACCTGGTACTTTCTGATAGCCTTGCTATCAGAAAGAAATAAGAGTGTGGGCTCATCACCGTGTTATAAGGCAAAGGTCGTAGGCGACCCTATGAGATAAGCAGCCTTGTTGGAACTAGAATGACATAATTGAACAACGGATCAGAGTCAATACGGATGGGACCACATGGGTACTGGGATAATGGCTATATGGAACACGAATTCACCATCCTGGGTGAGATTGTATGCTTGATGTCGCCATGTGCTGGGAGTAGAGTAATGACTGCGCGGGAAGCAAAATCTAGTTTTTTAAGCAATAGTTTAATGAAAAGTCTAAGGAACGTCAATCATTGATGGAGCTTGCCGGACTTTGCGAATTGATGAGAAATGGAAAGGATAGCACGGAATAAGTAAATTGGACAGGTGGGTGGTGTTGTCGAATGAGCAAGACTTTGCGACTACCACGTCTACTTCCCAGTTTTTTACCTTTGTCACTTAAATGGACTGTTCTTCTAGAACATTAGGGGACCTCACAATTGTTTTATTCTATTGATTATTCTGCTTACATCTCAGGTTATGATTTTGGTTTATGGAAACACGGGGTATTTATCCCCAACATGCTGAATCATTCACCCAGGCTTCACTAAACCTCTTGTTTAACTCCACACTATCGCAATCACAGTCAACCTCTTAACATGTTTAGTGAATGTTATCATTATTCTGCATACTTCTTATTGCACACCTCTCTTCCTGTCTCCTTCATGTGCCGACAGTATAGGGTAGTTCCTTCGTCATATTATGTTTAGCCAGCTTGCAGTAATTTAGGGCAAGCCAGATGGGAAGTTTTAATTGCTCCACTAGATTCCTAAAGATAAGACGTTCAAGTTGATGTTATTTTTCAATTCGTGCTCGATTGTGAGGCGTTCAATGGGTGAATCCCCGCAAATATCGGGATATCCACCACGACGTATGTTGGCCAAGAGCGGCAAACCACGTCCCCCTTCTAGGAATCCGCAAGCACTCAACGAGAGTGCCATGCACTTGAGATAGTCATACTAGAAAGAAACTTTTTGGACATTTACGAAACGGAATTCAGGTTCAGAAAATGGAGAGTAGCTGGAGACCATGATATTGAAGTAGGACGCAGGCCAAGCGTGCTTCGGCATCCATATTGAGCTCGCCCTTCTTCAGTGGATCGGAAGGCCTGGGAATTACCCGGATAAGAGCTCTGAATGAGATGTGATAGATTGTTGCCTCTTTTCAGTATACATACAATTCTTCCTGTTCAGGGCGAGAAGGTATGTGAAGAAATCAGTGGTTGTTGTTGAAAATCCTGGCCAACTTCGGAATGTCGCATCCCACCAACAAGAGGCTGGACTCGATAATTACGCAAGTAAATAGCTAGATACCGTTGAATTAAATAAAGGAGACCTGCCTTGGATCGCAGGAAGTTGCTTCAGGGTAGGCTACGGCTGAAAGAACTTCCTACCACAATCCGGGACTGGTCAAAACGCGGTAATCTTGGAACTGCGCATTGTGACAGCAAATTGAAGGAATGATTAATAAACTCAAAACACGACGAAATATAAAATATACTGGGTAATCTAGAGGATGTTGGACTCAGTGACGATCTATGGAAATTCACTCTCTATCCGCTGTTATGCTCTCAGGGTCGGGGAATGATAGCACGCATGCCAAAATGCGAAGAGAACCTACTCACCGGGCTACTGTCGTCTGTGATCGTCTGTGTTAGAACGCCCTTTCTCAAAGCAGATGCCTTGTGGTGATGGATTTTACGGTGAAGCCTTGTCATCTCCTCGTACCACTTCGAGGTCACAACGTCCTTCTTCTGATGGCAAGGAAGGCCCTGTTCGCAGGGTTTGGCACTTCTGGAATGACTCCAACCCAGAGTCAACTATTCAATGGGTAATGTCCACAAAAGCGCATTCATCCCACGGCCAAATCTTATTGAGAAAATTAACCAAGGTTCGAGAAAGGAAGGTTGATATCCGCTGTTTCGGACCATGCTCGTGCTGCGCCCTTCAGTATGTGCCCATGCTCGTGTAAATTATCCTGCTCAGCAACCCAGCAAGGATTTGAGGGAAAAACCAGCGACCAGTATTGTCAAAGTCACGTCTATGTGCCGGGCGGAAAGCGTATCAAGGTATACCCAGGTTTGCCGAGAGGGCAAGATGTCAGACGGAGCAGCGACAGCTCGTCGGGTCCGGATTGGTTGGGTTTGGGCTGAGTCTGGTGTGCGTCTGAGACCCAGTTAGGTGCAGTAAAAAGGATCTTGAGCAGCTCCGCTGAAGCAGGGGGTAGCTTGGTCTGGCCAATCATGGGAGAGATCGACGCCAGATCTCACAAGGTGAAACACACGACATGGCAACGCGAGCAAGGGCCGGCGTCGTAAGATGGCCACGTCGCCGCGGTGCGGTGCCAGGCAGCCCGATGTCTGTATGTGCAGCAGCCGTCATCTGTACCTCGTATATGACGATGGGGCGCAATTCTTCCGTTGGGGAAAAATTGGAAGATGCAGATGGGCCGGGTTCAGCTTCCGTCGCTTCGGGATCGGATCCAGCGGATGCAGGGCCGCTGAGGGGGCTTTCATTTTTAGTGGCGATGATGAGTGTTTGTCTTGCTATGTTTATGAGAGGCGAAATTAAAGGTGACGCCGGCTTTGTCGAGCATTGATGAGCCCCGACCAGCATTCGACGGCGTCCAGCTTGAGATTGAGGCGACAGCGAAGGAGCACTAGTGAATAGGATCACATTGAAGGGGCATCATTTTGTTGGAGAGGCTTTGCCGGCTGTCTGTCGCTGGTAGTCGGCAGTGCCGTTGAGCCCGACCAGCCCGTCGGAAGCTCTGACGGGCACTAACGGCTGATCAGACGAGCGAGCGGAAGCAAGTCGGGCTGGTCCTGGGGTGTGTATGACATTGCTGTGTCGCACAGCGGATGTAAGGATGGGCGGTGCGCTGTTTAGCCGTAGATTGTAGACTTTCTGTGTGCGTCTCTGGCGTGCTGAGGCCAACTTAGCGGCGGCGTTGGCAGAGGCCGTGCTGACGCTGTCGCGTTGTTGGTTGAGAGATTGGTGAGGCTGCCGTTGGAGGAGCTTCGTGCAGCTCCAGCGGGCTGAGCTGATGTGAGCTGAAGCGCGGCAGCTGCGGCAAAGCGTGTTGATCAGCGGCGCTGGAGGGATGATGGTTGAAGGGCGAGATGTACGGTGCAGGTGCAGTGCAGGTGCAGCCCCTGTGCGTTGCAGATCGTATTGAAATGGTGGGCTGCAGAGTTCCATCTCCAGCTCCAACACGCGGAGAGTCGAGATCCGTCAAAGGTGATTGACGAGCCCGGACTCCGGAAAGACGCAAACGCAGGCAGATGGCAGATGGCAGCTCAGCGAACAAGGGATCACTGGTTCATACAGACAGGGGCTACCCCTGCTATTCGGAGGTGGCCCTCAAAAGGCTCAATTGGGGATCCTGAATGAAGCCGCAGGTACAAGGTGGCGCTAGCGTTTCCGTTTGAGAGTTCGCCCGCCCGTGCCACTAGCGGGTCTTTTCTCTCAGTTCTCTGGGGGCTTCTGGGGCGCTGTGCTTGGAGGGGCTTCAGTGGAGCAGCCGGCGGAGCTTGTTGCCGGGGGCTACTAGGGTCGCTGGGCGCAGGCCGCTGATTGGCGCAGCGACCGGGGCTTCGAGACAGGTTTGGTGGAATTTTGGTGCAATTGAAGTCAGTGGCTTGCCCACCCGCGTGGGCTGTGGGGACGACTGGGGAGCATCGAAGACGCCAACGGCCGGTCTGGGCTCTTCCCTGCCGCAGCGCGAGCTCTGCCCCCCCTTCATCTCTTGCATGCGCGCCGTTGGACACTGGGACTGCGAAAAGCCGTACCATGCGCTTGGGTTTTGGATGCAGCACGGATCCCAACTCTTCCTGCCCTCTGCCTCACGCCGCTTGGCGTTGGGCTTCCGATGCTGTCGAGTGTCTTCAGTGGATCGCCGTGGCTTTTTTCCACCCCTCCAGAAGCCTTGATCCTTGCAGCCAGCTGGTCGGAGCCGGGATGATTCACGTCACGGCGGAGTGAAGACGCAGTCCTCCGTCCATGATAGCCACGATGCTCAGTTTGCCCAGCTCCCCCGGTCCTGGAGTCGCGCCGAAATGGGTCCCGGCTCCCGTTATCAGCGCTGCCAAGCGTCAATCGTCCCTCGTCGGCCGGATAGTAACGCACTACAGACGCACTGGCATGGGCTGGCACAGGCACAGGCACAGACCGGCACAGACGGTCACAAGGCGACCCGTTTGCCGTTGTGCCTAGGAGTAATTAGTATGTTGTGCCTGGTAATACGTTGTGAATCGCTGTTTCGTCCATTTGTATCGCCAGCGTGCGTGCTGTTGTGTCGGTGCTCGCTCTCCTTTCGCTTCAGCCCCATCGCAAGCCTCACACCACTCGCTCGCGTTTCCCCTCACTTCCTTCCTCTCTTCTTTCTTCCCTCTCACCCTTTCACCACGCCGTTTCGTGTGCTCCCCCCTCCCCCCCAAGCCCTGCTTCGGCCTGAGTTGTCGTTGCCTGCGCGCCCTTCCTTTCGCCCTCGACTTGTCTTCCCGCGACTGCGTTCGCCGCCTCCTTCTCCACCACCCACCCGCTGCCACGCCGTCTTGAGGACAAGGCACTGATTGACTCTTTCCTTCCCTTTGCGACACACACACACACCGCCACGTGAGACCTGCCTGGACAGAACTTGAAGTATCGCCCACCACAGAAGGAGCAAGGGAATTCCTCGACTTCGACTACCACTCTCATTCAACTCACACTCTCTCATTCTCTCCCAACTCACACCCGTCGTCATCTCGCAGCTTGCATCTCGCCATCCCGGCACCCGCTTTCGACGCTCTCTCAGTCTACCCCCAACTGACACCCCCCCGACGCAATCTTGAAACACGGCCTTTCGACTCAACTTTCCCGCTGCCGTCGCACTGCTCCTCCTCGCACCCATTGGATTTCCTCCCCTGTGACCCCGTCCTCCACCGCTGTCGGGCCGCTAAAGAGTCGACCTTGTCGCTGTCCGTCATCGTTCATCGCTCATCGTCCATCGGCCAGGTCCGCTTCTGTCGCTCGTTGCGAACCCATCTGCCGTCTCCCATCTCGCAGGATCCCACATCACTGCCGTCTTGCACCACCCTCACCCTGCCTGTTTGACCCGTCTCGTCCAACGGCCCACTGAGACTCGACCTCTTCCCGGGTACGTGAATGCTATCCCCCTTGCCTTGCCCTGCCCTGCCTCACCTTGCTTTGCCTGTTGCTATCCCGTCGACCAGGGTGTGAGCGGTCTTACCCCAAGCGACGTCTCTGAGGCGTCTTGGCATCTCCCTCAGAGTCCCACTATCCTGGCTTCTCACTCTTCTGCGACGACGTCCCCACTGACTCGTCTCCTTTCAGAATCCTCTTTCTTTTCCGCGTCGATTGCATCGCATCTCCCACGACGCCTGGTTTCGCCGTGCAAAGGTCTTCACCTTAGTTCTATCATTTTCTTACCTTACCTTTCTTTTCACTCGTTTCCTTCTTCGTTTCGTCACTTCTCATTTCTTTCTTTCTTTGTTCCCCTTCTTCTCCGGCCTTCCGCAAATCTCTTCTGCTACCGCTGTGCGACCTGAACGATCCCGAAAGACGTCATCCTTCATGTTGCGGAACTTCAACCAAGTCGACTAGACGTCGATTTCAGCAGATACGAACTCCGGAGTCCTATTTTCTCAAACTCGCGAACTACCGAGCGCATCAAGCCGTCGTGTACTCACCCTTATCTTCACCCCCTATAACGGGCCGGCTTCTTGCATACAGAGTTGAACTCTACACGGGCGCTTACGCCGCCGACTTTTGAATGCTTATTGACTTGGCATAAAGGACTAAATGAGTCAACCGTACTATGAGCAAGAGATGGATCGGCCAGTAGGAGCTTCAGGGTCCGTCAAGAGAGCCCGAGAGAGGGCACTTCAAGGACTCCCCAGAAACACACCTCCACCAATGTTTCAACAGGACATGGCTGACGATGCGCCTCCTGGCGACCTGAGGGCTCCTCCTCGCCGTCTGGTCGCGCAACCTGCTGGTCAATCGAGAATCCCTAAGATCCGAGCACCTGGAATGGATGGGAGGAACGCCAACGGTGGCCCTGCCATCTCGAGACCGACACAAGTGCCTCAATGGCCATTGCCAGGCCCTCCCTTGACAGCGATAAATCAGTCCGAACCCGAACCCTACCGACCCCCTCCTGGACGACCACAGCAGGCCCCCCAAAGACCGCCGCGACCCAGCCAGGTTCCATCGATGTTGGATCAGTCACGCCTCCAGGAACCTACTCCCGTCTTTCTCAACCCGGATGCCGACTACTACTCGGAAAGTCCCACGAGCCCTTCATCAGACACTTCGTCAACCATGGGAGAGCTCCACGACTTCCCCCCAGCTGGTTCAAATTCGCTATCGAACGCGAGACGGAGCGCAAACCTGGGCCCCCCTCCTTCATCCAGACGAGGTGCTTCTTCCTTCTATTCGAACCCATCCTATGTTTCGCCGATCCCAGAGGAGAGCCTTGCTTCCAAGTCACACGGATCATATGCTTCGAGTGCAGCCATGCCCGACAATTGGCCGGTCACTTCCCGTGAAGCTAGCCCGACATTCTACGACGAGACCGACACCGAAAAGGATCGAGGCTCCATGTACGACGAGTTCAGCGACGAAAGCAAACTGGTACGTAGCGCCAGTATCGGCAAGCGAGGCAAACCCGCCCTCGTTACCACCAAGTCTAGTAGCAGCGCTACCGACAAACAAGCTCAGTCGCCTGTGCAGGCCTTCGCAGCTGCCAACGAACATGGCGACCCGCAGAACTCCTGGATTGCAATGTCGACGCCTAATCCTCTGAACGCAGATAACTCCAGGACGCTCAGCCCAGACGCGATGCTCGGAGCTTATGCAGCTGCGAGCGCTACTGATCTGGCGGAGAACCGAATGAAGAGTCCGTCTCCTCTAGCTCCTCAGATCCGACCCCATGTCCAACCCGTGGCGCCAGCGTACAACCGAATGTCAGCTATCAGACGACCGCCGAGATTGGACATGGATGCCGTGAGGAGCGCGGAGGAGCGAGGCAGCATCACCAGCTTGCCGGATCTAATTCGACGAGCGACTAGGCTCGCCTCTATGATTGATCGAGGCAAGAGACCTGCGAGTCGATTTGGAGAGTTGGGTGACTATCTCGACGAAAAAGGTCAGGGTCGTGGCGGCGATAAGGAGAACTCAGGTATGTATCCCCCATGTACCGCACAAATATAGCGAAGCCGTGATATGTATGACATTGGATCACTAACGCAAACTAGGATTGTCAGACATGTTGGCCGCCTTCCCTCCTCCCGCACAGGTCCAGACCGACCGACAGAGCCGGGGCTCCTGGTTTCGCACGACGTCTTGGCCTCTTGCCCCCGGCCGACAAGATCAGCCTTCACGATCTCAGCTTAGGAACATGGCGCCACAGGATGAGCCACGGCGCGACAAGCGCCGAAGATGCTGCGGCCTGCCCATGTGGGGTTTCATCCTGGTCATGATTCTGCTGCTCGGCGTCGTCGCCGCCGCTGTATTTGTCCCGCTCGAGTTTTTCGTCTTCAAGAACCTGGGCAACAAGACTGCCTCCAGCTCCGAGTTGACCAAGTGCCAAGAATCGCTGGTTTGTCAGAATGGCGGCAGCAATGTTATTTCGCAAGGCACATGCTCGTGCATTTGCACCAATGGATTTACTGGTTCGGACTGCAGCACCAGCGGGAGCGAAGGCTGCACCACTACTGACATAGTCTCCTCCGCTGATGACACCACAATCAGCAACGTCACTCTTGGAAAGGCTATCCCTCGCCTTATCGCTTATAGTGGCACGAACTTCTCTATCCCGCTTTCCGGCACGTCGGTCATGGCAAAGTTCAACTCGGGAGACCTCTCGTGCATTGCACAGAACTCCCTCGTGACTTTTGATGGCTCAGCAGCACGGAAGGGCGAAGCATCGGACAAAGTGGAGGCCACTGATGAGGAACTCCAGGTTGATCAAAGAGACATCAAGAGAGCCGCCACTACTACTGCCGCAATCACTTCTGCCATCACCATCTCCCCAGACAGTGCTGCCACCACGCTGGTACTGGATGAGGGGTCACCTGCCCCTACCGGGACCGGGTCGGCCAGCGGCTCCAAAGAAACTTCTGGTTCTACTACGACAGACGCCAGCGCGACGGCGACGGCAACCTTTACGGTTACAGAAGAGGTGCTTGATTTTGCTCGTGTTGCAGTCCTCTACGTCTTGCAAGAGGAGAGCCAAGCCAATGCTGAGAACGCCCAGACCAACCTTCAGCGTTTCTTCACCTCGGCCGACGAAAGTTCTGGAGTGACTGAATCATCCGCATCGAGCGTTGATATTGGCAGCGACAACAAAATTGACTTGGTGAACTACACCATCAACATTGGATCGGGGTCAGTTGGTGGGAAAGCCAGGCGCGATATCGTGTATGGACGGGCACTTGGTTTCGATGCCAGCCAGGTTCGGCGCAATTCCCGGCACGGTGGCTCCGTTATCCGAAACCGCTGACACGCGCATCCCGGATGCTGTACATATCGATCGCATACACTTATACAACTTTTCTTTGATGCGGACATTCTGCATTTTTTGATTGCCCTGGGGCATAAATGACATGAGCCTGACAGGGCCAGGGCATGGGTGGTAATGATGCAAGACAGGAAATGGGTATGACCAGGAAGCACAATCTTGTATAAACATTTCAGGAGGCCCTCTTTTACATTCTCTTCTATTCCCCCTCTTTTTCTTCAGCATGTACAACTCGCGAGCGAGATTAGCGTGGGCGTTTTACACAAGAGGTGATGGCAGAGAGTATCACTGGTCAATGTTAGAAATGAGATTCTAATCAATCCTCGAACAATTCGGCTTGTGAATATTGTGAAGTTATGCTTTTTGGTTAGTGAGTTGAAGAATCACCTCTTACTCGCAACCCTTGTCTCGGTACCATACCGTCTCAAGTCACCATCAGCTCTTCCTCGTCCTTTGAGCCATTGTCTAACATAGCGCCTTGAAATGCCTCATCACGGAAAGTAAAACACTTCCTCAACGGGCTTCCACCAACTCGGCTCGCCGGCCTCTGAGCTCACAGCCCCGGGCACAAGACTCTCCTGCCAGCCGTCCGTCATGCGCCACCACTCGCGGACGCGGGGGTTGGCGGCCATGAGAGCCATGTCGGCGTCGTAGTCGGTGCCGACGTAGCGGAACGAGGCGAACAGGATGTGGGACTTGTCGTCGTAGAAGATGCTATCTGTGCGGAGCCACCCTCGTCAGCTTTTCTTTGTTATTGTTCCTGGCCAGGACAGGCCCGTCACGCAGCGGGGCGACGCACAGTCGGCGATGTTGCACTCCTTGATCTGGTCCAGCACCTGCGGCCAGACGGCGGCGTGGCATTTCCGGTACTCGTCCAGGTGCTCGGGCTTGAGCTTGACGATCTGGGCGAAGCGCCGGCCGGGGTAGAGGTCCGTCGGCGCGGGTTGTGCGGGTTGCGACATGGTGATGGGGCCTGTCTGTGGGTGGATGGCTCGATATCTCGATGCTACGCTCCGCCTGTTGCGAGAGATTGCCCGTGCGCGTATAGGAGTTGCCAAAGTCTAGACCCTTCTAAAACGGAGAGAGATAGTGCAGCGATAGCTTGGTTATATAGGCTGCCGGGATATTGGGGGTCGGATTCGGCGGTATTGCCTCCTCGGGGGATCGGGGGACAATACAGCGAGATAGCTGCGAGACCCCGCACGCGCTCCAAACAAACTAGACTCCGTCATTCATCCATCCACTCGATTCATTCATCGTCGTCCTGGTGGGCCTGTCTTTCTCTTCGGGAGTGTCCCCATAAGCCCCCAAGCTTCGGCAGATCTCCTTATTAGTGAATGCAAGTCACATGGCACACGTCAGGACCCGCTGAGATGCCCCCAAGAGCCGCTTCACCCCGCGTGGGGGCGTCAAGCCGGGAGGCTATTCGCAAGGCAACACGAACCAGAACTCGAGTCGTTCAAGATATCAATCTGATGTATTTGTTTGTTTGATATACAAATGAATGTGGGGGGTATAAAAAAAGCCAGCAAGGTCCGCCAGCTTTCAAGGGAAAGGACAGCAACGACCCAAGTCGTCACAAAGAACACATTCGCTCTGTAGGAGAGATATTTTCATCCAAATAATACACCTCCTCGCCCTTCCCGTTAGTCCGTAAACGCCATATTCCCACAACTTGACATGCAGGTACTCCATTGGTATCAGCCACCCACATATTTCTTTATTTTCATAATTCGGTCTCCAGTTCAATTCCCTTTCTCTACCCGGATTCGCTCAGGTTTGTTGCTGTCCGTGAGATGTTCATGAGACCTAGCGCACATTGAGATCCGACGAATATAGTTGCTTTAGTTTCGGGGAGTCTCGTCCTCACTCTCATACTCAGGAGCAGCTTCCTGGTGAACCATGAGACCGGCCTTCTCCTCATCGGTAGAAATGAACTCGACAACGTCGATCTTGTGGCCACAGTCCACATACATGGGGGCCTCGTGACGCTCGCCCCTGACCAGTCGGATGAAGCGGATGGCAAGGGTACCAAGGAACATAGCCAGACTGGGTTTCATTAGCATAATGGAGCGAGAGGAGTGAGTTAAAAATACATACATGGCAACGCCGACACCAGCAGTGATGCCCATGAGAACAGGCAAGAAGATGTACGAAGTAATGTGCTTCAGCATGCTCCATGAGTGGTCGTGATGGTGAGACTTGTGCTTGCCGCCGTGGTGACCGTGGGATTTGTGACCGCCTTGGACGAATCCGGTCTTCTCCTCGGTCTTGCCATGGCCGTGGTGGTGGCCCTTGTGGCCGTGGCTACGCATTCCGCCGCAGCCCTTGCCCTTGAAGTTGCTCTTGACGCTCTTCCAGACATCATTCATCATGCTCTCAACACGGCACAACATCGACGAGCATTGGTTGGGAACGGCGAGAGTCTCGGATCCAGAGAGGTTGAGGCTGCCAATGAGGATTTCCCCAGCAGTGGACTTGACCAGCTTGACCTTGACGAGAGGAATCCCCTCGACGAAACGGTCTCCGACCTCGATGACCAGCAGTTCCACGGCGATAACCTCAAGTTGCTGATCCTCATCCATGCCCTCGGGTCGCACGGAAAGACCATATCCTAACCTGCGGTCCTTGCTCTTGCCATTTCCCTTAATAACGGCGGCAGACAGGTCACCCTGCCAAGGGTCGGCGTTGGGGTAGAGCTCGAAGCCGTTGAGCAGCAGACGAGTCTTGTCTTCAACGGTAAAGTCCATCTTCAGGTGGGTGTCGTGGCCGCGGCACTGAGGGCAGGGGACCTCGATGCTCTGAGTGAAGGCGGTCGCAGGGATGTCGTACGAGTTGACGTCGTGGGGGAGGGTGCGGAAGATGCCATCGTTAGAGTCGGAAGTCTCGGGGATAATTAGCATGGCGGCGGCGGACGCCGCAAAGAGGAGCTGAGTGAACAGCATGGTGGCGATGGGGGCTCGAGATCGATGGGTATTCGATTTCGCGTTGACACCTTTGGTGATGATGGGTGATGGATGATAGCGATGATGATGCTGAGAAGTTGGACAAAAGAGAGAGTGATGATTGAAGCAGAAGAGGAGAGGGTTTGGTAGCGGTGGTGGATGAAGCAGGTGCTTATGCAGGGAATGGGTGGATAGTCGCTCCTTCCCTGGCCTCTGCCTAGTCAGGCGCCGGAAGTCTCGGTGGCGTGGGCGCCCGCTTTGGGGAAAGCGTGGGTGATATTGGTAGCAAGTCTCTAAATCTGGGGCTGTACGGACTGCGTGTACCTGGTAAGGAGGGGCCTAGTTGGACCAATAGTGGAGAGATGGTGGGCTATGGATCCCGATAATGCCGTGCTGATCGTGTGCTGCTCTTCCAGCCCTGTCGTCGCTGCAGTCTAGACCGTGTCTGTAAGTAGGTACCTAGACAATGGTACGTGGAAGTACCGATGTGACGCAATGATCTGTAATTGCGTGGTTGCCTGGTCCAGTGCATCTCTTCTCCTACTACAGTACTTGCTGCATTATCATCTCACACATCATCGCTCGCAATCGGGAATGTCGTTTGGCATTGCAAATTACGCTCCCAGCACTTCACAAGCCGATCCACGTCTGTTTCTAGCACGCCGTGCAACATCTGGGACACGGGCGCCAACACGACCCCTCGCCTCCGTTTCAGGGGCCCTTCACCCTTCAGGAACCGCCCTGAACCGCCCGCAAGGAGTCGCCCAAATCCGGCCTAAGCCTCAAATTGGTTGTGTTGGTTTCCTGGTCTGGTTTCAATCTTTGCTGCGACTCGGCTTGGCTTTGGGGCTGGCATGATCCGAGTGCGAGCAAGTCTCCATCGCGCCAAAAATAGAACACATCCATTCCATTCCCGGATGTTTGGTGATTAGGTAGCTAACGAGGTGACTATGTCCTCCCCTACAAAGTAATACGGAGTGCGCAGTACAAGGCAACGCAATTCAACTCTGGCCCTTTCATCCACTTTGGATATTTACCATCAAAAAGTGCTGCGTTTCGCATCCCTCCGCGTGAATCCCATGTGCTGAAGCCCCGGCACTTCTGGCCAAAACCACCAAACTCGAGGTCCAAGACAAATACCAAAGCCTTGGCAACCAAGCCCCAACACCTTGTTCAAACAAAGGGGTAATGGGACAAGTAACAAAATTATCACCATATTGAAACCTCTCCTCACGCCCCTCGATCATTGGTTTCAGGCCGCTGTTGCTGCGGCGGCTGCTGCCAAATGGCCTTGAGCCTCATCACTGCAGTCTCCCATCGTCGCTTCCATTCGCTCCGTGGCAGGATATCTCTGTCTCTCGTTCCATCGCCAAGCCGCGTTGCGTTCTGATGCCGATGGATTGGCGAGTCTCCGCCCCAAGGGAAATTTGGGTTATCGGGGAGCTCGTCCGAAGATTTCTTGCCTGTAGGCGTGGGATACATAGGCTTCCCCGAGTTCCAATCTTCATCGCTCCTTGTGACAGTCTCTAGCGTTGTGGGCGACCCTGTTTCTCGTTAGTTTGGCTCCCTGACACATCCATCGCATCACTTACCCTTTGACGTGAATGGCCCAGTCGTATTAGCCCATGATCCCGATGTGCACGTGCTCGTACTGCTAGTCGAGTTGCAACTCGACCATGTCGAACTCGGGGTCACGGGCAGGGGTGGAGAAAAGGACCACGGTGGGATGGTCCCGCCGACTGAGCGTGAACAATTTGTCGTGGGATAAGTTGTTGGCAGCACTGTGGGATAACTGGCCGAATCCGTACATGTTGTCGACACAGTGGATGTGCACGAGCTAGTCGAGTTCAAGGATGTCACGGTGGATGTGCAAGTGGTGGTCGTGTTCCATGCTGATATCCCGTCACTAGGCACGCCAGTTGTGGATTTGGCGCCGGTGTCCGACGACCAAGAGCCTGTTGAATTATGCGTTGGGAACGGGCCTTGCGGGGAGCTCTCTATCGTTGAAGGCCCCCTTGTCATCCACGGTGATGATGTCGGGCTCATAGAACTAACTTCATTAGTCGAATTAAAACCGGTTCCTGTCGTGGTTCCCGCTGGTCGAGAGAGAGGCGGCTGAGACACGGACCCCGACGACAATGCGGTCTCCGAGGCCCCCGGCGTTGCCGAAGTGCCATTGGTCCAGATTGGGGACGTGATAGACAGAGTGGGCAAGCCGTCCCCGGACACTCTCGATGTCCCGGACTCCGTAGGTAGAGTGTTATTAGTGGTGACCCATGTTGGCCAAGGCGAGCTGCTGCGCGTCGAGTTTCTACCGGGGTAACGGGGTGTGCTTGAAGCAGAGCTCGGGCCCGATGTGAGACCCGATTGAATCGAACTTGTCCGAGTGGTCCCAATGCTCGAACGTGGAGGGCTGGCAATACTGGATGAGCTGATATCGGTACCGTACGGTGTAGTGAGGGCGGTGGAGTTCAACGGCATTGAGTAGGGCGTGCTTGTCCCTGAGGCTGACGAAGACACCCCCGTCGAGACCCCTGACATAGACGAGTTGGACGTCGGGAACGGGGGGTTTCGCGATACAGTAGAGTCTAACGAAGTTGGGAAGGGAAGAGGTAGTGGGATTCCAGTCACCGATATCGTCCCACTGATGGTAGAGTTAGAAGGCTGCGGGAATGGAGGTTTTCCTGATACAGTAGAATCCAAAGAAGTTGGGAAAGGAAGAGGAAGTGGAATGCCGGTCCCCGGCATTGTCCAACCCGTGGTGGAGTTGGACGGCCATGGAAATGGCGGCATGCTCGTCTGGATTGTGAATATATGGCTCTCCTTAGATCCCGATGTAGACATAGTGGTGCTATTCGATGTCACAGAAAACGGGGGCGAGAGTGTTCCTGAAGGCGCTCCTGTTTGTGCCCCACTACTGGAGTTGCTGTAGCCGTTCGTAGGGCCAACGGTTGACGTGGAGTTTGAAAAGGATGAGTATGGGCCAGTAAGTGAGGAGGCAGTGCCAACAGGCCCTGTTCTAGTGCTGAGGTCTGACCAAGTTCCAGTTTGTGTGACGTTCCAAACTGTACTTTGTGTCAAGGTGCGTGTACCTGTTCCTGGCGCGGGTGTTGCAGAGAGTGTTGAGTTGCTAGTCCAATACGGCCCAGTGGTTGACGTAACTCTGGTCAAGTGGGTGCTTGAAGTCGTGCCAGGGGGCCACAGTGTGATTTCAGTGGCGTTGGGGAAAGAAACGGTACTGCTCTCGCCGCTCACAACACCGCTGCTGAGCCCTGAGCTGATGCGTGAGGACGTCACTGCCGTGGCAAGAGCCGAACTTGCTGTTGTTTGCCAACCAATCGACGAGTTGGTGAAAGTTGGGAAGGGAGGGTGACCGCTACCTTTCGATATGATTATCGAGATGATTGAAGTATTGAGATTCGGGGGCAATGAGGTCGAGATGGAGGCCGTAGTGGACATGGTTAAATCAGATCCTCGAGACAATGTCGAGTTGTGATAGAGAGACGTGGCGGTTGATGAAGTTGTGGACCAAGATTTAGTCCCATTGACACTGGTAATGGTGCCCTTGGTGGAAAATGAGAGGGTTGTCGATCCCCTGCTCAGCGTGATGGTTGAGGCACCCGATACCCATGATTTTGATGTATTTCCTGGAACTGCTGTGGACCCCGGTAATCCAGTTGGCAAAGAGGTGCTCAGGGAGGGACCACCTGTGCCCTCAACATATGACGTTGTCGAGTTTGATGGATAGAGAGGCGTTGAAGTTTCGGACAGAAGCAACGAACTCGATGACGACACATTGAGTGACATGCTTGGCCTAGTCGGCACCGATGTCCTTGGATCATCGAGTGTGATGGTTGACCAGTCCAAGGCCGTGGTTGTCGTTGTCCGCCCGCTATATACAGGTCCAGAAGATGAGGAATAGCCCTGCGTTCCACTTGAAAGATTTGTCTGCGTATGCATCGAAGATGTATTAAATGAGACTCCGGAGCTGTTGGTCGCGACAGTCATGGTGTCCGTGGGTGTAAACCCGCCTGGAAATATGGTGATGACGGAACCTCCTGTCATTGTGATTACACTGAGTGAGAGAGAGCCAACTTGCGAGGTAAACCTGGTGGGAGTGGCGGTAGAATTCGCAGCAGTCGGCGCGGGTGTCTGAGTTGGTGGTGTAGAACTGGTTAGACCAGATCCTGAGCCGTCGCTCGCACCAGATGGCGCCGATATGAATATGCTGGATGAATTGGTAAAGAGTGACGTCGATGTTGAGGCTAACACAGATCCCAGAGAAGTTGTGGTTCCTATGATGGAAGTGTTTGTCAAACCGGATGCCGATGGTCCAGACAGTGTAAGTATGGACGTTGAGCTGGACAACCCAGTAGAGGCTCCAAAGCTTGATGATAGACTGGTTCCATTAGTAGCCAAGCTCGTGAAACTCGACAAGCTCGAGACGGGTAGCACCGAGCTATCGGAGAACTGCGAGGTCACCACAGCAGACAAGGTCCCAGAACCAGTACTGAGATCAGAGAGTGAACCATTGGAAAAAATGCTCGAGGAGAAAGAGGGTAGTGGTCGCCCGAGAGTTGCGCTCCCAGAGGCAGTAGGGAAGTTACTGGTGATGGTCGAAGAAATCGTGGCTGCGGAATCGTTGGCTGCCGTAGAGAACTTGGTCACCGAGGATTCGTCACTCAACCAAGAGGCGGAGGAGGTCAATCTCGTGCTAGAAGCACTTGGGAGACCCGTCGCAAGCCCGGAGGAAGTTGAGTTGAAAGCGGACATGGTGAGAATGGATGTCTGCGAAACCGTTGTCTCCGAGATCGTTCCATTCGATTGAGTCGTGGCAGAAATAAATGACGAGACGCTCGTTGTAGTGAGCACCTCAGACTCGGTACCAATGGTTGAAATCCCAGTAGATATGGCAGAGGAGTTTGTTGCCGTCACAAAAGCCGAAGACGAACTGAATTCCGTTGCTGAAATGAGGGACGACAAGGTCCCAGAGCCGCTCCGAGCCGAGTCTGTGTCTGAGGCAGATTCACCAGGAAGGGAAATACGGGTTGATACTGTACTAGACCCTGACTGTCTGGATCTTGAGATGGTCACGGTAATGTTCAGCAGCTTGGTGGTGGTGGTTATGGACTGTATTCCCGTCGAAGACCGGGTTTGCCCAATCGATGTGACCAAACCCGACACAGATCCGGTACCGTTTCCAGAGAAGGATGCGGACAAACTAACAGACTGAGTTTGCTCTGTCAAGGACGCAGAATCCCCTGAGGAAGACCCAGTCGCGGTTACACTCGACTCAAAACCAGTTGTCAGGCTGGAGACTTCCGAAATGCTCGAGGTGAGCTCACTTCCCGTTACCATCCCTGTGGTCGAGCTTGCAGTGGACTCAGTGGTCAAGATCAAAACTGAAGATGACGTTTGATTCAGAGTAGTTGGCATGGAACTGTTCTCGAGGCTCTCTGTCGCCTCTGAGACAATGACCGAGTCTGAGAGTGTGGAGGTTGGAAGTGTGGAGCTAGTGACACTCCACAAAGTCGAGTTGAGATCCAAGGTCCCTGACTGGCCAGCTGACAAAGAGATCGAGGTGCTAGATGAACCAGGAGACTCTGAGGTTATGTCTAGGCTAGAAGAAGAAGTGGTCGAGAATGAGTAGCCAGTGGTGCTTGCACTAAAGGACGTGGCATTCGAAAACCGAGTCTCAGAGAGCGTTTCTGAGCCACTTGCAGTTTCCCCAGAGGCTGCGACAGAAACTGACTGGGCTGAATCGACAGAGGTCTCACTCGCGGAGCGCGTGGCACTAACACCTGCAGCGCTCGAGTCTGCAAACACCGCAGTCGTTTCTTGCTCTTGTCCAGACGTAACAGGTGCAGAAGAGCCACCAGAGGTGAAAGACGCAGTTGCTGTCGAGCCATCTGTGTCTGAAGTCAGGCCGGTCACAGTAGAAGACTCGGAGTTCGTCTCTGCCTGAGTACTCTTCGAAGTTGATGGCTTTGGAGGTTCTTCTGAAGGCTGGTTAGAGCGTGCAAGCGAGATACAGATTTACCGCCAACAACTTACCATAGTCGGATTCAGTTGAGGTCGTCGGATCGGTGTAGTATGGTGGTGGTGGACCATAGCCGTACTCGGTGGGTTCCTCGCTGCCATGGTCCTGCGGGTGATGGGCTTCGATGCTGTTATCCTTCCGCACAACCCGTCGTCCATGAAGAATTCGTGGCGTGTCGTGTGTAGCTGCGATGCTGGAGAGACAAAACAACAGCAACACGATCGACAGAAAGCCGACCGAGGGCGGCGTCAAGGCTCTCATGGTGAGAGGGGAGTACGCTATCACTGTTGAGTATTAGCAACACGGACACTTGACGTATGAACTGAGTTGAAGAAGCACACCTCTGCCTGATGGGACAAGGAGAAAGATACAGTCGAAGATACTTCCAAGGGTAAAGTAAATGAAGATGTAAAAGCGCCAAGACGAGATTCTGATACAAAAGAGCGGATCTTCTCGGCCAAGAGTCTATCTATCCAGAGTTGACTGACTGGTGTTGACGCGGGAAGGGAAAAGAGACGCGAGCTCCGAGGAAAAGAAGGCGTGAGAAGGAAAAGGAGCGAGTGAACAAACGCGATCAGTAGGCGGTGCAGACGAGAAGAAACGCGAGGTGATGGTACAGCTGCGGCCAACTGTCACGCAAAGCCGAACAGCTGGCGAGCCCAGAAAAAAAAGGAGGCCTGCTACCTTATAGTGCACCTCGACGGCTGTCGCGTCTGTCCGCCGTGTGTTGGCACCCCTGGCAGCCTCTCACGACATGAATGCAACCAGAATGCAACTTACATGGCGAACAAGAGGCCGCAGGATGATTGTTCTACTGCCGTTCTTGGAAACGGGGGCTCCGAAGGGGGCCTGTTCGGTAGCACGTTTACTCGCCGAGAGCCCTGTTGATGGCATCCGCGCAACACACTTCGCGGCCGGCGATGCCCACCAAGGAGTTGCCGACGCCGACGCCCGGACAAGGCGACGCATCTCATCTCGGCCAACTCGACAGAAGAGCCAGCTGGCAAGGATCTTGTGGAAGCGTTTCGGGTCGGCAGCCAACGGCTGTGGAGGCGGTGGTTGATCGCGAGCAGCCTTGCCTTTCGCCTCAAACCACCGCTTGTCACAGGTTGCAACTCCCATGGCCGATTCCCACGTCCCCAGTCACGATCCGCCGTGATCGAGATGCCACACGATGCTCATGTCCAACTTGCAGCTACTTATCTGAGTCTCGCCCCTTGCCCCTGAACACGTCCACATCGTCTCAGATTTCCATGGCCTCACCAAGCTCCTCCTTTCGTCGATACCGTCTTCAAAAATGCCCCCGAACCTCGTTAACGAAACCCGTCTAGACGCTGTTTCACCGTAACACACAACCAGATCCAAGAGGCTCCTCGCACAGCCGTGTATCGAAGTGCGGGATCTGACCAACCCCGGCAATGTGCCTGGCGGGTGAGATCTCGACCCCGTCGGCTGCGCTTGTGTATCTGTCAGTTCCTAAACACAACGGCAAAGAGTTCTGCACGCAGCCTGGTATGCGAGGCGAAATGCAACCTGCCACACTCCAACAGATCGTTTGCTTGTTCCCAAATTACACCCGTGTTCAATCTCCCAGCAAGGACTTGTGCGCAAACCCACATTCCTCTCCTGGGCCGCACCCGAAAGAGTATCAACATAGATGGGGAATTCGTGATTCCCATCTGATTATCGAGCACTATTTTACGCTTCAAGAACCTCTTTCTAAAGAACCCCTAGACTAGCTGAACCAAAACCTGTCTCATCGCTAATTCTTTGAAATAGACATGGCTAGATTGTCAAGGACGAGTGACCACGGTAGCACAAGACAATTCGCGACGACACAAGATTCAAGGAGCCTCGCAAAGCTATAAGGATGTAACATTGCCCAGATTAATGTTGTGAAATTAAGTATCTCGACCCGGGGCATAGCTCTCACAAACCCCAAAACCGGTCCGTTAAGTCTCGTGTGGACGCAACGCCTGGGGGTTGGGTTAAAAGTTCTCCCATTTCGGCTCAAATTGCCTCGATTGTGGGTAGGCAAACAAACCATCCCGTCATTTATATCCTCGGTACCGTCCCAGATAAAAACCTTCCCGTTGTACGATGTTGGCTACCTCCCACCGAAATTCTTCATTCTGTGTCAAGCGGGCATCGGCAAAAGACATCATCCACTACACTCATAGGAACCTTTCCATATCAGAGCTCCACTAGAGATAGACGAACAAAGTTCCTCTCGCTTATTCGGCTTGCTTAGCGGTCTCCTTGAGGCTAGGGGCAGTTCCATCAGTCATCGAAGTGTTCTTAGCCTCAATGTCAGCAGCCCACAGAGCAGCACCAACTAGCCGCGGTTAGCCCAGGAACCAAAGGGTGAGAGGGAATGAACGGTTACCTGTGTTGGTAAACGTGAAAAATATCGAAGCCAACGGTATCATCTCGAGGACGGTGGCTACGAGGCCGAATCTGCAACCGTGCATCAGTAAACGAAGTTCAGGTCCCATGTGTTACTGAGTACGAGAGGAGAGTCCGCTTGCCCATCTTCCAGGACACAAAACGGTTACTTACGCCGTGTAAGGACCGACGTTCTTATTGAGCCAATCCGACTGCTTGGAAGCCGACCAAGTCTTCAGTTGAAAGTACTGGATGCATATTAGAGTTGGAGTTCAGCCATGGACGAAATGAGGACACCATACCCGACCGTGGACCCCCTTGCCTCGGTTCCGGCCTAGACTTTAGTTAGATACGGAGCATCGTCGTTTTTTAAGAAGACCAACCCTGGAGGATGATGAAGATGAATGTGCCCACAACAGGGATTGCGTTGAGTGGGAGGTACATGATGTACCGGACAATGGCCTTAGGGCTGAACTTCCCAAAAGGGCTCTTTAAGATTCGACCGAGCTTTGCCATGGGATCATTGCCAGGCCTGATCTCTCTGCCCTCACTCACGATGTCAGCACCATGGCGGGCAATGAGAGTACCGTCAAAAGTATCCAGTAGAGCATCCTGAAGGAGCCAATTCCGAGAGATGACGTTGATGATCGCAGAGCTCTCGTTCAAGACCAGGAGCACTGTCGTGAAGACGGCCAGCGGACCATTGACGAAAACGAGCACAGCTAGCTGGGGCAAATAGGTGAGGGTGAACATGCTGCCCACGACTCCAGCCGACAGGGCTACATATGGGCCCAGCTTGGTGAGAAGTGGTTTCCATAGCGAGCGGTGGGTGGCAAAGTAAACGATTCCCTGCAGGGGAGATCAGCATGTAGCCCGCATCTCAAAACATGGAGTGTCGAGGGATACCTTGATCGGGTACAGATAAGCCTGGCTCTTGGCGGCGTCGGTTACGAGAATCTTGGCTTTGCCATAGTCCTCTTTGCTATTCGCGTGTCAGATCATATGAGTCCACTACATCCTGCTCATTCGCTCCTACATGACTTCCTGGGCCTTCTCACTGACGGAATCGACCATGCGGTTCCTCTTTGGTTGGGACGACGATGCCTCACCGTTGTTGTCCATATTGAACAGCGAACTGACTTTCTGATGTTACACTTGCTGAAGAAGAAAAATGGAAACAGGACAGCAAATGTTTGGGGATGATGGCGTGAAAGGGTGAGGACCTTGGGCTTTACATGAGATGAGTAGCGATAGCGATATCAATGTCGTCATCTTGGATTAAGTTGGCGGGGCACTTCTTGCACATGCTGCAAAAGGAAAGCCGCCAACCACTGCGGTCCATTCCTGCGCTGCATGGCCTGGCCTGGCAACCTCTGCCCAACCCCGCAAAAGCAAGGCCCCTGAACGGCATCCACTCGGTCCTGTGGAGTGTTGCTATTTACATTATGAGTCAAGCAGCAGAAAAATACCTAGTTGATGAAATAGACATCGAAGAGCAGAACATGGCATCCTGTGGTTATATTTTTGAAAAGGAGCATCTCATGGTTATTCTAATGGCAGCGACATTGCAAGATGACATCTACGACTGAAAGTGGGGGGGGTCGAGGTGCAGTGGCTGGATCTTCTTCCCTGTTCCTCTGACGAGGCGGACATTGGGTTAGAGTCGACGGCTTCAAATTACCATAACCCCATGTTTTCAGGAGGGTATAGTCAGTCATAGGCATTAGTAGCGATACCTAGGTATAGAAAGACGAAAGAAGCTGTGTGCTCAAGCTGTAATAGCGGCTGCGGCGACCTTGGGTATCACGTGATGTTCACCCTCCCTGACTCACGGGGTGCATATGGGATTGCGGGGCAGATCTAATGCACGCAAAGCGGGTTTCGCGGAAGAAAAAAAAGTCTGCGCAAATGGTAAACTCGTTTTTTCTCTCCTGAGACTTATGACTCTAAAGCCGATATTCGGCGTCTGACTCAAGAGAATCGCAGCGGGTATGGATTCCTTTGGCGGTGGCGGTCTATATTTTCGGGCGGACGGGTGAAACACTTCCAGGGGTCCTTGCTTGGCATGTTGCCACTGCAGGAATTGAGACTTCCGATCCGAGAGGCAAGCTGTGCTTCGTCCCGCGACTAACTTGTGAATTAGCAAGGTCATTCATTACTTGTTAAAGTGTGTACGGTTTTCTCGCAGACTAGCCGATCCAAGTTTTCTTGTCCTGTTTGGCACTTGCAGTTCCAATTGACTCTCCGTGTTTGGTCCCGGGTTTTCCAGCTCATTCCTCGTTAGAGGCAATATGCATGGGTCAGGGCCATTCTCTCTGATGACAGTGTTATTTGTGTAATTTGTGGGGTTGTACGAATTAGACAGAGCGGAGACCCCATCCAATTAACTGTATTGTGGCTGTGATGCGTCACTGCAGGCAGGGGGAGCATCGTTTGCTCCGCCGTTCGGAGCGTCACCCGCAAATTGGTATATCTATGAAACCTTCTGCACCTTGATGATGGTTTCCATTTGCAATATTTTCCAACCTCAATTGACCTTTCGCTTCATTCTCCCAAGCTCGTCTTTCCATACGACCCATTTCTTCTTCCTCTAAATCCACCACCTTCACACCAAACACCAAACACCAGAAAAACATCGCCGAAATGTGTGGCGACACTGCAACCAACGAGTCCACCGCGGCCCCCGCCCGCAACGCTCACCACACCTCATCACCTTACAAGTCTGTCGGCGATTTCCTGTCAAATCTCGACAAGTTCCAGATCATCGAGAGCACTCTGCGAGAAGGCGAGCAGTTTGCCAATGCCTACTTCGATACCGGTAATGCCCTGCCCGTCTCTTACAAACGATTGGCGATGGATTGGTGACTAACTTGTTCGACGCAACAGCAACCAAGGTCAAGATGTACGTAAATCCCACTCTTTTAGCCCTTTCCACGGTTGGAGGCACGTTTTCTAACGCTCTTTGCCAGTGCTACGGCTCTCTCAGACTTTGGTGTCGAGTACATCGAGCTCACCTCCCCCGCCGCCTCCGAGCAGTCACGGATTGACTGCGAGACCATTGCCAAGCTTGGCCTCAAGGTTAGTAACTCCCTCTTAATTGTTTAACGAGTATTATATATGCTAATAAATCCCTAGGCCAAGATCTTGACCCGTTAGTCCCACCTCCATCTCTGACATACTGCCCTTGTGATAAACCGCCCCGCTAACGACTCTCTTCAGATGTGCGATGTACGATGGCGGTAAGACACACGCTCTCCAAGCGCACTTCAGACTTCTAACTCGGTCTTAGGATGCCAAGCTCGCTTGCGATACCGGTGTTGATGGCGTTGATGTCGTCATTGGCACTTCTAGCTTTCTCCGAGAGCACTCCCATGGCAAGGATATGGCTTATATCACCAAGACTGCCATTGAGGTCATCAACTATGTCAAGAGGTGCGCATTCAGGTTTACCAAATTGTGACTTATGGGCAATGCTGACCTTTCGCAGCCGAGGACGAGAAGTCCGCTTTTCTTCCGAAGATTCTTTCCGATCCGATCTTGTCGACCTTCTTGCACTCTACAAGGCTGTCGACAAGGTCGGCGTCAACCGTGTTGGTGTAGCCGACACCGTTGGTTGCGCTACTCCCCGTCAAGTTTACGATCTCGTACGCACCCTACGAGGCGTTGTGGGCTGCGACATCGAAACCCATTTGTGAGTTCCCTCAGCTTAGCTATCTAGTCCTCACCACTAACAACCCTTCCCTCGCAGCCACGATGACACTGGTTGTGCTATCGCCAACGCACATGCTGCGCTCGAGGCAGGAGCGACTCGTGAGTAGATCTTGCTGATCTCTTCTCGGTGATATCTTGTGTCTAATTTGGTGATTTAGATATCGATACTTCGGTCCTTGGTATTGGCGAGCGCAACGGTATCACGGTGAGCACTCCATGCAAATAGTACTGTGGTCTCTTTCTAATTCTCGGGCAGCCCCTCGGTGGCCTTATGGCACGAATGATTGTCGGCAGCCACGAATATGTCACCTCTCGATATAAGCTGCACAAGCTCAAGGAGATTGAGGATATGGTCGCCGAGGCCGTTCAGATCAACGTCCCCTTCAACAACCCCATCACTGGTTTCTGTGCCTTCACGCACAAGGCCGGTATTCACGCCAAGGCGATTCTTAACAACCCCAGCACCTACGAGATCATCAACCCCGCTGATTTCGGCATGAGCCGATACGTGCACTTCGCCTCCCGATTGACCGGATGGAACGCCATCAAGAGTCGCGTGGAGCAACTGGGTCTAAACATGACTGACGACCAGGTCAAGGAAGTGTATGTTTCCCTCGCCCCTCATTTTCGGCAAGTACTGACATGAGAATCAGAACCCAGAAGATTAAGCAATTGGCCGACATTCGTCCCCTTGCAATTGACGACACGGACTCAATTATTCGTTCATACCACCTTGAGCTACAGCACGAATAGAGGAGTTCGGCGGTGGTGGATTTACACATAAAAGTCTGGTTTACTGAATTTAGCGTCAACAAAAACGTCCTGAGGGACCCCGGGTTCTTTGCTAAGAGCTCCAATTATGAGCCAAAATGATCATATTTTTACTCAAATTCAACTGCGCATTATTGGAATGCACCATTTTTAGCTCTTTACGTTCGACGTGCTGTGATTTCCCCAGTAGCTAGAGCCGTTGGCAAGTGAACAGGTGATGTTACGACAGAGTCTATGAAACAATGACACGGAATATGAATTGAAGATCTCACTCAATTTCCCCGCAACCCCCTTAATCACTATAATATCTTCGCCACAACAGTCATGGCTCGGCTGACTCGTCTGCTGGACCCCAAATTTGAGGCAGTTCCCAGCAACCCTCTGGGATTTGTCAATTCCTCACATGCCTTTTTCTTTCATCTCGTACAATACTATAGACAGAAACTTCCGTAGCAAGCACTAAATCCCGAATCACAAAGCTAAGACGTCGCGGATTTGTCAAACCAACACGCAACCAACTACTCCATGATAACTGAGGCAGTCCAAACGCTTGAAGATAAAAGAAAGAATCACAGGCCGAGACAAACAACTCGCTTTGTTCAATAGCTTATATATGAATATATTCTATACAATATCAGCATTGGTTAGAAGATCTGTTGTCATTCAAGGAAATCTCGTCACCGCGCCGACGACGTCACCAACGCTGATCACGGTGGTCATCGGCGCGCGCCCCACCCCGCGCCGGGTGCAGGTGACTCCACTACGGCCAAGCGCATGGCGAAGAGCCTGTTTCCCCTCACAACACTCCGTAATGGTTGCTCTGTTGTGTAGATATCTTGCGCAAATGAGACAGATAATCGGGCAGGGAAAAATCAGGCGGGCTGGTTTATGAATGTTGCTATCAGATCCTGTGTTGTCTCTAAGCGCTTACTTATCTCAGTCATCCTACCTCCTTCTTCATTCGTACTTTTCCCCGCAATCAACTGACCAGCCAGTGGCTGAGGATCATCCCAACGATGATGCTATGCACCACACACGCGACACACACCTCGCGAGCTACATCATCTTTCACTCTACATATATATTCACAGCAGCAGAAACGAGGCGCCCTTGGTGCAGACTTCCAAAATGTCAAGCTTCATCATCATGGACCAGCGATACATATCGAACAACCTCCCACCCCAGACCCTGGGCTCCGCCCCTGAAGAGCTCCTACCCTACACCTTGGAACTGGTTCTCAAGTACACCCCTCCGCTCCCAGCCTATACAGAGCAGCATCTTGGTGGCCTCTTCACTGGTTATACCGGCCTGGCATATCTCTTCCTTCAGCTCTCGGCCACACACCCTGACTTACAGGTCTCTGGCCATGATCTGATGTATTGGGTACGCCAGTATCTCGCTGGAGATCGGGGCACCTTGGTCATGGAGGGGAAATGTGGCATCGGTTCCGAAAAGCTTGCCTTTGAAGCTGTACAAGCCTGCGTCACGAAGGACAAAGATGATGTGATACAGTTTCTTTCTAACTTGCCCAGACTGCTGGGCCCGTATCCTACACCTCAAGATGACCCATTTCCTTCGGAGGTAGCCCATGGACGAGCCGGTACACTCTACCTCTTGCGTATGATCAAACATTGGGTTCCCGAATGCGCGGAACTCATAGAATCCCCCCTCAAGCGTCTCACAGAGAGAATCATGAACACAGATGACGATGGCCGCGGAAATTGGGAATGGCGCGGGAGGCGATACTTTGGCGCTGGTCATGGAGACATCGGTATCATTACGCAACTCATCCTCTCAGATCCTTCCTTGGCTCCTCAACTATCTTCTCGCCTCGAAAGGCTTCTTGAGCTACAGACACCGGACGGCAACTGGCCCGATGGGGCGCGGAGCCTCAAAGAAGGCAGAGCCCCTTACCTTGTGCAGTGGTGCCACGGCGCTCCTGGGTTCATTTATTCACTCTTATCAATGCGCCCCTATTTTCCTGCTCTGCAGGACCAAATAGACACAGCCATCGAAAAGGGGCAAGACCTGATCTGGCGCCATGGCCTTCTCACAAAAGAGCCCAGCCTGTGTCACGGAATCTTTGGTAATGCGCTGTAAGGCTTCCTGCGACTCCCTCTGGTTTTAGACCTCGGCTATGATGTTAACCTCGGCGTAGGGTGCTCCCTAGGGGGCCTTGGAGAGAACACTTCCTTGCCCTAGCTACCGCCGACGCGGTAGATAAGGTGAAGCGTCATGACCCGCATCTCTTCGAGCCAGCGGCCTACGGCAAGAAATCAGCTGTGCTGCTGAATTATCTGCCGAGTGCGGCATGGACATGGGCTGTCTGTGAGCAGGAGACTCCTCGGCTCATCATGTACAACGACCTCTGACGGACTTTGATGGTTCGATACCTATTGCGATGGAAATTCTTGGAGCAAGGCGGCAGCGATAGCGGACGGATTCTTTTCGGTATTCATGTTCCCATTAAAGATCGAAATAAGACTCCACTTGAAGCACATGGACACGGCATTGCATGTCGGTAGCCATCTGCAGGTTACCCGAGGATATGCAGCTTCATTCAATGGACTGGCGCCGCTGGCTCGGCCCGGCTTGGCTTTCGAGGCATCCCTGAGGAAGAGCCGCACGCCCCTCGAGCACAAGGCTTGGCTAGATGTGCGTCCACGATCGGTGATGCGAAAATCATTGCGTGACAAGTCTCGTACAGTGGTTCGCCAGGGTCCACACTCACATGTGTGTGCCGCCATGAAGCTCACTCTGGGCTCCGTAACTCGGCCCATGGAGATTTATCGGGGTTCGAAGGATGGAAGCATGATGTTGTTGGCCAGTGCTTCGGAGCTCACGACACATGCAATTGCGGCTGATTTGAGGCTCAAGGATCCACACTAACACCGGATCACTGCCGAGCCCAATGACTGCCGATAAGAATTCGCCATGAGGAAAGTCGTAGTGAGTTGTCAAGCGGAAGGGCCTGCTCTGGGTCAGTGTTGTTCTGAAAATTCCTTACCTCGGCGCCACGCTTCGAACAGAGAACCAAGGATAGACCAGCCGAGGTGAGTTGGCAGGCATGTCGTACGACATGTTGGAAACGGACTTTGACTTTGTCGGTCGACTGTCGGTGATAGGGTTCCGATGCGGTGTGAAATGCACGGTGAAGTATGTTGAACTGGCATCGTTACCGGGGAGTCGTGTAAGAGGGATTGGCCGATTCGGAGACGAAAGCGTCGATGACGAGGTGGCTCTCGGCCGAAAACAGGCGGCGGGTATAACACGATGCCAGCCACAATTTCCATCAAAGTGGGCGTCTGTTCGACGACATGTCCCGTTTGCAGGAAGCTGAATGACAGGGCTAAACGAGCACTGGAATCCAATAAAGATCCACACCGATTGACACGGAAATACCCCAAAAGGGGTGCTGGGGGTGGAGGATCCAGGATACATGGATTTGCACAAGGGAGATGGGTCCAATGGCGTTCATGCAACGGACGACGACGGCAGGCGCTGAAGTTTGATGGGGAATTGGAGATAACACCGCGGAATCACCCCCGGTGGCTTGCAAAACAGGTACCCAAAAAGCGGTCCCCAGGTAAAATCCACAGTTGCAAATGTCTTAACAGAAAAGGGTCCCATATTACCACGCTGGCTGGTGAGGCATTTCCTCAATCCCGATTTTCGTCCTTGTGAGGGGTTTACACGGCTTCAATGTCACCTAGGTCATGGGAAGCATCACAAAATGAGATTCCACTATGAAGGGTAGAGCGGCATCCACCGCCAGACCGGTAATAACTGATGGCGTTCGGAATAAGCCACGGGGAATTCTCTAGGGGAATCGATGTGCACTAGCATCTCGAAGGCCGAAGAGCGACCAGCTCCACGGAGGGCGAAACGCCGTCCGGCGAATAATTGGGTCGCGAACGGGCCTCGGCACGGAGAGTCGGCATCTAATCCAGCGACGAGGCTTGCACTACAACGTCAACCAGCAAAACTGGGCTGAAAGTCCCTGCAACAAGGAAAGCCGAATTCCGACTTCTGCACGCTTTGGCCTAGCCTCCCTAGTCCATGCGCGTGTGCCGTATCGTGTACGGCAGGGCGTATACGAAAATCATCTCATGACGTATGGGAGACGTTCAAGCTCCCGCAGGTGCGGTGGGGCCGCCTCTCATCAGTCCACGAACACTGCGTCGGTGCAAGCACATGCTTGAGGCTCTGCGATGGTGAGCATCGCCCTACAAGGATGTAGATTGGTGGAGTTCGATATCGGGTGGTCCGTACCGGCATGCCTAGGGCTTCTGATGCACACTCTGATGCAGATGGACTTCTGAAAGACGACGTTAGTGTGTGTCCTCAATGTTCAAGAAAGACTTGGCTGAGTGGAGAAAAATGCAACGAAGGGAAATGGAAGATTCCATGCTCTGGTCTAGCGCTAGGAAAGGAATTAGCACTCAACACCCTGAAGAAATTTCATGGTATCGCTGATCACGGCAACCAGTGTCTTCCACCCCCAGGATAACCCCGGGTTCGTGGGATACGTGGTGAACCCCGCTGCTGCGAGGAACAGGTGTTGAGTGCGACAATCCGGTTCCATGGGAAGGCTCTAATGTCCTGCATTGAAGGGTGTGAGAGCATCCCAGGCGGCGGGGGGCAGCTTTTGAGGAACGACCTGCACTTGGCAAAGTGGCCCTCGCTGGACCGGAGGGTCGGACAAATTCTATGCCACGGAATTTGGTAGGGATGAGGAAGTACGAATGGACGCCGACGGGCTCAGACGTAATGAACAATGCGTAAGCCAAGCGCAAACTATGCGGACTTTGTGCGGGCTGTTTGCGGAGATGGAGTTGGCGGGTTTCATCGATGCTTTACAAGCCGCGACCACGGCTATTCCAATTCTGGCCTGCAGGATCGAGACTTCGAGAGAAGCCGATCATATTAGAAGCACGGGTGAATATGTCCGAAATGGCGGATCAACCACCCAGTTCTGTTGATGTCGTGCTCCAGGGGAGTGAAGGAAAGAGGATTTATAATCAACAATATCCCGGTCTGTGTCACGCGGGGCCATAAGCTTGATAATTAAGGTGTTAGGGCCTGAGCTCGACGACCTTTCACGCACCTTGATTCCATATGGCCGTGGTCATAAGCTGCCGCGTACAGTCCGTCATTAGGCATTTGAAGCATCTACAATTTAGATGAATACGATGAATTTCGCAGTGCGGGAAAGGGCTACTGCGGGACAACGGAGACATGCCAGAGGTGTTTCAATATCTCAGGTAAATAATCGGATCAAAACGAGCATTCCCTTGCACCGCTCCTGTCCCTGACGCGCGTATCAGTCCGATTGAACTGGGGCGCAGCCGTCAACCAAACAGGGGACAGAGGAATAAACAACGCATCATCAAGGGTCAGGCTCGCATTGGCTCGCATTGCCGTATTGCGTGAGGGCCTTGAAGATGAGGCTAGCGGCCCGAGGCTCTTTCTAGCTGGATTTGACTGGATCGTGTGCTGTGAGTGCGCAAAGCTGAGCTCCGTCGGGGAGTGCGAAACGCCGTGGCGGGCCCGTCATGCACTGTGCCAGGGCTCTCGGGCTCTTGACGGACTGCGGCGGGGCATCAAGCCCGCTGCCGGCGCCGATGCAGGAAATTCGGATGCGAAAATGGAGCAGGGAACATCCAGGGTTGCAATCTCGATCCCTACCCACCCTCGCTCGGCACCGACGCGGCGAGGTGCATGTTCCCGCGGCCTTCTAGAAGCTAGAAGGGCGGGAATGCAGAAAGGGGGGACCGGAGACCGGTGTTCGGCTTTGGGCCCTTGGGTCCTTGGGAGATCAGTCCATCCTTCATCGTGGGTCCTTCATCGTGGGTCAGGGCACTGGGGAAGAATGAGTCGATGCAGGCATTCCATTGGGTCGCTGGCGATTAAAGACAGCTCCCACGTTGCCCCCGGTGGGCGCGAACAGCCTTTTGCAAGACTTTGATCGGCTGCGCGATGCCGACTGGCGAGTCGTGCGTGCTGTGTCAAATGTCGCCCGCTGTTCGGCGGCGCCAGCGGGCGATTAAGCTCATTTGCATAGTGGTTATCACCATGACATCAGAGTCAGCCAATTCGCGCCGCCCAGAGACCACTCGTGGCTGTTGCTGCTGTCGCCACAGGCTATCTCCGGCCCCAGAGAACCCAGGTCTGGGGGGAACTTCTGCATGTCTTGGTCAGATCAGTGCAGCAATAGTCTGAACATGCCATGGCAATGAGAGAATTCCGTCATCATCTTTTGGTGTTTGGGCTCTCGCCGTGTCCAGCGAAGTCCGTGGCCGGATGCAGGCAAGGGTTACGGCCCGGGGCAACTTGGAGGCTCAGGGATGGGGCTCTATTTCCGGTGGGTGTGTGCTATTGCCGATGGAGGACGGCAAGCTAGCGTGCAATTGCAGATCAGGGTTTTTCTCTTCTGGGTGGGTGTTGTGGTGGTTTTTTTTTTTTTGGTGTTGATGAGGGGAAGTTGGAGTTGATTGTCAGGTTTGGATCACGCCTCCATACACACGCCAAGCTGTCATCCCATTCGGTGCCGGCAGCTCGGCATCAGCCACAGAGGCGAAACTTTATTCATGTAGATAAGACTCGGTGTGAGAACTCCTTCTACTGGCCATGACAAGCTAAGGGCGCATGACGTCGTCGGTCGGGGAGATGGAAGGCCTCACGACTTATGCAGACCACCTTAGCAACAAACCAGAGTTGACGCCAAGCATCGTGAAGCGTAGCGTCGAGTTTTTTTCGACCCTGACCAAGCCGGCGAGCTGTCGCCGAGACTTGTCCGCATGCAAGTGCCGAACGGGAGTATTTTGGCTCCAAGGGTGTGAGAGCAAGCAAACAAGGGGTTTTCTCAATGGGGACGAATAAACGACCAACGTGTGAAGACCGTGCCGCGGGGCCACAGTGTGCGAAGCGAGCAGCGTCTAGCAGTACCCACGAAGCAAAATTGCGAGTGGGCTCTTTTATTGCTTACGGATGAGACACAGGTCTCAGTTGTCAGCTGTAGTGGAAAGGAAAGAGAAGGAATGGATTCGGGGGAGAAGTGGGGATTTGGGAGTATTTCGAAGAAATTGGAGTACGATGTACGGAGTTTAGAATTGATTTGCAGTGCCGACTACAACTTTAAAACTCTTAGGCATACCGTTAATTAGAGCACTTGACCAGGCTCGACTGGGCTGTGCAGCACTGCGTTTAATGAAAAGTGTCAAGTGAGCATGCGATTGCTCGCGATGGACTTGGGCAAAATGCCGTCCGCGGAGTCCGATCGGGGTCGGCTCTAAGAGAAGTCCGGGCTTGAGTTTTCCTTGGGCCGTTTGACAATCCATGAGCCACCCCGTGCGTCACCAGCTAACCAGTCACCACCGCCCTTGGACAGCGGGCGGCGTGCGGCAGAAGCCCGCCGCCGGGCTAGTGTGTTGCTCTATATCCGTGCGGACGGGGAGAAGAGAAAAAAAAGGAAGAAAGAAAAAGGAAACGAGGCCAAAGTCGGTGACGGAGGCTATTTGGTCCCATCCATGCGCAGGTGGTGCTGGCAGTGTCCCACCCCCGGGTGCATCCTGGTTAGGTACCTACTTACAGAGGGCAAATGCCGCCCGGGCGACTGTCAGTTCAGTTTCAGTAGGGCTGTGCGGCGAGGTCCCCCGCGAGTGACAGCCAGAGCGCAACGACGGGGCTCCGGCTAGGGTTTGGGCTAGCACGGGGCCAAATTTGTCGATGCCATCATAACCCGGGACTGGCTGGAGTGTTAGGCTGTTTAGCAGAGTTGCAGCGGCGGCGGCCTGCTTTAACCTTCCGAGAGTGCGCGCGCGCGCGTGGGTGGGCGCTGGGCGCCGACGTGGGACGCGACCACTGGGTGGCTCAATGGCCCAAAGGGTTGGCTCATGGGTGCTGATGTGGATTGTTTGCTGGAGATGTGCAGCGGTGGGACCCGGGACGGTGAGCCCATGACCCCCCATGATTTCAAACCGTTCTCTGAACTCCGTCAATGGTCCGTCAAGGCGTCGACCTGGTCCGCAAGCCGCAAGCGCTTCCAAATCAATCTCCCTTTTTGAACTTCCGGGAGCCGCTTACTCACCCGCGCAAAGGACCCAAACCGAAGCCTCACTCTTGCAGCACAGACCAGATGACCACGGAACCAGCGTAGCGCTTGCTTTTGCTTTGACGAACCTCAAGGGGGTCCCATGCTTAAACCCGAGTTTATCTCTGTGTCGACCAAGGACGAACGAACCCAAAGAGGCTGTGTGCGGTGAGTGGTTGCCACATATCAACCAGATGGACACTTATTGCAAGTAGTCGGCGTCGGTCTCGGAGCCGTAGGTTCAGTGTCAGTGTCCCAGAGTCCGCTCCCCACCCCCTCCACCCCCCCCCGTCAAAGCCTCAAGAGACAGAAGAGACAAGGGACGGAAAGGGGATCTTCGATATCTCGTGGGATTGGTGGCAGGACCTCACCAGCCCGCGGCATAACGCGCGCGTCCACCCAAGCACCCAAGCTTCCAACTGACGGCTCACGCAAATCAACTTACAAGGGTTGCAGGGTCCGCAAAGGTGCCTCCCCCATCCCCCATCCTGTCCTATCCTATCCCATCCCATCGCCCCCCCCATGCAGTCATGCCAACTCCCTCGGTTTCGCTGTGTACCGTGCGTGCATGCACCGCCAGGACGGGATTTCGCGGTTTTCGGTCCCTGATGCTCTTCGCCTGGGCTCTCGACACCTGCCTCCTCGTCGCATGGCCCAGCCAACTAGCCCCAGACGACGTGCCCCGGTCCGGACCCAGGCACTTGGCGCTGCCAGATACATGATACGTAGTGCAGACTCGACCGTCTTTGCCTCTGAACAATGCCGTCCCATCCCGGTCCTGCGGGCGATGCTCCCTGGTCCCCCTGTCGCCGTCGACATCATCGCTCACGGAGGGTCGGCATCACGGCATGCCGCAGAGGACCTCCCTGCGCGGTCTGGTGGAAAACACGGCCGTTCTAGAAACCAACGCTGTGGTTGCGGACAGGGCATCCCCACGCAATGGCGACGCCCGTGCCTTGCTGTCAGATCACCGCTGCCGTGGTTTTGTTTTGTCCGGGTTCCTATCCATCTGTCCTCGGCCGTGGCCATCCATGACGAGACCGTCCAACCTCACCTGCAGCTTGTCCTCGAGTCTATATGAACGGCCTCATCGCCCGGCCGGTATCTAACATCTCCCTGCTCATCCACTTTCCAACCCCACAAGAGTTTTGTTGTCGTCTGTCTTATCCATCTCCAGACACGCCACCTACGAGATCCCTTGTAATTGCTTGGTCCAATATCAATCTCATCATCATCATCAACTTCCCCTCATCCCTATTACCCCTCCACCACGCCGGACTTGGACTCATTAAGCAACCGCCGACAAAAGCAGTCAGCTTCCATCGCGCTTGGTAGCCTATAACGGTCCAGTTTTGTAATCAAACGGCCATCCAAAGCAACGCAACAACGCACCACACATAAACACAACGCAATACCGTCGTTGGTTCTTGTTTACCGGCCCCCAAGCGCTTGTCATCAAGCCAGCAGCCAGCAACCAGCCAACTCAACTACTTCGACTCCACCCGCCTGTCACTGGCCTGCGGCCGCATAGTATACAACACACCCAGTCACCCAGTCGATAATTGGCTGCAGCTCGCTCTCGCTCTCGCTCAAACAGGCCTCAGCCTCGTCCACCACCGACTCTGCACACTGCGGATCAGCCATCAGCGCTCTTCCTCTTCCAGCACCTCAAACAGCTTGCACAAGTGCTCTGTCAGCGCCAGCGGACAGGCCGTCAGCCCACCCACAAGAACAACAAGCCTCACTGTCACTGCCAGGCCTCTCTCGCTCTCTACCGTTTACGTCCCTACTCCCCTAAGTCCGCAGCGCCGCGCGGACTTTTGGCTCTGCTAGGGTCATCGACCAAGTGCTGCGACGCCGCGGGGCGACCCACACCCTCCTTCGCCGGGCCCTGTCGCTCTCGCTTTCTCGGACATAAAGACCTCGCCGACGGTTAATGACACACCCCTTACACCCGCTCGCGGCGGAGACTTGATTAAAACCCTCCGATTGTACACTCCAAGCCCGTCTCACCTAATCCACCCCAGGGCCGTTGCACACCTGCACTGTACATCTGCACATCTCGGTCTTCTCAGTCTTCTCAGACGCACTCCCACCCGTCTTCACACTCCCATCCCAATCCCACTCCCCCACCTAATCCAGCTGCGCTTTATATCCTCCTTGGGCCTTGGCCATTATTAAGCCTCCCTGGTCCCTTTTTCCTACTCGGTTCCTCCTTCAACGGGTCTCCTTGATTCTTATTATACATTGACCTTTCCCGGCTTTCTGGTTCTCTCTTCTCCCCCATTACACTTACACACACATCTCACCTCAACTCAGTCTGGTTGCCACCCCCAGCCTGTCTGTGATACATCAAAGCTACCGACACAATGGGTTCACATAGCTTACCCTCCCCTCCCGCGGATGACAACAAGTCTGCCCTCTCCCGGAAGAGCACCACCTCAAGTACCAAATCGGTCAAGCCTGTCCACCGAGCATCAAAACGTGCCAGCTCCAGTGCTGCCACGATACACCACCATGACCACGTTACCCACAGCGCTGGCATGGATGGTCGACATAAGAGGGTCTGGAAGGCCTGCGAGCGATGCCGCATGAAGAAGACCAAGGTAAGCTTCATCAGCTCTTCGCTCCCCAAGTCTAGCTAACAAGAACAAGTGTGATGGTGAATTCCCTTGCAAGCGATGCAAGGACGATGGCTTGGTCTGCACTGCTGGTGTCCGCAAGAAGATGGAGTATAAGCAGCTCCCTCGAGGGTACGTCATATAAAACATTTATGGCCTCGCATGTCACTTACACCATCCAGATACGCCGAGGTCCTCGAGAACACCCAACTCGCCCTCATTGCCACCGTCCACAAGCTCTACTCAATGGTCCGAACTGGCCAACAGTGGGATCTTGGTGAGCCCGAATTGAACGACCGCGGCCAGCCCGTGATCCACAACATCGCCCAGAAGCTGGGCTGCATCCGACCCAACAGCGATATCGATCTCCCCGTTCACTCAGTGTTCCCCGAAGACGAAGCCGGCATGGCAGAGCTCGCCCGCCAACTCGAGGATCAACAGAAGGACCAGGAGCCTCTCAAGGAGATCAAGGACACCGACTCGTCTGTGTACAACCGAACGGAGCGCGCGTCCTCTTCAGAAGTCGACCACTCCGATTTTGAGCAGGACTACCGAAAGGCGGCCTTTGGAAACAGCAACGCCATGACTCTCTCACCACAGAGTTTCACCGGCAGCCACGACTTCGATTTCGCCGCCCCGCCGCCCGAGATGGACCCGACGACCCTGTTTCCCTCCCAGTCTCCCTCGATACCCAACTTCCCCGCCTGGACCATGAACAAAGCGCAGCCCAACGACCTCACCATGCAATTCCTCCAACAAGCCGGCGTGATGCAAAATATGGACATGCTAAATCAGGGCCTGGTGGAGTCAGAGTTTGGCACCATTAAGCCCCACGTTCTCTCATGTCCTAACCCGGAGGTCATGATGGGCATGGGCGACCCAATGATTTATTCGGGCTATGACGGCGAGCCGATGCGACTATGACCACGACCATGACTTGCGCACGACCTGTACAACATGTATAGATTTTGTTAACGGCCATCTCCCTCACGTCCTAAAATTTTCGACACGCGGCCCGGAGTTTCATCATCTTCAATTCGATACTATCTGTCTTGGGTTTCTTGTTTTATTTTGGGATCTACACTGGTGTTTTCAGAATCTGAAAGGATGCCGAGTGGGGCTCGGCAAGGCGTTGGCTGTTTAGGCGGGATGGGATGGGGGGCAATTGTACTGTACAGCTCCCGCCTGCCTTTCTCCCCTTGGAAGAGGGAGAGGATCCAATGGCGGTGGGATGGAGGGGAGGGAATGGCAATTGTTGGTACATAAGGCATGGCACCAAGCTGAAGCCCAAGCGCCGGGGCTCGAAGCTGGAGCTGACATGGATCGGGGAACATCTCTTTGACTTTTGATAGACCGGCGCGCAGATACCTCTTAATCCGACTCCCCAAATCCCGAAATGCTAAATGCCCGAAAGGGACGTCCCCTCAAGTACCGTACATGTGCCGGGAAGGTGTAAAGGTGTGAAGTACGTTCCGCGGTCCATTCAACAACCCACGGCACGGCCTGCATGGCCTGGTGTAGCATTGCCAGTTTCCGTTGAGCCGTCCCTCTCCGCAGCCGTCCAATGGCCATTTGCGACAGACCAACCCCCCATCAGATCATGCATTTTCCGCGTGCCTACGGTACCTGTCGTTGGACTGGCCAGGACAATCAATCTGCTCTTTTCTCTTCGCTCGCCGGGGCACAGCGAGCGTGGTGGATACAGGGCCACCCACCCCCCAGGTGACCCAGCAGTCCGCGGACAGGCCCAAACTCCGTGGAAAACGGGCGCTGTTCCGCATGGCGTGAGACGGGTACAAATCACGATCTAGATTGATGAAGACATGGCAAAAACGGCTCGCCACACGCCCCCCTTTCAACCCTCCCCCCTTCAGATAGGTCCAATCGCACTTCACTACGTACGGACAGACGAACGAATTCACGATGGCATGGGGGCACCGAGCACGAGCACTAGCACTCCTCCCAACCCCCAGAGCAACGGACAAATTATAAAGGACTTAACATGCACTTTAGTCCATAAATCCGGACTGCAGCGGCATGCGCCGGCGCGGACATTAGAATGGTCCCGCACCGCAGGCGCCGCATGGTAAGGGTGCCGCACAGGGCCGCTGCCATCAGTAAGAGTCATCCATTGTCATCCAGCATCATCAAGCTCCCTAGCTGCTCTAGCGCCCTTGTTTTGTCAACCCGCGCGCGCGGACGTGTGGGTGGAGTCGCCGAGGACTGGAACTCTTTTATTAAGCTCGGGGGCGTTTGTAATCGTTGGAGCGTCAAGATTTCAAGCTGCTTACAATAGCACCGGTGACACAGGCGCGCCATAACGCCAGCATCAGCAGCATAACGCGAAGGGACGGCCGAATATCTGATAACGGCATGCTAGATTCCGGGCTAGTTACTGACCCTGCGGCCCAATGGGTGACGGAGTCCGGCACGGGTGAATGAGGGGGGGTCAGCCCTAAGGGTGACGGGGCGCACGACTGAGACGGGTGAAGTCGATCGCTGGAGTTTCACAGCAACACGCCTGGCAGAGGGCGCTGTGAACGTGAACCCCGCCACCCGGGGGACCTGACCTTTGGGCGTCTGTGACCGCTGTGATCGCTGTGACCTCTTCGGCCTCCCAACTGCCTTGGAACTTGGCAAATCCCGGGACTGGGTGCATGGAAGGATCGACCCCTGCCTAAGTCCTGCATCTCCTATGTAATAGCCTGTTGAAAAATTGAGCCTTCATTCAATGGCTCCCCCCGCGGAGTGCGGAGTGCGGACTCGTGCGGCTTCCATCATGAATAATCTAGCCGGCATTCGGGCTCTTGCAAGCCTCCGGGCTGCGGGGCGTGCGGCCCTGATGAGCGGGCGGACCACGGGGCGTCATTGTAGCAATTTCCTATTTGGGCAATTAGTTTCGAGCACCTTTTTTCGCTGCTCTGTGCTTCAGAATCCGATGAGGCGGTTCAGATAACTCCAGTAATAAGAGGATTTAGCGACCTCGTTCTGAGGCGCAGGGTCAGCAAAAACGTCACTGCTAATTAGCCCCTAAACGATCTCGAAGGATCAGTGGACTGCACTGGCCCTCGGAAGATCTGCCAAGTCAATCAGGTAGTCCCCTACTCCTCACTCCCTGCAGCGCGTTCCATGATTGACACCATCCCTACCAACCCATGTCCTCGGACTCGCATTCTTCGCATCGCTCGTTCCGTCCATCTCGAAAACTCCAACCAAACCCCCCGGGCCCCCCAGAGCGCCCCCTCTCCCACGATGGCGCCAGCCCGGCAAGCCACCAGAACCCGGCGCCCACCGACAAGGCCTGCAGCCTGCAACCGACCCCAGACGCTGCCTATCGCCATGTTGACCGGGTGGGGTCGCACTGCTGTCACGGGAAGCTGTGGGGCCGGGTACGGCACCGCTGGCTTCCATTGCAGCAAGGAAGTTGGGTCCGGCGGTTCTTTTCTTCTTTCACCGCCGAGCGACCGAAACCGAAGCGAGGCGGGAGCGAACGAAAGCGAAAAATTTAGTTGAGTCGCCGTCAAACGTGAACCACTTGTGGGGAGAGAGCGTCAACCCGCATCCGGCCAAAAAAGCAAGCACGGGGTCAATGCCCATTTCGTCGTCGTGTGGCATTCATTCACAATTGCATCACGCCGAATTGCATCACGCCGAACAGAGAACGTTGTACAGTGCACTACCACACTCGTCGGGTGCCGGTCGTCGTACAGGTAGAGTTGCAGCGCGTAGCTCCCCTGTCAAGCCCCCATCCAATTGATTCCAAACGGTGGCGTACGGATTTGGCGACATCACCTCCGTGGTATTACTCCGTCCTTCGTACGGTTCGCCGTATTCCGTATTCCGTATCCAGTGCCTGGCCTCTGCACTCCCCTAACCCTAGGTTGAAACAGGCAACGACCGCCTGGGCGGTGCATCGAGAGATTGTTCGTCCCTCTGGGCGAGGGGGCTTAGACGTGGACAAGACCACGTAATAAGGCACAAACAGGGCCTTAGCAGAATTACCACATACTACGCAGTAGTGAATGCGAGCATTGACGCTTGGCGAAAGCGCAACCGAAACCGTGCGAGCGAAAAAGGGAAAATATACGGCCAAGAAAGCATGATTGGACCAGGGGCCTGTATAAGGCTTGGCGTATCCAATACGATTGGGCCCCCACAACATCCAATCTGAGTCCGAGCTATACGAATTCCTCCTCGTCCAACCTTATTGACCTCCCCGCAAGGAAGGACAACAAGGCTTCGACAAGAGCCAAGGACGCACACAGCCTGGGCGACGCAAGCTTCCCCCCATGGCCTGACCTGCTCGAGATCCCCTCGCCACACCCCTCGATGGACAAAATTAATCCATCAACCGATACACAGACACCAACATGGCCATCGACCATGGTAGGGAGCCAGCGAGTTGGCCAAACTGGGCAGTGCTGTGCGTATTCCTCGGATTCTCACGGGATACGCGTATCTCGGTTTTTCATTGTGTTCCCTCTCCTCCTCAGACAGACCCAGTGTTCCCACCGAGCGCTACTGACCAGTCCCCTGAGAAATTACATTGCGACCAGCTGGCGAGAGGAGGCGCAGGCAGACTTGGCTACCCCTCAAACCCGCGGGTTCATCAACCCTGAACACATCCCGCCCCGTCGGCGCATCCTCCGTACGGGTTCCGGAGTTGAAACCACTCGGGCGAACTCTTGGGTCCGATACTGCCATGGCGGCGCTTGCTTGTTTCTGCTGCCTAGGCTGGTTGCGCGGCCTCGCATGGCGGGGGGCGCCAAAGCAAGTGCCTGTTGAAGCCACAACACCTAAAAACGCCAGACGCGTAGCCGGAATCTCCAGATTGATGCCCCAAATAGGCCTGATGCCGTCACATCACTTGTTGTATTATGACACCCCCTGGCACATGGTGCACGTGGCTGTAGAGCCTGCAGTGACAGGGAGTTATCGGGTGCCTTTGAGTGTCCGGATCATATCAATCATTGCACAATATAGCCACAACGCCTTGCCCCCCCACCGTAATTGTACTCATCGGCATCGCCCAACGCCGGTCCCGATCTTGGTTGCCTCCCAAAGCCCTGTCTAAAACATACCACGCCACTTAGTTCTTGATATCCAGCACCTGTGTCAACACACCCTCACTGGCTCTCCACCACCTCGCCCGTTCCTCCAAGTCGTCTGCTGCACCGCCGAGCGCTGCCTCCTTCCTTCGCCTCGCTTCCTTTGCGGCCGTTGTGCTGATCTGCCGCTTGGTCTCGAGGGGTTGCAGCTCAGCCTGGAGCCGATCGGCCTCTTTGCGCTTTCGGGGTGCCTTGGCTTGGAGGGATTCCAGTTCCCGTGCGAGTTCTTGTTGCTCCAGCTTGCGCTTCGTGATGAGGTCGAGTGTCTTCGCGAGGGGCAGGTTGAGGTTGGGGTTTGATCCCACGGGCATTGATTGTGACTCCTTCAACTGTGCAATCCGTTCTTCCAACTTGTCAATCTCTGATGGCAGATCTTGTAGCTTGGTGGTTTCAAGTTGCACTCTCTCGTAGCGCTCGCTCAGCTCCTTGCCCTTCCTTTCCAACTCCAATACCATGTCTGCCACCTCAACCTTCAGCGCTTTGAGTTCCGACTTGGCAGCCGCATTCTCCTTTTCGAGATCCAGGTTCTCCTGCATCGTCACGATCAACGGCGGATCGCCCACAATCGCGCGGATGAACTTTTCTTTCGTGACCTGCTCCACGTAGGAGAATCGTAACTTGGCGAAGAGCTCCTTGTAGTGAGCCAGATCGGCCTCTAGGCCGGCCGGCGTTGGCGCATCGAGGGAGGCATTCGATGCGTCTGAGGTTCTTTGGCGCGCATCGTTTGATGATGCGCTCAGTATGGGTTCGCTAAGTCTGATGATGGAGATCTCGTGCGTTGACTGAAGCTGCTCCAAGGTCCCGAGAGCCTTGTCGATCTTGTTCCGGTTCATGGTGTCGCGTAGGTTTGACCGTCTTCCTTGGTATCTTAGTTCCTAATGTTTGACTGCAAGAAGTGATGTCCAATTCGTTTGCCTGTATTTTGCCGTTTGGCGCAAGTTGTTGACGAAGACGATGGCGATGATACGTGACTATGTTTACATTCAACCCGATTTGGGCTAGTGCGGGACACTTGCTTATCTAAGGCGGTCAAAGGCGGCAGATTGCATTGACGTGTAGCTCCGTCTCCGCTGCTCATCGGCCCTCAACCTCACTTTGAACCAATTTTGGCGCATCGCATATATCCTACACAACGTGGAGGAACGTGCGACTTTGGATAGTCGCAAAGGAATCGCAATGGGAAACGATGATATTTTGACTGACGACTATGTCGCCGGCCTTCTCTCCCAGGAGGCTAATGACTGCTCGCTGAAGTACTCAACGATGGGCATGGATGCATTTCGCACCGACAAGAAGTAATGGATCCCCCGACATGGATATGTGGCGAGTCTGTTGCTGACGGCGCTTCAGACCGGCGAACATGCTTAAACCGAACACGCGATTCTTGCGACACATCATCAAGGACACCGATACACACAACAAGGCGCTGCTTGCCAAGGAAGCCGCTGAGTCACGGGCGCGCCTGAAGGATCTCGAACGTACGGAAGAACTCAAACGACGAAAGACGAATCCGAATTCCCGGGATATCAGGAAGCGGCAGATGGGCGACATCCATGCCATTCTTGGGGGTAAGAAACGCCGGCCAACGGGTGACCAGGAGGCGCCATCTTCGAGCCGGAACTCAAAGAGCCGCGAAACCTCTCGACGGTCTGACAAAGATCAGGATCTCTTCAAAGATCGGCGCGAAGAACGCAAGCACCGCGGACGGCTGTCACGGAGTGAAGGCCGACACAGTAAGAGTGACAGCAGATCACACCGAGAAGAGCGGAGGAAGAGATCACGAAGTAGGGACTCTGGATCTGAAGAGGACAGGTCACGTCATAGTCGCAAACGGAGGGATAGGTCTAGGTCTCCTGAACGCCGACGACGGTCACGTTCACCAAGAGAGCGCAAGGACTCACATCGACATCGTTCACCGCTACACGACACGAAAGGGAAATCAAAGCAAACGGAGGAACAGGAAGCCGATGATTCAGACATGGATGACCTGATAGGGCCGGCACCGCCCCCAAAGTACCGCGGTCGGGGGGCCGTTGGAGGGTCTTCGGGCATCGATCGACGCTTCTCAGATACCTATGATCCCAAAACCGATGTCCAAATGGATGACGATGCTTTCGAGGCATTTCGAGACCGCCAGAAGCTCAAGCAAAACCAGGAACAACGCATGAGAGCAGCAGGGTTTGCCGACGACCAGGTCCAGCGAGCGACATCGACGGACGAGAAGTTGGCAGATAGTGTGCAATGGTCCAAAGCCGGCGAGAAAAGAGAATGGGATCGTGGGAAAGGGGTAGGCAGTGACGGCGTGGTGGCTTCTGACGAGGAGCTATAGTGTAGGGGAGGGGCTGGGATTTTGGACATGGCAGGGCGTTGGCGTTGGACGTTCGACAATTGGTTATGGATGTATATCATTGGGTGGCGACACCTGCATTTAGAAGTTAGTTGCACGCATTCACGAGCTTTTCAGGAAGGGGACGGACAAATGGCGTATTGAATAGAACTTTTGGAACTTTGGTTGGATACAATTCTGAGTGTCCACATCCATCCTTCGTAAGCAAGGCACACCCAGTTTGCGACGCGTCGTATGCGCTGACCCTCTCCTTGTTGTCGCTACTTCACAGCTGGTAACACCCTGAAGCTAGCAACAATGGAAGAACCGAAGAATAGCATGTGTGTCCTGTACACGCAAAAGACAACAACTCAAAATACATCATCCGTATCTCGCTTTGCACTACATCCTCGTTTTCGTCAAACTTCCTCGATGACTCATGAGGCCAGCGACGATCCCGATAATGCACATAGCATTCTGCTATGTCCCTGTAATACCGCAGTCCGACGATTGTCTACCAAGGCAGATGATATCGTCGCTAATCCGTACAATCGCAGCAGCATGAAAGATGCCATCGAGTCGGCCTCGAAGCCCGCCGACCCCATACGGGAGGCTGATGCGGAAGAGGTCCAAGATGCAGACCTGGATCTTGACAGAAGACGCCACCCTCAAACAGTTGCTGCTAAAGGACGCCGAATTTTTTCAAGTCATTATCGACGAGGGTTAATACGCGAAGAACCCACGATCTCTGCATCAGCTAAAGTGCATCAGCTAAAGATCGCATACACCTATTATGGCAACACTCGAAGGCTTTATGTTACAAAGTGAATTATACAGCTGATGGCCGAAGTCGGACTGCTAGTTTTGTCTCGTATGAACTGCGTAAGATCATGAGCATGGATACTATTGAGGTAGAAACCTAAGCTTCTGTCAATATGCTTGGGTAGTATTGCAGCAAGAGGACGCTTACAATTTCGAGTACCAGAGATAAGATCTCCCTGACCATCCTTTCCTGGGGGCTCTAATAGTAGAGGCTAGATTCTCATGTTTCCAACAAGGATACTAGTACCGTGTTCCAACTGGCTGTCTTGCCCAAAATTGCTGGGCTTGACTCTTAGATGCAGTATTTGCGATATTAGAAAGCCGATACATAATCACGCTACCCGAAACTGCCCATATGGGAAAGATGCGCCAGTTTCGACAAAGCAGCGGCGAATGATGCGTAAAATCAGGCGCAGTTGCGCCAAGGTCCTCGAGCGTCAGAGGAAAACAACGAGGAAGAAGGCGGCGACGATATGGATGAAGGAGAGACCTAGACCATACAAAGTCAATCAGTGGGCGTGCACGTGAATGTACTTGTTTGCTTGAAGAGAATGAGACTCCGGGCTTCAAGAATATGTGCATCATAATCGAAAAGCCTTGAATCAAGGTGATATTCAACCAAAAGGGGTGACCGGTTCGATGGGAAGTAGCAGCAGAAACTGATACATGAACATAGTGCGATTATTTCCCAGAATTGAAAACCAGCCTGCAATACTCCATGAACTTGAGAACTCTAGCCAGTGAATTGGCCCCGATAGATGCAGATAGCTGCACCGTCGATCTCTTCCGGCGCATGAACTAGGGGGGCGGTTGTCGATCTTCCTCCACCTAACCGAAAGGCTGGGGAGTCGGCCACAACGGTATTTCAGTCATGGTAACCGGGTAATGCTTCTGCAATAACTACCAAACTTGATGCTCTATTAAATCATCCAAGGCGTTATTGCTGTCGTTACATTAAAAAAATGACAAGGAACGACTTAATGATCGTCTTTCTACAATCAGTGCGTCCCATTGGAATGGGCGAAAGACACACGACTCTAGCCTTCAGACATCAATTCACCTACGTCCTGCTACTGCGATTACACTCTTTTACTACTCGACTTTTGTATTTCTATTATCCTATTTTATAGGCACTTTACTTACTTCACAAGTACTTCATTTATTTCACACATACATTATTATAAACACTGTATTTAGTTTTCTTATTAATTCTTATTTTAAGCTTTGCTCAAAACCATCAGATAGGACAAAATGATAGGGCGGTTTTAAACCACAAGCGCACATACTTTATTTCTTTTATTATTCTCCATATTTATATGTACTAATTGCCCTCATGATCTATCAACATCACCATCTCCTGTTTGTTCACGATCCGGAGAACATTGAATGTTGCTAGATACTGAGGATCCGTGGAAAGGAAACAATGGGAGCCTACCGTCTTGGTTGAGGCGAATGGAGTTAAAGTTTGTGATTGTTCGACTTACTTCACCTCAGGGCATGTCAACTCAAGTGTCTTCAAGAGAATTTGCAGCTCACAGAATGCGGCCATCGTTTGCACGTGGGGTGGAAAATCGGGTTGGAAGTGAATCTACTTCTCCGCTTCCGGGGGCTTGGTAAGACTAGCGACAGGCGGCGGGCCATCGGAATGCAAGGTGAGGTGGCGTAGCGCCTGTCTTGATACGGACTGAGAATTGGACTGCATATGGAACAGATTTCTCAGGAACGGAGGTTCTGGATAGAGGAGTGTTTGCCGAACGATGCCTGAATAGGAGGCCTGTGGGAATGGTTTCGCGATATGTCACAGCTGCATCATACGAGCGCCATCAGTTGGGAGTGGATAGATAAACGGGCGACAGCCAATCCAGGGCCTTTAGCGACAATCATGCTTAAGATCTGCGTCCAGGAAGCGCATGTTTCCTGTATCCAAGAATAGGATCTTTTAATCTCTGCCCCAGCTATCAAGATCAATGCTGGCGCAATATTAACCGAGCATTTGCATAGTGGATATGCTAGAGAGGTATCCGTATACTAAGATTTATGGAAGGGGGAACACGAGGAAACAAGGGTGCTAGAATGGGCAGAGCTATTTTTACGCTAGGACCGAGCTGCTAAAACACAAGACAAGACAGGGGACAAGGTGGATGGCATTCAGGAACCGCCGACGACGCGCAGGGTTCCTCGGGTGTCTTGGGTCAGAAGGTGTAGAAAGGTTCGCATGGAAGCCAAGGCGTGCAGGGTTGAGGGACGAGACAGAGCGGACATTGTTTCCTTCTCGGCATCTGATACATGGAAGTTTTCCTCTAGCGTGATGATCTCACGTGTGAAGCGATAGGCGGTGTTTTTGGTTCATGTGGTCTTGGTCTTGGCGAGATGGAGGCCAGAACGGAACAGGCAGGCCTCGTGAGATGGCCTTGTTGTTTCAGCAGGGTGATAAAACGCCCGAGGGGCTAGGCGCGTCTGTTCACTACGCTTTCGTCGAGTAGATTGTAGATTGAAACGGGACAACTACCAAGGGGAGCTGAGATCGAGTCCAGGCCGAGCGCATTGGAAAGCTGATTGCGGTGCAAGTGACGAGGAGCTTGAGCTATTGCAGATGGTTTGATCGATTTGGTGACGTGATGGGAAGTGGAGCGATGCGCCAACACCATTGCAGCGCCTGATCCGTCAGTGCCGCCACAGCCACAGAACCACAGAACCACAGGCGCTTCAGGCCGATTCCACGAGCACCTTACGTAGCAATTACGGCAGGGCCAGTCCTGATGCAGTGTTGCAGAGTTGCAGTGGCGCTGTGTTTTGGCGCGGGCGTCTCCCCACTGTCCACGACTGCCTACGAAGCCCAGGCCCTGCACTGACTGAACCTGAGACGGCCGGGAAGGGCGGGGGTGGGATTGGTGGTTGAGGGGTCGGGGTCAGTGTTTGGCGGCGGCGGCGGCGGCGACAGCGAGCTGGAGAGCAAATGACGGCCGTATCTAAGCTGGAAGCGCGCTGCTCCCGGCGCTCATAGCAGTCCCAGCGCCGGAGGTCCACCGCGCTTGGCGAACTTGTACGAGGGAACTTGACTTATTGGTTCGCGGTGAAGTGCAGTATCGTATCTTGGTGCTACAGGCCTACAGGCCTAGACCTCTATAGTCTATGCGCTGGGCACGGGCTTTGGGCTTCACTAGCGGTCCCTCCAACTCCACTTGCCCTCTCCGTCCTGTTCGTCACCTTTGTACGTCACACGCACATGCTGCCATGCCACCCTCTTCCGGAAGCTATCACCCTCCTTGCCATACTCGACAATACATACATGGCCGCGTGCATGTGCGCTTCTTGTTTCTGATTCCTCGCACCTCTCCTCTTCTCGCCTTGTCCTCGAACCTGACCTCGCCCGCAGGCATCCTTTCGCAGCGCATGATCGGCGGGATCCTAACGTTGGCGCCGTTATCCTAAGTCGACGCAAGCGGGAGCTGGCACATCACCTCACATCGCACCTCTCCTCATATCTCTCACCTTACCAGCCATCTTCTCCCGCCCTCTCTAATCCTCCTCCTCCTTTCGCCGCGCATCGCCCGCAATCATGCGTCCTCCTCGGATCGCCATCGTCGTCTTCTTCCTCACTGCGTCCGTCTTCCTGCTCTTCCGCGCCTTCACGTCCCCGCCCCGATCCACCGCCGGCGCCGGCACTTCCAGCTCCTCCTCCGCCTACCCCGCCACCTCCAAATCCACCTTCTCAAAATCACAGTTCAAGTCCAAGTCCCAGTCCCCAAAGTCGGTATGGGGCTTCATGTACTACAACACGCCATTCTCTCTGTTCCCTCCCAACGCCGCCATTAGCTTGACCGACGACAACAGCACCTCCTTCGCCGCCCGCCCGGCTGCATTTGGCCCAAAGCTTGTCTTGAGGGGTCTCAGCGGCCAGCTGTGGGTGGGCAGCGGCTTTGCCGAGGATACTTTGGCTTCAAGCGGGGAGCTGGGCTGCAGCGACCTGCCAGGCTGGGGCCAAGGCGCCGGCAATGCGAAGTTGAATAAGGCTCTCCGTGAGCCTGTCTCGCGGACAACTGCCCCCAAATTTGGCGCTCCTGCTCATACCAAGAGACGCGATGATGACGTCCTCGATCGCAACCCCAAGAATGGTCCGACGCGGCAGCCCAACACCCTGGCCGCCGATGTCCCGAATATTCATCACTACGAAGAGATCGAGGGCAAGATTGTTCTGCTGATGCGCGGTGGATGCGGCTTTCTCGACAAGGTCATGTGGGCACAGCGCAGAGGCGCCATCGGGGTCATTGTGGGCGATAACCAGAAGGGTGGTCCCCTAATCCAAATGTTTGCTCATGGTCCAGAAGTCGATAACGTTACCATCCCTTCAGTTTTTACTGCTCGGACGACGGCCCAGCTTCTTTCGTCGCTGACACAACCTGGAAGCTTTATCGAGGAGACGCTGGATGACCAAGGAAACCCCGTTCTCAGGGTCCAGCGAGGACCGAGGTCCAAGCAATCCAAGAAGGACCAGCAGAGGAAGCGATTGCGGTCAAGGACCCCGGGTTTTCTCAGCATGAAACGATCCGAGGTTATCAGCCGACTCTCGAAATTTTTATCGTGGCCACAAACCACCGACTCAACCACTGCTAAGAATGCTCGCAGTCCGTTCTCGAGCGAGACTGGCTCCGAGAACGGTCCTACTGACCCCCAGGATGAAGACACCTTCCTTGCCAAGATGTTTGGTACTACTGAGGATACAACTGAGGAAGGATACTATCCGACCACCAAGGATGCTGGTTTTCCCAATGAACCCGATGTCCCTCGCGAGGGGCTGTGGGTGACCATCACCCCAACCAGCAACGCAAGCCCATTTTTCGATACCCTGCTGGTTCTCGTCATCAGCCCTCTGGTAACCCTGACCGTTGTTTACGCCATGCTCATCCTCCGTGCCAGGATCCGCCGGAGGAGATGGAGGGCACCCAAGTCTGTCGTCGAGCGACTTCCAGTTCGCACTTATCACACCGTCGCGAGATCGCCAAGTCTCACGCCAAGAACCGCTTCGCCGACGAGTACTTCTCCCACCACGCCCCTGCTACAAGACTGTCCTCCGCGCCCACGTCCTCGCTCAAGGGCAGCTGAGGGGCCCGCAGACGAGACTCTGCTGGCGCCTAGCGCTGCGATTCCTACTCCTCCTTCAGCATCCCGTAATCCGCCCAAAACCGAGAAGGGTGCTGGAGGTTTCTCAGCCGAATGGAAAAAGTACATGGGGCGACAGGTCGAGTGCGTGGTGTGTCTGGAGGAGTATGTCGATGGCGAGAGCCAAGTGATGAGCCTGCCGTGCGGTCACGAGTTCCACGCTGATTGCATGTGAGTATATTTGCCGTTCCCTCCAGCTGTCTTGTGACTAATTTTTTCCAGTACTCCTTGGTTGACCACCCGCCGACGGACATGTCCCATCTGTAAGGGTGATGTCGTCCGATCGCTCGCCCATGCCTCGTCTTCCGATCCTCACTATGAGCCGTACCGTGACGATAGCGACGATGACGAGCCCATTGCCGAAGCCTCCGGATCCCGCTCTGCCGATCATGAGTCCGACCTCGAACAGGGTCTCCTCTCACCCGAGCCGCGACCTTCCAGGGGATGGACGCGACCCGAAGGTTGGCTTAGCGTGTTCTCCAGCGGCTTTGGTAATAGCGCCCGATCTCAGTCCCCCGAAGACCGCAGTCGATAAGACCTAGAGATTCAATATCGCCCGAACATTTCCATTGACGAATCATCGGGCGTACTGAACATGTGGCGATTGTTGATTAATTTTGCATTCTTATTATTTATGGCGCATCATGGTGGGTAGCGGACTTCAACATAGCATGTGGACATCGTTTCAGGCCACAACAGCACTCTTTACAGGTTGGATTTCTTTTACGTTATTGGGATTGTTCCGTTGGTATCACCACCACGGTATTGATGGAGAACTCGCGTGTAGACCATTGGCAGGGGTGTAAGGCGCAATGGGAGACCATGTGCATCGGCGCTTGGATAGTAGGTTTTATATACCCTCGTGGCTAGCCGCTATGATCGCGGCGGCCGGTCTTGAATATAAATGCGTAACAGTTTACTCTCACGACTCCCACATATGTAGTTATGTTGATATTAAACCAGGACGAGGATTCACGCTTAGCCAAGGTCATGTGTGAACTCCAGAAGCATTCCATTCTATTTATCCCAAGCCGTACGATTTTCGATATTTTGCTAAATTCCAACTCCAGTTGACTACTTGATTTAGATGTATCCCTTGAGGACAGCGGCCTCGGCGTTCAATATCGAGGAACCAGCAGCGCCGATGACGGCTACGGATAGTTAGCGCATGTATAGTTCTGAAATGGGGCAAGGAGGACTCACTGTTGTGGCTGAGGGCAACAAACTTGAGGTCGAAGATGCCACTCTCGTCCTCGCGCACGCGGCCGACGCTGACGGTGTAGCCACGGCTCAGCTCGCGGTCCAGACGGGGCTGGGGGCGGTCGGGCTCGTCGAAGACCTTGATCGCCGGGGTGGGGGCGGACGGGCAGCCGAGCGCCAGAGCCTCGGGCTCGTAGTTGCGGAGGGCCTCCTTGACCTGCTCGGCCGAGGGGGCGGGCTGGCGCTCGAACTTGAGGCTGACGCAGGCGGTGTGGCCGTCCATGACGGGGACGCGGTTGCACGAGGCGGACACGCGGAGGCCGTCCTGCTCGATAAAGGCCGTCTTGGCGTCGTCGATGCGGCCGAGGATCTTGCGGGCCTCGGTCTCGAGCTTGTCCTCCTCGCCCTGGATGTAGGGCACGACGTTGTCGATGATGTCCATGCTGGACACGCCGGGGTAGCCAGCGCCGGAGACGGCCTGCATGGTGACGATGCTGACGGTGGAGATGGGGCCGAAGGCGGCCTGCAGGGCGGCGAAGGGGATGACGAGTCCAATGACGGCGCAGTTGGAGTTGCAGACCAAGAAGCCCTTGGTCATGCCGCGCTGGGCGCGCTGGTGAGGGATGAGGTCGAGGTGGGAGAGGTTGACTGTGGGGACGACGAGGGGCACGAGGGGGTCGCGGCGGTAGTTCTTGGCGTTAGAGAAGACGGGGATTTCGGCCTTGGTGAATTCGAGCTCTGTAGGCGTTGAGTAGTGAGCATATATTCGTCCTTTGCATGCTATCCCCTATCGAGGGCAGAGTTGAGGGAGACGGGGAAGGGCCATACCGATCTCGCCAGCGACGTCAGAGTCGAGACCGCTGAAGACAACATCGCAATCCTTGAACTCCTCAGCCTTGCACTCTCTCACGATCATCTCGGCGACGTCGCCCATGGGCGCGGCCTGCTTCCACCGCACGGCATCCTTGTACTTCTTGCCGGCGGAGCGCGACGAGGCGCCGATGGCGTGGAGCTTCAGGAAGGGGTGCTGGGCGAGGAGGAGGATGAAGCGCTGGCCGACGGAGCCGGTGCATCCGAGGACGCCTAGACGCGGCGAGTGTTAGCTATTCTGCGATGCGATTATGAGGGAGCTGCGGCGCGTGCGACGAGGGGATTGCCATCGTGGATGGAGGGGTAAAACAGGCCATGTGCTGCGGGAGAGGGGCGCATACCGACTGTCTTGGTGGTGAATTCGGGAGCCATGGTGTCGACGTGGTTTCCGGTAGTGTCAATTGCGTCAGGGTAGGGACACAGAATCAATATTATATGCGGTAAAAGGTCAGGAGATGGTGGAATGATGGGATGGGAAATTTTGGTGTTGAGTGAATGAGTCGACGGAAGAAGGACCCCGCCATCCACGCAAAATAGCCCCCGCCATCGGAGGGTATCGGCGTCGGAGGCGGACCCACATGGCCGGGTAATAATAGCACGCCGATTGCAAACGCTTCACGCTCAAGCTCAAGGTGGATTCCAAGTTCAATGATAAATTCGGAAGTCCAATGCAAAGTAAAAACATCTAGCCGAAAAATCCGCAGTTACATGATATCCAATGCAATGCTGAAATAGTCCCTCGGCCGTAGCCCGAGCCCCGGTCCTGTCTGCCGAACCGGCCATTACGCGATTCTCGCGGAAGCCCTCCCGCACAAAACACACATGCCCAAACGCCTATCCATGCAGCATCTCCCAGTTCTCCGAACCGCGCCACATCTCGTGGTCCCCCGCCTGCCTGTATGAGTCCTCTCTTACGCCAATTAAATGACCGCGCTGGTTCGGTCGTTGCTCGAGTACAGTCGGAACTGGATGAAGATGACGCAGTCCTCGAGAATGGTTCCCAGGGATCCCAGAAGCCAGGGGAGCGTCTTCAGCAGGTAGTTCTTGTCCTGCGAATAGGCGACGAGGCTCGCGCCATACGTCAGGTTGCCGGTCATAGAGAGCATGAAGAAAAGAAGCGCGAGACCTTCACACGACTGCTCTTGGTAGTTCTTGATGATCTGAGGGATTCGGGCGCTGTGATTTGTTAGTCAAGTCTTACATGTCCGAGCTAGACACACATACCATAGGTAGCAAACGGCGCTGAAGTATCCGAGGGTAATGCCAATGATCTCGGTCGTGCTCTCGGTGCTCGCGGTAGGGCTAGGAGCGCTGGGCTCAGCGTTGTCCCAGGCGCCGGCCTTGTACGAAACGAACCAGCCAACAAAGCCGACGAGGTAGACGGCGAGCAGGCTCAGCGCGTTGTGGATCCAGGGGTGGCTGTCCGGGGTCTCGTCCTCGCCGGTCACAATCTTTCTCAATGGCTCCATGGACGTCTCGGTGTGAGTCGCGTGACGGCGCTGGGATCCGGGGAGGCCAAAAGACGAGGTCCGTCGCCTCGCGAGCAGAGGAGACTCCTCAGAGGCGTCGACGGACTGTTCATTGTGCTCTCGGGCTCGGCGTGCGCTGACGGTGCGGTAGTAGATGGTCTGGGAGATGAGGATCATGTCGGCAATGCAGAAATAACTGGCCAATGCGACTGCAGTCGGGGCGAGGCGGGTGAATAATGCTCCTAGGGTGTTTCGTTAGCATTCATGGCAGCGGGTGATGGCGTGCGCCACCAAAGTGAAATTTTTCTAATCAAGGGAGACGCCCGACGATCCAGCTCGGCTGAATTTGGATGCCGACGAAATTTGAGTGTGCAGAATTTCTAGCGTCATGCAGGGAACGAAAACGCGAAGTGGTACGAACCGATGAGGTTTGACATGTCTCCGATAAGCCAGACGATGAGAAAGGCCATGCTGAGGCCATCGGCACTCTGCGCCTTGTAGTTGGCGGCCAACTGGGGGAGCTGCGACGGCGGTCAGTCAGGGCTCAGGCTTCGGGGAGCCGCAGCGGGCGCGATATGCGCGCGGGAGAAACGCACGAGGAGGCAGATCCAAGCAGTCAAGCTGATGCTGCCAAAGATGCCCGATAAGGCCTCTGTGATCGGGAGGTGCTGCGCCGCAGCGGCGAGGACATTGGTGGTCAGAAGCTGCATTGTGACTCGGCGCGGTGGTGTTCAGCCCGGGTTCCAAGATTAGGGATTGAGCAGAGATGGCCGGGGGACCAGTGACCGGGAGATGTGAGGGAGGGAGAGAGGGGGGAGAGGGGAGGAGGACGAGCAGGACGAGAGCACAAGAGAAGCTCACGCGACCGGGTTTGGAGGTGGTGGTTCAAAGGGAGGGAGAAGAGTCAGGTCACACATTGAGCCGCCATAGACTCACTTATCCCGACAACGGGGGGGGCCGTCTGATAAGACCCCTCTGTGGTGGACACGGCCGGTGGCTCTACCGACCCTTGCTGGTGGCTCCCAGCGAGCTATCGGGCCCATCAGTGCGTTATCAGTGGCTCCCATCATCGCGAAGCGGGTTATCGCGCGGTCGCAAAGCGGGTATCAGTGGCGACGGGCTGCTCGCAGTTTGCAACTGAGCTGCCCGTATTGGCCATTGGCTGGTCACCCTTATCGGCGAGGGCGCTGCAACTGTGCGTCACAGGGCTGCGGGGCCAGATCTTGTGAGCTAAAAACCGGGGCTTAGAGGTTCCTATTACCTATTAGAGGGGGGGGGGGGGGGACCCTTTGAACTGTGTCAGCGCGAGTACAGTAGATCCCATGCCACCCGCGCACGGGATGCACTGCAACTGCATAATCCGTGGCTGGGCTGCGACGTAGTTACATCATACATGGCGTGTAGGGTAGGTCCTCTGATAATCTACAATCTCACTGTATTTATATCGCTGTGATAAGGAGGTCGCACGGTGGGAAGAGGTTTAGCTTTCGTCTACTCCCAATTGAGATTCCTGTCTGCCTTTCCTTTCTTGGTGTGGAGCGTTGCTCTGCGTTCGTATTAAAGCTGCATTCCCTTTTCGCCACCTCATGCGACCTAGGATTGCGGAGCTGAGCTGAGCTCTTTGTCTTCCCAGTTGGGCCAGCGCATTTCTCCATGCAGCGATCAGCCAGCCGCAGCCTGCCCGACGACTCACCCTAGACACAGGCAGACTCACAAGACCAGTCAGAGTCGCAGGCCAGCTTTACGTGGGGCAAACGATTCGCTGCGGTGCGCCCAGGCCGCTTTGTCCAGGCCCCAATGCCAATGGTTTCATAGACCCCTGGTTCCTCCAGCAACTTGTATTGGCTTGGTCGCCGCCACAGGCCAACCAGGTGTGCTAAACACAGGGCTATTGGAATCTAGGCTCACTTTCGCAGCCTTGCAGCGCTTCGGATGGACGCGTAGCCTACGTAGTAGTTCCCAGGTTCTAGGTTTCGCTGAGTTGGCAGAGTGTATATATACGCTCCCCAGCAGCTTCGAGCTCCGCCCTTTGCTCGTCCTGATCTCACCCACGCACGAGGTCATTAGGGAGCACCCATTCCCTCACATTCCATCCTTCCATCACCAATTCCATCCGACCATGAAGCTTCTCTCCACCACCGCGTTGGCCATCGGCGCCATCGGCCTTCCCGGAGCCGCCGCCTGGGGCAGTATGTAGAACCCCCCGACCTCGGAGCTTGGAGCTCGGAGCTTGTCCCGAGTGCTACGGATTAAATTGAATGCTGATGACGTCGCGCAGGTCTCGGACACATGACGACGGCGTACCTCGCCAGTCGCATCGTCTCCAACACCACCGAGGCCTTCTTCCAGGAGCTGCTCGGGAGCGACGCCCCCGACTACCTCGCGACCGTCGCGCCCTGGGCCGACTCTATCCGCTACACCGACTGGGGTCGCTTCTCGAAGAACTTCCACTTCATCGACGCCCACGATGCGCCCCCGACCGACTGCAGCGTCGAGTATGAGCGCGACTGCAAGGATGGCGGCTGCGTCATCAACGCGCTCGCCAACTACACCAAGCAGTCGCTAGACTCGGAGCTGCCCACGTGGCAGCGCGAGCAGGCCGCCAAGTTCGTTGTCCACTTCATCGGTGACATGCACCAGCCGCTGCACAACGAGAACACCGCTCTCGGCGGCAACCGTATCTTCGTGCACTTCGACGGCCACCGGTTCAACCTGCATCATGTGTGGGACAGCTCTATCATGGAGAAGTTCCTCGGGGGCTTGCACGGCGAGCCCATGGCCATCGCCGAGAGGTGGTCCGATGAGCTTGCCACTGCCATTAGCGAGGGCAAGTTTGCGGCTGAGAAGGATTCATGGTTGAAGGACGTGGATTTGGATGATGCTATCAACACTGCTCTTGCGTGGTCAAGAGAGACTAACGCCCTTGTGTGCAAGTATGGTAAGTTGATGCCGAACGGTCCGAACGGCCCATCAAAATGGATTGTGAGACTGACCAAACGGCTGTAGTGCTTCCCGAAGGTGCGCATGCCATCGAGGGCAAGGAGCTTGGAGGCGAGTACTATGAGAATGCCGGTCCCGTGATTGAGAAGCAGATTGCCCGTGCAGGGTATAGAATGGCCGCTTGGTTGGACCGCATCGTCGACGCCTACCAAGCCGAGAACACGATTTCCGAAGAGTTGTAAGAGATAGCCGAAGGGGCATAAACGCCAGAGACGGTCGTGTTTGGACATGAGACCCGCTGCAAGTATTTGGCATGTCTGGATTGGGAATCAAACAGTTTGGAGTAGCAGAGTCCGGGTTCGCATCGTCTCAGCCCTAGTGTCAATCAAAGAGAGAGGGGCGGCAAAGCAAAGTCGTGATGACATCGACAATGCGCCGTATTGGCCCAAGCACCGCAATAAACGGCATCTTGTGCAAGAGTGGCGCCCGCACCAGTTCCAGAAAATCCATGCCACCGCGTTGCTGCGACAATCCATTAAAGTGGATGAGATGGGATGAAAGGTGACAAGCTTCTCACTAAGACGGGACCTGACACGAGCCGTGGACCTGAGTCTTGGATTGTCGCAGCTCCAGAGATCGAGGTTGGAACTATTGTTCTGGCAGGAGGAAACCGAGTTTCGTAGGGCATGGAAACCCCCCAAGTCCCCAGGATCGGCGGTGTTTCGAAAAATTTGGCCATGTGTCATCCAAGTCGGAAGTTGGACGTCGCGGGGTTACATCGCAGCCCAGCGCCGGGTTCCATGTGACTGGAGTTGGGGGGGGTTTTACACCGACACTACAATGCTACCACTCGGTTAGCCAAGCCGAGCGAAATGCCTGGAGTGAAGAGATGGGAAAAATCAGTCAGCAATCCGGATAACCAGGCAACGGGATCGCCAAGTTGCCGAATAATGCAAAATTGAAGGAGTGCGGATGTGTTTGAGCCCGGATTCGCCCTGACCGTGGGCGGACGAACTTGGCGCTGATGGGCCGCCACTTTAGCTATGGCGGAAAAGTCGGCATGTTGACGGCGCTTCGGCACATTTGGGGATCATCCTGGGAGAAGTCAAGATGGATTGAGTTGGTGTCATGCGCTCTGGGCTTTGGGTGGTGATGTCTGCATCTTGTAACAGAGGCTAGGGCGGAGAATGGGTTGAGCCATCATGGAGAGCGTGGAGGGCGGGAGAGTGCAGGCGGCTGCGAAAACAACGGCCTGAGGCGTGTTGTTGCTATATCCGTCTTATCTATATAGCTACGCATACATTAATTTAATTTAAACCGCCTGTAAGAAAATGGAGACGCTGCGGGAGCACTGCGGGCCTCAGGAAAGGGTCCGAAGGCATCCCAGCGATGGCCTCTCAGCCTCCCTCTCAGCCTCTCGACCGGCACGCCAACCCCGGAAGTGAAATTAGTAAATCGACGATCGGATGCGGCCGGCCGTCCAGCAGGGGCATCAAGGTTAAAGCTGGCCCATGACTCGCACAGTCCCTCCTGCGTAGCACTGTAGCACTCGCCCCGACCCCTTCGCACCTCTTCTCACAGAGCTCTGACACCGCGCTTACTGGCGTCGTCTCGAAGCCGAAACGCCGTGTGCCTGGCATCCCGCGGGCGATGCATCTTGGCGCCCGCCGCTATTGGCTGCGCCGCCGGGTCGCTGCAGGCCCGAGGAGCCCACGGCAACGCGCTGCGACGTCTGGAGCCGCATCTTGTCCCTCTTTTGACGTCGAGCGAGCAGGGCTTCGCTTGCTCTCGCGTGTATCTGGAGGCCCGAGATGCCAAGCCTCGCTGTTAGTGCACTCGCCGTCTCACCCTCCCACGCCCTAACGCCAGCCTCCACCATCATGACATCGCCTGCTAGCCCTCAGACCTCAACACCCCTGGCGCCCCGGTCTGCCCCCAGGTATCGGCTCTGTCTCGCATGCCACCTCTTCAGACGACCCTAGCCTCCTCGTTTCCACGATGCCCAGCCGTGGTGTAGCTCTTCGAGTTTGATCGCTCTCTCTAGCCCTCTCGCCAAGGCGAAAGCGAATCCCCTCTCTCTCTTCGCCGTCGCCACCACCGCCAATGCCGTCTCTGCAACCTCGTGGAGACGCACACACCCTGGAAATGCGACCCTGTATCCGGTCCCTGCTCCCGCCGAGCTGGCATCCGTCTGGTGTGCCTCCCCGTGTCGAACCCGCAGCATATAATTCAACTTCTCGGCAACCTGATCTCCGCTCTCATCACCTCAGCTCTCATATGTTTTAAACCCTCCATCCGCCCTTCGTCTGCTGTTGACCAGTCCCTTCTCTTCCATTCAACGCTGGCGGTGTCTCTTTTCTCACATTCGTTCCTTCACTAAGACTCAGTTGAACCTGTGTCCGTGACCGTTCCTTTATTCCATCTTCTTAGTATTACTTTTAACCCGGTCTGGAACCGCCCATATTCTTCCTCAGCTTTCGACTTTCGACTTTCAACTCCCTCCTTCTATTTTCGACACCGAGATCACCGCAGTCAACATGCAGATCAAGGGCGTTATCGTTGCCATCTTGGGCATGGCGGTCCTGTCAGACGCCGCGATTGTCAACAGGCGAACTCCCTTTACTCGCACCCTCAATCGACGACAATTCGGCGGAGGAGGTGGCAAATTTGGTGGAAACCAGGGCCAGAACCAGGGCCAGAACGGAAACCAAGGCCAGAACCAGGGCCAGAATGGAAACCAGGGCCAGAACGGGGGTCAAGATCAAGCCGATGGCACCAACAACAACAATGCTGGAGGCGATGCGACCCTGGACGCGAACGCTGTCCAAACCGGATCTCAGCAAGACGGTAACCAAGAGCCGGCAGATGGTCAATCGGCTTCCGCGACGTAAGTGCATATTCCTGAACGTTTAAAAGCAATAACTAACTAGTAACCAGCGACCAAGCCAACTTTATCAACTTCTGTTCGGGCCAGACTCTCACCAATGGTGAGCAGAACACAGGAGGGTCCTGCAACGGAATCCGTAAGTTACTATCAATCTGTTCGCCTCCTCCAAGCTGACCGTGATAGCAATGGGTAAAATCCCGGCCACCAACAAGATGGTCTCGACCGTGTTTGTCAGCCCGCAGAACGGTGATGACGTCCAAGAAAACACCGACTTCGACATCTCGGTCCAGACGTCCGGTCTGTCAGCTGGTACCTTCACCAACGCGCAAACCACATACTACTCGGCTCCTCAGGATCTCGACGGCGGCGGCCAGATCATTGGTCACACCCACGTCACAGTCCAAGACACTGGAAACTCTCTGAACCCCACCAACGCATTGGATGCCACGCAGTTTGCCTTCTTCAAGGGTATCAACGACGCAGGCAATGGTCAGGGTCTTCTTACTGCTACTGTGACCGGAGGTCTGCCTGCTGGCAACTACCGCATCTGCTCTATGTCTTCGGCTGCGAACCATCAGCCCGTGTTGATGCCCGTCGCTCAGCGAGGTGCTCAGGATGACTGCATCAGAGTTACTGTCGGTGCCGGTGGAGGCAACAACAATGGAGGCAACAACAATGCCAACAATGGCCAAAACCAGAACAATGGCGGCAACAACGCCAACAATGGTCAAAACCAGAACAATGGCCAGCAAGGTGATGCCGCTCAGGGCGATGCCGCGAATGGCGGACAGCAAGATGCGAACCAGGGCGACCAAGCCAATCAGGGCGACCAAGCCAATCAGGGCGATGCCGCTCAGGGCGATGCCGCGAATGGTGGACAGCAAGATGCGAACCAGGGCAACCAGGGTAACCAAGCCAATCAGGGCAACCAGGGCAATCAAGGAGGCTTTGGAGGAAACAGTCAGTTCTCAAGCTCTTCAACCCAACAAGGTGCTAACGGAAACAAGACGGTTTCAGGCCGGGCCGAGGGCGCGGGCGTGGGCGAGGCCGGGGCAAGGCTTAAGTACTAGGTCAGGCGGCGGAGGAGCAGCTATGCTACTACGATCGGCGGTGCCACGGCCCCGGAGGCCTCGGATACCGGCGAAATAGCGGCACCCTTCGGGGTAATACAGATTTTTTTCACGACTTGAGGCGTAAAGCCTTTGCTCACAGGTTCCGCGTTGGGATTGTTGCTGTTCCCTTGGGCGAGGAGGTCTCGAGGCGTGAAGAAACTCTCGCTTCAAGACGTTGGTGCGAATTGGGAGGGCTTTAAGAAAGATATTGGACTTGTTCAAGGTGCCTAACACTGCGAGCGCGGTCTGGTGTTTAAACGTATTTGTGGTTTTGTACTAATTGTTAGGCCTAGCAGTAGATGCCGGGTCTGGAGGTTTATCGGGTTGGCAACCTCACATGAGATGCCGGTGTTTGTATGGGAACGGGACTCCAATGGGTAGACTATCTCCTTGCGGGACTCTTGGGCCAGTTCTGTATAGAAATTCATTTGCTCTGTTACTTTGTTTACTATGGCGCCTGTCCAATCCTGTGAAAACACGACATGCCCGGAACTGACCTTCGGTATGAGAGGGGAAGCACCTCGGCCGCAATAATGAAAGCTAAAAATGCTTTCCCTTCCGCTTGAGTTTCGTACCGCCGATCACACAGCGGCGCCCATGTTCTGCGACAGTGGCGGTTCCGGGCTCCTTGAAACCCGATGAAACCGGCCACCGACGGTCCGGACAGAATAAGGTACGGATGAAAGTACCGATTTAATGCCTCGTGTGGCGACGATAAGGTGGGCTAAATGCGGATTATGCATGGTATTCGGATAAATATAGTAGTGAGATTGCTTCTTCCTCTGGGGTCGTGTAAGGCGCATTTCGAGGTGTGGTAGTATTTTACCAAAGATCCAAAGTTGCCGCTTGCTCCCACTTGCCGACCTTTCTCTCTCACACCAGAGACGTAGTGAAGGTCTTATTTGTCTAGTTTACGCGCGTTATTCATCAATTGAACGGGGTTTTTAGAGCAACATTTCCTATATGTCACGGCAGAGCCCATCTGCACAAGTTTAATGTGCTCTCAGGCGATGGAATGCTACCATATACGATCTCGCCCAGTTCGTATTTGTGATGACGCAAGACGCCCAAATACAGCCCATCGTAGCTTATTGATATGCTTGTAGGAGTGTTTGTGCATGTCGTGGAAATTCACGGGACTCGATTGTAAAATAGATTTAGTGATGGTAGTTTTCCGAATTTCAGCAAGCCACATGAAGTTAAGAAGCCAAGCCTGTTCTACAAGCTGCTGTAGTATGGCGACAATTACTTAGGTGAGAAGTGCATTCTTACTTGGGCAATATATATGACGTATTTTCTTTAAACTAGTTAGCTGCAAACAGCTCTCGGCCTTCGATAATTAAATTGGCTGATTAGTTTAACCTCACTCTACTACGCACTTACTACGGCTGCTTAGGCACACAACCCTCCGAGGATTGTGGATTGGGCTGTCAATTATCCGTACGGAAGCTTTCTCCTCACAAGACGTCTGACTGAGTGGCCGAACTAGCGATTTGAAATGTCCCCTGGCGATGAAACCTGTCCCCAATCTCCGGATCAAATGAGCAACTCGAGTTGACGATCCCACATTGATTCGACAGAGTTTTGCGCAATGTCATCTCCAACACATTTAGCACGTGCATAGTTCGTATGCCTTTCGAGGTGAGCCTTTCAGGGAGAAGGTTAGTCACTGTAACAGGTTTGCAGAATTGGCAAGACTCTAATTACTGGATCTGATTCCAGAATATTGGGCGCGAGCGCCGCCATAAAGTTCAACGATAGACGAGTCGAGTATTCTGCCGCAGTATACTACGGTGACACCACCGCACTGAAGGAAGCATTGGGTACGATCGATAAGGAGCAGCATCAACATTTTATGGATATGGTTGCTCCTGCAGCGAATAAGCTCTAGTAATTGGACCTCGAAAGCAAGGCTGGGACGAAGATGTTAGTAAAACTAGGCCAGGAGCAGACACCTCGCATCATAACCACCTTCACCATACCCTCAACTTCAATCCGCCCTCGAAGCTTTCGTTACTGATGACCTAGCTTCTTTACTGTTTGATCGCAACGCAACCAATACCATCATCACCCTGATGTCGACAGAGATGCTAGCAAAGGGATGCTGCAGAAACTCTCTTCAGCCTCCTTATATCTGACACGACAGCGTCCACCCAGCCTACTGGGAAGAACTTCCAAGTTTCATCAGGCTCAAGCCATACTTGGGACTATGTATTCACTATGATATGAAAGGTGGGTGGGAGTTTTCCTGGGGTAGTTTTCCACTCAGTAATATAGTGATCAGTTGCCAACTCACACGTATCCCAGTCAATTTAGATTAGTAACTTTTGACACGACTATATGTTCCTTTAACTCTTGCCTTTTAGGAACTCTTAATCATTTCCAATTGCCGATCTTGATATCACCACCCAAATTCTAGGTTCCCCCTTTCACTCTTCGCCGTTGGGAAGCTATAAGAATACCTAGACCCACCGCTGCCACCAGTCCCACGATGATGGATCCATCGGTTAGGACAAAGTTGTCGGTATTCAAATTGAAGTAGCTAGCCTATGTCGAGGTTAGCAATGATTTAAAGGCGAGTGCCTGCCCCATCTCACCTGCGCCGCCCTCGGAGAGCTCTCAACAGCCTTCAATCCCGACTTTGACTTTACCCAAGCAACCACGGACGAAGTAATTGCGCCACTCACTTGGATGGCTGAGTACACCTTTGCCACTCCATATCCACCAGCGCCGGCGCTCTGCAATGTCGCGAATAGGGAAGGTGATATAATGCTACCGAAGGCGCTCTGGATGGTGGCCGCATAGGAACCTGAAACGCAGAACTGGTTAATCTTTGTGACTATATATACACGTACCATAGATATGGCTTGCCGGGACAATCTAGCATAAAGAAGAGATAAACTCACTCGCAATAATACCCTCTGCCCCGAAACCCATGGCGCCCAGTAGAGGAGTTGCCACCAGCCCGGGTGCGGCCATAGAAAGCAGCCCGACCACTGCACCACCGCATGAAAAGGGGTTTGCAACGACCCATTTCGTGCTTTGGTCAATCGCATGCGGAAGGGTCTCCGTGGCGAATTCTCTGGATGCCTTAGCTGCAACAGCCAGAACGCCGGGGACATTTGCCTTGGACTCAATATTGCAGGCCGAGGACCCGAGAAAGGCAGGCCAGACAGCTCCGACCCCACTTGTTAGAGTAAGGATTTGGTATAGTTTCATATTAATGTAGTCTTGGATTTGATCCCGATATTGTTGTGTCACGATGTATGCTTTTCGATGGCTGAGTTGAAGTTGAGAGTCATGAATACAATCGCCACCCATTTGTGCGGGGTATGAGGCCGTGTGAACTGAACTAATTGCGACACCTGATAATTAGGTACCTAAGGTCGTCTCATTTTTGAGTCTATCTCGTTCCTACCCTACTTACTCCTTTGACAACTCATCTACCTCGCCAGGGCAAAAAAGTTGATACAAGCGGCCATCAAAAAGAGGATACTAGGTGGAATCAAACCACCGATGTTGGACGAACAGGGAATCGAACCCTGGACCACTCCCAGATATTCAGACGAAACATGCTAAGGGAGTATTATACCACTAAACCATTCGCCCGTATGATTCTTTGAGGTTTATTGCCTGCCTCTAGGTTTCGTGGAGGAAAATCTGCACACGGTGGTTGATGCAACAATGACGAAATTTGTAGAAGCCCACGAAACTTGAATCCTAAATCACAAGGAGTCCAAGCCCATTTAGCTTTGATTTTCTTGTACATGATTCAATGATGAATCGGAGGTGTAATGGGGGAAAAACCCTCTTTAGCCCTGTCATATTCATCGTATAGGGTAACTCAACGCCCAACGGCCAACCAACAACATTTACGCATGTTAGATCTCAATCTTTATCCAACTTATGATGGTAATTCTTTCAATAATTTCAGCGCCTTGAGAGGCGCTAATATGTGATGATCTGTAGCTCTTTGCTCCAAAATGACAAAATGCCTAAAACTATGGTACGAGAGAGTAACCTGGATCGAGGACATGTCGTCCTGATTATCTGGTGGGGAAATAATGTATGGGAAATGAAACTTAAGGCAAACTAAAATGGGACCAAGAATAAAGAGACGGCGGATTTTCCATTTCGGGAACCACCGAATGGTCGAATTTCGTGTTGTGAAAATTACGTCAACTATCGACTCACGTGTTATTGCTCAATCCGGGCTCCCATGAATTTAGGAATCGAGCAGGATTATAATCTGGACGATACGATATAGTACTGGAAGATGAGGGAACTGGGGGAATATGTATTGCCCGAGCCCGATGTCACCTTAATATCGATATTCTGCACTGACTTCAGTAGCTTGTATTGGCAATTCCGGCAAGCGACGATATGTATTAATGCTTCTGGCTCACGGAGCAGCTGGTGGCATTTCTCCGCTTCCAAATGGTGTCACGATACACGAAGCGGTCTGCCCGGTTTATCCCTTGAACTTGAAGAAGAGCTGGACTTGAACCCTCGTACAACTGTTTTCGTTACTTGGCGATTTGTGTAAGTCTTAATGTGGTTTTGTATGTGTCATTGAAGAACTGGTAGTGGTAAAGGGGTTAATAGAGAGGAAATCACCAGGCTGTGATGATATCTCTTGCTCGAAATTGATGTAACATAGATCTGGGTCTGTCTTTGTTTTCTGACACTCGGAAGCTCGCCGCAGACCGAAAGCAGCTACGTACCGATCTACGGTTGCTCTTTTTGGATCGTTCCCCTGACGGCTGAGGTTCGCGACGTGGCGTCCGATCCCCCTTGACGCCCAATTCTGCCACCATGGGCAGGGGTTTTGTGTCCCATGGTTTATTACCGAGCCAGCTGGCTGGGTTGACCTAGCTAAGTGTCGACTACCAAGAGAAGGGCACCCCCGAGTCATGGTGGCGTACTGTCGTTGTCGACTACGTAGTCATGAGAGCCAAGTTTGCATGGTTCTTCTCGTTTCCTGGTACCTGTTCTCGATTGGTGGCATGAACTCTACAAGGGGTTCGAGTTTCGTTATGGACCAGGGCTGCTCATTGGGGGCAACGAGCTGAGGTCGGCGAGCTTTGTATTCTTCACCCAAGATGTAACCTAAGCGATGAGGCATCGTGAGCATGATGTCGGTGGCAGCGAGGAGTGGTGCGAGGGCGTTTGGAATACCTGGATGATGAGGGGCTAGGACGGGAAGATCGATTGAAAACCGGCTCACTTCGTGGGGTAGCGAAACGCGATATCTGTATAGACCAGGGACGGGCAACAGCAGAGGCGCTGGGGAGAGCCCGCGCTATCTCTGCACGGTCTAGCTGCAATTCGGACCCGAATATAACAGGGCAAGGGTTCTTGGCTCTCACGATCACGTCCGTCTTGGCCGTCTGCGGGAGGGATTCTCGCCTGAAGCTGATGGTTCATGTACCAGGCATGGATCATCGGGTTAGAACCATGAATTTGAGGACATGGATACTGAAGCTAGGTCTAGGTGAACTGTGACGGTTACTTGGGGTGGGACGAGGATGTGTTGGCTCAGTAAGGCGGTCTAGGTGCTTCGGGTGAAGTTTTCCGTAGATGGACGAGAAGAAGGTGACTCAAAATTGCAATACCATTCTTATCTTCGACTGTAACATAAACCTGACGACTTTAGGAGAGAAGCAAGAGGGTTAGGTCGACATCGGGGCACTATTTTGGGTTGACGCAAGAGATGTTGCATTCCCAACGCTTAGCCTACAGGACGCATATAATCTGCATATTCCACAAGGGATGACCATGCATGTCCATGTTAGATAAATGGACTTGCCTGAGAGTTGTCTCTACGGTGAACGATTGGCACCTGAAGGATTCTGCGTCCTGCGCCGTTGACGGCGGTGGGCCTGAGATCGAGAGCCCATCCACCTTGACGGGCATGTGGCTACCAGGGAAAGCCCTTGAGAGCGTTGAGTATGTAGTATTGAGATTGGAGAAGAGCCGGTGACACGACATGCATCGAATCACCTCGCGAGAGCAAAGAATGTCGGCAAACGAGGCTGATGTATGCCTGTCGGCTTGGCCCGTAGGTCTAGACTGTTACAGAGGTGAGACGGGGGAGACAATCCTGGGCCTGACAGCCTGGTTACTGGGGTTGTGGCCCAAGTGGCCAGTTCTTTGCAGAAATTGGAATCCTTGTCTACGAGGTTACGTGCTATCTTTTGCCAAACAACAGCCGAGAAGGTTTCCCAGGGCTGTTATGGCGAGGAAGCCGAAAATACCCCTGGATGCGTACCATAACGGCGCAGTCGGGGAAGTACGATGTCGCTTGAAAATGCCGGCACAAGAAAATACGTCGAAACTGCTGTTGGAGTGCCAACACACGGCAGTCAGTTTTGTGCAAGGGTGTGCCATGCCTGCGATACTGAAGATTTTTCTGAGTTGGCCGGTATATACAGCAAAAACCCCCACATGCCACATATGTCCCAACACACACGGGGAGGATCTGCGCAATGCAGTATCTGGCCCTTCAAGGCAGACGCTGGATGAGGATGGGATTTTCGATCGGATCGCTCAAGACAAGAGAGCAAGCAGCCCAGTCTGTGATGAGATGAGATGGCCGACCAAGATGAGCCAATGCAGAGCTGAAGGGATGGGCATGCGGGATTGTCGCCACACTGCCAGGGATAAGTTGGTAGCGACACGCGATGTACCTCACAGGGAGAGTTTGAAATGCAATAGCGGAGAGTTCGCAGGGAGTATGCGTACTGTAGCATTGTAATCCCTTCATGTCGTGGCAGGGCATTGTGTGTAGTGGAGAGAAGCGAGCGACGTTGATGGGGGCTTGGGCCTAGAAGCCGTTCTGCTCGAGGGACCCCCGGATCGCCACATGGGTCAGGGGTTCTTGCAAATGGAAGAGTCAAAAGAGACCGGAGGAGACGAGCATCCCAGTCCAGCAAAATTTAACCCACCAAGGAGAGACCAGGGGTGTCGCGGCCTGGCATGGCGTGAGGATCTGGGCCACTCTGCGAAGTCGTGGTGCTACGGGGGGCTAAGAGTGGGCGGATCTACACCCGTCGTCTTCCCGCGACTTGCGATGGAGTCGAGATTGTCAAGTTATTGTGGGGAGTGGGACTATGGAGTATGGAGTATGGAGACTGGAGACTGGAAAGGAGTGAGGGGAGATCTACCCGTCATCGTGAGAGATCCTCCCCGTTTTAGATGGACGTGGGTCGCCAGCCGCGCTCTCGAGGCCCGCGTTTAAGTCACTGGAGCTTCTGCGAGTGCGAAGAGGGAAATGAGATAATATAATATATGAAGGCGAAAATACCGACAGTCGCTGCGATGCCGATGCCAAGCTGCACTCTTGCGTCTGAAACCCGCGGCGGAGCCAGATGCCGGCCATTCGGACGTTCAACCAACAGCCATAACCAAGGTCGCATCCTTATAAGCCCAGTCAAGTGCTGTTTACGTACGTAGTACTGCATGCAGACGTCTGCGCAGCACTATTCGCCTCGCTAAAGAACGACCAGACGGCACTAAATTTGAGTGCGTAGCAGGCAGGGATTGGGCCGGGGGATCAGAGGCCAGCTATCCATGCTAGGTCATGTCCCGGGTATTGATATCCATGGCTGCCGAGAAAATCCCTTCCAGAGAGCCCTGCCAGGCCAGCTCGCCAGACGACAGAGTACGAGAATGAGAGAGACTGGACGGGTCCGCTGCTGTCTAAGGTGTACGGCACTGGCTGTCAACCGAACGACGGCTGGTGAGTGGTGTCGCAATGTGGCATGGCGTAAATTGGGCCCTTGGATAGTCCCAGGCGCCATGGGAGTATCGAGCTGCCAAGCGGAAATATGCCCGGGTTGACACTTACGACCAGAGCTGTTTGGATAATGTTGTTGGTTCAGCGTCAGCCTTCCTTGTCGTCCAAGTGGCGATCCCTTCCCTTCTGTCACATCGCCTCGTGCCGGCCCCGACGCCGCGGCCGCTCTAGTTGCAAGCTCTGTCCCAATGGGAGGGAAGGACGTCCGGCACCTTGCGTCTCACGGGTCATATATCTGCGAAAGCACGGTGAACCCCGAGTCATGCAGAGTCTGTCGGCCGCAGCTCGGGGCAAAGTATGCTGAGTAGAGAGATGAGTCCGACTTGGATCCATCCGTCCATCTCGTGGCTGGATGTTAGCTGTTGATCGTGGCGCAGGACTGTAATCTATTATCCTGAGGCCGGGGCGATGCGTTGTTGCTGCTTGCTTCAGCCGCAAAGTCAGATGGCGGACAGTCATAGATGTTCACGGACTCTGGACACAGGCTCAATCGAGTGATGCATAGAGAGCATCTAGATGTATGATGATTCGACCTTGCTGGCTGACTGGCTGGCCCTGGCGCTATCTGGTGGCCTGTCCGTCCATACATACTTCGTACATGCCTACGCGAATGCATGGCTCCATTGTATCGGTGTCATTGTCGCTTTCGCCGCCGTCGTAGTCTTCTGGTACCACCCTTGTCAACGCCCTACTACTCTTCCTGCCTGCAGTAATATGTACCCGGGAGAACAGAGCATATGTGTACGAGTACCGAGTAATTACGCATCCAATGTCTGCATCAACCGCCGGTTGTCGTCCTCATGGGGTGCTCCATCGCCTCGCCCGGCTGCTCCACCACGGACGGACCCTGTGTCCCACCTCCCCCGGGCTCCCCTTTCTGCTCGATTCGGGCCCCGGATTCGGATTTCTGGGGGAAAGTCTCGAAGCGAAGACCGCCATGTTTAGGGCCCGTTCTAGCTGGGTTGGCCCCATGGCCAGGGCCTCGCGGATGGGGCGCCGCCGCTCCGTCTCATGGATCATGCCGCATCCTACCATCCACCGTGCTTGGGGTATTCTTGGATTTGCTGTCAGCTAGGACCGATGACCAGGAACTAGGTATCCGTGAGAACACCCGTTAGAGATGCCGCGTACTGTACGTAGCATCTCGCTGGTCCTGCCTGAGCCTTGGTGGGAGGGATCTACACCCCCGTCATATCTCCATAGTACATATACTCCCGGATCGTCCCTCGACCTGTCAATCGGGCCTTTCGCCAAGGAAACTCACTCTCACTTTCGTTCACCCTGTCTCCCTTGCCCGGGATACCCATCTGTAAACCACCAACACAAGCCATCCGACCTGGTGTCGTTGGCTTCCAGCCAGGTCACTCTCCCGCGGCATCTACACCGCGGCGAACCGTCTCACGAGGAGAATCTCTGCGACAACTCCTGCAACCGCCGTCATGCCACCCAGCGAGCACTCGGCCGAGGGCCAGGTCGAAAAGCAGCCGCCGGCTGAGTCGCTGCGCAACGAGGAACCGGAAACTCCTCGCTCGTCGCATGCGCCCACCGATACGGAGAAAGTCGTCTACGCCGACGGCACTGTCGAGTACGTCGACAAGCATGCTCTTGGTGGCGAGTTCGACCAGATGCCCGTGGGTTACTACAAGAGCCCTCAGTTTCTAGGTACTCTCGCGGTTAGTCTCTCTGCTCCTATGGACACCTGAAGTGGCGAGGTTTCGGAACTAACCACCATGAATAGGCTCAATCTCTCGCCAGCATCTGCGCCTACCTGGGCTGGGTACTCCCGGCTAACACTCTGTATGTACTTTGATAATATCTAATTGCTGGTAGATATCGATCTCTTCGGTGTCATTCCAGATATGCGCCGGTAACTAACAAGGGAATCTGTCTAGGACACTCATTAACGCGGATATTGGCCCATCGGCCAACATCAACTGGGTCGCGACCATCTGGACTATGGGCTCTTCTATCGGTTTCCTCCTCGTCGGCCGTCTCTCAGATCTTTACGGCCGCAAGTGGATGGTCCTCGGCACGTCTCTTCTCGGTCTCATCGGATGCATTCTTGGCGGCACTGCGAACAGCGTTGCCATGTTGATTGCTTCCAACGGATGCAACGGTATCGCGGCTGCAGGCCAACTCTCCTTCGGTATTGTTCTCGGCGAACTCGTCCCCAACAAGCACCGTGGCCCCATCATCGGCTTCGTCTTCATGACCTCGATGCCCTTTGCGGTCTTCGGCCCCATCATCGCCCGCAGCTTGATCGAGAACACGGCGCAGGGCTGGCGCTGGAGCTACTACATCGGCATCATCCTGAGCACCATCACCCTGGCTCTTTACCAGTTCCTCTACCATCCCCCTACCTTTGAGCAGCTCCATGTCGGAAAGACTCGCATGCAGCAAACCAAGGAGCTCGACTGGGTTGGCATCTTCCTCTTCCTCGCCGGCTGTGTTCTGTTCCTCATCGGCCTCTCCTGGGGCGGAACCTCATACCCTTGGAAGAGCGCCGAGGTTCTCTGCACTCTCATCATTGGCATCCTGACTGTTGCGGCCTTCTTTATCTATGGTATGTGCTTGTTTTTCTTATTGTAGCATGCTGTGACTAACATCGTATCTAGAGGGATTCTTCTGCAAGGTCCAGCCTCTTATGCCCCCTCGCGTCTTCAAGAACATTGGTTTCGTCGCCATTGTCGCCATCGCCACCGTCGCTTCCATCGTTTACTACTCCCTTACCGTTCTCTGGCCCACCATCATCTCGACCATCTACACGACCGATTCCATCCAGATCGGATGGCAGAGCTCCGTCGTCGGCGGCGGTGTGCTTCTCGGCCAGGCTTTGTCCGGCCTCGCCATCTCATATGTCCCCAAGCTAAAGTACCAGTGTATTGGTGCTGCCGTCCTTGTCTTCTCCTTCGTCACCGCCATGAGCTCGCTGTCCAAGGACCGCTGGGCGGCCACCATCACCTTCGGCACCATCGCCTGCACGGCCGTCGGATACATTGAGAACGTTGCTGTCCCCGGTGTGACTCTGCTTTGGGGCCCTCAAGATATCGGGTTGGCTACTGGTGTCCTCGGGTCCATTCGTGCCCTGGGTGGTGCCATCGCCCAATCTCTCTACGTTTCCGTTCTCAACACCGAGCTCGCCACAAGGATCCCCGAGTATGTTACTCCTGCTGCGACCGAAGCTGGTCTGCCTTCCGACTCTCTCACTGCTTTGTTTGCGGGAATCACGGCAGGTGACTACTCCGCGGTCCCTGGCGTCACCGACAAGGTGGTCGCCGCCGTCAGCGCAGCGATGCTCAAGGCCTACACCAACTCGTTCCACATCGTCTTCTACGCCACCATCCCCTTTTCGTGTATTCTCCTCGTCGCCGCCTGCCTTGTCCCCAACGTTGAGAAGTACCTCACCAACAACGTTGCGAAGCGTCTGCAAGACAATGCGTTCCGCAAGGTTTCCACAGAGTCCCTGCAACACGTCGAGGAGCCCAAGAACGAGGACCGTAACGGCTACGACTCTCATGTTGCCTCAACTGTTTAGATGTATTGGATATCCTCTGGAGTGGCGTTTTTCTATCTGCCAGGAAATTTGTTTACCAGGCTTGAAGATACCCGAGGACTGTCTTGACATGGAGATCACTTCTCAGGGCCCTCTCTGGGGTGTATAATTTGTGTTTACTTATCCTGCAAGGAAACCGACAAAAAATCCGGTCGGGATTGTACATAGGAAGTTGGGATATTAATGAAGTCGCTTTAGAGATTGGTTTCTTGGATAGACTCGGCATGGCATTTCCATAGCGTATCCGCCTGGAGTTAAGAGACTCGAATTTGCGCACATGATGCTTCTTCCATTGGATTGATGACCCATTGCTTGTTTGTGACTTGAAAGTAAGTCGGATATCTCATCATGCGATTGCCTTTCTGTCTGGTACGGCGATTGATTTGATTGTCGCTCCAGCTATTTCAAGAACTGAAACCCCCATCTCGATTACAACCCCTTGAACGTCTATCCATAACCCGAACACCGTGCCACTGATCGCTCCCGCTATCATACACTAACGAATGAACACGAGTTCCTTCAGCCGCGCTTCGGTCTAGTTTCGCCCAATCTGTTAGTTCCCTTTCTGCCGCAACATGAAGATTGAAAACCTACCCGCAACCTTGGGGCGTGATGACACCATAGGGACAATCACCCGCACTCTTCGGAACGATCTGGTTGCTGAAAATGGGCGTGATGACGATGCCGGCACTCGCAACGGAGGTGAAGACCGAGAGGGCAGTGAGAAGGACGGTGGAGGTCTTCATCTTGAGGCGGTGTTTTGTTGATTGAGATGACGAGGGATGGATGTGGTGATGTGGAATTAATCCTGCCGCAGTACCGAGATTGGCGAGATGCCTTGAGATAAAAGGATGGAGTCGGCGGGTGTGAGTCGGTGTCGGAGCGGAGGTATTAGCGAAGTTCACGTCGACAGACCAGCTGTAGTACACAAATGCAGACGAACAAGAGGTATACACAAAAAATTGAAGTAAATATATTTGAAAATATGGCAAGCAACGTCAACGGAAAAGAAGGAAAAGAGAAGAGACAGAAATGCTCCCGAGGGCGGGAAAAGGGTGCGCGTCGCCAAACGTCTCCTGTCGCAGGGTCGTAGCGGTGGAGTTTCAGGCGGCGAAACAAATACGGGCCGTGACTGGTGGAGAGACATGGCGAGACGTTGTCCGTCCGGGCTCCAGTGGAGGAAAACGACACGCGACTCAGGCCATATTGGCCCCTGGCTAGGCGACAGTTAAGTTAGTTACTTAAGTTAAGCGCTGCGGATGGGGAATATGGCCTTATTAGGAAATGCGGCCGACCCGGGCCAAGAAAACCATCGGCCAATTGTTTCTTATTTTCGGCCTCTATTTGCATCCCGGCATTTCATTGTCCAGGTCGTGATTGACGGCGGTGTGCTATACGATGCGTCGATCCCGCTGTCAGACACCGTGCCGACTCCCTGATTAGAGCCCTCACTAACACCCCGGCTTCTGCACCTCTATTTTGATCTGATAAGTGTCGGATCCCGGACTCATCGTTGGATTGCACGGGAAAGACTCGGTGGGTGGGCCGCCCCGGAGCCTCCATCCACTCTGTACGACCCTCGACCATAGTGTTCAATACTCGAGTTCTTGACTAACGTTCTTGCTTACATGCCCGACGCCGTCCGCATGGGATTTGAACTGGGCTTAATGCGGTAATCATGACTTAAATAGCCGTCAGCCTTGGACCAGGACTTACATTTCCTCAGACTTCGTCTTGCAAGAGGGAGGAGTCAGTGGCTACTGCCCATCTTTGATTTCGTGTGTTTTGCACCTTTTTCTACACCCTTGTTTTAGGAAGGCCAACCTTTGGGAGTAGAACCGCCAAGAACGAGGGGGCAATGGAATGAGAAAGAAAAAAGGGAAGAGAGCAATCCGAAATGACGAGATTCTCCATTAGAATCGTTTCGCGCGTTGGACCCGGATCAGGAGAGACGACAAAATGCTGACGGATCTAATTACACTATTCTGGACATGGGATCATATCTTCACTGGAGTTGCTTATCGGGGGTTGTTTCTGGAAGCCATGGCGCTGAGAGGCACACCACATGCCACTTGCAAATCAGATTCTGGCGATGCTCAAAACAGTGATAGCTCGGGCAGGCAAGACGAAATGTGTCTACGTTAGAAACGTGGGAATACTTGGAGCTGGCGGGCTCCGAGATGTGGTTTTTAATGGGGATATTTTGAGGATCAATGACTGAGGGTGGCAGAAGCATCCAAGAGATGCTCAAAACCAGTCCACTCGCAACCTGTATGAACTTGATGGCATTGACGTTTTGTGCACCCATAATATATATGAAGCCTCTCTAATTATTTAACAAGTCCCCCTTCAGGAGAAACGAGGTTGCAGGTGACAGAGTTTCACGATACTGTGATGGCGCTTGGTTGATATTGCCTCGGACGAATCCTTAGCCTAGCAACATCAATTCACGATAATTCACACCACTGAAAATTCGATAAACTTGACGAAAATGGACGAAGAATTGATCCAAGATATTACAATGAGCACATTACACGTACAGTATACGTACAGTTGTATGCAGAGCCTCACTATCCAAGGCTCTAGCCCGACGCCAGATCTGCGCACTTGATGCTGACGCGAAGACACCCACCACCCTTCTCCATTGATTTAATTTGGTTTCCTCTCTCCATTATGCCATCGACACATTCCCGATCCATCCCCGTCTCGCCTTAAGTCAAGATCGCGGGCTGGGCAGGGGCAGCCACCTTGCCTGCAACAGGGGGTAGGAACATCGGGAGGTAGGTGATTGCCAGGGACATGACTGTGTTTTGCCAAGTTAGCAATGGTCCATAGGCCTTGGAGTATTCGGGACGGTAGGGGCGTACTGGACATGCCGACGGAGAAGTAACCCGGGGTGGTGGAGTTCTTCTTCGCGTCCTCGCTCTCGCCCAGCCAGCTCTGGATGGAAAAGACAACGGCGGCCCTATTGATTGTGGTCTCAGGTTAGCATCGTGGCCGTTGGTCGATCGGCGGGTCGATCGGTCGTTGACATCGCAGCTCTCGCAAAGTGGCCTTCCCACATGGCACATTTCCACCCGATACCAGCGCCGGGGCAATTCAGACGTACCATCCGATAAACTTATTCCGGGTGAACATGGCAGCCATGGGCAAGGTCGTGGCCATGGTGGAGGAGAAGTCGGTGGTATCGCTCTTGGCCTTGGGCTCCTGGTAGGGGATGACTGCTCGCGGGTTAGCTTTGGTCGCATCGCATCTCGTGGCATCGCATCGCAGGTCTCGGGAAGAGGGCTCGCCGAGTCGATCGGCAATGGCGTGAAGAGGGATGAGGGCAAAACTCACCCAGGTCGACTCGTCGGGAATCCTTGTTGGGCGCCATGGTCGCTGTTGCTGTCCTTGAGATGCGTGAGGAACTGAGGATGATGCTAGAGTGATGTCGCAATTTGGCTGCTGCGAGCTGTCGACTTGGGGGGCTGCACCGTCGCGGCTTGAATGAATGGGGAAGTTGGCGTGTGGGGAGGCGCTAGTCTGTTTGTGGATGTTCGTGGCGTGGCCTCGGTCGACCTGCTTTTATGGGAAGGAAGTCAACATCTCGAATGCTGAGATGTATATGTCAATTCAAACCTCCACAACACTTCACTCGTCATAAAGTATGATTTTTAAGCAAGAGCTGAGATGTTGGTTGAAAGAAAGAAACTGAACGCCGAATGCAACTCCCACGATCCTGGATTCCCGGTAACTACCATCTTGACCCTAACGCCATCTCACCACAACATGTTGCTGCAACACCTTGACTCTCCAGCCGCAATTAACCCTTGGAACTGTCCTGGCTCACTCTACGATCATCTCCTCGCCTCATCCCGCCGCTCACTCATTCGAACCCAGCATGTCGCTGATACGCTGCCTGCGTCGGGCGAGACATCTCTCGCGGTCGTAGTCAATGTCCTTCGCCACATCCATATCGAAGTGCTTCAAAACCTTTTCCATCTGTCCAAAGGCGGCGCGGCTCGACGTAAGGTTGAACGTCAGTGTGTCCACCAGAATTTGGGCATCCTTTGCGATTTCCTCCCGCTTGCTCGAAGTCGGCGCCTGCCCAACCCGCTGTTTCTTGGATGGCCTCGCGTCCTTCGAATCGATCGCCCCGAGGAGTCTGTCGGTCTTCCGCAGCAGCTCGTCTAGCTTGCCGTCTAGCTTTCCGCTGGATACGTTGAGGGCGCCATGGGAGATTGTGAGTTTGGTGACAGCCGCAGCAAATTCTCCGCGCACGCACTTTTCCTCATCCGCAGCGGCCTCGCGCTGCGCGTGTCGCCGCTGCTCTTGCCAGTCGAGCCATGCCATGCCCTTTTTCAGTTGCTCGGCGGCGTGCAGAATTCGTCGTTGCCCATACCCCCCTACTTCCGCTGCGATTAGATTCATCTCTCGTAAGGGCTCTTTGATCATGTCCCGCCAAGCAAGGAGCGGCTGAGTGACTTCTTCGTTGTCGGTATAAGAATACTCCTTCAGGTCCTCATATGCTCGGTGGACCCAGAACGTGAACTTCCGATCGTACCGCATGCCCCAAACATAAACCTTGCCCTTTGCCTTCTCTGTCAACACTCTGACCTTGTGTTCGTCAAGACAGGCGTTCATCTCGTCGCTGAGATCTCGCTGGTTGTAAAGGCTCCAGCCGAGCTTGTCCAGGACTTGGCGTCCTTGCTCCATCACCTCGTCGCGCTTGACCGTCTTCTTCTGCTGGAGTATAGGCGAGTTTGAGGGTGATGGAATCTCTTGAAACTTAATTGGCTCATTCACCCCATTTACCGCAACCCGCGGCTCCGGCTTGATCACGTTCACTCGCAGGAGGGTAGGTGGCTTTGACAATAGCTGGACTTGCACAGGGGTAAGGTGGGTATCCTTCGAATCTCTCACAAAAAGATCGTCTTCTTCCTGTTCCCGCCAGATGGAACCGGTCCGTGTCGCCAAAGTGGGAGGCTGTTTACGTTTCGACATCCTAGCTGTAGTACTTGAATCTGTCCAAGTGCCAATGAGCTAGAGCTTTAGGATACTTAGCCCAAGACGAGCTATTGAAGATGATTAGTATTCAACCGGCAATTTGAACTCATTTACTTACGAGGAAAGCCAGGCAAAGTGAATTTTGATGATAGAATTTCGTTTAGCCAGATGATGTTAAAACATGAGCATGGCCTTGATGACGAAAGCCCAGTCTGTGGTTCCGAATATGACCCAACAGCTCAAAAGGATACGTTGGTGACGGAGGTGTTGTCGTGCTGTGGAAGGAATCAAGTTTGAGCAACTGCCCATCAATGTGCCTGTGATTCACTGTCCCCATCTCCAGCTGGCCCGATACTGATTCATGACTTCTGGTTGATCTAGGAGTATTCCCAAAGCAATGGTACTGGGTAGCCTTGGAGGGCTTGGAGCAGAAACGATTGCAACATGGGTATGAGACGTACGTAGAACTCCTGTTATCATGTATTCAAGAGCTTATACTAAAGTTTTGGAGACCCCAATTGACAAACTTGAACTAATTCGTTTCTTCCGAAGCGTGCGTCGAGTGGCATCAAACATGGGCTGTGCTGCAGCATCTCCCTGTACATCATCATATCGTATCTCAAAACCATGCCAACACAGCCGCCCAAGCCTGTACATTACCCGTCATTCTCAAAACAATCCGTACCAAACGCCCAGAGATGAGTTACACCATTCCCCATTTGTTGTTGAATTACCTTCCTTTTGCATTTATTCCACCCGGATGATGACCTTCCACTGCAACGCCCCGGCCTCCCTAATAGCACATGCCAGGCATCCCCGCTTCCTGCGGCTGATGATGGCGTTCCACCCGTTCTGTGCGCAGATGGCGCGCACCAGGATCTCCATATCGGAGCCGAACTCGCGCTTCCGCGACTCGAAGTGCATCTGCGCGGCGGCGGGGAAGCTCCCCCTCCGCTGGACGATGTTGTACTTGGACGTGAGGCGCTCTCGGGTCGGGGACATGGGCGTCTCCGGCGCCATGTTGGTAATGCAGTCAATGACGAGCACGCGCTCGCTCCCGTTTCGAGAAGGGCGTCTTGTAGTGGACGGTGGGGCGGCGAGCAACTCCTCCAGCGGGACGTGCTGCCTCTTGAGTAGCTCTGAGACGTGCATAACCGTATAGTTAAAGTATTTGTGTAGGGGATGACCTGCAAATTCGGGTTAGCCGTGATTGCGAATTGTGCAGATGGGTAGTCTTACCAGTCCTATGCGCAGGGCGAGCGCTTTTCCCAAGCAAATCAGATCCAGAGACATCAATCTGCTGGATCGTCGGGCTGGTCGGGGACTTCAAGAACCTCACTCCCCGCGACGGTGCGCAGGGGTGGGCTGTGACGAAGTTTACATCATAAGCTAGTGAGAAGGAAAAGTCCTCTGCAGGGATTTGTCCATCAATGGTGACGGAGAAGTTGACGCTGGCAGGGAAGGAGAGAAGTTCGGGATCTTTAGTCGTCGAATTGGCCGTCTTCTCGGCGTTTTGCGGTTGCTTGGTGAAGGGTGCGGACTGGATCGAGTTTGCTGGAGCTACGAGGTCCAGAGACTGTAATCTCACGGACAGCAACTGAGGAGGAGTCGAGTAGGAGTTTTCGTGGGGGATGATGAAGTCGGCGGGAAGAACGGAATATTCGTCAGCGTCTCCAAGAATGGAAGACTCTTTCTCGATCCGCTTCTTCGCCCAGAGCCTGGCCTTCTTTCCGAGGTGAGCCATGTCTCCTAAAACATCGTTAGTTTCTTACCATGTCATAAAAGCACAGGGAGAACTCACCTGGCACATCCGCGACCTCGATGTTGACCCAGCCATCGCTTTTTCCCACGGGTAGAATGTCGCTTGAGACCCATCCCATGCATTCAGCCGATCCCGATCCTGCGGCAATAACTCGGCCGACAATGCATGACGTGCTCCAGAAACTCTTGCCTGAGTACACAAAGCCTCCGCACAGGTTAGCCACGGGACCTAGGGCCTCCATTGCTGCAGGGTCATTTTCGAGAAGTGTCGCCATCAAGAAGTGATGGAGGCCATCGCCCGGGAGCATTAATCCGAAGATGTATGATTTGGAGAGCCATCCCGACGCATGCAGAGTCGCTGCTAGTTTCCCCCGGCGAAGCTGGATCCTGTCGTACGGACTCTTGGGGCGGTCCCATGGTCCAAAGTACGAGTCCCGCTTCGTTCCATTCGGCTGTGCGCTCGGGGTCGGGGTGGGAGTAGGCAGGGCTGGGGTGCCAGCTGAGTTGCGCAAGTTTTCGGAAATCAAAGCCTCGTAAGTGTCGATTCCGGGCCAACGTAGCTTCTTTGCGAAATGGGTGAGGCCGTCTACTTGACGTGGCCCATGACGTCCTTTGATCGTATAGCGATAGGTGGAGGGCGCTTTCTCCTCCTCATGGTGTCGCAGGGTGATTTTGCTGACAAGCGAGCCCAACCATCCCGCTGAAGATGGACTGGAGCTTACTGGGGGAGGTCCTTCGATTTTAGTCAGGTCAATATTCTCGAGCCAGCTCCGGGCAAGATGAAGCGACCACTTGACCATTCGGGTCGCGGCCCTCTCAAAGTGAACGACGTCAATGGGTCGGAAAGACTCGACGCCATATTCTTCGCCTTCAGTAACAGCATCCAGGCGAATGAGAAGCTCAGTGGAGACAAGAATCTGCATGAGAAGCCAATATCGTTCCTCGGCGCGTTCGCCGGTGTGAGCGGCATCATGGATCGATGAGGTGTCCTCAAGATCATCGCCATGTCGCCCTCCCCACAGGATCTGGCCCAGTCTGATCCTCCACTCAACATGCGTAAAATCGAACCAGACATTGGAGGTGCCAAGACACTTGAGCAGGGCATTGATCTGATTGGTCAGGCTATAGTGGTCACGCTTGTCCACCACGACGTTGCATGGGCGCATGAAAGTGTGGAAGAGATCCTGGTAAGTTGAAACGGAGGTCCTCTTGCGAAGGTTGTTGTCTCGGTAAAGCTCGCCGTTACGCTTGAGCCTGTTGAGGATGTCAGTCTCGGGGAGACGACGCAGGTGCCCAATGGGAGATAGCATGCGCTCGCGCGCCTCGACGATGACCTGGGCCTTTTTGCCGACACTGTCGAAGCCGAACTGCTCTTCCTCGAGGGCGTCACCAACAGCCAACTCGAGGGCGGCCTGGTAACCCATGGAGCCCTTCTCGAGGCCCTGCATGCTCAGCATATTGGGACGCTCGCGACAACGGATGAAGAAGTGGGCTTTGCGCGAAGCAGCGACTTGCTTCTGGGCAATGTCATCATGGTTAATGTCCCTGGTGAGATGCGGCCAGGCGGTAACACCGCTCCAGGCACGGTCTTCGACCTGGACATGGTCGGTGAGGTCGCGGATCTCCAATGCCTCGTCAAAGGGGAAGGCGACGCTAGGGTGAGGCGCGCCAGAGCAATGGCCTTCACTGCGGGCGAAGTACTGGGGCGCTCCAGAGAAGAGCTTCTCGATCTCGCCTTCGGTTAGAGTGGCCATGATTTTCTCCAGCCTAAGGACAGGTTTGCCTGAAGGAAAAGCAGGAGAAGTGGGAGTGACCACCTCCGTTCCCGGGGTCGGGGGAGTAGGAGGGAGGGGCTTGTTCGGATCTGGTGGTGAACGCGGGGAAGCGAGAGGCCGAGGCCGTGATGGCGAGTGAGGAGGTGGGGCCTGGAAGCGGACGGTTCGGTCGGGAGGAGCGGCGCGGTGTGGAGGAGATTGCGGGGACCAAGTGGGTGAGACCTAGAAGGGCGGGAGAAGGGCGCGCATCAGCACAACAGGACGCGAGGATAAATATGACAATTGAAGCCAAGAATGCGCGGCAATGGCGAAGGGGAGGGGGGATGAAATGGGATCGAGCCAGCTGGGAGGGGCAGAGGGCCGAAACCCAACTGCAGTGGACGTAACAGCACGATGGCGGGTTCTGGAGAGGGAAAAACGCCCCAATTGCGCCGCGCCCACGGCCGTCGCAGGGCCGTCGCATGGCCCATGGCCTGAGAAGCAAGGACACACCAGGACGGGCCAGGACAGGCAAGGAGAGGCAAGGCCGTGCAGCGGGATCGTCCTGGCACGCGACTCGATGGGCCCGGGTAATGGGCCACTATAGGTCACCACCGGCCACCACAGGCCACCACAGGCCACCGCAGGACGGAGCCGGCCTGGGCTGAGGAGGTGCCCCAGTGGCCTGATGCGGGAGATGCCACCTGCAGCGCCTTTCTAGGGGGAGGGGGCACTTGGGTTTGGGGGGGTGTCATAGGCTGCTGTCGGGCGTGCCGGTCAAGGTTTTTTGGCTTACACTGTTTCCGGGGCTCAACGGGCTCAACGGCCCCAAAGGCGACTCTGGCGAACAAGCATTCTCGCGGCGGTCCTTGATGCGCTTCCGCGCCCGGGAGAGCAGACCCTGGAGGCGGAAATCTGGCATCGAAAAGCGGCCCCCTGATCCAGCCTCATCGCGCCGGCTGGGGATGGCGCCAGTGTTGTCGCCAGTGTTGTCGCCCGCATTGTCGCCCGCATTGTCGCCAGAGTCGTACTCGTCGTCCTCTTCCAGAAGTGTGGCGTCTGGCCGTTGCTGGTGACGCGGGGAAAGCAGCGCCGGGCCAATCTTATTCTCCAACGTCGACTTGGTCTTCCTGTGGCCACTGGACGGCTGTCCGGTCTCGACTGTCGATTTTGATTTCTTGTGGCCGCCCGCCCGAAGAGACGGCCGCGACTTGGTGAGTGGCATCCCGCAATGCTGGTGGTGCTGGTATTGCAATGCCCCACGACTGCAGCTGCAGCATCGGCCACGGCGACGACGACGGCGGCAGCAGCGGCGACAGCGGCGGCGTATTGTCGGCGTGTGCGGACGTGGATGCGGATGTCGACGCCAGCGCAAGTCCGGGTGTCAGTGGGACGGCGACCTCGGAGAGACAAGTCAAGCGACGTTTGTCTATCAGTCGGTCAGCCAAGTTCCGTGTTTTGCTAACTCTCCAGTTGTCAGTCAGATGCTTTTCCTCCAGCATGAGAAATCAATCAACGCATCGGATGGCATGGATGGGGAGATTGGGTCGTTAGGCGAAGCTCGTCCGGCCTAGTCCAGCGCATCCGGGACGGAGGTCCGACTGCGCGATGGAGACAGACGGAGCCAGCAAGCGAGACCAACAAGGAGACGAGGATGACGGCGACGGCGACGGCAATGGCGACGAAGAAACGATGACGACGACGACGACGACAAAACCACAACGTCAATGGCCACGATGGCGGGAAGGGGGGAGGGGACGACCGCAGTTATCTCTCAACCATCAACGAAGACTACCAACACCACCGTCAGTCCACATACGTACATTGCTCAGCATATATCCCCTCGGGAAGCCCTGCGGGCTGTCTCAGGTTGTCGTCGAGGCGCACAAACCCGCGCACCAAAGATACCACGATCCCCGTCCTTTCTCCTTTGACCTCGTACTCCGGTACAACGTCCCCACGCCGCGCAGATATCTAGGGACTGGGGCCGTGGAACCCGGGAGCGTGGGCTAAATCGCGGATCTGCGATTGGCGTTTCCCGTGAGTCGTCCAGGGCACATAACTCGACTCTCCTCGCAATGGCAGCCGACCGGGATTCCGTAGAATTTCCGACACTGCCGTGCCGCCTCGCAGCTTATATATCCATTCAGGCCCCCCTCCATCCATGTGGGAAAGCTTCTAATCGACTCTGTCAGCAGGGTCTCCCACCCGACCTGTGCGTTGGGTGGCTTCAGAGTGGAGGGCGTCCGTGGAGCACGAGAAAAAGCGCCGCTGCACCATCACCAGGGCAGCCGGGGTGTTTCGAAACCACCACCGCCCGCCAAAAGGTGCCCACCGCCCTTCTGTAAGATTCCTGGAAACCGTCGCTAGCGGTCCCTGGACGCAAATAACCGTTGGTGCCGTGGTGGCTCCTAGTGAACTAGAGGGTTTAAGCCTTTAAATCCGGCCATGTTGGGGGAGTCTCTGAGCGTTCTCCGAGCGTCTGAACCGCGTTGCTGAGGAAATCACCAAGAAATCCTTGACCATCTTGTACAACCAACCGTCACCCGGAGCATCACTGGCACCGTGGTTGTCGGTCTAGCTGCAGATTGGCCGGGGACTGCATAAACCGCATCCTGCTCCCGCCCATCCTCGCCCCCGTATTGCGGCGTTTTGTTTGTCCGCAGAGACCCATATTCATGTTTGAGGTTGCATCTCTGCCATGAGAGTGCGCCCTGTCAATCGTGTGCTTGTTTGCCTCAGCTCCTCCTCCCCCATGTATCCCTACCATGCTTCCTGTAGGTACCGTACCTGAACTGTCCGGCAATATCCCTACCTCAACGGGAATCAACCTCAACTTGGGCGACTCCACCCCTTCCACACTCTTCCACTCTTCCGTCGTACTCCGCCCTCCTCAACCCTGCGCTTCTTCATCATTTTGCATTTACATGAAACGACGGCTGCACCCGGTCGCAGCCGTTCGGTCCCATTGGAAACTTCGAAACACGCGGCAGCTTGCAGCTACGAACCTTCTCAACATTCTCCCTCATAGGGATGGCTGCATCTTGTGGTGGCACGGCAATTAATACGGGAAGATATGTACTGTACCCACAGGTACACAATCAAGAGGCGCAAACTCCAGCCTGCTGGTCTGCCCTCCAAGTCGCTTGTCGCGATGGCTGCCGCGCGCCGCAACCGTGCGCCTTTCAGACTCGCCCAGTCCCCGGAACAGGTTGTTTCCTTTGTGGTATCTCCTCCCTGGACGCCCGCCCGACGCCGTGAATAGCGAATGCGAAGCCCATCACTCTCTCTCCTTTGTCCTCCCTCTCTCGTCATCATAGCTTTTCACCGCCTATCCCTTCTCCTTTGTCCACGGCCAATGGCACTAGTTGTTAAACATGCTCCCCCAGCTAGAGCTGACATGCGTGGGGCCTTGACAGCGTTGAAGCATTGGTAAGACAGAATCGAGCCCGCTTCATGCCGGGGGTGTATCATGCACCACCACGAGCAGGTACTTGGAATCCGGGACAATCACCAGCTCCTGTTTCCGTGTTCGCAACCGAAGAAGCTTCACCTCGTCCTGTCGAGCATCAGCCGTGACTCCTGATCCACACTCTTGTGGAGGGAAAACCCACCTCAGTATCCAGCTCTTGCACAAGGCTTCCCGAGTTGTTCACAAAGTTCCACACCATTGCTGCAAACTGATCTACCCCTCGTGGCTGGTCCTCCTCCGGCACAGCGGTGGTGTCGCTCGAAAGGGACGAGGCCGTCGATGTGGTTCGCGATTTCGTCGTTTGGAGCTCGTCGATTTGCCCGCTGGTCTTGAGAATGGCACCGGTCGCTCGGTCGAGAACGATGCTGGCCTTTACGCCGGGCTTCTTCGATAGACGGCCCAGCTTCTCCTCAAGGGGGTCTTGCCCATTAGCCTATCCCTAGTTAGAGAAGTCCACCTCGTAGAGCTGTCAAGATGCGTACAATGGATGAGTCGGCCATCCTGGAAGCTCTGTGAACGGATGGGAGAGGATCCGGTCTTTGGGATCAATGCACTGGTGAGAAAAGACGGCGCGAGTCTCACGAGAGCGTAGCGTCCTTGGTATCGTTGTCGCGACGGCACCATCCCCTAACAACGTGATTGCGATAGCACAGCTCTCTAGGTGCGTGGGGCCACGGAGCCAAGTTCTGCCGTGCCACACCGCCAAAATTTCGGGGCCCCGCCTAAAGACGCTCTAGGAAATCTTGTACAAACAGATCAAAGAACTTTGTATGCAAACTTCTGTACGGACATCTCTCTGTGAAACCCATAAATTCTCTGCCTGTTCCATCCCAATTCGAGTCGCTGTGGTATTTTGTTGTTAGGCCGCCAAAATGGGTTCCAGCCAGAGGAAGAAAAATGAGAAGAAGAAGGACTTCCAGGTATACATCCAATGGCTTCACTCCGTGTCAAGACAGAGTCTCACAATTATGGCTAGAAAACGAAGTTCAAGGTCGGCAAGGAAAAGGCCAAGGCCTCCAACTTCACAGATACTAGCTTCAAGTCCAGAGGTACGAGAGCCTGCCCCGCCAACGCACATCCCCATGCTAATAGCCGCAGCAATTGTTATGGGCCAGCAATCTCTCTCAACAACAGCCCCAGATGTCATTCAGCAATTCAAGCACAGTCTCTCTCTCGCCTCGTCGTCAAAATCTGACAAACAACGAAGAGAGTCACTCGCATACCTCACTGGGCAGCTCTCATCAGAACCTCCTGTTAACCCAGTGGGAACACACATGATCCTACAGAAACTGTTGCCACTCATCTCCGACAGCTCGACGCCCGTGAGAACCCAACTCCTGAAGCTCCTCCAAACGCTTCCCGCGGCAGAAGTTAGGCACAGCACAGAGCAGGCCATTATGTTCATTCGAGCTGGCATGACCCATCTGTCAGCAGATATCAGCAACGATACTCTTGGAGTGATGGAGTGGCTGCTAGAAGTTGCCGAGGACGACTTGGTGACATGCCCAGGAGGATGGGTCAAGACCTTGAACACCTTTTGTGCCTTGATGGGCTGGGCGCTGTCTTCTAACAACTTAGGATGGTCCTCGGCCCCACGCGCCGGCCTCAAGGCCAAGGCCGCTACAACCTATGCCCGTCAGATTGCTACACTAGCCAAGTTCCTCGAGGCTGGGCTGCGACCCGAGACTACCATACCCGAGGATGAGTCACAAAACTGGGATAACCTGTACCGAATCCCAAGGGACTCGAATGCCTTTGAGTACCTCAACCTGTACGGTTCCCGCCGAGACGAGGATGGCGAGATGTATCCCAACCGAGAAGCCAGACAGCGCGTCTTTGAGAAGAAATTCTTGGCAGCAATGGTGAAGGGAGCCGACCAGGCGAAGAAGGAGGGTGGTGCAACTGGACGAGCTGCTTCCACTCTGGACAAGGTGTTGCAAGAAGGGATGGGAGACTATGAGAGTTTGACAGCCGTGGATACACAGGATCTCCTCAGTCTCTGGTGAAGAATCCCACGAGGATTTTAAACCCCTCAACGTCGCCCCGGACCCCCATGCCATTCCGAGCCGGGCGCCTTACTTCATTCCAAGTTCTCCCTCGCAGTTATCGGACGGCCTATTAACTTTACCGAGAGAATCGAGAGAATCGAAGCGTCGTCGGCGGACAAACTTTACCGTTACAGTTCTTCGTCTCGAGGCGCAACCCCTCCGACGATCCTTCCGTTTACTCAACTCCGATTCAGTCTACGCCATGGCTCGAATGGGTTACTGTTCTCAGGTTATGAAGAATGGTTCGTGGTTGAAGCAAAGAGCTGTAATCCAGTCGACTTGCTTCAAATACAGTACACAGTTCCAGACTATTTCTCGTTTTAACACAGAGGTATCTCGTCAGACTGAAGAATTGATTGAGTGTGATACAGGGAGTATTTTGCACAAAATATAATTGAGCAATTGGCGAGGTCGAATTATCTAGGCTGTTAGCAGTTCCGTCGTCTGAGAAATACCGTCGTCTGAGGAATACCGTCGTCTGAGGAATACTATCGTCTGAGGAAGACTATCGCCAGAGGAGATATCTGTCGGAGCCGATTTCTCAGGAGGCAAGACCTTAAGCCAAGAGAACTCAGTACTCCGTGGAGAATAAATACAATGCTATCCCAATAGAAAAGAATACAAGCCTATATTTAAATCTGCCTGCTATTCCTCAAATTCACTTTTCTATAGTAAATCCAGTTAAAAGTATATATCTAGAAAAGCTTTCAATTCCTCAGTTTCTCAACACCACACAAATATTCACTTTCCACTCCTGCAGCTCTTCCACTCCTCGCGGCCACTTACACTTCCAGTAGTCCCTTGCCTGCAGACGGGACCCAGGTTTGTTTCTCCTACCGTGTGCAGACGCGTCGCGTGAAAGCTGGACAGCTGTGATTCACGGATTTTGGAACAAAGGGGTGGGCCCCCCAACACCGTCTACAGCTGGTGTCGGCTGTTACTCAAACATCGCCTGCCCCGATATGAACTAACTCTAGGCCACTGTTTGTCAAACTTAGCGGGCAAGGCAGCTGGCAACTGGCAGCCGGCAGCCAATCCTAAGGAATTGAAGAAAGGGCCACCGCCTCCATTGGCTTAGGTTCCTGCCTTGCGAGGCACAACGCGTGTGCCTATAAAACTCCCCCCCCCCTCGCCTCGCCTCCCACCTTCCCCCTTCATCTCTTCTTTACACCTTCGGGACTTTTCAGGCACCCACTCAGTTTGACGCATTCCTCAACTTCAATCTCAGGGGAGCAACGTGGAGTTGTGCCCTCTGACTTGAGTTGGGATATTGTCAACAGGTATGTTATCATCTCGTTCTCCTCAAGTAAATGTTCCCCGTACGAGTTGATCTTGTACACCCCCTCCCACATCCATTTTGTCTCAGCTCTCTCACGTCAAGAGAAACATAGCCTCTGTCTGCTAACACCACATCAACAGAGAACCGTCCTTGACTCGCAGCCAAGCCTCGAGAACTCAGTTCCCACACCCTTCTCCTCGACCACGAGACGTAAGTTTTCTCCCAAACCATCTCCAGGTGACTCCATTGTGCATGCCCCTTACGATCCCTTTGCCTTGTCCAAAATTCCATCCTTTCTTCATCCTCTTGCTCTTGATTGTCTCTATCCTGTCTTGAAGAAACACATGGTCCGTCACTAATCGCAACAATAGCTTACTGCCACCAACTTGCTTGTGGATCACTTCTCCAAGATGGCCGATCCTTGGACAACCGGGGGTCTCAGTGAGGCTCTCCCTCAGCCAGCCGTGGTCGCTTCTCACGGTAATGACCATGCCTCGGACGCGCCCGCTGCTGGAAACGGAGATGCTTCCGATCCCAAGTGGACTGAGCCCCAGAAAATTGATTACACCGCGATGGCCCCGGAGAACTACGACCACGCTTGGGGCTCGGATGCTCCCACCTACGTATGGAAGGACGAGTATGGCGATATTGGTCCGAAGTACCCAGAGCTCGAGCTCGAGCTCTTTGGGGAACCCTCGACTCGTAAAGAGCGAACCGGCCTCGACTTTTCCACGTAGGTCTCCGTCCTCTACTTTGTTGACTTCGTCTTACTTTTCACAGAATCGAGAGCATTGAGGTACAGCAGGAAGGGCCGGTCAAGATTGACCCAGTCAGATCTTTCCGTGATGCTGGGCTTCATCCTGCCATGCTGGAGAACGTTGAGCTTTGTGGATATGACAACCCCACTCCCATTCAAAAGTTCACCATCCCATCGATCCTCCAAGGACATGATGTGATTGGTATCGCACAGACTGGTAAGATCAACTCTACTTCATTGCAACTTCCTCTGCTCACGGAATCTTAGGTTCGGGAAAAACCGCCTCGTACCTCATTCCAATCTTGAGCAAGCTCATGGGCAAGGCCAAGAAGCTTGCGGCCCCTCGACCCAACCCTCTCACCTTCCAAGAAGGTGTTGATGAGGTTATCGCAGAGCCTTTGGTCTTGATTGTTGTCCCAACCCGTGAACTAGCCGTGCAGATCTTCAACGAGGCTCGCAAGTTCTGCTACCGCACAATGCTTCGCCCCTGTGTTGTGTATGGAGGTGTTCCTACTCGACAGCAAAGCTCCCTTCTAACCAAGGGTTGCGATGTTCTCATTGGTACCCCCGGTCGATTGACCGATTTCATCCAACGACCCCATGTTCTCACACTTCGACGTTTGAAGTACATGATCTTGGATGAAGCTGATGAGATGCTCAACCAAGACTGGGGTGAGGCTCTTGACATGATTCTCAACGGCGGAGGTAAGATTTCCCCCGCGCTTTTACTTTACTTACTTACCCGTGTTATGCAGAACAAGATGTCGGTAACGTCAAGTTTGGGCTCTTCTCTGCCACATTCCCCAAGGGTGCCCGCGATCTGGCCAAGCAATACCTCGCCGCCTCTCACGTCCGATTCCGAGTAGGTCGAGCGGGAAGCACCACGACCAACATCAAGCAAATCGTCCTCCAAGCTGAGAGACATGAGAAGCGCGAGCTTCTTATTGGGCTCTTGGAGGAAATGTCCGGAATTCGCACCATCATCTTCGTGAACAGCCGCCAGGAAGCGGACAACTTGGACGATTTCCTCTTCAACATGCAGCTTCCAGTCACTTCCATCCATAGTGACCGCACACAACAGGAGCGAGAAGCTGCGATGCGAGGATTCCGCTCTGGTAATGCGCCGATTCTGATTGCAACTGGAGTTACCGCTCGTGGTATTGATGTTCGCAATGTGATGCATGTCATCAACTACGACCTTCCCTCCATGGACCATGGTGGTATCGAGGAATACACTCATCGAATCGGTAGGTCTCTGCTTTTCACTCGCATAGGTTTCACTCTAACTGATTTCTAGGTCGAACTGGTCGCATTGGACATCGTGGTGTCGCAACCTCTTTCTATTCGGAACGTGACGAGGCTCTTGCGAGTGTTCTCACTCGAACTCTGTTGGAAACCGACCAGGAGATTCCTGATTTCCTCCAACCTTATGTTCCTGAGGGTGAGGCCCGTGAGAACTTGAAGTTTGAAGCGGACTCGGACTTTGATCCACAGGACGTCGGCGGGGCCGCTGGTGGCGATGCCTGGGCACCAGACTCGGGCGATGCTGCCGGCGCTGATGACAACAGCGGAGGCGGAGGTGGTGGAGATGCCTGGGGCGGTGAGGCTGGAGGTGGCAGTGTCAATGCTGACAACACCGGCGATGCTGGCAACGGCGGCGGCGGTGGTGGTTGGGGTGGCGGTGATGCTGGAAACACCTCAGCGGCCGCGGATTCGTGGTAGATCGCTCTCACAACACCCTGCTGAACTTGGTGTTCAGGCACCAGCATGTTTCATGTCTAGCTTTCTGGCTGGATGAAGCTTTGTCGAATGAGGATTTGGTGACAAGTGGAAAGATTTCTAGTGGTAAATGCTTTGAAGTGAGTTAGCATTTCGGAGGCGTGACTAGATAAACTTGCAGTTCACAAATGGGCAATGGACAATGAATGGCATCTTGTGCTTGCTTTCCTTCACACTATTGTGAAATGAACGGTGACTGTGTACGACAAGTGAGTCTAATGGGGAGATGATGTGATGAAAGAGGGGCTGTGGCACGGATGATTCAACGGGATGAGTGAGGTCTCAAACTACGATTCTGGGGACTGGACTTATTTTTGTTCATTTTTATTCACCCATCTAGCTCTCGCGGGGGTAGGTATTGTACTATTAATTTGAAGGGGTATATATCCCTCCACCAGCCGAGACGCACCATGCTAACCGGGGTGGTATTAAATCCCCGTACCCAAAACTTGATGACTATGCTGGATAAGTGCGTACAGTCAGCCTGGCAGTTTTTGTTCTGTGTTGTCTCATTTCTTCAACAAGAGACATTGTGCAGTCTACATGTTCTTGAACATTTTGGATAGACCCTGAAGCTTGCGGCCAGGCGCGCCGTAGCCGACCTCAACAACGCCCTGGGTAAAGGCCCAGCTAGAGTCTTGGCTGGCGACGGGGTACTGGACGGGGGGCGGGATGGCCGTGCGAATGCCAAGCCAGCCAAAGCGGTCCTCGCAGACAGCTTTTGTGTTGCAGAGACCACGGAGGCCCTCCTCACCGGCGAAACGACCGTAACCGGAGCCACCGGCGCCGCCGAAGGGCAGCTGAACGGCGTAGTAGGCGGCAAAATCATTGACGGCGACCATACCGGCGCGAAGGCCGCGGACGATGGGCTGGAGATTGGGGTCTCGCTCGGAGCCGTGGACGGAGGCGCCGAGGCCGAAGTTTGGAGCGTTGGCGATGGACAGGATCTCGGCGGGGGATGAGGACTTGGCGCGGAGGATGGTGAGAACAGGGGCAAAGCACTCGTGTTGGGCAATTCCCATGTCCGGGGTGACGTCGACGATAAGCGTGGGCTGGAAGTAATGGCCCTGGGGGTAATCGGGGTGGTTGTATCGTTTGCCGCCAGCAAGGAGACGGGCGCCGTCGGAGACAGCATCGGCAATGAGCTTTTCAAGACGATCGAAGGAGGCATCGGAGATCATGGCGCCGACATCGGCCTGGGGACCAAGACGAAGGGCCTTGACGCGAGGCTCAAGGATTTGGACAAGCTTGTCGTGGGCAGCGGGTGCGGCAATGACGCGTTCAATACCGATGCAGTTCTGGCCGGCAGCCTGGAAGGTGCCACGAAGGATGATCTCGGAAATGCGCTTCAGGTCATGAGCAGCAGAGTCGAGGATGACGAAGGGGTCCTTGCCGCCGAGCTCGGCGACGACGGGCGTTAGGCTCTTGGCGGCGCTGGCAGCAACATGATGGGCGACGGACTGGGAGCCGATGAAGGTGATATGGCTGATCCCTGGGTGGCAAGTCAAGTGGTTGGCCGTCTGGGGCCAGCAGACAATGGTCTGGACGAGCTGGGGGTCGAAGCCGTGGGCGACAAGGGCACCGCGAGCGATGCTGGCGAAGTAGGCGCTAGACCAGGCCGTCTGCTCCGAGACCTTGACCAGGATACCGTTACCGGAGAAGAGGGCGCTGATGATGGGGCCCATCATGTTGTGGAAGGGGTAGTTCCAGCTGACGAGGGCAGCCACGACTCCAAGCGGTTCATAGTGCACCGTGTTGCGCTTGTACATCATGAGCAGGTTGGACGGGCGGCGTGATGGCTTGAGGGCCTTCTCGCCGTGGGCCAGCGTCCACTGGATCTTCTCAACGGTAACGAGAATCTCGCCAAGTTGGGCGTCCACCATAGTCTTTCCACTATCGAGGCCGGCGATCCGGCAGATCTGCTCGGCATTGTCGAGCACATACTGCATCAGCGAGCGCAGGACCGCCTTGCGCTGGGCAAACGTCGTCTCAGCCCATACCTTCTGGGCCGTCGCGGCGGCGTCGACAGCGCGGTCAATTGCGGCGGGCGTCGACGGGTTCACGAGGCCGAGGAACTGGCCAGTCGCGGGGGCATAGCACTGCACGGCCGAGCTGCCGGGGATCTTGATCGAGAGGGACTCGACCGTCGTCGCGGGTTCGGGCATCTTGGGCGCGGGGACAGTGTATCGGCGGGGAGTTTGGTTGGATGCGGACGCGATGCGGATGAGGACGAAGGAAAAGGCCAGAGCTACGGCGGTAGCTGCAGCGGCGAACACCTCCTGGCTATAGAAGAGAAAGTGTCAGTTAATTTGTGAGGCCAATTGGTCAACGGAGCAGACGTACGACATGTTGAAGTGGGTGGCGGCATAGTCGCCGCTCCAGCGCCAAGCCGCGAGAGGAAACGGCTCGGGGGGGTCCATGGCGCAGTCAAGGGCTCAATTGGCGTATACTATCGTTCTCCGTCGGCCTGCCCTGGAGATTTGACGCGAGCTCTTCGTCGCGGGCTGTCGAGGGTTGAAGGTTGAAGGTTGGAAGTTGGAGGTGGGCGGTGGGTGAAGGTGCAGCACAGCTCTGGTGGAGAGTGGCAGTCGCCGGTCCTGGTGGGGCCGGGATATTCCCCTGCCAAGAATGGGCTGTCGGCAAGTCCCATCGTATTCGTACCTGCAATGCAAACAATTGTCGAATGATCGCAGGACGCAACGGCACCGCAGTTACACAGGCCTTGTGGATGTACCTCGCACTAGAGTAATGGCTGTACGTCAGACACTGTACGCGTGGAGCACGGAACAGGGGCATATTGTCTTATCAATCTACACCACAGCCACCGCAACACGCATCAACATCACACACCACCAACAACCACAAATTACAACACTCAGGCACATGCGACGGACTTGAAATTAGATATCTTCGTGTTGGGGGTTGGTCTCCAAAAAGGAAAATGAAGCGACAAGCTATTATGATACTGTATGTACAGTGCACTCGTATCCTTGGGCCCGTCTCCTTCTCCTTGGGCGGCCAGGCGTCCTCCGTCCCAACGCCAATCCATCTTCCTCAACTTCTGTCTTTGCTCTTCTCTCTTCTCTCTTCCCTTCCTCGCCATCCCCTTTACACGCAATGAAACCAGTCCTCATAATGAATGAGTTTTTGCCGCTTTCTCAGCTCTAAAATGCGAAAATGAAGAAAAACGAAGAGATAAGAGATATAAAAGAAAAAAAAAGTCAACAGTACGGCAAAAGCCCAAGCAAACAATCATACAAAGCCAAAAGACACCTTTTGCATTTCCCCTTTCAGAACGCCCTGCGTGTGTAAGACAGACTCCCCTCCAAAAAAATGCGCGGGGGACAAGCAACCAAAAATCAACCCCTTTCCTTCCGTGACGCGCTCATATAATGCGGACGCCGGAGCTTGGAGCTCCCTCAGGATTGGTGGAGAAGCCACTCGTAGATCGCTCGTGCAGATCATAAGTGCATCAAAGGCCTCGTTGCGGGCCCGGGATATCAAAACAAGAAAAAAGACGACTCTCAAAAAGGGTTTTCCGATGGGTGTCACCCGTCGTGAGTGTGGTAATATACAAGGAGCGTCAGTGTTCGGTGTGTGGCAGGGTGACGCCAAATGATGTCCTGTTACCAGGTATCACTGGGCATCCCCTACTGTTGGGCACTCTTGGAGAGTGACAGTCCGCGCAATCGCGGTCGGAATCGGCCGCCTTGAGACTGGCTTGACTCGATTCGCGACAGTCGCGCCGCTGATGTGAAGTCGCTACTGGCCTCATAACTTGGTCGCACGCGGTCCATGGATGCCCGCATACGGTCGTATGATGGTCGAGCACGATCAATGGACGGCCGTCCCTGGACTGGAATGTCCATTGACATGCGAGGGCCGGTATAGTTGGTCGAGTCGCTGCCGTTTTGACTATGTTGGTTATACGTAGTCGTTCGGGTAGCTGTCGAGGGCGGGTAGATGGGTCGCAAGTCTTCGTCGACGCTGCCGTACGTTACATGCTTCGCCTTCCTTGATTTGGAACTGTTTGATGACTTGGACTTGTTGCTCCTGCAGTCGGCCACGGTGGTATCGTCGGCGTCATCCGTGGGTGACAGGTGCGAGAACTTGCCCATCCTCTCTTGCTCACGAATGATATCGACGTCATATGGCCAGTACACCTTCTGCAGCGCCTTGATGGCGAATCGAGGGAATAGGCAAATGACTGGCACAATGAAGAAGATGGCCCAGAACGTCGCCTCCCGGTACACCTGGCTCGCCGCTCCATAGAAGAACTCGGATGAGGTGAAGGAGGTGTACACTCCGGTCCAGAAGAAGATGAAGACGTCGCTGATAACGACAATCAACACCATCAGCCAGTCCCATCGGTAGGTGTTGATGAGAATGTACATGTTGATCGTGATGATAGCAGGGTGAGCAACATAAGCACCGAATCGGAGTCGATCCTCAAGGCCGAGGCCATTCATGCCAATGAAGGTACCGTCCATGAAGAGCAGGTATGGGATGAAGAAGACCATGACAGATTGGTATATGCCGTCAACCATGTACATCCTAGTTTTTTATGTTAACATCGTCCTAAAATCATCGTTATTTATCAACATACCAGAACTTGGACGGAGTCCACTCCATTCGCTCAATGCCACGGCGATATAGCTGTGGCACCTCCAGCGAGACCTTGTCAGATACATCCTGGTCCAGAATACCCATAATGCCGACGGGAAGGGAGGTGAAGAAAAGATTGAACATCAGAATGTAGGTCATGTCGAAGAGGTAGGTCATGTCGAAGTCGCAGAAAATCTCGAACCAGAAAATAGCGAAAGTCCACACCATGTTCTTGTAGAAGAAGTTACTGATGCTCTCTGCCAATCGACGGTAAGACCACCGACCATGCACCAGCACCAGTCTTGAAAGGAATCGGAACTGAGCGACGGCATAGTCAGAGGACATGGCGGCCTGTTGGCCTTCCACACCCGCGATACCAACACCAACATCAGCTTCCTGGATCATGGCCACGTCGTTGGCACCATCTCCGATGGAGAGGGTCATAACGTCAAGGCCATTCTTTACCATGGCGACGACGGCAGCTTTCTGTGCGGGACTGACACGGCAACAGAGGACTGACTTGCATTGCTTGCAAAGCAGAAGGAATTTCTGCTTCAACCGATCGTTCAGAACCCATCGAAGAGTAAATCCATCAATCACCACTCCGTGAGTCGGGGCAGGGGGTTCGTGGTTCTTCCTGGCATGGGCAAGATCTTCATCGCTTCCGGTAATACCAAATGTCTGGAGGTTCTCATCCAGTAACTTCTCCGCCATATCTAGGAAAGTGTCGTCGCTGGTCTCTCCATTTTCGTCCTCGTCCACCTTGATATGGATCAACTCCATGTCGTTGTTAAGCAAGTTGCATGAGAAACCGATGTTGATGGCAGTCTCCACCTTATCACCAGTGAGGACCCAGAGCTTGATGCCGGCATTGCCCAGCAGCTCAATGGTATCTGGCACTCCGTCTTGCAGGCGATCCTCAATGGCAGTGCCACCCAGGAGGAGCAGGTCGTGTTCAATGAGTTCGGCAACAGCCTCTAGCTTCTCCTCTCGGTCCTCCAGGGAAGCTGCGGCAATATCGTGTTCCTTCTTCCAGAGTAGATAGTCCCCCTCCGTCACCTCCTTGTGAGCGATGCACAGAGTTCGCAGTCCCTCACGGGCAAACATCTCAAGATGCTCTGCGGTCTCTTTCCTCAGCTCCTTCTGCTCTCCCTTCTTCAATCGACCATAGATCACACTGTCGGCACCCTTGCAGATGAGAATAATACGGCCATCGGGCATGCGAACAATAGAGCTCATTCGCTTTCGGGTAGAGTTGAATTCGATAGTGTTGAGAATCTGGTAGTGGCGGTCCTCGCCAAGAACGTTGAGGTTGATGCCATCTCCGGAGTTTCCAAGGACAGTGAAGCCCATATCACGGGCAGTAGCAACGAGGGCCTCCTCATCAGGGGATTGGGCCTTGAAGATCATCTTGGGTGGTTCTCCGGGGGACTTCTCAGCAATGACAGTATGGCAGAGGGCTAGGGACAGCATAAAGTACTCGTTTGCTGCTTGTTGCTCGGGGCCATGCTCACCGGCCAAGTCGGCAACAAAGTCGGGAGCAACGAAAGTGACATCATCGTCGTAGAGGTAGGGGTTATCGTGAAGTTTTCGGAGGCCCTCGAGAGCACGAATCTTTGCGTTAGCAATCTCACCCCGAATCCTTTCGCCTTCCTTTTCGGTATCGATACCCAGACGTTTCTGCATTCCAGCCTGCGCCTCCGTGTAGGCCTCTCCGTAAGGTTGTCCATTGATGGTGGCCTTCTTGAATTCCATGACGTTCTGAGTCAATGTGCCAGTCTTGTCGGAGAAAATATACTCAATCTGGCCAAGGTCATCTGAAATATTCCACGACTTCGGAATACAGGGCTGGTCGATCTTCTCGTAGTACATCTCCACGTCGCTATAAATGAAGACGGCTTGGAGCGTTCTGACGATCTCAAGGGTGATATACAATGAGATGGGAATCAAGTTCTGGAACAAAATGAGTGCGGCCCAAAAGGTGATGAAACCGCTCATAGCCGGGCTACCACCAATCGACCCATAGTCGAAAAAGTTGAGAGAAGCGTCCGATTTTCCCCATGCCACGCCGTTGACAATAGCAGCGAGCAAGCACATGATGAGCAGGATACCAAAGTTGCAGATGACGTTGAAGTTCATCTCGCGGGCGATTCGTGGACGCTTGCTTGGGGTAATACCAGCGTTCATCATAATCTTGGTGTCGTGTCCAGTAAAGACGACGACACCAAGAACCCATTCAGTGTTTCTCAAGTGGCAACCTCGCAGAAGCAGGTTGTCAATACCAATAGGCTCGGTCATATCCTCGAGATCCTCCTCGGCATAGCCAGGCACAGACTGCTGCCACTTGATGGCGCCGTTATACTTGTACAGATTCGGTTGAGGGGCCTCGCTTTCGATAATGAACTCTGCTCGCTCGCAGTCTCGGGCGTGCTTGATTGGTCGACCGCATCGGAGTGACTGGCGATTCTTGAGATTGGTCTCGCCATCCAAATTCTTCGTCTCGACATAGCATCCGCCATCCGGGTCAGAAGTGGAGAGGATAATGATGTCGGCTGGCAATTCTTCGTCATTGTAGATACGGACAAAGTCGCCGACAACAATGCTCTTCCAGGCATCCTTCTGGAATCGAGCGCCTTTGATGGGATGATCGCGCTGGATGATGCTCGTGTCCATCCTTGCTACTGCGGCAGCACGCTTAGCTTCCTCGTTCTCAGGGACCTGGATCCGAATGTGCGGCGTTGGCGTTGGGGAGGGCACCGGAGTCATCTGGATGTCTTCTCGGGCGGACATGAATGACTCGCGCCCGGTAAAAGGAGAGGCAATAGATTCACGGACAGAGCGTCTGGTGTGGTGTGTCTCCATGGAGGGTCGCACCGGGTCGTCCACAGTCTCATTCTTGCGTCGGGCTCGCTCCTCCTTGGCCTTCTTGGACCAAATGCTTTGGATGCCGCGCCAGATGGAACCAAAGAAGGCCGAGTTGCCCTTCTTAAACTGTCGCCAAGCGGAAACGTCTCCCTCAAGCACATTGACATTGGTCCAGTTTCGCAGTCGGTGAACGGGGGCGTTGTTGAGTTCGATATCGAGAGCGGTTCTTCGGTAATCTTCGACGGCATCTTTGATAGCGGTGACAGTGATGATGAAGATCAGGGGCACAGCGTTCAGGCCTGGGTTGACACCACCGAAAATGGGGAAGAACTACCACAAGGTTAAGGTTTACTTACGACAGAGGAGACACGAGGGCTATAGCTACTTACCACCAAAATAACCAAGAACAAGAAGAATATGTTGGCGACGTTGTGGAACTGGAACCACAGGTTTTTTGGTACGAAGGAGAGGGGTGTGTACTTGGCTGTCCGAATCTTGTTGCGGGTGAATTCCTGAATCGGATGGCCTTCTTCGTCCACCAGACTGTCCGGCAGAGGCTGGTTGAAATAGAGAGCCCGGGTTCCAGATGCTTCCTCTACATCCTCACTCTCTTCTTGATTGCCAGCGTCGATGGGCGGCTGCACGGCATCTTCAGCGGGCGGCTCGGAACCTTCGGGGAGCGGCGGGTTCTTCTCGTTGGATCCGGTCTTCTTGTGCATGCGGTTCATGAGCGAGTTGCGTTTGTTGCTACTGCTCCTGACAGTCATTCTCCGGGTGGCCCATCGCGCTCGCTGGGTGGCATTAAGGGCGCCCGGATGGGAGCCACCTTCGGGGGTGGTTGTGGTGGTCATGGTGGTGAAATCGCGGGCAAGCGCCCGATCGGCCCCTCGACGCCAGCCTTGGGAGGGTCGCGGTGGAGCAGACTCGGGCGGGAAGGCGTCGTCGCTGAGGCGTGGACGGACGTGCAATTGGAGGAGCACCCGTGAATCGTAGGTCGTGCTCGGTGGTTGAGGTCGTGGCGGGTGAGGTTATCGCGGGCACGGCGTCGACCAGGGACGTTGGCAGTCGGGCTCGTGGGGGAGGGAGAGATGGATGAGGATGGAGACGAGATGGGAGAGTAGGGGAGTTGTGTAAGCAAGACGGGGCGGGAGGGAAAAAAGCTACGGTGGACTTTGAGAGACGCACTCCACTGGGGGCCACTGGCTGGGGACGGCTCCAGTGGGACAGCCGGGACCCGTTCTAGAGACTGGGACCTCGTTTGGGACGCCTGGGACGCCTGGGACGGGCTGGGCAAGGGAAATGGCAGTGGAGAGAGTGGGTGTGGGTAAGGGTGGCCCAGGGCGTGGGCGTGGGGCGTAGCGCATCTTTCGTACCGACCAGCGCCGTGCCCATAGTAGGGAGGGATGGAGGTACCTACGTTAGGCGGCGGCGGGTGGGTGTGGCGGCGGCGGACGCGGTATGGGTATGATGGATGGGCTGGAGAGCTGTACACAGTAGGAGGACTCTGATTCCCGGTCCATCCGGCGATGCCAATGCAAGGTGCAGCGTGTTCATGGGACGGAGTACCGAGCATCCGGAGCCCGGAGGAGACGCGCGAATGCAGGCCAGTGCATGACAGAGCAGGATGTGGTACAGTGTGCAATCCATCCCTCTCTCTCTCTCTCTTTCTCGCGGTCTCGCTCCCTCCGACCCTCCATGGGCTTCCTTCATCACCGTTCAGTGGGGTACCGTCCACCACAGGAATCACGGAGGGAGGCCCTCCCCCCCTTTACGATAGACGCCCCCTACGTACGTGCCTCCTCCCATGCGACGCGTACCGATTAGAAGCAGAGCATCGTCCCTGATGAGCAACACAACTGGCCAGCCACTTCCACGGCGGCCATGCCGCTAAAATTCGCCCGACAGACTGACAGGCCGGAAGCACGGGGCGGGCTGCTCGGTCTCGGTCGCGTCGGTCAGCAATTCCATCCAAATATGCCAGGTATCAGATCCCCGACGCTCCCTGGCCGCCGTAGCTGTTCCTTTGTGGTAGGCCAGTAATTACCAGCCCAGCCCAGATCCCAAGGTATCCTCGACCCTGCAAACTCGCATTCACGCATCAACGCACCGCGCACGACGACCCAACACGACCCAATCCAACACGTACCCAGCCAGCACGGGGCAGCGACGGAGCGCTAGCACTGTCCCTCCCGCGGCTTCGTAGTTTGAGGGCATGTCGGAGGAGGCTGGCGCAGCTATTCACGTCGGGTCCAGCAATGCTTTTCATTTTTATTTTTGCTGCCGTCGCCCTGGGCTGGTATTTGTCTGGCCCCCTTGAGGCATCTCACACACGCCCCCTGGGCCCTGGTTTGCAGAGGGCGCAACAGGCCAAGAGAAAAGGGCAATAGGCACGGCGCGCAGGGAGACGCGCCGTGTCTGAAAGCCCATGCTGCCACGCGCAAGTGTGTCCAGAGCGCTGCTCGGCTGCTCTGAGAGCCCAGTTCTTAAGTCTAAGCTTGGTTGCCAACCTAAGGTTGTAGCCAGTCCCGCGTGCCTCTTGTCTCGGCCGTTGGTGACAGAATCCGTCAGTGATGTGGTGTTGTCGGAAGTACAGTAATTACGTCGGTACGAAGCATACACGTACGACGGGCCCATGCCCAAGCCTCGCACTCCTTCGCGCTCCGCTCGTATCGTCCACTTGTCGCACTTTCGCACCTGCATCAGCCGGCCGCCGAGTGGCCGTCGACACAGTCAGCACCCTGCAACACATTGATTAGACAGCAATTGCCGCAGCATCCGCAGCATCGTCCGCAGCAATTGTCCGCAGCACGCATTTTGCAATGGCTGCCATCCACGATCACAAATCTGCCATCCCGCGGCCGCGCGACTGGCCTACCTATTTGTCTTGATAATGTAAGCCACCACAGGGCGCTAGCTAGCGCCTCCGATGACAGAGCGTTGTCGTCACGGATTGGTACCAGGCCGCGTTAGTCTTGACGCCTGTGGGCTTAAGCTGAGACTTGCTCGTCCAAAAGTGCCCACTCGCCAACGGAAGACGTCCCTGGAAGCTGATGCCAGCCCGAAGTCCCTGGTGACCGGGGGCCTTGCAGCCAACAAGAACAAGAACAACCAAGTTGTCCCTAGACTGTGTGTCGCTAGGCTTACCATATCTTGGGCCTTTGGATGCTTCAATTTGACAGGGCCACAGGCCAGATTAAGGTGCGAGTGCTGCGCTAGAAATTATCGGAGCTGATCCTTTCAATCCTCCCACCAAACCGGTCTGCTCTCGAGGCCCATAGCCTCCCGTATGTGAGTCCAGGGCCATATCTCAATCTCCCTGCCGTTATTTTTTTTTAGCTTTGTAGTTGCCATTCCTCCACACCACCATTCAGTTTTTGCTCTTCTAGAAAGTATAAGCATACATTCGGCGCGGATCACACGCAAGTCGCCGCAAGTCGCCGTACGTCGCCGACAGCGATTGGGCTGTCGGTGTCGGCCCAGATCTCCATCCGCCTCATCCAGAGATGAACGATCCGGCCGACCCATCCAGCCCCACGCAGCAATTAAGTGGATTATGGCTTTGCATTGGCGTTGCACATGTCATCATCCGCGCTTTCTCGCCGCTCCAGGTTCTGCGCCCGAATGGCGCTCATAAGTGCATCCGGCAGTTCCATCGTTCCCGTCTTGGCCGTGACCGGAGACCTGGAGGAACCCGAAGGTTGATGTAGTCCCATGTTGAAGAACTAGCGACTGGCATCATGGCATTGCTCTTCTCCGGCGTGTCGTGTTGTCGGGCCTGTTCGGTCCCCGACCGCTCTATTCCAACTTCCACCTTGGGAACCGCATATCCCTTCGGCGCCGTCAATCGTGGACACTGCGGACACAGGGTCTTACGTCCGGGTTTGTCGGGTTCTCGGGGGTTAATTACGTGCGACAGACCCCCATTCTGTCCGAGTGGCAGCAGTCAAGCAATGGACATTTGGAGCTAGCAGCGGGGCCATCACTCCCGCACCGCATCGCCATTTCGCGGCTTCGCCGTGGCTGGCCCCATTGCTACGTTGTACGTAGTTTGTATCCACAGCCCTACCTTACCCATATCGACATTCGCAAATCCTCGATTCAGGCTTCTTCGTGAGCGTCCATCGTTCGGTGCTAATCCGATTAGAAATCGAGTGGTCCCCCAAGCCCCGTCATGACCTCCGCTGCCGGCGCCAGCTCAAACCGGTCACACGAGTGCACCGACACTCTTCATCGCATCGCAGCCGTCTTCATGACGCACCCATCGTTCGGTGCACACACCGCGGCTGGGCCCTTCCGGACCCCTTGCGACGGTACAAACCCGCTTCTCCCAATCCGCTCAGTACCCGGTCTCCTCCTGCCTCTCAGGCTCCAGCTCCGGGCGACCCTGGCCAGGGGTCCCCTTGGCGTGCAGCTTCAAATTTCCAGCGACCTGGCCCGGCAAAGAGATCGTCTGTGAACCAAACTGCCAAAAGCAACGAAACGCTGCGCAATGTAATCTGCGATTTCGAGAAATCCCCCGTCGGATTGGACACTCCCCAGGCATCCATCGGAAATGCCCCATGGGCGACGGTGAGCATCGTATTGGATTCCATTCCGCTAGTAGGCATCTAAGCCTCACTCCCTCCGAAGTTCATGGGTCCATGCCCAAGTTCTAGACTCCAGGAAACAAACAGCGGGATGTTGGAGAGAGCATCTTCATCTAGTTGCCTGCCGCGGCGCCGAGGCCCAATGAACGTGAACATACCCCGTAGTTGTCCAAAGCAAGCACACACTATGATGATCTACCTTTACAATTGACGAATGTGATGATCGAAAGGGTCGTGCGAATTGATCTGCAGCACGACACCAAATACGTGTATCATTACAGTCGCAGCCGGCAAGCCTTAAACACAATAGACAGTCGTTGCATGCCGCATCTCGAAACAAGGTCACATACCACGCCTAGGTATCATTAGACACATTCCACAAGCACAATCGTCAATGGACCATTTGTGCAAGCCTGTGTTTCTTCCCGCCACGGCGGATTGGAATGGATCGGAGCCCGCGGCCCCATGGAGCCCGGTCCCTGGAGATCCCTCTTGGCTTCAAATGTGCTTGACGCCAAGGTCGCGACCCCTTTTTTTATACACGATGCTCGCATCATCTGTTGGTGTTGCTGAAGCTTCGCCACCCTGGTCCGTTAGAGATGAGCAGACATAGCAGACGTCCACGTCTCGCTTCCCCTCATGGCCCGCGAACAAGGTACAACGCCTGAAGCCTAAATGGCGGCAAGGACGCCAGTTGCCGCGTACGAACCAACGCTACTTAAAATAGGACGCCGTTAGAGGGAGGTGGTTATCAGCGGAGAGATCTACCACGTATGGCTGGGGCTAATAAGTTAGAGAAAGGGGTCGGCGGACGAATGCATCACCCTCGTTGGAAATTGTCTCCATCCGCGGATTCTTAGCACCTGTAGCCGGCGCCACACCGAAACATGCTGCGCCTCCACGTTAGATGAGGTAAGCGCATTCTGACTGTTGTCACCCGTCCCGTCCTCCAAGCTGCAGCCTGCGAGCTACCTGAGCCACCTTGGCCGTATTGAACGCCACATGTGAAGTGTTTGTGGCTTGTGGTACCCGGAGCCAGCGACGCGACTGTCGAGACACCCTCCGGCCGGACCCTTGCCAACCCACGACGACGACGGTGAATTGCTCCACCTTCCGGGCCTTCGGACACGGAGATCCTCAACGTCTGGTCGCGTCGCCAGCTCCCAGCGTGCTCCTACTCGGCCAAGGCGCATCATGTCTCAACCAGCCAAAAATGGAAACATCATGAGCTTCTTCCGGCCGGTGGCCAGGCCGCAGACTCCTCTGGCGCCGCTGGAACCACAGGCCTCGGATCCTCCGTCTCCGTCGCCGATACCTCCATCATCTCCGTTCAGCAAGCGCAACACTCCGGCCAAGTCGCGGACCCCGCTCACCCGGGACTTTGAGATTGGCGCTTCAGACGATGACGATGACTTTGGTGCGTCGTCAGATGACTCGCTCGAGGACCTGTCTGCCATCCTAGGTCGTGGCCGTCCAGGCACAAAGGCATATTCCCCGTCAAAGAATCTCTTTGCTACCCCAAGGGCCAAGCGAACCGCCATCGAGTTCCCTTCTTCCCCGCTAACCCTCACCCCGAAGCACAAGTTCGACCTTAGAGCCTTGGCCAAGGATGCGCGGAAAGACAACGCCACCAACGCAAGCTCGATGAGAGCTACCGCGCTTGCTGAGCTCTATGATGAAGCAGATATGGCACCCACCGGCGAGGCATCTCGTGATACGCTCGAAGGAATCGTTAAGAATGAGGGTGGCCATGATGCGCAGAAAGTCCTCAGGGCAGTCCAAAGGTCCGAGGGGGGCCAGTCGCAATCTCGATACTGCTTCTTCCGTGAGGAGTATAACCCTCCTGCTGTAACTGTTCCCAAGAGAGTCAAGAGCCCTTGGAATCTGTTAACCCAGGGAGATGAGAATACCCGCGAGCAGCACCTCGCCTCCGGGGTGCTCATGACCCTCATTACGATGCACGGAGGCTTGCCAGACGCGCTATTCGACTGGATGCTAGATGAGCTATGCGTCCAAAGATCGAGTCTCATCAGGCAAGAGTACTGCAATCTTCTCAGCAGCTGTCCAGGACAGATTGAGAAACGGGTGACGCCCCAGCGATTGGAGCAGTTGTTCTTACTCCTTGGCGCCACTTCCGAGCTCGAGCAACCAAAATCCAAATTGACTATCTCAAAGCTCAGGACAGAGCCATATCAGGGTCGTGACTGGTCCTGCCTCGGGCATTTCCTCGCACTCCTAAAGGCCATGGCGAGATTCATGTCACTACCCGCTGTGTCCTACGCCTCCCAGACACTGCTACGGATGTCCATGGACAAATTCCTCATTTACAATATCGATCTCCTCGTGGAGTACGAGGATACTATCGAGACTCTATTTGGTGCCATTCCTCGTCCACATTGGGACACATTCGTGAGTCTTTCCTGTTTTCGATCGCTTCATTCACTAATTAATCCACCAGTGCTTCGAAACCTGCTCCCTGCTACATATCATCACCAAGGCGCAGTCCGTTAGAGTGAACGCTCTTGCCTGCCTTCCAGTAAGTAAGGCAACGACGCACGAGCTGAGACGACGACTCGCCGTGGTGTTTCTGTTTGGCGATCCAACTCTCGGTCGCCACCACCCCGACAGATTCATAACCATACCAGGCATCATCAACCGCCTGACAGAAGATGACTTTGCAGTTGGGCCCAATACAGACTTTGCCGAACTCCAAGCCGGTATCATCCTTATCAACATTGCCGTCGATGACGGCTCCTTCGTGAAAACCGACGACCCCGAAGTCGAGAAGCAGTTCAACGCGGATATCGACGAGTTGGTCGGCCGCCTGCGACAGATCTGGAAGATGATCAATGACACAGGCATGAAATTGACTCGCACGGAGGCGAAGAGCGTCATCGATTGGGTCCAACAACGGCTTGCTCACACCGTCCGGACGCGGAAGAAGGCCAGAGAAAACCATTACGAATTCCTAGGGGAGAAGAAAGACACGTCTCTGCCGAAGCAACAGAACTACATGAAGAATTTCCTCCGCAAGGTACCAGAGTCAAAGATATCAGAGCCAAAACCGACGGAGCCATCGCCACCGCTTGGGGTTGGAGACACCATCGTTGTTGCGGGGTTATAGGGATAACAGTTAATATTGCGCTTGGAATATCTCGTGCCAGAGGGCCATCAGTGACCAGAGAAGACCTTGCCGTTGTCAGGATTATCAGGCGAGAATGATGTATGAGAGATCTCGTAGTTTAATGACTATAACACGAGCCAATTCCAGCAACCAGAAAAACAGTAACCGTATGATACAGCCTCTAAGCTACAGAGCGTGGACTGATTAACAACTCGAGTCTTGCGATGAAGAAATGCCTCCTCTTTCGCCTTGCACTCCCTCGGTGTGTAGGTGGTAAACTCATGGGCCGACGGGACCATTGAGGATTTAGTCGACGAACTTACGGTTCGGGTTCTTCCCGAACAGAGCCTCACGCACCGCGGGAGCGGCGGAGTCCTCGAGGAGCTTCAATCGGGTCTCGAAGGTGTTGTCAATCTCGATCTTTCCATCCCCGCCGATGATGATGACGCCACCCGCACTATTGTCATGTTAGCTGTTGTATTCATGGTTTCAAAAATTCCCGCATGCACGTACAGTGAGTCGGGTAGAGGGTCGTCCTCGATAATCTTGGCCGCAACGTCATTGCCCACCTCCTTCTTGTACTCCTTGGCGGCCTCCTCAATAGCCTTCTTCACCAATTCAAAGTCCTTCTTCCGTGATTTGATCTGAAGCTCGGGCTCATTGAGGGCGTAGAATCCCTCGAGGATCAGACCCTTGAGCGCCTTCTGGTGCTTCGCCTTATCCTTGGTGCCCTCGGCGAGCTTCTTGGTGGCATCCTCGAATATGCTGTCGAGCAGCTCCTGTCGGGCACCGAGAACCTTGAGGCGGGTCTTGTTGGCGACAGTCGAGCGGGTAATCTGCTGAGACATGGTGGCCTGCTTGAACTTCTTCTCGTATTGGCCGTCGATGGCATCGGTCTCCTGGCGGACGAGCTTGGACTTCTCGATCTCGAACTCCTCGTTGGCCTTGATCTCGATCTCGCGGGCCTTCTCCATAGCTTCCTGCCTGATGAACGCGGTCATCTTGCGGAGCTCATTTTCGACCTGGCGAGACGTTGCGGCACGTTAGCGGCCTGCCCGGTGAGGGAGATGGCTGATGATGACACTTGCGGCGTCGTTAGGCAACCTACCTGCTGGTCGGACAATGCTTGCGACATGATGGCGACTTAGGGGGGGACTGCGGGGAATCGACAGGCGAAAGCAAAAACGGGGACGGCCGCGCAGGATGTTGCGAAAGGCGAGCGATGGCCTCGAGGATGACGGATGGGGATGGAGACGGCGAGAGTGAGGGAGAGACGGCGAGCAGTTGCGGGTGGAGTGCAGGAGCTGTGACGCCAGGGTCAAGCTGTCGACTCAGCCATGGACAAGTTCCCAAGGAAACACCAGCTTAGCGGGATGCAGCCACAGCTCCACGCCGAAGCGCCTCCACTCTGCTGGCCGTCTGGCCACTCAGAGCCTGATGACGTCGATCACATGACATCATGTGATCGCACCGCCACACCCGTCCCTGGGCGAGCTGCGGCAGCTTAAGTGGCGGCAGAGTCTCGTGTTGCATGCCTCAGGTCAGGCGTACCCCGACTTGTTATTAACTCCAGCAGACACCGATTGCATCAGGACTATTGCTATTCTTAACCAAGGAGGCCCGTTCCGTCTCCAATTACGCGCTCCCGTTACCTGGGTGCCGGCGGCCCGCGGTCCCCTATCCTCACCAGGCTCCAGTTTCCTCCCGCGATCCTACGGTCAAGGCGTCAGCTTGCCCTTGCAGCAGCGCCATCCTCGAGTCTTGACGTCAACGCTCCTCAACAAAGTTTCCCGACCTCGGACCCTGGCGACCGTGTTTACATTCGACCGCGACGATTTCCTATGCGACAGCTCTAGCGATCCGCTTCAACTCTTCACTGCCAGATGACCTCGGACCTGGAGCAGGTGCAATGGGGTTGCTCGGCGGCATCTCTGCGGGCGGGAGCATAGCTGTATGTTGAGCAGAGACATCGCGTGTTGGTCCCAGGAACACTCCGCTAATGGACCCGTTGTAGCTCGGAATTATTGTGGGATTGCTATCGACCAGTATCCAGAGCCTGGGATTGACGTTGCAGCGAAAGTCGCATATCCTCGAAGACGAAAAGGGACCTCTCGATGTCCGCCGACCACCGTATCGCAGGAGGAGATGGCAGATTGGAATGGGAATGTTTATTGTGGCGAACCTTCTGGGAAGCACCGTTCAAATCTCGACGCTGCCACTCCCTGTCCTCTCGACCCTCCAGGCCGCTGGCCTGGTCTTCAACTCGATTTGCGCATCCCTCATCCTCAGCGAGCCGTTTACTAGCTGGTCTCTCTCCGGCACGCTCCTTGTTACAACCGGCGCGATACTCATTGCTATATTTGGCGCCATCCCCGAGCCGGCGCATGATCTAAAAGAGCTGCTCGAGCTGTTGGGACGGAGACCATACGTGATTTGGATGATATTCCAGGCACTCTTCGTCATCTCCCTTGCATTGGCCATCGACATTATCAACAACGTTTCAAGCATCTCGCACGATGCTAGATTCCGGCTTGCTCGGGGTATTACTTACGGCGTGATCAGTGGGGACTTATCGGCCCATGCGCTCTTATTCGCCAAATCCTCCGTCGAGCTGGTCATCAAAACAATTGCGGGACGCAACCAATTCGCCCATTGGGAGTCCTGGGCAATTGTTATGGCCCTTGTCACTTTGGCCTTGTGCCAACTATACTACTTACACCGAGGCCTCAAGCTGGTCTCCACCTCGGTCCTCTATCCCCTGGTTTTCTGTGTCTACAACATCATTGCGATTCTTGACGGTTTGATCTACTTCAACCAAACCAGCCTAATTTCACCTCTGCGTGGTTCTCTCATTGCCTTGGGCACCGTTGTATTATTATCGGGCGTGCTCGCCCTATCATGGCGACTCAGCGACGAACAGCATACACCTGGAGTTGGTCAATCATCCTTGGCGCCCGGACTTGGCCTTGTCGAGGATACCGAAGGAGAAGAAGAGTCTTTGCTGGGTTCCGATCATGCAATTGCGGAGGAAAACGGACGACCATCGACCTACCATACATTTCCTGTAAATGGCGAAATTACACCGATGACACCCTCACGCAAGAGAAGCTCGCGATGGGCTGAGCGTGCAGAGATCTGGGGCGAGTTAGAAGACCGCGATGAACCAGGCTCTCCTTCAAATCGACGGCGTTCCAGTACGATGCCGGGATTTAGCGAGTCATCACCTTTGCTTGGTCAAAGGAGGTCAATGCCTGCTCCACCTTTGGGCGATGAATCCGGACCCAGCGCCGAGTCTTCACCGCGGAAATTGACTAGGCGACGAAGGAAGAGCACTGGCTTCCCAGGCCTCGTTGCTCGTAGACATCTTCGACATAGAAGCTCGACGACGTCGGAGACTCTAGGCGGCCTCTTTACATTGGGATGGTGGAGAAACCGCGGCAGGCAGCCATCGCATGGATCCAGTGCTGGCGAAAGCTCTCTACGGTCATCGTACCGAGATGGCCGTGAAATCGGCCGGGAGGAGGGCGGTGCTAGAGGGAGCCGGACTAGCGATTCAGCTGTATGAATAAGGTGCATTAGGAGTTGGAGAGGCGATGAAGGCGTTCTATAGAGCTCTGGTGATTGGATAGTCTCTTGTGAGGGATCGGACCTCGGGATTACATTATGGTTCGTTTCGCCTGTCGCATTTGAATCTACTTTTTTTTTGGGACAGCCTTGAGGTTCTCATCTGCTCTCGTATCCTCTTCTGGTGCTGTACTTTGCCGTCTCGTAAAGGCTCAAATTACGAGGGCCAATATGTTTAACTTGACCCAGGATTTCCCAGTCCAAACTGGATCATACATCCACACAGATGCAATGAATATAGGTTCAAGCGCACATGCATTCCAGAACGCCTCGAGTGGCGTTCAATGACATATGGTTAGTCAGATGGCAAACGTTGATCTTCGTTGTCTGCCTACCCTAAACCACAAACGGGTTGGAGAACCTCGGAGATCTTCAATGGCCAAGGGTCGTTTCTTTTTTTTACCCCCTTTTGCTCCGTGTGTTGTGTTAGTGCTAAAGCTATCGCCTTGTTGTTTCATCAGCCCCGCTGAAGTTGACGACTAGGGGGTGGCTTGTAGGACCAGGACCAAGCATTTACAGTTCGAGGAGTTTTAGGCCCACCAAGTTGACAGGCTCTCCTCATCAAGATGAGAAGATCATCTGGAGCGTGGCTCTTGGCGTATGCCGAAATGGGACAAAGCCCACATGATGCCCATCACTGCCCAGAGCCTAGTCCCCGACAGCACACGTACATTAGCCAATATGTTGAGGCTCTCGGTCCCCAGAGTCGTTGGCCCGTGTCGTATTAGGATCGTCTACACGGCAGCCTGCTGTCACTAGCCTCACAGGGTTGGCTATGTATGAGCCCCATGTACTTCATACTGATGTACCTCAGCCTGAGCCCAAACCGGGCTGTGTTACTTGGTTGTGTATAAGTTGCCTTCTCTCGCCTCTATCGTTTGGGCTCCCTCCTCATCTCGTCAATCCATGAAGTGAGGATCTTAACACTCTCTCTGTACAATGTTCTCAAAAAGATCCCATTCTCCGGCCTCCCATGCTCGGTGGTCATATCTACAATGTGTCCCAAAACGATGCATCCGCATCGTCATCCTCTGCCTTCTTATGACCTTGCTTCTCGCCCCCTCTCTACTCAAGCAACAATACGTCCACCATGCACCATTCGAAGCACCAAACTCCGGGCTTGTCCTTCATGGCAAAGTCGTACACGATGCCCCTACTACACTATATCCGTTGGAGCCCTTCCCTGAGTCGCCGATGATGCTACCTTCGAGCGACGGTGACCACAGCAATCAGTCACATCCTTGGCTAGCGGCAGTGATGTGCGCCGCGGAAGATGTTGAACGCCGGATGATGATAAGATCGACCTGGATGAAAGTCTACCGAGATTTGCCTTTTGACAAGCGCTTCGTCGTGTCCAGCCCGGGACCTCGATGGACTGAGATTGTTGCCATGGAAAACCGGACTTTTGGCGACATGATCGTGCTGGACCACCTCCGAGAAGACGATGTGACAGCCAACACGATCAAGACGCTCGAGTTTTACAAGTGGCTAGTGCATCACGGAAAGAAATACGAGTTCGTCTCCAAGATGGACACCGATCTGTGGCTGAACGCGCGTGGGTTCTGGGACAAATTCCTGGCGCCGCGGATGTCCAATGAGGTCGGACGTTATACGGCAACGGTCAAGCGGACAGTCATTGGAGAGTTGTTCTACTCCCGCGCCTGGGACCTTGTCTTCCCCCACGGCGCCATGTACACGGTAACGTGGGACATGGTGGAGTTGCTGGCGTCGCTGCAAAGCAGGTTCTGCGTCGTGACAGGCGAGGACATGGCGGTGGCGACGCTGATGCTCAAGGGCCGAGAGCAAGCCAACTTTGTCAATTTTAGAGGCACCGAGAAGTTCGACTATGACGACATGGACTCGCGCGGGGACGGGAGAGCGTGGGCGCGGGAGACGACGCACCCTAATTCAACGCGTCATGCTATTGCCGGCCGCGACGCCATTGCAGTTCACCAACTAAAAGAGAAGCGGCTGTGGTTCAAGGTGGCCGAGTGCTTCGACGAGCGTGGCGTCAAGCCGACTCCGCCCTTCAGCGGGTTGGAAGCGACGCCGGCCTGGACGCTGCGCTGGTCCGACTTTCTGCACTCGATGGGGCTGACAAGGCGGTACAAATCCCGGGTCGACAGGATACCCGACTTTGTCTGGAGTTTCGAGGAGGATAGCTGGATATGCGACGGGATCTGGAACCTCGGCAAGTGGAGGGATGGTTTCGTAGACGAAGTGCAATAATGAAGTGTAAACACACCCGCCATGTGTCTCCGTTTGTGACGTCCGCCTGGTACTCGGGCGCCAAGTACCTGCTCGCGTGCCTCTTTTGCGTCTTTGTGCCTTGGCACAAACAACCGCCTAATAATAACAACTTGCTCAAACAGAGGCAGATTAATTTCATGCTAGGTTGCCGTCGTCGCAGGCTTCGGGACGAAGCTGCAATTGGTTCAAAACCGGCTTATTAGCGGCCGTGGCTGAGGCTCAGCTGTCTGAGAGCCCAGGGGTGGCATGCCGCTTTCCAGACTGCGATTCGAATCGTCGAGAGAATCGTATCAGATCCGCTTGGTTGATGCAGCGAAAGCACAGGTCTCCCGTAGGAGGTACCGCATTATCCCGACATAGTGCCCCGGAATACGAGCCGACTAATGATATGGCGGGAGAGTTACGTGATGCGCCGCACGGGGGTTTATAGTCGGAGGGAAGGACTTACGCGTCCGCAGTGGCGCTCATAAATCCGGAACTCGGATCGGCATCCCAGTCGCGAATGTGGAGTACACCTAAACGTTAGTACAAGACCAATTGTCCAGCAAGAAGGGAGGATCCGTGAAACGGAAGCAGGTTCCTGTAATATGCTGCTTTGTGGGAGAGCAGCGCAGCCAAGGGATACAGATGTCATCTTTAGTCATTTGGAATATTGTCAATATGTAGCGCGTCCCTGTGAGGGCTCGGGTATAAAAGAAAGACGTTGGTATTGCTATCCAGTAAAGTATACCCGCCCATGTCAAGAAATTGCAGGAAACCCGGCTGGTGTCGCGTTCAGGCCGACTACTCCATGTATCTCCTCCCCTTTTCAAGATACCCTCCCTCTACCCTTCAACTCCATCTTCATCCCCAGAGTCGGTAGAGTTCTCGATAGAGCTGCCGACAGACCAGAAATCCTTCGAGTCTGGTAGATCCTCTAAAAGATTTCGTTGGTGGTCCAAGTAGGGGAACTCTGGGGAGCCCAGAGAGCTCAGAGGGGCCATTTCCCCCTTTGGCAAAATGATACGGTTTTTCGGGTCGGACATTGCCAACATGCCCATCCACCAGAGGGCGAGATCGGTCGTGAGGGCATTCACGGTGTGCTTTGACCATTTAATCGGCATGATCATTACCTCCAACTCCGTGGCACCTGTTTCTTTGGTAAAGCAACAAGCTACGAGCTCCTCATCGGTCTGAATATACCCATACCGAGTATTAGAGAGCTTGCATAAATTGGCGAGGTGACGCAACGGCGCTATGCTTCGCACGGTGTTGTTCTCACGCTCGATTGCGCTCCCGCACCAAGTGTTGCTTGTCTTGCTGATGCCAACGACGAGAGTTTCGTCCGATATATCATCAAGCCAGATGATGTGGTCAACTCTGGCCCTCTTCGACGTGTTCGGAAGGCGAGCTCGGGTTGGCTCGGCCACAGACGAATACTCATGGCGAAGTTGAGTGCCATCATGAAGCTGGAGGTAAGACTTGGCAAAGCCAAGGCAGGGTTTCATCATCTCGTAGTTCCAAGACATCATGTGTTTGGCCTCCTCTTCAGTATCGATTGTAACTCCATCAAAGTGCTGGTGTGGACGGGGACAGATGAGCTGGTCGTTTGGTACTTGAAAGTCAAGCACCTTTCCGTACATGTTGTTGAGAGTGTCAAGGTCGAATTCATTCCATAACTGCACAGAATTGTTCAGGTTTGGCCAGAGACCGTACGGTTTGTTTCGTGAAGGCGGCGCAGTGCAGGGGATCACCGGCTTTTGGCGCGTCAAGACCCCACGGAGAGAAGTGAGAGGCTGTTCCATGGTGTTGATGTAGTCATTTAGTTCCAGCTTCTGGGGCAAAGATCCAGACTTATAGCCAGGCCTCCACGATTCATAGGCCTCAGGTTTGCCGCAGGCAACACTGCACGGAGCAAACACCCGACGTCACAAAACATGAGTTCCACACCCACGCCCACTCATACAAACACAGAAGTCAAGCCTGGGTGTTGGCCTAGTCGAGACGACGCAACTGATCATCGCTACGCCATGTTGTGGTAGTATGTTTTAATTGCGCTCTTAGAGGGAAACCCGGAGATAGAAAAAGAGACAGAATGGGAGGGGGAGAGAGGGAAGTAGTAAAAGCTAGCAACGACACTGAGAGGCATGAATAATTATCAATGGGATTCGCTCCGGATCACCTTTGCTTTCACCATACTATCCTGTAATTCCTGCTCTCCCCTCTCCCACCTACTTTACAACTCCTGGTTTACATGTCGGCTTACATGTATAGAGGACCTAAATTTACTAAGCCGAATACCATCGGCGTCTGCTGTAGAGCAAAACACTGGCCCGCTTCTATCACTAGGGCGCCTGTCCTTGAAACTGACCAACTATTGAAGAGTCACAAATAACTCACTCCGGGTGGCGGCACGTGGGTCCGTCCCGAAATGAAATACATCAGACCAGGGTAGTGAAGTCGTACAGAGCTATGCTCACCGACATTGATCCAAGGCTGTGGTATCTCTGTTACGATGCGGCGCATAGCTTCACCGAGTGGCACGCTGTTGAAAGCGGACAAGGGGTATGATGCCTGATGGTGACAGTGTGCCTCATGAGTTGCATACAAGTTTCAGAGACATCAAAGGTCATTCCTAATTGGAGCTTTCCACACCAGCTTTTTGAAGCTGCTGTTCTGGGGTTGTTGCTGTTGGTTTGCTTTGTTTTGCTGTTGGCTTGCTTTGTTTTGCTGTTGGCTTGCTTTGTTTTGCTTTGGCTTGCTTTGTTTTGCTTTGGCTTGCTGTTGAGCATCTATCCGCAACTATCGCGAAGCCACCGTGCTAACTTACTGTTGGCTTTCCTATGGCTTACTGCAGCGGCGTTGTTGGCTACGAGTCCTGACCTCTGCTACATGCTTGCAGTTATCAGGCGCTGTAAGAAGCCTGCGGAAGTAGCCGTGGCCGGCATCAACTTCGTACCTGACGGCTGTTCCATATGAGCATGCTGTTACTATACGTTTCATCGACAGTCTTGTAGCTGCATGCGTTGAAAGTGCTAAACCCTGGGCCTCACAGCCATGATGGCTAAGGGCCGAGTTAGTGTCACCCACGCGTGGGTTACAGGCGTCTCGTTCTGCAAATAAGCGGCGCATGTGGAGCTGCATTGTCATTCATCGTTGCGTCTAGAGCATCTATGCTTCTTGTCTCGCGGTAGAGTTCTGTGGGGAGGTCGACTGTCTAGCCGCAACAGCCAGTGGTTTTCTCTGCTTTTCTTCCGAATCGCCATTTGAAGCCATAATAGCCCCTGAAGCTGTCGTTTTCGTTGATGGCGAAGATGGCTCACGGACTGTCGATGCTGACTCTATGATAGAGGCCCCTACTGAATGCAGTGTCTGCTCAATGGCTGGCTTCCAACAAGACGCGCCTTACTATAGGATTAAGTGCTACGATTGAGGGGCCAGCTGTGCGCGACCCCAGGCACGGGGCCGCGTACGAATAAGCCGGAGTTCAACAAAGCAGAGATCAGCGGGAATGAGTTGAAGGCATCGACTCTCAGGCTGGATTTTGCTAATGAATTCACTCTGCATATTTTTACTCGCTGTGAAAGACCTCTGTTAAGTCCCTTGACTGAGTGGATGGCAAACCTAATACCACCATGATTCCCAGTACTTCACATGCTATGAGCCTCATAAAAGTGTATGGTTAATCATGTCAAACAGTGTTTCAAGATGCAGTGCCATATGCGTGAGCCATCATTGAGCAAAATCTCTCGCGCCAAACCCAGAGAAACATGAGTACGCAACACCTTGGCTGTGGGTAGTTACGTCCCATGTGGCATGGAACCAAAGGTCTGACGATAAGTTCTCCTCATCCAAAAGAACCAAAATACTTTCAACCAACGGCACTAGGCGTAGTACTAAATATGTGTGTCTATTGCTTGTAAATAATGCATGGCTTTGATCTATCGATGATGTATAATAAAGCTAAAGCTCCCAAATAAATCACGATGCTCCCACAAATAAAGATGACATTGAGTAAAGATAAAATACAATCCACAACCAACGAATGTGTTATTCTATTATGTTTGACATGCCTCCCGCACAGCCACTAACAAACAGCTAAGTACTGTACGGCGGCCCATCCTGCTTCCGTGGAAACATAAAACCGTCCTTGAAGTCCCAGTGGAGTCTGAAGTAGAAATCGAATTTCGCCTCTTCAGCTTTCTTTGAATCACCGGAAAAGTACCACCTGGGTGGGCAGGCATTGAGCCGGCGGCGGGTCTTCCGAATCACTCCTGCGGGTGTTCCGCATTTGCTGCCCTTTGCCTTTCGACCAGATTGTCGCCCATCCATTTCTCCCATTGAAGCGGAAGCCTTCCAGTCGTACAGTCTTGGGTCAACGTACGAGTAAGCACGCTGTCGAGATGGTAGGCTTCTCAGATCGTAGGAGTCTTTGAAACTCGACCTGTGAGGTAATGCTTGGACGGAGATTGTGTCTTTCCGGTTCTTGGCGTCCTTATTCCGGTACTTGGCGTACTTATTCCAAGAAATAACCATTTCGTCGAAATCCAAGTAGTCGTTTCTGCAGATGTTGAAAGCTTCAAACTCAAGGTCGGCTATCATCTCAGGTGTAAGATGCGGGTTCAGCTCTGTGTTCGAGAGATAATGCGGGACAGTGAAGGCTAGGCTGAAGTCGACCCACTTGTTGTTGACCATCTGCCGAATTCCAGGATCGAGATTAAAGATGCCGAGCTGCTGAAGTAGAGACATTTCTCGCATAATCTTGCGCGCACCCCTCGTCTGCAAAACCTCCATACCTTGACCGAACTCCTTGACTATGCCCCGGATGGGTGGGGGCTTAGCGTTCTTGTCCTGAAAACACGAGCGCATGTCTTCCTCGTCAACAGATTCCGAGCTTCCGTTGAACAAAATGTCATAGGGGTTGCTCGCTTTCCAAAACTGTCTCATGGCATGCTCGTGCTCCTCATCGAGGAGTAAGTAGCCGAAGCACTCGACTGCCAAGTCGTCGTATCCTGCTTCTTGGAGACGACCAAAGGCACGGCATTCGCAATTGAACGGCTCAGAGTACTGGTAGGCAAACGTCATCGCCTCATGATTTTCGTGGTGGTCGAAGTAAGGAGATCTCCATTCATTGTGGCAGATGAATCTGAACTGCGCCCGGGTTAGTTCGAAGCGTTTAACCACTCATATGTTGATCGTGCTTACAAGTTTCAATGCATAGATCGTCCCCATGATTTTAACCTTGAAGACGTACGAATGCAAGCCTTTTCCGAGGAACTCGAGGAATTCGATTTGCTGGGGACCCTGGAAGTCGAACGGCTTCAGCTTGGGTCCATCGCAAAGGGGGAGTGGCACCAAATCGGCGGGAGAGTCCGGCAAAACTGGATACATTTCAAAGCTGAGGCAATGAATGAGAGAGATGGACGAGATGTGGAGAGATGTGGAGAGATGATGAGAGAGACTCTCTTTGAATGGGGAAATGGCAGGAAAAAGAAGTGGGAGGAGTGTGGCGGGTCTCTTTTATAGTGGGAGGGAGGAAAGGAAGTAGGAGCGCGACTGTTCCATTTTAAAGGAACAAAGACTTCCAAAGCGACAAGGCTCATGATGAGGAGGTAGGGTAGTTTTTTGCCGAATGTTGGCAGCGGCATCCCGCAAGTATGATGTATGCTCACACGATGCTTGATGATTGTTGTTTGAATGTTTGATCATTGTTGCTTGAATGTTTGATCATTGTTGTTTGAATGCCTGGCGAATGTTCTGAATCAGCAAGATGCAGGGGGGAGCGAGCCAATAGGGCTACGGGTACTTGCCTTCTCTTTGTGGGTAGTCTATTCGTATGAGTTTCAATTGCACTCGCTGCTCAGTTCCGAACAAGGGAAATTCCTCGCGACGATATTAAGATCATGCTCTAGCTGAGCTTCCTTTATTTAGCTGCCGCAAGGTTCGGCGGTTCCGAGCAACAAAGACGTAAAACGTTCTGGGGCCCGAAATATCATCAAGTTCAACCAGTCCTTTTTCGTCAAACTACGGACGCATTGTACATTTCGTATGTCAGACTCGAAACTATTGCCATCCAGTATATTAAGGGCAAAGGCATACTGCGTATGCTACACAATATAATACAACCAAACTCCATTCTTCCACTCCACGCCAAGCCACGTACTCCATCGTCCTCCTAACTCCTTCACCGGAGATGCCCTGAAGCAAGGCGCCATCTGGCCTTCATCTCCAAGCTCGGTCCCAAAGACGGCCAGCAATCACCCATCGTCTTCCAGAGTCTGTGGGAGCGAGAGATGGTCGGCCGTGGCTCATAGTGGCCCAAGGGTGTGTGATAGATGTTCGATGCAGACGCCATGTCCCTATGCTTCATCGATCGGATATGTTGATGCGGGTGTCGCAAATAGTTCTGACAGGGCTCTGACATTTATCTCGTGGATTTGTCTTCGGAAAGAAAACAAGGTACATTAGGGATGGACGTGATCGAGGCCGCATCGTTGTAATGTTCCCATGACGGAGCCGGCGAGAAAAAGGGTCCAAAAGCAAAAGACCTTCTAGATGCAAACTGGGTCTATGGAATGCCTCCGTTTCAGTATACACATCCATATCGAAACTCGGTAGAAAAGCCGATAAACCATTAATGCGGAGGGCAAATCATGCCGTAAACGATGTCCATGCTATGCAGAGGTGCACAAATGATCAACAAAATTGTAACAGGATAAAAGTCGTATCAAACAAATTCTTTCGGTTTGTCCAGGAATAGGCTCGCCCAGGAAGTTAACACTCGGCATACGGCCGAGCAAGATCCAGGCGGTAGGCTGTTGTTGGGTATGTATGTATGTACGTGGACATCTGCGTGATATCAATAAAAAGGGTAATCCAGATCATTCCAGTTCCTAGACACGGCTGTGGCCGGCGCTGGTGCGGCTGCGTTCGTCTTCTTCTTCAATGACGTCGCTCAGCCTCGTTGGGTGATGATGGCGGGGAACTGTCTCCCAGCCGGGGGCGCCGTAGCCGGATCCCGAGTAGTCCTGGGGATCTGAATAAGCGCCAGTCCATTGACTGCCGCCGGCGGACGTCGAGGGAGACTCCTGCTTGCCGCTAGGCGGGTTTGTTGTGGCGGGTGTCTCATAGTCTTCTGCCCCGGTATCAGAACCCGCATATGTGGAGGGTGCTGCAGCGAAGGGGATCTTGTTTCCTTGGGCATCCAACACGAAATTCCCATTCGCGTCAATCATGTACTCACCTTCGCTGTAACCACCCTCCGAACCAGCTGTGGCGTAACGGCTGTTGCCCTGCTGAGCAGGGGCAGACTGCTGACGTTGATACGCATCGCCAGCGCCAGGTGTTGTCGAGGGAGGAGGACCTTGTGGAGATGCTGTCGGCTCAGGTGGGTAGCCCTGGCCGTACTCGGCTTGGTAAGTGCCCTGTCCTCGGGTGCTGGCGTGTCGACTGGGACCTCCCTGGGTCATTGGAACAACCTGGACACCGCCAACAATGGTGGGCTGTCCAGATTGCAGGGAAAGGGTCCTATCGCGCTCCTCCTGCTCTCGCCGTCCCAGCTCTTCCCACGCTCTGCGCGCCTCCTCTTTAGATATAGAGAGCTCCTTGCGCATCTCCGAGAGCTGCTTCTGGGCCTTCGAAGTTCCTCGTTCATTCTCGACTGCCTCTCGAATGGCTTCAGCTCGTCCTCGTCTCTCTTGATCCAGGGCGGCGTCAAGCATGGCATTGACTTCTTGAGCACGTTCCAGCTCAGATCTCGTCTCGAAGAACCATCGCTGGAATTTGCGTTCTGAGCTCGCGCGAAGTCGCTGCAACTCGACGACAGCATGGAAGAGGTTCGCGCCGGCGGCGGAGAGATCGGTCACCTGGCGGGCAAGTTGTTGATTCAGAGGATCTCGGTTGACTTCATCCTTATTCTGCTCTAGTTTGCGGATCCAGTAGCTGGTGAGACCCTCCCAGTGGGCGGACAGTGTCTCCCATCGTTCAAATGCGTGGGGGAACGAGTTGCGAGGCTTTGAGCCGCCGGCAGTGCCTTGAGCTGCAGGCTCGCCCGTCTGTCCGCCGAAATTAGGTTGTGTCGTGGGTGCGGTAGAAGTGAAGGCCTGAGGCTGCTGAGTGGTGGCGGCAGTCCGGGATGGGCGCCGAGGAGGCACTTGTGAGGTGGTGGAGGCTCGGGGTCGGCCTGTGGTGGTTTCGGGAGCGACATGTGTCTGTCGCTGGGGTTCGGTAGGCTCGCGGGAGTCAACGGCGGGGTGTTGTCCGCCAGCAACGGCAGCAGTTCGACGCTCGTTCTGTCTTCGTGCTTCTTCCAGCAAGCCAGCCTCCTTTTCAGCTCTGTTGCGCTCCTGTCTCTCAGCCTCGGCTCGCTGTCTCGCCTCTCGGGCCGCGCGCTCCTGCATGATCATCCTCGGGCCCCTGATGCCAGAGGGTGAGCTTGAAGGAGCTGGGGCGGCTGTGGGACGGAAGGGCGCGGGAACGGAGTTGCCATTGGATGTAGGCGGGATACCGCTAGCTGCCATGAGTTCGGCCATGCTTGCTGATTCCTCGACAAGATCTGGAGTAAAGGGATTCGGGTTGCGCAGCGCCTCCTCGAGGGCAAAGAGGATGGCGCTGTGGGTGTGCTTGGAGATGCGGACCACGGGATGTGGTTCGGGACGGTTCGTAGGTCGGGAAGAAGATGGTCGAGGTGGAGATTGAGGGTGCTGCGAAGACACTTCGTCGGGATCGTCGATGAGGTCCTGAGACAGGCGTCGGCGGCGGCGAGGTATCTGACGATGTGCCGAGTGAAGTGGGATTAGGCCCAAGACAGTGGGGTGCTCGGGCTGGTGCTCGGGCTGCTCCTCGACAGGCGCGGGGATGGCCTTGGGCGCAAATCCAACCGAGGCGGCCGCAAGGTGAACCTGAGGGAGCTTTGGGCTCGCGGAGGCCTCAAACTTGGGAGTTCGACGGAGACTTCGGGTCTGCGAGGACGGAGTGGAGAGTCGCTCGACGGGATCCGGCGTCTGGGGAGGCAGCGGTCCGGGCTGCTGGCGTTGCTGGGGGAGGGACGTGGACTCGTAGCGGTCGTGACGGTCGTTAGGGGGGGATAAGGGGCGTGGGGCGGACACGACTGCGGCGCGGGGAGGAGGAGGGTTTGTAGGTGAGGTTGACAAGGTGAAGGATCACCAGCGGGCGCTGGTGGTGTTGGGCGAAGTGGTGTGTGGGGGTGAGCTGTCGTTGGTGTGTGGTTGTGGTGTTTCGGCCGGTACAAGTCAAGCTGGTGAATTGGTCTTGGTGGAGCGACCAACTCACACTCGACGCGACTCTGGTGAGTTGGGGAAAAATGGACTGACTGGAATTCTCGCAGTCGAATGCTCGAGGGTGAGAGGGAGAGTGCACAAAACGGAACCCAAGGGGAAGGACTGGCGGCAATCGTGGAAGTGTAGGTCCCCCGGTGGTGAAGTCGAAATGCTGGTGGCAGGGAAAAGTTGGAAAAATGGGGGAGGCTGGTTCCGCCAGCGCCCGGCGAGCGCCAGTGAGCGTCAGCGGGCCAGCGCACTCAGACCGCACTCAGACCACAGGCCGCAACGGAACCCAGTGAATCCCGGCTCTCAACCAACCGGACGGACTGGACGAGGGCCGTTTGATGCACAATTCCTTTTTGTCGATTCTGGACGCCGGCTGTCCACAGCTGTCCAATTGCTCCGCGCCGTCCTCAATGGTTGCATACAGCGAGTGCAAGGCTAGGCGCGTGTAGCGAAGCCCACTCCCGAGCTATGCTATCTCCCCGGCGGAAACCACCGAGGATCGGAACCAAAAGGGACGGGCTTGAGTTCCTTGGGCTGGCTGAGCTGAGGGTCCCTCGCTCGTCTGCCTCTTTCTCCGGTCGACTTTGGTGGCCGCTGGCTTTGGGTTGGATAGATGAATGGACAGATGGACTGATGGATGGATGGACTGATGAATAGGTGGGCGGATGGACACTGCTGCCCAACGACAACGGCGACTGATAGGCGTCTGGTGACGAAAGCCTGTATGCGCGTGCCCGCGTATGTATCCCTCGTCCTCGATGGACAAGCCTCGATCGGCGAGTCGGTTCGGACGCTGGCGCAACACAATGGCCGGGTTTGCGACTCGGTCATGCGCGCCTTGAAGCTGCAGACGGGTAATGGCGCGATCAGGACAATGGCGACAAAACGACCACCATGCTCGCGGCCTGATGGCGCAGCTATAACTCTTAAGACCCGCGTCGAGTTATCACCATTTGCGCGCGCGTCGTCAAGCTTGCGGGCGGGGATGTAGGAGTAGAGAAGAAGCTTCGACGTCCAAAGGGGCACACATCCACGCGCGCGAAACCCACAGACCGCAGACGCCAACACACACGCCTGCCTCGACGGGACGGGCGATCGGTTTGATGACTGATGGGATGGGATGGGATGGGTTGCAGGGAAGGCAAGGGACTAGACCATCTGTGCAGGCACAAGCAGGCGAGCTCGATGTATAATGCTCCGTACCTACATACAGGAGTGCTTCAACCAGGGCCGAGGCCAGGGCAGAACACCACCTCCTCCAGCACAGGGATCCATGACGAGGTGGGCATTAATTAGCTCCATCTCGGCCAGCAGACAGGTCACAGACAGGCCGCGGCCGATTTGGCCTTTCCTCGACGGTCGTGGTACGAAACGCCTCCACTGATGAGCCCGTGGTCTCGGTATCTCTCTGTTGCTCGCCATCGCTGGCTCTCTGGCCTGGCACCCTTCACATGATCGACAGGGACCGGAGCCAGGTTTGCACCTATTTCTCTCCATTCCCACCTGTCCCATCTTTGATTGCTTCTTCTTCTTCTTTCCATCCCGTACTATCATTACATTGCCCCTCCCGTACACAAACAACTTCCATCCCGCCACGGCACGAGAAGACACAAACGACGGCGGCCTCAACAATGCCTTTGCGATTGGGCCCGGCCGAAACGATCTAATTACGACCCGTGGGGGGCTTGTCTCGGGACGAGAGCCTGGCGTTTGGCCCGTCCTCCACTGATCACAGTAATGCCGATACAGCCCCAAACATACATAGCACAATCTTGGTGCTTCATAAACGCTGCCCGAGCCTTTACTGCGAACAGCCAAAGCGCATAATCTCGCCGTTGGCGTTGTGCTCCCGCGAAACGGCCCCTCGGCCTGCACCGACCACAGTCGTCACACGAGCTCCCGCGTGGGCAGGCTGCGGCCCCGACTCGCTCTCCCGCTCGCCGTCGACGTCGAATCACCACATTATGCTGTGACTGAAGCTTTGTCCCTCAAACGCAACAGCGTCCCGCGTCTCCCCGTCTTGATTAATTACCCCTCCCCCTTGTCTAGTAAGGTTAGCCGTGGACGGGAACGTGGTACGAAGGCTACGATGACCAGGGATACAGGACAGGGTCGGCCACACCAGCTGGACGAGGCGGACGGCACGATTGGCAGAGTGGTGCCAGCCCTGACGGCCTCCTAGATGAACCATCTCGCTCGCCGTCGCCTGCGCCTCGCACCCTGGCACCGGATCTAGTCCCCAACCCTAGCCATCGCCCAGCCCCCCTCGTCTGCCCCTGGAGACCCCGGCGCTCCACAGGGTCACAGCACCGAGCGGCTGGTTTAGTTGAGCAAATTAGGCCTGGGACGGGCCTGGGATGAGTTGTTGCGTCATGACAGAACTGGGCACTAGGCCGGTGTCGCGTTGTGTGCTTTTTAGCCAGAGCCTGGTTGTCAATGGCAGATGGCATCGCGCGTCGCCATGTCGAAATGCTGCTCACCAGCCGACTCGGCCTCGGGAGTTCAAAGCCTCGGGCTATGTCTGACATCACCGTACGTCAACGGCTCGCCTGCGTGTTCCATCTCGTCCGAAGCACAGCCTACGGCGAGTGACCTGCCGACTGACAAAGGAAAGAAAACGACCCGTCCGGCTGTACCTTACATGGTTAGTACGAAAACGCGTCGCGGCCATCAGCCAGCCACATCAACCAAAAGTGAAGTCTAGAGGGGGCGGGAACCACGGGTCGGCCCCGGCCCTCTCCCCCGGACCCGTTCCGTTGCACCCAATCCGCTCCTAGTCCACCGCGTCCCAGATGGGAATGGGAAGCTTTCTGGTCGCACCACACCACCATCATCACCACCATCACCAGGATCCCCAGGATTCAATGTTCGAATCCCCATGTCTCTTAATCCTCTTTTTGATTTTTTGCCCCCTTGGACGACTTCCAGATGTTAATGGCCCCCGGTCTCCAACCCGGACATGCCCCAGTCGTCGCCCCGCGTCTATCTCGCATAACGCGTGAGATCGTCTGAGGCGAACGCCCAAGCCGGCCAAGGATTGCCGCCTGTCAAGTCACCAAGGTCTGGTCCTGTTCTTCTTCCCTGCCCATGCACTCGGCTCTTGAAGTGGCGAGTTCGCCGTCCCAGCACCACTTGGTTGACTTGATGCAAATCCTGCTGGGCTTGCCTGTCTTCCAAATTGCGAATTTCCACGAACACCAGGGCAAGGCCCCGATGATGGTGAAATCCTGGAGGCCATCTCGGCGAAGGCCGAGCCTTTTCGACGACCCGGAGCGTAGCATTCTTCGCCTCGGAACACACCCGTATCATGCGCGTGAATAGGAACTGCAAGACGTAGGAAAACAAATCGTCGCGCCTACGAATGCAAGTCCATGCAGGGTCATGACGTCGATGCTGCTAGCTACACATGCGTAAAGATCGACAACCCAATCTGCAATCGATCGGTAGGGATTATCCTCTTTCCGACACCTCTGGCTGGCTGGCTGGCGATAAGGGCACTGTGTGAGAGTCTTGGCGATGGTGTTTGTTTTATGTTCTCCTAACACAGGTATAAACCCACTCCAGACTCGAATCAATAAGGACGTTATTATTTAGCCAACTCACAAGTGTGGCTATGATACCCTTTGTAATGGGTGAACCCTACACCACTTATCTCTCTGTATGAGCTATCCCTTAGCAAATTGTCCGAGTGTCGAATCCCATCGTAAGAAATTATGCTCTCTGTGTTTGGATACCCAGTTCGCAGTTTGCGCATTGTAGTATAGGGTACGCCGACTTGTTTGTTAAGCTCACGGGCAGACTCCCTCTACTACAACCACGTGCGACCTGAGCAGCTGTCGCAGACGATCATGGTTCTCGACCCCTAGTCAAAGCGCTCATATGCTGGTCTTACCTCCTACCCTAGGGCGACATTGTGCCTCTCCTGGCGTTCCCATACCCGAGACGTTTGGGTTCGGGTAGAGGTTGATGGCTGTAGTAGCAAGAGCAGTTCCTTGTCGCCCTCTCAAGTTCAGGGATTGGTCGACCGGATAGCTCCGACTCCTTACATAGATCCTGCTAGGGGAGAAGAGAAGAGCCGATGCTAAACAGAAGTAGTAGAGTTTGCCCCGTCTGCTCCATTGACTATGACCTGGCAGCTCGACTTAGTCCTGTCTCGATTAGCCCATCCCCTTAAAACCCCGAGTTCAGCACATGTTGTTTTCCTTTCAGAAAATGGTCCAATGGGAATCGATCATGATCATTCTACGGGGTACAGAATACGTACGTGTGCGTACGTTGGAGACTCAAGTGTCGATTGTTTTTTAAGCCCTTGCTTCCTTCTGGCTACCTTGCAGCACACGACACAACACGAGCTCCCAGCTATAACGCCATCTCGTCAAAGTGCGCGCCAGAGAACTGCCGGCATAGGTAGCCTCTTACGTGTGTCCTGGAGTCTGAGTACATGCTATCGCCGATGGAAAACATACCCACAAAGCCTCCGAATGTTGCGCTTCGTAGGTCTCAAGCCTGCCCTGGACACTCAGGCACCATCGACGAGACATGCAGGGCAAATCATGGCAGAAGCTATCTAGCAAAGAACTGCGATCGACATCCCGGTGCCATAGTTTCGGGGCTGGCTGGGACTGCGTACAGAAGCAGGGAGGGACGCGTGCCGCCCTGCCGAGGGAACACTTTGCGGACACGCGCGCGCGGTAGCTCCCTTTTCTCGTGTCACGGCAATGCAGTCTGCGGGGGTAGAGACATGCACAGAGAGGTGCAGGCAGGGAAGGCTCTAGAGATAGAGGGAGACAGAGCCGAAGAGCTCGAGAGGGAGCTAGATGGTTGGAGGGATTTTTAGAAAGTGATCAGTAACATGTCTGTCGGATGTTGAATGCAGGGAGCAAGATGGCGCATGAGCTACTGGGAATGAGCGTCCACTTGCTCCTCTACGAGTCCACGGAACGCGGACTACCCACTGGAGCCCACTGAAGTCCACAGCCCGCTGGAGCCCACTGGAGCCCGCTGAGGCTGTCAATTGTCAACATCCGCACGGTCTGTTTTCTGACAGAAGCCACGGAGGCTACCGGGTGAGGTAAGCAAACAGCTCAGCTGTGCTCAGCGTCTCACACACTGACGCTCTTGGCTCGATTCGCTTCCATCGTCATGCTTCGGCCAATGCCTCGACTGTTCTTCTTCCACAATGCAATCCGTTGACCAGTCGCGCCTGGAATCCAAGCGTAGTCGCCCCCTCGATGACACAGCACATCCGATCATTCTTAGGAGCCGTTGCCGGGGACAGCACAGCTTGTTTATTCGGTGGTTCTCACCTGTAGCAACTGTTATCCTCGGCCACCGAAGACACTGTCTCACGCCTCCGCCCAAACGCCACGCAGGTCTCTCCTGCTCCTGATGCAGGAGGCAAGGAGGGAAAGCGTCGGATTCTTCGCGGCAAAGCGTGCGGATCCAATGAGCCGTTCTGGACTCTGGCGAGCGCCATGACCCAGGGTCTAGACAACTGGTCATCTCCTAGCTGAAGACGTGGTGACAACAGCGTGATGAGCAGCGTCCACTTGATCAGATCACAAGCAGGACTGCCATGGTCATGACGCAGCATCGTCATCACCTGGTACCGATACCGAGAAACACCAACCCCTCCCGAGGAAACGGTCTCGGGGACACCACGGACCCTCCCAATCGAGCCATGGATCAATCTGTCAATCGTCGGATTCTGTGCCCAGCCTCTCGTTGATCACTGCCTGCCCTGGCCTCATTCCCCGGATGAATGTGCCTCATCCGCCCTGTGTCTCTCGGCCTGGAGCTATGGACCCTCTTGTATGGGGCGTGTGGCTAAGACCCGACGGCAGGTCGCTTGCTGCTTGGCCAGCAAGCCAGCAAGCCAGCAAGCGACCATGAGCACGCTAACGAGTCTGGCCAGCAGAGTTACAGGTTATGTGTATGGAGAAGGTCTCGCTGGACCCGTTTCGAAGCAAGCAGACCATGCCAATATTTCTTGGTAGCGAATTGTTTACTGCTGCGAGTCAAGTCGACTATCATATCTCACTTTTTTCCCTTTGTTGTCTCTCAGTGTCTCCGCTGAGCCGCGCCTTGTCTCTTCCCTCTCGTTCTGGAGGGACCCTTTACTGCGGTCCCTATGCACCAGTGCCTTATCCGAACTCCTCCCTCTTTTCTTATTCTCCCTCTCTCGGCCACTGGCTGTATGTCTAAGGGACTTGGCACAACATCTCAAACAACTCAGAGAAGCAAGGAAGGGTCTATGCAAGTGCAGTGCTCGGACGTACACCTGCGTTATGCACCAGTCGTGGAGCAGCCCAGCAGCATGATGCAAGGGTCATGTCAGGGCCAGGTCGCGTCTGCATACCAGACTCCCAGGTGAGAGCTCTTGGGACGAACACGCAACATACCTGCAGGATTGTCTGGAGGGAGGGATGGGGCCAGTGGCCCCTCCATGCAGGAATGTCCCTCCAGCCCGAGGGGGGTCCATGATATTCTCGGACAGATCCAACGCTTCCGTGGCGTGGAGCCCCACGGCGGTGTCTCACAAGAAAGCTGACAGCTCTCTCTGCTCAATATTTTTTATATCATACCGTCGTATCCCTGGATCGATCCCTTCAACATCAAATTTCTGTTGTAAGGTAATCTCATGCTGAACAACTGACGGCCCACCATGGAGCGCACCAGCAAGCTGGCCGACCTTAAGCTCGTTTCGAAATATTACCCTGTCGCAAATTATTCGTACCCACAGCCTGACAGGCGTTCACACAATGGACACAGCCAGAGTCGAGGCTCCAACGCTAGCAGCAGAGCGTCACTGGGATCCGACGGATCTGTCCCGGGCCTGATTGACGACCGGACGGACTCAGAGGTGTCCTTGGATGACGACTACCAGTACCATACTCACGCCACTGAGCTATGGGATAGCTTCTGGAAGCCCGGTACAGAGGCAAAGAGCCCTGAGCCGGAGCTCCAACCCCGAAAGCAATATCCAGCCCTGATTCCTTCCCCTCAACAACGAAAAAGGCTGGGACTAGAGGAGCGTCGGATCCCAGCATGGCCACTGCCCGAAGGCCCTCTACCTCGCTCTCGCAGGGCTGCAGCCACGTACTCGCCCTTCCCCAAGCTGATTCCCCTGCCTCCTCGGACTTCATCGCTGGTTCCGTCATGGCAATGCTCCCGATCGAAACAACCACCACAGCGACCACCTCGCCCGGATGAGAACTTGATTGAGAAGTTTCTTGAGAAGTCTCAGGTCGAATTGGTTCGGTCAACCCAAGTCGAAATTATTGAACCGCCTCGTGTTGAGGTTGTTGAGCAGCCTCAAGAAGAGGTTGTCGAGAAACCTCATGAGGATGCCATCAAGTGCACCGAGATTGAGATTGTCACGCCTTCATCGCAACTAAGCTCACCGGTCTTGAGCCATTTCGCCACCTCACCAGAAGCATACAAGACAAACTTCTCCCGGCCGGTCACACCAGTGGACCACCACCCAAAAACATCCCTGGACATTCGCCCTACTTCATCTCTGGAAAGGCATCTCTCCATCTATTTGACAAGTAGCCAATCCGCTTCAAACCTTTCCCAACTTGACTCTCAGCCCATTACTCACGCCATGGCTTCGAAGAAGTCGGCCCCCTCTCTTCAATCAATCACACGGGCGTCTGATCCGGAGCCCCAACTGCTCTCTGTTTTTGAGTATGACGACTCGGACTCGGAATCAGAATCAGAGGATTCTCGTGCTCTGTCCTTCTTCCGTTTCCACAAACGCGGGAGTAGCGACAGCCGCCGCGCAAGCAAGAGCTCCGAGTCGGGCCATCGGCGACGGCGTACCAATGGCGGCACAGTCCCCTCGTCGCCTACTCAAGACCGCCCGGATCGTCTATCTAAAGACTGGGTTGCAGGGCGGAAGCGACAAGGCGGCGACGTTCTTGGGCGCATGCTCGGGCGGCGCAGCAGATGAGCGCTTTGCATTTTACGTTAACACATCCAACTACTTTGTCTCGACGACTAGCGACATTTCATGATTTCTTTTATCGGCCTTGCTTGTTTGATCCATTATATTATTCACCACGACCCCAACCATTACACCTATCACCGCTACAACTGTACAAGCACCGAAATTAACACCAGCGCACAGCATGGAGTTTTGGAACCGGGGAGTTGTTCTTGCGGCTGCTAGGCCGCCACTCTGTTTATCTTATTTGGCCGAGCGAACGACGCACTCACGCCACATGACACGAGATGAAGAACAACGATCCGAACACACAAGAATGAGAGAAGCAGCGAACAGCCGATTAGTCGGGTGGAGGAAGATCTGGAAAATGCGGATCCGGAAAGAAAGAAGAGCACGGGACCGCGAGGTCCATTCCTGAGCTCAGGTAACTGCTGAGAAATACTTGCTGCTCACAAAGCAGTAGTGGGGGCTTCGGAAGATGCCAAAATGGTGAAGGGTACAGCCGAAACAGGGTGAGCACAGCTTTTGTGAACTTCAATCGTTAGTTACAGTGGTTACTCTACCACGTCTTACAAATTCACTTTGTTTCTGACTGAAACGTCTCTCATCTCGTAACGGCAAGATGAATGCCGGGGTGCACCGAAGGTGGCGTGGCGATGAGTCCCTCTGCCGCGTGGAGAAGTGTTCATGTGTGATCATATGAGATGTCATTTCTCCCTTTGTTGATTCATAGCTATACACATACAGACATTGCTTGCACAGACTTTTCCATCTTGAGTCATCCCGGCCTCGGGCAACAATGCGCATTCCAAACGTTACATCCCTTTCGTAATTACCACCCACCATCGTAACCGTAGTCGTAGACGCTAAATATTATACCCGAGTTCCTTTACCAAACGCCATAACAATGCAATCAAGCGCGTTCTGTCCCAGTGTTGGGCGGCGCAACAAAAACAATAAAAACAAATCGCACATATCGCCCATTCTCATGAGACAATTCTAAACATTAACATCTCCTCATATCATAGATCGCGTCGATCTCGTTCTCTTCTCAGTAAATCGTTGGAGGGGGCGCACGCTGAGGCGGCGCTCGTCCCTGCCGGCCGAGACGCCAAAGAACCACATGGACTGCTCGCGAGAGTCTGCTCGGTCTAGGCCTAGGCGAGTCTCGAGGTCTTCGGGGGAGGCGATGCCCCGGAAGACGGCGTCCTGGGTGGTGTCATCGGCAGCGCAGAGGCTGATGAGCTCGGCAAGGCAGGTGACGGGATGGGGCAGACGGAGGGAGCGTCGGCCAGGTAGCATCAGGGAGAGGCAGCCGAGGTAGAGGAACAGGAATGCCAGCAGGACGCCGAACACTGGCATGTTGGGGAACATCTTGACCTGGCCGCGGACGTTGGTCAGGGCCATGAACAACCCGCCCGCCAGCACGGGGATGAAGACAAAGAGCACCGCCATCAGAGATATGATGGCGACCCGCCAGTGTCCGTTCCTAAGTGCCTTCCAGGTGGCTTGGAGGGGGAGGCACGCGGCGTAGTCGGCGAGGAGCGACTTCTGAGCGATGGCGCCGGAGGGCTTGGAGAGCTCCGCCCACGGCTGGAGCACGCGGAGCGACTGGTCCAGGCTCTGGAAGAGCAGGAACATGACCATGCCCAGAAAGGACGGGAGAAAGCCGTACAGGAAGTTGGCAGCTGAAAAGGCGCCCTTGGCGGGTCGTGCCGTGAGCAGCGGAAGGTAGCCGTGGTCTAGTCTGGTCTGGGGCAAGAAGGAGACGACCAGGATGGCCAGGACGAGGAGGAACATGAAGACGAGGGACCCAATGATGGTGAAGTCGCGAAGCGCAAAGGGCAGATAGCGGTGGCGAACATACTGGGCCTCGGCCTCTAGATCATCGCGGGAAGAGGCTGGGGAGATGTTGTAGCTGGCCTTCTTGGCGACGACGCTATACGAAGCCTGCCGGCCCTCGTCTGTGGCGGATCCGATGCCATACCACATGCCTCCGACCCGCTGGCCCTCCGTCTGCCAGTAGCCGAGTCTGTCGAGGTGGCGGTCTCTGAGCTGGGCCTTGAAGAGGGTGCCCCGCTGGACGACATCCACGTTCTCGTAGCTCTTGGTGGTGTTGCTCTGGTTCAAGAGGGGCACGAGATGGCCGATGGAACGGACGTCCCACAACAACCCGGTCCACCGTCTGAACCAAAACACCATCAAGATGACAGTCGCGACAAGCAACACGATGTAGATGGCCACAAGGGTCCAGACCACGCCCTGGACGGCCGCCCAGATCCACTTGCCCTCCTCGAAGACGCAAGTGAAAGTAGTGCTCTGGAGGGGAATGGTAAAGTTGGCCAGCCAGGTGGCGACGCTGAACAGCTGAAACTGCCAAGGCCCATTCAACGCGGGCAGCAGGAACGTCTTTGGGTAGAGGCTTCGGAACAATGCGAGATAACGCACGCTGGGTTCGGAATCAGCCATCGAGGTGAAGGGGAGGATCCGGAGAGACGCGGCGACGATGCTCTGGGCGTATAGGAGGACGAGAGCGGAGAGGATTTGAGGGAGGATGCGAAACAGGAAGTATTGGCCACTGTAGATGCTTCCTGGGTAGGGAGTCAACCCGGAGTCGGAGTCGGAGTAGATGCCGGAGAAGATGAGGGCGGCGATCATGAGCGCGCAGAGCGTCATGAAGATTAGCATGGAAAAGGGCCGCAACACGGGCGGCTTGTAGTCGAGAGGCGGGTGCGCTCGCTCAATGGGGGTAGACTTGCGTCTCGTTTGCTTGCGGGCCGGAGCGGCCTCATCGCGAACTGGGTCGGAGGGGGCCGAGGGAGACTCCTCAAGGTGGGCCGGGAGTTCATGATGCACCACCGTCTCGTGGCTAGAGTCGGGGTCCATCTGTCTCTCGGCGCTCACAATTCGACGGGCTGGCTCGTCTCTTTCATATCTCTCAGGGCGCTCAACCTGCTCAACCGGCAGACGATCCTCGACGTAAGCGGGCTCCGGGGGTGAGAGAGCCGGGAATGGCGAATCGGCATCGGGGAGCCTCCGCGGCTGGGTGTATGCCTCGTGGGTGTACTCCTCATCCGAGTCGTAGTCTTCGGAGCTGGAGGGGAAGTGGACCGGCGCCGGGCCTCCGCGATCCCGAGTCAAGGCCTCAATTGCGTACTGGATGTATGGCGTGTCATCGACGCCTGGCGTGACTTTGCCGGCGGCGATGGCCAGCTCGTCCTTGATGCTGGCCATGCGAGCAGCGTTTTCAGCGGCAATCATGGCTATTTGCGCCTCGTCGAAACGGACAGTGTGGTCGTTTTGGTGGTGCCGGGAGGTGGGGGGAGGGGCGAATGCTGCAGACAGTGGGGGAGCAAAGTGGCGATCAGGGCCGTAGATTTCGGCTGTGGATGCTGATAACGAAGGTGGTGATGGGGCGTGGAGAAGGGCTGTGGGCTGAGGTGAAAGTGAGGGATCTAGGCGCTGTCTGAGATCATGGTAGGGGCGGAGAGTTGGGAGAGAAGATTGGTCGTCGTCTTGGTGAGAATGGTCAGTAGACAGAGTTGGAGGCCCTCGACCTAAGAGAGGCAAATATTAGTTGAGGCCGACAGACGAAAGAGGAACAAACCAAAAAAAAAAAAAAAAAAAAAAAAAACACAGCGAGAGCGGTGACGATGAAGGATGAAGGAAAGGAAAACAAGAAACTCGAAAGGAGAAAAAGACAGCGCAGCTAGCGTCACATACGAGGCTCATGGTCGAAGTTGAGGTTTTGGAAGTTCATTCTGAAAAAGCAGGACTGCGGCAGCCCAACGACAACACCCACTCCACTCAGACACGAACGGGAAGAGGAAGACAAAAAAGCGGTGGGCTAATTAATTGCGCAAGATGAAATGCAAGAAGAGACTGCATGATGCGCGACTAGAGGAATTGAGATATGGTTGGACTATGAAGCTTCTCACGCGGGAGGTTGGGAAGCAGAAAGCAGAAGGCAGAAGGTTGGGAGGCCGAATTTCCCAGCCACCACCCGACGCCATCGCGGGCGGCCCGTCCAGGATGAGTGGGGGGGCGTCGCGCCGGAGCTAGGGCGGCGGGATCCCGGTCTGGCGCAGGGCAGGGCAGACAAAAAAAGCAAGGACGCGCTGTGTTTCACTTACGGAGTGCCCTCGGTTGGAAATCGTCACGGCTTGGGCGCTGGGAAAGGGCAGGAAAACTCGATTGACTCCTCGAGGGGTTTCTCTGAAGACGGTGAAGAAGAGGGAAAGAGGGAGAAAAAAGTCACCCCAACTGTACAACTCAGCGAAATGGGTGAAGCCAACCTGAGTGGGTTGATGCGTTGTTCCAACGGCTTTCGTTGGACAGGCAAAGCGAGGCGGCGCTAGCCCTCATCAGGCCACGCCTACCGGTGCTCCGGGAGACATTGTGCGAGCCGGCCCCATCAGCAATCGGCCGGCCTCCCGTACGACTGGACGCGAAAATGGCAGGTTGACGGGGAGGGAGTGCGAGGTTGAGATGGCATGAACCGTCCCAACGACTCATCCGCCCGTGGGAGACCTCGTCACTGCAGTGTCACCGGGTCGCATCATGATCGCCATCGTGCATGCCCGAAGCTTGTCCCGTCGCACCCAGCTCGCGCGACAGGGGCCTGAGACGACGGCGAGCCAGGGCGCGCCAACCTCCTCGAAGGGAGCTGGGTCGGCGGGTTCCTGTTCCGCGCACACGATAGCTTCAGCGCCGCGACACCCATGATGATTAACACTGGGGTCCAGGTTTCGCCTACGGTACTGGTCCTTGTTTCGAGATGTACAATTCCACGCGAGCTGCGTGAGCCCATGCATCGCTGATACTACACTACGGGGAACATGCCTTTGGGACCCATCGCATCGAAGCATCATGGAATCTCTCCACATCCTTGGAAACTTGGCAACTGATTCTTTTGCGATTTCCCCATAATTTTACGAAGGAAGTTATATCGAGATTAATTGTCAATTGACTGGTTCCGTCGTTCAGGATGCTTCCTGTGGGCGTGGTTCCGTGCGGTTGATAGATGTGAAAGACAGCTCCCATACACAGCCAGCATTATTACATGTCAACTAATTTGCGATTTCGCGAACCCGAAAATCAGCTTCGATAAAGACCATACGAGTCCCGAACTATTTTGAAGAAAATGTATGTAGTAATTGGTAGGGGAAATTGCGTGCAACACTCGTGAGAACCCCTTCGGACTATAACCAATGTCATGACGGAGTCATTTCGTGATGAGGTGGAACTCAATAATGGTTTATGGGTGGCAAACCAACGTCAAACGCTAAGGAAACTCCTCTTGGGCCTCGAGACCGATCATTACTGACTTGAAAAGCCATGTGAAAGTCGTTAGCAATTACGGATGTTAGCTCTCGCACGGAGCCTATCGCCAACCACCGAACAAGGTAGGACGGGACACCTGAAGCAAGGGGGGCCAAGCCCTACATAGTCAAATATATTATTCGAGGAGAAAAAAATAAAGATATTGAGCCGTCAGCTTCGGACACGCGCCGATTGGTGAACCATAGCAAACGATCGGATATTAATGGCCCAGATGCAGGGACCAAGTTTCAGAAGAGGTGGTTGGATGGCGGGACGCCAGGAGAGGGTGGCCAAATTTACGTGTGCTGGGTTGGCTTGGGCCACATCACCACTCAAGAACCAGCCTCTCATGGCTTGAGGGAGCATGGCGCGTTGAGTGGTTGCGCGCGTGTCTGTCGCGTTCGTTGGGGGAATTAATATGAGCTGCCCTCGGCCCAGGCGTAGTTTTGAATTGACGCTGGTGTAGTCCGCACTTCGTATTTACTTGGCAACTAGTGAATTGTGCATCACCAGCGCGTCATCACACCCTCTCGTAGAGTTGAGGAATGACGGAACTCTGATCTGTGCCAAATCACGTGACTCGATTCCAAAAACGAACTAGAAGCAAAACCTCCAGGAACGCCAGATCTGGCTGCCAGTGATGTCAGAGTCTGTCAGCCTGAGTAATCGATATGAAAGCGAGACGGACCGACCCCACACCCCTTCGCATCGTCCCGCTCCACCAATCCGGGCCCTGATGACCAAGGATGATTAAGAGCTTGGGGACGCCTGTGGGTAGCTTGAGTCTAGTTACTGCGTAGTATACATATCTCGTCAGCGTTGCCAATCCATCATCAATTGCACCCATCTTGACGTAGGCACTTTCTCGGAGCTTCCTCACTTCGGCTCCATTGTGTATATATGTCGCGCTTCACTTCCCTCAGTGCAATTTTCGTTGCTACAATTTCCATCCTCATCATCATCTACTCTCCAAACCACTACCTCTCAGAGCTTCAAAGACTCGCCAGCAACATCTTCACTACAAACAACAACAACAACACCATTACTCTCACCCCAAACACCGACACAATAGTCTCTTCAGAGAACCAGCAAATGATCAACACTGCTAAGAACGCCGCCAAGAACATGTCCAAGTCACTCCACCAAGCCAAGATCACCCCCCACAAGTCCAGCACTCGTGGTCACTCTGACCATGGCTGGCTGAACACCTACCACAGCTTCTCCTTTGCCGACTGGTACGACCCTCGCTTCAACAACTTCGGCTCTCTTCGCGTCCTCAATGAGGACCGCGTCAAGGCCAATTCTGGCTTCCCTACCCACCCTCACCGGGACTTTGAGATCTTCAGCTACCTCCTTGGTGGAGAGCTAACCCACCGAGACTCCATGCTCGCCAAGGGCAAGGAGGGCGGCCAGTCTGACAAGTTCTTCCGCATGCACCGCGGCGACGTCCAGTTCACCACTGGCGGCACCGGAATTGCCCACTCAGAGTTCAACGAGCACAAGTCCGACACCGTCCACTTCCTCCAGATCTGGGCTGTCCCGTGGAAGCGCGGTCTCCCTCCCAAGTACCACACCCGCCACTTCAGCGAGGAGTCTAAGCGCGAGGCCTTTGTCAAGATCCTCAGCCCCCTCAAGGGAGGAGTTGACGCCACCGCCGAGCAAGAGAAGGCCGCCGAGGCTGTGATCCCCGACACCATTCCCATCCACGCCGACTTCGTCATGGCCGCTGGTATCATCGCCCCCACCAAGACTTTCGAGTGGACCGTCGGCGGCGAAGCCACCACCGAGACCAAGCGCAAGGTCTTTGTGCATGTGCCCATGACCAAGGGTGGAAAGAGCAAGATCCGCCTGGACGGCCGGGAGGATGCTGAGCTTTCCGAGGGCGATGGTGCCTTCATTGAGGGCGTCAACGCCGGAGACAAGCTCTCCGTGGAGAGCATCGGCGAGGTCGAGGCCGAGGTTGTTGTTTTGGATACGGCTTAAGCCTAACCAGCGATAATCTGACAGGCTGGCGATCCGGAGTTCAAGAATAAAAATGTATTTAGTGTGGAATTCATAGAATATTCCCTTTTGACGAATAACGAAAAAAGTTATTACATACATCATTGTTCCAATTGTGACAAGCCCTGTATCTCCTCGTTCTCAACAGGTTACACCACCTCTAAGACTTGAATAGAAAGTCATCAGCCGAGGTACCAAATAACCAAGTCTCTAACTCCATAAAAGCATCAAGATCATTGCTCTCCGATGAAATGGTGACCTTTGGATTATGCCACGGGTATGTCCTCTTCGTCCCGGCTCCATCTTTGCCACGCAACTCCTCCCCAATGCGGCGACAGCTGTCAAAGTCGATGAGGACCATTGTTCCATCCTCGCCAAGCATAATATTTGCGGGCGTTATGTCGTTGTGGACAATACCAAGGGAATGTATGTGATCGATGGCTTCTTTTATTCCCCCAAGAGCTTGCTTAATTTTATCGTCCACGTAAGGCCGTCCACTTGAAAGAAAGGCCGACTTGTTTAAATGTTGAGGGTTGACTTTACTGGCAAGAGTTGTTGTATATCGCTTGAAGCAAAGCCCAGATGCCCGTCCCCTGGTTTCTCGACAACCGTAGTATAGAGCAATATTTGGATGTGGGTGCTTTCTTAAAATCTCGCACGTCTCAATTTCCTGGAGGATGAGATTCTCGAGGTTGGGCGCTTCAGCGTATGCAAGGAGGTTGGGCGTCTTGACATAGCAATCTTGCTCTTCCGCTATCGTCCAGTCGGGTTGCATTTCTGGACCCCTGTCTTCTGTGTCTACTTGCTTCACATCATGAAGCCCGGAAAAATCGGCTGGCAGTTCCCTTCGACTGTTCCATTTCGCGGCATACAAGACGTTTTGGTGGCGTATAATGCCTTTGACGTACTGGAATTGGAGTTTCCCTTCGACAAGTTTAAAAGATTCATTTGACTGGATGACTCTCATGCTGCCCGCGAGCGATTGCTTAAATGAATGAATGAAGTACGGAATAGATGACGCTGAGGCGGTCCGAAGTTTCTTTTGCGTCGGCTGTCTCACATTACCTAACCCCGCACCGCCCCCTCATAGGCCGAAGCACATGGTAACCTTGACTGTAAAAAGTAGTTGTAGAATGTTGGATATTCATAAAGCATGAGGCCTGTGGTTGTGGGATGGAAATATAGTTACAAGAGCAGGAGAAGGAGTGGGAGGGATCATGTGTTGGTGGTGAGATGTATATCCGCTCCTTGTCGGTCCTACGTCCATTGCCGAGTATCCCGAGGTACTTGGGTTGAGTCTAACTCATTTCAAGTGCAACGAAGGCCGCTGGTGAAGGGTTTTGGGACCGTTTCCTAAATTTACTCTTGTAGTCTGTTTATCGAAAACGGAATGGCAAAAGGCGCAAGTGGCTGAAGTCCCGGAGAAGGTACTTTGAAAGAGAATAGGGTAGATGAAAAGGGGATCAGGTGTATGAAGCTCTCTCAGCCAGCAGGGAGTAGTACAGTAGGCTTATGCAATCATGCCATGCAATTAGAACATGCTTTGACCATGAAATAAGTCCTCGAAGACTGCTCTGGCTGTCGATGGCTGTTCTGAAGATGCCAAAAGAAGACGCAGGAGACAAGGTAGAGAGTCCCCAACTGTCCGTTTGGCCCGGCGAACTTAGATGAAGCAAATGGCCAATTTGGATTACTGACCGATGGGCATTTCCTTGAGTGGCACTCGCCCCGAATTCGCCGAATGGATCTCATCCTTATCCCGGAGTGCCTGTCGCATGTGCGTCCGTAGAGAATGTGGGAATACGGAAGACGGCGAGAGCTCCCGAGACTGGAATTAATGTCTAGCGCTGAGCCTTTGGATCATCAGCTCAATGCCTTGATGCATGTGCAAGTGTCGGGTTTTCCGATTCCAGTGCACTCATCAAGTCCTTTCCCATTATGCAGCCAAGAGTACCACTGAGATTGCATGGAGACGATTAATGTTGCCCACTTTCCGATTAATCACCGGAGAAGATGTGCTGAGACTGACTAATGGTGCTCGATGAAATCACAGCATAATGCCTTGATGAAGTTTTCTCTTGCTACTGGTCATCCCTTACTCGAGGTCATTTTACGACCCAGAACCCGACAACGCGGTTATATACAGCACAGCTAATGGAACGAGCGCCATCTTGCTCTCGACGATGATGACGCTACTTTTGTAGAGGGTATATTTCTCTCTAATACTCTCCTGTGATGTCGCATGAGTTCAATAGTGGCTTTTGTACACACTGCCCACGTGTATTCTGTGTTTGGGCAAGAACCATGTACTTCCTTGGCGCTAAGCGGAGGATGCTCGATTGGGAGGCCATCTCCATCTTGGCCGCCCACCTTCCACGGTGACATCTGACGCTGCCCACTTCCCGATTGATCCCCCGGAAGGATGCGCCATTCCCAAGTCGGGAGGAGCAGATGCACGTTCATGGGAGAAATATGAGGCAGTCAACAGGGGCACCAATCACTAGTGGGAGACTGAGACCTGACGCAGCATTTCCTGGTGGAGAGTGGACGGATACGCGGAAGCCACTGCAAGAAACTCGATCAGATGGATTGTATCTGCGCATATGCCTGTGTGAGTAAAGTATGCGACACTGTCTTATAGCCTTACGCGCATCTGTACCATTTAAACTTTCTAATCCTTGTGTTCCGGACTACATAGCATGCACGAATACTCTATCGCGACGAGCCGCGTAACACTGGGCGATTTAACCTTCGTCCCCTTGTGGCCAGGATTGTGTAGGGACGTCGCTGCAAAAAGTGGTAGGTTGTGGTGGGGAAGAGTGATCTGATAATGGCCGTGTTAGGGCCGAGGGAGAGTAAAAGCGTGCTTGCTGGGCTACCCCTGCAAGCTGGTTGGGAAAACGGCCATCCACGCTTGTCGACGAGCATTGACCTTTGGCAGCAAAAGAGAGACACAGTAGAGCTGAGAGGCTGAGAGCTGGTGAGAACTAGCATGTTGGTGGAAAGTGGTGTATCCAAGGCTGAGCTGCTGGTACAAGGCTGATTTGGCAACTATGCACCTCAGCTGGAGCTGAACTTGTAGTCTGCACTAGAAATTCGACTGATGTCTCAGTGAGCCGCCGGCAGGTCAAGTCTCCCAAGGATGAATGGAGAAACGCAGGGGAAAAAGCATGGTCAATGGTGTTGTTGGTGAGTGGCTTGTCCATAGTAACCGAGCACATCCTACAGCCAGGGTCGAGCCTTGGCAGGAATTTGTTGCCATCGACTGTCAAGCCTCGAGGATCCGTTCGGCAATCGATTCGAAAATGAAGAAAAATGCCCATAAAATTTGGACGGCGGAAAGGTCCCGGGTATAAGGCCTTGGCAGGCAGTCCGTTTACTCGGTGAGCGGGGGCGGACGGACGAGCGTGAAATGAGGGCTGGTGACGGAGGGCACGGAGATGCGCTGAGGGGCTCATTTCGTCATTCTTCACATCTGAATGCATCCGTCTCCGCGGGATGGAGACAACAACCAGTGGCAGGTGAGTGGGCAGCGGCAGGAAAAAAACAGCGAATGGAACCACACCATTTCGAGCTTTCGTCAATCACATGAATGGGGCGGTTTCCGGGCCGAAGGGAGGGCGGCACAGACGCAGGAACAGCAGAGCCAAGCATGCGAGTGACCCATTTTACTCGCTGACAGCCCTGGCAGTGTGCGTGAAGAGGCACACAGCCACAGCAAAGCAATTAAGAGTAACGCGCGGCCTCGACGGTTAGAGGTGTGACAGCCCTGTGTGCATGAGAGGCACGGTACCGAAACCGGCAACGGTCCCGTCGTCGCATCTAGTATTACTGAGTAGCAGTTGACGACAAGCGCAAAACGTCGGGTAGGGGGACCCCGGATCGGCAGTATCCCGTTTGGGTTGGGCAGCACAACCAACACCAAGCGCTCCCGCAGCAGCAATGACAGTCAGGGCAGTCAGGACAGCAAGGACAAGGACGGCATGGACGGCATGGGTCAACGGCACCATGTCTGTGGCCACGCGAATGGGAGACAAGCGCTCAGACAGCAGGCACCCATGAGGCCAGGTGCCTGACAATAGCTACCCGCCAGTGGCTGTCTGTCTCAAGAGAGCACCCAAATTTTACAAGCCCACTGTCCACTGTGCACGTTGAAATACCATCTATTCCATGTACAGCAGTAGTTGTAGTAGGGCTAGTCTCGCTTGGGTTGCTCCGGATCAGCATGGGTAGCCTTCCCCATATGGCACCACAGCATCGGATTCAAGCCTATCACCACGCAGGTTCAGGGAAGATCCAGGAGTATCCATGAGGCACAGGGAAAAGTCAGGTCCGCGCTTCGTCCGAGCCAACAGCGGAGCGTCCATGAGGCCCATCTGCCCCCTTTGGCCCCCTGTTAGCCAGCCTTGGACGATGCCAAGCACACGGGCCAACTAGGCTCTGAGCCCTACGGAGAGTTAGTGGGGGCATCAGTGGAGAACACCGCTACAGCACAGGGGGCTCGAGGCTGCTAGTGCCCTACAGGGAATTTGTTGACCACTCAGAACACTCTGGCTGAAGGCGCTAGGCGAGACCCACCTGGAGCCAGGGATTACCAGCGATTTGGGTGTGCCATCCACGACGTCTTTCCTGGGCTGCCCTTTTCCATCACGCCGCACACTGTGAACAATACCGGCCCGCCCACTCCCGCTTCCAGGCCAAGCGCCATCGAGATACTGGCGCCTCTGGCTCCTACTAGGCCGTCTTGGGTCTTTCAGCAGAGTGGGATACAATCAATAATGTGCGATTCAGGCGGGCCGCGTCACTGTGCAGCTCCGTCATTCTTCTGTTGAAGGGTTCACACGGGAGGTGTCTTCCCCTCGCGACTCCATCTTCGGCTCCGAGCTCTCATGTACGGTGTACCTACCATCTGCCGCTTTTCCGCATGTCCCCGCCGCAGACTTGCTCGCAAGGCTCAATAAAGGCCTCAGGGGATAGGGTCGCGGCCGCCAGAGGAGTTCCCTGACTCACTTAGACTCAGTTGTGGGTGCGTTTGGCGCCATGCTGGCTCATATTCGCTGGCACTGACCAGCATCCTCCAGAAGTCTGGGGGGATAGTACCTTGCTTATTAGTGGCTGCTGCTACCGTACCCATCGCGGTGTGGCACCATATGCGCTCGCCGCTCAACCTCCTCACCAACGCCATCAGGTCCATGCCGATATGCCGGCATGTCCACACCAACACCGCGCTTGGCGTCCGGGTACCTGACTCCTGAGCCAGTGACATCCTTCTGTCAATGCCCAGCGTCGGGAGACGCTAAGCCTGTTCCTGAATGCGGCAGCAGTTGGTATTCCCTCCTCCTGCCTGCAGACGGTGGGCTTCACTGCCATCCTAAGTGGGAAATTGCTGTGGCCATGCCATCAGGCCGCCCCATAAACGCCCCCGGCTTCTCCTTGGCCGGGGCTGGGACGAACGGGGGGTTCACTTCGATTGCCTAGAGTAGGAGTCGCCGATTCTCATGGCCCATCTTGGGGGAGTTGGGCCTGACTAGGCCGACAGCGTCAAGAGGCGCAAATAGTGCCTTCTCTGCTCCTTCTTTTCTCTTTCTTCTTCTTCTTCGTCTTCATCAACTGTCTTGACTTTGTCAACCCCAGACACGGCTCGGTTCTAGGCCATCCTGCAGACCTTCGGTTTGCGTCCTTTCGTTGATCTCAGTATCATCACACTCATTATCGACTTCGGTCAACTTACAATCTTTCCCCCTTAATACCTTAATCACTCACATCATGTCTTCTGTCTCTTCCGTTGGCCCATACGGCGGCCTCAACGGTTACTGGGTACGTAAACTTTTGACACATAGATGGACCTCGGGATAGGCACACTAACCTGTCTCAGGGTCAATATGGCTCCGATCCCATGAAGTCATACTGTGATAGCGGCGTGGAATACATCTCCATCGCCTTCGTCAACCGTGCTCCCGAGCATGAGGCTTCAGGCTGGCCAGGTACCAACTTCGCCGGCCACTGCCCGGGATATAGCTTCAGATATGGAGATGCTCTTCAGTACGAGTCAAACCTGTGGGAAGATTGCTATCTGATCCAGGAGGGCATTCCTTACTGTCAAAATCTTGGTGTCAAGGTTCTGCTTAGTATCGGCGGCGACTACAACGAAGCGACCAGCAACTATGAGGTCACTACCGAGGATAATGGTCGCGAATTTGCCGATCTCTTGTACAAGATGTACGGCCCCAAGCAAGACTCCTGGGATGGTCCCCGCCCTTTCGACAGTCTCCTGTACGGATCACAGAGCGTTGATGGTTTTGACTTCGATATCGAGAAGGGTTTTGGTAACTACGACGCAAACACTGGCTATGGTAAGTTTCTCGGTTCGCTTTGACCTGCCTCTGCTGACCTTCGCGCTCTTAAGACAACTCGCCCTACATCGCTATGGTCGATGAGCTTCGCACCTTGGACTCTTCGCTTATCATCACTGCTGCTCCCCAGTGCCCGATCGCTACTCAATACTTCTACATGAAGGAGCTGATCCAGACGTCAAAGCTCGACGCACTCTTCATTCAATTCTACAACAACGAGAATTGCGATTTGATCGGCAGCGGAACAAATGCTTACGACAACTTCAACTATGAGGCTTGGGAACAAATCCTGGCTGGTAGCGACCAGAGCAAGGATGCCAAGATCTTTGTCGGTCTCCCAGCCGACTCGTCTGCCGCTGGTACTGGCTACGTCACTCCCGATGTCGTTTCGGAAGTTGTCCAGTACCTCAAGGACAAGGCTTCCTTCGGTGGTATCTCGCTTTGGGACCTGAACCGAGGCGCTTCCAACAAGGACGCGGATGGCAAGTCATTCAACGATGCCGTCCTCGAGGGTCTCGGCGTCACTGTCACACCCCCTTCCACGACGACCACTGCCGAGACAACTACTGCCGAGACAACCACTGCTCAAACAACTACTGCCGAGACGACTACTTCTGAGACGACTACTGCTGAGGCGACTTCTACCGAGACAACCACTGCTGAAGCGACCACTACAGAGACAACTACTGCCGAGACAAGCACCGCCGAGACAAGCACCGCCGAAACGACCACTTCTTCCACTGATGTCTCGACCGCCGAGAACACTCCCACTGGTCCTTACAGCACTCCCACTGGCACTCCCACCGGTGCTACCACCGATAGTACTTCTACCGGCTCCGATAACACTTCTACCGGTCCTTACAGCACTCCCACTGGCACCTCCACCGGTGCTGCTACCGATAGCACTTCCACTGGCTCCGACAGCACTTCTACCGGCCCCAACAACACCCCTACTGACACTCCCACCGGCGCTGCTACCGACAGCACTTCCACTGGCTCTGACAGCACGTCTACCGGTCCTTACAGCACTCCCACTGGTACTCCTACTGGACCTGCTACTGAGAGCACTTACACTGTCTCTGACAGCACTTCCATTGGCACTCCCACTGGCCCTGCCACTGACAGCACAGCCACTGGTTCTGACAGCACAGCCACTGGTTCCGACAACACATCCACTGGTTCTGAAACCACATCAACTGGCTCTGGCAGCACTCCTACTGGCTCCGATAGCACTCCTGTTGGCACTCCTACTGATAGTACTCCAACTGGCTCCGATAGCACTGCTCTTGGATCTGCTACCGATAGCACGACGACTGGATCCGCTACCGACAGCACCGCTTCCGGTGCTGCTACCGATAGCACGGCCACCGAAACCGAGGCTACTAGCTCTGCTACCGACAGCACTTCTTCTGGCGCCGAGGCTACCAGCACCGACAGCACTGCTTCTGGTACGCTGACCACCAGCGTCCCCAGCGGCGGTGCTTCCACCACTGAGTCGGCTAGCATGACTACCAGCACCGTCTACACCACTCACGTTTACACCGTCACCAAGTGCCCTGCTTCCGTAACCAACTGCCCTGCGAACCCCTATGTTACTACTGAGGTTGTCGCTCTCTACACCACGGTGTGCCCTGTCACCGAGGCTGGTAAGCCCGCCACAAAGACCAGCAAGGCGTCCAAGCCCGACGTTACCTACGCTGCAGTCTCCGAGGAGGTTAAGACTGTCTACACGACCAAGGTGCACACCATCACTAAGTGCCCTGCGTATGTGACCGACTGCCCGGTTGGCTCTGTTACTACTGAGGTTTCCTCCTACACTACCACGATTGCCCACATCACTGAAACCACAGCCGCCGTATTCGAGGAGGAAATTCCCGAGGTCAAGACTGTTTACACGACCAAGGTGCATACCATCACTAAATGCCCTGCTTATGTGACCGACTGCCCTGTTGGCTCCGTCACCACGGAGATTTCCTCATGGACTACTACCGTTGCGAAGACAACCGAGACTGCAACTATCGAGGTTCCCGCGGAGTCCGTCCCCGAGGAGACCACCACGGTAAAGGCCACTGGCACGATTTACACAACCGTCGTTGTCCCCCCGGCTACTCTTGAGGCATCAAGCAAGCCCATTGCTGCTGCCACTGGCTCAATCTACACAAGCATCATTGTCCCTGCAGTGACTCTGGAGACGTCAAGCAAGCCTAGTGCCACTACCTATGAGTCCGAGGCCGAGACAACCTACAAGCGACCCGAGGGAGTTGCGGCGCCTACTGGCGGATGCGTCGGCGAAGGTTGCTCCGCCACAACGTACGCGTATCCCTCGTCTCCTTCTGCTACGATTCAGCCCGTGACTGCCGGTGCCTCAACTCTTGGCCTCGGAATGACGGTTGTGATCGCCGCTGCCGCCCTCCAGATGTTTGCTCTGTAACGGAGGAAATGTCCGGTTGGGTGTTTGTACTTTTAACGTTTTCGATTTTCTGTCATGGAATTTTGTCGAGAGTTGGCAAAGGCGTCTCAGTGGGTGTCGCGGCTCACATTGGTTGCGCCTTGTCAAGCCCCTGTCACATATTCACCGCCTATTTATTGTACATTTATTGATGAGACAAGTGGAAATATGAATGGCTACCTTGCATGATGGGGGAATTGATGACCTTTGTCAGCGGCGATGTGGCGGGCGTCGAGTCGAGTCCACGTATCCATATCCATGTATGAATTGATCTCTTTGGCTGGTTGTTATACTGCGTGCAGCATGGTGGAGGCGCAGGGTCGTCATGAGTGGAAGGGATTTGCCTCGTCGTCCTGATCGTCGCTGTCCGCGGAAGCAAGAAAGTCTACTCTCGCACGTCTCAAAGTAGTGTACCGTAAATAGCGACATTCAATACGTAATGTGACTTTAATTTGGAGAGGAAAGCCTTTGCATGATGTTTTACTTTTAAGATTCATACGAATCAGAGATGGGAGTCACTTGACCTGGACCTGGATCTGAGGTGATTCATCATGACTTGTAGTTAATGCTTTAAGTAGACTGCAGGCCAAGGAGATAAATATGCATTGTTGAGCATGGCCGCGCAAGGTCAGACGTAGCAGGCTCGAATAGTGGCAGGATTTATGCATTCTGCTCGTACGAGTGCAAAGAGCCCGAGGCCGTGGACTGTTGGCGGAAACATGGCGGCCGTTGCGACGTTGCAACTCAACGGAGTCGCGAACTGCAACTTCATCGGGGTTTGGCACGGGAAAGATGTGAAGGATAACGTTAATGGCTTGGACTATGGTCTGTTTAGTGGGTGGGTTCCCGTCGATTCGGGGGGATGCGAAGGATGGAAAGGATGGATGGATGGGTGGTGGAAGTGGTGACGCAGATCTTGGCTGAAGCTGTAAGAGAACTGTCGCAGTAGGCGGATGCATGAGTGGCCCGGCGGGCGGATGACTAAGCGTGATATGGTGAAGCCCCTCCTCTCCACAAAGGCTGGCATCCCCTCCAACAAAGGCGGCTGGCCCCTCACAGCGCTCGAGTGACGCTCCAGTGGCCCCCATCAGTGCTCCCCGTGTTCCCCTCCCGCCACTTCCTAGCGAGCAATGTCCACTGCCTAGTTAATGCCAGGTAGTTAACGCCCACTGCCTAATGTCGGAGACGCCCTCAGCCAACTCCACCACACCCTCTCGCGCAGTGCGGCCGCCCTCCCCCGCCCCTGTGTGCCAGGCGATGAGCGTATAGCACGGTACGTCGGTCCGCAGCAGAAATAAGGTACCCTTGCGCATCCCAGTCCGGTACCTGGCAGAGCGTTAAAAAGAAGAAGAAAAAAAAAACCTTGGAGGAAAACGTCATTCATACGGAGGCGGCCGCGCAGGGTGGCTTTTCGGGGCTGGCCACTGAGGAATGGACGCTGGTCTAGGCGCTGGACTGACTGTCTGATCTCTGCCTTTCTTTGCCTTCTTTAGCTTGGTCAAGTTACCTGGTTACCACCTTGGTTGGCAGGATATCCCGCTCTTTTTCCCCACCCGCCATCGTCCGTTGTCCGTTCACAAGCTGCCAACCTCCGGGCGGACTGGACTCCTCTCTCCCCGACGCATTCGTTGCCGACGTTGCTTGGCTCCCTACCGAAAACGTGCTTCTCGCTCCCGCATCCGCAACCGCAAGAACCCAACCCTCCGGAGCCATTGCCGCTGCCATTGCCTCGCCCCGATAGCCTTTGCATTATCTGCGAAGGTGACTCCCGGCCGGCGAGGTTTCACCCGTCGTCCATCGTGGCCTCTATTTCTGCCCGCTTCCCCATCCGAGCTCCAAGCTTCAGCTCCGTCGACTTTCGCCGAACCTGACGACACTGCACCACAACGCACCCTAGCTCTGGCTCGCCATAGCAGGGAACCCCTTTCCTTTCCGTCTTTTCTTTCTCCGCGACGCCCTCGCTCGCTGGCCCTTGGCGGTAGACGTTAAGACGCCAACATGTCGGATGCTGGAGACAGGTAAGTCGACGACCCATCCCGGCCCCCTCTCTCCCCCTCTCCCCCTCTCCCGTTTCCCCCTCGCGACCTGGCGATGCAGAGCCTCGGGGGAGCTCCACGTCTCACGTCCCACTCCACGACCACGCACCACGCAACAGCTGCTTGGCTCGCCAGCAATTGTTTGCATCATCCCTGGCCTCCTCCTGCACGCATCCACCATGAGCCACAGCGCACTCTAGCCTCTACCCTCTGGCCTGCCCGCCCACCCCCCATCAATTCGTCTTCTCAAAGTCAGTCCACCCACTGACCGCTGTTTATCTTCCCCCTCCAGCCACCACAAGCGGTCCAAATCCGCCGCAGCGCTCTCCCTCCTGCGGCGCAAAGATACGCGCGAAGAAGAATCCGGCTCGGAAGACGGTCGTGCCCCTCGAATCTCCTCCTCCAACCCTGTCATGTCCATGACACACCAGCCGAGTGTTCGCGGCCACGGGCCCAAGCCCTCGACATCGTCAACCCCCCTCTCGACGCCCCTCAGTCCCGTCACCTCTGCGCAGCCGCCGCCGCCGCCCCCCAAAACCTCCGCCGGCCTCCCCTCAGAAAAGACCGCCAGCCTCGAGCAGTCCGTCCGCAAGTTCAGGGTCGTCGAGGCCCTCCGAAGTGGCGACACCGCCTCCATCTCCCGCGCGATTCGAGATACCTCCGACAATGGACCCCGAAGCAGCATCTCTTCTATGGGTACTTCGGGCACCACCCTCGACGACACCACGCTCTTGCACCTGGCCATCCAGTGCTCCGAATTCCCCGTCATCGAGTATGTCCTGTCCGACGGGCTTGGCACCATCGATGTGAATGCCCGTGACAAGGATGGCAACACCCCCCTGCACTTGGCCGCCATTCAGGGTCGCACCACCGTTGTCAAGCTTCTCCTTGAGCAAAAGGACATCAACGATGCCATTGCGAACTCCCAGGGCAAGCTGCCCATCGATGTGGCCCGGAACCCCGAAATCTTCCAACTGCTTCAGCTCTCTCGCTCGCTCTTCGCCGAAGCCAAGGTCAAGCAGGTCCAGGATCTCATCGCTAGGGGAAACTATGGCGCCCTCGCCGGCGTCCTCGAGGAACACCGCGTCAAGACCGTTCTCGACATCAACAGCCCTGAATTTGCATCCGAGCAATTTACGGTCCAGACCGGTGGCACCCTGCTCCACGAGGCGGCGAGGAAGAGGAACACCAACCTTATCCAGGTCCTACTTCTCCACGGCGCCGACCCATTCCGACGCGATCGCAAGGGAAAGCTCCCTCAGTCTGTCACCACTGACGACGCCACCAAGGCCATCCTGAAGAAATCCCCGGCAGCTGTTGCCGCTCAGCGAGGAATTCAGGAGAAGGCGGTCCTGGGACACGCTGCCTCCCAAGGCGCTGCTGCAGCAAGCCCCAGCGACCCGCTGGCAGGACGAGAGGCCCGCGAGATGAAGGGCTACCTCAAGAAGTGGACCAATTATCGTAAGGGATACCAACTACGATGGTTCGTGCTCGAGGATGGAGTCCTGAGCTACTACAAGCACCAGGACGATGCTGGTTCCGCTTGTCGCGGTGCCATCAACATGCGCATTGCCAGGCTCCACATGAGCGCCGATGAGAAGACCAAGTTTGAAATCATCGGCAAATCCTCCGTCAAGTACACGCTCAAGGCGAACCACGAAGTCGAGGCTAAGCGCTGGTTTTGGGCTCTCAATAACTCCATCCAGTGGACCAAGGATCAGGCCCGAGAGGAAGAGAAACAGGCCGCACGAAGTGCCGAGCTTCTCAGGTTAGCCAAGGCCGACCAGAGCACCCTCTCCATCCAGGAATCGTTCAGCGAGAACACCAGCGTGACCGACCTGCGCAGAAACAGCTCCCAGCTCCCCAGCAGGACATTCTCTAAGCACTCCGAGCAGCGACCTAATTTCCCTGGTCCGAGCACCATTGGAAGCATGGACGAGGATGAGTTTGTCGATGTTGCGACTGACGCAGACCAATCAAGGGTCCCTAGAAACGGGGGCGGCCCGCACACGCACAACGACATGGACGATGACGACGACGATATGAGCCTTCACGAGGAACCGACTGCTACCAAGGATGCCCTCAACATCACTGCCCAATCCGCTAAACTCCAGCTGGAGACCATGTCTCATGTTCACACCGCCCTCATGCACGAGCTTTCTCAGAATCCTGCTGCCACCCTTTCCGATCCTTCTGTTTCTCAGGCTTTCAGTACCTACGATGCTGCTATTCGAAGTTTGACGACTCTGGTCGGAGATCTGTTGAGGATATCAAAGGATCGCGATGCGTACTGGCAATATCGCCTGGACCGTGAGTCCAACATGCGCCGTATGTGGGAGGAGAGCATGGCGCAGGTGGCTCGGGAACAAGAAGTCCTCGAGGCTCGCGTCGGCGAGGCGGAACTAAAGCGCAAGATGACCAAGCGGGCGCTCAGGGAGTTTATGGAGAACGGAATGCCTGCCATCGATCACGACACCACCAGCATCCAGGAGAAGCCCGAAGAAGAGAAGCAAGACGATGAAGGGAAAACGCCTGCGGAGGATGAATTCGAGGATGCGGAGCCAGCCCTTGTCGTACCGAAATCGCCCTCAAGGAGTGTCCGGAGGAAGCCTACAATTATGGTCGAATTGTCGGACACTGAAGAGGAGGATGAGGATGAATTCTTTGACGCGGTAGATGCTGGCGAGGTGGAAGTGGCAGAATTGCCAACGGACGAGTTCAAGACGGATACTCAGGACATTATTGTGTCTGGCGGTATCGACATCAGCGGGTCATTTAAGGGTTACGAGAATGGTATCAGGACGAGGCTCAAGATGGATGCCGATAACCGACCCAAGATTTCCCTCTGGGTAAGCCATTTTTCAGGTTTTAAGGATTTACGGGCTAACAGATCAATAGGGCATCTTGAAGTCCATGATTGGAAAGGATATGACCAAGATGACACTTCCTGTCTCATTCAACGAACCCACTTCGCTGCTGTATCGTTGTGGTGAGGATATGGAGTATGCCGACCTTCTTGACCTGGCTGCGGATCGAAGTGACTCTATCGAGCGACTTATCTACGTTGCCGCGTTTGCTGCGAGTGAGTACGCCTCGACCATCGGACGAGTGGCCAAGCCCTTCAACCCTCTTCTGGGAGAGACGTTTGAGTACGTGCGACCCGACAAGAACTACCGCTTTTTTATCGAGCAAGTCAGCCATCATCCCCCAGTTGGCGCGGCCTGGGCAGAATCACCTAAGTGGACATACTGGGGTGAGTCGTACGTCAAGTCCAAGTTCTACGGCAAGTCTTTCGATATCAACCCTCTTGGTACTTGGTTTTTGAAGCTGCGACCAACCGCCGGAGGCAAGGAGGAGCTGTACACGTGGAAGAAGGTGACGTCTTCGGTTATTGGCATCATCACTGGAAACCCTACTGTCGACAACTACGGACCAATGGAAATCAAGAACTGGAACACGGGCGAGGTGGCCATGGTCGAGTTCAAGCCACGTGGATGGAAGGCGTCGAGTGCATACCAGATTTCCGGAAAGGTGCTGGACGCGTCTGGCAATGTACGATTCAGCATGGGCGGCCGATGGAACTCCAAGTTTTACGTACGCCTGACGCCTGGCTACGAGGCGCCTGTCGACGAGCCCAAGGGCGACGCTCCTGTGCACCAGGGTGGTGGTCTTTCCGACCCAACGCGGGCTTATCTCGTCTGGAAGGCTAACGAACGACCGACTGGAATCCCCTTTAACCTCACACCATTCGTGCTGACGTTCAACCACATCGACGATCAACTTCGACCCTGGATCGCCCCCACCGACTCGCGACTGCGACCTGACCAACGTGCGATGGAGGATGGAGATTACGACTTTGCTGCTGAGGAGAAGAACCGTTTGGAGCAGGCCCAGCGAGCACGACGACGAATCCGTGAGGAACAGGGCGAGGAGTTTGCGCCAGCATGGTTCCAGAAAGCGCGGTGCGAGGTGACGGGCGAGGAGTACTGGCAGTTCAACGGCAAGTACTGGGAGCAGCGAGAAAAGGCGGGACCGGACGGCGATCCCAACGCGTGGGCGGGACTGGAGCCCGTTTTCGAAGACGAGCCGGAGCAGCAGTATTAGAGGTTGTGTATGGAGCGAGGAGTGTCTGGCGTGCTGGGAGGCAACATATATACAATGTGTTTGAATAGCTAGAATGGGGTGGACTTTGCTCGCTTGGATCGCCATCAGCCTGTGGTTGCGTGTACCGTTTGATTTGAACCTCAGTTGAGCCCGACAAGTGGTAGTTGCGTATAATTTTACACCAAAAAATGATGGAGTAGACAAGTTGATGCCGTTGTTGTTCTTGCTTTGATGTGAGAGGCATGAGGCATGATTGATTGGGTGGTAAAGGGGCCAAAGTCATGAGCTTGGGAGAGAGACCGCGGCAAATCGGAGTCGGTATTCGGGCGACAAGGCCCCACTCCGGACGGCGCATCCGTACCTCGGCAAAATCTCACAGGGGCACGCATGAGGCTTGCACGGCCGCTACGTTGTACAAAGCGCCCAGATCTGCCCCCATCTCTCATCTCTGGAATCTGGAATCTGCATTCTCTCCTTTGCTTCAGTTGCGCGGTTCCTTTTCTCTTTAGTGCACGCTGCTCCATTGTGCGTATCAGGACACCGTAGAAATCCCGTGTGCAGGCGAGCCGTGTTGTCGTCTCTCCGGTCTGCCAGATTGCCAGGATCAGTGTCGCATCTGCTGGATACATCAGCCAGCGCGGAGGATCCAGACTCGGACGCACGATACTTGATCCGGGATGTCGCATATTGACGAGCGGCCGACTCTGCTGCGGCCGCCGGAGCCCGATGCGACCAAGGCGCCCATTGAGAATGTGCTCGAGGTGACGGAGCTCAAGGTGCTGGGGCCGGTATGTACCAACTCGGTTGTTCCGCGATGGGGGCGAGGATGGATATCAGGGCGGCTTCGCGTTGCATTGATCTATCCATCCATCTCGTCTTCAGCGGACACATTCGTGAACCCCCGCTGACCAAACCTCAGGACGTCTTCTCAAACACCCGCAAGCAATGGCATCCGCCCGGCGCGCGCGGCATCTACGGCGGGGCCGTCATCGCGCAGACGCTCGCGGCGGCGCAGAAGACGGTGCCGGAGCAGTTCTTCCCGCACTCGTGCCACTGCTACTTCCTGCTCGCGGGCTCCGACGAGATCCCCATCCTCTACCACGTCGAGCGCGTGCGTGACGGCCGCTCCTTCGCCACCCGCACCGTCCAGGCGCGCCAGCAGGGCCGCTGCATCTTCACCACCACCATCAGCTTCGTGCGCGAGGCCACCGGCGGCAAGAAGCAGGTGCGCCACGCGGCCCCGCTGCCGGACGGCATCGTCGCGCCGGCCGATGACTGGGACGGCGAGCCCGAGTGGGCGCGTTCCGGGCCGTTCCAGAGCCATCGCATCGAGGTGCTCCGCGGCCGCGATCCCGACGCCCAGCCCTACGAGCGCAAGTGTCGGCAGTGGCTCCGCGCGCGCGGCAACATCTCCGAGGCCGGCGGCCACCAGGCGCACCTGAACGCGCTGGCGTACATGTCGGACAGCTACTTCATCGGCACCGTGTCGCGGATCCACGGCCTCTGGCGCTTCCCCTTCGAGCCGGAGGAGGTGGCGTCGCTGCCCGAGGCCACGCAGCAGCAGGTCGCGCACCTGAGCGAGTTCGAGGGCATGGGGCCCGACCTGGAGGACTGGAAGGGCCGCCCGCGCCTGGGCATGGTGGTGAGCCTGGATCACAGCATCTACTTCCACGAGCCGCGGGCGGTGCGCGCCGACGAGTGGATGTTCACCGAGATGGAGAGCCCGTGGGCCGGCGACGGCCGCGGCGTCGTGACGCAGCGCATCTTCGGGAGCGACGGCGTGTTGCTGGCGACGTGCTACCAAGAGGTGAGTTTGCGCTTTTGTGACTGTGGGAGAATGACAGCTGACGAGAGTACCCAGGGCGTTGTGCGACTGAAGCAGGATGGAACCGAGAGCGGAGCCAAGTTGTAATATGTTTTGCGGCGAGGGAGTGCAAGTGTACGATGATGATGTGCCTGCAGTGGCAAAGCAGACGGGAAGGACAAATAGCAAAGGACAAGACAAGTCGTGAATGGAATGGTATAGAAGCCAGACAAACATAGTAAACGTCAGACTAGACTAAAGCAATTACTACATCTGGGCATCGTACGTGTCTCTGGCGTGGCCTGGTGATTGATGCAAACACACAATGACTCTGATCTGGTGCGACAGTGCATGACAACCAGAGTGGATAGCGATACACAACTCGGCATTTCTTTCCTTAATGGCCGGTTTGATTGCAGCCATAGCCTATCCTTTGTGAACAACGCATCAGTCTGACGCGGATGCAAGCGCAGAGGTCGGTTCTGTGTAACAATCTTCACAAGCTGTCAATGCAGCGTTGAATGGCCGTCATTTTTCTATAAATACCCCCGTGCTCTGCCACTCGGTCGTCCTTCTTTCTCCTCTCATCATTCCGCATCAACTCGGACATCCTGATATATATATATCCGCGAAGGGGCAGAGGGGACAGCTGACCGCACCCGCAGACGTGAGTCTCCCCCACCACCCATCTCCTTGTGCCTCACTAACATGTTCCTAGCTGCCGCCCTGGCCGTGGTCTGATATCCGGGTCGGTCTCCCTCTTATCTCCCTCCCTGCCCGCGGTCTCCCTGATGTCCCATTCTGCCCGCGATCTCGGGCAATGAGGGGACGGGGTTGAACGGGGAGCGGGGGATATTACTGACCCTCTGCCTCCTGGCGTTCCACTGGGATCCAACGCCCACGCTGGAGGAGACGAGGACATCGTCTCGGGTTCGTCTGAAAGAGCAGAACCCACCAAGAGGACCTTGGCGAACCAACCCCACACCGCTCTACGGATACCCCGTTATACCATGGAACACGATAAGAAGGGAGGCAAACAGAACAAACACGACCGATGCCCGCCCTGTAGTGTGGGTCTATATATAGGAGAGCGAGTCGCCGCTGTGCCAATCCCCGGGAACCTACCTCGGCCGTTTGTAAGTGCTCCCCCCTGGTGACCATTCCACGAAGAAAAAAGAGTCCATTGAATACTAACCTTTGTAGGAAGCTGCATATCTACGATGCTGCCCATGCATGTTCCTCGTCGTCTTCGTGGGATTTCCCCTCGTTCGAGTCCAGGGCAATGTTTTGGAGTCCTTGCGGGTTGTTGCCATCATCGCTCGTGAGGAGATGAAGATCATCGCCCTGTGAGGAGATGAGGATCATCGCCTCGTGAGCAGATGGAAAATCATTGTTCTTTCTCGAGGACTAATGTAAGGACACCCCTCTGACCGAGGAGACTGGCACCTGTGAACGACTGTCCTCTCCACTCGATCGATCCTCCTAGATGGTGGCGCTGCGGAGGTATCGGCAGAGTGGTCTTCAACAACAGTCGTTCTCAGATGCCGGCCACCGCTTCTACATTGAAACATTGTACTAACTATTTCTATAGTCACGATATCGAAGCAACTGGTTACAATATATAATCATCCTGTCAGAGTGACCTCTGGGGAAGCTTTCCACGACGGGCAAGATTTGGGTGAAATATGACTGGCTGGAACTCACCTAAGCCTGACTCCAGACGAGGTTGGCCTCTGCGAAAAAGCGCAGGCGAGGACGCGTTCTTCCCGGGCGAGAGGTCGCTACCATGCCTCGCATCCACCTACTCCTAGTCATCTTAGAGGGAGGATGCCGATACAAGGACAACAACCCAGAGCGCCTTTGCCAGAAGAGTCCCCCAGCCAGTGAAGTGCATATATGGGGACTACATCTCGGACATTCGACGACCGTATATATCAGCATCGCCTCGCATGGGGTATGATATAAGCCCCTTGGCGAAAGGGCCAGGCCTATGCACCTTTCCCACGACTTCTTACCTTGGACAGCAGGTCAGGAAGTCAAGGCTCAACTATGTGTTGCCCTGCGGCACTTCATCTGACCATGTCAGCCTTCCAGACGCTCGTTGCTGGACCGGCTGCAGCGACTGCCAGCCGCGGTGCGAAATCGCTTCCTGGAAGACCGGGAAAAGGCGATCGAAATCACGAACGGACTACTCGCCATTATATACAAAACGACAGCGAACGTGCCCAGCACCGTTCCGTCCCACCGACAAACGGGGCAACTTCCTAAATGAGAAGAGGCAACAACGAAAAGCTCTCCGTGAAGGAAAAGGAAAAAGAACACTCGTTGAAGGGCCGCGTCACGGCGAAGTCTCGTGACCCTTGCGCCAAGCTGGAGACGACATTTCAGGAGACGCTGGACAAGCTCGTGGCGGCCGAGCCGGAAGCCGTGGACAACTCTCGACAGTATAAAATGCAATTGCCCTTCTCAGGCACTATGACACATTCACTCCAACACAATCACTCCCCAAATCGCGGAGACGAAGACTGCCCTGCTCTGTCACCCGGTTATGTCCGACGCTTTCGAAACACAGAACAGAACACACTGCGCCGGGGAATGACGACGCCAATGAAGATGTCTGACGGCGGGACCACCTACGTGGGCGAGGGTTCGTGTACCCCCGGCTGAAGATGATCTACATCGAATTTGGCGACGCCTTATGGCTGATGTGTCGGAACCCGGACTGTCCTTTGCTCCAACTTCCTGTGGAGTTACTGCTCATGATATCCTGGAGACAATAAACTAGGGAGGACCTCGAAAAAGGCCTCGCTCAACCTGGACGACGACAATCTGCCCGAGAGCATGCACGACGGGCAACACATCCCGTACTGGAGGATGCAACTCCGGAGATGTAGCTTACAGCAGAGGTGTTGGTCCAAGACAACATCATCAAATCCTATCATGTTGGAACACTAAAACAAACGCAATGACACGCTTCGACTCACAGGACCCAGCAGAAGACTAGAGCGACGGCGAGGATATGGAGATAGCGGAGCTGGCGACTCCGGAAGACCGCCGAAGACAGGACGCTCGCGTCGAGGCCGGGAGACCCCTCCCCGCGGCCGGAACGCAGGAGATGGACAAGGTGTCCTCCCTGGACACCGCTGGAGGTCTGGAGTGGTACTTTACAACGTCAGACAGTCACAAAAGGAGTCGTTCCCGATGGAACCGGCCGCCCAGGTCAAGTGGGCAGCATGGGATTCGTCCAAGTACTGCTATGCCATACTCAAGATCTTTGAGTGTGTGGTGGCCGGAGATCGCCTCCTGATATATGTCCAGAGCCCCATTACGTCCCAGTAAGTACCCATACCCTTTCCCCATTTCCTAGCCCGGGCGGGCCCTAGGAACTGTAGTTCCCCTTCACCGCCCAACTGCAGTTCCTAGACCTGCGGCCACGACGCCGCCACAGCCGCTAGGAACTGCAGTTGGCACAAACCAGAGAACTGCAGTTCCTAGAGGCCGCCACGGGTTCCCTTTCATCAATTATCAGACGGCCCGCTAATATACTATGTAGGATCCTTAACGCCCTACTTGTGGTCTGCGGCATAAGGTCGCTCCATTATATGTCGCGCAACAGTCAGGCAGAACGGGACGCAGCGGTAGAACACTTCAACGATTCCAGCTCGCCCTACACCGTGCTCATCACATCCATGCAGCTGGCTGCATTTGGCGTGAACTTCCACAAGGCTTGCCATCGTGGTCTTATCATGGAAAGCGTATCAAACCTCTCCACCGAAGTCCAGGCAACTGGACGCACATGGCGAATCGGACAGATGTACAAGGTCGTTTGGAAACGACTCATCTGCGCGGACTACTACGACTGCGATCGAAGGGTTTGGGTTAGGGCTAGCATTCTGCTGGATAACCAGGACCTGGCCATCATATGCCAGGAGCCGGGAATTGACGTTCGCTCGCTGAGAGTGAATCCATACGACCCCAAGATGGTGGCGAAGCCACCACAGGTGCTAGGTAAGCTTCCCCATACCCCTATATAGCCAAGTCTAGAAACTACAGTTATTATTTTGCAACTGCAGTTCCTAGACCCCGACTGGCCACGAAACGAACGAGGAGAGCCCCATACTAACCTGTGCAATAGATGTCTACAGAATCGCCCAGTTACTCCAAGGCCCAATCCACTTCGCCATGCTTCTAAACGAGTGCGGCACGGGCAAGACCTTCACGGCGGCCCTGGCGATGTCCTTCCTCATACAGGACAAGGTGACGGCGGCTCGGGCACGTCCTCCATCCCTCGCAGAGGGCAAGCGGATCTTCAAACCTTCGATCATGTTCATACCCGCAGATTGGCTCTTAGGGTTAGACTTAGTGTCAAGTTACCGAAGAATTTATCACAAAAGCCAAAGGATTGCCCGGAAGCACTTAATTGACTTCATTGGTTAATCCATGGCCTGACGGATACAATTGATGGGGGTTCTGGCGACCTGTTGCCAAGAGACAATGGCGTTTAAATTGGACTCCGACTCTGCTAGGCTTCTTCAAGTCATACGTATAGCAATGCCGAGATGGGAACTCACAATGGGCGCTCGAATGTGTGTTTTAGGATGATCGTGGCTGAATTAGAAATTTGCATTTAATTATAAAACAAGATGAGTATTGCTGTTCGCACACCAGTACAAGCCTCTTTACCTAAGGTTCAGGGAAAACTTAGACTTCAGACTTATATTTATTAATAAAATAAAACGTCTTGAATAAATAAATACTAAGGCTTAGGCTTTGTATTTTTCGCAAATCCCTTTAGGATAACGTGTAATCACCAGCAAGATCGAGGATGGAGTAACATATGCGAGTAGCAATACTCAACAAGATAGGAGCATATCAGGGACAAAAAAGTAGTTGGTTGCATTTACTGGGCGAAACCCTCCAAGCGCTTGCCTGTTATTGTTAGTGTGTCGGGAACTTAGAGTCTTTGGGGGAAAACAGGGGAAATTGAAGCCTTTTGCATTTTTGGGATGGAGCCCGCAGTGGGCTGTCTCCTTTGGGATATGCTGCTTTAACCAGGGCTATTGGCTCCATCTGATGGGACAGTCTTGTAGTCTTCTAGCAGGATTTGGAGACAGCAGATTGATGTGTCCATCATCATCATCGCTATTATCTACAAAAGGACCACTTGACAGTAATATTAGCCCATCGATGCGGCATTCCCTTGTGAATAATTTTGATCAGATGATAACCATGGTGGTATTTCCAATACTCTGTCTCTTTTATTCATTTCCACCATGTTCAATCTCAGCCTCCCTAGTTATCCAGACACCCTAGACTTGTTGCCGAAAAGCCTTTACCTCCACTCTCCCACCCCCAACATCTTCCCTCCATCATCTCCGTAAATCGAACCTGAAGCCCGTACATGTTGAACTGAAATTATTCATCACTTGATCAGCCAGGGCTATATTGTCGTGAGAGGTTAGAGGACTCACATTGTGTAATTAAATGGCTGTCAGGGATGGTGACGTTTAAATCAGACTTTAACTCTGCCGGGCTTGTCAAAATCCATACAGTAGTACTGGGATGGGAACTTACGCTCTCAAATGAGTGTTTGGGATGATCGTGGCTGAAATAGAAATCTGCAGTTAATCACACACAAGATAGGAGCATATTAGTGAACAAAAAAGTGGTCGGTTGCATTTACCGGGCCATGCCCTCCAAATAGTTGTCTGCTGTTGTTAGTTTATGCTGATTAGTTGCATAATTGCTCCCAAACATACCACACTTGAGCTACTAATACACTCTATAATAAGAAAGTTGGCATGTAAATACAACGAGTTTTTCTCAATAAAATGTACTCACAGTGGTGCGAATCTCTCTGGCTAGGTCAGTCCTGCAGCAATTTGTCAAATATGAAATAGGCTCTTACAACAGAGTTCGAGGTTGCCAGCTACCACTATATCAGTCACTGGAAACAAAGGTCATGGATTGAACCTACACCTAGTTATCCTAATCAATGTCAGTCATGAGTCCGCAACTTAACTTCTGGATGAATAGGTGCAATAACTTATGAGCTTCTCATCCTGCTGAGCGCAAGGAAGTATGGATAAGCAAGTAGACTCAAATAAAGTAGTGCGCTGTGCTATCACATACCTCAGACTTGATGCGCTTTGCCTGTGTATATATTAGTTACTGACTATTAACAGCGAGCCTGGAATCACATACCTTGGCCAGTTGAAAGAGGTTCTTCAACTATATTAGCATATTTGAAACAAGGGAAAAACTTCAAGCTATAACTCACCTCAACCTCCGCTGCATCAACCTCTGCCGTGTCGAATTGCTAATCCATATTAGCATCCAAGTGCCCCCAATGTGAGCCAAGTAACTCTACCTTGGCGCGCTCGTCCCACATCTTCATCGATAGCCCAGTCAGTGAGTTACCTAGTATGGCTTTGAGTAATCATTGACGTACCGCGGCATCATCGAACAGTTTCTGTAAGAGAGATTAGTTAGTTCCCTGCAAGATAGTAGCAAGAGATACACCTACGTCGCGGAGGGCAGTGAGCCGCTAGAAATCATAGTAGTTAGTTGTTGCAACGCTCAAGTTGCCACTGTCTAGCTAGACTTACCTTGACCTCGGCGTGGACGTTCTAAAATAACATCAGAATACACTGTACACAATCCACATAAGGTCCAAGGGGTGTAATTACTGTCGCCTCAGCTAATGCATCCTGAAATAAATTAAGCACATCAATATTAGATGGAGAGATAAGTGCTTTGACTTACTGCGGCTCGCTTCAAGGCATACTATAGAAGTGTATTATTAGATTAGTTGTTATGGATCGCTTCGCCGGGGTTAACTTACTTCTCGTGTAAATGGCTAGTGTTCCACATCTCAATACCGTGTCGACTCAGTAAATCAGCCCTAAATCCTTCACCCACTTATTGCCTTGGAGCTTTTTTATACCTAATGATTTAGGATATCTAAACCTTTGTTAGTCTTAGTCCATAAGAACAGGGCCAATTTATTGAGTCGATACGGTACATTGCAAGTAATATTAACATGGACGGTTGAAAAGACAAAGCTTGGTTTTGGCCTAGTTGTTACCGCCGTTAGCGAGGCACTGAATGCAGGGGTTTTGCTGGAATGCTCATCATGAATCATGTCCTACCTTCTTTTCGGCCGCAGGGGGCGTCGTAGTGGAGCTCGCCAAGACGCCAGCCTCGAGACTCTGTTTCCCTCTCGACAACAAACACTTGCTCTTCAGATCGTCTTTTGTCACTCGGATTATCGATGTCTCTGTCACTTTGTCCTTGTTTCCCACCACCTTCTATGAGGCAGGTCAGTCTGGTCTGTACAAATAGCAACAAGGGTACACTTGCATCTCGGAGCGAGGCATCGGCTCATGCTGCTCGTCGTCCATTGAACAGTGTTTCCTTCAAGGCTTCGATCTCCGGACGTCAGCCTCTTGTGTCACCACGGTTCGCGACTTTGTTTCGTCGACGATTTTGAGGGCTTGCCGTTACTCGTCCGCACCGATGCAGAAACGGGGGTTGAGACATCGCGAGGCAACTGATGCAGATGATGCAAGTGAATCGGGCAACACATGTGGCGCATTGGTGTAGGCTGTCATGGTGACGAGAGGATGGCTCCGATGGTGGTGTTGACGAGACGATGGTGTCGATAGTGGTGGTGGAAGTTGTTGAAGGCGGTAGAAGTTGTTGAGGTGGTGGAGGCTGTTGGAGGTGGTGAGAGTGGCAGCCTGACGGACCACGTGACCCTGAGAAGTCCGTCAAGAACTCCTCCAATATCACTCCTCCGTCTATTGGGTCTGAATCCTGGCGTTTGGTGGCGGGGAAAACGCCGAGGGTCGAGTACCGGGTTGAGGATCGGGGACACCGTCGATGACCATGGAAGAGTTTGAGTATCAGGAACAGAGTCGGAGGTCGGAGACAGACACAGGGACCGTATTCTGTGCTTAGCATGAACGTCGTCAGTGAGTGTCATCAGATCGAAGAAGTCGGATGGATGGCATAAACCATTCAGTCCATGAAGAAAAGCCACAGGCAACTAGTGACAGGGATGGGACATGATTGTACACTTACTTACCTGTCCGAGAAAGGCTCCCACTTCAGAGTCATTGCTGAAATTATGCTGCGTCTCTGCACTGGCTCTGGCCACGTTCAAGGCCAGGTTCCCAGGCGGCACCACGTGGAGGTTGCAGAGTCCGACTTCGCCGCCCGACCGGCTCTTCTTCCGTAGGATAGCAAGAGCCGGCCCCCGTTGATCTGGGAAATTGTCCGATGTCCAACTGCATCATGTTGACCTCTGCCCATTGTCCCTGGTATCCAACCATTGTAACTTGTCGATCCGACCATTGCAACTCGTCAACCCCTGGTATCCAACCATTACAACTTCCACCGTTCCACGACACAGCAGTAATTCAACGTGACGTGCTGGTCTCCAAGTCATCCCACTTTCCTTCCTCGTGGGGACTTGGTGGTGGAACTATCGGCTTCTCCAGGGTTGATTTGGTCGCGCCAATCTTGTCTTGTTCCCTTTTACCCTGCTTGGCGAGTTCCGTTCCCGCCAAGGTCGCTTCCGGGTTGCCATCCTCCGACAAACCCGACACATGCGAATTAAGCCATACGTCGATGAACTTAATAAAAGAGTCCCGCTGGTGTCCAAGCAGCTTGCCATTTTTGAAGTCTTCCTCGACCTTCAGTTCCCGCTGCCTACAGGCGGCCTGAACGGACTTCCAATCTACCTTCTCGTCGGCGGTGAGATGATCCCACGGGCGCGGCGGTGGATGATGAGCAGCATCATTTCGATCGGAAGAGATCCTAAGAGCATCCAGGTAGACGTTCTGTGTGACATTTGCCTTGTCGCACATGGCTCCGATGCGGTCAAGATATGGCGTTTCTGGCCCTTTGCCCTCTGGCTTGCCCGCTTTCCGCCATTCTTCCACAAGAAGCATCTCCGGCTGAACCAAGCTCAGAGTTGTATTGGGACTCAATCCCGTAGCCACGATAAACCTGTCGTGTAGCTTGGAGGCGACCTCTCTGTCCTTTCCTCCCATCCCATCCGACTTCAGTTTTGCATATAACTTGGCGCGGACTTCACGTTGGACCTCGGGTTCGTAGGCCTTGACTGCTTTGTGGATGCCCCCACACCAGTCGCCAATCTCCATAAAGTAGTTGAGCCTGTTCGCCTCCTCGAAGCTCCGGGAGTCGCTGTCACGGGAGTCTATCAGCTTGGTCAACAACTTCCACCTATCCTGCAGGTCATCATGGTCAATGTCAGCAATAGCAATGGCATCAGTGGCCTGCTTAACCAGTCTGTCCTTGATAGCCTCTGTCTCGGGATTGAGCTCTTTCGTACAGCGCCGTTTGATGTCCTCAACAATTTCCAGGGCGACAGAGTCATACTTCCGCTTTGACGCAGAACCGTGGGCGCTGCTAGTATTGTCCATGTTGACAAGAATCGTGTTAGAAACGTTGGTTCAGTACCAAAATATGCTTCGAATGGCAATATGTTGGATGGTGGTCTTTGAAGAGATGGAAACAGACTCTCGAGGTTCTTTTCTTGACGAGACCACATGGGCGCTCGGTTGACCTCCTTCCTCATGCCAGCAGGCATCGTGGGATAATGGAAGGAACTCGCACAGCGCAGAGAATTTTGCACCTTCCTCGTGCATATAGGCATTATGAGAAAAATGGAAAGAACGGCTCGACACGGCGCATCCTTCAACGTGCTCTGGAATCTGATATGGGGCCATCGAGTCCACCTCGATCACCTCCGCTGGTTCAATGAAGGGAGGGCGCATTCTCCTGACGGCCTGAATGCGCCACGAACGACAAATTAACTGGAGGTCTTCGCAACCACTTTTTTATATTAACACCAAAGTACAATTTAACGAAATGTCACTACTGTATCACAATGAAGCTTTGACGTCCTGTACCCATTTTGGTAAGTAATATCTCATGGATACTTAGAAGGGCTCCTTGAATGAGCGTCAGACACCAGCAATTGGCCAGTGGCAAACGGGAATTGTAAGCACCGACACATTCTGAAACGGAGTGAAGCCAAAATATTTAAAGGAACGTGTGACTCCTGTAGCTGGCGCATCTCGTTTGTAGTAGGTGGTAGCATTTGGTAATGCCATAACCCTTGCATCGGATTTTAAGAGAAGAGTTTCCTTTCATAGAATCCTGGCCAGTGGCATCTGCTCTTCGCATTTTCATGCTTTGTGATAACTGTCTGGTATTGCTAGCTCTATCAAGATCTAGGCGCCAAATTTCAGAAGTATTCGCAAGCGAGCATCCCTATATTAGCAGGCAAGTTCTCCTTTGGATACCGACCAAGGTGATCCTCTCGCCAGAACAGTATCCTCGTTTTAATTTCATCAATAAATGAACCGCAAGAAATCCAACAGTCGTCGATTTCATAGTAATCCTCCCACGGGTCTGCTTTGGGATAGAGGCTGTCGGTTGCCACTTCGACAAAACGGCGGTTGCCCTGATAAAAAATCGACTTCCCCTCCAGTGCCTCGTTCATAAGTACGTTAGGATTTCGTTTGAGCCCATAGTCGATAAGCCAAAGCGTATCCAGCCATCCATTCGTTGCTCCGTCAATGCCGCATGGGCTAGAGTGTCGAGAATTTTGACATCGCCATTGTGTGGTCGAGCTTTCTCAACCTCAATCGCCCAACTTGGATTGAATTCCAAGGCGACGTTTTCCAGGTCATCGAAACTTAGACTTTCTGCGCCCAAGAAGTAGCGATTTACAGCGCCACCCCAGCTGAGGGCTTCAATGTCGTGTGGCTGGAAGTAAAAGAGGTCTTGGTTTGGGAAAACTGTAATGTAGTGATTGTTGGATGAGTCCTTGTCCTTGAAACAGGCCATTGCCGATACCAAATTTTCGTACTCGCTGAATTGATCGGGATTCCGACCATTACAATGGTGTCTCCAGGCCGACTCCCATTTCCGACACTGGAATTCGCGTTGAATAATAAATCTTGATTCCTTGCAAGCCGTCCAGAGACCTCTGTCAATAAGATATGTTGATGGGTTGTTATAAGTCCAAGAAGCGTGATCCTTTCGGTCATCTGGATGAGCGCCAATAACTCTCGGTCCCCATTTTGGGGCTGAAATACAAAGGTAGGAATGCCGAAAAGTATTTAGTAAAAGGTCATCTCTTGGGTCGTTGTCGTGCTTGTCCTCGTCGGAGTTGTAAATGCTGAAAACTTGGACGCCTGGGCGAGCAGGACGGAGCGCAAGCCTCCAAATCTCCTCTCTCAACTCCCACGGGAGGTCGAGAAAGCGGCTAAATAGCTCAGGCATGAAGGTGTAGGTGTGTTCAAAAAGAGAAAAATGTTAGCGATTATGCGAACAGGATTCCTGCTTGTTTCTTGGCAGGCCGGTAAAGGTTGAGAGGAATGAGCTTTAAAATGGGTATCTGTCTGGGCATTTATACCCTGCGTCGGTGATATAGAGTTTTATTTATCAAGGTTGATAAAGTCGATGAGGCCAGTGACTCAAAGTTATTCTGACCTGTTGATGCCACCACCGCGAGTGAGTCAGCCGGTCTTGATGCCGTTCAATCGATCACCTTGAGAGATGGACGGAGAGACATGCTTGAAATTGGAACACATATGAAATGAGTTCGAGCTTTCTTGAGTCGAATCTCGACAGACGCTCCGATGACCACCAAGAGACTGTTGATGGGGCCTATGGGACGAGGGTTTGAACCTAGATATCCTCAAGGTTGTTACAGGCATGGTAGGTAACTACATGAAGAGCAGGATTTCAGTGGCATTGCATTATTGTAGGTTACCCTACTCCGACCCCTATATGGAGATGCTGACACCCGCTTCCCGACGGCTTCATCGGTCCAAGTTACCGCTTTGACAACAGGTCACCAGAGCCCCCATCAACTGTATTTGCCAGATCATTGATTGTCTAATGGATTCAATTAAATTTAAGTGCCTCCGTGCAATCATTTGGTCTTGCGCAAAGCCATCATCTTCTATATGCTTCATCGGTTGTGTCTGTTAACGACGATCAAAGCAATATCCTCACTCTACCAATTTAGGGAATCGTCACAACAATGCTAAAAGATGATTACGTCAAGATGTTCTAGTTATAACAGAGTCATTGGAGAATGGTCTTCCTAAATATCTACAACCTGCATTTTTTTTCTTTAAAACGGGGGATACTCTAGGCTCTCTATAGTACTTACTACCGTGCAGAGTGAAGCCTCTTGTGCTGGTTCACCCTGCCGCCATCACCAAAGTCATCCACAGACACCTGGCGACTCGCCCTGTATCCCTGGACGCACCAGCACACGCACCTCTTCCCCTCGACATGTTTCGTCCTTGACGACGGCAGCGGCACGGAGGCGGGCTACTGCATCGACTGCCCTTCCGTGGACGCTTTAATCGCGGCCTACGCGTTGCACGTCACGGCCGTGCTGGACGCATCCCCGGAGGTGCACCCACGGTCGGACCCGCTTAAGCCGCCGGAGCCGTGGACCAGCGCCGAGGGCTCCGTCAACGCCGCGTCCCTGGCGCAGCTGGCCTACGACCCCCACCAGCTGGCTCCGGTCGCCCACACCGACGTACCGCCACGGTTCCGCACCACGCTGCACATCGACCTGCTGGAGCCATGGCAGGCCAAGGGATGGGGCGGCAAGCTGCTGGAGCGCCTGGTGGGGGCTCGCGGAGCGGTGTGACGGCGACGGCGCCGCAGGGAACCAGGCGTTTGGCTCAGCCTGGCAGAGGACAATGCGAAGGTGGTGCGATTCCAGGAACGGACGGAGTTCGAGCTGTGGAAGCCCCTGGATCCCAAGCAGCGGACGAAGGTCCAGAGGACACTCACAATGGGGGCAGGCCGAAGCGCAGGATCAGGGTGACCACGGCATTGTCATGGTGAGGGAATTTCCCGGGGTGGCGGCGGGAAAGGTCGGAGACGGAGACTAAACGTTGACAATTACAATTACCTTTGACCGTACGAAACATGGATGGGCGTGGGTAAACGGAGTGGGTTCGGGCGGCAGTCGACAAGGTGGCATCCAGGTAAATTTTCACCACGGGAGCTTGAAAGAGGTGTTGGCCCAGAGTTTTACACCTCACCGTCCTCAGATATCGGCTTCGAATTGCCCAAAATGGTACGGAGTAGTCAAGTCATGATAGGTCTTACAAGTTCTCCCGAAAAAAGTGTGGTGATATTGACTAGCGCCTCGACCTTCTAAGTAACCAAGTCGAGACATACGCCGCGGGTATCAAGTTCAATCCATCCGTCCATCACCGCCAAAGCAAACCAAAAGAAAAATGCGCCTCTCTCTCCTCTGCGAAACCTCCGGGGTGCTTTACCTTTTCCCTCAAGCCCTCTGCGTGCCTTCGTGTCGCCGTGCTCGTTGCCCGTACTAGTACACTACTCCAATGCCACGCCGCCCCTCCAAAAAAGTTCGCCAGCAAAAAGGTAATTGAGACAGTTAAGACGTGGCTTTGCGCATGCTATTAATCTCCCAGGCCGATGAAGAAGGAAAAAAATGGAAATGGAAATAAAGGTCGGATCCAGCAAGCCCGTTTTTTTCTTTCGTTTTCCGTGAGAAGTGTCATTCATCCAGTGCGTGCGTATGTGAGGAAAGGGACGCCGACTCCGGTAAGAAAGTCAAGGGTATCGAAATTTTGTGACAGACAGAACGGAAATAGGTAGTAAGAGTGTTTGTGAAGACAAAAAGGCCGAAGTGAATAGGGGGGTGTTGTGTCGTTCAGGTCGTCAAGAATCCATCAGGGCCCTTTGTGCGTGTCGGAAGGTTCGCCACCTGCGCCTTGTGAACGATGCTTGGAACCTGGCATCTGGGCGGGATCGTTAGCCTGGAGGGACCTAGCAGTAGATGACGGAGGGCATACCGTTGAGTAGTTACGGCGAAGAAGAGGTGGCATTCGTGGCGACAGCCGTGGGGGATCGCAATGCGAGATGGAGGAAGCCGCTTAGCAGCGAGGGCAGCTGTTGCACTGCTTGTGTCCACAGGCGGTGCAGGTGGTGCTGATGACAATCATGCCGGAGCATTGGCAGCAGTATTCGTAGGCAGGCATGGTGGAAGGTGTTGAGGGTTGTTTGGTGGTGTTGTGGTTTGTGGGTTGTTGAGTTGTAGTGTTGCTGAAGACGGTTGCTGTTGATGGTTGATGGAAAGGCGAAAAAAGGTGAGAGTGCGATGAAGAGAAGAAGGAAGAAAAAAGTGAAGAAGGAGGAGGGAAGGAAGAGTTCAAATAGTGACGGAGGAGGAGCAGTCGGGAGACGGGACAGACGGGGATCGGGGCTTGGAGCGTGGAGCGTGGTGCTTGGTGGCCTGGGTGGCCTTGAAAGCGTCCTCGGCCGTGGAGGAGGCAAGAGGGCGTGCAGAGCGCACAGTGGGTGTTTGGTTTTCGGGTCGGCGGCGTGTGGAGCGGAGCGTTTAAAGCGTCCTGGATGGATTCAATTGGCGTGCCAGTGGAAATGGGATGGAGCGTGGCGTGCAGGTAGATGCAGACGAGGGTGCGTGGGCGGCTCGGGAGGGTGTGCGAAGGGCGCCATCTGAGCCCATCTCACTTACACACCAGCCAGCCAGAAACGACCAGGCAGAAGAAGTGAGAGAAGAGCGGGCGTGTGAAAGACAGGGCCCGTGTTCCCACCTGTTAATGCGTGCGTTCCCATAGGCCGCGGCTCCGAGATGCGGTTCCATAGACAAATGCTTGTTACTCGCGGTTTTCTCTCGCCTTCACCTTTTCGCTGCGACGCTGGCGGCGTTCGCCTTGGCCTCGCCCTGCTTTCGGCGGAGGACCGTCTTTGCCACCCGCCGCGTTCGTTGCACGTCCGGCTTTGCATCGGCCGAGCGACACAAGGCAGGACGTGATGTTATTATTCTGTTTTACATAAACTGAGGAATAAGCACCCCCTGGCTCTGCTGCAAGCCGGCGTCACAGTGGAGTGAGAGGCGGCCCATAGCGGGAAGCTCAGTCATTTTTTTGGTGGGCGAGTTCGGGAGATTGAAGAGAAAGACCGAGCGAGGGTCGAAACTCCGAGAGACGGAAGTGATTGAGGCGGCTAAGCCATCTTCCTCGCATCCGTCCATCCATTCATTCATCCATCCATCCGTGTTGTTTGTTCGGTCTGGTGTCCAATCCCTTTGATCCATTCAGCTGGGTCGTTCAGCCTGTTCAGCCCGTGCGTGACCTTGCTTTTCTTTCTTCCCTCGTTTCTTTCTTCCTCGTGTTTCTGTCCCCCAGAACAACCTCAGCCCCCACTGCCCCGCGACTCCATGCTCCATACTCCACGATCCGCGGAATCCATAATGCTGCTGCTCCATTCTGCTGCTGCTCTCACATGCATCGCAGCAACGCTTGACCATGGTTCCCATGCACTAAACCATAAACCTTGAAGCCCATGCTCGCCTCCAAATCCACTCCTCACACGCCCCCCCCCCTCCATGTCCTCATCCCCAAGCCACCTTCAACTCTCTCCACGCCAGAAACGGCATCCATCCCATCAAAAAGTGACGGCACCCCGGACCATCTCAACCTCCTCAACCCTCCACGGACTCAATTGCGGGGTAGTCCAAAGTCAAGATCCCCCATCCCCCCAAATTGCGTCCGCGGATTGGTCGCCGCGCCCCAAAGCCTCACTGGCAAGCTCGGCGGGATGACGCATTCCTGTCGGTAATGGGGGCAATGGGACGCGGCGTGCAGCAAATGGCGAGCCAGCGCTTGCCCTCTTTCGCCGCGCCGGCGAATCGGATCGCTCAACCGCGAACCATTGCGTCGAGTTCCCAGGGTCTGGCTGCGAGTCGGCTGTCTAGCTGCCCAGGGTCTTGGATGCTGCATCGTGAAATGCTGCAGCTTCCAGGGCCTCGCACCTCTAGCATCTCTAGCATCTGGGACCCCACGCCCGGCCTCCGAGCCAAAAATGCAGCCCAACAAGCCCACTCACACGCACAACTCGCTCCGACTCGGAGCTAGACCAAGCACCACCGGACAAAGCCAGGCTAGCAAGCAGGCCATTATGAAACAGTATGGGGTAAAACCACACATTTCCATTATCTCTCGCCTCTCACCGTCGAGCGTGACAGCGCGGGGTGTGTCTGGCATCTTGCCTCTCCCCATGCAAGCTATGGCCTTCTTTGCTTTTCTACCCGATCATGCTGTTCGGCAAATACCTCCCAGCATCGGCGGAACGGCCGGGGGCAATGCCGTCGGGTTGGTCGGCTGGCCGGTTTCGCAGGACGCTGTTGGAGCTTGTTGCCGTGATGCTTGCGATGGGCGGCTTACACGTGGAGACAACAAATGGCCCGAGTGGTGGGAAGCCATCACGCACGAGGTCCCACCACTCCCCGGACACGGGGAATAGGCCGGTCTTGTCATCGGCGACATGCCAGTGGTGTTGTTTGTGTTGTTTGTTCCGTGTCAAAGCCAGGCGAGGCTGCCAGGCGAGCCAGGTTAGGGAAGCCTAAGAAACCTAAACTCCGTATCCGTGGTCAGACGGTAGTCCATCGGCTGGACGATCTGGGATGCGCTTGATGGAGTAGGTTCACGATGTGTTGAGTTGAGTAACCGGATGCCACCACCATCTTTCCGCAAGCGCCCATCGTGAGTTGACGAGAGGAGGGCGCGAGACTTGCCATTCGATCTGCGCAACCCATCGTCATTCGTCTTTCCTCTTTTCCCTTTTCCCTTTCAACCCTCCCCCTTCTGTCTTCCTTTTCACACACACACACACACACACACAGGATCGTAGTGCATCCAATGCGCTGCATCCGATGCGGCCATGCTCATCCCCAACACCCCGTGCCGTGAAGCCCAAGAGCCGATCAAACATTGGAATCCTGAGGCCCGAACAAAGTGGCAAATGCTCACGCTCGTCAACTGCGGACCCCGGCGTCACCCGGGACGGACGGTGTTGGGCTCTCCCTTGCAACGGTCGCCGCTTTGATCCATTGCAGCTAAAGGAGCCGCTGCAGGACCACAACCCTGGTATTTCTGGTGCTGGTGTTGGCCCCTGACTTCCTGCGTTTTTGCTCATCAACGTAGCGGCTTGAACTATTATGTGGTGCGGGCGCCCTGAGGCCAGTCTGACTGTCTCGCCGTCCTCTCCTCCGTGCTAACCGCAGGCATACAGGCTCAGGTCCACTAGCGTAGCACACAGTTGCAACCTCGACGGACACATCGGCCTTGCGGCAGAGAAAACGGGAGGCTCTCATGGTGTTTGTGGAATTGTTTGCCATCGTTGGAGTTCACGTGGTGAGCTGGTGATGCGTAGCATTGTTTGCAGTCCCTTAATTCAGATAATGGTAGTTCTAGGTTGGCCCGTCTATCGTACCACACAGGGCTGTCGGGTAGGTCAATGAATATTCTTCTGCTGTCGACTGCACGACCGGACCAATGACTTGGTGCAAGCCATGAAAATGAACGCCATGCTCCTCTTCTCCTCCATACCCAACTACGTACCTCAGGCCTCGGGTATTATTCCAGCTTGCATGCTGCCGCTCACATGGCATCCAGCGCGGGGAAGCATTCGTGGCATCGGATTGGTCCCTGGGACTCTCTACACGCTCAGTTGTACTGACGATGTCCCAAGTTGGCCCAGTAGCCTCGGCAGGGGATAATTGAAATTGAACAGATGACCTCTGGATTCTGAATTCCGTAGTGGCTTCTTTTTTTTTCTTTCTCGGCAGCTACTGGATACGGATGCATCGCCAATAACGTAAATCGCCTGCAAACGGTGGCGTTGGTCCGTTGCAGACGGGGGCTCTGCACAGCCGCGCTCCAAAGCCCAGCTGTCTGCCAAGCGTTCTGCCTTGCAGGCGCCAGGAGGATCTTTCGTCGGCATCTGACGAGAGATGGGGACAATGGCTTTGCAGCCCCGTGTTTCCCCTCTTTTTATACCGGCAAATCGGATGGAGTTGTTACCACATTCTAGGTAACTGAGTTGGATTTGGTGTTGCCTCGAGGTTGTCACCAGTTGTTGAGTGACTACTGAGACGGGCGCATCAGGCAGCGGGGTTGAGAAAGCCTACCAGATCGCCCAGCATATTGCACACCATTACACAACAACACACTGCCATATGTCACCCGAATTAGAGATTCTCAAGCCCAAACTCGTACACAAACCATCTCCAGCCAATGCCCTCTCAGTCGGTACCTGGCCTGCCCTACGACGAGGCGCAGCCATCTTCTCCCTTCTACAAGGCAGCCAAATGAAAGCCTCTTAGTGGACTGGGCTGAATAGCGACCAGCGCCTTGGCGGATCACCGGCTCACCAGCAGGCTCACTGCCTGCGGTATGACACCACCGCCACGATTACACTCAATGCCATGACTCTCGCCATCACCACGCCCTTCTTAAGCTGCTGCAGTCGCCGCCTGGCAGCTCCCATGTCCATTTCAAGACACCAGGTCGATCCGATCCGCCAGCACTCGACGCCCGACACCTGAACGTGACGCCTCAGCCTCCATCCCACCACGTCATCGCCATCGCCATCGTCATTGCAGACCTGCCCGGATCTCCCATCTGACATCTTCGCTCCAGCGCGTGTCCCGCCAATCATGGTACGTCAGAGCTCCCCGCGCGCCACGCGATCGGCGGCCCCCAGGACCCTGAATCTTGACCCCCGTCATCGTCCCCGTCTGCAACGTCAAAGTCGACGACTAACACGCCGTGTCCAGAGAGTCCCCGCGTGGAGCAGCAGCAGCTCGCGGAAGAGCAGCGACGAGAAAGACACCGATGGCAGCGCCAACGAGACGCTGCCGATTCGGGAACGGGACAGTGAAGATGAAGTCGTCTCCTCTGGCCACGAGGCAACCGTCCACCTCGAGCCCGTCCCAGGGAAGAAGGCCCTCATCGTCAAGATCCAACCCCCAGTCGCACCCCTGATGCCCATCTCTCATGTCCCCTGCGATATCGTCCTCGTCATCGATGTCTCGGGCAGCATGGCCATGGCGGCTCCCGTCCCCGGCGAGGACTCTAGCGAGAGCACTGGTCTCTCGGTTCTCGACCTGACCAAGCACGCTGCTCGCACCATCATCGAGACTATGAACGAGAATGACCGTCTGGCTATCGTCACCTTCAGCGGCAAGGCCAAGGTTATCCAGCCGCTGATTCCCATGACGAATGCCAACAAGGATGTCGCCCGTAAGAATGTCACCAAGATGCAGCCCATGGACGCCACCAACCTCTGGCACGGCATCCTTGAGGGTCTCAAGGTCTTCAAGGGCGTTGGCTCCTCCTCCAAGGTTCCCGCAGTCATGATTCTCACCGACGGCATGCCTAATCACTTGTAAGTTTCCTGACGTCTCTCACACTCTTACCTTCCAACTAACCCCCCTAGGTGCCCTTCGGCTGGTTATGTCCCCAAGATTCGCGCCATGGGACAGCTCCCAGCTTCCCTTCACACCTTTGGCTTCGGTTACAGTCTGCGATCTGGCCTGCTCAAGTCCATCGCCGAGATTGGCGGCGGCAACTACTCCTTCATCCCCGATGCCGGCATGATCGGTACCGTCTTCGTCCACGCCGTTGCCAACCTGCAGAGCACCTTTGCCACCAGAGCCGAGTTGAAGCTGCGATACGCCTCGCCTCTGGAGCTGGAGGAGACTATGGGTGATTCCGTGGAGAAGCAGGCTCCCAAGGCAGTGGAAGAATTGCCCGACACGATGGAGTTGACTATCCCCCTTGGAAACCTGCAGTACGGCCAATCCCGCGACATCTTCCTCCGTGTCAAGAATGCCGCGGACGCACCCAACCCTGTCGTAGCCGCAAGCATTTCCTATGTGAAACCTGGATCCAAGAACCCGGGCATGTTCAACACCAGATTCTCTCGCACCGCACCTACTGCCGCTCTTGCGGTGACTTCGGCTAGCCGTAGCACCCTCGATGTCAGCAGCCTGTCCGAGGCCGAGATAGCCTACCACGAGTCAAGGGCTCTCATCTGCGCCTTTATCTCCTCCCTCTTCCCTATCGGGAACGATGGCGAACACCGCACAGTCGCCGACTTTGAGACCGTCATCGATGCGAAGCTAGGAGAGCTCACACAGCTCGTCGAGTCGCTCCCCGCGAAACCATTCCTCGACGCCCAAAACGTGTCGCTCATGCAGGATACCGCGCTGCAAGAGCCAAAGGGACAGGTCTTCCTCGCCATCAGCACCCAGCAATTCTTCCAGAAATGGGGATGCCACTTCCTGCCCTCGCTCCTCAACGCGCACACCCGCCAGGTCTGCAATTCGTTCAAGGACCCTGGAGCCCTCCAGTATGGCACCGGCAGCCCGCTGTTCAAGTCCTGCCGAGATGCACTTGACCAGGCGTTCGATGACCTCCCCGCCCCAGAGCCTTCGCGGCCCGCCAGGTCTGCCAGATTTGGCTCCCACTCGCCCCTCTCCTCTGCACCCATTCACATGAGCCGCTACAATACCTCCAGCGGCGTCTGCTTTGCGGGCTCGACAGACGTCGCCCTTGCGTCAGGGAGAACGGTGGAAATTCGAAAGTTGAGGCGAGGCATGAAGGTGCGGACGCCTCTGGGATCGAGGAGGGTGGCTATGGTTCTCAGGACACCCGTGGAGAGCGAGGTTCTCTGCCGCGTGGGCAAGGTTCTTGTTACACCGTGGCATCCCATCTCCGTCGACGGCAAGGCGTGGGGTTTCCCCGCGAACACAGCCGACGGAGCTGTCCTTTACACTGGCGCCATCTACTCGGTCCTTCTCGAGCGCGGTCGCAGCTCACAGGCGCATGCTATCCGCGTCGGGAACGTGTGGGGTGTGACGCTGGGACACGGCTTGACGTCTGGAAACGACAGCCGTGCCCACAGCTTCTTTGGCGACTACAACGCCGTGGGAAAGAGCTTGGTGACTCTTGGCAGACGCAGGAATGGCGTCGTAATTGGCAATGGTGTTGAGAGGGATGAGACGACAGGCTTCGTCAAGGGATTTAAGGGACAGCAGAAGGAGACAACCGCGAGTGCTTGAACGGATACTGTAGTAGTTTAATTTCGCGTCTTGAATCTGCAACTGTGCTCTCTACGCTTCTTATGACTTATTTATAAAATACCGGTACGGTAGCTGGAAATAAATTTGTAGCAGATAATGGGCTTGCAAAGTGTGTGTATTCGAATAGCTAGATAATTTGCGCCCGTCGTATCTCCTAGTTGAATTTTAGAGCAAAGTTGACTCCAGATCCTCTCAAACCCCATTTTATAGCAATGTTCCCCATGGAATGTAGAAATGTAGTCCCGCCCAGAGACCGATGATCTTCAATGCCAAGCAATAACTCCAAACCCGTGCTTCCGTATCACCCACTCACTCCGAAAGTTCTGCAAGCTCCTCATTCCAGTCGAACATCTGCCTCTCCTGATCTTCCTGCTTGACCAAGACGTCGTCCAAGTTCTTAGGGATGCTCAGATCCTGCAAGAGGATGTGGCCATCATTTTGCGAATGGAACCGCCACCGGCTTTCCATCTCCAAGAGCACCTCTCGGACCTGCTGGTGGAGAACTTCCTTTCGGCATTGAACCTCAGTTCCCTCGGCATAGTTCTCGAGGAGATTGTTGATCAGGCATGCCACTAGGGCTCTGACATCCTCGATCACGGACGTTGCAATAATCTCGAGCTCGCCAGGAATCATGTCCTTTCTCTCGTCAAGTTTCCCGCCGAGTGTCTTCATAACATCGATAGACATAGTCTTGAATTCTTTGTTGATCTTTCTACTGACGAGATCTTGCCGGGCTTGATGCATACCTCTCCCACCTTCGCTCCAGTTAGTCTTGGCATAGTTATGGGGAATGTTTCCATGTATTTTTTGGATCACTTACGTATTTCTAACGCCTTCCGGAAAGTCGGTGCCAGCTGCATTTCAAGGTCTGCCAGGATCTCAGTATGAGTGTGAGATGCGTCGTGCGACAGATTGTCCAGAGTTTGCCTAATGTTGTTCTCGACAGTTCTCTGGAGGTCCTGGAGTGCAGGAATAAGCTTCGTAAACTCCGGCTCTAGCGAAGGCGCACGCTCGTGGATGGCGAAGAGAAGACTCTGCAAGTAGGCCTTCCAGATTTCCGAAAACTGCTCCATGATCGGGTCTTTGAGACCTGGAAGGTACTTGTTGAGCTTCTCATCCCACTTCTCAGCGATGTCCGTGAGAAGAAGTGTAGCCCTGATAGCGAGATGTGAGCGCGGTTGAATGTGACGGTGGGGTCAAACTTACAAGTCCTCTAGCCAGGTATAAACCACCGATGTCGCGCCTCTGCTTGTGAACCGAACCCCGCCGCGGAAGAGGATGGCCTGGTAGGTATTCCAGTGCAGTTTCTCGAGTGATCCGCGGTCTTCTGGATACTTGTACGACCATCTCGCTGCCTTAGCACGGGCTTTCTTGTTGAAGAGTTTCATCTCATCAGTGCGGTTGGGCAACGGCTGAATCTCCTGGATCTTTTTACTCCACTTCGCAAAGAAGTCTCTGAACTTCTACAGCCCATGCGTGTTAGTTTCAATGTAGAGGGTGTTGAGCATCACGGGGTACACTTACATGGTCAAACGTCGCATGTGCGTCTGCCAGCGAACTCTCAACCTCATGTTTGGTGAACTTGGATTCCGTCCCTCGGCATTGTTCCTTCGAATAGCTCCATACTTTCTCCATCAGCTTGTGGAAGTTAGAAAGCACTGTATCTAGGTGCTTCTCGCGTCTCTCCAACGTCGCGTAGTGCAGCCACTGCTCGGCCGCTGGAACGCCAGTGCATCGCTGGGTCGGAAATCCCGCCATCGGTTGCGACAGATTCTTAACCTGCCAGAAGGCCTTGGTGGATACTGGCAGGACACTCAGCAAGCGTGGATCTTCCGATCCATCCATGGCGCCGTTGGTGTTTTTCGCGTGTTTCCTCGAGAACTTGTCGTGGATCTTTCTCTCGACATTGGTATTGCGAGTCTGGATGGCTTGGTGATAGAGCCAGGTGTCTAGTTGTTCAACGCGAAAGTCCAGATCTCTCATTTTCTTGTCAAAATCTTCCGATGCAATAATTGCCTCCTTGATCGCCGCTTTGCATTTGCCTTTAGCCCGTTTGAGATCTTGCTTCTTCTTCGAGACGCTCTGAGGAACAGCTGCGGCTGCCACATGTTAGCAAGGTATACCTAATCATGAGAATATATCGTGGGGGTGGTTTACCGTCCGAATACTTCGAAACACGCTCCGATTGGCGTTGGTACATGGCGCTCGCTTTTGAGAAGTTCCGCTCAGCTTTTCGCTTGTCTGTTTGGAGAGAGTTGTACGTGCTCCGAAGTCTGCTTTTCTCGTTGCGCAAAGACTTGAGGTAATCCACTTTCTTGACGATTTCCTTGTCCTGGCCCAGTTCTGAGCTTTTGATATAGCTCTCGACCGTAATATCATCGATCTTAGAAAGAACGACGCAGAAGCCACGACTGTTGAGCTTTCCTTCGAGCTTCATCTGAGCTTCCTCGTAGCCACTTTGTATCAGAGCTCTGCCCTCTTTTTCGTCCGCAGCTCGGCAAATAGGGCTTACCACCATCCGGACATCCAGGTTCTCCCTGAACTTCCGAGTAACCTCTGCACGACTGTCGACGGCATCGCCACATCCTGGCAAGTCGACTAAGTTGATGCCCGTTTTCAGAATGTCGGCTTTGACAAAGATACTTACCATCTCGACAAGGGGCCAAGCTGAGAAGGCGATTTTCCCACCATACTTGTGTGTAGTGGAATCCAGGAAGGGCTTGATCTCATAGGACAGATCTTGTGGCTCAGAGCTGAATAGATGTCGAGTGCCTTCGTTCATGAGATGCAGTGCGACTGGATTGGACTCAAGAATCTGTTTGATAGCAGCTTGTTCTCCTTCGAACGTGTTGCAATTTTCAGCATATTCTCCAAGTAGTTCTTCATCGAGGTTCCACACAGCCTGAAATTTGGGTAGTTGGTGGTTGATAGAATTTGTTGCGAATGCCATATCCTCGGCTCTCTTACCCTCATCCTCATAGTCATCTTCTTCAATATCGTTGCGACGACTCATCTCCAGAAGTAGCAGAGAGAGCTCTCTTTCAACTTCAGCCTTCTTTCGGAAGCTGACTTCTGCACGGTACTCATGGCCTGGGGTGTCGTCATAGTTCCATGAGACCTTCCCAACAACTGCCGTAGCAGCTCCTTCTTGGCCAGAGGGTAGAAGTTCTTCGATCCGAAGAAGTGAGCCCAGAAATGAAGACTTCCCAGCACCGGTTGGGCCCTCGACACCAACCAACACTCCATAGTCGCGATGTTGGGCACAGACTTTATCTGCGGACACATTAGTACAGTAAATAGCGACTCGACTTCCTCGGAGGTTGGAAGATACTCACCATGCTCTGAAAGCCATTGCTTGATGATTTCTTGTCCCATGATGACTGCATCATCGGAGCCAGCTTGAATGTCTTCGATAGCCGCTTGGAGCATCACATAGAGCTTTGCGCAGAATCCCTGGGCTTGCTCGACAGCTTTCTCCTTGATGGCGAGACGTTCGGCTTCGCTATTTTCCGAGCAAGAAACCCAACCAAAGGTATCGGATTCGCCATGTGTATCCTTCTGATCAATGACTCGGCTACTGGGGGCGATGTCAGCGATCGCTAGAGGCGATGATGATGGCTCACGCTTCTGGCGCTTTTGTGGAGGAGGATCCGACCCATCCATGGTGAAGTTCAGACCGGGGAGGTTGAGTCTATGAAGGAGTCAGTTAATTGAGCATGGAGTGTTGAGATAAAAATGGTGGAGAACGAGTAGAGGATGGAGATGTGCCAGAAAAGTTTGTGAGTAGCTGGCAACAAAGTATCCGAAGAGATAGAATAAAGATGAACATGAGAATGGAAGAAGGGAAGCCGAGAGCAGGGTGATAAGTTAAGGAGTGGAAGGGCCGCTGAAGTGGTAGAGAGGGTGAGATGAAAGAAACGGAGAACCGCAAACACTACCACTCAGGGCGAACCATCGCTCCGTGAATAGGCGGCGTCAAAGCAAAAAGAAGTTGATACTCGGAGGGAGAAAACCTCACCCCTTCTCGCACCGAAGAAAGAGACTCACCGAACGCTTGTGTCGGCTGACAGCAAGGAGTGACAGTATCAATGGTGGGAACAGAAATGAGGGGTTCGATGCGATAGTTTCAATGTAATCTCTCGAGGATGGAACAAGAGAAGAGATGAAGGCAGGGGAGATGAAGGGGAGGCAATGAAGAGGCTGTTGTGCTGAGTCTCCTCGAGGAGGGAGTTGTGTTGATGATGAGTTGCGATCGATGAGTAGAAATCAAGAGATGCTCTTAAATAGTTACTCCAGATCACTCTTATCTATCGATAGCAGTGTTGCAGTGATTCACAGCGGAAGGTTGGCGTGTGTTAAGGGATGACACTGGGAACATGCGCCAGCTATAGGCATCATTTTCTCAACATTTTAAATGATCCAGCCGTGGATAATGATGAGCCTGGTTATTATCATGCGATTTTTGTACCAGGCAGACGGCTGCGCCTCATGCGCCATTCACTTCTACCCACCACCTTGGGAGAACCGAAGTTCCATACCCATGTGGCTGATCTTGTCTGCCTTCTCGTGCCAAACCTGGATCCCTCTCCTTCACAAATACGAAGACATCGCAATTTACCAATAGAGGCGTCCATTTGGTGTGAGTAACGACGCCACTGAGTGACTGTCATTATGGACTTATTCATAGCCATGGTATTGGACACGAATGACAATATCACAATCCAGCACAACATTTAAAGTGAGAACATGGTATTCTTAAATATTTATCTCAGGGTAGCCCCTTCTGGACATTTATTCTTAGATTAAAGCCAACTGCATCCCACTAGCAAGGATCAAATATCCAAGTTTTGGTCATCTTGCTATCTGTATAGACTTTTGCCCACCCGCTTGCTGTCGCAACAGCATTCTTTTTCATAAATCTTTAACATTGAGGACAGACATTTATTCCCTGGTGAACAGACCAGCCATACCCATACCGGTACCAACGCACATGCTCACAACACCAACCTCGCCGCCATCTCTGGCCAGACCGTGCAGCAGCGTGCTGGTCATGCGGGCACCAGTGGCTCCGAGAGGGTGGCCAAGGGCAATGGCACCACCGTCGGGGTTCACGCGGCCCTGAGCCAGCGCATCCTCGAGACCCAGAGCACGGATGCTATACAGGGCTTGGCTAGCAAAGGCCTCGTTGATCTCCCAGCGGTTGACGTCGGCGTTTGTCAGGCCGTGCTGGCTCAGCAGCTTGGGGATGGCGATGGCAGGGCCAACACCCATCTCGTCGGGGTCACAGCCAACCGTCACGGCGGAGACGAACTTGCCAATGATGCGGTCACCGAGGCCCAGTGCGGTCGCCGTGCTGCGGCGCATGATGAGCGCGGCCGCGGCGCCGTCGGAAACCTGGCTGGAGTTACCGGCAGTAGAGGCGCCGTCGGGCTTGAAGGCCGGCTTGAGCTTGGCGAGCTTATCGATAGTAACACCTTCGCGGATACCGTCATCGGCGGTGACGGTGATGGTCTGGGCCTCACCCACAGCGTTGCCCTGCTTGTCGACCTCCTGGAAGCGAGTGGTAACAGGGACGATCTCCTTGTCGAAGAAGCCCTGGGCGCGGGCATGGGCTGCTCGACGGTGCGACTCGACGGCCAGAGCGTCCTGGTCGGTGCGAGAGACGCCGTAGCGCTGAGCAACGTTCTCCGAGGTCAGGCCCATGGGCATGATGCAGTCGCGGGTGTGGTGGTTGGGGGAGTCGCGCAACTCGGGCCACAGGTCGACGGGGATTGCTCGAGAGCCGTAGTTGCGTGTCATGCTCTCCATACCGGCGCCGATGCCGGCATCAATGGCACCGACGCGGATCTGGGCTGAGACGGCGGCAATGGCCTGGAGCGAGGAGGAGCAGGCGCGGTTGACGGTGTAGAGGGTGGTCGAGTTGGGGTAGCCGACGTGGTTCATGGCCATGCGAGCGGCCTTGGAGCCGCCGAGCTCGGAGAGGACGACACCAACGGCGACATCCTGGATCACGGCCGGGTCGAGGTTGGGGTGAGCTTCGATGGTGGCGCGCAGGACATTGGCAAGGAGTTCCTCGGGGTAGGCGTCCTTGAGGTTGCCCTTGTAGGAACGGCACACGGGAGTGCGAAGCGCGGAGAGGATGACTGTGTCGGTGGGAGCCTTGGCGAGAACGCCAGCGAGGCCCTTGGGAAGTTGAGCCATTGTGATGAGAAAGCCGAAGTCGGTAGAGAAGAAGGTGAAGGTATTCTCGGATGTGTTCGGGGATCGGGATTGGGATCGGTATCAGACACGACTGGGACAACCCCACAACACAGACTCAGAGAGGTGACAGTTCGGTCAAGAAAAATTGAATCGAGACAAAAGAAGTAGAAGAAGAGGAATTGAACAAGACAAGATAGTTCGTGGAATTGTTCGCGGGAGAGAACGGCATGAGGGCGGGTAATCAATCATCCACTTCCCTGAAGCGCGAGTCCCCCGCCATATTCTTTCCCCGGTTCCCGTTGCCGATGATGTCGGAAGGAAGTGGCCACCCCCCACCCGCTCCCCCCACCCCGGCTCCAGATCTCGGCTGTTGAACTGCGGCTAACGTATAGTGGCTGTGGCTGCTCTGCACAGGTGAGGCGGTGCAGTTCGGCCCGAGATCCAAGCTCCGAGATCCAAGCACCAAGAGCGAGGTTTTGTCTTCATCTGTCTCGCATTGTGGGGTCCAGAGTCACGCAGGGCACATATAAGACGCGGGGTAGTTTTAAGGTCTTTATTTGTTCTACATTTATGTTGATCCCTGCCCATTCTAGACCGAGATTACGTGACGTCCTAACAAGACAGTCTTTCCATGCTCACCCCATGCATATGAATGTCCTGTTCCTCCGTCCTCATAACTCAACTTCATACTCGTACAGACCTTGCTGATCTTTGTGGTATCTATAGTTTTCCATTCCTGCTGCGCTTAACGCTGACCTGAGTCTTCATTCTTATTGGCCGTACTGAATTCCTAGCCCGACCCTTCGTCGTTCTTCAGTCAGCGGTCCTCGTACCTTCTTGGCCGGGCTTCCCTGGTCTCTCATCACCTCCTCGCTCGACCCATGATTCCCACTAAATTTGCGCTTTTCCCCATCCCCTTTCGAGTTGGAGAACAGTTTTGCCTGCATCCGGGCGGATTTATCGATCGGAGAGCGGGTGGCGCCTCTTGAGCCTGTTGAGCTGGCCACATCGAAGCTCTGACGCGGGTCCCGCCGCAACAACTCCGTGGCCGCTTGGCTTGCTTGGCTGTCAAACACCTCCTCGTCATCTTCGTCACGCGAGCGTCCGCCACCTTGGGATGTGCGTGAGGCATGGGATGCAAATGAGGCGGCTGCAACTGATTGCAACGCTTGACGGGCCAGCTCCTCGTTATCCTCCACTGAGATGGTGCTCTCTCGACTTTGTCGTCGGCGATCTGGCTTTGATACGGGTGTCGTTGGCACAAAGCTCCTTTGAGCGTATCGCTGAGGCTCCGTCTGTGGTACGAGATCCACGGAGGGAAGGAGACCGGTGTGTGCACCACGGGGACGGTTCATGGGTGTAGTTGGGAGTGATGACATGGATTGGGCATTTCGTTGATGCTTTCTTACTTGTCGCGGTGCTGGCCGGTGTGAGGGGATGGGAGTTGACGGCGCGCTGTTATTATCCTGGCTCATAGCCTGGAGAAGAGCCGACAGACCATGTTCGCCCTCCCGAGTTTCTCGGGTAGCTGACCGTGGAGTCTGGCGGGGAGTAGAGCGGTAGGGTTGGGGTGTTGAAGCTGTCTGGGTTTGCTGCTTCGGAGTCAAGGCACCGTGAAAAATGCCACCTGGGCTGCACATGCTATGCAGATGTTCTCGATTCTCGCGGATTCGGTTGAGAAGCATGTCCCTCTCCTCAGTCAAGCCAATGGTCTCCTCCTCCTTCTGCTGGATGACCTTCTTGGCTACCTTGACGCGGCGGTGCAGCGTCTCTGTCTCATCCATGGCCGCTTCATACCACATCTTCATCTGGAGGTACTTGGCCTGGGTTGAATCAGACGATGTACTCAACTCCCGCTTAGCCTGGCGGGTGTGCTCGGCCGCCCGTAGCGCATCCACTTCACGACGGATCATTTCATGTTCCACAATGGCTCGCTTTTGGTCCTCGTCTGCCTGAAGACTCAAAAGATTGTACTGGAGCTTGTGGTGGGCCGTCTCCATCTTCAGCTTCTGGTTCTCAGCGATACATCCTTGCAGCATGATGCGAAGTTCGTCCGCCGATGCCTCCAGAACCTGCTGGGGCGCGGGCGGGACAAAGTCGGAGGTCAGCTGGCGGTCGCGGAGGGTGTTAAGAATTGTGGCGGGCGGGGAGAAAAGGTTCGATTGTTGAGAGCCCGAAAAGGTACGCTTGGAGTGGCCATTTGGGATATTGTTGACCTGGGTTGAGGGGGGAGGCGTAAGAGACGAGGGGATGATGGTGATGGCGGGTCGGTCGTCGTTGATCTCAGTCTTGAATGACTCGTTGGGGTCGATGGGGGATTGCGGGATCTCGGTGGATGGGAGCGTCACCTGCGACAAATCTTGGGAGGCCAGGTCCTGAGGGGTAGAGGGTTGTTGGACGGGGCTAGCCATGTGATTCTGGTTCACAGCGGCGTCGACCTGCTGGTGCTGAGCCATGGCTACCTCGGAGTCGGACGCCATCGTGAATTGGTGAACGGGCGACCGGGTGTGAGGGTTGGGTGATGGCTCAGTGAAGGAGCGTCGAGTCCAGCGGTCCAGCTCCTCGGTCGGCGTCGAGAAAAGCCCGTGGCGGCCCGGAGTCTTAAATCAGGCGACGATGCGTGTCGTTTATTGTTTGTTTGTCGGCGTGTTCGAAACCCGTCGCCAAAGTCGCGTGCAAATGGATCCCTGACGTCGTGGCTGGGCGGAATTGGTCAGGATGGCACGCGCGCGCTCTAGCACGGGCGGGACATGGGACATGCAAAAAGCAACAACACAAAAACAAAAACAGGGGACGTGCGATTCGTGCGATGTAAGCGCGGGGGGGCGTCGAGGTCAAGAATGCTCGGCGCGAGGAGCGAGAACAGGCAGAGGCAACTGGCTTCAGCCTCGTTCTGAGCGGCGTCTTGATGGTCTCTCGCTTGCGGTTTGGTGCAGGAGGAGAGAGACACTGCGGCCTTGAAGCGGCCCCTGGGAACTGGGAAGGTAGGTTTTTCCGTGGGCGTACCGCCGTACCTGCCCCGTTGCTGGGAGAAAAATGAAGAGCTAGTGATGTTGGCCAATCAGAATCCGAGAGGCTGGCCGTGGTGGTTCGCGCCGAGTGTACCGCTAGTCCTAAACCGGCCTCGAGGTCCAACGAGGCTGGGACTCGTGGTGGTCGTCGTCCTGCGACCTCTTTGACCAGGTGAGAAGTAAGGATGGCGAGGCACTGACAATGGCATGGTGAGGCTCTGGCGAGTCATAAGAGGCGGGGAATCTCAACGTTGAGATTGTCTTACTCTCCCACACGCCATCTTTTGCGCCTCCGACACGGGTGGAAAAAAGAAAGAAAATTGTGATTGTTCCCAGGCCCTGGTAGTCATGTCTACTTCGTACGACACTGACTCGAGTCTACTCCGTACCACGGCTAGAGTTCACCCAGACATCAAAGTCTGCCAGGCGCTCGCACAGCAGACCAAATCATTACAGACCACATAACCAAGACCAAAATCAGTGGACGAATCGCATCTATATTCCATCAAGAGGAACCAGAACGTTCATTTCTGTCGAGTCTATGTTTGTAGTCGTACTTTGTAGTTTGTGTCTGGGATATCATTGACCCTTGTATCCCGCCCACACCAACCAACAACACCAAGCCTTTTTCTCATGAGTCTCTGAGTCCTTCCCCCATCGCCGTCCATCTTTCAAATGTCCCAGTCTAATCCGCCCAGATCCTTACTTGTCCTCCCGCCCATCCTCATCTTCCCCTCTTCGGCAATGCCTCACCATTCCCTTGACCCCCATTCTCACCACCAAAGCCGGCAAGATGATCGGCCACAGCACCATAACTGTCACCCACCACGCCACCACTGCAACCAAGTCCCACCGCGACCCGCGGGAGTCGAGATACCATTCGGGTACCCACCGGCCTGCACGTCCCCGCCCGTTGATGCACAGGATGCTCATGATGCCGAAGAAGACCCATCCAAAGACCGACACTAGGATGAGGACTTTCACAACCGTGGTGGGGTCGGGCGTGGCGCTTTTGAAGTCTTGGTCGCCTTCAAGCGGCATAGAAGTGGGCACCATTCTGCTAGCGAGGCGCGCTCGGTCGAGTGGGAGGAGCATGTTGATACGCGGGGGTGCGATAGTATCTGCTTTGTTTGTTGGTGCTCTTGTATGTCTGTGCAGCAATAAGCGGTGGCAAGTTGATATCTGATGTGATGTATTATTCGTTGTGATGATGCTTGACGCGGATTGTGTGGATGTGGCAAACAAAACAATGCCTTCGTTTCAAACCTTATGACGAAGGCTTCCTCCTGCCCTGTCACAACATTGGTCGGTCATACCTTCCACTCGCGACGTCAAACTCAATCCTAAACTCCTTTCAGTTTGGTGTCAACAACCAACTCAGCCTCTGGCACGTCTCTGATAACACGGCGCGAGGACGCATCTCTTCTTTTATACATGTACAAACCCACCCGCCCTAGTCCAAGATTCACATGCCGGTGAACTTGGCGATGCCATCCATTTATCTCCCGTCGTGGGTGTCTGGTCCCAACGCCTTGTAACGCCGTTTCTGCCTATACATATGGAGTATTTTGGTCTTTCCCTCCTTCTTTGGCCTTCCCTTACTCGGCCTTCTTCCGAATCCGTAGGTAGTCGCGGATCTGTTCGTGCTTGCTCGCAAAGAACATTCCCTTCACGTCATTCCGCCAGGCCAGCACACCAACCTCCTCAGCGAAGCCCGCAACGGCCATGTACTCGCGGTGGTCCTCAAAGTCCTTGAAGAGGAAGCCGCCAGTTGTCTTCATGCGCTCGTTCTCGAGCTGCCAGAGACGGATCTGATCTACAACCGTCGGGGGCAGGACGGGTTTGTTGTTGAGGGCGGCAGTGCGGTGCATCTGGTCATGCGCATGAGCGGCGAGGTAAGAGATGATCTGGTCGGCCGTAATGCCGAAGTTGATAGCCTGGCGAATAGACTGACGCGAGAGACGACCGGCCACCATGTCGGGAAAACGCATGTTGAGCTTGGCAAAGAGAGCAATGACGGCGATTTGCAGGGTGGACTGAGTGTAGGCGTAGAGACGGTAGTTGGTCTCGATAATGACACTGCCCTTTTGGTCCGCGTTGCCACCAGATGGGTTGGACTGGCCTGGCGCCAAGGCCGCAGCTGTGGCGGCTGCGACGCCGTCACTGATGCTGCGGAGACTGTTTCCGCTGCTAGTGAGAGTCGTAGCGAGGCGCGTAGGGAAGAACATGGACCACTTGTGATTGGGAATGTAGATGAGACCAAACTCAACAAGGTATACCAACATGTTCTTGCGCTGATCTGTCAGGGCATTGGTGTCGTAGGCGCGGCCGAGCTCCATGCTCGCAAGCACAAAGAGGAACGACAGCATGTCGGTCGCCTCGAGCTCCTTTCTGGTATCCATAGCCTCAATCCAAAGCAGCAGAAGCGTCCACACCTGGGCGTTGGCCTCCTGCAACAGGAAAGTAAAACCTGCCTGAGTGATGCCCACGCCACCATTGGGTCGGCGGTCGACCAGCCGTCCTGCGATGAGGAGTTCCTTCACGTTCTTATTCGGCCCGGAAACCTCGCTGGCGCTCTTGAAGCCGACACTAGAAACAACATAGTGCAGGATGTCCTCCCACCTTTTTCGGGCATAACGGTCGAGGAAGGGGGTGTCGATCTCGGGGGGGACTTGCAGGCTCGAGGGAACGCCGAATGAGTTGTGGGTGCCGCCGCCGGAGAGGGCGAGGCGAAGCGAGGTCTTGAAGTTTGCCGTGAGCTGCATCTCCTGTGGTCGATCTTTCGAGGGCGCCGTGATCTGGACGATGTAGAGGACGCGCATGATGGATAGGGCTTGATCCTTTTGCCTAGGTCGAGGTCAGAGCGGTTGCTTGACGACTCCACGAGAGGGAGTCGTACCGTTTGGCGCTCGGCTTAACCCAATCATCGAGGTCACTGAGCAGTATAGCTTTGGGCATGTAGAGAATTCGCATGACAAAGGTTTTCGCTGGCGGATTATCGAGGGTCAGCAAGGGCGCCGCGTGACGATGGCCGTTCACGGGAGACTTACCCAAGTGCGGGAGCATGCGACGAAAGATGGCAAACGCTGTCGAGGGCTGCTGGTACAGCTTCCTAAATGTCGTACCTGGGAGCTTCTCGAGGTACTCGGCCAGCTGGAGCGAGGGCGTGGGACTGACTGACATGTTGGGCAACCGAGGGCGCGCGGCGCAATCAGTCAGTCAGTGAAGTCGAGGGGAGCTATCTCATGATAGCAGAAGGAGGAGAGGAGAGAGTGTCCGGCCGGCGGGGAGCAAATGTGAAGCGGAATTCGAACGTTGACGCGTCGTAGGCAGCGATGGGAGGAACTTTGAATTCGTGGGGAGGAAAGTCATCAAAGGTTGTTGAGGTTCGTCTCGTGAATGAATCTCTTTCAAAAAAGAGGCTGCAGCTCGAGGCACGGTGCTACTAAGCTCGAGCCAAAGACGTGTCGGAAAAGATCCGGGTAATTACGTCAGTCTCGGCGCGCGCGCTCTAGGGTCAGATCCCACGGCAAAGGAAACGCCGAAAGTGGAGCTTCGGCCGCGCTAATATTCCGTGCTTCCCCGGATATTCATCCAGGCGGAGGCGAGTACCTAGGCTATCGCGGACTGAAGCCGCGGAGTTGAGGAATTGCACTCAATCATAACTCGGGCACTGCAGAGAACACGGAAGAAGTTAGAGAACTCAACCCACAAGGCAGCAATCGCTATCAATCATGGCCAAGAAGCTCACCCCCACGCAGTTCGTCAAGGCGGTTCGTCACCTCCCCGGCCTTTTCTGATTTCCTTGCCTTGCCTCGATTTAACTCAATTTCGTAATGTGATCGAACTGACCGCGTGTGTATAGGTGTCACGGTCATTCATGGCCGAGTCCGGTCTGGAGCCGAGGTACGTTATCATGGATTCCTTCTTTTGTCCAAGCAATCAAGGAGGCGTCCTAAGCGATTGAACCATGCAGGTAGATATGCTAACCAACCTCTCCTCATAGATTGCTCGGAAAACATGTATGCAGACCATTCACCAAAAAATTGTTTTGCTTCCCTAACCATCAACTCCATAGTTCCGGGTCCTAAGCGCAACTGAGGGCAGAGTCGACTTTGAGCTTGACATCCACAAAGACCACACAGTCAGTCACTATCGCCTTGAATCCCACTTCTGTGCCATCTGTTCAATCCCTCTGACCGATCTTCAGAACCGACTCAAGATAATACATGGCGGCACCATTGCGAGCATGGTCGACCTCGGCGGCTCCCTTGCCGTAGCCTCAACCGGCCGTTTCGCAACTGGCGTGTCAACCGATCTGAATGGTATTTCTTCTCTTTCACTGCATTAGTTGCTATATTCTGACGAATCAAAGTCTCGTATCTCAGCGCCGGCGGACGCGTAGGCGACACTTTGAAGGGAACAGCCATTTGCGACAAGAGTATGTGAACGCCTGGAACCTCGATCCCTAAATGTGCACTGACCAGATGCAGTCGGCAAGACCCTGGCATATACTACCGTGACCTTTACCAATAGCAAGGGACAGTTGGCTGCTCGAGGAAGTCACACAAAGTATGTTGTTCCCTCCAATGCTAGGGTATTTGCTAACTAGGTTGGAGATATGTGAACGGCACCATGGGTGAGGCTGGTCCGTTCGTGGCTCCGCCCGAGTTCTCAGAGGATGTGGAATAAACGAGTTCATCTCAACATAGTTACATAGACAAGATAGATCAAATATTACTACACGCTCATATAGGTTCCATCGGACAAATTAACAGAAACCTTACGGGTGAGTATCAATTTATTCGTATTTGTATTCTTATATTATATCTTCTTATATTCAATTATTGCAATCGCGGTTGAGTTTCGACATGAATTATAGACGTGCAAGTATTGACGTATGTGCGGATAGTGATACTCCGCATTTCAGAATCATTACACAGCGTTCGCGTAGATCGACCGTTCGTTAAGGAAGAATCAGGTTCAATAAAGATGGTATCATACCGCGCGTGCAAATGTCCCGACCTCCCTAATCGTTCCGAAACAGACCAGTAATGTTATCAACTCCAATAATATTTTCTCCGTAAATTCATCAGCTCCTATGCCTTTTCATAATACGGCTGAGGGATGGTCTGGGGAGGTGTTCCGTCTGCCTGGTGGTTCAGTCCCATAGCATCCTCATGGGGCGGGGGCGACCTTGTTTGGGACACTGGGCTTTGAGGGCTGTAGTGTTGTTGCTGTTGCTGGTATTGAGGCTGGTGCTGTTGCTGCTGCTGCTGTGGTTGCTGATGGGCGTACTGCGGGTAGTTTTGATGTTGGGAAGGCGAAATGTACTGGTTCGGCGGAGCATAGTAGGTACCCTGCTGGTTCTGGGGAGGTGGTACAGGTTGGATTAATTCGTGTCGCATCGGAGGTGACTGCTGTTGCTGATGTACCATCGGTGGAGCTATGGTTTGTGAATTGTAGGTATAGCCCCATGGTGTCACTTGGTCACCCGAGCCATCTGCCATGAAAGGTTGCTCAGTAGACCAGAGCCCGTTGTTCTTCTTAGAGCCAAGTGTGAACACAAGGCAAAGGAGAATGAACAGGGGCCAGACACCGAAAATAACATCGAGGACATCATAGTAGCTCTTGTAATATGGGTCGCGTCGCACGTCGCTTAGATTTAATGCTGACGCCATGGAAGCCATCTCGTATACGGTTCGCAGGAGCCATAGTGCTGCACTTGTGATAAATATGTTGGAGGACTAATTGAATATTAGCATCGTCGTAGTACAAGACATATGGGATAAAGCGTACCAGAGATAATCGCGTTTCGGAACGCGTCTGCATCTTAACCATGATAGATTGCGCGACGATGGCTATAGCCAAGACGAATACAAGCACGCGAAAGGAGAAGTCGAGGTGGCGAGAGGCATTGAATTGGTCAATCAACTTGTTGGTGGCCGAGTAAGTCGACGATCGGTTCTTGGCAAAGACCTCGTTATAGAAGTGAAGGCGGAGGCCAAACTGGGCGAGGGCAATGATAAGGAGCACCGAGGCAATACCGTACGAGGCAAGCTTGGTGATCTTGTCGTACTTTCCTGCTTTGCCCACATGGACCATGACGATCCCAGTGCCAAGACGGAGCAGCATCAGGAAGACAAGGATATCAGCGATGGCTTCGCAAATCCGGGAGACGGTGAAGGTATTGTACTGAGCGAGATCGATGGCTCTCATGACGTCGGAGGTGACTTCATAATACAAGTCATATTGGATGCGGGCGGCAGCGAAGGCGAGACCGTAGCCGCAAAAGTCCAGGAAAATGAAGCTGCAGTTTATGGTCAGCGCAAGAACGCCTTGATTGTCACGTACGCAACACAACACGGTGCGATGCGATACGCCACGAGACGACAAGAAAGGACGGGGCCGCGACTAACAGTGTTAAGAAGGCGAATGCGGCCTTCAGATATGAAAAAGCTGTTCGAGCGGGATCCTTGCGATGGCGGGCAAGGCAGAGCGCACATAGGAAGACGATGAGGCAGGGGATAAAGGTCAGGAGCATGAGGGCGTCATGGGCGATGTAGTATCGCTCAAACAATCGGAACATCACCATGGCGGTAACTGAGGTAGCGACGAAGCGGTACGAAGGAGCAATGCGACTTAAGTCTTGGTGTCGTCGGGAAATGGCCAATTGATCAAAGCCGAGTGTTGGTGACGATGGCGAGGCTCCGCGATGACACGGCGAATGCAGTGGCCGCTCGTTCACCGCAGGGCGCTGATGGCACAGACAGGGAGGACCTCACTGAGGACCACACGGACAACTGCAGTATCCAGGGAATGAAAGATCGAAGCTTGTCCACCTGGAGAAGGGCGGGAGGAACGTTGGAAGAATGCAAGCCACAGCAGAGCAGCCGGAGGGAAGGAGAGACAAACAAGAGCTCAGGCGGACCGCACGAGTCGGAAGGAGGGATGTGCCATTTTTAGACCTGGATGGGGGATCAACGTGAGGCACACCGACTGGAATAATACCTAATTACTGCAAGCTACAAGCAATGACCTGGCGCCCGCCTCTTTGCGCCCAACCAGATCATCCATCTAGATGCCCCATTCCAACATTAAAGTATTGCGACGGGCGGCAGACTTTCAGCCCCGGCGAGCTCCAGCCCAGCTCCATCCAGCCAGCTCCATCCAGGGAGGCACTGGAAAGGCGGGCCAGGACCACCATGATCCAACCACGATGCAGTCGACAGAGGCTCAGACGCAGAGCCAAGAACAACACCAGCAAAGCAAAGCAAAGTCTCCCCAAACAGACCGATGCGAAAAAGCCAGGCAGTGCCCACTGATCCGCGCACCAGCCAATCGACCGCCCTGGACCAGCCGTCCAGCCGTCCTGTAGGGGCCGTCACAACAGCTAGGGCTCTGGGTCGCCGGCAGCTGGGGCCTACGGGTGGCCTGTTGGGGCTGCATTAGCGGAACGCCTTGGCCGGCACTGCCCCTGCGAGGCGCCGTAGGGCTGCCGCGATTGGTGCCCGGCGGGATGAGGTGGCCCTTGGAGCCCGTGGCGCGACGAGCTGGAGACCCCCCGGCAGTCGAGTTTCACCTGGTCAGTCACCCTCTGTCACCCTCAGTGGCCAGGTATCGGCATTGCCATGCCGTGCTAGACACTCTCTTCACTCTCTTCGCGTCGTGTCTCGAGCCAAGTTTCCCATTGGAAGAGTTTTTCGTATTAGTTATACTTGTACATCTCGTTCATATCTAGCGCCTTTATGTCCAGCGGACAAATTCTCCGATTCCAAACGGCATAAGGAAGCCACCGGGACGGCAGCGCATCATCATGTTGTCATCCCCCCCAAGCCGCCAACGCCGTGGGATGCCTCGCGCAATATTTCACGTAAAAGGCTTCAAAGTGCAATCCTTCCCTCGGGAGGCCTCTCCACTCCTCAGAGCCTCATCCGCAGTCGAATTCCTCAGCTGCGGTCACAAGGCCATGTCGATCTGCCCAGTGGCTTCAGCTATTGAGGCAGAGACCCCGGCTTATCTAAAATGTCACCACACCAAGCACTCGCTTCCAACTGGAATGAATACCTGAAGTCCCGGCCATTTGGGTAAGTGTTTCTGAATTGCTGGATTATCGGTGCCGGGCCATATTTCAAAGCTGAGACGACACGCGCAAATGCCCCGTGCGAACCCACTGGAGAGACGAGCAAATGCCAGGCGTGTGCAGGCAACACAAATCACGTTGTTTGTTGGTTATTAGGCTTGAAAGACAGCCTCTCCAACAATCGCACTGCCACCTCCTAGTTTTCTCGGCATGGGTGTGGTTGCGCATGCATGCAGTAAATGCTACTTTACCACAGAGCCCTTGGTGACTGGCTCTCGCGGTATTGGTTCGGACCCCATCTGCACCTCACTACCACTCACACTTGAACATCGGCTTTCAGATCAGTATCCGACGTTGGAGTTCCTTTCAAATTGGGTTCTCAGCTTTCCGGGTCCCTAAGACTCCATGCTTATGCAGTAGGAGAACTCGGGCCCAGTGTCTTTTGTCGTCGTTCTCTACGTCGCGTTCTCCGACGTAGACACGACTCAAAATATCTTCATGATCTGCAAAACTGGGTCCACTGGAAAACATACCCAAAAAGGCTTACACGACACAGTACTTATCATCAACATAGATTCCCTAGCATAATACATGAGCACCAATTTCATCATCAAACTGCCACCTCCCCGCGCTTCTGTCTCTCCTCCCAGTCCGCCGCTCCCTCATAGTCGCAGTTGTACTTCATGAACTGCCCCGGATCCAACTTGACCTCCTTACTCGCCGCATCCGTCCCCGGCTTGGCCTGCTCGCGGCTATACTTCTGAATCAGGCCGGCCCGCTCCCGGCGCACCGCAAACACCCGCTCCAGCGCCGCCTGGACATCGCTCTTGGCCGGCGACGCCCCCAGGAACGCCCGCAGCGCCTCGGCGTCCTCGATGCTCTGCGACGCGCCCTGGCCCTGCGTCGGGAGCATCGCGTGCGCCGCGTCGCCGATCAGGATGGTGCGGCCGCGGACCCAGCGCGGCAGCGGGTCGATGTCGCGCAGCTGCCAGAGCCCGAGGTCCGGCGCCGCGGCGAAGATCTCGTGCAGCCAGCCGGGGAAGTCGGCGTAGGTCTCGCGCAGCTTCTCCATGCTGCCGGCCTCGACCCAGCTGTCGCTCGAGCTGCTCTCAGCCATCTTCTCGTCCGGCACTAGCGCGACGATGCCGTACATCTTGGCTCCGCGGCCGGGGCCCATGATAACCCGCCGGTCGTGGCCGATGATCATCGTCGTCGACGGGTCCAGCGGGTCAATGAGCTTCTTGGGAGCAGACAGGTTGCCCAGTTTCTCGGTGGGGATCAGCATCCGGTATGCAGAGATGCCCGTCGGGATGGCCTTCTGCTCCTCACCCAGGACTGCTGTCCGAACGGCGCTGTGGACACCGTCCGCGCCGATGATCACATCTCCCGTAATAGTCTCGCCGCTCTCCAACGTCACAATTCCTTCCTCGCAGTCCACACTGACAACCTGACTTGAAGTCCGGATCTCAGCTGGGTTGCCCGGCAAGTCGGGGCTAACGGCCGCATTCTTAAGAGCCAATGAGAGATCCTGGCGGTGGTACATGACCCTGTCGGCACCAAACTGCTTCTTGTCCAGGTTCATCTCCCGCACGAGCTTCCCGTCTGTATTGAACATGCGAAACGCTCGGTCGGGCATGGGCTCGGCGGCGGCGAGGAACGAGTCGATGCCCCATTTGTCGATGATCTTGGTGGCATTGGGTTGCAGGGAGAGCAGCGCGCCGACTTCGCGGACCATGCGCGAGCGTTCGAGGATGGTGATTCTGCGATTGGGAGATCGGAGGGCAATTGCCTTTGCGTGTTAGCTTAAATTCTCGCAGTCTGTGTATGCCGGTAGTTGGTAGGTTACCGTTGCGAGGCCGGCAATACCGCCGCCGACAATGATGACGTGCACCTCAGGTTGGCTACCCATTGTATAATGGCTGTAGAGAAATGTGAGAGAGATGAATTGACTTAATGTTCCCGAGTAATATTTAAAAGCGAGGGCTTCAGTTTCAAGAGTCCTTTTTGAATCATCCAAGCCCAAGAAGCTGGTCATGGCCGACTAAGTCGCCGAGTCGATCTGAACCGAACCGACGGAACGGAGCCGAACGGCACCCACCTGCCCCGCATCATCGCCGGTGGAGGCGGGGCATTACCGTGATAAATTGACCCTATTTTTATAGACTAAAGCTAAGCTACAAGTTAACTCATACTTAGGGCTTAGATTTCCTGAATCATTAGGTATAAAAAAGCCCGAAGGTAGTAAGCGGGGGAAGGATTCAGGGCGAATTTGCTGGTGAGCTTCGCCAGAGCTGGCTCACGAGGCGAGTAACACATCCACGCAGCTCTTGGCCTGAGGCTTAGATGTAATTCATTTAATTCTGTTACGCAGCGCTCTACTTAATTGGCTTCTCCGTCAGGTCGCCATGGTTGCGTAGAAGCAGTCGACAAAGGCTGGGCACCATTGGATTCCAGTAGCCGCATGATAGCGTCATCCCCCCCCAAGGCAGCCCTTGACAGCGGCGTCCAGCCCCTTTCATCCGCAGCCTCAATGTCGGCGCCCCGGTCAAGAAGCAGCTGCATAACAGCCTCATATCCCTTTATGGCAGCCCATAACAGCGGCGTCCAGCCATCTTGATCTACAGCCTCAATATCGGCGCCCCGGTCAAGAAGCAGCCGCACAACGGCCTCACGCCCATTCGCAGCAGCCCTTAACAGCGGCGTCCAGCTATCTGAATCCGCAGCCTCAATATCGGCGCCCCGGTCAAGAAGCAGCCGCACAACGGCCTTACGCCCGTTTGCAGCAGCCCTTGACAGCGGCGTCCAGCTATCTGAATCCGCAGCCTCAATATCGGCGCCCCGGTCAAGAAGCAGCCGCACAACGGCCTCATGCCCCTCTGCAGCGGCCCACAACAGCGGCATCCAGCCTTCTGAATCCGCAGCCTCAATATCGGCGCCCCGGTTAAGAAGCAGCCGCACAACAGCCTCATGCCCGTTCGCGGCGGCCCATACCAGCGGCGTCCGGCCAGATAAATCCGCAGCCTTAATATCGGCGCCCCGGTTAAGAAGCAGCCGTATAACGGCCTCATGCCCCTCCGCAGCAGCCCATAACAGCGGCGTCCAGCTATATGAATCCGCAGCCTTAATATCGGCGCCCCGGTCAAGAAGCAGCCGCATAACGGCCTCATGTCCCTCCGCGGCGGCCCATAACAGCGGCGTCCGGCCAGATGAATCTTTGCTGTCGATACTCGTGCCAATTTGGTCCGCCCTTTCTAAAATGGTCCCCAACGCCCCTACCACTCCATACCTCGACATAATATGTACCAGACTAGTCCCTTCTAGCGGACAGTCCTTTGAATATTTCTCTAGCATCCCATAAATACGCACCCATCGCTCCACAAAAATGTTTGATGGCCAGGTGAAATATTCCAGAAGATCGTCTTGGGGGACACTTCTAGCATCACTCTGCTTCGTGTGCGCCACCCACGAGGTCATGGCATATTGCAGGAAAGGAAACCTGGAACTCCACCGGGAAGAGTCGCGACTTGCTAACAGACCGATCTCCTCCATCGCCAAGTAGCGTATGCAGATCCTAGAAAGCCGATAGTGTGCCATTCCAACAACAAAGTCGGGTTTGGCGGTGCTCAGGCTCCCGTTCAGAGCTGATAGGCCCTTCTTGATGAAAAAGTCCTTGACGGACTGGTGGATGAACTGGACAATCTCCCCATCCGAATCGACTTCCGCAAGGCCGCAGCTCAGCGTCTGAAGTCGCCTCTTCATCCCGGCCTTGTTGGATGAGTAATCCATTGCGCTCAGGCATTGGTGCAATGACTTGTGTTGGCAATCGGTCTCGACGATCATAGCCCATAGCAATTCATCTAGTGACAGGGGCTTCATGGCAAACAAGATCCATTCGATGAGTTTCAGAGAGTCCGGGCCCATGTTTCGGATGAGTTCGCAGAATAAGTCGCCGAGCTCTTGAGGGACCAAATGGACTTCAGCCTCTATTCTGTCCAACTTGATACCCCTTCGGTTAAGGTTCAGTACTTGCTTCACTACAAGCCAAGCCCACAGGAAAATACCCTGAGCGCGTGATGTTATCAAGTCCGGAATTGTCGACGAGAACGAAGAGAGCTTGTAGTGAACGAACGTCGATATATCTTTCCTGTTTTCGTTCTCTGCGCATATTTCGAACGCACAATCCACTTCCAGAATCGGGTAGTGACGACACGTGAAGCAGACGTGGAAATGTTTCAAGCCGATGGTCGGGAGCGTCTGTATCAAGGACTGGAACCCGTCGACTAACTTGACCGCACTTTCCTCGCCAGATTCGTCCAATGCATCGAGGAATAACCAGACTGTACGAGTCTTCAAGACCTTCGGAATCGATGACTCGAAGAAGCGCTGCAGCTCGTGCGGATGCCACTGCCACTGAGCACCCGGCTTGCCAACAGTTTCGCACCGTTGTTGGAAAGTGGCCACGAGGTCTTGCAGTGTGTCGGGGACCTGGCAGAGGAGCTGGTGGAGGAGCGACTGGAAGAGGCCCAACGACGTCCTTTGGAGGCCAGCACCGCGGCCGTGGAAGAAAAACGAAAGGATCAAGTCACCCTCCGCTGCTACGAGATTGCGCAGAACGTGACCTAGCAACGTCGACTTCCCAGAGCCGGGTTTCCCCTTGATCCAGAGCAGACCTCGATCGCAAGAAGCCCAGCTTGTGTACATTTTATGTTGAAGTAGCCACTGGCATGTTCCCTGAGCGGCGGTATCGATATCGTGGAACCGACTGTCCATTTCTAGGAAAGCCAGCGATTTTAAACAATCTTGTAACGGATGCACGGGATCTCGTGTGCCTGGACGATAGTGAGCAAAGAGTTTAGTGCCTATAGAGGAAAACCCGCTCTTACCAAAATACACAGGCCCTACGAATTTGGCACCGGGGAATTGGGGGCCGTTGCCTTTACTGATATTCTGTGTGCCGTCAGGAGTGTTGAATTGGTCCCCGGTGCCGCTGTAGAATGAGGAGCTCTGGGGAAAGGGCCCAGTGCGTGTCGCGTCCCCTTGTAACCCACCAGTCCGAGGCCGCTTCTGTGGCGGAAATATGTCGTCTGTGGCTCTATCCATTATCCAAGGCACGATAGACGAGTTGAAGAAGGCTGAGAACGACGGAAAGATGTGTGAGCAGACGCGAAGTCAACTAGAAATAGCGAGGACGACAAGGTCAGCCAAAGACGAGTCGCTCGAGAGCCGCACGCTCCTCCCCAACAAGCAACGCACCAGTTGATCCGGGGGATGGGCGGGGTCCGTTCAGTCCGATAGAGGCAGATGTGCAGAATGGATCAGGCTGCCAATCTGAAAATTTTCGCACATTGGCTTCATTGTCAGCTTCACCGTCTTCGCGCACATGCATAGGGTCGGCACGGTGAGCCAATCAGTTACCATTGTCGTCGAGCATCGGCATGTCCTGAACCAATCCAGGCTGCTAACCTGCAGCCACATCACACGTAGCGATGCGGGCTCAGAGGGCTGATCAGACAAAGATTTGAGACGTGACACACCTCGCAAATGAGAATCTAGATTGCCCGGATTCAGTCTTCCCAAAGGTGGCAGCTACCATGACAGACTTGATCTCGACCACGCTCACCACCCTCGAGGCCGCCACAGATCACTACAATGTTGTCAAAGATGACAAGGGTCTCCGGGAGGCTTTCCATGAGGCGGGTCGAGGGCTGCTCCTCGTCTGGCAGGCTCTCCAAACTGCCAAGACTCAACTGGGCGGACGCAACGCAGCCGAATATCCCCAAAACGCCCTGGACTCACTGAAGGCGTGCAACACCAACGCAAAGCTGTCCAAGACTATACTCAACGCCGTCGCCCAAGCACCGGAGAATTCGAGGTTCGAGGGTTACAAAGAGGCCGTGATACAAGAGGGCAAGGGAAGAACGACAGAGGTCTTGATGATTGGGATGATGAATTATGTATGTACCTTGGTCGAGGACTGTGCGATCGGAGCAGAAATGGAAGACCAAGTCAACGGGTTACGCAGTGCCATCGACAAGCTATCAAAGATGGAGCCGTCCGTGCCGAATGAGAAGTTGGGCGGCTCTTTTACGCACTTTGGCTCTGGCGACCAACTCAACGCTCCCGGCGGCACCGTGAACAAGAGCACAGGCGAGGGTAAGCACTTCCCTGGAGCTAGTTTCTTTGGTCCAGTGCATTTTGACAACAATCCGAGCTAAGAAGGACTACTACCATAAGGCAATATAATATACCTAAGATTAGGTGTTAGGTGTATCACTAAATGTTTGTATTTATTGTAAGGCTTTAGTTTGTTATAATTTTAGGTAAACTAAAATAAAAATAAAATAAAAAAACTAGGATTAGATTCGCAGCCTCCTCGATCGACCTCTGCCCATATATCTTCAGACGACCTGCTCTCGAGAACGCCGCTTCCGTACCCCTCAAAAGTGCACCGGGCCGTAGAAAGTAGCTCCAGGGAAGTGATTACCATCGCCTGTGCTCATGTTCACGGTGACGCCGGGAGCATTGATTTGGTCACCAGAGCCAAAGTTGTTAAAGTACCAATTGGCTGGCTTTTTTATCTGTGCTTCTTCTATAGATCGTGTAGGTTGGCTGATAGCTGAGTTTCTGATTTGTGATTCCCATCTAATCAGCTCGCCAAGCAGCCTTTTGAATCCATTGTCATCGACCGAGCTAAACTTAACCATATTCCTATGGTTAGCGTGGATGCTGATCGCGTTGTAACTTTCAAGGGTAGCCGAGTCTTTGGAGACGACTTTTCCAACCCCAGACAAGGGCAGTTCCTCAAAGAAGCACGTAACCTCGAGATCCCGGCCGGCCTGCTGCTGTTCCCGCACCATAGACCAGAACCGATCTTGAACGGACTGGAGGTACTTGTCGTCTGTCTCTAAGATCTTCAATAACGACTTGTTGATGGACTTGACAATCCCAAGGGCCGAAGCTGGTATCCTAGCCCAGTCGGCCATCCAAGATCCCCTGTGAGGTGTACCTAGGAATATGATACCCTTGGTGCAGTCGAATATACCCCGGAGATGCGGTTCGGGGTTGTTTCGGGAGAGAAGAATGGCTTCCTTGCAAACGAGGCCGCCCAAGCTGTGGGCGATGAAGACTAACGGTCGAGAGGACGCATTAGAACGAGCTCTTTCCGTCGTCAGATCATTCAAGAGGTTCGTGGCGTGATCGATCAGCCCCTTTGTCGATGCGACCGGTTTCCGTACGATATACGCATCGTAGCCGTACGTGAGTATGCGAGCCCTGCTGAGCTTGAGTGGCAAGAGTGTCTCGGGCCAGGGTTTGGACTGCCCTTTGGCGGTCCATGTGCCGACCCGGTTGCCACTCAGACCGTGGACAAAGCAGATGTCAATTGTAGCGTCGGGGCAGTCGTGCAGAACTTCAACTCCATCCGGGAAGGCGGGAACTAGAATGCTCTGAAGAGGTGTCTCGAGGTCTGTCTCGTGAGGCCATGGATGATCAGGTAGGCCGTCGCCGCGGGTTGTCTCTTGTTGTTGATGAATTTCCGGCGAATTGTCACCAGTCCGGTGCTGCTTCCGCAGCGTAAATTTCGTTCGCAAAATCCTCATTTTAGCGATGCGTTGTGGAACCCAGAGGAAGAGGAGTTAGGATCGGCGGAGATCATCACAATTGTACGCGACACATTCTCCAAAGAAATATAGCAGCTTTGAGAAGATATAAAGTTGCGACGGAGGAAAGCGGGGGAAGCCGGCCGAATATCAGTGAGGTATCCCTTCTCGCAGGCTGCAGCTGCAGCTGCGCCACAACCAACTTTCTTTATTGTAGTTGTCGCCCTACAGCCTCATCTTTTCTCGCAGTATGGCATGACTCCCGATTCCAGATCTTGCCGTTCAGGCGTTCTGGGGTCAGTGAAGCTCGATGGCTCCAGGGCGGCGGGACGCGAATCGGGCATCCCACTTAAAATTTTTGGGTGGCTCGGTCGGTTTCGTCTCGCCATGCAACTTTGGGGCCCAGCTATTGAAGACGCACCGCCACCGCAGCCTTCATCACCCTTTGGGCGGGTTGTTGGATCTTTTAGTCCTCCCTGTTACCTTTCTCACCCGCACACTAGAAGTTTAAAAGCCCTTGCCTATTATTATAGATGTATTAAACTGCTTCTCTTGCTATATTTTCTGCATTGATTTCATCTTGTAGTCTACTCCACATCCGAAGGGGAGGTTGACTCCTCCCTCGCCTCCTAATCTCGTGGCCGGAATTCACTCAAAAAGCCTCCACGTCCGCGTCCTGGGGTCTCGCCGATGCCCACGTCCACAGGGGAAGTGAGACATGAGGAACACAATGCTCGATCCAAAAGGGATTTGCGACCCATTTGTACTTCAGAGTTGGACCGCGCATCCATTGGCCACTCTACTGGGCCTTGAATGGTATTAGATAAAGGCCAAGGCAGTGATTTGGGCGTGAGCACAGAGGGGCGCCTTGGATCCAAGGACGTTTTGATGTGGAGGGCCAGATTATCCAATCGTGGCGACGCAAGCAGAGCGACACTCGAGTGGTTCATGTTCAGTGGCCCATGGAATAACGGTCTCCAGCCACAAGAGCCCCGATTTCGAGACACAAGATCTAAAGTATTCATACTGAGTGCCAGACAGTGATGGGATGTGCAAAAAGCATTAAACATGCGTGTTCTTGACGGCATCCTAGACCACATTTCGTTGTGGCAGTCAGCATTATGCATATTTCGACTACAATATTTGAGCAGTCCACAGATAGGAGTGAACCAGTGCCTATTTCTTTAAGAACTCAAGGTCCTTGAGCCATAATACCATCGTTTAAATCCACATCTTTGATCCTTTTGGACTGTAAAACATTTGGTGTTGGTGTGGCAAAATTGTGTTGAACGGCACCAGTCCTCAAAGGCGTCATCGCATCTCAGCCCCTCCAGCAGCCGTTACTCCAAGCCGCCCGCAAACTCACACCTAGGGCCGTCCTTTTAAATGACACCACTCACTTATCGCTCATCGCCGTCTTTTGATTCGTTCTCGCACGCCATTCTTTCCTATAACGTCAATAGCCACCCCAAAGGGCTGTCGCGTGGCTCCCGTGGCGGGTATCTTAGTGACGTCACATGGGCTCCCCATTGACACCACGACAATGAGCATGACGACGTCACGACTCTAAGCCAAAAGGTCTAGGACTTGGCTCCGCGTGCTCTTCATAAAAGCCCTTGGGTACCTCTCAATCTCGTCAAACACATTGCCAACCTACAAAGCAAAATCCACAGCGTCCAATACACATCCATCATTAAATTTCGCCCATCATGGCCATCACCACCGCGATTTCCGACTTTATCAAGTCCATCTACGAGCTCCTTGCCTCGATCTTGTCAACCGCCTACACCGTAGTCAGTTCTACTGTCTCGGCCGTCCTGAACTTCTTCGCTGGACTCTTCACTCTCTTGGGCAACATCGTTTCAGGGATGGTCGATGTCGCTGGTGGCGTGGGCAAGTTTGTTGCTGGTATGTTTTCTCGCACCTCTTTTTCCCCTGCCACAATATTGTTGGACCACAGCTGGGTTGATTGATGATGCTAATTTTTCGCTACTTAGGGAACATCGTGCTCATCTCAATCGGCGCCTTGGCCGCGTTTGCATACGTCCGGTTCACAGTCCAGGGACGACAACTTGCCGAGGGAAAGAAGGTTCAGTAAAGGGATTTGGGATGTCACTTTTGATGTCAGAAATACGAGACCGTGATATTTCCTAGGAGAATTTTCAAGAGGAAAGATTTAGGGGGGAAAGGTTCTATGTTCATGGTACCAGCACACGATACCCGGGTCTGTTAGTTGCAGTCATAAGGAGAAGAGGTTTTAGCGAATACACCCAACATCGTTTCTGAATCCATCTCTTTCTATCATGCCCCAATGTGCTGAGAGTGCTTCAAATCCTGCCGAGTTGAAAATATCTATCTGGGCCGACTTTCCATCATATCGACGTCTCACTTCATGTGTGGAGGTATCAGTAGACAAACACCGAGTTGCACATGACCCAAATCCCCACCACACCTCCATCTCACACATTCCGTCCCTCGCAACCCTCAAATCGCAATGCATCAGCCCATTCTAAGACCTGCAGCACCAGGTGACCTTTGACGGCAAAGGGCAAACGCCTGTCTCAGGCAGAGCCGCCGAGATACATAGCGATCCCGTTTGCAATTACGATTCTGATACGGGTGTCACGGTCCAGAAGTCTATATACTCCCTGTCAGCACAGTCCAAAGTTGTGGCGCAGAAGGCCGCCTCGTGATTTGATCATGATCCTCTAGTCACCGCACCCGCTGCCAGATCTTTGGTGCAGCCATTACGAGAAGCCGCAGTGTATGCTCTGGCCAATCTAAAATAAACGAATCTTCACGAGTGGCTCAAACATGTGCTTGTGAAAATAAGTGTCTTTAATCTTGAAAGAAAATTGTCATATCGTCGTTACTGATGTCGCCGTTTCCGCCAATACCTGCGCCCAAATCCAGACCAGAACAAAGCCAACCCGTGAATCCGCCGTGCCACTGAGTCATGATCCCAAAATCACAGTACACGTCTATATCATTTCCATCATTGTACATTCGATTCGTATATGCGCCCATTCATGAGCTCTTTATTCGTTCGTAGATCCCGTTGGTCCTTGGTAGCGTGTACCGCAGCTCACTGTTCCGGCTGGTACAACCTCTGCCTCATTAAAAGAGAAGGAAAAGATTCAATTTCAAGCCGCTCCCCAGTCATATCTCTTCATCCAACCTCCTTTTCTGCATTTGCGTCGTGGTGCCCATTCAGGTCAAGGTTTTGAGCATAGCTCGTACGAGTGAGGGAGGAGGTCCTGCATAATCCAGGTCAGCCCGCTGCTCCTCAAAGCTCGAACCGGTGAAAAAGGCGCACCTTTATCGGTTTTTCGGCACGCTGATGGACATCCTACCTTTCTTGTCCTTCTCAAGCCGCGGTGGCTTGTGGTGCTCGACCACCTTCTCCAACTTCTCCTCATAGATCACGACTTGTCCATCAGGAAGTCGCTCAGCTCGCACCAGTTCGCGATTGGAAGAGCCTTTGGGGCGATGTGCAAGTTCACGCTCCAGGGCGCGAATCTCGGCGCGGAGCTCATGGCCGCTGCGAGAACGAGAACGGGATCGTTCATAGATCGCCAAGGGTCCCACAGACTTGCGGCGGCGGCGACTTCTGTGACGATGGCGATGCGTGTCCCAGCTTGAAGTGCTGCTAGATCGACTGGGAGATTCGTCACGAATGAATGTCTCCTCGACAAGCTCTACTGGTGGTCCAGCATCAATGATGACTGGGGGTGGGGGGGCTGGAGGTGGCACCGCCACCACCACTGGTGGCGGCGGCGGAAAAGCCTTCTCTTTCCTAGGCTCGGGAGGAGGAGCTGGCCTAGGGTCGAGCGGAGGAGCTGGGGTTTCGAAGACGGGCGGTGGAGGGGGCGGTGCCGGTGCTTTGGAAGGGGGAGGAGGAGGAGGAAGCGCAGCAACTGGGGCTGGAGGGTTTCGAGCGGCAAGGATATCCAGTTCAACTATAGGCGTGATGCGTTAATTTTGTGTTTCTACACTGTGGGACGTTGGTTGACTTACCCTTCTTGTAATCTTCGCTAACCTTGAGTAGCTCATCAATGTTGTCCTGTCCGAGAGCCTTCTGCACAATGATTGTGTTGCCCTGGGTCTGGTTAGATTATTTCTCATGAGAACAGGTCCAAGGATATTACTCACCTCCTCGAAGAACGGGTATCCCAAATCAATGAGAGCTCGCTTGGAAACGAGTTTGGAGGGGATGCGAGTCTTGCCCTTCTTAGGGTACTCGCTCCGTACGGTGGTACCTCCGCTGCTGCTAGAGGAGTGGCTAGAGGTAGAAGAAGAGATCGAGCTGCTTCGATGAGATCTGGTTCGGGTAGATAAGGAATCCCGGCTGTGGGAGCGTTGGGTCCGGGTGGTTCTAGAATACTCTCGTTCGCGAACACGATCGGGATATGGCCTGAAGTCATCATCGCCATAGAACTCGGGCTCAGCGACTTTGATGTCATCGTAGAATCCCTGGTCGGGGTAGCGGCGAGGCGGGGGCAGTCCGCGAGCCTTGGGGAGAGGAATCGGGGTGTATGCGGGAGCGCGGTAGTCGTCCCGACGGACGTCCTCGCGGCGGGCTGGCGGGGGCAGTTCATCGTGCTCGTGGAAGATGCGAGATGGGCGACGATCAAATGTGTCAAGAGAGGACTGGCGGCGCAGGAAGCCGGGACGGCGAGGAGCAGGGTCGCGGGGAGGAAAGTCCCGCTCTCGCTCCCTCTCCATTACGCCTCGGCGTTGGTATTCGGGTCCAGGGCCCTCGCGGCGAGGCATAGGTCGGTCCTCGGGGTAGTAGCGGCGATCTCGCACCATGTCGTCATCGTCAAAGCCGCGGTTGACACGGCGGTCTTGTCGATCATCCGAACGATCGAAACTGCCCCGTCCACCGCGCATATAGGTTCGTTCATCTTCAGCCCGGCTCTGGTCGCGGCTCTGGTCACGACTCCGTTCATACAGGAAACGGTCACGATCCCAGCGTTCGCCCATGGTGAATGTGGGGGGGTGTGATGTGTGTTGTGGTAGTGCAAGCTGGTTCGCACCAGATGACTCAGGTCGGAAATGTGAAACGGGGGATTCGCCTCCAACAAGTAGGTCGGCAGAGAGAGACTGAGTGTACAAGCAGCTTGTACGTCAGTATAGAAGATGGACGGGTATTAGTAGATTGTGTAAGTACCCGGGATGCTAGTTGCGATGCAGTAAAGGGTAGAAGAAGAGTGTGCGAGAGATAAACGAGACGGAAGAAGAAGAAGGAGAAGGTGGGTGGTGGGCGGCATATGATCAAAAAGGACCGAGACCAGGAGGGATGATGGGACAATTTGATAATGGCGCCCAGATGACGGATGTTGGATCATGGAGGGTGGGTGGAAGTGGGTGGAAGTGGGCGATGACGTTGACCGGCAGGTGGCCCCGCTGATGCCAGATTTAGCGCGCAACACTCCAGTGGACAGTGCGCTGGTAGCGTGTGACCCTCCGCAAGGGTTCCATTTCGCAGAGAGAGCCGTACAAGGAGGGGCTCAGAGGGGCCCAGAGGACGCCCACTCCGCTGTCCTTTGGTAGCCTCGGTGGGGCGGTCTGCTGACGGGCGCCTGTGATAGGAGGTGTTCCAGGGGCTCTGGCGCTGCGAGACACACTGAAGAGATCAAACCAGCGATGACGAGCAGGAGCCCCAGCAACAAGAAACAACGAACCGCTGTTTGCAGAGCCCAACGCGAGATCCTGTTGTTATTGTTGGGTCGAAACGAACCAAAATACAATTTACATTTCACAGAAAAAAGACTTTGCGTTCCGTTGCGTGAGCCCTCCCTTCGCCGAAGGTTGCCGATGCTCTCCTCGACGCCTAAACCAAAGCCAAGTGGGGGATGCGACCATAAGCCGGATTTTAGTTGCCTGGATGAGGCGTTGGGGCTTGAGGAAGCAGGCTTGCCGGGACAGGGGCTGAGCGAGGCACACACCCGGGATGTTATTGTTTTGATACAATGAGATAGAGCGAATGGGATTGGAATAAGATCTAATTGGAACAAAGGCCTGTGTTGATGATATAATATTATTATTGAGTTAAAAAAAGATATTGTGAGCTGGTTGGCTGGGTTTTTATTTACTTCTACATTCAAAATAAGACATTTATTTGCAATTCTATGCCCGGTCACTATCACACTGCACTGCCGCAATAACACTTCTCCCCTCCACTTTCAAGCTCTTAGCAAACACACAACAGGGCATCCCTTGGAACCATCGACACAACATCGAGCCTCAACCCACCATCCTCGTCGTTTGTATTGTCCCTTTTACCCCCCTTGCGCGCATCCTACTGCATCCCCGATCCAATCTTGCTGCTTCTCGTCACTCTAGCGCCTGGATCCCCCAATGCCTCCAGCTTCAGCCCTTGGCCTCAACCCAGCTTGGGCCGCCATGCTCGGCATCGCCCGCTTCCTTTGTTCCTGAACCTCGTTCGCGGGCCAACAGTCCCCTTCTCGTCGTCGGGTTCCGGCCAGTAGCTCCTCGGTAATGCAAGGGGAAGAGGGGAATCAGTGGACAGCAGCTCGATCAGGCACTTTTAATGCTTCACAACAGCGGCTCCAACATGTTTTGGCGTACGGCAGATCTGGAACATGCACCGCGCCATTTGTCCTGCAGTCGCCTGGCCCTAACACGCTCTGGGGAACACGCAACAGCCCCTCTTCAAGCGACGGAGCGTGCTCGCATTTGTGCAATCCCTGGTCGCCTTCTCCAAGACTCCAACTGGAAGCCTGGCCAAGGCTCTGCCCGCAGCGGTAGTGCCGCATCCTGTGCGATGACGTCGTGCAACCAGGCGCTGCATCTGGTTGGCACCCGATGTGCACCCACCGCCCACTCGGCGACCCAATGATGGCACTCGTGAGATACCTTTCGGTACGTCTCTTCTCCTTCTCCAGACGGAGTGCTTCAAGTCTTCCCCTTGAACCCCGGAATGATCGTCGAGAAGCTGTCGATTGGGTTCAGTAGGTAGCATTGGGCAACTTTGCCTGATACGTACCTGAGGCGGTTCCTGATTGTCGAGATCCAATTCTCCGATCAATCCATGACAGCCCGACCTGTCACGTTGCCATGAGGGTTGAAACGAACCTGCATCCTCTCGGTCATCTCGAGCCCAACCAAGACCAATTCAGCAACATCATTCCGCAATTCCCGCTTTGACGCTAGGGATGACGGGCAAAAGCCGCTCGCGTTACCCCAGTCGTGGCTCCTGTCACGTCTCTTGGTCCATCTCGGACCACCTGTCTCCATCTCGCTCGACGAGCCTTCCTGGTAGAAACCTAGCTTTGTTGTGGTGGGGTTCACCGAACCTCCCCTTACCCTGTTCACCTTGATGTGTCATATGCTGTATGGCCTCGATGATCTCTGCCAAGCCCTACTTCTCTAATCGAGTACATAAAGCGAAAATCGGGCCCCAATCATATCCTTCCCCACAGTCCGAAGAGACCACACAACCGCGGCACTTGCATCTTCCGAGGTCTTTAAGACTTTGAGGATTGCATTCGCACACGAATACCAGCTCCTTTATGAAAGCTCAAGCGGTACTAGGGTACCTGGCATACGTGCAGTTATAGGGTATATCGAGAGACTAAAACTTATCGTTCTTGTTAAATTGGGCTTATTAAATAATAGTCTGAGAAATAAACATAAAATATTGGTCTCTGATACAGCTTATTTCCCAAACTCAATTACTACAATAATATGTCGTTTGTGTGCAAATAGCAATAGGTGTGCGCGCGAATGGGAAGGCTTATAATTTTTATTTCGTTTCTTATATAAATTGGCTGCCGAACTCGGTCTCATGCAACCAAGACCGGACTCATGGTGTTACCCTCATGATTAACGCCTACAATAATGCCCTCCCATTCTATTCCCGTACCCTGCCATACACATGTTTGACGATCCTTTCTTAGCATCCAAGGTTGATAGCGTTGGCGAACAATGCGTACGTGTCGGCGTGGTTGAGATCCTCCGCAGCGGTCAAGCTTTTCAGGAAGTCGTAGCCGTAGCCGCCGTAGTCCGAGGTACCCTTGACCTGGCTGAGATGAGTAGCCTCGTGAACCACCGTGGTGCCCTGTTCCTGGCCGTGGCAAGTCGTCGTCTCGATCTGAAGCGCGGTGAAGAACAGGTCGCAGTACGCCATGTAGTTGAGGCCGGGAACCGTATAAGCCAAGACACCGTCGCTGCAAGCACCGTACACGTCGGTGCAGTAGAACTTGGCGTTTCCGCCGGTGGTCGAGCTGCACTCCTGGGCGATGCGGGAATAGACACCCGCGACGGTGCTGCGAGTCTCGGCGGAGGCCGACTTGAAGTACTCAATCATCTTCGCGTCCGAGCCAGACTGGGCAGCCAGCTGAGCCGCCTGGGCAAGTCCCGCGCAGCGGCCGAGCGCGGAGTATGTCGCCGTCAATTTGTCGCCAGTGCAGTCGCTCTGCACCACGCTTCGCTTCTTGGCAAAGGCGGTTTTGACCTTGTAGGCCTGGATGCCATCGACTACGGTCTCGATTGTGTTGGAGTGGAAAGGAACGGAGCCAATAAGAGTCGTCGAGTTCTCCTCGGCGAAGGAGAGGGCGCCGGACGACAAGATCCCGTACGTGCCGCCGGAGGAAAGGTCGTGAAGCTCGGCAACATCGAACTCGACCTCGATGGACTGGCCAGAGGGAATGCGTTGAAATGCTGCGTCGGTGAGGGACGCCATGTGCAGGTTGACACGGACGCCGTCGAAGGGGACGGGAACGGTACCGTTGGAGGTGGCGGAGAACACCTGGGCCTTCTCGACCGCCGACGTATCAAGGAAAGTACCAGACTTGAGGACCTTGAGGTTGTTCTTCCCGTTGTTGGTGATGATGGCCTTGACCTTGGAGTTTCCCTCCATCTGAAGCTCGACGCCCAATCCGGTGGGCGCCCGCTGGTACAAGGGCTGCCGCTGGAACACGGGGACGGCAGCAGCCAGAGAGGCGAAAGCGAGACCTGCAAGCAGCTTCATCCTGGGCGAATACAAAAAAAAGAACGACTTTAAAAACGAATGACGAAGTGAACGAATAAAAAAAACCGCGAAGTTCAAAACTGAAACGAAGGAACCTAGAGCAACAAGAGAACTTGAGATGAAGCACAGGCAGCGTCAAACATACTTATACCTCCGGTGCCTCAGACGGGTCAGGGGGACGAGATAACCAGACCCCTTGCTCGTTAAGTGGTGGTGGGATGCAACAAATATTGGTCCAGACAATGTACCGCAAAACAAGCCGCTAATCTATCTTAAGACACAATACACTACTATCTTAAGGGTTCGGCTTATAGGCAAGGCAAACAAATTAGATTATGCCGTAAATTCAATGAAAAATATTTTCTTAAACACAAGTGACATAGCGAGTAATCGATATGTCTTTTTGTGGTGTATATAAATTTTATCATAATTCGCCATGCCTTTCAAATGAGTACTTGGTCAAGTGGAAAACCCGCCCGCGCTGTATGAACCAGGCGAGTGGTGCAGTACATCCGGCCGGATCAATACCTCTTGCACTCCCCTGCATTCATCTTGATTCTCGGCAAGGGCCTGGCTGGGTGGTGTCGCTTGCGGTTCCGTCACGGTGAGGCTCGGAGTTCCCCAGAAACGTCAAGAACGTAGTGGGCCAACATAGTGTTTCGCGCCCTGCAATCTCCCTATCGGCGGGTGCATCTGGCGTTGACGTGTGGCGTCAGGCAACCTAGCCGCGGTTTGCTCTCCATTTCTGTCGTGATTGCACGGGCTTCCCAGGGAAGCTGTGAAAGGGGATCCAATCGGGGTTTTTTCGTTGGCCAACTGGCGATCTAATTTGCGAGCCATGGGGCGGAGGACTCGTGGTGGGAAAGTTGAGGCTGGGCCCCAAGGCGCAAGAGTCATGCTGATCTTCGTCTCGTCTGGAGGGCGAGACGTTTGGTGTAGCAGTTTGGCCGGGGCCCCAGTAGGCCGGCAGGGAGCCCTATCGAGGCTCCTCTCCTCGCTAGCAAAACTCCACCTGCTGTGATTCCGAGGTGGCATCGCATAGGGGCCGACGGCCTGACCGACTTGACTTTGTAGCTTAAAGGAATTGTTTCCGGTTTGTTTTTCCTTCTCAAAATGGCGCTCTGCACGGTGAATGGCCGAAGGTCGAGATTGCGGCACGTCCCGTGTATATTGCCCGGACGTGGCTCGTTTTGTTCCTTGACCCCAGCCCGGTCAGCTGGGAAGACTCCGAAAAGCAGCGGCTACTGATAAAGGTGAGGCACCTCCACCTCGAAAACACGGGAGCTAGTGTTTGAGATGTAGTATTTTCTACTATCGCACGTATGGGGAGGCGACATGTCAGAGGGGAAGGGTGCGCAGGTGGATATGATGGATTCGCATCCTCGCTGTCCCTGTGAATAAGGCAAGGGTTCCACTGAAGAATCAAGGTGGGAAACACTCGCAGGATTTCATCGCTGGTGCCGATGCCAGAATTGATTGACTGCTCTGCATCGGAAAGTTAGATTTTGTGTTACCAGGGCCATCACAATCGGCGACTAAGAACTTTAACGCGATCAAAGCTGCGGGGCGTCGTCGATGAAGCCGGCGGCTTGTCGTTTCAGCCAACACCGTACTCACCGGCATCGATGACGCAGATACCATCAAGACCCCGCGCTACGCCTTCATTGTCTTTTGGTAGCGAGCGGTGAATGGCCCCCGAGGTATCTGCCAAGTGCCAAGAACCGAGGTTTCCGGTGTCGTTGATGCAGAAGCTCTAGATGGGCATAACGAGGGTATCGCGGTTACGGTGTCTGCGGGTCGGCGGAGATGGGATGAATTTCCTCCGGAGGATCTCCAAGAAAAGAAAGAAACCGCTAAGACGGTCTAGTCACGGCCGGTCCCCGTACGGGTACATGAATTAATCGGTTGCTGATCCCGACGGCTGGGGGGGAGTAAGGCCAGTGGGGACATCTCCAAAGACCTCTCCTGGAAATATTCCCGCCAGTCAATTGAAGTCATAGGCCTTGTCGCAATCTCAGATTTAAACATGATTTAAATACGTCGTGCAGAACATCTTGCGCATCTTTAGACTCATATCAGTGCTACCCCGATGGTTAGAACACGGGCCGGCCTTGACGTCAACGGCAGTGAAAATGGCCTTGCTGGCACCATCCAACATCCAACACATCGACCACGGGATAAGAGCTCAAGCGGTCAAAATCATCTCTCAGGATGGGAATCCCAGCTTCGGATGTACTGGCTCCCGTGGCCCCCTGCAGAGAGAGGCCGCCGGCCAGCGCGTGGGGCATCAACTGGCATCTCAAGATGCGGTTGCATCCATCGTAATGGCAATCTACTTGAAGAGAGCATCGCAAGCATCAACGACTTGTTCTGTGCGTTTTCAATAGAGGTGACTCCAGTTTCGAGGCTGGGAGTCCAAGGGAACCCCTGCTTCGGTCAGACTAGGCGGACTGTACCACTGGATGTTTCAGACCCCAACCCTGACTTAGCTGATCTTCGTTTCTGATACATTGGTGCCGGGCGTTACCCGAAACAAGACAACTAGGGGCCGTCTAGATTCTTCAAGGCAAACTCGTCATACGTTGACAATCGAAGGGAGGCCATGCTCGTGCGTACAAGGCGATTGTACGCGTACAACTGTTTGCTAGTTGAATAAGTGCCGACGCAGCAGCCCATACAAGTCTCCAGCGCTTCCCTCCCGCCGAGATCCCGATGGGTTGAAACCCGTTTTCGCCAAGTCTCGCCTTGCCACTCGTTTGACACATTTTGTTCGGAATAGCTCGCAAGGAGCACTTAGATTGTTTCCGAAACGCCTTGAAGGTGATCGAGGATTAGCGGCAAAGGAAATCCCATTGGCGGTATTCTCAGCTCCACCGATCCAAGCCACACATCAACCCACTTGCCACCATCACGACCAACATCCCTTGCCAACTCCGCAGCGTCTTGGCGCCATCACAATAATCCTGTTGGCTCCGAGAATATCTCCATAACCGGCTCCGTTGTACGTGAACCGATGAGCCTCCTGCGCACCTCCTCCACGGCGCGATTCTTCGCTGGGCTGTTCGTCACCGCCGGTCTCTTTGCCTACTTCACACATTCAGTGCCCTCGCTGTCGCTCCAGCTACAAATGGACGACGAACCAGCGCCAGGTCCCATCTCGGGCATCACCGTGTCCCTAAAACAAAAGAGCACGTCACCGCCCACAATCGTAGTCCATGTGACCAACACCAACAGCGACCCTGTCACGTTCCTCTCCTACGCTTCCCCGCTGGACGGGCTGGCACTGCAGCTCGGCCTGCTATCCATCACGCCTGACGGCGCGAGCGCACCTCTCGAAATCCCAACTCTCGAGGTGCAGAGAAAGTGGCCGCCAGAAGCGGAGTCACTCGTCACCTTTGCGCCAGGAGAGAGCCAGCAGCAGGATATAGTGCTGAAGGACACAGTGGTGTCGCCAGACGATATAGGCGCCAAGGCGATTGTGCAGTTGAAGGGCAAGTGGCAAGCTGTCTGGGGGAAGGCAAAGGAGGATATTAGCAAAGAGGCGATGGAGAAGGCCGGAATTGCTGATGATGCCTATTCGGGGGTTTTCATGTCAAATGAATTAGAGATTGAAGTTACTGCTTAAATCTATCCGTGTTTGAGTTCGCTTGGGGCAATGGAGGCTTGGCGTTTAGCACATTACATGCCATTACCAAAAAAAAAAAAAAAAAGGGATTACGATCAATATAAAATTGCTTCCTCTCGTATTACCTGTCTCAACGCACCGGTAGTTTTTGCAATCGCCCTTTGCAGCTTACAGGTTATAAGATTGAGTAGGCAAGCGGCTAGGTCTGTAAACCAGTAACTTCCATGTGCGAAGTTATTTAGGAAACACAGGCACCTGACGTCGGCCTTTTGTATGACCTCCTCTAGGCTAATCCAGACAAGAACATCACGAGATGAGCGGTAAATGACAGTGTATACTTATTAGCCTTGGTCATGATCTTGTCTTTGTTCTCTTAGAAGAGCATGAGATAGATCTCATTTGCCGAGGCAATCAAGTCTTAGAATATGCTTGTGAGCCTTTCGCCAAACGACAACTTGTTCGGAGAAAGCTAGAGCATAACACACCGAGCCTTAAGACCAAATAGTAGCATGACCAACTAGATGCTAAATTTCTGCATCACTTACCAACAAAACCCCTGGAGGACCTTGTCGAGCCGTCACAGGTCAACAGCGTTTCTGGAATCTGCCAGCGGGCATCATTAACTAGTCCTCTGAGCATTTATGTGAAAGGTTGCGAAAACGGAAGACACTATCTACACTACAGAGCCTTCTCCCTTAAATCGTAGGTGAAATTAGCATTTGGCAACATGTACACACCCAGTAATGGATTCACGTGTCCCGTATGAGAGTTGGAAAACTTGAGCAAAAAGTCACGAAGACGATGCGCCCTCTCTAGATATCTATTCATTATCCATATGTCCGTGTGAGCCTCTGCCTACCCAACGGCACTGCCTCGCCTACTGTTGCAAATGCAACATGACCCTTTTCCTGTGCTGGCGTGACATCGCCCAAGCAAACCCGGATATGCTTCAATCTCCTCATTTGATCCGAGCCCTCTTCCATTGAATTTTTGTTTATATCGGCGAGATCCATGTAAGGATTGTCCCTTATGATACTCGTTGTATAATCCAAAATATCAGGACCCCGTCGCAGCGCTCCAAGATAGGCCGCAGCAAACGCCGCCAGTAGCATTGCTACGGATGACACGACGAGTACTGCGAGCCACGCCCTGTTGGCCCTGAGTACAAAAACGTCGGGGGTGAATTTTCCCTCGGCATCCACAGCAGCAGGCTTTCCCTCAATTTGGGACGAGGCGTTATCACGAAACTCAACGCTGCCGGTAAAAGCAATAGGGGCAATGTTCGCGATCCAGAATGTGTTCAAAAGTTGCGAAAGACGCTGTGAAAAGATCTCGTCGCTCAAAGTCCAGATTCTTGGCGGATTCACGGCCACACTCATGACATCCAAATAAGGGGCTCCTGGATTAGTAAAGTAGTATTCGATTGGAGTCCCATAGCGCTTATACGCCATTTTCGAGGTCCACTCTGTATTGGTGGCGTTGACGAAGGTTTGGAAGAAAAACATTTGCGGTATGTTAAAATCGATCCCGCCAGTAGGGCCAACTCCATCCAGAACTGTCAAGGCCGTGATGTACGTAGGCCGAACTATGCGACGTAAACGCTTCACGCCACAATCCGAGTGATGGCACTCGATGTCGGCTTCGACGAAAGACGTTGTCAATGAGCATGTTGCGTTGGTAATGGTTGCATTCGACCATGTTGTGAAGATCACTTCGGCGGGCGTTACATTGAATTTGACCAAGTTGAAAGCATGGAATCCAGCGAGCAACACAATGGTGTTACCATTGGTGTACGCGTTGGGGGCATACATGTATTCCCGCCACTCAGTTGAATTCCCGGTACCGTGGGAAACAGTACAATTGTAATAAATGTACGACGTATCCATCTTGAAAGAATGGTTTCCGCGTAGCCCAAGGCCATCAGGTATATAAATAGGAAGCCCGGAAATGGACGAGTAAGTGATGTTTTTCTCTCCAGTCAAGTCGTACCAGCCGCCGTTTGCTTGAGTTTGATTTGATGCTTCATAGGCCTCCACCATAGGAATCTTGATATTCCCAAAGGCATCCTGGCTTGCAGATTTGATCTTATCGGGCGATCCAAGTGCTGCAGTAAAGGCTCCAATAATAGCAGGAAGAACCTCTGCTCCAGCTGAGCTCAATGCACCGCTGTGGAGCATCGGGCTGCGGACGTCGAGATAGCGGAAATTCCACGACTCTTGGGATGAAGACGGTGCTTCACCTACCACTCGCAAGGTAGCTTGACCCCCGAGTGGCGAGAGTACCCACAGGACCAGAATGAGCGGCGTTATATAAGAAGCAGTTCCCATAATTAGCGGGGCAGTGAAGGCGCTGAAGACGGTTCGGCTTCTTAAGAGGAACTGGAGGCTGAGGACTGAGATTCCTCGCTCAAGCTTCCACGCTGCAATTGCCTTGAGCAAGTTGGCCGCGATGGCTGCAAAAACAATGGGAAAGACGGTAGGGCCATAGCCGGCCAGCATTCGCAGGGTTGGCACAGGGTCTGTACCAACAGGTTCCCCATCGTGTACGCTCACGAAGCCGGCGTAGACCAGGAAGAGAATGGCCGGGATTGTAAAAAGAAGGTCCAAAAACAACTCCCAGAGCGCGGCCGGTGACGTAGGTCTCCTAGCGAAAGCAGGCGGCACAGAGCCATCTGTGGACTCTGTACTGCCACTGGCTTTGCCCTGCGCAAAACCACCACCTTCAGTGTTGAGAGGCCCAAGGGGCAGTTGCTCAGAATCCCCTTCACGGAGCAGGCTCCGGCTGTCCGTCGAAATCGTTTCTATTCCCGAGGTGGGAATAAGTGTATCTTCTGAGCGATGGTACAGCGGGTCGTAGCGTTGATGTGCCATGTTGATTTCACGTTTCCACTCTCTGGAATTGGTGGAGTGTCAGTAAGGTCAGTTGTTGACTTGGGTTTCGTCACATAATTGAGCATGGAGAAGGGATTCAACCGCAGCGATGGGCCCTCCAAAGTGTAGGTGTTCTTTTTTCAGGGCCCTCTCAGCCGCCTCCAGGGCTGTGTTGTTGGCTTGGCATGTTTTTTGTGTCTCATGATTGGGGCTGGAGGAACACTTTGAGCGCAGCTGATAACTTAATCATTGGCCTAGGGCCAGGGCAGTGTACTTGTACTACGTAGTACGTTCAGCTCCGCCCGCATCGAGCAACATGCAGAGAGGGTGACCACACCTCCACCACCCAAAGATGCCCGCATGTCTGGAACTCGGTGGCCGAAAAGCACAGCCACAGCGGTCTTCTTTGTTGTGCAGCTATATCTGATAAGATATGGAGGATTTGTTGATGCACAATACAGGGGTCTGATCCGGGGGAGTGTGATGGCCTTCCGGCGCTTACGGGAAACGGTGCCGGACAACGGACGGGAAACCTGTCTCCACATCTGACCCGGGCCCGGGCCCGTGAGTCGGGCGGTAGAACTTCGTGTTAGTTCAAAGAAAGGTGGATGAGGCCGTCCAGTCTCCTTTAGTCAAGTAAGAAGCGGGAAAGTAGTACTGGGGTCGGCGACGACCGAGGAATCTTCGCTGTTGTACGGAGTATATTTCTTTTTGAGCTTTTGCTTCTAGTTTGATCTTTCATGCGCCATGTGAACTAGATTTGAGATAATTGGAGATGGAACAAATAATGCCAGAAAGCTCCTCACTATGTAGAGATGGTGACCAAGTATTATTATATTATCAGGAAAACCAAGTCTCTAAATATAACAGAAAATTGACAGTGGTGAGTCGATTGAACATGGCGTTCAGTTACACCACGCGTAGTGGTTAAACAGGCGTCTTACACCAAACCCTCCAGTCAGGCACTGCTCAAGTTGAAGCGGTTCAAACTCCGGCTGTCGGTCCTCTCGGGCGACAAAGACAATTTCCCACGCCACGGTTCGCATTCTGAACCGGCGTGTTTCACATGCGGTGTTACAAGTCCAGAGATTGCAGACATGTATGTCATTGACGATCGTCCACGTAATTTCCAGCGCAATGAAGACGCACCTGTAGAAATTGGATAAAAGAGAAGACATCCAACCCACGTACAGGAGTTTGTCGGAAACACGACAGACACGCACTTGAAATTTCAGGTTTAAAAAAACGGGTGATTTTGTGACGAATGCTCGACACTCGTGGAAGGACAGAGACAGCAATCACCTCATGGTAAAACAAACGGAGGCGGCGCATGCACGGGTTCCACACCAGCTCCGATTGGCACAGCTGAAAGAGAGAAAAAGTTGATATGGACGCCGCAATGCACCTAAACTAGGGTTGAACGTAGGGAATAAGTTTCCGCTAGAGTAAGACGAGTCGAAATCGGCAGACGAAGCACTTCGCGATATGGTCGAATTGGGAGAGCTGAATGCCGCAACCTCACTAAGCCTCGCCACAACTAAGCCTATCAGAGAGAAAACGCCGGTGATGGAATGGAGGCGCTTGCTAAGCCATGCAGCCACTGGGCAAAGCACACCCTTGAAACCTATAGTGTTTGTTTGGTGGCGAGGATTGAAACAGGCTAGATGGAGTCACTCAGGAAGTAGGTAGTGTCTGGAAAAGAGCGATGTTGGTGGTGGGACGTGGAGTACAGTGGCTGAATTGGTCTCACTATTTGCACACAAACTTTGTACACAGTCTTAATGAAGACCTTTGTGGGGATGGCGTTTTGGCACATTGTTTCTTCGTCCAAAACCTTATTGGTGCACTTTCTTTCTGTGATACCAATTTCGCTGATCCTTGACTTCAGTTCGGGTGCCGTTCCCTTACCAGCACCTCATATCGAGCGTCACAATATCTAGATTAAGGCTGGAAAAAACCTGGCCGTCACAACTGTGAGGTCGGAACATGGTGTTTCATAAAGCGGTGCTTGGGTAGCGGGTAGCCGCCTAAGGGATAAAAATGTAACCCTTCAATCACTGGGACTGGGGTTGATGCTCAGGGGTATTCGGCATGTCAGTCCATCTTATTAAATGGATGCGTGCAGCACTTGTACCACGCAATTGTCTAGCGGTACTACGTAGATGGAGCTTGTGGGTAGACGACATGAGCCGGAGGTACACAAGCATGGAAATGACCGGGTAGCCCCTGAGACAGTCCTCGAGGTTGTTTGACGGAGGCAAGCTCAGGGGAACAATCCGGAAAAAGCACTTCTTCAATAATGATGAAGACTCCCATTAAATCGCCCAGGTGGTCAGGGATGAGATGAAATGACCAGGGCTGTCCCAATGGAGAACCGGTTTCCGGGTCCCAGTGCCCCAGGGCCCCAGTGGCGACCGACCAAACCAGCCTAAGACAGCGGGGGACACAGGGCCAACACAGCGCTAAGACCGCTGCTCCGTCGCTGGAGGGTGCCGCTAAGGCCCGCTAAGGCCGCGTCGAGGCCCGCTAGACCCTAGGGTCGGGTTGTTAGCGAACCCCACGTGATGTTTACATGGGAAAGGTCTCGGGACGTGGAGGATGGCTTTTGCTGAAGAAAGACGGGGGAGGCCAGCTTTGTGCCCCTGTGTGTTTACGGTAGCGAAGGGGGATCGAAGATTGCGACTTCTTTCCAGAAATTGAATCTTGCTCCCAGAGTGGTTCTTGTGGTCCTCATTCCCGTCGTTTTTGGGGCGTGTTAAGCTCTGGCTGTGGCATTTGTCTCTAGTTCCCGCCTGCTAAACTGACTCGTTCCCGTCGCCTGAAGCTGGTGTCCCGTCCACCCGCCAACGCTAAGACACACTGCGGACGCCCCTCCGTCACCAGCCCGAACAACATTCCTGAGTCCTCCCCTCGTGGGAATCCGAGCACTGTTCCGTCTCTGTCCTGTCAACCATCTGCCCCAGGACAAGATACCGGCCTGTGTTTGTGGTGCGACGCTGCCAAAGACGCTGCATTGACTCGCCATTGCCATGGACGAATCCTCCCAGAAGCGCATCAGCGCCATTCCGCGTCTGTCGAAGCTCCCCCGTCCCGCCTCGGGCATCCCCAAGCCAGCTTCGACCTTGCCTCGACCGGCCTCGACAATCCGCTCGCAGCCCTCCCGAGAGAGTCTTGGTGGAGATCTGCGGAATCCACGCCTCCGACCCTCATTGTCTCGGGACTCGCTCCGCAGCAGTGTTGGCGGCCCCGGAGACGTGCGGAATCCACGACTGCGGACAGCAGTATCGCGAGAGCACCTGAGTACTGGCACCAGACGCACCTCGCTTGCTTCCAAGCCTCCAGCTCAACTGTACACTCGTCCACCCAGTACCTCCCGACCCCCCTCTACTCCCCAGCGATCCACGAGCACCATCGATGAGCTGTCAACAACACCCCCTTTCGACCCCCCGGGCGAGGCACTTGCTCCAGAAACCGACGGGCACATCTTCCGACGCCGGTTGACTTTGACAAGGAGACCTTCAGAAGTCTTCGCCACGTCACCGTTGCCTGACACAGGCCCGGTCTTTGACAATGCGGACCAAGTCAGGCCAATGACCGCCTCGACCGAGGGAAGTGGTGCGTCAGGCCCCTCCGACACCCTGAAGCCTCGCTCCAGCAGACCTAGACCTTCGCTGTCTGAGCGAACAATGGAAACATTGGCCCAGCTCCCGTCATCCCCGGCCCAGAGTAAGAAGGCCTCCGCCTTCTTCGACCAGGGCAGACCGCAATCCCGCACCGACGGTAGGAGATCAAGAGCCGATAGCACCAGCTCCCGTCCCGGATCGAGCTATACTTCGGATGGGTCGGGCAGACTTCCTTCAAGGGGTGGCAGCCGGCCAGGGTCAAGCGGCGGCCAGCCAGAAATGGGATTCTCGAGCTTCCGTGCCTCCACCAACTCATACAAGCCTCCTCTGAGTACCATCAATGGAACTCCTCATGGCCAGAGGAGAGTTTCTAGTATCCATTCCGCCACAACACCCAAAACCCGAGTCCCTGGATCTCGACCTGGCTTGGGCTCAGCCTCCAAGCTGCCATCCTTGCCTGATGGCAGGAGTCCCAGCCCAGTGAAGACTGCCATGCTACCCCCGCCAAAGGCTGGCTCCAAGACCATGGCCGTTCGACCGCTAAAGTCAAAACCATCCGTGAACGGCCTCTTCAAGAAGCCTTCCCTCCCGGCCCTTGACCGAGCCGCACTCCAGAGCGCATCTCGTCAGACATCTGGAAACTCCTCCAATACTTCCTGGGATGGCACTATCCCGCCGAGCGTTGCCACCACTCCCGAATCTGCCGAACCCACGTCGCCCTCTGCGAGCCGCAAATCCTCCTCCGCACTCCGTGAGCAGATTGCCAAGGCCAGGGCGGCCAAAAAAGCCCAGATGCAACAAGTCTCCGAGGCCCAAGCGCAACCTCAACAGTCCCCAATCATTCCATCGGACGATGGCTTTGATTTCGGTATGGTCCAAGCTGATCCTTTCAACCAACGCCGAGGAGATAGCCCCAGGATAAAGGTTCTGAAGAACCGTGTCGCTGCTGGGAGAACTTCAGGGCGACTAAACATTGCAGCCTTGGAGCTGAAGGAGATTCCTATGGAGGTAATGAAGATGTACGATCTCGAGAGCATTGGCACGTTCGATGGTAGCTGGGCCGAGAGTGTTGACTTGACCCGGTTCATCGCTGCCGACAATGAACTGGAGGAGCTAGACGAGTTTATCTTCCCCGACACCAGCCCCGACACATTTGACGAGGTCCAGGCGAGTCAAGGTAATATCTTTGGTGGCCTAGAAACCCTAGACCTGCATGGAAATCTCCTGGTTGGCGTGCCCCTTGGTATCCGACGGTTGACGTGCCTGACATCTCTAAATCTGGTATGGAACCTTTTCTTGCACGATCTGAAGTCCGCTGACAGGCCATAGTCGTCAAACCGCCTCACGAATAACAGCCTCGATACCATCTCTCAGATTAGCTCACTGCGAGACCTAAAGCTTGCAAACAACCTCTTCTTCGGGCCCCTTAACTCGAACATCGCCAACCTCACCGAACTCGAGATTCTTGATGTGCATGGAAACAACATCTCTGCATTGCCTAACAAGATTGAGAGTATGACCCGCCTCCGAATTCTCAACTTGAGCGAGAACAGCTTTGAGTCGTTGCCGTTCGATGATCTCGCGACCTTGCCGTTGACGGAACTGAGCGTAAGGAGAAACAAGCTAAAGGGCACCCTAATCGAGGAACCCATCGAGAGCTTCCCTCAGTTACACACATTGGATGCCTCGGCGAATCAGCTGACAAGACTTGTCCCTTTGGGCTCGAGCATTCAACTACCCGTAATGCATTCGCTCTCACTTTCGATGAACCGGATGCAAGGGCTCCCCGATATGACGTCCTGGACGAACCTTCTGACACTCACCGTCGACGAGAACAGCATTTCCAGTATTCCCAACAGCTTTCTTGGTCTCGAAAAGCTCCGCCACGCCGACTTCTCTAGCAACGATATCAAAATGATTCCTCCTGAGATTTCGAGGATGGAGAACCTGTCAATGATCCGGCTAAGCGGCAACCCTCTTCGCGACAAGAAGTTCCTTTCGATCACGACGGAGGAACTCAAAGAGGTCCTGGCGGGGAGGCTGGAGCCTCCACCCCCTTATCAGGAGCCTCTGACACAAGTTGGAATCATGAACATGATTGGCGATACTAAGAAAGTTGCACAAGTGGAAGACAGGCCGCCACTGCCTACTACTGATGCAACCGGGAACATCGGACATGGCGATGAGGACAGCAGGTCAGATGAGGACTTCACTACCCCCCCTCAAAGCCCGTCTCGGTCTCGCTCACACACGAACTCAAGTCTTCGATCGCGATCGCACACTCTCTCGAACCAGTCATGGCCTGTGAAGCCAGGTGGCCTCCTCGATCGATCACGGACCGAGTCATCATCGCTGCACCCAGTAGTGTCCTCTCAGGTTGCAGCTGAGCACCAGGTTCGACAGGTGTTTTTAAACCACAACCTATTCTCCTGCTTCCCAAATTCGCTCAGTTTCTTCGCCAGCACCCTGAACACACTTGCAATCTCAAATAATCAGCTGGTTGGAGAGACCTACTTGACCGAGGATATTGAGCTCCCTGTCTTGAAAGAGTTGAACCTGTCATCCAACCACATCACGGGCCTGGGAGCGCTGACCAAGTTCCTCCATGCGCCAAAGCTCGAAAAGGTGGACTTGTCAGTGAACCGGCTCAACGCCCTCCCTCTCGACCTCAAAGAGACATTCCCATGCCTCTCTGTGCTCTTGGTCGCGAACAACCATATTGTGGATCTTGAGGCGGATATGATCAAAGGATTGAAGATTGTCGATGTTAGTAACAACGACATTGCCCACTTGAGCCCCCGCATCGGTCTTCTCGGAGGCCCAGGCGGCCTGGAGAGGTTTGAGGTGATGGGCAACCGGTTCAGGGTCCCTCGGTGGAATGTGCTGGACCGCGGAACGGATGCGACGCTGCGATGGCTACGTGGGCGTGTTCCCGTCTCAGAGATGTCCTCTTGGAAGGGAGAAGATGAAGAGCCCGAACTAGATTAAAATGGTACAGCGGGCGTTGTTCTGATTTGGGAGAACTAGGTTATATCGGAAAAGGCATGAGAGTTTAGGTGCTTGGTTCTGCTCATGGGTGTTTGATTCTACGTTATTTATTATATCCTACGCTGTTGTATTATTTGAGGGACCTAGATACCAAGCAATATATGGTTTGAGACAATGACATTCCAGAAGGGCGGTTTAATTCGTACAGCCATTTCCCATGTCTACGAGCTCCAGGTTACGCCAGCGGACTCATAGCGGTCCCCTCGCGTCCTTCACCCATGCCCCCAGTCAGCCATGTCCATCACGGTCAAATACCCTATGGGCTTCCATGGGTTGAGGGGAAACTCTCAAGGAAGTTCCTGTGGAGATATTCGGTCAAAAGGGTGTGCGGCTTCGGGGATTACCGGTGAGGCACCGACCGAGTTGGCGAACCTTGGCTCCAACTTGGTGAATGTCTACGTCAACACTAACAAAAATTTCTCTCACTTCTAGTACTAGAGCATCTTAACGCAGGAATTGATTGTGTAAAGACTACTAGGTGGGAGAAGAGTTACGAAGTGATACGGATGACCATTGGCGTTTCAAAACCTCTAGATCCTTAGGTAGGTAAGGTAGTTATCGTGAACCGCAAAGAAAGAGCCGTACAGTACGACGATTGCAAAACCCGCTTTTTTTCGGAGATACCAGCTATGGCTATAGTTCTTGTCCTTGCATGTCCCTGCAGCACCCTTAGGGGTAGACTTGTTGGTCATACTGGGCTGTCCTTCCCTCAATGGTCAAAACCTGCAGCAGAAGGTGACTCCTTGGCCATCACAGTTGATGTTGAAGCCACCCGGGTTGATTCAACTTCTATATAACTCCAGTACTTTCCCAGATTATGGCCATCGCCATCACATCCATCCCAATCTTCTTTTCCTCCTCACTCAAGTGTTCAGACATTTCCATCACCCCTCAGTCCATCAAATCTTTTCATCACTCACACTCACTACAATCCACTCACTTCGGGTTCAAGTCTGTATATCATTCACAGACTTACTCCATCACCACTCTTCAAGACTTCATCCAAAGCGACAAACAAAACAATGCCTCGCCTCTCGAAGCAAACCACCCGCCAGATGCAAACTGGCAACCCCTCTCTGGGTTCCAGGACCCCGTCCCCCCAGCGACAAGGACGTGGGCGCAACTTCCGCGCCCCCGAACCTCCCCTACAGGGCGCCAACCCTGTGCCATCACGAACCCACGCTCGGGTTAAGAAGCAATCCAAGAGGCAGGACCGGCAAAGGTCCTCGTCTTCTGACGAGTCATCCCCCCGCAGATCCAAGGTCAAGCTTTGCAACATCTGCCATAAAAACGTGTCCAGCAACGCGTTCGCGGACCACATCAAGGTCCACAAACTCCTGTCCGACGAGCATGGCGTCAGGGCCGCCCGTCCTTGCAATGGCTGCCTCTCCAAGGGCCGTGACTGCCGCGTTGCTCGCGTCCCAGGAGCAAAAGGTCTGAAGACATTCCGCTGCAGCCACTGTCTCAAGTACCATGAGAGCTGCTCATACATGGAGGAGCTGCGCAGCCAGAACACTTCGGCCCTCCAGGTCCATCCAGCGGCGGAGCACGCCAACCCTCCTGAACTCGGTAACTCGTCGGGTTCAGAGTTCTCGGAAACTTAAAAAAGAATTCCGGGATATGGTGGAAACTTTGGGAATTGTTCTTCGACTGGTGGTTAGACGTACGAGACTGTGAATGAGTCACGTGGGCGAATGGAGGAGGCGATGGAAGAGACGTTGACCTCTTGTACCAATATTGGTCTTTATTATGATAATTAGCGTTGATTTAGTACCTTTAAGATTGTCACTCTAGGTTTGGGTTATCACTTTGGACTTGATTGCTATTACGGGTTAAGATTGTTACTCTGGGCTCGGATTGTTATTCTGGAGTGGTGTAGGAAAACTACAAGTCAACAGATTCAGACACCAAAAAAAAACATTAAAAACATTGCAGTCGTCCATTACACTACCTTACCAGTAGGATATTAACTACATCGGTATCTAATCCTAGACATTGAAACGGTGGCTTGCGGTTCTAAAAAACCAACTCCTCCCTAACAAAAAACATTCTACCAATTATCGGTTGCCCTCACAAGATAGAGCAGTGTACGCCAGCGCCTCGTGATTTCTGATTCCTCCACCAAGGGTTGTTCAAACATTGGATGTGCAACATAACAGCAACGCGTGTAAGAGAACTAACAGAAGCCCCGTATCCGATTTGACGGTGGTTATGCATCGCCTTTTCAATAAGCGCTCAGTCGTTTGCCACCGACTCGAGTAGGATGACCTTTCTTCCCACCTCGAGGCTGCAATGACCCCCGTAGGGCTGATAAACTTCGCGCCTCACTCTTTCGCATGCCACCACCAAATATCCTGTTTATCATGCCCTTTTCCTGCATGGAGCCTCCTTCGGGAAGCAGGCCTGGGCGGCCGTTACGACGAGCGTACGCTTGCTGCCAGTCGTGAAGGGAACGACGGGCGTCATCAGTGATGCAGCAAGAATCGAGACGGTGGAATACACGGCGACAGCGAGAATCTTCATCTGTTCCTGAGGGTATCCGGGGCGTGGAGGATGTAAGAGTCGTGAGAGCTGAGGTGGTCGTGGAATGAGAGAGATGAGTAGGACGGAGGTTTACAAGGTGGCGATCGGGTCCCAGGCACTGCTTCTGAATCGAGTCGTCCGGGGACGTGATAGACGATTGTGACAAGTCCTAGTTGAGACTCTCGGCTAGGAAGCGATCGTGAAGAGCCATGAAGCGGCCAGACCAGTATGCTGATGGCTGGGCCGTGTTTACCTGCCCCGGCAGCAGCGGCTGTGAAGGCTCAGGAGTGTTCGAGCGACTGGAACGAGACAGAGATGTCAATGACGGTCGTGGAAGTCGAAGACGGGAGGAACTGGCTGCAACAAGCGTGCTTGTTTGTGACGGCAATGATGTCTTTCGCGACGAGATACCAAAAGCTCGGGGATTCGCAGATCGAGACGCCAGCGACGGCCGAGAAATGGAGCTTTTGATATCAGTCAGGACATTCATTGTCCGTGATTTGGGGAGCTGGCTCTTGGGGAGAGCTGTGGATATGGGTGGAGACAAGACTCCTTGGTCCGGCGGGGGGACATTTTCGTCCTGCTGTATCGTGTCGAGGCTGGGGATAACATCAAAAGTTGAGCTTGAAGTCAACCATGCTTTGGTTGCCGAGGTCATTGACAATGTCATTGGCAGGCGTCTGGGCAGTTTCGTTTGACAAGATGTCGTCGCGTTAAAGTCGGACTTGGCCGTGGTCGGCTGGCTGGAGGGAGGTCCCTGTTTTTGGAAACTGGCCGAGATACGTCTGGTTGTCTTCTGAGCCTCAGCAACCCCCTTGTCGAATAGTGGCTCTGTTGAGCTGCAGTCTCTGATTCCAGGGACGATGACGAATTGCTCGCTGCGAATGAAGTCGGGGCCGCGGGAGTTCTTGATGGGACCAATCGGGCCTGATATTGTCGGTCGCTTGCGCTTGGTTTTGGATAGCAACTTGGCTGTTGTGGGCCGTCGTGTACCAATGTGGTCTTTGACGCCTTGTTCGGGATGGATTGTTTCCATTGTTGTTGGGCTGAAAACAGTCAACACACTGCCAGCAGACGATTGAGAGGCCTTTTGAGAGATCGCCGAGACCGACATTTCCAATTTTTGTAGCGGTAAAAACGAACAGAAGACAATAAAATGTCTTAGGGTGGTGGCGAGTAGCAAGATGCGTTTGAAACGGTGTTGGCAGGTATGGGGAGGACGTGACGCTTGTCGTGACGTGGGCTCAGGACGTGACACAGAGCGACGACGTGAATAATGGCTCGTCAATCGTCTGAAATTGCATCAACAGCAACCGTATTGTCCAATGCCGGTGTGGAAGGGCGTTGGGCTTCGTTCTCGGGGACAGGGTCGTTCACGACATGATGTTGTTGTGGTTGATTGTCGTTGAATTCGGATCCCGCGAGGCAAACAATGGCCGTGGCGGGAAATAAGAAACGAGAAAGGAGAAACGAGGAATGAGGAGCCTGAAATTAGAAATTGGAGACGCGGACGCGTGCAGTGGTATGGGATGGCTTTTGTTTATCAGGTGGAGAGAAGACGGGAGCCAGTTGGCGAAGGAGAGGTTCAGGTGGACAGCTGGCAACGGCCGAGCAGGACAGGTGAGTGGCTGCCAGTTCGTTCGAAAATTCAGGGGAGGGAAGGAGAGGCAACACCGTGAGCTCCTTCCGGTCCAGTAACTGCAACCAGCCATTGAGCATGGGACTCCTCTTCATTCATAAGTGACCATTTCCATTTATTCATGATTCTTGTTACACACATCGTCTATCCCAAACCATCCCGCCATCCTACCCGGTCTAACAAACACCATTCACCGCTGCTTCGGCTGCTAGGCCCTCGCTCGTTTCGTCGTCCCAACCGTTTATCTTGAACTCGAACTTCAAATCGCCTTCTCCCCGAGGCACCTCGTTGCCGTTGCCATCCCACAGAGCGCGCTCCACCATCGTCACGTTGCCCTCCCAGTCTACCAGCACCACTGTTTGGCGCTGCGTTCCATACAAGCCCGTCTCGAAGCCCATCATCGGGCTCGGGCTGGGATCAGGTTGGCCCTCGACCGCGAGCTCCTCCGCTGCCGCCTGGTCGTCTGTCGCCCACTCGGCTCGCCCCTTGGCCTTGGCCTCGTTCATCGCAGTTCGGTGCACTTCGTCGCCGATCGGTGGGATGAAGATGCTGTGTTTGAGCTGGTTGATGTACTCGATGAAGCTGGTGTTTCCATCGTTGGCCGGGAGCGTGTCTTTGCTCAGGACGGAGAAGAGGCCCGTGATGAACTCCTCCTGGCTCAACTTTTTGGATACCGACTCGCTAATGACCTCCGTGAGAAGCTCCTTTCCAAGTCTGATCTTGGGCCACTCTTCGCCAGTCCCAGAGGCCTCGAATGCGGCGTTGCTCAGGCCCCAGATCTCGCCGCGTTCCTTGGCCACGATCGGTACATCGTCCACACCGCCACATCGATTGCTGACGATGGCGATACCCTGACTCTTCTTCCTCAGCTTACCGCAAACCATCGAGAAACCGCCGACGCCCTTAACGCCGCCGTCCTTGACCAGGTGATGCACGCCGTCAGTAACGCTCTCCTCGGGCACGCCTCCCAGCCAGGCTGTCACCATACCACCCCGACTCTTGACTCCGTGGACCGGGTGCTTGGTGTCATCGACGATCATTTCCCGGTAGTTGGTGAGCACCGCCAGAAACCCGTCGTCGGTGAGACCTAGCCAAGTGCCCTTCTCTGCTCGTTGAAGATCCCTCGCCGACAGCACCCGTCGGCCCGAGGTACCATGCGTCCACCAGTGCGGTCGTGAAGTGGGCCGAAGTATGTACTCATCGCGGTTGTCGATGAGGACTAGTGCATAATCTGGATGCGTTGTCGTGAAGAGTACGATACACATGTTTTCGTATCTTTTGCTGCTTGTGTTGTGTGTTTCTATACCGTTTACTTGAGTGTGTTTCGTTCTGAATTGTTGATTTAGCGCAAGTGACGGTCAGCCTGATGGGCACTGACGGTAGTGGGTCTTGGGAGCTTATAAGCTTAACACCCAACAAGAAACGTTTGACTTGTGACACACGAGCGACGAGCCGAGAGCCAAGAGTCAAGAGCCAAGATGGAATGTTTGGCTGAACATGCCACAGTTTGTTGGTCGAACCACGAAGCGCGATAAATACGTTCGTCGAGTACGGTGTAAGACCGTGGCGGAGCCTCGGCATTGATCAATGTGAGGTCGATGATCTGATGTCAAGGCAGGGATCCGGCTTCAGCCGGCTTCCGCGTTTTGTCACAGGACGTGGGGAACGGCAAGGGCAGGAGATCCCCGCCACGATGGTGAGCCTTTCGGGAACGCCTACGATGGGCCGCATCGGGCTCAATATGATGTGTCGGTATCAGGCTTTTGTCAATTCTGTAGCCCTACGCCAGGTTCCTACAAAGCCTACAACGCGTTGATCGTGTCCGAGATGCAAAACTAAGGGCGCTTCTCGTGTCAGCAATACTGTCAGCCAAATACCGGGCCGAGTTCCGGATGGGAAGACCGAGGATCCGGCGACATGGAAGGGAATCTCCCATGTTCATCATCTCCGAGTGTCGGGGCATACCTACGGAGTTGATAAACCACCCAACCGCAGTCCACCCAACCACGGTCGCGGCCATCACCGCGCCTCCAGTACGAATAATGGCCATTACGACGCAGTATCAATTCCGGCACCCCATTGGTGAGCTGTAATGCACCTTGCGAGGTTAGTAGATTATGAGTTGGTCTTGTGATTTTCTTGCAGATCCCGGAGGAGCCCGTAGGACCCGTATTACACACTTGCCAATGATTATTCATAGTATGACAGACATAGCAAACGCAGAACCTACTGCCATTCAAGGAGCCATCCACTATTGTCACTGTAATCTGCAATGGTCAACCCCCAAAAATCCATTTCAATGGAGCGATTCAAACAAATGAACTTACTCAGGATTGTTCTCAGCTAAACCCCAATGCTCATTGCTCCGGAGCCATGAGAAGACGGGTCCGTGCCACAGAAGAAGGCGGGTAAATACACTGGTGGTTTTCTAAAAGAAACAGGTGATCCGGTGTATCCGTGATATACTTGACTATTCTGGCTATTTTGCGATACAAGGAATCTCACCTTGAGCTTTAGAGTAAGCAGCACTGCCATGCTGCAGGCGAACAACAGTCCTACGATACCACTGCTTGAAGCCATCAACGCCCAATCCCAGTTCCGTCACGATGCGATTGACTTCTGTTCCTCAACGGGGTGCACGAGATGCATCTTGACGAGGAATAGTTTGACACTCACGGCGTAAATAAACGTCGCGCTGTGTCGCGATAAGAGTGCGCTAATCTGGCCGGTTTCGTAGATCACCGGCAGCTGGAGCACCGCATTATGATTCCTAAACGTGCCGTTTTGAAGGCGAACAATGGCTTTTTAATCACTGCACTATATTGTTATGCGCAATCCAATCCTAAGAACATCGTGCGCGCTTGCTGTGCGGGCTTGGTGGTTGAAGCAACTGCATAAACATCAATCCGGTCCAGGCACGTGTGTGTCTGCACGAACAGCTATTCAGTCTTCTGCTAATTAAACTCACTATTATAGACGACTAATAAATCTTTGTGGGTGAATGAGACAAGAGCGTTGTTGGGTGGGGCTAGACTTTTGCTCGTCTCAGCGAACAATTGTTCAGGATATCCTGATGGGATCGAACGTGAAAGACGCAGAGCGCCGCCACAATAGCTGAATAAAAGCCAATTATTTATGAATCATACACCCAGACCTGGTAAAGCGGGCAGGAAACGTCGAATTTATTATCAGAGGCCATACCATCATACAATGTCATCATAGCGTCGACAAAAGACATGACCCTCGCCGAAGTAATTTCGTTACCCTATACCAAAACACAACACTCGAAAGCCGCACACACTTCAGGATGGGATGGGTTGGCTGGATATGTGGAACCGTATAGAAGTACACTCTAAATGGTAACTGTCAAGGGGAATTATAGCTTCACGTCCATTGTGACCTTGCATCTACTTCCGTGACACACCGAAAATTCATGCAACACCGCGAAAAATGCATCGACTTACAGTGGAGATGATCCCTCTCGGATTGCAGCCGCCGGGAGAATCGAACCTGATTTCTAAGCACTGGAGATTTTTCTTCATTATTTGTTGACATGGGGATATGAGTCCTGAGGCTGCGAGTTCCCAACTTGCTCACGCACCAAAAGCGGACCATTGTGAGATCGTCGGACAAAGATCCCTCGAGTCACTTCTCGTCATGTAATTACTTACCTGCCATTTCTTCGCCTTGTCGATGGCTTCAAGTCCACCTGACACATGTTGGAGTCATTGTCAACTTCACACGTCATCTGCCACCCTCCATGTAACCATCTAATGTCGAAGTTCCAACCTCTGTGTTCCCCATGCTGTCCAATGCCGTCCAATGTAACCACCAGAACGCTCCAGCCTCCATCCAGAGCCCAGTGCGAGAGTCTTGTTTCCCATCCATATCTACATTGTCTCCGGAATCCCTTCACATCGATACCTCCAAGCATGGCGTGTTGATATCCCACCCCCCTCCTTTACCATCCCCAGCCCTCCGGACACACATTCCGGCATCCGGACGGCGAAGTCATTCCCACATCGCAACACCACTAGTGTAGCCGTAAGCAGATGACTCCACGATGGTGAGGCTGAAGGTGCAGGATTGGCTACCGGTCCATGAGGCAACGGAGGTTCCAAGGACTCGGATCTCAGCTCGCATGTGAAACTCCGGGGTGCCATCCAATCTTTGCCTCTCCAACGCGTCGCGTCCGGGGCATCGCGGACTTTTGACGGCGGTTGATTCGTTCTCCGGCGCGCGTGGATGAAGCTCGCGTGGATGACTGCTGCCTACCCAGCCCCGTCGTTGTACAAGCGTGCACTAGCCAGTAGATCCATGAAGATATCCACAACTCGGCTCCCCAAAATACTGGGATATTTCGGATTTGACGGTATCGTCACAACCGTCGTCGTCAGAGCATCTTGCCTGGGCGAAGAGATGCACCAAAAGTGTGCGTGGTGGTGGCGATGCGGTGTCGCGGACGTATCGCGGTTCCACGACCGTGCTCGACGGGATGGCTGAGGCGTGACTCACTGAGGATATCTCGGGAAATGAAACCGCGCGCTGCCGAATCAACGATTAGTAAATCATTGTAGCCTTGGAACCTCAGGTCACAGGTTCAGGGCGTTATCAAGACCGTTGAGAGACGTCCAATCCCAACGAAGGGGGCGATATTGGAATAGGGGAAGGTCCGTGGAGGCCTCTGGTGAGGGAGGAAAAGGCAAGAATGACAAGGAAATCCCATGTGCGAAAGGGGCATCTAAGAACAACCCCGTGGAATATGCAGTCACTGAGTCACGTTGGCAGCCTACGTGATAGCGAACATGAACGCCTTTGGAATCATCGAGTAAGAAGCCGGGGAAACCGTCTGCACGGCGGATCACATGCCACGGAGGTCATGCCGGGAGTGGATACCGGAGGACGGTGGCGGACCCGGCCGAGTGGGTGGATCACGTGCGCGGAGAGCACCGCCACACCGGACCCCACGTGGCTCATCCAACGACAATGCATTGATGGCTTCGCCTCGACGCATGTCTGAAATAGCACGCACAGAAACTGGGCAGGACAAGTTTGGGCCCAGCCGACAATACCGGCCATGGGCTCCGCGGCTAAACTGGGCAGCGAAGCACAGCGCAGCAGGCCGCTCACTAGGTTGGAGCTGGCGCGCAAGTCCGATTGCCACTGATTACGAATCTATAGGGCCGTCAGTTGGATGCCTCCGGGCTCCTCCATTGTGCCAGATTGACCTCCCGGACCGTTCCTTGGGAGATGGCATTCTGGCCCATATTTTGAGATGAGATTTGTATTCTTCCAAAACCCTGGCTCGGATGGCAAATCAAGGGCTGCTAACCCCCTTGTCTATGTGAGAACGCCCCCAGTCGACGCCATTGGCTGCGGCCCAGCAGGACCAGCAAGGGGAACTGCATCTGTGCGACCCAGGATCCCGCACACCGAAAAATTGGTCCTTTCCAACCAAGGTCTGGTCGAGGTGTGACGGGGGACGGGACATGTCGGTTTGGCTCCCGACGTGCAGATAACGCATCTGCAGCCCGTGGCCCTTGACCCCCTTCGCAGCCCATAGGAATCCTGGGATATGTGTGTTTTTCTTCTTCTCTCCCTTCGACAACACAACAACAAACGGGCGGCGGTCACCGGCGATGCGGCCCTGACTTGTGTTACCACGCCACCAGGACCACTGTCGTGGGCTCGCTGGGCATAAATGCGTTTGTTCCAGAGCGGCCTGGACGAGATGACTCTTACCAGACACACACACCACGGGACTGATTTACAAGCTGGATACCGCACCGTGGAGGGGCTCTCATCCGTCACCGACACGTGCAAATGCATGCGCAAATGCTCCATCGTGCTGCATGCATCGTGACGGGATTGGACACGGGCTCTGCACCCTCAGGATCCAGCTCGATGAGCGCATGCCGCAACACCCCTGTTACACTGGACAGTATTGGTTTGTTCCCATCCTGCCGCCGACGACATGCAGTCTCTGTTGGGACCATGCCCTAACGTACCAAACACGCCCCTTTGGCGTCTCTCGAGACCTGTCCGCGAGGCTCGTTGCTCAGGGAAAAATCCCACGGCTGCCCATTGTTTGTGGGAAAAAGCAAGTTGTCATGTCTTGGTCGCCTGTCTTCCGACCCCTGCCCGCGTTAGCAACTCGCGCTATCCGGCCGTCGCATCTCCCGAGCCGCCTCGAACTTGGGAGGGACGAGTCCGCAGCGCCGCCGGCATGCTTTCGCACGTTGCTTTTTTGGTGTTTTTCTCCCGGCCTGCATCTGCACGATTGTTGCCGTCTTCTCCCCCTTGATGGGTGCGAGAACACTGTGTGGGTGGCCGTCAGTTGACGCCTCTAGACGCCGTGCGTGGGCCGTCTGCTCTGCAGCACAACTGCACAATGCACAGGAAATAGCTGCCAGCGAAAATCCGGCCCCGACAATTAGGGCCAAGACTTGGAAACATGCATACGTCGCTGTGTTGTACTGCGGCCGTCCTTATTCGGGAGCCATGACTTACACGTCGCGCAGTCTATCAGGGCTGACAAAACAACAAGCTTCCCCTCCATCACCCCCCCTCCTGTAACCTGTATCATGTACGCTTCCGACGCAAGGCCTTCCCACAGTGGAGGACAGGGCCGATACCAGAAAGACCCCGCGACGGCGGATTCATCACCAGCGGGTAGCCGAGCAACGCCAGCTTTGCGAAAGAGTCGGTGAGCGCTGTTGAGTTGTCTTGTTGGGTATGTAGTACGTCAATGGAGGGGCACTTGGAAAGGCGGTCGTGAAAGCCCTATTTTTGGAGGGGTAACTAGGGGAGGCGCATTGTGTGGTTTTGATATTTCGGTGAAGACAGCGAATGGAGATAGGCTGTTGGGTTAGGGTAGAGAGCGTTGGCATCCAGACCAGGCCAGTCAAGGATATGGGTAGACGAGGGGAAGGGTTTGGTGGAACCGTGCTCGCGGCCGCTTCGACGGCCGCCTGTTTCTCCCATGGGTGTGGTGTCTGCAGAAGTTGAGATGTTGGTACACACCTCACCTTGGTGGCTTCCTCTGCTCCTGTCTGGATCTGGTTGCCTTGCTTTCCATGCGCGCAGCGACGTGTACATACAGACTACTGGGCTGTGTGTGTGAGTGGGTGCCAATCGGCAGCTAGGATGGGGTGCAGGGCGGGCCCGATTCGACGGGGCGGCGGATTGTTTGGCATCAATACAGCAAACGCGACCGTTCGTTGGGAGATCATACATATGGGTGCAGCTATTCACTGACAGCAGGGCTCGGAGAGAGGAGCTTGGTGCTTATTATGAGTCACATCTCCCGTCGATGCCGGAGGGTCTTTTTTTTTCGGTTCCCGTTCCCTCGGTCGCGCGGTGATGCCATATACCCATGTTCTCGGACAATGGGAGGCGTCGAGGCAATCCAACGCGAGCGGCGAGGCAGGGCCTGTTTGATGAGCCTCGGGCTAATGGGATCCCGCAACGTAGATTGTTCGTCTTCAAAAGAAAAACAATGAAAAATTTTTGTGTTCCAAACGCCGTTCGACCAGGTGCGCCGGCCGGGGTGTCTGTCCAGGGCTGTCCATGGGATTGATTGATTGCTGGGACGGGAACTGTGATGGAATGAGCCATAACAAGCCAACTAACAGGGCCCCGGCCGGAGACAATCGGCCGGGTCCTCTCTGCATAGCACGGATAGTATGGGAGGGTGTGCAGGGAGTGTAGCAGAAGAGACGGGAAGCCCTGTGGCTTTGTCCTTCTCATCTGGTCTTAGAAATCAAACAAGCTGGACGCCAGAGCCCTGGTCAACCCTGGGCGCAACCCAACTCAAACCCAACCAGCAGGCGAGACGACACGCCCTGTCCATGACCAGGGACACAACTCTGGTTCGCAAATTTTTTATTTTTTCAACCGTGCAAGGCTCGATAGGACTCGTTAGGAGCTGTCAGGGTCTCCCGCCCAAAGGCCACGGCCGCTGCAGCCAATGCGCTGCAGAGGGCAGCAAGACGTTGGTCCCACGGCTGCCAGGTGCCTTGTCTCGCAGGCGAGGCGAGATGGCCACAGCGACCACGGCGGAGCGAATGGCTGCAGTGGGCGGCTGTGTGACGCATGCCAGCAGGGAGGCGCGATTGCAAGGGCGAGCAGGATTGCGCCGTGGTTGCTGGTGGTTTCTTATTATTAGTGTGCGAAACATGGTGCCCAGCAGAATATTGCGTCGTCGAGTTGGGCTGCGATTATCATTACCGGGTCCCAACGGGGGACAGGGGGGGTGTGCGTCTCTGTGCGTGCGCCTCTGGTGTGTGAGAGGGTGTCGCTCCCCATCGACCCATAGTCGTGGCCTTAATCTCGGGCCCAGCGACAGGAGAGTAAGGTGAGGGAGCCCAGACCGAGCGTCTGAGTCTCGGCCGGAGGGACTGTGCACGTACTGTACGGAGAAGGGCTGGGAGGATGATGCCTGCGCCCGAGATTGAGCTCGTCCATGAGTACGTCAGAATGAGCGACGGATGTGATAGACACGGATCAAAACGCTGCTGTGCGGCACTGGTGTGGTACGCAAGTTGCGAATGCCTGCGTCTGGCAGCCTGGCTGCTTTCATGGTTAACCGTTAGCCGGCTGGCTCAGAAGCACCCGCCTCCCACTCCGTTCCCGATAATTACGGATCCCCAAGCAAAATTGCCCAGATGGCTCATTGTAACCGGGCCAGACAAGGCTGCCTACCCAGGATCAATGGCCCACGAAGTTGTGGGCTCGCCGGACGACGGTCCGTTGCCCGCGCCTCCACTGAACAGGCCGTCGTCCAGTACTCCCCGCGTCCGCTCAAGTCCCGCCGCTGGATCGCTGGGCCGCTGTCATTGCGGTGCATTAGGGCCTGGAGCCGCTGGGAAAAGGGCCGCTAAACCTCAGTGACCGTCTTCTGGGACGCTGGCACGCGAGTTGGCGGCGCATGGGGGGGGGATCCCTGAATGGAGTCAAGGACACCCCTGGACGACTATCCATAGATGCCTGAATGTGCGGCTGACAGGTATCCGCGCGCTCCATCTCCGGCTCCAGGATTTTTCTCCAGCTGTTCCCTACCTAGTCCCGGTCCGAATCCGTGGCATCCAGGGCTTATTCAGGGCATAACCATGGCACATTTCCATGGATGTGTCGGTGAGGTCCTGGCTGCCCCTGTATCCGGGGCGTAGGCAACCCTCGCTTCGCACATCCCCAGAGTCCATTTGAAATTCGCGGGTAATGACATTTATGGACCGGTAATGAGTGGACCGGGATCATGGGCCAACTAAAATTTCGACTTGACAACACTCAACAAAACCCGTAGGATGCCTCTACATGCGCCAGTGTGTACGGAGGGTATCGGGACCTCGGCTGGGAGGATTGATGGCGAATACGATGCAGCATGCCGTTGGATCGTCATAATTGAGTTGCCAAGAGGAAGTATTTGGTAATGCGAACAAAATACGGCGCTCTATTGTGCTCCGTGTCTCTTCGCTTGTGTATTAGCGTTGTGGGTTGGGAGGGCTGGCTGGTATCTTTAGAGATCTAGACATGGGCGAAGGCCGCAGTAAAGAATGTTTTTAACAATGTGCCAGATCTGAGACGACGCGAAGCAGGGCGGACAGATGGCCACGGCATGGGAATCCAAGATGGGCCGAGATGGTGAGCCGGTGAGACACCGCCTCGCGCTCTAAGATTCCAAGCCCTGAGCGTCCGTGGCATCGAGGCCAATCATGCCCAGCAGCCGAGGGAAGTGCGCTGGGAGGTGCCCGGGTCTGGCTTCTGGTCTCCATGTTTGGGGTGGCCAATGGAAAGGTAAACTGGGCCAGGGTGCGAGGCCGAGGCCAATCTCGGGCGACGTAAGAATGATGCTCCACTGAATCAAAGGCGGTGCTTTTGCGATGGATCAACTCTGATGGAGCCTCACCAGTGCCGTCAGTGGGCGAGCTTGGCGGGACGTATGCACGGCGGCAACTGGATGGCCCTGGATACCTGGTGAAAAACAATCTTTGGACGAACTAGTGCCGTCCCAGCAAGTCGAGATGCGGAATTGATTTGGCGGGGTGGGTGGATGGCACTTCACGACCCATCCCATCCCATGGTGGAAGGCCCGGGACGGCCACGGGCGTCGGGCTACGGGTTCGGAGCACACTTGTCCGCGTCTGGATGAAGCCGTCGTATGGCACCCGCTGGAAAGGACCCCATTCGCGAGCCGCCCGCGCCGTGCAGGGTTGCCTCATGCACCTGCTCGACGGAGTCCCGAGAGACGCACCCGATGCACGATGTCTCCATCTCGCGCTTCCCCGCTGTGCGGAGAAGGCGGCCTAGGCCAATCTGGTTTTGCCCTTCCACCGTCTGCAGTCGGTCGTTGCATTCCGGATCACGTCTTTGCTCCAAACCCAAACTCCAAACCATGAGGAAGTTTCTGTCGCCGTGGTCGCTAATGCAGGGGTGGGGTCTCCCACTCCCTGGTGCTGGTTGTTGGTGTCGGTGCTTCTTCGCGTCGTGGAAACGCTCGCCGTGCCCATCGTGTCACACAGGTCACCATCGCTGGTAATGGAGGGCATGGTTTCCGAGCCAGGGTTGCGGTTGTCGTGCATGTTTCCGGGCTGAGATCATATTCGTGCCATGCTGGTAAAGAAACTTGCTTGACGTGAACGTGAGCGAAAGGGTTCGGCGCCGGGAGAGCCGGGTGACAACTCCGCTCCGCGACGCACAACCTCAGCCTGGAAAATCCGCAACCTCCAATGGGCGGATAAATGGACAACTCCTGGTCAGAGCACTCCCAATCAAAACCGGGTGCGCCGCGCATGTGATGGCGAACCCCCTCCTGTGATGGTGATGGAACTTGGTTCGAGTTGGCATGGTGGGTGTGCTAAGTTGCTTGAGGGCGCCTGTCACAACGCGTGCCACACTTGCATAGGCAGGAGGAGCTGCATGGGGAAGGCGATAAAAAAATGACCAAGATCGGAGTGATGATGTATGCGCGCACGCGCGTGTTACTGTGAGTGAGTGGTGAGCGTGCGTGTGATATCCCGCGTGGCAGAGCAAGCAATGGGGGCGCTTGATAAAGCCGTCAGCCTTCCCCCACGTTTACTCGATCTTTTTACCTGCGTCTTTGGTTCGTCATCAGCAGCATCACCAGCTTCGTGGCAGTCAAGGCAGTCACGACAATCAGTCAACTATCTTCACGACGCCTCAGCCGTGCGTTGCCTGCCTACCGTCGCAGCCCTGCTGGATTGCTATAAAGTCAAACCCTCGCCCAGATTCGTATACGAGAGTTCCGGCCGTATTGTCTGCTGCTTCGCCGCTTATACGCGATCCTTCATTCCAACCCCTCGCCTCTGGCCCCTCGCCTCAGGCTTTAAACCCGTTTGACGATTACGATTGGCTTACTTTTTCTCTGTCTCTCGCGGCGCACCTTCGAAAGCGACGGTGCTTCGTGTCGGAACGGCCATCGTCGCTAGCCTCGTGTCGCACCGACGTCAAGGTTTCCCGTGTTTACATGGCTTGTTTTTAAAAGGCCTGCAGCCTCTCTTCTGTGGCCAGCTTCGAAGACTATCCCTGCGGCCCCGTTGCGTCAGCTCGTATTTCTCCGTGCACCGTCACTCTCAATCCCGGCTACTACATAGAGCAAGGCTACAATTTTCAACAGCCTGGCTTTTTCTTATCCGTACCCGTCGACACGGAGGCACTACGCCAGGGCCAGGGGGTGCACCAACCGCTCAACCGGCGCCGTCTGAATCACACCGAGCCGCTTCGTCGTCCGCAGTGACCCCCTGTCGTGTCTTGCCGCCGGCGCGCGCCTAGAAGCCCAAGGAGAAGGAAAAATTTTCACCGGAACTGTTTCGCGGGCATCCGGGACGGCGGACGATAGGAATCTATCCCAGGCCATCATCTCGCTTGTTCCCCACCGGTAAATTTGACTGGCACTTTGGTGGAGAGGTTCAGAAGCCTTGGACCCGCTCCCAGCGACCTGTTGGGAGAGGCGTTGCCAGGCCTTTTGCTAGGCAACTTTCCATCAGTTGTCACCCAGGCCCAGGCCTGCCCTGCTCTGCCTGTTCTGCCCGAGGGAGCGGGAAGTCGGAAAAAGCAACGGCATCTCTTGAATTTTTTCTCTGGCTAATTTTTGTGGCTTCACTGTCCCGCCTCTCCTCCACCCTTGCGCTTTGTGGCTGGAAAAATCTTTCTCTGAGACGAAGCGAGAAAGAGAAAAGAAACGAAAGGAGCGAGTAATTGCCATTGTGTGCGATTGTGCAAGTGTGTGCGTCTGTGTGTGTTAGAGCACAGAGCACAGAACACACATTCCGAGGCTACGGACACGCCCGGTCCAAGCTCAGCTGAAGAGAAAGCCGGATCCGCCACATAGCGGTCTTGCCCTGCTGTCGCAGTGACCACTGAGTTGGCCTGCGAGCCTTGCTGTTGGGCGCTGGCATCTGGAGCCATTGTCGCGGTGGGCTCTCCTTTTTTCCCTTTCTGCCAGGGGACTCCTTTCGGGAGCGCACAATCTGGACCATCCAAGCCCCCTTTTTCCCGCGGACGCGTCAATCAGCGTCAGAGTTTGCTGAGTCTCATCAAAACGATTGACTCATCGGCTGAATCTGAATCTGCGGGCCAGAGCTGGCAGCCAGTGGAAGCGGCCAGAGTCGCGCCCAACGAGAGGATTGGACACTTTGCTGGAGACTGGGATTGAGACGCCAGCCAAAGATATCGCACCCAAGGAAAAAAAAATTAGCAGCGGAGCGCAGCAGTACAGCACAGCGCATCACAGCGACAGCACAGCGCATTGCAGTTGCAGTGCCCCCCAGTGCCGCAGCGCGCAGCCGGAGGTGCAGCACTGTCGTCATCCAGCAGCAAAAGCGAGGACAATTCGGTGGACGGGAACAGTGCGGCGCGAAATTCAGCCGCACCGTGCACCTGCGCCCCCCGAAGCTTCTACGGAAGTGACTAAGCTCTGCTAATCGCACCCCGCGACGAGTCATCGTGTGGCGGGTACGTACCTTTTGCACGGCGGGACAAAGAGTCACTGCCTGTTCACTGCCTGCCTTGCTCGTCCTCAGGCGCCAAGCACCGAGAAAGAAGGAGCAGGTTCGAGCACCCCTTCCCCTTATCCCTACCCTACCACCCAGACCACCTAGCGTTACCCCTGCAACCCCTATCCCTGCACCTGCATTGCCCCCCTGTCGCATGCCGGCCGCGCCCTCCTTCACTCGATTCCCACATTTTTCACTCTCTCCCACGCCCCTGGCCCAGCCCGACGTTTCCACCCACAATCTGCCATCCGGAAGGAATAATATATAGCTTCCACACACGCCCGCTTCCAACCTCCTCTCCTCTTTCTCTTCCAGTATCTTGGCGCTTGCCAATCACAAAATTTCACTACAACAATTACCAACTTCGCCAGCACGCCAGTGCCGACGTCATCACTCATTCAACAACTGATCCGCTGGAGCTTAGTCAAAGCGTCCAGCATCTTCTCGTCACCACGACCACGTTCCACAGGACCTGGCCTCGACAACTTCCGAGGAGGAAAGATATAATACAGATCGGTCATGTTCGCCACACCACAACATTTTTCTAACCCTTTCCCTTCCGACTACATACCGAGGTGACGGGCTGAATCCGATCACCTCCTCCCAGACGCCTCTTCCCAGCGCATCTGAACACAAAGTTGACTGCGCACTCAAGAACAAGCCTTTGACCGCAGCGTTTCACGAACACTACACTCCAAAACAACACCCTCAAAATCTATAAAAACACACCATCATACGGCACACTCACCACCAACACCAACCGGAGTCTGGAGGAGAGCGGTTGTTTTCACTTCATTGACACGGATGTCAGTTGGGCATCGCAAGAGCACAGGATCATGAGTTACCCTTCACCACGAACACCAGGATCGACTCCGATCCACGACTACGACAGCGTTTACGCAAGGATGTCGTCCGCAACTCCCACCCCTTCGCCTCGGCCCACCTGGGCTGAGACCACACCACGACGCCCCGCGACCCGCGCGGCTCATTCACGCTTCAACAGCTACTCCCAGACGGGCGGCGACTTCAGCCCTCGGCCTCCCAAGGATTCCCCCCGCTACAACAGCAACGGGCAGTATAGTACGGCAGATGTGAGTCTCAAACATTTTTCGTCTCGCAGGCCTTCCTGGTCATCTCCACGCTCTAAGCGTGATCGCCGTTCCTCGTTTACCTATGTCCGGACTTCCACCCCCTATGGAGAATCCGACGAGGACGAGATTATCGAGGCTCTGGGTCACACCTACGTGCTTCCTGCACTGTCCCGGTCCAAGCACCACAACCACGAGCGCAGATCCTCGCTCTACACTCGAGACTTTGATGGGGGATGGTACACTAATTTCGACGCCTACCTGCAGGGTGCCCAGACCGCCGCCTTCTATGACGAGTTCTACGCCCGAGAGCAGCAGCCACCTGTGCACCAGACACCTCAACGCCCTCCCACCAGTTTCTCTCACACCCGCCGCTCCTCTACCGCCGTCCCTCCTCCCCGGCCCCAAACCGTCCGACCCGTCAGCACACAGCGCGCAAAGCCTCCCCCTCCCTCACCAAAGGCTACCGACGCCGATGCCCGGAAGCACCGGATTCCTGCCGGATACTCACTTAAGAACTGGGACCCCACCGAGGAGCCCATTCTGCTTCTAGGCAGTGTGTTCGACGCCAACAGCCTTGGCAAGTGGATCTACGACTGGACCGTTTACTACCAGGGCCCGGCCACTCCCATCTCTGACATGGCCGGCGAGCTTTGGCTCCTACTCATCCAGCTTGCCGGCAAAGTGAAGCGTGCTGACGAGATCGTTGGACGAGTTCGCAGTGCAGAGAACCGTGACCTGGTCGAGGAGTTTATCGAGGGCGGCGAGCGCCTCACCGAGAAGCTTCGGAGCCTTCTCAAGTCCTGCGAGGCCCCCATGCTCAAGGCTGCTAAGAGAAAGCAGTCTGGACTCGGCAAGAATGCCGGAGTCGAATTCGTCGAGACCCTCTTTGGCCGAGACCGAGAGTTGGCCAAGACGGAGAAGTTTATGACCAACGTCCGCCTCTTTAACCTCCGGTTCGACGCCAACTGCGAGGAGATTCTCAGGAACCCCACCAAATAAGCGGACTGCCCATGGATCTACCTGGACTTGTTTCTGTTTTTTTTCTTGTTCTCTACATACCCGAGGAGCCTTTGAACCGGCCAGCAGAAGAACCCAAACCCCCTGGATTGGAACGGCCCACAGAGACTGTACACTACCTCATTTTTTCCGGATCTCCGTTTGGATTATACGCCACATGGATTTCCTTATCTTTAACGTCACTACCTCGCCCCTGGAGAGAGCGGTTTCTTGTGTTCCACGACCAAGAACTAAGGGGCGACCTGTACTACCAGCAAAGCAAACGCGCGCGCGGAGGAGGGGCATCGACCAAAGGGGTTTTTTCCTTATCTCAAGATACCCACAATGTTTTTCCGTTTGGAAGGTCGCGAGCGGTTGGAAAGTGAAGCAACGACGACGAACACAGTGGATGCGATAGAGCTGGATGATGGATGGACATCGTGATTTCTATTTCTTGTTCTATTTTCGGTTAGGTCTTTGATTTTTGGCACAGCGCCTGGGATATTAAAAGTGATTGGCACTTAGATGGTGGAACGAAATTACTACGCGGTAATATGGAACATTGGAGGTCTCGTCTTTTACTTACACTTGGAACCTCACGTTTAGCTAGGAATATTGGAACATGCGCTTGAGCATGGAGGAGGCGTTGGGGTTTGATTTAGGCAGTTAGCTATACCATCTCAGAGAGGTTATTTGTTCTCGAATTCAAAACTAGATTAGCAAAATCGTCTGTGTCTTTGCCTGTGAGTTGCGGTGTGACGTGTTGAATCGTTCACCTTTGACCTCATCTTGAATCTAGACTCCTCTGACGGCGTCTAGATTCGCCAATTGATTACCCCGGCTCGAACCTAATCAACGCCCCTCTCGTTCCCGTTTGGCGGGGCTGGTATTGGGCGCATCTAGTGAGGCACGCTTTGAACGTAGGCTAGGGGACGATCACCTGTGAGGATGAGGTCATGGACGGGCACCCCTGACGAGGCGTGTCATGCATGAGAGAGGGGCGGCTTGTGTTTGTTCGAGACAGCGGATAGGCTACAGGTCGCAAAAAATGCCAGATTAATGAACATGAAACTGCCCAAGTCTTTTACCAGTTTTTTTGTTGGAGACAGGGTGTTCCTCGTTTGGATGTGATGTACTACGTAGTAATCAATTGCGGAGATGACTGGACGATGACGTCTTGGTCGGGCGTGGGGACTGGGGTCTTTGAACATGGCAAAATCCTGGAAGAGGGGCCGTTCGCACGAACAGGCCAACGATCAACATTGAGGTGGAAGCGATCGTCAGGGAACGGCCGTTTCATTCCCCGACATTTGGACACGATTTGTGGAGTTGGTATCCAGAGCTCTGCAGCTTTGTGGGCTGGTCGTCAATGGGCTGCTCTCCACTGATGCATGTCGTTCGGCACTGGTGGCGAAACTGTGAGGATTGGATGATTACATGCATATTGCGATGGGCGGAGAGAGTGGGCTGGTGACGCCGAATATCCGTCGGCCATTTGTCAGAGCGTTTTCTTACTGGATTGCATCGCGTCTACGAAGTATTGACCGAGCTCCGGTAGGCGCAGCCATGATGGTCAAGATAGACTCTCGCCTGCGTTCCAGATGATGGGCTGAGCAAAGATCTGGTTGATACTTACGCCATCTGGCGGGCCGAGACTGCCGCCATGTCTTGTAAAACGCCAGCCACCGCTCAACGACGGGAATTTTCGTTCCGGTCTCGAATCTTACTTGAGCTCAGTTGACCATCGTGGCGCACTTAGCTGTGCAAGAGCCGAGACACCAAGCGCAGCCTGCCGATGTTTTGGCTAACCTGCGTTTTTGCTTTCCTTTTCCTTCGCCCTGCAGCGCCGCCGGACCCGCTGGTCGCCCGATTTGTCTCGCACTATCCAGCATCAAGCCATCGCGGTGGCACGCAACATGGACGGACGAAACAGTAGCACAGCGGGCTGAGCCTGTTTCTCCTCGCGCTGGCGGAGGCTAATCTCCCCCCATGTGACGCGTTGGGAGGGGGGTTTTCGGCGTTGGGCTTGGTGTAAGTGCCGTGGTGTTTCTCGAGGAGGTTGGGGAGAATCGCGGGGTGAAGGTTGCGATACTTGCACAATCACACACACACCCGCACGCACGAAGTGCCGTGATCGATGATGATAACCCTGGAGGGTGTCTCGAGTAAGCGCCTAGGACGCCAATCATCGGAGGTCAGTATGGGAAGCTGAACATGTGTGTTCGCGACCCCCTTCCCACGTGCGTGAGGGTGGTTGGGGAGTTTGGGGGCCAGAATCACCCGCAGGTCTAGACTTGCCGACGGGCGCCATCTCGGTGAGCCAAGGTGAGAGCCGCAAGGCAGCTAGCTACCCGTACGCAGGGAGAGAGCGGGACAATGCACTAAAGCTTTGACAGTATGGCAGGGGTCGAGGCGACTGATTGCTCTTTCACCCCTTGCCTGGGTGAGTACGAGCCTGCGCCCTCGTCGAGTGGACAAGGCAGGTATTTCTCCCTGTTCGGCCCGTCCCATTGTTTGTCTTTGTGGCATGCCACGGCGATTCAACACATGTGATGAGAAGCTGGCCCGCTGGGTGGTACCACAAAGACGCCGCAGTGTCGTGTTTCCCAGAACACCATCAGGTGTCTCGTTTGCAGCGGTACGCCGTAAACGAAGCCTAATCCCCTCCTGATGTCGACGATGTGATGGCACATGGAGAAACACGCCGGATGTGTGATTTGCGCGTGCGCCTCACTCCGTAGGCAGGTGTCCTGTCGGACCGGGAGGGTGGTCCCCCAACGTGTCCTGGTTGGGTTGTTGTTCGTTGGGCGCTTAAATGGCCGGGAACGTCCCGCGGCGATGCCCGTGATGGTGCAGCGTGGAGGTGGGAATGGAACGCGGGCGGACGCACAATGAGGGGAAGACCACGCAAGGCGATTGATTGATTGTGCATACGCTGACTCGTGATGGACCGAGTCCGGCGGGCACAGACGAACGCCCCCGTCCAAGTGCCGAGAAAGCGACTGCGTCGTCGGCGCGTCTCAACGTGGGCTGGAAGCCATCGCATACAGAACTGTCACAGTGCCCGTGTGTGTGGCAGTTCAAAAGCGCCCAGGTTCTTATTTTGGGTGTTACATGCACCCAATATTTCCACGCCCCCCAGCCATCTGCGCAGCCATCCTTCCGCTTGCTGACCGTGCAGCGTGGCCGTATTTCATTCAGGGTACTTGTCCATTTCGCATGTAACCCAGCTCGATTCGTCTGCGCTTGCGTGCGAGCGCAGCATATCATATTCCTCCCCGCCCACCCTTCCCGCTGTTTCCGGACCGGTCTGGATAACGTCAGCGGTTTGTCGTGTCGCTCAGCTCGAACTGCGTGTGCAGCGACGGCATGCGGGTTGAGCAGAGGCCGGGGGGCAGGACAAAGTATGTAAGACTGTGTGTGGATGGTGGGATTTATCGTCGGCGTGTGAGTTACGAAGGACGAGATATTCTTAGTACGAGACGACGTAACGGTGACCCTATGGCCAACACTCGCCAGCACTGTGCGACCAGGGCGTCTGTTGGAACGACCCTGTCGCCGAGAGAGAAAAAGCATCGTGCCCTGCGTGTCTGTGCCGAATAGCAACCTCGGTTCCAGGACAAGGGCTCGTCATCGCACTGACCGATGGAAAGCAAGTCCCGCAGCGTGTTGCAATCCTACGACCTGGTCTCTTGACCCATGGGATGGGTGTCAATTCCCAACCATCCCATTCCAGGGTTACTCGGGGACAGGGATGGCGGCACAATCGCCTGCAAGGAGAAAACTTTGCATTTGAGCCGGGAGTCGAAGTGAATCCGGGATTGCACCGTGTCACTGCCGGGACGGTCCGACCGGGACGGGTTTCCACGAACCCAAAGGTTTGTGCGGCGGGATGCAGCTATGTTGGACTAAACCGAGGTGCGGGAGAATAGTGCGGAGCGGCGGGTACCAGGTGAGGCTTCAGTGATAAAAGTCCTCATGAGTAGAAATTGTCACCAAGTATTATAAAATGAGAATCGTGAAATGAAATAAAACAAGTATAAGCATATTTCTTTATTTTTATATCAACATATTTTCTTTTCAAAGCAATTGGGTTTGGGCCACTGTCTGTATCCATCCCACTGGAGTAGCAGACGCTCACTGGATATGACTGAACTGTTCATGCAATAATTCACATACCCGGTCCAATAATTCCAGACCATAAAATTAATTACGTAGCATAGTGACAGTTTGACAACCTTGACTCGTGGACTGATAACTTGTATTCTCAAGCTTCACTAAATGGTGACAATAAATCCTCCAATACCAGCAGAGAATTAACAGTGATGGGCTCCAGTATGAGCTTGGAAGACTGCTTCTCATCTAAATGAATGGCATAGATCCCATCCGCAGCTGCAGGCACGATGTCCCGCTCCATAGAATCCCCGACGTAGATAACCTCCTGGGGTTGAATGGCTAGATGATCTAGGACCTTCTGGAAGAGCCCTGTCGTCTTGGAAACGCCGAAATGGTTTGTCGTCGCGAGGAAGTCCACGTGCTCGGCGATTCCCAAGTCTCTCAACGCTCGTTCTTGGGCATCCTGTGGTCCTTCTGTGATCACTGCTATCTTCCTGCCAGAGGACTTGATTGCCCTGAGCAGTGACTCTGCTCCAGGCTTCAGAGTCAAATTTTCTACAAGTACCCGTTCATAAGAAGCGAGAAGCTCGTTGATCAATCCGTGACTCAACCCAAAATGATCCAGTGTCGCAGAGAAACGCTCTCGGCGGTAATCGTGAGATGTTTTCCCGTCAACAAAGGCGTTTGAGGTTCCTTGCATGAGAACCTCTCGATAACGAGTCTGAAGAGCTCCTAGTGAGACACTGGGGTTTTCATTGGCGATTACACTTAAACAATGTGTAGTTGCCGCGCGACTGGCAGAACGGAACTCGTGCAGTGTGTCGTCGAGGTCGAAGCCGAACCATGACTTGGTGCGTAGACTAGCGCGCGCCTGTTCCACGGCCGTCGATGGTACTGGTAAAGAACAGGAAGGCATGCTGAAGTTGTAGTGTGGAATGCTAAATGACTTTGTTGGTTGGACTAATGCTTCAGGATGAAGATTTGTTGATGAAGAGTCATAAGTTTCACTGACGCTAAGGGTGCGTGGATTAAATGACAGATTCCCCCACCCCACTTCGCCAACATAGTACCTCTCCCTCAGGGTTGATGTACTATTCGGCAACTTTGTTTCGAGTTCTTGGTGCTATGCCATCTAGCCTTTAACTTATCAGCGTCAACTTGCCAGTGCCTTGTGCAATTTGAGAAACTGGCTTGCTATGTAACTGCCCGAGCGAAACTAATGGAAACAAAGGTCCGCGTCAAATTTTTCAATGATATAGTGTACGGGGATCACTTAGTTGTGAAGGAGAAACCTTGACTTCGACTCGCCACTGTCATAATAATTTACCTGTATTCTTGGGTCGCTCTCGCAGCCTTGATCTATCGGGCCGGGATGGGTCCCATCAAGACCAAATATACGAGAGATATCTGAAGTGCCTTTGGAAACTGACATCGGGAAAAACTCTCATGTGTAGGCGCGCCAAGAGTAAGTGGCTTTTTCTGCAACCGAGAAGGATATTCTTGCCACTAAATCTCACCCCGAACTATTTTGCTTGAAGCAGGCTCTCCCGCGTGGGTAGTTATGGAGCCCGATACATTTCACAGGGACAGGATGAAAAGAAACAATTCTCTATGACTGAATGGACGAACATCTGAGCATGTATTCATTGGAAGGCTCCTGCCCAACCTTAGCCGATTTATCCATATATTCTTCGTTGACTAACAACTTCTTCCGGCTGATGAAATCCGACTTGGATCTATTGTACAGGGCTGAGAGATGTCTGTATCAAGAGGTTAGGGTGCTCTAGTACCCACATACCCAGAGGGGGGACTAGAAGCTTAACAGTAAAAAAAAACATCAACAATAGTATTAACAATACAGACTATATACCCAGTCTATTCAAAGGTTAACAGTTTACTCAGACAGATTAAGGTTTCTAGTCTAACTGGTTATCTTTCCCAATACCTCAATAGGCTGCAGTAACAGCTGCATCTTGGAAAAGTTAGATCTTGGAAAAGGCAAAATCCTGATCAGAATAAAAGCTCTGCAGGCCTCACCTCTTGCATTCTAGTCATCCTTACATCCTTACACACACCTCAAACAACCACTCAACCAACTACTACACCAACTACTACACCAATCGAAGATATCTTTCCGTCTCACACTACAGACTGATGTAGTCTCTCCCAATCATTGCTATACTCATTGCTTTAATTTCGATCTAGATTACTTAACCCTAAGTAACACAACCCTCATCCCGAAATTGCAAATTGCAGCTCAAAAGTCCGGACTCAAAGATGTTAAAGAAGTCCGAATCGACCAACCCGGCGAGAGTTAATTGTCTTTGGATGTTATACAATTCGGGAGCTGGCGGGTCTAGATATAGCTTTACGACTCTGGGTTCCTGCAGAGCTAGGCTGTCTGAAGGCTCTAGTTCGGAAATGCTGAAGGCGTATACTTTCTCCGGCAGAAAGGGCATTTATTAACCGCTTGTGTGGTACTGCATGGACTATGCAGCTGATGAATGATAAGGTGTTGGTCAACTCGCAGCCAAAGAATTGACATAAGAACCCAAGGGAACCCATGGAGGGATATTGAGGAGGAGGTTCTGATGATGTCTGTATATACTTAGTTGACAGGAGGATCTGGTGGAATTCACACAACAAATCGATACCCCATATATGACTGAAGGATATATCCTTAGGCTTGAGTTTATTGTTAAATAAAATCAATAAAATCCATAAAATAATTATAAGAACACATAAGCCTAAGAACCAGTCCTACCAACAACTAAACTACCCCCTAAACCTTTATATTATAGTTACACTTCAAGGGGCTCACGCCATCAATGCCCTACCTCCTCCCTTGACATTGAGCTTTTAGACATTCCCGAAATTCAATTCTGTATTTTAAAGATCGTTACTGCTAGACTGGCAGGATTCATGTTGTGGGAGTTCTGAAGCAAGGTGCGTCGAGGAAATGCTGCGAACTCTAGTAAGGCCGAGGTCGTTTCAAGGTCGTGGTCTGTTTGAGAACTCGAGTCATTACTGATCATGCAGTTCTTCACTTCAAAAAATCCAGTGTCTATTAATTGAGTTTAGGAATCCTTCGGATCGTATTGGCTTTGATTGACTGATCCTTTACTTCCTATGAGGTCGGGGAGGTTGACCAGGTCGAGTTAGTTGCGTACGGATGTTAAAAATTTCTGCCAACGCCATCATTTGGACACTTACATGGCACCACCTACGAGATCCTAAATGCGTACATTAAATAATACTACAGGGGGGTCTTCAAGATCCATTCAGCAATATGTTCCAGTGTATTTGACGAGACTTGTTTGTTGCTGTAGCAATATGAAAAAGGATTGGTTCTAGTCTGGAACGGAGGAGGCTCTTGATAATGTTGTGGATTTCAACATCAACCAATGCCGAAAATAGGTCGGGTATTTTACCGTAACGGCTTTGTTGTCTGGTAGTCTTTGGTGAAGTAGAGTCATTGTGCATGTTCAATACGGTAGACACCACCGCTAACATTATCGTGCGATGACTAAGCAATCTTGTCGTAGCCAAAATAATTTCTCAAAGAGGTGCCCAACCGTCAACCTGTCTCTCAGGGGCCTATAGCGACGGAGGTTCTTTGCACTCGAGCACTGACTATCACTGACAAAAGCGGAGCCTGTTTATCGTCGAGCAGATATAGGTGCCTGCTTAGACTGCCTCATTGTCTCACATCGTCACACAACAAATCCAGATCCGCTCAGCATCACCGGACCATGCACTACGTTCGGTTTCTTCGAGCTCCCAAGGTGGCGCCTGGCAGAGGCAATAGGCTTCAGATACAGCTTCTGTTTACAATCACGACAGATCTAGGGGACTCGTTCCTTTACCCACAGAAGTTCCTTGACCTGCAGGTCACTGCCTCAGCCTCCTCCTCCACAGGCACGTCGACATGGCTCCTCTCAGACCCAGGACGACTCTACTGGGAACCGGGTATGCGCGTAGCAAAGCCTACTCTCGAACTTCCGGTTGCCTTTGAGAGAGCTGTCCAAGCAGGCGTTAGGATTCAGCTTTGTGTCCGAGCATCGGAGCCGTCTCAACATGCAGACGGGGCGGCCAAGATCTTAGCAATCGCGTCGGAGAAGCCGAGGTACCGGAAGGAAGCGACCAGGATGGGGGCGGTGATGCCGGCGTGGATTTCGCTGAATCTATCCGGCAGGGATACAGAGGTGTCTATGCGGAGGCTTCAGGTCAGCGACTCAGCGACTGGCTTCGGCTACGTCGAGGTGGAGGAGGAGATCGGGGAGAGCATCGCGCGCCACGTTTGGGATGCCGGTGTGGTAGCGCTCTGCGCCATTGCGGGGATCGACACAGCACCTGAGAACGAGTCCAGTAAGCACCCATGCATGAGAGCGCTGGGTGGCTTGTTCGGCAGTCGGAAGGAAATCAATGTCTTGGAATTGGGCTGCGGGGTTGGGATCTTGGGAGTTGGGCTGGGAGCGGTCTATCCTAAGCTTTCTCAAGGACAATGTACGATTCTCTTGACCGATCTCCAAGAGGCGGAGGCTCGGGCTCGATCGAACATTGCACGTCTCAGCCCCCAGGCCTCAGAGTCCGAAGAGCCGCAGGTTCGCATGCTGTACGAGAACCTGGACTGGGAGGATGGCAGGCAGGGTCAATTCGGGAGGGAAGCTGGGTCGCGTGCTTGGGATCTGGTTATGCTCAGCGACTGCACTTACAACGTCGATATGCTTCCCGCGTTGGTCGAGACCCTATCCGCCATCCATTCGTCTAATCTGAAGCAAGTCCCTGGCGAGCCGTTTACCACCAAAGTCTTCCTGGCTACCAAGCCGCGTCACGCCTCCGAGCGAGAATTGTTCGAGTTGATGGAGAAGGAGGGCTGGGAGACACTGCATAAGCAGGTGCTACAATTGCCTGTTCTTGGCGCGGAGCCGGAATCTGTCGAGCTGTACCTCTTCGATAAGTCTAGTTTGATCGATGAGAGCAGGTGATAGGCGCCCGCTCGACAAGACATCGGTGGTATGACTGAGGCCTGCCGGTGAGGCGACTGACTTTCAACATGCATTGAGTCTTATCATACGAGTAAGGCAACAGCCCTGCGTTTTGTTCAGGGCGAGAAGAGCCACTCGTCCGAAAGTGAGCACCGGGGAGTCTCCTCCAGGCCAAGTCCCTCGCAATGTGTTGTCATGGCGCACTCTGGGCAGGGTTCCTACAGCCTTACTTTGTTCCAATTGAGGCTCTGGGTGAAAACAAGGCAACCACACTAGGTAGCGTATGACTTGCATGGACGATGATTGGGCTTACCCCGCGTGTTGTGTAGCCAACAGATACCCAGCCTGAATTTGTGAGTGGTATTGGGCATAACCCGTTTGGGGGCTGAGGGAGTGGGGAGGGATACCGGCATGATGGAGGGTGAATCGAGGGCGATGACAGGCTGGGAATGTTAGAGGCGTGGTGTGGTGATGAGTTGGCACTTAAGCCGAGACCGGGGTGACTTGAGGCTCTTGTATCGCCTTCCCCGGTTCTTGGGGGGACCGGTGAAAGCGAAGCACTTTAAAATGGGCAATCGCAGAGCAGGAATTGACTTTTGATCATCACTCCTACTGTGCCTTATCCTCTCAGTTGGATCATGGCGGAACCAAAGATTGGCTCTCCTAGGGCCAAAGCGGCAAATGGCAACCATGGTTCCGAAAAGACATCCAACAAGCAGTCCAAGCTATGGCAAATGCTAGCTTTGGCCAAGGAAGTGGCCAAAGATGTCGACGCGATCCAGGACTACGAAAAAACAGTCGAAGGGAGACGGGCGCTTGAGCTTGAGCTCGAAGCCAAGAATGCCGACAACCAGCGACTGCGCGAGCTGAACGAAAAGGTACTGCGCGAGTTCACTGACCACAAAGCCCAGGCCATCTCCAAGACAGAGACACTGTTTGGCGAGTTCGAGCAAAAGTACAAGACGTACGAGTCGAACAAGGCCGCGGTGGAGACGATGGAGAAGGAGGTTGTGCAGATGAAGGAGAAGCTCGAGGCGTCGGAGCAGTCGCAGAAGAGCAAGGCCGCCGAGGTTGGGAAGCTCAAGCAGCAGCTGAAAGCCGCCGAGACCAACGCAAAGAGCCAATCCGCCGAGATCAAGGAGATGAATGCCGAGTGCGAGATCCATCGCTCGCGGATGCAGACGAGCATCGCGGAGCGGGATGCGTGCAAGACCAAGTTGATGCTGGCGCAAGGCGACCTTGGGGAGGACCTTTTGCACGACTACGGCTCTGACGGTCTGCGGACTCTGTAGGTTTTCCATTTCTGCCTTTGCGAGCTTGGCTAATTAAAGCATAGTGGCCTTGACCTCAAAGCGTTGTCAAAGAAGTGCCATGCTTTTGTGGTTGAGTACTTCAACGACCCAGATGGAGCCGCAGTGAGTATTATCCCTACACCACCCGCTTCAACCCTTTGTACTGACTGTCCGGCTTAGGACTCTGCAAGCGAGATCCAGGATCTCAAGGCCCAATTCCCCAAGATCCCCCTTACGACCCTGACGACCAGGCCTGCTGCCCAGATGCGGTGTGCGGTTGCCGAAGCCGTCATTGCCGCAATCATGACGTCTCAGATTTTCGTGCCGTTCTACCTACCCAGCGATCTCCGAGCAGCAGCATCGACTCTGCTCCACATATTTGGAGATGACGAACGGCGGCGAACCGTCTACCGGTGCCAGATCCTCCGGTCCATGACGGACGCCGAGGAGGTGGCGCGCGTCCAAGAGGACATTGTGCGCAAGGCGAGCAACGAGGTGCGCAGCACGCTGCACCCGCTCGTCGTCGCCTTCAAGCAGGCCGGCTTCTACAACGCGGTGCCGACGCTGTTCCGCGAGGCGCTGACGCTGTGGGCCGACGTGCAGCGCTCGCGGGACCTGATCACGGCCGAGGCGCCGGACATGAACGAGGTGCAGCCGCCGAGCAAGTACGACGAGTACGACCAGAACGGCGGCGCGGCCGTGTCGTCGCCCAAGGGCCACAAGGGCCCCAAGGCGACCATCGCGGCGGTGCTGTTCCCGCAGGTGGCGACGCGCGAGGACCTCATCTTCAACGGCATGGCGCTGTGGTCCAACCAGAGCGCGCTCGCGGCGGCGGCGCAGGAGATGCCGGCCAACGGGACGGCCAACGGGGACTCGATGAAGCAGGCGGCGGCGCGCCGGAGGTCCGTGGTCAGCCCGACTCGCCGTTCCGGGATGAGTGATTGAATGGGGAGGACGGACTGACGGACGGAGCGCCTTGCTTGGTGGGTGCGGACCGGAGCCGGAGGTGGGGCCGGGTCTCGGTTCGGGAAGTGGTGGCAGCTCCCCGAAGCGAGCGATGGTCGATGATAAGGTCAGGCAAGTTGTTACAGTGGATGGATGGAGGATTCGGCTTGGTGTTTTTTTCCCTGTCTTGGTGGGTGCATGGCATTATTGGGTACAGGCGACCCTAGGTTGAAAACTTGCATGTGTGTGTTAGTGATGACCGGGATAGTTTGGGCCAGTCAGAGATAGCAAAGTCAGTCACGCTCGTTAATCCAACATCTGCCGGCGTCCACGTGCGGTAGTGTGTACACCAGTGCCTCACCGGTCTGCTGTAACTAATTGCTATGTACGTACTCTGGCTGTACAGAGGAGCCCAACATGGAGGGGGATGGGTGCCTCAATTGAGAGGTGACGCACCCTCCTCCTCGTTTCTGGGGAAATCAGGCAAGGGGTGGTCGATAGCGTTCCATTGTTGTTGGCTCCAGATAAGGGCGAGACTCTTTACATGGGACATCTAACCCTACACAAGACGCCGCTTGGAATGAGTGTCGATGAGCGGACGAAAATGTGTGAATTGATGATAAATCCAGATGAATAATCCGGCCGACTCGACACAAATCGGCCGAAGAACGGACGGATCTGAGACCAGACGGCTGAACAGAGGTGTGAGACACATGATGGATGCCATGCCTGTCGGTTCACGGCTTGGCAATTTGCCCTCGTAGTTGGTGCAGACCGCCTGTCCAGCTGGCGAAAACATGGACATGCATGGATGGACAATCTCTTTGTTCTTCCCATTGCGGAACTCCGCAGCCTTATGTACATGCTATACGACCAGTAAGTAGCACCTACGCAAAAGCGATCAAATCAGAGTCCAGGGCAGCCCCTGTCTGTATTCGGCACGTTCCGCAGTCGTTTGCGGGTGGCCTCCGATTCAACGTCTTTCCTGGCGGTACGGTGAAGGAATGAATCCCAAGCTGCCTCGCTGCCTCGGAATATCGCCATCATCTCTGCCGAATAGAGGAAGCTGCACGGACCAAGCTGAGCTGCCTGCACAATCGCTGCACGGGCGTGGAACTTTCAGAAATTCTTGGGACGGCACTCCCTGTTTATTGCCTTGCGCTTGCGGGGATTCCATCTGCAGACCCATTTGCTAGTGCCGAGTCCGACGCAAGCATTTTGTTCTAATTTTCGGAAGGAATACGCGCTGGAGTGGGTTGCGGAGCTGGCCGTCTGCCTGTCAATCAATCACAGCCTGTTTGATGCACTGGAGAGTGAGTGTTTGCTGTGCTCGGAGAGTTTTCGCCTCTCTCTCCCTGACGCATTATGAGTCGACATGATGGGCGATGATGGTTATACGAGAATAGTCTAGTGGCGAACGGGCCATCTCTGGTCATCATCCCGAAATCAAACTTGCGCCAGGACCGTTTCTTACTTACCGTGAAGATGAGAGATCCCCACGTCATCCATCACAGTCACCCATCTCCGATGCGACGGTCCACGCGTGCTGCGTACCGTACTTTGTACATGCTGCTGTGCGCAATGTGCGAGGTTTACCCAGACCCGGTAAGGTTGTCTGTCTGACTGACTCCACACTCTGAGATTGGGCTTCAGGGCGCCGTTGACATCCCTGCAACCGGCCTCATCAGTAACTAGCCTCGCCGGTGCTCCTCCGCCCATCTCGACATCACTAATACCACTACCGTGTGCGGTCCGACCTAGTTTCAGGTGTAACCACGGGATATTTTCGACGGTTATGGGTAGCAGTGTTGTTGACAGATGCAGCATCGCCGACAACGTGGGCATGTTACCACCCTGCATCGTCACTATCGCCACTATCGTCACTCAGCAGCGTTGTACTTGGTGGTTCACCTCGACTCAAGGCAACACTCCTTTACTCCCAGTCGCGGATCCGACAGGCCGTCTCAGTCTCAAGTCTCCGCCTGGAATGTCTAACACGAAATCTCGGCTCGCTCCACACGCTGCTCCACACACATGGCCACGCCAACAACACACGCCCCAACATGGCGGATTGGCAAACCATGGCGGAACTGGCAATTCCTCGCCCCCGGCCATCCATCTAGGGCCTGGCACCTTTAAGCTCCCGCCTTGGGCACTCCCCGAGCCAATCGGTCTCGTCGACACCACCCTCTTCATCTTGGCCCTTTGCCGGATGACTCGAAATCTCTCCTTTCGCCCCACCCCCTGACAAATTTTCAGCTTCACAATTCGACGGCGGGCTTGTCCAGGACCCCGCCCTCGGGTGCTTTGCTTGTAACTAGGCATGTATCCTGCTCGTCCGTGCCGGATGGCAAAACCGCGGTTGCGTGAAGCCTGTGATTCACGCCGTTGCCGTTACTGGTGCCGTTGGCCCTTTGTTTGCCGGTGGAGTCATGCCCAGGTACGTCGTAGACTGCTTTCATCCCCATCCCCATCCCTATCCCCATCCCACGGCCTTAAGCCTAAGCTCCGACTTTGAGCCCTTGATTGGTAATGGAAGATGACGGCCGTTGTGCGAAGAGGGCCCTAGTCCCCAACCTATGTCATATTTTTCCCCGGTACAGATGGCTTGGAGCTTGGTGTCTTTAATAAACACGGTGCCATCACCGACTTTCGTCCCGGCCGATTTGCTTCCTTGTTTGTTCTGTTCAAGACCCAGCCTGGTCAATTCATTCCCTTTCCCTGTTCTTTCTCCCATTTTGAATACAGGTCCCTGTATGTCAATAGAGTCTTCCCAATCATCAATCTGGGTCTTATTCAGTAGTCTCCACTAGTTAACCCGATTCCGCGGTGGGTGACCTTGGGCTCCCAACACAGTCTCGATCCCGAGCACTGTTTACGATATCACAATTCATTGCCATTGTGCTGCTTGAACCCGACACCATAGTATTCGATGGCTGAGAGGGCTCTCGAAAAGGCCGAGGAGGCTATTGCCTCCGGCCACCGTGCCGAGGAGATTGAGCCTACGTATCGAGCTTCCCAGGACTCTAGCTCTACCGTCGATGGCCCCGGCATTGAGCGACGCGGATCCGCTGTCCGCCAGGGCGGTATTTCCATCGAGCAGGCTGAGGCTGAGTTCGCCGAACTCCAGAGGGAGTTTACCGGTGTCTCTCGAGCAAGTCGTCAGAAGACCCGAAAGAGCATGGACCCTGAAAAGGACGGTGCTGCTGATGGCTCCGACGAGGCCTCGCTCTTCGATCTTGAGGCGGCCCTGCGAGGAAACCTGGATGCTGAGCGAGAGGCTGGAATCCGCTCCAAGCATATCGGCGCCTACTGGGATGGTTTGACCGTCAGGGGCATCGGTGGCATGACCAACTACGTCCAGACTTTCCCGGACGCCTTCGTCAACTTCTTCGATATCATCTCTCCCGTTCTCGGCCTCGTTGGTCTAGGTCCCAAGCCCACGCAGGCGACTCTTCTCGACAACTTCCGCGGTGTTTGCAAGCCCGGCGAGATGGTGCTCGTCCTGGGAAAGCCCGGTTCCGGCTGCACCACCTTCCTCAAGACCATCGCCAACCAGCGATATGGCTACACGGGCGTCACTGGAGAGGTCCTTTACGGACCGTGGAACGCCAAGGAGTTCGACCAGTACCGAGGCGAGGCCGTCTACAACGCCGAGGACGACATCCACCACCCCACGCTGACGGTTGAGCAGACGCTCGGCTTTGCGCTCGACACCAAGATGCCCGCCAAGCGACCTGGCGGCATGTCCAAGGAGGAATTCAAGCAGAGCGTCATCACCACGCTGCTCAAGATGTTCAACATTGAGCACACGCGCACGACGGTTGTCGGAGACCACTTCGTCCGAGGTATTTCTGGTGGTGAGCGCAAGCGTGTCTCCATCGCCGAGGGCATGATCACCAACGCCTGCATTCTGTCCTGGGACAACAGCACCCGCGGCCTCGACGCCAGCACCGCCCTGGACTTCGCCAAGTCTCTGCGCGTCCAGACCAACCTGTACAAGACCACCACCTTCGTCTCCCTGTACCAGGCCTCCGAGAACATCTACAGCCTCTTCGACAAGGTCATGCTCATCGACGAGGGCAAGCAGGTCTTCTTCGGCCCGGCCCAGAGCGCCCGCGCCTACTTCGAGGGCCTGGGCTTCGCTCCCCGGCCGCGAATGACTTCTGCGGATTACTTGACCGCTTGCACTGACGAGTTCGAGCGCGAGTATGTCGACGGCCGCTCGGCGGAGAATGCGCCTCACAGCCCCGAATCGCTGCTCGAGGCCTTCAAGGCCTCGCCTGCGCAGAAGGCTCTGGATGCGGAGATGGCCGAGTACAAGGCCAGCCTGCAGCTCGAGCAGGAGAAGCACGACGACTTCCAGGCCGCCGTCAAGGAGAGCAAGCGCGGATCATCCAAGAAGTCGGTGTACCAGGTCGGCTTCCACCTGCAGGTCTACGCCCTGATGAAGCGCCAGTTCATCCTCAAGCTCCAGGATCGCTTCAACCTCACCCTCGCCTGGCTCCGCAGCATCATCATCGCCATTGTCCTCGGCACTCTGTTCCTCAACCTCGGAAAGACGTCGGCCAGCGCCTTCAGCAAGGGCGGTCTGCTCTTCATCGCCCTCCTGTTCAACGCTTTCCAGGCCTTCTCTGAACTTGCGGGGACCATGACTGGCCGCGCGATTGTCAACAAGCACAAGGCCTACGCGTTCCATCGACCCTCTGCCTTGTGGATTGCCCAGATCATTGTCGATCAGGCGTTTGCTGCGAGTCAGATTCTCGTCTTCTCCATCATTGTATACTTCATGAGTGGCTTGGTCCGGGAGGCGGGTGCGTTCTTCACCTTCTACCTAATGATTCTCTCCGGGAACATTGCCATGACCCTCTTCTTCCGAATCATCGGATGCATCAGCCCCGATTTCGACTACGCCATCAAGTTCGCCGTCGTTGTTATCACGCTCTTTGTCACCACATCCGGTTACCTGATCCAGTACCAGTCCGAGAAGGTCTGGCTGCGTTGGATCTACTGGGTCAATGTGCTTGGTTTGGCCTTCAGCGCGATGATGCAGAACGAGTTCAGCCGCATTGACATGACCTGCACTGCCGATTCGCTCATCCCCTCCGGTCCTGGCTACGACGACATCAACCATCAGGTTTGCACTCTTGCTGGCTCGACCGGTGGCACCACCTTCATCAGGGGCTCTGATTATATCTCTGAAGGTTTCTCGTACTTCCCCGGCGACCTCTGGCGCAACTGGGGCATCATCATGTCTCTCATCATCTTCTTCCTGATCCTCAACGTCGTCCTGGGCGAGTTTATCAAGTACGGAATGGGTGGCAACTCGGCCAAGATCTTTTCCAAGCCCAACAAGGAGAGGAAGGCCCTCAACGAAGCTCTTATTGAGAAGCGAGACGCCAAGCGCAAGGATAAGTCCAACGAGACCGGTTCGGATCTCAAGATTGAGTCAGAGGCCATTCTTACCTGGGAGGACCTCAACTACGATGTCCCCGTCCCCGGTGGTACTCGTCGTCTGTTGAACAACGTCTTTGGATACGTCCGTCCTGGTGAGCTGACCGCCCTGATGGGTGCTTCCGGTGCTGGAAAGACCACCCTCCTCGATGTCCTGGCCGCCCGAAAGAACATTGGTGTCATCCATGGTGATATTCTCGTCGACAGCGCCAAACCCGGCAAGCAGTTCCAGCGTTCCACCTCGTATGCTGAGCAGCTTGATCTGCACGAACCTACCCAGACCGTCCGAGAGGCCCTCCGATTTTCCGCCGAGCTGCGCCAGCCCTTCCACGTCCCCATGTCCGAACGCCACGCCTACGTCGAGGAGATTATCTCTCTGCTCGAAATGGAGGGATTCGCGGATGCCATCATTGGTTCTCCTGAGTTTGGTCTTTCCGTCGAACAGCGCAAGCGTGTGACTATCGGTGTCGAGCTGGCGGCGAAGCCTGAGCTCTTGTTGTTCCTGGACGAGCCTACCTCCGGCCTCGACAGCCAGAGCGCCTTCAACATTGTCCGATTCCTCAAGAAGCTGGCTGCTTCCGGCCAGGCCATTCTCTGCACCATCCACCAGCCCAACGCCGCGCTGTTCGAGAACTTCGACCGCCTTCTGCTTCTCCAGCGTGGTGGCCGCACCGTCTACTTTGGTGACATCGGCAAGGATGCCTGTGTCCTCCGAGACTATCTTGCACGACACGGCGCCGAGACTCCCGCTACTGAGAACGTCGCCGAATACATGCTCGAGGCTGTGGGCGCTGGTAGTGCTCCTCGTGTTGGTGATCGAGACTGGGCGGATATCTGGGACGAGAGCCCTGAGCTCGCTGCTGCCAAGGCGGCCATCACGCAGATGAAGGCCGAGAGGAAGGCGGCTGGTGCTAACTTGAATGCCGATTCGGAGATGGAGTACGCCTCTCCTTTCGGTCATCAGCTCAAGGTTGTGTCCAGACGCATGTTCCGATCCTTCTGGCGCTCGCCCAACTACCTCTTCACCCGTGTCTTCGCTCACGTCGCTGTCGCCCTCATCACTGGTCTTACTTATCTCAACCTGGATGATTCTCGAGCCTCGCTTCAGTACAAGGTCTTCGTCATCTTCCAAGTCACGGTGCTTCCGGCTCTGATTATCACCCAAGTCGAGGTCATGTTCCACATCAAGCGAGCTCTCTTCTTCCGCGAGGCTTCGTCCAAGATGTACTCGCCTTTCACCTTCGTTTTCTCCATCATCGCCGCCGAGATGCCTTATTCGATTCTTTGCGCCGTTGCCTTTTACCTCCCGCTGTACTTCATGCCTGGTTTCCAGACCGATTCTTCGCGCGCCGGCTACCAGTTCTTCATGGTTCTCATCACTGAGATCTTTGCCGTCACGCTAGGCCAAGGCCTTGCTTCGATCACTCCCTCGCCCTTCATCTCGGCCCAGTTTGATCCCTTCATCATCATCAACTTCGCTCTCTTCTGCGGTGTCACCATCGCTCCCCCCCAGATGCCCGGCTTCTGGCGCGCGTGGCTCTACCAGCTCGATCCCTTCACCCGCCTCATCGGCGGCATGGTTACGACCGCGCTGCACGAGCTGCCCGTTGTGTGCAAGCCCAGCGAGTACAACGTCTTTACTGCTCCCGAGGGCATGAACTGCGGCGAGTACATGCAGCCCTTCTTCGAGCGTGGTGGTTCCGGCTACTTGGCTAGCAATACCACGCAGGACTGCGAGTATTGCGCGTACAAGGTCGGCGACGAGTTCTACGCCGCCTTCAACCTGTCGTTTGACAACCGCTGGAGAGATCTGGGTATCTTCTGCGCCTTTGTAGGCAGCAACTTGATCATCCTGCTCCTGGCTGTAAGTTCTCTCTTCTCATCCAGTGTCAATATCGTTTACTAATTCATCTCAACAGAGCCGCTTCCTGAACTTCAACCGACGATAATTTGCCTGTAACAGGCACACGACAATGGCCTTACATGACTGAGAAGGCACAGTAATGACAATAGACAAAAGTTGATATCCGTAGTATTAAAATACTAAAGGCTCGTACTATATATTAGGCATATAATCCTAAATTGATAATCATTTTCGCATCCTTGAGTTGCGATAACGCCAATTAATAGTCAACTTCCCCCTGATGCACACGTTGAGCGCTCGGTGATTCAATTTGGTCCCACGTTTGATGGAAAAAATCGTAGCATTCATTAAACAGCGCATTTCAATCTACTCGCTCTCTGTGTCACGGTTCTCGATTGCCCACAACTCACCAAACCGACTTCCCGGAGTCTCGATCAGCTCCCGCGGGCTCCCCGATTCCACCATAGCCCCCTTATCAAGGACGACAACGCGGTCGAAAAAGTCCATGACCATCTCCAGCCTGTGTGACACCATCACTATAGTGTAATTCTCAAACTCCTCGCGAATGATCTCCTGCATTGCCCGGTCCGTCACTTTGTCAACACTGCTGCTTACCTCGTCCAGCAGCAGCACACCACTACTCTTCTCGCGGTTCGTGAGTCTGTCACGGATGCGCCGTCGCAAGATCGCTCTTCCAAGGCTGAATAATTGCTTCTGTCCAGCGCTGAGATCATCAGCGTTCATACCGGATTCCAGGCCGCCGCGGTCTTCAACAAAGCTGGCAAGTTGAACAGCCGCAAGGGCATCAAGACACTCTTGTGGAGTTGCTATTTCGTGAGGGTCAATATTAGACTTGACAGTACTGCCGTCAGGAAGGAACACCGCATCCTGCGGAATAGCAATAATGCGTTTGCGGAGTGTAGCTCGATCAATGCGGTTGAGGAGGGTGCCGTCTATTTCCATGTTTCTACTGCAAGATTGGAGGGGGTCGAGCAGGCGAAGCAGAAGCAGGATCAAGGTCGATTTTCCGCTTCCTGTCCTACCACAAATAGCCACCTTTTGTCTCGGAAGAATGCTCAATGTGAGATTGCGGATGACAAGATTATATGGCGAGGCCACTACTCCGTTCTCGCTTTCTAACTCAGGTTCGTAGGATGCAGAGACGTCGTTGATGTCAATCCGCCCCCCTTGCGGCCACTCCTGTGGAGGTTCAATATCTTCGCCAGGTTGATCTTCCGGCTTGACCGTCTCGCTAAATGTGCGCAGACGGCTAACCGCGCCGAGTGAAGTCTCAAGCATCGTGTAAGCTCGGATCAGGTTCGATACCGACTCACTGAAGGTGAGCAATGTCACCAGAGATGCACCTGTAAGCCCGGTGTTGACTTCGAGTTGCGTGGCTAGTGAAACAATAAGGACGGCCATGCCGGCGACAATGAGATAAAGAGTCGTCAATAGCCATTGCTGGATCATAGCAAGCAAGTAGGCTGGGCGTTGGGACGTGTCCAAGAGTTCGTTGTTCTGCTCGATGTCGAGATTCTCCCAGCCAAAGGCACGGATGGTAGCAACGCCCTTGATAGTATCAAGGAAGTGGGTGCTGTCTTCATGTTAGCCCACCCTCGACATTTAGCATAGGAGCGATAACTTACTATAGTGGACTCTTGCATTCTAAGTCAAGAAGACGGATTTGTCGGGATGTCCGCAGGTAGAACTTTTGCACAAAGAAGAGAACAGCAAATAACACGGGATACCCGGTAGCAAGATACGGCGACGCGGCGGCAATAACAAACGCCATGCCAGTACAGTCCGCCATGTCAATCGTGAAATTTGTAAGCGCCATCGGAAGTTCGCTATCCAGAAGGGTCATATCCTGCGAAAACAGGTTCGTCACGATGCCAGAATCCGTCGTTGCGAAAAATCTCAATGGCGCTGTGACGACAGTGGTGATGGCCCGCTTGTGGAGAACCGTTCCGGAATATGTAATCATGAGGATGAGAGTTGAGATGGCGTTGAGAATAATACACACGACGGCCAAGACTCGAAGGAGGCCGTAGATTCCGATGTAGAAAGCGATAGGTCTGTCAAACGAATCTTCGGCCCAAAATTTGATCCAGACCGTGGAGAAGTTACCCAACGCGCCGTACATCACGGCACTGAAGACGAGAATGGAGACTGGCTGGAAGCCAACACTTCGGAAGTAGTGGCCGTAGATAGACCAGTCGCCCAACTGCCTTGCCTTGTCATCCAAGGCAGCCTTGATCCCATTTGATGTCGGCTTCGGCACGATCTCAGCTTGCTGTTCTTTCGGTCTCTCGGTTTCGCTCCGAGGAGTCTCGTCGCCTTGCTTTACCCCGAGACTTTGGACATACTTGTTATTACGCTTCAAGTCTTGGAACGTGCCCTGCTCAATAACAGTGCCATCGGTGTCGAGTGCAATGATATGATTCGCAGTGGGCAAGTGCCGTATAGAGTGGGTGCAAATCACGACTGTCGCGTTTCGTCGACGAGTGATGCCGTTCGACCCAAAGACGCGGTTAAACAGCTCAGCCTCTGTGTCGTTGTCAAGTCCGCTGAGTACGTCGTCAAAAACCATGATATCTGACTCTGAATACAGAGCTCGCGCAACAGAGACTCGCTGCTTCTGCCCGCCGCTCAACATGATGCCATTGGTGCCAATTTTGGTATCGTGTCCATCTGGGAGGAGAGCGACATCTGTGCTTAGCAGAGTCGCATCGATAATTTCGTCGTACTTTTTCTGGTCAAACTCGCAGTGGCCAATTATGTTTTCTTTGAACGACGCGTTGTAGAGAAACGGCGTCTGTTCGCAGTATCCAATCTGAGACTGTGGGAAGAATACGGTCACCGTTCCTGAAGATACAGGGACTTCTCCAAGTAGCACCTTGCAAAACGTCGACTTTCCAGAGGCGACTTGACCGATGACCAAGGTGAGCTGATTAGCTGGGATGGATGTGTTGATTTGGTTCAGTGTCATCTTCTCCCCGCCCCATCCAAAGCTGCCGTTATCAATTGTGAATGCTGAGGGTGCAACACTTCCTTCAGCCGAGCCGCCCTTCTCGGGGTCTGACTCTGGGGAAGATGCATCATATTTCTTCCTAAAATCGATTCGTGGCTCATCTGCAAGAAACTTTTGAATTCGTTGAGTGCAGGTCACCGCCGCAAAGATTGACGGGAGGCTTTGGAACACGAAAACGAGCGGAGCGGTAAGAAGAGTAATGTATGACAGTGACGTGAATAGCGTTTCCACTTGAAGAGTCTCCGAGGTGACAGCGAATGTAATGACGGGCGAGAGGCAGATCGGCGAGAAGCCCAAAGCTGCAGCGAGAATCACCAGCCATCGGAATTGGTTGCCCATCTTGATCTCACCAACACGCAGACTCTGTATTAGCTCGGCCACTGGGCCAGTGACACCCGAGATCTTGTACAACTTCATGTTGGAGATGGCATTCGAGGTTAGCCCGACTCGGTTTTGAATCTTGGCCATCCACTCGCCCTGCTTCTTGCCGACAAATGTCAATACCCATCCCAGAACACCAGCACAGGCAAATATGATGATGATCGGCGACACGAAGGCGGTCCCGAGTTGCTTCTCCAGCAGCCAGCATCCGATCCCTACTTCAGCTGCGCCAGCCCACATCTCGTGGATAGTGGACGCCCCCTTGAGGACCCGTTCAATGTCGGTGCTCATGAGGGTCACCGCGGCAGAGTCATCCGCAGCAGTCAATTTTGTCTGCGTAGTTTTTCGGTAGATTGCAGCTGCAAAACATCCCCTAATCATGTAGGTCGCCTTTTGGTTGTAATAGGTGTACCAGGCGGACGAGAGTGCAATGCCGACGTATATGAGAAAGCTAGCGGCGATGAGTCCATAGCCAAGCTTTTCGGTATCCGGACCATGAGGAGTCTGCAAGTACACAAGTATGGAATTGATGAAGAATGGCTGGCAGAACTTGAAGCCAATAAGTGCGATTCGAGGGGCGATGGGGGCGAGAAACGGGCCGGCCAGCGCCCTACACAAGTCTTTGCACAGGCCGAACTTGGGTTCGTTTCGATATTGGTGAATCCGAAGTTTGGGGGCGAGCTTTTCGTAAAGCTTTTTGGACGACATCCCCTCATCTAGGGGAAAAAGGTCATCAATGTTCAAGACATCTCGATATCCGCGCAGGAATAACCTGTTCAGCCAGTAGTACACGCCGAGGCTGAAGACACTGCTCGACTCCTCCGGGCTGTGCTCGGCAGCGTTCCAGTGAATCCACTTTGTCTTGGGGATGGCCTCGAGACACAAGATGATTACTTTTACCGCGATTGACGAGGTGAAGAGGCGCGCTAGGATGGTCTGATGCCAACCCGCTATGATGAGCCATGCAGTCCGGGCTTGTACAATGTCGAAAATCAACGTCAGCAGAATGTAGATGTTGAGCAGTGTTGACGGTCTCCGGGCCCTTGAATGTTCTAGAGAGGAAAGGGCTATAGTGGATAGGGACGCAGCAAACACTAGAGCAGCCCCAGCGACTGAGAGGCCGTGTACCACACCAGGTGCTCCCGTGATGAAGAGGGTCAGTAGGGTAAGTTGAATGATGGAATAGACCGCAATTGTGCCCTAAAAGGAAGATTACTATGTTAGTCCATTTCCACTTACCCCTCAACCTTAGATAGTCAGACACTCACCAGCTTCAGATATTGGAGGACTCGGCCGTTAACAATGCGGGACCTTTGGGACAACACAGCCACACGAGCAACAGCCGCGGCGACAAACACAGAGGCCGGAATGATAGAAAAGAAGATGCGCTCAAACTTCTGCGTAAAGTCAAAGTCGCCACGGCATCCTTGGACGCCTGGTCCAAAGGAGCCGTCGTTGATGCAGAGCATAGAACTCATGGCGGTTAGGAGGATGAGGCAACTCTTCGTTGCGGGACACAAGGACTGACGCCTCGGAAGTTTGACTCTTTATTCTACCCGGTTCAAAAATGCATTACGACGAATGGTGGTGGTCGCGTAGGCCGTGACGCGGTTGAGCTCCGTCAAGCGTCGTCACGTTAACTCATATGATTACGCAAACCAGTTGCTGGATACTAACTAGTTATGTAGGTTGCAGGCAGCCACCGAGTCTGTCGACATTAAACTTGCATGCCCAAAACGAAGATCTTGGGAATAGCAATAGCCAGGTACATCGAGTCTCCTCTGGTGCGGCATTAGTCCAAGGTCTTCCTTTAGCATTGTTGCCAATGCTGACCATGTCTAAAGAGGCAGGTCATCGAGATCCATGCAGGCGAGCTTGCGGAGCGTGAAGAGACGCTTACATCAGGTGATGTGCATTTCAACTCCTTCCACCAATGAAACAAAAGCATTCGGGAAAGCTTTCGTCCGATAGCGATAGCAAAGAAGTCTCCCATTGGATATTTGGGACGTTTCTCGAACGCCTTACTTCGTCATCACCACGACTCAACTGGGGAGTCTCCAAAATTGCCGTTTTCGGCAATAGGATACTTAGAGATACATATTCCTAAAGCCTCGTGATCAACCTCCATATGATATGATCTTTCAATCACTTGACCGCAATGCAGGAAATTTGAATGCACCCTTCAGGCGAGGGGTGTGGTGTTTAGATATTTTCCAAGCGAGGCTGGCCACAACTCCCGCGAAGAGCAACAAAGATCAAGCAGGGTTATTAAAGTAGTGGTGTATGGTTAATCCATCAGGGTCTTAAGATATTATCAAATATCGTATTGATACCGTAGCGATTCAAGTTGTCACACGTTGGATGATCAGGGTTTACTTCAAGTGAAGTTTATGCTTAACTTGAGACCACCTTAGTGCCGTACCTGATTTCACAGCGCCCTGAGTCAGGCTGCATCAATACATGGGCATCTCCAGTCGCCAGATATCACAAGGGATGCAAAAAAAAACACGTAAAACACTCTCCTTAGCATCGCTCCCTGGTTAACTACCAAGTATGCCGCTAATTGACCCCGAGGCCGTCCCGATATAATTGACCATTGCAAACAAAGTACTTCCATAGTTACCAAGCGCCAGTTCCCCAACCATTTTCTATCTTGAGCCAGGTATATGCTGTCATAATTCATCATGAATATTGTGGTATCGTCACAAAAGGCCGTAACACGGCCTTTGTCGCATTTGAAAGGCCCCTTGGGTGAGGGGCAGATTGCCGCCATCATGTGGTGGCATAGCAGTGCGATTCTGCTCATCTCCAGACTTCTCATGGAGATCGAGTTTCCGCTTTTTGAGCCATACACATCCACTCCGATCTACTTCAATGGCTTATGTGCGTAGAGGCTGTGAAACGGAAAGTAGGAGTGGAATTTTGGTAGGCCATTGACCTCTTCGCTGAGGGCCTTGCGAACGTCGACGAGGAACATTTCGATTTGGAGGCTTGTCCACTTCAAGCCGTCGCGGAATGGTCTTCGGGACAAGCCAATAAGTCCCCACATGATGACATCTCGCAAGACATGACCACATTCCTGCAGCCGGGTTTTCTTGGCCCAGGGTCCAATAGGGCATTTGAGGTTGGTTTGAGCGACGCCTCGGAAACCTGCGGCAATGAGCTCGTCTTCGACATTACGAATGCCGAGAAGATCGGTGCCCAGGGCTGCCATGCCTTCTTTCAGGTAGCGCAAAAAGTCCCGGACAGCGTATGGACCATCGCAAGACGTATCGTCGCAGGCCGCAATGTATTGGAACTCCTGGATTTCGACGTAACCCCCAGGTTTTAGATGTCTGTGCAAAGGTTAGCTGGTTGAACTAGGCCAATCGACTCGGGCGGGCGGGCGAGCGTACTTGTATATTCGTTCCCACAATTGGGGTCGGTCCCTTATGGAATGGATGGTATGGCGGATATGAATATAATCGAATTTTTCATCAGGATATGTCCAGCCTGCTTCGTGCTCGATGTCATCTACGACAAACAAGACATTCTCGGGAACCCAATCGGGTTGAATTGGCGACAGATCCATGCCGTGAAATTCGCAATTGGGGTAATCATCAGCCACTGCATGTCATGTCAGTCAAGATGAAAATACAACGAGCTACAGTTGACGACCAAGACTTGGTAGATAACAGAGCTTGCACATGTATGTAAGAATTGACTTACGATCGATACACCATTTTCCAGTTCCAGTGCCTGTAACAAATCATGTCAGTCTCAGTGTTAAAACACAGCCACTCTATCTCTTTCCACTTGAAACCTGGGTTCGACAGCGAGTCGGAGAGTGACTGAGGTAAAGCCGTGGCAAAGGTTCTTGATTGACCGCAGCTGTGCCATCCAGATGCCATTGGCCAAACTCATCCAAAGCTGACTCAGACAGGGAAGTTTGGTGAAGACCTACCCAAATCAAGCACCATGGCTGAAGTTTCAAGCCGTTCATGAATGGGTGCAAAGAATGATTCGCCGTCGCACAAGTAGATTGAGAGGTTGTGCTTCAGGTCGTCTCGGTATTGCTCGGTTTCGTCGTTGGGGAATAAATATTTGCCGGCGTGATAAGCGTGGTAGCGGAGGCCGCCATCGACGATGTGCTGGCGGATGCTCTCGGTCAGGCTGCGGGTGTCATCGAGGTCGTTGCAGTCGTACTCGCCGCGTTCGATACTCTGGATGACGGCGGCTTCTTGGCCGCTACCGACGGCAATTGCAGACGAGGATGAGGCAGGGGACGGGGGACCGAAGCGCCCAGCGGTGGATTTCTCTCCGGAGGATTTCCCTTCGGAGGGATCGACATCGTCAGAGGGCGACATGCTGGGGAGGCGGACGTGCTGGTCGGAGCGGGAACTGTCGAGGAGCGATTCGGGGCCAGGAGTTTGGCGTACGATGGAGTCAGGCGGGGAATTCATGGCGGTTTCACGGAGCTGGAGCCGTATAAACACCTCCCGGCGTAGCTGGGCCAAAGCCTCAAGGAGGATGAGAGTCGGAAGTCGGAGCTGAAAAGCGTTGGAATCGAACTATCGGGAGACCCAAGGCCAGTCAATGGCGCGCTAGACGCTGGTCGGAGGATTACAGAGACGGGCTGGCTGTGGCGTCGTTGGCTGTGTCTCGCGGGTTTGAGATTTGAGATTTGATATTGGGGATTGGGACGGGGAGTTGACGTCACGGTCCGAGGATCGGGCTAGACACTGTGTAGGGAGTTAGGAGCCGTCTATTCGTACGTGACGATGGTCATGTGTGTGTGTGTCTCTGCTTGTGTCTCTGCTTGTGTGTGCGTGGATGTTCTCAGTTGTGCATGCGCCGGCGCGGGGTGATGTGATGTGTGTCTGGGTGTGCATGGTGTGCATGTGTGTGTTTGGCGCCATGTCAACTTGCCAAGCGAGTTGATTCGGGGGAAAGGCTAGACCTAGATCCGAAAGGGACGGCGATGCTGAGACGATAAGGCAAAAGTCCGTAGCGGCAACAGCGGGATGTTGTATCTTGGTTGCCTTGCTTCTTGTGAAAGAAACGAGGGGAGGAGAGGGGCAGGGAAGACGACGGAGGGCTACAAACGGCTGCAGAGCGACGAAAGAGGAGGGAATAAAGAAGGTGAACAAAAAGCAAAGTCGGGCTTACCTGAGATAGGAATGCAGATCGGACAGAGAAGAAGGAGAAGAATGAAAAGAAGAAAATGGCCCCCGCGACAATTAATCAGTAGGTAGGTTATTGATTCAAGGGAATGAATGTACGATGTACGCTGTACGAGGGACGCACGTTTGTCATCGAGAGGAGAGGGAACGGAACGAGGCAATGATTGACGCCGGTGCCAGGGCCCTAAATATCTACCAAAACCACACGCGGCTCCAGCGCTCGCTCTACTAGTGCTCCTAGCCTCCTAGCCTCCTAGTGCTCCCAGGTGCTCCACGCACGACACCGACACACAGACGGAGGCGCACGAGCCGAGCCAGGCCCAGGGCGGGAACCATCTTGGTTGGGAGTTAGGCCTGATGCGGGCGGGTCATTTTTTTCTTTCTCTCTCGAAGGCTTAGGTTAGGTCCGGGGGGTGGATCTCGCCGAACTTGGACTGTACTCCTCATCAGAGTGAGTGAGTGCTTTGTCCTAGTCCTACGTTTCTACGCGCGTATAGTAACGGTTGGAGAGGGTCCATATCCTGGCTGGCCAGATGCACCGAGACGGGCATGGCACCCTGGCTGCTTCGATCCCAGGATTCAGGATTCCATTCGGCGTAGTATGGAGCAGATCCAAGGATAGTGTACGGAGTACGGAGCAGATAGATAACCCTTAGGGCGTCACTACTGTACATCTCTCCTCATCCAAGCCCGGTGGCTGACGAGAGCAACTAATCGTTATCACCTACCAGGCTCCCGGGTTCTGCCAGCTGAGGCAATAAACCAAACCCCCGCTCACTCGCACCCAACAACCAAGCCCTTGGCGGCTGTGCGTTTGCGGGTATGCCATGTACATTACCTGCTCCTCGGACAGTTGGCGCCCACCACCATGGGTCGCCTACAGTAGTGTGCGTTGCTTCCCGTCCGTCGCTGACCAGTGCGTGATGGCAGTGGGCCAGACGTGCCTCGGTTCCGCACCGCACGGGGACGTCAGGGATGGTGCAGCGGAGGTTGCAGGGGCTGCAGGGGATGGTATAGGGGGACTGTCCACTGAGCGAGGCCGCTGTGCTGTGTGCTCTCTCCACCAGCCTGATGCTGAAAACGAGGCTACGTTTGTTGGCATCACGACCGCCTCTCAGAACAGGCGAGACGAGCACAGCACAGCACAGCACAGCACCCGGTGGGCATCGAGCACACCCCCATCCTCCCAAGAAAACCACCGTCGACTTGCCACAGTGCGGGGGATCAAGCGAAGAGATTTCACAGCAACTAGCCACGCAAGCGAGCCACCGGTTGAACCGCATTAACCAGTTGGTGTAGCCGCCATCTCAACCACACGGGGCGCGATCCTTGGATCTCCGTACAGCATGCTGACATCGAGTTTGTAGAGAAGTCGTCTCTGTGTGGATGCTTTTGTCGAGCAACGTCACGCCCCCGTCTGCATTCGTGGTAGAGCGCTCGTCACAACCCTGCTAGAACCAGCGCCACGGGTCGTCGACGCACACTGCCCGAAAGCCAACCGCCCCAGAAACGCGCTGTCGGGTCCCTTCTGCGCCGCGGCCTCCGACTCGATGCCGTCCGGTTTCACGTGCTCCTCTAGTTCCAACTCTTGCTGCCCTTGACGGTGAAGGACTCCGCCATCGACCCAATCTCTGTTGAGTTGTCGTCCACGTAGCCCGTCTCCAGTGGACAGCCAGACACACCTGTTCATCGCCTTCCGAGAAACCTGCAGCAGACGGGCGCCAAAAACCCGACAAACACCGCCCGCACGGTGCCACACAACCCAAACGGCGCAGTCGTACCGGCACAAGGGAACGCCAAGCCTGGTGCAGCGAATATGAGGTGATGCGCTGGCAGATGGACCCGCCCACGCGGGACCAGAACGGGACGACCCTCCCCCTCCCCCTCCCGGGGGCGACCCCATCCCTCTGGAGCCCTGGATGACCAGACGGGGATAAGAAGATGGAATACCGATGCGGCGGGTGACGAAGGGTGAACTTCGGGGACGTGGGAAATGGTTGGTCCAGCGTTACATCGGGGTTGGGCTGTTGAGAGGGAGAGAGAAGCAGATGGTTCGGATCATGGCAACTACGGAGTGCTGTCCAGACTGGCTCTATCCAGATGCCAAGCCTGTCTAGGCTCTCAGACTAAAAGTCGCCAAAAAGTCACCGCCAGAAATAACCGCAGCGCCTAGTTTCCGATCCATGCCGCTTCTCCTCCTCGTTCTTATTCCGCCCTCTCCTCCCCATGCCGCAGTGGCCGTAGTCCCGATATGACCTGACGCGAGAGACATGAGTGGCTCTCAGCGCCCCCGCCGGACCTGCAGACTTTTAGATGAGACAGGCCGACAGAACACGCACCATGCAGCGCGCCGAGTCAGTGCAAAAGTGCGTGTAAGGTTGGGAAATCCCAGGCGGCTGGTTCGGAGAGGTGGGCGCCGCCAGACTCCTCGCCCCGGGTGGAGTGCCGTTCCCGCGGCCCCGGGATGGCGGCACCCGGATTCTAGGGCATAGGGCGGACAAGGTCCAAGATGAGGGACGCACTGCCTTTGCATTCCAGGGCTTTTTGAAACTCGGCAGTGAAGTGGCAGCATACGGGATTTGTCTTCTCACTCGTCCTCATAACCACATCGGTGATCCGCAGTCACGCCTCATGTATCCATCTATATGACTTCATCGTGCTGCCGCTTGACACGATTACCCACGGCCCATCACACGACCACCTTCACGCCCAATCCCACATAAAACTCTGACTGTGCTCTACCTGTCTCTCTCCACCTCTTCCCCATAAACCAGACACTCTCATCGTGTCCTTTCCAAACCGGGACCCCGTTTCCCGGTTCCAGGGCCGATCTCCCGTCCCCGAACCTGTGGAATTCCGCCGGGGCGGTCAGACCAAACTAGGGCACGCATTAAAACGCCAGCCTTTTTTCGCTGTCCTCCGCACAGTCACAGTGACGGTGTAAGACAGAAGAGCCCAACCAACCGGATCTCCCAGCCCAGGGTTCAACAACTGACTGCCGGCGATGAGTTGGACCTGCTAAGACCCGGCCTTGTGGGTCGCTTGAGAGGGACCCAGCGACTCTCCCGTGTTTTAGCTCCAGCCATGCAGTACCGGTATTGAGGTCACGTTAGCTTAGTGAGTTGGTGGCTTGCCCGGCCTCATAATAAGGCTTGTCCAAAATGTCGGTGATGATGATGCCAAACAGTCGGTCGGTCACAGCAAAGCGGTCCAGCATGGACCGTGAAATGATCCCGGCCGTCTTGTGGCTTTTTCTCTCGTTGGATTTTGCTTCTCCTGGCAATCGCCACTGCTCATCCTTACAATTCCTGCATTCATGACTCGCTCGCAATGAATGCGCCGCGCCCGGGTTTGTGCATTGCCGCCCGCCTTATCCCTGTGCCGCATATCTGTTACCCACCTCTTGTCACCGGGCGGTGTTTCTTTGTCAAAGAACTGTTGATGGTTCAAGTATTTTCTTACGTCAAGCCTCCGCTGAATGAGTCTTCACAAAGATCGCCCACTAACCGAATCATGCCTCGATCCAAGCTACCGCCATTCGGCTGGATATCTCCGATGCCCAAGGGCAACATTCAACCTGTGGCACCATCAGTCCGTTCTCGAATCCTTGCCAAGCGTTTGTGTTAGGTCCCTTTCAATCTCTTCAAGCCACGGCCCGCACAATCGGGTTTCTCGGCTCGCCACAGCACATCCCTTGCTTCTCGAACGAGTCGGGACGCCACACAAAAGAACCTGCTCCAGCTCAAGTGTGAATGGAGACTCATTTCGATTCATGCAGCCAAGTGTTTCGGAGGGTTGACGCCATGAGAAGTCGCGGTCTGGACCAGCCTGCCTCAACCAACATCACAAAAGATGACTTCGTTTCAGGGCCGCTGCAAATGACATGCATCAAGCCGAGAGTCTGGACCTTGGTCCATCAGCCACCATTGTGCCTCATCTAGTTACCGCCTGCGGTGGCTGTTGCCTTCCCCAACCGCTCTATCACCGGTCTGGATTGGTCTCGTCCCTCCCAATCCTACCTCGTGTCTGTAATTGATCTGCCGTAGTTTTGCTTGCATTGCCAGCCTCCGCGCCAAATCGTGACCCTATTTCTGTTGGGTGCTTGCCACAGTCCCTCTGTGGCTTGCATGATTTCTTTGTTGGTTTGCGGCGCAGCAAAAAACGATCGCTAACAGCGGCATTTGGGTCACGATGCATATTCGCTTGATCCAAAGAGACTGGTCTAGACCATGCAATGTCTGTGTCGAAATGATCAACCAACAGCACAATGCCCTGGATTCAGTGCGTAAGCCCGCGCCTTCGAATGCAGCGCAAGGGCGATTAGTATGAATGAACAAGGCCAGATTGATCGACCATTGCATGGCACCTCAAGAGCCTTGCTGCATGTTCTACTCAACTGAGTGCAACCAGAGTCGCGCAATTACTGGGGTTCTTGCAGATGAGGGGTAGTGTGGTATAATATCAACCCACACTGGCCTTCTGGCATGTCCACGCTCCCCAGCTGTTTGTCAGAGTTGAAAATCCCGGGATGATGGATGAGCTCTGGGACTCAAAATGATGTATCACAAAACTAAGGAGTGCCCCATGCTTCTTCCGTACATAAACAAGGGTCCTAGTCTACTCTTTGGGGGCCTTCTCCACGAAGACTTATCCAGAACGTCCGAGCGTGTCTTGGCCTATGTCAGAATTGCCGAGGATCATCGGGAACCTGGGTACGTGAAGTAGGGGTTGTCAGCTTTTCGGGCCTTTAAGTCCACTTTGAGCGCATGCTGCGGCAAATAGGAGGTCAGAGAGATCCGTACAGAAATGTCAGTCAGCGTACATATGCGAGCCTGAACCTTCAGAGTGATCTGAAACAGACCCAAGTGAAGTCTAGAGTTTAATTGATTGCGCCTGTCATCGATCGTAGGCAAGTAATTGACAGGGGAATGTCAGGTGTCGATCTCGTTTCTAGTTCGCGTCTAGTTAATTGGAGTTGGCATGTCACTTCAGTTATGTCTCGCACTGGAATTCAAGTTCGGGAAACCAATTTTATTCCATTACTTCCTAGTCTAATCTGTGTTAACCACCTTCAAAGGTGACATCACCAATCCATCACCAGTTGTGGCCGTGTACCTAACCTGGCTGGCAAGAAACGAATCCATCCACGCTGTTGCTCCTGCTAAAGATGTGTCTTCTCGAGTAAGGATTTACATCATGAAGACGGCACCAGCAATGAGAGCAGCGAGACCGGAAGCGGCCTTCTTGCCAGAGCTAGAGACGACAACGTAGGGGGTGTCGCTGGGGGAAGTACCAGGAACGCCAGAGCCGCTGGGAACGGCGGGAGCAGTAGCACCGCCGCCGGGAGCGCCAGGAGCAGTGTGACCAGCGCCGGGGGCTCCAGGAGCTCCAGGGGCACCGGGGGCACCGGGGGCTCCAGGAGCAGCGGGAGAGCCAGGAGAACCGGGAGAGCCAGGAGCGCCGGGAGAGCCAGGAGAGCCGGGGGCAGCGGGAGAGTTGGGAACGTTAGGAACGTAGACAACCTTGCCGGGAGTAAGGACGTTGGGCTGGGGAGTAGGGCAGCCGGGACCGGTGCAAGGGGGTTCGACAGTGCAGTGCTCGCCATCGCAGGTCTCCTTCTGCCAGCACTTGTCGGTGCAAGTCTCGTGGCAGCAGTCACCGTTGGTGCAGACGAGGTTCTTGCCCACAGTGACCTTCTCAACAGTGCAGCTATCGCCCTGGCAGGTGATCTTGCGGTCACAGTTACCGGAGCTGTAGTGGCAGTTGTCACCCTCGCAGATAACCAGCTGGTTCCAGTCATCGCCGGAGCACTCCTCAGGGCAGCAGCTTCCATCGCGGCAGACAACCTGGTAGCGGGTGCACACGGGGCAGTGGAACTCAGGGGCGCAGTAGTCACCATAGCAGATGATAGTGACTCCAGTGGGGACGGTGACGAGAGTGTTGGTCAGGACAGTGGTGACGACCTCGCCATCGCTCTGAGTGAGCGTAGCAGTGACGACCTCAGTGGTGAGCTCACCGTTGGCAGTTGTGGTGACAAGAGCAGTGTTATCAACAGTAGCGGTGTTCACAGCAGTTGCGGTGTTGCCAACAGTGACGGTGTCAGTGTTGTCACTAGAATCAGTGCTGATATAGACCGAGAGGAGGACCGAAGCAGCAACGCTCTGGCGACGGAGCATGCGAGCAATGCTGCGATCACCACCGCAGGACTCGGTTTCATCGCCAGGGCAACTGATATCGCACTGGTCGTCAGGGACCTTGGTAGTGGTATCAGGATCAAGGGCTGAGCCACAGTAACAGTTCCTATTTGCCTGATTAGCTGGTTTCAATGACATGGTGGATATGACTACTCACTCATCGTAGACACCAAAGAAGCGGGTATCACACTGGGCAGCGCAGAACTCGGCGGTGTTGCTCGGGGAGGTTGAGACCAGCTCGAAGCCGGGGAAGCCATCCGTGGAGAAGATGCAGCCGAAGTAGACGAAGCCATCCAGGCCGGTGGCGGGGCTGTTGCCAGGGGCGTTGGTGCCGCTGGCAGAAGGCGTGCTATCAGTGCCAGTACCGGAAGGGCCTGAAGTACCAGTGCCGGTAGGGCCTGAAGTATCAGTACTAAAGTCGGTAGAGCCAGTGCCATCGGTAGGGAGCAAGGTGCTGGAGGAAGACGGGATGGGAGTGGCGATGGGGGTGTTGTTCAGCATCTGGGCAGCGGCCAGGTTGGCCATGGCCACAGCGGCGATGGAAGAGAAAAGCATCTTGAAGGTGGTACTAGTTGAACGAGTGACTAGGAGTAAAAGACTGAGGGAGCTCTCGGAGAGGTAAGCGAGTGAAGTCGAGGCTGTTGTTGCTGTGAGTGATGAAGAAAGGAGATGTGGGTTTGAGGGGTCCAAGGACTTCTTTTATACATCATGAGCCCTCCCTTTGATGCGCCTCCGTCCACAACAGTCGGTAGGGCTCCCTCAGCCCAGCCGGAAGTCCGGAGCCCGCAACGAATGCACTGAGAACCAACCTCAGAGGCCAGCGTGCTAGTCTCGCGAGGAGGTTGAGACACGTCCACACTCCCATGGACGGCTAAGAATGCATCCTGTTGGGAGTTGGCCAATTTGCCCCCGCCGTGTCTCACAACGCCGTCTGGGCGGCCTACCACCTCGGACGCCCTGAGGAATTCCCCCTCGCACACGCCTTGCCTATGCCTTGCCTTCTAAGATTGCGCTGGATTCCTGGAAAGCGATTCCCTGCCGCTAGGGAATCGAGACGATGCAGGGCAAGAGTTGGAGCACCTCCAGACCGTCGGAACGCGACGAGCCGGTTCCCTGAGACTCCTTGCTGCAGCCCTGTCGTCGAATTCGGAGCATCCCTCAACTTGAGGCCACCCACTTAGTCAATAGTTTGACTTGCTCAGCATTGGCTTCGTGTCGTGCTCGGCGATCTAATCGGCCCATCGCCACACCGACATATCGGCTCATCGGTTAGAATCTTGAAGCTCTGGAGTCATTGCTCCGAGCAAGTTCTTCGGTCTCCCTCAACACTACCAACTCGTCTCAGAGACAACCCCACACAGGATCAGGGCTAACCAGCCTAGTCTTCGGTTCTTGCGAGTGGCATGCGCCTTTGGCGCTTCCAAAAGGTGACAGCCCAAGGAGGCGCTCCTAGTGTGTTGAGCCGCCCTTGTAAAGCCTCATTGTCGCGTTCCTGAACAAACGTGTCCATGTATCATCCACTTGGACGTCTTCATGTCAGTGTATACCATCATACGGACAATATCAACGGAACCAACGCTTCGCAGCGTTGACCGCTCATCTGTAGCCAAGACCGGGAATGGGGATTTATGTAGTCCGTCTCAGACAACAGTACTTTTGTGTTGAGCCCACGAGGTCTATGCAGACAAACAAGACACGGTCAGGAAACCAGCATGATGACATGGCTCTTCTGCAGGGCGAAGGCCCAGGCGCACGCGATGAGATACAGTGCGGGTGGATCGTATGATACTTGACAGCCTCGGGCAACTCTCCGATTAGCCTTCGTCATGCCCACATGGCTGAAACAGAATATCTGGGGAATAGTGGTTTGCGGGCTTTTGATAGGGCTGGAGGCTGGTAATAAGAAGGGGGGGAGACGAGAGGCGTTGAGAGGAGATGTGTTTGTCTTTCTAAAGTGAGACAGATTTGCTAATCAAAATAGACCGCCCAGCCCTCGGCCCCGGGGGGGCTCGTATTGTCCGTAGAGTATAGGGTAGCCTGGACATCAATCCCGTTACGACTCTGTGCTCGTTTGTTGTGGTTGTCTGTGAGTAGGGGTTAATAATAGAAGTATCTTGGAGTCTAGTGCTTCTTGGGCTTTAGTAGTACTGAACATTCGCATTTTCGGAGGTGTTGTTGTCGCGTTGTAGCGTGACTATTGTATCTTCTTCAAATGCAAGCAAATGTCCCCATTGGGCTGTTACTAGCTACATTTGTCGGTGTAATAGATGGTACACAATCATGTAGCACACTGGCATTGTCTATTCATATTAGTAAAACAGTTGACCTTCACAATCTATACTTCGTTACACTATGCAACACGTATTGAGCTCATGGGTCAACACGATTACTAGCAACATCCCTATGAACCAGATCCTCACGATACGACAGAGCTACTACCAGGAAACCATATACAAAGAGACCTTACGCATGTGCAATCATCTGAGCCTAAGAATTTCAGTGAACTGGACCATGAGTTTGTTAATTCTTACATATGTAGAATCTGTTCTACACTACGTTACCTCTACTCTTGCAGTTGCAAAAAATTCTCTCTATCCAGGTACTCCGACCAAAAAGATTCTAATTCCAGTGAAACATATCACCATTGCCCAGGTTACCATGCACCGCATACAATGCGATCAGCAGCCCCCAGTGGCTGATCTAAAATGTATCTCAGCCCGATTGCCATCGAGCAAGCCGCCCTGGAGCATTCACCGACGTTTGCTTGTTTTTTTCCGTCCCTAGCGATGAGTATGGCGGTAAACAAGACGCACTCTCGGCCGTTCGAGACAGGCGAAGGGATCCAACGCCAAAGCCCCTAAATCGGGGGAGGCTGAAACACTCAAACCATCGCGTGGAACTCGACGCGGGAGTAATTCCTCGAGGGCTGGAATGTGTTATGATGCTCCGCAATGGCCCACCTTGTCCCGAAGGTAAACAGAGTCGTGACTCACCACTCGATGCCTCTCCACATGTCTCCCAGCGCCACCTCGTTTAGATAATTTAGTGAGAATCGCTCTGATGGTTTGATGGGACGAATTCCATCGTCGCGTTCTGAGAGAAACCACAGCCATTTTTCACTTTCGCCATTCCATCTCACATGTCAGAATGGCCGAGCCAGCCGTGTTATGTCGTCTGATCAGATTATTTCCAAACAAAAAACAAGTTTCGCCTTGTCTCACCTCAGGCGCCTCCGAAGGGCAGGCAATCACTAGTGTCATCTCCAGTCCCTTAATTGGGACAGGACATGGAGGCAAGGGAGGGATAAGCCAATTGACCATCCGAACAAGTTATTCCTGCATGGTAAGTCTGCCGGTTTGCCTTGAGCTGAGCTGCTTGGAATGCTGATCAGCTAGCCTTCTGCGCGTCTCTCGGATCTACTCGCCGTCTGAGACAACACTACTCACTGGGGTTTTCTACTAGCGAGATCGTATCGGCTATTCAACCGAAGACCTACTCTCCACTGGAGTACAGGACATCGCTTAAAACCAGCAAAAGCGGGAATTCAACAGATTGGTAGTCGGTGGGTATCATTCTTCTACATTCGAGCTAGAAACCAGAATCGGCGTTGATATACATTGACCGGCATTCTTAGTCTATACAAGGTTAGTTTACAAAGGTTTGAGACACGATTTCTCGTATAGCACGACTGACGATCGTTGTGTCCTCCGAGATCAGGCGACACCCACAATATCAGTGCCAGTCAATCAGCTTTGACAATTCTTAGCCTCTGGATCCTGGACATGGCGTAAAACGTGAGGAGACTTGTCTAGAGCTCGCATTAAGCTTCGATATAGAGGTGTTTGAATGTCCCTCGGACTATCGAGTCTCCGCACTGACGACCTCGATGACGATCCCAAAGATATTTAATACGAGTTCAAGCCCCTGTTCGTCCCCTCATTCTCGTCACTTTCTATTTTACCAAAGCAATTTACAAAACTACCCTATGACACCTGGAAGAAGCAAAATGGGCTTATTTTAATTGGTCAGCATTCAAGGTCGACGTCTTCTTCAGCTCATGACATCCCCGGTTCCAGTACAACCCTTCAAAGACTCCGAGCATTGTTCCAAGCAAGTAGCATAGATGGGAGGTGATTGAGTTGCGCATCATCGCAATGTGAATGAATGGAATGAGGGCGAGGCAGTAGCATTGAGCTCAATGCAACAACTCCGCAATCTGACAATTCCCTCGGTAAAGAAGACATCAATTATCCCCGCACCTGGGCCTGTGGAACGACTTGGTTGGAGTGGGGGTAACGGCCACAGTTCTCAGTTATCATCAGGCCTGTCCGCATCCTTTGGAACATAAAAAGCGCCAGGGTGTCGTGGACAAAAAAGCCCTAGAAACGCTTCGTGGAGCTCTCCTCTCTCGTACTTCCAGTTGAACGTCGGCTCGCAGCCACGATGCTCAACAGCCGTGCTTCACAGCCGACGATCTGCAGGTGGGGGAGGGGCAGGGGCGTCTTCGATGGAGACTAATTCACGCGGCAGATTCGTCATTGGAGCAGCCGTTTTCTCGGCGGTTCTTAGCTCCGGGGAAGCTTGTCAACTTATGCGACAGTTGCCTTGGGACGGATATTTTCGACTTGAATTGAGGGGCTGTTAATCATGAGGTTTTGTGATCGAGCTCGCGACGATCCACAGATAAGTCAGGGATAATCGATTTAAACCGCTCTGCCCCCCTCTCCCCGCTCCTGTCAGTTACAACCAGGTAGCGAAGAGAGAGAATAACAGAAATCATGGGTGTCACCAAATTGCCGTTCCACGCCGACCACATCGGCTCGCTTATCCGCCCCGAGGCTCTCGCGCAGACTCAGGAGCAGGCCGATGCCGGGCAAGTCTCGCCCGAGCAGCTCCTCGCGGCGCAAAAGGCCGCCATTGCCGACATTGTCAAGAAGCAGCAGGACCATGGCGTGCGCGCGCTGTCGTCCGGCGAGTTCGACCGCAAGTACTACTTCTCGGGCTTCTTCGAGAAGCTCGAGGGCTTCAGGGAAGTGAGCCCCGTGCCGTGGGAGCTGGCTCGTCTCTCGGCGCCGCCCATTGCCGCGCTCAAGAAGGCCGGCAAGCAGTACCCCATGGCGGCCGTCTGCGAGGGCAAAATCAAGTACACCAAGAGCCCGTACCTGGACAACTGGAAGCTGCTGCGAGACTGCGTGCCCCGCGAGCAGTGGGCCGAGTGCAAGTTCACCATGCCGCCTCCATGCTACTTCCACCTGCGACTGGCGTCGGGCAAGTGCTACAGCGCCGAGGCCTATGCGAACGACGAGGAGTTCTTCGCCGACCTGGCCAAGGCCTACCAGCAGGAGCTGAAGACTCTCTATGACGAGGGCGTGCGCAACATCCAGATTGACGATCCCACCCTGGCCTACTTCTGCTCTGACGAGATGCTTGCCGCTCTCAAGAGCGAGGGCGTCGACCCGGACAAGTTGTTCGAGACGTATCTCAAGGCCCACAATGACTGCATTGCCGGCCGCCCCGAGGGTCTTCATGTCGGTCTTCACATCTGTAGAGGTAAGTGCTCAATACCGTCGTGATCGAACTTGTACTGACCCGTCGCAGGCAACTTCTCCAAGTCGATGCACTTCAGCGAGGGTTCTTACGAGAAGATTGCTGAGAAGTTCTTCACCACCCTCAACTACGACACCTTCTTCCTCGAGTACGACAACACGCGGTCCGGCGGCTTCGAGCCGCTCCGCTTCCTCCCCAAGCACAAGAACGTGGTCCTGGGCGTGGTCACCACCAAGGACCCGGAGCTGGAGGACGCCGCCGTCATCAAGAGCCGCGTGCTCGAGGCGGCCAAGATCATCGCCGACGGCCAGGGCCGCAGCGCTGAAGAGGCCATGCCGCAGATTGGCATCAGCCCCCAGTGCGGCTTCGCCAGTGTGGCCGTGGGTGCCGAGGGCATGACGGAAGAAAAGATGTTTGCCAAGCTGAAGCTTGTTGACGATGTTGCTCGGGATCTCTGGGCGTAAGGGAGATGAAATAAGGGAGATGAAATAAGGCGTACATAGAAATCTGGTGTTGGGTGAATGGAATGCTGCATTTCCAGCGCCCTGGTCGCGCCTGCCTCCGATTGTGTTTCTTGAGTCCCGATCCGATTCGCCGATCCCTCCGCCCACTACATCGATTGCGGCGAAAGGCCATGATTCACACAGCATCACCACTCACCTTATGGGATCTTTATTGCGTTAAAGGCACTGGCTGTTGGCCTGGCCTGTGTGTATTTTGTTTTATTTTATCTGCCCCTTCCGCTGACTCGATCGACACTTGTCATCAGTTCACCACTTCCTCTTCCCCAGGAAATAAGGCGCCACTCCTAGCCACACCGCAGAGGTGACCCTCAACGCACCACTCAAACGTCAAGTTTTGCCCTCCATCCGCAAACAAGATGCCAGCGCCAACACATCAACTTGACGACGACGACAACCTCGAAATGCCACCAACCAAGTCTGCCAAGGCCACTCATGAGACCGAAGTATCCCTCAAAGATCTCTTCAAGGTCCAGATCATTCTTCACCCAGTTGCACCGCTCGAAGGACTGTGGCAAGGCGAATGGGATCAGGACAACCAGTAAGTTGCGCAGATGTCCAGTATTTGATGCGTCATTCCAGCCACCAGGTCGATAACATCCCGCAGAGTAACCGTTGACCAAGTTACGCAATTCGACGACGCATTCGAGCCATTTCCTTGGCTTGAGCGGATCAACGGGCTGGTGCTCGCAAAGGAGGCTTGCCACGCCAATATGTGGAGTCCCAACTCTGGCTCTTGTTTGTCCAAGCTGATCCGAAGAGATTCGATCCAACATGAATTCTACAGCAGAATTCAAGAGCCCACTGTGGATACGGCAATGATGGGCCTTGAATTGTTTGATCAACATGGCCGACTGATCCCGGATTTCAGCAAGGGTGGCTCCAGAGAAGGTTCCGGGATTTGGAACCGCGAAGTCGACACTGGTGACATCCTTCTCATCGACGAGTTCCACATCAAGGACAATCACAACGGATTTGTGCTTGGAAACATCCTCTTTGACGCCATCATCGGCAAGACACGATCACGGAGCCGGAAGTTCCTTGTCATCGCCACGCCCACGGCGTTTGCCCGGGAGAGAGCCTCCGGTTCCCTCGAGTAGGACAAGGGTATCGCCATCCGCTTCTGGCGATCCGTCGGGTTCCGGAGAATCGGTTCCTCGGCTTGGTTTGCACTCGCTAGCGAGCCCAAACACGATTGTCACCTCCTGGCTGCCGCGGATGATTACGATCCACCTGCTCCACGAATCCCGCTCTGCCCTCCCGGCATAAATGAGTTATTCCGGATGATCGACACTTCAGAAGATGCCGTGTGTGTAACGAAGCTCAGGAAGATGTCGATCCGCCACCATCCGAACGAGGCTTGCTGGTATTCGACCAACGACAAGGGCGATACTCTCCTGCACGTCGCTTCTTACCGAGAGAAACGCCTATGCGTACAGTGGCTGATGATCAATCGTCCTTTCTTGGTCCATGTCCGCAATGACAAAGGGGAGGTGCCCATCTGGTCGATTGAGCTCTTGATTCGCAAGAAAAACGGTTTGTGTGACCGCATTGGCCTTCTTTACCCTTACTAACTGTGCTTAGGTTATCGTGAATGGGCTTAGGTCTCTCAGCGTGTAGACTAGTCCGTGGATGTGGCTTCTGCTCCTGCGCAAAGTAAACAAGTCTCTCCCAAGGGAGCAAACTGATAAGCTCATGTTTGTGGAAATGACACACGGGTTTGTTTGAACGATATGCGTAGATGCAAGTCCAATTCCAAGATTCCAAGAGTTTAACATCCATGATAGGCTGCAAGGAGTGGCTTTGGGGTGTTTGTTTACCCTGAGCATCAATGAATGGTTAAATCGCATCAACGAATACAGGAGACGCTCTGGGACAGTGTCATATCTTGCTACCCTTTTTCTTGATCCGCACCTGTAACCCACTCTATCGTATCAGTTATCCCTTTAGTCTCAAGGCTTTAGTCTCAAGGCTCTCTAGGCCCTCCCAGTAGCAAAGAGTTTGACGCATCCGAGATCTGCTGTCACCCGCCGCGGTTCGCCGCATTCGGAACTTGGCCACCTCAGCACCAAAATCAATTGTCTTACACCAAACATGGTGTTTGTCTCTACATCGCATATCTCCCCTCCCGCTTTATGCACAAAACTGTTTTCCACTGGAATTGTGGAGAGTGTTTTTTTCTTGGTGACTGAACCAGTCCCGGAATCTTGGTTCGCCCCAGGCAATCCTTGACCGCAAACAGACAAACTCTAGTTCTCCACGTCACACAATTCTATTCTTGCGGACACCGATCCTCAAACACTTCCCAAACCTTCACCATCAATACGACCGAAGAAAGAGCTGCTGGAGAAAGTCCGCTAGAGCGGGAAGTGTGAAATATGATGAACGCGCCACCACGTAGGAGGGGGATCGATTTCTGTCTTGTCCTTTAAAAAAGTCCAGAGACATTGTCATAATGGAGACCAGCAGATTAAACGTCGCCATCATCGGGGCCGGTATTGCTGGGCTTACGTGCGCCATCACCCTTTCTCGCTACGCAGGCGTTCATGTTACAATCCTTGAAAGAGCTCCATCCTTGGTCGCTGTACGTACCCCCCCATCCTTGAGCAGAACTATCGTCTTCTAGGAGGGATACTAATGATGGTCACGTATAATAGGCCGGTAACGGAATTCAAGTCCCCTGCAACGCATGCCATGTCCTTCGGAGCCTGGGCCTGTTAGACAAGCTCATCGCCAAGTCTAAGGGAGTAGCACTAGGCTCTCTCTCATTGGATTATGAAAATGGGCAAGTGTTGCTGAACAGGGACTTTACGCGGTACGAGGAGATTTACGGGGCACCATGGCTGTAAGTGTGATCCTTGAGATCTATATTTGCCAACGAGGTACTTATCTGTGTAGGTTCGTTCATCGGGCTGATTACATCGATGTCCTGCTCGAGGAGGCAGATAGACTGGGCATTCAGATCAGATTGGGATGTGAGGTCAAGGAAATGAACATAGGAGCTCCTTGGGTGACACTCTCAAACGACGAGATCGTGACGGCAGACGTCATCATTGGGTGTGATGGTATGTCTCCTTTAACTCCTCCTCAGGCCGTCATCCAACTCTCAATCAGGTATCAACTCGATCGTCCGCAAAGCTCTATACCCTACCATTCGACCCCAGCCAACCAATACATCGGCGTACCGTGCGCTACTCACTCGTTCTCAACTCTCATCATCCATCTTCACATCCATCACCACGTCCTCGAAATGCCACTTCTGGCTCGGTCCTCATGCGCATATAGTCCTTTACCCCATCCACGGCGGCGAGACATTCAACCTCGTGGTTATTATTGCAGACCATGGGCTTAACCACCGGTGCCAAAGTGGAAATATGCTGGAGCTGGTGAGGGAGCACTTGGCAGGCTGGAACCCTGTTGTCAGGGGGTTGCTACATGCTGTCCAAGGACTCACGAGTTTTCCGCTCTTCAGCGTGGAAGATTTGCCCTCGTTTGCAAGTGCGCGTGTAGCTCTCATGGGCGATGCCGCTCATCCAACTGTCCCGTATCTTGGACAGGGCGCAGCCATGGCCGTCGAAGATGCTCTTGTCCTCGGAACGCTACTTGGAAATCTCACACGGTTCTCATCGTCACTAAGCAGCGGGAGTCTCAAAGCCCGCATCCCGACAATTCTACGAACATACGATGCCATTCAGCGCCCACGCACAACCACCATCGTCGCCCAGTCGCGACACCACGGGCACTTCAACCACCTTGCTCGAGGGCCGGAGCAGCGCGCTCGGGACGCTGAATTCGCCGCGTTCGACACGGAGACGACGGTGAGCGAGTGCCCGTGGGTTGACTCGGCTTTCAACCGTGAGATGCTAGGGCGGGATGCAGAAGCAATTACGTCAGTCGAGTTTGGGAGGTTGGTGGCAGAGGGGTTGTTTGATCAGTGGGAAATTGGGGATGGGGATGTCATCTTTGGTGCACGTTTGTAGGAACGTCATCCAATGGCTTTTCAGTTGGGCGATAAAATCCAAAGCGAATGGTCTTGCTGTTGCATTGTTCTTTGTTTTCCTTTTCGGACAAACCCTTTCAATTCTGACGTGAAAAACAGAGACACAGAACAAAGGGATGGGGTGTCGGTAACCTACAGCAAGTCAATCACACAATCAGAGGAGAAGAGGAGGTAATATTCAGCATACCAAGCAAGTTCGTTTTATTTGCCGTATCAACCTATTCTAGAGTGTCACCCATTCTAGAGTATCACCCATTCTAGAGTATCGCCCTATCCAGAACCGCACTTCCTCACGACTTGTGAAAAAAAGTCCGCAGCGGGCTCGAAATCAATTTGCCCCGAGACCCAGAACTCTCTCCCAACTGAGTCCGTCCCGAGAGCTGTCGAACAAAGCTCATGGACTTGACCACCTTCTGGTCGCAGCCGTCGCGGTGACCAGCATGGCCGTACTTCTTCTTGAAGGAGATGGCATCGTTGACCACGTCTTGCACTTCCTTCACCACGGCGCGACGGAACTTGGGCGAGCACATCATGTCAACCCAGGCATGCTTCAGATCCAAAATGTTGGTGATTCCCTTGTTCGAGACACAGGCGGTGATTTCCTCGTCCATGAAGCTCATGGTTGTGAGGACGAGGCTCTCCGGCTCGGGCACCACGCCGAGCTGGCGCTGGAACTCCCGCGACACATGCGTCAGGAAGTCCTCCAAGCGCAGGAGGCGAGCGATATCCCGAACCCGGAACTCCCGGGTCTTAGGAATCTGGGGTTCTTCTCCCTGGGTCCCGAAGAGGCGTGCCCAAAGGCTGGTCTTGTTCTTGTACCGCTTCAGGCCGATGGCACATCCGCAGTACATCTTGGGACCCTTGCCGCAGGAATTGACGGCGGATCTGACAACGAACTCAAGTCTCTGTAGACGGCGTCTCAGCTCCTTGATGTTGCGGAGAGAGAGCTCTGGCGGGTAGCCAGGTCGGATATCGGCAATGAGCCGTCCAACCGTCACGTCGGCCATGAGATCGACGGCGTGCCCGATCTCTTGAATGTCGCTGGTGACGGGATTCGGCTGCATGCGCATCATTGTGTCCCAGAAGAACTGAAGCTGAATCCAGAGATTATCGTACTCGAGCCTGACTTCATCCTTCGGGCTCTGGTCTTTGAGTGCGGTGCGAAAAGCATTGCCGGGAAGGACGTAGGTTGGAACGATGTATCCTGCGATAGATGAACGATATCTACCGATCTCAAACAAGGATTGGTTCTCTTGAGTTCCGAAAAGACTTGAGCCGTCAGCAATTCTTTCATCCAGGCGAACCTGGGGGGGTCCAGCCGTGCGCTCAATCAAAGGGACTACTTCTCTATTTGGGATCTTGTCCAGCGCCGGTTGGAGGTCCTCAAAGGTTGGTGGCGGCGTCGACTTCGGGTGTCCGAGCAGCGAGTTAGAGGGCGAGATGACCTCCGTGAACTTGCTGTTGACCGAGGCTTTGCTATCAGCGGTATTAGTGCGAACGCCACGGGGGGGAATAGGAGGCGCGGGAGCTTCTCTGTCCGGGCATGCCAATGCCGCATCAGTGGGTTCCTTGGGTTTGGTTGTCTCGGTCGACATGGCGAAAGATGCTGGCAAATCCACAAAGACAGATTGTTGAAATTCTTAGTGGTGAATCTAGGAGTGATAGAAGAAGGTGTGGGATGGAAGGGGAAATCGGAGGGGTCTTGGGACATGGATTTAAACCCGACTACTGCTCATGTTCAGAGTATATTCGAGTGAACAGTATACATCTGTTAAACAACACATTGGAGGGTTTTCTCGTCGCCCTAGGTCTATGTTTGGTCAACACTCTTTTGAACCGCACTCCTCAATCTTATTCCGTGCATATGTACACCTGTCTCTGGACTGAAAATCTGGAACACGCCAACGTGCTTCTACAGTTACAACAACATAGAGAATTCGCTGTGAACAATGTTTGTCTACACCTACTTACAAACCGTGGAACACGGAAACGCCGGCCCCTTTGTCTGCGATTCCATTGTTCACACAAACCATCCCCACCAGCGTCAGTTCCAGAACATACATGTTTCTATAGCTTTAAAGGGCGACAAACACTCCCCCTAATCTAACCTCAGCTAACATATCTCCTTGCCTACTTTGTGAACCAAAAACTCCCAATCCTCAACTCCAACCAAATTACCAACTTTCATCATGGACGGTCCGACCTCACCCACGCCCCGGAGCAAGATGGCTCTGGCTCCTGCCAACACGCACTATCTTGGAGACTCGACGAGTCATCACACGCGCACCTTCAGAGACAACAAGAATTCGGGGCACAAGTTCAAGCCCTTGACTACCGTTCCCACCATCCCCGAGCCTCCCTTGACTACTCTTCCCATCCGCCCCGAGCTCCCCTTGCGCACAGGCGATCCTTTCGAACCGCAATCATTCGCGAGGTACTACGACCAACGACCCGTCAACCGCCGCAAGGGAGTGCCTCCGCGAATCATGACTTCTTCCAAGAAGCCATATGTGCCCGACCGGCGCATGCTGGAGCGCCTGGAGTGGACGCGCCAACAAAGGCGCATTCTAGCCCAAATCCGTGACGACACAACTCAATTCGGCGACTTGGACGCGCGGAGTCCGCCATACGAGGCACCTCGCTCCCCCATTGCAAAGGTGCAAGAGAAAACCTGGTCTGATCAACTTCGCGAGGACGTGTTCTTTGCTGCGCGGGCCGGCGCTATTGTCATCACCTTTTTCTTGACAATGGTGTGTGGTCTCGCGATTTTCGGGGCGTTCCTACAATATGGAATCGGTGTTCGACAAGACCGGTGAGAAGAGAGGGTTTCTTCTTTTGTCGTATCAGATTGCTACGGTTTTGAGGGAGTTTTGGAATAGTTATGTCATAGCAAGCATACAGAGTCGACTTGGTATCTAAAATCATCATGGAAAGAGGCTGATGCAATCGGTCTCATACATATGGAGAACACAATTAGTAGCATATTAAGAAGAAACATTGACAAATTAATTGGATATATGACACTCAGAACCAGCCCTTGTTATCCCATGCACTCATACAAGAGCCCGCCCACCAGTTCGCCCAACTCCAAAACGATTCATAATACATTAAAAGTGTGACCTCAGTCCTCCTTCTCTCGGTTCTCATCCTCATCCTCATCATCCTCAATGCTCCAATCTCTCCATCCCTCACCTCTCACCCAGCTCATACCCTTGCGCCAGTTGCCCTCGCGGATGGCCTGAGCATCACGCTCGTAGACAACACCCGTCACCATGAGGGCCAGCATAAAGACCCAGACGTCGCCGCCCTTCATGCTCTTCCACCAGCGTCGCTTAACGCCCACCTTCCATAGGCTGTCGACGCTTGCGCGTGCCGTGTACAGGAAGATACCGCGACCGTGTCGGCGCTCGACCCAGGCCCAGAGACCCGCGAAGAAGCCGCCGAGGAAGAAGCGCTGGGTGGCGAGGACATGGCGTGGGAGCCAGGTTTGGAAGAAGCAGATGGAAGCCCAGGCGGTGGAAATGGCACCAGTCGCGTAGGTGGACGAGCGGAGGGCGGAGGAGATGATCCGCTGGAGGGTGGCCAGGGGGCTGTGGTAAAGCGTTGAGAGACGTGGGACAACGGTCAGGGCGGAATAGAGGACGACGAAGAAGCGAGCCAGCGGCGGGAATGTGCTGAGCCAGAAGGTGAGATAGTTCCGGGCGCAGGACGGATCGGCAGGATGGAGGGCCGCGCACGAAAGCGAGGTGATAAGCGGGTGTGCTCGAGAGGTCAACGGCGCAATTGCACTAAGAGTAGCAGGGAGAACGTCCTCCTTGTTTGGGAACAGAGTCGGCGAGATATAGGCACTATAACGTTGTCAGTTGAGCGTCCTAAGCAGGATCCAAGGGAAGTCGACATACGGCCAGTTGAGACGCGCCATCTGGGCCAAACTATCCACGATCTGGGACGTCTGTGGCCACTTGAGGGTGGCCGGCCAGTCCTGCGGGCGCGCGTGCAGGTAAGCGGAGGAGCTCTTAAAGATGAAGTCTCCGAGAGGCTGCTATTACATTAGTCTCTTGCTTATCACGACTCTCCAGATATCCACTCCAGGACTACTAACCTTGGGGAAACAGTCACGGTCAAAGACAGCAGCATGGAGCAACTGGCCATATGCCAGAGGCTGCAGCATCCAGCTTCCAAACCACCAAGGGCGCTCCATGGCGACGCCACCTTTGCGACCCCAAATAAGGCCCTCGCCTTCGAACAGGTTCCATCCAAACTCGAGCGCTCGGAAGACGGCGTATATGGCAATTGTGACGCGCATCTTCTCGGGCGGGAAAATGCCCAGGGCCAAACCGGCGAACGATGCACCAACGGCCGGGGCATAGGGCGAGGTGAGCGTGGCGGCGGTCCGCGGGTTGCGCAGTCGGAATGGCTCAACCGTGGGATCCAGCAGGTGCACGCGCAACCGGGTGAGGAAGCGGAAGAGGAGTCTGTAGAGGAATAGAATGCTCGAGAGAGACAATGATAGCCTCAGAGCGGCAGACTTGTAGAAGGGCTTCTTCTTGGCATTCGCATTCGCACTGTTGATGTCGAGGTTAGTCACGACGCCGTTTCGAGCTGCAGCAAGAGATCAACTTACTCCTTATCGCCCATGCGCTTCTTGATGACATCCAACCCCTTCATACCAAGCCAAGTGCTAACAAAGACCCTCAGCGCATGGCGGATAGTCCTCGCATTGTAGTCGTCACCTCCCTTGGGGGGCTGAAGGGCCTTTTCGACACGGGCCGGGGTCGGGGTTGTACGGCGGAGGACGCGGGATCGCGAGATGATGTACTTGTGCAGCGCGGCATACTCGCGCGCCGAGATGGTGTACCGCAGGGCATTGCGCAGGACGGGATCGGAAGCGGCCCTCGATGAAGAAGATGATGAAGCTGGCGCGGGTGCTGAGCGCGCCCGCGAGGGATCGCTGGATGATGTGGCTGTGGCCATTGTTGGGCCGGGGGTCGAAGAGACAGCTGTCGGGAGAAGAGGAACGAATATTACGGTAGATTATTATGACGATAGAAACACTCGATCGCGTGCTCGTTTGCTGGGTCGCTCAGGATCGACGTCCAGGCGGAAAGGTCGTTATCGGGAGCTCACGACGTCGATGTCGCAGGTGCACGAGCTCCAATGGCGCGGCGCATCGGGGGAGCTGCGGACGGCATCCAAGCAAGCGACACTACGAGCGCGCTGGAGGCGGATCGATGAGAGTTGGCTTCGGGGCGAAGAAACGGCGATCCGAGGGCGTCGTTTTGCGAGGAAAAGGAGTGACTGGGCGACGTTGGGTCGTGGTTGTGCGGGTTGTGTGTCGCGTCCAGGGATTGAAATGTCGAGAAATTGAACGGGCAGTGGACAGACAGTGGAGAGCGAGGCGAGACAGAGCTGGAGGTGGAGAAGCGGGTGGAGAGAGCCAGAGAGCGAGGAGATAAACCCGCCCTAGCCCAGAAACCAACTAATCAAGCCTCGGCTCGGCTGTCTGTTTAATGGGCTCCAGCGAGTATGGGGGGCGGGGCCCGTGAGCCCAGGGGGAGGGGGACGCACTTTCAGCGCATGTGTTAGCGGAGTCTTAGCGGCATAGTGCATGATTAGCGGGTTGGCATGAGTGCTCTGGGGCGGAGTGATTGGATGATAGGCCGCCTGGCCCCAGCTGGACACATGCCTGTGATTGCTGTCCATGAAATGCAATCCTGGGTCTCTGGCTCTCAAGCCAACGATGATCGCGTCAGTGGTGAGGGCGAGATGAGATGCGACGGGAGCATGGTTCAGTTCTGCAAGGATTCCCCACTTTGCGAGGCCAGGGATAATTAATCGAGTCTGCCATGGACGGACAATTAGCCCAATACACACGAACAGGCCTACTACACACATGCCTTGTCCTTCTCAAAGGAGAACTATCTCCCGAATCCAGACTCTCGGCCTGCCTAACTCACAGTATAGTTAGTACCCTGGTTCTCTCCCTTCCTCTCCAAACAGACACGCACTTGGTGACCAGCCCACCCAGCCAACTGGTCGCATACGGGCCTACTAAACACATGCCTTTGACCAACCACAGCTCGCATGAAATACCGGGCTTGGCGTGGCATGGCCTCATCTCATCTCAGCCCATCCCGACTTGCCCGATATCTTGTTTGATTCATGCAAAACCAAGCACGAGTAGCACACCTCACGGCAAGTCACGGGCAGCCCACCACCAATGGGGTATCAAATCAGTCTTGACCTTCATTTCCTACCCTGCCCCCTAACGGAACCTAGGTCTGCTAAGCCTGGATAGCCTCTTCCCTCCCTTTGTTCCTAGTTCTGTCATCCTCACCTCCTCCAAATAGGGAGGCAAACAGGTTGACAATCCGATGCTTTTCAACCACCTCCGTTCTCTCTGTCCTTTGTCCCAAGAAAATCCCTTCCAGGTCAGACTTCTTCCTTGCGACCATTGACCAACTCCATCCCAGCCCCCCGGAATGCCATTATCCTCCCCACGGGCGCTATCGAGAATTGACCAAGATCAATCCCCTTTCCTGCCCTCGTTTTGGTTACCAAAGATTGGTGGACATCCTTAACCAAACGTCTTCCAAGCCCCTGCTTGGGTCACCCGCATTCTCCTATCCGGCCTCCATTTTCCCTTTTCCTTTGCCTTTTCCGTTTCCAACTCCCGGCTTTCGTCTCTCATACAATGTCTCCCGTTCTAAGTGCAATCCAGACTTCGGTTTCATAACCTGGCTCTCCAAGAGCCAGAAGAAACTCGATCGTGGTGGCAACAGCAGGTCCACCCAAGCACAAATGCTTCCGATAAGAAGGTCCTAGTAGACTCCTCTCGTGGGACAGACCGGGACCATCCTCATTCTCATGAGTATTCGACGGAACCTCGGTCAAAACCCCACCGCAAGCGAACCTTCCTTCCAAATGAGAGTAGCAAGTCGGTGCACTTCCCCGAGAATTAAGCTAAGCAAAAACAAAACAAAAATGACAACAAGCGGAATTAGTACTTTTGATCGTGATGCAAAACGCATATGCCAACTCGCAATATCGCTGCAAAAATCATAACTCGTCAAGGCGGCGATCCCTTGCTCATTCAGGGGTACTCGGCCCTTGTGCCGTTCTGGGGTTCCTTGAGGGGAATCCACATACGGGCCAGAGTAGGTCCCTCGGGGTTTCCGTACGGCAAAATCTCCTCGAGCCAGCCCAGAGGGGCAATCCGTTGGTCAAAGTATCGTGGCTCCGGAGTAGAAAGCTGCTTCCAGATCGACTCCCAGCCAGCAACCCGCCCGTCACGGATGGCGTCCACAGCCAGCAGCCTGCGTCGCTCACGCTCGGTCACCACATCTTTCAGGATCCGGTGTCGATGTTCCGGGTTGGTCCATCCGTTGACATTGTTCGACCCCGAAGATTCGAGCGCCATCTTGAGAAGGGTGAAGGGGAGGTTGAGCAAAACCCGAGAGATGATGGCGTGAGACGGCGGCGGGGGCAGCTGGGAAGCCTCGCGGTTACCTGTGGCCGAGTTCTTACCATCGGACATGGAGAGATCTCCAAACTGAATGCCAGTAACCTGCTGGGATCGGCGATTTCTGTTCAGGTGCAACGAGGTTCCACGGGCGATCGCAGGAGGAGAATGCTTCTGGGCCATGGGAGTAGCGGGAGGGGTGGGGTAGGACGGCAAGCGACGCAGGTACTCCGGCTCCGCAATGGAAGTATCGAGGATGAAGTTCGGAGGCAGGTTGTTGATGATGAAGTTAACGGTTTCATTCAGGATTGCTCTAGATCCATCCCCATACTTGTAAGTGTCATGAGAGCCCATGTCGATGTGATCTTCGAGGGCAAACTCAAGCGCTCGCTCCATGGTTTGCCAGTTGATGAGCTGGATAGCAATCTCACACCCTCGGCGCACAACGGGCTCCCAGCTGAGGAGATGGCCTGCAGCGGCATAAGACAGAGAGAAGTCCAACCGCTCAATTGCCGAACCAGCGTCGGCAACATCGCCCTGCTTAACGCCAGCGGGAGGTGGAGGGACTGAGAACAGGGGGAGCCCATAGAGGCGCTGCGCTGCGAGGTAGAACGTGTCGGATCGAATCCACTTGCTCTTGGTTTCGAGATGAACAGTGGGCAGGGAAGGCAACTCGGGACTTGTCTGAGGCTGTTTGGCCAAGAGACCAGCGAGTTCAATGCTCCGAGTAAGCAAGATACGATGGCCTGGGATACGAACAGGGGGTGCTCGGTCATCCATGTATCGAAGCTCCAAGATGCAGTCGGCGAACTCTGGCATACCAAACTGCTGCTGCAGATGGCCAACCAGACCATCAGCTTCATCGGTCGGGGGCATCATGTGCGGCGGGGGGCCATGGTTCGGCATCATACGGGGGTACTCAGGGCCACCAAACATTCTACCGGGGTGGTTTGGGGAGTCCTCACCATGCCCTGGGGCACCGTTTCGAACAGGTCCTGGTTGGTACTGGCCATACATGCCGTCCTCCGGATGGCCAGATGTCTGCGAGTCGTGGAAACTGTGGGGGGTGGACGGTCCAAAGTTGTTGCCATAGCCAGGGTACGAATCCATTGGCGGGTATCCCATCGACGGTCGGCCGTAGTTGTCGAACGTAGTGACGGGACCCATGTCAGCGCCATAGGGCATCATCGGAGGGAAGCCGTTCGCACCGTGTCCCATGTAAGGAGGTCGACCATCGGGACCCGGCATCCCAGGAGGAGGGGCGATACCACCAGAGTGAGGAGGAGCGGGCGAAGAGTCCCTCGTGGATCCGTGGAAGGTGCCAAAGTGAATGCTGCCATTGCTCGGGTGCGGCTGGTGCATGAGCGGGCCGTTGGGCACATGGGGACGGTGAGCTCGGGGCATATCTCCATTCGCAGCCATGGCCAAGGGACGGTTGGCAGGCTGAAAGGAAGGAGGCATCTGGTATCGAGAAGGGGACACAGCAGGAGGAGGTCGAGCCTTGGTGGGGTGTTTGGCAATAGGGTGATCGGGCAGAGTGGAGACGCGCATACTTGACCGTCTCTCTCCTGACCGAGTCGCCTCACCTGGATGGGGCTTCATTTCGTTCTTGGTAGCAACGCCGTTGGGCTTGTCTGATGTATCGGCGAGAGCTTGGGCGCGAACAGTGACGTTGGGGGCGGTGGCGGGTTGATCAAGACGGTCCGGAGTCGCGGTAGCTTTAGCAGTATCGTCTTGCTTGCTGAGAGGAGATGCTGGCTCGGGGACGGATGCGACTATAAGGGCAGGAGAAGTGTCAGCCAAAAAAGCAAGCATTTGTTTGTTTGTTTGAGACGGGAGCAAACATCCGTCATATACATGGTACGTACCGGGAGAATCGCGGTGGTTTGCATCCACTGCGCCGTCGTTTGTCTCAGGTCCGTTTGCCGGCTGGGAGTCATTCGCAAGCTTCACGGCTGGTCTCACAGCGGCGGCAGTGGCCGCGGCAACAGCAGCCTTAGCATCCTTCTTAGCCTCCTTCTTGGTCTTAGCAGTCGCAGAACCGTTTGTGAGCTTCGTGTCAGATCGCAAAGTAGCTGGCGGCGATGGGTTGGCGGAAGCAGAGGCGGCGGCGGCGGCAGCAGCCTGACGCTTCACATGGGGCAAGGGGATAGCAGGCACAACAGGCTTGGCAGGCTGGGCCAGCTTGCTGCCTCCGTGCCTGCGCGGCTTCGCAGAGGCGTTGACTGGCGCCATGATGGGATATCTCAGCAGTTCGTCGGGTCGGGTTCGGATTCGTTGTCGTCCAGAATCAAAGCCCGCGCCAGACCTCGAGGTGGGCTTGCGGAGGAGGAGAGGGGAGGGCTCTAGCTATCCGGAGCAGGAGGAGGCATGGGGCCAGCGGGTGGTCGGGCCTCGTTGGCTGCAGCTGGACTAGGCCAGGGCCGGGGAGCTGAAAAAAATGGAGAATCGGCGCGGCAGGTGATGAACAAGCCTCCCCGAAGTGTCGATGCGGGGGGAGGACAAAGGTGAAGAGGGTTGGAGGTTGGAGGTTGGAGGTCGAGGTTGGAGGTCGATGCAAGAGCGGCGGCGGCGGCGATGATGTCGGAGTTGGTGCCTCTAGGCCCTTGTTTGGCCCTTGTTTGGCCCTCTCCTCGTCCAACGGCTCCCCGGCTTTCGTCACAAATTTTTTTCCAGTGCGAAACCCCCCCGCGCGTAAAGTGGCTAGCGGACTTTCACTGGACACGCCGCCCTAAATAAGGTACCCAACCAACTGTGGAGAGGCTAGCACCAACTCCCGTAGAAGCTCCTAGAGCCCCAAGTACCTCCTGCGGGCGATGAGCCCTGTGCCGGCTGAAATTCGGCTTTCAATACGTACCTATATTACGCTGGATGGCTCATAACATAGTGGGGTTAACGGTGCGATCGTCGACATCAGATTGAGTCTCATGTGTTTCCCAAGAGATTCCTCAATTTGCTTTTACTTATCCAACCCATCTTTTATAAACACTTATTCCTGTAATCTTAAGTTGCTCACATAATTCACGCATTTTTTATCTTCACAAGTTCCCATCCAAAAACGGTCATCAGCATCTCACTCAATCACACACAACTACGTCAGGTACAGTAGAAATATGACCTCACTTCCTATCTTATCGCGACTCAAGTAAGCCAATCTACGTAGCACCAAATCAGGCAGACAAACATTTGCTCGGTATCAAAGGGAACGATTGATTGCCAATCCGCAGTCAAATTTCAATCGCTAGTGATTTCCCGGAAGTGCCGCTATGCATGGCTTGCCCCTGTTCTCCCGCCATCAGATGGCTCATTCAAACAATCCTAGTATCACCATGTCTAGACCGTTCGTCGCCCACCTCACATGAATATCAATTGAGTCAACCCACCACAACATGGTCGAAGCTGGCTTCATCAAACACTCGTGATTGTGAACACCAACGCACTGCCCAATTTAAGGTACACCTAAGAGTACTTTCTTAGTAAGGAATTTGAAACCTGCACACCAGAACCAAGACTCTACGGTGTAGGAAGACAGATCTATTGTAATTGGTTCTTATTTACGTCATTCATCATACACAAGTTATCGGGTTCCGAAAGTAAGCTCGTCTGCCAAGTAAATTTATCACTTGATCAACAATTGATCCCCGACCCCAAGATCACTTCGCGCTATAGATAAGAAACCAAATAACACCGCAAATTGCCAGAGTGAACACGCAGCCCCTATCCGTTTCTTGCAAACTTCCTTTGAAATCCTGCAAGCTCATACAGGGATACTTAAGCAATTAAAACATTGCCTGAGTGTAGTGATTGTTTGACAAACATCGTAGTCATGTGTGAGTATATCGACGCCGACTCAACAAATGTTCACTCCAGGGTAGATCCGACAATGATGAACATCTATCTCAAACTTCACAGCATCAACCACTGAGCACACGCACCGTCTTATCGCCCAATTGAATATTAAGAAACGAGTTGTATAGTCGCTTTCATTACTACCTGCGATTGCGATGCCCCGAACCGCCCGCATGAGTCGCCTAATCGCACCTAATGCCCAACCCGAGCCCAACGAGCTCCCAGTTTTGCTACCACATTCCACTCCATTTACTAAAGACCAACTGAAGACTGTATTGTGTGCCCTAGAACGCCATACTAAAGACGTGAGTCTTCTGATATCTGGCATTGTAAACCATCCCGGCGCCCGTTCAAGAAACATTACAAAGTAAAATCAAAGAGTGCTGGCAAAAACACAGTATTATGCAGCCCAATTACTATGACGAGCTGCTCCCATCGCCACTGACGAGGCGTGCGATGAGAACGTAGATGAAGATGGCAGCTCCTGCAACAAGGAGCTTGTTACGGTAGATCCAACTAGTTCCGGCTTCCCGTTGCTGGACTACGGCATCCACAACAGCCTGTGCCTGATGACCGCTGCCTGATGCAGCAATTCCCAACTGGGGGCGACAAGAGGCGGCATTGTCGACGTCTAATCGGGTGCCCGTCACAGGGTCGACCTTGTTCTTCTTGATCCACTCCCAGTTCTCAACATCGACGTCTGACCACTCCGCTCGGAACTTGGCGCCACCATCGCCGGCCTTAACGTTGCCCTTCATTGCGGGGTTGGCCTTAGAGTTTGATCCGTTTCCGGTCGAGTTCCACCACCGAGATCGTGAGGCAAGGTATCGTCGCTCAGCCGCAGTGCTGGAGACGGAGCCAGTCGTCATCTCTTCGCTCGTCATGAAGGAAAGAAGTCCGATAAGGATGGTGGAGACTTCCCACGCAGGGTTGAAGGATTTGGGGTGGAAGTCGGAAATCGAAAGGCAGAGTCGGGTTGATGGCTGGAATCGGCCGGACGGGGTATGCATTCGAATGGCGGGCGGCGCAAACGGATAGTTCGGAGGGAATATCAGCGTACCCCAATACTGTCCCCCGTGATAGGGAGTGTCCTCAGGACCAGTAATGATGTAGTGCCATCTATGACATCAATGTTAGCTCCAAGACGGCGCTGTCAACAACGAGGTGAGCGTACTCTAGGATGTTGGACTCTGAGGGGTGAGCGGTGATGTAAGGCGGCGGGTTCTCGGAGATGGTCTTGTATTCGCGGGTCAACTAGGATGCGATGTTAGCAGAGAGCACACAGCACTCAGCGGTCGAAGAAACATGCCCGCTTGTTTGCTGCTTTGCTGGCCATGATGGTGGCGGTCGGGGAGACGGGCGGTCGTCGGTCAAGGCTGGCGGAAGTGACCAGATTGCTGGTCGCGTGAGGACCGAATGTGTAGATTATATCGCTAGGTGCGGCAAGGACAGTCGCAAAGAGAAGAAAGGGCGAAAGAGAAAGAAAACGACCGCTACGAGATGCTCGCTCGGTGGAGTCGATGCGGCGGAAAGTGGATGTGGTGTAGATGAATGAAGGGTCGAAGAATGCGTGTCTTGAATTGCGCAGGGACGACATCATTTGGGGGGAGGCCGAATGACCCCCGGCCGGACACTAGCCACGCGTGGCTTGGGGGCGTTTGCATGTGAGCACTGGGTGGGTCCATGGGACATGCGCCACAGGACTACCGGGGGAGCTGCCGTTCCTTGCCGATGGGAGCTGGGGTGTCGAACCACCTCCTCGGAAGAGCGTTTCTGAGAAGCAACGACGCCGGTTGTTGAACCAGCGACAATGGCTGCACTTTCGAGCTCTGCCGGGGCGTCGGTGAGTTTATCATGGAGCGCCCTGCCTGGTACACCCAATTGCTAACAGCTCTCAGAGCCCCGACCCGTTGAGCAAGCTCCACACCGATGCTGGCTCTCTGCTCCACGAAGCCGAATCGAAGCCCGAGTTCAAGCACGAGCAGGATGAGGCCAAGCAGCGACGGATGGCGAACCTGGTACGGAGATGACGGAAGTCTGGAAGGGCTTATCGCTAACTGTGGCGCAGATCGGGGACCAGATGTCCGCACCCATGACCATCAACGAAATCAAAGTCCACGGAGCCACCAACACCCGCACCACCTTCCTCGAGCCCATCTTCCGCCCTCTCGTTGGCGATGCCCAAAACTCTGGATCTACCATCGGCGATGTGATAGGGAAGCTGCGCGTCGCGAGCGCAAAGCTCGATGGACTTCGTAGGTTCAAGTCACGCATGGTAACTATCCTACCCTGGAAGCTAACGAGTAAATAGAAATCTACAGCCCACAGCCTGAGCTCTTTCTCACATCAGCTCAGCAAACTGATCCCTCTACCTCCCCCAACGATGTGAACGTCGACATTCGCGTGCGAGAACTCTCCCGATTCAAGCTCCAGACCGGTACCGATGTCGGCAATGGCGAGGGGTCCGCATACGGTTCCCTCCTCTGGCGGAACATGTTTGGTGGTGCTGAGATGCTCACGCTCAATGCAAAGGCTGGCACACGCACTCGATCTGCGTACAGCGCTAACCTCAGCGCCCCGGTCATGAGCAACCCGGACCTGAGGATATCGCTCGAGGGTTTGGCCTCGGCCGCTGAGAAGCCTTGGGCTTCGCATGAGGAGGTGCTCAAGGGCGGTTCGGTTCGGTTCTCATGGCTTAACGACAAGCGAGACACTCATGCGGTGGAATACTCTAGTGTATGGCGACAGATCACCGGCCTAACTACGACTGCGAGCCCAACGGTGCGGGCCGACGCAGGAGACACCATCAAGAACTCTGTCAAGCATACCTTCTACCGAGAAAGACGGGACAACCCACAACTCCCGCAGAGTGGCTACATGGTCCGTTCCGGTCTCGAATTTGCTGGCGTAGGCCCTCTAGCTGGAGACGTCGCTTTCTCCAAGGGCGAGTTTGAGATTGGAGGTGCCGTTCCCGTGCCGATCCCTGGCTGCTCCCATCGGACGGGTATCTCGGTTGGCGGAGGGCTCAGGCTGGGAATGCTGTGCCCGCTTCCACTTGGCTACGAATATGACGCCAAGATCCGCCCCAGCCGTCTTAATGACCGCTTCCAGCTTGGTGGACCGACCGATGTGCGCGGCTTCAAACTCGGCGGCCTGGGCCCCCACGATGGCCAGGACTCTGTCGGCGGCGACGTCTTTGCTGCTGGAAGCGTCAACATGCTTCTCCCTGTGCCATACAAGGGTCCCGACTCCGGCCTTCGGTTCCAGCTCTTTGCCAACGGCGGCCGCCTCGTGGCGCTCAAGAGCAAGAGCAAGCCGATCCCTGAAGGCGGCGTCCAGGGGATCGACGCCTCAGCCGTGCGGAACGGCATGGTAAACGCGGTGGGCGAGCTCCTCAACGGCGTTCCTAGTATGGCCGCAGGCGCTGGCCTGGTGTACGCGCATCCTGTTGCGCGGTTCGAGCTGAACTTCAGCTTGCCCCTGGCCCTGCGGAGGGGCGAGGTGTCGACCAAGGGGCTGCAGGTCGGCGTGGGAATTAACTTCTTGTAGGATACATGTAGACTATCCATCCTGAGCGAAGAGTTTTAGACATGTCTATTTTGCATTGATTACATTGTACATTTTGCTCGCGTTCAGGGGGCAGTCATGCTTTGACTGGAACATATATGAATTCGGAATCAAGAAGTTGACCACCGAACCTACAATGTTATGTATACACGTCTATCCAAGTGAGATGTCACTCTAGCCAACCGAGTCATACATGTCCTTTGGTGTCCACTCTGGCATGGACAACACTCCTCGTCCCAGTCGCACACGGCGAATGCGCCGACCAACTAGTACAGAGCCGCACAATTCATTTGACTACCAAGGGACCGGTTACGGGACAGGCGGGGTTCCCCCTGATACCACAGATTCTGGAGGGAGCGGTGAGATAACTACTTATATTTCCCTGGTTACCTGGCTGTCCTTGCGAGTATCTTTCTCCTTCTCCTCCTCATGACCTTAACGGGACAGCTCCTATCGATAGGAGACACGGCTGCTTGAGCGACTACTTCTCCTAGACCGTTAAGTGATGAATTTGACTGCATTGGCATCATCCATCGCTATATTCTTTCACGGTTACGGTGATGGCGGCTTTGGAGAAGAGAATATAGGGTACCCGACATGGGAGGCGAGACCTCATTGGTTACGATTTGCATGGACAGAGACCCACGTGTGTAGAAAACAGGTTGGTAAACAACTTCAGATGATGTTCATGGTACCTCGCCAGCAGTTGGGCTGCGGCTGGAAGCCCACGTGCTTCACGGGTTCTCTCATCAGAAGGGCAAGCCTTTGATTATTTGATCCAGATTGCGTGATAGGCATGAGGAAGAGAGAAGGACAATCGCTAAGCCAGTCTCGCGACTTCGTCTTGGAGGAGCCGAGTGTGATGTCTTGATCAATGCAAGGGCAAAAAGGGGCGCGTGCCCAAAAATTGCTTTACAATGGCCATATTGCCTAGGATCCCTGGGTGGACGAAGTAACCCTGGTCGTCGCATCGGGCCGAGTCCTCCTGACATAAGGCTGGAGGGCTCGATGCCTTCAGCTCATCTCTGTAACTGGATGACACATTGGTACTGGATATAAATACTGGCGATGTAGAAAAATATTGACCGAGAGAAGTGGGCTTTGAATGAGGGCATTCAGACCGTTGCGTGCCATCACTTATAGCCTCGAAGACCCTGAATGGATGTGCCCCACCTTTAGGGCATTACAATGGGGAATTGACAAAATTCGCTCCCCTTTGATTGAATAATAAAACATTGATTGGAAGGAAATAGCGAGAAGAAAAATGAACTTGAGAGCCACATCTGAACACTGGCGAGAAGCATGTGTTTGAAAGTTCACTTGAGCTGGCCTGATTGTTGGTTACGCGATGGTGACTGGCTTGCATGCCGCTTCCCTTTGTGAGACTGCTTCTTGAATGGATTCATATGGCCTCCGTTTACAGTCAATTCATTTTCCACATTGATCAAGGGGTGAGTATTGTGACGGCGCTGGTGGTGGCCAGTGGCAAAGTCGACGCCGGCGAGTGGACCTTCCGGACCGACATCAGCCCGGGGACATTGTCGGAGACATTCGAAGTACTACGGCCTATCTCGCCAAACCTGGAAGGATTCGGCGCCGGTAAGCTCTGGGTCGCGTCGGAGACCAGCCTGGGAATGTGGGATGCGCGGGCGCCGCGAAGCAAGTGCGGAGTGGGGGAACATTCCATTCCATGGGGGTTGTCAACGGACGGCTTTCCACACAACGTGGCTGTCAACGAGCGGGATTAACTAGGGGGGACGCAAGCGAAGGAAGCTGTGCCACGACAGAAGCCTGTCTGTCCTCTGGGATATGTGTCCTGGGATCTGGGGACGGTGTGCATGGCAACAGCATGAAGGAGCCGGAGATGATCGTCAGTAGTAGAAAAGAGACGCTTCGCCGTATGTTGACGGACGCCTGCCTGTCGGGTTGTTGATAGAAACCGTCTCCCCGACAGATGCAGGCAGACGCAACTGGTTGGCTGTGGATATGAGGATCCAGGGGCGCGGAGCGGATACTGGCGCTGCGGAGTTGCGGAGGGAGTGGAACCCAGCCCTCACGGTTCAATTTCCCGTAGAAGACACTTCTGCCTTGCGGGGGAAGGCTTCAGGTGTGTGAGACTGGGCTGCTCATGGTTGCCAAACACCCTGAGGCTGAGGCGTCGTCCCTGGCCTGGAGGACGCGCGCCATCAGTGGCCGTTGGGGGTGGATGTGGATTGTGGATCAAGATCTGAAGCATAGCTGAGGGAGGATCCCTCATTTGCCAGGGTTCGCGTTCGTGTTCGCCAAACAGAGCCGCAGAAGCAGAGTGTTTGAAGTTGTGATGATGATGAGTTGTCCATCAACATCTCGGGCTGTTCACATACCCGTTATCTCCCTGCAAGCAAACACTGTCGGACATAGCAACAGAACGCCCTAGAAGATTGAAGGGCCCGCAGGGTTGGGCTGCCCCGTCCAGTAGCAAATCTTGATCGGTAGACTCCCGCGCGAATGATGTGCCAAGTGCCCTGCATTTTCGTCATCTCGGGCATCTGAAGGTTATCTCCATATTCGATCCTGGCGTCGATGATTAGCTCGGTGACAGTCGCCGGACGAGCGAGCCCTGACGGCTGGTATCAACAACAAGGCATCAGGGATTGGACGGCACAACCTTGTCATGTGGTAGTCGGATATCGATTAGACCGATGAGCAGTCGTTGGTCACAATACGGAGCCCGGACGGCGGTTGGGGATCTTGGCAAGGGTTAACTACGTGGTACGCAGCGCTGCGGACGGGCGGTAGAATATCTTGGCAAGAGTTGAGTACGGAGGCTAGAATATGCCTCTTTGTCGATCTTCACGGTAGCACGGTACTGCTATTATGAGTCACCCCAGCAAGTAGACAAACATGCTCTAAACCTTGATTCGTGTGTTTGCACGATACACTTTGCCTTGCGGTTTGGAGCAGAGCACGGCGCAACGTCTTCCCGAAACCGAGACGGTGTCTCTGGTTTCTTGGGTGAGAGCTGCACGAGATGAGACGTACCGCATTGCGTGGATGCGCATGTTTAGGGGCGGTCGATCACACCGACCTCGAGGCCTTCTGGGGGGACCTGGCGGCTTACAGCTTACAGGCGTGAATGCGATGAATGCGATGTGCTACGTCGTGTGCATCTCACGATCGGTCTCGCGATTGCGGCCAGACGGTGCGTCGCTTCCACGCCTTCCAACCCACTGCCACGAGGACAGCACCACAGACGGTTCCCACTGGCCACCCTCTACAAACGCCACCAGCAAACTGAGCGGCCGCCCGCACATGTCCCTTCACGCCCTGGAGCCCACAAGCCGAACAGGCTGCACGGATTTAGAGTGATGCCCTACCAGCTAGCGCGGGACCGGCTGACGGGCAGCGGGTTGGTGGGCGGGTTGTCGGGCTGCTCGAAGACTCCGAATCACAGGGGGACCCCGGCGCACTGGGATTCCGTGCAGTTCAGCCAGTGGGGAAGAGTTGCCCGCCCTGGGGCCCTTGTTCTAATCCGTGCGTGGAATCTCTCGACGTGCGAGCCGATTGGGGAGAGGGCTGCAAGGATTCTCGGATTGTCGATGGATTGACGACATGGGGATGCGACGAGTGCAGACCGTTGGGTCGAGCTTCGTAGCTGTACGTCGAGAGCATGATGGGAAAAGTAAGAAACATGGCAACTTGATCGCTGGAAATCCCCGGAATCACATCGTCAGCTTGTACGGATCCGCCCGGGTTGTCGGGTGGTCCGCCGTTGCCACCCGGCCGAGAGCCAAGGGGAACGGAGGCGAAGCACGCACGTCCTGCGTAGTCGTAAAAAAAAAGAAGTCAACAAACGGCCAACCAGACGTTCGCTCGGATTCATCTCGGACTCGATTCGATTCAGGGTGGCGTGGGGAAAAAGCGATTGGCGCTGGTCGCGTGCGGGTCTGACCGGGAGCGAGAGCGAGAAAGTCTTGGGGCCCTGATTTTGTCAGCCAAGTCATTTCGACTCATTGGCTGGTTTGCGCCTGTGACTGGTCCGTGGCCGGGGCAAAAATAGCTGAGAGACACGGAGGATCCGCGACGGCACGGCTGCAATCTCATCTCACAACGGGGCTGCGTTGTGTACGAGATGTTGCCCTTCTTCGTTCAGTCTCTCCTTTGAGACAGTTTGCGGACGCCATTGTGCAAACGACATTGCGTTTGGTGAGCGATAAGAGTCACATTGTCGCAACGACTCACACGCACAGGGGGGTGGAGGGTGGCAGCACGTCAGATGAGGAGGCAGCATGCAGATAGTTGCAGTTCTTGCACGCCTTGATCAACCCCGCCAGAGATTCTGCCGGTTTGCTCCCCCAACAGCCCTGTACGTACGAAGTAAGGTTGACCCGTCCACGTACATAGTAGAATGCTGTCACTGTCCCGTCGTCCCGATGCTGATGTGAGCCACCACGGGTTAAACTCTCTCAACCCGCCGAATGGCGCAGAGCCAAGACTTTACTCTCGCTTTCGTGCCATTGATCGGCGAATACATGTCAGACAGACAGAAAGGCTTTAGTGTCCATGATATCATGGGTTTCGGGTCGGGACGGGGCTACGCTCGCAATTCTTTGACTCAAGTAGGCAATATGTAAACGCTATTCGGTCAGCATCCAATGGAGCTCATGGAAAAGACAGCAGCCTCTGCCCATCCAATGTCAATTACCATGGTACGGTACGGATACAGAGTCGTCCGTCCGCACGTCAAGAAAAAAAGGAGCCAGCGAGCCACGCCCAGGGGGTACTCGCTGCGAGTCTCACCCATTCCCCTGCGGAGTTGGAGGTGTGGGAGTGGAGCCGAATCCCAATTGCAAAATGCGCTTAATAAGGGGAGAGACGGAGGCGTGTACTGTACCTGGGCTCCCCGGTATGGCGCCCCCCTGGGTGGCTCGTCGTCATCGTCGCCAATCCCCCGTCATTCTGGCTCATGTTTGTTTTGCGCTGTCGGGTCGGGTTGCTGATGCAGCCCGCGAGCCCGTCTTGGATCCGAACCGTTGCGGTGCAAAGACTGAGGATCCTCTGTTATTGTGGACATGCGGACGCCGTCGACGGCGGAGAGGGAGGGCGGGATTGCGGAGTGATGACGGTGCCAACACACGCAGCAATTGTGATGGGATGGAATGATTGCAGCGAGGCAATCCAGGTTGAGGCGCCGACAAAGCATCGGGTTTTTTTTTTCTTAGAGAGGAAGCCTCCGAAGCGCACCATGGCCGTCACTGGAAGGCCTCACCAAATTGGCCGCCCGTGTGAAAGTCGGATACTTGCCCACCCAGATATCCGACGGCAGCCACACGCCCTAGGGCCCTTTGGGGGGGGCAGCTCGTAGAGGCGACACGCTGACTGGCCAGTGGGCGTAGTGGGCTGGACCCCTACGAAGGTACCCAGCACCGGCTCCACGCCCCTCCCTCCACCCTTCAACCCGCCGCACACCCGCCAGCCCAGCCTAAACCTCGCACTAGATCCCAGCACGCCCCACAGCTCTGTTTAGAGAACCTTGCGCTGGTTGACTGCTGCGTATTAGTGCGCGAAGCACTCGAAAGCCTTCCCGGCAACGCGAGTTTATCTCTATTCCGCCCCATGAGCTACAAGCTCAAGCTCGTCTTATTATACCCCGTCCCTCCCCCATCTCAAAGGCCTCTTCTTGCTTTTCTGCCTTATCCCCTTTCCTGTCGATCCTTCCATCCCCTCTTCCTCCCCCTCACCTTCTCTTCTCACCTTTTTTTGTCCTCCCCCGGACTGGCACAGGTTGGTTGACTTAACTGGACAACCACCAACGAGCGCAGGCTCACCACCGCTTTCACAACTCCCCGAGTCTGCTTCACCCCAGTGACGGACAGAGGGCCCTTCACCAACCGGCAGCCGCCAATCGCCAGATATCGAGTAGACCAAAACGCCAGCTGGCGCTTTCTCGCCCATCATGTCTACCACCCCTGGCACCAACGAGGTTGCCCCCCTTGGGATCGACGAAAAGACCAACAAGCAGGCGTCCATGACGGACATCGGCACCGAGAACGAGAAGCCCACGTCGTCGCCCGCGGAAACGCTTGGGGATGACGACGATTCCGAGATGGAGCGCCGCACCTCCATCGTGCAAGCTCTCGCTCGCACCTATTCGACCGCAACCGCCACTCACCCCCACGGAAACCCCTTCAAGGCCGGCGAGGATTCGCCCCTCAACCCTGCTTCGCCCAACTTCAGCGGTCGCGAGTGGGCCAAGTCCATTGTTGAGCTTGTTCAGCAGGACGGCGCCTCTTTCCGATCCGCAGGAGTCTGCTTCCAGAACCTGAATGTCTACGGATACGGCGAGGCCAGTGACTACCAGAAGGATGTCGCCAACGTCTGGTTGTCTCTCGGCAGCGCCTTTTCGCACCTCACCGGTGGCAACCGCCAGCGCATCGACATCTTGCGCCAGTTCGACGGTGTCGTGCACAAGGGCGAGATGCTCGTTGTGCTGGGACCTCCTGGCTCCGGATGTTCTACCATGCTCAAGACCATCGCGGGTGAGACAAACGGTCTCTATGTCGACGACGGCTCCTACTTCAACTACCAAGGTAAGTCAAATTCCAGTCCCCAGGGGTCTCATTCCCAGACACCTCGTTGTAATCTGGCTGGGAAACGTGTGGCAGATTTCGTGCGAGTCTGCATCCATGCGATGGCGCATGTCTGTTCCACCGTAAATACGACACAATGCTAATGTAACTAATCGTAGGTATGACGGCCAAGGAGATGCACTCCCACCACCGCGGTGAGGCCATCTATACCGCCGAGGTCGATGTCCATTTCCCCCAGCTGTCCGTTGGCGATACCCTCACTTTCGCCGCCCGAGCTCGCCAGCCCCGCATGCTTCCCCAGGGCCTCAACAGGAACGACTTTGCCGACCATCTTCGCGACGTTGTCATGGCCATGTTTGGCATCTCTCACACCATCAACACTCGTGTTGGTAACGAGTACATTCGAGGTGTCTCAGGTGGTGAGCGCAAGCGTGTCACCATTTCCGAGGCCGCGCTTTCTGGTGCTCCCCTTCAGTGCTGGGACAACTCCACTCGAGGTCTCGACTCCGCAAACGCTATCGAGTTCTGCAAGACCCTGCGCCTCCAGACCGAGCTCTTCAACAGCACAGCTGTCGTCTCCATCTACCAGGCCCCTCAGAGCGCTTATGATCTCTTCGACAAGGCCGCCGTTATCTACGAGGGTTACCAGATCTTCTTTGGCCGCGCCGATGCTGCCAAGCAGTACTTTATCAACCTGGGTTTCGAGTGCCCCGCCCGTCAGACCACCCCCGATTTCCTGACCTCCATGACCGCCCCCTTGGAGCGCGTCGTGCGACCTGGATTCAAGGGCAAGGTGCCCCGTACTCCCGCCGAGTTCGGTGCTGCTTGGAAGAACAGCGCCGAGTACAAGGCCCTGCAGGTCGAGATTGAGGACTACAAGACCGCCCACCCCATCGATGGCCCCGACGCCGAGGCTTTCCGTGCCTCCAAACACGCTCAGCAGGCCAAGGGTCAGCGCGCGAAGTCCCCCTTCACCCTGTCTTACGTTCAGCAGATTCAGCTCTGCCTGTGGCGTGGATGGAAGCGTCTTATCGGTGATCCCGGTTTGACTATTGGTGCCTTGATTGGCAACTTCGGCATGGCTTTGATTATCGGTAGTGTTTTCTACAACCTGGATGAAACTTCCAACAGTTTCTTCCAGCGTGGTGCCCTCTTGTTCTTTGCCTGCCTCATGAATGCCTTTGCTAGTGCTCTCGAGGTGAGTTTTACTGAAAAACCAACTCAGAAACCTGCTGACATCCTTTAGATTCTGACCCTGTACGCCCAACGACCGATTGTCGAGAAGCATAGTCGATATGCCCTCTATCATCCTTCCGCTGAAGCCGTCTCCTCCATGTTGTGCGATATGCCGTACAAAGTCGCCAATGCGATTGTTTTCAATTTGACGCTGTACTTCATGACCAACTTGCGACGAGAACCTGGCCCCTTCTTCTTCTTCCTGCTCATATCCTTCATCACTGTCCTGGTCATGTCGATGATTTTCCGAACCATCGCCTCGGCGTCTCGCACCCTGTTCCAGGCTCTCGTGCCCGCTGCTGTCCTGATTCTCGATCTCGTCATCTTCACCGGATTCGTCATTCCTAAACGCTACATGTTGGACTGGTGCAGGTGGCTCTACTACATCGATCCTCTTGCCTATGCTTTCGAGTCCTTGGTTGTCAACGAGTTCCACAACCGCCACTACGTGTGCAACAGCTTTGTGCCCAGCCCCACAGTTGACGGATACGCAGACGTCTCACCCGATAACCGCGTGTGCAGCGCTGTCGGTGCCGTCCAGGGTAATGACTTTGTCAGCGGTGATCGATACGCGGAAATCAACTTCGACTACAAGTGGGAGCACAGATGGCGCAACGTTGGTGTCGTCATCGCCTTCACTGTCCTGTTCTTCATCACCTACATGGTTGCCGCCGAGCTGGTTTCCGAGAAGAAGTCCAAGGGCGAGGTCCTGGTCTACCGACGTGGCCACAAGCCCGCTGTTGTTGCCAACGCCGAGAAGCACCACAGCGATCCCGAGGCTGCCATGGCCCACATTGGTCCCGTTGTCACTGCTGAACGCACTCGAAGCCGAGTCCAGAAGGACGCTGGTGGTATGCTTCAGGAGCAGACCTCTGTCTTCCAGTGGCATGATGTTTGCTACGAGGTTCAGATCAAGAACGAAACCCGCCGAATCTTGGATCACGTCGATGGTTGGGTCAAGCCCGGTACTCTCACTGCCCTTATGGGTGTCTCTGGTGCCGGAAAGACCACTCTCCTCGACTGTCTTGCCGACCGTACTTCTATGGGTGTCATCACTGGCGAGATGCTGGTTGACGGTAACCCCCGTGACATGTCCTTCCAGCGCAAGACCGGTTACGTCCAGCAGCAGGATCTCCATCTCCAGACCTCAACTGTTCGAGAGGCCCTCGGCTTCAGTGCCCTCCTTCGCCAGCCCGCCCATGTCCCAAGAGCCGAGAAGCTCGAGTATGTTGAACAGGTTATCAAGCTTTTGGACATGGAAGAGTATGCCGACGCTGTCGTTGGTGTGCCCGGTGAAGGTCTCAACGTCGAACAGCGCAAGCGTCTTACCATTGGTGTCGAGCTTGCTGCTAAGCCCCCTCTGCTGCTCTTCGTCGACGAGCCTACTTCTGGTCTTGACTCGCAAACCTCTTGGGCCATTCTTGACCTTCTTGAGAAGCTTACCCAGGCCGGACAGGCCGTCCTCTGCACCATCCACCAGCCTTCCGCTATGCTGTTCCAGCGCTTCGACCGACTTCTCTTTCTGGCCAAGGGTGGCAAGACTGTCTACTTTGGCGAAATTGGCGAACATTCCGAGACTATGACCCGCTACTTCGAGCGCATCAGTGGACACACCTGCCCTACTGAGGCCAACCCTGCCGAGTGGATGCTGGAAGTTATCGGTGCCGCGCCCGGATCTCACTCTGACGTCGATTGGTTCCAGGCATGGCGCGAAAGCCCCGAGTACAAGGCCGTTCAGGATGAGCTGGAGAAGATCAAGCGTGAGAAGCATGCCCCTGCCGACATCCACGAGGATCCCGGTAGCTACCGCGAATTCGCCGCTCCTTTCATGGTCCAGCTCAACGAGGTCCTCTATCGTGTCTTCCAGCAGTACTGGCGTACCCCCGTCTACATCTACTCTAAGGCTGCGCTCTGCACTCTTATCGCCCTGTTCATTGGTTTCATCTTCTACGATGCCCCCAACAGTATCCAGGGTCTTCAGAACCAGATGTTTGCCATTTTCAACCTGCTCACCATCTTCGGTCAACTCGTCCAACAGTCCATGCCCCAATTCGTCATCCAGCGTTCGCTTTACGAGGTCCGCGAGAGACCCTCCAAGGTGTACTCATGGAAGGTCTTCATGCTGTCTCAGATTATTGTCGAACTCCCCTGGAATGCCCTGATGGCCGTCATCATGTTCTTCTGCTGGTACTACCCTGTCGGACTCTACAACAATGCCTCCGCTGCCGATCAGTTGACTGAGCGTGGTGCTCTCATGTTCCTGTTCCTGTTCATGTTCCTCATCTTCACTGGAACCTTCTCGACATTCATCATCGCCGGTTTCGAGACCGCTGATGCCGGTGCCAACATCGCCAACTTGTTGTTCATGCTCTGCTTGATCTTCTGTGGTGTTCTGGCTACCTCCGACTCTCTTCCCCGCTTCTGGATCTTCATGTACCGAGTGTCGCCGTTCTCATATCTCGTAAGCGGTATGTTGTCAGTGGCGGTCGCCAATGTCGATGTCATCTGCGCGAGCAACGAGTTCCTCACGTTCAACCCCCCGTCGAACATGACCTGCGGCGAGTTCATGGACCCGTACATTGCCAAGGTCGGCGGCTACCTTGCCGACAAGGCCGCCACGACTGCCTGCGAGTTCTGTTCCATCTCGGACACCAACACCTTCCTCGCTGGCGTCGGCGCTTACTACAAGGACCGCTGGCGCAACTTCGGTCTCCTCTGGGTCTACATCTTCTTCAACATCGGTGCCGCCCTGGTTGTCTACTGGCTGGTGCGCATGCCCAAGAAGGCCAAGACCCCCAAGAAGGAGAAGGCGACCTAAGACGGGAGGCCGATACCAAACTGAATGAACGAAAAGAAACCATACGAAATGGGAAATACCAATCTTTTGCTCAATCTCTCAGAAAATGATCTGATCGAGATGTTTTTCCTTTGCTTTTGTTAGATGTTTATGGATGGGAGTTACCCAGATAGATGGCATAATACTGCCCTGTATACACGATAGACCTGTATGTAATACGACAACAGAGGGATCACAAACCCACGTCTCAATTCAATTATCTACTTCAATATTCAATTCTCTCTTGTGACTCTTGACTCGCAACCAGCTTGATTGAAGAGCACTCACTACCTTTCTCGGTGATTCATCCCACTTGTGACTTCGTGACTCTTGACCATATCCAACGCCGGCATCAACTTGAGATAAACCCGATCTATCTTGTAAAAACCTCTCCAACCTTCTTCCCCCAGTTGTCTTCGTTTGCCAACTTCCTCATAACTTCTGCTAAGCTGTCGCAGTGCCCTTCAACTTCCCTATCATTCATCTGCGCCGTATCCCACGACGCGATGAAGTAGAGGTTGACGGCGTCAATCATGAAAGCGTTCCAAAACAGGCCGCTAGAAAGCATAAACGTTAGCCCTAGCAAACAAGGACAATTGCGTGCGTCTCACCAGTCGGGCCAGTCGTATCGGGCTACGGGCTCTAGGGTCTTGAAGTCTGTCCGGTCTCCTCCAGCGAAGTGCATGGCGATGCTGACGTCCCAAACAAACGACTGCCTGAACGACGCGGCCTCTGCCATGGCGCCCTCATCTCTCAGACCTTGGACGACGTGGTTCCAGGGCACGTGCTCGTGCTGCTTCATCTGGTCTTGTTCAGACATCATTCGTTGCAGGAACTCTGAGACGGTCTCGTCGCTGACTACTTCCGACATGTTGAGGAGCCACTGGACGGTCGGACCGTCGATGCTCATCGAGGGCGGGAGAAGCTTGTCCATCCACCTGGGGATGAACGGCCATGAGCGGCCGCTCTCCCAAGAGTTGAAGAGGGCAAATGAAGCGCCCGTGTGGAGCACGTTGAACAACACAATCGCGCTCTTGGCGAAGAGCGACGGCTGGATGGCGTACTTCTCCCTGAGTTTGGCCAGTCCTGGGAGGCCAATCACCCGACCAGATCGAGGATACTGGAACTCTGCAGCGCGCGTCTCCCATTCTCCCTCCCAGACCTTGTCCCTGATCTTACGCCGCTGCTCGGCGTAGCGTGAACCTTGGTCATTGGAGATCATCAGGCCAGGGGCTTTCTGCGGAGGCCATAGAGCGCGCTCGAAGCGAGAGATTCCCCGGAGCCGTTGGACGTGGAATTTGACGCTCTTCTGGGCGGGTTCACTCTCTTCGTAGTGACTGAAGAGATCAGAGAAGAGCTTGTATGGCGTAAGGGCTGGGATATCGAGGTTGGAATCCTGAATCCAGCGGTCCAGTTCGCGATGCCACAGTGTAAGTGATAGAGCATCGATCACAGAGTGGTTGAAAGTGAAGATGAGATGGTACTGTTCACCGGTTCTGATCTTGACCACGTCTGACTGGAACATGAACGGATATGAGTGTCCCTCGGCGGAGTCGTCTTTGGCTCGCTCCGTGGCGTCACCCTCCGTCTCCACTTCGACGTTGTGAATGAGTTTCTCAAAGAGAGCTGGACTTGATGACAGGACGGCGTGGAAGGGCAGCCTGTTTGGTGCCTCGAAAAGGATGGTTCGTAGCATTGGCCGAGACGACAGCGCTCTTTCAAGGCCCCGTCGGACCTGTTCATATGGAATTCCACGAACTCGGAACACCATGCGGTTGTGGTATGACTGCGGCCGCAAGCCTATTGCGGTTCGATGGAGCGAATCGCGTATCGGCATAATGTCTTCAACGTCGGTATCCGGAAGACCAACGCTTGCGACTTTTTCACGAGCGGATCTCCATATGTCGATTTCATCTACGGATAGTGGCTGATCCTGCTGATCCCGTCTCGCGACTAGGGATGTTTGAAACTGTTGGGTTGGTATGGCAGATGTATCGCTGAAACCATTGGTCTGACGTCCTTGGGCTATAGCAAGCCTATCCTGTCCCGTGTCTCGAGATAGTAGCAGTTGGGCTTGTTTTTCGACTGTGTTGCTCTCTGCGAAATCTTGCAGGTAGAGGCGTTGACCACAGACTCGCAAGACTTGGTCGCAATAGCGGAGGAGCGTGATGCTGTCGGCCAACAGCATGACGCTGTCAGTAATGGCCGGCCGCGTCCCGCTCAGCTTCTCCCAGATATCCAGGAGCTGTTCGATGTATTTTTGGGTAGGTTGGACTACAGGCTGCCTCTCTGGGACCATAGGCTGTAGTTCTGCTGGCTGTATGGGCTGGCGGAGCTTTGCCAATTTTTGCCTCAAGACTTCCTTCTTCACCTTGCCCAGGGAAGTGACGGGGAACTTCTCCAAGCCTAGTTCTTCGAGAGTGTATACAGAGTCCAGAGCATATCTTGCGTCGACGGTTCTGGACTTTTTGATGAGATGGGCCTTTGTGATGCCCTCTGGCAAGATGGCGATGGCGACGGGGACCTGGCCAGCGATTTCATCTGGTGCGCCGATGACTTGGGTCTATTATTGTTAGTGCGACGGTCTATTTGAGGAGACATTCAGGTCTCACCTGTACCCCAGGCAGCTGCTGAAGGGCAGTTTCAATCCTGACTGGGTAGATGTTTTCTCCTCCTCGAATGATGAGATCTTTGTATCGACCGAGGATGTAAACGATACCGTGCTCATCAATTTTTGCCTGGTCTCCAGTTGCAAACCATGGCCCAGACCCGTCCTCGTACATGGAATCGTCTCTCTCTCGATTGTAATACTCGGCGATGATGGAGGTTCCACCGACATGCAGCTCTCCGACATCACCGCGGCGCAGAATCTCACGAGTTCCCGGCCGACAGACCCTTGCTGCCGCACCGGGGAGAACCTTGCCGACACCAGGGTGATATCCATCGAGGAGCATCGGATCAGTCCTTGCAAACGTGACCAACGGCGCTCCCTCACTCAGGCCATAGACCTGGATGGCCATTTTGGCGCCCAGGCCCTGGCGGCAGAGGTCAACGTCCTCGAGACAGATGGACGTGCCAGCGAGTGTAACGATGCGCAGATCCAGCTCGTCGGGGCTGGGAAACGACGGGTGCGCCATCAGCGCCTTTGCCAGCGTGGGAGTCGCCGACATGGCTGAGCACTGCTCCTGGATCAGGGCTTTCAGAGTCGCATCGACGTTGAAGGACTTTGATGGGAACACGGCGGTGCCGCCAAATCTCCATGCGCGGAGAACATTGCTGACTGCGAAGATGTGGGAAACGGGAGTGTGCACCAGCCAGCGCAGGAAGAACGAGGGATCGACTTCAGGGTCGAAGTCGCAAGTCTCGGAGACCAGGTTTCGGTCGGTGTGAAGACAGCCCTTTGGCTCGCCAGTTGTGCCGCTGGTGAAGATGATCAACGCAGCTTTGTCTTTCTCGCCTCCATTGATGTGCTCGGAAAGGCTTGCAGTCGTCTCGTCTGCTGCACCGGGAGGGATATCTGCCTCTGGTTTTGCAGTTGGGATGTCGCACAATCTGACCCATCCCTTGACTTCTTGCCCGGTGCAGTGAACACGCAGGCCGGGCCCTTCAAGAGGAGTCTGCGAGAGATCAAGAGCTGCTGCGCCGTCTGCATCTTGTGCCACGACTACATGCGGCTGGAGAGAAGCAATCATGGCTCTCGCGTCGCGGGGCACAGTCGGGTCAATTGGTGCAAATGCCATTTGCAGCTTTGCTGCCGCCCAGAAGAAGAGGCCATATTCAGCCGAGTTCCAGAGAACAGCGCAGAGGCGCATGCCTGGGCGGCATCCCAGTCTCTGGAGAGACTCGGCGAGGCATTCGGCCTTTTGCTTCAGTTGAGCATACGACCATCTCAGGGTTTGGCTCCTGTTGCTGTCGACGGGGTGCTGGGATGTGCCGGGCAGTTGGTCTTGGCCCTGCCAGAGGGAAACTACTGCTTCATGCTCCGGATACAATGCAGCTGCGTTGGCAAAAAGGTCCCAGAGCTTGAGGTGCAAGTCGGATAATGGCTCGCCGTGGACCTCTGCGAGTGCGGGTTCGTGATGAGGCTCAGCAGGTGTAGGGTTCCATTGAGGCTCTGCGGGTGATTCGCCGCATAGGGTCCCATCGCGTGTTGGTTCGCCATGCGCCCCGTCATCACTCCAGGGATCCGTAGATGATGGTTCAATGTGGGGAAGTTGAACCGCTAGTTGTTGCTGAGAAACCGATTCCATGCTGAATGCTGGATCGAACATGCAGCGATGGATCATATCAATCAATCACCGATGAAGGCTGGAGCTGGGAAATAACTGTTCCAAGGACTGAAGATAACAGACAGATTCAAGGCTTGCTGGGCAATTGTTTCGTCCTGATCCCAATGGCCTGGGAAGGAAACAGGGCTGTTCAAATACCGAGTCCGCTGGCTGGGGAATCCCTGGTGCGTCCTTCGCACCAGCATGTTGGCACCAACTACATCCATGTTGGATCAATGCAACATGACCTAGATTGTCACATCTGGGATTCCGAGAGCTTGGGTCCAAGAACCAAGGACCAACAGCCCAGTCGCCCCCAATTCATAAATGGGTCGACGCACAAGTGTCGGAGGTTGCGGTTGTACGACGCCTCTATACGACACGTACACGGCCAGGTCCGATCCAACAACTTCAGGAGCAGTAAGCCACTCGCCCCAGGAGCCAACAACGGACCCTCGTATATTTTCGTCCGTTCTACCCGGCACAGCATTGACGATCATGATAGGCGGGTGCTACGCGGCTGCGGCTGGTGTGTGTCTTAGTTCTGCACGGCTCACAGCCCGGCATTCCTGCTGCAGGATCTGGGCTGTGGTGCGGCGCTCTTCGGCTAGCCACCCATGATCCGCGGCTGAGACGTTTTATCTGAGACGCGTGAGCAGCCTCATGGCTTCATTGGAAACGGGTTGAACGGGACTATTTTTATAGCGTATGTAGTAGACCGAGAGGACCACCGGTGGCGTCGAATGAACAAGCTTCTCGGCGGTTGCCCGCCTACATAGTAGATACACTTAGCAGCCTGGGGTGATCACGAAGAAGTATTCAGGATATCTCATCATCTCATAACAGCTCGAGATTGACATAAAACGTAATTGCGTGACTAATTCCCTGAGGCGAGGCGCCTGAATCATTGGATGGTCGTCACCAGCCCACGAGGTCATCCCTGGGCCAGTTCTTCAGTCCTGTTCACGGCACCTCCGGTCATGCAACCACTATTCTCTCTGCTTTAGCCTGATTCAAGTAGAATGTGTCAGCTGAAGTTCATTCACGCACGGCATAGGATTGCTCAAAAAAACGGGACCGGAGCCGCAAATGTCTCGCATGGGCCAGATGACCAACGACTCATCATGCCTGGTGCATAACAGGTTGGCCCATAGAGCAATGCTAATGGCCAGGTAATAAATAGCTTTCCGCCAAGTGATATAAAGAACCAATCTTAGTCTCCATGTCTGGCCTCTGATGACAAAAGTGCAACGAGTGTTCGGCCTCAGCCTCAATCTCCCACCACATTGGCCGGTCCAAGTTCGCCCCTCACTTTCAGTCCAGGATAGTCTATGAGAATCGGTGTGATACAGACACGAGCAAATAATCCCTGACCGGGCCGTGTCTACAGGGCACCCGAGGCTGGTGTCAACGTAAATCTGCCATGAATCCGCGGATCAGTGAGCCACGACCTGAACCCAGGCTTCGACTCGCGGATCAAGGTCGCACAACCGCTTCAAGGTTCAGCAGCCGCTCTGTTACGAAATACCGCTGTCTCGGACCGTGCCGCATCTGAGTTTTATGCCTTCATGCTGCCGCAGCCAGCTGTCATCTCCTTTCTTGCCCCTTGATCGTACTTCCTCATCTTTGTCCCCCACCAACGACCTGTGTTGTGTGACAACGACGATGAGGTGGCGCTGGCTTGGTCAGGATTATCAAATACTCAGCTGACGTTCATGGTTTGCTGAAAAGCCGAGGGATCGAGAGGTGCTCAAGGGGCCTATGCAGGTTCGATTCGTCAAGGGCCTGCAGGAATGATCACACGATCTTCAAGCTGCGCCTTTGGACACGACAGGTCTTGTAGTTGTGTGGGAGATTCTGCACATTCAAGCACCGACTTTGGAGACTTTTCGATAGTTGGACGCCCGACTTCCGCGCTCGTTTCTTTGTTTCACTGCAGGTGATATTGTTGGTGTGATATGACAGCACACGGACGGGCTATAATGGAGGCCTGTGGGGGCAATACGTCCGGGGCTCTGTTCCAATCGGACATAACTTACCGGCGGACCAACTGGTTTTAAAATATACTGAGGCAAGTTCTCAAAGGGTATTGGAGGGCTCCCGGCTCTGTCAGGAAATCCTTCGAAGCCATCGAGTCCTAGCGGACGAGATATGGTCCTACCAGGCTCACGTGTGGGGACGTCATCGTGGCTTTTCATCTCTTGGCTCTCATATGCTGATCAATAATGAGGCGTAGATGGGTGGTCCAAATCTGGGACAATGATTCAGAGTCTCGGGGATAATTCGAGGGCATTACAATATCGAGTCCCAGCCCACCTACCCATTTTTGTCCGCACTTTTTTTCTTGTTCATATTGGTGCTTCTATATGTTTTGATGCTGTCAATATGTTGGGTGCACTGTTGACGACTCTGATCCGAGAACACCTTCTTCTCACCGTTTTTCTTCTCCTGTTGCTTCCCCTTCCCCTAAAAGCCATCGAAGGCTTCTTCAGGAGATGGAAGCACGCCCAAAGCGCAGGTTGTCAGGAACCTGCCAGTAAAATTCCTGTCATTGATCCGATTATCGGGCTCGACTTCCTCTACAACGTGCTGTTTGGCAAGGCTCCTGAGAGGTACCTGGATAGCACATGGAGCACATTTCAGAAGCTGGGAACCACGTATACAGAGAGGCGTTTGACATGGGAATCCATCTATACGTGCGATGCGCAGAACCTGAAGCAAATACTAGCCACCGCCGCTCAGGATTTCGATCTTCCCGAGTTTCGAACGTCTGTTATCGGGCATTTCTTCGGCCAGGGCATTTTCGCCCTGTCTGGCCCCCCGTGGAAGCATGCGCGTATGATACTCCAGAAAGGCCTAAAGAAAGATAACCCGGGACCATTCATTGATACCCTTGAACGACACTTCCAAGCATTTATGAAACACATTCCGACCAACGGTGCTACGGTCGACCTACAACCTCTCTTCATGGGATTCGCAATGGACGTTGCGACCGACGTTCTCATGGGCCACTCAACGCATATGCTTGACGTGGATGGGGATCACACCAAGGAGCAACAGTTTGTAGACGACTACATGACATGCTCCGAGGAGATCATTCAGCAGATGCAGCTCGGGCCTCTACACTCACTCAGGATCAATTTTGAGGCAAGGAGGGCTAAGAAACGGCTATACGAGTATCTCGATGGCTTTATTGAGGAGTCGCTTCAGACAAACGGAAACAAGGCCGAATGCCTCTTGAACGAAATGATGTCCATGGCCAATGACCGCAAAGGCGTCAGCGATCAGATCCTGCACATCCTACTCGCGAGCCGCGACACAACATCGAGCTTGATGAGCAACCTCTTTTTCGCGCTTGCCAAGAAGCCGCACATGTACGCCAAGTTACGGGAGGAAGTGCTCCGAGTAGCTGGCGAGACGCCTCCCACTGCAAGCCAACTCAAGGAGCTGACGTACCTGAAGTGGTGCGTCAAAGAGTGTGAGTAGCCACTTTCCGATGCTTACGGGCCATGTATACTGACCAATCCCCGTAGCGTTGAGGCTGCATCCCGTCGTTCCCACCAATGCTCAGGTCGCCCTGAGAGACACGACACTCCCTCGAGGCGGCGGCCCCAACGGCCAGTCGCCGCTCTTTGTGCGCAAAGGAACAGCCATGTTCTACAACGTCTACGCCATGCACCGCAACGAAGCCACCTTTGGTCCCGACCCAGAAGAGTTCGTCCCTGAGCGTTGGGAGAATCTGCGACCAGGCTGGGGATATTTGCCCTTCAACGGTGGGGCACGATCTTGTGTCGGACGTAAGTCTTCCAGGCACGATAGTGCGGAATCTTGCACAATGCCAATACTAATATCGTGTAGAACAATACGCACTTCTGGAGACTCACTACGTCGTCGCAAGGATGGCTCAGACTTTCAAGACGCTGGAGTCCCGCGACGAGGAAGAGTGGATGGAGCTGTACGCTTTGGCGCTATGCTCCAAAAACGGTACACGAGTAGCTGTATCAACTTGATGGACCGGGAAAGGGATATGTGGAGAAACTATGCGTACACTTTTATGATTGTCGTTTACCCAGTGGTTACTTGTTCGGGCGGCGGAGTTGGAAATACCTTTGTCTTATCCGTAAACCTAATGAAAATGAACGTTACCATGCATAAACATGATGTTTTTCTTTTCTACTTAACGTATATACTGCCTTATCAGCTTATAATTCACAATACTAGAAACATCCCAACTGTCCGTACCAACACACTGCTCGAACAATTGATTGTGGCGGCATGCATGCGACCCGATTACATCACCTCGAGAAATCTCCTACAGATTCAGTTCTCTCCCCCCTTGTCATACGGGTTGCCAGGACGATGGTTCATCTAGAGGCATTCGACATCTCCAAATTCGAGCATTGAACGGACCGGGAAACGGAAATCCCATGTCTGATTCTAAGAGCGGTGTCGTGTGGGGAAGAATACCAGTCCGATCCACCAGCACCCAGCAACATTTGCGTCTTGGCTGCCTCATCTCGCCTAGCGCTGGCGTTGAGATCGCAAGCCGAGTCTCAAGAACCATCAAATATCCGATTTTACGTCTTCGATCCCGATTTAAAGTCTTCGTTCCCCGGGTTTAAGTCTTCGATTTCCGCGTTTAAGTCTTGTTTCCCCGCATTGAGTCTTGGTGTCCGGGTTTAAGTCTTCATTCCCCGTGTTTAAGTCTTCGCTTCCCCAGGGTTGAGGGTCGTTTTGACAGAGAGCAACGTTGGCGCCTCTCTCCAACGTTTCTCATACGTAATGAACTCAAAAATGCCAGAACATGTTTATATAGTGCAGGCCCAGCGTCAATGGGTGTCCATAATACCATTGCCTCAAACAAATCCAACAGTATCATTTTAGGGGCATTTTCTCCATCAAGAGATCCAGCCATGGGCAAGGTCGCGTCGCCTTCTCCTGTTTTGGGAGAGCACATCTCCGGTCAATCCAACAAACCTCTATCTAATCCGCCACATACCTTGACAAGCCAGCAAACCGTTGATGAATTGCGGAGCGATGCCGTTAAGGGCCTTGATCCTGAGGATGTACCCCGACTCTTGGCCGAATTTGGGCCCAACGAGCTGGAACAGAATAAGGGCGTTCAACCAGTGAAAATCTTCTTAGAGCAGATCTTCAATGCGATGACATTAGTGAGTAGTCATTAGTTCACCGGACTGTACGGGCTGACCTCTTGAGTAAAGGTTCTTCTCATGGCTTTGGGTGCTAGCTTTGGCATTCAGGCCTGGATCGAGGGTGGCATTTTAGCCGGCATCATCGTCCTCAATATCTTCATTGGATTCTTTCAGAGTCTTCAGGCTGAGCAAACAATCGACTCTCTACGGACCCTTGGCTCACCGACTTGCGAGGTATTTCGCGGTGGAAAGACCGTCACCGTCCAGACTGCCGATGTTGTCCCTGGAGACATTGTAGACCTCGCTACAGGTGATTCTGTTCCCGCGGACATTCGGATCATCGAAGCCATCAATCTGGAAGCGGACGAAGCATTGCTCACTGGAGAATCGGCGCCCGTCTTGAAAATCCCAAAGCTGACTTTCGACATCGACACCGGCCCAGGCGATCGCTTGAATGTGGTGTACAGCTCAACGATCATTACCAAGGGACGCGGTCGTGGCATTGTCTTCGCCACTGGCATGTTTACTGAAATTGGCCTCATCGCTAGCGCCCTAAGTGTTGGAGACGATATTAAAACATACAGAGAGGATGAGCCCAGCTCAACCTGGGGATCCATTCGCGCTGCCCTCAAGCCAATCTCCGATTGGATAGGCGAGTTTCTTGGCCTTACGGTGGGAACGCCTCTGCAGCGGAAGCTGTCCCAGCTGTTCCTCTGGCTATTTCTTTTCGCCATTGTTTGCGCTATCATCGTTTTGGGCGCGAACAACTTCAAAGCAAGAGAGGATGTCATCATATACGCCATCACTACTGCCATCGGCACGATACCTGTGTCTCTCTTGCTTGTTCTTACCTTGACCATGGCAGCCGGAACGAAGAAGATGGTTGAGCGCCATGTGATCGTCCGGAACCTTTCCAGTCTGGAGGCCTTGGGAGGTGTGACCAGTAGGTACCCGCATTTCAGACATGTTTCGGAACTCGACACTGATAATTTAGACATCTGTTCCGATAAGACGGGCACCATCACTCAGGGGCGAATGGTGGTGCGAAAGGCTTGGCTCCCTGGCTGTGGAACGTACTCGGTCGACTCGACGAGCGACGTGTACAACCCTACGGCCGGAGAAGTTCGATTTATTGGCTCCCAGCCCAAGGACATCGTCGATTCAACCCAGGAGAAGCAGGGTCAGGCCCACTTGATCGCCCCCCTCGACGAGCCGACCTCCAATATCGGTCTGCAATGGTACCTCAATGTTGCGTCGTTAGCGAACCTCGCAGTCATCGAACAGAGCGACGATAGCTCCGCAAACCCAGGAGAGTGGAGAGCCAAGGGTGCGCCAACTGAGATTGCCATTGAAGTTTTCGCCTCTCGGTTTGGATGGAACCGTATTCAGTTGTCGCAGACAGCTGGAGCTCAATGGAAACACCTAGCCGAGTTTCCCTTCGACTCGGATGTCAAAAAGATGACTGTGCTCTTCCAGAATACCGCTTCGAATGAGACACATGTTTTCACAAAGGTAAGGGCAGTTCCATCGTGAAGTGTCTAGGCTTGACTGACTGGTGAGACAGGGCGCCGTAGAACGAGTTCTCTCGTCTTGCAACTCAATCGCGATGAATGACAGCATTGAACCACTTACCTCAGCCATCAGCCGCGATATTCTCTCAAATATGGAGGCTCTGGCCAGTCAAGGCCTCCGCGTCCTCGCCCTTGCACACAAAGTCAACGAGCGTGTTGTCCCCGAGACCGAATTCGCCGGCGACATGACACCTAATCGCGTAGGCTTCGAGCAGAACCTCGTTTTCCGTGGCCTGATCGGCATCTATGATCCTCCACGCCCCGAGTCTCTCCCTAGCGTTCGCGCGTGCCAGGGCGCCGGCATTGTCGTGCATATGCTCACCGGCGACCACCCGGAAACCGCTCGCGCCATCGCCGTCGATGTTGGAATCCTTCCGTCTCCTGAAAAGGCTCGACTTCTCCCGGCCGATGTGGCAGAAACAATGATGATGGCGGCGCACGACTTCGACGCCCTCACTGAATCCCAGATTGACGACTTGCCCGAACTCCCCCTAGTTGTTGCGCGCTGCGCGCCCAGCACAAAGGTGCGCATGATAGAGGCGCTTCATCGGCGCCGGCGCTTCGTCGCCATGACGGGCGACGGCGTCAATGATAGTCCGAGTTTGAAGCGAGCCGATGTAGGTATTGCTATGGGTACAGGTTCGGACGTTGCCAAAGAGTCCTCGGATATCATTCTGACCGACGACAACTTTGCGTCAATCCTCAACGCCATCGAGGAAGGCCGGCGCATCTTTGACAATATCCAAAAGTTCATCTTGCACGTCTTGGCGGCCAACATCGGCTTCGTCATTACGCTGCTTGCCGGCCTCGCTTTCAAGGACAGCAGCGGTGTCTCTGTTTTCCAACTTACCCCAGTTGAGATTCTTTGGATGCTACTTGGAACTGGAGCTTTCTGTGAGACCGGGCTCGGTTTTGAGAAGGCAGTTCCGGATATCCTTAATCGGCCACCTCAAGATGTATGTCCTTTCCTATCCCTTGCAGCAGTAGCATTCTAATATCCGACCTTCTCCCTAGCTTAATTACGGCGTGTTTACTCCTGAATTCCTACTTGATATGGTCGTCTACGGGACTTTCATGGCTGGATGCGTCCTCGGATCCTTCACCCTCGTCATCTTTGGATTCAACAATGGCGACCTCGGCACCAACTGCAATCTCGAATATTCTCCATCTTGCGAACCCGTCTTTAGGGCGCGAGCGACCTGCTATTCGACGATGACGTGGATTTTTCTCCTTTTCGCCTGGGGCCTGATCGATTTCCGCCGCTCGTTCTTCGACATGCCCAACGGCTTCAAGGCTTGGGCCATGCATCTGTGGGGAAATAGGTTTCTGTTCTTCGCAGTGACGTTGGTATTCTTTACTGTGTTCGCGACGCTGTATATCCCCGTCTTGAATCATGTTGTATTTATGCACACGGGCATCAGCTGGGAATGGGCAATCGTCTTCATTGACGTTACGGTATTCATGGTGTTATCGGAGGCTTGGAAGTGGGCGAAGAGGATATATTTCCGGCGGAAAGCATTCCAAAACAGACATCATGAGGGGGAGTATTCATGAAAATGACCTGCTTGAGGAACAGCCCGGTCTACGGTGCTAGGTAAATCCCGAGGGTAATCTTTGCCTCAAGACACAAAGGCACCGTATCAATACCAGCCTTCATATGGGACACTCAGAATGCTAAAGATACCGCATCGACTCGATAAATTGGTCCTGCTTTTATGGACTAAAGCTAAGCTATGTAAGCCTTAGGTTTCCTAAATCATTAGGTATAAAATTTCCGAAGGCAATAAGTAGGTGAAGCATTCAAGGCCAATTCACTGAGTCGATATGGTATTGGCCTGCTGAAAATGAATCGTACAAGCTCGTCAATTTATACCGTATCGTGGTGCATAAAACTTTGCAGCCATCGTAACTAAGAGCCTCCAAAAAGCCTTCCTTGTTCCAGTCTCTGGCTTTATTTCACGCCCCTGGATTGAACTCTTCGTCCTGTTGTCCCATGCTTCCATCCCATATCGCCGTGTCCGTTCCGTAAATTGAGGGTATCATAATGAACTTTCCGTGCCCCTCCAACCTGGGAGGGGCTCGTTCGCCACGATGGACGCAACAGAGACATCAAGTCTCTCGAGTAAGAAGTAAGTTTGAAGCTCAACCTAGCTCCCTCAGTTCCCTTCGTTGCCTCGGCGGGGTCCTCCAGCGACCTTTACCAGAGGTACCACCGCGTCATTCCAAAAACATCAATGATGGCATCGATTCACCCCTCAAACCACCAAGAAGTCCATGTCCAAGTCTCTGAGTGATTGTACCCAACTCCTGTTCCCTCTTCCTTCGGCCTGCAACGCCCACAACTTGTGCAGGGCGTCTCTTGCGGCGTACAAAAATCCCCAGGGAGATTCCAACATTAATCGTTTTATCCTGTCAATGACCCACTCTTTCATCTCAGTGGTCTTGACGCTCGCGCCAAAGACAAAGGTGATCCACGCCGTTGCTTTGTAGTTGGCATCATCATCGGGAATAGAGATCAGCGTCTGCTGTAATTCTTCCAGTAGCATGTCGACCATCTCGTCGCTGTACACCGAATCCAAAGATGGAATCGCATGTAGGATGTAAAGACATGTACCAAGTCGGTGGCCTGATGCCACGCGAAAACGGCTCAATACGGGGTCTTTGTATATTGAAGGGAGGGACGAAACCTCCCGTGCCCAAGTTATCACGTCGACATTTTGAGCGCGATTAAACAGGGTTACACCAGCCGTGGTCACCATGCCGGGCGAGACAGCTTCCGCCGATATCTTGTTGGAGAGCTTGGCAGCGGTGAGCATAATCTCCAAGAGTTCGGGCGGGCAGCAATAGTAGCTATTCGCCGTCTTCTCTAAAATCTCCATCCCCTGACAGGAGTCAAAGAATGATCTGGAATCCGTGGCCGAGGGTCGAAAGGTGGATTCCAGTATATAATATCTGTGGCAAGGTCAGCGCCTGGGGTGGCCAAAGGGGAATGACACTTACACAAAACAGTCAGATACGATATAATTTCTCAAACTCGCGTCCACGCTGGAAGCAGGGAGCAGTGACATGATCCTACCAGCGCCATCCAGATGAGCTTTCCAGTTTTGCTTGCCAGATTCGATCAGTTCAACATTGATAAGGAACAACACAGAGGCGAGGAGAACATCCCCATCAATGGAATCGATGCTCTGCAGGGCAGACGGCATCATCTGCAGCACTTGCTGCTTGGCGACGAGGGCATCAACGAGCATTTGTTTTGGCCCGTGGCCCCTGTCAAGGGAGTCGGGACCGAGCCAGGGCCTTGCACGGTTGTACATGTGAGCGGCCGAGGCGGCGATGATGACCTGACGCAGCAGCGGGTGGGCCTGAGTCAGTGGGAGGAGGTTTCGGAAGGGGTTGTGGCCGGGGATATCATAGGCGACAAAGTCTCGACAGAGCCGCGATGAGACTGTAATGTCATCAGCCATGTTCACTACCAACAACCAATGAGGGCGCCGGACTACGCACAATAACCGAGATATTGCCTTTGGGAGTACTTCATGTCTTGGAATATGGGGTCGATGAGGGCCCAGGGAGTCGAGGCCTCGTTCTCGTACTCGTACTCCAGGGGGTTTGGGGAGGTGGGACAGACGAGCTGTGTGTCGCCGTTGACTACGAAGGCGTCATCGCCGTGGCTGGATACGACGTCGGCGTCGACGTCGGCGATGGCCTCGGACCCGGCCTCGGATGGAGTCGCGACGGAGCCAGAGGCCTGCCGGCTCCTCCGTCTCGGCGGCGGGCCCGGGGTCGGATAGAGCGCGGCACTCGACTTCTGGCCGGCCAGCTTGCCCCGCGAGGCGACGGCCCCGGTCCACAGGAACAGCTGGCCGTAGCCCAGACATTCGATGCCGCGGGCGGCGCACTTGGAGCATTGTGGGACCGAGCGATCACAGCGCAGGCGGCGGCGGCGACAGTTGTGGCATGGCTTGTCGGCGGCACCTCCTGACTGGACGTCGGCTGATGGAGCCATGGACGGAGGATGAGACGATGGAGAGCCAGACGGCCTCGGAAGAGCCAGGCGGTCTCGGAGGAGAGCGGGTGCGAGAGAGAATGAGAGTGTTTGAGCTGGGAAGCCGGGGTACAAGCCCGCTCTGAGCCTAGGGAACAGCCAGGTCCGCAGCAAGGGGCCAGAAACGTCTATTGATTAACAGCGCGTGCATATCCGCATCAGTCGATGCGTAAGTTCCTGGGCTGAGTTGACGGGCCTTGTGTGTCTGGGTCTTGTTGCCAGCCAGATTGAGTTGCTGGGAGTCGTCCTTGTATGGGCAGATGATGGCAGATGATGGCAGAGGAGGGAGCATCAGCGGCTGAGATATCTAGTCCTAAAGAGGCAGCCAAGACGCAATCTTGGATCCTCGGCCCCTCTTCTCCACAATTGCCGAACTCCGGGGCGCCGGCTATGATGGCTGAGTGCAAGGTTGAAACGCCAGCGGCACTTACAGCCCGTTGATAGCGATTAGCTACCCGAACGGTGCATTCGTATCTATTTGCTTTGCCCCTTATCGGTGCTTGATTGGGGGAGGTCGGTTTGAGTTCCTGATAACAAAGTCGCAGTCTGCAGGCGGTGACGATGACGACAGCTTCAAGGTGAAGGGCTCAGGACAAAGTGAACACCGGATTCAATAGACAGTGAACCACCCCGGAAGATACGGAAGTTTTGAGCTCGTCGTAGGTATAGAACTCTCAAGGTAGCCATTGCCTCCAAGTAAAATAAGCCGCCATCAGCCTACAGAATGAAGGTTGAGATGATCCTACACCACGCCCACGTCGTTCTTCAACCCACCCGCCATCGGCAGTTCGGTCCCTCCATGGATCTAGATACAAAGAGATATTTACGATCAAATCTGAAACAGAAGAGAAGCTGTAGGTCCCGGACCGTCCCGTAAATGCAACGCAAACCCACCCCGACGATGCCGAATCTGCAGACACAAAGTCTAGGGTAGCCGTGCAGCAAGTTGAGTCGGAAACGTGCGTTATCTGGGCCATGGCTCAACTCTGAGTATTCCGGCAACAGTCACAACTTCACGTGACATCACGACAATGGACGTATCGCATCCAGCCTTGACAGCAGAGCAAAAGAAGAAAATAATTTGCGAGATGGCCCTTTGGGAATGCGCAAAATGTGGTTAAAAGTCGAGACACTATGCGCCTTTCCATCTGCTTCGTACGACGTTCGATGACCCGAATATGTTCACGCCAGGCTCTTAGCCATTATCTTCCAGCGAATCCAAGCACGGCAGAGTGGCCGAGTGGTCTATGGCGACGGTCTCAAGAGCATGTATGTGCGCTTTCATCTGCGAAAAGCAGTGTTCCGTTCACGAAAGTGGCAGGGGTTCGAATCCCCTCTCTGTCAATACTTTTTGACTCATTTGTCTATTTATTCCTTGAAAGAAGAGATGGATGCAAGGAGTACTTTTTTGGTCATTTTATTAGAATGGCCCGTTACTCGCTGCAGCAGGCACGGACGAGAAAGAGTAAATAAAACACGCTCGGACGCAACTTTGCCTGCTGTAGAAATCCTGAATAACCCACATTTCTTCTTCCTCAAGTAACCCGAATCGGGAGAAAATGGTAAGCGAATAAATAGAATTTGTATAGTATTTAGGGCTGTGTGTGAATTCATGGGAACTTGACTTAGACATACATGAGTGGAGGCACTTGGAATGTATTGGAGACAAGAAGAGGGCCACCCATGATTAGCCAAATAGATACCGCACGTCTACCAACGAAACGACAGTCAACCACCACCACTTCGAGCTTGACGGACGGGGTGGACGTGCGGGCCTTGACAGCGGTGCGGAGACAGTCTGCCTTGACAATATACGGTTTGGGAGGCGAAGGTTTGAGGAACTGCAGTCCATGACGGTTGTTTCACAAGTCGATTTTATACATCCTGCTAACTCTAAAATTGCCCATCTCGTGTAAACTCGAAACATCCTGAATTTGATTCATCCAAAACTCTACAAATGCAAAATTTCCCTGTCCCATGTGACCCATCCCATGTGTAAACTGTCCCATGTGTAAAACTCCATCATCTCAGAGCCCTGAAACTTCTCATCCGTTTCCGTCCGTGTTTCTTAATATTGGACGCCATTGCCTTCTGCCAACAGGGCAAGCATTCGATGCATGTCGACCTTGGCCATCGCATCTTCAAGTAGCTGGAGTCGCTTGTCGCGTTGGCTGGTATTGGCAGTGAGACGGGCTGTCTCGCAGGCGGTGGAAACCTGCTTGGTGAAGTACTTCATCAAGCCCTCTTGCTTGCCGAGTGCCAACACTTCCCGCTCGCATCGGAGGCGAATGCCTTCCTCCCTGGCGTCGAAATGGCGACGGACAACGAAAGACATCTTGCGAGTGATTTTTCTGGCTTGGCAAACCAGATCTGAGAGTTCGCTGGTGGAGAGGGGGTAGGGCATTTCATCCATAGCGTCGCGAGTCTGACGGAGGGCCTTGATGGCGTTTTCTATCTTGGCGTCGAGTTGGTCGTCCATAGAGGGACGGCCATTGGTGAGTGTCTCCTCCGAGCAGTTGATGAGACCACAAAGTTCCTTGTGGTGAGTGGCATTATCCGCCTGGCTCTTAGAGGGAACAGCAGCAGTAGTTGAGGTCGACATATTGAATGATGGTTGTGTGTGTGTGTGTGTGTGTGTGTGTGTGTGTTGTGATAAATATTTGAGAGTGTGGTCAAGTAGTTGTGTGAGGCGCGTCGATGGATGTGGTGTGGTAAAGTGATTGTGTTTGATGGACGACAACAGTCTAGAACCCTGTGCAAGCTTGAACAAATGGTGATATTAAGAGAGTCGAGAGGCTTAAGCACTGAAGAGATGATGGGAAGGTGAGAGTCTGTATTCAAAAAAAGAGGAAAGTGCACCCTTTTTATAATACTTCGATGGCAGGAAACCGGAGATGCCAAAATGTTGTAAACTCAGATCCAGGTGTCAAGGCAGTTTGGACAACCCTTGTGAAGACAACTCCGTCTCGGTCCTGTGCGTGGGAACCCTTGCAAACCGGTTTCGATGGGTATAAACGGGTCTTCCTGGACGAAGAGGTGGTTCAGACTTTGTGGAATTGGCCATGGTGCTGGATGCTTGCTGTTATTCGTTCCGGAAGGTGCCAGTGAGGTTCTCATGGAAGAAGACAGAAGCCAAGCGCATGCCATTTGGCGGAGGGCACCACTGCGGTTAGCTATAGTTTTGGAAAAATGAGAGCAAAAGACGAAAGATGCGAAAAGGCTAAAAACAATTGAAGTGACAGGCGGATTGATCGCAAAGGTCAGATGGTCGTCCGGTCGTGGAGGAAATCTGTGCCATTTATGGGCAACCCTGAAGGCTGAAGCAGCACATCGAAGACTCGCGATGGAGTCAAGCCCGCTCTAAAAATTATGGTGCTATGAGTCACATAAGGATCCCCCAGGAATGAAACGAACTGGAAAACTCCTGGTGACTGATTCTAAGCTAAGATGGCTGTTTCTGATCCATCAGATGATCCCGTCCTTGGCATCAGCTATCCCTGGACCCCAATTTGTCATGATACTCCGCATGCCCCAGCAAATGATTCAACTCCGCCTTGTGCCTCAGAGCCGGCGCTGCTCTGGCCCTCTGGTGACGCGGTACGCTTCCAAGCCCACCAGTCGATCCAGGTCCGCCGCCGCAATGGTCGTCAACCCTCTGCCCCGCCCGCCCACCGTCCGAACATCCTCATACTGGTAGTCCCCCATGTCGTATACTTGGGGTTGCGCGCGAGAAGGAGGGTAAGTCGAGTAGGCCGGTCGTGCGAGTGCCATCTCCGGTTCCGCTGGTCGCATGGCCCGGGGCTGGTGGCGGGCAACCTCGTCGGCAACATCTTGGCGGAATGCTTGCCTCACTGCCATAGGGAGGAACTCGGTCAGGGTCCCAGTCTGTTGGGTCAAGGCCTCTCCGAAGGACTTTTTCATCGCATCAGCTACCTTTTCGACGGCTCTGTTAACAATGTCTTCCATGCGCCCGTTGGCAATCTCGTCAATGTTGTCCGTCTGCGTTGCTGCATTGCTTGTCGGCACCGGCGCATGATGGGGCTCGTGGTCAGAGTTGACCGCCTTCTGCGTTCGACCAGCATGTGGCTCAAAGTAAGCAGTCCTCTTCCTCTTCAGAGATGGGGCGGGAGGAAATGGTGAAGCCGGCTGCGGGCTGCCTTCGAGCGAAGGAGGCGTGGCGGAGTGTTTGCTGGACCGTTTACCGCCTTGCTTGCCTTGTCTCTTGCTTTGCTCAATTGACGGGTGTGCCTCATCAGAACCATTTTCCGAAGAACCATCAGTCGGAGACTCTTCAGGAGATCGATTGGCGCGATGTTTCTCCTTCTTGACGGCCGCGAGGGCTTTTTGTAGCTTCTTTCGTGCCCAGAGAATCAACCCACGTCTCCTGACCTCATTCGTAAACTTGTCGTTACTGGTGCGCGAGAGAGCCTGGTGAGCGGCAAGAGCAGTTAGGAAAAACTCGAGAGATGGCCGCTCCTCATCGCTCGCCACAATGGCCCAGGAGCCGAAATGGTGCGAACAGTGGTATTGAGACCAGGTCACACACCGCCCGACACCGGTTTTGTGCAGTTTATCGATGACTCGTTGGTATAAATCGGGGTCGTTTTTCGCCTCGGGCAAGATGTAGCTAATAGCTAAAGCCTCCATGTCACGGATAGCTTCCGCATCTTCAACGAACTTCGGGCGGGTGTTGCCGCGGGGCGGCTTCGGGCTTGGGGACTCGGACGTCATGACCCAGGTGCTTGAGATCAGGCGGGCTCGGCAGGGAGGGTATCGAGAGGAGGGATTTCAAGGGAAATTGAAAAGGTCGTTGCATCGAAGGTGAAAAGGAGAGAAGGCAACCGGCAGATAAGTCGGTTAGGGTGTTGTTGTTGGTTGTGAATGATTCACTGATAAAACCTCATAGATTTGTGTGTATTCGTCTCGCGGCGTGCTTTTCCAAAGGATGAAATCGACGAGATCAAATTGTCGGCTTAGGAAATTAGGTAAACCCTCCTGAATCTGCTTAGGGTCTTATAAAGTCCCTGTTGCGTCGACGTCCGGGGTTTTTGGCATGCAGGATTGGGATTTCCTTCGGCAGGGCGTTTGAGGGAATCATGCCCACCGCGAATTTCCTGTCTACCATGCCCCTCAAGTGGCCCTAAGATTGGTATTGAGGGTTTAAGGTTTAGGTCTAATGCTGAGTTAATCTTATGTAGAAGCTCGATGTGTGCTGTGTCGTCTGATGCTGATGAATTAAGGTAGATTGGGGAGTTTGCTGCATCGTGGTCGGGATCACACCAACGGCAGCGTCATCTCACTGCTGAAAAACAGCATGGCACGCCAAAAGAAATGTGGTTCCCGTGCTTCGTATTGCTTGCTCGTCCATTCAAGCATACCCGAAAGTGGCAGCAATGGGCAGTTGAGCCGTGGCAGCCCTCACCCGGTACAACAGCTGGGGGGAGTCGGGTATCCGCGTGAGAGCGAGAGAATAATGCACATTGTAAAGACAAATACTTGGCCAAGGACCGAGAATAGTGGCGAGGCTTCTTCATGGTGTGACTGATTGACAGGGGACCACGGCGAATCGAAGAAACTCAGCGTATGCAGACTGTGCTTTCCTTGCGTTGAATGCTTTGTACTGAATTGTCTCCCTCGAGTAATTATTGTGACTGTGAAAACTGAATAGAATGGGTTGTCATTTTTGTCGATGGAAGATAGCAAAGGCAGGCTGATTGTCGCCGAGCCGTCCTGTTCGGAACTAGGCGAGCAGCGCTTTTCCACGTCACATGTGTCGAATCTTGACAGGGTGGTCGTGATGGAAGATTTGACCTATAATCTGTCACCTCTTTGGACTAGGTGAAGGAAGATTCAACTTGAAGTGCGAATATGAATCAGGACTGAAGCAAAAAGGCCGGCTATAAAATGGTCAGGCTCGCCGTCTCATGACTATCCTGCATGTCCAGCCACTTTGCACCGCTTACTTACCTTTCAAGATCTGAATACGAAGATGACCTATTCGATAGATCTGCTGAGCGACGCCTCCAAGAGGGCCGAGGAGATATTTTTCCAAGCTGGGAATAATAGCTCCCGAGCTGCTCGAAATAGGTGCTTCCATGCCATCTGTGCCTTTAATGAAGTCGATCTTGACGCACCGGCTAGTGAACGGGTTGCGGCTTGGAACAAGTAAGTCAACATTTCGGCTACCCGTTGTGGACATTCGCAAATAGCTTCCAGAATCGTGGCGCCCTTTGAGAACTGCAGTACGCGGGACGAGGTGGTAGCCACAGCCGATATCGCATTCGAGGATCCATCCATGATTCCGTCTGCAACTCTCGTCAAGGCTCCGATCCACATGGACTATCGACTCCGAGTCCGCGTCGCGCCGACAGCGTTTATCAATCGCGGCTGCAGTATTGTCGACACGCCGGTGGCAGATGCGAGAATTGGAGAGCGTGTCAACATTGGATCTAACGTGACCATTATCTCCGCGGGCCACTCGATGACAGTCGACAATACTCGAAGCGACCGAGCTGTGGTAGCGAAGTCATCATCGGCGACTGTGCTTGGAATGGAGCCGGTGCCACTCTACTGTGCTGGGTGGAGATTTGAACTTTCCGTTATGCAAAACTTTCCGTTATTGTTGCAGGCCTGGGCCCTGATGTCGACATTGGATGCCACAGCATCATCGGGGCTGGGAGCCCAGTGACCAAGAATGTCTTGGCGTATCATTTCGTAGTTGGGAACCCAGCAAAGGTAATGGGCCCAGTCGGCAGTGAGGTCGCGACGAAGCCAAAGGACATCATCCTGACTCTCGAGGATGCACTGAGGATGTATTAAACTGTGGTGGAACAACCAACGAGAAGCCCATCGGAGAGGTCCGACACTGGATCAAGGGATCGTCCTGGGCGACAGGGGAAGTGAGACAGTGGGGAAATATCTGTCGCAGCAAAGGCGCTGAAACTGGAGCATGTAATGAAGCCGGCCTGGATTGTGTTCCGTCAGCGAGAGCCGGATGGTGGTGGTGTTGATGATGAGTGGGATCATTGGGATGTCGTGCCTTGCATGCAGACATTTCGTACCTACATTGTGCACCGATGGAATCAGTTCTCGCCTTCCCATCTTGCAATCGCTGCTGTTACAGCGCAGGTACCGCCTGTAGGCGCCAAGGAACACCCCTCCGCGACCCCTCCAGACCCTCCAATTAAGGCCCATTACAGTATTTATGCGGCTGGCCCCCACTGAAGCAATCCTTGCGTCGGCGGCTTCCGATGGTATTCACTGCATTCAGTGGGTCACCAGCAAGGCACCAGCAAATGGATCGTCGCGAATCGCGGGGTCCATCGCCAAAAGAGCAGGAGCGAGAAAAAAAAAAAGTGCCCGTGCTTCCGCGCGACCAGCATCATCCCGTCGGTCCTTTTCAGCGCTGTCTGCCTGGACTTTTTTTTTGTTCCTCTTCTCTTTCTTTTTCTCTCTCTTGGGCACTCATCTCAGCCGTGTGCTCCCTCGTCGCCTCTTGCTTTACCTTTCCTTCTTCCTCGTTGTGATACCCCCGACTACAATACCGCCAAGATGCCTGAGAAGCTCTACGTCACCTACAACGATGTAAGTGCCAAGTTCCAACCCCTCCTACCCCGCCACCCCGCCGTGATGATGGCTGCGGCGACGATGATGGTGGGCCACCTGCGCGAAATGGACGCGATACCTGGATGGAGCGAGCAGGATGAGCAGACGCACCGGAAGCAGCTCTGCGCAAGCCCCCTGTGCACGTACAAACGCAGCGTTGTTGCACCATCATGACGGGAATCGTGGGGAAGTGGAATGGAGAAGTTACATGACAAACTTGACGCAGCACTGACAGGCAATTCACTAGGTCCACAGGCTGTGCCAGCAGTCGGCTGGCAAGCTTCTCGCCGACTTCCAGCCCCAGCTCATGATCGCCATCGGCGGCGGTGGTTACGTCCCTGCCCGAATTCTGCGATCCTTCCTTAAGCAGCCCGGCTCTCCCAACATCCCCATTCAGGCCATCGGTCTCTCCCTCTACGAGTCGCTAGGCAATGACGAGGTCGAGGAGCCCGGTACCAAGGTCACCCGCACCCAGTGGCTCGACTTGACTGCCCTGGGTGAGATGGAGAACCTTGTCGGCAAGCGCATTTTGATCGTCGATGAGGTCGATGACACCCGAACCACACTGGAGTACGCCGTCAAGGAGCTTGAGAAGGACGTCGAGGCCGCCCGTCTGCGTATGGGTGGCGATGCCCCCAAGACCCAGTTCAGCATCTTTGTCCTCCACGTACGTCCCATACCACCGAGTCTATAAATGCGTCGGTGTCACATGCTAACACCGTCTAGAACAAGGACAAGCCGAAGAAGGGCACGCTCCCCCACGACATGCTGTCCAACGGCTACCAGGCTGCTCAGACTGTGCAGGACGTTTGGATCTGCTACCCCTGGGAGGCCATCGACATTGAAGAGCACGACAAGCTCGCCAGCCAGCAGACCCCCAACGGCAACTAGACAAACTAGTGTACGAAACTAGAAGCTCCCAGACCGGACTCACGGCTACGATGAATGAATATCTTGCAAGAATTTAAAATAAATATCGTCCTTGATTCTCCTGCAAATCTGATATTTATCTTCGAGCCATCGCCTGTGATGTCTCGTCTAATCTACTGCTCTAATCTACTGCTGTGCTGACTCCTCTCAGTCTTGGATATTCATGTACATGCTGCTTCCGTCCGAATATTCCTTAAATCTGTCTTTCCTCCGCTTCTAACTCCCACCTAGCCTCCAATCTGCTAATAAACATGAGGGGAAGACACCCATCTCTGATATAAGTGTTCCGCTCGCAAAGAACCGCGGCGCTTGTTTTTAAATATGCGCATCGGAATTTCGCCCACATCTGTGGTAACACTCGGTCTGGATCGGGGAGCTGGCTCAGGCTTCTAGCCGTGGCTGGTCGTGGCCAAGTTGAATTGTCCATTATCGTGTCGACCATGTGGGATGTGGCACATTCAGAGGAGGGTTCGATGCGCGTGCAATCGCCAAAGTCGGAGAGCCAGAGAAAGTTGTGGTTTTTATACGTCCCCATCTGAAACTCGACGCCCTTCGCATCCAGCCCGCACGCCCAATGTATTATCGCCAGTGTCGCGCCCATCATGACCACCCAGCATGGGACCCAGCTCGAGGACTCTTTCCATAACTGGTCGAAGAAGACAGGCCGGTCTTGCAGCTCCCCCGTCTGACGATCCAGCTCCGGCCTTATTTCTCCCATGCGCACGCTCAGTCTCATTCCCGAGAACCCAGCATGCTCAAAGGCAGCCTTGTGAAGCCGTGGATCGAGGTACTTCTTGATGAGCGCACGGCAATGGTGAGGGTGGAGAGGATGGATGTATTCCATCATGAAGCCCTCCGCGGTAGTCGAAGTCCCCAGGCGCTTTCGTTGGAAGACTGTGGGTCCTGGTCGAGGGACTTTTGGAATGGGGAATTGAGAATCCTTTACTACAATATTTTGAACCGCCGGCCAGTGCTCCTTTAGTTTGTTGTACACTCGTATATGGGCGGCGAGCTCGTTGTTTGCGTCAAGAGGCTCATTAAAGAGCTTGACGACTTTTGTTCTGGGGCCAATCTGTGTTGTGTAGACCCGGGATTTGTCGGTGACAGCCATCTGCTTCAACAGGAAGCTTGGTTCGTCATCCTGTCCGTCAAATAGAGAGCCCAAAAATTTGCCGAGACGGTTCCGGAGTGGCAGGTTCGCGCGATCCTGTTCCCTAGACAGAGCTCGTGTTGGCTCAGCAGGCCTCGTGACGATGAAGTACATTTTCTGTCCCTTGACTAAGACATGATCCATGGGCAGAGTTTTGTCTTGTGGTGTTTCACCCACGGTGGAGGATGGAGGTTGATGAGGTTCAGTCTCGGCCTGCCTCAGGGCCATGCAATTGTTGCAAGCATGGTTGCGGTTGCCGCGTCCGAGGATGAGGACCTCAAGAGCACTGCGTTGGATGCGGTAGTGGAGCAGGCAAGGAGATGATGATTTGCTGTTAGTTGAACCCATTATGATGTATTGTATATGAAGGAAAGCCTCAGATAATTAGAAGATTGCGAAAGGAAGGACATCTTTCTAGGGAATCGAGACTATTTATACTCGCCGATGAAAGAGTTTGCACTCGGAGTTGAGGGAGCCATGAAGGTGCATAGGAACAGCCATGAAGGTGCATCGGGAGCCATGAAGGTGTCTTGTAAAGTCTATTCATTAAATCATCAAGTCTATCAAATACACGGTCCCTCTATGCATGGGACCATGGCGGGTATATGCTCTTTGTACCTGTCGCCTCTACCTTGTTGTCGCTCCAACTCGCAAAATCTCGTCTAGTTGCCCGCCGAAGCCTCTCGCTCATGCATCTCCTTTAGTCGCTTCTCTTGCTTCATGAACTCTCTAATGCCCACCGGCACACTCTCAAAGACATCCTTAGCCCAGAGGTCCTTGGCGATCTTGGGGCCGGTGCTCGGTGTCCAGTTGGACTCTGAACCGCCACCATCGTCGTCCACGGACCCGGCGCTCTCGGCAAGCGCCTTCTGCGCGGTGGCATTCTGGAGCGCCCACTCTTCCATCTCCTCGCGGAACCGTTCCCACACGCAGTTGACGCACCCGCTCATGCAGCAGTTGTCGGGCTCTTCGGGTTTGGGGGGCACGAGGATGCCGCCGATGTACGTCGACTGTGACTTCTTGGTTGCGAGGCGGACAGCCATCTCCTCGGGGGTGAGCACGCGCGAGCCGAAAATGTTGCGCACCCGTTCTTCCGGCGTTTGCTCTGCTGGACTCGACGTGGTTTGGCTTGTGCTTGCCGGCGTGGGCGAGGACGCAGAGGTGTCGGCAGGCGAGACAGTAGGGTCGGTGGACTTGGGTAACTCGACAGGTCTCGGCCTGGGCGGCGGCGCCTTGAGGATGCTCTCGTAGTAGGGTCCCAACGGGGTTCTCTGCGGCCACTCTTCGACGGCGGCCTTTGGTGCACTCGCGAAAGCCCGGGTGCTTGTAGCCGAGGACCACAAGGGTCGCAACCGAGGGGCCAATCGCGCTGGAACTGACATGGTCAGGAGAAAGGCAGAAAAGACCGAGGGTTATCGAGGCTGCATCCGTGGCAGGTTGGTTGTGTGTTGAGTTGAGAGTGGCGATCCGGCTCAACGGGGCTTTAACACTTTCTTGGAGTCGTGACTCGGAATTCCGTGCTTTGCCTCGGACGTCATCGGGCGGGATGACCGATGGAACTAGCATCTTGGAGTGCAGGGTACGTACCTGCACCTGACCAAGAGCGTCACGTGAGCTCGCGTATTACATGTCTTCGCGTCGCTCATCATAACTTGGAAGTAAGAAGGGCGATTTCGTGTGGCCCAAGATCCGACACGCAATTGAACACTGAATATCACCGAAATTATATGTCTTGGACGAGCCGCTCGGGTCTTCGGGAGTCTCTAAGTGTCAACGTCCTTCAGTGGCTTGGCTTGTGCTTGTCTTGGTTGTAGCTCGCTAAATTTGGCAGGCGGTGAGGCCCACCTTTGGACGCGACTGGTCCATGTAAACAATCGCCGCATGCGACACCACTAATAATCGCCCGCCGTCATAGCTTCAACTCAGCGTGAAAGCAAGCGGACAGAGAGGGAGACATGACAGACACCTGCGAAACATAACAACACAGAAACCGGCAATGGAGGAGTCTGCACCAAAGCGGCGACGCACATCGCCTCGCACCTCTCTCGACATCGCTGGCGCATCCCCGACTCCCACATCGCCAGACGCCGAGACTACAGCGCGACGGAAACGCCCGTCTTTCGCCTCGCCGACCAAAGCAAGCCTTGCGCACCACAATCCAGAAATCCTCGAGAGACGGCGCTCCGCATCCCCCCAGAAGAGCCCCAATGTCCGCCGCGCCTTGTCGCAGGACCCGAGAAATGACCCGGTAGAGCAGAGCCCGTCGGAGCTCTTGGCGATCCGCCTGGCGGACAGCGTGCTGGAGAGCGACGTGGGAAGGACGGATGATGCAGAGCCAACGCCTGGCGCAGGCCGGTCAATTCGACGCGCAGGAGGAAGCATGGGAGCGGCAGCGAGGCGAACACCAAATAGGCCGAACCCGCGTCCATTACCACCACCAGGTTCCGACGAGGAAGAGGAGGCCAATCCATTCCTTGGTCGAGTCCTCCGACGATCACCTCCGCCGAACGCGCCTGGCCTTCCTTCTGCCTCGATACCCGAGTCAGAACTCGAGCCCGAGTCCGAAATCCCCGAGCCAGAGTTGCCGCCTTCTGTACCCGATATCGTTTCGTCGACTCCGCCCCGAGGAATCCACTCGAGCCCGTTGCGATGGAGGGAGAAAAGCAAGCCTAAGAGCTCTCCCCTTAAGCAACCCCCCGCTCGAATATCCGAGAACTCGAGCTTTCCAACAAAGAGCATATCTCGGCCGTTATTTGGAAAAGAAGCTCCACGGCAGACTGTGCCTGTTGAAGAGCCGTCAGCCAACCCGAGGAAGCCTCGTGTCTTTGACCCGAACGCGACGAAGAAGAACGAGAGAGACGCTCTGCGAGAAGAGATCGAGGAGTTGAGAAAGGACCTGGGAACGGCGCGAGCGGAGAATGAACGCATCAGAGTCATGCAGAAATCAGGTCGCGTACTGGCGCCCTCTGATCCGGACAAGATTATCGATCTTGTACAACGTCAACACGTCGCGGAAAGTTCTCGGTCACGACTTACGTCGTCTCAACGGCTCGTCAAGATGGCACTGAACCCCATTGGACTGCTTCCATTTGGGAAGCCGCCAGCTCCAGCGCCCTTGGTGTCCAATGACAAGGAGGAGGAAGAAGGAGAGGAGCTCAATATCAAGTCCCATCACCCAGTCCCTATGACGGCCGAGGAAGAACTTCCCTATTTGGAGTTGTTCAGCCCCTTCTCTCTTACTTCAAAACTCTCAGTCCTCCCAGAAGAGGCAGACCAGCCATTACGACAGGTACATTCGATCACTCTACGGTCCCGCGAGTCTCCTGGGATGTTCACGTCACGGATTGAAATGACAGTCAGCGCCATGGACCTGACCATTCTCGACCTGAAGGTGGCTGCACTGGAACCTGCCGCGAAGGCAGAACTAGGACCATTTGTCGAGAAAATTTGTGCCGGAGACTGCAACCGAACCATGCAGCGGAATGTTGGCATCCTGTCGTGGGCTATGGGGGAGTGGGTACGAGTTGCGACGGAGCGCGCAGCTTTTTGGTGCCAGTTGGAGAAGGGTCTTGGGTCGAAAGGTGCAGTGCTAGAAGCAGCGGGGAAAATGCGAACACGGAAATCCAAACGAAGGAAGGACGACGAGGAAGATGAAGAAGCTGCTTCAGAAGACGGCACCTTCAACAAGGCAGATCTCATACGATACCTGGGTCAACAATGGTTTGAGGTTTCAATTCCGAGCGACGACGAGGGTCCGAGAGCCGTGCGGCTCGAGTGGAAGACTGGGTTTGACTGGACGGGAGAGGCCCAGATTAAGCTGGGGGCCATGGTTGGCGTTCCAGGGAAATGTGAGTTTTCATTTTGACCCTTTCTGTTACTATTTACTGACGTCTTGCACAGGGCATCAAATGGATGAACGGGGGGCATTGGGCAAGATCCCCGAGCTGTTTGCAGAACTAGTGGAAGGCGGAGAAAAGCCAGAGGTAGCAGTCCGGACAATTGTAGCATTAGTGGCTGGAGACATGGCATGATTTTGTGGTAAAGGCACGAACTGAGATACGAAACGATGATCGACTTCATGAAGTAGGCAGGGCTGCCCCGCAGAGGAGGGTTCAGTGGCACGAGGCGCATTGTATGAGAGAAGCAAGACCAAGATACCATCAGGAGTACGACTGTGATTAAGTATATTTGGCCAAATGATATAGGGCCTGGATGTGTCTGTAGTATCTTACACTCCGTTCTTTTTCTCTATGTCCATTACATGATTCCTGTGTCGGTCGTAGCAGGCGTGCTGTTTAGTCGACGTCGACACCCAGCTTTCGCAAGTCAACCTTGGCCTCGTCAATCTCCTGCATCAGCTCCTTGTGAGCATCGGGGACGTCGTTGAAGGTGAGGATGCCCAGTCCGAGGCGGAAGAGGAGGTATGCGCCGAACGAGACGAGGGCCCAGAAGGGGAGCTGTCCTTGTATTAGCCTGCTGTCGCTTGCCCAGAGCGGACGGAACGTACTACGGGGACAATCTGCTCCTGCACAACGGGAGGGAGAGGAATGAGCTCGAGGAAGAGGGCGAGGTAAAGCTGCGGCGCACAAGGTTAGCGAACCGCCCTGTGGTTGATCGGTTCAGGAGAGAGGCGGGAGTCCTACGGAGGAGACGAGGAGGGCGAGGGAGATGGTCTGCTGGGCGCGAGTCATGATTGCGGGCGAGGGTGACGGCGAGTCGAGTTTCGTAAAAGGAGAGACGGGGGAGAGCGAGGGTGCGCAAGCGGGCGGGTGGTGAGGGCGATGGCACAGTTGCGATGCGATTGATTATCTGGCTGCTGCTCGCTGAGGAGACGTGTAAGGTGTGTCAGGGGGGCGCGTTTGGTGGTGGGAAATTTGGGATGACTAAGGGGGCTTAGTCATCCGGTTGCAGACACGGGCGTCTAAGCCAACTACACCAAACCATCCACACAAGCATCCACACGATGCCTGTGGATGAACAAGTCTGGACGTGTCACTTGGTGCATTTTATGTCTACCTGTATACAGAAAAAAATACAACTTTTACTTTGCAGTATTTGGTTCGTTGTTGGAATGCATTTAGTGCAGACCGAACCGGAGACAGTCTATGGATATTGCAGGAATCTAAGTCTAATGGGAGGGAAGTAGGAAATCTAACAAGAGCTGCTGCGAGAGCTGGCTAAGAAATTGAAGAAAAAACAAGAAGCGTATATCAGAAACTAGAGAAGGGGAAAAGTATCCGCGCTCAATTGCTCAAGCATTGCAGTGACTTTAAAAGTCGCGGCTAGTCTGCCCGACAGTCATTAAAACACCAGTGCGGGCTCTCCAGCACCACACCAGTCAAAAGACTCGACGTCTTTTTCGAAGATCAAATTGCAAAACAGATGAAAGCAAAAAAAAATAATGGAAAAACAAATAAAGGAAAAGACAAAAGAAAAAATGTCGCCCAAATAGCGCTTATGATGATCAGGATGAGACTAACACAAGGAGCTCATTTCTTTCCCTTCGACTTCTTGGAGGTGGAGCGAGCTGTTGGTTTGGGGATTTCCCTCCTGACGCGAGCGAGTTCGTTGTCATATTTGACGTCTAGATCTTCGATTTCCTTTTGATTCTGCGCTGCCCAGGCCTCGCTCTTTTCTTCCAGTCTTCTGTGGTCTCTGGCAGCCTGTTGATTCTGCTTCTGCAAGATGGTCATTTGGGCAGGGAGGTTGCGAGTGAATTCAGCTATGTCGTTGAGATGCTTGATGTCTTTGGAGGTCTCTTGATGTCGCGTCTCGGTATTTTCTTCGAGCTTCTTGATATCCTTGACATTCTCCTGATGTTGTGTTGCTAGAGCCTCACGCTTTTCGTTGAGGTCCTTGATGTCTTTGGAAGCCTCTTGATGTTGCGTATCGGTCTTTTCTTCGAGGTTCTTGATATCCTTGGCATTCTCCTGATGTTGTGTTGCTAATTCCTCACTCTTTTCGTTGAGGTCCTTGATACCTTTGGCAGTCCCTCGATGTTGTGCCCTTGAGGTCGCAATATTTTTGTTGATGTTCTTGATACGTCTGAAAATATCTTGATGTTGTGTATCCGTCTTTTTTTCGAGGTTCTCGATATCTTTGACCATCTCCTGATGTTGTGTTGTTAAGGTCTCATTTTTTTCGTTGAGGCCCTTCATGCCTTTGGCGATCTCTCGATGTTGTGTCATTGAGGACTCACTATTCTCGTTGAGGTTGTTGATATCCTTGGTAACATCCTGTTTGAAGTCGTTGACGACCTCGTTCACACGCTGAATCTGCGTCGAGGCGGAATTGATATCTTTGGCAACATCTTGTTTGAAGTCTTTTGCGGCCTCCGTCACCTTCTGAAGCTGCTTCGAGATGTAATCAATTTTTTGCTGTTGTGCATCGCTCTTTTCTTCGAGGTTCTTGATATCTTTTGCAGTAGATTGTTTGAGGGCTTCGACACCCTCGGTAACTTGCTGAACCTGCGTTCGAAAGGAATCGATGTTTGCTTTGACGTCCGAGACGTCCCTGGTCACCCGATGAAGGTCCTTCTGACAGGCGTCGATCTGGCGTCTATCGTTTTCCGAATGCTGTTGTAAGGTGGCGATATTCTTGTTCGCTTCGGCAACTTGTTTTCCCAGTTTTTTGATGCTCTTGTTTTGGCGATTCCTTGTCCTCTTTTGGCGATTCGTTGCCTTCTTTCGAATCATTCTTTCCTCATTGACCGTAGTCTTGAGCGCTTCGATGCGATGGGGAATATCGTCCAATCTCTTCTCCAACTTCTCCATCTTCTCGACCAGTCTCTTCTCCATTTCCTCGGCCAGTCTCTTCTCCGCCTTCTCCATCTTCTCGGCCAGTCTCTTCTCTATTTCCTCGACCAGTCTCTTCTCCATCTTCCCCATCTTGTAGTCTTCGGCGGCTCGTTTGGCATCATATACGGCAGCCCAAATTCGTTGTTCCTCATCTGGGCGTTCCCCCAGTGTAGTGTGCATGGGACGGGAATGCAGCATGACGTTCGGCGTATCAGGTTGTGAGATCGAATGCGACGAAGGACTCGGTTTGAGGTCCCGTTTGAGGTCCGGTTGGGGACCAGTGGTAGCACGGTTGATCTTCTGTGCTCTGCCGCCTTCCTGCGAGTCACCGAAGGGCCGCTCGGGGTTGGAGCCCATCTGGGATCCTGTGATCGCTTTCCCAGTGCTGCCTTGTTTTCTGGGTGCTATTTTATCGATCTGGAGAGAATATGGTCGTTGAGAGATTCGTGGTTTCAGATGAAGCGAGTTTTGGTGTACGTCAAGAAAAGGATAATGTTTGAGCGAGAATATCCCAGAGGCCGCCTGGCAAAGTCTGCCCTGACGTACCTCCACGGCTCTACACGCAGAGCTGCCCAGCCTCGAGCAGGCTGCGGTGCCCAACACCGCCGACACTGCCCCCTGCCGGCCCTGTTGCGACCAACTTCTGCTGACTTCTAGGCCCCATCACCTCGCCCTGGTTGGACATGGACGGCACGGTGTGGCGTCCAATAGATCTCACTCGCAAGGTGTCTTCACTGCTGAGCTGAAATGAGGCGGCCAGAACAGGCGACCACAGTGTGGCGGTGAATTGGGCGTCGACATCAATTCGGCTGTGCAATTGACCAGCCGCATGTTTCTTCTATACCTGACATTCGAAGTTGTCACACTCTCCTATGTTCGAGAGTTTCTTTGCTATCATATGGTGAGTTGTGGTTTACTTGATCACAGGCAATCCAATGATGAGAAATCACGAGCACTCTTTTATTCTGCGTATCTATCCAGCCGTTTATCCAAACATCCATCTACATGCCAAGCACTTGTCTAAATTTGCACTTAATGTGTACTACAAACGCGCAACGGAAAATGTACCCTCTGTAGCAACCTGCTCCTGCGGCCTGCACCCCGCGACTTGAACCAAGTAGTCGTTTCCATCTACAGCACAATCGCGCCGTACCTTTTAGGGCATAGACAATTGATCACAGCTGGTTACCATAGGCCCGTCGGGCTGTATCCCGGCGCCTTTCTTCAACAACTGGTTCGGGGAGGGCATGGCTTCTGTGCTCATCATAGCTTCTGTGCCCGGCACAACTTGGACATAAGAAGCGAATCGGTACGAAGTAATGTCTTTCGCAGGGCAAGCCTCCATCTTGCCTTGTTCGGCGTACGCCTCCCATTCGCTCGTCCACTTCTTCAATTCATCAAGACTCGTTCTCAATTGGCCGAGATCATGTTCGATCTGCTCCGTGATGCTAATGGAGGAAAGATGCGTGATGCCCTGACTTCGCTTCTGCTTGTTGGTGACAATTTCGCGAACCAAAGATCCCACCTTCGACCCGGCGTCAAAAAGCCCCTGTCTGACTTTGAAGTAAGGAATATCTGCGTCGATAGGATTGCCTAAGACATCCTGTGTGACTTCGTATACGTACATAAGGTGGTAGACGGGAAGGCTTAGCAAGTCGAACTCTTTGTCTCTCGAAGCGTGAAAATGGAAATTTTGCCATCCAAGACACGCATCGGTATCAGTGGCCCTGCAGATCTGCCATTGTTGCCTGTCACAGAGTCCGGCGGCATGATTTGGGCAGTGATATCCTGAAGGGTTGCTTGTTGACTTCCACCACTCCCTTCTTCGAGGAGTATTTTGCTGCCTAGTGGGCTCAAAAGGATTGTAGATTAGCAGACCACTGTCAGGGTCGAGGATGCAGGGATCGCGTTCCTCACGCTCCTCGCGCTCGGACTGGTGGACGAAAACATTGAGACACATATTAGCAGTTGTGGGTATTGAACAAAGTAGTTTCTCGTGTGTTGGCGTGTTGGGTAAATGTTGTAAGTGATGGTCTGGATCCTTGTTATAGTTGAAGCTGAAATAACACTGCGCAAACCATAGCTTTATATTTCCTAATCTTCTCTACTTTGCAGTATCTGCAACAGAACATCGATGTTTGTTATGCCGCTGATGGACTGTTTTCCCAAACGATGCATAGATCAAGGTGAATACAGTGAACACACTGGAACACAACTAATTTTGAAGTTATGCTTGTAATGAAATGCGCTCATGTTCTTATGATTTGTCTTGAGGACACCGAACGGGAATGCGAACATCGGGTCAAACACGCAAGCATACATGCTATCTGGGAATTCCAGTCACTGAGATCACGATGCCCATGACTTGGCTTGGAAGTTGGCTGTAAAGAAATATTTCACGTCCCTTTGACTAGAAATCATAACGAATACAGCAATTGCATAAGATCACACGCCTTTGTTCTGAGATGTTGCTGGGCAGCTAGCGCCGTCAGTTCAAAGGACAGCCTTCGGCTTCAAGCAGGTCTCGGCACCCAGACAAGGGGATGCGATATGAGGTCGGACCTCGGTTAGGGAATGTCACCACTGTAAATACGTTACCGGACTCTCTTAGCTGGGTCTGCCTTCTTTAAGAGACGACAATTGACCTGTGCCGAACGTTCCCGTGTCCTAAGGCTTGACTTATGCCGCCTGGGCTGAATTGCTTCGTAAGATCTTCAAATAAATTTGCAAATAACAATAAATTATGGAAATTAATGGCTGATATTAAGCCTTAATTATACAAGAGAAAAACAAAGCACAAACATCCAATGTCCTTTCTCCAGCCAGCTTAAAATTCAGCCTCTACATCCCTTGATTGCAAAATATTATCACAGCCTCGAAATATCTACCGAGCTACAGGGATCCAACATAATGCAAACCTAATGATCTATTCTCCAAAACTCTTAGGAAAATACCTAAAAACTTCCTTGCTTGCTACCTATGCAGCGGGATCGTTGCTTCAGAGGCTGCGTAAGTTGGCAGAGCTTCCGGATCAGTTTTCAGAAGCAGTTGATAAGGAATGATCGGGGCGCCGTACTCCGGTACAGCTTGAAAGAACTCGGCGAATGCATCAAAGTCGAATCCATCCGCCGGGCATGGCTCCATCTTATAGTCCGTGGCATACATCCTCCATATTTTGGTTAGTACCATCAACTCATCGATGGAGTCCTGCAGGTGCTTGCGGGCGTCCTTGAGGCACATGAGAAGATATTCATCATCGCAAAAAGCCGCTCTCTGGGCTGCCAGTTTCTTCCTGGACTCGTCAAGTTGCTGGGTCCACCACTGAACCTGAGTTCCAGCTTCCCAAAAGTCCTTTCTCAGTTTGATATAGGAAGCATGTTTGTCACTGGAGACATGTTTATTGCCAGGAGGATGCGGCGGGCCCATCTTGGATAGGAAGCTCTCATCCCTGCTGGGAGAGACCACGTGGAAGGTCTGCCACTCAAAGCAGGTCTCGCCATCCTCAGCAATGCACTTCGTCCATTGGTTCTTGATGCACGCGGTACTGTCATCGTGAAAATTGCAGAAATTCTCCCTGAGAGCGCCTCCGTAGTGGCGCTCTTCCGTGATAGTTTCGTATGGGTTGAAGAATTTGTCGCTACTGAAGGGATCGATAACAGCGGGTCGGCGAATCTCAATCTCAGATTGGTGATGAACAATTATCACACACATGTTTGCGGTTGATATGGGTTTGGTGAAGTGATGCCTAGGGTTCGTGCGGGTGATGAATAATCTGATATGATGGGCAGCAAAGTGCAGGCAGAGGCCTTTTTAAATCCACAAACTTAGTTGTGCTCTCATAAAGACGATTGATTGAAACATGACATACACCCTTGTTTCAGAGAAAAAGGGTTATTGGTACCGGAAAGCCTTTATTTGGGGCACAACCCTCCGTGACCCTGAACAAAGCCTGAAAGAAGACCAAGTGTTCTGTAAGCACTGGTAATTCTGATTACAAGTAACAAAGAACATATCGTGACACAATAATAATCATCATCTGGAGCTTTCGGGCACTGAAATAGCAGTCACGGCGATAATTGGATGCGGTACATGACATGCGCTTAAAGGGAGGTGAGAGTGATTAAGAGGAGAATGTAATCAATTATAGTCGATGCCAACCGTTCTATTCAAATTTCAAGTGGAATTTCACAACTATCTTGAACCAGCCAATTCCCCCGACATATTTAAACGAGCACCGGCAGCTTAGCCTATGCCACCATCTACATTCCAGTCATGACCGCGTCATGGCTTTCCGAGGCAGGGGATTCCGGCAAATCTTCACCGACGTGGTCAACTACGTGGACCCGACAAAGGTCCAGTGGCTCGGTATGCTTGAGCAATTGGTTGGGCGACATTCTGGTCCCCGCGCTTGGTGGGACTTCAAACAACGAGGCAAAGGGATGCTTCTCGAATCCTTTGGATGGGCATAGCTCCATCTTGCCTTGCTCTGCATACTTCTCCCATGCCGTTGTCGCCTTTTCCAACTCTGTGATGCTTTTCTGCAGTTTGATGCGAAGATATCTGATGGTCGCTAGAGAATCCTTTCCATTTTCTAAAATGTACTGCTTTTTGTGCCAGTTGAGCCGTTCAGTGTCCATGGCGAGGTTTTGACCGGCGGTGAAAAAGGCCTGTCTGACTTTAACATAGGGAGCCTGGGTTGCGCTAGTCTTCCTCACATCATCTAATAAGTCCACTGGCTTGCCGAATGTGGATATCAGCGAAGCCATGGTTTGGTTTGCGCCCCGGCTGTGGACGACGACGTTGAACCCCTCCCAGCCATGGCACGCCGACTCATCATCTTTGTGATTACAGATATCCCATTCTCCCTTGGTGCAGGGTACCTCGTTATCTTCTTCATCCCTCTTTTCATACAACACGGAGCAATATGGCATCTGAAAGGGATTGTACACGGTCAGGCCGCTTTCGGCGTTGATAATGGATTCAAAGCGAACGTCACTATCAGCTTCGTGGACGATGAGAGTCAGACACATGATGGAAGATGGTGTGATATTAGAATAGCTGGTGGTGTATTGCGTGAACGCTGTGATGATACACGTGAGTACGGAAGCAGGTTTAAATATCCCCACATCCACCTCCAACTGGTTTGCCCATGATGGTTGTGTTCCAGCACAAAGGGACATTTCCGTTGTGTAGCCGTTGTTCAGGCTCGAATGAAAGGTCATGCAACCATGAATCATGAACATCAAATCTCAATCAAGGTTGACAAAGAGCAGTTCGTGGTTTGAGGCGGGCTTCAAAGTATCCGTCTAATGAAGTCCAAGCCATGTCACTTTAACCATCGCTGGATCGGGGAAACTGTCACTTAGACCTAAACTAATAATTGGGTGGACGACAGTGGCCAAGAAGGAAATCCAGCAATTAATTTGGAAATTTGCACTGCGTTAGAAACAATAGCTAATTAATATTCTTTGCATACAAACCCTCATCTCAGAGGAATCGCCGTGAACGGATCCTTCCCATCCCTCAACACCTTCATCAGCAACTCCAGCCTCCCATCAATCCTCCGATCCAACAGCGTACAGGCCTCCTCCGGCGTGAGCCCGTCCTCCTCGCACATCTGCTCCACCTTCTTCACAATCTTGAGCCGCTTGCCCACGTAGTTACTCCCGTACTTTAGCTCATGGAGCGTCCCTTGGCGCCAGGACGTGCTGTACTCGCGCTCCAGGAACTCGAGCGATGGGTTGCCGTGGAGCCCGTGCTTCCACTCCTGCCACACGAGGGCTATGCGCTTGGGCATGCGGGTGAATTTGTACGGCTGTCCTCCGGGAGGGCCGGTGGCGTAGTGAGTCCCGGTGCTTCGAGGCTTCGCGTATCGTGGCTTGCCGGCTGGTTGTTGTAGGGTAGCTGGCGCTCGTTGAGTGGCAACTTGAGGCCCTTTGGTGACGGCTCGAGACGTCTTAGTGGGAGCTGGAGATACTTCGTTGGAGGTTGGCCGCGCAAAGGAAGAAACCTCTAAGCTGGAAGGCCCTTCTTCGTGATAGTCTTCATCCTCGTCATCATCATTTTCGTCGTCCTCATTCTCGCCAGCACTACTTGGCTCATAGTTCGACCCAGCATCTCCATCCACCGAGATTGCATCTGCAAGAGATTCCTGTTCTGCCGGTTGTCCGTTGATCGCTTTCCACCTCACGCGCATTCTCGTCATGCGCGGACCTGAGGGGGCTTCGGACGGAGAAGGACTATACTCAACATTACTCCCCTCATGCCCCCGACGCCGGAATGTAAGCCGCCTCTCCGCCTCGCAGTATTCGAGATCCTTCAGCGTCTTGTCCAGTTTCATTTCGTAAATGTCCTTGGATGACATGCCCACTCTCCGCTTGATCTTGCGCTGCGTCCGGGAAGGGGGGAATTTTCGCTTGATGGCTTTTATTCCAGTGCTTCGCAGGGGAGAAGTGTAGAGGTCGGGGGTGGGCAGTGGTAAGTCAACGTCGTCTCTTGAAATGACGATGCTTGGGGTTGGAGGTTGAACATTTTCGGCATCGGCCAAGGTCGTGGTTTCTAAGAGATCTGTATCAGGGTAGCCATCGTCAGGAAGCTGCGTAGTTTCTGGGATATCGTCATCGTCGTCATCATCGTCGGCGTCAACGGCCTGCTCGTTTTCCGGCTCGTCCCCGTACACAGTCTCCAGTACTGGTTGCTGATTTAAGGAGAGAAGGTTATGAACTGCCTCCAAATGTTCCCCTCCTAGCCTTTGTGCAATCTCCATCTCGGGGTTCCGCGCTCCCTCCCCAATGGCGAACTGGCCCTTCTTGACCTGCTCCATGAAGCCCACGAAACCGGCCATGAGGATGACTTGCGTCTGAATGCGTCTCTCCATTTCCTCCATCCGCTGCTGCATTGCGTCGCATTGCTTCTGGAGCGACTCGCTTCGTTCCTTCTCCCCCTCAAGCTCCGCGGCGTAATACTCCTGCATATTGACGACGGCCCTGGCCACACTGATGGGGACATTGTCGACATTCTCATCGATGTCAGTTTGTCCGGGGTCTCGAATCGCGATCTGGGTATTGGAATTGTGATGCGTTTGCGAAGGATCCTTCTGGGAACCTCTCTGTCGGCCGTTCTTCGTTCCCGGCGTCGCAGTTCGGGTCGAATGCCGATGTGGACCCCGCCCCGGCGCCGGGCCCACTAAATCGGAGTGCGGTTCCGGAGATTGCTGCGGAGTCGGAAGCATGGCCGGCGCCGCCTTTGCCATGGTGTTAGAAGACTCGCGCATTTCGCGAGGTGGCTCAAGTCCCCATTCCATCCTGATACACTTCGGTCGCGCAGTGTTTGCCGTGAATGTTTCCGTCGTGGAACTTGGTTCGTTCGCAGGCTGATGCTGCAGATTGTCGTCCTTTCCTGATTTCCGTGCTTAGCCACTTCTGGTTGATGTTGTTAGTTGCTTAACGCAATCACATATTCCTCAAAGGACCGAAGCGAAGCGATTCGTTTTGTGAAAAATATATTCGTCAAACATTGATATGGGGCTGTCACTGTTCAATATATTCTCTGGCCAGTCCCCGTGCGTCCTGGCAACAAAGAAATGAGTTCGGGCCTCATAGTTTCTTTCACAATTGAACAGATTTAGGTCTCATGACCCAGGCCCCTTGCTTAAAAAAAGTATCAATCCAATGCAAATGTAATTGTGCGGTCTTTGTTTGTTGAAACAAAGGCACCTGAACAGACTCACTACAACCTGATCGTGGTCATCCAACATCATCTTTCATCCATCATTCTTCATCTAGCTGGTCTTTCTATATCATGCTGCTGCTGTATGCTTCAATCAATTATCCTGTATCTTGCGAGCCTGTATGCCATGACGAAAAGCCAGCGGGTATAAAACGCCAACGATGCTACTCCCTTTGCAATGCAAAATGCGCAAAATTAAAAAAAAAAAATCAATAGCGAAAACCAAAGTGGCCAAAGGGATTAAAAGGGTGTGGGCGCGGTGACAACGGTCTTGCGACGTCGCCAGAAACGCCATCCTCTGCGTCGGCGGAAACATCTGTCACGCCCCAGCTTCTCTTCGTCTTCCTCCAGGTCGAGCCTGTACCGACGGACGCTGCCCGATTCGTCGTCAAAGGAGACGTGTCTGTTCTCCTTGGGCACAAAGCACTCCGGGACGAGGTGCTTCATGATCCAACCCTTGACGCCTCTTGTGGCGGCGTCGATGGCGGCGTACTCGAGACGACGGGTGCGGTCGCTGGTCCAGTAATGGGTCGTCTGGGGAGGCGGCGTGGGAGCGGGCGTGGGAGCGACCCGAGCGTCGGGGGAGGAGTCGGCGAGCTGGATTGGCTCCGAGAGTTGGATCGGATCCGGCGACGGGAAGTGGAAGAAGCCATTGGGTTGGGCCGAGCCATTGGAGCGGACGGGATGGAGGGACTGGTTACTGTTGCGGGCACTCTGGTGAGATTGGACTGCACGGCGGAGGGACGGTCTGTTGCGGAAGCGAGACGTCACTCCTCCGCCGCCGTTAGATGAGCCATTGGAGGAGCGCCTCGCGACTGAGGGACGCGAGTCTGAGGGACGCGAGTTGGATGTGGATGCGCGGCGAGGCGGCGTGGTTGACTCGTAGCCGGAGTCCTGCCTCTGCATCTTGGTGGCCGTGGTTGGGCGCCTGTCCCTCATGGCCATGGCCTCGCGTTGTTGGCGTTGCAGCTCGAGCTGCAGGTGCTCGAGATGCTGGAGACTCTTGCTGTCATAGGTGACGGGAGGGCGCGGGGGCGAAGCGGGCTCGAACAGCTCTATCTCGTTGAAGCTGTGGTAGGTCGTTCCCGACGCCCGAGAGCTTGACCGTTCCTCCATGACTGGACCATTCGACGGGGGCCAGGCCGTGCTGCAGTTGTGTTTATGTCTTGCGGTGGTTGTGGTTGTGGTGGCGGTGATTGAAGATGTCGAAGATGAGGTCGAGGACGAGGACGAAGACGAGGCTAAAGACGACGACGGAGACGAAGATAAAGAACTAATAAGATGGTGGCGAGCGGTCGAGTCTTGGGTTTCTCGCAGCCCTGCAATTATACTCCCATTCCCCGAAACCACAAGACGCAATTTCCGGACCCAGCCAGCCAAGTCAGAAGAGTCTCTGCGGACGCGGTGAGGCGAGAGGGCGTTGCGGGAGAAACGAGTCGCCAGACCAGGTTTTGAAGTTGCGGTCTGCAGGCTTCTTATTATGACGACTCTGCAGCGGGGGCACGCCAGTGACAGAAGTGGCAGAAGTAGCAGAAGTAGCAGAAGTAGACGGGCAATAGCGTACGCAGTAGTACTCTGTAGCAGTAGTCGCAGCACCCTTTGGAACCCGGACAGGCCAAGTGGAGGCGGTGCGGGAATAGTGGCCAGGAGGGGCCAAACTGTTAGGGGAAGCTAAGTTACAAGGAGCTACAAGGAGCTACAAGGGAAGCCAGAGAAGAGGGCCAAGGCTCCTGGACCGGGGCCCTGTGTGGCTCTGTGCCTGTCTTGCTGTCTTTGCGGCCGGGGTGATTGGGCGGTGAAGCTGCAGCGCGGTGGATAGGCTAGGGCTGTTGAGAGGAGACGCGAGGAGACGGACGAGATGAAAGGGCCCGGCGCCAGCGTCAAGGCGCAGCCGCAGCGAGTCTACGGGCGGTCTTGCAGCCCGTCTTGCAGGGAGTCTTGCAGCGTCTTGCCGCTCTCGTGCAGTCCTGCTGGGGCTTGTTGGCAGTGGTCTCATGCACGGCGCGAGAATAGCGTCGTGAGGGGAGCGCCTTTGGGGTGGATTTTTGGGGCTGTCGTTTGGCGAAAACCCTTGTCGACTTGCGAGACGGACCGGAGGGCGAAGACCGGTTCGGCTGTTAGTTGTTATTTTGTTGTTATTTCGTTGGGCTGTATTTGTAGCTTGTATTTCGGTGGCACTGCAATAGCCGAGAGGACAATGACCAGCAGGTTCGTGATGATTTCGGTTCCGGTTCTCGCTGGTTTAATAGCTCGGTGACGTGATTAGACACAGCCCGCAGCGCAATCAGGCCAGTTTCTCCGCTGCTGGATAGATCGTCTGCGGTCTTTTGTGGGAAAACGACAATCGTCTGGTGTGCCACGACGGTTCGTCTGTTAGCAACGTATTACTTGATTCCTTGATTCCCTCAACTGCCAAGGTCACCTTACCCTCTCCCAGCTAGTCGTCCCCCGGCCCGATGTCGCAGTGGGGTCCCGGTGGCAATAGTGAAGCCGACGGGTTGGCGATACGGCAGACGGTCGCGAAAAAACAGGATCGCAGGCTAAAGACGCACAACTCAAAAAGCAAGCGTAAACGGGTCCTTGCAGCATGCATGCATCAGGTGGCGACTTGGCTGTGTAAGCAACGTACAGTGCAGTCGATAACGGCTATCCGGCCTGGCATGTAGAACAGGGGCAGTCGGCTTTAATACTGCTCTAGAGAGAGAGAGACAGAGACAGAGTCATCAGATGATGTGCACAGGGCCGTCCTCGTCCTACGCGCTGATGGACTTGTTTCTTCACATGCTAAAGGATTCATCCGTCTTGTCTCTTGTCGCTCGTTGCACGGAGGCCCAATCACCGTTAACCGCGCATCTAGGCGCTGAAACTACGGTGGACTCCTCCGTCTGAGTTGGAGGGGACGATCAATCAAGCCTGATGAGTGAGCGTGAGTGAGTGTGTGGGGTGACTAGAGCTGAAAGGAGAGACATTTGGGGGCCTTGGCTAGGAAGAGGACTCCCAGCAGGGCCAACGGCGGAAGTGTATCTGCTCTATCCCGGGCAAATCACGCTTCATCTCGTCTGGCAGCCGGCAGATGCACACATTCGAAGAAGACGCCCGGAAACCACCCTCATAGGCGAACTGCTTGACGAAATATCGATCTGCCTGCAGGACGTCTGCAGGTCGCGAGCCACCCAAGCCTGCCAGCTTGCCAGCCACCGGACCCTCTCCCACTGGAAGCTGCACGACAATCAGCGTTGACACACCCACTCGCTAGGGTCTCCTGGTCACTGGTCACGCCCGAGGTCCACTGGAGGAGGGACGACAACCACGGGTGGAACAGGGTCCGCAAGAGGGGGGGGGGGGGACGCTGCAATGGAGGGGGCTGCGCATGGATGGGGCACTGGACTTGGCTTTTGCGGGCCGCGGCGCGCTACACAACTTCTGGCTTTCCATCAGGCGGGCGGGCCGCAACTATGGACGACTGGATGGCTGGATGGCTGGACGATAGAGGCGTGCGTGGTGGACAGCTTGCGATGGATGAATGAGACAGATGGACGCTGGCAACTGGCTGGCGATGCTCGGGCAAATGCAAGGAACCACGACCACGCTTCCCCGAGGCAGGAATGGAATGACAGCAGATATACAGCGTCGATCCTATGGAAACCCACCCGCCGTTGGTCAGATCGCTGTACGAATATGTACGAAGCACCCGGCATTCGCACGGGTCCCCACGTGTCGACAGTCAAGTGGGACGCGCCCAAGACGACGCATCCCTGACCGAGCCACGAGTCCATACATCCAAGGCATTGAATTGCCGCTCCTCAGATTCCCCAATACCGTCTCGGGAGCTGGTCCAAGCAGTCGAGCATTCAAGCGCCTAGGTAGTCTCACGACATGTGAAGCAAGGTCCACGTAGGACGACAGCCGTAGCACGTCGTAGATGTATGTCACCGTTCCCTGCCTCAACCTGTTGGCCAGGTATTAGCGCCTCCTTGACGGCGCGCCACAGTTCCAGGCAGGGGAGGCCTCGGCTGCTGCTGATTAACTCGCAGCACCGATGAGACATGAGCGTCCGAAGCCTCAGTCGTCGCTCCGGTAAATTCACGCGTCACCGCCGAATGTCCCTTTGTCCTGCGCCCAACGAACCCCCCCCCGTGATCTGGCATTTGAAACATCTAGATTGTAACACAAGAGTGTAACACCAGATGGACGCTTTTTCATGCCGCCGGCTGAGCTTTGCCGGTCCCCGAAGCGTCGTCCCGAGGTAGGCTTCCCGGGCATCTGAGACTTGTCGGGCCTGCCGCCGAAGCATCTGCCCGTTCGGAGGTGAGGCGTCCAATGGACCTTGGCATCGCCATGAAATGCATCCCGTGATTTGGCCATTCGATGGAACCACAGCCTCGGGGCATGGATCGAAAGAGGGGTAGTACTATGTCGATAGCTCAGAGTCATTAGCCTCCGGTCGGTCGCGTGCACTATGAATCACCAGTGTTCGCACGGCACGGCATGGGAGCCCCGGCCAGCGGGATGGATTAAGATTCAATAAAGCCCGTCCGTACATGAACCTGGGGAAAATAGCATATGATACTGGGCTTGGCGGTCGATGCATCGCCAGGCTGGGCGTCACTAGCCAAGATGATTGATGGTGGCGTGGTGTGCGTACGCTATGCCACAAAACACGAGCGGTGGAGGTCTCGTGGGCGCATTGGTACCGCAAGCAACCCCAAATATAAACGCCACGACTTTTGGGCGTATGGCGGTGACGTTGTTTGGATCATTACCTAGTGTGCCGAGGTGCGTCGCCGATGAAGCACCGTCATTGAAGGTAACCCTACAGCACGAGTACTCCAAGATCCCGAACGTCTCGAAGCTCACCTGGCCAAACCAAAACTCAAAATGTACGAAAATGGCCGAATCGAGTTCCTGACATGTGCACCATGCTACCCTGCTCAATGCACGTTGGCGATCAGCGCCGGGCTTGCTTCGTGGGCTTGGTCATGTGCAGTCGATCAAAACGAATGAAACGGGCGATGCCGGCACTTCAATGCAGCCTAGAGGTCACTAGGGCACAGCCTTTAGAAATACTAGAAGTCGGTGAGACCCAAGCATCTTTGATGCGACACAGAAATCCTGCCCTACGTCTAGAAAGCCTGGATCTAGCAGTACGGGAGGGACATGAGAGGTACGAAAATGATCTTGTGAGTATAAACGCAATTATCGAAAAGATCCTGTGGCTTGGATAGACCGCCACGATTTTGAACCGCGGCGAGAGCCGTTGTCAATCCGAGTCTAGACCGTGCCGTTGGTGATTCCGATACCTGTAAGACATTGGCGTGGGCGGACGGGGAAAGAATGCTATGGAATGTGACGGTAACCTAGGAAAAGCAAACAGTAGTAGGAATGTCTCATAGACCTGGAATGCTTCGTCTCCCCCACCTCATGGGGAAGGTCTGCGTTCTATCAATTTCCGCCAAGCCCTCTCCTTTGCGACCTTGAAGCGCCTTGTTTTGGCCAAGTGTCCATCCACGTTGTCTATATTCGTATAGACGACCCTGGACACGGTGCTTTGCGCTTGTCGCGGCCGTCGAAATTGAATAGCATGTCCTCATGATCCATGGGATGGAATGCTTCGTACCCAGCCTAGAATATGCACTGGAGAAGTGCCACAGAGGCGAAGAATAGACCTAGGATTACTGGGGCTATTAGTCTTTGTAGCTGCTGGCTTTGTTCTAGACAACTTACCCAGATATCTAACGCGACGACTGATCTCTCGAAATCCTCTCAACAACGGGGGGATACCAGCTTCTGCAACAGCTGGTAGTTGCGTCTTCTGATCATCGGGCTTTGTGCGGTCTTCGATCAATCCTTCGGTCTCGCAGATATCGCCTTCTACCGATGCTGTGACCATCCGAAACTTAGCAACTTCCATGGGATTGTCGCCGACGTTCTTGTCTATCAGTTCTAGTAAGCGGGCAATGTTGGCTGGGTTGTGAAACACAACCAGATCTCTAACCGTGAGAAAGCCTCTTCGTTGTTCAGCGTAGGCAAATTCCCAGAGTGATTGATGCAATTGAATGCTGGTATGGCAATCCATGCTCGGTTCTAGCCTTTTTTCGTATTCAATCTCCCGCAGATGTTGAAGTTCAGGTGGCCTAGTTATCAGATCCATAAAAATGTCGTTTGAATCGTTCCACGGCCTGCTGAGGAAGATGACGAATGTCGGGTTTAGTCCAAGTTCAAGCCAGTACTCGAAAACTGACCATCCAATCGTATGATAAGCAAGCATCGGGAGACTCTTAATTAGAAAGTATTTGACAAAGTCAAGCCAGGTCACATTCCATGGAAATGCCTGCGTTTGCTCACGAGACGATGTTTCCCATTTGCGCACACACGAGTCCAGAATGCGCTTGAAGCCAGATAGGTCGCCCCAGCCCTTCATAGCACTGCAAGTCGCAAATGCGAGCATGGTCTCCATTCTGTGCCTGTCGCGTGGAAAGCGAAGCTGGTTCTCCACGCTCCAAAGGCAGTACTGGTATTGTCCCAATGCGGCCGAGGCGTTCAATAAACTTGCTTCCTCTTTGAGTACACACGCATCGAAGCTGTCCATGGACCTCACGCGTATCCACGAATTATCGGAATAGTCTGGTCCGAAAATTTGCCGGTCATTTACTTCGTCGATGGAGTGCAGAATGGGAAAGGTCGGAGCAGGGCAGTCATGCAAAAAGTTGTCCAACGCCATGAACCTAGTTCGAGCCCGTGGGTTGAACTTCAGCGCGCGGCTAGGCACTCTTGCTTCGGCAAGAAAAACGTTCAAAATCCCCTCAAGAACCATTCCATCCGTGATATTTGGCGCTTCTTGGGTGCGAAAGATCATATGCAACAGTTCTGGAATGCTCCGGTGGCTAAACATCAACACTTCGCCCTGAACGCTAAGAAGGCCCCGGCACCAAGAATTGAGAAGCTTGACAGCGTCTCTTTTTCTGCAATCAATGTATGATTGATCGTCCAAGGAATCCATATTATCCAGAGGCTCAAAGTGAAGAGATACTCCCAGTACAGATAAAAGGTGGACCACATGTCTAGGTTTACGCAGGCTGTCGAGATAAACCCATTTCTTAAGCTTAGACCCAGCATCAATGAGCAGACCATTCATTCTCAAAGCCATCGCAAGCACCATGATTGCATTGCCACGGTAGTGAGTAGGAATCGTGTGAAGAATGTGAACTATAAAGCCCTCGAGTTCCTTGGGGGCTGACTCAATGATGTCGTGTATTCGTCGCATCGAAATTGTCTCTGTCCGGATCGCAAGTTCCTCTTCAATCAGCTTGAGCAACAGAACTACCCACAGGAAAACCCCCTCAGATTCCATTGTGATTCTCTTGAATATAATTCGCGAATCTTCGGCTGATCTTTCTGACAGGCTGCGGAACAACGGGTTGCCATTAAGCCTGCCCATTGACAATTGCATAATATCCTCAGCAGTGAGTTGGTGGAGATGAATTCTCTGATGCTTGGAGAAAACATCGTCTATGCACGGGTATTCGCGACTTGAAACGCATAGTTTTATGTTTTCAGATGATCTTTCAGACCAATTCTTGATTCGTTGGGCCAAATCCCAGTGTGAGATGGTGAGCTCGTCGAATTCGTCAAGTCCATCAATGCCGAGGCATATTCGGTATTTCTCATGAACCTCAGAGTCACTGATCAATTTCTCAAAAGCTTCACGGATTTCGGCTTTTGACAAATCAATGACATAATTGGCTCTCAAACAAAGCTGCATCTTTTCACGTTGCCAGTGGTTCGTGAACAGAAGTTTGGCAACGCTCGGTACTTGCCGGACAATGTCGTAGAGCAGACTTCCGACCATCCCATCCCAGGTTTTTTGGTCCGTATCACCAAGTCGCCAGAAGAAGAAATTGGCGAACAGGAGATCTTTTTCACCGGCCCATTCTTCGAGTAAGCGTTTCGTTTCCTTGTGCGCCATGAGGAGTTTCATCAGGGTCGACTTTCCAGCCCCTGGCTTGCCTGCGATGTGGAAGACGCCTGATCCCGAGGCAAGCCATTCCGTGAAGCTGACGTGAAGCTCCGGCTCCATCTTGAGCAGCCTATCCGGGTCTTCCAGTATCCACGAAAAGGTGCCCGATTCGGCCTGGCTGACTGATTTAAACCTGGCCCTCGCGGAAGGGTACCGGGACCGAATGCTTTGAACGAGAAGATCGTGAGTGATAATTTCCATGGCCTCGTGTGATGTGGTATTGATCGCCTTGATAGCTTCGAGAATCTCGTCAGGTGTGGTGACACGGCCAAGGTGGACTTTGAGGGCGTCAAGCTTTTCCACAGACACCTGGTGGTCCGTATGAGTCTGTTGGAGTCGACATCGGATCTCGGAAACATCAGATCTAGAGAATTCATGAGTGGGTGGACATTGAAGAGCAGCATGAAGCGCGGCGATGTATCTTACAGAGTGGTAGTGGTGACCAGCAAAGCTAGCTTTGTTGAGGAAGTCTCCAATTCATCGCGCAACCGTAGGATCTCCGACTTCCTCACAGCAAACTTGAGGTATGCCTTCATAGCAGACGTCAAAGAACGGGTTCGCTGAGCGGCGCAAGAGACTAGTATCTCCTTGATCCGATGAGCTATCCTGGCACAGTCGGCCGCGGCATCCTGCATCCTTTTCCGAGACCCAGTGGGAGGGACCTGTGATTGTGAAGCCGTCAGGTCACGCTCAATAGCCTCCAAATCACGGAAGGCTTTCCGCAAGCCCTCCGTATCACGCGTGTAGCCGCTGGTGGACTCATACAGCTCCGCGATTGTTTTGCCGCACTTGACGGCGGCATCGACCACAGTAAGAAGATTGCAGACCAGGCCAAAGGTCGTGAGTGGATCCATGACAGCAAGACAACAGACCTGCAAGAATGCAAAGACAAATCCGCAGAGAAACAACTCTACTCTGACGTCGAAAAGGGATGGGATTTCGGGAACCAGGTTGAGGGTGTTTACTGTCAATAAACGGTACCCCGCAAGAAGTCAGCCTGATGCCACGGGGCAAGCCTCAATGTACGACAATACACAGACTTGCATGAGCATCCTTGAAGGCAGCGAATGGGATCGATCAGTTGCAGTGAGTATCGCTTCCTGAAACTCTTGTAAGGCGTAACACCCGTATTGTGGTGCATAGAGAGAGTTGGATAGATAGACGGGCGCCCTTTGTCCTATAGAAAGGAACGTCCCGGCGGTACACAATACACACACACACACACACACACACACACCCGCATTGGTGGATTCTCGTTCTTGTAACTGGGCGCGAGGAATATTACTGCTATTTTAAGTATACTCTAATCATCCCCTTTTTTCGGTACAGCTTTTAGTGAGACAATGACAGCCATGGAATCTTTCTTCCCGCCCTCAATAACGGCCCGATACTCGCCCTCGTTCTGGAAGTCTTTAAAGGTGATTTCTCGGGTTCTCCCTAGGCTCTCAAGCTGGTCGAGTCGGTCAAGAGTTTCCTGGAGGTAAGCATCAAAGCCTTCTTGGTTGCATACATCCTTGAATGCGTTCTGCATTGCGACTGAACCTGCCTGGACCATTGAGTTGGAGTCAATCGCAAAGATGTTGAAGTGGTCGTGGCGCTGGATCCAATCGTATTTGGTCATAATCTGTCTCGCTTCGTGAAGCGGAATTTGCGGCAATCCGTTGCTCGTAATGCCGTCTGTCTGCATGGCCTGCTGCTTTCTCACCAACTCTCTGGCAAGTATCATGGCGCCTGTGCAAGTATCCTGCTGCTCCTCTCCAGCCGGGTCCATTTCCTCGCCCAAGATCCAGCACTGGTTGAGGAACCAACGTTTTTCCTGCTCGCAGATTGTGTCGCATGCTTCGACCATGTCCGGCGAGTTCGCGACCTGGTTGAGGAACCTGAGCCGACCACCGATCCTGCTGTATACATGCTCTAGAATGCTCGTGGACACATCTTCGAAGAAAAGCCTTTCTCGGACCTTCTTCATGCACGCGATCGCATCATGTTTGGAAAGATCATGAACTGGCATCACACGGAGACGCGTGGCTTCGTGCGTGAGACGCTCTGTGATCCAATAATCGTTGCTGTTGAGGACGACTGTCACAAGCTTGCTTGCAGCCCATAGCTCGGCGCGTTGTTGCACCAATTCCAGCAAGTTCCGGCCGTCCTCGTTGTCGCGTAGGAGATGAACACCGTTTAGTAACAAAACTAGGGGCCTTCCCAACTTCTTCTTTCGTTTCAGTGCAATCTTCTCCATCTGATTGAATGCTCGTTCAATGTCCAAGAGCGGCGTTGTGTCTCGGGGGCCTTTGAAGCTGAAAAGGCTACCGATGTAGTCTTCGTGGAACTCGTAATCGAGCGCTTTGCCAAGGCGTAGTCGAAAGATTTCAAGGTCACCATGCACCTCCAACATGGCAATCCCTTCGCCATGGATCTTCTTTATTGAGTGAAGTAACATCGACGTCTTTCCAGTTCCCTTCTCTCCGGTGAGGAGCCAGTAATGGCCCTGACAAGTGCCGTCGATGATCTCATCAATTTTAGCTTGCTCTTCTCTGGGGATCCACTCTTCGTCAACATGCTCGCTGTTGACGTCGTGGCGGCTGAGCGCGGCCTTTTCGAGGGATGAATATCCGACAGCAAAAGCGCCCTCCATCTTTGCGAGAACAAGAGACTTGTAATACACATGATACGAATACCCAGCCAGTCCGAGGATAACGACCGAGCCAAAGGCGGTTACGCTAGCCTCGAGTAGCTTGAATGACGAATCTCTCCAGCCGGAACTTTCACCATCTCGTGACCATTGGCGATGTTGGTGGTACGCTAATGGCGGACTTGCTCGAGGGCGGTTCCTCGGTACGACAACCTTGGGAGATTGTGTTTGTCGCCCAGTTGGATGGGCCTAATCCAGTTAGGAATTGGCGCCTACTGGAAGGGTAATGAATATCTTACCCCATAGAATCTTGGGAGGCGGCGAGGTCGAGCCATTTTATAGGAAATATTTCCTTGTTGAGATGTCGATTGAGGAGCAAGCAGTGCCTGGAGTTGTCGCGACGAATAGCGGTAGGGCTCAGTTGACACCGCCGACGGTTCTTTGGGAGAGGAGTCTCAAAGTATGTCAATGATTTGTGATGGTGAGAAGGGTCTCATTGAATAAGAAGACGTCGATCATTTGTACATGCTAGGAAATTGGCGCAAACAAGGTGAATCAGTCCTGGGCCAACTCACTTAGATCTGAGTGAGATCTTAGGATTTCAAGATCAAGGCCACTGCGCCATTCATTTCAGAATCTCCACATAGCCCTCACGTGATCGATTTCCCCGCCAAATTGTCGCCGAGCAATCCTCTTTTCGCTTGCGAATGCCAAGACCTTGGCCAAGAGTTGACATTTGAGCCACGTCAGATTGTGCTAGCGCTCATCATGCCTTGAGCACGCGAACTCTTCTAGTACTTTAACCCTTTCAAATATGTAGGCATTATGCTCAATTCAGTAAAACAATCTGTCATTGATGGTCGACTCTAGATATTGGAGATACATATATGGTTTTGAATGAATGGTCAAGCGATAGCGCGCTGTGAGAGTCGTAATTGGGTGGCCTACCCTCTAACGAAGATGGCCGGACAAGCTTGCTGTTGCTATTAAAAAAATCTACACAACTTTCCAACTGCCCTGCCTTGAAATGAGCTCCGACTATTTCTTTGACCATTTCTTCACACGGAAGACGTAGTACAAAGCGGTTGCCATGAAAATATCGAAGATAATGTAAGCCCAAAAGATGCCGTAGTTCCGCCACCGCTGACTCCAATAGATATTGGAGCCTGAGAGATATTGATCAGCGTTGCTGAAAGCGCAATATCGACATTGCTCCGTGTCTTGGGGATTTTGCAACTGCCCCGGCGCCTGGGTCAGGAATGCCTTGAGATATTCGCCACACGTTTGTCCGGAAGGTGGATTGAAGATGGAATTCTCTCCCTTGGAACAGGTCACGACTTGGCCGTGCAACTCCGTCGCCACGATGCCGCCGATCCAGTAGGTAAAAGGCGAGACGCGGTACATGAATATCCAGAACCCGGGCAGCGCGTCTGGGGTCTGTAGAACGCCGGCGAAGATGATGCTCATAAGAGTCAGTAGTGTGACGATACTGGCTGCTGTGTGTGCATCGGGCATTATCGCGATGGTCATCTGTGCAAAGGCGCTTCCGTAGATGAACAGCTGGGTAACGAAGAGCAGCACTAATACTTGCCGGTCGGAACTTTGGACGCCGACAACGGGGTAGTAGAAACAAGCAAATATGAGAACACCCGTGATGATCTGATAGGGAATTTCCACAATCACGTTTGCAATGATGAAGGCCTTCCAAGAGTACGCTTTGCTTGGCCGTTCTCGGACCTCGTATAGTGCTCGTTGAGTGAGAAAGAGCGGTTGAATCTGAATGAAGATTAGAATCGTCACAAGTTTTTGCACATGGAACACTCACCTGCTGAACAACAGTCGAGAAAATCGTCGTGAGTAGGAAGACTGAGAAGATGACGTTCTGCATTCCTGCCAGCGTAATAGAAGAGTTGAAGAAAGAGAAACCGATGAACAAACCAGCCGCAATTCCAAGCATGAACTTTGCAAAAATGTAGCTGGGCATCCTCCAGTATTGCTGGAATACTCGATAGGTGACAGCCTGAAGCTGCGCCCAAAACGGCATGGCGAATTCATCGCTTGAATGGGCGCCATCTTCCCCAGCTACCTTCTCGCTCTGCTTTTCGGCGTGGATCCTGTCGATTTCGGTCTTCATATCTTCGCACTGTTTACTTTCTTTCCAGACCGAATGCCAGTCTTGGCCATGGGCGTTGCCGCCGCTGTTGCCGATTTCCAAAAGGTACTCGGCAGGATTTTCCTCCTCTCCACATTCCCGAGCGCCCTTGGACTCGAAGTAATCGAGCATGATGCGCGAATTGTCTCCGATGTTGCCAAAGTAGACTGTTTTGCCACCCTTTGCCAGGAAGAGCAAGCGGTCAAACTGTTGGAAGAGAATGGCGCTTGGCTGATGGACTGTGCAAAGCACAGCTTGACCAGAATTTGCTAGCTTTCGAAGGAATGAGCAAATGGCCCAGGAACTCTGAGAGTCAAGACCGCTTGTAGGCTCGTCAAGGAAAAGGAGGAGCTTCGGCTTCGCTGCCAGTTCAACGCCAATGGTGAGGAGCTTCCGTTGCTCCACGTTGAGGCCCTCACCAGGAACTCCCACGACAGCGTCGGCGTACGCCTCCATGTTGAGCATCTTGATGACGTCTTCGACAAACTTGTACTTTTCTTCCTTGCTAACGGTCTTGGGTTGTCTCAACAGGGCGCTAAATCGTAGACTTTCGCGCACAGTAGCCGTCTCCAGATGTAGATCTAGGTAGTGTTAGATGATTGCATCCGATGAGCTGGGATTATTTGCATACCTTGCTGTTGAACGTAGCCCGTTTTGCGCTGGAAGCTCGCATCGAATGGTTTCCCATTAACGAGCATGTCACCAGTGACAACGCCCATCGTCACTCGCTGCGCCAAAACATCGAGAAGAGTGGTCTTTCCGGCACCACTGACGCCCATGAGTGCAGTCAAGGTGCCAGGCTTGACCCATCCAGAAACTTGATCGAGCAGCCGCCGCTGTTCACTCTTGATATGGATATCATACACAACATCACGCCAGGTGAAGATATCCTTCTGCGGTTCAATGGTGCCCACATCTCCGCCACTTGTTTCATCCTTGGTTGTCGTATTAATGGTCGATTCCTCGTCTCCTGGGGATTGCCTATTGCCATTCAGAAGATGGGCAGGGATGTGGCTTCTCTGGAAAACAAGTGCTTCTGCTGTGCTCGATGTGGAGGAGTTGAGCTCGATGCAAATAAAATAGATAGCCATAAATCCAAACAAAAAGGCAAGGAGAATACCAAAGTTTCGCCACACGTTCGAATAATAGTACTCATAGTTCTGAGCAATGAAGGCGTCTCCGCTGACGGTGCGTTGGCCTGCGACAGCTCCAACGGAAGCGCAAATCCACGAGTCTCCAATAAGAGGGGTGTAGGGTGGGACGATGGCCGAGCATGTAAAGTTCTGACCGTGGAATTCGTTTGCCACAAGGATCTCGAAAGCATAGTAAATTGGATTGATCCAGCGAATCCAAGAAAACCACGGTTTCATTGATGGGACCGTGATGGTAAAGCCAGCGTAGACAACCAGAGCGAGAACCATCACTCCAGACAGTGCCAGTGCCTGCGACACCGTCTTGGTGATGGCAGCCATTGTCCGGAAGACAGCGCTCATGACAAATGTAGAGACGTAAGTGATGAGGAAATAAAGGAAGAAGTTGCCTGGCTCTCGCCGCAAACCGGCCATGAAGTACAAGACGACGTTGAAAACAGTCGCCGTCGCAAATTTGATGGGGATATCGGAGACGATTCCTGCAGCAGCCTCGCATGCAGGATGGTAAAAGGCGAAAGAAGCGTGTTTCTCTACAATGGGCCTCTGGGCGTAGAGGTTGGTGATTTCCGCAATAGCCGTCAACGCGTTGAGGAGAATCGCCATGAACAACACAGAGCCCTTGGCGTAGAAGCCAACCGTAGCGTCGGGGGTTCCGAAAAAGATGGATCCGATGATCAGGGCCATGACCAGCTGGACAAGGCACTGCGTCCCGGTTGCCGAGATGTCGTTCCAGATGCGTTGATAGGCCCGTTTTGTGCAAAGCTTGACTTGCATCAGGACGCTGATGGTGTATGGCGATCCGGGTCGAACATGTTTGGACTGTCGATTGTGCTTCTGCTCCCGCATTTGAGCGATACTTTCTCCTTCTCTGTTGACTAGATGTTCCTGCTCATAGGCGTCGACATCGTGCTTGAGGGCTCCGAACTCGGGGGATCGGCGCCAATACTGCTCGAACTCTTCAGGAGTGCGCGGGACCTGGTTTTCCATTCCTGGTCGGGGTTTCCTCTCGACCGGATTGGTGACGGATGTGAGGAAGTCGCCAGTGGTCTGGCGTGTCGGACAATGCCAGCCCTGTCGCTCAAAGAAATCCCTTGCCTGTTCTGCAGGGCCAAAGTAAATCTGCCGACCCTCGTACAGAACGATGGTCTTATCGAAGAGGTCGTAAATGGCCTGGCTGGCTTGGTAGATGGCTACAGCGTGAGCCTGGCCACTGATATCGGCAGCCATTCTTAGTGAAGAAACGAACTTGAACGCAGTTGCAGAGTCGAGACCACGGGTGCTGTTGTCCCAGGCGGTAAACGGTGATCCGGACAGGACCATCTCGGCAAGAGACACTCTCTTTCGCTCTCCGCCGGACACACCACGGATGAAGTCGTTTCCCACTTTCGTGTTGTAGGTGTGGCTCAGACCAAACGCTGCCATGACGACTCGTGCGACATATTGGACGAATTCGGCCCGAGTCATGTTGTTGATACGGTGAGATGGGGTTCGGACGGAGGCAGCAAACTCGAGAGTTTGGCCTACTGTGAGGTGAGGAAAATGTCGGTCCACCTGTGTGACATGTTAGCTAGTGCTCAATTGATGCCGTGAGTCTTGTTTACCTCTTGATTGTAGATGGCCTCGCCCTTGAACTCTTTCTTCATGAGCTTCTGGGGAATGCCGTTGTAATGAATGGAGGAGTTGCTGTCGATGGCCAATCCATGCAGCTCTCCGCAGAGCGTCTTAAGAAGCGTGCTGCATCCCGAGCCAGGCCGACCGAGAACAATGAGAAGCTCACCACTTCTGACAAGCCCATCAAAACTCTTCAGAATCTGCTTGGATTCTTTCTTTCCAAAGCTGAACAAATCGCCGATCCGCAGAGGGCTGAGCAGCATCGATCCCACCGTTTCTTGGACCTGCAGGGCAGCTCCGGATCCCGAGACGTGGAGGTCCTTGAACAGCACGCCGGTCTGCTTGGCCGTCACGCCCTGCTCGCGGAGGGTCTTGACGAAGTTTTGCAGCCATTTTGACAGGTCGAATTGCTCGCTCTGAGGATCTAGCGCCGGTGCGTTTTCGTCCTGCGTAGCGAGGGTGTGAATGCGAGCAAGTCCTCCGGTGGCGACGGAATGGCGACGCGAAAGCGCAGTAGCAATTCGCACGAGCTCATTTCTGTCTCCCGTGTCGACGAAAGCCTCGGAGTTTCGCCGATTTCCGAGTGTAAGCCGCCTAGGCCTGGGCGTTTTGTCTCGGCCGCGTTCATTGCTTTCACTGTCATCATCCTTCGAATCCGAGTCCGAGTCTCCATGAGATTCGGATTGATTGCCATCTTGTAGGATTTCCTCCTCAGAGTGCCTAATCCCGACATGTGTTGCGGATGGGCTGAGGTCGCGATCGTCCGTCGGAGAGTGGCTCATGTTGACGCAGCAGGTAGGCGTCTGTGGTCAAAGAAGTAAGGATTCTCATCTAAAGAGAGATGCAATGACCTACGACCATGGAAATGGAAAATGGGGTATATATGGAGAACGGGAAGCTGGGTGATTCTCAGGAACTGTGCTATCATCGCCGAACGCCAGAGGCTAGCCAACCTTAAGCACTGCAAACAGACACTACAGGATTGGCTTTCGGCGAACGAGGAGCAATAGAGATTGGCGTCTCCATTCATCTCACGAGCCGCTATCCCAAACCATCTAGAACGTGTCTGATCGGGAACGCTCCCCAGTGGACAACGGCCAGCGCCGCCTGCAGATGTGAAGTTCCGCTTTCGACGCCACGGATCGCACAGACATGTGACGTATATTAGAGTGTCTCTGATTTGTCAGTGAGAAGCTAAAGAGATGGTGGAAAACATTAAATAAAAGCCATGGAAGCTTAAGTGATGTCATGGTGACTGCCCCGCGTGCAGCTCGCGGGCGCGGAACCTTGGCTCGCCCGATTGCTCCGTGATACGAACAAGAAACTGTGAAAGATTTTCAGGGACGGCGTTCTTCGGACCGCTAGAGGGGGAGAGGAGTGGGAAATTCGGGGAGATTCGCAATTCCGACACCAGATATTCGGGCCGCGTTGGAATGTGGAAGCGCCCAAGCGAGCTGCGAGCATTCCAACGCAACCACTGAATGCAGGCGTCTCTCTGGGAGACATCTATTTCCAGCGTTAGAATGAATCGGTTTCTAATGAAATGAGGAGAATTCGGATCCGATGTGAGTGTGCGAGCAGCCGTTAGGACCGGGTTTGGACTCAATTGATGGCTAGACACATGTAAGCGAGGACAATAAGGCCCTGATCCGCAGTCTCCTTAGACCTTAGACCTTAGACCTTAGACCCTAGAGGTACTTCCGGCGTGCATAACAGAGCCAGATGTACCGACCGTGCCTATTATCGATAGTTGTGCAGATAATAATAAACGAGTGCGACACTTGCTTCCGACATAAGAACCTGCTTGGTTGAATGTCAAAGATAAACGTTTCCGTCAGCACCTGGCAAGCCATTAACTCCAGCAGCACCTGGTAAGCCATTTAGCCAGCGGGACCTTGAGGACCCTTGATGCCTTGAGGACCCGGTAGTCGTTGTAATGCCTGGAGTTGTTGTTCAAGGGACGTTAAGCGATTATTGGAGTATTGTGTATCCTTGAATAGCTGGAGAGTTCCGAGTAGTCCCGTAAGAATAGCAAGGCCAAACATCCCTCTATTAATCCAGTTTGTTTCAAGCCCGTTGGTAATCGATTTTGTGAGGATATCAAAAAGGCGCTCGAGGAGAGTGAGAAATTGGGTGAATAGAGTAATAAATAGATCGACGTCGGAAGAGCTAGGGATTGCTGCTGCAGTAATAGTAGCAGTAACTGTAACGGTAGTGGTAGTAGCAGGCGAGGAAAATATAGTATCGTGGCTGTACCCCATAATGGCGAGTTTGTCGGCAGGAATAGTAGCAGTAATAATCTGAGTTGATGAGCAGCAAGTATAGTCAAGAAGTGTAGTGTCGATAGTCGGTCGAATGGATGAAACGGAGAATGTTGGGCTTTCGATGCGATGAAAAGATTAGATTTTATCTCAAGTGAACTCTGGGAGTGAAGAATTTTTGTCAGAACTTTGGTCAGAATTTTTGTCAGGAGCAGTTGGGTTTTGTTTCCTGGACGACAAGGTTCCTACCACATCTCGTCCATATCATCCAGCAACGCCCACACACCCCGGTAGCTCATTATCCAACTCCTCGAAATCCCACGGCGCAATTATATTCGCCTTCGACTGGGGGTCATATCCACTCGCCTTCGACCCTCGGACTCTGGCCTCAGTCACGTTCACCACCCGCGGCTTCCAAAAGGGTGAAAGACTTCGCCAAAAATCGTTGCGCAGCCCTGGGAGGAACTGCAAATTGTTGACGCAGTAGTTTGCCACTTCTGCGTTGAGTGGGTGCTGGTTCAAGACCTCATACGTCCCGCCTTCGCTTGGGCGCCAGAGGCGCATCCCATTCTTCTTGACAGTGAGCCAGGTCGGATGCTCAGCCAGCGCGATGGGTGAGAAGCTTTCGATCGCCCTCTCGAAGTCGATGAGATGTAGGTATCCACTTGGACGGGCTGCGTTCTCCATGAGCTGGACGTCTTCAACGCCCTTGAGGTCAATGCCGTAGGGGGCAAAGAGAGCGTCAGAGTCGTTCCGCACGTCGAAGAAGACCTTGGTGATGGCTGCGGACTCGAGGACGGCCTTCAACGTCGTCCCGACTGGGTCGGCAGTGACAAAGGCGGCAGCGTTAAGTTTGTGAACGTCAACGAGGTAGGCACGAGCTTCCGGGAGCACGTAGATAGTGAGGATCGAGATGTTACCATGACGGGAGAGGTTGACACCCTCTAGATCAAGGAAAAGTAAAGGAGATCTCTGCGGGAGCCCCTTGATCTTCTCGATGAGATTCCAGCTTCCGTATCCACGAGTGCGCTAGGTGACGTGGTCATGCTGGCTGAGTGTAAGATGGATGGAGTGAAGTACGTGATGATGGATTTCAGAGGGAAACACTTTAGTTTTTCGCACTTGTTAAAGAAGAGCAGCCCTGACTTTTTATGGTCCCCCCATAATCCGAGTTGGGGGCCTCCGACCTAGTGATTTCTGATATACCATCTCAAAGTTGCGTGCTGTCGTACTGATGGCCAAACAACCATGTTAGTTATTGTTTGCTTGCAAATCTGTTGGCCGACTTGAAACACGCATAGATACAGATCGAAACTGGACAGAAGGGGAGCATTTGTCTCTCTGAGCCAGCTACAGAAGCTCACCGAAGCTCGAACACCCAAGAGAGGCTTTTGAGCATCGTCAGTGCGGTCGTGAATGAGCTGATGACTGCTCGGCCTAGAATGACCCTAGCTGACAAAGGTCGTACGAATAGCAACGATCATTCGGTTTAGGATCATGCTTGTTTCCCGAGTAGTCAGAATGCCTAAACATGGACACACTGGTGTCAAGCGTATACACTGATGTCGAACATATACACACAGCAGGGATACATTACGAAAATACCCCACGAAAATTAGCGACGCGCATTTTCTCACGCATCCGTGTATGTTCGGGATCTGCGCGCGTATTTTTAAGAATTCGAACAGTCATGACGGCCACTGAACAGACGGACGAATAATTTGTGTTATTCTCTCCTGCAAGGAGACCAACTCGTAGATGAGCTGTGCCATCTAAGCCATGATCCTTGTTTAGTGCTTGTATTTTCGCCTAGGCTCCTGTGGACGGCTCGGACATCATGTTACATCACAGATTGAACCACATGAAGTTGAGGAAATGTGCAAGTACAGTTCAACAAGTACTCCAATTGTCCCAGGAATAATACCCAAAATCTATAGGTATGAGTATGTACCAAAACCCTTGCACTACATCCCGTAAAAATAACGCTGACATGACTGTTCATCTCTGCCGCCGGCTCTGCCCCTTTTCGTTTGCTTCTTTATACTGTTACAGGATTTACCAGGGCTTGACCTTCTGCATGCTGCCCTCCTCCGCCAGGGCCTTGTGGAGGTCGAAGCTGTTGAAGAGCAGGTGAGGCTGGTGGCCCATGCCCTTCTTGAGGCACTCGCTCTCGGCCTTCTCGTAGTAGGCGGTGAGGATGGGCTGGTACACGGGGTGGGCGCACTTGTTGATGATGACGCGGGCGCGCTCGCGAGGGCTGAGGCCGCGGACGTCGGCGAGACCTTGCTCGGTGACGATGACGTCGAGGTCGTGCTCGGTCTGGTCGATGTGGGTGCACATGGGGACGATGCACGACACGCCGTGGGGGTCGGTCTTGGAGGGGCGGGTGGAGGGAGTGTGCATGATGGAGTACTTGGAGTTGCGGAGGAAGTCGGCCGAGCCGCCCAGGCCGTTGAGCATGCGGGAGCCGTTGACGCAGGTGGAGTTTGCGTGGGCGTAGATGTCGACCTCGACGGGGGTGTTCATGCCGATGACGCCGAGGCGGCGGATGATCTCGGGGGCGTTGGACACGGCCTGGCTTCGCAGCAGCGTCTTGGGCGCGTACAGGTCCCAGTTGTCGTAGAAGCGGCGGAAGCCCTCGGGGGAGAAGCGCACCGACGTGGCCGTGGCGTAGTCGAGCTTGCCCGAGTCGAAGAGGTCGAGGAAGGTGTCCTGGATGACCTCGGTCCAGACGTTGAGGTTCTTGAACTTGGACTCGTTGAGCCCGCCGATGATGGCGTTGGCGACGTTGCCGATGCCGGACTGCAGCGGCAGCAGGTTGTCGGGGAGGCGGCCCTGGTTGACCTCGTGCTCGAGGAACTCAATCAGGTGGTTGGCGATACGGAACGAGTTGTCGTCGGCGGGCGCGTTGTCGGAGGTGGCGTCCTGGTAGTCGGACTCGACGATGGCGACGATCTTGGAGGGGTCAATGGCCATGGACTCGGTGCCGATGCGGTCTCGGACGCCGGTGATCTGGTAGGGCTTGCGGTTGGGGGGGAGATCAGTGAAGGTGATATCGTGGAGGCCCTTGAAGGAGGGAATGGAGGTGTTGACCTCGATGATGATCTAGGAATTATACTGTTAGCCGTCTAAATCTCATATTTGGGCGCAACCGGGAATACACACCTTGTCGGCCATCTGGACCAACTCAGGAGTGGCACCAATGGATGCACCGAGAATGACGCTGCCATCCTCGAGAATCTCACTGGCCTCGATGACAGTGACATCGAGGTTCTTGTTCTCGCGGTCTTTGGTGTAGTAGCCCTGGTCTTCGGTCAGCGCGGCTCTTGTGTGGATGCGGCGGGCCATGTCATACGTAGACGAGGTCAGTGGGGAACATGGACAAGTGCTTGTCGAAGAAGTTGATGCGGCCAGAGTTGATGCCCTTGGAAATGTCCTTGCCGACCTGGTGAGGGCTTCGGCGGTTGATCATGTCGAGCTGGGCCCATCGGTTCTCAGTCTCGGCGCCGGAGGAGGCGCCGACGAAGAGCGAGTACTTGAGCTTGCTCTGGAGGTTGTTGGCCTCGACATAGTCGGCCATGGCGGAGGGAACCTTCCTGCAATTGCGGAAATCTCATGTTAGCGGCTTTTCCCACGTCGTGTCTTGCGCGCGTGAGGGCGAAAGCAACCAGCTTCTGGCAATTTGGTTGGTGGAGGGGAATTAGAACGGAGGATGCTCGGGATTGCGGGAAAGCCGGCCGGCGGTGGGGGGTGCGCCCGAAAGCGGCAATACGCGAGGATGATGATTGCAGTGGGCGCGAAGCACACAGAGCTCGGCAGCGAGGGACAAACGTACTTGGGATAACCAACTCCGGTGAAGCCAGACCAGCCGATGTAGGCGCCATTGGGGAAGTGGTGCATGAGGTCCTCGGGGCGCGCCAGCTTCTTGAGCAGGGCAGGGCTGCGGATGCGCGCCTTCAGGGCGTTGGAGGCGATGGGGGACGCCATGATGCGAGCGTTGCGACAGAGGAGGAGCGGAGATGAGGTGAGACAGCGGGATTGGACACGCCCCAATTGACAACCAGGAGAGAGACAGAGACAAGGAGCAAACCAGGAGCAGCAGGAGGATGAGGGAGAGAGGAGGAGGAGAGCTGGGTAGAAGTAGAAGTAGGAGCCGAAAGCCAAGAGAGAGCCCTTGTCGACCGGGACCCAGAAGTATGGACCCAGAAGTATCGCCTCGGACGGACTAGTTCGTCGGGGTGACGAAGGTGTGGAGCGTGGCAGAAAGGCACGGTACATGGCGCATCGTGGCCGGCCGCTGAGGGTTGCGTCGTTCGGCCACTGCAGCAACGCCCCGAGTCCCCTGTAGAGCGTCGCGACAGAGGTCACTCGGGTACTCGTCGTCCCTGTACAGCGCAGGGCCATGGCGGGGTACCGGTACCGTTTTTTCTCCAATTCCCCCATCGTGGTGGGGCCATCAGCCCACTGTTGCGCCTGCGCCGGAGGCTGCACCGTTCCATGGCGAGGTACTGTACGTCTGTTTGTGCTATGCGGTACGAAGGGGCGGCTGGGCCTCGGGTGCGAGACGAATTGCGAGTGGAAGCTTCCAACATGGGTTCCATCTGCTGCAACGTAGGGTTCCTGGCCACCTCCGCGCGGTGTGTGGTGTGGGGGACCGTGGAGGTGAGGACTGAGCCACATATCGACAGACCGCCGATCGAGGTACCTGGGACATTACCTAACTCCAACTCTCTCCAACAATGCGAGACACGTCTCCAATATCGCTGCGAGGTCCCCGCCCGGGTTTGTTTTCCGTCTTCTTTTGTTCTGCGCGCAGTGGCACTTTTGTCGATCCCACGGCCTGATCAGAACAAGGCCATCAGTGAGTGCCCTTGCTGATAGTGATGAGCTGACCTGAGTCCGGTCCCCTGCCTGCCTCGGCCTGGCCTGCGTGCGTTTCAGTGGACGATGCCATGACACATGGGCGGATATACGTCGTGCGCCTGCAGACACGGGCACACGGACACACGGATGCCCGTACGAGGTACCCGGTACCGCAAGTGTGGCTCAACCCGGCCCCAAAAGGGCGACTCAGCCACGCCCGGCCCTGCCGCCCCCAAAGCACCACGCGGAGTCCGTGTCCCGGAACCGAAGCAACCGCACCTTCCCCACGTCGAACCCTCGATGGCTTCCGTCCGGCCGAGAGGGGCACAGACCAACCATCGGCATCAACTCGGTTATCACTCTATCGCGCCCGCATCTGGAATCAGGAATTCAGGATGCCCCCAGACTTGGCCCCAAACAGGCGTGTAAGATGAGAGCAACATCCCCTTTACTCTTTACCCCGGGATCTGGTCGGCAATCCCTGGCGAATCACGGCGTCCAGATCCGTACCCCGACCTGGCGACTGCCCCTGCCCGGACACCGCCCACCTACCGCCGAAGCGCCACCGTCCCCGGACCCGCAGCTTGCACTTACTTGTCAAGTTTTGGCTTTGTTGAGCAGCTTCATGTACTCTACTTGCGGTACATGGCCGGCGATTGACCAACCGTTGGATCCAGATTCCGGGGTAATCTCCCCAATATCTCATCGGCATCTTGCCACTGTTGTCAAGGGGCGCCGCCGGGACGTGGAACGAGAGGGCCCTTCCCACTGCGGGGGGCCAGTGGGATTGACGGGGTGCGTAAGCTGGATTGACAGCATAAGGAGGATGGATATTGCCATGGGGTTGGATGCATTCCCATCTCATCATCTTCCAATTCTTCTTTCGCACACTGAAGTAGTCTTGTCGGTGTTACAGTGTCAGAAAGTGCTTTGGTCATTCCCAGGCTGTTGACTAATGTATCCCACCCGCCCTCTCCTTGTCTCTTTGCAAATTCTCATGCCTACGGAAAGGAACCTTCGTAGCCCTCCATATAGATACAGTGCTAGGTTGCCACTGCTACTGTAACTGTCTATGCTGACTCTGATTCTGCCGCTTCTGGCTCGGATATGTCCAAGGGTTGCCATGTCATGCATAGGGAACCTCTAAGTCCGGTCCATTAGCAATTACTCTCCCTTCACGTTTAGTTCATGCTCCACCCATGATTGAGTGGTCTCCATCCTTGATCGCCTTATCGCCGTATCGATCAGGTCCCACGGCTTGAACGTCATTCTACTAGATCCAGGTTCCCGTTGCTAACTGACCCAGTTTGTATCCCCCCTTCATTCATATGACCCGTCCCTCAGTCTGCCCAGTGACCCTTCCTACCCGACTGCAGTAGCGGAGGGAAACCCCCGAAAAGCCCCAAAACCTACCCAGGCGAAATTTTCTCCTTCTCGAGGAGCCGTTTCCAGGAGTCGAAGCTACCATGTCCAATATACTTCTGAGACCTTTTAGAAGATATCAGTCAGCAGCGATAATAGAAATAAACTATAAGAGTAAAAGGAACTTGCACTTAATGAGGGTTGATAAAAGGTAAAGGCACTAACGTAGATAGGATGACTCGAGATGGCTCGACAGGTGGGTGGAATGGAATGACGAGACGGATCGGTAGGCAGTGCTGGAATCGATGCGACCCCTGGGTCGACGATGGGACAAAGGTTGAGGAGGTCGCTTGACTAGGATGTCATTTGAATGCACTGTAGTTACGCTCTCAAGGTCAAATCCCAGCATTCTGGTTCAGATGTGGCGAGATCTCAAGCCCACGTGCTATGGTTGTATCCGCAGCCGCGGCTCAGGGTCCCCTGCAACACGTGCGGATAGGCTGAACGATCTAGATGCTGCATTATCATGCTTGTATATGTACTAATTCTGCATTTGATTCGATCAGGCCTGTTACTTGGTGGTCCTCTAGTTCTTGTGTTGTCATCTGCTGGGACACATCAACTCCCTTCACCCGAGACCCACCGACGTTCACACATGGAATCAGTTCATTTGACCACCTTAGAAAAAATGGTATGTATATCTCATTACATTAAGTTTCGGATATGAAAACATGAGCCTACATATCTGCCCGTTCTACGTGAAGGAAAACATCATGTGCGCCCAACCCTTCCACCCGATCCCTTCGAACAGATGCGACAGCCATCTGAACTGACTTCTCAATCGGGCTACCACCGCAAACAGCTACCGCGACACTTCCAGGGACGTTTCCGATCGCTGTGGACAAAAAGGCGGCAATGTCTGGGCGCCCTTCGGTCTCCGTGATGGGCGAAGCGTCGTACGCATACCCGTCGTCTAAACCGAGTTCCACTTCTTCCTTCAATAACTGGTCAGCCCTCTCGCTGCCAAGCGATTTATTCGAGTCAATCGAAAACCGCTCCAATTCCACGCTATCACTTCTCCCTTCGTGGCGCGGCTCTGGTTCGATCAGTCTCTCCCGGCTCTCGTTTGCTGGATTTTCGTCCAGGTGCGCGACGTTCCGGGCACTCTTGGTGACAGCAACCTCGATTCGCACAGAAATGCCCATCTCTTTTGCCCTGGAAACCAGTCGAGAAATTCGTTGAAGATAAGGTTCCACGTGAGCTTTTTGACGGGCAATGAAGAGGGCGCTGAGCTTTCGCACCCGCCCTAGTGACTGCGACGTGAGAAGGTCTTCGAGAACAGGAGCCGTGAAGGAACCTCCGGTTGATCCTGAGACCAATACCACATTGTCGTATTGCTTCCAGTTTGGCATGGCACCATAGGGTCCCGCAAGAAGAACACGCAAGGCGCCATCGCTTCCGTTGTTTTCCGCCTTCCGAGCCCAGTTGTTCAGTTCCTTTGTAAATCCATCTTTTGTCTTGAGTACTAACTGGAGATCGCGGCTCGGTGTGTCTGTACTAGGGATATTAGAAATAGTGAATGGATGCGGGAACTGTCGAGGAAAGGCAGGCGACCAGATGAGAACGTGTTGGCCGGGTACCCAGTTGAAGCCCACATTGCGAATGGTGACAACCGTCAAGTCGCTATCGACAGCATCGATCTGCGCCTGGTACGCGTACCGGGTGAAGATTCCCGATGACAGGCCAAGACGAATGTTTCGCCAGAGAGGGTTGGCTGAACGGGTAACGACATCGTACAAGAACGCGGCGACAGCACACCAGACGCTAAACTGATGATGGTCGGGAACGTGAAGAAGCAGAAACACCAACAACAGCACCACCGAGGTGATGTGTTGCAGGACAAAGAACTCGTATCGGAGGCGCCGAAAGGGAGCCAGCGTAGATACCAGCGTCCAAACCAGGACAATCCAAGCGGCGAGTCCCCATTTTACCATACCAACAGTCCTCAGCTCAGTCCAGAAGAAGTCTGCCGCAATCCACTCGGTGACGAAGAATGTCCCATGGATAGTCGCAGTAGCAACAAAAATACGCGACACCCATCGGTGGAACCAATTGACCCTCTCATACGATGTACCCAGGATGAGGCCGATGGGATTGGTTCGAGCAGCGAGCAGGAAGGGCATGGATGTCTGGGTGACTGTGACCCAGGCAGCGCGGAACCCAAGACGTTCCATGTAGTTGCCGTCATGCTTAACAGCCCTCCAAGTCAAGAGGAAGCTTATAAATGCGGCGTATACGACGACTAGGAATGTCTTTCTCAATGGAAGAGTGGCCAACCAGAGAGGGCGACGGCGGGAGAGAAATGAATTGGAAACGGCAGCACGCGGGCCTTCGAACAATCTTTCAACTGTTGATACTGAGGAGTCATGACTGGGCCGCAACTCTCTCCTCTTCGTCCTGGGACTGATTAGCTATCGCCGGCTCCCGCGCAGCATGATGGGTACTCACCTCTGGCGGGCAATGAAAGCCACAATCAACCTCGCAATAAATCCGGTGACGAGGACCGCGGCAACAACATACCAGTACAGCGACGCCAGAGCCTGCTGCCTGATTGAATCCTCATTCCCATGGCCATGTCCAGATTCCTCCTTGTCTCCATGTCCGTGCTCGTGGTCCCCATGCCTCGGGATGAAGCTCATGAGTGCGGTGCGGGCGGATCTCACCGATCAGATTCGGGACAGGGATTCGATGAGCCGCCAGGCTTATTGCGGGCCGGGCCGTTGCAGCCCTCGTCGCGGGAACCTCGCGAGTAATCGCGCCGAGGATGCCGCCTACTCTGCTCTTGACGAGCTCGAGTGAGATTGATGATGAGAGTCGAATTGAGATGAGCAATCCCAACCTCCGCACCTGACTTGGCTGGTTAGCTGACAACGCAAACGCCATTGGCTTACGTGATGATCCGAAAACTGCGGAAGTGGATTGGCCAGCAAAGAAACTCTCTCAAATTCCCTCTTATCGGAGATACAGCATGCAACTCGTCAAAAGATTATCCAGATCAACAGAGACATCATTGTTCTCCTCCATAGACCTGAACTTGTATCATTTAGTCTTGACGGAAGAGCTTAACTTACACCCTTTTGCACAGTTGAATCTGCGCAAATCAGCCCCTCGTATGTCGCGCTAAACAGGCACCGTACTAGCAATTAGCCATGTCGTCACAATCAATTTGTTCACGAAGCTAGCCTCTACCGTTGCTGTAGATAGTAAATGAGTGGACTGGGAGATGCCAGATTAAGGTACGATTAAGCTATGGAGCGTGGCACTACAGGGGCTCGACCCGCTGTAATGGTGCGGAAGAGCCCCAGAAGGATGCCGGGAAGATAAGTGGCACGTCGGGACTCCCGCTCTGATGGTTATCGCCAGTAGTAGGCACAGGAGCTGAGATGAACAAGTTTCCTCGTAGGTCAATCTTTGTGTTCAATGCTTATTTCATGAATATACTACCTTCCACTGCTCAAACTAAGAATGGCTGCATTGCCTGATAGAAACAGTTGAAATCAATCACTACACGTGCTGTTAGCAAAGGCACACGCCTTCTGTTAGTATGCACGGACCTCTTATCTTCTGCAGTTGGTTGCCACCAGACGCTCGCACACATTGGCCTGGGTATCTTGTAGGTACTGTTCCATCATATAAGAATGGATGCGATCGTGTTGTCGTGGGTGGGTGATTGAAAATGAGGAGACCTGCTCGGAGGACCGTGAGATGGCGTCATTGTGTGCAAGCCCCTGGCTGGACTTTTGCTTCTCTGCTTCCAAGGTGGGAGGACATGCTGGCTTGGTCTGTTGCATCGCTGGAGGGATAAAACGCTCACTGACAGATCACAGTAGTCGGGTTATGTATTAACAGATTCTCTTCTTTGGAAATGGAAAAGCTCTAGGTAATTTCTTCGTTTTTGTTATTCCTTGTTGTACATTGTTTTATAATTACCACTTTCCCGTGCGAAGTCAACACGGGGTGGACTAAATCCGCGATACGCCGGTCGGCCCATCAAGCCTGGCACCTACGACAGCGTTACGTTCCTAGAGCTTACTAGTTGGTTAATAATAGCCTACGCCGGTCGGCTCACCGAATCAGCAATGATGTATTCCCTGACGCCTGCTGGCGAATGACGACTAGCTTCGCCGGTCGACCCGTCATTTCATCGTCGGCACATGTCGGAGCCAGCTGGGGGAGTTGGGGCTGGTCACGCCGGCCGCCTCATTAATACTCACCAATGGTATTTTACGACGATCAACTTTCGGACTTACGCTACGCATGCCGGTCGCTCACCGACGCTGTCGCACCAATAGGGCCGCCGGCACGTGTCGGGTCAAACGACACCCTTCGCCGGTCGCCTCTCGACCAATGAAATCGTCCTCTCATCACAGTGTTGGAAGTGATTGAAACTTGCAAATGATTGAAACAACCGAGCCACCACGAGCTTCAATTTTGCTTCAAAAAATCCGTCCTCTGATATCGTCCGATGGGAAAATAGGGAAATCAACCTGTCGCTCTGCCTACAATATAGCCACAGGATTTACATTCGTGACTCGACACTGCCTTTGGCTAGGCTCCCAAGTTGCGACGGATGCTCGCCCTGGTCAGATAGTTGTTGTAGTTGACGTGAATATAAAGTAGCCATGTGTATCACAGATCAAGTCTCAGCCAGTCCTGCATCGGTTTCTGTAGCCTGTCCGCTCTCACCAATTTGCTCCCTTACTTCCTCCTTGATTTAAAGGTGTGATCACACCGTTTCCATTTTCCCAGCCATTTCATTGTTATACACCGTCAATATGGCGATCTCAAAGACCTCCAACTTCCCTGAAGCGATCTCAGGAGACTTGGTTTGGACTGCCTCAGACTTTGAGTCCAATGAAGCCGCCTACACCGAGAGCCTATCTAGAAAGGATATTCTCTCAATTGAAGCAGCCTTGGAGCACTTCAAAGGTTTCTGGCCCGCACCGAGGTTGACTTCAAGACAGTGACTAATCTAAGTAATAGCTCTCGGCATCTCCCGTGGGCATACGAGTCCCGCCACATTCCCACTCTCAGAGGACCTAGCAAACAGGCTGAGAGGGATCACGGATCGAATCTATAATGGGTGTGGGTTTCACCAGCTTCGTGGACTTGATCCGACCCTCTACACAGAAGCCGAGAGGGTCATCATTCACGCTGGTCTTACCAGTTATGTCGCTGACAAGCGAGGTGGGAACATCGGTAGGTTTACGGTTTGTCCTCTTTCTGAGTTGTATAATAATTGGTTTCAAGATCACATTCGCGACCACAGCCTCTCCAGCCCAGAGCGTGAGAAGTTGAAGCCGCTCGAGCTTCCTGTTCCAATGACTTTCCACACCGACATTGACGTCGGCGACACTGTCTCCTTGTTCACCCAGAGCGTTCCGCTCAGTGGCGGCGAGCAGTACCTTGCCTCAATTGCCTCGGTATACAATGATATACTTGAACGCGAGCCCGAGGTTCTGAAAACCCTTGCGGCGGACTGGTATTGGGAGCGACTTTTTCGGTAAGAATTGAGACTCCGCGGTTGCTTATTGACTCTTGTTGTATTGGCTACAACCAGCCATACAATGCTATTCTGAATAACTGCTAACCATCCACTTTCATAAATGAAACAGACCTGCCCCGAACCAGGAGGTCATCAGAACGTTCAATCGCCCACTGATCGCCTTCGAGAACGGCCGTCTTCAAATCAACTTTGCCGCGACTTTCGTCGGCGGGAACCCGAAGTACCCCCTCTCGACAAACGCACCATCGCTGGCACCCGAGAAGCTTCGCGCTCTGCAGGTCATCCAGGAAGCAGCGAAGCGAACGTGCCTGAAACTTGTGCCAGAAGCTGGAGATATCCTCTTTATCAACAACTACGCCCTCCTCCATGCTCGCGCGGCATGGGCTGATTCCGCGGACGATGTTTGGAAGCAAAGGTACATCATGCGTCTCTGGCTTCACGACAGTCAGAAAGGCTGGAAGTCGGCAACTGCGCTGAAGCGAGAGTTGGGCGAGAGTTTCGAGGTGGCTCCTGAATCCCAGCGCCTTCTGACTGGCACTGAGTGGTGTCGTATCCCGAGAGCGATGAGGGTAAAGGACATGGGGTTTGCTGGAAAGGAAGAGCATGACTGAACAGTACATGTGCTGGCCTTTTCTGTTGGTGTGTGTTGATGTGTGTTGGTGTGTGTTGATGTGTGTTGGTATGTGTTGATGTATAACATTTCCTTAAGAATTGTGAGCCGTTTCTTTCTTTCTTTCTTTTCTTTACTGTAACTCTGTCCGATTTTAGTTGAGATTGAACATAACTGCTTTTATTTGCTTCCCGAAAAATGATTCATAAATGCATCTGTGAAAGATACATGTCAATGAGTAACTCCCCTAGGATCCGGGGTCCTTCCTATGAAAGTGTTCAACCACTCATGGTCCCCAAGTGAATCAGGCAAACGTCACATCCCCCCACCCCATTTATTCTCACATCCAACGTAAAAGCTCGGCCAACCTGCTCATATAGTATTCCCCACAACACTGCCAGACAAGAGGGGAGAACCGATATAACATCTCCGTGGCTCCCTGAACCTCCCGGGCAACGCGGGCTGGCGCGTTCCATACGGAATGCAGTGGGTTTGGGTCCCTCCTCTGCTCTTACTTGTGATGCCCTCACGGGGAATATTCAGGATTCGCCATCCACATACAATTGCGAGATCCATACGAGCGGCTTGGCCCGAGAGTTGGTGAGATCCTCTCGACTAACCTTCTGCAATTCGGCATCTGCGTATTGATTAGAAAGATGAGAGTCCGCGCTGTCCGATGAGAAAACTTACCGCGGTCCTTGATAAGCAATTGCAATTCGCGGATGTGGTCCAGTGCTTTGTCATCAAGGCTGCACTTGCGCATCCTCTGAGTCTGCTCATCATCCCAGGGGGCTGAAAATGGAACCATGCCTTTCAAGACCACTCGGTAATGATAAATGAGAACTTTGGCAGAAGATTCCCACACCTTGATCATTTTCGAACTTGTAGATTCGACACTTGGAGACCTGTTTCCCTTGCTGGGTTTTAGCTGATATGATCAACTTGTGTAATTGAGAATTGGTGGACACACATTTGCTGCAAAGCGATCGAGTATCTCAATCTGCTTGGCGTGGACGGTTTCGAGGCTACATAATAGCACGAAAGTCGTAAGATATATCTCGTACCAATGCGTGAAATTATTCTTAATAAATAATATCTGTTTCAATCTTTTAGTGATCATATGCATTTGTTTCGTCATGCACTGAATAGCCAAGTAATCAAGCTGATAATCTAGAACTGCTGGGATTGGAACCCTCTTATGCACTTGAAGGTCTTGAAAGTAGGGCAGCCCTAGGGTATTATGGCCGCCCATCGACATTCGCGTCTTGGAGAAGTAGGTGGCGGCCCTGATATTCATTGCTAGAGACACAGCTGATTCCTGCGATTGTGTCAATTCCTGAAATGGAGTGGTTGATGCGACGGTGTATTTCATACCTGGTGCTGGCTGGCGTATCTTTCAGCTTCGATCATCCCAGACTTGACAATATCATCGTTAAGACTGTCCATGGCCTCTTCTAAGAGAGCGGGCTTGCATTTCTCAAGATATTCCTCGAGAGCATCAGAGCCCAAATCCGAATCATACTAGCAATTTTAGCAAAATTCCATCATGTGAATAGGAGGCGAGCTCACGCAGGCATATGGGGGTGAATTTATAGTCACCACCTCTCCATTAGGAAGAGCCCAAGGCTCAGTCAACACGTCTTCGTGGCCTGGCAGAAATTTGCGACACTGGATCGACAGGTAAACCCCTGTACTGGCACCTGGTTTTATGAACGGGTAGTAGAGAGTCGCGGTCTTGAGAACAAGATCCTCTGCGGACCAGTTTGGCCTGATAGGCTTAGACCAAGCCTCGCCAGCCCGCGCGTTGCCTGCCCTGAAGGCAATCACGTCGTTTAAAGACGCCCTAAAACAGGGCTGTTTAAAGAGCTTCGTCCTGTTTGCAACGGCTGTGCATCGGCCACAAGGAGTGTTTTCGTCGCACTAATGAAAGCTTTAGAAAGACAGTACGATTGGAAAAGTTTGGGTACTCACTGGTTCTTTGTTCATTCTGCATCTCACACAAGCACCAGCCTGTCTAACACATTTGATCTTCTCACGTTTGGCTTCTGTATTTCGCTTGCGCTTCCCTTTTAGGGGGGGCGCAGTTGGACTTCTTGGGGAGGGCTCCAAGCCTGAAGCAGAACTCGAAACCACCGATTGTGATGGTTTTGGTTGGATCCAGGTTCCTACACTAGCAGTGCACAGAAAATCATCGCGCTTTCCTAGGTTGGATGCTGGGGAACGTCTGCGGTGGGATTGTAAGTCGCTTTCAACAGGGTCTGTACTTGCGGGTCGAAGGTCATCTTCGGCAGCAGTTATTTCGATAACTGGGGTCACTCGGCCATATGAGCTGGTCATGGTTCGTTGCGTTCCATTCGACGGCGGCGTAAGACCAGAAGAAGATAAAAGAAAGGGGGAGTGACAAGCGCTCTTCGTAGCGTGGACGTAGTCATTTCTTCGGGCGAAACTGATCTCACTCCGGCTTGAGTTTGCGTCTGTGTCGGCACGAGGAATCGCAAGCGGATAGTGGTGTTGATTCGTAGGATTAGACCGCCGGTTGTTGACAAATGAACTCCTCGCCAAGCTACCAGATTTTACCGATGATGCGGATGGAGTTGTCAAAGGACCGGTAGACGACGAGTGGTCGGATTGCATACCCTCTTTTTTCACTGCAGGCAGGCGATTGCAAGTCGCGGCTATATCGAGTTGCTTATCGGGGCCCGTGTGATTGTGTGAAGTTCCAGTAGGCAAAGCTCCAATGATGGCTGTATCGAAAGCACCCACAACTTGTTGCACAACTTGTTGCACCATCGGGTTTGGTTGTGTTTGAACCTCTTCATCTTGACATGCAAGATCGGGGAGCCCCGACATGTCTAGACTACTAGGGTAGCTTGAAACAGCGCCTGTGTTGCTGCTAGTGTCGAATATGTCAAAAGCAGGGAAGTGTTTCCAAAGTTCCGGGTCATCCAATGCGCAGTATGTTTTGGGGGGTGGCCAGCTAATGCCCACAGACACTCCATCCTGGGGTTCCAATGACCTGAGACGCCCAGAGTGAGATCCATTACCAGCCATGGTAACGGTGGCCAAACGGCGCGTGGTGAAGCTCTCGCTGATCTATGTTGAGCTGTGCTTCGTTATGACACTATTGAGCAGATGACGCTCAATGATGGTATACAGCCGTTGGGAATATTGGCTCTGGCGGGGTAGTTATTCGGCGGCAATATGGATGGCGGGGTTGGAACAGGAGGGAAAATTGGTCTTCGAGAATGGGCCTTGCTTGATGAATGGCGAACCAACTAATAAGTAAAAGTGTGTGCGAGCCTAACCCCGATAATTGGCGCATGCGCCACGTCATGAAAATCTCTTCGCCGGTCGGACAATGACTGGCTGCACTTGTGTTTGCTGACACCTCTTCAACCATCTGCCGTGGTCGCACGTAGGTAAGATATGGTCCGCAAAAAGAAAAAGGCAACACAAAAAACCCAAATTGCGGCCCAACGAAAACTGCGCCACGACAAAGGCATGAAGAAATTTCTTTTCGAAGAAGGAGATGAAGCACGAGCAAATCTAATCCCATATGAATGTGTATGAACTACTATGGAGTCTGAAGTTGAATGTGCTATTATTGTAGCTGCTATGTATTTAGAACTATCTTTTTTGAAGAGATGATGTCTCTTCTGGTATAGGGTATGATTGTGTGTGGTAACAATTGTATGTCTCTATTGTTTACAAATACTGTACGCCTCCAATATATCTGATGCGGTTGAGTAAATCAATAAAAACCCCCAAATATACGCAGCTATTGCTATTTGTATACAAGTGTAAATCTTTTGCCTAATGTATCTGTTTAGAAAGATACTTAGCCAGTGTGTAAATACTAAAGGAATATCCTCGACGAATTTTCTATTTCAGTATTAATATAAAGATTTCAGAAAAGGCTCTAATTTAAGACAAAATGATTCTGGTAGTAACATACTCTGATCTTCTGCTGCTGGGTTAGGTATTTAGTATACTGTCGGTGATATCTTTATATTTGAAGGCATTCACTTTATATATGCAAACGGTAGTAGATTTATATATGAATAACAAGATTATTTAAATAACAGCTTATTAGTAAAAACATTGAACGCAACGGCAGTTAGAATAGCAGTTGGAATAGCAGGTTAGAAAAGCAGCTTACTTTACTTGTGTAAGACAATCATCTGGATGACCTTTTTCTGCCGAGCCTCATCGTTATTGACAAATTTACACTTCTTGCAGACCTTGTCTAATATGCAACCGGATACGGGGCAATGCGGTAACGAGGCAGCGAGGCAGCGAGGCTAATCCTTAATTGTTAAGAGATCTTGAGCCTCAAAGGATATATCATTACCTTGTTAGCCCGAATCGAGAATGGCAGAAATCCTTTGGCCCCCAATTTTTTACCTGCTATTTTATCAAATGGGCCACCACCCTTCAGCCCCTAGCCTGGGCAGCTTACGTATTGCAACTCCCGACGATGTCCTACGCATTGGGATCGTGGCAGCTGCAGGCTTTAGATACTCGCCTCTTTTCCGCTGGGAACGGCCCTTCCACGCGAAACATCCTGAAGATACATTGGCATCGTATCGTACGCTGTTCGGAGCCGACATGCAGAACGATGATTTCGTTGTCCTGGTGCAAGAAGATGCCTACGAGCCTAGCGAGGGTAACAAGACTGAAGCCATCATCCCGCGGAACAATGGATGGGAGCCTCCAGAAGCTGGGACGAAGGTCGTTGTAGGAGTTATGAGCTTACAGCTGGAGCCTAACTCTCCACGAAGGGGACAATTCAAGGGTCGAGAGGGTGAATGGTGCTAACAGTTAGTTCTTGGGAGCTGTTACTGACTTGGATTTGCAGGCTCTTGCCCTTTTCGCTTTGAGAACGATGGACGTGACTTGAATCGCCGCCACTACGATTCATGGGGTAGTCTGTCTGGTTCTAAGAAAAGAGAGTAAGTGAATGGGACATAATGCTCATGGACAAATATGATCAGATAGCTAACACTCTTTTCTGTTTTATTTATTAGGCATTGCCATGGAGCCTCGGTTATCAGTATGGTCGTCGTACATCCTGCATACTGGAACCGTGGATATGGCACTGCTCTCATGCAATGGGCAAAGGACCTGTCGGATCTCGACCGTGTCAAACAATGCGTCAGCGCTGCGCCAATGTCGGAGCCCCTTTTTCTCGCGCTAGGATTCCAGCGCATTTGTCCTATAGCCGCTAAAGGGGACGAGGATGACGCTGAAGGAGTGAGCACTGCACTTTTGGAATACCGTACAGAAGTGTCCTAAAAAAATTGATTTGACATTTGCTAATTGGTTGTGATTAGGAGCAGCATGATATCGATCGACCTCTCTTTCCTAAGCTATGAACACCTAATTAAATGAGAACACGAATTTAATAAGACAGTAATAAGGAATTATACCAAACACTAATTCTTTTTGCAGCCCAAAGGCCGGCTCTGACATGAATACTAAGCTTTACTCTTCTCGGATTGTCGCTTTCCATACATGATTCGTTTATATCCTGATTCCTAATCATCTAAATTTACGCACCCCTGAGTAGGCGCTGGCGCTGTCTGGACAGAAAACTGGTTGCAGTATGTTCAGCGCAGAGAGCCATGGAGTGTTCGCATAACTCATCGGAACGAAAAAAGAAGAAAAAAAAAGTGGAATATACATGCTAATCCATTGAATACAAAATCATGGGCCCGAATGGTATGGGATGGGGAGGATTCGTGGTTAATAGATAGAATGCGACAGGCTGACTTCCAGTGGCTTATAGTGGCGCACAGTGGGGCAGCCAGGCCCAGACCATGACGTCGAACTGAATGCGCCTCAGAAATAAATCCACACAGCGGAACCATCAACGACGATTCTACAACCACCAGCGCTTCCCATCCGCGTCAGGATGGCCACGTCCACATCACCACCACTGCGTCGCGATCCTCCCGAACCATGACGGCTCTCTTACCTCGGCCGCCTGGATCGAAGCAACTTGCTCAGGCTGATCCCGCCAGCCTTCAATCGCCGCATCGATCGATTCCTCCCGATTCCTCGTCACCTCCACGCCCAGAGCCGTCGTCCACCGGAGACTCCCTCGATGCCGTCAAGCGCGCGCCCGAACCAGGCTCGGTCAATGCCATAATACGCACACACAGCCGAACGCGCCTCTACGTCAAGCCCATCTACTGGACTTCTGACCAGCTGCGGCTGTTGGGCTGCCAGTTCTGCTTGAGTGAACTGCAACCGGAGCAGCGACGCGACACGACGAGCCTGAAAAGCGCCCCAGGCGTCGCAAAGGACAAGGATGCGGCAAACAAACTACAGCGCCAGGAGCCGAGCCGGGACATTATTCGCGCAGCTCGTCAGATCTGCCTCATAGCTATTCCGGAGTTCAAGAAAGACGCTATGCACGATTTCCTCGTTGCCAATGGCTTCCAGTGTCAAAAGTAACCCCGCTGGCTCAGTCCCTGTGCGAACCTTGACAATCCTGAAGAGCACCGCTGACAAAACTTCCATTCTCAGATCCGAACGTTTGCCGTTTCGCTTCAATGGCCACACTGCCAGCGTCCTCCGAACAGACGGTGTGTGGTCCGTAGGCTCCGCCGCCCCTTCCCTCGCATATGTCGACCTTTGCAACTTGGCAACTCAGCGAGAAGATCGCATTTACTGCACCCCGCGGTTGAAACGATGGAATCAACCTGTTTCCATCCTGAGAAGCAAGAAGCTAGATCAGCACACGCCTTCAAACGACGCTGAAGACCCATATATCATGGCCATTTTAATCGCCTTGGCCCGAGAGCGGCGGCGGAAGCAGCAGAAGGAGGGCAGCAGTACGGGAACGATAGACCACAACGTCAGTCTCATCGCTGTTCGAGGAATACCCCCGCGGACACTTTTTTTCTACACGGCTCGCATTCCCTCTAGCTTCCTCAACAAGTTAGACCGGCCATCCCAATTTTCACCCAGTTGCCCGATCTTGGTTTCATACCGCCCCATTTCGCTCATGGGATCTAGAGCTCCAGAAGAGCTGCGAGCGACGTTATGTTGCCTGCTTGCTGCTCACAAACAATAAAGTGCCATGAAGGGCGTGGAATGAAGGCGCCGACTGTACCAAGCTGACCATCGCAATCACACACATTTTTGACGATCTGGTGGAGTCGCGTAGCTTGGGTACTTTGCAACACGAGCTTGTAATTGCCCGACCCAGCCACCTGTCAAATACCGGAATGGATAACAACCTACAGAATACAAACGCCGGATCTGGAATTTCCTGGTTTCTTATTTAATTATATTACAGATATTAGAAAATTTAGAATATGTTTAGAAGCTATAATTCGACATTACATGCTATTTTGTAATATTAATCTCGCTTCTAGCGAGGCAAGTGAGCACGCTCGTGCGGTATAGCTGATCGTGCCACACGAGATTCAACTCGATCAACACTTCGAATTGAGTTGAAGCCGGCCCGTGGTCTGCGGTCTGGACTATCAAGAGGGCTGGGCCAATACTATCATTATTGCAAAGTTCGGTAGCGGCACTTGCATCTCAGAGCCTAGCTGTATACCAGCGCGCTTAAGCAATGAGAACTTTGCCCATGTCAGCGAAAACTTCGCTCAGCGCTGCCACGAACTGTGCGAACGTTAGGACACCGGTGTTTATTTTTATGCAACTTTGGGCTTCCGCACGTTAGCCACCAATTTATCGGCGATAGGTGCAAATCCCTCGCCTTGTTTCGAACACCTCGCCGCCCGTTCCCAGCAACCCCAAATGGCAGTACTCTATTAGAACACACAGCGGAGAGGCCTCTGAACCCCCAATATTGTTAATTACAGCCATCATAGCCGCGGTACGTGTAAAGTAGTCTCATTTCTCGAACTGAACGGTTTGTCATCTCACTGACCAAATATGCGGTAAAGGCCGGGATCTTATTTAATAACTCGGGCCAACCCTCCATCCACATCCTCAACTGCACAAGCCGCAAACTGCGCCACGAGCAGCCGTAGCTGGTGCCCCTCGGTCGCTATAGCCTTTCATTATCTAAACAATCTCGTATTTGCGACAGCTCGTTTTAACCTAGTGACGATCGACCCAAGTTCCTTTCCACCCAGTCAGACAGTCAAGAACCCTGAGTGAAACCCACCAACCCCGCGCCAGCGAAAATACCAGAGCAATAAAGCCAGAAGCCCATCGAATAGCCTTCGGTTGAGATCAAAATAATGTTGTCAACAAGCGTAAGGCTGCCCATCACAGCCAGAAAGATGTCGAGCACGTCGTACTGGCGTCGCGAGTAGAAGATGAACATGAGGATGCCGAGACAAGCTGCCCGAGCGTTCCCAATGTGCCAGACAGGCCACGTCTCCGGGATATCGGCGACCCGGGCCGGCAGGCCATATTGTATGAGGACGCTGCGTGTGCCGCTGATGAGCCACCAAATGGTACCCCAGAATTGTGTGCAGGCTACGAAGAGCGCGGGGATATGGCGATATTGGAAATCCTGAAACATGAAGACTGGATGTCTTCTAAAATGATTGTGTGGCGGGGAGAGGTCTAGGACCTTATGTACTTGGGCCTTGCCGTAATGCTACGTTATCGCGAATTAAAACCCAGAACACTGGCTCTTGCAGTACTGTCAGCCGGAATCACTGTTAGCCCGATCATCCCCAATTTTAGATGTGTAATGCCTCCAAATCCTTAATGGCGATCCGCGAGGCCCACGGGTCCGGCGAAAATGACAGCATTTTTTTTCGACGCCCAACCAGGACCGCGGTTTCGGTTCTCCTTACTTATTTCTGTTAATAAGTCAGCAAAACAATCAGCCAAGCCCTATTTTCGGCATATCATGAGTCAATCACCAGGTTGGGCATTGATTATAACGCTCTCTTATGAGAGTTTCTCCCCTTAGCTTCATGAAAAATGCTTTGCCGATTGATTTCAACTTCTAGACACATCATATCCCCCCTATGCTACAGCCGGGCAGTCTGGTGTGTCGGGTCCTTGTTATCATCGCCATCAACTGACTCACCACCAGGGATAATCTCCTCCACCGCTCTAGATTTAGCTCCCTCTCGGTCCAAGCCCCAATCCAAAATCTCGGGGTACCTGTTAATGTAGAAAAGCAACCCCAGGATGGCAATGATGCTTCCAACAGCGAAGGCTGCCGCCAAGGGGAAGCCGATTGGATATCTCGGGCTGTCATCCACGCGCCACGCCCGAAGTGGAATCGAGGCATGCCCGGCATAAACAAGGGTAACTGCAATTCCGACAAGAATTGATCGCACCTCTGGCTCCTTGCGAAGGATCTCGGCCATCCAGGCTAGGAGTGCATACCCCCAGGCCGCCGTAGCGAATGTCAAGAAATAGAATGCCATGATAGTGTGTCGAGAGTCAGGCCAGCCCGCAAGAACCGAGGTTGCGAGCACCTGCACAGCCGCAACTGCGACTGCAACTTGCCATCGCCAACCCTTCCAGTCACTGAGAGCGTTCAGCCCAATGTTGCATACAATGCTGATGCCGTAACCTCCCAAGGGGATCAGGTTGACGGTGTAGACGGAGTACAATGGGTCGCCGTTCGATTTGGTAAGCCCCTTCAGGTAGAGCAAGAAGTAAGCGTTGGCACGCTGACTCCAGGCGAACTGTAGATAACCAGCCAGGTAAAGGTAAGTTATAGGGGTTTGAACAAGAAGCTTCAGTTTCTGAACCAAAACCTTGAAGGGGATGATGCCGGATGTCTTGGTTCCACTCTCGTCCATCCTTGCGCGAGCAAGTTCTCTCTCCTGCTCCGACAAGTATAGAGCCCGGGTGATGGCGGGCGAATCAGGAATCACAAAGAAGCCTACGATGCCCCAGAAGATGGTCATGACTCCTGAGACAATAAAAAGCCATTGCCAGCCTGCAAGGCCTTGGGCGCCGTTCAGGTTCCTGTAGAGAGCTGCCTGGACGATACCCAGAAACATGTTTCCTGCGACGCCACTGACGCCAAAGATTGCCAGTCGCTTTCCAAGTTCTTTTGGCGTGTACCTATTTCCAATTAGTGGAGTCTTGAGTTTAAGGAGAATTAATTCTTACCAGTTCAGGATAAGAGATACGATTCCAGGCCATGAGGTTGACTCGAAGACTCCGAGAAAGAATCGCAGCGCGTAAATAGTCTTGGCATTTGGCGCCTTGTAAGTGAAAAGAGTAAATATTCCCCAGACTATCTCGCAGATAGGAAGGAATATCGACGGTCGGACCCGGGTTTGGATCAATTGCGAGGGCACGATGAACAGTGCGTAGCCAACGGAAAACCATGTTGTGAACTCGACCAATTCGTTACCAAGAAGCCCCAGGTCTTCTTTCATTCCAGAAACATAGGCGGCAGTAGTGGCGCTTTGATCCATATCTTTGAATAGCTAAAGTATCGTTATTAGTGGTGAAGGAAACGCTGCATTGTGGGTGGCGTGGCTTACACCGGCAACGAATGCCCATGATAGAAGGAATGCGTCGAGCTTAAGAATGAACACATGTTGGGGGTTCTTGAAGTACGGGTGAACTTTGGCGAGCCATGAATTTGACTCGGGAATTGTGTCGAGCTGATGGTCCTCGGTCGCCGAGGCGTTCTTTAGACTGGTCGTGGGTGACATGGTTCGGGGTGCTGACTAGGCCAGACAGTCTGGTTGGGTGAGGGTCTAGAGTTCGAGATTATCTATGAAATAGACGAAGAGCTCTTAGGTGGATGCCATTATATATATGTCTCGAGAATTTCGGTTTGGCTCAGTGTTTCGCTTCTCAGTGTTGTAATCAAGGCAGTTTCGTGGACTTTTTTTTATTTTTTATTTGGGCCGAGGACTGGGCTTGCACACCACCGTTCCTCATACCAGGGCTCTAATGACGGAATCATGTCTAAGGAGTCCATATCAGGTAACATCTTGAATCATGCCCCGACCAAAGTGCGAGGCCCTTGGCGCAAGCGATCAATAGCAGTTCGGTTCGTTTAAAAGGCGGGGACATCTGTCACGCAGGATTCTCCGCTTCTGGTTTAGCAATCCAATCATAATGATGGGAATTGGAGGTTTCGAAGCGGAATTGGTTAGCTGTCGAGGGAGAGCGTCGATTGCGTCTTCATCTGGGGAAATTGCTCAGGCCTTGTTTGCTGGATAGCGGGAATTGGCTGGCTTGGCAACCGATGACGACAGCCAAAATTACCACTTCAGTCGAAGTCGGTCGGCCTGTCGCCGACATCAGGGCTGTCAGCAATTGATCTGAGGGATACGGTTAATGCGTCAAATACATTATGTGCAAGGCGGCTGCATCGATTCTCCAAAGTGCATGCAGCTTCGAGCACAGACTTCTTGACCGAAGCACCTAAATCCTCTCTCCAGTTCATCATACACCAAGGCGTCATGTCTTCTGAGCCGTTATACCCTGCATATCTCCCCACTCGATCCGATGGATATGTCGCACCCGAAGCGGTACCCTTGTTCGAGGCGGAGGAGCCCGGAAGCCGTGCAGACCCGTCGAAGCCATCGCTTCTGAAGGCTGGGGCAACCGTGACGAACATCACCCCAAGGATTGGTACTGAAATCCGGGGGATACAAATCAGTAAGCTGGGCGAGACTGGACTGGATGAACTTGCTCTTCTGGCTGCCGAGAGAGGTGTTGTTGTTTTTGTCAGTCTCTCTCACCTTCCAACGTCCTTAAATTGATGCTAAGACTGAACCCAGAGGGACCAAGATTTTGCGGACGTTGGATTTGAAAAGCAACTCGACATTGTCAAGCACTATGGCCCGCTTCATCGCCACCCTACCATGGGCTATCCTAAAGGCACTGGACCCGAGTTTCATGTGGTTTATGCCGACGAGAAGTCGTGAGACTGCCCTAATCCATGAATTGACAAAAAATCTAACATTTCACTAGCGGGAATCTGAGAACCCTCCTTGGACCAAGGACGACGTATGACCTCTGGCACATTGACCAAACTTTCACACCCAATGTTCCATCAACAACGTTCTTCTGGGTTCTTGAAACCCCCAAGTCGGGTGGCGGCGATACTGCATTCACTTCACTTACTGCGGCCTATGAAGCGCTATCACCGGCCTTTAGAGAGACACTATCGTCGTTGAGTCTTTTACACACATCCGCCTCAGAAGGAGAGGTCAGACGAGTTGGGACGGAGCGCGCCTTGAAAGAAGCCATCAACGCTTCCCACCCACTTGTAATCAGACATCCTGTTACCGGAAAGCCAGCGCTCTTTGTTAATCCGACCATTGCCCGTCAAGTTGAAGGGTTCCTACCAGAAGAATCGCAGCATCTCCTGTCGTTCCTCCACAATCACATCAGAAGTATGGACTTCAGCTGCCGTGTGAAGTGGGAGGAGGGAACGGTGGTGGTCTGGGATCAGCGATCTTGTGGACACTCGGCCGTTCCTGACTTCCAGGATAATGAAAGAAGACACATGGTGAGGGTGATTCCTTATGGGTCACAGCCCGAGCGTTTCTCATCGTAGATTGTGTATCAGATTTAGAACAAGTCTATATTGCGTATATCAGAAGCTAAAGAACTTATCATGCTTTAAGAATAAATGCTAATTGCTAAGGATAAATACGGGATGATGTATCCCTAATCGTCAGTATTCGCTCTGGAAAAGAACTGGAAAGCAAGGCACTAGTGTTGCAACATTAATCGACGCAGATCTTGCGGTGATGTTGTTTACCACCGACAGCGACAGCAACAGTGACTACACGCCATTTATTCTATTCTAGGTTTTACCGGACCGTAACCCCAGTGGCGTACGTGTCATTTACTGATGTGGCGTATGGTTGGGCTGGTGAGCTTGGCCCAGAACAGAATCAAGGCTGGAAGCGCCTGATTAATGGGGCGAGGGTCAGATGGTGGAACTGCTGACAATCAGGCTGTGGCTGGCTATCACAAGATACTGAATACTTAAGAATCCACAGTACGCTCGACTATTTCACAAATAAGACGTCTGATAATATTCTGCTCTAAACATTTCCTGCGAAAAAAGCTATGGCGACAAGGCGACAGCCACTGAAGGCCGAGGCGCCATCTGAAGACGACGAACTCTTCTACGTATCAACCAACCCAGCCGGATCTACAACTGTTATTTTTCTCCATGGGGTTCTTTCTTGTCATTTGGAATGGGAGCATGTAACCCCCTACCTCTCGCCGGACTACCACCTGATGGTTATTGACCTAAACGGCCACTCCAACTCTTCGAACATTCTCCCGGTCCTTCTTCCAGCATCAACAGATCGCGTCGCAGATCTAATCAGACGCCATGCTCATGGGGGTAAGGCCCATGTCGTTGGGCTAAGCATGGGTGGCTTTATCTCACTCGAGTTGGCCCGTTGTTACCCGGAACTTGTACACAGCGTCTTTGCGACAGGCGCGCATCCATTCAGAGGCGTTTACAAATGGCTATCTTTGCGTCCATTCATTATTTGGATATTATTGTGCTTGCTACATTCAATGCCAGATCGTCTTTACTGGTGGATGGCTTCTAGTCACGGCATGGCAAGACACGAGGCTCTGAGAGCGGAGATGGCCAAAAACAGATCGCGGACTACTGTGCGCGACAACTATACGAGTATCTTGGACTTCGACTGGAGTAAAGTGCAGGAAGTCCATGTTCGGACCGCAGTTATTGCTGGTAGTCTTCAAGACGATGTTGAAGCGACACGAGAAATGGGTCCATTGTTACGGCAGGGCGGGTGCAGTGAGAGTCGGGTTTTTGTGGTGAAGAATGCCGTGCATGCATGGAACCTGCAATTCCCAGAAGTTTTTGCACTTGGTATTAGAGCTTGGATTGAAGGGAAGGAGTTGCCAAAGGAGTATGAAGAGTTATGATTGGGACTCTCCGTCACTGAATCCATTTCTCACACATGGGGATTGTTGGTTGGAGATTCAGCAGCGAAGACCACTGCAGACCACGCTTGAGGCATATGGGGATATCGCCAAACCAAAATGAAGATTGAATAGCAAGTTGAATTGACAAGAAGGTACGAACTCTGAGCCTGGCACGTAAAGGCACGAAACAATGTGCCTATCAATGCATCATGCTAGCAAGAATGGGAAAATAGCAAAATAGCTGCGGCTCCAGCTTGGATCAATGGACAGGCCAAGATATGAAATGAATTAAATTTAAAAGGTGCAAAAATGTGACATTCCCAAATCTCGTGCACAATCAGGAGATGATGTCTGACTTTGCGCAGGTGGCAAATGGGCATGTCTGGACTTTGATGTTGTAGTTAGAAAACCGATGGAAAGAGGTTTTATAACGTGTGAGAATTATATCGGTGTGCTCTGGAATCTCTTAGACTTGTCAATCAACATGAGCCAGACAAACACCTCCCAGCCCATGAAATGGTAATCTATTCTCGTGGGCTAACGAGGCCGCAGGTTCCCCTACATCACTTAGTGCAATAAGCGAACATTTCCCAGAAAGCTACCCGCCGATGATCTCCGTGCAATCCAGTCTGACATGGTTAGTGCAGCTCTTCTCAGTAGCTGACACGATTGCAGCTGTCAGTTTGGAGGCTGACTAATTTGAGGGTACCATTAAAATCCCCGCAGGACGAGGTGTAAGAAAAGGTGAGTCATTGGCCGTGAGAAGGTTCGTCAATTATGGCCCTCACACTTAGAATCTGTCGTCTTCTAAGTAGGTACTGTTGCGTTCTTACATTCTCACCTCCGTCCACCCTCAGCTTTCTACACCGAACCATGGAAATGTTCCGGTCTGAAAAATTCCGTTCCTATGTGGAGGATTTGATGAGCCTTCACCACGTGCCTGGTCTTGCTATTGCAGTTGTGCAGGGCGACGAAATCGCTTCTGAGGGCTACGGAAAAGCGTCCATTGAGCCGCCAGTAGCATGCACATCGAACACACTCTTCGACTTCGCATCGTGTGCCAAATCGCTGACCGCTGCATCCGTCGGGTTGTTGGTCGACGACAATGAACAGTTCCCCGATGTGCAGTATGACGCTCTAATGTCTACCTTGCTCCCAGAGGACTTCGTCATGCCCGGCGTTGGGTATACAGAAGGCGTTACTGTTGAAGATATCTTGAGCCATAGGACTGGCATGGCCGCGTAAAAACCCTCACTGTCAGACTCCTGGTCATCGCTGACTTACAAACATAGCCATGACAATTCCTATTTTGGGCCACAGGCAGCGCAGCCAGACGATGCTCGTTCTATCACTAGAAATTTGCGGAACCTTCCCGTGGCTGCACCCATCCGGGCAAGATATCTGTATTGCAACATGATGTATACCGCGGCATCATATCTGGTGGAAGTGAAAAGTGGGCAGAGCTTTGCCGAATTTCTACACGAGCGCTTTTTCGAACCGCTTGATATGAAATCAACCTGTCTTCAGTCCACAACCGCTGGAGCTAAGGGGTTTGGGGATCGTATTGCTACCGGATATCACTGGTACAAGGACAGCTCAACATACCATGGGTTCCAGAGCCCAGATTGTCCGGAGGGGCAAGGTGCAGGCTCCATCATCTCCAGCGTCGCCGATTTTGCCAAATGGGTTCAAGCGTTGATGAACCGCAAAGGCCCGATCAATGAAAAAGTGTACCAAGGGCTCATCCGAATGCGCTCTTTTGTGAACCCAAACGCAAGAAGATTGAAGCCACATTCTTCCCCTGCTGCATACGCAGCAGGATTAGAAGTGCACTATTACCGGGGCCATATGGTTGTCGGGCACAATGGCACCATCGACGGCTTCGGGAGCCGGTTTTTCTTCGTCCCTAGCTTCAACTTCGGCGCTGTTATTGTCGGAAACTCGACTGGAGCAGGCCCCATCGGGACTGTTTTGGCCCGTGACTTCATCGACGAAGTCCTTCAGATTCCAGAGGCAGACCAGCCATATCGACAAAGAAGCAAAACCCCGAAAATGAGCAAAAGCTGCAATAAGAGTGTCCATCCCAAACAGAAATTCGAGAACAAGGGGAATACAAAAGGGAAAAATAAAGAAACAATACCAGGAACCCGCGACATCCCCGCCAAAGATTTAAAACCCCAAGAGTTGCCGCTTACTCTATACACAGGCAAGTACTGGCACCCTGGATATCACAACATTACTGTTCAGGCCAAGGGCAACAAAAATTTTATTGACGCCATGGATCGGTCAATGGGATTCACTCTGACTTTTGATCATCTATGTGACCAAACAAGATACACAGCGCATTTAAGTGACTTTTTAGAAGATTGTGTGGAATCAATTCAGGCCGAGTTCAAATTTGAGGATGACATTGCGGTAAAATTGGGATTGGGCCTGGAGCCTGCTTTGAAGGAGATGATTTGGTTTACAAGAGTGGATGAGAGTTGTTGAAATGTATTATTTTCCCCTACTTATGAAAATCCATCTTGATTCATGTGAAGGGTGTCTCTGTCAGTTACCTGACTCGCCTCTTCGCATGTCATGTTAGCAGAGCCCGCCTTGACTTGATTCGCCGCGCACGGGCCACCAATCACAAGTGGGCCTTATCGCGACGAACCAATACTTCCCAGAGAACATTTCAGATGCTTTGGATGAACGATCCCACGTACCCAAAAGTAATAAGATCATACATAGGCTAATTCATATATTTATAGACCATTCATTTTTACTCCATTTTCAATTTTGGCCAAGTTGTGACTTGTAGGTAAGCATACCTGACCTGGGCTTATGGAACCCCCTAGAATGTTCCACAAGATTCCACAATCAACTAGTACCATCGGGATGATTTAGAATCATCGGCATAAGCAAATGGCTATTGTAAGCCTTCGAGAATACGGGGGAAACAATTAATGTAATCTTCGCCGTCCCTTATTTCACTATAAAGCGACGCTGTATATTCCTCAAAGCCCAATCTGCCTCTTCATCCGAACACACACACTCACAAGCCTAATAAGAAGCTCTTCTATCTGCTCCATCTTCAACACCTGCTTAACGCTTCCATTATCAAACCACCCATCCATTTTACAGTCTTACTACCAGCCTAATACACAAAATGGCCTTCTCACCGTGCAAATTCTACAAGTCCGACGCCTCCTTCACTCCCCTCTTCCGACTCCTCAATGACTTTGACAACTACTCTCGCCAAGACGCTCGTCGAAGTGCTGTTCCTCAGTGGCAGCCGAAGTTTGACATCCGCGAGACCCAGCAAGCTTATGAGCTCCATGGCGAGTTCCCTGGTGTGAACATGGACAATGTCAATGTCATCTTCACCGATCCTCAAACAATCCTCATCTCCGGCAAGAAGGAGCGTGCTTTCACAGCTGGTGCCACACCTACTGCCATCGCTGAGGACACCACTAGCGATACTGCCAGCGACATCGATGAGAAGAGGAGCTCCTATCAGGCCACCGTCGAAGATGAGGAGTTCGAGTCTATCTCTTACGATGGCGAAGAGGCTCCCGAACAGGCCGAGAAGACTGCGTCTGAAGTAGTCGAGCCCAAGAAGGCCGAGAAAACTGAAACGACTGAGCCAAAGCCCGCCGACAACGCCAAGTGGTGGCTCACAGAGCGCACCGTTGGCCAGTTCTCCCGAAGCTTCAACTTCCACAACCGGGTCGAACATGACGCTGCGACTGCCAACTTCAAGGATGGCATCCTCTCAATCATCGTTCCCAAGTCTGAGAAGCACGAATCGCGGCCCATCTCCATCAACTGATTCATGTACCCCAATATCTAATAGTGGCCAAGCATACGATGCTTAAGGTTGCCATACAAATATTGCATGTCGGCGGAGCTTCCGAGTTCAGGTGTTCCAATCATCGGTTATTTTTTGATTAATGGATGGGTACATGGGATGGAGTGTGTTTGGCTTTAGTACGGTTTTGTTCGGTGCCGTTGTCATTAGGCAATTGTAAGATAGGAATATTGAATCAATACAAAGACATTTCGCGTTGCTTAGTAATTTTCACACGGCCTTGGCATGCAGATTATGAATGCAGACGCGGTTGGTTGCGCAGGAGTATCAAAAATATAAGAGGCGAAAACCCCCAAACTCAAACGTGGCTTCTTGACTTCTCCTGAACCACACCGTTCTATTCCCTCCTTGTTAGTTATTATCTTCTACTTCTAAGTACCCAAGGTTCTTTCAATGAATCAATCTATCGATACTGGCGACGACCCCGCGTGGATCTATCAAGAGGACTTTCGACGGCCGCGCTTTGTTGGAGACCCTCTACACCACCGCGAGATTATATCTCAACTGCGAGAGGTCTTAGTGCTCACCCGTGGTCACCGGCAAAAGAGATGGGGATTCGCCATTGTACGCACATCGTATGGTCCTGGGTCAGATGAACAGATGCAATACGCCCTCGCTCTAATCCGCAGTACGGCGCAAGTATTCACCGATACGGAGGCCATCTCTGTAAAGCACATACTGGAGGAGCATAAAAGTAGCCAACCTTTCGAGCTCGCGGACCTATCTCTAGAGTTTGATACACGGCCCAACCAGGAGATACTGAGCCGCTTCGAGAACGATGTACTGGAAGATGCAGCGCTAGAGGACGCCTCGGTTGCCACGGTCTGCGAGTATTTCGCGGATTGGATTGCGACTAACGATGGCCCTTCCAATACCGGTGACATTCGGTTCATTTCCTGCATTATGCTCGACACCGAGACGCTGGCTCAACTTGCTACGGTGCCGGGTGACTTCCCTGAAACTGGAACCACGAGCTTCGGGTCGCCATACTGGGTGAAGGTGGTTGAAGTAAAGCCACAGCCCGAGGAGGCTTTCCGGGTATACCTCTTTGGGGAGTTTGGTCTGGCTCAATATTGGTTTGATCTGAATCATAGCCGGCGGTCAGCTATGGAGTTAACTCATAACAAAGACCCCGAGAACCCTGGAATCCGCTACTTTGGGTATCTACCAACTAATGTTGGGTACCTACCATACACTCAGCTTCCCGGACCCGTTGAGATTTTACAGTAGGTGTAACGTTAGCTGGTCAAACCCCTTAGCACGGTCCGAGTGCATGGCTATTGCTACAAGTTTGTCTACCACAGCAAGCTTAGAATTGGAATAGAGCCAACTGACGCTGCTGTAGCCAAATCTTCCAGTTTCTCTCATTAATGCTGGCTGTTTCCTGTGGAGAAAGCTTGTGGAGCTGCCAACGCCAGAATCAATGAACCATTCGGCTAACTCGACCCCAAATCCACCATTAATCCTTGATCATTGATCATTTGATATCGAATCTTCCGATATTTCGATCTTTTTGATGTCGGACCGACAAAACGGCGCTAATGCAAACACGAGTCAGGGGTGGCGTTATCGGTTACCCGACGGAAATGGGTCGCAATAAATCAGGGGAAGTTCTGGGGAACGACCTGTGATAGTTAAGTCGGGGTAGATAAGACGCAGAACTTGTTTCCCCGCACTGGGGATGACATGAGTATCTCGTTTTGCCGGAAGGGGGTGGCCGGTTGCTGCATTTTCGTCGCGTAACCCCTCTATAATTTCTCACGATTGACACTAGGGTTGGCTGGTTCATCAACTGCCCACGGCGTCCGTTCATCATTCCCTTGTCCATTACTTAGATTGATATGACACTAAAATGCTGTTTACCCTGGATAACTCCTTACATGACACTATATCTTGAGTTGGGTGTGTTTTGGAGAAAGGTGTCCCAGCAGCCCAGTTCGAGGAGCTTATAGCGGGCTAGCTAAAACGGCGCATCTTTCAATATCGATAGGGTGTAAAATCGGGTCACCATGAGGGCTATGTTTTTCCCCACGGGTACCCGTCGATAGCTAAAAGCTATAGGGTAAATGGATTTTTATTAAATATAAAGTTGAAAAATTATATGTAACATTATTTACAATAAAACAAGATATAATACAAGTATTTCAACCCATTGGTACCTACAAGCTCAGAATAGGTACTCAGGCTGTAGGTGCCCATGGGTACTTACAGCCCTAAACTTTGAGGACGGAACGCTTGACGAATGCTTGGCATGAGTGGTTTGTTTCCTCATCACACACCATTAGTGATCTTGGTATAACTTTGAACACTTTGGCTGTCAAATACCAGAATCAATGTTTCATAGTTTCTCACATTGGGAGGCATCCATCGTGGACTGACTACGGAATGATTAAGGCGTGCGTCAACGAGACATTGACCAGGAGGCCGGGTGTCTGATCTTGGTTCGTGCGTGGTGGCAGCACGAATGTTAAAGCATGTACGTGGGCATCGGGCCTGGATGATGGCACATATGACTGGTCAAGAGACTGTGAAGGACCCTGGTTTCCTGCATGGCATTCTTGGACCGAGATTTCTAGGTCTCCATGCACCTCGACACGTAGACCGAGTGTGATATTGTTCTGGAACGGACCGATTCATAGAGAGTTGCGGATAGGTTGCTCACGGATCATCGAAAGTCAAAGCACTTGCAGCGATGCCTATGATCAGCCGCTCAAGCTAATGCAAGCCTCAGGGGTGCGATTGGACAGGGCAGTTCCCGACGTTTCCTGGGCTAACCCTGCCGCCCAACCATACTCCGTGTATTCCTGCTTTGGTCGACCAACATCTACTCCAAGCTGAGAACTGAGCCAACCCTCTCTCACGTTCAAACACCTAGGCTCAATCGATCGACGGCGAGATTTCACGACAAAATTGATGGAAGCGCCTGGCTAAAGTTTTCGTGGCGTGAGCGTGCTGATTCTCGAGCTGAAGGGCTTAGAGATGCGCCCGCACAGGTCAGATTAGCCTGATCCAGCAGGTGACGAAGAAGCCACAGCAATGGAGGTGGCAGATCACTTGCTACAAACGTCGGGTTACGGGCTCAAAATGCCCTCACACTAACTTTGACGACTTAGCCAGTGCATCCATCGGTGAATGTGACTGAGGTCTTCATACGAGCTTGCATCCCAGCTAAGATGGCACTTACAATTGGCTATCAGTTGCATCGTATAATGTATCGTGTAAGTAATGCTACATTCTACAGATCCCGGTAAATGCCGCGTGTGAAGACCATGCATGACCTTCGGCCGATACCAAATGACCAAGTTCAGCTAATAAACCCATGCCCAAGTCAACTCAGGGTCAAAGACCCTCATAGAAAGCTAATTCTTCCTTGTTGCGGTATTGGCGATGAAATGACGGGTGGGTTCCCCGTGAATACACTGAAGACGGTGGCAGCATCTGCAACAGAGCAGCATGATACCCGTCGTGAAACCGTTGGGGGATAGACTTTTCGACAGGTTGGCTATCCTCTTCCCCAGAAGCTTCTCCTTGGCTCCGATCTTCGGTGGATGAGTGGCTTCTCGCAGATGAACCCCTGCTGTCAGAAGGCGACTCGACTCCCCGTCGGAACGGGGTTGGGCAAGTGCGAGAATCACTCTCTTCAGGTTCACTCGGTCTCGCGTACGACAACCGAGGAGAATCTTCTGTTAGTGCAAGCCATCTGTAGATTTCCTCTCGTAGTTGTGCATGCGAGTCGCCCGTGGCAGAAAGAGAACCAAGGCTTTCAAACTCTGTGTTCTGCCTGTCTTGGTCCTCAACCGAACGCAATGTCGGGTCATGTTTGGTTCCGTGTGAGGGAAGTGAGCTGGCGTCGACGCATCCATCAGTGGAAGTGGTGGCGGAGCTGATGAAGATAGTTCTGTTTGCCCATCTTGAAGGGAGCGGGGATTGTGTATTCTTCAGACTCTGAGAGTCTTGATAGGAAAGCTCCAACAATGTTGAGAATTGTGCGTCGAAGTGGATGTCTTCGAGGGGAGCGAAGATGTCGTTCATGGTTTGGTTTGGGGAAGTGTCGTTCGTGAACCCGTGAACTGTGGAAATGCACGGTGTCTGAGCCATTGTAAGCCGCCAGGGCCGTCCCTCATCGCCACAAGTCTAGAGTGGATTGACTGAAGCGAATGGATATCTGGAAAAGTCCATGGAGTTGAGGATGTGCCGTCATATAACCTCGTTCTCAGCGTCTTGCTCTTCAGCGCCACCGACAAGGTTTCCCGGCCAAGAGTCCCTTGATGATGACTTGACATCCGAATTCCGCGCTTTTGTCCGCGTTTCTTTCGTTGGGATGTTTCAGGTGCTCAGGTTGAGGTAGCTCGCAAGTTTGCACCCATCTCGGATACATGTCGTCTGTTTTTTAGGGTCAAAGTCTATGCTGAAACACGTTTCCATTGTGCAGGACTATCCGATTTTGTCTGTTGTCCAAGTCAAGATATTTTACTACTTTTGAAACACGTAGAGTTCGACTGGATCGAACACCTTGGATATGCTATAGGGTTGCAGTCCAAATTAAGGCCCGATAAGCGCGAGTATGTGCCATCATCTATTGCCTGTGAATACAAAGTTCGATCGAAATCAACGCTGGACAGAATGGCGAGTGAAAATTTCCCAGACAGGGCTCATAGAAACACGAATGGGTGATGAAAGAGGAGTATCTGGAGCCAGTTCAATTCGTCATACGTTCTTCTCAAGGTCTAGACTCTAGAGCCCAAGTTTGGCTATCATATTTACTCGCGTCTAGAGAAATACGAAAAAAGGCACACAGACAACAAAGCAGAAATTAAGCCGCACAGCAAGCATCACCTTCATTCTGCGCATCGGAGACGTTCCGTGATCTGCCGGCTGTAACGGAGTACGGAGGAGCATTTCAAAAGTTTTTGCCCACGCTACGGACGTCACACCCTTTGATCCTTGCCAGGTACCTAACGGTACATAAGACCGTAAGCATCTCCAGGCGATCAGCTGCTGTAGGTAACAATGATTGAGCGGTCCCAGGATTAACACGGAAACATCCCAGTGGGCTACGGCGCTGGAATGTAGAGCTTTTAGAGAGCTGATACTTGCACAATATTACTCTATGTTCCTCAAGCAAGAAAAAGCAACATGTGGCTTGGGCGCGAGCAAAAACTTTTGAAATGCTCCTCCGTATGATCATGGCCAAGTCCTCTTGGTACTGTAGAGGAGGATCGCTGCCGGGGCGGATTCGCTTAACGCGGGGAAGCTTAACTTGCAGATCCTGAGACGGGGCTCGCCGGCTCGGTGGTATTTTAGCGTCAATATTGATCATAACACCCGAGAACGCCAAGCCTGTCCAGGGTGTGTTCTCGGCGATGCGCGACGACGAGTTTTCCGCAGCTCGTTGAAGCGAGGTTGAACAAGTGTCGTAGCCGGTAATATAAACACGCAAAGCTGAATGCGTTTGTCAGATGGAACGAAGGCCCCGTTGATTTAGGCTCTGATCAGGTTAGTGCCGCGAAGGGAGCGCGCGATGGTCTCGAGTGTCGCGTGTCGTGGGAAGATTTTTGTCGGACCGACGAAACCAGGGACTTGACCGGGGGAGTCGAGAGTGACGACAGCGTGGCTCGAGCTTCAAACACATTCAGGTCAGTCAAAGCACCTGAAGAGGCTGAAGTCGGGCACGCCCCCCCTTTTTGCAGGTTTATTACTGGTGATGTTGCTTCCAACCGGGCGTCAGGTCAGGGGTGTGTCCAATTTCAGACGTGCTCCGACTTAAGGTTCCAAGTTCTTGCTCAGTCACGGGCTGGCTTTCCCAATTGCTTCTAGAAAAACTGCCCCAAATACGCGGCGGCGCCCTGACATTCTCTCCCCCTGACCTCTGTCGGCCCGACGAGATTTACCAGCAGCTGTTTGACGCTCACTATGACTGGGCACGTGGCGACCGAGTCAAGACGCTAAGTCCCGAGTAGCAGTCTGGGCTTTCCTTGGCCCTTTACATTCATTTTCCCAGCAGTGAAGGAGTCTGGGGAACGTGGAGAAGCGTTTGCGGTGCGACTATAAGAAACCCCAGATTCCCCAGATTCTCTCCGGCCTGTCACTCAGTCACAAACCAGTCGCACTCTCTTCATCCCCAACCTCTCCTCTCTGTTCGCCTAGACTCTTGTCTCCAGCGCTTCTCCCACAGTTGTCTATTTGTTTTGACAATCTGCTGCTGCACAGACTAAACGGCAGCCAACAACGCCATGGCTTCGTCGCCCAAAGTCTCCCCGACTCATGCCGAGGATGTGGTAGGCTCAGTGCCTGCACTCGGCGCCCAGGAATGGGACGTCGACAAGGCTGATGCGCGAGATGCCACTGAACTCGAGCACAGCCTCACCTTGCGCGACAGTTTCCGGCTCTACCCCAAGGCCATTGGCTTCTCCCTGCTCTTCTCGACCGCCATTATCATGGAAGGATATGACCTGTCTCTCCTCGGAAGTTTCTACGGTTATGACGCGTAAGTCACCCCATAGCCTCAACTGGCTCTATGAAAATACTCATCTAATATGTACGATAGCTTCAAGAACAAGTTTGGCGACCAGGTTGACTCGGACGGAAACAAAATCATCTCAGCTGATTGGCAGACATACATCCAGGTGGGTGGCATGTGTGGCCAAATCATCGGTCTCTACCTCAACGGATGGGTCTCAGACGCCATTGGCTACAAGAAAACAATGATGGCCTCCCAATTCCTCATGATTGGCCTCATTTTCTTCCCCTTCTTCGCGCCCAACCTCCCAACGCTCCTCGCAGGAAACATTATGCTCGGTATTCCGTGGGGTGTTTTCCAGACCATTACGCTCGCCTACGCCTCTGATATCGCGCCTGTCATCCTTCGTCCCTACCTGACTGCCTACGTCAACCTCTGCTGGGTTATCGGTCAGCTTATTGCGGCCGGCGTGCTCCGCGGCTTCAGTCCTATGGGCGGCGATTGGTCTTACCGCATCCCCTTCGCCCTCCAGTGGGCGTGGCCGCCGTTTATTATCCTCGGTACCCTATTCGCACCTGAGTCCCCGTGGTGGCTTGTTCGAAAGGGACGGTTCGACGATGCGAGACGCGCTGTTCTGAAGCTTGTCTCCCAGTGCGATATTCCCTTCAACGCCGATGCCCAGGTGGCCATGCTTAAGGCTACCAACGACCTGGAGTTGGAGCACTCCGCTGGAATGAACTACTGGCATTGCTTTATGCGCAGCGACTTGCGCCGAACTGAAATCGCCTCCATCAGCTACACTGCCCAGGCGATGTGCGGTAGCGTCCTGATGGGCTACTCCGTCCAGTTCTATCTGGAAGCCGGCCTCTCACCCGAAAAGGCCCTGGACTTTAACGTCTTGCAATATTCCGTCGGCGCTATTGGAGTTATCCTCTCTTGGTTCTGGATGTCGCGCTTTGGTCGTCGCACTATCTATCTCGTTGGCATGGGCTCGCTCTTTGTCGTCCTCCTTGTCGTCGGGGCCCTCGGCTTCGTGGACCAGTCCAACTCCAGTGTCGGCTGGGCCATTGGTAGCCTGCTTGTCTTCTATACATTTTTGTATGATATGGCAATTGGACCCATCTGCTACACTGTCGTCGCAGAAATTCCTTCTACCCGGCTGAAGGCCAAGACCATCGTCCTTGCCCGCAACTTCAACAACATGGCTGGCTTGGTTAACAACACATTGATGCCTCGTATGCTGGGCCGTAACTCTTGGAACTGGGGCGCAAAATCCGGTCTTTTCTGGGCTGCTTGGTGTCTCATCATCTTCATCTGGGCCTTTTTCCGTCTGCCCGAGACCAAGGACCGTACATATGGTGAGCTTGACCTTCTTTTCAAGCATGAAGTCAACACACGCAAGTTTGCAAGCACCCAGGTCGACCAATTCCCGACAAGCGGCCAAGAGACAGAGAAGGTCCAGAATTAATGGTGGGTAGGAGGGGTAGCTGGCTGTGACGAGCATCCGTCTTAAGTCCTTCAATAACCGGATGTCAGAAGATGGACGCTGGATCACACACAGAATTGATTTGGTCAATCTTGACCCGTTTTAGCTTAGTAACTAAGTAGATACTCAAGAAACTGTTTTATAGAAACGCCATTAATTCCAATGCAATAGTCAAGTGGACCGGTCAGGATATACATAGAAATTAAGATAATTATTTAATCGGGATCCTTTAAGCGTTCATCTTATTTGACAACTGTAAATTAAAAGAAAGGTATTTATAAGTGTAAACAGTATGTAGTTACTGCCTGTGGTTTCACAGCGCGTTTATGAGGTCCCGTCATCGCATATTCATTGCATAAAGTCAGCCCCAACATACGTGCCACAATACTAATGTGCATACCAGCCTATGCCTCATGATGGCACAAACCTAGAACAACGTAAATCTTCAACTTCAAGTAGCATGAAATATTCTAGAAACTTGGATCCGCATAACATAGTGTAAGTTGCATTATAGCAGGTCTGTTAAAGCGATTAAGACGTGCTTCAAGACAAGGCAGAGGTGCTTCCACCACCTCATTCGTAATTTTATGTCAGGCAGCGACAACCCTGAAGAAGTAGACTGTAGCAGTTTTGCACATTAGAAATCGAATGAGATTATGATGTGTCTTCTGGTTATTTCATGGTGACAGTTGCTAGAATCACCTTACCAAGCCCAAGGTAGTCCATCGTCGCTCCGTGGACGCAAAGAACGACGAGTCTGTGATTGGGTCGATGTTCGTCCGCCTCATCTAATAAATCAATTCGATTGATGCCTGACGTGGCTTACCACAACCACGCTTCAGTCAGGCTGGCATGCGCCACCTCTTCGATGCCTGCTGACCGTCATTTTGCGATAATTTTCAACCTTTCAAGCTACAACATCGCCTATCCACAGATGAGATGTGGAACAACACAGTTACCGTGAGCATCTAGCAGGATATCACTCTAGCCCTTTTTCGCCATGCGACAATTCTTCCACGACAAACGGAACAAATATCTCCCGATACGGCAGAGCGGCCAACCCGGGGGCAATGCTGCAACGGCTGCGTCTTCTTCCAGTGCAAAGACTTTCCCCGTCGGTATCAAGTGCCTCCATAGGCCAGCAGAGGATCTTGTTGAGTGCGTACCCTTTGCGAAGTGACCAATACCGTGGCTGGCTAATAGTTCCTCTCAGTATTGTATTCGTCCACGGCCTGAGCGGCCATCGGGAGAGGACATGGACGGCCTCAGGGGAATCTGAGCCATGGCCCAAGACTCTCCTGCCATCTAAACTACCAAACGCCCGAATCCTCACATTCGGATACAATGCCTACGTTACTAGTTGGCAAGGCATTGTGTCACAAGATCGCCTCGGGAGCCATGCCGGTAATCTGTTGAATTCTCTTGCCTCTTATAGGGAGGACGACAAAACGGTGGGTAATCGTTTGTAAATAGGGATGGCGCTAATATTGTGTAGAATGATCGCCCTATTATTTTCGTCTGTCACAGCTTGGGTGGGCTTGTTTGCGAAGATGTAAGATCATGCGAGCCTCCAAGGGAATGAATACTGATCACGGAAAAGGCTTTAATCAAATCGAACGAGCGACCAGAGGCACAGCTCCGTAACATCATTCATTGTACCCGCGGTATCATATTCCTGGGAACGCCGCACCATGGATCTGGCCTGGCCACTTGGGCCGAGCGCATGTCACTGTCCATCAATGTGATAAAACAGACCAATTCCAAGATTGTCGAAGTCCTCAGACGCGATTCTGAAGTCCTTGCTAGGATCCAGGAGAGTTTTCATACCATGGTTTTAGCTCGCAACAAGACAAAAGGGTACGCCATCGAGATCACTTGCTTCTATGAGCAACTACCTCTACCCAGAATTGGATTCGTCGTCCCACAAGATTCGGCCACTCTCCCGGGGTACAATCAGATAGGCATCCACGGCAACCACAAGCAGATGATCAAGTTTTCCGAAGCACACGATCCGGGTTTCATGGCTATTTGCGGTGAACTCAAGCGGTGGGTCGGGTCTCTGGCTACGCCCGATGGCCGGGACATTTCACGAAACCCGGAAACACATAAGCCTAAAGCAACCAGCAGACACTGTAGGCAAATCAGATGGCTACCAACACTCTTAACGCTAATTTACCTCCAGTTCTTGTACCATACACCTGCAACTCGGATTTCGTCGGGCGGTCCGGGATCCTTGAACAGTTAAAATCTCAGCTTGGCCACAACCAGCCCGAGTCTCAACACAAATCACAGGCAAGGGTATCGCTCCATGGCCTCGGTGGGATCGGGTAAGTATCTCCTGCTGTTTTTTTCCAGCTATACATGGTGTGCTAATTCAGGACAGGAAAACCCAGATTGCTTTGGCATATGCCTATTGGCTACAAGACGAACACCCAGAGGTCTCGGTGTTTTGGGTTCATGCCAGTAACGCCGAGCGATTTCGCCAAGCATTCGCGTACATCGCACAGGAATGTCAGATCCCTGGCTACGATGACTCCAAGACCGATATGCTACAGCTAGTCAAGACATGGCTGGAAAGAAGAGAACGGGGGAATTGGCTCATGATAATCGACAACGCCGATGATGCCCATGTATTTTTCAGTCAATCAACGGAGCCGGCAAACGCAGCGACCCATCAAGATCGAATTGGACGCTATATCCCGGAGTGCGCTCATGGATCTCTGCTTATCACGACAAGAAACCTGATGGCGGCATCGAGGTTGACAAAAGGAAATCCCACAATTGGCGTTGGTAACATGGATGAGAGCGAGTCGGCCGAGCTGCTTCGCACAAGGCTTGGAGGAATAGAATCTTCCTCTACTGAACTGTCGATTCTTTCTTCTCGGCTGGAGTATCTGCCACTCGCTCTCGCGCAGGCAGCTGCATTCATTCAGGAGAACGCCCTCCAGATTAAGGATTATCTGCAGCTCCTCGGCCACAGTGATCAAACCCTTGTTGATCTATTGAGCGAAGAGTTTGAGACCACAGGGAGAGAAACAGAAGCTCCTCGTGCAGTTGCGGAAACATGGGCTCTTTCGTTTCAACAGATTGAGCAGCAAAATCCACTGGCCGGGGAGCTTCTCTCGTTCATGTGCCTCCTCGATCGGCAGGACATTCCCATGGAATTCTTGTTTCATTACACTCAAAAAGACCATGATAGTAATTTTGGGAGTAACGTCACGCTTACTAAAGCCTTGGGTGTTCTCAAGGCCTTTTCCTTTATCGCAGAGGGTAAAGACGAGCATCTGAATATGCACCGCCTCGTGCAGTTGGTCACTCGAAAGTGGTTGACTACAAAGAACACCGTATCTCAGTTTACGGAACTGGCCATCTTAGCGGTGTCTACTGCTTATCCAGAGAGTCATTATGAGAACCGCGCATTATCCGTCGCGTATCTCCCACATGTGCAGTCTGTGCTGAACTTGAAAGGCACTGACTCGAGGGACGAAAATATTGCCAAGGCAACCCTATTGCACAGGGTAGCTGGGTTTTCTCATTGGGATGGTCAATGGAGTGAAGCGGAGGAGCTATCTGCACAAGCCCTAGCCACACGACGACAATTGCTTGGCGAGGAACATCCTGATACGCTGGCTAGCATGCGCTCCTTAGCATTCGCATTAAAGGAGCAGGGCCGGTGGAAAGAAACAGAAGAATTACATCTGCGCGAGTTGGAAATCTCCAAAAGGGTGCTTGGCGAGCAAAATCTTGAGACACTAAATACAATGGTCAATCTGGGATTCATACTTGGAAAGCAAGGCAAGTTTCGGGAGGCAGAGGAGCTGCAATCACAAGCATTGGGGATCCAGAAAAGGGTCGTTGGCAAGGAACACCCCGACACCCTGACTAGCATGAGTGACTTAGCACTGACTCTCGAAGATCAGGGTAGGTGGGGGGAGGCAGAGGAGATGCAGCTACAAGTATTGGAGATCCAGAAAAAGCTACTTGGGAAGGAGCACCCCCACACCCTAGCTAGCATGAATAACTTAGCATTGACTTTCTCAAATCAGGGTAGGTGGGGGGAGGCAGAGGAGCTACAGCTACAAGTATTGGAGATCAGGAAAAGGCTACTTGGGAAGGAGCACCCCCGCACCCTAACTAGCATGAATAACTTAGCATTGACTTTCTTAAATCAGGGTAGGTGGGGGGAGGCAGAGGAGCTGCAATCACAAGCATTGGGGATCCAGAAAAGGGTCGTTGGCAAGGAACACCCCCACACCCTAACTAGCATGAGTGACTTAGCATTGACTTTCTCAAATCAGGGTAGGTGGGGGGAGGCAGAGGAGATGCAGCTACAAGTATTGGAGATCCAGAAAAAGCTACTTGGGAAGGAGCACCCCCACACCCTAGCTAGCATGAATAACTTAGCATCGACTTTCTCAAATCAGGGTAGGTGGGGGGAGGCAGAGGAGATACAGATACAAGTGTTAGAGATCGGGAAAAGGGTATTTGGGAAGGAACACCCGCACACCCTGGCTAGCATGAACAATCTTGCCTACACTTGGAAAAGTATGGGCAAGTCCAAGGAGGCTCTGGACTTAATGCTTGACTGCGTTCGTCTTAGGAAGCAAATACTGGGGCCTGATCATCCCCACACAGTATCGTCATGTCATGCCGTCGATGAATGGCGGTCAGAAGCTGGGTTGTCTTGATGAAGACGAAACGGCGAGAGTGTTGGTCTAATGTCTAATGTTGAGCACACTAGCACACTATGATAGGAGTAAACCATGTGTAAGAAACATTCTGTCTCGGAACACTTCAAAGTGATATAGAAAGAATAATTTAATTCTGCACACACCTCATGTCTGGCTTACAACAGCCACGAAAAAAATGTCTTGTAAAACCAACTCATCCTGCTCCTTCCCTCGGACTCTCGCCTAGCTGCCTTGCGTGCGAGAAATTCTTCCTCCTCTCTATCGATAACATCCTTCCCGGTGTAAAAGTCCGCTTCCGCCGGTTTAATTCCACGACTCTTGGTGATAAACTTGTGACCAAAAATAAGTATCAGATAGACAGGGATTCCAAGGTAACCAGTGATGAAGGTTTTTGTCTTGGCCATGTCAAAGTCCCCAACAAAGACGTCGTAGTTCTTTGTCAGAGCAATGATGATACAGACAATTAAGGCGACCCATGTTCCGTAGACACCAAATGGCGCGACGTAAGGAAGAGCCTCGTCAGCCAGCCCTTGTGTTCTGCGAGCCCGACACCAGTGGATATGGGTAACCAGGATAGAAATCCAAGTCACAAGAGCAAAGATGGTCGTCAGGTTCACAAAGTATTGGAACACCTTTGTTGAGTCGTCTGAAACGTTCATAAAGGCGAGCAGGCAGAAGAGTGCCGAAAAGCCAAGAGCGTAAATCGGAACCCCGTTCTTGTTCGTCCTCTTGAAGATCTTGGGCGCCAGGCCATCCGAAGCCAGGGCATGTAAAGTTCTGCTGGAAATGTAGAGATCTGTGTTCGAGGCGGAGAAAACGAAGACCAAGATACATCCATTCAAGACGTGGGCAATTGCTCGAACTCCTGCAAGCTCAGCAGCGACGACGAATGGCGAAGCCGAAGCACCAGTCTTTGCTGCAGTAGCGAAAACCAGCTGCGGCGAGTTATACGGCACAATCATGCCCACGAGCAAAACACTAAGGCAGTAGAAGAATAAGATGCGATAATATGTGAGCTTGATGGCCTTGGGGATTGTCTTGCGTGGGTTCTGGGCTTCAGCCACAGTGACACCCACTAGCTCTGTACCCATATAGGCAAACGTTGCGTTGATCATGCATGACCAAAAGCCCAAGAATCGGCCGCTTGAGCCCTCGTTGATGTATGGTTTGAAAGCACTATAATCGGCCGTCAGCGACTTTGGGTCTCGGACGGTAGGGTTTGTCAACATTGCCATACCCTGGGTCTCTCCAGTATCTGAAGCCCTTGCGGTCATGATCTGGGCCCCCGCCAAGAGCAAGAATAAGGGAAAAGAGGATGATTCCAACAATCGTGATCACTTTGAATGCTGAAAGCCAGAATTCAAATTCGCCGAAGAATCGAATACCGAAGTAGTTGATGCAGAGGATACATACGAGGAAAATCGCAATAAACACTCCTGGGTTTATGGTATCGCGATCGACCCAGAATTGTATAACAAGCGCTGCTGCGGTGAGCTGATTAGGGGCTATAATGACGTATTTAACCCAGTAGCTATTTAAAGGCATCAGTTTGAGACGCTCTCATTCTTGGACAGAATCTGAGAACTCACCACCACCCTAAGGCAAAGCCAAGGGAGGGATCGCAAAATCGGGTCGCGTATGCGGTAAAACCGGCAGAGACAGGAAGCCATGCTGCCATCTCGCCAACAGCAGCCATGATCAGGAATACGACGAACCCGACAATCGTGTATGAGATGAAAACGGAGCCTGGACCGGCCTGGGCTAGGGACTTTCCGGTTCCAATAATGAGACCAGTTCCAATAGCGCCACCAATGGCAATCATTGTGATGTGGCGGGCCTTGAGTCCACGATGTAGCGTTGTGTTTTGAACCACTTCTTGTCCATCGTTGGGCTTGAGATTTTGGTCGTCATAGGTCTGGACATTGTCCAAGCCTACAAGATCCAACTCGGGGTTGACCTTCTCAACATCGTGAGATGGCTTTGTGACGGCCATGTCTTCCCTGGGGCTGAGTGCCTTAACAAAGAAATGCAGAAAAATAAATAGTAGTGGACTAATGACAGTGAGTTGATTGGTAGTCGACCCTGGATGTGTGAACATGAATTTGCTCTACGGGGAGGGGATACATTTATACCCTTTTATCAACAGCCGTGCGAACCTCACTGTTTGCCAAGGAAAACACCCCGGACCCACACTCCCACACTTCTTATCATCGTAACGCGGGGTACCATGCGGATGGCTCAGGAGCCCAGGAACAAGAAGATAACGTTGGCGACTCATGCAGTTCATGATTACCCGATCCATAGTTGCGGAAACCCCGGGCTAGGACAGCTCGTACCCAATCCTCTTTGAATGGACCACTCACAAGGTACAAGATGGGTGAGTTAATAAAAATATATGACGCTTTTTTTCTAACCGTGTTCAGATATTCAGGCTTCCTAATACAACTCTGAGCCCATCCATCATTATCTAGCGTACTTTCGCCCGAGTCCAGGCCATTATCGCAACCTCCCACACGTAAAACCCATCGCTCATTATCTAGGAATAAATCGGAGCTGAGAAAAAACTCTTATCGATTGACTAGGGCTCAATTTTGGTTCATCAATTCGCTGGGCAGATAAGTTGCCTCATTAACTTAGGCATTGAGGCCTCTTCCGAAAGTACTTTGGGTTGCGCGGGGTTTGGTCTCCGCGAGCTTCGGAGAAGGCTAGGTGGTGGCGATGTCGCGCTTGGATCGCGCTGCGGTTGTTGACTATGGACTTTGGTCTCCGCTCAGATGGCTAGACCACATGATAAGAATCAAGGCTGACGTCGGCTTCCTCGCCAGACTCGGCTCTAATTCTGTCGGTGGGCTTGGGTCTCCGTCTCTTGAAATCCAGGGTTCGCTTCGACTCCATGCTGCTTTTCTGAAATTACATGACTCCTCAAAGTATGGCTTTGGGTCTCCGTCTTCAACAATCCCAGATCGCCACCAAAAAAAAGTCCTCGTTCTCAATTACCATGACTACTCAAAACATGGGCTTGGGTCTCCGTTTATCTGCACGAGTAATTGGCCCTGACCGAGCTTACGCCGTCACGCAAACATGAACCGAAAGCACCTGGAATTGGGTCTCCGTTCCTCTTCGGCTGCAATTGAATGGTCTCACGACAGGAGCATCCTCGACCGGCTTCTCGTTAACATCTGGAAAAGTTTTACAAGCGTCACGCATACGACAGGGCCATGCATCCAGCCTTGGTCCTACAAACAGCTGTTCAACGTCATGGCATCAAGGGGTGACAGAAACGTATAAGAACAGCAAAGACCAGCCCCAGGAGAGCAAGGGACAAATTCTCCAATCTTGACTGAGACTGACAGCATTCAAACGTCTTCACTATCGACCACCATCATGGCTCCAATCAGCACCAACGACGTGGAAGGCGCCACTTCAATTACAAACGTATCAAAGGGTTCCCTGCCAAAACAACCCTCTTCGAAGGCCAAATTCGACATCTTCCGCCGGCTAGTTCCCGTCGTGGCTGATGGAACCGTCACCCACCTCAACGCTGGGTTCATGCCACCATCAAACTTGGTCACCCACGAAGCGATCAGTCAGTTTTGCACCCAGTGGCTTCATAGCCCCTCGCCAAAACATTCATGGCGGCAAATTGCGGAAGAAGTTCGTGTCCTGCTCGCACAATACATCAACACCGACCCGTCGTGTCTCGCATTTACTCGGGACACGACAGAGGCAATGAGCTACTTCATGCATAGCCTCAACCTTCAGCCAGGTGACAATGTCGTTATTCTAGACTGCGAACATCCTAACCAAGCTTATGGGTGGCTGTCTTTGCGATCTCTCGGCGTCGAGGTTAGGCAAGTCCCAACGGAATCAGAAGCGAACGGGTTCGCCACAGCAGCCAACGCCAACACCTTTGCCGACCACGTCGATGACAGGACTCGCGCCATTGGCATCAGCTCTATCATGTTTCACAGTGGACAGTGGAACGATGTGTCGGATATCTGTGCCGCATATCGGCCCAGAGGAATCCATGTTCTGGCCGATTTGACTCAGCAAGTGGGTTTCGCGGATGTGGACGTTCAGGAGCTAGGCGTGTCTGCAGCAGCTTTCAGTCTGCACAAGGGACTCAATTCCCCCCTGGGGCTTGCAGCTCTCTACGTCCATGAAGATTTCATCCGCGATCTAGACCCGATACCGCCAATCGTTGGATATGGTTCCGTGCGCAACACATCAGAGGACTTCATGATTCCGAATAGCCCAATCGGCTTTCATCCCTCAGCTCGCAGATACGAACACGCTAATATGAACCTACTGGCGGCATCTGCTGCAAGGGCGTTTCTCCAGTTCTATCTGGACATCATGGGCCCCGAAGAGGTCAAAGAGCATCTTTATACTCTTGGCGACGCCCTGCGCGAAAAGTGCGAACAACTAGGAGTAGAAGTTCTCGGACCTTCAGAGCGTCGCAGCCATGCGCCACATTTGTACATCCTCAAATTATACGAAGACAAATGGGAGGAGCATTTCAAGCAACACGACGTGGCAGTGACAGTTTATCGATGGGGTGTGAGGGTGTCATTTGGGTTCTACAGCTCTCTGGACGACGTGCAAAGACTGGCAGATGTCATTCAATACGGGTTAGATGCTGGCTTTCAGATTTAAGCAGCTAAATGAGTGGCTGAAGCGAGAGAAGTTGCATCTAAGTGGTTTCTAGAAGTTGGGTAAATAGAATAATGTTTGTAGAAAATTCTAGTGGTATTCCTTTTCAGATGCCGTCGTCCAGTTCATAACGCGCGATGCAATCAAATCGTATCCGATGAACATATGCAAAATGGTCCGGGACAGGGTTCTTATTTGTCGAATTATGAATTCATCTTACTAAGCTATATTTGGTATGAATTAAGCTTTTTCTCTTTTCCCAAGTCCCAATTTGAGTATCTACAATCGCAGCACGTTTGCAATTCCGGCCAAGTAGTTTTGAAGTTTAACTTCAGACCGGCGAGTTGCCTCTCCAGCGCAAGTCGAGATTACGTCACCTTGTGCGATCTGCACGTGATCGACTTGACGAATCCGGATTGAAGCTCCAAGCTCCAAGTTAGAGATCCCTTCTACATGCAACAGGTATCCACTCAGCCAGCCATTCATTGATGAACTTCGGCCAGAGCCATGCTAGCTTCAACCGCCAAGAATCTCTCGTAAGAGTCCTATGACATACGACACATGCGGTGCTGACTGGTTGCAGGTGCAAGAGATGCCAGCACAGAAAGGTATGTGACCGCAAAAACCACGCGTGGTACGAAGCTTATCTTTTCTTGCAGCTGAAGTGCTCTCGAACAGAGCCTTGCGCAAACTGTGTCAAAGCAAATCACAACTGCGAGTATAACCAAGTCGACCGGAAGAGGCGACCTGCCTCACATGACTACGTTAAAAGCCTTGAAGACCGGGTCGCTTGGCTTGAGTCTTTCATCACCAGTCTTCAAGTTGCATCGCCACGAGACCGGGATGCCCTTTTGAGTACAGTATCCTTTCGCGATAATCAGCCAGCTACAGGCTCTACTTTTGCAGGGCCGAGTGACTCGCAGGATGTGGCCACTCAAGCACAGTCCGAACTTCAGCTCGGTCTTGACGGCTCGCTGATCTACCATGGACCAACAAGCATTTATCGTGCCCAAACAGGGAATCAGGCCCAGCAAGCCGTGAAGGATTCAACAACCCAGGCGCCGTTGTATTCTGGGTCCGAGTCGAACTTCTCGCACGTCCTCGAGCATTTCGGCATCAACATTGAGGACGAAGTTATCGCAAAGGCATTAATGCAATTCTTTAAGTGGCAGTATCCCCAATTCATGTTTATCTATCGCGAGGGATTCCTACGCGATCATCTAGGTGACCGAATCAACTGCAAATATTGGTCTTCGGCACTTCTGTTGTCGATATGTGCTCTGGGCACTCTGATGTCGACTGACGAAGACGATCGCAGATCAAGCGAGCAGTTCTTTACTGCCGCTGAGAGCATCCTTATGGTTACTGGTATGACTATGCCGTCAATCGTTACTGTACAGGCATTCCTCTGCCTGGCATTCTATGAAATTGGACGAGGCAATCTTTCTAAGGGATGGGGTTTTTCTGGTCAGTAACACCCGAGCGTTGGGACTTGCCCACAAATATCTCGACTTTTCGTTCCGTTCTAATCCAATATTCATTCATGATGTAGGGATCGCATTTCGCATAGCACAAGATTTGGGTTTCCAGAAAGATCCCAAAAATTGGATCTCTTACGACGCTTCCCTCACGACAGACGAGGACGTTGAAATACGGAGACGAATCTATTGGGGCTGCTACATCTCAGACAAACTCATTAGCCTCATCCTAGGCAGGCCAGTTTTTCTATATTACGATGATGCAGAAGTTGAACCTATCCAACAACAACCGTATGCTCCCATTCCCACCCCCTAATGCCCAGACTAACATGCTCTTCTAGGGATATCCCAGAGCTGAAGCCATGGCGCTCAGTCGGATTTTCCGGCAGTGACGACGAACTCGACAGAATTGGCTCAATGGTTCCATACTACCGCGAACAAATTCACCTCGCCAGAGCCATTGAGCGCATGTTGAGTACATTGTTTTCTCCTCGCTCAAACTTGAACGGCATGAGTCGCCGTGCCTGCCTCGACACCTTGAATATTGAGCTCAGCCGTTGGAAAGCAGGGCTACCTGGCCGGGCAGAATGGAACAAGTGGGAGCCCATTGATACACCCCTCATCCCTAGTGTGGCGATGCTACAGTGAGTGTTCCTCCATCCTGAGATCTCCATTGCCCGCTATGGGAACCTTGCCCCTCCGAACTGCTTCTCACGTTGGTGAATAGCTTGCTTTTCCACAGTGCTCGCATCGCTCTCAATTTTGACCAGGCTGTCTCCGTACTATCCAATTCCTCAGATCAAGGCCCTCGCCAGTGTTGTATATCATCAGCAGAAGATATTGCATCAATATTACGGAGGTATCGGCATCAATACGGCCTTCGTCACGCGCCTCTCATTCTTGTCTACGGAATCGTCCAAGGAATCCGAGCTTTCGACACTCTTGGAGTTTCAGAAGAGTCCCATCCTTTGGTTCAGGCACTTGCCGAGTGTTCCATCACCTGGAACCTAGCCGAGCAAGCAAGAGGATTGATGTTACAAAACACCGCACTTGCTGATGCCGAATGACAGTGGTATGCTCAACTGCATTCACTTAATTCAATAGGAACGATATGAAAGAAAATAAATAAAGGATGATATGTGGACTTGCGTAATAAGTGAGTTGTAATGCAGTCAAACTTTCATGTTCTTATCTTGGTATTTTACAATTTACTTCTATTCGTTACATCCAGTGTACATTTTCCAAATACCAATCATGGTTCCCCTGTATCCTGTCCTTCCTCCTAACCAATCCGACTGACAAAGGTTGGTGATAGAACAATGTTTATGGGGAGGTCCTCAACCGCAGTGGCGTTTAAGTTGGAATCGACGGAACCACGGTGCTGCTGTTCATCACGATGGTCCTTAGCTCTCTTGGAGGCCTTGGCACCTGAAGATTTGAGGGAAAATCTGCGCTTCCACCTATTCAGGCAGGGTTAGCATGTTGCCAAAGGTCGCGGGTCTGAAGGGGCGTACTGGATGGCCATTGTGTCTGAAGTGATAAATTGAGTGTGACGGTAACTTAAGGATGGCAGAGTTATTGACGTGAATATGAATGCTGTATAAGAATGGTTTGGGGTTTAACATGCCATGTCCGTTGGGTGGGGGATCACGGTCGTATATATAGACGAACGCCATGATGATCGATCCCATTCATTGGTATGCTTATCTTAGAGCTTGACGTCAATCCTGCATCTGTGCCTTCTCGCTACGTTGATCACTTCCCATCATTGTAGAAGAACCCCGAAGTGTCTGTGGGCCACTCGATGTATCCACCCACTCACTATGCCTCATCGTCTGGACCGATTATGGTGTGACGTCAACTGGTCGATCAATCCTTATCAATCTCCCAAAATGGTACACAACATCTTCACCACAGCCACGCAGATGACGTTGTAGCTTAATCCAGTGACGAAATCAATGTGGGGGATTATCCTTAAACATAACCATCCAATAAAGCGGCTGATCTACGTAGCTACTCAATACGTGTTCCCAGAAGGCGTAGCATGGCTTGCCCAATCGTTCTCAAAGCGTCCCCAACCACCATACTCCGGCTCGCTGCCCATGAAGAGGGTTGAAACGACCATATCGTAGTACCCATCCGCCGGGGTCTTGCCCCCACAGACACTGCCTCCCATCGCCACATTGAGCAGAATCGTCATGTCTCTCATCGGCCGCGTGCCCTCTGGGATGGGTGCCTTCATGACGGGTCTGCCGTCGATGTACCAGATCATTCTTCCCTGGCCGGCTTGGCCACCTGGCTGATCCCAAGCAAAGTCATACCTCACCGGACGAGCATGCATGTCTGGGATCTTGGTACCGATGACCCGGTGCTTCTGCGACTCGTGGTGGAAGCCCCAGTGAAGGCAGGTCCTGTTTTCGTGGTCTCCGTTCCAGGTTTCGGCGATATCAATCTCGCCGTCGACGGGCCAGGAGAAGGGTTCCTGCGGAAGAAGCCAGAAGGCGGGCCAAATGCCCTCAGCGCAAGGAGAGACAATGACACCGGTGAGAACTCCTCTGTCCCGACCCAGGGTCTGTCTGCTGACCAGCCGAGCAGAGGTGTATCGCTGCTCGGGCGTAGGCGCGGCATTTTGTGCGAGGGCGCGGATCACCAGTCTGCCGTCTTGGGTGCTGTTTGAAAAGATTAGCCACACGCCCGTCGATCTTGGATCATTGCGCATGGAGGATGCAGGATCTGCTCAACGTACTGGAAGGCGTTCGCGGGAGCGGCGGTATAGTGCTCCAGCTCCTGGTTCCCCCAGCCGTCAGGGCCATTTCCAAGCTTCGCATCCCACTCGATGGTGACCGGAACATCGGCTTCGAATCGCGGTTGCCAGTAGATTGCGCCGCCGGGGGGAGCTTGCGGCGGCGGCGGAGGTGGAGGGTATTGATGTGATTGCGAGGGTTGCGAATAGGCCTGTTGTTGCTGCTGCTGCTGCTGTTGCGAGCCCTCCTGGGGCGACCCTATCATGCTCTCAATTTCATCCTTGACGCGCTTCAATCGATCTTTCCAAGCCATCTTGTCTACTGAAATATCTCTTCTATCGAATCGAACGATGATGAAAGGGGTTTGTTCCTGCAGCCCAAGCACATATATACAAAGTCCACAGGTGCTCGTTCTATCAACAAGGGGGCGGAGCAGCTGCAAAGTGTCGGTGGCACGGCCGTTTGACACGTAAAATTACCTTGGCATGACGTCACATTGCCACGAAGCTCTTTTAGCCAAGCAGTTTTGGCCAGGAAGCTTTGCTCTGCCTCTTGCGATTGCGACGCAAGTTAATGCAAAGATTAGCGACGGGAAATACGAAAGCGAGAGTAATTAATATTGTTTGCATCCGGCAGTTGGAATCACACTGGCATTGCTCTCATGCAAAAAATGTCGCGCATGATGATGCATCGAGGAATGGCTCTGCAGCTCAAAGACATCTCGGAAGGACGGCATGCGTATCGCAGCGCCAAGTACATCACAAGCATAGCCACAGAACAGGGGCTTAGATAGGGAGTTCGTTCCAGTAAAAACTCTGTCTTCGAAATAGAAATTATGTCTTGGCAACCTGTCGGCCGATTGTGGCCATCGCCAAGTAGCCACCATGTGTTGATATCGCCGCGGGTATTTCGTCCAAGATGAAGAAAATCAAGACTCTTCCTCCAAGGTATCTCACTCCATGTCGCAAAATTCAACTTCAATTCCAGCACACCGTGCTCCCATCGTCCACCATTTGCCAACACTGTAACCGGCCTGCAGCCTCATCCATCGATACCCAATTACCCTCCTTTCATTGCATCTGAACAGGAGGCTTTGTTTGACTCATTTAATCTCCTCGATTTGTCGAGCTCCCGGCGCGACAACCTTAAGGTTGCCCTGTTCAATCTCCTTCTCGAGCACCTCCAGTCTGCTAGTCTTGGTGCGCGTCTTCCAGGCTGGGATTCCAGAGTCGAATACGTCGTCCATTTCCTCGAGGGTGTATCCCTTGGTCTCGTATGCGGTGAAGAACATGTGGATGAAGGCAGCGGCATTGACTATCAAAAGGTTAGCGACTCTTGATGTGTTCATAAACGAAGATGACACCTACAAGCTCCAAAGACGTAGTACATCTTGAAGCTAGGGAAAGTCAGTAACTATGCATCATCTACAAGGGCAAGACATCTTACTTGATGTTCCACACTATCGGCCAACTGTTAGCAATCGATCTTCTCAGGAAGGATGGTGGTGCTCACAAAGCGGCGGCACAGCAAATGCCAGAACCATGTTCCAAAACCAGTTGGTCGCCGTACTCATCGACACAGCCTTGGCACGAATCTTGCCGGGATAGATCTCAGCAGGATATGTCCACGAAGTGGGACCCCATGTAGTAGCAAAAGTGGCCACAAAGAGGTAGGAGCAGGACACAATGGCAGATGAAACAGGGCGGTTATCGGCCACAATCCAGCTAATATCTTTGTTGTTGTCCGTTACCGTCTCGTCGGTGTTTGGCTGTCCGTAATACTGCTGCAGGGCACCTTGACAAGTGTCAGTCTTTGAATGGAGATACCTTTCAGCGAGACATACCTGAGATGAAGAGCCAAGTCATCATGAAGAAGGATCCAATGACGAGCGATGGGCGTCGACCCCATTTATCCAGGTACAGGATCGCCGGAAGCGTCAGTACGACATTGATGACATACTGAATGGAGGCTGTCATAAGAGGCGATGCAATTTGAGCACCTTCCATAATGTAGACAATGTAGTCTGCGATTCTGTCAGCTTACTTGGAACACGACCTCCATTAGCAATTCAACTTACACATCATGATGTTCATGCCGCAAAGCTGGCTCCACATCTGAATGCTCATTCCCAGCACCACACGCTTGAGCATCCTGGGCTGGATCAAGGCCGACAGGCTGCTAGTGGCCTCCTCTCGGTCGAACCTCAAGGCATCCTCGATTTCGCGGTACTGCGCGAGAACCTTGGGGTCGTTTTGGTCGCCCTTTCCATGTAGTTTGGCGAGCACCTGCAGAGCTTCCTCCCAGCGGTCCTGCGACGCGAGCCATCGGGGGCTGTAGGGGAAGAAGAAGAGCCCGACGAAGAGGATAAAGGCTGGGATCATCTGCACACCCCAGGGAATTCGGAAGGCGGCGGTGGGTTGGTTGGGGTCGTTTGGTCCGCCGCCAGTGCCCTCTGCAGCACCGTACTGGATGAAGTATTGGATGAGAATACCCCAAGTGATGGCCCATTGTTGAAAACTACCAAAGGTCAGCATTGGGTCGGGTAGAATAGTAGATGTACGTACCTGACGACTCGTCCTCGAATCTCTCTCGGAGCAATTTCAGACTGCAAAGGGGTTAGACACCCAGTTCCATCGTCCTAGTCAGAACACCTACTTGATATACGGGCACAATTGCACTAGCAATACCCACACAAAGTCCTGCAATGACACGTCCAGTGCAGAGCATGCCAACATTCTGAGCAGCAGTCTGGATCGTGGCTCCAATGATCCACAAGATACAGCTGATCTGAAGAGCGACCTTTCGAGAGTACCTGTCGGCGAGAAAGGACGACATGATAGAGCCGACGAGCGATCCAGCGGGCATGGAGGCAGTAATGGCGCCCTGGCGGTATGACTTGGGGTAGCCGAAGTATTGTTTATAGGCCTGGGTGCCTAAAACGCCGGACATGGACGAGATGTCGAATCCGAAAAGCCCGCCGCCTGTAGAGCCATGGTGTTAGCTGCGGTCTGAGAGGAGGGGAGAGGCAACGAGATAGTCTTTGACATACCCAAGGCGGCAAAGGCACAGATGAAGTAGACATTAGATGCCTGGTACATGCTAACGGTTCTCACTCAGGTGCAGTTTAGTATTTCCCAAGAATCGCCGAGATGTCAAGCCTCGGAACGCATGCAGGAAACTTCAAGAGAACAGGATCGCCGCGATATATGAGGGTCCCGCCCCTCCCCATATGTACTCCCCAGCAGATACACCTCGGCCTCGCATCCCCTCCCCCAAACCCAGCGGCCGCCTCGCCGATCAGGAGACGGCACGGAAGCTCTGAACCCAAACCCCAGGCATCCATGACGGGCCGACTTGGAGGGAGGGGGTGGTGACTGCTGTGTTGCATGATGGGCAGCGTGCTGTCGGCGCAGCGTGTAGGCGAAGGAGTTTTGACTCCAATGAGAGGTGCCGGCCGTTACACTGACGAATGCAGGCGCGTGTCGAAGTGAGGTGTGAGAGGGGGGAAGGGATCATCGCCAGGAGCTCAGTCACCTCACGTAAATGGGCCAATTCCACGCTCACTCCCCCGAGGTCCGATGATATGCGGCCCAAGAGGGATAGCTCGAGGTCCTCGGCCAGGCTTCGAGGTCGCCATGGAGGAATCGACTCGTTACAAATTGTCGGGCCACGGACCATTAGCTGTACGAGAATGCGGAGCGAGCAACAAGCGTGGTGTAGAGCCGGCCGGAGGGCCGCGACTTGGCCCGCATTCCCCCGCAAGATCACCGTCGCCTGGGAATCACATCCCTGCCAGGATGGGGCTCTTTAGCCGCCGTCGGTAGTATCGCTTCATCCGCTGGCCTGCATCTCCGGTACCAAACGTTGGCGAGGCCTGTACCTGTCCAACTGACCCGCTGGAGTTTGCCGGGTGGTCTGAGACTTGTCGCCAAACCTCCACCGTCCAGACCAGACCGCCGGGTCCAGAGTCTCACGTAGGGCTCAGGTGGCACGCAGTCGCCTATTGATCCCTTCGTCTTCACCGGGCGAGCACCAGAGTGTCATCGCTCGTCTGATGAGGCATCAAGCCAGACGGTCACCAGCTCCCGAGTAGCGCCGACGATGCTCCGCGCCCCCTGCCAACATCATCAAATGGCTTCGCCGTCCAACTTGCCCATCATCTGCGATGCCGCATTCGCATCCCTGCTGCATGGCCGTTACCCCGGTTCTGGAATCGAAGGATCAGCCCCTCCCAGCAAGCTTAGAAGAAGCTTCCTCGAATTGTGGCCCTGCATCGCCTCCCCCTGTCGTTTCTTCGGCATCCTCTTCCCCGAGGACAGGACCTTGGACCTTCTCGTGACCGGCTACCCAAACAACAGAGGTGCAACGTTACCTCGTGACCGTTGGACGTTGTTTTAACCATGCTTCATGTTAACGAAGACCACGACACGTGATAATGGCAAATCAGTCTACCAGACAGACAACCCTCGGCCAGAGATGGGCTCCGGACACCAAAAATCGCTCCAGTAAGAGGAGTGAGCTGATTTTGTCCGTCATGTGCGAGTGCCGATCAAGACCAGCATCCCTCTCCACGGCCCTGCGTAAAGCAGAGCGAGCAGTGAGGAAAAGGTGTGGCAAGGCCACAAAGGATCCCTTTCTCCAGCCATTGGCTGAAGACCGGCGTCGAATGCTCTGAGCATTCTCAACCGAGAAATCATGTTCTGTGAATCCATCAGCATGGCATCAGCTGCCGTCTCACATCGTGCGCAAAAGTCCAACCGTCACTGCGAAAGTTAGTAGCCTCAGAAGAAACGGAATTTCGTCGATTTTTTTGGCCACTAGGCCCTGATCGTCATGGATGCTCATGCAAACCGAGCAAGAGCAAGAGCAAACGAATGCCTCCAGCGCCTGTACCCGACCCAGGTCATCACGGCGTTACTATACACATGCTAATCCGAACAAAAGAAGAAAACCGTCGCGCCTGGATATCTCCCCTCTGGTGGCCGCGTCTCCCCTTATAAAATATCAAAACGTTCTTCATCAATCACCAACAAAATGGTATCATAAGCAACAGCATCTGGTGTTCGGCCTCTGGTTTTGGGTCCGCAACCAGGCTCATCAGTCAGAACAGGGTCCGATGAACTTTTCGTGGACATGCATGATGTATTCTCGTTGTCGGCGGAATGACGAGTAGTCGCCCTTGAGAATCACATCAAGAATCCCTCCCTTGTTGGGGTCTCGCCTGACTTCAGTCATCCTATCCCGGAGGACGTTGTAGGCGTCGTGGAAACGGGCCAAGATGGCAGTGGTATTTGATGAGCCGCCTGAGATGTCGTTGGCAGCATTGTTGGGGTCAATGATGGAGAGTCGGTCGGTGTTCTTGTAGGTGAAAGTTGCGACATCATTCTAGGGTTCCACCGGTTAGCAAAGGGGCTGAAACGGGTAGGTGAAGCGACTTACCTTTCGAATATACCCGATAGGTCTTGTAAGGGAGATGGCGTTGGTCTCGTGGCGGAACTGACGGCCATACAACTCAAAAAACTCCAGAAGCATTTCGCCAAGATTGTGCTCCGGGATTAGGCTGCGACTTTGGACTTGTGGCATAAGCTGAAGCATGCTCACCACCAAGCAGATAACAGAAAAGCCACCGATTCCGCCATTGACGGGCTCGTTGAGACCTCGCATGAGAAGAAAATGCTTGATGACCGTCACCAGAATCGGCATGGCCGGGTACTGATGCTTCCAGTCCAAAAACGTGTCGATGGCGCCAACTCCTCCCAAGTTCTCGAAAGAGATGTCGACTTTCAAGCCGGTAAGCTTGTCAACGAACTTGACCAAGGGAATTCTAGCGTGGGCGATAACCTCGATGGAATCCGAATCGGCGACACGTTGTGCGACGAGGAATTTCTGGAACTTGTACAGCCAGCTCTTTGCGCCAAGGTACGTCGGGGGTCCGCCTTTCATAAAGCTCGCGGAGCAGACGACCAAGTCCATGTCGGCAGTAGGGAGGTACAGGCCGGACATGAAGGAGCCAAACGGTTTGACCTGGGCACTGGCAAAGTTCCTACCATCGCGTCTCATTGCTTTTCTGAGATTGTCCACCAGGTTGTCACGAATGGCCTGCTCGAAATCACGTGGTCGTACGTACTCGTAAAAGTCGACGATCTCTTTGTGTAGGCTAGGAACGGGTTAGGCTGCAGCTCTTTGTGCGCTCGGTTGCAAACTTACCGGAAAGCCATATCACTGGTGGCAGAGTGATCCACTGTTGCCCAAGGGCATGGCTCCTCGTTGGCCTTTGGCTGCCAGCTGGGGACCAGAAGGCCCTTGGCAGGCTTCATGCTGACCTTTTTCAGTTGTCCGTAGTCAGGAGGTTTGATCTCGTCGTTGGCGGTGCGCTTGCGAGAGCCCAAGGGGCCGTTCCGGTCTGGTGGAGGTAGAGGCAGGTCCTTTGGCGCAGGTTGTGATGCGGCCAACGCTCGAGGTCCAGAAGGTGCTGTGGGAAGCGGCGGAGGCGGCGGTAGAGATGGCAGAGGTGGTAGAGGTGGCAGTGGTGGCGGTTCTGTGGGTGGCGGAGGAGGAGCTTCGTCGGGGCTGTCTTCTTCGTCGTCACTGAGGTCAAAGGAGATAAAATCTTCGGCCTCGGTTGTGGCGGTTGGCTTTGATTCAGCCTCGAGTCGCGCCTTCCGGATAAGTTTGACCACATCCTTTTTTTTGCGCTGGCTCTCGTCGGGACACGGCAGCGCTGTGTACGGATCTGGGTTCGACCACTTGGGGGTAGCATCTGCAGAAGCAGAGTCGGCAGCGGTTCGTGCACGTTTCCTGGAAGGTCCCTCGGTCTCTGACTTTTCGGATGAAGATGATATTTCCATCTCGAGCTCGTCGTCGTCCGAAAGCTCGTCGATGGCACGGAACTTGGCACTGGCATCAATGTCGCCAACGCGCTCCTCGGGCATGTTTGCTGTGGCGCCGGAAATCAGCGCTCGCTCCGACGGGTGCGGCGGTGGCTGCCATCGAGGCTTTCCCGGCCTCCGACCGCCGCGAGCGTCTCTGCGCGGGCCTCGTCTACTGTCCTGGCCGCGGTAGTCGTTGGAAGGGTAGTCAGAGATGCCAGCGGGCTTGTCGACGCGGAAAGTGAAGTCTCCGCGGGGCGCCTGCGGACGATACGAGTCGTTGGAGGGTCGGTAGTCATCGTAGAACGGGCGGTCATGACCGCGATCCTGGCCGCGATCCTGGCCGCGATCGCCTGGGCGCCAGGTGTCGGCCTCTTGGGGATAGTTTCGCGGCGGCGACGGACGACGATACGGCCGCTCGCGCTCGCGGCCGTTTCCGGGCTCGTTTCTGGGCGCGCGCCCATCATTTCGGCGCGGTCGCGGTTTGTTGCGCACCATTCTGTCTGGTGTTGGCTTGCGTCTGGTAGTGGGCTCCCTCGAGTCGATATTGCGTCGTACCGCTTTGTCGCAGGAAAAAAAGAAACCGCAATCGCCATGAAAACAAATCGCGCTAAACTTTTTTCGTGTAAATGGGTAACGCGCCCGCTGAGTCAGCCGTGGCTTGCAGCCTCCGACGTAGTTCCTACCCTACACAGATGACATCACTTCTTGATGGTCCAGACCACGATGCAAGCAGGGCATTCATTGATCTCGGAACACATGGAATGAAACAGCTCTCTTTATGATGTCATGATGTGTCTATGGATTTTAGCGGTTGTGAAGCTCTAAAAACCACCCAAATAAGAATCATTCTGATGACAGAGAAACAGTCCAGATTCTGGCTTCTCTAGACGGAAGCTTGCTATCCGGCATACCTTGCGTTACCAACCGTGAGATAATTTCTGTTAAACGTATAGCTGTACCCAGTCCTTACTCCTTCGCTTTCACTGCTCCCTCGGGGTCATGTGCCACGACCTCAATCTCAACGTTCATCCCCTCAGCGCCAAGTTTGGCCACTCCGATCTCAGTCCAGATCGGCTGATGGTCTGGCATCCACTTCTTGAAGTTCTCGCCCATGAGAGCGGTGACCTCGTTGGTGAGATCGGTGTGGTACGAGGTGACGCGAAAGACCTGCGACCATCCCTTGCCACCAGCCGTCTTCAATGCTAGGTCGACGTTGCGAAATGCCTGCTCGATCTCCGCCTTGATGTCGACGGGGAAGGCGTCTTCAAGGGAAACAGGGTCGGATTCTATGGCCTTCACGCCGCCTGTAGCGGATAAGTCTGTCAGTATCGGAATTATTCGTGGTAGTGAATCAACCCTTGTGTGGTGTCGACGAACCTTGACCAGAGCATTCGATTCGGTCGCCGACTCTCACAGCCTGACTATATCCAAGGTTCACACTTGCCCACTCGCCAAAGCCAGGGTAGTTGTAGTACTGGAGGTGAGACATGTTGCTTTTGGGGTCGAGTAGATCGGGTGAAGATGGTGGTTCGGTATGGGTAAAGTATCGAGGTTCCTTGTTATTGTATTGTACTTCAGAGCTATTCAAGGGTGCCGCCGCCATTCTTTATATGCCAACATCATGCTGGCCGATCTCTCATCTAAGTCTATTACCGCCGTATACCACAGCCCATCTCTGCACACCCTTCGACGATAACTCTCCGAAGTCTAACGGCACGGCGACTTTCCCCAGGATGAGTCATGTCAGATGCACCCACATGGATAAGCTGCCAAGACGGCGTAACCTTCACCCTGCCTGACAAACCCACCCGCAAACAGGTGAGATAGCAAATCAACGACAGACTTGAGGATCATCAAGTGGACAATCTACCACCCGAGGATGATCGAAGCGAGCGGGTCCTTGAGGTTATATCCACCAGGGCCCTTGCCAATCTCACCTCAGATCGTAGCCGTGGCTGCTCTCATTGGTGTGGTCGCCAACCCCATCCCAGACATCCAGACCCTCATATGCACACTCGCTACTTAAACCATTTCCGGATCTCAGCTACTAATCCAGGTTTATAGGTAGTCACAGAATAGGGCTGGGTATGATTATGATTATGAAAGTCAACAATCGTTCGCTCACAACTAATGTACCATCACATTTGAACCCAGTCCATCCAATGCAATCCAACTCCCAAGTAGTGTCCCAACCCCAACTCTTTCATATATCGTATCATCTGCAATATCCAATTTCTTTGTTATAACAAGAACGTAGTGCTTCCGGGTAGCCACATTCGGTGCGATTTCAAGCTTCTGGCTTCCGATAACAAGACACCTCAGAGCTCGATCGTGGTGTGGAATCACTTTGTCAAAGACAATGTGTTTGAGTGCTTGTGCCACATTCATTTCTCTCGCCGTGCCTTCCAAGATCCTTGACTTGGAATCTCCCGTATGCCATGACGAGCTGGATGTGTCACTGCGACTCCATGGTGACAAAATCTGCGAGTCGTCCCATTGCACACCGTCAAACGGCACATCCATGAAGGTGATTCCTCCCTCGTATGCCATCCAAGACCAAGTTGGTTGCCGGTATTGCTGGGACGGAAACTGGATGTCTTTCATAGCGTTGCTGTCCCGCTGCCATAAAAGACTTCTTCCAAAGTAGCGCTCAAAGATGCCGAATCCGCCAGGTTTGCCAAACGCGCGTATGAGCCTCTGCTCTAGGCCGGCAATTGCAATTGGTCTGTCGTACGCATTGGTGAATTGAAGTGTCGAATATTGCCGGTAGAGAGATTCGTAAAGACGGATTTGGCCACCCTTGGTGGAGTTCGTAGCAACTTTGGGGAAAGCAGGGTCCCCAAGAAATGCGGCTTTGTTGCTGTCAAGTGTCAGTCAGGTAGCAGTGAAGACAAAGGAATGCTGCCTCACTTTCTCATTTTCGCAAGCGTTTCGCAGCGGATACCCTCGCCACATTCCCAATATGTCTGAGTCTCAGTAAAGTAGATCGTACGCCGCGCCAGAGCCCTTTCTTGCAGTACCCATCCTCGCTTATTCAAAGCTCCGTCTATCACGTCACGCTGGAAGTCCTCAATAGCTTCGCAAACGTACAAATTAGTGCCCGAAAACGTCTCAAACTCAACAAATTTCCTGCTTCGTCGTTTCCCCAGAAATCCTGACGAAGTCCCCTCGGCGCGACTCGCAGCAATCACACAGTACGCAAAGCTGAAGACCTCCTCCATGTGTTCTGCTTCGTCTTTGAAGTCACCATCGTCACCATCCTTACTCTGAATGATACAGATAGAGTCAATCCACAGATATTGAACACCAAGCTCTCGAGTAACCTTGACTGCATCCTTGAAAGTACTCGGGAGCTCGCTAAAGGCGATTCCATCTCCTACACGATTGTCAATGTTCTTGCGGGTTGTGGAGAAGTGATTGTGACGCTCTTTGTCTCCCCAGGGATGAGATAATGCGATGTACCTCAGTCTTTCCTGGTATGAATGCCCAGAACGATTGACGTCAGAGAGATAAATCTTTGTCGAGGCGATTTCGCCCACATCGATCAGCCTAGTTGGGTTTCTCCGAGGACCGGTTGTGGTGTTCTCATGGGAGCAACTCTGGTGATTGTCACAGTCCTGGAGCCATCGGCGGAGGAGTTCGTAGAAGGTCGCACTCTCGATTTCGGGGAGCAATGGGAAACCTATTTGGATGTTGCCAAAGGGACCGCTCGTGACTGACTCATTGGCTGGTTGTCTATTAGCCTGTGATGCATGGATTCCAAGATCTAGGTTGACTGCACATACTTGGAGTTTCGCAAATCGACAAGACCCGAGTAGCTCCACTGTTCATCGTAAGGCCTGATTCGACTCCGTGGAACTCGACTTCGTAACGTGAATTCATCTGTTGGCTTGGTCCGAGAGTATATGCGGTAAGCAAAAGTCCACAAAAATCGCAAGTTGTTGATCGCTCCTTCAATCCAGGGATAGTGTCTCTTATATGAAGATTCGAAGTCAAAAAGTTTAGCTCCCGACATCGTTCGCATTTTCTTGATACCAGTTGGGCTGTGTTGTGTAAAGGGTCGGCTCCAGCGAAGCGGAAGAAATCTAGAGCAAACTGATTGTCGCTCAAGAACTCCCAGATATCATCTAGCTGTTGACTGTTGGCTTCTTGAATGCTGATAGGAGATTAAAGCTCATACCGACTGCATAGAGGGTGATGTTAGCTATCCATCTTTCGTTTTCAAAGAAGAATGCCGTTGAACCTACCACCTGACACCGAGAGAAACGGTCTATAGTCAGCCTGAGTCCAGAACCATTGGATTCTGAAGAGGCAAGAACTCACATGCTGGCGAAATATGTCAGTAAAATTTCGATTCATACATGGAACCATGGTGGAATTGAACGTACACTCTGAGATTCAGGATATTTCCTTTAGTCAATTACCTTGTGATGTACTGCCTATATGTGACTTACATACTGTGACGTGTATGAGCTTCTCCATCAGTATTCTATCCAGCCACACAAACTTACAGTCTTCAAAGCCATGTCAACTTGTCAGCTATCTCTTCTGGGTTTTCACCAAGGTCTTCAAAGACGCACATTCCATGTCTATATTGAACGTGTGATCGTTAGCCGGTTTGTTAACTCCTCAATGCTGGGCAGCATTCTGAGCGTGATTGACTGACCTGCTTTTGTAGCGACAATCCAACATCAATCCCAGAGTCTCGTCTCGATGAGCCTCTGTTCTTTAATGAACTAGTAGAGCCCGGGAAAAGAGTCTCAGGCTTCGGAGCACCAGATCGGTCCGCCCCGGTGAACAGATAAGCCTTCTCATTTCGTGCCTTGTCCCAGATACGGAACATTTCACGCTCCATTTCACGCGCATTGGTGCGATGCTGGGCGTTAGGTTTCTTGGAAGAGTTTGAAGACCTTGGTGGCAAGGCAACCACCAAGAGTTTGTCCCGAACCAACCTGAGAAGATCTCCAATAGCAGTCGACGGAGACTTGCTGCACTCGGGGTCATTTTCAAGGATCTGATCAATTAGATTCTTCACAAGCTTGTTAATCTCGGCAGTTCCTCCAAGTTGACCCTGAGTGGTGAAATAGAGAGTCTGGTTCGTGTTCCCCGTCGACTTCTTCAAGAAGGCGTTGAGAGCATCATAGCCATAGAGAAGCCAAATCACAGACTCAAAGATGATGCAACCCATCGACCACACATCGTAGCGTCGTGATCTCGGCTCGTCAGGTTGTGTGATGACCTCAGGGGCCTCGTAGTGCAAGGTGGAGTGTGTTGTCCCAGTGGGCTCCACTCTGTTTGATGTCTCATATTCATGTTGCTTGGCCAGTCCTAGATCGGCAATCTTTAAAGTACTGAGCCAGATTTCCTTAGACTGTGAAAATGCGAGAATGTTGTCTGGCTTGAGGTCGCCATGACGCCAATGTGGCGCAGAGTTTGTAGACTTGGTACTGCTGTCGCCACCGTCCGCGTTGGTAATGATGATGGGGATACCAGCAGCGTTCTGTTGCCCGCTGGTTTCTTGTGACTCATCATTCTCTGTGACGGTGGGTTTCTTTGGAGATTTCGTTTTATGCAGTTCGCAGAGGGCCCTGACCAAGCCAAGCATTTGCTTCAAAAACCATTCGATGTGTGTTCCACTCAAGTGCAGGTGGATGTCGGAATTATCTTTCCATACATCTCGAAGCGTGCCAGAATCCGCCCATTCGAATAGAATGAAATATTTCTGGACTCGTTTGAAAGCCGCAATGCGATCAATCAAGTGTTGATGGCAAATATCGCTAATGCCGTCCAGGGCTCTCACTTCGCTTCCCCACGCCGACTCAGTCTTGAAATTCGGTTCATTTGGGGGACATGTGAGCTCTTTGATAGCGACACGAACAAATCCGTCATTGCGCTGGTTATTTTAGAGTCCATTTGTGGTAACGGTTGCGGTTGGAGACTCTTACCTCAAAGTGGTCTTGGTGATCTGCTCGCAGCTTGGCCTCATGGACCGAGCTGAAGTGGCCATGCTTCACATTGTACTTGACCTCCGTAAAAGGGAGAATACAGCCCATGGGAAATTCCTTCCCTAAGCGGTCCTTCTTTTTGAACACCGGCGAGTTGAACTGTTGTTGGTTCTGGCAGAATTCCCTTACGTCCGACTTCTTCCACTTATGGAAAATATTTAGGGCGCTCGCGTGCTTGCAGGCGGACGTTGGATGGTTGGCGATTTTTTTGCAATTGCCATTGGATGCAATGTCGAATATTTCGCAATGGCCATTGGATGCAATGTCATCAATAGGCAATTGCTCATCGGTGAAATTGTCTTGTTGAAATTTCTCTGCAATCTTGAGCATTTTCTTCTCAGACCACTGAGTGGTGAAGACAATGTTCAAAAAAATTCGCCTTGCTCCTTTGCAGATAAAATCTATCAACTCTTTTGGTGCATTTGGAAAGAGCTTTCTGATTCTTTTCTCATTTGTTAGCTCACCCACGAGGCGTTCCGGAAGAAATCGTTGCTCATTGTCGAAACCGCTTTTCACGAGAGACACCACAATGTCTTCCCGTAGGCGATCCCGTTCGGATTCATCGGATTCCGACATTTTTCGGGAAGAGAAGAACGAATTGAGAGTCGAATTGAGAAAATTGAACATATGAACTTGCCGCAGTAGGACACGGTCTCGTTGAGTGGTGGCTGGGGTGAATTCGTGCTGATGATTGAAAAAGACTGCCTACGACAGAGTCAAGGAGTTTCAAACAGAAGGGGAATCCTTGCTTCAAATCTTTCGGGCGATTTCAGGTACTTTACCGTTCTCCAGGGACCCATCTGTTCTTAGCAGTTCTCCTTGTGCCTGACGGCACGATGGTTCGCACTTCGTTGGTTGCGTCGTGGGGGGACCTTATCGCGAGCTACTGGCTGCCTGTTGCTGCGAAGAGGGTGGCACAATGTGCAAGAATTGTCGAATCATGACTACAGCCAGGCAACAAGGCGACCGGTAAGGCAACTCAGCCTTCATTTATGAAGAAACGAGGCAAAGTCAAGTGACAAAGCCTTGGAGCCCCGGATTCAGTCATGCCACCGCGACCCAGGTTGGGGGACCGGGGTAGCAATGCAGATGTGAGGATTATCACAAATATGGACCAATTGGGCTTCTCATCACCTTTTGAGGGTGTGAACACCTACACACCAGTCCAGGGCTGAGACATATGCAGGGAGACCCAATATTGACCAACAATTCAATAGGGTGGGAACCATTCTAGCTTCTATTGGCAACGAGTTCATTCTCTCCTGCGCCTTGAAATGGTATTCCATGGCATGGCGCAGCCTCCATACATGCAGACGAACACACCAAGGAGCAGTGATGCAAGTGAGATGCAAGCGTGACTCAGCCCCCTCTGTATGTATGGTAGGTTTAATATGCAAGCACTAATTGCCTGCTTTCCAACCCCCCTTCTTGTACTGCAGGCTTATCGGCTGGGCCGGATATGTCCGCCGCAGTCGATGGCTCGTGTCAGCTGGGGTGAGGCTGAATCATTCATCCAAGAGCCGCATATTTCAGGTACTTGGCCGCGCCCCGGCTCAAAAAGTCGCGCATAACTGATTCGACATGTGCCTACTCGTCCCAACATCTCTCCAACGCAATTCTTTTCTTAAGTCGTGGAAACGCAGCGCATGCATTAGTTCCAGTCAAGTGCATACTTGTCGCCATGACTTTCAGTGATGAACTAAGTGACTGTGAAGTCAAGGGCCCTCTCGGGCAGCCGCCATTTCTGCCGTTAGGCTCTTTAAAAGACAAAATCAACAAGCGGAACGTTTGCTCACAGCTATCTCTTTACACTCGGCTCTTGCATCCTCGACTCGCTGACAGGATCGTTCGAGACGCCAGAAAGATATTCGCGATCCTCGTGCTTATAGAAAAACCCCATGCGATACACTCCATGATTCAAGATGGACTAACAGATGAGTATCTTCCTCTTTCGCTTGAGGAAGGTAAACCTAAAGGTGTCTTGGTATCTAAAAAGGGTGGATATTCGAAAGAATTCAAGTGTTTCGCCTCCCAAGTGGGAGCCAGGGACTTTCTTCAGAGGCAATGGATGGTTCAGGCGCCCTTATTTAACAGCCCTGGTGCACATTTCGAAATGGACACGAATTGCGCTCTACCGCTTACTGAGTGTGACGAGGCGGCTGTGGGTCCCTTCGCCGTCGTTTACAAAGGAGCAATCCACCGAGCCCATCACCAGGGCTTCGGAGTAAGTATTGACCGATCCCAACCACGACATGGTCAAGGCTAATGACCCAAGGCGAATGGATCCGATCTTCTAGTCGCTGTCAAAGAGTTCAAAACAGAGGAGCTCTTTGAGAAGGAGAAGGAGAATTTGCAACAAATTCAGTCTCTTAGCCACGAGCACCTCATCAAGATCATCGCGACTTGTTCAAGGGATCGCTTTTATTATGTTCTCTTTCCATGGGCTGACGGTGGAAACCTAGGAGACCTTTGGAAACGAGAAGATGGTAAACGAACCCGTGAGCTCACTCTATGGTCTCTGGGCCAGATGCTGGGTATTTCCAAAGCGCTTTTGGCCTTGCATTCGGAAAACTGTCGCCATGGAGACCTCAAGCCAGAAAATGTCCTGCACTTCAAGAAGGAAGCTAAAGATCCTGGAACATTGGTCATCGCAGATGTGGGCGTCTCAAAGTTCCACCAGCAAGCAACAAATATGAGAAGTGAGCCAACAGACACCAGGGCCACAACGCCGATATACGAAGCGCCGGAAGCACAACCCGATGTGAAGGACCCGCGATCGCGCAGATATGATATGTGGTCCATGGGCTGCATGTTTCTCGAACACATCGTTTGGCTTCTATACGGGCATGATGCTATGCTACGATTTCGAAATTCGAGGAAGTCGACGGACCCGGAAATAAGAGACGGCAGTTTCTACAGGCGTGTACACAGGCTGGGGAAGACTCAGGACGAGTCCTCAGACCAAGTGGCAGATCAGTCCCCAGATCCGAAGGATCTCCTCCATCCGAAGGTCTTGAAAGCCTTCGAAAAGCTCCGGGAAGACTCAAATTGCCAACCCGGGACGGCACTTGGCGATCTTGTCAAGCTTATTTCTGAAGATTTGATGGTTGCCGTTGATCAGCGCATAGGAGCCATTGAGTTGGTCGACAAGCTGGGGAGAATCGTCGATCAAGCTAAACGTTTGGATTACTTGCGCATCAAATTTGATGATCCAGTGGGCAAAAAGCGATTTTTGGACATTTTTTCCCGCTTACGAAGTCGAGGGTGAGCCGTAGGCAGGGTGGCAATAAAAGCTGGTAGTTAATGTGTGGTGGAGAGGAGCAACAGAGAGGACTGAAAGACCCAGTAGCCCGCCTAAAGGCTGATGAAGATAATGGAAATGAACAAGAGAGATAGGATATTGGGGGTAACGCTATGGGTATCATCTGATCAGATGATTCATGAAGGAATGCTGCAACAATGGGCCGGAAATACTGCTAATTGGTCATTCTGCAGATAATAGCTGGTGATGACGATTGTGTATGAATGTAAAACGGACGATACAATGAGACAAATTTTCGTATCTCCCCAATATTCACAAGACAAAAAATCCGCTTGATTAATAATTACGCTGAACAACATCTGCTGGGAATCTACTTGGTCTTCTTCAGTCTGTTCCGCTCCGCCACCTCCGCATTAATCCTCTCAATCTCCGCCCTCGCCCCATCCCACGCCTTGCGCTTCCCGTCAAAGACACGCCAGATAAAGGGCGTATAGATGCCGTCCATCAGAAGCTTGTAGAAGGTTCTGTCCTGGAACCAGAACTGCCACCCCTTCAATCCCCATCCGAGGTGCTCGTTGACGCCGGCGCCGGCCGCCTCGTTTGCCCAACTGACCCATTCGGCCTGACGCACCCAGCCTGGCATGGCGCTGCCGTCCTTGGCGATGCTGCAGATGAACGAGTGCTGCTTGTCAACCGACCGGTTCATCTCCTTAATGGACGGCAAGCTCGCGTTACCCTTCCAGACTTGCGCGAGAGCCATGGTGGCCAAGTCGTACAGAGGGAACGCGCCGGTCGCAAAGGCCACACAGCCCATGAAGGCCATCGATGTGGGATGATCCAACGAGAAAATGTTCTGATATAGACGAGGAAGTGGCTTGCCGCGGGATCCGATGGCTGACTCCCAAGCGGGTGTTGTGTGCCGAGTGGGATCAACGCTTCGATCGAGGAGAGTGAACTCGGTCTTGTACCCTGTGGCCCAGATGATGGCATCTGCCTCCAGTCGCGTTCCATCGTCCAATTCGATCTCATTAGGACCAGAAACACGCTTGAGGCCTCCAATAGACTGGATCTGACCAGCCTCGAGTAGACTCACCAGGTTGTCTGAGATGATCGGCACAGCATGTTTGACGGGAGGAGCGGGAGACATCTTCCACTCCGGGCGGATATTGAATGCCTTGTCCTGCATCTTCTTGATCATGGTGTTGAATATAAAGTCAGCAAACCTGGGGAAGTTGAGCTCCAGGAAGCCCATCATGGCAACCTTGCGGGCCGTCATTGTGTGGTCGAATGGGACCCCGTCGACGACTCGTGGCAGCTACGCATGCGCATTAGTAGGAATATCTCTGGGAAAGCTTTGGGAGCACTCACCACAAGCGCGCCGTGATTGTGAGATATGTAGACCTTGTCAGCTACTCCGCAAAGAGCTGCCGCCGTGTCGGCGCCGGTGTTGCCCATGCCGACGACAACGACCTTCTTGCCCTTGAAGAGCTCGGGTCTAATGTTCAAAGCGATTAGGTTAGTTGCTGGATTAGACCTTGCAATTGGAAATCATACCTCTTGAAGGCGCGAGAGTGCAGGACCTCTCCCTCGAACTGCTCGACGCCCTCCAACGTGGGAAGATGCGGGCGAGAATTAATTCCAGTCGCAACGACGACCTTGTCGAAGTATTCCGGACCGGAACCTTCGACATCGACCACCCACCTACCCTCCTTGTCGTCGCGCTTCACGATGTTGATGGTAGTGCCGAGGCGCAGCCTGTTGGTCAGGTTGAAGTGCGACACATAACTTTCGAGATACTGCTGCACATGGGCGGACGTGCAGTGACTCGGCGTATCGTGAGGGAATGGGAAATCCGTAAAACAGCCCTGGAGAACGTTGAGTATGCCTGGATTGTTATTGCTTTGGATCTTGCGCAGAACTCACCCGCTCTTTGGAGATGTTAATGACCGTTGCTGTGGCCTTGTTAATGCCAGGTACTCTCAAGGTGATGTTGTCGCTGATCTACTCACTTGGGAGAACGGATGTCTTGTCTTCATCTGTGTAGTGCCATAGACCTCCGACATAGTCATTGCGATCAAATCCCGTCACGTTAAAGCCTTCTTCGGTGAGATTCTTGACCGCCACCAAGCCAAGAACGCCTTTACCCGGTTAGCCAACTGCGCTGATATCGTTGCGCAATTTCGCGCAGCACATACCTAAGCCAACGACGGCGACTGTTGGTGCTTCCTGGTCCATATTCTCAAGTTGGTGCCTACGGAGGAATGATCCGATCTCAGACGGAGGGTCTCGACGTGCAGCAGTCTTCCGTATATATTGACCAGCACAGATGTTCAGCTGAAACCCCATCCGGGTCCATCACTGCGGAATTTACGCCGCCTCAGCTTACACGGACACGAGCCGGGGACCCTCCGACGATCGGCTTTCGCTAGCTTGGCGACCTGACTGGAGAATACTTGCTCGCCTGCGCCTCGACTTGGCAATTCGTACGACAAAAGTGGTTCCCGTATTACGTATTGACTCATGAATGGCAGGGGATGGGCAGCAATTTGATGCGATTGATTAGATAGAACGCCACGGTCCCACTGGTGGAAGCTGTGCTGGAATCCACCTTGACAGCACTCATCACACCATGTACATATTCATTCGACTCCGGCCTAATATATTACCCGCCTGTCCTACATCTGGGGAGTATCCGTCGGAGGTGAGCACTGAGGTCTTCTCGCAGCGACTATCTGCCCCATTTACTCGCGGCTGTATGTAGTTTCTCTATAATTATTTCGTCCGCCCCAATGTTCTGGTGGATTCGAGCTCCGTGAATTGGAGTTCCGTGGATTCAAGTTCCGTGAATTGGAATTCCCTGAATTGGAGTTCCATGAGTTCGAGCTCCATGGATTCGGGTTCCGTGGATTCGGGCTCCGTGAACTGAATCGGGCTGATTGTATCCGGTGTCTCACTCTGCTCCGGCTTCGAGGGTCCACTCTCGAAGAGTTGGATTTGTAGCCAGATTGCAGAGAGCTGTGCAAATCACCTTGAACGCTACCTCGCTCGGGTTCACAGCTTCGATTTCCGCACCAAATGGGGAATCCAAAGTCAACAAAAGCCTGCGTGTCTAGCCCATGATAGTCAAGGTGTTGCAGAAACAGCTCCCATTCCTCTCTCGTCGTCTTGCGAAGCCTTGCGCCATGTTTGAAAAGGAGCGTGGATATCTGGTGAAGGTTTTCTGCAGATCGACCCTGCATCGATTCGTGTATGAGAATGTAGTCCAAAGCCGAACATCCGGATGAATCTGGGAGGTTTGGATCTGCTCCGCGCTGCAGTAGGCGCTCGGCAACGACGGGTGGGCTCAAATGCAAAACGCGAGTAGAGACAGATTCCCCTCCCGTTCTCGACGAAAAAGGCATGTTCGCATCTCTCATCTTGTCCACAAGCAGAATTGCAATGTCGACGTAGTCCGTGTTCGGGCGATCTAGCCAAGTTTGACTTTGTTCGCCGACCCTCCATATCGCGAGCAAGATTTTTCCTAAGCCTTTCCTGTCCCTTTCGATAATCAAACCTTTAGAGAGGAGTGATTTCGCAGTCTTAACGGCACCAGCAACATCTAGGCCAGCCTTCGCACCATCGAAGAGACTGCAAAGAAGAGGGTCTGGTGAGCTTTCCACGAGTTTATGGTCCACCTTGTACGCGTCCTCAAGGTAAAGCTGTAACCCGGCAAAGGTGGCCAGTAGCAAAGGCGTCAAAATGACGGAAGGTCCAGTTCCTGAAATCCTTTTTCTGTACTCAGTATTAAAGTGCTCGGGCTGTGCTCCAGAGAAAAACTTGTATTGGCTCAAGCCGGTCGTTCTCTCTGCCTCTCGAGCATGGAATGCCAATTCCCTGCAGCCAGTATCGTCTGGATAGAGAAGAAGATACTTCGAGAGGAAGGAATGGCCATTGTCTTCTGTAGTTGCCGCTCCCCCAAGCCCGAGAACCAGATGGCGAAATGGCGGTGCTTCAATGAACTCTTTGACCGTCTGATGCATCAGTTGAACATAGTCCGTTCCCATGTCAACCAGCCCTCCAGACACCTCCCGGACAATCTTGTCGGCCATATTGGGGTCAATCTGTTTTAATTTTGACAACTTCTTGAAGTCAGGACAAACCGTCATGGTGGAAGTCTCGATTATCCTGACCAACTCTTGGGCTGTTAGTAACTGGTTAGATCTGGCTAGAGACTCAAGGACAACATAGGTGTTCCATCGCAATCCCGGAGAGACCCGTTCAATTATCGTGGCGTAATAGTCGTCTAGTTGATTGGGGAGGGAATCAAGCGTCTTATGCAGGCACTCTTTGATCTCGAGGGCTCCCTGGCTCTGATCATTGAGGACTTTGAAGAGATCGCGAAGCACAAGTTTTACCCAGAGGAAAACCCCACTCGATCTTGCCACAATCTCGTTGACAAGCGGAAGGAGGTAGTGTCGTGTTTGCACATTTTCATGAATGGATGTGATGCAATAACTGCGAATGTCGTTCTCTGTATGCTCGTGGATTTCGAAGCTCGGGCATGCGCTAAACTCGTCTCGAAATACGGCCCAAGGCCGGCTCGAAAACAATATTCTGACCCTCGTTCGTGGAAAACACGTCTCCTGAGCAAGATCTTTGAGAAATCCGGATATGAACTCCGGCCGCCCATCGTACTCGTCCAAAGCATCGAGGAGCAAGCAAAGATCCAAGTCGAACAAGTCCTGCGCGCAAATCCGGCGAAGGACCTCTTCCAATTGTTGTCTTGGCCACTCTTCGTGCTGAATCGAAATTCTGATACGATTTCGTGCCTCGTGGCGTGCTATCAGGCTCTTGAGGTTTCTCTCGAATGGTTCAATAAATCTAGGGGGCTGTTGATCTCGGCTCTTTCTTTTATCTTTTACGACCGCTACTCCTTGGCGCTTGAAGAGCTGGCGGAGCCTAGAGTTCAAATCGAGAGTTTCCAGCCACGATCCGACTATGCCGAAGAACCTATCATTCGATGGGCAGAGTCTATAAAACTCAGAGTCGAGAAAGGAGTTTTTGTCGGGCTTGACTCCGGCGATGAATTGGTCGTCTCTTCGCCGAAGCAACTCCATTTTAGCCTCGTGGGAGCCGTCAAAACCCCAATATGGAGCATCTGACGATGTCTCAATGGCTTTCTGTAGGCACAACAAGCCACTTTGACTCTCCAACAGAGATTCAATCTCACAATGCAAGTTCTCGTCTGCTTGAATCTGGCCGAGTTTCAGGAGTTGGCGGATGTCTGATTGGAGGCTTCCTAAACGTTGGGCGACAACTCGCTGATCATAGATCTCACAAAATGTAGATCTCACAATAGTGAACAGCTCGGGCTGCGCTTCCAAGATCTGGCTTATTATGCTCCGCAAGAGTCCCTCGAAAGACTTTTGCACAGTGCTGCCACGGTAATGAAAGAAGAAGCTGGCTGTGACTCGTCTGGCTCTCGACTTCCATCGATGCAAGAGTTCTGAAGTTCTTGGGTCGCGGTGGACGAATTTCATGAGAGTGGACTTTCCAGAGCCAGGTTTGCCGCTGATCCAGAAGATCCCTTGGCCCCTCAGAAGCCACTGAGATAGACCGATGGAAGATTTGTTGAAAACCCAGTGAAATGTATGGCTGGAATGAGGATCAATCTGCTCGATTCGCGAGTCTCGCTCTGGAGCCTGAAGGGACTTTAGAATCACTGTGGTCGGGTAAGCAGTCTAATGCGCCAATTGGATCGGAATACTTACTCTTGTCATCCCAAACCAATGGTGGGTCAGAAATAGGTGCCTTGGCACCAGCTGATGCTTCAGACGACTGCTGATTCGTTTCCTGTCGATTTCTTCGGTCTTCGACGCCCTCGTATACGGAGGAGCTCTCCTCCGCAACTTCGGCAGGCAGTGAAATGTGACTAAGATTGCAAACCTCACTCAACTTGCTCGCGATAACACGGATCCTATGGTCACCGTTGAAAAATTTGACCATGTCAGAGTGGTTTTCGTCGATCTGAATCGTCATGGACGGCTCGACAAAGCAACGATCTCCAGTCGCAGATTCTCTCGTGACCAGAACAATGTCCGGCCCGAACCTGCTAAAATTATTTCCTCTCATCTGATGCACCAGTTTCAGCTCTCAGCCCTCCAAGTGAGTCCAAACTGTTTACTTACCGCAACAGTGCGCGTCGTCTTAGTTTCATACGCCCAGAACACCTTTATTGTACGCACCAATGAAATACCGGAAAATTGCTTTTCTAGCTGCGGGAGGTAGTCGGAGTTTCTTGAAATTTCCGCCACGAGGGCGTCTTTGTTCGGCTGGTCACCTAGCATTGCGAAAATATCGTTCATGGCCATACCGTGACTCGGCACGCCGAAAAATATGGCACCCCGTACGAGATTTGCGATAAACATGTCTTTCTGCCCACTCCCGGCCAGCATTAGTAAAGTTTGCTTTAGTAAAACCCCCCCCCAGACTATGGGCGAGGAACATTAGTGGCTTTGATGTTGGAGAGGTCCAGCCTTCGGCTTTCAAGGTGTTGATCAAGGAGTTTGCGAGATCCGGGATGGTCTGGAATGAATTGCTTGGGCGGAGGACCGTATCGTAGCCGTAGAGAATGAATCTGACCATCGGCAGATACTGAGGAAGCTCGTCGCGAATCCACATGAACGACTTATTCCCACCATGCGGTTGCCACGAGCCGAAAGGGTGGCTGGCTAGTCCAGAGATGACAATACAACTACACCATTGCGTTCAGCCATGCGGGTATATCGTGGGGGATTCATAAAACATACTCATATTCGTGGGTACGAGGGTCCACCTCGTTGAGTGGAGTAAGGCCTTGGAAGTGATGATCAAGAAGGAGAGGATTAGGCAGCCCTGGCATGGGAAAAGCCCGTTCGCCATTGCTGCGGTTAAGATCGATTCCGAGGCTGCACCCCAGAGTGAACGTGGCCGTTTTGGTGGGTAATCGTGTCCAGGGATCGACGGCTTGTGCAAGAGACGAGATGTGGACCTGATGAGAGGAAAAGCTGCCAGCACAGTCGGCTAGCAGCTCAGCAGCGAGCTGCCGATCCACATGACCGGGTAGGCTACGCAATCGATAGACCTTTGTCCTCTCGGGAGACGCTTCAGCAGAAGTCATCTCGGTGGTTGTAGATCACGAGGCATGGTCCTGCGGTAAATAATCGAGGGTGCAGGGCCGGCCACAAGGTGAGGAAGTGTGTGACAGTAAGGCTCTGGCTGGAGCTGAAAGAACGCGATGTCAGCGTTGCCTTGATCCAGGATGCGTCAGCCTCATTCTTGAGAGGGGTTGAATGCCATCTCACGCCCCTCTAAGGTCAGGATATCGATCTATCAGAGGTTTCGTAATACAGGGTCATAGTCCAACAATATCCTATGCGCTTATTGGGCAACTGTGGCTCCTGGCAACACAACTTCACACCTTACTTACTCCATAAGTAAGTTCAGAATATCGATATATCAGAGTATTATGACTATCCGGCTCTTATTTAGCCGCTTAGGGATTGATCTGATAGATATTTGACGGTGAAAAGGGTCAGGAGGAACAACATGCTGGTTCACCATTGTACAGCGAACAAGTTTAACATGGACCCCGGATTGAAGACTTGAGATTTGCTAAAAAAGATGTCTACCTATTACCCATCAGTACTTTACCAAATACGATTAACTCGTATGTAAAATGTGGCTTATTGCGTGATGTTGAATGGAAGATCTTGGATGCCAGTCGGATTTATTAGCTTGGAGGGTTCTGCACTCCCAACTTGGACGATCGATATGCAAAGCAATGCGCAAGCACCTCGATTGTCATATTTCAACTTAAAACATGGCTGAGTCGTAATTATTGCTCAGTCCAAGAAGAGCTATTATTGTTTAGCACTATTTACTACTTATGATATCCCAAGCTAGGTAGCTGTTCGCGAGACCTCAACGCCCGGTAGGAGTGAATGCCCGACACAGCCACGTGGCGCAGCACTCTCGTAGAATTTCCATGTGACTTCCACCCAATCTTTAGTGTCTTGCTCCCCTCAAGGCAGCCTCACGCCTCATTTAAGGCTTCACGACCCAATTCTATCCATTGCGCAAAATATCTTCTCCAACAGTCAGAAAACCTCGCTCAAGATGGTAGGCACGAACAAATCCGGCGAGGACGCGGAAGGGTCGAAGCGGGCCGCAGATTTCCACAATGCTATGCTTGGCACGGGATATGCAGACGACTCCATGCTGTATGTTGTCCGATATGTGAACTCGGTAAAGGTAAAGACATGCAAATGATTTGCCCTTGAATTGTCATACTGATTAATATCTACTAGCAAAAACTACGAGAGTGCGATGCGGATGAATTCATGAGGTGCTTCGGCGAGCTCAACCGCCTTTGGTCCGAAACGCAACCCGAAGCCCCCGAGGGAGCTGCCTCACGGTATGAGAAGGCGCGGGAGTTGAAACAGCAAGCCTTAGAGACAATCAAAGACTGTCCAGACTTGGTTCGTGACTTTGATCGGTTCACAACGAATGGACGAGTGTTGATGAGGAACATGGCAGCCTTGCGTCCAGGGAAGTAAAAAGACGGGATTCGAGGCGGAAAAGACGAGAGGAATATGCAATTTGGAGGTAAATCTTATGATTCACAATTTCACTTGTTTGTAGGCGCTCTTTGGAGACTCGTGGGCCTGGGTAGCCACTGTTTCGACTTTTTAGTACCAATATCCTATAGTTTGAGATACCATCCGATTACCCAGTTTCAACGTTATTATCGATGAAGATGGCTTGGAGTGTGCGTTTACGGGTGAAATTTGCTGATGTATCAAAGGATGTGAATCAATGGTTCCCATTTCGACACCGGCTAAATGTGACCAGGTGAGTATGCAAGCCAGCTTTGCAGAGCGCTGAGATTCGGACCAACCCTTTAAAAATAACCTCAATGGAGTTTCAATGATAAAGATGCGTCTTTATCTACATTTCAATGCAGGAACATTTCTGAGACGCAGAAGATCCAGTTATCAATCATCCTTCATCATAATGACAGATCAGCCTGCACGTTGAGAATACACAACGCCAGACAACCTTGATGATGCACACCAACAGTCCCAAAAATACAACAACGGAAATCGGTTGGAAACTATTATGCCTACTCTCAATATTGTTCGGGCGCTATTTGATGTTCTCACCGCACAAGATTAAACTGCATGTCTCTAGCTAGAAGCCACCAGAAACCATGTTAAGAACGGGTTAAATAAAGACTAGGAAGAATCACGGTATTGAAAATTGCTATTCGCACACACACCTATTGCTACTTCCGCACGTAACTGAATCCTCAATTCTACTGATAATTATCTACCATCCCAGAGTAGTTTAGGGAATTGAGTTTCTATAAATAAATAAAAATGGTAATTTGTAACATTCGTGCCGTATGATAATATTTATTTATTTTGTTTATTAGGTCTAACTCAATAAGAAGGGCAAGTATTGAGTCTTACAATATATTGTTTGGTTGCACGTATGCCAGGCACTTTAAGACTTTGGTGAAGTAGCTTCTATCTGTGTGTGAATAGCAATGCTCTTGTTAATATCCTGGAAAGACGTATCGTCACAACCTTGTTCCGTACCAGTAGGCTACCTGGTGAGTCTGATTGTTGGTGCTGCCACAGGAATGTAACTTTTTCGGTGGTAGACGAGGCAGTCACAGCCTGGGGATGAACTCACCGTTCACCTGCTGAGACGGAATGTCCTTGCTCCGTATTACGATTTCAACAGCGTTGCAACGCAACTGACGTTCCTGTACTACCAATTTGATTGGTTCGAAGGGCGTTGGGATAACCCACTCAATCTGCAGCCGCTTGGGGCCATGCAAGCACTGCAATTTTAGCGCTACAAACAGAGTTGGGGTGTAATAAAATGGCATTGTCAGCGGTCCATGGTTTCACTGCAATTTTAGCACTGTACGGAGTAAGCGGAGTTAGTATCGGGTCCATACTCCGTACGACGTGATATCGACCGGACTTCACTGCAATTTTAGCGCTTCGAGGGGAGTTGGGTTGCGCTATGATCCCCTGTGCGGACGGGGCATCAACCAATACCGTACTGATGGAGGGGTCCAATATGTTATCGTTATCGGGTCACAAACATTTCTCTACTCGCTGCCAAGCTCCACTAGCTATGAGGTAGGGAGGGGACTCAGCTCTCTGTGATGCTCAGCTGGAATTGAGAGGGGCATCACAAAGACAGACAGGTTAACTCAGAATCCGTTAGAGATTTCAGCAATGGCGTAAGGGCAGGGTAGATCTGGAATGCTGTGACAGATGCCCTTTCTTCACTGAAGCGAATAAATTTAGAGGAGCTCGTGCGGGAGGAAGTTGTGCATGAAGTGCAGTATTTGCGCAACCCGCAATCAATATCTTCGAATAAATCACAATTGTCACCAAGATCTCTCTCCGAAGACATTGGCAAAGACTGATACGAGAGCACTGCATTCCAGCGCTGGAGTACTGGTCATGTTGGCGTCTGCCTGTCATGCCTGACACACAAGGCACAGCCACACCAGCCACACCCTGTCAACCGCCACCTCATCACAAGCTAGGCGGCAAGCTGTCATCCAACTGTCCTCAACACCACCAAAATACCCGTCGTCGACAAATCTTCACCACGCAACCGCGCCCCCATCTCCCCCGCGCACCCTCCCAATCCCTCCCCCCTTCGACGCACACGCAATCCCCCGGCCGCCATGGCGAACTACTACGGCGCCCAGCAAAACCCCCCCTACGGCGGCGGCGGCGCGCCCGCAGGCCCCTCGGCCGCCCAGAACCTCCAGTTCTACCCGTCCTCCTACGACACGCGCGCCGGGCCGGGCGTCTCGGGCGCCGCGACGCCCCAGCAGGCCGCGTACGGGTACGGCAACGCCGGCGGGTACGGCGGCGGCGCGCAGGCCTCGCAGGGCTTTGGCGGCGCGGGCTTCGCGGGCGGCGTGTCCGGGCGCATGGGCGAGCAGGGCGGCCTGCGCACGGGGTGGCTCGCGGCGTTTTCGACCGAGGGCTACGACGGCGAGCCGCCGCTGATGGAGGAGCTGGGCATGAACTTTGGGCACATCCAGACAAAGGTGAGTGTCGCGTCGTCTTGGCCGTCGTTGAGATGCTAACCGCTGCCAGACGCTCGCAGTGTTGAACCCGCTCAAGACAATCGACCACCACCTCATGGACGACTCCGACCTCGGCGGCCCGATCCTCTTCTTCCTCCTCTTCGGAACCTTCCTGCTGTTCTCGGGCAAGGTGCACTTCGGCTACATCTACGGCCTGGCCCTCCTGGGCTCGACCTCGCTGCACGTCATCCTCTCGCTCATGTCCCCCGTCGACGACCCCAACGCCCAGCCAGCCTACCCGCAGTACAACGAGCCCCAGCGGCCGTCCCAGACGCAGCAGGGCGGCCACTTCTCCACGACGCTGACCTTCCCGCGCTCCGCGTCCGTCCTCGGATACTGCCTGCTGCCCCTGGTGGCCACCAGCCTCGTCGGCATCGTCATGCCCATGGACACGCCCCTGGGCATCGTCATGACGACCGCGGCCATCATGTGGTGCACCTACAGCGCCAGCGGCATGTTCTGTGCTGTTGGCAGGATGCGGGGCATGCGAGGTCTGGTAGCGTACCCCCTTGCGCTCTTCTACGTTGGCTTCGGAATTATGGGCATTTTCAGCAGTCGAGGAAGCGGGATGTTGACCACTGCGGCCTCCAATTAAGCGAATCATACCTACAACAGCCGCATTCGGTGCTAGGACAGCGATTAACTCCATCATACATCCATACACAACCATTCAGCATCAGCCGAGCGGACACCGTGTCCGTGGCGGCCAGATCATCTAGGGGCAGAGTGATGGTGGGCATCACGACGGAAAGGCGTTTCTGAGCAAAGGGCATTGACGAGGTGGACTCTTTGGGCGCATGGACAAGGTCCATTTGTATTAGATTAATATCGAGAATTAACGACCAAAAACTCATGAACTGTATTGTACAAGGGAGCTGAATACGTGTTTTGACGCCGAGAGCGTCAGCTCAACTTCAAATATGCAAGACGTCTATATCACTACCGGCAAAAATGACAACATGCGATCCGTGCCTCGTTATCCCTCTGGCGCATAAAAAGACACATCCATCCCTATCCCCAAGCCCGATTTCATTGCCAAACGGCGATAAGAAGTGTTATATAAAGCCCAAATAGCCACCGCCCGGTTAGCGGACAGTAGCCTCATTAACAGGGCTTCTGAAAATATCATGCACAAAACAACGAGATGGGTGCGTCCAAAAACTCCACGTGCACCGACGTGAGGGACAACACTTTGCACTCCTAAAGCTTGGACTTCACGTTTTCCTTGTCGTCGTCAACATGGGTGCCGTTGGTCTTGACGCCGTTGGTCTTGGGGGCATCAGAGGCAGCGCCGACGAGGATTGAGTACTGGCCTCCAGCACCGGCGGCGAGGATCTTCTTGCCGCGGATAGCGGTGTTGTCGATCACTGTGGGCGTGTGGATGTCGTCCAGAGTGCCCTGGCCTGTCTGGTAGTTGCTCGAGAAGCCCCAGGAGTAGACCTTGCCCTCGGAGGTGACAGCAAAGTTGTTGTCAGTGCCAGCGGTGACGGCAACAATGTCGGCGATGTCTGCATCTGGTTAGCGGTTGATCGAAAAAAAGTTAATGGAGGGCACATACCAGGGACAACAGTAGGCTTGAACAGGATGCGGGCATTGCCACGCTCATCGTAGATGGCGTTTTCTTGGGTCAGCTTGTCGAACTCAAAGCCGACTTGGTACCCATCGACACGTCCCCAGGTGATGAGATCGCCACTCCCGGAGCACGCTAGAGAGTGGTGCTCACCACCATCGATATCGGTGATGGTGAAGTCTTCCAGGAAGGTGATCTTGGCAGGGCGAAGGATGACGGCATCATCCTCTCCAGCGTTGGACTCGACACCAATCTCGCCAAAGTTGTTCAGACCCCAACCCCAAACTTGGCCGGCCTTGTCAATGGCAAAGCTGTGGTAAGAACCACAAGCAATCTTGACAATCTTGCCCCGGGGCAGACCAACACCCTGAGGGACAAGCGACGACATCTTGTTTCGCTCAATGATGCGGCGACCAAGCTGGTTCTGCTGGCCACAGCCCCAGGCGGCAACGTTGCCCTTGTTGTCTAGGGCGAGGACGTGGTTGGAGCCGGCAGCAAGCGACTTGATGCCCTTGAGCAACGGTAGGATAGCGGGAGTGGACTGGACTTTGACGGTCTCGGAGAAACCCAGGATGCCATCACTGGAGCGGAAGGTACCCCAGCCGTAGACGCGGCCATCCTCGGTGAGGGCAAAGGTAGCGCTGTCACAGGCAACGACCTGGACGAACTTGGTGCCGGGGGCAAAGTGATGGCTAGAAACAGCTGTGGGGGTGCTCTCCATGGGGTTGACGCCCGAATCATCGTCGTCGTCGTCTGAATCCGAGTCATCCTCCATATCACGCAGACCACCATTCCAGGTGGTGTCTCTGCCCAAAGCGCCCTGGTCGTTGACACCCCAGGTCAGGATCTTGTTGTCGTGGGTCAAGGCGACAGCGTGCATGCCACCGCAGGAAACCTGGACCACACCAACCTCGGCAGCAGAGAGGTTGTTGTTGAGACGCGGGCGCTTCACGTCGATAGGCTTCTTGCCTTCGACGCGCTTGCTGCCAAGGCCAAGCTCGCCGGAGGTGCCCTCGCCGAAGACGTAGACATCGAGGATCTGGGTCGGGGCCTCGTTGATCTTGCGGCCGATTCCGACATACTTCTTGGTAGGTTCAGGCTTCTTCACGGCGACCTTCTTGGCAGGTGCAGGTTTGGCCTCGGGCTGGGGAGGGGGGGTCGTTTCTTCGACTTCGGTCTCCTCGGCCTCGGGCTTGGGCGTGGTGGCCTTGGGTTTCGCGGCCTTGGGTTTCTCGGCCTTGGGCTTCTCGGCCTTGGGCTTCTCGGCCTTGGGCTTCTTGGGTTCCTCGACCTTGGACTTCTTGACGGGTTCCTCGGCCTTGGTCTTCTTGGGAGCGGCCTTGGCCTTGGTAGGCTTGGCGGCGGGCTTCTTCACGGGCTTGACCTCGCGGGTGGTCTTGGACTTCTTCGCCTCGGGAGCCTCTACCTCGGACTCGGGCTCGCTCTCCTCAACCTTGCGCTTCTTCGACGCGCCATTGGTCGCGGCTTCGGTCTTCTTCGTCTCGGATGGCTTGGCAGCGGGCTTTGCAGCAGGCTTCACAGCCTTCTTGACGCCGGTGGTGGCAGTTGCGGCCGTCTTCTTGGTGGTCGCCTTGGGGGCGGCGGCTTTGGCTCGAGGCGCCATCGCGTTGGAGGGCGCTGTAGCGGGACGGCGACGCGAAAAAAAAGAGTGGTTCGGTGCAGAAAAGAGAGGGATGCGGCGGTGGGATCAGAAATAGGACGTCGAATACAGTGATTGAAATGTCCAGGCAGCTTCTGTAATGACTCGCACGTCGGAAGAGAAAGGGCGTGGCGCAATGTTGATGGAGGCAAAAGCTGACGGATCAAAGAGAGCTGGCGCGACAAATAAGTTGGCGTGGTTTTGGGAGGTTTTTTTAGGGTGTGATCTGACCACCTGGGTGCGATAGGTGCGATGGCCGCATTGGCCGCAGCAGGGGTGAACAGGGCCGTGCTGGGCACCTGCCAGGAATGAGCCACACCGCCTTGGAGCTCCAGGGGGATTTGTCCGGCAGAATATCTTTTTGAGCGTTTTGGTCGTTTTGGTCCGCTAGCTCTGTCGCGTCAGAGGCGTAGGCGGTGAGTCGAGTCTCGACAGCTCTGCAGCATCTGCATTGTCTGGCATCATGAGGTCAGGACTGCCCGTTGCATCGTCGACTATTGTCCATGCATTGTCACCATGTTCAGGATCCCACAACGGCTCCCAACACCTCGATCCTCATCACCTTCTCAGTTCCGTCTCACAACGCGAGCTGAGACATGGAGCAGGGGACGCTTCCGGAGTGGGCCTCATCTTTGCAATCCCGTTCTCCGTCCGTGGTGATTCACTGATTACCGACTAGCTGCACTATGCCGTTTGTGGTACTCGACGTTTGTGCTAACTCGACGAGTCGGTGTTCTTGGACCGCGTTCGCAGCGCACAAACAAACACAGTGCAGCAGGCTCCATCGGGGAACACATCGTTCAAACAAAGTATTGTTTCGTTGTATTCGTGGTATGCTAGTAGTGGTACAATCCCCAACCTATGCCAGCCCAGTTACCAGTTTCCGTTCCCCAGCCGAGGCCGAAAACACACGCCCCAAACGCCATCCTTGATCATGTAATGTCCTGTGAACCGCCAAACTCCCCTCCGATCCGTTGCGTCTCGAGTTGTTAATCATCTATCGGGTGGTGAAGTCGATCTCATTGGCAGGGTTGAAGGAGCCGTCGGCAGCCTTCTCGCAAGTGCAAGCGTCTGGAAACCAGGTCAGCGGGACAATCTCAGCAACACAGCGACGGGCGCACACGTACCAGCTGGTCGGGAACCGCACGAGCACGCGGAGCCCGAGAAGGAGTTCTCGGAAGCGGCGCGGTCGCAGGTGCACTCGCCGGCGGGGCGGGCGCGGCACGAGCATCGCGGGCCGCTGATGGTGTTCTCGTCGGTGGCCTTGGCGCAGGTGCACTGAAGAGCAGACTTCTGGCCGCAAGAGCAGGTTGCTTGTTTGGCTGGAGAATCCCCCGTGTTAGTGGATCGTGTTCATGGGGTTGCGCGGAGGTTACTTACCACAGGCGCACTCGGAGGTGCCCTTGGCGCAGCAGGTGGAAGCCTTGATAGTCATAGTGATGGAGGTGGATTTGGTGAAGTTGAAGTGAAGTTGAAGTGATTCTGTCGGTGAGAGTTGAAGGATTGATAGTTTGATGAATGGCTGGTGAATGAACCTTTTGTCATCCGGGCTCTCCAACTTATTTGTACCTGAGAGCCATGGGTCCACATTCAATGAAGGTTCGCCGCTCCCGGTCTCGATGCCAGTAATCGCCTGCGCTCTGATTGGCCAAAATCATTGATGACCACCCATCTGGCCAATCAGCGATTGCTTATTTCCAACATTTGCCATCAACTACTGACGGACTCCATCGCGATTCATGCTGTCATGGTTCATCGAATAAGAGCCACCGTCATGGCGTGTCAGCATTTGATAGTCTAGCCTTGGGTCAAGTTCCCACAGGAACTAGTTGCCTGTTGATGCTAAGTTTGTCAGAGCGCCCGCGGAATGACAATTGATTACACCGCAACTCTGAAAGCTATGTTCTCAGCTTGATCCCCGAGACGAAGTGGAAGTGACCGCATTCATTTGAAGAGCAACATGTCATGATTGCCACTCAACAACATGTTCAACTTATGTTCGACTACTCAGCTACGTGTGCAGCACCAGCACTGTCGAGTTCTTGTATCAACTCCCAAGTCTCCCCTCCCAATCTTTCCCTCCATTTCTACCAACCAAGACGCACCAACATTCTCTCCATGCCTAATTGACCATGCAACGATTCCAACACATCCTCCATCGGGAAGCCATCTCCAATCCGGTCCGGAACGTCGCTGTCGGCCGTCATGCCCCTGCGCCAAGCTCGGCCCCACACCGGACACCTCCGATTGCCGGTGCCATCACCCCAGCCCTGGTCATCCGATACCTACCAAGCGCTCCTCTCGCTGACAAGGTTAAAGGCCGCTGTTCGGAAGATGCAAATGATATGTGATTCATTCGGTTCTACTGTCAATAGCCCGTAAAGAATCCGTCGTCAACCATTTCTAACCGAGGGAGCCAAACGTCCGTAATCGGACTCATGCCCTTACCTAATGCCTCGTCTCTGGTCGATAACATCCGAGTCGTCTTATCTATTGCATGCCAATTGCTCTCTCATCTGTACCGCTTGCGTATCACGTAGTTTGCGAATGCACCATTGCACATTGTAAACTCTTAAGCCATTCACAAACACCTCAATCACCATGTCGCAAACCCCGCCAAAATCCACAATCGTCGTCATAGGGTAAAGTGCTCTTCCTTGACCAAGTCACTACACCATGATCTTGTCTAACGGTTGTGCCTAGAGCTGGAATTATCGGCCTCACAAGCGCCCTAAAGATCCAACAACTTCTTTCAGAACGCGACTCAAGCTGCACTACGGATGTTCTTCTGGTCGCGCGAGAATGGCCCACCTCGATTCCCGGAGCTCCGATCCAGCACTCCGCCGACTACGCCTCCATGTGGGCGGGCGCGCATGTGCGACCCATCCCAGGATCGACTCCCCAATTGCGCCGCGAGGCAAAATGGCTCAAACAAACCATGGTCGAGTTCGAGCGCCATCTCGAGAGCGACCCGTCGGCCGGGATTAGTCAGGTTGCGGGAGTCGAATACCTCGGGACGTCGCCTCCAGAATACGAGGAACAGGATGCCGAGACGTTTACTAGGGAATCTGGATTGCTCGGCTACCGAAAGTATCCGGCTAGTGAGCTACCAGAAGGGATTCGCTTCGGATTTGAGTACCAGACGTACTGCATCAACTCACCCTTGTACTGCGGCAATCTCTTGCGTAAATTCATCCTCCACGGGGGACGGACCCTGCAACGCGACATCAAGAGTCCATGGGAGCCATACAGCTGGGGTTCACACATAAAAGCTGTCATCAATGCGAGTGGTGTGGGATTCGGAGATCCCAAGTGTTATCCCATTCGAGGTTCGCTATACTATCCGTGTTTAATACCCTATTGTCATTACGGCATCAATAGGGCTTGGAGGACGTTGCTAACGAGATACACCATAGGTCACATACTGTTAACAAATCTCTCATCGGCAGTCAAAACTATCACTGCACAGAACTCGGATGGGTCATGGAGCTTCGTTATCCCTCGTGGATTCAACGGAGGGACGGTCATTGGGGGTACGAAAGAGATCAATGACTGGTCTCTGGAGCCGTCTTTGGACACACGCCGTCGTATTCTGGAGGCTGCCAAGCGCATCATTCCAGAATCGTGCAACCAACCAGTCGGGGTTGAATCAGCCGAGTTGGCAAATATCCAGGTCATCGCAGACATTGTCGGACGTCGTCCTGCCCGAGATGGAGGCATGAGGGTCGAGACGGAAACAAGAGATAGCGCGGTGGGGAGTCAGCACGTCGTACATGCGTATGGTGCAGGAGGACGTGGCTACGAGCTTTCATGGGGTATTGCGAATGAGGTGCAGCAACTTGTGCGTGAGGTTTTGTCACCTGTGACTACGAGGTCAAAGTTATAGACACTTTGTGATACTCTGTGTGTGCTAGGGTATTTCAGTGGTCATCAATATGGACAAACTTCATGTCGAGATTCAGTATCCAAACATCTACGTCCGCTTCGTCTCAACCGAAATCGTCGGCAGATATTTGAGACGTAGCTTGGGGCCTGGAGAAAAGCTGACTCTCTATGGCGCTTCGGTAGGGTCCCTAGGTAACATTTCAGCTTCTCTTGCAACTAGCGAACTGTGAGCTTTCCGGGAATTGACATACCAGTCAGTGACCAATCTCTCATCCAACGCATCCAATGCAGCCATGTCATCATCCGATAGCTCAAATCCATCAACGCTAGCATTCTCGATCATCCGGTCCTGACGAGTAGACTTGGGCAGCGTCACCAAGTCATGTTGGAGCGACCACCTGAGAACCTGCATTAGCTATCCAGTAGCCCTGAACTTTTTGAATCGGGATGCTCTACTCACTTGACAAAAACCTGAGCAGGTGTGCAGGAATACTTCTTGGCCAGCTCAATGATCTTGGGGTGCCTCATACGCATGGCTCTGGCGAGGGGAGCGTATGCTTCAATGGTGATGTTGTGTTTAGCGCAAGTCTCTCGGATACCCGTCTGGGTGTTGAATGGGTGGACCTCAATTTGGTTGATGACCGGCGGTACTCGCGGATTTGAGGCCATTAGTTCTTCGATCTGGACATTGTTAGATGTTTTCTCTGATGAACAGCAAAGATTTGGCTCACATGCGCAACGCCGTAATTGCTCACTCCAGCCATCTTGACTTCGCCCTCTTCAACCGCATCCTCCAACGCCTTCCAACTTGTCAACCGAGCCTCTTTACCACCATAAGGGCTATGAAGCAAGAAAAGATCGATATACTCGAGTCCCGAGGCCGCGACAGAGCCCTTGATTGAGCGCCGCACGGCTTCGTACGACGTCTTGTTGCTGCTAAGCTTCAACGTGTAGAATATGTCCTCGCGTTTGAGTCCCAGGGTGTTTTCGGCACTTGCTAGATAGTCCCTGATAGCTTGTCCAGCTTCTTTCTCGTTGTGGTACATTTGAGCGCAATCGAATCCTCGGTAGCCGAGTGACAAGCCCTCTTTGACTGAGTGCTTGGCTTCCTTGCCGGACATCATGTACAGGCCGAGCTGGACCTGGGGGATTGTCAACCCGTTGGCGAGCTTTCGACGTTAGTAGTTAGCGTTGCTTCTGCCGGTTTTTATGACGTGCTGTGAAGCTATATGCTCGATGGGTACGTACGGTCACTCGGGATGCTAGAAGCGGGGGCGCGGTTGATGCCATAGTGGGCGATTCTGCGATCTGAATGGGTACTGATGGGATATACAACTGATTAAACCCTGCAGAGATGACTTGTGAAAGATTTAGCGATTGAAACACTATGAGAGATGACAACGGAGCGTCAGTTTCCGGTCACCACGATATCGGAAGCGGGGATGGTGGGGCTCAAGACGTCATATCTAGACGGAGGGATTACAGTGAAGATACAGCCCACAAGGATTAGGCAAGTCAGCTTATGAGTTATTGCAGATTAGAATAGTGCGTCAGGTATTTGAAGTCTTTGGAGGAGAAATAGGGGATATTGAAGCTTTGGCATTTTGGCAAGGAGCCCACGGCGGTCACTCAGCCCGACATGTCCCTCTGATCTAGAGCGTCCTACGAAATGAGGATGCTCCAAGCAAAGTCTAGATGAGATGAAAGCGCACTTTCGATGTCTCTTTGCTTCATCATTGGTTTCTGGGCGACTGTGATAGAGGTCGTAGGTTTGACTCGTTCATCGAAACATCTCTGATGAATGTCACCGTCAGTGGAGCCAAGACGTCGCATGCCCAATTCATGCTTAAAATGTAAGGCCACTAGCGAGATAGCCGACCTCTCCCGAGACCACCCATTCGCCGCTTTAGCTAGCCACAACATCATCATCGCATTCTCATCCAATCCAATAGGGCCCAGCTTTCAACAGTCACAAAGCAAGCCCTATAACTTATAGGGTGGGTGGAAAGTCCCGGGGATCAATATCTTTTGCAACAGAATACTTGGTACGGAGAAAGAAAATGCTGGGTTCGATGAGGCGACCAATTGACGACGGCCATGATAAGCGCGGGTGGAGTCTGACAATCTCCAGGTTCCAGCTCTCGGCCGTTGGCAATCAGGCTGAACAACCTTTTTCCTCCATGTTGGCGCTCAGCTGCAATTCTTCCCTTCATCCCTCGCGCGTTACAGAGTCAAGATAAAACGTCTCGGTTCACGGCTAACTCCGTTGACGGCGGCGCGCTGAGAAAGCGGGATAACCACTTCGCGACCCTCGAACGTGAGGCCGGAAGTGACGGCGTCGCAATGAACGCCGAGTCTGAAGCCCACGGTGAGCCGTACGGGTCGAGAGAAGACGATCTATATCAGCAAGCTACATCTGATGAAGAGGCCCAGCTGTTACGCCCAGATCAATTCGATTACCAAGAATCCGAAGATGCCGAGAGCCAGCGTCCTCCGCCACGAGACCGTCCAAAGTTCCTCCAGCGGCTTTCAGGACCTGATCCGCCCCGGATCCAATCGATTAAGCCGTTCTTTCCGTCAATCCAGCAATATCCCGTTCATTTTCTCGACCGCTTCTTCGCCAGCAAGAAACGCAAGTTCATCTTGCTAACCACCTTCTTACTGCTCTGGGTATCTGCCTTCTCAATTCCCCTGGCGACTGGCAGCCGCGCTCTCAAGGATGGCTCGGACGACTACGTCCTGAACCTAGACTGCGTCGACACCCTCTGGAGGCGCAAGAACTTCTGCGGCCTGGACGGCCTGGACTGCCGCCCCTTCACCAACAGCTCCTTTGCGTTCCGATGTCCTGCGAATTGCGCCGGCGTCCGGGTTTTGAACCCTCGTGCCGTCGGGCCGTTGGACGTGAACTACCGACCGTTAGTTATTGGCGATAGCGTCTACCGCCCCGACTCGTTCATCTGTGGCTCTGCGATCCATGCTGGTGTTGTGACGGATAGCAAGGGGGGCTGTGGCCGGGTGAGGAAAGCTGGCGGGCAGGAGGGATTCTCGAGTGTTCGTAGGAACGGCATTGAGTCGATTCCCTTTGACTCGTATTTTCCATCTTCGTTCGACTTTTCTTCGGATGAACACATCGCCTGTAGCGAGGACCCGCGACAAGTCCTGCTCTACATCTCACTCTTCTTCACCATCGTCTTCTCGCTATTCACAACATCCCCGTCCCTGCAATTCTTCATCGTCTTCACCGCGCTCTTCGCCCATGTCGGCCTTGTATCCGATCCGCCTGGCGCCTCACACCTCAACACTTCTCCGCTCCCGGATCACATCTCGAGGATGGTCGGGAGATTCCTACCCGCTGCCTTTTGCGCCGTCATCATATACCAAACCAGTGTTTCTAGAGCATTGAAGGGCCTGGAAGCGCAGCTTGAGAAGGTCCTGCTCTGGTTGGGAGGGTTCTGGTTCGGCGCTCTCTCCAACTACACGCTGGACTGGATCCCCATCAGTCGCCTCACGGCTCATGACTTGCAACAGCAAGCAGGAGCCAAAGTTGCACTGGCCGTCATCATCTGCATTCTCACCGCCATCATATGTCAGCAAGTGTATACCTTTTGGTTGGAGGGACGTGTGCTTCACTTTCTGGCGCTCTACGGGCTCTTCATCCTGGGAATCGTCTTCTTTGTGGCCATGCCAAACATCAACCTTCGCATTCATCACTACATTCTGGCCTTGTTGTTGCTTCCTGGCACGAGCGTGCAGACCCGATCATCATTATTATACCAAGGCATCCTTCTCGGCCTTTTCGTCAATGGGATCGCTCGATGGGGATTTGATTCTCTCCTGCAAACATCAGCCGCCCTCCGCGGGGACGCATTATTCGACGGCTTGGTCCCCGCTATAAACGCGTCGGCCATCGAATCGACGCCGACCGGGTTCAATATCACCTTCTCGTGGGAAGCGCCGCCGACGCCGACGTTTGATGGCATTAGTGTGCTTGTCAACGATGTCGAGCGGTATCGGCGCTTCTTCCCTGACACGGCTTTGGCGTATAATTTCACATGGACGCGACTCTTGGATTTGGGGTTGCCGGAATATTTCAGATTTGCGTACATGAGGGATGGGACAACAATGGATTACACAGGAGCAGGTACTTGGTTTGCTAATGGGAGTTGGGCTATGAAGGGATCATAGAAAACTAGATAGTTACTCAATTGAGCTTGATTGTTGCAGTTTACATGCCTATACTTCATTCTCCTCGACAAGTTACAGCAGCTGTCTACGTTTATTCTGCGCTTCCAGACCCCACTGACTGAGGGTGGGCAGCTAACGAGACTCACTCCAGAGTCCAGAAGTCCAAGTCTCACATAAGAATCAAGATTGAGTGTTCCAACTGATGCGACGTATCACGGCCCACGAGGCATCTGGATATAAATAGCCGTCGATTCACGACAAAACGCGCCACGACAGCGTTGGTGCCGCTCATTGTGCCTGTATTATAATCTCAACCATGGGCTCCGGCAGCACATGCCATATAAGAGAAGCCAACTCCCCTTCGTCTGAGATTTCGTGTATATATAATCATATAACTTCGGTACGTTTCCTTAATTCCTAACACTTCAAGAATTAGACGTGCGACACAGCGCACGGGGGGTATTACAAGTATAACTACAAATACAAATACAATCAGGCACAGCCTGATATGGGCTCGTCGACGAATTACCGTCCGTCCCTCATCACTCATTGCCCGTTGAAACCCGTGAATCCGTTATCAATCCCGCCAAAGCCCTGCGGGTACATCTGCGGCATCCAGCCCATGTACTCGGTCTGCGGCGTCAGCCCACCGGGCTGCACGAACTGGTCGGGCAGGCCCATGGTGCCGTCGTCCATGGCCGGGTATATCACGCCGTTGTTCCACGCCTGGACGGCGGCGGGGTCCATCGCGGCCGCCGTGATGCCGAGCGGCGCCATGGCCGGCTGCTGCGGCTGCATCAGCGGCTCGTCGAAGGTGCCCGGCATCGACGTCGCGGGCAGCACTTCGCGGACCGTCTCCGGGACCAAGCTGCTGCCGCGGCGCTGGACGCCCTTGACGGTTCGGATGCTGTCTCGGGGCCCGAAGCCGAGGCCCACGCCCATGACGCTGCCGCTCTCTTCGGAGCCGTCGTCCATGACGACGCCAGAGTCGGGTCGGGGTTGGATTCCCCGGCTCTTGCGCTGGACGATGGTCTGGGGGGCTTGCGTCTTGACGATCTCGCTCTTCTTGTTGCTTCGGTTGGTGTATGGCATGCTCTGTGCGTCTGCGATGCACTTTTCGAGCGTTTCGATGAAGCACTGGTGGAACTTGGTCGACAGCGTTTCGAGGGTTGCCGGGTTGGAGATCTTGTCGCGAAGAGACAATTGCAGTTGCTCGAAGCCAACCAGATAGTTTGATGAGAGCTCGAAATGCTCAATGACGGGGGTAAAGTCTGACCAGTTAGTACGTTTGGAACATTCACTTTTGAAGAGCGCTTACCGTAGGTTTTGATTTCTCGGTCCTCGTCGTCTGGGAAGAGGATGTTCCAGATCTCCCTCCACTGGATCCCAGTCGACGCACCACTGGCGCGCTTTCGGCTCAGCAGCTTCGTGGCAGTGGTCGAGTCAATGCCGCTCTCTACATCGTGGTCGGTGATGTCGCAAATGAGCTCCTTTGGTAGGCGTCGGTGGTCTCGGAGTTCCTTTCCCGTCGGAAAGTCGCGGTTGCATCTGTCGCAGACAAAGGCGGTCGGGTCATCCCGTTTATGTTGCTTGACAATGTGTTGTCTGTGGATGTTAGCAATGTGACTCTAGGCCAATGAGATACGCAACTCACCTCAGCTCTGCGAATTTGGGAAAGTAGGTCATGGCGCAACTGTGATGATCTCTCACGTTGAACCGGTGAGGGTTCCGCTTTCTAAACGGGCAGCTCAGGCGGAGATTCTCGTCTTCGCGAGGATTCGGGCGCGCGCGCTTGGCAGGCAGGAAGCCGGATCCTTCGCCGTCGCTGAACTCGTCGCCATCGTCGTCGCGTTTTCCCAGCTTCTTCCGCTTGCCTCCCCGTCGCGGGTCCCCTCCCACGCCCTCCTGCGATGGGGTCGACGATGAGCTTGAGGTCGACATGGTGTGGGATAGTTGAGTGTCTGACGGGGCCTTCCAGATGTGCTTGTCGATGTCTTGGACAAAGTTGGCCACGACGGTGTGGGCGGCCGCTGGGGAAATGGAGGCTTCGTTGATATCAATGCCGTAGACGAGCTGCAGCGCGTAGCCGAGGAGCATGTCGGCGTCGTCTCTGGAGAGGTCGTCGGAGGTTGTAGAGCTGCCCTCCCATTTCTGCGTGTTGGCGTCGCATTCCTCGTCGGCATCTTCATCGAGGTCGGCGTCAGCATCGGCGTCGGCAATGTCAAGAGACTCGACCTCGGTGCGAGTGTCTTCCTCCTTGATGGGCGACTCAGTGGCAGGGCTGATCACTGTTAGCGACGAGGATCTGCGAGGACCGCAAGGAATCCAGGCGCGCGCTCACCTAACGGGGTGCGACTCTCCGATGATGGCGGTCGGGCGGTGGTGGTCGTCGCGCAACTGGCGCAGCTTCAGCTCAAAGTCCGGGTAGCCGGTGATGATGGGGCCGTCGTCTTCATCGTTGACAAAGGTCGAGCAGGTTCCGTTGGAGGGTTGGTGGCGGTGGCAGATGCGGCTGGCGGGCCTGGAGCCGATGCTGGCGGATGCGAATAGTTCCTGGACGTCGGAGGCGTAGCTGGTGCTGATGGGGCTTGCCAGCGTCGAGAGCGAATGCGTCGTCGCGGAATCGGGGACGTTGGCGGACGAGATGCTGCTCATGGAGGACTCGGTGGGCGATCGCAGGCGGAACGCTCCAGGGGCGAAATGGAGGCTCTCGGGGACTCGCTTCGGGCGCGCATCGCTCCTCAGGCCGAGGGTTGGGAACTTGGAGAGGGTTGGGTCGCTGTGGCGCACATCGCGATCGCGGATCCGGAGGGGAAGGTGGTGAAGGCCAGTTTCCGGGAATCGGAGTGGTTCCGACATTGGGGCGGGCGGGTTATTTATTGTGTGATGGCGATGGTGATGTTTGTTTGGTAGAGATGGTAGATGGTGGATGGTGGATGGTAGACGGTAAACGGGGGGATGGCGGATTGGCCGGGGTGAGATTGTCTCTGAAAGAAAGGACGACACCTGCCGGGTTTAATGAAACAGACTCCAAGGGAAACAATGCAACGTCAATTGCTTGAGGACTCGGACCACAGAAAGGACTGGGCGGGTGTGATTTGAAGGAGTGTGTGTGTGTGTGTGTGTGTCTCATCAACTTGGGGATGAGAGAGAAGAGAGAGAGAGAGAGAGCGTGGGTGTCAACAGGGAAAAGGGAAAGGGAAAAAAGGAAACTATTGAGCCAGGCAGCTGGAACCAGAAACACACAGCGGCCAACTGCGAGATAAAGAAGGGTTGAATAGCGAAGAAATCTACGCTGGTTTCCGTCCTGTCGCCCGTCATCCATCATCCGTCATCTCAAGGTCCCCCCGCGAAGACCGGCTGCCTCGCTGCCTCGCTGCCTCACCTGCGCAGAATGGGAGCTGCTGCTGCATGTCACAGGGGGGCGGAGCCATCTCCGCCATAGCCCGGACGCCCGTAGCCTCTGTGAGTGGCCTGCGCGCCGTTGCAAACCCACTCGCGGGGTGCTAGAAGGGAATCTATCCCTGGCGAGGCCATCCCTGTCGCGCGCTGATTCGCTCGTGATGGCCGCTGTTCCACGGGCAGAGTTGATGCGAGGCAGATGGTCTCATGGCGCGCGAGTGGCCTGGTCAGCCCTACAGTTCGCCAGGAACCAGCGCCAGCTCGAAGCCTCAAACAACTGGTTCACTGGTTCAGCCTAAAAGGGGGAGATGGAAGAATGTCTCGAGTCTAAGATTCCATTGGCCATGGGAGAAGCTGTTTCAGGGCTCTGAGCACCTCTCACACTCAAACATGTTTGAGAGTGAGTCCATCCATCTGCATCATGACGGTGGCCATTGGGAGTCGACCCCCGGCCTGGCCGAGCCGCTCACAGGAATGGCCATGACCAACAAGGTGGCATGTTTTGTCCTAGGTCAGAAGAGGAAGCCAGAAGAGCAAGTCGGAAAAGGAAAGTGAGAAAGAGAGAGAAAGAGACCGAGTCTCCGCAACTCCTGATGGAGGGTATGGGAACCTATTATTGGTCGTATTGCAAGGGGCGACGGCCTAATTAACGCCAAACTAATCATTGCGCCCGGCCCCCACAGACTCAATCAGGCAGAAACGACGGACGGATATAATTAGCCCTTGCTTAGAGATGATCACTCTGTAAATGGAAAAAGGTCAAAGATGATCGTTTTCCAGCTAGTGTTGTTACCGCACTGACAATAAGTTACAAGATGTTTTACACACGGCTTCAGCAATCTCGTCCATCATGCCGCGCCGGCCCGTGTCCCGTAGTCTAATATTACACCTGCATCGTCTTAGAACAAGCTCACCAACACCAACGAAGCCACCAGCGCGACGTCCAGGGCACCAGGTGCACCCGCTGCCACGCTGGCCGCACTCGTCTTCTTCTCCGGGGCGGGGTGTACCTTGGTCAACGTGACGTTGAAGGCCGGGCTCTGGACCGTCTTGGCCTCGCCCTCGCTCTGCGCGAAGACGAACTCGTCCAGGCTGAGGAAGTCGTACGTCTGCCGGTCCTGCGAGAACCACGTATGGCAGCTGCCGTTCTTGAAGAAAAGCTGGCTGTCGAGCGCCGCGTTCGCCGTCGAGTTTGTAAAGTCGAAGACGGCCCGCCATGCAACCTGGTTTTTGTTCCGCAGGTTGGTCGGGTACACGCGAGCCGACACGGGAGGCGAGCTGTTGACCTTGCCCGTCTCCAACGTGGCCCAAGAGTAACCGCCAATGTTCTTGAGCACGTTGTATCCGTGCACCGTCCATTCGGAAATGACCAGCCCGGGGCCGCCGTCCATCGTAATGGTGATGCTGGAGTTGGTTGACTGCTCCGTGTACTTGCCCACGTACGACGCCTTGGCCTGCTCCCGGCCCGCGGCCTCGATCGCTGGCAGCAGGTTCTGGATGACGGCGCTAAAGGCGATGGCACTGAAGGGGTCGGATGTAGCCTCGGCGCCCGCCATCATGACGGTGACGACGAGGTCGTAGTCCGGGACGAGGCCGGTCAGAGCGCTGTACAGTCCGATATCGCCGCTCTTGGTGTAGACGTCAATCAGGCGGCCGTCAGAAGTAATATTGTCACTGCGCAGGATCTCCCACGGGTGCCCAATCATGTAGCCCCACGAAGCAGTAGAAGAAGCCGGCTTCATCCACCTGCGAGTCTCCATGGGAGAGAGGAGCTTGTTGGTGAGGATGGCCTCTCCGAAAGCCTGCAAGTCGCCCAGGGACGAGTACATTCCACCAGCCCTGTCATCGTCAGCAACGCGTTGGGTAAGATTCACGGCAGGCAGACTCACGAGCTGAAAACCCCGGTGGAAGAGTTCCAGATGCTCTCACCCTCGGGGATAAAGATATCCTTGGCAGAAGGAGCCTCGCCGGTGGAGGAGTGCTGCATGCCCACGACGTCCAAGATGTCGCGGGTGACAACCTCGTCGAAAGTCTTGTTGCTCGCGGCTTCGACAACGAGACCCAGCATGGCGATGCCAATGTTGGAGTAGACGGGCGTCGTATAGGGCGAGTAAACGGGAGGGCGGCGGTTGACCTGGTCGAGAAGATCTTCCTTGGTGCAGGCCGTCGTTCCAGGGAGACCAGAGCAATTTGGGCCATTCTTCGCAGCGAACTCGGGGAGGCCCATCTTTACCCATACCTCGGAACCGACAAGACCAAGATCCTGGGCCACTGTGCGCAGTTAGTATCAAGCCACATGCTACGGGAGAATGAAATGTGCCCACAATCAGCACCGACGCCTGAGAGATGCCCGGCTAGACTAGCAACGGTGATTTCTGCCCAGTCCAAAGAGAAAATCAGATCATCTACACCTGTCTCGTTCAGCTGAGGCAGGTACTTCAGCACTGAAGCGTTCATGTCGATGTCTGGATTTTGGAGTGCAGCGAGCACAGTGAACAACTTGGAGACACTGCCGATTCTGTACACGGTGTTGTCGCCGACTTTCTGGGCACCCGATCCGGGATTGGGTGGTGTGAAGTGGTAGGTGAAGAGGGGCTCATCCTCGTGAATCGACTTGACGCCGATGGACATGGCAGAGGTCTCGAAAAGAGAAGATATTTGCTCGTCTAGAGTGTCCTTCAGCGCTGAAGCCGCGCTCTTGACGCCTTTGTTCTGGCTTGGGGCCTGAGGGGCTGGGAAGACGGCTCCCATGGGGGGACACGCCTTTGCATCGGCGAGGGCAAAGGCACCGACGGCCAAGACGGCCAGCTTGGACAGGGACGGCATTATGGTGGAAGCTAAAACAGAAAGGCGGAGAATCAAGAAAAGAGGGCAGTGGCAATGAGAATGAGGAAATGAATTGCTTGTGAGAGTTGTTGAGGATGTTGGATGGCTGGATGCTGGATGGTTCACGCCAACCAGGACAAGCTCTTCATATTATATAGACTCAGGTTCTCAACGGATCAACAAGTTTAACTGCAAGAACACCATCGTAAGGCCCCATGAAGCTAGAACGCAAGTCTAAACTCTCGCCGAGCAGACTAGTTAGATCAAACGAGGCGATCTCCATCTCCATAGTGAACAACAGCACGAGCTTGTGCCCCTAAGCCTCCCTCCGCAATTTGAAGAGTCCGTGTAGGCCTTGCGAGGCACTCGCGGCGGACGTATTCCATCAGCCGGCATTCCATCGTCGGTTTGAACGCGCAGACCCAATCTCGGACCCGGGAGTGCGAGCTCACGGCGGTGGGGAATCGCCGGCGTCCGCGGTTGTCGGGTGCGGGAGTGTGGGGATCGCCGCTGGAGGAGTCCGAGGTGTCGAGTCCGAGCGGACCAATGAGGGCTTCGTTTGGGAGTGCGAGGGGAGCGTTGCAGCGGGAGGCGGAGCAGAGTGGAGTTGGGTGGGATGCGTGTTGTAGTAGGGCTGAGGATGCCAGTTGCTCCAAGATTTGATCATTAATGCACAGTTGATGATGCTTTTCGTATCGTATTGGCTCTTGGGGTTGCTTTTAATTGAAAGGATGAGTGGTAATTTGGACACTTCAAACATGCTGAGGGTAGAGTGTCACGGCCAGGTTCAAGGGCACTACTCGTCGGTACAGAATCAGTTGCTACGTGAAATTCCAGTAAATTATGTCGTCAAACTTCAATTACTCGTTTCAGCCCTAATAAATCGTTACTATCCCCCTGTGAGTTGATCATCGTGAGGCAGTGTCTTGTCTAAGAGAGACACCTCGCCAGCATCCCGCTTCAAAGACAGCTAGACAGCTCAGCCCAGGTCTATTCGGCAACATCCGCATCTAGAATAGCACATACCCAGTGAATTCCAGGGCCCATCCTTCCATCAGCCTATCATTTACTTCCCTTCCCTCTTGTACCAGCGAGAAGCCCTGATTGCTGGGCCCAAACCACCCCGCCATGACATGGACAAGGGCTCGTCTCACCTCGCCTCCGCCACCCAGCGCGCGCCTAAACAAGCAAATACAGGGGCAGCGCCAGGGACAGCGCCTCGCTACAGCCCTGCTGCGACGCTCCTTTGGGGCTGCGCAGGGCTAGAGATGGAAGTCGTGTGGAGGATCGTCGCCCTGGTCTTGTACAATTACACCGCGTCGTCCCGAGCAAAAGCCAGGAATTTATCCATAACCGGGATCTTAAGTGAATCGCACATCGACTTCTGCTGCGACTGCCGGAAGCCCACTTGCTCGTGGTTTCTTTTTATTCCCCTTGGTCCGCTCGGACTTGGTCTCTCGCACTCTCGCACTCCACGTTCCTGGTCGTCATCGGCATCGTCACTTCATTCAACTCCGCATCATCAAAGTCGTAACACCACTCTCAATGATCTCCCTACCACACCGGGCCACCTCGTCCTCGCCCTCGCCCTCGCCGAAAGCCTCCGGCCGCAAGGGGAGCAAAAAGGTGCGCACCGGATGCATCACTTGCAAGTCAGTCCCGCCCACTCCCCTTATAACCACGCCCGACCCCCCTCCCACTGACACCAGCCGCAGAATCCGCAAGGTCAAGTGCGACGAAGCCAAGCCGCATTGTCTGCGCTGCGTCCGCACCGGCCGCAAGTGCGACGGCTACCGGGAGAGCACGCGCTCCACTCCGGAGCCGCTCGCCCTCAGCCCCGTGCCCGGGCTCGGCTTCGGCTCCGACCGGGAGGCCCACGCCTTTGACTACTACCGCGCCCGCTCCGCCAAGATCCTCTCCGGCGCTATCGATGCCGGCTTCTGGGGCGGCCTGGTCCTCAAGCTGAGCGCGACCGAGCCCGCTGTGCGACATGCCATCCTCGCCGTCAGCAGTTTGCATGAGTGTGTCGAGGTCAAGAACACCACGGGCCGCGAGCTAGATAGGAGCTTTGCCTTCCGTGAGTACGGCAACGCCATCCGCTCGCTGCGCAACTGGGCTCAGCGCGACGAGCACTCAGCTATCCCCCTGCTCGTCTGCATCCTCTTCGTCTGCATCGAGTTCCTCGCCGACCGCGATTCCGCATCCCAGATGCACATCATCCAGGGCCGCAAGATCCTCTCCGGCCTTGCCGACGGCCACTCGCCCGCCATGGAACTCATCAAGCAGTCGCTTGTCCCGATATATGCCCGCCTGAGCCTCGCGAGTTTCCTGTTCGGGGCCCGGCCCGCGAGCATCCCGGCCCATCTCAAGAGCTGGACCGAGGTGCCCGCCGTATTCACGTCCATAGAGGAAGCCAGATGCGGTCTCTATCTTCTCCTCGACGAAGGGCTGCAGTTTAGTACCGCCGCGAATTCGGTGGCCTTCGACCCTGCCACCGATGCTGAGGCCATGTACAATCTCCAGCTAGAGCAGCAACGGCTCTTGTCACAGTTGACCCGCTGGCACGCAGCCTTTACCGTCTTCACGTCCATGACTCCTCAGTCGCCGGCCTCGGAAAACGTACAAAACCTCCTTCGAGTCTACTACAACTCCAGTTTCGTCTGGATATCCACCTCGCTCCGGCGCGACGAGCTTGCCTTCGACGCCCACCTCCCGGCCTTTTCCGCCATCATCTCGCTCGCATCTTCCATCATCAACTCTCTGCCACCCAACGCCAAGATGGAGGCCTTCTCGTTCGAGACGGAACTGGTAGCTCCCGTCTACTGGACCGTCACCAAGTGCCGTCACCCCTTGTTGCGGCGGGCAGCGTTAAAACTCTTGACCCGAGACCAGATGCGGAACCGGAGAGAGAACTTGTGGCATGTCCGGGAGGCGGTTGTTGTTTCTGCTCGTGTCATTGAGAAGGAAGAGGCAGGTTTCGGGGATGGATTCTCCATGTCGACGTCCCCAGACATCTCCGAAAGCAGCTCAGACGGCTCGTCGTATTCCAGCAGCACTCGATCAGGCTCCATGGAGCGGCAGACGTCTCCATCACTGAAAGTCGCCGTGACAAAGCCACCGTCTCTTACTCCCCCACCGCCCTCATTCACGGACCCCATGTCGGGAGAAGAATCCGGAGACGGTTTCAGCCCCGAGCCCTCTGCTTCACCACGCTTCTCTGATGAGCCGACATCACCAACAAACATAGCTGCCGAAGCCATGCAGCAGCTAGAACTCTCGACCGTCAGGCCAGACACGCTGGAGTCGCCTTTTGGGGTTCCTGAATCTCGACGTATCAAAAATGCTGTTATTGGCCCGGCAGTAGATCACGGAGTATGGGTGACCTTCTTTAAAGATCCTGAGCCAGGAGAGGCAGAATGGAATGTCACTAGAGAGTTTCTGAGGTGCTAGTTAGAGTTGATGTCCTGCGAGGAATGTGGTGGTCTTTTGTTGGATAGAAGCGTGCGTCATCATTTTAAATATACCCCAAAGTATTCCCCGAACCAATATCGACCGCAACTATGGTATCAATTGTAAAAAGTTTGCTACGGTGAATCCATGTTTATCCTCTCCGTTGACATCTGGTTTTGAACATTAAGTAGGTAGATCAACCCGCCTTGTCTGGATACTTGTATCAAAACACTGGTGGTAGCAACTCTGCATCGGCTTTAACGTTTTGGATAACCATATCTACGGCACAACATACACTTGAGGATGACACCCCTCGAGTCTGGTTCGCGGCGGCGTAAGCGGTGATACGACAATCTTCCCAGCTCGCGTTCCTATTGCGCCTGTGATCGACGGTATGACCCCACAGCGCCAGTATTGCATTTTATCCATCCATCTTAGTCAAAATAGTGTCTCCTCGACATAACTAGACCTCTCCGATTCTATATCATGGCTGCCTGTCTCACGCCGTTCTACTGTGGACCAGCGTACATTTGCGGGGGGCACAAAGCTCCGGCGACTCAGTCTCTGTATTCCTTGCAATCAATGAGGCTTAAAGCTAACATACGGTCGGGCATGGTTATTTGCCGATATCCCCCCTCAACAAGTCCATGTCGAAGTATCAGCTAATCTAGACGATGCCAGAACGTCTTTCGGCGCGGATGTTTCTACGTCGAGCACGCAAGGCGCTACTGCTGTCGGTATACAGCCTTGCAAAAGAGAAAGATAAGGTCTGGGAAGTAGATAGTTATACTAGACGCTGGTAGAGGTATAAGTTATCTCGTCATGCAATTAGCAGCCGACATATTCAGGCAAAAAGTCATCGGAATCAATTAAGCTGACAAAGAAGATCGTATTAAATTGAGTAGAGCAGAGATATTACTTAATACTATAAAAGCCTGCCAAGATCTATTAGCAGAAGTAAAGTAGTACTCCAAAAGATTAGGCGTGCACATCGTTATTCTGTGTGCGGCTAGAAATATCGCGTACGCCCAAGGTGTGGACTTTCTACGACCTGGTGGTATTATGGTTGGGATCGGGATGCCAAGCGGTGGCCCTGCACCAATTGCGACGGCAATGTCGAGCCTGATGGTTCAGAAGCAGCTCAAAATTGTTCTCAATCTTGGGGAATCTGCAGGACGCTATCAATGTCCTGGAGCTGGCTGCAAGGGAGTTTATCACATTGCATCATGAGGTGAGGAAGTTGGGCGACCTGACCGACATATTTCGCGATATGGACAGCGGATCTGTAGCAGGAAGATTGGTATTGGACTTGCGCAACTAATAAGCACAGAGTTAGATAAATCAAGGTCACCATGCCATATCGACCAAGGTTGTTGAATTTATTGAACTCTAGTTCTGTACCAACTTCGGGATGACAGCTCTCCTAGGTTGTGTGCTATTCGTGCCTGTCATTGTCCTTCATGGCCAGTGGTCCTTACATGTCTTCTCATTTCCAAACTGGTGCCGGCAAGTCGGATCGTATGTGGCATTACCATAGGCGTCGCCTCCGTAAACAAGATACCCTTGGCTTTCATCAAGAGGCATCTCGAGGATTTCCGGCGCAGTACCAATAACCCAGGCAGATTGCATCCCTGTCAGAAGAGAGTTAGCTCTTGTGCTATCGGGAATATCAGAAAGTTAAGCAATTCCTACCCATGACCATGTGCTGCAACGTATGGCAATGGATCATCCATACGCCCGGCTGCTTCACCCGTATCCGCCACGCCCGCCAGCCAGCGGGAGCTCCAGCTCCAGCGGCTGTGGCCAGCTCATATCGGTATAGCATTGTGGTGTCTCTTTGGACAACTCTGTAACCCATGCCGGCGAGCTTCTTCTCGTTTGCCTCGGCATCGTAGGTGCCATTCCCGCTGCCGATGTCGTAGAAGTGCTGTCCGTGGGCATGGAAAGGGTGCGCATCCAGTTTACCGGGGCTGGATAGCGATCCCCTATTCTGGAACACGATCTCGAGCACTTCCCCCACCTTGGCCGGAAACGCCTTTGTCTTGGGATCCCATCCGTTGTTTCTCAGCGCGGCATCATAGTCCGGCATGGCGGCCTCGCCGTTCTGGTAAATATCAACCAGCAAGGGCTTTTGGAGTATTTTATCCGTCCAGGACAAACCTGCTAGGCGCCATACCAACTGATTGCTGTTTGGGTCCGTCATCTGAACCGCGTCCATTATCACACGGCGAGTGACCTCGGCGAGAGTGGGAACGCTGACAGGCTTCGGATAGAGGGGATGCAATTGATACTCCAGCCAGTCGTATGTGGTGTTTGGGAGGCTGAGTGGCGCCTGAACAGGATATTCAGGCAACGGAGCTGAATCTGAGTAACGGAGCACTGCGTAGCCACGATAGACAGTCGGTCTGTCACGAGTCTCAAACTGGAGAAAATATGTCTTCCTCTTCTCTGCCTTTAGTTGCTTTTTTGTTTTGGCCACGAATAGCGCGTCAAACCGTTGCCCAGATGCCAGCTGAATCCGATCAACGGGTGCTGGTTTCGTCCACTCGCCGCCGTCGACTTGGATAATTGAGAGATGGTCGTGCCCCTCGAACCCCATACTCAGCAAAGATAAGCCAGTCGATCCTATGAAGCGAAAGCGGTATGTTTTGCCGGGAGAGACGTCGATGACGGGCAGTGTGCAGGACGCAACTCCCGTCGGGTTGTGCCCTATACTGATACCCTGCCCGTTAAGCAAGACGCCTTGCGTTTCACCCGTCCATACAAATGGCACTGCTTCCAAGCCCGCCTCAAGTTGTTCGTCTGTCTGGTTGAAGAAGTCATTCCACTGTAGTATGCGTTCCTCGTCGTAGTGGTAAGGCGGCTTTCCGCAGTCCTCGACGATGAGCGGCCCGCTGGCAGTGATGGCCTGCACGCCGACATGGGAGTGGTAGAAATAAGTGCCCGAGTCACCCAGCTCTGGACGCAGCTCGTAGTCGAAGAAGTGGCCTGGGGGTATTGCCCATTGAGAGCCTTGTGGGCTGCCGTCGGAGAAGACAGCCGTCCGCTGAGCTAGGCCATGCCAATGCTGTCTCTGATTAGTGCCGTGTTCCCCAGCTAGAGCTGCAGATCCTATCCGCTCACCATGGTAAGATTCTGGCTTTCCATGTCATTGTATACTCTAATCCATGTTGTTTCGCCAGGCTTGATGCGGAGCTCTGGTCCAGGAGACGTGCCGTTTACGACGGTTGATAGCCGCGTCTGGCAGGCTACCGCGATGTTTTGTGTAGTGACGCGTAGAATATGATCCAGGTGTACACTGCTGTCGTGTTTGACGAGCTTTGGAGCCACTGGGAGGATCAGCCATTGGAACAAGAGAGCGTAGAAAATGAGGGCGGGCATTTTGGCGGTTTAGGTCGTGGCCCAGTTGTAGAAACACCCAATATCTGAGAAATGACCGAGTCTTTTATTTTCAACAATACGTGAAGCCCTTGCAGGTGGTCCAGGCCACTAGAGTTCAGCTCACCGTTTTCAGGATGAGAAGGCGGCCACTAGGGCAAAGCTTGTGGTACTGTCTTAGTCCGTTAAACCCGATAGCCAATGACTTGGAGCTACGTTGCCGATTGTGTACAACCATGATGATGAAATAGGGAATTGATAGGCATTGGGATTTTGGGGTTTCATCTAAAATAGATTGCTTATGTGAGAGCAACTTTGCATCCTCGGACAATGCCTTCTTACGTTCTTGCCCAACACTGCCCCATGAAGAGTCGAGACTTGACGTCAGAGACATGTTTGATACCACAAAATCATGTAGTAGAAACGGCATTTGAAGCGTCCGAGGTGCGAAGAAGGAATAAGGGCATTATCCTCTAGTGAACCGACCTAGAGCAAACGCCGAGGGCTCCGGCAATTGCATTTCGGCAATTGAACTCGTAAAACTTAAAATCGGCCGTTTTTGGAGCTCTGGCCTCGGTCTCGGGACCGCTCAGACGTTGATCTCATTGGTGGCGCTCATCACTACACCATGCTGAGCAGGTGAGATGCCCAAGTGACTGTTGAAGTAACGGGCTACCTGTCATTCAGGGTGTACACTATTAAATACTACTGGCCATCTCCAACCTATTCTGGGAAAGGTAACGGTAATTGAAGGTGGCTTAGCTTATGACAGACGCGGGCCGACGATCCAACCTAAAACGCACTGCTGACTGTGTTATAACTTAAGCGACAGCCGATAGAGAGGGGTGGGCAATCTTCAGCAGCAGCGCTACAAGATATAACACAGCAGTCTCTAACAATAGCAATTAATTTAAGAAATAATATAACATCCTTCGCGGCGAATACAACTGTATTTGTCAAGATTCTGTGTCGTGAGGAAGATGACCCTTCCAGCTCGACCTAGGAGAACTAAATGTCAGCCCGAAAGTGCTTGAGAGCCTGGTTCATGGGATAGCCAAAGCCATGTCCAGCATGTCCATATATTAAGAGACGAACGTGGCCCGGTCGCCTCGAATGTCTATCCAGACGCTTGAGCAGCTCTCTCGCAAGACCTGGGATATCAACTAGTCTCTTTCGTATCATGGAGTTTCTTTTTTTTCTTCTGGAATTCTAAAAACCAAAGAATATAAATGAGTCCCCACGCCAACATAGGCCAGTTGTAGTAGCCCGAGGCTTGGTTGTCTGTTTGTCCATGGTGCCGGCATAGAGGCGGCTCGACTCTGACCTTGTTTCGTCCAGGGCAAGGAGGCTAACTCGCCAAGTCTGCGCTCGGAGTTGCTGCAACTCACTCGTTGGAGGGGCGTGGTTCTCGAGCATGCTCCAGGTCAACTTATAACAGACTCTGAATCCACTTATTGTCCCTTCTTCATCACTATAGCATCTAACCACATACATCATTACCAGGTAGTCAGGTACGGCGAATTACTACTTCAACTAGGTCCCAAAGCCGAAGCAAGGCTGCTTTGGAAACTTGATTTCTACCACCTTCCAACCGTGGCTGGCTTTGAAAAGATCTCCATCTGGTCGGCTACGACTACAACACCGTCCTGTCAGTCTTCTATATCTCGTACATCCTTTTCGAGATCCCCAGCAATACCTTGTGTAAGTGGGTCAGCCCCGGCTGGTTCATACCGGTCATCTCCCTGGGATTCTGCCTGTGTTTCATATTCACTGCCCGAGTCAAATCGGAGTGCATAGGGACAACCGACGTTCTTGATCGGATGGAAAAGGTCAAGTTCATGCATGGCATCGTCAACCCAAATTCCCAATCACCATTTCCATCTCCTTCATCTTCCTACTCGTCAACGTTACAGTCCAGACACCAGACTTTTTCGCACCAACCGTTGTCAGAACAATCTACCCGACGGCGACAGATGCTCCATGGACGATCTCACTGCCTTGACCGTCTTTTCGGTTTGGTCTATACATGGCGAGAGAATATGCCACAAATATAGTGTTTTAACCATATCTATAATAATCTTAGCAGTCTATCACCTCAATGCAGGCCGTCGTAGCTCAGGAGGTTATCGTATTTTAAAGCACGCCGGAGAAGTCCATGGCCATAATCACATCGCACGCCGGCACTCCAGCAGGTGCCCTAGGTTCGATATCATGTATTCATAACGCAGCTCTAGTCAAGAGCCGCGACCAACTATCTCCAATACTCAGCCATCATAGCCTAGCCACCCCTAAAGCCCTTCCTGAACCTTAATAGGCAAAAATAGCTAAGCAAAGTCGAGGTAATAACGTAAAAGCACCGATCATAGACAACATTTTGGTTCGGTATGCTTCCAAAACTCGCATCAACATGAAAAAAACTCGGGGTTGTCATCGTGTCCTTGCCAGAGGCAACAAAAATGTGCTTATGGAGGCATAGACGGCGTTTGTCACAAGCAACATCCCACCGTCCGCCATTATCAGTGCTCTCTGGCTTTCAAGCTCGATGTTGACTTTCCATGAGTGGCTATCATTGTTGTCCAAGTAAGGGTGAAGATGGTGTTAATCTGGTTCTGTTATCGCCAGCATTGGGATCCTGACCCGGAAGAAAAACTTGCGGGGGAGCAGAGATAGGTCGACTTCTGGTGGAGATCAAACGCATCATCACAACTGACCTCGGAGCAAGATGACGCGTTATAATGGCAACGACGAGGCCCCAGGCAGACGGACTGATTTTCCCAGTTTTTAATGTTGCCAGTAAGCCCAACCTACTTTGGACTGGGCGTTGAAAAAGGGAGCTTGGCTACCCTATATCACTCCCGTTTATGGGTGAGACATGACCAAACCCCACCGCCGTAGGATATCCCTAGGATCTATTAGGAGTGTAGAAGGACTAAAATATCATCGCTGGTGCTGGTCTGATGTTGACATAGTACGGTAGTTGGAGATGATGTGGCTCAATGTCCAGGTGAAAAATCAGCATCGTGGGTATCAATTAATCGTACATCTAAATATCTGACAATCAGCCCCTTGCAACCTCTCTCCTCTGTGGAGCGGATTCTGCAGCGGCCAATTTCCTCCGCTTGTTCCTCTCGTCTTGTTCGGCTAGAACTTTAGCCGTCAACGACGCCGCAAACGAATTGTTGATACCGCTGATCCTCGAGTCCTCGGGCTTTTTGCTACGTTTGCTCTCGGTATTGGCAGAGTCATTCTTGGCTTTGTTCTCCTCCTCCTTGACATCATCGCCTTTGCGCTTCTTCTTCTTCTCCGACTTGTCCTTCTTGAGGGTGTGGGTGAGACCCTGGCTCCTCAGACCTTCCATACGGGTCTCTAGTCGACCAATGTCGGCTTCGGTTGTTGGAAGCAGAGGGATAACGTTGTCCTGGGTGTATTCTGTAGCGCACTCTGGGCAGGCCTTGTCCTGGATTTCCTTCATGGCCACCTCGGCAAAGACATGTCCACAAGGAACCAAGTACACCGCCTTGGTTGAAGGACCCAACTCCTTCATGGAGATGGGGCAGACCAAGTTCTTTCCCTCCTTAGAGACCTTGAGCTTTGCGACATCGCGCAGTGACTTGATTCCCAGGCTCGATGGCGTGACCTCGGCCGGCTCATCAGAGGGCATCAGGCCGTTGAGGATGGCCTCGTAGTTGTACAGTCGACCACGCCAGTCGGAGACGAGGGTGTCGAGGTCGATGGGGTCGCCGCTGAGGGCGCAGTGCGTCCAGGCATGGCCTAAGGACTCGAGGGCGGTGGCTTTGAGTTCGGAGACGGTTTTCGCACGGGCAGCGTTCTTGACGAGTTCATGGCGCTTGGGGATGGAGCCGCCGTCGTTACCCATGGCGGGCGTCTGTATGCGATAGTGATGTGGATGGGTGGGATGATTGGACGGATCTTTCGACCGGCGGTGCAGCAGCGGCAGGGCGGTAGGCGGTAGGGAGTCAATCAGAAGCGCAAAGCGGTAAATGCGAGGCAAGGATGCGTTGGCGTTGCGTTGGTGTGCTGCAGTTGTTCTCTAGGGTCCAGGTTCAGGTTCTGGCTTGTTTTAGGAATCGTTGCAGTGGCGGGTGAGTTAGATGAGAGTGGCGGCAGAAGTGGCGGGCAGATTCCTAAATCCAGAGCTCCTGAGGTGGCGCCCTACTATCGATAAGCGGGAGCTGCTGACCCGGTGTCCTCACAGTGCCCGTAGCGCCAGTCGACAGGGGGACGCGCCCAAACAAGGCGCGATCTGCAGCGGATCGGCGGCAGCGCCCACGGTGCGGCACGCCGTGACTCCCTGCAATTGGCACGGTGCAAGTACCTGCCGGCGAGCCAGGTCAGGGACCAGTGGACCACGCCGCTCCGCCAATGTTCCTAACAATCCCCAATTTAACCTCCGCCTGACCAAGCAACCGCCAACTTCAGCGACAACAAGGTGCCATGCGCTGGTAACGGATGAGCGCAGTTGCGGTGCCTGGTCGAGGCGACAATTCTCTGCATACTAGCGACCAGGGCTCTCCCATTATATCAGTCCAACGCCCGAGGCTCGATAGCGACGACGACACGAAACACGCCCACGACACGCCGACCTACCCTCCTCTCCCAACCCGGTTGCGTCGACCTCAGCCTCGAGCGTAGCCTCGACTCAACCTGCGCACGCCAGCGCATCCCCTGCTGCCACCTTCCTATTCCCCGGTACATGCACTGTTGATCGATCGGCCACCAGTGCCGAACGAGGATCATGGCGCAACAGCAGCAACAGGTCGCCTTGGAGCGGCTCGACTCTATAACCCGAGGCCTGCGATCGCGGTAAGCTTCCCCGTCGACGGGCTGGTCCGAATCCGCCACTGACTCTTTCTAGGATCTCCGACGATGTGCGGAAGCGTTCGGCGACACAGCTCCGTGAGCTCGTCGTTGTATGCCATCGAGGTACGATCCAGCCGTCGCTGATTCTCTCCCATGCTGACACCTGATGTAGATCTGAGCCCCGAGCTGTTCCTCGCCTTCTATAATGCCGTCAACAACAAAGTCACACAACTCATCACCCACGGCGGCGATTCTTCCGAGCGACTCGGTGGCATCTACGCCTTGGATGCCCTCATTGATTTCGATGGCGTGGACGTAGGCGTCAAATACACTCGCTTCACCCAGAACCTAAAAACGATCCTGCGCGGAAAGGACATCAACCCTATGCAACCTGCCGCCACCGCTCTTGGAAAGCTTTGCCGACCCGGAGGCTCTTTAATATCCGAGTTGGTCGATTCCGAAGTAAACACCGCTCTCGAATGGCTGCAAAACGACCGCGTCGAGGAGCGGAGATATAGCGCTGTCCTCGTCCTGCGAGAGCTCGCCCGAAACGCACCCACCCTGATGTATCAGTACATCCCGACCATCTTCGACTGGATCTGGGTTGGCCTTCGAGACTCGAGGCAACTCATCCGCGCCACCTCGGCCGAGACCGTCAGCGCCTGCTTCCGAATCCTTCGCGAGCGAGACCAGGAGATGAAGCAATTATGGATGAGCAAGATCTACAACGAGTCCAAGCAGGGTCTCAAGGTTAACACCGTCGAGTCTGTCCACGGATCGTTGCTTGTGCTGAAGGAGCTTCTCGAACAAGGAGCCATGTACATGCAGGAGCACTACCAACAAGCTTGCGAAATCGTCTTCAAGCACAAAGACCACCGGGACCCGACCATCCGGAAGACAGTCGTACTCCTTATCCCCGACCTGGCAAGCTACTCACCGGCTGATTTCGCCAACGCCTGGCTGCACAAGTTCATGGTCTACCTGTCCAGTATGCTTAAGAAGGACAAGGAACGCAACGATGCCTTCCTGGCCATTGGAACCATTGCCAACTCTGTCAAGAGCGCCATTGCCCCTTACCTCGATGGCGTTCTCATTTATGTGAGAGAAGGCCTGAGCATCCAGTCCCGTAAGAGGGGATCTGTGGATCCAGTCTTTGACTGCATCAGTCGGTTGGCTGTAGCTGTTGGGCAGACCCTCAGCAAGTACATGGAAGCGCTGCTGGACCCCATTTTCGACTGTGACCTCACCCCCAAGCTTACTCAGGCCTTGGTGGACATGGCATTTTATATCCCGCCTGTGAAACCCATCATCCAAGAAAGGCTGCTCGACATGCTGAGTGTTGTCCTTTGCGGCGAACCCTTCAAGCCTCTTGGCGCACCGCAGCCCAATACCCTCAGTTCAGTTCCCATTATTACCAGAGACGCCAAGGATCCCCAGGCCTACGAGCACCGTAGAGCGGAAGTCAAGCTGGCACTCAACACTCTCGGAAGCTTCGACTTTGCCGGCCATGTGCTGAACGAGTTTGTCCGCGATGTTGCCATCAAATACGTCGAAGATGAGGATCCGGAAATCCGAGCAGCTGCTGCCCTTACCTGTTGTCAACTCTACGTTCGCGACCCCATCGTCAGCCAGACCAGTTACCACGCCCTCCAAGTTGTCGGCGACGTGATTGAGAAGCTTCTGACAGTCGGAGTATCCGACCCTGAGCCCAACATTCGGCGCACCGTTCTGGCAGCTCTCGACGAGCGATTTGATCGACATCTGGCCAAGGCCGAGAACATCCGAATCCTCTTCTTCGCACTGAATGATGAAGTTTTTTCTATCAGAGAAGTTGCCATCTCGATCATCGGTCGACTGGCGAGGTTCAACCCGGCCTACGTCATCCCCTCACTGCGGAAGACTCTTATCCAGATGTTGACGGAACTCGAGTTCTCTGATGTCGCCCGAAACAAGGAGGAGAGCGCCAAGCTGTTGAGCCTTCTTGTGCAAAACGCACAAGGTCTCATCAAGCCATATGTCGAGCCCATGATTTCAGTTCTGCTGCCCAAGGCCAACGACCCGAATCCTTCTGTTGCTGCTACCATTTTGAAGGCCATTGGTGAGCTTGCAACTGTGGGCGGCGAAGATATCCTGCCCTACAAGGATCGTTTGATGCCCCTCATCATCGACGCTCTGCAGGATCAGAGCTCCAACTCGAAGCGCGAGGCCGCCCTCCATGCTTTGGGTCAGCTCGCCAGCAATTCCGGATACGTCATTGAGCCATACCTCGAATACCCCCAACTGCTCGAGATTCTTCAGGGGATTATCCGAACAGAGGGTCAGCGAGTGCCTCTAAGACAAGAGACTATCAAGCTGATGGGAATTCTGGGTGCTTTGGATCCTTACAAATATCAGGTACGTGTCTAACCTCCCTCGCCATAGCTGCCCTCAGCTGGACGAGTAGAAAGTATGGATTGCTAACTTTCCTACAGCAAGTCGAAGAGCGAACACCCGAAGTTCAACGACGTGTCGAGTCGAACCAGATGACGGACATCTCATTAATGATGACTGGTCTGACTCCTTCAAACAAAGAGTACTTCCCCACTGTTGTGATCAATGCTCTGCTCCAAATTCTGAAGGACACTTCGCTGGTCCAACACCACGCATCTGTGATCGAGGCGATTATGAACATCTTCCGCACTCTGGGATTGGAGTGTGTTTCATTTCTTGATAGAATCATCCCTGCTTTCCTGCTCGTTATCAGATCTTCAACTTCAACGAGACTGGAGTCATACTTTAACCAGTTGGCGACTCTGGTCAGTATCGTCCGTCAGCATGTTAGGAATTATCTGCCTGAGATCGTTGAGATTCTGCAGGAGTATTGGCACACCTCTCCGTCACTCCAGACTACCATCTTGTCTCTCGTCGAAGCCATTTCGAGGTCACTGGAGGGAGAGTTCAAGATCTACCTCGCCGGCCTTCTTCCTCTCATGCTTGGAGTTCTTGACAAAGACACCTCTGTAAAGCGGGTACCATCTGAGAAGGTGCTGCACGCATTCTTGGTGTTTGGGGCTAGTGCTGAAGAGTACATGCATCTGATCATCCCTGTTATCGTGCGGACGTTTGAGAAGCAAGGACAGCCCGCCTTCATCAAGAAGCAAGCCATCGACACTATCGGAAAGATTTCACGCCAAGTCAACCTGAACGACTACGCCGCAAAGATTATCCACCCGCTCACAAGGGTACTGGACGGACCAGACACCACTCTTCGGATTGCGGCGCTGGACACGCTTTGTGCGTTGATCCAGCAGCTTGGCAAGGACTATCTTCATTTCATGGGTACTGTCAACAAGACGATCAACCTGCACCAGATCCAGCACCAAAACTACGAACTCTTTGTGAGCAAGCTCCAGAAGGGTGAGGTGCTGCCTCAGGACCTCTCTGAGCATCGGTATGTCGACGGGCTCGAGGAACCCCCTTTCGCAGACCAAGGAACCAAGAAGCTTGAGATGAACGCCATTCACCTCAAGGCAGCCTGGGACACGAAGGGAAAATCTACAAAGGAAGATTGGCAAGAGTGGCTGCGAAGATTCAGCACCACCCTCCTCACGGAGTCGCCCAACCACGCCCTCCGAGCCTGTGCCAGCCTCGCCAGCGTGTACTTGCCACTGGCGCGTGAACTTTTCAACTCGGCCTTTGTTTCATGCTGGAGCGAGTTGTATGAGCAGTTCCAAGATGAGCTTATCCAGAACATTGAGAGTGCTATCAAGTCGGAGAATGTGCCTCCGGATCTGCTCGGTCTCCTCCTCAACCTGGCCGAGTTCATGGAGCATGACGACAAGGCCCTCCCAATCGATATTCGGGTCCTTGGTCGAGAGGCAGCCCGCTGTCACGCTTACGCCAAAGCTCTGCATTACAAGGAGCTGGAGTTCTTGCAAGATCAGAGCAGTGGTGCGGTCGAAGCCCTGATCGTTATTAACAACCAACTCCAACAATCCGACGCCGCCATTGGTATTCTCCGCAAAGCACAGCTGTATAAGGAGGGTATTCAGCTACGCGAGACGTGGTTCGAGAAGTTGGAGCGTTGGGAAGAAGCTCTGGCTTTCTACAACAAGCGAGAGGCGGAGGTGCCCGAGGACCAAGCCATTCCTGTTGATATCGCCATGGGAAAGATGCGTTGCTTGCACGCCTTGAGCGAATGGGAGGCTCTCGCCAGCTTGACTGGCGCTACCTGGGCCAACTCGACGCCCGAGATTCAGCGCATGATTGCGCCTCTGGCTACTGCTGCCGCCTGGGGCCTAGGCAAATGGGATTCAATGGACAACTACCTGTCGTCGCTTAAGAGATACTCGCCAGATCGATCCTTCTTTGGAGCCATCTTGGCCCTTCACAGGAATCAGTTCCGAGAGGCGCTCAATTGTGTTCAGCAAGCTCGTGAGGGCCTTGACACGGAGCTCAGCGCACTCGTGAGCGAATCGTATAACCGAGCTTACCAAGTCGTCGTGCGAGTACAGATGCTTGCTGAGTTGGAGGAGCTCATCGTCTACAAGCAGTGCGATGAGAAGAAGCAAGCCATCATGCGACGTACCTGGGAGACTCGACTGAAGGGTTGCCAGCGTAATGTTGAGGTCTGGCAGCGCATGCTTCGATTGCGCGCAATCGTCATCTCACCCGCCGAGAACATTCACATGTGGATCAAATTCGCCAACCTCTGTCGAAAGTCTGGTCGCATGGGTGTGGCCGAGAAGTCACTGAAGCAGCTTATTGGCATCGAAGCCCCGTTGGAGAGCATGATTCCTTACTGGACAGAGAGGCAGAATGGCCCAGGACCTCGCAACACTCCTGCCCAGGTCATCTACGCCGTGCTCAAGTATCAGTGGGAGCTGGGACAGCAGCCTGGACTGCGACAATCAGGCATCGCTGAGAAAACACTGTATTGTCTGCGTAAGTTTACCAACGATACTGCGCATAGACTGGACGTCGCCAAGGCACACCTGACGGCTCAAGCCGGCAACGAAATGAACATTCCGACCGAGTACGGCTTCCAGAACCAGATGGACCCGGCGCTCATGAGCCCCCAGACTCAACGCGCGTTGTACGACCAGACGGTATTGCTTGCCAAGTGCTACCTGCGTCAAGGCGAGTGGTTGATTGCCCTCAGTAAGGACGACTGGCAATACACCCAGGTACAAGACATCTTGACTTCGTACTCGCAGGCGACCAAGTACAACCCCCGGTGGTACAAAGCCTGGCATGCGTGGGCATTGGCCAACTTTGAGATCGTGCAAGCTCTCACAGCAAGGAACGAAGGCCACATGACACGGGCCGACCAGTCAATGGTCATTGACCACGTTGTCCCGGCCGTGAAGGGTTTCTTCAAGTCTATTGCCCTGTCTGCCGGCAGCTCCCTCCAGGACACGCTCCGGTTGCTCACAATGTGGTTCGCACATGGAGGCAGCGCGGATGTCAATACGGCCGTCACGGAAGGGTTCGCCAACGTCAGCGTCGACACCTGGCTTGAAGTCATCCCGCAGCTCATTGCCCGAATCAACCAGCCTAACAAGCGGGTGCAGCAGTCGGTGCATAACCTGTTGGCTGACGTGGGACGAGCTCATCCCCAGGCGTTGGTGTACCCTCTCACAGTTGCCATGAAGTCTTGGCAGAACACCCGCCGATCTCGGTCTGCCGCGCAGATCATGGATAGTATGCGACAGCATAGCGCAAACCTGGTCGCCCAAGCTGATACTGTCAGTCATGAGCTGATCCGAGTTGCTGTGCTCTGGCATGAACTCTGGCACGAGGGCTTGGAGGAAGCCTCGCGATTGTACTTTGGCGATCACAACATTGAAGGGATGTTTGCGACACTAGAGCCACTTCACGAGCTTCTTGAGCGTGGACCGGAGACGCTTCGCGAGATCTCGTTTGCTCAGGCATTTGGCAGAGATCTCAAGGAGGCACAAGACTGGTGTCGCCAGTATGAGACCAGCCAGGACGTCAACGACCTTAACCAAGCTTGGGATCTGTATTACCAGGTTTTCAGGAGGATCTCTAGGCAGCTTCCTCAAGTGACGACCCTGGAGTTGACGTACTGCTCGCCCAAGCTGCTCAACGCCAAGAACCTAGACCTTGCGGTTCCTGGTACCTACAAGAGCGGGCAGCCAATTGTGCGAATCATGTCCTTTGAGACTACCTTCAGCGTCATCAACTCCAAGCAACGACCCCGAAAGCTCAACGTCAATGGAAGCGACGGCAAATCATACGCCTTCCTGCTCAAGGGTCACGAGGATATTCGACAAGATGAACGTGTCATGCAGCTGTTTGGCCTTTGCAACACTCTGCTTTCTAATGACTCGGAGTGTTACAAGCGACATCTCAACATTCAGCGATATCCCGCCATTCCGCTGTCGCAGAATTCCGGTCTCCTCGGATGGGTACCAAACAGTGACACCCTGCACGTGCTTATTCGAGAGTATCGCGAAAGCCGTAAGATTCTTCTTAACATTGAGCATCGCATCATGCTTCAGATGGCTCCCGACTACGACAACCTTACACTGATGCAAAAGGTTGAGGTCTTTGGCTACGCCCTCGATAACACGACTGGCCAAGATCTGTACCGCGTCTTGTGGCTCAAGTCCAAGTCCTCCGAGGCTTGGTTGGAGCGTCGTACCAACTACACTCGTTCCTTGGGTGTCATGTCCATGGTGGGCTACATCTTGGGCTTGGGCGATCGACATCCCTCCAACTTGATGTTGGACCGTGTCACTGGAAAGATTATCCACATTGATTTCGGTGATTGTTTCGAAGTTGCCATGAAGCGAGAGAAATACCCCGAGCGGGTTCCATTCAGATTGACTCGCATGCTGACCTACGCCATGGAGGTCAGCAATATTGAGGGCAGCTTCAGGATCACCTGTGAGAACGTTATGAGAGTTCTCCGGGACAACAAGGAGAGTGTCATGGCCGTTTTGGAAGCGGTAAGTTCTCTAATATCGTGTTATCATTCAACCAACTAATCGTTTGCAGTTCATCCATGACCCGCTCCTGACATGGCGTCTGACCAACGCTGCATCGCCTACTGGACCAACCTTTAGGTCGGACCGTGAGACAGCGTTGGCTGGACCTGGTGCCCCAAGACCGAGACGCCAATCCATCCTGGAAAGTGACGTCGCGCCCTCTGAGCTCCTCAACGCTGCCGAAGCGGTCGTACTGCCTGCACCTAGGGCCCGCGCGCGTACGAACAGCTCCGCAGCTCCGGACGGAAACCTGGTCAATGGTGCCCAGGAGGTGGAGAGCCAGAATGCTAGGGCCATCGAGGTGCTTGATCGCGTCTCTCAGAAGCTTACAGGACGTGACTTTAAGAATAACGAAGAGCTGGACGTCATCAACCAGGTGAACAAGCTCATTATGGAGGCTACCAAGCTGGAGAACCTGTGCCAGCACTACATAGGATGGTGCAGTTTCTGGTAAGGATCGAGCCATGGAGCGAGGGAGCGAAGGAGGCGAAGCGGAAAGAAGCGTTGTAACTGCTAGGATAGGAGAGCGACAAGTCGTCGCATTTGGAACGATCGGAGCGTTGCTCAGCTAGACCAGATCATCACTGCGTGGAGTTGGAGGGGCCGGTCAGGGATGTCTACGGATTTTGGGATGAGGGCTTTTGTGTGTTTGTGTTGCATTCATGTACTCATAGTAGGGGGATGTCAACCACGATGGTGTTTTTGATAAGCATGACAAGTCTAGTTGAGGATGTCTTTCCTTTGAATCGAGATGTTGGAATTGATTCGTGACTACAACAAGTGACTGCAGATGGCTGCAAACACAGCAAAGATACATACAACGCCGCCTGGTTTTCTCTATAGCCTTTCCTCTACAGCTCGTCCTTGACGTGGCCAGCCTGGTAAAGGGCGCCTCCCTCGCAAGCGGCCGGCGTACCAACCTCCATCTTGTAGACACACTTCTCGGCCTCGGCAACACGCCAAACCTCCTCCGTCTCGGCACAGCCCAGCCAGACGTCGGTCCGCCGCTTAGGCCCGTTCCAGCAGCTCTGGCCGTCCTCGTAGCGCAGCACCATGCGCTCGCCCCGGCCGAGGCTCTTGCCGTCGAGGCGGTCCTCGTCGTCGGCCACCTCGCGGTCGACGCGCTTGAAGTTGCCCATGTTCGTGTTGCCGTGGCCCTTTTTGGACTTTTGCGCCGTCTTCTCCAGCCAGCAGAGCTCGTACGTGTACTCGCCGGCCTCGACGCTGACGCACTTGCCCTTGAGGGCGCGGAAGATGTCGCCGGGGCCGTAGTCGGTGGCCAGGTCCTCCTTTTCGCCGTCGAGCGTCTTGTTCTTCTTCTTGAGGTCCTTTTCCGCGTGCTCGAAGGCCTCGCGGGCGGCGCGCACTAGGGTCGACTCGGCGCCGGGCTTGACGTTGTCGGCGAGGACGCCGTTCTCGATGAGCCACACGCGCAGGCCGCCGAGGGTGCTGTGCAGGAGGCTTCGGGCGAACGAGGGCAGGTAAGCCTCGAGGTTGAAGACTGGAATGTGTTAGTGGGAGTGGTCCATGTGGTGGAGGTAACTCACGGATATCGGTGTCGTCGCCATCGACGCCCTCAAATTCCTTCCAGTTTACGCCGTTGGTCTCGCTGTCCTCCTTGAGAACGCTCAAGACATCGTCCTCAGACCGCTGCACCCGCCTGGCCTCGATGTCCTGACGGGCCGAGTAGTCCTCGAACGACTTGACGGCAGCCTTGACGCCCTCGTCGTTGAAGTTGGGGTTGTACTCCTCCTTGAACTTCTTCAGGATCTCCTCGAGCTCCTCGGCCCGCTCGCGGAGCTCATCACGCTGGTCGAGGACATCCTCAAGAGTAGCCCGCAGCTCGTTGATGCGCGTCTTGGCCAGGCCGACGAGCACGCCCAGCTTGCCGCCGCCGCCCTCGCCGCGGACGACCTTGCCCTTCTCCTCCTGCTCGACCTCGCGGTAGCGCTGCTGCAGGCCGGCGCGCTTGGTCTCGAGGGCGCGGATCTCGTCCTGCAGGGTGTTGATCTTGAGCTCGACCTTGCGGCGGAGCTCCTGGGCCTCGGCGGTCATGGCGTCGCGCTTCCGGGCGGCCTTTTCCATGTTGCGGCGCTTCTCGTCTTCCAGGCGGCGGTACTCCTTGCCAATCTCGGCGCAGCGGTTCTCGCACTTGACACCACCCAGGCGGAACTCCTCGGAGCCGTCGCAGCACAGCTCGTAGTCACACACGCCGTCGTTGACGTACAAGAACGGCACGTACATGCCGATGTGGCCCTCGTTGGCGCACCAGAAGCCGGGCAAGGCATTGGAGGTTTTGGTGGTGCCGGCGACGGAGCCCGGCAGTGGCTGTTCGGGCGAGAGAGCATCGAGGTTGGCGCAGGCGGCGGTGCCCGGTTCGTCGGAGCCGTCGGGGCAGTCGCAGCTGTTGTCGTTGACCTGGCTCAGGCTGAGCTTGATTGCCGTGTTGGTGATGCAGGAGAAGTCTTCTTTGCCCTGGTAATGGGCGGCGACTGCGCGTGGGAAGCTGTGTTAGCAGGGGAATCCGGTATGAATAGCTTCAGGGAGCTCACAGGAAGGGCCGACACCGCGCGGCAGACTGCCCGCAGCTGCCAGAGTGAAGGCGTAGATGGCGCTCAGCAGCGCCCAGGACGGAGGATGTTGCATTTTCGGGATTGTTCGCGGGCTGCTCTCGCTCTCGCTCTCGTGCAGAGATGGAGTTTGGCTGGAAATCGAAGGTGAGGTCGAGAGGCCGAGATGGAGCCAGGTCATCGTCCAAAACGGGACAGGAGCTTGTGTCCCATTGACGACAGGGGGTCACCTCGCCAGTCCGCCAAGGCCGCTAAGCCCGCTAGACACCCCTAACTCACAAGTTGCGGGCCTAACGTACAGGGGGGCTCGGACGCCGACACGGCAAATGCTCGGGACCGCTCAGCGCGTAAATGCCCTGAGCTTTGGTCCTTCAGAGGCTTGGCAAATGGTCCACCGCCTGCCTAAAATGGGCCAAGGGCGGGGGAGACGAGAAAAAAAGTTGCCCCTCCATCAACACCAAAAGTGACTGACGCACCAGCATAAGAGCATCATCTCAGGATATTCGACTGTTTTTCTTTCTGCACAAGTTACGATTCTGCAAATAAAATGGCACCGACCGACGCCGAGGCTCTCAAGGCCTTGAACACTGTCATCGAAACAGCCGCCACTCTCCTTCAGCAGCTCCAGACCGTCCTGGGCGGCATCCAGAAGAACCAGAACCCCTCTATCGAGACCAAGAAACCCGAGGCGTCGAATGCGTCTGCTCCTCCGTCCGGCGTCGACGCCCTCGCTCTCGCCCGCGACTCGACTTCCCTGATAAAGGCGCATTCCACAAAGCTTTCCCTGCTCATCATCAACGAGCCCTTCACGCCGTCCGCCATCTCGACCGTCGTCCGCGAACTCGTCACCGGGCCCATCCCAGGCCTCGCCTCGTCCATCGAGGTTTGCGACACAAACATCTACACCAGTGTTCTCCGACGCGAGCTTGCCTGGAGGGCTCAGCGGGTCTTTGTTGAGCTCGGAGGACTGCTCCAGCGGGTTCCCAAGGACGGCAAGATTGTCTCCGGCGACAAGAAGGATTCGTTTGGGCCTGGCGGCAAGGGAAGCCTCGCATCCACTGGTGTGCTATGGTCTGCCTGTGACGATGTTATTGGGCTGGCCAATATGGGCGTCGGTGGCTTCTTTGTCAAGAAGGCCCAAGAGTGGAGGGACACGCTTAAGGATGTTATGGAGGAGATGAAGGAGTGGGGAGACGAGGAGCCCGACGACGACGATGAAGACGATGTTGACGATCTGGCTGATAAACTGGGAGAGAGCTCCATCTCTACTTCCAAGCAGGACATGCTCGACGACCTCATGAGCTCCCAACAAGCCATCCCCCGCGACGACCCAGACGGTATTAGACCCCGACTGGAAACGTCTCTCAAGCGCCTCCGCCTCATCGTGCTCCTCTACCAAGCCATTTCCAAGCGACGATTCAAGAAGCTCCCGTCTTTCCCACCCACGGGCGCCACCTCCGACATCCCCCAGCGCCTCGACAAGACGGCCAAGGCGCTCCAGCAGCTCCCGGACAAGTTCAGCGACCTAGCTACTACGTTCTATGACATGGACCCCGAGGAGATTGACGAGGCAATGACGCAGGCCTTTGCGGACGCTCACGGCGTAAGTGAGCTCCTGAGCATGAACTGGGATGGTTCACGGGACGAGTTTACAGAGTGGACGGAAAAATTCCAGACCGAGATCAAGAAAGCGTAGTCAATCAACTACCGACGTCCACCAGCTCGTGGCCAGAAACGAAGCTCTAAATTGTATACCCGTACGCCAGACTGTACACGCCCATCACTAGTGTCCAACAATCCGCCATGAAAGAAAAGACGAAATGCCGCGCGACAAATACAGCTCTACAGCTGAATCGCCGCCGCGTTGAAGTTGACGTAGCCCGTGCTAGGAAGGGTGTTGGAAATAGCCGGTCCCGTCGACGTCTTCCCGTTCATGGTCAGCGAAACATCGCCCAGGGCGCCGTTGAAGGGCATCTCAAAGTAGTTGACGCGGTTCGCGGTGCCGTTGGCCAGGAACGTCTGGCTCGCGTCGCCAATGGAAATCTGGAACTCGGTCTCGTCGACGGTGATGGTGATGACGGACACGACGTCCCGGGCGCCGACACTCGCCGACTCGGAGCCGCCCTGGCCCCACACCGTGCCGGCGTCGCCGCCCGCCGTCGCCGGCGTCGTCCGGTACCACGCGATGGCCGTCTCGTCGCCCGGCAGCTCGACGTTCTTGCTGCCAGCCTTGTACGCCTTGATAAAGTACGGCAGCACGCTGCGCATGGCCGAGTGGTCGAAGCCGTCAACATACACCTCGGCGCCCGAGACGACCTGCGCCGTCACAATGTCGGCGATGTAGCTCGACTCGCTGAAGTCGTTCCACGTGATGATCTCGATGTACTCGGGCATCACGTCCAGCACCTGCTGCCAGCGATCGTACCACAGGGACTCGCTGGAGGAGTACCAGTTCTTGCCCCAGTTGGGGAGGTCTGCGAGTTGTTTAGTCGCTTTGTCCAGTCAGGGACTTGGGCCGAGGGACTACTCACTGACGTAAAAGTACGGACTAACACCCATCATGTACGGCTTCTCACCAAGAGCGCCCTTGTACAGAAGGTCCTGGTCTGTCGTCATCTGCGTCGAACCGGCATCGGGCCAGGCAGCCCACGAGACTACAGCGAGCTTCGTCAGTTACACATCTCGACTCAACGGCAGATCTACTTACACGCTCCGTCAATGATACTCAACTTATCCGCAACCCCTGACGGACCCAGACTGCTCCAATCTGGCACGAGGAAGATATCGCCGGTCTGGCTGCGGACGGAAGCCCAATTATCAGCCCATGTCGGACCCTCAAACGTGCTGACCATGGGCTTCCCATCCACCAGCACCTGCGCCGTCTCCGCCTTGAAGTCATTGACCAGGTCGACGACGCTCTGCACCGCCCAGATATTCTCCGTCGACGCCATGTCAAACGACAGGAACAGCTTGAAGCCGAGCTCCGCGGCCGCCTGGTACGCCAGCCCGAGCTGCGTGTCGGTCCACGAGTCGACGGGGCCGATGTTGAGGGCGAAGCCGTCGATGCCCACGGCCTTGGCGTCGGTCATGTCTTTTTGCCATTGGGAGAGCTCTTGTAGGTTGGTCAAGCCGACCTAGGTGCTTTGTTAGTGACGGGGAGATGGAGGACTCGAAGGTGTCGTACCATGTAGTGAGCGTAGACTTGGCGCGCCATGCTAGGTGTATGGAGATGGAGTTGAAGAGTAGGGCAGTCAATGCGATAGGAGAGAATGCCAGATTCCAAAGGGCTGTAAATGAGTGACTGGGCAAAAGACTGAGTATCTGATCAGACAGATGAAGCCGTGGGATACAAGTGTATATATACATCACGCATACATCCACCGCAAGCCCAGCCGTAACACAACAACCACAATACCACCAGGATCCAACCCCCAGAACAGCTGCAAACCACATCAAATACCACCCCAAACACCTCCAGGACCATCCCATCGTTAAGAAGAAACAAAGCCACCCGCCACACAGCCCCCGCCGGTGGATCGCCCCCGGGAACATGCGTGCCGCCTCATGAAACAGGGCATTTCGACGGGGGATCGGGTCAGGATGCGAACCCGGCCGGCGCTACGACGGAACGAAAAGGGCGGGCCAGGCTGCATCGCGGTTGCTAGTGCACGTCAGAATCGGGCCACAGGGAATCCTGCAGGATGCGATTCACACATGGGCGTCAACGCTGCTAGTGGTTGGATTTACGAAATCTGCGACGCTCTAGCATGCTCTAGGAAGCTATGACATGCCGGCGACTATATCATCTCGTTTGTGTGGGTTGTGGGGTGGTGGCTCAGCGAGCTTCATGCAACCGCATGTCTACACTACGCAATGTGCTCATCGTGTTCAACTTGACAACTAGCCCCTCGCAACATGTTCAATCTACTTCGTCCTCATCTCATCAACGCTGTCAGTTCATTTCATGTGCTTTCTTCTCGCTGCTCCTCCTCCGGGAGACATGTCGGCTCCGCGAGGAGATCTACTTCCTACTTATATGTGAGAACCCTCCTCAACTACTCATCCGCTCAACTCAACTCAACTATCAATACACTCCGCTACCTGGCCATGTGTCCATCCTTCGGAACCAATCATCCATACTGGCAAAGAGAATGCCCCGCTGAGTATGCCACGCCAAGAAATAGCGCTGCCATATACAAAAATACAATGCTCTGCTCCTTCTAACCCTGTACCCAACCGCATCCATATCAACCTGTGCAACCCGCTCTCCTTCGGGATCCGTCTACTGCGCCAGGGGATTCGTCCGTGCCGACACGCTTGAAAACCCAAGCTGCTTATCTTCCGCGTCGCCGTCCCGGGGTCCTGGCGTTTCGGGTGTGATGGTCACCTCAGGCGTCGGCAGATCGCTCAGTCGTCGGCCAGGCATGCTCTTAGCCGTCACATATCCGACCCGCGATTCCTCCACATGTTCCGCTTCGGCTTCGTCCTTATCTTCTTCCTTAACTTGCGAAAGGGGGCGCTGGAGACCGACTAAATCCCTGGGTGACTCGGGCTCCGAGCCTGGCTCACGCTGCGACGAACCACCCTCAATATCAGCCCCAACCATCTGAGCAAGGCTGCTAAAGTTGAACATGGGCTCGTTGCCTGCGCTTCCGGCATCACGGTCCCCCTCATCGCTATAACCGCCGAGGCTCAGTCCGCTAGATCGAGGGTTTCCGTCGGCGTCGAGATATCCCTGGCCGGTAAAGCTCCCCGTAGGGCTGTCCCCACCCGAAGACCCGCCGATCGATGACGCGTTGCTCATTTGCCTCAGATGTGACCCCCCTCGAGGTGTGGTCACCGGTAGGGGCAGAGAGCTGGATGAGGAGCTCGGCTCGATATGCTGCTCTTGAGGCCCTCGGTCGACTCCCTTGCCCTTGTCCGCTGAGTTGTCGTGCTGGTCCTTGCCCCTTTCCATCGGCAGCTCTGGGCTCTTGGAAACTTGCGAGGCCCTTGACACAGTCGCCTCCATCCGCAGGTTGCTGGCCGCACTATTGCCTCGCCGTCGACCGATACCTAGCGATAGACTGCTCGCGCTCGCGCCGCTCGTGGTTCCACTGTATGGGTTGCCGCCTTGCTTCTTGAGCGCCTTTCGCTCCTCCTTCTCCCTCTTCTTTGCTTCTTTGCGATACGCCTTTTCTTCCTTCCGTTTGCGTTCTTCTTCTGCTGCAAGAGATAAGCGGACTGCCTCCATAAACATCATCTCTTCCAGCTCATCCATACGGTTTCGACGCCCACCAAGCAGATTCCTAGACGACCCTCTAGCCCCGGGTTCGGGGCCTTCGCTCGGTTCGACCGGGGATTCCGCTTGGCCTTCGGTCGGGGTGTTAGCAGCCGAGTTGTTCCCCGTGTTTCTTCGGCTGAAGCGACCGGGTCGGAGGATCGAGGTTCGCTGTTCACTACCGCCCATAAGGAAAGCGGCAGTGTGAAGAGCAGTTGCAGCAGCCGCTCTACGGGCCTGATGAGCACGCGCTGAGGACAGCTTATTAGCCCAGTCTGGGCGAACTCGATCAGTGGTGATAACGTTGGGCGCGTTCGCCGACAAGCTGTGAGTTCGTCGGCGGCCAGTATGTGAAGGTGAGGTCGGTGGGAGAGTCGAGTTTAATGAACTCTGCGAAGACATGGCTGTAGCGGATGAAAAGTGTGCTGGGGGTACCGAGTAGGTGAGACCTCTTCGGCAGGGTGGTGGGTCATACGTAACGCCAAATTCGGGTTGTTGGCAGTAGGGGCAGGCGGATGGTTCCGAGATGAGCTGCTCGGGGGGGATTTCGGCGGTGACACCCTCATTGGGATTTCTGGTCTCGCCATCGGGGTGATGCTCGGGGAGATGCGGATCAGCTCGCTTGATCTGGACGAAGCACTCGCTGCAAATGGGCTGGTCGCAACATCGCGTGTGGTTGAGGTAGGGAGGATACGACAGAAAACAAATCGGACATTCGTCGGCGTCCTTGTAAAGAAAGACCTCGAGGGGTTGCCCGTTGACGAATGGGTCATGAGGCAAGGCGATTTCTTTGGGCGCCAAGTCCGTCGACGACGCATTGCGGGAGCCCACGCTAAGGGCAGCCAAGGCCCTCGCTGCTCTCGGCTTGAAAGGCGAGGTAGGCTTGCTGGGACCGGTCGTCGATGGCGAGGGGAGGTTCGATCCGGCGGCAGATCCACTATGATCCGATGCAACGGAGAGTGTTCGCGGCCCCATGGGCACAGTGAGGCTCTGGAGGTTCTGGCTCGAAGAGGATCGGGGGTCGACCGGGGGAGGCACGGGCATCAGCTCCGGGTCGGGGGGCGCATCGGCGGCGGGTACGGGGAGGCCTCGGGCAGCGGCTACAAGTTGGTGCTCGTTCCAGCTAGAAGACCAGTCGTCGAGACCGCGCCAGAAAGGCGCCATCTTTCTCTCAATCTAGAATCACGGACGTGGTTAGCTAACGCGGGGTCTCGATATGACAGGAGTCGGGTTGGGGATTGTACTTGTAACTGCCTCACAACAGGCTTGCTGAAATCCTCAGTGCCGGTGTAGGTGCCCAGGGTGACCAAATAGCCTCCATCAACATGTTCCTCGCGAATACTCCGTTCACGCTCTTTCGCCCGGGCAGCCCGCTCCTTCTCGAGTTTCCTGGCTTCACGCTCCTGTCTTGTTTCACGGCGCTCAAACGGAGCATCCTGGCGTTCACGATCTCGAGAGGAAGAACTGCCGAGGCCAAAGATGTTGATTTCGGGGCGGCCCGAACGATTCCGTGACCTGGGGCCAGAATCTCTAGCAAGGTCGCGAGCCAAAGCCACGGGGTCGCCGTTGGCGGAGCGCCGACGCCCCTGGGCACCATCGTCATCGCCGTCGGGGCGAGACTCCTTGGTGTTTGAGTTGCCCATGGTTGACGGCAGAAATCAGGTGGCGGATGAAGGGTTCGGGAGGGAGAGTTTCGACGAGGTGTGAGGCGTGGGCGACGGCGTGGGCGGAGTCGAACTGTCAGGCCTTGGCTGGCAAGGTTGGCAGGGACCGGGGTGGTTGACGTCGTGGATGTCGGCGGTGCCGTCAGCTTCAGTGGGACACGACGAGACAAAGACAAAGCGCTGAGCTGGGCGGTGAATGTGTTGGGCTCGAAGCTGCAAGACAAAACACGACACGACACGCACGGCACGACAAGTAGGATCAACGAGTGAACAAAGGTGTCGGCTTACGCAGGCGGTGCGCTAGGTGGTGAGCTAGATGGTGAGCTCACAGGCTGTGTCTGCCGGGGTTGGGCCCAAGATGGCTAGCAATGGAGGAGCAGCGTCAGACGACGAGGGTCATCGACGAGGGCATTTCGGTTCGACAAGAGAGTCGCGAGATGGAGGATCGAGGATTGAGGATCTAAGAAGGAGAAAGAAAATGGCCGAGGGCGGCCGAGAGTAGAGAGCAGCGAACAGCGGACGGCGTGCGCGGGGGCCACGGGTGGGTTGTCGATGGATGTGATGGGAGGGATCGATCTCTGGGTAAAAGGCGACGGCGAATGACCGAGCGACTAAGCAAGTAAGTGAGCGGGTGGTTGGTGACGGTGTACAGTAAGTCGGCGGTGGTGATAGATAGGTGATAAGGCGGCTCGGCTGTGGCGGGATGAGATTGGGAATCGTCTTGTATGAAATCGGGGAGAGAGGGAAGATGGAATGTCGCGGGTTTGCGGGTAGCGGGTGGGAGGGCGACCGGGGGGGGGAGGGAAGAGAGGGAAGGAGCTGGAGGGTGGACGGTCGGAAGGTGCAAGGTCGGCCGAGAGACAAGAGCCAGGCGACCTCGGGAGGGAAAAAGCGCGCGAGAGAGCTACCGTCTACGCATTAGGGAGGTGGGCGAGTGTGCTAGGCAACTAACTGGCAGGTCGCTGTAGGCGGCTTTGGCCCAGGCGGGGTGGGCAGGTCACTGTGGAGGACGAGGAGTGAGGGGCTGGTTGCGATGGGCTTGTTGCAGTAGCAGTGGGTGCGGTGGGTGCAAGCGGCGAGGGGAAATGACGTTTGGCGCCGATGGTTGATGTTCGGCTTTGGGGAAGCAAAATACAAAATACCAAGATGAACAAGACGGAGTACATCTATATTTCCCATACTCCGTATCCGTAGAACCTCGACATCGGAGGAATGAATGCATTGAAGCCCCGACGCATTGGGACGAGCCATGTCTGCAGGCGGCCCAACTCAGTACCATCCAGTACCGTCCAGTACCTACCTACGCTACAGGGCGATAATCCACCATCATGGCCGGGGAAACTCTCCTCCCCCGCCGAACAAACCCCCCTCAGGCCCCCCGCAAGACTAGCCCCCTAGGTACTGCTAGCAGGGGAGCTAAGCTGCCAAACCTGGGCCTTTACCCGCGGCAGAAGTACCTCCCCTGGGGGGTGGTTGGGGTTGGTTGGGGGCGCTCCCAATATCCGACGGAAAGCTTCCTCTCTGGGCGCGGCCGGCATGGCTTGGGCTTGGGCTGGGAATGGCTGAATATAGCGGGAGAATGGGTGCACGATTGGAACTTGAATGCTCAGGGTGCTTCGCTAGACGCATTAACCTGCTGGCCCTGAATTGATCCATACGACGTTGACGAGTATCGACTAATTACATACAGTACTGTACCTACTCACTCGACTGTCAAGCATCTACTCTCCACCATCAAACTCGTCGTCTCCACCACGACTCCATCACTGCAGCACGTCAGAACCAGCTCGCCGGTCCACGCGGAATTATCCTAGCCAGACGAAGAAGCCAGGGGGAAAGAAAAAGAACATCACGCCACTCACTCTCTTCGCCATCATCACCATTCACCAACCTCACGAAGCATCATCAACTCGTACGTCTCAGCCACAACCCTCCCGGAACTCAATCCAGTGTCCCTCGCCGTTGGACCAATTACTCCCTCGTCCCACGTCGTACTCGACGTTTCCTTTGCACACCTCGCACTCGACTTCCTGTCTCATCCGCCGTTCCAAGGTGGATCTCCCGTCACGCGACATGTGCGTCTCCGAAGGATCCGGTTGCCCCAACTTTTTGTTTCCTAGTGACGAGTCTACATCAAACCTCATTGTTTACCACCCGGAGAGTAGGCCTATCCCGTTGAAACATGTCAAGCCGCCGACTCCCCGAAAATAGAGTCATTTTTAACCATTGTCCTTCGTAGACCGACCCAGGTGTCTACGGCAGGTTCCATCCCTCCACTCCACCATGTGAAAATGAATGGGTTTTGACAACTCTCTTGGTAGTGCTTATGAGGTAACAGGATGTAGACAACAAGTACCTATAGTAAGCTCTGCCCTAGTTCATTAACGCATCAAGTCGCTGCTTGGCACATCACCGTTTCATGCTCAGCCTCACAATACGTCGTGTAACCTGTCCAGTCTCCACGAAAGCCAACGCGCCGGCTGACCACGTGTGCGAACAACACTTCCTGTGCATCGCCATTTGCTGCCTGGGTAACAATAACTCCGACGGGATGCGCCCCGTGGTCAAACCAGTACAAGTCTAATCTGAAGCCCAGCCGCTGTCCCACTGACACGCAATCTACCACCCTCCCTCAGACGTTCCACAAACTCTCCGGCGAACCTCCAACCACTCACAACATGCAGGGCATGCGTAATGCGGTCTCGTGTAAAAGTCTGTTGCGCAATGAAACCTCTCAACGGTAGTTAATAACATGTTTGTTTACATCATAGGTGTAGCCTAGTAATGGTGCGACTCGGAAGAAGCCGCATTCATCATCCTGTCAAACATGCTCATCAAGACGTTAACTCGGTAGCGTTCCAGTAAACACTGGCACATCTCATGTTGTCATCTTCTCTTCTCTCGTCAATCATAACCCATGGTATCTATCCAAAACCCCTAGCAATGCAAATGTCTATCTCTACATGTCATCTATCTCGACGGAGCCCACGCCTGTAACCACTCCCTCATCCTGTCTAAACTTCCCTTCTCCGCCTCTGCAGCTGCGATGCACCACTCTACATCCCACACACCTTCCGCTGCCATCATTTCTGCCAGCTTGCGGCTGTCCTGACTAGTTTCATCCACACAAAAGTACAACGGTTCCTCGAGATTAGTCACCGTGGCCATGAGCGGCTTGACGAGTGGCAGCACACCGGCAGCGTTGGATGGCTTGGCTTCAAGTCCAATATTGGATCGGCCCGTCTTGCACCATTCATTTCCACAATGGGTCTTGCCACAGCCCGTCATCATTTGTCCGAGGTATCGTCTCTCGATCCTCCTTCGGAGAGCCTTGCCTTCCGGATCGTGCATGCTCACATAGAGCGGCCCGAAGCAGATGGAGCATAAGCTAATGACGTTCCCTGCCTGGCTTTGCGAGGCTACCTGGTTAACCTGCCCCCTAGAACCTACCCCGTATAACGTTCTTCCGCAGTTTGCATTGCGACAGATCGGGGGCTTCACTCGAGAAACCTTGTCGAGCTCGTGATGCTTTAGGTGTGTTTCCATATCGCGTAGGCGAACAATTTTGTTGCAGAGATGGCACTCTGTCGTCCGAGCACCATCAGCTAGCTCGTGAGCCGTCATGCCTGAAAGAACCACCTCGGGACTTGGGTTGAATGGGTCGCCTTCTTGAGGAACTTCCAAGTGGCAGAACCGACAGAGGATGATTTTTCCGGGACAGACGCTGGTCTGATGTCTCGCGAGGTCAGGGATTGAATTGGTGGAGAATTCGCACGAAGGGCATTGGCGGTGCGTGTGGAAGACGTCGTCGTGCTTCATCCGACTGAAGGCAGAGTTTCCGTGAGCGGCGTCCTTGTCGCAATGCCAGTGTTCGTCCCACTCAGGAGAGCCTTTCTTGAATACCGACTTGCAATGGGGGCACAGAATGTTGTTTCGTCGACAAAAGTTCTCATGCAGAACCATGGTTCGCTTGGGAACCCATTGAAAGCAGTTGCCGCACTGCGCATCGTCGGGAGAGTGCTCGTCTGCATCAACTTCGATAGGGTTAACACTGCTACCATTTGGGACGGCAGCCTTAGCCCGAAGGCTGTACTGAATCGGTGTCGTTGAATCTGCCGGACCTGAACGGTTGTAACCATGGATAGAGATGAGGATTTTCTCTGCACCTTCCAGCTCCACATTGGACGGGGATAGAGTGATTGTCTTCGTGCCATTTGTCGCAGGCGAAAAGTCACCAAACACATGGACCAATTCTCGTGGTAGTGCCCGCTGTTGAGAAGACTTGGGCGTGACGAACAGATCGAGCGCATCCGTATTCTCGCCAACAGTCAACTCAACCACGAGGGGCTGTGATCGATTCCACGATGGTAGAACATAGTCGACGTATTCTCCAGGGAGAACTTGCCCTTCAACGGGTTTCCAGATATCGACCTCGCCACCTGCTGAGGTCCCATTCCCACTTCCCCTCGCTGGTTTATCCATGATCCGTCTCAGCGTCTCTCGGGCCTGTTCTTCGTCAAGGGCTTCAATGTCCACCTCGAGGTCAGTATCCACAACACAGATAGCGTCTCCTTCGGGGGCGACCTTATCCACCAGTAGCTTGAACTCTTCACCCTGAACGCCCTTGACCGCCAACATGGTGCCCTTACTGAGGGTCGTGAAGCTATCGCGTAGTTGTCTCTCGAGGAGTGGTTTCCAGTCGTCGGGGTTATAGCCTGCTTCAAGCGGGCGCAGCCTCACGTATGTTCCCTTTTGAAGTTGCCGGGCCTCAACCCTAACCTGGACACCATCGAGTTCCATATCCTGACCATTGGCCTCCACTCCGTCGTTAGAATCGGCAGCATCTGAGCGACTGGCAGGAATAAAGTCTTCATCTTGAAGTCCCAGAGCTTCTGTCAAAAAAGGGCTTAACCCTACCACCCCTTCTGAAGCAGAAAACTCGCGGATGCCGGCGTACACGGCATTGTTGTTCTTCGGGTTAACGAGACGGAATATGAGAGGATTTGGAAGCTGGTGCGAGCTCTCGGGATCAATTGAGCGGCTTGCGATGGACGGGTAACGGCCGAAGTGGTCGGGAGAAGCTGGGGGTCGGGATCTCGCAGCTGTAAGAAGCTGCTCGAGGGCAGACTGGGGGAGGAGGATCTTGTCGCCGCGAAGATTCTTGGAGGATATAACGGATGGATGGAGGACTGGGAAAGACTCCGACCATTTCAATGGGGCCGGTTCGTCCATGGTGCTGGGCGCAACCCAATTCTGATTCCCAGGCGCTTGGTTTTAGGTGGTTGGGCACAAGGCGAAGATGGTTGATGGCGGGGTCAGGGCGACGGGTTGGAGCTATGTAGAAGGTAACTCGAGCGGTGACGTCTAATAGGAGTTGTCCATATCATAGGCGAGGTCAAGACGGGAATTCAGTGGCGGGCGAGGACTGTTCTTCTTGTCATCGCATGTGTTGCCGCCTGCGGCGATGCTCAGTCAGCGGATTCGGTGACGTTCTACCCGAATCAGGAAGCATCATGGAGGGGCAAACAGTCACGTGGAAAATCAAGGGTCCAGCTCTAGGGTAAGTAATTTGAGTTAGCTTCCATGCTAGGGCTCGCCAAGTTGATGGGAGGCACGTGGGGTCGGACTAATTTATCTCCACCGGGTAGAGGCCGCATCGCGAGGACGCAGACGAAGCACTGGGGAGCAGCCTAGCTCCAACACGAGGGCGCATCGACGCAATAATGCTCCTCCGCAACGACATGGTGCATACCCACCGCCACAGCGACCCAGCATCAAGTACCCGGGCATGCATGCGTGGAGCACCGCACCAGCTCGGCACCGGTAGCGGGCGGCGGGCGGACAGCAAGCGGCGGAACTAAGGCACGAAGGCCGGCCGATGGCAGATGGAACCGACGAACGGTTGGAACCGATCGAACCGATGGAATGCGGTGCACACCCTCAGCTTGGCTGCCCTGAGCGCCTCTCCTCTTGCTGGCGACTGACCTCAGCAAGCTTCGCTGGAGACGGAGTTGGGAGCCGGCCGGGAAGAAACCCGACTTGGGGGTGATGTGACGGCGGCCCGGCGAGGCTCGCCGTCATGATGGCGGTCAAGCCAGTGTGTGCCATCGCCTTGTCTCAGGCATCCTCCCCGGCTGATCACCAAGGGTTCTCCGGTGTTGAGTGGCTTCACGTTGCTCAGATCTCTCCCCCGCAAAAGAAACAACACAGATGGCCAGATGCACAAAGGCCCCTCGGCCGCAGCCATGACGACGACGCACCGCCAGCAGCTCCGTAACACACGTCTAACCTGCCAAGCAGGGCCGTGCAGCCATGATCCCAAAAAAGAAAACCGAAGCGCATGAGACTTGCTGGCAACACCACGGCCAGTCGAGCTATCATGATCCAGGACAAGCTTCAAGGGAGACGAGGGGGGCAGAGCTGGAGCCAGCTTGAGGCCATGATGAGGCTTGCGGCCTGTCGCTTGGCGGCATGGACCCCACTCGCCCGAGCTTGGTTCGATCGGCGGCGGACCCCCCGGATTCTGGTACGTTGATCAGGTCAAAGATGTTCCCACTTTGCCAGCGTGGGGCGTCGCCGCTTTACTACGTACGCAGTGAGGGTGAGACGCCGCCCGGTTGGGAATGAAGCTGTCCGTGTCTTGGCCGGTATTATGCATAATTGGGACTAGGAAGTTCCCTGTGTTGACTGTCTCGGCCCTTTCCACCTGCCAGAGGCTTTGCCCTTGGCCCTTTGGAGACTGGTGCTTGCGTAGATGGGCTCTTCACCAAAGCCTGAAATACTGTTGGGTGTTACTTTGTCTCTTGCATAACGTGCTTAGTGGTCGAGGGTATGTCTAGAGCCTCCTCTTCCCCTCAGACCAGGATGCATCGATTGGTCAAAGAGGTTGCGGAAGACCCAACCAGAAGTGTTGGGCACCACAACCCCTCTCGCTGATCGAATACATGGCAGAGAAGTCGATGATGAATTTTGTGGGAAAGACCTACATCAACAGTAGGCACAGACTCGGCTGAACTATGGCGGCTGCGAAGGAGATTGCGTCGACTTCCACGTCACCAATATTTCAAGGGTCGCTGGGTTAGGTTAAAGGTTATCGACCAAGTCCGTATAGTACGAGTACGAGAAACGAAATAAAGGGGCTTGGTGAGAGGTGCAAACAGAAATGCAAGGCGCGTGTGGCTTTGGCAAGATAGGCGGGCGAGTAGCTGGGTGCTAGACTCGGGCCTAGGGTCGGTTGGACGACTTGGGACTCGGTGCGAGATGCGGCCGGCGAGGGTCCAAGATAGGATCCAGCTTGGACTGCTTCTTAGTGCCGGTGTATGTCTTGGAATATAGGCGCTTGGCGCGGGTATGGTGAACTCCCCGAAGACGGCCCCTATTGAGTTGTTACATAAATTGCAGTAATAATACGATCAGATCTGGGGCGGAGGTGAGGGGAGGTGTGTGCTGGGTGCTTTGTTTCCTCCGTGTAAGAGCGGCAACGGCGCTAATCTCGCGCAGGGATGAGCATCTCTGGACGCCTGCTGTAATGTCCTGCTACGGCCGCTGGACGGGCGACATGTGAGCGGCACTAGCACGCCCTGTCGAAGGTCTGTTCCAGGGCGGCATCATGGGTGCTGCTCCGTGCCATCCTGTCTCTTTGTCGCAGCTGTGCAGGAGGATGGGCGGTTGGATGCTGGGGAAGTTCCAAGAACGAGACAGCCAAGCAAACATCACAACCCTGATCAGCACAGCCAGACAACCACCGACAAAGGACAAGAGTCATGGTCGGCAGGGAGGTCGGCCGTAGCCATGCACCGTCATCGCATTACGTCGAGGGCGCCCATTCGCCTCGCCCCGCAGGCCCTGGAATGGTGCGCCTAAGACAGGCTGCGATAAGAAACTCAGGACAAGAATGCCGTGCTCTAGATGGCATCAGATTCAGCCGGCACGGGACGAGATGCTCAAGGAGAAAAAGAAAAAAGAGGGCAAGACTCACACGCGCATGCAGACGCTCAACTCCACACCTCCTAGTCCTAGTCCTATGGCCCAACTGTGAATACTCCTCAGCAAGCTGCCCCCTCCCCCCTCTTCCTACGGGCCGATCTCGACAAGACGCACACCTCACACACTCAACAACACTCAACACACAGCAGCCCGTGCCATCCGCCCCCCTTCCCGGTCCTGCTGCCACCCTGTCGACGCGGTGCAAGCTCCCTCACACACTCTCCTCGTCGCCCTCCCCACGCCCACTAACCACTTACTCTGGATGCCCACTCTCACTGTTCTCTCCGGTCCGGCCGGCGCTGGTCCACTATGCTCCGTCAGTCGCTGGCCCCCCGTGCTCCGTGTAATCCGCTGTTGGAACGCCCATTCGCACCTATCATACTCTGTACTGCCTGGGTCATTCTCCCTAGTAGAAACGCCAACACCCACCCTCCCGTACCAGAACGAAACCACCCCAACATGCACAACCTCGCCAATCCCATCTCATCTCATGCCATCCAACCTGTGCCATCCCCATGCCCTCTCACAACTTACGCACCCATTCCATCCCCCCCCCGTTCCAGCGAATGGACCACCCCCCGCTACCCTGACCCCCATGTCCCCCATGTCCCGTCCCAATGTACCTCGTACCCCCCCTGCTGGAGCTTCCTTGTCGCGCAACCTGTCTTATTCCTGTCTTATTAGTCCGCCCAGCTTTGATGAGCCCAGCTATGAATGAATATCTTCGCAGCCTTGTCCGCCATATGCGCGACTCCTTCTCCTCCTCTTCCTCTTTCCCATCTTGCATCTTGCATCTTCAACCCCCCTTAATCCCCCCTTTCCTGATCGCCCTCCTTCACAGAAGGGCCGTCATTCATTCCTAATACTGTCCTTCCTCCTGCGTTCTGGGTCTTTCGAAGCCTGACATGACCCAAGTTATTGCCGACGACCACACGCGCGTAGAGATCCAACCATCGATCTTGACCCTCTTCGACGCCCTCAGCAATTCCCTCGTCCTCCGCAACACCATCCCGTATCTGCCGGTATCTGGTTTGCTGAACCTCGCTGCGACTTGCCGTGCCTTCCGCTACTTGATCTACGAGACCCCCGGCGTCTTTCGCCACCTCGACCTCACCCACGTCAAGACTGCCCAGCCCGAGACCAAGGAGATTGAAATCGACAACGACCTTGTGTGGCACAATGTCCAGCTCGTCGACTACCTGACGGAAGATGAGTGAGTGTGAATTATTTTTTATAATTAATTGCCATCCAGCGTATAGCCTAGTATCTATTATTCCTCACCATTTACTCACTCCACTTTCTCAGCTTCTACTCCGGACCCTTGAGGGGCGTCTTCTCCACCCTCCGCCAGCGGGACCTCCTTCGAGATGTCCAGTCATTGATCCTCGACGGCCTCTCGGTCACGGCCGAGATGTGCCACGAAATCATCAACGACCCGTCATACAACGTGCGATTGCTGTCGATCCGCGATGTCAAGCACATGAACCAGGGCAAGCTGCGCGCCGCGCTGACCTACGCCTGTCGCAGTTCGCGCCCCGACGGCATGCCCCGACTCAAGGGCCTCTACTGCTTCGGGTCCAAGGACGCCGCCGCCTCGACGCCCGCGCTCCCGGCGCCGGCCGTCTCGCAGGAGTCCATCAGCGCGGGATGGAACCACAAGAGCCACAAGGCGCTCGCGGCGTCGCTCCACAGCGAGGGCGAGGGCGATGCCTGGTGGTTCAAAAAGGGCCGGATGGTGACCAACCCCATCGAGCTCGACTGGGCCAACTGCCTGCTGGCGTGCCAGGGGCTCATCGCCTTCGACGCGGTGCTGTGCCAGGGCCCGCGTCACCGAAACTCGCCCGTGTATGGCCAGTCGACGCACCCGTCTGGATGCGGCCCGGCCACGGCCACCTTCGCCGTGGGCGGCTGCGCATCCTGCGGCAAAGCGCCCGAGGGCCTGATGCATCCAGACACGACCCACCCGTCATGCCTCCCTCTGCTGGCCCCGCCGCCCATCCTGGCATCGTCGGTCCAGGCGGCCACGATGCCGGCCCCAGGCGCCCAGGCCTTCACGGCCCGGTGCGGCGACTGCCTCACGGAGCGCTTCTGCGTGTGCTGCAACAAGTGGTGGTGCGAGTCGTGCTACTACCTCCCCGGCCAGGGCATGGGCGAGCAGGTCGTCGTTGTCGACTACGAAGGCGGCTGGAGCTCGCTCGACAACACCGACGCCGAGTGGACGGTGGCCAAATCCAAGGTACGAAAGGGTCTCTGTAAGCCATGCACCATCGGCGATGGATCATCGACCAGACGCGCATCGTCATCCAGATGACCGCGGGGGCCGCCCGAACTCGCTTTTAACTAGCTGCTGGCCCCTCGAAATTGTATGCACTGTTTGCTGTCATGGTGATGCTTCCAGGGTGACGGCAGATTATCAAGGCGCGATCCCCTCATGGCCACGACATGCGCTGACGTTGAGAACCAAAACAGCCTAGAATTTCCCGAAGCTGCTGGGAATGCGGTAGAAGTGTTAGTTTTTTTTCTAGAATAATCCCCACCGGCCCATAAAATATGGCCAACGTGCCCTGAGCCCCTGGCTGACCATGATATCAGTGCGACGAGTGCATCGAGCGCACGCAGAAAGTCTGCAAGAAGTGCTGTGGCGGGTACTGCCTCACTCACAACGAGGGCTCGACCGAATCTTTCGTAAGTTGCACCGGCATCTCCCTGCACCGCTCTGTGACCATGTGCTGACAATGCCTGCAGTGCGATTGTAAGTTGTCGGCGTCATACCTTGCCACATGGCCACCTGGTCCTGGTCCCTGGCTATCAGCGTCTAATATTAACCGAATGATTAGGGTGCGTCTCTCGAGGTCGCGGCCTCACGCGTCTCTAACTGCAAGGGTCCGAGGCTCGTGGATACGCCCGCAGCGGCGGTGAGGGTCTTAGCAGGACACGCATGAACTGGCCGACAAGGAGACGGATATCGGTGATGATGATGGATAACACTTGAAAAATCATTGACACCCGTCGCCGAGGGGGTTGCTGGGCTTGCCTGCAGTGCAGATGACCTCGGGCGTTGAGAGTGCATTGCAGTCCCTGGAACAACGGGATTGGCACATATGACGGGTCGTGCGAAAGCAAGACAGGCAACCAGGCTGAGACTAGGACCTGTGGTGTTTAGGGCCATGTTGGGGGTTCAAATTGGCTAGGATTGATGACGATGGATTGTGCGGCGCAAAGGATTTCTTTTTTCTCGTCGTTGGACAAGATGTAAGGCTATGCTCTGAGCCAAGGAGCAAAGGGATGAAACTCGACTCAGGTACAGATACTCACCACTATTCGCAGGTTAATGCAATGCAATTGTTTGACGATTTCCATGTGTTTTCCACTTCGGTGCATGAGTACCGGCCTTGCATAATCTACGGATCCAATAAACCCGCCCTGATTTTACCGTCCTGGACGTGGAACGTGTCGACATCTACGGATACAAGACATGGGCGCATTAGAGGCACCCTGTCAACGTCATCAGTGGTCCCAGCCATGGCGCCAGGAATGGGGTGATTTATGGCCGCAGGTTTGAAGATGGGTTCTCTGGCGGAGGGCGGAGGCCATTCTCAGACGATCTCCCACGACGGCGCGGAAACAAGACGGACGTGGATCCCGGTCCAGCTCGGAAAGGCGAAGCGCAGCCGACGGGCATGACGACAAGCGACAGGCGACTGGTGACGGACGGCGGTGACGATATGACATGCAGGTGCAAATAGTCACACGCGCCATATCGGTCGGCTCGGCTCCAGGGCGTCATGGTGGCCGAGCCGTATCGAATCGCGGCCTGCTGATCGGCTTCAGGCTTGTCCGCTATACATAACATGGCAACCCTGCCGCATGCAAAACCAAGACGATTTTCATTCCTTTCTGCGATTGCTGTTTTGCTTTCTCTCCTCCACATCTTCACTCCTGCGTGACAAAACGTGCCCCCAACGGCCGTTTCCCTTGGTCCCCTTTTCAGCGTGTCACCGCTATGGCGCAAGCGGCCTAGCAGATGGCGCCTGGCATTTGTCCCGCGCGAAGGTGTCGGTCCGGACTGGTCTGGCTTGTCCAAGTCGGGCGGTCGTATTCGGGCGCCGAGGGCGATAGGTTCTGTTGATGAATCATGATGCAGCGGTGGGTTTGCTACGGCTGCGATTGTTGAGCGGGCTGGGTTGTGCTTCGATCGGATTTCTCGTGTGGATTCGGGCCGTGAATTTGACTGCTGTTTGCATCGCGGTGAACTGAACTGAACAGCTTCCTCTTTTGGATTGCTTTTCATGATTGATGTTTTCCAGGACACTTGTCCCGTAACCCACTGACTACTCACCTCTGCTCAGCTCGGATCTTGTGCGCCTGTCCGAAAACCGAACCGCGCCGAGATCTCCCCCTCCCGATATCGAACTCGATTATCAAGCCCCCCACTCAACCGCGCCCCTCCACCGGACCGACGTAGGAGAGCGTGAGAAAGACGAATTTTTGCCTCTGTCGCATCCTGTCTACTACATCCCATATCCGCTTGCTCTGCTGGTCAGGCGCAATGGCCGCCGTCATGCGAAAGCCTCTCTCCGAGGTGCTCCCGCCGCTCATCCTCGGCACGGCCACCTTCAACCACCAGTACCACCCGGACCCGACGCACATGCCCTACACGGAGATCGTCGGCCGCGCGCTCGCCCACAACATCCTGGGCTTCGACACGTCGCCGTACTACGGGCCGTCGGAGCTGCTGCTCGGCGACGCCCTGCGCAAGCTGACGCCGCCGCCGCCGCGAGAGGGATATTTCCTCATCACAAAGGCCGGCCGCATCGCGGGGGACCAGTTCGACTACTCGCCCGCCTGGATCCGCTACAGCGTGTGCCGCAGCCTCGAGCGCCTCGCCACGCCGTACCTGGACCTGGTGTACACGCACGACGTCGAGTTCGTGTCGCCGCAGGAGGTCCTGGCCGCTGTGACGGAGCTGCGCAAGCTGCGCGACCAGGGCCTGATTCGCTATGTGGGCATCAGCGGCTACCCGGTCGACACGCTGGCCGCGCTGGCCGAGATGATCCTGCGCGAGACGGGCGAGCCGCTCGATGCTGTCCTGTCGTACAGCCACTTCTGCGTCCAGAACAGCAGGCTGGGCGAGCAGCACCTGCTGGACCGCTTCCGCAGCGCCGGCGTCGAGTGCCTGCTCAACGCCAGCATGCTGAGCATGGGACTGCTGACCAGCCGCGGCGTCGACAACAGCCCCATGGGCGCGTGGCACCCTGCGCCCCAGGAGCTGCGCCAGGCGTGCGATGCGCTGGCTACGATTGCCCGCGACGAGGGCGAGCACCTCGAGGAGATATCCATCCGGTGGGCGCTGGAGAACTGGGCGCGCACCGGCTCGCCCTTCGGCACCAAGTTGATCCCCACCGCGGACCGGGACTCAGTGTCGGAGGCGCGCCTGGGCGTCAGCGTCATGGGCGTGTCGAGCGTGGCCGAGCTGGAGGAGACGTGGTCGCTCTGGAGCAGCGTGGCCGGGCTGGCGGGCGAGCCGGAGCAGCAGGCCGCGCAGCGCACAAAGATTGCGCGCATCGTCAAGGACAAGATGTGGCCCAGCCTCGGGCGGTGGAAGGACTACGCGTGGGAGAGCGGCGGCCCGTCGTTTGTGAATGCGCGGGCGGCCGTGGGAAGTGTTCCGCGCGATGCTGTTAGTGAGAGGTGGGGGTTGATACCCAGCGTGAGAGACACGCCCAAGATTTAGTCGGTAGTCGTAATGGCAGTATTTGCTGTGCTGTATCCCTTTATACTTGGTTGTTGTGCTTCAGATAATCACCCTGAAGAGCATCCCACGACTCTCTACTTAGCTGTAGCTGTTGCATCGTATGCCGCTCCTAGTCCCATGGCGCAACGCCACTGCATAAAACCGATGCAGATCAACACGACAGGCCAACCAGTGCCTAGACCGGACCGGCCCTATGTCAATCACATCCTTTCCGGTCCCGTGTTTTGCTCCCATTGAATTGAATCCCGGAACCTATAAAACCCTGAACGGCAGGAAGCTGTGGCTGCATACATGTAAGCCGGAGACGGTCACCTGTTCAACAATATATACAGTGAGCTCGTTAACAACATCTCTCAATCGCAATGGCCTTTTCTAGTAGACTCACTGCCTTCCTATCACTCGCCCCGTCAATTGTGACACCGGCACTCAACTGTCGGCCAGAGGGACCAGATGTGCCCAAACCGACATGTCTCACAGAGTCTCCTATCTTCCAAACGGCCGCCTCCAATCTAACAAAAGCTCTTGACGCTGCTGTTTCTGGGTCAATTGAAGCTGGCTGGGCCATGGAGAATTCCTCATTTTCGCTAGCCGTCATCAGCCATGATCAAGAAAACGCCGGCGTTCCAATCTGGGCATACCACCACCTTTCGCCAGAAAACACTCGAGGAACAAAAAGCCTAGACCGAAACTCACAGTACCTCATTGGCTCCATCTCAAAAGTTACGACTGTTTACATCCTTCTCAAAAGCGGTATTGACCTGGATGCTCCCGTCACCGAGTTTCTTCCCACACTCGACGACCCAAATTCGACCATCCCGTGGCAGAATATCACCCTGCGAATGCTGGCCTCGCATCTTGGCGAGGCCCCAGTGAATTTCAAGTCTCACAAAGTCCCAGTATACCGTACTAACCTGAGATAGATGGCTATTCCGAACACTATTCTCTAAAGGACGTCTATCTGGCGCATGGGCTTCCGCCTATGAAGGACAGTGATTTCCCGCCCTGTGGTGTTGCGAAACTCAACAAAGAATGTTCTGACCAACGTACGTTACGAACAGATATCTTTGATCGTTCGCACTAATCATTTGTGCAGAGGCCCTCGCCGGAATGACCAAGTTGTATCCCGTCGCCCCTCCCATGAAGCGTCCTGAATACTCCAACACTGGGTTCGCCAACGTCGGATCGGCCTTCGAGAAGTTCACTGGGAAGAATTACACGCAACTTGTTCAAGAGATCTTTTCCGATCCACTGAACCTCCAAGACACGTTTCCCTCGCCAGTGGGTGATGAGAAGGGTGTTATTCCCCCTGGTGACAGTAGCTGGGGCGCTGATTTTGGAACGAATACTCCGTACGTGAAGACCATGCATCGACAAAGAAGGAAAATAGGCTAATATGAGACCAATAAAGCTGGAGGGTTAGTATCCTCAGTGGCAGACATGTCAAAATTTGCCCACGCCCTCCTATCACGAACCCTGGATTTAACTACAACTGAGATCGAAGCATGGCTCAAGCCAGCCTCATTCGCGGGCGGTCCCAACTCCATGACCGGGATGCCCTGGGAGATCCTTCGCCTTTCGGACCTTACCCCTGACCATGTACATCCCGTGGCCGTTTGTGGGAAGAATGGTGCTACGGCCGCATATCGAAGCCAACTGAGCTTCGTGGACGACTATAGAATTGCCATCGTGGTTTTGACGGCTGGGCCGATGCAAGCTGCGCCGCTTCTCGTAGATGTGATATTGTCGACCTTTGTCTCTGTTGTTGATAAGGTATCACGATATCAAGCGAAAAATTACGAACGGGACTTCACCTCCCACGAAAAGACTCATGCCCCAATCAAGGCCACTCTGTCTCAAGACGGAGATTCCCTCGTACTATCCTCCCTCCACCGCAACGGAATTGATCTAGTCTCCGGCCTAATGGACGTCTGGTGCACGATCATGGGCGACTTTATCCCTGAAATCCTCCTTCCCATATAGATCTTCCCAACGGGGCTCTCCACCAACAGCATATTCAATGGGAAGCTGATCATCCGCGAAATCTGGCATCTCCGACCGGACCTCATGTCCAGCTTTAACACGGATCTTCCTAGGCGAGGGCTGCAGAATCAGAACTGCTGGGCCTGGACTATTCGTGACTGGGTTCACCACGCTGGGGAGCCGTTGGATCGAATGTTGGTGGACATGGATGAGGACGGTGGGATTGTCAGGTTAGAGTTTCCATTTCCAAAATCAGGGGTTCTTGTTCCCTCCTAGAAACTTCTAAGAAGCCATTTAAAGCTGGTGAGGTATCCCCTGGGCGCCCTGAGAGTTCGGAACAACATGCTTAATCTGGGTCAGGGGTGTTGGATTAAAGAGGCAACCAAGAAGTTAGTTTTGGAGCAAGAAATTACGTCACATGTTAACCATAGTTCGAATACTTAATATTTACTTTCTTTCGACATTCAGGGAGGCTTCTTCTCGGTGATACTTGATGCAACTCTCTGCCAGGTCGTCGCAGCGGCCAAGTGCTAAAGGACCGATTGCTGATGGAGCAAAGCACCCGCTAACTCTAACAGCAACTTGGAACCTATCCATATGCACATCCAATCTTTTTATCGTGTTTGGCCAGGCGGGATTCTCCGCTGCATAGCTGAGCTCTATCCGAGTTCTGAGGCTTCACCAAGAAATTGACCTTGCGCACTGCATCTCCAGAAGTTGAGCTTAAGCTATATTAAGCCGAACCAAGTGTTCTCCCGTTCGTATGAGTCTATCCGCTCCCGTGCCGCACGGCGGTGGTGCTGTGGTAGGATGTCGTAATATCTCTAGCCCTTTCTAATGCTTAAACATGAACATATTTCGAGCAAGGCTTCTCGTGCATGAATATTAGGCCAACTAGTGATTTCGGCAACCACTCCCTCTGTGGGACTAGAATTGTCCAATGGTAGTGAGATGGAAATAAATCAATGCTTCAAACGACGGAGATGTCTCCTTGATTAGCTTGAGGTGAAGTGGGATTAGACGTTGGTTTACGTCTAAAGTCTGGGATCCCATTATGCTTAATACCAAATGAGAGAGGCGCGAACAACATCTTCTTGAGTATGTTGTTGCCGGGTTCCAGCGTTATTTAACCGTCTCACGGCAGAGTTCTACATGATTTTCACTGTGCCAGGGGTGTAAAGGCCGGAGTCGACCAGAATGGCCAATTGAATGCCGCTTGGTATTTCCTCAAGCTTCTCCTTGCATGAACCCTTCTAGCGGCTTAAGTAAATAAATAGACCATTCCCTAATGCCTTTGTAAACAATCCATCCAACCACTTTCTCGTTCCCGCAATTTCCACCTAAACATCACTGCTCCCTAACAGCAGTAATCATGAAGATCAAAGCTACTCTCCTCATCATTGCTTGCGCTCTGCTTACGACTCATACCACAGCATCCCCACTGGACCCCCCTGCATCCCCACCGGACATCCCTGAGGAGTCGAACAACCTGCTCGTCAAAAGGCGTTCCGCTTTTCTAGAGGAGCCAAGATATGCCTTCACGAGTCTCAAGGGGTATCAAAGAAGGATTCTGCTGAGTAGTTGACCGTCATATAAGACAACTGCTCAGGGTATATATAGACAAGATGTCTTCTAAACACATCCTGACCCCACGGTCTATAACCTATTCTCGTCTCGACCACATGCTTATATGCATGGTGGCTGCTCGAAATCAGCAAAAAAAATCATTTCTTAAATATATTCGTAATTGGTTTCGCTCCTACACGCCGCTGGTTGAATTTTGGATTATCTTCGACTCTACACGAAGGCCCTGGCATTTGAGGTTCACGAATCTGACGAAAAGGCATACTATTAAGAAGTCTCGCTGGTGTTGGCTTCGTCAGAGACATTACGAAGAAGACTTGCAGTGGATTCACAAATCAGATGGACGAATTTTTTGTTTATCAGAACATATCGAGTGAATATTGAACATTTACGGGATACTGAATCGGTTCTTCAGAGAGGAGTGGTTTTCAATCCGGTTATTGGGGACCTGTTGTTGGTGCAGTACTCTAGTAATATTAGTGAAAACCAGTACGGGGACTGTAATTATTAATTGCAATTTTATTTAGCAATTATGACATTTGATATTGTGGAAGAAGTCCTTGGTGATCACGAAGAAGCCATGCAGGGTATCATGACTTGATGGCTTACGTAATCGGACATCCCACGTCAAGTCGCGTTTAGTCAATTCTCACATCCATCTTCACATGCACCTTTAATTTCGACAAGAAGCATGGCTGGAGGACGCCGGGCCAAACCCGCGGGACCAAAAGCGCCGACCACGACGCTCGTCATCGACAATGGCGCCGACACGCTCAAGGCCGGCTTCGTGCGCGGCGGCAAAATCGACGAGCCTCGCATCATCCCCAACTGCATCGCCCGCGACCGCTCGAGGAAGGTCTACGTCGCTTCGGACCTCGAAAAGTGCCGCGACTTTGGAGAGATCCAGTTTCGCCGGCCGGTGGAGAAGGGCTTCATCGTCAACTGGGAGGCGCAGAAGGAGGTCTGGGACCACGAGTTCTTCGACGACAATGCCCCGATGAAATGCGACCCGGCTGCGACGCGCTTGATCTTGGGCGAGCCACCCAACGGGCTGCCGATGCTGGAGACAAACTGCGATCAGGTCGTTTTCGAGGAGTATGGCTTTTCTAGCTATTACCGTGGAATAGGTATGGATTGCGCATGAGGCTGCCGTCGCAGGCTAACCAGGACAGGTCCGACATTCAACGCCTACCACGACATTCAGAGCATCTTCCAGACTCCAAAGGACGCCTCCACAGTCTCAAATACACCATCCGAAGCTGTCATGGTCATCGACTCTGGCTATTCCCACACAACCATCACCCCCCTGCTGCAAGGCCGACCACTGCAGTCGGCAATTCGACGACTCGATGTCGGCGGCAAGGTCCTGACCAACTATCTGACACGGCTCATCTCCCTCCGCCACTTCGACATGCGAAACGATACGTACATTGTCAACGAGATGAAGGAACTTTCCTGCTACGTAACGTCCGATTTCAAGTCCGACATGGAAAAGTCATGGAAGGGAACGCGGGGAGAACGACGTCCTGATTTTGTTTCTGGAGGTGGTCTCGCCAAGGACTATATCCTACCAGACTTTCATACCCGCTCGAGAGGAGTCCTCTGCGAATATGAACCCGCCCGGCACTCGAAAGCAAGAAAGGCAGCCGGACAGTCCGAGGAGGATGCATTGACGTTGCGCAACGAGAGATTTGCGGTACCGGAACTCATCTTCAGCCCCTCCGACGCAGGGATCCGGCAACCTGGTTTGGCCGACCTCATCCAAGACTCATTGAATGAGCTCCCGGCAGGTCTCTGGCCCAGCATGTTGGCAAACATTGTGGTTGTGGGCGGCAATGCATTGTTTGATGGCTTCATCCAGCGCCTGCAAAAGGAGGTGGTTCAACGAGTCCCCGATGATTGCATTGTCCGTGTTGCTAGACCAGCAGACCCCATCACCAATACGTGGTACGGTGGAGCAAACCTCGCCAACCACTCGCAAATAAACAAACTAGCTGTCACGAAACAAGAGTACGAGGAGCACGGTGCTGCTTGGGTTGCTCGGAAATTCGCCACTGGTCTGGGAGTTTGAACCAGATGATGACCTTTGGGGAAATATTCCTGTTGAGCACGTGCATCTGTTGTCGTTCCAAACAAGACAATTGTGACAGTCACTGGAATATGAGGAGACTCTTACGCGACGGATTGTCTTGGAGACTTGGGCTCCTCAAGCCAGTGGATGCCCTACAGTCCAACGACGATCCCACCCTCTTATCCTGAGGCTTTGGTTGGAGCCTCGGCCTTCATTCGGGTCTGCCAGGGGGGTTGGTTCATAAGAAGAGGGAGCGCACAGGGATGCTTCCATCACGATTGGGCAAGTCAATGTGCGGCATACAATGTCCGTTTGTTGCTGCTCCGAACTGGCCTTGCCTTGGCGCTAGACGGGGCAATCATTGTGGTTTCGTCACTTCCACCCTAAGCGGCCACTGGGACCCAGAGGTCTTGCACTGTGATTCCTACAATCTGCATCTTCATGATCGAAGTGGGATGGAGCAATGCCGTCCACCATGAACAGTCGTCGGTAACATGGCGACATGTGTGAGAACAAACATGTTCCGTCTCCCATCCACTCTAGACTACAACCACTCTGCTGGAATAGGGCGCATGTTGAGAACATGATGTATGCTTAATCAGATAGCAAACTGTAGTCAGTCTACAAACACTCGTCGCGTCATTAACCATCAAACAATTCCCGGGTATCTTGAACGTCCAACCAAACAATTACTTCCCGCCATCAACACGAACAATTATTTTCCCTCCGCTCGATCCCTTCTTCAACTGCGCAAACGCCCTCGGTGCATCCTCAAACTCAAAGACGGAATCAATCACCGTCTTCACCTTGCCCTCCGCCATCCACGCCGCAACCTGCTCCAGCGCCGCGCGGTCGCTGTAGATGTTGAAGGCGACGAACCTGCGCCGCCCGCCGCCCAGGAACGCCGGCAGCAGCAGGCTCCGCGCCAGGCTCGCCGCGCTGCCGCACGACACGGCGCCGCCGACGAAGACGAACTTGGCGCCCGGCAGCAGGCAGTGGTGCGACGTCGCGTACAGGTTCGCCGGCGCGTTGCCGACGTTGTCGACGAGCAGGCTGAAGACTTGGCCCTTCTTCTTCAGCTCGGCCACCACGTCGCTGCTCGTGTAGTCGATGATGTCGTCGGCGCCGGCCGCCTTGCAGAGGGGGGCTTTCGCGGGCGAGCATGTCGCTGTGACGTGGCAGCCGAGCGCTTTGGCGATCTGGATGCCGAAGAGGCCCACGCCGCCGGAGCCGCCGTTGATGAAGATGCGGTCCCGGGGCTTGATGTGCGGCGCGATGGTCAGGTACGCCGTCAACGCGGCCGTCGTAACGCCGGCGGCCGCGTCGAGGTCCACGCCGGCCGGGACGGCGACGCACGAGTCGTAGTCCACGACGACAAACTGCGCCAGGGTGCCGGCCCGCTTCACGGCGGTGACGCGGCCGAGCACCGCATCGCCGGGCTTAATATCGCCGACCCCGGCCTCGGCGACGGCGACGACGCGGCCACTAAAGTCCATGCCGGGCGTCTTGGGGAACTGCGTGAGTGCGCGGGAGGCGACGCCGAGGCCGACGACCTTGTAGTCAGCCGGGTTAAGACTGGCTCTGGCGACCTCGACGAGCAGCTGGCCGTTCTTCAGGGGCTGCGACGGGCGCGGCGCGTCGGCGACGAGGACGAGGGTTTGGTCGATGGGGCCTGGGGCGGGACAGTGCCACGCGCGCATGAGTTGTGCCATTGTGACGGTGTGAATGATGTGTTGCGCTTAGGATCCATGGCGGAAATGGCAGACGGCGAAAGGCGACTCTTTAAATGACACTTCTCCAAGATGAATGGCGAGACTTGTCACGTTAGGAGATCAGGTGGTATCATGGCGGAAAGTCAATTACCCCGCGGGCGGGAACGGAGTCGGGAGAACTGATGATGCATCTATGACCTATTGTTAGTTATTCTTGGCGGTTGCTTCCAAAGCCTACTTACATCCAGCCTCTGCTTCCATGAGAATGTGATGTTTGGACTGGCTAATGCAATGATGAGTGGGTTCGAATTCAGACTACCGTGGTGGCGGCGGGCTAAGAGATGGCCCTGCAAGACTACCAACATGTTATTTAGACTGCAGTCGAAAATAGACAGGGATGTATTGGCCGTGCCATATCTATACATAATTGAACTTCACATGATTCAAAAGAGGAGCAAGTATTAAAGAAATATTCATTCTGTTTGGTGTTTATATCTACACATTACGCACATGTAATCCCCGTGCCGCCGCTTCAGTAGGTATAAATCGTGCATGCATTAACTAGTTCGAGCCCGACTGAGTATCAAAGACGGCTTCGACACAGGGTTCTCCATTCAACAGCTTAGGCCTCGCCCTTCTCAACGTACTCAGTCTCAGTGGCAGTACCAGCAAAGGTGGTGGTGGGCTTCCACTTGGCCGAAGTGCGGGGAGTGGTCTCCTCCATCATCTTGTCGACCTGCTCCAGAGTCAGGCCCTTGGTCTCGGGGACCAGGAAGTAGGCGTAGACAAAGGCGCAAGTGCAGAGGCCACCCCAGACGAAGAAGACGGACGACTTCATGTTGCCCTTGTTGGTTCCGACCATGTAGGGGGTGATGACGGCGATGATGGTGTTCCACAACCAGTTGGAGGCGGTGGACAGACCGACACCACGCGATCGGATGGGGAGAGGGAAGATCTCGCCGATGACGATCCAGGCAGCGGGGCCCCAGGTGGAGGCGAAGAAGAAGATGAAGATGGCGATGAAGGCAATCTGGGCGTTGACGGCCGCGATGTTGTCGGCAATGGTGGCAGTAGAGTCGTTGGGGTCTTCGTGGGTCTTGTTGAAGCCGATGGTGACACCAATGATGGCAACGAGGAACTGGCAGACGAGCATGCCAAAGGCACCAATGATGAGGATGCTACGGCGACCGAAGCGCTCAACGGTCCAGAAGGAGAGAGGAGTGGACAGAACGTTGACGAGGGTGAAGACGAGAGACATGAGGAAAGCGTTGTCAATGGCGCCAGTAGACTTGAGGAAGACGGTAGAGTAGTAGAAGATGAAGTTGACACCAGTCCTGTAGAATTGGTTAGTGAGAGTTTAGAAGTGGGTTGCTGAAGAACGCTTACCATTGCTGCATCATCTGCATGGAGGTACCGAGGATGGTTCGTCGAAGGTTTGACTTGGAGTCCCAGAGGCTGCCCTTGAAGCAGTTGGCCCAGCTGCCGAACCAGGTAGTATCGGGGATGAGAGCACGCTCGTACTCCTCGTTGGCGACAATCTCGGCAATCTCGACCTGGACGAAGTTGGACTCCTTGGGCTGGCCACGGACGCGGGACAGGGCCTCAATGGCATCTTCGATGCGGCCGCGCTTGACATAATAGCGGGGAGAGTCGGGGAGGAACATGAGACCACCGCCGAGGATGAAGGCCCAGGGGAACTGGATGCCGATGGGGATGCGGTAGGCGCTGGCGTCCTTGCGGTCCTGGGTGGCGTAGACGACGACGGAAGCGAGGAGAAGACCGATGGTGATGCAGAATTGGTAACCGGCGACGAGGGCGCCACGAACCTTGCGGGGGCACTTGATGGGTTGTTAGTAGGTTGACGAGTGGAGGAAATGGAAGAAACTCACGATTTCAGACATGTACAGGATAACAATGGCAGACTCGAAGCCGACACCGACACCGGCAATAAGACGACCGACGACAATGGCAGCGAGAGCATCACCCTCGCCAGTAATCATCTGAATGACAACACCGATGGCGTAGATGGCACAACCCAGGATGACAGTCCACTTGCGACCGATGCGATCGGCAAGGTCACCGGCGATGAGGGCACCGAAGAAGGTACCGCAAGACAGGATGGAGGTGATGAGCGAGGTGTGCGAGTCGGACAGGGAGTCGGCGTCCAGGCCCTCGACCTTGTGGATGAAGTAGGGCGAGCCGTTGACACCGTTGATGTAACCGGAGTCGTAGCCGAAGAAGATGCCACCGAACGAGGCGAAGGCGCACATCAGGTAGGCCTTCCAGGTGACGGGAGCTTCGATCTGCTCGACATCCTGGGTGGTTTGGAGGTTGCCGACGACCGAGGCCTTGCGGTCCTCGGTGTTGTTTTCGACGGAGCCCATGGCTGCACGCAGGAGGTGTTAAAAGGTAGAGAAGAGTTGAGGTGTGGTGATGATGGTGATGGAGAGGATGGCGGAGGAAGTCTAAGTGAGACAGGCTGATCGACAAGAGCAAGACAGTTCCACGAGGCAGGAGGGACGGGGGCTTTTATTGTCGACGAGTGCTTCACTCCGGGGCCGCAGCTGTAGGCAGTTGATCACACATGACGCCTAAACGGGGGACATAACAGGCCTGGACCACACGCCGCCGCGCGCTTCCCCGTGGCGACCCCAAGGGGACAGGGAGTCTTGCCATTTCCGCTGTTGCATCCACCCCCGGAATGAAGCTTGACATTGAGCTTGAGCATGGGTTTGGGGCATCTGGGGTTGCGGTGGTGGTTTGTCTGGGGGTGTGGGTGAGTGGGTGAGTGGGTGTGTGTGTTGGTGAGTGGTCAGTGGTGTGCGCGGTGCGAGCGAGCTGTGAGCTGCGAGTTACCAGAGCACCTACAGACTCTGATCGGGAAGTGGATGGATGGGATCTAGGGGGCGTGGCCGTAAGAACCCGACCAGAGGGGCCCTCCTCGTGTGGTGTCTCGGGCGTCCGTCTCAGCGGGCCAAAAATCTCCATCAGCACTCCATCCATCCAGCAACTGCGTGGCCGTCCCACGATGTCCAGCATTTCCGGGGAACTTGGGTCGTGGGGTTTTGCGGGCCCCCGGCGGTGCGGTCGCGCGCAAGGGGGACGAGGAGGGGGCTACGAGGTAAGGCCGATGGGAGTGGAGTGGACGGTTGGCCCACACCGTTGCGGCCGGCCAGAGAAGCGCCGAGTATGGCCGGCCGTTGTTTTTGCGAGGTTGCTCCACGCCTCTCTTGTTCTGGACGCTGCTTGTTTCTGCTGGCCACGGGGTCGCCGGTGTGTTCTTTTTTTTCTTTGCTATTTGCTAATGGAGACAAACCGAGGAGCTGGATGGGTTCGGGGCTGGGCCATGGCGAGACAAGACAGAGACAAACCCGGAGCCTGGTTCTTGCTTGACCCGTCGTTGATTCACATGACCTTGACCGCGGCTGATTCGAGACACGGCACTGGCGCTGGAGATCTGGCGCTGAGCAAGCCATGGCGATCGGGTGCCCAGGGGGTGGTGCTAGCACATCCATCAACCATCAGATCAGGATCAGACTTGCAGAGTAACAACAAGCAGCAGTTAATTAATTACAACTCTACTACTAGTACTGTACTGCTGCACAGCACCGGCGACCATCTACATAGAACACGCACACAACACAGCTCCGTGCTCCATTCGTCCCTCCACAGCACATCATTACACGCTCCTGTCCACTCACAGCCACGCTCCCACACGCCCTGTGGCTCTCGTGCCGTCTATGCGCGGGGAAACCTCCCTGGGGATTGATTGCCCCCCCCCCCCCCCCCCTGGCCCTTGGGACGGCCGCCCTCAGGGGTCCCAATGGGTGAATTTTCGGTCGTACTCAACACGCTACTCCTGGCCTACGACTGCATGGGTGGTTGTAATTGACCGAGCTGGGACCTCAGGACCTGTGCCTTGGTCAGGCTTGGCACCACTTTTGTATTGAAATCTGGGATTATTCTGCGGAGAATGGAGAATCCCCAGCTCCTGCACCCTTTGGCAACCCGGGGTCGAAGAAAAAAGCTTGGGGTTTTCGGGGCATTCGGGGTTGTTCGAGGGGGGGGGGTTGCGAACTTGCGCCGCCCAAACTTCTTCTTCGGGAGCTCTAGACGCGCGCTATGCAAGCACTTGAAAGCCTTCATCACCCTTTTTCCTGTCCTGTCCACCTTCTTTCCCCCTCCCCCGCCCCGCGAGCCAGAGTGCCTCCGAGCCGGCGACCGAGGGTAGTGCGCCCGCCATGTGCCCGCAAACCCCAGAGCTCCCCAAGTTTGTTCAGGTTTGCTCATCCGGGGGGGGGCGGTGATGGGTGGATGACAGCGAGGGGGGAGGAAGCGGGAATGGGGAAGGGGGAAGCGCATTTCGCCGAGTGAGCTGACTTGAACCGGCCAAGCAGCTCGCATCCTGTACGAAAAGCATGTGTACATGACGGCCAACGGGTAGCTAGATGCTGGTCAAGCTTGTCACGATGCTCCTTCGCTCTCGCAGGCGAGCTCTGGATGGCGCCGAAATCGAGGGGCGCCACCTTGTCACGAGCGCCGCGAATCGCCCTGTCATGCACAAGGCCGGGCCGAAACGTCATTGCTCGCTGGGTTTGGCATGGAGGGATTGCTTGAACCCTGGGAGAACTGCGGCGCACGAGCCCGCCAAGACGCCCCCGATCGATGGATTGACGTTTGGTGGTCGCTTCGTAGGTGTGGTGTTGGTGGTGTTGAGGCGTTGACTGGTCGGACCACTGTAGAGGGCGGTAGAGAGACCGAGATGGTGCATCCCAGTGCATCCAGTGAATCTCGTGAATCCCAGTTCATCTCCGTTCATTCGGCGCATTCAGTACCTTCACTGCATTCATTGCATCCCAGGTGCATACACATCACATCCCTACAACTCACCAATTCCCACACCCAACCATGTCCTCCGATCATCGCTCATCCAACCCCATACGCAGTAGCATTGCAACTTGCAACAATCAGTCGACAATCACATTCCCATCTGTCGGCTCCGTCCCCAAAACGTTACACCACCAAACCCGGCCGGTCATCCTCCATCACTCGCCCGAGATCTAAATTAAGACCGAGACAACCCGGCACCACAGGGTTGGTTTTTCTACAACGGGTAGCAAAAAAAGGCAAAAAAAATACAATGAAAAACGTGGGAACGCGCAAAAAGTAAAAAAAAAGGCTAAACATTGTGTCGGATAGCCGCTCGGCCTCCCGCGTGCGCTGGCATGTCTCTCGCTTGTCCCGCCACTCAAAAAACGTGCCTGTGTTTCGCGATGCCTCTATTTCCGAGCATTCCAGTTGCGTCAGCGCCCACTCCGCCGCGTGCGCACCGCAGGTCACACGAGCGGGTGACTCAAAAGTTGAGACGGGGGGCTCCAGTTAAAAAAAAGGAAGAAAAAATACCCGATCAAAAGGAAATAAAACAAATCGAAAAGAGATGAAGACAGAAAATAATGGAATTGCGAGGCCGGTACCGACAGAGACGTGACCAAACAAGCTTAAGCCGTTCGTCAGATCACTCACACGCTGACACAACATCTCCTCATTTTCTTCTCCACGAACAGTAGGCAATTGAATGGGCCTCTCTCTTTTTTTACGGAGGTCCGGAGTCCCCAAAGTCCCCTACGGAGAACCCTTACCTTACCCTGCGTAACCACCTGGCCATTGGTGCCCGAGGCGCAAAAAGACTGGAGTCGGCGAAATCGACACGCCCTCTTCTCCTCCGGGGATGCTTCCTCCATCTTTGGGCCCCATTCTTTGCTCCAGTCCATTCTTCTGCCCCAGCTGCCCCCAGCCCAGTTCCAGTCCCGGAAATCTCGACGCACCCTTTTTTTTTTTTTTTTTTGCTTAGCACCCGTTCCCTAGCCTCGACCATTCTCCGGGTCGTGGGATCCATTCTGGCACCATGGCTCCAGAGTGAGTCCGACCGAGGCCCCACCGCCCATCCTTGATTGCCTCGCCCACCCTTGCGCGGCCGCGACGAAAAAATCCTGCGAAATCATATTACGGCCCCCCGGTGCCTCGTGACGTGCAAGAAAAATACGCTGGCCGGCCCGTTACGCTGGTCACTGGTTTGCTCTCACTTTCGGGTGGGCCCCGTCCCCGGAGGCATGGCTTCGGAAAGCCGCCGGTGGCTTGTTCCAGCTGTTCCAACGGGGAGACACGACGGGCCCAATTAGTCAGGACGGAGCACACACAAGAGGCTAACATGGACAGATTGGGCAACAAGGCAATCGGTTCCGACAGCTGAAGTCCCCGAGTTTGTCCCAGAGCCCCAGAGTCCCGCCCTGACTCCCCTCCTCCATCATGACATCCCCGTTATAACACCGAACACCCACAGCGCCCCCCGTCACGGCACCTCGTCACGGTACCTCCAGTCATGGGTTACCAATGCAGACAGACGCCCTCATTCCGGCCCTTTTCGAGTCCTGCCGTTCAGCTCCCGCGTGAGCTCCCGGTCAGCTTCCGTCCCAGAGGTTGGGTAATTGCCTTCCGCCCGTCCTACCCGACATTTGCCCTGTCCCCCATATGGTTTGTCCTCCCATCTAGGATCCAGCTGTGCGGTCCTCGCATCGTCTCTGGCCTCTCTCTGGTCTGTCCTAGATCACCGTAGGGTAGCATTAACGCTGAGCCGTGAGTTGCCATGCTACCCTCCACTGATCCATCTTGCATGCTCAATATTACAGATCCCGCTCCCATTGGTTTCGAATTTGGCATCGCGTGTATGTACGCGCCGCAGCATACGCGTACCGACAAAACCTTCGCCGTAGGATGCAATATTGCCTGCTTTCCCAGCATGTGTCATGTTCTTGTGTACCACTAATTTAAACCTGGGCCGTGTCCAACAGTTCGTGACAACTTGGGAGACCCTCTGAATAGGGATAACCAAGATGCCCCGTACCATTCTAGGGAATTTGCGATCGACCCAAGAAGGTACCTTGTAATAGTATCCCCAATATTGCAGGGTCCCCGATGCGACCTGATGACTCGCTCTCGTACGTGCCTTTTCGCTTAAAGTATCAGGTGTTGAGAGCTCCAGGGTAGTACTGGTTCATTTGGTTCAACCTGATCTTGGATACAGTACGATCATTGGGCCTTAGGTCTACCATTATGAAAATACCACTTAAAATATAACCCTAGTAATATCTAGGAATAAACGCAAGCCCTATGAAGTATTAAATTCTATTTTTTCAACTGCTATATTAGAGATGTTGGTCCTTATTATCTGTAGGGTTGGAGTACAACTTTTGTGTGCAAATAGCAAGTTGCACATGTGCGAATAGTAATGCTTAATAATTAATATCGTCTTGCGTTTACTAGGCGCCTGCTTCCCATCCAAGACTGTGATGTGTAGGGTTGGCTGGAAATCCTGACCATGAGAGATCAGCACTCAATCTGATCAATCTGATGTCCACAATGCTCCACTTTGCCAGATCCAGCACAAGGCAGATCCAAGACAGATCAACTTTAAAGCTCAGTCGTGCATTGCATTTCAATACCCGGATGCCCGGAAGAGTCGGATTTATCGTGATCACGGCTACCCTGTATTGTCGTTGTGGCGAGTGGCTGACTCCTAGCTGAGCCGAGGTCTGACATCGGAGACTTGCCAAGGTTTGGGCAAAACTGCCAAAGCACGCAGATTCTGGCGCCACCGCCACAAGAGGTTGAAGATTGGGCGTCCCTTTAGATCTTCACCAAGCTGAATCAAGACATTGTCCCGGCCGAGTCGTTCGCCATGACCTCCGCTATTACTTGTCTCAGCCCCAGCGCCTCAACTAGTGGCGGACGCTCTGACCCGTCAGCGGCCGCGTCGGGCAATGTTCTGGAAAGCGTCTTTAGAGGTGGCTTGACTCGGGAGCCTCGGCATGACCGAGTTAGACTCAATCGAGGCATTGCACTTCAGCCGCCTCCTGTGATAGCGTGAAGCGTAACAAGCGTCCGACTTCGCCACATTGTCTGTGATTTGTAACTTTATTTCGACCATCGTTTTTTTCCTCTGGTGGCTAAGAGGGATTGTCCTATCATGCTAGCAGTGAAACAAGACGCCTGTCTCAACTTATGGGTATAATGTATGAATTGCACATTCTAGTTCTATGTATCATGTATCCTATGTCTCAAATGCGTTATATGCAATGCCCAGGCTCTATGTAAAAAATCACCACTGGAAGCTCTCTTCAAAATACTCTATCCGAGTAATGCCGCTGCTCAGCATGTTGGTGACCGTCTTCCTCGCCGCGTCAGCCATCTGTGCTGGCCCGCAGGCGACCACGGCCAGACTCTCGCCAACCGCATTCCCCTTGACCGAGCTGATGATTGAAGGCGCGTCTATGCGGCCGCTGTGAATATTTACCTGCGATGGCCAGTCGCGCGACCCATCTCGCGGGTAAGACGTGAGATGGATATCTATTGACAAGTTCGAACTGCCCAGAGCGTCCCCGATGTCCCGTTCGAGAACCTCCAGCGCAAACTCCGGTTCGCGGACGGCCCAGTGGATCTGCACCGATTTTGGCGAACTCGCGCCCGTCAGGACCTGGAGGTATGACAGCGCGACGACGATGCCGCTTCCTCCGACCAGGAAAACAACGTTGTCGAAGAGGTGGAACGGCTGTGTGTGTCCGTACGGTCCGTCAACGAGGACGCGCAGAGGCGCCTTGCTGGGCCACCCCTTGGCAGCCATGTCTCGAAGACGAGATGTAAACCCGTCGTACGGTCTGATGAGGAACGTCATCGAGCAGTTGTCCTCCTCGATGCCCTGGTCATCAGCGGCACTGGAGCATGGCTCCGTATCGCCCGACTCGAGAAGCGGGACTTGCTCGCCCAGGAGTTTCGAGGCTGTCTGGCTATTGTCCAACACGGACGCAACTGTGAACGGGTGGCTCTCCCAGAAGCGCGGTCCGTTGAGCACGTGGATGTAGTAGTACGTGCCCGGCGCGGGCTTGTAGAGGCTGGTGCCCCACGGGATGCTGACGCGAATGATGTTGGACGACTCGTTGAATGTTGCGCTCGCTAGGGTGCGCCAGAAGTTGGGATTGAAGGCCATGATCCGAAGGGCTCGGAACGCGCGGTCCGCTACCCAGATAAAGGCTGGGACCCAGAAGAGTCCGTCGTACACTCCGTCAAAGATGGAAACGTGGCTATGGGCTGTCAGCAGCTGGTTTCTTGTTCTTTTGCTTCTAGATACTTACCCAAGCATTGCCACAAGCACGATGATTGACATGACGATGTGGACAATGAGGAACAACTCGTACTGCTGGCGTCGAATCCAGTAGAATGATAGGCCCAAGAGAATCGACATGGCGACAGTGGCCTAAATTGAAGTTAGCGAGGCCAGTATAGCCTGTAAATTGTTACTCACAATCTCGCCTGTCCACCAGAACATGTAAGTCCACCAAAATGCAAAGCCGGACCAGCCACCCTCTAAGATTTGTCAGTGTTGACATTCTCTTGCACAAACCATGAAGCATACCTTTGATAACCAGAACTGTATATCCCACCGAATGCACGATGGCCTGGAGGGTTGCAATGCGGGCGACCCATCGATGAAAGTTGTTGTAGGTTCCGAAGTCCCATCCCGTCAACCACATGAGTAGGTTATTTCGCATGCCGAACAACCAAATAATCGGGAAGTTGGCAAATGAGATGATGCCCGTTCGATCAGAGACGTATCGGATAACTTGCAACTCGACGGTATTGAAGCTGGTAGACGTGAGCTTCATCCATCCAAGGACATGCAACCAAGTCAACTTACTACAGGTTTACCGGTACGATTCGATATCCAATCACACTCAACACGACGTTCACCACGAGGAAGATCAACATGGTGATGGTCTGTATCATAGGCGGAACGGTACCCCAGCCAACCTTTTGAGCACACCGTGTCCCAAGGGTGGCGGGGACCGAGATGATGTTGACTAGCCACGAGTACCAGTGTGATAGTTGGCGTGGTGGTTTGAATGGGAGCCGGCTGACTGCGTTTGAATTAGAAACGGCCGAGATGGCGTGGTTCGCAAATCCGATGGCGACAACAGCTACCCAGAAGGCAATCATAGCAGCGCTGTTACCAGTCAGTAGGGTTTCAATCAGAGACCTGGCAATTTCGTACCCATAGAGGTGATGATATTTATAAACGTAGGCCACCGAGTCCTTGCACGGTCAGCTTGGTCCAAGTCGAGGGAACTGTGTACCAACCAGTGTGTCCCACCAGACACCGAAGAACGCTTTGGAGGGTAATACAACCTCCCTAAACGTCTCGGCCTTTCCCGTCTCGTTCATTTCAATCCTGCGGATGCTGCCGATGTCGATCGAGGTGTAATTTGACACAAACTCGAAGGGCGGGATTGTCGTGCTGGCGTGCTCCCGGCACGTTTGATTCAGCGGCCCGAGTCCCACGGCCCGAGCCTCAGGCATGCAATAAACTTGGAGGCATAGATACAGCGCCGTCAGATGGCGTTGGCTATGGCAGGTCTGGTTCACGAGCGCCTGGCTCTGCTGCATGTCATCGAAGTGCACGGCGCTGAGCGTCTCCTGGCACGCATTAAAGCAGACCTGCGGCGCGTAGTCGCCCGAGGGTACGGCTGCGACAACCCACGGCGCCGCGAGGAATAGCGAGGCTCTCAAGGAGAGCACGATCCTCATGGCCGCGGTTCGCAGCGTCGCTGGGTTAGGTGTGTAGAGTCTCGGCAGGGTTCATGCGAGGTTTTTTATCAGATCATCTGATAATAATTATCGGAGCGGCAGAGGCCGACGGCGAATATCACGTGATTATCCTCAAGGACGGGTACGAGCGCGTCTCCACAGTACAGGGAGGATTGACTGAAATGATGACCGGATTTGTTTGTAGTCATGCGCCAAGTCGTGGTCTGTGAGGGATAGAGGATGAAGTCATCCAGCTGAATTTGTGAGGCGTTTGGAGAGCCTGAGCTGAGGATCATCCTTTCGTGCTGCAACTCGCGCCCGTTCCACATGCATATCCACCAGGCAGCATGAACCCGTTCCGCCACAATACTTTATTATGCAGCATCAAATCATCCTTGGCCTATTTGAAATGTTAGTGCATGGGTTTAGTTTCTTCCCAGGTGTTTTGATCTCACCGACCGTCAAATCACAGACGTTGTGCCCTATTTCCGTGGTTGCTTAAGAATGGACTGTGCTCCGATCATCGGAGACGAATAATACTGAGCCTGGTGCAGTTTATGCTATCCTGTATAAAAAGCGCTAGGTCGGAATGGGCCAGCGGATAGAATAAACTGAGTATCCATGAGCCTCTTCGTTATCTATCCTATCTCCCATCTTTATTCCGTCTACATTCGCCAACTCCCATAGTTGGGCTGGAAGAGTGTGATACAAGCACGCGAAATGTCACTGTGTTGAAACATACCAAAATTATATGGGCAACGTATTATTTTATCGGCCCAAGGTGGGTTTGATCGTCAAGTGAGATCAAGAAGCATATCTAAGTCTAAGTTGTATGTACAGGAGCGAAGAAGACCCCAGAGAAGCAGAATGCATCTACTGGGTGTACAGGCAAGCGTTGGGGTTGAGGCTCTCGACAGCGCGAGCAGAGAATCCCAGGCATCCCTCGTTACCGGCGGGCTGGTCAACACCAGCGTTGACCCAGACACTCCACGAGTCGTCGATGCTGTTGGGGCAGGCGAGGAAGCCGGCACCGTCGAGGTTCAGGTTACCGGCGTCGTCGAGACCCCAGCCGGTGAGCTCGGCGTTGCGGGGAGGAGGCTGGGCTCCAGTGACGTAGCCGAACTTGCCTTGGCCTGTGATGTATGGTTAGCTAAAGTTGAGTTCCTAGTCCACGCATCTTCATTGTGAAGTGGAGGCACGGTAAAGAAGTTGCTTACCCATTCCAGAGCGGTCAGCGTAGAGCTGCTGAGGAGGGTTGCTGTTGGAGTACAGGAACAAGCCGCCGTCGTTCAGGTAGAAGGTCGCGGCGCCATCTGAGGTGGCATCGCAAGAGGCGTTTGACTTGGGCAACTGCAGGAAGACGCTGCTCAGAGCGGCGTTGAACTGGTTGAAGTGAATGTCGCTGGCAGATCGCAGCGTCAGGATGGTGAAGGCGGAGGGGGTAGCCACAGGAGTGGTGGCGGTGACGGTGGCCTGGGGAAGGGCAGAGGCGAGGCCGACAGCGACGAGCTGGCTAGCGATGATGTTCTTGATCTGCATGATGGATGTTGTTGTGGTTGTTGTGGATGGTTTCGAAGGTGTGAGTGTTGACTGTGTTGAGGAGATGGATGGTGAGTTGAGGTTGGATTATCGACAAGAAACGGCTTCCATCACCCTCTTATATACAAATATCGAGTCCAAACAACCGAAAGTCCGGATGTTGATCATCTCGTAACATTCGGACCCAACTGACATCATGAATCCCAGCATTGGTTAGATTAAGGGCAATACGAGAACCGACCCTCTGCCGACATGGCCCCGCAGGGTTCCGCCTATGAAGTCGCGACCACGGACTCACCCGCCCGCCACATCGCGTTTACTGCAGATCGTTTCGCGGCTGAGACCTCTTGGCTGATGTTATTCGGTGTTAATTCTCCGAATTGCAGGTAGAGTAGTCGTTGGTTGAGGATTCGAACACTGGAAGCATGGCGACGACTTCGGACATTTCGGATGAGGCAAACATGATCTTGCATTGAATCCACAAGTCGACAGGGAGCTGAAGGTCTGAAACAATCCCCGACGTCTACATGCGATACCCGTTACCGCTCATTCCATATGCCGATCGGATGTCTTTATTTAGCCACTCGTGGGCCATATTGCTCTCGCTTGGGCTCAATACGAGCCATTAGGTTTTTGGACAGAGCAGACGTGTCAAACATGTCCATGCAGGGAAATGGGCTTCCCCATTGTTAAAGCACCGCTTTGTATCGAATACATTATAGCCGTGCGAGGTTGGGATCGGCAGTTGAAACATCCACTTTCTTTGCAACGTAGGAGCGCATTGAATTCCGTCCGGATGGGATCATCGCCTTGACCGACTTTGCCACCTCTATTTCTGTCACCAGGGCTATTTCGCCTGGCCTGCGATGCTCTGGTCAGGCGACACGCTTGGAGGAGCCCATTTCATGACATCATGCTCCGCTATCCTCCACTACCGTGCACTAGCGACTTCATCCGACTTCCGCGATAAAAGCCCGAAGGGTCCATTCTTCCCCGCAAATCTGTCGGTGTGCGTCCCCAATACAAAAGTCATAAGTATAGAGGTGTTGCCCTCTCTTGTCTGTGTGATAATGTGCGACTTGGCCGTTACTCTCCCCGTGCTCGTCACGGCTCTCTCATACTTGGCGGCCTGAAATGGCAATCCTGATTCCTCGTCCCAGATGAGAGTCACACCACTCTTCAAGAAGCCAACAAATACAGAAAACATAACCTGAATCTTCTAGTTGGCTTTCTATTTGTGATTTGGCATGAGGGGCGATTTTATGCATATGAACCATCGCCGCATTGGCAGTTATGATTTAACTATGCAGACTAAGAGCCAAGATAATCTAATCTTAGGGGTTTTGGTAGCTTATAGTCACTTCCCGGGCATGATCGGTTGCATAAAAGGGCCTGGGATTCTTGTGACCTAGTTATTCTGTCCCATGAGATTCATTTTAGGTGGAAAGGTGACATTGCTAATTAATCACGCTGTAAACGCAGGGGTTGTGCTCCCCATCAAGAACAGCCACGGGGCACAGTAAGGCTGGGCATAATGCAATGAATCATAATTAAGCGCACCCAGTCCTCTGTTGTGTTGAGAATAAACCATGTCTTGTTGTTTCTTTCCCAGAGATTCATGTGCCTTGTGCCTATTCATTGAGAAGCTACTATTTCCATCAGACACCTCTGTTCAGTAAGTTTAAATTTCTGGCTAGTTTCATACTCTGGGCTATCCCAGCAATTGCCAAGACAGATATTGAGGGATGCACTTCGTACGTCAATTTTTCCAACTAGATTTATTGACATTCAGAGGTAGCCAGGCTCTGTATGGTGTCTATCAGTGGCCAACGAGCAAGGTATGGGGATCTAAGCCATTGTTAGGGAGCGAAGAGCCAGGTTCGCACCATCAAGTCATCCCTCGAGGACCACCAGGAGGGTATCGATTTCACGACACTTCCGCAGACACTACAGTATGCCGTCTGTACGACTGATGACCAAGCATTCGGTACCTACATATGGATCGATTCGCTGTGCACCATACAAGAAGACCGTAAAGACTGTGACCGGGAATCCCGCAAAATGGCTTCCATCCATGAAAGAGCATATTTTACGATTACTGCCACGGCCGCAACAGATGGAACCAAAGGTTGCAAATATATTCGGCTGGGACGTATATTGCGAAAGTGATGCCGACGACAGCGGCCTTGTTAGGAGGGTGGCGAGGTGGAGAGAACTAGGTTCCGGCGACATAAAATTCCGGCTTTCCCCTCATCCAGCTGTGTAAGTAAGCTCTGCGAGGGCTAGAAAGTTGCATCATTCATGCTAACACATTCTTCTCCCTATCAGCACGCTTGTTCGAGAGTAAAGATGCAGAGGGACGATCGACTAGCACGCAGCAAGGATTTCCTTGCCATGAGTAAGACGTACGTGCCCACATCTCACGTCTTTTAAAGGTGTTTCCCCTAACTTACCTCGCAAGATTGCTCCTCTCTGGAGAATTCTCCGACGTCACCATTACATGTCGAGGAAAGACATGGAAACTCCACCAAGCAATAATTTGCCCCAGATCAACGTTTTTTCACAAAGCCTTTCAAGGCAACTTCAAGGTAGCTGCTTGAACGTAGCACATGGCCACGTCGGTTGCATGCCGCTCCGACCATGGAGTGCGGACGCACGAGAAGCGGATGCTAACAGTGATACTGTATAGGAAGCGGCGGCCAAGTCACTTGATCTGAAGGAAACAGACCCAGAACTCTTTGATTATGTTGTCAACTACCTATACACTGGAGGTCAGTCCCAGGGTGACGCTTAGGAGGAAGCCAGGTGCGGCTAACACTGGAGATCTAGATTGTGACTGGGCGAGCCTTGGTCGTGACAACACCAACCCCTTCGCCCTCGGTACGCAGCTTTGTATTGTTGCAGATTACTTTAGCCTGGACTCCATGATTCTTGACATCTGTACCTACCTAAGGGAATACTACAGACCTGTAGCAGAATCCATCCAGCGCGCTTTCAGAGACGCTAAAATCGAGCCGCCTCCGTCAATGGACAAAATTCATGGGTTATTTCTAGAAAAGTACATTGAGGGAGCGAAGACGGCATTCGATAACGACACTCCGGGCTTGAACCCCGTTCGAAGTATATTTCTTCGATTTATTTCAGATACTGCATACTGTGTCCTGAGGGATCAGACGTTCATTAGAGCCTTACTGACGTCCGAGGCACTGTCACTATCTGTTTTTAACCATATCTTCGCCGAGGGCTCGACTTTTCTTGACCTGTTGCCCAGCAATGTGTCTCTGGTTCCCAGGTATTGCAATGCATGTAGTGAGTATAATAAGCTTCCTTACACTGTCACCTGGGTCGACCAAAGCCAAATGCGTGGTCGTTGCTGGGACTGCCAAGAATTAGTTATACGTCAGCGGGACCTTTAACCGGGTTAGGAATCGAAAAAGGCTGTTCTCCAGGCTAGTAACGGTTGGATTGGATCAGTGTCGCCCAACCAGTGCCACAGCAGCTACATATTCTGTAGTGGCTGGTTCTGTTGACACTGGAGGCTCACGTTGCGCTTGTTCAGGGCTTAAGGGCTGACGACGAATTGGTTGTCAGCGAGGGACTCTGCGGCCATATCTATTTGGCACCGCGGCTATGTACACGATGAACGTTTTATATATGTCCGTGCTATAACACAAATTTAAACCGCCATGGACGTGAAGTCGAATAACCAGACTCTACGTCAATCTGTACAATTTTCCGAGGACGCAACCGTTCGCTGGGAGGGTAGCCGAAGACATGTGTCGCTCATAAAGAAACTAGCACTGGCGCAAGATGGGAATACAGTAGACAGGATGGAGACGACCTATGTGCACTGCCGCCATGGTACAGTCGCCACAGGACTTGCCGCTGCTACTGCTGAGTATTTTACGGTTTGAATGGTAGTATGGGAGACACCTGCCAATCACATGGGCTTTAAACATGGACTTTGAATCGAGAAAAGCTCTGCCTCAACCCACGGGGGCTAGACAGCTCCTTCAATACATTGTAGGTTCTGTGTGGAAAGTACTATGTCACGGAACAACAACCATCATCGTATCTCCGCTCTTGGACACATGTTTAGTCTATCATCTCAATATTGTATTTAAGAAAGCCAATATCCTTCCTTGATGCGGAGAGTAGTTTCAAACAGACAGGAACCACAAGATTTGCCTCCCTCGGTGTATATTGAACTGAACCATTTAAACCGCACACGTCTCTCAATAATCCGCCATGGGTGTTGCTATGTCATGGCGCAACTATAGAGGCATGGCTGCCCTCTTTATGCTCCAGCTGAACTAGCATCCATCTTACAGAATCAGTGCCAGACTCGAATCCCCAGTAGGCGAAGAGGGCGGTGCTATTTTCTTGAGCAGCTAGAATAGTAGAATTTATGGAACATACACGTTCAGTTTCATATGCAAACCTGTGCTCCTTTAGGCGCTGGCAAGGTGCCTTTCCCTCTGGGTACCTACACAGCGTTATTGTAGGTCGCATTCCGCCATACTGCTTGATCAGACCAAAAGTGGAATGCACACTCCAACAGGAGGCGCTGATAATTTGTGGATATAAGAGATGCATTTCGTGTAACACTTTACATCCGGGTCTGGCTACATGTAGAAATTGTAACGTTCGTTCCATTTTTAAGACAAAATCTATTCTAATCAGCCTCAATGTTTTATTTTAAGGACCTTAAAACAAACATAGAACTTGATATGGGTGTAATATTACTACTTATTGCCAATACCAACTGTGTATAGGCTAATAGCAGCACGTCACCGACTCCCTTAATATAAGTTTTATTAGCACTGAGTCTTACCTTAGCTGTACAAACTCGTTGAGTTCATACCACGTCGGCATCTGCAGATGTGGGGCACTGATATGCGGCAATATATACTTCAACAATACGCGCTCTGCTGGATCCGGAATATCCACATTAAAGGCTACTCCGGGGAGGGAAAGCAGTCCCGAGGGATATCGCCCTGACGCTGAAGCTGAAGGCGAGCCCGAGACCATAGCGGGCGGGCAAGAAGTGGAAGGGAGACACTGGAGGTTGAGTCGAGGCCTAGGCTTATGATGCGCTTCGTTTATTTTTATTAGAATATTAGAAGAATTGAACATGGTTATGTGTGAAAGTAGCATTAGGAAATGTGAGAATAGCAATACTCTTAATTAATCAATACAATAGCTGTATTGCTCTATTTTGCTGACTTGTTTGTACCCTCGTACGTCCGTAATTATTAGCTCAACAACCGGATCATTGACCAGGCCAGGCTGCAATGGGGGCTTTATTACAGCTGAAGTTATGCATTGCACCCTGAACTATTTCTTCTGTTCCAGCGCCTGCTCCAAGGTCTCTAGTGTTGCCTTGATTCTCTCCTTCCTAGCCTGTCTGGAGGAGGTGCCATCAATCGACAGCGTTTCAGTCGCTGTCACTGGATCACTCGATAGGTAGACGCTCATTGAATAGGGAGTTTCAGTCGATTCGTTGGAGCTGTTCCATGGTCAGCCAAATTTCTTTGTTAGACGCTGAACCTCAGGGCAGCGAAGACTGCAGCCACTACTTGCCTTCCATTTGACGTGGTTGTGAGCGAGCCGTGGTATCTTGTCGACATTTTGATCTGATGATTGGGGGTTTGAAAGACTTTTTGTGGTATTCGTGTGGCGGTGGGTTGCAAAGGAGAGATGCGAAGGTGTGGATAGCGAGAGAGAATGAAGGAGGACTGGTTCGTTTATATGCGCTTCAGACAGGACACTCCGGATGAACCAAGACACTTTGTCGCATTTTTTCGACCGCGCGTATCTTAAGCATCATTTTGCCCAAGGGGATTGCCGTGTGTCTGTGCTCGTTGTTTGGCCTGCAGTAGGTGTTGAGAGGGAAGGCCAAAGAGCGCAATTGTGCCCCAGCCTCCTGGGGATCCAGGTACGACGTACATCCGGATTGAGCGTGACGCGGTCTTCCCAGGCACGGTCATTTGTTGGTATGTCCCGGCATGGCCTGGGAAAAGAAAGAAAGTTGTGGCGTTGGGGGCGGTATTAAATGCAGGTTACGCAAAGGTGAAGCGCCTGGTTATTGAGGGCCTGAAACGAGAACATGAACTCTTCGAGAGCACAAATGTGCCCTGGGAGTGTCCGTGTAGGCATCTCTGCCCTTCTTGGCGTTATGACATCAGGGCTACAGTAAGAAGGCACATTTGTGTCCAGCAGTGGCCGAAACGCCCGGGTAGCCACCCTTTGGCCAAGTCCATGATCATGGGTTGTTTTCATATCTCTGAAGTAGTCATTTCATAACTCGTCCGGTCGCAATGCTATCGATTCTATACTATGATTGTACTGTAACTAGTATTTCTTTCACCCCACCTACCGTGGTGAACCCAACATGTTCATATCAAGGGATGCATTCCCTAGAGACGGAATTTCTGGTACACGAGCCATGTAAAGCGCAAGCAGACAAAATCCATAACTTGAACGCCTTTCCTATCTTAGACCAACTTACCACGGTGGTAAGTTGGTCCAAGAAAGGAAAGGCGCTTTCCTTGGTCAGGGCTGCAGTCTTCGCTGCCCCGAGGTTCAGCGTCTAAAAGCGCTTCCCGCGCTTCACCTTTGTAGGCACCCGTTCTTATCATTCCACGTCCATCTTGATCCATCTCCCAGTTAAAAGTATCCACCATCGTAGCATTATGTAGAAATACAAGAGTAGTGTGACATCGTCAATGGACGACAAATGTACCAGTACCTGAAAGAAAAATATTACGTCAAAGGAAGCACTCGTCATCCGTCTCATAGCTTAACGAGGTGATCTAAACCTCCACTTCCTTGGATCCAATGCGAGATACCGTGAATTAGTGGATTGTGGTTTTTGACAAACTCGGGCTCGCAGTGGTTTCCACCCCGACGCCGTTACCTCGTGTCTTTCGGCTGGCCCCAATTGGGACGCGAAGGGTCTCTGATTGAAGATGGAGATTGATTAGAATACCAATCTTCTACATCCAAAATCATTGGCCCCAGGGTTGACATGGGGTTTAGGGAGTTGGCGAGGCCATCCATATTGTTCTCCCAGTTTAAAGACAGGGAACTGTCTTGGGCTGGGTTGTATTGAGACAGATCCGTCCGGTTCTGTCGCTGGGGCGTAGGTAGGTCTGGATGATAGAAGTCACCCGACATCTGCCCCCGAGAATTATGCATAGGTTCTTCAAAACTCCGCTGATTGCTGGGCCACTGGGTGGTGTCGTCGATTTGTGCAGATGGAGACGTTATCATTGGTCCAGGGCTCAAATGATTATTGTTTTCGATATCCATGGTGTCCCCTCCAATGGTCTGCGGCGTAGTGGAAGGAAGTCCATCTGCAGCCTCGGACCCTGACGAGCCCTCGCTGGACCCAGGCATTGAATTTGGCGATCTTCCTTTGAGAAAAGCCCCGATTACGTGTTGCACTACTATCAGGATGAGAGTTTCCAACGATTCTGCATCTCTTGAGTGGTTGCTCTGCTGCAGATATGCTCTCACAATCGGACGGCCATGTTGGCTCGCAAAGTCATACAGTCCATAGTCGCGCTCAACAAAGGGCGAAGAGGGTTTGGATTGCGCATTTGGTAACACGATCCAAAAGACCTCGTACCACTGATCTTCTTTAGATGATCTAGAATTCACGCGCCTTTTGAGTTCCGTGATTTGCTCGTTGGTGATACCGTCCGGTGCTGGTTGATCAGATACCTGGCACCCCCGTTCTCTGATGTGCTGGTCTTTTTCCCCTTCGGTAGAGAACTGCATTCTACATGCCGGGCAGTTCTGGGGCTGCTTGTGATTCCGCTGCAGGTGTTGTTTGACATCTTTGATTCTGGTGAGCTTGTGGAAGTTGCAACTGAAGTAGCGTGCTGTATACTCCTTGGCAAATGGACAGGCAAAAGACAAACTAGAGCCCTCGCTGTCATGATCGCCATCCATCCCAGCCTCGTCTGGAAGATCACCATTTCTGTCTGACTCTCTTGACTGGCGGCCGTAGTTGCTCCGAGTCGTCGAGAATGAACCGCGTGCACCATGACCTGGATTTCCGGAAGGCGAGTTTGAGGTCCAACCCCGGGCACCAGAACCAGAGCCTTGGGCTCCGGAAGTCCCAGGGTGCTGCCTATATAGTTGCTGAGCAGCGATAGGGAACAACTCAAGGAGTGTCCGTGGTAAATTCTGCCGGCTGGAGTGCCTTGGTTCGGAAATGACCTCGCTGCCAGTTTCCGAGTAGCTGCACAGCGAGCTGGTTTCCGTCATGCTAGCACCTTCGATAGATGAGAGTGGTCCTCGGCCCTTGGAACTGTCAGAGTACCGTAGTGTCGTGTCGAGATCTGCAGCCGGCATTCCGGGCCTCGTGTTGTTGGTGTTATCTGCTGCAATGTTTGCCGGATATCTGGACTCGCTGTCTCTGTTCCCGGATGGGTGGCTTGTCACGTTGGGCTGCCTCGGGAGCGGAGTCTCGGAAATGGCTGGTAGATTTGATGGTGCACTCCACCGAGGGTCTGGCCCTTTGCTGATTCCCTTCGACAAGGACCGAGACGAAATCTGATCCTCATTGTTCGTGTCGCTGTCCGGGCGAGTTACGTTGCTGATGCTGGTGGAGTCGGAGAAGATGCTGTTTCTGTTCGATTTTGAGGAACTCGTGGCATTGGACCCGCGGAACAGAAACGAGGAATGACGCCAGCTGGATGTCGACGAATTGCCACTAAACAATGGCCTGTGTCCAGTCTTGTTGCCTGACCCGGAAACATCAACTTCGGTACCAGGGAGCTGTATCGGCTGCCGTTCAGACGAGGGCTCGGCTTGAGGAGATGCCTTCAATGCGCGCTTCAACTCGGAACTCAGCGGACCGCCGACGTGGCGAAAGGCATCTCGCCCTTTATGATCCGTCCTTCGAGGATCTGCGTGGAACCTGATCAACTCCTTCACCACCCCGAGCCTGTTCTTCTCGGCTCTGTTGGCAGCCATCATGACAGCGACCATGATAGGCGTGGAATTGCCGGGGCCGACGGTGTTAGGGTCTGCATGCTGTTGCAAAAGCCGTTGTACGATGTTCAGCTGGCCCTTCTCGCAGGCCATATACAAAGCCGTCTTGCCGTTGGCTTCAACAATGTTTGGGTTTGCTCCGCGCTTCAGAAGCAGATCTGCCATGTCAAAGTGGCCGCTCTCGCAGGCCATGTACAACGCTGTCTTGCCAGACTGGTCTTGCTTGTCCAGCAAATCCCCATGCTTGTCCAGGAACAGATTCGCCATCTTCAAACCACCTAGGTTGCCCAATTCCGGGCAGTACTGGCATCGGTGTAAAACCGTCTTTCCGTGATCGTCTTCAATGGCGAGTCTTGCTCCATGCGTGATAAGCAACCTTGCCAACTCGGAGCTCCGCGTGTCCGCAGCAAGCAGAAGGAGCTCAGATGCCAAGTCATTTGGCGGACTGGTCTCTTCCGTGAAGCTCAACATGATTTCAGTCTCTCTGTAGCCCTTCTTCTTCACCGCGTGCGCGAGGGGTGAGCAGCATTTGGAAGGTTCCACTTCATCAAAGCGCTGGACGCTGAAACCTTGCTCCTCGCACCACAGCTTTGTAGCAGAAATCCTACCAACCTTGACGCCGTCAGTCAACTCGGGTAAGGTTCTTCTCTTCAGCCATTGTAGTCGACCTTCGGCACCGGCGTGGTCGTCCATAAGATCAAGCATGTCAACTAGATTCTGGGCAGTCTTGGCGATGAAGGCGACGGGCAGTGGGGAGACTTCGACGAGGTGACGAAGTGCCCGATCCAGATACTCCTTAGCGTGGCCCCAGTCCTGTCGTTCGCGTGACCTCATGTAGAAAGAGCCGAGAAGGGCATTGAGATGACCGTAATCCTCGCGTTCGAGTGGTTGGCAGTCGGATTGTAGCAGTTCCTCCAAGTTGGACGGAAGAAGCGACTGCATATCGCGAGGTGACTCGGTACATTCGAGCAAGATTTCAAGTTGCTTGATGCATGCTGCAATTCTCGCCATCTTTAGAAAAGGAAATCGGGGTGACAGTTGCTGCTTTAACTTGATGGTGTTCCAGTGATAGTCGGCTGCCTTGAAGTATTTCTTTTCCGCGAGGGCCTCGGTCACCAACTTTTCGTTGGCATCGCACTCGTCCTTCATCCTCTCGACAGCTTCCCACGATGGAGTGTCACCATGAATGACCGTGCTAGTATTGAGGCGAGGGTGGTCTTCGGCTTGTCGAGGCCGAGACTCCGGTGGGACTGTTTCGGACGGGGTGGATGTCGCAAACATAGCTGCTGTGTTGATGGAGGCAATTTATGGCAATCGATTCGGTTGTGTCAAGTGCGGGTCGTCGTGTATCTATAGATAATATTAGCTCAGGTCTATGGCCAGCATCAAGAGTCCCGGCTCGTATATCCTCACCTCTCCTCTAAGGTCTTGGTGGGCGGCGTCAATGCAAGAGAGGCTTTGTCCAAGCGACCCTGGAGCTCACCGACTGCCTGGAGGACTTGACTGCCTGGCGTTGGGCGTTTCAACTCGACGACAGTGACGCTCGTTTGCTTTTTCGACTTGTAGCGATGGTTCGCGGGGAGTGTTGTGAGATGTTGTGGGGACGTGGCAGCAAGACACTATCCGCTCAGTGGGATGAACGATAGTTCTGGAATGAATGCGGGAGAGAAAGAAAAGAGTGGATAGTTCGCAGGAATCCGGGGGAATGTGGGGAAATTCTCCTCGCTCTTAAGAGCGGGAGGCAAGAGACCCCGAAAACTGATCTATTGTTAGTCCGACTCAGGTTGGCTGAACTGCCAGCGCGTCTTCGGCAGCCTCGTCGCGAAAATGCGGCTCACAAAGAGGCAACCTCGCGTTGTTATTCAACTGACTGACTAATAGTTCTTGTCCTAGGCCCTAGTTGTCTACGTAACGCCGAGCAAGGGCACGTCGGTGGCGCCTCCTGGCGGTCTTTCCATTCAATACTGACCAACCATTAGGACACCAATGTGCAACTTAACCTGCAGCTATCCGAAAGCGAAAGTGAGTTTCTTGTGAAAGCACATTTGTGCCAACGCTAACTATGGCGGACGCGGTGAGACAAGCATCAGCCATCCCGCAGTTACGCCTCCAACCCCTGCGTGTAACAAACAATTTGCCCGAGAGTGACGTTGTGGCACCGGGCTGAATTACTTATAAGGCGTAGGCCTCCGGAGCTTGAGGCTTCCTCCCCTCGTACGTCATCACATCCCAGGCGCAAGCGATACTTCAACTGGCAATTAAGGACATTCGAATAGTCGTTCCACATCAGTCCCATCGAAAATGAATCCGCCAACAACTCAGCCGTCCACGGGACAGACTTCTGGAGGAGAGCAGCGCCGTACTTCCAACAAAGACGCGTATATTGAGGAGCCCTTGAGTAAGTACACTTTCAAAGCGAGCAGCCTGTCCATGTAGCATAATAGTCTACTAACACTGCCTAAGGTAACATCCGAGATGAAGACTTGCCGGCGGACGTGAAAGAATTCCACGACGCATGCCTACCCAAGGTTGACTACAACCGACTGCTCCGAGCTGCCAAAGTCGCCAAGGCCCCCAAGACGTACCAGGACATCAGCAGAGGCTTTCGCAATCCGGACGACCATGGCCTGGTGGATCTTAGCGACGAGGAGAAGGAAGCTCTGTGCGATGAGCAGGACTCGGTCTTTTCGGAACGCGGTATGCTGATCGTCATCTTCACCGTTTCCCTGGCAGCCTTTCTCCAAGGCCACGTGCAGTCTTCCATCAATGGAGCATCGCTGTACCGTGAAAGACTTGACTTGTTTTGTTCTCCTAATGGGACGACTGTGGACGTAGTAAATGGCCTCACGGCTTCATCTACGAATGCAAGCTCCATTGTTCATCCCATGGCACCCACTCGGTGCGACTGGGAACTTGGAGCCACCAACGCTACCCCCTTTCTTGCAGCAGCTGTTCTCGGCTGCTGGCTTGCTTTGCCTATCAGCGATAGGTTCGGCCGAAAGGGCTCCATGGTCGTGGCGGCGGTGTTGGTTCTGGTGTCTTCCCTGCTTGCAGCCATCGTCCCCGTCATATCAATGTCAGCACCCAAGTGGACCTTGTTGCTGGGCATCAGAATTATCAATGGAATCGGTACGTTACAGGCCCATGGCTCCCGGCGATGATTATGATCAGAAGGTTACTGACACTGAAATCAGGCATGGGCATCAAAGCTGTCAACACCCCGATACTGGCTTCTGAGACAGCCATTGGCTATTGGAGAGGGACCTCGATTCTCGCGTGGCAACTGTGGTGAGTCCTCAACGTTTTAGACAACGATTGTAATTTGGAGGGAGGATGATTAACTCCTAACGCTTCCAGGGTTGCCTTTGGGATATTCGTGGGTTTTGCGTTCAACATACTTTTCTCATTCGTCAAGAGTCGGGACTTCTCTGTAGCCCTCATCCTCGGAGCGCCTGTTCTTCCATCTGTCATGCTTCTATTTGCCCTCTGGATCTGCCCCGAAAGCCCCCGGTGGTACATGAGACAAGGACCCAACTACAACCCCCAAAAAGCCTATAACATCTTGAAGTCTTTGCGGAAGTGTGAGGTAAGTGTCCACCGCCGTATTTGAACGATTGGGATCGCAGCTGATTCCTGGACATAGCTTATCGCTCTGAGGGATATCTACCTCCTCCACAAGTCCATCGAGCAGGAGCACAGCCAGAATAAGCGACAGAGCACCGCTGAATTTGCTAAATCTATGCGAACTGAAAAATACCAACGCCTTGGAGACTTCTGCAAGCAGTACTCGCAGCTGTTTAGCAAATTACGACTAAGGAATGCATTGATCAGCTGCTCCATCGTTGCGCTGGCGCAACAACTCTGCGGTGGTGAGTTGGACACGCCCATCTGGAAAACTCCTACAATTTCTAATACTTTTGATGTGCAGTCAATATTCTAGCCTTTTACTCTGGTAAACTCTTTCTGTGTTGTCCTTTTTGTCACCCAATGCTGACAGATGTAGGGACTTTTTTCGTACATATTCTGTCAAACGGCGAGAAAGAAATCGACGATGTCACTAAATTAGCCATGTATTTCAGCATTGGATTTGGTACTCCCTCCTAAGCCATCAACTCCTCCCCTAGCGCTCTGACTAATGCATAATCCGTAGGTGCTGTCAACTTCTTTTTTGGTATTCCGGCCTTCAGAACAATCGACACGATCGGAAGACGCAAGTGGCTTAACATCACCCTCATCCCTATGGCCTTACTGATGGCCGCTGCATCATTGTCGTTCTTCCCAATTATGGAGAACCCAAGTTCCAACCATACAACAGCTGCGCTAGTTGCAGTCTTCTTGTATTGTAGGTTCCTCATCTATAGCAGGACAGGTTTTGAGGTGTATTGGTTAATTCGTGGACCATAGTGCACACCGCGGTCTATTCGCCGGGACTGGGTACGTTCGTACGAATACTAGCCAGATGTTTTCTTACACTTTACAGGACCTATTCCGTTCACTCTAGCCGCTGAGAGGTTAGTCAATGCTCCTCACAAACTTGCGCTCGGAGATTGTGGCTAACTACAGAAACTCAGCTTCCCGCTAGCTCATCGAGAAGTGGTTCGTGCTTTCAACCTGATACTATGAGTTGTCATTGCTAATCGCAACAATTTAGGGATGCGCCTTTGCTGTTTCTGTCAATCTTTTTTGTGCGGGCATTCTGTCCATATGCTTTCCAGGGTTCGTCTCATTTCATGTGTAAATTCCACGGCTCTCTACTCTTGCTAACCGAGTTCTAGAATCAATGCGGCATTTAGCTCGCCAGGCTGCCTAGGTGCTTTTGCTGGTTTCAACCTCTTGGCCTTTGTTCTCGTGTTTCTCTTTGTGGAGGAGACAAGGCTCGTCTCCCTTGAAGACCTGGATTTCGTTTACGCTGTGCCAAAGAGCACATTCACCCGGTTTCAAGTATTCGAATACCTCCCTTGGCTAATGAGAAGATACGTCCATTACCCCTTCCACCGGTACATCATGCGCCAACCGGACCAGGTTTATTACTGCGGAGACTCAGAGAGCCTTTTGCCTTGCGGACCTCCACCACCACCCCAGCTCTATTTCAAAGAGGTCGAAAACGGTTCGCTGAACACGGCCAAGCCGGAGGAATTAAGACTCGATTCCGACGACGATCGCAATTGATCGTTGGGTAATTGCAGGGTTACGTTGTAAATTGAGATGGAGCAGGGGCAAAAGGTCACAGTGTGTGTGTTGGGAAATGAAATGGTTAGCCGATCGTGAGGGGGTCAGATAAGCAAAACAATGGGCTGTTATAAAATCACTTTGCAATTATGCCGCAACAGCCCAAGCCCATTTAGGACCAACGATATCTCGAATCTCAGCGCAAACACCCTCTTTCCACCCCATCATTATAAACGTGTCACCAACATCACCATCTGCCAAGAAACACCCATATGATAACAACACAAGAGCTGCAGGCTCATAGGCTTCAACTAGTCTTATAAAACCTTTGCTGACCAGGCATGCCCATTGTAACGACGCTCTGTGTGCTGGCCACCACTCTGATGTCTGTGCTTTTCTCACCAGCCATTTCATCAGATCCAGGGCGTCCTGGCAGATTTGTCTGACGGCTGGGTCCTCTACTTGGTCCAAAAATGCTAAAGAGTCGAGGGTGTCCAGGAGCGGATCAAGAGGCCCGTGGTCTGGTGGTTCAGCCTCCGTGACGTAGAGTATCAGCTCGCGTCGCTCTGGCCGTATTACGCCAAAAGCATCTGCAATAGCCCTCACACCCCTCGTGAGCCTGCAAGTAACGAGTAGGTCGTTCAGCATGGAAGGAGGATCATTCTTCCTCCGTACAAGCTCTTTAAGGGAGCCTTCGGCGTAAGAGCTAATCATCATGAGAACCGAGGCAAGATGACACACAGGGCTGTTGCCGCGGTTTGCTTTTGCCACTGAATCCCTCATCATCCCCACAGCGTTTTGAGAATACTTGAATCCTAGTGAAGCGTAGATATCTCGTCGCCGGCGATGTGCTGGCATGTCCGTTTGTGATTGATGTGCTGTATGCGCCCGTTCGAACGACGATAGAGCTAACGCCAGATTCAAAATGACGGGATGATCGAAAGCGAGGTGTGTCACTTCGTATTGCCAAAGATCTTCCGACCCTCGTTGGTGAGCAACAGCCCTGAATGCAACCTTGTGCCAATGGTCCAGCAGCTCCCTATCTTGTACAGTCAAGCCATCTGCAAGCGATGGAGCGATTCGTTGGAGATGTGTGACGGGCACGATCTGCGCCGAAGTCGTGTCGCGCGGTGATTGCGTCCTGCTCCGAGGTGATCTTCCTTGAGCTTTGAGGCTGCATATTGAGCTACGTCGAATACAAGCTGTGCATGGAACCGCTTCGTCACACTATTGTGGCTGTAAGCGCTCATTCACTTCACTTGGTCTGCAAGTCATTACCTTTACTTTTCTGGCTTTGCATTCCAGACAGCCCGTCCGCGTCTTTCTATAGGTCATTTTGGGGGATTTGGAACGAAGCTGACAATTCACTGCCACTCCAATTGCCGGCGGATCGATGATAATAAGGTGTACGGTCTACAACACCGAGCGCCATTGTGGGCCTCAATCACGCCATTCCTTAAAACGCATCTTCCACTAACCCGGTCTCAGCAACATACGTCGCCCAATGTACAAGCATTTCCTCCAAAATCTCAGGACGCTTCTTTGCCAGATCATGTTGCTCAGCCGGATCCTCCTCAACATTGAACAGCTCCCAACTATCTCCACCCTGCTTGGCTAGCAACACTGCTTTCCAGTTTCCTCTACGGATGGCACGATTGCCGAACAATTCCCAACCATGGATGTGATTCACATCTTCGTGGACGGTGGGATGTTCCCTAGAAGACGAGAGATGGTTCACCCAGGACTTTCCTCGAGGAACGACGACTTCTCGGCCCCTGAAGGAGGTCCCTGGGTGTTGAACCTGTGCAAGATCGAGGATGGTGGGCAGGATATCCATGACAGTTGTGAATGAATGCGAAATAGTCTCAGGTGCCGCTGAAATTGGTGGGAAGCGAATGAGGCAAGGGCAGCGAATCCCACCTTCAGTTGACCATCCCTTGAACCCGCGAGAAGGGGCAGTGGCAGCGCATGCCCACCGTGAGCCGTACCAGACGTATGAGTCATGTCGGCCAATATTCTCGAGACTGTTGTCATAGTATGCAGTAATGAGTTCGCCTAGTGTCTTGAACGATGACAAGAGCTAAGCCTCGCAGTCAGTATGAGCGTCAGGGCATCAAATGGAGAGGGGCGACGGACAGGTGCTGCTTCCAAGGTAGATCCTTCTGCGCCGTTGTCTGACATGAACAAGATGAAGGTGTTGTCTAGTTCGCCTGATGCTTCAAGTGCATCAACCACTCTACCAATGTTCTGATCGAGCAGATCAACCATGGCTGCGTAGACCTCCATCTTCCTTGCGGAAATAGCTCGCTCATGATCTGTGAGATCTTCCCACTTCACGCCCGCTTCGAAACCAACGGGAGGGGCAGCTTCGACGTTAGACGGCACAAGACCTAATGCTTTCAATTTGGCCAATCGGTCCAGTCTGAGTTTGTCCGGCCCATCGTCGTACTTGCCGCCTGCATACGTCAGAAAGAAAGCCCAATGAAATAGTCCGGGAACTTACGATATTTCTCCACAAGTTCTTGCGGCGCCTGCATTGGCCAGTGTGGCGCCGTGTAAGCCAAATAAGAAAAGAATGGCTGTTCTCTTTCTTCCCCGGTTCTGCTCGCTAACATGTCGATCAGCTTGTCTGTGAAGAAATTGGTTGAGTAAAAGTCCTTGGGTAAATCCTTCTTCCTGTCAACGGGCTTTTCATTCTCCATCCAAAAGCCATCAGAGGTCAACAGCATCGTGTTTTCATCTGCCTCGAACTGCGGTTCGTAGTTGAAGTGGTTGCCACAGCCAGGCAAGAAGCCAAAGCTCTTCTTGAAGCCTCTTGCGCTCGGCGATACGTCAGGAGTCATTCCCAAATGCCACTTTCCAGACATGATGGTCAGATAGCCTGCGTCAGAGAGAATTTCGGGCAGAGCAGCGACTTTCCAGTTGAGGTAGCCCTCGTAGCCAGGTTTGTCAACGTAGTCAGGGTATTTGCCAGTGAGCTTCTTCCTCATCTCGGCAAACTCAGCCATCTGACCGAGTCCAGCGATGTGGTTGTCGGTGCCAGAGAGCAGCATGGACCGTGTAGGCGAGCATGCCTGCGCGGTATGGAAGTTGGTCATGCGTATGCCATCTTTGGATAGACGATCCAAGACAGGGGTGTCAATCTCAGAGCCATACGGCTTGATGTCACTAAAGCCAAGGTCATCGGCGACTATGATGAGGAAGTTTGGTCGTTTAGCAGCAACCATGATTGCAAGAGATGCCCGGGGAATGTAATGGACGAAGAGAAACTAGATTGCAGCAGTACGAGGTAGGCAAAGGTGGCACGTTATTATATATGCACATCCCACGCTGATTCAATTGCTGCAATTCATTTTGACTACCATCGGACAAGCGAACCTCCGTCTGAAGCCGACGAGCCACTCTCTCAGGTCATTCTTTACACCATCAAAGCTGAGCTACTGACGCCAAACTCCGCGGAGCTCCACATCACGACAGACCCCCGAATTTTGGTGTGGCTCGGATCTTGCTCTCATTGGTTCCTTTTTCAACGCTTTCCAAGCACGCAAGATTCACATCTCGAAGACGTTAGACAGGTTCAAGCTATCAACATCCATGAAAACCCACCAAATTCTGGACGACCTGGCTGTCGCTCGGATCATGGTCTCATTGGTGAATTGCATCTCAGCACGACACCGACTTCCACTGCTTCATGATCCTTACAGGTTAACAGAGCCAATTACTAAGTAAATATGGCGAAAGCTGAAGTGATGGAAGCGCGATAGACCAAGAGTTTGAGCATTCCGCCATCGCGCGCCCTCATCGCGAGATTTTAAGAAAACAGTCGGGGAGGATGGAACATGCCAGCGCCAGGTATTACTATATAAGGCAATGTCTGGCTGCAGAAGACTCAGGTTTGGTTATCTAGAGGCAGCCTTCTACTTTTGTTTACGTCCTCAAACATGTTGATCGAAAAGCAATCACTTTCGCCCACAGTGGATGGCTGGGGCGCGTCCAGCTCGGATCCGGACAAGGAGTCCAGTGTCCTAGAGCAGCGCCCCCACAAAGACTGGTCAGAAGCCGAGGAACGGGCCGTCGTCCGCAAGCTCGATCTCCTCATCATGCCTTTGCTCATCGCCGGCTTCTTCGTCTTGCAACTCGATCGCGGCAACATCGGCAACGCCCTAACAGACTTCTTCCTCGCAGAAGTGGGCATCACTCAACTTCAATTCAACATTGGCAACCAGCTTCTCAGTCTAGGTATCGTTCTGCTTGAGCTGCCCAGCAACCTCATTCTCTATCGTGTCGGTCCTCAGAAATGGATCAGCTGCCAGATCCTTTGCTGGGGTCTGGTGGCCACCTTCCAAGCGTTCATCAAAGGAAAAGGCGTTGGTGTCTATTACGCTACCAGACTGTTGCTTGGTCTTCTTGAAGCCGGCTTCATTCCTGCAGGCTTGTACACTTTGACGCAGTGGTACAAGCGCAATGAGACGAGCAGACGCTTCACTGCCTTCTTCCTTGGCAACATGATTGCTTCAGCGGCAAGTGGCCTCATTGCATACGGTATCCTTCAGATGCGAGGCACAGCAGGACTGTCTGGTTGGCAGTGGATGTTCCTGATTGAAGGCATCATCACAATACTTGTCGGCATCGTTTTCGCCCTTCTCATGCCTCACTCTCCCACAAATCCGTCAAATATTCTGCGTCACTCGTACTTGACATCACGAGAGATGCATATTATTACCCACCGCGTGGCTATCGACAATCCTACTCAAGGCCCCAAGCACAAATATGTCAGATGGGTTGACATCAAGGCAGCCTTCTCCCGATGGTACGTCTATCCACAGCTTACCGTCTCCTTCTGCTGCATCGCCATTATTTCGCCACTTGGAACGTATCAACCATCCATCATCGCAAGCTATGGCTACGATCGTCTTCAAGCGAATGCACTCTCTTCCGTCGGCAATTGGATCGTTATTGTGCTGAATCTGTTGTTTGGGTGGATTGCCGACAAGACTCAGAGGCGGGGTGGTCTTATTCTTCTTGCTGCTGCGCTGAGTTTTGCATTTTGTCTTGCGACCAGACAACTCGTTACGAGCACGAATCGTGATCTCAAGTACGGAATCCTCACTTGCACCACACTGTGGGGATCCGTGGCTCATCCTTTGAACGGCTCCTGGCTTGCGGTCAATATTCGTAATCCTGCTGAGCGCTCCATCACGATGGCTCTACTCATCATGACAGCGAACGCTGCTGGTTTGGCAGGTGCTCAGATCTTCCAGGCACATGATGCACCGCTGTATAGAACGGGCTTTACAGTCATTCTCACCCTGGCGTCCATCGGTTTGGTGTTTGCGGTCGTCTCTAATGCACAGTATCTGTGGCTCAACAAGAAGTTAGCCCGGAAGGAGGAAGCGGAGGAAGAAGTAGGGGAAGTGGTGGGTGCGGGGAACAAATGGTGGTTCTCATTGTAGAAGAAGTCTTCGATGTGCCGAAATTCTTCCTAGTACTACATGCCAAAATCAACTTTAGTAGAGTTGATTTATGCCAGGGGGAGGCCGGAGTTGAAAGGTCTAAAGAGAAGAACGAGTTCATTAGAAAGAGGGTTGTCTCTGTGTGAGCATTTGGACAAGTGAACTTGCCTTGATGAAATTCTCGTTGGTGATCAGGACACTGATGACTGCTCTATCGAGAGAGTAGAACAGCCACACCATGCAAAGAATCGCAAGGAGCTGCACCGCCCGTCGCTGCTGATTTCGGGCTCGCGCCATGGTAGGATTGAAACAAACTCGTGAGTACAGGATGATAACAAAAGGTATGGGGTTGCAATTGGATGCAATGGATATCACCGCGGAGGGTAGCCTACGAACCCCCCCGTTCGCTTCCTGAGCCGCTTCGATAAGTCTGCCACCAACATCAATGAGACTCTTCTCTGGGCCGGCATCGAACAGGTGCGTTTCTTGCATGTCTCTTGCTAATTTGTGTGTAGCAATATTGACGCTTCTAGGTTCCCTGGGCTACTGCCTACTCGACCTGGTACCATCAGTTCATCGCCTTTCCGATCCAGGCTCTTGCCGCTGCCATCAAGCTCGATGAAAACACCATTACTGACAGGGAACTATTTCATGAAGCACATGGATTTTTAGCCCGGTGACGGAATTCCCACTGTAAATTCTCCAATGTTCCTTTTTATCTCGAGGAGCACTACCTGAACCCAATTAAACTACCTACCCTAGAGCCCACCCAGAGGACAGATTATGCCGTTCTCGGTAAGTGTCGCCGACCCCGCACTCGGGAAAAAGACCAGTGATTGTCCACGGACTGGTCAGCCGACTTGTTCCACTCGTTCGCCGACTCCTACTAAATTCTTTCACATTCTGTTCTACAGACCCCTGCGCTTGGTGATGATATAAACCCATCCACTGCTACAGAAGATGCCTTCCCTGAAGAACCCCTGCACAGAATGTAAAGGTACGTCCGGACCTCCCCACTGAGATCACGCGGCTTACTAACTCGACATTCACAAGACAAGCACCTTAAATGTACGTCATTGCAAAGCATTTGCTGTTTGGAAAGCTGGGGAACCTTCGTTGGCTTGGAAGACGGCTGACATATTCTGTCTCTTGAATAAACGGCGTAGGCGATGAAAATACGCTGCAATGTCGTCGTTGTCGGAGCAAGAGCCTGCAGTGTGTTCGTCCAGGGAGAAAGCGTCCCTTTCGCCATGGGTCATCGGCCAAGTATGACGCCCAGTTTCCGGACACTCAAAATTGGGTGAATAGCAATGCCAGAGAGTGTAAGTTGGATCCGAAAAAAATACTGTTCTACTTCCAGAAATACGTCTAACAGTGAACAGTTCGACTTCATACCAATCCCCAAGGCCCAGCGCAACGGATTGCGCCGGAAACCGAGATCAACCCAAGTAAGGCTCGAAGAGCTGAGACTCAAATGGATATGAACCAGCCACACATCGGACTTGAGTCTGCCTCTCCCCAAACCCCCAATAGCGCAAACGCTCTCCCCTCATCGGGTTCAGAAAGTGCCGAGGTCATGATTCCGTCACCTCTGGCACTAGAACAGGCTATTGGGGATCACTCAACTGGTTACCGTAATGGACTCTCTCCAGTTCTGCCCGTGTTATCACAGCGCGGGCCTTCCTGGGGTGGCCTACTAAATGAGTTTGAACCAAAGCGAAACGAGAATCGAGCCCATGATACCATCCAAGAGGCATGTCTCTTGAGATACTATGTCGACGAACTTGCACATTGGGTAAGAATATTATACAATTCAGCTGTATTTGTCCAAAAGGTTGCTTACAATTCAAGTTTGATATATGCGATCCTCAAAGTCGGTTCCAGCTCCTTGTTCCCGAACGGGCAAGGCGATACCCGCCGTTACGCTTTGCAATCTATGCTGTCGCAGCGCGCCATCTCTGCCGCCTCCCAGAGTTGAAAACGTCCAAAGGAATAGTTTACCATGGTCAACTACTTCCAAATCTAACACCAAACACTGCCGTCGAATACATGTTGAAATGCATTCCTGTACTCAAAGAGTTTCATGAGACTCGGGACGAAGAAACCCGAGAATTGATCGTGACAACTGCAGTGATTCTGCGCCAGTTTGAAGAGATGGAAGACGAAGATGATGAGGAGATTAACATGGGCGATGCTGATGGGGAGTACAACAGCACTCCAATCTATGGACGGGTCAATTTTCTTGCCATCCTCAACGAGGTACTCAGGAGCTCTAATTCGGCTGACTTGGTCCAACGCTTAGAACTTCTGAATGCCTCGTATTGGATTGCGTTGAGGCAGGAAGTGTACTTTGCCCTTCGGAAGGGCTACTCGCCGCAGATGGTCGAACCCCCGGTCGAGTGGGCCGATATATCTCCAGAAAACAAGCTGGTGATCCATACCAGTCAGGTTGCCAAGTGGCGTTTTGATGGCAGGTCGGAAACCGAATGGCGTGAGTGATACCTGCATTGGGGCTAATAACCCGGCGGCTGACGGTTTCCTATTTCCTAGAACGATTGAAGGAACAAGAGAAGTATCTCGACCAGCATGTGGTAGGCGGACTCTCGCCGATTCTATCTCTATCTCCAGACAAAGCAAAGGGTGAAGTATTCCCGGCTATCTGGTACTCGTCAACGATGGCACTCACTGGGATGCAACACCACATGGTGGCCAAGATGATACTGACCGCCGAATCACCGTTCCTTGGGTACACCCAAATTTACCCCATGTGCATGTCTGCTTGCTAACTTGGGCCAGGAGAAATCACCCAGATGCCCGTCTCGCGTATCGAGAGGCAGAGGGCGAAGTTCGATCACTTGTTCTGGATGTCTGCGGCATCGCTCTGCAGCACCCTGGTACACCACCGGCCATGGTCAATGCTGCTCTTGCGATACAGCTGTACGGCAGCTATTTCACTGATCCATGGGACAGGGAGGCTTTGAGAGGGATCGTGCAGAGGTTCAAGGATAAGCGGGCGTGGCCAGTTCCCAAAGCGTTGCAAACATTCCGATAGTAGAGCCGGAAATCGATCAGGGAAGTAGCAGACGCTCGTGCTGTATATGTATGCCATGTTGTAATCTGCGAGCCTGGAATTTACGACATGATTCTCTCAATATTTCCTAAACCAGCGAGCCACGCAACTGGGCGGGTACCCCAAATCCGCATGGAATCATTCAGGAGTGAGATTCCACTTGGGAATCCAGTCACTCAATTTGGACCATTGGGTCTCACAACGCATCCGGAAAGAATTTCCTAACCTGTCAATCTAGTAAGAATTAATTGTAGCTCACTGGTCCCCCTCAATGCAGAAGAATATCGCCAATTCGGTTGGAACTCGTCAGGCTGTCGAGCTTTGGACGAGCTGTTCGGCGGTAGCTACTTAGTTGGGTTAGAATCTTCCCCACACGCCCCCCGCACTTTCAGAGGATTCTCCTGCTTGGGCAGCTACCGACGGTTGATCAAGCGTGCTGCTCTCTTCGCCGTGGGAACTATCCTGTTTAGGCAATTTTCTGATTCGGCAGACGACTCTGTTGACTCGACTCTGCATGCATCACCGTGGACGTGGCGGCAGACGTAGGAACTTCCCTTAATTGTCAATTCTGGGCAAGAAAAGCACGGCCATGATTTGCGAACTTTCCCTTTTCTTCGTTGATCTGTATGGGTCATTCCAAACCTCCAAGTGGTACATAAACTGTCTCGTCTTCCCCTTGAGTTGAAATTGTTCACCACAAGCCTCAACCTTCCTCCCAGATCCTTAAACAACTTCAAAGTTCTCCCAGTCAGAAAATCATGTCGCAGTCATTGAACATTGCTGTTGTCGGCCTCGGTCGCATGGTAAAACCTCAATATCCCCCAGTTAAGAAGAAATTCCTGACCGAATGCAACAGGGTGTGCGACATGTCAAGACTCTCCTTTACCGGGTTCCGCACGCTCGAGTGGTAGCCGTGTGCAGCATCATGGACCACGAAGTTAAATGGGCCGAGGAGAACGAGGAATACAAAACCTTTGGCATCTCGGTGTACAACAATTACGGCGAGATGCTGAACCACCCCGGACTTCAAGCAGTTTGGGTCTCAACCAGCACCGATGTGCATGCAAGCCAATCGCTTGCTGCTATCGCCAAGAATCTTCACGTCCTGTGCGAAAAGCCTCTGAGCACCGACATGGCCGAGGTACGAAGTTGACCCCTTTCTATTTCGGATCTCCACGCTAAATGCTACGAAACAGGCACAATCTGTGGTTGATGCTGCCAAACAGAAGCCGCACTTGAAGGTCATGGCTGGATTCTCTCGCCGCTTCGACGCATCCTACCGCGATGCTGCCTCCAAGATCCTGACCGACAATGCCATTGGCGAGCCCTTCATGGTACGATCCAACACGTGCGATCTTCGAGACGAGACTGGTTTCTTTGTACGATATGCTGCCCGAAACGGTGGCATCTTCGTCGACTGCGCTATTCACGACATCGACTTGTCGCTTTGGTACCTGGGTAACCCTCTACCCAAAGCCTGCTGGGCAGTTGGCACGCTGCAACACCATCCCGAGCTCAAGGAGCTGAACGATGTAGACAATGCCGTTGGCGTCGTCGAGTTCTGGGGGGGAAAGATTGCATACTTCTACTGCTCGCGAACGCAAGCCCACGGCCACGACGTGTGCACTGAAATCACGGGCAAGACCGGAAAGGTCATGGTCAACGTCATCCCCAAAGCCAACAACGTCGTCATCGCCGACAAGCTAGGCATGCGCCACGAGGTGCAGCCCGAGTACTGGCAGAGATTCGAGGACGCATTTGCCCTAGAGGCCAATGAGTTTACCGATAGTGTGCTCAGTGACAAGCCTGTGCCGCTCCCGATGGAGGGTGGGTTGATGGTTATGCATATTGGACGGGCGCTTCAGGATGCTCTGCTATCGGGCGAGGTTGTCAAGTTTAACGAGAAGGGAGAGCGCATTTGAGGCTTGGTTGCTAAATTGATCTTATGGGGCTACTATCGGTTGTCGTTTGTCATTATACAGTCTTGAATAAAAATGATAGTTCGATAAAACCCGAGCCCAATTCCCATCATATCATTGATGAATGGCAAAAGTTCATCAAGTTTTCCCCTCTTAGAGTTACTGTATTGCTATTAGCCGTAGAGTTGCCTAGTGTTTTAAGAGGATAAATTGTGAAGGCACTTGTTGATATCGATCTCTGTGACACTTGGACTTGAATACAAATTGTCTGCATAGATTACGTAAATTCGTGCTGGGACTGCTTTTATGTCGGTACTCGTCTCTTCCTGCTCACTAGGGTCACTCTCACCACCCTATTCTCTGCTACTGAATCTCACCATTTTTTGTCCGGCTTCCTCCGCCATTTCATCTCTCTCGCACAAGCGGTAAAAACTCTCTTTTCTTTCCATGTTTGCTTCCCCCTGGTGTCTCTCGTCTATAGCGTCACGCATCTCCTGCGTGAAAATGAGCTTTTTTCCGTGTCGGCGCAGAATCCCCGCAAACTCCGAGAGTTCATTGTCTCGGAAAAGTCTTTTGAAGATATTGAGGAAGAGCTCTTCTGTGACGGGAAGAGCGGGCTCATGTGTGAGAAACTCATCCAGTAGCGCAAGGTTCCTAATTGGCAGGATACTCTCAACCATCAGCGCCGTGAGTTTGATCTTCGAGTCGTGACGGATGAGGCAAGCCAGCAACTCTGCCCGTGACGCAGAGTTGCGGCTGTAATTCTCGTCATTCTCAGATACAAATTTAGCGACGTCTTGCAATCTCCCCCCCGCTGGGCCAAGGCGTTGGAGGAGGAACTCGAGCTCCACGATAGATTTGGCGGCTTTCATCATCAGCGGAGTGACGACGAGAGACGGATTGCGTTGCCAGAGAGCTTGTAAAAGTGATGGGCAAGGTTCACGATTCTCTAGAGCGCAAATTACCACAGCTTCAGTGATAATGCCATCTATCGAAGATCGCTCTGGTTCTGAGTCGGTTCTAAGGCAGTAAAAGTACGCAAAGGGGGTAGAACCACTCTGCGAGGCAGCGGTGGCCAGCAGCGAGTCCACCACCACCGAGCAAAGATATGTCTTGCCTGAGCCCATGATTCCGTGAAGCCAAAGGGTGGACGAGGAGCTAGTCTGACACCAGTCCCGGTAAGTCTCGTGCTTGAGCAGCCATTGGCCAAAGTTTGGCGTCTTTGACTGAGAGATCGTTTCGTGATGGATGGGAAAAGGTGATAGTGACAGCCACGATACCATCTTGACGAGGCGTTCTTCATCAAGGAGTCGGGTGTTGTGGTTGGACTGATCCCGAAGCCGGAGAACTGTTATCTCCAGAGAGCGCAGAACCTCGGTGTCTTGGAGCTTAGCCAGTTTTAGGACTTCATTCTCTTGGATCAGTATCTTCTGAATGCAGTTCTCATCGCCAACCCTAAAGACACCCTTTACCACCCGGACTAATCATGTTAGCTCCAGAATTATGCCACATCTGCATGTTGACATACCGGGTGTCGACTTTGAAAAGAAATCTATGGTCTGGGCCAAGTGCGTCAGAACCTCCGCGTAGAGACCAGCGAGGGCGATTTCTAGCGCTGGTTGCAGAGAAGAATTTTGGGAAAGATGCAAAAGCTCAAACTCTTTGTAGCGAGCAATGATCCGAGAAACAACCTCGAGATCTTGAACCATGGCACCGAATTGTTGAACATCGTTGACCGTGATCTGTAGTAGGAACCTTACCGCCGCCCAAGGCAGCGAAGCGTTGCTGGCGTCGAATTGTACGGCGACATCGCCAACTGCTTTGAAACAGTTGATCCATTTGGCAATCTTCTCAAGAAGGTCGCGAAGCACAACCTCCTCGCCATTCGGTCGTTTGAATTTCCATCGTTTGCGGAGACTGGTAGCCCTCTTGTCCTCAGCCACCGTCAAGACTGCCGCCAATATGTCGCGCTTGTGTGTCGTAGCATGATGCAGATTCGACTGCAAGCCGTCGTCAAGAGAGTCGAAAGCCTTGTTCCAGAGGTCCTGAACGTGGGCTTGGCCTGGGAGCGAGATAGATGGCATCCTGGCTTCTGAAGGATCAAATTGAAGCTTGTGGGAAATGTGGCTTGGATATCGCGGTAAACAATTTCGGCGTACCAAAGTGTAGACCGGGGGGGTTCACGGGTTTCTTATACTTTTCCCTTGTTCCACGAAAAGATAATGGTGAGAATTACTGCCCAGGAACCTAGGAAACCTATTGGCTTTGACATTGATTATTTGATTTCTGCCTGTCAGCAGCAGACGTGGCTGTGAACTAGGGTGTCACGTTGCTCAGCTGGGTGGCTATGTATTCCATATTCGTGCGAAAGGCGTCCTGAGGTGCATTTTCTACACAGCATACCACTCTCAAGGCAACCAGGCTGAGCCAGTTGCCTCGTCAATTACGTCAATGCCATGGCCGTGCATGCGAGGTTACGACTCCTCGAGGAGGGATACTTTCACCTGGCCGGGGAGTCGGCCATCACCAGCGTTTTTGAGCGGCGCCAAGGACCAGTTCAGTGTTACAAGTGCTGGAACATTGGCCGCAAAGCGTTCGCATGTAAAAAGGAGCGGGTACACAGAAGGTGTGCGCAGCAAGGACACCCTCAGGCAATGCCTGGTAGGACAGCCGTCATATGCTACCTGCAGACTGCACGAAGCTTTCAGCTGAAACTACCGGGCGCGAAACGAACAGGGCGATGCACTCTTAGCTGCAAATATTTGAACTCGACGTAGGAAAAAGAGACGTGGTCCAATTAAGCATGATGGATGACCAGCAATACGCAGTGCTGGCCTGCAGATGTGTGCGTCAGAATAGCCTTGAAATGGATAAGAACTTTCCTCCGTTTGTTTGTGAATTCATGGCAATCTAATGAACATGTTACTTGGTAAGTTTAGATGTCGGGAATTATGCCCGAGGATCTTTTAAGAATGGGAGCTCGCGAACTGTATTAAGTAGCCAGAGAATGTTCCCGAGTAGAAGCGCAATTGTTGACGGTGGCGAAAGTCGCGATCACATGTAATTGATTGAGCTTAGTGTCGGACAATCACCGGATACATTCAATTATGGCGATGGATACTCCGTACCTAATGGACTGATGATTGTCGGGCGTTCTCGGAATGTTGCGAGGTAATTTTTGTCGCCCACAAGTGAGATTCGAAAAAAAGTCATGACATGATGGTTCGCTTGTGCGATTGCATGAATGTGGCTTTGCATTGTTTGTGCTAATTTGTGAATCCATGCTGGACAGGGTCATCACCTAACTTCCCTGGTGAATTGGTGAATGTGACCCTGGACAATGGAAGTGGAGATGGGATAACTTTTATCCCGCAGCCGCAGCCGCCGGGATCTTTGCCGGGTCTCTTAGAGCAGCTTTTGGTGGGCTACGCGCCCTTATCCGAGGGGTTGGCGGTTTAACCCCAGCCTCGCGGGCATTTTCACCTTCACCTCCACCTCGACTTTCAGCCTCATCTGCGTCTTCACCCTCACCACAATCCCGCCAAAATCCTCACCATGGGCATCCTCGGAAAGACCGTCTTCACCGCGCTGCTCGGCACCTCGACGGCCGCCGCGGTTCTCGCGGCCCGCAACCCCGTCATCTCGCCGCTGCCCGCCAACGATCCCATCTGGTGGTCCAAGCCCTACAAGCAGCGCAACCCCAATCGCAACCCGGCGACCCAGGATGTGTGCATCAAGCGCATCCCGCTCGACAAGATCCGCCCGGAGCTGCTGAAGAAGGACGGCGATCTGACCGTCGAGTTCTGCCGTGGCCTGTGGAGCGGTCTGGGTGAGTTTTCTAACGCCTCTGAATGCTTCTGACACCCGAGGCTGATCACCATCTCCAGGTTTCACCATCCAGCAAAAGTACCTAGAGTACAAGTGGAGAAGCCCCGAGACTGAGGACCAGCTCTGGGACCAGGAGCAGCTCGCTGAGAGCACTTACGATAAGGGCACCAAGTTCACCGACCACTTCGAGGTCGTCGAGAAGACCGCCCGGGACATTACTGTCCGTTGCGGAGACTCGCCACGCAACCAAGGCCTGCGAGGCTCCGACGGCCTCTTCGTCATCAGCACCAGCATTGACCAGGTCCATGGCGAGGTCGAGCTGAGGCTCAAGAGCTGTCTCTTCCACAGCGAAGGCAAATTCCCCGGCAACAAGGGGCCGATGCCCGGGTGGATGGAGGAGATGCACCAGTGGTATGCGCGAATCTGGTCCGAGACGGCGGCGCGCAAGCTGCTCAAGTAAGGCCGAGAGTCTACTGGTCCCCTTGCCACTATGCACATGTCGGGAACTGTACATAGAGAAGATGATTTGCTCAGCAATTGCTTTAAATAAACTTTATCTCAACTTCAAATCCATATGAATCAAAAAGCCCAATCGTTCACCACATTATGGATGGGCTCTAATCGAGAAAGCTAACGGGACAGCCCCAATGACCCTTTCCCTCATCTGATATAATGGTAAGCCACTATGCTAGAAATATTTCTTTCCACACCGGGCCAGGGGCTAGACTACTTCTAAGTGCGCTTTGGTGTAAGAAACCGAAACCCCGTCGCTCAGCAATGCCACCTTGCCATTCCAAAAGCAACACATTGTAGTACGTCCAATACCCTGCTCCTGTCACTCGATTGTAGGAACACTCGGGTTGGTGTTCAAGCTTCTCGGCGAAGGGGTGTGAATATGACTCCGATAAGAGAATTACTTCGAATGGACCTTGTGATTCGAAATAACTTGTTTCCTCAAAGCCATCCAGCCAAACTCGGCCGCATTTATCATTGTTCGAATCCGCAAGGTAGCCAGTGGCCATGAAAACATCAATGTCAGAGATGCTGTAGAACAGGGACATGGTCCAAAACTGCAAGATGGGGTATGGGGGTACTGTTCCAGAGAATGATACCTCCTCTGTTGGCATGGTCCGTCTCGTATTTTGCTTTCTAGTGAGGCGCCGACCATCAGCAAATGAGGATCTGTTGCGATACCCTACGTATTCCATATCCCCGGAAGGGAAGAATTCGTTTGCATCTGGGTCCCAGACAAGATTTGTAATACCAGAGGGACTCCTCTTGTACCAGATAATCCACGTTCTGTTCTTCAGCCAGTCGTTGCTGTAGTCGCGGCTGTCGGGACCATCTCTCAAGTCCACGTCAATGCTTCCTCGCCACCCCATCCACGAATAGCTCGGAAAGGAGGGGCGGCGATGCAGAACGCCGCCAAACGCATGAAATACAAGAAATCGATCAAACATTGCCGTCGGGAGGCCTTGGAAGAACTGGCATTTCATTGCCTCGGTGAATCGTCGAATTATCCCGGCCATGGCTCGAGGTGCGTCGTTTTGGCTGGTCAACGCTCTCTTGGTATAATAGAAGAGCATGGTCGTGTAATCAAATACCGGATGTGTCATTAAGATGGCCTCTGGTAGCAATGACCCAAATGTTGCGCCGACATCACGGTGCTGGGACAGGATGTCGGTGAAGTGTTCGGCGTGCTCTGCCGCCCGACAGCGAAAGAAAATCTTATCGCTGACAAAGTAGATGACCCGCCGGGACAGTACGCGCTCTTGAAAGCTAGATGCTGTTAGTTCATCAACCTACCAGTGATGGAGAAGCGAATTTGAACTCGTACGTCCATGCTCTAGAGTCATATACCGACTTCTTGAGCAACCCATCCAACCCGCTCAAGATTCCCATTTCAACTCCAGGAATGACTTGAAATGTGTTTTCGGAAGGTCTCCTAGTCCCATTCTGGACGCCCCGCAAGCCGGCGTTCGCATCATGACCGCAGCTCGCAACAACCGTCAGCCAAGCTCGCTCATAGATGAGGTCCATCGCATTTACGCCCAGCTCTAGATCGTCTGTGTCATTCTGCAGTAGACAGAGGGCGTCCACCCAGAGATACCGACATCCTAGGCGCCGAGTGAAGGTGATGGTGTCTTTGATTGTCTCTGGAAGTAGATGTGAAACCCTATTGAGAGAATCTGGCTTGAGCAGCGCAGGCCTATTGGCCTTGGTGAGCCGAAAATTTGACACAGCTCCCCAAACGTAACTCAGCGCGAGGTATTTCTCAAGATCTGTCGTCTCTACGAGGCAGTTAATCTCGACGTCGAGCAGGCGGAGAACTTGTAGGCCTCGAAAAGCGTCGGTGAATGCTAGATCGGTCGGAAGTGCGCAAGCAGAGCCATGCATCTGCTCACAAGAATAGATCCACCGAAAAATTCTAGTGGTATCTATAACGGGCCCCGTCGTTGGCTCGATGGGGTATTTCCACCTGGTTTCAAGGGTCATAGCCTCATCGTCAATCTGCGGGCTCATCCGGGCACTAAAGCCAATCCACGTATCAACAGCACCATGAGGGCTTGTAAAAGCCCAGCGGTCGCCAGGTCCCTGCCGCCAATCAATGCTCATTTCGAGATGCGTCTTCACCTCTCCATGGTCCTGGAAACATGCGTGGAGGACAAGGCGGCAGAATGGACATGGGCTACTCTCGAGGCGTGCGCCAGAGCCCAAATAGTACCTGGACCCTCCTTCGGAATCAAGGATTTTCGGGTCAAGTGGTATTTGGGCGCAATACTCGCACAATGTAGTTAATGGCGACATACTGAGATCGGCGATAGGACAAGTCAAAGAGTGTTATTTTGACGCTCATCACTGAGGCAATTTCGCATTTGGCCGACGTAGTGTATCACGTGAGCTTCTCATTTGGTAACTGTACTCCCAGAGCCTCGTCTGCTACTAAGGTGCGATGGTGGCTTGCTGACGTGTCCGATAAGCAGTGTAACAAGAAAGGGATCATCACCTTAACAATAAAAGAGGGGTGCAAACGAAGCGGGTATGAATTAGGTCGGGGTTCCCTATCCGAAGCTAGGTTGCCAAAAAGGGCTTTTCTAACTTTTGCTGAGCCTCATGTCCACTTTGAGATGTACAGCCGCCTCGATGGAATGGGTGCCGCCGACAGCAAAGGCATGAGCGGCGGCTGCAAAGAGAAACAATGAAAAAATTGTAGGAGAATACGGTTGATACAGGCGATGTTGAAAACTTTTGATAGGTTCATTAAGCAGAATGATCTGCCATCATCAACATGGTCGGTTAAATAAGGTACAGCTCTAAACTTGAAGGAATACCGGGTTGCAAAAAGACTCTTATTATGAACTAATATAGTGCTTTCTTTTTGTTTTTAGCACTTATAGGTAAGAATGAACCTAGAGTTACAACTCAAAGCCTCTTTACACCAATACTTCTTGTTCGAAAGGAAATGTTGCGTCCGTGCCGGACTGTTGCAATATTAAAAGTCATGACCCTAAATAAATTCATAATGCACGGTCTAAGTCATGCTGCTAGATACAATATGCTCCTAGATTCCGAGTCGTCAATTTGTGTTGTACCCAAATCTAGGACTACCGGCAGAATTAAGGACCATTTTGGTGAAATGCCCCGCTGAGAACGGTCGAGGAGCTTGATTCCGACAAGATTGCTGAGAAGTTGAAAGTGAACCGAACTTTCAAATCAGGGTCGGCTTCGTCGTGGATGGCCTTCCAATGTTCGCAGACTTCACGCGATATAGCATGCAGTGGGATGCACAAAGCTTGCACCCGATCTAAGTCACTCATACAATTATGCTAAGGTACAGTTCATCGCCAATATATAAGTGTTATGGTAAGGACTAGGATAACGTACTTCCATTTCTCCTTATTTGGAACTCCTCGGAACTTTTGTTACCCACTGTATCAGTCGCCGGGAACCTATTGGCTCCCCCGTACCCTCCTCTAAGACCCTTTCATTCCTCAAGGCACCCGATCTAAAAACTCATCACACACACCTCGAAACAAACGTCACTCTCCAAACCACCAATCCTCAATCATATCAGTTCAACGATCCCGGACCCTTGACGCCTATCGCTTGGCTCCTCACGCGGGCATCAAATGGAAGCGCCTTGTCGCCCATGGTGCCGTCCTGGTTCTCCGTCGACCCGAGCACGCACGACGCGCCGTTCCAAGCCACGGAAGCCGCCTGTCGCCAGATTTCGGTTACGTCTGTGATCATTTCTTGAGTGTAAAACAGTCGGCCGTTCGCAGCCTCGTACTTGAAGTGCACCGGGTATCCTTCCAGGTCATGGACGGTATATCCACTGAGAAGGTTAAGGGAGCCCGTACTGGAGAGCAATGGCGGGTTTGGCTTGGGCAAAGCCTGGATGGCGTCTCGGATAATTCGCAGTGCCTGTGTGTCATTCTTCAGAGCGGCGATGAATGTCTCTTCATTTTCGAGAGTTGTGGCGAAAGTCTGGACTTGCGTTCCCTTGACACCTCCCAGTGCTTGCATGGCCAGGTTCATCGGGCGGCCACCCAGAGCAAGAGTACGGACGCCCTGGTTACGGTTCAGGAGGCCGGTGAAGATGGTGCAAGACGAAGCGCATATGCCATCCGTGACGATGAGGATGTTTTCCGCTGCGAAAGGTGCCTCATCTGACTCAATAGTGATGCCGACAGTGCTCAAATACTCAATGGGGTCGACCGGGTTTCCACGAGCTGCTGAAGTGACGTTTTGGCCGCCCTCGACGGTGTAAGGCCCAAACCATTGCTTGCCGGTCTTGATATCATGACCCTGCGGGTTGATCGGGTAGGGGTTTGCGGAGGGGAATTCAACGCTTGCGAGCGCCTTCCAGTTGGCTTCTGAAAACGCATCAAAGGCCACGTTATTACGGTAGCGACCCCAGTTACTGATCTCTCCCTTTGGGAAAAGCAGTGCGTAAAACGATTCAGCCAGTTCGATGTATCCACCACCGTTGTTTGATAGATCAATAATGAGCTTCTCACGCTTTGCCACTTTAGCTTTCTTGAGAAACTCTATGAAGACATCCTTGGCGTCAACGATGTACTCGGTGACATTGAAGTCGGCAGGGGGGTTGCCGGGTTCGAATTCCAGAATTGAGAAGACGGCGGTGTCCTCGAACCCAGTCTCATTGAGAAAGTATCCGGAAAACGAGTTAAGTGGGTGCTTCACCACGGGGTAGGGGTATCCAGGAACGGTCGGCTCAGGAGTGGCCGAGGTCGTCGACTCGGTTGACTCCGTGGTGCTGGCGATACTGGGTGTCGAATAGGGAGTGGAGTTTCCGGGCATCACGGACGTTGTGGTTGGGGGAAGCTCAAATCTTTCTTGCAACTTTTCCCCTGAAGTGATTCCGGTGAAATCGGTGCTCGCGGGAAACAGAAGCATGTTGTGGGCCACCATCGTGGTGCCGTTGTAGAACGACAGGGTGTAAGAGTCGGGGATCTCGGCCTGCACGCCGAATATTCCAGCCTCCGCTCCAACAGCCTTTCGCGCAGCACTCCGAAACTGTCCGTTGTACTGGGCGTCAGGATCCTGGGAGTTACCAATCCTGAAAACACCGTCGTTCTCAAGCCACTCAGTGATTGGGACACCATCAATGCTCTCAACGGCAGAGGGGGAGTAGGAAAGCTCTTTCTCGCTGCTGAGTTGGATATCTGAGTCCATAAAAATGTTAGGGAGACGAGTTCCGTCGGTTGACACGGACTGGAAGATGATGTGCGGTCGAATGAAGAAGAAGGTGCTCATGAGACCCGGAATGTAGGCAAAGTGCCCATCGCTAGCGGCGTAGAACTATGAAAGAGTGATAAGCACATGCTCACTGTCACATGTAGTTACGTCAAGGATATCTTACAATGCTCTGCAGGTCAGTCATGACCTCGTACTGCGCCTGATACTCGTCATTCTTCAGCTTGCTTCTGATGACTTCTATGCCGCCGAGGACATCAACGCCCGGAATAAGGTATTCCTCTGGCGGGTCGGCCAGGATCTCCAGAGTGCTCTGGTAAGACAGGTATGGTATGAGATAATCCAGCAATTCGAGATCTCGCTTCTTTTGAAGGGGAACCGACTTGAGACAGGCGATTCCCACTGATGGAGCCAGCGGCACGATGGAACGACTGCCGGGGGAGCCGTATTTTTCGTAGGCATCGCTGACGAGCTTACATGGCTCCGCGTCACTGTTGTGGATGCTGCGGATATCGATCAAAGGAGGCAAAGACTGCAAATTGTCCATCCGGTAGTGGCCAGGCAAGACCTTGGCCGATGCCATGCCCGCCAGGGCCAGGATACTGAAGGAAGGAATCATGGCGATGGCTCGCAAAATAGTTGATCCCCGAAAACGATTTTTGAACAAGTGGTGAGATGGATGAGCTTCTTGAACGGTTGCACTGCTTGGACTATCGTTGTTTCCGGGAACCCTCCATTTTATATGCAACCGTCATGCCGTAGTATGCCGCACCAAGTAGCAGAGGCTGCAGGTCCGCAGCACTGCGGAGTGACATTACATTTGCTGGAGGTTTGTTATTACGGTAGTATGAGTCGAGCACTGCGCGTAAGTCTCCGAGTCGACGCTCACAGTTGGATATTTGGTTCTCAACCCGGATATGCGGCATTCTGGTCAGCCCTGGCGGATGATGCAGCAAAAGTGCGTTGTGAATATGAGCCCAAGAGAAGAGTGACCCACGCAGCGACCGCAGCAGCGACCCCAGAATGAAACTGACCTCAGAGGTGGCTTGACGGCGTGACAGACAACTAATCATTCAAATGGAGAATGAAGGAGGAGCCTAAATCTGCGCGGCTTTCCACGTACAGGAGGTGAAGTAGCAGACATTCTCACAACTAGCTCGTTGGTGAGCCTCACTTCAGCGAGCTTCTCCACACAGCGCCTCTTATTATGCTGCACGCGGCTATTTTTAATCCATCAATAATGTTCCGAACCAATCACGGCGTCGGGCCATGTGGTTGTGTTGTTTTCGCCGTCAGCAAAATGGAGTAATGCACCATGTTTTGCCCCTCCCAAAGTCCTGTTCAACGGGATTTCGGTAAGCGCGGTGAGTGGTGCCGTTGCTTTCGATTCTTGGAGGCTGAAGCTGACACCTCAGCTTACACGGCACTTCGGCAGTCTGGTCAGCGATTCATGGTGAATGTCACGAGCCCAGATTGTTTGTAGTGTCTGATTGAGTGTATTTCTGTTCTTTGAAACCAGCTCTAAGGATATAGCTATTGCAGTCACACGCCATGTACACGCCCAGCTCCCCAAACACACATCATGCCTTTTCGGAACGAAAGTTTCCTTCTTCCACGCAAACTCGGGCCACTAAACGATCTGTGCTCAACGCCTGCGCCACTAACTCCCGCGCCACGTTCGCTTCACCGACCGGCCGCGCCACCACAGACACTGCGCCCCGGATAATGCGGTCATGGAGTGAAGTTCGGTTGGGGCTCTTGTGGAGTCGAATTGCGTCGTATAAAGCCCCGATGAGGCATCATCAGGCCGCAGAATGCCACTCTTCGGCATTGAAGTTTCACATATAGTATTCCATTTCAGCGTTGGGTGAAATAATTATGACCCAGATGCTACCTGGTGCATTCTGTATGGCTTTGTGGCTAAGACCTCTGAACTATATTATATTGTATTGTATTAGCTGAGGGTAGGGAAGGAGTCTTTGAAGGGATTTAGGTTTTGAGCACCAAACAGAGCATTGGCTCGCAGCCCTGACTAACATAGTCACACATGTTATGTGACCTCGTGTGTATAAGTCGAAAGTCCGCCAAGAGCAGGATGCTAAAGAAATATACATATACCTACTGAGAAAGGGACAGAATATGGTTTACCCTTTACTTGATAGCGGTGTCATATTGACGAAATCAATGCCCTATAGCTGCAGGATGCATCATCAAGGCGCAACTTCGCATGCTACGGTATCACAAAGTGGCTAGCTGTGGGTCGAATTGACAGTGGACTTTGTCCTTGGTTGAGCTAGCCAGAAGGAATCGAGCTGCTAAGTCTAGAAGGCCCGCATAGGTGTTGCTGCTGACATTGTCCTCGTTTGATAGCTCGTCCCGGCCATTGTGTATAATACAGAAGACAGAAACTGAACTAGAAGTTCGATGTACTGTTTCCATGCGGTGGATGGTACTATCTGCAATGTTTTTATATGGAGGTAGGTAAGTGTCTGGTTTTGGACAAAAGAGGACGTTTTCCAGCACACAGCAAAGCAACGCGTATTCCTCGGGCACAAGGCTGCTGGCAGACGCTATAAGGCGGGGAGGGAGGGGGCTGGCATGTTGTACAGCCACAGCCGAAACGATGTCAAAGATACCAAATTAACCAACCACTAACTCAGCTTCATTCTACCTTTATCATACTAAGGGCTAACTTGGCCTTGGCGACCCACGAAGGCCCGGGAGATCAACGGTACGCTGGTTGACTTCCGAAAAGCCGCATAGCCGTGAGAGATGTTATGTATTGCAATGTAGATACCACGGAGCAGTTACTTCTAGCGTCATATAAAATGGGCGGGACCTCATGTACCTCTTTTTTTATGCACCCTAGTTGGATTAAATCCATGCTACTATCGTAAGTGTGTCGTTACCGCACTGTACGAGATAGTGAAAGAAAACCCGTCTATGATACCACGCGGTACTTACGTACGTACTGTTATTTGTACTGTACGGTGCATGTTAGGATGTGAGGAGTTGCCAAGAGGGACCCGTGTTGGTCCCTGGTCCCTGTCCGTTGGCTTTCGTTGTTGGTCGCCGTCTTCGACTCCCCGGCGCACTAGCACCCCTCCGCAGGTCCTCTCGACTTACTGCAATCTCACCCCCTTGCTGCCATAACAGGCGAAGGAGGCAATTGGACTGTCGGAGTATGTAGTGGGGATACAGGAAGAGACATTAGCGGAGAACCACCCTTCTCAACTGAGATCACAGCAAGTACTTGCAGTAGCATACCAAGACAACAGATAGGTGAAGGAGGCAGATGGACTGCTAGAACATGTTTGTTTCAATGAGTTGTATAGCCATCTTGAGCTGTGTAAGATGGTGGGGTCTCCAGCTAATAGGAGGATAATGCAAGCTGGTCTAAACGGAAAATAGCGCTTCAAGAGGTTTTTATGGCTGCAAGTAAAGGATTATATTTGGACAGGACGAGATTCTTCCTGAATTTTGGAGTTTGAGATTATTCTTAGACTATTGTAGTAGAGTATAGTTCAACCCTGGTATCGGTTCAATTAGCCCTACAGTTGGGCTGGAATAATTGATCTGACCTATCAAATAGTTAGGTTAAGACAAACCATTATAAATAACAGAGCTTACGCATCCAAAATAATTATTGACAGGTCTTGTTTTTGTACCTTCTTCCTTCGTACTTCTTGCTCTTTTACCGAATGACTCATAGCTTAGTAATAAATGTAAAGGTATTTATGAGAATTGTGAAACATAAAGAAGCAGGTCTTTGCAAAGAGATATCCAATATATATATATATATACAGTATTGTACTCTCTTTTAATTGGCTTGAGGCTACTGAGGTATATAGGCGTCCCTGAGGCATCTTGATTAGTATTTAGACGCTAAATAAATCGGGAATTTTTGCACCGCAAGTTTGGGAACGAACAACAGAAAGAGGATAGCAGGAAACGAAAACGGCAAAACTCACTGTCAGGCTACCCAATCCACATCACCAATGTCTTACCTGGACCCTCTAATCAAACCTCGGCTGCAGTTGCGGAGTCGTCACCACATCATCCTGACGAGGATGATTAGAATATCCCTGAGCCGAGAGATAATGCGATAAAGCGCTACTGCATGTGGCACTATGCTCGGGTTAGCAGTGAAGCTTGGAAGGCAAGTTTTCAGAAGGCCGCTGCGATTACATTTCAGCAAGGTCTCGATCTCAAGCATTTGCATTAGCAGCAGAATTTGGATCTTTTCATCGAGGCAGGTATTCTGTCGGGTATTACGACATCATGGGTTCGGGATGTGAAACAGTGGATTGACCAGCTTAGAAAGAGCGATGCACATTAGCATATGTGTTTTATATAACATCTAGTCTTGAGGTTCTTCCATAGACAGCCCAGCATGGCGAAAATGACCTCGCGCGCTTTTTTGGCGAGAGCCAACAGCCTTAACACATAACCTCAGGAATGCTTTAAAATCTGCCTGAATAAGACCTAGTAAATATAATAAGCTTGGGACTCTATTATAAAACATAATATCCTCCATCTTATGTCATTATATCGCCCTGGCGTTAGCTGTGATTACTTTAAGAACCCGGATCGTGGCAGCTATAACGCCGCTATTTTGTGGAATTTAACGATAGAGAAAGATGGGTAGTGCGTGTCATCTTAAGACCCCGCAACTCTAAACACTACTTCTGGATAGGTATGTGATAGCTCGCTGAAGCCGACCCGATCTCCATCCGGCCGCGTAACGCCTAGGATACGACCGTCATGACCGCTCAACCCGCCCCCCCCCCGGGCGGCCAGTGCTCACATATCCTTCTGAATGAGATTATTAATCAAGTCATAGCAGCAATTACTAAGGAGGCGGCACTAGAAGTTTCCAGATCGTTCGCACCATGCAAGAGAAAAAATAAGTATAAAGCTGCGTCTTCCCCTATGACCCTTAAAAGGCAGAGAGATGAAGAAAAAGAAAAAGAAAGAGTTGATGGAGATTTGTGGTCTTCCAGAGTGTATTTGCCAGCTTCCGCCTCGGGGCTGGTGACAAAGCGGGTCAGGCTAGCTTGCGGACGAAGGATTAACTCTGCTCGGATAGTACCCAGTCCTTTATTTTGAACGCGGTGTCTTCGCATATAGAGCTGTAGAAAGATAAAACCCTGATTTAATAAATGGTATTATGATAGATCGCCTCGGCCTCCTTGCACTTCCAGCACACCTGCAAGGTAGCTCATGCTCATAAGCGTATGCAGATGCTCGTCGCCGAGTACCTGTCTCGTGAGTGCAAGCGTCTTGCGGTGCATCGCCTCGGCCTCCTCGTACTTCCCCTGGCTCTGAAGTACAACTGCAAGGTTGTTTATGCTCGCGAGCGTACGCGGATGCTTGTCGCCGAGCACCTGTCTCCTAAGTATAAGTATCTTGCGATGTATTGCCTCGGCCTCCTCGTACTTCCCCTGGCTGTGAAGTACAACTGCGAGGTTATTCATGCTAGTGAGTGTGTGCGGATGCTCGTCGCCGAGCACCTGTCTCGTGAGTGCAAGCGTCTTGCGGTGCATCGCCTCGGCCTCCTCGTACTTCTCCTGGCTCTTAAGTATATCTGCAAGGTTGCTCATGCTTGTAAACGTATGCAGATGCTCATCGCCGAGCACCTGTCTCGTGAGTGCAAGCGTCTTATAATGCATCGCCTCAGCCTCCTCGTACTTCCCCTGGCTCTGAAGGACAACTGCAAGATAGCTTATGCTCGTAAGCGTATGCGGATGCTTGTCGCCGAGCACCTGTCTCGTGAGTGCAAGCGTCTTGCGGTGCATCGCCTCGGCCTCCTCGTACTTCCCCTGGCTCTGAAGCACACCTGCAAGGTTGCTTATGCTCGTAAGCGTATACAGATGCTCATCGCCGAGCACCTGTCTCGTGAGTGCAAGCGTCTTGCGGTGCATCGCCTCGGCCTCCTCGTACTTCCCCTGGCTCTGAAGCACAACTGCAAGGTTGTTCATGCTTGTAAGCGTACGCGGATGCTTGTCGCCGAGTACCTGTCTCCCGAGTGCAAGTGTGTCCTGGTAAAGTCCCTCCGCATTCTGATATTTTCCTAAAATATAATTGCTCTCAGCTGTATTATAGAGCAGGTCTGACTTCGACTTGACCACCTCGTCGGTCGAACTGTTGCAAAATTCCAATGCGATCATGGCATGCGGCAGATACCTTATCCATGTCTCTCTATTCTCATGCTTTGGAAAGGGAAACTTTTCGTCGAGCTGCTGTATCGCAGCTGTAACAGACTTTTTTAGCTCTCCTTCCTGGCTCAACCAATTTCGCATTGCTAGTTGCACAAGTCGGTGCACGTCGTACGACTCTTGGTCGGCTCGCTGAGTGATAAATGCATAGGCTCTCAAAGCGCCGATCGCCTCGTCCATCTCCAGTTCATCGTCACCTGAAATGAGACTTCTCGGGATATCTTTCTCGGAAAGAAATGACATGTATTTCAAGTATCGAGCGGCGAGCGGGTTGTCTCTGGAAATGTGGCGGAACGAAATCAGCCATGTTGTGGTAATGGGATTCTGGGCGCTCTTATACCGGCCGCGGTCTTCGAAATCCTTGCTTAGGAGCTCGGTGAATTTTATATTACTCGACCGACAATGCTCTAGATACCGCGTTATTGTTATTCCCGTCTTGTCTATGTAAGCTGATGCCTGCTTGATAGCAAGTGGGAGATCTGCCAAGAAATCGAGCAATTCTGTCGCGCTTTTACTGTCGCTCATCTGTCTTGGCCCCAGGTATCTCTGCATGAGTTCGATTGCCTCGGGCCTGCTCATCTCGCTTACATGGACAACATTGGCACGCGGGATATCCAGTTTTCCAACAACTTCGTGCGTCCGCGTGGTAAAGAGGATCGACCCTTTGTGACTCGAGGGAAGGTGGTCGTATAACGAAGCATCCCCAAAGAGCAGCTCTACATCATCGGCATTATCGACGATCAAGAGCCAGTCATCACCGCTTCGGCTCAGGGCCGCCTTGATGAGCGCCTTGACGTCCGCCTTATCGTCATCCATCCCTGGTACCTGAAGCTCTTGGCCGATCTGGCGGTAGGCGTTTTCAAAGGTAGTGGCATCGACGGCGGGGATCCAGAAGATATTACACTCTGGGTATGCGTCGCGAACCCGGTAGGCGGCCTCGAGAGCGATCTGCGTCTTTCCGATGCCGCCGAGGCCCTCGAGGGCAATCATCTGACAGGCGCTGCTATTCGTCTTTGGAGCAAGGTTTTGAACGATGTTGTCGAGGATGTCTTCCCTGCCAACAAAGTCCTGGTTGCGATCAAACGGAATGATGATATGGCTCTTGTGTACATGGGCTTCGACTACTATCATTCAGCTCGGATTCAAAAGTCCACTCAAATTCACCAGGAACTACATACTCTGAAGTGCCAACTGCTCGGTAGTGTAGGGAAACTTGGGGATAGGCCTTTCACTCGGTCGCCATTCCAGCATCCGCGGCTGACCCTGCGAGCCTTTGTTCTCGCCTGCCTTGTTCTCCAAAAGCCGAATTTGCATAGACGAACCGTCCCCACCGCCGACAATCTTGGATGCTAGCAGCGCCGTGGCTACTTGCATGACTTGGTCAAGCACCGTGCGCTGATTGATATATTCGGTCGTTTTGGTGCGGACATCAACTTGATTCTTCCACTCTTCCAGCCCAATTTCAGCGAGGCCGTGATCGACGCTGAAGCGGAAGTACGTGTCCCTTGTGCCTCGGAACCTCTCCTGAATCTTGTCTGCAATCGTGTCAGACTCCGTTGCCATTTCCGTGAGCGCCTTAATAACTTTGAGAAAACTGGTCTTTGGTGATTTAGGAAACTTAATGGCGTTAGCGACACCGGTTCCAATGCTGACAACACAGGCGACCTTGCGTCCGGGGAATTCATTCCTCGCCTCTTGCAAGACCTGCTCAACCGGGTTGTTGTATCCAAGTCCGCCATCAACCATCGGCTCTTTCTCGCCCTTATCCCCTATGTAGATCGGGTCAAAGTACGTAGGCGCGGCGGAGGTTGCTCGACAGGCCTCCCAGATGGTGCAGTTGAATGTTTCCTTTTCAAGTACACTATATGTCCTGAAAAGTCGAGGACCGCCCCGTTCCTTAAGGTACGTCTGTGGTACAGAGCAGACGAAGCTGGAAACAACCGGATTAGCTTAATAGCATGACAAGAGGTCCTAATGACTTACACTTTGCTATTGTCATCTTTCTCGTTCATCCTCTCTTCGCTTCTGTTGTCTCCCAGAAGCCGCTTGACTGCGTCTTCCAATTTTCGCGCGTCAAACTTGTGCGTCTTGTAGAATGTCGAAGCGGAGAAAACCTCCTCTGAGATGCGGACGAACTCTGCCCTGGCCTGCGGGACGGACAACCGCAAGCGTCCCAGTAAGAGTGCAATCAAGCTGCAACATAATTAGGATTAGCTACGCCTAGCACAAGTAGGCGACTGAGAACGTACCCTCCTGTCGATGTGCCGCCAATCAAGTCAAAGTAATCCGCCGGGAGGGGATCTTCGTCAAGTTTAAGCAGGAATTTGATCCGGTTCATGATCTGTTCTAGGATAATGAGCTCCGAGAGCCCGCGGATACCTCCGCCGTCTATGTCGCTGTGAGCGAAGTGGGCCGTGATCTGCATGTGATGCAGTCTTACCGAGAGCAAGCAGGCAAACGGGATTGTCACCCATTGCGTCAGGAACAAGTTTCGTGGTGCTGATTCCAATGGAAAGTTGTCGTTCTGGGTCAATAATGAGTTGAAAGAGTTGAGGAAAAGCTCCCGAGCATGGGAGAGGGGGATTGGCGTAGACTATGCACGCGGCTTGAAAAGACCTCGCAGATTAGCCATGCAGGTTGCAAAAATAGACCGCCCAGCTGACTGCATTTCAACCCAAATAGACTAATGGTTTTAGAGTGATTGTTGGAAGATGGGACCGCCACCCAACCACTCCAATCCTAGGCCAGTAAGCAGCCACCTGCAGTCGCGGGCTGACACTAGGGGTGGCCTGCAGCTATATCACATATGTAGCGAATTAAAAAAGGTTAATAACTGCCGAGAACTTTTTGAGGCCCTCTTACAGGTGGTCTGATCAACTAACACGCACAAGCAATTAAGAATTGAAACTACTCCTGCGCGATACTATAGGAGGCTGGTACTCTTATGAAGCAGGAAGCGGGAAAGCGCCTCTAGCATTAGATTGGGGCGGCAGGCTAGGACAAGTCGCTCGAGGGCAGCACACTCCTCTCCAATCCTCTCGAGACCACGACAGGCTCACCAGCTGATCCAGTGGACAGGCTGAAAATTAATGTGCAGAGTCTGCGTCAATGTCGGCATGTCCTAAGCCAATCTCGGGGTCACCAACCTGCAGTCAGCATCACACGGTCAGCAGCCACCGAGAACTTTTGGTGATATGGGCTTAGAGGGTCATCTCGCATGTGTTGTGGTTTTACACACCATAATCACAATAAGTCACTACGCAGCTACAATAGCTTAATTTTATAAGCAGATTAGAAAACCCATGCAGGATGTCCTGACATTATAAGACACCTCAAACATGCTAAGTGAGACGAAGTGTTAGAAGGGCGTTGATCCAATCCAGGAGTGAGGCGAGCTGAGTGTGTGGATGGAACCAGACGGCGCCAAGCCATGGCGGAGCAAAAAGGTGGGGTGAATGCCTCTTCTCGTCCGCACAGCCCAAGTTTTCCAACAGTTCAACGGGCCTGCCTGCTTGCGCTGCCGCGCGACTTCCCAGGCCCTCCGTTGTGCTGCGCTCGACGAGGCACATGTAGTCTTTCATTGTCACGGCAAGTTCTCACAATTTGTTGTGGACGAAAAACAAAGGAGTAATCAGTAATTTATAAACATGAGGGTATTTCATTTTCCCGCACATAGCTAACTACGCAGCATCCTCGGTTGCCTGAAAACTTAACATATCCGCCTAAAAGGCATGCCAATACTCAGTCCGCACCCACTCAAGCAACTTTAGTAATGCGATTGATAGCTTGTAGATGCCAGGTATCGTTTCCGTACTGCCTATTGGCACACGCTTAAATGTTCGAGCCTTGCCGTTCTCGTCCCGAACAGTTGCCACGAAGTACCAGTCATGCTTAGTGACGATATGTCGGACACGTGACAGTTGTGGATACGGCCCGAGTTAGGGAGGATAAAATGATGATGCAAATAGCACAGGAAATAGAGATATTGATAAGGGGCCCTGAGGCTCTTCAATTTCAACGAGTCTGTAGCTTGATCCTGATGATCTGTTGATCTGAAGGTTGTGTTATTTTCAGGTCCCAACCCCTCCTTTTCTAAGTCAGCTCAGCTGAAGCTCGGCTCGTCCGACACGATGATACCAGGGAGAAACTCAATCCTTGATTTAGGGTCGCGTTCCCAGAGAAGACTCCGCCACTGCGACGCATGCCACGTAGCTACCTGCAGCAGTGCGACATCTTAGGATTGTTCCGGACCCTTAGTCTCAATAGAGACGGCAATCGGATACTTGGTCAAGTCGCCCGAATCCGTATAGTTGATTGACAGTCCCGGGCGGTCGACGCAGAGTGATTGGATTGCATGATATTGTGGAGACTTCAGCCCAGGCTGGATGCAAATACTGAAGTCGACCATCTTACTCGGCGCGTTCTCGGGTCGGTATGGGGGTACGATCTGGGCAGTCAGACTGCCTTAAGATTAGCACCGTCTGAACTACGGCTCAGTGAAAGAAAGCGGTACATACCAGCGTGCTTGCCCTGGGCGACTTCCTAGGAAGTCGCACGAGAATATTAATAAGCGATAAGAGCTGTGATAAGAGATGCCACGCGATAAGAAGGTGTGCCACTTTGTAGCAGCGATAAGCGATAAGAAGTCCGACGCCAGGGTAGAAAGATGCAGTACAAGATCATTTGGACCCCAACGTGGATGACACTCGCTGATCTTCGAGGTAAGCGAGCAATCGAGGAGGCAGAGGATCTCGTGGTCGAAGCATTTGGGCGAGATGAACGGGAGAAGGAGGCGCAGGCATCGGGGATTCAAGAGGTCTCAACCGCGGAGGATGAGATTGAATATACGTCGGAGTAAGGGCAGGACTGCTTGTATCTAGTCTAGAACGCCAATTGCTATCTTCCAATGTTCTTAATTCCATGTCTTCAATCTCTGTGCTTCAACGTGAAGCCGTGACTCATCATCCGTGCTTCCACCAGTGAGCTGTCACATTTCAACAGCCGAAGTAATGATACCTCGTCTAATATCTGAATTTAGTGCGCGTTGCTCCGCCTCCAGCGCGCGCTGGAGCTGCTTGATCTCTCGAAGATGTTCGGACATCGGGTGCGCTGTACAGGTCGCGTACTGTTACTCGGGGATTCCACGGTCACGACCAGACCAGACCATGGAGAGACCACAGGCCTGCTCTGCTTGCAGCGCGACTTCCTGGGAAATCGCATAAGAACAGTGATGAGAGGCGTGAGGGACAGGCTTGTGAGTCATTGGCATATGGCGTCGGGACGGAAAAAGGAAGAAGGGGGGGACAAGCGAAGATTACTTCACTGGTTTCCGTTCGCTGTTCATTGACATTCGCAATCAAGAATCGTGACGGGGTGACACCCCGCACAATTATGACAAACTCGCCCGCAAAGATTGCGCCTCGACAGCAAAAACGTCCTTCTCATGCTTATTTGGCGCCCATTTCCTTTTCCGACTTCGACCATTGATGTTGATGGGCCCGAGAGGTTGCCGGGCATGGAACTCCGCCAGCATCAAGTCCACGATCATACATCTAACCATGCGTTTATCGTAGAGCACATTGCGTGGCTCCGCATCGCAGTGGAGAACTCGATGCTGATGCAATCGACCGAGCGCGGTGAGAATCTCATTGGCGACATCTTTATTGACTTCTCCCAGTTCTTTCAAGACTGGTCGCCCGCTATAACTAAGAAACAAAGAAAATATAAAGAGGGTCATGCAGCCTCCAAAGAAACATCAACACCAAACCGCCCCCAGCTGCAAGTGCATGCTTACTAATACGAGGGGGCTGTGATAAATTTTGTAGGCTGTCTTGCCAATCAAAATGCCCTGTATTGACGGCGAGCTAGTCTGCCTCGTATCGTTGCGTCAGCTGAAGAACCACAGGCTCGCACGTATTGAAAGCCTCAGCGCCTGCCTCGGGCGCCTGCCTTGCTATGCGCCTTGCCGTTGATTTGAGTGTCAGCTTGCCAATTGATTCGCAAGTATGCTATAGGGTAGTACCCGAATTAGAAAGGGCTTTCGGGGAAGTGGAAGAAGATGCAATAGATGCAACCCCTTTAAATAACCCACTAAGGCCTGACCGGAACAAAGAGCTGTTGAGCATAGATCCAATAGGATTAATCAGCATTCATCCCCTGTGCGCCCACTATAGTGTTCCGTTCACGCAGCATGTTTTTAAGGCTCTAGGTACCGTCCTCATAAGTCTGTCCAAAAAGATTCTAACGTTTGAGCTTCTATAGAAAGGACTGTGTGTTCATAGGCTTGCAGTCTTCTACAGCCAAGTATTTCTACGATTCGAAGAGGCTCTCAATATAACTCCAGATAATAATCTATCTCGGGCAGCTCGACTTCAACATCTCGGGATTGGATACCAAAATCGGTACCAAAGAATAGGAGCAATGGCGGATCTCGAGATAGCTATTCAACAATTCGAAGACGCTCTTAGCCATTCCTTTTCCCCTCCAGCTAACCGGTTAGTATCTGGTAGGGTCTTGCTCCAGTTATATTCTAAAGCTAAGGATTGATTATCAGCATACCGACTGGCCTCTATAATTATGCCTCTGGTTCCTCTCCTCACACCTCGCTCTCTCGAAAATTCAGATAAGCAACATTTACTCACTCAAGTCGTTAGTTTAGCATCCGATATGACAACAATCGTATTAATTGAGGGGAAAATAGCCTACAATGCAATTCAATTTCTCGAACTTGGCTGTGGGATAATAATAGGTTCTCTGAATGAAATGCGTGCTAATATATCCCACCTTCAGCAAAAACACCCCCGACTAGCAGAGATGTTCACTAACCTCCGAGATCAACTTGATAGTCCGGCGGCGTTGAAAGAACGTCGCGTTAATCAACGATATAATACAGGCCTAAGATTAGAGCAAATGATTTAAGATATCCGAAGACTGCCCGGGTTTGAAAGATTTCTTTTGCCCCTATCCGAGGACGAATTGAAGGATGCTGCAGTTTATGGTCCGATTGTTATTATTAATATGAGCGACTACTGTTGTGGCGCTTTAATTATTAAGACGAGTGAAGTTATAACTTTACGGCTCCCTCTATTGTAAAGCAGTGATGTTCGTGCTTGCGTAACATAACCTGCGGCAGACAAGGAACTGCTGGAATGGCTATGGGAAACTATTGCTAAGCCTACGCTCGATGCACTGGAATTTACATAAATACCACCGGATGGTTGTTGGGGTCGTATGTGGTGGATCCCTACTGGACTGCAGCACGGGGCAAACCACACATGATGGGCTCATCGACGAGGGGCTTTATCTGATCGGGGCATGTCAGCTTGCCAGTTTTCGGCACGTCATTGGCACTTTATGGGAGGTCAACGACAGGTCTTGTGTAGATGTGGCAACTATGATATATAAGTGGATGAAAGATCGAAAAATGAGTGATGAATCTGTGAGCGAGGGGCTTCACCATGCCCTGAGGAGTCTTCGTGGCTAATGGATCTCGGAGAATGCTATAAGACGTGCTTTAAAATGCGGGAATGTGGTTCAAAATGCAAAAGTCGATCAAATACATATTGAACCATCGCGAAGTCAGGACAAGGCGAGAGATTCTAGGGATATTGAGTCATGCGATGACACACTAATGTATTGGATCCCGTATGTTCACTTTGGCGTTTAGGTTTTGTTTTGGATGGTCGAGGATAGATGCTGGGGCGCCCTGCTCCGTTAGAAAGAGCCAGTTGTGGCTTTAAAGAAAGTTGTTATAATCTGGCCTTAGTACTTGGCGTGCTTCCCTAGAGCCGTTTCTGACTTTGTTATGCCCCTTACTTTTAAGGTCCGCGCTGCTTGTCACTGTGCACGGTACTCAGCCACAATGCGCTGCAGATAGTGGTCCGTGCGGAAACTCCCTTAATATTAGACAATTGCGACACTCTTCGCGGCCGTTACTGTACAGTACACTCCACACCCTGCTAATAACCAACCCACTCCGCAACGCTACATCGCGTATCCGAAAGTTCAGAAGATACAATTGCTTGCCATTTTACGAGCTGGTAGTGGTACTCGATGAGATACTGATAGAGGAGTTAGAAATAGTTAATCTATTTATACTGGTATTTTTATAAAATTATATATTACTAATATTATTTCTTCTTTATTTAATTAATTATTATACTAATAGATATTATATTACAGCCTAGGCAACCTCTTAAATAGCTAGAGCAGTTAATACTAGCAGAACTAGAAGTATAGAGTTACTTTAGGCTGGAGTAAGCAAACTCACTCTAAACAGAGTAAGCAGGACTATAGAAGTTTACTTATACAATACCCCACAAAGTGAGCATCATAAGCAGGAAGGAATAGAGTACGGTAAGCGCCCCAGTATATAATTATCTGAGAAGTATATATCTAGTATAAGCAGCTCCTTAGCTATTAATATAACTTAGTTACCTTAATTACCTTGACTCGCTATATATTACTATACTTAACTATTACTAGATATAACACTTACCAGTAAGTTAACGCCCTAACTGCTCTGCTAATATAAATCTTGTGACAGGCAGTTAGGGACACTTAGGCTAGCTGGTCGCTAGCGGGGATGTCTCTAGGGTGACCCGGATGGGGTTAAAAGGGGAGGTCAGTGCCGTCACTGGGGGAAATCATCGCTTTTTCTTTCATTAGAGATTCTTCCTAGAAGTCAGAGAGGCCGGAAGGACTCGAGGCTACTAGGGAGTCTATTAATTGATTGCCTTTATTTTTGAGAGATTTATTTGAGCATTTTTGCCGTCACTACGTTCCTTATCCAACTTCTATCTTCGACATCCCTCAGATATCGGGCTGCCGCAGGCCCTATTGATGCCTTGCCAGCGAACTTTCCTGCAACCGACCCGATATTATATCTTATGAGATGCTTCCCTATCAGGAGATATAAGCCTCAGGTTGATTCGACCTTATATGTGTAATCTGGTGCAGCTTCGGGCTGACCAGCCAAGACGCCTGCGCGATGACTTTCTGTGTATTTCCCCTAGGGTAAGTTAATAAGTTGGGTGTTGTTTTCTATCCCTTCCTGCTGCTAAAATCTACAGTTTATCCACCAGCAACTATTTACTCAGCTACTCTATACTATATATACAGTAACCCAGTAAGCATAACTATTATATATTAGTAGTAATAATCTAAAAGGTAATATAAAAAATTACTACTAAAATAATAATAAAATATATCTTAATAAAATTAGAATTTAATCTATATATAAATAGCACTCTAATTAATCACGTCCTCATTATATGGCTCGCTCAGGCTTATCCAGAAGGTGCTTTAGGGATACTCAGGCTCGCTTAGGAGATGCTCAAGCTCGCTCAGGGGATGCTTATGAGAGCTCAGGCTTGCTCAGGGTATATTTAGGGGATGTTCAGGAGATCTCATACGCTAAGCAGGAGGCCAACCTAGCGAGGGAATTTTGCACCGCAAGTTTGGGAATGTACTATATACTGTTGTTGAATGTCGGGTAGTATGAGCCACATCTACACCACAAGGCGGCAGGCCAGTCTTCCCAGCGGGCCCTGCTATACATAGAATACACCTACCTCCGATAGCACAGGATAGAGTGCTCCCTAGTAAACTTTAATCATCAACCGAACAGAAACAGTCGTGTACTATCTCGTACGGAGTACTCCGTGCGCTACCCCTTAACTCCGGAGATTTTCCCACCTTCCGCGCCGCGTATTCTTTAGACAGGGGACCATTCCTGGGCGGAGGATTAGTGGAGAGCTAGGGCATGGACAGAAGGTCTTTTGCTGTTTACGGACGTACGGACCGGGGGTTTCGCAGCCTCCTGCATTATTGATTCCACACGCCAAGCATGCCAAGAATATCCGGAAATATCTTGCCTAGTGTTTTTCTACGGGCTTCCCGTGAAAAAAAAGGAAGAAAGACACGGCATTCTGCAGCGGAATAGTGGGTCTGTCCGTGAGCTGAGACCCAAGCGTGCTGAGTGGCGGCAGTTCTACTTAATTAGCGCAATGCTCGTCTTCAAGTCCTCCATGCTTGCAATGCTTTTTGCCCCGTTGGGAGGATTTGATCAACATCGTGGTGCTGACGCCGATGACGTGTTTGCTGACGAGAATTCCGGGGTTGGAGGAGGCGGGCCAGATACTCGTCTTAGATGCAGGGTCTTCGGGTTAGACTCCCTGTTCAGTGACACTATTGCCAGTGCACAACGGGGCGGAATTGCCGTCTGTCCCGAAAAGCCCCATGTTGGCGAGAGGCGGAAGCCCACGTAGTACGGTTTACGCCTATCGGTAAGCATAAGAATCCCTGGCGCTAGGGTCACAACTGGCTAAAGCGGAATTGCTTCGTGACACGGCCCTCGAGACAGGATATTACTTGCTAGGATTCACAGACCTGTGCTACTGCTACGTAGCACTGCGTGGTACGTGCTTCGTCTGTGCGGATTGGACATTCGCTGGGCCCTCAAGGATCCAGGCCCAGGTCTCCCCCACCACGCAGTCCGCAATCTCTCCACTCGAGGCCATGCTCCCGGCTTCACGAGCAAAGGGCTGAAAGGTCTGGGGGTTATTAGTGGCAGAAGCTGCAGCCCTACGCAGCACTAGACTGGAGCGGTCTGTTTATCTGGGGAGCGGAATCCAGGCTAATTCCAGCCATCGAACTATATCACCCCGTTTCGTGCCGCGCCATCTCCATGGCCTGAATTGCCTCTTCAACGGCCATCATACCCACTAATTGTCCCGTATCGAGGCGGGCCATATCGCGGCCATGACCGAGTCCAGTCATGACGGAGAGAGCATGCCCAAGGGCCACGAGCTTCGGTCCGCTCGAACAACGTTTCGGTTCGCCAGCTCCAAGCTCAGGATTATCAAGAATCCGGTCCGGAAGAACGCGCACGGCGAAGAAGGCGAAAATTTGATCGCGGACGACCATCATCACAGCGAACCGAACCAGACTGGCGACCCTGACGATTCTCCGCTGCAATTCACCAAGGTACGCCATCTCTACCATGTGGCCTAATGGGAGAGCCAATTCAGCGCCCGGGATTCGCTAACCACCTGAATGATAGAGAGAGGCAGCATCGACATCCGAGGTAACATGAACTCACTAAACAACATGCCGACCGTGACTGACTTACCCTTCAAAGCTATTCTATGACTTGTGGTTCGTGGCCAACCTCAACGTCTTCGCAACCGTCCACCCCATCATAGACACAGAAAACCTGATATCATTTGTGAATTATTTCCTGCAAGTTCCTCAAGCCTATTTTGCCAACTTTTTGCTCTACTCCGTCTGACACGAATCGATACGTAGACTGCTCTGGATCACATGGTTCATCACGACTGTCTTCGACGCTCGTTTTGGACAGGATGGCGTGCTTGAGCGCATGGCCCGCGCGTGCCATCTCGCTGTTATGATCGGCTTCGCAGTGGCAGGTGTTGCTTTCGATCGAGACGGGCTCGTCCAGACTATTTTCAGAGCAATGTGTAAGTGAGAGCTTTTCTGGGCTCGCAACGAATGGAACGAGTTAATTAACATTGGTAGCACTCTGTTTCATGGCATCGAGGCTTGTTCTCACCGCACAATATGCCATTGTTCTGTTCCACGTACGCAAACACCGTCGGAGCCGAAATTCACTCCTCCTTGCTGTTGCTCTGCACCTTTTCCCCGCAATTGCGTACTTGCTTATCGCTGTTCTCTCGACGATGCTACCCCGCAAGGTCTTGTTCATGGTCTGGTACATTGTGGCCGTTGGAGAAATGGTTGGCGTTATTCTCCATGCCACGTTCTCCAAGACCCTCAGCTTCTCTGGAACTCACTTCAACGAGCGCCTGAATCTCCTTACTTTGATCATCCTCGGAGAAGGTATGTAGTTGCTTTCAGTGAACCCTCTTATTGCATAAAGGCTAATTGTTCAACACAACAGGTGTCATCATTCTTGCGAAAAATGTCACTAAAATTGTCGAGTACACCTACCTTAAAGATGCAACTGCTAGTTGGTGTAAGTGAATTACAGTCCATTTTTAGACACATTCTCCACACTTTACTAACGCTCTGAAAGCGTCTGCGCAATTTGGAATCATTACATGTGCAGCGGGCATTATTTACATCATATTTCAACTCTACTTCGACTGGATGCATCACCACAGTCATATGGGTGCATTGAACCAGGCTTTCTGGACAATAATCCATCTACCCTTCCACGTTGCTCTCGTTTTGCTAGCTGAAGGTAGCAGCCAGTGGGTTTTGTGGTGGCGCGCCATCGAGTCATTCCGCGGCGCAGAAGCAAAGCTCCGCAAGAATGTACTAGAGGCGACAGAAACTAATAGTACGGCCAAGGTAGTCCACGCACTGAACACTACTGCAAACCAGATCTTGTACAAGTACGGTTCTGAAATCGCAGAGGGTGGCGATGATGCTAAGCCGCTCAACCAAACATTGACCAAGATCCTCAACATCCCTGACAGCTTCTGGAGCGAAGCACCTTGGGAGGAGACCGACTCTACTTACCAAACATGGGCCAGTGCATACACAAAGGTATCAAATATCATAATACACGCAATTGGCGATGCCTTTGGCCTCTCTGTTGAGAAAGATAGCAAAACAAAATCGTTGGACGCCAACGAGTTGGACAGAGCAGAGTTGGAAGCAGTGCGATCAACGGCAGACCGACTTGTACTCATCGTAAGTAACTCACATACGATTTCAGAGATAGAGAAGAGCCTGCTGACCAGTGACCTCTTATAGTTCATATATGTGTTCCTCAGCGCTGGAATGGTCCTGATACTGTTGATGGTAATGCATCTCCTTTCAAAGAGAAGGGGATGGTCCATATTCAACATGTTTCGTGTCGCTCTTGTCCTTGCCATCGGACTTGGTCTCAACCTTGTGGCCCTTGTGGGAACCAATGCTGAGTATACGGCCAATTTCCTTTTAACACCTTGGCAGTTGCCGACGATTACGATTTGCTACTTGATCGTCCTCATCCTGACCCATCTCCCTCATCCGCCACGTATCTTCATCAAGCGTCCTGAAACTGAAGTGGTAGAGATGGGGGTAATACCCGAGCAACAATCACCAAACGAGGCGGAGAGCAACGTACCGCAAGGCAACACGCTGAGACGAGGATTGACCAAGATGCATCGAGCAGCAAAGAACATCCGCGTTGAACGAGGACCGTACGATCCTATCGTGGAAGACGATCTTTTCTTTGAGCGGACTGGTCCTGTGAGTTCACAGAATTTGTATAGAGTGTAGGATGTAACACCAAATAGATGAGATGCTTTAAAATCTAGGGGGAGTCTAGCGAATACCACCATATAGAACATTATTAGAGGCTTATGATGGCGTTTAGGTGCATGCCTAACTTGCATTACAAAGCTGGCCTCTGCTAGAAAAACATCTATGTGAAAATACGAGCGGCTCTCGGATGAGTTATTCAGCCACAACTGTGTTTTTTTGACCTTGTGCCGGCAACCTGCTCACCTTGAGTGAGTAGATAGAAGTTGGATTAATTCATTTAAATAACGAAGGCATCGTATTGAGGTCCCATTCATAGTGAATATCAAAAGTATCTAAAGCTTAACAGGGTATGTTGCCGCCCACGGGTAGTAATCCTTCTCTGCCATGAGGTCCTGCAATTGCCGTCGCCGTAAGCCGATATTTCCACCGTCAAATAGCGGATAACACATCGCGTCGTTTAGCAATCTCGGGAAAGAGGTGTCATTTGCATATGACTTCATACCAACTGCCTTCATGGCATCCACGACACAGTCTACTGCGCAATCCGTAACATAGATCTTTGTCTGCAAGGCCAGGTCGAGTTTCACCTTCCAGTCGATGGAGGGGTTGTCTAAGGTGTGCACTGATTTCCACAGCAACAGCCGACTGGTCTCAATCTTGGCCTTGCAGTCGATCAGCTTGTCGGCGACACTCTGATGCTCAATGATGGGTTTCGAGCCCCCGCGTGGGTCAGACACGGCAAATTCGAGTGCCGCATCGAACGCAGCACGCATTGTTCCAAGCGCCATAGCACCGACGAGAGCGGCCGACGTGCCGAAGGCCATCTCCACGATCGGGACACTCTGGCCAGGGGGTGTAAGAAGGTTCTCTCCGGGCACTCGGAACTCGGTGAAGCGAGTGTGTGGACCTGAAGTTGCTATATGTCCTGCCAATTCCGGTTCGCCAAGAACCTGGTACGCGCTTTGGTCATTCGCGGCGATAACCTCGCGAGTTACCAATAAGATGAGAATCAGAGAAGCCGGATCAACCTCAGGATCCTGCGGTTGGCTCGGGTCATCAGAGAGCCTGCATACGACGCAGGCGAGGTCCGCGCCTTTGTCATCCCAGCCTGCACTGTTCGAGGTCCAGAGCTGTAAAGAGAATTAGTTATGGCGGTACTTAAGATCTGAAGGAGGACGCAAAAGAGAATTCGAACCTTTTCTCCGTTGATGATCCAATCATCTCCTTGTTTTCTGGCAGTTGTTTGAAGGCCCAAACCACCCTTCTCCAGCCAATTCGCAGTTCCGGCCGGCTCGGAGTGCATCAGACTGGCCAAGGGCTCGCCTTCCTTCAAGAGGAAGGGTTTCAGATACTTTTCATGAAGACTCGGCGTGCCGGCGAGCATCAATGGCATCAGACCAAGCGCCGTCGCTACGACAGTGATTGAAGCCGCAGACTCGACCGCAAACAGCTCCTCTAGAGTGATGGCCGCATCGACGAGGCTCTCCGAGGTGCCCCCCAGGGCAACAGGAACCTGGGCTTTCACAAGACCCTCGCGCACGGCAGCGCCATAGAGAGGCCGGGTCGCCTGGAATCGAGATTTCTGGTCCGTTGCTTTCCCGTAAACAGCCTTGGCATCTTTCAGCACATTTTGAGCAAAGCTGCGAGCAGCTTGCTGCGTTTCGGCCTGAGATGGACTGAGGGTGAAATCGATCATCTTGATAAGCAAGGTTGGAATTGTAGGGTAAGAAAACAGAAAGAGGGGATGGTATCCAAGTGATATATAGTAGCGTCTTGAAGTTTGGCAATGACTTACTGATGTTCTTGAGGTCTGGCTTTGCCTCGCCTTTTGTAGTCGGTCCTGGGGTATGTTTGCTACGACGTATCGGGCCATGATAACATCTTCCGGGCTCCGAGTGCTTAGCGTCTCACCGGGTCCCCTGTGTACGTAGTCATATGTCACTTTATCTGCGTTGCCTGATATTTTGCAGGTCGATAGCCATTCATCTGAGAAACTCTAGCTTAGTAGACGCCACTAGTGCCATCACTTTACCCGAGCACGAAGCATGATACACTTCACGATATACCAAGTCAGTCAACCCTGACTAGTTACTCCCGGGTTTGGGCGATATCTAGTCCTATATCAACCCTTCACACCTTAAACCCCTTCATCCACGGAGATGCTCAGTTCACTGTGGGGCGTACCCCGCACGCTAGAAGTTTGACAAGAGCGAGTAGGGCTATTCGGATTGTAATGTGATGAAATCCGGATGGCAACTATCCGGACAGTGGACTAAGCACTGTCCGTCACTCACGGTTTGTTAACATATCTCATCTTATAATAGAAATTAGGGTGCAATACAACTTTCTTTTCAGTTTAGATATAGGAATAATTGAACTCTATCTTTTATAATATTTTAGGACACAGATTAAAATTTTAACCCATTATTTCTATTTAAGATCCCCATTTTACTGACAATTAGCTTAACCTAGATATAGTGCGTGGGCCCTCTGATGGCACTGTAAGGAGTTTGAAAAAGGTGGAGACTTTGGAGTCCGGATATCTACACTCCGGATAGCACTATTCGATAAGACTACGCCAATGTGAACACGATACGCGCAATCATTATGGGCAATTGATAGCACTATTTACCATGGGCGTAACCGCAATGGGTATGGTTCATGCTTCAACGCAGGCGGACAGGGTGGCAGCCCTCCAAAACCAACTGACGAATCTTCGTCGAGCCTGGTAGATCTCGCGGGGTCAGAGTATCATTGAGAGGACAGAGGCCGAGTGTCTCGGGATAAGTGGGTAAATATGCTGCCCCCGTGCCCGTTGACTCTTCGCGGACGACCTGGGCAGTACTTAAGGAGACAGGGAGCAATTTGATCAGGTGCCTGCATGAAATCCTACAGTGTTAGGTTCAATCACGTTCACTCACGTTCACTTGTTGAGTCACCCCCAGTACTTCTTTAACCACAAAGGCTCAAGGAGGCAGGAGAATTAGACAACAAATGTAGCAGGGGTACTTGGAGGAGGAGGCCGGCCGGCCCTGGACTCCTGGCCCTCTTGAGAATAACATCGAGGCTGGTGTCAATACTGAAATTCTTCAATTGCTACCCACCCGGAGGTCTGCGATCCCTACCAACGTGGGTATAAATGAAAAGTTCTAAGGAAGAATTAGCATAGTAATTTTCATCGATTAATTAAAACTTACCCTATTCCACCTCATGTCAAATCTATAGCATACCCTCTCGCCTACTAGGCTGGGAAAATGCTGTGATATGGCCAACACTCCACCTGGAGTTTTGATACAGTGGAGGCCAGCAGATAGATTGGAAAGGCCCTAATTAAGGGGTTGAGTCTGTGTAAAAACAAAGACGGACGCTTTTTCCCTTCTCTGATTTATTTAACACCTTTAGCCTCAGTCCGCTTATCATAGTATAGCTGTCACAGCGGCTCTTATCGATATTTCCCTCCTTTCCATCTTAGATATATTAGAAAGCAGTAGATCAACTGATCTCTGCATCTTATGCCCTTAAAACCCGGCTTTTATGTTGTTTTTCCTTATTTTTTATTCTTCTCTAGCTCCTACCCTACGGACGAGTGTGGTCTACACTAAAGAGCTCGTCCACCAACAAAATGCCATAGGGAGTGAAAAGCCCGTAATCTAATATCTAAATCCACCGCTCTTGCGATGTTCTTTCTCCTTATAATGGGCTCGTCTTTTGCCTTCCCTTGCCTCGTCTAAGGCTGACTAACATGGTAAAAGGAGTACCCTTAGTGCAGTCGGGCCCTCTGTTGCTTCAAGGGGAGTGAGCCCCTTATTGTCGAATTCGCGCTTTATACGCTCACTTATCGGTACGCATTCAGGCGGTTACTTCCGCGTGCAGTCAGTATGATCTGGTCCTGTGGCGGAGTCACGACCCGGGCTGGGCTCGCGGTCCCGTCCCCCAGGTATGACGTCGCTGGTCCGGTGTCTCGTCTCCGATCCTGTGTCATCAATCAACCAGTCCGATCGCTGTCCTGCCGGCTGGGATCAGGGAAGGTAAGTAAAACTATCTTTATTCTCATTACATACAGTCGATTGCGATATGTTACTGTCGCGGGTGCTGTTGCCGTCGACGACATACCCCATGAAGGCTTGCTCGGTTCGCAGGGCTTCGCGTGTCGCCCAGTTTGTAGTAGAATTTGAATGGTTTACTAGTCGATATGTTTGGCTTTATGATTTAAGTTTAAGGATGAAAGAAACAAGAACCAAGGCTGGCTATTGATTTGTCAGATGACGACAACTACTTCCAGACAGGAATATATACATCCACCAGGATAAGGTTAACCCCCATCATTCAAGATGTTTCTTTTATGTATTGACCATTCTATACCACTTATCTAAACATATTTTACACTACAACTTAGCAAGAACGCCATTGGGCTGCAAAAGAGAAAGGTGCGCCTTGGTAATATCGGAAACAGTGCGAGTGCTTGGTATTGATTAGCCAATGTCTTCACCTGGATCAGTTCATTCAAGTACTCACCCGGCAAGCGCCATGCACGTAATGAACTCGTCGTACAAAATGTCGAGGGCAAGCTTCACGCCCCTCTCGCCATCATACTGGACAAGGCGATTAGTCTCTGAAGCGACCGCAGCGTCAAACAATCCAAAACTTACAGCCAATCCCCACAGAGAAGGACGTCCAGCAAGACAAAAGTCTGCTCCCAAGGCAAGCGCCTTAAAGATGTCAGTACCTCGACGGATACCACCGTCAACGGCGATGGGAATGCGGCCCTTTGCAACTGGTGCGCAATCGCGCAGGGTGTCGAGGGTCGCGGGAACGGTGTCTAGTTGGCGACCGCCGTGGTTGGAAATGATGATGCCGTCCAGGCCATGCTTGATGGCGAGTTCAACGTCCTCGGTGGTGTAGACTGGAATCTGGTTAGTGGCCGCGCCTGGTAGTGAGTGTGGACATACTGACTTCCTTTGCCCCAAAGCTGCATCTTGGTGTGTTTCCTGAAGAACGAAACCATCTCGCCCCATTCAATCGCGTCGTCTGTTGGCTATTGTGAGAATGTTGTCTGCAGTCGGATACTCTCTACTCACCATATGCCATCATGTCGCCACAATCCTCGAGGTTAGAGACGTCGACTCCGGGAAACAAGTTGGGGTACTCCATTCCCTTGGGAACTCCAAATGAGTTACGGTACTCATTCAACCGTCGCCCCAAGCGGGGTCCATCGAGGGTCAAGAACATTGCTTTGAATCCAGCAGCTAGTCGATATTCAGATTAGTTTTCCAATTCAGGATTTGCAGAGTGGGATGAGACAAACCCTCAGCTCGCTTAACCATGGTGATCATGGCGTCTTTGTTCTTGAGCAGACTGAGCTGCATGCCGTATGGGTTTCCAGTCGACTGGGCTATCACCTCCTCGAGCGCGATGGTGGAGTAGCAGGAGAGTCCCATGGGCACGCCAGCAGCAGCAGCGGCTCGAGAGGTGGCCACCTCTCCGTCGGGGTGGGCCATGGCTTGCATGGCAGTGGGAGAGAAGCCAAAGGGGAACTTGACCTTGACACCGAGGAAGGAAGTGCTGGGGTCGAGGTTGGAGACATTCTTCAACACCCGTGGCCGGATACGATAGCGATCGTATGCCAACTCATTGTCCCGAAGACTGCGTTGAGGTTAGAGACGTGGCAGACGGATGGATGCATGAGGGCTCTCACCTAATCAGATCCATTGCTCCCTCATTGTAATACTCTAGCATGGTCAGTTGCGTTTCATTGGCGGCGGCGCGCAGACATAGGAGAGGGGCTTACCGCGGATGCCCTTGGGCAGCTTAGCGGATCCAAGCCGATTGAGGTCGTCGAGAGAGCAGACCTGAGGGTCATACGTCCGCCCGCGGTTGGCCATTGGTGCTAGACTGGGTTGGGCTGTACTGTAGGGTGGTATCTCAGAAGAAGGAGTGTTTGATAGAGACAGATAGGATAGAGACTACCGAGGACAGGACTCTCCCACGTTGTGAGGCTGTGATTTATGGTTCTCAGCACCCCGGATCGCTATCTATGGAGTAACCGGATTTGGCATCGTGGCCCCATCGCGAGAGGCACCATCTGGCAGCTCCGCGGCTATCCGTTGGGCAGCATGGCCATGAGCGTTTGTCACTGCCGAGTGTGATATCGCCGTAAGCTGCCTCGCGGCGTCGTGGGCTCCGACGCGGGCGCTCCAGCTCGGCTCCGGGGACGCTGATTCTGCAAGGCGGACCCTCCGCTGCAACCTGCCTCCGATGAAGATTCCGCCGAGGGCCCAATGTATCCATCGCGAGTCGGTAGCGCCGGGGGCTTCACCGCTAATGCCTAGTTCGCAGTGCATGAGTCGGCGCGCTGGCACCGGTTTCGGTGACTCGCCGCACTCGCCATCAATTACCTGCGCTGATTCAGGGAGGACGTAGCAGCAGGAGCACTATCTAGCGCTATAAAGAAGAAAAACCCGCCTCCGAAGCATGGTCATGTGCGCGTCGTCTCGGCACCGGGCTTGCTGCTGCGATTGCGGGCGCATCGATTACGCATACTTTTCACACATCGCCGTCGACCGCCTCAACGCCGTGGGATATCGTCGGTACAAGGGAATCATCGTCTCATTTACTATCAATGCAATGCAATATCTAATGCGCTGTTGTGTTTATACATTTGTGTCTTTGCACATCGCGGAGCCCCCATGCTAGGCCTAGTACTCGCCCTGAGTCAACTCGCCCTCGGACTTCCAGATCTCGTACTGGAAATCGGGCTGGAACTCGGTATACAGAGTCTCCTGTCATGCGATCATTAGCAACCAAATCAAATCTTTTTCTTCTACATGGGACCGACTTACTGGATCGGCATTGACCCTGGCCGTGAATTCAGCCTCCTTCTCGCCGATGAACTTCTTCTCGAGACCTGTGGCGTCTACCAGCAGTTGCACCTCGCAGGATCGCTCCATAAGCGTGTAAAGGTATGCGGCTTCATCAACGGTTCCGCCCGTCGTCAAAAGGCCGTGATTCTGTAGAATAGCCACCCGGCCCTTATCTCCCAAGGCCCGGGCAATTTTCTCACTTTCGTCCTGCTCCAACACCACGCCGCCGAATGATTCGTACACAACCTGGGTGCCCCAAAAGTTGCACGTATCCTGGCTGATGATATCGAGGGGCTTACCATACGTCGACCACGCCTTGCCAAACGGAGAATGCGTATGGCAAGCCGCGTTTATATCCGGCCGAGCTCGATGGATGGCGCTGTGAATCATGAAGCCTGCTGCATTTATCGCAGTTTTGTTGCCGCCTATGACCTGACCTTGCTCGTTTACTTGGACCATATCACTGGCCTTGAGCATGCCAAAAGTCTTGCCCAGCCTATTTTATGACTCAAAGTCAACTGACAGGAATCGCAAACGCGCCAGAACCACTCACGGGTTAATCCAAAATGTGTCTGGGTCGACTGGGTCCCGGACGCTGATGTGGCCGCTCGTCCCCTCGGTGAATCCCTTGCGAGCAAAGACGCGAAATGCGCCGGCCATGTGCTCCAGCTGCCACTGCCGCTTCTTATGCAGATCATCGATCTGGGGAATGCCGGGGAACACGTATCCGCCAGTCGCAAGCGCTGCCACGCCTGAAGGGTGCTGCTGTTGGTCTCGGGAGGACGGGGCGGGGATCTCAGCCTTTAGTTGCGGCTCGACCTCGAGCGCGATGGCTTCGTGCGTGGTCGTGGCGGTAGACATATTTTTCTGGAGAAATATTGTGGCTCTTTGGGTCGAAAAGCGGCGGTAATACCGGATCCGATTCTTAGTCGGCGTGCTGTGATGCCTCATCAAGATATAAAATTAAACGCAGTGTCTCCTATTGACGTCGTGATACTGTGGCAAGGAGGAGGCACATACAAGGACACTGAGTCGTTGCACTCGCCCTGGCTGCACACCATCAATTGCGCTTGACTCTTTCAACGGCGCCAAAGCATCTCCACTGGAAGCACCTAGCGAAAGCTGCAGCTGTCTCGCCGTCAACTTCCCCATTCTCTAAGCCGACTCGAGCCATCCCTGTCCACACTAAGGAGCGTGTGGACCCGTGGAGAAGACGATGCTCGCAGCCAATTGACGGCGAGATGATTGAGCAGCGTTATCTTCCCCACGGAGACGGTCCTCAACGTGAGTTCGTACATATCATGGGAGCAGTTGTCCCCTTCGCTAGGAATTTCCCCCGTATCACTGCACGACCGGAAGCGGAAGCGGACAGACTCACCAGGCTTCGTTTCTTCTCCACCAGATCTCTCCACGTTGCTCTGCCTCGCCTCGCTCGCCTTGCTTCGCCTCCCCCTGGACCATCCGGACTCTCCTCCGGCCGCCGGCATCATGTCGCCCCATTCTCGCCCCAGCTACCAGCCCCGGAAACACAGCAAGACGTTTACTGGGTGCTGGACCTGCCGTGGCCGCAAGGTCAAGTGTGACGAGGAGCGGCCTGGATGTCGCCAATGCCGCCAGAAGAACCTCCAATGCCAGGGGTACGGCGTTCGTCTTCACTGGATGCAGCCCGAGATGGGGCCTGTTGGCAGTAATGCTGATCCACTGCCCCAGCTGCCTCGGGCCAAGTCACAGCGAAGTCAGATATCCATCGGTGTGTTGTGTGATCTCTCTGTCCCGTTATAGTCGACTGACGTGTCTTGCAGAGCCAATGAAATCAATCCTGCAATGCAGTGAGATCGACGAGATTCTGACTTCGATTGATTCGCTGGATGCACACCAGGGCGGTTCCTCATCACTCAACGTCGGCTGCTTTGGTGTCTTTGGCGCTGCCAGCTCTCCTCCCGTCTTTACTCCCCAGATCGCCGTGTCAGATGATCGGCCCATGTCCATCGGCTCCTCTGATTCCGAAAACTACTTTGACCAACCTGACATCTCCGATCCATTCAATGTCTCAGATGTCCTTCCGGTTGCCGTCTTCCTTGATGCATTTAGCCCGTCCGAGTTCATGGGCCCCGACTCCCTACCTATCTTTGACTTCTCGACTCCAAGTCTCACGACAGAGGACTTTACCACGTCCCTTTATGATTCGACAGACTTGGTTCAGCACAAGCCCAAGGATAGTCCTCGTCTTGAAGTCCTTAGCCCGCGTTTCAGCAATGATGCCTGGCACACGTTCTCCCAACCTATTCCACGGTGTCCGACCGAGTCTCCTCTCACCAAGCAAGAGCAGTTTCTCATGTCCCATTACGTGAACCGGGTAGTGCGGCTTTTTTGCGTAATTGACAACGCCAAGAGCCCATGGAAAACTATACACCTCCCACGAGCCCTTCAGAGTGTTGGAGAACTCTCCATAGTTGGATCGACTTCACGAATCCAAGGCGCTCTCCGAAACGCACTGCTGTCAATAAGCGCCTTCTACTTGTCCAACGACAACAAATCCCGAGCTCGCAGCGATGACGCTCTCAAGTGGGCGAACGAAGCGACATGGTTCCGAGGCAAGGCCATCAAGCTTCTCAAAGATGCTGTTGAGAATGACTTCTACTCTGTGCCGAAGCCAAAATACAAGGAATTCCTAGCGACAATGCTTTCCATGATCTCAATCAATGTACTATTCCCCACCGACCACTAGTTAACATAGGCTAACGATTCCTCCAGGTGATGTCGGGCGATTTAGACACATGTGGTGTTCATCTCGATGGTGCATGGCGCTTGATGACACACGCTAGAAACTGGAAATCAAAATACTCGACAAAGGCTCGAGCCCTTCATCGAATATACTTCTACCTGCGGACTATATATGAGAGCACGGCTCTAGGTGGTGATCAAGCCGAACGACCATGCCTAGAAAACAGTTCCCCGGAGTCTCCACCAGCCCAAATAGCCACCAAAGATACAGTCGCTCTCCCTCCAGCTGATGACGGATGCCCTACGATCCATGCCATTATACCCGATTCCATGGCTCGCATGGCCACCTACGAAAGCATTTACGGTGTCCCTCAAAAGCTATTGGTCTTGTTAACGAGGGCTGTTCATCTCATCGGGCAGGTGAATGAGGCCAGAAACAGGGATAGGACCACCTTGATCCCAGACCATTTGTCAAGTCAATGCGACGAATTGGAGATATGCATCATGGATAGACAAATTGAAGACGAACTCGAGCGCTGGCTACCAGATGGCCAAAGTGTGAACTCGGATATTATCCGACATCAAACGCAAGCGTTTCACAACGCTGTCATAATTTACTTTGCTCAGCACATTCGCCTTCTTGGCCATCGCTATTTACAACCATACATCAAGACCGTTCTCGACAACATCGAAGCGATCGAAAGGATCAAAACAGAGACGCAAACTTTAGCAGCACCGCTTTATTGGCCTGCGTTTATTGCTGCTAGTGAGGCATTTGACCTGGAGCTGCAGGATAGGTTTAAGCGCTGGTATGAGCAGGTTGAATTTTATGGATTTGAGGCTGTTAGAACTGGAATCAGAGTCCTCACGGATGTATGGAAGGAGGGTCCAGGTTCTGCGAATCGGAGGACAAGTTTATGGAGGATAGTCGCCATGCGATCGGGACAAAGTTTGATGTTGACTTAGACGCTTCTGGGACCTTTCAGGTCGCTACCTTGACCTCCTTAGGTGCGTTCAAAAGTCTGATGTCGCCTTCTGAGTAGATACTCGGCTTGCCATGAATCAGCACTGAAAGACTGCCAAATGCTTGCAGGACAAAAACAGTAAAAGAGATACATCTCCAAAGACTCTCGTATCAAATTGGTATCATTAACTCGTGACCCTCCGAATTAAATGTCGTTTCTCTTTCCTCCCGCTTATTCGGCAGCATTGCTCTCGCATGTCCAAGGTTTTGTAGTGCCATTCGTGGCAATAGCCTCGATCGAAGCCCATAGGCCAAGCACACAGATAAGGAAGCCGGTGATGAAAAGCGCCACATTGGCGAGGAATCGACATGTCTGCTTCCAGTCTTTGAACCAGTTTCCATGATGCATCCACAACCAAAAGATTCCAGGCAAGCCATACGAGAACCAACTGGCAAACAGGGCACAAATGAGGCCCAAGAGATTGTTGAAGACCGGGATCGATTCGGCAATGACGAGCGAGATAGCCCAGATGCCAAAAGTGACAGCAATCCACGCAATGCCAGATAGCTTGGTTCTCCTGATCATGTGCTTGGTGTCTCGGAACATGCGAGAGAAGATGTATTTGGCGGCGACGTGTCCGTAAATGACACCAGCGATCACGATTGTCGGAATAGCAATGCCCCAAATTGCCTTGCGCATCGTGGCGGAACCGGCTGCGGACAGGGCAGGCGATGGAACGTCTGGACCAACGAAGACATAGATGACGATGGCGGCTAGAAGATACAGCGCTGTGTCGCAAATCTGGAGAAGCGCCAACCTTGGGCCAATCCTCGGGCTTCTTGAACTCGGAGATGACGCTGAAGAAGCAAGAATGGCTCGCTGGGTGGAGGTCAGTTACTGGTTGACTAGCTGTGGTCCACAGCTACTTACAGAACGAGATAGCAATGTTGGTGACTGCCATGAAGGCACCGGTAAATCCGAGCTCTCGTGCAATTTGGAAACTTCCAGAACCGATGGGGCGCTCAACGGCGACGTCTCCCAGAGTTATCAACACCGCCAGCGTAATAGACATGCACGCTATCATCCGAGTTAGCTTGTCATTTCGCACCAAACAGAACGTGTCGGAAACCACTCACAAGCCATTGACATGTAGCTGGTATACTTCAACGTTCTTGGGAGGTTCAGAGCCCAGAAAACACCCAGTCCCACAATCGCCCAAACAAGAGTACATGTCGAGCTGCTGGTCAGAGTGTTCATGCAGATTGTGAATGTCAACAAGTGGCTTCCCATGACGAAAATCTGGAAGGTGACTTGCGCCCAGCCGAAGACTTCTTGGAACACACGTCCCATGCCAATGGGCTCTCCGATGACTTGAACAGCGTCACCAAAGTTCTGCACGAATGGGTATGCTTGTCGGAATTCAGCCAAAACGAGACCAGAGTACGTCGACAGGAAGCCCAAGATCAGAATCAAGACGATTCCAGGCACGAGCCCCACCGTAGCGAGGACGGACGGCAGAGACAGGATACCAAGGGAGACGGTTTCGGCGATCAAGACGATGCCACCTTGCCTAGGAAGCTTGTCAGTATCTAGTAATGAGCATGTCCCCTTGTGGGGAGCCATACCACCAGGTCAATGTCTTGTAGTCAATCAGGTCACCTTCCTCTCCCTCCAAAACCCCATTATCATCAGCGACCGTACGAGCGGCTGCCTCTGGTGCTTCAACGCTGATATTATTCTCCTGTTTCGAGGCGTCCGGCGCACTCGCAATAGCAGAGCGCCCCATGGTAGTCGAATGCCAGCGTTTCTAGCACTCCCAGGTAGATGATGAAATGAGCGTCAATAGATCTTGTAATTGGACAGACAAATGGGGAAAGACGTAATGGATTCTCAGCTCGACAGAAAGGTATGAAGGAGGAAAAGGTAGACCTTGATTGAAGACGAAGAAAGAGGACTTGGGCTTCTAGAAACGGGGGCCCATGTACTCCACAGCCACAATTTAATCTTGCAGAGCGACACCGGGACAGAGTTTATGGCACGATGCTTCGTGACACATTAGAGCTTGATTTGACCCGCAAGGGCAGCGGTCGGGCCATCGGGGTAGCCCCAAGGGTGAAGCTATCGTCGAATAAAGAGCTCCCAAGCTCCTCCCAGGCGGAGCGGCATCGGGAACAATCCCAGGATCTTTTAGCTCAAGTCACCCCATCGCTCGAACGACAGGGACTCATTCGGTCCTTATCGTAGCAAGGAGAATAATCCCTTGGAGTTGGTCTGGTTTTATTTGCGCATCCTCAATATTTGGTAATATTTACGTTATGGTCCCACCGGCATGTGAATGTCGCTAGGATTAGAAGTGTAGATTTCTCCACAAGGATCCACCGATTTGGGGCTCTGATTATCATCAGTGCCTGGAACGACGTTCTGGAATCTCCCCAGCTGATTTCTAGCTTCTATTCCGCTGTACAAACTTTCACGACTGGTGCGGCCAGCAACCTTAATGGTTCAACCCACTGGCAATACGCGCTTGAGTACCGCAACGACTCTCCTCATCACGCAGTTACGGCCGAACATGCAAACGTGGTCGGTTGAAGCACGAATCCGGTCACGCATTTAGAAGCCATGTGCGGGGATTGGACACCAACAAGGGAGGAACCATAAAAGGGATGACCGAAGTGGTGTAAAGGATGAATTGTAAGGTTTTGATGATCCGAACAAATTTAGAACCTTAGGAGGAACCTCAAGACAAGGTAACTAACTAGTTGTGGTGGAAGATAAAGTTTGCGCAAAAATGGTTAACATTCTGCTCCTCTCGCATATAATCATCAGACTTGGCTCAAAGACACGCTTAATTTCGTCTTCATTGCACCTCCGTTTCCTGTCCACCACTTTGCTCTAGGCGGCTCCGCAATAGCAAGACTGGCGAGCTGTGCATTGACTACATCAAAACCCCTAGGGCTTCAACACCATGCTCTTGGGTATTCTTAACATCGTCTAAGAGTTTGTAGAGATCTAGTTGGATGAACTTCCAACCGGCTTGATGTCAGATGATGCCTTTTTGCCGTCCTCTACAAGGGAAGGACTCGATGCTGCATCATCAACCTCTTGGGCCTCTGCAAGTCTCCTGAACAAGAAAGTCAGTATCAACCTTAAATAGAGGCTTGAGTACTTACGCTTTTCGCTTCAAGTGATAATTGAGGACATGGCAGGATATAATGAGTAGTGCTGCACTCGTCAGGCAGAATGGATATCCCTTCGGATAACGCGGCGCTTCTACCGTCGGAAACGTCAAGAGGGGAGTCCAAGCTGTTGTAGATTGTGAAATTGCGTTAATTATGACCAGAGTGAATGCACGCTCGGCAGGTGAATACTTGAGCAGGCTATTCACCCAGCCATGAAGGACACTGGACATTGCCGGAGATGCGTAAGACGTGGAGAATGCAAACCACAGAGCCGACTCCGGCACATTCCATACCGTCTTGATGATAAGACCAAGAATATTCCAGGAATGGGCGACGGTAATAGCCCATGCTGGCCCTGTGACCAAATCGGAGAGAAAGCAGACAAAAAGGGTGTAGAAGATGCCCAGAGCGGGGGCAATGGTTCCGAGTTCGTTGACCTTTGCCTGCGAGTACCGGCCGAGACTCTTGATCCAGAGCAAGAAGCTGCCTGTGCTAGAGTGTGTCCCTGCATTCCAGAATAGAATGTCCACTGCCACAATTGTCCAGAATTGGGGGTTGAAAGCGATCTTCTTTATCGTTTTCAGCTCGAACTTGCCATGCATTACATGACCTGCGCGCTCGAGTCGACGTTTGGATATTTCTAGATCTTTTTCGCTCAAAACTCTTCGGTTTGGTTGTTCGTATGTTCCTGGTATAGTGAAGTATCCCAGGATGCCAATTGGAATTGTAATAATGGCACAGATGATGTACATCCAGCGCCATCCTTCCAGGCCATGGACGCCGTCCAGTCGTTGAGATGCACCGGCTTGGATGAGACCAGCAGTGAGCGTGCCGAGTGATAAACCGACATAAAAGATTCCTCCACGACGGCCAATTTCATGGCCTCTATACCATGATCCTTAACCAATAATTAGTCGGTCACGCATAGAGGTGGAGGAGGATCGTACCGAAAACATAGTGCATGGCAGGGAAGAATGCAGCTTCGAACCAACCGACGAAGAATCGATAGGCAGCCATCTCTCCAAAGGACTGGGCACGAAATTGGAGGAGGGTGAAAACACCCCACATAACATCCATGAATGGAATGATCCAATACATAGGAAGGTATGTGAATAGAAACAAGAATGGAAGCTGGCCAAGTACAGCGCCGACGATGTACATCGTTTGAAGCCTCACTAATTCGTTCCCATGGAAGCCCAAGTCTTCTTTCATGCCTGCAACGTAGGCATTATCTACTGCGGTTAACTGCTAGCCCTTCACAAGATTGGTATATTACTCACTGAGGTTGGACTGGTCGATGTATTTGACCCAGTACGCAAGAACCGCATAGGGTACAACCAGAAGATCCAGCTTCCAGATAAATTTGCGTTCTTCTGGGGTGTCATCGTCAGAATACCACTGGATCTTGTACCACTTGGAACGAGGAATGCTCGACATGGTGACAGTATCAGATGCGTTGAGACGGAAGCTCAACGTCGATGCCTTTTGATCAATAACCAAGATGAAAGCCCATTGAAGGATATCAAAAAAACTATGCTCTGGTTCGCAGCAAACTTAATATCTAGTCGGCCGTTTTGCCAAGACAATTGTCCCTGACTCAGTTGCCATTCCGCCATCCAGCGCTGGATCTCGCCAGCATTTATCGCACAGCTATTGCCTATGATAGGTCAGTGTCAAGGTGAGTTCATGTAATTGACGCACACCGCGTCGCAAAGTGGATGCCATATATGGAGTGAATATTGATACCATCCACTGACTTGTTAGGATGTTTGCGGATAATATACCTACCATAGGTAAGTGGCAAGGTTCATGTCCGAATTTAAGCTTGAATTGGAAAATAATTTACAGATCGGGGGCGTTCCGATGCGCTAACAATAGGAACAATCAATGGCGTGCTCTTACACCATTACCATGGGGTATGATGCAACGCATGTGGGATGACAAGGTGGTATTATGCACGACGATTAGAATATGCCAAACGTATTTGACAATTGATTTAAAAGTCTCCATACTACCTAGTCAATAAATATACACACTTTGCCAAAGGCCTACATTTATTGTTTTATTTTCTGAAATAATCTCAACGACTTTACGAAGAGGCACGCGAACGTACAAGCTCACACCAGAAAACATATCCCCGTCCACTTTAACGTGGACAGCCGACTAAAGGAGCTTAGAGATGTGTGACGGAGATTGGTCAAGAGGAATGGTCATTTCCTTTTGCCATGGCGGCATTGCGACAGGATACCTGTATCCTTCTAGCAATAGCACTCTTTCATCATATTCACCCATACAGCGGTGGAATTGAATAGATGATACAGTCTATTCTAAGATAATTTAGTTATTTAGTTTTAAGAGCTTGATAGCGTTACGGCGGGTTAAGTCCAATTTGCTTTCCTTGCTATAAGGCAAAGTCTTGATCCATTTAGCTCCCTGCTGAGGCATCACAAATGGATAATCAACTGAATACAAAATTCTATCAGCGCCCAGGATGTTTCGGTGGAAGTCAAGGAGGTCGGTCCAGAAGTTTCCAGTCGTCGTTTCGTAAATGTTGGTACGCCAATAAGATGAGAATTTCTTCTTCATTGGCATTCCTTCAGGAACCTTACGAGCCAACACTAAAGATGTGGCAGTGAGCAAGCTAGGAATAGACACCTCAAATTTGAGGACTTACTTTCGTCAATGCGCCAGAAGTCGCTAGGGATACGCTCGCCCAGATGACCAACAACTACCTTAAGTCTTGGGAAACGGCTGGGCATTTAATAAGCAATATGTAGTCTAAAATTGGCTGAAGAACATACTCGAAAACACCGTTGGTGCATAGTCCAACAATGTGAGTCGACAGGCTCACCGCAAACTGATGAGGAGCTCCCAAGACCCACGTGGCATGGGCATAGTCAAGCTTTTTCACCAGAGGTGTCGGTGCCCGGGGATGAAGATAGATTGGAACATCGAGCTCAACAGCCATTGCCCAGAATGGGTCGTATGCCTGGCTATCGTAGTAAAGAAGTGTTTCTGTAGTTCATACGTTAGCACTCTGTAGGCAGAAATAAGAGAGCGTATATTCTCACGATTGTCATAGTCGACTTGTTGGAAGTCATTCAGCAGAGCTCCATGAAACCCGAGTTCCTGAACGCAGCGGCGCAGCTCCTCTGCGGCTTGAGTAGCGTTGTGCATGGACAGAGCTGCAAATGCTCCAAACCTCTCAGTGTTGTTGGCGATCAGTGCAGCAAAATCATTGTTGGCTTGCGTAGCCAGGCTCTCAGCCAAAGCGGCATTGCCGATTTCCTGAATTCCGGGAGAAGTTAAAGAGAGCACCATGTAATCAACGCCCGCCTCGTCCATGTAACGGATGCGCTGGTTGTGAACGTCGGCCAGGTTTGCGATGAGATCATCATACGTCTGGCCTAGAGGAAGGTTAGTGAAAGATACTTCTCTATATAAGGACGATTTTGAATTGACCTAAAATTGGTGCAGCACTGAGATTAAGAGTAGTTAATATTCAAATGTTCAGAGGCGCTCGCCTTTTGCGTCGGGAGATTTTCTCGGTGACTTACATTGTTTTAGAGAATTCTGGATAGTCTAGACTGAGAGCTTCCTCAAAGATTACAGAACCCTGCCCAGTGTTGTTCCACCGTTTAGCCTCAGTTGAAGTAAGAAGAAAAAGTGTGAAAGCAACACTGATCAGCGCCATTTTATTCCAAGCTCAGTGTCGAATGCAAGGCTGGACGATATCGTAATGAACTCACAAAGTCAAACCGGCGATGGGTGACTATGAAAGCTAAATCAAGCAGGCCAGGCCATCTCAAAAACATCTCCCAATTTATATAGCCGGTCGCGCCAGTTCTCCTGGTCCATCCGCCCCCCAACTTCACGGACTAAGTAACGGCGTATCGATCGTCCGTCCATTCATTTAGTCTGTGGGGGAATCACAGTTTGGGGGCGGGGTCAGTTCATGACTTGCCTAGACCTCCATAAATTCTTAATGTCATTGATACTATAGCATGGGGTTAAAGTTTGGCTATGATTGTTCCGGCCTAGCTTGCGGCCGGGATTGGTACCGGCTGAGGGCACAGTCCTCTGGTGTATCGGTATCCTGGGCTTACACATAGAGAAGTGACATTGACGCAAAGCCCCTCTCGATAAAAGAGGGGGCTGGAAGCATCCTGGGGCATCAGACTTCTGACCAAACTTGATTGAACATCAATCCTTGGATTGAATGTATTGTCATGGATTCAAAACATCTCTTAGCGGGCAGGAGCAGCTTGAGGGATATGACATTTATACACCTAGATATCCACAATACACTCCCTCGAGCGCGTGAGCTTTGTCAAACCCGCGAAGAACATTACCACACCTGACAAGTCCAACTAACTCAACGACAAACGCCCTCGTGCGCTTCTGTACCAGCCTGTTGCGACCCGTGTCCCTGTAGACTACCCCAGGATAAACCCAAATGTCATAATCCCTCAATTTTGTCTTGTTGTTAGCGCCAAGATGAGACATACCCGAGCAGTAGGAGGCTGCAGAGCGCAGAGGCATAGCCACTTCGGTCCGGAACAGAGCCCACACATACCACTAAGCACTCGGACGATTTGGAAGGGTGTAAGATGTGGACATCGACATGAGGGATACAACAACCAGCAGAATGCATCCGTGTGAATATCACCGGTGTGCCCCGGGATGCGGGAAGTGTCCCGATAATATCTAGTGCCGTTGATGCACTGACTCCTGGATGTGCTAAGCTAGGATTCAATTCTACATCTTGTGCGCGAAGTACAAGAGCAGACCACTATCTAGCACAAAGAGAGGCTGCTGAGTTACGGTGTTGGTTCTCGTCTTTTTCTACTGCTAAACTAGCTGCGTCACAATTTATCTCAAGTGTTAAATCACAAAATAAAAGTTACAGGTCATTATTCATTTTAAGAACCATATAACGCAGCATTGGGTAACAAATGCTTGAATCGTGGATAAAATTGTGTTTTTTTGACCTTGTGCCGGCAACTTGCTCACCTTGAGGGAGCAGACAGAAGTTAGATTAGATTAGAACCATATAACAAAGAGTCCACCTTTTCGCTAATTGCCAAACAACTTGTCAACCCGGGACTCTCAATACCCAAGAGATTCACCCAGCCATTGTATCCTTCCTCTTTGCGGATGATGAAGTCTAGGAACCCCTTTCCATCTACACCTCCTCCCCCCCTGGCTAGCTTTGGTCGTAAACCGGCATAATCAGCTGCCAGGCAACTTTCGTCCACAGCAGGCAGGTACTGCTGGATATCCTTTATCGCCAGCGGCAATTGCTTCGTGTTGGCAATTAGATCATCGGGGCTGTCTACCCACTCGACATCAGGTCCAAATCGAATTCGACCGCCCATATCCAGCGTTAGATGTGTTCCGAGGCCGCCAGCTCCTGGTGCTGGGACGGGATAGATCAGACGAGAGACCTTTGGTGTAGATGAAGAGTACGAGAAATAGTTGCCTTTGGCGTAAAACATCTTCATGTGGCGTGATGGAGGGGTGATCATGTTGTGAATTGAGACTGCGCCGAGACCTGCCGAGTTGATGAGTGTTTCCGCCGTTATCGTGGACATGTCCGATGTCGCCGCATCCTTCACATCAATCTCCCAGCCCTGACTACCAGCATCTCCCAGTGGCCTCACTGCGACGACATGGGAATTGAGGGCCATCATGCCTTCGGACTCTTCGAAACGGCCTTGCAAGGCCAGCATCAAGCTGTGTGAGTCGACAATGCCGGTGGTTGGACTCTCCAGAACGCCAGCGCGCGCCACCACTCCTTCGCCGTCTCTTTCCACCTCATCCTGGCTCACCCATCTCATGGGAACATTGAGCTCCTGGCATGTCGCATAAATCTTCTCCAGCGATTTGTATTGGGCTTCGTTCTGGGCCACAATCCACTTGCCCGTACGACGATACGGGATGTCGGCCTGATCGCATAATTCGTAAAGCAGCTCCTTTCCTCGGATGCAAAGCTTCCCTTTGAGACTGTCGGTGCCATAATAGATGCCTGCATGGATGACTTCGCTGTTGCGCGAGCTTGTTTCCATGCCAATCCCGTAGTTGCGCTCAATAAGAATCGTTGACGTGTTTTCGCGTTGTGCGAGCCTCTGGGCAACAGCCAGACCAACAACACCGCCTCCAATCACCTACGCAAACATCAATATCTTCGTTACTTGGACACGCAAGCGCCGTGAAGAGCGGGCTGCGACTCACGGCATGAGTGAAATCGGCTCGCGCAGCCGCGGTAGAGCTGAAGCAGAGTCTCTGAAGCTTCGTCGAGGACTTAGAGCCCCATTTCGACACGGCTCGCGTAAACATGGTCGTTTATTGGCTTGTATTCGACCGAATCAATGTCCTCCCAATGTTATTAACCTGCAAATGTCGCATAAATAGGTGAGCTTGTCGTCGGCGGACCTGAGGATTTCGCCGACCCGGTCTCGCTAATAGCTCCCTCAATTGACCGGACGCTAGCTTATCTAATCCCACTGCAAGTCGGTTTTGATGGCGAAAAATCCCGGATTAGACTAGCGTGCGGCAGATTCGCTCATGATTTCCAGTTCTAGGAGCCGAGGAGGGATTCATTTGCCCTTCGTTTGACTCGCGTCTTGCTGGTGGGCAATTTGAGCTGGCAATAGGAGCGGGTATCGTGACGCCAGGTGCTATCAAGGGACAGGCAAAATCAAATTAACGAACATAAAGTCGGTTTTGTCGCGAGCTACAGGAGACTCTTGAGCTCGTATACCACTTCGGCCTGCATGCACAGCAAGTCCGAGTGCCCACAAGTGCGTTCGTACGGCAAGACGGCTCATTTCGCCGAGATACGGAGTGTTAAACCCCGCGTAAGATTGGTACAGCTTCACAACTAATTCAGGAATTGTTTTTCGAGAATGTCACAAGTTGTCCAATAACAACAACTTCTGTTCGTCTCATTATTCTGCGCGGTCGTCTTTACCTAGCAATCATTTCACAAAACAAATCGAAGATAAGTCTTGGTTCATATCAAACGAGGACGATTTCGAATCTAGGTCTTTGGCTGTCCTAATGTTCTATTTCTATAGATCTGGGATTGAGGCTCGAATGCTGCTCTATTCCCATATGGACTTGACGACCCTCCAAGCCTTTCCTTTCACCCCGCCCTTCTCAGGATACTCCTGTTCAGCCTCGACCTCTTCAAGGGCCTTGATGGCATCCAACCCGGTATGCAAGTCAACATCGCTCGGCGCAATAATCCAACCCTCATTCCAGTGGCAAACACGGTGAGCTCCATAAATGACGAGGAAGATGGGGAGACCAATGTAAGACGTCAGGAAGGACGAAACAGACCATTGACCAGGGAAGAAGACGCTGAAGCCGTTGAGACCAAGCAGGCAGGCGAAAAAGACAATGCAGATATACGACGCCCATGGTTGCAGAATAGACTGGAAGGGAATATCCGTGACACCCTGAGCCTTGCAGGCCTTGCGGAACCTCAACAGAATGATGCAACAGCAGATCCAAGATGTGAATCCAGCAGTGTTGGTCAAGTTGATGAACCAGTTGAAGACTTCGCTCGTCGAGCTTCCGACATTCATATAGGCTAGGGGTCCGAAGAGCGCACTGGCAAGAGTTGCGTAAACCGGAACGCCATAGCGATTGCAGCGGGCGAAAATAGCGGGAGCGTTGCCTGACTTTGCCATTGAGTAGAGCGACCGGCTGGACATGTAGAGGAAGGAGTTGCCAGATGACCAAGCAGAGAGAATAATACCGGCGTTGATGATGGAATCCAGAATCTTGATGCCACTGTCCTTGATGGCGATGACCCACGGGGATGCAGCAGCTCCATAGCCGCCGTCGGTCAGGCCTGGAGCATCGCTTCGGCAGATGACACTGATGGCGAGAGCACCGAGCGAGTAGAAGACAATCAGTCTCCAGACGAAGTTTTTGGCGGCAGTGGGGAGGTTCTTTCTGGGGGCTCTCATCTCGCCGGAGGTGAGGACAATCAGCTCGGGTCCAAAGTTGAACGAGAACATGGAAAAGGTCAGAGCATAGATAAAGGCGCAGAATCGGCCGCGCGCCCCTGTGACGAGATATTCGTTCATTGCTCCGGGGTCGTTCCAATAAGAGAAACCGATCTTCTTCCCATCAGGGCCTCCACCAACAGCCAAGATAAAGGCCAAGAGAAGGAGACCGATGATCATAAGGACTTTCAGAGAAGCGAACCAAAATTCAGATTCGGCATACCACTTCACTGGCGAGAAGTTAAGGGCAAGAATAACAACCAGCATAATCGTGATCCAAACCGCAATATGGATGTTATTAGGCCAGTAGTTGATGACGAGAGATGCAGCGGTGATCTCATAGGCGACGAGGATTCCGAATGAGTACCAGTAGAGCCAACCCATGGCGAATCCCAAGCTCTTAGAGACAAACCGGGTACCGTGGGATGACATGGAGGCGCCGGGAAGAGGGAGGTACGCGGCAACCTCGGCGACACCGGTGACGATTCCGTAGACGAAGAAGCAGATGATGCTGTAGGCCATGAAGAGATTGGCTGGGCCAGCACGGGCGAGAGCCTGGCCGGCACCGACGAAGAGACCAGTGCCAATGGTGCCACCGATGGCGAGCATCTGCGCATGGCGGGATTTGATGTTGCGCTTGGTTTCGGTGCGGCTCAGGTCGGTCACGCCCGCCGTCTCGGAATCGCCGGCCGCATAGGACTCGGTTCGGGCAAAGTCGGCGGCCTCGTTGCCCTTTTCGTTGCCAGAATCTTTGGAAGACATGGCTTAGGTTTGGTGGCCTTGGCTAGCCAGGAGGGAGGATGACTCTGAATGAACAAGACCGAGGAGGAGGGTCATGTGCGGCTTCTGCGGAGGGGAAAGAGAGTTGAGGTGGGGAGTTGGGGTGGGAGTAAGGAAGGAAATGCATTTCTCGGTGAGGGATGACGCTCTATATATCAAGTCCAGAATGTATATGTGACGAGGTGGTCTGGTGGGTTGACCCTTATCTATGCGAGTCGGGTCTAAACGAAGCTCGGCGCTGCTGAATTGAGATAAGGAACAGGTTTAATTGGGGTCTAGATAGTCATGACAATACAGAAACGATATAAATGGATTCCAGGGTGCGCACGGCCTGTGGGAGGTAGCCTTGGCCCCTGATTGTTGGATCGTTCGCTAACTGTTACCCTGTTTTCTTCTGCTGAGCCCAAACATGGAAGGCCACGCCTGAAATGCGGTGGAGCCGAAAATCCGGGGTATTGGATGGACTCGTTCTCAGTCCGGAGCTTGCGGGATGTGGCGAAGCGCCGAATCCAGCTTAGCATTGCTTCTAGACTTGAGAGGGGATTCCTGCAGACCGTTCTCGTGGGATTAGGTTCAGCTGTGGTTCATTGGTGAGGCCGCGTTTGTCACGAACCCTCTCGATTACTTTCTGTACATACGGCGCCTGTCTTAGCACCCGAAGCTCTATACTCCAACTGTCTGATTCATTACAGCACTCGTCGAACCGTTCCCGCGTCGTGCAATGCGTGTTCACGACGAACAGTTGCACTCCGTTGGAGAGCATTGGGTGGCGGTGTTGGTGGACCGTCCAGACTGCTGGACGTCGGGTATCTGCCTTTGTTAATATCCTTGAAATCTCAGAGACAACGACGTTACCAAAGGCATGCGGGGCGTATAAGGGGAGAATTGCAAACTTGTCAACATTAAATGTGGTCGTAGAGCATCCTGTTAATGGAATGAGCCTAGAGGGCGAGGAGAGTTGACAGTGGCCACAGGACTTTTCAGCAGAATAGATACTAGAATACAACCTGTCTGAGCCAGATTGGGTTTTAAAATCTCGAAGAAATATGAGACGACATTGTAAATGAGCTTCCGCTGGATTTGGAGTTGGGCTGCCCCCTCATTTCCGCCTCCACGATCGGTTTCGTCATTCTACTTCTCATTCCCTTGCGCAAACCTGAAGATTTTCCCCAGACGCTCAGACGCGGGGTAATTCATCATCTCCATCAGCCCCGACGATGAGAACAAACTATTACGTACAAGACGTCTCATCTTAGATGCAGTGTCACCAAATGCCCAGGATGGGTTGATTTCCCCAGATCACAAGGGCGGGGAAGCGACAGTCATCTCGTTTGCAAGGCCTACAAGCGTCCGCAGGTCCAAGCATGTGGAGTGTATTGGTAATGATACGGACAGAATTGTGGCGAGGACAGCCCGCAAACAAAGCAACCTTGAGCGGTGGCAGCTCATCTCGCTGTGAACTTCCCTATTTCTGCCTCCCTGTTCTACAGAAGCTAGGCTATTCGCAGACAAGTCGTACTGCCAAGACAGCCGCGACGAGTTTGATATGTGGGGACACATCCGACAGGGCGCTCCCTGTAGATAGTGTCATGACACGAATCAGCGGGAATACGATAGGGAGAGCTGTGACCAATCGATGTGGCGAGGTCAGTCAGCCTATCATCAAGATATCCTCCAGCAGGAAGTTGACTGCTTCGTTTGCCTTGTTCGCTATTTGAACAATGCTCCCTCTGCGAGTAGCTCATAGATAACGCGCCAGAGACTGCCTTTGAAGACGTATCCGAAATGACATCACGACGCCCGCTTATGAGAGTGGACCGTGCAGGATAAGCGGCTTGGTATTCGGTAAGTCCAGCTCTCCGAAACGCCGTGCCGTGGTTAAATCAGATCAGAAGGGCGATCCATCCCACTGCGACCTGCGTCGGATCGTCGCAATGGCACTTGACATGCAAGGCCAATTATACTAGAAGGAGCCTCGTAGCAGTCTTTAAATCCAATTTCGGCAAAGGTCACAATGGCGACTAGATAGCATGTCCGATCGGAAACATGTGCGAGTCAGGAAATCTAATTCCTGCGAGGAAACCATCACTGCGCCCTGAACCCTCGGCAGCAGAGACCAATTGGGAACCATCGGCCACTCCGTAATCTGTGCACGCTCCTCTAGGCTTATAGTGGTGCGGGATATTCTAGAGGCAGGGCTTGTGCGTCAGCCTCAACATCGGACGCCTTCTTAAAGACTCTTGCCAAAATGCGGCGGCATTTGGGCTCCAGTGGTTGCAGACCTGGCCGGAAGCTGGGTCGGGTCTAGGAAAACTATTTCCTGGATAAGCACTGCTGGAACTGAGATTTCGCAATTAACTCGTTGTGAAGACCAACATCTTTCTATCTCTCTCCTTTTCAGCTTTAGATCGGTCAATGAACCCGATTGTCTTTTTGGAATAACTCAGGATGCTACCGACACAATCACTTGCCGTTCCTATGTACTCCTCCCCATGGTAACATATATGCCGAACTGAGCCCCAATATTGCCGTTACCACAACCTAGACAACAACACTCTTGAACGGTGTAAGAGTAACTGTCCCAACTAACCCGGACTCCGTGCGTCCCGCTAGCGGTATCCCATAGTCTTGTAGTGTAACCGGTAGAGGTGAAGAACCAGCGGTTTTGAGTTCGGTGATGATTGTTCGTACATAATTCCACAGTGTTGTCGGGATGATCAAGGAAACTATGTTCTTACCCTCCTTCAGATACGGAGTAATATCTGCAACCGCGTTTGTAACGTCTAGCGGAGGGACCATGTGCCCATTAATTGAAAGCTTCACCACATCGATGACTGTAGATAAGTGGATGTATGCTCCCAATGACTTGGAGGCGTGCCGAGCGCCTTTCGGGGGCCACTGAAAACTGGTAGTATAGTACCCTACTCCTGAAGCATTATTAAGAGCTGAGACCTCGCTCCACGAAATTGGTGTAGTGAGTTGATGTGTAGTGTTGTGCTTAACCGTATTGCTGCTGTCGTAAAGATCTTCTGGTGCCTCCCAATGTTCGGCTGTCAATGACCATTGCGATAGTTTGAACGCATCCGGGACTGATGTTGCTTCAATAACCACCCGTTTACCATTCGAAAGCACAGCGTCAGAAGGTGTATCAGACTGGGCCACGTGCAAAAATATGCCACGGCCTTTGATGAATCGGGCACCCAAGACGTTAGAGGGTGCCTTTTCGACGTGATACTTAGGGACTGGTACTTGTTGCCGCAACCCATCGCCAAATGCCAAGATGAGAGTTTGGTTGCCAGCGAGATCAACAGGAATGGTTGTGGTGGCCTTAGTTCGTGTGTAGACCAATACTGGAGTAATCTCGCCAGTCCAAGCATTGAAGTAAAACGGCGCCTGCTTGCTGTTGACAGTGATGGTGCCAGTGGATCTTACCAAGTCTGAGTAGATCAAGGCGTAACCGATTTTGTTTGTTTCGATCCATGATGTATAAAATGTACCATTTGTGTTCGCCTGGATTTGAGGTTGTACGCCAAGTGACTTCAACTTGTCTGCGACTTTTCCAGATGCAACAGAGTGGACATTTTTAGACCTCAGGAGCCGTGACAGTTGACGTTCGAATTCATCCTTGCGAGATCCATCTCCCGTTGGATAATACGTCGGCGAGCCCCCGCTAAAGACAACGGGAAGTCCTTTTTGAGCAAATGACTTCAGCTTCTTGACGCTGTCGAGGGTCAGGTTTTGAGAGCTTTCCACGATGAGAGCCTTCCAGGCTGGGCCGTCAGGAGCCAAGACCCTATTCCTGACTACGGCTTGCTCAAGCTTGAGATTGTTGGCCGAGAGGTAATTCCATGACCACCCTTCATTGAACCTGGTCAGTGATGAATTCGCAACTTTGGGGTAAGGGATAGCCTACCTCCTGAGAGCAAATCATTCCCTTGGTAAATGTTTCTGATCGTCGTGGCAGACTCCTTGTTATAGATAACAACGTCCGCCTTGGGCATGCCACCTTGCAGTATGTGCTGGTTCCTGGCAATGTAATCCATGATCTCATTCAGCCCATGGTCCCAGGATGGGAGATGTGGAGAGAATGGCTCTGAGAATAAGTAGCTGAAAGGAACATGACCTGGCCATGTGGTCTCGTAATAAGTTCCCGAATACGATTGACCGTGTAAGACCATCTGATTGACTCCACCAAGGAACGCACGATTGATTTGAAAGATCAGATGTGGAAGATGGTATTGAAGTCCAGAACCTCTGACGGCACCCATCTCGTTAGAAACAATCTTTCTGCCAGCAAGGCGGGCAGGGCCGGCAAATGAACGGTATGAGTCAATATTGTCGTCGAATCCGAGACTCTCGCACTCTGGGGCATCCACGGCCGGGACAGCAGCCAGCGCATCCAGCGATGAACCGTAAGCTGGTTGAACGGACAACTGAACATGTAGGGTGTCGTGAACCCAGTCTGCCAATGCTTTGAGGTATTCTTTGTAACCATCAATGAGTGTTGCCCGAAAGTCGTTCACGTAGCCGAGTCCCTCATCTTCAGTATCGAGAATACACCTGAAGTGTCCCGGAGCAGTCCCCTGGACACCGATTGTGTTTTGCTTGAATGTGAGTAGGGGTAGATATGGTTTGATGCTATAGCCTGCAATCTTTTCGAATCGTTCAGGTAGTGACCGCGACCAGCTCACGTTGTAGGTCAGCTCCATGCTATCCTCCCATGCTATCATACATGTTAATAAGGTTCAATTTGTATAGGAAAGGGCGCAGGGGGACTGAGTCAGAAACTTACCGTAATTACCAACTTTGGCGAGGAGCATGGGTACTCTGCCTTTGAGAATATACTTCTCCCAGAATTGGCCCACAACAGCGGCCCCTTGAGCACTGAAATGATCAACAGCGTAAGATCCGTTATCAAAAATGGTTCTATGTCGAGTCGAGTCGAATTTCAAATTCTTATGACCGGAGAGCCTCTCATAGAAAGCAAAAACTCTATAGTGCGATCCGTTGGGTGCTTTCGGGAGTGATAGCTTGACATGACCTTGTCGATCAACCCGTCCAGTGACTTCCTTGAGCGTCTTATGATTTAGTTGGTACTCATCATAGGTAACGTTTTGGATACCGACAAGACCCGTTCCTGGGTAAGTTATGGACTGATTGGATTTGACAAGAGCTGTAACTAGTGAGATGAGATTGCCTGTTCCCCAACCAGGGATTTTGCCATTAAATGATCCACTGGCGGGCAATTTTTCAGTGAATGGCACCTAAACGAGTCAATGACCTATACTCTCGCAGATTTTAAAGGGTACATACCATATCCCACTGCAGGCCCTCATCATCTGGGCTTGCGGGAACTCCCTGGCCCTGGTTTGGCCCCAGCGCAAAGTCCATGACGAGACCATCTCTATCATGTGCTTCAAGAACTCTCTCGAAGAGCTTGACGAAGGCAGGTGTACCGAAATTGTACGTGGACCAATCTGCACCAGTGGGCATTCTGCCAATATCCCCGCCGTACTCAAAGAAAGGGAGAAACTCGATTCCCCCGGCGCCTATAGATGCAGCGGACGCGACGTCCTTAGCGACAACCTCGGCATCTACACTGGCATCAGGTAACCAGTATCTGAACCGTGGTCGCACACGTGATGCTGGACGAGAGAATGTGCCAGACACTTGGAGGTTGTTCCCGAGGGCCAGAGACGCTGCAACTAGACCCAGGATGGGAGTCGAGAAATGGATTCTCATGATGATCGAATGGCTTATAGAAGTCAAGAGTTATACATAAGCCTTCTGGGTTTGAGGCAGCTACAACACAGGAGTCACACGCCCCTTATATATTAGACATCAGGACCACCCTTAACCGTCTGCATGGAGCTGGCCACACTGCTGATTCCATGGCTACGGATATCATCTGCCCGCAACGGCATCTCCCTCTGTCTGGGCATCCATAGACTACACGCGGGGAAAATGCGGGGAAGGCGTCGAGATGATCGGACTTCGGGTTGTATTGGCACGAGGCTTTACGCGTATCACGGGATGGACAGTTTCCGGCTCCTACACTAAGGCTTCTACCCGACAGGTAGAGACAATTATCCTCGCATTGAGCCGGGCTCTAAGCCATAAAATGTTGCGTCGCGCTATCCAATCCTATTTGGGATTTACGCGGACCACCGCCGCCACCCACATTTCAAGACTTATACGCGGAATCCTAATCATGCGAACTAAAGTAGCGTCTATTACAAATGTGGGCAACGATTGGCTCGTCCCATGGTCTACGTTTGGGGGGAGATGAGATGCCCCAGACTCTCATATCCTCGGCATCAAGGAGAAAAGTAGTCCGTAGATTGCACTGTCCGCAGTGGTGGTTCTCTCCATTCGGAGCAATCTATACCGAACTCGCATCTTTATGGGACACAGACATTGTATCCAACCCTTCGTTGAAGATCGCACCTCGAAATCTTCCAGAACCCGGAGATTTCCCGGCATGAAAAGGAAAATGACTGACCGTGGCGATGGTCTCTACGATGGAGCCAGGATTTGGGAATACATTCAAAATCGCCAGTGGACTTGAGTCCCTTATTATCATAGCTACAATCTCTCACATGATCGTATTGCCTGAAAAGGTGTATCCCAACGGAAATCCAACGGAGAAAGATTATCCCAACAGCGGGTCCCTGGCTTGTTACGATGCATTCCGTCTCGTCATTATCACCTCCAACCTCCACTTCCGAGGATTATATGGCATGCTTCAATTTTTCTTGAGTTCCATCATTCATTTAACTCGTTAGCTATACTATCAACTGAACACATATCACTCCAAGTACACCATTTGTTGTTGGTGCTGAGCTTAAAAACACATAGAATTCAAGAACGTCACTACCCATGTGTATAGAAAGTCGTCGTGGATATAATGTACAATCTCATTTTTAATCTATAATTACTAGTCGAATGCTATGTCTAATACTAAAACTGTTTGTCAATCTCTAGTTCAAAATTCCACCCTCTGCGTAGTTAACAGCACCAGCTATTATAATACCTGGTGCAACCAGTCCATACTGATATACTCAATATTGGAACTGGGGTTGTTGTTGCTTGACCCTGTACTCTATTATAGTACAACCTCCTTATAGAGACGGATTGAAACGTTTGCGGAGTCGCTCACTAAAAGTATAAAAATAGATAGGAATGGGAATCATGGCCACACACACAAACGCCAACAGACTATTTCCCCAGCCTAGGCCGAGCGCGTCATACATGTCTAGGCCAGCCAAGGGGAGGAATGCGGCAGCAAATGATCGAAGTACCGCCAAGGCTGCGGTAACAGACGCCGCGTACCGGGGATACGTGTCCAGAAGGTAGTTTTGGACGCACATCTATTTGCCGTTAGTATGCCTTCAGAATGGGTCAAATAGGGATTGTTTCTTACCATTACTCCCATGAGCCCGCAGCTGAAGATCGCAACGCCAAGCATCGGGACAATAAAATGGACGCCATATTGCACAGTCCAACCGTAGATAAACAAGCCGATAGGCAAGACGATACCACACGGCATAGCCAACGCCGGACTCAGTCTGACCTCGGGCTTATGATCGAGGCCTTGATTCTGCCGGTTTTTGACAAACACATCCGACAAAGCGCCGAACGTGACAACCCCAATCATCATACCTATGCCACCCGGGAGAAACGTGAGACCTAACTCCCCCTGGTCGAAGCCATAATGGTCCTTGTATACGAACGAAAATGTGGCGATGAGGAGATAAAGAATACCGTAAGCGACGGCCATGTACAACGCCATCAGCCCAACGAGAGGAGTAATGAAGAGCAGCTTAAGGGGACGCATAATAGCGAGCTTAAACTTCTTGCAATATGTGAAGCCTGGTGCTTCTGGCACACGCACCGCAAGGATCTCCGACACATCTAGGCCCTAGCCTGCTTAAGCCCTAGCTCCGAGAACGGCTCCCCTACTTCGTACACCAACAGGGGCTATTGGCGGGAATCTCGCCTTGGTAATCCATCCTTTGGGTTCGTATTTGCGCCGTATTTCTTCTTCTTAGCCCACTGGCAGAACCTAGCCTATCCGAGACAAAATCCTCCTATCGTCGATCACTTATTGATGCTCGTACTTCCCCGAGTTATCATGCCGCAGCCCCGGGAGCCATTAACACCCCGAGCGGCGGACTAGAGGCACCCTTGAACACCCTAAACCTGATTTTTGTGGATATTTGATCTTAATCTTAAACGAAACCGAGAAAGGCACGGGCCATCAAGCTCGGTTTATTAATGTTACGTGGTGTATGTATTTAGCTTGACTTGCCCCCTCATGTTCATACCCACTCGTATTCCCAAACGAAACCGAAGTCATATTCTAACCAAGATTCACTCCCGACTCGTAATCCGATCAAGATGAAGACTGTCAAGCGGGTTGGCCATCGGAAGTCACGAAAAGGGTGTCTCCGCTGCAAGGCCCGGCGCGTCAAGGTAGACAATCCCAAGTATAATGCCGTCGCTTCAGATCGAGCTAATATCGTGTGACAGTGTGACGAGCAGCGCCATGCAGCGCCTGTATCCGCCATGAGACTCCTTGTAGTTTGATGCAAGACACTCCTGAGTCCAATGCAACGACGAGACTCAGCCACGCTGAGGTCATCAGCCCCCAATCCTCCATTGCTGGCAGCACTCCCGAAGCACCCCTGGCACGTCCGAGAGTCTATCTCACCGCCTCTGAGAATTCAGCTCTGTCCCGGAGAGAGTACTACTCTCCGGAGTATATGCACAGCTTGAAACTTCTTCACCACTACTCCACCACCGTGTATACGACGCTCGTCCGTGAACCGGCAACTATTGAGATGTGGAAGCTGAGAGTTCCGCAAATCGCTTGTGCCCATGTAAGCCACCACGATAGACGCCCACGATCAAGCCCTAATACAAACGCAGGAGTTCTTTATGCATGGGTTACTTGCCGTTTCGGCCTTGCACTACGCTCATAGTCACCCTGAGCATCGCCAGGAATTCGCCGTAATCTCTTCCGCATATCAGAATCTCGCCTTGCAGCATTTCTCATCCAACCTCCAAGACATTAACGAAGAAAATCGCGATACGTTTTTTCTATTAGCATCGTTCATTTTTATCGCGTCTGTTTGTTCCATTGCAAGCCCTTATGGTCCGGAGAAGTCCGTGACTTCAAGAGACGTGGCTCAATCCTTTTACCTACTACAAGGCGTCAGGCATATTCTAGATTTCAAACCAATAGAGCGGTGGAGAGAAGAGAGCATCCTGGCGCCTTTGCTGCAGCCATTTGGCTCTTCAGTGGCAAGAAAGTCCCTGAATTTCCAACAACGAATGGAGAAGGTCGCCGACCTAGCACGAAAGCTCCCAGTCGGTCTAAGCGTTATCAATGAACGTTCAGCGAGCCTAATGGCTATAGAAGCTCTTCGAAGTGCCCATTATGAAACCGCAGATGAACACTCCGCGTTAAGTGCGCGGCGAATTTGGATTTGGCCATTTACCTTGCCCCCATTATTTTTTGAAATGCTTGAGAACGACCACCCTATTGCGTTGATTATTCTCACACATTTTGCTGCACTGGCCAAGCCTTTTGAGCACCAAGTCTGGATCACTCGAGGTTGGAGTGCGAATGTTCTTTCGTTGGCTGGGCGCGTATTGGATGATCCGTAGAAGGAAATGATTGAGTGGCCCCGACAATGCGTAGCCGAGGGAAAGAATATAGATGACTTAGACCTAGAGGGATAGGCACAGACGTAAGTAGGTGGTCTTCATTGAGCATATTATAAGAGAAAGGAGGTTGACAACTGATCACGAAAAGGACATGTCACGCGGTAAGAAGTCAATCTACCCTAAACTATTTTAATTGCCCAAATGAAACGAAATCCGATGACATAGTTTTGAGGTTTCCTGAGAGATGAACTCTAAGATCTCCTATAATATTCTCATCCCTCACTGCGTTTACTGTGTTGTTGTCGGTGGACTCTTAGCTATCTGTGGTTCATGCCCAAGCCTAATCTTGGTTGTACCTTGTGTGGAAGATAACGTCAAAATATCACCTCTGACCAGTGTGTTGGACATCCCACGACTTCAAACAACAGCCTTTGGAGATTCCAGATTAAAACCGGTCTGGTAGACAATAAACGCGTTCATAATATCTCTATTGTGCATCATGAGGCTACACCTAAAAGTATGTGCCATGCTTACCTTGATACATTCCAAGGGTTTTTAGTCGACAGGAGTGTCGAGACATTACACCAGTGGCATTTTTCTGCCTACTTGCTCTGCTGTAAGATAATGCATATTATCATATACCATTTGGTCCACTGATGCTATTGCCAGATGAAGACTTGTCGATTTACCACCCTGAACCTACAGCAACTTCAAAAGCACGCTTTTGACCTGCCCGAGACTCTTGTACAACGCCAGCGCCTCAGAAGCCTTGGGGTCCTTGTAGGCGTTCTCTACCTCCTGCCCGAAGCCAAAGGTTAGCAAAAAACCCTGTAAATGTATCTTATCTGTAGTAATTACCTCGAGGCTATCCAAACCCAGGAAAGCAATGCCGTTGAAAACGTCGTCTCTCAGCAGCTTGCCACCACGAGTTTCCTTGCCCAGGATGGTAATTAGATTAGTCCATGCCCCTCGCACTTCATCTCTCTGGCTCTCACTGGAGAGGGTGATGCTAGTCAGCTGGAGAAATGGCTTGGGAGATGAGCCAGCAGAGAGGTCGGAGAACTCGAATCGCCCAACAGTTGGATGGGGAGCCCCTGAACTCTCAAATCGAGCTTTGTGTTCCTGAGCCCAAGTGCTCTTGGTGAATGCCTCTTCGTCCTCGGCGCTGGCAAAAGCTGATACACATGCGTTAATATCTTTTATCATCCAGGACTGCGATGGACCGGGCAAATTACCGAGATATTGAATGATTTCGAACTCGTCGACCTTTTGACCATCCTCGGCGACCACTTCGCCGGCCGTAGCATGGATAATGCCAGGCTGTGCTTGCAGCTCGGCGAGAAGGGTAGGCCAAGCAGCAAGAAAGTGATCCTTGCTGCTAGGCGGAATCGCGGGCCGGATGATGGAAAGAATAGGCATTTTTGCAAAAGGAGCAGTGCAAGATATGGTGGGACCGGGTGTCGTGTTGAATTGTTGTTCGCTGAAATTTGATCATCGCCCTCGACCTGGCGGAGCCGGATGCCTTTTATATAAAGCCTTCCTAGTAGGAGAAGTGGTTAATGCCTTCATGCCTCGGTCTTCGAGTTGTGCACCCGGCTATCTCGTCTCATGTTCGGACATGACTACGAATCCGAGGCCGAGTTGAACAAACTACGTAATACTACTAGGCATTGTCACCCGGCTTCAAAGGGTCGAATGATGTCAAGGACTCGAAATATCGGTGAGCGATAGTCAAAGCCCCAACATTAGAGGCCCATGCACAGTGAGACCAAACCACTGCTTGCAGGAGATTGTAAGTGACGGAATACCCAAGCAACGGCCTCGCTGCAACACCATTGCGTAAGCGGCCCACTCACTAGAGGAACGAGGTTCGGTTTCGTATTTTCGGGTTCGTATCCTCCATCCTGGAATCCGTTGTGGGTACCTGAACTAACAGAGCTACCCAGCTTGTTGCCGCAAGAGTAAAAATGAAAATCCTTTTCCTTACGTGCCCGATGTGTCGATTTCGCGTACTGACTCGAGCCTCGAGCCTGCACTCGCCCGTGGTCAGGTGAAAAGTTGCCAACTAAGGTAACGTGTTTTCTTCCTACGCCGTGCTTTTCTCCAAAAGTCTACAGGTCATGAACTTGCCTCCTTCCTCATTAAATCAGCGTCAAAATCATCATGTCAAAGCGAGGACCAAAAACAATGACTCTGCCGGGGGACAAAGCTTCCAGAATACTCGGCCACATCAAGGCCAATTGCCCAACTATAGAGAAGAGCAAACAGTTTATTATCTCAGTAGAGCCATTTTAGTCCTCCAAAGGTACCTTGAAAGGTTCTGTTGAGTCGGGAACAAGGTCTTCGTCATCAATATCGGTGGGTATCTTGCAGTCGGTGGTTAAAGGCAGTGTGGAGGGGCTTAATCCCCATGCTCTCTTCGACTTGAGGTCAAGCCTCATAGTCTGCCACCAAACCCGCCTCCTCATTTCAGTTTCGAACGGAGAAAGTCCTAGCAGCTCGCCATCTCTGTGGAGACCCATTTGCTGTGCCATTCGGACACAGACGGTGTTTAAAATCCATGGTTTGCGCGAGCCGTATCGCCCCTGAAGTGATATCTTCGCTTTGTCAGTACCCAATCGTCGGTGTAATACATTACACCTACCAGGTAAAGTGTTAATGCCTGAAGCAAAGTCAAGTTGGGTAACTCGAGATACCGTGCACGCTGAAGAGCAGTTCGAAGCCCAGCGGAGAACCGTTGAAACGCATGTTCTCGGGAGCTTCCCAATATATTCCAAGATTCGTCTTCGCTCAACGAGAGTGTAGCTAGGGAAAATATTGAAAATATGAGCGCCTGCATGCCTTTAGGCAGGCTGCCCGTGCTGCAAACTGCGTCAACCAGATATGGCTGTACCGTTGGTGCATGTATGACCTTTGTCAGAGGATGGACGCGCTCTAGAAATACTTGCCAGAGGTAATGTATCTGACTTGGTAGAGGTTGAAGCCTGCATTGTTCGTCGAAGCAGCTTTCCCCACTAAAATTATGGAAATGAGCATCATTTGATATGGAGCTCTTCTCAGAAGAAGATTCATCACAAGTCTCGGTAGCGTGAAGGGACTTCATCTCTAGGACCTAGGACGATGCTGTTAATATCCTAAGCGTCTAGACAAAGGGATTAATCACCTCTTCGAACATGGCACTCAATAGCCCTCTGTCTGTGAAGCGCACAGCACTTTGATCAATCAATGTCTTTCGATTTGAGATCAAATTGTCTTGCATTGGTTGGGGACTTTCCATGCTTGACGTTTGCGATGCACTCATGTTAGACGTGGAGCTTGCATCCTCCATGTGTGCGGTTTTAAGTTGCTCACACAACTCTTCGCAACGTGCCAGTCTTTCTCGAAGCTCAGCACGAGGTCGACGTCTCGGCCTTGCTGGAGCTGGTGAGCTCGGAATACACGGGACATTAACCTAAAGCCATTAAATTCAAGTCCAAGATATGGAGTCAAGTATCGTACCTTGACACAATTGGTGCATGGGATCTTATGATCGCACTTTCTTTTTCGGCGTCTGCAAAGGCGACAAGCCAATAGTCGCAAATTACTTGTCATGGTGGATGCGGTGGATGCGGTATCTTGGGTACAGCCCTACGGACGCTGCGCCTTCTTTTCATAGAGGGAATATAAAACCAACTTCCAGTAGCTGAAATGAAAATGAAGGTTATTACAACTTATTCGTACGAAGGCTTCTGCAGAGGAAAATAGGGTGGGTTACAATGTGCATCAAACGCGACTTTAACATATCCCCATATATCTCCCAAGGTATTTTGGGCGGAGGGTTTGACATCAGTCTAGATACTGCATGCCCTTCATTTGAACCTGTCTTCTGACTACTTGATCAGTCAGGGTCTGGGCAGGAAGGTTTTACTCAACTACCGGGCCGGGTTCGTGGGTAGCCGATTACAAAGCCAGCCCGGAATACACAAATTCGCCACAGCACTTTTAAACACGTTGAACAAAAGTCCATCGGGGTGATTATATATGTCGTTTCATTCATTCATCCGAACCTCCGATATCACTAATCAGGTGTTGTAATCTTGTTGGCAGCCCGAATGCGACACAACCCGGTAGCATGATGGTTTCATTTCTCGAGCTCACGCCCGGTTCTTCGCCAGATCCACCACCACGATTTTGACGCTCTCTGGTTGGCTATAGTAATGGAAAATCAACCGAGATTGCGTCAGTGGGGCATTGGAAGGTTTCAGGGCGGAGAACTCCGGGCGATCCCCAGCCGTTGATTTCAGTTAGGACGTTAAAAACCCTCCGGGCTAGCGCATCCTGAGAGCAAACCCTCCGGAACTTCGAGTTGAGAGACTGTCCCCCGCTCACCCATGTCGGCATCTCGATCCAAACTCTTTTGCGATTTCCAAAGCTCAATCCGAGTTGCTGCATTGTTAAACTTGTTGGCCCGGCGAACAAAACACCATGCTCCGCACTAGCCGTCTGACTCAAGAGCTATGGTATGCTCTGCAACCAACAGGGGTCAAAAGCTATTATTATTATTATCTTAGCTGGAATTTCTTCCAAAATATTATTATTTACTGCAGCTGCTATATTCCTTCATACCAATTTTATCTTAATCTTCTTGTTTTAAGCCTGAAAAGCCGCTATATTCATTCATTCAAGACTACCTTTTTAAAGCTCTCTTTCACAGTATTCAGGGCCTTAGTGGAGGGCACCTTATGCACCTATCAGACAAAGAATGGATTGGCTGGGGCAGCTTGGTGACGATGGATGATCTTGTCTTTTGGTCTGGGAAGGAAGAAAGCGACCAATTTATACCTAGGGATCTGACTTATCCAGATGCCCTTGATCTGATGACGGATGCATTTGATCTGATGACGCTGTCAACGGCCGATGGTCTAGGTTATTGAGGTCAATTTAGGTTGTCAAGGACAATCCAGACTCAAAGTCTCTATCTAGGTTCAAAGGAAACCCCGGTACACAGCCGGTCCTATACAAAGCTGAGCTTTCCTATGAAGCTGTTTGAGAGTACTTTAGGCTGTAAAGACATTTTCATCACCTGTCATTGCCTTATTTCCCTGGCAGTGCTCCTTTCTTAGCAGCCCAGTCTTCAACCATCTTTAGGACATTTCCCCGTTTCCCGTTATACCCAGTACGCTTCATCCACTCTGCCAAGGTCTTGATGCGCTCAGGGTGGATACGATCCAGGATTGCTGTATCCCGTGGCTTGGTAATTCCATCTCCCCAGTAGCGCCACCAACTCCCGAAGTTTTCACGCCAACTCATAACAGAGTCGTCTCGAACCGCATCAGGACCGAGAACCCAGTTGACAGATGCACCTGGATAAGGCTCTGCATGAGGCGCATATGCCTCAAAGGGCATAGTCTTATGGACTGCGGCTATTCCAGTGACTTCTGTGAAGATTCTGACAATCTCTCCGAAGCTGACATTGTCTGTCACAACTTGGAGGTCAATGCCTGCCGACTCAGACGGATTGTCAAAGATCCACAGATTGTAGACACCCACGTCGCAAAGAGCTATCAATGGCATCTTCGTATCGCTCGCTTCAATAATAGTCAGCCCGGTGTACTAGGGATACGCGCCAAAGAATAATACGAAATTGGAAGAGTTCTGCGGGGGATGAAGTGAAGGGAAAACTCTTGGACGGCAATAAAGGTATACTCACGGGCTGGATTGGCCCACATGAATGATCCATCCGGCTGCTCGATAGGCACAAACATTCCATCCACGAGCATGTCCATGTAGGGTCCAGTGGAGAAAAGGGTGGTCTTCATGACATCCTGCCCCTGCGCGAGGATGAATTTGCCAACTCTCCCCTTAGACTCCATATGGCCGCAATGGTACTTCTCATCAAAGTTGGCGGCATCCATAGCGTATTCGATGTTCGCCCAAACGTAGTGCTGCAATCCTTCCGACCTGGCGATCTCATAAGCCCTGAAGCCGTAGAAAAGCTCATCCTTCTCTCCCAGAGTGAAGCCATCGGTGTTAACCCAAGCCCCATAAACGCCTTGGAAGACCTTGTGCAGATCCTGTTGGTTATCCTGGGTGCCCTGGAGCAGGGTCACGTGTGGGAGAGCAGCGAGCTCCTTTGCGCGGGAAGACTCCGGATTGCGGGTCAAGACTCTGAGACGATATCGCCCAGACTGTGCTAAGGCTACTGCAGGTTAGCACAAAGCTAAGAATACTATCGCCACTATCGGTCCTCACCTTTGACGACCGGGATGCCTTGAGCGCCAGTGCCGCCGATGACGGCGATCTCCTTCAAGTCGGCCATGACGTCAAAGAGTATGGAATTATATCCGTGGACTTGGGGTGAAATCGATGTGTGTTGCAATGTTTTTGAGTTTGTGACTCTCAGCTAAGAAAGTTAATTGCAGCTATTCATATACTCATATACCTACCTTTACGTGGCAAGTGAGGCACCAGAGCGCCGGAGGGTTTTTCGCTGAAGAGGCGCGCTCGGACAGCATTGCCTGATATCCGGAGGGTTTACTACAGGTTCTTCGCTTTTTACGAGGACCTAAATTTGACCAATCCTTGCTCGTCTGATCATCCTCAGCTGAATTTATAATAGGTCCGAGAATGCAAACCCAAATGACTGTAGCGGCCGGAAACGACCACAGGTGACCCACTCTTCCCGGGGAGATTATTAATGCCCAGGGAATTCGTTAACCCTGACACGGCCAGATGATTCATCACGGCATGTCGGTTTTGCCAACTTTCGTCCTCCCTCGGGTAATAAAGATAATTCTTCTTGTCTTTAAGAAGATCCCCTTCAATTTCTTGGCTGTTCTGTTTATTCTTTTACATTCACTCTACGCCCCTACTACATACACTCGCTGCAACATCCAACTTTGCCGCCCCCAAACCCGGAGCTTTCAGCAGATCATTATGACTTCGTCTAAAAAGCGATCCATCCTTATCACAGGGTATGTATAGTCGCATCTTGCCGCCTATTTCTGCTACAGTCTTCCGCGTTGAAGGGAGAGGAATATATATGTCTGGTACTAACCTCTGTTACTCCCCGTTAGGTGCTCTCAAGGTGGAGCAGGCAATGCTTTGGCATTGGAGTTCGCGGCTCGCGGCTTTCGCGTCTTTGCAACCGCCCGGTCACTGAAGTCTATGACGAACCTGACAGAGAAGGGTATTGAGACCCTTACTCTAGAGGTTACGGGGCGCGAAAGCATTGCGGCTTTAAAGGCCGAGATCAGCACGCGTACTGGTGGCAAACTTGACATGTTGTTCAACAATGCCGGCACGAGTAAATACGCCCTTCCACCACCCTGTTGCTCTGGTGCTCGCACCATCTCTAACCCTTGTACAATTGGCAGTGTACGAAGCTCCAGCTCTTGAAGCCGACCCCGTCCGCATCCGGCAAATGTATGACACGAATGTATTCGGCCTTTTCGATGTAGTGGCGGCCTTCACACCTCTGCTGATAGCCGCGGTCCCGAATGCTGATCACACACCGACTATTGTGAACGTCGCCTCAATTCTCGCACGACTACCATTTCCCTTTGCATCGGCGTACAATTCTTCCAAGGCAGCCGTGTCTTCCTACTCAGATACTTTACGACTGGAGCTCAGTCCACTGGGTATTCGAGTCGTCACCTTATTCATGGGAGAGGTCTCTACGGGGCTCATGTCTGCTGATAATATCAGTTTTGGACCCAACAGCTTGTACGCCGACCTTGAAGCAAAGACCAAGGAAAGGTCTCTTGAACATTCTAAGAAATCCATCCGCCCACAACCCTTCGCCCAGCAGGTTGCAGATGCCGTCTTGAAACAAAAATCCAACTACGTCTGGAAGGGTACCAACGCCATTTTAATTTGGTTCCTCAACGCATTTGGTCCTAGGAAGGTGTTTGACTCCACCATGAATAGCTCTGTGGGGCTTGATCAAGGGGAATTGTGCAAGAAAGTTTACGAGAGAGGTCAGAAGCTCGTTGACGGTCAATGAAGCACGTTTCATCTTCCGTTGCGATTTGTTAACCTATTTGTTATCCAACTTCTTTTTCTGTGTTTATTTCTAGCTTTTATAGATAGTTAGGGTTAATAAAGTAATAGTTGTCGAGCCATACTGCAGATAGGTCCGGCAGTTGAAAAAAAATCAGCTTAAGCCCCAAAGGCAGGCCTTGGCAATTGTGACATGCACAACGAAAATGCAGTAAATCCAAACATTAGGTTCCCGCATCGAGGGAGTAAACACATGTAAAAAAAATATAATAAACTTTTGTGCCAGCTCAAAGCCGGAAATATATCAACTCAAGTCTCATTTAAATCTCATTACGCTATTCCAATAAATTCCAAGCCCCAATTTGCCCTTAAGCTAAATGCATTATAGACCTTCTTTAGGCTCCTTTGACTTTGTTCGGCCGAGCTGTTTCGACCGCGTATGACCACATCGAATTGACAACACCGAAGGAGAATCGTAGAATCGGGCTTGATCCCTGGTGTAGTCGGCCTTGTAGTTCATACAGTTGTATAAACTTACCACTGAGATTAGCTTTCTCCGTGGGGCGAGATCTTGGGCAACCACTTACTAGAAAAATTCACAATGGGCTTTGAAACCAATCTGTATCGACTCAATGCGATTCATCCTGCGTTCTGTTAATAAAAGCCGGGATAATGATGAGGGAGCCGTACAAAGATCCATCCAGGTCGACACAGCGATCATCTGCCTCTATCGTGTGGTTGGTTCCCTGGAATGATATATGGTTGAACATGATGCTCTACGGCCATTAGCTTAATCGTGGTTTTCATGGTGGCACCCGAGTGTTCGCACCTTGGAGCTCTGGGCAATCGCCACAGATGTAAACAATAGAGCAATCAATGCAGTGATGAGCATATTGGTTGAAGTCGCCTGACGTGAAATCGGAAGATGCTTTGCTGGAACTGGGACGCGTAAGGTATGGGTGGGTGTCTCAAAGACGGAAAATTGCGCAGGTATATATAACTCATCTCCTCACCGCTTGGAAATGACACAAATACCTGTAGTGAGACCTATTGGGATCTTAGCTGGTTGCTATGGCCCCCTTGCGGAATTATTGTCTCACTTGCCGGCTCCATTGGCGTGTCCGTTGTTCTTATTGGCAGAGGGGGCGTTTTTGAGACACAGGTTTAGGAATGTAATTTGATGCGAGAATTCGATGGTCAAACTGAATACAAGGCTACTGCACCCGAAGGGTCGTCCAGCCAGCTGAATCGACCAGCGAAGCAAGGGCTATGGGATCAGACCTCCTAGATTGGACATGGAGTAATCGTGGTTAGTAGATATTGATAGTGTCCCCTGCATTAGCGCAAGTCTGTTCTGTGGTTTCTTTTGCAGGTTCCGTTGTAGCGATAGCTTCGCGGTGGTCTTGAGGGGGCTGACTTCCAACCCCTAAAAAGGGAGCATTCCAATTCCGGTACCTAATCACGCATGCGACACTGGGGTTTGGAACCGACCAGGCATCTAATATAAAGGGCCGCCTGCGATCGAACTCTTGGCGACGGCCCGGTGCATAGCATTTTATCTTGGCATTAGATGCCGAAATCCCGTTCCAATGGCCGAGATCATTGTCATCGGGTTCAACTGATTCCTTACGAAGCAATCGCAAATTGCTAAATAATTCACATCTGTCCGCACTGGAACGAGGGCTTTTGTTCTGAGGAGGGAACAGAATCAGAAAGGCTACGTACATGCACATTTCGTGTTTTGGTTGTGAGGTTCTGACCCGGCTAGGTACGGTGAGGTCGGCCGTCGTCGTGTTGGCTGTCTTGTCGGAAGCCCACCCGTACTCGCACAATGGAGTGCAACCCTCAACAACGAGCGACAATATTGTGGCTCTCTCATATATAGACTAGTAGCACACGTCATGGGGGTCGGATTTCCTGGCGTTTGCATCCTGCCGGAGAGAGACTCGCAAGATTATAGCAGTATCTGGTTGATGTCGAAGCTACCAGACTGTGTCTCATTCTGCATACCACTCGTATCTCTTTGGTTGCTGGTGGCGAGGAAGGACCTTGTAAGGGAATGGAGATGATGAGTACACTTTACTAAAGTGCAAAACGCTATGTCTAGCTTAATGGTAGTGACTTTCAATGTCCTTCATCTACTAATTCGCATGCACTTTAAGGGGATAATAGTCTTTATTTCAAGGGGTAGATTTTCAGACTTAGCTAACTTTTCTCTATCCTAACCAATTATTGCGTTCGTTGAGTGGAACCGTGTGAGCTTCTCAGCCCAGCCGGATGAAACCACTCTTCAAAGTCTACAGGCTGATGTTGAGCCTGGACGTCAGATGTGTTCTCGAGTCTAGATCCCAAAAGTCAACAGATTTGGTGTCCAGTTTGGGCGTCGGGTGTATTCTCGAGTCTTGATCGCAAAAGCCAACAGATCTGTAGTCCGGACATCAAAGCGTTTTGTCGCAAAAATCAGTAGTGTACAAGAAGTCAAGTCCTGACGACTTACTCGGCCTGGATTAGGTACTGGCGCATGCCAGAGTTGTCGGCCTTGCCGAGAGTCTTGATAGCGAGACGCTCCTTCTTCGTGATCTCGTGGATCTCAGCCTCGCCGCGCTTCCAGGAAGGAAACATCTTGTAGATAGTGCCGGATTCGACGACAAAGTTGTTGAAGTTCTTGCACACCATGGTCTGCTTGGCGATCACCTCGAAGTAGTGCATGGAGGAGACCATCTTGCTCTCATAAGACCAAGCCAGCTTGGCATCAGCATCAATCCCAGCGTGAGACTGAATACCCTCAAGGTAGCAAGTGAAGAAGGCATCATACTCCTTGGTGTTGTAGGAGGCGTGAGACTTGGCACTTTCGGTACCGGTAGGGCCATCCTGGCCGACGATGAGGCGATCGGAAGCCGACAGGTGGCGGCGGAACTCCTGGCAACGGTCCTTGCACATCTCATCAGGGGCGTTGTAGAAGATCGAGCCAAGAGAAAGGAAGAGGCGATCGCCGGGAATCTTGTTGAAGTATTGGTCTCCGTGCTGGAAACTTCCCCAAAGACCAACACACTTCATAGTCGGGAAGTAAGTCTTGGCCCGGTTGATCTGGTCAGTAAGCGAAGACTTGCAGAGGTCAAGAGGGACATAGGTGCAGGTCTTTCCCTGCTTGAAGAACTCACGAGCATAGGGCTCGAACTTCATAGAGTTGGCTGCGCCGAGATCAATGATCTTGGTGCCGGAAGGCATCTGTGCAACCACTTCGGCAGCAGTAGCTTCAATGATGGCCATTTCGTCAGAGGTTTGGTAAGAGCGGTCAGCGATGTCGACCCACTTGTCCATGCCAGAGGTGTAAGCAACTTCCTTGGGGAAATCGGCCTTGTGGTCGAAGGCCTTGGGCAACTGATCCTCGAAGGTGAGGTTCAGTTGGCTGCCGCCAATGTCGATGATCCGACGATCCTTGGGAGACCAAGCCATGATGAAGAATGGAAGTGGGTAGAGGAGAGGGTTGTTGTTGGTGATGGTGGCGGATGTTGTGAGGTGAGATGAGGTGAGGTGAGGTGAGGTGAGGTGAGTGAGGTGAGTGAGGTGAGTGAGGTGAGGTGAGAGGAGGAGAAGGTTGGATTCGGTGGAGAATTCGAAGAGACTTATACACCGAAACCATGATGTTCTCGTGTTCTCGATGCACATAGTAACATGAAGTTAACATGGAAACAAACATCTTGTTCCGTGTGATGAGTCGTGAGCTTGGAAGAACAGGGAGTTAGTTCGAGGATCTGGACGCCTTCATGGCTGGAACAACATGCTGTGTTGACAATCAGCTTTGAACAAAAATAAATGAACATGCGATCTCAGTGGTGTTCACAGTTCTGAGAGCATGGTAGAATTAACTCGCATTGCCGGCTCAGACAAATCATCGCATCAGCGTTGTTTGTCTGTGAACATCGCTAGTATCACTGGATTCTAGGCTACTGATCCTTGCGTTTTCGGTTTAGTCACAACTAATGATAGAGAACAGACATTAATTCCCGGTTGCAATTCGCTTTGCTAGTTTCTTCACCTCTAGAAACAAAGAGACAGACGTGATCTGTCAAGTGTCATTGTTCACGCGTTCTAATACTTCAAGGGCTATCGGCCTTCCAGCCTTTGTTTGTTCTCATTTAGGGTCTGCCATGCTCAGTATATGCTATGATTGCACTACGCATCAGTGGAGCGCTCATTCAACTTTGGCCGTTGCTGGCAATGCGACGGTTTGAGCTGTATCATTTTCTGCCCATTTACGATGCAGTCTAGTATAGTACCAATCACAACCCCAATGCTTCTTATCCGATTAACTTTGGGCTTCAGCTATGTGACACGTGCGTCTTGATATCAAAGTATGGAGGAAGCTCTCTCATTTACATTTCCTGATCTGGATGGTGTGATTTTGATCGATCCACAAACCCCACTGCTCTAGGCTTCGCCGCATTGTGACTGCAACACATTTACTCGCTGGCCGAGAGGCTAGTACGCCTTGCAGCGCACTAAAGCTGCTGCAGGCGTCTCTCATTCACATTGCCTGATTGGGACATCGAAATGAGCACGCATCGACCTATATCTTCCAGCTCAGCTGCTCTCTTTCACCCAAACACACTCACACTCCTCGCAATCACCATAAGCTTTTCGACTTTAATATGTTTGACGTCATCGTGGTCGGCGCTGGCCTAAGTGGCCTCCAGGCTGCATATTCTGCCCAGCAAGCGGGTTTGTCCGTCGTGGTTGTTGAGGCAAGAAATCGCGTCGGTGGAAAGACCTGGAGTGTGCCTCTGGCTTCGGGACGAGGCTACGCCGATCTCGGTGCTGCATGGATCAACGACACTACACAAAAGCGGATTTCGGCATATGCCCAGCAGTTTAAATCAGAGATGGTTAAGCAACGGCTAGAAGGCAACGCCGTCATGCTCGTGTCCAAAGGTGACAGAATAGAGTTTCCTTTCGGAATCACCCCGGAGGTCAGTATGGTTCCTACAGATGGCTTGAGTTTCATGACATTCTGACTTCTCTCCTCCAGTTTTCCCAGGAAGAAAAGACCAACTTGGAGTATGTTCGCGACCACATCCAGGCTGCCTCGTTGACCCCGGGACCTCCTCGCATCGAGGATGACAATGTCTCTCTGGATCAATACGTCCGCAACCTCGGCGCAGGCCCGAAGACTGTGAAGATGATCAATATGTGGGTCAAGGTGATGCATGGTTTGGAGTCGACTGAAGAGACGGCGGCTTTCTTTATTGACTACTGCCGGCGAAATGGAGGACTGTTCTCCATCCGTGCAGATGATCACACGGGTGGCAATTACTTGCGGTTCCATGATGGTGAGTTTAACATTTGCGTATTGTGAGAGAGATATTTCGTGTGCTAATTACATGCAACAGGCGCGCAGTCGATTGCCTCGGGCATCGCCGATTTGATCGGACACAGTAATATCCACCTGTCTGAGCCGGTAGCATCCATCGAAAACCACAAGACACACACCACCGTCATTACCACAACCGGAAGAAGATTTACGGCAAAGAAATGCATCGTCTCTCTGCCCAGTGCCATGTACAAATCTCTGAATTTCTCACCGGCCCTCCCGGCTCCGGTCCGGGACATTACCGACTCCTCGAAGCTGGGGCATTACAACAAATCCATCCTCTGCTACGACACACCTTGGTGGAGAGACTTGGGATACAATGGCTTCTTCATGAGCTACGAAGGTCCAATCACATTGACCCGTGATACAAGTGTGGACGAGAAGCGTCAATATTCAATCACCTGCTTTGTAAACGGGGCGGCTGGCGAAGAATGGAGCAAGCTGTATCCCCACGAACGTCGAAGCGCTGTACTGAACCAGCTGGCCGAGGGCTTCAACGTGGGTCCTGACTCTGAGTTGTTCCGCCCGATCGAAATCTTCGAGCAGATTTGGAAGCACGAGCCGTATAGCCAGGGTGCGCTCGCTCCCATCACGGCGCTTGGTCACTATACCAAATATGCATCGGTGTACGGCAAGCCAATTGGAAACCTTCATTTTGTGGGCACAGAGTACTCGATGGAATGGAAGGGTTACATGGAAGGTGCCCTTTGTTCTGGAGAGAAGGGTGCGCAGGAGGTGGTTGAGACTCTGCAGCGTGTTCCGAAAGCCAATCTGTAGAGTTCAAGAAGAAAGCAACTTGGGCTGGATCGCGAGGACAGTTACTACAAATTATTATGCGCAATCAATCACACTAACGTAAAAAGACAGTGCGAATTTACGTTACATGATAAAGACTTGTGGTTCCGGAAGCAGTGCTGGCCAGTCCTCGCTATTAGTTCGCGCCCAAATCTTCCTGAGAAGCTCCAAACCTCTCAGGATGTTGAAGAATCCGTTTCGGTGGTACTGTCTCTCCAGAAACTCTTCAAATACCTGCTGGTGTTCGAGGGTGCTGCTCTCAGACGCAGCTATGAACACGGGCCAGATGAGCACATGTTCGCCCGGTGTCCCTTCCGGGAATGCCTGAACCGAAGTGATGAATCGATCGATCGCCCCCTCTGGTACAGAGCCGACATCTTTTGACAGCACGCGATCGAGATATATATTGAATGCTTGCTGTCTGATATTGGCGATGGCTTTAAACATGGGCGATTGCTTCGGGTGCAGCCTATCGTAGTAGTGGAGGCAATCGAAGCTTTCCTCTGCTCGGTATATCATTGCGTGCAGCCCAGCATCTTGGCTGAGTAACGGCGCCGCGTAGACACGCAATCTTATTAGATTAGTATGAGCTCAACACTCAAGTCAACAGGACTAACGCTTACTTGCGAATTTGGCGTAGTGAAAATTTGGCCATTTCACTTCCGTCCAGGAGCCCACCCTCGCCGCCAACGGCATCGAGAGCTGACTCCAACATCTGGAAGATGATTGGGAAGTCAGAGCATCCGTTAATCATGACCGCCACGAGAAGAACCACTATCGCTAGAATGACGACTTGCTTAGCCTTTCGGTCGCACCCCGTAAGGTCCCTCCTGCGTTGAAGTTCTTGGATCGCTTGTCCGTATAGTTTGTGCGGGTCGGCGATGGTTTGGCTCGCATCTCTACCGCTGAGATGGAATGCCGAGGCGGCCAAGACAGCACTCATCATCACCTCGCTCGTATGTGCCATGGGTAGGATGAGGTGCCGCCATCCATTGTTCGCATCGTCGACCACCACCATTTCTGGGGCTATGTTATTTGAAACTGGGGAGTATTGTTGAGCTCCGGTTCTCGAGGTTATGGGAAGCGATCAGCTTACAGTATGTGAGGAGGAATTCCATCCGTAGTTCTGATTGACCCAAGCAGAAGTTGGGTACCGGGGGTGCCATGGCCTGTGACAGACCCTGTATAACTTCTAGTCCATTTAGGAAATCGGTATCGACACTGCCAGAGGGGCTGGGACTGTGAGGAACGAGCAGCAAGTTGGTCGGAGAGCCCCAATCAAAAGCCTCATCATTGTTCTCAGTCAGATCCGCCTCGTATGGGGAGGTGGCCCGCAAGTCTTGGGTGTCTTTTTCGCCGTCGTTGAAGCCACATTGAAAACTATCTTGGCTTGATTCCGCTGTAATTTCGGGATGCGATCCGCTGGGTAGAAGCGAGGGACTGCGGGTCCTTCTCTTAGCCGTCTTTTGTGCTTGCGGGAGACCATCGCGAAATCTATATTTTATGTCGAACCCGCTGCAAGCGATACCTCTTGATACACACTTGGAACAGCTTGGCCGGGTTCCGTCGCAGTTTATTCGGCGTTGAGAGCATTCGTAACAACCTATTGACTGCGTAAGTCACTGTCTCGGGATTCATTCCGAAGACCCCATCCATACCCACCTTTCACTTTGGGAATGTACGGGCGCTTTCTACGTGCCATGATGATTGCCGCACGATGAAATATCCATGTCGAAAGGTGGCACAGCACTCAATTGTAGGATAGGGTCAGGGAACGTCGGAAAGTCGCGGTTTGTTCTGGATAAATCTTGTCAAAGACTCACGAGAACAGATAAATGCCTTCAAATCTGGACCCGTACGCTTATCACCCCGCCATCGAACCCCGCACGAGAAGAATCGCGAGTGTCCATGCGCTATTCCACATGAGGAAATTTTAATGAGAGCACATTGTGGTCGTCACGGCTTCCAAGTAGGTCTAGTTCTGAAATAACGAGAGAAGCCGCTGTATCAGTAGAATGAGAGTTATTCCCGTCTAAGAATGTTCTTCTTTCTGGCTCGTTTCAATCATCAGTAGGAGCTCCCGACCCTCCAGCGTCACTGAACATTTATTTTACTCCGATGAATCGGCTCTGCTTGTTCTCTCGCGACATCAGGATGTTCATCCACTCGTGCTGCACAGACAGTTCCATGCAGTAGTGCCGTAAGTATCCCTGTGTGCCAATGCAGGATGTGCCAGGCTCTCCTCCTTTATCGGTCACCAGTGTGTGTTCCAGCTTTGAGAGGTTCGTGAGTCGGGAACATTGAAGGGGATCGACACCCTTTCCCGCACCCACAAATTAGCACTTTAATGGAGGTCAATGAAGGACTCAAGACAATTCAAGGACTCCCTGCAATTGAAGACGGAATGCCGCTATCGGGAGTTACGCGGCCTGCTAAGGACAACTACCACTTGCTTGGTAACCCTGCAAGCTCTTCCGACGCAGCTGCAGCCCTTGGCTCCACGTGTGGGAGGGCTCTTTGGCTTTCTGAATCGCTACAATGGCCTGGTAATTATCGGCCGAGATCCGAGCCACCCCTGATGGCGGTATCTGCAAGTTGGCTGTGCGCAAGACTAGGAACCAACAGGGCTGTGGTGCATCTGCCGCCTGGAACGCGACAGCTCTGGGACACGACCGACCAATGCAGGTTTGGGGTCATGGGCGACACGGCAATTGGAACAGACAATACTCGTGGTCGGGTTTTAGGCCTGCGTGGCGATATCTGCCACGCATCCTCCCCGTTATGAACAGCCGATAGAAGAGAGTGGGCGCATGTTCCATGGCGAGTCTGCAATTCCGATCTCAAGGGAAGAATTACCAATCTCAAATGCCACCCACCACACAATGCGATCGGAACCCGCGGACTCCCGGTGTTGTGGCATTCATCCAACGATCAGCGCAGGGCAGCCCTTGAAGATTCTCACAACCAGCAAGCCGGTGGCGTGAACGGGACATGACCGTACCAGTCTAATAAGGCCGACGGACGCAAGCCTTCCTTCGAGCCAGCAAATGGGCAGCCCAACTAAGCACGGGGATGTGCCGCAAGCGTGGAACTAAGACTATATCACAGTTGACTCGTGCCCAAGCCAGTCAAGCCACAATCGGCTCGAGTGAGTCGGGCAATCCCATAGCGTCCACCACTTCTGCAAGACTGCCTCGAGTTGGCGAGTCCCCCTGCATAATCGGTGGAGTCGCGCCTTGTTGTTCCCACTGAGACCTGCGTGCATAATGGACAAGGAATGGACAAAAGAGACTCTGGAGCCGCTCAGCTTCTTCGGAGCTTCCCCCCTCGTGCTTGTCTTTTCAATCGTAAGGCTATCTTCTCTGGCTGAGACACTCTCAGTGGACGGGCCAGATCATGGCTCTTCCCGGCCCCGGTGCCGCTGCGGTTCTTGTGCGACCCCGATCAACACCTCTTCCAGGTTTCTCTGCTTGCTAACTGGGCCTCAATCAGGTGTCGCAATGGATTCTCATTACTATTGCCGCCGTCGTCGTCTTAGCCCGCGTTTACTTGCGCCTCAAGATCCAGAAGCGAAAAATCCTGAGCAGCGATCTCCTCATGTGCGCCGCCTGGGTTTCCGCCGTCGCTACCGCCTCGTTCGACATCAAGTTCGCGACCATGGGGGCGCTTGAGCCCAAGGTCAAGACAACGCTGGCGGGATACGATGGCACTCCGGAGGATATCGTCTTGCTACTAAAGGTTAGTGGGGATATTTGATGGAAAGACGCTGGACTGTGTTCGCGTCACGAACTGGATGTGGTAGCTGACGCTCGTCTTTTGTAGTTATTCTGGGCGAGCAGCATCCCGTTCTTCACCACGTTTTACCTCTGCAAAGCAGCACTCCTCGCCGTTTATTTGCAAGTGTTTCCCAAGTTTATGAAGAAACGGAGAATTTTCCTCTGGGGCACGATTGGTTTCGTCGCCGCGGCCTACATCGTCAGCATGCTGCTCGTCTTTTGCATTTGCCTGCCAATCGAGACGAACTGGTTAGTGTGGACCGTCAAGCTCAACCATTTCACATCGTGCTAACAGCGAGTAGGTCTTTGGATCCCGAGACGACATGCCCCAATGCGAGTGTTGCATTGGTCTTCCAGGTCGGCTGGGCGCTGCATTTCTCCGGCGATATTTTGAGTAAGCTTTTAGAGCCAAACGAGCCTGCTTCCGTCACGGAAACGACCTAACAATTTTTACAGTCTTCGCCCTACCGTGGCTCATCGTACCTGGACTCCAGATGAAGTGGAAGCTCAAGATGGGCGTGTACTGCACGTTCCTCCTGGGCACCATCAACATCATTTTCTGCCTTGTTCGTTTCATTACGATCCAAACATCTACCGTCGACAACGTGATCCCGCTTAGTCTCGTTGGTATGTACCACGCACTCCCTGAGGTGTATCAAGCTAACACGTACCCATTGCAGAGCTTTGGAGCGCTCTCGACTGCAACATCGGTCTTGTGATTGCCTGCCTGCCCTCGCTACGACCATACTTCAGGGGCCGAACCGGGTCAGATTACCCTTACAACTCGTCTAACGTATACTCCAAGTCGACGAATACGAGGCCGGGCGACGGCTTTAAGGTGATCAACGAACCTTACGGAGGCCAAGCCTCGTCCTCCGGGACCCCAAGACGCTCACCCCATATTTCAGCATCTAATTCCAATGGCTTCGACGAGGATCTGTGGGAGGATGGAAAAAAGAGCAATGCCAGCGACATTGAATTGGTTCACGTGAAGCCAGTACAAACATGATTTTTCTTAGCGATGGATTTGGGAGGAAATGGATGATCATCCCACGAGACAGGGAATTGAAACGAATCGGGCGACGACTGGATAATGACGAACCAACCCAAATAGGGTGGTATAGACGCGACAGGGAGAGCTAGTCTGATGATAGACAGGTACACATGCACATGCATGGATTAATACAACAACCACGTTAAATAAGCTTCTATCATACAGTGGGCACGACCCTATAATACATGGATGAGTGTCTAGACAGGGATGCGGCGCCTCTATTAACCGCTTGGAGCAAAGGTTATCTCTGGAACAGCGATATCAGCGTTAGGGAATAATTACGGACTACTACATCTGGTACGGGAATGACGCCAGGAATGGATCGGACGAGGACTCAGCCCGTGCTTAGATTGGTAGGGCTCTTTAGGACACGCCAGGGGTCTCGGATGTTCATCCGGGAATCGGAGCGTTCGGCTTTGCGGGCGCCAGCCTGGTTGCTAGAGTCAAGACCCATGTTGCGGGCGTGTAGGAGTGGGGAAGAGTGGGCATCCGACATTTCATTCAGTGAAAAAGGCGTTGTTCCTGAGCTTCAGCTGAGAGACACGGGGACACGCCGTTCCGTCTCAAGGCGCCAGTCCCGGCGGAAGCAATACCTCCTACGTTAGCTCAGGCGGTGCTATCGCCATGGGTGACACGACGGTTGGAGCGAAGCGCCGCACCACGAAAGTCCAGGTACGGACGGAGATTTTTGTCTCCGTGAACTAGCAGTTCCACGCCACGCGTCAGTTCAAAGTGAGATGAAGGCCTGTTGGTGACGGCAACAAGACGGCTTCAGTGTGCCACTAAGTGATACGTGCGTATCGCCATCGACGCTACCAAAGTAAATCCAGTACTACTGTACGGGCGATCAGGGCAAGTTAACACAGAAATTTTGGTTCAGGAATTTGAGCAAAGATGACATGCAGCCTCCGAAACCCAAGATCACAGCTGGTCATGTTGGTGGCGTTTTCATAATGCCCCCCATATTTATGTACAGTACTCTGTTGACTCGTGGATTGCATAAAAGCCACTATCACCTTCGATTTTGGTTAGAAAGTGATCCAATTCTCCACGTGGGTTTAATGAGCGATTGGTCATCCCATCATTTGTCTCTCAACCCAGTGACGAAATATCACGTCTCCCTCGGAGCTAGTCATGACCTTCGACAGCAGCCGTCCAACGCTAAAGATGACCTGCGGCTCACCCGACATGATAAGCCGTAGTTCAAGGTCATAGAGTTGCGCATTTTGACACTCCAGTGCAACTGGAGTTAAGCCCCTGAAATAGTTGAGAAAGAGTTCAGTTGACTGACCTTACACGCAGATAGACTGGCATCAGTCCTGGCTCCTACGGGAGAAATAAAACCAACAAAGTCGAGATTCGGATAACGTCTAACAAATATTTATTAAGGTATTAGAAAATATCAAATCAATCCAAAACAACCGGTCCAGTGTTCCCCGACTCCAAACCCGGGACATATAAGGGTCCAAAGAAGCTCCCATTTATAAAGTTGCTAGGCACAGAGCGACGGCAGATGACCTATAGGGATCATTCATACTGACACAATAGGTGCATGCGTGTCAAGCGCCTACACAGACGACTCATTGTATACTCTGATGGCCTTTCCCATTGCCTTTCTGCATATAGGGCATGGGGTTTGCCACGGGCTGCGATGCTGAGACTGCCAAGAATCGATGCAGACTCCGCAGAATTGGTGTCCGCACTTAGTCACGGAATCGAAATCGCGTTCAAAGCACATTACACATTGGCGTTGCGACTCTTGGCACTGCAGGGCATCCTTTGCCGCTTGGAGTTCCGATTCCATGAACGCCATCTTTGCTGCCATGGCCACTAGTTCTTCCTGGAGTATGCCCAGTTCTTCCTGAAGTGTGGGCACACGCTGTTTCGCAGGGGATCTAGCCATGCGCTCGGCTGGAGAAGCATGAATGACAGTCTTTCGATGCTCGAAAGGCTTGTTTTTCTCCACCTTAAACGCGAAATGTGCTGCGGTGATTGGATCATTGTCAAAAAGAGATCTAATTGACTGAGAGGATTGTGGGGGGTGTGCCAAGGTCGCCGGTGCACGAGGGAAGAAACTGCTGGTTGAGCGGCTGACTGCTTCAGAGCCCACGGGACCCTGCCTCGTACTGGCATCAACGGTTTGTGATGTTGCGGGTGGGTTATTCAATGTAAGATTCTGCACCCAGGGGCTCAAGTGGTCTGGCCCGGTATCTACTGGGACATTCGTCTCTACGTCGGGAGTTGGCGAGCTCAGGCCGGCTTGAACGACAAAATTGGAACCAGAAGCAGTGGTCGAGTGGGGGTTCGGTAGATTCTGAAGTGTACTAGAGCGAGACTCAAAGGATGATGTAAAGCTGCTGTGTGTGGATGCCTGTTCGACGGGTTGCACGGCATGAGATGAAGAGTGCTCGTCTTGAACGAGGTGTTGTCGTTCCCGCTGCCGTCGTCCCTGCTGCTCCTGTTCCTCCTCGAGTCGTAAGCGAGTGAGGGATTCCGCGACAGACCGGAAAGACGGTCGCTCTCCATATCCATAAGGTAGAAGCTGTTCTTCTGTCATGCGGTGGCGTGAATTGTATCGCAGGTGTTGGTAGAGGGCATGGATATTGTCAAAGTCGCGGTCACAGTCTTGGCAACACAAGAATTCCTCCTCGTAATCCGGAGTGCCTTGCACATAACGGTCTAAGATGTGGTGGAGAGGTGCCACGCTTTGGTGGTAGGCCAGAGCTTCTGGGGTGGTAAAGACACGGCCGCAGACGCGTTCGCAGTTCCAGGTGAGTGTGGCGTGGGCATCCGAGTCAAGGTGCAGGCGTAATGAATAATAGTTGTTAAAGGTACGCCCACAAATAGTACAGGGAATTGCCATGACGGCGGATTTATAAGTCCCTACGGAGCGTTACCATGGAACACGAATCATGTTGAAGAGTTCAGTCCACCCCCTTAATTTGGCGGTGCTTGCTTCACGTGATGCCTGGACAGTGCAAATCGTATCCTTTTCAGCTTAGAGCACTGTATGAAACCCAACGGAACATCAATGCCAATCCTTTTAATCGTCATACTTCAAGGTCTAAAAAAAAAGAAAAGAAAAAAAACCTTTGCCCTTGACCTTAGATTACCGTCAATGCAGCTTAACTCTAAACTCCATGCTCGGCAGTTATCATGTCAATAACCATAGACCAAGCGATGGGCCTGTTACCCACCCTGGAGCACGAGGACGCGCCAACAATGCAATTGCGACAGAGCGTCGGGCTCAATACATCATAGATGAGTATAATAACCTTAACGGGAAGAAAGACATAAATTTCCTAAGGAAACGGTGAACTGGGGCAGGGCTGAGAATGGCATAACTGCGCGCCGCGGAAGAAAGAACCTTTCGGAACACGATCCTGCAGGCATTATTAGGCTCTTACCTCATTTGCGGCGTCACCTCTAAGCTGATAAGATTCAGTAAGAGTCTCAGGAAGTCCGGTATACGCCGGCCGTCAATCCCTCGAGGTGGCATGGCTGGTAAAAAGCCCTGGAGTACTAATCATCTTTACATGTGTCGCATCCAGTATATAGGCCTCAGTTGCACTACGTATTAGCGGAGTGTTCATTCCACTTTTGCCATAGCAGTCAATGCGATAACATTTTTTTTTCCGGCACTCAGTATGAAATGTAGACATCCCCCGCGGGATTTTTTGTTGATCAAACAGAGCGAGAGGATGGTGATAACCTACCCTAAGACCACGTGGGTGGAACACGGCCCAGCTATGGCATGGACTAATCTGAATTGACGCGCAGTTCAGACGTCGCGAGAGTATCCGGTACCCACTTATGTCTTACTACTAATGGGCGCATCTTGCTTTGTTACTCCGGACATCTCCAATTGAATCCCGTTGCTTTCATATCCTTGTTTTGTCGACCTCGTCACTGGCGGAGATGGTGATCCTCAGAGCGCTGCGGCAGTCCCCCGCGTATCTGTATTTCAAGGCCTATTGTCTCTGTGCCCTGGTGACGCTGTTCAAAGCGACCCCGGTGTCTTCAACGATTGTCCGAGTGAGGGCTCAACTTGATCCCGACAACAAAAAACCAAGAGTTATTCCTAGAGGAGGCCCCCGGCTGGTTCCTATTGACAATCATGGGAGCTCCTTGGTATTGCCGAGAACACCAATTCGTTGCAGCCAAGATTCTACCTCCGGCCTCAGCACCTCATCAAAGTCGCGCAGCGCTGGGGAGAGCCAATCCCGTTTAAGAAACATCTCCAAGAGATGGCATAAAAGAGCCGTGGACCTAGCACAGATCAACGTCCTCTTACGGCGCGACGACAAGGATTTCAGGACCTATCCAGAGCTTGCATGGGATGCCACAGTTCGATGCTCCTCCTCGCTTCATCCAGAAGAAACGAAGTTCATCGATTTGCGCCAACAAAGAATATCTTCTTGGGGCCAGAACTCACTGCATCAATTTCTTGACTTGCCTCGGGACGAACTGGTCGACCCCCAAGATGTTCCCCTTGTGGCCCTCGGCGGCTCTGGCGGCGGCTACAGAGCCATGTTCGGCTTTGCGGCCTTCATCTCGGCTTGCAAGAATAGTCAACTTTGGGATTGTATCACGTGGACTGCAGGCGTGAGTGGTAGCTGCTGGACACTGGGTGCATACTATACGATTGCTGGTCACGATGCGTCGAGGCTCACTCGTCATTACCTGTCAATGGCCAAAGAGCTCGTGCATCCCATGAGCATATCCGCACTGGACACAGTTGTTCGGAGCACTAGAGGTGTCTATTTCCTCATCGGCCCGCTGGTACGAAAAGCTCAATCCAGCATCATTGGGCTTGGTATTATGGACCTTTACGCAACATTGATCACCACTTATCAATTTATTTCCCGCGAGCCGGGGGCTCGGCTGAGCAGGGCGACATTCCAACTATCCAAGACATGGACTCGTTCGGGTATTGACAAGGGGGCTGAACCTATGCCCATTTTTACAGCGGTGAGACGAGCACCCAAGGATTCGTTTGGCGTCAAGGCGAACAGGGACTCGTCCATAAGCAAAGGACAGCCTCCGACACAATCCATGACACAACACCACACAGACTATTTGAACCTAACCCCTTCTCAACAAACCTTACAAGAACAAAAATCCAAGAATGGTCCTTCCAAAGGTTTATTTCAGTGGTTCGAGATATCACCACTGGAGGTAGGCTCTCGCGACCTCCAGCGTTTCGTCCCAACATGGTCTTGGGGGCGAACATTTGCGTCTGGCCACTCTGTTGACCGACGACCGGAACAATCTCTAGCTCTTTTGCTTGGCCAGTGTACCAGTGCTCCAGCGGGTCCCTTGACAGGGTATATATCGGCCCTGCTGGCTTCTTTGCCTAAAGGGACGATCATGTCCCGTGCACTTTTTGCATTCAACAGATTCATTACGATGAAGAAGTGGGAGAGAGTGTGGGCTAATCCTATCCGCGCCGGACATGATCCCAATCCATTTTACGGCACGGGGACGCGGCCCATACTAGAGATAGCCCGAGATGAAGGCTCAAGATCAAACATCCCCAGCATTGGAAAGAGCGAGTTTGACGCGTCTCGATTAATTGACATGGCAACTCGATCTAATGGGAGATCATTGGAGAGGTTGGCGCTGCGTATTCTCAGCCAGAGAGAGTGGGACGAGTTGAACAGGCTGCTCGTTGGCATGCATAATTCCGTCCAAAGCTGGCAGAGAACTGCACGATACCTTTCTATTGCCTGGGCAGCAAAATCGGCAGCATCCGAAGCACTGTATCCACTTTACTCAGTGTCTTGGAAGCACCTAGCAGTCAATTTTGCTGGTCTCTCACTATCGAGCAATGGTCGCCTTGGGGACGGCGACGCCCCAAGAGGTCTTGTTGACTTCTCTGCCGAGTTCACAGAGACTAATAGAGAACTAGTCCCTAAACTCATACTGAATCTCTCATGGAGGGGGAGCAAGGTGACAGCCAATGTCAGAGCAGAGCGATATTCGACATTGCACGAGCCAAAGAAGCTAAAGAATGAGGACGGAAACACCAACGTCGGAAATGGCTCGACAAAATACGAATGGGAGGCCCAAGGTCGGGTCAGGCTCATGGATGGTGGAATGTCCAACAACCTCCCAAATCATATTCTGGCGCGAGAGGAGCGTTGCGCAGACATGATTATTGCCTTTGATGCCTCGTCTGATGTGCACACAGATGCAGCCATTCGTCGGATCCAAAACTTTGCAGATGACTGCAATATTGAGTTGGAAGATCAGACCTCCTCTTTCGACCCTCCTACACGACGTTACTCTGCTGATTTCGGCGACAAGTCGGCATCTGCAGATATTGAATCGAGATTCCTGGATCATTATGCGAGAGTATTCGGAGGAACCAGACAAAATGGACAGCGGATTTATCTCGTTTATTGTCCACTTCTACCGAATGCTATTAACCCGAAATTCAACCCTTCAGTAAGTCACTTCCATTCTGCAAATTGCGAAACTGACGATTTGAAATAGCAAGAATCTTTTTCCACTTCCTACAACCTCGTTTGGACTCCAGCTCAGGTCAATGCTGTATTTGAGACGTCGGAGTCTAATCTTTCCGACTATGCGATGCACACCGTCAAACAAGTGATGAGAAAGATTTACTTTGCAAAGAAGTCCGCCCGTATCATGACGGAGATGACTTAGAGGCTAGATAAATATATTGAGTGCGTCACGAGAGCAGTAAATCTGAATCAGGTGTCCTGATATTCAACACCACTCGCGCGGGCAGCAATCGCGTGTAGTCGAGGCTGCCGCCATACGACAATACGTGACCAGAATGGAAGGTTAGGGGCGCTTCTTGGGCCTTGAGGACGTGGCCAGAGGTGGACACGGACTGCTCTCCTCTCGAGGTGCACCATGCTTGCAGCAGCGAGTGCATCATGTCCACGCCAGGGCCGTTCGTGTGGTTGAGTAGATGGCGCAGCGTGATGGCGTTTTGGGCTGTCTCGAGAGTAAAGCCGCCTTGTCCATTGAGAGAGACCGAGTGAGAAGACATTTCTGGTTGGTTGTCGTCTAGCCTAGACCCGGACACTCGGGAGCTAAACCCAGCCCGAAGGGGTTGCTACTATTGACAGGGGCTCTTCAGGATGCTGAAGCCGCGAATCACATACGATGGAATGCGACACCTCTATACCTCGGACTGCTCGAGGACCCCGAGTACTCTTTTCTCCGCTAAACTTGATTAGCAGGACGAAGATGACTGGAAGCCTGACTAATAACAAAGGATGATATGAAAGAGGCATAAAAACGGGTTATCTTGGTTATCAAATGATCCTTCTCGCACACTTACCATAAATTGACCTCGTTCTCATTCCAAATCCAACAAACAATTACTCTTCTGCTCTCCGAAAGCTACAACGTCCACTCACACCATAAACCATGACAAGCCTGCTATCGAAAACCGCAAAGTCCGTCATCGTCACGGGGGCAGCTTCTGGGCTCGGCAAGGCCATCGCCACCGAGTTTCTGCGGCTCGGCTCCCACGTCACGCTCGTAGACATCAATGCCCACAGACTCAAGGCTACGAGCGAAGAACTGTCGGCGTACCAGAGTCACGTCACCGTCACGGCCGACATCACAACCAAGTCCGACGTCCGGGCTGTGTTCCAACAGGCCGTCTCTAGTGCCGGTCAGGTAGACGCCCTGGTTAATTGTGCGGGCATCGTGGATGACTTCCAAGGCGCAGGCGAGCTGGACACTGACCTCTGGAACCGCGTCGTGGCTGTCAACCTCACCGCCCCATTTCTCCTCTCAGGTGAAGCTGTCAGAGAGTTTCTCCGCAAGAAAAATGAGGGTGGCGCCACTGGGGGCATCATCATCAATATTTCGTCGCTGGCCGGCTTGCGTGGGGGTTTCTCTGGAGCGGCCTACGCCGCTACCAAATCAGGCCTGCTGGGGCTAACTAAGAACACGGCGGCGCTCTACGCGAAAAAAGGCATACGCTGTAACGCTATATGCCCTGGCGGAATGGCTACGAATATCATGGAGAAAACGTCTCCCGACTTGTCCGGTAGTGCTTGGGGATATGTGAACAAGATGAATGAAATTTGTCCCGGCCTTGTTGACGTGAACAAGCTCGGTCGTCTCGTGGCCTTCCTCTGTAGTGAGGATGCCATAAACATCAACGGCGCTGTGATTACGGTTGACAATGGGTGGAATGCAATCTAAGAGTGTTAAAGTGCATTCCGCTTATCAGAATATTTTTCGCAAGTAGTTACAGTCGGCAAAAAAGAAAAGAAAAGAAAAGACAACATTTGATCTGATTCATAAATTTGCTGGAAGTCATCTACTTTAATCAGCCCCAGGGACCACTTCACAGCTCAAACCAATACTTTAGTATTTTATTTACAGTTTTGGAAGACTACAAAGTTGCAAATAAACATTTGCTTGTTTTAGTACATCCGTACGGGATATAAACCGATCCGTCATGACCTGCGCGATCTCCATTGGGACCTTGAGGTGCCTGACTTCTTGTTGTAAGGTACGTACCTAGGAACGGAAGATGCTTCATACTTACGCTGTGGCCATGTGTGAAATACCTACTATCACTATGTAAATGATCAAGAAGCCCGCCTCCTCTCAGTTGAGTTATCCAACACAAACTTGGCACGCTTTAAAGACGAGGCTATCGGGGACCAGTTCATAGAGCGACCCAAGCCGTTTGAGTCTCGCGGGAGGGACGATACTGCCATGTCCCCGGCCGAGCGGCAGCTTCGAAAGCAGGAGCCGTCCGTCCTCGCCACCGACCTGTTTGAGACGTCTGCTCTCTGCTGGAACCAGGTGCTCAACTTCTTGCGTGATATTGTCCAGAACCATCTGCCCGATGAGGAGGCCGAGCGCGTCCAGGTCCTCGGTCTGGCCAAGGCGCTCGTCGACCGCGCAAGCCTCTATTTCGACGAGACGATCCGCTTCATCGACGCTCGCGGCGACATCCGCTGGCCTATCTGGTCTCCTGGTGTTGCCGAGATGGCGAGCCGCCTACGATGTGACTTTGATGCCCTCAGCAGTGACACCGCAGAGCTGTCGACCGTTTGCCAGGATACCATCAACATCCCCATGAACAACATGAGCACCCACACTGCTCAGAAGGCCTTTTTCGAGGGCAAGAGCATCCATGTGGTGACCTACCTGGCCATTGTTTTCATTCCTGTCAGTCTCGTCGCCACCGTCTTTGGCATGAACGTCGCTGAGCTAGAACCCCCGCCAACCATTTCTTGGGTTTTCATCAGCGCCGTCAACACTTCGGCCGTTTGTCTCGCCCTTACCGTATGACTGATTGAGTTTTACGGCACAGTTTGACTTAACCGATTGTTGCTCAGCTTGCGGGACTGAAGCTAGGAGCCGAGCAACTGCATCATCACCGCCACAATATCTTGGACGTTGTTGGTCACTACAAGTGGAAAACAAAGGAGCATTCACCCGAGAAACTAGTTCCCTTTTATTTTATTTGTGTACTCTGTTCTGGTAGCTAGAACGAATGGCAGAATCCATTGTCTGTTATAAAAAGAAAATGTGCAACGTAGAGACCCAGCATCGTCCTCCTCTAAAAGATTGGCTCATTGGTTCGCTGCCTTGTCTTCTCAACTTTGACTCAGTAGTCAGATCTGCCGTATTTCTCTTGTTGTCACCAACTTCAAACATGAACCTCCCCGTCACTACTGTGGTCGGCCAGCCTGCCTTCTCCAGAGTCTCCTGGCCCACTTTGAGCAGTGTCAAGTCGGAGCTTGTAGAAAGGGCGTCAGCAGAGTGTATTGTAATCCAAATCTCCAACTTCGAGGTGGAGAATGTAGTTATCAGGACGAAACACAACTGGGGCACCGACGATGGTGGTGAAGATAGTGGCAAACTCCTTCCGTGTTGATACCCTCGATTCATAAGGGTTTTGTCCAACTTTAATGTGTTAGTATATGTGGCAGGCAGTTTGCCTAGGCGTGAAGCATATACCGGGTATAAGGAGCTGTGGTCCACCGAGCATTGAAGCGATGAAGATCGGGCTTATGGTCGGAGGCGGTTTGTTGTTTCCCCTGGATATTGTAGCTTGTCAGCGACTTTCAATAAACATGCAAGAATGGTTTTGAGAGTCTGACTTCTGTGGCTCTGGCTGGGTATCGCGATAGGTTGCGCCGGGTCGGCTATGCGGCACGAGAATAATTGTGCTGCAGTCTCCGTTCTCGTCGACTGAAAAGATGTTGTTAAACGCCCATTTTTGAAGACTGTGACGTACTCTAGCACTCTCATACGCGCGTCTGCTGTCTTGTTCGCATCAATTTCCCTGCAAATGTTAGAATTCGCATTGTGCTTGCTTCACACAGGAGCGGTGAAATGGATCTTCTTACCACCTAGACGTATGCGATGGACTCACGTACGGCGGCTTCTGAAATCTCTCCTGGTACTGAGATCGGAAGTCATCGAAGCTATCCCAGTTATCGTAGCCGTTGAGAGCATATGCCATCTACCCATGGCTTGTGAGCTCGAGCCTTGTATGTAAAGGGATACGTTGGAGTCATGGGGCACTTACTTCTTCAACTTCAAGCACAGTTCTGCTGCGTAGATGATCTGGCGCGGTGCGTGACCATTCCTGTTCAATCGAGAATTTCGTACGCTTTACGCCTGGGTACGTCTCCAGTGCCTCAAAAAGGGCCTCGTTCATGCGCTGCTGGGTTTCATTGGAGACTGCAAATCACTCTGTCGGATACAGAATCTTTGTTGGCTACTAGAAAGCTTGTCAGCCAGCCAGCGCGGTTGTTTTTCGAGACAATGGAACTTGCATTGTTCGGCCACAGGGTGACACCTAACGCGATGAGAATGTCGCATATTGAGACGGTGGTTCGTCCTAAAAGCCCAAAAGTGTCGAACATGCTGGTAGATGCTAACAATCTGGAGGTTTCCGGGGGAGTATATGAGACTCACTCGCAGGCACGGACAGTGCCCTCCATCGGAAGGCTGTTCCAGGAAGCCTTGAGACCCCAGACGCCGTGGCTAGTCCTATCCGGCGGCCGTTGCACCAGCTCCGCTGGAGCTCCCAGAATGGCTTTGGTAGCCATCGCCCCGCGGATTCCATGGCAGAAACTAGTCGGTGCACCGACACAGCGTAACTTCAGATCTCGCAAACGCAGACAGCTTAGTCTTGCCGAACACAATGGCTCCCTGGGTTACGAGTAAGTCTATCAACTTGGACGATTTGGCCTGTTTGCCGTAGAGCTCAGCGCAGGCTTTGTTTTCCAGGCCTGTCACCACGCCACTCAGGTACATATTGTCTTTCACAGAGATGCGTCTGCCGTTGAGAGGCTTGTCCTCGCTCTCCATGAAGTAGAGCCGAGAAGGAACAGCAACTGCGGCATCTGCGCCGGAGAAGCCCGAGTTCTGCAATGAAACGAAGCGCCTAGCATTGTCAGCAGCAGACTCAGAATTGGCTTTTGGAGCTTCCTATACCATGAGCCCTTCTCGGTCACAGGGGTTGTGTCATCAGGGACGACAGAGGTAGCGAATGCACCCAGCTGATCGGGGAAAAGAGGCCATGCTTGGTGAATCTCCTTGCCCACGACCAAATAAGGGCCTTTGAGGACAGACAAATGCTCTACAAAGCACAGAACCAAAGATTTCGCCTTGAGGTAGTCTGCGAGGTCGGGTGGAATACACTAGTCAGTGCCCGCATTTGGTGCCAACTGCGGCTTCTGCTATGTGCTGGGGACTGCACTCGCGCTGTCCGATGTCTGGACTAGAAGATAGGCATGGTGCGTGAAGCCTTGTTGGAAGACATCGCCCGAGTCAAGGAACCGACCGAAAGAATCCTGGGCGGTAGCCAACGACGGATTTCCAGCGTGACGATGCAGAACAACTGCTGGAGCTGCCTGATGACTGGATTGGGACGCGGGGAACCAGGCGGGTAACGCGGCCTGGGAAAACAAATGGACGTCAGAGAGATGCTCCAAAAGAGAACCTGGAGCAAGCAAGCTTATGAAAGAAAGGCGTATACCTTGATCTGGCGCCGTCGCAGTAGGAATAAGATCCGACTAGGACCACCGATGTTTGTGTAAGGCCTACGGGCGAGACGAGAGTGGCTATGGAGTCGGAGGGAGCGTGCGTGTTGGGAAGGGCAGGCAGGACGGTCTTCTCCAACGGTAGACGAGTAGTAGTCGAACGCGGTGGAAACTCTTTTGTAACATGGGAAATGAGTGTATAAAGCACAGGAAAAATGAAAGCAGAGCGACATTGCGATATACCAAGTATGAAGGGTGAGACATGCTGGATTCCATCGCCACCCTCGCTACCTAGGCTGCAGCCAAACCTGCCGCGGCTGAGACAAGGCGGTTGCCTTCTCTGACAGGTGTCACATTGTGCCCTCAGTCCATGTCATTAAGCTCCGGAAAGTGCAATCTTGGGCAAGAATATCTCCATTAGAGATAAAAGCTCACGGCCTGGCTCGCCTAGGTGATACTATGTCCAACAGACCAAGATGCCATACATTTGATCAACCTGAAAGGGAGGGCCTCCAGTTCTTCAGACCAGCAATCTAACAGTGTGGACTTCCAGTGAGAGTTTGGTGTTATCCATGTCTCCCTAAAACAAGTTCGTCAATACAACAGCCCTGGAGGCCCAATTCATCCTATGTGTAAGAAACCAAACATTCCTCACTACATAGAAGATTCAAGACCACAGAAATTGCAAAATGTGAACTTGCTATTATCTTGCCATATAGAATGTAGGTTCCCTCTAGGTCTCCTTCTAGATGAATCTTCGCCCTCCTTTTACCCTTCTCCTGGATGGCTGACTGCAACTTGACTTTGGTTTAACTCCTACCGGATGTGCCGATATCGTCAGTCGGCTCCGTCTCTCTTATCATCTTTCCCCCCGAATTTTGAACTACACCAACTCTGTTCTTCTTTCACTTGTCGGCATCCTCATCTAACTTCTGAATGGGCCAGACCATAGGCCAAAATGGTATCTTTTCTTCCTCACCGGGCACTTGGATGAAGCCCTCGCCAAGGATTGTGAAACCAAGGTGCTCGTAGACTTGACGACCAAGAATGGTGGCCTGGAGGGTGCATACTAGTCCCTCCTTTCGCGCAACCTCCATGCCCCAACGGCAAAGGGTAGAGGCATGTCCATGACGCCGATGGTCGGGATGTGTGCCCAGGATTTGGAGCTTAATTCTGTCATCGCCGTATGCTTCGAAGTACTGCTCACAAAGCCAACCCGAATCCATAAAGGCCACGATGCGCTTGGGATCTGCGTCTCGACGGCTGGCACCACCGTTTTCCATCATCTCACGATTGGCTGGAGGGACGCAGGGGATTAGCAGGATGAACTTAAGAAGCGAAGGGAAGCCTAGTGAAGATCGAGAAACAACAACCATGAGGATAATCTTACGGTTTTGAGGCTGGTATCCAGACCCATGCTTTCTCTTGTTGACATAAGAGACATTCCACGCGGAGAAGGCAACGATGGTGGGTTTGCCATCGACGGTGTCCTCGATGACCTGCACGACCCAGTCATCAAAAGCAGGGTCAACGAACATACCCCAGATCATCTTGGTGTACTTGCGGTGGTCGTCGGGGAATTCTTCGCGGCGATTAAACCGATACGGCCACGGCTTGTCCGAGGGCATGGTGGCCAGCACGACATCGACAAGCTGGTCCAAGTCTGACGGGACCGCAATGCGCATCGTCATTTTGACTGTACAGCTGAGGAGGATTGCGGATGGGAAATTGACTGGTAGGAGCAAGGGGTTGAGATAATGAGATAGAGACTAGTTTGTAGCGGTGTAGGAGGATTTGGAGAACAAAGAAAGTCTTCCGAAGATGGGATTGCGAGAAGATATATAAGAGGGCGAGAGAACAGTGACGCACATTAGTGGGCGAGGTTAGGAGCTAGACCATGCCGTCTTCGTAAGTTTGCGTGTGGTGATAGACTACGTGGCCGTGGCTGAAGTGAGGCCAGCGAACAACGAATCACCCATGAAAAGACCACGCGGTCACAAAGTGTAAAAAATGGTGCAAAATTCGCCAATCAGGGTCAGGCTGAGACGGCAGCACGGCGATGAGGAAGGACTGGTGCACTTGTGACCTTGTCACAATGATAAGCGACATACGGCTACATCTGCTCATAGGTCAGCATTCTCTTCACTAGTTTGCAATCTTGCAGTGCTTCATTGGTAGAAAGGTGTGGTGAGATTGCGGCTCCGCCATCCCACTTCGTCACTTATGCGCCTTGTGTCCAACTGGACCTTGCACCAAGACTTTTGTCGAACCCTTTGCATGTCTGTGACGAAGATGGGATCCGTCAACATAATAGACAGTGATTTATCACCAAGGAATCTCAACTTTAGCCATTTAATTACAGTGATCAAGTCGCTGGCTACCCTGGTTTAATTACCCTAGTGTCCCCAGACTCGGAGAGAGCAATTGAAGATAGACTCCCTCGGTTTAGGGTCAGATAGGCCGAGTTGCGGGTCATTTCGGCATGGGGAAATGTGTAGTGGATAAGTGTTGAATTAGACTATATTATAGCACCCCAGCACCCGGGGTTTCAATTCGTTCATGCACAAACAGTTGTGATTAACGTTCATGCATCGCCTCCGGTCTGATGACTGGGTGAAGGAAGGATTCTCTCAAGAAAAATTCCAGACTATGAATTGGTTTGAACTATATGAATCACATACTGTCGTGGGTAGCCAGTAGTTGTAGCGCCCATGTGGAACGATATATAGCAAGCCTCCGTCACCTACTGACCAAATAATATCTAGGGTTTCCATGACTAAAGCATTCTTAATCATGTATAAAAATATTACTTGTAACGAATTAATTATCTAGAACTGTGCCTTCGATGGATCTAGTTCCAAGGATAATAACTGATACCAAGAGAGCCAATGCAGCGATCGAGTATGACCCGATTCCTGTCCCGCCCTGGACATCCTTCGTCACGGCAGACCAGGCAATAGTCAAGGTCGTTAATAAAATGACCATGCCAAAAACCCACCAGGCGACCAAAGCCCAGTCAACTTCTTCGACGATGTAAAAGCCCCAGCCATACGGCAAGTTCCGAGAATGATGGACCGAGTTGACCCAACACACCTTGCTGTAGAGCTTTTTGGGAAGCATCTCGGTAGCCATACCGATATGATCTCCAGGATATTTAAATATGTGCATAAAAATGTCAGGCGGGATAGGAAAATCTCCATGTTCGGGTGGACAGGGATCATAGAGATATTCCTCGCGCATGACTTCCTTGATTGATGGGATAGAGTCGACTTCGTAGTGGGTGACGCACTCTTGAGACTTCTGCAGGTACAAGAGCCTAAACTATTAAAATTCAGTATCTCGTTCGAGTTTTTGCTTGTAGGGTTCAGTGAGAACAAGGATACCTTGATGTAATGCATAGTCTTCGGTTTCACAAGACGCGAGTACCATTTCTTCTTGCGAAGATCCCCATACGCTTCTCGCAACTTGTTGAAAACTTTCTCATCATCGTCCATATCCGTAACATCGACGTTGGCCAACTTGATCAATCGCCTGCTTGTATTCACGCAGAGTAGCATGTACATTTTTGTTCCCCGTGGGAAGAAGCGACGTTGGACACTGTTCTCAATCTCGGTTGTGATAAGTTCCTCTGTGGGGGAGTCAAGTGGGGGGTTGCTGCTACGTGATGACCCAGACGCCAGACTTGATGAGGTAGACTGTGAATCTTCGTCGAGGCTTGAACTGGTCACGGAGATGGTGTTGAGATTCATTGGGCCGCTGGCTTGTTCAGCGAAGGCCAGGGCCGCGGCCTGACGATTTCGAGGCACTTCTAGACGAAGGCGTTTCCCGCACCGCTATTCATAGTCAGTGGTGAATCACGAGTGGCATTGTAGTTAGGGTCTTACACATGTCCAGGATATTCGCACAAATCCAGGAGAAACTTTTGGCTGCAAATAATCGCTCAAGAGATTTCGGTATTCTCCAAAGGACCGACAGACAGTGAGGAGCCAGGGAAACTTGGAACCGACTGGATCCTGACCCGGTCCTAGTGATTCGAATGCAGCGAATGAGGTCCCCACGGTTCGTCTCCGTTTGCCGTAACGTCCTTCGACAAGTTCTGAATCGGCAGGAATCAACGACTCGCTATTAGAAGACTCGATGTCATCCTTGAAGACGCGGCCTTCCTGCAGGTCGGTACGAGTCTCCTCTCTCAAGGTAACGTTTTCTTTCGTAAGCTCGCGGATAGAATTCTCGAGTTCGTGGATCCTTTCCTTGGCGACACGCTTCTCCTCAATGATAGCACGAGTCTCCTCTTTTAACGTTCCATTCTCGTCCTGGAGGGCGCGGATTTCCTCTTTGGCGGTACGGTTTTCCTCCTTTAAAGCACGGTACTCTTCCTTAAAGAAACGGATCTCTTCTATAAAGTTACGTTTCTCCTCCTTAAGGATACCCTCCTCTTCAGTGTTAAGATGGGTCTCATCCATAAGGGTGCGGATTTCCTCCTTGGCGGTACGGAATCTCTCCGTAAGGAGATGGTTGAAATCCCGAAATTTGAAGATTTCCTCCTTGAGGATTTCCGCCTGTGCGAGAGCGTCTTCATGGTGGGTCTTGAGATCGCGGTAGGAGAGCATGCTCTCGTTAAGTTTTTTGTCGGCGGCTTTCAGGGCAGCCTGGAGTTTCCCCTTGTCGGAGGTGAGCTTCCTCACAGCAGTGTTGTCAATATCCAAGTCTGCTGGGAATTTGTTATTGTAACGATAATCGAAATCCTCTATGGCAGCCTTGGCTTTATCCTTAGCGGAGTTGCGTTTCTTCACAACAGTGTTGGCTTGTTTCAAGTCATCGATGATTGTGGCATCGCGGGCATTTTCGTAGTCGATCTCGTCAACTTCGTAGGCCATATCGGCGGGAGTACTCGGGATGCTCTGACTGTGGGATGAACTAGAGTGGTCCATGGTGCCTGACCTCTTGCCAGAGGGGGCGGAGGACCTCTGATGCAGCGACATGGCAATAAGCTGCGAATGGTTGCTCGAGAAAAGAATGCGTCGATGGTGAGTTGACTGATGATTCGGCGATTTCCCAAAATTTTGATGGCGCTGACGATGGAAATATCCCAGCGGTTGCTGTCAAGTTGACTAGTTGACTCGGGACGAGGTTATCACCGGGAACGAAGGGCTGTGGGAGGATAGGCGCCGGGAACGAGGAGCATGCCGGGCGCGTGACCACGACGATGGGGTCAAACGCGTTGGGTTGTAGCTTATTTTAACTGAGTAAAATGCGTAATGGATAAAGGGCCAATATAACAATCTCTATTGGCGAGGCGTACAAGATTTTACTGCTGTAGTGATGCTGCTACTCGTCCCATGAGGCATTTTCTAGATATCCCTGCAGGCTGCAAGTCACATGAAACTAGGCAGCCTTTCAGCTGAGTCGGCAAAGTCCAGCACGCGTTTCTGCCCCGAACTAAACGGGAGTATTTCCTTCTAGTGTCTAAGGCGCGTACGAGGCAGTACTGGTAATGCCTAGCTGTAGTAGCTCGCCCGCGACAAAGGCACCCACGAAACCCGTTCCGCCCGTGACGAAAGTAGCCTGGGGTCGTGCGGCGGACGGTTTGGGCCTGCGGGCCGTGACGTTGTCGAATGTGAAGCTGGGGTTATTCAATATCATTGAAGAAGTTGTATCACGGTACGAATCTTGTAGATCTTTGATCGGGAGTATGGCGTTTGCACCCGGGCTGACAAAATCTGGTGCGGAACTGGCCAACGTATCCCATCCTATACATGGGAGACACACCGAGAAACTGGAGGTTACCATAGAATATTAAGCTATTTACCTATAATTGTGAGATGCAGAGAGGAGAGTGTGGTGCTGATAGAAAACTGATCCAAGTTGACCCAAGTCTATCGGTTAGAGGATTCCGTAATCGGTCGTGACAATTTACCCAGCAGCGAATTTTGACATAGCACGCAGCCTTGCCCCAAACAAATAGAAGAGAAATGGAGCTGGGATTCCAATGGCGATACTAATGAAAGCCAAGACACTGGTACCCCATCCATAGTCGAGGCGCTGATATAGGTACGGGGCAAATAGTGGAAAGGCGAAGCCAGCTAGACTTCGGAGTACAACTGCGGCGGCGAGACCGCTTGCGGCGAAGCGGCTGTAGCTGTCGATGACGTATCCCTGCATGCCCTGCAAGCACACCAATGTCCCAGCGACGAAGATAGAGATGCCGATGTTGGGCATGATCCAGTGAACGTGGCCCTGTACGCTCCAGCCGTACCAGAACAGTCCGATGGGAACGAGAACCGATCCGAGAAACATGGACGGGACGCGGAACTCGGGGCGCCTGACACCGCCGTTTTCCTCCTTCAGTCGACGATAGATACGATCTACAAAGTGTATGCTGACCATGGCGCCGAATATGCTGCCGACTGCTAACGAGATGAAGTTGAGCCCGCTGATGCCGAGGCTCTCGCCGTACACGTCGGTCCAGACGACAGGAAAGGTTACCGTGATCAGGTAGGTGACTCCGAAAAGATAAGCCATATACAGCGCGATGACTTGGACGATTGGTTGTGTTGCGAGCATACGAGCCGGCCGCACCAAAGCATCGCCGATGGTGCTTACTAGACTCTTTGTCGAGTCCCGGCCAGTGTGCAGCTTCGGGTTGCCAGTCTCTTTGACAAGACGCTCTCGTTTCCTCCAAAGAATAATTGGAGCATATGTCTCCCGCAACCAGAGCAAGCCAGCTACCTGGATGATTCCAGCCGCAATACTGGTCGACCAGAAAACCCAACGCCACGTCGTTCTCTCGGCAATGAAGCCAGCCGCGACAGGTCCGACGACAGGCCCAAGCATCGGGCCAAGACTGTAAATGCCAACAGCTTTCCCACGTTCTTCTGGAGACCAACAGTCACTAAATGTGTCACGAGGAATTAGTAAATATCAATCCCCGGAGATATCACATAAATGGACCTGTGTTACCTGATGACTCCAGCGCCAATAGCAAGAGGCGCGCTCCCGCCGATGCCAGCAAGGAAGCGAAACACAAAGAACTCAGCTTTGTTCTGCGTCAACCCGCAGCTGAGGTTCCAGATTAGATAAAAAAGATTGCTGAACTGCAAGACGCGGGAGCGGCCAAAAACCTCAGAGATGGGACCGAAAAAGAGTGGACCAAGGGCATACCCGAGGATGAAGATGGACAGAGCCATTTCCACTTCGATCTCTTTCTTCATGCCGAGATCCTCGCCAAGTTTGGTAAGAGCCGGAGCAACCATTGACGACGAGACAGGTGAGATGAAAGTGAATGTGGACATGACGATGGTGACGACCATCTTCTCTTTCGTCGTCCAATTCTTCGGGTTTGCAGCGTCTTGTGGTGTTTCCCAGGTAACGAGATCTCGGTCGTCAGGTGGTCCGTCTAGATTTTCTCTAGGTAGGATTCCTGCTTCTAGATCTGTCTCCTTTGCATGTCCATCTTGATTCTCATTTGTTGTCTCTGGTGTACTCCCAAAGGGTGGTTGCTCCGGCTCGGAGGGATTGCTGCCGCCCCGAGACATGCTGGTCGAAGATGTCGTTGAATAATGGATGAATGATTGATTCTGTTTGACCTTTTCAAACCTCAGATGACTTTCACAGGGACATTAATGCTCATTATATACAACGTTGTTGTTGTGATGCCTGTTCGGATTTTCATGGTGCTTAAAACCCGAGAGCTAATTGGCGCTGACGACACTCAACCTGGCCAAGCGATCGTAATAAAACGGGAATTATCACCTCCTAAGTTTTCCCCGGCAATAATTTTGGCTGTTTGAAAATTTGCATTTTGCTTTTAGGAAGGGGACGATCCGGCTCATCCCTTAGACACACCCAACAACGCCGGCCTGGGTGATTCAAAGCTGTGGGTCTGCCCAGCGCATTCTCCTTTCATGTAAGTTAGGACATCCCAGTTTCATTAGCAGCGCAAAATGGAAGTGGAAGAGCGACATGTTTCTCCTGACGTGGACCTCGAAAGTGAAGATGTCATGAAGCATGCCCCGGGGAGACACCGTCCTCAACATTTGGGCCAATCTGTGACGTTTGTGTTAAAATCCGAGGGACCATTCAAAGGCGTGGCTCGGCTTTTAACATAACGAGATCGCCCGTTTTAGGAAAGGCCTTGTGGGGCTGAGTGAGAGCGGGCGGCTTATATCCGCTATCGATGATGGTGAGATGCCATTCTCATCCTTCACGTCGACAGAGATCTAAAATCCGAATCCAAGAACACGTCATCTGCATCTCAGACGACTCAGACACAAACTGAACTCAACCAGCTTGTCGTGTATTGTATTTGTTAACGGACTTGTGCGAACAGATTGATGGAGAAACGCAGGAAAAATGCGACCAACGCAGGACATCCGGGCCAACGAAAGGGTCCGACAACACCACAACTTAGCTGCGAGCTTTGTCGCGAACGCAAGGTCAAATGCGACAAACTCAACCCTTGTTCCAATTGCGTATCATCTAGAGTCGCTTGCGTCCCGATTCAACGGCTGCGACTGCCTCGCGGTCGCCATGTGCACCGCTCACATAGAGTGTCACAGGAGCAGACGCCGCTGACTGCTCACTCGCGCGTTCATGCAGCTACCTCAATCGATGAGAACCTCAATCATAAGAGCCATCGCAGGCTCGAAGCCGGCGTTGATTCTATAGGTTCAGCGAGGGCAAACACTATGTTCGGGGGAAGCCGAGAGCAGGTGCGTTCAGATACGTACTCCAACGTTCAAGTTGCCAAAGTTTGGGTCGATGAGGGATCTAAATCCAGGCCACAGTCACTCGAAGATACAGAAACACCGGTGGAGAATTCAGTGTGCGCAGAGAATGTGATTCCGAGCCCAGCAACTTCGGAGAACAGCGAGAAGCAGGGGTGCTTGGCACAACGAGGTCCTTCTTGGGGAGACTTGGCTGAAGAGGTAGGACATGTCGCACTCATAAATATTAGGAAAATAACTGCATAGAAGTTGGCTAGCTGACACTTCACTGATAAGATACATCATATCCGTCGCGTGGTAGATTCAAGTCCAGGCGAGATTGAGCTGGACAAATCGCCAGCACTCGACTCTAGCCAGGCAATTTCGGCTACAAACTGCATGAGAGTGTTGGGTCTTTGCAGTTTAAACAGCCGGTCGTCAATCCCGCAAGATATACCCATAAGTCCTGTTGCTATCTTTCGCGACAAGGTGGCCGCGGGCGAACTCTGTCGAGTATATCTTCGACAGGTTGACCCGATCATCAAGATTCTCCATCGGCCAACCCTCAGCAGATGGATGGTACAGGGGGAGGAATATCTGGCACACTTGGACTCCCATACATCGGCTGAGGCTCTGAGCTCGGCAGTTTGTTACTCGGCGGCTTGCTCTATGACTGAAAACCAGTGCTTGACACTGTTTCATACTAGCAAGGCCATCCTCGTGGCAGATTGCCGGAGTGAATGTGAGGCTGCACTTGAGAAGTCCTGCGTCCTCTCAACCAAGGACATCACTGTCCTACAGGCGTTTGTCCTGTATCTGGTAGGCACTTTCCTTCTCATTAAAGAACAGAAACAGAGGATCTAACATTGACCACTTCGTCGAATTAGGTTGGGAGGAGAGCAGAAGAACGAAGTAGAGACGTATGGACCTTGATCGCAGTGGCTGTCAGAATTGCAAAATCCCTCTGCCTACAACCGGCTAGAAGGAAGGAACCGGGACAAGACGAGACCTTCTTCAACGAGCAGATGCGAAAGAGGCTTTGGTTCGCCGTCTGTATCATGGATCTCCAGGCATGTTTCGGACCAGCCTCTGCCCCGCTTACAGACCCAGATGATGCTGGAGATTGGATGGCACCAGCACACATCAATGACGGTGATTTTGGGCCAACGACAAAAAACAAAATCCCGGATAGGGAAGAACTGACGGACATGACGTTTGCGCTGGTCACCTACCACGCAATGCCAAGTGGGCGCTTGACTATATCCTCTTTGCAAAGAGAGAAGAATGTCGCCCATCACAATGATGGCGAGAGTGGAGGAATGGCGGCTTCGCCCACCACGACAGAGGCAGATTCCCAGTTACAGCTCCTACAACGCTTCGAGACACAGGTGTTTACCCTCCTACGGTTTTGTGACCCAGAATCATCTCCATATGCTTGGTTCACATGGCACAACACGCAGTGCTTCGTAGCAGCATTGCGGCTTTCAGCCCTACGCCCACTGAAGCCCGAGGCCGGCCAAGCACCTCCCCAGCGCATGGAAGATCACACGGAGCTCCTGCGTCTAACGTTGACTGTCCTTGAGAAGGCGCGTCTGATGCATACAGATACACGAGGAGAGGGATTCCGCTGGTGCGTGAGCATTCCATGGCACACTCTGGCAATTGCCTTTGCCGAGTGCTATGTCTGTGATGACACGGCCCTTTTGCGCCGTGTCTGGCCGCTGGTTGAGGCGTCGTACCAACGCCATCGAGATGCCATCGCGAAACATAACGACGGGGTGCTACAGGGACCCTTGGCAAAGTTAATGCGCCGTACGCGTGAAAGGCTGGCTCTGCTCTTAGAAGCCGGTTGTGATTCGGGAGAGAGTCCATGTGAGAGACCAGTGGCAGACTTGACTAAGATTTCAGACACCATTCCAACTCCCAGCTCTGAACTGGCAACTGGGGCAGCGGCTGTCTTGTTTACACCGCCGCAGATGTGGAACCCGACTCCGCTGTGCTTGGAAACCCCGTCTGAAATGCCCACTGATATCCCTGTAGGCACGCCTCCCTCGATGGACGTGTCGGATCAGTCATGGAGGATGTGGGAGGAATTTGTGGCTGGAATCGCTGTCGAGGAGTTTGGAAGTCCTAGCATGTTCCTATATGAGGACTTTAATGACTGAGGTAGGGCAGGTCGGGTGCACATCTTAGAGCGAGAAAAGCGATATATCAAGTTTCATTCGACCGGTCTCAATCCTTTAAACCATGCCAAAGCCTGCTGTACATATTATATCATTCATTGGTCATAACTAATTAAGCCATCAATGGTACCAGCATGCAGACCTCCAGTGATCGGGATGTCTGCCGCGGTGGTAAAACGGGAAGCGCTACTTAGCAGGTAAATAACAGCACCCGTGAGGTCATTCTGTGTGCTCAGTCGCTTCATCGGGGGCGCGAGCCACATTTGCTCGCCCTCCCGCTTGCTCTTGGACGCTCTCACATCTCGCGTCATGTCAGAGTCGACAAACCCTGGTGAGATGGTGTTGACGCGGATGTTGTGGGGTGCCAGCTCAACAGCCAGGGCCTTTGACAGCATCATCACGCCGCCCTTGGACGCGTTGTAAGCGGCCATACGGTATCCCGGTAGCCCGATGTGGGCTGACTGCGAGGCAATAAGGACCATGCTGCCGCCTGAGCCTCTTCCAATCAGGTGCTTGGCAACCATCTGCGCTGTGAAGAATGTGCCCCGTACCTGTCTTGAGTATCAGCACTGCATGTAGTACAAAGTGAGGCATGTTGGCTGAGCTTACGTTGATGTTCTGGATTCGTGTGAACTCGTCCCAGGTTTGATCCACAAATGGCTTGTCGATGGCGATCCCCGCACAAGGCACGCATCCATCAATAGATCCCAGCTCCTCCAATGCCCGAGTGAAAGCGCTGGTCAGGCTCGACTCATCTGTGACATCGGCCCGAATGTAGACGGTCTTTGCGCCGAACTTTGTGCTGAGGGTGTTGAACTCCTCGACGGGCTTTTCCTGGATGTCCATGACAGCGACGTTGCCGCCCATCTCACAAATGGCGCGCGTCACAGCGAAGCCAATGCCTTGGGCTCCTCCTGTGACAATGTAATTGCGCTTGCCCAGATCGAACATCGGGCGCACATCTTCGAGAGCGTCGGCCATGGTGAGCGGTGTAGAGTGGGAGCGGGAAAATGATAAGGATTCGGTGAAACTTGGTCCCCTCGCGATGTCGGCTCGGGGCCGACAGTTTATATCTTGCCCAGCAGTTTCAGCAAACCCTAATAATGAGTCGATGACGGGAGCCACATGGCATTGATTGGTCTGTTGATCCGTGGCAATCACCCCTCACCAAGTGCCAGCCCGTATCCGACGAAATGGCGGATAGAAACTGCTCATAGCCGACACGTAATCAATTGGCCGCCATTTGCTCTGACAAGGACCTGTCCACCTTATCTTTCACTTGACCATTATTGCTAAGTCATCGCTGGGTTTCCTGTTCTGGCCTTGCTCGTTTTAGTCTAGCCTGTTGTCACTGATGCGTGGCCAAAGGGAGCTACAAGATAAACCCATCCGCCCCTCGCACAAAGTCTAGACAAATCCGGGGAAACCTGGGGCGGTGATAAGAACGCTACCCGAAGAGTGATAACACACTGTGTGAAGACGTGGCGGGCACTCCATAAAACCCCTGGAATTGGGGTTCTACGAAGTCGGGATTCGTCAATGTCGCACATGCATCCGATTGAATGAAGCGGGTAATGTCGTGTATAGCTGGCCGGGAACATGGATACTGCGGTTGTGAACATAGTCGGTTGCCTGCTACGACTCGCATTTAATTCGTAGATGGCATGCCGTCCTCTGTCGCACCATGGTTAATTGGACAATAGAGCGGCCAAGGCACTTCCCGAGGGGATACAGAGAACACGAATCATGGCAAAAGGCAACGACCAAACCTATGCCGTACGATCGTGTTGCAGATCCGCTGTGTCGCGCATGGGTGACTTCGGCAGCCGAAATTACCGAGTGACACCTCAATCAGGCACGCATGAAAGCAGCGAGACACGAGACCTTCTTATCTTCATAGGATTCAATTGAGCATTCGCATCAAGAATTTGTGTAATACACGCCATTGAACCCGATGACGAGTAGAACCCTGAGCTTGGTTGGACAGCGTCTGCTTCGTACCCAGATTTGAGTCAGCTCCCCCTGAGTCGGATCGACTAGCGCAGGGACTATCACAGCGGGCGCGTTCTTATCGACGGAGCCGCCTCCAATCCAATGGAGGATTATGGGCATTCTTAGTGCCGAACTCTAGCTGTGTGACAGTGTTTCGGGCACGGTATAGTGTGTAACGGACGGCATTGTCGATATCAAACTGTGCAATACCCGACTATGGAACTTGAATTAAATAAGAGTACCACGATTCAGCCATGTAATGTCGACACATTCGAGAACTCCGTTGTCTTTACTCCTCAAGAAACACAAACACTCACTCTTTGACATTGGCCATCTACGTGCAGAAATTATGAGCGACTCTTACGATCTCATCGTGATTGGTGCCGGTATGTAGTGGCCTCATCCTGCGTCGACAAAACAGTGTCGATTACTGACAAATCTCAGGGTGGTATGGTCTTGCGGCTGCAAAGACGTACATCGAGTTGCACCCAGAAGAGAAAATCCTAGTCATTGAAGCAGAGAACAGCTGTGGAGGAACATGGTCCAAAGACAGACTGTACCCTGGATTGAAGTCAAACAATCTCTGGGGCTCTTATGAGTATGCCGACTTGCCCATGTCGGAGGACATCTACGGCGTGAAACCCGGCGAGCATATCCCCGGAGCAATCCTCCACCGCTATCTCACAGACTTTGCCAAGAAATTCGGCGTCTTTGAGCGGACGAAATTCAACACCAAAGTCGATGGCGTCAAGGCTACCGATGACGGCGGCTGGGAGATTGAAGTCTCCGCAAAGGCTGGCGGCGCTCAGGAGACCTTTCAGACCAAGAAGTTGATCGTGGCCACTGGCTTGACATCGCAACCCAACATGCCCAGTTATCCTGGCCAAGAAACATTCACCTCCCGGCTATTCCACGCCAAAGACTTCTGCACTCAGTCCGACACAGTCAACACGTGCAAGAAAACGGTCGTGGTCGGAGGAGGAAAATCCGCCTTCGATTGTGCCTACGCATTCGCGTCGACCGGTGATACCCAAGTCGACTTGATCATACGACCAACAGGACAGGGTCCAGTATGGCTCTGCCCGCCATACGTCACTCCGTGGAAGAAGATGATGGAAGAGCTCCTGAACGTACGAATGCTGACGTGGTTCAGCCCTTGCCCGTGGGGAGGGGAAGATGGCTTTGGTACGCCGCGGGGTCTACTTCACGGCACTGCTGTGGGACGATTCCTAGTGGAGAACTTCTGGAATGTGCTCAGTTCTTCCGTTATTCAAGACCACGGTTACGATGAGCACCCGGAGTTGTTCAAGCTCAAGCCCTGGCAGAACGCGTTCTGGACCGGCAGTGGCATCGGAATCCACAACTACCCTACCAACTTCTTTGACCTGGTCAAGGAGGGAAAGATCCGTGTTCACATTGCCGATATTGCCAAATTAGATGGTACCACGGTCCATCTCACCAACGGAGAGGCCATCGACACCGACGCTGTCATTTGCGCGACAGGTTGGAAGAAAGAGTCGAGCATCAAATTCGCCAACTTCAGCAGCGCTCTCGAAAAGTCCCCCGAGGAGCGTGAGAGTCTCATCGCACAGGCCGACAAGGAGGTTCGCGACACCTTCCCAGGCCTCAAGGCCCAACCTATTCTTAGATACGAGCCCAAGAAGGAAGAGCCGCTGCGCAACTACCGGTTCATCATCCCTTCCGAAGCAGTATTCAAGCGCAATATTGCATTTGCCGGCATGGTCTCGACCACCTCCACTTCCATGTTCGCCACGACCCAGGCCTTGTGGATCTGTGCCTTCTTTGACGGAAAGCTGAAGCGAGCGCCAAAGTCTGCCGACGAAGTTACGAAAGAAATAATGCTTCACTCTCAATTCGGGAAGTGGAGGTATCCCTGCGGATACGGAGCCAACCTTCCAGACTTTGCCTTCGATTCCCTTCCATACGTGGATCTGTTGCTAAATGATATGGGTCTACGGAGCCACCGAAAGGAAACGGCCATGTTGGAATTGACAGAGACGTACAAGCCGCGGGATTACAAGGGCTTGACACAGGAATGGGCAGAGTTGCAGTCGAAAGATAAGTATTTAAACTAAGATAGCGTTGTATTCAGAGTAGCATTTTATACATTTTCCGTTCCAGATAAAATATCCCACACATATGATAGTAGTAAAATTGCCCAGTTAGTGATTAAAGTCAACTTGTTGTGGGGCCGCGCAGCACAATCCATGCCAGGAACACAACCTGGATAGAAACTTCTATAACCATATAAAATTTGACACCTGGTGAAGTCTTACGTAGCTCTAGGGTAGGTAACTTACGAGTAGTTTTTGGGGCGCGGCGCGATCTGCCCTAGAATACGAAGCTATACATTCTATTTTTCTTATGGATTACGCAGCTCGAGCTCTATTCGAGATCGCCGAGTATTGTACAAACATCTAGGGGGTTGGAATTTTGGTGGCCTTTAGAGGTACAATTCTAATAGGAACAATTGACGCCGGAAACGATATACCACTGCGAAGCCGATGACGTTTCCTGTTCACTTCCTATACCACATCCTTGAAGTCTTTGTTCGGCGAATCTTTCTTTGCAACTGAAAGATTCCATATAGCAGTGCCTCTGCTGTAGGAGGGCATCCTGGGACGTAGATATCCACAGGGACAAGTCGATCAACGCCTCGGACCACGCTGTAGCTGTAATGATAATATCCACCGCCGTTAGCACAGCTCCCCATGCTGATGACCCATTTAGGCTCGGGCATTTGGTCGTAGCACTGGCGAAGAGCCGGCCCCATCTTATTCGTAACGGTGCCGGCAACTATCATGACGTCGGAGTGGCGAGGCGAAGCGCGGAAGATGATACCAAGGCGATCTTGGTCGTAGCGGGACATGGAAGAGTGCATCATTTCGACAGCACAGCAGGCGAGACCGAAACTAAGTGGCCAGAAGGAACCGTTTCGAGCCCAGGAGGCGATCGTGTCCGCGGTTGTACTAGAATTGCGATTAGACTGTGGAGAGGATGTGGAAGAGATGAATTAGGTACAGGATATGTTCAACCACGCCTGTTGGTTTAACTTCGCTCATGAGTGCTCGCTCTTTTCTGTTCGGTTTGGAAATTGAGCTTGGAGGTGTCATGGGTGCCCGTGGTTGTCTGGTGGATGCGCCGGTTGCATTGGCAGGAGTGTTGTGCAAAGCCCGCCCTCCGCTACACGCTGCTAAATGGGATTGACCGGGAATGAATACATTATGAGAAGTTTGTATCGATATGAGTCTCGCGATCCCACTTGCTTGCAGGGCTAGGGGCATGTTAGCAGTGGCCAATCGGTTGAGTAGTACCATATCATACCGGTTTGCCTTAGCTGTAGCTTCATGCTGGGTGTTATATGATTGACTCGATTGTGAAGAATGGAAATACCAAAAAAAAAGAGTAAAAGAATGGCCTAAGAAGAAAGGTTTAACAATAAAGAAAGTCGGAGACCTCATGTCTCGGAGTAAACCCACATTGCTTCATCGGTAAAACCCACACAGGTACGTAGACCGAAATAGCATCATGTCAAAAAAAAAACCCCACTTGTTTAGCAACATTGGTATCGGAATAAACCCACATCAGTTCTGAGGACAGAGCCTCCCCGGACATTCCGGTACGTATCATCGTACATCGAGGACCTGATTACAGCGTCGGCATCTGAGTCTTTGGCTCCTGATTGGCCTGTACCGTTGTCTCAGGTAGTGAGGGCTGAGGCCTAGCTGCAGGTGAATCATGGCATCGCGGCAAGCGGGTTGCAGACTCGAATGCTTTCGTCAGAGAATATGCCTGCTCAATTGATCTTATACCATTCACCATATGAACGAATCCCATGGCATTCGCCGCTCGGTAAGCAGCTCAACTTCAATTAGTTGTCCTTGCTCTCCATCACGTGATGAATGCCTACTCGAAGGACTGTGCTTCGGGAAAAACCCACATGCTCTGTGGGTTACCCATCCAATCTCACCTCCTTCATATCCTCTCAATCAGCGGGAAGCCGGAAATGTCCACCACAAGTCACACGTGTTCGGTCTGTGGCCGTGGATTCCTCCGACGTACCCATCTGCTTAGGCACGAAGCCACCCACAGGAGCACACCGGGGCACCCCTGCCAATTCTGCGGCAAGTCGTTTGTTCGCAGCGATGTGGCTCGACGACACGCTCAGTCTTGCAGGGCCAGGAACGACCACGACGCTGTGCGCGCATCAAAGAGGGGAAGAAGACGAGAAGCTTGCGACCATTGTTTTAGCCACAAGCTTTCGTGCGATAAGAAGAAGCCTTGCGAACGGTGCACCTCCTCCGGCCGCAATTGCACCACCATTCGCGTTGACCAAGATCCCCATCGTACGCAAGGCTATCTCGTTAGGGGCTCTGCTGAGGAATCAAACCGCTTAACAGTCTCCTTCTTATTGAATTTTACGGATCCCAACGTACATTCTACAATGGACTCCTTGAATGTCTCGGGCGCTGATACTACATTCCCCTTCCAACGCCCAAGCTGGTGGAACCGCGCTCAAAGGGAGACGGACTTCCCGAGTACACAACCCTCAGAAGCAGATTTCAGCCTCCTTCTTTGGGGAATTCCAGATCCGTTTAATAATCTCACGATAGAAACGGAGACCGCTGCGGAAGAAGAGTACTGGAATCTCGGCCTGCCACCATACCCCGTCCATGCTGAGAACGGCCAACTCCAGGATCGGGTGAGGTTACTTGTATCCGAGCTGCAACAGATAAACCCCGAAATCGAGTATGGAGACCTTCTAACGGGTCCAAACTTTCTGACCAATATCCTCGCCTTCTTTCGTCAACGACACTCACAGGTACCGCCTACTATCCATTGGCCGACATTCGATCCAGAGACCATCTCACTTCACCTCTTGCTGGCCGTTGCATTGGGCGGTGCCACACTCACATATCCTCGAGATGACATTACTAGTCTCCGAAAATTAGAGGCACTATGTGAGACGGCGGAAAGCTTCATCTTCAACAATCTAGACACCGTTGATACGGTAATCGAATGTGAGGGTGAAGAAATCAGTGACGCTACTATTGAAGCATGCCAGGCTGCGCTCTTGATCGAAGTGGTCCAAGTCAGTTTCAACAGCTATAAAACACGACGAAGGATCCTCTTCCAACGCCATACATACCTCGTCGCGGTTATGAGGAGCCTCCGGCTATTTTCAAGCACACACACACATGGCGATGGGAGTGAAACTTGGGCGGAGTTCATCCGGGCTGAGTTACTTATCCGGTTGGCTGCTGGCGCCTTTTTTAACGACGCAATGTTTGTCTTGTACTTTAACCACCCCCCGTGCGCTACAGTCTCTGAGATGACGGGGGATCTGACTTGTGACGACAATCTTTGGGATGCTGAGACGGAGAAAGAATTCGCAGCTCAGTGGGCTTTGCATGCATCAACCAGGCGCCCTCCACGACTTCGAGATCTGATTTCTCGTATGTTGGCAGAGGAGTGGATTGAGGCGAGGGGGGTTTTCCAAGACTTGAACATTCATGATTTACATCTCGTTCTCTGGGGTGAGTCCAATTCCGACGAGATGCTTATGGTCCTAAAGAGGATATGGCATCCTCCATTGCGTGCGCTAAATTAACATTTGACAGCTCTACAGCCGACCATTTTCAATCTTCGAGCAGCATTGTCAGTGGCTTCCTGTTTCTCCATGGCATCACGGGCCCTAGAGCGATGGAAGATTCTGTGGCAAAATGCAATGGAAAGGCATAGGGAATCTCAGGGGAAAAGCGAAGGCATTATACAGTATGCGTCCGGTGTGGCCTGGCTGACGTGCAAGATTCTGGAGGCGGAATGCAACGCCGGGGCACAGGGATCGCCCTATTTCCGTCAAATTGGTCGGCACAACGCTGCAGACCTTCACCAGTTAATTAAAGAGTATCAATAATTTATATTGAATCAACAGGAACTTTGAATCCCATCATCATGGCGCCAGATATCGCGGGGATCGTTGGGCTCATGCTCCTCCATCTTGGTCGTTTAATCAAAGACTAAGGCGTTTTCCGGGTTGACGTCTCCGTGGATAATTCAGCTTCTAATATAATTGATTCTCTTCGAATCTGGTATAATGAAGATAAAAACAAACACATTACAACTCGGGGGATTTGAAGGCTTAATTATTTCCATGGTCACATCCAGGTGCAAGATAATGTTCATTCGCCTGCAATCGCAAAGGCTAAGCATAAAAAAACTCAACATCTGCCCACGTGAGTGTCACCTGTCATTTTAAGTTTGCGGGAACCCGGAGAGTAAAAGATCAAGCGGATATTTAAGCACGACCAGGTCCTACATCTCACCTCCCCAACTTAAGATTACTGAGCTTCTTTTATAATCTTCTTCCCAGATATGCAGACTTGAATACTCTGCTTGAGGAACCTCCAAGTCTTCTCAACCACGATCATCACTTAAGGAACAACGCCCAAACCAAAAACACCAAACATCATGGCTAGCAACATTGCGCCATGGACAGACCAAGGCACCAGCGGAGCTATCCAGAATTGGTGGCATGAGAGAGATGAAGCCGTCCGTCATCATCAGGATCGATTTTACAATGCGGTGTGGAGTTGGTGCCGTGAAGTGAATGAGGGCACCTGTCGACTTGAAGATCGAATCATTGCCGCCATCCGGAATTGGTTTGAGGAGTGGCATGATGGCATCCGTCAACGTCGCTATGAGCGTATAGCTTTTCATTCTCAATCACCTAATCCGCCACCTACATATGAAGAGGCCTGTGGACGTCACATGCGATTCTTCTCTGCTGTCTGGGCTCTGTTCCACAAAGGGCATAGATGTGCTACTCGAAGTGAGGATCAAATCCTCACTGCAATGCAGAATTGGTTGCATAAGATACATGGATTCACCCGTCGACATATCAATTATCATTTACCTTCTCCCTCTAGCTCACATAATCCGCCGCCGACTTACCAAGATGCCTGTCGACATGAGACTCAAACCGTCGCTTCTTCTTCGCCTCCTTTACATAATCTGCCACCGACTTATGAGGGGTTTCATGACTATCGCTGGAGGGCTGACGTGGAGGGGGGTCACGCAGGCTGACATAGTCGAGGCCAGCTGATGCATAAAAATCACATATTTAACTAGACTCTGATAGGTCTCTTTGAAGAATCACCCTTCAGGAACGAGAGTTTGAGGGTAAAAGACAATCGTATTTATGAAACTGTCTAACAAATCTGCCTAAACCAAGGTCAATTAATTCCTTTCAACTATCAACCTCCCCACCTGAACCTGGCCTAAATCTTCGTGTAGAGAGAACTTCCACAATGGGAGAGTAGGTAGCCAAGTTATTTCATCCCCACCCAAGAACTCTTCTTCTAATCACGATAAAAAGCAACAATAACGTAGCTACTCATACCAGGACCAAGTTCTGCTTATCATGGTAGTCATCACACATAACGTTTAACAAGGATCGGACCCGACATCACCCCGCACTGTCTTCTAGAGTCAGATCGTAAGGCCGAATATCTCGGCAGACATGGCCCTGAGCTATTTCCCTTGATCGGTGCCGGGTCGCTACAGTTCTTGGTGCTATGCTGTGTATTTACTAATGACCTTGTCTTAATTGACAATGACTTGCTTTCGGACTTCGTTTCTCTCATGTAATAAATATTCCGTCTTAAGAAATTCCTTCTCACAACCCTTAATTTCAGTGTCTATAGGTACCATAACTTATTCATTCTATATTCTATTTTGCTGGAAACGACGGGAGGCGGAGAATATATTGTTCCGGGTCATTCGGTCAGAAATGTGACCGCCCCTCTCCGTCACACACAGGGCAACCATCGTTTACCACCAAGTTCAGCAGCTCAGCCGCCATCCTTGCTGTTCTGTAATAAACAGGACTTGGCCATCTAAATGTCTACTGCAGTTGCATCACCCGCCGCACGGTCCGCAACCGCGTAAGAATATTCAGATTTATTGGACCTCCTTATCTCCTGTTTAAAAGCCTCTAAGAGCTCCCTACTTACTTGCCTTTATAGTTGCGAGACCTGTCGCAGGCGCAAGGTGAAATGCTCTGGGAACCGGCCTTGTCAGAACTGCAGTCGACAGGGCCTGGACTGCCGCTTTGGCAACACGGGCCGACGAGGCTACTCAGAAGCGTGAGGGATTATCTTGCGTCTGTTCGACGCTAATTGCTGAATCACAAGCAGTTATGTACAAGGTCTTCTCGCCAAAATTAAGCAGCAGGAGGAAAAACTTCACGATATCGTGCCACGTATGCGGCTCTCTCCACCATACGTCATACTGTACTGACGCTTCCAAGTTAATGATACGCATGATACCAACCATTCAAGCACCCACGATAAATCCGTTGAACACGACATTGTAGATGCGCCGAGTGCATCGCAGTCTGGTCATGATGAACAACCTTTCAGCCCTCGTTCGTATCCAGATCTCAGCCTCCATTACTCAGACTAACTGTTCTGTAGTCACAGATTTGGCATCTGGCCCTGCTTTTGAATCACGAGTGCGGTCCATTTTGCTCGACCACACCACCAATACCCGCGACTCTGGCGTATCACCCGGAAGCTTGACCTTTATCTCGGCCGGCTTCCATGATACATCACCCAACGGGTGGCGCAACTCATTGGAGTTGGTCAAGGGTGTCTCTGCGCCTCCTCTTCTCTCAAAACAAGAATCATATCGTCTTTTTGATGTCTTCATCTCCCTCATGGGGATTAACCAGCATTTCATAGATCCGCGGAACTTCTCAGACTCAATGATTCTCCTGTATCAAAGCGACGCGACACGAGAACGCCAAAAGCAAACCATATGGTTTACCGAATACCTACTTGTCATGTCAATGGGAATGCTCATCGGCTCTCCTAGCAATGGATCAGGCAACCCCCCCGGTAACGCTTACTTTGCAGAAGCCCTAAGGCGTCTTCCGCCATTACACCAACTAGGGTCTCAGGGCATCATCGCTGTTGAGATTTTGTGCCTTGCATCACTATACCTTCAATGGTGTGACCGGAAGCATGACGCATATGTCTACGTATGGTCACTTCTCATCACGTATTGTCGCACTGGCCCCTAGCACAAGCTGATCTTGCTATTATAGATTGGCACTGCGGTACGGCTAGCCATAGGTTTAGGCTGCTCCATCCCATACGATGAGCAACAAGGACTCCCCTCCGAAATATGTCATCGCTCAAGAGTGTGGTGGACAGCCTATATGTTAGATCGGTAGGTTTCTTGCCTAAGTATTGCTGCTGCAACGACTAACTTCTCCTATCTGTGAAGTCGCCTTTCTGCTGCCCTGGGCCTTCCAACAGGAGCAGATGATCGTCAACTGCGTGCCGACCTCCCTCGACCATCGGCAGGTTTTCAACCTCCAATGCCACTAATCATTAATATCCAAATTGCAAGAATAACTGGTGAAATCATGACCTGTAAGACGTCCCAGACTCTCAAATAGACCTGTCTGGTTCCTCATTCTAATCGCTCATGTCATCTAGCATTTTACGGAAACAATGCAGTCTCGCAGACTGAACTTGTGCAAAAGATACAAAGTACTCTGCAGGCTCTCTACGAAGCAGGACGATCCATCCCTTCCAACTTCTCGATACACTTTTCTGATTCGAAACTCACGGTAACGAGGACAGGCGCGTCTCTGTATCTTATGCTGTTCCAGGTAGGAAATTTTCTGTCATACTGGGTATTCCCCATACTAATATCACCCGAGGCTATTATTCTCTGCATCAGGCCAATTATTCTTCAGTGTGTCAAGGATAAAGTAGTTGCCTCGAAAGTCAATCGGTCTCTTGAACCTCCATCACCCGTCATAGCTAGACTATGCGACTCATGCCAAGAGGCAGCAATCAAAAGTATTCGAATCCTCTCGTCTCTTCGAAGTGAAGAAAGCATCGGTTTGTATCATACCCCGAGCCCAAACATGGGCGTTGCAAGACCTTGTTCTTACTATTATCCACAGCGCTGTTTGGCTTTTTCGACTTGGACGCCACTTTCTCAGCTGCCTTCGTCTTGATCATGATGGGCTTTGTCAAAACAAACAATCCTCAGAAGCCTCCAGATGGACTCAAGCAAGCCGTGGATGTTCTCGAGTACTTGTCTGCAGCGGGGAACAAGGCAGCTGAGCAGCGACTGGGTGACTTGAAGCAGTTCTGTTACCATGTTTGGTCACCTGATAACTTATCAGAGGACTGGAAGTGGCTTGGAGTGCGGCAAATGGCGGTCCAGGACGATCTATCTGCTGGTGCCGTGATATCTACGATGGAAGCATCTGGCGAACTTGACCTTGTCAATCATGCTCCGAGACAGGCAGAAATGGCGCCACTTTACTCCTCTGATTGGCCTGAGAAATGGGGTGTGTGTTACGACGGAATGACTCTGATGCCCTCCACAGATGTTGGCCAGGGATCCGCGATGCTCGATTTCGACTTTGAAGAGACTTTTGGGATGGATATGAGCCACGGAGCGGAGGATATTTACTCGAGCTTCAATGATCCGGATCTCCCACTAACCGGCGTGGATGAGGTAGATTGGGCGGAGATTGGCAAGGTGTTTCACTATAAGGACGACTAGGGCTTCTCTACCTTGGACTGTTCAGCGGCGGGGATAATCACCGGTGCTACCAAAAACTTGATCAGAAAGCAGAAGCTGGACATAGCTTCGTTATCACTCATTTTTGTGACCTAGACTGTACTCCATTAAAAGTGCAACGGAGGGAAGCAAATACCGGTTGATTTTCAACGCTTAAACTGGGACTATTAGATACGCGTGCAGAGATGCTCCCCATACTCAATACCGTTATTCCTTATCAAGAATTACTAATCCACGAAATCAAAGTGACAGTTCTAAATCTGCAACTGCCTGGAGTGAATCAATTGAAACTCGGCCTAATGCGCTCTCTTCCACACTTGGAAAAGGCGACGTGACTCCTCCCGTCCCGATCCAAACCACTTGCAGCAAGCCGTCTTCAGGCCAGATAATCCGAACTTGAGGAGACCCCAGTCTGCCAGGGCCAATTGCTTCTGGATGGCTTGGGCCTTTTCCCGATTTCCGGATTGTTAAAGCCGAATACGAGCTACATGGACCTTCGGTACCAAATTGGCGAGGGCCGATATAACACCGTTGGAGCCTGTGACGAGCCCCGGGAGAAGGAAATCAGCTGTTCCAGGAAATGGATCATTTTTTTCCCGCCGAGACAGATGCAGAGATGCGCTGCAGCTTTCTCAAATTTCCGCAGGTGAGTTTGACACCAACGATATTGGATGCAGCATCGGCAAGATCAAGGAAGGTCGGAATCGAGGTCAATACCGCTCGCCGCCCCCCCGGAAATCTGTAGATGACCAGAGGCAATGCGGATTTTCGTGCAACCTGCTTCGAAAAATATTAGCATTGTAGCAAGGAATGGGTTATATGACCACCACACAGTTACCTCGATGTAGAACTAGTTGATGACTGGCTTGGTCATGGCAGCAGCCCAATAGCTCGGTGGCAGGACAAGGCCCTGATCTGCGCCCGTCTCCCGAGCGTCCTGACTGCCAGAGTAGTTAGCTTGGGCCAGGCGGGTAAAGTTGAGAGACAAGTCCAATACAAAGGGAAAGTGAACGACAAGAGCGGTGAACACAGCTATATGTAGTAGAGGTTTATCGTCACTGAGCCTACTTTGTAGTAGAGAAGACGAGAGATGTGCTTTAGGGTTAGTTATGATCAGAATAGAAGAAATTTCACGATCGATTAATACGTGAACAATATAAAGTAAAACTGGATAAACTAAACTGAATGTAAATACGGCCCCTTGACAAAAAAGCTCTCCGATTGAATAAAGTAAGTATACTATGTCCCCTATGTGACTGAAGGCTAATCATTCCAAACATACCATATTATACTGCGTCAGGGCTAGAGACAGAAGGCTTCTTATGTTCACCACGCCAACGTAACCCCATGTCCACAGCAAAACAACAGAGGATTAACCCTACAGCCGACGCGACAAATTTCCAAACATCTCGAGCTATAGAGGTAGTATCATTTTCTGTTGCGATGAAATTCATACCCCAGAAACCCTGTTTCACAGAAATTCTTTTAGCTCTTCTTTAAATATTATTGAACGGGCTTGTGCACTTACAGTCGCAAATGACAGAGGAAGAAAGATGAATGTCAGAAATGTTACACGTTTCGTGAAATCTTTTCCGTCATCTTTGGATTGTTGAAGAATCGTCCGGGTGTGATCCAGAAGATCCTGAGTGTTTTCCAGAAGTTCCTGGTTGCTTTGCAGCTGGTTTATGCTGACAATATTGTAGGCCTACAAGCGCCGCTGTTAGCTACCTCCAACGTCCAACAAAGAAGACAAGAAATTGCTCACCAGTCGTATCTCATTTTCAAGTCTGTCAACGAACGCATCTGCTCTCAGTTTCAGGTTTGCAAGGAAGCTGGCGGAAAACTGGAGCCCGGCGATGGTATTCGCCACTCCCGCTTTAGATTCGTCGGGTAGGGGGTGTGAATCAACATATCGTAAGGTTGATTTCACCGTCTTTGCCGCCACTTGGAGCGTTTCGCTCATATGAATTGCGTGGCGTGAGAGCTCGTGCATCTCCATGTAAAGATCTGTTACAGGATTATCAGGGCCCACTGTCCGGCTTCGCAACGCCAAAATGGTGCGTGCAAACTCGCGACGTTCCTTGGACAGAGTTAGGTTAGTGAATTTACCAAATTCATATGACGCGTACCTTTTCAATCTTGCGGACAGGCTCCCTGAACAACCAAAGCGCCGTATCATATTGCATGACAACGGCTCGTAGCAAAGCATCATATACAGAGAAAGGTGTCTGCTTGATGTTACTGAGACAGTAGGCCTTGCACGCTTCCACAATCTCGTCTTTGATTAGGATGGAATCGTCGAAGCACACGAGAATACAAGACGCCTTATCTTGATTCGTTTTGACCCATAGCACGCTAAATGACAAGTAAAGCCACTTGTAATCTGCGTCATGTTGCACATTCTCTTCTCGTAGGAATTTGATCAGAAATCGAGTAGCGTAGGTATAACCTTGGGATATTGCTTAGTTCTGTCCGTCCATATTGCCAACGCACTCACTGTGAGCTATGTCCTTATGCGTATGCCAGTCTTGCTGGCCCAGTAGGAATCCATTGGAATCCCAGCCTTCCTTTGTCAGGAAGAGCGGATCCAAATGCAGGTGTGTCGTCAACTCGCTGCATACTTCACGGTCGTCAAGCAGAACTTGGAAATCCGGGTCATTTTTTGGCCGATCACCTTCATCCACATGAATTTTGGGGAGGAAACTAAATCATGGTCAGGAAGGTCTCTAGATGAATGCATGTGAGGATTCCCTGACTTACAAGATCTCAAGGTCGTGGATCTGTTGTTATTGTTGTCAGCACAGAGCATGTGCTTGTCTTGTTAGGTCAAATAGGACTTGACTTACCAGAAGGTGGTCGGGAGACCCTGTTGTGAGAAGGGTATCAATGGTAGATCTCTTTTCCAAGGGGCTCGGTCCCTTCCGTTCCCCTGAAAGACTTCGACACGTTGTCAGCGTGGCTTCAATATTCCCAGGAATGTTCCAATCACGTTTGGCGGGCTTACTTTAGTTGCCAATGATCAACCTCGTGATACCTAAGTGACTTTGCCTGGTCTAAAGCTGGTGAATGTCCCGGAGCTAATAGAGTGTCTGGTTCGGATTGGTATTCTAGCTCAGATAGACTTTCTAGCTCGGATAGACTTTCTGGCTCGGATGGATATTTTGGCTCAGACGGATGTTCTGGCGCTCGTGGATGTTCTTGTACAGATGGATCTTCCGGTGCTGATATATCTTCTGGCGTCGGTGGATGTGCTTGAACTGGCGAATCTTCTAGCCCCGATAGATCTTTTGGCACTGGTGGATGTTCTTCAGCTAGCGGATGCTCTGGCTCCAATGGGACTTCTAGTGCTCCTGAATGTTCCTGAACGGGTGGATCTTCTGTCGCCGGTGGAGGTTGTGTCGCTTTGGAGGGTGGATCCATCTTTTCTTAAGTGGCGATGGTTGTAGTAACCATCGATTTGAAGGTGTACGATAGTAGAATTGGGTTTGTGTTGTTTATTCGAGCGGGGTAGACAAGGAGCTGTCTGTTGCAACCTATGACAAAAATACCGCAGCGCCACATGTAGTAAAAGAGTAAGATACCCTAATACAGAGGGCTCTCTTCACAGTTTGTTGAATTCAGACCGGATTTGCGTACTCCTCTATTATAACGATATTCTGACCTGAGTCGAAGGGCTGAGATTGGCCCAAAAAAGTCTGGCGAGAAAGAGGCGTCCTTGGCATCCTGGATCAATGCAATCATCAGATGCAGGATCCACACCTGATTGAGCAACCATGCTTAAAGTGAATGTGATAATTACGAATCCACGAAGTCTTATTCTTAGGAAAAGCGACGATATCTAGTCAACCAATCAATGGAAGGATAAGTCCTAGCCTAGGGGGAACTCAAAAGCGTCCCCCTAGTACAGTGGGATCGCTAGTGGTAGTGACTGCCTTATAAATCAGGTGTGGATCAGACGCTGGTTAAATGTTATCGTGAAAGTAAGGCACCCTCTGAAGTCCCAGGGGTCTAGACTAAGGCGGCCTTCGACGCGCACTGCGAGACAAATATATCTTATTAAACTATCTTGATACATGCAAAAGCATTAGGCTTGCTAATTTGCCTTGTCCAGTCTTCCACGCGTCGTTTGCCTTGTCCATCATCAGCTGTTAGCGTGCTACATGGGTTGAAGCCTATTCCCGTTTTTGGGGGTGCCTTGCAGCCTGCTGCAAGGCTCAATGAGATACCTCATTTCATAAATTTACTCGAGCCTCGATGGGCTTTTCCGTGGCGTTCCATGGTAAAATGGCTCTCAGTTGGGGCTATGCTCACTCAGCCCCGCCGCGAAGACCTGAGCACGTGATATTACTCATATGTGCTAAAGTGAGCGGAATACATGGGAGCTGTTCAGAATTTGCGCTTTCTCCAGCATCATTCTCCGGTGCCAGCCATGCGATATACGGTTCCGATCAAAGCCAGCCCCGAAAATCATGTCATGGGTTGTAATCTGGAGCCTTACGTTACGCAAAAAGTACATCAGGATCTTCTCAATGAAGCCATTTCTCGCATTCTGGTTACTGGAGCCATCCGAAGGCATCCGCCAGCTTCAGTGGCTGTGTTTGAACAGGACAGATTGTTCGATTTTCGGCGCCCAACGACGTCCCCAATCGACTCGACAGCGGTACAACTGAACTGTTTCCCGAATCAAAACCTGGTCCTGCATTATGCAAGCCTGATTGCTACCTACCTTGAGCTTTGTGGGCGCAACCCTGGCATTGTACAATTGAGCCTGCCCGAGCCTGCCGAAACGGCGCGTTATATGCTTGAATCCAATCTTCAGTCCATAGGACACATTGATATAGCTATTATAGGCGACGTTCAGTACTTGAAGGAGCTCTCCAAAGGTCAGTGGCAAGGGAATGGCGGATCCGAGCATGATATTTTCCGCTGGAATAAGTTTCAGTCTCCCAAAGGCAAGACTGTTGCGCTGGTGGGCTGCCAGGAAAAGATATGGGGTGATGCGGGTGACCACTTGGTTCGCACCCTCCACGCGCAATCAAACATTGAGTGCGTCATCTACATCGGCAAAGCTGGGTGTCTACAGCGGGGATATACCCCCAATGAATGGATTGCGACTGGGGATCAGGCTTTCGTCGAGAATGAAACCATCACGTGGCGAAACCCATTGGAAATGGTGATAAAAAGCTCTACGGCAGTTGCTCACGGTTCAATTGTTACCGTCCCGACTACTCTCTGCGAGACTCATGAGTGGCTTGGCGAATGGTCATTGAAAGCGCTGTCGGTGGATTGTGAAGTCGGCTATATTGCAAAGGCAGCAGCTGAACTGGATATTGCTTTTGGGTTTTTGAACATCGTTTCTGATAATCTGTATCAAACAGGTGGTGAGGACTTATCTAATGAAGAGTCGCATACTGTTATTAGTAAAAGAGAGAGACTGTACAAGGAAATTACTAAAATTATAAATTCCTTTCTGTCTTTAGACAACTAGCCATCAATTTACTATTACCAGAATAAAGATAGATTTTAAACTCTTATCAATAAATACTGCATTATATATAAAAGAGTTAAATGGAAGCCAATAGAAAAGATCTATTTGTTTCTTTTTAATTTTACTCAACATCATCAGATAGAATAAAGCCATACAAGGTTGGCTGGAGAATTGCTGCCGCGGCTCAGTCACTCCATAGATGTTATCAAGAGCAAAATTTCAGAGCGACTGGTTCGGTGATAAGCATAAATATCGCACGATGCGATAACCGTTCAGAATAACGCGGAGAACTGGGGGAGTCGGTAGTCTATTTGAAGGTCTTGGGCCGGCATTGTTGCTCGCAATGCCGGTCTCTGCCGGAACTTATACTACGTAAGTACTGCCAGGTTTCAATACGGTTGGCGTGTCGTTCTGACAATACTAGAGCCAAAATCGTTCGTAAATGGTTTGGTTAGAGAGGGTCGGGTTTGGTGACGGGTGGAGAAATACTCATACAGGGTCTACGGCGTGTGAATTCAACTTAGCTCCGTCAGAACATATAACCCTCCTACGTAAAGAAGGCGGTTTTGAGTCACCAAGACATTTAACTTCCAAATCCCAACTAATTTCAGGGTTTATTCATTATATGTGTTCGGCTCTTCTCTCACCTGAACTCGCGGCTGGGGTAGTAGAGTTGTCAATGGTGGTAACATGGGGTCACTTCGTTGTGGTTCTACTCCTCACGCGTCGCTACTGGTTCTAAGCAGGAGCTCTCCACAAATGGCTTCATCCACTGCCAGTGGTTACGCAGACCCTGGCTGCCAGTCCGCGTACGCTTGATTGTCGTGTTGCTGAAATAACGATGCCCGACTGATATGTGATCCTTAGTTGGGAGTTGCAATCTATCCTGAATTACCGTTCCTTCGTTGTCCTTCCATATCAGCATCATCTGCGAATTTTCTTTTCCGTTCCCTCATTTGTTTATTATCGATACGATTACATTCACTTGGACATCACAACATATAGCACTGACAATGTTTACACACTATACACTCGCTTTTGCAGCTGCAGCCTCCTTTTTGAACAAAGTCGTTGCTATCGATTGCAACCCAATCGAAGAGAGTAAGGAGTGCATCCCACGTCTTTCAATTTGAGACCGTCTTGTTAACCCAACATCTATAGCGGATTGCGATTCCGACGCTGGCCTCACGTCGTCCACTTACTCAGTGGACTTCACCGGTGGCGCTGACGACGACAACTGGGAGTCTGTCGGTGGTGGTGATGTCGAGTACACGGATTCCGGTGCTGAATTTACCATCACTGAGCAAGGCGATTCGCCTACTCTCCAAACCTCGTGGCATATCTTCTTCGGCCGCGTCGAGGTTCACATGAAAGCCGCCTCCGGTACTGGAATCGTCTCCTGTGTTGTTCTTCTCTCCGATGACTACGATGAAGTGTACGCCAGGCCTTGTCTACCGTTCTGGTGTTGTTGCCGCTGACAAATTATCCAGGGACTGGGAGTGGCTCGGCGGATATCCCGATGAAGTTCAAACCAACTACTTCGGCAAAGGTATCTCTACCTCTTCGGGTGGTGACACAACCGAGGAAGTAGACGATGCTCAGGACACTAGCCATAATTACACTCTCTACTGGACCGAGGAATCGCTGAGTTGGTATCTGGATGGCAGCCTCCTTCGAACTCTCAACTACGCCGATGCTAGTAATGGTGACGAATACCCTCAAACCCCTTCCCGCGTCAAGTTAGGCATCTGGGCTGGGGGCGACAGCGAAAACGCTGCAGGGACCATCTCATGGGCTGGTGGCGAAACAGATTATGACGAAGGGCCCTTTACCATGATCGTCGAAAGCGTCGACATTACCAACTTCAACCCGGCTGAGAGCTATACCTACAGTGACCAAACTGGTGATTATACCAGTATCGACTTTGACGTCGCCTCTGACTCGGATGATGACCCTGATACCACGGCCAGCACAACCACTCTCACCACTTCTGCCTTTGCAGTTTCGGCCTCCAAAGACTCTCATACCACCGCCACTCCTATCGCCACGGGGTCTGCGAGCCAAGTCTCCGGTGACAACAATTCCGACACGAGCAGCACCGGCAATAGTAACTCTGGCAGCACCAAGTCTAGCAACGACGTTTCCAACGACCAATCTAGCAATAGTGACTCTGGCGACAAGAATTCTGGCCAAAGCTTCGGCAATGGCCGTGGAAAGGACTTCGGCAATTCCATCGGTAAGGGGAGAGACCAAACTTCTGCTAAGAATGGTGGCTCGGCCATCGGTTCTTTTGCCAATGGTGCTGGAAGAAACTCATTTATCTAATGTTTGTGTATTCCCTTGAGTGACGGGGCTGTTCTTTCTGTTGCATCATCTACGGATGGTCAAGGTGAGGATGATCAGATGTATTTGAGATGTTCTGTAGCGTAATCTCTTTTCTAGCCACATATCGTATTAATCTGACAAAGAGGAGGCCAGCCGCGGCTTTAAATAATTAATTTTTACACTTCAACTTCAACTTCAATTATTTAGTAGATTTCTTCATCCGGGTGATAACATGCGATTCTGAAACAAAGCCCCAATTGTCTCGTGCCTTGCATACCTTTAACGCTGTCTCTGGGAGCTAAGGCGTATTATTCCCTTTTGATTTGGTCTACATTTCAAGGGGTCGTGGTGCTAAATTTAACATAGTGACCTTGTGTTTCAGGTTCCGTTTATGGTTCTCTCAATAGACACCAGGGATCCCTGCGAGTGGCGAGGGAAGTGACGACTGGACACCGATCCCGGTCCAAATTGAGTGTGAGCCCATGTTCCCCTTCCAGTGGTAGCCTCAATTCAATCATATGCTGTTAGTCTAGAAACGTCAAGATCTGTAGCAAAACACACATGGCGTTGGAGACGCAATAGAACGATGAATATCAATGCTATGCTTTGTGCTGAAAGGAAATATTTTAGGAGGCCTGGACCAGCATACGAGAGCTCCTTGCAGACCACATTTTCTTTAGTTTACTAGTATGATTTTATTCCGTTGGAAACCCCATTATTTGGTGAAATGGTTTAGTTCGCATTGATTATTAGTTGGCTGACAAGTTTACTCGACTTGTGTGGTTTGCGGAAATTCCATTTCGACTTACCCTACACCATTAGGAACCCTCTCTCCATGCCATCAAATTTGCTGGTGTTTGATGGTTTTCTGGGGGCAAAGATCCATAAACTACTCAGGTATTTTGCAGCTGCCTCGCGTGCACTCTGGGCTCATTTGACACTCGTCTACGCGGACAGCTGATGATCAAGCAAATCAGAAACCACAACGGTCCTTTAAAAGTGAACAATAGTGTCGTGAAATGTGTTGGGTATATGATTGCGATATATTTGACGTGTTTGCAACAGAAGACAGCGAATGGGAAGCGCATGCATCATAGACCTTTGGAATTATGCATACAGGTACATAAGTCTGCTACATTTGGCGAGTTGTTATCGACCACTTAGTCTCAACCCGAATCTCGTTGGATAGCTTGGAAGACGTTGTCAAATTCTTCTCCGATCCCGATTCATCTCCCAACCCAGTGACTGTAGCGTCCTGCGCTCCGCCAGGTGGGTAGTAGTTATCCATCTCCCACGACGAGCTGTCGGGGTTTGATCCCGACCGAACTTTGCTCACCGGAGCGGACCGTTGGCTCTGATCTCTAAATCCAGTGCTCCGCTCGTCGGAATATTCGTCCAGCTTGGACCCTCCCATCCTCCTCTTGTATTTCGCGTAGAATGGTCGAAGCATCGGAATACTGACGCAGAGGACAGCGAGGTTCGGTTCGAGCGTGAAGAGGAAGACGGTGGTGGGCATGGTGCCCGTAACGTTGCCGGCAAGATCGACAGTGGAGATGTAAATTAACCGGAATATCGCGCAGACAACACAGCTTGAGAAAACAATTAGCATAGATCCTTCGTCACAAGGGGGACAGCTGGTCATACGCAAGACCTAACAAGAAGCAAGATGTGATACCGATCTTTTCAGACTTGCGAGTCTGCAAAGTCCAAATGCTGTGCATCGGCAACGCCATAATAACGAGGTCGCCCAAGGCGTTGGTCGCAATCAAAGATTGGATCATGTGAATGTATTCGCCGCATACCCCCAAGCCTGTCCATTGTGCCTCGACTGGGTTGCAGATGAAGATGCAGGCGCACAGGTAGGAAACAGTCCAGGCTCCGACAAACCCCAGTGAAATCTTGGACGAGAGCTGCATGAATCGAGTGGGAAAGACGCGAATGAAGAAGAACAGCATGCTACTCTTCACGCATGAAAGCAATGTGACGTACACGATTTGCATCCCGAAGGTCAACTGGTGGAGTGTGAGTAGGCTGGTGGTGGCCATCTGCATGGGTTATTGCTTTCGTACCTGGAGAATGAAGGGGACATTGACGACGACTGAAAGGTCATGCAACGATTAGTCCAGGTCCGGGATAACTTTTGTGGAGGGGTGAGATGGTATTCCGTCGTAGGCGATTCATGGCTGACGATGGCATCCTGGTGGACTCTGTCTTGGCTCAACTCACGTTCTGGGTACTCGATCAAACTCCAGCCGTTGCCAACTCGAGCGACTTGGAAATGTTAGTTGACTTGGTTTGCCCGGTGCGTTGAACGAAATGCTTCTTACAGAAACCTTGACACACCAACATGGCCACTGCTAAAGGCTGCGGGAATATCAGCTAGCGAACTGGGGTCGGTGACTGGGCGTCAACAAACCGTCGCGGCCATGACCATTCTATCATCCCATCCTACACCCGGACCTCTGACACGTCCGACAACTCTCAGGGAGACTACCACGAGGACGAGGGTGACGACGATGCAGTTGATGATGAGCTCAGCGCGCACGTAGCCCTTCACCGGGAAGTAGATGCCTGGCGCTGTCATGATGGCCGGCAAAAGGAGCAGCGCAGTTGAGAGGAGATGGCATGCGTGCGGTCGACAGGTTAGTGTGTCTTCTGAATCCGGTAGACGGACGGCAGATATATTTGTGCGTCCTGCGCGAGTGCCAGCGCGACCCAGCTGCACTACGGCGAAAAGTACAGTGAAACTGAAGATCTCTCCCGTGGTGCTGGGCACCCCATTACGTATGTAGCCTTGGAAATTTCTTCGCCAATTTTCCTTCGACAAGGGTTCCCAGTATTCCCAGTATGCCAACAAATCGTGGCTGTTACCTTGCGAAACAGCCGTGCTACAGCCAACTCCACATCGGGGGCGACTAAAAACATCGGCGATAGTGGTGTGAGGCTTCGGCCCGCCCCTTAGCAGACCGTTACAGAAGAGCTAGCTACGATGGTTAAATGATAGGTGTTTCTAAAAATTATGCAAGCTCTCTTTAGAAAGAAGTCTGTTCTTTCTTGATTTGTTGGCCTGAGATTCGCGGTGGCGGCCAAGCAGTGGCAACCCCACAGGAACGCGTTCACAATGCGGGTCTGTCTAATAGCTAATAGTGAAAAGAGCAATTGAAAACAGATGAAAAGTGGTATGACGAAAGCTCTCGCTCCAAAACTCGTGGGTTCTTTAAGCTGTTCTGTTTCTCACGGCCCAACGTCCCCTTGACTACGCACCCAAACAGCCCATCCAGGAAGCCCGGTTGATGGGCTGATGTACGCCTTCTTGCTTGCTTATTGGGATCTACAAACTTGTCCCCGAGTTGGGTGATGCTAAAGTCTCCGCATTTGCGGAGCTTCTAGTCCGTTGACGGATCCCGAACCTCGGTAACCGCAAAATCGGCGAATGCTCCGCCATAACTAATGCAGATTCCTGCGGGATGATGGTTCCCCGTCCGCTAACATGGGTCTCCTGGAACCACAGTTCGCCAATCTCTCCGAATTCGTCGACGGTCCTTTCTCTAAACTTGGCCGCCCTAGTAAAGATGTACGCATGCTTGCCGGAGATGACATGGTCAGTGGCCAGCTTAAACAGACTCAGCGGGGCTGGCTGGGTTTTGAGCGGTACTAGCTGTGGAGCTGAACAAGAGAAGTTGGCGAAATGCTCCGTCATTTGCTGATGTCTTGGCACTGAGATGCCGAAACTACCTATGTATTTTAATCTAGCCCATCCAACAATTCAACGCTGGTTGGTTTCTCACCATCCCTATTAGCTCGCTTGTGCCTGAAAATCCCCGGATTTCACTTCCTATTCAATCGCCTCACGTGGCGAAACCGGTCGAACTTCGGGGTGCTGCATGAATCTACCCACGGGGGATCCTTGCTAGATGGCCTTGGTAGCCGCTAGCTTCTCGCGCTGCAAACTGGATTGACCGAGGCTGCAGGGGAAAATGAAACGCTCCAATGTAATCTAACAGGGCTTGCACGGAGTATCGAGACGTCAAGAGCGGGCCAGCCTCCCGCCAACCTGGCAATGCTACTCCACCCACCCATCATTCCTACAATGGGAATGATCTATAAATGCGCGTGCAAGCGAGACAACCAGAGACAGATAATCCCTACGCCATCCCCTAGTATTTCAGTAAAGGAAGAAGACAAAAGCAAAAAACCTGACCGGAACAAAACACCCGAAAACATAAGCGAAAATGGCATCCTCTACACCAACCACCACTAAGCAATGGATCCTCGTCAACAAGCCTACCGGGGCCCCTGTCCTTGATGGACCTGACGCAACCTTCAAGCTGCAGACGGTTGATCTGCCGCAGCTGAAGGAAGGCCAGATCCTCTGCAAGGTGCAATACTTCTCCAACGACACCGGCCTTCGGAACTTCATCCAGAGCACTGTCGCCCCTGAGCGCTTCTACGTCCCCACTGTTCCCCTGGGTTCACCCATGCGCTCAGGTATCATCGCTGAGGTTGTGGAGTCTGCTTCGCCCACCTACAAGGCTGGAGACCTGGTCATGGACTTTCACCTTGGCACATGGAGCGAGTATGTCGTTCTCGAGGCAGCCAACAGCCAGGCCTTGTCCCCCTTGCCAGGAGGTCTTGCTCTCACCCACTACCTCGGTGCCTTTGGAGCGTCTGGCATAGCCGCGTACACTGGATTGTACGAGGCAGGGCAGGCAAAGCCCGAGCATACCATTGTCATCTCCGCTGCTGCGGGCGCGACAGGATCTATGGCCATTCAGATTGCTGTTAAGCTTCTCGGTGCCAAGCATGTCGTGGGAATTGCTGGTTCGGACGAGAAGTGCGCATGGGTGCGAGACCAACTTGGAGCCCATGCCTGCATCAACTACAAAAGCCCAACCTTCCTCGAGGAATTGAAGGCTGCTACACCGGACGACGTTGACGTGTACTTCGACAACGTTGGAGGAAACATCCTGGACGCCATGTTGACTCGCATGAAAAAGAACGGCACGATTGCCGTCTGCGGTGCCGTCAGCGGGTATAACTCTGATGAGCCTATGGCGCTGAAGAATTGGTTTGAGTTGATATCCATGAGAATTAACATCAGAGGTTTCATCATGCTGGATTATATGGACAAGGTGCCTACGATCCTTGGGGAGCTTATTGGTGCTGCGGCCGATGGGAGAATCAAGTTGCAGAACTCCGAGACAGTGGTGGAGGCACCAATCGAGGAGCAACCTGAAGTCTGGATGCGTTTGTTCAGCGGAGGCAACCAGGGCAAGCTCCTTACCAAGTTGATTATTTAGAGTATTAGGCCGTTTGACACTGCTTGGAGCGGAATTGTTGAACTTGGCCTTATTTAACGTCAATAGAAATACCCGTATATATTGAGCATTGAAAGAGTAAGAAAACACATGAATTAGGGTCAATGATTTGTCAAAGGAACTAAACCAACAGAGATACCAAACTGAACACCCGTATCTTAATTGACTCGTACTCGAAGGATGTGAGGAGATCAAAGCTTGTTTACCCCACGTAGCTGTTCGTCGACGTGGAGTATAGGGCTGGACTCGTAGCGAAACTGTAAACAATGGACCCCAATATTCCGGAGCTAGAACGCGCGTTTCATCAAGAACTGCTCTAGATACCCTAACACAGTACGATCGGAACAGTTGAAAGCTATGCACGTTCTTCACCTCCCCCTCCAGTTCCCATCTCATTGGGATCAAACCCTTCCGTGCCTAGCGTTTTCTCACCAGCCTTGACAGGTTCCGCGGCTTGACTTCAGTCAGTGACTAGTTTGGCCAATTTGAATTGAGGGTGGTGATGAGCATAGCTAACCTATCAGGACGAATAAAACACGAGCTGTCTTGTCGGTTCGGTTTTCCCAGCTATGGATAGTTCCACGCTGAACACAGGTATCGCCTGCTCTCAGTGTGTTTTCAACGTTATCATCGAGTCGACTATGATTTATACGTCAATACCAGAACAAGACGAAGTATGCTGACAAGGACTGACCAAACAATTTCTCCCTCTAGGATTATGCCAAAATCAAGGGACTCTGTGCGGTGAAACAGCTACTGAAAATTAATTGACCCATATATCATAAGGATGTTCAGAATTGAGAGTGCCTCTTACTGATCTGTTGTTAGGTTTAAAGTCAACGACCCTCAGCACAACACCGTCTTTATTCGCAAGACTTGTTGTCCGCTGAAGTATGGGATCTGCCCATCCATCGTTCGAAGCTGGAAACTGGTGTGTCTCATAGAGAACCGCAAAATCAATCGTTTCATCTACGGAGACCACAGGGATTTTGGAATCGGCTACAAAGATGGCGTTGCCGGCTGTGTCGTGACCCGTAACGACTCGACGAGGGGGTGGAAGTTCCGCCATGGTGTGTGTAGCCTTATGGCTTTTTCCTTCTCAATTTGGATGGACCGGGTGCTGATTGACATGAAAGGTCCAAAACGCCGGTATATAGTCGCTGAAACTGTTCTTTGACCAACAATCAGTATTCTGGAATGGTGTCGCTGCTCCATTCGAGTCAAGGAAGAAGTCAAAAATGGCGGATGGCTCGCACCTTTATGCTCTCATTCTCCCTTGGACACTCGAGGAATGCAATGGAAAGGAGCGTGACACCCAATTTGACTTTGAGCAACTGCCGTAGGCATTTGTTTGGTCAATACCACACCGGTCCGCTCAAATGCGTCACGTAGAGTCAGACAGCGGTTTCATTGGCTGGCGAATCAATCAGTGCTCGTATCGGTATAAGCCACATTGCGATCTCCTAGACCGGTCCGTCCGGCCGATCCTCTGAGGATCTTTGTCTCGTACACCCGGTAACGAAAATAATTCGGATTCTGACTAGACTAGCTTAGTCGGTCCGACCTAGACGACAACATCATTGAGCGTGTTCTAGATAATTTAGCTCTAGATTCAGTTCGGATTCCGCCATCTTTTGGGATTTTTTTATACGTCTTATTGATTTATTGGAACGATGAACGCTAATCTGCTGTATTCTGTAGGTGGTACTGTTAGGACACGAAATTAAAATCATGAATGGGAAGCGGGGTACTGTGGTGGCACTATCGTGAAATATTTCATCATGCAGCTAATCATCGAGGCGATGTGTCACAACGAATTTGGTTGCAAGATAGGGGCTTATTTTGTATTGAAAGTAAGGACTCTGGTTATTATACGCACAACTTAGATCACTCTCGAACACATTGCTTTCCCTCAAAAGACAAGAATATCTACCACGAGAGCTAAGAACACTGCACGGCTCCATAGCACTCGACAAGCTCGGAGCGACCCGTAAGGGCATATAGATGCTAGTTCCATGGGCACGACACCTATTGCAAAGCCGCAGACAAAGGCAGGTTTCGCGACGAACTGCCGATATATACCGTCTTCTCGTGCTCAGTGACCTCCCAGTTTTGGAGAGTAACTTCCCAGTTGCTGAGATCACGCCTATTCAGCGACGCCGAGAAAGTGGCACTAGCGCCAGGGTCTAGAGTGAAGCGATCGAAGCCACGCAGAACACGGACAGGTTCGTCAGGGCCGCCGAGGGACACATAGAGCTCTACAACCTCGGCACCAAGCACGTCTCCAGTATTGGTGACAGTGCAGGTCACGGTGTACAAGACATCCCATAGCTGGGGGTTGCCGCCGGGCGCACCACCAGCGGGATGTGCAGCCTGTGCGGATGAGCTGAGGGCGTTCGGGGGCAGGAATTCGGCCGCTGTCTGGCCATAATCCCTGTCATCCGAAGCTTCGCGGGGGTCGGTTGAGTTGAGGTAGGGGTAAATGAAGGTCCTCGAGAAGCTGAACTGATCCTCAGGGAAGAGATAGTCCTGATAGTTGGGGGAGAAGTTGCCAAAGACTGGTGCGGCACGAGAGGAGCCTGAGAAAGCGCTGTAAGGCTGGACTGGCCACTTCCGGACCTGGATATCGGAGTAGCTAAAGGTCGTGTACGATAGACCGAAGCCAAATTCCCAGATGGGAGCACCCTCGCCGCCATTGGGAGCCACGCGGTCAAAGTGGCGATAGTCGATAAAGACTCCCTCGTCAAAATCGACCTGAGGAGCCTGCTTGCCGTTGTTAGGCTCAAAGAGAACATCCACCCCGTAGCTCTCTAGGTTTGGGCCCCAAGTGAACGGAAGCTTGCCCGATGGGTTGACTTTGCCGTAAAGGATGTCGGTGATGGCGTTGCCGGCTTCTTGGCCGGGGAGACCTGCCCATACTATGGCGGTGATGTTGGGATTCTCGTACCAGGAGGTAACGTCAACAGGGCCGGGCGAATGAATGACGATGATGGTGTTGTTGCAGTTGGAAGAAACGTTGTGGATAAGGGCATCGCCGTCTCTCCATAGAGTAAAGTTCCTGCGGTCGCCAAAGTTCCCGTCGACTCCAAGGTAACCCTCCCCAGAACCTGCATGAACAAAGACGATAGATGTGATTTCTTCCTTGGAGGCCAGGAGAGTCGTTTGTATTCCGTAGTTCGTCAGAACGCTTTCGTACCTTGATCCATCCTCAAGAGCCTGTTGCTGAAGAGCGTAGTCGGGAGTGATGAGATACGGGTAGTTTGCTGTGCCAGAGCCCCATCCAGCCGCGAAGAGACCTTCTCCGCATGCCCTATCGGCACAGCTGTTAGGTCCGTTCGGGTTTGGACCAGCGTCCTCGCCAAATACACCAAGAAACTTGGGCTTCTGGAGAGGAAGCGAGCCCTCGTTCTTTAGGAGCACTGTGGCAGCAGCACCAATCTCGCGAATGAGGTTCGCATGGTCAGATCGCACGTCTACATGACGATTAACGACCTGCCAGTTCTCTTGGGCAGTGAATTGGACGGGGCCGTAGGCGTCATCGGTCCACGAGGAGAAGTTGATTTCGGGCTGGTCCTCTACCGTTCTGCCTACCTTGAAGTAGGCGGCCATGATCCTCATTGCCATGTCATCAACCCTGTAAGCTGGCACAGTACCGTTCAATACCCCAAGCGTTAGATTGGTGCCCCAGTAACTCCTGCCGGTGTTCAGGATAGTATCGCCAGCCATGGTCATATCAAGCCCGGCGACGGCGGTTGCCGCTCCGCTGTGTTGAGCCATCCAGTCGCTCATAATGAAGCCCTGGAAGCCTAGCTCATTCTTCAGCAGGCCGTTCAAAAGCTTGGAGTTCTGGCAGCCGTAAGAGTTATTGACCTGCTGATATGAGCACATGACGGAGCCCACGCCAGCTTTGACGGCATCGGCGAAGGGCCATAGGTAAAGCTCATGCATGGTCTTATCGTCGATGTTAGACGACAAAGACTCGGCAAGATGGGGAAGTCCATGACCGGCTGCCTCCCAACTGATTCTATAGTGCTCTGTAATGGAGGTTTAGCATTGTACTAGGCAAAGAGGCAGTTGTCATGAGACGCACCTTGTTCGTTTCCAATGAAATGTTTTGCAGTGGCGATGACACCAGCACTTTGCAAGCCCTCAACCGACTCAGCCATAGCCACGCCGGTCAGCCATGGGTCGGGAGAGAAACCCTCCCAGTTACGGCCACCGGAAGGGTTTCGCCCGAGAGGACCCGCGACAGGTGCAAGCACGACATCAACGCCTTTGTCCCTAAACTCCCTACCAATTGCCTGAGCCTTTCGATAGATCAGATCCCTGTCCCAGGTAGCAGCAGCCGATTGCCCCGATGGGAAGACCGAGTTGTAGTCGGTGAGTCGGACCCCGACTGGGCCGTCTTGCATGCACAGGCCGCGTAGGCCTAGGCGGGGGATATCCCCGACATTGCCGACGCATCGTTCATTCATCCAGCTAATCTCCTGTTAGATTCAGACGTATTATAGCTACCGTTGCTAAGGTTGAAAGTGCTTACCCCACGCCAGTAGTCAAGTTGACCTTTTCGAGCAGCGTCATTTGGGAGACAAAAGCCCTTGCCTTGGTATAGGCTTCACTCCAGCCATCAGCGCCAGAGTCCATCCACGGTGATGGATATACGGGCTCCGAGAACGCAATAGGACCGCCATCTTCCTGTCGATGCTGAGAGACGGTTAGCCATCATTTTTTGTCGCCGGTGCTGGGCAGCCCGTTAAGAGAAGAAGGAAAAGATGAACAAACCTTGATAAGGCCGGCTTCCGTGATCCCGCATGCTTGCAGCAGGACACTTGCAAGGAAGAATGCCTTCATGGCGAACGATATAGATGGGAGAAACTTAGAAGTTCAACACAGTTTCAAAAGTAGATCTGGTCTGACTTCAAGCTGAGGAAGCCAGATTTGCTCGGAAGCTTGAGGCCATGATGATCCTCTTATACTCTGTCAATGTCGGGGATCGCGATCACTCCGGTGCTTCAACCCGCTGGCCGAGCTCGGTCAACCCACGCCCTAGCTATCATTCATGCTGCTGTACCGGCCCTTGAGGGATTTTGCCTCAATTGCCAGCCAGAAACCCGCGAACATAACAACAATGGGAGGCAAAAGTGGACTGATGGCCAAACTAGTTGTGGTTCTATTTCGGCCTTTCTTTACAGAATCAACTACGATGTTATCCCAAGTAATAACTAGACCCAGCTTCTAACAAGTAATATCGGCCCGTCTCTCAACTAAATATCTCGTGATTCCTTGGCATCTTCCCCGCGTGACGGAGCATCTAAGCATGGCTTCTCTTCCCCGCCTCCCCAGGCTCTCCCCGCGCTGTCCCACTGCTCGGCTGGGCCGTTTCTAGTCCTTGTTCAGTTAGCATGAGCAAATGTTTTCCCCCAACCGAATATTCTGGGGCTATTGAGGGGAAGCTTATATTACTGGATAGCTGGATACACCCCTCGGAAACATCTCCCGCAACACACCCTTGCCCAAGTAAACTTTATTATCAGTTTTCTCGACTCTCCACTACTCTGCTAAAACCTTTCGGTTCTAGTGAAATGCACCCTGCTTACATGCCATCTCCTTACATGCAATTTACTAGCATACATACACAGTTAAGTGGAAGGCGGATTCGGCCCGGATCGGACGGGCGTTAGCCTTGCCAGGCTCTTTCTAATCCCCGCATCACTGACTGCATAAGTAAGGTTGCGATATAGCCAAAGTTGAAAGGCAAATCCGGAGCTAATGCAGCCTGCTGACAAGTGGGTCCACGAGTGAGTGGCTGTTACTAGTGGAATCACAGGGACGATGCTAGGACCTGATGAACTATATGACGATGAAGGTATGTTAGCTATGTGTGACAGACAGTGTGTCGCAGGGACGATCACCTCTGTCCTGTATGCCTAGCATCTCAGGCTTAAAACAGGACAAGTCGGAACAAGGGTCCGACCTCGGGGCCACCAACAATTACAGATCCATGGAGTCACCTTGGAGCAGTCGAGACGCATTGTTCACCACTGGCATCACGAGATGGAATGACAAGGAATTCCTGGTAGCAGAGGTTTTTCAAGCACTGTACTGCTCGTTCAATAGCATTCATGAGGTGGTCGCAGAATCGATCAGAAGTTACATAACATTCATCTTTGCGTTTACTTAAGCTAAGGTCTAACCGACAAGAACACTGGTATACAGTTCAGGTTGCAGTGACAGAAAAAGCTACTCATAGACTTATAGCTTCAAAAGCTCGAGACTCTTTTCCCACAACTTCCCGGGGCCTTCTTCGTCGTAAGCCCAGTCTGCATAGCCAGCACCGCCGGTACCTGGAGACTTAGCAACCTGGGTATCCTCCAAGTATAGGCCACCTTTGCCCTCAAGTTCAGGTGAAACCGCTGCGAGGACGGTGGTTGCAGCTCCCTGTTCAATGCTCTTCCAGTTCTTGGCCAATTCTTTGTCAGCCGCCCAACCCCGTTTGACCTCTTCAGAAACATGTCGTTGGAGTTCAGTGGCAATACTGCCGGGGTGAACAGCCCATGCATGAAGGCCCTGGGCTCCAAATCGTTTTTCGATTTCTCGCGCCGTCCAGAGGTTGGCAGTCTTGCTCTGGCCGTATGATTTCCATGGCTCATATTCACCCTCGAGGGTCAGATTGTCCAAATGAACCGAACCAGCCTGGTGGGCACAGGATGAAAGAATGATAGCTCGGGAGTTGAAAATGGGGGTCGACGAGTGAAGTAAGGTGTCCTTGAGCAGGCAGAAGAGGAGAAAGTGACCGAGGTGATTGGTGCCGAACTGGGTCTCGAATCCATCTGCTGTGCGGCCTTCGGGACATGCCATGACGCCAGCATTCTCAATGAGGATATCTAACTGGTCGCTCTTGGACTTGAAGCTCTCTGCGCAAGCACGCACCGAGTCTAGAGAGCTCAAGTCAAGCTGCAGGAAGTTGACACGAAACTTGTCCGCCAAATCGTGCAGTGCCGCCTTGGCCTTGTCGACATCACGAGCAGTCACGTAGATAGTGGCGCCAGTGCGATAGATTGCACGGGCGGTGTCAACGCCGATGCCTGATGAGCATCCGGTGATGAGGACGACCTTTCCTGATAGCTTTCCTTCTAAATCATAATCCGTGATGATCTGAGAAGCAGTAGGACGCGCATCGCCGGGGCCATCGGGCTTTTCGTGAACTGCAGCGTACTTTGAAGACATGTCGCCAGCGGATGAAAAGAGATTAACTGTTGGTACCGTGGGCGTAGAAAAGTCAATGAGACAAGATGTTCTTGGGCTTTCTGCGAGTAGAGCGGAGCGCAGGCTTTATCTTATGCAACTTCTCGGCTGGCCATTGCGTCACGCAATTGTATATTTGAAGCTGGATCTGTCGTCTTGCCTGTCAGCAAGCTGCAGCAGCCCTCCTCGTAGTTACTGATGACCCGCGTTTCTCGAGCTCTATCGCTAATTGATAGGTTTTTCCCACGTCATTCAGATCTGCAGAGGCCCGCTTATATCCATACGAGAATCATGAGCCTAGCCTCTTCGGACTTCCGAAAGTGCCGAGTACCCCAGTCCCAGTGCCATTGGCCCCTATTCTTGTCAGCCACCTACATTAGCTCAAGACCGGATTCCCCGATTTGATCGAGCGAGGATGGTTTCAATATGGTGTCATCACGCGCATGGAACCTTCTGGTCGACGTTGGCATTATCATTTGTTTAAGTCGAAATCATCTTCACAATCACCATCTTCACTCCGGTTTACCTCTTCCTTACCAAGAGGTTGAGGTGCCCTATTACACACATACCCAAAAGAGAAACTGGAACCTCCACAGTAAAAAAACAAACACCAACAATAGTAACCTCTTCCTTACATCTGAGCATCATGCCATTAAAGTTGATTTTTACCCTTCCTTCCCCACAATTTGTTTGTCGCTTCCAATACCTCTGAGCAACTTTACAGTAACCAACCCAGTTGTGAAGATATGAAATCGATGCTCCACAGCCGCTAGGATTGCTGGGTTCCCCAGACGATCAAACTTGGCCTCGCGGTGCAGTCATAATTCATCTCCGTTAAGTCAGCACACAGTTCATCCTAGTCCATGAGACTCGCGGCGACTGCTTGTATGACATTGTGTTTGAACTTAGGAAACGGGAATACATCAAGCCAAGGATGGTGCATGATCTTTTGCTTCACAGAGGTAGGCTCCAGATTCTGCGGGTAGGACACCGCGTACTGCGAGGGCCCGCTCTGTTAAACGGTGAAATGCTCTCCTCAAGGTACAAGATGTCCGGCTTGAAGCCCATTTGAACGGCATTCTTCGCCATGGCGATATCAATATTCAAGTGAAAGGAAATGGGAATTGCGATAACAGGGGTTTGTCCATCAAGTAATGTACGTCAGCATCGAGTGCGAGAGCAAAATTCCTCTCGATATTACTATATTCGCCGCTGGACCTCTGGGAATTCTCACCGCCATCGTCTCCTACATTCGAGTTTGCGGGGGCTCATTTTTGAAATCTCTAGTTGGACGAGCTCGAGAGCCACATACACTCTCCGAGATTGAAGTTTGCTCTTCGACAAGTGAAAACGTTTGTGAGCTATGGTCGAATGGTGGCATTTGTCGTGTTTTTGGACGGCCGCACCTCGTCGAGTTTCTATCCCGCAAACCTAGCGACTCTGGGGGATTTTATCGCGACTTCTACCAGTTTGGGGAGGAGTTTCCTGGGTCATGTGGCATCGCAGTACCGCGCCAATATTTCGGAGATATGCACGAAGAATCTCTCTTCCGTAATAAGTCGGAAAGTGATCTATCTGGAGTGACGAAGAGTTGGAAAGAAATCCCTCCACACGAAATTATATGGCTTCCACGCCGCATACGAACATTATTGGGTTACTTCTGTCGTCGAACTGACGCAACCAACCTCGACATCGAGAGGATTCGTTTGACAGAGCCAGGCGAGACACCAACGAGAAAGGTCCGCCTGACTTTGCGCCCTATCCAAACTTGGCTCTGAATATGGGAGTACAGGACGCTTCAACATCAGTCTCCCATCTTTGGCTTGCGGCGATATTTGGTGTCCTGCTACAAGCCAGCTTTTTCGGATACGCAACTTGGGCTAGTTGGTACCATCCAAACTTCTACCAGGACCAAGCAAGTTCAAACAAGACTCTATTCTTCATCTTCACAATCGCTGGAACTCGTTCAGTCGTGGCCGGAATGGCCCTATCAGCGAAACTTATTGATCGAAACTCAAAGGAGCGGTAGTTCGTGTTTGAGCCTGACAATCCGAATCAACTTGATCACGGCAATGCGGATCAACCTTATGACCGAATTTTCTGGCTTCAACCTGCCCAGCGCATTGGAGATCAGCAATATGACGTATTTGCGTATAATGAGGTGAAGACGGAATACATTACATCCCGGAAAGTTGACGACAAAAGACTAGTTGATGGCAACAAACAACAGCATACAGTTCAGGTTTGGCTAGCGGTTGGATTATCTTTCCTAGGATGGGTTTTCCAGTTCATTGGGCTACGCGGACAGCATGCTACAATTTCTTTCTACCAGCTATGCTGTACTATTGCCATGTCAATATTACGTGCCCTCATCCGCAGCTTTCGCTCTCCTGCTACAAATCAGCTTGTTCAAGTCAAAAACAAAGTTAACGAGCACGAGCTGGACTAGCAAACCCTCTCCTTAGCTAAGTATATCGACAAGGAGAAATCTGATCAAAGTAAGTGATATTTTATCAGGAACAAAGATGAGTTCTCACATGGAATTAGCCACATGCTGGGCCATCGACGGTGACCCTAGAGTTCCAAACATTGCAATCATGGTCGATTTCCAGGTGGAGGACGTGTGGTGTATCACCCGGTGGACTGAGGCTAAAGATAAAAACTGGGACGACTTGGCATCCAGGGACAAGATTTCGCGCGAAACACAGCGAACCAAATGTGGTGAGCCAGGTCTCGGCGCCAAATTGATGCGCATCCGTTTGCGATTGGCCTCTCTCCAAACCTGGGATACGGAGATTCGAAGGACAGCTCTCAAACTTAAGAGTGCCTTACAAGAATCCGCTGAGCTTATCGCACGTCCCGGGATTCTCTTCGACCCAAAATACGAAACTGCTGCATCGCCGGCCATTATTTGGTCGACATCTTGTCGAGTGTGGACAGTTGATACAGGTTCCTCTCGCCATACAGATGATACAGCAGAGCCTGATATCATATGTTCCCGCATCTCCCGGGTAGGACGTAACTGGGCGATTGACAGAAATCAGCTTGAGGCGGTTTTAGGCCTTTGGTTTTGGACGCTCAAGTCACAGCGACAAGGATGTGGACCAAGAACGAGCTTCGAAAAAGTGATTTCAAGCCCACAAGCTCTCCGCCGGAAGTATGACCAGAGCGCTAGAAAAGGCGACAACCAGTTCGGCAACACCTGACTTCGTTCTACTCTGCATAGTGATAATGAGCAATTCCCTTCGGCAATAATCACTGTTAGTTGTCAACTAAACTCGACAACAAAACAAGGCCAAGTGCCTCAAAACGAAGCGGTGGAGTGGTTGACACGGTGATAGAACTAATCTAACTTCTGTCTGCTCCCTCAAGGTGAGTAAGTTACTGGCATAAGGACGGTGGATCATTGGTTGCGCTTTTCGAGGTAGTTGATCAAACTCAAATCAAATTGGTCACTCAATTATCTGATTCATTTATTGGCAAGCCCAGCAACCATGAAAGCACTAGACCACATTGTACACCAGACAAGACAAAAACTCCTTGCAACCCACACAAAGCTAAGTCTTGAAGGCGTCACCGAAGAAACATCGCTTCTAATCTAAAGCAGACTCTCTTTCCGCAATCCAACGATTAGATAAGGTACGCTGCAAAAGCCACGGCACTCAAGAGCGCTGCAACCGCAGCGGACTTGCCACTTGCCAAACCTGACGCCGCCCCCTTCTGATCCGCCTTCTTATCGGTCGAAGTTGACGAAGAGTTTCCTTCCGCACTCAACGTCGCCTGGCCAAAGTTGGCATCGAACTTCTCACACCAGAGGCCGACGACGGAGAAATCAGCTGCGGTATGGCCCGCATCGAGCTTGACGGTGATGACATCAGTCGAAGCAGCCTTGCTGACCCTTTCATTGTTGATGCGGAATCCGGCAGATAAATCTTTGGTCTCGGAGCCCCACCAGTAGAGAGCAGGCGATGAAGCGTCCTTGAGCTTGTAGTTCGAGATCATCAGCTCGTTGTCGTTGACGACCTCAACGGTTCCACCGAGACCAGCATCGAGTGAAGATAGTTCGCCGGAGTCGCCAGTCTTTGCGGCAAGGACACTCAAAGGCAGAAGAAAAGCGGTGTACTTGAAAGCCATTATGTCGAGAAAAGGTGGTGAAATGTTGTTGGTAGAGTGAAGATTGGAGGTTTGATTGATGGTTGGTGTGGATAATGGAGAGAATATCTTGAGTGGGATTGATTTGCGACTGTTGGAGGCTCTATATTCCAGTAAAAAAGGTTCCCTATGCATATTATAAATAGTCTGATGTTTTCGCACAGCTGTATGTCCTTTCAGCCCCTTAGGTCTAGACTTCCGGAACAGGAAATTCCGATTACTGTATTCAAGCTGGCGAAGCGCGACCAACGTATGTGCTAATGTTTAGGACTGTAGGTCGTCTTACTCTGTGGCTCATGTAGATCTCCTCTCCTAATCTAATTTTCCGGAAAAGGAAACTCTGATTACCGTATTCAAGTTGGGCGCAATAGACTGATGTACGTGCTAACGTTTAGTCTGTAGGGTGTCTTGCTCTCTGGTCCATGTAACTGAAGCTAAGCCTCTCAATCTAGATTTCCGGAATAGGAAATTCTGATTACCCTCAGATCTAAGCGTGGCGCGGCTGACTGAGTACGCGGTGCCATTTAGCGCCGCGCGTTTCATTCTGTGGTTTATTTACGTTGGATCTTTTTTCATGTTTCTCAAATAGGAAATTCTGATGACCTCGTTCGAGCTGGGCGCAACAATAGCGCCACAGGCTGCGCTGTCCTCCCAAGGCTTTAAGCCTGCATAGTCCGAACAATCAATTTGGAATCGGTTTGGCTAAGGATTGTTGTCTAATTGGCCTCTTATCTCTCAGCCTCTTGTCTCATTGTTGGAATCTTATTGTTGGAATCTTACAAGCCACTATTTTCAGCTTTACACACTACCTATGCTGTTTGATCATTGAAGTACTCAGCCCGGCCCGTGTTGGGCAATTTGGATTCCTAAAAGCGCAGGCGCACATGTTTCTCCTGGCAGCCCAAGCAGTTTCTCTCCAATGTCAAAGCTGAGTTAGTCTCACCCTGTGTCTTGGCATAATATCGGCAGAAAGTACCGGTGCTACTCTAGCACGCTATTTAGTCTCCGCCTTCCCTGATATTGCAGAGCAGTAAAGAAATCATCTCCATTTCACAGCATTCAAGCTTTCCTCCTACAAGCTTCCCTCGTTTAGTCTTCAAGATGTTTCGACCCGTGATCGCGGATCAGTACACGGCCACCAGAGTTTACTTTGGGTCGGTTATTGGGCTTCTCGTTGCGGAGAGCCTCCTACCTTTCGCGGCATTTGCCTATCAAAACTACAACAACAGTAAGGATATTTTTCCTTGACTGTATTTCATGTTGAGATCGCATTACTGATCTCGAACTAGGTCGACGAAAAGACCGTCATGACTTGCATTGGTCATTCACAGTCCAACTTCACAAGCTTCTTGGTTTTCCGCTCCTCATTCCGTTCCTCACGGATTATCACATTGCCGACGTTGCTCGCTTCACTGCGTTCGTCGCACTCAATGTCATATTCGCGACACAAGAGAACCAGTTCACCACCGACTACAAGTTGTATGGCTGGTTGACGATTGCCAACGGAGGCTTAGCACTACTCATGGCCTCGCGTAACAACCTTTTCGCGACTGTTCTGCGCATTCCAAGCCCGGTGATACTCCAATACCATCGCTGGACTGGTGTTGCTACCTTAGCCCATGCAACAGCTCATGTTGCGTTTAACATCCAGCACTACATACAGACCCAACAGCTGGCGACCAGTTTCGCCAACACGCGAATTCGAATTGGTTTGATGGCTTGGATAGCCTTGGCAATCATGTTTCTCACGGCTTTGCCTATCGTAAGACGCCGGTTTTTCGAGGTTTTCTACTTCACACACGGACTGTTCATTGTCTTCACAATCGGGGCTCTGATCCATGCGGCCCATGGGCCCGAGTTCTTGTTACCAGGCCTCCTACTTTGGGCGGTTGACCGGGCGATCCGATTTGCGTACAACTTCCGTCGCATTGAAATACAGCACATCACGAGCTACGAGGGCGGTGTCACCAAGTTCAAAGTTAAGGGATTGAGGAATGCGAGTCCTGGTCAGATTGTCTGGCTCCAACTTCCAAAAATATCCTTCGTCAACTGGCACCCCTTCACTGTCGCAAGCGCTCCAAATGACCCCGAGCAAGTCGCTGTTATTGCTGTTCGTGGCCTTGGAGGCTTCACAAAGGCTGTGCAATATGCTGGCTCCAATAGCGCGGATGGTCACAGCATGCATCCCATTTCCGATTCAAGCCGCATGATTGATGCTCGACCTAAAATGCGCCTTGATGGGCCATACGGTGTTGGGCGCATACCATGGGGCAAGCTGCCTCTCACTGTCCTGGTTGCCGGCGGTATTGGGATTACACCCGGCATTAGCATTGCGTCTCATATCATCAGACAAGCCGCCGCTTGCGCTGGCCCTCAATCGCAATCACCGCACAAATCTGTGGCCCATGTGCACTTGCTGTGGGTTGTCAAGGACTCTCGACATATAGAGTGGTTTCAGGATGAGCTCACCCAACTGTATGAGGTATCGGCGAAGGAGGATCTTCCAGTAACTCTGGATATCTCCATCTACGTAACAGGTGGTGGGAGATCTGCGCCTCCGCATGCGGATGAAGAAGGGTCCTTGAGAATGCAGGACCTTGAACCTTCGGAGCGCCCATGGGCAGTCCATCAAGGACGACCAAATATCAAGGCTTGGTTCAATCAGGTCAAGATCGACCGCGTCGGCATGGATGGCGCGGTGAACTTGTGCGGGCCGCGAATGCTTATCAACCAGGCTAGAAATGCTGCAATGAGTGTCAGTGATGAACGAGGACTCTTTTACGTTCAGGAGGAAGTGTTTGAGTTTTAGGTCATATTCTGAAGAGTTTTGAGTACCCTAGAGGTAGAAAGTGTTGCCTGACTAGCTAGATTTCCTTGATCACGGATGTGTGGATTTATTTTGCAAGCTATTGAGCAATTGGCGAGCTTTCGTTTTTGTTGAGGGACTAGGCGCATATACTAAATCTATAGAAACGATAGATATAGAGCCCTCCTTTTCTTGCTAGCTATGTGGTTGAACAGGTTGTGAATCCCGGGACTTGCCTATAAGTTGTCAATATCAAGAGGTTAGGGTGCTCTAGTACACACATACCCAGAGGGGGGACTAGGAGCTCAACAGTAAAAAAAAACACCAACAATAGTACCAACGATAAAGTTGTCAATATAACATATAAGTATCACAGCACCTAAAGATCACCACTCATAATCGCACCGATTACACATAAAATAGTATCGATGTATTCACTAATGCTAAGTCCCATGACAAGCCCTATTGGATAGCCTCACTTCCCTCCCATCTTGAAAGGCTGCTGCTAGAATGCATTGCGTTTCATTAAGGTGGCTAGGGATGTTAATGACCGTTTCGAAGCCACTGGCAGCTGCCTGACCGAGGGGTTTCAACTCTGCCCCAGTGCCTACACCATACAGTCTCCAATACTTGACCTCCGTAGCCCCATTCCAACTTACATACGCCGTCAAATCTGAGCCGACCTTCTCATACACCAGTGACGGCCCCCATTCCTTCGGCGTTGCCTTCCATGTGGACTTGAAGGCCCGGTAGCTCTGTACCAGATTGTCATTCCCAAACCGGCCCTCCCAGCGAATATCAGCACTGTTATTAGACGGACCATACTCCCGGATTACTGGGATCTGACCGTTAACCACCAGCTGGTTGCCATTGCTCAGCTCGGCGTCATAGGCGCCCTGGCTATAGGAAATAACCCTCTCAAGAGGGTTCATGCTGCGCAAAACGACGGGCGGTATTTTCGAGTCGGGAGGCATCGACACATCCAGTAGAATGGCTCTACTATCCATCGTATTCGTTTCGCCTTCCCTATGGTGGTTATCATATAGACTGAGCTGGAAGCCTTTGTCGGTCACATTGAACCCTCGCGCATGGTGTTGGTAACGAAACTGGCCCTCCAGCGGCAATGGACCAAAATTTCCCACCCCATTCTCGCCGGTACCGTCCAGCATCCAAAGAACCTCGCCAGTTTTTCGAGAGATCAGGTAGCATGCCCAGAAATGGCGGCTGCTGATAAGAATGGTATCCGGCGTTAACAGCTGCATTGAGTTGAGGTGAAAAAAGTCATACGGTCGCTCCTCCGAGCCATCGCCCCGCTCTGAGGGTAGAGCCATCCTGGAGGCGAAAGGGTCAATATGATCGAGGGCGTTCCAGCGGAAGACCACCTCCTTTGTCTCGATATCGATCTCATAGAGTAAGCTGTCCACCACCCACTGGGCGCCACTGCCGCCCTTTTTGCTCAGGTCAAATGGCGTTATGTTGTAGGCGGCGACCAGGACAGTTCCTTCCGACGTGACCTGCTGCTCATGAAAGTCCATGAAGCCGGGGGGTGTTTTATCCGTCAGGTCTATGTTGAAGCTACCACCGAAGGGAATGGTGTTCTTGATATACCCGTCATCCATGAGGAACCATTGCCCATAACCATGGCCCGTGACAGAGAAGCCTTCCCAGGCAGTCAGATAGGGCTTGCCGTGGTACGATTGGATTCGGAAATTGTTGTAGTTGTAAATGCCATCAAGGCAGTAGACAAGGTCGTTGTCGTTGGTCATAATGACAGGCAAACTCTGCTGGGCACCCTTCGGACCCCGAGACTTTGGCGTCATAAACAGATACCCCTCAGCGATGGCGCCGCCATTTCTCTTGACTGTAAAGTACGGCGGTGTAAAGGGCGAGCTCTTATACACCCGGTACGGCCAGATGTCCGTGTCTTCTGGGTGCACCACCTTGGTGTAGGCGTGAGAAGGAAACAACGGGAAGTCCGGCGGCGGAATCACAGTTGGCTGCGAATCAGAGGTCGAAGAAAAGAAATACCAGTAGGCGAATATGAGATTGGCGAGAATGCTGAAGCCGATCAGCCCGGCCGTCCGGGGTAAAGTGGAAGGTTGCATTCCATCAACACAAGGGCGCGTTCGCCGAGCGCGAGCCGGTGGTGACGCGATCAACCTTGTCAAGAGGCTTGTCCGAGACAGGCGCGGAGCAACGTGTCTCACGGCTGTGTTGGCAATGAAGCAATCCACGGGATCGTGTCTCGAGTAGAGTCAAACACGCAATCGCTGTGAAACGGAAAAAATGTCGCCCACAGGCGCGAATGAGTGAGAGCAAATGGAATGACCAGCCCCTTTACTCTCTCCACAAAGTTAAGTTGAGTCTGCCACTATGTTCGCGCTATTGGCAACTAAATTAGCTTGCCAAGACAGCGTAATGCCTGAGTGCCTGAGGGCGAGTCTTAATCAGCGTCTTACTGGTGACACAATCAATCGGGATGGGGCAGCTTTCAGGGATTAGATGCGCCCTAGCCCAGAAATGGGATTTGTGCTGGGGGTGATATTCAGCTGTCCAGGATCAAGCTTAAATTGAGTCGCGCTATTGGACAATCTCACCGCTGTATTTACCACCAAAAGACAGCCCGGAAGCACATGGGAGGTGAAGCCCATTGAGATCATAGAAAAATCCTCTGTCAATATACCTCCGTTTCTCTTTCAGGATCGGTATTTTATTCAAGAAGGTCAGGGGGTATCCCCTATTAAATAACGTGCGTGTACCGCAGCCCTCCTTGCCCTAGCTTGGGGCTAGCTTGGTTAAACCCTACTTTAACACCCACTATTATAAATATCGGGAAACCCGTCGTTTCAATTTTAGCCTGAATCTCTTCCTAGTTACGGAGTATACTACCAGAAGTTGTAACTAAACCAGAACTTGGGAATCAAATTCAGATATAGCCAATAAGCGCATGTGGTGAGAATACCCCTTGGACTCAACGCGTGGCTCTTGACCTATTTTAAAAGAACAACGGGTAAGTACCCATCAGCCTATTGGGTCCCCTCTTGTTAAGGCTCTAGCGCACGGGCCGCTATGTTTATTCTTTGTGCCGCAGTGAGCTTAGAAATGGCATAAAATCAGATGAGAGTACTATAGGCGCTTTCATTTGATATAAGTTTTGTGTTGTTGTGCGCGGCGGCGTTGACTGTTCTATAGTCAGAACGTTCATGAGGCCGCCCGTATGCCGGCCCATCAACTAACTCTACCACGAATTCTACGAGTACCGGACGAAAGAATACGGGCCTTCTTGGCTGGGATGCAAACGATAAACTTGGGAGCTGGGAATAGCTTAGCGCGTCTGGCCCTATAAGGTTAGTCCTCCCAGGCGGAATTTCATTCCTTCATGGCCTCCCCAAATTCAGGGCTGAGATTCGGCAGCCAATACGGAGTCCCGACTTGCTAGATTAGACGACTAGGGACTATCAAACGAGAAGAAGCAAGTCTCAGTTCAACTATCCTTGATCCTGATAAGCCAGCCGGAAAATCACAGCCACAGTGCGATTCTCTGGGCTCAAAGTCCAGCTGAGTACAGTTCATGGATGGATTGGGACTACAACTTACCTAGAACGGAAGAAGCCGCAGGAAGGCGTCCGGTGTGGCTTGTGAAGCAGCGGAAGGGTGGCGGGTGGCAACAGCATTTTGGGGGCGTAGCCTTGCGCCCGTGAGAACTAAACAGACAGGGCTGGTTCATGAACGAAAGCTGCTTCATCTACACAAGGTAGTGAGTGTTGGCTGTTGGGATATCATTGTCAAATGTTGAAGAACAGATGGGCACGCCAATTTGATTCGCCCGCGGCTGGTACGGGAACCTGCAGGTTGGAGTCGCCAGTGGTGTTTAATATCGCCGCTCCATCACGTATGGCCCACTCTCCCGTCTTGAACTCAAGACAGATCGTGTGCCTTTTGGCTTCGCCTAGTCGTGTGACACAAGGCGCCTGCTGGAACTCTCCCGGATCAGCACATTCCAAGTCGAGTCTCATGATCCCTATGCCTGAAGTGTGCTAGCCGTACCCGAGCGCTTTGACATGTCCCGAGGCACTGGCTAAAGTGTCTCGGTATCCTCTTGCGCGTGGGTTCAGCCTTGTGTGCCGTCGAGATGGTCCGTCGGGTCTTGGTCAAACGCCACGGCTTCACATCATTCACCTTCCTATTGACCGGACAAAGGTGTCCTCCAATTGTTTTCTCTCGATCTGTTGTCATCGTGCGTGCAAAATATATCATCACGTAGCCCTCAACGCCACCTCTACGGTCTGGGCTCGCCAACTTGTGTTCCTCAAACCACCACTAACGAGTGCGTGTCTGCCATGGCGCCTTCATTTGGCAGATCACCTAGGACGCCATGTTGTCATCGTCATGTTGTATACTGTCCAGGGCCGCAAGGGCAAATAGAGTGGCGCCGCCTAGCCCCGGGGGTATTCGAATCCGATCGCTCACCACCAATGACAGACAGAACTCGACGGTGACTGTCTCCCAACTTTGCTGGGAAGCCGGGACTTGCCGGAGGCGTGGAATAAGCACATTTCAAAGCTCACTATAAAGCAGCAGCTAAGGCCAGCGGGACATTTCGAGTCCCCCAACACAAACATTGCTTCGCCCAGACACGTCCAGAATTCGATGCTTGCCCACACGGCTCTCAGATGCCGTATGGATGACGACAAGCCAATTCACTTCCATCACAACATCAATCACGCAACTCGATTTCGCGTCTTAATTCGCGTCTTAAGAGTTCCCTGATTGAAATCTCGATAACCTGGCTCACCATGGATCAACAAGCGCATTTGGTGAACGACTCGATAGGAATACGAGCCTTAGCCATCGTGGGCTCTATCTTCGCAGTTAGCGTTATCCTCTACATTCTGAGGATTTACGTCCGAGTGATTCCGAGATATCAGCTCGATGGTTCTGACTATTGCGCCTCATTCGCACTCGTAAGTAGCACGCCCACCGTTCCATCTCAACGAGGACCAGCTGAGAACCCGTTGCGCAGCTCGCAGAGGCCATCACATTTTCCTTTTTCGCTGCGGCCGTTGCGTTTGGATTGGGTCGTCACAGCGTCTTTGTATCCCCGGAGGACGGCGCTTGGATACTGCGCTGTCTCTTCGCAATCGCAGTCACGGGATTATGGGCGTCTGCTCTGGCAAGAATCTCCGTCATTTACCTCCTTTTGACACTCTCCACATGCCGTGGTGGTGCTAGATTCATCCTCTGGAGCATGTTCGTTCTTCAAGTCGGAGCACTGGTCGTCATGGAAACCTTGACACTGCTCCAATGCCGCCCCATTCATGCAATATGGGACCATGTCCCCGATGCACACTGCCTGAGCATCAAAACCATGCAGGCTGGTGGTTATCTTTACACTGGTAAGTTCTCACAACATGGGAGCGCAGTTTTAAGCAAGGCGAACTGACCGTGATTAAAACGAAAGGAGTCGGCATCCTTGGCGATTTGGTGTTTGCCATAATGCCCATCGCTTTGATCTGGAACCTCAACCGGTCTAAACTAGAGCGGTGTCTTGTCTCGTTTTTGCTGGCATCGGGTCTTTTCGCCACTGCAGCTGCAGTAACCAGGCTTTTTTACATCAAAACATTCGATTTTACCTCTTCCGACATCTTCCGCGACATCATGCCCACATTCTTTTGGTGCCGTATTGAGGAAATTGCCTTGATAGCGGCATCCTCCCTGCCGTTTCTCAAAGCTCCAACTGAGAATCAATTGCGCAAGTTGGGTTTTGCAGGTTTTCGAAACATCCAGATGTCACTTCAGTCATATCACTCCCAGTCACCATCCAGCAGCAGCCGCAGGTGCGAGTTCATTTTGCGAGAAGAAAGGGTATGCGAGTCGAGTAAAAGTGATCGGGATGTGGAAGCCGGTGGAAGTGCGTCTAGTAGTACGGCGGGAAGTCATTGAGCATAAAAAGATAAAAAGACTCGAAGCCGGGATGATCCTGAGAAGTAACGTCTTAGGTCTGTTCAACTGCGACACATACATGTCGATTTCCATACAAGCAATATCTCTTATATATTATTTCTCTTCTTCAATTAAGTCTAGGGCCGCACGCGGGGGATTAAACGATGTGCACTCATCTAACTTCTGTCTGCCCCCTTAAGATGAATCAGTTGCCAGTATCAAGAAAGTGCCGCTAGGTTTACATTGGGTACTATTTAGCCTATTGGTATACCTCACGGTTATGTCCGGGTACTCGATCTGGGGTGGATGTTCGTATCCTTTCACGTCCGAGAGGTCCCCTTGACATGGAGGCGGAAATAACGACTTTTCGAGCTTCCAGCTACTATAGCTATAAGAAGCTTAGGGTGTTGTAGCTTGTGCAGATATGCTTATATAACAGATTTTATTTGCACCTTAGCTGTGCAAGAACGGCTCGCCGGGTATCCCTCAGGTTGTGTAGGACCTCTTGAGACCCCGCACGCTATGTGAGTCACGCCGGCCACATGTCTCTTTTGTCTGAATGTTCTCGAAATGGGCCTTGAGATCAACATATCACAACAAGATCACAGTACGAGATATAAATAAAAGCTGACCTGAGGGATCGTCGCTGAATATCAACGGAAGCGACAATTTGACATCCGATATTCTCTTGCACCATGGACAATAACGAGCTTGACCATGGCCGGCCGCCGACGCCTCCCCATCACCCTACCGCAGGTGTTCGCGTACTCCGCCAAGAGATTGAAGATATTGTCAAGTTTGGGCTGCCAGACTATAACTTAGTATCCATCTCGCAGATTGCATCCGGAAAGTCCTTCAATAACCGCATATACTTTCTGCAGCTAAAGCACTCTGTGGACAAAGCCTCGTCATCACCAGGCACCTTATCTCAGCCAGAGCAGGTCGTCTTAAAGGTCAACGGGCGTTTCTTTGGGGCCAACAAGATTAAAAACGAAGTATCTTGTCTCCGGCTTCTCCAGAGATACTGCCCCGACGTCCCGTCGCCGCGTGCCCTGGCCTGGTCCGAGGATGGACATGTAGCGACTTATGCGACCTCATCTCAGACAAGGACACGCCTCCTTGATATACCACCAGGCGTAGAAAAGCTTAAGCATGGCGGGTGGATATTAATGTCGCATATTCCTGGAAATCCAATGCCAATCGCCGACCTGAACGACGCGACCCTCACAGACCTGGCCAAGCAGCTTGGCGATATCGTCGCGTGCTTGCGACGAGACATTCCTCCTCAAAAGCGCTGCGGAAACATTCGTCTCCCACAAGGAGGCATTGAAGAGCAAAGTGTGCCTGTAGCAGACGGCACAGCTCTAACCATCCGCGACATCATCCAAGACGGCATCGAGGTCGACGAGCCTATCACCACTGCCAACGAGTACTACCGGGTGAGGTTGGTGAATAAACTGCGAGAACTCAAAACCACCGATGTCTACGCCCCAAATAGATCCCTAATCGAGACGATCCGTGCTTTCATATCCGATCAGCTCCCGCACCTCGAGCTTACTGACGGCGACGGCATCCCTCCCGGCGAGTTCGTCCTGACGCACTACGACCTCTCCGCGCGTAACGTCCTCGTCTCGGGCCAGCCGCCCCGCATCACTGGTCTGGTCGACTTTGAATTCGCAGGCTTCTTCCCGCCCGTCGACGAGTTCCTGAACGACGACGTTGTCAACGAAGGTGGGGAGTGGCCGCGTGAATTTTACAAGGCATACTTGGCGCGCCTGCACGAGAATGGGATCGCGACGCCAGTGCGAGGGTTTGACCCATCTGTCTGGAAGCGCAATTGCTGGCTTGAGAGGCTTGTTGGGGGCATCGCGCCGTGGTACTTGCCGGGCGGCTGGAAGGGAGAAGAGTTGCAGGCTAAGCTAAGAGAGGCAGAGGCGGATGTAAGAGAGGTGTTAAAGAGGCTTATTATGGATTACGATGAATATAAGGAGCGGAGACTTTTGTGAAGAATATTAAGTCACCGAAAAAAGGTTTGCTAAATATTTGGTTCAGTTTTCATCTAGCATACAGTAAATTTTAAAAGTAATGTGAGATGTACTCATTCATACCTACAGGATATCGAGGAATTATACAAGCATTCAGTCAAATCAATTTCTTTCTTTGATGATATGTGAAAGGGTTGCATTTGTTGTCTTCAAACTATCGTAAGGTCGTCAAAAGGGACATATTTTAGCGTTTGAATGCTAGAATGCTGAGTGAAGAGTCTAGTTTGGGTAGTGAGAATCAGGCCAGTCCGACAAAGAACCTGCTGGCCCCCTTGCAATGAGGCAGACGGTACCTTGGCAAGTGAATACAAACAGGCTAAATACGTATTTGTTGGTATGCAAAATAGCCGGCATAATCCGGGTAATCGGCTCCAAAAGGCCATTTCATATATATCAAGCGATTTGACTTGTCCTTTCGGCTGGGCATGTCTCGGCAGAAATCGAAGTTAGTAACACTCCTCGCATTGCTTATTCCTTCGAAATCCTTTGTGGTTTCTATTGTAGTCTCACTGTGGTGTAATGCGTGGGAAATCTCAGCAATCACTCTACAGTTCGTCTTGTCCGCGTCAGTGTATCCAAAAGCAGCTCCGTGTCTGCAGCGGTATACGACGCGGTCTCCACTTTACTGCAGGTATGGAAAACGGTGAGCTAAACTGTGCGTCTTTATCTTGCACAATTGGTGCCTGCCAGGGGCGTATGGTGTATTGACGACCCCAATTCGCTCGGGTAGTTATGCACCAAGGCTCGACGCATGCCAGCTTTAGAATGCCCCACCAGAAGATATGCGGACAGGGGAAGGGGAGTTGTATCTACCTACCCTTCTGGGGTCTGGGATACGCATGCTATCTGTCGTCAAGTCGTAATATGCCGCGCAATACCTCACTGATCACCAACTTCGGCGGTTGTTTGCCAGTGCAGTTTGCAAGACTTAAATTTCGGTGTCAGGTATTAGGATACACTGTTCTAGTGTTTTGAAACGAAAACACCGCTGCTTTTTCTGCGTGAACGAGGGGTCCGAATACTCTCAAACAATCACTCCCTTCAGCCGAGACCCCGCATCTTCAACTACCAACTGCATAAAATGTTGGCTCTGTAGTGGCATGATCTGCGCCTCACCGCCGAGCCAAACCATGGTATTGTTGCCAATCACATGTTTGCCCTCATTCCACCAACCGGCAACGCCTTTCCCCGTTCTTTCGCAGGTTATAAATCCGACGTGAGCTTTGCGGAATGTTTGGACCAAACTAATTGAACCATCACTTTGGATCTCGGTCACAGCCATGGGAGGTCCCCGCCCCGAAGATGAGGTTCACCGTCCCCCCGACCAGAGGATAGACGTAAACTGACCCGAGCCAGCTCATTGGCGGCGACGATCATGAATCAGTCCTGGAATCAGTAAATGATACCACCACTCTAGAGAAGATAGCGGGCAGTTGCTGACGTAACTTTCTCCAGGAGGCTGCCTCTTCTACCGATAGTCTGACAAGCTCCATAATGGACTACAGGCGGGAAAACGGAAGAACATATCATCGGTACAAAGATGGGAGTAAGATACTTCTTTTGTGTCCCTACAGGAGTTTACTACTTGCTAATATGTGACTCCAGAGTATAAGCTGCCCAACGACGACAAAGAAAATGACAGGCTTGGTATGACGAACAGCCGAATTATGTGTCTCTTCCATACGCTAATCGGTTCGCCGAAGATCTACAACATCATTTGTTTCTTCTCAGCTTCAACGACAAGCTCGGTCTCGCCCCTCCAAACAATTCGCACATCCATCCAAAGCGGGTTCTTGACTTGGGAACTGGTACTGGCCTCTGGGCCATAGACTTCGGCGATGAACATCCCGAAGTCCATGTCAGTTGAAACATTCCTTGTTTTCCAGAGTTGGGATTAACTTCTCTTAGGTTGTTGGAGTTGACTTGTCTCCTATACAACCTAGCTTGTACGACTTGACCTGCCATTACCTAACCTTCTGAGAAACGCTAATGTACTATTCAGTGTTCCGCCCAACGTGGAGTTCTTTGTTGATGATATTGAAGAGACCTGGACTTATTCTAACAAGTTCGATTACATTCATAGCAGAATGATGACATCCAGTATTGCCAGCTGGCCGGACTATCTCCGTCAAATGTTTGAGTAAGCGAGAACCTGTATATGATCCTTACGACATTTAAATAACTCCAAGTTACACAGAAATCTCGCTCCGGGTGGCTACGTGGAGCTCCAAGAGATTGACATTGTATGCAAGTCGGATGATGGGACTTTAACCGATGATCATGCACTAGCCAAAACGATTAAGCTCTGCTGTGAAGCGGCTTTGAAGTTTGGCCGTGAATATCAAGAGTTTAAGAATCTCAAAGGGTTGATGGCCGAAATTGGCTTCGTCGACATTGTAGAGACCCATCTCAAGTGGCCGAGTAATACTTGGCCCAAAGACAAGAGGCTGAAGGAAATTGGATCTTGGAATAATGAGAACATGACCTCCGGTCTGGAAGCATTCACCATGGCACCATTGACTAGGGGCCATGGCATGACTCCAGAGGAGGTTAATTTACTTTTGGTCGACGTGAGGAGGGACTTGAACAACCCGGCAATACACGCCTACTGGCCTGTGTACGTATTCCTTCTATCTATTATTCGCCGACCTAAACTAACGCCATTATAGCTATTCGCTCTATGGCAAAAGACCGGAAGTTCAACTCTCTGGATAACTCAATTCGGAGCGATCGAGGCCATCTTGAAGTAGAACAGTGTGGTGATTTTTAAATCCCGAGAATGATTCAATTGTTAAAATCGTCACAAGACAAAATCTGTCAGACAATGCGAGAAATAATAGTGAAACTTTCAATTTGGGTCATAATATGTGTCAATTTATCATTTCCAGATAACAACTGGGCATCTGATCCTGGGCAGACTAGACTGAAGAAGACATCGATCTGGATCGACCTCGGTCATCACGCCGACATCACGCCAAACCAAGTCGGGGCGCAACTGGAATTGTCGGGTCGTCCGGGGTCTGGATATATTAAAGCCACGGAAATCGAATCTCATCGACGCCACTTGTCTAGTCCCTTATCTGGATTTTCGGGATCCGGGTAGTAGTGTCGGATTTTCAGCGCTGCACAACCACAACGAGATGATTGCTGCTGCGCCGCTACACAAGCAAGAAGATAAGACGTACCCGCCGATGAGACATAATTCCAAGAAATTCACTCTACCCGAATCTTTATTGGTATCTATTGAAATCACGATGTACTAAAACCAATATGTGATAGCGTGATCGTGTTGCTAGCGAGTGTAGGGTAATTCTCATCGAATATTGCTGCGCAAAAGCTGTACAAAGAATGCGTATTGGGACCTGGTGAAAAGATATCACTATATGATCTATTCATGTCCTATATTCCGGTCAAAGCCACTAATATTACCCTTCCACCTCGCTGCCTAACCTCGTCCTGAAGTGCGCAGTCCTTTCAGGTAGCTCTGTAGCCCTTCAATTGCATCTCTTCTGATCTCAACCGAGTGTTCAATCATTTCTGTTTAGACACATTGGCCGCTGCTTCAGAGTCCTCTACCTAGAGTTAGTTTACTACGGGTAGCATCAGACGCAAATTCTCTTGTGTATTGCATAAATGTGTGTCCCTTATACTCCCGAATGTGATGAGGAACAGGTTGATCGAAGAAGCAGACGCGGCATATTTCAAAGGGCTGATGGAACTGTGAACATAGTAGTTCAGGATGCCGGTCGGTTCTGGTCTCAGGTCTGCCTTAAGCTGTTGGCCTCACTTGCCAGCCTTTGACGCATCGTATTCATATCAAGGCACCACTCCTTCATTTCAGACAGAGGATCTTCTTACAATATCTCAACATCAGGTCAATCGACAAAGATGGAGCACCCCGACCACTCAAGGTTATCATTGTTGGTGCCGGATTCGGCGGACTAGTAGCGGCCGCTGTTGAATGCTCTGAACGGGGAATGGATGTGACATTGTTGCGCTATACCCCGATGCAAATTCGATCTCCGTCTCTGTGTCGTGTTCCCTTATACTACCTTCACTAACAAGTACAGCCATTGCATTCAAAAGAGTTCCGAACTTGGCTAATTCCTCAATTAAACACAATTGTTAAACACAGTCTAAACTTGTGTATTTCTACTTTAATGATCTGTACCTTGACCTCCGCTTGAAGACACCCAACCAACCAAGTCCCGTGAAGTTCAAGATAACACCAAAATAGACCAGGGGTATTACTGTAGAGATCCTCGAGTTCATCGAGCTGCTGCTACATCAACATCAAACTCGGCCATCCCGGGACCGTGAATTATCTCACTGCGTCCATCGGGCAGGTTGACATAGATAGGCAACTTTATATCGCTATCCAGACCTGCTTCGAGCAAGAACTCTACGGACAGGGTCACCTTCACTTTGGCATTTCCTTCGTCCGTGGTCCATCGTACGTTGGCAACTCTGGACCCCGGCGTTCCTCCTATTGGCACCCTAACGTCTAATGTTCGGAACAGCTTGAGCCGAGGCTTGAAGGAGACGGCTGCCCAGCCTGGCGCGGCTGGCTTAACTCCAGCGACTTCGGCCATAAACTCGTAGAGCGGCAGACTGCCCCAGGCGTGGCAGTCGGAGCGTTGAGATACGTTGTCTTCGACCCAGGTGGTGACATTTTGCGCTAGTTGAGCCCGCCACTGGTCCCAAAGGCGACTGAAATGCGCGTCATAAACGCCTCTTCCGACTTGTGATAAAGCTCGAAAGGTGTAGAATGACATTGCAGTGGACGTAGGAGTGAAGATCCGGTTCTGTGAGCTCAATATCGACCTCGTTCCTGTTGGGTCAGAATCTGAGCGTAGGTCTGTTTGCGTCTCTGCAGTGGCCAGTGACTGGGTCAGAAGACTCGCGCCTCTCTCATCAGAGACTGCTCCACATAGAACTGCCCACACTTGGTTGTGCTGGCTGTAGTCTGTCGACTCAGCTTGTTTTGCAAGGCCGTCTGTGAAATAATGACCATCAAAGCAATGATCTCGAATAGCTCGTACGATGGCATCCGCTCGCGTGTTGTATGTACCTGCCAGATCTTCTCGGCCAATGTCACTCAGCATCGCAGCCAGACGCTTAAGAGTGTAGGCATATAGAGAATTGGTAAACGTCTGAAAGCCAGTTCTTCGCGCAGCCGGTGGGATCCCGAAGGGTTTCCACGCGTCGACCCAGTCGACAAAGTCCCACTGATCTGGGGCCTCAACACTACATACTAGGCCAAGTTCGGCGTCGATACGGCTGTTGAATGTCTCCAAGACGGCATGGCTCACTGACAGGAACTTGCTGATATAGCTCGCATCTCCGAAATAGTCGTAGTGGTCTACGAGCATGCAGACCCAAAATAGTGAAAAGTGAGGGATAATCTGGAGATGATGCGCCGGTGCACGACTGGCTGTCAGACCAATCGCCGGCTGGAAGGAATTATGCAACTGCATGATAGCCTGGCGAGCGAGGCGGTCATCGCCAGAGACATAATAAGTAAAGAGTGCAGAGCTTCGCGTGTCCATTGCGTATTGTAGTTGCTCGTAAAAAGGGCAGTCTTCATAGCAATCGTGCATGCAGTTGATAAGGGTCCGAAGACTGACGGTCCATAGATCTCTAGCCCACAAAGCATCGGCTGGCGGATTGAATTCTGCAGTTACTTGTAGAGGGTAATTTGTCTTGGTGATGTCGATCCGCTGGAGGACAAGGTCCGCAGAACTTGCAACTTCGATATCCAAGGCCATGAACCGAAATGTACGGAAGTGAAATGGAGCAAAAGACTCTTCATGTTCTTCCGTTTCGTAGTGCTTTATGGCTGCACCGGGTTCAAGAGGCCCAACAAAGACGTAGCGGTCTCTGGGCCCGAATAAGCTCTTGGAGGTGTCACGGCGATCACCTTTTGCACGAACATATGGCAGTTGAACCGGCTCGTCCTCGTAGCATTCAGAGTATGTGACGGACAAGCTGCTTCCACCAGCTGCTGGTCTCAAAAACTGGAAGGCCATGTAGGCGGTTGTGTGATGTTCGACCTCGAGCTCGATATGATGTACAGTGCCAGCGGGAAGTAAGACACTCGTGTCGGCATTCTGTTCTTGCGGCTGCAGAAGTATGTTCTCCCAAGATGAGCGAGGTACAGAACTGCGTATGTTGTGGACAGCCTTGAGGGCAGCTAGTTCCAGGTGCGGATATGGAATCAACCGCGGTGATAGCCTCCATGGTGTGGTGAGCCCAAACGAGGTCAGGAACTTGTGCGAGACTGCGGACACCCATATGGGATACTGGTAACTCCGCCCATCTATGTCCTCGAAGACGTGAAGAAAATCATCATCTTTCATGTCATTGGGCAACCTAGCTGATATGTCGATGCTTGTCTCCCAAGACTCGTCGGTGTGGATGTCAAAGGTCCGCACATCAGCATGGCCTGATGGAACGTGCCTGACGAGAAGTCCGGGAAAGGGGGTTCTTGGGAAACTTGGAGCGAACCGGCTGGCGTAGTAGAAGCGCAGCACACGAATAGCGACATGGTTCGTGCCAGGTTGCAGGTGTGGCTGGATGTCCAACTCGTCGAAAAACCAGGCCTGCTGGTCACCCTTGACCGGACCGGCATGGACAAAGCGAGAGTTGATGTAGAGCTTGTACCTGGTATCGGCCGAGACCTGTATTCTAACGGGATTTTGGGGGATGTGATCAAGGACGACCTCCTTTCTGAAGTTGACGAAGCCACCCGCATACGACGAGGATGGATCTTCAACCCAGTCCGGATGCCATATCCAGGTTGAGTCAAAGTTCATGGAAGACATGGGGCAAGAAACCGAGGGTAAGTTGCAAGTTACTGCGAGGTAGACTACTTGAAGCGGAGGACTAAAACGCGTGATATCCGGGTCTTAAATAATAGCCTAAAGCGTCGATGGCAAGCAGCCCACTACCCACAACTCGGCGAAGCACACCAACGCAGTTAGGTTAGAGCCCAGACAAGACACAGAGTGGTCAGCCCCACGCTCTTTCTGGGATCTGAATTGCCGGCCTGGCATCCCGCATGACCTCCGCATTTGCCATGGGCGGCTGTATGCCGAGGTCGCTAATTTTGGGCTCTGCATGGATCTTAAGTTAGTCTGCAGTAGTCTCAGGAGCGTTCGGCATGGCACGTCGATCCCGGTTTTGGCTAGGACCTTCTAAAGGCTTGTGGAACCACAAATGTATGAATGACGGCGTGACTTGTAGAGCTACCTAACGGATCATCGGACCGCATCTTTAGGGAGAATCCGTACTTTTCATAGCTTTCTAGCTGGATAGCATGTGCCGAATTGGCCTCGGCGAAACGAGGAAGAGACCGCACGCCTTGGGGTCTGGAATCTACGGATGTACGGGAGTTGACGGAGGCCACTGTATTTCCGAGTTCCGAACTTGACGACTCCTGCTCTCGGTTCTATTTCACCCGAGTTTTGTCGAGAGAAAATATGTTTTACACATTAACAACGGACCACATTGCTAAAAAAAAAAGAGCAATTAACTCAAAAGTGTAGACTATACTCATCAAGTAATTCTACATAATAGACTACCACCAGATCGCCAGCTTAAGCCGGTGACTCCAACCGCACAATCCACTGAAGATACATCCTGGCATCCGCACTCTCAGCACCCCAATACCTAAGCGCAGTCTTGAATTTCTGCATGTGCTGCTCCCACGACGGAGATAGGTTAAGATCAGGCACCGAAGCCTTCGCTGTGGCAATGAGCTCCAAAGCCGCACGTGCGCAGTAGCGGATGCCGAGCCAGGTCCCAGGATGGCGGTGCGTAGTCAAACCGTGGATCATGAGGTATTCGTTGATCTGGAGCGCTTTGTTGGCGATCTCGGCCGCCTGGGCTCGCAGCGCTGCGGATAGCTCGTCGAGGTTGCCGTGGAGGATGAAGTGGAGGGCCGGCCTGCTCAAGGTGTGGCGGATGATGACCATCCGGAGCCGCAGGTACTCTCGCAAGTCGTCGGAGCAGTGGCCGGACTCGTCCATCTCCAGGGTGATGGAGTCCGGAAGATGTAAGGAATGATCGACGATTTGCTTGTCCAGATCCGACAGGGTGACGAGGATGTCTCGATAGAATGATTCGCGGGCTTCGACGGACGGCTCCGGTTGCTTGACCTGCTCAGTTGCAAAGAATGCATCGATTCTAATCTCTAGCTTGCGGAGTGAAATGTCCGTCAAATAGTAGAACCAGCTCTGCTCGTGCTGAGCGGCCGTCAAAGCCGGACCGTCGGACACGCCGGGCGTCCAAGGGTGGGACGGCCGCAACTTGGCCATCTCGCCCGCCAGGTAGGGCTCTGAGTCGGGCATGAGCGACGGGAGGCTTTCATACTGGATGAGCTGCAGGTTTGCGATCTCGAAGCCGAGCTCCGTGGCGATTTCTCTGCGGATAGATCAGCAGGAGACTCAGCATGAAGAACAATAAGGTGGATTCGAACCTCTCTGTCTTGACGCAGCTCCAGAACAATTTACGATACGAATTATCCGGAACTTCCTTTGCGTTTCCGAGGGCGTCGTTCATCATGGCCGACTCCCCCACCGTCTTCATCAAGACGTTCTTGCACATCAAGCTCGCCGCGTTCAGGCATCTCCACGCCGCCAAGGGTTTGAAGACGGTCACGTAGTAGCCGGCGGTCAGGAAGAAGCACTGCGCGCCGGTGATGCTCGCATGGCCCATCACCAAGCCAAGCCTCTTGCGGCCGGCGTCGAAGTACTCGCGGCTGCGCAGGTACTGCTCGGCGTCGATTGACGGCTGCGAATAGTCTTCCAGCCGGCTGTTGTCATACGGCGTGCAGATACCGCCCAGCGCGCAGGCAATCAGCTGTTCTAGCCATCAGCAAACCATGGCGGCTAGAGGCGCTGGGGGATGTAGATGCACAACGTACCAGCAGGCACGTAGCGGCATCCCAGCCAAGACCTTCCTCTTGGACCAGTGCGATCTGGCTGTAGAGAAGGCGGGTATCAATTAAAGGTTGCTTGGCGTGGATGTGCTTGATAAACTCGTCGACAAGCCGCGTCATTTCTGCCTTGTCGTCGAGGGCTCCACGAGACGGGGCATGCGCGCCGTTAAGATGCGGAGGAAGACGCAGCGATGCACAACGGGGATCGGCATGGAGGCCTACAGGGTCTGTCTCGTCGTCCATATCGACAATCGACGTCAGAGGCACCTGTAAGAGATGGTAGGGACGCAGGCTCGGCCAGGCCAGCGTAGACTCGACGGATGAGAACCACCATGACCGCGCCGATTCAGGACTATGCTGGCTGGATGGAGGAAACATGGGTTGGGTGCCGACCGCAGAACGCCGCAGCTGAGCAAGGATTGTGGGAAGAGAGCTGTAATGAAAGCAGGGGGGTTGGCGATTGCAGTTTGAGTTGATGTCTCAGGACAATGATTAGGCGATTAGCACATCATGACCCTTGTCCTTGAGATCACATGGGCCCGGAGTGGGAGCGAATTAGCGTATTTTTGGCGGAGTTCACTAAAAACCCAGTCTTGGAGAATCTACCGAGTTCTTGTCGAATTGACAAGCACATTATCCTCGTCTTTCATTTTATTGTTTTCATATACTGAGGAATATGAAATACATAATTCAAGTCCATCATATCATATAGATCAGAATCCCATGTCAAAGCCGCTGAGCACCTTTCCGCACCGCCAGATGCTGCTCCCTTCCTCTTGCGACAACAACACCATGGCATGGCCCCGAACTAGGTCCCGCCACTCGACGGGCATCGTCAGCGTACGACAGTGGGCATACTCTACCTCTCCACGAAGAGCTCTCGCTTTGGCGTAATGCGCCGCCAGCAGCGCCAGGCACCCCGCGTACGCGAACCGATGCGACAGCTCCGCTTCGAGATGGTGACATGATGGCTCGGCGGTGGCAAGTTGGGGTGGTGATGGCTGGCTTGGCCAGAGATCCTCGCGCTGCCACTCGTCAAGGTGCAGCCGCAGGACCTGGGCCGTCAGTGAGATGCACTCACCCGCAAGACCTGCCACCTCATCCAGGATGTATTTGTGCGAGTGAAGTGCTGAGCCAGCGCTGGAGTTTAGGCTTTGCAGCAGGCGCGGCGAAAGGTGGAGGTGCAGGCACATGCGCAATACGAGTGCTGCAAGCTCTCTCTGGCGAATGTCTTGGGTTGCCGCAGCAGGGGGTGTTTGTCCGGGCTGAGGCTGCTGGGGATCTATATTGGGCGGCGTGCTGGCGTGTGCCAGATGGTCCAGTCGCGATCTACAATCCGCAACATGATCAAGCAGCGAATACAGTTCGTGCCAGCTGGAGATTGACGGCGTGGAAGTCAAGATTTTGTTGACATCTTTTCGGATGGAATGTGTCTGTTGTAGATTTGCAATTATGCTGGGAACGGAGTCCCCGACTAGAAGGTCGTTGTTGGGCGGGCTGGCAAGGAGCGCATCTCTCAAGTAGTCTGGAGGGATCTCACTGTCAACGACCCCTCGGCCGCCAAGCGGAGAGAGTCCCAGCTCAATATCTAGACGTCTGTATCAATTTAAGCAGGGCTATTGCATTACCGTGATCGATGTGAAGGGATTAGGATCTTACTGGAACAGATCAGTGCAGAGGAGATGCACAAAACTCGCAAGCACCCTCTCTTCACCCATCATGTTGGGACCGAGCCCTTGGCTGCTCGCACTCTCGGCAGCCCGGTGGAACATGTTGCGAGCCTTGGTTGGCGCGCAGTTCTGCAAATGCCAAAAGCCCGCTAGACACAGACATTGCGCAGTGAGGAGACCGGCAGGTGTGTCCAGCGCCCAGCCGAGTCTCCGCTTCGCCATGGTCCAGTACTGATATGCGGACTGGCGTGACGCAGGCGCACTAGGCGTGGCGGCTGAAAAGAGACTATGCATAGTAGAGTGCGCGGTCGGGGGAGTTCCGTCGACGGCTAAACAGTCGCATAACGAAGCGATAGCACAGACTAGAAAGACGAGGCAGGACTCGGCGGTCCAGTCGCCGCCATTCTCAGCCACGTCAAGGATGTAGCGAGCGAGGCGAGGTCTGGTGATGACGGGATATCGAGTGAGGAACTTGCGCTCGAAGCGTTGCCGCAAGCGTTGGAGGTTATGGATGGATGTGTCGGCGCTGGCCTTGGATTGGATGCTTCTCTCCGGCTCATAAGCGTCCCTGGCATGGATGCGGTCCTCGGGTGGGTTTGGCAGCTGAGCTCTCAGTACATCCCACTCCAGGATAGACTCTGCACCTGGCACTGCGATGAACCCATCTTGGCCTCGGGTTTGGAGCCTAGCACTCCACTGCTGGATCGGCAGGACGGAATGCCGATCCGTGCCGATGTCCAGTCTCGCGGCCGGGGCATTGCTGGGCGATTGGCTAGAGGAATCGCCTGGCCCGCGTGATGCGGAGAGGATCTCATTCTTTGCTAGAGAGAGAGCGTCGAGAATCTGATTGCCCCATTCGTCCAGACTAGTCGAGGGGTGTTAGTCCAGACTCCCAATCTCAGAGATTCAAGGCTCACTCACGGACTCGTCTGGCTGTTCTGGCCTCGCACGCAAGTTTGCCGGCGCTGCTGGCACCACGTACACGTCGGGAACCCAACGCAGCGAGTCTTGCGCAGCCTGCACGCTTCACACGCGAGCCCCGTCCGCGTGGTGGGCGCATCCGGGGCCACATCACCGGGGCCCGCGGACGAGCCGGCATCCGGGCGTGTGGCGCGCTTTCTGGACGCCGGCGACGCGTTGCTGGCTGCCATGCTTCGGGGGGCGTCCACGTGAAGAAGGCGTTCGAGTGCCGCTCGGGGGAGAAACGGCCGGTTCGGCGCAGGAACGGGCGAAACGGGAGAATCCAGTACGCGTGGTTGTTGGTTGCAGGTGGAACTAGTCGAAGGCGTCGGGGATACTCCCCGAGATATAACTTTATTGCAGACGGCGAGACGCGATGCCCCGCTTCCCCGTCGCACCCCTAGCGCGCCTTCTATTAGTGGGATATCCCTATTAGGCTATAGCACATGATAAGCCCATGAAGCCCATGAAATGCATAGATTCCATCGGGTCCCATACTTTTAACACCTTCCCCATCTCCACCCCCGCATGCTAATTACCTTGGTACTGTCACTACCGCGCGAGGCAGGTACGTACTACGTGACACGAGACTCCTACCCCAACTTTGGCAAGCAGTGCCGTTCGCCGTCGCTCTTCAAACACTCCTCCTAACTGGCCTGGGTATAGACGACTCACTTATATATAAAGCTCACACTTCTACCTCGAGAAGACACGTCTCTCATCCCCATCAACACCAATTCGCTTCGACATTTTCTGCTCCCCCTTTTTAGCAACCAACAGCATCAATCATCGCCATGCATCAGGACAACAAGCCTGAAGTCGACATGGTGGAGAAGGGAGACAAGATGCCCTTCGCCAACCCTCACGACTCCACCACCATGTCTTTCAAGCAGGCTCTGAAAGATAACCCCAAGGCCATGATCTGCAGCTTTCTCATGGCCATGGGACCACTAGCCTTTGGCTTCGACATCATCATCGTCGGCGTCGTCACTGCCTTTCCGGCCTTTCTGTAAGTTGTAACACTCTCTCCGGACCCTACTGCTCTTCAAAACCCTCTAACGCACCCGCCCAGCCAGAGATTCGGCGACCTCCACGACGGAAGTCTCTTCCTACCGTCCATGTGGCTGTCTCTGTGGAACGCCTCCATGCAGATCGGATTCATGATTGGTTCCCTCATCAACGGCTGGGTCGCCGATCGCGTCGGACGCAAGCTCTCCATGATGGCCGGCGCCGCCATGACCGCAGCCGGCATCGCCGTCGTCTTCACCTGCGACCTGAGCGACAACATGGACCACCGCCGCGGCGCCTTTCTGGCCGGAAAGATCGTCATCGGCATTGGTCTGAGCATGATGGCCACCACGTGCCTGGTCTACAACTCGGAAATCATGCCGCCCAAGCTGCGAGCCGTGTCTCTGTCCTTGTTCCAATTCCAGCTTGTCCTGGGCCAGTTGATTGCCGCCGTCGTTGCCGGAAGTGAAATCTCCAATGGCTTCCAGATGAAGTCCTACCGCGTCTGCTTCGCCACTCAATGGGCCATGGCCGGCGCTGCCTTTGTCTCGGCCATTGTGGTGCCCGAGTCTCCGGCCTGGCTCCTCCGCCGCGACGACGTCGAGGGGGCCCGGAAAGCCTTCGGTCGACTGGTTGGGCCCACCAAGGTCGAGGCTGCCATGGTTTCTCTGCAGTCCACTCTGGAGCACGAGAAACAGGAGCAGAAGGACGCCGACGATGTCTCCTGGGCGGAATGCTTCCGAGGCCAGAATTGGCGCCGCTTGCGCATCATCATCTACGCCAGCATCGTCCAGCAATTCCACGGCCTCACCTTCGTCGCCAACGGCACTTACTTCATGATCATCGCTGGCCTCTCCCCAACCAACGCCATCACTGTTCTCGAGGTTGCCACTGGCCTGTCTCTGGCCGCCATCATGATTTCCTGGGTTCTGACCAACTATATTGGCCGCAGACGCTCCATCATCGGCTGCACGGCCTTCCTCGCGCTGGTCTGGCTTTCTATCGGCATCGCCGGCTTCTACTCGAGCCAAGCCGCCCTGTGGTACATGGGTGTCATGATCAATTTGGTCATGGTCTTCTTCAACCTCGGCGCTGGCCCTGTCATCCCCGTCATTGCAGCCGAAACCTCGACTGTCAGGCTGCGCGCCAAGGCCAACGCTATCGGTTTCGTCTTCAACGGTTTCGCCTCGTGTGCATTCAACGTCTTCGTTCCCTACATGTTCAACTCGGACGAGGGCAATCTCGGCGGCAAAACCGGCCTCTTCTTTTCTGGCCTCTGTATCATCGCCTGTGTGGTGCTCTTCTTTGAGCTGCCGGAGATGAAGAACCGCACCTATCTGCAGCTCGATGAGATGTTTGAGAACAAGGTCAAGACTCGCGATTTCCGCAAGTACAAGACCTCCAGCGGCAGCGTCCCGATTGAGATGTAGCCTTGTCGAGAAACGGATTTCAGAACCAATTATTTGCACGCTGCACGCCTTGATATTTGTTATTTTAGTCACGAGAGAATAAAGTCAGTTCGCTTTGAATCCGCTGTACCACCCAAACGCTGCGCCAAGTGCCCGTGGGGACTTGTCGCAGGACCTCATGGATGTTAATTTCTTGCATTAGCGTGACTGCGGATCAATCTGCCGGCTGCGATTGGGGGCTCGCTCGCGTACGGTGACACCTTAGGCGAACTGCGCAAAAATGCAAGAAAAATCGGAAATCGGAAATCGCAAATTGCTGGTCTATATTTGTAGGGCTCCAGGTTGTATATTGATAGGGCTCTACCCACCATAGCTCACTATAATATATGATATAGCTTGCAGGTTGTAGCTACGACAGCCCACTAGAAATATCACATATTATAGTGGGGTATAGTGGGTAGAGCTCTGTAAATATAGAACCTGGAGCCCTATAAATACACAGGCTGCAATTCACGAATTCTATTGTTGCACGTTTGCGCACCTTGCCTAGAATGCCACCGTATTCGTGCCCGTCTCAATCAAGTGTTCATCCGACTCGAATTGTCTCAAAATTGATGCTCGGCCGTAACTGACCTGCTACACATCGGTTGACCTGCAACAGCAAAGTCCCAAGAGAATGTCATACATAGATGTTAAGTAGCCAAACCATATTGAAACCTGAAGAGCTATTGACTTCGTACACTCTCCTCGGCGAGCTTACGAGACCAGTGCAAGCGGAAGGAGAAATCTCTGCACACCTCTGCAGTACCTGGGAACTCTGTTCTTTCTTTGTTCAAATTTGATATAAATAGCATCCTGGGCTAGATAGGCAGGGCACGGTCACGAGGGCCGTCCGCAAAAGCTGGGATGTAACAACTGTAAAAATCTCAAATATTTTCTTCGTCCATTATCTTTAAAACAAAGAAAGAGACAGTGAGAAAATACCTTGGCTATCTATCTCTTGACCTTAACAGCAAAAGGCATCAATTTACCAATGCCACTCCTTCTCAGCTCTTAGCAAGCGTCACCAACGTCGGGAAACTCAAGGCCGTGACCGCTGCCACCGCCCCGTCTCCCAACTCGCAAAACACCGCGTCCAAAGCCTCCCACTTGGCGTAGCGCCGCTGCCCGCCCTCATCGTCCGCAGAACTCTCCATATCCTCCGCCCGCGTCCGCACCACCCAGCCCTCCCGCGAGTCGGCCACCGCTATCGTCTCATCGGCCAACATGTACGGCGCCCACGGCTCCTCTCCGTAGGCGAATGCCGTCCACTTCCGCGCGAAGCCGATGCTGATGTCGCGCTGCTTCTGGAGCGGGAAACGATCCATCAACGTCATGAACTGGTACGCAAGCTCAATGAAATGGTGGCCCAAAACGCCGGAGAAGAAGGAGCCGGGGAAAGGGTTGCGCAGCGAAAGAGTGTAGCGGTATACCTGCTTGCGGCTTCGTGTCGCTGTTTGTAACAGCTTGTGGCAGGGCACTGTTCGCAATTAGACCAGTTCCACTGGAAAGGATATCGTAGCGGCGAGGGCACTTACGGGAGAACATGACATCGCCACAGAAGGTGCACAGCTGCGTCCAGAACAAGTTGGGGTCCATGCCTGCAGATATATCATACAATTGCAATACTTTCTGGGCCTTCTCCGCTCCCAATATGCTTTCCACATGTTTGCAAAAGTCCTCGATGTGCACTGTTTTGAGATTGTATGCGAAGAGGTAGCCCTAGATTCCGTGAGTGATGAGGCGAGGGTGATATTTTGTGCACAGAGTCACTGACCTCATAGATGGCGTCGCCGGCCATGACAGCTTCTACCCATGGGCAATCCGCTACAATCCGATCGTAGTTAAGATAGTTCGGCGCGATTGGAAAGAAACTCTCGTGGGCCAGTGGCGAAAAGGCACCCTTCATGAGTACTGTGGTCGCCTCGACAATCTTTGTAGCTGGCACCTCCCTCAACTTCTCAAGACGTTGCGGATCGTCCTTGTTGATGCCACAGAACGCAAGGAGCGCCAGGTATTCTTCCTCCTTCTTCGCGCATGGAGTGGGACTGATGGTGGACGCGGTGCCAGATTGGAGGACCACTCTGTTGAAGAGCGGGACGTCTGAGCTCAAGTGAAAACACAGCGAAGCACTACCAGCGCTTTCTCCGAAGGCAGTCACTTGGTTAACGTCTCCGCCGAAGCCGGAGATGTACTTTCGGGTCCAAAGGAAGGCCAGTCGCTGATCATAAAGCGCAAAGTTGCAAGGGTCTTCATTGTATTTTGCTGCTTCGTCAATGAGGTCCTGTGCGTTGTCAGAGTTGGCTTCCGTGATTAATCATGTAGTTACTTGCCTGGCAGGCCAGAAATCCGAGATAGTGAAGTCGATAGCTTCTTTGGGTCAGCGGGGTTATGGCAGAGGAAGAAATGGGCGCACTGAATGCTAACGATGATCACCGGTTTAGAGTCCTGGCAGGCTAGGGTAGCCATTGGTGTCATATCTGTGCTAGGGTAAGACTGGTTCGTGGAGCTGGACAGAGACCGGCTTACCATGAGGGCCGCCATAATGGGCCCCAGCCACAAAGCCTCCCCCATGGACATAAACCATCACGGGCACCTTCTTGGTACACCCAGGCTCCAGAAGCTCCGCGGGTGCTGTGATGGTGAGGTTGAGGCACGAGAACTCGTCGTAGCGGCGCTGGTCCTCCCCTGGGAGCGGTCCACCAAAGACCTCCATGGACTGTTCCTCCTGAGGGCAGGCGTAGGTGTATTCGGTGCATGACTTTTGCTTTGGCGACAACTCGTCTATCAATCTAGCCTGGCGAAACCGTGCAGGAGCCCGCGCAAATGGGATACTTCGGAACTGTACGACATGCTCGTTTCGCCTTATGCCGACCAGTCGGCCCAGCTGAGGGTGCTCGAATTCGTCTGGATGGAAGCCGTTCATGATGTTTGATTCAAACTCGTTGTCACCTACAGAGCAATAAACGCCGCAGTCCAAGACGCTCTGGACATCGATCCTTATAACTTAATGCCCAGGTGCTTATGTATCTGTTAGTGGGACTCAGCTGCCGGACCCATGTTCAAAAGGCGTCCCAATTACGGCTTATTGTGTAAGACAACTAACGACACCGCCGATCTCCCCCGAGACGCCCATTTCTCTGCTTTAGCTAGCAACCTAGATTGAGAAAACACACACCTCATGAATCTGACTGACGCGTGGGGCGTAACTTTGAAGAGTATCTCCACTTCGGGTGCCTGTGACCCCGGACGCTTCGGGGACGCTAGGGGAGCTGGCATGATGGGAGCACGCTAGTCGATTTAGTCGTGGAACGCATGATAAGATCAAGCGAGCTATTCGTATGATCCGACAGGGCCGGAGTAGTCAGTTTTACTTGCCCCGTCTAGACTAGTATCTTTCCGTCAACCTGCTTGTACAGGTACGAAAGCTCCAAGTGCTATGCCGAACCCGCGTCCTTTCCTTTTAGCCCCTTAACATAATATTGTGCGCCTCCTGGAGATTCGAGTCGAATCGATTGCCAGACTCGGTCGAACGCATGACGAATCCTGCAAGGCAGAAAACGTCAGACATCCGTGCGACATGGCGTTACATCTATGCTACATCGGGAGAGACGCAGCAGAAGGAGTCAATTCAGTAATTGAAGAGAAGAAAAAAATTACGAAGCACATTACATGTTGCTTATCCTCCCTTCAGCGACGCAAGTGAATCAACCTATCATCGATTGCTGAGGCTAGACAACGGCAGTAAAGACGTGTAGATCCTGGACTTCATCCGCGATGAAATAAACCGAGTCATCGCCACTATCCGTTACCCCTGACTGATTCCAGAGTTACGGGTTGAGAGTGTTTCATAAGACATTGCGGCGTAGTTCGCCTGTCGTGCATGATGAGCAGATCAGTCTTGCTGATTGGCCAAACTCAACAAACCTATCAAAAGCCATTGGGATTACAAAAAAAAAAGGCTGAAGTTCAAAACGACCTGTCTCGTATCTATTCAAATACATCTCCAACCAAGAGTCTTCAAGCTAAAAGTAATTCCTGCCCCGCAGTCACTGCCATCCGGCTATACATTCCCCTCAAGGCTCGTCGTCATCATGCGGTACAAATGGAGGGTAAATAGGCAGCGGCGGCCAGTCAGGCGGAGAATAAGCATGAGAAACGACATGCGTCCCAGATCCCACAAGTTGAGGCTCTGCGCCTGGGAGCGTGATCTCTGCTTCTGTGTTTCCCGGGATTCGGGCTGTCAGATGCAGTTGACCGTCTCTCAGCTCCCACGAAACTTCCAGCTCGCCGTAAGGAGTCAGAAACCGAGCGCGACAAGACGAGAGCGTCGCTCCTGGTACCGGAGCGATGCGTATCCTCTTCCAGCCGGGCTCCAGGGGCTGAATACCCGCGATCGTGGAGTGCATCCAATTCGCCACGGCGCCCAGTGCGTAATGGTTGAAGCTCGTCATGTTGGACGAGTTCAGTGTGCCGTCGGGAAGCATGCTGTCCCAGCGTTCCCAGATGGTCGTCGCGCCCATAGTCACAGGGTAAAGCCAGGACGGTGGCTTCCGATGCACGAGCATCCGGTAGAACAATTGATGCTGGCCGATCTTGTTCAAGGCATGTCCAAGGATGGGCGTCCCTGCGAAGCCTGTGGCGATTTTGAAGCGGGCGTTGCGTTTTATCAGATGAACCAACCGCGCGGCGGCGGCATCTTGTTGACGGGTGGTTGGGAAGAGGGAGAAATGGATTGCCAGCGCCAGGGCCGTTTGTGTATCTGACACAACCCTTCCTTTATCAGTGATGTAAGAGTGAGAGAATTGCATACGCAGCTCGGTTGCTTGCTTCTTGTACAGCTCACTCTGCTGGTCATCACCCAAGATGTGTGAGATACAAGCCATGAGATCTGTCATGCGGATGAGAAATGCGTTTGATACGAGAATCTCGTCCGTCGGTCCATTGCCTGGGTCATCGGCTGGTGCAGTAGGCTCAAGCCAGTCTCCAAGCTGAGAATGATCGGGGTCCCATAGAAGGCCGTTTTCGTCTCGTTTCACTCCCCTCTTCAACCAATCTTCCATGTTTGCGTAGAGACTGCGGAGCAATGCCGTATCGCCAGAAGCTTGGTAAAGGTCCCATGGTACGCTGATGATTGCATCCCCCCAGACTGCAGATGCTATGTTCGGCCGCCCTTTCCAGATATCAGGTGTGAACAGCGGCGGTACACCGGTGCCATCTTCGTTTTGCTCGTAAGCTAGTCCGCGGAGCCAAGTTTTCAGTATACCACCGGTGTCATATAGATAGGTTGCCGTCGGCGTGAAGGCCTGCAAATCTCCAGTCCATCCGAGGCGCTCATCTCTTTGCGGGCAGTCCGTAGGAACGGAGACGAAGTTGCCCTTCATAGACCAGACGATATTTTCGTGTAATTTATTCAGCATAGGGTCCGAACACTCAAACCAACCCGTTCGAGACATGGATGTGTGAATTACCACGGCGCAAAAGTTCCCGAGCTTGATTTCGTCGAAGGTGTAGCCTTCGATTTGGACATAGCGGAAGCCGTGAAATGTAAATCGAGGCTCATAAACAAAAGGCTCTCCGGACAAAATCACCGTATCCGTACACTTGGCGTCGCGAAGCGGCGCAGTAGCACACTCGCCGTTCTCCAGGACCTCAGCATGAATGAGCCGAATCGTATGTCCTTCTTGACCGGAAAGTTCACACCGCACCCAGCCGACAAGGTTCTGTCCGAAATCGAGTATGACATTTCCTTTGGGGGACTGCAGCTTTGTTTGTGCAGGCAAAACCTGCATCCGACGCACCGGAGGGCTATCAGGTGCCCGCAAGATGGAAGGGTTCAGCTTGCCGAGCCCGACTGTCTGCCAGTTCTTCTCCACAAACGACGGCTCACTCCAGCCTGGGAGGTCCAGCCTGGCATCGAAGACCTCTCCATCGTAGATTTCGGCCTGGAGTAGGGGGCCATGACTGAACGTCCAATTGCTGTCGGTTCCGATAATCTCCATGGTTCCGTCGTCGTAAGTAATCATGAGCTGGGCGAACAAGCCAACCGAAGAACCCCAAATATCTCGCTGGCCACCCGCAAATCCCAGTCTGCCGGAATACCAGCCCTCGGCGACCTCCGCACTGATCACATTTGCCCCTACTTGCAACTGCGGCAAGATGTCGAAGGTCTGATACGACAGCTCATGGTCGTAAGTAGTCCAGCCCGGGGCGAGCACATGGTCCCCAGCCTTACTCCCATTGATGAAGGCCTCGTATAGTCCATGAGCGGTGATATAAAGCCGAGCGCTGTGTGGTGCTTCCTTCACATGAAAGAGTCGCCGGAAGCGCACCGGACGAAGAGGCGCATCTTTGTCTCGCTTCGTTGTGGGTTGGATCAGGGAGCAGTGCCAGTCGTCCGGCTTCAGCAACCCGGCTTCGATTCGCAGAGAAGGCGACCACGGCGTCCAAACCGAATCTCCAGATAGCGCCCGAACGCGCAGTGTGGCAATCTCGCGCGAGTCCAAAGGCCGTGAAGGCCACTCCACATAGAGTGATTGCGAGGAAGCGGCAGCGAATATCTCAGGTTCATCCTGGAGACGTCGTTGAATGGAAATCTCATATGCCTTCTGACGCCACCCGCGGCTCGACCCTTCAAATGACCAGGAAATGCGTGGCTTGTCCTCGGCGACGACTGTTGGTTCGTGGTAGTGCTCAACTCTCAGGCTCCTGATCTCCATGTCGGCTAATTAGTCGGGCCAGCTGACCTCGGCGAGGATGATCAGATGTGTCTCTTCTCAATAACTGTGGGGAGATGCAACCGTCGCCTCTCTCAATTATGTATCTTCTCGTAGCTTGCCGAAACACGTTGCCGTTTTGTGGTCTTCCAAATCATGCGGAGCCAGGAGGAGCGGAGTAGCAGGTCTGTGGGGTTCAGTCAGTCCCATCGGGGACGAGCCCCGAAGCTTATGCAGCTTTACAAATTGGGATTGGCTCATCCACGTGTAACTAGATAGTACTAGCCGCCGAGCAAGGCATGGTGGAGAGTGTTATTAACTGTAACTGTCTAATACTGGGGCGAATTGTCTCTTCTCTTCCCCCCCCCCCCTCGGGTCTAGGGCAAGCCTTGTATACATTTTCTGTCCCATGCAGAATTGACCAAAAGTTGGTTGCTAAGTTTGTGGCAATAAGTGACAACTGTCGTCTTTAATGGCGATATTCTGGGGACATATAATCTTAGCTTTGGTCTGGGATGTGTAGTCACGCGCAAAGATGCGGGCAATTTACCTCCATCTACTCTTACTTGGGGAGAGATACTTCACTTACCGTGGCTTATCAATCGGGAGCTTCGGGCCGATGACCAGACTCCTTGCTAGTCAGTTAGTTTCCCCAGGAGCCAGGAAGTGTCAAGGGAAGAGCACAATAGGATCATTGATGAAGGAAATTGTGAAGCAAGCTCCAGAGGAAACCCTGAGGATTCATATGACAATAATCCAGTAATGGGGTTAAACGTTAGAAATTCGATCTCTGTTGTTTCAAGACTCACACTTCGTTGTGCTATCAATATCCGTGTATATCCGCCTTTCAAAAAGAACTTACGATGACCAACTAAGCTTTACTTTTCAGCCTTACACATAACAGAATTTACTTTCGCTCAGGTCCTTCACCGTGAAAGAAAAAAACGATCTACTACAAGTCCGTCTGCTCATAGTGAAGCCTCACATCCCGAGCGCCAAGAAGAGATTTTACACAACACATCATTTCGCTCAGCCTTGTGCTGCATTCATATGAGACAGTGAAGACTCTATTTCCAAGACATGCTAGGACGAAAGTCATCATTGGCACTAAAGATTCCAGATCAAACAGCTCAAACAGTTATTACGAGATTTCCTGCCACATAAACTCTCGCCTCCGAGTCAGGAAGACAATTACCTCAAACTCAATGATGTTGTGGCGTCCCTGTCCTTCTGAGTCTTTTATCTCATACTGAATAAGGAGTTCCGCCATAATTATCGTGGTTTCAACATCCGCAAGAAATCGGCCTGGGCAAGCACGTCGACCGACGCCCAATCCGAGGTTAGGTCTCCCAACGCTCGTGTAAGGGGTGTTGGTTTCACCAGCTTGGCGCCGCCGGTAGAAATTACACCCGTAGAATACTTGTAGATCTTCCAAAAAAAGAATTCATGAACATCAACTGAGCGGTCGGCAGCTCCAACTTTGTTCCCGTGGGAACATATATCCCATCAGAGAGTGTTAGCGGCCATGTTGCCATTCGCTGAAAAGTTACTGCGAGTAATTGTTAGCATCGCTTTTAGACTGAAAATAGCTGTTCAAGAGCTGGTAACCTAAGTGAGATCAGGAGAACATATTCTTTCGCTTTCCTCCATGATGCTGTCCAACTCATGCAGCTTATTGAGTCCCTCCTCAGTAAAAGTGCCACTTGATCATGAGGTACGTCTTTGGCCTCATGGCGAAGTTCAACTTCATACTCAGGGTGGCCGCGAGATCATAAAGGCAGTGAATGACTGAATGGCTAGTCGTGTGAAACCTGGCAACCGCGAGAAACAATTGCTGCTGCACTTGCGTATCAAGATCATTAATCAATAGTGAATTCGTCCCCGAAGTGAGGTGATCGAGGATGGAGGGAGGGCTAGAGTTTTTTATTTCGCCAGCTTTTTTGGCATCCAATGTCATCTTGATGATGTCTCTGGCCGTATTCTATTGACGCGACATTTCTTTCCGATGCGGAAAGGAGCGGTAGACCAGCGAACGGAAGAAACGAGGCCAAGTCCTCAGGGCGTGGGCAGGGACTCTTTATACAGCCTTGGCTGGGCTATTCTCGCTCATCCACCAGGTCTGAGGATATCCATCTCGTAGCCGTCAATCTTCATTTTATGTAAATGCCAATAACACACAAGAAGGGAAGTCTGCATATAGCAGCTGCTATATTATTGCATATACATTGCTGCTTGATGTACATTGGAATTGGAATATACAGAATAATATATCTTCCTTTATATTTCAACTGGGGAAAAAGGTCATTTAACGATTGACACTAATCCTACTTTATGCTTGTTAAATTTAAATATGAAAATGACATCTTTTTCTTCTTACATTAAACTTTTATTATAATAAAAGAGCTTTATTACTTCCTGTTAGATTGAGACCGTTTGTAGTAGCATAGTATGCCTTTCTATGCTACGTAGACTCAACTCGAAGCTGCTTGCTAAGCCAGTGGAAATAGGTAGTAACTGTTCCATATATTTGCATAAAAAAAAGAGCTTCTATAATAATCCAACACCACCTTTCATGTCAATCGGATATACATCGTCTAACCTACATTCCATTACCCTACACTTAATTTACAATGCCAAAACGCCACGCTTCAGATAACCCACTTCTTCCACCAACGGCATGGTCTTGAAAAAGGCCACAAAGTCATTCATGCACTTGCTTCGCGCGGTTATATGCCCCTTCTTCATACTGATACCTACAGATGGTGTGAAGTTGACGTATTGCTTTCGACCTTGAACTTGCAGATGCCCTTCACCGGTGAGGTATGACTGCATAAAGTTCATCGCGATATCCTCGCAGTTAAACTTCTCATCCACATAATCTCGAATCTTTTTCATCACTGGATCATCCGAGGAGTAGTAGTCGAGGAATGAGATGTGTGTCATGGCGAGATTGGTGATGATCATCGAGTAGGAGCTGTTCTCGTCGCGATTCGAACATAGTTTGTACCACCATTTCCCTTTCGCATCCTTCTTCGGACAACGAGCCATGGCGCCAGTCAACTTATTTCGGCCGAACTGGCGCCACGATTGGAACACATATTCCAGATCGTGCGGGTGATAGTAGACATCGTCATCGGACAGTAGAATAGCCTGGGTACGGAAACTCGAGTCGGGTAGAAGCTTCTCGTTCAAGCTGTTGCGAGTGGAAGCCCTGTAGCGTACGGGGGTTCCGAGGGGAGATGTATAATCGTCGGGTGGTGTTGCCTCCAAGTCGTTCCAAATGACGACGATTTCGAGCAGAGACGGTATCTTTTCGTCTAACAGCGCGTGGAGGGTCTTGTTGAGTTCTTTTGGACGACGATATGTTTGCAAAGCGACGCTGCATGAAGACCTTTGGTTAGCTGCGCCCACGTACGCTCCGGCATCCAGCCGTGTAACTACGCAACAGTGACATACGTGAACTTGGTATCGTCGAGATGGTCATATTTGGCGTGTATTTCCTTCCATGTCTTTTGTGCCTTGGTCCGAGGATCACCAGGGACCTCGGGCTGTGGTGTGGGCTTGGCTCCGTAAGTAAGGCGGAGCTCGGACGATGCGAAGGCTTGGAACACAGCGAAAGTGGTACAAATGCAAGCGAGGGCTGCAATAACTGTGGCAAGCCTTCGGAATATCGGAGACCGCAATATCGGAGTTTGAGTTTTGGCCCAGCCCGGGTGACGCTCCATATTGAAGGTGGATGTTTGGATGAAGCGGAGGGAGGTGTGTGCTGGAGAACTTCCGGGATCCGGGATAAACGAAGAGAAAGACAAAGAAAAATGCCAAGAAAAGAGAAGTGGGTCACCATGTGGTCTTACTCTCGTATACTTATACATGGCCTGTTGGCGTGTACTCCGTAAAAGCTTGAAAACGAGCATCAGCGGCGTTTGGGGATCCTGGCTGTACACCACCACTCACAACGAGCGGATAAAGGCGGGTACGCACGCATCGGCTAGGGTGATCAACCTGAAGCAGGCCTTCTAACAGATACCAGAGCCAACAGACTCCCTCCTGTTTGAAGGCTGGCGAATGCGTTAATTGGGCCGAAGCAACAGGACCAACATCTTTTGTGGGGATAGGCCCTTGAGCGGCTAGAGATGTTTAATACGAGCTCCAGCAAATACGAAGCGGCCAATGACGCTTCTACATTTGCATACACAGCCTCAAAATGTCCAAGCGAATTTAGGCACACCCAGATTGGCCGTTGGACGGTGGACGGTTTGGGAGACCAACAAGCAGGGGAGGGGCCGGGTGTGCTGATAAACGGTTAGAATCACACCATAGTTGGAACCACGAAATATGCATCATGGCCATGCTTGACCCTCGAGTTAAATGGTCCATCCTTCGAGCTGAAGTCGAATCCCCAAAACCAGATTTCAGGCATACAGACTGACTGGTGCTGGTCGGCACACGATCCGTGAAGTACATCGGCAGACCGGCAAACTGGCAGATATGGATCCACTTCGGCTACGGTGGGCCGGACTTAATCGCCCTCGGCCGCTTATCTGTATCAGTCAGCAGTTTTATATCCAATGATATCCAGGAGCAGTCAAAGGGGGTCGATAGTTAGCTCAACTTGCCGCGTCATCCACCCGTCTCAGCCATCGCCCCTGTCGCAAGAACAAAACCGATACACCAATCAAACATCAGGCACGTGTTGGTTTATTCGCCGTCGACGCCTCCTAATTCGGTTCGTTCCGGACGTCTGGGGCAAGTGGGCAGTGCAGGGTGGAAAATGTGAAACCTTAGCAGGATCTCGATTCTAGCAGATGAAACCCACGCTATCTAGAAGGAGAACATGCAACAGTTTCGATTGAGGGCCGTAGTTGAATACTGCAGCTAAAAATAAAGGAAAGAAGAAAAGAAAAAGCGATTAGAATGTTGCTATTCATAACCCTGTTTCGCTGATCGTACAACCTTTTGTCACCTGACCCCCCTTTTTTTGCTCTGCATTCTAGCAGCCCTTGTCGCAGCCGCCAGCATGCTATAACTAATGGGGTGTAGATTATATTCCTAACCTGACTAATATCAGCAATAAAAACCTAAGTTAATACACGGGATTTATCCTGTGTAGGTAGCCAGATGCATATGTCGATATCTTTGTGAATGGATAAGTGTAAAAACTAGGATTAGCAGGCTTATCTTGCAAGCCCGCGACGTGCAATGAAGGTGCTACAGGCGCTGGGGACGGAAGGGCGTTTGCAGACTGGAACTGGCTTGTCTGCAGCGCCATTAGGGCCTCCAACCGCTCTAGCCGGCTCATCACCTCGTCATTGCCGGTCTGGCCTTCTAGTGCGGTGCCGTTAGGAGCTGGGGGCAGACACGGCGTTCCACGAGAGATGCAATTCAAGCGGGGAGACTATTTGCCGGTTCCAGAAATGCGAGTGGATAATTGGGTGCGGATAGAGACCTCAGGTGATGGATGATACATAGTTTTAAAATCTCGGCCGGTTCCTCCGCGGCTGCTCCAGAGACTTTCCGCCTGACTCGGCCCATTCAGAATTGCGGAGCGAGGGCAGCCAGACTAGTATTTAGACTAGCCCAGTCGGGTAGGTAACGGAGATGGATAAATTGTATCCGTATGGCGACATATGCCACACGGCGGATAGAAAGGTGTCGAATCGGCCTGGTCGAGAGCCGCGTTTGACTAAAAGATACACAGCTTTGGCGTCAACATGGAGGACGTCCTCACCATTGCACAAGTACGGACGGAGATTGTTGCTGCTGTTGATTGTTGGGAAATACTCGTCCCAGCGAAGGTTGGTGAAGTAAAATTGGGGCGGTTCTTAGGTCGACGAAGAACAAATCGAATCAACAAAACATGCAGGATATAGCAAGCAGGGCCTTGAAGTCGGCATTGGCTCGTACCGACTCGTGGAGATCTCAACCCTCCCTACAAACTCAAAGGCCTTCGCCCCGCTTCGGACCCAAACCAATGCCCCCGCGTCGGATCTTTTCCTTACTACTATTGATTGATCGGGAATTAAGTCATGAAAATTGTGTATGAGGCCTGGTGATCGGCGCTCACGTCGGAATTATTCAACGACACTCGTTTACGGTGAGATACCATAGGGTGTGTATACAAATCCGTCGCTGAGCCCTTTTCGCTCCGTCTGACGCAACATCCGCCTTATGGGGTTTTCTCGGATAGAGCTACTAAATTACTGTGTGGCAGCAAACGTAAACGGCGTGTGAGGAGTTTAATCATACCGGCAACAAAAGTGAATATAAATACTGTTGCTCCGATCCACTACTTCCTGAGATTCGTCCATCCATCTTCATGAGATATTTCCCCGACGATATTGGATTCAATTCTCCACAGGTTCTTCAAGCTCATTCAACTTCTACTTGAAAATGTCTACCATGTCTCTACTGCATCTTACCCCATGGAACATCAAGGTGGCAATCCTACTCTCAGTCCTCAGTGGCACGATGGTCGGTGACCTCTATTGAAGATACATAGCCTGGAGTCGGGCTAATTTGAACAGGCATCAATTGAATCGACGCAGCCACTCGAAGGAAAGGCTTTCATCGGCCGTGCTGTGAGCGCCAATCCATTGACGCCCAAGGTAGCCTACGATCCAGCCTCCCAGACGTATCACCGAGATGCCGGCAATACACGGTCCGAGAACTTCCAGGGGCCTTTGGGTAAAAATACCAAGGTTGAATCTTGGAGCACGACCCCTCCAGTTCCGATGTTCTGGGATTCAAAGGGCCTTTTGACTGCTGGAGCCATCTGCCGCGAAGATACCGCCTGCATCGTGTCTCTCAACCCAGATACATTCAAAATCGAAGCTACCTATCCAGAGTCTGGCGAGCCCTCAGAGCTGGATCCGGGATCTATGGTCTACATGCAACTTCTCGACAAACACGTCACCATCCCGACCGCAGCAAGGCACATCATCGATGTGGAGCGTATTGACAACGGCACAAGCACATCGTTCGTCAGGAGGCGTGATATCGATCTCAGCGACATAACGGAACAGAGTTCCAGGCTCATCGGCAGCGCGTACGATGGTGAAGGGAACTTGTGGTTCACCACGGGCTACGTCGGGGTTGGCATTCCCATCACCGACACGGCAGTCATTGGATATATTGAGCCCAAGGGGACAGTTCACTCAATCCAGCTTCCAAACACCAGGGTTGAGAACAATTTCGCCATCAGCGGAACAGATGTGTACTTGATCACGGGTCCTGCTGGTGCTGCCGATGAGGCCAATGCGACTGCGTACTTCTACGGTTTCCAGCCGAGCGCAGATGGTGTCAAGGTCGTCATGGCCCTTCCCTATGAGTCTGGAGATGGCGTCAAGCTGGGCGGTGTATCTCGTGGCTCTGGTTCTACTCCCGCCCTCCTTGGACACAAGTACGTCGCATATACTGATAACGCAAACGACCAAGTCAACGTCCACATCGTCCCACAAATGCCAGTTGGCAAGAATGATACTAAGCCAGTCTGCTCCATGCCGCTTTTCGAACCTGGGCTCAGTGCCAACGAAAACTCCATCCTCAACCACTGGGACGGGGATTCGACCTACAGTGTTGTCCTTGGAAACTACTACAACGGAGTCCCAATTTATGTAATTGGAGATACCATCTTTGGCTACGGCATGAATATGGACCCTGCGACAATCAATGGGGCTTTCAACAACATCAACCAAATGGCCCCAGGTTTGGTTCGGATTGACTTCAACGACAAGACTGGAACTTGCACCACCCGTTGGTACAACAAGAATATCCGGGGCACAGTTACGCCCATCTTGCCCACCAAGACCGGTCTGCTCTACATGCCTGTGCAGGACTGGGACCTTGCGCGGGAAGGGACTTATGTGTACTACATTACAGCTATTGATTTCAAGACTGGCAAGGAGGTGTGGAAGATTAGGATTGGTGCTGGCGGCTCTTTCAACTACAACCTCCAGTCTCCGGTGCTGACATATGATGGAGGTGTTGGTCAGTACGTCAATGGAGGTTTTGTTAAGGTCAAGGATTCCCGATAATCTTGAAGCACTCGTGCTAAAGCTCTCGAGGGTCCTTCAGGGCAATGGTGACCGAAAAGTACAGCAAGATAGCGTGATGCTCAATTTGGCGGAGACCTGGTCAACATCGAACCAGGTATCTGACTGGCTAAGCACCTTAAGTGTTAAGTATCTCTTCCTATGAAAAGCTCAATATACTACAAGCGAATTGATATACGGGGATGACTCAATCCCCAAGACCTCAAGCTAAAGCCACTACCTAAGTATACCTTATCCAGAGGCCAGCAAGAAAGCAAAGATATTCCGATTAGAGGCCAGAGAGTATTTTTTCTGTAGCCTATTTAAAGTAAAACCTCAAAACTCCTACTAAATAAACCAGCCAGCTCCTTTATAGACAGTATTACACAAACCTTCCCCCTACTGCTTCGCGGGAACTACCCTATATCAGTACAGCATCCGTTGAGATAGATTGTATATCTCTTGGGCAAATCGGGACAGTTTGTATAAGCTAGGCTGCTAAGAAAGAAAGTAACTATGAAAAAAATTCAAAAGATAAATAGCTACAAAATTTTAGTATTGCACCGGGAGGAGTGGGGGAGAGAAGAAACGAGAAGGAAGAAGAAACCCAGGATGTAAGTCTCTATTCGCCACCATAAATCTCCACCAGACCGATAAAATCCAGTCTCGTACATCCCGAATAGTTTACAACCACATCACCAGCGACTCTATCAAGAAACAGACACCTGAACTTACGCCGGAAACTAACCCGGTTAATTATGTGATATCTGAATTAATAGAAATATCAGTTTCCTCATTAGACCTCTACCTCACCAAGCTTCAGTGGATGCATGCCTACCCTGGAGTCGATGTACGCCGGCTTACAGGTTCATTTTCATTCCCTTGCATACCTAACCAAGTAGTCTTGCGGTGAATATCGAACATATTGTTCTTGATGGCTCGTGGTCGGGGATTGTGGACCCCGGCTGGTCTTGAAGTTGTATCCAATGGAAAAATAGATTCCCCTCTCTTCGCTTGTAACTACAGCCTGATTGGGATCCTGGGCGCCGAACTTCCGAAGGCTGATACTGATTTTGTGCTTGTTGAGTTTAACCAAGAAATCATATCGTTTTTTGCTCATCTAATATTTTTATTATTATAAAATCGCTTTATTACCTCATTTAATAACATGTCATCTGTGCTGTTATTAGCGGCCCGGAGAACATGTTAGTCCGGTTCCGAGTAGGGGCCATCAGGCATCAGCCCATCTTCATGCTCCGACTTCACCGGATTGAGGATCGCAATAAAAAGAGTCTTCCCTACACAACAATCCATCGTTCTCTCAGTTCAGCATGGTATAGCAGAAAATACTGACCTTGCATTTATTTGGGTAACTACCCGCATCCGGTCCTTTCATCTGCAACCGTTTCCGACGCTTCCGCTCTATCCGCACGCCCAGGCACTGCCCCATCACGCCACCATGTTCAACTGGGCCAAGCAGCAGTAAGATCGCCCGTTTAACCTTTTTGATATGTCTCTTAAAGGGGTGACTAACGCGAACGCCTCATTAACTAGGATGGCGTATGTCGCCGGCACCCAGGAGCCGATCTACGGCCCGTCTGCCATTAAGTCTGTGGCGCTGGAGGCTGAGAAGACGCCATTTACCGAGCTCCAACGCGATGATCTAGCATGGCGGGCGATGGAATCAACTTCCGTCGAGACGCAGATCTTCTACGTGACCAGCAAAAGTGGCCATATCGCCTTTGTCGAGATCATCTATAGCAACGTAGCGTATGAGTGCACCCTGCTACCCCTGGACAAGGAATTAAGTTTTGCTAACTACAGATTGGGCAAAAAGCGGCCTCCGCACTACCTGCCAGTTCATCTGCAAGATATTCTACCCCGGCCAATCTCAGCCCCATCTCTGGTCCTCAACTCCCCTCAGCAACATTGAGGTTAGCGAGGACAGAACCTGCTTCTATGCGGATGACTGCGCTGTAGAGTTATCTGACGACGGTTCTTTCTATACTATTAAGAGTATAAATGACGAGAATGCCATCGTGAACCTCAAGGTATCTCGTGTCGCCCCCGGCTTTTATGCAGGGTCTTCAGGTACCAGCCACTTCGGTACCGACCTGGAGAACCCTTGGGGATGTATGCGACACACGTTTTGGCCGCGTTGCGTTGGGGAGGGCACAATCTCTACTCAAGACGGCCTTCTCGATTTCGACAAGGGCGAAGCTGTCTTCATTCACGCACTCCAGGGCATGAAGCCACACCATGCGGCTGCGACATGGAATTTTGTCAACTTCCAGGGCCCCCAATATTCGGCCGTCATGATGGAGTTTACCACACCGCCATCCTATGGTTCAACTGTGGTGAATGTAGGCTGCATTGCCAAGAACGACGAGATCGTTATCGCCGGCTGCAAAAATACCGCGACCCACACCGCTACCGTGGAAGACCCTGTCAACGGCTGGCCCGAACCTACAGAGGTCCGGTATACTTGGTCTGGAGCTGGCAAGGATGGCGAAGCTATTGAAGCCACGATTGAGGGTCCTCTTGGTGAGCGAGCCGATTGTGTTGATATTATGGCTGAAGTGCCGGGCTTTATCAAAACAATCATTGCTGGGGCTGCTGGTACCAAACCGTACCTCTATCAGGTTCGTCGCCCGTTTTATCCTCTCCGAGCCGATCAGGAAGTGCATGCTTGTTAACTAATGTTCTCTCAGTTTCGTCCCAACCTCACCCTAAAGTTGAAGATCGGCGACCAAGAAATCATCGAGGAGGGTACTTTGTACACAGAGGCCACTTTCATCACAGACCTAGGTGGCAGTGAATAGGTCCGATGATTTTTCGAGGGGCGCTATTACATCGTATTAATCAACCAAAGGTCAGCACGCCATTGCCAGTCGTCTGGATTGGAGGGCTTTGTCTCAATATGTTTTATTCTCCATGGCATTTCTAAAGATAGCCCTGTTCCCTATTTTTCCGCAAAAGAGAACTAGCTGGGCTGGGTCGATCGAAAGCCATTCATTTCATTTTAATTAAGTAGACGTTTAAGTTAGCATAATATACTCTCTAATTCTCAAACAGCCCAGCTCGCAGTTTCATCCACGAAATACCCGACCAATACCTGGTCTCACAAGCTCCTTGTTCTTCTTCTATTTATACTTAGCAGTGAACTTAAATCTGAGTTCAGCAGTGCCTTTCGAGCAATACAAAAGGACATTTTTTGGGCTTTGATATCATCAAATACAAAAGGACATTTTTTTTGTTGAGGTATTTAATTTGCTTGGGCAGCGATGGAGACGGAATGCCGCTAATGATAGGGCGACGTACAGGGATCAAGAAAATATGTGTCTGAAACTATCCACCAAATGGCAAGCCCAATTCATAAATGAATCTAATTGAAAGAACATAAGGTCAGCAAGCGCTGATGATTTTGTAATGACAGAATATTAGATAGGTGTACATGTTTTAAAAGTGATGGATGAATACAAAACTGGAATATGAATATAACTGCAGACAAAATATTTAAGCTCATAAATAGTAATAGTTACAGCACCAGATTATTGTAAGTATCAAGCACTTAACTAAACACACCCCCACCTAGATGCTGAGACCACTTTGCGGGGCGTAACACCGATTCTCTTAAAACGACACCTGGACATTGGGCACTTGCAAGTGGAATTGTTTTAGAAAGGGGAGATCTGCAACACGTTGAAGTTGCCCGACCCCGACAACACGGTGAATATCGAGCCCCGATAAGCCGAGAGTGTAGCATTGGCGTCGAGTTCCGTCGAGCACGAACATGGAGCCCTCCTATTCCCAGTCCAACCACGAAGCAAAGAGCAGAGGATCGTTGTCCAGTGTAGGAATCGGACTGACTTAAAGAGAGCGGCTCGTCACATCGATTCTCCATCTAACCGTACAACCATTCTTTCATCACTACAAACTACAAACCTGCTCTCTTAAACGTTCGAAACTACAACAGACTCACCATGGCATATGCGAACACCGAGGACCCTACATCCAATCTCTGGACAAAGTTCACCTCTGAACATGGACTAGATGCGCCGCAACTGGTATATCTTGCACTAGCCCTCCTTCTGGGAGGCGTTTCTATCCGCGCCATCACCAATAATCAGTCCAAATTCCCATATGTCAACCCTCCTAAGGCGCTGGACCTCTTTAGCAAAGCGTGCAAAAAACATTTCGCCGAAAATGCGTCCAACATACTTGCGCCCGATCTCTTTATCCTCTGCAACCGTTTAAGATGATGACGGACGCAGGCGAGGTCATCATCTTGCCGGCTCAGTTCGCAAACGAAATTCGTAACGAAGCCGGCCTGCACTTTATGCAGACCGTTGACAAAGACTTTCACGCTTCGGTGCCGGGATTCGAACCATTTGCAGCGGGAAGCAACAGCGACAATTTGATTCAAGTCATCACGAGGAAGCAGTTGACCAAGTCGCTCAGTAAGGCTCCCATCTTCAAGCTGATCCCTTCCCCTGGTTTCCCTGTTCGCTGACTCCTCGTTAGATAAGATTACTGAACCTCTTTCTGTCGAGGCAAACTTCGCCACCCAACTCCGGTTTGGCAGTTCAACTGGTATAGCAAATCCAATACAGCCCTTAGCATGATATCAAACTGACGAGCTGCAGAATGGCAGGAAATTTTCCTTGATACCAGAGATCTTGGATATCGTAGCCCGCCTGTCTAACCGTGTATTTCTCGGAGATCAACTTTGCCGAGACGAAGCCTGGCTGGAAATCACGAAGACCTACACAATGAGCGCCTTCAAGGTCGCCAACGAATTGCGTCTGTACCCGATTTGGCTACGCTCATTTGCCCACTGGACAATCCCGGGTTGTGCGATCTCCGAAGCCAGGTCGCGAGGGCACGAACTGTCATCGCTCCGGTACTTGAAAGGCGACGGTCTGCGCGACAAGAGGCCTTGGCTGCAGGGACCCCTGTGCCAACATTAAATGACGCGCTGGATTGGGTGGAAGAGGAAACCCAGGGACGTCCGTACGACGCCGGCGTCTTTCAACTTATTCTCTCGACTGCTGCGATCCATACGACCACCGATTTGCTATCTGAGACTATACTGCAACTAGCCGGACGACCGGAATTGATGACACAGTTGCGACAGGAAGTCGTGGAAGTACTAACAGCATCTGGATGGAAGAAACCGGCACTATTCAACTTGAAGTTGATGGACAGCGTCATCAAGGAGGCACAACGATTGAAGCCCATGACAATCGGTACGTCCCTAACATGAAAACAAAAAATGTACAGATCAATATTGACACTTTATCTGGCAGCGTTAATGGGTCGAATGGCGACGCAGGATGTCAAATTGCCCAACGGTGAGACTACGAAAAGGCCAGCGTTGTCTCGTCGACACCTCACAAATGAGAGACGCCGACATTTACGAGAAGCCAGACGAGTTTGATGGCTATCGCTTCGAGCGTATGCGCAACGATGCAGCCAAGCAGAACCAAGCTCATCTCGTCAGCACTGGACCAGCACACTTGGGATTCGGACATGGACAACATGCGTGCCCGGGGCGATTCTTTGCAGCAAATGAAATAAAGGTTGCGTTGTGTCATCTGGTCATGAAGTATGACTGGAAGCTGGCACCTGGTTACAATCCTAGGCCATTTGAGTACGGATTTTCCGTCGGTGTGGATCAATCTGCTAGGGTAATGGTTAGGCGGCGCACACCTGAGATTGACATTGATGCAATCTAGTTTAGGCTTTAATAAGGAGCTTGTTATATAGTAGTATTGGACTTTTACGACGTATCTTTACTGCGACGTCGGTTGAGATGTGCAGTTGTGTGTCGGTTAGCAGTCGTAATGTGCCTACCTTACTCTTTTCTCTAAATTAAAGAACGAGTAGAATATTGATGTGTTTCGAACATTGCCAACCTCAGAAAGCCGGCCTGCAGATATCATGCCTCGTCACCTCAGGAGCGCCAATAGGAGAGACTTCTATGTGAACTTCTCACTGGACTCTTCCTTGTTGGAGACAATAACTCGCAAAATGCCATTGATTTTGGCCATTAGTAGGACGTCCTCACGAACGCATGAAATCCTTTCACCGTCTTCTTATGTGAATGCAACCCAACTCAACGCCTTCGTTCTACAAATCTGACCATAGCTCTTAGAGATACGAGATCCCGTCAAGCTCTTGCCTAGGAAGGAGGAAGCGCAGGTAAGTTCCAGCGCTAGAGAAGAAAGATTTTGCATGGAATTTGGACGTTTTCGTAGAGAAATCCGAGCAGTCTCTATTGGAGAAGGGATTGGTATGCATACAAAAATAAGCAGTCAAAAGTGTACATGGGTAGATCTTCGCATGGTGAGGTTGCGAGAAACTATCATTCTCTTTTCTTGCCCAACGGAGATAACCGCAACGATGCTTTGAAGTTCCCTTCTCCGATCTTTCGAACTTGGCTCGTGGAGAATATTGGATGGGTGGCTGTCATCAGCCTGACAAGGTACAACACCCTGATCAGGTAACGGCCGCCAAAAGAGAGGAATGGGGACGATTCTCAGTGCTGCAGGCATGCAGAATCCCATAATAGAAATAGAGGATGGGACGTTTCATTCCTGCTTGAGCATGAGGTCAGCATTATGGTACGAATGCCAAGCGACTCGTGACGTGTCACGACTGGCCTCTGTTGCGTTCACTTGACTGTCCTTTGCGTAGCCCGGGATCTCAGCTTGTGCCTTTTCTAAAGACCGAGCGATTTAAAGGGTTGAAAGTGAGGCGAAAGTGCAAGCACGCTTGGGTGTGTTGAGTTAAACCAATAGGCTAATCATGCACCAGTCTTGAGGCCTGCAACTGCATTGTGACGTGTCCATTTGCCTGGTGTGCAATAAGCGAGCTGCAGGATCCGCGGGCGACATGACTAGGGGCAAGTCAGCCTATGGGCATATTGCAACAGTCATGTCCAAAGTCCAAGCTCACGGGTATATAATTACGGTGGTTTGAGATTTCCAACGGCATTATTACAATATCTTTCAAAATCCCAGTCTGCTTTCCCGTCCAGAGTTTTTTTCACACCAGAACTGCCATGTTGCATTTGCTGGCGCATTTTCCTGTCACTGAATATGCGGATGCTTGAACACTTGGCACGTATCTTGTTCACTTTTCGTCGTGTTCACCGAAGATTGAAACAATTCAAGACCAAATACACCTTCTTTCGAATGTTCACCCCAGCTTCGATACATTCCAACATGGCAGAAGTCGAATACGTCGAAATGGAGATTTCGACCATGCTAGGTGACGGATCTGCGGAGATGATAGAGAGAGCAATTGACTTGTGTCAATTCTTTGACGAAGAGATGCCTGAAGAGGAACAAGAGCGCGTCAAGACACGAGACAAGCTGGTAACTAATCTTGTAGAGCTGGCCAAGGCAACGGGCTCTCAGGACATTCTAGCCACGACCATCGACCTTGCTAAAGAGCTCTACGAACTTGATGCCACGGCTGGAGACAACATGCTTCGAAGCTATCGCGCAAACAATTATGCAGTAGCTTTGGCACACCGGTATTGGCTCACGGGACAACCTGGTGATCTTCACGAGTCAACCAGGCTCAGTGAAGATGCCGTGTATGCATCGTCGCAAGCTGAATCCATCTTAAGGATGTCCCGAGGCACCATCTTGAGGGACCCGGGTCTTGAAGTTCACACGCTGAACACGCTGGCCGCAAGGCTCGATGAGCGCTTCCAGCTGACGGGATCCTTGCACAACCTCAACCGCTCTATCGAAATCATGGAACTCCTGGTCGCAGCAATTCCTTGGGAGGAATGGAAGCCTGTCCGAGCGGAGTGGCTCCTGAACCTGGCTGCTAGCCTGCAGAGACGCTACGAGCAGGACGAGAGCGACTCTCGGCGGGATCTACACCGAGCTGTCGAGCTGTCCGAGGAGGCTCTGGAGAGCGTTGGCGAGAATATCTCCATGTTGCAGAAGGCAAAATGCACTCTTGCCAATGCCCTGGGTGGACGAGCCCGAGGGATGGAGCAGATGGCCGACCTCGACCAGGCCATCCGCTTGTTCCGCGAAGCACGCGAGGCGACGTCAGAGGAAGATCCCGACTGCATTGAAATCAGGGTAAACTTGGCGATGCGGCTGTTCCAAAAGAGCGACATAACCGACGTTGCCTTAGAGTCGCGCAGCTGCAGTGCCGAGGCCATTGAAGTTGCGGCTTCAACGCTCGACAGCTTGCCAGATGACCACCCAGCACGAGCTCACCTTCACAACTTGTTGGGCCTGTGCTATTACGCGCGATATTCCCATTCCTACTCACCACTTGCAGCTCAAGAGGCCGCTAAACAGGCCGTGGAGCACCTCGAGGAGGCCCTCCGCAGCCCGCACTACCCGTCGCTGTTCCGCCACGTGCAGGCCGGCCGGATGATGCTTCATCTCTACTGCTCGATGGCTAAGTGGAAGAAGGCATACGAAACTGCCGTCATCGCCGTGGAGATGATCCCGAAGCTCTCGTCGCGTTCCATCCGCAACTCGGACAAGCAGCGGATGCTCAGCGCCCACGACGTAGTGGGCTTTGGCGCCGATGCTGCGGCCGCTGCCCTTAACGCTGGTCTTGATGGCTACACTTCGCTGCGGCTACTGGAGATGGGTCGTGGATCGATAGCTGCCTCTGTTGCAGAGATGCGTCCTGATCTCGTTGCCCTGCGTCGAGACCATCCTGCGTTGGCCGAGACCTTTCACTCGCTCCGAGACCATCTCCAGGCTCAGTCGCCGCGGCAGCACAGAGATAGCGAGAGTTTTGATGCACTGTTAAGGGAAATTCGCAATGAACCGGGCTTTGAGCGATTCCTCGAGCCTCCGAGCGAGCAAGAAGTTCGTGACGCGGCTCAAGATGGCCCTATCATCATGCTCAATGCGAGCCAGTTCCGCGATGCCGACGCCATCCTGATCAAAAGCCATCAAATCCGCGTCTTGAGCCTCCGAGGCGTGACACTCAATAGCCTGCACGACTGGTCTAGCGACCTCAAGAGCCCTGAGCTGCTGAAGTGGCTCTGGGATTTCATTGCCAGGCCGGTGCTGGACGCGCTTCAGATCCATCTGCCGTTGCAGAAGGACTCTACGAGCACACGCTTGCCACGCATCTGGTGGATTCCCACCGGCATCTTGAGCAGGTTTCCACTTCACGCTGCGGGTGTTTACTCTGCGGGTTTCGCCGATAGTGTCATGGACCGAGCCGTGTCGTCGTATAGCTCGTCTATAAAAGCGCTCAACGCCGGCCGTCGAGCGTCCTGTGTTCCACATCCAGCTGAAAGCAAGTCACTTCTTGTCGAGATGCCGCGAACACCCGGCTGTTCGTACCTGACATACGTGACCGAGGAGATTCAGACATTACAGGCCAGGCTTATGTCCAAAGGTTTCAACAATATGGTACTCGCTAGCAAGGCAGCGCAGAAAAAAGACGTTCTCAAGGCCCTCGAATCCTGTCACATATTCCACTTCGCAGGCCATGGCACGGAAAACGTCTCAGATCCGCTGCGGAGCGCCCTGTTGCTGAATGACTGGGAAACGGATCCCATGACAGTGGACAGCGTACTCAACGTTGACCTGAGCGAAAGCAACCCGTTCCTAGCCTATCTGGCTGCATGCGAGACAGGCCAGGTCACCGCGTCCAGGTTCTACGACGAAAGCATCCATCTCATCGGCGCGTATCAGCTTGCCGGGTTCCGCCATGTCATTGGCACGCTGTGGTCGGTCGACGACCATGGAAGCGTGTTGATGGCGACAGGGACATATGAGGGCCTCCTTGAGAATATGGCGGACGATTCCGTCAGCCGTAGCCTTCATAATGCTGCTCGGCGATTGCGGGATGACTCTAGACGCAGCAGAGAGGGAGAAGAGGGTACAGACGTAAGAAATGCGATAATCATCAGTGAAGCCGAGTCGACTGACACGCGTTGGATCCCTTTTGTTCATTTTGGGTTGTGAAGTGTTTTCCGAGCCATGAGATGTGTTGCTCCTTACATACCTTTTTTCCCTTTGACCTGGTGTTGTAGATTTTGCGGCGAACTGGATGATAAGTACCACAAAATCTCGATAAATTGACAAGATCTAGCGCGACATCGGGCTACCTGCCACCTGAGCCTATCTAATAGAAGTTCGATTGGACCCATAGTTATGCCTGGTGGTCATGTTGCCAAGACCGTAATAATTGCGGCGCTAGACGTTCCCAATTCATCGGACTTTGCGGTGATGCTGTGACAGACGTGAGTTTCGAGACAAAAGGCGCAACGGGAACTCTATGGCTATATGGGAGGGGCATCGGATTTGCTATTATTTATGTATCTTAATTCAGTGTCCAGGCTGAAATAATTGCGAACACCGAAAACGCTGTACCTTCGTTGGTGTCTTTCTTAGACTTGGAGTTGTTGAAATAAATGCAGGTAAAATATTGTCCCGAAATATTAATTGTCACAAGGTCTGAGCTCCACATAGTCATTTGGCGGGCTACGGAGAACCATGATATCCTCCCCAAGCTCTATATTACCAGCCCGTAATCTATATTGCTCACCCCGTCGTCCTGATCTCATGAGATTGTATACTAGACATTCTAGCCTACCCTACACCCCCGTACAGAACATGCCTGATTGCCACATTTCGGCGAGCAGCTACCGTATACCTAGTTACCTTTTTTTTATTAAAGGAGTATATTATTGAGTTCACAATTTTGGTATTAGCATTCGGTTCAAAGCGCTTAATTGGACCCTAAATTTCAGCTTCTGCACTTGTCAAGGATTGCTGGAAGCCAACACTTGAATCCTTCAAAACATCGTACGACGGACGCCGACTGTTGGACGCACGTCATGAATCCTGCGTGCGTGGCTGAGCACTTGTTAGAATGCTGCAGGATTCTGTTGGTCAGGCGGCGCAGTGTGCGCCATTTCCAGCCTCGCAAGGATCCGCGATACAAGCCGTTACGGTAATCAACCAACAATTGATGCACCTAGAAAACTTGTTATGTGAATACGAGGATCCTACATTGTTGGTTCCCTTTTAGAAGTCTCCCACGACCAACAACCGAGCACCTCGCCATCCAATAATCTGCCAAGAGAACTACCCATCTAGGATCACCCCCCCAGTTATTTGAGTAATTGTTATGGGTGCGCTCGGCCAAACTGCCTCCGCCCGCTCCCTAATCGCAACTCCTTCTGCAAGAATGTTTCATACTTCTCACAGCCTTGGGGCCATTCAGCCTCAAGGCACTTAGAAGAATGGGAACAGTATGCCTTGGCAATTTATCCGGGACCTGGGTGCGCCGACTGCGTTGGTTGTCATTACTTCGGTCAGTCTGTGGAAATGGGCGTCGAGGTTCGCATCCTTTGATGCAGGTTATTTCTCGTGAGTAACATGGGTGATCTATTATTATCGGAATTGATAGAGCACAACCAACAATAATGAATGATACAAAGCTCCCTCTACCTACTGAAGTGTATAAATCCCCAGCCCTTAGTCGCTCGGTCTTGTTGGATTATGCGCTCGCTGATTCTCTTGTTTTCCCCCAGCTTGTCAATGTCCCAAGTCAACATCTTCGATATTCATCATGCGACTCTCAGCAGCTACAGCTGTATTCTTGCTTCTTGGAGCACCAGCAATTGAGGCTCTTACCCCTGGTTATGGCATCAAGTGCGATGTCGGCCAATGTCTCTGCGGGCACAGTTGCAGAACGCTTCATCACAAACAACACTGTTGCCCAAGCAAAAATGGGCACAGGGAGCATATCTGCAAACCAAGTACGTGGCGATGTCTAAAGCATTCAAGGAGATTCTCTTACTAACGCAAATCAGACAAGGAGTGTTGCGGAGAAGGATGTTGCCGGGAGGGATGGAAGTGTGGCAAGAATGAAATGTGCTACCCGCCAACGCCCATTTCTACAACGCTTGGTGGGTGCATCACCACCATTATGACAGTTACTCGCCCGGTTCCTGTACACCCAACTAGCGACGTGGAAATTTCCAGCACTCACCTGTACGACACGACTTCTGCGTCAAGCAACACCGTTGCGTCTAGCAACAGTCAGGCGATTTCCTCTCAAGTTGAGACAAGGGAAACCCCAAGCACGACAGCAGATGAAAATACGGTAAGCCATGATGATTTTGGTAGTGGTGTGATGAAAAGAATACTAACCCTTACAGGCATCTGCTAGCGGAAGTTGGACAGTCTCTGTTCCTCGCGCATCTGATACCACTTCAAATCAGCATACCACATTCCCTGCCCCGGACTCTGCGAGCAGCACCGACTTTCAGACATCTGGTGTAAGCTCCACGCCAGATGGGGAAACTTCAGCCAACTCCATTGATCAAACAAATACATCCGGCACTGGTGGAGATTTTACAATTTCTGCTAGCATCTCAACCTGGACTGTGGTAACCAATTCTGACGGCCAAGTCTCCACCGTATTTCCCTCCGAGGCTTTTACAACTCACTCGGGAGAGATCATTTCTACGATTTCTGGCAGCAACGGTAACTCTCGCACAGAGGGCATACCCGCCGGCAGTTCTACTTCTGTTGAGCTCACCAGGTCAGAAGGACAAACATCATCAAATGCGGTTTCATCGAATGGCCCCGGCGTGACCAGCAGTGGTCAACCCAACACAAGCGAAGCTACTGAGCCCAGTGGCCTTTCGTCGAAAAGCCTGGTAGTAACTCAATCAGGCCAGAACTCAGTTTCTTCTGGGATCGCTGTGACGTCGGCCAAAGCAACCACAGATGGATCCGTGTTGACTCCGGTCGTGTCCACCAACTCGAATGGTGAGGTTTTTACGATCACCACCCCCAAGGCTGGTTCATCGGCGGAAGAATCTTTCACGTCTCAGTCTTTGAGCCAGACCTTGACAATTATTTCAAGCGTGGAATCGTCCATACGCGTGGGGCAAACAGTTTCTAGTGCTGACGTCCCTCGTGTCACCACCGATTCGAATGGACAGGTCACAACGGTCGCGACATCTGGAACCAATTTGTCAGATAAGAATTCTTCTATACAAGTCTCCAGTTCATCCGCTAAGGCATCGGGTATCGAATCTGTTTCTGCCTCGCGTACCGGTTCATTGGCCAGTCCTAGCCCGAATGAAAGCACTGCATCCAATACGGATTCAACGGAGACAGGAGTTCAAGTACCAAGTTCTGTCACATCTGGTTCAGAGAAATCGGGAACGGATACCTCCATTGGAACCAAACTCTCGGAAACGCTTCAAGTCCCCTCCGATCCCACAGCATCGTCAAAGTCTGACGAGGCAGAACTATCGTCTAGCATTGGCGGAACGACGCCCAACCCCAGCACGACCAAGTCACCAACCGTGACAACCAACTCTGGTGATCACGTCACAAAGCTGAGCACCTCCGAAGCTAGCCCATCCATAACCAATCCTCCATCATCAACGGAGTCGGGTGTGGTTGGCGGGTATATCACTCCTGTGACAACCACAGTCTCTGGACCGAAACCAACAGACGATGGCTTTGTCATCCCATGTAACATCTGGTTCTTTTCACTCTGCCTCGGCTGGGATGATTGGAAAATCTTCGGATGGGGCATTATTCTCCCCCCTGGCACTTACCCAATGTATGTCCTCCTGTCAAATTTAATAGAGCTGTCATGTCTAACACCGGAATAGCGGGCCACCTCCCACACTTTCAATTGATCCGTTGGCTCCATTTACTGTTGAAATCATAGGAACCCTGCCTCCATGGCCCAAATTTACGTATGTAAGCCATAGAAGCCACTTACCTACTTAACATTAACCCATTGCTCTTAGTGTTGGCCCGGATAATGTTCCTACATACCCGCCGGAGCCCGAAGGGTGCGAGACTGAATCAGCGGAACTGTGTATTGCCAGAACCTCATACGGAGTGTCTGTGTCAGGAACTGAAACCACAACGACCACGACCCAGATTCTTTCTACTTGTGGTACTGTGTATGGCTGCAATATTGAAGATATGGCTACTTCGACGACCGTTTCCGAGACAGCTACGGCCACGGCTGAACCCATCATCCAAGCAGTTTATCCTCTGGACGGCACAAATTCAACCCAGGTCGGCATCATTGAGAAAGAGCTGCTGCGCTTTGTGAATGACTCCTCCGAAATTGTCGCATCCGACACAACGAGCTTTGGCGTTCTGTTTTGGCGAGTACCGATAACCATCGCGCAGGCTGACGAGATTATGAAACTTCCAGATGTAGGTGCCCAACTCCAAAGCTAGTCTTCGGCTCCATGCTGACCTTTAAACTCTAGGTGGCTTCTGTGAATCAAGAATGCGACAATGATCAGTATCCTTGCTACGATCCAACAATTGAGTTGGTCTATGAAGAGGACGCAGGACTTCAGCTTTCCTACCTGTCGTGGCCCAACACTAACCCACGTACGCCGTTCTCGGTCTTGAAGGATCGCTACTACTTCGATGACAGCTTTGGCGAGGACGTTCCCGTTTGGGTTGTGGACTCTGGATTGACTGCGAATCACCCTGTAAGCACCCGAGCATATTATAACCAGTATTGCTGATAGCTGACCATCGAGTAGGAATTCGACGACATACGAGATAAAGTTGTCTGGCATAATCCAATGGCAGACTATGATGGTGTATTCCGCCAAGATGACTCTCAAACGGATCTCAGTAACATAATAGGCGGAAAAGCTCATGGGTCAGTGATGCTCGGTTTCGTCGCCGGCAAGACATTGGGTGCTGCGAGAAAGGTGACGCCACATGTTATGCGCATGCCTCGGAAAACACTCCGCGGCGGCGGTACTTCAATGGAAGTTTATCTCGAAGTCCTGGCAAATGCAGCGGATCTCATGGAAGCGGATCCTGACGGCGCAACGGCTGGGGTCGTCCTGCTGGCATCCTACTATCCCCTGAACGAATTCTATCGCAAGAAAGGAGGGGGATCATCGACTACAGTCCTCGTCAACGACCAACCCATCGACCAGTCTTTCGGATTTGAGTTGAGGCACTACGTTATCCTCAAACAAATGATAGAAAAAGGCTTCTTAGTGGTAACTGGATCAGGGAACGGCGGCGATTCCCACATCACTGGGTGGCCAGCATCCTACGGCAAAGCGGGCACTCCAGCTACTTACCTACCCTCTCTCCTTGTTGCTGGAGGTATTTTACCAGGAGAACCAGATGGGACCCGTGTTGCCTACGGAAACGCAGAACTTGACGCCGGACTACCAAACATCTACGCGCCAGGAGAAGGATTTGATGCTGTTCAGGGCAACACGAATGCCTGGGATGAATCCAACCGTCGCACCTATTATAAACCAGCCAAGGGTACATCTGACGGTAAGTAATTCCCCAAGCCCATAATGGGCCAACCGACCAAGTTACTGCTGTACAATATCCCTAACATCTGCACTACAGCTGCTGCACTGACGGCAGGCGTCGCAGCCTATTTGGTAAAGCTGGCGCGCTTGGGAAATCTTAAGAATACCGATGGCTCGCCAGTAACCAATACACCGCAAGGCATCAAGGACTTCATGATAGCTAAATCATGGTCAAGAGGCAAGTTTATCGGACCCTTGCCCGGCTATGTCGCGGACCGAAATGGTATTTCGAACGCTGCCGACCTCAGCAAGCCGGCCTGCAAATACAATCCATCGTCATCTCAGGAGCGCCGACAGGAGGGGGCTGTATGTGAACTCCCTCTATCACCAACCAGTACTACGGCTTCGTCGACAAGCACCACCGCTTCTTCTACCACTGTCGCTTCCTCGATGAGTTCCGAGTTTCTGAGCGTCACAAAAGGTGCAACCCTGACGATTGGAGATGGAACTACCGCCACCTTCTCCACCCCCTCGGGCAGTTCATGTGCCGAGACGACAACCATCAAGCAGTGTGCTATAGGAGCGCTGGGCCAGTCTGTTTGTATCTCGGCCCCGAGCTGCGCTTCGTGGGTAAACACGGACACTGTTACCGTTACTGCGACAGCTGCAGAACCGACTAAGACGAAGGCGCCTCTCCAAGTCAACAAACCCGTCTGCAACGACGAGAGCGATTTCCCAGATCACAAAGACGTTTCTGAGGACGGTATTTCTACGGCGACATATCTCTTCTATGATCACTACGGCGAGATCATGATGTATGCCGGCCAAGAGACAGTGTCTGAGATTGCCGGTACTGGAGTCAAAATATCCAGCAGTGCATCTTGGATCGACGGCTGTGTCACCGATGTTGACGAGCAGAAGCTTGGTGAACCACTCGGTGATGATTCCCTGTTGGCATATACTGTCTTATTCGACGCGTGGAAGGATTGTGAGTTGTGATTTTCTATTCTGACGTTGGCGTTGTCTGACTAACCCTCTCTCGCAGGTATCAATGGCGGCGTTGGAGGCTATATTGATGTCGGGTGTGTAAGATACGCGGTGAAGGCGCCAGTCTAGCGGCCTGATTGCGATGGTTACATTATGTATAAGGAGATGTTTATGCTTGTGAATAAATTCGTTGTTTTCTGTAGAGTAACAATTTCTGCTGTTGATCAATTTCCAGTCGTTTACCAGTAGTGAACATCTATGAAGATTCTCAATCACCACTCTTCCTAAAACTCTTGAACAGTTGTGTAATCTTCTCTAGCGCCCCACCACGACTCTTGACAGCTGAATCTGCAGGCTTCTGTGCAGATTGAACGTTTGCATTTTCCTCCTCACCCTTAATCCTGCTTAGAAGCACACGCGTTGCTAATATTCTGGCATCTTCCTTGCCACAGCCCTTGCCTGTCTTGGCAGACATGGCAAGCAACTCGGCACCGATGCTGCGACTGAACTCTTTAGCCTCCTGCATTGAGACTTCCCAACTCTCGAATGGTATGTCGGTTTTGTTTGCCACTACAAACAGACAATGCGGGATGCCGCCTGAGCGAGGGCCGCCGAGTTCGGCATGCATCTTGGGGAGCAACTCGAAGCTTGCTCTATCGCCGACGCTGAATACGTACATGTGGGCCTCGGATTCGCGACCCATACCTGCTGGCATGGCAGTATTCCCGCTATATTCACATGTCTGGCACTCCAACAAAACTGGGATTCTGCCAAAGCGCAGTTGTTTGTTGTAGACGGGCTCTTCGGTAGTTGGGTCGAAGACAGTAGGTATCTCGGTGTAATCCCAGATAAGCCGCATCAGGATGCTGTCTGTGCCAGTTCCGTGTTGGCCGAGCAAGAGAATCTTGATGACGTGGCCTTCGAGATACTTGCGAACTGCAGCGGTTTCCTCGCGCGAGAACATAGTGGAAGCGGTACTGTGGAGAATGACGTGGAGAAAACAGAAAAGACTTAGGATTGAGGACAGGATTGTAAATGACGCCCTGGAGGCTGTGCTTGACCCTCTCGATATTGTACGCTTTTTGAACTGTGACTGTGGAGGAAGGAAGTGGCGCAGTGATACGAGAGAGGGGTAATAACGTCAGATAGATTAAATCTGGCCTGACAATCAAGGCGACTGGCTATTTACGGACCAACAAAGTGACCTTCGCTGCCTGCATGGGATATGTGTTGGCCGCGCGCACCCGCTAATGATGACTTGAACATTGGCAAAGTTCCAACCACATCGAAAACGCGATTTTACGTCCAAATACAAATCAGGTTAGGCCGACAAGAGCTTCTCCAGCGGCGTCTAAGTATGTAGTTGGGTTCATGTTAGACTTTAAAAGTCAATCAAAGGTGTGATGAAATTAAGTAATAATGAATTAATAAATGGCTAGGAAAAAATAATCTTTAATCTTTGCAAGGTTAGTTATGATCAATTAATCTTCTCGCCCTGTGCTGCTTCTTGTATCAATCAGTATCAATAAAAGATCCCGACAAGTATTAGCATCATGCTTGCAAATAGTTTGTTGGTGGGCGAGGTCGTTAGTGCAGACCACACCCATCCGTAGGGTAGGGGCAAGAAGGATAAAAAGGATAAGAAAAGACACCAGATTCATCTCCTGGGAGCACGAGATGATAGACGCAATTAGTTAATTACTTTTAAATCTCTAAGAGGAAAAAGAAGAAGAAAACATTAAGAGCTGCTATAACAGCTGCAGTAGAAGGAGCATACTGAGACAAAAGGTATCTTATTAATTTAAAGAAGGAAAAAGCATGCCGTCTTATTTTTTAAGTAGACTCAACGCCTTAAGTAGGGACTGCCTAAGCTAGCGCAGGCCTCCTGTACCGTATTAAACTCCAGGTGGACCGTTGGCCCCATCACAATAGATATAGCAGACAGACTATTATTCGAATGCTGTATCACATGGCCTAACCTTTCTGACAATTGTGGACATATCTGAGGATGAGGAGTCCGTTTCAGAGTTGCCTCGACTTCAAACCTGGAACAACCTCAACATCAATGCAACCTGCTCGTCCCCGCTTACGGTGTGCGAAGAAATAAACAGGCTGGGGTGACTTGCTCTGAAATTCCAATTGCATCAGCTTGCATTGACCCTGCGGCGACGCCGATGTTTAACGTTAGAATCTGGCTTGCGTCTCAAACCTGCGGCGCCCTGGTTTCGGGCAGCACGAGCAGCTAAAATATCAACTATGAAGAATATTTGGCCTTTGCAATGTTTGCCCCTGACATACGGCGCGAGTATAAAACGGACTGGCCTGTCCCTGACCAGTGACCACAGTCTCGAAAATAGTAACCAAGCACACATCGCAGGCTCGATCAATATCGCAACCGTTCTTCACTCTATTACTACGCTATTTTCTTGTCCAGTTCACGCATCCCGATTGACCAACTACATTCATCAAAATGCAGCTCCCCACTGTTCTTGTCACCATCGCCATCTTTGCCATGGGCCAGGCCAGTGCCGGTAAGACAACCCTCCTCCTCGGTTCATTCCCCATGTCAGGTGCCGGAATGCAACGCCACGCTTGGAACGCAAACGCGTGGTCCGGAACGCTAGATTCCCCCTCATGCGTGCCTCACATCCCTTTCCTCAGCGAATACACTGCGAGGCCGCCGGCAAGCCTCCGGCTCGGCGGCAGTCGGGATACCAAATGGAAAGCATAAATAGCAGTCTTCACCCACAGAAATGATAGAGGCCAGAGATCAATACAGTCACCACCCCGTTACTATCTTTTAGCTGCTATCTAGTAGCGAGTCTGCCCTCTTCACTCCCTATTGTGCATTTAGTCCCTGACACCCCACCTGTAGGTCTCATTATTGACGTTTTCGGAAGTATCGATCCCCCGTCGAGATGATAGCGGCTTCGGTGACTTCGCCAGCGGCGCCGGAAGTGCGCTTTTCGGAAACGCAGGAACAGCATGCTCTGTCGGCCGTGACGACGGCGAATGTGATCAGTTTGGGCGATGCGTGCAGTTCATTCCTCCGAACGAACAGAGCGTTTTGAGCCAAGGCGGAGAGGTTGCCGTATGCACGGTAGGAGGACAGACAGGTACCTTGAAGGTTTAGTAAGGTTCTAATGCCACTCACATTGGCCGTCTCGCTACAAACTCAAAGTTAAGCCTCAGTAACTGTAAAATACAAAGCAAAGATACAGTAAATTTGAACATGAATTCTCCTGATTAAGGAGGTAATTATAGGTATATGATAACAGTAGATTTAGCCCAGCTAAAACGTAATATACAGGAGTAGAAAGATAGATATCCTGCTGAATGTTTTAGGCTTAGAGTGCAGGAAGTTAAACAGGTTGCTATTGCTATCTCAAGGTAGTAGCACCTGAGGTGCTTATATTTACAGAGCTGCTAGAAGACTCAGCTTCAGGTTCGGATCCCTTAGCAGAACTGGCAATATGCATAAGGCACTCGGATCGGACAGGCAGAGGGAACTGAAGGTCGATTTCGGTAGGTGGAGGCGTATTAGGGTTGGTGAAGGGAGAGGTACCGAGGATAAACGCCAAGCGCACAATAGTCGAGATATCGTCACCCAAGTGTCGGGCCTCGAGCATACGCTTAAGATCACCAGATGATCGTGGGCACCAGATAAGTTGTGTCCTCCTCTCCTTGGGCCAGATGCACGTCTTCCAGATAGACTTGACCCGGGACTGGCGCATTAAGTTATGCAGCTCAATCTTATACCCCCAGTCAGTCACTATAAAGCCGGCCTCGTAGTGCTTGCAGATATGCTCGAAGTACTTGTCGCGGCTGTTTAATGCCTCATTACTGTTTTGTGCCTCAAAGACACGGTCCTTACAGTTGGCGAACCCGCAACCAAAGACAACCTGAGGGCAAAGCTCTGTCTTCGCCGTGCTGTTCGGCAGAGCGTTCATGTGATGCATCTCCTTGGCATGAATGGAATATGCACGCTCAGTGGTGAAAGAGAGGTGGCAGCCCTTACTCTTGCACAACCATGTGGTATCACTGCCGTGGAAGTTGTAGAGATGTCTCTTAAAGTCGCTCTTGCGACCGAAGCCCACAGCGTTATTATCCAGATAGCACATGGGACACTGGTACTTTTTGGACGTCGGCATGACTTGTTGAGGCAAGGGGTGGGAGGGAACGTCGGTGTGGTTGTCATCGCTCCCTCCCTCGTCCTTCGCGGCATCGTTCTTTACGTCGAGATTTTGGGATGCTGCCAGAACATCCCCGAGCGCCTCATCCGCTGGCAGATCTGAGCTATTCCTTTTCCGCTCATCTATCCCCTTAGCCCTGTCTTGCTTTCGTTGAAGCATCGGCTTAAGGATCGGATCGTCGTCCTCAAGAGTCCCGAGCGATTTCTGGGACGCGAGCTCATCAAAATTCCAACTGACCATCCAGTTATCCTTGTGACTTGAATCTAACTCAAAGTGGGCATCTCCTAGAAAATTTGGGGGTTTGGTGTCGGTCGGCTGAGGATTCCAATGGTCCCAGAAGCGATCCCCTCCAAATCCCAGCATATCATCGTCCATCAGATTCTTAATCGTACTCCTGCTTTGGGGCCGTGAAGTATTATCACTATCATATACACTTCCAGAATCGTCTGTTATCTCTTCTTGGTAGCTTGGAAGTGACTTGAGGGCCAGGGATCTCAAGTGTCCAGCGATGTGGTCCTCCACACGGCCATCAACCTCGGTCTCATCTTGGCCGCACAGGGGACACGTTGGAAAGAGCTTCCCCGTCTTTCGAGTGTTCCTGTTTGCCAAGAAGCGGAGTTGAGTGTCACTGAGTTTGGTGTTATGGGCTACTCGCATGTGCATGATGTACTCTTCGCGAGTAGAGAAAGGACCCAACTCGCGGTGAGAGGAGCAGCGCCAGACCTTGGCATGCTGGTGCAAATGGTTGAGCCATTCATCGCTGTGGTTATAGATCAGGTCCGGTTGGTCGCAGTCCTCAAAGAGGCACACGTAAGGGTCCAGGTCATTCTTGAGGTGATTCCTGGAAGGCTGGTTAGTAGATCCTAGGATCACAAGAACATCACAGTATAACGATTTCTTGTTGAGGGGCAGATGAGTACTTACTGCCACTTTCGCTCATCGAACATTTCTTGGGCCGGGAGAGCGTAAAGGCAATAAGGACAGGTGATTTCTCCTATTGCTTGGAGGTCTGACTTCAGCAATTCACTGAGTTTTGACTCCGCGTCCGAATTCACTTCCTTGAGCTCATTCGCATGACGGTACTCAGCCACTCGTTGACTCTTGAGCTTTTCGTACTTCCGTTTGGCAGCGAGGCTAGGGGCGGGTGGGAAAACGAGGGCCTCGTGGTTAGCCAAGGCGACCGTCTTGCTTGCCGAAATAATAGATGGGCTTGAAGACGCTATTTTGAACTTGTTGGGGGCTAAAGTTGTCGCACTTTGTATATGTGAGGGGGCAATTATGGTCGCTGCCACGGCAGCAATCTGGCCGTTATCTTGTTTCAGATTGCCTTCCGCCGAGGGTACTGTTGGCTGAGCAGCTGGCAATGTGATCGAGGCCGTGGGGACTGCTTTCTGCGGTCGGATAGCGGTGATGCCTTGACGACTTCTCCTGTGCAGAATTCGTTTCCTTCGAAGCAGCATCGCGCGAGCAAGTCTCGTTTGGATAGTTTCGCTGATGTTGGGAAACCGATCGCCAATATAATGTTCGAAATGACCGAGCAGGAGTGGCTCCACGTTATTGCCGTCGTCTATGATCTGAAAATCGCTCGCTTTGATAATTTGGGCTTCTTTTCTGGCGCTGCGAATTGTGTTCGAAATCTTGTTGAGGCGACTGATCTCAGTCGCGATGTCTACAAAGGAGCGTTCCACGCGTTCGTTTATGACACTTCGAGCATTTGTTGCAGGGGAATTGCCCAGCGCACAAAGGACATCCGAGCCTGTGTGTCCTTAGCTTTACTTGTTCACTATTGGAGAGTAGAATCCATGTGAAGAAAAATGATGAAGTGCCATGAAGGGCTGAGACCTACAAGTTCGAATGCGGTAGTTCAGAGACTCCAGCAGACCGGCCACGACACCCTGCACTTCTGGAGCGTATCGGAGGCGGTGATCCATGGATGCTCGCTCAGGGGCAAAGACCCCGATTCCCGTAGCCCAGGTGGAAAACCTCGCAACTTGGTCTTCTACCATTGAGAGCTCCCGAGGATGGATAGAGGACGCCCGGAGGAGGCATTGTTGGAAGGATTCCAGGCACTCGTTGGCGGAGGCGGCAACGGTCGGCACCTTTGGCTCTGAAGTCTCGTCTGCGTCCGTCATGATGATGAGACCGCCGGATCTGGGACAGTAGGATGGGTATTAGAATATGAGTTATACTCGATACGACGGCTCAGGAGCCTTCATGCCCGGTACTTGTCGTCATAGGGAATTGGGCGATTCGGCCGCGATGCCTCAGGGCTGAGGAAGCTGTCGATGGTGCCATGGACGGCCAGGCATCAACGCAGGAATCCACTCAGCTAGGCCTTGAGGCTTCTGTGGTTGGTCGGTTCAATAAGGCGATACTAACAGAAGGAGTGTTTGCTATAGCTGGCCTGCCCAGAAGCCACTGTAGAAGACACGCCAGAATGCACCAGAAAGTGAATTGTGAATATTAGGAAAATCACCCAAGCTGTGACATCCGGTGAAAATTCATCCCGAATTTTGGCTCGGAATTCTCTCTGATCAAATATTGATCTATATTCTGTACATGGTAGCACATGTAGTCCATCTGTTATCAAGACCCTTCCAGCGCCGATGCCCCGCCCCGTCTCAGCCGCACCTGGTGTTCTCCATCTGCCCACGCGCTCAGCTCGTCATCAATGACCACGCGACAAAGATAGCAGCGACCAGATTCGCTATAACATAACCAACTCCTCTGGCTAGTCGCAGAGCGGATACTAGAACCTATCGTCGTGACACAGTCGAAGGCTGGCGGGATGGTCATATCCTCTGCTCCCGAAGACGGGGGCGGGAATGACGACTTGCTCTTGAAAACGTCCGAAACCGTCCTGCAGATGGCGGAAATGGCTCGAATCAACAATGTCAACGAAGAGATCAGGGTCTTCTACAGCCACCTGGGATTCCACTGCATTAGACTGCGAGACCACGCAAGGCGCGCACGGCAGTCCTCATCTCGACTCAACGGTGAACTGGTCAATCAAACTCTGGGCCACCTCGACTCTTTAGTCCCCAAGAGCAATCTCCAGGAGCTGCCGCCATACACCGTCACGTTGGAGTTTCGTCTCGGAGCACTCAACCTTCATTGGAGCGAAGTACGAAAACAGCATGACGAGACGAAACTCGAATTCATCAACCGATGGTTGATGCCTGGGACATCCGAGGAGCAGCGAGGCGAGGTGGACAAAAGGCTAGAAAGCTGTGCGGACGACTTCGACAAGCAACAGCCCGAGCAGTCTTCTTCCAATAAATCCGTCGGCAAATTTGCGTCCCCGGACTTTGGTGAACCATCATATGCCGTCTGGAAGGCGGCTCAGTCCATCTTTGATGCATTGTTGGACTGCAAGGGATGCTCCTGTCCTAGCCAACATGAGTTTGGGGCAAAACTCGAATTGGGCACGTACCGAAAGCCCGAGAAGAAAATCGACATGAAACCGCCCGTCAAGTCCCTTCGAAATCGGGTTCGAAAATCTCGTGGTGATGAGGCAGCCGGGGAGCTTGATTTCGACATGTTTCTCTCCATGGAGCGGGATTGGCACGAGGTCCGCATCCGGATCGCCAAAGAGAGAGGCGTCTGCTTCAGTCTTCCAGGTGAGGTGGTGCCACCTCGTAGTAGCAGCGCCATCGACGGACACGCAAAGGTGGACAGGCTATGCAAACCCATTGCCAAGACGAAAGCGAAGGCCTTGCAACGCCTTGTGTTGAAGCTCACCAGTGGGCAACTCTTCGAGATGGGATTTGAGAAGAGCAACTCTCGGATCGACAAGACCGCCAAATCAATCTCTCTCTCTCAATGTTTCGAAGGGCGACACGAGTTCTTCACGGAGAAGACGAAGCGAATCCTTTCGCTCATCATCGGCTACACGGTTCTCCACCTGAACGGCACTTCCTGGCTCCTGCCAGGGTGGGGATCAGCAGACATCAAGTTCTTCCAGACAACCTCGTGCCAGACTCCCTTGCGACCATTTATCCAAACCCAGCTGCCCAAGGGCAGTCCTGCCGGAGCGACCCCCGATTTTCAACTCGTAGTGGACAGTGGGGAAGGCGACGATGAGGTATCGGACGAGCTAGATTCAGGGCATCGCTGCCCGGCAGTGGTTGCCCTGGCCGTGATCCTGATGGAAGTGTATTTCGTCAAACCATTCAAAAGATTGGCCGAGATGCATGATATCCCACTGATTGAGGATCCCAGCGGCCGCATTCCCCTCATCGACGTGGACCAAGTGTTCAATGGCGATGAGGAATTCGAGGAGGAGGGATGGCGATCCCAGATCCCCGAAGACTCTCCTCTCCTGACGGCCATTGACAACTGCTTAGATGTCGCATTGTGGGAGGACGAAGAAGGCCAGGCGCTCGACAGTGGAACGCTCAGGTCGCGGATATATCAAGAGGTTGTTCGGCTACTGGAGCTTCACCTGACCCACGGCTTCAGCCAGATCCCTCTGGACGGCGTCGACAAATATGCCAGGAATCTGGATTTTGGAAACTGGGGTCAGGTCATGACCAGCCAGGAGCTGGACGGCCAAGGCGGTTCGTTGCCCCCGGTTATCACACCGACACGCACCCCATCACCCGCGTCTATGATGCTGCCAAACCAAGTCGGAGTCTGTCCGATTTCGCCCGATCTCTGGAAACATATGCATCAATTTTCACAGTTCAATTCTCTCTTCTCATATCCGACACCGGATCTGGATTCCATGTTAAATTCCGATGTTGGATACAAGGTATCCTGGTTCTTTGACGATGAAATTTGCGACCGGGGGGATTCTATCGACGAGTGAGTCTCCGAGCTCGCAGTCTTACGGGCTTCTTGTCGTGACTTGGATTTCGAATGTTGTTTAATGGCTGAACTCTACCCGCTGACTCTCGATTCTATTGAACTGATAGTTACTTGACATGGAAATCCGAATACGAAAAGGTCTACCAGAAATTCATCACCAATCACCTTCGGAACACTCCCTCAAAACCAGTAAAAATTGCGATTCTCGACACAGGCATCGACAGAGATCACTACTCCTTCGAAGCTCGCGAGGACAACCTCGGAGGAAAGCTCAATTGTTGCAACGAGTCCCAGAAGAACGTCCCGGATAGAAATGGACATGGCACCTTCGCTGCGAGTCTGATTCTCGACTATGCTCCAGATGCGATGCTCTACGTCATCAAAATCACGGACGAGGAAAATGCGAGACCAGACGCGAAGATCGTAGTGAATGTAAGTAGCTGGACTGAGTTTGCTTTCTTCCCCAACGTGCTGGTGCTGATGCACGCAGGCGATCAACCACGCGGTCGACAAATGGGATGTAGACATCATCTCCATGTCGTTTGGGTGGCCGTCTTCCGACTTTGACGGCCACGACGCCCTCCAAACCGCCATAGACGAAGCATACAGCAAGAAAGTCCTTATGTTCGCCGCTGCTGCCAACAGCGGCGGCCGACTAGGCCGGGCATATCCTGCCAGCAGCTCACAGGTCATCTGCGTGCATTCAACCAATACATACGGGAGGGCATCTGACTTCAGTCCGACGGCTGAGCTCAACACCGTTAACATTGCGACGGTCGGCGAGTCGATCCAGTCGGCGTGGCCGATACTGCTCTGCCGCGACAAGTCGAACCAGAAATGCGTCGAGTCCCGTTCCGGTACGTCGTATGCGACACCCATTATGGCGGGTATCGCAGCGTTTCTTCTGCAGTATGCACGGCTGCATCTACCGGAGAGCACGGCGCTGGCGTTGAAGCGAAAGGAGAAGATGGAGGCCTTGCTGAGGAGATGTGCGGAGCGGGGGCCGAATTATGCGCCCAAGGACAGGCACTTCTACGTTGAGCTGAGTTTGAATGACCATAATATGTTTGGCGGGAAGCTGGAGGGGGTCAATCATGAGATTTTGAAGGCATTGAAAACATAGCGAGCGTGTTTGGATATATATATTTCAGTGTAATGCCACGACCTCAGATACCGAAACCTTTTTGCCACTATCCCAACTTACGAAGCAACGGAATCCGTTCTTCTGCTTGCGTGGCAATCGTCGGAGTCTTGATCCCTTGGAATGGCGCAGACCACCACATCCTCATCATCCATCAGCTCCTCCGCGTCAAATCCTTCAGCTTCCGCATCCGCCTCTTCAACCTTGAGGACAGACAATTCTGGACCCTTCACTTTCTCCCTCTCACTGCCAAGCATGGCTCCCTTGCGGTAATCCTCCTCACTTACCGCCTGACCTGTCGCCTTGCCCACGAAAACTTTGATGACGCGAAATGCAAAAACAAAGTCGCTGCTACCCTCCCATTTCGTTCTTGACTCGTTGCCCACCTTGCCCTCCACCCCGGGACCGCGGTCGAGGGGGACAGTGCCGCCGCTCCAGACGGTGCTGTCGACTTCGACGGCAAGAGTGCCGCCCACGGTGCGAGACTTGAGCGTATTAGCTTCGGCACCGATGACGACTTTGAGACCGGTGATGATGTAGACGGGCTTGCGGTACCGAGAAAGTTGTAGGAAGTGGCGGACGTTGTCGGCTTCGATGCATGTCTGGATATAGGATGGTGCTAGTATGAATTGGGTGGTCTCAAGGGTTTTGAAGTTGAATGTCTCCTCTTTACTGTCACCCTGAATAAGATATAGCATGCTAGTAACAGCACGGTCGCCTACCTGTTATCAACTTCAGCGCTGACATCGACGCTGAAACCAAGAACGCTGAAGAACTTAGTCAAGATGGAGAATTTTCCGCGCCGCAGTTTCTCCTTGGTGTACTGGACGCTCCTCTTCTCCGTCTTGAAGATGTCGGAGTCCTCCAGCGGCGGAGAGTGCGAGAGGGGCCGTTGCGGCCTCTTGACCGATGTGATGATGTTGCCTAGCTTGATCGGACCGCCCGGTGGGAAGTCCCACGTCGGTGGGTAGAAGAAGAAAAACTCGCGGTTGGCCATAGATTCTGTCTTGTCTGCCTTTTGCGATTTGGATATATCTCTATATTTAATAGCATTGATTAGGCATCCATCAGGTGCGGGGAAGGAATCAGGAAACGAAGTGTCAATTCAGGGTATCCGGAATAACTCGGCGCGCTGAGGAGTCTGTAATTGGTGTATCTGTCGCTTGGCCTGCAGGCTGAAAAACACCGCCCTTCAGCTCTTTATTAAAGTGCTGACTTTTACTAAGTATTAATATTTCGCTGTATAGAGGTTGAACTGTCAAATTTCATGTTCGGGGTGGGTAATTAGTGTTACATCCAATTTGACTCTATTCTGAGGGTATTCTAGGGTTTTGTTGAGAAGTAATGTGGACTAACCCTTACTGGGTATTACTATTGGTAGTATTGTGGTAGAAAACCCGGCGAAAGACATCGATATCAGCGCTTTATGTGAAAGGCATAGCTGGTGGTTAACACAGAGTTTGCAGATAATCATCCCCGGGTGTCAATATCAGGAATCTCGATTAGTTATTCGAGAGTAAATTATAATACAGCTAAGTCCCACTGCAACCCGAACCCTATTTCCAGTACTGATTACTGATGTGCATCCTGTCTACAGTAGCATAAATACGAATGAAGCGAATGCACTGCCAACAACAAATGTATTGACGCTTAACAGCGATGCGACGTTATCGCTGCCTTCTTCGCCCACGGTCTGAGTGGTGTTGATTGCGATGCAGGTCAGTCGCGAGACCGTCTCGTCCACGACGTTGCCGCTACCGTCGCTCTTGATGAAGAGTGTTAGCAGCGGGGTAATCCTGTTCAGCTCGGGGTAGGCAGTAGATGCATTAAGTCCTCCCTATTGCAAAGAAGAAGAAGAGTTAGTGTTCGATGCATTTCAAGAGAGGGAAGCAGCGGTGATGACTTACGTCGAATTCAACGACTTCGGTGAAAAGCTGTGCCAGGTTGGCCGACTTAGGCAGTATGGGCCAACAGTCGCTGGTAGAGTTGCGAGAGCCGTTGATGTTTTCGAGGCTGGAGAGGGCTCTGGAAGAGATTTGACCGATGCCCTTGCCTCCACCGGTGAGGTTCTCGCACTCGGAAATATCGTTGTCTTCCAGATCTTCCTTGACCGCCTTGCACAGATCGTCAAAGTTTCCCTCGGCGACCTTGACAGCACGGTCTTGAATGGCGTCGATGCAGCTCTGGCTGATGACCTCAGAGCAGGTATGCGATCCACCCTGCTCGAACCTGTCTTGAGGCGGGTCATGGAAGATGACGGCACAACCATGGACGTCATCCAGCGACACGTCCTCTGGAGTGCCTAGGTAATAGACAGAGGTGAAGTCATTGGCGCCAGCGCCAGAAATGTTGACACCCTTGACAATAGAGAAGTTGTCGAGAGAATCTGGTACATCCGGGATGCGGGCGAGCCCGATGTTCTCGAAGGTGATGTTGGTCAGGGTGCAGTGAGGCTCGAAGTTGTCCATGGGACAGCCGACCGCCTCGCAGCCGACGATGGTTTCCTCCAGGTCCTGGGCATGCGACAGAAATACCAACGAAGACAAGATGAAGGGAATAGTGAGGGTTTTGGGCTGAGGCATGATGAAGTTCTGTTCCTCTGGTGAGGTAAGATGGGGGTGAAATACAGGCGGTAAAGGGAAAGACAGTATGGTCAGAAAACTGAAAACAAGGCCACGCGCATGGCGGAATTTGAGACGGTTATATTAGCGGCCAAGCCTAAAATGGGAGCAGAGACAGATAACCTCGCAGTACCAACCGCATGCCCGTGGCCTGTAAATAACCAAATAACCGCGAGCACAGCCGACCAAACGTCTCATGCGACAGACGGGACAGGGGGTCAGCCAATGACTCTCCACCACGACGTGGAGCGCCTGAAACCGAGCGCTTAGATGCGTCGGACAGAGCGAATGATGGCGGCGCGTTCCGCCAAGCTTATTTGAATCTGACAGGGGCTTTATTTAATCTTTGTTTGGCGGGGCTCTACCGCACAATTGGTACACATTTATCGAGTGCCTTATCACGTACGAATAGACAAGGCTTCCTTACCGCCAGAGCCAAGTCCACGGGTCAGGCTAACCACACAGGACGATCAATTCAGCATCAGGCCGAGTCAGCAGGAGCCCGGCCGGCTTGCCAAAGCCCCAAGTTGGTCGCCAACTCCCCGGCCGGGACGAGACCTTCAGTCTAGCCTGGTGTCCTTTCCCACGATCTCACCGACTTTCGAAACAGTGCTTGCGGTGAAAAGATCAGGCTGAAGAACTTCCATCTTCCCCTTTTTTCACGATCGTGGTGTTGAACGACGATACATAGATTGGGGAAAGACAGGACGGGTCATCAATGTGAGTCAAGACAAGGACACGAAGAAATACAGAACGAGCTTAGCAAAGGAAATGGCGTAACATCCTCGCCAAATATCCACAGCCGCAATCCGAACCCAATTTCTGTGCAAAGCCTCCCGCCGTAAGCACGGCGACTTTGTACTGATCTCTTACCCTGGTTCATCCAAAGATAAGGTACGGTAGAAGCGCGTCTGCGGCCACGAGGTCGCAGGGCCGAGACGCCTGAAACCGATAATCCAGCCGCAGCGCGGTAATGAGTCCAACGGGCCACTCTAAATGGGCACTTTAAATTTACGCGGAGCTCGTCTCCACACGTAAGGCTCACGCCGCCGTTATGCACTTTGGTTTTCGCTTGCGAGCGATGAGCTGGCACGGCTATCAACTGCTCTGTCGGCGTCTGGCCAGCCTTTCGTGTCTTGGTCTGTCATGTTCGGCGACTGGAGACTTAAATTGACATCTTTCGCCGTCAGTTCTCGCTTAATTCTACTCAGCATTCTCATCACCCCAGAAAAGCACCCCGGCCAATCTTCCTTTCGCTTGTTACCCTCAAGGAAGTCTTGGGTTCCACTCATTATCATCCTCACTACTCTTTACTCACTTCAACTGTTATTCTACTCGTTACCTTTCACCTTCAGTTAATTCAGCCCATCCATAATCATGGCTGGCGTCATTGAAGTTATTGGTGTCGTCTCCGGCCTTCTCGGCATTATCCAGTTCGGCATTGACAATTTCGTCGAGGAGCCCGGTGAAGGATCGACCTTCAAGATCGCTGTTGGCCTTGATGGCACTAACGGTCTCTCCGAAGCGGGAGGTAATCTTCCTGATGTGTAAGTAACTACAATCCCTTTTATCATTCTTTCACTTGGCTTATTTCTTCCAGCCGTGTCTGGAATCAGAACGGAGAATTCGTGGGGATGGCAGCCGACTCAGGCGACGTGAACGACGGAAATCTCGGCGAGGTTCACGTCAACCACGAGAACCAGGGCGTCTACACCCTCTTCTCGGCCAATGACAATGCCATCTGCATCGCCTGGGTCACCACCTCCTGGAGTGAGGACAGAGGCGGCAACCACTATGCCGTCCAAGGAGACATGGGCTACCACTGCGGCGCGAGCTGGTACTACAGCGGCATGTACTACAACTCCAATGAGGACCAGTGGAACAGGCCCCCGGAAGACCAGCCCAAGTGTTTCTGGATCGACAAGAACGGCGACCAGCCGAGCACAGGATTCCAGGTCCGCTGGCCCGCCTTCTCCACGAGCGAGGTCGACCCTAATGCGCCTCCTGAGCAACGCGATCCCAAGTCCAAGTGCGACAACGTCTCCTTTGGCGTGAGGAGTGAGGAAGACCCCAGCTACATCAACTACTGGACGCGTAGGAAGAGACGCCACCTCACAGGCGCCCCTGGCCAATTAAAGCGCCAACATAGCCGTCGAAACGAGGCCATGGAGTCGCAGCTCATCGTCGGGGACGTTGACGGCCTCTCCGCCCGCTTTCTCTGCGAGTCTGCCACGTCGGTCGGGCCCGACCTTGCCAACACTAGCGAAGGGCTCTTTTGCGATATGGGCGAGAAGAAACTGTACGACTTGTGCAGCGAAAGTGTGCAGGCTGGCTGCTTCGACATCGACTCCAAGACGCTCAGGCCCGCATTCGACGGGACGATTGCCGGCTTGGTGGCCAGCCGTGCAGTTAGCCGTGGTGAGAAGACATACAAGACGACTCTTGACTGGCGCAAGAACCAGGATACCGTTATCTGAGCTGTTTCTCGTGAGATTTTATTTATTACTATTACCAGTGTTGAGAGGGGGGCGGCAAGAGGTGGAAATGTTGAAGAATCTGCACTTTTGAGGATCTATTTATTGGGTTTTGAGAGTGTATTGGATACGGATTTGTATGACTACCTATAATTTAGCGAGTGTTTTGCTTTTGAAATGTATTTCTTTTTTTTTTTTCGTGCATGAGTTCTAATCCAGGTCGGTTCAACCTTCTGCACCGTGGAAAATAGTGTTGAGCCGTAGATGACCTGTGGTAACATGAATTCAACGGCTGAAGATACAACCATGCGTTGTAAACTCTCACTCTCCAATTTCCATACTTGATGTTTTAAGCTGCTGAGTCTCCGAAGTGGTCGGAGTGCGTGTGTGAGATGAAGATGGTGTCGATAGGAGGGATATGTCTTGTCTTCCTTGCCCCCTCAAGAGCCCTGGCGCGTCGCTTTTCTGGACTATATCAACAGGGACAAAGAAGTCGTCCAAAAAAAACCTTTTAGCAGGCCCGAGACTTTAACGGTGCCATTGGTGAAACGAGCTTGGGGTATAGTAACGTGGCTTCGTCCCTCGAGCTCCTTTTGCATAAGTCAGTAATCATCACGTGTGGATAGAGCCTAAAGTTGATTGATTGGGAGAAGGGTGGTGGTTGAATACCTTGCGGACTGACTCGACGTGGTGGAAAGATTGATTTATAATATTGTGAGGAGTTATTGATGCTTGCAGAGTAGAATACTATTCTCCTTCTTCATCCGTCTTTGAGCGTGATTTGGAGGACCCCCTCTTTAAGGTAACCAGTTTGAATCCCCCATCCATCAACGGCATTTAGTCCACCGGCAGGGGCTACCTACGCTCACGGAACGACGTTGCCAGTCACATCGGAGGGCCTGCCCCTCGATTCGCCCTTACTTTCGACCTCATTGGCCCGGTTCATCGGGGTACCGAGGCGCCGAGTTGGCGGTTGTAACTCCGACGCGACGAATGTGTGGTAGCTATTAAGGAGTGCAATAGCCGCCATGGATGCCCTCTCTTCAGTCCAGGCCTTTGCCTCTGAAGCCTGGAGATCTTTTCATAATGGCGCTAAGCGTAATAATAGCAATGCGCCTCAGATGTTGCCAGCGACGTGGTTATCTTGACAGGTGCCGGTTCTCATATGAACGGTGAGTTTGAATCCAGCCTTGGCCCATTGCTTTCTCGAGCTTGCTTTTTCCTGACCAACTCAATGCAATTGGCGAGTTTGGCAACAGCCGTGCTGCCGCCGTTCTCCTGGCCCACCAAGGAGCAAAAGTAGCCCTGGTTGACTTCAACATAGATTGGACCAAAGATACCAAGCGGATGATTGACGAAGAGGGTGGCACCTCCGAAGTATTTTAAGTAGATGTAACTGACGATGAATTATATAAGAATGCTGTAGCTATGATTGTTGAGTTGGACGGTGCTATGTATATACTGGTTAATATTGGTAACTGTTAGTATCCTGTTAGTATTTGAGAAAGAGTTGCCTTTTCTTCCTAGTTATTCTGGAGAGTATATGTCTTTATTTACTATTACTCTGAGTTTACTTGCTGATGGTTTGATGTAGTAGGGGTGGGGGGTGCGATATGGATGCCTGGGATAGTGATTTATGTATTAGTGGTACTAGTATGGTCCTGATGAGTTGTTACGCCATACTCGAAATGAGGAAGTAGGGCTGCGGATCTATTGTCAATATGTCGTCTGTTAGTGGCCGCATGTTGCCTCTGATCCCACCCATCCCTCTGTAAATGTAGCTTATCTGGCCCCTCGGGACGGGAAAGATAAGTTGTGAGGGAAGAAATACGTAACACTGACATTTGATGGCCTCCGTAGTGCTCAGCGGTAATCCAAGCCTGCTTTACCCTACTACTAAGGGCGCCATTATCCAAATGACCAGAGCCACGGCCGCACGTCACGGCCGCGAGAACATTCGTGTCAATTGCGTCGCCCTCGGCATGGTCTACACACATATGACTAGAGGACGTGGGATGACGAAGGAAATGAGGCAGGCCAGGATCTACTAGAACTTGATGCAGAAGGAGGGGCCGGCTGCTAGCAAATCTACGAGTATGAGAGACCAGCTGAAGATTCTGGGCCTTCCTGAGGAGTATCTGTTGGTGGATACAGGCTATAGCACATGACAAGAAGTCCCGCAAAGGACGTTCGTCTTTTTGTGATGGTATCCCCCGCTCGTGGTGGTAATCGAGACACCACGACCCCTTGCCTGCAGGGTAGCGGACACCTGTTTGAGTTAAGTCAGTGGGCACCTATATTTCCTCATTCGGCCACTGTGTGAAGCCAAGTAGTTCGCACTCGACTATTGGCTTTCGTGTGGATGGCGTGGGCCAAGCTAAGCAACCCCCTGCACGTAAAGATCTCGTGGGGCTGATAGGAGTTGATAGTGACTGGAACTCGCTCCCCGCATGTTTTTATTGAGCTTCATTCGGACTTATTGAAACTCTAGTTGCCAGCTGAACTTCTGAATCGGGGTTCGGAGAAAGGGACGTCAAGGCGGTCCCGTCAGCCCAGCTAGAGTGACACGCAAACAGCTGGCTACCTTGACCTCTTCTCAGATCGGGATCTCGTCAGTACTTGCTTCCAGAGGACCGAAGATTTATTCCCAAAAGTCTACGTCTGCTTCGTGCGCCATTGATCAGACCCTCGCCGACCATGTCCACCACCACCACCACCATCGCCACTATGGGACATACGCACAAGGCGCCAGCCATGTTCTGCGCACCCGGCAACCCCCAGGATGTGAAGAACGGCTTTGGAGGATTTGGCGACAGCATCGACGCCGTCGCACCATGGCCGAGCGGCTCCCGGCTCCGCCTCACGATGCTGTCAAACGAGAAAGTCCCGGGTTGGGTGACTGACATCATCAGATCGGCCGTTACCGAGTGGACAAACGGCCTCGGCGAACCGCTCGAGGTCCAATGGGTCTCTGCGAACGAGACATCGGACATTCGCATGTCATTCCGGAACGACGTGCCAAGCTGGAGCTGCGTCGGAGCTCGGGCGGCTATGTACGAGCAGTCGAAGCCGTCGATGAACTTCAACTTTGGGGGGTGGAAGGGTAGCAAGGCCGTGTACTCGCCCGCCTACGTTAGGCGACTGGCTTATCATCTGTTTGGCCATGCCCTGGGCCTGTGAGTCAAATCTCCGTTCTGAGAGTCGTTCTGGGCGCTTCCTCGTCCCGAAAACTAACTTGGCCGCTCATCAGACCGCACGCCCTCCTGAGCCAGGGGCCCATTCAATGCAAGCCGGGCGAACTCGAGAAGTTGTGTGGCCCCTACTACGCCCAGATGCTCGGATCTGCAAAAGGATGCAGTCTGCTGCGGGACACCCAGTCCATCATGCACTACGAGGTTCCCGCTGCGCTGGGCATGAAGGGTATCGATCTCCTCCAGGGAGGTCGTGCCATCGACAGTGAGGCCCTCGCCCTCGTTCGCTCCCTCTACCCCCCAGTGCCGCAATCCAGCCTCGTCACCTGCATCGCCACGCAACTCCCCGGCTTCCAGTCGGGATGGAGCGGCACGGCCAATGGGAAACGCTTCATCAGCACAGCGCAGACGGCAAACTTCGTGACCGGCCTCAACAAGGTCGATCTGGGCACCAACGGCAACTTCCGTGTCTATTCAGAAATCGTGGACTGGCAGCGGGGGTCCGGGTACTCACTCAAGATAAGAACAGATGCCGATGCTCACCTGATCGATGCGACTTGCGACGTGCTCTCGTTTGACGAGGCAGATCAGAGAATCAGGACCGGCCTCGTCAATTGGCATCACTTGCCCGGTGGGAGCGCGCGTTCGTATCGCGAGAACTTTTCGAGGCCGTTCAATAAGCCGCCTAATGTGGTTGCCTTTATCAGCGGGTTTGACAGTGTTAAGGGGAGGAACATCCGCATCGATGTGAAGGCCTCGGCCATTGACAGGAATGGCTTTACCCTGGATATCAGCACCTGGTCCGGTAAGTCTCTCATTACTTGCTCTCTCTCTCCCTCTCTCTCTCTCTCTCTCTCTCTCTCTCTCTCTCTGCGGAACACGCACCAACTAAACTGATTTCCACCAGACTCCATCGTCTACCAGATTGCAGCCTCTTGGATCGCGCACGAACCGGACGACTGGACCATCCGGTCCGGTACCTTCTCCCATCCTTTCGATCCGAACCTGACGCTCGTCGCCCGGTGTACCAGTCACTACAGCAGCCCCATGCGTAGGCGGCCCAGTAAGCTGTTCTGCGCCTTCTCACATATTGACGTCGGTCCCCACTCCAACGTCCGCCTGGGTCTGACAGCAGAGTGTGATGAGAACAAGGTCCAGAGCATCTTGTATACGTGGGAGCAAGAGAGCAAGTTTGTCGTGTTGGCTGGGTCCTATGTTGCTATTCTGTAAGAAGTCAGTCGAGTCGTAGAGTTTCACGATGGTAGCTTTCGTGTTTTTTCCTTTTACAAGGATAACGATTCAACTGGTCACTGTGCTTTTTGTTTCGAGAGCCATTTCCGAGTACAAGCAAGATATATTTCTACTAGAGAACGGTTGGAGTTTTTCGTGTCAAGGACTCATATTGCGGCCTCTATCTGTCTTTATGCTTCCTCGCCTCCGACCTCATCTTTGTCATCAGCCTCGTTCTCCTTCATGTTGGCTGCAGCCATCAACTTGAACCGATTAAACGTAGCCACCGAAGTCTGGTCTATGGTGCCCTTTTCGGCGGCGTCCTTCTCGTTGGTGCCCAGCAGCCGCATCAGCTGCACGGCGTTGGCCTTCTTCAAGGCAGCTGCATCTAGCTTCCGGTCGATTTTGTTGTTCAAAGTCTCGGCTCCCTTGACGACTTGCGCGGAAATGGCCGCGGCGATCTTGGCGGGCCCCCCTGCCTGGGAAACGATGGTTAAGAAGCTGCCCGCGGTGATGAGGGCGATGCCGCCAATGACGGCGAGGACGCTGACGGTGATGCCGCCCACCTTCATGCCGGCATTCTTGAGGACTGTCTTCAGTGAGGCGTTATTCTGGACCGTCGCGGCCGCCTCACCGAACTCCTTGATGGCCTTTTCGTCGTTCAGGAAGATGGCGTTGCGGCGACGCGCCGGGTCGGCGCCGGACCCGACTTTGTTGAGCATACTCTGGATTTTCACGTCGACCTCATCGATGGCCTCTGCGACCTGCCCTATGAACTCGGCGTTCACCTCCTCCTCAACGGGCTCGCCGATGATTTCTCCACTGGGCGAGACATTGGTCTTTTTGAACCGCAGCTTTGCTGGCGGACGGAGGCCGACGGCCGCGAAGCTCTTCTGGATTTGTTCAGCCGCCTTCTCGGGATTGTCCGAGATGCCCTCCTCCTCATCGTTACTGTCGACCGGGTCTTCATCGTTGATGGCTTCAATGTCCGAGGGCTTGACCTTGCCGCTCCGGCGCAGCTTGGGATCTTTCGAGGTTCTGCCGCCTGTATCGTCGTCGTCGTCATCATTAACGGACTCCAGGTCGTCGTCGGGACCGCCGGGGTTTTGATCCAGCTTCCCCGTCGTCTTGTCCCTTCTCCTTACGGGCTTCTTAGTGGTCGATCGGTCGTCGTCATCATTATTGTCGCTGTCGTTGTCGAAGTCTTCGTCATCGTCACCTCCAGGGCCCTTGTTTCCGAACAGGGTCTTCCCTTTACCGAATGGCTTTCGGCCGGGTTTGTTTCTGTTGCTCATTGTCGAGTCCGAGGCGTGGTGATTTCGCAAAAGATTCTAGAGAAGCTGTGGTCTGAAGGTTCGTGGCCAGTGAAGCTCCTGAGAAAAGACAGCGACGGCCCCGCTTCATATCACCCCTCAGTCGAATACAGACAGACTTCAGTCCAGCTCTCCTAGCAAAGACTAACAAAGACCTTTCACATGCCTCACTTGCGGGGTCGTGGCACTCTGCTCGGGACTATGATCCACTCAGGCGAACCGAGGGCGATGCTTCGTGACCAAGTGACTCTCATGGCTCATCCGATTGGAGAGAAGATGGTTTGTCACGCGTGCCGTGTCCAGCTTGTAGCGTCTGGACCCCAAGATTCAATAGTTGCGTGGTTCAGCTGCTGCGCTAGGAGCTAAAGTGGGCTCCGTGTCTGTACACTGTGCAGCTGGTCGGCCGGAATGGATTAGTTGCTTCGTACTAGCGATAGATATATTGCCATACTAGTGCAGACTATTGACAGACTATCGATAAATTCCTGGTGAGAATCGGCCGCGAACTGTCCCCGGCAGCACCGGTCCGAACCGTTCTGGGAAGGTTGTCGTTCTCGACTAAATTCCAGCCATGTGCTGTGGGACCTTCACTTACACCATTCTATGATGCACTCCTCATCAACACAATAGGATGCACTCCTCATCTGCAGAGTAGGACTTCAACACGCATGCAATCATGTCACTTCAGGAGATTCTCGCTCCGAACCTGAACCGCTACACAGCGCAACCGAGTGGTCGCTACCTCTCCAATCGTCTCGTCACCCACAATGGCATCACCATCGCCATCGCCCTGGGCAAGGCGGAGGGCGGCTCGTACTTCTTCGCGTACTCGATTCTGAACGCCGAGGAGGAGAGTCAGGCAACCAAGGAGCAGGCCACGAAAACGGGAGCAGCGGTGGACAAGCTCGACTCGCAGTGTTGGTTCGAAAACGTAAAGATGCTGCAGTTTCCGTCCGAGGTCAGGGTCGTTGGCGAAGAAGCGATCCCCGTTTACGAGATTCCGGCCGTCGATCGCAGCAACCGCAAGGTCGTCCGCTCGCCGGACCAGACGGAAAGGTTGAACACATGGCTCTCGTCTTCGCTGTGCCTGATGGACCTGGACGTTTCCGACTTTCAAGTGCTCTCCGATGGTCGATACGTATACCTGTTCCGCCAAGGCGCGTCAGCAGCGAAGCCATCGCCAAACCCGTTTATGACGGACAAGGAATCCGGGACGCCGCCAGTGAACGGTACCTTGCTCTGTGACCGCTTCACACTCGTCGGAACGACCCTCAGCCAGCCTCTGGAGGCTCGATACCAACGAAGCCGCCAGAAACAGATCCCGCTCAACGAGCAGGACACGCTCGGCGTCAAAGACATCGACGACAAGAACTTTTACGAGCCGACACACTCGCTCCGTTTCGTCCAGGACCTCGCCTACGGCCGCTTCTGCGTCCTTCGAGCCCCCACCGTCATCAACGACGTGGCCAGGTGGCTCATCTTTGCCTACTCTCGCAGATCGGGTCAGATCGAGTGTCTGACAACCGATGTTGCTTCCGACGGCCTGTTCGACCTGCACGGCCGCGTCTACTACACGTGCGACTCGGACAAGCACCCAAAGGCGTTTGCCAACGGCCCGGGCTCTTGCACAGCCTCGAGAAGCGACAACGGCCGGACATGCAGCGAAGCCAGAGTCCCGATCCTGCCCAAGACGCCGGCGTCGAAGCGTGCGATGAAGTTGAGTGGCGGGGAGGAACTTCGTCTCCGAGAAGGGATCAACCTCTCGGGCTTGGCCGACGGCTTCACGCTCGAAGCCTGGGTGACGCCGGAGTCTTTCTGGGACGACACCGACAGCCCGACAGAAGGACCTGCTGAGGGATCTTTCTTCTGTCTGTTTTCTCAGGCGTCTGATGGCAGTCCCGGTGTTTATCTGGACGATAAACTGCGGGTTGTGCTTCGCGTGGGTCCGAAGAATGAATCCCTCGTTGCATCCGACACAAGTCTCAAGGTCGACGAGTGGAATCACGTTGCTGTTACCTACAACCCCGCTAGCCAGACGTTTGGCCTGGTCATAAACGGCGTGGCGGCCGGTTCTGTCTCCTCTGAAGTCAAGCCAGGACAGCTCTCTAGTCTCGGCTTCCAGGCGAAGGAGCCTCAGAGTTCCTTCAGGGGTCTCCTCGACGAAGTGCGCCTCTGGAGCCGTCCACTTCATCCGTCAACCCTCAAAGCCCACATGTCCGGCCGCGCCACGGGCCTGGAGCCCAATCTGGAGGCGTGTTGGCACTTTGACGAAGAATCCGGCACGACGGCCTTTGACGCGACTCTCAACAACCGCGAACTGAGTGTTGTTCCCATCGGAGGTGGCTCGACGCCTTCAGACGTCTGGACACGGTCTGTTGCGCCAATGGTGGCGAGTTACGGTCTCTCGCGAACAATCCTGCGTCTGCCTTCGGCCGTGGAGATCAAAGGCGGGCTCGGTGCTACCGTCTACAACGAGCAAGTCGCCGTCTCAGAGCAGAAGCCCCAGACGGAAGAAGGTTCCAAGTCCAGTATTAACGCCCAAGCGAATCACATGAAGCGTGGCGCGAGGGTGCTGCTGTGCTTCGTGACCGGCACAGGCAACTCGCCTCTACGTCTGGCGGTCCTCGACTTTGGTTTGCTGTCGGACGGCACACTTCCGGACACGCCGGCGTCGATTCCTCTGCCGGCTCTGAGCATCGCTCCCCTGGCTTCCACCAACACGAAAACCGGCCAAGTAGGATCTCGAGTCTCGACGGCTCTCCTCTATGTTGGGAGCCAAGGCATGGAGATATTCGGCGGAATCCTCGCCTTCGACGCCGCAGAGTGCGGAACTGAAGCGCCGTGCCCCTTCGAGTCTGCCATGGGAACCGTCACCATCTTCTTCAGGGCCCAGGGTCGCTGGAATGGAGCCCTCTCGGCGCTCAAGTACAACATATCTCGCAGTGTTGTTGCGGCGGCCATTCCGGCGTCGATCCTCGGTGGACACGAAGGCTTGCTTGCGACGAGCAAGCTTCGACAGGCAAAGAACCTGGTTTTTCAGACGGAGCCGTGTCCGTGGGCTCCAGCACATTTGGCCGTCAACCTCACGCTGACGGCGAATATGGCCGACGGTAAGAAGATAGTCGAGACGTGGAAAGGTGAGCAGAGGGGCCCTCTGGCCGCCCCCTTCTTTTCATTGTCCAGGTCAAGATGCTAATCCTAGAACCATATAGGCCTCCCCCCGCAGCTGGACAAGTTGTACAGCCTCCTAAACGGTACCAGCAAGGGCCAGGCAGATACTGTTGGTGAATTGGCTCAGCTGAAAATAATTGAAGTAAGCACCATCCTTACCTCCAGGTCGGCACCGTGCTCGATGGCAGGGCAAGACTTCCTTCTGTGGCTACTCTCTAACCAACGTCCCGCATTGCAATAGACAGGTGAATACGCAAAGCAAAAGACGCCTCCAACCGAGCTCGTTCTTAGACAGGCTCTCGCCGCCCCCGTTGCGGCAGGGGCATACCTTGGCGTCGGTATGCGCAGCTACATGTTATTAGTTGACGCCAAAGCCGGAGACAAGTCTCTCGTGGCATCGCTGTACAACGACCAGAAGCCACAAGGAAAACCGCCCGGCAAAGGTTCCGAAGTCATAGCCATGAGCTACGAGCACTACGCGCTGATCACCTGCGAGGGCAAGCCCGCCGGCGACTTTACTCTCGGCTCGAGCCTTGTAGCCATGGCTTGGTCGCCGTCTTCCGTCGTCACCGGCCAGGCTGCAAAAGCGCCGACCTCACAGATCCAAGCACCCGGAACCAGCTTCATCACCGGCAGCGGCCAGAGTCCGACTTTCGGCTCGCCGCCGGGCTCGACGGCCCTTCGACTCAACGGCAGCACCGTCTACTCCATGCTCGAGGACGCGGTGGCAACAGCTCCCTGCCCTGGCATTTGCTTCGAGAGCTGGATGAAAGTCGAGCGCGCCTCGGACAAGACGATTGCCGTTGCCTACACGTCGGAGCACTCGCCTCGCGCCGACGGCTCGCCCAAGGAAGAGCAGACGTTTCTGCTCGGCGTCCCGCAGCCATCCAGCAGTAGCATATACGACCTTGTGGGAAACATCAACGGCCTGCAATTCTTCGTCAACCAACACGCGGCGCTGAAGCTTGGCCAGTGGGCACATTTTGCCTGTTCGGCACGGAATTCGTTTGCCCTCGAGTCCTCATACAGTGATTACGTCGACCTCGGCAAAGCGGCCGAGTGGAACGTCTCTGACTTCTCGCTGGCCTTTACTCTGCAGCTCAGCGAGAGCGGCTCCGGTGACCAAACCATCCTCGTCAAGGCCGACAGCGCATCGGGCTCTACGCCATTACACGTCAAGGTCACGTCGAAGCGCCTGCTCCAGCTCTCGTATTGGGCCCCGAACGAAGACGGTGCCGACCCGCGAGAGCGCAACTTCTACTCGCCGGACAATTCGCCCTTGGTCGCGGGTCAGGCATACAAGGTCTTCATCTCGCGCGAGCTCGTCTTCATAAACAGACCGAGTGCGGCCCCGAGATCGTACCAGCGCGTCACGATGCGTGCGTGGCGTTCGGATGGAAGCCTTCATATGCAGTTGAACCCGGACACCTCGGCCAAGCTCACGGAAAGTGAGGGTGCTTCACCGATGCGTCTAAATTTCAACAGCGGAGCTCATCAGACTCACGGGGCTGCGCAGGGAAATGAGGCGCCTCTTTCCCTTGGTGGCGCGTCGTGTATTCAAGCAGGTGGACTGCGAGGCATCATCGGGTCTATCCAGCTGTACTCGTCGGCGATTCCGACTCCCGCATCTGCTCTGGACTTGTACGCGGCTTCTGGAAACACCAAGGGCGCCATCGCCTCGTGGTCGTGTCGCGATGCCGGTGGCTTCAGTCTCGTTGATGACCTGGGCCGCAACCACGGCAAGTTCAAGGGCAACCTGCGCTGGCTCCTCAGTCCGTATAAGCCAGACCACCAGCTCTCCGTCTTCGTCAACGGGACTCGCGTCAAGCATGAGCAGCCAAATGCCACTCACGGGGCCCTTCTAGCGCAGGCAGCTCCGGCAGGACCGCACCAGCTGACGCTCGGAAACGCCCTGGTGGTCGCTGGTGCCGACGATGATAATCAAGGCCGCTTCCTGGGGCTTCCCGTGGACTTCTGCGGCGAGTTTGACGAGATGCGCATCTGGAACGTGCCGCGCACCAGGGAGAATATCTGCGATTCGCTGCATACCAGACTGACTGAGGTCCCCGCGGACATGGCTGTCTACCTCCCGTTTGACGACGCAAACGCCGAGACGTCGCCGGGGAGTCCAGCTCAGGGTGACGATGATGCAATTCTCGCCGACGCCTCAGTCAACTGCTTCCACTTGACGCCGCTCTTCGGGGCTGCGACGGCTAGAGTAGCTTCCGAGGCGCTCGTCGGTCACGATTCTCCTTGTGTCAACCACACGCTCGGTGCCGTCGCCGGCCAGTCGCGCGGAGTCGTGACATATGCCGGGCCTTCGGTGGCCGAGTATGGCGACTTACAGATCAGTGCCAGCGGCGACATGGAGGGCAGCTTCAAACGCGCCTACTCGTACATCGACGACTCCGGCAAGTGGTGTCTAGTAACGGGCTTCCGCATCGGCGCACTCAAGACGGAATGGGTCGGCCAGGTTCAGACATCGCCAACCCTCATCGGCTTCATCGAGGGCGCACCGCCTCTCCCTGTCGATACCTTCGTCGACCCGAGCAGCCGGCCGGCGACGTCGGTCCACTTCCGCCACACCAAACGCTGCACCTACACGTACAGCTCGCGCTTCGAGCACATCAGCGACTTTGACCTCTCGGTCGTCCGGGGCTCCGGAGCCAAGTTCCAGGTCAGCGCCGGCTTGGGCGTCGAGACCGAGACGGCCTCGGGGCAGATCAAGGGGGCGAATAAGACAGTCATTGACATCTCGGCCGGCCTGGTCAACAACGAAGTCCGGACGTCGACAACAAACGTCAACATGGAGATGGGCATGCAGCTGACGGGTGTCTGGAAGGAAGACGACAAGAACCCGGCCAAGGAGACGTATGAGCCGTCCAACACTGGTCTGGCCCTCGTCGAGAGCGAGGTCGCCGACGTCTTTGCCCTTCGGCTCCAGATGCGCGGTCCCATTGCGCCTCTCGTTGCCTACCAGATGCGACCCAACCCCAACACTCCCAAGGACCGCAACCTGGTGTCGTTTGAGATCAACCGCAGATACACCAAGCAGGGCTGTCTCGACGGCCGCCGCGGCCTGACCAACGACCCGGACTACCCTCCCATGTCCTCGGCGCCCAAGGACGCCTCGTACTACAAGCCCGCCGAGGCCTACGCCCTCCGCGAGCGCATTCGGCGGGCCGAGGAGCAGCGCCAGGGCGAATTCGACCGGCACTCGCTGCTATACTCTACCGACCTCCCGCGACGAACGCGTCGAAACATCTGCAACTCGTACGTCTGGACTGCCGATGGCGGCACCTTCCAGGAGACACACTCGACGCTCGACATGGTGCAGTCCGAGGTCGGCGGCAACCTGAACACCAAGCTCGGCGTCGGCGCCTCGTTCGACATGGAGCTGGCCTTTGGCAACGCGCTCGCCACTGTCGACGTCGACGCCATGTACAGCGCCCACTTCAACTTCATGATGGCCAAGGAGCAGACGTCGGACGAGGGATTCGAGCTGGATGCCGATCCGCCACCGCCCGTCGACACCAGATACAAAGACCCAGAGACAGGCGCGTACGTCAAGAGACCCGGCGCCGTCGACGCGTACAGGTGGATGAGCTTCTGGCTGGAGCCCAGCGTCGAGGCCACAGACACCTTCTTCGAGCAGGTCCTCGACCCAGCCTGGCTGGAACAGTCGTCCGAGCCCAACGCAAAGCTCCTGCGCTCACTGCGCGAGGCCCTGGCCAAGGAGACGGGCAATGCTCGCACCAAAGCCTGGCGCGTCCTGCACCGCTGTACCTACGTCAGCCGCGTGCCCGAGAAGGTCGAACAGCGCCCGGCCGCGCCGGGAAACGTCGAGCCGGAGAAGAAGTCGACGCTGCTGGCCGACGTGGCCTGCAACTGGCTTTTGCTCCAGAAGTTGGAGCCCTTTGCGCGCGGCATCGAGTCGAGGGCGATGCTGGCCGCTGCTTTGAAGCCACATGTTTCGAGGCTGTTCCCGACTCTGATCTCCCAGACGCGGCTTTATGTCCAGGTGCTAAACTTGGTAGCGGATTATGTTGGGCTTGCTTGATTGTGTTTCGTTCCTCGCAAAGGCTTCATATTTTGCAACTGTCATGGTCATTGTGTCGAGTCAGTGTATAACAGCTAGACACACAATTTGCCAGTGATTGTATAGCGACAACTGGCTATCCTAGCCCGCTGGGTCATTAAGCGCTTCGCCGACGCAGTCGAACTGGGCTAACACAACCACCAGATGGTTGGGGGAAGAAATTGAGTCTATCCACGTCTTATTTTCTCCTTGTCTTGGGGCCCCCTTGCGCGGGCAATTCTTGATCCCAATCGTCATCCCCGTCCACCTTCCAGTCTTGGCGCTGCTTATAGAAGTCTCCTTTCGCATTCTCAGCTCAGTGTTTACCGCCTCAGGTCTTCTTGCTTGTTTAGCGAGTCCAATCACCCCTCTCCCATGGGATGAAGGGAACGGGAATATTCCGAGTCCCTTGGGATTCGGATGCGCGGGAAGCGCAGGAATCGCGGCAGGCGTTAGCATACACTCGTCAGGGGCTGATGTTTTGAGTTCAGTACATCACAAAGTCCATCAATGAACTTGTCGACGGTGGCTTTTGAATCCCGGTCCGCGCAGCGCCGAAGAAAAGGAAAAACGACACGCAGTTGAACCTGTGTGACTATCTACCAGGTCTAGTAGGATTTCCCTGGCGTTCCTTCTTGAGAGTAGAACCAGTTCATCATGTGCCCTCAGATGTGATGGGAGAATAAATGACCTAGGAGAGGAATCTTCAGCTGAATGAATGCTTATATGTTGGGCCGTCACACCTTAGTACCAGGCAAAGGCATATTATTTGATGCATGCACCTTCAGAATGGGACACGTCTCCTGCAATTGTCAATCTCTCTATGCAGGCTCGGTTTGAGATCCGGCCAACCAGAGACTACGTGATATCTGACGAGAAGAGCCTTGGGAGTTAGTCTCCTCCCTTGTCGATCTGTGCCCAAACCCTGAGCCAATTAGTCGCTCTTCGTAATGCGGTCTACGCGTTTCAAGCAACGAAGAATGAGGTCAAGCGAAAAGCTCGCTATCCGCTTTTGCGCAAAGGCTATCCATTCCACGTCCACCGTCGAAGCAACCATAGCATAGAAATGCATAGTCCATGCATCTATTTCCATCCATTACATCGAGCTAGCCGTTACATCATCCACCCACCCACGCCAGGGTTCCGTGGAAGGGATGCGTTGGGTGGCCTGGCCGGCAAGATACCCTATAGTTTGGGTTGGATTAACTGGTAATAGCCAGTAGAGATCTGAATTATTTATAAACCAGGAACGTTTTTATACAAATGAAGATACCCCGAAATAGAATATAACATTTATAGAGTCGTGGATACTTTGCGTCAAGGTATTGATCTCTGTACAATATATTCTTGCAGCCGCATTCCTTACTGTAAACAACGGCTGAGAGCCCAATCATCAGCTATAATGTAGAGAGGAGCGATAATAATACAAAGTGGTGATGGGTTTTTAAGTGCTCAACAAGGAGCATAGCTCATCAACTCGCCTGAGTTGATCTGTGTCTCTGGGAAGCAATCTAACACAGCCATGGTGTCCATGCCTGTGCTGCTGCTTAGATACGCATCCATATCAAAATCGCTCGGACTTGTAAGGTCAAAGTATGGGAAGCCGGCTACATACGACAACTTTGAACAAGTTATTTGTGAAAGCGACGCCAAGGAAAACAAAACGATGAGGACTTTCTCTCGTCTGGGAAAAGTTGTGAGCGTCCAGTTTCATCACGCCGAGCTGGAGGAAACAGAACCTTGCCTGCTCAATGCGAATTTTGCTGCGGATGGTTTACCACTGTCAAAAACGTACAACAACGGTGTGCTGACAACGTATACATATGATGACCTCTCCCGGAGACTCACCAGAGAGCAGTCATTCCGGAAAGCTGCTGCCGGTAGACATGAAGTCGTGCAAGATCTCTCTCACGTCTACGACTGCGTGGGTCGCCGCATTCGAACCGAAGATGCGGTTGAGCAAACGCAGTACTTCAGAGGATGCGCAGTTGGCGCGAAATGGGAGTACAGCTACGATGCCATTGGCAACATCACAGAGGCGTGGGGTCGTGGGCAACTCCCTACAGGGGGAAAGGGACGAGGAGGAAGAGATGTTCGCCTTGCGGCTCCCAACGCGATGGATGGAATGAAACCTGGAGAGGGCGTGACGGATGGCACAAGGCTCTATCGCTATTGCGAGTCCTACACCTACGACTTGTGCGGAAACATCATGTCCATGACACACGCGGTGCCAGACGACCAGTTCGTCTCTGGGTGGACAAGGCGGTATTACTACGAGGAGTCAAGCTCTCTAGCAGATGATGAAAGCGTGAAGAGCAATCGTCTGACTCGCACTGTGGTGGGCGAGACCGAGGACAAGTACACATATGGGGGAGAGGCTGGGCTGGTGGGCTGCATCACGACACTACCCAGGTTTTCACTCTTGCAATGGAACTTTGACAATATGCTGGCTGCATCATCTGGCCAAGACTTGGACAGCGGGACCCCGGAGATGACGTACTATGTCTATGACTACGCGGGCAAGAGAGTTCGAAAGGTCACTGAGTCTTCGACGGCTATGCCTGCAGGCGAAGTAGCCTCTGATGGGTCGTCACGCAAGATGAGGGACACGTTGTACCTGCATGGCGTTGAAGTTCAACTTCGCATGGCGAGCAACAGCTCCAAACCCGCATCAGCACGCACCATTACCCGAGTGACGGGTGACCCAGGAGAATTTCTCTCTCTGGTGGAGTCATCTTCCGACTCGGATGAGGTTCTCGAGCGTTATCAGATCGGATTCAATCTCGAGCTGGACGACGAGGGGCGTCTCATCACATACGAGGAATATTCGCCCTTTGGAACAGTCGCGTACACGGCTACGCACCAGGCTGTTGAGGCCCCTCGGTCCTACCGGTTTGCCAGGTACGAGCATGACCGAGAGACAGGACCGTATCACTGTGGATCACGCTATTACTGTCCATGGTTGGGTCGCTGGACGTCTCCTGACCCGTTGGGTGATGTGGATGGGCCAAATCTGTTTGTGTACTGCGGCAACGATCCTATAGGTTTGGACGATCACGCCGGGACTTCTACGTTCCCAAAAGCCGGCGCGAACTTCAGGCGGACGCCGAGCTTGCACGCTCCCAAATCGCTTAGGTCTCAGAGTGTGCGCGACGTCAGCCTCATGAATGGAACAGCCTTATCCGGGGCTGCTCCCAAGTTTGCGCTGCCACAGTTACAAACTAAAGACATCAAGGTAGGACCCTTTCAAGACACAATGCTGAAAGATGTTGTTCAGATGGACTCCGGCGCCAGGGGAAGGCCTGAAGATCGAGTCCAAAGGGTCGCGGTAAATCGTGCCAATTCAAGTGCCCATGGGATGCAAATCGGCATGGCGAAAGCAGCGAGGGACTTCGTTCAGAGAGTCGAAAACACGGTCGGCGCGCTGAAGACGGTGAAGCGTGGTGACGCCCAGAAAAAGTGGGATGATGCGGTAGGCGGGCTCACAAAAAAGTTCGAGGATGTCAAGACGACTCTCGGGCATGAGACGATATCGAATACGGGTATGGGGTTGGCCATGAAAGATTTGGCAGGATCGTTCGGTGCCCTCGAACAGAAGACTTGGGGAAGCTTGAAAGCACAGCTTGGGCAGAAGTCTTGGAGAGAGGTCCATTTTTTAAATGGGAAGCTAAAAGCTGAGCCGCTGAATCTGAACCAAATCTCGAATGATATGGTTGGAGATGTTAAGAAGTTCCAGAGGTTGAATGGTGTTGTAGAGAACTACAAAACTCGGGGTAATAAAGTTCTGGAAAAGCTAAGGCGCTGAAGATGCTAAGATAGTTTGCATTCTGGGTTGGAGATGGCAGAACGGCATCGGGTCCGTTGCCCGAGATGAACGATGACTGATGGAATGTGGCCGAAGGGCTTGATGGGAGAGACTTGAGAAGAATCGTAGGAGGATCCTCCATGTTGATAGGTAGATGAGTTAGACGACGTTGCTTGAAGGGGCAAGTCCGGAGAATTGGGTGCGGCGGAAAGATGACTCTACACACTTGACGGAACAACTCTGGAGTCATAGTTAATGGGATACGTGTTACTTATTGGGCCCATGTTTGACTCGAATAGAACATGACTCTTGCCAACTTAAATAGGTAGTCATCCACATTCGTTGACGCCGGCCAGGACCTTACCGAATCGCAACCTACTCGCTTCAGCGACAACCGTCCGAGGTTTCCGCCAACTACCACCTCCACATGCGCAAGGTACACTTCCCCTAGTCCAGCCTTGACCTCGACTAATCTAGTCGTAAATCACTATGAATTAGTGGCTGCATTCACCGCTACAGCTGCAGCACGGCCAGCCCTACGGCCAAAAACAGTCCCAGATGTAAGCCCACTGCCGCCTGGGTAGTTGCCGTAGAAGAGACCCCCGAGCATTTCTCCCGCGCAGTATAGGCCTGGGATGACGCGATTAGTGGTTGATGATATGACACCTGTAGTCTCTGGATCTACAGCGAGCCCTCCAAATGTGAACGTCACACCACATGTGACCTTGACCGCCAAGAAGGGCCCTTGTGTTAACGGCAAGGCCCAGTTCGATTTGGCCAGAGGAAGACACAAAGTGCTGGACTGAGTCGACAAGCCATCCTTTACGGCTGGATCCCACTTTTGATTGGGATTTTCTCGTTGAAACTCGGCCACAGCGTCGTTGTATGCGGAGACTGTGTTCACAAACTTGTCCGGGTGTTTCAAGCCGTGCTGGGAACACTTTTGAGCAAGCTCTTCGACGGAAGACGCAGTTAACTTCTCCACCACCCCATCTCTGTATTCCTCGCTGCGTAGCCAAGGTGTAGTCTGGGAGTCCCAGACTTGAAAAGCGACATGACCCGGTTGGGCGAGGATCGCCCTCCCAAAAATTGCATACGTGTAGTTGCGCAGATCGATCCCCTCGTCGACGAATCGTTCTCCATGAACGTTCAGCATCAATCCCAATGGATACCCCGACTTGGTGAATTCGTTTGAAACGGCACGATCACCCGCATGAGCAGGCGCATTCGCATCCCAGGCGACAGAGTGACAGCCCGACCAGTTCCCGGCTGGTTTAGCGCCGACATCTCGAATTGCCATTTCCAAACATCCACCTGTGTTGAAAGGTGTCCCGCGTACTTTGGCCAAGTCCCAATTGGGGCCTAGATATTGTGCTCTCATACGAGGGTTGGCTTCGAATCCACCAGCCGCCAAAATGACAGCACCTGTCCGGATTTCTTGCTCGGTACCATTTGGTGTCTCGACGACAACACAACGAACTGCGCCTGTGCGTGGATCTATTGCCAGACGCTTTGCCGCGGTGGAGAAAAATATCTCGACACCGAGCGCTTTTGCTGCTTGGAGGTGATCCTCAATTAATCCCTTTCCTCCATTCTCCGTCTTCAAAGACAGACCGCCCCAGAATTTGATGCGATTATCAATCTCATAGGCTTGCCGATTGAAAGATAACTGAAACCGAACCCCGTGTGTGGCGAGCCACTTGACAGCCTCGTTGGACTCTTGTACGAGGATGCGGGAAAGCTCTGGGTCAGAGCGGCCATCGCAGATCCGTTGCATGTCTGTTTTGAAGTTGATTTCCGTGTACGGCTCCAAGTCGATTTTATTCGCGGTAGCCTCGTCAACGTTGTTCACGATTGGTAGAAGATCCCGCAATCCGTTATGGACAACCCTGAACGCACCGGCCGTAAAGTACGAGTTTCCACCGGCCCAGCTCTCGGGACAAGCATCAATAATCACGACGCGACGTGCACCGGATTCTGCTGCAGAGATCGCAGCACTAAATCCCGCGTTGCCGCCTCCAATGACAAGGACGTCCACGTCAGCGATGGGAGTCGTCATCACGGCAATATCGCAAAGTCGTTGACGCGGGGCAAAGCCAGGGTGTCTATATGAGTAGAAGTAGTAAAGGTGAAGATTCAGTGATGGTCCGTTACTGCGAAGGGTTGCATCAGTAGATGTACGATGGCTGGCTGCTTCACCACAGCATAGAGCGCGGATCTCTTGATCCGGATTAATTCGGGCCTCTACTCTCTGCCCCATCAAAAGAACAAATCAGAAGTGGCTTTGCTTACTGGCAGAACTGTCGGATCAACACTCTCCGGCCCAACGGCGCGTAACTTTCCGACTCAACGGCCTATGAGTTCTTCGATAGGAAATGGATCCACTGAGGAGAACCACCCCCCGCACAATGCCAACGCAACATCGGATCCAAGAGGAGACAGGCCGAAGTCTTTGCCATTGGTCGTTATTCCCGCCGTAGGTTTTGCAGATCACGCGCCTCTGGAAACCATGCACAGTCGGCCGGCATGTCATGACCGGTGAGGGGTCAACAGATCTATCAACATTTTGCTTGTTGGGCTCTAAAATCTCGGTAGCCTCTGTGACAGCAGTTCCTGCATTCTACTTTTTATGGAAATTGCACAGTATGGCTTTCGCATCTCGGGTGGCCATAATTTCCGGTGGCATCGGTATGTGTAGCCAACTCAGCTTCAAAAGCCTATCCGAAATCTAATCGCGAGTGCAAACCAGGTGGCATCGGCAGTGCCGTTGGCAAGACATTTCGAGAACAAGGGGCTAAGCTTGCTCTACTGTATGCTCCTTTTGAGGCCAATAATGTCGATAAGGTCCTGGAAGAAGTATATGGCTCTCGAAACAATCCAGACATCAAGACATACGCGTGTGACATCACTCGTCCTGACTCCGTCGAAGAAGCCTTCGCTGCTATTGCAGCTGATAACGCGGGCTTTCCAGGTTTCCTGATAAACAGCGCTGGCTATGTCAATCTGAGCCCATTAGAGGACACAACACCGCAAGACAGCCTCCTGCACTACATGGTCAATCTTTATGGCCCGACACTGACTGGCCAAGCCTTTGCGCGCATGTATCTGAAAGCAAAGGCTCAACAGAGCGATATTCCTGGGGCAAGGATCATCAACATCTCAAGTCAGGCAGCGCATGTAGCATTGGACAACCATGGTGCCTACTGCGCTTCGAAAGCTGGACTTCTAGGCTTAACGAGATGTCAGGCCAACGAATGGGGTGTTCATGGAATCACAGCCAACACAGTTAGCCCAGGACCTGTGTGGACAGCTCTTGGGAAGAAGGCCTGGGGGGATGATAAAGTTCGCGAACAGTACGTTAATGCTTCCCGACACCCTCGGTAGAATCTCAGTGAACTAATCACGTCGTCCCAGGTATCTGAAAGCGGTTCCAACCGGTCAGTTTGCTGAACCTGAGGAAGTCGCAAGCATCGTGTTGTTCTTGTGTCAAGACTCGTCAAAGAACATAAATGGCGCAGATATGAGGATTGACGGGGGATACACAGCTCATTGATACAAAAGTTCGATTCTACAACGAGTTAAACAGCGATACTGTGATGGGGCAAACGGTCCACCTGGAGTTTAATACGGTACGGAAGGCCTGTGCTAGCTAGGCTATTCCTACTTAAAGCGTTAAGTCAGCTTGAGAAATAAACGGCACGCTTTTTCCTTCTTCCAATTAATAAGGGACTTTAAGTCCCAGTACGCTCCTTCCACTGCAGCTGTCGCAGCAGCTCTTGATATTATTTCTTATTTTCTCTTCTTGGCAGCGATCAAGAAGCATTTGATCAGCTGCTTGGAATACCCTTTATCTCCAGAAGTCGGCTTTGTTGTTATTTTTCTGCTGCCTTTGTTATCCCTCTAGCCTTACCCTACGGACGGGTGTGGTCTGCACTAAAGACGTCTCCCACCGACAAAATACAGAGCGTGTCCTGTTTGGAGAGATCGTTCTACATTCGTTACACAATTTTCTTGACCTCGCCGCTGAGTTTCTTCCTCGTGCATATTCCGATACATTCATTGCTATGGACTTCCATGGCGTCAATTCCATGGATCTCACCTGGTATCGAGCTCGCCGTTCCTGTGACCGGAAGATGTGAGAGGGCCAGTGAGGAGAAACTCGATGAAAAGGAACACTTTGAAGTCCTGTGGCATTTCAAGTTCCCGGAATCGACACTAGGGAGCGCATGATCGATAAAAAGGCCGCTAGTACTTTCGAGGATGCCATAGTAGGATATACTAAAATGCAGTCGCTGTCAGGCAACCAAACCTCTTTCTCCATCCCATGTCAAGCTCGCTCAACGCCATAGATTCATCACGGGTGGAGACTACTGCGGTGCCTTAACCCATCCTTTCTTGGTTGCTCTCTTTGCGTATCAAATGGGGGGACTGTCCGAATAATGGACTTGCGAGGCAAAGACACGGATCCCATCACAATCAACGCCCAAGACAACATGCTGCTTATCGATAACAGGCCGTTTAAGGAATAATATAAAAACCTTGTCAACTAACATTGAGGTGTTGCAAAAGGCCGTTCGGGTCAAAACTTCACTTTCCTCCCAGGGACCCATCAGGGTAATCGAGATATTCTTCTTGACGACTCTGGCCATCCATGGTCTCCTTGGCTACGGGCTGCATGCTACGCCGTTGCCCCAGGCGGTCGAAGTTTCTGCCTCAGGCTTCAAGGCACGCACTCCAGACCGTGATCGTTCCTTCAAGCGCTCGTTCCACCGCCGGCTTATCAAAGTCACTCACAACACTCACATATCAATTCGTCAACAGAAAAGCCCAGGCCTCTACCACCCATGAATCAAGGAATGACTCTCGAGGAGGCTTTAACAGCCGATGACGATGTACTTTTGGAGCTTTCCTACTCCAGAAAACAGGAAAAACTCCTGGATTACCTGCGGGAGAGCCGGACTGACATCGAAAATGCCGTGTCAAGACACCTTGGCTTGTCAAAATCCGAACGATGCCGAATTGGTGAGCGGGACGAATGGATGCGAGGAAATTTCAACCTCTGCATACCCGTATACATTGAGAATTGGTCTAGACATCCTAGAAAGCGAGTTGTCATCCGGTTTCCTCTGCCGTACAAGCTAGGAGAGGGTGATTTCCCCGGCAATGTGGAGGAAAAACTGCGCTGCGAAGCGGCAACCTTCATCTGGATACAGGAGCACTGCCCTGAAGTTCCAATACCCTTTCTCTGGGGATTCGGATTACCGAATGGCGATAGCGCAAGTTTGAAAAATCCTTGACCGTATATTGTGACATAGTCTGACCTAGCTTTCTAGTTCACCACTACCAAAGTACTATCATGGCTCCCTTGGTTGCTATGGTTGGTCGGCCTTGCTTCCATAAAGATATTTGGACACCCCATACCCTGTCCCTATATCTGGAACCCCAAGACCCATCAACTGAAGACTGGGTATCTGGTCATGGACTACGTCGAAGAATCTCAAGGGAAACCCTTGGCGAAGTCCTGGACTGACCTTAATTCTGACCAAGGCCGGCGGCAAAACTTCTTTTCTGACCTGTCACGCATCATGCTCGCTTTTGCTCGGATATCCTTCCCCGACATATGCTCCCCGACCATTGATGACGAGGGTGTTCTGCACTTCCAGCACCGTCCTCTAACCTTTAGGCTGCAACAAATGGAAAACAAAGGCATTCCCATCCCTATCGAGAGGGGGACCACGTATCCAAATGTTGACGCATATCTCTTCGATTTGCAAGGCTGCCACGACTCACGTATCCGCCACCAAAGGAACTCGATTCTTAACCGATCAGACGCCGAAATGAAGACTTCGGTTCTAGCTGCCCTCCGAGCATTAACACCTCACTTTTTCGATAGAGACCTACGCAACGGCCCATTTGTCTTTATGCTTACCGACATTCATCCGAACAATATCTTTGTTGACGACGAGTGGCACATCACATGCCTCATAGACCTTGAATGGGCATGTGTACGACCAATCGAGATGCTGCTCCCTCCTGTGTGGTTCACAGGTCGACGGGTGGACCAGCTGCCCAAAGGTCAGCACTTGGACGTATATTCCAGTATTCGCGATGAATTCCAGCAGTCATTCGAAAAAGAGGCATCAGTCATTCCCAAACATAGCACAGCCCTTCTGAGTGCACAGCTTCTACGGTCAACGCTTGACTCCGGAAGGTTTTGGTATTACCACGCACTAGACAACCCAAAGGTCGCCTGTAATCTGTTCTTTCAGCACATCTGGCCAAGGTTCAATGGTAGCCCTGGTGTGTCCGAGTTTACCAAGTCTGCCAAGATATTGACTACATGCTTGGATGAAGACGCTGAAGAAATCATCAAATCGAAGCTGGTTGAACGCGAACAGTATGTCGCAGACTTGCAGTCTTTATTCAAGATCAATAGCACGGGTTAAAGCCTAATAAATAGTCATATACACGTGTCGACTTTCCAAGATCTAGGTTTTCCAGCAGATCTAGCTTTTATAAGACGCAGCTATTACTACAGCTTATGGAGGTATTGGAAAAGGTAACCAGTTGGACTGGAACTTTACTCTGTCTGAGTATAGTGTTGACCTTTTCTTTTTTGCTGTTGAGGTTCTCGTCCCCCTCTGAGTACGTGTGTACTAGGGCACCCTAACCTCTTGATATATGCTCAAACTTGCCACAGGACTATGAGAGCAACTTGAAATCGAATCAAATGGAAAATATAGTTAAAGCTGTCAATCGATTTACATTGCCAACCCAATGTCCTCCTCAATCTTCAAAACCTTTTTCTCGGATTCGCCCGACACCTGACTCGCCTTGTCAAAATCCTTTGAATGATGAGAAACATGTTTAGTTTTGGATTTCAATTGAAGGCATATGGACTCATCATGTTTGGGTGGCCTGTTGCTGTTGTCCGAAATAGGTACCATCGCAGTAGAGACCCACGAAGAAAATCGTTGGCGGAGGCGAGGCAAGCCGGAAGCGATGATGGCCAGAGATATCTCCAAATGACTGCAGATGGCTATCCACGACGCGATGAATGTGATATCGGTCGTTTTGGAATACAGAACTGCGAACGCCGCTCTGAAAATAGAACACGAAGCTGCTAGAAAGCCTAGGGAAGATAATGCCAAAGCTGTAATCTTCTTGCGCGCAGGAAGTTGCAGTTTGAGGACTAAGAACATGGGTACTGCAAGAATGGCAAAGTCGACAATGACGTGGATAGTTGCAACGATGACGTAGACGGGAATGTAACTCTTGCATTTCGTGTTGGGATCGAATCGCATGCTGAGGTTGTAATTGGATTGTATCGGGAGGCATTGGGTCAGGAAGACTGACAACGTCGTTGGAAGCCAGATGATCCAGTGCAAGAAGCCAAGCCGTACCAGCCAGAGCAGCCAAGGAGATGCCGCGTGGCCGACGATGCGATGTGCACAGGCGAGGATGGACATTTGCGTAAAGAAAGTCGAAATAATGTACACGGGCATGTGGATGTATAATACCTATTTACGTATCATTAGCTAAGTCTCGACAGATAGCTGGTCAGCAAACCCACCGGTAGCACTCGAACAGTTTCTTCATATGTCATTTGCCAAATATGCTTTCCAAGACCAGCAGTAGAAATGCCCACGGCTGTGTTTGCTGTGAGACAGCACAAAAATACTGATGCGGGCAGCATCAACCAGTCCTCCAGCATAAGACGGCCGTGGTACCGCCAACTGAGCCACCACCTCAGCAAGAGCACCATTAACGCCATCACCGTGAGAGAGATGACGAGAACGAAAGGGCCAATGCTGTACGGGTAGTTCTTGTCGTAGTTCTCGAGTCGTTTTTGGACGTCTTCAGAGCTCAAAGCACGAATGCCCTCAGCTTTGCCGTTTGCCATGGCGACAAGGGCCGCAAAGCCCGTCGGAGCGGGATCCGAGTTATACGACGCCATAAGAAGACCTGGATAATTTTATGAAGTTGGGAACAGATACGACGGTAGCATTGTTTCAGGTCCGGAGAACCGTTATCTATCAGTTGTCTTGCAGTCGGGATTAAGCTCTGCAATCCCCTCGAGTGGACGGTATGCAAAATCTGCCTCGGAACCCCTCGGTAGATCCCCCGCAAGGGCTGAAGAAGAGGCTCGCATGTGAGATCTAGATGTCGGCTGACATTCGATCAACCTCTGGGGATAAACAACGGAGTGTTCCGTCCTAGCCAAACATGGTCAAGTGAAGTGATTCATGTGCATACCAGGGGCTTCGCGGGATGCGGGGAACCACCCTCAGCTCCACGTTCAACTACCAGAGATATGCACGGACAGGTGGATGTTTTCAAATAGGCGTAATGCTACTGAAATGACGGGTGGTTCTCTGTGTGGTCTTTGAGGATGCTGCCCACAGACTGGATGTATGTTTGAGTTTGATGAAAGTTGTCTTGTCTACCATACAACCACCCACTACGAAGTTCAAAGTGAATAACATGACCTCTGACCGAGGCATACCAAGCATTTATTTTGCCATCAGCACATGTTTTCTATCTTCCCTTAGACCGATGGTCGACTGCCGGACGACGGCCACCCCCCTTAGGAGTGGACGAGTGACACTAATCTAGGAAATGCATCCTCCCATTCAGGGCTCAGACTCCAGTTGCCAAGGTCGAATACGGCTGCCTCGAATTCCGGACTTACGTCCACGAGGCCTTCGCCATTCACAGCAAGCAGTGGACAGCCAACTGGCCACCGGAGCCGAAGGGACTCCAAGTACAGCTTCACAGAGTGACCGGACTCTAGCCTTTGGTGGGTGCACAGAAAGTCTCGGAGATCGGGCCACGGGATGTAGTCAATACTGACTGGATGGGGACACGTGTCTTGCACCTTTGTGGGAAGAAGCCAGGCTGGAACATCCTGCCGCGTGATGGAATCCGGGTATAACCGCCACTGTTCGAGTACACACAGAAATCAGCCCACTTTGCGAGGTAGAGTAACAGGGGAATAGAGGTTCAACATACCCGCATGAGCCGATATGCAAAAAAGTAGACCCCAAACAGCGTCTCCACGCCGGCCATTGTAAACCCCTTGAGGAACGAGGTGAGGAAGCGTACAACCACATTATCTCCATGGGAGTGGAGCGACAGATTTGGTAGGGATGGATTCCGGGGAAGGGATCGGGCTTGGTGTGGATCATGGGGAAAGGCAGCATGGGTCTCGTAGAGGATGGTGAAGCTGTGGTACTCCAAGCAGTTGGATTGAGAAAAGTGCTCGACTCCACACCAACATTTGACGGGCGGGCTCGACAGCACGGGCGGGAGCAATATCGGTCCCAGCGCTGGCAGGGGTTGCTCTATATCTGGATACAACGGCCGGGGGCTCGCGTTTCTGGCGGCAGATCCGGGCGACCATTGCATCGGGATGGCTGGGTTGCGAACCAGGAGCTCAAGATCAAGGGCCTCACTGGGAACGGCAAATGCGGCTGATGCTCCTCCGAGGCTCATGTTGGCAATGAGAACCTGCAGCCATCGCTGCTGAGACGCGACAAAGCTCGCCCCAAGCTGAGGAATAGCGCGCAGCTGTGTCGAGATATCGTCGAGGTTCTTGAAGATTTGCGCAATGTCTCCCTCCATACGCTCCATTCGTGCCTTGTGCTCGTCGCGGTTCTCTTTGTGCTTGACTCGATCCGCCTTTCTCTTTTGGTTCAGTTGCGCTTCAGTCCGAATCCGTCGTCGCTTAGAAGCGACGGGCGATGGAGACTTGGTCATAGGTGTACGGGTAGCTGAGTTCCTGCGATTGTTCTGGAGGCGATTAATATGCGCGAAAAGTCAAGATGAGATCGTAAAAGTCGGTCGACGTCGACCATTCGGTTAAGTACACCAGTCATTTTCTACGCTCAGACGCAACCCAATGATGCTCATAGACTAACTGCTTTGATGGACGAGATCGTCATCTCATATGCCAGGCTTTATTACTTTCGGGATTAGGCCGAGGCAACGGCGGAGAACGCCTAAAAGGTAAAGTTAAAAGGTGGGGTAGATGTGACAAGGGAGATGATGACCATGAATCTATTCCCGGTTTGTCTTAGCATCGCATGGGTTGTTGAACTTGCATGGGGGCCTGGTCTGTTAGGATCAGCCCCCTGGCTCGCGAGGACGCGGGGTGAGGTTCAACCTGTTGCCGTAGTCAGAAAGGCATGACACATCCGATTTCTCGACACAGATATACCAGGGGTATCAAGCGGAAAAGATCTCATCCAGTACGGAGTTGATGTTTGTTGAAACTCATCATCTGAACCCTGGGCCAGATAGGTTACGCTATACGACCACAGCCTTCAACTACTCTCCCATCTCGAATTGTACAACCATGCCCTTCATCCAATGTCCTGGCATCAAAAGTCCCAATCAATATTTAAAACCGCCAGTTCTTGTCCTCAGGATACCCTCAGGGTCTGCCTGCAGCTGCAGAGACTTCAGTTTTGCATAATCTCGGTAGCTGCCTGTGACATTCTGATCTCCCATGGCATCGTTCATGAACAATGGAAGGTAAACCTCCTTGATCTGACTTCCCTCAAGCCAAACAGGAATTCTGCTTTCAATCCAGGTCGTCAGGTCCCTGGAGAACTGTTGCATCGCCTCGTCATCGTTTGCACTTGACCAGGAGCATTGAATTTCTAGAATAATACGATCGGGATCCGACTCCGTGAGACCCATGGCGTTGCCACCTCGTTCATCGGTGTGTCTGCCCACGATCGAGGGCAGTGGCTGGAAATCGACTGTGCACTGGGAAGTCAATCGTAGAGGGTTTGACAAGTAAGCTTTTGTTATGTCCTTCATCCTGGTGGAGATTTCGGAGTAGATGGTAGGATTGTCAGAAACGTAAGGAATCGTAAGTGTCTGTAACAAGTTAATCAGTTAGGTGGTCAAGACGTGAATGGAATCATGGAGCCTGGGCCTTACCCTGAACGAGACCCTCGAGTTCAATAAAGAGGCACCGGCACCGTTGAACTCCAGCTGTTATTTTGAATCAGTACCGTCATTTAGCCTCTGTGATTGTAAATCTGAGTGTCTTACCAGCTGGGGGTACGTTTGCGCCTTAGTGATTGAGATCAAAGATCCAATTTTGAGAAAGTCTGCAAACGGCCCCGAGGTCGGCGGTGTCGGCCCATCATAAAAGTAGAAGATGATGAAAGCTCGTGTACCGCCGATGGCGACCAGATTGGAGACGATGATGGCAGCCTTTTGCTCTTGTCCATTCGCCGGTATAAAGTTGTGGAGAGCTTTGAAGATTTCGTCGGTTTTGGACTCCTCGTAGATGCGAAGACCGCCCCAGACTTGGCCGATGGGGTATGTCTTGATGGTAAACTTCGTGACGATTCCTTTGCCTGTGTTAGTCGTTTGTGTACTCGGATTCAAGGATCCGTATACTAACCAAATTGACTACCGCTCCCGCGTAGGGCAACGGCGAGTTCGGGTTGATCCTGGGCATTGACGTTGACAATAGTCCCATTGCCCGTGACTAGCTCCCAGCCCACGATGCTCTATGATGTATAGTCAGCTCCGTTCTTACAAGTTTTGTATCCATTGTACTCACGTCAGCGGCCAGTCCATATTGTGCGCTCAGGAAGGATATCCCTCCCTGAGTTAGATATCCACCGATCCCGACAATGCCTACAGGTCGTCTGTATTAGAAGAAGGCAAGATCCTGGCAACTCCATTCTTACCTAGCCGACCTCCCACCACAGTGACGCCATATTGGTTCAGAGTGGTGATAACGTCGTTCCATTCACCTCCGGGCTTCACATAGGCGAGGCTGCTGCTTTTGTCAAATGTAGTTCCCGAAATTTCGCTGAGCGAGAAAAGGACCCCGTCGCGAACGGTGGCATGGCCAGGATTCGGGTCATGCCCTCCGCTCTTTGCAGTGAACTTGACGTCTGGATACTTGTTCACGATCTTCACCCCCGTTGCGACTTCGGAGGCAGACTCCGGGACAACAACGCAAGCAGGCTTGATGTCTCTAAGCACGGTTGACCAGTATTCAGTAGACTCGCGGTAGTAGTCAATGCTCAGAGGGAGGGAAACTCGACCTGGGAGGGCTTTGGACAACTCCTTGCAGGCTGCCTCTGTGGAGGCTCCCGCATCTGCGAGAGTCGAGCGACCAAAGAGGCCTATGGCGAGGAACAGTACGTGACTGGAGATTTGCATAATTGGACGAGGAAGTGAAGGTATAGGTACATGGGTTTTGCGACATCGTCAATGGATGATCTGGATCTGGATTGGGTTTATATAACACTTGCTGAGAATTTAACAATGCTCGGTGCTCGTTTGAGTCTCGCGTATTAAGGGTCTAACTGATCAACTAAACTAGCAGAACCTTGATCTGCGCATCTCAAACGACCTTCAGAAAGAAATTGTTGAGGAATCAATGCATACGGCATGTGAACACACGATTGACCGAGGTTTTCTCAAGTTCGCCCTCCTGTCAATGAGGTTTGTGAAGCATAACCTGGCGGTCCTCCAATTTGAGATGCTGAAGGAAGGGGGGAAGCAAATCGTCTGGATGTCCCAAGCTTGTCCTTGCGGAGTTTGACGCCCAACCTGCAAGAGGCGTTGCCAAGCATTCCGACTCTGGATAATAATCCCGGTGGCTGGTCGACGTCGACCACACTACCCCGCCCTTCTTGCGGGATCAAGGGTCAGAGCCAGTCACTCAGGCGAATCAAGGAGAACAGGCGAGATACCAATCATAGCGTGGCGATTCTGCAAGGTCCCTCAACGTGAGCAACCTTAGTTCGACGCAGTACCTGTGATTCGCCTCGTATCCGGCTTGGCAATCACAACATTGCGGGGTGGCTTGGCTCCCTTTCAAGGAACTAATCTAGATTGAATCAAACTCGAACGATTCCGCTCCGCCGCGGACAGAAGCCAATACCATTGGACGATCGTTTCCCTATTCTCACGATGCGATGCGGTGATTCCCCGCATTAGCTCCCCATGGGGATGGATGGTGGGGTATTAATCTTGAACTGGAGCGATCACCGCAAGTTAGCAACACCAAGTGACCAAAGCAAGACAAGCGTGAGTGTGATGAAAAGAGCTCAGCTCACATGTCTAGATTTCACGGGCCGAGGGATGCGGTTGACGATAGTTGAGTGTATTGTTAAGAATAAATACAGGAGTAGAGAATGCCTCGTTGGATGCTTGAGTTGTTAGGCATCGCTTTCAACATCTTGACCCTCAAGCCATCGAAGCCTCGATTATCTTCAAAGTCTTCATCATGCTGTCACGCATCTCGGGCCTTTTGGCAGTTTTCAGCGCCGCTCTGGTCGTGTCCTCCCCAACGGAGCAGCACCTCGAGGAGCGCGCCACTGGGACTGCCACTGTCATTCTTCCCTCTGCCACCATTCTAGGCAACGTGAAGAACAAGGTCGAGTCCTTTGGTGGAATTCCGTACGCCGAACCACCGGTGGGACAGCTGCGATTGAGACCACCCAAGCGCCTGGAGAGATCCCTCGGCGTTTTCGATGGTACCGGTCCTGCTGGAGCATGCCCCCAGATGGTGGCTAGCACAGAGAGTACAGACTTCTTATTCGACTTGCTCGGTTCCATCGCGAACATCCCTTTTTTGTTCAAGAAGCAACTGGCCAGAGCGAGGACTGTCTTACCATCACGGTGGCTAGGCCTGAGGGAACCAAGGCTGGCGCGAAGCTTCCAGTTCTCTACTGGATTTTCGGTGGCGGTTTCGAGGTACGTGAATACTCTGTACCAATTTACCCAAAGAGGGCAGTCACTAATACTCTACTTGCAGCTTGGATGGTCATCTATGTACGACGGAACCAGTCTTGTCAATTATGGCGTGGACATCAGCCAACCGTTCGTCTTTGTCGCTGTCAACTACCGAGTGGCCGGGTTCGGATTTATGCCCGGAAAGGAAATCGAAGCCGATGGATCAGGCAACATTGGCCTTCTCGACCAGCGCATGGGTCTAGAATGGGTGGCTGATAACATTGCAGCGTTCGGTGGCGACCCATCCAAGGTGACAATTTGGGGCGAATCAGCTGGAGCGATCTCAGTCTTTGACCAGATGGCTCTCTTTGACGGCGATCACACCTACAAAGGCAGGCCTCTGTTCCGCGGAGCCATTATGAACTCGGGAGGTGTCATTCCAGCAGACCCGTTGAGCTCGAAGAAAGGCCAGGCAGTCTACGATCAAGTCGTCAAGACTGCGGGATGTTCGGGCAAGGCTGATACCCTCAATTGCTTGCGCGGACTGGATTACACCACGTTTCTCAACGCCGTCACTTCAGTCCCCGGGATCCTGTCTTACAACTCTCTGGCTCTCTCGTACCTACCACGACCCGACGGCCGGACTCTTACATCCTCTCCAGACGTACTGGCCGCCAGCGGAAAGTATGCGGCCGTTCCAATGATCCTCGGAAACCAAGAGGACGAGGGCACGCTCTTCAGTATTTTCCAATCAAACCTCACTTCGAGCGACAAGCTGTCAGACTACCTTCAGAAATACTACTTTAGCTCTGCAACGAAGACCCAGCTGGCGGGCTTGATCGACACTTACAACAGCGGCTTAAGTGCCATCATCGAAGGCAGTCCATTCCGTTCTGGGATTCTCAATGAAATCTTCCCCGGGTTCAAACGGCGCGCCGCAATTCTGGGAGATCTTGTCTTCATTCTTAGCCGCCGACTCCTTCTTCAGGTGACCACTGGATTGAACGCTGATGTGCCTTCATGGGCCTACATGGCATCCTACAACCAAGGCACGCCGATTCTCGGAACGTTCCACGGTTCTGATCTCATCCAGGTGTTTTACGGCATCAAGGACAACTATGCGGCGCGCAGTATTCGCTCGTACTATCTGAACTTTGTCACCTCCCAGGACCCAAATGTAGGAGCCAGTGGAAAATACCCAAACTGGCCGCAGTGGAAGAATGGACAGAAGCTCATTCAATTCTTTGCCGACAAGGCGACCGTTATTAATGACGATTTCAGGTCCGATTCTTACCAGTGGCTTGTTGGCAATATCGGGTCGCTAAAATTTTAAGCCATGGAAGTAATCGCTGTAGGTGTAGATGCTAAGGTGGAACGCCGAGTGTACATTTAATTATGCTTTATAATCCAGCGGCTACTTTATCTTATCCTTTACGCTCTAAACGACTCACAATTTGAACTATTTTAAGTGCTTTAGTTAGAATTGTAATATGGTACTCTAGGTTAAATGCACTCGGATCTTTACCTGTGTGGCGGACGAGGCCTACTGTGCCACCATAAAAAACCACCACGATGCCTTGTCCATGTGACTCGAGCAAACATAGACCCAACCCATGTGGCTTTTCTCTCACAACGACTGTCACCTCATTACGACGTGTCTTGATCCAAGCGCCTAACCTAAGGGAGAGGTCGAATTGACATCAAAGGACTCGGTGGTTCCTCGGTATCATCTCAATCCTCCGTTTCAATCTCAATCCTCCGATTCACTCTCAATCTCCAACATCGACGATCAATCCCATTCGCAAGCATGTATCCTCATTACATTCCCAATGCGCGACCAATTGACGCTGCAACGCCCTCTCCGGATGATACAACCAATAGCTACGCCCAGAATGACCAAGGTGACAACAATGCGGGCGACAACAATGCGGGCGAGAACCATGCGCGCGAGAACGACAGCCCCTTCCTTGAGAACGTCCAGACTAGCCAACCTCAAGACACGGACACGGACACGGACACGGACACGGAGCCTCCGGATGGCGACGAGCAAGACGAATGGAGTCCGTCGACACGCCGGCCGAGTCTCAAGGAGAGCCTGAAGCGCGTGTGGGCCACCAACACTTTGATACGACTGACCCTCGAGGCAACCCTCGCGGCCCTTTGTCTCTGCTCCATCGTCGCGCCCATCCTGCCTCGCTCTGCACACGGGTTGGTGCCTTCCGGCGTTTACGTGTATTATGAACCCCTGGCACTCTACGACGACGTCATAGCCATGGCCGAGACGTACGCGACGGCGGCGTACCCGCTGCTCCAGAGCGACGACGGCGACTTGTTCAATCGGCTGCAACACGACGCCCTCGCTCTGTGCCTAGAGCTATATTCGCGGGCTGACATGTGGACTCCTGATGGCGGCCCCGTCGTGACCAAGAACAAGATAGCTGTGTTCATTCGGCGAAATGCTCGCTTCGACGAGGACGTCGGGGTTGACACATTTGAACAGGGTGATGTCGATGTGTGTGCCTTGTGCACTTATATCGACGGCACAATCAGGCGGTCTCAATCTTTGTATTGGCAAGGCCTCGAGTTGTTTGCATGGCGCTTCGATTCAGTCAGATTTCTCTGGGGTTTGGGAGACGTCTTAAATCGCAGTATTGAGGAGAACAAGGCGTCACGAGCCGACAGTAAAGCATTGCCTTGGACATCTTTCACTACGGTCAGACGAAGATTCGAATCTATATGGGTTAAAATCAAGGAGCTGTCACTCTGGTCTGCAGACAGCAACCAACCCAAGACAGTCCAGGCTATCCGCAACCTCCTCACCTCAAACACCAGTTTCGCAGCAGGCAAATTCAGCACCAAGCCACGCGCAGACCTTTCCTCGCTTAAGACAAAGCTACTCGAGGCTGACAAGGCGCTCGGCAAGCTGGGTCACATCGCCGAAGACGTCGTCGTCCGGTCCGTCGCCGCCGCTCCAGTCCCGTCGGGCCACCTGCGCAGGGTTTCCCACGACGAGGCCAGAATGATGGCCGAAATAAAGAATATCTCCCAGGCCGCGTTACGTGTGCGGGAAGCCCGCGTCAACGTCCCTGGCCTCCTCGCAAAGCTAGACGCCGTGACAGCTATGAAGGACGCCGTGCTCGGCTGCGAGGCCGCATGGACTCAGCTTATAGGGGAGCTTATATCTGCGTCAGATATGCCGCCGGGGGTTGCGCTCCCTGGCTCGAGATATGTCTGGACAGAGAGCGGGTGGATGACGAGGCGATCACGAGGCGAGAGAGGGCGGCCTAATTCGTCCAAGAGCATCGGGATCTGTGCTGACTTGAAGGAGAGGCTGCGGAATCTACCCGGCAGACACGATAAGGTAGACGACGTCAACGAGGTGGACGACGTCAACGAGGTGGACGATGTCGACGAGGTGGACGATGTCGATGCTTACGATCATAACGATCAGGACATGGCCGATGCCGTGGTACTATTCATGCCGGATCCTGCCATGGTGCTACCATTGGCGTATGAGTCGTGGTGGAATTGCGACTTGTTGCGGGTGAGGCCCCGGAACAACACGGAGTACGATGATTGATATGGCGGATGCCGTATCTAAAGGAAGGTAGATGAGGCATTGCTATGTACCTATTTACAACACGAGGTGGAGCGTAGCAAGGGTAACATGGATCCTCCCCAAGCCTCGCGTGGGTTTGAACCGTGTGCAATGTGATGGAGTGAAACATGGGCCTCTGAAACGTGAATGGCGCACTGGATGAGGACGCCCAAGCAATTAACACCTGCTTCAGGACTTCGCTCTACCGGGCAAATCTACGTGTCCTCCAATGCACTCTTTTCCCGCGGTAGAGGCAACATAAGAGGCAATAATGAAACCAAAAGAAGAGCTCGCCCTCAGTGTGAAGCAAAGCCAGAGAGAGGATTGCCTCGTGACGGCGGCATTCAAGACTCCAGCAGCCGTCTCCCATATCCATCCATCCAACGCGGTAGTGTTTATTTAACGGGTCGGACGAACGCGTTAGGGCCGATAATTATTCACCCGGCGAGACGATTGTTTGCGCAAGGGCCGATAATTATTGCAATAGCGAGGTGGATGGATGGGACGCATTGGCAGAGGGGAGTGCGGGTGGCACGGATCGCGTTAGGGTCGTTGTTGGTTACACAAAAGAGGTTGAGACACAAGAGAGGTTGAGACACAAGAGAGGTTGAGGTGAGATGGTGCTCGAGTGTTGGAATTGTGCTTGTGTCAGTACATGGGAAAGGATATCTCGGGAGTCAGGATTCAGTAGAGTTTCTGTTGAAGGCATGGTCTCTGTTGAAGGTATGGTCTCTGTTGAAGGCATCGTCTGTATTGAAGGCATCGTCTGTATTGAACTTAGAATCTCTATATCCACGCTCTCCTCATCCTAGGGTTCTCCTTCACTGCCCAGGCGGATCAATACTGACCTCCCCTTCGTCCGCTTCCTCCGGTGCCCCAATCCGGCCTGGGCGAGTAGCACGGCCACCGCCAAATTGTGACGAGGCCCTGATGTCGGAGATGCAGGCCGACAAGACCAGGCGCGGCTACGCCACACGTCAGGCCAGCATCCTCTGGGAGCAGTCCATAGAGTGACAGGGCAGGGTGCACAAGCTACGCACGGCGAACCAGGTGGTCGTCGCTCAGGTTAGAGGGAATCGAGACACGCGGGAGTAGTGCCGTGGGAAGGGGAGTGATGGTGTGCCAGTTTTTCACAATCCGTACAAGTCATATTGGTGCATACAGATAACTTTTGGATCAAGAGCTGCTATTGGAGCGTGTGAGCAAGGATACGAGTCTGAATTTGACTGCGTGGCGTGGCTTGGAAGCCTTGATAGCGCAGACAGCATACCCATCTGGCATCTACAATACATACAACTCCACCCATACTACCCTCTCTCATCCCAGGCTACTTCTTTACCAGGTATTTAGACGTCTTGTTGAACCAGCGCTCGGCTGTGAACTTCAATAAGCCACCCTCAGCCTCCATTACAACCTCCCGGTTAAACTGCCCGCTTGCCAGCTCCGCCAGCTCCCGCCGCTGGCCCGCCAACATCTGCAGCGCGTCGCCGATGAAGCGCAAGTCTTCCGTCATCCGGTCCCGCACGTGCGAGATGGACTTTTCCCCTTCGTGAACCATCTTGCACAGGATGTCCATGTGAGGCTGCGTCGCCTCGAGAACGTGCATGAGGGCCTCAAACCCGTGGGGGTCCATGCTGGACATCAACCAGCCCCTGGACCGTGTTCCGATTAATTCCGTCCACGAAGTCCCTAGACCCAAAGCGCTCTGGCACGAAGTCCTCTTGAGCTCTCTGACGGCGTCCATGAAATGGCCCTCATATCTGAGGTGCTTGATCCATCGGTGGCGTGCTGTCTTGGCGTCCTCCAAGACGTGGATGAAGCCGTCAAAGCGAGCCAGCATCTCCTTTCGTGGCTGACCATTAAATCGCCGAGCAACGGGCGCAAACCAGCCGGCGTCGGGGTCGGAAGGGAGAAATCTCGTCGCCGGACGCGACTCGATGGCGGCGAGGAGCTGGCGCATCGCCTGACGCTCGCGGTGCAGATGGTCGCTCATGCTCTCGTCGAACTCGGTGTTGGTCGTTGCGAGGATGGAAGCTGGCCCGTCGGAGAAGGGGAACCCGAACTCGAACAACTCGTCGTGCGGCATCAGGTCCATGACGAGCATCATGTCGTTCAATCCCTTTTCGACGGACGCCTGGATAGTCGCCATTTTCGGTATGAGGGGCGAGATCTCAAGGGCGAGAGATTCAGGGCCCGGTTTGCCGCTTTCGAGGGCACGTAGAAGCGACCCCATGGCGACGCCCACGTACCCGAAGCCGCCGGAGACGGTAGCGTTAAGGACACCCAGGGCGTCGGCGCTCATCCCGGTGACGGCATACTTGAAGACCAAGATCGTGGAGGATAGTGCGAACAGGAACAGAGTCATGTAGAGGAGGGTCTTGTGGAGGTGATGATGTGTGCTGGCGGCGGACTCCTCCTCCTCCTCCTCGTTGTTGCGGCCCGGCATCGTTGTGGCAGGTCGGTTCGGGGTGAATACTTATGGAGTTGGCAAACTTCAGGATGTTGAGGAGGCAGACTTGTCTCGTCTCGTCTCGGTAGGTAAGTTAACACAAGGCAACGACGGGGAGACGCTTGCTTTGTGGAAGTGTGATGCGGATCACCTGGGTTTGTCTCGTCTTGGTAGTTCAGTTAAAACAAGCCAACGAAGGGGAGACGCTTGCTTGGTGGAAGTGTGATCCGGCTCACCTGAGTTTGTCTCGTCTTGGTAGTTAGGATAAAACAAGCCGACGAAGGGGAGACTCTTGCTTTGTGGAAGTGTGATCCGGCTCGCCTGAATTCAGTCTTTGTCAAACATGTCAAACACCACGCTCGCTGCCTGGACGCAAACATGGACTACGAAGGTGACTACCCAGTTGACGGTGCCTCCGCGTCGTAGACATAAAGACTCTCTCATCTTCATCTTCTCAACACGAAGCTACACTACTTGTCATCGCGCAACTCAAGCCACCATCGTGAAGAAAAGATTCCCCCCTACCTTACCAACAAGATGAGTCCCGGAGCCGAGCAACGCGAGATCACTGATGGCAACTTCGGCCTCGAAGTCATCGCAAGACGGGCCAACGTAGCCAGACGCCCCACCCTCCTCAGCCTCCTGAGGCGGTTTTGGGTCGTCCTCGCAGGCTCCCTGTTGGTCCTGGCTGTTGCTTTGATGTGGTCTTCCTCCGTCGCCAACGAGCCGCTCTCGCCTGCCGTGAGTAACCCAAAAGGACACGGAAGTGCCTCTTTTCTCCCGTTGCTTTCTAATACGAGAATGTTAATTCGATTCCCCAGATGGTTCAACTCTGCAGCGTCCACCGCAACCTTGTGGCCCGATCTCCACATACCCGACCGATGACAATCTACGAGACGCTCGGCCTCGACCCGTCCAAGAAGCCCTTCTACCCGGCCGACCTGTCGACGCTCAACGGCAACGCCAAAGCCATAAACAGTCTGGTCTTGAACGCTTACGCCGAGCATGGGACACCCCTGCTGCGGCGCCACAACACCTACCGCCGCGACGCCAAGTTCTCGCGCCGCGATGACTACTGGGAGCTCCGGCGGCAGGGGATCTCCCTGTTGCCCGACGAGGACGACAATGAGTGGAACGACATACTCGTGAAGGCAGCCTCGATCATTTCCACCCCCGAGCTGCGTGAGTTGTACGATCGCGTCTTCATGCCTGTGCTCTCGCAGTACACCGTGATGCAGAGCGAGGAGGCCGTTTCGAAGAAGAAGCGGGTTAAGTTGGCAGATCTGTGCCACTGGGAGGAGACGAAAACGAGGAAGCCTTGAGGTTTTGGGATGTTGGGGACTGGGATGTTGGATACCAGAGGCTGAGGTGGCAATGGGAACAGATTTGGAGATGGACATGTAGTCTGGGTACCTCTTGTTCGACTGCCTAGGTACCTTAAGTATGACGCAAATGAAGGAATGCGGTATACCCTCCCCCAGGCCATATTGGCCATAAAGCCGTCTCTCCCTCGCAGCTCTCCCTTGCAAGACTCATTCACTCCTCGCTCTCACCACCCATCCCAAGAAGCTGTCTTGAACTGCACACCGCCGACAGAGAATCTCGACACACCCGCATCGTCACTATTGCCCCCGGTAAGGTCAAACCCCACGATTGCGCCCGGCAGCTGCACCCGCTTCTTCAACGCGGACTGCGACGCCGACAACGCCCGGGGCTTCACAGGCCACGACCTGCTCGTCATGGATCGGCTCTGTCGCCCGACGGCAGTGGGCATTGGTGGCGGAGGGGCGTGGCAAGCATTTACCGACATGTCTCTTTGTTTGGAGGGGATCAGGATGGCGAGCAGAAGGCTGAAGGTGAAGCTGGTCGGGGGAGGCCACAGTTACAACTACGCTCCAGCTTTTGGCTGCAATAACTAATCTAACTTCTGTCTGCTCCCTAAAGGTGAGCAAGTTGCCGGCACAAGGTCAAAAAACACAGTTTTGACTGCAATCACAGGCCAGTATTCCGCTGCTACTGCGCCTGGAGGTGTCAAAGATGCCGAGCCCTTTCACGAAGCGGGACTTTTCCTTGTCTGGCTCGTTGGAGCGACGCACACGACGGGTTGCCAGCCAGAAACCCAGGATTCGAGCACCCCAACGACACAACTGTCCTCCCTCGCCTCCATCAGTTGAAGAGCCGACTCTCGACGAATGCATTAAAAACGCGGTCGGCTTGTTCCAGCACGCGAGCCCTCCAAATCCCGGGGCAGCGCTCACTGACCGGACTACAACCTCGGACAAGTCACATCCCATCTTTGGCGCATGGAGCTTCCCCGTCGCTGCCGCCCAGAACAGGACGTACGCTCGGCAGGACGAAGCTGGTGTGTCTGCCCCGAGCCTGGATGGAACGCCCAGGACCGTGTGCTGACTTACGATGATCGTCTCCAGCACATGTTTTCTGTACATAGGCGTAGGGATCGGTCGACGGAAAGAGGGTGGGATTGGGACAGGCCTTGATGATCGAGAAATTTTTTTGAGGCTTACAACTTTGCCGATTTTCTGGGTTCTTGGTGTTGTGTCTGCATGGGTATCCAACTCACATGCGCCGACAGATGCAACAACAATTGCACCGCCATTACGGTCAAGGCATCATCTCTACAGATGTCGGTCTCGCCGTGGCATTTTTCTTGCTTTTGTGTCATATTTCTCTTGGACGACGCGAAGCCGTGGTTGATCCCTGCGAGTGCAATCTCCCCTTTGCGTGCCTGTGTCACCAAGATGCTTACCCAGCCAGGCACACAACCCAAGAAAGAACATCCAGTCCTACACTACACGATGCACAAATTCCACTACGCTTGAGTCACTGCGGCCCAAATCACACCACACTGGTACTGAGTGGTCGTACGTACCATCCAGGGCCATGTCAGCCTCTGGAAGCGAACTTCACGACGCCATGCAGCACCATTACACCAGCCAAGGCCGCCAATGCGGCATATGCGGCCGGCGAGTTCTGGGATCGGCGTGGCACCTGTCTCGCCACGTTGCTACGCGGCACACAGGGGCATCTCACGTTCTGGTACGTTGAACTGGCGCCGAGGCGGCTCCTATTTGGTGGAAGGTTCACTTACACGGGGAGATAGACGCCTCCAGACACAGACCCGACTCTCAACGTCGGCTTGGCCGCGCGAGCCTGTCGGCAGGCTCTGGCCAAGGACGAGACGCACGAGGCAGACGACTTGGAGCTCGCGCGGCAGATGATGCACTCGACGCCGGCCAGGCTCAGGCATTACGGCGGCGTCTTCGCGAAGGGACCTCTCGCCGGCCGCCGTATGGCTGGTCTTCCGCGATACTTTCACAGCAACGGCCGCCTCAAGGAGTGCTACACCTACCTCAAGCCCGACAAGCCGGATGGAAGACGGACCCTGCGGAGGAAGAGACATGCGCCCTCGCACCCCAACATGTCCTGGATGGAGCGAGACGAAGGCGGCTCACCGCTGCTCCCGTTTACGGAGATCCAGGCAAACCTCTGGACTCCGTCCAAGTTCGACAACTGGCGAGGGCCCTTCCGCATCGACGCCCGAAAGGAGGATCCGTCGAGAGTCGCCAGCGGCGACAAGCAATGCGACCTCTGCAGCGGCTCATTCTGCGACTGCATCACGACTCGAATCCGCCCCGGCCCCTGCCCAAGAGTCGTCCCTTCAGACAACATAGGTGACGGCGTCCAGGCCTCTCAGCGCTACGAGGCCGGCGACCTGATGGGCGAGTTCGTCGGGGAGCTGGCGCCACTGGACCACTACGACGACGGATACGCGGCCGAGTTACACCGCTACGACCTTGCCTCGAGCGGGAGAGGAGTGGCTGCGTGTACGATTCACCCGCGGCACTATGGCAACTGGTCGCGCAAGGTCAACCATGCGTGCGATCCCAACGCCTGTCTCGAGAGCATGAAGGTGTCGGGGCGTTGGCGGATTATGGTTAAGGCCGTCAAGGACATCGAGCCAGGGAGTTGGGTCGAGATCGACTATGGGAGGTCGTATTGGAGCCAGTCTCCGGAGCCTTGTCGATGTGGGATCGAGCGATGCTACAGCCGGGAAACATAGAGATGTAGGCATCCATCTTAGTTAGATTGCCTCTACGACTCACACTCTATTTACAGCAGAGCAGATGTCTGAGCCATAACCTCGTCCGCGCCCTTGAATTCGTCCGCGTAGCTGTCCCGGCCGGCATACACAGTGCTGCCGCCGGCGTCCTGCGAATCATGGAACACGGCTCTCCCCAGTCAAATTGCCATTTCCACTTGTACAGCGTAGCGTGCTCCTTGAGCTAGATCATCGTCTCCTCCTCCACCAGCTGCCTCCAATCGCGCCGACAGCGCACTTTGCCCCAGCGCGGAGCGTCGTGCGCCTGCGCCGCCCCATCGTCGCCGTGGCGGATTGACAACCGATTGTACGATACCATGTCCTGGGAGAGCATCGTGAGGAGGAGGATGTGGCCGGTATTTGAGGGGGGGGACCGGCGCAGTGGAAGTGGTAGTGTGCCACCTCGTCGGCCAGCATTTAATGGAAGGGGAATGCCTTGCGTGTCGTCAGTCTTTGAGAACTGAGCTGTAGTGGGACGACCATCTGATTATACTAGGTCCGATGTCAGCAAGCTGTCATAGGGGTAAGCAAAACTGTAGCCCCAGGCCAGTAAGTCATATTTGCCTCCGGCGGCCCTGCCGGGGTCTGCCTGCGGCACGCTTGTTTTCCGTCTGTCAGTCAGTCAGTTAGGAGGGCAGAGGGCTCAGAGGTCTGCCCGCCTAGGGACCTGGTGGTCTGTCGGATCAAGAGTCTGGAGGTCTGCTTGCCCAGGGGCCTGGAAGTCTGCTGGATTAATCAGTCAGTCGGTCGGTCGGTCAGTTGGTCAGTCAGGCAGAGGGCTCACAGATCTGCTTGCCTAGGGGCCCGGGGGTCTGTCAGATCGAGGGCCTGAAAGTCTGCAGGTTGGCCAGTCAGTCAGTCAGTCAGTCAGTCGCTTGAAGGTCTGCTTGCCTAGGGGTCTAAAGGTCCGTCCGATTGAGGGCTTGGAGGTCTACCAGATTGGGGGTAGTCGGTGGGGTGCCAGGTCAAGATCAGGATCTAATAAGGTCGGTTCATGGAAGGAATCTGTTGGTGGACCCGAGGTCGGACCCTTGTTCCGACTTGTCCCGTTTTACGCCTGAGATACTAGGCATATGGGACAGAGGTGATCGCCCCTGCGACACACCCGTCTGTCACATAGCTAGCCTAGTCATCAATCATCATCATACAGTTCATCAGGTCATAGCATCATCCCCGTATTTCCACTAGAATGGTATTTTCCCATGCCCGGGGGGCCCTGCCGGGGGCTGCGGCGCTGACCCCCCCCCCCCTGCAGACCGAGGCGCAGGCGTGGCGGCCTTAGCCAACCACATCCGTTTTCTGGCATCTTTTGCGGGCCGCATGTGGCGGGTTTTCTGCCGTAGCCAGTTGCCGCTCGATTTTGCGTGGCGCGAAGGCGGTGTGGCTTGAGATTGTGGTGGCTGAAGGCCTCTTTATTAAAGAAGCAAAGCTAGAAGCTGCTAAGTTATCTACTACGTTCCTTGCAACATTCTTGACATTTGCTTAATAAATCTCCGCAAATTCTTGAACCCTCTCCAAGTCTCTCTTGCGCTTGCTGCCTACCCTGTTCCTCCGAGTAAATAATACAAGGTGGACTAGTAGCTCTGGAGGTAATAATAGCAGGTGATGAGTTAGCCGTCAATCTTGCAAAGCCCTCTGTCTAAGAATGAGACCACTCTTTTTAATATTAAGCCAGGCGAATATCCAAATAAAACCCAACGGTGATAATGCAACGGCGCTGGTGGAGGGGATGGTAGCGTGCTGTAGGAAGAAGCTCGGTATAGGGTAGGGAGGGGAGGAAGTGCTCTCAGGGGTTAAGACATCGTCCAGGATCGCGACAGTCCAAAAGATGCATCGGACGATGGAATTCAAGGTGCTGGGTCTACAAATTTACTGAGAGAGTGATCCTTTGTATGTTCAATTGCGATGTCTTGATAGGGATACGACACCGGAGCACGCACACGATGCTTCTTAAACTGCCGAAAAGAATCGCTTCCAACCCGTATCACTTAATCAAGACGATAGTACCTGATACGGCTTGCAGATGTTGTGGAAGATGGCCAACAGTCTCCCCTCTCAGCCCGCGAAGACCTTTCACGACTTGACCAAATCCGCCGTCATTCTGTGCGAGAAGGCCCCTCGACTGCTCTGAAGGATTTGGACCAGCGTGGTGATATGTTGGCTTTTGCGCCCATGATATCAACATTTAAACAAGAACAACGAAGATAACGCGTCGTAATTGACAGTTTCATCCGTAATTGAGACTGGAGCGCTTGGTGTAAGTAAGTCAGCTGAAACAGTAGACAGTATCAAGAGGTTCAAGAGGTTAGGGTGCCCTAGTACACATACTCAGAGGGGGGACTAGAAGCTCAACAGTAAAAAAAACACCAACAATAGTATCAACAATACGGACTCTTTACCCAGTCTATTCAAAGATCAATAATACACTCAGACAGACTAAGGTTTCTAGTCCAACTGGTTACCTTTCCCAATACCTTTGTGAGTGGATAATAATTACTTATTACTTTAGCTTTTTAAGTATTATTGAAAGCTCAAACTAGACTTTAATAATCCTAGTTATTCCCATAAATTGAAATCACACAGTGCCGAGTTAAATGTCAACTCAGAAATGTGACTTGAGTTATTTTTGCTAATTCAATCAAGTTAGACTGAGAGATGCTACACTCAATACTTGAGCTAACTCACCTCGTGGAAATATCTTTAAGGACTTGGTTGAAACACTCGTTCGCATAGACCTGTATCTTCCCTGAAGATGATTGTAAAAGACCCTGCATGCTTTTGACTTTGTCTTGGAGATCAGTAGATAATGGGCGCTTCATAATTCGCAGAAGCAGGATGAGGGATGTTGAGAGAATGTGATGGGAATCGAACCACAACGAGTCCGTGAGAAGATTTCTCGCCTGCATATCCAGAAGTGTTGTAATGACAACGTCGTTGTTGTCCTCACAAACCTTGACATAGTAGCTGGTTGTATGGTTCTCGATATTGGAGTTGAGTAGAAAATGCTGAGTTACCAAGACGAAGATATAATGATACCTTAGTCGAAGGTAGAGCGTTGCTCGTGCAAATGAATCCGACATTGTTACTTTGGTCAAGTGTTCCGGTACGCTTGCCCACCAGGCCTCCAGATCCTGGATTAGACTGTCCGTATCCTGCTCTCTACGCTGCTGGTTTAGGAAAATGCAACTCATTGCCGTAGAGAGGAACTGTGCCAAGCGTGCTGAAGTTGATGCGTACATGGGCGGAGATGTGTTGCCCGCAGTGAGACTCTATACTCTATTAGCCTCTTGGTGCCTCAATGCACTCGGGTTTTGCTTACATCCGAGGGAGATGGGACACCCTTAGCGTCCATAGACAGGTCAGAAGATTGCCCAAGAATACATGAGCTCCACTGGTCCAATTCGTACAACGACCACCACAGTCGTGTCTTTTGTTCTTTCAACATCAGGCTCTCGTCATCTGTCTTGATGTGCATGCCGAGCGACTGAGCAATCCTGACTGCACTGCCTAGAACAACCCAGGAGGTGTGCCGTTGATTGTGCTTCTGTCGGTACAAAGCCTACGCTTCGTCAGTCAGATCCATAGCATGTCAAATCTCACAGACCATTAACATGAGAGCTTGGACACTCTCAAGGCTGCCCTCTTCGATCACACCTTCCATCTGCATGCGAGCAAACTCAAAATTCTCCGATGAGCCATTTATAAGAGCCACGATAAGATGAATGATGGCCTGGACAGATGATGTTGTATCTCTCCCACTGTATGCCATCTCAACAGCGTTGAAGAACTTTTCAGGACTGAGAATAAAGACCACACTATTAATGTGGCTAAAGAATGTTACACCACACTGTTCGCAAGTTCTTTTATCAGGGAGTGCGATGGCTGGAACACTCCAGAGTGGTTCACCGTCGCGCAGGTCAAGCGTATGCTCTCGCTGTAGCAATGCTAGTCGAGGGAACCTTTCTTCGATGCATGAGCTGACCTTGTGTTGTAAGACGGTGTAACTTGAAGCACCATCGAAACCTGGCTTGCGTTTAGCACTCGGAGGATCCATCTACTGGGGGAGCTACCTACGACGCTGACATGTTGCATCTGATATAAATACACCGTCGAGGCTGCCTTCAGACGCAGAGGGCGATGTGTCATTGGCCGCACTGATGGTCTGCAGGGCTTCAATGGTTGTAGATTGAGCAACCGAAGATGGCGGCGAGCCTTCCTGCGTAGGACTGGGACACCACGAGCCGCTCGGTGCACTTTTCAGAGTAGAGACACATTGTCGAAGGTCTTCTACTTCTAATGAGGTGGCTGGTGAAAAGTGCTGAACGATTGTTGCCATGAGTTCGAACCGCTCTTTCGACGTGTGGTAGTAAGGTCGAGCAACAACCTCGCAAGTCACGGCACAATCTAAGCCTAGGCGCTCACATCTCCCACAGGCTCTTGATGTTGGTTTGTCACACTGGGAGAGTCAGAGGGGGCGGCAAAGTACATTAAAAACAGAGCCAAGGAGGCATGATCAATTGATCATTCCACTCACTCTGATCTTGCGGCGTCTGCAATTGACGCAACTGGACGGCAGCCGACGGCCTTTGGCGTTTGTGCTCATGACTCGGCAGACTTGAGATAACAGTTGGCCCTAAGGAAGGGAGACCTTGATGGTGATGATAGCGACGATGGCGATGCGGGGAAGAACCTGGGGTCGGTTACCAAGACCCGACCCCACGGGGTAACATTTCTCCTCAGTGATTGATTGCCGAGGCTCTGGTGATTAACAAAGGCAGCATCGTCATTGGCAGAGCCAGAGCGGTCACCGCGGCAAGCTCCTAGGACGCTTCTAGAATAGCCAAACTGAACACACAGCACATCTCGGTGACCGCACTTGTGGGTCACAGCCCCGACACACTCAGTAGTGACGATACAATCCATCCGATAAGTAGGCGCCAAATCAGCATCAAAGTGGCAGGCCTCCGTACAAAGTCTCGAAATCTAACTTTGGCCATGTCGTCTCTCGAATCTAAGCTGGAACTTCAGCTTCCAGGGAAAAATATTGTCATCCTTATCGTCGCTGCCTTGTGTCTTGTATGTTGCCACCTCAATCAACATCCCTGTGTTAGACTAACTCTCTCAGCCGCTGATTTACAATGTCTTCTTCCATCCCGTCGCTCGGATTCCAGGACCATTCTTCGCCAAGCTATCTGATATATGGCACGCATACCACCTGTCAACCGGCACTCGTCACATGCTGCTCTATGACCTCCACAAGAAATATGGTGAGTGTGACATATAGTTATACCCTGCTGGGCAAGAAAGCTAACTTCTCGCCAGGCCCATTAGTCCGCATCGGACCAAACACGGTCTCTGTTGACACAAACGAAGGACTGCAGAAAATCTTCTCGGCAACATCACCGATTGACAAATCGCCTTTCTACCAGTCCTTTGCGCCGGGCTTCGACAGTAGCTTTGCCGCCGTTGGTGATGCTTTCAGGGAGAAAAAGTCGATCCTGTCCCATGCATTCGCGCAAAAGAAGCTCGATGCCATGGAAGTGACCTTCATGGAGCACATCAAGAAGCTTTGCGAGGTTATGACCGCGCAAAAGGAAGTGGAGCTTGACGAATCCCTATCAGCCTTGACCATCGATATCCTCTCCGACGTCTGCTTTGGTGAGACATTCGATCTGCTTCACAACCCTACGGAGAAGAAGAAAGTCAGTGGAGGTTTGGTACAAGCGGCAAGATATGTGTCACTGGTAAGTAATGCACATGCACTTTCTGTCCATCTCACAAAAGGATGTAACTTACCTGACGCGAACTCCAGGAGGGGACCCTTTGGCGATGGCCTTTGATGCAAAAGATGATTCGAATTTTATCCAACAAGTTCACAACTCGCGCCTATCCAGCAGAGGTGGGGTGCGCCCCAAAGTTAAAGTACTAACATGGACTGACCACTAGTAGAGAGCTATAGGGGCAATGATCAACCAGAGACGAAACGCGTCAGGTAGAGAAGATATTTTCAACTATCTACTGACTGCTATTAAGCCTGGGTCTGGTGAGCTGTTTCTTGACCAGGACTTGTTCGGTGAGGCCATCATCCTGTTTGTTGCAGGTTCCGACACCACTTCGACCGCTCTTCTAACCACGTTATGGCATTTGTTATCTCATAAGAATGCGTACGATAATTTGGCGAAGGAAGTCAGGTCCAAATTTAGGTCTATTGGCGAGATCAACTACCAGGAGGCTCAACACTTACCGTATTTGAGAGCGGTAATTGAAGAAAGCTTGAGAATATTCCCGCCAAATTCCGGATTTATACCTCGACAGGTGGTTCGATCTAAACAGCCGTTCACTCTCCATAACATCGTTCTACCTGTCGGAGTAGGTTATCCCTAGTGTCTGATTCATTGGCATAAGAAGTTGACTAATGAGATTTGAAGACTGAAATCGGTATCGCAAACATGGCCTTACATCGAAACCTGTTGTATTTCGAAAAGCCGGACCAGTTCATTCCGGAACGCTGGATCGACGGGAGCAAGAGAGACAGGCCTGGGTTCTCTCCATTCTCGAAAGGTCCAAGATCATGCCTAGGAAGGAAGTGAGCCATAACCTTATGCAATTGCCTGATATCCGCTGACGTCCTCGTTCAAAGCATGGCATACATGGAAATGACTGTCGTCCTTGCAGCATTGTTTGTGGAGTTGGACATGGAGTTCCAGGATCCAGAGACTGAAGTTAGACAAGGTTACATGCCGACTGATTCCTTTGTGCTAGTCAGGCCTAAGGTGAAAGTACTTGTAAAGCGTCGCCAGAAAGGTGAAGTGGGGGTGGGAAATACTTAGGTTTTCCTTTGGGTGATAACATTTCATCAAAGCACGGTAGAGACCGAAAGAATACTCCGCCTTCTCAATCTTATTAGAAATGAAAGTGGATATGCATTGAGTACCAGCGATATTCATTCTCAGGCCTTCACGGGTGCTGTGAGAACGGTTCATTCAATCTTGACCTAATGCTACAGATAAAGAATTTGAGGTTAAAAGTTGGGCTGACCAACTGTTGTGGACTTTTCCAAACCGTGGCAACTTATGTGAATAAACTTCATAAATGACAGTTACACTTCTCTCCATCTGTGGTTTGGTGACTCTCAGCATCTGTTTTTGGTTACTCCTTTGCTTTTTATCAACATGAGAGTCCACGCAATATCATGTTTCAGGAACCTTCATGTACGAAATTTCCACAAAAGTCCCGTGTCTTATTCACAACTACCACCGTTCGAGATTTGGTTGATATGTCCATGTTGTTTCGTTCCACCTTAGTGCAGGTTGGAAACTGTGCGTAAGTTGTTGCATGAACTACCATCTGTGGCGAGATCTCGGCAAGACAGGGTCGGTAGAGTGAGATGACCGAAAGCCGCTTACCTGACATTGCATTTCTCGCAACGCGGTATCCGCGTTCTTACTGTGCCATAATGCACTAATTTTCGGAAGTAACGCCGCCCCCTTGCTCCAGACAATGTGCCTTTGAGGATTCGGTGTCCGCTCAATTCGGTGTCCGCTCTCTTACGCTTTGATCAAACTAAAGTAGCCTGCCTACTAAGTACCTCGGCTATAAATCAGATTAAATCAGACAGCAGCTAACTTGAACCATTTTCGCAACCGAGACGACTTTATTCTAAAGAAACCCGGTTCCGACATTCATCATTAGCAAAATCAGAGACATCAACAACCATGGCGATTGAAACCAAGCAGCCAGTTGAAACGAAGCTGTTCATCAACGGAGAGGTATGTGGTCACAACGAACTTTCGGCAGGTAGTATTCGCTTACGCAAGAAACCCCAGTTTGTGGATGCATCTGACAAGAAAACGTTTCCGCTTAAATCTCCCTGGACTCATGAAGTGGTAGCATACGGTAAGGCTAAATGTTGGAGCATCCGTATTCGCCCTAACCGTATATCATAGTTGCGGAAGCAACTATCGACGACACCAATGCAGCAGTTGCCGCAGCCAAGGCCGCGCAGCCTGCATGGGCTAAGCTGTCACCAAAGCAGCGAGGACAGCACCTGAGGATATTCGCAGGCCTACTTCGCGAGCATGGGGAGGAATTAGCTCGTTTAGAGGCTGTTTCTATGGGCAGGCCGGTGAGCGGGTATGCTGATCATTTGATTGCCGCGAACCGCTTCGAGTATTATGCCGAAGCCGGATACACCGTCCAAGGCCAGTCGAGTTTGAACACACCTGGTCAACTGAATGTCACACTACGGCAGCCGTTTGGTGTCGTAGCAGCAATTATCCCATGGAACGTCCCGCTTGTTGCATTTTCTGGGAAAGTTGGTCCAGCTCTGGCAGCAGGCAACACAGTTGTCTTGAAAAGCAGTGAAAAAGCCCCCCTGACGGTGAGTTTGAAGCGCTCACATTCCGGTGCGGCATACTGATATTCAGGGCTAGTCAAGCAAAGTTGCCGAGTACATCAACCAAGCTGGCTTTCCGCCGGGCGTCGTTAATATTCTCTCGGGACACGGCCATATCAGCGGCGCAGCCCTGGCCTCCCACATGGACGTTCGGGCTCTCTCGTTCACAGGTTCCACACGAACAGGTCGCTTGATCCAGGAAGCTGCAGCCAAGTCGAACATGAAGAATTTGATCTTCGAACTGGGAGGGAAGTCCCCAGCAGTCATTTTCGAAGACGCAGATCTGGAGAAAGCTGTCCCCGCAACGGCACACAGTATTCAGTGGAATAGTGGTCAGGTTTGCATGGCAAACTCGAGAATATACGTCCAACGTTCCATCGCGCCGGCCTTCATTGAGGCATTCAAGAAGTCATTCGGAAGAGTGCATCTTGGAGACCCAACGGATCCAGCAACCAATCACGGCCCGCTGGCTGATGCTGCTCAAGCAGATATCGTCACTCGATATTTGGAGATGGGGAAGCAGAGTGGTCAACTAGTCTTGGGTGGCGATTTCGAGCCCAACACCTTTACCGTCAAGCCCACCATTTTCACTGACACACCCGAGGACTCCAAAATTCTCAAAGAGGAAGTCTTCGGTCCTGTTGTCCATATAAACACTTTTGATACGGAGCTGGAAGCCTTGGATAAAGCCAATGGAAGCGAATACGGATTGTATGCCGCTGTGTATACGAGGGATGTCGGTCGGGCCTTGCGATTCGCCATAGGTCTTGAATCAGGGACAGTCGGGGTCAATTGCACTTCTCCGGTGACAGGGTTTGATATGCCATTTGGCGGCTACAAAGGAAGCGGCATTGGCCGTGAAGGCATTAGGGAAAGCTTGGATGGTTTTCTTGAGAAGAAATCGGTCTTGCTCATGCTCAATTAAGTAGTTGTAGTTATGCCCTATCCAGCTTTAGTCTCAATGACAGAGAGTTTTGTCTATGTGCAAAGTTTTTGTCCCCCGAATTGGATTTTGAGTCGGTTTTCGCCGAGCTTGATAGGCACTGATGCTGTCTGTTATAGCACTACTGCAAGAAAGAGTGAAGACGTATTGATGACAGCAAAGCACGAAGACTGAGCAAGTGGCTCATTATTGTTCCATCCCGACGCATCTCCATGTCGTTCTTCGGCCCTGGTCTTATTGCGCTCGGAACGTTCAGGCGTGCAATACAGATATCATAGATAATCTAATTCTCAATCTCCCTCTTTCCTTTCAATTCCGTACTGAAAGAGCGGCATTCCCGAGATGTGAAGCTGTGGGAGTTCTCTCTGCACCTTTCGCATTGTTATCCAAACACCCATATGAAAGCACCTGAGCAGAACGTTCCGCGAGAAGACCGCGGCCTTAACGGCGCGGCGGCTCGCGGAGACCGCCCCAGTCCCCATAGCGGCCAAGCTCGGTGGAGCGCGGAGCCCGACATTCAGTCCGTACCGTGAATGGATAATGACGGGCTGACAGTACTACTTAAGTACCGATCGAATCTCATAGATCTTCACTGTTAAACAGGTTACGGCAATTCACCAGCTTTATTTATTCCGGTTTTGCATCTATTCGCGTTGAGATTGAGCAGTAATCTCGAACCATGTCTGTTCCCAAGATCCCCAAGATAGCACTGGAGGAGGCCTTTACTCTTCCAGAACTTGCAAGCAAGAGCAGCGCTTTTGCCGGACCTAACGGAGGTCAGGATTTGGCCACAGATCTTGTTGATATTCAAGGCCGACGACTGGAAAGGATGAAAGCTAGCGGTGTTTCTCTCATGGTCTTGTCGCTCACATCCCCCGGCCCGCAGGATGAACCGGACCAAGAAAAAGCTCTAGCTCTAGCGAGACGAGCGAACGACTACCTCGCTGACGAGATTCAAAAGAACCCTTCTTGTTTTGCTGGACTCGCATCTCTAAGCATGCATGACCCCAAGACTGCCGTGATTGAAGCTAGACGAGCAGTCAAGGACCTTGGGCTCGTTGGCATAATCGTCAATGACTTTCAGACGGTCAGTGCTGATGGAGAGCAAGTCGTCTTCTACGACCAACCCCAATGGGATGTGTTTTGGAAAGAAGTTACGGAACTCGACGTACCCGTTTACATCCATCCTCGCCTCACCACACCGGACGTATCGAGGAAGTTTCTGGCTGAGAGGCTTGGTCTAAGGGGAAGCGCTTACTTCTTCAGCGTAGGTAAGTGCAACAGATTTGCTCCTTTCACTGACTGTACTCTACTGGCCTAACCAAATCCAGGAGTCTCCTTACACGTGCTAGGTCTGTACGTAAATGGGGTGTTTGAGCGCTTTCCGAAGCTACAAATCATCGTCGGACACATGGGCGAACATTTGCTTCTACAGCTGTGGAGAATTGATCACAGATTGAGTTATAATACCGGCGCCATGAAACCAAAGACAAAGAAAACATTTCGGGAGGTGATGAAGGCAGTACGTTGCAATACACTCTTCACGGTCAACTTCGTTTGAACCTGCTAATGAAGCGAATAATAGAATATCTCTATCACCACCAGTGGGCACTACGGTACACCTGCATTGCTCTATGCAATCCAAGAAGTCGGAATCGATAGGAAAGTCGCAAGATCAAATGTCATGGGAAAGTCTAACATGTTCTCAGGGTCATGTTCTCTATCGACTACCCATACGAAACCTTGGAAGAGGGTCCGAAATGGTTCGACGGGATCACGGAGCTTTCACAGGAGCAAAAAGAACAAATTGCGTCGGGTAATGCAAAGAGACTGTTGAAACTGAGCTAAGGAGCCTGGAACTTTGGATCCTAGTAAACAATAAACATATTGCGCAACCACGAGTCCTCGTGTCTCGGTTTTCCAAGGGCGATACCACATCTTATTACAGACAAGAAATGAACCTGTGCACACTCAGGCATTTTTGCTTTTTTATGCAGGATTATTGAGATGAAGTCTGAGCGTTGGAAAAAGATTTGTATATTGTTGCATAAGAGTCAGACCAATTTCTGTTCGGTACATTGAGGGCCTCGTGTTAACTAAATTCCATTACTCTCTGTGTTGCCGCATCCCTCACTTATTTCCATTCATGATCAGCCAGTCCAGAGCCCTGCGCACGGGTGGCCATTCTGGATCCTCCTGTGACAGTCCTGCATCAAATCCGTGAGACTGATTTGGGACCAAAGAAAGCTCAGTTTTAACTCCGTGACTGCTCAGATCATTGAACGCCTTCTCGCTGAACCTAGCGGGGATCATATCGTCGGCATCGCCGTGCACAAAGAAAGTGGGAGGAAACCCGGGCTTGAAGGCCAGTGTTGGGTCAACGCCCTCGAAATTGTCATCTTTGACAATGGCCTTCATGTGTGTCCCATTCTTGAGAGCGGTGAAAAGCCAGGCATTCCGAGGGAGAGAAAGATCAGGTGGAGGCAAGCCCCTTTTCTTGGTCTTGCTTGATGACGCAGCCGCCCTCTCCAGCGAAGTCACTGTTGTCGTCAAGATAGGTCCTTCATATATCTTTCGCAGAAAACTTTGTTCGAACGGTGGAAGCCCTGCAAGAAGAGGCAGTGGAGTGTGCCAAAACTCATCACTGGTGTACTTCACGCCGTAAAAGTCGAGGATCGCTCGTGGTGGCTCAGGAAGACCTCCCTGTTCGTGTAGCATTAGAACATTGCGCAGGGTTTGAGAACAATTAGAGAGCGAATTCGTACCAAGTGCAGGGCCAACAAGGCACCGGCAGACTGACCAAATGCAACAATCTTTTCTGCATCTATTTCGATGCCAGCATCGTGATTGAGCTTGGCAGGTAGATTCAACTTGCACCACGAAAATGCGTCAATTGCGTCCTGTATGACATCGCGCAGGGCAACTTGTGGACACAGACGATAATCCGCCGACACAACAACAAAGTGCGCATCGCAAAGGTACTCGATCTCGACTTCAGGTATGAAGTATCTGGAACCTATTACGAAGCCCCCGCCATGGAACGCCAGAGCTTGCAAATGTTAGCAATAGACTTGACGTATTGCAAGCTTCAAATGCCTACCGATTCCGTACGGAAGCCCAGTCGCTGCAGGTTTCCAAAATGCCGTGGCGACGATGCTAACGTCGCCAGCCTCTTTGAAAATGTAATCTTTCTTCAACATGGTGAGGCCAAGGACGAGGACCAGGACGGGCACGAGAACAAGGAGTAGTAGGCTTCTTGCAGCACGTTGTCTTGGGGCATAAAGCACTGAAAGGGTGAGAAATGCATGAAACACAGGATCAATGGCTTCTCTTGAATACAGCGATCCGCAAAGTCTCCCAATTACCGAATTAGTAACGCGGTGTCCGACACTGGAGAGCGGTCTCCGCGCTTGCGTTCCCCGCACCCATGAGCGACGTCAGTGTCGGCAGTTTGGCGGCACTGAACAAGATCCATGTCGTTCCATATCTCATTGGCAGGAAGATGCTGCGGCGCGGTCACCGCATGAACAACATCCGCGTTTAGGCTGATTTGTAGTGATTTACTTAAAGCTGATCATTGATGTCAGGATTGGGATAGACAAGACAAGACAACACTAGCTAAAGGTCTATTGAACTTTGCCAACTTGCACAATCTCAATTATCCTCCAGACCCTCATAGCAAGCAACATGACCGACATCGCCCAATCTGCCGAAGCCCTGAAGGCCCAACCTGAGGTGAACTTTCCTGAGGTGCCCTTCTTTCAGGGTCCTGAGGCCCCTTGCCGCTTCGAGGCTGAAGTCTACAACTGCGTTGTGCGTGGAAAGATCCCCACGGAGATCGATGGAACTTACTATCGCTGCATGCCTGATTGGTCGTGGGCCCCTCTGTATGATGATGATGTCTTCATCAACGGTGATGGTGCCATAGATGCGATCCGGATCAAAGACGGCCACGCCGATTTCAAGCAAAAGTATGTCAGGACATCGAAGTTCCTCATTGAGAGAGCGGCAAGACAGGCCGTGTTTGGCAAATATCGCAACCGTTTTACCGACGATGCCCGCGTCAAACATGAGGTGCATTCTACAGCGAACACACATATCATCTACTTCGAGAATCAGCTGCTGGCACTGAAGGAAGACTCGAAGCCTTATGCCATGGACCCAGACTCTCTTGAAACCAAGGGTGAGTCGGCTCGCATTGACTAATTGAACTAAACAATTCTCATTCGAAAACACCACAGGGCTCTACGACTTCGGCGGCCAGTATTCTGCTCCTACTTTCACCGCGCATCCAAAGATTGACCCCGACAATGGTGAATTGATCACAATGGGCTATGAGGCGAAGGGTGATGCCACGAATGATGTCGCGTACTACTTGTTCGACAAAGACGGCAAGAAGCTTGAAGAGTGTTGGATCAAGACGCCATATGTGGGAATGATGCATGACATGGCAGCGACCAAGAACTGGGTCGTTTTTGTACTCATCCCCCTGGAGACCCAGCCACTGGAGCTCCTCCAGCAAGGCTCGAGGCACTTCGCTTGGGCCGAGGACAAGCCTTTGACTTTTGGCATACTTCCACGGCGCAACCCAAAGCCGGAAGATGTTCGCTGGTTCCACTACGATAACGCCTTCTACGGGCACACTGGAAATGCATTTGAGGGTGACGATGGATGTGTTTATCTTGACGCCCCGCTCACCTATCACAACAAGGTAAGTGCTCAAGTTAAGCTTGAAAAAAAAAATGAACGTTAAATTCATGATATTAGTTCTGGTTCTTTGGCCCCCGGGGCGAGGACCCGTTCACCCATCCAAGCGCCAAACCAAAGAATGACGGACGTCCGGAAAGTCATTACGTGCGGTGGAAGTTCGACCCCAACGCAACTGACTTTCGCGTTGAGCCGACTGAGTTGGTCAATCTGGATGGCGAGATGCCCAAACTTGATGAGAGGTTTGCTACCAAGAAGTATAACAAAATCTTCTTGTGCGTTCACGATCCGAAGGCGGAGTACAGCCCTGTCGGTGGAACTTACAACACTCTAGCCAGTGCGGACATCAACACAGGGAAATCAAAATACTGGTCCGCTGGTGAACATACCGCACTCCACGAGGTGGCGTTCATTGCGAAATCGCCGGACGGTAAGTTGCGAAAAAGAGATCGACTGAGTGAGCATTTGATGCTAACCAACCCTACAGCACCCGAAGGTGATGGCTATTTGATCACCATTGCTAACAGGCGTGATGTTAAACTTTCCTGTATTCTCATTCTTGACGCGAACGATGTCGAAGCAGGCCCTGTTGCTATTATTGAGCTCCCTTTCCGCCTACGCAACGGTATCCATGGAAGTTGGGTCCCGCGGTCTGATCTGCTATTCGATAAGGAGTTGTGTGATATGTCTGGTTTGACTGAGGAGATCCGGAAGGAGTATGCAGGAACAACCGTCAAGCCAGCTTTGCTCTAGGTTGAGATAGGAAATCAAAACACTCTTTTGCACAACACACTACCTTTGGGGTAGCTTGGGCCAGGTGTTGAACCGACCTTGGGGGTATGATGTGACCGATAAGGGCAGCCAGCTGGAACGGACCTAGAAGTGGGTGAGTCCAGCGGAGCTGGCAACGCGACCACTGTATTTAATAGGGGCCCTCACTGCTAGATACTGCTAAATACCACCTGTGCATCTCACTGTACATGACGCCTTTGTTACCGACGTTTTAAACCAGGCTGGGATGTTGGCAGTGACGGACCACACGTCTAGGGTTAACGTGATACCGACTGAGACACGTCAGACGCCTGGAAGCTGGGTGGTATAAATTTTATGGGGAAGTTTGCATAAGTTGGGAGACAATCACGCAGCAGTCCGCTTCATAGGCTCGCATTCATATGTTGGCCTCCAATGCACACATTGGGTGTCACGGCGAACCAGGCCTTGCCCGGGACTGACAGGTTCTTGTAACCCGACGAGCTGATGTGCAGAAGATGAGGCCCGGGATGATGCTTGGCCGGGTCGATGGCTCTATGGTAGCCGCTCATTTCGCAACTCCAATAGCCCTCGAAGGCCTACTGGCTGCCCTGAACCAATAGTATAACAAAGCCGCCAGTGAGATAGCGATGAATGCGCTTCGACCTGGAATATACCGCCCAGGAAGTTCACGGTAGCGAGGAGGCCGAGCTCAATGTAGGTAGTCTTGGACTTGGAGGATGGGACGTCGCATACGGCACGCCCAGTATCTCTATCTCCACGTGCGGAGACCGATTTTCACGGAGACCGAAATGCGACTCTCCAGGGAATGCGGACACCGCATTACCGATGGATGTCGGCTGACTCAAAGGGTTCCATACTACCGAGACTCTCTTATAAATAGCAACCACTCAGTATTGAAAACGCAATATCCCATATCTCCCGCTACAAGACAACGAAGTTCCAACATGAGCATCCCAACTACATGCAGAGCGGCAGTGGTAAGAAATGAAGGCCCTGACTTTTCTATCAAAATCGCCGATGTGAAGGTTCCTGAACCTAGTGAGTCTTGACTGAATTCCACGTGGATAATTACCACAATGCGTCACAAAGGAGCTAACGTTTTCTCCAAGGCCCAGGTGAGGTCCTTATCCGCCTGAGGACCAGCGGGCTGTGCTATTCAGACCTGCACTACATGCTGAACGACACTCCTGCACCAAGCATGGGTTCATTTGGCGTAACAACTGCAGGACATGAAGGGTGCGGTGTCGTTGTGAAAGTTGGCCAGCAAGTCCCTGACTTCCAAATCGGAGACCGGGCTGGTGTCAAGCCCATTTGGAGCACGTGTGGCACTTGCGAGCTATGCTTGGGAGACAATGAGACACATTGTGCGAAGAAGCGCAATACGGGCCTTGCAGTCACTGGGACCTTCCAGCATTACATCCTTGCCGATGCGAGGCATGCGGTCCGGATTCCAGAGGGCGTACCGGATGACCTGGCTGCTACACTCATGTGTAGCGGTGCGACGGCATTTCGGTCTGTGAAGTCGGCGGGTCTACCGCCTGGGTCAGACGTGGTTGTTCTTGGAGGCGGTGGCGGCGTTGGCGTGCAAGTCGTCCAGATTGCAAAGCTCCTTGGCTTCCGACCAATAGTGGTGGACATTGGCGACGCGAAACGTGAACTTTCAATGAGTATGGGAGCTGACGCCTTTGTCGACATTCAGCAGACAGACGATGCCGTGGCTGAGGTTTTGCGCTTGACCAACGGTGGTGCCCATGGTGTTTTCGTCACAGCACCACCTGCGTATAAAACTGCGCTTCAGTATGTAGGGAACCGGGTTGGAGCCGTTGTCATGTGTATTGGACTACCACCTGCTGATTCTGGACAAGACATCTTGGCGAACCCGAGCTTGCTGATTCTGAAGCATCTGACGATAAAGGGATCGTTAGTTGGAACAAGAGAGGACACAAATACAGTTTTAAAATTTGCGCAGCGCGGTTTGATCAAGACGAACTGTCAGGTAGTTTCTTTGGAGCAGCTACCAGAAATAGTACAGTTAATGAAAGAAGGAAAAGCTACTCGTAAGATAGTAGTGGACTTTGACCTTTAATTTGAATCAAGTTTGTTTCTCGGACCGTAAAATTAAAGTTATCCATAACGTCCGTAATGATTAAGTACGTGAATGAGCCAAACGAGTGAGTAGTCCGTACAACCGTAACTGGATGCCCTTCTGCCCAGAAACCTGTACCTTGCGTGGTGCAGTCTCATGCAGTCTCTATGCAGACTAATACCACTGAAGAATCGATGCACGTCTCAGGCAAGAACTACGTTTCTAACTCTTCACTTCCCCTGTGTCTGTCTAGACTCATTCTAGTTCTGGATGATCCCCTTTGTATGAGAGCCTCGTAGCCCTGGCAATCTCGTCAAGCCTCCGAACCGTCATCACTCACTTGGAACTTTCACAACAAACTCGACGCTTGGAGACACTTGTTTTCTGCCAACTGGGAAATATCCTAGTCTATCGGAAGTCGTTGATTCATCAAACGGACTTGCTGAGTACAACTCGGACTTTGTGAAAGTCTGGCCACTCAGACAACTTCTCGATTTTCTTTCCATCCTCCGTCATAGTGAGCACGAAAACATAATCAGTGCCGTATGGGCCTGCTTCCAATTGCCCCTCGCTGCTACAAAGCATCGTAACGGTCCTTTTCTCCAAGTCTGTGTACATCTCATTGATGCTAATTTTGAATGTCTTCAAAAGCTTGAAGAAATCCGCTGCCCGTTTGTAGGTCCGAAACCTAGATGCGGTAGTATTAGCGTTAGACTATTCTGCCGTTGTTTCCCGCCCTAAATATGTTGCTCTTAGAGTGGAAGAAGGAGTTCGCTACTCACTGTTCTCGAGTCATTGGATATACTTCCTCGGTATCCGGGTGAACTGTGTAGTGGATATCGTCTGTCCACCTCGACACAACATTGTCCAACGATCGACTTTCTAGATCCGAGATCCATCCCGCAGCTGTCTTTTCGAGAGTTTCCTTGAGAGACATTGTTGAAGTACTGAGATCGGTGTTGCAAGCGTATGTCATGTAAGATGCTGGTTCTGCTACTTCCTCACCTTCTATCCGCGTATGTTATATGCACGCCACGATACGCTAGGTTTACCACGTACCCACTAGCGTTTTGGTACGGCATGATGTTCATCCGATTGAACACATCTACACACTACGGGAGACCCTAAAGGGGAAATTCCCCTCCTCTAGCGGGGGGTGCGGAGTTTCAATCAGTTCTTGGGTTCCAGCTCGGACACCGTCCAGATTTCCATTGGATGGCAAAGCCGTATGATACGAGTGGATAGGTAATCACGCCAATGATATAGAAGGAGCAGCGGAGTTGATTAACAATCTTAATCAGGATCACACGTTCTAGAGTGTTCAGCTTTCAATTAAACCAATTAAATCGTTACGAGCGAGGTCTAATTATTAAGCCGCAGAGCAGACAGACCCAAACATGCGCTGTAGTGCAATGCACTACAGAATAGGACCCCGAGACCCCGAATCTGGAAACCGAGACCGATCCCGAGACCGACTCAGGAACGGCTACGCTCCGGGCAGATGCCGCATGGCTCGTCCGGCTCTACCATAGCTTACACGGCCGCTAGTCAGGCTGTGTAAATTATCGAGATGCTTGCTCAGGGCGCCGCACGAGCATTGCTGGCGCCCTTGCGGACTTGGAACCCGCAAAACGTCGCACGACCCTTGCCTGCTCCTCCTTGAGCCCCTGGAATAGCTCCTTCTCCGACCCCGTAAAGGTCGCGGGGGCGGCACTGACACTAACACGGTTCTTCTCACCCTCCTCGAGGACGAAGTAATCGACCCGGCCCTGGTGAACCTGGGGTCTTTCCCTCCCCTATAAACGCTTCAACGGGCCAGTGCGAAGGGTTCCTCAACGTGATCCTTACATACGAACGCGTCTCTCGTACATGACCTTGAAAAGTTTCGCTTCACTTGACTGTAATCCTACGCCAGCCTTGGTTGGGGTCGTTTGCACTATACAAAGCAAAATGATTATATAGCTCCCTTGAATGGAAAAGCACGGTAGCATAAGGGATGCAGAATTAACTACGATAGACCACCACATAAACAATAATTCTGAGGCTCGCGCATCACTCAGGTAAGTTGCCTTATTCCTAGGCTAAATGGAGCGTGAGGCGCTGTGCATTACTAGCTCGACAAAGGTCGTCCTAGGGTAGAAACTTCGCCTCCCTCAGTCGATCGAATGCCAGCAGAAAACCTTCGCCTGGTTCCATGGACTCTGAGAACCCGATCTCCCGAGAGGCACCGAGATCAAAGTCTATCCGGACCGGCATGGATAAAGATGTGACAAGAATATCTGACCAAGCATCATCCAAAGATTTTGCTCCGAGTCCATTCTCCTTAGTCCATGTCAACCAAGAGTCTTTGTGGGCTATCAACCACTCTTTACCATGAGCTTGTCCTCCGACCGTTGCTGAAGGTCCGACTCCAGTCAGGCCAAAATAGCCGCAGACAATCGGCCATTTCATTTCCCATGAAACTGACTTTCCATCCCCGCTGTTAAAGGAACGTCCATTGGATTTCTCAGGGTGCAATGAGACGTGGATGTGTAGTCGCGCCACCAAGTCTTGGAATGAATCTGTATGAAGTGGTGTCCAAGACTCTGCAGTTCCAGGAAATACACAATTAGCAGAACCACCCATTTCAGAGCGATAGAAAGAAAGATAAAGGCCAAGTGAATGAGCTATGTTCATGGCGTTTCCATTCGGAACAAACCCTTGCTAAGCCGAGTATCTTGATCAGCCAGATGTCAAAGATGAGAGCCAAAGGCTGTCCAGGAACGTACAAGAAAGGATGGTCTGATCTCGGACCATTTCCAGGAATTCTGAGCTGCATGTTTGGCAACAACATCATACTGCGCATAGTAGAAGATGTCTGACGCAAACGGTTCCGGAAGACGGGGCAGATCTTCTTTCCAAGGTGCAGGGGGGAACGGGTGACCGGCTGCACCATAGCCCTTTTCAGCATCAGCAACGATCAGACACACGTGCAGGAGTTCCCTAACCTTTCCACCGGTTTGGAGTGTGACGAATCTCAGCTTTGGGCAGAGTTTGTTGACTGCGACGAGAGCGTTGTCAACAATCGCCGAGTTCACCTCCACCACATCTCGCTTGCTACCACCGTGGCCGGTATACGCTGAAGAGTTGGGTCAGAAGAAGAATATTTGTAGCACCAGATTCGCACGAACCAACAAAGTACACATGTGTCACGTCGCGGATATTGGGGATCGTTTCCAGTTTTTGGCAAGTGGAAGACTGGTTAGTAAGATCCAAGCCAGTATGTATCGCCAGCCGTGGATCATCGGGGATACCTGTCGCCTCTCTAGACAAGGGTCGATTGCTCAAGCCTATGACACGAGAGAAAGTGTGTTTTGTCCCGTGAGAGAGGCATTCGCGCATCAATGACCAGCCAGACTGGGTTTTTTCTTTCAGTTATTTGCACATGGAAGTTGAATATTGCCAAGGGCACTTACAATTCCTGACGCGCCAAAAATCAAGGCAATGTTCTGACTTTCTTCAGCCATGATGCAGGTAGTAATAAAGTAGGCTTGCAGCAAGAATAACGAAGTTTGGTACGTGGAATAAGAATGGATTTGATCCTTGACCCCTAGAATCCTATATAGTGTACCTTCGCCCTTTCCTTGGGCTTTCGGCGTCGTCAGTGTGCCGACAGCCCGGCGGAACTGAGTTGTCGGTCTCCGGGAGGCTGAACCGGGGTAGCGGAGTTTCATGCATCGTTGCGGAGTTTGCGATACACCAATAACAGAGAAGCGGAAAGAGGCCCAATTCGGCGACTATTAGATACTTAAGCCTTATATGAACTAGGATACTTCGGAGTTAGCTAAGTCGGGCGCCTCCCGACCCGCCATTCTTCCAACAAATCCCGAGAGACATTGGGTACAAGCCAGTTTTCGACGGTGAGATTACCGATTTCGAAGTTCGAATCATTTGCCACGGTGGCGCTGTTTTTGCGCCTCACCGCCAGTCTCCAAGCAGTTAGCAGTTATCCCAACAAGCTTGGATGGGTCGAACTTGGCCAGGCAGCCCTCTGCGTCCGCCTTGAGAGTATCCATTCCAGTATGGTTACGCAGGAGCCCTGTCATAAAATGTCTTAATAATGTCTTAGCTAATGGTGGCCTATATTTTATCAACAAGATGAGATGGGACTGTGCAGGGAATTGGACGTAGTCTACCTGGCACCGGCCGTGGCGGTGTGCGAGAAGCGAAGCGGCCAGCTGCAAATCTTCCGCAGCTAGCAGCATGAGACCACTCGTTTCAGTCGTTCATTGCTAGCTAGATGACGGCATGTACTCGGTCGCCAGTGCCAGGACGCGTATACGTGACAGCTACATTACAGAAAGTCAGGTTCCACTGGAATCTCCCTCAAGGTACACTGAGTAGGTTTTTAAGAGGTAAAGAAAGGCATATGAGGAATATACTAATATACTTACTCCAGGTCATCCTCATTCACGGTCCCGATGGGAGGAATCCGGCAGCCTCGTGTTCACCAGCTTGCTTCCTCTTATGGGCGGGGTACTTGTCCATCATCATTTTGAACAATTTCAGATCCTCAATGGCATCTTCAGTTGTTGTTTTGATCTCCTTTCCCTCAGCGATACACGCATACAGATCCTTCAACTCGGCAGTATAGGCATCCTCGTAGGATGTTTGCAGGGATCGATGACACTTTTCGCCATGCTCGTTTAACTCGTCAATCTCAACGGTAATACCAAGGCCCTTAACAAACGGTGTCGCGTAGCAGATGGTGACGGATTTAATCTCTCCGAAAACAGCGACTTCCGAATCGAAACGGGGGACGCTGTCGATGCCGGTCTCGTAGACAACAGTGTATCGGTCATAAGGAGCCATTCGGTTGCGGTAGTCGAACATAGTAGTATACCACCGAGCATTGTCAGTTGAAGCGAGAGTTTCTTCGGGCAGGCCCCCTAGGACTTCTCGCATGAGACTCAGGCCATGGCTTCCGAGGTTGGCCAAGAGAGTGCAGTAATCCATCTGAGCCGCACTCAGGTCCGCGAACGGCGTGCCCCAAGCCTCCTCGAGCAAGGCCTGTAATCGAGCCTTGCGATCTTGGCCAGCTTCGGCCGGCACGTCATCGAAGAACTTCTGAGGATCCGCGCCCGACTGTCCGATGAAGTAGGCGTTTGAGCCGATGATGTCGCGAACTCGTGCGTACTTGATTGTCTCGATGGTCGCGACCTCGCGCTTGAAGGCCTGCAGGCTGGGAGCGTACCGTCGCATGTACCCAACGAACACACGAGCGCCGTTCGGTGCCGTGCGCTCAGCCTCGATGATGGATTGTGCGCTCTGAAGGCTCAAGGTGATGGGCTTCTCGACCAAGACATGCTTGCCGGCCTGGAGTGCTGCGATGGTGTATGGAGCATGGAACTCGTCAGATGTGACGACGAAAACAACGTCGATTGAGGCATCGTCAAAAATGTCGGCGACGTTGGTTGTCGCCCGCGGGATTCCAAACTTTGTGGCGCAGTGATCTGCTGTTTTCTTCGAGACGTCACAAATGGTAGAAATTTTAAAGAGTCGAGAAAGAAAGACAAGCGTTGGAATGTGAACAATCTGGGCCACGTCCCCACCTCCGATGATGCCGACTTGAAGAACCTTTGGAGCCATCGTGGGAGAATACTTCTGATGAGAAAAGAACTGTGACAGTACCTGTCCGTTCCCATCAACGAAAGTACCACATATCTATCTTATTGAAGGATTCATCCTCCCATTATGACCCCTTTGCCCAGGAAATACACTTCCACCTTTGCCAATGGAATTGGACAACATATCCACGCCCCGCCTCCCCGCAACTGCCAAGTGTGGAGATTGCCTGACTTAGCTGGTGGCCGGTGTATTAGGAAGTTCCTGATTAGGATAACCTCCATTTTGAACATCGGAGACATTCGGGACATTCCTAATTAGGATAACCCCGACTCGGATAACCCCGGTTAGGACAACCCCGATTTTGAACATGCCGTCACCCAGAAACTATACCAATACGAGCGGTGTTGAAGTAGAGGTCCATCTCACAAGGAGTCTCTACGGTGTCAAGCATCGAGGCCAGGCAGCCCGTTCACTTACTTTTCGTTTCATATCGACAACGTATTCATATCACTGCCACAATGTCTGTCAAGGTCGCGTTGGTTGGAGGGGGTACGCCTGCGTTCCTTGCAAGATGATGTGCTTGGCTAATTTCCTGAGAAAGGTATTTGGGCGAGGGAGGAACATCTGGTAGGGTTTCGATCCGTTTAAGAGCGCTTGGGTTGTACTAACCTTCACTAAATCAGCCGGCCGTGCAATCTGCCAAGGATCTCGTCTTGGTTGCGGTTTTCTCACGAACGCTGAAGTCAGCGAAGGCGATCGCCGATTCGGTGCCCGATGCCGTGGACATATACTCCGAGGATTCTGACAATGGCTACGCCGAACTCTTGAAGCGTTCAGATATCGACGCAATTATTATGTCGTGAGTGGCCCTGATAGTCCTTTTGGGGTCCTCCATTAACGGAAGCTCCACAACCAGCCTGCCTATTAAGAACCAGGTAACATACATCCGATCTGCTTTGCTTGCGGGGAAGCATGTGCTCTCTGAGAAACCTGTCTGTGAGAATATCCAGGATGCAGAAGACATGATCAAGTGGTACCGCTCAGAAATCAATGGCTCATCCTGGGCCATTGCGGAGAATTGGCGCTTCTTGAAGAGCTACGAGTACGCGCGCGAAGAAGTTAAGACGATGGGTCGAATTCTCGGGTTCCAAGGTCGACAGCACGCCTTGGTTGAACCGACTGGGAAGTTTCAACGTAAGGTTACAAATCAGTCCCTCAAAGTCGAAGTGAACATACTGAATCTAACTCAACGAATTTCTCTGCAGAGACTGAATGGCGAAAGAATCCAACTCACCAGGGAGGCTATCTCCTGGACGGTGGTGTTCACTACATGGCTGGCCTCCGGCAGCTTCTCGAGTCGCAGCCTGGAAATCACATTGTTCGTCTATCGGCGTTCACGAATCAGCTTCGTGACTACCTCCCACCAGCCGATACCATCAACGCGGTGCTGAAGACGAAATCCGGCATCACCGGCACTTTTCAACTGTCTGTCGGGACCAGCTTCCGCGAAGATTCGTGGGCTGTCTCCTGTGAACGTGGCTGGATCACTGTTGAGGATTCAGAGGTGACCATCTGCCGGGACGGTCAAGTAACTAAGAAGACCGTCCAGAATGAAAGAACGGGAGTACCTCCTGAGATTCGTGCCTGGGGAGAGGCACTAGCTGCCGGGAAGGTTTTAAAGGAGCAGGGACCAGAAACTGCTTTGGCGGATCTTGAGCTGGTTTGTTACGCCGTCATATTGACCTAGAATTATGTGAAATTGCTAATGTGTTTTTCCAGATCGAACTCATGATGAGGAGTGGCGAGAAAGGAGGGACCCCTATGGATTGTGTTCACCAAGAAGTCGTCTAGGCCACGCTAAAAAGACAGGGGCATCAAATAGCTTCAATATCCCGTAAGACTTCGTTTCGATCTCCATTTATTTTGCCTGTGAAATACACTCAGACGCTCGGGTAGCACATTAGACCTTCGTATTACTTTTGAATTGTGAGTGGCTTATGGTGATTTGGTTTAATTGAATTGCATGGTGATGTTTAAAGCCGTGCGATGTCTTTCGACAGGACGAAGGTCGTCTAAATAACTGGCTGATGGCCGCAGTGAAGGCCGGCTAAAGTAAGAACATAGGAAAAGGCTAGCTATTTAGAAATTATGGTCGGGTTATTATGTCTCGCAGATGGTAAATATCAGTGAGGGGTTGTACTGTTCCAATGTAGCTGAAAAGGGGGCTTTGGGTCTAGGGTAGGCGCGGACAGATGTTCAAGAAGAATTCTATTCGCTTTGCCCTCGATATAAAGCTCCCCCACCCATCTTGCTGAATGTAGGACTCAGTCACGAAGTTTGCTTAAGTTATGTACAGTCTGGTCGTGGAGATTTGTACCTCTGATTATCGTCCTGAAGTCAGGGCGGCGAAAGCTTAACCTACCAAACTTGATCCAGGTCACCGCTGAAGAGGTTTTGGAAGTACATAGGTAACGTAACACTAGCATTAAGACCGCTTATGTATTGTTATGTTACTGTAATCTAGAATATGACGGAGCTACCTCTCCTTTTATCTCAGGATATTCAGAATGCAAGCACAGGAACTTTTCCATAGACTGAACTCCAATCTGTTGATGGGTCTACCTAGGCTGGCATTGAATGTCCGATGACAAGTTGGAAGGAGTAGGTAGGCAGATACGGCTGATCTTCCATCGTTGAAGGCCGATCACGCTTCCTCAATCTTTAAAGAGACTGTTACTCGACATCGATGTATTTTTAAAGACAATTTGCCATTCTAGTCCACGTGTATCTAGCTCCCTCCAATTTGTACAATGTCCCTAATTCTTCCTTTCTCATTCGACGAGGACCCGAGCACGACAAGCCAACAACATCTCGCCTGGATTCGAATTGAATCTCTCCACAACTGGAAGCTCAAAATTTGCCGATGCAAAATCAAAGTCAAAGTTCGTTACCAGCGTCGCAATGACCAGCAGCTGTTCATAGTAGGCAATGTTTCTCCCAATACAGGCGCGTGGGCCCACGCTAAACGGCAAATGCACCTTGGACATTTTCTCAGTATCGCCATCGATCCAGCGCTGCGGGTCATACTCTTCTGGTCTGTTAAATGTGGTGGAATCTCGAAGTAGCGTGTATGTTGGAACAGAGACAGTCACATCCTCGTCGATGAAATGCCCAGCAATCGTTCTTCCTCCCTTGGGAACGACTCGCGGCAGACCCATGGAGCTGGCTGGCCGCAGTCGAAGCGATTCTTCAATACAAGCTCGCAGGTATGGCAGTTGGCTAATTGCGTTGTAGGAGGGAATGGTGCCAGCTGACATAACCGGATCAAGCTCCTTGCGAAGTTTCTCCAGGATGAGTGGGTGTTTGTAGAGCAAGAAAATCGTGTTCGTTAATGCGGCTGTTGTAGTGTCGGTGCCTGCATTCAACATGACAGAGCATTCTGCAAGTAGCTCCCCGTAAGGCAAATTGATGGAATCCCCATTGCTCTTGGTCATGAGTTTGGCGAATATGTCGTCCTTCTCTTCTGTGGCTTTCGCCCGCTGGTTCGTGTTGTAGAGGATTATGTTCTCATAGTCTGTTCCTGCCTTTTTGTAGGGATGCCATGCAAACATCTTTCGTGTAAATGGCAGAAGGCCAGACTCCATGCCCAACAGCGTGTTGATGTGTGTCGAGTCGTGGAGGGACTTGATGAACGGCACCTTGTAGATTTTACCCTGCGGTGTCTGGGCGTTGACAATATCGTCGCCCCGATCCAAACAATGCAGTGACTCGCTGTACAACATCTTTGAGAATGCGTCAATGGTGAAGTAGTTGAGATAGCGTCTCATATTCATGACACGGTTCCCCTGGATGTGCTTGTTTATCTGGCAGACCAGAGTCGACAGCGTCTCCGCAATCACCGGTTCGAGTTCGTTTAGAGACTTTTGCGCAAAGACATGAGCGAGCAACTTCCGCTTCCGCTGATGCTCCTCTTTCACTCTTGCATCGGCCATGTGGCGCCATTCGCCAGCGCCTCCATCATACCAAGCATCTTTGAGGAAATTGGCTCCATGTCCGTAAATGTCATGAACAGCTCGCGGGTCAGAAATGGAGACATGGTTCGGAGCGATGCGCACGTGTGATCCAAGTTCTTCGTGGGCGTTATGCACAGCTGAATAGTGCCGGTACTTGACATTATGGGCCACACGCCAGAGTGATGACACTGACGCGAAGGTTGGAGAAGGAAACCTGCGGAGGTTTTTCTTGTCTATGAGGTAGCTTGCAATGGGTGCGATGGCAATCGCGTAGATGAGAGTGGCCGCTAAGATAACTATACCTCGATCGTGTTAGAATATGCTCCTAGGTATGGACTTTCAGCTTCACTTACACAGAGCGACCATTGTTGCTTTATCCCAGAAATGGAAATTGTCCAGGGTACTTCAGTGGCTCCTGTTGAGAATGAACAGTGTAGAAAGAATGATCATGAAGGAACCTGCAAAATCCGCGACTGGGAGTAAAATCATTTATACAAGCTTATAACAATGATAGAATCGAGGGTAACGCAGGCGAGGATGGCGGACTTCCTATTTGAGATAGTCCGCTATACTTCCGTCCTCCACCTTTCGATTTCGGGATGTACCTAGGGAAGATCCAAAGTAGTTCAGCCATCATTATCTCAAGCCATGTTCAGTGGTATTCATTGGAGTACTGGAAATCAAACGGAGGCTGAACGTGTAGCAAAGGATCAGACGTCACGATGAAAGCGGAAAGACACCTTGCTGACTGTATTTCGACTTGTAGCTGCTCGACTCTACCACAAGATGAACACTCCCAAAAAGGGGAACTCAGTCATAACTGTTTCTAGGCATTCAAGAACTAGGCAAATCAAGGCAGGTTGGACACAAGATCCGTTAATTTTCTCTCTCAACTCGAACTAACAACATGGTCTCATTTTGACGTATAGCACAACTCGTGGGTCTAGGATCATGCGGAAGAGTTGCTCAGTGTCATAAAGGACACACTAAGTCTACCAAGGCGAAAAAAAGTGGAGTTATCCGGAGGTTCGTGGAGAGACGGCAAAGTCACTAAGAACTCTGGAATAATGGAACATAGCAGTCACGCAACCCCAAACAAGCAACTCCGCAAGTCGGATCCCCGAAGACTCCTGTGGCGTGGGTGCCTTGGGCATCTAGCTTAGCTTCATCATCACATGTTAAACCACGACAAGTTCCATGGTCATCGTAAGAGGAATTGATATATTGGCTTAATTGCCATGGTGAAGCCCTAAGCCACCATAGGGAAGGATACTCTTCATGTGGGCGATGATCTTGGGTGCTTCGAAAGAGACCTCTCATCCACGATCAATCGAACAAGTCATGTCCGCACCCAGCTCAGCTTCAAGTGATACATGAACTTGAGTGGATTCCCGCACGGGGAGGCCTGAAATCACTAATATTCTTTCATGGCAGTCAGGCCACGGAAGCCAATTTTCGGATTTGCCACTTGCAGACGATGGGCGGGAACTTCCCAAAATGGCAGTCCGACACGACCCCCTCGGTCTCTAGTGCTCCGCTGAAACGCCCATCCATCCGCTAATATCAAGTTGGGCGCGTTAGAGTAATGAGCAAGATAATTTTTAAGCAATCATGTGTCTCGAGTCGAAGTTGAGCCAAGTTGAAATACCTGACTAAAGCCGATCCAGGGCTCCCAGTCTTTTATGAGCTACTCGTCGGTGTCTGCTGTTAATTCCCGGGCCTAGATTCCCCGAATTCCAGAAATATAGGTCCTGGCAGCTGGTTGGTATCTAGCCAATCTTCCAGAGGCAATGGGACAGTAGGGTCCAAGGTGGCTGTGAAGAATTCATCGATTCGGTTGAGATCCAGACTCGACTCAAAGTCGTTGAATATTCCCACGTCACCTGCAAGATCGTTTACACCGCCAGCATCTTGCGAAAAGAATGCACCATCGATCGTCAAGCAGTTTTGGATTTGTCGCGAATCTTGGCTGTTGGACTGCGGCCCCATCAATGTTGTTGAATCGCCAGTCCTCACATCATCATCCGGCAGGTTGGCACCATCTGCAGACCGAGTATCCCCAGACTTGCCACCTATTCCTTTGTCGTTTATGGCACTTGCCCTCCTGCCTGCAGCGGCTCGCTCTACCTCCTGCATCGTGTCGGTGGCCAACTGGGCCATGGCGCGTGCAGACAAGAAGGCTTTACTGAGTTCGTCCAGGGTGTCACAACTGCTGTGGAACAAGGCGTAAGCTTGTTTACGTTTGTATGGTATGGTACTGTTTCGGAGGCTCTTGTATGCGACTGAGGTGGCCAACGAAACCGCGTAAGGGACAACGGGCCAGACAGTGATGGAGGACTTGAGATCTTCGGATGCAATGGAAATGATGCTCGTTGCGCTGAATAATTGGATAGCTGAGCTCGGAGTTCGCTGGTTTTGTCCTTCGCGCGCCTTTGGCCGATCTCGCAAAATGACAACAGCCAGATAGAAGATTTCTAGCGACGCTGTTTGGGTTTGTCAGCTCACTGCACTCACTGCCTGGTGTGGCACGAAAAGATGGAGGAAAATGTACCAAGGAGTGCATTCCCAATATCCATGGACTCAGTCTCCTCCACAAGATTCTCAAATGTCTGATGTTCATTGTTCGGTGGTTGCAGTCCCGTGGCGGCATGCGGACGATATTTTGAGATGACACCGTCCAGGAACTGAGCTATCCGAATGAACAACCTGAAGGGAGCAACTTGTGTCGATACCGATTCCATGATTCCCATGTCCATGTCTTGACAATGGATGAGAACGGGACGGCCATTCGCGGCGGCATTAAATCGATCAAGAGTCCACACACACCAGAAGATGCGCCTAGACTTCTCGCATCTTGTGCTATCCTCGGGCCAGCCGACATGGAGGCCTAAAGTCTGCGCGTGGTGAACAGCCTGAGCTGCGTAGTAGGTAGAAACATCACTGCACCTCGGCTTGTCAACGTAAAACGCCATCAAGGCGCAAACCTGGAGCACAACCATCTTGTCCTGGATGAACCCCAGGTCAAGAGACTGCTTGACAGCAGCAGCAATGCATGTGCGGAAGTCAATCGGCGAGAGAAGGCCGTCAACGTGGGGAAGCCGTAGGTATGGCTTTACCTTGGGGTCCAGAGCCGCCATGAGGCATATGCATTGCTTCAACGCTACAGCTTCCATGGTGTTGTGTTTTTTCAACACTTCTCCATGAATAATGGGGAAGATGGGGTCGATCTTGGCGTAGTACAGGTCGGAAATGAAGCCAAACTCATACTCGGGAGGCAAAACCGACATGCATTCTTTCCGCAAGTAAGGCGACAGGGCTTGGATGCCGGCGAGGCCGAAGCGCTGGATAGCAGAGGCACCAGGCGACTGTCCCACAGTATCTGCATTCTCGATTTCGGTTCGCCTGGGATTTTCAGGTTTCAGGCCAATCCATACGCCTACGTCTGCGTGCCTTGAGCCTTTCAGGTTGCCATCTTCCCGACCGCCGTTGGAAAGGAAAGACGCCTCAGGGCTAAGATCCCCGATGAAGTGCAGATACGCATCTTCGGAGAGGCCGGGAAGTGGAGGCTGCTCCCCTGCTTCAGAAGTGTCTAGCTGCGGCGGTGTAGGCGTATCTGGAACCGAGGTTGGCGCGCGTCTTGGTTCATCAAGGTCACCATGTGATTTGCTAGTGTGACCGTGAAGAGCGGAAACAGGCGACACGCTTTGGCCAGAACGTTCTGCGTGAGAGCAGCGCTTCTACCCGATCTGTGAGTATCGTGGGACTGTATTTATCCCAGTGCGAAGAACCTACATGACGCTTCTTGCAGGAGTCGCACGATTTGTGTGTGAGTTTGCGCTTCGCTCCAAGGCCGCCCACATTATCTGACACGAATTTGAACATTGTCCAGATGTCGAGGAGAAATAGATAGAAGAGAGAGGACAGTCGCAAGCATGCTGATCCCGGCTTCGGATTGTTTTGTCTTGAATAAAAGAGGGGTAGACACGTAAACACGGCTACATCGTGATAGCATTTGATCGCGTCTGGACCATCTGGATGGGAGGTTTGGCAGTTTACTCACGTGCCAAGGCGGTTTTAGCGTAGTCACGTGGCTGTGGCATTTGTCAGATTAGGCTGGAAACCGCGGTCTACGAGGAAGCCGAAATATGGACTTATGAATATATGGTGATAATAACGTTGTGATGATGCAAAATAGGTGCAAGATCAATTGATGATGTATCTGCTTGCTTCACCGCGCCCATGATGCCGTTTCGGCTGCGGCATGTCCCCAGCTTCGCCCGGATGGGCGGATTTACCTCTCTTTTATGGTTTGATCGTGGCAACATCGCGCTTGGAGGCTTACAGACTTGAGTGCGTAGATATTTTCAGATGTGATGATGGAAATTATACCACCGATCTTATTTCTTGCCCTCTGAGTGTCATCTGCCGTCCTTTTAGAGACCTCACAAATCGAGAGAAAAGCCAGTCTTGGAATGTGAAGAATCTGAGCCAAATAGCCACCTCCGACGCTGCCGCATTGGGGACCTTTTGAAATTCCAGCTCTGATAGTACGGAAAACACATCCACGCCCGGCGAACAGAACTCCCCGCGTTCCCCGCAATTGCTGAATACTACGTACTTACCGGTAGTAAGGAATCCTGCAGACCCCTCATCTGGGGCAGCAGGGAAATTCCAGATTAGGATAACCCCGAGTTTGAACACCCCATTACCCCGAAGACACTACGTAGGATGCTAAACTTAAACGACGACGGAGTACGGACTATGTGAGGAGTGCTTGCTCCGCGTAATGATGGCTTCTAGACCCGTCGTGGCAAAAGATGGAGTCATGGCACATGGATTTGTAAATCTAAGCATTCCTATTCGTGTACAACCCCGCAAAGGTTGGGTGGAGACAAGGTTCATCTTGGTTAACCCTGGGGATATGGGGATGGGGGATGGGGTTGAAGGATTATCCTAAAAGGGAAGTTCCCGCCATGCTGGCTCACCACTGACTCGTTACCAACTGATAGGGTCAGCCAGCGGTCCCCGGTATGCGCTCGGTGAATGAATAACGGGCGTTGCTTTTTGTATTAATTATCTTCAATTCCCTTCCCCAGAATTTCTTCCCCAGACTTCCAATTCCACATTCCTCCGCACTTTCAAACATCAACTCTCTCAGTTGTGATTGTCGACAACTTTTCCAACACTCACAGACACTCTTCCGACCCTACCCTTCCTCGCCATGTTGGACGACTTCAAGTTCGACTGGAAATCCCACAAGTGGGCGATTCTTTACTGTTCCATCTCTGCTATAGGCGCCCTTTGCTATGGGTATGACAACACCTACTACAATGGAGTTTTGGCTATGCAAGAGTTTAAGGACAGGTATGGAAACCATTACGTGGACGGACAGAAAGCACTGGCAACCTCATTTCAGTCTATGACTGCATCATCAATCTACATCGGAGACCTCCTCGGCGCCATGGTTGCTTCTCCCATCAACGAGCGCTGGGGCCGCAAAGCTGTCTTCTGGGTCGCGTCTGTCTGCATTCTGGTTGGCGGTATCGCTCAAGTCGCAGACAGCCATTACGAGGCTGTTATCACCGTTGGAAGAATTATGATTGGCCTCGGCGTGGGTCAGTTTACGGTTACGTCTCTGCTCTACATGGGCGAGGTTGCACCCACTTCCATCCGCGGACCGACCCTCATGATGTTCCAGTTCCTCCAGTCCTGGTCCCAGCTTATTGCCGCTGGCATCACTCAAGGAACTGAGGGCATCAAGAGCTCGCTATCATATAAAATCCCCATGGGAGGTCTTATTGTTTTGCCGCTCATGATGTTCGCCGGCCTTCCGTTTATCCCAGAGAGCCCCGTGTGGTACATTTTGAAAGGCAGACGCGAGAATGCCGAAACGGCCCTGAAGAAAATCAACCGCGGACTATCGACATACGATGCTACGGAAGACATGCGAGTCCTAGATGAGACAAAGCAGGTGGCAGAGCAGCATTCTGAGGCATCTTCATGGAAGATGCTCTGGACGGACCCAGTTGAACGCCGAAAGGTCATCTTTTCCTCCGGCGCCCTCTTCTCCCAGCAAGTTTGCGGTATCCTGGTTTTCTACGTCTATGGGGTTGTCTTCGCGCAATCCATCGGCGTCGCTGAGCCTTTTATGATCCAACTTATTACGAACATTCTACAAATTTTTGCAGTGGGCGCATCTGTCATTACCGGAAACAAGGTGTCGAGGCGTGTCAACCTCCTCGTTACAAACTCAATGATGGTTGTCGCATTCGTCGTCATCGGTGGCATTGGCACGCAGGGAACACCAACGAAAGCTTCTCAATATGTCATCGTCGTTTTTTCTTTCATCGTTATTATCGCCTTCAACTACGGTCTTGGCCCGTTGGCGTACACTATCGCTCGAGAGATGGCTGTTGGTGTCAACCAAAACAAGATCATGTCGACCTCCATTGCTATTTTCTACTTTACTACTTGGGTTGTGTCATTCACTGCGCCTTATCTGTACTATGACGCCGGCTTGGGCCCAATGCTCGCATTCATCTATGCTGGAACAACTGGTCTTGCACTTGTATACACCTGGTTTTGTGTCGGTGAAACCTCGGGCAGGTCAACTATTGAGATCTCTATGTTCTTGGCAGAGAACATTCCTGTTAGAAAGTGGAAAACGTACCAGTTTCAAACAGATTTGGAGGGAAACATTTCGCAAGGATCCGATAAATCAGTGGAGAAATCGGACGCTACTGTCGAGCATCAAGAGGCGAGCAAGTAGAATTATTCAGTAAATAAGATTTTCTTCTGTCAATAAGGGAACTTATGTGTTTAATTCAATGTGGCGCAGATTAATTTCTTTATCTGAAGCTCGATTAATTTTCTAGTTCTTCATCAACCTTCATATCTGACCCGAGCCGGTCTACCCTTTCCCTCTAACGGAACTAAATTAGACTTCAAGATTTCAGAGAGGTGTGCAAAAGGATTGCAGAGAGAGGATTAGAGACCAATCCAAACTATGTTACGGGGAACGCTTGCTATATTCAACTTATTAGGGTTTGATAGAGCTGAGCTTTCACTGTTCAAAACCAACCTACCAGTACGCAATAGCTAGAGAATCCAAAGCTAAGAAAATTAAAATTAAGTTTGGATTGAGAGCCAAGCTATCAAGATGACATCACCTGGAAACTTAGCATACATAATAACGCCGAGCTCAAAAGTTGTTATCAAGCACGAAGAAACTCATCAGGTGATAGAAGTTTTCGATATTTATTACTTACACAGCTATAATTTTAATATTACTAATCGTTATTTCCCTGGAACTGTCTTGGTGATCCCAAAATACTAGATCCCTGTGCAGAATTCAGGATTTAGTTATATTTCTGTAGTTCTCCATCTTATTTCTTATCTCCATCTATATGATCCCCGAAGGCCTCGGGTTCGGTGCCTTCTTTGGGCCTTTGTCTCTCACTCCGAAATTTTGAGAATATAATGGCTGACGATTTTTGCCTTTTTGACCATCGCGTCGAATTCGAATCCGTTACAACCTTTGTTAGCCGGCTGACCCTTTTTGCCTTTTTCGGATATGGAGTTGAAGATCCGTTGCAGCCTGTGGAAGCTGGCTGACAATTTTTGCCTCTTAAGACTTAGCTCCCTTAATACCGGCGCGTTGTTTCAGCACCTAACTTGCAAGGATAGTTTGTCGGCTGGTAGTGTACATGGCAAAGTTCAGCAGCTACGATTGCCAGATACTCACCGCCCAGCGTCCCTACCAAATTACCATTACAAACCTGCTTTATATCCTTGCTCACTTTTGGGGGATGACAAGCTAAGAGTTCATCACTGTCACTTTAAGCTACATACCTAGACAGGGAAAAGGCAAGTAACAGAGCAAGTTCCTGGTCGATGTTGAACATCCACAGATTCAGAAACGCCACCAAGCTTGACATCGTTGACAACATAGAGATCTAGATGGTGACAGGTTCTGAGCTAACGGCTTGCTTGTTGCTGCAAGTGAGCGAGCGGGACATGCCGTTGCCGAGTTATGGGAGCGGTGAGGGTACCAGTCAAGCGCAGTGGCGACCTGGATCTCGTGATCCAGCCACAGCGAAAGAATGGAATCTGCAGTCAGCAATGGCAAGCCTCATCGGGTCATCTGCAGACGGAAGAAGCAACGTGGATAAAAATCGCAATAAGAGATTCGTTCCGATCGCTTGGGCTTTGAACGCTTAACTTGCCTTCAATCATGAAGCGGGTCTGGCTTCGGATTGGTCTATTAACGGTAACCTCGCTTAGCCTTAGTCGTTGGCAGCGGAGGACTTTCATGCAAGTGTCCAATATTTCTGCAGCCACATCACTTCGGTCAGTGGTAGATCGAGTCTCGGCCCGGAAGGTGAGCTTGGCACTGGGTCTGCTCGTATGTGAAGGCGGTCTGCTCAGGTACAGTACATGTAGGTACATCCATCCCCCAGAGCCTCGTCCCTCCTATTTCCGAGGGCTACGGGGTACATAATATCACCCTGCTGCCATACCAGGATAACGTTGGTTTTCAGGCTCTAGATTCTGGAATGCCATGTTATAGAGCAAACACCATCTAACGAAGAATGGCATATCTCAGTTAACAATCACAAACATGGCCGAAGATGGAGACACCAACCTGCCCCCTGACGCGTGGTTCGACGACACAACACGCTTTAACGTTGTAATGCCAGACAACGACCTTTCGAATAAATTGTTCCCGTGCTGCAGCCATTCTTCTCCCACCAAGCCAGCAACCTCGACGGCGAGAAGCAGGCTCTGTCGCCTATTGCCGAGAGAATCAGCGACAACCCGATGACGATGCAGTGCGACCTGACCCAGATCATCTACGGCACAATGGTCAGGGATGGCTGTTCAAGAAGAACATAGAGATAGAGGGACGCTCTAGGGTGGTGGGCTCAGTCCAAATACTAGGGCATGCGCGAAATAGTGGGCAGGAGAGAAAGAACATGGTCGTATGGGAGTTGTATGAGAATGAAAAGCTAAAGACCGCCATTCTGACCTTCGTGCAGGCAGCCGCGCTGCTAAAGAGGGGCAAAACTCCTGAACACCCGGGCGGCGAGGAGTTCAGCATCGATATCGCCATCAGCGGAGAGGTGGACAGACGCAAGTCGGTCAGGGATATATGGGGAAGCGCCTCGACGAGAAACTTCTCCGGCAAGAGCAGTAAAGGAGAGGCCGTTATATTCGACCCGAAGCAGAGCAGGGGAACCGTTGGACGACTACAGGCAGTTGGCGAATCTCTGGGCGCGGGTGGAGGAGAAGCCCCAGGAACAGGAGCCAGCACCCATCGAGACGCCGGAAAAGAAGATGCTGAGTCAATCAATCGATCTGATGAGGGAGGAAAGGAGCTTGCTACAGGAGATCTCACAGCTGGGAGGTGCAGGACCCGGCATGTCGGTCGACGCCGATCCAGCCTACGTCACTGGTTAGATGGAAGAGGATGTTAACTGAGATGGGGTTGAAGGATTTGGACCAAATGATTCAACATCAGAAGGGTCATCTACGGTAGGGATAAAAGTTGTTCTCGAGAGCTACGATTTTCAACATCAATCAGCATCTTCCATCTTCAACAGGACAGGTTGGGGTCAGTGCCTCGTATTGCCGAAACAATAACCCCCAAATGTGACACCACAAGTATCTGCAAATGCGTTTTCAACTACCTAAACCAGAACTCAATTACCTAGCGACCTGTACTTCTAATGTAAAAGCCCATAGCGTTACAGTAAAAGGGAAGATACCACAGAGTCAAGTCGTATTTCAGCACTGAGATGCTTCATTATCTGAAACACTTAAAGAGTGAGTTGATGACTAGAATGAGAATGACAGCTGCAAGGTTGAACTCCAATCTGGCCATATAAATCCCGGATCAAGCCGGGTGTGCGGCATCAGCCCCCAATGAAATACAAACTATACAACTAGCCATGACCCGTCCCATCGTCCCAGTTTCAGCATTGCAGAAGGATAACAGAGATCCATTTAATTCACTGCTGTCATTGACTACTTTGCACACGCCCCACAAGCCGCCCCAACATTGTCAACCTTTTTGCAAGCAGACGGCTCGCAGTAGATAATATGACGGCAGTTGAACTTGGCGCACATGGTGAATGAAATTGGATTTGGAAATGCTTCTAAGCTACTGGATGAGAATCCATGCCATGCGATGACTTGTTTAGACTACAAGTACCTGGAATGGCGGTTGTGTGTTGATAGATAGGTACTCAAGGTAGAGGGTAAAGGCAAGAACGATGGCCGTGGTATTAGGAGGAAAGAAACAGGAAGAGTAAAGAACAGCAAGCCTTATATACGTGAATAAGGCAAAGGAGGAGCCGACTGTATCCGCAGAGCCGCACGCTGTTTATCAGGGAGCTGAGAACACAGTATGTAGCATGGATGTCTCTTGTACAATACATGTCAAAGCGGGGAAAAGATTGCCTGCCGGGAAGTATTCACATCAGATGACTACGCAACGTGCATTGCAGCAGAGCTTGTACACCAATGACTAGAACAGCCTGATGTGATACAATTCGCAAATGACGCGTGGCTTGCACTTTGAGATTACTGTTGCATAAAGATGTGAGGCATTTTGCAGCTCTTGCAGCGGCTCAAGCGTTAGAGCCTGATTTGGTACTTGGTACATGGCCAGACTCTACATGATAGCTGGTTATGCCAAGCTTACGAGCCGACGTAAGCAGGTTGAGGCTCCCACATCGAGTCTGCAGTGGCCGTGCCAAAGAAGAGGTTTCACTTATGCTTGGAACCAGATGCCAGTCATGGGCCACATGAGAAAGAAAGACACCAACATCTCACCTCGGCTTGCCTTGGATCTATATGCCCTTGTTGCGACTTCCACACAATATCACCCACTAGTCCCATACTGAACAACCCTATTCCCCAGAGTCTATCGAGCTAGGCCGCCCCATCCTGCACACCCTTATCCCGAGTTAGACTTCTGCCAGCCATGTAGGACGGAGGTGATAGCGCATGCTCCCGAGCGAGGATCATATGCAGTCAAGAATACACGCTCATCTAATGAGACATGTCACAAAACAGGGCTCGTGAATCTTCCTGTCTGACACCTCTTCATCTCGTATGGCATCGAGGAGCTTCTTAGTGGGGCTGAAGAAGGATATGGTTCTACACACTGTCAGTATGCACAATCGAAACGCATCCCGGGGACCACCTACGACCCAGGCTTATTATCGGCCCCCTTGTGATGGATGAACTTGATGGCCATGGCCGGTATACACCGTCCGGTGGCGGGATGCCGCACGATCATCAATCCGATAAGCTACGCGACATAGTTGCGAGCATACCCAATCGCTCAGAGATACTCAAGGCTACGGTTGAACGTCCAGTCCAGCTTGAAAGATATAGGATTGATCGCGGATAATACTCAAACTGCCTCCTGGGACATCGCAACTTGGTGTTTATCTAGTTAAATACGGACCAGTCTCCTCGGGGAACTCCCATGATGACTACCTTTCTCTGACTTATTTTCCATTCACTTTTTCCATTAGACTCAGATTTGACCAGCTTATCAATATATCTCCCTTCCACAAAGAAGTGTTTGTCGTCGATGAAATGAATACATCTGTTGTAGGTCATCGCCGTTGCAGTATCGTGACTGGTGAGTTCGATTATCTGCGTTGTCAATGCATGTTGTGTTTGCAGGTGTCCTATCGCTTTTTGAAGCATTTCGGTGGTCTCTTCAAGGCCTCTCGTAAGCTTCAACGGCTCCGGATAGTCGACGATACAGTCTTCCGTAAAGCACTGCTTGAGTAGTGACCAATCCTTTGTGTCGAAGGTAACGGCACAAAGAGCAATAGAGTTCCTAATAAGGTCATGATCGGAAATTGTCGCCATCTACTTCATGTTAGTTCCTATTGGAATGTGAGGGATCGCTACTAGGTCAAGGCCTACCGTAGGATTGTGTTTGTTGTAATATGCTAGTATTGAGAAGTAGAGGGGAATCACCCTGAGGAATCTGGGATATCAAGCTAAGCTAAATCTCCAGAGAGATATATATACCTAGGATAGCCTGGAGATATCGGACTTTAGCTCCATGTGGAACCAGATCATTAAGACCTTAGGTTTTTGATATGTGGTCAATGGGATTAAGTCGCAAGGGTCTGCTGTGACCTCGGATAGGTTTTGTAACCTTGTCTCATGGTGGAGTTGCGGGGTTGCGGAGCTCATAGCCCATTAGTAAATTTGTGTCAGCCATTCGTGGTACCCCTGATGGATGACCAGCATACGGCATAATTCTAACTCCGAGGAGGCTGTCACGTCTCTTGGTTTCTTGGAATCCTAAAAGGGGTAAAACGGTATAATACCGGCCGGACGCTATGTTCTATTACCATAGCACGTTTCCCCGATCTCAGCTAGAGAGGCTTTCTATTACAACCATGTCAAATCTTGCCAGCAAAGTGATCACTATCACCGGCGCAGCATCTGGTATTGGCCTCGCCACTGCGAAGCGCCTCGTATCTCTAGGGGCACGAGTGTCCCTCGCAGATATAGATGGAAAAAATCTCGCCCTGGCAGCAAAAGACCTCATCGACATTCATGGACCCGATAATATTCACTCCAGTCGTCGATGTTCGAGATCGTTCCTCTGTTCAATCTTGGATAACTGAAGCCATCTCCAAGTTTGGGCAGTTCAACGGCGCAGCGAATCTAGTTGGAGTCAACTCTAAGCAGACGTACAAGTCCCCAATCACCGACATCGATGACGAAGATTGGGATTTTGTCATGAACGTCAACTTGAAAGGTGTTCTAAACTGCCTCCGTGCACAGATCCCAGCCATGGAGGATGGAGGCGCCGTCGTCAATGCTGCATCTATAGCAAGCTTACTGGGCTTTGCTAACGCTGCGGCCTATGTTTCCAGCAAGCATGCTGTGATAGGTCTCACGAGGACCGCAGCTAAGGAAGTCGGCCACAGAGGCATACGTGTTAATGCTATATGCCCGTAAGTTGTCCGTATCTACTCCCGCCTTGAAATCAACTGAACGGATACAGTGGCGCTATTAACACTCCGCTATTGCATGCGGTTACCGATAACGTGGGTGTCGGCTTTCAGGCCCCTCGTGTTGCGCTAGGTCGGGAAGGAGAACCAGCAGAGATAGCAGCATTGGTAACTTTCCTTCTGAATGACGAGAGTCGTTATATCACCGGGTCTTGTTATGGTATTGATGGTGGCTGGGCATGTTAGGTAGCATACTGTTCCTGACAACTCTAAAGTATTTCATGATAGTGTTACTGCCTTATACACAAGTCTTCTGTAATACTGTTATGCCTGTAATACCTTTTAGCTGTTTGACTCCAGAGTGCCTACTAGGTCAGTGATCTCAATTACATAGAGAGATCATGAGATTCAGGTCTCTTATTACAGGCTCTGACAGTCTTTCAAGGACAACACTACTGTGGGAGAGATTGACTTGGAATGAGAGAGAATGCAGATAGAGTGAAGGGGTGCTGCATCCAGCTGTAGAGGCGCACGGCAGTACAGGAGGGCAGTACTGGAGACTCGCCAGTTGCACAAAGAAACAGATTGTAGAGTCTAAATAATAAGAAAATGAATCTGCAATCTGTCTCAGGATATGTGTACCTGGGTCAACATAAAGAATACATTGATGCAGCCTAGACCGAACCTCAAGCTATAGAATAGCTGCTCTCTAGACAATTAGTCACTTAGAACGACAACTCTTCCAAATCTTAAACGAAGCAAGTAGTCTATTCCGTATTTAGAAAGACAAAAAGATTATCTCGTCCTCGGATAGCTTAGTACAAGTCCTTGTGCTCCGCCTTGATTAAGTCTGCTCCCTTCTCACCAACCATATAAACCGAGTTCTGAATGCGACAATCCGGGATGACAGGAATGACAGAAGCATCAATGACACGCAGACCCTTGATGCCATGGACCTTGAGCTGAGGATCAACGACACCCTGCTCAATATTCTTCGAAAGACGGGCAGTTCCGCAAGGATGGAAAGCAGTCTGGCAGCGGTCTAAAACAGCATGGTGCATCTCCTCATCCGAGTCAAGAGGCATTTCCCAAGGATATTCGGCCACAACAATATCCTTGAAGCCCTCGCCTTTAGTAAGAACATCGTAACTGTACCGGATACCCTCCCTCATTCCAATAATATCAAGATCATCGGCAAAGAAATTGAGGTTGATGTTAGGCTGGACAAGAGGATCGGCAGAGTTGAGCGTCACCTCACCAGGATCGGAAACAGGACGGACCAGGTCAACGACGACACTCAAGTAGCAACCAGACTTGGGGGTCGGGTAGTGCCACTGGAAGGCGCTGCCAAACATTGCCACAAAGTCAAGCTCGAAGTGAGGCTGTCCTTCAGGGCAGAAGGGGTCTTTGCCACCATTGGCGGCCTTTCGCTCCCTATACTGCTTGTCCTTCTCAAAGTAGTTATCGATTCGGGGAAAGCCAACCAGCTCTAGAAGACCAGATCCAACGGGACCAGTGCGGTTTGTGTTGAAGGCGTTCACCGCCTCGTCATGCTTGGGTCCTGTGCGAAGGAGATGGTTGTCCATGCCATATCCTTCCTTGACTTGAAGGACGAAGGGCACACCGGGATGGTCGAGGAGGTTCTGGCCTACATGGCGAGAATTGATGACGACCCTGATTCCGTGCTTGGAAAGCTCGTCTTCTGGGCCAATACCACTAAGCATGAGAAGTTTGGGAGACTCAAATACACCTTGGGACAAGATGACTTCGCGGGTTGCGTAGAAGCTCTGTTCGTTGCCAGAGGAGTCGATGACAATAACACCCTTGCACTGACGGTTTGAATCAATGATGAGCTTTTTCGAGTGCACCTGAGCGAGAATAGTGATATTGGGCTTGTTCTTGACGAAAAGGAAGCTTCCAGATCGCTGACCCTTATAAATCGAGTCGACACAGTGAGTGAGGCCAATCATCTCACCATCGTAGATATTCTCTGTCAGAGTTCCGCCCTGAGATTTCCAGGCCTGAGTGAGACGATCACGGAAAGGCTGAAGTTCATCCAGGAGTTCAGCATGGGAAATCGGCAGAGGGCCACCTTCACCAAGCTTCTGAAGGTCCTTGGAATAGAGGCCAAGGTCGTCATGATAGGTAGCGCTCTTGCGCAGGTAGGGAACAAGAGGGTCCCAGGTCCACTCCTTGCCGCCATACTCCTCCCATCGATCAAAGGTAGGCTTGCAGCCAGGGACCCAGGTGAAATAGTTCAACGACGAACTTCCGCCAAGAGCCTTACCACGAGTGTTCGGCTTCTCGATACGCTCGTAGTCATCTCGCTTGACTATGGTGGTCTTGTAAGCCCAGTCGTGCTTGCTACCACGGAGGGTCATGGCAGAAGATGGAGTGGTGATTTCGTGAACATCTTGAGGGTTGTCAACACCTGCTTCGATAACGAGGATGCTGACATTGGGATTCTCGGCGAGGCGCCCAGCAACGACGTTGCCTGCTGTACCGCCTCCGACCACAACAAAGTCAAAGTGAGAGCCGTTCCGGGGAGCCATGGCGATGTAAGATGAATGAATAGAATGTGTCTTGATGTTGGCTGATTGTTGGGAACTGATTTGAGTGTCCAAGTTCAGTACACCCTCGATCTTATATCTTTGTTTCGGCCTTCTATATACCCCGCCTCCGTCTGCCGGCACGGTCGGCATACATACTATACGAATTCCTTCGCGCCCGCTCACGGTTCAGGGCTATCGTTGTTGATCGTCACTTCGACAAACATATCTCCCTCTGAAGTCATTCCCGCTCTTTAGCAATGCCATGCTGACATTGGATATCTACTCTTTCCCAAATCAGCACATCTCCTAAACCTACATGCAGGTTCGCTACCAGTATCCCTTTGACTGTCGTAAGCCTCCAGTTTGGTCACTCCAGGGATGTCCAACCAGTTAAAGAAGATACAAGAGAGGTACTTCAGCCCCCACCCAAATTGGGTGATAGCATAAGTCCAATCACTTCTGGGCGCTACGAAGATCTACATCAATTAGCCCGCAACTACACCGTCGCTGCTATTGCCACAGGTTCCTTTGTGTCAATCACCGTCTGCTAGGGCTTTGTGGGGCAAGGTACGGAGGTGGAGGCTTACGACAGTCAAAGGGATAAACTGCGACAGGACAAATTATTGGTCGAAGTTAGCATCGTGGTGACGTGGAATGCATTTTCAGCTGGGTTCAGTGTATCTAAGCGAGCTCGAACTCTAACAGTCTTCTTGGTGTCATCGAATGTGTTGATGCCCATCTCTAAGCGAGCTCAAGCGCCCGTCAACCTTCAGAGGCCCGATATCGTTTTCCGGGAAGATCGTCATCTAGTGGGGATTTGTCGTCTCCGCAAGGCCCATAATAACGTTTGACCACCGCCAAGCACTATGTGCCCCTCCGAACTTGTGCGCTAGCCATCAGCTTGCTGGGATGCTACTCCTACCAGAGATGGAAGTGATCAGCACCTGGTTTGAGGGAAGCTAAAACAGTTCAGGGCGAGACCCATAAACTACCATATCGAGAATCACTACTCTACGAATAAGATCGTGAGTCTCACTTACATGGCTTCGGCATACCTCGGAGCAACCAGCATGCCCTCTCAGCTATCCAGGCCACACTGTGTCTCGCATCGTGTAGTTGAGATGTGACGCAAGCGGGCCCTACAAGCGAGAGGCATTTTACCACCAATGGCCATCAAGCTATTCACCCTGACTCAACTCCAAGCTAATTATTGGGCCGTCACTATCAACTGTCCCGCTTCACCGGATGCCCTCATTGCGTCACATCCTTGAGCTTGGGCGTCGCCGAATCCATGTAATCAGCATGCTGTGACATTGTACATAGCTACAGTGCGGGGCTATGACCTACCTCTCGTACTATAGATGTTGAACAAGCAGATGCATATCAGCGGATATAAGTCCCGGCACTTCCACGACTTGCATGATTCTCATCAATCAGTTCAAGCTCTGAAACATCCATACAAGTCCTTCGTATCATATCCCGATCAGTTCTCCTCAAGTTCATCTATCATGTCCCCAATCTATACACTCGCCGAGGGTAGTAGCACCTATCTACAGTCGCGAGGAGAGTGCAGCTAAAACAATCCAGGTTGCCCGCAGCCCAGCAACACCACCAGCACTCAATTACGAAACGGTGGCGGCGGAGGTCTCGTTCTACTGCAAGACACGCAACTCGTTGAAACTCTGGCACATTTCGCCCGAGAGCGAATTCCTGAACGGTAGCTTCTCCCGAAAGCCTGCTTTAACGTGCTAGTAACTGATTTCCTCTTCATAGAGTGGTGCATGCTAAAGCTGCCGGGTCCGTTTGCCGCTTCCTCCGCCTATCGCCGCTGATTTGATAGTGTATAGTGCCTATGGCGAGTTCGAAGTCACACACGACTGCTCAGATATCACCTCGGCGAGCTTTCTCAATGCTGTCGGCAAGAAGACCAAATGTCTGCTCCGCATTTCAACTGTCGGCCCAGAGCGAGGATCTGCGGACACAATACGCGACGTCCACGGTTGGGCTATGAAGTTGTATACGGATGAAGGAAACCTTGACTGGGTGTTCAATAACACTGTGAGTCGATACTATATGAATGGAGCCGTTAGTACTAACTTAAATAGCCCGTGTTCTTTGTCCGGGATCCTATCAAGTTTCCTTCGTTGAATCGATCCCACAAGAGGCATCCAAAGACAAACACAGCAGATGCTGATATGGTAAGCCTCAGCGATGACCAACGAAATGAGGACTGATTGCTGACTAGTGAATCCATCGATATAGTTTTGGGAGTACGTGAAGCTTGTTTAGAATTGATTTCCCACAAATTAATGTTCTTCGTCAGCTTCCATGTCGGCAACCCAGAGGGTATCCACGAGCTCATGCATCTGTTCAGTGACCGCGGAACACCCGCTTCGCTTCGAACAATGAATGCCTACAGCGGTCACACATATAAGTTCACAAAAGAGGTAGCATTAATCCCCCTTACTATAGGCACTAGAGCTAACGTGGGCTGGGTCAGGACGGTTCGTTTCGATACATCAAGGTGCACATCAAAAGCCAGCTCGGAGTCCGAAACATGGATCGCAAGACCGCAACGAAAATCGCCGGCGAGAACCCAGACTACCTTGTTCAAGACCTCTTCGAAGCGATCGAGAAGGGTGACTATCCGAAGTGGGATGTGTTCGTTCAAATCATGACTCCTGAACAAGCCGAGAACTATACGTGGAACATCTTCGACATGACCAAGGTTTGGCCACATGGCGACTTTCCCCTGCGACAGATCGGACGCTTGACCCTGAATCAAAATGTGTGCTATGAGACTAGATCTGACTTGTTATTACTGAGCTGACTTTGCTCCAGCCGCGAAACTACTTCACCGATATTGAACAAGCCGCTTTCTCTCCCTCAACTATGGTCCCTGGGTGGGCGCCATCTGCTGATCCAAGTACGTCTTGAATTCTATGAGGTGGGTATTGCCTTCAAATCAATTAACTTTGCTGCAGTGCTACAAGCTCGCATGTTCTCATACCCCGACGCCGCTCGTTACCGGCTTGGAACAAACTACCAACAGCTTCCAACAAATGCCGCCAAGTCTCCCGTCTACTGTCCCTTCCAGCGAGATGGTTTCATGAACTTTGGCATCAACTACGGCGATGATCCTAATTATGTTGGCTCCATGTTGAAGCCGGTAGGCTTCAAAACAAGCACCGCAGGCAGGACAGTCTCGTCCACGATAACGGAGCACGAGAAATGGGTAGGCGAGGTCACGAGTTATACAAGTGCAGTCAGTTCGCAGGACTTTGAACAGGCTACGGCGCTGTGGGAAGTTCTTGGAAGAGATCCGGGGCATCAGGAGAGGTTTATCGATAATGTCGCCGACAACGTAGCCGGTGTGAAAAATGACAACTTAAGACATGTAGTCTATGGTAGGTCAAAACGCCAAAAACTGGAATTAATATGTACTAACTGGAATTTGCTAGATCTTTTTGCCGGCGTAGATAAGCACCTTGGTGCTCGAATCCGCGATGCAACCGAGTCTAAGAGATCGTAAGATATTATGACGAAGGATCAATCCAGGCACGCACTTCTGCGACTATAAATGGGGCAAGGATAGATACACTGCCAGACTCCTGAATAAACGGTCGTTTCCAGACCAACCTTCATCCATGTTCAACGTACCTGTGTTGCCCACCAGCCCTTGACAATAAAGCTCTTCAGCTATTTATAAACCCTTATTCTCTGCAGGAACTTCGATTTTCGAACACACTACTTGGAAAATAGACCGGCTTCAGAGAACCGTGAACCCACCACTTAGGGTTATTTAAGCATGGCCTAGGCCCAGGCCCATGACGGTAAGTGAGGGGAAAGTGGCGTGATCCCAAAGCTGCACAAAACTTATCGAATTGGGTTTTGTGTGAGCCATGCTTACGTGGCTTCTAGATACCCTTATCTCTGGATTGATGGCATTAAACGAATAGGCTTTAGTGGTGCGGAATCCCCATGTCTCGTTGCTGTTGGACAATTCCCGGGATCCTCATTTCTTCTCCCTTATTTATGACGTGAGTGTTTGTCTCGCTCGCTTCGTTATTGGTCGAGTAGTCACACCGAATGCGGTAAAATCAAGCCGTGGCGTCTTGCCTTCCACAGAAAGCTCAACCATGCAACCATGCAGCTATCTAGTAGCTTCGCTTAGATCTGGTTTAGGGAATTGATCGGCAGTTTCAATGATGACTGATACGCACTGTAATTTGAGCTGCCGGGATTGCTACCAAGTGCAGTGGTCGTTTCCGCAGCAGCACTTTTAGAATAGACCCCATCACGCGTAGTTGGGCACCATTATGAAGTTCTTGCAGGTCACGAAGCCATTTCAAACTCCCTTCACGCCCTTTGTATCAGTACAGTCGCCGATATACGGTTTGGTACATAGCGGCAGCCTCACGTCTCATCACGGTCATATTCGTCTACTATCAGTCCGTCCCAAGCCATATCTCCCAATGACCCCTCAACCAGTCGAGGCTCCTTTGAGCCAGTCAGCGACCTTTCTCGTCCTGTCGGCAACAGACGCTCCAGACGCTACCCGAACGATCCGGTCCACTCTCGCCAGTATCTCCGACATAACCAAGAACATCTCCATCCGCCATCGTACCGCCAACCTCTCCTGCACAGTCGGCATCGGCAGCAACATCTGGGACCAAGTCACCAAGCTTCCACGTCCCGGTGAACTGCATCCTTTCAAAGAGACCAAAGGAGCAAAGCACACTGCTGTATCAACACCGGGCGACCTGCTGTTCCATATTCGATCGGAGCGAAGGGACATGTCGTTTGAATTTGAAAGACAGCTTATGGATTTGCTAGGTGCCGCCGTCAAACTCGAGGACGAGACGGTCGGATTCAGATATTTTGACGCCCGCGATGTGCTCGGGTTTGTCGATGGCACCGCGAACCCAGTTGGCCCCGATATTACAGATACAGTCCTCCTCACCGCACAAGACGATTCTGCTGGGGTGGGAGGAAGCTACGTCGTCGTGCAAAAGTATCTTCATGATCTTAAAGCATGGCGTAATCTCAAGACTGAGCAACAAGAGGCTATTATTGGACGAACGAAATTCGACAACATCGAACTTGACGACGCCGAGTCTGGTCAACAATCTCACAAAACGCTAGCGACGATCGAGGACGAAGACGGAAATGAGCACGATATTCTACGAGACAATATGCCATTTGGTTCTCCTGCTCAAGGAGAGTTTGGCACCTACTTTATAGGATACTCGAAGCAGCTCTGGGTCACTGAAAAGATGTTGGAAAGAATGTTCATTGGGAATCCTCCGGGTCTATATGATCGGATCCTCGACTACTCGAAGCCGGTAACAGGTTCAACGTTCTTCGTTCCGTCAGCTGGTGTGTTAGATAGCCTTGGTGATTAATGGATCAACTAATATTAACAATTATACTATCATTTAACTCTAAGCTTTTACTGTGCGGGTATCGACGATAACAACGAATCTGGTGTCCATTCTTGATCGAATGCGTTGTATCCATTGCCCTCCGTCCGGCAAAGGATATTCAGCAGACATCTTTCCACTCCACAGCGAACTCCGCCACTCATAGATGCCATTACACTAGTCATGTGCTGAACGTATTCCGACCTTGGACCTGCTCCTCCTGGGATATCGAAATGGAAAAAGAGGGTATTGTAGAGGTCGTCGATGGAACTCTGCCACATTGACCTATTCGTATTGAGGAAGAAATCGAAAAGGTTCAGAGCGTCCATATCATGGGATCTTGGGCCGCCTTCGTGGCCAGATTCTGGGGTGGGAGTGGAAACTGAGGTAGCTTGCTGCAGCAAGATGCATATGAAAAACAGACATGCGAGCCTCGTAAACTCGGGTTGGCTGCAAGAATCCAGTCGTTTCGAGTCAATTTCATGGCCTCGAAGGTGCGTCTTCAGAAGCACCAGAACTTCATGAAGAGCTGTGTATTGTGTCATTCCGTGGGAACTGATCTCTGGAGAGTTGCTTCTGAAAGTCCCCATGTCTTGGACGAATGAGAGAAGCCATAGACAGCGTATCCGATGCAAATTGCCCACGTCACCCAGAACAGGATGTACCGACGGGTCCAAGGGTTGAGTTGACAGTTCTCCGATCTGGTTCGAGCAGTCGAACCAGGATGGTTTCGACATTAATGATACCCTGGGGAATATTAGTAAATAATTAAACCATGGTTGGAATGAATGATATTACAAGAAGGTTGTGAGTTCAAGTCGCCAATTACTCTTGAGTGCCTCGATTCCGCCACGGGCTTGAATCAAGTTCAACAGCCCGTTATGGTGGACGCGCCATTCGGCTTCGGTTCCCCAGTACCTCTAAATGAACTAAACGTTAGGTGCTACTATGCTGAAATCGAAAATGGAATGTTTGACGTACCTCGTAGGTTAACAAGCGTAGGACTGCAGCCAAGACGTCATCTCCCAAAGCAAGTACAGGATCGCTCATCCAGAGTTGAACAATCCGTACCGCCTCAGTCTTGAACCTCAATGCTTCGTTTGATCGGGTACAGCCCTGCATCCTGGATAGATGAGCGGCTGAGTGAGCCATTATTGCATTGAAGGATGCTGCGTTGGACAAATCCAGCGGGCACCATACGTCACGCATAGGGTTGAAGGTTTGGCTACAGGGGTCTTCGAACATCATGACCCCGTACGTGCTAAGCCCTAGACGAATCAGCGATGGCGAACTCTGCAATTTCCTTGGAACGTACAGTGATGAAGAAGTTTGTGATGCTCGGCCGTGAGCTTGATAGGAAACTTGTCAAAGGGGTCGAGTCGACTAGATCCTAAGGCGAGATTAAGCCCAGAGAGTGCTTGGCGGGGAATTCCGTCCATGACTAAATTGAGGTCGCTATCAGACATGGCCCCCCAATCAAATGACATATTATCCTCCGCCACAACATTGGAACTGCCAGTGTTTTCGTTCTCGGTTGTCGATTGCGAATCTGCCGCAGAGCTTGTTGAAGGGGTCGGCAAGAGTATTTGCTGTGGCCGATTTTCTCTCATCCTCTTTTCGTGGTTCAGTCTCTGGCGCCGTTGTTTCCAGTGTTCTCGCATCGCATGGCTCCGAGAGCCTTGTTGACTGTTCCCATGCTCAAAAAAGGCGAACTCCTGCTGCAGAGGGCTATCACCACTCCCTTTTTCCGGGGGCGGAAGACGTGACATTGATCAGACTCCGCTCTAAAAAGCGTGGGGGAGAAAACAAGGATGGACCTTTACGATGACATCGGCGGTGAGATTTTAAGTAGTACCGGGGTGTCTCGGCCTAGCCGGGGAACGGAGATCCCGGGGCGGTCGAGACTGGCAGTAATGTAGTACCCATAAGTTTCATCCAATTAAACCCGGATTGGATTCTGACGATCTGGATCCAGTGATCCTCCGGTCCTGGGATCAGGGAACTCGAGATCTAGGTAATGTACAATCACAAAGAACTCACTGTTAGTAAAATACCAGCTTCTTAATAATCAATTACAACTTAGTTAATAATCTTACTATACCAGCAAACTATTATTAGATATAATACTCTTGTTATATTTTATTACTGTGACAGGCGGTTAGGGACGCTTGGGCTAGCTGGTCGCTAGCGGGGATGTCTCTAAGGTGGACCGGATGACGTTAAAAAGGGAAGTCAGTGCCGTCACAGGGGAAAAATATCGTCTTTTTATTCATCAGAGATTCTTCCTAGAAGTCAGAGAGGCCGGAAGGGCTCGAGGCTGCTAGGAAGTCTATTAATTGATTGCCTTTATTTTTAAGAGATTTATTTGAGTCTATTCTTGCCGTCACTATATTCCCTGTCCAACCTCCGTCTTCAACCTCCCTCAGATATCGGGCTGCCGCAGGCCCCATTGATGCCTTGCCAGCGAACTTTCCTGCGACCGACCCGATATTCTATTTTATAAGATGCTTCCCTATTAGAAGATATAAGCCTCAGATTGATCCGACCTCATATGTGTAATCTGGTGCAGCTTCGGGCTGACCGGCTAAGATGCCTGTGCGACGACTTTCTGTATATTTCCCCTAGGGTAAGTTAATAAGTTAGGTGTTATTTTCTATTTCTTTCTGCTGCTAAATCTAACTTATTATTTTATAAAAACTATTATTAAAATTAATTTAAAAATAAATATAAATATTTTTATTTTATAAAAAGTAGAATTTTAAATAACTTATTTTTTTATTATTTTTTATTTAATTAAAAAAAATAGAAATTAAATTACTTTTACTAGCTTAATTAGCACTTCTAACAGGCTGGATACTATTATTTAAAACAACCTGAAGTTTTTACAAGGCTTAGTTAAGCCTCGACATTCAGCATACGGAAAGTATCAACATTAAGCGTCACGCGGGAATATTGGGTATGCTGGCCTCTAACGGCATAGCTCAGAATGAATATCAAAACGCGCTGTATCATCACGGACAGAATCTCTCCGCTCTGTAGCCGATTCGATTTGCTGCATCACAAAAGATCGCTTCTACTTTAACCAGTTTCCCGTGCTTGGCATGGTTGATCTTGATGACGGGATACGTCGATCAAATGTATTTCCTCCGACAACTGCAACAACAAAGCGCTCTGTTTTCCAGGTTCCTCGAATTGGTTGTAATACTGAGTGATGTGCTTATCTTGGTTTTCCCGTCCGAGGCCTCACGTCATACCGTAAGGGAAAGCAAGAGGCTAGAGGCCTCAATCCCGATTATTGCGGCTCTATGTTGAAAAATTGGTATAAACGAACCATAGCACAATTTCCTCTCTATGACGATTACGTCAGGAACTCATAACGCAAAGGCCATGAGCCCCACGAGTCCATTATTTTACAGACGAATATGATGTATTTGTATTACCAGTGAGTCGCCTCAGCTGTCCATACTGATCTCTTCTTCTGGAATGCTTCTCCCCCCATTACAGCACGGCCAATATTGCTCTGTGCCACCACCGAATACACAGTCAGTCCCTCGCATCGAACCAGGCGGACAGAGACGTGGAGGTCATCCACCAGGTTGCGCAACTCCATGAGATTACTGAGGAGCTACATGGCTCTGCATTCGACCTAATAAAATGTTTTGAGGACTTAACGCGCCGCCGATTAACCCACCAGCTACCAATGATAGCGTAAGTTGGATGCATACTTCTAATAAGACTCTACCTCGGAAGTTGACGATCGATTTCTGAGACAGACTTGGGTGCATTATGATTCCTTTAGCGATTATTGCGAGACTATCATCACTGAACAACGAGTTGCTATTGAGGCCACCGACTGGATCATACTTGACTTCAAAGTCAAACTAAGATCGGCTGAATGTGTTAGTTGAGGCAATCTGTGGTTTTGCGCCGCAATGCTAGGGGGGTGGAATGGTTCAGGCAAATAGCAAAATACGCTGCTGATCTCGCCCAAATCGACAGCCAAGTTTTATCTCTATTTGGCCACAAGTCCGTCACAGACTGACGCCGCATCCTGCTGAAGCGACCGGAATTTGTATCCGAGGATTATCTGAACCATTGACTGTTGCATCAGCAAAGGGAGACCCCCTCAAGACAGCGACTTTTTTTCCTGGCTGTGCGCTCAGCTAACAGCGGTCAATGGAGCCACCTTGCAGCAACCGCAAAATCTATCCTCGGCGCATCTCTGAGTCATGATGCCGACTATTTGGTGGACCTAATTCCTTCTGTCTCGGAATCCCTCTCCCGCGATGGCTCCGTGGGTTCCGAAGACGGTAGCGCGGGGTTGCTGTTGCAGCGTGCCCATACCACGGGGAACATTGTCTTAATACAACCACACGATCCATGGCAATGCGTTCAGCGCTGGTGCAGAAGACGCTATGGTTTTGGACGGGATGAATTGGACCATTACTGGAGAATATTGCCCATTCACGCCTCGAGAATTAGAAAAAGCGTGGTACTCATGGAAGACATCAAATTGTACTTTCTACCTCGCATGCACATGCCACTGGCTCCTCAAGCGAGTCCATCCCGGGCATTTCGCTCCATAGGTAGGTAGGTATAGACACATTAATGACCAATGTTTCTTCTCGTCGCCTGCTCACTTCACCACCTTACAACACATTTGTCCACAAAGTATGGAACATGAGCTTGCGGATCCGACATTGCATTATTACGACCCTCTTAATCAGTTAACCACCTCGAGTGTAGACTCTGACTTGCCCGCCCTTATCGATGCCCATCAGGACACCACACTCGTCAACCCCCCGCCGAACTCCCTTCAAGGCTTTCCGGCCGTAGGATTGCCTTTGCTCTCGTTGTGGATTGGATCCTCTGTGCTTCGATCCGCACGAACATCCTCTTCGCTCTCGGTCGGCCGTGGTTTACGCAGCGGTTCAATGCGAGACCGGTCTGCGCTGACGTCCTCCTCTGATTCTGTGGGGTTGGGCTTGTGCTCCGTCGCCGGCACCGCCTTTCCCGAACCTGCTTGGTGTACAGCCGTGATGCTGAATTGGCGTGCCGTCACTCCAAGGCGCACAAGCATCGTCGGAGATGAGACGGCGGCGCGTAGTGTGAGACGCTGCATTTTTTCTATTGCTGTAGTTTTTGCGCAATTTTGTATCAGGAGAATCCGGCCGAATTGATGTTGTGATGAGTAGATGGGAAGAAATGACGGTGGTATGAGGTCAGAATGGGATGTGGGGTTTTTAAGTATCTCCTAGGTAGCTTGGGTTTATGATCTGATCCAAATATTCGTTGTGGCTGAGATCATGTCGGCGTGACTTTTCCGGTCCACAAATCGCTTAAGCGTCCAATTCATTTGTTGAACTAAACTCAATCGATTTCAATTACAAAAGTTAACGCTCTGCCACCCTTTTCGCGGTAACGGGTGGTCCTCAATGCGACGACCGTCGAGTCAAACTTCCCCACGGTGACATCACCTAGCTAACCCACCCATTCCCCGCCCTGAATAGACCATTCCAGTATTACAACCAAGCACCACTGGTGACTTGCTGATTAGTTTTCGACTTGTCGACTACCCCACAATGAATGACTTGGCTGTTGCGCGGAGGTCATCCAACTCATTTGGTAAAGTTTTCCTGATACCGGGCAGTTCTGATCCACATTGACAAGAATGGTGATGAAGCTCTAGTATTAAGGCCTTCTCGTTATTAATAAAACACTAACAAATTGCCTAGCTGAGAAGCCCAAGATAAGAATTGTCGTGTGACCGGACATTCTCTGCCTCAATTCGAGTGCGAAAGCTGCCGAAGATGGTTCAGCAATCATCGGCCACGATGGGGTCAGAAGGTGAGTGAATCCAAACTGGACATGTCCGACAAAGACCAGCTGTGATGCACTCGATTCATGGTAAATACAAGAAGCTGATCTACACGGCGAGAAGGCGGCAGCTACACGGAGCAGACCTTCTCCAGAGACATATGAATCAATAATCGTGTGTGGGTGAGGACCACGGCAGCTGTTGCATCTGACAGGAAGGGTGCATTGTGATGTGAATAGAAGCTCTTGATTTCTAGCTAAGGGACGGGCCTAGAGCCCGTCTTTTATACATAATAAAGACAGCTGCTGCCGGAGGCGGCAGTCCGTCGCCGCCGCACAGAGGCCGGGGCCCTGTGGGTCCTAGGGACCGGGATCGCGGTCATAGGGCCGGCGATGTGGTCTGATGATAGTGTGACAGCAGCCCGTTATGGTCGCCGTTTTGGTTTCATAGTTATAATCCGCCATATGTAGCAGATGCTTGTTGCTCAAGCTCGCCGCCTCCCCTCCGCCTTGAAATTGGAGTTCTGCTAGATGCGGTCACTCTAGACTCTACCAAAGATCCGCTAACCATCCAGCGAAGAAGAGGTCGTAGAGCAGCAACAGATCCGGCACTCAGCCCTATCCCTAATTCAACAACGGACCACAGGACGATATTAGCAACGCCATCTGCAATTGCGTTAGCCATTTGTAGACCCTTTATAGGAGGATACGCACGGAGGTAGTTGGTTTCCTGGCTATAGTTACGGAAATATTTTATGCGAATGATGGTCGCAGTGCTGGCGCTGTCCAAGACGAACATGTCAACCTAAGGCTTCGTTTTTGGACTCAAATTTACCTACAAAATTCCAAAGCCGAGCATGCAAATAATGGGAGCTTTGACTTTCCATTTTAAATTGAGGGTCCAAAGGAGCGCAGTAGGAAGAATAACACACGAGAAATCAGTTAGAATGGAAGTCGCCGAGAGGAAATAACTGGCTCCGATGATGACCGATGTCGAGGCACAGTGACCAGCGGAGGGATCCCACCGGGCCGAGATTGGCTTGCAGACAGACAATATAATAATAAATGCAGTGATTGCTCCAATTGAGTTGATTGTTATGACGGCGTAGGCAAGATAAGTGACGGTGATCGTGTTACTTAATCGGACCAGAGTGACGCATATGCTGCCTTTAATGAAGATGCTACCAAGACAGTATAATGCCTGAGCTATCAAGAGGGACTGTGAAGCATATTAGCTCAAGTATCGTAGAGATGTCGAGTATAGACAATTAAATCTCGGGCACAATAACCTTGCGTGCTATAACCATGTTTTCATTCGTCAAGTATTTGTCGAGAGTGCCAAAACCATTATAAGAGCCAATGATAATAGCGATGCAGGTTCCAATATATAGTACCTATTACGCCACTGTTAGCGTGGATTCTAATTCTTGAAATAATCAGTCTTCCTTCTAAGAGCACTGCTTACCTGCCCAATAAACATTAACCAGTCGTCCAAGCCAAAATATCTGATCGAAAAGCGAATCCAGCATCGTAGACAGATAATAACACTTGACAAAGACAGTAAGAAGATTGTCACAAATTTGAGCGAAGCAGATTGATCGAAAGGCATATCAGAAACCGACACCTTCCACGGGAGCCAGCATGGAAAATATTACTTACGGATGCGAAATAGCCTCGGCGTCAGCAGCACAAATATACTTCCCTGGGTAGCCAACAGGTGGGTTACATTGAATTTGAGTTTCACTCAAAATGACAAAATGATTGGCCGGAGCTCTCCGAAGGACACATCGAAATGCGCCGGTTCCTTTCTTCTCCTGCCACATTCGTCATTGGGGCCAAATTTGAAAGGCTCTAAAGGCTGAAAGAGGTCTAGGACTGAACAATCACGGGCAGACTTTTGGCCTAGCAGCCAAGATTTTGGAGTCTTGCCCGATGTCATGGCGTTGGATCAAAGCTTGAGGTTTGAGGTTGGGAGGTGAGGGAACTGGTCGAGCAGTATCCCAAACGGCTTATGAATTCTGAATTTGCAGAATTTGAGATTAGCTATCGGAGCCAAGGACCACTAGTTGGAAATGGACGAGGCGTTATTGGTTGTTGGATGATGTGACTGAGATGGTGAGTCCTCTTCGAAATCAGTGCAGCGATGGAGGTGACATCCGAACTATTGGGTATTGGCGGAGCGGAATGCACCATGAGGCGAGAGTGAAATCGAAGAGGGGTCAACAAAGAGCAACTAGGATGCAATTGGAGATGTGGTAATCTATCAGATGCACATCTATCAGCTGTGCCTGGCTAAATGCAGGAGACAGAGTCATCAAAGGGTGGTCATCTCCCCCATACCATGGCTTTGGAAAAACTGGCCGACCTTGGTAGTAGGTAATTGGATGTCCAACGCACCCCCAAGGGCCAAGTTATTCTCGAGTCACGTACGTACCCTCTTCTCGACTCACGCTGGAATCATCTCTCTGTCTTCTCGTTTGCCGCCACATTGCTGAGTTTGTTAGTTGTGCGCCACTTTAGCCTTGAATCCCCCACCGATTCGTCTCGTTGAACTGAGGGTCCCACACAGGTATGCTTGGGGAAAGACACATGGATCCAAGCCATAGGACGACCCCATTGAGACCACCAAGGAAATTTCCAGCGAGGACTCCGTCGTTGATTCCAAGAAGAAGATTAGGGAGCGAGTCCTCACCTGCCTCGCCCAAGAGCCGAAAATGCCGCTTTTCTTGGTCTTCGACTCTGGGTTCGTGGCGTTTTTTCTTGGCTGGGTGAAACGGCTCAAGCATCGTGTCGAACACTGACGCCACCCCCGCATTCCCCAGACCTCATGAAATGAGCTGCTGGTTGTCTGTGGCCCATGTGAACAGACTAATTAATTGTTTTGTAATGGATCACGAGCCCCCCGGTCGGACACGGGGTAACCAGCAACCATTTACTTGTTTCCCGGAAACTGCCGAAACACCCCAAAAGCAACCGAGCTCCACCATCTGAGGTCCTCATTTTGAGACCGCACGCCACTCCTTCCATGACAATCTGGTAGAAGTGGCAAATATGACCGGCTCTGCCAGAAACGTCAGTGGAACCCTTTTCCTGATGCTGGACTCCCAGCCTAGCTGCGGGTCGAACTATTGCCGTAAAATTATCTCACTGGGAAGCTTTCCTCCCTTTCATGATGTACAGTTCAGTCAGTTAAATGAGGTTTTTCATACGTCAGTAAATCGCCACGCCGCCTGAACTCGGGTCTGACATCTGGGACCCCACCAAGAGATGGATACCAATGGCCGGGAGTGGATTGGAGTCAAGGGTAGAAAAGCTGGGGAAAGCGATGGTTTCAAAATTAAAGAATTGAAATATATCCAAATTGCCCGTTCAAAAATACAGTCATTGTCTCAAAGCTTGAAACCGCCTGTTCGATCCTCAAACAGCCCCTTGGGATCAACCTTGGCCGCTACCTTCTTAGCCAACTGGTAATTTTTAGGACGCAATCGTCCAAAGTAATCTTGCGAATAGTAGCCGCCGTTCATAGCTAGCGGGAGGAAGGCGTCTTTCTTCAAAACACCCTTATCCTGCCACTTTAGGACTCGATCCCGAATACCGCCATAGGTTTCCTTCATGGTCTTGTCAATCTTGTTGGTATCTGTTGGCAAGAGGTAGCTGTAATTGACCTCTATAAGGATGCGGTCAACATCGTCGTCCATATCCAAAAGATCAAACCCCTTCTCTCGCGAGATCTGAGCTATGCGCCTAGGGAAGGGCTGATAGCCGATGACAGTCGTGATATTAGCCAGGCTCAGGGTGCTCTCTGTGATCTTGCGCCAATGTTGGTGGATATCGCCCAGCACCTCGGCGCTGCTCGCGTCCACAGCCGACGGCAGCGGGACGGTCTCAGTCGCAATAGTATTGATGATTCCCTTCACCACGAAGGCATTATTGCCTATCATCAGGTCGGCGTAGGACTGTTTCTTGATGGTGTTGGAAATTGGCCCAACCTGGGTGAAGTTATCAAAGGTACCCGCCGGGGGTACAGGCCCGTCGTAGAAGATGAACATAGCCCAGACGTCAACTGTGCTGGTACGGCTTGCTGTGAGGATAATAGCTGCCTTGTTATCCGAGTTATACTTTGTAAAGTCAGAGGCGGCCTTGAGAAGCTTGGCATCTATTTCTTTGCTTTGGGGGAAAACAAGATTGCCGCTGTAGACTTCACCCTGCTTATAGCCCTGTAGCAGAAAAGATGTAACGATACCAAAGTTGTTGCCGCCGCCCTTGAGAACCTTGAAGAGATCGGTATTCTTGGTCTTACTGGCTGTAACAATAGTGCCATTTGCCAGCACAACCTCCATCTCCAAGATAGATGAGACGGCCCATCCGTACTGCTGCGAAAGGAATGAGAGGCCACCGCCCAGAAGATAGCCGCCGACACCGATGTTGCCAATTCGTCCTCCTACAACAGTCCAGCCGGTGCCGTTAAGAGCGATAGCCACGTCATCCCAGCGATTGCCGGGGCCGACTCTAACACGGCCGGTCTTGTGATTGAGCGCAATCTTGTCGAGCTTCTTGGTGGAAATCAGAGGTCCTTGAGAAATACTAGCGAAGTAGTCGTTGGGGTTGTGGCCTCCCGACTTGATGGCGAAGTGGTCGTAGTTGTGGCTCAGGATATTAAGAATGCTGGCAACCTCGCGAGCGTTGGACGGATAGAGGATGCAGGATGGTTTTAGAGCACCGCAGGATATAGACCAGTAGTCGGTCTGTTCGATGATATAAGGCTCCTGGGAGCTCTTGAAGCTCTCGATTCTCCTGAGACCCTTGACGGATGCGCAGGTGTCAGCCGTGACGAGGCCAGCCAAGATGGAGGCGGAGATGGCGGTCAACGAGAGCCAGCCCATTGTATCAGAGGAAGTGGAACACGGAGGAAAAACGTCTCGATTGAAGTTATTATCGTTGAATGTCTTCTCCCCGAGACTGTTGCTCCGTTACGCTTGTTGAGTTGCGCGTGCTCAAATCTAGAGCATGAAGAGCCCACACCAACGAGGAATCAAGACCGTATTATATTCCCCTGCAGCTAGTTTTCTCCCCACAAATCGCTCAGATCATTCTTGTTATTTCTAGGTAAAGGAAGAAAAGGAAAAGGAAAAGGAAAAAACCCTGGCGCGGCTCGGTAGCCCGCACGGACAAGCTAGACTAAAGAGCGGCCGAGCGCCTTGTCGGTGCCGGTTGGTTCGATGACGGGCAATTCGGCGTGCATGCTTCGCTAGCAGGAACTAACATGTATGTATGGATGTATGCGAGGTGTCGGAGTGCAGTGGCGTGAAGTTGGGAAGTGGTGAGATTGGACAGACGGCCATCGTGGACCAAGCCGACATTGGCAATGCTCAGACATGGAGAATCCCGCTTTCGAGACACCGCATTATATCAGGACACGTATCGCGGGGCCGTATGACAGGCTGCATCTTGCGTTACTAGTTACAGACTAAATCAGGCAGACAGAGACAGATTCAACTGCACTGCACGCAAGGGGACGCGCACACGAGCATCCCGCCTCCGCCTCCGCCTCCTTGCATCCATCCCGCCTCCGCCTCCTTGCATCCATCCCGGCCGCCTCCTTGCATCCATCCCAGCCACCTCCTCTTGTAATCTCCACTGAATTTCGCCATCGCGCCCGGCCGGCTGCTCGCGGAGACCGACCTGGAGGACTGTTTCGCGCGCCTGGCCCTGAGAGGAGTTACCGGGCTGGCTTCTCATTGGGGATTTTTCCGCGCCCGATGGTGTGGGATTGGGAGGGTGGAATGCGGTCGGCTCGGGCCTCCTGCAAACGGCCTGCATTTGACTACGTGTCCCGGTAACTTTCTAGTACGCTACCAACGCTACCAACTACCAACATGCATAAGGTATTGACAAGCCAACGTGCAGTAAAGTATTGACAGGTGCATGGTGTTCATGCAGGCTTGAGTACTTATTGGGCAGCAATGGGTCAATGCGCTCCCGGCAATGTGGTTGAGAAAATAACGCATCTTGCTGCTATGTACTATCCACCTTGGCTGCTGCCGGTAGACGAGCAACCCATAGCTTTTCGTCCTAAGAAGACAAGACGGGAAGCTCGGCGATAACCAACACTGTAACACAGCCGCAAGTGTTTTCCTTTGAGGCCGGATAGATAACACAGATCATCCATCTACTCGGCTCTAAGCGATCATCTCGGATAGGCCGGCAATTACTATCTACATAGTGTGATGCCGCCAGGGTGTTCGGGCAAGCAACACGCATTCAGCTACCCACTAACTACTGCAAGCTTCCGTGTCACCCCGCAAGAAAGACAAGATAAGTTACTTTACTTAACTACCGCGGCCAATTATTCCCAATCCGGCTGCACTTGCTGCTCTCTCACTGCCCCACCACGATTTCTCATGCATCTCCTTTCAAGGCAATTGGGTCTTGCAAGTTGCCCCTCCCGCACCGGAAAGTGAGCCGCCAAGCCGCCGGTCAAAGGAGGTGTTTATGGGTCATTGAGTGGGGGCTTTGAGAGGGGTCTAACCAAGACCAATCCTTACCGGCAGTTCCGAAGCAGTTCTGCTAACGCTCCTTGCTATGACGAGCTACGGCGCTTTGTGGAGCTGTCTGTTTCCTGGGACTGGTCTGGGTCCGGATTTTTGATCCAGAATTGGCAGGCAGATCACTGGAGAGCACGGATGAACTACGAATTCCTTTTCCGACAAGATGAACAAGGTCTCTTCACTCTGAATTAATCCACCAGTCTGAGAATACAGTTAGTGTTTGGTATGCCGCATCACATTCGATCTCGGGATTACTGTTTGATCGAGTGTGAATCCTGAATCTGATGATTGTATTGGGTCGACGGGCTCAATCCCTCTGCGTTTGGGCACCAGTCCCCTGGATCGGATTGGATCTTTGACGTTTGCATCGGACGGACCAGTTGACGTACGGCCCATGGCAAGTGATCGCGCCGGAACGCTACCTCGCATCGGTTCATTTGAAGCGGCCATGGACTTTTATGGCTCCTGACCCAACATCTAGCTCGAACCCATCTCCGATGGCCAGCTCACTTCTTCGCTTCCTGCGGATGCATCCCTCGGGATTTATATGTCCCTGGCGACTTGTTGATGATATTGTAAATAAGGCCCTGCCGTGTAGATCCCATCGCGGGGCTGCTCGCGAGCAGAATTCCTTACTTCTTCTAGGCTACACAGAGGCAGTACGAGGACGCGGCGGAGCCGGAGGGTCCTGCAAATCCTGTGGGGCCAAGCCGGAAGCCGGGACGGGAGAGAGCGGGTCCTAGCAGCACCGATCAGCCGGCGCTGAAGCCAGAACCGTGGTCCGTCGGGACAGGGATGGTGAGGAACAGACGTGACATCTCCCCAGCGTCCTGCGCGCCCTGGGGGAACAATTCACTAAGAATGAGCAACTGTCTCACGGACAGCAATGGTGTGCCATACGAGAGGGTATTATATCACACCATCTGCTGGTAACCACGCCCTCGGGAACGGCAGTCGCAAACATCAACGAGGCATGCACAAGACTGAGGCGGGACATCTATCGTCCTCTTCTGCGGGTATTTCTACCAATTCCGACCTGTGTAGGAGACATCTTTCGTCCTTTCGAGCTTAATTATTCTTTCGGAGGGAGATTATCGCTTAAGCCTGGAGCAGAAGCGACGATAAAAATATAGTATCTACCATTTGAGCCTCTACCATTCAAGCCTCGGCAACGAGTACTCTGTTGGGAGTGAGTTATTTTCAGCCTTCGGCGTCGGAGAAATTCCGTTGCCGGTGAAGACCTGCACCCTATCAGGTCAATCTTACACCTGAGGGGTTGGGTACCAAGTTAGCTCTCCTGCCTTCCAACTTTTTCACAATAACCTGAGCTCTCTCCAAGTTTCAGTAACGAAAATGGTCGTCTTCGACGGTCACGAGCACTTGACCGAAGAGGAAAGGAGGTTAAAGGAAGATCGCGAGCGCACAAAGCATTGGAAGAAATGGGGCCCCTACGTTGCGGAGAGGCAATGGGCGACAAGTAAGCGCACGGATATCCCGATCGCTGAAGAGATAGCTAATATGAGAACTAGCTCGGGAAGATTACTCGTACGTCTCTTATATAGGTGTATAGATACAGATACCTACATATCATTCAGAGCAACTGTGCTGACCTGTGTCAAGGACTGATGGCAAGCCCTGGACTTGTAGGTAACTCTAATAGCTTTCTTGTAGCATAAACTCATATTCTTTAGATTTTAGCCATGAGCATGCTCGCAAACGAGCCTACCGATGGGGAGAAGACGGCATCGCAGGTGTCTGCGATTCAAAAGGCCACCTTAACATCACATTCAGTTTCTGGAACGGGAAAGAGTTAGACCACTTTGGTTTTACGGAATGGTAATCTGACTTCTGACCGATACCAGCAACATCCTCAAGGAACGTCTTTTCGGAACATCGAGTGAAGAAGGAAATCATGGCGAGTCAGTCAAGGAATCTCACTTCCATCTGGACAATGTTCCTACCGTTCGTCTATCCGCGTTGGTGTCTCTCCAGAAATCTTCTGACCTTTGCAGCATTCGTACATGAAGTATCTCTACAAGTACCCGCAGGCAGCGTTTCCATACCAGAAACTTCAGGAGGATTGCAAAAAGCCAAAGGAAGCACAGGAGTATTCCTTGTTCGATACCGGCGTATTCGAGAACAACGCTTACTGGGACATTTTTATCGAGTTCGCCAAAAGTGCCGACGATCCAGACGAGCTCCATTTCCGTGTCACCGCTTGGAACCGCAGCAGTGAGCACGCACCGCTTCATATCATTCCCCAAGCGTGGTTCCGCAATACGTGGGCGTGGAGACAAGAAACCCTTTCCACGGGTGAAAAGCCGGCCATCGAAAAGAGCGGCGACAACACTGCCCGTGTCCGTCACAGATCACTCGGCGAGCGATACTTGACTCTATCTCCATCCCCAGGTGTGGGGTCTAGTGGAGAGGACGTGCTACCGCAAATGTTGTTTACGGAGAATGAGACGAATCTTGATGCACTCGGGCTCGGAACTAACAAAGGGCCGTATGTGAAAGACGCCTTTCACAGGCGTATTGTCAACAACGATCTCAAAGCTGTTAACCCGGGTCAAACGGGAACTAAATTTGCCGCTTGGTATACCTTTGACGAAGACGGGGGCGTCCCCCCCGGAGAATGCGCGGTTGTCCGGTTCAAACTAATGCGCCAGAATGAAGAATACTTAGACGAGGAATTGTTAGATGACGTTGTAGAGCAACGGCAGGCTGAGGCTGACGAGTTTTACTACCGTATTAGCCCGCTACCGATGGCGGAGGATCTTCGTAACATCCAGCGTCAAGCTTTCGCCGGCCTCCTTTGGTGCAAGCAATACTACAACTTCAACTGGGAGCAGTGGCTGAAAGGAGATCCAACATCGCCAAGCTTCGTTCGGAAGGACATGCGAAACAAGCAGGGGAAGCACATTCACTGGGACCATGTCTTGTCAGTGAGGGACTCTTGGGAATACCCCTTCACCAACCCCTGGGACTCGGCATTTGACTGTGTTGTTATGGCGATGATGGATCCAGATTTTGCAAAATACCAGCTAGATCTACTGACGAGGGAAAACTACATGCAGCCGAGCGGGCAAATTCCTTCCAACGACCACAACTTTGACGAGGTAGACCCGCCCGTACTCGCATGGGCTGTGTTCCGCATCTTCAAAATCGAGCGGAAGATGTACGGCCGCCAGGACTTAGACTTCCTCGAGAGCTTGTTCCAGAAGCTAATGCTTAACTTCACCTGGTGGGTAAACAGGAAGGACACTGAAGGGAAGAATATCTTTGAGGGCGGCTACCTTGGACTGGATAACATCGGTCCATTCAATCGATCCGCTCCTTTACCAACCGGCGGAGTTGGCGTCTTGGAGCAAGCAGACAGCACAGCCTGGATGGCCTTCTACTGTCTGACGATGCTAAATATTGCTCTGGAGCTCGCCAAGCACCGTCGGGTGTATGAGCGACTTGCCGCCAAATTCTTTGAGCACTTCATCCTCATCAGCGATGCCATGAGAAATCTCTGGAACGACGAGGACGGGTTCTACTACGATGCAATCTCCTGGGGCGGTCGCTGGAATCGCCAGCTGCGTGTCAGGTCCTTGGTCGGCATCATACCTCTTTTCGCGACGTTGACGATGGAGCCCGAGATGCTGAACCAATTCCCCTGGTTCAAGAAACGAGTAGATTGGTTCATAGAAAACCGTCTTGATCTCGCCGAGCGAAACATTGCCAGCATGAAGAAGCGCGGAAAAGGAAACCGGCTTCTTTGCGCACTGGTTAGCCGTGAGCGCCTGGAACGCATTCTCAAGAGGCTTCTGGATGAAGACGAGTTCTTCTCGGAGTATGGGATTCGCTCACTTTCTAAACATCACAGTGCGCATCCGTACTGCGTGACCTCCCATGGGAAGCAGTTCGAAGTCGCCTACCAACCCGGCGAGTCCGATGGCAACACCAACTGGCGGGGCCCGATTTGGATGACGGTCAACTTTCTGCTTATCGAATCCTTGCAGCGTTTCTACTTATTTTACAGTGACCAGTTCCAGGTTGAATGTCCGACCGGATCGGGAGATCATATGCACTTAGGTCATGTCGCCGAAGAGCTGCAACATCGACTGCAGCATCTGTTCGCGAGAACAGACGAGGGTAGACGCACAATCAACGCTGGAAACGATATGCTGGACTTTGATGAACACTGGAAGGACCAGGTCGTCTTTCACGAGCACTTCGATGGCGATACGGGCCGTGGACTAGGAGCTAGCCATCATTGTGGGTCGTCGAGCCTGATTGCCAAGATGATCCACGACACAGGGTGAGTGAATCTGTTCTATGATGCAAGCGAGCCTGCAGCACTAATGTAAAACCAACAGAGTAACGTGCCGGCTCCCCCATACTCCACGAACCCCAAGTGTAGGACTCGCGCTCTATTTCGACGACATATTCGCGAGATCTGGGTCGTCCTCGCGGAGCATTACCGCTCGGGCCCTCGGGGACGAGGAGAAACCCGACGGTGGGGACGGGCAAGAAACCGACGCAGAAAGGGCTGAAGCTGACGCTCACATTATCAAATTCGTTTCTGAGAAACTCGAGAAAGTCAAGATCGGTGACCCTTCGGAGGACCTCGAGGATGAGATTGAGACTTAGGGCGGTGAATTCTTTTCTATGGGGGTTACATTCAGCTGATACCTGGTGAATTCTTGTCTATTTTCTACATCTTTAAATACGCCCGGTTGTGTCTCATTGGCATCGTAATTCTTCCCTTGGGCCATAGCTACTTCTTCTGCTGTAACCACCTCGCGGAGTATTTGTTTAAAGACTGAATATCGATGACTGCGCGGCAAAACCAGAGATGCCGATATTTGTGATTATTCAGATCGCTGAGGCTGATTTACCCGCAGCGGCTGATGCATTCGTACTAAACAGCCAATAGGATGCTATTTTCATGACCACCAGCTTACATACCCCGCTCGATCGGGCATCAAAGAAAGCCCTCGACTTCGCCCCTCACAACAGTTCTCTGATGATATCCCAGCAGCCTTTCGTCACGCGTAGCCTCAGTGATCTTGGAAACCCACCACAATGTCCACCGTCGAAAGCCCGCTTGACTGGGACGAGATAGGCGACATCGGCTATCCCGATTCTCAGTATGCCGAGTTTAGCTTCCACGACTTCTCGAGAGAGTGGAAGGAGAGGATCCTGCCCTGGTACAGCTTCCGCGACAATACTGGACAGAAAGGACGAATGAGCGATATTGCGTCTTTTCTACGCACTTGGCTTTTCTTCGGGCTCTTGAAGGAGGTTCTTGGAGAAGACCTCGGCTCCCTACAGCACCTCGAGACAGAATGCAAGATCGACAAAGCCAAGGTGGCCAGCCAGATTGAAACATGGAGGAGGAGAGAGATGATAAACTCATCTGGCAGAACGAGCCGTTTGGTACGAATACAACTCGTCCTAACAGAAGCTCGATCTCTGGTGACTGAGATATGCTCTGGCGACGACGAGTGCGACATGACCGCTGATCAATGGAACAAAGATATTCCTCTGGTTCTGATGGTCCTTGGCGAGATGCTCACAAGCTACACAACCCGATTGTTGCTAGATCTAAAAGAAGTCCGGATCCGAGGCTGGCATTTCGATGGGAACAGGGGTTGGGGTCAAACCAGTGCAGTCTTGAAGACAATGGAAGAAAGATGGAGCTTAGACACGGTCCGCATGCTTCATGGCTCACTAAGTAGCCATGCAACAGCACAGCTATATGCTCTGCGCTTGACAGATTCGATGACACCGCAACAACCCACCCCGGCTCTGGATGGTCAGAGAGAGGGATACCATCAGGCACACAGCGACACCTGCCATCTTGGACGCAATGAAGAGCTTGTTGGGCTGGATCAAAGAAAACTGGTTGACATCATCGAAAGAGGCAAGATCCCACTGGCCAAGTACTCTGCTTCATCAGGCCAGATCGAAATTCTCGAATTTGAACCAGGCACAAGGTATGCCATAATCTCCCACGTGTGGGCGGATGGGTATGGCAACCCAAACGAGAACAAGATTCACAAATGCGTACTCGATTTCTTCAATCAACTGTTTCTGGATGCTCAACGCCTACTCCGACGAAATGAGCCGGATCCTGCGCTCCCATTCTGGATCGACACTTTGACGATCCCCGTCAACAATCCCGTTCAACGAAAGCGAGCAATCAAAACAATGCATCACGCGTACACTAATGCAGACTTCATGGTGGTTCTCGACTCGGGTCTCGCAAAGATTGAGTCCGGGAGGTCCTACGCAGAAACAGCAATGAAGATCTTCACAAGCCGTTGGATGGGCAGACTCTGGACTCTACAAGAGGCGTACTTGAGCAAGAAACTCATCTTTCGATTCAACAGCAACGAACTTGTGGATATGGATCAACTCGAGGCCAACTTCTTTACAAGCCAAACCCTTGCGGATTCAATGGTGGCGGGAAAAGCTCGCAAGTACTTTGACCGTTTGCTTGGCTGGCAAAGGCAGAAAAGGATCTACGGTGCGCCCCTGTATGACAGTGTCTTGCTTGCCTCCGTCTGGGAAGCTGTGCAATGGCGCACAACAAGCCTTGTCGTTCACGAGACACAAGCCCTGGCCACCCTGTTCGAGGTTGAAGTTGACTTCCCTGATGATTTCGACCACGGCTCCTGCGGTCCGCAATGTGGTGAGGCGCCGGACGGCGAGTGCAGAGACAACCTTGACAGGAGAATGAAATGCTTCCTGGAATCGCTCTACGATGCCTACCCGAACTCCATCCCTCCCGGGATAATCTTTGTGCCTGGTCGGAGATTGGCCGTCGAGGGCTTTGGGTGGGCTCCATGCACTTGGATGGTTGGGCAGAATGTCGGCCATGACGATCCTATCTTCAACCATGCCACTGCGGCTGAGTTGACTTTGAATGGTCTGCTTGTCCGGTACCCAGGCTTTTATCTTCGATCGTCTGAAAACCGCACGTACGATGCCGCGGAGAACAAATTCGCCTTTCCCTGTGACATCCTTCTCCTAGAATGGTACTGCGTTCAGTCCTGTGACGATAAGACAGCACCGATGCCGAAGGAAGATGGACTCGCTATTATATCTTCGAGAGAAGAAGTCAGAGATGATAAATCAATAGCTCTTCTCGTTTCTGTGAAGAAGACTCGCCGTCCCAAGCTTTACGTCGAGATTCTACAGCGGGTTTGGATCTGGAGGGAGAGAGATCAGGCCAAGATCGAGGAACTCAGAATGTCGTTCTGGGAACACAAATTTGGCGTTTGTGAATATGGCGAGATCTTGAATAGTGACCAGCAGTGGTGCATAGGGAAGCATAGGTGGAATCCTGTAAGACCAGGCGAAGTTGGCCGTACCTCTAGTACTATGAGTGCCTTTTGAAGCTGGGGGATGCCTCAGTTGGATGCCACCCTCAGCGGGCGGCCGAGCTGGTCGGGGATAATATGCCTACTTATGAAAACGTTATTTCTTATTTGAAAGTATATCAAATCTTCTTTACTTCAGCTATCAAGAGGTTAGGGTGCCCTAGTACACACATACCCAGAGGGGGGACTAGAAGCTCAACAGTAAAAAAAAAAACACCAACAATGGTATCAACAATATTACTTAAGCTATGAAATCTACTTGCCCCCCTCGATAAGAGAACCTAATGTTTGAATTTACTGCGTTTTCGTTGTGCACGTCACAGTTGCCAAGGCCCACCTTTGGGCTTCACGATGTCATTTTTCTATCTGCCGTAATCCTGTCTAAGAGTTGACCTCTCGACTACGGGAGATATCATCCGAACGTTTGAGTAAATACACCTCTGCCATCCAAAACAAGAACTCACCTTTGTCTCGCTGGCGTGAGACTCGTAGTTTACCCCGGCCCAGAGGATGATAGCCACGCTCGGTAATAAACACAACAACTAAAGAGCCAAACTTAGCATTATCGCCAAAAGACACCAGTCATGCGCATCGAGCTCTTTGCTTACCTTGACGACTTCGGCTCTTTCGTCTGTAACCTGGTATCCAGAGTAAAATTTGCCAGAAAGGAGCTGCACTTCTTTTCCGGGCAGTTCTTATGATGGGAGGTCGCTCTCAATATTGCCGCGTCTTTCGATCCCATCCTTGTCAAGAAACCTGATGAGTCTGTCGAATCACATGTTGAGATCTTGAGATGAAAGTCACTTCTCTAAAATGGTAGAATTAGACCTCTAGAACCCTGGCTTTCAAACCCTGGATAGTCGATGAGGTCGGAATATAGTCCGCCTAGAAAGAAAGAAATTTCAGCTTCTTTAATAGTTCTCCGCGATACGTCTAGCGTCGATGGCCCGATCATTGTCCCGAAGGTGGTCCCGAATATTATTCCCCGTCATAGAGACTGAGTTACTGCTTGCACCGACACTGCATCAGATGAAAGACCCGCGGAGATTGTACAGCCGGTTCTAGCCAAGTTTGGCCACATCTTACGTCTTACAAGCCGGCGGATCCCCGAACTTGTCTCGCGCCATTGACGATCTCGAATCTTCATAGTCGGCTAGGCCGCCTCCCGAGTGCCGAACGCGAAGTAGGGTATTTATGCACCAACCAAGGGAGCCCGTTGGAAAAGGCCTGAAATAAATCGTAAGGGGGCTGAGTTAACTCCACGTTTGTTTTGAAGTAATCTCTAGACCATAATGTACGTGGCCGGTAGGTCATTAGAACCATTTCCAATTGGGCATGCCACCTGGTCATTTCAGTTGAATCATTTGCACGGCATAAATTGCAGATCCGCTGGAACTACTCTACTGTGCACGTTCTGGAATAATCGGCAAGTGTATCCATTATGACACTATACCCTAGCCCACCGCATGAAGGAAGTCGTATCTCATGGCCGCTGAAGCCGCAAGGGAGGCCTGATGCCATTGGTATTTCGAGACAGAGATCTTGCCGATGGACGGCCTAAATGCCCGAAGTCTTGAAAAACTTGTGAGAAATTAAAAGTGAAAGGCAATAGCACCCCATGTTCGGCCGAGAACCCGAGTGGGGCTCGGGCCATTCGGGAAAATATGCTGTTGGTTTTTGAGATACTCTACGATTTCCGGTGTGGGAGAGGCTGGATTAGGTTCCCTCTTGGCTGTTGGGGTCTTGGTAGGGTAAGCTTTCTTCAATTCACTTCTTGGGCAACAAAATGCAAGGGAATCTTTATTTCCTTCTTTCACCTCTTCTCCTATTATGCATCCTACGACCACTTGGCCAGTGGATTCCACGGAAGACGGACCGTGCCACCGTCTCTGCAACATGCGGTCGCAACATCTCCTGTCTCTGTCCTGTAATAGCAAGCCAGCACCTTCGGCTCCCAGCCCCAGAATCCGCCTGCTCCAAGGGATTCTCCTGAGCCGTCCAACTCGCCGTCCTTGTCCAACTGTTCAAGCCTTGCCCTTCTACACAATGTGGTTAGGCCAGCCCTCGACTAGGAAATTTGTCGCCAAATTGATGAGCACTTACGTCAAAGCATTTTCATAACCCCAAACGCAAGCAATAATCCGTGACGTTGGAGGTTGGCAGAATTCCATCCGCTTTTTCGATATTGCCTCGTGCTTGATTTCGATGCTGCCCGTAGTAGTACTGTGAATTAGACTGTGTTAATCTGACATTTCTTTTGCATCCGGAAGAATGGGCTGGCCAACTCAGCTGCGATAAACTCCATGGGTCGATCCCCGTAAGAGTACAACACGTTGAACATCTTTCGTCCTGCTTCAGGCCACGGGTCCCCAAATTGCTCGACTAGCGACTCTCCCTTTATTGTCAATGTTTGCTGCGGGGTGACGAGATGCCTGACTATCTGCGTGACGTCCTTGTCCGCAAACATGGCGCCATATATGTGTAACGGTGGTCCATTTTGAGGAGCGAACGCACCCATCACACCAGGACCTTGAAACGGCACAGGGGTTCCTCCGGGATGATGGGGAGAGGCCGACACGCCCATGCCAAGGGCTACACCACTTGCGGCGCCAGCGGGGATGTGAGCATAGTTCGGGTCTACAGGTGGAGGTTGTCCGTGATACGACTGCGGCGGAGCTCCTTGGGGTCCAGGTACATATACCGGATATACATGCACTTGGGTTTGTTGTGGCGGCGGCTGTTGCTGCTGCTGCTGTTTGTTTCCAAAGAGACCAAAGATCTTAGCGCCAATCGCACCTGCGCCAGCCATTGCCATGGACTGCGTCATCTTGCCTAATCCATGCTGCTGATCATGGTGTTGATGATGGTTCTCGAACTTGTGCCGGAGAGATGAACCGGCGAGGAACCCGCCGCCTAAAGAAAGCGCAGTCTTTCCCAAGCCGCGATCTCCATCCTGAGCAGGTTGATCTGCACCTTCCAACGCGGGATTGTATGACAGTTGATCGGTCGGGGGCATCTGGTGGTCGCCGGGAGGGGGATATTGCGGTTGGTCTGATGGGGCAGTCGGAAACTCCCATTGGGTTGCGCCGGTGGCAGGAAGGACGTAGTACCTGAGCAATGGATGTTATTGACACGTCTTACAGGTTTGATGATATGGGACTCGTTGCTGCTTGCCATGCGTTGTGCTCAGGGCTCCAGTTTGCTAGCCAACCTGGGGGTAAGGGGGGTGCAGCGGCCCCATGAGGAGCCCGTGGAGATGGCAAATCTGGCGTTGACATCTAGATTCTGGAAAAGGCAGGTGTTCAAGAAATGGCTGGTGGTGATCTACAATAGAGTTGAATTGCGGAAGCGAGCTGACTGCAGTTGAAGATAAGAGGCCGCAGAACATAGGGGTCACGGCCACTTGAGGCAGCACAGTCCTAGCTGACCGTGGCTATTATTATCAAGCGCGTTAAGACCATAACGCTATGTGCCGACAGCCGCTTACTAGGGCAGGTCGAGTTCTAGCTCACGCCCGCATGTAAGCCACATTTTCCCTTGACTGAACTGCACGATCCCTACGATTGGACAGACAGAAAGCTTGGGGTTACGTCTATTTCTAAGAAAAACTCTTAAGATGCCAGTAACCCCGCAGCAAGCCTGACTAACCTATCATTTTCTCCACATCTTCCGACTTTGCCGAGTCTGGACCTCTCAGCCGCATTTCTTGCATGAAGCAGCTCACCTCCGTTTCGTTGTGGCTGGTGTCTAAGCCTACGCTCCGCCTCCTTGATGGAGCGACCAGTATGCGCTTGGAGAGACCTTTGAACGCTAAGATTGGTTGAAGGCGTACAAACGAAAGCCCGGCGGAGCTCTCGACACACTCTTCAATTTACGCCGCCAACCCCGGTCTGAGAAAGATAAGCATCAGTATATTCTATCAGTCCGCCATCGGCTTGAGGTCATGGCTAGTCAGCACTCACACGCATTCCCGACTATTCTTGACATACACTAGGCTCCGAGCTGAAGATATCGAGTCTCTATAGGTTAGTGGCATATGAGTCAAAGAAGAGGGGCCCATAGTTTCGGGTATCTAATATCGTTGCGGCAAAATTGCTGAGTGTGTCATGAGCCTGCATGAGTAGTGCGTGAGTGCCCCTCAGTAAAGTAGTGACAACTGAGCAAGTGACTGAAGAGGGCGAGTGCAACTTTCGGGAGCCGCAACAGCGAGTAAATTCCAACTCTTCTATTAATTTGGCCATGGAGCTAACTTCTGCTTTAGACTACACTCTTAATATTAAGCCAAATTCTTGATGATGCCCACTTTCTTCTTCTCCAACAGTCACTTAGATAACTGCTGTAGCACTTGTGAAGAGTGCGGTATTTAAGCAGTCAACAATGGAGTTTCCATTTGTCAGTCCAGAAGACAAGCAAGTTGCTGCAGCTCCAACTGCAAATGGACCCAAAGCTGCAGTACAAAGCGGCAAATCAACGACAAGTTCTATAGCAGTGTCGTCCGCGAGATCGAGGCATGCCTGAGGAAGGGATGAGATGCAAGTGGCAGAAAGAGCATCAGTCAGGCATGTCACGACGGTTTCGCCGAGGGTGCTGGACGAAATCAGACTGGTACTCAGGCAGCTAGCAGCAGTACCAGTGTTGTAAACTCCAAGTGCTGCAGTGCACAGAGGAATAGAAACTAAGAGTGCAAGGCCATCGATAGTTCCAAGGTCTTGGCAAGGCTCTGGGACAGTGGCACAGGCCGACGACGCAGCAGGTGTGGCAGTTGTTGTAGCACACGCCGCAACGCCGGTAACAGTGCTGGTGCCAGATGTAAAACCGAACGCAATGTTTAAGCAATCGACGATACTGACTCCCGTAGTTGAAGCGGTGATGGAGCCAGTTGCGAGACATGTAGCAGCAGTTCCAACAGCGAAAGGGCCAAGGGCAACTGCACAAGTTGCAACATTTGTAATTAGAGCTAGCCCGTCACTGCTGGCGAGACTCGCACAAGAATCTGGGAGCGTAGTAATGCAATTGCCTTCGAGAGCGTTCAGAATGCAGTCCGCAATGTCTGAGCCAGCCGTGAAGATCGAGATGCTAGTTGCAAGACATGTTGCAACGCTCCCAACAGCAAAGGGGCCGAGAGAGAGAGTGCAGGTGGCAACAACGGGGATAAGAGCAAGACCGCTTGTTGACTGGAGGCTCGAACACCCAGCCGGGAGTGCGACGTCACAGAATGCAGTAGTGGCGGTAGCAGACGCGATGCACTCTGATGCTGTTGAAGTGGTGGTGTCTGTGGTTGTTGACGCAGTAGTAGTTTGTGAAGAAGAATCTGTGGTAGCAGTGTCTGTGGTAGTGTCTGTAGTAGCAGTATCTGTAGTAGCGGTATCCGTAGCAGTATCTGTGGTGGCAGTGTCTGTGGTAGAGGTAGCTGTGGCAGAGGTATCGGTAGCAGAGGTATCTGTAGTAGCGGTATCCGTAGCAGTGTCTGTAGTAGCAGTGTCTGTAGTAGCGGTAGCTGTAGCAGTATCTGTAGTAGCAGTGTCTGTGGCAGAATCTGTGGCAGAGACATCTGTAGTAGCAGTATCTGTAGTAGCAATATCTGTAGCAGAAGTGTCTGCAGTCGTGGTGTCTGTAATGGAGGCTTCTGTTGCAGATGTATCTGTAGCAGTTATATCTGTAGCGGCAGTATCTGCAATAGAAGTATCCGTAGCAGAGGTTTCCGTGGTAGAGGTATCTGTAGTGGTAGCATCTGTAGAGGAGGTATCTGTGGCAGATGTATCTGTAAGAGCGGATTCCGTAACGGAGGTATCCGTAGTGGCAGTGTCTGTGACAGAGGTGTCTGTGACAGAGGTGTCTGTGACAGAGGTGTCTGTGACAGAGGTGTCTGTGACAGAGGATTCAATAACAGAGGATTCTGTGGCAGTGTCTGTGACAGATGATTCCGTGACAGAGGATTCTGTAGCGGAGGTATCCGTAGTAGCAGCATCTGTAGTAGAAGCACCTGTAGCAGAGGTATCTGTAGAAGAGCTATCTGTGACAGAGGATTCGGCAGCGGAGGTATCTGTAGTAGCAGAGTCTGTAGTAGCAGCATCTGTAGTGACAACTTCTGTAGTGGCAGTGTCTGTAACCGAAGTGTCCGGAGCAGAAGTGTCTGAAACAGAGGTATCTGTAGTGGCAGTAGTGTCTGGGGTAGCGCTTGAAGCGCCAGTGCCGGATGCAGCAATGGAACTGGAGGTTGTGGTGGCGGACGCAAGTTCAGGCTCGAGTACGATTACAGTCCCAGTAGGATCAGAACCAGAAGGAGCCAATGTGACGGTGGTAGCAGCAGTTCCAGTGTTAACTGCAGTAATAGTCGTAAAGGGCCCCGTAAAAGTACTCTCCGACACAGCTGTAGTAGGCTCCAAAACAATAACAGTACCAGTAGGATCAGAGCCAGATGGGGCCAAGGTTAAAGTCGTTGCAGCGGTTCCCGTGTTGCTTCCAGTAATAGTTGTAAATGGTCCAGTAAAGGTTGAGGCTGAGGTTGAGGCAGTTGCGCTAGGTGCTAGAATAATAACAGTTCCAGTGGGATCAGACCCAGATGGAGCCAGCGTCAGAGTTGATACAGCAGTTCCGGTATTTATCCCAGTAATAGTTATAAAGGGCCCTGTGAACGTCGAAGCTGAAGCAGTTACACTAGGTTCAAGAACAATAACGGTTCCAGTAGGGTCCGAGCCAGATGGAGCCAGCGTAACAGTTGCTGCTGTAGTTCCAGTATTTATCCCGGTAATAGTTGTAAAGGGCCCTGTGAACGTCGAAGCTGAGGTAGTTGCACTAGGTTCAAGAACGATAATAGTTCCAGAAGGGTCCGAGCCAGATGGAGCCAAAGTCAGAGTCGTCGCAGCAGTTCCGGTATTGACAACAGTGATAGTCGTAAATGGACTTGTAAATATAGTAGCCGATACAGCAGAACTAGGCTGAAGGATCACAACAGTACCAGTTGCGTCAGTACCCGAGGGGGCCAGCGACAGTGTAGCTGTCGTGCTGCCAGAGTTGACGCCGGTGATTGTAGTGAACGGGCCAGTGAATGTAGTAGCAGACGCAACAGAACTAGGCTCAAGGATCACAACAGTACCAGTTATATCAGTGCCCGAGGGGGGCAGTGTCAATATGGCTGTAGTACTCCCAGAATTGACCCCGGTGATTGTTGTGAATGGACCGGTGAAGACGGTAGCGGACCCAGTAGTACTAGGCTCGAGAACCACTACAGTTCCCGTGGAGTCTGTCCCAGAAGGAGGTAGTGTCAGCGTGGCTGTTGTGGTTCCGGAATTCACTCCAGTGATCGTAGTGAACGGCCCAGTAAAAACACTAGCAGATGCAGTGGTACTGGGCTCGAGAACCACTACAGTTCCCGTGGAGTCTGTCCCAGAAGGAGGCAGTGTCAACGTAGCTGTTGTAGTTCCAGAATTGGCCCCAGTGACAGTCGTAAATGGGCCGGTAAATGCAGTCGATGCACTAGTACTGGGCTCAAGAACCACTACAGTTCCCACGGAGTCTGTCCCCGAAGGAGGCAGTGTTAGTGTAGCTGTTGTACTACCGGAATTCACCCCAGTGATAGTGGTGAAAGGTCCGGTAAATGTAGCCGATGCGGTGGTGGGCTCAAGGATAACGACGGTTCCAGTAGAGTCTGTCCCGGAAGGAGGCAGCGTCAGTGTAGCTGTTGTACTGCCAGAGTTGACTCCGGTGATCGTAGTAAATGGACCGGTAAATACAGACGATGTAGTGGTGGGCGCGAGGATAATAACGGTTCCTGTAGAGTCTGTTCCAGAAGGAGGGAGTGTCAGCGTAGCTGTCGTACTGCCGGAATTAACACCAGTTATGGTGGTAAATGGGCCGGTAAATACAGCTGGCGCAGTAGTGGGCGCCAGTATAATGACGGTTCCGGTAGAGTCTGTGCCAGACGGGGCTAAAGAAATAGTAGAAGTAAGAGTTCCGGTGTTGATGCCCGTGATTGTGGTAAATGGCCCAGTAAAGGTAGTTGATGCAGCAGTGGGCATAAAGACAATGACAGTCCCAGTAGAGTCAGTTCCAGATGGGGCTAAGGAAAGAGTAGAAGTACGAGTTCCTGTATTAATACCCGTGATGGTGGTAAATGGCCCAGTGAAGGTAGTTGATGCAGTAGTAGGCACAAGGACAATGACAGTCCCAGTAGGGTCTGTGCCGGATGGAGCCAGAGAGAGAGTAGAGGTACGAGTTCCAGTGTTGATACCTGTGATCGTGGTGAAGGGACCCGTGAAGGTGGTCGATGCAGTGGTGGGCTGAAGGATAATTACAGTTCCAGTAGAGTCTGTGCCGGATGGAGCCAAAGAGATAGTAGAAGTACGAGTTCCTGTGTTGATGCCCGTGATCGTGGTGAAAGGACCCGTGAAGGTTTGAACTGGATCCACGATAATGACTGTGCCAGTGGTATCTGTCCCTGAAGGAGCTCGTGTGATAGTCGTTGGCTGAGAGCCAGCAGTGCCAGTGCTGGTAAGCGTAGTGAACGGGCCAGTAAATATGCCGGTGCTTGACGCTTCCACCACAATAACTGTGCCAGTAATGTCTGTGCCGGAAGGTGCTTGCGTAATGGTAGTGGGTTGTGAGCCAGCAGCACCAGTGCTAGTAAGCGTAGTAAATGGACCAGTGAAGATACCACTGTTAGACGGCTTCACTAGGATAACTGTGCCAGTGGTATCTGTGCCGGAGGGTGCTTGCGTGATGGTGGTGGGCTGTGACCCGGCAGCGCCAGTACTTGTGATGGTAGTGAATGGGCCGGTGAAAGTGCCAGAAGGATTGACCACGATAACTGTGTCTGTGGTGTCTGTACTAGAAGGTGCTTGCGAGACAGTATTCGGCTGTGAGCCGGCAGCACCAGTACTCGTGGTGGTGGTGAATGGGCCGGTGGAAGCGCTAGAAGGATTTACCACGATTACTGTACCAGTGCTATCAGTTCCAGAAGGGGCTTGCGTAATGGTAGTAGGCAGTGAGCCAGCAGCACCAGTACTAGCGATGGTTGTAAATGGACCGGTGAAAGCGCTAGAGGGATTCACCACGATCACTGTACCAGTGCTATCCGTGCCGGAAGGGGCTTGAGTGATCGTCGTAGGTCGAGAACCACTGTGACCCGCGCTAGTGATCGTGGTATAAGGCCCAGTGAACAGGGGCACAGGGGCTCTGATAACGAGTCTTATTAGTTGTGCATCTACCAGACCGAGCCAAACATAACATACCCAGTGGAGAATCTCGTAGACGTGCCCGTCAGGGTGAAATCAGTGACCAACGTGGTAGGCGCATTGGTAATCGTAATGGTAGTGCCACCGACAGTAAGCACCGTGTTGGAGGGGAGAAAGGTGCTAATGGAGATAGGCTGGAGGCCAATAGTAACCTCGGGCTGCACCTCGACAAGACTCCTCCCATCTGGACAGTCAGGGTCGCCTTGAGCATGAACTCCGAGGCCCAGACAAAATGCCCATGCCCCAGCAGCTATGTCAAGGGAGCGCATCGTGTGGTAACGAGTGAGGAATTAGAAAAGAGACGGAAGAAGCGGATGAGTAAAAGAATGAGGTAGAAGTAGTTACTACTCGAGGCTTGATGATGGATACGAGGAGAAGATGCAGAACGATTCCAATACTTATACAGAGCCACGGTGATATTTTTCCGGCGGGTGAGAACGTGAAGCAATGCATAAGGCATCTAGGCCATGCCTTCCATTGATGAGCTTCCTTTGCATTCATTCTTTTGATTCTGCATCCGGCCGAACTCGAGCACGAAAACTTCCGTAAGCTTCAACCGGACTCGAACTGAGGAATGAGGGGTGCAATATTGATCCAGCAGGAGGTCATCATGGCACGAGAACACAAGCGAAGATCTAGCCCTGGCATGCCCACTAAAAGCGACTCTCTCAGCAATCTTCAGCCAAGAAGCTTGCTAGCATGTCAAAGCTTCTCCATGAATCCATACCAGTCTCGCAGCTTAAACATCTACCCCCCCTCCTTCTGGCTTCTCCACGCAACAAGGTTCTGGTAGGGCATAGCAACTTCGTTCAGTGAGTGATTCCCAGTCATCCCTCTGAAAGTCGACTTGCTTACTGGTCGGGACCGGAAGGTTCCTTTGCGGGCTCGACAAAGCGTTCACCTGGATGGGCGACCTATCATTCTGGTGCCCCTGGGTACGACAGTCGTTTTCAGGCACGAGTAGAATGGGCATTTTGCAGTGAAATTTGAGCACGTTCTCCAGGGAAACATTACCCCCCTCCCGTGGGTATCCCGTGCCCAGCCGAATGCAGTCTAACAATCCCTGCGCAAGGTTCATCGGAGGTTTGCTTCCGCTGTACTTACTACCCTAGAACAGTCGATCCCTGAATCTGTCTTACCAGGCCCTAGCATTCTGCTAGGTACGAACGTCAGGCTTTTGCGGAGTTGAAATTGGTTAATAGGGGTGTTGGTGTGAAGTTTCCATGTCTTCTGAGCGTAAGCGAGGTCCGACACTGAGCGACATTCCCAGGAGCTTCATGCTTTTTGCGGTGCTAAATCTGGTCAACAGGAGAGTTGGAGCGAAGCTTTCATTTTTTCTAAGCGTAAGCGAGATCCCGCAAGCGAGGTCCAAGACTGATTGACATTCCCGGAGGCTTTATGCTTTTTGCAGTGTTAAATGTGGTTAATAGGAGTGTTGGTGTGAAGTTTTAATGTCTTGTGAGTGTAGGCGAGGTCCGAGACGGCGTGACATTCCCGGGAACTTCTGTGTTCGTCGCCGGTGATACTTTGAAAGAAAGAGCTCTGCAGCATTCCTTCCAATGATGGCTATGCAGGTTCGTCGTTTCCAGACTGATCTCGTACATCTTATTGAAGACGCACAAGTGTTGAAAGGGTATAAATCCTCCATGGCGCCTCCGCCCATCGTCGATCATTCACACAGTCACCCTCCATGTACTCAGCATAATCTCCGTATTCCGTGCCACTCTTTCAACCATGTTGTTCTCTGCACTCGTTCTTTTATTTCCCTCAGCAGCCTTGGCTGCTCGTCTACCAATAATTTTAGGACGGGCGGTCAATCAGCATGATTGCACTACTACCACCACCCTGGCCCCTATCACCTTCACCAGCGTCTCTCCAACTTCCACCATCGGGGGCCTGGGTGCGAGCCAGGGTACCTCTGGCAGTGGTAGTGGCTCGCTTATCTACACTACCGCTTTGCCAACCCTTGGTCCTAATGGATTGGGAATGCACACATACACTGTCACTGTCCCCTGCCCTGGGACCCCTGGATCGTCCTGCAACCCCCTGGAATCCAGCGAGTGCCCACCTGGGTTCACAACGTCCTCGGTTGTTTGCAGTGTCTGCGGACCAACTGTGGTGACAACAGTGCTGACCCTCCCTGCCGAGACAGCCGCGAGTACCGGAGTCCCCGGGATCCAACCCCCTCACACTAGTGCCAATAGTGAGACTAAGCAGGTCACCAAGACTTGTGATGAGGAGCTCTGCCAGTTGGATCCAGAAAGTACTGGCTACTCTGATGGAAGCTTCGCTACTTCTGCTCCTACTACTACCAAGGCATCTTCTAGCTCTAGCTCTGATTCTGGTTCTGGTTCTGGTTCTGGTTCTGGTTCTGAATCTGAATCTGAATCTGGTTCTGGTTCTGGATCTGGATCTGGCTCTGGATCTGGCTCTGGATCTGGCTCTGGTTCTGATTCTGGCTCGGGCTCTGGCTCTGATCCTGGCTCGGGCTCGGGCTCTGGCTCGGGCTCGGGCTCCAGTTCCAGCTCCTTAATTCCCGCCCCCACCGCAAACTCCTCCGAATACTCCTCCAGCAGTTCTTCAACGGGGGCTACAGGCGACTCACAGGGCAATAATGGTGCACCCGCAGCCTCTTCCGTTCAAAATACATTCAGTACACAGGGCTCGTCCACAGTTCCCCCGCAGGAAACTGCTGCTGCGTCGCCCAGTGTTGTTCAGGTTGCTGGATCAGGGGCTATGTTTGTGGATATGAGGGCCCTTTTCGGGGCCCTCTCTTTGTCGTGTGTCTTGGCTCAGCTCTTGTTACCTCTTAACTAGCCTGTTTTGACAGCACGAAGCCGAACATTATCTGGATTCCAGGCAAAAATCAATACTAGCTTAGAAACGTCTTCTTCACTGGCCACTCATTGACTCTTTTACACCGAGTCAGATAGTGGAGCAAATTCGTTAGACAAACTAAACCTTAATATTCATGGCTTGGCAGTTCAACGTCCGCTCTATTGGCCCTGTAGCACGCTAATTGATGAGAATGTGTCCGTAGCACCCTGCATGGGCGCTAATCACGCCCTTGTGAGTGGACTTCAGGACATATTGCAAGTGGGGAAAAAACAAAATAGGTAACTGCTTCGCCGCTAACCTCTCCCCATGTACTGTAGCCGTGAACTCGCAAAATGATCCTTGCTACCTCCACACAACGCTCACCACCTCAAGTCGCCTCGACCAGCGTATTACGCTCTACCAAAAGCCACATTGCCTCATTATAATACCCCTTTCTTCGGCTACACGTATGCAATTAGACCAACACGGCTCTCAAGATGGTAAGTTGGATTTCGCTTAGCTTATAACCGGAAAGCGGATGGTTGGTGTCTCAGACCTTCTTTAGCGCTAGCACCGATCGCTTACGCTTCAGCTGTACAGGCCTGTCTATGCTCAGGCTTCGTGAAGTGGAATATTCCGTGAAGTGCGTCTTTCGGCAATTTTCGGCAAATTTTCGTCGGCATAACCGAATATTCATTGCGGCAGTCATCGTATTGTGTAATCGCCTACCAATTAGTTCAAGCACCGCTTCTCCAATGTACTTGGTGTCGGTCTAAAACACTTGGACTTGAAGGAAGTTGCAGTCGTGGTTAAATAAGAAGCTCGGAGGGCCGACAGAGTACGGATTTCTTGCTTTGATTTTACCATTGCAAGAAATTAAGCTGGTTCCCAGGAGCGGATGAAGCGGATGAAGCAAAGAGTCCCAAATTGCACCCTGGGGTCTCCGGTAAAGACAAGAGAGGTGTATCCTCCATATAGCCGCACTGGTGTCTGTCGAGTGACAGGGCATGATCTATCCCTCGTGTTGGAATGGCTACGAGTATCCGCCCGACAATGTACCGCCAGAGCGCAGGACTGGTACACCTCAACCCTCTCAAATACAAACTCTACGGGTTACAACTTATAGTAACGTACACACACGTAATTAGAGGATCACCGTCCGAGGGTTAATCTAGCGTCACTCAAGCTGCATAGATCACAACACTGTTGTAACCCTTACACTCCCGGCACTGTATGTGCACATTCCTGTTGCACTAAGAGCCAAGTCTTACGATGCCTAGCTGTTAAGACAAATTAATAACCCAAGCTGACTGTACCTTGCTAACCACTACCACACGTAATTGTCCCACGGACTCCATACTGCTAACCGTTAAAGACAGTACCTAACCGCTAATCGCTCAACTTACACCCGATGTCCTGATCCCGACTAGGACAATCCGAACATACCCTATACCATCCGTAGCCTAGCACGGCGGTCACGCCTTATACAGTGTAATGATTTGCTGATAACACCAAGTTTGCCAAATATGGCGGGCTTGTTACTCTCGGGATACATCGTACAATACCCTTGGGTGAAGATCTAAGCCGTGCTTAATGACTGGACAAGCGTTGCGCGTGATTTTCGATGTCAGCTGCGGTCTTGAATGTAGCATTACTCGGGGAACATTCAGGTAGGCGGGATTTACTAGCGCGTCTACTGGTGAGCCGGCGTGCGTGACAAATCACAAAGCCTGTATCCGGAGGTTCCCGTCCCAATAGATCTCCGAGACGCGTCTGTCTCGCGGTTGTAACCGGAGGAGAGCAAAATATGGGCCCTTACGTAGATCCTTCCCCCCTGACGACTCTGGCCCACATTCCACCACTCCCCGAGACGAGAATCATTCTGTCACTTGCTTCCAGCCGCTTTGTCTGCTGTTCAGAATTGTGACTAGGATCATGGATAACTTTTATGTTGTGGGCTATCGCCAGTCACTCGTATGCCAATCTCTAACAGATCAGATGGACAGGGCTCTCGAAGCGAAGAGTGGAAACTTAATGCCCGACTCCTTCGCTAATTATTGACTCCAAGGCTGCCGAAGCTAAGAATGAGACATTCTGGTCCTCGGGCCGCTCGGCGCCCGTACCGTTGTCGCGACTTCATTCCCCCCGTCACGACCCCACACAGGCGATTAAGGAATAAAAGCCGTGGATTGAGCGAGCCCTGTGTTTCGGGACTGCGGCATTGCCCAGCAGGTATTTCTCAAATCTCTGTCCTACTGAGAAGCGTCAAACAGGGCACACACGTAGTACAGAAGTTTGGCCTCCCTTGATTTCTATTTCTTTTGCCAATTCTTCATTTTCCTTATCTGTCTTCGGGTTGTCTGTCGGAAAGGATTTGAGGGGCCGACTCGTATTCTACAGGTGGCTCTGGGTTCTAATCATTGCGGCTGGTGTGGTGGGCTTTGCACTTGAAATTACTGCACAAGTCGTTTCAGTTCCATTTCTGTCTAGCGCGCCGCGTTATCTGCAGTCGATACTCACGAAATTCTGTCTTGAGAACTCGAAAGAACAGCAAACGGAGGCTATCGGCTATGTTGATTGTAGAAATTCTTATGTGAGCTGTTGGATCCGTTGCGGTCAAATTGATCAATACAATAGTATTCAATTAATGATGATTTTATGTTGATCCTTGCTTCCGGCCCGGTCACCACGACCGGCCACAAGAGCGGTCAGGTGATCAGACCACCTTCTGATTGAGGTTAGGATATCCATCTATTAGAGGTTTCGTAATACAGGGTCGTCTTTCAACATAAACCACAAAAGCTGTTGGCTCCCCTTATCACATTCTGCCCCGCACTAAATACTCCCTTCGTTGCGGTATTATTCTATCACAAGCGAATCTTTTGAGGTTGCAAATAACAGAAGGTTCACAAAGACATTTACGTGTTTTGTCTTGGTTGGGTCTACCTGGCATCATCTTGTTTCCACCTTCGAACCTTATGAGCACCCTGCCACGTACGAGCACACGTCATGTCCTTCGACAAGTCGCAAAGCCCGCCTCAGCCAGCCCCTGTCTTCACGGCAACCCCGAGCTCAATTATTGAGGATACCAGGCGTCTGGTTGAGCGGTCTCGCGAGGTTCAGCATCGTATCTTGGAGAATGTCGAGCCTAAATCCGCCACCTTTTCCAACGCCATTCTGCCTGTGGCCCACTTGGAGAATGCTGCGACTGTAGAAAGCCATGTTCTTCTATTTTATAGGTTTGTCTCGGCCGACCCAGAGCTACGCGAAGCATCAAGAAGGGCTCAGAATATCTGGGACGAATTCTCCGTCGATACGGCAATGAATGAGGGTTTGTTCAAACTGGTCCATGCCGTGCTGGAAAAGCACGAGGAGCTTGACCAAGAATCCCTCAATCTGTTGAAGAAAAAACACAAAAATCAGTGAGTAATGTCTTGCAAAGCAACGCAAGTATTGAAATGTCTCAATATGGCTATTATTAGGTCTCATGTACGTCCAGAAATCGCGGAACATTACTGATCTGAAATCTTCAGTATTAGAAATGGCCTCAATTTGCCCGTCGGACCGTTGCGAGATCGTTTCAAAACGATTCAAAGTCGCTTGAGCCAGCTCTCAACCGAGTTTCGAGAAAACCTGGCCGAAACTGGCGCTGTGTGGTTCTCTCCTGACGAACTTGAAATGGTCCCCGAAAGCGCCTTGTCCAGGTTTGAAACTGGACAGGGCGAGAACCAGGGCAAACTCCGGGTTACGTTTAGGCCCCCCGACTTCTATCCCGTTATAAGGCATGCAAATTCCGAGCAGACTCGACGGCATCTCTTCATTGGGAATGAAAATCAATGTAAAAAGAATGTCCCTGTTTTCAGAGAAGCAGTGATTCTTCGTGACGAAGCTGCTCGGCTACTCGGCTACTCTAACCATGCAGCATTCCGCATCGAAGATAAGATGGCCAAGACACCCGAGACTGTGGATGAGTTTTTGAAAGACCTACATATTCGATTAGAAGAGGGCGGTCGTCAGGAGGTAGGCAGATTGAAGGAACTCAAGAAGAAAGACATCCAATCCCGTGGACAAACCTTTGATGGACGGTTTTACGTTTGGGACACTTCGTATTACCACCGCCTCATGCTTGAGGAGCAATACTCAGTTGATCATCAGAAGATCGCAGAATATTTCCCGGTCGAGACAACTCTTGCCGGCATGTTCAAGATTGTTCAGCATTTGTTTGGTCTGCAGTTCCGTCGACTACATGTCGATGGGATAAATAAATGGCATCCAGATGTTCAGGTATTTAGCGTCTGGGATAGTGAGGAACTTGGAGGAAGCTTTGTCGGCTACTTGTACTTGGACCTCTTTTCCCGTGATGGGAAGATCAGAAATGCGGCAAACTTCAATGTGGTTCCGGTAGGGTCCTTAGCGCATTACACTTCATGTCAAGTTGCAATCTAACAATCTCCACAGGGTTTCGTCAAGGAGGACGGCACACGCCAATACCCTACCACAGCATTAGTCTGCAACTTCCCAAAGCCCTCCTCAGAAAATCCGAGTCTATTAAGGCACGATGAGGTGGTTATCCTTTTTCATGAGCTGGGCCATGCCATACACGACCTAGTAGCAAGGGTCAGCTATGCTTGCTTCCACGGCACTGAGACCGTGGTAGACTTTGGGGAAGCTCCCAGCCAGATGCTTGAATATTGGTGCTGGATCCCTTCTCAGCTGAAGGCCTTAAGTAGGCATTATTCGTATGAGTCCGAGGAGCACTTGGCATTTTGGCGCAACAAAAACAGTGCGCAACATATACCGCCACCTGAGCGAATCCCCGATTATTTGGTTGATAGCCTTGTTAAAGCCAAACTCGTCAATACCGCAATTTCCAACTTGAATCAACTCTCCATTGGCATCTTTGACATGGCCGTCCATACGCCCGACACTCATGCGGCAATCGAGGAGATGAATATTTCTGCGGCATTCAACAAGATTCGAAGCGATATCCTTCCAGCGGATAGCCCTGAAACAGTAGGGCTAGGAGAAGAATGGGGGCATAGCCAAGCGCATTTGACTCATCTGATGGGAGAGTACGATGCAGGATATTACGGGTACTTGTTGTAAGTTACTGCACTTGCCGTGGATGTCTCACACATAAACCTTTTAGGTTACTAATGGTTCGATCGGTCTTTCAGCTCCAAGGTATTCGCAGCTGATATGTTCTACACTGTCTTCAGTGAAAACCCAATGGACAGCGAGGAAGGAATCAGATATCGACATACTCTCCTCGAGAAAGGAGGAAGCCAGGATGAGATGGTAACTCTGACTGAGTTTCTGGGTCGGGAACCTGAGATGAATTCTTTTTATAAGGAGCTTGATTTAGTATAAATAAAAGTGTGTGTAAGAGATATACTCTGAGTTTGTCTAACAAGAGAATTTCTTTTATTAAGTATCTTAAGTTAGAGAGAAGGTAACACAAGAGAAAAGACTTATTCTTTACCGAGCCGAAAGAATACTTAATTCGGTTTAAATCTGGGAAATACAGAAGTTGGTATTTTACTATTATACCTGTGTGGGCAAATATCTCCAATTTAACACATCCACCCCAGGCGAATATATAGGGATAAAACAACGTTAGCTAACTGTATGATATAGAATCCGTGTTGCAGTTGTAACGTTATTAAGCTGATTAGCTGGTGCTGGGCAAGAGAGTACGTGAGATCAGCGGCGTTTAACTTGCCTCCTCTTAAAGCCTAGGCTGGCACCATATCAAGTAAGCGAGTTTATATTTCTCCAATGGAATCATTGCGGACCTCGATGCATATCTTCTATACGAAGGGGCCAATGGAAAATTTATGTTGTTAATTGCCGCTATTGGTCTTGAAGTTGCTTCTGTAGTTAAAACACGGAGCAACATCCCCCGCCGGGTTGTTAATCCCACCCAAGTCTTACATGAGATGCCCGATTTCTCGTATAGAGACTCGGATCCGCAGAGGCGAAGGTTGCAAGAAATGCATGGTACGGCACTATCTAATCTAACTTCTGTCTGCTCCCTCAAGGTGAGCAAGTTGCCGGCACAAGGTCAAAAAAACACAGTTTTATCCACAATTCAAGCATTTGTTACCCAATGCTGCCACGATGACCAAATATCAAGCTTTTTAGCTTGGAAAAGTTAAACCTGTATGAACATATAAGCTGTAGTCGGCTCAAGAAGCGTACGGCACTATCTTGTTAGAATATCGCGCAATGTGGCTTCAAGATAGCCGAGGTGCTTGTCAAGTGAGACTGCCAGTAGGTCTGCCTGACGGCTCGAAATCTCCTCACCGTATGCCATCATTTGCGATTGTGAGGATAGGCAGTCAGTTTCCCCGCGGCGGCCTCCCAGGAACTTGGGCGCGTGTCAACCAAACGCTCAGCGAGATAAAGTCTCCCAGTTGTGGCTGAATGGAGGAGCATCCTTGCAAAAAATGATTAGAGATGAATTGGAAATTGTTCCGACATGACCAGAGTCTGTGGTTGGGTCGCTTAAGGCTTTCTACAAGGGCGGTGTGTAGACTTTTCCCACCTCACTCTTACCTGCTTGGAACCCCCTTCAGTGCTATCCGGGCCTAAGTTGTACTATAAGCTGACGGGCCATGTGAAGCTGACAGGCCATGTGAAGCTGACAGGCCATGTGAACATGTTGAAGCATTTAAAGAGGCGTGCAGCCAGATATCTTCAGCACAGCAAGCCTTCAATCTCACCCTGCTCTTGAGACCTGGCCATACCTCATCTACTTTCTTGTTTCAAACACAGCACCTCTTTCCAATCTCGTCAGACTTGGAGCTTTGGCGCCCTTCAAGCGACGAATTCTCTATCGAGACCAATCTTTCCTAATCGTCATTACCTTGTCGGCCTCGGCGTACACTCCAAACACTCAACATGATGGTCAACTTCGTTCCTCTGGTTCTAGTGATGGGGCTCATGTCCGCTTCTGTTCCAGCAGCAAGGCAGTTCGTTTGTCAACCCGGGGGGGGAGAAGTGACCAAGCCGGACTGCTTCACCGCAATCCAAGCTCTCCTCCTAAGCCAGAAACCGTGCAACGGCAAACTGGTGATAACTACGGGCGGCGTCACGGCAAAGCACGGAACCTGCTGTACGACGCTGTACTTTGATACCACGGGCCATCCCGGGCAAACGTCGGTGGCTCACAGTATCGATTACCTAGGATCGGAGATTGCCAAAGGCATTGCTCGATGCCAGAGGGGTGCTGTTTTCTTTGACAGCGGTGCGGTTCTCGTGCATAACCATGAGCAATGCGGAGGAGGACCCTACGTCGGCAAGCGAGCAGGAGGAGCCAGCATTCCAGCCCGGGCTGGGTCTGTCTCTGTTGAGGATGAAGATGACGTCTCCGAGTTCCAGCGTCGTGAGGCCGAGGGTGAAGAAGGCGTGCTCATTGCATCTCGAGAGACATCCCTCCAAGCACGTGCCGGCATCGACCTCTGCAGTCGAAGGGCACCTACAGGGGCAACAATCGCGGTCGATCTGCTCGATAGTGCCTTCAAACTAGTGCGCACCTCAAGTGGATCTGGAGGCGCAAGGACCTTGACCGCGTCATTCATACAAGGAGTATGGTCAAGTATGTTCCTTCGTTTCAAGGACAACCAAGGCAACGGCAACCACAACCGGCTGCGGTATTACTACAATGGCGACACCTTCTACTACATCATGGTTGCCACGTCCGGGTACTACTGGTCAACGGTGGGGGCAGTCATCGGTGAGCGAGCCATGGACGAGATTTTTCACAAGGTCGTCTCGGATGCCGCCTCCACGGGTTTCGCCTCGATAACCTATTATCTTGTCAATGAGTCTTCAGGGGCTGAGATGGTCAAATTCATGATACAAAATGTAGATTAGATTGTGGGAGAGCGTTATTGATGCATCTCTGCATCCAAGCTTCTGTGTGAATAGGTATGGGTGGAGGAGCAATAGTCGCATGGCTCCTTTTATATGCGTGGTTTGAGCGGGAGTCGACCCTTATCAATCCCCTCTCTTACTCATCGACAGTTAAACAATTCATTAGGATGCCAGCCAACATACATGCACTATAATTGGTTTCTTTTTAACAACGAGATGTCAGGTTACAAACTTGTATTGACACCTTAGTAAACAAGTTCGTTTCTTAGAATCTTATTAGCAGCCTTTAAGAAACCCTTGAATTGGTATCTTTTTAGATATCTCATAATTAATCTGGCAACTCTCGATACTGTTATAGCTGCTATGCGTCCCATAACATATTATCAAATCCCTCCCCCAGCTGCCGCTCCAGCCTTAATCTGCTAGCAACCATTTCAGGGCGAGCTATTGCTTCCGTTGAAAGGATGAGGTTATTAGAGAACAGTTTCCGAACCTCTGTCGTTCTCGTAGGACTCGTGACCCAAACTTTGATAACAGCTTCAGTGCTTCGTTCGTCCGATATCTTCAAGATAGGCATCAAAACCAACCCCAAGTCATACTGAAACCAATCTCGTTCATAGTATACAATGCCGTCAATCATACAGACCAACATAACGTCCTGGATATTAACCTTGGCCTCGCTTTTAAACGCCTCTTTATCCTCCTGCTAGATAGCCATGAAAAACTTGGCCCTGTTGGCCTCGTTCTGGTCGGGTGCTCTTTCGCCTGACGGGATGCTCCGTCCGACCTCGAACCAACTGCTGGCCACGCGGTTCCGGAAAAACCGCTAGCACCGAATACCTGTTCTCCACGGCACTGGAGATATGGCTGCTGCGGATGCCTTGGTAACCCGACCTCATTTCCGTGGATTGACCTATCTATACTTAACTCGGTAATGCCGGTGGATGCGCTGGAACTGACGGGCTACGTACGGGCACTGGTCACATCCCAATCCGTCATTCTTTGGTGGTGGGATAAATGGGATCGGGGTTGTTATTGGTGGTGGTACTGACTATTGCTGTAATTCTTTTTGATTATGAATCATGCCGGGGATGGCTTGGATGATGCTATGGATCTGTCGTGCCTTGCCGTTCGATGTTGCTGTATGCTGTGCTCGTAAATGGGTGATAACTTTATTGGCTACAAATGCCACTTGACACGGCTTGCAAATAACAAACGGGTATTCGGGTAAATAAACAAATGGCTTTATGATGATGGCAATGTTGATTATGTGTTATTGTCTTCGAATGGCTTTACAATCCCCCCCCATTCCATATGGATGTTTTTTTTGCTTTTTCTGGAGTTACGGGGCAACGGATGATCCTTGGTCTATACTAACGTTTTCTTTTACCATACCTTCTCCTTCCTATGGCTATCGGCTTCTTCTCTATTTGGACTTACAAATGATGATTCTCCTGCTATTGCTATTACAATCGCCACCCTCGCCTTATTGCCCTCGGTTTTTCTCTGCTGCTACCTTCGCCCTTCACACATCTCGGTCTTCTGCTGCTGCCGTCTTTACTGCTGCCTTCAGCCTGAACCTACGTCTCTGTTGTTTTCACCCTGCCGCTGGAAAGCTGGTTATCTTCTTCTTTGTTTCTCTGTATTCTATTTATGTGTTGATTCTATCTGGGGACCTTATTGTCGGGCTTTAATGGGGACTGTGGTGCTTCTGCTGGTTACTCTACGCTGTCTGCCATCCTGCTGGATATTTATCGGGCCCATAAAATGTCTTCTCATGCCCAATCAATAACAATTCCTCTTAACCTTAAATCGGCCTCGATCAATCCGACTGAAAACTTCAACCCCGTCGCACTCCTTCAAATTGGGGTTTCTGCTCTTATAATTAAATGGGTGATATGTCCTTGGAGTTATCTGTCAATGCATACCCATTTTACTCATTTTAATGGATGAAATCTAAATCAACTCTACCCCTTGCAATTAATAGCGCGACTACTATACCTTAGCCGACTCAAACTAGCAGCTGAATGTAGAGTAAAATTACTCGGCATAGACTCTAGGCATATAATAGAGTCTTTTGATGCATTCTACCAATAGATCAATAGATTTTTATTCGTTGTGGCCTCTATATTCATCTTGCAAGTTGTTAACCTTATCGTCGACTCTGTATCTTATAACCAATTAGAATTTTACAGTTAAAACTAAACTGTATTTAATTTTTACAGTTAAAACTAAATGTTGGACTGACCCTCGGTGCCGGACTAGGGGCCCGGATAAGACCGAATCCCTGATACATCAATATCTTGTCTTAGTCATGAGGGGGGTGTGAGATTGACCAAAAAACCCCTCACCGGAAACAGGGCCCTGGAAGCAGGTTAGATCCTACAAGAACAGACATCAATATCATCGTCTTTAGGCTCCACTATCGTCTTAATCATTATTGCCCTAATTGACTTACCCGTACCGGATCCAACACTAAACTATATTTGATTTTTCCAGTTAAAGCTAAATTAAATTAAGAATAGTATAGCTTCAGTAAGTACCTAAACCTCTTTTAGTTCTTATATTGCTTTTAAAGCTAATCAGGATATTACTAGGTTGCCCCTGGATGTATAATCTATTTAAGTGTATATTATATAATCTGAGTTTTATAAGGGGGTCGCATCTGGTTTTATATAGAGAGGGGCTCGTCTTGATGACTGGAATAGCTTTTGCAGTCTCCTTAATAAATTGCTGAAGCCTCGTATATTCGATTACAACTACCTAAAGATCCCTCTTCTAGTTCCGCTTTCATTATATCATAGACAACACCGATCCTAACCGCTAATCCGCTGTTATCCTACGAACGGAAAGTCCATAGGATGACCCGAGTCCATAGGATGCCTGCTTTCTAGCCAATCAGAGAAAGGAGAGAGGAGGGGGGGGGGCTACAGGCGGCTTCTATTCTATTCTTTCCTTTCTTCCTTCCTTCCCCCTTTTCTCCCCTCCCCCCTCCCCCCGCACTCTCTCTCTCTCTCTTTCTCTTACTCTCTCTTACTCTTTTTCCCTCTTCTTAGTTGGAGAAAGTATAGAAATGGATCTGGCGGATAAAAAAGGGAAAGAAGAGGAGGCGCTACATAGTTCTGTTCCTGAGCGAGAAGATATCCTAGCGCACAGGTGACATATTAGGTGGAGCCGTGACCTTGCATAGAAAAAAGCCAACAGCAAGTAAAAAGGGTCATCTATCTGCTCAGGCATATTCAATTCAGTAGCCTATCTTAAGCAATTGCTATTCTTGGGCTAGGGGCTAAGAAATGGGTTTCAGATTGTATGCACAAAGCCAGGGAGCTGGAAACTCTACCTAGTCGCTTAGGGCAGAATGACCCTTGCTCCTAAGACAAACCTCGCTGCTAGTATACGCCATATTAGCTGTCCGGCCATTGGTATGTGGCATCTGAGGGGCTCATATTCCATTCCCCGCAATAAAGCATCTTTTTTTGATTCGAGTATATAACTCTGGCCTCCGCTTTCTATTACTTGCCCTTTCCCACTTATCCACCCTGCTTGCTAAGAGTCAATCTCTCTGTATATTTTAGCGTGTATCTTTACTGTAGCAGGGCTAGCTTTTCTTACTAGTACTATATTTGGAGGTTGGTTTCCGGTTGTTGGGAGTATACTTATCTTATTATCGGCTATCTGCTATCGATTGTGGATAGTTTGGGAATAGGCGAGGTTTATTTCAGACACCTTATAAAAGAAAACCCAGCTCCTTTTCTATCTTATAGTTTATATTCTAGTATTTAGTACCAGTATTCCAGTAATATTACTAGAATTAAGAGTTAATAGATTATTGGTAAGAATATTAGATTAAAGTAATATTTTAAGCTAACTAAAAAAATTCTCTCTAATATAGCTTATTTATATATACTAATCCAGTCTTTAAAAATAGTTGCAATATAATAAAAAAACTAGGCAGAGGTTGGATGAAGGTTTATTAACTAATTTTTGCCTGCGAGATCTAACCGTTTCAGCCTAGCAATATAAATTAGTAGAATTTAGAAATATTTCGCTTCCTAAATATAAATCCTGGCTATTGTGAACATACTTTTCCCAAGTATAGGAGTTTAAAGTCAGGGTCCGCCTTCAGGCCTTATATAGACCCTTGCTGTCCGTCCTTTATATTAAATACAGGTGTCGGGGCCATTCACTCCAAAAGCTTCATAGCCGGGAAGGGAAGAGTGGGGGAAACTCGATTAGATCTTCAAGGGGGCTAAGAGGGTCGTCGCACAGGATAACCAAGAAGCATGCGAGGAAGCCAAGAAAGCGGGAACAGGTGTGTAGTGCTAAGCGGATGACCTATTATTCTAATCTTTTGAGGACATGTTGGTCACCTGTAATGAGAAAGAGGTCGAGATAATTCATATCCGATATGCAAGCTTCTTGGACTGCCTCTGAGCGAACGTCTCCTCGGACGGAGGCGATACGGTGACCGGTCTACGCCCTTGAGGTTGTGGGCTTGTACGCAGAGGAGTTGGCTGGCGGCGACCCTTCGTTGTCTGGAATAGAGCGCAACGTAATTTCAAAATCCTCTGGAGGGTTGTCCAAGGCCAATGGCCCATGCGCCCTCGCGTTCACTCGAGCCGTTGTGCGAGTCCCGATCCGGGTTGATGTTCGCCGCTTGCCAGACTCTGTGACGCCCGGGTCATGGCATGGTAGGCGGACGCTAAAGGGCACCGGGTGATTGCGGACGGCGGTACTGATAAGCCCCAACGAGCCGGCTCGCGAGGGTGTCCAGCACGTCTGGGCGAATTGATACCTTCTACCTGCGACGACGGCGTTGTATTCAGTACGGGATTGATGGCCCTAGTGACCAAGACGGTTGGTTTTATTTGATTATGGACGAGGAGGACTGGGAATTCGCGGTGGCGGTTTGACCAGCCGGGATCTCAATCTTGCGTGCTTGTTGTGGCTGCGGCTGCGGCTGCGGCTGCGAGCTTGAGCGTGGTCTGTGCTCATTGGGTACGATGAAGAGGCCGGAATTGGTCCAGTGAAATGTGGATATTAGGGTTGATGAAGGTGGGAAATTGATGATGATGACATGGTCATTAAATGATTTTTTGTCTGAACTAAGGTTGAGACGGCGGTGGTGGATTTCGGTGAGATTGCCCACGCTGCCGCCCAAAAATACTAATTTTGTTTTTCCCCGCCTGATTATGAATAGTTATGTATAAACCCGTTTGACCTAATGCTAAAGACCCTAAACACCAATACCACGGAGACTGGCCTAGTCGTAAAACATCATAGAAGCACAAGGCTCGTAGGAGATGTGTTTTGTTCCTTGATGCTGCGCCGTCGGGCAGCAGAGAAACCCCGACGGAGACGGTTGCGTGTCACGGTTGGCTTCACGGGTGATGACGGATTCGATATTGGTGACATGGGAATGATGGGTTTGTTTGGGGTGCCCGCTTTGCCGACTTCGTACAGCGGGGTTCCAAAAGTCTTGCAACAGCCCCACTTACACCACCACCCTCACCGGAACGCATGCAATAAAGATACCAATTAAACAGGCCACAGACTAGCTGTAATAAAAGTAACTATATTTTTGGATTCCTTAGAGGCGTGGCTTTAATATTTTATATACCAACCTCTAGCTTTATGGCAAGCTTCTACCCTATGTAGCATTAACTCTAGCAAGCCCCGAATAAAGTCTTAAGGGATAGCTTCTTATGCTGCTTTTAAGTATACTTTAAATTTAGTAATATTGGCTGTATTTTTCTTTAATTTAGAGATTTAAGGGAATATTCTATAGAAATTTCTTTTTAATTTAGCTTAAATATATTCTATAGAATTTAGATTAAGGCTATAAAATAGCTAGTTAATAAAAGAGATTTTATATTTAAGTAAAAAGCTTATTAAGATTTTTAATATATAAATTTTAATATTATTTTACTAAAAATACTAGATATTATTATAATTAAAAAGAAATTTAAAAGTTAAAATTTTAATATAATTATTTAATAAGAAATTTTTATATTTAAAGGCTATATTTTAAGTTATAATAACTAGCTTATTTTAGCTTTTTTTATATATTATATTTTATATTATTATTATTATATTATTCTTATTATAAATTATTTTATTAATAAATTTTAAGTTATAAATTTTATAGATAAATTTTTAAATTTAAATATTTAAATTAATATTACTATTTATAGTAAAATATTTATTAAAAAAGATAATTTAAGAGATATAAATAATAGATATAATAGTAAATAAAAATATCTTAAATACTTAATTATATCTTATTTAATTTTTTTTTTTTAATTATATATAAATTAAAACTATTAAGCTATATTTTCTTTTTATAAAAAGATTCTTTTTTTAGCTTACTATTTATATAAATTAACCTTATTTAAAGTTTAATATATAATTATTATATTTACTTTAAAATTTAAATTATCTACTAAATCTTTTCTTAAGATATCTTTATTTTATTATATAGTATAAATAATAGCTCTTTTTATCTAAAATATTAAGCCTAGAGAATACCTAGACTAAAAACTAGAATTAATTAATATAATTATCTTAAGCTATTAAAATAAATAACTAATTATAGCTATTATAACTTTAAAATATATTATAACTATACTTTTTTTTTCTCTAGCTTATATAGCCGCAATAATAGCTGCATAAAGCTCGGGGCTAGTTTATTATTTTCCTTGGCAATTTCCGGATATTATAGTCCCAAAAGATCGTAAATTGAACGTCATAGTAAAAAGTTGTGAGATGTTGAAGATGAAGGAGCAAAAAACGCGGTTCGGATCCTTGACGCTGGTCGCGAAAAAGTCGCGTGGCGTTGCAAGACTTTTGGAACCCCACTGTAATCTCCTGGTAGGTAGCGGGTCCCTTAGGGACCGCAGCCACTAAAAATTCAATCTGAATCCACCTATCCGTGGCAGATGGAGCGGCTTTCACATGCCACGGCGGCTTTATTTTTATCGATTCCGATGACCGGATGACGCTGACGATGTGATGGCCTTGCTTGCTTTTCAGCTTATACTTACCCATTCATTTTCAGGTATTTATTTGCTCAACCTCGTTTATTTTACCCCGAGACTACATATTATCCGTATGTCCTGCTACTATCTTCTGGTATTGCCACAGAGCCGGCCCGATATACCTGCTCTACTCCCCGCAAATCAAACTCCGGGGCCCCCTAAAGCTAAGAGATGCTCTTACGCGGGGAACTCACGAGATGGGGATGATCAAGATGGGTAGCACACAGTGGTCTGATGCCTTCCACGGCTAACTGGTAGCGTGACCCAGTGTTTGCCTGCGCGTTATAATAGAAGGACTATCTGCTCGTGAAGAAATGTTAGGGACTGTGTTCCCCCCCTTTTACGCTGGAGATGAGTGGGTTGTCCGTCTGTATCACCAGGCGTTAGGGTATATTAGCTTAAACGGTAGCGAGAGGCAGCAAAATCGAAGATGGATTGAGATAGCAACCGAGATACTTGACGAGACGATCAAATAAGGCCGTCTGTCATGGTTGTCTATCAGGTCCCTGGAAAACCCCATAGCTCACCCTGCCCATCGGTACCACCAGCTCAGGCCAGAGGATGACTTATCCCAGACGGCCGGACGATCAGAGGTTGATGAGCCACAGTGGACCCGGCGATGCTCGCAGGTGGGATGCGCAAGAGGAGACACGCCAACGGAACGGAATCCGCGACAAGTTAGAACAGCGTCACTCATTGGTGGCCATGCTTTGCTGATCGAGATCGCGCTCCTCTCTGATGGGACCGAACCAAGAGATGTCGTGCGTCCACGTCAAACCAAAACCGGCTTCTGCAGCAACAGGATTCCCTTCGGATGGGATCTAGCTATCATGTCATGTCATTTTAATTCGTGTGATGTCATCTACGAGAATTGGAATCCACGAGGAATATCGAGCGGGCCAAAGTTGCTCAAGACCACATAGGTGAAATTCCAGGTTCCAGGTTTCCATAGTGGTTATTTCGGGATCCACCGTCGCAGCATCGCACCAAACCCGATCAAAGGGGCATTCCGTAATAAACACACACAGCCTCTTCCTCTTCGCAGGGGAAACCGTAGATAATTAACAACACATCGACAGTGAGGTATCAAGCAACAAGCCTCTACGATAAGAAGCCTAGAGCCAGATCCAGATCCCCTTGAGAGTTGGGACTGGAGAAACGAGCAGCTATTCCGGGGAGCTGAGGATCGGAAATTGGGGGTTATCAGGACTTACAAGACGTCTCCGAAACAACCGGGCGCCTCCAGTAGATGTTGCGCCAGCGGGCACGCCCCTAGAGAGTGAGGAAGACCCGCTGAGCCGGATGTCCCAAAGCCTCGCAAGATGGATGGGAACTATTGAGGAGGACGAAAGGGACGCCCAGGGGCAAGTCGCCCGGAAATATCCGTACTAACACAACCCGCCAGCCAACGCACCTCCCATCCCCTGACGTGGAAGATATCTATATCTATATTACATCGCCATGCCCTCCTCCAGCTGACCTTCTAGCCAGTACTACAGCTCTTCTTCGTCTTAGTCTTCCATCTCCTCCGACTCAGACATTATATCCGACTCCGCCTCTGCCGCCGGCTATAGATACAGCATGGACTCAGTACAACTCCCCATCGCCTCCATCGAGGCGCTTCGCTGCATGCGATGCGCCCGCTCCGTCGAGGTCACATCCACCGACGACATCAGCGCCATGGGCATAGTCCGTATCGCCCACAACCTCTACTACTGCAAGCGCTGCGCCAAGATGGTGGGATACAAATAAAGAGGTGGCTCCGATGGGCCCTCCTTTGAAGTTGACGAGACCCACGCCTTCTCAAGACGTATGAGCCGCGCCGAGCCCTTCCCGGAAATCTCAACTATCCGCGGCGATTTCGATTCAAGACGGACATTATCCAGCTTCGCGCCTTTGGGTCCGACCAGAGTTGCCCTCCGAGACCGCCGTCGTCCACACCATCCCTCCTCGCCACTGTATTCTAGCGCTACTCAGGTACTGCTCGGGAAAGCCACCAGCAATAGGTCAGACAAGCTGGCTGTGCTCTGCAGGAGGTTTTCGGGGGCGGGGGGGGGAAGAAACATAACTTTCCTGGACGGCCGTTATAGGGAGTTTCGGGACACCTGCGGTCGGAAATGGACCCTGAGGTGAAGTTTACTCGCTAGTCATATGCAGCTCTTCAAACTCCTTTGGGAACTCCTTCCCCTCAATCCACGCCCTGATCCCAAGGGCAAATAGCTCTGGGAACTGCAGATTCCATGCATGAACAGCATTTCTCACCACAATAACCCAACACTCTTCACTCCCGCACTCTCGCAATAAAGGACCCATCTTCCGCGTCGCTTCAATGTCGTCATTAAGACTAGCAGCAATGACTGCTATCCGGACATTGACCTCTGTCACAACTATCATCAGACCACATCGCCGGCCCTGTGACCGCGATCCCGGTCCCTAGGACCCACAGGGCCCCGGCCCCTGTGCGGCGGCGACGGACTGCCGCCTCCGGCAGCAGCCGTCTTCATCATGTATAAAAGACGGGCTTTAGGCCCGTCCCTTAGCTAGAAATCAAGAGCTTCTATTCACATCACAATGCACCCTTCCTGTCAGATGCAACAGTTATGAGCCCGGTTTGCCCATAGCTGAAGCGGACGATATTCTTTGATCAAGCTGTCGTCTCAGAGCCTTACAAGCTGTCTCATCAGACCCCTTACAAGCTGTCTCACTAGACTCTTATCAACCCTATCTCCCTTCCTAGCCTAGGCTTGCAATCTAGCTTCTTCAAGCTAGCCCTTCCAACTAGGTTATTAACTTCCACTGTTGCTTGCAGTCATCTATCGCGATGGGCGCTGCTGATACGGAAGCCTCTTCCTGGGCCAAGCTCAATGGGCCCAGTGACTGGAAACACTGGATCGCCGGTATCCGGAAATCAGCTACTACAAAGGACGTCTGGGACCTTATTGACCCCTTTAAGGAAAATAAGGAACCCCTAGTCCGGCCGGTCTTTCCAACAGCTGCAGACATCAAGCCTGATGCAACTAGGCTGTCTGAGCTAACTCCAGAGCAAAGGATTGACCTCAATGGCCTCGAAAAACAGTATCTCGAAGACGTTCGGATCTACGAAAAACGCCAAAAGGCCCTATCCTCTATCCAAGACCGGATCATCCTGACTGTCGGCAACTACCGAGATGTCATCGACGACGAAGATGACGTTGCAAAGGAACTAGCCCTCCTACGAGCCCGGATCCAGCCAGCTACCTGGTTCCATGAAAGAGAAGTCCTTGACCGCTATCGAACAGCCCTCAAAGGGCCTAGCCGGACTAAGACTAAGGATTGGGTCACAAGCTGGCAGAAGGTCCTCACAGAAGCCCGCAACCTAGGCCTTCCTGACACTAAGGGTCTCAGACCAACCCTAGATTTCCTAGAGGCTGTCAGACCTATAGACCTAACCTTTGCCGATATCTGGATGAACAAGATCCAATATAAGGCATCAAAGGGCAAGGCAGACTGGGAAGCGAAGATCCCGGACGGTATTGAGATCAGCGAGCTATTCGAAAAACAGGCTGCAGAGACGAAGGCACCGAGAGGGTCCTTTTCCACCTTCCAGCAATCCGGGTCTTCTAAGTCAGCCGGATCCAACGGGCCCAAGGGACCAAAGACCCCCTGCCTCTGCGGCAAACTGCATTTCTATTCAAAATGCCATTATTTAGTTGCTTCTATCCGCCCGGCCGGATGGAAGCCCAACCCAGACATCGAATTCCAGATCAATCAACAGCTCGAAGACCCTGCCACGAGACAGCGGGTAGATCGAGCCCTTCAGAAACTGAAGCCTAGGGACACCCAGCCAGAGGCCCCTAGGATCACTACAGACAACAGGGATGAAGGCCGCATCAAGGGCAGCTCCTTTGCCAGCCTTTCCCTTCGGACCACACAGCCGCCGGACCAACAGCTTGGTCACAGGCTAGGTCATCAGACCACACAGCCGCCGGACCAACAGCTAGGTCAGCAGCTAGGTCAGCAGCAAGATCAGCAGCCGGAACAACAGCCGGCTCCAACGATCCTATCTACGGCTTCCATCACAGCCGTTCCAGCGAGGGTTTATCCGCTCAGGGACTCCTTTATCCTTGATTCCGGGTCAGATACACACATCTGCAACAACCTCTCACGCTTTTCATCCTATCAGCCCTCTAGGGACCCCGAGCCTATCTTTGCAGGCGGATCCGAAATGCAAATCCTAGGTTACGGTCAGGTCAATCTACGGCTTGAAGATGGGCTCTTCCAGCTCAGACAGGCAGCCTATATCCCGGGTTTTCACACGAACGTTGTCTCGCTAGACCTCATGATTCTAGCCGGGTACAACTGGAACCCGAAAACAGGGGCCGTCTTCCGAGGGATAGAGACTATCTTCTATACCCGACGTCATCATCGCCAACAAGTCATCGAATTCAACGAGGTCAGACCAACAGCCCTAACCACAGCAGCTGCTGCAGCCTCTGCCGATCAAGACGAACCAACAGGCCTGCTAGCAACAGCCGCAGCCTCCTCTAAAGACCCTAGGGCACCTCAAGCAGCCGATGCCAACCTTTGGCACCAACGCCTAGGTCATCTGAACGCCCGGGCTTTAGAACACCTAGCAGAACAGACCTTAGGGGTCCGGATCAAGGGACCTATCGTAACAGACTGCGAAGCCTGCTCCCTAGCCAAGGCTTGCAGACAGGTCTCCAGACGAAGCCCGCAGACAAGGGCTCCGAGACCCTATTGGAGGGTCTACATCGACCTCTTCAGCTTCCACACAAGCTACAACGGAAAACGGGCTGCCTTGCTGATCAAGGACGAATACACAGGCCTAATCCACATCTATCTTCTATCCGATCAGACACAGGATTCAGTCCTAGGGGCTCTACAGGCCTTTGTATCCTACATCCGGACACAATACGGGCTCCGGGTCTGCCGGATCCATAGGGACAATGACAGGGCCCTAGGCATCCGGACGGTCAATTGGATAAACAACGAAGGGATCGAGGACGAACCCTCGAGCCCTCATAACCCGGCTCAGAACGGCCCTGCCGAACGATCTGGGGGGGTAATAGCTCCTAAGAACAGATCAATGTTACTAGGGTCTAACCTACCGCCCGACCTTTGGACCGAGGGTTGGAAAACAGCTGTCTTTCTATACAACAGATCGCCTCAACAGGCCCGAGACTGGAAGACCCCCTTAGGGCTGCTAATTTCCTGGCTTCAAGACCAAGGAAAGGATACCGGATTCGTCTCCAGACAGCCGGATCTATCACACCTTAGGGCCTTCGGCTGCCGGGCCTATCCGATGACCACGGAAGCTTTGAAGGGCACCCAAAAACGGGACCTAAAGACAGCAGCCCATGCAGAAATCGGCTACCTGGTTGGATACGATTCGAACAACATCTTCAGGATCTGGATCCCGGAAAGGTCAGAGGTCCGGAGGGTCAGAGACGTTACATTCGACGAGAAAACCTTCTATGACCCTAGGAACCACCCAATCCCTCAGCCAATTCAACAGCCTAGAGTGCAGCTGCTGCTTCCAGCCCACATTGACAGCGACAGCGATGAAGACCAGGAAATCAGGTCAACGATCGAGGTAGCCCTCGATGACCCTGATCAGCACGAACAGCCCGATCAACATGACCCTGATAGGTCAGACGGGCCCGAAGACACGGATCCGGACGACGCTACGGACCGTACCGACCACACACCCGATCCAGCTAATCCGGACAGCCCGGGCAGCGCGGATCCGGAAGATCTAGCGTTCCAAGACCTAGATCTCAACGAGCAGGAAGACAAGGACCCTGACTATAACGAAGATCCCTATCTTCCGACCCCACGGACAACGGCATCGCCAACCGATAGCCCGGATCCTCAATTTTCAACGCCGCCGGAACAGCCCGGCAGCCCGACTAGCAGTCAACCTAGCCCGGAGCCGACACAGACGTCAGAGCCGGCTAGACAAGGGCGCCCACGAGGACCGCGAAGACCGTGGCCTGCCGCATCTCGAGCCTCAGACCGTATCAGGGGCCGAGGAGCCTTTCCAAGCCTAGCAGCCGGCTCAGCAGCCGAGCCAGCTATCGATACGATCCAAAAGGCTAGCTTTTTCAGCAGCTTCTTCAACGGAAGAGAAGAAAAGCTCCACAGACGGAACCTTCCGCCGGAACCTAGGACCTTCAGAGAGCTAGAAAATCATCCCTTTAGCCGCCAATTCAAGCAGGCTTGCGAGATCCAGATGAGAGACCTGTGGGGTCAAGGGACTTTTGAGGCTATTCTATCCGAACAGGCCAAAAAGACCCCTATCCCGACGACCTGGGTCTTCAAATACAAGACGGATAAGCATGGGTTCCTTACGAAATTCAAGGCCCGGCTCTGTGTCCGAGGAGATCTTCAGCCTCTTGATGATAAAGAGACCTATGCAGCAACCTTAGCAGGAAGGTCCTTCCGGGTCCTCATGGCAATAGCAGCTAAATTCCAGCTAGAGGCTAGGCAGCTAGATGCAGTCAACGCCTTCACCAACAGCCTGCTAGACGAAGAGGTCTATATCCGCTGCCCGGATGGATTCAAACGGCACGGATGGAGCCTACGGCTACGAAAAGCCCTATACGGGCTGCGCAGATCGCCCTTACTGTGGCAACAAGACCTCCTTCAGACCTTCCAGCAGCTAGGTCTGCAACAGTGTGCAGAAGACCCTTGTATCTGCAATAACAGCTGGCTGACTGTCTTTTTCTTCGTTGATGATATCGTCTTGCTGTATCGCATGAAGGATCAGCTAGCTGCTGAGACTCTGGTCAATAGGCTCAAGCAGCGGTATCAGATGCAAGACCTAGGGGACCTTTCCTGGTTCCTAGGCATCCGAATTCTAAGGGATAAGCTGGCTAAGAAGCTATGGCTCTGTCAGGATTCATACATCGAGAAGACAGCAGCCCGCTTTAAGGTCAAGCTAGCTGACGATTTCAAAGGAAACCCCCTGCCGGCCAACGACCTACAGAAAAACCCATATCAAGCCCGGCAGGACCAGGTGATCCTATTCCAACAGAAAGTCGGGTCTATCAACTATATCGCAGTCATCAGCCGGCCTGACATAGCTAAGGCCGCAGCCCGGCTAGCAGAACACTTACTCAATCCAACGGAAGACTATCACCAGATCGCAGATAGGGTCATCAGCTATCTCTACGCAACCCGATATCTAGCTATCCAATTCAGCGGCCAAAGCCCTAATCCACCGATCATTCAAATCGCAATTCCAACGGCCAGATCAACAGCCGGACCGGCAGCCGCCCCGGGCCCGGCCAATCAGACAGATCAGGACCTCGAATTCCTAGTTGCGTCAGACGCAGCCTTCGCAGACGACCCGAAGACCCGGAAATCGTCCCAAGGGATGATAATGACCCTATTCGGCGGACCTATCAGCTGGAAAGCCGGAAAACAGGATACAGTCACAACTTCATCTACGGAAGCCGAGCTCCTTGCCTTCACACACACAGCTAAGGAAGCCCTAGCTACCCAACGGCTATTCCAACAGCTAGACCTTCAGCTAGACCAACAGCTAGTCATTCAATGCGACAACCAACAGACGATCCGGCTCATCACCCTGCAGATGCCGCGGATTCGAACAGCTCTACGGCATGTTGATATCCACAGCTGTTGGGCCCGACAGTCCTATCTCAATGGATTGTTTCAAGTCTCATACACAAAAACAGCAGAGATGCTAGCAGACGGTCTGACCAAGCCCCTGCCTGGTCAGAAATTTGAACTCTTCGTCAGACAGCTAGGACTTATTGATATCAGGAGCCTAATCGAGGCACAGATTGAGACAGACGACGAGGGCTAGCAGAGCCCGATTTCCTTCTATCAATCTTTTCCTTCAATTTCCTATCCCTATTTTCCTAGCCTATATAACAACCGTCCTTCCAACAAAGGCCATTTTCCTACATTTCCTATCTATTCAGCTTGAATCCCCATTCAACCTGGGGGGGTATGTCACAACTATCATCAGACCACATCGCCGGCCCTGTGACCGCGATCCCGGTCCCTAGGACCCACAGGGCCCCGGCCCCTGTGCGGCGGCGACGGACTGCCGCCTCCGGCAGCAGCCGTCTTCATCATGTATAAAAGACGGGCTTTAGGCCCGTCCCTTAGCTAGAAATCAAGAGCTTCTATTCACATCACAATGCACCCTTCCTGTCAGATGCAACAAGTGTGATTAACAACGACGATCGCGCACAAGAGTTCGCGCCGAAATTTCGAGAGGTTCTTGCCATCACGCCAGCGCCAACGCCATCCCCGCACTTCACATTGCCCGCAGCCCAGGCTTCCCAAGGAAATAGACCGGTGCTCCACGACCACGATGCTAGCCCTTCGGCCGCAGGGAAACGAAGTGCTTCCGGAGACGAAGGTCATTCTGATAATCCCAGAGCACCGAAGGTATTCGTGTATCCCGTGGATTTACTAGCACAGTGTGCTTGCAGTATTCGCACTGCTTTCTATTTACCTTAAAATACCGTTCACTTAAGACCCCGAGCGCCTATGTTTCTAGAAATGTGAGATAAGATAATATTTGAGTGTATGGTGACGTCTATAGCGGACTTTCCTAATTACTACGAAAGAAAAAATTGGGGGGAATGATGATGCTTTTATATCATGTAGGCGGGCTGGAAGCTGATCATGCGGGGGTGATTCGTAAATTAAAGCGTCGCTGAAGTATGCATGGGAAGCTAGCTGTATGGGAGCATTGCATGAACTGATGCTTAGTTTAGGCCAACTGGGGTTTTGCGTGTACGGCAATTCGCGAGTGCAACCTCTGGTGGCGGGCCCGAAAACCCTGGGTGGTTCAGCGTACGCGCAGCCTTGCCCAATCAATATTTCCCGCGAGGGTTGAAGCGCGTGCGAGTGCACGTGAGCAGCAATCTGCCTTCGCCACATATAGCCGGAATGGAAACAGTCAGTTAGATGGATCGGCCCTCGATAAGTTGCGGGAGCATCCATATTGGGGCACCAAGTTGAAAACGCCTCGGCTTCCAAATGAGAACACAAATTAGGATGGGCGCGATTCTCTCACGCGGGCAGTGCGTGCTCTCACCAAGGAAAGGGTTAAGCTCTTAGTCCAGCTTGTCAGCGCCTCCGAGTGCAAGAAATGGGGAGATTGGGAGCTCGCGTTCTGGCATACCGACTTTCGCAAAGGAAGGAACCAATGACGTATGGCCTCTAAAAAGCGTCAATCGCTCGTCTTTCGAGATGAGAGCGGGGGGGTTCCCACAGCCTACCACCTAGTTGACCAGTGTTGTGGCAGATTCTACTATTACTTTAAAGCTGAGAGCTGATACTTGGTTAATATATTTGTCCGCCACTCTGAACTATGTGTCTTCCCCTTCAACATATTATTGGGTTGTGGGTTGGAAGGTCGCGGAGCGGGCATGATATGAGGGAGACAAGGACGAGCAGGCGATTGAGAAGGCTGTTTTTGACGCGGCTTAATGAATCTCGGCGGGCGAAAGAGCTATCCTCGCGTGTTGACAGGCCCGTGGTGTTGTCGACGGCTGTTCAGCTGCGGGGTCATCCAAAGATGGGCTGCGCCAACAACTATCCTAGCAGGCGAGGCTGCACTTTGCTATTTACCTCTCGCCATCCACTCTACCACGCTCACACTTGCGAATGTCTTGTCGCTCGCAGAGATTTATGCACTCATAGTGGCGGTGGTGACGATGGACGCATCCACCCAGTTTCATGGGTCGGTCAACGGTCAATACACCATCGCGGCCCCACACGCGTCCCACGGCGGATCGAACAACTTCTACTTCAACGGACCCGACACACCGTCGCCGGCTCCTAAACCCTACCGCGTCATCCCCTTCCCCCGCAACGAGGATGTCGTCCGTCGGTCGGACCTCTTCGCCAAGCTCGACGCACTCCTTCCATCGACGCCGAAATATGGCAGCGCCGCCCTCTGGGGTCTTGGTGGGTCGGGGTAGGTGATCCCCTCCCGTCGCTCTGACGCGCCGCCGCTCCGATGCCCCGCTAACCAGCGTAGCAAAACCCAGATCGCGCTCGAGTACGCGTACCGCCGATGCAGCGACCCTGCCTGCTCCGTCTTCTGGGTCCACGCCGATAACGAGACGACGCTCGCGCACGACTACAAGACGATCGCGAGGAAGCTCGGCCTGGACAGCAAGCTCGATGGTGAAGATCTGTTCGTGGTCGTGCGCGAGCGCATCGAGTCAGAGCCGCGATGGTTGCTCGTCCTTGACAACGCCGACGACCTGGCGCTCTTTGGCGTCGGCCAGACGTCAGACAAGTCAGCAAGCCTGTTGGACTACGTCCCGCGAGGTCCTACGGGAATGGTCCTCTGGACGAGCCGCGATGAACGGATCGCTGGCACCCTTGTTGGACCGCGGCGAGGCATCGGGGTCGCCCGTATGACAGTCGACGAGGCAAAGGTGCTGCTCGAGACGGCGAGAAACGAAAGGACCAGGAGCGAAGAGCTCGAGGATGCCACGGCTTTGCTCGAGGAGCTTCAGTGGCTCCCCCTGGCTATCTCTCAAGCAGGAGCGTATATGCGGCGGACGTCGACACCTATCAAGGAGTACTTGTCGAGACTGGTCGAGGGAAAAGAGCGATGGCGCATCCTGAAAGAGACAGAATTCGACAGACACCGACGACTCGATATACCTAATAGCATCCTGGAAACGTGGCATATCTCGATCGATCGTATTCGGCAGGAGAACGAGATAGCATACAAGACCTTGCATATTATCGCGTATCTCGATAACCAGAATATCCCGTTGGAGGTAATAGCGGCGGCTGCTATATTTAGCAATAATAGGCAGAAGGGAGGACTGCCTGAGAACGAGCAGCAGGTGGATAGAGCTATTATTCGGCTCAAGGAGTTCTCATTTATTACTGCACACAGAACAGAAGAGGGTAAACGGAGCTTTGAAATGCACAAGCTTGTGCAGGAGGCTACTCGGTATGGCCTCAACTCAAGGAGGCTCTTAGAAAGAAAGCCAACGAAGCCAAAGTCGAGACTACGGGAGATAATAGGAATATCTTTCCGAAAGCAGCGTGATGCCAAGAAGGGTGGCTGGGAGGATGGAGCCGAAGTATACTTCTCAAATGCTGCACTACAGGTCATTACAAAGCTCTTCCCTGAACGCAAGCGAGAGATGTGGGCACAATGCGAGACGTTCTTGACGCATGCGGTGCGGGTGAGCGATTGGGCGGAGCTGTGTGGGAGGGAAGTTGAAGTAACTAACCTTCTAACTCGAGTTTCGGACTATCTATTCGACCGCGGAAGGTGGAGAGAGAAGGAGCGGGTGGATGTGAGGGCGTTTGCGCTGCGACGGGGGGTGCTCGGGGAGAAGCATCCAGATACAATTCGGAGCATGGGGGAGCTCGCGACGACATACCATGCGCAGGGCCGGTATGACGAAGCCGAGGAGATCTCGGTCAAGGTATTGGAGCTACGGCGGGAGGTTCTCGGAGAGAAGCATCCAGATACAATCGAGAGCATGGGGTCACTCGCGACGACATACCATGCGCAGGGCCGGTACGACGAGGACGAGGAGATCTCGGTCAAGGTGTTGGAGCTACAGCGGGCGGTACTCGGGGAGAAGCATCCGGATACAATCCGGAGCATGGGGTCACTCGCAGCGACATACCATACACAGGGCCGGTACGACGAGGACGAGGAGATCTCGGTCAAGGTGTTGGAGCTACAGCGAGCGGTACTCGGGGAGAAGCATCCGGATACAATCCGGAGCATGGGGTCACTCGCGACGACATACCATGCGCAGGGCCGGTACGACGAGGCCGAGGAGATCTCGGTTAAGGTGTTGGAGCTACAGCGGGAGGTTCTCGGGGAGAAGCATCCAGATACGATCCGGAGTATGGGGGAGCTCGCGGCGACATACCATAACCAGGGCCGGTACGACGAGGCCGAGGAGATCTCGGTCAAGGTGTTGGAGCTACAGCGGGAGGTTCTCGGGGAGAAGCATCCAGATACGATCCGGAGTATGAGGTTACTCGCGACGATATACCATACGCAGGGCCGGTACGACGAGGACGAGGAGATCTCGGTCAAGGTGTTGGAGCTACGGCGGGCGGTGCTCGGGGAGAAGCATCCCGACACTCTCGAAGCCATGCATGACCTTGCTGTTACTTGGAAAAGCCAAGACCGGGGCGATGACGCTATTGCGTTGATAAAGCAATGCTCGCAATTGAGACGTAAAATCCTGGGGCCGGACCACCCCTTCACGAAGCGGTCTGGTCGAGCTCTTGAACGCTGGAAGACTGAGCAAGTTGGGTTGCGACGTATTGGCGATGGCTTGAGCACTTAAGACGAAATGAAGAAGTCACAAATTCACAACATAGTGCAAGTAAGACCACAGCCAGCTCCAGGAGACAGACAGCCTGGGGTACTACAACCTCGGGCCCAAGATTCACCTCTGTAGTGAAGTAAACCATATTGTTCGAGAATCGCCGTGATTGGCTTAACATGGGGTACATTCTTGCAGCAACCGGTGGACCGACTTCACGCCCTTTGCCCCGGTGAGCCTTGAACATGGTCCCCCGGACAGTGCAATCACATAACATTTGATCTATACAAGCGCTTGCTCATCTTGCGGCCCATTGATGCGGCATCAGTCGGTCGCCTTTATCGCGGGAGCGCGTCACGTCAGGGGCGCGTTGGACACGGGCCAGCCCTCGACTAGCGCGACGAGTCCAGGTCGTTGGTACTCCCTCCAACCTTGTGTGGACCAAGTTAGTTGCCAGGCAGACTTCGAGACCGATGGCTGTGCCTGTCACATAACTTCGCTCGAACGTTACTCATTCGCCTTTGAACTTGGTTGGATACAATTTGGACAATTCGAAGCACTTCCAATCCACTATCCACTTGGCCTTCTGTTTCTCATCTCAAGGCACCTGGGCGCCAGTCTCGGCACCGGCGTTATCCTTGCAGGACCCCATCGCGTCCCACCCGTGCCATGACCTGCTGCCAGCAGTACCAGAACCCCGACGTAGCAAGAGTCACGGGAATGGCAAAGGCCCAATACACCCAGATTTTGCTCGACATGGTCCAGCCCACGTCGGCATCATAAAAGAAGAACGACATGCTGAAGACCGCCGAGATGAACGTGGCAGGTAGAAATGCCAAGGTGAGGAAAGCGATCGTCTTCATTGCCGCGCTGTCCGACTGCGTCGCCCGCCCAATCTGGAGCGACAGGCCTGCATCGTACGGGAAGTGTCGGTTGGATTATGGCTGGTGTCCGCGCAGTTCAGCCGCCCTGCCCCACTTAGATCGCACCTCGATGATCGACGAAACGGCCCACCCTTCCTACCCCGGAACCGCGAGCTCCAGGTGCCTGACTTGATGTGGAGAAACGCTCCGTATTCCTCTGGGAACCATAACCGTCACCTTTCCCTACATCTACGGTCTAGACGTGAAGTTACGTTATAATAGATTAGCGAAAGCTGCTTTGGAGGGATCTTTGAGAAGCGCGTCTTTGCTATGGCCGTTGTCCACTAGGATCTGCTTGACTGCCTGCTCCAGCGCCACAGTATCGAATCTGCCCTGTAACTGGCCGTTGGCGTTGACCCTGTGGCTCTTCTTCTCGAACACCTTGTCGGACAAGGATGTGTATGCAGTGATGCATTCGTCAACCGTCATCCTAGGGCGCCCCAGTATGATGGCGATCAGGCCGCCGGTGCTGGTGCCGCAGATCATATCGAAGTAATCGCATGGCTTGGGTGGGGAGTCGGGGTCGATGGTAGACATGAGATTTTGTAGAATTATCAGCGAGGACAGGCCATGGACTCCGCCGCCGTCGAAGGCAAGTGGGCGGATGTCATTGCCAGGCATAGGTCCACGTCAGTCGGCTAACTTCAGGATCCAAGGGTGGCGGGTCGCGGGCGGGTAAGGCGGGTCCACTTGGGTGAAGCTTGCGGACCGAGCCACGCGCAAGGGACTCGAATGCAAATGCCATCCTCCAAAAATTCTGGTCCGCCTCGCCTGCCATCCCATATAAATGCTGTGACGGGCACACCGCCTCTATCTATGCAATCGCCCGGTTGATATCTCAGAAAGCAAGCAAGATTCCTGCCTTATCTGCAGAGAGGAACTCTCGCTATCCGCCTTATAGGAATACGTTGCCGCTTATATGGAGGATATCACTCTTTTCATCTTACCTAATACCGATAAGGATAAGGCTGGAGATTCGAATACCTCGGTCTAAGTAGCGAAGCTCGAGTCCAAGAGTAAAAGCAAAAATACTAAGTTACAAGCAAGCAGCCTTGGATTTTCTGAAGCTGGAGATTACAGACAGACTCTAGCTGAATTTATAAAGCTCCTGACTAGTAAGGAGGCAGGATATATCTCTAAATTCTCGCTTTAAAGCACGACTGAGGAAGATTAAATACAGTTACTACAATTAAGAATAAGCAGTCCTGCAATTAAAGCTAGCTCCAATGTAGACTGCATATCGTATCTTGAGCCGGAGGATAATAAGAAGGAGAGGGAAGTATGGATCGATAAGACGGGGCATGAGTACACGGCGCCAGAGCTACTCGAACAAGGTATTGACCCGAATTCCGAAGACTCCAGTGGTCGCACACCTTTATTGATAGCTGCTAAGTTCAACTATGCAGAGGATGTTCGTCTCCTCCTTCAAAACGGAGCCAAGGTAGATTCGAGGGATCCCGAGTGGGGCCTGACGCCGCTATCGTGGGCCGCCGAGAGTGGGCATGAGGCCGTCGTCAAGCTGCTTCTTCTTCTTCTTCTTTTATTTAACGCCGGGGGGAATAGATATTTCCAGCCTCCCGAAGGGCATAGGGCGTGCAGGAGACTATCTAGATCTAAAGAGATACTGTATATATGGGAAGTTACTGTATTAGGGGAGGTTACTATATTAAGAATATCCTGTAAATTAAGCCTAATAGCTACTGGTATTTGTTATATTATTTCTGTAGCTCTGCTAGTTGAGCTTATATCTAATTTTAGGTTTTTATAGAGCTATTAGTTTTAGGACTTTATAGTAAGCTATATACTTAGTTATTATTTATTAGTAAGTTATATAAAAAAAAAAAAAGGGGTATTAGAGAGAGTAGAGTTAGAAGGGGCTAGTTTATTTCTGGATTTTAATAGGTTAGCTTATCTCTAGCTAGAGCTAGCTTATTTTTAGTTATATATAGGTTATTTTTAGGTTTGGATATATCTTTTTATAGAATCTGGTAATCTTAAGAAAAACTATAAACTTTTCTAGTTATTTAGTTAGTCTGGTCTAGTATTTCCTATTATTCCAGGGCTCTAGCTTTAGCCGGAGCTACTAGAACTTAAGTCCCTGGACCTTCCAGTAGAAGACTAGGTGTTCGGGGGTCTTTATCCTGCCACATGTATAGTTAGTTGTATCTTTATAGTTAAACCGTCTGTAATAGCTCTGGAAGTCTCCGTAGCTGGATCTGCAGGCCAGGAGATAGTAGAGTGTATCTCGGGGCAGACTGAGCTCCCTGGGGCATTTCAGAGTAGCTATCTTAAGACCCAGGGTATAGTAGCTTCTGTATCTTAGGAGAGCTTCCTGCCACCAGTCCTAATAGTATCGGTCTCTGGTCTCTCTGATCTTTCGTTTCGCGCCGGCGTAGGTCGCGGATATGCTTGGGTCGTCCATCAGCATCTTCGTCCCTTCCTTTGCTAGGCAGTCTGCTTCCTCGTTGCCCTCGATATCCTCGTGCCCCGGGGCCCATCGTATACTGACTGCGACCGCCTGGGCGATCTCTTGGAATTCCAGGAAGGCGTCTTGCGAGCTGGCTGGTGCATCGCCAAGAAGCCCGGCGATAACGGATGTATTGTCGATGCAGATGTGTATCTGCGCTCCTGCATCTATTCGGCAGGCCCTCTTAAGGGCGTTCCTTGCCCCCTCAGCCTCGCCGTCAAAGACCTCTGCTATCCCTAGGCGTCCCTTGTCTTGGGCGATCTTCCTTCCCTCCCGATAGATTGTATAGCCCCATCTGACGGCTTCTTTTTTATCTTAGGATCCGTCCGAGAAGGCCACTAGATGCATATCTGGCAGGTCCTTCTGCCATTATTTAAATTTCCTTACAGCCTCTTCTTATTTATGTTATTTATGACCGAGATGGCTGCTGTTAGGCGCTTTCCTAGGGCCTGTCTAGGCCTTGGAAAGGTTTCTGGCAGCATACTGGCTCGCTGCAGTCGAGTCTATAGCGGCTTAAGTGATCCGGCTGGGCGTCTGTTGTAGAAGTGTTTCTTCTATATCTCTCTCTGGGCCCTTATGGCTAAGGGGTGGTCTTTATATACTGCTTGGATTCGCAGGCCGAATCGATGTCTTGCGTCTTCCAGAGCCACGCAAGCTGTCGGGATTCCTATATCTCGATAGAGCGTATTATTTAGGGTTATCTTCCAGACTGGCAGGATCACTCGGATTGCATTTCTCATCGTCTCGTCTATTCTATTAATACCCTCTGTCTGTATCATAGCTACATTCCCGAGCCTAGTGTATGCTATATACTGGGGTGCTTTTATCGGCCTTTCATACCAGGCCTCTACTCTATAGAGGAGGACTGGGATTATGCAGGTAATAATAGCCTTCTGTAGCAGGTTTGCTGGAGGTCCTCTTTTTGTATTTAACAGGTTTCTAAGGTGCTGTACTAGCTTGTTTGCCTTGCCTACTCTCTCTTAAATATAGTAGCTGAATTTAAGTTATCTATTAAAACAGATACCCAGCTATCGGACGGCTGGTTTATCTATTAGCTTAATTATATAGTTATACTTTAAAGAGATAATATCTGGGGCTGATATCCTGACAGGTCTCTTATATCTTCGGCTGAAGTGGATTACTTCTCCCTTCTTTGGGTCTAGGGCGACCTTATTATCCTTTCCCCAGTCTATAATACTAGTTAAGTCCTTGCTAAGGAGTTTGGCATTTTCCTCCAGCAATAGACTCGTCCTATATAGAGCAATATCGTCTGCGTATCTAAAGCGGAGCTTTGGGTCATCCAGGAAGATATCAGCAATGTAGAGGAGGAAGAGGATCGGGGATACAGGGGATCCCTGAGGAAGCCCGCACTTGATGTCGTAGACGGGGGTTGTTGTTTCTTCCAGTCTGATCCTGGCGCTTCGGTTTTCCATAAATGTTCCGATAAACCGTACGAGTTGCGTCGGCCAGCCCTGTTGCCGTAGTAGATACTAAAGCCGACTATATTATATTCCTTAAGCTGCTAAATAATTTGAAATTTACTATATGACTACTCTATTACTGACAGCTCCGTCCAGCTTGCCATTATACTATCTATATCCAGCTTAGCAATAAGGCTAGTATATCCGTTGCTATCGGCATCGAGATTAAAAGTAGCAAATCCGACAGCTTAATTATAGGTTCCGTATAGCTTACTACCTAGCTGCACGTCCAGTTTCGACATCTTGAGTCCCTGCCAAATTATGGGCCCCAGGGCTTTCTAATCATTCCTATTATCTTAGTCCAAGGGGCTACTTGGCGCGTTGACTTTGCGCAGCGCACAGAGAGTTGCACGGTATATTTTTTGCTATTGCCCCCTCCTCTTTCCTTGCCCGTAAACTAATTTGTGCGTCTAGGTTATCTGGGAGGGATTCAATATCGGCTCATCAGACGAGATACACGGGTGCTATCGCATTTACGCCGGGTTGCTTAGATTGGCGAGATCGTTCCGCCCGCCCCCATACCAATCGGTCGTAATCTGAACTCCTTCTCGGTTGAGAAGTAGCGCCATCACCTCCTTACCACTTCCAGAATTTCTTGCTGCAGCCTTCGCCACCTCTTCTGTAATCGTGATCCTGTCTGCTTGTTGGTCGAGAAACAGCGCCATCACGTCCTTGTCAAACCTCTCGACAATGATAGATACCATCTTGTCCGTGATGGTGATCTTGTCTCCTTGTCGGTCGAGAAGTAGTGCCATCACTTCCTTGCCATTTCTATAATTTCCTGCCGCGGCCTTCACCACTTCTTCCGTAGCGTAAACCATTCTGTCAGAATGATTTCACTTATGCCGGATTACGGTATGGACGGGATAGGAGGGGATCAGGCTCACCTGTAGGATCGGAGGAAAGGCAAGCCCTGGTACTGAGGTGTTAAGGGACGAAGAGGAAACTGAAAACACATAGAGGCTACTTCTCAGCAATTCAAAGCTGAGCGCTTTTAGAAGCGTACGGGTGTCATATCAGACCATTTTAAGAAGACGCAGCCATTCTTGATTAACCAGGAAGTTCAAGATGTCAATGCTTAGCGGTGGCTAAGGTTGGGAGGAAAGAATAGTAACATTCCGTACGAATTCCATTCTCAAGGCGAAGTATAACATGAAATAACTCAATCTTCCTTACCGGGCACACCATTGGCCCCACTCGGGTTCCCATCCGGAAGTACACTGTCTGGTCCCGCCTCATCCTCCTCAACATCAGCCACATGGTTGGCTGGGGGATCCTCACTGCCAAGAGGCAGGTTCTCATCCATCGTTTCTCGTGCCTCATTTCCAATCAGATGCACAGAATCAGAATCTGCTCCATCGTTATGCGAGGCATTGCAGTAAGATTCATGGTCAATGGGAAGGACCTCCTGTTTTTCTTCACCGGCATGCGACTGGCTCTGTAACACACGAAGAGGTATGTTGGTGTGTCCGCTCTCTTCCCTGTCGAAGTATCCGTCTTCGTCTGCAGATGGACTGTGCACTTCATTGAAGTTCCCTATGTTGACCTCGTTGGCTGCAGATTCAGCCCTCGGAGCAGTTTCGGTACCTGGTCCCGCTGATATATTCTCGCCGAGGCGCTTGGTAAGCTTCGGAGTTGATTTGCCGTTGACTGGTGGATGAGACGGAGGAGGTGAAGTGGAGAAGGGACTATGCACAGCTCTCAACCCCGCCAGGCGCAGTTCCAAAGCCCTTTCCTTGTCTCTGTTAAGAAGCGGTATGTCTTGGTCGAATTGGCCTTTCCGCGTCGTCTTCATGGCCTGTTTTTTTTTTGCGCGAATAGATACTATCTGCCGCTGACGAGGTAGATGCATCTTAGCGCGGTGAGGAGGAGTTTGGAAGCGTGGAACTCGTGACGACCTAGGCGAGGATAGCATCACGGCCTTCGATGCCATTGGAGCAACGGGTGCAGAGTGTGCACATTTGTCGTCAGAGGCGTGACCCCCAGATGATTCGTCGTCATCATCACCACCGCCTGACCGTCCCGCGTTGCGAGGAGCTGATTGAACATCCTCCTTCGCTCCCGAAAGTTTCTTCTGCTTTTCGAACTCCCACTTCTCTGCAGCTGTTTTTGCGGTCAAATCCTGGGCATCCGCAGCAATTCTTGCTGCAATGGCGGTTTGAGAAGCTATTTCGGCATTCCGATTGCCGGTGTTAGCTACCTGTCTTGCTATATTGGCGTTGCGATATCCAATTTGCGCCGTTGTGAAGCTATCACATGCTTTGCTAGCAGCAACGGCGCCAGCAAATACCGCGGTAGCTATGGCGAATTTCTGAACATCACCCGGTGGTAAGCTTGACGTGGCAGATGAGGCTGCGTTTGCAGTGGTAGCTATGGCTCCTGCGACTGACGCAACTGTCTCCTTCGCGGCCGAGCTCGCCGATTCTAGGGCCTCTGAGGCGGAGCGAGAGGAGATAGCGTGATCTGGGATAAGGGAGGCGCTAAGTAAAGGAAGACTCAAAGTGCGTTTGACGATTCTCCGTGAGACTCGGGTCCCAGGATCGTCTCCTTCCCTGGTGAGAGTATCTGGTTGAGTTATTTCCCACGAAGGTGTTGCTGTTGTCCCAGTCTGACGCTGCACATTCTTATGGAGGTGGGCTACAACCGTCGGCGGTTGTTCTAGTTGGGTGTTCCAGTGGTATTTGTCCCCTATGGAGACAATTCTTGGGTTCAGCCTTTCAATCTGAGCATCCTGTGGGCTGGTGTACTGGGGGATTGGTGGCAGCACCAGAGAAGTTGATGGTGGACCTCGATCACTTCGTTGGACTCTCGAAAGACCAGTCACTTCTCCCCGCCAATCTGCGGGCCGAGTATATTCCTCTATGGGAATAGCGTTTCGTTCTGTGTCGTTCGTAAACTGCCTGGATGTCTGGAGTGCTTGAAGGATAGCTCTGCGAACCGTTAGAACTGGTTGAACTCACTGCGTTGTGCCAACTGACCGATGCTGCTCCTGCTGCCATCTGAGCCAATCATAATGCAGCGCTTTCTCCAATCTCTTACCCTGTTCCTTCATAATGTCCGCAAGCTCACACACTCTTGACCACCGCGCGTTGATTGTAGCATTGCGAATGAGTTCTTTCACCTTACGCTTCTGCTTTGGCTGGAGCATGCGAATAAGCTCGTCGTACGCGCCCCGGTGTTTTTCCAGAATCTCAAATCTAGCGTTATGTTCCTTCGTGCTTCTGTAAGGGGGGGGTTCATCCTGGTCCGGGCCACCGAAGGTAAGATTGGCAGCCTTCTCGACGGTATCTTTATGGCCATCGGCCCATTCAATAAGAGGTCGGTGTTTGGAACCATCGAAGAGCTTTAGAACACTAATAGCAAGGCCGGGGAAAGGAAATTCGGCGAGAAGGGAGAGAGGCGCGACAGGATCCATATCTGATCCGAGATAGCTTTTGATTGACTAGGGGATCAAGTAGCGGGTACGACGATGAAGGGGCCTAAAGATTGCAAGGTGATGGAAAAAGAAACGGTTGACCACGCGGGGAAGGGCGGCTTAGATATAGCCTCGAAGCACAGGCCGGTTTCCTTCGTAACGTTTTCGTGGTGGTGAAGTCTACTGTCACGGTGCGAATTTTGGATAACTGGGCTAGTTAACCTTGGAGGGAGCAACCATGTGATTGCCCAAACCGCAGTGAATGTAATGTAGGGCTGACGCCACGAGGAGCGGGTCGGGCGAGAAGGTCACCTGTCACATCCAGTATATAGGCCTCAGTTGCACTACGCATTAGCGGAGTGTTCATTCCACTTTTGGCGTAGCAGTCAATGCGACATCACCGAGCTGACCGAGTATGCGTGGATCCAACCAAAATTCATTAGTGTAAAACAATGGGCGCACCGAGCCACATCTTCTACGATGTGGTTAAAGGCAAGTATCGACTTGGGGAGTGGTGTCTTGCGCGAAGCTGCCATCGTCCAGGACCAACAGGTCGGAAAACGTCGGCACACTTGGTGATGGATCCTTCCCCAGAGAGGCGAGAAGGTTCCGAGCCGGGCACAGCCCGAGCTTTGACTTGCGGCTTGGTCCGACAGTCTAGTAAAGCCTGTCATTCGTCACCGTTGCAATTGCCCAAAGCTTTACCAAGTGCAGCGGACGCTGACCCAGTGCGTTATCAACCATTAGGTGGCCGAGACCTACCTCGTGGGAAACCATCTCAAGTGCAGTCCACATGTTGAAGATCATGTAACCCGCCCCGCTTCTCGCGCATCACATCCAAATCACTGGACAGAGCAGCACTGTTCCGTCTTTATCTGTGGCTTCACCTCGAATCCACAGTGTTGGTCTCAGAATCAAGCTGGCGCATGACCAGGGATCCGTTAGGCATCCTCAGCTGTCTGTCTTGAGCGGGTAACTACGGCCACTCATTTGCTCGTGCGAGGATGGGTGTCAGGCGGGTCGGTGGAGGTGGAGGCAGCAGCGCTAGCAACCTCGGGGGTGGGAGCAACGGCGGGGATGGGAGCAATCTGCGGTTTGTCATTAGCAGTGGTAGTAACACAAGATAAATGCCACCTACAGCCACTCTGCTTGCTCTCTGGACGTTGACCTGACGGCCGAGAAGCTGAATGTCCTCGGCAGCACGTGCGCAGGACGGTCGAGGTGTGATGCCAAATGCAATGGCGTCCACCCGTCCTTAGCTGTAACTGTAGTGTCAGCACCCTTCTCAATGAGCAGCTTGACCACCTCGATGTGTCTATTCAGTGATGCCCAATGCAATGGCGTCCCCCCGTTATTAGTTGTAACTGCAACGAGTTTTCACGTAGCACGCGGCAGCCACATTACATAACGGCGCGAGAACATGGACGCCCGAGAGCCGGAGCTGCCACGTGGGCTTCAATAGTGGATACGGGCGCACCCCACATGAAGCTGCAGTCTCTGCCCAGGACCTTAGCTTAACTTGCTTGTGCTCATGGTCTCCATCTCGGATCCCTGCTGGACTCCCCCAGGTCAACCTTGTGCACAATCTTGATGGACTCCAGATCAAGGCCGGAGCCAGACCGCGCGTGTACCCTTTCACCAAATCTCTCTGAAGACTCGGAAGTATTTAAAAGGGGTTTCCGCTCGTTGTCTTCCTCGTCCAACCACAGGCAGAAACATCAGAACGCGGACAACGAAGTGGATACTGTGAAGGGCGAGCGAGACTTGGTGTCAGTCCGAGAAGGTCGACGGCAAGCCGATTTGGGCTTGAGAAACCCTCGGCCGTGATCCGAATAGTGGCTTACTTGCTAGGCCTGGATCTGACTAGGGCTGGCTGGCCGCGCCTGGGGAAGGATGACAGACCAGGGTAGAGCAGCGCGATGCGCTAGTCAGTCGGTGGTGCGGTCACAAAGCACCCTCCTGGCCAGCTCCAAGTTTCACATTTATTCTGGTAAATAAAGCCGCAGAGTTTCAAGCGTTGACTCAGAGGCACTTTTTGATTCATGAAAGAAGCTCAAAGAATGAACCTGCCAGAGCCAATGCCATGTGGTGGGAGCGCCGCCTGTTAGCCATGGCAGTGCCTCTTCCGCGGTCAAAGGCTTGAAAGGACTCCCAGAGTTCAGGCCACGCACCGGACAAAGACGTGTAGGCAGCGATGCATTCGTCAACCGTCATCCTCAAGCGCCCCAGCATAATGGCAATCACGCCGGTGCTAGTGCCGCAGATCATGTCGAATTAGTCTCATGGCTTGGGCGGGGAGTCGGGGTCGATGGTACCGTAACATCTCCATCAGTACCCACCTTTTTTTGTTCCGTATCACTGCCACAAGAGAAGTTCGACTTGAGGTCGCACCGACGAGAGGCGGGGCAGAGGCAGGGCAGATGCGGGGCAGATGCTTAGTCGCAAGCATGCAAGCAGGCAGCTGTCGGACTAGGAGCTTGCGGGTCTGCTGGGCAGCGTGCGCTCGCACAGCGTAGGTGATGACGCAGGTCCAATCCAGTGCCTTCCCAGGCTGCCTACAGTGCAGGTTCACGAGTAGGCAGCCTCACTGGTCGTTGCATCTTATTATCGGTGGTGGTGGTTTCGAGCTCGGGAGCAAAAAACGCGCATTTTTCCCTCTCTGTTAAGGCAAAGATGGGTCGTAGCCGAGATTTACGTGCGTTCTTGGTTGCACGACTTAGCAGCCGACTAACAGCCGGTGCCAAGGAAAAATAAATTGAAGGCAAGGTCCATCGTCAAGCTGCTGCTCGAGAAGGGAGCCAATATCGAGTCAAATGACAGTAATGGTCGGACGCTGCTGTCGTATGCCGCCGAGAGCGGGCACGAGGCCGTCGTCAAGCTGCTGCAATCATGTAAAGGCCAATCCTTCATCAACTACACTCCCTTGACCTCCTCCCCACCCACTACCGGCTGTTAGGCACTCTTTATATACTACTCAGAGGTGGCAAATGCATTGCGCTAGAAGCCGATGGAAATTGCTTAAGTTAATTCCTCAACGGAAGGCAAGAGTAATCATAACACAAGGAAAGTGAGGTAACACAGCAAGTTAATGCCTTGAGGAACGAAGAGCCGAAAAGGCTCCCAGAGGACGCGAAGACACGGAAAGCCGCCGCCCCTTAAAGACCCACAATCACTCGTCAGTTACGCAACTGACCAATCAAGTCTCACGCACCTTTTCACGTGATTAGCAACGTCGGTCGGCGGCGGACTCGAACAGGAGAGACGTCGGCGCTTGTGGGAAGGAGATGTTATTGTTCGGTGGAATGGAGGGCCTCATGCTAGTCGAACGGCCTTCCGAACCAGTGAGCTCCCTTGCGACCCCGAGACAGGTTCGCAATATTGTCAACCACGGTTCACGGCCACAGCAAGTCCCGGAACTATGGCTGTGGTAAGTCCTGATGACGTATGGAAATTCGGTTTCTAAGGCGCTGTATAGAGTCCAATCCAAGGAATGAAGTAGATCAGGGTATACGTTTGTCAACCTATATAATATAGTTAACAGACTAAACACTACCTTGTTCCCGCTCAATGAATCATCATGCATTACCGCCCCAGACGATGTAATTTATCCTTGAGTACCAATCCTGAGAATGTAGCTGAGCATAAAGCAGCAGACAGAGTTATTCAATACAAGCCTTCATCTATCCAGACATCGCTGAAGCAAAATCGTCACAGTCTCCGAGATACTCAAAGTTGATGAGAGACTGGAAGCCCCCACCAAGCGTCGGTGACTCCTTGCTCACCCATATGACCAGATTGTCCGGATTGTTTGCTCTTACCACCTTACAGAGACGCTCAGTGAAATTCGCTAGCGAAGGAATCGATAACCTCGTCCCGACGATTAGGACGGCATCGACGGGCTGCGTTAGGTTGCGGTTGAATGCGGCCGTGATCTCTTCTTCGCCAGGACAATTTTCTCCGTAGAGAAGAACATTTAGTCGGAGAAATCCCACAGCTCGCTTTCGCTTGCGTGCTATAACCCAATTCCTCTGTTCTTTCTTACACAATAGGCAGGGAGCCAGTACCCATTGTGGGAAGGACTGTGGAGTGATCTGTATAGTATATAAGGGTCTTAGGTAGCAGACTAGTATATCTGCCCGGCCATAGAGCTATATTGTCCTCTGAGAAAGATAAGTAAGTATCAGCTATCCGGCAACTTATTATTATTCCTAAGTATTCTACTGGAGATTTCTTTTAATTTCGGTAGAAGCTCTAAAGATATAATTAATGTTAATTTTTAATTTTAAGTATTACTATAGATTCCATCCGAGGCAAAGTGTTCCAATTGTTCTCGAAGACCGTTCTGACGCCAGCCTTTGAGGCGATCTGCGCCATGTTTGTACTCCTGCACGATCCATCCGCACCCTTCGGACGATGGGCTCCAGGCGTACACATGAGGAACGAGACCCTCCCACTCTCCAGCCAAGGCGGGAGCTTTGCACCAAGCCGACCCCATGTTTCCTGGCGAGGACCGTCATCTCCACGAACACGTCAGGAGCTCGCTCGTACAGTTATCTCCCCTTGATTGAATCCGAGGCCCCAGGGTTGCGTGCAGGTTGGCCGCAGCCTTGTCGACCTGCAGAACCGTGTGAGGCGAACTGAACCGGCCACACTGATTCCGTCCGAGGTTGGCCAGGACGAGCGTGTGTCATTGGCCGTACAGAAGCTATTGGTGAAGCCCGGGAGTTCTCGTCAACTCAGCCATGCCACGCTCCGCCCTCCATCAGCACAATGAGGCGGCCGGGCCAAGGACGGCCCAGTGGACGAGGATCAACATGGTCAAGGGCATCAACAAGGCTTGTAAGGACGGAAGCGACTTCACTGGCTGTGAGCCGTGTAAGACGTGACAGACATGCAACTTGGGGTATCGGGACTGGCTTCAGGAAGGCAGAATTGCGTTCTCAAGTGATAGTAGTTACTCAACGCACTTGCAAATCGCTGGATGTTCCCCCTACAATGAAAGCGTGGCCTAGCTGCAGATACACGTCTCTCCAGAGGTGCGACAGGTCGATTAAAGCTGCCTGTCGGTCTCGCGGCATAAAGGCAAGGCATTCTTCTCCCAGTCCTCAGGTTAACTGCCTCACGATACACTGCCTTCCAAGACACGCAAAGTCCCATAATTTCCCAACAATTTCGATTGTAAGTAGACTATAATATCACGGAGGGTATTTTCAACTCAAGCTTAACCCCCAAGTCTGGGGGCAAGATATCCAGTTAGCCCAGTATCAAAATCAAATCACACAATACTGCCATCAAAGAGTGTATATATTGATACTCTCCGGTCGGCGCACCTTCTACGATACCAACGGTCAGCCCCCTGCTAATCTCTTCGACGGGCGACCTTGTTCTGCTTCCTGAGAAGCTGGCTCTTCCTGCCTCTTCGCTTCTCTCGCACTGAGGGAGCTGGACGCTCGGAGCAGACTAGATAAACACCTCGCGCTGCTGGGCCGGACCGCCTTCTGGGATGGGATCTCTGACAGCGGAAATAGAAAGGCAGCCAGCAAGAACTCGCAGAGCGCGGCTGGCAGGATGTCAGTATTTAGGAATAATATTTAGAGACTGGGATAACTGACCTCCGAGCATCCTCTCCTGGTTGGATATCTCAGTGATGGCGGCTCGGTATTTTGAATGGAAACTGATACGGCCTGGCCCACGATCTGAAACGTCCCTCCTCCACGGATTCCCTTGTGTTCCAAATGACCAGGGAAGTCTTCCGAATGCAACCCTGAAGAGACTAACGCCTAAGGCCCACACGTCAGTCCTCCCGTCGTATTCGAACTTTCGTGTTCCGGGGAGTGAAATCCTATAGTTCCATTGGTGCCCGGTCGAGCTGGGATGGTCTTCCTCCCGTGGTGGATCTTCTCGATCGAGTCGAGGTCGAGCAGAACAGCGCGGAGTGGACGTGGAGGGAGTTCTGATGAGGTTTCATTGTGAGCGTGATCCAGCCGCAGGTTTACGAGACCAATGTTTGTCGGCTTGATATCCGTGTGGACGAAGTCGTGGGCGTGCAGAAAGGATAGGCCTTGGAGACAGTCGCGGAGTATCAGTTCCAGCTTTGTGCGGCTACCACCGTCAGTGACCCGAGCTTGTAGTCGTTAAGATAACCTTACTGCGTTTGTAATGGTACCCTGTCTAAAGTGATGTCGACAAAGGGTTCTAGCACGATATGAAATTCGTGTATGTTGCCTCCCATGTGGATGGACTCAACGCAGGATAAAATGTTGGTCTGCCTCTCTATGGTGGCAATCTGCGAGACGGACTTGATCATGTCGATTTTCTCACGGATAGGCTGTGTATTCCCAGCCTTCTCCAGAGTCTTGATCGCCACGAGCTTGCCATCCGGACCAGTTGCCGGCCGCACTCGTCCGAAGGAGCCCTTGCCGACCATGCCGGCCGCAGTGATGGTGTACGACCCGATGGTCTGGGCATTCATCGTGGGGGTGGGCGTCGCGAGAAGGGCTTCTTTGGTTGGCTGGTCATCGCCGTGGATGGCAGTCAGATAGTCACGGAGCCTCGCTTGGCCTTCGGAACGCCGGCAGTGCGGTGCATTCTCGAGTGTGTAACGTAGATCTCCCAACAAGATGGAGTTTTCTGCATTTGCACAGGCTACAGTACTCCCTTGAGAGCTTACCGAGATATTGTTGATAACAGCAGAGTCGCCAAAGTCGAGACTGACGCAGGCCATTTGTGTTTCTTTCGAAAATGAGATGAAAGCATACCATCAAGCGAGTTGCGTTTTCCGCAATATCGTCAATAGCAGGTCAACGACAGGCTGTCCCAAGGCGGCATTCTTCTTACTTAGGCGTCCTCCAGACCACCCCAGAGAGTGTATAAGAGGTGAGGTGTCCGGATCCAGGAAGTAAAATCCAGTCCAGATAGTCACCGGAGGCGACGAGTGTTCGCTCGAGGAGGAGGGTGAAGAGCTTCCAACACTCCTTCTCTGGTTCACCAGACGTGTGACGGCAGGATCAGAAACCTGCTCGTCGGCGAACCAGATGAATTGCGCGTAGTGAGACTGAATGCGGACCAGGTTCTCGTCATCCCGGTGAGTCTGTTCCTGGATGAAGTCGACGACCTCGGAGAAGGCCAATTTTGCAGCGGCGTTTTCTGGTCGCAGGATGATGAGAGCACGGCCGGCTGGAGAGTTCGCCCCAAGAGGATCCCAGTTCGTGGCATTGCTGCTTGGAGACGCCATGCCGGTAGTTAATCTGGAACGGCACTGTAAGTTAGGCCGGGGTGAATGGCCCCGGTTGGACTTCATCGGCCGGCGGGCCGATGGAGCGGATTAGCTTTCAGCCGGACCATGACGTGAGGAAGTGACATCTCTCCTCCTGGTCGCCAGCCGACGCAAATTCCTCGAAACAACAAAGGTCGCCTGGACGGTCCAATTCACCACCGGTCGCCAACGCCCAAACCCGCCATGACGGCCAGCAAACGTATACCGCCATGATCGACAGCGTTGAAAGCAATTTCGGATCTCCAGAAACTCCCCGCCCGCGTCGAGAATCACGCTCAGAGCGACACCGCGAATGACGGTCGCAACTCCGCACCTCAGCTACCGATGGACGCACTGGCTCGCCTTGGCCTTTGAGAAGGCAGAAGGGGTATGCTTCCCGACCTAGAAATCTTGTTTCACTTGGCTGATCATGTCTAGAGGCTCCCGTGCCCTGTGTCGTCACAAGGCGCCCACCTCGTCCACCCGCCGCCGACGCCAGCGCTGCGAGATGCCCCCATCGATCCCACCTTCGCCCAGACCCTCACGGACCGACTGAACAAGCTTGTTCGAAGACAGGAGATCCGCGTCAACATGTACGGCGCTGCTTTTGCCGAGGAGTGGCCCATCTCGCGCACGCCGATGCAGGAGGCGCGTGAGGCGAAGGCGAGGGTGCAGCAGTTTCACGAGCAGCAGCTGCGCCTCGACTCGGATTCGCCCTCGGAGTCAGAGGAGCATGTCCCGAATGTCCGTCCACAGCTGCCATCGCGGGTCGGAGAAGATGAGGAAGATCGCGTGTCGGCTCAACCAACGGCAAAGTTTGTCAGGTCGTCTCGGGCGTACCCTCCGCTCAAGCGTAAGCGAACGGCTTCGAACCTTCCGACTGGCTCGGCCCATCGTCGGACCAGAAGACGATTGAGACCGCGCCGACAGACGTGAATGAGACGGGTGGACAAGGCTGAAGCAGAGGGGTGCAGCGACTCGGATGCAACGCCAGATGCCGCACAAGTTGACAGGCGATCGGCCTGTTGGCTCGACGGCCGTAGATTATCGCGTGTCAGTAGCCACGGCCTGTCGGTAGATGCCAAATGAGGCGTGTTGAGCTGCTCGTACTAAGGCGCAATCGTGATTTCACCGTGTTTTACGCTGTTGACGTGACCGGTAGAGAGAACTGCATCGAGGCCGGGGTTGATGATTGACCCATTCTCGGTCGTCTGGGTCCATTGACCGACTTGAATGGTGTTTCCCGCTGCTGGAGTTGGCGTGAAGCTGAGGTCCGGGGGACTCGGCTGACGATGCAGTGTCTGTATGTATCGGCCAAGTATTGCTGTGCGTTCCTCAGTTATGTTGAAGCATGAGTCCTCAGTTATGTTGAAGCATGAGTATGGGATGACAGGAGTGTTCACCGAGGATGAACAGCCGCTTTTAGGTGCCAACCTTGACCTCTTACGCCATCCAGCCGGCTCGAGCAAGTTCGCGATGGCCTCACATGAGCCCTCCGGTGCTATCGAATTAGGACACTACTCTCCGCCCCCAACTTCTCGAGGTACTGCTCTGCTTCCGGGTGCCGTGCCTTTTGCTACACGCAGTCGACCGACACACGCACGCGAGCATGATTTAGTTAACGCATAGGCAGCGATATCTGTGCGGCCGATAGCTTCGGGCGAGCATTACTTGGCCTCCTTCATGACTGGCCAATGGGCCATCTCGGCCGAACTCACAAGAAAACTTGGCCAGCTAACCAACCGCCCGCCCAAGTTCCCGGAGCACGGCCAGACCCTGGATCACAGGCCCGGAAAACTGCTGGGAATTCGACGCTTCTCTCCCGCCATAGACCCGAGCGATGGCCCGGTGCCGCTTGTGCTTGTGCGGGGTTGACGAAAGGCGGAACCCGTCTCTTCTCTGCATCACGATCCTCCCCCAGTTCTGTGGCTGCCCGGCCCAGACATCGAAAAGCTCGCTGCTCAAACAGTCAAGAAGCGTTGTATCCAGCAGGGCATCTGGAAAGACGAGTGGAACAACAACTACAGGCCTTGGGGGCGCTGGAAGCACGAGGAAACCCTCGAGCTAGAGTCCGAATCCGAGACCGATTCGGAGGCAGAATCCAAGCCTGGTCCCATACTTGGGTTGAGGAAAGCCGAGGCGAAACCGAGACGACCGAAGAGCGACCGAGAGATGCGACGGATTGCGGAACGACGACCCATACGAGAGCGAGAGCGCGAGGCGTCTCGTCCGTATTATCAGTTTGTCCATCAGGTGTCGAAAGCGCGCGAACGAATCCAAGACGAGTCGAGAGTTGAGGGAGCTCCTATCGAGGACTCTCCCGATATCAATACCAAGGCCTACGAGAATGTGAAGAAGACCTGGATCAAGAGAGGGATTTGGAATAGGAAATGGGGTGTGCTGCCTGGCATATCGTGGAAGCATGAACATCCTCTCGAGGAGCTGATGGCCGATGATGCCGTTTTTTGCTCAAGCAAACGGGCTCGACGACCACGCGCGGCGCCAAGCGGAAGATGCACCTCCAAGACGGATATTCGGGTCACCTCCCCCTCTTGAATCGAGTCACGGCCAAGCATCCAGTATCGAGCCAGAACTGCCCGCGGCTATTGATCCAACGGGATTACAGAATGGCCATGACAACCACTCTTCTCCGGCACCACGTTCACGACGCCGCCTCACACAGAGCAGAGAGGATTCCTCTGCAGCGGCGCAGAGGCCACTACGAGGCGCGAGAGAGACATCCCACGACGCTCGACCAGAAGCACGCGCATCTCTCGGCCCAGTCAATCCATCCAAGGTATCCAAGGCTCTAAGAAAGAGAAAGCCCGCCCCTCGACGGCGACCGAACGCCTCTGGAGAGCCACCGTCTGGAGAGGAGAGGCGCGGGGTGGTCGAGAGCACGAGTTATCGACAACGGGATTTCCATTCCTCATGGCAGCGTAGAGACGTGGATTGATAGATATATTAGGTTTATTACTACAGGCGAAAGGAGTTTTTGTACCTGGTAGTCCCTCCTCGTTCCTAAACGCCAAGAAGAATGTCTACTACCAGCAGGTTCCAGCCCGGCATCTCACCAAAAGCGGCGGAAGAGATGATGATGGTAGAGAACGGCATCTCCTTGCTCTTGGTCAAAGATGCGGCTCCGCGTGTTCGACAATGCATTGTCCGAGGGTTCAACAACATGGTCGTGTACTCCGTTTAGGGAGAGGGATCGTGGTCTTGTCAGCTATGAACCTGTCGCACTGGATCAGAACTGCCCGAGGTTGAATGTGCACTCGAACCTACTGCATCGTGGCAATCTCGCGTTCGAGCTTGCCCGAGGCAAGGCAGGGGGCCAAGGGGATGCGGATAACCCATCGCTGGCCATGTTCAAATGCAACAAAGCAGCGGAGGTTGTAGCTGCCTCGTTCGGGGTCCTTGAAGTAGTCGCATGATAGTCCTGGGCGCCGTGATGAGGCGATGGCGAGGACTTTCTCCTTGGTGATGTATTGTAGAAATTGATGGCGTTGACGGTGAAGGCGCCGCTGAACGATGTCGTCGGTAAAGCCTCGGGGACTGGCGGCCGATGCCATGGCCGCCGCCAGAGGCTGCGCGAAGCCCAGGATTGGGGTTGTCGCGGTGCACTTGGGGTGTGATTTAGGCTACCTAGGTAGGTGCTTTCTTCACATCTGCGTGCTCGTACAGGCGGGTGTCACGCTGGATGCGGGCTAAAGCGAGCTGGCTCTCCAGGGCATGACAGGCCCACAGTTTACCCCAGATCATGTCCTACCCGCACGTAGGTAGGTAGGTAGGTAGGTAGGTAGTGGGGAGTCAAAGAGGGGAAAGCTTATCGATAGCATCTCCACTCACCAAATACTCTAGCGCAGGAACCGGGCGGAATCCCTTCGACTTCACCCTTGGCTAAAATCACGGCCAAGCCCGTACCCACTGCTCGAGACCTATCACATGATCCATTGCTGTTGGCAAATGCTGAGACTCAATGCTGGACTGAAAGGGTAGAATGGCGGTGCTACTCCAGGTCTGACAGCTGGCCGACAGCTGGACTTAAAAGGTGGGTCTGTTACTGCCGGCTGTGACCGCCTGGTCTCAACACAGGCTGTGTGTGACACTCCGTGACACTGGCACTCACTCTCACCTCACCTGCGCCTATTTGTGTCACACTTCACCCTTACCCTCCCACCCTCCCACCCTCACCCTCTCACCCTCCCACCCTCACCCTCTCACCCTCCCCCTCTCACCCTCCCACCCTCCCACCCTCACGACCCCACGGTGTAAAACCCCACCGCATCACGTTTCTCTTTCAATCCGCCAGGTGCAAACGCCACCTACCTTCAGCCGTGGTAGAGTCGCGCATGTTGCCTTGCCGATGTGAGCAGCCACAGACCTGTGTTTCGGTGTTCTGCTCCCTCAAGGTAAGCCTCACTCAGGGGACGCAAGTTGCTATCATGGAGTCAAAGTAACACGAATGAGCAGCTACAAACACACCCCCACAAACCGCCTGTGTTCCGTCCCTTCTGAACCTCGTCGAGGTTCCTTTTTTGCGCTGAACACGCCGAGCACACCTCCACAAACTGCCTGTGTTCCGTCCCTTCTGAACTTCGTCCAAGTTCCTTTTTTGTGCTGAGCACGCTGAACACGCCACGGGCCGCAGTCTCTACACAAACATCACTCCCCTCGTCCTTGAATCACCACCCACAGCCTCACGCTTCCTCTGTGCGCATTCGAGCCATGGAGCCATTTGGCGGTCGACGCAAGCGCGTCGCCAGTCGTGCCAAGGACGCTGCAATCGCTTTTTAGGAAAAGCTGCACCCGCCTCGACCGGAGATTGTGGCTCGGAGATGCATTCGTTGCAAGCAGAAGAAACCTGAGCATGTGTTTTTCAACATCGCGAATCCGTTCCGACCAACGGATATGTGCATCGTTTGTGTTCAGGAACACGACGTCATGGTAAGCTCCCAAAAGAACCCCCGCCCCTCGTCGAAAATCTAGGGTGCTAAGCTGTGAAACAGTCGGAGCGCATTGCAAACCGCACAGTATCGGATTCCCGAGCCCAAGACCACGTCGTCAGCTCAGGGTTTGACGATACCCAATTTCCAAGCCCAAAGGCCTCGTTAGACGGCCGCCACGTCCTTCGCCGAGCCCGAAGGGCCGTGTCTCAATTCTTCCATCGATCGCCTGGCACCGCACGCGAAGAATCCCAGGCAGATTTTTACCCCGATGAGGTAAGTCATAATTTTACATGCCTGACCCAAAGCTCTTCGACATCTCTGACCGTCGCGATAGGTATTCCTCCCCTATCGCCGTCTGCCGCTGGAACCACTTGGCACGCGATCATCCGGGCGAGCCGCCCCGACACTCCACCGTGCGGCATCCCAACCCGCGTTGAAAGACAACGGTCGAAGTGCAGGCTACAGAGTTGGACCGGCTGAAGATGTCATCTACTCCGCTGCCCCTTTTAGGGATGCCAGTCCCCATCCTGCGTTAAACGACAACCGTCGATACAGAGTTGGACTGGCTGGCGATAGCATCTACTCCGCTGCCCCTTTTAGGGATGCCAGTCCCCAACCTGCGTTACAAGACAACGGTCGAAGTGCGGGCTACAGAGCTGGACTGCCTAATGATGGCATCTACCCCGCTACCCCTTTCAGGGATATCAGTCCCCCACCTCCAGAGGCCATATTCCGGGCTGATCGTCCCCGGGCCTACTACTTTTAACGATACGGCAAGAGCGATGGTTAGGAGACTTCCCTCATCCTTAGGTTCCAAGGTGAAATCTGATATCGATGTGGTGCAGGATGCACTGATAGGACGGATACGGGGGAATGAAATATGTCATGTAACACAAATCAAAGTTTATCGGGATGAAGTGACAGATGGATGGGTCAACTAGGTGCAAAACAACGCCAACGAGTTTAGTTGACTGAATATGAAGAGGACCTGACATTCGATTGAGGCAATGCCATGACAGGCCTGGCACAACGCTGCTGAGAGCCTCGACCTATGGCTGTGTGAATGCGTATGTTACATAGTTGACGTGCTGTGTGCCGTGGATTCAGGTTGCCACGGTTGGGAATCGCTCCCGCGTGTGTGCCGTTCTGCGCTGGACCGCGCGTGCGTTGCGGTGCCTGACCATCTGCAAGAGAATCAACCGACACCGTCCTCATCGACCGCGAAAGCGACGACCTCTGTATTGCTGTGAGTGTCCTCTGTATCCCATGCCGACCTGACGGATGATGACTGAGGCTAAGGAGCAAAGCGCCAAACTCGAAACGAAAGGTCCAAGGAAAGCCCGATGACAATTCCGACATTCCACGTCTCTCACGCCGCGTCTTCCACCGAGAAAGTCTCACCGGGAGAGTCTCACCGAGAAAGCCTCACCGCCAGGGGTTTTGGAAAGACACCACTTCACCCCAACGACACGACCTCTCTCGCCGTCTGACCCATCACCGGCATGGGTGTAACAATTCCCACCCCAGACCAGCTCGAAAAGTACGGTTATCGCAAGTCGAGAATCGTCGACCACACCTTGGACGATGCCTGCCTCGAAACTCGGTGTCCTCTTGACAACGGACGGCACCACGGCCAACCACTGCCCCGACGTCCTCCGCGCCATCGTCAGCATCGGTGCAAAACGTTTTGACTGCACGACCCTACTCAGGACCCTCTCCGGCGGCAAGTTGCGCAACATGCGACCGTTTCGGTGGCTATCTCTACCTCGTCACCTGCAAACGCGTCTGCTACTTTTGCTTCACCACAGATCTGCTGTACTTCCCCGTGTCCGCCACGCTTGCGAGTAAGCCCACTCGCTTCACACGGAGAGAACTCAAGTGCCTGCCTCATATCTTCAGTCTGCCAGGACACTTCACGGAGCGCAACAAGCTAGTAAGGGGCAGGGTCATGCTGTTGGACCGTCAGTCCTTGCTCAACACGGCATCGGAGGTTTCCAGTCAGACATTCGACGAGGGACTCGGGCAACTCGGCCTCACCACGAGGGAACCTCGACGATACATGTTCATCATTTCGGCACCCTACTTTACCTCATCCAGTCACTCAGCCGATTGGGGCGTCTATTGCAATAGATGCATCGACAATAGGGAGCCTGCGATGCATTTCAGGAATAAGTACACAGAAGATGGCTTTGTAGATCACATGGCATGATATGGGACTAATCACGGTGGTGAACAGTAAAGGGAACAAGAGTGATACACCTGGCGCCTCTGTTTGCGTCTCCTGCCACGACTAGGAACACCAATTCACAAACGAACCCCATAAAATGCCCCCTCATAGATGTGTGCATCTACGACTTGAGTCCATGGCCGACACCCTTTTATTTCGACCAGAGCGCCCGTCTCCACCATCACTCCCTCAGTAAACGCCAAGATGACGTCCAGACGCCATAGCAACGTGCAGTTATGGGCAACACTTGTCGATTACTCTGACGTCGACGAGAGCGAATATCGCTTCCTGGTCGACGGGAAGCACGTCAAGTATGTCACCGTCGACCCCGGCGTCTTGCCAAAGGATGATGGGACATTAGCGCCCATATTACTTCCGCGGCTGCCCCCCTTTCCACCCGGCGACTGGAACGAGGGCCACATCTCCAAGGACCCTTTGACAGGGCACACAATCTTCTCCCGTTATACGCGGATCGATCATCTAGAGCTCAAGAAGCTCCATCGTCTGCGTCAAAATATTCACGTGGCCATGCATCCGCTTTTCGACCGAGCCCTCCTCGCCAAGTTTGCCGAGTTCCTCTAGCAAATGCCCTTCTTCGAGGCCGAGACAACAGCGTACGAATGGATAGATGGCAAAGGGGTGCGTCCCAAGTTCCTCGGTCATTTGACCGAGGCCGGGAGGGTCATCGGGTTCGTGATGGAGTACATAGACGACGCGAGGTCCGCTCAGACCGGAGACCTGGCGGCCTGCCAAGCCGTTCTAGCCAAGCTGCATTCTCAAGGGATCAAGCATGGCGACATGGCTGCAGGCGAAATTGCTGGGCCGAAGCAATGCTACAGAGGTTCCTCGATACCGCCAACCGCTTCGAATCCCCCACGCACAAGTGCGATGAGATGATGGTCGTCACGAGGGCTAGGGTGCCATGGCTGGGGGTGCTGTGCCCGCTGACGTGTTGGATCAAGCATTGCCGTGGAGTTTGTTGTTGAGAAGCTCGCTCGCAGTTTCATACGTGCCGAGTAGTTTCTAGCCTACGAATTGTAGCCAGAGAAAGAATTTGGTCTCGGTCTTAGAGTTGAGAAGGCGTTGCTAACTAGCGCATCTCAATCAGGCGCACATCTCGAGTTGGTCATCGTCAGTGGGCTGGAAGGGTATGGCGGTCTCGCCGGCCTTGTTGGCGCAAGCTTCCCATCATTCCTCGAGCAACGGTGAAATTCAAGGGCTTTGTCCATATCCACGGGTGTTTGAGATCGTCTATCACAAAGGTGTAGTTGGGAGGGACGCTGTGCGGTAGACATCAGTATCGTGTGTGGAACGAGCATGTTTCAGCCGAGACCATGTCTTGGGCTGATGCCGTGACCGGTCTCGACTTGAATAGATTGCTGACTGCGCAACATACCAAACGCCATCTCAGACTCATCAACTACCATTTATGTTTATCGAGGCTTTCCATGCCTTCCACGAAACCCAGGCCTGAAATGCCGACAGGCCCAACGAAAGAAGTCCCACGACAACTGAAATCAACAGGGCTGCAAGCGCAATCGCAAACGCATTGCTTTCCGAGGTTTGCCACTTGATCCACCTCTCGAATCGATTTCGAGGCCGCCGTTCCCTCACCAGGTCATGCAGTTCTACCAGTCGGTGCCCCCAGTAAAAGTACTCGTCATTATGCAAGGAATCATTGAACGTCGTATTCCCTTCATCCCATGTGCAGTCTTCGTCGAACCCCTTGGTTCGGATCAACCGCTTCAAGATTTTGGTCGATCGACGATCTCTCCATTGGAAAAGGATTGACTGCAGGGAGTGAAGTGTCTCTGCAAGCAGACGCGGTGGGAGAGAGCCCCTTGAAACTGCGTATGAGCATCATGTCACCAGTTCGAGGCCCGACTCTGCTCACCTTTGAAGGGATAGTAATGGGTCTTCTTCCGTGGTAGAATTGGAACTCTGAAAAAGGCGCAACTGGGCTTTCAGATAAGATGTGTGGTGGAAGATGTAAAGAACTCTGTTCGGACTGTCAAGTAGCAAATGCTGTGCCAAATTGTCTGTTCCCTTGAAGATGATACCTGATCGCGCCTTCATCTTCCAAGCCTTGATAGAACGCGCGTTCGCTAGAGCATTCTTGACTCGATCAGAGCTCTGTGAAGCTCTAGGAAAGCATTCCAAAACGTATGCATGCAAGCATTGGGTTGGCTGCCACGAGACGGGTTTATATTTTCCGATGGTATAACCCGATCCGTGTCTCTCGGTCATTGCAGGGTCGAACATGAACATGACGCGGGCAGCTAGCAGGACTACAGACGTGACGCGCACTCGAGAGTGTTTCGTTTTCAGGGTTTTATAGAGTTCTCCAGAAATTTCATCCAGGGTTCTCGTAGCATTTCCTCGGATGGCTTTGACTGCTTCCAGAACGTCGGCATGAGTAATTGGAGTTAGGTCACCAGATCGCGGCTGGTCGACTTGTACGACGTGAGCACCGGTATCTGACACTACCAACTGGTCGTAATATTTGAAGTATTGGTCAAATCCGCGTTTGGTTGTGCCAAGGAGCTCGCTGGCGATACGGTTGCGGTATTCAGGGACGCCGTCCATGGTGAGAAACAAAGATTGCAACTCTTTGTTCCCTGACCTATAAGAGGAGATAGCAGGGCCAATGGATTTTTCGGGATCAAAAGAGAAACTCCCATGTCTTTTAAGCACCTTTTAAGCACCTACTAGGTTGTCGATCAACGTAAGAGCAGATCTTGGACGTCGGAAAACCCCTCATGGCTGTTAAATTGGGGTCTGGAAATCAGACTGCGTGGTGGCAGACCACACAGCCAATACCAAGGACGCAGGGCAGCTTGGAGAATCCAATCATTCTTCTCCAACATGAAGCACCACGTGATACGTATCCCATATCTGTCTGTTAAGCTTTTATCGGTTCAAGCGACACCGCGAATCCCAATTCGGATCTGCCATGAACACACCATGACCCGCCCAAGAAGCTATTGTCAATCAACGACAGCCCTCACCGGCCGAGAAGAACGACTCCAATCCCCGCTCGCAACTACTTGACGACCCAATTCCCATTTCATGGCCTTGGAGCCCCGTCGCTTCGTTCCAGGCGCTGTCCTTCCCCCGCATCGCAGCGGGGAAACGCCACAATGATGACAGCTTCAATGGTGGAATCGCAATGGCAAAATCTAGACCAGACCCGTGGTCTCATCTCAAAACAATCTCGAATACCGCGCGACCGGGAACAGCAAGGAGAGTGTCCCGTTGTCTCTGCTATACCCACATCTCCAGATCTAGGTGACTTTTCGAACACCGACCTCGCTCCGAATGGCATCAGACCATCGTCTCCGAAACGTATGCCTGCCGTGCCTGCCATCCCTGCTGTGTCTGCCATCCCTGCTATCCCCGAGGCTCTAGTTCGAGCTGCCTCTACAGACACGAACCGAGCTCTGAAAAATACATCTCCACCATGTCAGAGAGATCCCGCCAAGTCTTCAGGTGCACCTATTGAAGGCAGTAAAATACCAGCTGAGGATAGAAACACGGAGGCAAGACCGGCTCGTGATACAAGCATAAGTACGGCTGGGATCGAAGATTACTACGCCGTTAGTGAACCGGTTCCTGGCAGCAAGAAGAAGAAACGGGTTTATCCAAAAGCCCCGGTGTTCTCAGATGGCTGGAGTACATCCGAGTACACGGATCGCTTTGAAGTCGTGAAAGACCAGCTGCAGAAAACGGTGAATGAGGATGTCAAACTGCGCGACAAAATCAAGACCGCCATCCTATATAAGCTCCGGATGGTGGGCACGACACCCGTCGACGCGGTTCCAAGCGTTGTCATTGTATGGGATGATGCAAAGCACATGAAGTCTTTGAAATCGTTGTTCAGCTCGCGGGCACAATACAGCTTGCATTGCGGTGGTAAAAAGCCCTTTTCAAATCCCTTCAGCGAAACCCAACCTCGACACATTCCGCCTCTGAAGCTAGTCTACGTCTTGCACTCCCGGGGATCGATCAATCGGATGGCCTTGGTTGGAATTCCATTAAAGGCTTTCTTTGACAACAACGAGACCTACTGCGGTGGACTAGTCGAATACCAGGGGTCGTCAGCGACGCTCGCTATATCAATTCGAATCGACCATGCCAGCGCATATCTCACCGTTGACCATGTCTTTGCTCCACACTTGACTCCTGGCTGTAAAGCATCTGCTTGCGGGGAAATTTCACCCTCGGTCACTCCTTGTTCTCCGATAAATCCCAATGATGAACCAGATGATTTAGATCCTCTTTGGGAGAGTGACGATGACGAGTACGAGTACGACACGGAGGAGGATAACGATAGCGATTCTAGTGAATGCCGGACATCCGATATCGATCCTGCTGTGGTTTTCAGTGCCGAAAAGAGACGCTGCGAGGACTGGGAAGTGGTTCCACTCCCGCTGGATCTTGACCCAGCCTTACCTTACCTTGACTGGAGTCTGACTCGTCCAGTGTCACCGTCTTTGGACATCTCTCAAACCAACCTCCTATTCTTGAACGGCTTGAATGCCAAAGCGACTGCCGTTGATGCCATCCGGAGAAAGCCACGACACCATCTGGCACCAGTCAAATTAATATCTGGCATCCGGGGACCACTTCTTGGCTGCATACTTGCTGATTCGAGCTTTCTCGTATCGCTACCGGAGCAGAGGGACTGTGAGCTATTCACAGTAATATTAGACACTTCTGAAGGTAGGGATTTTGATTCAACCCCAAAATCAGGCATAGACTGACAATTTTCAAACATAGGTCTTATTCAAGGGGAATGTGGATCAGTCGTTGTCGACCAAGAGAGCACCGAGGTATACGGTCATGTTGTGGGATGCGATCCTTCAGGGCATGCTCTAGTCGTCCCATTGGAACATGTCTTTGCTCAGGTAAAGGCAAGTTTCAGGGCATCGTATGTCGGCCTTGATTCCTCTTCCTTGGGAGAGATGCCGATCCCTGGTCCCTTGGCATCCTCAGCCACCAACTCTGGTACGTCCAAGGCGACGCCATCAACCGGATTCTCCTACGACAAATCCAAAAGTAACCTTGCCCGCGAGCCTCCCGAGAAGCGTCACGTTCAACTGGCTGATCAACTTGATCATCAAAAGCCAGGTTCCGGACATGAAGGAAGTAACATCGCCAGCATCGCTCGCATGACCGACATTGCATCCATTCTTGAGCGGGAAGGAAAGTACGAAATGGCTGCGGAGAAATACAGGGAGATACTAGAGATCCAGAAGGAGATTTTGGGCGCATCTCATCCCAATGCGGTCATCAGCATGGACAAACTCGGCTCCTCACTGTCCCTTGCAGGAAGACACGATGAGGCTCTAGGCATTCACAAGGAGGCTTTTCAGCAACGGATGCAAGCACTTGGACCAGAGCACCCCAACACACGTACAAGCTTATACAACATTGCAATTGTGTTGGAAAGACAGGGAAAGTATAAGGAGGCCAAAGACATACTGAACCAGGCGCACGCGGTTCAGAGCAGAGTCCTGGACAAAGACCACGCTACCAAACTAGCCACGAATGATGGTTTTTCAACTACGCTCGCCAGTCAGAGCAAGTTTGATAGAGTCAAACCGGGGGGCAAACAGGCTTTTACGCCGCGACAGGAGTCACCCAGCCGCAAGGATCCCGACACGCTTGCTAGTACGAATCGCCTCATGCTTGACCTCGTAAAGCAAGGAAAGTATGGCGAGGCTGAGAAAATGGGCTGGGAGATACTTGCGCGACGACAGAATGCACTCGGCCCAAAACACCCAGACACTCTGACGAGCATGAGCAACCTTGCCGTTGTGCTAAAGAAACAAGAAAGGTACCCTGAGGCTGAGCAAATGGCCCGACGCACACTGGAGCTACGAACAGGCGTACTCGGGCAAGACCATCCGGACACGCTGAAGAGCCTGAACAACCTTGCAGTGCTTCTCGCTTGCATGGGTGAATACGGCAAAGCCGAGCTCATGCTCAGAGAAACAGTCGTGCTCCGAGAAAATCTTCTGGGGAAAGGGCATTCTCATACTGGTGTCAGTAGAGCCAACCTCGCAAGTGTGCTTGAGCTTCGAAGGCGTGATGATGGAAGTCATGACGGCCGGTACATGCGGGTTAATCTCGAGAAACTGCAGCACATCAGCGTATCGGGGGTGAATGAGCAGGCAGACAGTCTTTAGATCAAGTAACTAGGATCTTTGACAACACATCGAAGCCCGTCGTTCTCGTGGTGTTATTCCCCAGCAATCTCATCGTTTAACTTGGTCGCAGCTGTGCCACTACGTCTTTTTGACATTTTCCTGTCGCGTGCCGATTAGGCACCCGTAAAAACCGCGTGAGGGAGGAGAATAAGAGGCCATCGTCAAGCTGCTAGTCCTAGGCCAGTTGTTCGACGCGTTCCCTGGGCCTGAGCGGTTATTTTTGCTGCCCAGAAGGGAATAGCTCGACTTTTAGCGACGTCTAAGGTCTAAGGTCTTAGGTCTAAGGTCTAAGGTCTAAGGAGACTGCGGATCAGGGCCATAAGGATGTTAATTTCAAAGTGTCTACTACTGCATCAAAACTTGTCTTTGTTTCCTGGCGGCTTTTTCTTCATCGCCTTTCTTCAGGCTATGTTCTGGCACAGGTGTTTGTTCTGGCACAATTCCTTGTGTCTACAAAGTACTTGAATCTTGTCCAAGGAACTCCTTTTCCTCTACAAAGTACTTAAATCGTGGCCAATTCCTCTTTCTCTACGATATCCTTAAATCTCGACCAAATAACTCCTTTTCCTCTACGAAGTACTCAAATCTTGACCAAAAAACAATATGTCGTCCCTCACTACCCTCCTGCCTTCGGGCAAGAGACCCAACACGGAAGATGACGCCACGACCATCCCCCCTTCAGTCAAGAGACTCAAGACGGGAGATGACACCGCGCGCCCTGGTCCGAGCTTTGACGCAGACATGAGCGATGAGGACATGAGTGATGAGGAGGACAATGACGAGGAGGATAGTGACGAGGATGAAAGCGAATGGGGCTCGGATTCACAAGGGAGCTTCAGTTCGGACTCGATGGACGAAGCTGGAAGCCCGGGGCCGGCCACTGCACAAGGAACGATGCCGATCTTGCCTTTCGATGAGGCGCATATTGGCTCCGACGAGTGTTCGGACGGAAGTGTGAGTGAGTATCTAGAAGAGGAAGAGCAGGAGCTGGACAAGGAGGCTGCGGACTACTTGGACACGTACGAATGGGAACGTCGACATTTGAGAACAGACTTGCTCAGGGAGCTAGACCGTGACGCCACCGCGTCTGTCCGGGGCCTAGAGAAGATGGGCAAGTTGAACTTGGCTGGAGCTAATGGAAAGACGACTGAAGAGGAAGAGATTTCCGGCGCCTATTATGAGAGCGATTCAGAGAGCGATTCCGAGAGCGATTCCAAGGACTGGTCGAAGCCCAACGCGGTCGGGTGGGAGTCGGCCGCGGATGGCTCGCGACTTCTGCCAGAGGCAATCGTGCTCATGCTTGACTTCTTCAAGGACCGCCAGGACGTGAGCCGCGCCGAGTGCGAGGAGTACTGTCTCAAAGCATACCTGAAGGAGGCATATCCGGAGGCCCAGGAGCGGCCGCTCAACGTACACCCGTATCCCTCCGAGTTCCAGTTCCGCAACAGCTACATGGTCGAGATGATCGACACCACCATCGCCAACCCCGCCCTGATGACCCAGTTCTACATCACTCCCGACACGCTGGATGAGGCCCAGCTCGCCAGGGCGAAAGAGGCATACGGCAGCTTCGTCCCGGAGTACACCTACGTTGGCAACATGGGTCTGGCGCCCAACCACCCAGAGCTGTTTGTGTGGCGGATCGTGTCCCCGGCTGGGCGCCCATTCGCGGCCAGCGGGCACCGGCTCGGTATGCGAGTCAACCAGGACAAGTACGTCGGCATCCTGAAGCACTTTGTCGACTTTGTATGTGAGCCGCTGCGGCTGGCAGGCGGTGGTGACGGCCTCGGCAATGGGCAAGACTGGCCCATGGTGTTGCACAACCCTCGCCTCGACGAGTACAACATCATGGTCCGGCCCGACTGGTCCGGCATCGCCTGCGTGCTGCTCTGGGCGGCGCCGCCCGTCATGACGCTCCCCTTCGGCGCCTCCCTCACCGGCCTCCTGTGTCTGCAGGGGCTCCCAGACCCATACGAGCCCCGACACGCAGCAGACGGCAGTCCTCCCCCGTTCGAGGGCTACAGCCGTGAGGTGTGCCAGTTGCAGAGCCTCTGCATGTACTACCTGCGGAAGAAGCATTCGGCCCTCGCGAATGACGCCCAGCCGTGGCACCGCCTGTTCGCGGCCATGGCGCAGGGCGTCGCGGCGGCGGCCGGCTTGGAGGAGTGCCGAAAGAAGTGCTACGGGATGGAGCTCGACAAGTTTGTTTGGGATTGGTGCCGCTTTGAAATGGACTTTGGTGTCTCTGATATCATGGCCGTCACCTGTGCAGAAAGCGAACGTGGAGGAGGCGATGGCGACGTGGACATGATGGATATGGACATGGACTGATTGGGATTGATCTAAGGAGGGAAGGCTGGAGGAAACGGGAAATTGATTCCATCTCATTTGGAATCTTTCCTACAGTGCAACAACTACTACTACTTAGTCGTCCACTTCGTTTCCAAGTACAAGCCAGAAATGTATCTACCACTTTTAATACCATGATGGATTGTCCCGAATGAACTTGTGCGGTTTCGTGGTGAATGGAGGCAATGAAAATCAACGCCTGGAATGCAGCATATCTTTACGCATTGGTTCGAAAATGGCTACTTGCCCGATTTGAATCCATAGAAACGTAGACAGGCCCTTTGCTTTGGAGGTGGTGAGTGCCGCTACGGAACAGAACCGATCTTTCTCAGGCTGACTCCCTTCTCTTAGTTCTGGGACGCGGACCCTCCCGACTTCCATCACTACCACGCCGCCTCAATCCATGCCCTGCACGCTCAACTAATACATCTCAAAGAAGCATATCCATAATCTCCCCCAAGCCCAGCTCATCCTCATCCACCGGTCCAGCCATCTCTGGATCATCCCACCCCGGAATATAACTCCCCCCCAAGTCAATAACCCAAGCATCATCGTTCTTATCAATGAGGACATTGTCCGCCTTGGCATCACACCAGACAGCGCCTTGTCGATGAAGCGTCTTAACTGACCCGTCAATCTGAGATGCCCAACGTCGCCGCAAGTCAGGCGGACTCTGTTTAGCAAGCCGCCTTGATAATACCTCTCTCTTGTCGATCCAAGGGAACAGCATGCCCAGTAATACGCTCCCATCCCGAACAAGGCCGTAGAGTTGACAAAGCCGTACATACGGAGGAACCCTCTGTGCTCTCGCCATCCTTTGGTAGGTGCTGAGCTCGATATTTGCCTGTGCAGTGCCTGATGAAGCTCTGAATGGCTTGAAGAAACAAGTGACTGATTGGCCGTCAGGGTTGATAAGTATGACCCTTGTCGGAGGCTTGATGAGGACATGACGGGGTTTGTCGTAGCAGACTTCGATCTTGGATGGATGGAAGGTCTGCGTCCACCGACCAAGGTCCTTGACGGAGTCGTCATCTAGCGTGAGCGTCGAAGCCCGCCAGGTATACTCTTGGGAGTCTTGTACCTGAATCGGCCGTATATGGTTATCCTCGCCATCAAGGATGCAGGATACTTGCTGAGGAAAGAGGTATTGAGACAATGTCGGTCGTCCACTCGCTGTTAATATTGGTAGCGGAATTGTGGGCTGCGCGAGCTCAGCGATCAGGTACCTGAATGGTAGGAGTAACGAATCGCAGGCGTCTTCTCGAGAGAAACCGTCCGTCCCGTCGTCGCCGAACCGAAGCTTGCTGAGACATTTGAAGTACTCCTCCATCATCTGGGGCGACTGAACAAATTGAAGCGGGTCGAGGTGGCAGTTGAAAAGCCAGCCGTTGCTAGTTCGGACGGTGAGATCGCAGTCATCGCCGGAGACAGTCGGCCAAGAGGCAACATCATAGTGGAAAGCCATTTCCATGTGGTATAAATATTGCAGTTTCTGGTAATGTGCGTGACCTTGTTCCAATTTTCAAGAGTGCGAAGATTGAAGAGGAAGAAGGGGAGTCTGGTGGAATGCAGGAAAGTGTGAGAAGTCGTCGATTGCGGGGAATCTGACGCGGGAGTACCTCGGCGAGCAGGACAGTCCTGACCGCTCCACCTCTCGCCTTCCACCTTCCACCTTCCACCTTCCATACCGTAGGTACCTTACCTACCTTAGGTACCAACAGCATCAGCCTTATTTCTACGAGCTCATTGTCCATCCACCTTTAATTCCTCAGAGGAAGTGGCTTCTCAACCATCCTCTTAACTATCTTCTCACACCCATCAGCATGGAAGTCGAACTGTCATGCGCCAGGTGTCTCCGGAAAGCCCAGACATTTTCGACTTCATCATGGAGCTCTATCGTGCTTGCAGTGGAGATTGGAACACCTTGGTGACGGAATGCAATATCCTTCTCGAGGAGCTTGAAGCCTTTTTCGAGTATGCTGGCATGTTTCTCTGCAACTTGGGCAACCTTTACGTGAGTTCGATACCATGAATTTGGTAGCCAGCGCTGATCTTGAACAGGGCGAAGGCGATCAAAAGTTTGTTCCTGACTTAACCGTCTAAATTCTGCACAAAATTGCCACCATCTCCCCAAAGGCTAAGGACGGACTGGAGAAGTTCATCGACCCGTTGTTGGCAGTCCCACGATTCAGCCTCGGATACCCCAGCAAGAGCGCGCAGTCGGCCTTCTACCCTAGCACCGAGCCCATTTCCCAACAATAGATCGCCAAGGTGTCCGAGGGTATGAACAACACTTGATAGGGCCAGAGAATACTCGAGTTCGGAAACTGTTTGCGCATGGCAAGCCCATCTACCAGCTGTTGCGGGCTTCTGCCGAGACCGGTGTTTCCAACAGAACTTCACGAACTTGCCGGTGATATCTTTGTCGTCAAGGGCAATCACGCCGAAGAACTAGCCAAGGTGTGTTGGGCTCTAGAAAAACCAAATGAGTATGCAGGTAACAACAAGCAAACCCAACTATTGTCGCATTACATCGAATGCTTTCGCACTAGAAGCTTGGAAGCTTTCCAAGAGGCGCAAAAGGCATGGGTGACGCATGTGGCTACAAGAGTGGAACACTTGATGGGCTTTATCGAGCCTTACCGCGATCCGGCCGGAATCAGGTCGGAGTGGGAGGCCATGGTAGGAATCACCGATCCGGACGAGGCGGCCCGGTTGAAGCGCCTGGTTGAGAGTTCAACTGCCGTCATTCGACAACCCCCCTGGGCGGTTGAGGATGCGAATGACGGCAAAGGACCGATCGAGGAGAGCCTGTTCGAGGCTCTTGACTTCACGAGCGTCCACGGTTAGCTCCTCAGTCCCCACGCCCAAGTATCGAGACATACTAACTTGACTCTCTTAGCGCTCGCCGTATGCGGTAGTATCGTCTTCGAAGCCGCCAATCTTCCCAACGCAAGTTCAAGAAACCTTCCTGCGGAACCAAACTAATGACCGGGTTAGTACGAATACATTCGAGAAACCTGCGGCTTCAAAAACGTCGTTCTCACGAATCGTCTAAACGCCAACAACAACCCCCAGCTACCGTGCTATTGGGTCGCTCCATCCCAGTTGAAGTTCTTCAAGGACACCACGCGCATTGTCAGATTCATCACCACGGCCACCCACGAGCTACTTGGTCACGAAACCGGCAAACTCGCCACTGAAACCGCACCAGGCATCTACAACTTCAACGAGCAGAACCTGCCCACCAGTCCCATCAGCAAGAAAGCCATAACCTCGCACTACCTGCCTGGCCAGACATGGGCAAGCGTCTTTGGCAAGTTGGTGGGGACGGTGGAGGAGTGTCGTGCTATTTTGGTCTCGGAATATCTCCTGGACGACAAAAACCTGCTGGGGATTTCCGGTTACACTGATGACAGTGAAATCACAGCTAGTGATTGTACGTCGTATCACGACTCATGTGGACAAACTTGCTGACACTGGCACCTGTGAATTTAGTCCTCTACGCCACCTATCTTAATATCGGCGTCGATATCCTTCAAGCTCTCGAAGATTACAATTTTCAGAATCAGGCTTGGGGCCAAGTCCACCACCAGGTACGCACACTCACCTATTTTGATTTATTTCCCGTACAAATTCCTCGCAAGTCTAACTCCAACTCAGGCCAACTTCTCCATCCTCAAACACCTCCAAGATGGCGATGGCGTTATCCGCTTCGCCCACGACCCCGCCAAGTCGAGCCTCACCGTCCACATAGACCGCAGCAAGATCATCTCGCCCGGCAAACCCGCCCTAGGCCGCTACCTCTCCCGCCTGCACATCTGGCGCTGTACCGCCGACGTTTCCTCTTGCAAGGACTTCTACGAGCCCCGCTGTGCAGTCGAGGGGAAGTACGAGCAGTGGCGACGGATTGTGTGTTCGAAGCCGAGTCCAAGATGGAAGCTTGTGCAGCCCAATACCTTTGTGAAGGGGGACACTGTGGAGATGAAGGTGTACGAGGAAAATAATAGAGTTATTATTCAGTCTTGGGTTGAGAGGGACGTTTGAGGTTATTGGCGGCCCCTTGATGGCATCTGTCACGGCCCATATCGTGACCCAGGCCAGACCTGAGAGGCGGTTGAGTGACGTACTCAGCCTGTGGAAAAAGGGTATGCCGCACGACGGAGGTTGTGATCAGGCATCAGGCGTCAGGCAACAACAAGCAAGGGACGAGAAAAGAGAAAAGAGAAACGAGAAACGAGGCGTGGGTGCCCTCATCACAAGCTGAATCGAAGCACGTATTGGCCCTGAGCGCCATGAGGGTCCCGGATTCCATCGCGAGGGCATCAGCCGAGATTCTGGCTGGGGCCTGGGCTGATGAACACCACAGCGACATCGGTGGTGGGCAGATATTTGCCTCCGCTACCTCCCTCGCCCGTGCAATTCTGCACCTCTGTATGGCAGTGTCTGCATAGCGCTGCACCGCGCACTGCACAGAGGGCGTGTCGTTCCCCGTGCCTCCCCGTGTCTTCTCCCACGCTCCCACGCTCCTCACGGGTCGTGGTGTGAGCCTCGCTCGCTGGTGGCCTGCTCCTGTGTCCACTGTCAATTGTTCCTCGTCGGACCGGACCTGCTGCTTGTATTTCTTCAGTGAGTGTGACCTTCTCCTCTGCTGGGGGCCCGGCGACCAGCGGCGCACACCTACTAGCAGCTGTAGTGTGATTCCCTTGCTCAGGAGTCTGGTATGATTGATGTACGGGCACTTGATTACCAGGTACGCAAGTTGGTGTGCTACTGGCAGACTGGAATTGCCCCATGCTGATCTGCGGGGAGAAAACAGGGAGTGTGCAGTCTTTTCAACCGACCATGTAATATGATTTATATGCCCTTTTGTTACACGCGGCAGCTCGAATCCAAATCACACCGGTCAAGTCACTGGCCTCCGTCACTCTAAACAATCCCGCTCGTCGTCGTCGGGTTTTTAGATTGGTTCTTAAAGGCGATCACATACCAGGCAAGCCGTCTTAGTGCCCGTTACCCAAAAGCATTCACAACATGAAAGTCTAATTGCGTGACAGATGTTCGCCTCCAGGCAATAGCATTGCTCTTCGGAATGGAGGACGCACTGGTCCAACGGTGGCCCGGCATACATATCGGGTGCAGCCACTTGGAAGCTAGGTCCGAAGCCCTGCTGCGTGACGAGTTCAACGTCGTCCGGAGAGTCCTAAAGCGAGCGAGGTCAACTAACGCTCACGAAGGCTGGCACTGGTGCCTCGCTGTGCTCCGGGGCTTTCAGACTCTGCAAGCGCACGAAAAACGCCGAAAGCGGGAGTATGGAGAACGTCTCGCGGCATTTGACTAAGGACGAACCGACTGGATTCGGCACTTCTGAGAAGGAGCGCGCAATTCTTGGAATATTCGCAGTGCGTTGCTGGACATCCATGACGCTGGACCCAGACCTCGAGCTAGATCAGACCGATCAGTCGACGGCGAGGAACAATCGACGGCGGGAACAATCGACGTTTGTCTTTCCACGCAAGAGGAGTCAGGAAAGATGAGTCTCCCCAGGCGGCCCATAACGGTATAAGGGGCGCGTTGGAAGGTTTCGAACACGCCAGGGCCGCCCCTGGAGCTGCGGAGATGGGTACGATTCACGAATCGAGCGTCAACTTCTTCTCGCTGTATACCGTGGGTCGAGTGCGGATCAAATGGGTAGACGACCCGGCATCTCATCTGGCCTTCGACCGACAATTCCGAACGCTTTCAGTCTTCTGCCTACCAACGTTCTGCGTTGGCAGCATTCTGCGGACACAAAGGATCAACGTTCTTCAGCAGTGAGTCTACTTGGCACCCTTGGAACGCTCCCGCTTGACATATTTGCTCATCTCCTTGAAGCTTCTCGACCACCTCAAACAGTCGTCCCGGGCTGTCGACCCCTTCCTCCGCACCACGTTTCCTCGGCCGCTTTAGCAAGTCCCCAATCCCATACGAGGTATTCCCCACCCAACCTAGTATAACGTTTTGGGCTGCAGTATGGGGGGGCGATTGTTGGATATGGATCTAGTCCCACAAATTCCCGAACTGATCGAAGAGGGGCTTCGGAGAGGGGCTTCGGAGAGGGGCTTCGGAGAGGGGCGGGGGTCGCGGGCGCTTCATCCCAGCCGGGGATCGTTTTAGCGGTCGATCATTACGATGGCCGTCATCAAAGACCGCTAACAATCCCTGAACAGCACCGAAAGGAGCAAATCCTAGCGCGTTGCTCACTGCAGGCCCCGGTAACTCATGTACTAGTGGATTTTGCCCTGATGGAGGAGGGGCAGTTCTACGGACGAGTCTTCAGACCCTTGCAGCCGAATGCCAATACGACACAGCGACCTCTGATACTTCCGCGAACACACATACGGCGGATTCCAGATGCAATCACCCAGCAGCCTCCTCCAAAACAGCTCCAAACGCTCCGTCACCTCGTCGCGATTCCACATCTCGGCGCAATCCGCCATCGGCCCTGGCATCTCTCCATGGCCGGAGACACATGACCAAAGACACCAACCACCATCCTCATTCAACGCCGTAGTCCATCCAGCCTGGAATACGTTCCGAGGTAAATCGTCCTGGTATGTCGCCATTTTCCGTAAGAGGCCTCGGGGCAACTGTCTCGCTGTAAAGGTGTTCCAATTGTTACATACCATCCTTCCAGAGGACATACCCCTTCGAGCCTAGCCGTAACCCGTCGACTGCTGCCTTTGTTCGTCACCACCAAATCTTCCATGCCCCCGGTAGGCAAACGAGGCCTTGGCAACGACTCCATAGGCTTTGCGTGACATGTGAGTAGAGGGCGTCACCTGCCGCCTAGCGCCAACAGCTAGCTCAGATCGCCTCAGAATGTAAGTGAGCCTTGGTGTCATCCTTGAAGTAATTTACTCTACCTGGGCGCTCTATCTTAGCCCTTCCGCCGTGCGTGTCTCCTCTTCGATACGGCTTTGGTTTGAGGCACGTCCCGTCCGCCTCTATTCCTACTTCCCGCCTTCGGTCCAGGTGGCCTTGTATCCTCTGGCCTCGACCGCTCCCCGGCCGTCTCAAGAGCTTGGCGGCGCGACGCGACCCGAGCGCTGCGACGAAGGCCTTGCCTCGTAGCCTGAGGGGCATCCAGTTAAATCGACCGTTTGGCTGGAGACTTGTCTGTGTGGGAGTCCAAAACTTCGATGTGATCGATCGCTGAGTCCGTCTGTGCCTCTCCGGCTTCTGGTGTGATGGTTGTGCGATGGCTGGGAGTGGAAGCAAGCGCCCGCTGTTCGACCTTCTGCTTCTTGCGTCTTGGATTCTCTGAGCCGTCCTCTTCGGCAACGGACCTCTTCTTCTTTTTGTTCGTACCGGTCCCAGCCTCGTTTTCTTGTGACTCTCCTACTTCCGCCTCAATCAAAGGAACTTGCTCCAAGACCCATTGCACAAGACTGCGCTGGCGAGCAGCATCCTTCTTCGCACTATTGTACCCGTGCGTCCCCTGAATAAATTTGCTGATTTTATTGCTCCGTCTCATAATCTGCTGACACCGTTTGTTTGCGGCATTCAACTTGTTTGCAGCGGCTTCCATCATCGACATACGCTTTGCCTTGGGAATGCGCAAACGCTGGGGATCTTTCTGTGTCATCGTGTACACCTTTGTAGCTTCTGACTTCGCAATCCTTACAGCTTCCTGAGCCCGGTCCTCCTCCGCCTGCCGCTCCATTGGGGATGCGATAGTCCGCAAGAATTCTTGGGTCTCGTGCGGCCTCAACATCTTCAAGTCCACAAGCTCCTGCCAGGCCTCATCGTGAGCTGGCTTCAGGCTCTCCATAGCCTTAGTGTGCCGGTCGAGCCACCAGTACTCGAAGTTGAGGTATTCGATCCATGTCGTCAACTTATCTTGTTGCTTAGGGTCTTCGTGTAGGTGGAATAGCCGAATAAAGTCGTGCTGTGCCAGGCGGCGCTTTACCGCCTCAGCGTACTGCGGGAAACCATCGCAGCCACGTTCTCCGCAATGGTATCGTTGTTTGCCCCGTTTGAAAACCTCAAAGTCCCACTCCTCCTGGACGAATGAAGGATCAGCTTCAACCTCGGCCAGCCACTCGTCGTATTCGTCTTTGTGCGACAGCCACTCCCATTTATGCCTCATCGACTCGAGATATGCTGGGAAGCCACCCTCGTCATCCTCTTCGATCCATCGGTTATCGTTTTGCCACCTGCGGAAATCCCTCCACCTCGCGAGCTGTGTCTGGAACAATTCCAAGTGCCTTGAACTTCCCTGCCAGTACAATTCCCAGATTCGCGGTCTATCGCGGCCATCCCATGGGTATATCATGTCGCGATGGTCGTCTGGATTCTGAAAAACCTGCTCGAGTCGGTCGATCGTGTATAGCGGTCGGCTCCCGTCTTTGACAAGGTCATGGTATGCCTTGGTCTCGAGTCCTCGGCTGCCGGCTACGAAGTCGGGGGGGGACACGGTTATTCTTCTCGTGCGGCGGCTTGCTCGATCTCGGGCAGAGGGGCTGCTGGCATCGGAGACGTCGCGAAGGCGTGCATCAAGCGCGTCGAGATCGAGCGGACGGGAATAAGCCGTAGGACTCTGGGCTAAGGCTTGTCCTTGGGCTCTAGCTCATCGTTAGCAGATAGGACGGGGCGATAGGCATTAAGCTAGCTAGAGAGGGCGACTCACTTTAACCTCTCTGCGAGTTGGTTTCGCTCATCCTTTGATAGTTTATCCCAACCGTCAACGGGCAGGCCAAAGCCGCCGTCGGGACGGCGGTGCTTCATCATGAACTCGCAAAGCTCTGCATCGCTAAGAGCGGCGATATCGTCCACGGTCAATATCGCAGTTGTCGGTTCCGGGGAACCCATGGTGCCATCCATTTGAGCGTAGAGATAAATCGTGTTTGAAGAGGGGTGTTTGAAGAGGGGTGTCGCCGGGTTTCGTTGGTTGCGATAAATGGTTGAATCCTCAGGCAGCAACTGGGTTGAGGGTGGGACCTTCAGACCCCTAGGCAAGCAGACTTTCAAGCGACTGACTGACTGACTGACTAACTGACCTAGCAAACGGGCCCTTAATCCGGCAGACCGTCGAGCCCCCAGGCAAGCAGACCATCAAGCAGACCGTCAAGCAGACCGTCAAGCAGACTGTTAAGCCCCCAGACAAACAGACCTTCGAGCGACTGACTGACTGATCTAGCAGACGGACCCTTTATCAGACGGACCTTCAAGCCTCTCGGTAAGCAGACCACTAAGCCCTCTGCTTGCTTGCCTGCTTGCTTGATTGCTTGCTTGCTTGACTGACTGACTAACTGACTGACTGACTGACTGACTGACAGATCCAGCAGACTTCCCGGCCCTCAATCCAACAGACCCCCTGGAACCCTACGCAAGCAGACCTCTAAGCCCTCTGCTCGTCTGTCTGTCTGACTGACTGACTGACTGACTGACTGGCGGGCTCTAGACAAGCAGACCTGTGAGCCCTTTGCCCGACTGACTGACTGACTGACTGACTGACTGACTGACAGAAAACAAGCGTGCCGCAGGTAGCCCCGGCAGGGCCGCCGGAGGCACAAACACTACAAATAAAAGGAGCAGGTAGAGTCACAGCAAGGGTCCTATTTGCCTCTAACAGCAGCCCTGGCCCCTCTGAGCCTTGGCGAAGAGAGCTGCGCAGCGGCTTTAGGGCAGGGCTGCTGGAGGCAAATATGACCTACTGGCCTGGGGCTACAGCTTTGCTTACCCCTATGACAGCTTGCTGATATCGGACCTGTAGAGAGTGATTGTTGTATAAGTACAACTAATCCGCTGCCAACAGGCACGATATTTCTTTTTTCTCTCTGTAACCTTACCTTCCCGTGCAAGATACAAAGACTTACCTTTCAATATGGAAGATACCGACCTCATCGCTTACGTGTATCCCCACAACGACGTTCGGAGCCGAGTATCGAAGGCATTCAAAAAGAGTTCGCGCTATATCCATCCGCCCCTTCAGAAGTCTCCCACGAATGAAAGCCGCAGCAAGCGAGGGTCAACTGAGCCTCCAGAGAATCCTGACGCCTCAGACTTTGACCACCTGCCGCGCCTCGAGATCCGATTCAGCGATATCCCGCGAACCGACCGCGGCATCGTCTTCGGGGCAAACTCGAATTGCGATGTCGTCTTGAATTATCTTGGCGTCTCCAACTACCACTTCAGCCTTACCTTCGACGAGATGAACCGCCCTATCGTCCAGGACTGGGGTTCTCTCATGGGAACCGAAGTTACCTACGACGATCAGGGACACGGCATACGAAGCGATTTCCGCTGGATTGTGGGCGGCACCAAGGTTCCCCAGGACATAAAAAGCATCTTCATCACGGTGACGAAGACTATCGCGTTCGAGATCGTCGTCGCCCGCCACAATATCGCTTCGGAGGTGTATGTCGACAAGGTCAACTTATTCCGCCAGGACACAGCAACGGCCGAAGATCTTTTCGGCCATCTTGACTTGCCCCGGGATACAAAATTGCACACCGGAGCCCGGACGCCAGGTACGGATGCCATCTATCTGAAGAAGAAGCTCGGCGAGGGTAGTTTCGGCGTCGTGACACATCACTGGAACGTCAGTGACGGGAGCGAGTTTGCCCTGAAGGAGCCTACTTTGAGGGCGATTCGGGAACGAAGGGTCGACAATAAGGCATGGATGAAGGAGGCTCGCATTATGGGTCAACTTTCGCATGTTTGTATAATACCTATCCGTTAATGACTTCTTTCTAATAATCTAGCAGCGAAATATCGTCAGACTTTTCGAATCACCCCCAACGCCATACCCCGAACTGCGCCTAGAGTACGCGCCCTGCGGGTCTTTGAGAGACCAGAAAAATATATCAGCAGATGAGACCGAGTCAATTCTCAATCAATGCTTGTCAGCCCTGATGTACCTACACGAGACGAAACGCCAATTGCGCATCGAGACATCAAGCCAGACAATATTCTCGTCCAGCACCGATTCCCAGGCGATATCTACGTGAAGTTCGGAGACTTTGGGTTGGCGCAGGATAGTTGCGAGTTGATGACCATCTGTGGCACCCCGATGTATCAAGCACCTGAGATCTACTTGGAATGGCAGCGTTACTGTTTCGGAGAGGAGAGATCGAGCTATAACACAGCTGTCGATATCTGGTCTCTTGGTGTGGTGGTGTACGAGCTGATGTACGACCTTCCGCGGTACAAATCCTCGTACAAGAACGGCGGGGCTGCCTGGTGCGAGAAGATTGTCGCCGAGTTCCAACAGGACTTGCAGAACTGGCCCAACGAACTAGGTCGGTTCCCATTGAGCAGCATGTTGGTCATATCACCAGACATCCGGTACACCGCTCGCGAATGTTACGAGCTGTGTTGTACGGCCAGCGCGAGCTGCCAAACTCCGACGGCAGTAGCTCCATATTCCAAGGAGGGGGAGCAGATGACGGGTCAGTATAGCCCTGAGGATCATGTTGCCAACGACCAAGGGACAGCAATCTGGCAGCCAGGGCCTTCCGCGGATGCCTATGCGACCATCTCGTCCTATCATGAGGGTAGCTTCATTGGATCGGAAGCTCCGCCTCCTGAGTCTTTGCCGTCAGGGTCGAGAGCAACCCGAAATCGGACAGCAACGTCCAAGGCACCAGCGTCATCGTCGTCATCGGCACGATATACCCAACGCCAGGAAGGTCGCAGCAGCCGACGCGAGCCCATCTCGAGCCAGCGACCGGAGTTGGCCCACTTCTTGGAAGACTACTCGCCGGATCCGCTCAACTCCCTTTATGTCGGATCGTCTATCGCAGCGTGGACAGAGAGAGAGGGGTCAGGCGTCCTCCGTATCACAAGCGGACAAATCTGGGTTTCTCCTCTTGAGGTAGATCTCCGCCTCATCCCGCAAATCTTTCGCCTCGCAAGTGCCATCGTCGACATCTTCGTCTTGTACCAACGCCTCCGAAAGCTTAAACAGGTTGCGGGCATGCTCAACCGGCATGTTCTTCCTGTATAACTTGGTCATCTCCATCGAGTCACGGATGTGTTTGCTACAGAGCCTGGTTAGTATATGATTTGAGGCTGGCATGCGAGGTGGAAATGGTTGTGTCGGGCTTACATTGCGGCTTCAACCTTGCCCTGGTCGAGGCAACACACGCCGATCTTGTACATGCATCCGGCGTTGAATGGGTGTATACGCACCTGATCTCCCTTTAGCCAGGAGTTCTGCGCCTCTATAAAATGAGCTTCGGCCGCTTCAAATTTGCGCTGGCGTCGCTCCATGGTTCCTTGGACGAAATATGCGCTGAAAGGAGGTGAGCTAGTTCTCTAGGCGATATCAGCGGTGGCCCAGGTTCGACTTACTACGCAAGCATCGCCCAGTTAGAGGGCTTCGAATGTTTTAATTGGGGGATGGAGATGTTGAGCAATTCCTTCGCTCCCTCAAAATCGTTGAGATAGACCATGCATCGCGCAGTGTTCTTTAATATGAAAGGGGGGCAGTCACGAGTCGCTCCTTGACTCTCGACCGAGGCTGGCCACCAATCCCGTGACCTTTGGAACCACTCCAGGGCTGTTTTGTGGTCGTTGGCGGTATTGTGGCAGTAACCAAGATTGTTCGCAATGTAGCAGAGCAAGGCTTCCCTTGGGGGATTCTCACCAAGCCGGATCTCATATGCCCCTTTGTTCAATTCGATAGCCTTTTCCGCGTTGCCGAGGCTTTCGGCCAGGTTTGCCTGGTGTGTCATGACGGTAGCTTTCAGGTCGTTCTTCTGAGGTCCATCTTCCAGAGTGTTCACGGCAGCCAAGTTGACATCGCATAAACTTTCCAGTTCCGTCAATGCGTTTGACTCATACAGATATCTAAGGAAGACGAGTTGTTAGGATGATCTCACAATGTCACAGTCTGTTGTTGAAGATATGCACATACCGTTGGCATTGAGCGAGGAGTTCACAAAACTGCGATGAGGCCTTGAAGGTCTTGGACATCCTCCTCTCATCTGTGAAACAGTCTTTCAAATGGAGGACATGCTGCAGGTATCGATTGCATGTTTCCCATGCGTCGTACAGCTGACCCTTGGCGGTGTCTTCCTCTGGAAAGACGTCATAAACAAGCGCAACCGTAGTATCGAAGGCTTTTTGTCGCTGTTCTTGGCTCAGAAAGCACTTGAACTGCGCTTGGACCATCCTGTGGATAGAGAGTACTCGTGTGTCCCTGTTCCTCTTTACCAACGCAAGTGTGAGAAGTTTGCTCCGTGCGGACGAAAGGCTGCAGGTCTGACTTCAGTAACGTATTCATGGCTGATCCAAGACAAAATTTACCTGAAATTATCGGAGCAAAAGTCGAGATCCTCCGGAAATTCGCGACCAGCGCCCGCGTCGAATAGTTCCTGCGGAATGATATCCGGCATCAAGTATGACAGTACGCCTAGAAGAGAACGACTATTCTGATCCAGAGACCTGAAGGAAAAGTCCCAGAGCGTTGCCATTTCATTCGTGGCATGCGCTCGGCGGGGGTTCCTCAGATACATGGTCATGAATTCCTGTATAGTAGACTCTCCGTCGTGAATGATGCCTGCCATTTGTGAAATGGCCAATGCGTGTCCACTCAATCGTTCGGACAGAGTCAATGCAGAATTGCCTTCTGCTTCCAGATCACGTCCAATTCCCCGTTTCAAGAGGAAGAGGAGAAACTCTGATCCCTTTTTGGGGTCCCATGTTATAACTTCCACCCCTGACGAAGCAGGCTGGAATGCCAATGAATGATTCCGAGTTGTGATAATAGCCTTGCCTTGGCTCGACCCTGGCCAGTAGGGCATGAGCATGTCGGCCGACTCGACATTGTCATAGACAATCAGCCACCTGCAATCTGCTTTAAAGGTTAGCTTCTGACAGCTGGCCTTGAACTTTTGCAAACTTAAACTTGCCTGTGGACTGGAACCAAGCTTGGACTAAGAGCAAGTTCTCGTCGTGAGTCTGGGGCTGAGCACCGTGTAGCTTGAGTCTCATGGCAATATCCGTGAAGCTCTGCCGCAACGACTCCGGTTTCTCGCCACGAACCCACAAAGCAACGTCGTAATCATTCTCATTGAATTTCGTTTCGATGTATGTCGAGGCAATAGAGCTTTTCCCGATTCCGCCCAGACCATGTAAAGCGACAGACCGGAATGAACTCCCTTTGCCTAGGATATGGTCAAGCTTCTCAAACACATCGACTCGGTCAAAAAACCGGGTCGTTTTTATCGGAGGCAACATGAGGTAACGTAACCTGGGCGCCTTTACAATCGCGTCCGTACTTGGTTTCTGGGCCGATGCTGATGAATTCATTTGGATTAGTTTCTCAAACCTGGCTACAGCTTCTCCGAGCTCTTGGTTAGTGGTAGCATAGCGTTGTTCAATACGTTGGAGTGGGCTTCCACTTTCCCGGTGATATGAAGAGCCGCCATCTAAAACCTTAGCTTGAAATCATGGGAACGAAAAAAAAAGAAGAAGGGGGGCGGGGGGTTAGTTTACGTACGGGGCAATGGAACGTCACCCGCTTGATGGATATCATTGATTGAGACCGTGAAGAATTCGACCAACAGCATTTGCATGTCGAAGCATGCTTCTTTCATTGGATTGCTGACGACCTGAATGTCGTGGCCGAAACGGTTAAAAGCCTCGGCCTTGTGGGCTAAGGACTTCACCATCCGAGGAATTTTGCCCAGCGTTTCTGGATCATCGGCGGCAAGCTGTCTGACGCATCAGTTCACTTGGTCTAGGAAAGTATGACAGCCCGGAAGCCGATGTCAAGGTTAACTCGCCTTCAAGAGGCACGCGAGTGTACCCCAAACAAATGACGCATCGAGGTCCGGCCCAAGCCTTGTCTCGAAGAATTCGGCGAAGACGTTCAGATGGCCCAGAGCCGGTCGAATCAGAGCGATGGACGGCGGAACACCATTGAAGACATGTCTTTGGACGTCGTGCCATGATCTGAAGCTTTCGACTGTCTCGCGGTCGTCATCATCTAACGAATTACGATGTCTGTTGACGGCCTCGGCCCATTCCCGACCGAAGAATTCTTCCCTACAACAAGTGTCTCAGTGTGTGAAAAGAGTTAAATCGGACTACCCACACATTACTCACAGTGCTTCCGTCTCCATGTTGTCCAAATTACACAGCACGCCAGGGAATTTACCCGACGATGAGCGGTGCGAGGGAGGTTGGTGTCGCCGTGGGTATGTATGGAGGCAGCCCTGGATTAAAATAAAGGAAGAAAGGTGGTGTGGGTCAGGCACCTGTTGGGGATCAGCCGGGAAAATACCCCGCTTAATGGGAGGGTTAAAGGTTAAAGGTTAAAGGGTGGAGGGGGGGCTGTGATGAAATCGCGTCTGGAATATGCCTAAATCTGCGCCTAAGGCACGGACTGGCCCTGCCTGCAGCTGGCGGGGGTAGGCCCTCTTTCGACCGAGGAAAAGCAGTGGCTCAAGAAACAAGAAACACTGGGGCGGCGTGACGCGGACACACGCGACTTGGTTGGCGCGGACTTGACACGGTGTCACGTTCAGGCCACGTGATTTTTAGGTCCTGCTTTTTCGCCTGACACCAAGTATGCAACGGATGCCACATGAAAGAGTAGAGAAATGCCAGGGGTGTATTCTCATCCCCGCTTCCAGCACAACCATTATCTAGGTACTATTCTTAGCTTGTTGAGTCGCCGGATTTTAGCTAGTCAACGACCCCCGGTGAGGGACGAACGGGGGGTTGAGCTGTAGTGAAATGACGAGACCCCCTAGTAGTCCAATTACCTCCGTGACCTCTGCTCTCAGCAATCAAATTCTGATCAGATTTCCAGCAGCATGCCAAGAAGCTAGGGATCAGCCAGATCAGCCATGGATGAGGTGGGTAGAATCACCAAGGCACAAACACTACAAATAAAAGGAGTAGGTAGAGTCACAGCAAGGGTCCTATTTGCCTCTAACAGCAGCCCTGGCCCCTTTGAGCCTTGGCGAAGAGAGCTACGCAGCGGCTTTAGGGCAGGGCTGCTAGAGGCAAATATAACCTACTAGCCTGGGGCTATAGTTTTGCTTACCTCTATAATAGCTTGTTAATATTAAATCTATAAAAAGTAATTATTATATAAGTAAACTTAATTTACTATTAATAGATATAATATTTTTTTTATAATTTAATTTTTTTATATAAATATTTTAAAAAAATTTATATTATATTTATTTATTTTTTTAAAAGTTTTTTATAAATAAAAATTAATTAAATTTTTTAAAAAAATTTTAAGATTTTAAATTTTAATTATTTATTATATTTTAAAATTTAATTTAATAATATTTTATAAATTAATTATAATATTATTTTTAAAATAAATTTAAATTATAATATTATTTTTAACTATATTAATATTTTTAATTATTATTTTAATTATTATTTTTAATAAAATAAATTATTTTATTATTTAAAATTAAAATATTTTTATAGAAATTAAAATTACTTATAATAATTAAAAATATAATATATAAAATAATTTTTATTAAATTATAAATAATATTAAGATTTTTTAAAATATAAAAAATATTTTTATTATAATAATAAAAATTATTATATTTAAAATTATTATTATTTATTATAATATTATTTTTAAAATATATATTAATAAAATTAATTTATTTTATTAAAATATAATAATAATTAAAATAATTTTAATTATTTTAATTTATTTTAAAATATAAAATTATATATTAAAGCTTAAATATTAAATATAAATATTTATTTATTTATTTAGTATACGCTATTTTACCTATATCTAGGCCTATAGAACTCCTTCAACTAATTCAGAGAGGAAAAACCTTCTAGCTATCTAGCTATAGGATAAAAACCTCGCTGCGATTTCGCTCTGCTACCTCAAAGGGCTCGTTGTTGTCGTCAGGTCTGTACTGGTAAACTCGTCACCAGCCTTGTCCAGGTTGCATAGTATGCATTTGCCCGCCTTCCGGTCTCGGCTTCCTCTGGGTCGTAGAGGAGCCGTCGGGGGGTTGTGTGCGAGATCGCAGCGACCGGTGCTGCGACCCGCCTGGTTCGCCTTCTTCGTGATCGCTTCGGCAGCGCTGCGTCTGCCCTTCCTGGTGCGGACCTCCGGATGACCTTGCGGTGGCCCCCCGGGCCGCCGTCGGCATCACGGAGTTCGGCCTTTCCTTCTTCCGGTCACGTGACCCTTGTGTGCCGGCGCGTGTGTGGGTGCCGGGCCCGCGCAGCCGTTCGCTCGGGATCCCGGCCCCACAATTTCCGGAGCTGGTTCGCCCTGCTGCGTCGCAGGGCGGGCCCTGCGTTGCCTCGGCGGTCTCTATTCTCACCTTTTCCTCACTTTCGGTTCAGGCTCTCGATGGCTTCGAACGCGCCTCTGTCCTCGCGCCCCTTAGGGCTTAAGGATTCGGGGCCTGCCTAAGGCTTTTCCGAGCCCTATAAAAAGCCCCTTCCCCTCCGTTTCTTCCTTCCCTTTTTCCTTTCTTCCTTATCATTCCCCCGCCGCCGCCCCCGCCGCGGCTGTCTCTTGTGAGTCTCCCTCCTTCCCCCTTTGTGGTCTCTGCGCTGTCGCTGGGTCCTCGCTGACTTGTGGAAAGTCGTTTTTTTCCTTCTCGCTTCCCGCCTGGTTGCCGCTTCGATTACGTCTCGATTTCGCCACGATGCCTCCCCGCACGACCCCCGAGGAGCGGAAGGCGAAGGCTGCAGCCCGTCGCCGTGAGAAAGCCGCCCAGAAGAAGGCTGAGAAGAAGGCCCGCGACGAGGCCGCTGCGGCTGCCCCGGCTTCCCCCGCCGACGATGAGGAGGAGGAGGAGGAGGGGGAGGAGGAGGAGGAGGTTGTCGTCACTCCCCTCAAGCGTCCTTCCGGCGGTGCCGCTGCGGGTGCGGCCAAGGGTTCGAAGAGACCCAAGCCCGACACCCCTTCGCCTCGTCCTGCTCTGGAAGTGCCCGACAAGCCGCCGTCCCTCCTGGTTGATGTAGAGAAAGTCTTCTTTGCCGAGGTGAGTACTCTGCGGTGTCTCTGCGGTGTCCCTGCTAATCTGTTCTGTAGAAAGTTGGTGGTTACCGACCCATTCCCTGCACCCGCTGCGCTCGGTCAATGGTTTTGGCCAGTGCTCCTGGTCGTTTCTGCTTTGCCTACGGTGCGTTATCTCTGCGTCGGCTCTGCGGTCTCTCTTCCTTTGGTATTGACTCTCGACTAGGATCCAGTGGCCGCTGCGCCCACTGTGTGAAGGGGAAGCATGTTTGCGGTTCGGTGAGTAGCCCCTGCGGTACCTCTGAGTCCCTGTTAACCCTTCCTAGATTTCTTCTCACTCTGCCGACCTCGTCGCTCCCGCCCGTGCTATGTCCATGGCCCACCTGGCCTGGTATCACGCTTGCCGGGAGGCGGGCACGACCCTCAGCCGCGTAGGTACCTCTGCGGTTTCTTGGGGATCTTGCTAATTTGGTGTAGTCCGACGATGTAAACAAGACCGAGGAGATTTTCAGCCGTCGCGACCAGCGGGCTATCGCTGCGGCCTCTGCTGCGGGTGGGTCGAAGAACAAGGTGGTCGCTGGGTTGGCCCTGGGGGCCCTCGGCGGTGGCTCTGCGGCTGCTAAGACCAACCGTCTCCTTCGCCGCCTTGTCGTCCTTGGTGAGGCCTTGCTCAACGCCGCCTCTGTTGAGGTTCCTTCGGATGTGGAGGACGATGACAGTGTTATTGGCTAGTGGATATCTTGACGGTATCGCTTCGGCTTCGGCCTTATGCCCTTCATAGGCACCCTTCCTCATAGGCTTAGTTCCTTCACGGGGCGACTTTCGTCCACGTCTCAATCAATCAGTCCGGGTGGTTACCCGCGCGTTATCGCTGAGATCTCGTTCCTCCCTCGTCTGCCTCTTGTGCCTCCCATTTTTTCTGTAGGGCTATTGCCAGTCTGAACTGTGTGGGACGGACCGTCTTACTGTACCAGATTGCCGCTGCGGGTGCGGTGCGTTTGTCGCCGAGGTAGCGTCCCACATCCCTGCGGTCCCGTGGTTTGGGCTCCGGGAGGAGGGTCTTGTCGTAGAGCGTGCAGTAGGTGAAGACATGCTCTACGGTTTGCCTACCATTGCCGCAGGGGCACCGTGGCGATGTCACCTCGGGGACTCTTCTGCTGAAGAGGAAGGCTTGAAGGCCTATGCATCCCGTTCGTAATTGGATGATTAGGCTGTTGATATATCTTGGTTGGCTCCCGTGTAGTGTCCTGTGGTCCATTTCGAAGGGGGATCTGTCTGAGATGCTGGTGTCGTCGCGGCCCCTCTGCGTCCTCCGTTTTGCTGCCTCGGCTGTCCATCGTGCTTTCCAGTCTCTGTCTACAGCATCGACTGCTGTTTTCCCGTCCCTGAGCCACCTTTGCAGCCATTTGGTGTTTGCTTCGTTGGGGCGTCTCCAAGGGCCTCTGCGTTTCGGTAGGGCCGCTGATACCGCTGCGATAGCCCTGTTGATTGCCTGTTGGGCCGGTCCGGTGCTGGTACGTGCCTCGAAGTGGGCAAGCCGTAGGTTGAGGTAAAGGTCCAGGGGGGGGACGTCAAGCTCTATTTCTAGGTTTCTCGTTGGGGTGGCCTTGTAGGCCCCGGCTGCGATGCGAAGGCTCTTCGTCTGCTCTGCGGCTAGCTTGCGGGCTATCCCTCGGGGGTTGCCGCCCTGTTCGGTGGGTTGGTGAAAGGCGGAGGCTCCGTAGGCTAGGGCGGTCCTGATTGCCACTACATAGATCAGGCGGCCTTTGTGGATGTTGCATCCCCACGTAGACGCAGTGATCACGCTGAGGGCGCACTGCTGGCGTTGCATTTTAGCCGTCAGTTTCTTGAGGTGGGTTGACCAATCCAGTTTCCGGTCCAGCCAGACTCCTAGCATCTTAAGGTCCTCGCTCGGCGATATCGTTGCGTTCCCTAGCCGAATGGGGTCCCGGATCGGTTGGTGTTTCCTGGTGAAGTGGAGGAGCTTGGATTTGCTGGGTTCGAAGATCATCCCGTGCCTCTTGGCCCATACGTCGCAGATTACCCATGCGGTTTCCAGGCGGCGTCGGGTCGTTGTCGCCGATGGCCCTACTGCTATTAGGTTGGTGTCGTCTGCAAAGCCCGCAATGACGAGTCCTTTCTGTTGCTCCAGTAGCTTATAGAGTGTGCCGATGTAGATTAGGAAGAGGATGGGGGAGAGGGGGGAGCCCTGCGGTACCCCTGCGCGGATTGTAAACGTGGAAGATTCTTCGTCATCGAAGCGAAGTCGCGTCGTTCTTCCTGTGAGGTAGCTGCGGGTCCATTCTACTAACCAAGGGTCGATTCCTGCCCGTCTGAGTATGTAGAGTAGTCGAATGAAGTTTACTGTGTCGAAGGCGCCCGAGACGTCTAGTTGCAGGATCGTAGCGATACCGGAGCGGTCCCATGCCGTCCTGACGGCCTCGGTTGCAAGTCGGATGGCTGTCTCGGTCGATCTCTCGGTGCGGTTTCCCATCTGGCCTTCCGGCAGGAGCCCCAGGGCTTCCGCTGCGATGACGAGGCGTTCCTTGATGGCTGCCTCGATAATTTTCCCGGTCGTGCATAGGAGTGAGATGGGCCTGTAGGCTTTAGCGTAGCTTCTTTCTTCTCGGGTCTTATCTGCTTTCTTGAGCACCACTGCTGTCGCGCTGCGGTACCGCTGCGGGAAGTATCCTAGCCTCATGCTAGCGCAGGTTATCCTGGCCATTGTCTCGTTGAATGCCTTGCCGCAGGCCTTAAGGAGGCCTGTAGGGATGTTATCGTTGCCCGAGGCCTTCCATGGTCTCATCTTTGCTAGGATATCCGCTATTTCCTTGTCGTCGCATTTTTGGGCCCTGGAGTCATCTTGGGTAAATGGTAAAGGGGCGGTGGCCCCCTCGGGGATGTCGCTGAGGTCGACCTCCGGGTCCGGGAAGAAACGTTCCGCCAGGATCCTGGCTTTCTCGCTGTGGTCATCTGTGGGTTCGTCTCCCTCTCTTCTTTGTAGGGGTGGGATCCGCGGGCTATCCCTGGGGAGGCCGCTGCGGAGTCGCGCCCATCTCTCCATCTTCCAGAATGTCTTGGGGTCGTCGCCGGCTTTCTGGAGGAATAGCCTCCATTGTTCCCTGCGTGATTCGTTTACAGCTTTATTCTGGAGGTGTTGGGTGAGGAGTAGGTGCTCCCACTCAGCGGTGCCCTTGCGTTGTCGGTAGCGTCTCCTGGCTCGTTTGACTTGTTTGGTGGCTTCCTGGACTTCCGCGTTCCACCATTTTTCCGACCGCCAGCATGGCTGCTTGCGCTGCGGGGTCGCTGCGATCGCTATCTGGGTGAGGGCTTCAGTTAGCTCTTCTGTGGCTCGGTCCAGGTCCTCTGTGGTCTCTATGTCCGCTCCGATCTTATTTAGCTTTAGCCTCAGGTTGACTTCAGCCGCTATGCGTGACTCGTTCATTTCGCTCCAGTTGAGGTTGCGGAGGGCCTCTTCGGTATCGTCCGGGGGTCGTTGGGGTTGCAGTTGGGGTTGCGGTTGGGTGTTCGCTGTGATTAGTTTGGGGTCTGTGGTCTGATCCTTCGATATCTGCTTCCCCTCCGGGCGGGCCTGTACTCCCTGCGAT